CGGTTTACGACGAAACAGACAAAAATTAAAACCGGATCCTTAGCTAAAGAAGGGAGATAAGGTATATCTACTTACGAAAAACTTACGATCTTAACGGACGATAAGAAAACTGGATTATATTAAGGTCGGACCATTTTTAATTTCAGAAGTTAGAGGACTAGTTAACTATAAACTCTAACTTCCTAACGATACGAAAATACACCCGGTATTTTATATATCACTCCTTAAACTAGCAGACCTAGAAACACCGTTATAGATAACATTCTATTTCTAGATAGAAGAAGACGACGAATTCGAAGTCGAAGAAATACTAGAATAACGGGGTTAGCGATACCTTATAAAATAGAAGGGTTACCTATACTCGGAAAATATATAGGAACTACGAGGGAACCTTAGGAACTGCTAGAACCTCCTATAACAGTTCTAGTAGTCTCGACATTCTAGAAATTAGAAGACAAGTCGAAACTACTATCTATAGCATTCTAAGTCTCTAGACCTAACCTAAGGCTAGGCTCGTTAGTAGAAAACTTAAGCACTATAGCGTCGATCTCCTCTTATTCGATGCCTACGTACTTCGTAGCTACTGCCTCCTCCTCTTTCTAGTTTAAGAGATCCATTTATTAACGAAGGCGTATCTCCTAGGCGAACGCCGTTTATTAACGCTCGCGCGCGAGGTCTGCTTTCTTTCGAGCTTACTCTTACGTATAGTACGTATCTTTAATAGCGTCACGCAACCGTTTACGCTCTTACTTTAGGCGATCCTATTCGGATTACGATATACGGATATTATACCGCTAATTACGACGAAGACATTTACTATACTTTCTAGAACGAACGTAGACCCGACAGACGCGGTTATGCTTAGCGTAAGTCGCGTACAGTTTTACTATAATAGTTCCTTCTAATTCGATATAGGCGGCGAGTCCTTTACGACGTTTAGTGCTGTTATCCCTTTCCTTAGGCATTATAAGAAGGAGACATTACTTACTAAGGTAGAAATAGGAGATAAACAGCTAATTATATACGTTAGCGTCGGGACGACGCTAGTATAGAAGGGGGATAGTGTTACGATCCTACCTCGGACAGGGTTATATAGCCTGCTCTATAGTTCCCTACACCTTAGCGGAATAGAGCACTCTATATAACACGCTATCTGCTCTGCCCTACTCTGCTACTTTACTTTATAGAGTATAATAGAGCATATAGAGCAACCTGCATACACTTATTATCTATTAAGTATATAGGTAGGTAGGACGACCTTAGGTAGTCCTACGTTTAACTTAATTAGTTATTCTAATAGTCCCTTTAGTATACACTACTTTATACACTACCTGCTTTACTTCGCTTAACACTCCGCTTTACGAGTCTAACCCCGTAACCTATTATCTCCTCCTAGATAGTTAGCTATAACACTTACCTAGCTTTATCCTCGCCGCGTTCTAATAGCTAAGGATTATAAGTTAACGCAAAACCTTAGCCTCCTAAAGCCTAAGACATTTATTCGCCTCTACTAAAGTAAGGTTAGCTCTTTAATTTACCTAGCTTATATATTAAGACCTAACATCGTAGAGGCCGTAGGCATTGTTTTACGCTATAACGCAAACCTAGACGAGTCCTATATAGCTGCAGTAGATCAGATTTTTGCCTACGTGAAATGTACCCCCGATCTTAGGCTTTACTACACGAAATCTAAGTTAGACAATAATCTTATTACTTATTCGGACGCCGATTAGGCTGGCTGCAAGGATACTGCACGCTTAACTACTAGTTAGGTCGTACTACTGTTAGGTGCACTAATCTCATAGCAGTTAAAGCGCCAGAAGTCTGTTTCGTTATCGACTTGTGAGTCTGAATACGTCGCGGCATATAAGGCCGTATAGGAACTTGTCTAGACAGAAAATTTGCTCGACGAACTTAGTGTTATAGACATTCCTATAAGAGGTGTTATGCTACACATTAACAACGAAGCTGCATTAAAGCTTACTCGCAACCCCGAGTTCTATGATCGTTTAAAACATATCGACATTAAATACCACTACCTACGCGAACTCAATCTGGATGGACGTATTAAGACACAGTACGTTAACACGAAGGATAATCTCGCAGATGTGTTCACTAAGCCCCTTCCTCGTGAGACCTTCGAGAATCTTGTTACGAGACTCGGTCTCACCACAGCTACTTGCTCTAGATAAGCAGGGGGAGGATGGCTTACCTCGGCTTACCATTTGCTCATCACAGCAATAGCTATAGTCTCCACATTCAGGGGGAGACTTGAATATGCCTGCCTAGACATGTGGCTATAGCTTTGACTCTCTGTTTGTCAGTAGCTGTAGCAGTCCTTTGTTTGTAGGTAGATTATATAGAGTAGATAGCTCCCATAGCTCAGAGAATCAAGCACTCTGTTCCTCCTTATTAGTTGCAACTATGTGAAACCATATACTATGTTATAGAGCATTACAAAGGCGTATTGACCATTGGCGCGAGTCTGGACTGCAAGATCTGCTTCGGTGAAGGCACAGACGATGCCAAGAAGTACAGCCATCAAGACACCTCCAAGAATGAGAAGAGGACGTCTTCCCCAGTGATCGGCCAACCACCAGGTGGCAATGGTGGCAGCTGTGTATGGAAGAGCATTGGCAGCGGTGTATAAGAGGGACTTGCGCTCGCCGAAGCCTGCGTCGGAGAGCGTGGAAGGGAGGTAGAACGAGATTATGTTGATACCGTTCAGCTGAGCAAACATTTGCACAGTGATACCAACGATGGTTCGCTTTCTGTAGGTCGTGAGCATCTCCTATGTTTTCGGTCAGAAAGGTTCTTTAGAGCATAGTTAGAAAAACTTACACCCCAGCCTGCTTGTCCGAGGCTGGCCTCGTAGCGCACAGCTTCCTGGATCTCGAGGAAGACATGCTGAACATGTTCAGCCTCGATATCACCGTTACTGTGAAGATCCGCAACAGTCTGCAGACTCTCTTTCATGAAACCATTCTTGGCGAGCCATCTCGGGGTCTCGGGCAAGAAGAACGACATGACGAATAGGATGAACGACAAGATGATCTGGATGATGAAAGGACCCTGCCAACTCATGTCGCTTGGAAGTAGGAAGTTGAAGCCATAGTCGACCCAGCAGGAAAGCATGTAGCCAGCAATGAGGAAGGTATACTCGATACCGACCATCAAGCCACGAGCATGGGGAGCAGCAATTTCTGTCTGGATGATAGGAACAGTCATGGAGAGGAAGCCAACTCCCAGTCCTTGAATGGACCTGCCAGCGACGAAAGTTGAGAAGCCTCCAGCGAACATCTGTATAAAGGCTGAGAAGAAGTAGATGAAGGCTCCGATGCGGACACACTTTTTACGGCCGATCACATCTCCAAGCCACCCAGCAAGCAGCGCGCCCAGTGCAGCAGTGAGTTGTAGACAAGAGACAGATATGCCGGTGATGGAAGGATTGACACCGCTGGTTGTGCCGTCAGCTCCACCGTAGTTCTTGTAGAAGCGAGCGACGAAGACGGGATTGACGAGTAGACCAGACATGATACCTGTTGTTGTCAGTATCGCTGTAGATGCGGGAGAAGCATTGGTGCTAACCAGAATTGTATCCAAAGAGTGCATCTCCAAGACTACCAAACCCGCAGGTCGCGTACAAGAGGGCGGCCCCCTTGACGGGGTATCTCGCATTGACCGTCTTAGGCTTCAGCTTCTGCTCGAGCCAGCCCATGGGCTGCTCAGCAGCAACGCCTTCTTGCAGGACGATTGCATTGTGATCGGTTGACGGCTTGTTGGCCATTGTAGGTAGAGGTCAGAGGATGGTCTGGTAAGATGAGGACTGGGGTCTCCGTCTGGGGAATGATGGAGAAGTTGGGGATGGTACGGATGGAGGAGATGTTGCTCCTTTTGAAGGGTTGTGGCCATCGTCAATGTCCCCGGTGGTATAACAGTAGTTGACATATAGGGCTCCCCAATTCTCCACGTATCCCCGCTTTTCCTGTGATCGCCACGCCATGGTGACTGCTATAGAGACCATGCGTCCGGTAGTATGTGCCGACGGACATGCAAGATGGTCAGGGCGGCTTCCGACGGCTTCACCATCGGTTCCGGCGGAATTCAGGGCAGCAAACCAAAGATGATCAAACACGTAGGAAAATCCGAGACAGGAGATGTACAATCCAAAAACCTCTATCCTTCCACTCGCTCGGCGTCAGATGTACTGTACTGGCCTCTCGATGAGATGCAGCATGATCAGGCATGGCACGCCATATTATCTGGGCAGTTGACTGCTAAGCTAGGGATTAGTACCATCACCTGTGCACAGGTCCTCAACACAACAACGAGATCTCTCTACAACAGGGGAACTGCTGGTATCGTCTTTATGGTTTCCCAAGGTCATGCCGGTTGTCTATCGGCAACGAGACATCCAGCAGTCAGTGCTGATTACGGAGAGACCAGACGCTCGGTGTCAGACAGGACATTGCGAAGAGCTCCGTGTAGCGCTTCCACGAGCATTTGAACTCTAGCGACAGACGCTGCAAAGACGGAGGCGACATGAGACCATCAAAACGCGTCCTGATTCGAGAGAACCAAGTGAGACGTCACAATTGAAGCCTTCACGTCTGCCAAGCAATTCAAACTTTACGATATGAACTTCACAGATTGGCATTCACGATACGTGCGTGTATGCGGCATCCTGACCATGTACATGATCGAGCCTGATCACGAGTGTCGTCTAGAGGCTCAACTCAAAACCTATGTTCCACGCACGCTAGTCGCGAAGTCACATAATGTTCGTATCTCTTTTGGAGATGGCACTTCCGGCGGATGCGGTCCAAGCGTCTCAATCACGAGCCCGACGGATCGATAGGCATAACACGGCAATTGGATATGGGATGGGAAGTTGAATCTCGCGACTACGTACCGTAATTGCTCTTCTGGATGCCAGTTTCCTCGGATCTGTACTCGACACAGGTCTTCACAGAACGGCCATGCAGGGTTGTTTTGCTCAGCATCAGCGTTACTACATCGAATTCTAATCCTCTCAAATATGGTGCTGAAGAATGAGCATCATATAACACAACTCCCCTTTCGCCTTTAGTGAAGAGTACCATGCAAATATCTAGCTTTGTAGCATCCCTTATAGCCACGAGAGTAGATGAAGTAAAACGGGGGCTTACGCAAAGAAAAGATCGCGTTGTCTGGATGCTATGGGGACCACCCTGACCCCTGTGTCTAGGTGACGGCAACCATCACCACGTTGCGTGAATTCCTCGGCTCTCATGATTTGAGTCTCACAAGAGGCAGGAGAGAACCTGGCATAGTCTTGTGCGCAACTCGTAGCCATATTCGGTATTAGTCAAGAAATTCAGTCTCTGAACTGAGCTGACACGCACCGATTAATTGATTTGCCCTGCCCAGCAGACATTCCCCCTGCTTTCGAATGAAACTCCAGATGGACCAGGCATAATGCTACATATAAAGCCAAGAACGATTTGGTGTCACATGGGATGTGGGAGACGAAGATAAGAGACGCAGTGGTTTGACTCAGAGCATTCTGCAGATCATGGATTAGGCGTAGAGAGAAATATAAATCAGCGGTAGAACAAAAGCACTGGAGCGGGCCCGGTAGCAAACATGACTGTCAAGACCGAGCTTTCACATACTCTGCCTGTTGAGCATCCTGATGGGCAATAATGCGGTGGTGACGACACAGCCTAAAGTAATGCCACCGGCAAGATACAGAACTTTGGCATAGTCGTCCGCAGTCGGCTCCGTGGTCGATGGCAAGAGATTCTGAGCAATCTGAGGAGCAACAATACCGAAGAGGCGACCCCAGAATGCCGCGATACCGCACGCAGTGCCTCTGATAGGCGCCGGGAATTGCTCGGGGGTCCAGCCATAGAGTACGGCGTTGAACATGCTCTGGAAGAAGTATTCCATGACTGCGTGTGAGTTAGCATTGACACGCGCTGCGAATCGTAACGATGTAAATACCATTGAGTCCTATGTTTGAAGCTTCGCTGTTGGCCGCGCTGAAGAGGAAGATACTGACACCCATGAGTGCAGACGATATCACCATTGTCCATTTGCGTCCGAAAGCCGGAAATTTGTACATCGCGCCACCTAAAAGAACACCAACAATACCAGGTAGATAGATGTAGACGTAAGAGCGGTACGTGTACTTCAGGCCACGGCTGATCTCGACATTCTTTGCGGCGATGATTCTAGGAAGGTATCCTCCTGCTAGAGTGAAGCCCCAGAAGTCCATGATATCTGGTGTAAATCGTATCAGCAAAGGTCAATGATGTCTCTCGTCTGCGAAACAATGTTACCCCGTGGCAATCTCAAGGCAAGGTAAAACCTGACGTGATATCAACAAGACACATCTTTCCATCGACGTCCTGTACCAGACTTGCCGATATGAGATATAGTTGTGCCTTGCTACAGGATTGGAATGACGGATCTTAGCACACAGGGAGATGAAGGAGGCGACTTACAAGTAAGCCAAACGAGAATAGTCAGATAGGACATCCATCTCGTGGCGAAGAGCATACGATAACGTTTGAATTCAAGCTTGACCTTGCCGAGAATCGACAGATGTTTCTGCTGATCACCAGAGCCGAGCATACCAGCGGTACTGTGGACGCCAGGCTCAACGCGAAGCGTAAAAAAGTCATCCAAGGTAAGTGCAGACTCGCGCTTGTTGTATTTTGCAATGTGTTGCAGCACTTGAACAGCCTTCTCATCCTGGCCTCTGTAAACCAAGAACTTGGGCGATTCCTGGAATCTGAAGACGACGAAGCGTAGGAAGAATATGAAGAGTGTGATGGCACCCAGGGTGAACATGAGGTATCGCCAACCCATATTGCTTTCTCTTGTACAACAAGGTGTCCCGGCCGGTACGTTCTTGCATGAAGGCGCAGGATTAGGCTCAACGAAGTTCGGCGAACAGCTGTACGAAGGAATAAAGCCATATGCAATCACGCTGCAGATGACGACACCAATGGGTTGGAATAGTGAGAGCAGGACGAGTAGGAAGCGGCGATTCTGAGGGAGAAACTCCAGGCAGATAGTCGTATCGATAGGAATGTTGCCTCCAATTCCGAAACCACAAAAGGCTGTGACGACGAGGAACGATGTGTAGCTATCACAGCCACCCAAGCCGAGACCGAAGGAAGCAGATATTAGACAGGTCAAGTTGAATGCCCACTGACGGCCTGTATAAGAATCAGAATGCATGTTCACATAGCAGAGTGCTAGGCTTGTCTCAATGGCCAGAGTACCAACCAATGATGTCGACTAGAACGCCCCAGGTGAAGGCTCCAGCGGTCAATCCTGCAGAGAAGGCAGTAGAGATATTTCCAGATTGGCTGGCTAGGATAAAACTGTCAGTTCCAATATTCCTCGTCACCCTTGAGGAAGCGTACCAGGGAAACCCAACTCTTGCTCCAGTGGACCCAACACAAGACCGAATGCTTGCGCCCAGAGCAAATCGATAAAGTAGCCGAATCCGCAAAGAAGCCAGATGCTCCATTGGTAGCGACCCATGCCATTCGAGTCCATCTCTCGGTTGATTAATATGCATTTTTGTTCGTATAGCGAAAGTCCTTTGAGCTCGTCGTCCATGAGCGAAGGTGACGGCGATGGTGCCAGGTCGTGGTCATTGTTATCGCTCTTTAGGGACGCCATCGTGTCCCAGGTGGCAGGATTATGAGATTGGGTCGCAGGTCAAGTCAAGTCGCAAGTCAAGTGGGTTGAATGATCAGAAGTGAAACTCGAGTGAAGGAAGGAGCGACCGCAATTCCTTTTGTCTTACCGTCAACGGAAGATTTTGGTGCGCTGGTCCAAGGAATCTTGTTGTGTGCAAACGATGTCATTCGCTTCCACACATTACACTGCCGGTTGCTTCAGTATCGCTACGTCGATGGGATTGTTAGATCTGCGCGATAATATCGCACTACACGTCTTGATGTACAGTGAATGTTGGACAATGTGTTATCGCTGTCGCGGGTGTCAGGAGCAAAAGGTGGCAGATACCTAAGCATTCGTGACGTCGACATTGTTGATCGGATCGTCGCTCGGACGACTTGACCAGTCCTCCCCACAATCGACCTCAGCTGTGATTGGCGTCATGGACCTAACTTTATCCATCATGTAGATCTTTCAATCCACTTCCCTGCTTGACGCAACGCTTGTTGACCTCGTACACGGCATACTCGATCTAGCAGAGAATCACATGTGAGCGTTAGTTGGGGAGCAAAGGTATAGATACATAAACCCTCTACACGGTTGGTGTGGACATAGATGGACATTCCTATCATCAGGCTCGATCCGTCAATATGTCTAGGCATGCTGCATGATTCATTCGCTTCTATCGCCGAAACCCGCGTCTGCCATTGCACAATCGTTATGACCTGAGAAACGACTGGCGCCAAAGTGAGTAGATACAAGACGTCTTCTGCTCATATCTCCATAGCATCACTGGCGCCATCCAGGACACCTAGGAGACGCGCGTATGGTACAGTGATACGCTGGAGGTCGCGATGCTTGCCTACGTTATATCAGTAAACGTGAACTCTCAGCGCACACAAAGATGAACTTACCAAGGATGAGAACTACCTCCTTGAGCAACTCTTGCCGAGGCCAGCCAACGAGATCGCCTTCTTCGGCCATCCAGCCTTGTCCCTTCTCCTCGTCTGGCTTTTCCTTTTCCTCTTCATCTTCGAAAACGCTGCCCATAAGTGATCGTAGCAATTCCTCGACCTTAGCCTTAGAACCTTCTGCGCCAATGCGCTTAGCGTACATGAGGAGATACAGATGGAACTCTTCACGTGCACCCAACGTCATGGCGGCTGCGACACGATTCTCGAGATGCGCGACGCTTACGGCGCTCTCAAATCCTTCGTATCCTTCAGCCACAAGGAGTGTCTTGACTAGTCGTTGCAAGAAGTATGCTCGGCCACGCATTAATGACTGGGTTGTGGTGTTGCGTTCGAGTAAAGGGACGATGCCCGCCGAGAGATTCTCCGGCTTGAGGTCTTCGTCAACAGTGGAGCTGCCATTTGTGCCCTTGGAAGTGGGTTGCACAGTAGAGATGGATGTATCTGCCGTGTTCCAGTACTGACTACCCACTGCCCACCAAGGCTCCGACAGACGTTGCCAGATATACATAGCCTGCGAGTAGGTATAGCCATCTCCGTTGGACAAACCTACGATGATGCGGCCCTGTGAGTTAAGGCGAGCAAACATGACAGCGGGTCCATTGGTAGTGTGGCCTTGCTGGACTGTAGCAGCAATGTCAAGTACAGGTGCGAGAGATACTGGTGGATGTGGCGATGACATGGACTTGATGTTCCAGACATAACACATTCCTACCGCATTCACGCACAGAAGCCACCATCCCCGACAATCCATGATAACAGGCTGTGCATCAAGGATGAGAGCATTGATCAATCTGCGACCCGCTGGAGTCCAGATGTGGACCGACCCGTCTTCACAAGCCGCAGCCCAGAAGTTGTGGTTTCCGGTCACTAGCAATACTGCTCGTGGTAGATAATCTTGCCAAATGGATTGCCCTCTTCGAGAGACTGTGAGGCGCGTCGGATCGCGATCTTGGACTCTACCCGTACGTGCGGGACCCGAAGCATTCCGTGCTTCGAACACAATTGACGATTCGTCACCAGTGTCCGTCTGCTGTCCTTCTGTTTCCTGATTGCCGTTCGCATCGAGAGGGCGGACTATGGTCGTTCGGACTAGAGGCACTGCTAATCTCACCTGACTTGTGGTCAAACTGGGATTCACAATCGCGGGTCTAAGAGGTTCAGCAGTTTCAGTGATACTTTTCCCTGCGGCGCTCGGGGGCACGAGACCGACGGCTGTGTTAATGACCACAGGTGAGGCTCCAGACTGTTGGATAGATGCAATGCGCTTCTCGGCACGATGATCATCATCCCCTTCGATCTCGGCGAATTTACGTTTATTGCCAAGCAGAAGCGAAGCAAGTCCTCCCCTTGGTAGACCATCGAATGGCTTTGATAGATCCAATGTGGTCTGGGGCGCATCGTTGCGGCTAGCTTGCGAGACGCTAGACATGAGTTGTGGCTTTGGCAGCGAAGATTCCCCGACGCCAGAAGAAGAAGAAACGAGCAAGGGCGCAATGCGCTTCTTTCCGTCTTTCGTGATAGTCACGCGCTGCTTGAGTTTGTCGATCTTAGCGACCTGCGGATCCGGTGGAGGCATTGGCTCCTTGGGTTCAGCAGTCTCTGTGCTGCCGTTTGTTGTGCTCTCCTTGGATGTGCCGTTGGTAGAGGCCGGGGCAGATTTGTCCGAGGAGCCGTTAAGGGAGGGAACAGCAACAGTGCCATCACCCATCAATTCACCCATACGTCCCTGAACGCCCTTGAGCTCTCCTGCTTTACTGTTTTCTTCCAGCCTCAGCGCATCCGGACCTTCGACAACACCGACTCTTCTACCAGCGCCAAAACGTGCCAAAGCCTTGTCGTTGTTCACCACCGGAGCCGGGTATCCCAGTTCTCCAGGGGAAAAGACGCAGCAGGCAATGGTTCCGTCCAAACTAGTGAAGTAGACAGTCTCTCCATCGGGCGACCAGGCAAGATCCGAGATGGGTTTGGCAGCCAGCTCCTGGGTGACGACAAAAGGACGAGGCGAATTTGTGTTCCACACGCTAAGAGTTTTGTCCTGACCAGCACAGGCAACGACCGTCACAGCACCAGCAGCAAAGTTTTCCTGAGCGGTGATGTCGCTGGCTGGTGGAGGTGGCTCAGGACAGAAGAGGCGAGGAGAGAAAGCACACACTTCGACGGGACCCTCATGGCCGATCAAGTTGACCTCGCTTTCCCAGCTACCACGAGTCACGATGGCAACAGAGCTGACAGGACCGTTGACGGCGTTGGCGGCGGCGATGTGAGCGCCGTCAGGAGACCAGGAACATCTACGGAAGTATGTCGTGAGGGGGGAGGTGGTGAAGGGGACTGAGACGGTGGCTTCGAGAACGAAGTTGTTGACCTGATCGTAGGTCGTGGCGTTCGGAGGAGGGGAGCTGAAGCGGAAGATGCGTATTGTGCGGTCGTCGCTAGCGGTAGCGAAGTATTTGTTTGCGGGATCGAAGGTGATGCCCTTGACGTGACTCTGGTGTTGTGACAAGGTCTTGAGCTTCTCGAACGTGTGGCCGGACCAGACGACGACTTTTGAATCAAGACCGACCGAGACGAGGATGGAGGAATCGGCCGACCAGCCCAGGTCCTGGACATCGTTGTCGTGACCGATCAGACGGCGGAAGATGCGCCAGTTCTCGACGGGGGGAGTCTCGTTTGAGCCGAAAGTTGTGTGAGTCGGAGGGTTGGGATCGAGGTTGTAGATGCACACAATCTTGTCGTCGGCGCCCGAGGCCAGGTATTTGCCGTTTCCAGAGAAGCGCACAGAGTGTATCGTGCCCGAGTGGTAGCTCATAGCCGCCAGCTGTTTGGGCTTGTCGTAGTCTGCTTTTGCGCCATTGCGGATCGCATCAGTCGACCAGATGCGCACATGTCCGTCTGCAGGGTGTCGAGTCTTAGCATCACCGCTCTCCTTTCAATCTCGTCGTGTCCAAACGCACCTCCTCCTGCCGTTACCAGGCGACTTCCGTCTGGCGAGACGTGGCAGCTGTAAACTTCATAGTCTTTCTTGTCACCTAAACATCATCTCATCAGCTATGGCCCTGGGATCCCGTCTGACAGCAACTGCGACTGACCTCCATGCGTCAACCAGAGCGGTTTTGTAAAGCGCATTGCGACTGTTTACCGAAGGTGCATGCTCCTCTTTGCGAGCGCTGCGATGAAGGTTCCTAGACAGTCGTGTACATGCAATACGAGACTATGCAATAGAACGCAACACGATACGATGCGTCTGGTCAAGTAGCGCAGAATGAGATAGAAGGGTGTTGCATGCGTGTGTTGTGGAAAGACAACATTGGATTATTCACATGCTCCATCAACCTCCATTCATAGTAAGCTTGGCACAACTGCCAGTAGCGACCCTGTCCTTTCCAGAGCTCCATGCCGTTCCACCATCATGATGCCATCGGTTCACCTTTTTCGAGCATTGCTTTTGTCCTCCAGCTTGATTTAGAGTTACACCTCCAAGATCACCACCGTCTGTAGATGCGAAAGTTCAGTTCAATCCCTCACACAATGTCTCAACGGGTAAGTAGAATCCCCGTGCCGTCGTACACAGAACAAGGCTGACCGAATATACGTCACAGATCAGCTTCAAGGTCGAGGGTGAAGGTATCTACAATTAACCACACTTGACATCCACAATACTGATCTTATTCTAGTTCAGGGTGTCAACTTCAGGAGCTTTACTGTGAAGCAGGCCAAGTCTCTGGGAATTAGTGGCCATGTCAAAAATGTTTCTGACGGCAGCGTATGTTACGAGTGACATGTACCTAAGCACGTCAGCAATGCTGATGTCTATATTCAGGTCACTGGTGAGGCTCAGGGCGACAGCAGTGCCTTGAACAAGTTCCAGCAGCACTTGAACAGAGGTCCTCCTGCCGCTAGTGTCACGAAGCTCGACGTCAATGACATCAAAACTAAGGAAGGCGAGAGCGATTTCACCCAATGATTGCTTGATATACATTTCACACGACACGACTATAACGAAGCGGTTGAAGCGCGACCCGGCAAACAAACAGAGGTTGACAGATATGAACCAAAATAGATAGCTGAGAGGCATGTCCCGGTTTCCACCGTCCATCATTATCATCGTGACATTTGTAGCATTGCACGACCGTAATCGCAGACGCGTTGATTAGACTTGTGATTACCGTACGCTTTTCAGGATGCTCGGATTGGACGCTGTACTCTCGTTGAGATCACTGTGTCAGACGATTTCCTCGGATTTCGTGTAGCCAGTGAGCATGTTTCGTCTCGCCGCCTCACAATCGCCGAATCATCTCCATTGTCTACAACTTGGACAATGTCGCCGTCATTGTGAAAAACTCATCCTTTGATTCGACCGAGTGGAAGCCGTGGTCTATGACTGTTGTTTCTTTGCCGCTGTTTGAGGAGTGGTCATCTGCCTTTCAGAAATGCTCAACTTTCCGGTTGCTTCTCGTGCCTCCAAATCCCGGACCGGCGTCCAACGAGGCTGGAACCTTTGTCGCATCACAGACACCGACTTGTTGTCGTTGACCATGCTCGACGTGGTAACGTCCGGACGTCTTTTGACTTGGCCTCGCCGGTCAGAGTCGGAGTGTCCAACGTTGGCTCGGAAGGATTATTGGGAGCTGAGCGAATGTTCCGCCGACGGCGATTCACATCCCCGCATGCGGACAGTGCTTACCACCTGCTCGCGATGTATATAAGTGAAAACATAACTTGCCACTGTAGGACGTCCAAATCACACACGGATCATTGAATCATTACACAAATTCCTGCATCTCACCCGGAACATTACAACATCACCTCACTGTACTCAAATCACTACACGACTATCTTCATTCTTTCAAACCCCCATCCACATCAACAATGTATCGAACAAGAACTTTGACAACACCAAGAGGTGTATGTATCTGCGCCAGAGCAGTCGCCAACGCAGGAGAAACTAGGGCTACAGTACTCGTCATGGGCTACGTACAACCAAGAAAGTTCAGCACAACACCATCTCGAGCACTGAAGCAATTCTTCCCGGCGCCAGATGCTCCCAGCATTCGAACTACCGAAGCAGCATGGCCACATCCAATGTGAGCATACGCAGTCCCGATCCACTCGAAGATCAAGCACTAATGTTATACCTTTAGCTATACGAAAGAGCAAATGGACTCAGTTGTAATCGCACACAGAGAAGCCAAAACATGGTCGGACTGGACAGCCCTCGCCGCAATCCGCACAATGCGCTGGGGACTGGATCTTGCTACTGGTTATAAGCACGACAAAGCAGTTGCCAGCGGTCAGAAAAGCTCCAAGAACGCCAACCAAAAGCATGTCATGACGGCAAGAAAATACATGATACGAAATGTGTTCCTAGAGTCGGTGGCGGGTGTTCCTGGAATGGTTGCTGGTATGCTACGACACCTGCATTCGATGCGCCGTATGAAGAGAGATAACGGCTGGATCGAGACTCTACTCGAAGAGTCATACAATGAGCGTATGCACCTGCTCACCTTCCTCAAGATGGCAGAACCAGGACCGTTCATGAAGTTCATGGTGCTTGCAGCTCAAGGAGTCTTCTTCAATGCCATGTTTGTGGCCTATCTGGTTTCTCCTCGCACAGCGCATCGATTCGTCGGATATCTTGAAGAGGAGGCTGTGATAACGTACACGCGCGAAATTGCAGACCTGGACGCTGGAAGACTTCCAGAGTGGGAGAACCTGGCAGCACCAGATATTGCCATCAAGTACTGGCATATGCCCGAGGGCCACCGTACCATGCGGGACTTGTTACTGTACATGTAAGTTTGACCAATTTCAAGCAAGCGACCTACTGAGACTAACAACAACACCGCAGTCGCGCTGATGAGTCGAAGCACCGTGAGGTGAATCACACATTAGGCAATCTACATCAAAAGGATGATCCCAATCCATTCGTGTCCGAGTACAAGGACAAGTCTATTCCTCACCCAGGAAAGGGGCTGCATCACCCAAAGCCGACGGGATGGGAGAGGAGCGAAGTCATCTAGAGCGGACGCACGAAGAAAGTAGACAGGTGGGAGAAGAGTTGGAGGAAGAAGAAGAAGGCGAGCGACAAGACATCTCTACTCTGGACGATAGAAGTAAAATACAGGGAGTGGTTGGTTCATGACAGGCGTTCGGGGCTTGAGACAGGTGGGGCGTTTGAGCGACCGGGACGGACCATTTTTAGAGCGATTGGCGGCGCTGAGCGCTCCACAGATTGGCATGGGTCAGACAGCCTAAGTTAGCACTTTGTTCTTGTCAACAACATGACGCAGATTTGAGATGGTCATTGGCATAGCATTGGACTCTAGAAAGACGAGACACGCGCATCAGTGATCAATCAGCAACCACAAGGCATCTCCTGGAGTGTGCTGGCTGGCGGCAGGTGAACAATGAGGCAGCAGCTGTAGCGAAAGGAGTACCCCCGTCGACACGCGTATAGCTAGCTACCTGGGAGTCAGTCAGGATGAGTGAATACTCGTCCGTCTTCAGCGTCAACGACAGGCTGGCCCTGCTCGACACCGACACCGACGGCGAGAGTTTCGTGAGCGATCACCACTTTGACACGCACAAATACACGATGGCCGAACAATACTCGTACAGCCCGAATCGCAGTTCCCAGTCGACCCTCACGCCGCCCGACTCGTCTGACCGAAAGCAAGACTACGGCGCTCTGGCCGGCGCAACCGATTCAGAAGCCGACAACAGCGACAATGATGACACCTCCCAGCTCTCACGCTCCGCCTCCATGTCGAGCAGGTACTCGATCTACTCCCTGTCGCGCGTTAGCTTCGCCAGTCAGCTCGCCCAGCTCGGCGCCATCCAATTGCCCGATGCCACCTCCCTGTCCGCACGCATATCATGCATGCCCACCTCGGCCAGCGCTGCAAATGCCCTGAAAGACTCCTCGGAGCAGATAAGAAGATGGATCCGGAATGCCCACACAGTGCTGGAAGGCTTGGAAGCCGAAGACGATGTTGAATGGGCTGCTGCCGGTGGACGAGAAGGTCTGGACCACGTCGACCGCGCCATTGGCCGCTTCGACAAGGTTGTCAAGCTCTACATTCTCTCCGTCGAAGAACTGCATTTGCGACACGACATTGCTACCTTAGCACGGGAACAAATACAGGCCAACTCGGACGACATGGATGCCGTCATTAGGGAATGGCAAAAGATCAAAGATTCCTTGGCTGGTGTCAAAGAGCAGGTCGAGATTGCCATGGAGTGGGAACAACTCTCAACCTCTATCGGGACCGGTATCGCTCACGAGCTCGATGACCTAGCCGGCCTGGTATTCGAGATGGAGGAACAGCGACATCAATCCGTCACCTGCAACCTGGCCGATTCCGACCACAACCTTGACATTGACGAGCTGAAACACATCGTCGACGAAAAGGCCAGTACTTCCAAGGCCGCGTCCAACCCTCGCCATAGTCTCCCTCCTCCCTTCTCATCCACGTCCGCTCTACAGGCTCCTCCTACCATTGGCAACATGGAAGACAACTTGCTGGCTCTGTTCGCTCGCATGCAACCCCTGAGGGCGTCCTTGGACTTTCTGCCGATGCGTTTATCCGTCTTCCATTACAAAGGTAATCCCGTCTTTCCAACTGCCTGTCTCAACTTGGAGGGCAGACGTGACGCTCTAGAGGCCCAATGGAAGAAGCTTGAGGCTGATGCTGAAGCTTTGCGACGTGAACTGGGCGAGGATCGATGGCTACTGGTTTTCCGCAACGCCGGGAGACAGGCTCTGAAAATGTGCCAGTCTGTTTCAAGAAGCATACAAAAACTTGCAACGGCCCTCGACCATGACGAACAGCATACAGACAATGCCTCGCTGGCAAAGAAAGTTGAGAGCTACGAGGCAAAGAAAAATCACTATGGCACCGCAATCGAAAGAGTACTTGCCATTATCGATCGTGGTGTACTTGATCGACTCACTGTCAACGGCGAGATTTTAGGACTGCAGTCCGATATGAAGAGAAAATGGGCAGGCATTCAAGCAGAGATGCGGGAGCTGGACTCGCGCTTGCGAGGAGTGAATCTTGACATGCGAAACCAGCAGTTGCGCGACTCCGTCAGCACTATTGTCTCGTCCGAACACTCCATGACTAGTAGTAGTATGGACACACCTAGAAGTTCGTCAGCCTCGTCTGTCAGTCGACCCGATTTGACCCCCAGACGATCGTCTCGTTTTACCCGCTTCGTCAGTGCCTTGCCACGCAGGACTCCTCAGTCCAAGCCCAAAGATTCGAAGCCGTCTCTGAACCACAAGCCCTCGCGCGGTAATTTGGCATCGGGCGGAGCTACATATACCCCTTATACTCCTCCACCTGCAACAGATCCGCTCGTTCGCCAATTCAAGGCCCCAGAAAACAAACCACGATGGAATCTCGCAACAAACACCAGAAGCACTTCTCTCAACTCACTTCATCCACCATCTTCAGAACCAGCGACGAATCGTAGAGTCACCCTACCCCATCGACCAAGCACTCCGAGTTCCACAGGATCCAAAATACCCACACCAAATACATTCACCCGCAGCACCAATTCTCCAGGTCCCGCTTACTCTCCAGCTACACCTTCAAGAAGAAACGTCTCAACGCCTACGAGCTCGCCGTTGACGCCACGAGCACAGAGCTCTTTGGCCTATCGATCTGTCTCTACCAACAATGCAAAACCTCGTTCCACCTCGTCGTCACTTCTACCAGGACTACGACTGCCACGAGCACCTTCATCGCTTCGCAAGACCAGCTATCTGTCACCTACACTTGATGACCACGACGAGAATGAGCATGCAGATGCCGGAGGGCTGGCTCCTACGCCACAGAGAAGAGCCGCGAGCTCACTAAACACCAGGAAGACTAATGCGAATCTGTTCGGATTCTCAAGAAATCAATGAAGGACGTAGCTCTAGCAGACTTGACACTGCCGTCTCAGAAGGTGCGACGCAAGGCAGGGGTTGGAAAGGCTGAGTCGAGTATTAATTTGGCAATGATATTATGACAAGATCGGAGCGTATTGGTCTCTACACATGGGCAGGCAGGAGTATCAGGGTGACTAGCAAAAGACTTGCAGGGGGTTCGACGGTATTGGCTTTTGGTTTTTTCCATTCTTGAGCGCTCTGGTATTTCCACATAGCAGTATTATCTAGCGAAGCATGAGAAATCATTCATCAGAACCACGACAGAGATTTGTAGGGCTGCGGCAAGTTTGCATGACGAAACCACAAGCGAATTGTCATGAGAGTCAAGATAATATCCAAACTCTTCTCAGCGGCCATTGAGTGGTTCTACACATCTCGTGCTCCGAGAAGCAAATGCTAGCTCGAAGAAGTAAGTGCCGCTTTCTGCGTCATGTGATTCATGAAGGTTCGGATGGGAGTTTCCCTCGAATAATTCTTCTCGGATGCTAGAGAGAATATTGGACCGTCTGACTCTCCTCCAGGTTTATAATCACTTGCTAGGATGTCTTCCTACGAATTCAGTGCCCGTCAAGCATCGCAGATCTGCGCTGTGGTTTGATGAAGAAGCTGTCGAGATGCGTGCATAAATCTCTGTGAGGGCCTATCTGGTGGATAAATTTGGATGGGGGAGCAGGCTCTTAGTGTAGACGACGCGAGACACAGTATACGGCCTTGTTCAGAATAGAAGCACAATGCTGGACAACGATATATTGGTGCTCGACTTCGTGATAGAGTCGCTGTCTCCGATAGAGCAAGTAATTCAGGGTCCAAAGATTTCCTCACTTTAATTCTCTACCAAGATTATTAAGAGTCCACATATATCGCGATCCCCGTGACACAATTATTCCTGCGAGCGACACAAAGCGGATGCATTCTGAAAGTCCGTTCAAACAAACATCAAACTCACTCTGCGCAGGGATTTTCGTTTGCTCATTCCACTTTCACAAGCTAGCGTTGCCCCCCGGAGAGCTTGCGGTGTTCAGCCGCCATCCGCGTTTTTGAGCCCGCCGTCAACAACATCTTTCTGACGAGAAAACTCTGATAACAATTCAACTCAACCAGAAATTTTTGTTAACAGAATAATCGTCCGTCAACACAGTCATGGATGCCTCAGCACTACAGAACTCGCGCCGCCGTGCCAATCCTTCAAAAAAGCCTAGAGGAAACCCTAACAAGCGTCCTAAGACCAACGAGCCCAAGGATCCTAGAGAGCCTAGAGAGCAGACTCAGAACGGAGCACAGAACGGAGCACAGAACGGAGCACAGAACGGCGCACAGAATGGGGCCCGTAATGGAGCAAAGACCGCTGTTCCTCTTGCGCCTGTGGCACCGCTATCCATCCCGGTCCCCACTGATTCCATGAAGTTCACAGATCTCAAGAATCTGCTTGACCCTCTCCTTCTCAGAACTATAGCAGAAGATATGGGCTTCCTCAACATGATGCCTGTCCAGGAGGCCACTCTTCATGAGCTGCTGGAGAAGCGTATTGATTGTCTGGCTCAAGCCAAGACCGGAACTGGAAAGACTGTCGCCTTTCTCCTTCCCGCTATCCAGACCTTGATCAACAAGAAAAGGTCTCGCGGATCTGGAATCTCTCTTTTGGTTATCTCTCCCACCCGCGAATTGGCCATGCAGATTGCACAGGAAGCGTCAAACTTGCTCCAGCGTCTTCCCCAGTTCAAGGTTTGCGTTGCCATCGGTGGCACCAACAAGGACAAGGAGGAGCGCGACATTCTTAGAGGAGATGGCTGCGACATTCTCATTGCCACGCCTGGTCGTCTTTATGATCATCTCGGAAACCAGCAAATCATCCAGTCCTTCCGCGAGCTTGACACATTGGTTCTGGACGAGGCTGACAGATTGTTGGATATGGGTTTCATGGAGGACCTTAAGAAAATCATCAGATGTCTTCCTGACAAGGAGCAGTCGAGGCGCCAGGGAATGCTCTTCTCGGCCACTATCGCACCTCACGTCCAGCAGTTCGCTCATCTTGTTCTTGCATCTGGTTACAAGTTCATCTCCACCATTCCCGTCGGCGAAGCTCAAACTCACGAGCGCGTACCACAACTTCTTGTGACTGTCGAGTCTTGGGGCCAGGTTGTCCCCGCCATGGTGGCATCTATCCAGTCAGAGTGCAAGCTCATCGGTATTGCCGAGTTCAAGGCCATCGTTTTCGCGCCCACCGCAGCCCTCGCCGACTTTTACAACGACGTCCTCTCAAACATTTCCGGTCTACCCCGCTCAAATGTTCTCCACGCCAGAGTCAGCCAGTCGCGCCGTACAAAGGTGACCAACGACTTCCGAGAGGCCAGCAGCGCTATTCTGGTCGCTACTGACGTCGTCGCTCGTGGTCTCGACTTCCCTGGTGTCTCGAACGTCTTCCAAATCGGTCTCCCTGCAGACAAGGAGTCCTACATCCATCGTCTGGGTCGTACAGCACGTGCAGGCAAGGAAGGCAGATCCATCTTTATTGTCACTGTGCCCGAGGCTTTCTTCCCCCGCTACACCCTCAAAGCCATCACATTCGAGGTTTCAACCCCTAACTTTGCACCTGTCACACCTCAGGTCGAAGCCATCGTCAACAAGTACGAGGCCAAGGGCAAGACCTACCAAGCATGGTTAGGCTTCTACAAGGCTCACGCTAGAGCCATGAAGTGGAACGACGACCAGCTGGTCGCCGAGGCCAACAAGTTCGCCATCGAGGCTCTGGGCTGTGATGAGATTCCTGGTCTGGAGAGAAAGACGGTTGGAAAGATGGGCTTGAAGGGCGCAAGAGGTCTGAACATTGTGGCCAACTTGCCACAAAAGTCGAGCGGAGGTCGCGGCGGCGGTCGTGGCGGTCGTGGTGGCAGAGCTCCCGGTGGCAGGTAAAGCGGGATGGCTTCGGTTACAGGAACGCGTCACTAGTCATTTGAGTCGAATAGGACGGGATGGCACATGAGACGCGGGCACACAATGGTTTCCTTCGGCGAACACAGAGCTGTTTTCAATTAGATGATACCCCAAAAGCATTAGAAGGAGGTCTAGACGAAGCGCAAATAGACGGTATTGCATTGTTTCTCATGCACATGAATGAATCATGCTCAGTGTTGATGACAGTGAGTTGAATAACTGCATACAGCACAGCGTCTCATAGTCGTGGCTTGCTACGTCCGTAAGATGGTGGGCGGCACATATAGCAAGAGTCTTGAGCATCAAATTTGGCAAGTCTAAGCTCAGCAAGTTTAATGTGTAAATGCCGAGCGCATGCCCCCCATATCCCGAGGCGAGCAACGGCACGTAAGACCCGGGGATCAGAAATAGTTGAAGTATTGAGTTGATAAAGAGTAGTCCGGCCTCTAAGCATAATCTACGAGTGTGGAGCCTTGATTAAACGAAACAAGCAGGTACAGGCTAAGCCCGAAGATATCAAGATCGACTGGACGTGGGACCAAGCTGCGCGTTAACGAGAATCAATAGAATGTAGTGAGTGAGCCAAATGGTTGTTGAAAGCCACATGCGTTTTCAAGGATTCTGTTCCGGAGGATCCATGCAGAAGGAGATCGACAAAGGGGGTCGCTGATAACGTCCTTCTTGAGCTAGACTGTCCAGAGCAAGAGCAGACTGTCGACGAACTTGACCGATCCTGGATTCGGTAGCCACTCGTCTTCAACTGACGAGGAATCTCAGCGAGCATCGCTGAATTACTAGTCGGTGTTGTGCCTTGAGACATTTACGCGCGTGACAGGATTTAGAACTGCCAATTTGAAACGTAAGGCACCAGTCTATCGGGTCACGGCCGTAGAGCGAGGATCGACAGAGATGGGGCTCATGAAGTCTTCCGACAAGATGATACTAGAAAGAATATGCTCGATGGAAGCGATTGTGCCTGCTCCCAGAAATGCCCGTGGTACCAACAACCCAAGCCAACGGCCAAGACTCCGACGACAAAAAGGTTCCAATATAGGAAGAGTTCAAGGGACTATGTGAAGATCATGCGCCAGCATCAATAAGTTGTTGGACAACGCCGCATCCCTCGCAATTGACAAGTCGTCGTAACGCTTCGACTGTCATGCGCAATTCTGCATTACGCTTCTCCACTTCGTCATTCTGAGCGGAGAGTTGACGCATATACTCGGCCGCATGGGCGATCACACCTGCCTTGCTCAGGGGTCGAATGCCATTGTTGTTCGCAGCACTCTGTGACGCGCCAGTCGATGCATATGTCGGGCCGATGTCTTCCATGTCAAGAGTCAGACATGGTGAGGTGGTCGATGGCACCGCTGCACGTAGTTGCTCAATTTGGGTATTCAGATTCTCGCGGTAACGTCGCTCGATTACATGATGCGGCAGTCTCTTTTCCTTTTGCGCAGGCTTGACTGCTGAAGCGTCGTCGAGCGTGTCGTGAGTGGTGTCGGTTCGGGCACGCTTCAGGCTTGGACGTGCGTCGAAGGGTGGCGAGTCGGCAGAGATGCTGATCTCGGTAGCGGGGGTGTCGTTGTGTGAAGGAGTTGTTACGTTGGTCGTGGTGTGGTCGGCTGCGGCGCTGTTGCTTAGGGTTGTGCCGGGGTTGCAGACAGTTTGACCGGCGGACCGCGCCGAACCGTTCTGCGGCAGGTTGCGAGGGCACAGTGGTGAGTTCCAGCAGTCGAAAGGCAGGCCTGCAGGACGCTGCGATGCTCGCTGCCTTCCCGTCTCACAGATGCTGAGGCCGGCCTCGCTTGCTTGTTGCTGCCATGGCGGCTTGGATGTTGTTGTGAAGTCCGATTCGTCGTGCTGGTGCTCGGCCCGTGATGCCATAGCGACGCTGTCGAATCGCTTGCGGTCCAGAGCCTGGACGTCTTGTTGCTCTAGATACTGTTGTGCACACATGTCTCGTCGCTAAGGAGGGACGAGAAAGAGGAAAGGATTGATTCGAATCCGTGCACCGGCTGTCTGGGACTGGAGGGACCACGAACACGACAGCTGGGAATGGCAGAGTAACGATCGAATCTCCACAGGATTGACAGTGCTTGCGTGCGAAAGAAGAGACCCGATACGATTGATGCGACGAAGACGAAATCCACCTACCTTGGCCAGCGGGCTACCCGGGCGGTATATACGTGTGCTCGAAGCATTGCTGCTGTCAGGACTTCCGGAATGAATTCTGGGCAGACCCAGGGCGATGGAAGGCTACGACATCTTGTTGTAGGAACGGGCAGCGTGCAAGGTCCAATATCAGGTGATGGCCTGGACCAAGCAGTCAAACATCACGCCACTGCTCCCACCTTTGTACCCATGTACTCGCGCTAAGGCGTTCACTTGCTGTTCGGCAGCGATCGACTCCGAATACTCCCTCCTCGGCCAATCACGGAGTACTATCGCGCTGCCTCGATAGGCGACGACAGGCAAAATTGCGACAGAAAAAACAACTCACTAGGGCTCGGGCTAAACAGCCTCCCAGCCTTACGAGAAAGGACCGACGGGCTCGCAGTCATCCTCTTCACTCGAGTCGTGACACGGTGCATCGGATTGCGCAAATCCTGCCCTGTTGCGGCTTCGACTGCCGTTGCTCGATGCTCTCAAAACTCGCTCCCCCACCCGCCTTCACCTAGATAATTATATACAACTACTCTGTGCTGCTGCAGACCCCCGCTTGGTTATCTGTATCCAATTTTCTCCCGTGCTGCAACTAGGTTCGTACGTCGGTGTGACCTGCGTCAGAACGTGCCTGGACCTCTTTGTTTCGTCCACCCCTCTGTCACCTGTCCTGCCCCTTTCGAACTATCACCAGATCAATCACCAGACCTCGAGACCATTATGCCCTGGCGAAACCCGGACGCTTACGGCTCGCAACAATACGCCGCCTTCGCTGACCCGAACGGCTTCAATTTTACATACGATGTCGGCTCAGACAGTTTCATGAGCCCGTATGCGTTTCCTCATATGTCGCCCGAATCCGCATGTCAGTATACACCCCTCGCAGTGCTATCTCTTGAATTCTACATCCGTCTATCATGGACCTCTTGTTATCGTCTCCGAGTACATCGCAATACTCATACAGCCTCCCAGGGACGCCAGCCTCGCAGCAGTTTGCTACGTCGAATCAATCAGATTCGTTGTCTCCACTCGAGATTAACAACTTCACATCTCCCATTCAAGACCAAGACCTACAATATGCGCCATCCGCGAATGCCTCTTTGCAATCTGATGAGAATCCTCACGCTGCTTTCACTTCTATCCGCCACCCTTACTCAAATCAACAGAAGCCATCGGCACAAATGGCCAATTACAACAACCCGTCTCTCGGTCATAAGCGCGACGCTTCGTTCCTGGAACCTGAATCACCTCAAAACTTGAACGAGAAGACCAGTGATTCACAGAAGCGCTTGTCTGTCTCCTCAACGTCTCCTCCAGCCGGACCCGTAAAATCACGGCGAAGCTCAAGTGACGAAGACAATACTCAGATATCTGACACCGCTGCCTCTCGTGTCCGTACAACAGACTCTGCCAAGGTCCGGCACAATATTGTGGAACGACGATACCGCGAGAATATCAACGCACAGGTTGACGTGCTACGTGACAGCATCGTTGCGACTGTCCACTCGAAAGAAGAGCAGCAAGGTGGCTCGGCGTCTCGTCTAGGAGCCGACGAGCTCAAACGACTCACCAAAGCTGCTGTCATCGCAGCGGCCACTAAGCAAATCAGGCGCGCAAGGACTGAGAACGAGCGTCTTTTGGACGAGCATCGATCCTTGCAGGCCCAGATCCGAGAGCTCGAGGGTTTGGTGAAGTGTGGAGACTGTCCGCTTATGAAGCTGACAGTCGATCTGAGTTTGGATAGTCCTTCCCAGCCCCCTTGAGCTACGTGCACGATGTCTTCATCGTGATTTGGTCTTTTACCGACCGGTACCCCCATCTACACCGGTAAGGCTGTCGCCTTCTACGAGCACCTCGAGCTTGTACGTCTCAAACTGGATGTCACTGGCGAAGAATGGCCAGACAGCTTTGTTGACAGCCTCTGAGTCTTGGACTCTGCGGAGTCGCTGGATCGATGTCGAGTTTGTTCGTGATCAGCGTCGGTTGGCCATCTTGTCAATCATGGTTGGCAAGGTCCCCTCGGGTTCTCGAATGGAATGGAACATAACGTGTAATGAGGAAGTCCAAGTGAACAGTACCGAGGTCTGGTCCTGTATGTAAAGAATGGTGGAAACGACCAAGCAAGGACAGCGAGATCAGTCTGCTGAGCGTGATCAAAGAGAGAAGACTGCCTCGAATAGGTGCAGGCACTCTTATATATGTCACGATGGAGCAGAAACCATCGAATCAAACCCGGTCCTCTGCACTGTTCCTTCCACTTGACTATCAGTTGCATGCTACTACACGTGTCCCAGCGCCCACCCCAGATGACGTCTCGCATCACCTGTCATCACCCCACGATGCGCGGTAGGAGCCCGTTGCGGTGAGATCTATCGCGAGATCTAGCCAACCACATTACAAGAACAGATTCCGCTCGCTCTTGATCTCGCCCTTCCCCAGCCTATTCCGTAACATGATGTGGTACACGCGTGGTCTTGTCCCATTAGCAGCTCGCCGATGTCGGACGACTGATAGGCAGGCAGCGGGTGATGACCAGACCCTATCATTTCTCACTAACGACGGATGTGCCTTGAGTGCGAGACTGGAGAATTAGTTCTGCCAACACAGAAAGATGAAATTCGTGGTTTGATATCATCAGATTCGATCGAGATAGATCTCGACGATAGTTACAAACATCTCCGTTCATAGGATTTGAAAATTACCGCTTCATTCGGTAGCGTTAATGAAATCATCTGCGTGGAATATAGTAGTAAGGATATGCGAGACCCTGGGAACGAGAAGCAGTCTTTGACATGTATATACGTACCCGTTGACCGGTTCCAGCCGAACTGACAGAGTGTTTATGGGTGTTTTCGTAACAGCTAAGGTCATACGATCCACTCCATTTTGGAGAACACCCACTCGAACATCATTGTACGTTAGGCTAGCGTTCTTGAGGTGTTGACGAAGCATCGTGGCTCATGCATCTTCACTTTGATAGTGAGTTATTGTTGTCAACGTTGTGTTGATTTAGCCAAACCATTTCGAGGAATCTCGCACATGCGGCTTCCTATTCATCACTCTCGCAACGCTCACCGGTTTTGTGCTTGGTGAACTGGTCATGCGAGAATGGTCTCTTCTGGAATGGAAGCACAGTGCTGTTGTGCTTGTCAGAAGTCCGTCTGATAGGTCTTACGCATATGTCTTGTATACATGTCGGCAACTCTCATCCGCGGGCTTCGAAGCTAGTAGACGAAAGTGTCAGTCCCAACGATCAGATCATAAGAACGTTTCGTGTATCCTGTCTCGTGGCAGCATTCCGAGAAGTACACTGTAAATAGAGTGTGTTCTTCGGTGCTATGCAATGATGACAGGGCCATACACGGTCATAGAGTCCGACCAGAAAGGATAATTCTGCTTCGCATGTACTTGGGCGGTGTCAAACATGGTGCATCTCTAACATGAGATGCAGTCCGCCTGCAGCTCCCTCAATGTGCGAACGTGAGAGACATGATACACCTAAAGTTGGTAGCCAAGTTGTTGCCAGGGAATGATCGGCTGATATTGGGACCGAGTAGCGCAATCTTCGGATGATACTCCGAAGTCATTATCGACTGCACGTATGATCTCGCTTGTGAACTCGTGGTGTCGTTGTGTGTTTGAAACCTGGCCGTTGACCGCGAATTGACATAGCATTCTTTGTCTCGCTAAATTTGGCTGCACCGTTTGCTCGAGTAAAAAAATGCGCCCTTGCTTGATCTATATCGGAAGACACCGTTCTATTTCATATGGCTCAGTGTGCGGTACCTCTGGAAAGTCATGAACCTGGTATCAGGCGTCAGCCAACAGTTCAGCCCACCAGTCGCGAGTCGCGTCGCAGCATCCTCCAGATACGCAATTTGAACGTGCTCGGCGACGAAGCTGTGTCGTGTTGTGATGTGTAGACCATAGCATGCGATACTGCATGGGTCTACTTCCATCAGCCCTATCACTGTGTGTCCCTTGTACATGCTCTGACATGCAGGTCAAGAGCACATCTTTGGCCAAAATCGTCATTTGGTCCAAACGAAAGGAAGCAGCGTCAGCCCTACGAACAGGGGGGAATGTTGGTATGGATAGAACGCGTGAGTCTACACACTAGTACTCGAGAGCAGCCATTGGTCTGCTCGTTCCTGCCAGAGGCAGAGACATTTCTTCGTACCAGTGGTTCCGGTGTGCAGCGCCGCGGTCAAGAGCGGCAGATGTGCTTGAACGGTGACTGCGAAAGGCGAAGGACAAGGATGGGTTCGTGAACGATCTACGCCAAATCAGGTAATTGGTCGATGGTGGTCGTGAGAGACGCATCACTTGGTCTCACAGAGAACAAGCTGCGAGCGAGCGACCATGCCCCGCGCGAGCCAGCCAGCCTCCTTCCTTGCTCCCAATCCTTTCCCCTCCTTCTGCCACTTTATTTCTAATCCGGCCCCCAGTCTGCCAGCGGTGAACTCCAGAGCCAATCCCTGCATCAGCATCGCCCGAAGGCACGAGCAGCGCAGGGGAGCTCGCATCGCCTCGATTCTGAACTCCTTCGTGGAGCAGCGTAGGTAGGCACTGCCCAAGACGGCCATAATGGCCTTTGAGCTCTTACATCCAGAATTTGGATTTGCTGCATGACCCTACGTGGCACGCTTCGTACACTGTCCGCTGTTGACGCACGCTTTTGGTTACAGGGCCCTTCGATGGCATCCTGACATGCCGGCCTTTCCTGGTAACCACACCGCACTCCCACCATTCAGCCCTACAGCTTTGTGTGGGAGAAGCCGCAGGTTGCTGCTAATAATGGGCGGAGTTGGCGACTTGGTTCGGTGTCACTGTCGACCCACCTGCATGGCTCCTGGTGTGCCATTTGCGGAACGCCTTGGAATGCCGCTGCAGCTTTCACATGGCACTTGCGCTAGGCTGGCCAGGGTGCGCATCCTCTTGAGCTTGTCTGTATCCAGGCAGAGAGCTGTAACCACAACAGGCCTACTATATCAGAGCCACATCCCTCAAGGCTGGAGTATGCAGATCCTCAAACCCAACTCGATTGTACAAAGTCCGTCTCCCGGACTCCCATCTTTCCATCTTCTCTCTCCATCATACCAACGCTGCATCCCGCTCAAGACACAAACATCATGAACAGACGCTCAGACTATTCATGCTCATGTTCCCCACCTTCCTCGCACAAGCACCATGCCTCATCACATCCGACGAGCAGCGCATTCAGCGCCAGCGCAAATCCAGACGAGGATTGGACCAAGATCACAGATCTTGCTGAACGTCGGCGAATCCAGAACCGGATTGCCCAAAGAAACTACAGTATGCATGGTACTTACCTGTGCAGAGAATGTCACTGACAAAGTCTCAAGGGAAGAAGCTGAAGAAGCGTCTTGAAGATCTGGAGCGCCGGGCTGCCTCGAGCTCGGCTTCCCCATCGCCCGAAGTCAAATACGTGGACCTCGATCTCACCAACATGTCTGGCTTCAAGGGATCTCCACACATCTCTCATATCCAAGAAAGTAATAACGTCGATGGCCGTGGTTATACCTCAAACGGCTACGACTATCCTTACTCGCAAGCGCCGGATGACAAGAGGATGTTCTCGTACCAACACACCCGCCAGCTCTCCACATCTCCTCCGCCGTTGTTCAGCTATCAAGCCTACCCGTCTATCGAGCAGGGTCAATTCGCCGCATCTATGTCCAATTACATGTCTTACCCTCTCGCCGCCACATCATCATGCATGGTACCCTCCTCAACGATGGCTTACCAAACAAGTATGCCGGTCACTATCAAGCCAGAGGTGTACGAAGAAGACGACATGAACCCGTTCAGCTTGAGCTATGCTTCGATGGCTGGTGTAGACGTGAGTAGCCAATTCAGCTATCAGACTCCCGCCATCCACGTAAGTTAACACATTCCCATCATGGCAAGCATTGGACTGACACCTTCAGCCAGACCCCGGCACTGTCAGATAGCTTCGAGCATTCGAAAACCAGCTCACCAGCTTATGATTACATCACTTTCCCACGCACGCCCCTCTCACTGCCCATGACACCGTCTCTGCGGGTTCGAGAGGGTACCAGATGAAGGCATGATTTGCCATTTATGAAATTACGATCAAAGAATCTTTTAGTGCGACGCGATGCTTAGGAGTTCAAGGAAACATTACGACGGCGCAGAATAACTGAACTTACAAGGGTATACCACACTGTCGCTTGCTAGGGCCGATGCTCTGAGGTGTTGGGACAGACGGATCACGGCGCATTCAATCGGAACAAACTCACCTTTGTTTTCATCGGACATCTTTGAAAGAGTCCAATTTGTTATCTATCTCCATAAATGTACAATCCTTTTCTGTCTACCATGGTGATACCACTTTGATATTCGAGCGGCATGCTGGCGAGGCCGCAGCTTCCCCCACCTCAAATCCGTGCTTAACCTTCACCCGATTGTCGGGAGGATGCGTAGGATGCGTGACCGGTTCGGTGTGACCGGAGGAGACACCGAGGGCTCGATGGCGAGTACTTATAGGTACGTACAGAGCTACAACAGCCTGAGTAGGCAATAGGACAAAGACAAAGTGGGGTGTGCGCAAGCCACGAGGGGGGTCTTGATCGCCAAGCAAGGCTCGAAGTAACCAACTACAGCTCGCGCAACCAACGCCAGGACATGTCTACTTTCTACCTACCAGATATCCAGCCCTCAGCTATAAATACCGTAATGGACAAAGAAAAGGACCAGACTTTGTTCGGAGGCAGTCGGTTGGTAATGATGCATACTTTTGAGTCTGCGGGAAGCTGAGAAGTCTACGCCCTACAGCTCATGGAGAGCCGAAGACTGGACGGCAAGCGACGATCGCGTGCGTGGTGGGCAATCACAAGTATGATGACTAGCCGCATATGCGCTTTCGAGCTTCCAGGCATGCTAAAACCGTGTCGCGCAGTCTTTCCTCGAATGTCACAGCAGCACAGGGCGATTTCACGGCAACCTCGACATCAAAACCCTAGGTGGCGCTGGATTTGCAAGCCAACGAACCACGGGCGAGGATGGATGCTGGGACTTGTCTGGATATGCAGGAATCGTGCTCGACATTGCAGAAGCGGACGGTAAGTCTCCTATCTCCCCAACTCATGCCACTGAAAACGCCGGTACAGGAGTCCTTGCTCAAACCTGATAACTTGCAGATAAACGATACACGTTCATCCTCAAGGACGAACTGCTTCCCCGCAATCCAGACAATGGACGTGAACAAGCCACTATTTCCTGGGAGTACGACTTCAAGCCTTGTTTCGGGGAGAGCGGTCTTGAGAAAGGCGGCCTTGTATTCATTCCATGGTCTGGCCTGAAGCCAACCTATCGCGGCAAAGAAAAGGAGCATATGGATCCCATCAATCTAAGGACCATCAAGAGGATTAGCGTTATGATGAGAAGGTAAGTCGAATCCTATGCGATCTCTGTGATTCCCGTATGTTTATATTAGGCTGCAGCTTCTTTGGCGAGCAAGAGGGACCATTTTCTCTGACCTTGCGTTCCATATCTGCTACTGCAACCTCACCGGTCGAGCCCAGCAGAACCGAACAAGGTTACGCGACCTCCGCAGCAAGCAGCACTAGTCGATGGACACGCTATACCCAATCACTCAAGGTGAGTCCATGCAAACGAGACGTGTCTGTCGAGTGGTGGTTAACTCCCGCAGCTTGCATTATCGCCGTGGCGCATCTGCGGACTCGCTTTGCTCGCGAGCGCACTTTACTACCTACAAGGGAGCATTTCGCGAGCAGCCTGATTGTGAATCCGAGAGTCTCGGAGACGAAGCAACAAAGGGTCGCACTGAGCGGTGAATGGTCCTAATGTCTAATCACAGTTGCACAAATAGGTGCGCGTGGCCTGCTCGTACAGAGTCACCTTGATTCTGTGAAAAAGTATGGAGTGTAGTGCAAGATATAGGCCTGTATGCATTCTACCAACTCCGTGGATCGAACACGAGTGAAGACGCCACGTGGTTTGTATAACGACCTCTCGAAATGCTGCATTCTCGGATCATACACACTGATCTAATTAAATCCACTGCTTGAGAAATTTAGATATACGCGGCAGTTGTGTTGCTCCACATAAGCAACCTGTGCTTCGTGATTCGGCGACGCCGAGAGAGAAAAAGATATGAGGCACCCCGGTTGCTCGCGAGTTTCTGTCGAAATAGTTGCAGCTGCGATTTTCAAAGGCACGACTGGGCCGATGACTGTGGCGAGATGAAACCGACCAAGAGTTGCACAACTTCTTTGACATGATCACGGCGACCCATAGTCCCGGTCCCAAGGACAATCGGCGGTCGGCGGTCGGCACCCGTTCAGGGCCGTCTCGCATCGACCGGTGGTCAAAGGGCCGATGAGTTGGAGGTTCGTTAAGCGAAAATCGCGAGTCAATTGAGAAACAAGATCCATCGACAGAGCAAAGTTTCAAGAGTCGATGGTCGATACGAGATTCCTCTTTCATTTAAGATTAGGGGACGTAGACCTTTTCGGCCTTGCTAGAAGCCTCATGGAACAACTGATCACTGACTGTGTGCTGGCTGTCGAGCGTAGAGAATATGTCAAGATGCAGAGATGATCACGAGAGCTAGATTTTCTCGATTTATAATCCGGATACGAAGATGTCGCGCAAGGTATCTGACGGCCTGACCCCTCAGCGAATATCTAAAGGCAAATTGTATGCTCGTTCCGTCCACGACGTTTGAGAAATGCTTGTTGAAGGAGCATGGCGCTCGGGTGCCTCGGCAGCCTTTATCGGACGAGGCGTTCTGGGTACCGCGCTCCCGGAATTTAAAAGAAGCGAGAGCATTTACATAAGCAAGCGCAATGCTGCATAATCATATCATACTGGCTAATCCTTGCTCTTTTCAGACGTATGCGCTTTCATAAAGATTCTGTGCATCGTAAACATCCAATCGGATTGCTTGTTGATCGCTGAAGTGCTGCACAAGCCAAGTCGGGAATCTCGGTATCCGTTTGACGCCTCGCATGGAATAATGAAGTCTATGACCAGACAGCGTTTGCCATGTTGTCATCGCAACACCTTTGGTCCTTCTCTTCATATTAAAGACACTCCCCTCTGTGTTACCGCTGCCAACGCTAGAATTTTTCGACGTTTTTCACGACTCGTATACTGGCATCTGGACTCTAGCTCTGGCTACCCGAATATCTGGCCTATCTCGGATAAACAATCTGTACCTCAGACTCTGTACACAACACGCCGCCTGGTATGGAGAAGTCTAAGGATGTAGAGGCTGGCAAGGGACCCAAGTCTATTCCCCATTGGCGCTTGGTATGGGACCAAGGACTTGTTACCGACGAGGTTATGAACTGGAAATATGAAGGATCCGGGACTGATGAAGACCCGTATGTGGTCAACTGGATTACGAACGATCCTCGCAATCCGATGCTATTCTCGAAGTTCAAGAAGTGGGGACTCACAATGCTTGTCGCCATCGCAACCCTGGCGGTTGCTTTCGTATCTTCTGCCTACTCTGGTGGTCTCAGACAAATCTTGGTAGAATTCGGTTCTTCGCAGGAAGTCGGCATCCTGGGTGTTTCTCTCTTCGTCCTGGGTTTCGCTATTGGCCCGTAAGTTGAGACTCTGGCCCAAAGAAAATAGTTCTGACATCTAACATCTAATAGTCTCCTTTGGGCTCCGCTTTCTGAATTGGTAAGTTAGATCGGTTCACAGCATGTGTTGGTGATCTTGTAACAGCTGGAATGCTGTAATGGAAGTCTAGCCATGCTAACCTGCGATCCATGTAGTTTGGTCGTCAAGTCCTTTTTGTTACCACTTATGGAGGTCTTACTGCTTTCAACGCTGGAGCCGCCGGAGCCAATTCCATGGGAACTCTCATTGTTCTTCGATTCTTTGCTGGTGCCATTGGCTCGTCTCCCCTCACCAACGCCGGTGGCGTCATTGCCGACATGTTTTCAGCTCAAGAGAGAGGTCTGGCTATGACTCTTTTCGCAGCCGCCCCTTTCATGGTAAGTCTTACTCTAATAATCGACAAAATCAGAGTAGTGCTAACCTCCTACAAGGGACCCGTTCTCGGGCCAATCGTTGGTGGCTTTGTTGGTGAGACTGTCGGCTGGAGATGGGTTGAAGGTGTCATGGCAATCTTGTAAGTGTTGAGATCGAAAGGAAGCAACTTCAACGTCTTTTACTGACTCTGGCCTGATAGCACTGGTGTGCTCTGGATCGTTGGCTCGCTTCTCATCCCTGAGACCTACCCTCCTGTTCTCCTCCGCAAGCGTGCTGCAAAGATGTCAAAGATGACAGGCAAGGTCTACCGCAGCAAGGGTGATGTTGATCAAGGTCCTACAACCTTCGGCAAGGTCTTCTCCACTTCTCTCCTACGTCCCTGGGTCCTGCTCTTCCGCGAACCTATCGTGTTCCTCCTCTCGATCTACATGGCCATTATCTACGGAACTCTCTACATGCTGTTTGCTGCTTTCCCCATTGTTTATCAACAGGGACGCGGTTGGAGTCAAGGTATCGGTGGTCTGGCTTTCCTCGGTGTCGCTGTTGGTATGCTCATGGCTGTGACTTACTCCATTTGGGACAACAAACGCTATGTCAAGATCTCCAACGAGCACAAGGGATTCGCACCTCCTGAGGCTCGTCTCCCCCCCTGCATCATCGGAGGTATCTGCTTGCCCATCGGACTCTTCTGGTTTGCCTGGACAAACTCGCCATCCATTCACTTCATGGCATCAATCGCTGCTGGTGTACCTTTCGGCTTTGGAATGGTCCTGGTCTTCCTGTAAGTCTACCATACCATCTACGTCGTTAAAGCAATGCTAACTATAGTAAAAGCGGGATCATGAATTATCTCATTGACTCTTATACTATCTTTGCTGCATCAGTACTCGCGGCCAACTCGGTCCTACGTTCGCTTTTTGGTGCCGCCTTCCCTCTCTTTACCGGATACATGTACAACAACCTTGGCATTCACTGGGCATCGACCATTCCAGCCTTCCTCGCTCTCCTGTGTGTGCCAATGCCATTCCTGTTTTACAAATTCGGACCCAGGATTCGCGAGAAGTGCAAGTTCGCCAAGCAGTCCATGGAGTTCATGCAGAACATGCAAAAGCAGATGGCAGGAGGCGAGAGCAAAGAGGACGAGGAGAAGGAAGAGCAAGAAGCGTTCGACTACTCATACGAAGAGGAATCGCATGGCGATCCCGAGACTCCCAAATTTGAGGAGATCAAGACTGGAAATGACACCCAAGGCATGGGTGGCGCCAGGCTGTCTCGTACTTCTACTTACGAGCACTCGCCCTACGACATTGACCGTGTGAACACACGCGAGTCGTTCACAGCGAGCAGATCTCGAGCATCAAGCATCCGTCGCGGTGCTTGATCAATGTCGACCGCTTGAGAGTATTCCTCTTGTCTGGACTGGAAGTACCTGCATAGATTTCATTCCTTGTTAGCGAGGCGTACTGGGATATCAAAAAAGTTGGGTGTCTATTCAAAAGCATCACATTGTTCAGGAAGAGGACTCGCGACGATACCACATTTAGAATTTTAACTACCTTAATTCCTTACTTTCTACTTATTACCCGGTTACAATATTTGCATTGAGGAAGCCTTTCCGCATATCTCTCACATCCTTGCCTTGTCTCAAATTCGTGGTCCCCTGAACACCTTTCGATAATTTGAACAGAGCAACTGCGAGCTGTGGCAAGGCGGAGGATCACTTTGTATCAACAAGACTGACCGAGCAGGCGATGGAAAGTCATGTTTGCAAGCTCAGAAAGTATCATGCCTTGTGGCGATCATCACACGACGGAGGATAGCATAGCATGAAGATGATCAATTGGCTAAGCTATTCATGCCAGAGCCTGGATTAGAAAGTTGATGAGATTTTGGGGCTTTTATGCAAAATGAATAGATAAAATAAAAGGGTCCCACAAGGCGACACAGCGAGATTGCTCCTGACAGACATCACATCACGAACGCGTAAAATGACAAGCTATCTCGCGCCGATAATGGCAGGCGAACCCCAGCGGTCGATTGAGATGATTCAACAAGAAAAAAAATCGGTGTTACGTCCGCTACTCGAGTACAAGAATAGGGCATGACTCGTCAGTATGAGCGGCTGTTATCGGCAGCAGATTTTCTGATAGCGTTTCGGGATTAAGCTCTTGGTGATCGGATAGATGCCACGCTAACAGGCCCGGTGTCACAGAGTCATCTCAACAGATTTGGAGCAGAAGTTGATAGACGTGTTTGCGGAGGTGGGGAGAGATCTGTCGGAGAGACAGCAGATGATCGGAGAGTGGTCAATCCAGAGTGGGTGAGAAGCTGGAGAAACAGCATGGCAGCCATCAATGTTTCTTTTTGGAGGCCTTCTCAAAAGAAGGAGCATGAAGCCGAAACGATCTTGAGCCAAGGGCCAAGGCGCGGAACGGACCCTGAATGACGCAGAGGCGGCCGGCAAGGGATGGGAATTTGCATGACGACAAGTCAACAAAAAATTGTTCCCCAAGGAGAAGAATCGGATGTAGGATGAGGTAGGTGATTGGTAGATTGGCGTCAGGGTTTCGTGGCAGGTTTCATATGAATAAGAGCGCCAGTCTCTTCCCCATTGTATTCCTCCAGCTAGAGTAAAGACATATCGAAAGAGAAGAAACACAAACATGGCCTTGACACTCCCGTTGGAACTGCAACAGCAGATATTCTCGTACCTGGATCCGTGGTCTTTCTACGCGTCGCGCAACGTGTGCCGATACTGGAAGTATGCGTCCAGAGACGCCGTCACACTCGCCAAGCAGCTGGGACAATTGCCCATCGAGCCAACGACATGGGCCAAGAAGGCGGATTCCAAGCGAAGAGAATCGGTGTACGACGAGGCGGCGAGAGCGTTGATGCTAGGCATGCGCGTCAAGGCTTCCAGCTCATCAGACAGCAGCCTTTCCAGCAGGCTGGACAAGAGCAAGCTCGCGCGGTCAAAGGACGGCAAGCGCGCAGTCTCCCTACACGATCGCACCATTACACACTACGACATGAGTAGCTCGGAGCCCTCGATCATCTCTACTCGCCCCATCAACGATCTGCGCACCGCTATTGGAGGAGGCCCATGGTTCAAGTGCTCACCGACGTCCATGTACGAGCTGGCTCTCTCTTCCGACGGGCGCATGCTGGCCATCGCCCTCGAACGCACCATCCAGATCTACGACCTCTCCACAGCCGCCGATTCTTGGCCTGTAGCCTCATACATCACGTCAGCCACCGGGCACTACATTGCGGCTCTCGACTTCGAACACAACGACAGCTTGCTACGCGTGCAGCTGAGCAACAAGGGCGTTGTTGTCTACCTTGGCTCGCCTCAGGAGGGCAAGCCGGGCTTGGAACACTGGCAAGACAAGGGTGGCCTGAAGCACGCCTTCCTCGACGCCAGCAAGCTCGCCCTGCCGCAATCAGAAGCCACCGACAGCGCTCCTGCTGTATCACAACGTCTGGCCGGCGTCCAGCTCTTGCGTCCCTTTGCGCATGGCTGGCTTGTCGCTGCCCAGAAGCATGCGACAAACGTCCAGTCTGGCTCATACTGCTTGGCCCATGTTCCCTTCGCTCACATCCACGGACACGTCCTGACCGCTGAGCGCGCTGTCACCATTCTTGAGCATCTCCCTGTTCATCTCTCCGACCACATTCAGCACCTCTGGCACGACCTGCCTGCCGCCCACGTTAACCATCCTCGTTTCGCCCTCTCGCCCAACAACTCTCTGCTCGCCATGTCAGAAAACGACTCCTCAAACACCGCATCCCCCCACTCGAACCGCGTCTTCCTCTACCGACTGCCATCCGCCGAGAAGATGATGCACTCTCTCAAGCCACAACACCCCCTGCTCAAGAGCTTCGAGTCGGAACAAGACTTCAAATACCAAATCAAGCGCCTCCCCGCTAGCCTCGGCTCCATTTCTGGCAAACTCCTCGACTTTACCTTGGAGTCCGTCCATGACGGCGCTGCCTCACCCCTTGCAGTCACTGCAGTCACCGATACTGCCGCCATGAGCTGGACCTTGCTGGACAACTAAACTTTTCATGGACGCTCTCTACATTCTTCGACTTGCAGCCTCATTTTACACACTCGACTCTTTCACGACACATTACACTTTATATCATAGCATTAGACGCATTATAGACGGATCCGATAGACGGCATAGATGGAGTTATAGATACCCAATACACTGTATACATACATACATTATCACTCAAAGACTTTCGACATGCTCATCTCACGTACTGGACCAGAAAGGTAACTTACACAGACTGAAGGTGGCATTAGAGATAGACTCTCGCGCATATATATATATATATATATATCATAGCATGTACTTAGGAAATGGTCGTGATAATACCGCAGCACAGCTAGTGCATAAACTTCTTCTTCCATCCGCTCAGCTTTCCACGGAACCCACTACTCTTCCGCTGCTGGACTGAAGGACGACTCTCCTGCATAGGCTGCTGTCCATTCTCCTGAGCGGCAGGAGCAGCCTCGGATGCTTGGGCTGGTTCGTCTTGTTCCTCCACTTCCTTATTAGTGGTAGCAGCAGCTGTGGCGGAAGCATGCTCGCCTCCCACAGAAATTGTGAAGAGAGTAGGTGCGCCGTCGTTGACTTTGCCAGACTGATCTGCTCCTCCTTCTGGCTGTACGTCGTCGTACGCAAAGCCATAGCCTTTGCCGTCGAGATTGTGCTTGTGGACAATGCGACAGTAGTGGTTGGTTGGGTTGGTCTTGTAGTATGTGCTTGGGTCCGAGGGCTGCTGGGTTTGAGAAATCAAAGTCGTACGGTTGAACCCAGCGGCTAGGCGAGGAATGATGGCATTGCGAGTACCATTGGGTCCAGTCGTGAATGGGCCGCTGTTGGAGCCGAAGATATCTGCAGTGTTTGGTTGTTGGAAGCTCTCTTCGCCAATTTTCAGTTGTCCGTTTGTGACTTTGCCTTCCAGCACACCGGGACCGGCTTGTGTGTCAAGGTCGAAGGTCCTGGAATCTGTACTGTAGTGTTGCCAGACTTCTTCTACGTAGGGCTCGTAGTAACCTGCAAAGTTTGCTCCAACAGCATCTCCATGAGACGGGTTGAGTACGCGGAAGTTCTTGCTGTCCTTCTCGACTATCAGTTTATCCCATGGCTTGCCATCCTCCTTTGCCTGGGCCTGCAGATCGGCGCACACCTTGTCTAGACCATCCGCTGCCATGCCAGAGACATTCTGCGTCGCACCAGCTGAATTTTCCAGAGTTATTGCGATGGGGACATTGGAAACAAAATCGACATAACTGATGTTTGCATACAGCTGAGCATCGTTTAGCGTGAATTCGCAGAAACCAAAGTTGACATTCGCGCTCGGATCGCTGGGATTGAGCACGGAGGGCTCTACCAGAGCTGGTCCTGGATTCAACAGGAAGTTGAGTTTGTCGTCAATCGAAAACCACACACGACCACCGGCAATTTGAGGCACAGTAGCCGTGACAGTGTTCCCGGGCTTGCCGAGTGGAATAGCACAGTCTTTTGCCAACGGCGATCCAATGGCTGGGGGATTTTCCGGGAAATAAAGAGTTTTGCCGTCAGCTTCTAGTAGAACCCGTCTCCCATCAGCGATATTGATGCCTGTGATGTAGGCCCAGACGTTGCTTGAGTTGCTGTCGTTGACTAGCTTGAATGGTAAAGAAGCAACCATGATGAACTGATGCAGAAATTCAATCAATGAGACTAGCTTTGAGAGAAAGCAAATCGAATGAGCAGCAACATAGAAGATACCAGACTTTCTTATATCCACTTAGTTTGTCCGATGTGTTGGCTTGAGATAATGGGCTTAGACCTCACCCAAAAGCCCCCAGAAGAAACATCACAAAGTGCTTGGGAGTGACGTCTTCATGCCAACTTTTTGCAGCCAATCTTGGCCGAGGAAGGGAAGTTTTAATCTAACCTCTCGTCCATCACTGTTCGCCATGTCTCTAGCGTATAACGCGTCTGCATGTATCAGCAGTGTTAGGACCAAGGTACATGGTCGTTGGAAGAAGGAGAGTCGCTGTGTCGCAGGCTGAGGCGCAAAGCCCGGCATTGATGTACACAGGGCTGCAGGTCATGTGGCTGCGTCAGACTACACATGTTCGTTGAGTTTTTCATTTGTATACATTTGTCACCTTGTCTTGTTTTAGGATGTCTTTGGACTATGGCATTGCTCAATCGTATGCAACATGGAGTCGCGATTGGTGAGAGCACTTCACGCGTCTGATCTGGGGGGTGTCCTTTGAATAAAAAGTACTTTGCAAGCACGTCTGCAACCCAGAACAACCGGCAGTCTCGAATGTCATTAACCTCTGCTTCCTATAACATGACGTCTTGCCTTGAAGTAGACGAATACGCCCGTCTAAACGATCGCATGTGCCACAAGCCTCATGACTTGTGTTTGAGTATCACAAGGCCTCACATATACCTGAAGCAGAATCTTGTGACTTTGAATTAAAGGGCCTGACTTGCGAACCCTAAAGTTACTGCGTCAATGATCAACTGGAATAAAGGCCTGAATGGATATGCGGTGGTGAAGATGTTCGTGGTCATGATTGATGCCTCGATAAGGCCAGGGTCGGGCAGACAGCAATGCTCAGATCTTATGTATGCTTTGAGATTTCGCTTCGTAGGTTCTATTTCAATGCTAATATGGATGGCAGATTATCGTTGACCGTACATTTGCATACTACAAGCAGCCCTGTGTACGTGGGCGTCGTTGGTGACCTTCGTTCGTGCTGTGAGAATATTTCTTGAAATCGACCAGACCCTGAAGACGCTTCGTGTTTTCCCCAAAAGTACACCACCACCAAAAACTTCCAACCATGAGCAAAACAACTGCACTCTACCTTGCGATTACGGACATTCGAAGAGCAAAAGGTGAGCTCTCCATCAGGGAATCGAACCCTGGTCTCCCGCGCTCGACGAAATTTCTCTTGACAAGCGGAAATCATGACCACTAGACCAATGAAGATGAGCCATTTGTGCTGGTATTGATATCACGTGATGAGCTGCTAAGGCATCCGGTCTGCTAGATCCACTGTCACACTGCTTGACAAGTATCTCGTTGCATCCCCATCAGACTTGATAGCTCTCGAAAGACAAGGTGCTTCTGAAGTTGCAGTACTACCCGTAATAGCAGCCGTCTCGTCAGGCATCACTCTGATGTGGAAAAGTACAGTGCATGGCGACAGAGGTAGCGGAAGTGTAGCTTGTCAAGATTCAGCCTCTTCGGGAGCCGCATGGTCCCTTGCAGCTTTGACTTGTTCATATCGAAGCCAAAACTCCTTCTTGACACTCGTCATGGCGGAAAACATACAAACGGCATCATCGCGTGGCTGGGAAACCACGACGTTGACACGGTCGCGAGATCGGATCTCGCCAAGTCTCAAACCTTATCTGCCATTTGCGATACCCGATCGGGAAAATATATTGACATCTGCTGTCGATCCAGGAACCATGACGCCCTTGATATGTTTCTTTTGAGAAATGATTTCAATGACGAGTCGCGAGATGTTCACGTTAGGCGAGCGCGTAAAGTGGTTTCTTAAGAAGAGCCGCACCCTCTTGAGCATCTGTGAGCACTCTCTATTTGTTCACCGTCCATTGATTGATTTGCTTGAATCTGAATACCCTCCCTCTACTCAACCAGACTGCACTTACAACATATCCACTTTCTACGCTTTTGTACCACCTACACATCATGTCAGCTTCTGCGGGACATAGGATGAAGAAGACCCATGTTCTTGACTTCTTTCGTGACAAGAATGATGACTCTGCATTGACTGTCTTGGCCAATGGAGTTCGTTTTCATGCCTTTGTGAACTACAAGAAGCTCAAGGCTTCTCCAGACGGAGATAACAAGGCCACAGAAGAATACACCGATCTGATACTAGCTGCGAAGGATCGCAAGCAACCGAAGGAATCTCACTCTACCTTGGACAAATCTGGTACAGACAAAGACGCTGACACAGTTTACTGTATATGTCGAGGACCGGACAGAGGCTTTATGATCGGGTGCGATAGTTGCGACGAATGGTTCCATGGCGATTGCGTTGGCGTATCGAAAGAGGAGGGAGCATCAATGGACGAATACACATGCCCCGAGTGCCGCAAGGTTACCAGGAGTCCCACTGTGGCGTCACGGGACAGTGGAGTCGTCCTAGAGGACAACGACAAGGCAGAGAGTGAGCCTGAGGAGGCACTTCAGGCTTGGATGGTCTCGCATCTGGAAGCCGAGATCGACAAACACGCACCTTCGCGGAACGAGATGCAAACCACGAACGTGTACGATTGGTATCACCCATCGACACACTTCTACTCCCTGCAGTACGACAATGGCAAATTTGCGCCAGTCGAAGTGGAGTCATCGCCCGCTCTTCGATTCAAGATGGACAATCTCCTTCCCAACGTCAATCTCCCGAAGTACGTTCTGAAGCTCGATATCCCTTGGTTACAGGCTTCGGACTTGGAAGTTGTCGAAGACTTTGGTCCTCTGCCCACACTGGTCCGTCACAACGACAATCTCTACTTCCTCAAAGTCGTCGACCCTTCTCAACCCGCGCCAACGAAACGCGAGCTAAAGATCATGAAAGATATCGAGAGGCTGGGTCTCCCCAAGGAGATTCGGGTGCCCCAAGTGCATGGGCTAGTGTCGTTTACAAACTCCAAGACTGATATGATGGGATTCTTGCAGACACACATCGAAGGCGCTGAACCGCTCACTCATCTCCTCGACTCTGACGTCCCGCAGTCCAAGCGCGATCGTTGGGCGTCCGAGTCTGAGAAGATGATCGCACTCCTACATGAGAACGACATCATCTGGGGTGATGCCAAAGCTGACAACTTCATGGTGGACAAGGACGACAAGCTTTGGATCATCGATTTTGGTGGCAGTTACACAGAGGGCTGGGTAGATGCAGAGCTGAACGAGACGGTGGAGGGAGATGACATGGGAACGAGGAAGATTGTCAATGCATTGCATGACCCAGATGCGAACACATTTGATCTTGACGATAGCACGGAGGCAGAGGACAAAGATGTCAAGCGTAAACGCTCACGAACGGTCGACGACGAGAGAGACTTCGCCGACAAGAGAACGAGAGTCGAGTGAAGGCGAGTCTAGCTTGACTGTCAGAAGTGCTTAATTCATTAATCCTGTAAAGTCCACATAGCTCCAATGAGATGTCTAGAGACGGTGGTCTGTGTTATGATGCTCGAAAGTGAGGTTGTTGGTGGAGTTGTACATGTGTCTTGGCGGCATGACGAGATGGAAAGACGAAGCGAATGTTTGGAAGGGCCAATTACTTCGACTTGCATGCTTTCATCAATCAACGCGCTGCGCCAACAACCTCACACGTCAATCGGCAGAAGATTCGACATTGACAAGATTGGCACTCCACGCGACTACAATGGCGCCCGTGACTAGAAAGTCCAGCAGCTTGGCCAGCTCTGACGCTTTCAAGCCCATACATCGCAAGGTACAAGCCAAGCCTCCCTACTTCATTCCCAGTGCGCCATCTTTGACTGACACGTCTCTCACACAGGCCTCCCAGACCAACACGAACGCCTTCGCCGATGTTGCTCGTACGAACGGCTACTCCGACTCCCAGGTGCCCGCCCTACCCTGATCGCGAGCCTCTCTCTAGTCCGAGTACTAACCCGGTCCATTCAGAACGGTGATAGCAACGCAAGCGCTCTCGTACCCACCAGCCAACTCATTGATCAGATCAACCCCTTGCGCGACATGGCAGACCGCGTTGGTCGCGAGGTAGACCATTTCGCAGAGACTCTCGACCGTTTCAACTCGAGCCTACATGGCGAGAACGCATACCAAACCGCTCACGACCTGACCCTGGAGTACAAGGATTTTGCAAGCAGCATGGTCAAGAAGCTCAAGAAACGCCACGATGCTCAGCGCGTCAACGAAATGAAGAATGAATTCGGCAAGAGAATTACTCAGTCTCCCATAAGAAGCTCCAGCCTGTCTGGTGGCCCAGTCGGTCCTGTCACCCACAACGACGGCGACGACGATATCCCTGCCCAGACTTCGCTCGATACATTAAGACGATGGCAGGTCGAACTCGATACCTGGGAACTATTCCGCATCATGCTCGAACTGCGATATTCGCCAGAGAAACACGCTCGTCAAGAAGAGAAGGATGCAAGGTTAGCAGAGCTCGGCACGTCAAACACATACACGTCCGACGCCGACATCTGGGAACGCTTTACCCTGGACAATGATTCTGCAAAGGAGCGACATTTGGTTCTCAAGTGGCTGCAGGGAGCCGCCAACCACGGCGAGAGTGACATTGAAGCCATTGCCGACGAGCTGGAAAAGAAGTCAGGCCGGGGAACGGGCATTTGGTTCAACGGTTGGATGGAAACTCGTGAGAGAATCAAGGGAACAAAGAGAATGCGTGTCTATTCGACTGCTTCTTCTGACATGCTCGATGTGAAGCGCACCCACAGCAACGAACCCCTGGTATCATCCCTCGATCCGGATGCACCCACCCGTCAAACTCGTGTTCTGGAAAAGGCAGACGAGTACTCAGAAAGAGCACTATGGATGACTTGCTGGGAGATGCTAAGGCGTGGCCATTCATGGTACGACATCTGTCAGTGGTGCTCTGAGCGCAATCAAAGCTGGCGCGCTGTCAGCATGGCCGTCTCTACCGATTCGCACCCGAGTGTCGCTCTTCCCGGTCTCTCGGCTGGTTCTCTTTGGCGTCGTATGTGCTATGCTTTGACACAACAAGGAGCTTCGGATGAGTATGAAGCCGCCGTGTATGGACTACTCAGTGGAGATCTGGACTCGGTTAAGCACGTGTGTCAGAGCTGGGATGACCACATCTTCGCCCATTACAATTCGCTCTTGATTGGACAGTTGGAAGAATATCTACAAAAGAGCTTCCCGGAAAAGTTTGCATCTGGTACAGTCACTAAATTTCCTCTTTTCGACTCTCTAAGGCATCATGGGGACCAGAAGGATGTTGCTCGCAATCTAATCAGACGCCTCAATGAGCAGTCTTCGACATCACAAGAGGCTCAGAGACCCCTGAAACTATTGCAAGGCGCTCTCATCGCAGACAACTTCCCCGATCTCTGCAAGAATTTGGCAACGGCCATCTCCGATGCTGCATGGTACAAGACGACTTCGACCACAATTGTTGCTCTACGTACAGCTGTCGCCCCAGACTCCCAAAAGGAGAGCGTCATCTTCAACGACTTTGATGCCCTACGTATCGTCACACACATGGTTCTGATGCTGCGTGAATTTCACGAGCCTCTCTCCAACTCAAAGTCTGATCCCGAGGCTCTGGACAACATCATTGCTGCCTACATCCAGCTCCTCCGCGCTGCAGGTAGGTGGGAGCTCACGTCAGTGTACGCATCCAGGATGTCCACCATCCGCGGTACCAAGTCTCTTGCGCAGACCATGACGGACGTACAAGATCTTCAGGACAAGGTGCACTTTACCAAGCTCATGGCCACGTACGGCATGGATCCAATTGCCGTTCTGATCGAACAAGCCAAGTATCTCATGGAAGAAGTGCTACCTAAAAAGTCAGCTGAACAGAGCAACTTGAAGATTATTGAGAACGCTCCCAACGAGGATCTCTATCCTGGCCAGAGGATCAAGGAAAACTTCATTAAGGATGGCAGAGGTGGCGAAGGAATCGCCGACCACCTTGCTGTCTTCCTCCTCATGGACGCTCAATGGGATGTTTCTTTCCAGACTCTCGCGTATGCTTGCAGGAAACTATTGCGTAAGTCTCAGATGTTCTGTGCTCAATTGTCATGTCGCTGACACCCTCCGCAGTCAACGGGTGCTTCCAAGAAGCTTCCCGTCTTGTCCACCAACTGTCTTTCGAAAAGTTGAGTAATGCTAAAACTAGATCGATCCTTGGTGTATCTGTGAATGTCATGGACAATGATGAGATTGCGGAACCCTCTCGAGAACATGGTGCAAAGCTGCGTGTTCTTCAAAAACAATGCAGAGGATACTATGAGCTCAACATGCTGGTGAGGGCCATCGATGCTCTGAATACTTGGAGGACAGTGGAGCATGACTATGCCACGTAAGTGATAACGGTCGGTCATCAATTTCCATGCTAATTCCTGTCACAGTAAGGAACCGCGGCCTAGCTCATTGCCGGCGTCGGTGAAGTCAACGTTTGAGAAAACCCGCGCGGCTATCGAGCCTGTGTTGAGCGGGATCCTCTTGCACGCCAAAGATGGTAAGTTTACAGCCATGACATACTTCTGAAAGGAGGACAGCACTAACATCATGATAGATGGCGAGGCCGCCGACCTGGCAAAAATTCGCAACTGGTATCTCCCTGAGATCGTACTTGCCTACAATGCAGTCTTATGCGCTGGCGCACACATGATCAGCCGTGATCACTTGTTGCGAAGCATGGAGCTGGCGAATGATGTCGCCAACGACAAAACTGGTCTTGCAGAGTGCTTCATGGAGTCAAATCGTATGCGTGAACTGGTGGTCGCATTCGCGCAGTCCAGCGAAACCATGCTGAAGCTGAATGAAATCAACCAAGGCAAGCGCGAGAGGAAGAACAAGGCGGGCAAGAACCTTACTATTTGGGATCTTACGGCTTGAAGCAACCGTCCATGGAGCAGAAGATATGTATCGTACCGAGCACAAAGTCCATGATAGTCAATGACCCATTACTCTTGCAATCTTGAAGGTGCGTTTGAGACGTGACATTAGAAACTATGACGGAAGGTGGGGTGAGCTGACAGTGGTGGTGGGGTATTTTAACTCTCAGAATGATGGCATAATACGATGCTCACGCCCTTGAGAAGTCCACAACAGCAGAACACAGATTACGCATTCTCTGCGCATCAATCGTCGTTTTTACATCAGCTTCGAGCTATACAAGAGGGCCAGTGCCATTGACCACAGCTGCACTGGACATCAATTCCAGCCCCCACCAACAATTTTTCCGTCTGAAACACCAAAATCACAGTCCCATTCTGATCATGTCAGACGAAACCAAGGACAATGGCTGGACAGCAGTATCAAGAAGTCTCGAAAAGCTCCTCGCCAACCGCAAAGATACAAACTCCAAGGCATCCCCCCTTCGAGTCGAGGACATGCCACTACCCGACAGCCCTCTCGCAAAGTCCATCATGAAACACGCACAAGAACACTTGCCCAAACAAACCTTCAGCCACAGCATGCGCGTCTACTATTTCGGTGCGTTTTACGTCACTAAGCAGCCCTTTGACATCCAACAGATCCATGGCGCTCTTCGTTACACAGGTGCCAGCCACTGACACATGACATGAACAGGCCAAGCAATCACCATGCAACACTTTCCCGAATGGCACTACAGTCCAGAAACATACCTCCTAGCCAGCCTGCTCCACGACATTGGCACCACAGACACCAACATGGCCGCCACAAACCTGAGCTTTGAATTCCAGGGTGGCATGCAAGCATTGCAACTCGTCCTCAAGAACGGAGCTTCCAAATCTGCTGCTGAGAGTGTATGTGAGACTATCATCAGACATCAAGATGTTGGTGAGAGCGGGAATATCACTACTTTGACTGCTGTGATTCATTTTGCGACACTGCTCGACAATGCGGGTAAGAATCCTGAGTTGGTGCATCAGGATACCATCGAGAATGTGGTCAAAGCATGGCCTAGAGAGGGATGGACTGGTTGTTTTGCTGGCACTGTCAGAAAGGAAACGAAACTTAAGCCATGGTCACACACGACAAAGATCGAAGGGTTTGCTGAGATGGTGGAGGCGAACGAGACGATGCGTCCTTATGATTAACAGATGAGATTACTTGGCCGTTATCTGATGATTTTGCTTTGATGGAAGAAGAAGCGAAGGGGATGGAAGTTTATATACATTAACTTGAGAGAGAGCTTTGGCGAGTCTTTCAAGTGTTCGGTAAAGGAGGAGAAAAGTTGTACTTGGTAAAAAAAAAAGGGTGGGGGGGATCCAACAAAGAACAGAGATGCGCCGATCATTATATGCAAGTGGTATGTTCGATAAAGTGACAAAGGAAAGAAAATGAAGAAGAAGGGAAGAATAATCATGATCTCGGAACGGCCTTCTTGACACTCAACTCGACTTTGCTGTAATAAGCAGCGCCGAGAAGAGTGACCAACATACCGGCACCATTCTCAGGTCCAACCTTGACGTTGAAAAGAACGATACCAAGCAGAATGGTAAGGCATTGCTTGAGGTTACCACAGACACTCAATGTCAAGGCGCCAGCAAGCTTGTTTGTTTGGAAAGATGTTACGTTGAGCATGAAGGCGAGGACGCCATTTCCGAGAAGGGCGAGGACAACACCCGAGGTGAGGTGACCTGCGGCGGTGAAATCGGCGAAGCGGGTGACTTCTCCGGTGCAGTATGCGTAGACGAGCGATTGTGCGGCGGCGAGAGGAGACATGCGAAGGAGGAGTTCGAGGGCGGGGAGCTTCAAGCTGCCGGTAAGAAGGCGGTTGGTTGCGACAGTCTGTGATGATGGTCAGCAATAGAACAAACAGTAGCAAGGGTATGTGCAGATGTGCTTACCTTGACGGCTGCGAGGCCGACACCGAGGAAGGTGAGGGACGCTCCGACAAGAGAAAAGTAGTAGTCGCCGTATGTGCTGAGACCAACGCCCATGACGATAGGGATCAGAGCCATGTATGTGGCCTTTGCGTATGAGCGGCCGTAGAACCAGCGGTAGATGAGAATAGTTGCTACCGGGCAGGTCGAACGGGCGATTTGATGGAAGGGAACCGAGACCATCTCCAGAGAGACGTTTGAGATGGCAATGTTGATGGTGAAGAGGACAGAAAATGCCACCAGGACATAGTTGTCTTGTCTTGTGAGATACGAAAGCTTGATTTGACCGGCGAGTAGAAGAGAGTAGCATCCGATCGCTGCACACGTAGCGTGCAGTGTAGTCATGAGCCAGGGGAAAGCAAACTGTTGCAGAACGGCCTTGTTGTATAGCGTAAGACCCAGGTTCATGGCGAAGTACAATCCCAGACAAATCATCTTGACCCGAGTCGACACGAGGTATTCTGCGCCATCCTGTGCGCTTTTTGCTTGTGCTTGTTCCTCGATTATGCACTGCTTCTCGACATCGTCGTCACCCAACAGCTTTTGACGCTGCTCTTCATGGTAGTCGCTGAACTCCGACTCGTCCATGGATAGTTGTGGTTGCTTCTCTGATATTGAAGCCATGACTGTAGTTGGTAAGGAGGGACCGGCCACGAGGATTAGAGGACAGCAAGGTGAGGTATGTAGCAAAGCCAAAAGGAATGAGCGAATGTATTTGAGACAGCGAGTCGGGATACGAGACCGTTCGGCAAAGCGATGTAATGCGAAAGTATCTCGCAAGCCGCAAAAGCCTACCCTAGCTAATATATCAACTGATAAGATGCCTGACCCCCGGGGGCCGCACGCAGCCGCCCCTCTCTGAATACGTGCAGTGCCAAGTATACGCTTAGTGTGTAATGCCAACGATGTCTCCGTAGCAAGGCCTCTCACCAAGCCAAAAGGCGACGGTTGACAAGGGGGTAATTGAGATTCATTTCTCGCGTGTGCTCAAACTCGAAAACAAGAACATCTAGTGCAACGTCCTGCCTCCTCCAGGTCAACGCCGTTGCTACATGTCCTGGCCGTTTCGTCCCATATCAGATTGCATGTTATTGTCCGTTTGTCAGGAGTTGAATCACGACATCTGATCTCTGACACCTCGATGGCCGATAACTGAAGGATCTGCGCACGGGAAATCTCTTGACACTTCGCCCTATTATGGTGGGGTCTGTGGAGATTGTAAGGGTTTCTGTTTGAGCGGCTGATTTTTCGGGTAGCGGAGAATACACAAGCTCAAGTTCGGCACCCTTCACGTGTCCCCGAATTCTTTCAATATATCAAAACGTGAATATCGAGTATCCTCCAACAGCCCAACCACCCGGAGCTGAAGCACACTGGTGTGGGATACAAGTTGAAACAAAGGATTGATATGCAAGTCCACGTACGCACCCGATCATCCAATCCTTGTCATGCCGGGAATGGACAATGGGCTGTTGTATTCACTTGTACGCTGCATGCGCCAATGGCTTGTCAGCGTTTATGGCTGGCATCCACCCCGAGAGCCACCTAATTATTCGGTAGCCACCGGACATGGGCATGACTCTTCGACTGCCTCCAATGCGCACCCGCGCGTTCTCGGTAGACGGCATATACATGGATCTTAAGTTCCTGGGCGAAATCGCCGTATCGTGTATGATGTACTACACGGGACAAGGATGGTGGCAAGTGTATATTTTGATGATTTCGGGCGCGTGGCGCCGATTGATTCGTTCGAATGATTACAAGAATAGTGTATGTGTGTAGACATGAAACCCACCCAACCGGAACTCCCAAATGCTTTCTCTAGTTTTGAATCATGCCATGATCATGCCTCGATGAGGGAAAAAAACAACAAAAAGAACTACCAGAATCCTTTTGGGGGTTTAGAAGGGGTTGCCTCTGCCGATGCTCTCGACGTGGAAGCCCAGCCGTTGCAACTTGCCAGCGTCAATCACTCTACGGCCGTCAAAAACGAATGCTGGACGTTCCATGATGTCGAAGATCTGTTCCCAGTCGACCTTGGCGTTTTGTGCCTCGGCGTGCTTGACAGCAGTCTTGGGGTTGTAGCGTTCACGTGCGGACTTGTCGGCAGCTGTCATCTCCATCTCATCATCAGAGTTGTGCTCAGATGCGACAGGGCTGGGGAGCAATTGCTGAGCGGGCTTCTTAGCAGGGGCCGCATCCTTATTAGAGAACTCATCCCACTCGGTGAGAACAACGACGGCGTGAGAGTCGGAAGCACAGTCGTAGGGGTTCTTGGCGATAGTGACAAACTTCTCGACGTCGTCAATGTGGCATCCGCTGATGTCGAGCTCCTCCCAGATCTGTGCCTTGGTGACCTGAGGGTCGTAGATGCACACTTTGGCTTGCTCGGCGATAAGGTCTTTGACAACGGAGATGGCGGCACTCTCACGAGTATCGGCGGTGTTCTTCTTGTAGGAGAAACCGTAGACAGCGATTTTCTTGCCGGTCAAAGTTCCGTAGAGTGCCGAAATGATGCGCTTGGTGAAGCGAGACTTCTGCCACTCGTTGATAGCGACAACGGATTGCCAGTACGCAGCAACCTCAGGAAGATGTAGAGTTTCGGCCATGTAAGAAAGGTTGAGCACGTCCTTGCGGAAGCAGGAACCACCGAAACCTACCGAAGCCTGGAGCATGCGCGAGCCAATTCTGCTGTCAAGACCGGCGGCGTATGCAATCTCGCCAACATCGGCACCAGTAGCCTCGCAAATTGCACTCAGGGCATTGATACTGCTAATACGCTGAGCCAGCAGCGCGTTGGCAGCGAGCTTGGCAAGCTCGGATGACCAGATGTTTGTCTTCAAGATGTTCTCCTTGGGTACCCAGCTACCGTACAGGTTGGCGAGGACCTCTGCAGCTTCGAGACCGCTAGGTGTCTGCATGGAACCGATCAAGATACGGTCAGGTCTCATAAGATCGGCTACAGCGGTACCCTCAGCCAAAAACTCGGGGTTGGACAGAATCTCAAAGTTGACACCAGGCTTGCCAATGGCCTTCAAGATTTCTCTCATGTTGGCAGCGGTTCTGCAGGGAACGGTGCTCTTCTCGACAATGATGGTATCCTTCTCTGCCTCGGCGGCAATCATACGGGTGGCAGACTCGAAGTAGGCCATGTTGGGAGCCTTTCCGGCACCGATACCGGCAGTCTTTGTGGGAGTGTTGACACAGATGAAGACAATGTCGGCACGCTTGATGGTACCACGAACGTCGGTTGTGAAGAAGAGGTTCTGAGGGCGAGTCTCTGCATCACGCGCCTCCTTGACGACAGGGAGCAGACCAGGCTCGTAGATAGGGAGAGCATCGGAGTTCCATGCTGCAATACGGTTCTCGCTCAAGTCGACAACGCTGACCTCGACGTCGGGGTTCTTGAGTGCAAGTACAGCGCCACTGGGACCGCCCTGTTATAAAGGAAGGACTGTCAGCCATGCTCGGTAGATCGCCTCGTGGCAGCTCGTATTCAAGCAAGATTAACTCACGACAAAGCCGGCGCCAATAAAGCAAACGCTCTTCACGGGACTCATCATGTATTGTGCGTAAACGTGGGGCTGAAAGAATGTATGCAGACGAGAGAGTGAGAGTGATGAAGGAGAGAATGTTTGAGCAAGACAAAAAGACTTTAGTATCTTTGGCAATATGAATGGTTAGCACTAACAGGCAACCGATAGGGAGATGCCTCCTCGCTTCAATCGGACGCGCCGCCTTGGCCTATGGCTGAGCCGATGATTGCTTGCATACGGAGAAACTTGGAACCAGGGGGGAACCGTTTGTGATCAGCCTGCTCGCCCTGTACAATGGAGCCTCTACTAGACCGACACGGCTTGTGTTGCCCCCCGCGGCAGATCAAGATGCCTGGTGCAAGAAGCCCTCGGTCCTTGACCAATCTTTGATGTTGGGAAAGGGGACTCTGGGCTTTCCCTCCGACGCAAGAACTTCAGCTGGCTGACAGGACACCGACACCAACACCAACGGTCTAGGGATGAAGGCATTCCTGCAGACCACGCGACTACTCTTCCGACCAACGCCTGATTCTACGGCACGCGAGTCCCGAGTGCCATACCTTGTCAGACGAGTTTCATGTGCAACGACGCGATTTCCTGATATCTCGTATTTGCAACACTTGGCTGGCAGGAGCAGATTCTGGAAGGATCCGCAGGTCAAGAGTCAAGAGCCAAGCTCGTCATGGAGCTTTGGCCATAGAAGGGCATGTACAACAATCTAAGCAGGAGTACATGAGTGGACATGATGAGCCAACCCTTGACAAACCCTTGTCGACAAGCTCTTGGCAACAGCCACCGGCGGTGTTTGGCTCCTTTATTTGCAGTAAAGCATGCAGATGAATCGCAATCGCAATAGGCCGTCAGCTGTGCGGCGCTTCGCGCTCCCTACTAGCAAATAAGTCCAGTGCAATAGTGTAGCCGCGCGATAAGGGAAGCCCCTGCAAGCTATGCCTCCTCGATCATCTTGACCTAAGAATTCGGTAACGTGCTTCCGCCCAGGGGCTTGTCGTTTATCCACAATCCGTCTTGGAGACTCGAAACTTGGATCCCTTGCGTTCTTCGCATATTGTGAAGGCGCGCGTCTTTTGTGTTTTCTTCGTCCTGTTGTCACCATGTCCTTCCCGTCGCTGTCGAGGTCCGACATGTCAGCCAGCGAGCTTGGTCGCTCTATCCTGAAGCCGAGGTGGATTTTTGGTTTTGCTATTGTGCTCGTAACTTTAATCACTCTGTTTACACACACGGCGTCACATTCTGTCGGCGGCCTGGTCAAGTCCATCGGCACCACAGTAAGTCACAAAAGACCTTCCACTACGACACGTAGTCCTGACCGCGCAACAGAAACCCTCCGCCTCCACATCGTCCACAACGTCCAGCGATGGCAAGGCTGGCCTCCACTACCTGATCCCAGCGACAAGTAGCAATCGCGACTTCTGCAAGCTGCTCCTCTCCTCTACCATCCTCGACTATCCCACCCCCGTCCTGATCAACTGGGGCGCTCACGAAGAAGCCAATCCCTACAAACAACACCTCGCCAAAGTCGAGACCCTGCTCGCCTACCTCAAGAGGCTGAAGCCCATCAGCAAGGAGGATGATCTGGTGCTCATCCTAGACGGCTACGATGTCTGGTTCCAATTGCGCCCCGATGTCCTGCTCAAGAGATACTTTGAGATGAATGCCAATCTCGACCAGAGAACCATCCAAGCCTTTGGTCAAGACGCTTTCGACAAGGGCGATCATCGCACCACTGTCATTTTCGGCCCCGACAAGATTTGTTGGCCCGTTGATTTCAGCCGACCAGCATGCTGGGCTGTTCCTCACACCGGTCTCTCCCCAACCGCCTTTGGCCCTGAGATCAACGACTTCCGCGAGACCCACAACGAACCCAGATGGCTGAACTCGGGAACAATCATGGGTCCCATCCAAGATATGATTGATGTTTTCCAAGCTACTCTCGACCTTATCCACTACAACCACACTACAGACTCGGATCAATTCTACTTTGCCAACGTCTTTGGTGATCAAGAGTTTGCTCGGCTGTCTCTTGACCAGGATCTGCTCGAGAACCAAGCCAAGGAGAAATATAGAGAGGAGTTCAACAACGAAGAGGATCCGCCTCGCCAAATTCCCGAGTTTGATGTTGGACAGAGAACCGAGTATCACATTGGTATCGATTACTTCTCAGCCATGTTCCAAACTCTGGCCTTTTACAAACAATTCCTTGCCTGGATTCGTCCCAGCGACTCCTGGGCTACCAAGACCGCCGATAATGGCGATGTTTCGCAAGAGCAATACAACTTTGAGGTAGCGAAAGACATATCCTCGTCGCTTTCACCTTATGCCGCATTCGAGGCTTCGCCGCCCAAAACCAACAACTCGGTGGAGTACCCCAAGTCGTGGTCGAACGTCAGTCTCTGTGTCAACACCGTCACTGACTTGGCACCCGTGACATTGCACTTCACTGGAGAAAAGGCTCTGCGTGAGCTGTGGTGGGACAAGCTGTGGTTCTACCAGGATGGTGAGGAGCTTCGAAAAGCTAGCTTGAGAATGCCCGATCGCCCCATCAGTCAAGAGCCAATTGCTGGCAAGACATGGTACAAGATTGAATCACCTGATCCAGAAGCAGGAAAGGGAGGAGCATGGGCTGACAATGGCGGCTGGCATTCGTGGACGAGTCTGTGCAAGACATATGAGGATGAGATCTTCCCTCGCAAAACGCTCAAGAAAAAGGGTCCTCATCACCACTCATAGAGACGTTTTACTTATTGGCGTGATCTTCATGAAAAATAATACATCTTTTACATTCAATATTCCGGTGTTCAATGTGTATGTGCTCTACGTGAGAAAGGAGGAGTTGTCTCTGATGAACATATCCCCTCTTCCGATATCTGAACCCCGCCACTATCAAAGGCTGCGGGATGGCGTTCCTATCGAAAAGCGTGGCTTTGCCCAGCTTCAGGGCAGGCGTGGGCTGCAATCATGCATAATCGCAAGAAACGGGGTCTCGCAATTTTAGTGATCATGGCGAGAACCTTTTTAAGGGGCTCCCGACCAGTAGGCGTATGGATAGGTATCCTGGATATTTCGTTTTTTGCACAGACGCAGCGGCTCATACTTTGCAGGAGCGTGGGCTGCGTGGCTCGGTCGCGACCGTTGCTAGCACTCTACTTGATCTACTTAGGGAGTCAGCCTCCCACAGCGCGCTTTGCTCCAAAACGTGAGTGCGCTTGTCTTTCTGTTCAATAAGACCGGCCTCCAGGGGTATTGCGGTTTCTCCGTCTCTCACTTGGGATATCCATTCTTTTGCTTCATCTCGATTGGTTTTTTCTTGTTTTTTCTCTTTTTCGACTTCCAGACGCCTTTGCGACTATTTGGATCATAATGTCGGTCCAGGGTGTCGTGAGTAAGCTCAAGCAAAGCCTGTGGCAAGGCAGTGGGCCAACCTATGAACGTGTTGACCACCTTGAGGATGGATTCGAGAAGGAACACATTGGCAGCAAGCGACCTTGGCGACTTGCCAGACCAGTGATTGTGACTCTGGGATTCCTTTTGGCGATCTTTCTGTTTCTGAGCTCGGTATGCAATCTCACATCCTTCTCGCTCTCCCTTTTACCGGCTCAATCTAACAGCACAGCGCGGCCATGACTCTCCTAAACCTGCAGCTTCCTTAAAGGAGACATTGCCACCAGCTTATCTCCGAATGGTATATCCCGCCAAACAAGCTGATGCCAACTTCTGCAAATCTATTCTTAGCAGCGCAATCCTGCATTATCCAGAGCCAATGTTGATCGGATTCGACGGCAAGAAACAACAGGACGAGAATACCGACTCCACTTTAGACTTGGCCCAACGCATTTCGCGCAAGACGAGTATCCTTGGTATTGACAAGCATCTAAGGAATATCTCAGCAACGCGTGACGAGGACCTTGTTGTTATCGCCGATGGACTAAACACGTGGTTCCAATTGCGCCCTCAAACACTTCTTGACCGGTACTTTGAGTCGAACAGGAATGCGGATGGCCGTATCAGAAGGGAACTCGGACTGAACGCCGATGTTCTAAACATTCGCCAAACCATCATCTTCGGTGCTCAGAGGGACTGCTCGCCCTGGAATTCGGAGGATCCTGCATGCTCTGCAGTCCCCGAATCGACACTTCCTACGGATATCTATGGACCCCTGACCGATGCTGCAGCTGAGGAGAATCAAGACCCCTTTACGAAGCACCGCCCGCGATACATTCAAACTGGATTTGCCATGGGCCCCGTGAAGGAGATGCGCAAGCTTTATGCCGAGGCCGCAAGACGCATCATGGGAGATTCACATCTCCAGAGCGAGGGCAAGGTTCTTGGTCAAATCTTCGCCGAGCAGGAAATAGCTCGCGAAGCGCACAAGATGCCCTCTCTCTCGCTCTTCGGACGCTTCTCCTCGTGGCTCGCCAGCTTTGGGGAGAGCACACAAGCTGTTGCAGACAGACAGGCACAGCAACTGAGGGAGGCCGATCTCTCACGAGAGTTTGGTATCGGTCTTGACTACGCCAGTGGTCTTGCCTTCGCGGTCGCACATGCGGATGGTGATATGGAGTTTGTCAAGTTTGGCGATGAGGCATCTGTGCACTCAGCCAACGCTAAGCATGGCATCAGCGATAGTCGACTCGGCCAAATTGGCCCTGATGTTGGCGCAGCGTTACCTCCATTCTGGACTTACAGCCACGAGACCCTCCCTTCTCGCCATACTCAATGGACCAACGTCTCCCTCCTCACAAACGCCTACACTGGCGTTACCCCGGCCCTCATCCAGCACGACATGGGCAACTACCGCACTGAATCGCTGCGCGAAAGCTGGTGGTCCAGTGTCTGGTACCAAAAGTACGCCCGCAAGATGTTTGACGTGCATGTCCAATCTCCCATCGGCGCGGTCGCCGTGTCTGGATACGATGCTGCCTCGCGCCGACAATGGTGGGGCATGGAAGACTGGAAGGGCGGTGCCAGAAATGAGACTAAGTTCTGGTGGAGATACGAGGATGTCTGTGGAGGAACCGAGACGGAAGTCTTCAGAGACAGCAAGGGTCCGTGGTACCTACCATCTAACCACTAGATTCATATGTAACCATCTATTTGCTTTTGTGATATACCATTTATTGCCAAAATTTCCTTCCCAACTCACTTTTGCGACTGTTTGAACTTCGCAAGCCAAATGTCCCTCTCTTATGTCGCATGTTCAAGTGACAAACAAACAATATGAGACGTATCTGATCTCTTCATTATTGTAATATAGGTTCGAGCCAATACTAAAATATGGCTCTTCTTCGTCTCTCGGAACTCCGTTTGGCATGCTATCAGCGAGCAGTAATGCACAAGGAAGGCGATAGCGCATGTAGCAACATAACTCCTGCTGGCCAACCCATGCTAAGATTTTTTCCCTTCGACCCATTGTCGATTGTAACGCCTGTCGCAAGAAGAACAGCTTCAATAATCCAATGCTTCACGCGCATACTCATAGTATCGCTTCGTGTACATGTGTCGTGGTTTTGAAAATCATCCGTTTTAACACTTCCTCATTCACAGAATTCGTCTCATCCCTCTTATCTTCATAGTCGCATGCGTCGGGCGGAAGCAGCTCAAACAGATCACCAGTGATTCTAGGTTGCCTTATTGGCGGCTGCGATCTTCTCGTACAGCGTTCGGAGCTTCTGACCTGACGTACGTTTGTCGACGTTCTTGGCCTGCGGCCACCACGTCTCGGCAAGGTAATCCCTATTGATGGTTAGCACGAGTTGTTCGAATAGATGAGCTCAGGACTTACCAAAGTTTATCCTCGACCGTCTTTCCCTTCTCAGTCGCTTTTTGTTTGAAGAATTTGCCAGCCGTCTGTAGCGACTCCTTCAGACTGTTTGCACGCTCCTTGTCGTCTGGGATGTGACTTTTGGTGGCCTTTCTGATGCGGCCTAAGCAATCACGAATGGGCTCGACTATCCGCCTCATATGGTCTTCAGATGCTGGGCGATCGCCATTGGAAGCAGCAAGAGGAGATCCAGCGTGGCGCGGCAGCTTTCTAGGCTCAGAGTCACGGTGGTGTCTGTTTCTATCAACACGCTCAGCTCCACTTGGCGACGCTCGGTGGCCAACGTTGTTAGATGATTGGCGACGATCAGATGAGCCTCGATGGTCGTTGTGAAGGCGTGAACGGTAGGATTCCTCGCGGTTCATCTTACGAGCCGCACCAGGAGCTGGGGATGCCGATACGCTTGTGGGGCGACGATCACTAGAGCCGAGAGACTTTTTGTTGTTGCGATGGTGATTCTCGAGCGCCCTCTTTGCTGCGATGTTCGTACCATTGCTGGTCTTGTCTTTCAGAACACTGAGCAAGTAATTTGCGCGTCTCACAAGATGCACGGCTCCTGGCGACTTGGCGTTCTTCTCATCAGCCTTGGTCCGCTCTTCTTTGATGCCAACACGATGTTCTTCAAGGTAAAACTTGTCGCCCATACCGAGATCAGGATCGTCGCGTATAGCTACCCAGGCACCGTAGCCATGTTTCGCGATACCAATGCACAGCATGCCATCCTCTCGAGCACCCCAAGGACACGAGTAGTGAGCGGGCTTGGATGCCTCCGGAATGCGGAAAGTGCGCCAGTTTTCACCAAGGTTCTTTTCGACGTCGCGGAGCATACGCATCTCCAAAGGACGTTCGGTCAATGTCTCAGCATTCAGTCGCTTGACACCCTTGAAATCGAAGAGAACAGCCTTCTTGTCTTTCTTCGTAATGGGCTTGTTAGTCTCACGCTCAAGAGCTAAGACGCGTTCATGCTCATCCTGCAGAAGCCTCTTGCTTTCGGTAACAACTTCGTCGAGAGTAGCCTTGAGAAGATCGATGTTACGACCAACGAGTCTAGCTTCCTTGATGATTTCGGTCTGACGTTCATCAATTGAGCCATATTTCTCGTAAGCGCGGATCAGGTTTCGGATGTCCTTCTCGCTCAAGGGCCGCTGAGGATCAGCACCAACGTTGGAGTCGTTGTCAGAGTCTTCAGCAGCAGCAGCTTGGGCGGCGAGATCTCGAGCTCTCTTCTTGGCGGCACGCTGTTCGCGGGCATCGTCTTCTCTGGACTTACGCTTTGCGTTCCTTGGTTGATTCTCTTCGATGACAGACTCCAGATATTGCGCTTCGTCCTTTGCTTTCTCTTCGGCCTTGATAGCCTCGAGATGCTCTTTGGGAATAATCTCATCCCATTCAAGATCAAGCTTGACATCCGTGTACTCGAAACTCTTCAAGAAGTCTGCACCTCCACTTGCAGTAATACCACCACCTGACTGTTCAGTTTGGTGAATCTCGGCGTTCTCCAGAACGGCATCGATATCAAGCTCTTCTAGCTTCTTCTGGTTGCCAGATTGCTCGAACATCTTTTGTCCACGGCGCTTGAGAATGCGAGAGAGATCGTCGTGTGCTACAGGCTCGGCGGTAGAGACTCCGGCAGAATCAAGTTTAGTTCTGAGCGCTTTAGCCTCCTTCTCCGTCATGGCCTGATGGATGGTGATGTGCTCTAGGATAAGCTTGTTGCGAGCGCGCTCAAGAACCTCTTCCTCGACAGTGTCTTTTGACACAAAGCGATAGATGGTGACGGGGTTCTTTTGCCCAATGCGATGGGCACGAGCCATGGCTTGGAGATCTGCCTGAGGATTCCAATCGGAATCAAAAAGAATTACCGTGTCAGCAGTCATCAAGTTGATGCCGAGACCACCAGCACGGGTAGAGAGAATGAAACAAAAGTCCTTGCTGTCAGGAGCGTTGAAGTGATCGATGGCTTGACGCCTTGGACCAGCTGCGATTGTGCCATCAAGACGCTGGTATTGATGTCCACGGAGGTGTAGATAGTCGCCAACAATGTCAAGCATCTTGACCATCTGACTGAAGATGAGAACACGGTGACCATCCGCCTTGAGTCTCGTCAAAAGTCGGTCGAGAAGCATCATCTTTCCACTGCTCGTCACAAGAGCTTTGAGTTGATCTTCTCTGCCTGTTTTGCCCTCGAGAATGCGGTCTTCGGCGTTGGGGAACATGAAGGGATGGTTACTGGCTTTCTTCAGCTCCATCATGATGTTGAGCAACGACTGTTTTTGTCCTTTTGTGCCAGAGTTAAGAGCGGCGTAGTTGCGGGTAAGAATGTTCTTGTAGTACTCCAACTGAACATCTGAAAGCTCCACTCTGATGATTTTCTCGGTTTTGCCTGGGAGATCGCTAGTAACATTCTCCTTGACACGACGAATCATGTATGGCGAGATTGCTTTCATCAATTCGTCAAGAGCTTGTCTAGTCGCTTCGGAATCGTCGATTGGGATATCGTCATTGATGTTGATCAGGCCTGGCATGAGGAAATCCATAAGGGCAGACAGCTCTTTGAGCTCATTCTGCAGAGGGGTACCCGTGATGAGCAGACGACTCGGAGCGCCAAAGTCCATGAGCTTAGCATAGAGTTGGGAATCCCGATTCTTTAGTCTATGTGCCTCATCAACAGCCATGAACTGCCACTTCATCTGCGATAGGAAAGCGGAGTCGAGCAGGATGTATTCGTAGGTCGTAAGCATGACATTGAACTTAGTCCTTTTGGGGTTGCCGTCTACGAGAAGCTCGTGTTCACGAAGAATCTTGCGAGAGGCTTCATTACCGTTGTAGACAATGTAATTGATGTCCGGCGTCCAGTTGTTAAATGTGTCAGCCCAAGCAGGCATGGTTGATAGCGGAACCACTACCAAGAAAGGACCTTCTTGGCGGCGGTCATGAATCAGCCAACTCATGAACGCTACTGACTGAACGGTCTTTCCAAGGCCCATCTCGTCTGCAAGGATGACATTGTTGCCCTTGCACCAGTTGTGTGCGAGGAAGTTGATACCTGCAATCTGGAAGTCTCTGAGCTGACCATACTTAATATAATCGGGCTGGGTGCGGAACGGCTTGTATGGTGATCGAGTAGCCAAGTTGGATTCGCGCTTGTCAGAGGTAGGCAGTCGAGACGCACGATCAAGGTAGCGATCGATCTCATTCTGCGCCAGCTCGCTAACAAGAGACTCGGGTTCCCACGTGCAATAGTCATAAGCAAGAGACTTCCACTTGACGTAGTACTCTCTGCCATCGTTGCCGACTTGTTCTCCGATAACTCTTTCGACCTTCATGTAGTCGTCCAAAGCATCGAGATACGTCTCGCGGTCAAGCGTGTATTTTTCGCGCTCCTCAGGGGCAACATCGGGGTCCTGAGCCAGGAAGTGTTCGGCCTCGACGGTTTTGCGGTAGTAATTCTCCAAACGACGGAATCCGCGGACTGAAGCAAGCTCGGTCCAAGGCTCCCATGTAGAATGGTAATGTGCTTTGCCTTGCCATTTGATCTAAACCATTGTCAGTAAAAGTAAGACATGATTAAATCAAAGTACTGACGAAGAATTCATAGTCGTTCTTCTCAGGATACTCGGTGTCTGCAGGCCAAGATTGTCAGCACGTGATTGAGAAGGTCGAGTTGTTGAGAGAGCAACCTTTACCATCGCCGACCCTGTGATTGAGAACGACGTCTATGCCCGGGGAGTCATCTTCAGCAGCGGCCCAGTAATTCGGGGTCAGGTTCTCGGTGTCTTCTTCGCTGAAATCATCGCCATCTTCCTCGTTGTATGTTGTGACTTTGCCAGCTTGTCTTGTAGAAAAGCGAAGGTCGCCTGCGAGTCCCGACGCAGAGCGGGATGAGGCTCCTTGCAGCCTGCGGCGGTGCTTCTTTGCGAACTCGCGACCACGAGCGCCGCCGTAGGTATCGCTGTCTGAGCCAGATCCTGAATTAGAACGACGGACTGAGACTGGGAGAAGGTCATGTCAGTACCATGCTGCGATAGAGGGATGAGGTTTGAGATACCATTGCGAGGGGCAGCCGAGCGAAAGCGTTTACGAGCTCGGCCGGCATTGACATCTGAGCCAGAGTCGTTGTCGTCTTGCTCTTCGTCACTGCTTTCTATCTACATGGGAAGTTAGTATTACAGGTGCTTGCAGGAGGCATGGTGAGACACACAATTCGACGAGCTGGACGGGCACGACCCTGGAATTTGTCAGTGGGAGCAAGACGAGCAGGAGGGAGAGTGACTCACGCTTCGACGAAGACCGTATAATTCTGGATTTTCTTGCATGTATTGTTCATCGTGCTGATCGGGCTCGGCCTTGCGCTTGCGAGGCAGCGACGAGCCTTCGGACGAGACGCTGCTATGGCGGGAGTCGACGCTGGCTCTTGAGGGAGGGGATGGGACATCGTAATCGGCATCATCAGAACCATCGGCGTCTTCATCTTCATCTGAGCGAGGACTTGCGACATCGTGCATGACATGGTCGGCGGACTCGGTAACAGCTTGGTCGGGAGTATCATTGACATCGGAAAGTTCGCTCTCGCTGCGGGAGGGTTTGGTGTCCAGAGTCGCGTAAGCTGGCTCATCATTGGACGACATATGGCCGTTCTCAAAGGACATGGTGGAGAGGGGTGGGCGGGTAGGTAGCAGATGTGTCTGGCCGGCTGGACAAGGTGAGCAGTTAGTAAGATTGCTCAAGATAGCGCAGTCGGACGGAGTTGTGGGTTTGGCCGGGCGAGCGCCTTGGTTAGGCGACCGGAATCCCCTCAGAGACAGTGCGGTAGGTGTTGCAGAAGGTGTAGAAAGTGGATCGAGATGATGTATTGATGGAATAGATCGAGGGTGGACGCGAGTCTCGAACAGTAGGATGACGCGATGTGGACCAGAAGACGGACGATATAGAGGCTCGAGACGTGGAAAGAGGGCGACGGAAGACGGATAAGGTGATCCGAAGACGATTCGAGCGATACAGGCGACGATAGAGTCGCGATATGGTGTGGTATAGGCGATGCACTACCGAGATGAAGGAAATGCCAAGACCAGGCCCGGTCGGACAGAGAGCAGGAAAAGCAGGAGAAAAGAGAGAATCAGCTTACCGGCCATGTGAGACCATGTCCAGAGCAGTAGTATGGGTTCCCGGGAGCGTGGGTGGTTGTGTGCAGATGATGGACCAGCGACTTCTTGGTGGAGTTGACGGACGCTCTGGACGGATGTGAGAGAGAGAGCCGCTCGACTGGCAGCACCGCAGACACGACGCCAAGAACCAATCAGAGCAAATGGTCATCCGTCATCCGTCATCCGCCATCCGCCATCCGCAGACTTCTGCCCAATCCACGCCGTCTTTGTCCTCACTGCACACTAGACTCGCTCCAGTCTGGCAATCCTGTCTCTCGCAATCTGCTGTCTGCTCTTGCGATACTGAACGTTTGCCCATCATGTCAGACAGATTGACTCGGTACGTCTGAATCCTCGCTTCCATGGCAGCGAGAAAAATCTACCAAAACTGCTCTCTGACCCGCCGTCTGCAGTATTGCTATTGTCAACAGCGACAAGGTGAGTTTGCCGTCTATATTTTGCGCCCATTTCTGTTTACTGAAAAGCCTTCCAGTGCAAGCCAAAGGTATCCTCAAACCTCTTACACAACAATGCGCGAAAATCACATCTAACCCTCTCTGAAGAAATGTCGTCAAGAGTGCAAGAAGTCTTGCCCCGTCGTTCGTACCGGAAAGCTCTGTATTGAGGTCACCAACGAGTCCAAGATCGCCTTCATCTCGGAGCGTCTCTGTATCGGATGCGGTATCTGCCCCAAGAAATGTCCCTTCGACGCCATCAACATTATCAACTTGCCCACCAACCTCGAGTCGCAAGTCACCCACCGTTACTCGGCCAACAGTTTCAAGCTCCACAGACTGCCCATGCCCAGACCCGGTCAAGTCCTGGGTCTTGTTGGTGGTAACGGTACCGGAAAGAGTACTGCTTTGAAGATTCTGAGCGGCAAGCTGAAGCCTAACCTCGGCCGCTACGACAACCCCCCTGACTGGGAGGAGATTCTCAAGTACTTCCGTGGTTCCGAGCTGCAAAACTACTTCACAAAGGTACTGGAAGACAACCTCAAGGCTGTTGTTAAGCCTCAGTACGTCGACCAGATCCCTAGAGCCGTCAAGGGCGAGGACAGAACTGTTGGCTTCCTGGTCAAGCAGCGCGCCGAGGTCGACGAGGCTAGAGTCGAGGAGATCATCAAGACACTTGGTATGTCGACAACAGGACACTGCTGTAATTTCGAGTCTGACTAACGCAATCAACAGAACTCGATGCCATTCTTGACCGCGATATCGACCTCCTCTCCGGTGGTGAGTTGCAACGTTTCGCCATTGCCATTGTCTGTGTGCAGAAAGCCGACGTCTACATGTTCGACGAGCCTTCATCCTTCTTGGATGTCAAGCAGCGTCTGGCCGCCGGTCGTCTGATCCGCAGTCTGCTCGGCCCTACCTCATACGTCATTGTTGTCGAGCACGATTTGTCCATTCTCGACTACCTGTCCGACTTCATCTGCTTGCTTTACGGTAAGCCTGCCGTCTACGGTGTTGTTACCCTTCCCTCCTCGGTCCGTGAAGGTATCAACATCTTCCTCGACGGTCACATTCCCAGTGAGAACTTGCGTTTCAGAGACGAATCTCTGCAGTTCCGTATCGGTGAAGCTGGAGAAGAGTTCATCGTTGATCAGTCCCGCCAGTATGGCTATCCTGCCATGCAAAAGACACAACCCGCATCTGGTTTCAAGCTGAAGATCGAGCCCGGTGAGTTCACCGACTCGGAGATTCTCGTCATGATGGGGGAGAACGGTACCGGAAAGACCACCTTCTGTAGGATGCTCGCTGGTGCCGAGAAGCCCGATGGCACTAAGAGTGTCCCCGCTATGAACATCTCCATGAAGCCTCAGAAGATCACCCCCAAGTTCAAGGGTACCGTTCGTCAACTCTTCTTCAAGAAGATCAAGGCCGCCTTCCTCAACCCTCAGTTCCAGACCGATGTCTACAAGCCTCTGAGAATGGACGACTTCATCGACCAGGAAGTTCAAAACTTGTCCGGTGGTGAATTGCAGCGTGTCGCCATCGTCTTGGCCCTTGGTATCCCCGCCGACATCTATCTCATCGATGAACCTAGTGCCTACCTTGATTCCGAGCAGCGTGTCATCGCTGCCCGTGTTATCAAGCGTTTCATCATGCACTCCAAGAAGACCGCCTTCATCGTCGAGCACGATTTTATCATGGCCACTTACCTTGCTGATCGTGTCATTGTCTTCGACGGTATTCCGTCCGTCGACGCACGCGCCAACAAGCCCGAGTCTCTCCTCACTGGTTGTAACAAGTTCTTGAAGAACTTGGACGTCACCTTCAGACGTGATCCCAACTCATACCGTCCTCGTATCAACAAGCTGGACTCTCAGCTCGACCAGGAACAGAAGAGTGGTGGAAACTACGTATGTCTACCCTACCCCTGCAGTAACACATTGCGCATGCTAACCAAGAAACTAGTTCTTCATGGAAGAAGAGTCTTGAAAGGAGTTTTCCTAAACTCACAACACTGGCCCCCTTGGCGCCCGGCGAAAGGTGCCTCACGCGCCGCTCTGCTCCGACGCAACCGCTCCTATCGCCGCCGCAAGCGATGCTCGCGGTCCGGTGCGGATGAAGAGATAAGAGACGCGGCAGTGGGCGATCAGGATGAGGACGAAGGCCCTCACAGGCAGAGTAAGGCAATCTGGTTGATCGCTCACGTCTAGTCGGAGCTCCACAACATCTTGGGCAGACCTTCTTCAAACCACGTTAATGTGGCTTGAGCACAACATGGTGTAGGCACAAGGGAACCATGGAGCGCCATTGCAAAATACATGAACATTTTGATGAACCAAAGTTGCGGACACGAGAGAGCAAAAGTAGAAACAAGTAATGCCAAAAAGTCTTTATATCTTTTCACTTTGATTTCATTTCTTCAATACATGAGACTATTTGTTAGGGTGGAAGTAAAGCAGTGTTGCACGAAACGCACCTGTGGTGGGAGGAATAAAGGTAATAGATGGTGGGTTTTGACAGGAATCTGCCTCGATAACTAGTGTCATCCTTTGAGAAAGAAGAACGTACCGCTTGAGTTGCCTGTTTCCAATGCCGAGTAATGTTTCACACGTCTGTCTAGACCTCTTCAATCTCGCCCTCTTCACTGCCAGATTGCAGTGCGGGCTCGTCGTTTTCTGCGGCCGAGGGAGCGGGAGTAACAGAACCACCGTTGCGGGATGAATGCTCACCGACACGAGGGCGTTTCGCTTGTCTCTTCGCATCGCCATCTCCATTATGGCTAGCTGCTGATCTCTTGTTGCTGCCATTGCCACCCGAAGTGCTCTCGGGCTTTGGGCTGTCACCACCATCGCCATAGTCGAGTTCGCTGGCTTTGGTGCGCGGGTCGGCACGACTAATGTACGACCTCTCACGTTCGGCCTCGCGTTCTCTTCTCTCGCGATCGTAGATGGACAGACTGACTTGTCTTTCTCTTCTCGGATCACCGACATCCCTCTCATAGCGGTCGTCACGGGCTCTTGGACGTTCGCGAGGTGGTGGAGAAAGCCCGCTGATGCTCGAGTGGCGGTACTGACGCTCACGTTCGGAGGCAGCGCGGCGGCGGTCGGCCTCGTAGGCATCGACCTCGCGGGAAGGAGGGGAGCGACTACGACGGCGGTCGCGGTCTCGGCGTCTGTCACGGTCTCTTTCACGTTCTCTATCGTGGCGGCGCAAGCGCTCTCGCTCGGCGGCGTCTTCCTTGAGTCTGTTCATGAATTTGTCATAGGCGAGTTGGCGGTCCTCGTCGCTCGTCACAGCCTTGTATTCTTCGCTACGTTCGACACGCGGACGCACCTGCTCCCATGTGTCGCCAATCAGCACCGGAGGTTCCAGATGCTTGATGCGAGAACGCAGTGCATCAACGGCTTTGCGCTGTTGTCGTTTGGCGTCTCGCTCGATGTCCTCCTCTCTGTCGAGAGCGTTTCTGTGCAGTCTCTTGTATACCTCCTCAAGCAGGTGAGGGTTCATGGATGAGATACGACGGTCGTGTCTGATGGCGTGTTGGAAGTCTTCGAGAGTAGTTGAGGGTACGAAACGGAAGTGCTCCTCTTTCAAGGTAGCTTCGACGGCAGGGCGGATGTCGTGTACTTCTTTGTCAAAGTCGTCCAGGAAGTCGAAGAAAATGTCCTGGGGGCTGGAGCCGTCAGTGATGCGGTCCTTGTGGCCTAGATTGTCCATCAACTTGATGTAGCGAGGCTCGTTCTCAATCAAGGGGTGGACCTCTTTCCACATAGTGCCAGGCTTAATCGTCTCTGCTTCTCGGAGTTCGGCCAACAGTGCGGCGAAGCCCTCTCTAGCCTTTCGCTGTTCACGAGCCCTCAGCTGGGCGGCACGCTGCTTCTCATTGTGAGCATCGTTCCACAGTCTACGCATGTAACGATCGAAAATCTGGAGGGGCTCGGAAGGCGACAGAATCTTATACTTGGGGTCTTCCTGGAAGTTTGGGTGTGAGTGCAGACGCTCACGTGTTTCCATCCATTGTGATTTGGCATTGAGGTCGAGATTCTGCAGGATGTCGGCGACGCCTGTCATGGCGGCATCGTAGTCGCGCTGACGCTTGTCTTCGGCGGCCTTTCTCAGATGCACGAGATATTCGTCGAACATGCGGCGCTTCTCGTCCTCGTTGTCGGTAGCGCGGAAGATGGCTTCGTTCTCGAGCATGGGACGAGCAGTCTTCCAGCGCGTGTAGTGCATAATCTCGGGGTGTGTTTGCAGCATGGAGCGGAAGTCTGAGCGCAGCTTCTTGATGCGCTCCTTTTCGCGCTCTTGGTCTTCGCGCACGACGTCATGCAGGTATTTCTCAAATGCTGCCTTTCTCTCGCTGGGCTCCTTGATTGCGCGGTACTGAGGGTCCTGGATGGTAGCGCGCATTGCGCGTTCCCAAGACCAGCCAGGCTGGACGCCCGACTTCCTCAGCAGCTTGGTAAAGGCTGCCTCGGCTTCTTCACGGGAGGCATATTCGGGGCCGGTGGCAGCGACAGCGATGGGACCTCGGTAGTTGGCCTCTTCGCGGCGGTCGTGGAAGGGTCGGCTCTCTCTGGGGCCTCTTTGTTCGCGGGCAGGAGGGTGGGCCTGGAAGCTGGATGACACAAATTGCGGAGCTTCTGGTGCTGGCGCGGCGGGAGTGTCCCAGCCTGGCGGAGGAGTCCATGATGTCTTTGTCTTGTCGTCCTTGCGGAAGAAGTAAAGCCTGCCTCCGTCGGCCGTCGTCTGCGCCCAACCAGTAGCTTTCTGTTCACACTTTCGTCAGTTCGATGCGCGCTGCACAAGACCAGAGTCTCTCACCTGCGCCGGAGTCAAGAGATCATCGGGCACCGTGTATGTGTTGATATTGGCGGAACGATTGAAGTAGTAGGGCTTATTCGTCTTCTTGTCGAGCAAGATCTGCCATGCCGGATGAGTCTGAAGAGCGCTCATTGTGCTCGCTGATAAGTGCATGGAGCGAGCGACTTGTCTTTGTTCACACTTTCCCAAAGCGCGACTGCCAACTGGAAATGTCAAAGTTCGGCGTTTCCCGCTTGCAGCCACTCCGACTTGGATCCGCGTGCATGTGATGGTCGACATCATCCTAATAGTTGGACTTGTTTGGACTTTCACTTTGCAAGTCACTGGGGTGTCAGACGACTTGTATGGCTACACAGGAACAGGGCTCAATGACAACATCCACTGCCGCTGTATCACAGCCAGTGCTGTCCTTTCCCGATGCTTGCGCTCTTGATCTCCTAATTCCACACTCGTCCGACTTTGACATTGAGAATCACCTAAAGACTAATTCACAACTTGTATCTAGAGATGCCTTGCTTTTTGGTATGCAATTGCTTCTCTAATTCAACCTTTGTTGGTTTGTTAATGTCCAACAGAGGAGTTGCTGCCTGTATATCTTGTCCTCCGCAGTTCATTGGCCTCGTTTCAGCACACACTCGATCATCTTGAAGTTTACATAACCGCATATGCCACTCAACCCTCGCCTCCTCCGCGGCAACAGCCTGGTGCTGCTCCCACTCCTCAACAGCCACCTTTAAAACTTCCTCTGGACTCAATCACTATAAACCCCGATAACAAGCCGACTATTATCCATCTTCCCGACAGTGAGCCCGGAACATGTGCAGTCTGGAAATCCACGCTGTATCTCCGATTTCCACCTCAGAAACTTCATCGTCCATCTTTACATCTCACAGCGTCGGCCATCTTGAAGCCTGTCGAGCCACCAGCGCTTTCGACCGACTCGACTCAGGATGAATATATGACCAGTACATTACCGACTTCCGAGAACCTGCTCCAGTCTTTGCAGCACACCTCTCAATCAACTTCAAAACAGCCATATCTTCCATCATCTCGTATTCACAAAGTGGCACCTCGACCATCCTCAACAATTCAAGATACTCGCCCTTTGAGAACATCATCGAAACTTTTCCCCATCTCTCCGGCATTGGCCATCAAGGTTCATCTCACTCCCGAGCACTTCTCGGATATGCTTCTATGTTTAGATGTGGAGTCTGCCCGCCACGCTGGATATGGCGGTGTGCATGTGGACGAGATCAAGGCCGAAGGGACCAATCTGACCGTGGAATCGTTTTCGGCTGGAACTGGCGTACTCAATTTACCAGTAATGCTACAGACAGGAGACAGGAGCACTTTCCTGTACAAACTTGCGCGGACCAAAGACGATACTGGAGCTCTATCATATAACAACAAACCAAGCAGTGTCACGTTCTCAATCCGTGCTGTTGCTCGCATCAGCGACACATGCAGCGCAGTGATACATGCTCGCTGGTATGGAAATGTGAACTTTCCTCCATCACAGCCAAGCAAGCGGATGTCGGTGCGACCTCAAAGTGTGGCCTCCAATCTAGCTTTACAAGACATCAACTCCCGACCCCTGAGCAAACGAATGAGCTCCATCACGGCTCGACCACTGAGCAGCACAACTCAAGCTGACTCTGCAGGTGTAACCTTTGCATTCACCGCGCCCGAAAGAGTGGAGGAAGGCGAGACTTTTCATCTTGATGTATTCGTTGTGAATCGCAGTGCCAGGAGAAAGAGACTTGCCATCGTGGCCATCCCCAAGACTGCCAAATCCGCCCAATCGCATCACGACCTACGTTTTCCAAATGTTACACGACAAGACAGCCATCACACTGCGGAGGCAGTATCGGATGATCGCACGATATATCATATGCAACACCAGCGCGAGGCCCAGGTGGCAGAAGTCGTATGTCTAAATGCAGATGTGCGAGTTGGGTACGTAGCCTTCTTTTCATGCATCGCGACGTCTGGCTAATTGATTTTCAGTCCCTTACCACCAGGAGCTTGTCATAATGTACAGCTGGAGTTCCTGACACTGTCGACTGGATTGGTGGGTCTGGCTGCAGTGCATATGGTCGATCTGGACACACGGGAGACCACCCAGATTACCGAACTGCCTGACATCAGAGTTCTTAAATAGACATCTGTACAGCTTTGGATAATCTGGACACGTCAATCACGTGATGATTACTGTGTGCGCTTTCTTGATGTGCCAGTGCTGTGGTACAAGTACAATTTGGAAAGGCGTCTCGGTTGCTCGAGCTCTAAGATGTTCGAAGCAACAAAACTTCACACCAACACACCCGCCATCCCTTAAGAATATCATGTCTGATCAAGTAACTCTCAAGGATGCACCATCAATGCTAATCTGCCCATACTGATCGAAATGATGGAATGAGAACGAGATGGAGCTTCAAAAAGCTTGCTGAGGGTATGACCCGGACCGTGATCATTATTTCTCGATACTCGATATTCAACAGTAATGACTCTATGCACAACCATCGTCTGCTATGCCACAGTACTCTCACATCGATACGATAGTGTATTTGTGTCTCCCTCTAGTCGACATGAATCGAGAACTACTCTTCTCTCCATCTAATGGACCAGTCTCCCTTAGCATATGATGGTTCGACAACAGCACTATGCATCACAGCCTCACACATCCTTCTTCCTTCCTGCTTGGGCTCTCCCTCTTCATCGTCCTTTCCCTTCTTTCCCTTCTTGCCCTCTCCAGCAAGCACTCTGCTGCTCTCCAGACCGAACACCACAGCTCTCCTAGCAGCACACTTGACCATTTCCTTTTCCTCTGCTCTTCTCTGCCCCTCCCTACGTTTCTGCAGCATCTCGGGTGTCTCGTGGATTTTTTCTGCCCAGCCTTTTTCTCCTCCTACAGAGCCATTGACGTCAGATTCGGACTGGGGAGGTCGGACGCGTCCCTTCATCTTTACAACGTCGGCGTCTGCATCTGCGTTGTCCTCGAGAGCACTGGCAAGCGGCACGCCTCTGTTATCAAGAACTTTCGTGCTGTGGCTTTCGAAGCCATCTTCGTCTGCAGAAGCCGTTTCTGCTGTTCCGGTGTCGGTGTCTGAGTCCACCATGTCGATGCTTTTCCACACATCGTCATCAGCGACACCTCGTCTAGCCCTGTTCTTCTTGCGACCAAAAGTCTTTTCCGGATCTTCGCGAGAGCCATAAATCAGAGTCTCTACCTCGCTGCAAGTGACCAGAATCCGAGGATCACCCTTGACCTTTTGCTGCTTCTTTTTGCTGTTGCTCTTGCTGTAATCGTATTTATCATGAGGTTTCTCGCCAAAAGGATCTTGATTAGAGGTCGTCTTGGTGACTTCGTCTCCAGGTGCTGAATCTCCTTGTACAGCGGCATATTTGGAAGCATCTTGGCCGTCGAGGAGGGCTGCAAAGGCGGCTTCGATGCGTTTGTCTGCTGGTCGGAGTTTATGTCTCTTGCATCTTTCCGAGCAGAACTTTACTTCTGTAGCTGCTGTCTTTGCAGAGTTCGATTTTCTGGAACCTTTAAGTGGGAATTAGTATAGATACCAAAGCGACACGGTACGTCTGATGAGTTCAATTTGGCTGGCAATTAGCCAGTCTCCTTTCTTTTCTAGGCTACTTGTGTGGCGAGATGTGAGTTTTGGCTTACCAATAACTCTGCCACATGTGTGACAGTAGCGCACTTGGTCCGATGTCAGGTATAGCGGAGGAGGAGTAGCGGCATTCTTCTTTGGCCGCGACCCTGGATGCCAACTGTCAGTACCTGTATATCGTCGTAGCATAGATCACAAGAAACGAACATGAGTCCATCCAAGACATGATGAATCAAGCTGATATGATTTCTGCACGTTTAGGAGACAGTTCTCGCGCGATGCGAATCTGTGTGATGTATTGTTGTGTGGTAGGTGGTCGTGGTTGTGAGACGATGTCCAATTTACCGTCTACGTCACCGCTCGTCTCGCTCGCTCTCGAAATAAGCAATGCGAGCCGATCAATTCACGCATAATCCGTCCAGATCGCTATAGCTTGTCAAAGTGGGTATCATTATTTATGTCTACAATGCAGTCGTATCTAAGACGTGTCCAAACAAATGCTAGTATCATGGCCCAAATTCTTCCTCGATATCGTCCGGATCAACAGTGTTCACGAAAGCTCGCATGACAAACGTGTACCATGCTTTGTTGTCTCTGCGTGACTTCTTCTTTTTGTCGCCCTTCTTCTTGCCCTTTTTCTTGTGCTTCTTCTTGTTCATGTCCAGATCACTTTCATCGGTGTCGAAGGCTTCGTCATCGTCAACCTCATTGGGATCAGCTTCTGATATTTCCGACCCGTACTTTCGGGGCTTAACTCCAGCTATGCGTTGTGCTAGACGAAGATAACTTCTCGTTGTGAGATCTTTCAACTTGTAAATCTTGTCCTTGCGGGTGTCGTATAATACTTCGTAGGTGAAGTTGGTTGGATGTGGCGTGCGGTCGTCGTCGAAGGGCGCTTTGCCATGGTGCTTGCCATCCTTCCATCTTTGTTGCTCTACATCGTCTGCAAAGAAATCGTTGTTGATACGAGTCAGGTTGGCGTAGTACTGAACGAAGCCCAACAGAGTTAGTGATTGCGGAGAATATGCCGGTCCGGGAGGTGCAGATTTTGAGGGTGGCTTGGGCACTGTGAACCTGTGCTTCTTCGGCTTCTTTTTCTTCTTTTTGCGTTCAGCTTCTAGTTCATCATCCTCAACCATCGCTTTCTCGTCCAAGTCGTGCTCGTCGATATCATCTAGACGCTCTGCTGTGTCCATGGGATATTGTTCGAAGGTATCCAGGTAACCGCGAGGCGACTTTCTCTCAAGCCCGGTGATATTGTACTCGTAGACACGGATGGTAGGGAAGTAGTTTGGAACGACGCTTGGCGAGACATGTGAGACACTGAACCTCTCAGCGTATTGGCCTCCAATCTCAGAATCATAGTCGTCTGGACCGTGGGGCTTCTTTCCCTTGTGTTTCTTGCCCTTCTTGTTTGTTTCCACGTCTTGCTCTAGGTGCCCTCTCTCCAGTCCACCCTCGAACATGTCAGAAGCCTTGTGAGCTCTGTTCACTTCAGGTCTTGGTAGCTTGGACCAGCTGTCTCTTAGATCCTTGAGGTAGCTAGTGGCGGATTGAATACCAAACTTAGGTTCCTCAACAGAGAGCAAGCCCCTGTTGTTTGAACCTTGAATGATCTCGTAACCATCGACAACATTGTCATCAACATCATGAAAATCCTGCACGATGAAGTGATCGGTGTTCATGTGGCCGTAGAGAGTACCGGCTATGACATCTCTGTATTGATGCATCCAAAGGGTGTATTTCTGCCAGCAAGTCTCGTCCCAGTTGCTCTTGTTGGAGGTGCGAGCAGGAGGCACGTGGCCAGTGATGATGGCCTTCATGTTACGGTCGCGCAGGTATTGCAGCTGAATACGCAGCCAATCGAGTTGGCGGTACCCGGGCTCTGATTTGGCGGCACATCCATCGACGGCTGAGTTTGAGTTAAAAAAATAGCTACGGTCATGATTAGCATAGGCACCGGAAGCGGCAGTCAGATAGCAAAGAGAACTTACAGCGAGTTGAGCGAGACAACAGCAAGGTGATTAGGAATGACATCAACGTAGAACCAGCCGCCCTGATCGAAGGAGTGCTTCTGCACTTCTGGAATGAAAGTTCGCCAAATGTCCAGATAGCGCCGAGTCCAGGTGTTGGGTCCTCTCTCGAAGATGTTGTGCGGTAGGATGTCGTTGTTACCAAATGTAGGCACGACAGGCACGACGAGGTCGTTTGTAGGGTCGTCGTCAGGCTCGTCTTGGTTCTTGCCAAAGACTTCATAAAACTTGTCGACAAGTAGTTGATTCAGCTGGACGACTTGCTGCACATTTCGGGGTATCTTCTCATCGTTGTCGTGGCGAGCCGAGTCGCCAGTCCAGATGACGAAGTCAATCGAGTCTTTGAGCTCATCGCGGATCCAGTCAAAAGTGGCATTGATGAGTGACACAGGCGAGTCGCAGTCGGATGTTTCGGCGCCATAGTAGCCCGAGGGTCCAGAGCCTCTGTGACATGCGCCATCTTCGGATATCGACGAGTAGACCTTGTAAAAGGGATCCGGATGGAAGTCTGCATCGAGATAGAATGTCAGTCGGTGACATGTCGATTGGAGCTGCATGCATATTAACACTCACCCGTCACCTGCAGAAACCGGCCGTGCAATTGCCGTCTTCTGATCGTGGCAGACGCGCCATTGTCTAGGAAAGGCTCCTGTGATGCTCGCACAGGCTCGAGAGCTGACAGAGCCAAAGCTGACAAGACTGATGCACGCCAGTAGAACATGGTGGATGCCACTTGTCGCACACGTCGACCATGCACGAAATCAATTGTCCACCTCGTCGACCTTCAAGGTTGACGAAATTGCTGCTGCAACGGCTGCCGATCTTTGTCGCGTGCTACGTCACCGCAAAAGTCTGGGGTACGCTCTGGACAGGCTCGCGGAAACCAGAAGTCCTCGTGCTCGACTGCCTTTCTGCTTGCAAGTCAAAGACCAGTTTGTGCTGTTTTTCGAGGCTGGGGAGACCAGAGCTTGTATGATGGAACTAAAACAAGCATTTTTGGTGGTACATGATCTATCTTTTCGCGCCATCAAGGTAACGGCGTGCTTCTGCACCAATCACAGCATGAAGCCTGCCCACGAGCCTCCACATCATCTGCATGTCAGTCACCTGTCGACCCATCCGTCCTCATGACACGTCAAAGTCGCGCTTCTCAAAGGTCTGCTGTTCTGTCCTCGCTCTCTTTGATCCATCTGTCCAGCTGCCGCCTGTCGCGGACCCGAAGGCCGACCTTGAAGGGCTTTGGCTCCATCTGCAGACTCGTTAGTGATCGGATTTTAGGTGCAGCAAAGACGTAACTTACAGTGAGACTAGTAGGAAGAGCGTTTGCATTCAGCGCATCCAGGATAGGCGTATCCCTAGAGTCCTTTGGTGCGACGAACTGGAATGCCGTGATAAGCCTCAAGAACGCTGTGTACAGCTCGCGATTGCCCAGGTGGCTGCCAGCACACATTCTGCTGCCCGCTCCGTAACCGAAATGCTCGATTCCTGACATCTCCTTGTCCAGGTATCGTTCAGGTTCAAACTTGAAGGGATTGGTGAAGTGCGACTCGTCGTAGTTGGCTGCGTAAGCATTCATGTAGAAGGTAGTGCCCGAAGGAATCACGGCACCTTGCCATTCGATATCCTTGATGCTGACTCGCGGCAAGCAAATCGGAATGACTGACCAAAACCGGAGGGTCTCTTTAACAAGAGCCGTAATGTATGGAACCTTCTCTTCGACCAGGCACTTCTCCCATGCTTCACCGTTCGGATAGACCTTGTTGATCTCGTCGAGAGCTCGTTTCTGGATCTCTTGACCGTGCTTGGACGAGAGGTATGCTAAGCACATGACCAAGTTACCCGGAACGGTATCCAAGCCTGCGCTTACCATTGTCAGGCAAATGGACATGATTTCAGCATCGTTGAGCTTCGCTTCGGGATCTTTGAGGATGTTTCCAGTGATGCACGGTCTGTCAGTACCTGAATTAATCTTCTCCTTGAGCATATTCAACAGCTTGGTCATGTATGCTGTTCTGCGCTTTTTATATTCAAGCGGCTTCTTGTTGTTCGATGGCCACAGTCGCATGAGTGGGATATAATCCTGCCAGTTGTTCGATGTGGATCTGAAATTACTGATCTCGCGCTCAACATGAGTGATTTCTTTTAGCATTTCGTTGTCGATGCTGCCTTCGATCTTAATGCCATAGTTGAGGGTGAGACTCGTACTCAACGCATATCGCTGGAAATAAGGGTTCGGGTCAATGTCGATTGTGCCGTCTTTCGAGTCGGCAAGCATCTCCTTGATCGATCTTGTGGCTTCAAAGTCGATGAAGGGCATGTAGCTCTGCACTGCTGGACGGTTGAGAGCTGTTGCTGCTGCCTTTCTTCGCTCTTTGCAGCTAGGGTCCCATGGAGAGGTGCCGATGGTGAAACCACTCGAGGATGAGACCACAGTATGGAAAGTGTGTAAGGTTGGTCGGGAAATCAGTGCCGATTGATTTGTGACCCACAAGTGCTTGACCGAGTCAAACGTGTTGGCGAATACGATACGCTGTCAAGAATTCCCTTAGAACGATTTCGGTTCATCGCTTTGGCACAGGCATGCTTACCTTATTTCCCAGACGAGTTTGGAACACTGGTCCATACTGTTTCGCCCACTTCCGAGCAACGAGAGCATGATCGGTGCCCAATTGGAGCAAGTTGCCAAAAAGAGGAACGCCAGGGATCTCAGGAAGGTTCTTGATCTTTGGGATATCAGATGAGTTGAGGTATCGGACAATGAAGAAAACAACAAGAGCAGCTACACCAAGTACAATCGGCGAGGTCATATTGAAGGATGGAAAGATGTCAGTGGAGGAAACTGCTCAGGGTAGAATGTCCAACTTCTGCTACCTCTTACCAAGTCTTATACTCTTACTGGTTAAGCAGAGACCAAGCTCCTTACGCCCCGCTCCTTCGTGTGGAACTTCAAAAGCCAGTTGTCTTGCGATCACTAGCTTCTCTACACACCAGACTCATCCGCGGTGGGTTCCCCGCCTTTGTCTTGGTATGGAAATGGTGCTCCTGATGTCGAGCCGTGCGGAATGGGCCCGCACCATCGCGGAACACGGTGACGGAGTTTATGTTATGCAATTGGCTTGCAGGTCCATCGACCTGAAAACACTATCGATCGTAATTAAAGATCAGAGAAAGGTCAGGGAACCGTGTTGTCGAGAGGTGTATTGTGCTTCTAGGAAAGCTTTATAATTGAAGGCACAGAATCCTTCTCGTTTACTTCTTGAGATCATACTATGCATCAAGCTCATCGAGGGTTCAAGAGTAAAGTAGGTCTTGCTGAGCTCTTGTGTTGGCTAGGTCTTAAGTCGAGCACAGCGATATGAAGTCTGCGTTACAGCATCGTCTTCCATTTTCAGTTGTGGAAGAACAAACGCAACTACATCTGCACGGCAGGGATAATCTTGCCCTTGCATTCTCCAAAGCCGACCATTGAACCGTCTTCTCCTATGCACACTCCGCGTATGGTGACCTCGTCACCATCCTCGAGGAACACACGTTGCTCACCCCCCTGAAGTTTGATCACTGTCTTACTATTGTGATTTTGCTCTAGAAGGCTGCCGCGCTCGGATGTTTCTACTCCCGATATGGTGCCAGACCCTAGCAGGTCGCCTACTCGCATAGGACAACCAGTGATAGAGTGGTGAGTCAGCATTTGATTGAATGAGAACAGAAGATTCTTTCCAGATGTGCGAGAAATCGTGGTGCTAGAACCCGAGGAAGCTGTGAGACAAGTACACATATTAGCATACAGCTTGGCTACGAATCTGATTTCACTTACTTTTCAGCTCGATTTCCAGCTTGATGTCGTAAACTGTCTTCTCGTTCTTCTCTCTAAGGTAATCCAGGACTTCCACGTCGCTCTCTAGACCAGAAGTGCGATATGGCTCGAGTGCATCACTCAGAACAACCCAAGGGCTGATGGAGGAAGCAAAGTTTTTGGCGGTGAAGGGTCCCAGTGGTACGTACTCCCAAGCCTGAACGTCACGAGCGGACCAGTCATTGAGTAGGACGACACCAAAGATGTAATCTTCAGCCTCATCTATGGGTATTGGCTCGCCCATGTTGTTGTTCTTGCAGATGAACGCTCCAAGCTCAAGCTCGATATCAAGTTTCCTGCAGGCGGTAAGGATAGGCTTCTTGACTTCGGCCGAAGGGTCTTCCAGAATCTGGCCAAGAGGTCGACGGACTGGTGTTCCGGACACCACGATACTCGAGGCTCGTCCATGGTATCCCACGGGCAGGTGTTTGTAGTTGGGCTGCAGAGCATTTGCCGCTCCGCGAAAGAGCTCACCTACAGTGAAGGCATGATTCAAGCCAGCGTAGAAGTCTGTATAGTCTCCTATTTGCATAGGCACATGATTCGTCACGTCGTTTAGGGGGACAAGACAAGCTTCCTGGACAGATTTGTTGTTCTTCAAGACATCAGGGAAAGGTGTTGCCTCCAAGAAGATCGACTGTAGGTATTTCCTGACCGCTGCGTGCATCGGTCTTCCGAGTCCCGCAAACGCATTGAGCGTCGTGTCTGAAAAGACATGTTGATGTGGCTGGACCAGAGACAGAGCCGAGAATCCATTATGTGCTGTGAAGAGGTCCAAGTCAAGCGCATAATCTCCGATGGCAATTGCAGGTCGCGGTGTAGGTCTTGTTTGGGTGCTGATGATCCCGAATGGTATGTTTGCCAATGAGAAATGGCAGTCAGCGGCGATGGAGAGCCAACTTTTGAGCGACATGGCGAAGAGTCGGAGATGTTGATGTGAACAATCGAGATTGACTGAGACAGTTCGACTTCAAGGGCTGCAATTTGTCAAGTCAACCGCCAACGTTTACTTGACTGCTTTGGTAGAACACGCTGATGGTGATGGTAGAGAACGATGACGGACAGCGCGGGCACATTCCGCAGTCGTCCAACCCTCCAACCCCTCATACAGCTACCCCTCACAGCTGCGCGCCGATTCCGTGAACAGCTAGACGGGCGTGCCATAGCTCTCGGCCGGGCGCAGATTTAACTTACATACAGTAGGTCATCACTGAGCCATGCTGGATAATATTTAACTCAACTTCCTGACGCAAAACCTAAGCTTATCACAGCACACCAGTGTACCATCATGCCGACCACGCAATTCAGCGTCCAAGAAAAGTATCGATACCAAAATGGTTTCGCCAGCTATCATGAGTGAGAAATGCACCTTGCCGTATGTTAGTTACGAGACTGACAATATATCAGATCAGAAGCAGTGGAGGGTGCACTGCCCATAGGCACGAATTCGCCCCAGAAACCACCGTACGGACTCTACGCAGAGAAGCTGTCAGGCACAGCTTTTACCGCACCGAGGCACGAGAATCAGCAAACTTGGTTATACAGGATACTGCCAGCATCAGCACACTCGAACTTCGAACCACGAGAGCACGCGACATTCAACACAAACCCGGAGACCCAGCCTGGCCAGAAGATTCATCAGATCCCGAACCAACTCAGATGGGATCCCTTCGACCTCGATGAGACGGTCGACTGGATTCACGGTCTTCATCTAGTCGCCGGTGCAGGTGACCCAAGCATGAAAACTGGCGTCGGGATCTACATCTTCGCTGCTGGAAAAGACATGGATGCTCACGAAGCCTTCTACAGTGCGGATGGTGACTTCTTGATCGTCCCTCAGCATGGAGTACTGGATATCAGAACCGAGCTTGGGAGGCTCCTTGTGCGGCCAAACGAGATTTGTGTCATCCCACGAGGAATCAGATACCGTGTGGAGCTTCCCGAAGGACCGGTCCGAGGTTATATCCTTGAACTGTACCAAGGACATTTCACACTTCCAGAGCTTGGACCGATCGGATCGAACTGTCTGGCCAACGCGCGAGACTTTCAAGCACCCGTAGCCGATTTCGACGAGGATACCGATTCGCAGTGGACGCTGACGACCAAGTTTGCGGGCCACCTGTTCGCGGCTAAGCAGACGCATACGCCATTCGATGTTGTAGCCTGGCATGGGCTATATTACCCATACAAATACGACCTGGGACGATTCTCTACCATTGGTTCCATTAGCTTCGATCATCCCGATCCGTCAATATTCACAGTCCTCACAGCGCAAAGCGATCATCCTGGAACAGCAGTAGCTGATTTTGTCATATTCCCACCTCGGTGGTTGGTGCAAGAAGTGAGTCGTAGCTGATGGCCCCTTCAGCGTCATATGGACTAACCCATGTAGGATACCTTCAGACCACCTTGGTACCACCGCAACACGATGAGTGAGTTCATGGGATTGATTCACGGACAGTACGACGCAAAGACGGGAGGCGGGTTCCAACCAGCCGGAGCATCACTCCATAACGTCATGTCAGCTCATGGACCAGATGCCAGTACTCACGAGAAGGCATCCAACGCCGATTTGAAGCCAATAAAGGTAGGAGAAGGGTCGATGGCATTCATGTTTGAGAGCTGTTACATGGTGGGAGTGACTGAATGGGGACTGAGGAAGTGTGCCAAAGTGCAGGAAGACTACAACGAGGAAAGCTGGACACCTCTCAAAGCACACTTCAAGCGGCCGCAGAAGGAGGTCGGACAGATTGAGAATGGGGGTGAAAGTAGCGAGGGGGCGATTGGAGACACAAAACAGGTGCCGCATTGGACTTAGTAGAAGTACAGGCAACGCACGAGTCCAGAGAGCAGTGTCATGAAATGTTGTCGGGAATTGACGAGGAATGCTTGGTGGCAGGCACGCGAGGGAAGAGAAGCGAAAGCGGCTTTGTAGGCAGTGACGGCGCCAAGCATTGGTCCAAGCTCCAGGCTCAAGGACGGATGTGGAGGTGGTTATGGTCTCGTCCAGCAGTTAAAGATAAAAGAAAGCATTCTGCCCACGCGCAAGCCGTCGTCTCCAGCTTCCATCACTCGCATCGCCTCTCGGACCTTGACACGCCAACCGCAATACCGCCGCGAACAGCATTCGTCACCGATCTCTCCCTGTCACTGCTTCGGACCAGGACAGAACGGCAGTCGGCCCTAGCACAAGACAATCGAAACAACCAAGACGACGCGCCATGCCCTTGGGCTAAACCGCACCTTCACCAATGCGCATCGTCACCCCCAAGAACCTGCACTATCCCATCACCGTCACGAGACTCCTTCGCCAGCCGCAAGAACAGATCGACTACAATGCGCCCCTGTTCACCTACCAGTACAAGACAAAGGTGCTCGAGGGCGATGAGGAAACGCGCGAGGCCAAGCTGGTCGAGCGGCTGTGGCCCTCGACCTTTGAGAGCACTGCTGAAGGCACCCTGACCGAATGGCACCTTTCCGTAGGACGCGTGATAACCGGGCCTGGGTGAGCTCTGCGTCATATGCTCTCAGCCATCGCAAACTGACCCAACCTACAGTATTCCCATTGTCGACGTCGAGGAAGCATGCAAACACGAGGTGCAGTTCGGGAACCTTTGCGCCGACTGCGGCAAGGACATGACGACCGTCAGCTACAACACTGTTACACGCGACACGGCGAGAGCGACCGTCAATGCTGTCCACGGCCACACGTCACTCCTCGTCTCGACCGCCGAGGCCTCCAAGTCGGACGAAGAAGCAAAGCGCCGTCTCCTGTCGTCTCGCAAACTCTCGCTGGTCGTCGATCTCGATCAGACCATCATCCAGGCTACCGTCGACCCTACCGTGGCCGAATGGCAGAAGGATCCGCAGAACCCAAATTATCCCGCTGTCAAAGACGTCCGCGCATTCCAGCTCATAGACGATGGTCCGGGTGCAAGAGGCTGTTGGTATTACATCAAGTTGCGTCCTGGTCTTGAGCACTTCCTCTCCACCATCTCAAAGTACTTTGAGCTCCACATTTACACAATGGGCACCCGTACGTATGCTCAGAGTATCGCCAAAATCGTAGACCCTGATCGCAAAATCTTCGCCGACCGCATTCTCAGCAGAGACGAAAGTGGCAGCCTGACTGTCAAGAACCTCAAGCGTCTATTCCCTGTCGACACCAAAATGGTCGTTATTATCGACGATAGAGGCGACGTCTGGCACTGGTGTCACAACCTTGTAAAGGTCACCCCGTACGATTTCTTTGTTGGCATCGGCGACATCAACTCCAGCTTCCTCCCCAAACGCCCCGGATTAGAGCCAAGTCCTTCTACATCTGCCAACTCGGATGCATCAACAGCTGCCACTGTTGCTCAGCCGGCTACCAGCCCGTCGAGTGATCCAACAGGAAACAAGGTCTCAGCAATCGATCAATTGGTCTCCATGGGTGGTGGCAACGACCCTACAAAGCTCAAGGAGCAAACGTCAGAGCAAGGAGAAGCCATCAGCGCTCAGCTCACAGATCGTCCCCTTCTGCAAAAACAGAAAGTTCTTGATGCTGCAGAAGAAGACAGTAATGGTCTGGCTGAAGCCTCTTCTGACAATGACGCAACTTCCGCGCCGGAGCCATTAGCCGACGTGCATAATAAGTATCGTCACAATTTGCTGCAAGACAACGACGACGAGCTGCACTATCTCCAGCGAAGTCTCCAAAATGTCCACTCAGCCTTCTTCCAAGAATACGATCGAAAGGCTTCGGGGCCTGCAGATGGCCGTGTCGCTGAACTGCGTACCGGTCCCGACAACAGTCGAATTACGGAAAATCTTGGCAGCATTCCGGATGTGACCAGCATAATGGCAGCGATGAAGCTTAAGGTACTCCGCGGAGTTCATCTGGTTTTCTCTGGTGTGATGCCATTGGGTGTTCAAGTCCAAAAGTGAGTATGACGCAACATCTTAAAGCAAGCCATAACTAACAGTCATTGCAGTCATGATTTCGCGATCTGGGCTAAGAGTTTCGGCGCTACCGTATCAGAGAACATCACCAAGCGTACCTCCCATGTGGTATCTTCGCCGTTGCGAAAGACAGCCAAAGTCAGGCAAGCCGCCAAGAAACCTGACAAGATCAAAATTGTATCCCAGGATTGGTTATTCGCATGTTTAGTACAGTGGCAGAAGATTGATGAGGCTCCGTTCCGACTGCACGCTGACTTAGAGAACGAGCCAAACGACCAAGCTACCAATGGCCAAGGCTCACCTTTTGATGGACCTGACCAAAACGCTCAATTGTCGTCATCAGACGAGGAAGCCGCTGTCACAGAGGACGAGGATTCTGCCGAAACGTCCGGCACAGAGAACGATACCGATGCACAAGAGCAAGCGGAACTCGAGCGTTACATGCCTACCTTGCCTCGCGAGCAAAGCACGACAGATTATGACGATAGTCTTGCAGCAATGCATGCTGAACTCTATGCGGAGGGCATTTTCGACGGGGACAGCGATACAGAAGGCTCTGTTCGCTCAGAGGCAGGAGATGTGGATTCGCTTCCTCCCAGTGCCAATAAGAGGAAGAGAAGCGACGATGACCAGTCCGAGGATAATGACGATGAGAGTGATTCAAGCTTGGGCTCTAGCAGACTCGAACGGCGGAAGAAGAAGGCACTAGCTAGGACGACAAGCCTTGTCAGCGTTTCTGCGGTCGACGACGCACAGAGGGTCAAGGCTGAAGCTCAGGCTGTTACCCAACAGGACACACCTGCGGATACCAAAAACGACATCGTCGAAGATGAAGACGAAGACGACCTGGATCTTGAGGCACAGATGGAGGCGGAGATGCTGAGACAAGCCGAAGAGGAGGGATACCCATGATTGGGATCGTTTTGACGGGCATTGCTCACACATTATAGGCGGGCATAGCAAGGCGTTTTGGCGAACATCCTGGAGATGCATAAACAAGGATAGGATATGGCGCATATAAGACCTCTTATCAGCGGAATAACAATTCGTACGAGCCAGTGTGCCTGAGTCAGCTTCCTGTTATCAGATGAATAAACTGACAAGAACGAGTCACAGCCTTTCGATACTGTCGAGTTGATGATGGGCTTCTGGCGCAGTCGATGGAGGACTCCAATGGGCCATTATCAATGACCATGATAATTGAACGATACGAGTTGGCATATCGGCGCTATTGGTTGCACGGAATATAGTTTGTCATGTTTTAATTAATTATTTTTGACTGATTGACCGCTATCAGCATGCTTCTTATGCTCGTGAAATATATTCTGAGCTACGTCCGGCTTGTTTCTAGAAGCCATCATGGGTCGTAGATGCAAATTGTAAGTCGATCAATGCGGCGAGATCGTCTCCAGCAATCTCGTCAGTAATGACATGATCGTCTTCATCACGTTGATCATACCATATCGTCGTCCTCTTCTTCATCTATGTAGTTTTGGTAGTCCCTGATGGGCATCTTTGTGCGTCTGCTGAGCTCATAGTCGAGGACGTCGCTCCTGGACTCAATGTACTGTCTCGGTGCCCAACTGACTGGCACTGCTGTTGATTCATTTCTACCGTCCGCATTGATCAGAGTTGAGCGGAGGAATATGAGCTGGTTGTTGCTGTCCTGACGGGTGGGAATCTTGTCAGATACTCCAAAGGCGATGAGCGTAAGGTGGGAAGCTGTAGGGGGTGTGTAGAAGAACAGCTGAGTCGACTGCCAGCGTAGAAGCTCAGTATACATGGACTTTTCGAGGTTGGCCTTCAGAGGCGAGCAACTGGGAAATGTACTGATGTGCAAAGTCAAAAGACGAGACAACGAACGGATGCCGAGCTTGAACACATCCCAGGAAGGACTGTTAGTCCTGAGGATGCTTGATGCAGGCCAGGCACAACTGAGTTGACGCAATCTCGTCACGCTTGAACAGAGGCGTTGAAAGTCGTCGCTAGCCCAGACAAGTTCCTCGTTCGAACTCTCAGAGGCGTGTACCAAGAGTACCTCAAGAGTCTTGTTATGTTTGATGATACCATCAACATTTGGCATGGACTTGACATTATTCAAATCAAGGTAAAGGTCCTCAATGCCCTCGACGAGACACAAGAAATCATCCACGGCTGTGAGGGCATCATTATCCTGATTGTCACTGTGCTGAACTTCCAGGCAGCGCAACTTGCGAGGCAGGTACGCGCTCTTACAGAGCAGCGAAAGTAGCGCATCTGCTCCTGAACATTTGACGATCCGCAAGGTCACGATTTGCGTGAAGTCAATAAGGCGGCCGTATGTGTCTGCACAATATCGGAGACCCACGTCCACCAAACGCAGGGAATTGAGATGGGCAAACGGAGGGCTAGTGATCTTGTCAAATGGAAGTAGATGGCGGAACAGAGCCTTGTTCAACAGTCCTGGGCCTGTAGGGCTGTCGTTAAGTTCTCTTGTCGTATAATGTACCGGCCCGTGAGCGAAGTTGGTATGGATGATTAGTTCAGTCAGAGTTGATATTTTCGACAGAAAGAACTGACCAAGCTCCAGAGTGGGCAAAGAGTCCGGGTAAATTGCGAGCTTTTCGCAATCCTTGTAGAGGCTCGCATGTTCATCTGACTTGGACTCAAGCTTCTCCACAGCGTTTGTTCCTTCGAGTCTGAAGGCGGTCAGCCAGTGTAGTCGCTTCTGGCGGTCGAGCAAGATAAGGAACGTTTCTTGGTCAAAGGCGAGCCAAGGAGACCACTCAAAGTCTTCGAGAATGTTCTCGGGCAGAGAGTCGATCAGCATTCGGACGACCATTTCAACGCGTAACTTATCAATCTCGGAGAGGTCGATGTGCTGAGGATTGAATTGAACCCGCAAGATCCTGATCTGCTTCAGTCCTGCATTGCCGGGATGAAGCATGGCACCTAGTCTCAGATCTGTCCTTCGACCGATCTCGAGGTTGACAGATTGATACAGCTGCTTGGTCGCGGCATCGTAAAGTCGCCTCGAAGTGAGGCAGAGACTTTTGAGGTCCGATGGTCGATGAATCTGACGTTGGTCAGCAAATTATGACGAGATTCTTGGAGCGTATACGTCGAATAACTCACGTGCTTCACTATATTGGTTTGCAGTTCTGGGGCAAGCTCGTTGAGATTTAACATCTTCTGGTTGTGAGCTTGTTCGCCTTTTTCGTGCTCGGAGTGGTAGCCATTCTTGGTCGGTCCGGTGGCTTGGGTTTCCGGTGTTGGCAGTGCCGTATCTTGACTAGCCATGTTGCTTGCAAAATTGATGAAGGTGTCTGTCATAGATCGTGAAGCGAACAAGTTCAATAGATGATTGCGACGAGTTTGGAGACTGAGAAGATCGTGTTTCTCGAGAACTGAAGCGCGCGCTTTGATCGGGTTGGTGATTGCGACCTGGTGTATGCACGAGGCGCGGCTGCATTAGGTCAACCACAGTCAGCAGTGCTTCACATCCGGGACCGAACGACGAACGACGCTCGAGAAAGAGATGGGTAGCAAACAGCGAATTGCTCCCTGAGGTTACCTTTTGAAGTGAATCAAAGCCTATTCTTGAACCAGGTTTGTGTTCACTTGTGTATCTCTCCAGGCCCTGCGATTCACTCTGGGTTAATTGGTTGAAGTCTGAGGCAGGTGCAGCCACGAGCCAGTATGGGGTCTGCATCACATCGAACCTCGTATATTTTGTAGGGCACTCAATCTCTTCTTCCACATATACCTACTTGTATGCTTGAGGTTCGATACCATGTCTTTGCATACCCGACTCTGCTCCGCATTAGACGTACAGTAATGACTAGCTTTGGAAAGAACACATTCATTTGCGTTCCGAGGGAGCCTCCTCGGGGAATCGATGAGACGCCTACTCTCGGTGATCTTACATGCATACATCAGACCTATTTCGATCCCGGTGCTCTACCTCTTGTCTTGAAGCTAACTATGGAGACATAGCGGCGTGGTCCAATGACTGGTTCAAGGCAAGAGACAGCTCGAGCTCGATCAGGATCATGATTCGCTGTACAGCTCGGGTAACCTCTGGAAGACGATTGCTTGGACACGCCATTCGATATGAGAGAGAGCAAACCGGTTCTCCCCTCTGATAAACCAGTCTATCGATTTAAGATCATTGTGTTTCAATGTTGATTGTCCCCACGGGGACTCTTCTGAAAGTGCCATCAAAATTCGTGATTCAGTAAATACGATGGTCGTATTCCGATTGGCTGGTCTTCCGATGGCACCGAGAAGTTGGCCAGGAGTACGAGTAGCGCAGGCCCTTGATTGTTTTTCCGTGTTGTTTCTGGTTGTCTCTATTTTCCTTTCCCATGACAGGCCTGCAGTTTGTCGAGAAGTCTGTTTGGTATGTCATGGTGTCTTCGACTTTCGAAAAGCCAGGCCTCAAATGGATGTGAGTCAAGTCTCATGGGTTGCCGCCATCTCGAATGTTTCATCGTAAGGTCATGCAGCGCCCCTGTGACAGGCAGGACGGTACTGCGGTCATCGTGGGACTGACCTATGAGGATAGATATTTGGCGCTGTGGTTTCAGCCGCACAGCTCTGAGGGGGGAAATTAGATGTAGGTGCAATCTAACAAACCTCACCTACTGGTCGTGTTCAACGGCACCAAGAACGGCCAACGACATGTCGCCAACTCATGGCCGTCCTCATAGTGGCCAAGTCACACTGCGTCGTTCGATTCAAACAAGCACAGGTCTATTTTCATCCATTGGGTCGTTTCATTCAATTTCTCTCGTTCAAATACCCCGGACTGCTGCGTTTGCGATCCTCCGGTAGCTTCTTTACGGTCACTATCCCTTGCATCCACGGTTTCTTAACTCTCTCAAATCCTCGCAAACTCCCTCGCACGCACCCAATACCACACTCTCTTCGTTCAATTCTCCCCCCACCAATTTCACCATGCCTTCGTTCATCAAGACTGTTGCAGCCATCGCTGTGCTGGCCACTGCTGTCGTTGCCCAGTCTGACACTACACCTGTCACCGGCAAGCTAGGTGACGCTCCTCTTCAGAGCAGCAACCCCGCCGGTGTCGCTTACATTGCCACCTTTACCTCCAACAGCAAGAGCAACATCTCGGGCAATGTTCTCGCTTTGACCAGCTCCGACGACGTCGGTGTCAACTTCCAGATCGCCCTGACCGGTCTTCCCGCTGAGGGTGGACCCTTCCGTACGTTTTGCGCATATACCCGGGCTACATCTGCGCAACTGTTGACTTAGAGATCAGTCTACCACATCCACGACTACCCCGTCCCTGCCGACGGTAACTGCACTGCTACTGGTGCTCACGTCGACCCCTACGTCCGCGGCGAGACCCCCGTCTGCGACGCTTCCTCGCCTGCTACCTGCCAGGTCGGTGATCTCTCGGGCAAGCACGGAAAGCCTACCAACGAGACCTTCTCGGCCACGTGAGTCACTCTCTCCAAGCAGTAACTAGTTACAGTGTTGCTAATACGACAAACAGCTACGTTGACAAGTACGTTTCTACCGTCCCTGGCCAGGGTGCCTTCATGGGCAACCGCTCGATCGTTGTCCACTACGCCAATAAGACCCGCATTGCTTGCGCCAACTTTGTCGACTACACCAATGGTACTGCCGGCACAAACACTACCACTTCCACCAACGGCACTATCGTCTCGGGCTCTTCCACCCGCACTGCTTCTTCTCAGACCGGTCCTGCCACCTCTGGCAGCGCCTCCAAGACCAGCGGCGCCGCCAGCTCATCTTCCAGCGCTGCCGCTAGCACCGGCGCCGCCTCTCAGCTGTCCGTCAACGGTGCCTTGGTCGCTGCTGTCGGTGGTCTTGCTCTATTCGTTATCTAAGTTCGACGCTTTGTCCTACGAGAAGGACTCTGATGCCCGTGTTTCTGCTGTACTTCTAATACCCGAGTCACATGGCTCCTATTACCATAACTTTCGCTTTGATCAAGAAATGAAATGTTTTCGCTTTGCTAAATTCGCTACATCTGTGCCTCTTGTTTCTCTTCTTACAACTGTATGCACTCCCGAGAGCTCCAGCGGTTGATTAACCTGGGTAAACAACTTATTTTTGGAATGATCGCTGGTTAGGTGCGCGAGGCACCTCTCGCTGCCTGTTGATACTGCTCTCGACCTCTCGCTCTGTGGCCTCAGCCTAGCTCAAAGTGACTAGCGTGCACATGCTGCACGTGTTGCACGTGGTTCGTGTTATATAAGACTATAGCACGTGACTCTTGTATGCAAGTTTTATTTATGATATACGGACATCAAATTGCACTAGCAGTAATCTACTGCACATTCTCTACCTTCCAGACCTTGACAGCAGCATCGGCTCCAGAGCTGATGACCTTCGAGTCTTCCGTCCAGGCGATACCGCCAACGCCGTCCTTGTGAGCGTTCATAGCTTTGACACGCTTGCCCGGGTCGGCAAGACTCCAGACGAAGACGTTTGTGTCAAGACCGCCACTGGCAGCCTTTTCACCATCGGGAGACCATGTAATGCAGGTAACACGGGCGGTGTGGGCTGACCAGCGGTTGGTTGTCAGCGTCCATTCTGACGGTGACGACGAGGTGTAGACGTAGATCTTGCCATTGCTGAGACCGACAGCGAGGCGAGTTGTCGAAGCGGAGGAGAAGGCGAGGGTCGAGACGGCAGCTGTGGCATCGCGAATCTCGGCAACAGACGACAGCGAATTGCCGGAGAGTGTGTATATGCGGACAACCTTGTCTTCTGCACCGACTGCGACGATGTCACCCTTGGCAGCAATGCTGGTAGGTGTGAAAGAGACGGCCAAAGATCCGACCTGCTCGCCATCGTTGTAAAGGGTGATGGCAGAATTGGTGGCCACCAAAGTCACGAGCTTCGAGTCTGATTCTGCGACTGCGACGCTCTTGGGCTGGCCATCGGTCTTGCTCGAGGTGCCGGTGAAAGAGTGAGTGGAAGCGTCAATTGTCCTCAGAGTATCGTCCCAGGACACGGAGTAGATACGGCCATCGGTTTGCGATGATGCAAAGGCACTGACATAGTTTTTGGGGGATTCGCCATCAACGTTCTTGGCCACAGCGGTGGAAAGGTCCCAGGCACGAACACGGCCATCGTAGCTTCCGGTCCACAAAGTCTTGTCTTTGGGTGTATATCCGGCAGCAGTAATCGCTTTTTGATGACCGTGAACGACTCGAACGGGCTTGTCGTTGCCTTCTTGGAGGTAGTTGAGGTTGCCATCCAGATCAACACTGATAACGAGGCCGTCACTACGACCGGTGGGCCACGTAACACCAACTTGTTGGTTGGCGATGCTCACAGATCCTTCCTCGCCCATACGCCATGTCTGGACACACTTGGCAGCCTCGACATCCCAGATCTTGACAGTCTGGTCAGCACTGGCGGTCACGAGCTTCTTCGAGTCCTTGGCCCATGAAACACCAAAGATGCTTCCCTTGTGTTCGCCTTCACCAATCTGGTTCTTAGCCTCGCCAGTCTTGCCATCATACAACCAGATACGCCTATCACTGCCGACACTGACAAGGGAAGCACCGTCCGGACTGAAAGCAGTGCCGTATATGAACTTGTCATGCTTTCCACGTAGACTGGTGTTGAATTTGAAAGGAGCGCCGTGGTAGAAGACCAGGCTGGTGTCGTCTGAACCAGTAGCGGCGCGGAGAGGACGCTGCTGGCGGATGGAAACTGAATTGATCTGAGAGCTGTGGCCAGAGATCTCACCAACGCTGTTTCCGCTGTCGGCGGTAATGCAATGGCCGAAGCGCTCTTTACCATCACCCACAGCGATGATGCGCTGCGAGTCACCATCCCAAGCAATGTCGTTGATGCGGCCAGCAATGATGTGGTATTCTCCCTTTGTGGCGCCTTCGCCTTTGCAGTCCCAGACGCGCACAGTACCGGAAACGTCACCACTGGCTACGTAGAAGCCACTGGGCGAGAAGCGAGCGACGGTGGTCTGAGTGACATGGTCGGTGTACTGTCTTGCAATGCTCGGATTATCGATGTTGCGGACGAAGATGGACTTGTTGGCGGCGTAGGCTATCGACTGGCCATCGGAGCTCGAGCTAAGAGGAGTTGATTGACCTCGAGTTGTCGACGGTGAGGCCGCCCAGATGCCGTCTGCCAGCTTCTTTGTTAGTCGTATGACTTCTGCCGACAGTCTACAGCACGAAACTCACCAGCTTTGATCGACATGCCGTCAGTATCTTTGTTATTGTTACTTGCTAAGTTCTGTTTACGCCAGACTTACTGTTGCTATCTTCGGGCATAGCCCCTCCGAAACACACCGTCATCGCTTGGCGTGTATTCGTGGGGTAGTTCATGCTCCGACGTGACTCGCGCTTTTTGCATCGTGCTGGACCTTTATTGCCATGGTGGATCATAGAGTCGAAAAACTGATCGTGAGATCTTCCATAATGGCGAGCCCGTCGTTCTCGCGATTTTGACAAGCCAAACTAAACTCTGCCTCATGGCCACGTCGACTTATTTCTCTAGGCAAGAAAAATCGCATGGAAAGATGCATAACACGTTCTGGATTAATACATGCTGTTTGTAATATAGACACTTATTCCCACCTGGTCTTTGTGCCATTTCAAAGAGCCCAAATATACCGCGGTAGCATTCTGTTTCACTTGAGCATGTTATAGAGCTTGCTAGATGTGTCGTGGTCTTTTATCATGGTTATCTGACCAGGGGCAGGGTCGTACTGGTGACAAGAAATCTTGGTGTGGCACGTGAAGAGCTCGGAGCAGATTGCCGAACACGAACGATTTCAACAAATCCAGCATGATGATTTTGCCGAGTTTCATGCTGTGCACACTACTGCACGCTGCGCACGGCAGTAGATTCGCAAAGTTGTACTCGAGCATTTCCAAACAAAAGTCATGAGACTTGACAGATCGGGAATCTGGTGATGTGCGGAGTCCTCCCCAGATTGAGATCCGACTCTCGAGTCTCGAGTCTCAACACTCCCAGCGCGAGAGGCCAAGGCGCATAGAGTGGCGAAAGCAGGTACAGTACTCTGCACGTCGTCAACCAGGCACCCGAGCCTCGCGAGCTCAACCACCGCCGCCGCCGCCATCGACGTCAAACTCTAAAAATTCCGCACGCCCAACGCGCGTCCCCCTTGCCCAGACCAGCGGTCTCACTCAGCAACTGTCCTTGCTCCCACCAGTGCCACGCTGTCGTTAGCGTATCCCTCTTGCATGGGTGAAGAAGGTGATGTCTATGCACTGCCAGAATCGGCACGGCTATGCTGATCTAAACACGAACGGCGGGATCTTTTTTTCGTTGTGTGGAGGGAATAGATCGGTGGGAAAGTACGAGTACCTATTTGAAGGATCGCTCTTTACTCGTCCTGCAACATATAATCAAAGCCTTCTTCTCTTCTCGTGCTACTTGCTTCATCTAAATACTCGTGCACCTCTTTACAAAGAACAACCTTCCGTCAACCCAAAGCCACAATCGATATGCAATTCAAATCCCTCGCCGTGTTCGCCCTCTCTGCTGGAGCCCTTGCTGCTCCCGAGAAGAGACAGGCCACTGATGTCAACCTGTAAGCGTGCAAGGTCCCCGTACAACGATGTTCGACGTACTGACATTAGCAGTGCATCCGTCATCCAAGTCCTCCAGACTGCTGTCCCTACCTCGGTTGCTCTTGAGTTCCTGACCAACTCTGCTGGTGTCTACTCATCCGTCGCATCTGAATTGGCCGCTGGCTCGACTCCTTCCTGGATCGCCGGTCTTCCTAGCGACGTTCAGTCATACCTCGTCGGTGTTGCCGAGACTCCTTCGGTCGCCAGCTCTGCTGTCGCAAGCGCCACTTCTGCCCTGGCCAACAGCACCATCACAACTGCCCCTGTTGTCATTGCAAGCAACGGTACCTCTCTCAGCAATGGCACTGCTCCTGTCATCGTAGCCAACGGCACCGCTCTCGTCAACGGCACTGTTCCCGCACACATTGCTGCCAACGGAACCGCCATTGTCAATGGTACAACCTATGCCAACGGCACTACCACCTACGCCAACGGTACAACTCTTGCCAACGGCACTGCCATCACAACTGGCTCCTTGACCGGCTCCATGACCCGCTCCGGCTCTGCTGGCTCGTCTTCTGCCACTGGTGCCCGTAGCTCTGGCTCTTCTGGCTCTTCTGGCTCGGCCGCTGGTGCCTCTGGCGCTTCATCTACCTCCACTGGTGGTGCTTCTCTTCCTACCGCCTTCGGTGTGGGTCTTGCTGGTGCCGTCGGTCTTGTCGGTGTCTTCGTTCTCTAGAGAAACCAGCCTTACAATGATATGAGGACATGACTCAAATCGTCCCCGTTAATGGCGCAAGGTGCAGATGAGGTCTTTCGCACGGGTGATCGTATCAAAAAGCTTAGACTACCCCTTCTGTAATGTTCATATTATACGCTATCATACCTACCTATTCGTCTTGCAACATCAGCCTTACTCACATGCCATAATCTGTTCCACATAGCTATCTCAAGACACGTTGTTCCTCAGAACATGGTGATGTCCATCGGAAAGGCGTCGGTGCACCGGCTCTTAATGGAAGCTTCTCTGGCTGACGAGATCCACTGCATCGTACTACAGCTCGTTGATTCGCTATGTGCAACATAGCTGAGAGAGCGATCGTCAAAGTTTCGGGACTCCAGAAGGGTGTTCTCGATAGCCTATAGTGGTACGCATCCATTATCGTCATGTATTTGTGGGTGAAAGGGAAACGCTTGACAAGGATGCTGGAGAGGTGTATGGTGGTGGACCACCCTCATGGGGTTGATAGCCGAGGTCAAGATGACATCACCAACTTTGTTCTTATGATAGCAATGCAATTCACGACCTTGATGAATGCTACCCCCTCCCCCAAGTCAATTCAAAATCTCGTCTTCCAAAATCATACCTGAGCATGATGTCGAAATTACCAAAGAGCGTCTCTACTGCCACGTCGCGCCTGGCGCAAGTGTCGCAGCAGTTCTCGTCCCAAGCACCACTCAGACAGCAGCAAGCAAGAATGCTCCACCGAGGTACCATGCACAAATTGAACACTGGGTCAGTACTCTCAAAGTCGTGATCCTGCCCGTGTCGTAAAAAAAGCTCGAAATAGAGGGTGCAGAGTTTGTCGTCCAGAGTCAAACTCTACACCAATTCGGTCTATACATGATGCCAGAGTGTCAACTTGGTGCTGACACAGATCGCAGAGCAAGCATACCAGCACTCGGCTTTGGTACCTGGCAAGACAAAGACGCCCAAGAGCCAGCAGTCATCGCTGCCCTACAGGCTGGTGTGAGACACATCGACACAGCAGCTGTATACGGCACTGAGCCCGCTGTCGGTTCAGCTATCAAGAAGTCTGGCGTTCCTCGCTCGGAGCTCTTCCTTGTCACCAAGATCTGGAACAACTCACATGCTCCTGAAGACGTTGAGGCTGCTCTCGATGCTTCTCTCAAGAACCTCGGCACTGATTATGTTGACCTGTGGTTGATGCATTGGCCGTCTTCCTTTGCCAGTGGCTCTTCTCTTTTCCCCAAAGACTCGAATGGAAAGGTAAAGGCAGGAACCTCAGACTATGTTGAGACTTACAAAGCTATGGAGAAGCTCTACAAGTCTGGCAAAGCCAGGGCTATTGGAGTTTCAAATTTCAGCAAGGCAGAGATGGAAAGACTTATCAAGGAGACCAGTGTGGTCCCAGCAGCTCACCAACTAGAGCTTCACCCGTACCTGCAACAACACGAGTTTGCTGAGTGGCATAAATCTCAGGGCATTCATGTCACACAATACTCGCCTTTCGGAAACAGCAACGAAGTGGTAAGTACTCGGAGGTTGAAGTACGACATCGAGAGCTTGCAGCAGTGTCCCGAGCTCCGATGTGGTAGCTCGCGAAGCAGAACACAATTTGGCTAATAATCAAATCCTGGTGTTAGTACTCCAAGGGTCAAAACTTGAGTAAGCTGATCGAAGACCCGACCTTGGTAGAAGTGGGAAAGAAGTACGGAAAGTCTGGGGCGCAAGTCGCGCTTGCTTGGGGTATTGCCCATGGTCGCAGTGTCATCCCCAAGAGCAAGACCCCTGACAGAATCAAGCAAAACGTCGAGGGCGACTTCGAACTGTCTGCTGAAGACATCAAGAAGGTGGATGCCATCGACAGAAAACTGCGTTTCAATGACCCAAGTGCGAACTTTGGTTGGAACTTCTATCAAGACCTCGAGGGAAAGGAGGCATAGGTAACTTGTTGATGCGGAGATAGCATGCTAGAAGATGCTCTTTGTGGACGGACCGGGCGGTGTATTGCGATTCGCGGACCCTTATTCGTGTTGGTGACTCGACCCTGAAAGAGTGGTTGGCAATTGATGTGTTACATAGAGCATGGAATGACCCTCATATAAACTGTCTAGTGTGGCTGCTGCGAACCGCTTGTGCCGAGTAATGGAGCTGTTTATCGAAATTTGTTCCAAGAATGCATTGCTGTGCCGCAATAGGCCTTCGAGCCTAGCAAGGAAGTTCCTCTGCATAGCCAGCTGCAAGGGCAGATGTGCATGGTGTTGGCTGGCCGCCAACGTCGCGCGAAACAGCCAGGAAGCCCATTGTTCACAGTCCTCATCGGGAGAGCAGCTCTACACGTTCGGACGCGTTGTCCTGAGGTTCCGGTTGGGGAAATCGGTTTCGAGAAGTGGCTAGTCAGGGGTAAAAACAGTATCCGACCAATGACGAGTGGCGTCCCTGGCGGCCCGGAAATTCAGAGCGGCTCCATCGTGGATCATGGGTGGTCGCGCTCGTGGAGATCACTGCAGCTATTGATGTCGGATCGCTTGTGCCATTTGGCGCCGAAGAGCTTGATGTAGACAAGGGAAAAGCTCGTCCAAATGTTGACTTCCATAAACAAACAACAGGCAGTTGGTTGTACAATAGTGGGTCATCCTTCTCGGCCACCTTTTCAGCCTCCCCACGTCCTTACCGAAAGCTAATCAGGCTTTACCCCTTGAACCGTTGGCGACACGTCCGCCGACCAAAGTCTCGTATTTTCTCATCAGACAATTCACAAGCCACTGGCTTCCTTGCAATGCGGATTGGAGAGGGTTAGCTGAGCGCACAATGGAAGAAGTCGGTTGGCATTCCCCGGAGGACGCAAATGAGACACAGCAATCTCACGGTCGGTCAAAGCTGCGGGAGTCGTCTTTGATTGAGCCTGTCAGCGCGGTGCCCTCCTTTTCATCTTTCAAGAAGCGAACCTCGCAGATCCCTATTGCGATAGCCTCATCACCTGGAGGGAAGACGCCCGTGCCAGATAAACCTTCACCTAGGGCCGGTTACTTCTCCTACATACCCTCCCCGTCCCAGCCCCATGATGCAGCTCTGCGAACGAGAGCATCCTCTATAAACCAGTCGTTGCTGCTGCAGGAAACGGCTTTAACGGACGTTAACGCAACCCCTCGCGCGTCAGAACAACAGAGGCAGCTTCCGCAAGCTCCAGTCTTGCCAAAGTATGTTACGCACCGTTGGATAGGGGATAGCATCCGTCTTCACGTCGCGTGCATGGCTGACTTTGTTAAAGGGATACCAGCAGTCCTGAACATCTGCCCCCCGTTTCGTCTCTCGCCCTCTCTCCCTCCGGTGCACAACGTCGCAGCATAATCGACAGTCGTTTGCCGGTACCGTTAAGATATGATAAGACAACCGCTCCCGGCCACCACACAAATCCCAGCTTGTCGAGTCAGACGTCAGTCCCAGCCTCACCTCGAAGAGGTCGCTCATCTACCATGAGTGCCCAAATGCACGCCCCTGCCATGACCGTCCAGCTTGACGGCATTCCCAGATCATTCACAGACGAGTCCAACGACTCCTTCCCCTCGTCGTCGTCTCCAAGGAGATCGAAGTCCCCTGGCCGCAAACTCGGTTCCTTCTTCGGCTGGAAGTCGTCATCTCCCAATCTCGAAGCACAATCACCAGCAACCTCCTTCTCCGACGTCTCAGCCTCCCCAGCCCATTCTCGCAACACTAGTCACATCGATGCCACGCCTACAAACATGGGCCTCTCACCACCTGCACTCGACTTCCACCATCACCATGCAGGCTCTCAATCTCAGTACTTTGAACTGTCCAACACCCATCCTCTTTCGACGTCGTCGGCCCTGAACGCTCATGTAGAGGAGCTGGAGCGCGAACTCCAGCAGGTGAGTTCTGAACTCGCTGGTTCCATCCGTCGGGAAATGGACCTCGAGGATGAGATCGACCGCTTCCGCAGCGAGATGCCCGCCGGCTCAAGTGAGCTTGGTCGAAGAACAAGCGATTACTTCTCGGATTCTGGCACCAGCTCCCTGCGCTATCCTCTTGGCGACAGCGAAGCCAAAATTGACGAACTGGAACGTCTCAAAAGAAAGGCAGAACAAGAAAAGGCCCAGATGCAAGTCGACTATGCCCAGAAGCTTGCTGATGAGCTGAAGCTGAGGAAGAATCTGGAGGCACAAGTCCAACAGCTTGAAGAACAACTACACCACAGCAGAGATGGTACCCCAATCGAAGAGGGCCCCAAAGACGAACGGGTTCGTGAACTCGAAGTCTTCCTTGACGAAACCCGTCGCCGTCTAAGCCAAGAGCGTCAGTCGAAAGATAACTTCGAAGACCTCTTTGCCGCACTGAAGGACGAGAGCGAGAAGCACCGCAACGAACGCGACAATCTTCGTGACGAAGTGGTCCCGGAGCTCAAGGCTAGAGTTGAGGGACTTGAAGCCGAAGCCGCCGAGATTCAATCACTTCGTTACGAGAACACAGGCATGCAGCAGCAGCTGCAAGCCCTTCGCGCCGAAGTTCAAATGCTCCAAGAGGCACAGGACAGCACCAATCCTGACTTCAACGAGGATGTCTTCGCGCCACCGCGATGGCCCAAAGCAGGGTTGTCCCGATCGAACTCTTTGGCTAGACCCTCTTCGAACGGCAATCTTCGCCGGAGCAACTCATTGGCGAGGTCTGGCTCAGTCAGAGAGCGCAGCGAGACTCGTCAACGTTCTGATTCCTCCTCTGGTGACCGCCATAAGGACATCGAAGACCAACGTGATGCGCTGCACCAAGCTCTCAAGAATCTCTTGCGCAGATACGAAGGAGAGAGACGCGAACATGCAAAGACCATGCGTAAGCTGGCAACGGATCGCGACCGTGCCAGAAAGGAAACCACTGGCAGAACTCCCTTCACACGCGAAGTCAATCTCGTTCGTTATGAGATCGGCGAGCTTAGAAAGCGCGCCGATGATGCACTCGAACAGAAATGGCAATGCGAGAGTAATATTGGCGGCGTGAAGATGGCCCTTGACAGAGCGCAACAAGAGACACAGTCTATGCGTGAATATCTGAATGGTCGAACCATAAGTGGTTCTTCTCGCAAGTCAACTTTCGAAGGACTTGGCATTGAGATGACCGATGATAACGTTGAACTTGGAGAAGAGGACCGTAAGACTATGATCAAGGTTCTCAGACAGAGCATTGCCCTCGCCGAGACAGAACGCGATGCCGCCCTTCGCGAGGCAGAAGAATACCGCCAAAAGGCATACATGCTCCAGCAGTCCGATGACGCGCACATGGATACACAAGACGGCCTTGCACATCAGTTACTAGAAGCAGCCACACGCATGGAGCAATTGGCATCGCAGGTTCAGGAGCATCTGCAAGCCAACCTGCAACTGCGTGAACGTCTTGGTCAGGCAGTTGGCAAGGGCGAACAGTCACAAAGCGAATCCACCGCTCTGATCGTGGGTATGCAATCTCGTCTGAAATTGATGGAAGACAATGTGGTTGCGGCTCAACAACTGTCGGAGCTTGCCCTTGTCAATCACGAAGAAGAAGCAAAACAGATAGATGATGCCAACAGCCCCAAGCTGCAACGCCTCAACGTGAATGGAAAGACGGCAGCGTCTTCGGTACAGGCATCGCCTCTTTTCGGAGTCAAGAGCCCCAAGATTGGCACGAGCAGCGGTGGAATGGCTGAGAATCTCTTCGAAGCCAGCAAAACAGCGACGCTTGAACGCAGAGTCAAGGAGCTCGAAGCGGCTCTGGTCGAGGCAGACTCGGAGATGCAGTCGGTGGTGCAGAGAATCAACAGTTCCCAGTACGAGATCGCCGAACTTCAAGGCGAAAGGTATGTACCATCTGTGTGACAGACACATAGCACGAACTAACAGATGCACAGGGATGAAGCACAACGACAGATGCGCCGTCTACAGGTCTCGATCTCAGCCGAGAAGCAGAAGGCACAGGCGCTATTGATGGCGTAGAAAGCCTCTGGTATGGTGGTTCGCTTGGGCAGACGCGTCGACATGGAAGTTTCTTGTTCAAATTCTTTGTACACGGTCAGGTTTTTGGCATAGTTTTCGGTTGGATTATTTTTTGGACATTATACCCTTTTGGTGGAGAGCAGTGTTTTGGGTTCTGTAGGAATGTGGCTGTGGTTCGATTGGATCATAGTATGCATAGCATTGGGGTTAGACAGCGAAGGTAGAAGCAATTGCATAGTCGTACAAGCATGTGGAATGCGGTAGCATGTATCGTGGGTGGCTTGTGGTGATATCGCACATGCATGTAACAGGATTGGGCTCGGGAAAGAGTAGGCTGATGGTGTTGTTTCATCCCCAGACTTAGCGCGTCTGTAAGGGGGCGGTCGCTTCAAGCTGCTTGCGCAGTGCAGTGCGAATGTCGTGTAACCAAGCAGCTTTCTAGAGTCGACTGTCCACGTTGATTGTCCAGTGCTTGTACTCTGTCTTGTGATCGATTGGCCGCTCTCGGCACTTTTGGTGCGTGCTTTCGTCTACATAGCACACCGACTCGCACTTTCTCCTGCAGCTCACCCTCCACCCTCTACCGTCCCTCGTCCGACCCTATCCTATCCACGCCTTCTTCACACCTTCAGCCCCACGCCGGCCACGCCTCGTACCGCTCGCTACGCTTCTTCAGACATCTCCTGCCGCTGAGCAGTCAACAGTGCGTTCGCGTCTTGCTCTGCTCAATTGCTGAGCTGCACCCCTTGTCCCACCAAATCAACGCTGACCCTTCTGTGTCTACAGCAGCAAGCATGAACCCCAACAATCAGCAGCAGTCCAATCGACTGCAACTGAACTTTGGATTCCAAGGAGCCCAGAACTTCGGCGGCGCTGAGCAAGGCCGCGCCTATCCCACCACCCCCTCGACCTTCCCACAGCCATTCCCCAACACACAGGGACAACAAGAAGTTTGGGGCACAACACAGCCCGGTTTGAATCCCGGCTTCACAAACCAAGGCTACTTTGCAAACAATCCCTACACCTCTGCTACCCAGCAACAACAAGCCAATCTGCACGCCCAGCAAGCCTATCGACCTCAGCCCCAGCAAGCTCCGCAGCAGCAACAACACCAAGCACAGCAACAACAACAGCAGCAGCAGCAGCAGCAGCAGCAGCAGCAACAACAACAACAACAAAATCAACAACAGCAATACCACGATGCCGCTACAAACGGTCTGGTTCACCAATTCTCCAACCAGAACCTAGGCGGCACACCTCGAGCACAGAGTCCCTACGGACGTCAAGTCTCACCAAATCCTAACCGCCCGCGCACAGCCAACTCAACCCATCAACAACAACAGCAGCAGCAGCACTATTCTGGCCCATCTCTATACGACGATGAACCGCCAGCAAAGAACCCCGAGCGCTTCTCCACCAGCATTGGCAACCGAGCGAAGCTGCAGACCGAATTGGTCAGCACCTTCTTCCGTGACAGTGTAGAGCGAGCCCGCGACCGCAATTCCCGGTAAGCCATCCGTTTCCCTCCAGCCAGTGTCCACAGCTAACATGTTATGCAGTGCTCAGGATCTCGAGATTATCATGAAAGACATGTCGGTGTCAGATTCCCGCAAACAGCAAAAGACTACTAGCATGCGTCGCTCTGAAGCAAACTTCCTTCGCTTCCTCCGTACCAGCGAACGTCCCCAGAACTACTCCACACTCAAGATCATCGGCAAGGGAGCCTTTGGTGAGGTCAAGCTGGTACAGCGCAAGCATGACGGCAAGATTTATGCCCTCAAGTCACTTGTCAAGGCCGAAATGGTATGTCCTGTCCTGCATCGACCTCTGCCGTGTCTCAGTACTGACGCTGCCCATCACAGTTCAAGAAGGATCAGCTCGCCCACGTCCGTGCCGAGCGTGACATCCTCGCCAATGCCGACAGTCCATGGCTCGTCAAGTTGCACACGTCGTTCCAAGACTCGACTTTCCTCTACATGCTCATGGAGTTCTTGCCAGGTGGTGATCTCATGACCATGCTGATCAAGTACGAGATCTTTTCCGAAGACATAACACGTTTCTACATGGCCGAAATTACTCTGGCTCTGGAAGCTGTGCACAAGCTTGGGTTTATTCATCGGTATCTTCTTCCCCAAATTCGAACTACCCCTTGTATACCCGGCTGACAAGATGGCAGTGATATCAAACCCGACAACATCCTGCTCGACCGAGGCGGCCACATCAAGCTTACTGATTTCGGTCTCTCGACCGGCTTCCACAAGGAACATAACGCTTCGTATTACCAGCAACTCATGTCGAACGCCCGTTCGCGCGCAACTGCCGCGAACCGACAGTCGGTCTCTCTCGACCAGATTCAGTTGACTGTCAGCAATCGTCATCAAGTCAACACCTGGCGCAAGTCTCGTCGCCAACTCGCCTACTCGACTGTTGGAACACCTGATTACATCGCTCCAGAGATCTTCAGCGGTAAAGGCTACGACTACCGCTGCGATTGGTGGAGTGTTGGTACCATCATGTTCGAGTGCTTGATCGGCTGGCCTCCATTCTGTGCAGAGGAGCCTCACGACACATACCGTAAGATTGTCGATTGGCCCAGAAACTTGCATTTCCCTCCTGATCAACAGATCGGCCCTGAGGCAGAACACTTCATCCGCAGGTAAGCTTGACTCGTGTTGCACTTCTTGAAAGCTTGGACTAATTTTGGACAGCTTGATCTGTGATGCCGACAACCGTCTTGGTCGCCTGGGAGGTGGCACTGAAATCAAGCAGCATCCATTCTTCCGTGGCGTTGTGTGGGACCAGCTTCGTCGTATCCGTGCTCCCTTCGAGCCCAAGCTCTTATCCGCAGTCGACACACAGAACTTCCCCATCGACGAGATTCCACAAACGGACAACAGTGCTGCCCTACGCGCTCAGAACGAGGCCATGGGAGGTGAAGAAGCCAGCATGAGCTTGCCATTCATTGGCTACACTTACAAGCGTTTCGATGCCTTCCGTGGAAGCTGAGCAATTTCAGCCAAGGCCGAGAGGGAACTCTTCGTTGGTCGGATTATGGCACATGGCATATTCATCGACAGTTTGGGATTGTGTGGAACGCAATGGTTCGAAGAGCAATACAGTACAGCGCATCAAAATCCGTATCTAGCCAAGTACGCAGGTCGGAACACCTGTTCTGTGTCTCTCGTTCACGGTAGCTATTGGCCATGACAAACATTTGCATGCGGGCAGACGGAATGGATTAGGCGTTCTCTTTAGCTTTGCAGCAAGAACGAAGGACGTTTGGTGCTAGTAGCACAAGACGATGTATTCTTAAAACTTTGTTCTCATACGATGCAGGAAACATGTCGTTCTATAGCATCCTCGTGAGCCAGTGTAATTTTTCGAGTGGCTAGAGTAATTGTGATGCATGATGACTGAAACGAGGGATGACTTCATGCGGAAGTGTAGAATGGAAGTCTGGTGTGATTGGATGGCGCGTCACGCTTCTCCGCTCGGAACAGGGCAGGGCAGCCGGCAAGGGTTCCATGTGCTTTGGTCGCATCAATATCCAGGCTATACAAAGACATGCAGCGATTGTGTGCCTGAAAAGTAGGTTCCTTGTAGGATCAAGCGTTATAATAGACAGCTATGTTATATTACATTTCTGTCCAAGGACGTTATATATACTGGATTCTGCAGGCAATTTCTGTGAGCCATACAGTTTGTCTGACTGGACATTGATCTTTTGACCAAAATTGAGCGCTTACGCAGCTCCACCACCCATGATATTCTTGCCTTTGATGCTTTTCCACTCGATAAACAGACTGACGATGAAAGCAAGGCCGCTGGTCGCAATAGGTACAATGAACGCTGATGTTACGGCATTACTGTATGCCATCAACACACCAGCTAATTGATCTGCCGAAACCACTTCTCGAACGTGTGTGGCACCTGCCGAGATCACGGCTGCTGGATTGACGCCAGGTGCGTTCTTGATAATGTCCTTGACCAGCGTGTTGGCGAAAATGTTCTGAGCAATTGAGATCGAGATAGCACCTCCCAAACTGTTGAAGAAGATGGCTATCGCATTACCAGAAGGCATGTCTTTTTCTTCCAGAACGACTTGTACAGCGATGAATGGGATCTGAATTGCGGAGCCGGAACCGATACCAGCGAGCAATTGATAGCCAATCCATCTGGCAGCGGGAGAGCCAACTTCGAGAGTATAGAGCATGCCAGCACCGACGGTGAACACGGCAGCTCCGAACCACATGAAAGGGGCGTAGACACCGATGACAGTGATGGTTCCACCAACGATAACTGAAGCAATCGTGTTCGAGACAAGATAGGCGATACACCTGATACCGGAGCCTTCTGCCGAAGTGTTCTTGACTGCCTGGAAGTAAAATGGTAAGTAGAAGATGTGGCTACAGCAATGTTAGAATATGGTATCTAGTCAATGCTCGCTGATCAGCTTACGTGTACATGCCCATGGCGAAAAAGGCCGAGTACGCTGCGGAGACCAGTACGGTGCGCTGCTTGACCAGGATGCGAGGTGGCAGGGTGGCTCGGTCTCCTAGCTTGATCTGTAAAGCGATGAAGACCGAGATCAACAAGCCAAAGCCTAGGAGACATCCCCAAACTTTGGAGTTGCTCCAAGGGTACGTGGTACCTCCCCATTGCAGGGCAAGAAGGAGACAAATAATGGCGCAGATGAGGAGGAAGGCGCCTAGAATGTCAATCTGCTTAACCTTCTCTCTGAAGGTCATGTTTGTGTGCTTTCTCTCAGGATTGCTGAAGAAAAAGAACACTGCAACCAGTCCAATGGCGCCAAAGGGCAAGTTGATCCAAAAACACTGCCGGCGTGTTAGTATGTACATTGGCTGAAGCTGTTCGCAATTTCCGTACCCATCTCCAAGTTGCTATGAAACATTAGCGAGGTGCTTGACGAGGATGAGAACGAAAGACACATACCGCGATCTGTAAAAACCCCACCTAAGAGCGGTCCAACAATGCTGGCAATTCCAAACATGCTGGATAGCGACGCAATGTAGATTGCACGCTTCCTCAGCGGAGCGATGAAACCGATGATAGTCATGCCTCCAGAAAAGAGAGCAGCAGCCCCAACACCAGCGACAGCTCTTCCAACGATAAGCATAGTCGAGCTCGTGGCTGCAGCGCAGATGACTGAGCCGATTTCGAAGATGATCAGGGCTGACAGATATGTCCATTTCACGTCAAAATATGTGTAGACTTTGCCGAAGGAAGGCTGCAAAGATGTGGTCGTAAGAAGGTATGAAGATCCAATCCAGCCGACATCGTTTAATGCATCGGGCCATTCAGTCGTGATCTTCGGGACTGCTCAAGTAAGTTTACGAAGCTTCTGAAGATGCTGGATGACTTACTCGCAGTTGCGATGACTGGAAGAATGATAGTTAGCACAACTCAACTGATGGTATTCGGGTATGGCTAGGCGATTGTCGCAACTGCCGCTAGTAGTTGATTGCAGCATTGCGAAAGAGAAGATGCAAACGTACTTGAATTGTCCAGAGCAACTACCCAGATAGTAAGGCAGAGTCCCATTACAAGCAGCCAGAGCTTGGGTCCATGAGGATATTTGGACTCATCCTCGGCTGCTCGAGCAGGTGCATCTGTCTCGCCTTCTCCACTGGAAGTCGCGTCTTTGTCGACAGAGTCTTCCCTAATTGCAGTCACTGCCTCTGATTTGCCCACGGGACCATCTCCGCCTTCATGTGACTCAAGTTCAATCACATTCGACTCGGCCGTCGCGCCTCTACTAGAGCGAAAGAGCCCCATTGTCAAGATTCGCGACTTGTCGCTATGAGGCGTGCGTGAGACGATGGATGGTGAACGGCAGTGACCTACCTTCCGTTATGTATGTTCCCGGCTCCTCATTTCGTTTTTCGCAGGAGCCGATCAACGCCTGCTGGTGAACGAATCTCGACCTCCAGCCAATCGATATACGCAACGGGATTGTACGACATACGAAAAGTATATTTTGCTGTAACCGAGGCGATCTCGTCTAGAATGCTTGCGCCCGCAAGATCATCTGATAGATAATTCGACACCATATAAGTATCGTATTGTTACCTGGGAAATGGTCAGATGGGATGCAGACCTTCCTGCGCCAAGCCATGCATGCATATGCACATCCTACAACTGGTTACAGAAGTACTTCGGCATGGTTTCCACAGTCGGCATCGTCAACTCCAAAACGACGGGTCGCGTGGTGGGGTATAGGGTGTCGATACCAATTGTGATTAAAAGTCAATAGAATAGTGTATCATAGGTGAAATCCGGTACATGTGAACTCCGGTATATGAACCTTTCGCTCCTGCCGCTATGCATTGGAATCTATTTGTGAGAAAAAGAAATAATGAAGAATAAAACCTAACAAGACAGGCGTTTAGGCCTGTTTCTCAAGGTCGACTGCAGCAACAGAGCCGTTCTCAGGCGATGTAGGCTCGTGGTCCGGGTTGGCGGATGCCTTGTTGGCAATAGGGAATGTAGGAGCAAACGAACTCTTGCTTCTGATCTGAGCTCCCCTCAGGTAGAACCAGACGGGCAGGGGAACCAGACAGAATGCAAAGCAGCCAAGCAAAGTACCAGCCCATTGGATGCCCATACCGTTGATCATGTACGTGGCAAAAAGTGGGAATCCAGCACCGCACAGGGAACGGAGGAAGGTATTGGCAGCGATGGCAGAAGCGGCGAACATGAGGTAGCTGTCGATGAGATAATTGAGGCATTGAAGGAAGATGGACATGATGCCTATGTCATGTCAGTGAGTCGTTGGTGATGGGCCATAATCTGAACTTACCGAAGCCTGTAAAGAATCCACTCAAAGTTGGAGCAATCCAGTGAATGTCTGCGCGGTAGCCAGTCCAGCCGAACCTGTCGCGCGATTAGCCCAGATACATTAAGAGGTGGATGAGTTTGGCTTACCAAAGTAGACCAACGCCGAACAGTACACCGCCAATGATGACTGGGGGAAGACGCCATTCCGGAATGGGGATGTTGTTGTTCGCCTTCAGCTTGCGATTGTACGACGGTACATCGATGACGATGTAGACACCAGCAAAGATCTCACCCATGATCATACCGAAGTATGGCAAACCACCAACACCAGGAGACATTCCGTGTACACGCTGGAACACGATCGGGTAGAAGGTCAGGAATAAGTAGAGAAGACCGTAAACGAATGCCTGCATCAAGACCATTAGTTCTTAGCACAAAAAATTGAAGCGGAAAATTCAAATTACCATATAGATCGACAAGAGCAAGACGATGGGCTCTGTGAAAAGCATGCGCATGGGTCGACCCAAGTTCTTCTCAACCAATTCACGCAGGTTGATCTCGATTTCTTCCTGCTTTGCGTGAATGCCCCAGTTCTTGGTTCTACGTCTGAGCTCGGCGGCCTTGTTGACAAGGATAACGGGTGGGTAAGTCTCTTCTAGAAGGAATATCAAGAGGGCCAGACCAGTAAATCCCATGATAGCTGTGATGTATTCGGTCCATCGCCATCCGAGATACGAGGTCGTGATGAAACCTCCGATGAAAGGCGCGAGCAGAGGTCCCGAGAAGACTGCGATGGAAAATACTGTGACGGCGACACCTATATGAATGTGAGTCAGTGGTTCAAAGCAATTGATCAGGACTTTCACGGACCTCGCTGAGCGTTGTTGAACATGTCGGCGAACACGGCTCCGACGACGGTGAGAGGACAAGCGCCCATAAAACCACCGAAGAATCTGCAAATGAGAATAGTTTGGAGATCTTTACCAACGGCCACGGCGATACAGAAGATAGAGAAGCCGAAGGAGGAGATGAGAAGGGGGAGACGACGTCCGTAGAGTTCTGACATCGGCGCCCATAGACTGTGCCAGGGGTCAGCGATATGTGAGTAGTCTTTCGAGCAAGAGGAACTCACATGGGACCAGTAGCGAAACCGAGTACATAGAGTGAGATACCAAGAATGCCGACTTCGGTCGAGACGTTGTATTCGCGGGCGACAGTGCTAGTGGCAGAGGAAAAGATGGAGGAACCGAAAGCAGCAGTCAATGTAACGAAGCCTAGAGAAGCAGCAACGGGGAGCCTAGAAGACAGATCAACATACTGGTATAGTAGTCACTTCATATGGTACTCACTTCTTCTTGAATGGCCAATTCTGGGCATGCATTGGATCATTGGGACCATCGAATTCGACTACATATTCCTCTCTTTCCGGTAATGGTGGAGGATAAGGTTTACCACCACCAAAGGCAGGCAAAGGCTTGCTAGCCTTAGAGGACCTTGTTCGGAAGACTCCAAAACTTGTACTATCTGCACCATTTGCTCCGACTGTAGCACTGTGTTGACTCCTGCCAGTCTGGATTCTGCTCAATGCAGTAGGATGTCTTTCCAGATCTGCCTCGTTTTCATATTGTGTTTCGACTCTTGAAATGTTTCTGCCCATTTCCTGTAACCTGACCGAGCTTCCAGAATGAGACGATGCATGGGAATGTCTTGTGGCTATAGGCGGTTCGTGTGATTCATGGCGTTCGATAGGACCAAATCTCTCGGGCGAAGCATCACGCTCATTATCGGCCATCGCCCTGTCTTGAGCATTCATGATGGCGGAAAACCAGTCCTGTAATCCGGCAAAGGTGACTGAGGTGTATGCAGAAGAATAGGGAGGGGGACCGGAAGCAACAACAGGCAGCGGTGACCAGATCAATAAATGAGATGAAATGCTCGAGCACGGGGCAGACGAGCTGCAAGAGTGGATCCCAAAAACGGTTCGAAGGAGCGGCTGTCACGGCAATCCTCGACTGCCTGGCCTCCTAGAATTCGTGATTGCAATGAGCTCGCTAAAATTTGCTGTTTTTTTTTATCAGTGGAACTAGATGGAATGCTCTACGAATCCGCGAGGCATTACTTCCTTGTCCAGGAGAACTCGTACGAGCAGAGCTCGTTCCTGCGGGGCAGACGAGTGACGGCAGTAGCCCATCATTGTATCGGTACAGATAAGCAACCACCTACGTCAAAGTTTGTCTGGCATCAGCTCTCTATTTTTGCTGAACCCTTGACGCCCTAGCGTGCCAGGGTAAGCTGATTTAATCGTATCGTGGCGCTGTCCGAACGGCCTCTCTTCGTCTCCTGTTCGGCAGTTGTTCAGAGTCGGAACGGGCCCGATAACCAAGGCTATCAATTTCTTTACCAAGGCATTCACGATCGATGACAAGCTGCTCTCCTGCTGAAACGCGCCATCTATTGCAGAAGGAAGCTTTGCGGAAAGAATGCGCCTTCCGATCAACAAGCAATCTGGGGTAAAATTTCCGAGTCAGTTTTCAGCCTTACTGAGAGTCGACTTCTGGATGATTCTCAATAGGATTGCAATCAGGAAATCACATTAGGATATTAGTTGACCTCGTACTCGATAGCTTGTACAGCCTCTAGTGGTGGATAGAGAGATTTCACGACTGATCGCATGGCAGCTAGACGATTGTCCCAATACTTGACAGCTTCAAGAAGTAAGCAACCGCCGCAAGCCGTTCTGCATCGCCTTGATGACACTGTTACCAATGGCGTGATACACCGAGATGAATACTCGCTGTGTCGCAAATCTTTGTAGGAGGCATCGACGTCGTAGAATACAAAAAGAATACCGTAGAAGAAGCCTTCGTGCCACATGACAGCAAAATTTGCACCGCCACAGATCTGCGTCATGCAAGTGGCGTTAACACCTCTCCAATTCACACGATAAAACCAACGCAGCAAGTCTTCCACAATCACCATCACCTCAACTCAAACCACCCTTTCCAAACATTCTCAAATCAGAACACAAACACATACGCAACAATGGGTCTCCCTCAACAAACAAACACCCCTGTCGAAAAGCCCTCGACCTCGGAGACGGCCGAGAACAACCCCACCTCCACCCCTGCCGCCGAGGTCAGCACACAAAACAGCTCCATCGGCGCCACGGATCCTTCTGAACTGGCTGGAGGTGCCATTGGCGGTACGCACGGAAGTGCAGAGGAGGCTGCTGATAAGCTTTACGAGGAGAGAATGGAGGTAAGGCATTCCTTGTGTCTGGAGAATGAAAAGAGCTAACATGGTTACAGGAGGAATACGCCAAGCGCGAGGGAGGTGCTTAAATGGAATCATGTCGATAATGAAGTGACGAAAAAAGTTCAATGGTCAGGGGACTGAAGGTAAGTTACAACACTTTTGGGGCTCTGCATATAATTATATCTAATGTATCACCAACTTCCTGACCATTTTGTTATTATTCTGTGTGTGAGATCTTGCCTGATGCTGGGATTACTCTCCTCGAGTTATTCGAATTCGAGCCTCACCTGCTAGCTACCAATACTCGCTCAAGCATAGCAAGGATCTTCTTGTTGCCATAGCGCTTATCTCCAGCAACACCCACCGCCTTGACCACCAACGGATACAGCAGCTGCAGATGTGCCTTTGGACCTTGGCTGCCGATACCAAACATCCTATCCATAGCATCTGGAGCACAACGTAGCTTTTCAACTTCAGTCAAGCAGAAGAGCAGCTCTTCGACCTGTGACAGCGGCTGTGGCATTGAACCACGAAGTGGCTGATCGACGATATACGCCTTGAGAGGAAGCGCGAATCTCAATACTAGATGCATGGCCGCAGTCTGTGAAGGCTTCACTTGACTCTCGCTAGATTCGGCAACCAGAGAGACAAGCTCAGCGAAGCACAAGTATGCCATGTCTTCTCTTGGACTCGGCTCGGGATCTCGAACTCGACCAATACGCAAGTCATACAAATTGGCGAGTTTATCGTCACGCTGAGATATATCGCCGCGCTCGACAGCGTGGATGAGCGATGCGTTGAATAGAGAAGTGGAGTATGTTTGACGTATCTCGTCAGGGATACTCGGTGAGCCTAGGGCCGATGTCATCATGGATTTGAGCCGCTTCATGCTTTCACAGTCGAAAAACTCATCTGTTTCGACAGCTTCGAGAGTGGGTTGAGGCGAAGCTTCATCAATATCCGCATGCATGCTAGCATGGGCTATGTTGACGATTGCTGTCCAGATGCGTGTCTTCAATTCGCTCGGGACATCAAGCTCTTCCATCTGTTTTAGTGTCTTCTCGATGATAGTCAACGACGCAGAAGTGGCTTTCTGCCACAGCGCCGGCGCTCTACCAGATTGAGTCCATCGGTACTTCAGACGCATAGGTATCACTATGTCTTCCAAAGACTTGGCCACAGCGCCTGAATAGAACATCTCGGGCTTGGACAAAGGTGAGGTAATCAATTCGACTATCCAGTCCATACTTGATTTCGACAAGGCAACGAAAGTCAGATTCCTCCTGGGCCTTTGTTCCGAACTTTCGAATGGCAATGACATGAGCTGCGAGGCGGCGAAAACTAGCGTTGATGAGACTAGATCGATGTTGCCATGGAGCGCTCGCAGGTGCTCAAGAACCTTTTGCTGGAGCGCAGTGGGCGTTTGGACATCAGAGCTGTAGGCTCCACCCGTGGATGACTTGACACAGGCAATCATGTTTTGAACCATGATGTTGAGCCTCTCAGTGGTGGTAGATCTCTCAACCAGGTTGTAAATGGTTCTTCCACAGTTGATATACGCGATGTACTGATCCTGTCCAGCGGCCTGTCCTTTGACGTCCGCAGAATTATCAGGAATACTAGACGACCACAAGAGCTCTGTGCGAGATATCGCCGGCCCTAGTTTCTTATTGTCTGCTCCAAAGGCACCTAGGAGCGTCCCCAGAGCATTGTATACAGCTGCATTGATGGCAGAGGAGCGAAACGTCAGAAGAGTTTCGAAAATCTCCATCAAATCTGACCACAGTCGGTCGAACGACGAGAATGAAGCCATCTGGTCGAATTGTCCAGCGAGGAGAGCGGCAATGTCGCCAATGATCTCACTAGAGGTCGCGTCAAGACCGATGATAACGTCGGATGAAGTTTTGCCTGAGCGAAGAGCTCTCTGCTTCTCCGCGTGCTCCCTGAGAAGTTTGAACAAGAGCGTCTCAATTGTTAGTTGCCAGGCTAGATCAGAGAAATCGCCACTGTGGTTCTTGAAGATTCTCAACAGTGTTTGAAAGGCACTGTTCCTGACTTCGGAGCGGTCATCGGCGATAACGTCCGTGAGTCTGTACATCAGTAACACCCACTGAGCAGGTCGTGATTCTTTGCTTCTTGTGACAATGCGTTCGTGTCCTAGGACTAGTCGCTCTTCAGTAATACCACTGATAAGTTCATTGAGGCCAGAGACCACTTCTTGCTTGACGAGGAAGTCTGACACGTCCCAGAAGAGTGTAATAGCCTAATTAAAGTTAGCGTTGGGCTGCAGCGACACAAGGTGAAGAGCTTACGGTAAGCGAGATATTCAGGTCAGAACTCTGGGAAGCAAATCGGAAGAGGATCTCTACCAGGGGACTGAGGCAGGTCTGCGGCAGTGGTGCGAGGAAGTCCGAGCATACTAATTGCATCACGCTGAATGCCGATCTCCCCAAATATGGAGCGACAAAGTGGCTTGACAACTTCAGCCAACCCTCCTTGGTATTGTGCTCACCTCTCTCTTCCTCCTCAACATCATCCATGTCAAAGACACTACCTATTATGGCGAGGATAATGTCCCAACCAGCGGTAAGCGCTTCTCCGGACTTCTCCAAGATAGCTTTAACAGAGTCAAGAATTCTGTTGTGATTTTCGATATCGATATTTGTGAGGTCACCGCTTTGCTCGTAGATACGGCGAACAAGAAGATGCAAAGATGACAATACCATCTGTTGTGCTACTCCCGCATCGTCTGGTTCTTCGGATGTGCTTGCTTCTGCAACTGCCATGGAACAACGAGCCAAAATGTCAGCAGAAAGGCGGCGAGCATCATCCGGTGTACTCGTGGCAATGCTCAGGTCCACAAGGCTATCGACGAGAAGAACCCATCCGCTCTCGGAGGACGTGTAGCTCGCAAATCGTGCAACATTATGTTCCGCAAGGTCCCTCAACCGTGTCAAGACGAACACATAGTCCTGAGTAGATAGAGCAATGTCTGTCGTAATACCAGACAGGCCAGAGAGTTTTCGTGCAACGCCAGAAGGTTTCGTTTGTATAGGAGATGAAAGTACGCCTTCACTTCTTCCATTGAGCAGTCTACAGAGTGTAGTGAGCACGTGAAGGAAGGCATCGTTCGGATAATCCGCCGTGCTTTCCAAAAGTCTCAAGACTGCACCTTCAACAGCTGCGATCTCCGGGCCAATTCCTGTGGACTTCGCCCCAGAAGCGTTGAGGACCACACCAGCTTGAAGCAGCGTTTCGAAAACAATGTTAAATGACGAGTCTAGCGTCGGACCGATTGCGATGGCGACATTAAGAAGCGCTCTTAAGCAAAGAAGATTGCGTGTCGACAGTGTGGGCTTCGATGATGGGTCATATGATGGTCTTCTCGACTTCTCACTGCCTGAAATTTGCGTGGTAAAGCTCTCCACACTCAGCAAGCCTTTTCCATTAGAGTAAATACCAGGAGTCTCGGCCGTTGGGGATGACAGTGTTGAAATGCTTGAAGTCACGATGCTTGGAGGAACTGCAGCTTTACCAAGTGTGGTCAAGAACGCGTCTCGCGCTGTGGACAATCTCAAGAGACCAGAGACCTGCAAGAATCTTTGGTAAGATCTTATCAGTGCTCGATAATAATTGTTGTCGAGAGATGCGTTGAGGAAGGTAGAATATGTTGCCAGCAACGCAGGCCAACATTCTTCCACGAGATTTGCGATAGCTCTAATACGGGCGGCCTCGCTACCTTCATCCGCAGAAAGTGGGTTGAGGGGGACGGTTCGTGATCGGTATGATTGCGACCTCTTTTTCCTGTTACGCGTTTTCTTTGGACTTGTGGCATGCTCCTCGTCACTCTCGACTTCATCGTCTGATTCCGGTTCTTGATCTCTCCTAAGTCTGGACGCATCATGTTGAACGGTCAAGGGGAGTACGACCTTGGCCAGATTCTCAGATAGACCGTTGAGACACTCGAGCACCAGACTGTAGACATAAGTCTCTGGCAAAATTGGAGGATCTGTCTTGTCGAGTTGATCCATACATTGGGTCTTGGGTGCACTCCATCGCGTACTGATCCCTGGCACATTTGCATCTCCCACAGCTGGACTTGGAGCAATGACTCCAGCGACACCGCCGGCAGCTTCCATGGCGACCTGCTCAGCGATAGTATCTCGCGTTTGTTCTGTAGGAATACTCGAATGCTGTCCCAGACCGATCACTGATGGCTTCTCTGTTGATATTTTGACAAAGCAAGCAATGTTATCTCGGATGATGGCACGTTTCCCCTCCTTGGCGTCGTACTGTAGGTAGATTTGGACAGCCAAACCAGACTCTGTGTAGACGAGTCGGAAAACTTCCATGCACATTGCACGTTTCCAAGTCGTTGCTTCTGAATCTATCATGTGCGTCAACAAGCCTAGGACAACCTCACATTCATCAGGCATGGCTTGAAGGTGATGACGTATGACGAAAGATGCAACGCGAAGAGCACGCAATGTGACACCGAAGGCCTGGCGCTCTGAGATGACTCGAATTAGATGTGGCATGACCACTGTTCGGAGGATGTTCGTCTGTTCGGGATGTGATGCAAATATCTTGGTATGGCTTCCAAGGCATGCGCCCATGAGCTCAAGACCCGACGTCGCTGAGAGTGCAGAGAATCGCACGAATCTTGTGTTTTGTCCTTCTGTGGCGAAGCAGATGTCGAGGAATACTCGGTATGCATCGTAGGCAGCTTCTCTCAGTGCGATCGGACCATCTCCGCCAGAGATTCTGGTGACGATTGGAAATTTGTCTCCGCCCTCATCCTCTGCAGCGACTCTGTCAAAGACTGATACGACAAGTTGCTGGAGGGTGGCAGCGGCTACACCGCTGACTGTGACCGCTTTGACATTTTGCAAGGCTGCACAGACCTGCAAGGCAGCCGCAAGATGGTCTCCTTTGAGGTCATCCGCATAGTTTTGCGCGAGAGCAGGAAGAGCCTGGAGAACCTTGAGCTGGATGTCAAGGCCAAGTGAGGTGCAAGCATTAAAAGCATCCAGAACATCTTTCAGCCTCGATTTCGGAAGACCGCGTATGATGACAAGTCGCTGAAGGCATACAGTTGCACTGCCAGCATATTTCGCATTTCGAGTATTGCACGCGAGCAGTAAAGGATCAATGAAAGATGGTCGTCGACTTAGATCTCTTCTTTGTTAGCGACCCTGACGATTAATAAGGCAGGTGCATCTCACCAGCGGCCAATTGCTGTTCTGAAGTAGACGGAAGAGATTTGAGATCCTGTAATGATTTTTCTGCAGCCCATGGGATTATCAGAATTGATAACCAGGTTTCACGACAGGAAGAAAGCATACAGTGCGGATCTCTGGATTCTTTCTTTTGGCCTCTTGAGCGAGGCTCGTAAGTTCTGCTTGGAGAGCTTGTCCGCTCATGGCTTTCTAGATGGTGCAGGGGAATGAAAGCATAGTAGAAGTAATTGATCGGTCGGAATACTCGTAGAACAAGGCACTAGATGGATTGAGCAAGTTCTTCGATTGCAACTATACTCGTATATGTCGACTATTCCAAGGGATGCCTCGGCGGATGACACGGGTGGACTCCGAGTTTGCCAAGATGACAAACATGCGGGCATGCGACGTTGGTCGAGCTGCGTGTGACGCTGATGATTGCCATGTTTATGTGCATGTTGTAAATATAACTGAATCTTTCTACTTTCTCACCTCACTCCTCATTCGTGTCAACTTGTCACCTTTGTACAATCCATTCGCCTACTCGACACGCCTCGACTCACTAGACGATGGCCAAAGTTCCCCGTAACTTCCGCTTGTTGGAGGAGCTCGAGAAGGGCGAGAAGGGTCTCGGTGCTGGTACGAGCAAGGCCGCTGATCAGTCCAGGGGAACGATAACTGATGATAGCTGCAGAGGCATGCTCGTATGGTCTCGACGAGGGCGATGATTTGCTCATGACCAACTGGAACGGCACCATCCTCGGTCCTCCCCATGTACTTTGTCCCTATCCTCGGACCCTCGAGCAGGACAAGCGCTGACTGAGTATTCGACAGAGCGTGCACGAGAACCGCATCTACAGTCTGAAGATTCGCTGCGGCGAGAACTACCCCGACGTCCCTCCTGAGGTCACCTTCATCTCAAAGGTCAACCTGCCCTGCGTAGACCAAAGGAATGGCAAGGTACGTCTTGCCAGAAAACACACAAGAAGAAAGAGTTGCTGAAGCAGAACAAAAACAGGTCGATCTGTCCAAGATCCCCAGCCTTAGCCAGTGGAAGCGTGACTTCACCATGGAGACCATCTTGATCGAGATCAGAAGGCAAGCCATTCCATACAGCTGTTGTCGCTTCAACCGTCTAACATTGCTGCAGGTTCATGGCTGCGCCCGCACACAAGAAGCTGCCCCAGCCCGCAGAGGGCACAAACTTCTAGATGGCCATGCATGATGAAATGAAACCATCTTAATCAACGACATGACGCTCAACACGATGCATCCTTCTGTCTCATGTTTACCGGCATAGCATTGGCGCCTGGCGCATCAACAGAATGAGAATGAGAATGAGAAAGAGAAAGAGAAAGAGAAAGATGCTCAATATACACATTCGATTCAGCTTCCATATCTTCCTGTAATCGCAAAAGACTCAACGCGATATATGTCTAGAATGACGCTTCGTTATGAATAAAAAAGCCTCTTAATGCCCCGTGATGTATCCCAGAACTCCAAGCCCCATATCTTGTATTATACATTCGTACATGGCATAGATCACTCGTCGCTCGAGTAGAGCCTGGCCATGTTCTTTGCGCCTCTGGGCTCGACGAAGAGGGCTTCGGCCTCGACCAGGTGCTCGCCCTCTTCAACACCGTCTCCCAGGATCTCGATCCAGCCCTTGACCCAAGCCTTTCTGCCGTCAACCTTTGTCGTCTCTGCTCTGAGCACTATAAAGCTGTTTGCCGGGCATGGCTTCTTGTATGTAATGTTCAAACTCGCCGTAACGCCAACCTTGTTGGGCAGAGCAGGGAAACAGGCGCGAGCCAGACCTTCATCCAGAAGAGTTGCGAGAAGTCCTCCGTGGATAATGGTAGGGTGACCGCAGAGCTTCTCGCCCAGATGGGCAATCTGCACAATCGACGGCAGCTCAGCCTTTGTGTTTGCGAAGGTGAGCGGCGGGGAAGCAATCTTGTCGTCTCCTTGCAATGTGCCAGCAGTCAGGTTATGCGATCGCATGTTCTCGGGGATCTTCATGTGCGGCCTGGACTCGATCCATTGGGGGTTTGCGCGCAGACATTCGGCGAGAGGGTTGGACACGATGCGCTTGTTGATTTCTTCGGCCTCTGAATTGGCCGGTACGAAGAGGGAGAGTGTCTCGGCGTTGGTGGGAGGTGAGATGAAGCCATTGGCCGTCTCGATGGCGGGAGCGACAGACATTGCAAGACCGGCGGCGGTTGCGACTATGAAAAGAGCGGATGCACCGAGGACACGGGAGGTACGGGAGCGAGGTGGGGGGAGAGTCAGACTCGGAGAGGCTTCGAGAGGAGATGTGGTAGAATATGCTACGGTAACAAGGTAAGCAAGATGGTCAAGAAGAAAGCAAGACGAGGAGAGCAACTCACCAGATTGAGTGGTCTGGAAACGCTTCTGTAGCGCGGGCCGGCGGGCTTTATATACACAACGACTGCCGGCACCAAACACACTCTTCCGAACTAGCGCCGCTCCTGAAGCCGTGGCCATTGATATTGTGATCGGAATGACGAATGCCAAAGCTACTCCTCGAACAACAAGACCAGCGCCGAGTCGAATGTTACTCGAGAAATCGCCTATTGCTTTGAAATTATTAGAGGCCAAGCCCAGTCGTCCGAGGTCCAACGACATCCCGCTGTCGCAACAACATCTCGCCGATGTCCCGACCCTGCCTAATCCGGTAATCTTTGCGAGTGCGAAGCGAACGAGGAAACTATCTTATTCACTCCATCTGTCTCACCATCGCTGTCGTCGAGCCCGTATCTTTCATTCATCCTCTGTTCAGTCAGCTCCTCTGTCAAGTCCATCACACGAACAAATTCCCCATCAAGCTTCAGTCTCAACAAGGTCTCGTACAGCATCATATCTGCTCCCTTGAGAGCACGAGGCATATTACAATACAGAAGACCATGGGTGTATGGATACGCGTGAGCCAGACCAATCGCCACTCGGCCACCTGTAGTCATGAAAGTACGACATTGGAGTAGGTCGATCAGCGGTTGATACAATGGAAGACGCGTGGCGTCCATGCTGTGTTGTCCGCCTGCGAGTAGACCACTGCCACGCGAAGCATACAGGTTGTACGTCAAAGTAACACGATGACCAGCGGTGACCTCCTGTACCTCATGAGAGCAATCGGAATAAAACGCAGCCCAGTGAATAGAGGGTGTCTGGTTTGCAGAAGAAGACCTTGACCAGTCGAACTCGACAGTGTTTTCCTGGTGCGTCGCGGACAATTTGCCGCCCTCAGACTCAGAGGGCAGGCAAATAACAAGGCTGCCGATCTGCGTCTCACTTCTGGGAGTATCTACGTGAGCCTTGAACCGGCCAGAAGGTCCACTGTAAATGTTGAGCTTGCAGAGTTCTGCTCTGATGCCGAGTGTTGTTGATTCGATCTCAACATCGGTATTATCGGAAACGTTCTCAGCACGAGCATGCGCTGACGCTTCTGCTCTGATGTCCAGGAGAACTAGATCGGGATCGCTAAGTCTATGCTCCAACACCTTCTCCAGATTGCGCCCAAACATCTGCTCGTACAGCTGCAGGATACTAGCGAGATCGTTACGCGTCGACGAAGTGATGATTTCAGTGAGGGTCATCGAGTCAACGTACGTGTATCCAGCGAGTGCAACATGCAAGGCTCTCGTGTTAGGCTCGATATGTCCTGGTAGAGTGGCTGGCTGCGTCACTGGAACAGGTACGACCGATTTTTGCTTGACAGGAGGCATGAGAAGTTGTGAAACAATATCGATGATCCCCGTCTGGTAAGGGCAGAAATCTGTGCAGCGGTCCGAAACATCCAGCTTTGTTGCTTTGCGGTACTGCTCATCGTACACATTTTCGCCCCCTCGACCGAACGCAGCAGGCTCACATGAGCTGATCAGACTGGTGAAAGCTGTATCGGTGCTTGTGTCAGTCGGAAGCATCAACACCTGGCCTTGCCCTGGTGGTCCATAGCGAATCGTGACTGGCTTCGTCGCGATGATTTGGTCATGATCAGACACTTGAGTCCCCACTTCTGGGTCATGCCCTGAAGCATCCTTTGTATCAAGAAGAATTGGTATGCGTCCACCACAGGCGGAGGTGCCCTTGTTATACGCGTCTTCCAGAGCCGCCGGGAAGGTGTCAAGCGATTGCTGTCCAGACATCGTGAGTGTTCAGACCTGTTTGTCAGATGTTGTTCGGAGTTCAGCAGTCTACATTTATATTGCCCGCCGGGTTCTGCTGAGACTCAAGCACGGGAGCCATTGCTGCCTCGAAAGCATCCCTTGCGCTTCGCTCCAGGCAACACGTCGCACCAACGCGCTCAATTAGGCATCACTCGCTGTGAATCAGCAAAACCTGTAGACAATGCGCGATGAATGAGCTTCCAGCCCGGAAGTCATTGAGACTATACATGACGGTGATCGAGAAGGTCGGAAGCGAGCCGCTCGAGGAGAGTATCTTGAAGCCCTCTCAAACACTGATTCAAGGCGGAGAAAGCTCCATGGCTTCGAATGGTCAGCAAGTCCGGGAGAAGTTGTGCGACCGAAAAATTGGTACATGTGTCGAAGGACAATGAGAGGATGCTCGTCGATGGAGGAGTGAAGCGAGAAGTAAATGTGCTTTCTCCCCGCACAGTGCTCCACATCAACACCACGTCAAGCAGCTGTCACAGCAAAAGCCTGAGTTCCACGGTATCACAATGTATTTCCCCTCTCGATCGTCTCTATTGGGAAAACAAATAGGCTTGTCTAATCTGAATTTGCTTTTAACACCATCACCTAGGTGCGCTGCTCATTTTGCCTATCAATTCCTCCACAAGTGCAAGTCAGCCGCGCAGAATGTGAGATCATACCTACGTATCACCAGCACGTGTCTCTGTCAACATCGCAAATTCTGGTTGTAAAAACATGCGCCAAGGGGAACGATGCGGTGAATCTGACGAAGGAACTCCACATGTTTGTGCACTACGCGAACTGTTCTGAGGGGGTGCGAAAGTGAAATCCCATATATGGTCGGTCCCCAGAGCCTCATCACTTGAGACTCACCACCAAACGTCCCTACTGTATGTCTTAAGAGATTACCACAATCGCTCAAACGACTCCATATTCGACTCCTTTCATTTACTCTGGGTACTGGTCTGCACAATATGGACGCGCTCAAGGACCACAGCGTTAAGACGACGACGGGTAACTTGACCTTTTCGTACACTCACCTTGCAGCCATCACCATCCTCATCCCGGCATTACGGCACCTCTATGTTGACTACCAGAGCTTCTTGGCGTTAGGTCCAGGAGGTACGCCAAAGACGATCACAGGCTACTGCAAAGTCAAGGCATTGGGGATGTTTGCTCTCCGAGATCCATATGCACCACCAAAAATTCCATGGTCCATGACAAGCAAAGCAGGATGTATATCAGGCCTGTCACAACGGAGAGGTGTTCGCCCCTCAACGCTTGGAATTGCACCGCATCGTCAAATCAACCAGAGACCATCGCGGGAGATGCATGAGAAGCTAGTCGATGCCTTGCACGACATTGCCGACGCAAACGTACATCTTCTGGAGGGAACATCGTGCTTCGAAAAACACGGCACCGGTCTGTTCAGCGAGAACCCACAACGAAGAACTTGTGGAGGCGAAATCTGTCACACGCATCTTTCCGATGGATCGATGCATTTGACACTTCATCCTGCCGACGCAAAAGTCATGCTCGAAGCAGGCTGGGGTGAGAGACATCCATTAGCAAGAGGTGGGTGGCTGGAGAGGTTCGTTCCAGGTGGCTTCGTCATGATCTATGCGCCTCGAGACGATGATGAGCTCGACGTGGTCCTAGAAATCGTGCGGGTAGCAGCATGGTATGTTGGAGGTGAAGAAATCAAGGACGGACGCGACAAGCGCAGAGACAGTGGCCAGGATGAGCAAGTGGTCGCATGTTGAGACTCTGACAATTCAACAAGAAAGGAAATACTCCTTGGCTTCGTGAACAGGTTTGGTTGCCGGAGGACACCGGAGTGCCAATCACGTTTACGCGAGTGGGGATGTGGGCAACGACATTGACAAGGGCACTGACGTGGTCACGGACTCGCCTGACTAGAAGTGATGGGGTTGGACTGAACTTGGTAGCGAGACGGATGGAGCTTTACAAGTCTTTCGCGATGTCTTCGTACTTTGTGACCTTGGAAAAGACGTAGCAAATGCACGATTCTTGCATGGCTCGGGTTCCGGATGAATGACATCAGACTGTGTCTGCGACAAAGTACTACGTACTCGAGTAGCATTTCATGAACCAATAATCCTGCACAACATTCAGACAAACGGTCCAGGCGTCTGTCTTCACGGCGTCCAGACAATCTGGGATTACGTGCTTATTGGATCCACTCTTTGTTTTTGAGGCCGCGCAAGGATTCGATGATTCGACAAAGATACAGGTGAAGACTCGCAAACTTTCACCGTGCTTTGGTAGTAGAAAGTTGAATCTGCGTGAATAAAGCTTACCCAAGGCGGATCATGGATTGCCTAATAATAATCCCGTTCTTGCGATAAACGAACTCATTCCCGGTGCATGGAGATGAAAGTTGGGACGTTGAAGATGGCATTTCGTGGCGCGTGGAGGAGAGAGCTCGGCCTACGCCATGGCGGGAGGCTTCAACTTTTCCTGACCAGTGACCACATCCTTCGCCTTAGCCGCATCCGCCACGATTGCTTGTGCCGTCTTGAAAGCACGATTAAGCTCAGATCCTCTTGGTCCAAGTCTCGTCATTTATAAACCGCCTGCGTGCCGCAACGCGCATCTTCCTTTCTACTCGGTCTCAGTACATCCTATCGACTCGACTGTCCATCAAGTCTCGATCCTGGTGGTTAATGCTGCCTGAATTCAACCGACGCGACCTTTTCACCTATTTCACGCTCGTCCGGAGCATTCGCTCGATAAAATGGCGCTAGGCAATTTGTTCAAACAGAAACCTACCATCGTCGCCGACGCACCTCCTCTTCCAAATGCGCCTGAACTCGAAAAGCCCATGAACGGCAATGAGGGATACGGCGGCCAGCCCGCCGATTATGATCCCGAAAAGACTGGTCCCAAGGGCATGAGCATGAAGAGAATCGACGGCTCTATGCATAAATCCGAAGGCCAAGGCGACATCAGCGATGACAGCTCTGGTATGTCGGTTGGCAAGCAGATGGAGCTGGAAGCCGGAAATGCCATCAAGTACAGAACTTGCAGTTGGCCAAAGGTGTGACTCTATCGCGTGTATTTTGCTTTCCTTGCACATCACCCTCGACATGGAATGAGCCGACTCTCTGCCCAATGCGACAAGCCTTTGTCCCTGTCCATTCTCAGATGCAACACAACTCCTTGTACCCACCCCATATCTTGCCCTATGCGTCAAGCAATCAGCTCTTGTGTTGAGCTTAACAAGAGCCGACCTAATCGATCTTCTAGACTGCAGCACTGTTGTTCTCTGAATACATCTGCTTGGCTATCATGTCATTCCCATACTCTTACGCAACTCTTGGTCTGGTTCCTGGCCTGATCTTGACCGTTGTCGTTGCTGGGTTGGTCTTGTACACCTCGCTTGTTCTCTGGTACGTGTCTCACCTCTCGCGCAACATCCCGTCTCTGACGATAATATAGGGAATTCTGCCTGCGCCATCCTGAAGTCAAGGATGTCTGTGACATTGGTCAAATGCTTTTCTGGGGCCAGAGGTGGGCATGGTGGGCCACAGCCTTCATGTTCATCCTGAACAACACTTTCATCCAAGGTCTGCACTGCTTGACAGGAGCCAAGTACCTCAACACCATGACAGGTCATGGACTCTGCACCATAGGCTTCAGCGCCATCGTCGCCGCGGTCTCCTTCTTTGCATCGCTTCCCCGTACTTTCAACACTCTTGCCGTGTTGGGTACAGCCTCTGCATTCTTCACTTTCATCTCTGTCATACTGGCCGCGATCTTCTCTGGTATCGAGGATCATCCCGCTGGATATCCCAAGTTTGGAGAGCCCCGCGTGCTTGCAATCCCCGAGAAAGGCACCACCTTTGTCGCTGGAATGTCTGCCTTCATGAACATCAGTTACACTTTCATCGGCCAGATCACTCTGCCTTCTTTCATCGCCGAGATGAAGAACCCTCGCGACTTCCCCAAGGCTCTGTGGGCTGTCACCATCGCTGAGGTCATCCTCTTCTCACTTGTTGGTGCCGTCATCTACGCCTACACTGGAAACCAGTACTACACTGCACCTGCTTTCGGCTCTTTGAGTGACGAGGTGTACAAGAAGGTCAGCTTCTCGTTCATGATTCCTACAATCATCTTCTTGGGAGTACTCTATGCCTCGGTATCTGCTCGCTTTGTGTTCTTCAGAATCTTCGCTGGAACCAGACACTTGGGCAACCACACCGTGGTCGGATGGGCGAGTTGGGCTGCCATCTTGGCATGCACCTGGGTTTTGGCTTTCATCATCGCTGAAGTCATTCCTTTCTTCAGTGACTTACTGTCGCTCATGAGTTCGCTCTTCGACAGCTTTTTCGGCTTCATCTTCTGGGGTATGGCATATCTTCGTATGCGTGAAGCAACTTACGGGCCAAACTACTGGAAGGTCAGAGGCATGAGAGGATACCTTGGCTTTGTCTTCAACTTGGTCCTCATCGCAATCGGACTGTTGTTCCTGAGTGGAGGCACTTACGCCTCTGTCCAGAGTATCGTGGATGGATACAACTCCTCGACTTACGGTACAGCATTCTCTTGCGCCGACAACGGTGTTTAAGCAGACTTGAACACACTGGTCGTCTGAGCGCAGGACTATACTTCAAAACGTCGATGATCATGATTGCCTCATCGTAGCAACCGATTCATGTTTAATTTTTCTTTACTAAATTGGATAACTACTTTTAATTGATTTAATACAACCACGTTCAAACTCAGCTTGTATAACGATTGCTTGTCGCCTGCTTCGTATGACTCATAAGTTAATGCTCAAATGCGTGCATATACAGAAAGCAATGTAATCGAGTAGGTCTGTTGAATGGGAGTGACTCGTCATGTGAAAATGCCAAGAGTCATGACGCAGAAGTGTCGTTCTGTTTGTTGAGCCGCGAGAGCTTCTGCCATGTGTTCTTCCGGCTGTCCAACTCTCCCATCTCCAGTTTGTGTTTGTGTCACGGTAGACCTCGACTTCGCACTCGTACCTTTCTTTCCTGCGCATAGCTCAAACTCACCTGTACTCGTCGCGGAAATGTCTTTTATTTCGGATTATGTCGATATTGGACAACCTGTCTTTTGGTGTAAGTTATGAAAGCAACGATGACCCCGCAAAGGCTGTGTTCTATGAGGAGACAGCTGATTCTTGTTACGATGCAGTGTCTGCGGCTAGCATCGCATTCAACCCTTTGTTCTGGAAGTAAGCAAGACTCTCAGCTCGGATAAAACCAGGTGGTCGATCTATACTGACAAGCTCCCAGCACGGCCGCTAGATCAGGTAAGGCGCACACATCAGAAGCTCTTGAGTACAAAGAAAAAGAGTGCAGAACAATATTCTACACCAAGCAAAGGAAAGAAAAGCAATTGACACATTTCCGCAATGCATTCAGAGTACCACAACAAATCCATCACCAAGCTGTTTGGCGGCAAGTCGCTTTACGGCTGCTATGCCCTCGCCGTGACAATCTTCTCCCTTGGAATCGTTCGAGACAGCATGTACGCATCTCTTTTCTATGATGTTGAGCTAGAAGCAACCACCCAGAACGCGCCAAAAACCGTCGATACCAGCCCACCAAGCACCAGACACCCCAAAGCGACATAGAATACCGAGACAATACAAAGCTATGACACTCTGCTAACAAGGCAAAAGCTACGAACGCGCCCTTCGCTCCCAACCCACTCACCCCCTGATGCAAGGTCCTGTCGCCGAAGCACTAGCCGTTGCTCTGTTCGCCAGTGGTAACGTCCTCGTCCTCACATCAATGTACGCACTCGGCGTCACCGGCACTTACCTCGGCGACTACTTCGGCATGCTCATGGACGACATGGTGACGGGATTCCCGTTCAATGTCTGCTCTGCACCCATGTACTATGGATCTACTCTCAGCTTCCTCGGCTCGGCATTGTGGTTTGGCAAGCCTGCTGGCCTTGTGTTGACTGGACTGGTATTCGTGGTTTACAAGATTGCTCTGACATACGAGGACCCCTTCACTGCAGGCATCTATGCCGAGAGGGAGAGAAAGCAAAAGGCCGAGGGCAAGAAGGCTCGTTGATGGCTATAAGGTCACCGTGAGGAGTATGGAAGGCGAGAGACGCTTCTGTGCGAGAAGAGAAGGGGCAGACGGTTCAGGGGGAGAACAGGGAAAAGGAGATGGAGGAGTTTCAACATAGTTTTGCCCAATGAACGGGACAGATATGCGGACGACGAAGTAGGTCGGCGAGGGGACACGATTTCAACAAAGTTGCGTGTATGTACAGAGTATTAAGAAAAGTTGTGGTCATGAGATATTCTTCTCGTCAAGGCACAGTCCTGGACCGTGTTGATGAGATCGGGGCAGAGAGTAGATGAGACGAGACGATTCCAGGGACATCATGGCAAGCCTAGACAGTACTCTGCCGTGAGACAGCTTCAAGTGAAAAGAGATCAGCATCAGGTCTCGGCTTCTCTTCGTCACCCTAGTCGTATACCCAGAGAGCATTCCAGCATCCTGACATCGTCATCAACCTTCTCATAGGCAGCGTCTCTAAAACCCATATCCTTTCTGGCACGTTTTCTATACTCTCCCATCAACCGCCATCTTCACCTCTTACCTTTTTTCGCCGTGGTTTCACTTACAATGTAGCCGGGATATCTCTATCTTTACAACCCCAGACATGTATAAGATTCCGCACCACTTTTTCCTCTACACCCTTGTATTTTGCAGCGTTGGAGAGAAACTCTAGCGTTTGGGTGATTTCCTGGTCGTTGAAGGCAGCTTTGGGATTGCGGAATGAGTCGCGCAGGTGAGATTGGAGAGTGAAGCGGGCGGGTTTCGCGTAGCGGATTGCCTGGAGAGAGGTTCGGAGGAGACGGCGATATGCGTGGATAATTTGTTGCGACATTTTATGTTGGCGCCCTGTCCCCTGTCCCCTGTCCGTGTGTAGATGACGGGAGAGAGAAATGGTGGAGGGTGGAGAAGAACCTTGGTGGAAAGATGCGAGCTGTGTTTGTTTTGTTTGTTCAGCGCCGTGTCCAGTGAGTGGCATAGACAGTCTTCTACCTTTGCAGTCGCATAGATCATGACTGCGATAGAGCTGTTGACTCATCCTATCGCTCTCGGTGTAGTCGCCATTCTGGTTGCTAGCGCTGCAATGGGCTTATTTTCGTCCAACAAGCATTTCCCCGTCGAGGGTCGAGTAAGATTGTCGCAAGAAGACTGTAGAATGCACAGATACTAATGACTGCAGACGGTCTTGATTACGGGTGGCTCAAGTGGTATGGGAAGAGCACTGGCAAAGAAATTGGCTCAGCGGGGTGCGAATGTCTGCATCGTCGCAAGAAATCAGTCAAAGCTAGACGAAACCATCGAGTACATCAAGGTACTGACTCCTCATGCTTCGCCGCACTGCTGTGCATTGTACGCCGACAATTGATCTCCTACAGACACACGCCAGAAGTCCCGACCAACGCTTCCTAGCCATCAGCGCCGATTGCACCTCTGCCACCGAAAACTCCCGCCTCCTCGACGAGGTCACATCGTGGAACAACGACGAGTCTCCTGACATCGTCTGGGCCAATGCGGGATCCTCAAGTCCCGGCCTCTTTCTCGACACTCCCTTGGAAACACATCGCGCCCAGATGGACATGAACTACTGGGCCTCCTTCTACCTCGCTCACGCAACTCTCAAACGCTGGCTCGCTCCTACCACCGAAAAGAAGCTCCAACAAAGACCCAGACACTTCGTCATGACAGCTAGTACTCTTGCTTTCGTAGGCGTGGCAGGATATACTCCCTACGCTCCTGCAAAAGCTGCCCTAAAGTCCCTGGCCGACTCTCTGCGCATGGAGCTGAACATGTACAATGCCACCATCGACTCCCCCCATCCTTCTCCCGCCGCAGCCACAAACATCCATTTGGTCTGCCCGGGCACAATTTTGTCTCCTGGCTACGAGAACGAAAACAAGTCAAAACACGCCATCACAAAGGGCCTCGAGTCTGGCGACCCTAAACAGTCGGAAGACAGCGTTGCAGATGCCGCACTGAAGGGCTTGCAAAGAGGTGACTACATCATCACCACACAATGGCTGGGTCATGCTATGAGGGTGTCTGCTCTCGGCGGTTCACCCAGAAACGGATGGGGTGTTGTGGATGTTTTGTTTTCCTGGCTGACTTCGCTTGCTTGGTTGTTCATCGCTCCTGATATGGAGACTCAGGTGTGGAAATATGGCAAGGAGCATGGATCTGCGTGATTCTTGGTTTGGTCAAAAGTCTGCTTGATTTCTTTGTTGTATGATACCCTTCGTGCTTGAACATATCCTGACACCTGCTTCCAACATGATACTATTTGCTTAACACTCTTGGAATCTCTCGATCGTATCTCTCATCACTTGCTCGATAGTCTTGATACTGTCAACATCCACCCACTCGTCCTTACCATGTAGCCCCTCGCCCACAGGCCCAAAGATTAGGGAAGGAATACCCGCTTCACTCAACAAAGCAGCATCAGTCCAGAACTTTGCCGCCGTAGACTTGACGTCCCCCCTTCCTCCGACGCTAGCAATCGCTGCCTCTGTCGCAGCAAGCAGAGGATGAGACTCCTCCATTGGCAACAACGGTGCACGTTCAAACAACAATCTCGGCTCTTTGAACCTAAACTTCTTATCCCCAGCTCCAAGGTTCGCGAGCAGATTCGCGATGTCCTGGACAATAGAAGCCGAAGACTGAGAAGTACTGTTGACAGTACGGAACTCGAGGGTCAGCGTGCAAGAGGCTGCATAACTGCTATTTTCCTCTCCACCTCTGATGGTGCCGCAGTGCATTGTGCCTTGTCCCAGAACGTCGTCTTTTGGCAATGACTCTGCATGTCCTTCCAATGCTTTGAGAAAGGTGGCAGAAGACGCAATGGCATCGACACCGGTCTGAGCATCTGAGCCGTGGGCAGCGACTCCTAGGATTGTGACTTCGACCCACACGAATCCTTTGTGTCCGTGATGAAGTTTTAGGGATGTAGGTTCAGGAATCAGAGCGGCGTCTGCTGTCCATCCTGCTGCGAGAACTGCAGTGGTTCCGAGGCTTTGATCCTCTTCATCTGCTACGGCGGCGAGGATGACATCGCCCTTGCTGCCATGTTGGGAGAAATGGAGTAGAGTTGTCATGGCTGCTGCGACTCCGGCTTTCATGTCTAGAACACCTCTGCCGTAGATTTTGCCATCGATCAGATCGCCGCTGAGAGGAAAAGGACCGTAGGTGGACAAAGCTACTGTATCGACATGGCCATTCAACATGACACTTTTAGCCTTCGGGTCGCTGCCACGGACTACACCGACGACAGAAGGACGACCAGGTACCGATTCAACGATATGAGTCTCAATGCCGCGATACTGTAACCATTGCGCAATAAAGTTCGCAATCCTTGCTTCTCCAGGAGCAGTTCCGGTAGTATCCAGCGAAGGACTCGAACTATCGATTCGAACGAGTTGTTGTGTCAAAGCCACAACATCATCGTTACTCACATCCAAAGGTACATCATAAGGTCTCTTGGCTTCGGTATTGATCAAGATGACCGAAGAGCCTTTTGCGACATGTCCCTCTGCCACGAGTCTTTTCAGCGCTGCTAGACTTGCAGCGCCACATGGGCCAGCATTGACATTATGACGGTGCATGTCTTGGACCGTAACATGAGTCTCAAAGTCGGAGACTGTAGTGCTCAAATCGACGTAATCACGTAAGTATGGCCAGGAGATGGAACTCAAGGTCCCGCAATTGCAGCCAGCGTTGATCGTGTTGGATGTGATGATTGACGTCGCTTTTCCAGCCACTAAGGAGGCATGTAGACATGCCGCTGTATCTGGCTCCACAGCGATGGTCTGAAAGTCTCGTCGTCCTTTGGCATATGTGATTACTGCTTGAGCCAAAGAGCCCACGCCTACAGGTGTGAAGATAGTAGTGGGGTTGACATTGAGTTCTTGCAACTGCTCTTCTAGTTCAGCAAAGATAGTCGCATAGCCATCGATGATCCAGGTCGGAATGTCTTCGTAACCCTCAAACGCAGTATCTTGCACAAGTATATTGTGCTTCAAAGCAGCCGCGGCGGAAGCAGCAGTAGAGACAGCAAAGTCGTAGTCCCCCTGTACGACAATAACTTCTGCTCCCTCTGCAGCTATCAGACGTAGAAAGTTTGGGTGCAGATCATGCGGTACATAGATGGACGACTCTATGCCCAACGAGCGAGCCATCCAAGCAACTGCTCTGCCATGATTGCCGTCTGTAGCGGCCAGTAATCTGCACCTACTCTGTACAGCAGCCGAACCCACTGACTTCAAAGTGGCAGTATCCAGATCTAAGGATAGATGTGCAATCAGAGCGCGGAAGCAGCCCCATGACGCTCCCGAGGCTTTGAAAGAGGGCAGTCCGAAGCGTGATGATTCGTCTTTGACAAATATGCCGCCTAGACCGAGCTCAGTAGCAAGCGTATCCAGAGATAGAAGAGGCGTCGGTTCGTATCCGAGAAGTGCTCTGTGGAAGGTGTATTGGAGGACCGGATCAACTGTTGCGACAGAAGGGCCTGGTGCTGTTGAGCGAGTCCAAGTAGGTCTTCTAGATGACGATCTTTCGGGCGAAGAATATCGGAGAGGCATTTTGAAGAGGGCCGTGTATGTGCGTAGAGAATATCTATTGACCTGGGAATAATCGTGTTGATACAAAGATGGGTGGATCAATCTCTAGATGCCTATTTTATATCTATCCGGCCCGTCGGAGACCGTCGGATTTAGATATGCGTTGTCAACACCCTTGGCTTTTCGCCCGGCGGAACTCCGACGGCTTTGTTGATGCGTCCGCTGGGACTCCTTGATAATCACTTCATGTGCGCGCATTAGAGATTATTTGTCAACGCGTTCTAGTCAGCGATTCTTCAGCTCCGTATTCGACTGTACAGTCTTGTCGCATCTTGTCAGAACAGTAGTAGATCCTATCAAAATACGCGTCAGCATAGATCCTGTAAGAAAGTGCTTGTTGAATGATGTGTGCTGATATGTGGCTCCGATTTGCCTTTTGTTGCAATCATGTCCCTCTGACTGCCTCTCCCATAAACTCTAGAAGAGTGAAGGGTAAGGACAGGAAGATTTTGATGAGAATCATAAGTATCTGTTTTTGTCTTTTGTGTCTTCATAGCCGGTTTTTATATAGAGAGTTATCTGGGAAGTGGTCGACTTACAGATTGGCGATGAAGTAGGTGCCTGGTGCTTGAGATCGCCATATGATTCAAACTTTACACGCGACAGCAACGTGAGAGAAGCATCAAGATTCTTCGGTTCATATTCTTGCAGAATGTCAAGTCTTTATTCACATCTTGTGGTGAGGTAAGAGTGGAAGGAAGCACCGAGTCTGCATGACTTTTTTTCTCTTTGAAAGCCAGTCGATGGTAATCATAGCAGACTGCCAACAGTGAAGTACTCGCCGAAGATGTCGAAGCCGGCCAGAGCGTCAAAGTCATTGAGTCCCATAGCTTGAGAGGGTAGGGGCGTTCCGGCGGCGTGAGGTGCCGCCTCAGCACCACCGTTGGTAGCTTCGTCTCCATTTGAGTCTGCGTGTCTCGATCTTTCTAGCGCGCGTTGTATGATGCACCCATGCTTGAATGCGATGTGTGATTCTCCACACGCAACTTTGAAGAGATATGCTCGTAGATTTTCGACCAGATGATGGTCAACCGCACTCTCGCAGAGTACTAGCGCAGCATACGATGCAATGAAGAAAGCAAAGTCTGGTAGGTCAGGGGCCTGGTCTGAGGAGTGACGTACAAATTGTGAGACAATGTTAGCACTTTCGCGCATCGATGGTACGCTCTTTTCGTGCATAGCTTGCGGAGACAATCCTTGCACAGAAGAAGCGTTCCGACGATGCAGAAGCAGATGACCAAACCAATGAGACAACTCGAGAGTGCGTGGCGGGCCAGAATTGGTGAGGAAGCGGCTCCATGCAAAATCCCAAGGTGTGAAGGCAGACTCCGCAGTCGCGGCAGGGTTCGAGAGAGCTGTGTGTAGGCACACGTAGAACTGAAGCTCAGCTATCAAAGGCGTGTCAAAAGGCATTATTGTGGGCTGTTCCAGCAGACGACGACATCCATCCATAAGCCGTATCGAGATACTAAGGGGACGACCACTGCCAATGGAGTATCTGTCCGGTCAGTAAAGGCTTATAATATACTCATGGTGATTGACTCACTGTAGATGGGTTAGGCAGAGTCCACTCCAGACACGCAACTGCTCAACAGTACGTTCTTCTGCTGCGCCGGGCTGCTTGACATTACTCGGTCCAAATGCAACCACCGCATGATTCGCAGTACTAGCACTAAGATGCCAACTGTCGAGTGGTTTGTCTGTCTGAACAGCAGGACCGAAGAGGCAGAGCAACGTAAGTGCTTGGACAACGCTGCTTGCTACAGGAGGTGTTTCTATGACCGCATCGGCGACGAGACGCTTGACATGCTTGTACATGTCTTGTACTGTCTGCGACGGAATCTCAGCATGAAACCGAGTCGCTAACAAGCAGAGTACATTCATCAACAAAGGCGACCTCTGAGAGAAGTCTTGAGAAACATTGCTAACGAATCTGACAACATCGGCTAGAGGTATCCATTTGCTATACCTGTCGATAGACCTGATGCGAACGTTAAATTGATACGGAACGATTTGGACTGAGTAGCTGCGAAAGACTCACGTCCTGAGAAGCTGGACTGCAGTCTCACGGGGCAATAGCCCAACAGACACTACATCCAGGTGATTTGTCTGTTCGGAAGAAGATACGGTAGCTTGACCATACAATTCGGATTGCAAGTCTTGCAGTATCTCGACAGGTTTCGGGTAGCTGTGTACAATGATGGTGTCCGTATCATTCCCTTCTGGTAGGGCGTCAGGACTGTCCGCAGCATCAACGATGCCGTTCAAGGCATCGGAAGACTGGGGGAAAACTGCTTTAGACAGTCGAGCAATCATCAGCTCGACGCGTTTCAGACGATCCTCAACATTTCTTCCATTGCTGATGGCTGGATTAGAGAAGATGGGTGCTACCGCGCGAGTTGAGTTGCGCTTCGGCAATTCGCACTCAAGGCTTGAATTGATGTCAGAATGAAGGTCAAGAGAGTACAGCAAGAACGAACTCAAGTACTTCGCAGCGGTGACACGCGTCAGCTTCCTGCTGGATCTCGCAGCGGGCTTTGGATGTACGGCATGATTTGCATGCTTTTCCTGTACGCTGACGCTTCGCCGGACGATTCTGCTCGGCGTCCATGTCGGCGCAACACCTTTGATGCAGGTGACCCACAGGCTCGCAGAGAACGTTAAGATATGGAGAAAAAAGGTTGCTCGTAAATCCGACGGCGTTACTCGACACAACAGGCTTGGCATCAGAAAGGCACGGATGCTTGCGGCTCGAGGAGGACCAACCATCATGTCTTGTCCATCTCAATGTTTGATGTATCCATTTCGCGTGATCTTTCAATATCCTCTTGCCTCGCACTTGTAGCTGGCCCAGAACGCTGGATCAATAGACCAAGCATCGACACACTATCTGCTTGGTACAACACATGTTCGCCATGGACAACCACACGGAGACTGTGCAGCACATATCTGCTCGCCTGAAAGACCTTTACTCACGTAAAGAACAATACAGGATATTTCATGGCTCGACCAATTCGACAAGAAGCTATTCGATCGATCGCAATAGAATGATCGACACCAGTTCTTTGAACCGCGTTCTCAGTGTGGATAAGGCAACGAAGACAGCATCGGTAGAGCCAAACGTTCCGATGGACCAGCTCGTTGAAGCAACTCTACCGTTCGGCTTAGTACCTCCCGTGGTCATGGAGTTTAAGGGCATCACTGCTGGAGGAGGCTTCAGTGGTACTGGTGGTGAGAGTTCGAGTTTCAAGCACGGCTCTTTCGATTGCACAGTCAATTGGATTGAGATCGTGCTAGCCGATGGAGAGGTCGTAAAGGCTTCTCCGGAGAAGAGATCAGACCTATTCTATGGAGCTACCAGCTCATTGGGTACATTGGGAGTCACCACTTTGATGGAGATTCAGCTTGTCGATGCTGCGAGATACGTCGAGACCACATACACTCCTTGCCACTCGTTGGATGAAACATTGGAAAAGGTGAAGTCCGCCAGTAAGGATACCGAGAACGACTACGTGGACGGATTTCTCGTATCTCTGCGTAGGGGTATCGTCGTGACCGGCCGCTTGACTTCTTCTATATCTCGAGAAACACGCATCCAGAGATTCCAAGGTGCTCGCGATCCTTGGTTCTACATACATGCAGACCGAACGACACAAAGAGCCCAAGGATCAGTCACGGAAGCTGTGCCTCTTGCCGACTATCTGTTCCGCTACGATCGAGGCGCATTTTGGATGGGAAAGTACGCCTTCAACTACTTTATGGTACCATTCAACCGTGTGACTCGCTGGGCATTGGATGACTTTATGCAAACAAGCACGATGTACCATGCCTTACATGCGAGTGGGCATATGCAGCAATATATCATCCAGGATTTGGGCATACCTGCTGCCAATGTGAAGGACTTTATCGTTGAAGTCGATAGAGCGTTCGGCTTCTACCCTTTGTGGCTATGTCCCATGAAGCCATGGACACAACAGTCTTCTTTTCACCCACACGGTATTCACACCGATCTTGTCATTAATGTTGGTGTCTGGGGACCAAACGGAGCCAGCACACCAAAGGAAGTCGTACAGCGGAATCGCACACTCGAGAAACTTGTGCGACAGAGTGGAGGTAGGAAATGGCTGTATGCACAGGCATTCTACACGGAGTCGGAGTTCTCGGACATCTACGACGAGAAGTCTTATCAGGAGCTGAGAAGCAAGTACAAAGCCGAGCATCTGCCCAGTGCTTTTGACAAGGCTTGCGTGATTGGTAAGAGCAAAGGCCAGGGAGTGTCGCAAGGATGGGGTGACTGGACAGCTCAGAAAGCGTGGAGCGTTTGGCCGATATCTGGCGTGTATGGTGTATTGCAGACACTGGTCAGCAAAGAATATTTGCTTAAAAAGTGATAGCAATACACTCTACCCAGTGGTTCGGGTATCAGGAATGATTGCGCTACCCTGCCTTCGCGACAATTAGACCATGCCATGAAGGACAGTACCAAGCTCACTCAAACGACAGACGAGAGCCTCGGGACAACAAAGCTGTGTGCAGGGAGGTCATTTGATCAACGAATGTTCGGCCTATCTTGAATCAATGTGTGTTGTCAAGAGCACCTACGTCATAATTCGAACGGTTTTGGTGGCAGGGAATCCAAGGCAACCACCTTTGTGGCTTTCAAGATTCGCCCTGCCCCTCACCTACCACTTCATAAAGCTTTTGTAACTTCTTTGTCTCAGACTACAACACAAATTACACCTGAACGCAATCTCGACACCAAATCTCAACATGCCTCTCGTAATTCCCGGAATGCAGTCCAACGGCGGCGACGACAAGACCTCCAAGTGGATGGATCAGCTCATGGGCAAGAAGCTCGGTGAGAGCAACGACAATGTGGTATGTCTTGACTTCCGGCCGTCACTTAATTTGAGCAATCTTTCTGACGTCTGGCGTACCATACAGACCTTTGCAAAGAAGGACCTTCCCCAGCAGCACCGTGTTGTCAAGGGCGACTCGATGATGACCATGGACCACAACCCCGACCGGTACGAGCAGCATGAACACATTCGGACCCATGACAGGAGGGACTAACACATTATTCTTAGCCTCAACATCCACGTTGGTGACGATGGTACCGTGCACAAAGTCACCCACGGCTAAGCTATTCTGAAGCTTGCTGGACGACCAAGAAGTGAATCATGAAGACTACGAAAGCAACAACAACAATGCACGAGACAAATGGGTATGGGAGGTACATAAACCAGGAAACAGACAACAATGACAATGAATGAAACACGTCACATAATCTCAACCACGGCTTCGGGCCTGCAATATTGACATATCTCTAGCATTAGTGTCGCTGTGGACAGCCGAGCATAGGAACAGGATGTGTTCTTGTACTGCGAGTATGCGTGACTGGTAATGCACATGCTGCTCTGTTTGCATGTCTGCACACCGCCATGTGTAACCGTCCAGGCTTGAAGAGATGCCGGTATACAAATTGCATGCAGGGTCTTGCTCGTGCGCGTGTCGCTGCCGATGGCCCTGCAGTGATCCATCGAGCCTTTTGCTGTTTGGCTTTTGAGGCTCATTTGATTGTGTACCGCAAAGCATGATAACTACATGAGATATCTGAGCAGGAGTGAGTTGTATCGTGACGGGTGTGTAACAAGCCGCGACAAGAAACACCTTTCGGGAGGTGTTTCCTGCGAGGACGGAGGTGCCCCACACCACACCCTCGCTGACGGCCGAAGTTGCGGTCAAGGTCGGCTCTTTGACTCACAAAGCAGTTGATTGCAGCTCGCCCCTCTTCATGCAGCGGGGCGAGCGGCGGAATAGCGCATTAAACATACGAGCAATTGTCGCCGACTAGGAGCGACTGATCGTAGTAAGTACCAATCAACCTTGGGAAAAGTCTGGTGAGTCCCCTATTTTTCTGCTCTCTTAAGCGATTGCACATCGACGGCAAGGGGATCACGAACAGAGTCCTTGCTGCCTTTTTACCTTGGTATTCTGCGTACAAGAAAGGGATACATAGGCTCCAGAAAGTCGTGCATCGTCTTTCCTTTAGTCTTGTGATCTCCTTTCGCTCGGCAGCGAATCATCAGCTTCCCTGCTGGGTTTGGTGTCTTTTGATTGCACCCTCCCAGCCGCCGCAATTATTTCCCTGATCGAAGGCGGTAGGAGACAATCAACGACACTGTTTTACACCTCAAGCAGAAATTCGAGGCCTACATGCTAGATACGGCGATCACTTCCGCCATATCTTGAGTTCTTGCATGCAAGAGAAGGATTTGATGCTTAAAACAGACAAATGACGATTCCTGTCGCGAGCGCGTTGTCGGCGCGTCTTCCGCAGGTCCTGGACCTGAAGCTTCCACCAACCAGCGACTTGGTCCAACAGCCGCTGCAGAAATGCGTTGGCCATGCATATAACGGCCATCACGATGGAGCATACACGAAATCGTTCAAGTCCCCGAGTCTGCCCTCTCTGGACGTTGAAGAGGCACCGCCGAGCTACAACGACTGCGTGAACGATTGCCCACCTGATTATACCGATAGCGGCACACTCGCGACATCAGTTTATCACCCACCGCCTTATGCATCATTATCACCCTCCTCGGTCTCAGAGAAACGTTCTGAGGATCCACTTGGACTACACGCGCCGAGACTCGACTTTGGAAATCGTGACAACTTGCGCGAACACAAGAAGAAGAAAAAGGGCGCTGCTGCAGCAAAGAACAAATGGGACAGCGATAACGAAGAGGAGAAGAAGCCTGAAGGTGACAACACCGGCGATCAACCAGGCGATAACGGCGGCAGTGGAGGGGCTGATGGCGTAGGAGGAGATGGTGGCGAAGGAGGAGGCAATGACGATGACGATTGGGATGACGGCAAGAAGAAGGGCAAGAAAGACAAGAAGAAGAGTGCCTTCAGCTGGGATGCCCTAGAAGATGAGGAAATCAAGGACGAGGAAGAGAAGAAAGATGATCCAGCTCCGACCGAAGAAGCTCCCCAGGAAGAGGACGAGTGGGCAACATTTACAACCGCAGCCAGCAAGAAGAAGAAAAAGAAGGGCAAAAACGCCGAAGTCGATCCTCCAGCCGACGATCCCAAAACCGAAGACGATCCTCCAAAGGTCGAACTGAACTTCGGCAACAGCAATAGCTTTAGCTTCGGAAGCGACGGAGCTTGGGGCTCTAAGCCAGCAGAAGACGACGGATGGGCTACCTTTGGTGCCAGTAAGAAAGAGAAGAAGAAGAAGAACACCAGTGCGTTTGATTTTGGATTCGGCGATGCTGAAGGGGGAGAAATGCCGGGAGAGTCTGCACCACCGCCAGCAGAGGAAGAATCGAAAACGGACGACAATCCGTGGGCTGCATTCAGTACTGGCAAAAAGAAAACGAAGAAGGGAGGCGCTGTCGAAGAGCCGCCCCCTGAACCTGAACCTGAACCCGAGCCCGAGCCCGAGCCCGAGGTTGTTGTCGACTTTCAGAGCCCAGAGGAACCCGTTGACGACTTCAGCTGGGGTATGAGCGCAAAAGACAAGAAAAAAGCAAAGAAAGCCGCGAAGGCTGCTGTCCTCGCTGAGCCAGAGCCTGAGCCTGTAGCCGTCGTCGAAGAATCACCACCTGAGCCAGAGCCCGAAGTTCCCCCTGCTGATCCTGAACCAGCTCCAGTCGAGGATTTCAGCTGGGGTATGAGCGCGAAAGACAAGAAGAAGGCGAAGAAGGCCGCCGCGAAGAAAGGAGGAAACGCTTTCGAGTTCATAGCGGAGCCCGAGCCCGAACCTGTTCCAGCTGTGGAGCCCGAGCCCGAGCATCCAGTCACCGCGGCCATTGAGGAGCCCGTTGGAGCGGCTCCTGAACCAGAACCTGTAGACGATTTCTCTTGGGGAATGAGCGCAAAAGATAAGAAAAAGGCGAAGAAAGCAAAAAAGAATGCTTTTGACTGGTCGGAACCTGATCCTCCTGCTGCGCCAGAACCAATTCCCGTCGATCCATCCCCTGCAGCTGCGCCTGAGGAATCTTCTGCGCTTGCCATACCAGAGCCTCCTCAAGATGATTGGTTTGGATGGGGCACTGCTGGTAAGAAGAAGGGTAAGAAGGAAGACGTTCCACCAGAAGTGTCTCCGCCTCCGCCTGCCGCTCCAGAACCAGCTGTTGTAGAAAGCGGCAGTTCATGGTCTTTCGGCTGGGGCTCTACTTCGAAAAAGGACAAGAAGAAGAAGAGCAAGTCTCCAGAGCCCGAACCTATCCCAGAGCCTCAAGCTGAGCCTACTCCTGAAGAAAACCCAGTCGTGATGGTTCCAGAGTCTGTTGACGAACCTAAAGCAGAAGGAGATGACTGGTCTGGATGGGCCACAGGCAAGAAGGCAAAAAAGAAGGGGAGCAAGAATACGCCTGTTGAGATTGTAGAGCCTATATATGACGTTCCCGTCCAGCAACCTGATCCTGTGCATGCTGAGGAAGATTCTTGGGGAGGGTGGAGTGTAGGTAAGAAGGAGAAGAAGAAGGTCAAGAAGGTTGAGGCTACAAACCCCCCTTCATTACCAGCTATTGAGCCACCACCCGCAGAAACCGTCGAGCCTAGTATCAATATTCCTCCGGCTGTACCACCCGAGCCTGCTCTTGAAGAACAGGCGCCAGCTGATGATCCCTGGGCGTCTTTCTCAACCAAGAAGAGCAAGAAGGACAAGAAGAAAAAGGGCACGGGTATCGAGGAGCCGAAAGCAGTGATTGAAGAGCCGCTTCCGCCCCAAGAACCGATCCAACTCGATGAATTACAAGACACGATCGTTGAGCCCGAGTCTATTGTGGTCGTTGACACTTCACCTGTCGACGAGCCTGTTAAAGAGTCCAAAAAGAAAGAAGTCAAAGCTTCATCTGGCTGGGGTAGCAGTCTATGGGGTAGTTCGAGCAAGACCAAGACTTCGTCCAAGGACAAGGAGAAGGAGAGGGAGGACAAAGGACGTCAAAATCGAGAAGCCGAGGAGCAACGCAAAGCAGATGAAGAAGCCGCATTTGCAGCAGCTCTCGCTGATGAACCTGTCGACTTGCTTGCCGACTCAGGACCTGCACCTGAAGCGTCAGCAAGTACAGGCTATTGGGGCACTTTCCTAAAGCCAACTACAGTCAAGCATGTTGATGAGCAACCTGTTGTTCCCAAAGGTAAGCTTGATACTGGTGCTAAGGAATCTGTCAAAGATAGGATTAAACGGTTGCAAGGCGAGGCTACCAAAGATCAAGCGGTTGTTGTACCGCCAACCATTCGCGCACTCGAGCCACTACCGGAGCCCGAAGTTGTAGTTGTGCCCGAGCCCGAAGTCATCATCGTGCCCGAGCCACCAGTGATTGAAGACGTCTCGGTAAAGAAATCCTCGAAGGACAAGAAGAAGAAGAAAGCCAAAGAAAGAGAATCACCGCCTCCGCCTCCACCAGCTACCATCGAAGTACCCGCTCAAGCTATCGATGTACCCCCATCCCTGAGCCCTATTCCGGGTGGCTTCCCTGAGGATGACGTCGAAGTTGATGTGTTGGCCAATTCACCTGTTGTACCACCAGCTACTATCGCCAATGCCTCGGCTGGCGTATCCGTCCAGTCACCTCCAAAAGAGACAGTCATGCCATCCTTGGGGACGGTGCCCAAGTCTTCCGAAAAAAGGCCTGTCAAGGACAAAAAGTCGTCAGTCAAAAAGGAAATAAAGAAGCCGACAAAGTCTTCGCGTCCAACAGTAGTAGATCTTTCTATGCCAAGCACACCGGCTGCCGAGTCCAAATCAGTCAAGAAGGAGCGACCGAAAGTCGTTCGCGACCCAGCTGGATCTTCGCACTGGGGCTTATGGGGAACCACGCCCAAACCAGAAGCGAAGAGGGAACGCCGACACAGCAAAGACGTGACGACTCCAACCTTGAAGAGGACTGCCGCACCTGGACTCACCCGTTCGAAGTCAGCGCGTAAGGCAACAGAGCAAGACTTCATGGAGAAACTCAACAAAACCTCTGGTGACGACAAAACGTCGAGGCGAGAAAGCAGGGATCAGTCTACTCCGTCGAGAGGCATGGGTTTCGGTCTCTTTGGTCCTACACCAACAAGGTCGAAGTCAATGCGACAGTCAAATTCCGCACAGCGAACAACTCAGGTCAGGGAGCCACGTCACTCTTTCGACGTGTCCCCCCCTCCTGGCGATATTGCAAGTAAGGCGGCCAAGCTGATGGGTCTTGGTCCGCGGCCTTCGCTTAGCCGCAGTCAATCTACACGTGAGAAGCGCGTGTCGCGTACTATCCCGGATCCGTATGCCATTGACCCTGACAACACGCCGGACGATGCTACACACTCTGCATCAGTCGACAGATCCAGCAGTCATCGTACGAAGAGGTCTAGTCGTGGCGACCACAGGCACAGTAAACGCGATTCGGCGATGATGTCCGGTGGTCTGGGACCTGCCGACGTTGATGGGGCAGACCCAATGACTGTACCAGAAGAGACGCCCTTCGTGACACCTTCCCGACCAGCACTCAAGCGTTCAGCAACCACCAGCGCCCGAAGACCTGCTGGGGGCCTCTTCAGCAACATCATTGAATCGCTGAAACCAAAGCCGGTAGAAGAGCTTTCCCGTCGGCAACGTAGCAGTCGTGCTTACGATAGTGAGGATGGGTCCGGACGCCAACATAGACATCGTAAACCGCAATCATCCCATCGTGAAGATGATGAAGACTCGCAGCGCCATCTGCGTCGCGAAAGCAGGCGTGTCCATCGACCAGAGGACTCGAATCCCTTGGACGACTCGCCGTCCACACCGGTAGCAAACAATCTTGAGTCCGAAGACCGTGAACGTAGGCGTGCGGAGCGCAGAGCCAAACGTGCAGCACTAGAGGCAGCAGAAGAGGAACTTCGCCTCAAAGAGAAAGCCACTAGACGTAAGGAGCGTGAAGACGCCGAGCGCGCTAGACAGGATGAAGAAGAACAAGACCGACGTCAACGACGAGCGGAACGACATGCCTCCCGTCGCTCTAGCGCCATAGATCCGGACAGGAAACCGCGCCTTCATCGCTCTTCAACTGCGCCTGTCCAATCGTACTTCGATGCTCGTGCGATCAATCGTGATGCCAATGGCCGTGATCTTCGTAGTCCTCCAAAGGACAAGACATCCTCTTGGGTACATAGTGTGACGTCTACACCTCCCTCACCACCACCTCTGCAACCTACAATCCTGGATCTGCCACCTAATGATCAAGTTATCGACAACGATGAAGTACGCGATGATGAAAGCACAGCTCGGGAACTTCGGCGCCGCCATCGCCGTGAGCGCGAGTCTCGTGGCGTAGAGACAGATGAAGATCGCAAGAGACGCAAACGTAAGGAGCTACGACGCCGAGAAGAAGAAATTGCAAATCGCAACCGTGAAGGCACAGGTAAAAGAGATGGCGGAGGTAATAAGGCCTACAACAGTCTTGGCTACGAGAATTTTGACACACAGAGAACATGGGACGGAAGGGTCGTTGGTGGTGAGCCGCGTGGAGGTGGTGTCAAGGAAGAGATTACTCGACGTACACAGGGATGGTTCAAGAAGGTTGCTGGCCTTTGAGTACGAGATGTGTTGAGACGAGCTCGGCGGGATACAAAGGCCGTCTCTGGTTCCATGAGTGAGTGGCTGACGACTGTTACGATGTCAATGAGGTAGTGATAGGATACGAAGGAAATGAACTAGCATAGAGACAAGAGTTCTGAGAGATGATGAAATGGCGTTTGCATAATGTTGTGATCAGTGCACAATTTTGTGCAGCGAGGCAGCAAACTCCACTCCTCCCCGATCAGGCAGGTTGAAGAGATACCTAAAAAGGCAAGTCCAACCTGCATCCACGAAGATATCGAGTACAAGTATCTCCGACGACCTCTGTTGTCTGCTCTGCCTCTTCTCTGCTATCTCCAATTCACATTTACCACACCATGCGTACTGCAGCTGCGGCCTCGCTGCTCCTCGCAGCAACAACCCCACTGATCTCAGCTCACGGCGATCATCACCATCACGGCCAGCGAGACTTTACACCTGCCGAACTCAAGGAGCTCCAAGACAAATGGGGAACTGACTTTGGCTTCGGTGGCATCAGCACATTTGCGCATCTGCCGCATCACAAATGCTTGACGAACCCGCAGACTCCGTTTGACATTGGCATCATCGGAGCTCCCTTTGATACCGCCGTCTCTTACCGCCCAGGCGCTCGCTTTGGGCCCCGCGCTATCCGTGCTGCATCGGCTAGACAGACTGCTCTGCGTGGATACAATCCGCGGGCAAGTCTCAATCCATACACCTCTTGGGCTAACGTGGTGGATTGTGGTGATATTCCTATTACGCCATTTGATAATGGACTTGCTCTGCGTCAAATGAGCGAAGGTTACAATGAACTTGCGACTAGAGTGGCCATTCCTGAGAACGTGGACTCGGCAGCGACGTATCTCCAGACTGCCAAGATTGTCACGTTGGGTGGTGATCACAGTATCGCTCTTCCCGCATTGAGAGCGCTGAACAAGAAGTACGGGAAACCGGTTGCGGTTGTCCATTTTGATGCTCATCTGGACACTTGGCATCCATCTAAATATCCTTCTTACTGGTTGGATCTGGATGACCCATCTACACAGTCTTTCTTCACCCATGGAAACATGTTCTGGATGGCTGCAACTGAGGGATTGATTGCTAACGGCTCTTCGATCCATGCTGGTCTTCGCACTAGACTGTCAGATGAGGATGATTACACAAACGACTCGGAGCAAGGTTTCGTCCGCATCTCCGCCGATGATATTGACGACATCGGCACAAAAGGTGTCATCTCCAAGATCTTGTCTACGGTTCCTGCAGACTACCCTGTCTACCTCTCAATCGACATCGATGTCATTGACCCCGGTCTTGCTCCTGGTACTGGTACCCCTGAGCCTGGCGGTTGGACTACTAGAGAGTTGATCCGTATCTTGCGTGGTATTGAAGGTCTCAACGTTGTGGGTGCCGATGTTGTTGAGGTATCGCCAGCCTATGATTCCCAGGCTGAGACAACGGCACTTGCGGCTGCACAGGTTGTCTATGAGATTGTTACCTCGATGGTTAGAAGAGGGTTGATGGAATTGGCGAGGACAAAGCAGGAAGTTGTCAAAGATGAGCTATGATTTCAACGGCTGTATATGAGTGCGCTGCAGCGATGGCTGTTCGATGTTGCTCGGTAAAACGGTGGATCTTTTGGAACACGTGGAAATACCCATGCTTTGGAGACCCCGGAGATGAAGCACAGTGGAAAGCGATGAGCAATCTGTACAAGCGATCCACCAATACATATTTTGATATTATTGTTTACATTCTAAGGAATCTTCACACGATCTGCCATTGCTCTATTAAGCTTTTGTTGCCTTCCTTGAAAGATCGATTCTTGTAGGTATTGTGCTAAGAGCAGGGTGGCTCTCTTTACCATAATTTTTGAACATAGCCGACGTCATCATCCAACACGCGCATCACCACCTCAAACACTTTGTCAGCCCTCCATTGTCGACCACTTCATTCGAATCTTTCCTACTCTCTCTTGACTACTTTGTCCAACTCGCCCAACATGCCAGAGGTAAGTGGCCCTTTTCTTCGTATACCACACCCGACTGACGCGTCCCAAATAGATCGGAGAGGTAGCGCGTATAGTACACTTCCTGCGCAAACACTGCGCCAACAAGAAAATTTCCAACATCCTCATCCAAGAAGACAACATAGTCTACGGTAAAGTCGGTACCTCAGCATCAGCCTTCCAAAAAGCCTTTACGGGAAAGAAAATCCTCGATGCGAAGCAGCAGGGCAAGTACTTCTGGCTTGAAATGGAAGGGAAGCAACATCCTGTTATGCATTTGGGCATGACGGGGTGGATAAAATTCAAAAATGATGATACAAGTCATTATTACAGAAAACCAGAGGATGAGAATAAACCCCAGGAGTGGCCGCCGAGGTTCTGGAAGTTCATTTTGCAGTTGGAGGATGATGGAAATGAGATTGCCTTTGTAGATCCGAGGAGATTGGCACGTATCAGGGTTGTTGAGGCAGAGGCTGAAGAGTTGCGGAACACTACGCCGCTCAGGGAAAATGGACCGGACCCGGTGATTGACAAGGACATTTTGACAGAAGCTTGGCTGGAAGAGAAGTTGAAGAGCAAGAAAGTGCCTGTCAAGGCTTTGATGCTTGATCAAGCCAACATCTCGGGAATTGGCAACTGGGTGGCTGATGAGATCTTGTACCAAGCAAGGATCCATCCCGAACAGTACAGCTACACTTTCTCTTCTGCACAGATCTCCGCGCTCCACAAAGCCATGATGGATGTCTGCGGAACTGCAGTCGCTGTTTTGTCGGATAGTAGCAAGTTTCCGGAGACCTGGTTGATGAGATATCGCTGGGACAAGGGCAAGAAGGACAAGAACATCCTACCTAATGGCGATAAGATCGTCCATCTCAAGGTCGGAGGCAGGACTTCAGCGATTGTACCTCGAGTCCAGAAGAAGACCGGAAAAGTGGCTGGGGACGTTGAATCTGCGGATGAAGTGTCTGAGGATGCTGCAGAGTCACCTGAAGAAGAAGCCACACCGAAAAAGGCAAAAGCGACAAAGGCCAAGTCAAAGAAAGCTGCCGCAACTGCCAAAGATGAGGATATGGAGGTCGTCAAGCCCAAGCGTAGCAGAACTACAAAACGCAAGGCAGGGACCAACGAAGAAGACGCAGGTGCGGCTGTAAAGTCAGAGGAGGAAGAAGCCAAACCCGTCAAGAAGAGGCAGACCAAGGCGACAAAGGCGGAAGAAACAAACACTACTAAGACCAAGACTGAACAGAACGATATCAAGACCGAGGATACGGAGGGAAGCACAAGAAGAAGATCAGGTCGACTGTCTGGAAAGGGCGTCTAGAACCATACGTAAGGTCTCCATCCTCCACATGGTCAACAAGCATACCAAAGGTTTTCTGTTTGTGAAATATTCAAGATAGCAGAAAGTACCATGCATACTCATCTGCTCATTCGAGAATGCTCGATGATGAAACGATCACTATGCTATGAGATAATCTGGCATGCCATAACATTGTCAAACAATTGTGTTGTCTAAAATTCGGTATCACACAACTGCCACGCCCATCCTCCCATGCTACTCCAACACCTTTTTTTCAACCACGTTATTCTTCCATAACACCCACGATCCAATCCAATCCTTCCTTACCCTCTTTAATCCCATAACAAAACGCCAACACAAAACAATGCATCAAGCCCTCCCAATGCAACCATCTACCACCAACCCCCTGCTCCCTACAAACTTCTGCAAAATGTCTCGCCGGCGGCGCCAAAACATCTGCACCAGCCGTAATACCATAGACCTTCACACCCCTCTCCCTAAATACACCCACATCCGCTAAAACTGGAGAAATCCAAGGCGTCTCAGCATCAGTCCCACGACTCCAATTCTCAGCCGTGCCATTCGTAAACGGGATCCCCAACAGAGGATCCTTTTTATCCGCCGCCACCAGATCTGCAGAAAATGATGATGAAGCAACGGGTTGCTTTCGGAGGTCCAGTGCTGGAGATATCAAGACTATTTTGTTTGGCACGGGTGCTGAGGGTGTGGAAGCTAGGACTTTGACGACGAGACCTAGGGCTACATTGCCGCCCGCAGAGTCACCGGCGAAAATGACTTCTGTAGTTGATTTTTCCGTTTCTGTGGTTGGAAATAGGTAGGGGTATAGTCTTTCCAGCAAGGGTAAAGAGTCCTTGGCCGGAGAGTTTGGAGCCAGTGGATAAGATACCATCGTCACCGTTGTATCCTTCGATCGATGACACAACTCGGCGCAGAGTTTCCAATGTTCAGGACTCGGAGGCATTTGCCAACCTCCTCCCGCAAAGTAAAAGACGTGTCTCGTTCTCGTTGCGATTTCATCCTTTTTGGGAGAAGAGGTGTATTTGGGCTTCATATCGTAGAGCCAGATCCCTTCTACTTGTCGTTCTGTGACATTGCAGCGCTTGTTTGCTGCCTTGTGAACATCAAGGTAGGGCGAGCCTGCTGGAAATTCCTTTTTGGGTTTTATAAGACGAGGTCGAAATGGTTTAATGATTGTTTGGAGGAGTGATATCGGCGTTGATTTATCGCATCTTGTTGTGATTTCCATAATGCCGAGGCGCCTATGGTATTTCTGCCACTCGAATTGGTGATATAAATTACTGCGAATTGAAAGGACGCATGAAATAGGATAGCAGTAGAAGAATACAAGTGAGCAGGTGTGTTTATGCTATCCGCCATCCGCTGATGACGTATCGATTTCTTTCTTCCGCGGTTTCGCTTCGACAACTGCTGAAGTCTTATGAATTTGCTGATGTGCCTGAGCAATGAGACTAGAGCCTCTCACCATGCCGTCCAATTACATACACTGTACCGCGCGTTCTGTAGTGTTCTGTAGTGTGGGAAGTATAATATGAGGAGGCACTGGAATGGTCACGAATGACGTCAACTTTGGTCTACTTGCTCGGCGACCCTGCCGTTCGCTCTTTTGATGACAACGTCTTTGCTTTGCACTTTCAAGGACGGTGTGTACAGTTTATGCGAGGAGAAGTGTAAGCGTTTGCATTTCTTCAAGTTCAAGCCGCTCAAAAGGCTCCTAGTTGTTCAAAGCAAGACATGCATCCACAGCAGATCCAACACGCCCTTCTTTCATTCTAACGACATCGCTGATGACCTCACGATCCAAGTCCGGGAACATGCCTTGTAATGTCCTGTGTATGTGATCAGTGGATTGATTCCTGGTGCAGCAACGGCTGAACTTACTCGACCACTACTTGATGCTCCTGGGCTTGTATCCTCTGAGCCTCGGCCACATCGTTACTTGCTTGCCTTGCTGCTGACTCTTGAGAGCTACGACCACGACTAGATTCGAAACTCCTTGATCGGTCAACTTCTCGACGCTCCGGACTACGTAGTCTTCGGGTATCTTCCGCGCTCTTCCGTTGCTGGGGAAGTGCTGGTAAGCCAGGTGACAATCTAGTTGTGGAGATAGGCTGAGGAGTGGCGAGCTGTCTGGGAGTCGAGGATGAGGGCTGGCTTTCGTCGCTGAACATGCGGCCGATGGTTGACAAAGGTTTTTGGATGGTGCGGAGAAGACCTGTCACAGCTGCATTCTCGTCCTCTGCTTCACCTGCAGAGTTCTTCGAGCGTATACTGCCTCCTCTGGTCAGGGGTGTTCGCTCGCCTTCGGTGCTGTTTCTAGTGTTGACCTCCGGCCTACTCAGACTACTCTTCTCGTTGAATTGTGGATGTGTGGACTGAGACGAGCTCGCAGCAGCTTTATCGTGTGTTGAACTCTCGTACTCGTCTGCTTTATGCCCCTCAGCAATCTGGCTCACAGCAGCCTCGACGTTCTTCTCGAACTCCTCATCGGTGATGGTCAAATTGGTCCGATCGAGATTCTCGATGAAAGTGACGACGCCCATCAAGGATGAAATGTAGTATCCAGCCTCGCCTCCCAACTTATCCTGATTCCGGAATCGGAGAATGTATTGCACGTTACTGACAAGATGCTCTGGGTTCGCACGAAGAACAGTGTAGATCAAAAGAGGCACGAATGCATCGGCAGACTGATCGCTCTTGTTGTTCTTGAGATAGCCGAAGATGACTTTGCAAGTGTTGAGAATACAAATGACCTTGTCACGAGGAGCACGGTATGAGCCAATCTTGAGCAGTTCTTGCTGTGCAAGCACCAGGAAGCGGCGGCCTTTGTCGTTGATGGTCGCAATGTCCAGATGTTCCTCTCGGATCCAGCCGTAGATTCTGATCTTTTGCGCAATCACGTCGTCTCTTTCGACATCTTCCTGATGCTGGCCTCTTCTACCAGGACCATGTGGAGAATGTGTCTGATGGCGGAAGCGTTTCTTTGTGGGAGAGCTGGCCTCCTGTGCAGGGATGGCGGGAGAGAAGGTCTGTGAATAGAGTCTGTTCATGACGAGCTTCTCCATGCCCTCTCTGGCGTTGTCGAACTCTGCATCGCTGACCGTCCTCCAGACTTCACATTGAGCCATCTTTTTCGAAATGAACTCGAGGAAGTCGGAGATGATCTTGACCTGCTCGTGAACAGCCCATTGCTTCTTGCCAAACTCATTAAGAAAGGATCTCAGGAAGCGGGCGACAGGATCGGCAGTCCGATGACGGAGTTGTTCGAGAAAGCGGTGGAAGTCGAAGGGGAGAGCGGGTTCTGAGTCGGGAGACGGCGGCGGCGGCTGGAAGATGGACGAGGCTGGGCGAGGAGAATCAGTTCGCTCCGGCTGTTGAATGCTGACACCAGAGATGGAGCCAGGTCGTGCAGCGGCGGGGCTGAAGATGTAGCTGTCGCGCGAGAGTTGACGCTGCAGCTTCGGCGACGTCATTGTGCTGGGAGAGGGAGATGGATCCAGACTCGAGGTGCGCATGGGTAGCGAGGATATATCGATGCGCGGAGACATGATCTTCTGCAAGGCGGGGTCGGCCAGGTCGTCGTCCATCTCGTCCATGATGTTTGCGAGGTCGTCGTCTTGAGCATACTGTCGTTGCAGGAACTTGTCGTCCTTCGGGGGCGGCGGCGGTGGTGTCGGCGAGCGCACTCGTTCCTTCTCTTTCTCCTTCTCCTTATCCCTGCCGCTCTCTGGCTGTGCATGCTGCTCTGCTTGCTTCTCATTCACTTCCAGCTCTTGCGTTCTCTCGGCCAGGTCCTGGCTTGCTGTCGTTTGTGTAGTGGGATGCGCATTTTCTGAAGGGATTCCCAGATCTATCAAGACATTCTGCTCTTTCTCGGCGTCCATGTTGTCGTCGTCTTTAAATGTCGCCCTGTTGCATTCCAGTGCTGACTGCGGCCAACTTCGATGTCCTCCGAAGCTTACTCGCACGACAATCGCCTAGATTTATGCAGATCTTGTCACGCTCGGATTATGCGATACGAGTTGGGCGAATGCGAATGCGAGGGAATGTGGGAAACAAGTATTAAATATTAGGTATGTTCCTTGCAGATTACAAGGCCGAGTCCTAGAAGATGAATGGCCGAGGCGCTTGCTTGCACCAGCCACATGAACACATGAACCTCACGCGCTGCTCTCTTCCCGCAATGACGCTCGCCTTGGCACCGTCTTCCTCCTCTTGAACTTCCACCACACCTTGTATTGTTTTTTCTGTCTTATGTCAAACAAGTCATGTGCGGCATCTTTTGTTCTGTCAGCGCTATAGAGCACGTAGTACCCTCGGAAAGGCACCGCGAGCTTCTGAAGAGACGAGGCCCTGACTCTTCCAAGGAGCTGAAACAACGATCTGAAAATCTTTACCTATCCTGTTTCAGTACAGTCCTCGCTCTTAGAGGGGATCACACTGTCATCCAGCCTGTAGAGCATACAGATCACCCAAATGCCTTCCTCTGTTGGAACGGTGAAGCTTGGAGACATGGTGCCTCTGCTATTGCGGGCAATGATTCTGAGGTCGTCTTTACTTCCATCTCGAGCATGCTGAGACAGGCTGAGCTCGATACATCCCCAGGTAGAGTCATGCAAAATGCACTGAACCTCATTACCGGTCCTTATGCCTTTGCCTATTTCCATCCTGAATCATATACCCTATTCTTTGGTAGGGATCCTCTTGGACGCCGTTCCTTGATGCACCGCGCTGATGAACATGGTAACTTCATTCTGTCCACCATCTCCGACTCCACCGAATCAGGGTGGCAGGAAGTGGAAGCTGATGGCGTCTACTCACTTAACCTCAAGTCTTTCCATGAGTCGATTCAGAGAAAGGAACCTTGCATACCAACATGCCTGCCTTACCTCAGTTCACCCAACTCTGTCATTTCGACGTCGACAGCTCCTGAGTCGTCTGTTCCTCGGCTCACTACCTCTTCTCCTGCTGTTTCGAGGATCGAAAGCTTACTCCGTGACTCGCTGAAGCTACGCATCTCAAACATTCCAGGCCATCCTCATAGCAAGTCACCGCGCCTGCCAGCAAGCCTCGCCGTTCTCTTCTCCGGCGGACTGGACTGCACCCTCCTGGCCCGACTATCAAATGATATCCTTGAGCCTACACAACCCATCGATCTCCTCAACGTCGCTTTTGAGAACCCTCGAGTACATCGTCGACCTGCCGACGCGGATCTTAACGAAACGTGGTCACCATACGAGCTTTGTCCAGACCGCGTAACGGGACGCGCCTCATTTGCTGAACTTCAACTTGCCTGTCCTGGTCGGCTCTGGAGGTTCATCGCCATCAATGTTCCGTATCATGAGTTTTCTGCTCATCGATCGGAAGTCATCAGCTTGATCCATCCTCACAACACCGAGATGGATCTAAGCATTGCCTCTGCTCTCTATTTTGCCTCTAGAGGGCAAGGAATGATATCATCAAACGAGGGAGAATCATGTTTGTTCACTTCAGAAGCACGTGTGCTGCTCTCTGGCCTAGGCGCTGACGAGTTGTTCGGTGGCTACACTCGACACGACACTGCGTTTCGTCGACAAGGATTCTCCGGTCTCTTAGATGAGCTAAACCTTGATGTTGACAGGCTAGGCAAACGTAATCTCGGTCGTGATGATCGTGTGCTGTCCAACTGGGCAAGAGAGACTAGGTTCCCCTTCCTTGATGAGGATCTTGTGCAGTGGGCCGTCAATGCGCCTGTTTGGGATAGATGTGGATTTGGCGAGAGTAAGGAAGGCGAAGAACGTGAGACTTCCTCTCTGGAGCCCGCGAAGAAGATACTACGTTGCCTTGCTTGGAAACTTGGGATGAAAAATGTCGCTGCAGAGAAGAAGCGAGCAGTGAGTTGAACCGTCACAGATGTCTGATTATGCTGACATCAACCATAGATCCAATTCGGCGCTCGTACAGCCAAGATGGAAGTTGGTCGGTCGAAAGGCACCCACGCCATCAGTTGAAAGTTGTCTGTGAGGACCTCCTACAGAAGCACGCATCTATACATCATTTATCCTTTCTGGTCTCATTGAGATCTGGATTATAGTACTCGGGGTATGATCCCTTGTATCCTAACAAGCCTCCACCAATCCATCGACCAACTACGACTCCCAAACCATACGTCATATACTGCATCAACCATGTCGGACCAATGTCCCAAGCCAAGCTCACTTCGGCCGAGTCCAGGAACAACAAAAGCTGAGGCAAGCTTGGAGTAGTCTTTTGGTGAGTGCAGTCATCGAGATAAGAGTACAAATTACGGAAGAAGCGTTCGCTGACGCCCAAGTCGGTGGCAGTGGTTTCTGATGATAGAGGAGAAGTCTCGGCTGAGATCTCAATGACACAAGGGCCCTTGTGTGACGGATCCGGAGCGAAGGTGTGAGGAGCACCAGGAGTGATATTCATGCGCGGGTTCGGGTCCGTCGCAGAAATCTTGGTGTCTTTGCCGTTGAGGGTGAAGATGAAAGTGCTGCCGTCAATCAGTGATTGCAGGTTCAAAAGCAAGATGGCGTACTGCATACCCTTGAGTCACGGTAAAATGTTCTTCCTGGTACCAGTGCCAATGATAAGGAGGAACCAGCTGCTCGCGTTGAGACTTTGTGATGGAAGAAGAATCAGGATATGTTTGAATTTCTAAGACGCTGTTGCCGGAACGAGGAGTATGCCATTTTGTAGTCCTTGCGCCATTGCAGCTGACTACCGAGTCCGACTCGGCTGTTCTGGTGCGGGCGAAAGACATGAGTTACACAGAAGCAGGATGGTCAGAGCGGCTTCTTTGTGTGACCAAATTACTATATACAAGTGACAAGGTTGAAAACAGATGTGGTCATCATTGTAGACGGACACAGAAGCTATGACCAGCTGGAGGGGAGCCGTTTGAGCAGGCAGCATGACGTGGGCGTAGGCGCGTTTGTCCTTTGTTTGTAGACGGCCGCTTTCGCCGCATCCTTCTGGTGATAGAACAGTGAAAACAACAGGACACATTCCATTCTTCAGTACCATCCCATCCAGACTCATCATGGATTCAAGCAACGAGGATCTGATCGCTCAGTTCAGCGGTATCACCGGAGCATCGCCTGCAACTGTAAGTCTGGAACAAACAAGAAGACTACCCCACATCCGTCACCAGTCTTCCATCAACCTTCGATACCTTTCTGTCTTGCTATCCGACCATCACCATCTAACTTGACATCCACCCAGGCACAAACCGCTCTCGTTTCATCCGACTGGAACCTCGAACAAGCCGTCACTCTCTACTTTGCATCTCAGGACGCCCCCGCCGACGACAGCGACCAAGATCTTGAAGAGCAGCCTGCGCCCTCCCTGCCTGCAGCCCCTGCCGCAACCACTTCCTCATCATCCGCCAATCCTGCCCCTGCCACCAACCAGCCTAGAATGCGTACCTTCCGCGATCTCCAGAACGACGATGGCGACGATGACCACAGCGATCACGACCCCCAGCAGGACTTTTTTGCTGGAGGCGAGAAGTCCGGTCTAGCTGTCCAGGACCCCAACAGACGTCCTCAGGACCACTTCCGCAACATCATGCAGCAGGCCAGAGAGTGTGTTGTACTTTGTCTCAGCCATCTTCAACTGCTAACACATTAGCAGGAACCGCGCACGTCCCGATGACGATGACGAAGACGAGGCACCCGCCCAATCCAGCGCCTTCTCAGGTCGCGCTCAAACCCTCGGCGGCGATGACGCCCCTTCGCGCGTTATCGAAGACCCCAATGCCCGTCCCGCATCCACAAACACTACATCAGCGCCGCCTCGCGTGAGCCGTACGCTTCATCTCTGGCAAGACGGCTTCAGCATCGACGATGGTGAACTGCACCGCTTCGATGATCCCCAAAACGCCAACGTCCTCGCTCTCATCAACCAGGGTCGTGCTCCGCTTGCCCTCCTTGGCGTCCAGCCGGGCCAGGAAGTCGATCTTCAGCTCGACCCTCACAAGGACGAGAAGTATGTGAAGCCCAAGGCACAATACAAGCCTTTCGGTGGCTCTGGCCAGCGTCTTGGCTCACCTACCCCTGCCCTGTCCGGCTCCACACCCGCACCTGCCGCTGCAGCCGCATCATCGTCCACGTCTTCAGCAGCGACCTCGTCGACACCCAAGGTCGACGTTGACGAGTCACAGCCCACTATCCAACTCCAGATCCGTCTGGGTGACGGCACCCGTCTGGTCTCACGTTTTAACACCACACACACTGTTGGCGAGGTTTATGAATTTATCATGGCCAGCAGCACCGCCAGCCAGAGCAGACCCTTTACCCTCATGACCACATTCCCTAGCAAGCCTCTAGACAACAAGACTGCCAAGCTCGAGGATGTGCCTGAACTCAAGCGCGGCGGTAGCGTTGTGCAAAAATGGGATTAGACGTTTCCTTTCGAATGGAATCATGTGGAAGGTCGCAGGCTGGGAAGCTACAATGAACCTGTTGTTCTTGGAAGTGATGCTGAGCAATTAGCTGAGGATGTTGCAGCAGTGAGAGGGTATTACGAGAAGATCCTTGTCATTGGCTGGGAGTACACTATATGCCCGGATGCCGAAACTTGATCAGACTCGTCGTAGAGAGGAGGGGACACATGAAGCTCAACTCGAGTTAGGCCAGATGACAAAATGACAATCATTTTAATATTTGAAGTTGGTGTTCCTTAGTTTATAGTATATCCTCCGTCAGCCACTAGAGCAGCGCCCTGAACAAAGGAAGCTTTAGGTGAGCAGAGGAAGAGGATACAGTCGGCTATCTCTTGCGGTGTGCCAGCTCTGTTCATGGGAGCGATAGAGATTGCTTTCCTGACCTCGTCGTTGATGAGAGGAGTTTCAATAACACCAGGACAAATGCAATTGACCCTGATGTTATGAGCAGAATAGTCCAAAGCATCTGATTTTGTCAAGCCAATGATTGCCGCTTTGGCTGAACAGTATGCAGCTACGATCTCATCAGTATCTTGATTTCTCTCGGAAGGAAGAGGGAAAAGGGCAGAAGAAGGAGGGAAGCAAACTCACGAGCCTGAGGTCTAGCCACAATACCCAACTGACTAGCCACATTAACAATAACACCTCTATTCCCTTGTCTCCCGTCATGAGTCTCGAGTGGTTCCTGTCCCACCATACACTTCAACTCCTCCCTCGAACACAACCAAGAACCTCTATAATCTACATTGACCACGTGATCGAATTCCTCCAGTGTCATTTCATGGCTTTTCTTCGCCGTGCCCAGCACACCTGCACAGTTCACCGCGTAATCGACACGGTGGAACTGTTGGAGGGTTTTGCGAAAGAGGTCGCGGACAGAGGAGGGAGAGGAGATGTCGGTTTGAATGGCGAGAAAGGTTGTGGTGGGGTAGAGTGCTGAGAGGGAGGAGTGGGTTTCTTGCAAGGAGGTGGTGGAGATGTCGGCGAGGACTATTTGGGGGCAACCTTCTTGGGCAAAAGAAGTTGCTGTGGCTTTTCCTATACCTGTGTTGCGTAGAGTGTGAGATTGGTGATCTTTTTGGAGTTGGGGTCATGGGTGTTGGAGTTGTGGTATATGGGGTCGAGAAAGTTGGGGTCGTGAGGAAAGAGGAGGTGTGTATGTATGGGATGCTTACCAGAAGAGGCACCAGTGATTAGAGCAACGCCAGGGAAGAGTGTGGGAGCCATTACATCAAAGTGATCGAGGAGTTGAAAGAAGAAGAGTAGGTGTACAGACTTGAGATCAAGGTGGAAATGTTGGTCAACTTATCATTATCATGTGCTTATCGATAGGTGCATCATCCCGGCGTCGGCCAAAGTCAAATCAAGTCAGATTCAGCCGCAGGAGTGGGGGAAAAGTGTCATGAAACCTCCAAGTCATGGAGGCATCGATGGACTGCTAGAGGAGTTTCCCTGTGGTTCTGTACCTAAATCCTCCAATAGATAGAGAATGTGATACGTGGGTGACTTGAGATGAGGCATTGAGATTGGGTAACATGAATGCACAGCCTATGGGCAGGAAGCAATGATAGACCTACGGAGAGAAATCCCTGGAACTGCAGCGGCGAACAAACTGGTTGACCATTACACATTAGAGTCAATGGGAGAACAGGACTGCACACCAGAAGGCCATATATTGTCGAATATTAGACAGCTCTTCAGACAGGTGTTAGGTAGAAAGAGAGGATCGAGGCTTGTGTATAAGCTACAAATCAAGGGATAACTCGAGACTTGGCGGACGATGGGGAACGTTGAAAGATGCAGACGCAGTAGAAAGGAGTACAACCGATGGAGTTGAACAACGGCAGGTGGTGATAAGGAGGCGGCGACTTGTCCATCTTTCTCTTCTTTGCCAGTCCTACAGATTCTTGTTACTTCTCGATGATTTCATGAAACGCGACTCATAACCTACTACCTTAATAATCGACAACAGCTCGTCAGCGACTGAGCGTTTCACCACTACAAAGCAGGCAGAGCAGCCCCCTCTGCTCAAACTAAACAGCAAAAGATGCTGTTATCTGCTTTTGGGTCGCCGCGGCGGCTAATCATCTTGACAATCCTCGTCTTCCTGGCCATCGTCGTACTCGTGCGCAATTCGACATACTCCGAATACCTACCCCAGGTCGATCTACCCTCATTCAGCAACGGCAAGGTCCCAGGAGACACAACGACAGGCAGTAGCAGTTTTGCGGAAGATTCGCAGGGCGAGTTATGGCAGGAATACAAGCCTGAGCAGGACAAGGTTCAGCCAGCGCCGCCTCCGCCGCCAAAGGAGCAAGAATACGAGGAGAAGCCTGTCCACACCAGCATCCTCACCTCCGTCTCGCATTCGTCCAGCGCATCGTCTTCCTCGTCTTCCAATTCAGCAAGCACGTCTGCCACGAAATCCAGTTCCATTGCCAAAACCACACCTTTGGTACATGCTTCGTACAAGGAGCTACAGGCAAAGATCAAGGACTTTATCAAATGGGATCGTCCCACAAAGGGTGCCCATTGGCCTGGCTATGATGATTATGTCGACAAGGATTACGATCCGAACCGCTGGGAGGGCCTCCCCATGTACGTTGTATCCTTGTGCTCATGGGGAATGCCCCCCACTGACCTAATGCAGGAACGTCGACTTCTACGCATCCAATGGCATCAAGCAGCTCGAGAAGATGGGCTTGAACGCCTCCGTATATTCCCCTTACCCCGATTACCACTCGTCCGGCTACAAGAAGCAATGGGCAGGCGAATACGCTTCCTGCAAGGGCCCTCGCGGTCAGACATTGGACAAGAGCCCGGAAGACTTGGTCAAGGCATGGCCACAACTCCCACACAACTTTCCCAACGTTAGTGTTGGCACAGATCTGGGTCTCGACCTCCACTCTTGCTTCGATCGCGAGTTGCGCTACGCTCCCTACGACAGCTCCTCCAGGGACGCTCCTGAGTGGCAGAATGTCAATTGGGGTAAGCTACAAGACGAGTGTTTGAGCACGAACAAGGGACGCTACGGTGAACACCAGCGCAAGTCTATGCAGCTTAGACCCAGCAGGACCATGCCCAAGGAAGACGAATCAGACAAGAAGGCAGAGTCCACATCCGGCGCTAAGCCTCACCACCGTACTGCCATTTTGATCCGTACTTGGGAGGGCTACAAGTACACAGAGAACGACTTGCAAGCCATTCGCTCTCTAGTCACAGAGACTTCGCTTCTCAGTGGCGGAGAGTACCAGGTCTACTTGTTTGTAAACGTCAAGCAGCGCGACGCCGACATTTACGACAATGAAGAAACCTACAAGAGCGTACTACACCAGGTTGTTCCCGAAGAACTCCGTGACATTTCCGTCCTATGGACCGAGAAGGTATGCGAGGAATGGTACCCTAGAGTCGGCGACTGGCAAGTCTATTGGATGCAATTTATGCCTCTGCAGTGGTTCTCAAAGACACATCCCGAGTTCGACTATGTCTGGAACTGGGAGACCGATGCCAGATACACCGGAAACCCCTACCATTTCCTCGAGCAGGTTTCTTACTTTGCTCAGAAGATGCCGAGAAAGCACTTGTGGGAGAGAAACTCTCGTTTCTACATTCCCGAGGCACATGGTGACTACAAGTCATATCTTGCAGATACCGACGGAGCCATTGCTAATGCTACAAAAGAAGGTAGCATGACTCCTGTATGGGGCGCTCTTCCTTACTCTGCTTCTCAGGTCACCATTGGCCCAAAGCCACCTCGTAAGCAGGAAGAAGACGACTTTTCCTGGGGTGTAGACGAACAAGCCGATCTCATTACTCTCCAACCGATCTGGGACCCCAATGACACCCAATGGTCCTTCCGCCACAAGATCTGGAACTTCATTCCCGGCGTACGACCAATCTTCACAGCCGACAACGGCATTGCCGAGGGTTTCTACCACGAAGGCTTCGAGACCATCCCCCGCCGTACTTTCATCAACACACTCGCCCGCTTCTCCAAACGGATGCTCCACGCCATGCACACAGAAAACCTCGAAGGCCGCGCCATGCAAGCGGAAATGTGGCCCGCGACCGTCGCTCTCCAACACGGTCTCAAAGCCGTCTATGCACCCCACCCAATCTGGTCATCCCACCACTGGCCAGCCTGGTACGCCGACGCAATCTTCAACGCCGATGCCGGAAAGCCCGCCCGCTGGAGTCAAGAATTCGACTCTGCGTATGCACATGACCGTGAAGTCAATTTCAAGACATGGTCGTGGTATTACGCCACCGATTTCCCAAAGACGCTGTTTTGGCGATGGTTGGGCTGGGAAGCTGAGGATAAGGGGTTGGGCAGTTGGGGTGGTAAACAGGATGAAGAGGAGGGTAAAGATATTAGAGGGATCGGTATGGTGGGGGGAGAGGGTAAGATGTGTTTGCCTGGTATGCTGCTGCATCCTGTGAAAAAGGTTTCGAAACCTCAGGGACAGAATTAGGGAGAAAAGCATTTAGATCCTGTGTATATTCGAAATTTTCTCATCCTTCCAGTTCCCAATATACAAATGTGTGTTACCATCGCGACTGCAACTCCCATCGTAACTTACTCAGTTCTTGTTATTGACCTCCTACGTCTTTTGCAATACAGCATAAGCGCTTTCCATCGCATTGCTCTCTTCCAATCTCGAACTCGCCATGGCCCTCCTTCTATACTGCTGCCACATCCACCATAAAGCAAACAGTCCCAAAGTCAAGACCACAGAGATGACAAAGTAGATCCACAAATCGTGAGAGTAGGTCATATGACCACCATGGGCATCCGGGTCGTAGGCGAAGAAGTTCATACCCAGTAGTGCCTGTTCCCTGCATGTCAGATAACGTAATCTAAAGAGGGAGAGGAGAGTGACGAACAGAGACAAATGTAGCGGGCAGAAAAGTCATCGTCACTATTGCGATTGTCTTCATTGCCGCACCGTCATCTTTTGTCGCCATTGCGATGTCGACGTTTGTTTTTGCGTCGAGTTGAGACATGAGATTTGATGTCTGTTGAGAAATTTGAAGTCAGTTGTGGAACGCCCTTGACGTGGGTGAGAGGGTAGTGGTACCAAGTTTTGCTCATTGCCCATACGTCTGTCGTTGGATACCGCTCGTGCTAAGAAGCCTTGCATCATCGTATGCTGGAACTTGAACGTATCCAGCCGGGAAGAGAGAAGGTCTTGATGGATTGTTGCTCGGGAGGCCAATATATGACATTGTTGAGCGATACACTCTACGACCTTTGCCGCTTCCTGCGTTGACTCGACAGAGTGTACAGTATGTCTGGAATCTTCGTAGAGCTTGATGAAGTAATGCAAGTCTGTGTTGCCCATTGGCTGTGCGCGACAGCTTAGTTAGCCGATCCATTTAGGCTGATAGAAATTCTTGAGGTAGACATACCCCTTTATTTTTCTCATTGTTCCTCATGATCCTCGCGATATCCCATACGCCTTCGTCATACATCACCATGAGCTGTTCAAGCAGTACTTGGTGCAAGCCATATGGTCCAGTAATTGCATCCTTGTTTTCTTCTTCCAGAAGCATCTCGAACATGTTCCAAGCTAAGTGTCTGGGTGTATCAAGACACAACAGCATATTGCGTTTCTCGCTGAGAGTAGAGAGAAAGGACATCTCATACCATTGATATTGCGTAAACTCGACGTTCTTTGGTGGTGGCTTTATCGATTTGACAATCATACGAAACCATGTTTCCACCCTCGGTGAGGTTGAAGTTCCGGTAGAGCTCGAGTCTACTGCAGTCTTTGCTCCAAAGAACCCATTGTGTTGAACGCACGTTTTTGACCAAAACATCTGTGGGATGTTGGGAAAGTGCTTGCACAGCTCTTTTCTCAGTGGAATGTCGTCAAGGAAGTGCTGTATCCCAGTAAATCTTGTTTGATCAGTATATCAGTTTTGTTGATGGCAAACTCAATATTCTCACATGAAGCAGGTCAAGATGCTACTGTCCTGTATGCGGTCAGATTGACAATCACAGGCCTTGTGTCGAGATTACCTCTAGGAGATCAAGTATGGGCTTTCCAATTATCTGCCAAGTGCCATCGGACGAGTCTACAAAGCGATGACAAGTCAGTATATTGGGAGAGCTCGACGTATCCCCCAAATGTCCCATACCGTATATTAGAGCTTCGACATTTGGATTCGACAATTTCTTCTCCGCCGGAATAATTCTAGTCGTACTGGACATCTTGATGTCGTGTACAAAGTCTGATCTGTAAGAAGAGCTCACCAGGTTTCTACTGAGGTATGTCCGACTTTTAATATATGCAGGTCAGCCATGTGGCTGGGGACCGACAAGGCGCTTCATAGCCTGCTTTCCTGCATGAAGCTGTAGACTAGTGGGGCGCAATGATTCTGTCAAAAGCAATGCCTCACAATTTATCCAGATTCTTGTACCATATCCTCAGAACAGATGATGTGCGTCAATAGTGACACGAATAGGCAACCAAGTCGAAGTTATGGTGAGATGTTCCCAACGCTACCGAGAGAGCAAGATGTATCTTCGAATTAGAGCAGGACGCTGTAACTGGGTGTATCTTAAATCGAGGCCGCTTCATCGAAGATATTATGGCTTCTTGCCTCGAACCAGATCAAGGAAGGTACTAAAGCGCATAAAGTAGGTAAGGTCGAAGAGGATAATTGAAGTGGTCCTGGGTGAACGGCGGGTCTGTGCGCATCTGGCAAAATGTGCCTTCTTCGTCAATCAGCCTCAAGCGCATGCTAAACACCCAACTCTCCTTACTATGGGTTCACTCGTCCAGCTGCACCTTCGGATTGATCTCGATATCAAGGTATTGGCTCAGTGACCGGAGAACTGCATGCTGGCCGAGATCAAGTTGTCTACTTAAGATGCAGCTGTATGTCCAGTTATCTGGACGCTATCTACCAGTATTCGTCCACGATAATACCTTATCGTACTCGGAGTAGTCACACTACCGGTCGAGTAGGTGGAGATAAGGAGTGGTGGAGAGCTTAGCTCTATACAAGCTCCACCAGATTCTTATCTATGGTTCCGTCAAGCATTCGGCACTTGCTTGGCCTTGATTGCCATGTATACCAATCACATGCACGTACAGAGTACTGAGATGATGCTGAAGTAACTGCAGGCATAACGTATGATAGGTGCCACTGCCCGTAGTTCAGCCTATCTCAACAGGCGTGGCAAGATAGGCCAATCCACTAGGTTACGGGGCTAAGCTCACATCGAACTTGAGGACTAACAAGATAACTTGTATGGCGGCCGAGGTGATATAAGTTGTGCGTCTTCTCGCTCAACTCTGGGTAGTCATACCGCAAGCTTCTTTGATCTCGTCTTGATCCTCCCACTCGTCAACTCGCACGACTGAGATCGCCTTTACTATGAGCGACGAAAAGCATGTCTATGATCCGGAAGTAGTACGAGAACTTCCGGGCTCAGGCAAGAATGGAGTTTCGGAAAAGATTCTCCAGCATGCCAACGATGCTGACGATGCCATGAAAGCCTTTACGTCCGCTGGTGAAGTGATCACCCTCGACGAAGAAACTAATAAGAGACTTCTCCGAAAAATTGATCTAAACATCATGCCGGTAGTTCCTGACTTCTTCTTATCACAACTAGTTCACAGCTAACGTTGTCAGCTGCTTTGTGTGGTTTACATGTTGAATTTTCTGGACAAGACTTGCATCTCCTACGCCTCAGTCATGGGCATGAAGAAAGATCTCGGCCTCCATGGACAACAATACTCATGGTTGGGCAGCATGTTCTACTTCGGCTATCTGATTTGGGAGTACCCAACAAATCGCCTCCTTCAGCGCTTGCCTCTGGGCAAATACTCCTCCTTCAATGTCATCGCCTGGGGTGTGACGTTGACTTGTTTTTCCACGGTGGCAAACTTCCAGGGCGCCCTAGCCGTCAGATTCTTCTTGGGCCTCTTCGAGGCTGCAGTCACTCCTGGCTTCGCTCTATTCACGTCGCAGTGGTACACCAAGGAGGAGCAAGGTCTACGCACTGGCATCTGGTTCAGTTTTAATGGTTGGGCACAGATCCTTGGTGGTCTAGTCGCCTATGGTATCGCCCGTGGTACTGACGCCCATGAAGCCTCTATCGAACCATGGAAGATCGTGTTCTTAGTCACCGGCCTCTTGACTGTCGTCGTCGGTGTTCTGTTCTGGTTCTTCATGCCGGATAACCAACTCAATGCTCGATTTTTGACACCTGACGAGAGACTGCTCGCTGTCGAACGAGTGCGCATCAACCAACAAGGTATCGGCAACAAGCACTTCAAATGGTACCAGGTAAAAGAAGCCTTGACAGATCCTTTGGCGTGGGCATTTCTTTCATATGCACTCATCGCCGATCTCCCGAACGGCGGTCTCACTAACTTCTTCTCCTTACTCATTGAGTCATTTGGATATACCTCTGAGCAGTCGCTGTTGTACGGTACGCCGGCCGGGGCGGTAGAAGTGGTCTCGTTGATCGCTTGTGGCTGGCTGGGCGACCGGGTGGGATCCCGGCTTCTGGTCTCGACTTCTTGTCTTTGGCTCAGTATCCTTGGCGTACTGCTCATTGTCTGCTTGCCAGATACTATGAACGTGGGCAAGCTGATCGGGTATTATCTGACTGGTAGTGCAGCGACTTGTTTCGTTGCTTTGCTGTCACTGATCTCCTCCAATGTGGCTGGCTACACGAAAAAGACGACCGTTGCGGCCATGTATCTAATTGGCTACTGTGTTAGTCTTGCAACTATATTTGGGAGCTTCAGACAACTAACAATTCGTGTAGGTTGGTAACATCATTGGTCCTCAGACTTTCCAAGCAAAAGATGCACCAAAATATGTGCCCGCTGAAGTTACCATCATCGTTTGCTGGGGAATTTCGGCGTTCATCGTTTACGGCATCTACTTCTACTGCAAGTACCAGAACAAGTTGAAGGAGAAGATAAGAAGTCAGCCCGGGGTGAGTGATTATCATTCTCCGACATTACGTCTGCTAACAGTGCGTTTGCAGTATGTCAAGCTGGAAAACCAGGAGTTTTTAGACTTGACGGACAGAGAAAATCCCGAATTTATTTATACTCTGTAAATCGTTTTCCCAGGGGGTGGCTTCAGGACGCTCTTTCGGCTCCTGTCGACAGCCTAGAAAGCACAGGCGCAACGAAAAAGGACTGTCACAATTTTGACTGGGAAGCAACGATATGATGACTCCTTCTCCTACTCCAGACTGGAAACCTGGCTGTCTCACGCAGATATGATATCCTTGGGGTCCATCGAGGCGTAGTCAACATATGCAAGACAGCCCTGAGCGCAGGTGGCTGAGTCTCTGAATGTGTGTGTTGCCGCCGTATCTCCCGCCACTCGGACAGTATGATAGCAGTCAATTCTGCAAGTTAAGCTGCTCTCTTCGCTGTGTGCTTCTGATAGCAGACTTGATTAGCTTGGTGCACTGTCTTTCTGCCCTGGATACATCTAGACGAGTTGAGTGACCCGAATCCTTTCGAACGAGCTCGACTCGATGTTCAAAGCTGTTCTAAGCCGAATCTGCGTTAGCAACGACCAATTTTTGTAAAGCTTCGCTGTTATGTAGCGATATCATGTTAGATAGCTAGAACCAGTTCAATCAGCCTCAAGATCTCAAACGAAACCACAAAAGCTTTGGTCATCAGACCGGTTGCTCATCACGACCTCAACGTACCATATTCTGCTCGTTGGCTAACCTCTTCTCGTTGGTCGCAGCACGTGCAGACAAACCTCGAATCATGCTATGTACGAATGCCAGTCTGCGAGCTCGCGAAGACAGCGTTGCGCCTTTCTGTGTTGCAGCAAAGGCCTCGCACTCAACTTTCATGCGCTCGACGGTGTCTGCGGCAATTTGTGTGGTTTCCACCAGTTGAGTTGCGTGGCGAGAAATTTCAAATATGGCCGCTAGTTGACTTTTCCGTTGTTGCACAAACGATGCTCCTGTGCTGTTGCTCTCGCTACTTATGCTTGCTGAATCCGTGAGATCCTAAATGAGAGAACTGGATATCAGTACTTTGCTGTCGAAGATCGGATGTCCGAGCGTGTTGATGGCCCACCTTTTCTATGCTCGCGACCGTACCCTGGATGTACTCAATACTTGTATCGAATGACACAGCGAGCTGCTCCAGCAGTGGTACATGCAGAGCGTACCGCCCTTGTGAGTCTTGTAACATCGTCGGCAGATTGGTCTGCAACCGAGAAATGAAGCTCTTGGGTACGTTGAAGCAGAGCATAATGTTCCAGCCTGGGGTCGAAATAGACAAGAATCCCATTTCTGACCATTCGTAGGATAACCCACCATATGGAGAATCATAGTCTGGTAAGCCTTCATTCTTCGGAGTTTTGACAGCCAAGCGGAAATGGGTCGAGTATGGAATTGTGGCTGGGGGTAGGGAGTAGTCACAACCAAAGAAACCATTGTGAAGCGAACACGTTCTCGACCAGAACAGTCGTGGTGTGCAAGGGAATCGCATCATTATCGTATCCCGCAATTTATTGCGTTGATGACTTTGGATATACTCGATATCCGTGAATATCATACAAGCTTTCCGTGAAGTAGATTGCTGCTGAGGGTCAGTCCAAGTTTATGGTCCATTGGAAAGCGCATGCATGCCTCCAATAAAGTCCTTATGGGTCGTTCGAGCAAATTCCAACGACGGCTCTGTTCGTCTTCACACTGAATCAGCGTCGAGCGATATAGTTGAATGTCCGACCTTACCCCATACGAGCGTAGTCGCGTCAGGATTCGGGTCCGCGACTTGTATATCCGACATGGCTTAGTCCTATCTTGGTGATGATGTTTTAGGTCACCGTCTGTGGAAGATAGCAAGATTCCGTGAGAAACTCGAAAGGGAGATGTGTTGTTCACGCAATGATTACCAGCGCCAAGCCGGATGCCGGGCAAGTCATGTAATCTCGCTGGAGGATTCGTGTGGCTTGTCCTCAAAACTCGATATTTACAGATTTCGATACTTATGCTGCCTTCCTTATGTCATGGATCTTCGTCAACCTTCGTAACTATGCCTATACCATTGCTTAGGTACCGGTCTGGATCAAATATCCACCATCTGGTGCGATCACCTGACCTTGGAGGTACTGGTTGGCAACGCAGAACAACACCGTACTCGCCATGTCTGAGTCCTTGCCGGGTCTCTGCGCGGGCAAGTCGCCCTTGTGCTCCTTAGGCAGCTCACTTTTCTGGTCATCCTTGCTCTCTCCGGTAGTCATCTCTGAGGGGAACACGCCAGGAGCAATGGAGTTGACGCGAATCTTGAGACCGCTGCTCTGAATCTCGGCAGAGAGCATCTTGTTGAGGTGTACGGTAGCTCCCTTCGAGGCGTTGTAATTGAAATGGCCTTGTGAGATGCGGACAAGGCCGGAAATAGATGAGATGTTGATGATCGTTCCAGACCAGCCGTGCGTACGCTCAGTGGCCTTTTGGATCAAAGGCAAGAAGGCAATGCTGAGGAAGAAAGGTGCAATGACGTTGGTTGTGTAGAGGTCACTCCAGTCCTCGAAGCTTGGAAGGTCAGTATTGATTGCATGCAAGAACTAGGATGGGACCTACCTGTCGTTGTCAAAGAGGTTCGTTTTCATCTCCTCGGCGCTCTTGCCATCAGGGGTCAGCTTGCCAGCATCGATACCAGCGTCTGATAGGTGGTCAGTCGTGTTACATGGAGCCAGCAACAGATTAACATACTGTTGATGAGAATGTCGAGATAGCCCTCCTTGGACTCGATCTCTTTGACGAGCTTCTCAATCTCGCTTTTCTTTGTGACATCGCCAACGATGGGAATGATCTCGCCAGAAATGTTCTTGCCGTAAGTCTGCTGGACAGTCTTGAGCTTCTCCTCTGTACGGCCAACAATATAGACCTTGCATCCGTTGACAGCTAGGGCTTGAGTTGCCTGTGGCGGTCAGTACTTTGTGTCTCAAACTTGTCATCGATGTTTGTTACCATCAAGCCGATGCCTGAGCCACCACCTGTGACCAAAGCGATCTTGCCCTTGACATTGAAGACGTTGCTAAGTTGGAAGTTTTCATTAGACATGTTGGATTTTGGATGCTGTTTGGTAAGGAGAGGTGGAAGAACTCCACGTCGAAATATGATGATGATCTGTTTATGGAGCTTGCGAGTGACGTTTTGATGACGAGCGTTCTGTCGACTGGTGGGTCATCTTGATGATCAGGGTTCAGCCCACCATTTATTAAACCGTCCTCAAATAATGTTCCTGGGTTCTATATTGTGATTATGAACCTGATCTTCTTCTAGAACAATTCGGATTTATCAAGAAGGATCTTGGAATGGATTGCCAAACTTGGCATTTTGATATGGTTTTGCTAAGCTCGAGTCTCCTGCACTTCGACGGCACTAATTCTTTGACCCGTCTCTCTGTTGTTTACGAATTACAGTCCGCTCTGGTCGACGACACGATTCTCATGTGTACTTCTAGTCGATTCCCTCGTGGTCTCGTCTTCGGCGTGCGCACACGTCGTCAAGCCCAATGCATCTCAATAACGTCGTCGTTGTTAAAGCTCGTCTCCTGCGCGATCAGTGGCTATTGCAGACAAACGTACTGTGTATCAAAGAGAGGCTATCCGTCCCAGCCAGCTTTGAGGAAGGGATTCCGCGTCTGTTTGTTGTCGCTCCCTGGGTTTGTGAGGTCGGCTGTTTTGTCCAATTCTTTCTTCACCATTCTCAGTCAGTACCGCTGGGTACACTAGAGCTCTCCCATGGCCATACACCATCCACTCCTCCCACTAGCTGCATCTGATTCCTTGATGCCATCGTCTAGGACAGCCAATGCAGGACTGTGTTCCATCTCTTGAGTGTCTTTTCTACTGTCGATGTCTTGTATATCCTTCATCTGAGTGTCTTCGACCCCATTGGCTTCGAGCGTATCGTCGTTCGTCTTGACTTTCTTTGGCGTGGGTGCGACATCTGCGACGGGTTCAATCTGGTCGTGTGACCGCTTGGCTGCGAGTGTCGGTGAATGTGGCATGGCGTTCTCGATGGCAGGCTCGGAGATCGATATTTGTGTGGATTGAGCCATTGGATGCTGCGTCGCTTCAATCGAAGGAGACTGGTCAAAGATGTAAATGCGAGACAGACGCGAACGGCCATTTCGCGTCTCGGAGTCCACTCCATGACGACATTATTTGCTCAAAGGGCAAACGAGGGTGGGAGCAGCTGAGGGGATAACCCTGGCCACCAATAGTGAACGTGAATGACAACCTCAAACACTGTCAAATTGAACCCTCACATGCTATCTGGTGGCATGGTGTATTCCAGTCGATATTCAATTGCTTGTGTACGTGATTCTGAACATTGGGCGGTGCTAATTGGTCACGACTTCTGTCTGGATTTATGTCAAAATCATCGGCGTCGGACCAAGGGGATTGCGGAAAACAGGGCACTCTCTTTGACAGAATTGAGTCATTATGCAATTATATACATCTGTATTGGCTTTTAATTATGAGAACGCCGAGAAACCGAATCGTGTATATCCAAGAATTGAAGAGGCCGAGACCAAATAGACAAAAGAAATGCATAAACAAGATTTGAGATGTACCAATCAGAAAGATACCTCGACAATTAGATCCACAAAAGTAAGAGTGGTGTCAGGAAAGACCACATAGCAGACTCAGCAGTCTTGCCTGACGCAGCGACACCGCTTGAGGTTGCTGCTGCCGAGTCGTCGCTCGTAGCACTACCAGTGGTTGTCGAGCTAGAAGATGAACCACTAGTTTTGCTACTCACACTCGAATCCTTCTTCCCGCTCGAGCTGCTGCTAGACGATGAAACCACAGGAGAGGCATTGACAGCAGATGCAGCAATGCCCTGCGCAGGGTCCCACTTGGAAGCGCTGTCACCAGCATCCGATTCAGAGCCAGTGCCTCCAAGGCCGCTTAGGATTGCACCAGCCACACCAGTGAGCGAGTCTGGGCCGACGTGTTGACCAGATATCACAATGGCTGTCGTTACCGCATCCGCAGCAGTCACTGTGACTGTTGATGCAGCCTCTTCCGAGGGAGATGACTTGGCTGATTCGTAAACAGCCGTCACGCCCGTCGACACTGGCCTCGTGGTACTAGACGCTCCAGCTTCTGCACTAGATGCCGGACTGGCACCTCCATCTCCATTGACACGGCCACCCCATTTTGGAGTAGGGTTGGCATCTCCAGTCGTGGTGGCGGTTGCCAACGGCGTAAGGACTCTCGGCGGATCGTAGGCTCCGCTCATTCCTGGCGCTGGTCCACAGCCTGCGTTGATCCAAGGCTGTTGCATACTGATCAATCTTGGTGGCAACAATATGACGGGATGACAAGGGTCGGGATGATACAACGCGTTCGCAGCGTTGATAGGGTTGGCCGGCCAGTAAACATATCCAGATATCGTTGAGCAGTTTTGGCCTACTTCATCATAGTTTACCGACCTTGGTAGTGGTTGTGTCGTTACTGCAGAGCCCATCATCCTGTATGTTTTGCCGTCGTCTGATACGTAGTCGGACTCATATTGTGTCAATGTAGTGATGGGTTGTGCAGTAGTAATCTCGGATGCATCAAAAGCTATAGTCGTGCTGGTCCAGGCATCTCCTACTTGCCCGCATGCATCACTTGCGACTAATGAGCTGAAAGCCATATAGACGCTCGGTGAGGTGAAGGTGAACCCTTCCGCGTCGACACTCGTACTGGGTTGACCCGGAGCCGGAGTTGTCGGCGTTGCTTGATCCGGCCAAAAATAAAAGTCTATCGTGCCTCCTGTTATGTAACATGAGGCACAGCAAGGCGGCTTGGGCGTATATGCACGGACGGCATACTGTGTATCTGGTGGAAGTTAGTATCGATATGAAGGATAACCCAGGACAACACCTGCTCAAAAATGAAGATGCTAACAGGGACGAGGAAAACCTGGAAAAAAACATACGCTATCGTGCAAGAAATACCACGACCAAGGGGACATAGGAAGTGCTGGGCCATATCTTGAACACGCAGAAAGTGATGAAAGTCATAAGCAAGCGCGACAGTAGTCCGACATAAGAAATAACAACAAAAACGCATTCTAGCATTCACGCCACTTACACAAGAATGTACTCGTCCAATAGGTCTGCGAGGTCACAGATCCGGTCAAGTCCCCGGCTGAATCCGTCGGTCCAAACCCTTCATACCATGTCCACCTGCTGGTAGCAATCTCTGTACTCTGGTAGGTCGCTGTGAAACTACTGAGCTGCGCCGCGCAGTAACTTTCCAGCGACATTGATTTGCTGTCTGCCGCGCTCGCGTCTACATCAGTGCCATGACCATTGTCGTCCCTCTCCGTCGAGTTGGGAAATGTAGGACTGGTAGCGACAGTGGAGCATAGTAGACCCAGCAGCACAAGCAATGGTGCGAGGGAAGGGCGCATTAGTGGCTAACAGCAGAGCGGTCGCAGCGCTCGCGCGCGTTGAGAGAGGTGAGGTGGTTTCCCCGCAGCCTGGTCTATCTTTGGTCGATGATCCCGGTCGACGGTGGCTGGTAATTACGGAAAATCTTCGTTTTGTGGGCGGGTGATGGCGTCAAATGTGTTAAGTGTTGTAAGGCAGATTGTTATGACAAAAAAAGGTCGAAGTCCGGTGAGCGCGCATCGTTAAGCGTGGCGGTCTCGAGGAGAAAACGTGATTAGGGCCGAGACTGTTTCAAGTCAAGGGAGCAGGAACGCCGTCCACATAAAGTCCCCTTTCACCGTTGCACCCAGCCGTCTTCTTCGAAGTTTAACCAAGCGTCATCAGGACAAGCGCTAGAAATGATGACGAGTCTCTCATTCTCGGATCGTGCTCTTATGCTTGAGTAACCAAACTCACACTGCTATCGATACTGGCAGTATCCTGTAGCCTCATTGTCGAATCCTCCAGATGCTAGGGCTCGAGGTTCTCGCATTGAAGTGTGGCCACCATCCGTTGAATCGATGGAATTCGTCCACATTGTAATATAGAAAGAACTGGCTGAAGTTATCGTCATCAACCAATGTCAGCTCAGCTGGCTCATCTTCATTGGTCTAGTGGTCATGATTTCCGCTTGTCAAGAGTAACACCTCGTCAAGCGCGGGAGACCAGGGTTCGATTCCCTGATGGAGAGCATTTTCTTTTGCGGAATCGATAAGATCGTATATCCTCCGACACAACCGAGGCTGCCAACAGGTCGCAGGCCTCCTGAACATTTTGTTCGAGGCCGAGGAATCGACTTGGTCGGTCATGTTCCTGGACAACATCTAACCGGCAACTGCCTTGACTGAGCTGATGGTCTGGAAACAGTATGGCAGCCAAGGTAGTCTGCCCGACTTCCGAGAAGGATTGAGGACGACAGAATTATTTCCGGGATGGTAGGTTGTAGATCGCTGTGCATCCTTCGATCCAGTGAGGATATGGCACATGAGTGGATTCTTCTCTAAAGCCTCCTTCTCACATCAGTAGCAGCCTCTCGGTGTCCCACGGCCTCAGGATGCTCTTCATACCGGATTTCTGGCTGCGTTCAAACATACGAATACCCAGAGACTGGGATATGCGAACACAGATTAGCTTACGCATGTTCTCAGCACGCGGTCCAGCTAGAGCACGGCAGCACTGCATTACAGTTCTTACGTGCCTGCTACGATGACTATGGTACATCCAGCTCAAAGTCGCAATACCATGAGCACAAGTGTCATCCTCAAAGCGATACACACTGCGAATTAGGCGTAATGGCATGCATGAAGGCCAAGCAGCAAATTGAAAGAGATATGCAAGTCTGCTTCTACATGCCGCCGCTTATCGATTGTGCAATACAGCTCGCGAAATGGGAGCTCTTGACTCCATTGCTTACAAATTCAACCAAGGACTTTGGTGAATATCTTTCGCAGAAGGGCATTTGTGAAAATACAGCGACTGGCAAAAGCATCTTGTACAGCGGGCGGCAGTTCAATAAGTTGGGTCTCAAGTTAGATATACGTTGATAGGGAAGTGTGATGGATGCACTACTCTTTCTTAACCATCTACTCAACTTGGGCCATAACTAGCCGCCGAAACCCTTTCAGAAGCCTTGTGATGTGGAAAAGCGTCATCGTTTTGCGCATCTCTTCTCTCAGCATGCCAGTACAACAATCACCGCTCTGGAATCATAAGCCATCATACGTCTCTCCATCCACCTCCTGACATACTAAAATCAGCCCGAGGCCTTCATCCGCCAAATCATTATACTCTCAACGCTCTCCTCACCCTCTTGTACTCGGCACCCTCTCTCTGTCTCGCAGTCTTCCAGACCGTAACCCCTCCGCCCAAAGCCAGCAACGCAAACTCCCACCCTGAGCCTCTCCAAAACAGAACCCCAGCACTCAGGGCTACAATGGCGAACCAGAGCCGAATGTCGGTTGTATACGATGTTGACGATGTCTTTGTTACGTAGCTAAACAGAGGGATCCGGTATGGTTCATTGACAGAGGGTGGTGGAGGCGAGGATGAGCGTGCGTCTTCCATGATGTGTAGAGCTATCGAGATAGTGAAGAGGATATAATGTCGTGATTGTTTCTCATCTGCAGGTCGCTTAGGGAACTCAAGATGATGAAGGAGTGTGGGTTCGTTATAGAGGGGCTCTTATAGGGTCATGTCCCGAAAAAGCAAAGAGCCGCTCAGCCCCGCTTCAATCCCCGGAGCACCCCTCCATCCGATCATTGAATATGGAAGAATCCTAGAATAACAATTCTCCGAAGGAGTTGTATGGGGTCGCCAAATGCTTTCAACTTTCTACATATGTATCACCATCCCTCTCAATGAGACCACGAAACAACATCAGTCGTCATGGTCCTAGAAGCCGGATATCCAAACACCACGGGCTTCCGCAAAGTCGTCAAAGCCACAATCTTAGTCAAGAAGAAGCCAGGCCTCAGTGATGCAGATTTCATCTCACACTACAACACCAAACACGCAGAGATGGCAAAGGGAGTTTTGATGAAGCATGGGTGTATCACATATAGTCTTGTGCGTTCCTCTGCCAAGTCCATCATATCAATCACTGATGCAGATCTCACAATAGACATATCACCTCCAACGAGACAGAAACATGATGCAAGATATGTTGAAAGGGAAGGCAAATCTCCTACCTTATGATGCGATTTGCACTTTTGTGTTTGCTGATTACATGGCTTTTGCACGGTTCATGTATGATCCTGCGAGCAAGGCGTTGACGGGCGACCATGATAACTTCATGGTCGAGGAGGAAATGAAGATGATGGTTGGAGACGAGTTTATGGTGATTGAAGATGGGAAGATGGTGTCATGAGGATGATTCAGGTCCGTGGGGTCAGGCAACTCCGACAGAGCGGCGTAGTGAGCTACAAGATGAATGGTTCATCGGTGTTGTGTCTGGATTCGATCGGATGGAAAATGGGATACAGCATGGATGGCATGACGAGCATATAAAGCGTTTCTTCTTTTGTGTATTTGTGTTCGCAAAGTCGAGCTCCTGTAGTTCTCTAGAGGTAGCCTGTGATGTCAAAGTCAGCATGTTGCCGTAAGTAGAGTATCCCGACAGCAACTCACCCTTGCGTCCAGTCTGGAAGAACATTCTGACGATAAAGACCTGAAGACCAGCCATACCGACCATCATCAGACTCTCGATGATGGAGAAGTTGAAGATTCTCTGCTCAGTGCTCCTGACGGTGGAGAAGTTTCTGTTCTCGCGAGTTCTGAAGTACTTCTGCTGGCGGGTGATTGTGCTAAGCTGGCCGCTGAGCTTGAGGACCGAGTTCTCGAGGGCCGAAGTCTGTTCAACATTGGCACCCTGCTTGGATGGGATGCTGGCAGCGCGGGGCTCGTTCTCGATGGAGATTTCGAAGTCGATCATCTTGTCGGCAAAGGTGCTGATGCTGTTGTCGAAGCAGAAACGGTATTCGCCCGCCTCGTTGGCTGTGAAGACAAAGTCGCCCTGGCGTTCCTTAGTGCCGTCGAGGATGGTCTTTTCTCTGCCGGGCTCTGAGCTGGGTCCGTGGACTGCGTAGTCGACTGCGATGCATGTTAGGTGAGAGGAGCATGGGAGGATTGGGTGATTGATGTACCATCGAAGGAGCCGCCTGATTGAACCTGTATGTCGCATTAGCATCTGAAATTTCCATCATGACAAGAGACACGTACAGCAAAGTAAAAGGCAACCTTCGCGCCCTTCTGTTCAATGTGCGAGTAGAAGCACTCCTTTCCGTTAGGAGGGAGCTTGTATGTCAGAGCCGTCGCTGAGACAAAAGAGGTCAGGAAGCCCAGGAGACCGAGCAATGCGAACAAAGGAGCCATCTCGAACAACACTGCGACGAGTCCTTGGGATTTGCGGCAGGAGATATCTTGTTGTTCGAGTATTGCTACTCTATTCGTAAGGACAGCTTCAGGGATTGAGCACAGGCCCCCCCTATTCGAACGTTTGGGGTATATTTTAAATCGCGACAAGAAAAAACAATCCCGCCTTCTGCGACACTTCTTCATCATGCTTCATACTGCAGCTTGGCCCTCATCTGAAGATACTCGCCTGCCTTGACCGGCTCGTACTTGGGAGCTCCCGTCAATCTCTTGCACGCCTCCATACATTGTACCACGGTATTCATGTCTGGTGTCAAGAAGTATGGGATGGAGTATCTCTCGCGCGTCAACCTGTCTTTCCCTTCGAATCTGTCAGACAGAGGCGGCAAGGTCACGCGATGCAATGTCGACTTGAGGTAGTCTACCGCTGACTTCAGTCCGAGTTTCATTAAAGTCAACGGGTCAATTCTTACCATTGCTCCACCTCATCAACATATCGCCGACGTTCATGATGAGCCCATTCTTGATTGGGGTAGCATCTATGAACCGACCTTTCTCGCGAGGGTCTTCTACCTGAAGACCACCACAGTCATCCTGAAAGAGCAGTGTGATCGAGCCCCAATCCGAGTGTGCTGGCATTCTTGCCGATGTCTGCTTCTCTAGCTCCTCTGCTTTGATCGGCGGATAATGGAGCAGACGTAATTGATTGTAGTCGCCAGAGTGCACTTGTGTCAGCGTGTCAGCACTGTCCAGTTGAAGACCAGTGGCAAGAGCCGTGAGGATCTTCTGAGCTACTGTGTTACACTTCCAGTAGAATGAGAGGCCGAAATCACGAAAGCCAGGCAAGACATCTTCTGGTAGCCACACGTTTGGCATGAAGGAGTTGTCTTCACTGCCAATCTCGTAGCTTTCCTGCTCAATACTGAGTATGTGGCGATGATTGTCATGTATCAATACTGACCTTGCAATCTTTCACTTCCCTCAGCGCTTTTCCGACGTGTTCCCTATCAGCATCTACACCGTACACCTGCGAGACTTTCTCGAGTCCTGGATATGAGTATCCACGATGTACGTCTGGACCCGGTGGATGAGGCGCACGCATCTTCTCTTCGTGCGTCAGGTCAAAGAGTCTCTTGGTCCAGTCGAAGGCTTCTTGTATTTCTGCTTCTGATATACCGTGGTTGATGATGTTTACGAAGCCGACATCACGACACCCGTCGACAAGACTTTGAGCTATCTGCTGACGCCCATGTCTCTCGTCCCAGTGCTTGAAATCCACGATGGGAATGTTAGGCTCGGTTTGGTTTGACAAGGGCATTCTGAATCAGACAAGTGGTAGGTTGGTAAGGAATGACCGAGATTCAAAATCTCTATGGACTATCTGCTTCCTAGCATGGAAGGTGCGACGGATGCCTGATGCGGGGTTGGTGACCACACATCATTCCAGCTTATCTTGTCCTTCAAGCAGGAATATCATCTCCAACCTCGCTCACTTGCTCTCCAGGACCTCTGCCACCGACGTCCTTTACATTTCCCAGTCCGATCATGTATTCGTACCACTTCTATCTCAAAGTCATAGCTTTTTTCATCCAACCCCAAGCCGATTTACACAACATCACTTCTTCCATTCCTGGCTGTACGATTGCATGCACCAATTGATTGTTTGCACCTAATTGTATCAGTACACCTATCCAGTCGTCTTCGATCTCAATTGCATCTGTTGTTTGGGCCAGTGGTGCGATGTAGTTGATTGCGTAGGTCTTGAGGCAGAGGCAGGGATGAGGTATCGTATTGTAGACTTCATGGATGGTAGTTGCGGAGTCGATGGCAAGTCCGGCTCGAGTAAGTGCAAAGACCGAGTTATGAGAGGTAGGAAGAGGTTTACGGGGAGCTTCTTTCTTGATTGGTAGAGTCGGTGCATTCTTGATGTTGGCACTCGCGGATCCGAGAATGATGTCTGGAACCGGTGGAGGTGGCTTTCTGTATCTTCATGCTGTCGGTTGATGACCAGGTAGTCGAAGGTGCGACGAGAAACAGCTGAGATGATCTGTAGGCCAGGGAAGGTGCGAGGCGGTGACTAATTTTGCCACGTAGTATAGGCCGGTGACTAGATTCAAGCTTCGCGATGAAGTAACCTCGCTCTGCTACCAACTCTGAACTTGTCACTATCGTCCACTTCTCGGATATCGCACTGAAACAGAGACTCAGCCCGTGAGTCTGGATTAAGCATCACTCAAAATCTTACCTGTCCATCAAATTATACCATCATGGCCAAGAAGGGCAAGACAACCGGAAAGACAACCCTGAGAAATTAAGCGTCAGGTACAGAGGATATGCAAAGGCAAAGGAATCAACCTGTGCCAATGGCTTCGACATCAAGTAAACCATCAGAGAAACCGCCAAATGTGCCATATCAACCAGCTCCTACACCACGAGAGAAACACAACGAGAAGAGCATACGCCCACCAGTACTCTTCCATCGCGAGGCCAGTGTCTGATGAGAACTCGAGAGAGAATTAGAGATGAGGAGAAGCAAAAACCTCGATGATAGAAAGAGGTCTCGAAATAGGTTTACTCTAGTCACCGCTCTCATGACATACCTGATCCCACTACTTGGCATCCACGGTGGCCATTTTCTGATCTCATCCGTGACATTAAACACTACGATTGTAAACCCCAGTGTGAAATATCAATTATCTGGCCTTACGTAGCAGTGTGCGACCAACAGACCAGGATTTCGTTTCCAACCATTTAGGTCAAGATTATCTATCAACGCTTTCAACTAGTGAGTACGCCATGATGGTGATGAGAAACAAAGTAGAAGCAGATGCAGCAAAAGATAATACAAAACATACAGCAGCAGGGATTCCCACGTGGTCACCCACCGTAGTACTAATCTGCCGTTCAACTGCTTATGTATGGCAGAGCGGACGGGATGCCCAGTTTTCAGCTGACTGTGGCCGTATGTGCTTGATTTGCTTGCTTATCACAAAATGTAGCTGTGAACAAGCATCAGAAATGTGCTTTTCCAAGTGAGAGCAGCAATGACAAAATTCTCATCGATCTTTTGGCGGATTGCGGTTCTAGGATGCAGTCGGGAGGGGTGTGCTAGAGATCCCCGGCCAGTCTGTTTAGGGTCAGTATTGCCGGCCAACTTGGATGTCAAGTGCTACACTTACCAAACGTCGTCCTCTCAGCATTGCGCTTAGTGATCGTGACCTCGTCCCCAACAGCCAAAGACTTGCCTTCGTCACCTTTACCCAAGAACGCATATCTGCCAAAGACAGGCGAATACTTGGATCCCTTGTCCACTCTCCGATCACTCTGCAGCTTTTTGAGCACCTTTCCAGATTCACCTTCGCCGGGCTTGCCAGTCGCATAATCGATATTCAAGCTTACGCATCTAACACAATTCTGCACCAGATGTAATTTCACACCGCTAGAGGTCTGTAGTTCTGACCAATAGTCCTCTTCCCAGCATGACTCGGCTCCACTGACGATGATGTTGGGTCTAAACTTTGAAATGTCCATTTCCTCGCTCTCTGGAAGACGGCGACTGACGTCGTGGAGAGAGGCTTCATTGACAACGAGGAAGGGTGCGCAATCGGCAAAGGTGATTTTGTCGTCGGGCTCAGTATCGCCTGAGATGATCGTGCCGAGCGAGGTGGGTAGTTTGCTGGTGATGGAGGACAGCCAGCCTCCTCCTTGTTGGATTTGAGGCTGGTTGCTCTTTTGATGTGTGCTCATCAGGACCGGACGCTCGTTCTCACCAAGATATGCTAGCACGGTGTCGTAGCCCAGACATGTGGATAGCCATTTGTTGTGTGTTTCCCCCATCTTGTATGCACTTGTCGGGCTGGAATGCATGGTCACTTCGATCCTCTCCAGAGAGGTGGTGTCCGGAAGGAGAGGCACATCCAACTCCTTCGCTTCTCCATGTGGTGGTCGCCACGTCAGGTGGATAGACGCATTATTTGGGCTTTGGTCTTGGGGAAATCTGATATCCGCAAACAAGAGAGCCAACTCTGGGAAGTAGGCGATATGCATGTTCTTGAGCGAGCCGTCTGGCTGCACTTGGAGGATCATAAAGCAGCGATCGTAGGTGAAGCCATGTCTGGTGACTTCTGCCGAGGAAGGTTCATACGGACGAACACTCTTGACAGGATAAACAAGTATCTGGTTGTGTGAGAGATGATCCGGCCGAGCTGCGAATGGGAATACTGACTCTGCTAATGTGCATGGCGAAGTTTGACGGGAGATGGTGAGACGATGATGAAATCTACCGAAGTTATTTCCTAGAAGGTAGAGAAGGAAGAATGTCAAGTATGAGGCGCAAGATTGATCGGGTCTTCTGATTATCAGTTGATTCCCCGCAGATTGTACGATAGAGGGGTAGAAAGCTTGGAATCCTTTGCCATATTTAGTATACAGATAGCCCATGTCAAGCCTTGAGTGCTTAGGACTTGCTAGAGCATATATTCCAGTCACCATATATTCAAGGCAGCATGACGAACGCCATGATGAATGTTCGAGGGAGCAGTGCACTTCATGGTGGAGAGTGGAAAACCTTGGTAGTTGTTGATCGATATCGAGCACGCGCAGAACTCGGCAAGGTCAATCTATGACCAATGCTGTTATCGGACGGAACATGATCACCGTCTCAAGCGATTGCACCGAGCAGGAAAACAGATTGGTTATGATGGAGAAACGGGTGAGCAAGGACAAGAAGAAGCATGAATTGAAGCTTGACACCAAATTAGGAGCGACAGGGCACACAGCCACCACGCGAGAAGGCAAGGCACAACGTCACCGGCCCCGCCATGCGCCAATGAAATGGTCACTGGCCATGGCAGTTGTTTCGCATAGGACGACTTGCGCCTGGTGATGATAATTCAACCTTTCTTTGCAAGAGTCTTGCTGCTTTCTACCCTTTACAGAAACAAGTGAATGTTGAGAGTCGGTCAACACGAGCAATGACGCAGTGATCAAGCTCACGAGAGAGAGATCATTAAACTCGCTCAAGGCGTTCAAGCCCAGGCCAAGCGCAACCATCCGTCCTACACGAGCACGCCAAGCGCAACCCTACGACTCCTACGCCTTGAACAAGACATACTAGTCTGCCTTGAGAGCCTTTCCGAAACGCGCTGGTGAGCGCTCCGACTACGAAACCATGGACCAAATCAATGGAGTGCGGAGAAAAGACACGACCAAAGGCCCGCCGTTGCGCATCCTGAGTCTGGACGGCGGAGGTGTGCGCGGCTACAGCATGTTGATTATCCTACAAGAGTTGATGCACAGAACATTCGTCGAGATTGAAGGCCGCGCTCCGAAGCGACATGAAATCCCGAAACCATGCGACCACTTCGATCTCATCGCCGGCACGGGCACTGGAGGCTTGATTGCAATCATGCTGGGACGCTTGCGACTGGACATTGAGACGTGCAAGGATGTCTATGTGCGCATGACACGAAAGGTCTTTGAGACAGACAAGACGATCGCCGGCATTCCATACCGCTCCACCTTGTTCAAAGCCAGCAAACTCGAAGAGGCCATTCGAGAATGCGTAAGAGAACACACAATATACAACGACGAAGGCAACGACTCCAAGGATGCCGATTCCTCGACTTCGCGCCAAAGTCTCCAAGTCGCTCGTCCAAATCGCTCCGTCAGCGTCGCCAGCAGACACAGCACCATCGGCATGATCCCAGTAGATCCGAGATCGTCCGTTGGCGTCTCGCGATGGGGTAACCCAAATGCCTTGCTCTACGATAGTCGCGAGACAAGGACAAAGACTGCCGTGACCGCCGTGTATCGCGGCACTCCCAAGGGTGGGAAGCCCGCACTGCTGCGCTCATACGACTCGCGTAAGGAGCCGTCGCCTGAGTACAACTGCTATATCTGGCAGGCTGGACGTGCTACCTCGGCCACTGCTCTTGCATTCAAGCCCATTCAGGTCGGTCAGAGTACATTTCTCGATGAAGGCGCCGGAAAATACAATCCAAGTCCACAGATTCTCGACGAAGCTGTCTGCAATGAATGGCCTGGAAGAGAGGTTGGAGTTTTCCTCAGCGTCGGTACTGGCAAGCGTCCTCCGGGCACAAATAACCGTCAGCACGAGTGGTGGGAAGACTTTGTCGGAGGTGGCATGGGTGACTTTGCTGAAGCTCGTCGTAGACTGATTGCCAAGATTGAAGCCTGTGAAGAGACGCATCAGTACATGATTGAAGAATACCTTTCGAAACGACAAGTCAACCGCCAGAACTACTACCGTTTGAACGTCGAGGTCGGCGTTGGCGAGTACGGCATGAACGAGTGGAACCGACTCGGCGATATCAGCACCAACACGCGCATGTACCTTGCTCGTCCTGATGTGCAACAACAGAACTTTGACGCTGCAGCAAAACTTGCCAAAGTCTACTTCAGCAAGATTCGTCATGACCGAACTCCATCTTGGGATGGCCAAGAAGTCATCAACACCACATTTTCCCGACAAAACTCACCACTACCCCCCATTCCTCCGCCCAGCAATCCTCTTGCTGTCGAACTTCCAGCTGATGATGTCTTTCCACCACAATCGTATCAGCAACGGCCTCCGATATCACAGCCGCCCATGCGGCAGTCATCGATAACCGACATGAAGTATACGGTTGTCTCCGACGATCAATGGCCACAGTCAGAACCCGTCAGAACACCAACCAGCGCTACACGACCATCGCCTCCCCCAGGCGCTTACAGACCATCGATGGAATCTATGCACCGCTCTAGTGGATCATTAAGTCAACAACGTCCAGAATCTCAGGATAGCGGCACCGTCGGATATGCGCCTCCTCTACCTCCAAAGACACCTCTACCATACCCGGACGCATCGGCGCCATTAAGTCCCACCGTCGGAAGTCCCATGAGACACTCGTCGTATGGTGGAGGCTCGTTCAACATTGCACCATTACGACAAGCTCTGCCACCATATCCGGATACCGACGGACCTCCGCCTATTGTCAACCTTGCGCGCAAGCCTGAATATACTGGTCCTCGCTGAGCGTGTAGGTTTATATGATCTTCTGCGACGACTGCGACTTTGAACTTTTTGGCAATAATCATGGACCGTAACGATTGTGATATCCCATGAATTTTTGCGTTTTCTCTTGGAGAATATAGGCCTTACAGGCAAAAGGGCAATGGTCTCGGTGGTTCACAGAGCACATTTGCCCTGCTCAAGGGGGTCTTTGATTTCTTCTCCTCTTCATGACCTGTTCTCATTCTCATAATCCGTCCTTTCTCTTTTAATGATACCACTCTGTTAATTCACTTACTTCATAATCTCATGATCGTTTTCAACCACGCAAAGGTCGAACGATGACCACAAAACGCCGTATTTTGAGCTCTTGCCCGTAGGGGCTGCTCATGCAATAACCTAGCATTCATCTTCATTACCACGATCATGCCAATTTCATCGATTCCTCTGCTCCATCAGTTGAGGCAAGACAACAGTCATCACCCCAACCATTGCCAATTCCACAGCCAACAACTGCTCTTGCTGCGTAAGATAGGAGCCCTCGGAGAATAAGTCATCATCCTCATCGTCCTCGTCATCCATTTCCTCATCTGCATCTTCTTGACCGTCATCTTCGTCGAGCTTTTCTTTCAGCCGTATCTCTTGATCTGGATGTGCGTGATCGTGGTCTTCGAAGATGTCTTCGTTGTCCATTGATGCGCGTGTGCTGAGCCAGGGTACTGATCGTTTGCTGCTTGTGGGTGGTGCTGCTATTGCTGAGGATGAGGAAGGGTCTTGTGCTGTTGTCGTCTTAATCCGCTTGTTAACTGGTGTTTTCAGCGAGCTATTGTCGAAAGGTGACGAGGAAGTAAAGTCCAAGGTTCGTTTGACTGGGCGGATCTGTGGTACGAATTCCAGGGGGTAGGTGTCCACAATGCTTTGGTTTTTGGCTTCATCTCTCCATTCTTCTATTCTCGTTCTGTGGGCTTTTTGACCTTGCTTTGTGCTCTTTTCTACCTCTTTTACTGCATTTCTTTCTGCCAATGCTGATGCAAAAGATGCAATCTTTTCTTCTTCGGCCAAAGCTCTTTCCTCTCGTCGTTTTGTTATGTAAGCAAGTCTTTCCTTTACGTCTTGCACGCATTCTAGAGCCATCTTTTGAAGTCGTGATGCTGGATCATTTGTATCGTCGACAAGGTTGTTCTGAAGTATCTTTGCTTTTATGCGGTCGAATTCTGCTTTTGACATGATGCCTGCCTTTTTCGCCAACACGTTTGTTGTTTGCTGTGTTGTAGTCGCCATGATTGAGTAAGATGGCTCTGGAAACTACAAGATCGAGGGCAAAAGATGAGGGAAGTGACCGGATCACAGTGGAATGGCTTGGATAGGTAAGCAAATGCAAAGCGGGACAATTGCTTCCCCAGGTTCCCTTGACAAGTACTTTCTACAACGGACGTGAGACAGTGACTCGGAAGTTGTGTTTGGCCGAAACAATTGAATTGAGAACAAAAGTGCAGAGGCAGGAATTGAGATGTTATCTATGTTGCAGAAAAGCTTATAGCCGCGGTTTATGCTTTCGAAGGATTAGCGGAGGTGTGATGTGGTTTCTACGTTATCGCAGAGGGAAAAGGCTGGAGCCGTCGGATAGCGGATGTTCGCAGGCCGAGGCACGGACCAGCGTAAGAATCTTAGACTCTATATGCGATACCACCGACGACTCACACCGAAGGACCCATGGCGCAGCGGTAGCGCGTGAGATTCCAGTGTATCAACAGTGTCATGCCATTGATATGGAACTACCTCAAGGTCATCCGTTCAAATCGGGTTGGGTTCAACAGACAACAAGAACTGCGCACATTACTTTTGCCAGCGCAGTTCTTCTTTTGCAGCACGTTGTTGCGGCCCGCACAGCACATGCCTTGGCGGGGCGATGGCGTGTGTTCGAACTTCGCACAGCCCAGCAGCACTCTTGTCTTCTAAGCGACACTATTTTTGCATGTGCACAATACTGTCACACCCTCTCTCCACAATGATCAAGCCAGGGCAATCACTTCCTATAAAAAGGCACAGTCATATCTCGTATGGACATCCCTAACGCAGGGAGCCGATGAAGAGATGGTTCTCGGTACCATCACTCCAGATTTAAACAAGTTTCTGCCTTAGGACAGCAAGCTACAAGTGTGACAGTCTTTCGCACACAGGGAGGTAGCAGCATTGATATTGGAGCGCGATCCCTTATCCCTCGCGGCACCGAATAGACATATGCAATCAATGGTTGTGCTTTGTGTCAAAGACTAGATCACATCGCCGAGCTTCCTCTTGTTGGATACTTTTTAGGTCACTCGCTTCAATCTCATAGTGGTAGTCTTCCATGACGAACTGCACTCAACATTGCAGCAGGTACGCAGTCACATCGTCACTTCCACATGATCATTGCTTCTTCCCGACGCATCAATGTCTGTCAATCTCAATGTAAGCTGCAAAACTAACCAAACCATCAACCACTTTACCAATTCATCATTATGGCTCCACCTCGCGACTCGAAGAAATATGCAAGGGTTTCATTCCCAACGTACGTTGTACAGGTATCCCGTCACCCCGACGAACAAGTCGCTTTCCAGAGTCTCGTCGATCGCATGTTCAAAGCTGAAGGTCAAAGGCTCGAGACCTCCATGCAAGCTGATATGCAATACCGTCTTCGTCTCGAATGGCGTATCCCCATCATCCTATTCGGACTGTCACCCCTCATGCCTACGCTGTTCCGAGTAATCCCCATCGACGACACTGTCCCCATCATCAAGAACAACTCGCCAGCTTTCCTCGCCATTTACAAGCTCTTGATCAAAAACTCATCAGGCTTAAGCGACGTCATTCGGGAGAAGGAAGCCAATAATGGTGCTGGAGAAGGAACAGAACCATTCGATCTCGCTGATGAGGGAAGCACGATCTTCTACAAGTGTCCTTCTTGCGGTCATGGGTGAGTGAAAGAGGATGACTCGACTGCAGTGCGATACTGACAAGTGCATAGATTCAAGGAAGACAATTGAGTGGTTCTTTGTCACTAGTGCTGACAAAGGGTTCTTTGGTGGTAACTTGATTGTACTTCATAGCAGCCTATTTTCACCTCTCTTCTTTGTTCTCTATATTCGAATAATACCACAAGAGGCGTTGTTGCTTCTTGAAAGAGCTTGTCCTTTGTTCATACCCGTCTCACGATCCATCATAAGAACCGACACAAGGACCAATGCTATTTTGATCCATCGTCGACACCAACACTTGACAGTAATACTTTCTAACCCAGCAAAAGAATACCCACCACCATATCCGGTGACTTCTGCGCAAATTGCGAGGAATGGTCGGATGATTCCCTGACAACACTTCCATGTCCGTGTGCTTGGTGCACGACCTGCATCATCACCGCCTCCACCCTCGCTCGCAGCGAAGAACACTATCCACCAAGATGCTGTTCCAAGCTCAAGTTTGACACCCTAAAGACTCATCCCCCTACTGACTTAGCCTCCGACATCGAGAAGAAAATCTCAATCTTCGAGACTCCAGGTAATCTGCGTGTGTTCTGCGCTCACAAGACATGTTTCCAATTTATCCCAGCGATCAAAATCGAAAACGACATCGCTACGTGTCCAAGCTGTAGTGGTAAGACACGCAAGAATTGCAAAGAAACATCACACGAAGGGAAATGCGGTATTGATCAAGACTTGCAAAAGACACTTCAACTTTGCGACGAGGCCAACTACAAAAGATGTAAGAGCTGTGGTGAGATGGTTGAGAGAAATTGGCGATGTTGGGGAAGAGTGAGGTATGCCCGCATATGCAAATGTCCATGTGGGTTCAAGTTCCGCGCTCATTGTGGTGAAGAATGAGTGGCATTGGAACCGTTGCCTGGAAAAGAAGTAAATGAGAAACCAGTTCGATGTCAGAAGATGAAACAAAACCGACCAAATAACCTCTCAGCTCTAGATTCTGTCCAAAAAGTGATATTGACGTGAATTACGATGTTGCATTCTGTTATGAGATTGTCAAACTTAGAGTAAAATAAAATCATCATTCTCCTGTTAGACGAACGTGTTGCCTGGGTGTGTGTTGTATATATGATTAAGAAAGAAATATTGCTCAGATTGGTGACAAGTGTAGAATACACTCGTTGTCTTGTGCAAGTGTTGTGGTGTTGGTCAGAGAGAGAAGCTGTTTTATTTTAAGATTCTTGTCGGTTCAGTATTCGCAAGGCAAATGTGGTTGCAAATACCTTGGAATAAGTCCTGAAGTCGCCCGCTCTATGACTTGAGCGATGATGCTCGCCAAACACTACATCATCTTTCCGGCACTCACTGCCTGGATCAAAGCTCAAGAAGAGAACCAGGCACCAATATGGACAATCTGCCGAACGAGGTTGTCGTATGAAGGTTCGACTGTTTTGCCAGCACGTGTGAGGAGGATATACGCAAGATCCAGGTCAGTGACTGAGTTGCGAGCTGTTGCTATCTCCTCAAATGACGCTGATTTCAGGAAAATCGATGCTGCATTGTGACAAGGAACAGCTCATAGTTGTGAACGCACAAGGAGAGTGTTTCATAGACCCTGAGTCTCAAATCAGTAAAGGCCATCTCAGCAGTGCCTCCCCCTGAGCAACGTGATCTATCTGAGAAGGATGCTGCATTGCGACAAGGAATGAATGGTGGTTATTGAGATCAAGGAGATGATGACAAGAGCCATCCAAGTCTTGACAGTGCCTGTGAGGACGACTTGCGTCAATACCAGGTCAGTGAATCGTGTTCAGAAGTAGTGCCTCTCCCTAGACAAGAATAGTGGCCTTGAAAACATGCTGCACGTCGTCAAGGTGACGAATGATGAAAGTGGACGCGTGGCAAGAAGCTGGTCGATGAATACCTGCTTAGGTACCTTGGCAACACACACAGTGCGGTTGCACTCCCAGGCAAGCATGCCTGGTTCTTGAAGTCACCATGCCATTAGACAGTGTCAATCAATTCGCTCACTGTAAGAAAAGCCAGAGGTTCGCAACACTGTAGCCGACTAAAAATTTGTTTGCAGTAAATGTACAATTAGCTATCAACTTTTATCGACATGAATTCGACTTCCTCGCAGGCTCAGCAGGACCTCTAGACACCTGACCTTGCTCGTCAGCTCTTTCTTCCTCTCCAGGTAGCAGAATCTCATGACCATTGCCATTCTTGACTTTGAAGGCTGCTGCTGTACCCAGAGCGGAGATGGCAGCAACATACCACCAAGCCATACCCACCACTCCTCTCTCCAACCAAGTACCATACCAAGAAGCTGAGAGGATAGGTCCAATGGTTCTGAACAAGGCACTATCCGCTTGACCCAGACCATGGATAGTGGCAAGGACAGAAGGATGGGGAGAGCTATTGTTGAGAAGAAGGATAGAAGCTGGAAGAGCAAAAGTGCGAGCAGCGACCTGTAGAAACACCACACCGCCGATACCAAGCCAGACCCAGACTCCTGATGCTGGGGCCGGTGAGGCGGAGTCGGAAGGCATGAGCGCAATGTATGGTGCGAGGAAGTAGGCCAAAGGGAAGAGGAACAGAGAAGAGCGGAAACAGCGCATGAGGCCAAAGCGAGCGTTGGCACGGGGATATAGGACGAATTGTAGGATGATACCAACGAAGCCGATGATGGCCATGGCGTAGCCAATTGTCGGGGGTGGGAAAGCAAGACCACCTCCAAACTTGAATGCGCCCCGTTCTTTATTCTGGGGCTTGCCGTCTGTGGTGCTTCCAGGTACGAACTCGCGAGATGTAGAGAGAAACAAGATCCAGAGGGTCGAAAAGGCACCCATGTGGAAGTCGAAGATGGCGATCGAAAGCAATGTCCAGCAAACATTCGGGGTCCACACGCGACGGAACGGAAGACGTTGCATGGGACGTATAGCATGCGAGTCCTGTCTCTCACGAGTCTCGTTGGCAACCGCAATGCGATCAAGCTCGATGCTTCCTTCCTCACGGCCGGACAAAAGACCTCTTCGTGACATGGCAGTCTCGCCGACCAATTTGTAGCCTTTGTTCTTGACCTCGTGAACACGGTTCCAAACACCTCTGGCAATTGTTACTGGGTTGAAGGCATCAACGTCCACCTCGGTGAAGCCCTTGAGCGTCTCGTTCAGAAAGAAGGTGCAAAGCAGGGCTTCGATCACAAGCAGCAAACTGCAGAGGAGATTGGGAGCGGCGTAAGGGTGATTCTTCATCCAAGCAATACCTTCTGCGCCGCCAAACGTCGAGTTAGGGCCAAAGAGGCGAGGATATGCTGTTACCGGATCGGCGAGAAGACCGCTAAGGACTGTCACATAAATGTCAGATGATTGAGATGATGTTCGAACTTCGAAGCCAACTTACTTGGACCCAGCACATTGGCAACATTGAAAGCAGCGGGAAGTAGCAAAAAGGCACGCGGGTGCCATCGCTTGTCTGTACACTCGGCGACCATTGTTCTAGCGGCTCCCACAGTACCATTTATGGCTCCACTCAAGACTCTCCACATGACAGCCTGGTGGAAGCTGGTACTGAAGCCTACACCAATGCACCCGATGGCGGTGCCGATCATACCAATGTTGAGCACCAGTTTCCTGCCTACGCCTGGCTGATCCGCAGCGCGACCCCAGAGGATGCTTGTGATGATCTGAGCGGCGGTGAAACTGCCCTGAAGCATACCAGCCTGATGCGATATCACAGAGTCTGGCTGGCTACGATCGAAGCTCTTGAGCTGATGTACCATGTACGTCTGTAGCGCTGCCATCTGAAAGAAATCGACGAAGCGACTCGCGGCCAGCAGGGCGAGCTGACCCTTGTTGGGCATATTCCTCCATGTCGCAGGTTCCGGTGGATATGTGACCAGTCCTGGTGTCGGAAGGTTGTCTAGTGGTGTAGTTGCCCCTGCTGGCATGTGCGCCGCACGCGAGACATCGGTCTTCAGTTGAAAGGGCTTCAACGACGAAGATCGCGGCGGCATGGCTGGCTTGGAGGGAGTTCCGGGGCCTGGAGAGACATCTGGACCAGGAGTGGTACCACTGCCGGCCTCGAGAGTGCGTGGCGTCGTGGGTCCGCTATTGGATCCTTCATGCTGTGCGGGTAGCTGGCGCTCAAAGTAGCTTTCCTCCTCTTCTCTTATGTACGGTGATGCATATGGCGAGCCAGTGCCTTCACGCTCTGGCCGTGTGATGTCGACATTTTGGTGGTTTGATCGTTGGCGAAGATGGCCAGATTTATACTGTTGCCGGTGCATGGCAGGAGTACGCAATGCTTCCTCCTCTATCCCAGCACTTCGTGTAGCGTCGCCGATGACGTGCTGCGAACACGACCTTCAATGCTTTTCGTCTTTCGTCTACTCAACCCGCTCGAGGATATCGACTAAAGTATAGGGAGAGACAGATTTAAAGATACAGGAATACAAGAGACAGAATCCAACCCTACGACGGCCAAGATCGACCTGATCGCGTTTTGATCCGTAACCTGTTCATCTTCTTCCCACCTTGCCAAGCCCTTTTCCGGCCGCGCATCTGCAGACGACTGTTGTCGCCATGTCAAGCTCGTGGATATCACAAAGTGGGGCCGCTGAACTCCGCCCCGTCTCCGTTTGCCCTGCCCTTTTGCTTAACCTCCTCGAAACACCCTTTGGCATTGACATTCATCGGGTCTCCTGAGGGCAGGAACAATCTGAAGCCCTCGCTAGAAGGAACCTGCTCTTCGAAACTACCATGCGCCTCGTCTGACTCACTACGTATACATGCCCGTATAATCGATTCACTGTGGAGGCACGTCGTACTGTACCACTGATTCTCTGTTTCGATGCACTTTCGCCGGACGACGTTTGCTCACGCGCAAACATGATGAAGCAGCCACCATCACCGGTCATCACCGCTCAAGCCATGTTGCCCCTCCGTGACCGAAAAACCGTGTACCGACAGCGGGTCATTGACGTTAGGTGTACACCGTCGCGTGTGTGACGGAAGCTCAGCCACTATGTAGCACCTTCCACCGTCAACGGTGCAAACAGCCTCCCTATCTGATATCTACTGGCCCGGCCTGCCGCCGCACCGGCCGTCGGCATATTTGCTAGCCATTACCCTCGACCAAGGAATATGCAAGTCTCATCAAACGTGGTCGACATGACTTTCAGGGACTTCTTTGTGATATGCGCTTTGGAGCACCGAAAATGGTTATCATGGTTTCAGAGTACAGTGCTCAAAGCTTCATATTGTGTGACAAGCAGACAGGGTTGTATGTAGATCGTTGTCATTTTGATATTGTGACTGACTAGATGCAGGGATGACTTCTTTCGAAGAAGGCACTGGGTATATGCAATTTTCGGAGCTTGCCGAAGCACTACCAAACAACTCACATGGCTCGATAGATCGTAATCTCGGCCATGTGCAAAACTCCTCCCAATGCTCGCTTTGGTTATAAGACGGAATATGAAAATGAAAATGAAAATGACAAAACAAAGAAAAAGGAAGCAAAGTTGTTCATGATCGATCGGAGTACTTTTCTTCCTCGTCGACTCGAACGTACTTCTTGCCTAGCAGTCTGACGCTGATAGCGTCTCTGACATCGGACACCCTTCTCGCGAAGGAGATTGGCATTGCGCCTGAGATTTGCTTGCGGATTAGGATGAGGACAAATATGACGAATCCAATTCCAGCAGTCACACCGAGCACACCGACCAGCAGTCTCGCCTTTATAGCTCGCTGGTGTTGGAGTTTCTCCTCGGCAGCGTATTGCTCAGCTGTCTTCTCTGGCAGCTCGGCATAGTACGCGCTTGTATCGAATCCCCGATTGTTGCTGAGGTACTCGGACCTGACTTGACTGTACGGATCGTAATTGGCGTCTTCATCGCGGACGGCCTCTGCCTTTCCACAAGCCCATTCATTGCAGTGGTCACGAAGTGTGACGCTGGGGACAAAGGTCTTCTGAATCACACTGCGCTCGAGAGCGTTTCCGTCCTTGTCCAGTGCTTCGGCGAAGCCCCATGTTGTTACATTGTTATAGCGCATCACAGTCTCAAACCCAGTCGTCTTGGTGTTTCCAACCAAGTTGAAGGGCCCGCTTCTGTTTGCGCTAGCATAGAAGTTCCAGGACGAGACCTCGGTCGCGCCATTCCAGGACACGTAGAAGACCATGCCAGATTTTTCGTCATTCGTTTTCGAGTACGTCCATAGAGCTGGCTTGGTCAATGGCTGCCCAACCCAGGGAAATTTATGTGACCGGTAGATCATGACGTTACTGGCGCGATATGCGACCTTTGCGTACATGACTGCTGAACCATCGGCTGTGTGCTCGCTGAAGTATGGATGTTCGCCCCAGCCAAGATGAATGTTGCCATTAGGGAGAATTTGCATATTGCCTTGGGATCCTGAGAGCACGCCTCCCGCAGACTCAGGTGCGCCGTATTCCTTGACCATGGTCGCGGTGTTTGCGATGTGGTCGATGGAGACGACATAACCATGAGAAAACTTGTCAGTCCTGTTGAAACCGTTGCTGGCATTATCGTAGAACGATAAGATCGTATGTGTTTCGTTCTCACTGACCCAACGGGCGTGATGCTGGGAAGAGAAGTTGAAATTGGTTTGATGGAAAGTCGGGTTCGCACCGCCCATCTCCCACAGGATCGATCCGTCCACGCCAGAAAGCTTGTAGATTGCAGCCATGTGTCTGGCAGAGATCAGATAGTCGCCATCCTGGTTCTTGTCGATAGAGTTGATGTGGAAGTAGTCCCAGGGTGTGTTCTCAGTCAGACCATTTCCTGATGTATCTGTGCGTGCAGGGAATGTGTAAGACAAGCTAGGATCGAGATGATCGGTACTCCTCCACTCGAACACTACCCTTCCAGTATCGATCTCGATCTCCTGGAAGACGCCCTCGACAATCCAGCCCATGCCGTTCTTGATTTGAAACTTTGGGTTTGTCGTCAAGTCGTACATGCGCGGCTGATAGACCGTCATGAGCGCAGTCGTACCATTCGAGTGCGGTGTCAATCTGAACTCGTGCATGTCACTCGAAGCACCTGCTCCAGAGCTTTCCACTGTCTTGACAATGCGGTAGTGTTTGTCCATAATTACTCCATGTCCTCGTGCGAAGCCTTGATGTTGTTCTCCCTGAAAATAGCAAAGATGCTCTTCTCCTTTGTAATCGCATGTATGCGGTGAATGAGCAGTCTTAGGTCCGCTCGAGCCAGCGCCGGACCATACTAGTTGTCCCCAATTGTCGTAGATGTACGGTCCTGGGTCTAGATTTCGGTACGGTGCGAGCATAATATATCCAGGTGCCACTAGTTCCGGTCTGAGGATCACCGTGTCTAGCATAGGTGCATGCAAATCTGGTCTCTGTTTACACATTTGGGTTAGCATTCAACTCGCGACAGTCTTCATTTGGAAGCACGCGATGGAATCGCGTGCTTCCATGTACAACTGCTTACCGAACGAAAGACATGTGTAGGACTCGTTTCATTATTGGGACCTGCTAAAGCTGATCCTGCCAGCAGCAGCGCCGATGAAATAAATCGCAAAGAAAGCATATTGTGAGAATGAATGTGAAGGTGATCTTGCGAACGGCCACTGGCCGTTTGGTAATGAGGTCAAAGAGAGAAAAGCAGTTGGAATGATGAAATGCTGCAAAACAGAGGGGTGCTCTGACAATTATTGTAATCGAAAGTAAGCGCGGAAAGCCGTTAAGCAAAAGGGATAGGGAGACACGACGTTCAGCAACGGCGTTCCGGTCTGGGGCAGTCATGGTCTATCTACACGGGCGAGCAGAAGAAGAGGCAATTGCCAAGAGACCCGCAAGGAAAAGATATGTACAACACACGGCCCAAGCTAGGGGCAGAGCATGGATGCATGATAGAAGGAGTGTCGTGGGTCCCAGCATGCAGTGGTGCGGCAGCAAGGATTGGGCGTGGAGAATGTTTGAACCCTTCGAAAAGTCCTCTCAAGCGCCCGCTGGCAGCGCAGACGAGACGCCACTTCTATGTCCACCTCGATCGGTGGCTTCTTTGGTCGCCGCCTGCATTGTACGATTTCGAATAGAGAAGCAAATGTGAGTCGGATGATGAGAGTGGTTGCTGTTCCAGGGCTCCACAATGCAGCTCTCCTACCCTCCACGCGGCAGCACTCAAACAGCCTTGGCAAACTTTTCCCAGGGCTTACAAGATCGATTTCCTAGACCACAACACAGAGTTTCAGCATTTCTCGTTGATGCGCGTCGATAATCGATACTCGATGCAACGTCACACGGGAGGAGATAATGAGACTCGTGGACTCGTTGGAGAAGGAAATAACAACTGCCTCTGACCGTTGTGCAGCATTGTGCAAACTATCGAAAAGAGCATCAAACTGCAAAGTATGATCAGCAAACTTGAATCATGAAGCCTCCTGTCAAGCAGTCTTCTCCGGCTTCGGCAAACATGTTTCTACCCGAGTGGAACAAATCATCCCTTCCCTCGGGACTTACACCTTGCCCCGAGCGCCATCTTCATCTAATCCATACTTTTCGCTAAACCTTGCCGCAGTTTCCTCTTAGGGACAGAAAGCCATCCGCTGTGTCAAGCCAACTCTGCGAACCAGACAAGAACTAAAATGTTGCATGGGATTACGCCGCTGATGACAGGGAATGAGAGTTGGACTTCAAAACGCTCGTGCTCTCAACCAAAACGACATGCGTCGATCGACGTAGATTATGAATTTCATTGCTTACTTCATACGGCTGGCAGTCTGTCACCGGAGTTGTGCTTCTTTGGGGACGTATACACAGCACCTGTTGACCCTCTCGCGTGTTATGATGATGCGTACAGTCAATTAGCCGCATGCCTTTCCCGCGCGTATGAGCGAAAGATGGCTAGAATCAAGGATATTCGCTCAGAAGTCCGATGCGAAGGGGTTGGTAGAAAGATGTATGACGGAGGCGGCTGGGAAGATTGCGTATCTCGGAGAATTGTTTCATGAGCATGAACGCTGGTTGGGCGCACTGAATCGCAGTGAGACAAGCCACTGCGGGATGTTACAGAACTTGACATTATGGCGGTGTCGTGAAGTGGCCTTGATTAATGAGAGATGAAGTTGCATGAATAATTTGTGATTCGAATAGAACAAAAAGTGTACACCCAATACCTGCAATGACCGATGAAGCCAAAGCGAACCAGAAACAATACAATGCTTCTATAGTAATTCCGTATGCCCAGCCACACTTTCCAAAAAGTGCCATCAACCGACCCTCACTCCAAGAGAAAACAGCCATATCCTTAGGCCATGCCAACCGTAAACGCCTTCTTTTGGTGATGCTCTCAGAACGCTAACCTTGATATCGAACGCCAAAAACAGATGAAAACAAAGGAGGGGTGCTTAGGCCAGGAGGGAGCCTCTTGAGCCAACGAAACGACGAATGGTCATGGCAGCGCTGAAAGCTGTGGCAGCAACACTGCCGCCAACGACCAGAGCGCGGAAAGCAACGTTCATCATCTGAGCGCGGTTGCGAGCACGGCAGCGATCGACAAAGCCATCGGTATCGTTGGTGTGGGGGAACTTCTTGCCCTCGGGTACAGGTACCTCAAGGAAGTCGCAAAGAGGTTCCCAGCCCTCACCCATTCTGTACTCGAGGAGGTTCTCCTTGGGAACCAGAGATCGGATCTCCTCGTAGTAGTCGATGTATCTCTGCTTTCCGTTCTTTTCAAAGTCGCCGCCAAAGAAGACGTCCCAGAACTTGCGCAACATGGGCTGGTAGAGGCCAGAGCCCCAATCGAATCTCGAGACCATCTTGAGCTCCGGATCGTTTGCGCGCCAGTCAACGGTCTTCATGGTGGAAGCGTGCCATGTGTCGACATTGCGAGTGGTGACGAGAACCTTGGCCTCGGGGTAGGCCTCGATAAGTTCCTTGGCGAAAGCAACGGCAGGCCAATCGCAGACAGCTTGGCAATGTCCCAGAAGTTTGTCCCACTCCTCACGACCAAATTTGCCAACGCCGTCGTATTTGGCGGCAAAGGCGTCCTGCCACATGAGGCAATCAGGGGGGTTCTCGACAGAAGCGGACATCATGTGGTAGCAGTCGTCGAAGCCAAGCTCCTTGAGGGCAGTGCGAAGAGCTGAATCGAATGTAAGGAACTGGCTAGTCGCAAGCGAGAGTGAGTTTACTTACAGGCAGTTCCGGTGCGTCCAAGACCAAGGGCAAGAACGCGCATGGGGACAACACGCTGGCACTTTCTGCGGTCGATATCCGTGTCGGCTGTGAAGATGTCCGTAATGGGCTTGGGTGTGTAGGGCAAGTTTGCGTAAGCCATTGTGACGGTTGTGTGAGTATTATGTTATGATTGATCGAAGGGAGATGACTGGTAGACAGGCACAGTATGTCGCTATGTGGTGGTCGGTGAAAGAATAGAAAAGAGGTTGAGCAGGGCAAGCTCTATGTTTTGAGTGAACGACTGGTCGGCGAAGCGTCGTAAGTGATCGAGGGCGGGGAGAGACAAGAAAGATTGGCAGGCAAGAAATGGCTTGTGGAAACGGAGGTGCAATGGCGTAGATGTTCTACTTAGCCGCCTTGGTTGCGTGGGCAGTGCAATCTTTATCAAGGGTTGCACTCAGTTGATCGATCTTCCCGAGCGCCCCCTATGCCGGCCAGGTGGTCAGGAGAAGCCCACATCCCCACTTCTAGTGCCCTCTTTCGACGTTGAACGCCATGTCGTTGTTCGAACTTCCGTGGGCCGTGAACGTGCCAGCTAATCACTGCGAAACCGTTTCACATTTGTGACGCGGAGCTGTTGCGCGGCCGGCTCAGAGATATAGCTGCTTGGCGAGCGAGGTGAGGTGCACATCCTAACAAATCTTCGCATTCAACACTTTTGAGAAGAGTATTCATGTCAATCGGTACCTAAGCGACATTGTTTGCTAAAGTCCGTAGACCCCAAAAGAGATGCCTTGATTTGCCTGGAACTCGGCAGGGGTTTGTCCAAGTTTGCTCCTTCCTTGCTGCTTCAACTTCCTTGATGGACAGAGGTTGGTCGTCTCGGTCCCGATTGTCAGCGAGATAAACTCCAAGCCCGACGCACCGTGCAACAGCGCCACGATCCCCACAAGAAGTTTTTATGCAGCAGAAACATCACCGTCCGCAGCAAGAAGCCATCAAAGCATGCGTTGTGCCTCTTTCGTAACCCGTTGACTATGCAATCTCGCGACAACCACCGTCTTCACCGTTCCGACTCTCGATCTTTGACTCGCGAACCCTCCTGACCATTCGGACTTCGACTCACTCTATTCCCCTGAAACGGCATGCCAATAACGATCAGCGCATGTCACCTTTCAGGCTCAACACCCGTCATACCGCACTGTATCGATTTGAGCCTTGTGGTAAGGGTCTCTAGGCATTCCGAAACCTTTCTGCACGAACGCGACGACAAGGAGCAATCACCGCTGATCAGAATCGATTCTAATGATCATCTGCCATGTACGCGACTGCATCGCTCATACTCCAGTACTCGAGTACTCCCACTTGCATCTACGTGTCAATTGCGATTCTTTTCTCTTGTCGTTGGCGAAAGAACAATTCAACCTTTCAATTCAATAATATGCACCCGAGATAGTATAAGCTTAATGTTTGGACCACACGGCAACACCTCGTATTCCCACGTGTTGGGGCTTGAAGCCTCTTCGGTTGTTGTGATACGGCAGATACGGAGGGGCTGATACGAACGGCTGTCGTCCGAATGGTGTGCTTTTGGCTTCACGTACATGAAATCCTCCCGGTCCTGCAGTCATCCGCTGTATAACTGAAGCAAACATTACAAGCTTTCGTGAGATCTGATCAAACATCATGCAGGTACGAATGGCGTACATGCCCAGGATTGCGAGACACTTTCTGCCGTGAAGCGTTACAGCAGTTGTAACAGCTTTTGCTCAGATTCCCGAATTGGAGATCTACGGACTTGATCATCACCAGCTTGTGTCGATTCAATACTCACCTTTCCACGCCTCCCCGTGTGCCAAAGTCAATCACGAGTGTGGTCGTCTGGAGGGCACAAAACTTTCAAGTGATGGTGTCTGCTGAGCGTCGTCGCGTTATCGACTTTCGCGCTGGTCGAGCTTCTGGCACGCAAACACCTTCTACCTTCACAGCCGCATTCGCATCTAGCGAGAGACTAGGAGCGATATAGCTTGGCACACAGAGACGTCGGTACGCTACTTTGAACATAAGGTGCATGGATTCGTTACTCAACCTACAACTGCCACCACGTATGATCGACGACCTCTCTCCTACTCTATGCGAGAACACCCATAGGATCCCACAGGTTCAATACCTTCGGCTCCTGCTTGAGTATATCTCTAACGTCTTGACTGACACAGCTAGGGTCAACGACAACCTGGTAACAGAACTACAAGGTGAAAAGTTTGATCAGCACAAGGAATTCGGTCAAACGATAGGAGCAAACTTACCTCGTCCATCCACTTGTCAGACATGACGAAGTATCCCTTGGTTCCAGCAGTCTCACTCCAGGAGTTCTCGACGCGCCAGCGGATTGGCTCGCCGGAGGGTGAAAGATGCACCGCAGTCAACACCATTGCGTGTGTCATGGCGCTTTCGCCAGTCATCAGTCTCTCGGCCTTGGACATGCCCAACTTGACATTGAAGCCGAGCTCATAGTCGACAAGATCCGGGTCCATGATGCCCAACTTGGAGTCGCTGAACTTGCCAACGTCGCTTCCGAAAAAGACAGGGAAGCCCTTCTCGAGCATCTCAATGGCGGCCTTCTTCCAGACAGGCTTGTCGACATTTACATACTCGACATACTTTCCACCCGACATATTGGAGAGGAAGTCCACACTTAGGAGCCTGTTGTACTCGTTGCGAGGATCGTTGACCAAACTGAACAAGCTGTGGACATCTGTGCCACCAAGCGCACGTCGTGCATGGCTGTCATTCAGACTACCAGCAAACTCCTTGGGCGACATCTTAACAGTCTGCAACTTCTTGGCCTTGTCGTAGAACTCCCAGGTAAACTTTGTGTACGACGATGGAGGTTGTCCTAGTGTCAATGTCAGGATCCTGATGATGTCTTGCATCATTTGCTCCTTGGCTGCCGCGACCGAAGTGGCTGCAGTGCTGGATCCAGAGTTTCTGAGCGCCCTGAGGCGTAGAGCGTCTTCTCTCAGCTTAGTCGTCAAAAGATGATCCATGGTAGCCGAGTTCTGAGCATTGAACGAGTCAGGGTAAAGTGTTTGCGGCACTAACCCATACTTCTCGACCAAGTTCTGTATCATCGACCATTGCCCACCATCACTGACAGGTTGACTCATCAAAGTCGCAACAAGACGATCATCAACAGGTAAATCTGCAGTCTCCAAGATACTCTCGAGGAAGAAATTGCTCTTCTCCACTTTATCCCAGAAGAAGAGATATGCTTGACTAAGCTCAAACTTCTCGATGTTGTATTTCTTCATAATGGCAACACGCAACACATTTGTGGCTGCGAAGATCCAACATCTTCCCGAGCTGCGTTGGTTTGTGACGGGAGAGCCTTCCAAGGGGATGGCGACATTGAAGGTCTGTGTATCTCTGAGGATGGCAGAAGGTCTTTCGAGAACGGTTGCTGGGTTTGCAGCTGAAAGTGCCGAGAGAGCGAGACGATTCTTTGGATCTTGGAGGATTGTGTGGATCAAAGCTTCGGTTTTGGCGCCCGAGACGTGAGTTTGACGGGATCTGACGGGGTCTAGTGTTGGTGTCAGAATTCTGTCTCGATGTGTTTATGCTGTCGACGACATATTTCTTACCATCACCGGTGTATTGCATGTTACGGTCGACAATCATGCTATCGGTCTCGCGATCCTCAGTAATGCGGAAACTGTCATACTTCTCCTGCAACGCCAAAAGGTCCGCTCTCGACGACCTTTGCTGTTGCCTGTCTCTAGGCACCGATTCTGCGCCACCCATTTTATGTGTGTCTATTTCCTCGTTGATTGTTTCTATAGCAAGAGTGTTTGCAAAACCAGGTGAAGAAAACAGAAACAAAAGCAAAAGGCTTCACGACAAGGGCAACATAGCTAAGCTCCTCATGTATAAGTACCTGTACCGTGTGACCTCTCAATAAAACGGTAGCCTTGTGGAAGAAGCGGCAAGGTAGATAAGCTGCATACACACCTGCAGGGGAAAGAAAAGGGAAAAGCGAAATGTTTCGGAGCTGCCTATCTCGGCATGTTGTGCCCATCACGGTGCTTATGGGAAGAGGCTTATCTACCCCACCTTTCTCGACTGTCTGTGGAGGCTATGAACCTTGATGGTTTTTTCTGCCTCATGTTGAATTGTGTCGAGGGGGTTCTCGTTGGTTGGATTATTAGGTGATCTGTTGCTGGCAGAGCACGGACAGGAAAGTATGCTGTGGGTTGGTTGAGAAAGGTTGATGGCACCGTATGTGTCCATCAATGTCGATGGCTGTGGAGTTCATAGAGAAGGATGAACCCTGAAGTTGTGGAGGGCAAGACAGGCAACCATCATGTACAGCCATACAGATCGTAGAGATCGTAGGACTACCATGATGGTCACCACTGACCTCGACGGCCAAATTAAAGACAAGAACGGTGTGACTGGCGATGATTTCGGCAACGTGATTGTCACGGCAGGGTGAGTACCCCAGCAAGCTGACGGTGACCCTGCCCCAAATCTCGATTTCCAGATCAATGACAATGCTACTGCTCGACATCATCAACAAGATGATGTATGATGCGTCCTTCCATAGAAGCACGGCTGCATCAGATGGAAAAAGAAGAAGTGTCGAAAGAGGTTGAAATGATGGTTTCCGGAGCTATCTACAGAATGCATGGCTGATCCACCAAAAGACACGGCATAATAAGAGTGAGAGCGAGACAAAGATAAAAACGAAGCGAAAGACCCACGCCAATGCATCAAAGAACAAGGCAAGAAAAGAGCAAGAGAAATGTCCCATTAGAGCACCAGGCTCACACGATACGCCTAAGCATGATAGCAGAGCATGCAACTCTAGTCCCAAGCACTCTCCTGGGAGTCCCTGACGCATCTTCTGACCTTTTTCTTGAAGGCAGCTGGGTCCTCTCGCCATTGCTTTCCGGCTTCAATGTTTGCAGGTGACTCGTCGTTTGGCGATGAAAGCATGCTGATGACGGAGAGCAGGATGGTCTCTGGGGTTTGGACGGGAGACCAGCGTTCGGCGGCGGATTCGTAGCCGTACTTGTCTTCTTCAGGGGGATGCAGGATGGAGATACAGACCTCGCCGCTTTCATAGACTACGAGGAAATGGTTAGAAGAAGGTAAAGCAAAGTCAGACAGAGTAGTGCACTCACTATTCGGATGCCAGATGGGCGTCACAAACTTCATCTTCGGCGGCATGTGTGGGTACTCTGAAGGAAAATGCAGAAGAGATCTGAAGCAGCCACCGCCGTACAGACCGCCGCTTTCGTCTGGCAGCATGAGCATGACCTCCCACTCGAAGACGCTGTTGTTGACCAAGCCGCAGCTGATGCCGGGAATGTCCTTGTCGCTTTGCATCTGCTTGAACTGCCGACCGAGGAGTAGCGCTGAAGACGACGTTCCGCCTGGCGAACCGAAACGCGGCACTGGTGATGAAGTCGACATGATGTGTGCTGATCGATGGAGGGGTACTTTCGAGAGTGAGACTGTGACGTTGCTCAGGCCTTTCTCGACGAGCCAAGATGTGGAGAACGTGTGTGAGAAATAGACAAGTTGGAAGAGTCGACGAGTGTTGGTCGTAGGTTGGTGGAATTGCGGTTGTAGATTGGATGCTGCTCTTCTCGTCGTGCAAGAAGCAAGAGAAGCCTCAAACTCTCGAGGCCGTCCTCCGTCTTCGCAAAAGCCCATGACGTGCCGGCTGCCCAGGGTCCGGCCCGCTCAGCCGACTACCGCCTCAGCCCTGTGGGAGATAAGGCAGAGCCTCAGCATCACTTCTTCTTCACGTGAATAATAATCGACCCAGCATGACTCCACAGATGACTCCATACGTCAAGTTAATCATTCCGAGATATGGGGGTGCTTATATACAGCTCGTCGTTGCTCTGCTCCGGGCGTGAGCCATGTACGTAATTATCTGCTTTGCCGCCTACCCTCTCCACTACTGCTTTCCACGATACGCTTCCACCTCAATCTCCACCGTCATACCAGGAAGGGCGAGCTTAGGCACGCTCAAAGCAGTCCAAACGGGACGATGCTCAGGCAGTCGCTCCTTCAGTTTCTCAACAAGATAGTCAATGTGATTGGCGATATCAAGCTGATAGCTGCGAACCAAGTAAACGTCTTGCCATCCACCAAGACCGGCAGCCTGAAGAACACGATCGACATTGTCAAACGCATTGTCGATTTGACCTTTCCAGTCTTCGCTGTCGAGGTTACCGTCATTGTCCCAGCCGCCCTGTCCGGCACACTTTACCGTGTCGCCGATGATGACGCATTGGGAGTAGTGGTAGTGGTCGCTGTGATTCTGACCGGCTCCTTTCTCGTTGAAGTATTGGAGAGAGGACATTGCTATAGCTCCGTTAGTCGGGCGCTGTTCTGTTATACAGAGATCATATCTCAAGCTTAACATACTTATAGAAGTGTTGGACTCTAGGGGATCTTGAGGCTCGCTGGGTGGAGATCAGCAACGAAAAGAGAAGAAAGAACAAGACTGAGGATTATGTACACATCCTTGAAGGCAGGTACCTCCAACATTGCAGGGGTCAAGCAGGTTATCACCTTCGTCAAAAGTCTGTTGTTGACCATAACCCCGCATCTCACCTCGTCTCACAATTCGACCACTCTACTGTCTGTACCAATACCTGATCATTCCACTCGACCGAGACTTGTTCTAGAAGCTATGGAAGATACCCTTGAGTGTCCATCATACGAGCGATATCAGCATGTCCATGGACAGAGCTGTAGTTGGCCTGGCAAAATGTGTGGTATTGGACAAATTTTTGTTATTCAAATAGCTACTACTCAGAAACCTGGACAAGGCTATAGACTCCATTTCATCATAAACATACTGCGTACTCGTTACGATTTCGTGCAAGACACTTTTTAGGCGAAAACATCCAGAACACCTCTTAAGCAAAGCTGGCACCCACCACAAAGCTGACATCGTTGTTGTAGCTAGTGGCAGAGTCGAAATCGTGAACTCCACCTTGAGATGCAATGTAAGCAACGTTGTTATAGTGACGAATGCTCTTGGCTGGGTATGACCAAGATCTGATGGTGTTGCCAGAGCTCAAGCCAGTGTTGGAGCAGAAAGTGGCATCCTCCTTGAAAGCCTTGGTGTTGTCGTTGGAGTTGAGCTGGAGCTGGAAGTTGTAGTGGCGGATGAAAGATCCAGGGGTGTCGACGGACTCGAAGGAGTAGCAGTCGCTGTTACCGAGGCCGGTGCGGACGGTCCAGCTGGCTTGCTGCTTGAGGCTGGTGGCGCTGGATGAGGAGACGACCTGGGTGTTGACAGTGGCACCAGAGTGAGCAATGTAGCGGGTGTCATAGCCAGGAGTGGTGGCTCTGAGCGAGATCTTGTTGCCAACAGTGAGAGGTGCGGTGTTCAAAGATGTTGTTGCGTACTTGGCAGCAACGATGTTGGCCTGTACGGAAGCCTCGACCGAGTCAGATGGGTAGCCAGAGGTCATGACTCCCTCGTAGAAAGTACCCTGAGCACCGTTGCTGTTATCACCACCGATACCAAGAATAATAGCGCCCTCGAGGCTCATAGGGTTGTAGCCACCGACCGTGGGACGAGCTCCGCTGAAGTAGGTTGACAGGGAACCAGATGCAGCATTGCCACCGCGAAGCGCCCACTGGTTGGGCTTACCCTTGACCATTCCGGTGAAGAATCTGTTGTAAATGGAAGGGTCGGCAGTGTTCTGAGCCGGGCTCTGACCTGAGAACAGACCGTTCTCAAGATCGGCCATGAGCCAAGGACCACTGCCAGAGCCAGTACCCCAGACTGTATTGTTGCCGTAGTAGATAGCCTCCATGTGGCCGTTGCCAGTGTCTGTGTTGCTGGTCTCGGCGTTTCCATAATCGAAGCAGCAAGCGTCGTTGTAGTGAGTTCCGTCAAGGACAGCGTACATGCCCTCAGGTTGGTCGCCAGTTGCTGTGCCACTGACTTCGTCGTTTCTGTAACCTGTACCGGGCGAAACAAACACACCATATGCCTTTTTGCCATTCAGAGTTACTGGTGCGCCGATGGCGCTTGCCAGGTTGTCGTTTCCGTTGACGTCGGGTCCACTGAAAGCACCCTTGGGAGCCTGGTACAAGTGGTTTGCACGGCCAGATTGGTCGTAGATGATGGTTATGAGACAGGTAGTGCTTTTGCAGAACGAGTCTTGAGCATCGGCGTTTGCAACGCCACCAGCTGATAAGGGGGAGATGTCAGTGGTCGAACCGTCGGATCCTCTCTTGATCTGGTAGAGAGGTCCAGTGTAGGCATCGTATAGAGCACGAGTTGTGCCATGAGCAGCTACGCAGGGAGTGCCACCGTTCTTGTAGAGATCGCAGGGTGCAGCGGCGACTAATGATCCAGTGGCAGCAAGGCCGAGAGCGATGTTTGACTTTGAACGCATGTCTGAGATAGTCGACAGAGTTGTGTGAGAGAGTAGGCTGAGAATGTGAGTTGGAGTTGCTGGTTGACAGAGAGACGTCTTTGCCCTTTGTATTTATATCTCGAAGGTCTAGACGAGCTACTCCCAAAGCTGTGGTAACAGAAGCATTCCAAGTCAAGCCATACGGGCTCATCCTGATATCTACCGTAATCCGGCGGGACTTAAAGGATGATTGTACTTACCGTTACTCACATCGAGGGAGGGTTCGTCTAGTCTCATGATCAAGTCAAGCTTGGACTCATAGTATCGCTAAGCATTCCGCCGACAGTCGCCTTGATATTGGTCCTGATCACCTACAAGAATATGGACAGTTGCAGGCGCCCCGCAGTTCCCCATCAATTCTTCCGGTGGGGGTTCGGGGTAGTCTGCAGCAGTCGAGACTAAGTTGTTGGCCGGCATCATCGGCATGGTGGCAACAACGACCACACGGATGATTGTTGAAGCGTGTTCAGTAACAGAAAATCCGTTTCCCCACATGACCACACGTTTCTCCACGTCCCTCGGCCCGCAGTCAAGCCTTGAAATCCTTTTGGGGTCGCCTTGATCATCCTGCCGAGCATCCTTCTGTTGATCAAGAAGATCTGAGCAGCCAGATCCGACGTGATCGTAGTCAGTTTCTTCACAGCAGAGATAATGTCATCCAAACGAATGTTGGTGACTCCATACGTCTTGCGTCCGTAACAACAGCGCTCTCGGAACGCCTCTCAAACTTCCATCGTTGCCTGTCACGAGGAACGAATTACGAGAGCCTCGCTAGGAAAGAGTCCCCGCTCTCTGACCATAAACGTATATTAGAATGCGTATCACTACAATGTGACATTCGTTTAGCTCAGCTTAATTATCCGATGCCCTGAAGTATGCCTCCGTGCTCGGAGCATTCTTACGGTTGAATGGACTGGATTTGCTTGCTGATCATTGCACATATAGAAAGCTGACAATTCAGCCCGCGAAGGTTTTGGAGTGAGAGACCGAGCTTCTCATGAAGACATTGGTTGGTGTTGATGATCTTAAGGCGCGCCCGTTCGCTTTATAGACTGAGTAGCATTTGATAGCGAAGAATCTAACAACGATGAGTGTCATCATCTGGGAAAGCTGTGGCTCAAACATCGGGCTTGAGCGAGGCTTGCTGGGCTTGGAACAGGCGTGAGGGAGCCAAGGTTCGGCATCAGTCTGACTTGCCGGTGGATGCGGGGGCATAAAAGAAGATTAGGGAAAATCGAGGGGTAGCTTTTGAAGAAGCTTTTCGAGAAGCCTCATTGTACCAAGAATGGGCAATACTATGCTTCGGTCTGGCTGCTATTCATCCGACAAAGGCAGGTTCATGCCGGTGGTATCGGCGACAAATCTCAGCTGCGACTACTCTATCGTACCAGAAGGGTGTCGTCCCAGGAAGGCATGAGAAAGATTCGGTCCACTACCGAGGACAATCGAGGGGTGGCATGGTAAGAAATGCTGTTACTCGGGATGCTCTCTTGTCATACACGTTGGTAACCTTTCCTCCAGCACGTACGGCCATAGTCAGCTGAAAACTGGGCATCCCGTCCGCTCTGCCATACATAAGCAGTTGAACGGCAGATTAGTACTACGGTGGGTGACCACGTGGGAATCCCTGCTGCTGTACGTTTTGCGTCTCTTTTGGTCTAGTGATAAGCCAGTACCCGATGGCATGATGCCAAGCAAGCAGAGGCGAGTACACCAGACGGTCGTGCGAGAAATGTCTGGACCAAAACCTTGGACAATCTGTACGTTGGTTCAGAAATCATGACTCCATTCTATGCACCTGTTTTACCCTGTCTATAATGTGTGCTCCATCTTTTTCTTTCCTGTCATAATCGTCGTCCATTCTGTAGATGTGTCACCGTGTCAAATAGCACATGATGCCCCAGAGACAGCGGAATGCCTCTATCCTGTCGTTGACATTGAACAGGTCGAACCACTTAGACCGTTGCAAGACAGGATGACACCAATCCTTGTCCTCGGGCAGAGTCTCTGGGAACTTGCCGGTAGCCACGAAATCGAGGTAGGCTCCATGGACTCGAAGCTTGAGGATTGAGACGTGATAGTACATGCTGGAAAGCACATATACCTACAATGCTTTGTTAGCATGACTGACAAGTCTCATACACAAGCCTTGCTTACCGTATCCCAATCGCTGTCGTGGTCCTTGCCGATGGCTTGGTACTCGCTATGAGGATCCCAGAAGCTTCGCATCGGCTCCATGGCCTTCCAAGTTTCGTATTGCGTTCTCTTCTTCTTCTTTCCGTTCGCGAAGTGAGCAGCAGCTTCCTTGCCCAAAGCTGCCGCGATAAGATCATTGGCATCGTCCATATCCGGTGTCTCCGGTTCTGCTGCATCCGATGCCATTTCGCTAAACCAGTATTTCCCACTTTTGGGAGCAGGCTTTGACCAGATCTTCTCTTTACGTCCTTCTCGACGCCTCTCTTGCGCGAGGTGTAATAGACTGCCAATTTCTTTCAACTGGTCCAATCGCAACTTGTCCCGTTTTTCGTCGTCTGATCCAGCATCAAAATCTTCATGCTCTTTGCGCACGTATGCTGCCATGAGCGGTCCTTGTAACATGTGTCTCTTTTCCTTCTCTTTCGGTACGCGATGCACCAAGAATGACTGGTAGTTGACAGGCAGACGTACACCACTCAACAGTAAAGTCGGATGTACGCGCGGCGAGCCGATCTTGCAGCGAAAAGGGAATGCGGCAGCTTCCATGAAACCTTTGATGACATCCATGCGGTATACCCAGGGCATCTTACTTCCGGTCGAGGTGCGTCTGCCACGATACAGCTCCCGGAGGAAGTCGTCGGAAGAGGCGTCGGAGCCATGAGAGATCATCTTCGAGAGGGGGGGAGATTCCTGGTCTCGTGCGACGAGTTCGCTATATGTTAGGGGAGCAGAGGGAGGAAGCTCGACGGGTTCCTCCAAGTTTCGCACATCAATCATCATATCCGGATCGGCAAACTCTGGGTGGTCTTCTTCGCGAACGCTCTTGCCATCGTCATCCAAGACAAAGTAGTCGTCCAGATCAGTCTCCCAATGCTCGCTCATGCTTTGCAGTGCGGTGAAAAAGGTACGGAAGTCACCTAAGCGGATCTTGTTCAGGCCTTGGGGTAGATTCGTGCGCGTTACGGTACGGTATGCGATGTCGTTATTTGTCTTCAGCTCGACTAGTCGGGTGACGAAGTTGCCCTGATTATAATTGGTGTTGTCGGCCATAGTGGGGTTCAGGTCTTCATCGTCGGAAGGCATGTATGGGCGACCTTCGCTGTCTGTCGGAACCAGATTGTCGACGGGACAAGGTACCGCAAAGCGGACATTCAAGTCGGTATAGAACTTCGCAGTGATGTCCGACACCCTTCGCGACTGGACGAAGTCGCGACGCAGGTCAGGGCGGTCGGACTCATCATGCCAGTCTCTGATCCTTAACGGCTCTTGTCTGGCATAATTGGGCAGGCCGACGTGTGTCGGAGGATCGGGTTGCGGTCGTTCTTTGAAGGGATCGATGTAGCTGGCGTAATTACTCGCTGTGTCGCATACAGTCAGACGGTGGAGGTATGGCACGTGTGAAAGAGAAGAATGGTCTAGGAGGTATAACAAGGCAATTGGCATTCATAGCGCTAAGCTGACGATTGCAAAAGTTGACGAGAACTGCTGCCATGCCTGATACCATGGCGGAGGACGTCTTGGTCGGCCTGACTATGCGAACAGCAAGATAGCGCCTGTTCACCTTGATACCTCGAGAGAAGTGATGACTTGCGAGACGACAAACATACCAGCACCGAAACCACCGAACATGATGGGTGATTAGTTTAGTCTTGTTGGATGATTACTTGGTGGGCAAGTGAAAAGCGAGTGTGGTGGTGGTTGAACGAGAGGCGAAACACGACATGCGAAAGAAAAGCGCACGCAGATCAAGCACTAATGGGCGGCAACATGGTGATGTGTCGAGTCATTCGTAAGATGTTTGCAAAAAGGAAGTCCAAGGAATTGTCAAGATTTGCGAGTCCAGTCCTTCGGGCGTCTAAATTCCTTCGCTGCTTGTCACGCTCCTGCCATCGGACCCCTCCTTGGTGGTCCCTGCCTTCTTGCCATATGACGGTGCGGCTTTCGGGACAGGACAATTCGCTGCCGTTTGTCACACGGCCCGAATGCGCAACCTTGTTTTCTATCAGTGGCGGCGGGTAACAGTACCCTCTTGGAGCTGCGGCCTCCAGGCAGAGTAAAGTGAGGAGGCGGTGGGTGCTGTTACCGACACCGGCTTAGAGAGAGCAACAACCCCACCATGTTCGTTGGAGCTCCCGCTGGAGGAAGGTACAGCCACGCGGGTCAACAACGATTGTGAGGGGCAGCCACTTTTTCAATCTCCATACTCAATCTGTAGTCTTTGGTATCATCTCGAAAGGATTCTTCCTCTTCTTCCAAGCTTACACATTACCACATAACCACCAAAAATGGTTCTCAACTTCGGCATCATCGGCACCAACTGGATCACAGAATCCTTCATCCAGTGTGCTCAAGCATCTCAACAATGGAAGCTGGCAGCCGTCTACTCTCGCAGTGAGGAAAGTGCTCGTACTTTTGCCGACAAGTTCTCCGTCAAGACCATCTACACGTCGATCGACTCGCTCGTACAAGACTCGGACCTCGATGCCGTCTACGTCGCCTCGCCCAACTCGCTCCACTACTCGCAAGCAAGAACCATCCTTCAAGCAAAGAAGCATGTCATCCTCGAGAAGCCTGCCACATCTACCCTCGCCGAACTCGAGGACCTCTTCAAGATCGCAAAAGAGAACAATGTCTTCTTGATCGAAGCCTTCCGCCATATTCAAGAAGTCAACTTCAAGCTCCTCCGTCGTGTCTTGTTCGACGAGAAGAAGTTGGGTCCCATTTTTGGCGCCAGTCTCAACTTCTCCATGTACAGCTCGCGTTACAACAATGTTCTCGCTGGCGAGACCCCTAACATCTTCAACCTTGACATGTCAGGTGGTTCTCTTGTCGACATGGGTGTCTACCCTGTCACCTTCGCGCTCGCTCTCTTCGGCAAGCCCAAGTCGCAGACATATGCTCCCGTTCTCTGCCATACCGGAGCCGATGCTGGTGGCTTCATCGTCCTTCAATATGAAAAGTTCGGTGTCCAGATCCAACAGAGCAAGTGCTTCACCTCATTCGCACCTACCGAGATCTACGGCGAGAACGGTACCATCAGCCTGAATTCCGTCACTGATATTGCCAGCGTCAAGCTCTGGGATCGCAAGACCAAGCAGACTGAGGAGCTGGCTGAGAAGAAGAGGGATCTGAACTTGCAAGAAGAGGCCGAGGAGTTTGCTCGTATCATCAATAACAAGGACACCGATGCTGCTGCCAAGCTTGAGCAACTGAGCTACGATATCGTCTCTGTCACCTCTGACCTGAGAAGACAAAACGGCATCCTCTATCCTGCCGATAAGGCATAGATGTTCTCCCTCTGAGATATATGTATACAATGTAGATGAACCAAAAGAATATTGCAATTTTGAACCAGAATAATAAACGTCCCATTTGTATCTTCTATCTGCACCGCTATGCAAACACATTTTCGACAGAAGCTCTTTCTAGGAATATGCACAGGTCACAACTCTTTCTCTGTCCCCTCCTACACACTACCACTATAACGACCAGGCAAATCCCTCTTCGCCTGCCTCCTCTCAATCCACTTCCTCCCCTCATCAACCCAGAAAACACTACTAGCCAAGACAACCAACCTGACCAAATCTCCCACGCCCAAAGCTTCCGTCTGGAAAACTCCCTGCAGCGGCGGGAAATAGATGACCAACGCCTGCCCTAACAAACTACCCGCCACGGCGTAATTAAACATCTTATTCGCTTTGTGGCCTGTGAATTTGATTTCCCCAAGCAAGAGAGATTTCGTGGCAGAGCGGCAGGTGAGGGCGTTGAACATGTCGAAGAGGACAAAGGCGGTAAAGGTGAGTGTTGTGTCGCGGGGTGAGACTTCGTGGCTTGCGAGGTCGGAGGTGCTGAGGTTGGAGATGTAGGTATAGAGTGTGCCTGCCATGATGACGAGGGAAGACTGCAAGACACGGCGGATCAAACGTGGCGTCAACACACGAGCATGACGAGGTCGAGGAGGCAGTGTAAGCATGCTTTTATCCACTGGTTCCACACCTAGCGATTGAGCAGGCGGGCCATCCATAAGGATATTGATCCAAAGAATCTGCATGGCGTTCAAAGGATTCTTGTAGCCGAACGCACTACTCAACATTACCAGACCCAGAGCAGCAGCAGAAGTACTGAGTTGGAAAGTCAAGAAGTTTTGAATATTGTGGAAGATACCCTTGCCTTCTTCGATGGCGGCAAGGATTGTGCTGAAGTCGTCGTTTGTGAGAATCATATCGGCAGCTTCTTTGGCGACGTCTGTTCCGAGTTTGCCCATTGCGATACCGATGTCTGCTTTCTTGAGTGCCGGAGCATCGTTGACACCATCGCCCGTCATGGCTACGACGTCACCTCTCGATTGTAATGCGCGGATGATCTTCATCTTGTGATCGGGACTCGTTCTTGCGAAGACCGATGTCGTCGAGATTGCTTGGGCGAGATCTTCATCGCTCATCTGATCCAACTGATCACCACGCAGGACTGGCGAACCAAGCGTAGACGACATGTTGATAGGCATGCCCAACTTCTTCGCAATGGCAACAGCAGTAGTCTCGGCATCACCAGTGATCATGATGACCTTGACACCACCAGCCATCAGACGACGAATAGAGCGATCCACACCTTTGCGAGGGGGGTCATTCATGCCGACAAGTCCAGCAAAGCAGAGTCCTGTGTAAAGATGGTCCTCTTCAGCCAATGAAGAGCCATCGGGTTTTGGAGAGGTGCCGCGAGACACGCGACGATCTTTAGATTCGCGAACCGGACCACTTGCCAGACCGAGAACGCGAAGGCCGTCTTGAGCCATGTTCTCAGCTGCCTTTAGGACTTCCTGCCGTCTCTGCTCATCTAGCACAACTTCACGTCCTTGCGAAGTCATGTATGTATCGCAGCGACCAAGAACACGTTCTAGAGCACCCTTGATGTAAGCAGTCGCGGGCCCGTTTGGCTCCTGAGGATTATGGATGACCACACCCATCCATTTACGTTCCGAGCTGAATGGTGTTTCGTTGCGTCTACTACCAATGTTGACTCTGATATCATCCTCACCAAAAGCATCCAGGAGATCCAGAAGTGCAACATCCGTCGGCTGACCAGTCCAACGGCTCTTCGCATTGGCCAAATCACCTCCCATGGTAGAGGAAAGAATGGCTGCTGATGCCGCTGTGGCGTGAGAAGAAGACTCGGAGCCCAGTCTTCCATTGTTGACAATGTTTCCGATACGAAGAATGGTGCGTGTAGCCGAGTCCGAAGGAGCAGTTGCGTGTACCTTGACTACATCTACAGGTGCCTCGTCATCAAAGTGCCACATCTTGGTAACAGTCATATGGTTCATGGTCAGAGTTCCAGTCTTGTCACTGCAAATGACATTGACAGAGCCGAGCGTCTCAACACTCGGGAGTCTACGCACAATTGCGTGCCGTTTTGACATCCGTAGCACACCAAGAGCCAGTGTGACTGTGACAATGATAGGTAGACCTTCGGGGATAGCGGCGACGGCGAGAGAGACACCAATTTGGAACAGTTCCAGGAATGGTCTACCGCGGATGAAACCAATGAGCATGATGAAGGCGATGATTCCGAACGACATGTAACTAAGTTCTTTGCCGAGATTGTCCATAGAAAGTTGCAAGGGTGTACGAGGGCTCTCAATCTCTTGCAATGAAGCAGAGATAGCACCAAACTCGGTGCCGCCTCCAGTACCGATCACAATACCTTGTCCGTAGCCTGAGCGAACCAGAGTTCCCATGAATGCGATGTTCTTCTGCTCATTGAGTCGGAGATCAACGCCAACTGTTCCTGAAGCCTCGGATGCATATACAGGCGAGCTGGGATAACCTTCTCTCTTTGCTGTTGTGATGCTTGCGGCGAATTTATGGACTGGCTCGTTCTCGCCAGTCAAGTTGGACTCGTCGATGGAAAGGTCAGCAGCACGAGTGATACGAATGTCGGCAGGGATGCGATCGCCAGTATGGAACAGGACAAGATCTCCTACAACCAATTGGCCAGCGGGTATCGTGGTAGACGCCTTTTCGGCATTGGCCAAAGGCACCTTTTCAGCTTCCTCGAGAGTATCGGTGTCAGGCCTGCGCTCCGCACTACGGATGACATGAGCCGAATGGGGCACGAGCGAGTTCAAGGCCTCCATAGACTTCTCAGACCGGTATTCCTGTACGAATGCGACCGTAACAACGATCAAGACTGCAATGGCGATACTGATAGCGTCCTCCAGGTTGCCCATGACAGCCGATACGGCAGCAGACGCCAGGAGCAACAGAATCAACGTCTCTTGAAACTGCTTGACAAAGCGCAACCATAGCGGCTCGGGCTCCTCGTGAGGAAGTTCGTTTGGACCATCGCTGTGGAGACGTGTGGCAGCTTCGTTCGGTTGTAGACCGTGGGTCAGCGATGTGGATAGGCGCGTAGCGGTTTCCTGTGGCGTAAGGACTGCATGGTTGGCTGTGACGGTTTGCTGGGAGAGGATGTGTTAGAAGCAAGCAATTAGGCGTCTTTCTCGAGGCGCAATCGCGCAGGACGGTGGGGAGGAATTGACGGGGCATGACAGCGAAGAGAGAGGTGAAGTAGATACCGGAGTCCGTTGTCTGTTCAAGGGTGGACGGGCTTGCTCAGGGGGTGCTAGATCTTGTCTAGAGACATTGTACATGGGCAAAGCCGGGGTGGACGAACGGGACATGTCAATGGATGGCCGTCAACATGGAGCCGTGATGCGCTGGAATCCACGGCAGAGACTGGGCCGGACACGAGAATGGCACAACAACTGGGCGTCGAATGTGGGAGTGTAAAGGGTAAGAGCAAAAGGATCAAATAACCCAACGCTCGAGTAGTGCCTAGGGTACGTGGCCTAGCCAGACATGCAATGTGGAGAAAGCTGCGGCTCTCCTATTGTTAGATCACCCAAGTGAGGGTGAGGGAATCGTGCCTGATATGATTCTGATCTGCTAGCACTGCTGGACTCTGGTGGAGCATGATATTTTCCCGCATGCAACCGTGCCATCTCATGGGCCACGTCGGCCACGCGGAGAGAGATGCTCTTGCTGCATTCGTATGCATGCGGAGCCTGATTTCCGCTTTGGCTTGGCGACCTCTCTGGGTAGTACCTACAGAGCATTCCATCATTTCATGAATTGCCAACATGGTTGATGATTTACACAAGCGACAATGCCAATGAGAGTACCCAATCGAGACACGTCTGGAATATTCCCTATTGACGCAAAGACGTTGTCCAACACATGATGGATGGCTTGAATCTCATTGTGGACGAGGATCGATTGAAGCTTCAATGGTATTGATGACCCGGGGCACGTGATGGGCGTTGCTCGACCGACCGAAGCGCGATCGCTCTCGCTCTCTGCCTGCTTTCCCATACCATCATCCATTTGTCTATACGCGCAAACTGCCGAAACTCTTCCACAATTCGTCTACGGCTTAATCGACCTACGCGGTAATCGAAACTCCATACGAAAGTCTTGCGCCGCGTGTGCAGTGGCCTTGCGACAGGCGCAAAGAGCAAAAGTCAAAAGCGAGACGCGTCGCGCGTCCCTCTGTCGTCAGTCAACACCGACGCTCAATCCTCTTTGCATACTCCACAACACCACACACCATGTTCTATTCAGAAACGCTTCTGTCAAAGACGGGCCCGCTCGCCCGTGTCTGGCTGGCTGCCAACATCGAGCGTAAATTGACCAAGAACAACATCCTGCAATCAGACATCGGCAGCAGTGTCCATACCATCATCAAGAATGACCAAGCCCCTATCGCTTTGCGCTTGAGCGGTCAGCTCTTGCTAGGTGTCGTTCGTATCTACAGTAGAAAGGCTCGCTATCTGTTGGATGACTGCAATGAAGCTCTCATGAAGATCAAACTCGCCTTCCGACCCGGAAATGTCGACCTTCCTTCTAACCAATCCCATACCGCAAACCCTGCCGCCTTGGTGCTTCCCGACACCATCACAGAACTCGACCTTTTTGCACCGATGCCTGATCTTGATGAGCTCCTACTCGACAGCACTCCTGGACCCGGCCAAGATCCCACCCTACTGGACTGGGGAACCAGCCAACTTCTTCCCGAGAGCATGAACACTCACAGAGACAACAGTCAAACGCTTCAGCTGGAGGATGATGATTTGGGTCTTGACATTGGCGATATTACTGAGGGCGCCGGAGGCTTGGATACCAGCATCGAAATTGGTAGACGTGAACAGACGGCGCTCCCCGAGATGAACGATCAGAGCATGCTCTTTAATGACGACCTGGATCTGGATATCGGGGTTCCCGAGCCTACTGTTGAGAAGGACATTTCGATGGCTCCCTTGGATATGGATGACGACATTGAGATGGGTGGTCTGGATCTTCAGATTGAAGAAAGCAACCTCGAGGCACTGGGCCGTGCAGATGTTCGCCGTGAGCGTGATAGTGTCTCGCCACTCTCATCTGTTCGTTCAAGCGTCGAGCGTGATCTCGAGCAAACATTCCAGCTCGAGCAACAACCTACCGAGATCGAACAGGACGAGACCATGATTCAAGCCCAACAGCGCGCCAAGCGTCGCAAGGTCCTGCCTGCTGATCTCAACACTGAATTGCACAACTCTCAGATTCGTGCTCAGCAAGAGGACCGCAGCAAAATCCTCAAGGCACCCGTATTCCTCCCTAGAGACCCCGTTCTCCTCGCACTCATGGAGATGCAAAAGAACGGTGGCTTCGTCTCCAACATCCTTGGTGACGGTCGTAGCATGGGCTGGGCACCCGAGCTCAGAGGTGTCTTGTCTCTCGAGGTCGTGCGCACAGCTGGTGAGCTGAAGCGTAAGAGAGACAGCGGTCTTCCCCAAATCGAGATTCCTGAGGAAGAGGAGGAGCCTCTCGCTCTCGATACTGCCGCTTCACCTGCACCTGCAGATCCTCAAGACCCCACACTTGGTGCTGATGACATCGCTCCCGCGTTTGGCGGTGATGATATTCCTTCCATCATCGAGCCCGCACAGGAAGACGAGATGGAGGCTTACTCTCCCGCCCCCGCTTTCGACGAGACCACCATGCCCCTTCTTCACCCTGCCGACTCTGGTCCTGTCTCGCTTGGCACCAAGCACGCCGTTCACCTCTTGCGCGAACACTTCTCTGACGAAACTGGTGAACCACCATCACCCAACACCCGCGCTCAACGTAGCGTTCTTTTCACCGACTTCTGCCCCGAGGCACGCACTAGCAAGCAAGACGCAACCAAGATGTTCTTCGAGGTGCTCGTTCTCGGTACAAAGGATGCCGTCAAGGTGGAGCAAGGCTCGGACGAGTTGGGTGCACCCCTTCGTATCCGGGGTAAGAGAGGCCTCTGGGGCGATTGGGCCGAGATGGGAGCTGGCGGCGAGATCGCAAGCCAGCGTCCCGAGGTCGCCGTCACTATCTAATGACCTACGCTTTCTTACGTTGTGACGTCCTGAAGTGATTCCCAAGCGTTCGAGGGCTGGTGTTGACGGCGTTCCACGGGGTGTGATTGATATTGATGGCTTCATTTGCGAAAAGACACTGGGATCTTATCAGGCTTGTTGAGCGAGCAACGATACGCGTTTGCATGCGCAGCAGTTATTAGGGCAAGGCGATGCAACTCCGAGCTGAACTTCTTGAACTTTCTTGTCGGGCATTTTGCAGCCCTTAGCCCTTGCCTACTCGTTACATGCGGCAGAGTTATAGGGCATTCTCTTTCATTAGTTTAGCTGTCAGGTTAGAGTAGAAAGTCTAACCAAGAACAGTTTGGCTTCAAACTGACTTTGCGGCTTCCCTACGGAACAAAAGCCACCCGCTTCCGGGGCCTTGCATGTGACATTTGACCATGAGCACTGAGTACTCCGCCTCGACGACCTCACTACACTGTCAATTAGAAGTCCAGCGAACCACATTCACAGCAGGAGATTGTAATTGGACAGCGGCCGTACGGAAGACCGGTCCGCAATCCTAGGTGCATTTCACGACGCTCTCCCATTCCTCGCCAAGTTTGTCTCATGAAAGAGACTTCGTCACCCAAATCTTTCTACAATACGCACGAAACGTCAAACCTCTCGTAACCTTAATAGAGCATGTCCGATATCAAGCCCTAGGTCACAGAACCGATTCAACCGAAGCCCTCGAATGGGTTGACTCGCTCTGCTTCAGAGTTGACGCCAGACAGGCTCATGAACGCTGCACGGAGCATCACTTTAATCAACTCGGTCCTCTTGCTGCACCGCGCCTGGCCTAAAACGGAGCGCATGTCAGGTCTGTGTTGTTTGCCCTGTGTGATCATCATGGAAGATTCCCCTCGTATGCTGCGTGGGTCTGCCTCGTCGATCTCAACATCACGGTAGTTGCTTGGTTGCGAGATTTGTTGACGGATGGGTGCGGAGGAGTTCGGTGACTGTCAGTGTATTACAGCTCTTCGTGGCCGACAAAGTAGGGCTCAAAGATCTACAGGTAGGTCCTTGGATGCCGTGAATTGGTATAAGTATTGTAGTAGCCCTCGGTGTGGTCTCCTGGATCACCAGATATCACCTTTCTTCTCTTCCCAGGCCCTATCTCTACTCTCATTCGGAAGATGCATATCTCTTCATTGATTTCTGGCTCTGTCGCCCTCTCTGTTGGCGCTGCAGCTCGTAGCTCCCTCTATGTCGAGAACGCCCCTGATCATGTCCGCCCTTATGTCATTGAGAGATATGCCAATGCTCAGGCCGTCGCTGTCGGACAGCAAATCTACAGATTTCCCGTCACTGGTGCATCATCTGGTGGTGCGTTTTCCATCCTGATGACCAGCTCTCCCGCATCAGACGCTCTTGGTGTCCTCCCTCATATCCATCAAGAACACTACGAAAACTTCTTCTGCAGCAAAGGACGATTCCAGCTCTGGACCAACAAGTATGGCGATGAAGAGGCTCGCGTCATGCTTCCGGGCGATTATGGAGCTGTTCCCCGTAACACGACCCATACCTTTCAAGTCCTAGACCCGGATACCGAAATGCTGGGTGTAATCCAACCGGGAGGCTTCGAGGCCCTCTTCTTCGCCATCGCAGATTCCAACTACAGCTCCGCAACATCCTCTCCTTACGTCCCCAGCTCAAGCTCGGGAGCCGCAGATGCAGGAGCCGGCTCATCATCCTCTATGATCTCCGCCCTCGAATCCTTTGACGTCTACGCTCAACTCGACTACTCACCTCGCCGTGACCTTGTCAATGGCTCAGCACCCTCAAACGCAACATGGCACACTGGCAAAAATACCGTTCCAAGCAACTCAAACACGCCCTTCTACGTGGCCAAGAACCAAGGCCCCATGTGGCTGAACAGCGAACAAGAATACCAGATCATCGCACCTTTCATTACACCCACCCAAGGCGCTCAGAAGTTCTCAGAGGGCACCATAACAACCTCTCGTCGTCTCTCAAACACTACGATCCCGTCTCGTCGCTTTACTGACCATTTGGCGTTTGAGGTTCTGGAGGGAGCTCTGCAGGTCAAGCTTGCTAATGAGACTGTTCAGTTGCTGCAAGGAGATGTTGTGTTTGTACCTGGAAACACTACTTTTAGTTATTGGTCCGAGGTGGCGTTTACAAAGTTCTTGTATGTTTGTGCTGGAGACAAGGGGTTGGATGTTGAGTTGATGGACAAGGCTGTGGCTTGGGAGTATCCTACTTGGCCTACGTATGCTGTTTGAGATGCGCGGTTCACTGTTTATATTCAATACCATGATGGACCGATAGCTAGACTGATAGAATTTGGACATAGACTTACAAAGAGAGGCACCTTTGATGATTAAATAACGTTTCCTCTTCGTTAATGTATGTAGTTCTTCTTGGCCCTCTCCTCGTCCTCTTCTTTGACCTTGTCCTCAGGATTTCCCTCAGGAGCGCACTAAAGCTCATCGGGGTCAAAGACGTCTTCCGTTATAGCGGCTCTACCACCACCCCTAGCAGCCCATTCTTCCCTACGTTTGCGTTCTCTTTCTTGTTGCTCTGCTTCAAGTCTTGCCTCGTCTTCTGCTCGCTTTTTGTCTGCCGCTTCTTGTTCTTCGGCACTCAGCACAGTAGTCGGATCAATGCCGTCTTCAATCATGCCTTGAACGGTGGCCAGAGCGCCCATTAGAATGACTTGTTGGGATGGCCAGGGAACCCAGTCTAGCTGAGACAAGGGCTCTAGCATAGCTTTTGCTTCAGCTACAGCTCTGTTCCCATTCTGCTCTGCTTGCTCGCTTGTACTCGTGTTGTCGCCGTTTTGTGCAGGAGTGGCCATGCCGTTCGTGATTTGAGTCATTGGTGCATCGACTGCAGCGGATTGTGGTTGTGAGGGTAGTTCTGTCGAGATGTGGCCGCGGAAGGTGGGTGGTACTGTGGTCTTTGAGATGAACTTTGCGTACGACAGCAGCTCCTCTACGCCGACTTGACGTGTGTTGGCAGTAGATTGCGCAGCGGGTATATCGAGTAGTTCCTTGCGTGTGTCGGCCAGCGTCCGTAGGGTGGACTTGATCTTTTCGTCCAGGGCATCGGCCGTGGCTCGTAGCTCGAGAATACGTGAGTAATTTGCATGGTGTACGGCGACTGTTCACGTTCAGTGAGCCATTGTCAGCTAGTAAGGTTCAGAGCAGGCGTACGCTGTTCCAAGCTCTTGTCCAGGTCCTCGTCAGCTGCGACTAGTGCATCTGCTGCTGAGACGGAGGGATTGTATGCTGCGACTGATTCGACCAGCGTGTTCAGCGCCGTCTCGAGACGCTGAAAGCGCGTCTGGAATAGACTAAGCATGTCTGTATCTGTCTTGTAGATGCTAAGAAGGAAGTTGACCAATCATGAGGCTGTCGCATTCTCGACCATCAACAGACTGCCAAGCACGCGTCATTGCTCCCACGCGACAGCGGACAGCGACATGTCTTCCTCGCTTTCCTTCCATCAGGCGCGATGCTTATCAAATATGCATCTGAGCCTCGATCATTCACAAGACCCGCTTACGTTGGGCTCGGTCACGTCTACATGTTGCCGGCTGCTCGTGTGATACGTGGCAGCTGTCCACTAACCATGCAGTGCCAGCCTTGTCGAGCTTCCATCAACCTGCATTTCTGATGAATCCACTGACAGCTGACCGCTCCGACCGCCTGCCTCGCCATGTACCTTGTATGTTTGCTCGAATAAGACTCTCGACACGCCGACTCGACTGCTTCCTGCTGCTCTCCATCTTGTTATACGCCATCTCTTCGTAGCCACTTATAGTAGTGATACTTGTTTACTCACGATTTGCAAGTGCTTCGCTCCTGCCATTGAAGTCCTGATGCCCTCTTGTGCTTGAACACGCTAAGGCTTTATCGCTCTCAAAGAACCATGGACCCTCTCCTTCTGGCGCGAGCCTTTGCCGAAAAGCACTCTCGTCGCCCATCATCCAGTGGCACAACCACCCCTGACCAAGTCACTCCTATTGCCATCCGTCTCATTCACGAAAATGCTCCCCGTCGAGTCCGCTCCATCGCATCAATAAACAACAAGCCGCAAAATGACGACTTCTATAGATACTGGGATCGTTTCCTCGCAACGTCTCCGAACCGCTCTCTCAACACATCTGCTCTGGGTCGTCGTCTCGAGCAGACACTCAGAGACGCTAGTGGCGAGGAGAATGGTCTTCATACCCAAGAGAGTCCTGCTGCGTCTTATGAGCAGGCCAAGGAAGAGTGCCAGACCAAGGTTCAAGCCATTGTGGCAGAGTGCAGTCGACTGAATCAGAAATATCGAGACAGGCAGTTCGAGCTTGACCTTGCCCAGCACGACTGCATTGTTCCGTTGGTAGATGAAGACAATACCACCGGCACGATACGACCATCAGGTGTCAAGAGAGTCCAGGTACGTATACTGTATCGGACGAACTGCATGTTGTACGCTTGACTCATCGTCTGGCAGGACATTTTTGACAAGCCGACCTTCAATGCAGAGGGGGCCTGCGGCGACGATGTGATGCAAGGTTCGTTGGGCAACTGCTGGTTTATCGCCGCCCTCGTCTCTGTAGCTGCAAAACCAGGCCTCGTGCAACGCCTCTGCGTGGCACGCGATGAAGCTGTAGGCGTATACGGATTTGTCTTTTTCCGGGACGGAACCTGGATACCAGAAATCGTGGACGATCGCCTTTTCATACATGTCTCTGACGGTGACGATTTGTTCGTTGGTAAATATGTAGACGAGAGGCAGACCCGAAGCACCTTCAACAACAGTAACGACATCGGCAAGCTTAGGGAGAGTTTACAAAAGGGCGGTGAGGCCTTGTACTTTGCCCGTTGTCGAGACAGTCAAGATACATGGCTACCACTGATTGAGAAGGCATACGCAAAAGCTCATGGCGACTACGGCTCTCTGCATGGAGGGTGGGTAGGCGAGGGCACCGAAGATCTTACTGGCGGTGTATCGATCAACCTTGCACCGAGTGACATCATGGACAAGTCACGACTATGGGAGCAGTTAATGAGAGTCAACGAGACCTACCTCTTCGCTGGCGGAGCGTTCCACTACAAGGAAGCTGGCAGCTTTGGTAAACATGCCTATGCCGTGCTACAAGCTGTTGAGCATAAAGAGCTTCGGCTACTTAAGATTAGGTATGCGCTTCCGAAGAGGACACAATAGCGAAACTGTTGCTGACTTACGGCTCAGAAATCCTTGGGGTAACAATAAAAACACAGACAACTTCGATGGTCCCTTCAATCACAAATTCGAAGAATGGAATGCTGAGCTTGTAGAACAGCTGAAGTTCGACTTCAAAGATCCTGGTGTATGATTTGGATCTCACGACTCTGATCGATTGATGCATTAGCTGACTCTACTTTCAGGTCTTCTGGGTGACTCTCGACAACTTCTTAAAACACTTCGATTCCATTCAGCGTACTCGGCTCTTCGACGAGTCATGGACCTTGACCCAGCAGTGGACCTCAGTCAGCGTACCTGCAGGTGCAGTCACTTTCCTCGACACCAGCTTCCACATCAGCTTGTCCCGTGCAGGTCCCGTCGTCTTTGTACTCGCCCAATTAGATTCAAGCTACTTTCAAGGTCTCCAAGGGCGATACACATATTGCCTCCACTTCCGCGTCTACGACTGCAAAGATGGCACAAAATGGCTAGCTCGCAGCATGCACGTTTCTAGTGGAAACTACATCAACACCCGCTCAGTCAGTGTAGACCTCGACCTCGAAGCCGGCAACTACAACGTCATGGTCAAGGTCGAACCCACACGAGTTCTCTCACAAACCGCAGAATCAGTCATCGAAGCAGAAGCACCTTACCGAAAGCAAAAGCTTCTACAAGTAGGTAGAAACTTTGAGCTTGCGACTGCAAAAGGTAAGCTGAGAGAAAAGGAACAAGACACTAGGAAGCAGAAAAAGCGAGAGGCTAGAAAAGAGTCTCGTGATCGTCAGTCGAAAATGAGGAGATTGAGACAACAGGCTAAACTTAGGGAAAGGAGGCGTAAAGATCGTATTGCGAGGGAGAAGAAGGATAGGGAGATGAATGATTTGCTGAGACGAGCAGGTCTTGTCTTTGTTTCTCCACCGCCTATGCCAGTTGATCCGCCGATGGTTCAAAACATGAGGCCTGCTGGGCCTTCGACGCCTCCACCACCGCCACCGCCAGTATCTCTGGGCCCGAGGACCACTCCTTATGCTGCAGCCGACTCAGATCCCAACGCCGAGCTTGATGACGATGACTTCGAGTGGGACAGCGAAATGGACGGAGATATCTACCCATCATCAAGTGAGGACGAGAATGATTGGTACGCCGATGATCCATGGAACGCTCTGCTTGTGCTCGGTCTGAGAGTTTACTCTCAAGCGAGCGGTGTCACTATCAAAGTTCGCGAGGGCAATGAGAAGGACGACACCTTCAACGAAGATGCGCCGACCATCGTCATCCCAAACATCATTCCTGTCGTAGCTCCAGAAACGGAAACAAGTAAGGAAAATGGCAAAGCAGAGAAGCCTCAGGATGTTGGCGATGGTGCGAAATCGAGCTCTCCTTCGAGCGAGGCGACAGTCGTAGGATCTTCCTCGAGCACAGACGACAAGAGTCTGAGCACCATCGCATATGACAAGGCAGACCAAGATGACACCAGCTTAAGTGCGGCAATCATACCGGTGCTAGGCACCAACGATCTTGTCATTGCATCAGAAGTGACGAAGGATGTTCAACAAGAAGCAGGAGCCACAAAAACAGAATCCGACAATGACGCCAATCCATCCTAGTGGTCAAGTGTGAGTAGGAATAGAGGGGGATGAGAATGTATAGAATGCTTACAGGCTCTCTACTCTGATACATAATTAGCATTCACAATCTCCAAGTCACCCATGGGTTTCACGTCACAATTTCCAAGCACAAGGATGGACGTGCAAGAAGCTGTCCAGCCTCAAAGATCGTTTTAGATTGACTCTTCAGATCTGTCGTTCTGTGAATGATCGCCAGTGCTGTGGATGTCGAGTCGGCGAGCAGGGCCGACGCTTGGGATTCGAGGTACGTTCTCACAAGTCTTGTTAAAGCTGGTCCTAGATGGATTGCAGAGGTGCAGTACATGACTGCATGAGCTAAATTGTTATTAAATCGTCCTCGAATAGATATCCCTTGCCTTTCCACCTGCATGATCTCACAGAGGCTCATATGGCGTATAACATCTCGATTCTCTTTGGCAAATTCTTACTTTGCAGCAGCCTTGATCTTCTTGAAATTGTCCACCCATTCCTGAGCTCTGGAGCTTGGCACGACGTTGATTCTGAGCAAAGAGTCTACGATTTCGACCTTGCCAGTATTCAAAATTCTCAGCAGAGCCATCTTCTTGCCTGCCTTGACTAGACCGCCGGTTTTTGTCTCGATGTAGCATTCGACCTTCTCGGGCATGTATTGGTGGTCCTCGTCCCAAGGCAGAGGGAAAATGTACTCGAGATGTTGGCCTACTGACTCATCTTCCGCAAAGGATTTGATAAAGTCGGTCTGGTTATCAAGGGGATAGAGGAGTAGACAGGGGAAAGTCAGAGTCGAGGCTGCATCCATAGGGTTCTCGAGTTGGATAGCGGCATCCTCGAGTTGAGGTGGTGCTGTTGTCGTTGACCGAGTAGAGATGTTGCGGCCTTTTAATGCCAATGCCAATGTTTGCTTTTCTCTGCGAGCTTTCTCTTCTCTTTCCCGTTGTTCGCGTTCTGCTTTTTCGATTTGCGCTTCACGTTTGGCGATCTTGTCTTGGAGGATGAGGAGAGATTTGTTGGTAGGATCAATCTTGAGGCCTAGATTGCAACACCAGTTTGCTGCGGGTAGTTTGTCGAGGTGGAAGTTGGCCATGCCGCTGCGGTAGTATGCTTTGACGTTCAGAGGATTGATCTTCAAGGCAGCAGCGCAATCGCGGTTGCAAGAGCCGTAGTTCTTCATCTCGAGATTGCAGAGTGCGCGGTTGACCAGAGATGCCTCCTCATGTTCCTTCTCTTTACGAGCCTCTTCCTCCTCGTCGAGTTCGACCATGTCCTCTTCGTGTAGGTTGTGCTCGGCGGCTTCATCACCCTCCTTTGCAATGCCAGTCTTTTGAGGCAACTTCAAGGCTCCCAGAGCGCGGTCGTAGAACTCGCGGGCGTCCTTCCAGCGCTTCAGACGAGCGTTGTCGTTTCCTTGTTCGCGGAATGAGGCAGCGTTTTCGGCGCGGGTTCCTTCATACGCGAGTGCCTTGAGAGCTTCCAGAGCCACGTTCTCTCCACCATCTTCACCCGTCTCGTCGAGTTCGGTCATGAAAAGTGGAGACTTGTTGAGCATCTGCCACATTTCGTCTGCTGTGTACTGTCTTGCCGTCTCCATGGCAGGAGGCATCGCTGCGCCGGGCTGAGACGGGTCGCCTTGTGTGGGTGCATCCTTCTTGGGCGGCAAGTGTTTGGCAGCGGCTTGCATCATCATGTCGAATGAAAGGCCGCCGTCAGCAGTCGGTGCTGGTGCAGGTCCATGCGTCTCGACCGGTGCCTTGTTCAGGTCGATCTTGTCATCGAAGTCGTCGGGCAACTCTTGTACGCGGGACGCCATTCTGGATGTATTCTGGCTTGTGGTACGCTTTCCTTCTCTTTCTCGTCCGTGGGAATAAGGTTCAAGGTGCTCGATTTCTGTTGATATTGCGCGTCGCTGGAGATCGTGTTTGTCGGCGGATGGTCACTGTACACGAAGTCTGAGTGAGACGTTCCGATCGAAGGCAGGGTTGGAAAATTGAAAGGTCGAGGTGGTGTCAGAAAGTTGGCCGTGTGACGATTGACGATTTCAAAAATTTGGGCGTTTCGACGCGGGGTTCGGTGCACCTCTACCCGAGTCAGGGTCGTCCTCTCGACCACTTAGCCATGATCATGTATCTCAACTTACTACCTCACACCGTCCGATACCTTGGATTATGCTGAGATATCAATGTCTCGATCGATCGTTACTTCCAGTCCACTCATGACGGAAAATTGGCGACGGTTCAAAGCCTCCAGGCTGTATTTTGCGTGCTTTGCTGATTTTCCAACCAAGCCGCTTCCCGTGCAGAACGCATCATACCACAGTTTTGCCCCCGACTAGCTTCAATTCGAGCCTATGGAAACCCCTGATCAGAAGCTCTGAAGATTGCAAGGCCAATGGGTAGCAACATGGACAGAGGCACAGAAGTGTCAACAGAGCCGTGTAGGACGGTATCTATTGGTTAATCACTTTCAAAGTGATCAGCAGAAGCACAAGCCTGTTTATCCTGGTCACACCCTGTCACCAGCGCTCGAGCGCTTCGCCAAGCGCAAGCTTGTGTTGGTGTCAATATGTTTTGGTTTCGCTGCTCATTTCGATTCTCTGCTTGGCAGTGTCGTGTCAAGCAGCGAGGCTTGATCCAGAAGCAGACGTTGGAGATTCTGGCATGGTGAAACAGAAGCTCGTTCGAGGGAAGTAAAACGGTGCAGCTACAGAGTCGATCTTGTCAGTCCCTTGCATGGAGAAGCGGGCGCTTGCTGCTGAAGACGATCCGTGCAGCCACTCGGCACTTTGCTCAGTCACGCTTCCCACAACTCTGGATCCGCTCTTGCAACGCCCTCTATCACTCTCTTGCTTCTTCAGCTCGACCAATCCGCTGCGCAGACACAATGATGTGCTGTCAGGTCATTGGTATCAGAGCGGGGAAGCAGCGACCTCGATGCTCCGCTATAGATTAAGTGCAATAACACATGTCGACCTGTTCTTTCCTTCTTGGGATCATTCTCAGCCTTCTCTTCCTCCTGATCGGCGCACCCGGCCAATCTCTATTCATGTCCAATTCTCTTTAGATTGACACATCCACTGCTCAATTCACAGCGTCATTGCTCTCTTTCTCCTCCGTCCTCGCCTTTTCCCTCTTGATAGCCAAACATTCGAGGTCTCCCTCTCCGCCTCTCGCCGAAGCATCAAACAGTGCAGTCCTCCGACCTCAAGGCATGGCTTGCTAGGGGTCACGTCAGGTAGAGGAAGTGTAGATTCTGCTGACTGTCGACACTTCTTGTCGCGTCGGCAACATGTCTACCGACTACTTTCAATATGGAGCCCTCGCGTCACCCGAACGAACGCCCGAACACACGCCGCCCGAACTCCCGACATCGAAGCCTCCTCCATCACGAGGCCGCAAGGACCGTGACTTCTCTACCAAATCTGCTCCGCTGCCCTCGTTCGACGCACTCGAGAGTCGAGATAGCAATGCACATGCGTTCGACGCAAACCGTTTCACCCCCACGCTGCACGCCTCGTTAGTCTCCGAAATCCTCACGCTACGACGAGAACTAGATTCGAAACACCTTTTCATCGATAACCTCGAGGAGAGCCTCAAGACTGCCAACGTTGAGAATGAGAATCTATCGGGCCAAGTTCGCGAAGGGAACAAGAATACCAGACTCTTGGAACAAAAGTTCAAGTTGCTTGAAAATGGGACATTCGACGCCGTAGAGGGTCTTCTCGGCGAACGGGACAATGTCAAGGTTGCGAATCAAGAGTTACGGAACAAGTTGGACGCGGCGAACAAGAAGGTAAAGACTCTAGAAGAAGATAAAATCCAGTCTCGTGAGTCGTTCGACAAGGAGAAACGTTCGTGGCAGTCTGAGAAACGCCGACTAGAGCAGAAGGTTCATGTTTCCGAGACGCGGTTGCGGGCAGTGGTTGAGGAAGTCCGGGCTCAGCATCTCGCTTCTCTAGCGCAGCACAAGTCCGAAGATACATCAGGCGACAGTGATGTCGCTAGCATCCGCTCGTATCGGCGCTCGAAGCACGCCAGAAACCAGAGTAGCATGAGCACCAAGAGCCTTGCACCTTCGATTGGAAGCACTCGCAAGCCAGGCATGACTTCTTTGGCACACGAGCTTAACTCGGACGAGGACTATGATACTGAGGATCTCGAAGGAGATGATGAAGACCTTCCTCTGTTTGCCGAGAATCGCTCGAGTATCAACTCCAGGGCCTCGGCCATCTCAGATCGCAAGGCAAAGAAAGTTCTCGGCTTGACTATGAACAAGACTTCCGATGCATCCACCGAAGGAGAAGGCGTACGAGGCCCATCAATGGAATCTCTGAGGACACCTTCCTTCGCGGAGCGCTTCGGTCTGCAGATGGCAAAGATGAACTTCAGATCGTCAGACGGTAGTCGGGCATCTTCACGCTCTGCAAGTCCAGCAAGGCAGAAAGACGAATCCGTCCGCGAATTGTCAAATGGCATGACAGTCGATTCAGTCACAGACGCCAAATCTGTCATGGTATCCACCCAATTGAAACCGGCAGAACGAGGCGTCCAGTCGAAATTACCGAATTTGTTGACATCAGATCGCATGGTCGAAATTCCCATGAGTCCTCCAGATACACCTCACTATGTTGTCCACGAAGGTCTCCCCAAGGAGGTCACCTCGAAACCAATTTATCAATCGAGTTCGACACAGACAGACCTTGTTGTTGCGGGCGACTTGGCACTCAGAAGGAAAGCTACTATGCCTCCTGTAGAGGTCCTCCGCATTCCAGCGATCACTATTCAACCTCCAATGTCACCTAGGGTTGGCCAGAGCGTCCTTCCTCCTGGTATGCGTAGTAGTTCTGTCCAAACCGAATACGTTACAACCACGCCGATGCTGGACGTCGGAGTGCAAACAGAAGAGATCAGGATCGATCGTAGACCGGTCAAATCACCACCCCATCTACTACCAAGCGCTCTGGAGCCTGCCATTAACAAGGAGAACGAGACAATTGCGGACAAAGAAGGTCAAACGATCAAGAAGCACCGCGGTATCATGCACCGTAGCACCTTTAGCAAAGATGGTAATCGACTACCTCTTAAGCCCCTCGACCTCCCACCACCTAGACTCCGCTCGTTACCAGGCGAGAACTACCAGCAGTCACAAGCGAGTTCGTTACAAGACACTCCGCCACAATGGTATGCAAGCAGGGACGTCAACGATCGCTTAGCCGAGTCCAGTGATGACATGAAGGCCATTTTCGGGAATATGCCGGGTATTGCCCGACCAAGTGTACGCTCGCTATTCAACGGGCCTCCCAAGACAGTGCCGGAGAATAGAGCGGCCTCACCTGCCAACTTTGTCATGAGCTCCGAAAGGCAGGCTGCTTTTGCACATGGCAAGAGAATGGGTTCTGACGGGAGTTCGACTCAGAGCCGTCCATCTAGCTCGAGAGGGACAGCTCAATCTGGAAGGGCAGGTCCCTTCTTCAACTCTTACGAACGGAATGCAAGCAGACCCAGCTCTGCAAACAGTCGTGGTGTCCAAGCGCAGCCACCTCCATTCCCGATACCTGGTCGTATGAGTTCGAGATTGCCTAGTCATGACGGTCCCCAGAGTCCCATTTGGCGTGATGTAAACTCTGTGCGGTCGCGACGCTCAAGCAAAGACTCTCGTGTTGGTCCAGATGGCGGACTTAGAAAGGTGCAATCTTCCGGAACCATGAGAAATCATGCGCGCACGTCCCCTCGAAGAAGGAGGAGAGCACCAAATCTCGAACCGATTCAGTCGATGGCGTTTGACGCGCCATCGAAGGACAATCTACTTCTCCCTGGAATAGTGACTCCGACTCATGAGAACTTTGGCCTGCCAAACGAAACTTCACAGTACATCCTGGACTCTCCTGACTTCGACCAAGATAGCGCAGTGGAAGAAGATGAGGAGAAGAGTCAAGATAACATCATTGTCGACGCAATAGCAGCCACTATGGTAGGCGAGTGGATGTGGAAGTACGTTCGCAGACGCAGATCTTTTGGTCTCGGTGAGTCTCGCGCCGATCAGGCACATGAAGGAGCTGGCAGCGGCGTGAGGCACAAACGGTGGGTATGGCTTTCGCCGTATGAGCGCACCGTCATGTGGAGCTCTAAACAACCAAACTCAGGTCCTGCCTTACTTGGAAAAGCTGGACGTAAATGTGAGTAGTTCGTCGTGTCGGTCATGTCGATTGTTTTGCTAACCCCAATCAGTGGTAATCAAGTCGGTGCTTGATGTCAAAGATACAACACCACTTCACAAGAGCGCCTCGCACGAGCCCATATTCGATAGATCCATTCTCATTTTGACACCAGAGCGAGCTCTGAAGCTTACTGCACCGAATAGAGAGAGACACTACCTGTGGCTAAGAGCGCTCTCGTACCTCGCACAGAGTAACGGAGCTCCGCAAGTGCCACATGTGTCACCAGCGCATGAGCCTACGCTTGGGTACGATCAAAGACGACGGTCCTCATTAATGCCAGGACCAGTTCTACCAGCAAGGACGACCATTGGTTCAGTAGCAGCTCCAGGTCGCGTCGAAGGACACCAGCGTTTGGGCACTGCCGATTCTACCGCTCCACCCAATATCACTAGGTTCGGCGCTGGTCGCCATCAACGCAAGCGAAGCCGTACGAACCCCCAACACTCTGCAGCGACATCGCCGCACGAGGGCTCCATGCCAGTCTCGACCGTCTTTGCACGTAGAGCGTCCAACACTGCAGTCTATCAGCCTTCAGCAAACAGCTCAGCACGCCCAAGTCTCAAATCAGGCGATCGCAAAAGTTCAGTCGGAACCGTACGTATGGATGCCTTTATCGGACAGAATCGCGTCGAAGATCATACGTCTCAAGGCAGACGCAGGGGCGAAAGCACCACCCAGGACATGATGGCAGGCAAAGGGTACATGTTCGGCGAAAGCTTGGAAGTCGACCCCTTTGAGGAGTTCTAGAAGAGTTCCAACAATCCGCAATGGTCGTGGTGTTGAAGAACTAACAAAAACCGATAATGTATATTAGTATTCTTGGAGCGAAAGGGTGGGATGGCGAAAATCGATAGTCACGGTACATGGACTGCCCTTTTTCTGAAGAAAGGAAAGGTCCCTTCCGAACTAATGCAGAAGAGGAATAGAGAAAATGTGCTTGTAGGGCAGTATTTATCGGAAACGCGTGCATGATGTATAGTGCTGTACTCTTTTCTCTTCTCTCGCCAACGCAGTACTCCTTTTCTCGCACACATGTCACGAAAATTGTGAGACCTGCGTTTGACCAGTACATCACTGACGAAGAACCCGTGTATTGGAAACGTCGGATAGATAGGGAATGTTCACGGAAGTGACTACAGGTGAGATTTTCGATAAATGCATGCAGTCAGCCAAAACTTGGCGGTGTCAGCATCTTATCATTTGCAACCATGACACAGCGTAAGATGGATATTCTCCTTATCTGTCCCGCCAATATTCTGCACAGAGAATCAGAAGGTCTACATCAAGAACGGCAGAGCGGGCCATAGAGGAATATACATCTGTGAACCCTCCGCGCATTATTGCGACACGCAAGTCTAACACGATGACACGAGTCGGATATGGTCAATACGGTCACAACCAGTTCTCGTCCCTCGTAATGACAGCGATGATGCAAAGAAAGCATGGCAAGGGTGAATGGAAATTCGAGGTTAGTCTATCGCACGTAATTCAGCGATCATGGAGACCCGAAGGCCAAGCCTCCGAAGATGTTCTGGTTTCCTCAATGATATCGCATAGTTCTGATAGCGATGATGCGGTCCGCCACTTGTTGGCTATGGTAGCCATGGGCCGCGGTGAGACGAGGGTCTTCAGTGATGCGGTGGGACATGCATAGATAAATGCATTAATGCAGGCACGTTTTGAAGGCATAGGCAGCCAGCCATCACCGGTACCACCGACCTGTCAATTCTGTACAAGAGATTCGTTTAACGATATTGAGTCCAGGCGCTGTTGGTGAAGTGGATCTTGTTCGTCTTGACGACTGATAGTCTCATTTTGCGGCATGATTTTGTGGTCGGACGAGAAAGGACGGGAAAGAAGTATATGCACGTTGGGAAGAAAGAAGACGTGAGAGAAGTAGAGACCTGTGTCGCTTACCATTGCAAGCCATATCTATCTTGCGCCTGTTTCCAATGCCGACGTTGTGATGTGAGTATGCGCAGAAGCGAACATCATGTACGATGGTCTGAAAGCAGCAACAGGTAGCGAAAGATCGAAACGCTGTTTTCCGTGAACAGCGATGTCAAATAACAAGGTTCAAGTCGCTACATCGCAAGCTGAAAAGTAGTCGACAAGGATAGGCAACTTTCTGACTCTCGTGTCTGACAAGATGGTTTAGATCTTTAGGGTTGAGCTCGGCAAGGATGGTTAGGTTTGGGTGACTTTTTGTGACAAACGTTCACCTTGCATGTTTGATCAGCCATCCCGTTTCTCCCGCCGTCCACACGGCTGTTTGGTCGACACTGGTGGCTTGCGCATGGGTTCGCGTTGAGAGGTTGTTTTGAAACCGAAGAGCCGCACGTTAGGGACTGATGAGTAAAAGCCCTTTCTCTCACAGTCCAGTCGTCGTGCAGGCAGTCGAGACTCTAGGGTGGCTGTGGAAGGACAAACACTACCATCAGACATATGCAATCGGAGGTCATGTTGTAGTGATATGTGAGCGTGACAATGTGATGAGAAACATGATGAGCAGAAGAGCAAACAAGGTTGCGAAAGAGTGGCTGGATTAGAGACTCCACCCTGACGATCCCCACAACCTCGTCCCCGGGCACAAGTCTCAACGCAAACATAGAACGACAGGCCATCTTTTCATCACGGACAGCACAGAGACCGTAGCGACGGTGTCAAACAGACAGACAAGCTAATTCACCTGCACTCGTTTGTCTGTCACCACTTGACGGGACCAGCAATTAATCGCTGGCTGGTGAACACGTAACACAACTCGGAGCATGGGGCCGCGGTCAACCCCCTGCGTATCTTGCCTCTTTTGCTGAGCAGAGTCTGTCATAGACGGCTATCGATGGTGACACGCATGACGGCGGACCTTCGGACATTCAGTGGCATGGTAAGTCGACCGGGCAGGTGCATGGTTGAGTGGCCAGCGGGACCTGACCTGACCTCTGCTTTTTGGTACTCTATCTGCGCCGACTCGTGTATCTTCTCTCACACACCCCTGGTTCGGAAAGAGGCTGGATAAGTTCTCTTGATCAAGATGTAAGCAGGCGACTCACGGACATCGTGGAGACAGGGCATGTGAAGTCGTTGGCTGCGTTTCGGGACTCACATGTGGCTTGCTGGCCAGTGATCCCTGTACTTGCTGTGAGAGTTTGAAAGTCTCTTTTTCTCTCTACTTTGTGAAATGTGATGTGATAAAGGTACATAAAGAGGTAGCATGCTGTGTTCTTGTAGGTCTTCCTTTCTTGCATCTATCAACTCTTCTGTCACTCTCTACATCTCCTTCAGTTGCACAAACAACATTCGCTGAACAGTTTCTCCTATTTGCCAATCAACCTTCACACGAGACAAGATACATTCACAACACAAAAATGTTCGCAAGACTATCACTCATCGTCTCGGCTCTTGCCCTTTACATGAACCTCGCTGCCGCTCTTCCTCACTTTGGCTGGCACCCTCAACCTACCGGAGGCTTCCCCCACCCTACTGGAGGCTTCCCTGCTCCAACAGGCGAATTCCCTCATCCTACCGGCAGCTTTCCCTTCCCTACAGGCTTCCCAACCGGCTTCCCCACAGGCTGGGTTCCTGGCGAGGGTCCCTCCCCCACTGGCCTCGCTGCTAAGCCCATGGAGAAGAGATTCGAAGGTCCTCGTCAAGGTGCCGAACAAGGTCACACTGGCTTCTGGTGGGGAAACTGGGGTGGTAACTGGGGTCCTCGTCCTACTGCTTCTGCCTCTGCTCCTATCGTGCCTACCGGTAACGCCGCTTTCCCTACTGGTGGCTTCCCTCATCCCACTGGCACCGGTGCTTGGGGTTACCCCACTGCCCCCGTCCCTGTGCCTACTGGTTATTAAGGCCCTCTGGGAACAATCACGATGAATGATACGGGGTAGGAAGGTGGTGCCGGACATTCACTTCTTGTACTCCTTTTCCTTGTTCCATTTTCTTTCTTTAACTGTTCTTGGGTGGATGATTGGAGTTCTTCAGAGGATATATAAATGATCAGGTTGCGACAAGGCAAAACGAAGTGCTTACTTCAAGATAGACGGCTTTCGGATCAGACCAAAAAGAAATCTGAAAAGAATCATTGCAACCATTCAGCAGTCTTCATTAAAGCTTTCTGTGCGTTCTTGTCCTTGCCTTTCGTGTTCGGAATCCGGGTCGGTGGTTGCTATCGATCGATGCTTGCCAGGTTTGACTTTGGTCGATTGATGTATCAGAGATGGAGATCAGCCCTCGAATCATGTGACGCCGCGTACGCTCTTTGCAGAATGTCTACCTGATGAACATGCCTGTGAGCGGTATGTCTCCGCGCTACTTCTGACGGAGATCAAAGTGGAAGCGATTAAGAAGACACATGGAATTGGTAAGAAAAGTGGAGACCCGGCAATTGTTGTTTTCTCGATTGAACGGATGTTTGATATGACCGAGATGGGTATGCTCAGGTCTTGGTTGTAAAGTAGAGAGTAGCAGAAGCAAAAGGAAAAGAAAGCCGCCAGGTCACAATCAAGTGCACTCTGAGCAGCAAAACAGAAAACTCCCGATCCCCAGTAATAGTAGTCGCCTTTGGTCAAAAGCTAGCCGCGTATACGCCAATTTCCCTTGATTCTCCCTAAAAAGCTCATGTTGATTCGTGGCGAAGAGAAGGTGTGGTTGCCTAAATTATGGCAAGCTGAGCGCACGCCGCGCTTGGGAGCCACAACCGACGACTCAGTGGGACCCTGAGGCCGTTTGGACGAGACAAGAGTGGTCGTGGTCGAAAGGGCTGGGTAAGAGGTGTCGTGTTTGTGGATGGCTGAGACTCCCGCGCGGCGCTAATCGATACCATGCTGGCGTTTGAGCTTTTCTAAGTCGTCCTGACGCTGCTGGAGATCTTGTGCTTGGCGAGCCATCTTTTCAGGCTGGTGGTAGAGAACGACGAGGTAGCGGTTCTGGAAATTGAAGCCGTTGAGCTTGTCGCAGGCTTGTTTGGCGTCTACGACATCCTCATAGACGACGAATGCGGTGCCCTTTGTGTTGTTGGCGATACCTTGACGGATTTGACTGATAGCTCGTTAGTCCAATGTCGCGGGAAGCTCAGCGGAACAGAACAATGCTCACCGGACGGGGCCGAATTTGCCAAAGAGCTCGAAGAGGTCGTCAGGGCTGACGTTGTAGTTGAGGTTCTTGACGAAAAGCGCGCTATGGCATTGTCAGCTCGTGAGACCTTCATGGGCGGTGACGAGAAGTTGACGACTTACCGGTTCACTTCGGGAGCAAGTTTACCGCCGCGACTCATAGCTTGGATACAGGGTAGATGGTGTCGTGACGAAGGCTAGATGAGGCCGGTAGAGGAGATGGCACAGGCACAGGCACAGGCAATCAAGCACTTGGACGGATCGGATGTCGGCCTTGCCAGTCCTTGGCACCCGAGGAGGTGGTTCGATCACGTGATGAACGGTCTGCGGACAAGGACAAGGGAATGGAGGAATGGAAGGAACTCGGAAGATTGGACATGCGCTGCCTTTGTGTTTTTGAGGTCAACAGTTCTCGAGTTGAATCAAGTTAAGCGATCAGAATAAAGTAAGCAGAGGAGAGAAAGGTGCAAGGCGTGGAGCGCATTCACGATCAAAGGCAACTGAATTGGGAAGTTGCGACCAAGGACGGACCTCGCAGCCTCGAGAACCCCCGCCAATTGCTGTCACCGTAACCACCGACCAGGCCGCGAGCGCGACCATCACTCACTTACCCCTCCACCCACATACCTACCCACGCCTGGACTGCTTGGAGTCCGATCGATTGCGCGCTTTCCAAATGAACACCGCTACGATCAACCTTTAGTCTCTACCCGTGTTGCGCGCGTCGCGTCAAGCCCCAAGTCCCGGAGCGACACCTCCGAGTCGACCTACTACGTCTGCCGCCCAACACGCCATGGCATCAGCTACTCCTGTGGCGCATCCATCGCGCTTCACTTTCAAGCGTCCTTCGCCATCCATCAATCCTCACGCGCGTTCCTCCTCTCCCTCCTCTCCAGAATGGGAGCCTCTATCTCCTCCGGGCACCATTGAGCCCACCTTCAACTATCCACCCTTGGCTCAGTCTACCTCTTGGCCTCAGAACATCCCCTCGACCGCACTTTATCAACAGTCGGAACATTCTGGTGCTCATCAGCGCTCGCCTTCGACCATCCAAGCTCTAGCCGATATTGCTCTCTCGACGAGTCCGCAGCTTCCGCGGGCAGCTCCACCCGTGCAGCCCTCTGCTGACAACTTTGTTACTCCTGGACCCATTCGTGGCACCAAACGCGCTCGCTCTGATGCTGGTCCTGGTCCGCAAGCTCATCCTCTCTCAACACGACCTTCGTCCAGTCATCATCTTTCTCACCCAGGTGTCCACCCTTTGGCTTACAATACCGACCGCCAACGCCGCCAGTCTACCAATACCACCATTGTCACTTCGCTGGAGGATGCCGAGCTGTTACTGAATTTCGCAGGTCGCGTAGCTTCTCAACCTTCACCAGCAGAACCACCTGTGCGACACCTTGCTCTTGCGCCTCCACCAAACACCTCCAATTTCTACACCGCACCGCAGGCGCCTCCACCTCATGCGTATCCTTACCCTCCAGGGCCGCCATATGCTGCCCGGGCTTTTGCGCCGGCGCCTATTGCCCCAGTCCTTGCCTCGTCTACGACTTCGGACAACGCGTCAGCCTCCCTACCATCTCCACAAGGCACGAATGAAGATGAAAAGAGCACGGACACAGACAAGGAAGTCAGCCAGAGCACCGAAAGCTTACCGCTCTCTAGAGTGGTAGCTCCAGATCCTCCAAGGTCGAGGGCGCCACAACAGACACATACACCACCAGAGGAGGAGCACAGGATGTCTCAGCAACCTGTAGCACAACCTGTTCCGCCGGCCCAGGAGACGATTGAGCTGCCTGCCACTTCAGTGGAGCTGCAACAGTCCGCAGATGCGCCTACGGCGAGACCCCGACGTGGATGGCCCAAAGGCAAGCCTCGCGGCCCGAGGGCCAAGAATTCGACCAACTCGAAACCTCGCTCGGCAGCTCGCCGATCGCGTGCGTCTACTGCGAAATCTGTCGCCGACAGCGGCGACTCTAGTACCGAAGAGAAGAGACGCAGACGCAAGTCAGACTCGGATCTGTCGCTGCCATGCGCGGAGCAACTGCAATCACACACAGCGGAGTCGCGAGGCGCAACGGTGCCTCCTAGCCTCCGTTATGAGATTTTGCAATCCTCTACCAAACCTGCGCCAGCAATCCGCAAGCCTTCTAAGGAGACTCAAGAGACAGTATGCGCTAGCTGCGCTTTGACTCGAGAGTCCACACATGGCGAGCTGGACCAGTGGATCAGCTGTAACGGTTGCCAGTTGTGGTTCCACTTTGATTGTGCTGGCTTCAAGAATGAACGCGATGTCAGGGATGTCAGCAAGTTCTTCTGCAAAGCCTGTGAGCCAAAACATGGTGCTACAACATTCGTACGTAAGTCTAGCCGTGCTCATGCAGCAGTTGACTACGCCGGATTGAACCAAGGCATTCTCAAGACCTCCGACGACAATCCTGAGCATCATTACATTCAACCAATCAAAGACGGCTCCTTTACCTTCGATCAGGAGATGTTTCCTCGTATGCGTCCCGAGCTGGTCACCCGCGAGTTCTTCGAAACATGCTCCTCCTTCTCCGAGCCTGTCGTTATACCTGCTGAGTACAACCCTAAACTTTCTCGCCGAAATCCTGTTACAACTCAAGATGCCGAGGAAGGTACAAGCGCATGCGCATTCACTGGTACAGACGAAGAGGAAGCCTTGCTGAAGGACTTTGAATATGAGACTGTACCTGATGATGGGCAAGACCGCCTTGACATGGTTGTACCCCGCGATTTGACAGTTAGACATGTCGCTGAGCTCGTCGGCCCTCACGAGCCTCTCGAGGTCATTGATGTGAAGACTCAAGGTACCGAGGGCAAATGGAACCTCTCAAAGTGGGCCGATTACTACGAGGCGGATGGTGAAAAGGCTGTTCGCAATGTCATCAGTCTGGAAGTCTCTTCTACCAAACTTGGTAGACTGCTGAGAAGACCCAAAGTGGTGAGAGACATCGATCTGCAAGACTCGGTATGGCCCGATGAGGAGACATTCAAAGGCAACTATCCCAAGGTACAATTCTACTGCCTGATGTCAGTCGCCGACAGCTTCACCGATTTCCACATCGATTTTGGAGGTTCATCTGTCTACTATCACATCTTGCGTGGCAAGAAGACGTTCTTCTTCATCCCCCCAAAGCCTGGCCATCTCAAAAAGTACGAGGACTGGAATAACTCGCATGAGCAGAACTTCACGTGGCTACCGGATGCAACCAAAGAGTGTTACAGGGTTGACCTTTCCGCTGGAGACACCATGCTCATTCCTTCCGGTTGGATCCACGCTGTATGGACTCCAGAGAACAGTTTGGTTATCGGAGGCAACTTCTTGACTCGCATGCACTACTCAACCCAGTTCCGCATTGTCGACATTGAGAAGGCGATCAAGACTCCGCAGAAATTCAGATATCCACATTTCCAGAAGGTCATGTGGTATACCGTCATCAAGTATCTTGAGACGGACCCTATACCCGCCGAGGTCGCCCAGGTCTTCTATAAGGGCGCAAGATTTGTTCGTGAGCGACCTTTGTGGGAAGAGTTCGATCAGCATGGAAAGCTGTCGAGCTGTGCTCCTGGTAGCGCGTACTATAATTGTCGCTACTACTCACAGGCGGAGCTCGACGGACTGCCTGACTTGATCAATTTCATCTTCCGGACTGTCATGATCGCACTCGGTCGCATAGAAGGCGTTACCGAGGATACGCGCAAGAAGGTGACAAGGTCTATACCAAAGTCGCGTGGCGAGCCCCTTGAGCTTGCCAGGACATTCGCACTCTGGGTCGCATGGAAGCGTGGTAATGAGGATCCACCAGCCTGGGCACATCCAGAGGCTGATCTCCCTGACAAAGAGAGTGCTGCTCCAAAGAAGCTCAGTGCGCGAGCGCTGAAAGCAATGCAGAGACAAGAAGCATTCGAGGCCTACAGATCCGCTCCCGAGAGACAATCTGCTCGTCAGCATGTGTCTAGGGAGCCTGAATCCATCGCTGCTACATCACCTGGACCTCCTATGCCTCCTATGCCAGCCTCTCAAACGCAAACTACACCTGGCCCTAACGGTCAGCATACAAGCACCCCTAAGACATCAGTGCTTGGCCCTAAGAGGGTCGCATGTGATGCGTGTAGGAAGCGGCGGATAAAGTGCAAACACAAGGACGTTGTTACAACGAGCACACCGTTTGGTCAGCCAGCTGTGTTGTTCCAATCCACCCCCTCTCTTGATGGTACTGGTGACGCCACCCCCTTCGATCTCCAGAGGAGAGATTCCCGTGACTTCTTTGCCGCGAACACCGTGAGTCCCATCAAGATGCCTGAGCAAACATTGCCAACCACCGCGTTTGCACAGTCTCTACCAACCACCGAGCAGAGCATGCCAATCATGAACGCCCATAGCTTGCAGAACGGACAGGCTAGCCACATGGCTGGTGTAGCCCCTATGGCGCACATGACTTTGACAGATGCTAATGGTCCTGCTTTGATACCTGGAAATGCACTATTGGCCGACCCGAACAGCAAGCGTGGAAGAAGCAAGGCGTGTCTCGACTGCCGAAAGAGCAAGGTTTGTATCCCGGCCCCCTCAATAGTCAATTCCGTTGCTAATGTATATACAGCGTCGATGCATTCATGACGAGAACGGCAAGATCGATCCTGTGAAGGCCGAACAGACTCCTGTGCCCCGTGGCTCGGTGGTTTCCAAGAAGAGAAGGAACAGTGGAGACTTGGAAAGTCCCATCAAGAAGTCAAAGCAAGCCAGACCTTCGCAGACCGCTCCCATGATGCCATTCTCAATGGAGACAGCCTATCAACCCAATATGGTGTCGCCGCAACAGTACAAGCAGTATCCGTACGCTGCTGAGGCCAACATCCCACACTGGCAGCACGCCTCGTACATGTATCCAGATCCTGCCTCGACAGGCGGCAACGTCGTACTCCACGGCGGACCATACCATCAGCAAACTGATCTGAACGGAGCTTATAACGCGCAGTCATTAGAACAGTTGGCGAACGAAGTCCTTGACTCTAGATACGTCAACGATGGAGATTATACCGTACCGCAGCCCAATGGCGACAGTGTGCTTCACCCTGCGCTACAGCAACAAGCCTCTGTCTCAAGCCAGAACTCAGCATACCGACAAGAGACTTCTCCATTACTAGCGAAGGCACAACCTCACAACTACTTGGCCAACGGCATTGATCATGCCAACAATATCGCTGACGCTAGCAACCCCGAACATCGACCAAGCTCATCAGGCGGGCCGGTACAGCCCCATACGACTGACCCATTAGCACCAAGTTCGTACAACGAGACTGTAGCCATGCAAGAGGTTCGAGGATCGGAGCAAACTCCTTCTTCGAATGGCGACGTAGCTCATCTTCAGCCTGTTCAATCAGTGTCAGGGAACATGGATCCAATCACGGAAGCTTCTTCGATCCCTGCCAAAGGGTCAATGTCGTCACCCGAAAAGACTGCGGCTTCACTAGCTGTAGCACCCATGACAGGTCTGGCTAGCATACCACTCTACCAACCACCGGCACCACCATTGACGAAATCCCAGACTCCACGAATTCAGCGTCACTCGTTTAGTGTCAGCACAGAACAACCCATTTATCGTATGCAGAGGTCCGTTAGCAAGACACCTGTGCCAACACAAGTGATGGAGACGACAGAGCTCAAGACACCCGGAAGCCAGAAGCGTAAGCGAGACAGCCTGTCAGCGACACCGGGCACGGCAAGATCGAAGAAAATCGAACGCATCATCAGAGAGAAGAGCACGATCGAAGAAGAGGAAGAAGAACAGAGCGTTCGGCTTGCACGAGAACTACAAGATCAGGATTGGGGATTGCGCCGGCGGAGTAGGTGCTGAATAGAGCTGGAAGCTCGTGCCACTCATTTCACTCTTTCTTTTGAGTAAGTTCCACATCTATATCTAGGGGTTGGGAGATGGAGACTGGCGTTAGGCATGCATGGAGGGAAGCGATTGGGATAAGCACGAAGGGACGATTAAGGGGGTGGTATAATGATATTTTCAAGCACAATGGGAGAGGCCCTGGGGCGTTTACCACGAGGTTAGCCGGCTTAAATTCTGCTGAGCAATTCACTTTTACTTTGTATCTGGTGTGATGTGAACAAATTGCACCAAAGTGCTAGACCCATTGCTTGGACAAATACAGGACTTCATAACATCACTGTGCTTTGGAGCCTTGTCGAACAAACATCAAGGTGTTGAGGTAGAGCGAGGCCCATCAATCACAGTCGGGTGCCGCCTCTGACTCTGGATTCGACGTCACACTTTCCTCCACTTTCTTGCTCCGACGTGACAACTTTCCCTCATTCACCACACAACCACATATCACTCGCGCCTCTATACATCACAACCCTCACATCATCGCCACAATGTCAGAAAACATACCCGAATCCATCCCCACACACCGCGACCCCCGCAGCGGCCAGGCAACAAAAAAACGCGCCCTCTCACCACGAAGCAAGCAATCCGCCCATCTAGAAGCCCTCTTCGCAAACCCAGACAAACCCATAAACCTACCCAACACCTCCACCACAAAATCCTCAACGCTACCACCAGAAATTGTGGCAAATGTGCAAGGTTCATCAGCCGGTGCGGGCTCTGGAGAATTCCACGTGTACAAAGCCAGTAGACGACGAGAGTACGAGCGTTTGAGAGCCATGGATGAGGAAAAGGAGACGGAGGAGAAGGATGCGGAGTTTGTGGCCAAGAAGACTGAGCAAGAGAGGAGGGATGCGGAGAAGACGGAGAAGAATAGGTTGAAGAGGGAAAAAGCTAGGCAGAGGAAGGAGAAGGGGAAGCTTGGGGTTGCAGGGAAAGAGGGACATGTGGATGGCAAGACTGATGTGCAGAAGAAGGAGAAATTCAAGGCCAATGTGGCGGTTAAGAGGGATGGGGGCAAGGACGCTGAAGCTGGTCCTGCGGTCGAGGAACAAGGCATCGTGTTTTTGGATGAAGATTGAGGGAGCAGTCTGGGCCGGAAAGGCGTGTATCATCATCGCTGGATAAGATTTTCACAGTGGAGTACAGAAGGCTTCGAAACAGATTGGAATGGAAGCTACGACCCTTGGATCTCGACCCTTTTTCGGAGCCGAACATCACAAGCTGGCTACCTTACGGATTCCACGGTCCATTCTTTGCACACAACGAACCGTGTCAAGATCGGGATGAGACGGAACGATCAAACTCGGCTATGAGCATCCGAAGGAAGGAGCACTCGACAGATACACAGACCAAGCTTATTATTCAAGACAGTGCTACCAGACCCATATTGACTGGAACTGCTTGTTTGTGACACAGGTATATACTCGCAATAGTGAAAAACACAAGCACGTACGGCCACAGTCAGCTGAAAACTGGGCATCCCGTCCGCTCTGCCATACATAAGCAGTTGAACGGCAGATTAGTACTACGGTGGGTGACCACGTGGGAATCCCTGCTGCTGTACGTTTTGCTCAAACACATGCCTCTGTCCCTCCTGACTCTCGGTTTGCTAGCATTTCTGATCATCTGTTTTCTCTTTTGTTCTTATCGAGACCAAATCGCGGTGACATACTTCTGGAACAAGATCAGATTATATTCCAAAACATGACCGAACCAGCCGGTATAATTGACATAGATACAAACAGCTCACAGAGCTTATGATACAATACCAAAGCGATCACCAAATCATGTCCCAGACAACACATGAACCTCCCAATTAGGCGTCTGCTCTCTCTGCCCTCTACTGGGAGTAGGAGCCTGCCGTCCACTCTCCCCATCAACAACACTAGCAGTCGCAAGATCGAACGGCCCACTACGTACACTTACACTAGATACCTCGCTTCTTGTGGGAGACCAACTCTCAAATCTAGTGCTGCAATCGCTGTTGCTTCTGCTTATCGGGCTTACCGCGCCATGACGGGGTGTAGGGGATGCCTGTATAGGTATCCGGGTACGCAGTGGTGGAGGAGCGAGAAAGTCGCGGCGAGCGATTCCATGTCCTGGTTGCAAGCAATTTGGTAGAGGCGAATTTGGCGTAGCGGGAGCAGAAGTGACGAATGGATCATCTGGAGCTTTATGGCGGATGATAGTGTTGTTCGACATGGCTGACTGGGAAGACATCGGTCGAGAGTCGGATATGCCAGCAAGGATGGCTTCGGAAGGCATTGTGAGTTTATTCGTGTTTTTGTTTTGGATGTGGAGAGGTGAGGGGTGCGCCGATGAATGGGCCGAAGGCTGTAGATAAGACTCGTCGCTTGCGTGTCGAGTTGCCACATCCTGACTTGAAAAGGAGCGCTTGATGGATAATATGGCTGCAGTCAATGCAGACCGTTGTTTATGGAGGAAGCCGTGGGACTTGTTCGGCGCCGTGTCGGGCGACGGAGAATATGAAGGGGATCGAAAGACGACGGGAGGTGTCGGCGTTGGATCTGGATTCATGAGGCGTAATGGAGAGTTGTTGTCGCGGAGGTGGTGGTCTTCATGGACATAAGGTCGATCCCAATGGCCAACATCCATATGGATGAGATTGTGGTCGATCACGGGCAACCTATCAGCTGCAGTGTCTTGTTTGTCTCTGTTCCTATTTCTGTTCGAATGCGCTGCGAGAAAAATCGGTAACGCTTGGGAAGACGAAGACATTCGCGGCTGTCCAGAAACTGTGTCTTTCTCCTGGTATGGGATTTGTCGTTTTCGTCTACGAAAGAAAACCAGGAAAAGCAGCCCTATCAATGCAATGCCTGCTAGGCTTCCAGTCATGCCTCCAGCTATAGCAGCCGAGTGGTTCGAACTTCCGTCCGGGCTCACTAACGACGAACCATGTGAACCTCCGTTGCCATCACTACTTCTACCCCCACCGGCAGCTCCGCCAGTTGAGCTTGAAGCAGTCGCAAGAGTTGTCGCTGTTGTGTCTTGCGCAGCAGTAGTAGCACCTGTTGTTGCTGCACTCGATTCTACCTGAACGGTCCGTGTACTTGTGATATAAATGATAGTTCTCACCGTCGTTGTTGAATGTGTTGTCACTGTCGCTGTGGTAGTGGTGGAGAAAGTGGTTGGTTGGTACGTGAACAAAGCCGACCACGAAGATGCCAAAGTAAGACGAGAAGAGCCTCTGCTCATTGAATGGCTGGAAGAAGGGGATCGCGATGTGGCTGTTCCTGAAGATCGAGTAGAAGGCGAATTTGAGTATATGTAGGTCGTGTATTGTGTCCGCGTGAGAAAGATAGTCGTATATCGTTGACTAGTGCCGCTGTTGGGAGCACCGCCGAGGCTCTATCGACCAAATCAGTCTCATTACAACTCCCAGTAATCGCAGAACATACCGCTGTCAATGCTGAGCCTGCTGCTCTTTGCGAATCGGATGAGTTCTGCCACCAAGGTTGATCCGACGAGGACGAAATCGAAGCACGACTTCTTCTCATAGCTAGCAATCAATATCACTGTCAAATCGACAAAATCATGTTCACCTGGGCAACGAGAAAGGATCTTGCAAAATAGAAGCGGCCGGCGCAGGGTGGGTGTTGAAGCATTTTTGTTACACGCGCCCTGCCGGCGGCTACTACATCCATGTTGAGCACAAGACTATTGAATCCTGAAACAGGAATGCGGCTCAAGAAAACCATGCGACAATAGTGTATACTCAGATTCAGAGGGCGTACTCTGAGATACCAACCTTATTGTCATGGTCGGAGATGCAGAAGGCAACGTGAAGCGCTGAGCTCCCAGCATGGTTGGCGCCGAGGTGGCTGTGACGACAATGCTGCACCTAAAGGCATGAATAATCGTCTGAGTCTAGGATTTGATCCGGATAGTCCTACAAGTGGCGACAATTTACTGACGGAAGTACGAATCGTGAAAGGATCAGATCAGACAAGACGCGCTTGCCTCGCGTCGTCTGTGATCTGTATCTAGCCTACGTCATACCAATACTGTTCACCTCGATCACGAGATTACTACCTATGACTGAGGAAGACATGACTAAAGTAGTTCGAGCAGGCATATACAACCGTGTCTTGTTTGTAGCTAATCAAGGAGGGCAGAGAAGAGAAGTTTCATCATCGTTGGGCCCAAAGCCATTCATGTCCATCCGAAGCCGAAACCCAAGTACGCCTAAAAAATTGAAAGAGAAATACGAAAAAGTGTGGTCGAATGCACGGCAATCAACGACGACCATAGACAGGATCCTCATTCCTGATTCTTCGAGCATCCTTCTCATAACCCCCACGGCGGTCTGTACGTGCTGGAGCTGGGGGAGATTCCCTTGGTGAAGATCGTAAAGCGCCAGAGCCTGAACGTCTGGCAGCGGAGGAAGAAGCACCAGATCTTGTGGGCTCGGGGGCCAGCACCTTGGTGTTTCTGTTCCAGGGCTTATTGTCATCGGTGCTCCCGATGCTCTCGCGGCCGCCGAGTGCACCTGGGTTGTGACCAAACAGACTCATGATGTCCTTCATGGTAAGCTTGGCCACAGCCTTGCCGCCTTCGATAGCTGCCTTGGCCAGCTCGCGCTTCTTCTCTTGAAGCTCTATGATACGTTCTTCGACTGTGTTGCCAACTGTAAGCTTGAACACACGCACGTCGACGGTTTGGTTCAGACGATGGACACGATCGATGGCTTGCTCCTCAACGAATGGATTCCAGAAAGGTTCGATCAAGACTACGCGCGAGGCGGCTGTCAAGTTGAGACCCAGAGAACCACATTTGAGAGAGCAAAGCAGTACGCGAGTCTTGGTGTCATCGCGAAGAGACTTGAGAGATGCCTCGCGAGCGTCATTACGCATACCACCATCATAGCGAACATAGCGGATTGCGGACTTCTGCAAATGTGGTTCGATCAGATCGAGCATGCTGGTGAACTGCGAAAAGACGATGGTTTTGTGTTCGGGAGTTTCGGCATGCAAGATTCGTAGCAAGCGGCGGATCTTGGTCGAGGCAGCTTCTACGCCGGTGGGCCCGGAATAGGAGATATCACCTTCACCCTCCTCAGATTCAGCATCGGACTCGGATTGAGAGCTGCCATCATCGGAACCAGAGTCGATTGAGCCCAAAGTCTCACCACCTCCTTCTGCGTCCTCATCATCAGTGCCACCAGCTCTTCCAAGAGGCGTGTGTTGTTGAGACGCGTCAACGAGCCACTCACCCTCTCCCTCGTCGTCCTCGTCATCACTGTCGACAATGATCTTGCGGTTTCTTCTGGGAGCAGCAACAGGTGCGGTCTTACGCTCAGCCTTGAGTTTATGCTTTTTCTCCTTCTTCAACTTCTTGCCGAGTTTCTTCGGTGTGGCCTTGGCGATGTCCTCACATTCATTGCAACGAACAGCGCCTGCTTTGACTTCTGCTGGAAGAAGTCTGACACTGCAGATATCGCAATCCTTAGTCTGGACACTTATGCCACCAAACATGTCGGCAAGGGCATCGATGTCATTGTCTTGACTGCCGGCAGCTGAGATCTTTCGCGGCGTCTGGCTAGGGGCGGGTTGTCCTGTAGATAGAGCGTCCTTGTCTTTGCCCATAGATCCAGAGACAAGCTTCGGATGATTACAGGCTTGACGCAGTCGTAAGAGCAAGACGAGAGCTCCAATGTAATCGGTCTTCTCACCTCCCATCATGTCATCCAGACGCTTCTGTGCTCTCTCCTGCAGCTGGTCATAGAAGTCACGTTCTTTCGGATCAAGCTCGCAGATGATAGTCTCGACCTTGCGCTCAACGATTTTCATGCCAGCGCTCTTCTTCTCCCCATCCTTCGACTTGCCACCGAAGCTGAGAGCGCCGTCCTCTTTCAAGATATCCTTGGTTCGGCGTTTCATGAAGCCCTTGAGGAAGTACTGAATGCGTTTGATGGCATAATTGCCCTTTCCGTTCTTCATCGGGATTGTGATTTGCTCCTTCCAAGTAGCAAGATTGTTGTATGGCTTGATCTGCAAGAAACAGATCAAACTCTGCAACTCGTCGAGGTTGTTTTGCATAGGTGTGCCGGTCAAACACCATCTGTACCAACTCCTTAAACCGTAAGTGGCTTGTGTTGACTTTGCGTTACGATTCTTGATTGAGTGTGCCTCATCGAGGATGACACGGTACCAGTGAATGCCGTAGCAGCCGACCTTTGCACCATCGGGGTGATCGGAGGTCCCGGCGAATTCTGAAGCGAGAATCTGATAGGTTGTGATGACCACATCGTACTTCTTCAGCTCTGTAGCGAACTTGGTTCTAGATGGGCCGTGGTGAACCAGTACACGTAGTGCGTGTGCCTTGTCGACCTTGGTCTTGATCTCGCTTTCCCATTGGCGAATGAGAGCAAGAGGAGCTACAACGAGCGTGCCTTTACCAACCTCCTTACCAGGCATCTTGCGTTTGGGGTTCTCCGGCGGTGGCTTTGCATCGAGCTCTGGACGAGGATTCAGGAGAATCAAGCTGACAGATTGCACAGTCTTTCCGAGACCCATGTCATCAGCTAGGATACCGCCTTTGGGTAGGACGCCGTTCTTCTTGCGCTCTCCGATCTCCTTGTCGATCATCCACGAGACACCTTCAACCTGGTGAGGGAGAAGCTTGATGGACAGACCTTCGACAGTGCCGTCCTCTTCATCCTCCTCATCGTCCTCCTTGTTATCGTTGTCCTCCTCTTTGGGCTCATCCTTGACAGCGTCCATGTCGAGCTTTCTAAGCTTCTCCTCGAGCGAAGAGATTTTCTTCTCCTCCTTCATCTTTTGCTGTGGCTTCTTGGCGACTCTCTTGCGCAGGCGCATCTTAGGCTTTTCGCCATCATCGTCAAAAGCACCTTCAAGAAGGGCTTTGATGTTGTGGCTTGTCTGGCTTGGGTCGACGTAGGCATGGGGATCAGCAGCGCCAAACCCATCTTCTCTTAGGGCGGCATCAGGATCGAAGGCGTCGTCATCGTCGTTGGTCAAGTCGATCGGTCTCGGCCTAGGAGCAGGTGCAGATACAGGGTTGTAGGGTCTGTATGCATTGCTAGGACCGACTGAAGCAGAGAAGACAGGCCTAGGTGCTGGAGGAATGTCTCTCGGCTTGGGGTTGGAGGGGACACGAATGGCGGTCGAGTTTGCGGCATTACCGTAAAGAGGATTGCCAAGTTGTGCAGGACGAGACTGGGGTGGTGGCTGAGGTCGCTGACCAGGGAGATAGAAGTTTCTAGCTTGAGCTCCGTCGACAGGGCCTGAGGGTTGGCGGAAGGCTGGCTGAGGAATGGAGCGGTGGTGCTCTGGGCGGCGTTGGTTGGAATTGAAGACGTTTGCGTACGGATCTCTCAGCGGGTTACGCAGAGGACTGGCCTTGCCGAACTCTGGCTGCGTCGAGAGTTTGGAGGCGGCTGTGTTGGGAGGTGGGGCTGCTGCTTGGGAGGGCAGTGTCTGCTGTGTTGTGCCGGTCTGAATAGGACGAGTCTGAGGAGGTAGAGCAGACTGAGCAGGACGCTCTGCCGATGGACGGCGTTCGCGCGCCATTGTGTTGTTTGTTGTTGTTGATGAAACGTAGTTGATGTCGAATTCTAAGCTGCCATCGGTGCTGTCGAAAAGAGAGCTTGTGTCGCCGATGATGCTATGACTGTCGAAATCTGGGCGCAGTGTATACTTGGAGGACAAATTGTTGACTGGTCGGAATGGAGTGCGTTTCTTGACTTGACTCTGACTTGTCGAGTCCATGTATGGCTTCAGACACAAGCTGGCCTAAAAAGCAAACACAGTAAACAAAGCCCGGCGATGACATGCGGGTCAGGGTCTTGAGAAAACGTCCATGCACCTGGCGCGATTAGAGCGCGACTCATCGCCTCGAGCGCGTAAATGACCTTCGCCATCAGACCATCCGACTGCTACCTGGCGGACACCACCTACTCGAGATCGGAAGCCAAAGTGCAACACCATCTGGCACCACTCATGATTGGCATATCGTCAATGTCTTCAGCCTCGAGCAATCGATCAAAGACACTCGATCAACCAGTCAACTCATCTATCTATCGTCAAAACTCCATCAGAAGGATCATATCCATCCACATGTGACGTGACAACCACAGTAGTCACTAGGCTTAGCAATTCACAGCAGTTGGTTTGAGAAGAGGAAATCAACGTATATTGACCCGACAGAATTCCTTAATCCAAGTATCATTCGTTTTTGACGACTTGCAGTATATACAGCTCTTCTGCTCACTTAGTAGTTGTGACCCTCGATGTACTAAAGCCTAAGCATGCCAGCATCATCATTCGTCCTTGAGAGAATCGCTACTTCCGGAGTATCCTATGAGAGTGGTGAGATCGGTCTCCGCGAGTCGCTCATCGGACTCAGCAGGGATCTCATTACCAGGCTAGAGATACCTAGTATGTTCTTGCAACCTCTTGGAAAAGCACCTACATCTATGTCGGAGCAGTCGCTAGGAGAGTACGTCGAAGAAGGTACGATCGGGCTCTGTCTCACAGCCTCAGGCATAAAGCGCTCCATGAGAACTCGCTCTTTCCACCTCGACGCCAAATGTCTTCTTCTTTGTTTAGAGACTCCCTGCCGACAACGTCTGCAAAATTTTGACTCGAACACGTGGTACGTATGAGTCGAGTGTGATCCCAGCCTACCGCAAATATTCGACTCATCAGAAGTCCAGTCACAGACCAGTACCGACCAGACAGTCGTGAGTAAGAATCAATAATTTCGAACATCCATATATTTGCTTCTCTGTTCATCGAAATTGCGTCTTCTAAGAACTACTCAAGTTTCAACACTTCGCCAAAAACATTCCACACTCATAGCCTTTCCCGGCCGCCACCATGGTGACCTACAACATGAGCACTGCGCCCGAAGCCAGCAGACGCGTCTGGAGCAGGCCCTCCGACTGCAGCACCGACTTGACAAACCAGTTCAAGCTGAACGAGCAGCTGCCCCCGCCAAATTACTATGCAGCCCCAAACCACTTCTCGACCCCCAACTACAACGCTGAAGCCAGCCCTGTCGCCGCAGCCGCTGAAGAAAGAAGATCCGGAACGTCAAGATATTCGCTACCCTCTTCTCTTCCCTCGAGCTTCGAGATGCAAGACCTTAGCGGCCCTTCCAACACTCAGCCAACTAATGAGCTACCTCCACCAGCCACACAAACAACCGAGCAAACCTCGCTACCTCAAAGGACCCAAAAGCTCATGAAAAGTGCTCCAATGTTCCCCATGCTCCTTGCCCTCGTCCCATGTTCACGAAAAACACATGGAACCACGCCATGTGGTCAAGATGGGGTTTTGATGAGGCCTTGACCACCAAGCAAGTCATCTTCACCACTATTCCGTCCAAGGTTATCTGGTCAAAAATGCTCGGAGGTCTCATATCGAATGTGTGGCTCTTGCAGGCGGTTTACTGGTATGCTACCAAAGCTGCTTCTGTGGAAAATGCCAGACATGAGCAGTTCAGGAAGTTGAAGCCTCTCTTCTTTGCAGTTGTTGTGTTTCTACAGGCGTGCTTGCTGTGGGGTTGGTTGTTGTGGTGTATTTGAGGGTATTTGAGGTTTGTCGTGAAGGTCGAGATCGGACCCAGTCTTTTTAGAGTCGAGTGAAGTGGGCTTGAGAATGTGACGATCTTGAGAGATCAAGTATCAGGGAGTGTTACTTCTGAGGTGAATCCAGAGATATGTCTCCAGATATGAAATGCAGAACGAAGTGTTGTTAATGAACACTCGATGTTGTCGATCTCGATTACTTTCCGATCACATTCGCTAGACACCCATAGTTAAACAGGATATTCACTTCTCTGTATAGGAAGCTCAAGCGACTGGGAGTGTCGTTGACGTTAGAACTTCTTCCATTCGCTTGTCGCTTTTCTCATCTCACGTTTATATCAGCGGCCGCACTCACATCGTACTTGCCTGCGGACAAGAGAACTATCTCTGGCATGCGCGCAAGGCTGTCGAGACGGTGGAGAAGGGTCGCGAATGGTTCGGTCTCGTTGACACGCCTGAACAGCGCACTGCATATGACACTCTGGTCAGAGAGGCTCATCACATTGCTCGTGTCGCCGAGGCTGATGAGGAGAAAATGGCTGAATTGGAAAAGGAGGGATATATGGCCTGGAATCCTTCCATGGGAGGCAACGCCGATGAGGTCGACTCATATTCTGGCAACAGACCTACTTTCGAAGGTAAGCACATACCAAACCGTCTTGATGCACAAGCTGACAGCTGTTGAGTAGAATCTGCTGAGGCCAGACTTGATACTGTCGACCACGGCAAGACCACTACTAATGAGGAGAAGGAAAGTGATAGTTCCTGCGAGTGAGCAGTCTGGGAATCGAGAGGAAGAAATGGATGGGCGCAGACTAGCAAAGTTGGGTGTCTACAGTTATCCAAACACAGATCAGGGTTTGAAAAAAAGGGAACAACGATCCATAGTGAAGAAATGCTGCAACGTTCTTCCATGCCATGTCCAAGAGAAACGTCGCCATAAGCAATCGAAATAAGGATGGAAATCATCCTTCTAGAGCCCACTAGGTCTCTTGGGCTTCAGGTAACCCAAATCGTCATCATCATAACGTTCGTAGTTGCTCTCGTCACTGCGACTGCGGCTTCTGTCCATACGCACTCGACCGAGATCGCCCATGACATCCTCAGGACTCTCGCTTCTACCGCCAGTGACGAGCCAGTCGTCATCTTCAGCTTCGTAGATGGGGAGACCTTCGTATTTCGGTTGCTTGCTCTTGCTGGCAGAGGGTGATGCTGCGTCGCCGGCAACCAGACCTAGTCTTTCTTCCTCGCTGGCATTGTTACGGCTAGCGGGACGGTGGTGAGAAGTGCTGCTCTTACGACTTGCGAAACTCAGGGCGCCACGGGAGAGAGGTCGGATGCTTCCGTCATCAGCATCTTCGTCGCCGTGTTTGTTGCGGTGAAAGACGTTTTGGAAACTGAAGGTGCGTTTTCCGCTCGAGTCTGGTCGTGCGTGTGGTGGTGGTTTCGGTGGCATGAGAGAGCTTCCTTGGCTCATGGCGCGTTCTCGTTCTCGCTCGTCGATACTAGTCGTCCAGTGGATTGCGCCGCCGCCTTTGTAGGAAGTGTCGGTGTCGAGATTGGGTGATCTGAGACCTGCTGGTAGCCCATAGACATGCTCACGTTCAGGTTCATCATCAGGCATTGTCGAGAAGGTCGATTGTGATTTGAGGGTGAGTGGCGGTTTCATGTCCATTAGAGAGTGTTCTCCAGACGGGTGGCGCGTCTTCTTCTTGCTTCGGCGGAAGCGTGGCAGGAATCCAGGATGCACATCATCGTCACTGTCGCTATCAGTGTGATGGTCACCTGGGAAGTGTGTTAATCCGAGAGGCGGATGTGATGTCTTGGTTTGCTGGATGGGTCGACCCTCGCCAGGTGCAGATACAGTCTTGCGGCGACGCAAGCCATCGAAGTATACTGTGTCGTCCTCTCCGATTGGATCCATATGTTCGCTAGCAATATTGCGAGCTTCATTGAGCTGCTTCATGGTACGCTTCCTGCTGAGCGCACGAACGATGGCGGCACCGCCACGAATAGTGTCGGCGCGTGGCTCGCTCTCTGGCTCCTCTTGTTCGGCGATGGTACGGACTTGGTCGAGATCGCCCTTGAACAAGGCTGTGTCAGGTACATCCTTTGAAGACTTGGCGAGCTGAAGTAATACAACACCAGAGCAGATTACAAGAAAGCCCATAATCACACTCACAATACCAACTGTGCTACCACCAAAGCCCCTAAACAAGATTGCAGATGTGACGATGGTTGCGGATGTAAAGTAAACGTAGTATGTTGGTGTGACGAGAGCTGCGTTGTAAATGTTGAGTGCTTTCTGAAGAGAATTAGCTTTGAAGATTACCAAATTTCGATGCCTCGCTTACGTTCAGATATATGATCTCGGTCAACAACGTACAAACGACAAAGACGAGTAGAACCCAAAGAAACCATTGCTTGAACTGATTAACGGGGGTAGTCTTGCCAATAGCGGCAACAATTGCAGCACCAAGACCTTGAGTCGCAACAACACTCAACCCACCTGTGAGACTGCAAATGGTGAGATAGACGAACATACTCTTGTTACCATACCGGGGTCCGGCCCATAAGGCAGTGAAGACGCAGCCAAGGATGATAACTCCGGCATATGTTAAGAAGCCAGGAGCGATGACGAAATGTTGCATTTGTTGAATGTTGGCAGCAGAAGATTGTTCGGGAGCATTTAAGGCGATTATGACAGCACCTATTACACACTGAAAGCAACCCACTTTCCCAACAAAGCTGAGGCGCTCTTTGAGGAAGATTGCGGATAGTATTGTGGTGATCACGACGCTGAGAGCTCCAAAAGGAGTGACCAGGATAGCATCAACCTATGGAGAAGTTAATTTAGCAGTTCTCATTGATTTATACCAAGAAGAGGAGTGATCTTACAAACGCATAGGCGCAGAAATTGCATAGTTCCCTGTCCTGATGTTAGTTCCTGGGGTCTCAGGATTGTATGGGACAAGTTGGGTAGACAATATCTCACCCAAGAATCATCAAGATCATTCCGGTCCACCACCATCCATTTTTCAAGTACCCATAGCCTTCACCAGCCGCCTCATTATACTTCTCGTTCGCTTTGAGCAGTCCATGCTTTTTTAAAACGAATGAAATTCCAATGAAGACCCCTGAGCACACGGCCAGGATAATACCGATTGCCTTGTACACCGGAGGTCTAGAGGCGTGGTTTTGATTGCTCTCGGTGCTTGTTCCATTGGTGGTGTTAGCACGAGCATACAAGTTGTTGGCCGTGAAGATAATATGGCCAGCTGAGTCCATCGTGGGTAGGAGCCCGATGGGCCACAAGTTGGATATGGCGATGCTAGAACGACTTATCTCTATCGCTGCTCACGAAGCATTAAGCGCTTAATGATTTGTAGGTAATGTCTGCCTTGTAGCGTCGATTTGTGGCTTCCTTTTAGATCCTTCTTTTTCTATGTGTATCCACCAGGGAGACACTCGCAGGTCGTGATCTGTACAGCGTTTTTGCTCGTTTGCGGTTGGTCTTCAACTCTTTTGTTGATAGTGTGCTGACAATGTGGGGATATTCGTTGCGGGCGGGAGTGTCTGGTCGTACGCGATTTAGGGGAATCTGTCGCGGATGTTGTTTACGAGAATGCGTCTCGGATAGGGCAAGTCGAATAAGATATGCCAGATGCGAATGATCGGTGGCACCTTGCGCGTAAGAGCGAAGAAGCTCGCGTGTACAATCAAATTGTTGATCTCCTTGTGTACTGCGCCACGGACGGCAGAACTCGAGAAGCGAGGCTGACAGAAGGTTTGGGATACGCGCGGTGCAGATATACAACATGTCAATATTGACCAAGATCGAAACTTCCCACAAGCAATATCTCACCTTCTGGATATCTACCCAATAATCTCAGCAAGCAGATATCCGGTTCTCATCTGTTCCTGATCATGGTTGAATCTGCTTCACACTGAGGTCTGCCCGGCCAACTGAGATGACTTCATCAGCCACAAAACACGTCAATAATCCACCTGCACAGGTGACCTTGCGACTTGTGAAATGATATACTTCAACATCTAACCAGTTGAACAAACTCGGACGTGATCTTAAGAAGACAGCATAGGAGACATAAGAGTACATCAAGGTCAAGAGCATCATTCAACCTTCATGAGTTGGTTGGCTTCAGGACGGTGCCTTGGACTAGGACAATAATTCACCTCTCAGTGCTTGCTTCTGCCTCTCAGATATCTTGCGATAATATGGCAAACGGAAGTTAGATCATCAGCCCGAAGCCTAAGAGATTTGACACGGAGAGTAGATGTTAGGACGACTCTTTGTAGCCGTTGCTCTGTCTGTGGGGAGTACGATGGCACGACCTTAGCACATATAAAGAAAAGACGAGCCGAGAAGCAGTCAGCATCGCTTGACACATTTATACAGATCTGGCGAACCATGCACTATGAGAAGATCAGTTTGGGAATCAATATTTCCTTGCATACTGCTTGATCTACCGTGCTCGGATCGTACACCCTCCATGTTCCTTGTACCTGATGATCGAAACTTCACATGTTCGGAGTTGCCGTGAGTTACTTACACTCACCACAGGTCCCTTAGAGCGGTCTGTCCACTTTCATAGATATCAGATTCCCACATGTTAGAACACAACAACGATGTTCAGCCGTATATCTAAGCTGAACCGCTGGAGGACGTTAAGGAGTCTGTCAGTCAGCTCGTGTTGCCGACAAAAATGCTGACGGGTTGACAACCCCTTGTCGTGTGCGCTAAGGTTCGGGAGCTGAGAACAAGTTCCCACCTAAGGCTGACGTCTGTCCAATGAAAAGCCTGGAATTCTGAAACATGCGGATGCGTCAATTGTCGAAGCACCCAAAATTGGGATTAGCCTTCTCGTAACCCGAAAGAAGTCAACGGGAAGACGCTGACATGGCGTATGTTGAGGGTGGGATGCACGATCAACGACGAACACGATGCGTGGGAAGAGGGTCGTAGCTGCTGTCTGTCAGAAGAGATTCGTCAGCTCCATAAACACTCTCCTGTTTCTCTTTTCCCACAGCTCGATTACTTGCTTTCTCATGTTGATTGCTCGTTCTCGATCATTTCTCTAGTGGTTTGAGAGATTGTGACAGAGCTCTGTTGCAAGCCAAGATATACCAAGCCTGTCAGCGATTCAGTACCCGACGGTATGGCTTCATCATCCGCGGGAGTCTTCAATGCTTCCAAACTGGCCATCATCTTTGCTCTGCTGTGTTCGCTTTATCTATTCCGCGACATCTGGCTTCCATCCACACCTACCACGTTGGTTCAAGGCACACCCACAACTACGACTGTCGCTGCATCGTCTCCAACAGCTGAGATTGAATTGATCTCCAACCACACCGTGGTGGTACCACAGGATGTCAACTGCCTCAATGCTCCGGGCTCTGACCGTGTCATGATTGTGCTCAAGACTGGTGCATCAGAAATCTACGAGAAACTGCCAACCCACCTTATCACTCTTTTCAGATGCACTCAGCACTATCTCATCTTTTCGGACCTACCTCAGACATACTCCGACTATCAGATCCATGATGCTTTGGAGACTGTCAGTGACAAGTACAAGAACGATCACGAAGACTTCGAACAGTACCGGAAACTGCAAAAGTATCATCGCGAGGGTCAGAATGTCGCAAAGCTGAAGGGTAGCAAGGGTTGGAGTCTCGACAAGTGGAAGTTCCTGCCCATGATCCATGAATCATATCGCTTGGCCTCCCCGGATGTCGACTGGTTCGTGTACATCGAAGCTGACACTAGTATGAGCTGGGTCAATCTTCTGCAGTTTCTTGGACGATTGGATTCAAAGAAGCCTCTGTACCTCGGTGCGCAGAATGTCGTGGGTGGTACTACTTTCGCACATGGTGGTTCAGGCTTCATCATATCGCGCGGTGCGGCAAAGAAGATTGAGGCTCGCAGGAAAAAGATGGGTGTCAAGGCATACGACGACCGATGGGAGCTATCGACAAGCTTGTCTTGCTGTGGAGACGAAGTTGTCGCTCGTGCACTGGCCGAAGTTGACGTTGATCTGACACCTTCCTGGCCTCGTCTTCAGGGAGAGACGGTTGATACACTGGACTGGACAGAAAGACACTGGTGTACTCCTGCAATTACCTGGCACCACGTCACCCCTTCGCAGGTGGACGGTATGTGGCGTTTCCAGAACAAGTGGGTGAAGGAGAACGTGAGTCTATCCAAAATCGCGGTGAGCTGAACCTTTGTACTAATATAAAGACAGGGATGGTCGAAGCCTTATCTTTACCGCGATGTCTATGATGGCTTTGTTGCTCGCCACGTCTCTGTAAACCGTACCAGCTGGAACAACATCTCCAAGGACAGAGAATTCAAGTTGCCTGACAAGGGCTCCAGCGACAAATCTAAGGAAGCTTGGGAAAGGCTCTCCGAAGTCGAGAAGAATTCAGTACAGAGTTTCGATGGGTGCGCTGAAGCTTGTCGCGCATGGAATGATTGCCTGCAATGGATGCACGAAGACGGTGTCTGCAAATTGGGCAAAGACGTCAGGCTAGGAGAGACTGACGAGAGGTACGACAAGACATGGTCAAGCGGATGGCTACAAGACCGCATCCAAGGAATGCGGGACGACCTAGCCGACTGCAAAATCAACTGGGACAACTAAGCATACCTGTGCTTGGTCGCTTTTCTTCTCTCCTCTTGTTATCTTACACAACATCTTCAACACCAGGTCAAGGACCATGTACCAAGTGCTGGGAAAATGGCTTCTTCTAGGATTTTTGAGGGTCGGACTCTCCTTACTGGGTGGCAGTTTGGGCGCAAGGGGCTTCGACTGCGTTGGCGCACACTCATTCTGTCTATATCTTCATTGGAGGAAGAGTAACGAGGATTGACGAAGTACATGACCATATTGTTCATCATACAAAAAGCAGAAACTACATAGACACGACATTTTTTCATACAGCATCTTGCAAATACATAACTTCTTCACTACGCAGAGGAAATAGTGACATGAAATGGCTTGTCCGCCAACAATTTGAAGGGGGTATATGAGACAGGGGGAAATGATCCAAAGGGAGCGGGCAAAAAAGGCGAAACCACCCTCCCAACCTACACCAAAAACAACCATCATCCAGGGGTCGTACGTCAAACAATTCAACAACCAAAAGCAGGACGCCTCATGTGTGAAACCCAAAGCATCAGACATCGTACTCGTATCATTCCTTAGGAACAGCTTCACTGCTCACACTGCGGTTATTGGCGCCAAACCAACCCATCCAGCTCGATCTCTTTGCTTTCCTAGCTGCATCTTCCTCCTCTTTGGCTTCTTGAACGAGACGCAGGGGTCGCATGCCAGCTCCACGCATGATTGCACCTGTAGGCTTTTCGGAGCTTGAGGCTGTGCTGCGGGGTGGACTGACTGTGCTCATGTTGTCAGGGAGGCCTGATTCACTGTATACACTGTTGCGAGCCGAGTCTCGGGGTGCGTTGCCGGGAAGGGCTGGTGGAGGCATGCTTTGTCGTCTATCTTCTGGTGGGGGCATTGAGCCGCTGGAGGGAACACGGGCTGCTGCTGCGGGAGCGACGGGCAGCACGGGGCTAAAGAGAGAAGAGCCACGAGGAGGAACAAGACTGGGGCTTGTAGGGCCGGAGCCGGGGGATGGGCCGCGGTACATGTTATTGACTAGTGTTGCTGGGTTTCCAAATTCTGAGCCTGAGCGGCGGTGGGAGGCTGGGGCGCCGCCGAGAGACATGCGGTTGGATTGGGTACGGGTGAGGGGTATGCGAGGAGCGGTGTTCGGGTCTTCGTTCAGTGTGGGCTGAGGCTCTGAGTGAGTTTCAATGGGCTTTGGACGGCCGCCGCGGACGACTGATGTGGCACGCTTGAGTAGCGAGGGCTGTTCGTCCTTCTCTGGTGGTGGAGGCTTGGGCAGGGCTTTTGAGTCGTCCGCTCCAGACATGAGGTTGGGTGTCTTGTCGAGGATGTTCTCAAACTCCTTGTGCTGCAGTAAGCGAGAAATGATGTTGTTGATGTACAGAGTCAAGGCCTTGTTCTGGTCTCTCATAGAGTTCAGATCGGCTTGCAGACGTCTGTTGTCGGCTGTACCGTCGTCGCTTGCGTTCTCCAACTCGTCTGCGAGAGTCGCGGCTCCAGCCATTGCCGAGGGTGAAGAAGGACGAGAGCTAGTACTCCTGATTGAAGGAGGACGCAACAAGCCACTGTGAGAAAAGTCTCCATTCAGCGTTTTTTCGCTCAGGAGAAGCTGGAAACTCTCGTTGTCCTCCATCAACCTGGCATTGGCCACTCTCGTCTCCATGAGAGTCTTTTCCAACTCTTGCATGCGACCACCTCCCATGTTTTCCATCTCGACTAGTTTAATTTGTGACTCGGCCAATTCCAGACGTAGTGATTCGATAATCTTATCTTTCTGTAGCACCAGACGGGAGGAACTGCGAGAGGAGTCGCTGCGCTGGAGAGAGGACGGAGGCGCGAATTGGCCGCCTTCTTGGTTCGGCGAGGCATTGGTCCGATAGCTCGCTGTGAGGTGAGTTGGTACAGTGGCATCGAGGGGTCAGGGGGATGTGACAACATACAAGCTCTGGAAATACTTTGCCGCCTCTCGTCTTCACCGCGCATCTCTTTCTGAGCCATCGTCTCCTTCAGTCTCTGGATCGTGTCACGAAGTTCCTCTTCGCGAACTTGCAACTCTTCCTTTTCCTTCATGGATTGCGCGCGCTCGGCTTCGTAGATGGCCTCGAACTCCCTGCGCTGACGAATGCTCTCCTTCTTCTCATTCTCCAGCTCTTCCAGTCGTTCTGTTTGCTCGTGCATCGAGTCTTCTGTACTGCTGTGCTCCTTGTTTGCATCGTCAAGACGAGCTTGCATGACAGCATTTTGTCTTTGTGCCTCCTCTGCAGCCAATTCAGCCTTTTGCAGGCGTTCGCGGAGATCGTCAATAGCGGCCGCAGCCTCTGCCTTTGCGTCGGCCATGGCAGATTTGGTAGTCTGCGAGGTCGATGTGGAAGTTGCAGGCTTCTTGACAGCAGCGCGGGCGGATGGCGGGGCTCCACCGACTGGCGTACGGACGGACTTAGCGCGAGAAGGGGTTGCACTAGAACTAGGGGTCGTTGTCACTGTCGAACGAGAAGGGCTGCGTGAAGGTGTAGTCTTGGGGGGATTCATCGAAGGACGACGAGGAGGAGCCCCAGGCTGGGTAGAAGTAGCAGCAGCAGCAGCAGAAGGGGGCTGCTTGGAGGGCGTCGACATGGTGAGGACTAAGTAAGCTGAGCGCCGAGCTTACTTGAGCCTAGATTCCAGAGTATCACAGGTACAGGTACAGACTTGTTTGGTGGGGCGCTGGGTGGGATGGATGATGTGTGAGAGGTCAAAGGACGTTTGAACAACAGAACAGGCAAGACACAACAAAAAGGCCAACAGCTGTCAAAGCGACAGAGCGTAATGAGATTAAACAGGGTCGTGGTGGAGTTTCCGCTACCATGTTTATTTGATGAGCGACCGACACCGCCTTGCCTCGTCCACCGCTTCCTGCGACATGGTGCAACATCGAGAGCCACTCTATCACTGATACGAGTATTTCCAATGAGATGCTTGACTGTTCCGTATAGCAACAAGAAACCAACAATTGCCATGTGTTGGCGGATCATGCGTGCCATCGCATTCCAACAACAATCCAAACGTTCGAGGGGGCTAGGGTCCTGATCGGCGAACCTGCACCCGAACGCGCTCTAGTGTCTCGAAGCGACGCACGGCTATCTTGGCACTCACGAAAATTCGCACGACAGTCCATCCTGCGCTTTTCTCTCCCCACCCAGCGATCTATACAACAAGGACCGGAGCGCCGTATTTTCCAACCACACGACAATCATCAAAAACCGACGCAGCGATGGCCCCTAACAAGAAGACCAAGACCTCTGACTCCATCAACTCGCGCCTTGCGCTTGTTATGAAGTCGGGTAAGGTTACCCTCGGCGTAAGTCCCCTTCGACGAGACTTGTTATACCAATTCTCGCAATCTCCTCCGAAGAGCTCTACTGACCTCCTTTGAAGTACAAGTCGACCCTCAAGGTCATCCGCTCCGGCAAGGCCAAGCTTATCGTATGTCAACTCGTCCCTCGACCGAGCGCTCAGCACCGAGAATCTATTCGTCGCTCGTCCAAGTTCTTCTACACGCATAGTCCGACAAGACGACGAAGCAAACTTGACGACTTGGACAAGTGACGGAATAGAAGAGGCCATGATCCGAGTATAATGTCCTTTCGTCGCACTACAGAAAATCTCGGAGTCGATCAGGAGGCCTTCCGCAATCATCTCTGTATGGAGGACGTTCTTCCGATTGCACGATTTACTAAGTCCGCGACGAAATGTCTTTTCCTTCCTTGGAGACGGCATAAAGACATTGTACTTGGATCAGACTCTTTTTCAAAGACTTGCGACTCGGCACAGATCCAATTCAGAGCTAGACTAATTGCTTCTGCGCAGATCATCGCTGGTAACACTCCTCCTCTCCGCAAGAGTGAGCTCGAGTACTACGCCATGCTCGGCAAGACCGCTGTCCACCACTTCAACGGCAACAAGTAAGTCAAAAACATTCGCTCTGAGAAAAAGCCTGGGGGTGTGTCTGGTCGTTCTGCTAGTCGATTCAACATCAAGCTGGCTCGCCAACTGTTGAACCAATCTCGTCTTCAGTTGAAGATGCGAGGCAGAACAATCAGACATACCTTCCAATCAGGGCTTTGGAGAGCAGAACACTGGCTAACAGCTTTTTCCTCACAGCATTGAGCTCGGTACCGCCGCCGGTAAGCTCTTCCGTTGCTCCACCATGGCCATCATCGATGCCGGTGACTCCGACATCCTTACTGCCTCCGTCGCATAAGCGTAGAGAGCATGTCTCGATGGAAAAGTGATAGAGGAATGTCAATTTGATACCCAACAAAAGTTTCTCTTCATACACCCCGTTTCTCATTCGTGCTTTCTTTGTGATTCATGCTTTCTGCGGTTTTTGTGTCGATATGTACTCGACTCTCGTGTTGCATATATGGGTAAAGGGGAGAATATATGCTTACATGGTAAGTGAACGTTTGCATCTTGGTTCTTTGTCGTGTCTGCTTACGACATGTTTGCACAGTCAACCAGGCTCATACCATATTCAATGCTCAACCATAACTTGGAAAATGATTGGGCAGGCTTACATGCCCACACCTGATTGCTGGATTTCAAAGATTGCTGATACTGGAAACGCTTGAACAGCCTCTGGACGCCGTTTGTTACATGTCCCCTCATCAGACACGATGACGACGACTTATAGCATCAAAGACACAAGTGGACAGTCATAACTCCTCTAGAAATTGCACACAACGAACGTGGCTCTAGTAAAGCGTATATACCGAGAGCGTTGCCATGTTGATGCAATCACTCGGCATGCGACGATTTGAGCAGAAGTCGAAGATTCAGGAGCACGGTCAGGAAGGTACGACCTAGTGTTTGTTGATGATCTGTGTTTCCAAAGGTGTTCTCCATGACAGGTCTGCTCTGGCGTCTCGTCACTTTGCAGTGATTCAGGGAAACTAAGTGGCACTCAATATCATAAGGGTTGCCAGGCCCACCTGATGCAGGAGAGTTCGCACCTGTCCGTCGTCACTTTTGGGGCTTGCCGACTTTCACCGCGAGCCTGATCTCGACGACCTTCTGTGAAAACCGGCCACTTCGTCGACGCACAGCGCGGCGCAATTTCTCAATCCTAAAAATCACGACTCAACATGAATCACTCAAGCTCCAAGCGGGTACGCTTCGTCACAGACGACGACCCCGCCGCCAATCGCGCTCCCCCTCGTCGTATAATTCGTGGTTACAGAGACGATGACTTCGACCGTTACAGACGCGAACCTCTTGACTATGATGAGTTTGAGTTCAGATCGCCACATATCGACCGCCGCCAGAGATACGACTCCGAAGACGGCTATAACCTCATCGTCCATGGTTCAGACCCCAACGGAAGAAGCAAGAGGAAGATTGACGCACCTTATACGCGGGAGGAGCTCCTTGAAGGTCTTGAGGCTCTTGATCGAGCCCACAGAGACAAGGAACTAGAGATTCAGAGACTTACACAGAACAGAAAGCGAGCCGCCGACACACATGGAAGCCGCCAACCTTCGGCCAAGAAGCCACGCATTTCCAAGGGCAGTCGTAGTGACAGACTCTGTCTGGATTGTGGTAATTACCACAGTACTCCCTGCTTCATCCCCCGTTGCAGTCGTTGCGACACAAACCACCATCGCAACGTGCCATGTCTTGAAGCTATGGAGCGATTGAGAGATCGTATCATGCGGTATGCACCGCCAGAGTATTCGCACTCCTCTGAACCGAAGTTCTGTAAGACGATTTCACCATCACCAGTCTTGCACGCCCACAAAAAGGTGCACATGCCACCATCTTCGCTGGACATAGACAACCAGAAGGCGGATCACTTGCAGAAGTCTTTCTCGACCTTGCGCACGCCTACAACATTGCTCATATGTACTCCCCAGTCTCCACAGAAGAGGAAAAGCAGCCCCGCCAACAGGACCTGTCCTCTTTGTCGTGAATGCGGCAGCTTTCACAGATCGCCTTGCAAGTGGCTGGCTTGCGAAAAATGTTCTTTCAAGCATCACCCCGAAGTTTCTTGTGCAATGGCTGAAGCTCGACTGGAGAGACGTCTGGAAGAAGAAGACGCAAAGCAATCTCAGACAACCGTGGACGAAGAGATCAAACAGCGTGAGCAACGCATGATTGACATCAACAACCAAATGGCCTCTTCGACTCTTCCTCTCAGACGCTCCTCCGCTCCCAGCCCTGGCCACGAGTCCGGTCCTGACACCGAGTCAAAGGCTATCAGACTCAAGAAGAACACAAGATTCTGTAGAGATTGTGGTCGCTATCTGAACAAGCCATGCACTTGGCCTACCTGCAGAAGATGCAAGCGAAAGCATTTCAACCACATCTCTTGCTCACAAGCACGCCGCGAACTGCAGAGTCGTCTTGCTACGTTTGATCGTGGCTACGGTGTCTCCCTACAGAAAAGAGCCGTGTCTCCTCAGCAGGCGGAGCACGTCATCGACAACAACCGAGTTCATCCGTTTGCGCATGTGAACACCAAGGCCACGCCCAATTTCAACTTTGAACGGAACGGAACGCTTTCGTGGCCTCTCGAGTCAAGCAATATCTCCTATTACGGGCCTCCTCCTCCAGATGCCAGTGCCTACCCGGTTACGCCATCGGCTCAAGAACAGCAGGATTGCCAGCAGTACAACATCCCGGCCCGCAACTCTCATCACGCTCTTTCAACCTACACAATCAATACGGCAGAGTCTGGTCTACAACCTTCGACAAAGGACGCTCTGGAAAGAGGTTTGCCTCTTCCACCCGGTGTACATGTTGCTTCGCCCAGCGTAGCTATCCCAAGCTTATCCATCGCGCAAAGCGTCGAGGCTTTGATCGCCGAGTCTGCTCAGGCTATACATGGCGGTAATGCCAACGCCTCTGAACCTGACCGCGACACCCTTACACCTGTCGATGGCGCCCAGAGTCCACCTTCGTACTTGGAGTACCTTCGTCGCAACGGCGCAGAGTAGAGCCTGTGTCTTAAGCGTTTCTTTCGAAGAGCATGAGGTGGGACTTGGACAGTCGAGAGTCTTTCTTGAACTACGTTTTGCGTCGGCGAGGAGCTTACAGTCTTATGGTCAGTATAGCATTGAGGATGAAGTGGAAAATGAAGGATCATGCACAATTCAAGGAGAGTAGTATCCGGTTTGACATGGACATTCATCTTTTGGTTCGTCCCATCAAGCCTAAACGACAAGAGCTACGACATATGGAATCGGTTCGCTCTACGAACAGAATCGGGTACATAGAGTTAGCTTAGCATGACAATCATACACCTCTTGCTCTTAACATGATATTTCAAACAAGGAAAAAAATGTTGATCGAGAATGCTGGTTCCCTTCGAGTATTTGCTAAGGAGCAAATCTCGCGCTGGAGAAACCACCTCCCCTTGTTCCGCTCTTACGAACAAGAATCATCGGTGATTTCTCAAGGACGATGAGGGACCATCGGAAAGTCCCCATCGACCTTAGGATGTGTTTTGGTCTCGAAACGACTTCTGTCGCTCGAGAAAAAGGGGGTCGACTGCTTGAGCAGGGTCACCCTGTCAAAAACTCATCTTTCGAATGTCATTTCTAACGTATATCAACTGCACAGTAGACGAATTGCGCAACAATTCGTTACCAGACTTTTGGTCTACCTTTGCGGCTTGGTGCAGTTAGCGCAATAACATGAATCAAGACCCGATCACTTCGCCTGGTTTTGCGGCGAAGTGGTCGGGTCTTTGGCACCAGATGAACTGGTGCCCAATTGGAAGAACAGCATCTACTGTGAGCAGCTAACGATCTGTCTTCCATATCCTCGCATTCTGGAAGTTCAAATCTTTGGCTTCTGCCGGGGAGAGGTTCTCAGATGGTGTTGGATCTCTGCTCCTCCAGCTTGTGAAAGCTGGATGGCAGATAAGAGACATGTCACTTCTTCTGAAGGTTCATGATCTCGATAAACTGGTCCTTACGAGGAAGTCGTAGGTGTTGCCACTTTCACGACTGACTTCGAGACGAGCCGGCTTTGGGATTAGGGCAGCATCTACAAGACCGAAATCTTGGACGACAGACCCCTGTGCTGCATCGACAAAGCTTGCGCTTCGAACGACAGTACCTTTCAGCGCAGACTTAGTCTTGCACCGAACTCTGTAGCGCGCACTCAGGTTGCCCTTTGTGTGCGCGCACAGTTCATCAACAAAGCGCAGGTCTTCTGACTTTTGCTCCATTGCACGCGCAGGCATGAACTTTGTGTCCGGCGCCTGGCGAGAATGTATGGTGCGCGAAGGTTCTGTCGAACCTCGTTAAGCACCCTCCTTCTCCTCCAAGCCTTCGGTAGCGGAGGGGAGAGAGAAGAGGTCGAGATGAGTGCGCTCATCCCGTTCTTACATGATGCAAACAAGGCGCGTGTGTTTGTGCCATGTTTGGATGAGATGAGGAAAGGACAGCTTGGAGGTGCAGGTGGGATATTCATACCTCAGATAGTGACTGCACACCGATAAGTAGTAAGAGGACACAGGCCATGTTATCACATCCAGTTCGAGGCAGCTTCACTGCCTTCACTTGCTTCAGAATAATGGACTATGCTGGAAGCACTCGCTGTGTACAAGATGTCTGCTAGAACGCATTTACTGGCCTGAAGACCGAATACAACAGTTTAGAGGACAGCAAATTTCATAACACTATACCTACAATACTATATTTCCCAGAGAAAACAAATACCACTATGGCCACTCTAGGTGGCAATCAGACCGAGAGTGTTGTTGCCTTGAGAATGCTGTGACTGGTTGCAGAGTGATTACGGAAGCAGTGAAGACACCAGTGAGAGCGGTGTCCCATTTGAGGCGACATCGAGAGGCAAGTTGATTTCAAAGCAGCATCACGAGGTCGTCGAAGGAACAAAGAGCGTTGCAGTCATCACTGGATTGCTGATAAAGCGCGTCATTGGTCAGATTTGGGGATGGCGTCGTCGGATTGATAATCGACGCTTGGACCCTTTTTTGCCGAGCCCCGACACTCCCACAGAGGTGAGAATTCAAGGAAGTCGCGCCGTTCTCCTTCCTCTCCGTACACCCAGCGACACCACAAATACCGCAAAAATGGCTCGCCGTCCCGCTCGTTGGTGAGTACAGAACTGCTCAGACTGTCGGATCGACTCTCCTGGCCTCGAAATGCGCGTTTTGAAGATTTGGACAATATCGCGAATTTCGACGGTCGAGGGAGCCCATACCAGGTCGATACTCCATCACGACGACTCTTTGCTAACAGCATCATAGCTACCGCTACTGCAAGTAAGAATACCCCGTTCATTCGATTCGTTTTACGCTTTGGAACCTCTACCGAAAACACATCTCGAAATATTGCACACGCATACCTTGAAATACATCAGATTCGCACAACTTCGCCACCACAATCACCACCTACATCGCGCGACTCTTGCTGGTCACTACCAACAAACGGACATGCACTAATTACTTCTCGCCATCAGGAACAAGCCCTACCCTAAGTCGCGCTTCAACCGCGGTGTCCCCGACGTATGTTTCACTCTATCATCATAACTTGTATACCATGTACTGACGAATTTCAAAGCCTAAGATCAGTGCGTCCTGCTCTGTCTGCCCGAACCGTGGATGTCAATACTGACCTTAAAAAGGAATCTTCGATCTTGGCCGCAAGCGCGCTGGTGTCGATGAGTTCCCTCTCTGTGTCCACCTCGTTTCCAACGAGTACGAGCAGTTGAGTTCCGAGGCTCTTGAGGCTGCCCGTATTTGCGCCAACAAGTACATGGTCAAGTCTGGTGGTGGCAAGGACTCCTTCCATCTCCGTGTCCGTGCCCACCCTTACCACGTCGTCCGTATCAACAAGATGTTGTCTTGTGCCGGTGCCGATAGACTGCAAACTGGTATGCGTGGTGCTTGGGGTAAGCCCAACGGTACCGTCGCCCGTGTCAACATTGGCCAGATTCTTCTGTCCCTCCGTTGCAAGGACTCTTGTAAGTCGATCTGCAGAATTATTCCTCATAGACAGTCGCTAACAACAATCTTCAGCGCGTGCCCACGCCATTGAGGCCCTCCGCCGCTCTCAGTACAAGTTCCCCGGTCGCCAGAAGATCGTCATCTCCAAGAACTGGGGCTTCACTCCCCTCCGCCGTGAGGAGTACGTCGCCAAGCGCCAGGCTGGTGCCGTCCGTGTCGATGGTGCCTACGTCCAGTTCCTCCGTAACAAGGGTCCCCTCGAGTACAACATGCGCCGTTTCCCCGACGCTTTCTCCGCTTAAGCGAAGTTACCGATACCCTGTTCGACTTGAACGCGAAGGACTGATGGGCTTTGGTGCATTCCGGCGTGTCGAGGCTTTCTAAAATTACCATACCATTCGTCAATGAGACATGCTGAAAGACCACTTTATCTCCACTCGTGATGTTCTTCCCTATTCTGTAAACTCTTGAAACATGTAATCGAAAACGTCCAGACCGCTGATTGTGCGAGATGCTCAGACTGCCCAAGTAATGAATTTGTTGCCTTCGGTGATGTGCTATAATGCAAAGCTGCCCGCATTTCTTACCTCCTGATTGTCCCACCATGACTTGATGCTGCTACAACCTCGCCCCGTCGCCCTGTCGCTCAGACAGGCCTGTTTATACAATGCTTGCCGACCACGGCTGAGCCGATTTGTAGGAGCGCAGCCCCGCTATCAATGTTTCTCGAAGTCCGCATATCGCCTTGACGTCGCAAAGGCCGCCGACGCTGCTGTACCACTACGAAAGCAGTTGAAAGAGGAGGCAAAGCAACGCAAAAAGTCTGCCAAAGCAGCTGCAAACTCGGCGCATGGGAACAAACGACTCAATCCACTACTGGAGAAGTGGGAGTTGACAGTCGGTATCGAGGTGCATGCCGAATTGAATACCGCCCACAAGCTCTTCTCGACTGCTCGCACCTCTGTCAATGCAGAGCCAAATGAACATGTTGCTCGTTTCGATGCTGCTCTACCGGGAGCTCAGCCAGCGTTCCAGAAGGCTACGCTCATTCCAGCTTTGCGTGCTGCTCTGGCCATGAATTGCGACATACAACCTCGTAGTAGCTTCGATCGCAAGCACTACTTCTACCAGGATCAGCCCAATGGTTATCAAATCACCCAATACTATGGTGTGTTGCGCTGACCTTAAGCTATGCGACGTTCCACTGACTTGAGCAGAACCATTCGCTCGAAACGGATCCCTGATTTTGACCCTGGAGGATGGTATCGACCCAAATGACATCGCCGAGCCCAAAGGAAGTGCACAAAACACAAGTCTTACAATCGGTATCAAGCAAATACAGATGGAACAAGATACAGCCAAGACAGCTCTACAACCTCCCTCGACCTACCTTCTGGACTTCAATCGTGTCTCGCATCCTCTGATCGAAATCATCACCCTACCACAGATCCATTCACCAGCCACCGCTGCTGCCACTGTTCGCAAAATCCAATCGCTGCTCAAATCAGTCGACTCATGTGTTGCTGGTATGGAGATGGGTGGTCTAAGAGCCGATGTCAATGTCAGTGTCAGACAACGAGGATCTACTGGCGACAATGAGTACTCTGGTGTCACTGGCCTGGGCACAAGAACTGAGATCAAGAATTTGAGTTCCTTCAAGGCTGTCGAAGATGCTGTCACCGCTGAGCGAGATCGTCAAATAAAGGTTCTCGAGGCTGGCGGCGTGATCGAGGGTGAGACCAGGGGTTGGACGATCGGAAGCACAGAGACGACTCGTCTCAGAAGCAAAGAAGGAGAAGTCGACTACCGATATATGCCGGATCCTGACCTACCTCCGGTTTTGATCTCAATTGATCTCATCAATCACCTTCGGGAGACTCTGCCAGAATTGCCAGAGTCGACAATATCAAGGACACTTGACGATTTCGGCCTCTCGACGAAGGACGCGAAGACTCTGTTTTCCTTGGACGATGGCGAGAGACTGGAGTACTGTGCCGAGACGATAGACTTGGTCCAGCAGCAGCTTCCAGCCCAGGACGCCAAGATCGGCAAACTAGTTGCCAACTGGGTGTTGCATGAGATCGGTGGTCTACTCGCTTCAGATGGGCGTGAGTGGCCGGACCTTACTATCACCACGGAGGAGCTTGCATCTCTCCTGGCAAACCTTCTGTCGAAACAAATCACTGCTCGTGTTGGCAAGCAGATCCTGCAGCAGCTCTACGAAGAGGACGCCGGAGACAGGATGTCTGTTGATGCTCGGATTGACGAAGGAAACCTTCGTCTCCGTCCAATTAGCAGAGATGAATACGTCGAGCTTGCCCAATCTATCATGGACGAGAATCCTGAGATGGTCAGCGCCGTTCGAGACAAGGGACAAAAGGGCAAGACTATGTGGTTCGTCGGTCAGATGGTCAGAAGAGCAGAAGAGGGTACAGTGGAAGCAGAAAAAGCAAAGGAGATTATCGAGGAGCTTCTGTTTCCATGAGGTAGACACTATGTAATGTAAGCCCTGTATCTTCCCACACGCTGCAAGGGTATCTTTATGCAAATCAAATCCAACGCCAACGTCTATAGTGTGTTCAATACAAGGGGTCGTAAGGCATCTGTGATTGCTTCGAGGCAACCCCGTCCTTCAGGTACAGTATCATTCGATATGCACTATTGCCGTTCAGATAGTAGCGATGCAGACGCTTAGTCCTCAGGAAGCCGAGTCGTTCGTAGAGTTTGAGAGATGGGATGTTATCGATCTCAGTCTCCAGTGCGATCTGTTACAGTCAGTGCTTGAGATCGTAAATGGAAAATGGGTGACGCCAACCTCGTCCGCGTCTTTGGCTATCATTCCATCCATGGCCATTCGGACCAATTTTGAGGCAATACCTCTGCCTCTATGTTCCTTCTTGACTGCTAGCATAGCAATGTATCCACGCATTGGGCCATCTCTGTGAGGTTCCAATTTGCAAACGACAACGCCTATGAGTTCCCCAGACGAATCGACCGTCTAGTCACATATCAGCATTTTGTCCCGAGCTTCAAGTAGTACAAGAGACTTTTTACTAACCATATAACAGAGATCTGCCCATTGATAGAGAAAGTATCGGTAGACATAAATACTGTAGGGTTCTGAAAGATCCTTTGAGATCAACTCGCGGATCGCTGTAAGATATTGTGCTTCCTTGTCTGGATCATATTGGATGTAGTGCAGATCTGGGAGTGGTGACTTCCCAGTCCCATCTACTGAAGTTGTCATTTCTGATACCAGAATGTCGAGGGGAATGGTCGCCAGATGTTGTCCAGATTCAATCTATTGACTGAGGCTCTTTAGGTCAGGGAAAGTGCAGCGCCAGGCACATGAAAGACGCTCGGACCAATGACGAATGTGGCAGTTGGATTCACAAGAAAGCACGAGGGAAACAGCAAGAGCATCGTGTGTTTCTTGCTGATCCCTGCAGCCCTTCAAGTCCAAGGCCGACTTTTGATTACGAACAGTGCCTTGACTCCGCTATGTCAGGCCTACGGAGACGCATCTTCGGCACGTCGTCTGCAGAAACTCCTTCCCTAACACCTGAGAACTCGAGAGAAGGCACCCCGACATCCGAAGAAGTCCGCGTCGTATCGGCGAAGAAACTACAGGCCCTCACAGATTCGCACAAGAAGAAGGGCGCAAAGAGACGGAATGCTTGGGTCTTTGGATTAGGAGGTCTGTTTGGCATTATTGTCGCTGGCTTCTTTGCTTCTAGCAATGATGTCTTTGACATGCAGGCTTTGAAGGACATGAACCTCGACTCAATCATAGACGTACTACCCAGTGCATTTATCAAGGATGCTCACGACCTTCAGGTGGGTTTCTTCAGCGAGCGTGTAATCCCATACACCTTCCTTCTTGTTTCTCCGCTTGCTGCGATTCGTCATTCAATCGAGATCATGTAGCTTACATCTTGCGCCTGTGTAGAGAAAAGAACGAGACGCCATTGCATATGATTCCTTCTCCGTTGGCCTGCATGCGCAATCGCAAGGTATCACAGCAAAACACCCCGTCATCATGATACCCGGCGTAATTTCCACAGGACTCGAGAGTTGGGGCACCGAGGAAGCATCGCGACAGTATTTCAGAAAGAGGTTATGGGGCAGTTGGAGCATGATGCGCGCACTCGTGCTGGACAAGGCTAGTTGGAAGAGACATATCATGTTGGACAAGGACACCGGCCTGGACCCTCCTGGTATCAAGCTCAGAGCTGCTCAAGGCTTCGACGCGACCGACTTCTTCATCACCGGATACTGGATTTGGAACAAGATTTTGGAGAACCTTGCGACAATCGGCTATGACCCTACCAACGCTTTTACCGCTGCATACGATTGGAGAATGAGCTACATGAATTATGAAGTCCGCGATCAATACTTTACCCGTTTGAAGCATCATATTGAGACGGCGGTCAAGATATCTGACAAGAAGGTCGTCCTGCTCAGTCACAGTATGGGCTCCCAGGTCCTGTACTACTTCTTCCACTGGGTCGAAACCCAAGGCTACGGCAATGGCGGCGAGACCTGGGTAGATGATCACGTTGACTCATGGATCAACATTTCCGGATGCATGCTCGGTACACCAAAGGGCTTGCCTGCAGTGCTGTCTGGTGAGATGAAGGATACGGCACAACTCAACGCGTTTGCTGTCTACGGTCTCGACAAGTTCTTGAGCCGTACTGAGAGAGCCGAGATGTTCCGCGCCATGCCTGGTATCTCCAGTATGCTTCCCATCGGAGGTGACGCCATCTGGGGCGATGAGTTCAGTGCTCCTGACGACCGTCCGGATCAGAACGTTACCTACGGCAAATTCTTGAGCTTCCGCCATCTGAACTCGACCCAGCTACCCAAGAAGAACTTGACCGTCGAGGAGTCTCGCGCTTATCTATTCAACAACACCGAGGACTGGTACTCAGATGCTGTACTAAGCTCATACTCCTTTGGTATCGCGCACACTCGCAAAGAGGTCGAGGCCAATCAGAAGATCCCCCGTAAATGGTCCAACCCATTGGAAACGCGTCTTCCCAAAGCACCGAACATGAAGATCTACTGTTTCTACGGCATTGGCAAGGAAACCGAGCGCGCATACTACTACCGTGAGGATAACGAAGCTGGAAGCAAGAACGATGTCATGATCGATACGGCAGCCTCATTCTTAAACCCTGACGTGGATCACGTTGCTGACCGTGGTGTGGTCATGGGCGAAGGTGATGGTACTGTAAACCTGCTCAGTACAGGATATATGTGCAACAAGGGCTGGAGAATGAGGAGGTACAATCCTTCCGGCATCAAAATCACAACCTACGAGATGCCTCACGAGCCTGACCGCTTCTCACCTCGCGGTGGTCCCAACACTGGTAAGTCCTCAGTAACCATTGCTCCAAAGACAAGACACTAACACAACAAAACAGGTGACCACGTAGACATCCTCGGCCGCGCCTCCCTCAACGACCTAATCCTCAGAATCGCCGGCGGCAAAGGCGACGAGATTGAAGAAACCATCCACAGTAACATTACTCAATATGCCGAAAAAGTCAAAATCTATGATGACTAAAGCATGAATCATTTTCTCGGGAAGTTGGCAATGGGACTATTAATGTATAGATTTCTTTTTCAATTGGATAGATAGGGATGGTGGGCGAGCGATGGATTAATGAACTACTTCATTCCTAGGCAAAATGCACTTTGCACATCCTATACCGTACTGGAGAGGCGGCACATTAGGGTACGGCTCGGTCTATGAACACTCTAGTAAATGCACCCTGTTACGATTCAAAGCCAATCAAACTCCAGTACGACCTCGCACAATGCGCGCTCGCTTGCCTGCACAGCTCGATTCCGAGAATGTCCTGTGAGTGGGGACAGCCAAAGAAGATTACAGCGTCCATGACCGGTCATGCTAATGTTTGGATCTTCCTTACGAGCATTGGGTAGTTGTAGATCATGCGGCCTTGACGCAGGCTACTCATCTGTGTTGTGGGGTGCATGGAGAAACCGGCGAATCTAGAGTATTGTAGTCGCTAGTGTCGAGAGCTCTGAATGAACAGTATTGACGGTCTGGAAGTATTGTGCCTCCCTGCAGCTTAGGTTCAGGGGTGTGGAGATATTGAGAGAGATGGGGGAAGGGAGCTCTTGCAAGCTAGACTTTGCTGTTGTGAAAAGTGTCGTGTCTCTTTACAATCTGTATTCGTGATGGATGTTGGTCCTGAGACGCAATACATGGATGTTTGTAGTTGTGCAGTGACCTGTGATACCCGTCGCCATGCACTGCTGCTCGTTAGGGATAATTCTTCGACGAGATGTCCCGGCATATCACGAAGGATATCGGTGTCAAACCCGCAATCGGCAACCCGAGTTTCCTGCTTCCATACTTGCTGGTTATCAACTCCAGGTACGTTGAGAGTGCGCGACGAGGTACGGCAGAAATCAAGGACTTACAGCAAACAGGATAGACGAAGCAGTTCACGATGAACAACAGGGTCCCTCACCACACCATCGAGCAGCATGCTCCTCAGGAGCACAACGCAGTAGCTGGCGCTCAGCAGATCAACCATCGCCACGGCACCCCTGGCCACTACAACCACCAGGTCAAGGACGCACCAAACCGTCGTCATCTCCCTCCCGCCCCGTGTGTTTGCTTATCTGATCCTGTATCAACGCACAAGGCTAACCTTGGATACTAGGTTCTCCCTCGAAAAGCAGGTCATCGTCATCTGCAAGAACCCCAACGGCCAGGTCAATCGCGAACGGCGCTTTGAGCGTCAGGACATCACCAGCAGCTCCGGCCGCATCGACCACCTCTGTCGCCGTCGTTCAGGATCCGCTACCGACATCATCTACGTGTATGTGGAGCGCCTACACAACTTCTTCGCCCACTACGAGCGCTGGGTCCGCGACTCCAAGCTCCCAGACCTCCAGGTCACGCTTGCCGACCAGCGCGACGTGATGGTGCTTTGGATCAGCATGTACGAGCTCGCTCGCGAGATGGACGACTGGCGCTTGGTTGCCGCGATCAATGTCAAGATTCTCGCTATCGCCAAGATGGGTACGTGGAGCTTCTACAAGCGCAGTGTCAATGACTACTTGAAGAGAGCTCCTCATAACGACGAGCTTCGTTGCCTGCTTCTTGACTTGCATGTCGCTCGCTTCCAGATTCATCTGTTCAAGCGTTACTTCTGGATGCTGAGTCCTCGTTTGAGCTTTGCTATCATTCGTCGCAAGATGTTGCCTCATCCTCCCACCATGGGCGAGATAGGCGTGAGTTGTGCTTACCATCAGCACGATCATCTGTACCCTCTGACAGAGTGCAACGCTCGTATTCGCTGAGCGCGTCCGTCTGGGAGGTAAAGCTAGCATGAGTATGCACAGAAAGCTGCCTCGGGCTAGGTGCAAGGAGCATGCTCGAGCCTGGCAGGACGGTCTCATCGACAGGGAAAACAGTCGTTACATACCTAGATTGCTGCAAAACAATAACACAATCGCTTTTTTCCCTTTCTGAATACCCACTAGATTATGGTGACTTGAAATTCAAAAGCGACATGGCTGTGATGCTCAGTGTATTGATTTGGGTCTTCCCAGCACCGGGCAGCGGGCTCCAGTCCTGACAAGCTTGTTTGGAGTTGTAGTATGCAGGTTGAACGCACTGCGTCAAAGCAGAAGTTGCCGATGTTCTGTTCACTAGTCGCGAGCAATGCCGTCTCCGATGCTCGGTGAGCAGCCAAATGTGGCTCGTGAGGTGTATGGAACAAATTCGAGATCAGATCTCATTCACCGATAGCGTGCTTTTCATGAGCTTCCGACGACGGAAACAAGAGGTTTGGAAGGTCAAGCATTTCATGGAAGTGATCGGCGATACTTAGTCTCAAACACTTGGTTTGCAAGTCCAAGTACGGAAACTCCAGGACTGAGCTCTACGGTTCTGGAAATATGGTCGGCGATAGGAATTCTGTTTTCATATGACAGCTCGTGTGTTAGACGTGTTCTTGCATTGTGCCAGCGCAAGCTTCAAATGGCTGGAAACAGCGGGTGACGTTCGGGGGTCTGGAGCAAAGACGGCTGATAACGATAAGTCAGCATGAGCGTGATTGGCTATAGATGCGCGGCATCTGCCGTTTCAGTGATGAAAGTCTCGGGTCCGAGATCGCCGGTCACCGAGGATCAGATTAGCGTCATAAAGTGGTCGCCTCTCTTTCAGCTTTGTTCGAATCATCGCTTCCCCTCCAAGAAACGTCAACGACCCTACGACACCTGCCAACCACCATACCAAATATCCAAACAATCAAATCAATCACGATGTTCAGAAGAGTCGCCTCCAATGTTCCCGCCCAGGCCAGCAGAGCCATGGCTGCCGCTGTCAGACCTTCGATCGCTCCCTCATTCCGCGCCGCTGCTCCCGCCATCTCTGCCGTTCAGGGAAGAAGAAACTACCACGAGAAAGATATGTCTACCCATCATCCATGGCGTGCTCTGCGTCTTTGACAAATGAATGGCCATCGACGCATTGGCTGTCATGGATGTGCTCGTCTTCGAACGCTCCGCTAACATGCGCAGCACTGCTCGACCACTACAGCAAGCCTAGAAACGTCGGTAGCATGCAGAAGGGCGACACCGATGTCGGTACCGGTCTTGTCGGCGCCCCCGCTTGTGGCGATGTTATGAAGCTTCAGATCCGTGTCGACCCCAACGACAACACCATCAGCGAGGTCAAGTTCAAGACCTTCGGTTGTGGTTCCGCCATCGCCAGCAGCAGTTATTTGACCGAGCTCGTCAAGGGCATGACTCTTGAGCAGGCTGGTCGCATTAAGAATACCGAGATTGCAAAGGAGCTCTGCCTGCCCCCTGTCAAGCGTCAGTTGGCCCGCCCATCCGCGGAGATTCCGAGTCGGACAAAACGCGTACTGACTACATTATAACAGTCCACTGCTCCATGCTTGCTGAGGATGCTATCAAGTCCGCCATCTCAAACTACTACACCAAGAACCCCAACGCAAGAAAGACCGACCTCGGCGGTACCTCAGCACCTCTTCCCAAGGTCGAGGTTGAGACCGTCTCCGCCACCGCTTAAACGCCTCGTCTTTCTGCATTCTTGATGTTTCCCTCATGTCATTAGCGAGTTTATTCACAACTTCATTTCCTTTCTCTTTCACAATCTTTGGAGTGGCCAGGAACGGCCTTTAGGGTTTTAACGGACTGGCTTTTTCTTACCCCACGCTCACACTGCTATCTTCAATGAAAAATCAGGAGCAAGGTCGGTATGCTCCACAGCTCCTATCACGAACGCAACAATCCCCATGTATTTTATCTTCGCAAAAGAAGAGCCAAATTGGAACAACTTTACAAAGCTACACCTGAACGATGACTTGTTAAGTGACATAGATGTTGATTGGTAGATGCTTCCCAGATCAAGTTGCAGATGTCGAAAAACATCTTGCATCCTGACAGCGCCTTCTTTCTGCTACAATCAATTTCTAGAGTGACCACAGCACAAAGACTCGCAATCACATGTGACTAGCCCAACCACTCAAACTCCCACTCCAGCACCACCATTCTATCTTCTCATCAATCATCACCGTCCCCTGCCCTGGGACAAGAGTGGTCCCAATGCGCAATTCATTTGATGTGTGCAGCTGGTCGAACATGTTGATGCCGTGTCTACCGCGCGGTACAGGCACCCGACGACGCACCACCGGTACCGAACGTGCGAGGCAGATGGGTGCTTTCCCGAGATACGTGGTCCAGTCGTTTTAAGTCCCCTGCATCGAGGCACCATGGTGGGTGCGGGGTGTGGGCGGGAACAAGAGGAAGGGCTGGAACAAGATGAGGTCAAATTGTTCGAGTTTGTTACTGACTCGATTGTCGTCTTTGGTTGTGAACAGATGAGCAAAGATAACCATACCCACTACTACATGATCACGTTCTTTGAGCGTCCCTCCCACGGCTGCTCTCCCATGACTTGTGGGTGCCCTCTTGTGTCTCACAAGCCCTTTGAGATCATCGTACAGGGCGGCAACGGTGGTTATTACCGTGTTCTCAGAAATCTGAATCTCTTATGTGGTTGGCCAAGAAAGGTGGATACTGAGCAGTATCAGAGCAGTCTGTCAGGAGCTGACGATGTGATGGGAGCTCGTTGGTTCTGGTTCATCCGCACTTGATTACTTGAATAGCGTATCCGGGAGAACAGTTTCTTACTCACATCATGATGAGGTACAGCTACAATGGTTGTCAAAATGCAAAGCATATTGTATGTCTGGGATTATGCCATCCGAGGATGTGGAGCGGATTCAAAAGGAAGATAGAAAAGGGATGTGGCATGACGTGAACTCATCTCAGTGTATATGGGTATCTATGTGATCTATGTAAATGCTTATACTTCGGCGTAGACATCAGTTCTTCTGTGAAGAGGTACACCCTCCCTGATGGTCTTCAACTGATCGTGGTCAATCTCTGCAGTGGCGAGTTCAGGCTCCCATGAGTCGCCCTTCTTGTTGAAGTCTTCCTCGCTACCCAACTCTGCAAGAATTCTGCCCCAAGGATCGACGATGAGGGAGTGTCCATAACTTGATCTCTTTTCGTTGTGAGGGCCGACTTGAGCAGGTGCCACGACGAATGACTGTGACTCGATGGCACGAGCCTGGAGCAGTGCGTGCCAGTGGAACTTTCCAGTGTCGGGGGCGAAAGCTGAGGGGTAGCAGAGGACGTCGCATCCTTGACGCTTCAATGAGAGAGCAAGCTCAGGGAAACGCAGGTCGAAACAGATGGCCGAGCCGATCTTGCCGACAGGCGAGTCGAAAGGCTTCAAGACAGCGTTTCCGGGCTCGACAGTATCGCTCTCCTTCATCTGAGGACCGTCCTCCAACTCCATGTCAAACATGTGTAGTTTCTGGTAGCGTTGTGTGATCTCGCCCTTCTCGTCAATCCAGATCAGGGTGTTCTTGATCTTCTTGGGTGCCTCTGAAGGCTCGTGAATGCCAACATTGATGCACAGGCTGTTCTTCTTTGCCTCCTCTTGCAGACCCAGGACGAAAGGTGAGTCCTTGACGGACTTGCAAAGGTTGTAGGACTCATCAGGCGAAGAACCAAGGTAGTCGGCGGCCTCGGGGAGGAAGAGGACCTTTGCGTTCTCGGCGACGGCCTTCTTTACAAGCTTCTTGCACTGCTCAAGATTGTGCGTCAAGTCGTTTGTCGAGCATATCTGTCCAATTGCCTATGACATAATCAGCACTCTGGCCAGAGGACGTGGTGAGGAAAGTAACCTACTGCCTTGACCATGTTTGCGGTAATGTTTACTGTTTGGGAAAGGTTATCTTGATTAAACACTTTGGAGAAGGATGCGGAGAGTAGAAAATGAGGCTCAAAATGGGAGAAGGGAGAATGTATTTGTAGTCAAAGATATGCAGGGCTTGCAAAGATCAGATCGATCGGCATCAGGAACGCATTTACTCGAAGCTATAGGGATGCAATGGTCATCGGTTACCCTTTGGGGAAAGCGCAATCGAGAAAGTAATAATTGGAGATGGAAAGAACCCCGTTCCTGCTACGTCACCAATTGCCAAGGCTCACCCCCGAGCCCGCGCCGCGTGTACCGTGTACCGTGTACCGCGATGGTTATACTCGGTGTTTCGAAACATCAATGTTTCCGTGACAGGTGCACAGCAATAGTGCGCCGACATGGCATCGCAGCCACCGAACAAAGCAAAGGGTTCACGATGGGGCTCACTACTCTCGGGAGCCGTAGCTGGACTGGAGTCGCGACTGGACACAATCCTAGCTGAGGACAACGAAGCGTCTGCCCGCAGCAGAGCTCAGGACAAAGCAATTTCTCAAGAGAAGCCGTCGGCCGAAAAGCCTGCTGCTCTTGCCGTTCCCAGAACCTCCTCGGACGCTTCTCGTAGCCCGTCACGCTCTCGTTTGAACGATCGACTGCAAGAAAGACTCGCCAAGGCAGTCGCTAACCAGAATGCCTCTCGCTCTCCGACTCCCTTGAATCAACCTTCTAGTCCGAGATCAAGCCTTGGCTCGAGGCAGTCGACAGATGTACCACGAGCTCTTTCGGAAACGAAACATGACCCTGCGTCAACCCCAAGTGCTGATGTTCCTGTCCTTGACGTTCCCACCCCAGTTGAGGACAGCTCCATTGAGGCTGTCGCTGAGCCACCAGTCCTTGATACTCCACCTCATGTCATAGTCACCGAGGCCTCCTCGACCCTCCTGACCTCTGGGCTCCCGATCAATCCTGCTCGCATCTCCAATGACAGCCAGACCAGGCCTTCGGTTGACCTCGATCGCGAGTCTATTGCCGAGGAGACTGTATCCGAACCTACAGAATCTACACAAGAACGAGAATCAGAACCAGAACCAGAACCAGAACTAGAACCAGAACCCGAAGAGATAGTCTCCAAGGGCACTTCTGAGCTGCAAGCTGAGCTTGCCCGGTTGCGCCATGAAAATGCCGAGGCTGAAAAACAACGGCATGAAGAAATGCTGGCCAACCTCGAACGCATCGATGCACTTCAAGCCAAACTCCAATACCTCGCAAAAGAAACGGTTGCTGCTGCGAAAGAGGCCAACTCGACTTCTCAGGCAACCCCTCACGAACGCAAACTTGCAGAAAAGGATGAGCGTATCGCTCTTCTGATGCAAGAAGGTGAGAAACTGAGCAAGGTAGAGATGCGCCAAGGTGCTGCCATCAAGAAGATGCGCGCAAAGGCTCAACACGACGAAAAGGCTATGGCTGAGCTTCGAAATCGTGTGACCAAACTCGAGGAGTCCGAGACAGAGCTCAGGCAAAGACTCAAACGAGCAGAACTGGCTGAAAGGCAGAGCGTCGAACGTCTGAAACGATTCTCTGGTCTTGAGAAAGACCTTGAAAAACGCAAATCGGAACTCGCTAGTAGTACTGCCACGATTACCAGTCTGCGAAATCAGCTGGTCGAAGCTGAGAAGAGAGCTGAAGAGGCCGAATCTAAAGCGAAAGAGGTTGTCGTTCAAGCAGACTCAAATAAGCTGTCCGCTCTCCAGGAAGAGCTCGAAGATGCAAAGCTGGAAAGGAAGCTAGCGGACGACAAGTGGAGCGCAGAGGTCAAGCGAGTGACCGAAGAAGCTCGTCAGCAGAGACAACAGGCAAGCTTCCGCGAATCAGAACTCACAAGTGAAATTTCAGTAAGTCCATGTGTTGACAAAACTCGGTGTGTATATGGTGCTCATGTACAATATAGAACTTTGAAAGCCGTCTGGAAGCACTTCGCGTTCGTGCCGAAGAGGCATCTTCAGATGTAGGAGGTGACTCGCAAGCCAAGCTGCTCCGTCAGATCGAGACATTGCAGACTCAATACTCCCTGGCAGCTGAGAACTGGCGCACGATTGAGACCTCGTTGAACGGGCGCATCGCAGCAATCGAGAAAGAACGAGATGAAGCTACAAAGCGTGAAGCCGATGTACGCAAGAAAGCTCGGGACATCAGCAATAAAGCGAAACGTGCGGAAGACCAGATTGAGGAATTGACAGAAGAGTCACAACTCGCGACTTCTCAACTCCAGGCCAGCAAAGCAGAGATGAAAAAGCTGCAAGCACGGTTGGAAACCGCAGAAGCATCACTTAACGAAGCAAAGGCAGACTTCGATCGTCAGAAACAATCCTTTGAGAACGAATTGACCCAGAAGCTGGAAGAGGAAAGAACGAGGCAGCTATCTCAGGGCTTAGGGATTGCCAGTCCCAGCAACGGAACTATGGCTTCACGAACACAATCTCCAACCAGCTATTTCAGGAAACAACCCTCACAAGACCCTTACGGCTCTGTCCAGTCACGACGAGGGTTACAAAGAATACCATCACAAGAGCAAACGACGACGTTATCGATAGATCGATCCGTATCACGACGACCTTCAGCCCTGACACCAGGACTGAACACCTCACGCATACCAATGACGCCAGATTACCCCTCACCAAGTGTCAGCAGACAAGGGTCCATGTTCTCCCTCGCTCAACTCATCAACAGCGGAAATGGAGGTCCTCAAACCCCGTCCATCCACACAAACGATGTAGACGCCGACGATGGTTATGAGGATCGCTCAAGCCCTCAACGCACAATCAACGATGTCATCAGTGCATCTACCGTCCACACAGGACCCAGTGTCCAACTAGTCCAACACATGTCCTCCAAGATCCAACGCCTCGAAGCCGAAAAATCCGCTCACAAAGACGAACTCTCGCGCTTGATAACACAACGCGATGAGGCAAGAGATGAAATCGTGAGCATGATGCGCGAAGTCGAGAATAAACGCAGTACAGACGGCAAGACTGATCAACTTGAGAGTGAGCTTGGACAAGTCAAGCAGAGGTATGAAGCTTGTCTTGAGATGCTGGGGGAAAAGGAAGAGGAAGTGGAGGAGTTGAAGAGTGACCTTGTGGAGGTCAAGAAGATGTATCGGGAGCTTGTCGATAGAAACATGAAGTGAGAGTGTGAGAAAGTAGAGGATGGATAATGTAACCATTAGATGCATCAGTGTCATTTGCATGTCAAGAGTCTGCTGAGCCTGCCTTTTTGCTCCCTCCTGCCATCCCGTCAAAACACCCGCTTCGATGCTACTGTCTCGTCCAGGAAGTGCTCTGTCTAGAGAGTAATCCCTTCCTCCTCAGCAGCCCTGGTGATATAACTCCTCACTTTAGCATCAGGCGCGAGTTCCAAAGCCAACTTGCCAGTATTATCTCTCTTATCCATTTCCGCCCCAGCCTTCAACAGCACAATAGCAGTATCCCCATGTCCCTCCGCGATAGCATGATGCAACGCCGTACATCCATCCACATCACTCCCGTTGACCGGACTCCTTGCCCCCAACAACAACTTCACCATCGGCACGTTACCCACCGCAGCAGCTCTGTGGAGAGGGAGTTGTCCTCTTTTGTCTTTTACGCGCGCAGAGGCTTTGTGGGCGAGAAGTGTCTTTGCAATGTCGAGGTTTTGTTTACTAGCTGCAAAGTGGAGGGCTGTGGCGCCTGTTGTTGTGGTGAGGGAGGGGTCGGCGGATTTTGAGAGGAGGAGGGTTGTGAGTTGGTCGCCGCCTTCTTTTAGAGAGGAGGCTATCATGAGGGGTGTCCAGCCTGCTCCATCCTATTTTGCTCATGTGTCAGAATACTGAGGGTCTGAGTGGGAGTTGGTGGGGAGGAGTGACGGACCTGGACATCGGGGTCAAAGTCTTTGCGCTCTGAGAGGAGTTCGACGATGGGGAGGCGGTTGTAGGATGTTGCCCAGTGGATGGGAAGTCTTTCATCTTCATCGCGAAGGTTTGCGAGCTTTGGATTTGCCTATGTGCGGACAAGGTGTCAGGATCATGTTTGACTGGTAATGGCAGTGTTTGATGGAGCAATAGATACATTTAGTAGTGATTCGGCGAGGTTGACTGTTGTGTATGCGTTAGTGGGGTACTCTTGCTGTGATGCGACAATAGGAATGAGGACTCACTTTGACCGTCGCGACAGGCGGCGTGAATCGCAAACTTATTCGTCTGTCCTGCATCGCTTGCCATTTTCGTGTTTGATAGATAGAAAGTTGAAACTTGGTGACGCTTTCTGAACAACCCTCGTGTCAAAGTGCGGGGTGTCAATGTGGGGAAGTTGTGAAGCTTGTGAAAGTGGGCACAAAGTCACGCGAGAGATGCTTTGAAGTAAGGCACCCAAGAGACGATCACTTCACCCGAGGAGTATCTACCTGGTCTCTATCAAGGTCCTTCTTGGACACAGAGGTTAGAGCTGAAAACACATAACCACGATCGTCTGCAACCGACCTACACCCGATCCCTGTTTGCCTGCATCAACCTGGAAACCCATTTTGCACATATCGGCTCCAGATGTTCAAGGACCTCGCAGACCCCTTTGAGACTGTAAAATGGAGATTGGCACAGGACGTCAACAGTGCCATCCAAACAAGACATGTCCGACAACTTGACACTCTGGTGGAGTTCTGCGAGTCTCTTGACGGTTCTCTTGAAACGTCCTTCGCTGTCTTTGTCCCATTCGCCTTCCATGGGGCACATGTTTGCTTCGAGAAAGTCGAGGATGACCTCATTTATGGCGTCGGTGAGCGATAGCACCTGATACTCGTTGGCAATGAGTAGAGTATCGACCCAGAATTCGAGCTGCTGGTCTTCCGTACGGTGGAGGTCACATGCGTTCTCGTCATACTCCAGGCCATAAATATGCTTGATAATGTCGCGGACAACATCATTTCAATAGCCTGTGATTTTGTACTCGGCTTGGGTGGCGACCTGCATAACCTCGACCATCAGCACATCTCTCATACAGGTGGTTTCAAGATCCTGGGCATACCGCAAAATTGCTCTTGAAGGCTGTGTGAAACACTTCGGAGGCACCGGCGAGGACAAGCTTGTGAGCGCAGAGCTTTTCATCGCCAAAGCAGAGGGTCACATCGGATCTACTTTTACTGGCGTAAAAGTCCTTGAAGTGGGGATATGGATGAGGTGCAGACATCTTGTGAGGTTGGAGCTGAGATTTTGGAGAAGTTGAGACCAAGCTGCACATATAGGGAGAACGCAGACCATGCTGCCCTTCACCCGCTCGGTCGATCAGAGAGGTTGTAAGTACTTCGCAGTTTTGGTTAAGCCTGTGTTTGTCCCTGGGTATCTGTTCATGACTTCGTAATCTTGCGGGGGCCTGGTAATTAGGTTTATGCCTTGTCCCATGTCTCTTTGCCTGCACGCCATTTTTGGTGTTTGACGTTTAGGTGTTTGCTTGAGTCTTCATCCTTTCTTCGCCGCCTTTGCAAACATCTCTCCAACTCTACCAGTGCCTTTAAAGGCCAATCTGACCGCTTCAAACCTTTGTTCAGGCGCTCTCTTCCCGTTTCCCACACTTTCCATGACCCATTCAGCTGTGACAAACTTTACATTCTTTCCACCGATCTTGGCTATCTCTTTCTGCATCTTCGAGGCCGAGAGACCGCCACCAGCACCTGGGATGGTAGAAGCGTTTGGTCGACCCAGGATGACGTGGGTGACTGAGCGTCGGCCGAGATGGATGCTAAGACGTGCGCCGTGGCTGACGAGGAGATGCTTTAACTTGTGGTCGGAGATGGTCGGGAAAGTGCTGCCATTGATGTAGATGCAGGTGCCCACGAAGATCTGGGGGGCTTTCGGTATGGGTAGTGTTTCCGTATCCTGGTCTTGTTTCGTCTCTTCTGCGTGCTCAAGCGAACTCGATTGCTCTTGCAAAAGCTTGGTCTCGTAGCTCGATGATTGCTCCTGAGATGAGTCTTTCCGCACAGGCTGAGCACTCGGTATGTCCAGAAGATCCAGCACTTGCTCCTCCACCTCTCTGGGTGCCAGCTTTGCCTTCTTCTTCTCGATCGGGGCGTCTTTGACTCCAACCTTTTTGACCCGAAAGGCTTCTACCACACTGATCTGACCTCTATTTCTCAAACCAGATGCGCCTTTAGCCCAGTCTCCATTCTCTAGCCTGCCATCTTTTCCAAAGTCTTCACTGCCTGCGCCAACAGTATCTGCGACTCGAGCACCGCCAGAAGCCCCACCTCCAAACTGGTTGCTGAGTTTCAGGCTGCGCGACTCGCGCCAGCTTATACTTCCGGCAAGGCTGTTGTCCGCTCTTCGGTGACCCGTCGAAGATGAGTTCCAGGGATCGAAGAAGCGTCGTTTCGGCTTTGCGCTGGTTGGAGGCGGAAGTTGGTGTGGATTTGACATGATTGCAGTGCTCTGCCGTGCGATTCTTGTCGCCTAGATCGGCAGTGGATACAAGTTATGATAGCATCTGCTGACTCTTGTTGATGCGACAATCGAACTCCTCATGGTACAAATAATTGACTTGTTTTGGTCAAAGTCATTGTTCTTTCCTTTGGATGACGCGACGAAGGACCGCCAAGTCACGTTTCTCATTTCGCTTGCACCTGCCGTGCTTGCCTTACTTGCGCACTTCCGATAAGATCGTAAACACGAAATGCAACTGACTATTCGTTCGCTGCACCGAGTGTGAGCCGACTATGCTATTTATAGATCGCGGCTCCTACTCCTTGCTTTGCGATGCCTCCTGATCCAACTGCTCCAAGCGTGCTACAACCCTCTTCAAGGGAAGAGCTGCTCCTCTGCTGACCACACTTAGTCCATCGCGAGTCTCCACTTTCGTACCATCTTCGCTGTTCTTGAGTATCGTGTGTGCTGCACTGATTGCTTTGGGTAGTAGCTTCGCACCATCGACATCAGTATACAGCCAGCGTAGCACGTTTTCAAATCCTTCCAGACCTGCCGTTTCTCCTCGTCCCAAGCGACTGACTGGTGAGATCAAAAAGGCTCTCGCGCGGAGATACGTACGTTCTGTGTAAGCCACACTGTTTTGGTTGATAGCTGAGAGTCCTTGGAGCGGTTCAAATCCTGCTTCGTTATAGTATGGCTCTCTAACCAATACGAGGCCTAATATGCTGACCAGGACCTGTAGAACAGTGCTTTGGTGAGGCGTCCAGGACTCATTTCGCGCTTCATCGCCTTGCCATGTGCCAAGTAGACTGAGGCAAATCTTTCCTTCCTCGTATAGGTTTGGATTTACTCGGCCTGACATACCTGCTCCTTCGGCCGTCCAGCTGTGGAAAAAGGCCTTCGGGGGCTCGTATGGGTACTGTGATGGTAGATGTAGGTCAATCATGAAGGGAGCGTACTCGTATGGCGTTCCGAGTGGTCCAACAAACAGGACTCTGATCAGATCCATTCTGGACTCCCATGTTCGGACAAAGACGCCTTCCGGGAGGGCACCGGGCGCACTCAAGATCTTGTGCTCCTTTGACACACCCTTCATGTGGTTCGCAGACGTAGGACCAGTTTGGAGCAGGTAGTGATGGCCCGAAGGAACCTCGGTCTCGAGGATCTCATAAGCTACCGGCGCATTTGGTAGCGATGACAAACGGATCTCTTCAACAGGCGCATTAGCCATAGCCTGATCTCTGACACCATGACTGGCATTCTGTGCTGTGTGGGATAATTGAGCAGCGGGTGCTGCAGGCGGCACGGGCTCCGTAGCGGTCGTGTCGTCTTGCGTGGACATTGCATCTGAAAAGTCGTCGCCCTCGTCCTCTGTGCTCCACGAACCGTCCTCCTCATCGATTGGGATATCTTGCCCTTCTTCAAACCAGACATCCTCGTCTAGCTCTGATAAGTCATCCATATCGTAGTCCATGTCCTCACTTCCTTCGCTTAGGAACTCCCCGGTCCCATTGGCGTCTTCGGTAAATGGATTCTCGTCCGTATCCAGATTCATGGCAGGTACTGTGTCTGTGATATCACACTCGACTTCTTGTACTGGCTCGGCCGCTCCTAATCTGATCGTACATTTGCCATTCTTCCCTAAATCGACGATTTCGCCAAACCAGTTGACGCCATGAGGTGCAGTTTGTGCAAGATGTGGTATCCTGAGCAGCAACACATAATCTCCTCTATTACGATTGATACTCTTTGGTGCTCGGATGTCGTAGAAGCTGACTTCTTCTGGTTGCTCGTCCCCTACGCTGCCGACTTTGGTGCCTGGGACTAACAGAGTCAAACTTTTGTCGCAAAAGGAGAGGGTGGGTTCTTTGAACCACGTAACATGAGCGATCCTGTCTTTGACATTCACAGACTCGGCAATACCAACTCGTGTTGGAGTGATTGCCCACGAGGTCATTGCTTCGGGTGGAGGGTCTCGCGTCTCGTTGGTGCAGACGACCTCGCCAGCAAATACCGCGTCTTCGTCGTCGATTGAAGGATCTGGGATGATCGAAGTCGTTCGTACAGTTTCGATGGTATTGTCGCTCCAGAGTACGTCAGCTTCTGTAGTGGTGCTGGTGATGGTGAAGACATTCAGATCGTAGCCCAGACTCTGTGTGCGATCGAGCTTTTCCAGCTTGCCATGTGTAGTAGACCCATCATACTTGACACACGCTGCAGGTAGATTTTTGAATCTCACACGTATTCCGCCCTGGAACTCGGGATCAGAACGTGACTTGGTAGTCTGCTGCTCCTCTCGAGATGATTCGGGCACTCGTGAGACGTCGTAAAGACGGACTTGATCGCTTTCCAGTTCATCAGTCCCGAGGAAGCCCTCAGGTGCATTGCTCCAGAGTGGTAGTTCGCTGGCTCGCTCCATTCGATGATGTAGCCAGTCTACTTGACACTCTCTCGTACGCACATCAACAACGACACCGATGGGTGGTGTATTGGGCGAGTAGGTACCAAACACCCATCTGCCAGTTCTAAGCACACCTTTCTTTGTTCTGACCAATGATCCGATGGCAAATCTCTCCTCGGGATCGCCACTCATCGGTTCAAGTTTGCTCTCATCGGCAATGCTCACAACACCGTTGTCGGTCAACCGAACGGTGATCTCGTCGAAGCAGTCCTTGATACGGCCAACCCAGTTCTTGTATACAATAATGTCCCCTTCGTTGAATGTCTGTACAAGCTTCAATTCAGAAGCAGGGATGTCGTAGAGGAGTCCACCGTCAGTCATCAACTCGAGGGAGGGTTCTTCTTCCATTGGCAATGGTAACCAAGCGCATTTCATTGCCTTGCCGCTCTTGGTTTCTCTGACGTCGCACATGGAAAGAAGTGTGCATCTAGTCCTGGTACTGACAACGGTTCCAGATCGCGCTCCTTTGCGCACAAGGTCTCCAGACATGAAAGAGCGATCTAATAAGACGAGATCGCTGCATGGTACTAATTCAGCCTTGCTTTCAGTTTGCCATTGCATCAGCACAAAGCCCTGTGGCGGCACGCCATCTCGCAGAAACTCCTTGTAAAGTTGGCGTGGGACGGCCTTGTGGCGATGAATCTTGCCATAAGTATTAGTTGGGTATGGCGTATGACTTTCGATTTCGGCGTGTGTCCTATCAACATAGCCAACAGCTAAGAGATTGCTGCTGCTTGACGTGCATACATCGTCAACGTGGAGTTGGGGAACTGAATCTGTGGATGCCATCCCGCAACCGACACAATACCAATTAGCCCCGGAATGTTGGTATCGACAGAATGCCGCAAAGGTATGATAATTCTGTTGTTGGAACTTCGATCGCCGCTTTGTTAAAGAGAAGGAAGAGTGTGTGACAATTGGCGCTTTGACCATGTTTTGCAGCAAGAACGACCCTGTCTCGTATTCGGAGCTTCCAAGATATACAAGTTACAACACTTTCAAGTGAGGAGAAACCATCAGACGCATACTTGAAATCAGCCTTGGAAGCGCTGCTCCATGTTCTACAAAGCTCACAGGGGCTGTAAGAATATGGGCTGTGGATGCACAATTATTGAAACATTTAGCGATCACACCTGGTCGCCCTTGGCTTTAATCACAACCAGACATGAAGGCACGTTGATGAAAGTGCAAAGATCAAGTCTCGTTCATTACAATTTCATGCAAGTCAAGAGTTCGTGTCAGCATTTATTAAAGCTTTTGTATAGAAAGCAATTCAATGTCGCTTACGTCATCTTAGATGCGAGCAGAGGATCATGATGTGAATGCGTATCAGGAATATTATGAGCTGACAATGTGGTGGCTAAAGGCCTGCTCGCTCAATCTCGTCACATCTTCGTCATGCTTTCACGCATAACCTCCCACGCATCCTCCCATGCTCTATTTCTTGAGACAGACGTAGATGTGTTATACCTAGCTTGGTCCAGCTCTGCGGCCGCGTTTCGAAACATCAACTCACGTTCGTGTCTCATCTTCTCGAGATTGGCTTGGTTGTCAGGAAGATTGTGCGTGGTCGGCTCTGATTTAGGAATTGGCTTTGGCGAAATTGGTAGCGTAGCAGAGCTCGCACTTGAGACAGGCTCAAACGCCGACAACCCCGCTAAGGGATGGTTGTTCAACCTGTCGTGATGAGGGTGTTGCATATAGCCATAATCAACATACCGGATGTGAGGGTTATGTGCAGGCGATGCAGTAGAAGTGAATGCTGGGGCCAGCGGAGCAGTCATACCGTTGGAACCTAGGTCGTATTGTGTCCAATAATTCCTGCGAATTGGAGTCGAGATTGCACCGCCCGAGCCATGAGGAACAGGGTGGCTGTATGAACTAGCACTGTGGTGTGTTTGAGGATAACGTGGTTGCTCTCTTGCATTTAGATGCATTGAACTTTGGTCAGAATTTTCTTCTGGTGGTGGCCATGGATGCGACTGAAGGGTTTGGTCATGCATTTCTGGTTGCATGTTAGTGCCGGAAACGACCCTACTTAAATACCTTTCGAACAAGTGCGAGTGTGTGTGAATGCTCCTGAGACTCATTCTCAAGCAGGATATTCTTCTTCAAAGGAGAGAATGTCTCAAATGTTTGGGACGCTTCTAGGATCTAAGAGTGAGGATCGTCCTCGAGTAGAACGTTCCATGCAGGCACTAGAAACGATCTATGATGTAGTTTGAGTCGTGGGGAGGGCTTGATAAATCCATTATCCAAGACCAGCAAATTCATTGTCGATCAGCTGGACGCTGTTCAAGAAGATGCCGCTTGATACCCATTGGCTCTCCAGAGTTCGATTTCCGTGCTGAAAGTGGAGTATCGCACTGTTTTCGAGATCGCGAGTCGCAAGAATGAAAATTGAGCTCCTGAGAGAGATACGGATGGGTTCTTTCACTGTGAACACCTTTTGCAATGGTGCAACCTTTGTTTCAAGTATGAAAAACTGTGGCAGCATGTCAAATTTCGACGGTAAATCTCTGGCTGTGAAATGAGAGCTTAGGACGACTGAGCGCCGCGGCTGCCGACGATGTTGCAGAAGCGACCGGAAAGACAGGCTGGAAGGATAGCAAAAACAGATTGCGCCCTGTGACACCAGTACGATACCGCTACTGGATTCATAGGAAGCCAAATCTGAAGAAGCAAGGCCCCGAAATTCCCGCGCCCAGCCTTCAGCAATCGACCGATGGCACGTAACACGATACCGGCCGGCGTGATGGGTCCTTTGAGGAGCAGTACGGCCGGACAGCTTGCGGGAACCCACGGAGCCTACGAGCACAATTGTGCCACCGACGACAGAATACCCAGAGGACCATCGGCCTGAATTGAACATGGATCAAGCAGTACTTCCACTCAGGCAGGAGGCTCTTCGAAATCGAGCCTGTCCAAAGCGACAGAAACCATCGCGATTCGTGGACAGCCTTGCCGAAGGTAACAACCTGGAGAACTCGCGCTTCGATACAGTTACCCCAGAGAAGTGTCACACAGACGGACACCACTCTGAGAGCAAGAAAGTATCCGAGCCTCAAAGGTTTGAGCCCCAAAGACACGATTGCTGCAAAATGCCCTAGTCCTGCAGCTTGAGAGGAGCGAGCGGCGTGTTTCAACATCTCCGGTCTTATCCTCCAGTCAGCTGCCACGACACGTGCAAAGCTCTGCCGCCGCATGCTTGCAAACAATGGTCAAAACACCTTAACACAAAACGGTTGTCCCGGACGCCACTCCGACTAGAAATTTACTGGGTGGTATTGAGACAGTATGGGACGCCTCAAGAACGCCACAAAAGTGGTTGACAGAAGCCTGCCAACAGTCGAGGTTTTGGGCGAAGGAAAACAGTCGCTCAAGCAAGCCGTCTCACCGACCGGATCGAATTTTTCTTTCGCCGAGCGCCAGCATCCCCTTGTTGTTAAATAAACACGGGGCGGATTTCCTACCGTGTGGTCCCAACGAAGACCAAACTACCAGAGTCTAGAACGGCGCATGCTCCTCGGTGCACGCTAGGCGGCAGACTATTCTTACCTTGCAAAGCAAACTCCTGTTCTTTCTCACATGCTCATCTTCGTCGACGGTCGTTACACTTGACATTTACCGCTTCCACTAACTGTTTCTTGCTCGATCGCAGCAGCCACAAGTCGCGTCCAGCTACGCCGTGGGTGCTCGCCTTTCCAGTCACAATCTCTTGCGACGTTCCTTGGTGATCGATCAAGGTGTCAGAGCTCGGGTTTCAATTTCATGGACACCGCAGCGCGAAATTTGCGCGGCTTCGTTGAGGATGTCCAGTCACCAAGTGCCGACTTGTTGGATTTCCCCTCACCAGCAAGCGACCTTGAAATCTTCACGCCAGGTGTTGGCTCATTGTCTTCGACGGCAAACGTGACTCCTAACTCATGGCCAGATGCTGATGCGTGCCTGCCTTCTGCAACATCCGCAATTCCCGACCCTGTAGAGCTTCAGACTTCACTCTCACCAACTCACGAATTCGAACAGCCAGGTCTCGGCTTCGATACTTTCGTAGGCACTCGAGTGGCACCAGCCCCTACCAGCCCACAGCCATTGCTTCCATCGAAGGTCGGAGAGGACCTTCGCCTACCATCCTTTGCACAACTGGGAATAGCTGCCCCGCACTCTGAGTCAATCCGTCCATTACTTGTGCGCAACCCTCATTGTTGCCTTGGCGTCGACAACTCAGCAGCGTCTTCCATCGACATTGGTGACAAGAAAGGACTGACTGCAGGTGCTCGCGTTGGCGATGCCATGCCTGAACACGTAGACGCGATTCAACCCGTGTCTTCACCCTCAGTGCAACCAAGATCACCTCTACACAGCCCGGTGCATCACTATGTGGTGACAACTCTCACCCCTCCCGACGACACTGGCAGAATAACGTGGGGACCAGTTACTCAGTTCGCGGCAGGGGCAATGTCATCTCCTGCGGCTATCGGCGAAGGTCCAGCCCCTGGCATCGAGGCTCCAATCGCATCGGTCGCGAGTGAATCAACAATTCCGGCTATCAATGTACGAGGTTCAAGCCCCTTAGAAGAGCCACCGCGACCGTGGCTAAAGAATGCTATATCAATCATCCGTAAGTGCTTCCAGCTCGCGTGACTGTAGACGTGCTAATCTCGTATGTGCAGTCAAGAACATTCGCTCTGCATCCAGCGCCTATGAAGATCCTATCAAGGTTCTTTCGCACGCATTACCATGTCCATCGACAGAAGGCCACGCATTTCCCACCATCATCAGCTCTTTACATGACGAGACTCCTCAGTCACCTACGTGTTGGATCAACGTATTCCATGCACTTCCAGTGAGTATCTTGGCTATGACCCCGGTCCACATCTTTCTCTTCGCATACAGCGATTCGGCTCGCAGATCGTCGACTGGTTGCTCACATGCATCTTCGCGGCTTGTCCGAACTCATATGTAGTAGATCGCGTGCTAACGGATAGTAAAGGGCAGATTCAACCTAGCAGATCTTCCCACATCACCGCCTAGTACTCCCGGACCTCCGATCGGCGGCGACGACTACTTCACAAGCAAAGTGTTCGACTCAGCTGTACATATACTCGACTACGCCGACAACCTGAAATCCCTTCCGCAATCTCCTCGGCCTGTAGTGCCACCGTCTTCGGTCGACGTCTCCATTGTTGAGCGCTACATCCCTCCTACTAACAAAAACGAGTTTGCAGACATGTTTACTACGCGAGGTCCCTCCTTGCTTGTAGACAGACTGGTCGAACTCTCACCCGACAATGGCACACTCATCTTCATCTATCCTACAAAACGAGGAGCGCAGACATTCGTAAATCACTATCTCGGGCCCGTTCTCGACCCGATCCTTAGATCTATGGTCGTCGTCAATGGAATCTCGTCCGATATGGGCCAGCAATTAGGCAAGATGACAGCTGTCGATGAGTTGCCCGACCATGAGACCATGAAGAGGAAGATAGTTCAACTCTGCTCCTCATTGAGCCAGTCAAGTCCAGGCATGGAGCGCTTCCACAGGGTACCCACCAACTTCGAGCTGTTGCTTTCCTCCACCGAGGAGGTGAAGCTGGATCGCAAGATTTGGTCTCAGGACTGGTGGGCCAAACAGGAAAAGCCACGTATCAGGGATATTATCTCGCGCTTCTTCCGCAAGGTCAATCGAGCACAAGAAGACCAGACACCCGTCGCGCTGGTACATGAGGTTCTGGATGGCGTTGCACAAAAGGCATACCCAGAGGGGCATGACGAACAATCCGGAATCGAGGTCAACGTGTTTGTCATTTCGAGATCGAGATGCGCAAAGTGACTGACCGAAATAGCTAGTGAAGGACAGAGGCTCACGTTTCTGATTTTGCGCGCGATGATATCCTGGAGCATTGCTGGCGAAGGAGCAAAAGGTGGATGGTACTGTTGCATTTATCCGGTGTATGGAGCGATTTGATATAATGAGTGAGCCTGGAAACAAAGAATCGAGTTGATTAAACGAGGGCATCTCCAATTGACTTTCCATAGCAATCTGACGGCTGCAAAGAGACGTCGTAGAGTTGACTGACAAGACGACGATGGCGCGCGGTGTTGCCTGAGGTTGCCTGAGGTTGCATGAGGCTCTTTCGGAGTGCCGATCACCAAAATCCCGACCAAGCACGCAATTGACCATGTTTAGCTAAGCATTCTCGGACCAACCTTCCGATTGGATGTTCCATGCCTTTTTCGCCATTTCCCATCTCCCCGCATGGGTGATGACAACAACCGAGGAATACAAAGACATTTCAAAGCAAGCTCACGGATGACGTGATGACATGGGAATCACAAATGGTTGGAAATCAAAAAGATCAAAGTCTTTGCCGCTTGAGCCATGCTGAGTATATATAAGACTGGGTAGAAGGGCAAGTTTGTTCTTACTTCAAATCAATACACGTACACATACGCCGTATACGTACACATCATATCTCTTTCCTTTTACCAACCAAATCACAATGTCGACAACCACCACTACAACGACTACATCCTCCAATCCCACCATCAGAGCACAAGAGATAGAAATACCTCGAGGACCAGTGACCTCAACTCTAATCTTCTACGCTCCTCCTGCCGACAACTCCGCCCCTTGGAATTACGTAGAGCAACCACCACCCGGCCTCCCACAAAGAAACTACACCGAACACCCCTCTACCGTCCACATAAACGACATCCGCGGCCAAGAAACCTCCTTTCAACTAAATACCCACGGCTTCACCACCGCCTCCAACATCCCTTCCTCTTGCGACGACTTCACCTCCGACGATCAAATCAAAAGCATCTACTATCCAGAAGTGGAATCACTGATCTTGGATAAAGTGCCTGGAGCTAAGAGGGTGTTTCTCTTCGATCACACGGTGCGCAGAGCAGATGTAAATGCAAAACGACAACCAGTACACAGAGCTCACGTGGATCAAACCGAAAAAGCAGCTCTCCAACGTGTGCGCCACCACCTTCCCTCTGAAGCTACCACCCTACTGCAATCACGCATTCGCATCATCAACATCTGGCGCCCCTTGAACGGTCCCGTTGTTTCTTTACCGCTAGCCGTTGCTGACAGCAGAAGTGTAAAGGATGAGGATATCGTGGGTGTAGAACACAGGTATCCTGATAGAACTGGAGAGACTGCGGGGATCAAAAGTGCAGAGCATCAGGAATGGTGGTATTGGAGTGGGATGGGGAATGAGGAGAGATTGTTCTTGCAGTGTTATGATAGTCATGGCAATAAGGCTAGGACACCTCATACGGCGTTCACGGATCCGAGGACTCGAAAGGATTGGCCTGGACGCGAGAGTATTGAGGTTAGAGCGTTGGTGTTTGGGTAGTGGAGAAGTGTGAGATGACTTTATGAAGTATGAGACTAGTCGGAGTTTGGGATGTGACGGTGCAAGGGGTTGAATTTAAAAATACAATATAAATATTTCTATCTACACCATCTATCTTTCACCATTCTACTATGTTCAAAACATCTACCACTATGCCTCCACGCTGTTCCTCTACTCATCATCACTACTAGGCTGAGTGTTCTCCAAAATGCCAGCCTGACCAAGATACACAGTACCATCATAATCAAACCCGTTAGTAGTGTTCGCAATAGTCCAGTTGCCGAAACAAGCATAGTCATAATTGCTCAACGCATACGACTCATTCTGACTAGCCACAAATTTGTCAAGCGCACACATGCCATCAGTACGTCCCTCACAAGCGCCTCCCCTGAGAGTATCCAGAGGCAAGATGCCGTTGTTAAGGCGCATACGGATGAATTTGTGGGTCGCGTTGGAGGCACTGTAGCCATATTGCTCCGGGTAGTACTGGACGCGCTCTTTGGAAACAGCGGTAGGGTTGGGGGAGGAACAGCCAATGACTTCTGTAACGAGATGGCCGCCGAAGGGAGTCATTTTGGAGAGGACGAAGTGACGGTCAGGGTTGGGTGGGAATTGGGTCAAGCTGGGAGGGTCGCGGAAGTAGTCCAATGACATGGCTGTGAGGACACTGATGATGATGTCGTCGTGACTGAAGTCGGCATAGAAGGGGCGGTCGAGGGGAAAGTCGCGAGAGTTGTTGGTGATGCTGCTGTTTACTGAACTGTTGGAGACGGTGATATATTGGTGTGTCAGACGTGCGAGAAGCTCTTGAAGGTAGCCAATGCCCTGGGCTCTGCCGGTAGGATTGCCGAAGCCATAATCGTAGTAGTAAGCCATGTCAAGGGTGTTCTCAAAGCCGTTCCACTCATCTGCGGTGAAGAAGTCACAGAAGTCAGACATTCCAATGAAGCCATGCTCTGATATCAAGGTTAGTACGCATTCGTAGTGGGAGAAGGGGCTGGCGTACCATAGGCGCAGATCAGCTGCATGGCATAAGTGTCGTTGTTTGACAGCTTGAAATCAGTAGGAACATGTTGCTGGAGACGAGCAGTCGCATTTTGGAGATATCTCGGGATGTAGACAAAGACATCCTGATCACCAAGGTCACCAATTCCAGTAATGAAGTCATTGAAACACGAGTCGTAAGATGCAAGGGTGTTGTTCTCAGTGCCGCCTTCGGGAATAATGACAAGGTCAAACAGATCACCAGAGGTATAGTCGGTCAATTGAGGGTCGGGGACCTTTTCGTAAGTAGGACCAAAGAAGCCGAGGGCCCAATTGATCTGACTTTCGCGAATACGAGATTGGGACGTCGTACGCAGAACGGACTTGGGTCTGGCGGTGCCATTGGTGTAATCAGTCTCGTATCCAACCTGACCAGCAGAAGCATTGTAAATAATGCGTCCATATCTGTTCCAGAAGTCGACGCCCAAATTGAACTCAGTGCGAGCTCCGATACCGGTAAGGTAGCTTTCATTCATCTGATACACATAAGAGTTTAGGAAAGATAAGGGACCGGAGAAAGTAGCCGACGAGTTGGCAGCAGCCTTGAACTCGGCAAGCTTTTCAGCAAAAGCTTCCGCCAAAGCTCCATCGTCGACATAGTCGGTAGGAAAGCGCTGTGCGTGGCGTTGGAGAGTGTGAGCTTGCTCGACCTGGCAGCCAGCAGGAAGACCGACATCCTTGACACCAAAAGCATTGGCAGGGTTGTCGTAGTAAGTGCTAATCTGACCCCAGCGCTTTGATATAAAATCAATGTCAGAAACGAGAGATTGGTTGGTATGATGGTAAGTACTGGCTGCAGCTGGAGCGATTGCAGCTGCCAGCACGGCATAGGAATGATAGGAAGTCAAATGCATGATGGGCAAAAGGAAAGGAAGACAGCCTGAGAAAAGGTTTGCAGGGAGCAGCAACGCTTATTATACAGAACAGGCCAGAAACAGATCTTGCAAGTATTACGCGGCGCTCCGAATCGGAGCCTTTGGTTGAGAGACTTCATCATAGTGCTCATTTTGTGGAAGTGCGGATCGTCGCTCGGGCTTAACTGTGTAGAAGCGCTATACAAACAACCTTATAGTCCGATGCTCGTACATAGTCCTGGCCACGTGAGAAGGCTTGTCTCGAATGCAGTCACACTAAGCAGCATGGCAGAAAGTGGAATGGCTTCCAGCTTCGGGGAGTCATGGTCATGGTGCTTGGAAAGAGTCACGATCGATGACGTGGTTGGAAAGCATAAAGCAATTGTTCGCGCGCATCATCACCTTTCTACGCGAAAAGACTAGCTTTCTTGCTTCAGCTCTTTCGAATGACAATTCTGCCGACGCGAACACGAAATACCGACTGTCGCATCTCTTGATTCCCCATTGTACTCCCAGTTGCGTATACCAATAACCCCACCGACCCCGCGACACGACGACAGCCAATCAACGCCATCGCGTTATCCTCATCCGAGACTTTGCTACGTGCATACACAAGCCAACATGGCTCACCGCAGAGTAAAAGAGATCGACTACGACGACGATGAGTACGAATATTACTCGGGCGAAGAGGAATACGGCTACGAAGGCGAAGAGAACGTGGCGCCAGAAGCAGCAGAGGATGAGCTAAGCGCAGAGGACAAAGAGCAATTGCGTATAGGCACAGAGAGTGTGAGAGAGGCTCTGGGCGACGACTTTGCCTCGGTGACAGATGCTGCTATACAAGAAGCTCTGTGGCATTACTACTACGACGTCGCAAAGTCTGTCACCTATCTCAAGAGTTTGTTGAAGCCAGTCCACTTCACCAACTCAAGCTAATCATCTATAGACCAAAGTGCTCCCCAGCAAGCGCAGCAAGCGCAGCCAAAGAAGCAGAAGCAGGTGTCCAAGTTCGACCAAGCTGCCACGTCGGCTGCTCAAAAACCAGTCGAGATCAAGGGTAAGTCCATACATTTCCTTCCTTCCCTCCTTCCCCTCCGCCCCTTTTTTCCTCTGCAGAGCGCCACCACACACTGCACTATCCTCGGAGTTGGACTACTTTGCCAGAGATGAGCCTCGGACTGCCAACTTCTCCCCCCGGTACACAAGCGAGCACGCTCTGACTGGGCTTGGAACAGTGCCGACCAGCCCACTGCCCACATCGCATACGAATCCTGCCAACTTCTTCAAAGGCATTCCTTGGTTCAACGTGCCGGAAGAAAGAGTTGGATGTATTGTGGCTGAGCAGTTCCGACCACCTTTGCGCATGCTGGGAGGCACCGGCAAGCCGTCCAAGCTAGCCGCGCTTGCTGCTGCTAGAAAGAAGAAGGAGGCCGATCAAAAAGCTGCTGCAGAGGCCGGTCAGACCGAGAAGCCTGCTGGCGTTGCTTCGCTCATGGACCGTCTTGGTACAAGGTCGACTCAATCTGCAAGTCAAGAGAACACAAAGCCTGGAGACGCTCCGAAGCAGCAAGAGACTCGCTCCTTTCCCATCCGCAAACGCAAAAGTCCTTCGCCTCCTCCACCTATAGAGGATCGCAGACCTGCTGCTCCGGAGCCTACCACTCCTCAGACACCCGAGCCAGCCACAAACCCAATCGAACATGTCCGCGCCGGTCCATCTGTTTTCGCAAGCACAATGTGTGGTGGCAGCTCAAGAAGGCGTCCCTCACACCAAGACGCCATCGTCCTTACACAGAACATCCTACCAGCCATTTACGGCCAAGACGCGAACCTTGCTAATCCCAATGCCTTCTCAGGTCCGAGCCCAGATGACATTGTCATGCAAGCCCAGGCAAAAGGTTCGGCAAGGTCGTGAAAAGGTAGCTGATGGAAACTCGTACTAACTTAATGCTTCAGCCTCGGGCGCAAAGAAACAGGCAAACCAACAGAAAGACTCCAAGTCGGTCACCAACGGGGTTTCATCTCTAAGTCTGGAGGAACCGCAACAGACAAGTCTCAAGTATGCTCAACGTGTGTCACCATCTCAAGATAAATGCTTACAAGATTCTAGGGTGAAGAGCAAGAACCTGGATGTCATCGCAGAGTACGAAAAGGCTGGACGCAAAAACGCCGCCAGCTTTGTTGTCATCGGACATGTCGATCACGGAAAAAGCACTCTCATGGGTCGCTTGCTATACGATCTGAAAGTCGTCGATCAACGCTCAATCGACAAGTTCCGTAGAGATGCCACGAGTATCGGCAAAGCATCCTTCGCTCTGGCCTGGGTCATGGACTCGACTTCTGAAGAGCGAGAGCGAGGTGTAACCGTCGACATTGCCACAAACAACTTCGAGACGGAAAAGACAAAGTTCACAATCCTGGATGCTCCCGGACACAAGGACTTCATCCCCAACATGATTGCTGGGGCCAGTCAAGCAGACTTTGCCGTCTTGGTCATCGACGCCGGAACCAACAGCTTCGAGGCCGGTCTCAAGGGTCAAACCAGAGAGCACGCTCAACTCGTCCGCAGCATGGGTGTGCAACGCATCATCGTAGCCATCAACAAAATGGATAGCATGAACTGGGCTCAAGAGCGCTTCGAAGAGATCCAACAACAGATCTCCGCCTTCCTCACCACCACCGGCTTCCAACAAAAGAACATTGCCTTTATCCCCGTCTCCGGCCTCACCGGCGAAAACGTCGTCAACTCAGCCCCAGAAGCAGCATCCTGGTACACGAAATCCCCCTCACATCAAACCCTCGTGCAAGCCCTCGAAGCCCACGAACCCACAAAAGCCGCCCTCACGTCGCCCCTCCGCCTTCCCATTTCAGACATCTTCCGCGGTGGAGTCCAGAACCCACTCTCAATCTCTGGACGCATCGAAGCTGGAAGCTTACAAGTAGGCGACTCCCTCATGGCCATGCCCGCCGGCGAAAAGGCATCAATCAAAGGCATAGAAGTCGACGCAGAAGCCGCAGACTGGGCAGTAGCGGGTCAAATCGTAACCCTGCATCTCACAGAAATCGACCCCGTACACCTACGCATCGCAGACTTGCTTTGCGATGCCAGAAAACCCGTGCCTAATATCAAGAGCTTCACAACAAAGATCTTGGCATTTGAGCATGTGTTGCCCATGACTGTTGATGTGCATAGGGGACGCATGCATGTCCCCGGCCGTATTTCAGAGATGATTTGTGTGCTTGACAAGAGCAGTGGTGCTGTTACGAAGAAAAAACCTAGAGTTGTGCAGCCGGGCAGTGTTGCGAGGGTCAGAGTTGACCTGGACACTGCTGTGCCGCTTGAGGTGCCTGGCAGAATTGTGCTGCGCTCGGGAGGCAATACTGTTGCGGCTGGCTTGCTGGAGGAAGTACATGCGTAGATTTAGATCTGCCTCTCTCTCAGGGAGAAAATGGCAACGAAGCTATCTTGAATTATTTCACATTTTGCCCATTTGTGTATTCGGACTTTCGGAGTTTACCAAGTGCATCATGGGTCTTGATCTGTATTTGAGGTTTCCTGCGTCGATGTCCTTGTTGCTGTCCTGAGCTGCTGCTCTTGACTAAAGTTGTAGGTCTGCCATGAACAATTGGAATGTGTGAACTACCAATGACATGTACGTCACCACCATGATCAACCAAGTCAGGAAACTATCCAAGCATAGCAGACACGAGCTTTAGTGAGCCCCGTAGGATACTTGGAAAATTGCTGCATGCACAAATTGTCGCGTAAGATGAGATGCTAAAGAATGACAGGGTGATACCACTTACAGCAAAGTCTTGGCGTGTACACAAAGTGCACCAAGAAGTATAAAGAGATAACTTCTGCACGACACTTGTGACTTGAAGAGTACAACAGCATCGAGAAAGTCCATGACCGTGATCGTAACGAGTCGGGTATCATTGTATCATCGAAGAGGTCAATCTATGGTATAAGCTAAAAGCCCTAACGAGGGCTGTTTTCATGCTGCCTTCCTTTTATGACGCCTATCCGATGCTTTTCCCATAATGACTCCGTTGGAATATCAAAAACGCCGGTTGTCCATGTTTCAAAACCCATGAACCTTCCCAGCTTGGTCTTGTTCTCGTGATATTGTTTCATTCTGTTCGTAATTGTGTAAGTGTGGAGCCTTCTACTGCTTCGATGCAGACTCCTCAGTAACAGTCTGTGCAAAATCGGAGGGAATTGTCCAGCCATGCATATTGGCAGCGCGCTTGTAAGCCTCGACGGCTTCTCCAGAAGCGTAGGAATTGCGATCGCCATCAGTGTAAGTGCCGCTGACCTGTAGGCGAGCAGGCTTAACCGTGGGATCGGTAGGATCGAACTGCGCTATCGCTGAACGAATCTGCACAAGGATACTCTCGATAGAGTAGGCGGGTGTCCAGCCATCTGAAACCAGAATCTGGTGACAGATTGCACCTCCAGCAGTAATGTTACCGCCACCGCCATTCTGAAACGGAAGGAAGCGTGGACGGATGACCCTGACGAATGGGGGGTTGTTGGGGTAGGAGCCAGGGAAGCGAAGCTCAAGAACAATGCTCTTGACGTTGTGCTTCTTCATGTCTGTGACCAAAGGCAGCATGCGTCGTCCCTCATTGAACATAGTGAAGCTGTGGAGCTCAATAATCCACTGGTACATGTTGTCAACCTTGCTGGAGTCAAGGTACCAGCCAAGCTCATGAAGAGGTTTGGTCTTTTGAACACGGAGGAGGGCTTGAAGGTCTTGTGACAGCATCTTGGTCGCCTTGGAGTTGGCATACGAGGGCATTGGGAGCTTTGGCAGCTGATCATGGTTCAGCGAACCAGGAACAAAGTCAGTTTCACCTGGGATATAGTCGAGTTGCGGCGGGCCTGTTCTAAGAGCCAGCTGCTGATGTTGAGGCTGATCGAAAAAACCATGGTCTTCATCATCTGTGGCCACACTCAAATTGTCGCTCAGGTTGCCATCGTTGTAGTGCGACTCGATTGCACCGTCCTCGTCATCGTCGCAAGTCAGATTAATGGCACCGTCTACCGATCGTCCAGTGGTGATTCTAACAAACAAGCCTTTCGCCTTCTTGGTCTTCTTCGGACCGGGTGAGACGACGTTGGCCAGCTTGCGCTTATTAGAATTCGAGCTCGGTGCTGGAATGACAATTGCCCCATTAGAGGTACCAGTCGGTATACGTTGAGGGTCTTGCTGGAGTTTGTTGACTGGTTGCTTATCAGATGCGGGCGATGTGGCCACGTTGGAGTCGGTATTGGCCCGTTTCACGAACAAGTAGCGAGTCTGAATCCAATCGAGTTGGCTGACGACATAATGGGGCGTAGAAGAGACGAATTCAGCAGGCGCATTCACGATCTCGTTGAGCGCTACGGCAGAGGTGATCTTGAGGTCGGATCTCGGCCATGAGTTAGACGCGGAAGAGGCACCTGTTTGATGCATACCATAACCAGAGTAGCCCAGCGAAGTATTGACATTCGGAGCGTGGTAGACGCCATTGCCAAATGCTCGACCGTTGATAACGTCGGTAAAATGGAGGCCTTCGCGGATGATGCTGTGCCAGTTCTGTAACGAACTGCCGTGCCAAGCGTACAGAGTTGGATATTTGGACTTGAGTCGGATCTTGGTCTCCTCGACAGCTTTCTTGAAGCGGTGTTCCTTGTCAGGTGCACCCATAGCGAAGCGAAATTGCATGAAGTCTGGCATGCCATGGACACCCTTCTCAGGCTCGTCGACTGCCATGATGCAGGATCTGTTAGAGGCGAGAGTCCAACGTAGGAGAGAGAACGCGGCCGGCGAAATCCTGTCAACCCATCGAGACAAGTCTGGAGTGTTCTGAGACGAAAGGTACTCACCCATTTCCTTGACGGAAGGCAGTAACGCAAGAAGACGAGGTACGACGCCTCGCTTGTCGGCCTCTGGCAAGTCATCAAAATTGACACAATACTTGTCGACGTAAGCTGTACTCCACTTTGCAGTACTGGACTCCCTCTCGAGAACGTCTCCGATTATGGGACCGATCTCAATAGAGGGATATAGCGATGCGTCATTGACTCTGCAATGAAACATTGGTGTTCCTGTCTCATTCGGTAGCTCGAGCGAGATCCAATCGCCCTTCTTGAGAGGACAGGGTGCACCAGGCGTGACTTTATCAAAGAGAAGCTCTGACTTGGTGAAATCGAAACGAGCCTCGAGACGGCCGTCGCTACTGCTACGAGGAGTTGCTGTAGTTTCTGGAACTTGGGCTTGATAGCTCCGGCCCATATGTCCTTGAATTGGTGAGACAATGGATTGTGGAACATTGAGGCCAAGACCAGTAGGAAAGTCTTTCAGTCTTCCCAAGAAAGCACTGCTATAGCAGAAGCTGATAAGTAGATCAACGACCTTGTCTTGATGCATGATTTCATGCTCAATCGAAGGACCAAAGCCGAGAGTCATGTACTGGTAAAGGCAGAGGGGCGAATCGCAGACATATGGCTTGAGTGCTTCGACCAAAGTATTGAGCTTCTTGTGGCAGACAAGACAGAACTCGGTGCAACGGACGAAGTGCCGCAGCGTGAATTGCATGGCGACGAGAGGAAAAGAGTGTGTCTTGGCCGATGCATCTGCTAGATGGTCTGCATCAACAATAGCTTGGTAACCTGAGGCATTTTCTTTTTCAAAATGTGTACCAGGAGCATATGTGCTGGTGATGCGTCCACCTTGCCTGTCTCTGTAGAAGTCCTCGACACCTTGCCATGTCATGTTGGTATCTCTCAATCGCACAAGATGAACAAGACGCTCGTTCAAAAGGTCGTTCAGCGGCTTGGAGATGAAAGTATCGTGGAAGCTTGTCGCAGCAGAGTCTGGGTAAGTTGATGTGCTGGTGGCGCCAAAAGCTTTCGTGACTTGGTCTTGTGTCGGCTTGTAGTTCTTGGAGACGCCAGTACGCATGTCAAGATAGACGGGCACAGCGGCGTTACTTAGTGCACAGAGCTCTTCCTTGGTCTTGTAACCTTCCTTGTACTGAATAAGAAGAATGATGTAGTCGGAAGGTCCGATGCGCCAGGCCTGCATGGCCTCGTCTGAGATACCAAGCTTGCGAGCAGAAATAGAAATGGAAACGACACACTTGTAGTTGTCGAGAAGGCCACCAAAGTGCGAGATCTTGAAGCCAGCATCCTTGGCACACTTGAGGTCGCTACGGATGCGAGACTGGAAGAGGCTTGAAGGACCGACGCGGGCTGAGGCTGTAGGCAGGACGAAAGCATTGACATCGGAAGTGACAGAGTCATCGAAGGCGGCGCCATAGATGTGTTCGTCGTCATCGTCATCATCGCCGTCCGACTCGCCGTTTTCGAGTGGCTCATCATCCGGATCGTGGTCCTCTGGGATATCGTCGTCCAATCTAGAGTCGGTAGTGCGGCACAGAGCATCGCGGATGGTAGAGAGGAATTGCTTGATTGACATGCCTTTGAGCGTTCCGAGGCTCGCTACGATATCTGCGGTTTCCTGAGAAGTGTCATCGTCACAAAAGTATTGGTAGTCGTGTGTGTCCGGATATTTGGATGGCGCGGTGGTGACACTGATGGTGACTGGCGAAGCGAGTGCTTGATGGGCGACGGTGAATGTAAAGCCTTCATCACCGCGACGACAATTGGAGACGTCGTTGATACCATGCTTACCCTGGATAGCATCGTCCAGATCGGCCTTGAATTGCTTACGATCCATGGTTAGTAGGAGTAGTGGTCGACGGCAGCATGCACTGTTGTGTGCGCGCGCCTTGAGTGCAATTGGGAGGGGAGCAAGAAGGTTGACGTCTTGGAGAAGGAGATGGGAGAGGATGAAGTTGTCTTGATGGTTTTGACAAGGCAAGATGCAGACTTAGGACTTTGGATCACTGTGCAGCAACACGATGCGAATTGGCGACGAGTGAAAGCCACGAGATTGGCGAGACAATGGAAGGCCAGAGTCAGATGGAGTTGGTTTCGAGACGCGCGTGAGCAGCTTCTCGAACAATCACAAGTGAAGAAGAAGAGGAAATATCTTGGCTACATGTCATGTTCGATGGATGCCTTCTGTCAGGCAGCGTTTGTTGCATGGCTGCCTGTAGAGAGGCACAGACATGAGGAAGATCGCAGGCAGGCAGGCGCGCGCTTGAAGTGAGGGTCTTTTTACCTTGCTTTTTGTCCTGCCTGGTCAATTGAAGCGCCGTCTGCCATGCATATCTGACTGGTACTGTTCTTACGAGTACAGCTAATTATCTACATTCATGAAGCAAGTCTTGATGGGGACCACCGCTGAACCATACTGCTTTACAGAGGTCTCCGATGAGAAAGCTCTTGTCGTCATCCATCCTAAACGTAGTAAGTGCCATCACTGCGTTCTTAATGGCAGCAGGTAAAGGTGCTTGGCGCGCGGCATGTCAGATAAGAAAGTGGCTGCGTCGGATAACAAGTCCATGCTTCACATGAATGGCAGATGGGCATACCAGTGCTATCCTCACTAGAATTCGACCTCGGAAGTGGGAGGCACACAATGGCAGTCCACTCGGAGTTTGTTGTAAGAGGCGATCCCAAGTCAACACACGTGCAGGATGAAGCTCTCCAACCATTTCTGCAGCCTCGATTCGACCCGGCCGACTACCTGAATGCCACCTTACCTGCCTTGACTTTCGCCAACTTCACCAAAGACCGCGTTTCGCTCGCCGAACTATCCACACAAACTCAGACGCTCATCTCGCAACTCAACGTGCAGACGTCACGCCTCACAAACACGCTCAACCAGCTCACCGATGACATACTGAGGAGTGGCAGCAGGCTTGCCTACCAAGTCGAGATGCTTCGGGGAGAGACTGCTGGCCTGACCGATGCTCTAAACACTTCGCTCCGACCCGACATGGCTCTGTTCGCTCCTCAGCTTCTACACCAATCTACACAATCCGACAGCGACCAAACTTCTCCTGACCAGCCTGCCGTATCGACTTCGACGCAACCTACCGAACCAGACTACATCTCCAAGCTTCGCACACTCGTCATGGTTCGCCAACGTCTTGACTCCGTCATCAAAGTCTTCGGCGAGGCCATGGCATGGCCTATTGCTCCCTCTGATCTGGTTTCATCCTCGTTCATTTCGGTATCTGCACCTGCTGCCGGAGGCCCAGAAGAGACGCGCAATCGTGAAGAGAAGGCCAAGGAACATGCACAAAAGCTACGCGACGAGGTTGTACAGCTGCTACAGACTGCCGTATCAGCAGACGAAGGTATCGCCGCTGCAATAACGAGGATTGACGAGTTGAGGGACCTCTCTATCATCTGGAAGGGCACTGCTGAAGAGAAGGCCAGAGCTCGTCAGATAGATGCCCTCGAGAAGATCGTTGAAGATGAGCAAAAGGCTCTCGCTCGTAAGGCAGACGCAAAGAAGCGTACAGCCTCTCCCGCGACAATTGACTACAGAAACAATAATGCCCCTGAGTCTACGCGGACAACCAACCAGGGCAGCGGCTACGGATTCATGAGCAACCTGCGCCGAATCAAAGACGACATTTATCTTGATTGAGAGCCTGTGTTCGAGGTACGATGAACAACGCCTGCCTACCGGATACCCAACACGCCATCTTCCATCTGGAAACAAGAATCGGGATCCGAAGAAGTGGTGTGATAATCGGGTAATGATACGACTTGGGCTGTAAGGAGGAGACCAGTGGAGCTCGTAATGAGCCTTCTTTATATCATTTAGCACTGGTCAACACGGGACGAGCCCTGCTACTCGAGTATCCCCTTAGATATGAGCACTCAGGGGTCTGTGATCGGCAAACGACTTGCACGACGATAGACCGCCAGCTGCCGGGGAAGTCAGGAACAGCGCATCCTTTTGGTTTAGGGCAGCATCTAGGCCACGACACTCGGCTTTCACTGCCTCTTAGAAGCACTGCATGACTGCAGCAAGACTCTGCAGAGAACAGGCAGTATTGAAAGGCGACGGTTGAATGCCACGTCTCACTACTTCAAGGGATGCTCGCCTATCGTGTTCCCTGTTTCTTGAATGTTTGAGCGGGTACAGATCATGCCACCTGGAGACGGACAAATCCTCCGAAGCACGTCCATATGTGGAACGTTGTCAAAATCTCTCAAGCAATAGATGTCACAATTGAATTGATAGATAGCATAGAACATACCAATGTGAAAGTACACGGAAGTCTGATTCATGACCTAATGCTTGTGTGAAGAGAGTTCATTCATAACCCGGAGCGCTCGGCACGGAAAGCATTGACAAGGTTCCCGGACAGCGATCAAGCGCGGCGATCCCGAGCTTGGCGTGGGGTGACGACAGTGACGTACCTGCAGTTACAAATGTTTCGATCACTCGTTACGGCAGCAGGCGGAAGCTGGAGCTGGCTTGTTGGGAAGCTTCAAAACACAAGAAGCTGCTTGTCAGACAGCTAGCCTGTACCTTTCCTCCTCATCACTTCTCCCCCAATTGCTCCTCCCTTCTTTCTCACACACACCATTTCACAATGGCCGAGACTGAGAGCCTCTCGCCCTTTGGCACTGCCAGAGCTACCGTGACCGAACAGCCTCTTAGCAAGGACGAGGTCGACAAAATCAACCGCTACTTCCATGCCAGCATGTACCTGTGCTTGGGTATGCTCTACCTTCGCGAGAACCCGCTGCTCGAGGAACCTCTCAAGAAGGAGCACATCAAGCCTCGTCTCCTCGGACATTGGGGCTCGGACGCCGGCCAGTCCTTCACCTGGATCCACATGAACCGCTTGATCAAGAAGTACGACCTCGACTGCTTCTTCGTCTCGGGCCCTGGTCACGGTGCTCCCGCCGTCCTCTCGAACTCGTACCTTGAGGGGGTTTACTCCGAGGTCTACCCCGACAAGTCTCAGGATGCCCAGGGTATGCAGCGCTTCTTCAAGCAGTTCTCCTTCCCTGGTGGCATTGGCAGTCATTCGACTCCCGAGACGCCTGGAAGTATCCACGAAGGTGGTGAGCTTGGTTACTCCATCTCTCACGCTTTCGGTGCAGTGTAAGTTCAACAACAAACCTACACGAGACACCTCCACCATGCTTACCGTCATTTACAGATTCGACAACCCCGATTTGATCGCCTTGACCATGGTCGGCGATGGCGAGGCCGAGACTGGCCCATTGGCCACCAGCTGGCACAGCACCAAGTTCCTCAACCCCATCTGCGACGGTGCAGTTCTTCCAGTCCTCCACCTGAACGGCTACAAGATCAACAACCCCACTATCCTCTCCAGAATCAGCCACGAAGAACTCAAGGCCCTCTTTGTCGGTTATGGTTGGGAACCTTACTTTGTCGAGGGCTCAGACCTCGACTCAATGAACCAAGCCATGGCCGCTACACTCGAAAGAGCGGTCCGAGAGATCAAGGCCATCCAAAAGAAGGCCAGAGACTCTGGCAAGGCCGAACGCCCGAGATGGCCCATGATCGTCCTCAGGACACCAAAGGGTTGGACCGGTCCTCGCAAGGTTGACGGCCACTTCCTCGAGGGCTTCTGGAGAGCTCATCAGATTCCTCTTACAAACGTGCTCAAGGACCCCGACCAGCTCTCTCTGCTCGAGAAGTGGATGCGTAGCTATGAGCCGGAGAAGCATTTCAAGGACGGCAAGTTGATCGAGGAGCTGCGTGAGCTCGCCCCTAGTGGCAATCGTCGTATGAGTGCCAACCCCGTGACCAACGGTGGTCTATTACGTGCCAACCTCAGGATTCCGGACTTCAAGGACTTTGCTCAGGTCGTGAAGAAGCCCGCTGGCGAGCAAGCTCCCAGCATGAACCTCTTTGCCGATTTCTTGACCCAAATCATGAAGCACAACCCTAACAACTTCCGTCTTTTCGGCCCTGATGAAACCCAGTCCAACAAGCTCGGCGCTGTCTACGACGTCACCCAGAAGGTCTGGATGGCCGAGTACTTCGAGGAAGATAAGGACGGCGGTAACCTTGCGACGGCAGGCAGAGTCATGGAAATTCTCAGTGAACACACTGTCGAAGGATGGCTCGAAGGCTACTTGTTGACTGGACGCCACGGCTTGCTCAACAGCTATGAGCCTTTCATCCACATCATCGACTCAATGGTCAATCAACACGCCAAGTGGCTTGAGAAGTGCGCCGAGGTCACCTGGAGACAGGAAGTCGCTTCGCTGAACATCCTGCTGACCTCGACTGTTTGGCGTCAGGATCACAACGGCTTCACCCACCAGGACCCTGGCTTCCTTGATGTCGTCGCCAACAAGTCACCGGAGGTCGTCCGCATCTACCTTCCGCCAGATGCCAATTGCTTGCTCAGCACTATGGACCACTGCTTCAAGTCTTCCAACTACGTCAACGTCATCGTCGCTGACAAGCAAAACCACCTACAGTACCTCAACATGGAAGACGCCGTCAACCATTGCTCTAAGGGTCTAGGCATCTGGGACTGGGCTTCCAACAGTGCTGGCGAAGAGCCTGATATTGTTATGGCCAGTTGCGGTGATGTCAGCACACAGGAGGCTCTCGCAGCCACTGCTCTGCTTCGCGAGCATCTTCCTGAGATCAAGGTTCGCTTTGTCAACGTCGTCGACCTGTTCAAGCTTCAGCCCAACGGCTACCACCCCCACGGCCTCAAGGACGACGAATACGCAGCTATCTTCACTGATGACAAGCCGATTGTTTTCAACTTCCACTCGTACCCATGGATGGTCCACAGGCTCACATACAAAAGAAAGGGCCAGCAGCTCATGAGGGTCAGAGGATACAAGGAGAAGGGTAACATCGACACTCCTCTCGAGCTGGCCATCCGCAACGAGACCGATCGTTACAGTTTAGCTATGCTTGCCATCGACAGCCTGAAGTCTGTCTTGGGCAACAAGGGCTCGTCTACTCGTGAGCATCTGCTCAACAGACGTACCCACGCTATGAACTACGCATACGAGACTGGTCAGGATCCTGATGACTTCGTCAACTGGACTTGGAACTACTAGGATTCTGTCGTTGATTGGCGGGACCTGATCGACATGGCGTTTAACAACACAATTACGAGGCGTTTTTTAAGATAGCTAGTTAGCTGGGTCAATATGATATCTGATACTTTTCACACCCGATAATACAGTTGCTTTGCTTCCTTGACAACTTCTGTGTGCCGGTTTGGCCTTCGTGGTGATTCATTCGACGGTACATGATCCCGTCCCACTGCACTGCCATGAGACCTCCTCGAAGTGCAGTTGCATAACATTATGAGTTAGGGTGAGATGTCTGAAACATTTAACATTGATGAAGAACTCCATATTCTACCCTTCAGCTTTTATGACCACAAGGAAATAATCCATAAACTCCTAAACAGTATGCACAACAATTGCAATGAAACAAGGTAAACAATGTAAACAATCGAGCAGCAGAGAGTGAGAAAAAAAAACATCTACCATCCTCTTCTCTTACCTCTTTCCTCGGCACTCTTCTCCTTTCTCCTTGCCTTTGTAACATCATGCTTCCTCCTCTTGTCAGCCGCATATTTGACAGGCTGACTGACAGCTTCAATTCTCCTCTTTCTTCTTCTTTCTTCTCTCTTGCCGCGAACTCTTTCTTGTACTCCTCTCATCGCAACCACGTATTCTGTGCTTCCTAGCTTCTTTTGTAGCAGGGAAGATACTTCAGTGGCCAAGGCTTTTAGGTCTTGGTATGCCTTTTGAAGTGGTTCGGTTGCGAGGCGGGGAGCGGCTATTGTGGGGTCGGTGAGGAGGTAGAGAGGTGTGAGGATGGAAGAGAGGGAGGGTGTTATGGCGGTGGAGGGAAGGATATTGCAGAGGGAGGCTAGGGCTTGGAGGGCGCCGGTTTTTGCGCTGAGGACGGAGGCGGTGGGGGCGCCGTCGTCGCGGCGGATGAGCGCGGCGAGGCGAGACAGGAGATGGTGGAGGGCGGATGTTGGGGTGGCTTTATCGGTGTCTTCTTCTTCGTCTTCAGCGCCGGCGGCCTCGTCTTCTTCTTCCTCTTCATCATTTTCTTCTTCAGTGTTATTGCGGGCGGTGACGCCGTTTCTGGTGAAGGGAGTTGGGTGTACCCAGTCTACGTCGTTGGCGCTGTAGCAGCGACCAAGGAAGATCAGGTTGCGTACGGTTTGACCAACCAGCTGTTCGCTAACATTGCTGAAACGAAGGGTTCTCAGACCAGCAGCGCACAACTCGTGCAACTCCTTAGCCGTGATATCCATCTTACTGTTTGTATAAAGAGGCAAAGCAGCAAGGCCTTCGTCAGTCTTGGAAGCACTGTTACCCATATCTGCAAACAGCAAACCAAGGAGGCGAGCAGCAGAAAGCTTGACCCAGGCGTGCGGGAAAACAAGACACTTGAAGATATTCGTCCATGAAGCCTTGGCGGCAGGTGCGAGTGAAGTGGAAGGAGCCATCTCTGCCATCTTTGCAAAAGCCTGAAGAGCATAGTAGAGCAACTCCCAATCCTCAGTCTCCACAACGTCGGGGTTGAGAAGCTTGGACACTTGCTTGAAGAGGAAGGAAGTTTCCTTAGCACTTGCCTTGCCGTGACCAATGTAGATGGTCCAGCACTGCAGAGCAATACGACGAAGTAAAACCTGCTCGTCTTGTTCCAACCATGTACGCAACATTGCGACGAAATTGTTGGTGCGCTCTTCATCTGCACGCTGAAGGATCTTGCTGATCAATGCTCCAGCCATCTCACGACATTCGGGAGAGTCGTCGTTGACCATCATCATAACCAACGGCACGAACAACATGCTCGAGAGTTCTTGAACAAGATCACCCTGGGTCTTGGCCAACAACAGATGCAACAGCTCAAGCACAGACTGTCTTCCCTCGACATACTTGTACTCGAGGTTCCGGACCAAAAAGGCAATCTGCTTGTTCAAGCGACTGCCAGCTTGAGGATACTCCATCATGAATGCAAAGTACACACCGCGAGAAAGGTCTCTGGCACTGCGAGTCTGGTTGGTGACCATGATTGCAGCAACAGAATCCATGACCTCGTAGACTTCTGTGATGATGATCTTGCGTGCCACAACAGCCTTGAGGAAGTTGAAGATGACACCTTGACGATCGGGCTCTTCGAGATCAGGCTTGATTCTCTTGAGCACAAAGGCCATGTCGTTCTCCTTGATCTTGATGTCAGGTCTGTCGCGGAGGATGGCGGAAATTAGCTTCAACGAAGACTGAGCCAACTCGGTGATCATGGAAGGAGCACCTCTGAGAATCTTTACGGCCTCTGCCGCATAGACTGGTCCGTTTGACACAATTTGTGACGAAGGTACTCTGATGATAGATGTAAGCAGACGAACAGATGCCATCTGGACTTCTTCTTGACCGCCAATCAAAGCGTCACCAAGAATAGGCAAGAAGCCTGCAAGGTTGGCTGGGGTCTTCATCTCATCATGCTTCGCCAAGACAGCGCGAACAAGATCCAAAGCGAATCTGGTGAGCTTGAAGATGTACGAGCTAGTCGCTCCCTTCTTGCCAGACTTGTTTGCGCTTTGCATCTGAATGAGATACTTTCTGATCTTGTAGTCCTCCATGACGGGACGAACCTTGGCTTCGGCAGTAGCGACGTATACCTTTTGGATGATCTCGTAACCGAAGATGAGAATGTCTCTATCCTTGACGGACATGTTTTGACTGGTACCGAGGCCAATGCGACGAAGAAGTTCATCAATCTTCTTGACAGTCTTGAGATCAAGTTTCTCTAGCAGCAAGGATTGGATAGGTCTGATCAGGTCACCAAGGTGGGAAGTGGTTGTGATCTTGGCGATCAACTCAGCAGAATCGTAACTCTTGCTGCTCTTGACTTCTTTCATCTTACTGATGTACTCCTCGGCATCCTTCTCTTGACCTGCGACACCAAAGATATCGTCCATGACAACAGCGATGATGTCATTAATACAGTGGTCGAGATCGCCAGCTTCTAGAGATGCAATGTTATCAACCAAGATAGAATGCATGGTGAAGGACATGACGTGAAGCTGGTAACCACGTTGCAAAGCGCTACGAAGTTCCTTGATGACGAATTGGAAGTACGATGGGCCAAGAATACCAGTAATCTCAGACAAAGTCTTTCTTGTCATGTCTCTGGCCTCAGCTGCCTTACTACGAAGGACATGGCAAAGGTCCATGAGTACCGTTGGAAGTCTCAGGGCATGCTCGGCAACAGGAAGAACGCGAATAAGCTTGACCACAGCGACACCGACAGGTACACGCAGACTGACAGTCGATTCATCCTTGAGATGCAAGAATGATGTCAATGGTGGCAGGAGCTGTTTGTTGATCTCGTTAGATAGCTTCTCCTCTGTGGGCAGGGTTGCAGCAAGAGGGCTCAGTGCAGGAGCACCATCAGTGACCGACTCGGCCTCGCCATCGACTTCCATAACAGTGTCCTTCTTACGGATGGACTCGGAAGCTCTATCCAGAGCATCAATAACGCGACTGACAATTCTGAGCACGATTTTCTGGAGATCCTGCTTGCTCTGGATATAGCTGACAAATCTCCTCAAGGTCGATCTGTATAGATTCCAGTCCAGACATCCAGAAAGAGCTCCAACAGTGTTGATGGTTTCGGCGGACAAGTTATGAGCACCGTCATCGGTAGCAGGATCGAAGATGAAGTGCTCCAAGAGAGGAATGAAGAACAGACTGACGTTGTTGCTTGAGATGGCACCAGCATGGGCCTCCTCAGAAAGACGTCTCAAAGCACGAAGTCTGCGATGTTGCTGGATGTGCAAGATATTGTTGAAGAATGAGGCTTCCTCGTCACCTTCGACAAGCAGACACGCCATATCGTTAACAGCATCCCAGGCCGAGAAGTTTTTGATCATGTGGGCCAGGACTTGAAGATATTCAGACCTGACCAACTCAGAAGGATCGCGCATACCGCCCTGAAGACCACCATGGAGTCCAGAGACCGTTAAGGTCTTGAACTCTTCGTCTCTGAAATCACCATCCACACTCGCGACCTCGATGAATCTTCTCAGAGTAGTGGAGGCATTAGTTCTGATGGCAAGTTCATCATTATCTCTAATGAAGTACATCATGCTGTAGATAAGTGGCTGCCATTGCATAGCAGTGAAGGTAGAATACTTCTCTTCATTGATAGTGCTGAAAGCAATGGCACGGCGCTCGAAGTCGGGCTCATCAAGTCTCGAGGTCGAAAATGAGTTGAGATCCTCACACAAGGAAGCGACGTAGGAAAGCTCCTTCCTCTCGTCAGCTAACTGCTTGACGACAGCAGCAAGAAGTTCTCTGCTTTCGCGATCTTTGAAGTAACCGAACAATGGACAAAGTGTTGAGTAAACCTTGCTGAAGCGCTCTTCGTCTTTGTTAAGCTCGGCTCCAGGAATGAGATGGAACAATGTCTGCAGCAGATCACGCTTGGTGGTGAAGTGGACAGTTTTCGAGGGTTGACTGAGCAAGAAGATAGAGACGTCAACAACATCACGAATGTTCTCAACGCCAGTGACCAATGGTGCAAGTCGCGAGACACACAAAACACTCGAGTCGAGAATATCCTTAGGGGGAGCCTGTCTTAAGACCGTACCAAGTCTCACAACGAACAGACTTGCTCTAGGTCCTAAAATGGATGCACGTGCTTTGTCCTGCTCCTCAGAGGCATCGATGCTCATCTCGGCATCCTTGAACCGGCGAGGCTGGATGGTATCCAACAATCGTCCAATGATGTGCTCGATGATGAATGCTTTGACTTCGTTCTTCGCGCTAGGAACCACAAGGCAGTCTGCGACAGCGTTGAGTGTCTCCGGGTAGAAGTCTGTCAAGAAGTTGCAGGTGGACAAGGAACTAGCCCAGGTAGAGAACAGACGCAGGAAAGCAGAGACGGATTGTGCGGTCTCGATGGGCAGCTTCTCCAAACGAGGACCAACCAACTCGCTCATAACGATCTTGGCGTAACTATACCAAGAAACTTCGGTACAAGTTGAGAAGACTTGGATCAAACAGTGGAAGCCGGCTTGACGAATAGCACGGTCGAGGGAAGTCAGGGACTCATCCTCCGCAGTGATCTCCTCCTCTACATCAGCCAACGCAGTGTGCGATTTAGTCGCCTTGAGGAGACAAAGCAGGACGGCATCAGCAATCTTTGTTGCGTAGCGATCCAGTCGATTACCAAGGGTGTGCACCATATCATCCAGCATGTTCAACAAACCGACTTGCTTTCTAGGAGCAACCGAGAATCTATCCACGGCTGACTGATCCAGCGCGCCGTCTTTGATAGGCTCCACGTTGGCCAGCGAGCCGAGCGCGATGCTCAGAAACTGCCCAACAATCTCCGCAGGGAAACGGGCAAGGGCAACGAAGACGGCCTTACGACGAGTCTGCTGTCCACGCTTGCCACTTGCCGAGCCAGCTCTTGTTACCGCTTTACCGTATAGGATGCGCAAGAGGACTGGCATTAGCTCGGGACAATCAGCGCTTCGAATAGCGTCGCCTTCCTCCTCAAGACGAAGGAACACAGACACTTCTTCTCTGAACCTCGCATCGTCGAGGAAATTCAGCAAATGCTCTTGGTACTTGATGATGCTGGGTGTTTTCCAGGCAAGAATCGCCTTAAGGGTAGACTTCTGGATCTCGTTGTCACCGTTGGTGAGGAGATTTAGTAAAGCCTGGTAAACTTCAGTTGCCTTGAACAATACTCTGGGGTTCTGGAATTGGGCGAAGACGCCGAGCATGGCCTTCTGGTCTTTGCGACCCCAATGGCGAGTGTTCCCAGTCTCCTCTTCTTCCTGCGCTTCACTCTCGTCACCTGCCCATTCTAGCAATACGGGAACCAAAAGGCGTGAGCGTTTCTCTGCCAACTGTGGCATAGAGTTCAAGGCGCGGAGTGCTTGTGATCGCTCGGAGAGAGAAGCCACTGCTGTTTGAATATGGTCTCTCTTGAACTGGTTTTCAATTCCTTGGTGAAGATCTGCGAAAAGAGCCTCGGAAATCTCGATATCTTTTTCAATCTGGTTCATGTTTGAACACTCGAAGTCGGAGCTGACATGCTCGATGCTTCGGTCTGGCGCTGCTTCTGCTTGTACTGCACCACCTTCTGCGTCCGCATGACCCTGGAGCCACTGCGTAATCGTGCCGGTGATGAGCTCTTCCGCCTCGCCATGCGCAGTCATTTCCTTCAGCGCTGCGATGGAGTCTTCCCAGGCTTGCGCAAGATGAATGTGCAGGAGACCAAAACAGTAGGTGGGAATAGCCTTAGACAGTACTGGGTCGGAAAGAACATCGGGATATCCGAGAGCTAGCCTTCGGATCTGTGACGAGATGAAGCGGGCGGTCTGCACACTTGGTGGAGTATCTTCGATTGAGAGAGCATGCGTCAGCAACTCAGGAACATCTTGCTGTCTCTTTTCATAAATCGTGTGTAATATCCGTAACCCGGAGAGTCTGAGGTCGTGACTTGGTGTCTTCAAACACTCGATTAGATTGACAACAAGAGAGTCCATTTGTTCTCCGGTAAATGCGATGTCGGCCTTCTGCAAGACCGAGTTCAACGCAGTCCAGTAAGGCACAAGCTTTTTGCACCGCGTGGAGGCAGAGCACAAAGCTTCTGCAAGTCGCTTGTCCTGAAGTATCTCACTAAACTCGTCCGAAATGTACTGGAAACCTTGGCCTAGAGCGAAAAGATCCCAGCCTCCAATCTCGGAAGATGATGACTTTGCTGCAGACTTAAGCAGGCTGAGAATACTGGCAGCGATTGATTTGCGAGTTTCTTGATCACCCTGAGAAATTCGTAGCACTGCCAGATGACCGTTACTCATGTGCAGAGTTTCCTTGTCATCTGGTATCGTTTTCCCTTGAGCCTTCTTTAGTCGTTGCAGCATGACCTTTTGCCACTCCAGAGGACATTGCAAAGGTGTTTTAGCAAATGTGTTCTTGCGAGACATAGAGGGAAGCATTGCGCAAAGGGCCGTCTCATTCTCCTTCCAGTGATTGACGATGAATTTCTGGAAGATTGGCAACACGAAGCTTTGGAAGCGTTCCTGGTTAAGTTCTGCGAAGATGTTGCAGAAAGGAAGGAAATGGCCGATCCACTTGCCACGGCTAATGGTGTCGAGGATAGCAAGCTCCTGGAGGACTGCATCGAAGGGTCCATAATTAAGTACCACGGCCAGCGTGTTTAAGAGTGCAGTCAATGTGTCAGAGTCAACTTGCTTCGAGGCTTTGTCGGCATTCTTGATCATGCTTGTGACGCGCTTGACGTATGTCGGCCAGTCCGATATTCTGCTGCCCTTACGAACGGATGCCGCGGTGAAGAGGAGGGTGTTCGCTGCGTCCAGATTTTCTACTGCGTCCTCATACTTGGGATCTGTGAATTCGAAGATAGCCTCCTGGACCGACTCGAAAGTTTCGGGAGTAGTGTGATGAATGACACTGATCAGGGAGCCTCTGAGAATCTGCAATGACCTGCTTTTGAGGAACTCTGAGTGGTTAGCGTTGAAGCAGAATCTGGTCAAACATTGCAGAACAGTGTTTCCTCCTGAATGGAGCGTGCCTTGTACTCCCTTGATAGATTCCGTGAACAAGGCCATCAAACCCTGAGAATACAAGTCGTCTGAGGCCGTCTCGTTTGAGGCAAAGTCGTTGAGCATGTGGTCGACAATAGTATCCAACGGTTCCTTGCTCTTGTGGTATGTGGTTCCAGCCTTTCTCACTAGGAAACTCATTGCTTCCGAAGCAAATCGGACGACGTAGGGCTTCTGCTTTTGCTTTCCTAGATATGGCGACATGAGGTCGTACAGAGGTCTGAGATCGGGGACTAATAGGCGCGAAAGGTACTTGAAGAGGAAGGCGAGGCAGGTAAAGGACCACTCGACGACCTCGGGCTCGGCGTTGCTGGCTGCGACATGTGCGACGGTTGCGACAGCTCTTTGGAAGTGCTTCTCGAAGCGGACATCGAGGTCGTGTGCGAAGTGTGATAGGAGGGCGAGCAGGGGTTCGAGAGACATGACATCTCCCTTTGTGATGTATGTGATCAAGTTGTCCATGATGGCCTCCTCGTGGAAGATGACCATGGCCAGAGTGTCAGAGATGTTGTAGATCTGTTTGGCGAAGGCCGAAAAGTTCTCGGACAAGTTGAGGTCCTTCCATTCATCCAGCGCGGTACGGAAGTATGATGACTCTCCCTCCAGCTCGTGGCTTCCCTCTGCACCCACTCCTCGCCGAGTGCGACGAAGCGGGTCAATCTTCATCTTTGAGATCCTCTGGGCGAATCTTTCGAAATGGTGTCGTCGACTCGACGGTGTCGACTTCTTCTTTCTTTGTGTTTTGACGACCTTTGTGGCCGTCTTGGCCGACTTGGGCCCATTTGAAGCGCTTCCCCTCGACATACCCGCCATGTCGTACTTTTGAAATGCTATGGCAAAAAAGTTGCTTGAACTTTTGAACTTTCTTCAACAGCGCGACCAACTCGCGCCAAGACTCTGGGGAAGTGGCTTGACCCTGACGCTGACGCTGCACCAGCCACACCGAGGCTTCGACTCCATCAAATCGCGTCGAGGCACTTTTGATTTCTTGATCAACTTTCTCTAACGGCATATTTTCCCAACGACCAGCCTCAAGATGGTCTCGAAGATGTACGTGAAGTTATGTCTAGATACTACGGACTCCGACTAATCCACCATTAGTGCAGTTGTGGGCTCAGTGAACGGCCAAGTTTCTACAGTCTTTGAGAAACTATCAGCATTGCACGCTAAAAATGCCTTTGCCTTTGCCATAATCAGCGGCGACTTATTCGCGGACCCGATCAATGCCAGTCCTGAGGAGGAAAGCCAGTTGAAAGATCTGCTCGATGGGAAAATCCAAATAGCCTTGCCGGTCTATTTTGCTCTTGGCAAACGCGAACTACCCATCGAAGTACAGGAGAAACTGAGCGCCAACGCAGGCGAGCTATGTTCGAATCTCTACTTCCTCGGCAGGCGGACTACCGTCAAGACATCTGAAGGCGTCAAGATTGTCGCCCTTGGTGGGGCCCATATGGATGCTGTTTCAGACAAAGCCTTGATCACTGAATACAGTCCAAGTCACACACCAGAAGACGTCAAGGTTCTGAGAGGTGCTAACACTGCCGATATCCTGGTGACCAGCGAGTGGCCTGCTGAGATCCGCACTGGTTCAAATGCAACTTATACTGGAGACGAGCCCATTTCGCAGCAAGGCGTTGCAGACCTTTGTACTGTTCTAAAACCCCGTTACCACTTCTCCTACTCAGATGGTTTCCTGGAACGCGAACCTTTCTTCCATGCTCAGGGTGAAGATGACAGCGGTTATCAAGTGACTCGTTTTATCAGTTTGGCGCCGTTCGGAAACGCTGCTAAGCAGAAGTGGATATATGCCTTCACGCTGGACACCTCGGTAGCGCCTACTGCAACTGTACCATCGGGAGTTACAGCATCCCCATTGCAGTTCGCTGCAAAAAAGCGCAAAGCTGTTGAGTCCCAAGCTCAGTCATTCTCCCGCTTCTCTGGCAGTGGTGATGGTGGTGGTAGGCAAAGAGGTCGCAACAAGCGCCCTCGACCGAACCCAAACCCATCAGAATGCTTCTTCTGCTTGTCTAACCCCAACATTGCATCACATCTTATCTCTTCAATTGGAGACAGCGCCTACCTGACGACAGCAAAGGGACCGCTCCCAACTCCCAAGACTTTCCCATCCCTAGGATTCCCGGGACATATGCTGATCATTCCTCTTGAGCACTCACCTACGCTTGCCTCAATACAGAATCAGGAATCCAGGAAGACCACTATCGCAGAGATGCATCGCTATCGACTTGCATTGCAGAGCATGCTGACCAAAAGATCAGAGGATGCTGCTGAAGCACACAAGCTTGGTGCGGTCACTTGGGAGATCAGCCGTATAGGTGGTATACACATCCATTGGCAATTTATGCCGGTGCCTCGGGACCTCATCCGCAAAGGATTGGTGGAAGCAGGTTTCAAAGTCGAAGCCGAAAATCAAAGCTACCCAGCATTCGAGTCATCGAGTGTTTCGACTGACGTAGCATCAGAGGGTGACTGTTTCAAGGCTACCATCTGGGATGGAGCAGAAGAGAAGACCATGGTCCTTCCGCTAGACTCATCATTCAGATTCGACCTACAGTTCGGACGAAGAGTCCTGGCTAAATTGCTAGGTCTTGAGGGTCGATCGCACTGGCAGGACTGCGACCAGAGCGAAGCAGAGGAAATGACAGACGTCGAGAGTTTCAAGGCGGCATTCGCTCCATTTGACTTCTCGCTCGAATAAATAGCAGTCAATATAGTCAGCATGCAACCATCTCGGTGCAGTCGCAACGGTTCTACTTTGGGAACTTGCAAATAAAAAGTGACCCAGACAGAATACGACCATGCCCACAGGTTCTGGTTTTGTGCATTAGTACATACTTCCAAGTAGAGGTGCCATTCATGTTGCGGGTCTGGTTGATAGGCGCATGGCCATGACGGCTTCCCGAGTTGAGCCGCCAATGCAGTGATGTGCTCAACAAGCGCGAGCAATTAATCAAGGAAGAACGCCGTTGCATTGTCTGTGTATGCAGGGCCAATCAATAAAGACAATCGTGCACACAAACGTTGGAAGAGAAGTTGAAAAGTCACCGTCAAACAAGGCACATGTTCGATACGAGATAAACAGATAGACGTTTGCGGCCTTGTAGCAAGGTTCCGATGACAGGTTCAGCGCGCGCACCGATGCTCGCGTGTACATAGTCTCTCAAAGAGTGCTATATGCAGCCCTCACGCACTCATATATGTTGCCTGCAAAATCAGCCATTCCGCATCCCTGCGACTGAACTTACAAACGAGCCAAGTCCAAGTCAGTGCTATGTTTGCAGATTGACAACATAAATAAATGGATGCATTTTCTTAGGTTCAGATGGCTATAACAATGGTTGGGGGGAACATGCGATGCGGCGGTGCTCGAAATGCAGAGCGGAACAAAAATCACCACCCAACGCTACGGTCTGGGTTTCTCGGCGTTGCCAGCGGAACGATCGCCAGAATGCGAACAAGATGCACAGCACGTGTGGAGCTGGGGCAGCGACAAGTAGCATGCGGCGGCATTTGACGCAAGGTCGGTGTGATAGTGGCCTGTTGAGGTTGGCCGCCGCATGATCCAGCGCGTATAGCTTAGGCGACGTTCGCATGTCACACCGCATAGACCGCGGCTGCTGTAATTATGGTGGCCATTTTGGGGGGCTTGTCCTTGTTGACTACCATGAATGACGAGTGTTGTGGGAGGAGAGCCGGCACAAATAGTCAAAACAGCCTCCAGAAAGTGCGATGATCGAATGTTTCGGGAGACGAGACCGAGTCAAGATGTTGTGGAGTGGTAAAAAGCAAAAAAAAGCAAATCGCCTACATAAAATAGAGGGCGAGCACGGGGCTTTTACGAATCAAGGTCGATGCACGGGCCGCAGAAGCCAGAAGCCAGAAGCCAGCCAGGGTCGGTATCGTTCGCGCCTTCCGCTCCCTCGCTCACGTCTGTTTCGCTCCTTCCTTCCCTCAGCACCCGTTCTCAAAGCGCAACTGTCGATCAATTCACCCTCCGCCCTCCGCCCTCCGCTGTCACTTCTCGTCGTGTTTGCGCATTGTTGTCCTTGGTGCATTCCGACACACTAGATGGCCGATTAAATCGACGACACCGCATCGCGTCCACTCCCGCTTTGTTGTGATCCGCACGCGCATCCGGCCCACCAGCGCGACCGCTGCCGCAACTATCCTGCATCTCGAACGTTAGCAGCCTTAGACATCAAACAACCACAACCCTAGCTGCCCCTGACACTCGCTCTCGACCCCTCATTGCTATCGCGCATCACTCCCGACAACTTTCTCGTTTGTTGTTTAGCTGCGCGCATCCAGACGCCATGGCTTCGCACAGGCCCAGCGCGTCCGTCACGCTGCCACGCGACTTCAAGTTCGGCCACGAAGACGGAGAAACACCACAGACACCTGCTAGACCTTCGACCGCTGTCGACTCATTTGATCTTGAAGCCCCTGTGCTTCCTAGACAGACATTCAAGTTGCGCCGTCGCCCACGCGACCAGCAAACTGGCGCAATGGACGAGGCTCCCATTCTTCCCAGCATCGAGATGACAGAAGCAGATGAGCCGGCTCACTTCGCTTCTGCTCTCCACATGTCTTCTCCAGGATACCTCGCTCCGCGCCCTGGTTTCTTCCGTCTGTCGTCACCGCCCAAGACACCTGCATCTCAGGTGACATCCTATACCATCGAAACAACGGATGCTACAGAATGGTCGATGTTCCACCCCATTCACCTCCACGACATCATCCAGCGACCATCATCTGCTGGATCGACCTTCTCTGATTCTTCCGCAACCTCGCAAGGTAGCAGCTTCGACTCAAAGTCCTCCTTCGATGCCGGCAGCTGCACCAGTCCTGAAAGCGACGTTGGCGATCCTTTCGCCTACTTTGATCGCAAGTTCGGAATGCCGGGCTCGACCACTCCATCCAGCCGTTTCCCGAATGCAAAGCGTGTCAAGACGATGCGCCATCCTCACTTCACTCCAGAGATGGATAACCATCTCTGGTTCACCTACATGACCTACGTCCAGGATCCGAGAGTCACTCCGTTTAAGATGCTACCTGGCACCTCCCCACCTTTGGGCGTCTGTCATCGTGTCGCGCGTGAGGCAAAGGCATCGTGGCGCGGAAACCGCTTGTCGCAAGCGCCCTACGGCATTCCTCGCATCTCGATCCAGAGCGCTGATTCCCCTGATCCTATCTCTCCGTCCGACCTTATGGACCAATCTACCCCTACTGCTGCCTACTCACATCCTATCGCGCTTAAGTGGCCGCGCTCCGAGGGTGCTACGCGCCGCCGTCTGCGCGAGTTGTGTAAGCGCAAGCCTTCTCTTTCTGCACACTACATGAGGCTGCTGCGAACCCGTAGTCCTTCTCCCTTCGAGTCTTCAAGCAGCGTTAGTGCTAGTAGCAGCCCAAACCAGCCCTCTGCCCCTGTCGCTCAGCCACCTACCCCTCAGCCTTCATCGTTTTCGAGCCGCAGTCTGAACGTCTCGCTTGCCGAGGCGACTGCTCCTTCGATGCAACTAGACGGGCCGCTGGCTCAACTTCACAACCGTACACCTCAGCCTTCCATGGCTCCCATGGCACCTCAGCAGCGTCGTGGCTCTGACTGGTACGCTCGTATTGGCCGTTCCGGAGCACGGGCTGCTCATCAGAAGAGTCAGTCCCTGCAACTTGGGTTAGGCTTGGGTTCTTCTTCTGGCATGCAGTCAAATCCCTTCGAGCGTGGCAGTATCCTTGCCTCGCCTTTCGATGACAGCGAACCATCACGTCAAAACTTCCTGGACAACATGAGCAAGACACAGTCACTTGGACGTGCCTTCTTGAATGACAACAACAACCGTCTTACAGACGCCGGCCCTTCGTTGCGCTCCCCCTTCCCACTTGATGGTCCCATGCCAAGTGTCAAGTCTCTGAAACGCAGATTTGGTGTTGACGACCAGTCAGCCCCCCAGCAGCCATCGCTGGAGGATGTCTTTACCGCACCCCCAGCAGTCACTCCTCATCCTATGCGTAATCGCGGCTTCAGCTTGGGTGCTGTGAACGGTATGGCGCAGAATGCGAACACCAGCTTTCCGCAGCTGTTCACGCCCGCGTCATCGACCGCTGATCGCAACATGGGCGAAACCTCGGCCAGACTCAACCTACCAAAAGTTGCACAGCCACCCAGGCTCGGTTCTCCCTTCGGTGGTGTTTCGAATAACCGTTTCAATACCTTCCCTCGCCGCTTCACACCTCGTGAAGCTGAATTGACGGAACAGCCATTCGAGGATCCCACTCGTCATATGCCCGCCGGATCTCAGCCTGACTCATGACTCGATTGAGCCATTGCATGCAGCTGTCTCCATGTTCCATGGGGACACGATGCACGAGTCTCTCATTCCTCCAGACCAACAACGATCAATCACGACTATTATGAACAAATCTGACGAAGAAGATCATTGAACTTTCACTTTCAACTTTATATGACTTCTTCTAATCTGTCTTTTCTTCACTTCGGCGGGCCACTGTACAGTGCGCTCAACTCTCTGGCGCTGGCCTTCTTTTCTTACTCTCATTCTCGCACACTACTTTTACTGCATCTTTTCGTGTTCCTTCTTCTTCAGTACTGTTGTTCTTTCTTTTCCTTCGTCTCTTTGACGTATCAACGAGACCAGCGATTCCGAGCCACGCAGACATTATACAATGCATAACAAGATGGTGCACACAACGGGGTCAGGCAGGCGCAAAAGGCTGCTTTCTATGGGGTTTCTTTCTTTTTCTCTTTTTACTTTGAAACATGTTGGTAGAAAAGCCTTTGATGATGTTTACATTGGAGGGTTCTCTGTCAATAACAATACCAAAAAAAAAGAGGAGGCGCAAATCGTGGGTATGATTTTCTGGAAGTGCATTGGCCGGAGACGCATAGGACGGTTTGGGACGGTGTTCTTCTCCCTAGCATGACGGTCTCTTTTTCTTTCTGGGGTTTCTGGGTCTTTTCACGTTTTATACAGGTCAGGAGTTCCATTTGATCTCTTGATGAATTACACCTTTTTCACTTTGACATTTTGCTCATGTCCTTGGCTTGGTCTTTGCATTTTTCTCATGCGTTACGAGGTTGCTTCCCATGTGCTAAATGTTCTCACTTCCCTGTCAAGTCAGAGGGCAAAGATAGGCTGCAGCAAAGCACAATACTTTTTCATCATTTTGGACATGCCAAGAGAGAGGTATCGTTTCATCGACTCTCCACTGAGAGCGCTGGGACCACGATTATGCCTTCCCACAGCGACCTAGGTGCTCTGCATCTATCGTGGAGAAAACTGTGCATGACACGATCTACAAATAAAGCTATCTGTTTGTCTCCTGGCTAGGCCAACCACTCCATACATCATCACTAGAACGCTTACGCGTCGTCAAAGCGATGAGCTGCAGGACCCAAATTTGCCCACGTCTTTGGCTCTACCAGCTTTTCCTCTGGTAGCTCGGCTTTTGGTAGCTCTTCCTCTGGCAGTTCGACCTCTGATTGCTCGGCTTTCGGCGACTCTTCCTCGACCAGGTCTTCTTCCTTTGCCATCTCTGCCTTTCTCATGTCTTCCCTCCACTCCTTGTAACCGCCTACTTCCTCAGAAACTACGTCAAACTGACCACAGCTCTTTAGTCTCTCTGCCATCCGATCAACCTGATCTTCCTGACCTCTCATATCATTTCCCAGATGCTTCAATTCTTGATCCTCCTTCCCAAAAAGATCTTCAGCGTCTTCTTTCTGCTTCTCAATGACCTTTGCACAAGAGTCTCTTTCCTGCATCATTTTTGGAAGTCTATCCTCTGCTTTGATGTGTCCATCTGGAAGGAGAGGCGTGGATGAGGTTGCAAGTGAGGTAGTTGAGGGTGCTGCGCGTGATGCAGAGTCTGATGCTGCTGATAGAGAGTCTATCGCTGCTAACAGAGAGACTGGAGTGCTCGAATGTTGACGGTCGCACCAGACCATGATGGTGGGACGTTGTCGACGTTCGTCGAGGCGTTTCATTATTTTCGACTTCACACTGATAGCAGTGGACTTTTGGTTTGGAGAGTAGCAGTCAGAGTGTGAGAGATTTGGAGACGCAACCTTTTATACTGGTGCTAGTCTCTAGCCCATCCATTCACTGGTTCCGATATAGAATATCTAGATATTTGCGGTACTTTGAGCGATTTTGTACGTGCTGAATGGAAGCCATCGAGCATCTTTTCCCAGTGCGTCTCTCAGTACTTTGACTGAACGATTGATGATTAGGACGACGACGTCTTGCTCTCCGACTCATCTGGAACTGGGCTATTTTCCAGGATATCCTCATTTTTCGCGATCTTCGACTTTAGCCATGTGACAGGGTTGAAGCCTTTTGCAGGGGCCGTCAAATCAACGAGGTGTGGGGATGTACCATTAGTGAAGACATGGATCTGGTCAAAGTTTTGCAAGTGTAGCTGCTGTGGTCAGTACTTACAATCTTGAATCTCAGAAAAGGTGTCGACACACTGAGTTGGCGGTGTCAGTCTCAAAGATGTCGACATAGCCTTTTGCCTCGTGTGATTCGCAAGTCTTGAAGGATACCTTTGGGTGTCTTTATCGATCATGTGCGAGAGCCTCGTTCATTGGTGCATTGCGGTGCATCTTCATGAGAGTCCTTCCTTGCTGAGCTGTATGGTCATCCTTGTAAATGAAGGAGAGGACTACGACAGCTCTTCCGGCATGATTCTCATCTCTCACAGTCTCTGTATCGCTGAGGTCAAACGAGATGATCTGGTGGAACTCCAGTCAGCAGATCACACAGACAAAATGGCTTGTTGCTTACTGTTGATGGTGTCATCATGCCTTTAGTGGAAGCAACATCGACCCTCGCAGTCGACTTCTGAAGCTCTTCGAACCTTCCGAGGAGGTTGACATAGTCCATCTACAGCTGTCGAGATTTGACACGCTATTCTCTAAGCTCCTCGGGAAGCTCTTGATTCTTTCCGGACCATTGTGACCGGCTATCGCGATCCTCTTTTGCCGCGTTATAGGCTGGTTCATTGCATTCGTGATCAGCCCAAGTTATGGCATTATGTCTGCGAGGCATGGTTATTGGAGATGATGTGTTCAAAGTCGTGGCTTGATTCTGTGTGATAAACCAGGAAGTTACGAATCACACCATGCTAACGAGCAAGTTTTTTGCCATGTGATGCGATAAAATCTTAACTAAGGAAAGAGCGTTAGTTTAGCATGTGCAACTTCGATAGAGCGACTTTATGACGACAGAATCAGTCAGGAAGTATCGAAGAACTGTCGCTAAGCCTGAAAGCCAGCATGTGGACGCTCATCTGAGTCACAACAAAGCAGCTTGTACTCCACTGGACAAAGGTGTAGAGAAGACTGATCTTTCCCAAGCAGCTCTAGAAAATCACACCGCTTCAAATCCGCCGAAATGCTCACCTTATTCTCACTACCGCACGAGCTGATAATCCGAATTTTCGAGGAATGCCCAAGTGTCCGCGCAGCGGTGAATCTCTCAAATGTCAGCAAGCTCTTCCGTGTCATCTGGCTCGGTCATGAACGGATCGCCGAGGGTCTCATCCGGACAACAATACCGTCAGCGGCAGAGACCGTGGATCTGGCCATGACAGAAACGTTGATGATGAGAGGGGCTTGTGAATCCCCACTATCGCAACTCTGGATACCTAGGCTAGTATACATCGCACACCTCGCCGAGATTGCGACCAGCCTTTGCAGCGAGAATAATCGATGCACGTTTGTCGTTTTACCTGACACTTCTTCTTACTACAATATTCGCAGGTGTATGCTTGCCTTCATCTTTCCACTATTGAGAAAAGATTTGCAGACACCTCTCATGAGGGTGCCTCTTGACAAGTTACGCAAAGCGTTGTCCTTCAATATTGCGCTAGGCTATGATGACGGCTGGAGGTCAGATGACCGACTCGCGGTGCTCTCTATGTTGACGAGGTCTCCCTCATACATGAGATATGGACGGGAGATGTGGGCTTGGACAGATTTGGTTCTGGGAGCGACTGTTACTAGCAAGAGGCTTAGTCATGACTGCCTGACTGCAGCGATCAAAGCCTCCTGATCATGAACTTTAGTCCGCTCTGATCTCTTGTACTAGAGTCACATCAGCATAAGGAACTGCGAAAGAGAGCCTGTAACTAGCATCTCCTCCACAGACATCACCGCTTTTAGAGGCTGTCGAAATGCAGAATGCATTATCGATATACCAGCGCGTCTGCTGGGAGTCAACAAACATCCAGAATTGCCGCAGGCCTAACAGTGTTTCGTGCTCATATACACATTGTACAGTTATACTCTGCCTTTTTACAGTGTATCTAGCACGGCGGCTCTTCGTTGAGGTAGATCAGTACCCAGAAATCCAGCAGCCCTGGATGGACTCTCCGTACCTGACGTTGCGTGAAAACACAGCTGTGGAAAGGCACAATCAATTTGAGATTTAAGCTCCATCTGTGGGGAGACGTGTGAAGTGACCGCTCTCTGGGGACAATTGCACTAATCTCAAATGTACCGTGCCTTTCGGCAGCCGTATGAGATCAGTGTCGTGCCTGTTGGAGGAGTTACACCCGGCCAGTCAACAACAGGCCACTAGAAGGATGATGTGCAGGTTGCTGTTAGCTACTGTCTTTTTTGGTCCGCAGAGCAACTTGTGCTTGAATGGAGGCAGGATGCGTCCAACTCCTGATGCTACACTAGCCTGTGTGCGAGATAAGAGTCCCTGCATCAAACTGATGTAGAGCATTGGATCAGGTGCACGATACCGAGACACCTTGGCTCCTCCGGCCAGGAGTTACAGGCCTGGTACAGTAAAGCACAACACCTCCCGGTGGGTTGTGCCAGGTCAATGTCGAGTGATAGCTCGGGTGTGGACACTACAGCACTCTCCCCAACACCCATGTTGGGGAGAAGTACCTCTCCTAGACAACAGCAATGTACTCATACCTGTACGAAAGACCTGTACAAGAGCAGTCGAAGTCTCAAGACTAAGTTACAGTATGAGATACCTGCAGGCTTCTCTTGACTACGTCGTCTCAGCGTTGAGTTCCAGAGATCACGACGGGAAGAGAGACAGCAGGAATAGGTTGCACTCGACCACTGCAACGGAAACACACCCCGTGTTTCCCGCCCCGTGTTCATCACGACACAATTGACGGATGCAGACATCGACCCCGGACGAGACTTGTTGGGCCTCGACGATATCGAGAATAGACCGGACCTGTGTCTCGGCACTATCATCACTTGCGCGGAGCGACGACAGCCAGGTCTCGACACCATCAACCACGCGCATCGACACTCGGGTCCCATCATCAACACCACCCCCAAAGCACGACGACCATCGGGTCACAAAACCATTGATCATGTCATTCCGTGTGCTCCCAAACGATAACGTAGCCAACGACCCCCATGTCGCCGATCACTGGAGCGCGACGGATGCTGGCCTGAACCGGGAGTACACCCTCGTCGACAGTGACCTGACGTGCGAGCCCGAGTACGATGTTATCCCCGACCCAAAGACTACGCTTGTCGAGAAGAACCCGAAACAGCCTCCCCACCCTCTCAACTATTACGCAGCCGACAGAAGCTATACCAGAGAGCTTGCTGAGCGCATGGGCTTCTGGGTGTCGGACCCGGCTGCTCGCTTGGACGGCGGCAAGCAAAGAAGACCCGACAGACGCAGCGACACAGACCGGGCTTCTCAGAAGGAGACCGAGGCGGAGGCTTGGATCGATAACATCAAGAACGACATCCAGTGCCTCTGGAACAACATGGGCGTCGGTCAGGACCTCCTCTTCGACGAGTTACAGACCTTCAGAGAGTCGTTCTTCTTCGTGTGCAGAAAGAAGCTCGAGGAGATCGAGAAGGTGTTCAAGGAAATCAGCTTGGCCCAGTTTCAGATGGAAGTACGCACCCTGCTCGTCTCACTCGATCTAAAGCTTTCCGAAGATGGTCTCAAGATCATGAAGTACATGGCCACCGACAAGCAAGTACTTCACAACCAGCACACCTTCACCTTCGAAGAACACAGAGATCTCAAGTTACGCGCCAGCAGAATGATCGCTCAGTTGTCCGGCAAGGAGCGCGGCATGCTCCACGGGCACCTTCTCTGCGAGATGGCCCCTGTACAGAGAGAGATGTTCCTGCGCCAGAAGCTGGACCCCGTTCGTCGTCACTTCAGTAACCGCGCCATCAACGAGTATGTCGACGAGAAGAAGAAGAAGTTGGACGAAGCCTTGGACGCAAGAAGTAGGATGTGAGAAGTTTGGCGAAGGATGGACTGCAGTATGAGCTGCTAGATCCTGCTTTGTCGACTGTCGTTATTTGCAGACTGCGTAGGAAGCCGGGAGCGGCAGTGATCAGGAAGAATTCGCTTACCAACAATGAAGATGCGCATTGTGGCTTTCCATAGCTGTTTAGATCGGATGGTTGCTGTTCATCACTTTCTCAGAGCTGGTCAAGGAGTTTCTAATAAAGGGCAATCAGAGGAGCATAGCATCAAGCTCTTTTACACAACACAATACAATAACACCGCTGCTCTAATTCTCCCACATCTTGTATGCTGGCGTGATTCTCATGCATGTTGACACTCATCGCAGTTGCTGGATTATGTTTAGGAAAGAGCTGTCAGAGCACGCGACGTTCTGCCAGCCCTCGGAAGCCGACTTCCGAAGACCGCGTGTAGTTCTCGCGTCAAGAGCCTCGTCACGAGGCACACGGATTTCTTACCGCGACAAGATGCCGTCCAAAAATGCACCTGGTTTTGACTTTCACGACTCCGCTCTTTGCAAGATTTGGTTGGGCGAGAACTGCCATTCGAAATGCCATTCAAGACGGAGTGTCTCGCAGCAATGTTTTGGAGACACTCAAGAGTCACGCGACAAGAAATCGTGTTTGGTACTCGTAGGACTGCTATGGACCACATTGACCAAATGGTTTGGAGTGACTTTTGCAATGAGCAATCCATCCCAAGAGTGTAAGTAGTATACAGCGACCATGACAGATGCAGAAGCAGGAGTAGGCATGAGATACAAGGTGATGGTTCGACTGATTGTTTGACACCATTATAGTTGTTGCCAAGGGGGATTCCCGGCAATGATTACGGCGGATGCTGCTCTTTCGGGTGGGAAAGCATTTGCCCGAACGGCGATCTCGCGGTTCCTCTTTATCTTGAGTCCTGCACTTTCCTTGCAGTGACTTATTTCTCATGGACTTGCTATCATCTGTACACAATTAGACCTTACTAATGCGTCTCCAAAGGCAATTGGTTTACTTTCATCCACCCTTCTTTGAACACTAAAGCCCGTCATGAACACGGATCTGGAGAAGCACAGGCAAACAGAGGAAGCCGAATCACCCCACTTTGGCAAAGAGTCCTTTGAACAAGACATTGAATCTTCTGGCTCAGACGACAATGGAATCACCCTCAAACGAACTGTATCGCGAAAAGCACCACATCCTGAGTGTCCTCGCTGCAAGCAAGGTCTTACAGATGAAGAAGGAGAACCTTGCCACGAGCATGATGGCTTCGAAACAGATCCGAATCTCGTTCTCTGGGATGGAGATGACGATCCAGCGAAACCCATGAACTGGCCCATGTGGCGTAAAATGTGCTTCTCGGTCGTCGCTAGCTGCTTCGTCATTGCAGTGTCAATTTCCTCCAGCATCTTTGGCCCAGCTACTCGAGTCACTGCTCAGATCTATGGTGTCTCTCACGAAGTTATGAATCTGGGTATCACGCTACACATTCTTGGATTTGCTTGTGGACCTCTCATCTTTGGACCTTTGAGTGAAGTGCTCGGACGTACTATACCCCTCTGGATCGGTCTTTTCTTCATGGGTCTCTTCCAGATTCCAGAAGCTGTTGCCACAAATGTCGCAACTATCCTTGTATGTCGCTTCCTCCAAGGCTTGTTTGGTAGTGCCATCTTTGCTGTTGTCAGTGGCATGTTCGTCGATATCTGGTCACCGATTCATAGAGGTGTCGGACTGGGTCTATCAGCCACATGTATCAATCTTGGCTCGACATTTGCTCCCATCATCGGCGCCTATGCAACAAACCATCTAGAGTGGAGATGGACGGCCTGGCTCACACTTATTTACTGCGGCTTGATTGGCTTCTTTGGCCTGCTCATCATACGTGAGAGCTTCGAGCCGGTCCTCCTTGCTCGCAAAGCCAAACGTCTGCGCGCGAAGACGGGCAATGAGCACTTCTATGCCAAATTCGAAGAAAATCCCATTGACTTCAAGATCCTGATCCACAAGTATGCCACAAAACCAATAAGGATGTTTGTTCAGGAACCCATTCTCATCTTCTGCACAATTTACCTTACGATCGTTTACGGCACACTCTTCCTATCATACCAGGCCATCCCATTCTCATTCCGCAAACGTGGCTGGAGCCCTTCAGTCTCATACCTCCCCTTCATCGCCGTAACCCTCGGTATCATCAGTGCCTGGATCCTCTTCTCAATCTTCACCTTAACATGGTACAAGCGTCGCTGGCTAGTAAACAAAAGCGCACCACCAGAAGACCGTCTCCCACCCATGATTCTTGGCGCCTGCATCCTCCCACCCGCTCTCTTCTGGTTAGGCTGGTCTCAAGAAACCCACTGGGCTTCTCAAGTCATAGCCGCCTATTTTGTTGGCCTTGGTCTGCTTCTCATCTTCATCTCTGGTATCGTGTACATTGTCGATACCTATCTTGTAAACTCCAACTCTGCAATGTCCATCCACATTGTTGTAAGGAGTATTGTATCTTCTTCTTTCCCTCTGTTTGCGGGACCTATGTTTGAGGGCTTAGGAACAGGGTGGGCTTGCTCAGTATTAGGATTCGTGTGTTTGATCATGGTCCCAGTGCCGATTGTGTTTTACTACAAGGGCAAGACTATTAGAAGTTGGAGTCGTTTCGCGCCGGATTAGAGTTTATTCCCATTCTTCTATAGATGATAGCAATACATGCAGATAGCTATCTTCACCGACGGCAAGTCGATTGTTTTCAAAACTTCCGATCTTACCCATAGATGGTCCACAGCTGTACATACGAGCGCAAGAACCAAGCAGTCACGGGAGTAAGGGGAAGGGCAACATCGACACTCCTCTCGAGCCATCACGGCCCTTGAAGGCCGCCAGTCTGTCTTGACTATCCGCCTTGTGGATACTTGCACACAACGACCAAGGAGTCTACCTGCGAGACTGTTTGGCCAAAGCCGACTGACCTGGCTTGGGCAGACACTAGATGGCATTGACGCGCAACAAGAGCAGATACACTAATGGACGTCAAAAAATTCGTAGCGCGCAATGAAATGGTCAGGTGAAGAAGATAGTCGTTCATTGAGAGTGTTTTGCACGTTGGTTTCCATTTTGCAGACTTAGGTCTAGAACGTTGTCTTCAGTCTCGATGAGGCGCACGTGGTTACAGAACCTCCCGTCGCATTCACCAAGCTATGTCCGACGGACTTACATTCGTAGCTGAGAGGATGCACGTGGATCACACATACTCTCTCAATACAGCACAAGTCTACCATGATACCAAGTACCTTTGGAGAAGGCTTGTCGTGCAAAGTGTCGAAACATCGGACAAGGTGTGAGTCGTTTGCGAGGGGTTTCGAGGACGGTAAGGGTGAGATGACGAAGGACGAAAGACGGAAAACGACGGCGGGGATAGGAAGCATGTTGTGGATCGTGGAGGAATCGGAAGGAAGGAACTATCGATCGCATTTGCGGTGATCTTGATCTCGTGGATCAATCGCGTCGAAGGGGGGAGGAGGTCGGATGGTTGATAATTGATTGGTTACGGTATCGATTTGATCGGGTCGCTCGTGTATTCGCTCGCCTCGTACGAACTGGTCGAACTGCGCTGCTGCTAATTTTTGATCAATCTCGAGTAAAAACGCCCGCCTTGAAAGCAACCCAACAGCAAGAAAACAAAAAAACGTATAAGGGGGGCGTCAGACAGCATGAACCTCGCGCATTTTACCCATAATATGGAACGCTGTAGTGGCGGCGAGGTTGCTGCATGGTGTGGAAGGGGGAAGAGTGAATCATGCTGGCCAGGCGGCATGACGGACCGCGACATCAAATCTGTCACTATTCCAATGGGAATAGTGCACACTAGCAGTGATGGGGTTAGTGGGGTAAGAATGGGCTGAACGCAGGATTACTACTCTGCGGTGTCAAGATCGTCGTGGGCTACAGCAGCAGCAGGAGGAGGAGACTCGACGGCAGGTTCTGCACAACGTTAGTGTCTACCTTGCGCGTTTCCGTTGAGTCGATCGTCACTTACCCTTTGGCTCTTCACCGTTGGGCTCGCGTTCTTCACGCTCTTCACGCTCTTGAACCTCGCGTTCCTCAGGTTCCTCGCGGGGGCGTTCCTCACGCTCGCGGTCATCGTCGCCGCCGCGCTTGGTGTCACGCTCACGGTCGTCGTCGCGGTCTCTGACATCACGGTCTCTCTCGCGCTCGCGATCCTCGGGGCTACGGGTACGGTCGCGGCGATCGTAGTCACGCTCACGGCGATCTTCCTTGCGAGGGGAGTTGTCGCCACGGCGGGAACGAGGCGCAGGGCTGATGGAGCGACGACGGGGAGAACGGTCACGGCGGTCACCACGATCGCCACGGTCGCCGCGGTCGCCACGCTCACCACGACCACCATCGCGAGGAGGACGGCCAGCGTCGAAGCGCCAGGAGGCAGAGGGAGGGGTTCTGGCCCACTGTCGAAAGCGTTAGTCTTGCATGCTCGTTTGAAAGAGTGCCGATTGGGAGCGCACCTCGATTTTCAGTTCCTCGTTGCGGCTGATGCGGCGGTTGTGCATCTCGTGGTAAGCATCGTCGGCATCACGGCGGCTCTCATACTCGACAAAGGCGAAACTGTGTAGGTGTTAGTGTCATGTAGAAGGGACCAAGTAGGTATGTCAAGACTTACAGTCTGCTGGAAGAGGTACGGGGTGCGGGAATGTCACAACGGACAAGACGGCCATAGCTGTTGTAGTCAGCATTGAAACAAGTTAAAAAGGATTGCGCGGCACGAGCGCAATGCCAACATGTCGAGATGCGATGGGATGCATACCGTTCAAACTCATAGGCGAGATCGCGGGCGCGAGTTGCGGGACCAAAGCCAGAAACGTAGAGAGTGGTTGCGGAGCGCGACATGATGGGTCCCGGTTGGTATGTGAGCTTCGGTGTGTACTAAGTAATGGGACCTGTCAATATCGAACAGATGCGACGTGATGGAAAGGCAAGTCGATAAACTTGTGTCAAATGACGCTGCAGAAGATGTGGCTGGGCCGCTCTTGCTTCCTGCGAGAGCTTGCCATCTTTTGTTCCTTGGCACGGGACTTGCCGCTGGGGGACTCCCTCACCTTGCCGTGCTTGCCAAAGGCCTTCAGATCCTCCTGCTCCTTCATTTCTCTCCATTTGTACAGGCGTGTAGAGTGGTCGTCTGAAGAAGACATGATGAGTAACCTCGAGCTTGATTGAGATGCAGAGGTGACGCGGTCGAGCAGAAGAGCGAATTGCATCGACATAAAACACATCCGTTTGTGGTCAGGTCAACACGCCCGATCACTTGTCACTCACTTTTTGTTTGCGTCTTCTCAAACTGCACGACTGGAAATGTGATTGTGCAAATTACTTGACTCCGAACTTCTTGGAACACACTTCCACGCCACTCCTGGACATACATCTTCCCTGCTTTGAAACGTTCGACACTGCTAAGAATAGCCCAAATTCAGTAGTCTTCGAGAGGAGGGAAGCGTGAGTTCGCTGTCGTGTATTGAGCCGGCCATCTTTGAGCTACTCTTTGGTTCAATGCTCTGATTCTGTGTCAGTCCTTCTCATTGTTGAGAGCAAACACGTGGGCAACCTACCCGACTCTTCCCTGGGTCCATTCTAGATCTCTCTGGACATCCCTAGCAGCTTGGATGCCATCTGCAAAATTTCTTTTGGCAGACTTGAGTCGAGACTGTGCCAATGCTTGTAGAGCCTGTAGCTCCCTAGTTTTGGCATTGAGCTCGCCAGATCTAGCCGTAGCATCAGTAAGCTATACCTCAATCATGTCTCCAGGGAAGGTTTACCTCTGAGCTTGCACTGCGAGGCTACGATCCAGGGGTGCAGGATCCACTGCCCTGTTGAGGCGTCCGCCCATGTAGCTAAGCGCATCTACGGGACTGTTGCTCTCACTACCCGAGTATGAGCTTATAGACTGGGCTCTACTCGGGATCGAGTATGAGCCTCCGCCTGAGCTGGTACTTTCGGACCTTGAAGGCGGAGGTTGATATAGCTGGCCGTAAACAGGAGATGGTTGGTAAGGCTGAGATGCAGCAGTATACGCAGACGTCTTTGTTGAGACAGCCCATGGTGCACTGGGCTGAGCAGCGTAAGAGTATGTTGCAGAAGGCATTCTTTCTTGTCTGGGTGTTTCTGCAGACGGAGGACGATGTGGAAGGAAACGAAGAGAACGATATGATGAGACTGACATGACATTGCACTTACTTATTCAATCCTCATAACCATCCAACCTCTTCCCCTCATCAAACATTACAAAATCCATTCGCTACACTTGTCTTCCCACCTCACCACCTCGATACCTCGAATCATCCTTCCCGCGTCACTCAACAGTCAGCTGAGTGCCAATGGATGCGGGATAGGCGAGGATACCGTCTCTTCTTTATTATCCCTTGCCTTTGTACTCACTTCGGCTAAGCCAGATTGTATCCTCCTCCAATAAGTCAAGGCCTACGGGCAGGCGCATGGATGGATCCTTGAAAGTCGTGGTTGCCATGCAGTACCTCGTGGAGCCTGTAGTCTCGAGACCCGACACTGCCGCAGCCAGAAGAATTAATTCTCTTTGGGCAGCCGTGTCATCAGGTAACGAGAGTGCTTGTCCAGTAGATTTTGATACGTTCTCTGCATGTCGTGCGAAGCTAACAGTACACCCTTGACAGCTGTCATGGCATGGTGTTTGACTCGCCCGGACGTGTCGTACCCAACTATCTCGAGGAACGCAGCCCGTCCGACGTCCGAGACGACCATGCTGATTCGTCAATGCCAGCGTCGGGCAGCCAAGGTGGGGTCCAGTACCATGGCTCGATGTTTGGCGTGCATGCATGCTTCCTACCGCCTTGATGCCTAAGTGTATATCTTCTTCTTTATTTGACTTTGGACTAAAGTCCGAGTTCAAGGTCGCTGGGTAGACCGCTCTTTGATGTTGGGCACCACCTCGTTGGCCGCAATTCAGGCAGCATGCTATCAACGAGTACATCGGGTGCGAAGCGAATGCATTCATGTCTTTGTATGTATCTACCTCTAGAAACTGTTGCGCTAGCAAAGATACCGGAAAACATCAGTACGTGGAGGGCATCATCGACAATCGACCACCATCAATGACTTGGACATTGCCATTATGGTAGGCTCCAGACTTGCCAACAAGGAACAGTATCATACTGGCCATGTCTTCATACGAGCCGGATCTGCTTGCGGGGATCTGGTTGACTGGGAATGAACCAGAGTCTCCAGCGGTCATGTCAGATGGGAATCCTATATCCAATTAGTCTGACAAATCACACATCGGATTGACAAAAAACTCACTTCCTGGTGCGATGACATTGCTCCTGATACCGAAAGGGGCGAGCAGGGTAGCCAAAGCCTTGCCCAGCATAGCAGCACCTGCTTTGGTTGCCGAGTATGCCAGGCCAGCAGTCACGAAGCGGTTGAAGGAAGCGATACTGGCAACAGTGATGATCTGACTCGTTCTCGGGTCATTGACATCGTACTGTGCACCCTCAACCCTCTCCATGACCTCTTTTCTGCCAGTAGCCCAGCCTCTCTTCTTGTTGGCCTCGTCAAGCAGATGCAAGAAAGCAGCACTGACATTGACGATGGCAGATGTGTTTGTTTGGAATGAAGTGTCCCAGCTTGACCAATCTCTTTTCATAATCTCTTGCAACTCCTGGATGCTTTGGGCCTTGTCGATGCCCTTGTGATCTGGACCAAGCACGCCAGCGTTGTTGATCAGGACGTCGACATGCGAGGACTGTTTCTCAATTTGCTTGACTGCAGCGTCGACGGAGGATGGGTCGGTAACGTCGCATTGGATAGGTACGACGATGTCAGGGTTTATTGACTTTGCAGCATCTTCGAGGTTCTTTACTCTGCGTCCTAGGAGGTACACCTTCTCGGCTCCGGAACCTGCGAGACTCGTGGCGAAGGCGAGACCAATTCCTGTAGAGGACGGAATCAGTATATGATCAAAGAGATATCCGCTTGGACACTTACCACTTCCACCTCCTGTTATGACAACAGTGAGGCCTTTGGCCGAAAAGAGATCAGAGGGATTGATGGGCTTGGAGGTATCCATGTTTGCTGTCACAGTAGGGCTATGATGTGATACGACTGGATGCGGAATAGATTGAAGGTTGATGTATTTGATAAAGTAAAGAAGACTACAGATCTATAAGTTGCTTGTTGAATGCTTGACTGAGTAGAGGGTGGGAGCGGCATGAAAGAGGAAGCTCGTAAGCCCCATATCAATACCGGACGTCATACTGTGCAACCAGAACCACAACCCCGATCAGTATGCATTTGTGAGCACATCCTACGATGCGCTAGTACCACGTTAACAACATGTTGGAATGGAGCATGGAAGTATGTAGACTAGAAGGGCGTCCAAAAGAATCGTGTTGGCCGAGCTTCACTTCCACTCGCTCACTCGAACAGGATCCAGAAGCTCGCCACGGGCTGACGGCACCCTGTCCCTCATCTGAGTCATGCTCGTGGCAAGTTCCACGGCATCACTTAGTAATCCGCTTATGTCAGCAACGAGGTCCGCCTGCTGGTATATAAGCTTGAACTTGCTCACACTCGATATCTTTGAATCATACTTACCTTTTCGGGTGCCCAGCGATCATGCAGGCTGGCGCACTAAGGAGACTCCATGCATTGCACAGCGCGTAGGAGACTCTTTATGGATGTCCTTCGGGGCCTCCACTGGAGCAATTTTTGTTCTCACACTTTTTATGTGTCTACTTTTCATTGATTGACTAGCTACATGCTGGTGATTGAAGAAGAGATTGTCTTGCTGTGATTGGTACTCACTGTCTACTATGTAGTGTTGCTGTTTTGGGTGTTGTTGATTGAACGCGTATCGACGCGGCCTTGGACCCCATGTTCCGTGATTATTATTATATACACAATGCATCATTCGTTCGCCGGGCTCACTGGGGTCGTACCTCACTTGCTTTTCGTCAGCTCTATGTGCCCCTCATTCTCCTCAACAATGCAGCAGCATGTGTCCCAAGTGCTATAATGTACCGAGTCTACAGTTGTAAAGTTGTGTGAACGTTTCCTAAGCGGCATTCAACCCTCTGAAAGTGCAGTCTCTCACTGTCGGTTCTAGCCTCTTCAGACATGTTTGAGCATCAAATCGTGAACACCTCCAGACTTTACTCTCAAGAACTATGCACTTGAAACGAATGATTTACAAAATGGAGAGAGGTCTTGGTCTCACCAGATTCGCGAGAGTCTGAAGCAAAAGCCGATGATGAACACGTCAACGAATGTCAACTGCCATGCAATGACTTTAGATGATCGAGAGACCACATGCTGGTGTCACTGAGTTGACCATGAACAGATGTCGAGTATTGTTAGCTCCCAATCGTGGACGAAGTGTTGTTGTTGTGCTCAAGTAAATCGTGACAGGGTGGTCCTCTCGGCTTGGGAAACGCCGGCGAGTCGGCAGGCGGGCGTCCGTGACGTGGATGAGCTCTCTCAGACAGCTGCATGCACTCGGTCAATCCTCACAATCACCAAGCATCTTGTAAAACCATCATCTGCATCGCACGCTCTTTCACTAAATCCGCCGCCCAAAATCTCTCATTTCAACAAAGCCGACACACATAACCACACGACAAGATGGACAGCTTGGTGGCGCAGTACAGCAGACCGGCGTTCAAGGATGAGGGCTATCAAGAGCAGGAGCAGCTGGAGCTAGTCGATGCCATGCCTACCGCCATCGATCTCAAGTTCGCACTTCCTCCTGTCGCACAAGTGAGTTCAGATCACAGTCTGGGAGAAAGCCACAACTGACCATCTCGTAGGCGCAATCATGGCTCCGCGCAATGACCGACGACCACTCCAACCCCAGCTGTCCCATCAAGCTCGCTCACGGAACAACTACTCTCGCGTTCAGATTCAAGGGCGGCATCATTGTGGCCACAGATTCAAGAGCGACTGCAGGAAACTGGATCGCCAGTCAAACGGTCAAGAAGGTCATCGAGATCAACCCCCAGCTGTTGGGTACCATGGCCGGTGGTGCCGCCGACTGTCAATACTGGCTTGCCTACCTCGGTATGCAGTGCCGTCTTCACGAGCTCCGTCACAAGCGCCGTATCTCGGTCGCCGCCGCCTCCAAGATCCTGGCCAACCTGGTCTACCAGTACAAGGGCATGGGCTTGAGCATGGTATGTTGCCACTGCAGCTGATGCGCTGATCAAGATTGCTGACTTTGCACAACAGGGTACCATGTGCGCTGGTGTCACACCTCAAGAAGGTCCCGCTCTCTACTACATCGACAGTGATGGCACTCGCCTTGCCGGTAACCTCTTCTGTGTCGGTTCCGGTCAGACGTTCGCCTACGGTGTGCTTGACGCCGAGTACAGCTACGACTTGTCAGACGAGGATGCTTTGGAACTCGGCCGTCGCAGTATTCTGGCCGCCACACACAGAGATGCATACTCTGGTGGTTACATCAACCTGTACCACGTCAAGGAGGAGGGCTGGGTCAAGCACGGCTTCAACGACACCAACCCCATCTTCTGGAAGACCAAGCTCGAGAAGGGCGAGTTCTCCAACGTCACAGCCGACCTGAACTAGACACAGGCATGCTTGACAGCGCATGCATAGCGGGATCGGCGTTTTTATGGCGGCTGGTGCTTGATGACCCCTCAAACTTGTAATCATACAGACAACTCTGATGGTAGACGAAACAACTTCTCACTTTATCGAACTTTATTATCATGAGATGTGTATAATGTGAAATGGTAATTCTAATCTTGTCCAAGTGACTGAAGATGCTGCGAGCACTGTCGCTGTTCTTCGAAGCTTCCTTTCCATGTGCCCGATCTTGTCAGTCCCACTCTCATGATGGACGTAGAGAGAACAACGAGCCGAGTCAGGGCATGAGTGTGTCTTAGATCTATAGATCTTGCGCAAGACGACACATCTGGGTCACACTCGCTACTGTTCTGGATATAACAGTGCCTCAAGACAATTACGCGGGACAGAGTTTAGCAGACGGGGAAGCAACGTCACCGCCGAAGTGGATGAAACTTGAAAGCTGCTCTTGCCCGTCGGACTTAACAAGAACAGCCATCTAGGCAACTCGCGTGATTCAATCCTCTACAGAGCGCCCTTTCCCTAGGAACCTCAATCTGCACCCTACACGAGCAGTAATTACCGCGACCCGACCGACACCAGTACAACGCATCATCATACCCACCCCACGCACCGCCGCGGCATGTTCTTTCTAGGCGCATAAATTACCACCCTGGTGCAACACAACAAGATGATTTCAGATCAGGAAAAGAGCTTGGGAGTCTTTCTAAGGGATCTGCCTCGCGAGTTCAACAACCGCTACACAGAAGAAGCAGACTCGGTCCTTCGCTCTCGCCTCTTCCGCTCCCTCGTCGGCGATGATGAAACAAAGTTGAACCTTTTGTTCCCCGACGGTGTCCCGGATGGAGAACAATGGGTGCTCCGCGATGCACAGGGCGCCGTTGATGGCGCCGAATACACCGCCGCAGCAAAAGGCCACCCTTGCGGCCACATCTTCAAAGCCGGCGAGTCCACATACCACTGCAAGACTTGCGCTGCCGACGACACTTGCGTCCTTTGTGCAAAGTGCTTCGCCGAGTCAGATCATGAGGGTCACATGGTATACATTAGTGTCTCTCCGGGCAACAGTGGCTGTTGCGACTGTGCAGATGACGAAGCCTGGGTCCGTCCTGTTCACTGCACAATCCACAGCACCGACGACACACCAGGACTCAAGGCTGCTGGAAAGTCAAGCCAGACACCGACATTACCAGACGAGCTCCTCGAGGTTGTGCGCATGACAATAGCAAAAGCTTTTGACTATATGTGTGATGTTTTCTCATGTTCACCCGAGCAACTGCGCCTGCCGAAGACTGAGGACACCGTAAGAAGAGATGAGCTTCTGTCACGTCTGACTTCACATCTTTACGGTGGCGCCGAGGTTGATGAGTCAGACGAGGAGTACGCGCTGGTCTTGTGGAACGACGAGAAGCACACCGTCACCGACGTCCAGAACCAAGTAGCCAAGGCTTGCAAAAAGCCGAAGAGTTTCGGCCTACTAAAAGCCATGGAGGTCAACGATATTGGTCGAAGTATCATCCACTACTCCCGCGACCTTCCCGAACTCCTGCGTATGGCCGCAGTCATAGAGCAGCTCAAGGTCACCGTGACAGTTCGCTCAGCCAGAGACACTTTCCGCGAGCAAATGTGTAGCTCTGTTGTTGACTGGATCTCTGACATATCAGGTTGCTCGATTGCTTCCGACCCCCATGTCCTCCGCAACACAATCTGCGAAGAGCTGCTGCGACCGTGGCGTATGGGAAGCGAAGCTATCAATGCTGCCATAGGAGAAGGTGGTATCGATGATCACGAGCACGAGGAAAATGTCAGAAACCGGAGGGAGGAAGCTAGATGGTTCCGTCCCTTGGCCGGCATTAATGTCGTTCGCATAAACGTAGAGAATGATGACGGCGACGAGCAAGGAGTCGACGAGGACGAGGACGAAGACGACGAGAACGACATGACTATAGAAGAGTTTCTCAATGCGGGACCTGACGATGAATTTGGCGCTGAAGCTATGGACTTGGACCCCGATAACGCCAACCTCCTCGCCATGGCTGTCGCAGATACCGACATGGATCTTGACCTTGTTGACGTCGACACCGAAGGTCCTGCCGAGAATCTTGAGGCGACTTTTGCGGGATATCCTGCTCCCCCACCACCACCTACACGCCGTCGCACTAGATCCGTGACAGTGAACGAATCTGACGATGGAGAACAACACCCTTCGTCAAGACCAGACCCACCATCTCAGCCTTCAGCACCCTTCTCTAATCTCCCAAAGACTCCAAAGGTCAGAGTCAGATCGAATCGACCCACTCGTCCTGCTCGTTATTGGCTCGAAACCCCAGAGGAGTACAGATCACAGTCAGCCTCTACACCGGCGGAGGACCTTTGGCAAAGAGTGCGCCTCGATTATCTCATACTGTACGATCTGAGGATGTGGAAGACGCTACGCGTTGATCTGCGTCATTTGTACATCAGCACAGTTGTGACCGTTCCTCAATTCAAGCGCATACTGGGACTCAGGTTCGCTGGTCTATACACAATGCTGGCTCAGCTCTATCTCATCGCGGACCGTGAACCTGATCACTCTATCATCAATCTGTCTGTCCAGATGCTCACGACTCCATCTATCACCGCAGAAGTCGTAGAGAGAGGCAACTTCCTTACAAACCTGCTTGCTATCCTTTATACGTTCCTCACCACTCGCCAAGTCGGATTCCCCAAGGATGTTAACCCGAGTGCGACACTAGCATTCGATGCAGGGGCTGTTACCAACAGAAGGATGTTCCACTTCTTCCTCGATACGCGCTATATGTTCCAGTCCGCTTTTGTGCAGGAAAAGGTTCGAAACGAACCTCGCTATTTGATGCAGTTCTTGGATCTAGTCAAGCTACACCAGGGTATCTGTCCCAATGTGCGAGCTGTTGGAGAGCATGTCGAATACGAAGCGGACGCATGGATCAGTGCTACCTTGATTATCAAAGAGATCAACAGACTGTGTCGTCAAGTTGCAGAAGCTTTCAGATGGTCTGATGATGGAGACACGACCCCTGTACAGAATGCCATCAGACATACCGCGCAAGCCACCTTCATCAACGCCTTTGGCCTTGAGCGCAACAGGTTCCCGAGCGCAGAAACCAAAGAGGCCCAGATCTTCCTGCGTTTACTCAACAAGAAGAGACCCAAGTACATTGAGGCGATCAGTCGTGAGGCAGCGTGCCGTCAGGGAAGCTACAGCCTGCCTCAGTTTGACGTGACTAACGGTTCGATGAGCTTCCACCATCCTCTTCATTATCTGTTGTCATGGTTGCTTGAGGCAGGCGTAGACATCACACGCGAGGAAATGCTCAGAGTGTTGCACTTCACCCCTGCAGACTTCAAAGACCCCTGGCAGACGAGTTGGAAGACTCCGCCGCAAGTCACGGCCTACGACTCTGCTGAAATTGTGACAATGCTCTTTGAGCATCCTCTCCGTGTTTGCGCCTGGCTTGCTCAGATGCGTGCCGGCATGTGGGTCCGTAATGGCGTAACTCTCCGTCATCAGATGCACCAGTACCGCGGTACCACTCAGCGAGACGTCTCTTATCAGCGTGATGTTTTTATGCTGCAAGCAGGTCTTGTGCTCTCTGGCAGCCCGGACGAATCTCTAGGCGAAAGATTCTTGGCCCAAATCGTTGACAGGTTCGATCTTTCTGGCTTTGCAAATGGCGTCTTTGATATTTACCCTGGTTACGACGAACAACAGCGACTTGATGTCACTGAGGAGTTCTTCCATTTACTCATTATTCTACTCAGCGAAAGGCAGAATCTTTTGCCTGGCCAGGATAAGCCGAGTCAGCATGTCAAGATCTTGCAGCGCGACATCGCACACGTTCTTTGCTTTAAGCCGTTATCGTTCTCTGATATCTCTAGCCGTTTGACCGACAGAGTTGCGGACTCTGAAGAGTTTGACACTATCCTTGAGAGCATGACAAACTTCCGAGCGCCTGAAGGCCTGAATGATTCTGGCACATTCGAGCTACACCCTCGCTATATTGAGATGATTGACCCGTATTATGCCTACTATAATCGCAACCAGCGCGAGGAGGCCGAGACCGTTTACAGAGAATACATGGCCAAGAAGACCAACAAGCCGGCTGCAGAAATCGTCTTCGAACCTCAACTCCAGCCCATAAATTCCGGACTCTTCAAGCACTTGGGTGCATTCACTCAGACTACTTTCTTCAGTAGTATCATCTACTGGGGCATTGAGTTTTGTCTGCGTCACGATCAGGCCATCGAAAATGCTCAGATAACGAGAATCGAAACCATGCTTCATGTGGTCCTGCACCTCACTCTTCTGGCCGTGATGGAAGATGCTACTCCGAAGGGACCGAAGCCAATGGTTGCAGAAGACAGCTTTGTCAGGCTAGCCATCTCAGTGTCACACAGCGAAGAGAGCTCAGACAAGACCATTGTAGAGTCACTTTTCCGCTTGTCGAGAATCAAGGCATTCGCCTCCTGCGCGCCTAAGGCTCTGCATACCCTGGATCTGATGTCCGGGAAGTGGCCAGAAGAATTTGCCAATGCCAAATCAAGATTATTGCCAGATGATAAAGAAGATGTCTCTGAGAGTGCAGCCAAACCCGCCGAGGATAAGGAAGCTAAGAAGAAAGCTGCGCTCGAGCGACAGGCGCGAGTCATGGCACAGTTCAAGGCGCAACAAACATCTTTCATGGAAAACCAAGGCTTGGATTGGGAAGCTGACGACTACAGCGATATGGAACAAGACAACGACTTGAAAGAGAACACTGTTGAGACCAAGGTTCGTCCCTTCCCTCAAGAACCCTGTATTCTGTGTCAAGAGGACACCGATGATAGCAGAGTTTATGGAACCTTTGCCTTTATTGCACCGAGCAGGATTCTCAGACAAACTCCGATCGACGACAAAGATTTTGTGACGGAAGTCTTGGATACCCCAGAGAATCTCGACCATTCTGCGGATGCTATCAGACCATTCGGCGTTGCCAAATTCGCGACAGAAGGCGAGAAATTGAACGCAGATGGCTCAAAGGGCACACAAGAAAGACGAGGCCTCGGAAAAGGGTTCCCGCACAACAAAGCATTCCATGGGCCGGTGCTGAACAGTTGCGGACACATCATGCATTTCAGCTGTTTTGAAGCTTATCTGACAGCAACCAAGAGAAGACATACACAACACATCTCACGCAACCACCCTGAGAGGCCTGACACAGTGGAGTTTATCTGCCCCCTCTGCAAGGCCCTAGGCAACACATTCTTACCGATCATCTGGAAGGAAAAGCATTATCGTCCGTCGCATATACTCGATCAACAGTGCGCTGGCTTCGAGCAATGGATCCACGACCACGACGAGCTTAGGAGTGCGGACGAATTGGGCCGACTGCCGTCGAGCGAATCTATGCGTGAGTCGCATATGGACTTCATGCAGAAGGCATTGGTCCCCACCCTAGCATCTTCTTACCCGCAAGGAGTTTCGTCCACATATGCCTTGGAGGCCCGTTCACAAGAATCAGAGTCGGATACACAAAGCTCCGAAGAAGAGTCAAGGTCGATAATCCCGGAGGTTGTTCGAAGAGCGGCAGCCAACTTCAACGGAATAGAAACCCTGGTGAACTTGACACCAAGATTGGAAAGTCTAACCAACCTTGCGAGCAGGTTCGATGGCCGATCTCGACCCGCTACGCCGTCTGCTGAGCTTAAGAGAGCATACAACCGCATCGAGGAGAGCTTGAGTCCGATCGGCGCCTTGAAGCCAAACACTATCGGACTCGAACCCGGCACTCAATCTTCGACGATACGCCTTGCCGAGACACTGTGCAACACCTTGGCTTTTACTGTCTCGAGCATGGAGATCTCATACCGAGGGGTTCCGAATTCCCCAGAAGGCGAGACTGGAACATTCCTTGACTCAATCTCTGAGCAGAGCATGAAGACTCTTCGCATTCTTTCGGAGACCGTTCGCACTGCGACTGCAGCCGCTGCCGTTAAAAGCGGTGTTCCCGAATATCTCAGAGAGTCCAGAGTACATGGTTCATGGGCACATCAGCTAAAGAAAGTTTTCGGAGACGACTCTGGCGAGAACCCAGCACTTTCTAACGCTTCCTTGTTCGGGCACGACATTTTCAGCTTCTTTGCGAATTGTGCGGTCAATGAAGTGCCGATGGGTCAAAGTATGCACCACGTTCTTAGACTGTGCTATTCAGCTGAGCTAGTCAAAGTCATTGTTACGTTCTTGTGCCGCGATTCTCTCCGAGAGGCCTCGCAGACCAGTCAGACAGGTACCTGGGACGTTTCGGATATCAAGCTGTTCCAGAAGTGGTGCAAGGACCAGGATGATGTACAATTCAGCCCACACATCTCTTCCTCACGCCTCGCCGAGCAAAGCTTCTGGGAGTTGGAGTGGGAAGCACCAGCCCTCAGCAAGGTGATCGACGCTTACGCTCTTACATTCTTGAGAAAGGCTCTGCTGTTGACTCACATACATTTCGGTATGGATTTTGCGGACTTTAACGCAAATGCAGAGCTGCCGGAGTTGCAACGTCTAGCTAAGGTCCTCCGTCTACCTAGACCTCAAGAAGTAGTGGCCCAACTTGGCCATGATGAGCAGATTCAGGCGCTCGCAGCGCGTTGGGTAGATAGCGTTCTTGTCAGTACTGCCACGAAGGAGAGGATGCGTGCGGATGCGCAGTATCTCGGCCACCCTGCCATCTTCGAGCTCGTTGGCCTGCCTAAGCACTATGATACTTTGACCGAGGAAGCTATCAAGCGCCGCTGTCCTACGACAGGCAAGGAAGTATCGGATCCCGCCATCTGCCTGTTCTGTGGTGAGATCTTCTGCAGCCAAGCCAGTTGCTGCATGACGGATCGGAACAAGGGCGGTTGCTTCCAGCATCGCGAGAAGTAAGTCATACCCATTGTGTTCACAAGAGTACTGCTAACAGTCACGTAGATGCAGCGGTAACATCGGCATTTTCATCAACATCCGCAAGTGTATGGTACTGTTCCTACATCACAACCACGGTAGCTGGTACCATGCGCCTTACCTTGACCGTCACGGCGAAGTCGACCCTACACTTCGTCGTCACCACCAGCTCTTCCTAAATCAGAAGAGATACGACAAGCTGCTCAGGGAGGCATGGCTTAATCACGGTGTGCCTAGTGTTATCTCCAGAAGACTTGAGGGTGATATGAACACTGGAGGATGGGAGACGCTATAGAATTATCACATCAGTAGTGGGTAGTATTATGCATCGGTTTGGCGTTATTGAGTGCTCGCATACATAGATTATAGCACTGTCAATCTTAACTCGTTGATTGGGATTTGGTTTATTCCTCTCTCTACACTGTGGTGGGCGTTGTTGGCAGCCGTGGAAAGGCAGAGTCTCACCTGACTCGAAGTCGTCTTCAGCGAAAGCGTACTCGTGAGCCGAGCTCTCTACACAGCACTGTAGATCTTAAACCTGCTGTGCATTTTGACAGCGCATATTTTGTGAGCAATTTTGGCGAGGTCTAGATCAGCCGTGGAAGTCCTTGATCGCCCGTTTAGCCAGGTGTCAAAGCTGTGTCAGATGCTTGTCACGATGACGGTTTCGCGCTTGTGTCTCAGCCCTAAATTCTTTGCCCTATCTTTTGACAAAATATACCTTCGGGGCTCACCGGTACTTGATCCCTCGTTGATCCTGCCGACATGCACGAGCCTGTTTGGATGGAGGCCGCTCGAGGTTCCTAGCTTCTACGAGAGCAGACTAAACTGTTCAAGGCGAAGCGACTAGTCGTGCACTTTGAAGGATCGCGAAGAGGGACGAGAAAGAAATGTTGAGCTAGAGCGGATACCGAGAGGCATGCAGCTAGCGCTGTACTTAAACGTTTCCTCCAGACCCTGACCGTTGCACACGATCGACGATCAAACCCAAGCCCCGTCGGGACTTGTGGTCGAGTTCAAAATCAGCGAACCATCTTTTCTCCGGAGTGTCCCTCCAGGCTTGCCCAGGAAGCCGCGACTCACACAATCGTAACAATCGAGGAGCGATCATCAGCACAGCAAGAATCCACAGCAGATGATGCGACAGGCAGATTACTCTGCAGGAGGCAGTGGGAGTAGCGCTTCTGCTGGCGGCCACGCATCGCAGAACATCCAGGCTTCAAATCGGCCGGTCGTGCCCATCGTATCGCAACCTCTAAGCAGACCCATCGAGTTACCACCACAATATCGTCCACGCAAGCCACGAAAACAGGTCAACGTTGCTTGTCAGCCTTGTCGAAAACGTAGATCAAAGGTAAATAGCCTTCTTTTCCTTAGCACGCTTCAGCTATATGTCGCGTGCGGCAGGTAGCCATGAGTACCTTGCGGAATGTCGGCATCATGTTCAGCACCACTGACTTGCTCTAAAATCACAGTGCACGGGCACGGCGCCATGCTCTCGATGCGTGGCAGAAGGCAACGAATGCGTCTTTGATGGACGAAAAGATGCACAAGAACGTAACCGCGAACTTCGAAATAGCGAAAAGGCCTTGTCAAAGATATTCCGCGTGCTGAAGAAACTCGAATCCGGAGACTCGTCATCGGCAGCCGCATTTGCTCAAATCCGCAAGTTGGCACACGACAGTGCCGATTTCTCAATATTTTCTCGTGAACTCTTCAATTTGGATGAGAAGACGAGTGTGTTCGACTTTGCCGATTATGATGGTGGAAGTGGGTCTGACGCTGTTGTACCGAAACGTGAACACGACTCTCAAGAAGCGGAATGGACGAACATATCGCCAGCGCAGACTGTGGGTCATGACTCTGCTGTATGCAACTACATCCCTGATCGCATGGAGCGAAATACTTTGACTGACTTGTTGATAGCCATTGTCGTCAAACGGAAGCAGACCAAGTCCGACAGATACCCGTATGATCGGAAACACAATGACGAATTCAACACATAGCTCCGCCAGTACAGCTCCTCAAGTTGGTCGACCTAACGTAGGCCTGACATCTCTCTTTGGAAATTTGCCATTTTCTAGTGCAATCAAAGCGAATGGCTATCCTGCCAACATTCAGCTACAGCAACTGCAAAATCTCGACAGCACTACTGAATACAGCATGCTTCCTCTCCACACATTCGAGTCGGAAGCACTTGGCAGAGCATACCTGAGCTTCAGGGATGCAACACTGCAAATGATAGCCGACGGAATGTCCGCTCGTGAGGTGTTGGGACCACGAGATCACATTAACCTCGACCTGTTCTTCCGTGATCGTCGACCTGAAGACGGGCATTCAGTCAACACCTTTGTTTGCGAAATTATGAAACCTCTTGCAAATCCGGATATCATTGCCAAGCTCGCGAGTATCGTACTACTAGCGCCGATGATGAGAGTATGTTCTTGGTCTTCCGAGTCTGTCATCATCATATGCTAACATGACCCAGTGGATCTTATTTCCTACATCGGAACACTACCGCAAGATACCAGCACTCATGCGACCCCTACCCAGTCAGCGATTCGTCCCCCACAGCCCTGCCTTTGATCTAGCACCACAGTACGTCGCCTACATACTTTCCCCCTCATCCATTGACATTCACTAACCAGCACAACAACAGCCCAGCAACAAGAGGCGCCCTAATGAACACCTTCAGCGAAGACTGGCTAACACCAGAAAACCAAATCATCGCCGCCCCAGTCGTGAACTGGCCCCACGAACTGAATAAAGCAGTCTGCCACGACCCTGTTGCAGGATGTTTACGCTTTACGAAAGAGTTTGAAGATCATGTTGTTAATGCTAATAATTGGACGTTTTCGAAGAGGGTATTGGAGGTGTTTCCGGATATACAAGAGCATGGTGCTGTCATTGCTCCGAGGGTCGGTGAGGACTGTTAAGAGACTGAGGGGTGAGAGGAGGGAGAGAGATGATGATGAAAAGTAACGGACGGAAGGATGACATGAACTTGATTATGTGGGAGGAAATGTATCACAGCGAAGTCAGCGAATTGGTGCGGGACCAGAGAAGTGGGAAAGTAGGAAATAAGCAGAAAACTTATATCCTGTCTACTTCGCTCAAAGAGAAGGAAGCGATGCCGAAGTTGTTGGTAGCAAGTTTGAATGTATGAATGCCATATTCTCACATCCACATTTCGGCACTGTGGATGTATAATCACTTTTTAACCTTGTTTGTTCTTCTACATTGGTTTACATCTACTACGGCATCATCTACGGCACCGGACATGTTGTCTTCTGACGCCCCGGTAAGTGCCTTCTGAGCCATGTCAGGCACATACTTCCTGGCAAACGAGGTCACTGACGTGTGTATTTAAGTCCTAGCTTTTGATTGCTGAGCTTAGATATCAGAGACCGTGTCCGTTCAACAACTCGCCGTGGATGAATGCTTATTCATCCCTCAACTTCCATATTGTATGTGTACCTGTATGTACATGCAATGAGAGGTGCTCTGACTTGCCGCGAAAGGAGGTAGGTCCGCTGCCAAGAGGAGCGTCAAGAGTTGTTCCTGCTGAGGTTTCTGCAGGGCGTCGTACTGTGAGATAAAGGGGTATGACACAATTGACCTCCTGCAGAATCGCTGGATCTCGCGATCAGAGAGGTCTTTCGTATGCTGTGTAACGATCAGAAGTGGAGTTGTGTGAGCCTTGCCCTAAGGCGTGTGGCATACACGATGCCACACGCCGGCCGATCTCGCTACGGTGACTAGACTGTGATGGACAATACTCGAAGATGAAGTTGACAAGCTGCTCAGGATCTAGCATGAAGCTCGCTCAGTGATGGAGATCGAGATGTGCTTCTTCATCAGCGTGGTCGTGTGAGAGAGAATGGGAGATTGCTTGGTGGAAGATCCGAAGCCAGCTAATGGCTACAATTGAGGCTCTGCAGGCTTGCTTGGTAACTTTCGTCGTCAAGGCGTCTAATCCGGTGTATTCTTCGAAGGTGCTTGCCCTACAAACCACTTCTCGTCCTATCCTAGAGTCAGGCTGTTATTTGAAGATATGTCAGTCAACTGGCACAGCTCTTCATGGATCGAACTCATCTTTCAAAGATAGTACAATCGCCGCGGTTCACTTTTCGCATTCAGAAGCGTCTCTCGAGTCTTACTCTGCCAGCGCTTGAGGCTATTTGCCGCGGGGAGGATGGACGCGCCGACAACGGCAGCAAGAAATACTGTCTCAAGAGATTGGAAGACGCTCTGAAGTAGACTCCGAAGGGTCCGCTTGCTTATTATCGAAGATTGCAGCTCGCCTGCAAATTGTACGTGTGCAGATTGATAAAGCGAATTCGTGATAGTGTTTGCGAGGGACGTAAATAAGAGGCAGGAGCTGTATATGGCCTCGATGGAGTGAACTCCGGCCAAAGGAATTCACCTCGTCATTTCTTTCCAACGCTGCCAAGCTTGTAGACCTCACGCGTCAAGAAGACGACATAATATCTTCGCATTTGTGTCCATGTTGGATTGACTTGTTGTACGTGAGATGCGCCATATCACAGAAGATTATAGCCGTTAATAAAAGATACCTCCCGGGGACATACCCCAGCGATGACGACGGGCAACAGACCATCCCAGCCTTGTATAGGTATGTTACACGGGAACAGAAAACTTGTATTGTAATCGCCGGTATATGACTGATAGGAGAAATGTCGTTCTCCGACGTCGGACGACCTGTTGGTATATGGTTATCTAGGAGGACGCTGACATACGTTCGTTACACATGCTCTATTCTTGTTCGCACTGCCGACGTCTGCAGTACGAAAAGTGACCGCCGAACCGTACCAGAGAAACGACAAATTGACGCGAGCCGCAGAGCGAACCGCAGAGCGAACCGCGAGGAAGCATGATACAGCGGACCACTTTCCCAGTCGGATGCAGAGCGCTCCACCCACGGTCCAGATTCTTGACACCACGTCCACACCATTGTAGGTGTTCCCTAGTCGACCAGGTCCGACTCTTTGAACGCTCAAGGCCAACCTCGAACACTGAAGCGGATAGCGGAAGCACGTATCTTGCAATCCGGAAGGATGTTGAAGTACAGCCTGCGCTCTGCCATGGTCGGCTCTTGATACTCAGATACAGCAGCGTGAACGCATTGTCGACACCTCTGATGCGAATGTCGTGTACCGACGACTTGGCTTGGCGACATTGCTTAACGACTGTCGATAGATGTTGTGCCTCGATGGCATCTTGGCGACGATAGACTCGCCCTTTTACGACAGACTAGAATTTTCGTCAAGTTTCGTGCTCGTATGCGATGCGACAACGCGATGTGGTGATGGACTCAAAGCCACATTGAGGTAGGTCAAGTGTCGTTGACAAGGTCCGAGATAGCCAGACGCCTTTTTGGTGAACTGGCTGGCTCGGTGATGCTTTCATTGCTTTCCAGATGGCCATCCCTCGGGCCGTCTTTGCCACCCATAGTGTTGACACCTTGGGTGATGTCGCGCATATGATCGTGATCGGACGGAAAGGATTGGGAAGGATGGGGTTCACGAGTGTTCAATCCCCAGGTAAGCAGGTCACCGTCTTTGATGAAGGCAAGAGTCGACACCGCATCTCGGGTTCTACGCATATGGTCGAGGATGAATATTGCCTCTTTGCGAGGCCGATCCATCAGCATTTGAACCAGATCTTGGAGATCGCGAGCTTCGGTTTCGAGATTTTGGTACTTTCGCTTGATTGCAATCATGGGTGTAGCATCTGGATCTGCTGACCAGGTACATTCGGAGTTCTTGGTAACGCAGACGGAACAGACCGGTCGATGGCCATCGCACTACATATAACAGGGTCAGTGAATCGATCCTGAAGAAACAGGCTGGAGCCCTCATGTCGCCTATGCTACGGCAACCTCAACCTCCAATCGTACCTTGGTTTTTCTTCGGCGACAAGCATTGCAAGCAACAGCTATCTGCTGCCGCTTGACTTTACCCCTGATCGGCGACTCTTCCTTGGCCGAACCCGAACTCCTTCTCGAGCTCGAGTGTATACTGTGAGAGCGATCCATCCTTGCTCCCAAACATGCACAGCAAAGCCAGCAACAACCTTGGGGGCTAAAACCCCTCCAGCGAGCAAAGTCGAGTATCGACCTGGGGGAACGAGGCTTTTTAAAGAACTGTCAAGCTAAAAGAAGGGGCTTTGAGATCATCAACAGACGTGTTCTGAATCCGCGAGATATCGGAGCTGCGAGCCGTCGCCGAGAATGGGATTTCCTCACTCGGCACCTGCGATGAGCTGCGACTGACACAGGGAAGGAGCAGTATGAGGCGGCTACCACCTGATGGATTGTCTGAATGTGACAGGCAGGAAATTGTAACAAGGAGACGAGTTTCGCGCCATCATGGCATTCTAAGTCGAATGAGAAGAATTTGCATGCCAGGATAGTACGACATGTGCTATTATTTACTGTCGACAGGGAGGCTGCTCCGTTAAACCAATGCGCGCCACTGTATATAAAGCGTTGAGCCGCTTTGGCGCTACAAATCTGGTCACGCAGCCGCATCTGGGCCCACAACATCTACCACAGCCGCGGGACTGTCCAGTTAGTGGTGGCACCCCCGGTCTGGTACAGGCCTACAACGATAGCACAGATCAGTTGTTGACTGCTTTCGTTGTTGACACGAAATTAGCCGACCTTGAGTCCGGCAGTCTCAGCCTCATATCACTCTACAGAGGAGGGAGGCGTTTCAATGAGGCGTGCTACGTGAACGCTCACCAAGTTAACAATATCGTAGCATGGCTTTGAGCCAATGACGTCTATTACACGTTCACCATCGAGATCTGTCGAATATTTGTTTTGTCCAGCCGCAAGCTTTATCTACGATGGACGATCTCACTAGAACTCTACGCCTTCCCCACTTTCCTCGCGCCCTCGCTTCTCAGCAACTCGCTCTTCCTTCATTATTGCATTGACGTGGTCTCTGAACAACTCGATGTAAGGTTTCAAGCTCGTTTTTTGCCAATCTTGAGTTTTGTCATCAGTGCCTGGCCACGAGTCGATTTCCGAGAGTAGTTGTTGCACGGTCGGAACCTTTTCCGGTTCAAACACCTCAAAACGGCGTACGTCGATTGGAACACAAACTCTGCCGGTACCCGGATGTATAACAAATGGACTCTTGAGCAAATGATTGAGCTTCTTCGAGACCTCAGCATCGAGACGTGGGTACGTGTACTCCAGACGGATGTCCTGCTTGGCCTGCACAAGTGTTTCCGGAGTGAGGTTCGAAAGAGATCCAGAGACGGAAGCGACAGCATCGATGTCGGCCCATTTCTGCGTGCTGCTACGATTAGGCGTGCTGTCCCACTTCCTCTGCAACGCCGCTGTCAAACTCTTGTCGGGTAGAAGTTGTAGCAAATGTGCTGCTCTCTCTGGTGATGCCCATGGGTCTTGCTCTAGGAGCACATCTGTCTGGAAGTGGCCATTCAAGATTTTGAGGCTGCGACTAAAGATCGTGTCAGTAGATGCTGTATGCTAGTCGCTTAGATCGGACTCACTCTATGTGTGGGTGCAGGGGTCGCTTCAGATTGACCTTTTTGCCGGTCTTGTCACCACCCTTCAAGAGCTCTAGATATCCAGCGATCGATCTGCGTTTGTTGTCGTCCATTTCTCTTGCTCGCTTGTCGCTGATCCAGGCGTGAGCACCACGTCTACCAGAATAGACCCACAGAATGTGCTTGAATCCAAAGTCGTCTCTCAGGGCCTTGTCAATGACCTTGATGGCCATGGTTATGAATTGCCAACACTTTTGGCAGATGCTTGCTCCGGAACAACATGTTCTGATCTCGTCGTAGTCTGTCATGTCGATATCGAAAACTAGCTCTTTAGCCAAAGGCCGGAAGGCACTTGCATTGCGTAGTGTCTTCCTGTCGCGAGGATTTGCAGAGTATACAGGGCCAATTTCGAAGCGAGTGGGAGTGAGTTGGATACACTGCTTGCGTAGCTCTTCAGCAGAATTGAATGATTGATAACGGATGTAGGCGTCGTTAGGCAAGACGAAGGCCAATTCACGGTTGCTGAAGTCGGTTGTTGTGGTCGGAGAATGGTTTAGCCATTGGAACAGGTACTTGAAGGGGAAGAGTCTCTGGTAGAAAGCGCGTAGGACCTCTGCATCTTTGCCGACGTTGGAATTACCAGGCTTTCTGTAAATCGTCAATCCATGTTCTGCTCTATCGAACAAGTTTGACGTACGGCTCAGGTTGCGAAGACGCTTGAGTCTTTGTTTGAGCACTCGAAGCAAATTCGTCATCGTCATCCATGTCATCGTCGTCGAACATGTCTTCCAGAGAAGCCTTCTCTATCTCGCTCACAGCAGGCGCTGGTGATGATTGTGTCGTCTCGTTTTGCGATTCTGCTTGTTCGTCGAGGGCACCAGACACAGCCTCAGCCATGACTATGTCATTTACCGGCGGCGATGATGGCGGGTTTGGCGATTCAGCGTGAGGCATCTTGTTGGCTGGTATAATTTGGGTGTTCTTGAGGGAAATGGTGTTGATTCAATGGTACCTTGATTGTTGACGACGCGCTTGGTGAGCGTTTCTGGACGATCGACGCGACGTGACATGTGCGCGTTTGATTGATTTACACAAATTTATACATCCAGCGCGCACAAGAATGTCCAATATGCAACAACTACCAGGGAATTTTCCTGCTTGTCGCAACAGTGTCCTCGCTGACATCTTGAACAAAGTAACAGCAGTCGCTTTCGATCGATGGGTTCTGTGAAATGGACTCGCGAAGCAGTGCGTTTGATCGCGATACCTTCCCAAGAATTAGAATATTCATCTGATAGATTGTTGTCTGACTATAGCTGCTTCCTCATTGACCTGAGGACAGCTTCTACTTCTGCCAACCGGACCTTCCTCTTTCGTGCGGATCTGTACGGCTTGGATCATCTCAACGTGCTGTCCATATCTCAACTACTTCTGTCTTGTATTTGGTCTGCTCTCAAAAGTATACCACCTTATGCCTCCTCGTCATGACAGACCCTGAGTTTGTACCTTTCGCAGGCTACATCAGTGATGACTCGGATTTTCATGGCACCTCGAAAATGCGCAACATGCTTGAAGTATGCAGCAAGAGTGTCAGCACGGAACAACTTGTCACGCAGTGGAACGAAACCAAGGCAGCCTACCCCGTTGCGACATCGACCTTGATGAATGCTGTGCCTGAGATCCTCTACAACAGACTGGAGGGCATGTTGACCGCTCGACAGCTCACGGAAACAGTCGACGAGTTCTTGAAGCGCCTACCCCCTAGTACTACTGTCACAGAAAACTGGATCTGGATCGCATGTCCTATCATCAAGGGCAAAGGCAAGGTGATAGAATCTCGCCATGCTCCAGAATCCGAAGAGTCTCCACAACAAATGGCGGAGCGTGCGACTGCTTTGTTGAGCCAATTCGCTGCCGAGAAGGAAAGAGTCTCAGATGCCAATCTAGGCTTTGATCAGTCGACCATTACCAGGAAGCTAGGGCCTTTGCGCGACCAGCTCAAGGAGGAAATATTGGATCTCGCGGTCGCAAGCGGAGTGATCAATGGCAAGGTGAGCAATATCCCGGCGTCACATAGCACTACTTTAGTAGCTGTCGGAAGGCACGATGCTTTCAACGCCTGATCAGCCATTCTTGGAGAGTAGCGTTATTGTAGATTTCTGATGACGGCCCCTGGAAGCATCATGCTTTTCCATAACCTTGAATGGAGTATCTCACGAGGCAGGAAAACCCATGGGTTGTGCTCATGGCTAGTGCTCATGGCTAACCAATACTATAGTGGATGCTATTCCCCAGCCCGGAAGATGTCAATAGGATGTGGAAGCTTGTCGCAGAAGCAGTTGTTGATGGTAGATTGGGGGACACTGCCAAAGTTGCACCAGCGGGCCCGCCTAACCCATTCGCTGGCGGTTCTCAGAAGAAGCAATCGAGCCACTTGATCTGCGTATACACCAAAGACTTTTCCGATCTCGACGACGTTCTTAGGGCCCTGGAAGAGCTGGTCGAGCTGGGTCTCGCTCCGCGTAATGCTTCTGATGGCGCCATCTACTACAAAGCCGATGTGTACACATATCTCAACATAGATTCTTCGAACCCCTACGGTCTCAGGGCCAGCTTGTATTCCAGCAAGGAAATTGTGGGTCTGTCCAAGCAGACGAAAGGCAAAGATCAGCCGTCCGCTGCAAGATCCACCAAGAGAAAGCAACAGACTTTGTCTTTCGGAGATGTGAAGAAGAGGAAGTCCTAGTCCTCGGAGAGGAAGTAGCGAAAGAAGTCAATACTGGGAGCGGAACGTCGTTATTGCTTTCTGATGGACGAAAACTCCTACATGCTTAAGTTGCTTTCATCCTGCTTTGGAGCTACATCATAGGAATCTAGCACAGTACATATCATCTTGAGGCAGAGTATTACTCGTGAGCTGTTCTACTCCAATTTACCCGAGACCTGGCGAATATCATAACAGTCGCGCCGTCACCAAGAAATTGCTACTGCGCCAGGTGTTATATGTTGCGCAAAAGAGATGCATCTCATTCACGAAGAATCACTTCGTGCACGTGCACGCTCTACTGGTCTACACACAGCAATTGCGTCGACGCACCGCTTCTTCTATCGAGTAAAGCAATCGAATAAATATCGAGTAACACTCTCTCGAGTCTAGGCGATTTCGGGATCAGCGAACAAAGCTAAACAGTCGTTTTGTCAAACTTTTCCCGGCCACCTCCGCTCCTCGAGTCTCACCATGTTTGACAACCTCCACGTTGCTCAACTTGAGAGCTCGTGGCAGAAATTACTAGACACGACTTTCATGGTCAGCTGTGCGATGCGATCACGCCTCTATATATATGCTATCTACCCTCTTATCGGGTTCCTATCACTCTCCCCTCTCTTATCTTCGGTCGGAATGCTGAACTCAAATCATCATTGCGGTCGGCTCCGGCATTAACCCGAGCCTCGACTTCCCTTATCAGCGCGGCCAGCAGCAACGCCCGCCCAACGCTGCAAGCGCGCCTTCACCGCAACCTTGGCCTGGAGTTTTCATCGAGTAATTCTCCCGGTTCAAAACATGAGCTGGGCTACGAAAGGCAAGTCAATTGGCCGTTCTCGCTGGGGTAGGCTTCTCCTGGCCTTCCCGAAGCCCCCCTTTTGCTTGTTGGCTCTCGCAAAGTCTCTGCGCATGCCGTTGAGTAAAGGTATGTCATGCCTAAGTCGGGCGGGCAGACGGCCGTCCTTGAAACACCTTTATGTACCCCATACAATAAGAGGCGCCCTACCCCGGATGTGCCTTGCACTCTGACATCTTTCTCCCTGCTCTCCCCTCCTGTCCCTCGCTAGAACACATATTACTATCCCTTATCCTCCATTTCAACACTCTGCCATATCCCGCATCTCACCCCGTGGAGAGACTAGCACATACACGCTCCTAGAGTGATTAGCCTGGCCAGTTTTCAGATACAGGAAAATACTGTTTGAAGATCAACCAACATGGCACCTCACGCCCTTTCCCCTGCTGTTCGATCCGAGACTGGCTCGCCGGCACACACCTCCGCACAATCCGACATCACGGTCCTCGCATCCTCTCGGGCAGTGGTGAAAGGCCGCCTGACTGCAGCAACAATAGTCATTTCTACCGTGACCGGCAAGATTCAGTCAATCTGGGAATCAGTCCTGCCTGCCTCGGAGTTCCCTGCTGGCACCCCTTATGCCGACCACTCACCGCACATCTTGATGCCCGGATTGGTAGATGCACACGTGCATTTGAATGAGCCGGGAAGAACAGAATGGGAGGGTTTCTGGACGGGTACAAGAGCTGCTGCATTCGGTGGCGTGACAACAGTGGTCGACATGCCCCTCAACGCCATTCCACCCACAACAACAGTTGCAGGATTCAAGGAGAAGATTGCGGCTGCACAAGGGAAGTGTTGGGTCGATGTTGGTTTCTACGGCGGCATCGTACCTGGCAATGTCGAGGAACTGAAGCCGCTGGTGAACATGGGTGTCAGAGGCTTCAAGGGATTCCTCATCGACAGTGGTGTATGTACAGAAGCAGCACGGAAACCAGCACGCACAAGCTAACAATTCCCAGGTCGATGAATTCCCGGCTGTGTCTTCTGAAGATATCTCAAAGGTCTTTCGCGAACTTGCTGACGAGCCCACGACTGTCATGTTCCATGCGGAGATGATCCCTCCTGTTACACAGTCTGTCGGCGACGATGTACAGATCTCAGAACCTCCGATAGTTCCCAGCGGCCCTTTGGACGTCTATCAGACTTTCCTCGACTCGCGTCCATCAACGTTCGAGACATACGCCATCTTGGAGATTTTGAGCCTGGCACATCTCGCACCGCAACTTCCGTTGCACGTTGTCCATCTCTCAGCCATTGAAGCCATCCCAATGCTACGCGAAGCACGCGCAAAGGGCGTCAAAATCACCGCGGAAACATGTTTCCACTACCTCTCGCTAGCCGCAGAGGCTATCAAGAACGGAGACACAAGACACAAGTGCTGCCCACCAATCCGCAGCCAAAGCAACCAGGACGGACTGTGGGACGAGATGTGCAGACCCGACGACAGTGTCATCAAGACCGTCGTCTCTGATCACTCACCCTGCACACCCAACCTCAAGCTGCTACCCGCAAACGTACCTGGCGCAATCGAGACAACCAGCAAAGAAGGCGAAGGCGATTTCTTCTCCGCCTGGGGTGGCATCAGCAGCGTCGGTCTTGGAATCAGCGTCCTCTGGACTGAAGCCGCAGCTCGCAACATCACCATTGAAGACGTGGTACGCTGGTGCTGTCTCAACACCGCCAAGCAAGTCGGTCTCGAACATCAGAAAGGAGATATCGCCGTCGGTCTGGATGGTGATATTGCAGTCTTTGATGACGAGGCTGAGTTCATCGTTCAGCCTAACACCATGCTGTTCCGTAACAAGTGCAGTCCCTACCAGGACAAAACGCTAAAAGGTGTCGTCAAGGAGACTTGGCTACGTGGTCGTAGAATCCATACCCGCGGGCAAGGATTTGTAGAGAAAACCGGTCCCGCTGGTCAACTCTTGCTTGAACCTAGAACCAAGGCATAGATGTAAAAGCATATTGATCTATTCGTTTTTTTTTTCGGATGGCATAGCATGTAAGGAACACTTTTTATTCGCAGAATATCCACTATATAAAACTCGTCCTCCTTACTCTTCATTGTGTCAAACAACTCTTGGACATCCTCTTACTGGATGCTCTTGCCAGCTTTGGAACATTGTGTCTGCGCTTGCTGTGCTGCTGCTGGTGTGTCTGATCGCCCGCCTCGCTAACCGGGTAACGACATCTAGAGCAAGACACGACAACAGTGACGGTTCATATCAATTGGTCCTTTTCACAAGTACGAAGAGAGTATAAACGATTCATTGCGTAAAGGCATAGTTAAGTGATCAGGGATTTCGAGTGCTAGAGGAGATCCTTGTTCCACAATATTATCATGTGTATTTTTACTCATGTCAGAAGAAGATAGACCATGCTTGCATCTCATGGGTCCTTTCTCCCTTGCCCTTTCTGATCCGTTTCCACTCATAATCATATCTTCAAGTGGCATCGACGGCCTGAGATGGCTACTAAAAACAGAAAGATTCGTGGACGTCGTGTCTCTCTCGGGGCTCCACGGGAGGTAGCAGGAAATCAGAGTGGCATAGCCGATGAGTTGTCAGATTGAAAAAGTCTCACACAATAGCATGTTCAAGAGTAGGGTCAAGTTGTCAAGATAGAAGAGTGCAGAACTTCGCTTTTATAGTCACGACGAGGACAGGGAGTGTTGGGTCCGCATGCAAGGGATCGAGTCACGCCGCGATGTAAGCAAGGGAAGACAACATTTTCGATCACCAAAGGTTAGACCAGAGAAGACGGTCAGAGATCTAACAGCTGTGTTCCTGGGTTTTGCTATAGCAAGAGATATGATGGTAAAGCGGTTTGTATGGTGCATGCACTACGCTAATTTAGAGATCAACCTACAGGTTGAGTTCTTGGCCGCAGCTTCGTTGATATGACACAGTAATCCCTTGATGATCGACTATACAGACTTGCACGGAGTGTAGATGGAGTGAGTAGCGAAGTCATCAATTATTTGCTTCATACAACAATATGTAAGGGAGTGTCCCTTTGCGCACTCGGAATGACAGACAGCAAAAACTCCTCATGCAACCGTCGCTGTGTGCGAAGTCCCTTTTGTGACCCAAAACGCCAATCCCAGCGGAGTCTGCTCTCACGCTTATCGCTTATCGCCTGTCAGAGAAAGACACCATTAAACCCCACGCTCAACTACAACCAATTTACACGTCGTGTAGGACACAAGCCATTTCCAATTATCACCGAGTCTGCGGCGGCACTTCAGAATCTCAGAGTTGCCTTGTCGAGATGTCTGAGCGCCTGGACGTCACGTGCAGCGTCGTAACCCATCTTGTGCATAGGAATGTCCTGAGGGCGTCCACCAATTGGACTGCGGCTCGAGGGACGACCAGCATTGTGCGTTTGTGGGTTACTGGTCTCATGGATGAGAGAGCTGATACTAGGGATAGTAGTACCACCGCTGACAGGAGGCAGAGTTGCGGAAGGTAGCTTGACGCTCTCTGTGGGAGCGCCAGGAGCAGTGTCGCCCATGGATCTGGGGCTTGGTAGAGGCGGAGGGCCAGTCTTTCTGGCGTCATTGGCGAGGGCAGGGTCAATGGACGGGTGAGTGTGGCTCGGAGGACGAGACGAGTGATCCTGCAGAGATGGGCGATGGCTGTGATTGATCTGAGGCAGCGATGGTGGAGGTGGGTGGTTGTGGATTGGGGTAAGTTGCGGGTGCTGGTGGTGGTACTGAGAGGGCGGTGCCGGCAGAGAGTTGTTGGATAAGGGTGCAGGGACGCGGTCGAAGGCGGTAGGAGGAGGAGGATAGTGCTGGGCGTGATGCGGGGGGTATTGAGAGGGGTGGAGGTGCTGCATGGGCGAGTGGTGGTAGGCGTAGGGAGAAAAGTGTGGCGGAGGGGTGTGCATAGGGCTAGGAGGAGCCCAGCCGGGAGGGCCATAGGACATGGGGCCGTGGGTGTATTGCGGTCTTTGGGGGTACTGAGCGCCGATGTTTGCAGATTGGTGAGGAGAGTTGGCAAAAGCAGGGCTAGTCATGGGACCGCGCGTGACGGCGGGGATAGCGTTCTGCTCGTGCACAGTCGACTCGGGGTACATGCCCTTCTCGGGTCTAATGTGCCGCAGCTGAGGATCGCTGGAAGGTTGCTGCAAGTTCTGCGACACGGCCGTCGAGCGTGCGAAGTAGCTGATGAGATGCAGGTGCTGGCCGTTGGAGGTTGTGATGCTGAACGACTGCTTGATCAGGCCGTCGGGCTTGTAGCGGTATCCGTCAGGGCCATCATCCGAAGCGTCGTGCTCTTTTGCGACGGGCGCCTTGGGAGCGGCGTTGAAGGTGCTGCCTCCGCGCTTGCCCTCCATCTCGCGATAAGTCAGGAAGCTGCCTGATACGCGACTTGCGCTCCACGACTTTCCGTCAGTCCATCGTCTCATACCAGCTTCGCGCTCATCCCAGACGAAGACCGAACCGGACTTGATGGAAAGTCTTTCCTTTTCCGACAGGCGACGCTGTACTCTGGGGAGCAGGCCGATTCTGCATGCCTCGAACAGAAGAATGGCATCGCCAGGTGTTCGCACGTGGCCGTAGTAGGTTTCCATGGCTAGGTTGTGTGTGGGTGGGTCTTTGTGTGGTCTTTGAGGAGTCTTGCCTTTCGAGGCGAAGACAATGTATCACTTGGTTCGATCTTTTGGCGAAGAAAGGTTAATGGCGATATTCGAAGAGTGTGGGACAGTCTCCAATCAGGCAAGCAGAAGTCGCGAGTAGACACGTGTGATTTGCGAATCTCAATGAAGTGGAGGAAGGAGCTTGCAAAAGAACAGCAGGAAGAGTGAGAGCAAGAGCAGGAACAAAACGAGTTGGCGAGCACCTGGAGGAATGTCACAGCCGCCAGCGGATGCCCCGATAGACTAGCTCCGATTAGATGAACCACCAAGACACCAAGATTTGCTAAGGCCAAACACTACCTTAACCTTCTATTCCCCAGCTTTTTAGCCTCTCGTTAGAGCGATGACTGTCCCCTTACACTCTCGCCAACCCACCCTCTCTTGCCCTTGACCTGCCTAACTCGTTGATTGTCGGAGAATCATCCAGACATTCTAGTACTTGTCCGGCCCATGACTCTTCATCGCAGCGAAAGAGAGAGATCTTCTCGTCCTCCCTGATCGGCATACTCGGCATCACCGGCTGCCTTTCTTAGAGTGTGGAACTAATAATTAACGTTAAAATAAAGACTCGTGTCGACATGTTTAGGCGAGGGGCGCATCGATTCGTTTCCAGACCAAAGATCCCCCAATCGCTCGCCCTCTTCTTCCTGTTGTACGAAGAGCAGATACACCGCATTTCTCTGCAAGCCCTAACATGGTTCGCCAACTACAGTACCACTCGTATGCTGCGAGTGGCCACCAAACGCACTCACTGCAGCAGCCCACCTCCATCCAACCCAACTAGGTAGGCCAAGCATTCTTGACCTCGCGCTTGGCGCCCTGTCTCAATCATAGCGTGCCCTGGGCGCCGATCCGAAAATGACAGCTAAGGAAGGAGCCAAGGATGGCTGTGCAAAGAGACAAGAAAGGCGCAAAGACTGGCCAAGCGCTTGTCCAGCTGTGTCTTGACCGTCCCCACCCAACGACGAAACCACCATCTCAATTTCGGCCAGGAATCCCCCAAGGATCTAACGTCGCCATGAGTACCCGTCATGATACGCCCAGAACAAGCATGAGGAATTGAGCTCGATTTAAGAGTTTCGGGGGCGTATTTGTGGCACCGCACTAGGGATTCGCCTTTACCTGCATGGGATCACCATCAAATCAAAACACGTGCCCTTCCGGAGGCAGCAAGTAGACAAGACACCTTTCCTTCGCACGCCATGTTCTGTGAGGTGAGGACGTGGTCTTGGCCGCGTAAGCACCTGAATCCTTCAAGCCACGCTACTAGAGAAATCGATCCCGCCTACCTCGTACTCGACCCTACGTAGCAAAGCTCAATGAGGTTTGTACATCTGACCCAACAGACTTCCCGCCCCCAAGCCCAGACAAGATCCAATAAATCTCGGCATCCTTATCAGCTCGGCTTGTACAAACACATTCGAATAGGTGTGGTTCCCCTGCTCCTTCCAATATCCACTCTGTCGCTCAAGCGTGCAAAGCGGACACTACCAGCATACGAGCGACTCGCGCAAGTGATCACTTTTGTACGGCTGGCCCAGAAGCTAGGAAAACGGATTCCCGTTACTGCAGTTGCGTCCCAGACAAGGCTGCGCAAGGGAGGTTCGGTTTGGGTTTGAATAAGCATAATTTAATCATTAAGGACAGAGTCCAGTCGGCCACCGTGCCACGAGGAAGAAGCGAGCGGGAAAAGCTTGGCTTCGTGACGGGCTAGTGTCAACCCTAAGCGCCACCGAACGCATTCCAGCCAGCAGAGCGACTGGGAAACGGGCAAGTCTTACCACACTCACCCCTGTTTTACCAAAGCCAATACTGAGATCTGGGCATATTTCCGTTTCCGTGTCCTCGCTACGAAGGCTGTGGTAGAGGGCTGACTGACGTACTACTAGTCGCCCGTTTTTCGCTGCTGTCGTATGACATGAAGTAGAATGCCGTATCGGAGGACATACTGCAGGGCAAGCAGCCTGACTTCACGTACTGAAGTGTGCCTTCTCGCCGGTACCGCATGCCTTTCCACCAACGCCAGGACGCTCCCTCGAGCCAGACCATAATCAAGTGAACTCTCTTGACGCCAGGATTCGAGGTCATGTTGCTTAGGTTCGCTGAATGCCCTCGGCTGTCATACTTCTGCCCTCTCCGCAAACTCATGCGCAGCCTTGAACTTCCCCAGTTGTACTCTGGGTGTGGAGAGACCTCGCCGGGTACGATGCCCGCATGTACAGTACATGTCACTGGGGAGCAGGCAAACGTTCTTTCAAGCATAAACCTAGAAGGTGCAAGTGGCAGTTCCGACGCTTGCATCTCACGTCCTGTTCTCGCCAAAAGTATCTTTCGAGCGTTCAAGACCTCGCGGTACACTTCTAGAAGTAGGTAGAGAGGGTGCAAACTTCTAGCTGAGCTTCATGTTGTACGCAGGACAGATGCCTGGTGGTTAGCAGAACGTTACGCCGCATTCCTGCGCGGTATTCCGGAAGGGAAGATTGCTTTCTCGTGTTTGCCTTTATCGTGGTGACGCTGCAGACACGAGGTCTTCTACCCGTGTTTGCCGGACGGTATACTAACTTACAGCTGTCCGGGTATTTTGTCTTCCGGAGGATACAGTCAGAACATCATCTCAACATCCACTTCTCCATCTTGTACACAGGCGATCGCAGATAAGGCTACACCTATCCATGTCTATGTGGAGAGAGCATCATAACAGCATAGCCGGGGATATAGAAGATCGGATATAGGTCGTCATGGCAGAAGGAAACCTAGAGGCCGCGTAATGGGCTCTCACACGTAGCTCTACCTCAAGCTCTTCCCGAAGTGGCAGCCTTGTTCTTCGCCTGCTCTTCCTTGTTCCAAAGTCGGCTCTTGTACGCAGGGAAGGAACTCTGGTTCCATGTGTTGACGAGTACGCTGTGCGTTTCAAGTCAGCAAAGACATTCTGACAGGGCGAAACGATTGTCCTGGATGAGACGAAAGAGAGTCGTGATAGGGTATTAACACACCTCTGTGTCCTGTCTGCATATTCCTCCTCGCTAATCTCCTTGACTCCAACCTTCATGCCGTCTTTTGAAAATGTCATATTCTTCTTCTCCATAGTCTTCTTTCCTTGGTCGGCGAGGTCGTTGGTCCAGATGTACATCTGTGTCGAGATTGTCAGTGTTCATGCGCCAGAAGGTGTGAGAAGATGAGCAGGTGTAAACTAACCTGGTATGCAACAAATGCAAACGCGCCCACGACGACAAATAGGATGATGAGTGGGATGAGATTCGAAATGGCGCCCATGATTGCGGTCGCGTGTCGCGCGGTTACGTTGAGGTGACTGACAGGGCCAGCGAAGGCGATGAGTAGGTGGTTACAGTCACGGCCACAGTCGCTCGGCGGAGAGAGGAAGATGTGAAGGTCAAAGTCCTGCGTCCCGACAAGTTTGCTGCCCTGCTTGTCGTATCCCCGGCGCGTATTCTGAGATTGGGAACCCACTAGGGTTGGAGAGCCGCGATTCAGGTGAGAGCGCAAGGGGTCCGTGCAGCAGATCATGGGATATGCATAAATATACAGTCTATCCTATTCTTTGTTCCGACCATAATTCTCTCTATATGATGGGCTTCTAGAAGAACCAACATGTTCGGTGATATCTATGTTTCCAGTTCTATATTCATCCACCACGGACGTTGAGTCAACACGAGCTGTACGATCAACGATTATCTAACAGTCTCGCTCAAGTCCGGACGGTTACAGGTTGGCGTCCTGAACTTGAGCTGAGATACATCAACTCCAGTGGCTCAGCTCTTCTCGGTCTCTGATACCCCTTTTGACATGGCAATGTCTTCCTGGTTTAGCATCGCTGACTACTAAAGCCACCAGCCTCCCTATTGACAAGTCGTTACAATAGTTCTCAGGTCCAGCTCACATGAATTCCGTATTCGACAACGATTTCGTTCCTCGTGTGCCACTGAAGACGTTGGCACGAGACTCGGCTGCATGCTCCTGTACTGGCGATCTTTCGACGCAAACATTCGACGGCTGCTTGCTCTCCTGGTACTGATTCTTGTGTGTTTTGATAGAGCAAGCAAATGCGGCATGGCATCAGGGCAAGCATTGTACGACCTTGAGCATCCTATATCTCCGAAGAGGTGAGTGCGCAGCCTGATGAAGCTGATTATACCCAATCAGGGTTGTATAGACGGACAGGGGCAGTTGAAACGACTGCTCCAAATAGTGCAAGTGTACAGCATCTTCCAGCTTCCTCTTGAAACGGGGTCGGACGAGGTTGTAAGACACAACAAAGTGCTGCCATAGACCTGTGTTCAGACGGGAGACACAAATTGGTCTTTGCGATCTGTCGATATAAGAAGCGCTTGTTGTAATCCACACTCCTTCGCAATCTTGGCTAGACGCCCATATATGTAAAGCCATTGGTCTTTTGAGATACGCGGACAGCTTGCGGCTGCATGGAGAGGCCAGATAAGTGAATAGCCACCAATCAGATCGGCTATCGTTTCCATCTGGTCTGGTGTTCTGGCTCGTTGTTGACCCATGCCCAGGTAGAATGGGACACTCGAGCAAATGTCGTCGACAGTTCGTTGTTCGATCCATCGAGTGTGGATGTAGCGATCGTCCATTGGGTAGTCGTATGGCCTGAGCCACTCTAGTCCATTTAAGATGACAGCCGCTGAAAGCATATGGCACGAGTGCAGTTTGTTTAAAACACACCCTTTGTGTACATCGCTGAATGCATGCACAGGGCCAACCCATGCATCCGCAGTGAGTGGGTTTACTGGTTTCTCCGGTATGTAAGCGATTGTATGTGGCAGCCAATCATCTGATAATGATGCAACCCAGTTCTGCATGGTGGCTTCCAAATGACATGCTCTTTCGAGAATATCCTCCATATCTGCCATGCTGTTGGGGTCGCGCTCTCGCTCGCAAAGTCGTCGAGTCTTTTCCATGAGCGCAGGTAGCTCAATGGTGCAATGAGTCAGGTATGCTAGTGGGTCGTCTTCGGTATTATCGCAGAGCCAGATCATCCCTGACTCGAGTTGTTTGGTAGGCTTTCCTTGTCGTATACAATTGATTAACATATGTGTTCGTGCTGCTCGGAAGAGCGCTAGACTTTGCTGAGTTTCGATTTGTTTTGTTCCCCTGCTTTGGACAATTGCACTTGCACCTTCCACATGGTTCGACCATGCATTAATGGAGTTATCAGTAGCTTTGATGGACTGTTGAGTCAGTCAGCTAGTGGCCCGCTTAAGGGTCGGTAATGGTTTAGACTTACCTCGTAGAGACACATCAGCAACGTCGCCTGAAGGGTTTCGTCCGATGTAGCTTGTGCTGGGTCCTGAAGAGCACTTGCAGCAATGCGCATCGCCTTGCCGTATGTGTCTGCTGCACGGTACTGGAGATGTCTCTGTTCAGGTAGCTGTGATATGGCGCATAACGCAGCTGCATGGGTAGCTGTCCGGAGTAACGAGTCTTTCGAGGAGGCACCGTACATGGGAGCCAAGAATGGAAGAAACTCTCGAACGGTATCCTGAGTTCTGTACAAGCGAACGAAATTCCTGAAGTAGACATTGACGACTTCCTCCTCGACTGACACGGTTGGCTGCTGGCATAGCGTTGTTAGAGCTTCAAGGTTGGTCTGGAGCGATCCTCGCGTGCGTATCAGTTGATTGTGAAGGCTAGAAATCGGAAGAATTGTTAAGTCGGCTGGTAACTCAGACGCAGCGCTCTTCGGAAGTGCTACTACACTATCCTTACTACTTTTGATGCTATCAGTCCTAACTCGTCTAGGCTTGCGAATAAGACTCACTACGTCGAATCAGGAGATCCGGACTTTCGAGGCTTTCTTGTCTTCGCGACTTTACTCGTCACCTTGTCGGTTTGATTTCGGAAGATGTAGTCTGCTTCATCTTTGTAACCCAGACATATCCGTGAGCTCTTTTCACATTGTGTGCATGTCGGTCGACCTTCGTCGCACTGGGTGCCGTGTCTGGTGAGTAGCTTGACACAGGCAAAATGGATTGCTCGACTTACCTTGATCTTTCGCTTTTTACACGTTCCACAACCTCGACTTGGCTTGCTGTATTTGATTAGCCGACACGTCTTTTTGTTAGATGGTTTCTGCCATTCTGCCTTACCCCCCGTACACCATGCTTGCTGGTTCGAAGCGGGTGATGGCGATACACAAAGCGACGAGAAACGCGTAGGAAAGTCACACCTGGAGTCTCTGGCAATACTGGATATATCTACACGATTGTTGCCTGGATGAACGAGAAATGCAATCTTCTGGAATTTTTGACGAATGTTGCATCGACCTCACCCTTGGAAACTCTGCTGCTCTACTGAAGTCATTCTCGCAAGCATTTCCCATTTAGGCCAGCACTATCGCTCGGCAAGGGTCGGGTGTCGGACGTCGGTAGCCGCTTGCCGCCGACCGGTTCTCTCCGTGCATCCGCTCTGTTCTCGAAACGTGTGCGAGAGATCTCGACCACGTTCTTGCACTGTATTTGTATATTCGAGCACCTCCGCTGGTTGATAAAGGTGAGGGATGTCCATCCGCCAGAACGCACACGGGTAAGGCGGAACCACAATATAAACAGTACGCTCGGACGACGCGTACGCACTTCGCCGATCGTAGGAAACCTTCTTCGAGTAACTACTCGACTGATGGAATTATTTCATTGTTCTGGATGCGTTCTATACCAGAACTGTCTTTTCATATCAATGAAACGAATACGCGCTTGATAGCATATTGTGCTGCAGGTAAATATGCATTCGCGGCTTGTTCCCGGCTCACGTCCGTGCAATTGGTGAGCCTGAATGCAAGGAGTGGAACAATCGACACATCAAGTCCTTCGCCGCGCTTAGCACCGGAAAATCTGGCAGAGTCAGGTAGGGCTCCGTGGAATAGGCAGCAGACATGTAGGCTGTCAGGATTAATGATCTATTTCTTTCTTGGGAGGCGTTCAACTTCAGCTCAAGCCCGAGCTCCGCAAGCTTGTACAAGAGCGTGGCAGAATACACCACGAGAGACATAGGAATCGTCATGGCAAAGACACGACACGAGAATGTCAACTGGCTGTTGGATCTCCATCACGATATTCCTATTCGACCTTTTATCTATTCTGTCGAGTCTTCTATCGAGCCTGGTTGTTTGGCTCCACAATCAAGGAGAGGCAGAGAAGTTGCTCCATACTTGTCATATATTATCGACAACTACGATTCTCTGCCGGAATTCTCTATCTTCATCCACCTCTAAAGACGAACAGTGGCACAATGACGTTCTTGGGCAAAAGGCAGCAGATACGCTCAAGGCTCTTCGATTCGACCATATCAACGCTGTCGGCTTTGTCAATCTACGCTGTACTCTATTTCCTGGATGTCCGGTGGGTATAAACCCTCTGGACCCTACCGAGGCCGATATTCGGAACAAAGATGCTAGGGCTTTCTTTGCAGGGATATACATGGAGCTGCTCAATATATCCCGCGAGCAGGTCCCACGTCACATCGGCAATGTCTGCTGCGCGCAATTCGCTGTCACGAGAGCGCGAATCCAGACACGGCCAAAGTCTGACTATGAGAGGATGCTCAAATGGGCCGATCAGAGTCAGGAGGTCGACTTCGGGGTGGGCTGGGTGTTTGAGAAGTTATGGGACATCATATTCGGCATGGATGCGATCAAGTGAGTGCTCAACGCGAGACTCACTACTCCGATTACTGACCTATATCATGTAGTTGTCCTAACTACGAGCAGTGTCGCTGCGATTTGTATGGCTGGTGCGGACCTTTGGCATCTGGCGAAGTCTTGATACCTAAATATACTTAAGGATAGAAAGTTCTCGCTGCTCTTTCAGCAAGACATTCATCCCATGCGCTGCTCGAAGGTGAAGGCTTCGTGCCGAACACGTTGCTGCATGAGATGACATATCTATGTGAAGAAAGTCACTCCCACCAACGTGCAGTCTCATGGAGTGGTTCGGATTGAATATGTTTGCTCGCTGTGATAGCCTTTCACTGATACTTTGAGGAGGGGCGATGGAATCTTGGGGTGGCAAGTATGTACAGTAGTCAGCATCGAATCTGCTACATTAGATTGCATCAGACCTTATTTCCATTTCACGATACAGTATAGTAGCAAAACTGGAAGGTGCATCCGAGACATTCGTGGGGTTCGGAAAGTGCTCCCGAGCCGCTTCCATTTGAGCAATCATGATCTTATCATCCGACAAGCTCCACGACATTAACACCTCAGCCTCAGGTGGCTTCAATAACTTTACTTTCTCTCTCGAAAGCGCGATCTCTCTTTACCTTAGAGAATATGGCCTTGACGGAAGGATGGAAAGACAAGCTGGCTTGGCCGCGGCTAATCGTCTTCATGGTCGTCCTCTTTCTTCTCATGACGACCGTGAGATCAGTGCTGAGCAAGAAAGAAGCTTTCAACCTTCCAGCAAATGGTCACCCTGGAAGCGAGAAACCACAAGAAGATGTTGTGGTGAACACATGGTGTCCAGTACCCGAGCTCCCTTCCACCCCTCAGGACGGCTTGATCGGCTCGCCAGAACTAGAAAGCAATAAAGACTTGTTGAGACTGCAGGTTGAACGTCTCAGCGCAGTTGTTGATATTCCGACAGTCTCGTATGATGATAACTATGATGTCGACAAGGATCCCAGATGGCATGCTTTTGTTACCCTGCACGAGACTCTGAAAACTCATTTTCCACGAGTGTAAGTGGATACCATTGAAAGAAGTGAAACTACTCTGACAATTCGAACAGGCATGAGAAGATGGACCTTGAAAAGGTGAATAGTTATGGCCTGCTATATACGCTACCTGGAAGCTCTCAGGATCTTAAGCCGCTTCTCATCATGGCTCATCAAGACGTTGTACCAGTACCAGATCCAACAAAGTGGAATCATCCTCCGTACGAATCATACTTTGACGGACAGTGGCTTTGGGGGAGAGGCTCTGTCGACTGCAAGAATACTCTCGTTGGCATCTACAGTGCCATGGAACGACTTCTTGAGCAAGACTTCAACAACACTCGTACCATCATACTATCATTTGGCTTCGATGAAGAAACTGGTGGCTTCAGGGGAGCTAAACATCTGGCTGGTCACTTGAAGGAGAAGTACGGCGAGAACAGTATGGAGATGGTAGTCGATGAAGGTGGCGGCATACGTACTGTCGATGGCGTGCTATACGCAGTACCAGCAATTGCAGAGAAGGGCTTCCTCGACATTGTTCTTACCTTGAACACACCAGGAGGTCACAGCTCTGGTCCACCGAAGCATACAAATATCGGTATCATGTCACGCCTTGTCGCAACAGTGGAAGACCATCCTTTCTCACCACATGTTGACGAACACAATCCATTCTGGGGCTATCTGAAATGTGAAGTAGAGAACTCGCCCAAGAAAGCAGAGCCATGGCTACGAGAGGCCTTGGAAAAGAAAGAAGATTTTGCAGACAGACTCATCGAGTCAAGAGGAGACGTTGTCCGCTGGTCTATGCAAACCTCACAGTCTGTCGATATCATCAACGGCGGCATCAAAGACAATCAACTCCCAGAAACCACCGAAGTAATCATAAACTATCGCGTCCTTCCAACCGACAAGATAACCGACGTTCTCAAGGCCGTCGCCAATGTCCTCGCTCCACTCGCAAACAACTACAGCATAGCAGTCCAAGGGTCTGGCTACTCACAAATCGACCGTGGCTACGGTGTCTTAAACATCTCCTCTCTCAACATCCTCGAGCCTTCTCCGCTGTCGCCAACAAGTCCCGACAACGGCATCTGGAATATCTTCGCAGGTTCGATCCGTCAAGTGTTTGAGACGTCCGCCGGAAAGGTCGTTCCTGTAGGCTCGTTAGCGACGGGAAACACAGATACAGCGCATTATTGGGCGTTGACGAAGAACATCTATCGATTTTCGCCGGTATTGGAGGGGCAGGCTAAGGGTGTGCATACTGTGGATGAGAAGATTGACATGCAGGCGCATTTGGATGGAGTAAGATTTTACTACGAATTGATTCGGAATGTGGATGGTTATCGAGGAAGTTAGCTTTACAGGAAATAGACATCTGATCATGTAGCTTGTCAATATGATGATTTGTTTTTCTTCGATGCATAGTAGAGGAAGGAGCGCTGTCTTGTTGCTGCCTGCCTCTTGCTTGATCGCAGTTTCTTCTTGGTTCGTTAGCTTACACTGCGTCATGTCAACAAGGACGGTGTATCAGAGAGGATGTCCGACTATCAGAGCATTCGTCAGAGAGCTACTCCCAGGTTGGACACTATACGTTACAGCAGCGGATCACAACAGAACGCCAATCTCGAAATCGAGGCGGCGGTACGAGACGGCGTTCTTGGTCTTCTTCTTAAAGAACTTACGAGGAATCTTGCGGAAGTTGGCGTCGATCTGGCAAAGCTTGTGAGTGCCGGTCGCTATGCTGTATCCCTGAGTTGCAATCTCGCGGTCATTGAACATGATTTCGACCGCATGATTGTTTGGGATGTCGTCTCCAACTGCAAATGTGCGGCAGAAGGGGAGAGTGATAGGTGTCTTGGTTGGCATGTCTTGGCCCTTCTTTACATGCCACGACATCTGATTTCTGGCTATAGTCTCCTTCGTGACATTATCGATGTATCTGTCCCTCCTGGAGTGTTTAGCGGCATCAAATGCTTCACTGCATACGATACCGTAATGGCGTCTTGCCTTTCTGCTTAGCACGAGTTGTCCTCGAGATTAGACAGAACGGCGCCTCTCACGACTGCTGGCCAAGAATTCTCGGGCTGCATGATGACGAATCTTGGGCCTTTAGACTCGCTCTCTAGTTCAGGATGTCATCCAGCTGAGTATATTCCGGAGGAGGGTCTTCATCCGCAAAACGCTTTTTGAGACTTCGGTACAAGAATTCAGACTGGCCGAACCCTCCAACCAGGATCACACCCTTCGCAACTTTTCCGTCTGCCGTAAGGCTCATAAGCTGTCTTTCGATGAGATCAATGATAGAGTCCACCAAGGGGCGAAAGATCATTCCAACTTCTGCAGAAGATAGAGCAAAGAAGCCTAAATCGATGCCCGTTTTAGCGTCGTCTCCACCATAAAGCGCACCAGTTCCGGGAGCTGACTCCTAAAGTCTTAAGGGTGACATCGAGGCGACGGCAGAAGGTCGGCAGTGCCTCCACCACAGTCACAGACGATGAAGTTGTCGCCGACACTCAGCAACTTCTGCTTCTATCCCATTGACTTTAAAGCGTAAATTGCAGTAGCCTCGGGTTCGCCGATCATGTGATATTCAGGTCCTATTCCAGCCTTTTGGGCTGCTCTCAACGTGGCATCTTTGGCAGCATCAGTCCAGACGGCCGGCGCGGTCAGAACAACTTCGATAGTCGTGGAGGAAACCGTTTGCTGAGTAAAGCGTTTGACTAATGCTTCTATAGCGCGACTATGAATTTGGGCGAGATAGTCGGAAATGGCTTCTTCGGCGGTCTTGCCGCATTTTCTAAGCTCTTCGTTTAGCTCATCTCTAGAGACATAGTCTGGGAGTTTCTGTCGGGGATCTAGACGCAGTTTGAGGCAACGCAAGCGAGTCTCCTCGGGCTTGATCTCAAGTCCCCAGCGAAGCCTGGTAGTGGTGACGACTTCACCTTTCCAGTCACGCTTGATACCTGAGTTTGGTGGGTTGGTCTCGTAAAGGATCTCTGAGGGCACTTTGTTAGATGTCACCCCGTTGGATCCAGGCCAGCTGTTGTATATCAGTGAATGGATCATGAAGCTTTCCTCGTAGTACAACTTACCTTTTGACGACTTGTATCTCATCTGCGGATTCGGGATCACCACTGTACGCCAGAGCGCATCCCAAGAAATTTGTGCCGAAGTCCACTCCGATAATCAGGCGATCGCGTCCTTCTCGAGGCGGTACATTGATACGCATATAGTGTGGCGGGATGCCGGCGTAGCAAAGGTGATTGAGTGACAGTTTGAGGGGGCAAGCAGATGGGAAGGGAGGAAGAGAGTTATGGAGAGAGTAGGAAAAGAGTTGTGAAGTGAGTAGGAAGAGTATGAGCCAAGATGCAAAGCGTAGTTGACAGCTGAGGTTTGTGAAGTGAGGTGTAGCTCAAACGTGAACTTGGAACTTGCGAAAGCTGCCTAGCAAGGTTTTCTTGTCGTTAAGTGGTCTCAGTCCCCTCTACAGTCACTGTCGGTAGTGAGTCGCGATTCAGCTGTAAGTCTGTCGGAAAACGTCAGTAGAGCAAAAGCTTCGGTCTGATCCAATCTCAACTCGTGTTTCTTCAAAGTTCGCTGGTTCGGTGAATCAAGCCATCCAACACGCTCACACTTCCTCCGATCGCACTACTACTCTTGGTGTTTCAATCCGTCACGCCCGCAGTCTCTTCTCTTACAACAACCTCGGGTCTTCTAAAACTAGCACCATGCCTCCTCAATTGTCACATTACGACTCGCGACGACTGAGGTACGTTTTCCACCACCTACTCCTGTTCATGAACTGATCTCCTTGCAGAACTCCGACTTTTGCCGATGTGTCAAGACAATTAGCACATCTCAAGAGACAACACAGCATACTTGAAGACGACCACGAGCAGACTAAGACTCACTGCGACCAGCAGCATCTGAGAGTCGCCAACTTTGGGGAATGCTAAAGGCATACAAGAAAGAATGCCAGAGATTCCAGTCGAATGAGGATCATTACCAGAGAAAGATCTATGATCTGGAAGCGCAAACTGCATGGAGGAGATCAACTCAGAAGATGCGGATCAGATACAGGCTTGCGTCTGGCCCATACTGATCAAGAAGACCTTCGAGAGCAATGACACAGAGGTAAGTCGATCGAATTTCATATCCTCATGTCATGATACTGATTGATCAAAGGCCGAGATAGTGGTTGTCTGCAAAGCCAAGGTCTCGGCACTCTGCTGAGCGATGCTCTAACCTCTCTCCAAGTGGTTGGAATCGGGGGACACGCTGAAGACCAGGGCTGTACAACATTCATTAAGGAAGGGAAAGGCTTCCTATCGGAGGTTGAAGCATTGAGGCTTGGCAAAAATTTCCTCCTCCATCTCTCAGATGCCCAAAGAGGCAATTAGCTTAGCGATCCCAAGCTCAACATGAGCATAATGAAAACTACTCTGCTTTGAATCAACCCGCTTCTTGATGGGAATGCCTCTTGAGATACAATATCTAAGCTTGCTTATTTCAGAAGAAAAAACCGAAGACTCCCGCTCATTGCTACATGTGTGTACAAACAAACCAGAAACTATGCAAAAACTCCTAGATACTCCTTCCTCATGGCTCGTAAAGACTGTCGCCGTCGTCGTCTACATCCTCCCGTTCATCATCATCGGCCAGCCACTCGCTGGCAGAGAAGCTGGACTGCGAGTTTGGTTGCGACATCTGGCTGTCATCGCCATCTTCATCAAGACCAGCCCATTCATGCTCGCTCTCTGCCGCGCCAGAGCGTACAGATTCTACCTCAGTGTCTCCTCCATCTGCCATTGCGAGATCGAGGACGTTGATGACATTGTGACTGTGTGGTGTTGCGTAGGCGGTGGGTGTGCTGAGTCTCTTTCTACTTGATCCTGCTCTGCATTGACTGCGTGTTTCCCACACATTCTCCATCATGGGTGTTGGCGGCTCGTGTGACCATCGTGGTGTCAATTCTTCTAGTCCGCCTCGGTATCTGCTCGGTGAGCCGGATGTGCGACGTCGTTTCTGGTAGGCGACAGGTGTGCATGATGGACTTGTACGGCGTCTTGGTTCAGAGACTCGTTTCGTAATGATCGGGAAGGACTCTGAATATCGAGCCGTGATCGTGTCGCCAGATGAGCTCGAGGTATACGATCTTACTGACGGGCTTGCTGGCTCTTGATCTTCGAATGTGATGCCAGAGCTTCGACGTTTGCCAAGAGAAGTGTTGCTGACTTGCGATATGAAGGACGAGAAACTAGGGGCGTCATCGAGAGCAGGCATGTGGCCCCAGAAAGGCTCTGACGGCGCTTCTCGGTTGAACAATGAGCCAGATCTTGCAATGGCGTTTTCGTAGCGAGGCAGCTCACGAATCTGAGGCCATGTCCAACCAGTCTTTCCTGGTTGGATGTAGCCATCGGCGGTGGTCATGTAAAGTCGTTTGCGACCACCTTTGCCATTCATAAAGACACCCGTGTCCAAGAATGATATATCCCATGTAGCCGGTGTGATCAGCTCGTGTGGTTCCAGATATCGGAGCCACGAGGATTTCTTAATCTTTCGCAAAGGCACAAATGCCTCTCTCAATGCTTCGTATGGTTGATGTTGGTTATTTGTACGATGATATGGCTGTGTTTCGACAAAGTCTGCAAAGGCATCCTTTACAGACTCCCAGATTCCATGTGCGCCGGTATCTACGATACTGACTTTGCGGACAAATCCTCGACTTTGTAGGCGCCTAAATAAGTTGCTATTGGGTCCGGGTGCTTTCGGCCAAAGCCATGGGTTGATCGTGCTCGCCCAGGCCTCGATAGTGTCGAAAGTCCAGGCAGGTCCCTTGTTCCCAGTCAGCGCAAGCAGTCCACCGGATGATCTCCTTTCATCACACTGGGCGCCAGGCGTGCTAGGGAGTGGATTTGGGTCAGAGTTTGTCGAATCATGCCACACCCCCTTCAGAGTACGTCCAAAAGGAAGAAGGACAACTTCGATCTCCCATGGATTGGCATATGACGGTTGTGCACTCTCCAGATCCGCCAGACGTTGTTCTACATCTGACACCCGCGAAAACAGCGCTTTGCTACTACGGGTCTGGAGCATCTGGAAAGATGTCGAGGCTTGCGAATCTTGGTCTTCCAATGCCAATTGAGAATTCTCCAAGCGAGCGTCAATATCCTTTTTCCAGTATTCCATCTCAAGTAAGCGACCGTCGAACAGCTCGAACTTTTCTTGCACTTCGTCCAAGGGCACGTGAGAGAACGAGTAGGTTTCGAGCGTCTCCAAGCGTCGTACACAACTCTGCAGGATATTTTGTACATCTGTTGATATGGTCTTGTCGGGTGTACTCGGCGCCTCCTTTGATCTGTGGTCGATGAACTTGGTGACTTCCAGACATGGTCTCGCGTCCTCGACCTGGCAGACTTCTGTTTTTGCGTCCAACGGCATTGATGGCTGGGATTGTGTCGATTCAGGATCGCCTTGACTGTGGTGGGCATTGGGTGGTACCTCTATCCGTATTGAATCGGGCACGTACTCGGCGGTAGGAGTTCCTTGGACGGTAGGACTACCCATCAAGCCATCCATGTTTGGGAACAGTGAGGCATATCGCCTTTCGTTCGAAGTTGTACTCTTGACTGGCGATGGCTCACTCGGCGCGCGACGTCGTTCATTTTGTGGTTCGTAAGACAGAACGCTAGCCGGCGCAGTGGAAGGGACCCAGGTAGGATCTTGCTGCCATCGCGCAAAGTTGTTCAAGCTCCCCCAGACGTCGTTCGATAGCGGCGCGACCTCTGGTCGTTTGATGCGATCGTGTCTGCTCTTATCTTGTGGAGGAATGATAGGTGGTTGGATCTGAGGACCAACAAGGAGACTGTTGCTGTGTCCGACATTGTTATCTGCCGGTACCGAGGGGGCGCTACTGTGTCGCATCAAGGTGGGAGGTGGATTGGCATCGACTGTAACGTCGTGGAAACAAGCGTGATGGCCGCAAGCGCAGAGTACTGAAGATCCATTTTGACTATATAGCGGCTTGTCGAGCCAGAATCTACGGCAGCCACAGGTCGCGGCTTGGGAGCCGCAACTCAGCGGACGGAAGTTGCAAGATCCATTTGGTAGAGACGCGTAGGAAGCGGTCGTGGTCGCGGTCGTGGTTGCTGTGTTTACAGCGTTGTGCCAAACTGAAGCCGCCATGGGGCCTCAGCAAAGCATGATCTGGGGAGACGTATACACTGGATTGAGACTATTGTTTCTGGTGAATAGAACGACTTGTATGGCGCGTTCATTGACGTGAGAAGAGGAATACGGCGTAGAGGGGGTGCAGAAGGTGTGTACAAAACAAATGTCGATGAGGCCGAGAATGCGCATCCCACGCGCCCGGATCCATCTACTCCACTTCGACGGCCCGTAGCGTAGAACGCTTAAACCCTGCTTTCCCAAGTCTCCGATCATGGCCATGAGACATGTGATGATCTCTCGCGAGGAAATAGATGTTATCACAGGCTTCTATCTTCACAAACTGTACCTGTGCGGACAGTTAGACTGTGCTTACTGTCTTGCCGTGGGCTTTCTCGTGTTACTCGACCTTATCAAGCTTGTATGTTCTGCATATCTGCACGTCAGCTCCGAGCCGTTATCACGTCTAGGTATTATCAACTCCAATGCCTGGGATTTTGAGAATTGTACAAGTCTCTGAATGCGTCGGAAGGCTTCTTATGTAGGTCTTTATGCTCGCATCAATTTGCTTCTGCATAATCCTAAAGTCTGTTATGCAGTCCGGCAATCGCACAATGACAAGGACACATCTATGAAGCACCTAGCCAAGTACAAGACAAGTGTTTAGTATAGTGAACATGTTCCAAAGCCTCTTACTGAATTCACTGCATCAACGGTTGACGGTGTGATAAGTAAAGAGGCTGGTCGATTTGGTGGTGGTGGTCATAGCGTCTTACAATCGAACTTGCTCTCTCTGACGTCCACCTCGGTCTCCATCAACGCGCTCTACATGTCGAGGGTCGAGTCTTTTTGAATTCCCCGTCGCCTAGCAATCAACCGAGTTGCGATTGTCGCGTGTTCGACCTAAGCTCGAGAGTGTAGATCTTGATAAGATGTAAGACTTTTTCCCGGCGCATTCTCTCTCGAATAGCACGCGTCGCAACCCGGACATACTCCGTAGAGAGAGGTATACTAACTGGCATACCGTAGTTCTGCCGCCTGTCACGGGCGCATCCCACCTCGATGGACGATCAAATGTCTAGCTACCCGGAGCCCGACAGCCAGCAGCATTACACGCTGTATCCTGCTCCGGGTCAGCAACCATTGCTGGACCCTGTCCAACAGGAACAATTGCAATTCAGTCAGCTCGGTCAACTTGGTCAAGCCATCTACCCTAAGGCGGAAGGTGAAGTAGATCCGAATGCGCCAAACCACATCGAACAGCGGATCGAGCAATTGCAGCAACAACCACCGCACCCTCAACCTCAACACCAGCACCAGCATCAGCACCCTCTCCAACACCACGACCAACAACAGCATGACCAACACCAACAACAACCTCTCCCGCCTCCACCTCCACCAATCGCTCAACCGCAAGGTCCCCAAGTCCAAGGGGAGACTCCCCAGAAGGCCAATCGCCTACGCAAAGCATGCGACTCGTGCAGTATTCGCAAAGTGAAGGTATGCCAGACTGCCATTCGTCTTGTCGAACCCTAGTATTGTACTAAGCTCAATTTGTAGTGTGATGAATCGGGTCCACCATGCAGAGCTTGCGCCGCTCTAGAAATTCCCTGTACATTCGAACGACCCAGCCGTCGCCGTGGCCCTCCCAATAGGCATGCAGAAGCCATCAAACGCCGCCGTCTCGAGGAGTCTCCGCATATTAGTGGCCAGTCGACACCCTCCTCTCCGACCCATGCCGCACAAGCTCTGGCAGCTCTGTCCTCACATCCCTCTCATCCTCCAATCTCTGCCGAGGCCATTTGCGACATCCAGACCTTGGACCTCCTTGTGAACGACTTCTTCACCTACGTCCACCCGCTATGCCCATTCCCACACGAGCCCAGCTTCCGTGAGGCTTGGAAGAGAAGAGAAGACTACAACAATCGTGCATTTTTGGCCTTGCTTTCCTCCATGGTCGCTGCTCTCGTAGCTTCGTTCCCACGAAAGCCAAGATTGCACCTGAAGGCTCAGCGCAGAGATGTCGACTTCCCCAATCACATGGCACTTGTCTTGAAGTGTCAGAAAGTATGCGCCGACGCTAGGGGACCAGGCTACCTCGACAACGAGAACTTGAGTGTTCATGATGCTGCCACTAGCTATTTCCTTGGCCTTGCAGCCTGCTACACTTTCAGATGGCGCCAATGTCGCTTATACTGGAGTGAGTGTTTGACCATCATCCGCGCTCTTGGACTACACAAGCCGACCGAGCAGAACTTTACGCGACTGGGCATGCTTCCAGCTGCAGTAGGCTCCAACGGTCCAAACGTAGAGGGAAATCGTGACGACGTCCTTGACAACATCACCCTAGAAATGGGCAGACGAATCTTCTGGACCATGTTCGTCAGCTCAAAGACGATTCATCAGTGCGGCTCTGCCTTCAGCGAACTCGTCATTCCGCCCGAGACTCACTCCATGCCCTACCCTCCACTTCCCGTTGAGGTCGACGACTTCTGCATCTTCCCTGGACACATCGAGCCGCAGCCACCAGGTCTAGTCCCGATGATTGCTGGTTTCAATGCTAATGTTAAAATCTTCATGTCTTACAACCCTCTATCCACCATGGAATTGGCCTGGGGCATTGACGCGCTGGTTGACGTTGAGCGTCAAAAGAAGGTTCTTCGTGACTCGCTGGAAAGATGCAAATCAGCCATCAGGGATCTGCCGCCTGTACTTGTCATCTGGCCGACTGACAACAATCCTTTCGCCAATCACAACGGAAACGAGCTCGGCCTTGACTTTTCAAACACATCGTATGCACGCGATCCAGCAACTCTAAACCCCAACACGGTGGACGCCACGCCTGAGGACCGTAGAAGACGACAGTACGAGATTCAGAAGGCTAACATCCATGGGAGTGGCCTCTGTACGAGGTCATACATTGTCGAAAAGTACTTTACTCTGATCGAGGCGCAGGCCAGGAGTAAGCTCCAGGCAGAGAACGCGGAATCCGGCTTGTCTAGCGAAGTAGCTGCAGAGCTTGATGGTCTGCTTTCAGATGGAGCGGCTTCTGCCGATGCTCTTGATCGTGAGATGTCGGAAGAGCGCGAAGGCATTGTCAGAGACTTGCTTTCTGTTCTGAGCAGTATTGACAGGGTGAACATGGAGCCCAACGCAGACAGCCTTGTAAGTGGATCATGTGAACAGAGGATGATAGCAAGAAAGTGGCTAATCTGTTCTGCAGACAACAAAGATTCGCGTTGTAGCGAGCACCCTCCTGGAAGTGCCCAAGTCACGCAAGGGACAAGTGGCGCAACAAGCCGAGCAATATCTTGCAGCTTTCCTTGAGATTCTTGTCAAGCTGGAGCGTGTGAACCCTGGACACGACGATCCTCTCAACCCTAATGACGAGGAATCAGAGTTGCGAAACTGGGCGGACCTCCGAGAATACCAACTCAAGTTCGCACAGCAGGGCGGACTATCTAGTCTTGGTTGATTGAGAGTGGACGTTGTCTAGAAGGAATGGGCGTTCACGGGTATAATCTATTGCTAGCAACGTGTATAAGGGACTTGTGGCTGGGATTAATGGCGATGAAGCCGGGATGGCTTTGCATCAAAAGCGAGCATGCTGTACATTAGGATATATCATAATTGCTTGACGTTCTTCAACTCCTATCTTCCTCTCCTGATCGTTGTTCTAAGGATGCTCCTTCCTTGTCAGGGGCTCCGGGCTTGGCGTTGGCCAGACTTCCGAGGCGCAATGGTGGCAGCTTGCTTTCTATTTACAGACCAAAATACTAATATATCACGCGAACTCTGGAAGGCGCATATCAGGGAGTAAGAGGAGGAAACGACAGGAAAAGTAGTCGAGTATCACATTGCGACATCCTGGCTTCGACGAGTCTCTGTAAAAGTAAGAGCGGATTGGACCACGCAGCGTTGGCTACAGCTTTCGTTGGAACACAGGATCGCAGGCACTCTCGTTAACCATGGAGTTCTCCATGACTGGATCGCCGGCAACGACACCGCTGGTAACACCGGGCGGCTCTAAGGCAAGACAGACCGAGCAAAGATTCCGACCACCCGTCGCACCAAGTCCCTACTCGGAGTATCAACAAGCCGGCTCAGAAGCGAGTTACTTCCCAGTTCAGCCTCAACAGCAGGCCCCACCACTACAACAGCAGCAGCAACAACAACAACAACCACCACAGAGTATGGACGGTTTGTCAAATCAGATGGGCAGCATGGGTCTCGGTGGTCAAGCCTTCGCTCCAGCTGCACCAGGCGCGCGGCCGCATAAAAAGAAGGATAGACACGCATACCACCAGCTCGAAACACCAGCTGCTGCCCAGCCTCTGCCAGGCGCCGTACCAGGGACCACGTCGTCTCAGTTCTACAACGCTCAGAATGCGCCTGTACCTGGAACAGCAGCACCGTACATGTCTCAGCAAATCACTCCCGCCATGTCACAGTTCCCCGCAGCAACCTCTGCCTTCACACCCGCAAATCCTGCAACCTCGACTGAACACGCTGCTCGTCAAGGAGACCAGTTGTTGTCAGCTCCTGCTTCTTCTCAGTCAGGCAAGGTCGACCCTGACCAGATCCCCAGTGTGCCAAGGTCACGCGACATTCCCGCTCGTCACTACCAGGAGCGCATATATCCTACTATGGAGCAGCATCTCCCTCCGCCTGCTGTCGTTCCCTTTGTCGCATTCGATCAGGGCAACAGTTCTCCGAAGTTCGCACGCCTCACCTTGAACAACATTCCTACCTCCAATGACGCTCTCCAAACTACTGGCCTTCCTTTGGGTCTTGTTCTGCAACCATTAGCACCTCTACAAGATGGCGAACAACCCGTACCTGTTCTTGACTTTGGCGACGTCGGTCCCCCACGCTGTAGGCGTTGTAGAACTTACATGAACCCCTTCATGACCTTCCGTTCTGGCGGGAACAAGTTCATCTGCAACTTGTGCAACCATCCCAATGACGTACCTTCCGAGTACTTTGCTCCTACTGACCCATCAGGCATCAGAGTTGATCGATCGCAGAGACCTGAGCTGATGTTGGGCACTGTTGACTTCCTTGTTCCCAAGGAGTATTGGACAAGAAACCCCGTTCCTCTCCAGTGGCTATTTGTGATCGACGTCAGTCTTGAAGCGTCTAGCAGAGGCTTCCTCGGCGCCATGTGCAGAGGTATACTACATGCAATCTACGCTGAGGATGGTACGAGCAACCTTCCAACGGGTGTCAAGGTTGGTATCGTCACATTCGACCGAGAGGTGCACTTCTACAATTTGACTCCAGGTCTCGAGCAAGCTCAGATGATCGTCATGCCCGATATTGAGGATCCGTTTGTCCCCTTGAGCCAGGGCTTGTATGTCGATCCTCAAGCATCTAAAGCTGCCATCACTTCTCTTCTCAAGCGGATACCAGACATGTTCTCGTCAGTCAAGAGCCCAGAACCTGCTCTGCTACCTGCTATCAACGCTGCTCTGGCTTCTCTGACTTCCACTGGAGGCAAGATTGTGTGCTCCGTATCAAGCCTTCCCACCTTCGGTCCCGGACGTCTCTTCCCTCGTGACAAGAATGAAGGTCGCGACACAGACGCAGAGAAGAAGCTTTACACTACCGAGCATCCTGGTTGGAAAAGTACCGCTGCGAAGATGGTCGAGGCCGGTGTCGGTATAGACTTCTTTATGGCTGCACCTAGCGGCGGTTACCTTGACATTGCGACCATCGGACACTGCTGTGCGGTATCTGGAGGTGAGACTTACTACTACCCTAATTTCCACAGCCCACGAGACGACTTGCGACTAGCAAAGGAGCTCAAGCACACTGTGACTCGCGAGACTGGTTTCCAGGCCCTCATGAAGGTCCGCTGCTCTAATGGTCTTCAACTTTCTGCTTACCATGGCAATTTCACTCAGCACACATTTGGCGCTGATCTTGAGTTTGGTGCTATCGATGCAGACAAGGCGATTACCGTCATGTTCAGCTACGATGGCAAGTTGGATGCAAAGCTGGACGCCCACTTTCAAAGCGCACTACTCTACACGACAGCGACAGGTGAACGCAGAGTTCGTTGTACGAACACCGTTGCGAGTGTGAGCGAGAATGCTCTCGAAGCAATGAAGTTCGTCGATCAAGATGCTGTGGTCAGCGTCATCTCCAAGGAAGCCGCTTCAAGAGTTGCAGAGAAGACTTTGACTGATATTCGCAACTCTCTGAGCGAAAAGACGATTGATATCCTGGCTGGCTACCGCAAGAACTTCTCAGGCTCACATCCTCCTGGTCAGCTGGTATTGCCAGAGAACCTCAAGGAGCTGAGTATGTACATGCTAGGATTGATCAAGTCACGAGCTTTCAAGGGTGGTCGCGAGCCTAGCGATCGCAGAGTTCATGACATGCGCTTGATAAAATCGATGGGTCCTATGGAGTTGTCATTATATCTGTACCCACGCATCATCGCTATCCACAACTTGGAGCCGACAGATGGTTTCGCAGACGAGAATGGTCGACTTCTCATGCCACCTACTATCAGAGCGTCGTTCGGACAGATTGAAGAAGGTGGCGCCTACATTGTCGACAACGGCCAAATCTGCCTGTTATGGATGCACGCTCAAGTATCGCCCAACCTGCTTGAAGACTTGTTTGGCGAGGGTTACAATGAGCTCAAACATCTCGATCCATTCAGCTCTAGCTTACCCGTACTCGAGACACATCTCAGCGCTCAAGTTCGAAACATCATGCAGTATATGGAGACCACACGAGGCTCAAAAGCCATGACGATACAACTGGCAAGGCAAGGATTGGACGGCGCAGAGTACGAGTTCGCTCGCTTGCTTTACGAAGACCGTAATGGCGAAGCTCAAAGCTACGTCGACTGGCTGGTGCATGTGCACAGGCAGATACAGATGGAGGTAAGTCGAGAAGCAACGCGAAATCGAGACAACATGACTAATTCCTCGACAGCTATCCGGTCAACGCAAGAAGGATGACGGAGGAACAGACATCAGCGGCACTGTGGCATCTACCTTCGCAGGTCTACGTGCGCCGTACTGGGGCTGAGTCTACTAAGAAGTAAAGATGATTGTTTGTGATGTGATAGCGTTAAAGCGAGGAATTTGTTCATGGATGGGGTGTCTGAGCGAAGCAAAAAAAAAAGCATTGCTTCTTTCCGATTGTATGGAACTTGGCGATAGAATGAACGTATAGTCATGTGTCACGATCATTGTTACAACACTAATTGGAGACATCGAACGCAAAAGTCAATCAGAGTCGCATGAGAATATGTCGTGGTCAAGTCAGACTGGCCGAGGGTAGCACCCTGTCGTCAATGAAATTGGTCGACTTGTAGACGATTGCGTCGCCGCATATCTTCTAACATATTATGAGAGCACTCTGAGTATTTCAGACTGTCCTCTGCAGAAGTTTTGCACGGATCCAGTCACCGTTGTCGTTGTTGGTTCCAAAATGTGATCCTTAATGATTGTCGTGCTGATACAGCATGAATTGTTTCAACGCTTCCTAGCAACAGCGAGGCTCAGATTGGAGTGTAAGTCTGAAATGTTAGGAATTTGTTCCATCATGTCAAGCACATTATTGTCATCGCCAATCCAGAGACTCTAGACTCGAGATATGCTGGCACATGGAAGACATGTGTCCTAAAGGTCGCTCCTTCCATGAGAATCTCACGATAAGCAGAATCTCGATATTAGCGCTCCTCGCGTTCAGCTTCCCCGAGAAGGCGTTATCGGCGTTTATCTGGAGAGGTTCGTAACAGCTGTCTCCAAATTCCCCAAAAAGTGTCCACAAGGGTTATACGCCTGGCCCTCTCTGTCTCTTTGTCTCTTGCACTTGCTTCTGCATATTCCCGATTGTCAGGTACAATTGGCAATCATGTTGTTCAAACTTGCATGGCTGTTGTTGTGCGTGTTGCCGCTTGTGGCACTCTGTGCGGAGGACTACTACAAGGTAAATGGCTATGGCGACTGTCGAGGGAGATTGGAGATGTGCTAATACTCGATGAACAGTTGCTTGGAATTGAGAAGAATGCATCAGACCGCGAGTTGAAGAAGGCATACCGAACACTTAGCAAGAAATACCATCCTGACAAGAACCCGTCCGTCGCATCCCATCCCCTGCCTCGAGAAGATTGTATAGACTAATACAACACGACACAGCGGCGACGAATCAGTCAATCAAAAGTTTGTCGAAATCGCCGAAGCCTACGAAGCCCTCTCCGAACCCGAGACGCGCAAAATCTACGACCAATACGGCCATGAAGGTCTCAAACAACACAAAGAAGGCGGTCATCGTCAAGGAGGCAACCCCTTTGACCTGTTCTCTCGCTTCTTTGGCGGAGGCGGTCACTTCGGCCAGTCTGGTCAACGCAGAGGTCCTAATATGGAAGTCCGCGTCGCCGTGCCCCTTCGCGACTTTTACAATGGCGCCGAACACGAAATCGCACTGGAAAAACAGGCAATCTGCTCATCTTGCGAGGGCAGTGGTTCAGAAGATGGAAAGACAGATACGTGTGGAAAGTGCAAGGGTCATGGTATGATTATCCAAAAAGCACAACTCGCACCGGGCATCTTCCAACAAATGCAAATGCAATGCGATCTCTGCGGTGGAAAGGGAACAACCATTCAACACAAATGCAAGACCTGTGGTGGATCTCGCCATGTCAGGGAAGTCGAGACGTTTACCGTCAACATCGAAAAGGGAATGCCAAAGGGAGCGAGAATTAATTACGAAAACGAGGGAGATGAGAGTCCAGATTATGTTGCTGGAGACCTCATCGTGCAGGTTGTGGAAAAGGATCCAGAGTTGGGCAAGGGTGATGAAAAGCACGATCGCACAGATGGCACTTTCTTCCGTCGCAAGGGCAATGATTTGTTCTGGCGTGAAGTGCTGAGTTTGAGGGAAGCATGGCTGGGAGACTGGACTCGCAATCTCACACACTTGGACGGACACACCGTGCAACTCTCCCGCAAGCGCGGTCAAGTCATCCAACCAAACTCTGTCGAAGTCGTCAAGAACGAAGGTATGCCCATCTGGCGTCATGAAGATGGTCCTGAATACGGAAACCTGCATGTCGAGTATACTGTCATACTGCCAGATCAGATGGACAAGAATATGGAAAAGGACTTTTGGAACACATGGGACAAGTGGAGGAGGAAGAGCGGAGTGGACTTGCAAAAGGACGCTGGTAGACCCGCTCCTGCTGCTGCTGGCTCTGGACATGACGAGTTATAGAATGATCTCGTCTTTTTCTTCATTCACGCTTGGTCTGCTGTTGCTTGGAACTGAAAAGGAAACAAGTATAATACCCCATCCAATTGATCAACTACAATAAATTATCCATTCATCATCTTGAGTTTGGTCCTCATCTAGAAGTGCCTGTACCATCTGGATCTTGTGTACCCGAGTACCCGAGTACCCATGTAGACCTAGCCCTCTCCATGCATGCCCATGCCTGGGAACAACAACCAGATAAGAAACCTCAAAGCTTCGCCTCCTCCTTGAGCTCACCAATCTTCAACCTCTTCTGATACTTCTTGAGCACATGCTCATTATGATATTTCCAAAACTGTTTACTCGCATCTGTATTTCCCCATCTCATCAGCACTTTGGACATCTCGATAAACCGATGAGTTAAGAAGAGGATCAAAGAAGACATACCTTTTCCTCCTACACGCTTCAATATCTTACTGCCGCCTGGATGTTCATCTGCAAATTCTTGCATGGAGTAGACGGCATTGTCGATTATTATGTAGAGACCATTGTCGGGGCTCGCGTGGTCTTTGACTTCTTTTGCCGTGAGGGATTGGGACATGATTGTTGCTTTGTTGTCCTTTGAGACAGTGATGATTGATAAAAGGGCTTGATATGATGGAGATAAAAAGCGACAGAGGATTGCGGATGATGTTGGTATGATGTAACAGGTAATCGAGCGATGTGGTATAGAAGGAAAAAGAATGTAATCCGGAAGACCGTGGTTGGTCGGTGTGGAGGGGAATGCTTGATATCTCCGCAATTTAGGAGATATGCCGAGGCTTTAGGATGATAGGAAGGGTGGGTGTCAATCGCCTAAACTTTCCATTTCGCCGGTTTACTTTGGGTCGCTGAGTCGTCCTTGAGGCTCGAGCATCATTAAACACTATAGATGTTGTGTATAAGGTAAAAGATCGAGGAGACAGTCGTCGTGAATTCATTACTCGCGTACAGAAAAATGGGATTGTAGAGAACAGGTGAGTAATGTCGGCAAGATGCCCTTTGCCCCTTCCCTGGAAGATGGCTCGCCTGATGTATCATCACATCCATCTCATCTAGCATCGATCTCCTTCACCTCTTCGGCTTGCTGGCAGGATCGATCCTTACCTTCCCGCTGGAGAGAGGTTTGGAGTTGACAGGCGGCAAATTCGAGACCTTTGGTAGCCCATTCGCAACAGGAGCCTTCGAGATACCATTTACACCAGGAGCTTTTGGCAATCCATTCACTGGAGCTTTCGGCAACCCACCACCTGGACTTGGCTTACTGGCCGCGCTGACCTTGACCTTCCCGGGGATGCTGGAGACGCTGGACAGAGGCTTTGCGTTGACAGGAGGAAGAGACGACACCACCGGTTTAGGCACCGATGCTTTCGGCACAGAGGGTTTGGATAGCCCATTGGCTGACGGCACAGGGCTACCTCCCACAACACTCTTCGGTTTACTCGCTGCAGAGACAGCAGTCTTCTTGACTGCTCCAGCATATGAAGGTGTATTCGCTCCCAAAGTCTTTGCCTTTGCCGGCGGTGCGGGAAGTGCTTTTTGAGCAGAAGAAGGAGCTGCGGGCAAAGCCTTTTGCTTTGAGAGCGCTCCTGGACCTTTTGGTGGTGCTGGAAGGGCTTTTTGTTTCTTTACTGCTGTTGCGGAGCCAGGGTTTGGTGCTGTGGCTGCTACTGCGCGGTCGCCGTAGCTGTTAATGTAATTGCCCCAGTTCTTGATGCTGCCTTCGATGCCTGGGAGAACTATCAGCTATGTGTCTTGTATGGGAGCAATTAGTTGGTGCAGGGACAGGATGACTTACCAGTGCCGACAGCTTGTCCACTGCTCTGGATCATGGTACCGACACCGCCGACGGCATTACCTGCTACATTCCCAGCAGCAGTAATGCCGCTGGACAGCATGCCCATGGCAGTGTTTTGAATGTAATTCGTGATGAATCCCGTCATCTTGTGATATACGCGACTATGTCAAACTCTCAGGAAAGTTGCAAGCACAAGTTCGAAAAAGATGCTGAAGCTCAAAGGACCAAGCCAAAGAGAAAGCACAAACCAACAATGATGGCAAGCAAAAGGATCCAGACTGCCCATCTTCTCAAGAATGCGCCAGAAGCAGCATCACTGTGCATAAACCACACCCCTGCAATACGGATGACTTTTTGTCCCGCAAACCTGGCAGACAAAGTTGTAGATCTGGGGCAAGGGTGGTGAGCCCAGGCACAACTGTGACGTAAAGTGTGGCGCATGCGAAGAGGGCACGCAACGCAGGCGAGATGTCACACGGCAGAGTGAGACAATCGACCGTTCGAACGGTTGGACAGCCGCGTAGGTTACGTAGCGGGCCCAGAAAGCCAGAACCCAGCGTGAAACACACGCGACCGGACAGCGGCTGGGAAAGTTTTGGGCAAAGAGGGTTGGAAAGAGGGGCCGATTGAACTCTTCTTGTGCTCCTGAATCTTAAACAGGTGGTTGAGGCATGGACAGGAAAGCGACGCGCGTGCAAAGGATTGAGATGCTGGGTATGTGGTATTGATACAGTGTAAACCATCCGCCGTCAAAGTAGAAGCCTTAAGCAATCATGGCTCCTTCATCATTAGAAAATAGAGGGAAAAAGATAGGAAACATCGATGCCGTGCTGTTGTTCCCCGTGCTCCGAGACCAAATTCTAAGCTCCTTGACGTGCCTTCTCCGCACAAATGAGTGCGATAATGCGACTCAGCTCTGCACTTTGAGCAGCAGCCTCTCTGACAATCTTCTCATCGACCTCCTCCGATCTTGACAAATCTGCCGTGCTCTTGAGCATACGGTTCTGAAGGGCGAGCATCTTTTGAAGTGTGTTGTCGAGGAAAGGTGCGCTGAAGCTAACGTCGTTTCCGGTGTCCAAGCGCATCTCCAGCTTACGAGGACGCTTCTTCTCGGTTGGCTCTTCGTTAAAAATCTGTCCATTCTGTTGCGGCTTGGGCCTGATATCCGGTTAGCGAGATGAGATTGGTAAAAAGGATCATGTCGCGTGAACATACCTCTCAACAAATGTGATGCTCTCAGCCATCTCGGCGACACGGTTTGCGATTCGGTTGGCCATGATGGCGTATGCTGAACCAACTCCGTTCACAGGTGTGTCTCCTTGAGATGAGATGCTGTTCGCTCTAGCTGCTGGACGGACTGCGCCTGCTCTGCCAGTGGCTGCACCGTTTGCTCGAGCGGCTCCGTTCGCACGAGGAGCACCGTTCGTTCTGGCTACACCGTTGGTGGCTCGCGATTGATTGATATGAGGACGAGTTGCAGAAGAAGCGTTTGCCATGTCGAGTCTTGTTGTGTATAAGGTGTGACGGATCTGTGGTTCCGAGGGATGTTTGTCGCTTCTTGTACCAAACAGTTGCAAGTATTTAGGTATTGAAAAAGGGTCTTTCTGATTCGAGAAAAGTGTCAAGCAGAAGCTTCGTCGTAGTGTTTGCAGTATGTACGGAGAATTATTGAAAGAAAGAAGGGTTGCATTTACTCGAAGACCTAAAGGCAACTTAGGCAAGGCAGGGTGTGGCTGGACCCCAATCGAAAGGCGGCTCATGGGTCAAACGTCATTTCACTTTTCCCTGCGGGGCGCGAATCAGGTTGGTAGTGGCTGAACTGCAGCTCGGAACTCGATCGGGCACCAGCACGGTGCCACCATTGCCTCATCGCACGTCGCTTGCTTACGCGAGTCGATGAAAGGACTGGTCGAAAAGCAGGAATGCTTGCATGGCCGGACTGACAGGGCCCTGCGGTCTCGATGTGACTCTGTTCGTATTCCATCAGATGAATAGCTGATCTGTGGCTGTTCCGTGTTCCCTCCTTGTAAATTATTCAAATTCAGAATGTCGAGACAGCAAGTCGAGGCAGCGTCTAAAGCATTTGGCGATACCTTGTTAGGCGCAGGTTTCGATTTGCTGAAGTCGAAATCAGGAGACCAACATCCAGCAGGACCGCCTCAACATGGCACCATGGGACAGGCCGAGAGAGCCTTCTCTGCTGCATCGACGTTCCTGTCAGGGGTACTGGCGTAAGTAGACTTCCAAAGTGTCACTCAAATCCAGTGTCTGATCAGTATAATGCCCACTCAGTATAAGCGCTTCTCAATTTATTGGTGCTCCTCTCAAGCTCATCGACCCAAAGTTCTACGATGGATACATGGCCTGGACGAAAGAGTCTTTTGCTGTTCTCACTGCAACCATGACCCAGTGGTGGGCTCCCACTGCTGTCAGAGTTACTGGAGATGAGAGTATGAAGGACCAGTTGTACCAAATGGAGGACGGGAGTCTTCGATGCAACTTTCCCCACCGTTTGGTCATGATGGCCAACCATCAGGTATATTATCGAGAACGATACGCGAAGGCGAGCAACGACGCTGATAGACATAGCTTTATACCGACTGGCTATACCTCTGGTGGATCGCGTATACTAACAAGATGCATGGTCGGATCTACATCATCTTAAAAGAGTCTCTGAAGAATGTTCCCATCTTTGGGTGGGGAGCTCAGTTCTACAACTTCATCTTCTTGTCGAGAAAATGGGAGACAGACAAGAGCCGCTTTCAACGGCATCTGAGTCAACTCAGCGACCCTAAAGATCCAATGTGGTTGTTGATTTTCCCAGAAGGCACGAACTTGAGCGAGACCACTCGTGCAAAGAGTAAAGCTTGGGCAGACAAACAAGGTATCAGCGACATGAAACATCAACTTTTACCTCGCAAGACTGGACTACAATTTTGCCTACAGCGTCTGGAGGAGTCGACAAATTGGTTGTACGACTGCACAATTGCTTACGAGGGCGTTCCGTACGTTTTTCGAGGTTCTTTGGATAGCAATCTAACTAACGACAAACAGAGAAGGACAGTTTGGTCAAGACATATTTACCCTGAAATCATCGTTCTTTGAAGGACGACCACCAAAGTCTGTAAACATGTACTGGAGAAGATTCAAGATTAGCGATATTCCCATCGACAACGATGAAGCTTTCGAGCGGTGGCTCAAGAATCGCTGGACTGAGAAGGATTACCTGCTGGAGCACTTTTATCGCCATGGATCTTTTCCCTCCGGATGTCCGATCAAAGCGATGCAGGCCGAAGCAGCGTTGCGAAAAATTGCAAATGGTAACAGCAACGGAGAAAAGAAAAGTGTCGTCAAGCCAGTCAACAAGACTGCTAAGTTCATCACAACCGAAGTCAAGGCTGGTGGATGGGAAGAGTTTCTGGCCATCTTTGCTCCGATCACGGCCGCAGCAACAGCGCTCTCGAGTGGAGATATAGCACCAGGAAACATCGACTTTGATGCACTACTGAACAAGGTCGCCCAACAGCAACAACTTAATCTGTTGAACACAGGTAAAGCACCGAAAGCGCCAAAGTCGACCGAAGACATGCGACAAGCTCTGACATATGCTACGAAATCAGCAGGCGGTCCACCGATAAAAGGATCTGCGGTGGAGAAGATAACAAGAGATGCTGCTCGGACACAGAGAGAGATACAGGAAGCAATGGGAAAGCATCCGGTGGCAGAAGGCACCAAACCACCAACAGCTGGACGAAATCTGGATCCAAAGCTTAAGAACACTATCGATAGTGCGCACGAAGAAACGAGGCGACGACTCCTGCGAGCCTCTCAATCGGCGTCTCCCAAGCCTGCACCAAATGTTCGCAAATCTCTACCCATGACGCCTGTAGAGACTGCAATTACGCGACCTCTTTCGACATTGGCGATGCAGAAAGCCAAACAAGGTGTACAGAAAATAGCCGAAAATAAGCAGAAGCAGCGAACGGCACCTGCTGCGAGCAAAATTGGGACATCAACCTCGTCAACAAGTAAGCAGCCATCTCAAGCATCGGCTGCTAGCAAGAAGGCTGGTATGCCGAACGGTACCGCGGCCAGCAACAAGGCTGTAGCGACAAAGACTGTTCCAAAGGTAGCAGCCAAGCAAGCGCCTGTCAAAGCGAAGAAGCCGACAACATGATGCGAACGGAGCGCTCCGAGCCTTGATGTCTCTGGTGTAGCATCTGGCGCAGTACAGCAGAAAATCCATAGACGGGATAAGAGTACCGGCCGCAGTTGCCATCGATTCTGATAATGTCCAGTCAGAGCAATAGGCGCGATCTTGGCTAAGATCACGATCGATGGTAGTCGATTCGCGAGCAGATTATGCAGGAGCCCTGAGGGTCCAAAATCAAGACGGCACAATACTTGATTGCAGCATCTGACGTATGTATAAGCAGAGGTTCAGCGTCATGAGCACGTCCCGAAGCATAGGCGCCTAATAGAGGATGCGTTAGAACAGTTGCATCTATCGGATAGGGTTATCTATGTCGCGATAGTTGGCACAATTAGGCGGGATCGACGCAATTAGCGGCATTGTGTACACGAGACATATGAACAAGATTGCATATCAACATAGGCACTTGCAGTAACCAATCTCCAGTCGTAATTGCGCATGTCGGTGTTGTAGAAGTTGGTGAATGAACAGGAGAGATCAAAGTTTGGTTCAGGAGCGGACCGGTTTCTGGGTCGACAGAAAAAAGACGTGTTGTTGACATGGTTGCGGGGGGAAAGGAAAGCGCGCGAGCGAAGTTTGCAAGTCTCGAACGGGCAGCTGCAGCTTCACGTCAGGAGCAGGGAGGCACGCGCGACGCTAACCATTTCTACCCGGCAGGCCAGGAGGGTGATTCTGTTCTCGATCTTGTTCTGTTCTTCTCCGACACGTCTGCTCTGCCAGCTGCAGGGTATATCGACTTGCCGGTACCATTTTTAATCAGCTCCCAGCCCCCCTGAGCCCAGCCAACCATGAGCGTCCGGGTCGTCGCGCGCATTCGGCCCTTGCTCAAGCAGGAACTGGAGAAAGACACCATTGTCGAGGCCGCTCCCAATGTTTCCGAGCCACTTGCGACTCCCTCAATCGTGCGCATCCCGAATCCAAAGAACGAGGCCGAGGCTTTCAGCTTCCAGTTCAACAGCGTCTACGACCAGCTAGCCACACAACAACAAGTCTTTGACAATGAGATTGCTCCCACCGTCAAGCACCTCTTCAAAGGATTCGACGTCACCATCTTCGCATATGGAGTCACAGGAACTGGAAAGACGCACACGATGCGTGGTGGAAAGCTACTGGCTGAACGAGGTGTCATTCCACGACTACTCAGCAGCATCTATCGCAGAAGTCGCAAGATTGAAAAGGACACCGAAGGCGACACAAAGGTCGACGTCGCCATGAGCTACTACGAAATCTACAACGATCGCGTCTTCGATCTGTTTGAAAGTCTCGAGAAGCGCACTCCGGCCGGTCTGCCCATTCGTGACAACAATGGCAAGACGGTTGTCGTTGGCTTGACCGAGAGACCTTGCACCTCGCTAAAGGACTTCGAGACTCTCTACGACCAGGCCAACGTCAACCGCTCCACTTCTGCCACAAAGTTGAACGCACATTCCTCACGCTCACATGCAGTCCTCTGCGTCAAGGTAACTCAAGTGACTGGCAACGAAGTCCGTGTAAGCACGGCGAGCGCCATCGATCTGGCAGGATCCGAAGACAATCGCCGTACCGACAATGGCAAGGAGAGAATGGTCGAATCTGCCAGCATCAACAAGTCTCTTTTCGTTCTCGCTCAATGTGTTGAAGCTATCAGCAAGAAGCAGAATCGCATCCCATATCGCGAATCCAAGATGACCCGCATCCTGTCTCTCGGTCAAAACAATGGTCTAACTGTCATGATTCTCAACCTGGCTCCTGTCAGAAGCTACCACCTCGACACTCTTAGCTCCCTGAACTTTGCAAACCGTACAAAGAAGATTGAAGTGAACGAAGTCGAGAACAGACCCTTCTTCCGCACAGCACCCAAGCCTGAATCAAAATCTGGCATCCCATCTGTTCCTCTAGCAAATCGCCAACCTTTGCGGCCTAAGGCCTTGTCGCATAATGTTGTCCCTAGCAAGGAAGCGGCCGACAAAGACAAGGTGGAGAAGCCTGTGAAAGCCTTCTCTGTCTATTCGGATAAGCCCAAGACAACAGCGGTACGACCTGGTCATCTATCTGGACAAGGCCATCCTCGCATTGCTGAGGCACATAAGCGCACTAGCAGTGAAGCTGTACCGACTATCAGTCGACCTTCAAAGGTCCTGAAGCCGACAATGGCAGCCAAATCAGAGGCCATGTCAGCAAAGTCCATCGAAGAGATGATTGAAAGAAAGGTGGCCGAAAAGCTAGCCGAGCAAGCACTCAGCGCGAAACTGCCAGCAGGCACCGAGATCTCGCCTGATGTACAAGCCCGATTGATCGCGCTCGAACGCAGAGTAATCGACCAAGAGTCAGCACGCGCAGAAGGTCTCCAATACCTCCTCATGGCCAAACAGCACACCGTCCGTGGCGAGGAAGTCAGCGCACTCAAAATGTACCAGCTCGCCCTCCCTTACTTCCCCGACAACCAAAAGCTAGCCCAAAAAATGCTCAAGCTGCAGGAAAAGATCAATCGCAAGGAAGAGGAGCGTCGGCCCAAATCCGGTGGTGGTGTGCCGCTTGCCGAAGATGCAGATGAGGACTATCAACCTGAAGCTCACGACGACGAACCAGACGAATCAGTCTTTGACGCTCGCAGCGCAAGGCCACGCCGCCCAGCCGTTCGCCGCAACCTCAGCGTCTTCCGCGACGAAGCCTCTGCACCCCAAACACACCAAGCAGACTCCGACTCCGAAGACGAACTAGCACACTCCCTCATGCACACCGGACCCGACCAAACGCCACGCTCAAAACACATCCTCCGCATCATCAATAGCCGTGATGTAGCACAGATACGTTTACTCAAAGGTGTTGGGGCCAAAAAGGCGGAAATGATTGTCAACGCTCTGTGTGAGATGGATGATGAAGTCCGCCATGTTACTGAATTGGGAAGATTAAAGGGCGTGGGAAGTAAAGGTGTTGAGAGGATGAAGGAGGGTCTTGCTGGTGTTATGGCTTAGAAGGACCATTTTGCATTGTAAAAGGTGTTGTTGGGTTTTCGTCGGGAGGTATAAGCATGGCGTTGAAGGGGGTGTTCATCATTCTTGCATATCTTCTTGATGCATCGTTTGGAGTTTTTAATGGGTTGAAGGGTCATTGTTATTTGGCCTGTTCGGGAAGCAGAAGAGGCTTCTTTTCCTCTTACATTCAAGAAGTAGAGACATTCGAAAGAGAGATATCAAATTAGGCAGTACCAAATAAAGAAAGTCCAGAAGAAAAGTTTTCCAAACATCAGCATTCCAGAAACAACCAAGCTCAACACCCCCTATGCTAGGATCTCGCCATCAAAATGACGTGGCTAGCAGCACAGGATAAAAAGGTAAAAAGCAAACCTCACAGAAATGAAGGATCAAAGAAGTTAGGAATCATATATTCGCATGCAAGAAAAAAGTAATTTGTTATTAACACCAGAGTAAAGAAGAGGCGTGCAGAGAGTTGCTAAAACTAAGAAAGAAAAAAAATCGCTGCAAAATTCATGGTTCGTGATTGTGGTAGAAAAAGAAACAACAAAAAGGGGGGTATCAGGGTATCCAAAAAAAGTAACTCGACTGAGACCACACCAAAAGACAGACAGAGAGAAGGTCCGAAGAAAAAGATCAAACGTCGTGTGCTTGCAAGGGAAGTGGAATATGGGGGTATTTGGGAAGGATGGGTGGTAAGAGGTCAGATACGCTTGCAGGCGAGTAAACAAAGATGAGAAAAGATCAAAAGGCTAGAAAGACAAGGCTCGGAAATAGATTTCCAAAAAAGCAGTAGAATAATAAATATCGTGATTGTCGTTCGTCGGTCGTGTTCGTTTCTCGGAAAGGTTTCATCAGATTATGAAACATTAGTTGTAGGTGTAGATGGATAGTGAGCGTTGTTCGTGGTGGGAGAGTAGCTGATCAAGATCAACCGCGGTGTTCGACAGCTCTGTTTTCACTAGTGGCAACAGCGACAAGTGCTTCAAGTCTGCCCATATCAGGGTTGGCTCTCTGATTGATCGGTGCAGGACGCCACTCAGGAGATTGCATCTGCATGTTGTGACCGGTTTGCATCATATAGACAGCAGCTTGTTGGCCGGGCATGTGCACGTAGCTGTGAAAGCCCGAATCTGCTCTGGTAGGCTCGGGCTTGCCTTGGTAGTGAGCCTGGAGCGCCCTTTGCTCATCGGTGAGTGCGGCGCCAGGAGGCTGAAGCTCAACCATGCCGTTTGCATGCATGATAGCAGGGTGCAGTTCTCTGCTCTGAGAAGTGGAAGGCGTGGGGATGCCTTCACTGCTGCTGGATTCAGGGGAAGTGCGGTGCGCAATCATGATTGGCTGACTTCCCTGAGGTGGACCCATAGGGCCACCGTACCATGCTTGACGCTTGTTTACACGTTCCTCCGTACCAAGGCGGATTTCAGCAGACGGCTGCAGCTGAGGAAGAGCATAGCCAGGAGCGTACTGCTGAGCTGCCGCGGCGGTAGTTCGCTGACTTGGAAGGATGCGGGATGGATCAACAGGAGGATGTGACATGCCCTGAGCAATCTCGAGTCTGTTGAGACCTTGATGGAGACTGTGCTCCCAGCCTATGCTTCTACGGTCACCAGGAGCCGAAGTGGATGCTTCAAGCGGTGCAGCAATAACAGATTGGCGACGGCCAGAATCGATTTGCATAGGGCTAGTGATATTGCGTGCGGGAGCAGCAGGAGGGGGAGGGGCATGGTCAAAGCTCTCGATACCGGGGAGTCTGGTGATCTGGCTTGCTGCGGGTTGTGAGGCAAGAGCAGGAGCGGCATCATCAGGAGTCTGGTTATAAGCTAGACCACTGGTTGCTGGACGACTGGCATAGTTTGCATGAGTGCCAGGATGCCATGTTCTTCTTCTCCACTCGAGCTCTGCGTCAGATTCGCGACGTTGGTGCGAAAAGGTGGAGACGGTCGGACTTGCGGCCATGCTATTCGTGTTCGAGTACTGGGGAGTCGGGCCCGAGGGAAGAGGGGCGAAGAAGACGGGCTGGTAGCTTGCCGTCTGCGGAGAGTAAGGGCTGGCGCCAGAAGGCACCGACAGACGACGAGAGGGCGTTCTGCTGCCGTTGTAGAAGGAAGATCTTGCGATGGGGAGGGAGGGCGACTGCATGGTGGCTTGGAACCTTGGACTGCCTTCACCAGTCGAGAAGTTTGACGAAGTGGGAGAACTGTATCCACTAGGCGACTGGTAGTAGCCGAACTGAGGACCATTGTTGGGAATGGCAGGGTTGAAGGTGTCGAGACTCAACCTCGCTCTAGACGCGGGATCTTGGTTGAGCATCAGAGGGGAGGGACGTGGGCGACTCTCACCAATGTCTGACATGGCCAGGCTAGAGGTCGTCGAGAGGACGCTCGAGGCCGACAGGTTCCTGCTATGTCCTCTGCTGTATGCACCATGTCCGTGACCACCACTGCTGGCGGTCGACGCTCTTGGTCTTACGTTCGGTGGGCGCACGCGGTCGGTCCGGATCTGTCTCTGGAACCTGGTCCCAGTCGCAGCAAGCGAATCACCAGGAATCTCTTCGTTGACGTGAACGGTCTGGGCATGTTGGCGCAGGTTGTCGAGTCTAGAGAACCGTCTGGAGCAGTGGCACTCGAAGGGTCGTTCACCCGTGTGTTTTCTAGTCCGTGTTAGTATCTTGTATCCATGGCAGACCCGAGGCATATGCTTACCGGATGTGCCGGGCCAAATGTTCGCTGCGAGTGAAGCTGAGGTTGCACGGAGGGAAGTCCTTGCAGTAGAATCTCTGGCCCTTCTTCTTCTTTCTCGAAGGCTTCTCGTCGTCGTCGCTTTCGTCGTTCGAGCCGGCTTGGTCGTTGCCTTCGTCGTCGTCATCGTCGCCCATGTCGATGTCTTGCGAATCGCTGGACTGGTGCGAGTTTACCGAACGACGCGAGTTCTCACGACTTATGCCGACTGCATCATTATGTTGCTCAGATGCGACAGAGTCGTCGGCAGGAAATTTGAAACTTCTTCTTGTTGGTGTATTCAGAGTCGACTCTTCGGACGGGATTTCGTCAGCGGGTTGGTCGGAGAAGCGCGCGTTGAGTCGCGGCGTGGTAGGTTGGTAGTCGTCAGCAGTACTACCGCTTCGTTTTCTACTGCCAGGCGCAAGTATCGGTCTCGTGGTGGATCGAGGGTTCGACATGGCTGGCGAAATGGTGGGGGGGATGATGACGAAATGTCAAAGAAAGCCAGTCGTGTTGAGGTGGAATGATTTTCTAGCCGGCTTGTTCAGATTAGTCGATTCGTCAAATCGACGTCTCTAGCAGATAATTCGTTCGTCGTGGTGCACAAGAGCGGCCCCAGTATTGCCGACTTATAAATGCATATAAAAGGCGTACCGGTCAGGTTAGAGCATGTCATGAAGCTGGCAGGGCTGACGAGACATGAGATATCAAGGGAAATTAGGGACTGGTAAATCGTGTCGACGTATGTCTGCTGAAAAGTCGTGGTGGAGGAAACGTAACAGGCGTGAGGGACGTAAGAGACGACGAGGCCGACGCTGACGAGCGACAAGAGGGTCGCAAGAGTGATAAGCACGCAGCAGATGCAGCAGTAGTAATGGATACAGCGGCGAGGTGCAGCGTGGCGGGGACCACGTTAGAAACGATCCTCCAAAAGGCGTCAGAGTCAAACCAAAGCAGGCTCGGCAGTCCAACGGCCAGGCACTACAAGATGGACTGGCTTGCTTTCTGCTGTTCCCGGGGCTCGATCAAAACTATACTTGCGATGGACAAGACAGGGCGCAGGAACAAGCGTCCGAGAAGGGCCGCGACAGAGTCAAAAGCGTAGAGTACCCGCTGCGGGAAGAGAGAGCATGGCGCTATGAACAAGGCAAGTAGACGATGATGATGACTTCCCCTCGCATATCTCAAGCACAGATGCCACCATTAACTTTGTCTACCGCGCCGGATCGGCAACGCAACATGTCGACTGGGCGCTTGCTCATGCAGAAGTCTGGAGGCCCGTTTCAACTGACGACTGCCAGCCAACCATCGCGAGACGTCTACTGCCTTTTCGCGATTCACGGCATCTGTGTACCCGCCGAAGCCCTGCCTGCCAACAGACTACGGGCCTTTCAACCTTGCGCGCAGAACGGCGAGCGCGCAATTAAGGTGATCCGCGTGAACAGGTACCCTCGACAATACCGTAATCAAGAGGTGGGGTGTGCGTAGCTGCAATGTACAAAAAAGGTACATGATGGTGCATATTCAGGTGCAAACCAACCAGTCCCGCAACGACAATGCGTGTACGGTGTACCTACCCCTCCACCTTGTCCTTGTCTGCAAGACAGCACTGCGCCTGGACACGCGCGCCCGCCGTCCAGCCCTTGTATGCTCGGGCCCGTTCACGGATTGCTTGGGTCACGCACACCATACTACTCACACACACTCACATCATACATGCCTCGAGATAACTCGGGCGAGGCGGTTTACCCTTTCCACACGATATACGGTGTGCCAACATGGTGACCACTCACCAGCGAGCAACCCCGGCCAAGGTGCGCTACCCGGCCACCGCCAAGCCACAAAGACGGTGAAGGTCGTTGGAGAGGAGTAGAGCAGCAAAACGAGGAACAGGAAAAGAGAGAGAGAGAGAGAGAGAGAGAACGGGATGGAACGGCTCGTTAGCATGACAATGTGATCAAAAGATGCTCCCTCGATAGTCGATACCACCCTCGGAGGAGAGTTGCTTTTCTGCGTCCATGTTTCATCTGTGCCTTGCTCTTACCATATCTTTCATGCCTCATGCCTTCTTATTGTCAGAAAGTGTCAGAAAAAGTGTCTCGCCCCATCTCTCCCAAGATCTACTGGGTTTCAGGTCCCAAGTTGATCCCGCACGGTACCGAGTCAAAGATCAGACGATGGGGCTTTCGCAAAAGGAGGGGATACGAAAAAGGTACAAGGACTCGAGCGTGGTGTCAGGCAGCCAAGCTTCTTATGGATGATGATGACAACGCTGGTTTACCTGTCGCCATTCGTCAGGTTCGCGACTTATCCACCCCAGCTAGTTCCTCGCATCTTTTCCCAGCACCGCTGACCTGCATGAAAAAGAGCAGCGTCTACAAGCGCCTCCATGTGATCCTGATAGATTGAATGCCGCAGGCTTTAAAAGTGGCCTTAGTCTTCTTGCTCTTCGCTCTTCATAAGTCCGAACGCCCCATGCCTTGCAGATAGGTACACGCGAAGTTCCCTCTTAGGTCAGGTACACAAAAGCCACTCAACCTTTTGCCATGTGAAAATCAATCTTTCTCCTCCACTCCTTTTCTTTCGGTGTTGCCATTCGAGGCTTTCGAACCATCTTCATGCAAAAGAGTCTTGTGGCAGAGATGCAAGGGCGAGACATTTGGTTAAGAAGGGTCTGGATGATTGTCAATGTCAAACCATCGTTTGTTTCCTTTCTCTTGTCCACGTCGCGTGTTTTGTCCGTTGCGCTTTCGTCATTGTTATAGGTGTCTGAATATAGATATTCAACGGCGATCGCGCAAAGCAGCATCCACATCGTGTTCATCCTCCCCCCACACCATTTTGGGCACTCCCGCGGGCAATCACCCAGATCCGACTTTAACCGGTCCTTGCCAAACGAACGAGCAGTAAAAACATCATGGAGGCTACACTTCCATGTCGAGAGATAGACGTACCCTTCTCCCACGGAATCGATCTCGCCCCGTTGTACGACCACAGCCAGCTCCTGTCGTAAGCAATGATGAGTAAGAGTTGTCTTGAAAGCATGTTCCAGATCCCCCCCTTCTACCAAGACCCGTTTCGATACCAGATCAGGCCAGTGGTGTCAAGAATCCCTCCCGATGGCTGACTTGTCCACTCATTCATAAAAGCAAAAAAGCCTCTTTTTGACAAGATAAGGCACCAGGAGAAAACCATGGAAATGTCTCGGATATGTTTAGACCAGAGCGAAAGAAAAGAAGGAGGAGGCGCAAAAACAGGCTCGTGTGGAGAAAAGGGAAGCTTTTTGCATCGGAAAATAGCAGCAAGGTACGGACAAGGTACAAGATACGAGAAAAGTATGTACCTCGAGGAGCAAAAACAAAAGCCTATTCTTCGATGCGTTGCCCTGCCCTGGGCTGTCACTCAGCTCTGTATATCAGCTCTGCTATCCCGACCCACACTCCGGACTTTTGGTTCTGCTACTTTGTTCAGCTTCCTCGAAAGTACGGACTACTTCATACTCCTAAATCATGGATGGATGGATGACACATGGGTCATGTGGTTCCTGCGTCAGGGTAGATATTGTTCTTGAACAGCAATAATGAACGAGGTTTTCGGAAAGCGCTTTTTTCCTTCCATCTAACAAACTTCAAGCACGCGACAGTGGGGTGATTCATTCAACTATATTGGCCCTCCAATTCCTTTACCGTGAGCCCCATTGCTGAATCTTGTGGAACACCTCTACTGTTTGTCAAAGAGTCCCGGACAGCTGCCCATAAACCTTCCTGGTTGGGTACAAAAACTGCCTTTGGTGGTATCAAAAAAGTTTATTGCATGACCTGTGACCGTGCTAGTCAGTAACCTGAAACATGGCTCATGCGTTCTAGAATGTGCTTACCTTTTCTCTGAGCATGCCGATGAATTGAGCTGAGCTGACAGCTAGGTCGGCGCGGTCCTCGATAAGAAGACTTTGTGCCCAGAGTCTGAGACTTGGGTCGCCGTCCTCGCGCACGAGATATAGTGATGGTACCACGATACTACCGCAGCCCTTGGCACGATGGTCTCGACTCTTCTCGACTACAGCACGCACACGCTCATTCATCTCGCTGTCAATGATGGGCAGAGAGGTCTTGCCTTGCTTCAAGGCGTTCTTATCATCAGTGCCAAACACGTCCATAACCAGCGCTGGGACGGCGTCACGTCCCAACCACAAGAACTGTGTCTGGCCGTCGTCGATAAGGTAAAGACCGAAAGGAACGATGTTGCCTGAGGTCAGGTTAAGTGGAGGAGGCAGAGCGATGGCACCAGTCGTCGGATCGGGGAGACCGGCAGTCTCAGGCATGTCGTGCAATGAGTACAGACGAGGGTAGATGTACTGGATCATCAAAGGCAGGGGCAGAGTCGAAAGTAGGCACAAGGCTGCAGAGCGAAGATCGCTAGGAATTTGGGCGGATTTGCGAAGACCAAGCTGCAGTCAGGTCAGTATACGGGTTTCATGCTTACGATACTCAGCGACACTTACGTTTTTGATGAGACCCAAGAATAGAGTTGGCAAAGCTCTGAGGTTGACAGGGAACTGGAGACCGCCACCACCCATGTTACCACCTGCAAGTTCCTTCTTGTATGTCTGAAGGAGCTCAATGATCTTGGCTTGAAGGGCATCTCTAGCGGCATCGAGGCCACTCGACAAAGCTCTCTCGACTGCCTTGTGACTGAAGTAGACGGCAATGGCTTGCTGATCAGCGCTTGAGTAAACATCGGCCAAGTTTTGTGTGGTAGGGATAGACAAGGTCATGACGCGAATGCGACGCTCGCCATTACATGTTGTGTGCAAGACACCGGCCTGCAGACAGACAAATTGCTTTGTGACCGACTCGTCGATGGCAATTTCAACCACGTACGCTTGGTCGCGAGGGAAAGCAGGGAAAGCACAGAGATCAGAGCTACGGTTGAAGAAGTTTCCGTAGAAGGTGCTCGGACGTAGCCCAGTAGTGGCTCTGACACGCAACACAGCCTCTAGACCGATCTCGGATGACAGGTAGTCGCTGAACTCTGTTGCAAACTTGATGGCATCCTCTGTACGGGCGGCACTCCAGGCAGGGTAGAAATATGTCTGACCTCCAGTGTATCTGGGCAGGTTGCTCAGGGAAGCAACATCCTGGTATTGTGACGAGAAGAGGAACATGTCGATCGAAACCTGAGTCTTAGAACACTCGACAGCGAAACTCTTGTAGAAGGCGTTGGCGGTTTGCAAAAGAGAACTCTCTTTGCTTGTTCCCAGAAGCTTCTTGTCCTCTCTCATATCCAGCTTGCCGTAGCCGTGGTTGGGCAAGGATGCAGTCAAAACGACCATCTTTCCACCGACGTGAGAAATCATCTTGTGTCCAGCACGCATAGCCGAGCCCATGGCGGAGAGGCCGTTCTGAGTGCTCTGGAACATGGATTGAAGCTTGCCGAGGAAGGTCTCGATGTTTTGACGCGAATCGGCCAAGCTGACCAAAAGACCATCGGGCGTAGGGAGGAAAGGCTCGTCAAGATCGCTGACGACCAGCATATTTGAATCGGTGGTACCGCTGTCATCGCGAGGAATGGTAAAGTAATGCAAGCTCGAGTCGACGGCCATGAAAGCCAGGCGGGTTCTGCGGTCGGCGTTGGGGATGCGGTCGAGCGATTCGGCAACACAGCGAGCAGCAGTGGCAAGGAGGCCACTCTGGACGGAAGCGACACTGACGTCGAACAAGAAGAGGTATACCAGAGGTTGCGGGGCTCTAACCATGTACTCTTGAGGAGCAACAAACTCCATGACCGAGTAGTTGAGCTCGGAGCGCTGCCAGCGGTCAATGGCTTGTTGCTTCATGTTGTCCCAATCAAAGGCCTGGGGGACGTCGTTGGTCAGGTTGCACATGTTGCAACGCCATCGGTGGCTGTGATCGAGGAAGGTAGCAAAGGGATTGATGTAGGTACGGCATCTGCGACATCTTGCAATGACCTGATCGGGTTGAACAGGCACGTCGTCTTCGGCATCGTGGAGGGTAGCGTAGGGTTGGATGACCAGAGCAAAGGGAAGCTTGGACTTCTTGAGGAGGGAATTTGTCGAAGGGATGGCGTTCAATGTCGATCGGACGTACTTGGGAGGGCAGTTTGCGTTGGGTGAGGGAGTGACGCTAGACTGTTGGACGTGTTAGCTGAGTGGGTGGTTGCAGGCCACGGGGCAGCAGGCATACGTTAGGTGGTAGGATGATGGGAGGAGGAGGCAGATCCAGATCTGACACATGGAAAGGAGCACCCTGGACACTGATGTCGACGGGCTGCAGAGGGTTCAGGCGCTGAGCGACAGGAGCGGGCTGCTGGGGAGCTTGTGCGGGTTGCTGTTGTTGCGGAGCCATGCCCATCTGTGCGAACTGCTGTGTCATGCCGGGCACTGCTCCAGGCGCAGCACCGTAGGCATCTGGCGGCTGGTATCCTGCAGCTGGAGCGCCATAGCCTGCAGCGGCCTGCTGTTGTTGAGGATCAGGGTAGCCTGCAGCCTGTTGGACCGGGGCGCCATATCCGTAGCCAGCAGCAGCGGGTTGGGCGGCACCGTAAGGAGCGACGGGCGGAGCAGTCTGTGTCGCGGGCATGCCAGCATTGGCGCCGGTGCCGAACTCGAATGCCTGGCCGGCATAGGCTCTCTTCTTCTTTTGTGGGAGCTGGGATTGAGGCACGGGGGTGCCGGACTGCGATTGGTCGTACTCTTCCTGCGAATAGCCCTGCGCAGGGTATCCTTGGGGGTTGGCCATGATGGGGAGACGTGTAGCCGACTGCGAGATGCTGCGGCGAGGAAGGATGTGATCAGCTCCGGCTTAGATAGAGGAGGTATATGTTATTATTGATGGCTCTCCGTGCTGAGTCTGGGGACTTGAAGCTGCTGGCTTGCGGTGATCTGGCCATTCCAAACGCCGCCAACCCTTTACCCCCGCGTCATCACCGCCAGCAGTTTGAACCACATTTCATTCTCCGATCACAGCCTCCAGGCAACTACGTTGATAAGGGATACTCGTCCAAACGCTCGTCTGAGCACACGTGTAGTCATTGATAGTGAATTTGTGGAATTGAGGATCGTACATCATCGGGTCTCGTACACTTACCAAATGATTGACCGTCAGGTCAATCGCCATGGACTAATTCGATCACGTCGGAGAAACCGCGACAAATGCTCCACGACCGTATTGCAGCCTCGAAAAACATAGTGCGCATTCATATACTCTGTAAGTCCAATCGTGCTTCAATTCAGAGAGCTACAGGCTTGAACGTGCTTGTTATAGGCGACGATACTCTCAGTCAGGGTCGTGCCATCGTCAACACGCCTTGGCAGACACAGGCTTCACATTATAGCACCGGTCGCATACGTGCAACGACCATAGCTGAGATGCCTCAATGGGCATGGCGACACGACTATGGGTGCAGATTCTATAGACTGGCAGACACTGCGACAAGAAATTGCGACAACAGAATACGACACGGCAGTGATAAGACTTCTTCACTTCCCAGTCATAGACCGAGAAAGCGATGAAGTCCGCGAAATAAATGTCAAAAGCAAAAAGATGGTAGTACCTACGGCGTTAGTTAGGTGGTCGGAATAAATGGCAGAGTAAAATGAGATCAGTGAGCAAGTGCACCAAGGTCATAATGGCAGTATCTACAGCGTTAGTCGTAGGTAATCGGGATAAATGGCAGAGTAATTATGGTATCAGTGGACACGAGCACCAACGTATAGATGAGAGTATCTACCACATTAGAAGCTCAGGGCGCCCGAAGGTTCCCTCTTGACTTCGCTTCGCTAACCCCTAAGGTAACCGGCCGGTGACATGAACACGAGCATGCCCCTCCTGATCCCTCAAGTCGAGGCGCTACTAGTCTGTCACGCGACGAAAACGCGGAGCTTGGTGTGACAGATGGAATGTGGATGGGAAGCAAGGGAGAAAGACATACCTGATGGAGTGAAGGAAAAGAAGGATGCAGAGTGGAGGAGGATCAGGGGTATAAACAGCTGAGCGACAGAGGACCTGCTGACATAAGCAGGTAGCTACAGGCAGCAGCTTTGTCGTCATGGAATAGATCGGAAGACCAGTAGACAGCTGTCTGGAGGGGATGTGACTAAGGTGTAGGTAGAATGAGCAAGTTTACCCAAGACTGGTCCGCGGCGGAGCGACGCCGCAGACAGAAAGCCAGGCACAGGTACCAAGACACCGGGACTGACAGAATTGGTCTTAGCGATGGGAAGTTGAGAATGGTGTAGAAAGCTGTAAAATAGAATTTGAGATGGTACTCGATGCGTCCCCTAAAAGGATAACGCAGAGTGGGTATCTAGGAGGGACGGTTGCAAAAGGTATTAGCCAGCTGGAGAAAGCGGCATAATTGGCAGGAAATGGCTGCGACTCAAGGGACTCGTTCATCAATGTCCATGGGATCGTTGGGCAAGGTACTGGCAGGTGCTTGTGGAGTGGAGGCTTCACTCGGGTATGAAGGTGTGGTGACAACAGACGTATCCTCAGGCCCTCGAATACGTCGGCGTGCTCTCGGCGGTTCAGAGCGGGTGTATGGGCTGTCTAAGCCGTCTGAATCGGTGTCGGTATCTGGGACTTCTGAACGCAATCGTTTGCGGGAGTTTGGTTGGGCAGGTGACGGACGAGTGAAGGAGTAAGGGCGAGATGCAGGTTTCCAGCGCATGCGACGTAGTCTGCGGGCGAAAGCAGCAGAGTCGGAGTCTTGGGTTTCCTCTCCATCGTCCTCCGCGATCATATCGTCAGACGAGCTTTCAAGCTTGCGATCTGGGGCAGGAGTTTCGACTTCCTCCAGCTCGTAGGGATGTAGGACTTGAGCATTATCGCGATAGTCCAGATCGTTCTCTGACAGCTCTTCAACATCAAAGTCGCAATAGGCCGACGCGTTCGAGGCAGGCTTGGGCGGCGAAGATTGCCAGACGGCGACGGAGTCTGGCGCGTGAAGCGTCGCGGATCCAGGGTAGACAGATCTGAACGGCGACGAAGAAAGGCGCGCGCTGGTCGCAATGTTGACCGACATGATCTCAGCTGTATCTTCAGAGGCGCAGAGGATCAGGAGCAGCAGCGATCGAGTCAAGGGAATGGCGAGACAAATGGAGAGAGATGGCCAGAAAGAGGAGGCGGCATCATGCAATGTGAGAGTGTCAAGGACGGGTTGATGACAAGCGAGAGGACAGAAGGTCAAAGACTAGGATGACTGATGAGCATCTACTTTTCGCTGAACACGGTGGATTGTCAAGCTGTCAAGCGCAAGGGAAAGAGGTATGACGATGACGGAGCATGGACGAAGGATGGGGAAGCTTAAAGAGCCGGATCGAAGGGACCGGTGTGGAGCTGCCTATGATGGGTGACTGCACACATCATACTCATGTTCAGATGCAGACAGATGAAGGGCTAGCCAGACAATGATCGAATGTACGCCACATTGTATACATCGTGTAGGTTGTTATTGAAGAAGGAGCGAGATTGGTGAGGCAGGTAGGAGGTCCAGGGCTTGGCGCGTGGAGTAAGGAGAAGTCGCGGCGTGTCAGGGATTCAGGGCGAAACAGACGTGGCAGTAAGGATAGCTGTAACTGTCCATTCCATCCCACTTCACCACCACCAATTCCACCCTTGCCCGCCACCCCGTCGTCGCCAGCTGCTGTAGTGCATCCGATCCGACCTCTCTGGCAACTGCGCACAGCCCAAACCTCGATGTGTGAAGCTGCGGCTTCGGCTCTATAAATACATACCATCAAAATGTCGTCCACCACATATCCCACCATGCTCACAAAGGTCCGAATCGCTCTCGTACCGCTGAAGCCTGTCCCCAGTCTGACCTGTTGTCCCAGTTCGAGTCCAAGTCGTCGAGAGCGAAGGGCATTGCCTTTCACCCCAAGCGGTGCGCTTCCCTCCCAGAACAAGCTAGTCCTGCCAGCATGCTGATCATATTCAAGACCATGGATCCTCGTCTCCCTACACTCTTCCACTATCCAGCTATGGGACTACCGCATGGGCACCCTGATTGACCGCTTCGAAGAGCACGATGGTCCCGTACGAGGCGTCGACTTCCACAAGACGCAACCGCTATTCGTGTCTGGTGGTGACGACTACAAAATAAAGGTCTGGTCGCTCCAGACTCGTCGCTGCCTCTTTACCCTCAACGGCCATCTTGACTATGTGCGCACCGTCTTCTTCCACCACGAGCTTCCTTGGATCATCTCGGCCTCGGATGACCAGACCATTCGCATCTGGAACTGGCAGAACCGCTCGCTCAGTACGCCAGCTCATCCCTCTTCGTCCTGCAACCTCTTTACTAACAACACTTCGCAGTCTGCACCATGACTGGCCACAACCACTACGCCATGTGTGCTCAATTCCACCCCAAGGAAGACCTTGTCGTCTCGGCCTCGCTCGATCAGTCCGTCCGCGTTTGGGACATCTCTGGCCTCCGCAAGAAGCACTCGGCTCCTACCTCGATGACCTTTGAAGACCAAATGGCTCGCGCCAACGCAAATCAGGCCGACATGTTCGGCAATACCGACGCTGTTGTCAAGTTCGTGCTTGAGGGTCACGACCGTGGTGTCAACTGGGTCTCCTTCCACCCTACCCTACCTCTTATTGTCTCGGCTGGTGACGATCGCTTGATCAAGCTCTGGAGAATGAGCGAAACGAAAGCTTGGGAGGTGGATACATGCAGAGGTCACTTCCAGAATGCTTCAGCAGCCTTGTTCCATCCCCACCAGGACCTGATTCTGTCGGTTGGTGAGGACAAGACCCTGCGCGTCTGGGATCTTAACAAGCGTTCCTCGGTACAATCCTTCAAGCGCGAGAACGACCGTTTCTGGACCATCGCCGCCCATCCCGAGATCAACCTGTTCGCCGCTGGACACGACAATGGTGTCATGGTCTTCAAGCTCGAGCGTGAGCGTCCTGCTTCGGCCGTCTACCAAAATAACCTCTTCTACATTACCAAGGACAAGCAGGTTCGCTCATACGACTTCACAAAGAACATCGAGAGCCCCTCTATGCTTTCTCTCAAGAAGCTCGGTAGCCCGTGGGTACCCCCACGTGCTATCTCGTACAATCCTGCAGAGCGCGCTGTCTTAGTCACATCGCCTGCCGATGGTGGTTGCTACGAACTGATCAACCTGCCCAAAGATGCTTCAGGTGCCGTAGAGCCTACTAACTCTCTCCGAGGCACTGCAACTTCGGCCGTCTTCGTCGCTCGTAACCGCTTCGCCGTCTTCAACCAGCCTAACCAACAGATTGACATCAAGGATCTTCAAAACTCTACCACCAAGACCATCAAGCCCCCGCCCGGTACCGTGGAAGTCTACTTTGGCGGCACCGGCTGCCTGCTGTTGATCGCCCCCACCTCGGTTGTTCTTTACGACATTCAGCAGAAGAAGCAGCTTGCTGAACTTGCTGTAAACGGTGTAAAGTACGTTGTTTGGTCCTCTGACGGTCTTTATGCCGCTCTGCTTAGCAAGCATAACGTGACTATTGTCAACAAGTCACTGGAACAGGTTAGCACCCTGCACGAGACTATCCGCATCAAGAGTGCCGTCTGGGACGATACTGGTGTCCTCCTCTACTCGACCCTTAACCACATCAAGTACACTCTCATGAACGGGGACAATGGTATCGTGCGTACGCTCGAACAGACTGTTTACCTTGTCCGCGTCAAGGGTAAGAGCGTCTACTGTCTCGACAGAGCTGCGAAGCCCAAGGTCATGACCATCGATCCAACAGAATACCGCTTCAAGATGGCTCTTGTCAAGCGACACTATGACGAAATGCTGAACATTATCAAGAACTCGAGTCTTGTTGGTCAAAGCATCATTTCCTACTTGCAAAAGAAGGGCTACCCTGAGATCGCTCTCCAGTTCGTCCAGGATCCTCAGACCAGATTCGAGCTGGCAATCGAGTGCGGAAATCTTGAGGTTGCTGTTGAGATGGCTAAACAATTGGATCGTCCTAAGCTTTGGCAACGCTTGAGTACGGAGGCCTTGGCTCATGGTAACCATCAAGTCGTTGAGATGACTTACCAGAAGTTGCGCAACTTTGATAAGCTGTCTTTCCTGTACTTGTCAACTGGTGATGAGTCAAAGCTCCAGAGAATGGCCAAGATTGCCGAGCACCGTGGTGACATGACTTCTCGCTTCCAGAACTCCCTTTATCTGGGCGATGTTCAGACCAGAATCGATATGCTCAAGGAGATTGACCAGTACCCTCTGGCCTACTTGACTGCCAAGGCCAATGGAATGGAGGAAGAGTGCCAAAATATCCTTGATGCTGCTGGTCTTACCGAGGACCAGGTCACCATGCCCGACACTGGCAAGCCGCTATCAACTCCTTCTGTCATTGTTCCTACCTTCCAGTCAAATTGGCCCGTCAAGTCGTCTGGTGCATCTTCATTCGAGAAGGCATTGGTTGCTGATGGCGGCGCCGAAGAAGTTGTGCCCGCCACCAATGGTTACGACGCTGACTTCCTGGAGGCTGAGACTGCTGTTCCCGAAGAGGAGGCTGAAGTTGAGCAAGATGACGATGAGGATGCCGCCGGCTGGGACATGGGTGACGATAGCTTTGTCGAAGCCGAAGAAGAGTTTGTCAATGTTGAGACTGTGGAGGCAGGCGCTGGAAGCAGCGAAGCAGACCTTTGGGCACGTAACTCACCAGTAGCCGCCGATCATGTTGCCGCTGGATCTTACGAATCTGCCATGAACCTCCTCAACAGGCAAGTGGGTGCAGTCAACTTCAAGCCTCTGGAGGCTAGGTTCGAGGAGATTTACACTGCTTCACGTACCTTCTTACCGGCAAATCCTGAGTTGCCGCCTCTCATCAACTACGTTCGTCGCACACTCAAGGAGACCGACTCACGAAAAGTTCTGCCTTTCATCCCTGGCGATCTCGAGACGATAACAACAACAGATTTGCAAGCAGGCAAGCAATCAATGCAAAAGAACAAGCTCGAAGATGGCGTCCAGATATTCCGCAAGATCTTGCAGACTTTAATTGTCAACGCAGTCTCATCGCAAGCACAAGTCAACGAGGTATGTTGAGTCTTTACTGTTACAAATGCATGGTACTAACAATTTCTAGGCCAAGGAGCTTATCCAAACAGCTGCTCAGTACGTTCTTGCAATGTCAATCGAGTTGACTCGCAGAGAGCTTGTTGGTGGCACCACAGATCTAAGCTCCTTCTCTGAGGAGGATAAGAAGCGTGCTCTTGAGCTATCGGCTTACTTCACAATTCCCAACATCGAGCCTCAACACCAGACTCTGGCCTTGTTCACTGCTATGAATTTCGCACACAAGAACAAGCAGCTAAGCAGTGCTCTGAACTTTGCCAACGCACTGATCGAGAAAGGAACCAATGCTCGATTCAAGGAGAACGTAAGTTTTAACTCGTCATGAATGTCGAGGGACAAGCTAACAATGTACGACAGGCAAAGAAGGTCAAGGCTGTATGCGAACGTCAACCTGGCGACGCGGTCGAGATCGAGTATGACTCGTTCGCTGAGTTCGACGTCTGTGGTGCATCATACACGCCGATTTACAGTGGCGAGCAGAGCGTAAGCTGCCCTTACGACGGTGTCAAGTATCAAGCACAGTACAAGGGTACAGTCTGTAAGGTGTGCGAGATCTGCGCCATTGGAGCGCCGGCTAGCGGGTTGAGGCTGACTGTTTAATTCACTATCGAGCGACTAGGGGAGGCTTGGTAAGGTGACGAGTGGGCGAAAAGAAGATGTGCTGTTTTTTTTGGTGTAGGCTATCGCAACCAGTATTCTTGCATAACGATTAGAACGGAATCCACGTCATGCACATTGCAGTGATTGCGCAGTCTCTGCCTTGTCGTAATTTCATCTACCGGTCAATATGGTTGTTCGCCGTTTAGGTGGCGTGTAGTTCAACGGTCCCCAGCCTTTATTTTCTCCCTACCTTCCACTTCCACATGGAAAGTGCGACAAACCGGATCTGGACCTCCTCAAATTCCGACATTCCTAAGGACATCCATCTCGTAGGAGATATTTTGAGACTATCGCAACTTCGATTGCAGTCTGCTTTTCGTTATGGTAGATTGTATGCATTGCACAGATGTGTCTAGAATAATCCGGTATGATACGAGCCTCCTCTCGGCACCTGTATAATCAACCGCGCCACCCAGCCAACCTCTCCAACGGCTTTATACCGTTAGATAGAAGGATAACTAATTTTCTCTCCTATACTGTGGGGGTTCGAGACCTTATAAGTATGTATGTCTCGAGGCTAGAATCAGCTTACATTCCCATCCAACCATATCACCAACTACCTAAGCACTGATCTCTGTACCGGACAATATTCCTTAATCAACAGATCCTTGCAGAACGCACTGAAAAGGACAATCTTACCTCTCTGATCAATCTGCCACATCATGCGTCTCTCGACGGCATTCTCGTGTGCCTTTACGGCTCTACTAGCTGTACCTGCTATGGCTGCACCCTTTGCCATCACACCTGGAGATGCAAACCACGTTATTCTCACAGACAGTAATACTGTCAACACTACAGAATCGATACAAGCAGATGCAGTTACAGCCGCAGCATCACGACCTCCGATTAGCATGTTAGCCGCCGCAGACTCTGACTTTATCGAGCTATCATTTGTCAACAAGCTTGCCAGCTCAAACGTCAAGGCCTATGTGACAGGGAGAGACAGCAACAATGCTCTTGTCATGTTACATCCTGACGGCTCTTGGTACTATCCTCCTGCAACGTCTGCAACAACACCGCAGCCTGTTACAGAGAATGTCGCTATTCCCCTAGGTGCACAAGGCTCGACTGTCAAGATCACCCTTCCTGGTTACATTAGCGCTGGTCGCATCTGGTTCGCCGATGGTAACCTTCAATTCTTCACCGTCAACGCTGGAGGCAATGTCGCCCTCGTCGAGCCTTCCGCTGTCAACCCGTCCGATCCCTCGTCAGCAGTGAACTGGGGTTTCATCGAGTTGACATACCTCGAATCAGCCATCTACACCAACCTCAGTTATGTTGACTTTGTTGGCCTGCCGTTGGGGCAGAAGTTGACTGCATGCGACGGTACAGTTTTGCAAGCACGGGGTGTCCACACTCAAGCCGTCGAAGACATCTGCGCCGATCTCGAAGAACAAACCTGTATCGACGGCTACCCATGGGCCGACCTCTGCGCCATCGACGCCACCTCCAACGCCCTCCGCGTCCTCGCACCCTACGACTACATATCACTTTACCCCAACGCCTTCTCAGACTACTGGACCTCCTACGTCAACGACGTATGGGACCACTACAGAAACACTCCCTTGACAATCGACACCCAAGTCTCGGCCGGCAGCGTCGCTTGCACAGTCACCGGCGACTACCTAAACTGCGCCGGCGACAATCGCGCCTACGCCAAACCCTCCGCCGCCGACATCTTCGGCTGCAATGGTGGGCCTTTTGCCATTCAGGCCAGCGATAACGATGTTCATCGTGCTGTTGTGCCTCGTCTGTGTGCAGCCTTCCATCGTTCTACCCTTTTGCTTTCGGGAGGAAACATTCAACCCATGTCTGATGTTTCTGGCTACTACACCAAAAGTGGCAGAGCTTCAAACTGGTACAGCAAGTTTGTCCATGACTACGAGGTCGATGGCAAGGGCTATGCTTTTGCGTATGACGATGTCACTCCCACTGGTGGAGTTGATATGGCTGGTCTGCTGTCTGTCGCTCAGCCCTCGCAACTTGAGGTCACTGTTGGCGGTGTTTAACCCCTCTACTTCACATCACGAATCGTGCTGGTAACGATTTTGCTTGTTTTTGTAACACCTTTTTTATTTATTTACATTTCTGAGGATTTGAAGAACTGGCTTCTTCATCGATCTTCTTTATCTAAATGAACCTCTTTGGAGGAAATCATCAAAATGGAGATCTGGAGGATAGGATATACCCAACTTATGTAGAACAAACATCAGGCACTGCGCTTCTAGATAAAGAAGCCAGGCCTTGGATAAATTTAATGAATATCATCTTTTAACCATAAACAACTGCATTTCCCGTCTCTTTTTTGCTTTCCACTTTGATCTTCATGATGTGAGAAAAGGAACAAAATCCACTCGTCAGAAAAGGCAAGGACGCAAGGTTTCCAGTGCAAGGTAAAGAGCAAAGTCCGAAATACAATTAGGAAAGCAACGATGAACCCTGAGAAAAAAAAGAAGAAGGAGCAAATCTTGTTGAAACAAGAAAAGGCGGGTGTGCAGTACACGGGGGGGGGGGGGGGGGGGGCAGAAAAGGAGAAGGAATCGACCCACCAGTCCAAAAACAGGAATGGAACGATTATTTTCCGAACCCTGACAAGGAAAGAGCGTCTCCACCTAAATAAGCCAGGAAGGAGCAATCCTCTGCTGGACAAGAGGAGAGAGAGAAGAAACAAAGTAGGAGCGATCCACGACATGTGAGGAAAGGAAGGACTCACCGAGGCCGAACGGGAAGGAACGAATGTTTGATCAGAAAGGAAAGAGCGGTCCAGCTGACGAATTAGGGAAGGAAACTTGTGTAGCGTATGGAGGGTGTCATAAGACGGATTGTATCTTTGTACTTGTTCCTGCTAGGTGCCCAGTTCGGTGTCATTGTTATGTTTTGATGAGAACATTAGGAGGGCGGAGCACCATCTGATAATTTACAGACGCGGGTACAAAGTTCAAAAGATATCTCTTGATGGTTCTTTTTTGGGCAACGATTTTACGGAGAAGTGAAGTTTTGCAGAGCAGAAGAGACGAGACAATTGGCTGCAAAATCCAAAGGAAGCTGCCAGCAGAATCTACGTGTCAAATGAGCAACCCAGTCCTTTTCCCTCTACGCTCTGTGGTTTTTTTTTTGCTTGCGTCAAACGTCGTGATATGGCCAGCAATGTGTTTTCTACCTTTTTTTTTTTGCCTTTTCCCTTTGCAAAGTGTAGCAGTTGTAACGATGCGAAACAAGGGAACCCATCCCATTGTCAACAAGCATTTGTGAACTGTTCTTTTAGCCTTTGCCTCATATGCGTAATCGGGTCAGTGCTGCATGGCAGAGAGAGGATCTCGACTACCAGACATCACGCTCGTCAGGTCTGAACTTGAAGTAGTCAGGAGTGTGATAAGGCTCGTGTGCAGGAATATGCTCTGGCATCATCTCAGCAGTCTCGACCATCCGCAGCTTTTCGATCTCGAACAGATCGTTGACGAGAATGAAGAGCTGCTGTGCGTCAGCCTCGATACGAGCCTTGACCTTGGGGTTGCAAGCTCCAAAGCGGTCTGTGTGCCAGCGCTGACGTTCGGCTTTCAAGATGGTAAAGTAGGCTTTGCTGAATGCGTAGGTGCCAGGTCGCTCGGAGATGCCTGTGCGGAAGACTTTGTCGAGACTGTGACCGCAAGCGATGGGAACACGGTGACCGCTGAGGACGGAGGCATTGGCGCAATCTGAGCATGTGGGGATAGGTGGCGTTGGGACGTGAGTCATGGTCGCCTTGTCACTCAATTGCTCGTCACAGTCCTGACGCCATAGAGCAAATGCGGTGACAGGAGCGTGGCCGTTCAAATCGGCAGCGGGCCGGGGAGGTGGCATATGGAAAGGGTCGGGCGGGTTCCCATAGAGACAAGAGCTGAGCAGAGACTTGTGACGGGGACGTGAAGAAGTGCGTTGCTTCTGCGAGGCGTAGAAATGGGCCTTGTGCTCATAGATCTTTCTCTTGAATGTTTCGGGGCTGTCGGGGCGGGGCACATCGGGGGCGCTCATGAAAGCATCGGGAAGCTTTGGTCTCGAGGCCGAACCATGACGACCGTGTCTCGAGCCCGACGTGAGATGCTTCTTAGACGCGGGAACGTGGGGAGAGGACCGCTTGGTGCTGTTGGACGAGGCAGTGGAAGAGAAGGACGGCGGCAGAGAGTCTGTGCCAAAGTGGACGTTGTTGTGTGAGAGGTCGTCCTTGTCGTGGTCTGGAGATTGGTGACTATCCTTTCTCGCACGACAGCGCTGCTCGTTGGCTCGGTCTTCGTACTCGCGCATGAACTCTCCAAAGTTTGGAATGCCGACGACCGTCTTGCGGCGTCTTGATAGAGGGGCACAAGTGCCTCCACCAAACATTGCCTGCTGGTTCAAGATGTAGGTCTCCCAATCGGCTGCTCCTTTGGGAATACCGCCGGGATAGACCTCGCCGGGTGCAGTAGAGTTGACATCCATGACGATTTGATGGGTGGATATGGGCCAGCTTTTCAGCCCATTCTTTCGCCGCCGATCTAATGGTGCAAGAAGAAAATTCTTGTCGAGCAAGCCACGAAAGGGGAGGGGTCGAGAGACACGGAAGAGTGGTTTCGGATGCTGTGCTACTGGCACCACGGCTTTGGTTGCCGGGCTAGACTACGCTCGGGGAAGTGGTAAAGAGCTTTTCCAGCAAACAGGGATCCCACGTGATATTGTACTTATGCTGTGCGACGCAATCCAAGAAGCAACCGTCTTCGCTGCGGTGTCGGCCAGGTGGATGCTCAAATTCGCGCAACAGCCTTGGAAGTGTTTACGAGACGCCTTGTGGTCAGCAGCACGCCTTGTCGGGTTAGCGTTGTCGATTCATTGGCTGCCTGGAAGTCGCACTTTCCTGTATGAGGCCAGTATCTCCTGCAAGTCCGCACGCTCTGCTATCATCGTCTAGGACATTGTTCTGTCGATAATGCTATCCCTTCCTGAGTATCATAAAGCATTGTGTAAGCTACCACAATGCATCAATCTGTGAGCCGAATGCCATCTTTGCTGGAAGTCGATCGAGTGCCTTCTCCAAAGGTGTAGCCCTGTCCTTTGGTTTCATTGTGCATAGTGACAGCTGAGAGTACTTCAGCCTCCTGCGCACTTGGGGGCAGTGTGTTATTGTTTACAGTCGTTGTTTTCACCTTCTTAGCTCTGAACCTTGTCTAAACATTGGCAGATCCTCGAGGCCTGTACATGCATCTGACAAGGCTCGATACTCATCTCGAGCAGACACATGGAATCGATATCTGCATTACAAGACGGTATATCAGACATGCATGCTGATGTGATATAGCCACCTTCGTAGCGAGAACGAGCGGCCTTCGACTTGCACTGTTGGCATCGCCGATGCCAGAATTATTGCCTTTCGGTGGACACTCATATGTCGTTGATTCCAACTAATGGTGACTGCAGAGAAAGGTTGGCCACTCAACCTTGACATCACAGATGGACGCGTGTGAGAGAGACGCGACGAATGAAGTTGTCGACGCTCATAATAAACCTGCGGCTAAGACCGACGCTTGCACATTTAAGGCATAGCCGCTCTTCGCGATGCCAGTCGGAGTGAGCTCCTTCGTTCGGAGCTGCTGACCGAAAACAACTTCACAACCTTGACAGCATCATTTGAACCTAGTAAAGTGGAATAGAAAGGCTTGGTGAGCTTGATTTAAAAGTGGAAGAGAAACGTCCTGTGGTGGTATCTAAGGTAGAAAAGCTAAGCACAACTTCCCATCCTCCAAAAGTTCCCCCTCCGCGAAGAAGATTATTCGTTTCGTCGTAATCTACAAACATACTCAGTAAGGACTGTTGACGATATCGTTTCTGCTGAGATAGCTGCCGCGACCAGTCTTTCTAGGGGTGGCCATGATGCTCTCACGAGTTGGTCTTTGGAGCGCTCTTCGGGCTACCATGTTGACTTCGTTGGGCAGAGCCACAACGATGTTCTTGTCGCTACCGAAGCGGAAGTTGTCGGCTTTGACGTCTTCGGCGTAACGCTTGATGCTGTAAGGATCCTTACGTCCGGCAAGAACCTTCTTCATACTCCAAGTGATGATGAAAGGTCCGGTGGCAGTAATGATGGTTGTCTCGTCGGCATCGGGTCCTGTGTTGAACTTTGCAGGTGTGAAGGACAACGCAACCTTGGTCTCATGCTGGAACTGAGCAACGTGACTAGGTGTGAGGCCCAAACGACGGGGCTGAGGCTTTGAGTCCTTGGCGAATGCCTTTTCGAAACCAAGCTTACCCTCATTCTTGCCGTCGCTCTGCAGAGCATCGATAAGCAAGAGGTAGGTGCGTGTGGTTGCAAGGACCCAGCGGCCATTAGCTGACACATCAAGACCAATGATCGGGTCACCCAGAGCAGGAATGTGAGTTTTTGCGTTGATTCCTAGACGATCAAACATGCGGATATCACCCTTGCTTGAAGCAACGGCGATATATCCCTTGTCGGTTGTGGCTGCAGCGGTGAATCCGTTCTTGGTAGCATACTGCTTGAGCTCCGAATCGACAAGCTTGTCACCTTGCAGGCGGGGATCGATGCGGTACAGAGCGTTGTTGGACAGACCCAAGAAGGTTTGTTCGCCTGTCATTTGACTGAATTTCTGGACGCTAGTTAGTCAAAAGGTGTCAAGAAAAAGAAGTTAGAGTGCATCGACATACCTTTTCGGGAGCGAAAGTGTTAACGGGAATGTCATCATGGACCTTCCACTCGTCGACGATCTTGCCGTACTCGAGATCCATACGGAAGAGCGAGTTGGGGTTGTCTCCATCCTGCATAATGAGGTTGCGATCCTCGGCGTGCAGCATGATCTTTTTCGGGTTGAAGACCTTGCCGCCAGGAGTCTCAACCTTGGAGATGTTGGTGGAGAACTCGAGATGGTTGTCAGGGGTGTGCTTGAAAACGCCAATCTTTGAACCTCTGACGACGAACGAGCGGTCATGCTTGTAGCCAACAGCGAGTTGGGAGTTGACGTTTCCATCTTCATCTCTGGTGATAACATCATCTTCCGATTCGTCGCTGTCGTAGTGCTCACTTCTTTGGCCAACGTCATCTTCCTCTTCCTGGTCATAGTATTCTTCTTCCTCTTGTTCGTCCTCTTCGCGAGCCGCAGCTTCTCTTTCGTCCTCTTTGTCTTCCAGAACTAGATCGTTGAAGGCGTCAAGAACGTAGTCTCTTTCGGTGTCCTTTGCCTTGAGCCATTTTGTCTGGTTGGAGTGCTCCCAAAGAGCCTGCATCAGACCTTGCTGGAATCCTTCCAAAGAGTCTCTGTTCTTAAAACGCAAGAGCCACGAGTAGGCATTTCCATCCTCGCTGTAGTGATTGAAGATGAACGACAGGTACTCGAAGTTGAACACGGGGTTGAGCTCAGGAACGACTTCTTGACCGAGCCAATCTCTGTCGTTGCTGTTGAGCTGGAGCCAGTATTTCCAGTTGCCGATTTCGGTGACAGTAGCGTTGACGCTTTCGTCTTGCAGCACGAAAGTACCAGACTGGAAGTCGAAGAGGTGGAGCTCGACGTCTTGATCGGCCAGAGTCTCGAGAGCCTCAGGAGCCTTGCTCGCCGAGGGAGCGACAGTTGGCGCCTCCTCGTAGGCACGAAGAGGGGCCTTGGCGGCCTTGGTGGGTGTTCTTGTCATAGCTTGGCCGCGCTTGACGCCCGAGTTGGACTGGTTCAGCGAAGGCATACGTAGACTGGGTGGTGGCGGCGAGATGGTTGGAGAGCGAGAAGGGCTTTGTATGGGACTGGCTTGTGGGATGGGTTCTTCGTGGTCGAAGCTGAATTCGCGCAGTTCTTCGTCGGTAGCGAGATCACGAGGCTTGCGGTACTTGCGCTCGTACTGGCACTGGGCGGCTACGAGAGCAAAGGAGGAGGCGGTTTCGGGTGATGCTGATGAGTCGCAGACAAACTCAAAGAGGTCTCCGTCGTCGCCGCTGAGATCGAGCCAGCCAAGAACAACTTCTCCGTTGTCTCTGATGTCTACGCGGAAGTGCAAATCCTCGTCAAGCAGGAAGGTCTTTTCGTCCTTGTCCGAGAGCACGCCGTCAAGTCTGTCGTCTTGTGAACCGTCTTCTCCTACGAGCTCTGCCTCGCCTTCTTCGTAGACTCGCTGGACGACGAGTTGGTATTGGTATTCCTGGCCTGTGCGTCGTATTGAGGCGGCAGCGTCTTTGAAGATGAGTTCCGAATAACCTTTGAGCGATCGGGGGCGGACGAGGTACAGCTGGCCTTGGGGCAGTTCGATGATGGATTCTTTGTTGGCGTTACCGAAGAGGTATTTGCTGACTAGATCGGCTTGTTAGCTGGCATGAACAAGAGACGGAAAAGTGGGTGACGAAGTTGGCGGGGAGACGAACGCGACCTCAGGGCAAACATTTTGGCTTTTGACTCTTCTGGCGACGATCGCGACAGAGACTACGGCCACGAGAGGGAAGGAGCTGAAGAGGTGATCAGGTGCATCAAATGTTCGCTGCAGGAGTTGGCTGCCGTGTCTGAGATGAACCTGAACAAACAAACGCCTCCTACAAAGTCGAAGTCCTGGCCAACTTTGAGCAATTTCACTCCCCGCCAAATTCGGAGAAGTCAACACCCTGTCCCTAATCACTTGTCTCAAACTTTGATTGCTACTTAGATTGACGCTTCTCCTTTTACTATGTCGCAGTCACTTTATGTCAAGACACTGAAGCACTAGGCACAGTATACTCATGTATGCTCTACACTTGGGAGCGCAAAGATGGTGGAGCGGCTATCTCACACCTACCCATCTACGTCGCGTGTGATCATCCACTCTCGAAACGCGTCATACCGCGACACCAAGGCCCTCCAAAACCACACGCGTCATTGCCACGACTTTCTCTTCCTCGAGTCTGCCAGCAACGAGCTGCAGACTCACCGGCATTCCGTGGACCGCTTCCGCATTGTCTATCCAACAGTCAGCATTTTCACACCACGACTGTCAGTAAACAACTCACATTCTGCCTGGATCTGTGCATCTGTCTGCGACAGTGGCTTCGCGCCTGATCCCGCCTTGTCTAGCTCGCTGTCGGCATAGGTTCCACTCGGGAACGAAGTGGCTGAATAGTCCAGAATGTTGAACACGCCCTGTTCGCATTAGCGATCGCCCGAAACATGTTGAATTGGTGAGCTTACCGTATAGCCTACGTGTTTGAATTTGCCGTGTTCTACACTAGCGAAAGGGGTTGTTGGGCCTATCAAAATCTTGTATCAGTCGCGGTGTACAAGCTTGATACAGTCGCACTTACACAAAATGCCGTCGAGACCTGCTTCGCTCCATCGATCGAGGTAATCCTTGCACAGTTTCGTTCTTTTTGCTTGAAGCTGCCACAATGTATGGACCCCTATTTCTTGTGCCTCCGCATACGGTAGCATCTCCTCTCTAAAAGGTTCGTCCACCGGTGCCAGGATATCTCGGACTGATTTAGCTCCGTCGGCAACGAAGAATTGACCCTGTCAGTTTCGTCAGCTCTATACAAAACAGCGATCACTCCTGCGGCAATTTCTCAAAGCGGCGAACGAGCTGTAAAAAGGCACAGTCATATCTCGAGTCCAAGCGGCCTCCTCGTCCAGCTTCACATGCGACATAATGCTCTAGCAGATAGACAGGATGACTTACCAACAGGTCGATCGCTTCTTGGTGCAGCTTTGGCTCCCAGTCGATGATTTCGTGTCCGGCGTCTTTCAGTTTCTCAACTGCCTGCTGGAGTGCTCGGCGGACCGGAGGTGTGGGGCTAAGCCTCACAGTCAGCTTCGATATCGACTTCTCGGACAAAGGCAATCTTACACAACCATCCCATCGTTCCAGACTACACCTAGTCGTAGCTTGGGGCCGACATCCACAGGGCGCCAGGGTATGGGCAAACACTTCGGGTCGAGCTTCCAAGGCTCTGCACCCACGACATTCTTCGAGAAGAACTCGATGTCATCCAGAGTGCGAGCCATGGGCCCGTTGACAGAGTTGACTGCCTCTTGCCCTGCCAGTCCAGACTTGGCATTGGCCGTGGGGAACCGACCAAACGAAGGTCTTAAGGTGAAAATGCCAGTACAAGCTGCTGGTATACGAAGAGAGCCGCCGATATCAGTACCGACACCTAGCACACTGCCTCCAAAACTGATAAGTGCACTTTCACCTCCACTTGAACCGCCAGATGTAAGTTTCCTATTCAGCGGGCTCACGGTACGACCAAAAGTGTTGTTTACAGACTCAGCAATCATCATCGCAGTCGGAACGTTCGTCTTGACATAGAGCACTGCTCCTGCTTTGAGCAAAAGATCAACCAGAACTGTGTTGTAGGTCGCCGGCTGATCTACCCAGGCAACAAATCCGATGGTAGAATCCTTTCCGATGATGTTGAAGTTGTCCTTGAGCGATATAGGAATGCCGTGCAAGGGTCCGATGGGCTTTCCAGTCTTCTCGAGATGATCATCAAGAGCCCTTGCTCTCTCCAGTGCTTCAGGGAAAAGAGTCTCGGACAAGCAGTTGGTCAACTGATGGCATACTGCGGCGCGTTTTGAGAAAGCTCGGATAACGTCTGCTGCTTTCCATGTACCGCTGTGAATCTGTTGCAATAGCTCTGGAATCTTGGCAGAAGTGTATTTGAGTTCGTCCTTGGTGAAGAAGCCGCTTTCCTCAGGGAAGCCTGTCACATCCAGTTGAGATTCTGGAGGCATAATATCGGCAGGAACACGCCATTCTGCTGGAATTGACTCGGAGAGCGCCTCCTGCTTGGCTTTTGCGATGTCTTGCCAGTTGCGTGTCATGTTCCTGTACTCGAATTTTTGATGAGCTTGCAATGGACTCGAACGTTACTTAGGACTATCACGTATATAAACCCCGCACGTGATAGTTGACGCCCGAGGCATGTCGCCTATCTCTTGTAGATCATTTAATGGCCGCGCCGGCTCCGGGCAACTCTCCTCCCCGTGTTTCTGCTTCTGTCACGAATCTAGTGGTACAGTTAGGAAGTCATAGTTTGTGAGTTTGAACAGATGTCCCTGAAAATTCACGAGTTATTGACTCTCTGTATGAGCTCTCTGATCTGAGAGTGACAAACGTATGTCTTTTTACAGCTCGTTCTTGCTTTGCTTGAGTCATGGCAGAGAGACGGAGCGTGAGCGCTGTCCCTGTGATCTGCCCTATCTCGTGCCCCGCAAAGCTTGGCATACCACCTTGATTGAGCCGAGGGGATTTTTCGCCTCTGGATTTGGATGCTCCTTCATGATATCGACATTGATAAAGGAACATTTCTTATCATTGTCCGTTCGCGCCGCTACAAATCACATGGCCTATCTTGATACGTCTGGCTCTGGTTCGCGTTGACAATATAAGATGAAGTAAAGGACAACATCATATCAACTATCAATCTACATCGATTTCTGCCGATCAATTCATGATGGCCGTTGGTACAAAATTTAGGGAGTACTTGAGCCCTGGAGGCAGTTCTGAGGGCGAGAGGAAGTTGGTGCAGAAGCTCGATTTCTTCATCTTGACTTTCTGTTGTTTGATGTACTTTCTGAATTATGCAAGTTTACCTCGTTTCTGGTACAGAAATTCTTGGCTAACGGCGACATAGCTGGATAGAAGCAATCTCACTAATGCATATGTCTCTGGCATGAAAGAAGACCTTGACTTCAAAGGCAATGAGCTTACGCAAATTAATACGGTATTCACAGTTGGTGCGTAATAAAGACTGCTTATCCTACATCAGGCACGACTAACAGATTCAAGGCTATGTCATTGGGCAAATTCCTTCCAACATCGCTCTCTACTACGTCAAGCCTCGCATATTCTTCCCGTCGATGTTGATTGTGTGGGGCTGTCTGACCATGGTCACGGCTGCTACTCACAACCCTCACTCAATCATGGCTATCCGCTTCTTCCAAGCTTTGGCAGAGTCCAGCACCTTTGTCGGAACACATTACATCCTGGGAGCTTGGTACACTGAGCGCGAACTCGGTAAGCGAAGCGGTATCTTCACAGCTTCTGGTCTTGCTGGTACTATGATCGGAGGATTCATCCAGACTGGCATTCACTCTTCCATGGATGGACTACAAGGACTTGCCGGATGGAGATGGCTCTTCATCGTCGACGGACTGATTTGTCTACCCGTCGCGATCTACGGCTTCCTCTTGTTCCCAGATACCCCATCAACGACCAAAGTGCCGTATCTGTCCGAAACCGAACGTGAGCTTGCCCGCTCTCGTGTTCCTCGTCATGTCGAACGTGCACCATTCAATTGGTCCTTCGTCAAGCGAGTCTTTGGCTCTTGGTACTTCTACGGCTTTGTCATGCTATGGATCATTGCCGGCGAGACAGAGTCGTTCTCATCCAACTCTTTGCTCGCTCTCTACATGAAAGCACACCCTGAGCGCAAATACGCAGTATCTCAGCTCAACAACTACCCGACCGGTGTACCTGCAGTCGGTATCGTCTCTACTATCTTCTGGGCTACACTTACGGATTTCCTTGGCGGTAAAAGATATTTGGTCGGGTACTGGATCGGCCTTACTGGTATTATCACATCTGCCATGATTCTTGCGCCTTCTGCTACCACTGCGTCGACTTTTGGTGCATACTACTGGGCCGGCTCAGTTTATGCTTGTAAGTTATTTTCCTCTCTGTCCTTTTCCTGGTGAAGTTCCTTGGCGATTTCGTATCCTACCGTAATGCGCAGTCACAATCAAGCCAGAGTCGTTTCTAGGAGAGAGCGTCCGATCTAGTCACCCATCTTCAAACGCTCGCCAGACCACCGCTAACACATCCCTCAGGTCAAGCAACCTTTTTCGCCTGGGCAAACGACGCCCTCCGCTACGAAGAAGACAGTCTCCGCGCCGTCGTAATCGCATCCATGAATGCAGGCAGTGGCGCCGTAAATGCATGGTGGTCCATCATCTTCTACTCTGCAGACTTTGCACCCAAGTTCACGAGGGGTGTGTGGGCTATGATTGGATGTTCTATTGCTTTGGTAATTTGGACGGCCGGGGTCACGTGGATGTGTGTCAGGACGGAGGAGAAGAGGGTTAGTCAGGGTGTGGAGACTGAGGAGGGAGGAGATGAGGCTATTAGTGTGGACGGAGGTCGTGATGAAAAGGCTTGATTGGACAGTAATTCGAGGCTTTGAATTTGATCTGCTTGAGATACCTCATTATCGTCCTGCGATGACTGTCTTTTTTTTCTTATTTCTGCTTTATTGTTTCCGTATTCCCGGTTCTTGCTTTCGTACCTCGATTGCCGTAAAGTCCTCCGCGACGATTCAGAAGATGAAAAAGACTTCCTCCTTCGAGAAACAAAGATGAATAATTCCCCTGTTCCCTTTAAACCGCCAACATCAGACATCCTGGTCTGGCTACGCTGCTGAAAAACTTCCAACTGCATAAACCGAAGCTCAGGGATTTGAAGAGTGAGCACTTCACTCGTACTTGGCTCTCAGCGAACCGCAGACCTTTGTGCCGACGAGCATTTCCCAGATCAGTCCACCTGAACCAAGACTCATTCCAACTCCGTAGTCGAGGACCACGAACTGTCTGCCTGAAGCAGTCTTGCGCTTCTTCCAGGAAGTGGAAGTGACCTTCTCGAGGTTCACGTGGATGGTACCTAGCATGCGAGTGCGTGCGGACTGAGCGAACTCTGTGGGTACTTCTTGCTCATCGCTGACAACGAGGATGACGTCTTCGGCGAGAAGCTTGCTGTCGTTGGTAAAGTGGAAGGGCAAGATGATGGGAGTCTTGGATGGCATGGACTGGCCCTTCTTGACATACCAGGTAATTTGGTTCTCGGCGTACCAACGCTCGTCGCCTTCATCGAAGACGCAGTTCTTGCGGCTGTGCTTTTCAGGCTCGAAGGGAAGACGACTGACAACGCCGTAGTGGTGTCTGGCAATGCGGGCTTCGACTAGATTGTCACCCTCGATACAGTGGATGACTGCTCCACGAGCGACAGCGGACCAGGCGTTGGGAGGCTGCAAGACTTCAAAGTCCTCAGTGCCGTTGAAGTGATTCTTGAGGATGTTGAAGAGATGGTTGGATTCGCCAAAGCCGCCCACGAGAATGAGACCCTTGGGCCTCTTCTTCTCTTTGATCAGAGAGATGTACTGGTCATCGGCCAGCTTGACGATAGCATCCATGACAGGACGAAAGATATCGTTGAGATTGTCAGCAGTGATGATGAGATAGTTCTTCTCGATTCCGGCGCGGGAATCTTCTTGGGCACCAGCGAGTGGGACACTGGCATCGTCCATGTCGTCAGGATCTTGGCCCAAGGCAAGAGGGTTGAAGTCACGCTTGGTACGCAACTCGAAATGCTCAACGCATCTGTCCCATTCTCTGGGATACCTCTCACAGTACTCTTCGAAAGCAGTCAGACCCATGCGAGACTTGACGTGCTCCTCAAAGCGCACATTGAGAAGACCGCTACCGCAAACAGCACCAGTTCCAGCAGCGCATTCTGCCAGACGAAGAGGCTCGAGTGACTTCACTTCGAACGCGCAAAAATCTGATGTGCCACCGCCGACGTCTGCGATGATGTAGGTGTCTTCCACGGCAAGAGTGACACCCTCCATCTGCTTGAGAGCGTAAAGACCAGCAGCTTCGGGTTCGGTAATCATCTGCAGATTGCGAGACTTGGAGAATCCAGCCATCTCAGCTGCTCTGAGAGTGGCATCCTTGGCCGCATCGGACCAGACGGCAGGCACCGTGAGTATGTACTCGATCTTGGTCGATGCCATGAAAGCCTTGCCATAGCGTTTTTCGAGGGCCTCGAGAGCATGTCCCTTGAGCTTCTCCAAGAAGTCAGCAGTAGCCTCGACAGCACTTCTGCCAATCTTCGTGAGCTGAGCCTCGAGCTTTATACGAGAGACGTATGCAGGTAGCTCCTGCTGGGGATCAAGAAGTAGCTTGAGCATCTGAAGTGAACCCTTGTCCTTACTGGCAGGGAACCCCCACTTGGCGACATGACAATCGGACTTCTTCAGGTCTGCGTAACTTCCCGCTGCTCTACGCTTGCGGCTGGGTAAAGGAGTGGCCTCAGAAGAAATCTCATACTGCAACTGAGTAGGAACTTTGTCGCAGCCAGTGCCATCCTGCCAACTACGAAAAATTCAGTCAGAAGGTATAAGTGAGTGAAGAGGCAAGGTACATACCTTCTGACGACAGGGATCTCGCTTGCAGGGTCGGGTTTGCCGCGGAACGTGTACGACACACTGCATGAATGTTAGCGCGCTGGGGATCGTCATGTCAGATATATTTAGACTTACCCAGAGTGAGTGGTACCCAGGTCAACTCCGACGACGATGGAATCCTTCTTGGGACGTCCGGCAGGCATGATTGTAACTTGAAAGGTTGCAGCAGTGAGTTGAGGGTTGGGAGAGAGTTGAGTGAGAAAGAAGCAGTTTGTGGAGGGGATATAAGGTAGGAGGCCGAGGCAACAAGTGAAGCCAGGTCAATGTCTCCGTAGATGGTCGGCGAGTGAACAGTAGTCGTTATATCTGACTGTTAGGGTGCTGTAGCAATGCAAAAACTAAAGTTGAGTTGGGGGACTTGTACTTGAGAGCACGTACTTGGTGGTGTCTCGCCCAAAAGATAAAGTGAGCATAGATGCAGTAGTGAGGTGAACAGAGGCCAGAAGGGACCAAGTGAACTGACAGGCGATTGCTGTGACCTTGGTTTAGATGAACTTCTCTCCACTGCTACCTTCTAGTTCCTTTCGACTTCCACTTCAGTTGACATTCAAGACGAATCATAGCACAAACCATGAATACCGCCGAGTATGAATTTTGAACAGTATGTGTCGTGCAGAACAGCTAATTCGCCGGACAGAGAGGGCAGAGACCTTCTGGATCACAACAAGCGCCTCAAGCAAGAGCTCCGAGAAAGCAAGGAGGAATGCGCGAGACACGTGAATGACTACAATACCCTCGTAGATGAATACAACGAGATGCCCGGCATCCAAAATGCAAAACTCAGGACAAAGATAAACAAGATCAAGCAGCTCCGGGAAGAGAGCGAGAGTCTCGTACTCGAGATCGAAGATCTGGAGAAGCACCAAGAGCAGCAGGGAAACAAGATCAAGAAAGACACAAAGCTGATCAGAAAGCTGCTGGAAGATCGCGACGATCTCCAAGAACGACTGGCAAAAGAGACCGAGAGGACGCAGAGAGCGCACGTGAATCTCGACTTCAAAGTCAAGCAAAGCATCGCAACTTCAACCAGGCTGGACAAACAGCTGGGAGACGAGACGTTTCGCAAAGCCATGGATCAGATATACGAGAAATTCCGCGATTGCTTCTCTGTGGTTCGACGCAGACAAGAATTTGGTAAGTCGAACAGGAACGGTATTCTATCGACCATCGCTGATACGCGACATCATAAAGATATCAGAACGAGACCAAGGAACGAGTCCTTGGAGAAATTTCTGTCAAAGCATGTGCCCAGCTGGAGGGAAAATAACGCAGATGTCAGACTGCATGTCTGTATCTCCCTTGTCTCGAGGATCCTGACTCAGTTTGTGAACAGCAAGTTTGTTTTCGGCATGCCCAACGAGGATCTCATCAACGCCAATTGGAGAGCATGGACCGCATTAGCAGGTGAGCACCTCCGAGTGACCCACTGACAGCATGGTAGCTGACCCCAACTTTCGCAGAGGGCCCACAAACTTCCAGATCGCAGCGAGATGTCAAGAGATGGATGGCTATGACCAGCACTGTTCTGACTAACAATCACCAGGAGCTTATGCTCCAAGCCAGAGAAGACAGCCTAAACTTCATGCTGGACACCATGAAGCAAGACTTGGAGGCCGCGACCACCATGGATTTCACAGACGCCATACGGCGAAGACTCTCGGATGCCATATCGCCACACCTCACGACTCTGAGGTTGCTGCATTTCCAAGAGTGGAAGTACAAGTTCAACATGGTGACGGCAAGCCGCAAAGGCGAGCCGGTACGCTTCAGCCGAGCTCGAATGGATGGTATGTTTTGGGAAGAGAGCGGTTATGTCCAGGCCAGCTTGTTCCCACAGCTGTGTAGACTAGAGGAAGATGAAGAAGATGAGGTGAGTGCAGCAAAGTACCTCGGTATGACCGTCGCTAACACAAGACCAGGAAGAGACCTACACGGTTGTATGCAAAGCCAGAGTCGCAGTCGTGGCTACGGTCGAGGCCGCAATGGATGAGAAGGTGGGGGGTGATGATGAGGAGATGGAGGGCACCACAGACTCGGGAGGAGTGAACAACACGGAACCTAGGGCAGGACTCTCGAGAGCCCTCGGAGATGATACGATGAAGGCGGAGGACAAAAATGGAGAGGAACCCAAGAGAAGCACAGTTTCGGGTTCTTTCGAAAAGGAGGATGACGAGATGGATGAACGCGCTTGATGGTGGGGATGGAAGAGCGCAAGAACAAGAAGTCGTGGCGCTGCATATCTTGAACAAACATCGCTACAAAGGTTTGAGTTATCACAAAGAGCATCACATTAATCAATGGTAACTTGCTTAGTCAATGTTCAGCCTTCCTCCAGATCTACATTCTTGGAGTCCCGTGGTCTTCTCCAAGTATTTTCGTCCACGTCACCTAATCTGGCCAGAATAAGCTGCGTCGAAGCCCCATGACGAGGCTGAGAAGTCTTTACTATATATCACAAGCAAATCGGTCATGACAATCTTTCGGATTGAGCCCGATTTTGTATTACCTGCTGTAAAGTCATTTGATGAACTTGATGATGGTCGATGTAAAGCTCCCAAAGATGCCTCTTGTGTGCGATGAAAGCTGTCGCAAGGCACAATGCTTGCATGATCATCGACGATATACAGCTGGAGAACAGTCTGAAGAAATGGAGCTGCTCATCTTTGCTGCACTGGATTACCACTTGTCGCTTTGCTCAAACCTGAGAACGCGGCGATCACTTTTTGTTGTGACCGTTTCGTGCTGACCACAATTATTTGTATTTGACCTTCGTTTCGCCGAATTGTCTCTTAAATAAATCCAGCACGGAAGTCGAAGATCAACCTTACAGGCAAGCACGCCGTAATGGTGTCGAGAGGTTCGGCTTTGGACCAGGGTATTGTTAGTCAAGGTATGCAATACTGCACCCTGACAGACGGCTGACGAGGACCCATCGGGCTGACGAACTCACAATAGTGGTCAGGGTCTTGCTCCGAGAATCGCGCCTCCAGTATTCTTTTGAGATGCTGATTTTCTCCAAAGCCGCCTACCAGAATGATTTCTTTGGGATGTTTGCCAAGCGCTTTGATGGCGTCGTACTGGTCTTGAACAAGCTTGATCGTTGCATTTTCGACTGGCTCAAATATTCCCCTCATGTCTCCAGCCTCCCAGTATTCTTCCTTCACACCGGGCAGCGGAACTTTGACTTCGCCCTGGCTGGGACTATAGGCTCTTTTTGTTCGTTCCTCAAAGTGCCTCGCGCAGATGGGCCAGTGGGTCGGATGGTTCTTGCACCTATCCTCTAGCTTCCAGTCAAAGAATTGACTCACATGGCGCCTGAATTCGATATCGAGAAGAGATCGACGAACTGAGACAGCGATTGAGCGACGTCCGAGAGGCAGAGAATGAAAGACACTTACTGCTACAAGACCAAATCACGGCCTCTATGGAAGGTGCTAAGGGCTACAACAGGCTCAGACACCAGTGGAGAGACGAGAAGTCCGCTCCAGACATCGATATCCTTTTCGTAAACATCAGAAATACCTTTTGGAGAGAGATGAGTGAACAAGAATTTGGCAATTCGACTCATTCGGCCAGTCTTCGAGGCACAATTTACTAATCACGGTAAGCAGATATCAAGACTACCAAGCCTGTTGATCTGGAACAATATCTCGCAACATATGTCCCCGGCAGCAAGGACAACACCCTGAAAGATTATCGGATGTCTGCGTTGCCGTGGCTTCCCGGGTCTTGATGCGCTCCATGGACAAACGAAACGTCTTCGGCTGGCCTGTGGACGAAGCCACCCAAACGGCGACCAAGCTTTGGCGTCTTGTGTCGAGTAAGCTTGATGGTCCAACCACACGATTTCGTACTATTACTGCCTTTCCAGAGACAAAGGACCTGCAGTTAAGAAACGCAATCAAGCGATGGATGACTCTTACCAAAGACCTTCTGGAGGATGGTGAACTGGTTGATCAACAACAAGCCAAAGACGAATTGATAAACTGGATCTTGGGGGAGATCGAGAAAGATTTGTCGGCTGTAACAACTTTGCGTTTCACCGAAAGACTACGCATATCGCCGACTAGAGACTTTTCTCCATGTATGAAGGTTCTCAACCTTCTGTTCATGCAAGAATGGCAGTTCGATTTCAAGATGATACCAGCTTTCCAAGAAGGGGAGCCAACGACCTTAAATCCGGTCACGATGCAAGGTCCGTTCTACGAAGAAAGCGGGTCTGTAAAAGCATCTGTATTCCCACTGATGGCAAGAAAGGATGAGGTGGCCGGTGAGCCAAGAGTATGTGCATATGTATCATCTGACGTAGGCAAGAAAGCTAATTCCACGGTAGATCGAGAGCTGGGGTGTTGCCAGCAAAGCAAAATTTGTGGTTGCAACAAAAGCAGAGTGTCAGAAGAAGAGCATTGTGGCATCATCTCGCCAGACGACAGAAACAACAGAGGAGACGCGCGAGAACTCGGCAAGGGGAACAAAGAGATCCCGCGACGACATGCAGGATACTTCACAGAGACCAGCCAAAAGACTGAAGCACCGCAAGAGAGTGGGCATCCTGGATACGGACGATGATGAAGAGATCCTATGATAGACCGAGCGTTGGAAGACGAAGCTGGGATGTTCGAGCTGCTGGCGACGTCGCATCTCTAAACACGATGGCAACCAAGCAGATGATGTAAGTGCTAGGCTCCAGTGGCCAGTTTGATCTCACAAAACTAATTAGGCATCAGTCTGGAGCTTTTGGCGTCATATGCAAAGTAAAGGTCGCAGTCATGAACCCAAGATAAGAGGTCGCAGAGAATTGCAGCATCACAGGTGTTGAGACTGAGAGAAGGCAGGCGATTGACGTCAAGTACTGAGAGTATTTCAATTGAGCAGATGTGGGAAGAGAGATGGACGGAAGTGTGTTTGATGGACTTAGTCACCCTTGCGCGGTAGATAACCGTGGTGGACAAAAGTCGTGGCAGTCAGCCTTCTCATGTTTACGACGCCTCGAATGAACTCGAATGAATTACTTACTGCACCGCGTCAACGCAAGATGTGTATCATTACCAGCAAGGAAGATCGAGTCGGCCGCAACTGGGACGAGCCGGCAAGACATGTGTCCAACTATCATTCTGGACCAGCGCGACGAACATCACCCGTACCAAGAAACCGACAGAGATACAGCAATCATGGCAACGCTTACCGCACGAGCGACTCATCAGTGCGTTACGTCTACCGTACGAGCCAGCCTACAATCAGCTATTCTCCTCGCGACATCCGAATAGTTGAGCGATGATGCTTGTCGCTGGCGACTATATGAGCATAAAGACAGCACACGAATACGATGCAAACTCGAGGATGTTATCGGGCAGTTTCAATATTGTTTACGTGGTGGATACGCAGATATGGATTTGAATGTTAATACTGTTGGCTCCTGCTGTGACTCGAATTGGCCTCAACCATCTCTCCCGAATGCCATACACACCGTGGCACTGCATGGCATACTTGCGAAGGTCGCATCATTGTATCAAACAGATGATCATTTCCAGAAGAGTGAGCCGGGATTACCGGTATGGATACGGAAGCAAGCATTTCCGCAAGTGGCTGGACCCCTCAGATTGGGAGGCAACGGCTGGCGAGCATGTGAGACCGCATGACGTCGTGGCATATTGCGTCTTTGTTTCCTCTGCGCATTCCTGCCTTTCGAGTTTCTTTCACCCACACATCGAGACGTAAAACGCAACTACGACTCTGCCAAATCCTATCACTTGAATATACCTAATCTGCAAAGTCCGGCCTTCATATCCTCATCATGTCAGTAACATTGGAGTTTGAAGATGCCCGTACCACCAGTATTCTCTTGCGTGTCTAATGCGCTGGACAGGAACCGCTCCCTCTCCATCCGCTCAAAGGGCCAGGGCGAGAAGTCGTCCAACAAGCACCGCTTCACCATGGCCAGTCTTCGTGGTCACCAGCAGCCTGATCTCTCCAAGAAGCTGTACCGCTTGATCAAGACTGAGAACCACGCCATCGGCGCATACGAGGCCGCAGCCAAGGAGCAAGCAAACATCGCTTCTCAGCTCAGCGACTGGGGTGAGGAGACTGGTGATGATGCCATCTCTGAGATCTCGGACAAGCTTGGTGTTTTGCTGGCCGAGATTGCCGAGCAGGAGGATGTCCTTGCTCAAGGTCTCGAAGACAGCAGAGGTGTCCTCAAGCAGATCCGCAACACCGAGTCTTCAGTCCAGCCTTCGCGCGACCACAAGGCCAAGGTATGTCTTTCTCACGTCACGCGACAAGTATGCGTACTGACCCATCTCTGTAGATTTCGGACGAGATCCAGAAGCTCAAGTACAAGGAGCCTAGCTCGGTCAAGATCGTCACTCTCGAGCAGGAGCTTGTCCGCGCAGAGGCACAGTCGCTTGTTGCTGAAGCCCAACTTACCAACATCACCCGCCAGAAGTTCAAGGAAGCCTACGACCTTCACACCGCTGCCATCATTGAGCGCGCCGAGAAGCAGATTCTCCTGGCCAAGAACGCAAGAAAGCTGCTCAACCTCGTTGACGATACTCCCATCGTTCCTGGAGATGTCCACCCTACCTTCACTCACGCCGAGACCGCAAGAGATGTCCTGAACGTTGCCGAGGACGAGCTCAGAGCATGGACTGCCGACATCGAGCCCATCCACACCAACGCTGGCGGTCTTGGTGTCAACGCCATGCCTTCCGCTTCCGCTCCTTCCACCTCCATGCAAGGCCACTCCAGCGATATCTCGAGCTCTGTTGATGCTGGCTCTCACGCTGTCCCCGCTCAGCAGTCCGAGCACTACGCACAGCAATCCGAATACTCTACCCAGCAGCACTCCGAGTACCCTCAGTCCGTCGAGTCCTATTCTACTCCCTCTGAGCCTTCCGCAGCTGTCCACGAGCCTGTCGCATACCAGACTCAAACCCAGTCCCACACCGCCGCCACCGAGACACCGTACCCCACCGAGGAGCACGAATCTGAGCACGCTCGTAATGTAGCTGCTCGTGTCCTCGGCTAGTCACGGAGCAGACCTTGTACACTGGGAGACTGTGGATTTCGAAAACGTTGAGTAGTAATAATGTCCCGAACAATTGCGATCAGTGCCTTTTTTGTCATGAGCTTATGAGTTATGCGTCTTCTTAGTTGAATTAGCAGGCTTCCTAATCTTTATTATACCATTTCTGTTTGCATCTTCTCTGCCACCCATGAGATTCCAAATGTGACCATGCTTGGTTCCTGTTCCACGATTGGTCAGGGTAGAGTACTTCTCCACAAGCACAACAGCTTGTCATAGAAGCTCGTCGAAATGATGGTCTGCTCACCACCACTTTCGCTGCCCGGCTGCACGTCACTACCATAATTCATACTCTTGTGTTCCTCAAACCTTGCCAATACCTCGATCTCCCATTCCTCCTCTCCCTCCCCTCTCCTCTGCACCTGCACAATCCTAGCACCCGCATGCATACAACTAGCCAAGATTGTGAAATTCCCAGCCTCTGGTTCCGATTTCAGCATTTTGAGTCTCCAGACCCCACCTTGAAGGTCTTCTTCTGCGAGGATTTGTTTTCTGCCGATCAGAGGCGTGGAGAGGATGCGTATGTTGTCGTCGTAACTTCCAGTGACCAAGATATCTGGGTGTGAGGGAAGGGGGAGGATTGCTGTGACGCCTGCTTGATGGATACGGCGGTCTTGCCATTGGGGGAGGTATTCTTCTTTTGTTTCCTCTTCTTCTTTGACTTTTTTATTGTCGTTTGAAGCTTCGGACGTAAAGAAGGAGGATGGCAAAGCAGAGAAACGAAGATGCGTATCGTCACCACCCGAAAACACGGCCTTGCCATCTCTCGAGAAACTCAATGTCCAAGCTTCTAGGTCATGACATAGTACCTCTTTTCCTGTGTCCTGTACTTCTGACTCTGGTAGTGAGGTATCAACCAAACATACCTGGCCAGGAGATACAGTGACACCCAAAAGATTGGGGGAGGTGGGATGCCAAGCTAGCGAGAGAACCAAGGTAGCGGGATCAAAGTATTGGAAGACAGAGAGGGGTGAGATGGAGGATGAAGAAGGGGAGAAACGGAAGAGCTGGACACAGCCTGTCGAACCTGCCACTGCGAGGAGAGTTGGGTCGTGGGGTGAGAAATGGAGGTCGAGGATTGCATAAGGGGTTGGTGTTGTTGAGATTTGTTTCCTTGAGAGAAATTTGTCAGATGGTTGCCCTTCTGTTACAATGTATGATGTTGGATTTTTTTTTTTTGAATGCCTCTTTCTTTTTCCGTAGTTTTGTATGTGTTGGTGAAAGTGTTGATGAGAGAGCAAGAAAATTGGACAAAAAACTTACACCTCGTCTCCCTCAATCTCGAACAAGATCAACGACCCTGTCCTAGTCTGTGGCTTCTTATCCACTTCCTCGCTCTTTTCGTCATCATCTTCCTCTACCACATTCTCTGTCGAGCTATCTTGCTCTTTCTTCTCGAGGTAATAAGTACCAACTATAAAGTAGTCATGAGCTGCTGGACAGAACTCGATACAACTAGGTGGTAAGTCCAAGATCAAAGACTGGATTGAAGTAACTGTTGTCATTTTGCGTAAGTGTGATGGGAGAGGCTGTAGTGAAATAGTGCTGTATAAGATTTCGGTTTTGTGGTAGCCTTATTTCCGGGATATTTCCGGATGCTCTTGTATATGAGATATTGGATGCTGGTCAAAGGTGAGTGTCATTCAATCGAGTGCTATGTGTCGTTAGAGACATTCGGATGACGCTGGTGTGTTTTCATGCTCGTCAAGGAGTCAAGTGCTTTTGAATATGGCGCGTTGGTTGGTCTGCTCCAGGATGATTGCCAGGAACATTTGGGTCCTTTGCAGCTCCAGCAGTTGGTCCCAGATCATAAGAAAAAAGCACAGCACGTCAAGATCCTACGCTAGAATACCATTATTTACCATGAGAACGACCAAAAGTTTTGTGTAGATCATGTTGTCGTCGATTTACTGCTCGAAAGGTGTGCTTCGTGGATGACCCTGCTCAAAGTCGAGTCGACTCCGAAGTTATATTGTGCTAAAATTGATGAGGAGATAGGCATGGCTGTCCCCGAGGCTCTTACACAGATCTGTATGGCTGCACTACGAGCATCTTCGAGACCGGTTGAGGAGTTTTGAACATAAAGTACATTTGGAAAAAAGTTGTTTGTACATGGCACAAAAGAAGCCAACCCCAGCGATTCAAGAATGTAGATCTTGTGCTTTCCTGCAGCGCCCAGAAAAAGGTATAGCTCGAAGTTTTACCTGCTGAGATCCTCAGCAAGTTGCGTAGCCTCTGCCGAGTTCTTCTCAGCCTTCTCATTCCTCTTCACAGCCTGCTCTTTATTATGCCTCGCCCTCTCATCAATCTTACCCACCGCATGTTTACCACCGGGCAACACACCCTTTGGCAAAACCTGGCCCTTCTTCCCCATCAAACCCGCCTTCTTCGCATTCCTCCCACCTTTTGCAGCAGCACCCTGAGCCTCAAGCTCCACAGCCCGTAGCTTTTCAATCGCAGACTCTGAGCCTTGTGCAGCTGCGCGACGCAGACTTCTACGCTCGAGCTTTTCGTGGCGTTTGGCATTGTAGATTGCTTCTGATTCGCCGGCGCTGGGGACGGGTGGTCGTGTGTCGATGGGGTTGCCGAAGGGGACGAGGATTTCATTGACGACGTGGTGGACGTGTTTGGCGGCGCGGAAGGGGCGGAGGGAGACGACGTCGCCGATGTTGAGGGAGGAGTTTGGGTCGTGGACTAGATGGTCTGAGTGGTCTTTGAAGTGCTGTGTTGGAATATTTGATCAGCAATTGTCTCTTTTCACACTAAAAAGCTATCTCAATTCTGCAAAAGCAGACACAGAGAGTATAGGTAGAGTATAATCACCTTTCTCAAATAGTTGTTCCATTTCTGACTGGGTAGTCTGACTTTGACCGTCCTCTGCATCTTTCCAGCACTGATAACGACACCAACTGGTCGCAACTTCCCAGAAGGATTGCCGTCGGCCTCTTTCAAGGCAGGTGTCTGAGTTTGGGCATCCTGTACCACTGGTGTGGTAATGGGTGTTGTAAAGTCCAAAGGAAGGGGTGCTGTTGTCGAGGCGGGCGCGACTTCAGTGGCGAAGCATCGTGTACTGCGCCACGCTTGAATCGATGGGCGAGTGCCCGCGAATGTCCTCAATGGAAGGCTGACTGTTCTGCTGGCCATGCTTTGTGTCTTGTCTCCTGCTGGGCCTCTTTGCGACTTTCATGAAACTAGAATTCGACATGTCCGAATCTCGAAACGCACAGACCACATGTCTCTCTTTCCGCGTCACCTCCGCGTCGCCCTCATGAATATGTTGAACATGGACAGAGTAATATATCGTCTCTGAGAGGAGAGCAGTATGGAAGAAACATGCTCCTCCTTCGTTCAATTGTCTATAATGCCATGAATGAGAAACTTAACATAATCTACAGCCCCCGTTTGACCTTCAGCCACTCGCTATCTCAGTACGCCTTGTACGCCTTTCCATGCCATCGTCACAAAGTCACACAAGTGACTTCATCTTCATCCCCTATTCAAACAGTGGTTGTACCTCTCTAGCGTCAGGTCTCTTCGGAGTCGAAGGACCAGAGTTGACGCCCGAGTTTACACCAGAACCAGCCTCCTCATTGTCTGGAGCAGAAGTGTTGTCGTGTGTGGTCTCTTCCACTTCCTTGCCGCCGAGTGCAGATTGCTTGACCTTGATCTTCTTGTCGGCCTGCTCGGAGATTCTGGTAAGTTCGTTGACGAAAGACTCACCCCACCAAGCACTGGTGTACTTGTTGACGTATTTGGCAAGTTTCTGGTAGTTGATGCTTCTTTGCTCATCACCCATGGTGACAGCATCGTGAATGGCATCGGCGAGCTCCTCAGTGTTCCAGGGGTTGACAATGATGCTGCCGTTGAGACTCTGAGCTGCGCCGGTGAATTCAGACAAGATCATGGAGCCGTGACGCTTTTGCTGAGTTGCGATGTACTCGTAAGAGACGAGGTTCATGCCGTCACGGGTCGACGAGACAAGGCAGACATCACTGACAGCGTAAAGTGCGATTAGCTCATCGAAAGAGACCGACTTGTGCATGAAGTGAATGGGCATGAATTCGATGGTTCCTGTAGCTTGTTAGAAAGTTGCCAATGCTAGTGAGACTTGCAGACTTACCGAATTTGCCGTTGATTCTGCCGACCAGTTCATTGACGACGGCGCGCAGATTCTGGTACTCTTCGACATCTTGTCTGGAGGGAACGGCGACTTGGACCAAAACGACCTTGCCAATCCACTCGGGGTGTTCTGTCAGGAAGACTTCAAGAGCGTGCAGCTTCTGAGGTACACCCTTGATGTAGTCGAGACGGTCAACACCGACAATCAACTTTACACCTTGGAACTTCTTCTCAAGCGTCTGGATGCGCTCCACAACCTTGGGCTTCTTGAGTCCCTCCTCAAACTTTTCAGGGTCAATACCAATGGGGAAAGCGCCGACGGTAACGACCTTGCCCTGGAATTCGACGGTGTTGGGTGTTGTGGGCAATTGGCTGCAAGCTGTTAGCAACCAAATTCGACTCGACCAGGATTGAACTCAACATACAGGATTCTTGAACAACTGCTGAGGAAGTGTCTAGCGTAATCATAGGTGTGGAATCCGACCAAGTCACAGTGTAGGACACCGTTCAGGATCTCGTTACGGACAGGCAAGATCCTGTAGATCTCACTACTGGGGAAGGGTGTGTGGAGGAAGAAACCGAACTTCACGTTGCGCTTGGAGTCGCCGATCTCTTCACGAAGCATGGCGGGCAGAAGCATGAGATGGTAGTCGTGAACCCAGATGAGGTCGTTGTCTTGTACGTCCTTTGCGATCTCCTTTGCGAACAGGCGGTTGGCCTCGCGGTAGGCATTCCATGCGGACTCATCGAAGGTGATCTCACCAGGGTGGTAATGGAAGAGGGGCCACAGGATTGAGTCTGTTGTCGCACAGTCAGTACAGGACGAGGGTTAAAATGAGGTCGGAAGCGCATACTAGAGAAGCCGTTGTAATGTCTGTCGGCCAATTCATCGTCCATGAAGATGGGGACTGCGCCATACTCCTTCCATAGTCTGTCCTTGACCAGGCCAATTTCGTTCTGGGGAACCTGAATACCAGGCCAGCCATACCACTGGAACTTGGTGGTCTTTGCGAGACCCGACAGGCCACTGACTAGACCGCCGGAGGACATTGAGAAGTCGTACGTAGCATCGTCGGAACGCTTGATGGTGATGGGAAGACGGTTGGAGACGAGCAGAAGGCGACCTTTGCCATCGCTGGCGGGTTCTGAGGGATTTGCCATGTTGGTCGTATATGTGTGGTGGAGGATAGACTCGTCTGTCGCGAAAGTCAGTAGGCTTGGAAGCTTCGACGGAAAGTTGTAGGCGAGAGCGAAGGATGGCGCTGGAACGCACAGCCACAGCTGACAATCACATGCCAATTGATACTTACATTCGCGAAATTGGACAGGAATGGGCCGAGCAGAATTATCAGGTCAAGGGCAACAGTACCTTTTATTGTTGGGCGAAGAGGCAGGAAAGATGTGATGTATTTGTGAGCAAAGAGCCGGGACTGAACTACAAGCTTGCTTGAGACGCTCGGGACTTGTGTGGAGCACTGGAGATGCGGCTGAAAATGCCTGTCGAAACCCAAGAGGCCTTGCAGGAGGATAGGTAATAGCTGAAAGGCGTTTCACGGGTCGCGTATGGCAGGTTATATTACTCTTATACAAGTCTTCATGCTCTGTTTACTGGACGGATGGAAATTGTTGGAAATGTTGAGGATATTCTTGCACGCCCTTGCCAACTCTGCTAAAATCGAACGCGATCGAAGGCCGTGCGAGTTACAAAGAATGACATCACTCTGTATAAGAAAATACCTGGCCTAGGAAGTGTACGTAACTCGTACCCATGATGAGCTCTATGAGCTCGGAGATGAAGAAGTCGAACTTGTGGATCAAAGCCATTGAAAGGTGGTTCTCAGTAGAAGGGGCTACACAGGGCGTGCCTTTCGAGGTCTGAGAAAGTGATGCAGCCGTCCCTGAACTTGAAGCCTGTCCTCCGAAAGCCGATTTTCCGTCGCGCTTGTAGCTGTATAAAGTCACAGTGTATTTGGGGATGAGAGCATCGAGCTGTGAGAGTCGTCGTCCAAGAAGCTCTCCGCGACAGCTTTGCAATTTCGAAAAAGACTGTGCCTTTTGACAGCTTGTTGTCGCTCTGCTTCGTTACAGAGAGGAGTGAAACGAGGAAGCAACTCCGAAACCATACATCAAACGTGGGGTGGGGCTGCTGCGCGCGTGAACTGCTTTGCGACGCGTCGTTCTAGTGAGAAGTCGATACCTCACAAGGCTCAAACAACGACTTGAGACCTAGTTCACAACAATGTCGTCTGACTGTGATATGCCAGAGGCTGCGGCTCCTTCGAACTCCATCCTAGAAAAGACTCTTCGCCAAATTGTGCGCAGGGCCGAAGTCGACCCCATCACTGTCAAACGTGTGCGCAACGCCGCCGAAGAGCGACTTGGACTAGAAGCCGGGTTTTTCAAGGATCATGATGTGTGGAACGAAAAGAGCAAGGAGATCATAGAGGAGACATTTGTATGCCATGAATCTACCTCAATTACCACCCTTTCGTCTGCTAATGGCCAAAGAACGAACCCTCCCAAAAGTCTCCGTCGCCCGAACCTACTCCACAGAAGAAGGCACCCGCCCCAAAGTCCAAACCTACGAAAAGGACCTCCACACGCAAGCCAAAACCAGCCCTTAAACGTCAAAAGCGTTCCACATCCGAGTCGGGGTCAGAACATTCCGACTTCGAGTCCGAGGAGGAGAAGCCCAAATCTAAGCCGGTGTCGAAAAAGCCCTCGGCCACCACAAAGCGTGTATCTAAGGGCACTGTCGAATCAGAGGATGAGGAAGTTGATGATACTTCTGATCACCCAAACGGCGACTCCTCCATAACGGGGACCCATGAAGAGAAGCCCGAGGTTGCAGATGACTCGGAAAGCGAGATGTCTGTGGTCTTGGACGAACCACCACTCAAAAAGGCACGCCCAAAGAGCACCAGTACTGCCACAAAGACAAAATCACAGACAAAAGCCAAGGCTTCCAAGGCTGCTGCGAAGCCCGCAAAGGAGGAAACACCAGACGAGGCCGAAATCAAGCGTCTTCAGGGGTGGCTAGTAAAGTGCGGGGTGCGAAAGATGTGGTTCAAGGAGCTGGCCCCATACGACACACCAAAAGCCAAGATCAAGCATCTCAAAGAGATGCTCGAGGATGCTGGCATGGAAGGGCGTTACTCTGAACCAAAGGCCAAGGCCATCAAGGAACGCAGAGAACTGGAAGCAGACCTCGAAGCTGTGCAGGAAGGTGCTAAGCAATGGGGTAACGAAGGAGATAGTGGTGAGGATGACGAGTCTGAAGCGGCGCCTCGACCTCAACGCAGAGCAGCGGCAACTCGCTTCGTGGACTTTGGCGAAGACGATGATGATGACGAGTAATGAGAAATGAGTATCCTTATCGACTCATTGGGCGGTCGATCGTTGAGCAATTATGCTGAAAGCAGCGACGGAAGAGATGAAAAGAACCAGGTTGTAGAACTAGGTCGATTATCGTCAGCATATACCTTAACGAACAACTCATCAATATGCTTCAATCCTCCATCCACTCCCTCAACGTAGAGCCAATCCAAAAACTACTGTGCATTTCTACAGCTCAAAGCTTGGGAGACCTCGGCCAGCGGAAGATGAAGTCGCCCGCCTCTCGCAGAAACACACAACCCCTGGGCATCTCCGACACTCGCCCCTGGAGAGTGGACAGACGGTCGAAATACCCTATCGAAGTGCTGAGGCTGTAACGCTTGATGGCTCTTCAGAGAGGCCCCATCAATCTGGGAAACGATCCTGCCTCGATGCAGCTTTTACACTCCTCTGCAATGACGTGGGCAGAGGGCAATGGAGTGTGAGACTTGTGGGAGGGACGGCAAAGTGACCAAAAGAAGAATGGAGTTTATGGGGTTGCACCAGTGACCAGATCATGACTTACGGCATTTCTTGAATATGCGCTCTCCTCTGCTTCGGTACGAGCTTCGACAAAGAGGCGGCGGAGATTTGGGAGGTTGGAAGGCTACACGGACTTAGTACCTTGTAGATGTGAGGCCACGTGAAGCAAGTAGCATACCATGATTCTTGTATATCTTGTCACTTGATGGTAATAGTAAGAAGACGAGACTCAAAGTCGATGTTCATGCGGAGGAGTTGAGTTTGGGCATAAAGTTATGCGCAGCTTTCTCCACGTCAGTCATAACTTTGGCCGGCACCTGGAGCAGGGGAGCATCAACAACCTTCATTTCATTGTCCCTTCTCAATAAACCAACAACACAATTTCGACTCCGGCCTCGATATCCGATCACGAATTCCGGACGTATACAGGCAGAACCACAAGAGCTGGGAAATACAAAGACAACGACAAGATGGCGGTCAACCGACTCCGCAGCGCGCTGGCGGTGCCTCGCAAGGGCGAGACGTACGAGCTCCGTGCTGGTCTGGTGTCGCAATACGCCTACGAGCGCAAAGAGTCCATCCAGAAGACCATCATGGCCATGACACTAGGAAAGGACGTGTCCGCACTCTTCCCCGATGTGCTCAAGAACATTGCTACCGGCGACCTGGATCAAAAGAAGCTCGTCTACCTATACCTCATGAACTACGCCAAGAGTCATCCGGACCTCTGTATCCTAGCCGTCAACACTTTCGTTCAAGATTCAGAAGACCCCAACCCTCTGGTCAGAGCGTTAGCTATCCGTACGATGGGATGCATTCGAGTTGATAAGATGGTCGATTACATGGAAGAACCGTTACGAAAGACGCTGAGAGACGAGAGTCCCTACGTGCGAAAGACTGCTGCCTTGTGCGTGGCCAAGCTATTCGACCTTAACCCTTCCATGTGCTTGGAGAACGGCTTCCTGGAGACATTGCAGGAGATGATTAGCGATTCAAACCCAATGGTTGTCGCGAACTGTGTTACCGCTCTGGTAGAGATTGGAGAGGCAGCTCCTGAGACCAACGCCATGATCGTCACACCTCAGACACTCAAGAAACTTCTGCTGGCCTTGAACGAGTGTACTGAATGGGGTCGCATTACTATTCTATCCACCTTGGCCGACTACAAGCCGAAGGAGCAGAAAGAGGCAGAGCACATTTGCGAGCGCGTTGTACCGCAATTCCAGCATGCCAACCCTAGTGTTGTACTGGCCGCTGTCAAGTGTGTCTTCTTGCACATGCAGAACATCAACCCCGAACTTGGCAGAACGTATGCGAAAAAGATGGCCCCTCCGCTGGGTATGCGCAATGAATGCCAAGCTGAATGCAACTGCTAATCTATCTCCAATAGTCACCCTCGTCTCTTCTCAACCCGAAGTCCAATATGTCGCACTTCGCAACATTGACCTCCTCCTCCAAAAGCAACCCTCTCTCTTGTCCAAGGAGATGCGAGTCTTCTTCTGCAAATACAACGACCCACCGTACCTCAAGTTCCAAAAACTACAAATCATGGTCCGCATCGCCAATGACGCCAATGTGGAGCAGTTGCTCGCCGAGTTGAAAGAGTATGCCATGGAAGTAGACATGGATTTCGTCAGAAGAGCCATCAAGGCCATCGGTCAGGTGGCCATAAAGATTGAGAATGCCTGTGAAAGAGCCGTCAATGTTTTGCTTGAACTCATCAACACCAAGCAAGCATACGTCGTGCAAGAGGTGGTCGTCGTCATCAAGGATATCTTCAGAAAATATCCTGGATACGAGGGCATTATTCCTACTTTGTGTCAATGTATCGACGACCTGGATGAGCCCACTGCGAGAGGTGCTCTGATCTGGATTGTCGGTGAATACGCCGAGAAAATCAGCAACGCTGGTGACATCTTGACAGGCTTCGTCGAAGGTTTCGCTGAAGAATTCACACAGGCGAGTCTTGTCGAGCCATGCTATCAAAGCGCAAATGCTAACAAGCGAACAGACACAGCTTCAAATTTTGACAGCAGTAGTGAAGCTCTTCCTGAAGAAGCCCGACCAAGCGCAAGGTCTGGTGCAGAAAGTGCTCCAGACCGCAACAGCAGAATGTGACAACCCAGATATTCGCGACAGGGCATATGTCTACTGGCGACTACTTTCGAGTGATCCTCAGATCGCCAAGAACATCGTCCTCGCACAAAGGCCAGCCATCACATCAACCATCTCAACCCTCCCGATACCGCTGCTCGACTCGCTCATGCCAGACCTCTCCACACTCGCCTCGGTCTACCACAAGCCGCCACAGACCTTCCTCGGCCAAGGTCGTTCATCTGCAAACGCTTTGCAACAAGCCGCCATCGAAGAAGCAGCCCAGAACGCACTGGAAAACCCATTGGCAGCTGCAGCCGCCGCAGCCGCAGTCTCAGGACATGGCAGCAATGTTCAAAGCCACGCCGAAAATCTCCTCGACATTGACTTTGACGGTGCAGCACCAGCGAGTATGCAAAAGGCACCCACAGGCGGCTCATCGGGACTTGAGGGTCTTGCAGGTACACCCATGCGTGTCGCTAGTCCGACGAGCAACGACGCACCTATCGGTGGCGGCATGGAAGATCTCATGGGCATGTTCGGCTCCTCCGGTGGTGCTTCTACTGCGCCCACTGCCGGAAACTCCGGCTCTGACGACTTGATGAATGGATTTGCAAGCTTGAACATGGGAGCTTCACAACCGCCCCCACCGCAAACACAGCTGGACGGAGGCGGCAAAAAGGCCAATGAAGATATTCTCGGCCTCTTCTAAATCAAGCGGAGCGCTGAAAATATTATTGGAGAAGTTCTTTTGTCCTTCTTAGCGAAAGTTGTCATTGTACTCTAGATCAAACCGAATATCGAAACAGATCATATTCTCACAACCTTCTTCGAATCTCTTGCGTGACCATTAATACTGGTGCCATGTTTCCTGTAAAGAGCCTCTGCGAATGACAACTCGAGAGTATTGTATTCTCAAGCCGAGTAAGACAAGCGTACTGTGAAAGCCGGCAGAATATAGATTGAAGTGACGATTGACAAAAGCTTGTTCGCGTGGTTGTCAGCCAAGGCCTTTGAAAGCCAGCGGAGTGAGAGCGAGCTTGTCGCGCGCGTCGTCCTGCGTCCTGCGCTTCAAGCTGCATCTCGGCCTCCACAATCGTTCAACTCAGCACATTCATCAAACATGGCTCCCGAAAAGAATGGAAGAGTCGTCTTCATCGGCAACATCCCTTACGGTATGAGATCGCTCTACAGTAGTGTGCGCGACAACAGCTGAATGAGATACAGGTGTTAGCGAAGAACAAATCATCGACACGTTTGGAAGAGTCGGTGCGGTAAACAACTTCAGACTCGTGCACGACAAGGAGACTGGTAGACCGAAGGGTTTCGGTTTCCTCGAGTTCGCCGACCCAGACGCCGCCGCTTCGGCAGTGCGTAACCTCAACGACCACGAGATCATGGGCCGCAAGTTGCGTGTCGACTGGTCCAACGACAACAGCGGCGGTGGAAACTCCAGCTCCAACGACAATTCAACCAACAGCATGAGCGCACAGCAGCCTCACGGTGGCGATGCTGCAGGCCAACAGCCTCCGATGCTCCCTCCTCTTCCACCTGGCACCGATCTGCCCGCGGGCTTGACATGTCCCGATGCCATCTCGAAAACCCTCAGCGCCATCCCTGCCCCTCAATTGCTGGATATCATCTCGCAGATGAAGGGCCTCGTCATGTCGGATCCCAATCAAGCAACCGAGCTCCTGCGCCAGGCACCCCAACTCGCCTACGCCATCTTCCAGGCACTTCTCCTTCTGGGTCTGGTTGACACAAGCATGCTTGGCAGCATCGTCCAGGCTTCCGCCCCTCAGAACCCACAATTCCCTGCTTCAGCACCCGTTCCCCCTCCGCCTATGCCTCAACCTCCCCAGGCCGCCTATGCTCCCACACCTCAGCCCGGCTACCCAGGATACCCCCCTCAACACTACCAACAACCCACACCACCAGTGCAACAACCCGCTTTTGCGCCGCCCCCGCCCCCTCAGCAGGCCGCTGCAGCTAGTCAGCAGGACCTCATTGCGCAGGTTCTGTCCATGACCATCGACCAGATCAACCAACTCGATCCTGTGTCGCGCCAGCAGATCATTGCTCTGCGCGCCCAGCTAGGTGCCCCCGTTGCTTGAAAAGTACGCGTCCAACAGAAACACTTGCCTTTCCTGCTTCCCAGCACTTGCCATAAGAGAAGTGCCGGATGGCACTCTTAAGACACCCAGCCGTAGCAAGATTGTCGCCAGCTTCTGGCCTAGATGTGAAACGCGGCTGTCAGGCTGCTCGACAACAGCAGTGTCGTCTCACATAACCATCACAATGCAAACAGCGCTCTCTAGCACGGCTACAAAGCACATGATGACCATACACGAATAGTCCCTTGAGAGACAAACAAGGCGGTATATTTGCTGGCTATGACAGCATGATGGTCAATGGATCATGCAAAATTCGAGACTCAAAAGCGACATAATCGCTTCAAATACAGACCAATCTTATTCAACCATGTCAATCTTAACCTCCCCACAAGCTTGTCACTTAAACTTTGGACGGTCACAACTTCTTGTAGCGCACTTTATTTTGTATCATCATGCTACTCATAGAGGCTGAATGTGACAGCATGGCAATGGTTCGCGCGGGCCGTTTTGACCCCAAAGCTTGACCCAGAATGGGGTCCCGCAAAACGTTCATGACGTTCAGACTTGACAAAACTTCCTCTAGACATCTTCTCTTCACTCACTGCGTAGTATACAGGACGTACAAGGTGGCCTTCTGGCGCCCGCAACAAATTCCATGAACAAGCTTCCGGTTGCCCTGCTTACGGGTGGAGTCGCCAAAATGCGGGAGGCTGGGAGAGTATTAGTCGGGCACCAAACCCAAGCAGGGAAAGGTGAGCTGCAAGATACATGGGGTAGGCGCAGACGCGACCACCCAGCGCCTGCCACATTAGATTGACCTACCACCTTCGTCTTCTGTCGCACTTGTGCGATTCTATCATTGACCTTTAGTTTGTCGCTTTGTGTTCTCACGCCCGACTCACGACTCACGCTATCATGACCCTAGAATCAGTTCAGCCACGACGATAATCGATATAATCAAGCCTTTGTTGTTCATTCACAATCCGGACGCTTCTTGCGGTGAAGCCTACCTCCATTCGCGAAGCGCCTACCGCGATCAACGCTCAATCTTAGTCGACCATGTTCAGGTCACTCAGTAGCAAGAACTCGGCTTCCTCATCCAAGCGAAAGAAGACAGACAAACCCACCCGCCGCACCGAATCAATAACATCCTCGTCGACGCACCGGAAAGACCGCTCGTCCAAACATGAACAGAAGAAGTCCATTCCGGATGGTCTCTCTGGCCCTTCGACTTATCGCACCACAGTCGATCGCTTTGATCAACTCGAGCCTCGATCTTTGACGGAAGAAGCAATTAGGAGCCTCGGCCTGCACGATGACGGAAGGGCAGATACACACTCGAATGGTCAAGATATGTCCTCGAGAAGAGCTCGTTCAGACAGAAAAGAGCCCTTCGAAAATTCGCACCAGCAACGTACTGGAGCACAGGAATATGAGCAGTACCGGTCCTTGAGCGACGAGATCATAGTAGATGAGCAATTCTCTCACCGCACTCATCCTCAGAACGCTTTTGGTACATCTTCCCGTGTGCAGGACCAGTTTCCAGGACAGGATCCCTCAAGCTATGCTCGGTCTGCATTTGACCCAAGTCCAGCGCAAGTGCTTGCTCGTACGTATGACGCTGGTGGTCAGACTCAAGCTGAGGAGTATTTTGGCACTATGCCAGTCGAACCGTTACCTCAAGATGGCGTGGGAGCTGCTGCCGAGTACTACTCTCAGACTCCTATGCAGATGTACCAGACTGGAAATCAATATGACGTACCTCATGTTTTGCATGAGGGGGCAGCTCGACTTGGAGCACCTTCTGGGCGATTAATGTTTAATGGATCCTTGCGCCATGATAACCCAATGGGTAATGCCTCGACATATCCCATGGAGGGTGTTTCGGACCAAGCCTACACTTACCAACAGCATCGACCTACGGAAGCTGGCTCGCAGGGACAATCTGCCTCACATAATGCCTATCATCAGCATTCTCACTCCGCGCCTTCCACAGCCATATTAGTTGATCAAGCCTCAGATGCGTCTCTGCCCGGTCTACTAGGCCAAGGTAAGCAAGCTACTAAGGAGAATTCGGCGTACCGAGTAGCTGCAGCGAGCAGGGTGACAGGCGGGGATGGATATCATTCTCATAGCGCGCATCAACAAAACCCTTCTGCTCCGAGAAACAAACTCAATGGCGGCATCCTGCATGACCGCTCCACTACGAGACCGTATACCTCTGGCCACATGGCCACTCAGCATCGACACAAAGGTCCCATAAGCAAGTTCGTGGACTGGTGGAAAGACTACGAAGATGTGCGCAAGATGGAAGAATATACTGAATATATCGGCGTGTGCAGGTATTGCTTTGATCCTCGCTCTAGCGCTACGGATGCTCCTCGGAAGCATTATCGTGGTGGGAGAATCTCGTCCGAGTCTTCGCAAAGACGATCCAGTGATTCGCTTCGGCGCTCATACTCCGGTGGATCTAGAACAAGTCGAGTTGACAAGGATCAAAGATATCATTCGTCTGATAGCGAGCGTCGTAGCAACAAAACTAGCTGGCTGGGTGCGGGTATCGCGGCCTATGGACTGTCCAAGGTTGGAAAGTCTTTGTGGCAGAGCTCCCGTGATTTTGACGACACTCACAGTATCCGATCCGGCAGGAGAGATGATGTCCCAGGAAATAGCGGTCGAAGGAAGATAGTTAAAAACCACTCCCACGCCGAGAGGTCTGATTTGGAGGACTATCGTGCAGTGGCTCAAGGAAAGTCTACTCGCCTGACGACCACTCGGAGTTCGGCAGGCCATTCGCATGACTCTGGCTCGGGATCAAGACATAGTCAGACCGGCCGACGTGACGCCTCCCATCTGGGTTCAATGCCCGTAGCATCTCCAAGCTACAGCCAAGAACGTATTAATGTGCGCCATCCGAGTCCCGAATACGAGCATGTCACAACACATTCGGTTCGACAAAGACCTATGACCCGGTCGAGAAGCCACAGTCCCTCTTTAGGCCAGATTCTCGGCCTCACGGGCGCTGCAAAGCGCAAGTTGGATACTGCTCCGAAGTCGTCTTCGTCGCGACAAGACAACGCGTTCAATGCTAGACGTAGTGGCAAACCCAATTCAAGAAAGAGCAAAGAAAAGGGGTTCTTCAGTTTTGCCAATTCGTCCTCATCATCGGCCAACTCTGACCTTGCTTTTGGTATTCACACTGCTCAAAACGGCAATCTCACAAGAAGAGTGACTGCAAAGAGCTCCGATGAACATCTTAAGGCCACCTTACTAGGCATTGGAGCCACTGCAGCTGCTCTGAATGCTGTTCATAAAAGCAGAATGGGCAGCAAGAAGGAGTTTAAAGCAACACGTAAGGGTGACCGCAACAGTCTGAACCGAAGCAAGCAGCCCAGTAATGACGAAGAAGGTTGGGAGTCGGCTACCAACGACGATGCTGACAGCATTTCATCAGGACTCGCCTTTGGTGATTTTGATGCGAGTGCAAAATCACCTAAACGACGACCCAGCTCTGGCTCAATCACCTCTCAGAGTTCTGGTACCGATAAGTGGAGCTGGCGTTGGCGCCGAAAGTCCGAGAAGAAGGATCACATCAATGGCACATCACTTACTCATCGTGACGAGAGTCTTTCTGGGCGAGAGTCGAGCTTTGCTGCATTGCAGCCACTACAACATGTGCAGCCAGCGCCTATCGATAGTCCAACACAATCTGATGCACGCGGATCATCGTCGATGCCTGGTGCATTTCCTGAGCATCCGCATGCCGTTGAGTATGCATCAATACAGCAGCCATGGCCCATCTTACCCTCGAACACTAAGCTCTTCGATGCTGAGACCTCTGCTCGCTCTGCTCAAACAACTCAGTCGAATTCTCGAACGCCTGCACGCCCCTTTGTACCCACGGGGATTATACGTACCCAATCGAGTCCGGTGCCCAACCACGCTATACGCGACGTTGCGTTAGCTAGCTTAGTAGGAGCTGCTACAGCTGGAATTCTTTCTACCGCCAAGGATAGACCCAGAGATGACAGTCCTAGTAATGTTCGTTTCGAGCTTACCGATAAGCAAGCCAAGAAAGAAGAGCGCCAACAGCGTAAAGTCAATGTCAAAGAGAGCAAAGAGCGTGCTCATGAAGAGAGGAGAGACAAAAAAGAACGTGCCCGCCTCGATCGCGAAAGAGCACTACAAGAAGAGTCGACCCGTCTGGACCATGATTATGCAAGACGGCAAGCTGAAGAAGCAGAGGCTCTGGAGAAGAAGGTAAATCGTCAACGCGAAGAGGCGCTCCGGGAAGAGTCAGACCGGCTTGGACGTGACTATGCAAGACGTCAAGCCGAAGCGCAAGAAGCTCGCGACGCCCGGGAGTTGGAAGCAGACCGCCAACGTGAAGAGGAAATCAAAGAGTTCATGAAACATGCTCTCGCTGAACAAGCTCGGGAAGCCGAACAGAAACGACGCCGCGAGGCCTGGCAAGCTCAGCAAACAATCATCCATGATGGTTCTTCTAAAGATCGTGGAAACTTACACACAGACTTCTCTTACGCCACTCGCCCTTATGAGCCTTCTAATTCACATAGCGGTCAACCCCTGATGGATGATGACTTGATCGATCCGGAGTTTTTCACACGCACACGTAGTCACAGCGATTTGGCTCGGCACGAAGAGCTCGCCAGGAAGGCCGCTGCTAAGGTGGTTGCTGATCTTGAGCAGAGGTACAAAGAGCCTACCCCATCTCAAGCTGAGTTCTTTGCACCAAAGGAACTGTTCGAGCCATCGGAAGGCAAGACCAAGGTCCGCGGGCCTGTTGATGATACCGACTACCATGTGTATCATTTGTCGGGCATTCAAAATACATCCATGCCGACCGGGCCACCACCTCCTTACCAGTATGCAAATTTGCACGAACATCAAGATGAATCAGCCTGGAAGATACCTAAGCTCAACGTGATTGCGCCTACGCCGCCTGTTAGCTACGCAGGATCAGTCAAAGATGACAAATCGCCAACCAGTGCGTCAAGAAAAGCTTTCTGTGAGGCCAGTCAGGAGTCCGAAGCCGATATGGAACCGCATAAGTCGAGCAAAGTCAGCTGGGGTGAAGACCAGACTCGCTTCTACGAGGTCGCTACTCCCGAGTCATCGCGGGAACATGATGTTCTCCAAAAGGATATTCCACACAAGATGTCAGGTCTGCGCGATGAGGACTCTTGCGCTGAAGCAGTCCAGTCCGACGATGGTAGGGGCAGCACTAAGCAATCGAACCGTAATGGATCTCCAAAGGTTGAATATGTTGACCGAATTGCTAGAGAGATTGCGAACACAGCACCGACACGCTTTTACCAGCAGCCATTTGTCGAAAGCGTTTCCGACATCGCGTTCACACTAAACTCGCCAGACGCGGAAGGTGCATCACCAGCACAAGGCTTCGTAGAAGGAGAGGTCGGGTATGCGAGTGAGTCCGAACACATGCCTCATATACCAGGTGGCTTCGATGATCCAGACTTGGAGTCGTACCACCAATACCGAAACGAATCTAGCAAGGGAAACTATGACCCCAATCGCGTAGTGGATGAACTGCAAAAGGTGGTGGAACAACATCGAGACGGTGATCGCATGACCAAGAAGGAAAGAAGAAAGCGAGACAAGGCGGCAAGAAGGGCTATCCCCAATATTGATCCCGGATCATCTGCTGATGAGCGTGACGTTCCGGCACCCTCACATGAGAATGATGATGATCAGAGCGAGCATAACGCCGCATCACAAACGCACAGCCTGCCATCGAGTTACCAGTCAAAGAATGACGGAGAGGAGATTGGGTCTTCTACAAACTATGCCGAGGCTGCAGCACTAGTCGGTGCTGCAGCAATAGTTGGCACCATCACGCAAAAAGATAGGGCTCGATCGCCAACTCGGAGGAAGAGCGAGCCTGAGGATTTCGATCGGGAACGCCCTCGATCATCACACTCGGAGTCTCGTAAAACTGTTTCTCAATCCACGCCTACGTCGCCAGTGTACGAACGCCGTCCGTCCCTTCCCGACCACGCTTTTGACGACTTGGAAATGCTTGCCGGCAACAAGAGACCAAAGAAGTCGAAAAGGAATAGTCTGCTGAACTATCCTGCTGTCGGATCTCCACTTCGATCAACTATGACGTGGGATCAACATGTTGAGCCTATCGCCGCGACTCAGAGCAGTCAACCGTTAGATACTCAGCCGTACGACATCGCCTCTGATGGCGGACAGCCGACCGGGGAGATGAAGACGCTTGCCAGAAGTGACAGCCCGTCCCCCGAGTCGGAACGCGGTACCGATTCTATTGTGTCCGCTCCTGTTGGTGAAGAGCATGTTGACAGAAGGCGTAAGAGTAGAAAGTCGCGCGGATACTCCACATCGCCCTCCAGAAGTGTATCTGTCGCAGTCTCTGAACCTTACGACAACTCTCGTAAGCACAAACGACGATCTCACCGAGATAGCAAAGATTACGACGACACGTTCTCGACAACATCTGCTCGCTCTCGTGCTTCCCACAGCTCCAAGAGAGATAGGGATGACGAGGATGGTAAAACAAAGAAAATGGGTGGGATCTTGAGCCTCTTCCGTCGTAAGACCTCTGATGACATGGCTAGCGATGAGCCAAACCGCTCGAAGAATCATCGTCGCCGTCATAGCTCTGAGCATACGATAGGCGAGGTTGGAGAGGATGCGCCTTCAATCTCGAGATCTCGCTCTCGAGCCGGGATGGGAGCAGACGATGTCTCGTCGAGACATTCGAGTAGCTCCAGACACCGAGGTCAGCACCGCCGAGATGATAGTGTAGATGATCACGATTCTAGGTCCCGAGTGTCGAATTCGTCGCGTCATCGTAAGCATCGCAGTAGAGACACCAGTCGATCACCAGAGAATGAAGTTGACGAGTCACAATCCGCATCTCCGGAGTCAAAGCTCAAACACCGACATCGACCAGCAGACGATGATCTGGATCACGGCAAATCGTCATCTCACGTTGAGAAGACACCTTCAGGCCAAGACCAGTCTTTTTTAGTGGACCGGGTAGAGGATGACGAGCCCATACCTTTACCCGCCGATGGCGTTCCGTCATCATCAGAGGCTCCAAAATCAGCGGGAGGATTGCAAGAACATGGCGTACCACCACATCGTTCCAGCGAAACACCCCTAGATCCGACTGATATACCGCTTCCTGAAAGCGAGGATGTCGAGCTCCAGATTACATTCGACGCTACAGCTCATGGACACATGGAAACCACTAAATATCCTGTGATGGAGGCTCAGATGGTTTCACCGACGACTGGCGTGCTATCACCTCCTCTGGAGCACATGACACCAGCTCGGCCAATCGTTCCGCTCCGTGTCAGCTCTTCCACAGCGGTTCCGTTGAGATTTCGTCGTCCACCAACATCACCTAGCCTTCCTCGAGAACGTTCAGTCAGCTTCAGCTCTTCTCTTGCACACTCCCCGTCGTCGCCAGTCACCTCAAAAGCCAAAAGACCACTGTCCACAGAGTTCGTGCATTCGACCGAATTCAGACCGTTGTACCTACTCGAGCGAACGCGCAAGCCTCAGGATACAGAAATCGAGCAGAACCTGCCAAGCCTGCCTCCAAGTCGTAGCGCAAGCTCATCTAGTTTGCAAAGTAGTGAAGACTGGCAGTCGGCAGCAGAAGACTTCGACCCTAGCGAACAAGATGACCTAAGTCCTCCCGTATTTGATCAGGCGTACAACGATGAGCAGGCAGATGTTCTGGGCTCTACGCAGACCACACCAAAAGCGATAGAATTTCCGAAGAATGTACCAGAGCCTCATACACACGCAGCGCCTGAGTACTATTCGTGGAGTGATATGGAACACGAAGAACAGTTACGTCAAGAAGCCGAGAAGAAGTTCACTGAAGAGTCGACTGAGGAGTTCACGTCATCCGATGTCGATGACGTTCAAACCAAGACAGCCTCCACGGAAGACTCTATTGAGCCACATCTAGCTGCTGAAGTGTTGATAAATCAGGATCCGATGGCCACCGACGTCTGGGGCGAATTGAGCGACGACGAACAACATGGACTACAAACGTTCGGAAACGACGAAGTCAAGACTATGATCGAGCCCGAAGAGACTCAAGTCGACCAAAATCGAACTTTCGCCGCAAAAAAGCGCAAAAGTAAGAAGCTAGCAAAATTGGGAACGTCTTCTGTCCACGATAACAGTGAACCAGTTCGTGAAAACCCGGCAGAGCTTGCGAGACGGCGGGAACAAGACGCACAAGATGCTGTTGACACCTGGTCGACACCGTCTGTGAAGTCGCCGCAAGAGAGCGCTGTCTCTGCCGATATAGTCCCGCTGTCAAAGCTAATTGACTTTTTTGACGAGAAGATGCCCGAGTTGTCTGTAGCGTCGGAGGAAGGCATAGAGCCTGCTAAGCAAAACATTGAGCCAAACTCTCCGTTGTTGTCTCGCAAGAAATCGAAGAAGGGCAAGAAGAAGCAGAACTCTGCCCATCCAGATCGGTTGGTTGATGTCTCATCGAAAGCCTTCGTCGAAACCCAGATGAATTCTGCTCATGCAGATACTGCGACCAGCAAATCACACCTGCACGAAAACGAGGAGCCTCAAACCACGACGCTTCTTGAAGAAAAGTCTGGCAACGATGGTTTGATGGTGCCCAGTTCAGCAGAAGCTGAAGGTAGCCATCCGAAAATCTTCAGCGCCGAGCGAAGAGACGATCTATCACCGGCAGAAGAATCAGACTACTTCTTGTCCAAGGCAGAGCGTAAGAAGAAGAGTAAGAAGGCGAAGAAGGGCGCGCTCTCTATCGTGATTCCTGTTGTTGCTGCGGCTATGCTGGCTGAAACTAACAAGGAGTTTGTGAAGCAAGACAACGAACCCAAGTCTACTTTGGTTGGAGACGGAGACGAAGATCGCCACTCTCAAAATCCTGCTGCAGACAATACAAGCTCTCTACATGCTTCACCGGAGCAATTTAGTGCTGAAGCTCATGATCCTAGTGTCATCACCAGATCCAGTCGACAACTTGACTTCACTATCAAGGCCGAGGCGACCCGAGAGGAGCAAAGAGACATGGCGACAACACCGACTGCAGCAAGCCATCAAGACACTGCTATATCATCAAAACAGACCGATATGATTGCAGGCTCTGAGGTGCCTCCTGGACAAATCACGCTTCCCTTGAACGAAGAAGGCGCACATCATGACACGAAGGATACTCACGATATCCCAAACACGACTCAATCATTCTTTGTTCCCGAGCAAGATCGTGACGTGCAACCCGCGATTCCCGAAGAATCTCTCCCGGACGCAGCTTCAACTAGCAATAGATTGTCTTGGTTCTCATGGCTCCCAGGTGTTAAATCGCAAGAGGCCGATGAACACCGCTTCGAAACGAAAGTACCTGGCGACCATGCAGTCCTGCCGGATGCTCTCTCACAAGAGCCCTTCGAACGTCTTCTGGAACAACCCGCGCACCACCTCGAGCCTTTCGACGAGCCGACCGTCCTTCCTGAAAGTCATAATATTGACTCCATTAAGCATGATGAAATACAAATCGAACAGGAAACGCCCCTTCACGCTCACGCAAAGCCGGAGGAGCTTTCATCAATGGTGGAAGGTGGATTGGCAGACAACACAAAAGATTCGGAAGATCTAACCGCCAAAGAAGAGCCAGACACAGTCCACCTAAGCGAGCGGATTGTGAGTCCAAATTCTGAAGTGGGGATAGAGTCATTTGAGGTGCACGCAAACACATCGCAGAGTGGTCGTCCAGCAGTTCCACCACATCAAGAGCCTGACACTGTTGAAGACCCGTGGGCGATGCCTTCGAAGAAAGCGAAGAAGCCCAAAAAAGACAAGAAGGCGAAGAAAGACGCCTCGTCGTCTGGAACCGCACCGCCATTGGCAACAGACATAGCTAAAGCCCTTCCAGATCTGGAGTCATTCACGGTTGTGAACACCGAGACTTTTGGGAACAGCGATATCGTACGCGTTGGGACGTCCAAGCCCCCAATATACGTCGGTGTGAAGCCTCGCAGTGTTGATGCCACAGAGTTTACTCCACATGATCAAACGACAGCTTTGAGAGCTGAGGAAGGTGCAGCTGAGATCGGCAAACCACGTTCATCGGCAACAGCTGGTAGTACGATGCAAGAGGCCTCGTCTGACGTAGGTCAAAGAGTACAAGCAGTAGCCCCAGTATCCTCTAAAGTAGTCAACGCTTCCCATGATACAGTCGAGAACATGAATGGTTGGATTACGCAAACCGAGTCGATTTTATACGTTGACCCCTCGACAGCGACCGCTGAGGATGAATGGGCTTTGCCTTTGTCCAAACAGAAGAAGAAAAAGGGTAAGAAAGGACAACAACAGGTCGCTAAGCTACCGGAAGACATGTCAAATATTGAGAACCTAGAGATGCAGTCCCCTAAAGAGATGGTTGTTGCAGGTATTACGTCCACTACCTCCGAGATCTCTGGAACACAGGCAGAAAGTTCTTCCTCGCGATATTTCGAAACATCTGCTGGACAGACTCAGGAACAACACTTCGTGACACCCGTCGAGGAAAGCTTGGGGCCACAGTTTACCGTTGTTCCGGATGACGCTACTCGCTCGACTTTACATCAAGACGAGAGCGTCATCCAGCCATTTGCAGTCGGCCGATCCGGGGATGGTCTCGTTCATTCATCTCACGAAAATGTTCCGATCGAACCGATCGTAGATGGTGTTTCGACTACATACCAACTCGAAGAACATGGGGTTGCTGCGCAACATGGGTCCCAGGAGACATTGATCCCTCCCCAACACGATGTGATAGTCCCGGTTCATGTTGACGACTTACATGAGAATCCCAACGACGATTCGGAGTCTGCTAGGACCGGGCGTACTGCAGAGGTTATGCCAGAACTACAGACTGGAAGATCTACTGGGTATCCGCTCATGGAAGACATTATCGTCGCAGCATCTGATCCTGTCACCTACGAGTCCGACCTCACCTCGACGTTACCAGACACAACGATCCCCGACGACGCTGTGTCTGAGACAATCTCGTCCAAGAAGTCGAAGAAAGACAAAAAGAAGGCGAAGAAGACAAGGCAACGTGATCTTGATGTACAGCCATTTCTAGATGAACCAACCGAGCCGACTGTTCCAACAACGGATGAGCAGTCAGTCGAGAGAGAAGTCGAGACAAGAGTCCATGAATATACCCAGATTGAGGACGAAATTTCCATTCCCGAGCAAGAGCCAGTCGTTGGAAAACAGCCAATCCTTCGAAAATTGTCGAAAGAAGAGAAGAGGAAGGCAAAGAAGGCTTCGACAGTGGAGTTAGACTCGCCATTGGAGGGGATGTCTGAGCAAATATCAATGGATGATGACGCTACCGGGTACTTCCCAAAGATGGTCAAGGAAAGTACGGGTCAAAGCTTTGAGCAAGTGAGGCTTCTCGACGAGTCCCTTGAACCCATTATTGCGTTGCTCGAGTCAGACCGAGAAGACCTATCCAGGAGCCAGATTGGTAGAGACCAGACCTTATTGGTCGAGTTCGAGCCGGAGCAATCGACCATTCAGAACGCCGAGGGCCACCACATTGACCGAGGCTTAACTACAATGATCAAGTCTGAAGAGGCTGATCGTGGTACCACCCAAGACTTGTCACTTTCTATACACGATTCCAGCATGCCGAAGGAGTCTGGATCCGAGAGGAATGCAGATCACCTTGAAAGTCTGCCTCCATCTCTAAACGAAACACATCGTCATCCAAAATCTGGCCAGATCGATCCTTCAACTGCCGAATCTCTCATCACAGACTCATCGCACGTACCTCTATCCGGAGATCAAGTAATAGGCTCAAATTCTGCCAAATCAGAGCCTCCCAGCGTTGAAGATCAAGCGCCTACTGTACTTGAGCAACTCATCTTGACGGAGCTCGTCGATGACTCAAACGTAACACCAGAGGTAGATCAGGAGTCTTCCGAGGACAAACCTGCCATTAGTTCCGAAGATCAGACGACTGTCTCAGATAATTGCCATCCAACTGTTGAGTTGTCATCAGACTCTAGAACGACAGAAGAGCTCATAGGAGCACTTGAACTCTCGGAGGGACTGGCCGATCCCACCGAGGAGTTAGTTGGAACAAGCGAATCTGCAGCGACGCAAGAATTTCTCCCAGTAAAGCTATCCAAGAAGGAGAAACGCAAGGCGAAAAATTCTCGGCCGGTCGAAGAAGTATTGGAAGAATCATCCGACACTCAGAGCTCCCGATTTCCTGTTGAGGAGACATCCGAGCGAGTCGTGGAAGACAAAGTGTTCGGAGATGAGACTTCGGCCTTGACGACGGTCGATGGAGAATCTGCTGCAGCTGGCGTTGATCCAGCTGAACAAGATGCGTTCGAAGAAGACCAGTCTTTCACGTTGAAGCTTTCCAAGCAGGCTAAAAAGAAGGCAAAGAAGTCAAAGCGAAAGGATCTTAGTATCGAGCTTGAGCCAGATGACCAGATCGAAGGAGAAGACGCAGAGGATGTTGTTGTTCCCACCCTGGACGACCGAGGGGAGTCTGTCACTGAGACAATCCAGCTGCTTGATTACGAGGTCGTTACCCCGCGTGCCCCCGAGATCGAAGGTATATCACATTTTGACGTCAGTGACAAGCCTGTAGAGGAAGCAACATCCGATTTGATTCCAGAGGCTCAGGATCATATCGAGAGCGGCGAACAGGCAGAGAATAGTGACACAATCATCGCGTCCTTGGGAGCCGCCTCTTCCATGCGGCTCCCAGACGATCCCTCTTTCGAGCCGAATTCTGCAGAAGTAACAAACGATCTGCCTCTCCACGTCACTCAGGCTGCTCCTGAAGTCGACATCGGAAAAGACAAGTCGTTGGGCTTTGAGGCTGTGGGAAGTGATGAAAGAGTTGAGGTACGCGAAGTGCCAATTCTAGGAGAGATTATTACTCCTCGTGAGAATGACTCGTCTGGTGTAGCTTCGGTATCGACTGAAACACGAGAGATTGATGGTGAGCCTATTGTACATAACGTTGTACCCGATGTGACCAGGAGAAGCGATGACTACTTTAGCCCAACTACGAACTCCAAGAAGAACAAGAAAAAGGAGAAAAAGGCAAAGTCGCATCAGCAGGCTACCGAGTCATCAGGTGATGGGGAAGTGCCACAAGACCCGCCAGACGACAGGGCACAATCTGGACCCGAGCCTACGTTAGTGACTCCCGAGATTCAGTATGGAGTCCAGTGTGACACTATGCCTGCGATCGCGGAGAATTTGCCTCCGGGAGTGGTACAAGGAACACCAGCCACAGTTGCCGAAGACGAGTGGACCTTGCCGATCAAACAGTCGAAGAAGGAGAAGCGCAAAGCCAAGAAGCTCAAAGAACTCGAGGAGCCTCTCCTGAGCGGCCAATCGACAGAAGAGGTCCCTCCTTCCATCGAGCCCGCAAGAGAACATATCCCAGACCGTACCTTGCCGAGTGAGGTCGCGAATATTACACTTGAGCATAAAGACGGAGAGCCAGCAGCAGATCTTGATCCCGATAATGGCTGGGGTTTTGTCCGTACGCCAATAAATAAAGAAAAGCGCCAAGCGAAGAAGGCCTTGCCCAATGAAGAACAGCAAGATATCGTCCCTGATCTTGAGGCTGCAAGCGAAGATCTGTTCACGTCCGAGGCTCCGTCCTCGGCCGACAGACAAGTCATGGCCGATGAACCGATCCCGGCCAAGGCATCTTTGCCAGTAACTACAGTTGACAAAGCCGTGCCTACCAATCTTGTAGACACGGTACAGATCACGAACGAAGACACACCGGTCGTGGTTACTGCAGACGAACGGATGATCCCGATCCAACGATCGATGAAAGAAGAAAGCAAGGCTAAAAAGTTGGAGGACTCTGGGGAGCCTTTGTCGACTCAAGAACCCACAGATAGACCCGCAGCCTCCAAAGAGATCGTTGATTACACGTTGGAGTATAGCAAACCAGCCGCTGAGCCCGATATGGCCGTTGAGGATCCAGAGCGAGTAACGGATTCCGAAGTTCATGATGAATGGAACTTTCACCACAAGCCATCGAAGAAAGAAAAGCGCAAGGCTAGAAAGGTCATGTTGAGCGATGCGCAGCAAGACGTCCCATCTGCTCCTGAGACTCCACAAGATGGTATTCTTGCCCCTGGACCCCTTTCTTCGACGACCGATATGACGACTGTGACTAGTGAGCTGATTGAACAGCGTCATCATGTGGTACAAACTACCAATGCCCCATCCGCCATGACGGATGACTCAGCAACCCTCTCTTCTACCCCTGCGGTCCGTCACGTAGCGTTAGCTAATGCAACCGAGCCTGTCTTCACCCCTGTCGAAGGTGATCAGAAGCCCCAGGACATTGACTTCGCAGCCACATTGGCAGCTGGCCTACAGGACTCTGGCTTTGACCCGAGCCTTGTCATTGATGATCCTCTCTTCCATCGACGTGCGTCTCCAACAAATATAGGAGAGGCCGATCCTGGTGAAATCACATCCACAACGACAAGACGGTCTAAAAACCGCGGCGACTCAAGTAAAGCTGCAAGCCCAACGCCAAAGTCCGTCGAAGAGGTTCCCATGACCAAAAGCTTCGGAGCTACTGAAGTTGCTGCAAGCGATGACTTCTCCGATGCCTTGACCGCGGGGCTACTAGCTTCTGGCTTTGCCGCAGATGCCTTACCGAGATCATCCCTCGGCATTGAAGAGGGTCTCCATGAGCCTGACAGTTTCTCCTTGGCAATATCGAAGAGAAAGAAGAAAGGGAAGAAGGGTCGAGGAGCTGAGCCAACGACCATGGAAACATCAACCCCCAATGTCACAATCGATGCGCCTAAGACAGAAGATGAAAGAGAACAGCCGGGATCGACCATCACATCGCCAAAGAGGTTAGCCAACTCTAGTTTCTTTCACACTTCAGAAGTCTCCCAATTTCTGCCGGTCCGTATTGATCACCCATCTCAGTCAGACGGAGCACCAATAAATACAACAATCGTGTCCCCTGCGAAGGCCTTGACATGGGGTCCAGTAATTGATGATGAGCCTGTACCTACCTTGAGAGATGCGTACGCAGCACCACAAGTGGAGCCTGAGACGATCCCTCCGAATGTTCTAACGCATGAACAACAGCCGACGTGGTCTTTCGACAACTTATCAGTACCCGTTACGCAAAAGACACTGGAGCCGGATCAGGGACCAAAGAACGATGATCCTTTTGTTCCCTCTCACTTCGTTCAGCAACAGTCTCAAGAGACTGTCGCAGCTGAGCCAGTCTCCCCGGTGAAGTCTACTACGAAAGATAGAACTTCTTATCTATTCCAATCGCCAGTAGATGTCACGCGACTTGACAGAGTAAACAATGAAGAGCCCAAGGTGGCGGCGGACTCAAACCCTGCTGTCGAAGCGGAACAGCTCCCAGCGCCTTTAAACCCAGGTTCATCAGCAGTGTACCCATCATCCCTGCCGCAGACATCTTCAAGTATCACGGCAGATCCAGCACCTCTTCCACTAAGTCCGTCTGAGCGACCTACGACGCCTTCTGTACTCCCACCAGTACATACTGAACCAGATCAGTCCCCACCTCTGACAAGAAAGAAGAGCATCTATGACTTAGGATCGCCTGGTCCTGGACACTCTACGAAGGCCGCCAGACGCTCTGAGACTCCGCAACAGTCGTTCAGAGACCTTACACAGGCAGAGACGCCGCAAGCTGGTAATACGGATCATTTGAACGGTCAGATCCCAATACTGCGATCCAAAAACTCAATGAGCAACCACTCAGCAGCAAGCATTGAACGGCAAATCAGATCGCCGAGTTCAGTAAGCAACCACCCAGCTGCACCTTCCCTAAGACGAATCAACAGAAGCTTGTCAGGTGACTTGAGGGTGGCTAGCAGGAGGCGGGGAGATTCGGCGCATGGACCACAAACAACAATCACCATCGAACCTCCCCCCACACCGCCCTTACAAGACGAAGAGTTCAACGGCCACGGTCCTTCCCGCGCCCCAGACATGGCAAACATATATGTAAGTAGACGATATACCTCTCTCGAGTTATATACTTAATGCTAACGAAGTCATAGGAGGGCTGGGGAGATGTCCGCAGTTCGCCAGTCATGTCTCCCACGCGACCGCCTAGCATGCGCAAACGTCAGAGCATGCATATTCTTGACCTAGAAGCTAAAATCGACCAACTCGCTTCCGAAAATCGTTATTTACAGGACGCTGTCGACCAAAGCATACCTAGTCATCTATCCAGCGGCGACAATGTGGATTTACAAGACATGCTCAAAACCCGTGATTTGCAATTACAAGAAAAAGACGCCGAGATTCAACAGATTCGGTCTCTGCTTGAACCCCTGCAGCGAGAGATTGCCAAACTTACAGATGTGAACAACAATCTTTCAGAAGTCAATCGCAGCTTCACAGCAAACAACGATATCCCTTATGCCACTCTGCAGAGCGAACATGCAAATGCTCGTAAACAATTACAACACACGAGTCAGGAGCTCGATGGCCTCAAGAAACAGCATCGTGAGCTTAGTGACAACATGGAAGACATTGTACGACAAGAAATTGCCAACGCCTTAGAGGACAAAAATGCGGAGATTCGAAAGCTGCGTGAAGAACTGAATATGGCCACTCAGCAGATTCGACTGCTTCAAAGTGAGATCCTCGCTTCCAGGGGAGATAACTACCTAACAACACGCAACGAGGACTACTTCGATACTTCGTGTCAGAGACTTTGCCAACATGTCCAGCAATGGGTCCTGCGCTTCTCCAAATACTCTGACAACCGCATGTGTCGTCTGACCTCCGACTTGACAGACGAGAAGATTGCAGCTAGGCTCGACAATGCTATTCTGGACGGATCCGACGTCGACAAGTTACTCGGAGATCGTATTCGTCGACGCGATGTCTTCATGTCTGTTGTTATGACAATGATATGGGAATACGTGTTTACCAGATACCTGTTCGGTATGGATAGAGAACAGCGACAGAAGCTCAAGGCATTGGAGAAGATATTATTCGAGACCGGCCCTCCACGCGCTGTCGCGCAATGGAGAGCAATTACCTTGACACTACTATCTCATCGACCTGCGTTTGCAACCCAGCGCAATCTGGACACCGAGGCTGTAACTCAAGAGATCTTCAGTGTCTTATCTGCGCTACTCCCGCCTCCTGCTCAGCTTGAACCGCAGATCTTGTCATCACTGCGAAACGTACTTCGTCTAGCAGTCGAGCTATCGATTGAGATGCGTTCGCAGAAAGCCGAGTACATCATGCTACCACCTCTGCAGCCAGAATACGATACCCACGGGGATCTTGTCCGAAAGGTCCACTTCAACGCCGCTCTCATGAACGAACGCTCAGGTGACTTCAACAGTAACGACGAACTTGAGCGCAGCCAAGCAGTCGTCAAAATCGTGTTGTTCCCTCTTGTCGTAAAGAAGGGTGATGATTTTGGCGAAGGAGAAGATGAGATCGTGGTCTGTCCTGCTCAAGTACTCGTTGCCGGATCGAAACAGGGGAAGAAAGTTGTGAGGGTCTTGAGCGGTGCTATGGATATAGATAATCCGAGAACCAGCAATCATAGCATTATTTCGGGATTGGAGAGTGGGAATATGATTTGAGGAAGACAATTGGAGGGAAGGAGAGGCTAATGAGCACACACACCTAGTTTTCCGGGCCACACATTCTTACGGGGGCATGATCATGATCACGATTATGACGAGGCGGTTTGACGGTCAAGAATGCAGATACCTAACTAATACTCAAACCAATTTTTCTAAGATGCTGTGAGAATTTGATTGAGCGTAAATCAAGTTGACTGGCCATTTGGCACACCTTCAAGCCCCAGACATGGATGTCTAGCGCTCTGTGTATTTGCAAAGGCATCTTTCCTTCGAGCGTGGAGCTTGAAGGTTCAACTGGGCACCAGAGAGCAAGGAGATTGAAGTCAAGGGTTCTGTCGGCAGCACCTTCGATCTCAGACCCCGGCGAGGTTCGGCGACTGGCGGTATCCGATGCGCACAGAACATCTCGCGCCAGACTTTGCCGTTTTCGTCATAGGCCTCCAACCTCCTCCCATCGATCCTCGCAAGCATCCTTCAGCAAGCATATCGGGCACCTCTTGGACACGAGCCTTGTCGATCTTCTCCCGGTGTGCTAATCTTTGTCACACTCATTGACTCTCAACGATCAGAACAGAGCGACAACGAGCTGTAGAAAAGCATGGTCACACCTTGCACTGTTACGACTAACGCAGGGAGTCGTTGAAAGGATGTATCTCGACACTATCGCTCCAGAGCTAGAAAAGCTCATGCCTTGAGAGAGCCACACACGTGACCGTCTTTCGCACGTGGAGGCTGCGTCGATTCCAACAGACTGGAATGCGCGGAGCATATCTCTTCTTTGCCGCGGTCGGATAACTGAGCAGGCATTTCCATCATCGTTTCACCATACCAGGCTCAGCCTGCTGATCGTCATCGGGTCGATAAACACACCAAACCTTCCATCATATCACTCTGCGAAGCTTTGAGGAGTTTGGTACATATGATGAATCATTCAAGAGCAATCAATTATGGTTACTGGCTCGATCGACCGATGAAACTGGTTTCTCAGATATTCTTGCTCAAGATACGAACCCTATCCTCCGAGCGTTGCCAATATGAAGATATCTCACTCGTCTCTTTTGATCAGCAGTACCGGCTCAATGTACTCGTGTTTGCCCTTGACGACGTAGTATATCCCAGCAACCAACAAAACCCCACAGAACATCGTTGATGCCCAGTTCATATCAGGGGCGGTGACCGGTTGGGCCAGGGGCCAAAACATGAAGAACCATACCGGTAGTAGACAAACTACCGCGGTGATGTTAATCCACAAGCCTGAACGTCCTAGAGACCAGCGTCGACGCGGTAGTGGAGCGCCATAGAGCCGTCTCCAAATCAAAGCACCGATGGCAATGATATACGATGTCAGAATCGCGACTCCTCCAAGTGAATTGATAGCGTTCAATGCTGCGGAGCTGCCCAAGTTGATACATGCGATTAGAGAGGTCACTACCAAAGACACACTCACCGAACGGATGGGAATGTTCCAACCTGGAGTCACCTTCGATAGCCATCTGGAGCCTGGTAAACCGTGGTCGCGAGCGAAGGCCCATATCTGCCTCGAAGCTGTAGCAACTTCGCTGATACAGTTGCACATGAGCACGATGATGACAATCGCACACATGACATTGGTAGCACCATAGCTATTCGTGGCGTTGAAGAAAATCTGGATGAACGGCTCGTTTGTCGGCGAAGCAGCGATCATTTCAGGATCTCCGAGCGTGAAGCTCAGAGTTATGCCCATGATGAATGCCAGCAGAGCATTAGGTCCAACAGACCACATTATGGCGCGAGGTAATGTTATGGACGCATCTTGAGTTTCTTCGGCTGCGAGTTTTTAACGTCAGCGTCAATTGACGAAAAGACAGATTCAGTAACTTACCCATGTGTACAGAGCACTCAAATCCAATCAAGACCGACAAGGGGCTTGCAGACATGCCGATCATTGCCGAAATACCTGTTGATGGCCATCCTCCGTTGTTCGTGACATTCATGAGGGCATCGTACGGATTGCGACGAGGTCCCATGACCCAAAGAGGTATGATAACGGCGAAGAAGCCAAGCATATGTAAAAGCAAAGCTACCCCTTCAAGAGCTGGAAGTTGCTGAGCCAGAACAGTGTTGAACATGATCGCAAGAATCATGACCGCAATTGTGATCAAGGTCACATGCCAAGGTCTAGGCTCATAGCTCTCGACGTTCAAAATAGCCAGACCTTGCATGATTCTTGCGATCATGTAACAGACTCCTGCGAGATAGACTTGCCATCCTGTGGCACACAACCAGCCTGTCATATAGCTGAGGGGCTTTCTCACGCTTAGCGGCGCGAATTCCGACACCCAATGGTACCTGGAATGGTCAGTATAAACATGCACTGAAACACTGAAACCTCGAACCAACTCACTGTCCGCCACTTGTGGGCGACATCGAAGCAAGTTCCGCGATACTGGCGTATACCAAAAGCATTATGATTGCCACCACGATGAACCCCCAGAAGAGGATAGGCGTCCCTCCATCGATCAAGACAAAGCTCCAGAGTCTAGAAACCGAGGTCAGAAACGCTGAAGTATGACTTGGTGAATTGATCTCACGGAAGCATCAGTTCCCATGATGACATGACAGTGCTAGCAAACCCTAGCATCGTCACGAATCTGAAGTTGCGCTGCTATGATCAGTAGAGTGATTGGGAGTCTACGAGGTCACACTTACTCGCAGCTCTTGTGGTCTCCCGAGCATAGCCATATCCTTTTTATCCGTATGTGTACCTCTGAATCTTGGCGGTACTGTCGCAACGGCTGCGTTCTTCTCTCCATCAGAAGCGAAACTTGGCGCGATGTTGATGCCTGGCTGTTTGAGATACACCATTGTTAAGCGTCCTGCTCAGTCGGACAGCACCCGAGGAATTGATCTGAGTGTTCGAAGGAAGTCATCAGATGAAGATGATTAGTTTGTTCGGACATACTGTTTCTGAAGTACACGGCGCGTGAGCCCAACGCCATGACATGAACAGATATTCCGAGTCAGCTTTGAGGCATATGAAGCAAGCCCTACCATCACAAAGGAATGGGGACATGGAAGTGAATCAGAAGATTGACTCATCATCCACTTTGTTGACTTTTACAGTGCGCAATCAAACGATCTTCAAGGATACGTCGGAGTAACATTTTGAGCGTTGACCCTGGAGGAGACGTCAAAACCAGGTTCAACGGCAATATCTAGCGATGCCGGGGATTCTCCAGTGTTTCATGGGCGGATCCTGGATCATTGCGAATATGTCCCGGCGGGTTCGCTCCGCACGGGGAAGGTGATATAAAAGGAAGGGATCATCTCGGCCCGCGAAGTCAGACAGGCTATTGATGCCCGAAGGAAGGCAGGGCAAACTTACTTTACCAGACAGGATATCTTATCACCGACCACCTTGCCAACTAAGAACCATGTCATTGCTTACGAACATCTAAGCTTTTGAGCCATATATCTGGTGCCACGAGCCCTAAGAACTTTTGCGGATCATCTCTTGCGTCGAGATGAGGTGCAGAGTTCTTTCCGTGTATGTGATTGCACGCCAGTGGTTTGCGGGACGTTATAATAGTGACTTGTAGCTTTTCTAGTAGGATGGCATTACCATCCATTCTGAAATGTCTAACTACCACATGTCGGAAGTCAGGCATGCAGCTTATATCGTCCCGCCTGGAAGTTCGCGTCCATTCGCGGTAGTCAGTGATGTTGATCATTCGGCATGGGTCATCATCGCAACTGCCTTGGGTCTTTCGTGGAGCCTGACCTTTGGAGTGATGAGGGTTATTGTTCGAGCTACTACGAGACAGAGACATGGCGTTGACGACTATGCTCTTGCGGTGTCGACAGTATGTTGCGATGGTACCTGATCGTTTTTTTCAATGAATACTCACAACTACTATCAGTTTCTGACTATCATCCAGTCATCAATCATACTTGGAGCATGTGCGAACGGTCTTGGCAAATCAATCACACTTCTTACGCCAGATGAGATTGAGAAGGTGCAACAGGTAGGTAGTTGCCTATCTGATACAATCAAGTCCGAGGCTGACTTGGAGAAACAGATGACATATGCGGGAATGCTCTTTTGGATCATCGCCATTGGCGCATCCAAGTTGTCTGTTGCACTGTTCCTGCTCCGCCTAACACCAGTCTGTACGCATCGACGTGTTTATCAAACATTTATGGCTATCCTTTCTATCTGGATCGTTGTATATGTCTTTGCGTTTGCGCTTCAATGTGACATGTCTCGACCATGGATCACAATTGGAGCCAGTTGTCCAGGAGTTGTAAGTCTGTCCTCCATCCTTGTCCGAGTGAGGCTGCTAACAATCGTGTAGTATGAGCGATGGCAAACTTTCTGTGCCTTGGATATTATCTCTGAGATCTCATTGGTCTGTATGACGGTCTACTTGGTCTGGGATATCCAAAGCTCAACCTCTGCCAAAGCCAAGATTGTTTTTGCATTCAGCTTTCGTCTTCCGTAGGTCGTGCTCCAAGCTCCTAATATTTTATTCATTTTTTGAACTGACGATCCTTACTAGTCAAATCATCGCCATCGCCTATCGACTCAAGACCTTCCCGACCGCCGGCCTCCTCGTGAATCCGACGCTTTCCGAGAGCGAACTGGTCGTCTGGACGCAAACAGAACTCAACTACTCTCTCATGTCAGCCACGATCCCATGTCTTCGCACTTTCGTCAGCAGTCTTTCTACAAACTACGGCTCCATTAGAAATGCAAAGTCCTCTGCTGCGTTCAACTACGAAAGCACTATCGCAAGTCGTACTCAAAGCGAACCTTCAGGTCAAAGCTTCCAGATGACCACTTTGAATTCTGTGGAGCAGGTCCAGACTTCTACGCATGTACCCGCTACTCTGCAGGAAGAAGAAGGGTATAGCTACGACATTGGGGGACCCACTACACATGATACTGCTAGTGTAAAGGCCAAAGAAGTGGTCAGATTACCAAGTATGCAAAAGGACAACGAGAGTGCAGACAGGACAAGTATCGGAAGCAATGACAGTCAAAGGATGATTATTCAAAAAGAGGTGACTTGGACCTTCGAGAGGAACAAAGAGTGGTAAGAGATATATTTTCGTACTTAGAGTCAATCTAGACTGACATGAACGTTGATAAACAACGAATGACCACGTTACATGTTAAGACCACTGGTATGTTGACCACTACACTACCACGGCTTTTTTGCTTATGATTGGACCTTGAGGAGGTTCGACATATAGCTTGGGGTCTCTGCGGGGGTTAAGTAAGTCTGGTGACGAGAAAGGGGCGGGATTGAGAGAGTCTCAAGGTGTCAGCAGGGGGAACGACGGCCAGGGCATCATGCAACCGCGAGGCAAGGGCGTATCCTGCTTGAATTATCGCTGTAGAGATGTGCAATTACTTTCACCTGTGCAGACCACCTCAAGGAGAAGTAGAAGGAAAGTCTTTCTCCTTCAACAGCGTGTCGGATTTTGCAAAACATCATGCCTTGTTACAGCCCCGACCGGAGCTCCAAGCCAAAAATGCGGGAACATTTGTTACGAACAAAGCAAAAGAAAATCGAACCAAGGACGTACAGACAAGCGAAAAGACAATCAGAACAGATGAACCGTAGTGTTAATGGAAGGAGGCCCTCAGACACAAGCACATACCACTTGTCCTTTGCAGAAGAAAATTCAACAAAGACACAAAGTAAAACAAGAAGAAACAAAGCATCGAGGCCTAAGCTGCAGAGACAGGAGTAAATCATCGTGATGAAGTGGAAAATAAAACAAAGAAAATGGGTAACGCCATGATATTTTTGTCGTGGCGGTTATCCGTCAATAACTCTAGCATGGCGTTACCAGAATCACGGACAGGAATTGAACCTGCGACCTCCCTGAAAGTATGTACATCTCTACGGGTGTGATGATCACTACACTGCCATGGCTAGTCTGTTGGTAGGAGACGGACATTTCTTGACCATGTGGCTTGATTAGGGTGGACGATGGGCGGGTGATAGGAGTTTGAGGGAGTTTCTGAAGAAGGCAGACAGCAGGACCTTGGTCATAGGATGAGAAAGATAGAGAAATGAAAGTGGAAAGATCAGATACTGATTCTTGCAGGGTTAAAAGGGGATCATAAGGGGATGATACACAAGACCTACCTTTCGGCGATTCAAGACGCCTTACACCTCTAGAAGAGAAGCTCACCTTGTCGAAGCCAACACATACATGTAAGAGGTAAATACAATCTCGTTCCTGACATGATATTGTTATTTATTCATTCTTTTGGGTAGTTGTTATGCTATGTCTTCATACCTACATACAGATGACGCTCACAGGCGACTAGATGCGGCACCCTGCCCCTTCGGCATCTTCTTATCCACTCCCAAAGCTTCGACGTCTTTGGGCTTGTAGTAATGTGGCGCAACTTCTGAAAGCCACTCTGGTTGCAGAGGAAAGCATGAACGCATGAACTCTTTGCTCGTGAGAACCAGCTCATGGTAAATCGTCCATTTGGGTCGATTGCCGGTTGCCGCCAAGACCGAGGAAGGATGTAGCCATGTAGTCTGATTGTTCTTGACAGTGCGATAGCTGTCTCCTCCTCTTTGGATCCGAGCGGCGTTGGGGAAGAAGCCTGCAGTCAATGCTTTAAGAATTGGTGCGATGTTGTTGGCTCCGCACGAGCTGACCGTCACTTCGACACGATCGCAAAGCTTCGCCAATTGATCGCGCACATCTCTTGCACGTGTAAGACTGCGTTGTTGTAGGAAGTTCTCTTTTGCCCAGACTTGCGAGAAGTCAGAGTCAACCCATTGGTTCCAGATGTTGAGATAGGTGAGATGATCGCCACCATCTTTAATTGTGAATCGTTCTCTTGTCGTGTCTGCTTGTGTCTTCTTGTCTTTAGGACGGTAGAAGAGCGCGCTTGCTTCGCCAAGCATTGAGACGATGGACAAGACTTCCTCCACACAGCCTTCCTTGTCAGCCGCAAGGATGGCCTTCGCCAGCAGAGGATCTGTTGGGAACTCGGCCATTTGACGACCAACACGCGTAAGCTCTCCTTTGTCGTTCAAAGCTCCTAATGCGTACAGTTGTTCTAGTGAACGAATGAGCATATCAGGCGATGGCGGATCCAAGAACTCAAAGTTGAGCAGATCATTAATTCCCAGTGACTTTAGAAGCAAGACGACACTTGTGAGGTTGGTTCTCTGAATTTCAGGTGTCGTTGATTCCGGTAAGTCGTTGTAGAACGCCCATTTCGTGTACAAGCGGAAGCATTTACCAGGTTGTGTACGTCCTGCTCTACCTGCACGCTGATTGGCAGAAGCACGAGAGATAGGCACAGCAACAAGACTCTCCATATTCGTGGCTGGGGTGTATCGGTTCTCTTTGACATATCCAGGATCGATGACGTAAACAATGTTGTCGATTGTCAAACTCGTCTCGGCGATGTTGGTAGCCAGGACGACCTTGCGAACTTTAGGGGGTGTCGGTTCGAAGATTCGATTTTGCATATCGGTTGGCAAGTTTGCATAGATCGGGCATATCATTAGCTCGCCAGCAGCAGCTCCAAGTTTTCTGGCAGTTTCTTGCAAGGACTCGTTCGCTTGCTCAATCTCGTCTTGACCAGTCAAGAAGACCAGAATATCGCCAGGCATAGGCTGTGAAAGGTGAATTTGGAAGACCGTTGTGATAGCAGCTGACAGATAGTTGGCCTCCGGCTGCATGCTGTAATTCATTTCGACGTCGAAAGTTCTTCCAGGGATGTTCATGATGGGAGCGTCATCGAAGTAAGATGAGAATTTTTGTGCATCGAGGGTGGCAGATGAAATCAGAATCTTCAAATCTGGTCTGCCACGCGCGATATCCTTGATTAGACCGAAGAGAATGTCGGTGTGCAGCGTACGTTCGTGAGCTTCATCAATCATCAGGGCAGAGTATTTGCCGAGATCTGGCTCAGTCAAGAACTCACGCAGCAACATACCATCAGTCATGTATTTTAGTATAGTCTTGTCACTAGTCGCGTCTTCGAATCGGATAGAGTAACCAACCTCGTCGCCAACCTTGACGCCCATTTCTTCTGCAACACGAGTCGCGACCGACATAGCAGCGACACGACGAGGCTGTGTGCAACCTACCATCTTGCCGTTACCAGTCATACCGTGTTCATGCAGATATTGTGGCAGTTGGGTAGTCTTTCCAGATCCAGTCTCTCCAACAACGATCAAAACTTGGTATTTGTCGACGGCAGCCAAGAACTCGTTGCGGTACGTGTATACAGGCAAAGTCTTTCGCTTCTCCTCAATGGTTTTTGCTTTCCTCTCAGCAGCCACAAGCTGTTGAGTAAGTTGTCGTTCCTCTTGGGTTTGTTGTTCCATGCCTCCAGCCATGACACGGTCGGTCATCCACTGGATTTGTTGATCCTGGTCGAAAACATATTCATAGTCGGCCTCATTCACACGCTCGGAGACCATGATTTGAGCCTTTGTTTTTGCGAGCTGCTCGTTCTCCCATTCTTCATGTTCTGTGACGAAGCGTTCTCTCCCGTACTCATCTCGATCGACATGACGGCTGTTCAAGGCATCTGCCTTGGCTTTCCGGTTCATCTTCCCCTTTTCAGTGATATAGTCATCCGGGAGTGCATAGCCTTCGAGGTGGTCGTCAATGCGCAGACGTTCCTCTGCAATTTCTAAAGTTCTCTTGTTCTTATCGAACTCAGCCTTCTCTTGGGCTGTAAGAAGGGGATTTTCGCGAAGCTCCATCTGCTCTTCAGCTACCTGCTTGCGGAGTAGAGCGAGCTCCTGAGCCTCTCTTTTCTTGAGATAGTCTTGACGAGAGCGTAACCTGATGTCTTCGAGTTGTGCCTTTCTCTGATTCGGGTCATCGGCCAGCGCACGTCTCGAAGCCGAATCGTGTTTTGAGCGATCTTCGACAATCTTCTTGGTACCGCGTTCATCCCTCTCTTTCAGACGCTTTTCGAAAGCGATTCGTTCCTTGCGATCGCGTTCCTCTGCGTCTTCAGGCGTAGCAGAACGGCGGTGTGGGGAGGCGGAGCCATCATCAAGTCTGACCCGCTTCGATGCCGATGGACGCGGCTGGTCTCCTTCTTCTTCCGCCTCTACCTCTTCGTATTCCTCGTCGCCCCAACGGTCGTCGAAGTCGGCATTGTCTCGTTGGCGCAAACGTTTTGTATGGTGATCTCGGCGGTCGTGACGGTCCGAGCGGTCTTTCTTTTCCTCTGTGCGATCGCGGCGGCGAGATGGTGGCGGAGCAGATACAGGCTGGTCGTCTTCGACCTCCATGTCGAGCAGAGCATATCTCTTCTTTGAATCTTTTTGGGCGGCATCCTTGGGTCGGGAGCTCGAAGACTTGTCGGCTCTTGGAAGGCGGGCGTACAGTTGGTGACTGAAAGTTCGTAGATCCTTTTCGTCTGCATCTATCATGACCTGCAACTTGTCGTGAAGCTGATCCGGATTCTTGACTGAGCTCGCTGTCTGCTGAACAAAGTCGATGATCATGTTCTCCGACCCACCCACCAGCTTGATCAAGTTGTCCGAAATGAACGTCCGTACGTCCATGTTGAGGTGATGCAGGATCCGGGATCCGGATCAGAAAGTTGCAATCGTAGGAAGAAAGATGTTTCGGAGATCAAGGTACCTGTGGATTCGCGAACAAGAGAAGGCCGCCAAGCCGTGCGTCACTTTCCAGTCGTGTCAATCAATCCTCTCGCATCCAAGTCAGGTTGTAGCGAACAAAAAACATCAATCAGCGGCGAATAAGTCAAGGTGACGAGACCGAGCTATTCTCAATTCAATGTGCGAAGGTCAAGGCACGTGTTGATTGCCTGCACACCACCTTGATTAGTGCCAAGGCCAGGGCATACCAAAGTCCCAAAGTTGGAGCTCCGAATCGACGACGCGACCATCTTCGGTGTCATCAGCCATGTTCACTCTCACGCCGCTGTTGGGCGCGCAATCTGAGTCTGCTGCGTCGCAATCGCTGCTGGAGCTGGATGGAGGCGTCAAGATCCTCATCGACGTGGGCTGGGACGAGTCCTTGGACGCCGACAAGCTGGTTCACATTGAGCAGTAAGCACTTCCCCCTGCTGTATGTAGCAATGCATTGACGCTATGGATAGAAATGTGTCGGCAATATCCCTCATCCTCCTCACTCACCCAACGCTGAACCACCTGGGCGCATTCGCGCATTGCTGCAAACACATCCCGCTCTTCTCGTCCATTCCCGTCTACGCTACCACCCCTGTCGTCTCACTCGGTCGCACTCTCATCCAGGACCTGTATGCCTCAGCTGCCCACCAGGCCTCCATCGTGCCTGCCTCTGCCCTCGCCGAGTCGCTGTCCAAGACCCAAGTCCCTGCCAACTTCCTGCTCCAACCTCCCTCCACCGACGAGATTGCCTCATACTTCTCTCTAATCAACCCTCTCAAATACTCGCAACCTCATCAACCTATTCCCTCACCATTCTCTCCGCCGCTCGGAGGCCTCACCATCACCGCCTACAATGCCGGTCACACTCTTGGTGGAACTATCTGGCATCTGCAACACGGCCTCGAGTCCATTGTCTACGCCGTTGACTGGAACCAGGCCAGAGAGAATGTTTTGTCAGGTGCTGCGTGGCTGGGCGGTGTTGGTGGTGGTGCTGAGGTCATTGAACAATTGCGCAGGCCCACAGCTCTGGTCTGCAGTACAAAAGGTGCCGATCGTTCACATCTATCCGGTGGCCGCAAGAAGCGTGACGATGCTCTGCTTGCTCTGGTCAATCAGACCATCTCGAATGGCGGCACCGTCCTGATCCCTACCGACTCGAGCGCTCGTATGCTGGAACTGGCTTACATCCTCGAACACCACTGGCGACAGGGAATCAACGGACCCAATCAAGAGCTGTACAAGAACACAAAATTGGCCTTCGCTGCAAAGTCCGCCTCTTCCACCCTCCGATATGCTCGGAGTATGATCGAATGGATGGACGACGCTATTGCACGTGAAATGGAAGCTGCTGTCCAGGGAAAGTCGGACAATACACAGAGAAACCAGACCGGTCGTGATGAGGATACGCCCTTTGACCTAAAGTACCTCAAACTCGTCGAAAAGAAAACTCAGTTACATCGCATTCTGGATTCTGGAAAACCTGCCGTCATCCTAGCAAGTGACAAATCACTCGAGTGGGGCTTCTCTAATGATGCTATTCGCAAGATCTGCAATGATCCTCGCAATCTTGTTGTATTGACAGAAAGAGCTGCAAATCCATCTCCGGAAAACAAGGGTATTGGTCGCTTCTTGTGGGAGTACTGGCGCCAACAGGTCGAGTCCCGGGACGAAGATGTAAACGTTGTTGAGACATCAGGTGCTGAGGCAGAAGTTCGTAACCTGGGTGTTGCCCGTCTTGAAGGCGACGAGAACCTTCTCTATCAGCAATACCTTGCACGAAGACGCCAAATGCATAGCACCCTACAAGGTGACAATACCTTGTCGAAAGAGAATGCAGCAGAAATAGCCGACGACGGTTCCTCAAGCAGTTCCGAATCTTCTGATGAATCCGAGAACGAACACCAAGGCAGAGCTTTAAACATTTCTGCAACCATGACACACCGAAGGAAAGTAGGTCTGACGGACGCGGAACTCGGCATTAACGTACTCTTGCGACGCAAGAATGTTTACGACTACGACGTGCGCAATAAGAGAGGGCGTGAAAAGGTCTTCCCCTACGTCGCCAAACGCGGTCGAGCAGACGACTTTGGTGAAATCATCCGACCTGAAGAATATCTTCGTGCGGAAGAGAAGGACGACACCGAAGGTCAGGACGCAGCAGAAGCCAAGACAGAGACTGCTGTTGGACAAAAACGCAAATGGGACGAGGTCGCACCCCGTGCGATACAGAATGGACGAAATGGCAAGTTCCCGGACAAGAGAAACAAGAATGACGACCGAGAAGCTACAAACACGAGACCGTTGGCAAACCAAGATCATGACATGAACGGAGATGTGGCCAGTGAGTCAGAGGAATCTGATTACGAGCCTGAAGAGTCTTTGCCAGAGGGTCCCCTCAAGGCTATCTTCACCAAAGAATCGTTGCAACTCAATCTGAGGATAGCTTACGTCGATTTCTCTGGTCTGCATGAGAAGCGTGATCTGCAGATGTTGATACCCCTCATCCGACCAAGAAAGCTGATTTTGATTGCTGGAGAGGAAGCCGAGACTTTGGCACTCGCCGAAGACTGCAAGACTCTACTCGCATCTGCGGAAGGAAATGTCGTTGACATCATGACTCCTGTCATTGGCCAGACTGTAGATGCCAGTGTCGACACAAACGCATGGACGCTAAAACTCAGCCGAAACTTGGTCAAGAAGCTTGCATGGCAGAACGTCAAGGGTCTTGGTATTGTGGCTGTCACAGGTCGTCTTGAGGCTGTGCAGAAGCTGCTCGCCCATGCCAATGGCAATGGAGATGAGGTTACGAAGAGGAAGAAGCAAAAGATGATCGAAGGTGACAACGAGACCGACGCTCCTGACGCTGCTGATGACACTGAAATTGAGACTGAGCCAGTTCTTGATGTGCTGTCAACCAATCTATCAGCCAATAACCAAATCACGACCCAGCCACTGCATGTCGGTGACCTTCGTCTTGCAGACCTTAGGAAGCTGATGCAAGCTTCAGGTCACGCAGCTGAATTCAGAGGTGAAGGTACACTGTTGGTCGACAGTGCTGTTGTGGTCCGCAAGACTGCCAACGGCAGAATCGAGATTGAGGGAGGCAATTACATGGCATCCTCTGGCCGCCGTGAAAACTCATTCTTTGCGGTCAGGCGTAAGGTGTACGAAGGCTTGGCCGTGATTGCAGGTGGTTAGGTAAAAGTCTGCTGTAAGATACCCAAATTCATTATTTCCAGATCACCGAAATTGCTGAAGACATAAGAATGCACGTGTTTGGCCGTGCATTTCGCTCCTGCCTGTGATCTTGACTGAAACTTGGGTTTGGTGGCATTGGGAAGTGCCGGCGCGTGCTGAATAAATCAAGCTCCAGACGAAGTCACATCACAGAACAAGCACATGCTCTCCTGATTACCACACACTGGCCTATACCAATGACAATGATCTTGCGCTTTCACACGACTGACCAGCGCATGTTCATCGCATGATCATTGGCACGCGCCGATTGTCTATAAGACGCCGGTCCTTTTCACACTTCCTCCCTCACCTCAACATCAAACTTCAACACCACTTCTTCAAAGTCCCATCTGTTTTGAGTACCAGTACTCAGACGCAAACAGAGCTCTGATCAAACAACATCTTCATGTGCAATACCTCACCTTACACTTGGAAACCACACAGCTATCAACCCGTTGACCCACCACCACCTGCACCAGTGCCAATGTTCTTCGCCATGCCTATCTTGATCGCTACTCCCTGCCTTGCTGTGCCTGTCAAAGATGTGCCTCTCAAGGGCATGACAGTCGCTGGTTCAGAAACTGCAGCAAAGGGCAAGGAGATGATTGTCACAAAGACTTGCACTACAGTCAAAGGTTCTTCTTCCAAGACTGTGACCAAGACACCTGCCAAAGCTCCTTCAAAGGCACCCAGCAAAGCTTCATCCAAACCTCCTTCAAAGGCTCCATCCAAAGCCTCTTCAAAGCCTCCATCAAAGGCTCCCTCAAAAGCCCCTTTATCAGCCAAACCCCCCTCCAAGCCCCCATCATCTGCGGCTGCAAAATCAACCACATCCAAGAAATCCACAATCGTCACAGCCACAAAGTCCACCGCCGCCGTGGTCTCCAAGACCGTTGTCTCGGTCAGCACAAAGGTGTCTTCCACCTCACCCTCCGCAGCTCCCTCCGCACCTGCCTCCGACAAAACGACAGCATCCCAGAAAGCAGCACGTGTCAAGGCCATCACAGCACCTTCCCCTCCCCTCCCCGGTATGAAGTACATCTATCCCAAGTATAACACCTGCATCCACATCATCCTACGCTGCAAAGTCTGGGAGAGCTGCGACAAGGACTTTACTTGCAAGACCTTTTTGGTGCCTACCATTCTCTCCATCAATGAGTTGATTGAGCAGTTGATTGGTAGAGAAGGAGAAGTTTGCAACGGATGGGCGTTGACAGAGGTCATGGAGAAGGGAGATGGCGGCTTTGAGAAGGGAACGAGTGTGGAGTTTGGAGGGGACAAGGCGGGAGGAACGTTGAGGGCTGTGGGTTGGAGTGAGAAGAATGGGGGTGAGAGACCGCCGGTTTGGGTTGTGTTGCATCAGGGTTGATGGGGAGGAAGTTGAGGGGCAGAGGGAGGGGTTTGTGTCTGTTTTCTTGTGTCTCTGTTTCTTGATCTCTACTTGAGGAATTTTTGCTGGAGGATCTTTGCTTTTCTTGCTTTCGGATTTTGCTTTGATGGAAGGATCTTGTACCTTCAATGACTTGAGAGATTCCTTACCTCTTACTTGTTTCTTTGGAAAGGCTTCTTATCAACTCTTGAAGGGCTGCAGGGATCTCTGGAGTTTCATCATATTGCTGGGAGGTAATGGTCTCTGTTATCATGACATTTCTCACATCTAACCTTGTGCAAAGAAAGGTCTTTGTCATTTCTACTGAGAATCTGTTTTCTAACAGTTACAAGAATCGCCTCTGTCTTTTTTTCCCATCAAGTCATTTATAGGAGTATTTTTGGAAAAGACTATTAGTCTTTTTATCACATCCTGAAGTCTTTGGGGACGATGATATTGCAATTCATGTCCTTCTCAAAAAACACAGGTGATCTGGTAAAATGTGGCAGTCTCTCTCTCTAGACCTTCAGGTGCGAATCTCGTTGAGAAAAAAAGAAGAAAAAAGACTCTGTCTTTCCACAGCTCAATATGTTCGCATGCTTGATCATCAGGAGAGCGAGTGCAGATGAGTAAAAAAGCGTTGGAGACTACGGCTCTCTCTCTCACTCATAAAGTGGTAGGGGTAAGGGGTAATGGATGATGGATGATAAAAACCAATTGCTCTCCTCTCCTCTCCTCTCCATAGTGATAGGTGTAAATGTCAGTCTTGTAGTAATGCACAGAGTTTTTTTTCTTTTTTCTTTCTAGATAGGGGATACTACTTGAGAGAGAGAGAGAGAGAGAGAGAGAGAGAGAGAGAGAGAGAGAGAGAGAGAGAGAGCGCGAGAATAAGCGGCTCTCATAGTCGGGGCTTCAAGTTGTCTTCGGAAAACTACTGTGACTTTTGACAAAGCTCGATATTACTGATGAGAGAGGCGCTGCGGGAGTGGCAAATTGTCTGGTCGATGATCGGGATCAAATAGTCTTGCTTGGTCCATGTCAAGTAACAAAGAGGAACGCACTATATGGACTTTTGAACGGATGCCTTTGAAAAGAAGGGAAAAATGTGAGTTGTGGTAGGTTAATAATGTACAAGATGGGAGGGGTGTAAGAAAAAGATATAAAATCCTTCTTTGGTGACCTTTGAAGAAAATGCTCATACGCTCCATTTCATACAAGAAGATAACGACGCCTAACTAGAAGAATACATCTTCAAGTCATTCCTCCTAGACTTTGGAGAAAGGTGCAAACTTGCTTAGTGCTTGGCACGAGTGCTCTCAAAGCTCTCGAGCACGCTATCCGTCACGCTTTGAGACTTGTCCGATGATGGCGATAGTGATTCTTGCGAGGATGATTCTGAGGGGGAGGAGATTTGCTTGGACTGCATGGCACGAGCCTGGCTTTCGTTGACCTTGCCGTAGACGCCCATAGCGGTAGCGATCATGCTGCCAATGTCTCCGACGTTGCCAGGAACGACGACGCTGGTACCCTCCTTCGCCAACTTGCCGAATGCATCGACATACTTCTCAGCAACACTGAGACTGACGGCACCCTGTGCGCTCTCCTTGCCTTGAGCGATGGAGTTTGCGACAGCGTCGATTCCGGCAGCTGTGGCGCGAGCCTTGAGGAGGATGGCTTCGGATTCACCAGTAGCCATGTTGATCTGCTCGGAGCGCAGAGCCTCGGAAGCCAGGATGACACTCTGCTTGCGACCTTCGGCAATGTTGATGGCACTCTGACGTTGACCCTCGGACTCGAGGATCTCGGCACGCTTGCTACGCTCGGCAGTGACCTGACGGTGCATTGCCTCTACGACACCAGCGGGCGCGTGGATATCGCGGATCTCATAACGCAGACAGGTAACACCCCAGTCTTGGGCAGCCTCGTTAATAGCTTGTGTAATGTTTGTGTTCAAGGCAGCGCGCTCTTTCAGGACGTGGTCGAGGGAGAGCTGACCAATCTCTGAACGCATGGTGGTCTGGGCGAGTTGTGAAATGGCATATTCGGCATCTTCAACACCGTAGCTGGCCTTGTAAGGGTCGAAGACGCGGGTATAGAGCACACCGTCCAGCTCCAGAGTAACGTTGTCGGCGGTGATGGCACTCTGAGAAGGAATCTCAATGGCGGCTTCTTTCAGGCTCTTGACGTAGGCGATGCGATCGATCAAGGGGACCAGGACAGCGAGACCGGGCTGCAGGATGCGACTGAACTTGCCCATGCGCTCGACGATCCATGCTGTTTGCTGAGGCACGAACTTGACAATGGTGTTGGCGGGGAGTGATGAACGCTGGAAGTAGCTTGTAGGCTCGCTTGAACCAGAGGAACGGGAGAAGAGCGAGTCGGCAGAAGGGAGGAGGCGTGGCGGTTGCGAAGTGAAGGCAGCTTTCTGAATGGTGAAGCGGCTATTCGCCAGGACGGCCAGTGAGCGGCGAGATGCCGTTGGTCGTAGAGCGCCGGAACGTGCGATGAGGCCCAGGGCTGTTTCTGCCATGTTGAATATGCTGGATTAAGTGTCTGTGTGAGGGAGAGTCCAAGTCAAGATGGGAGTTCGTGCTGGACATCATCGCCGCTGGTCGGTCGCGGGGCGGGCCAAAGCTTTCTCCAAACTTCGTCATCGTTCTTTCCATCGCCATCTCTTGCATACCAGTCCACTCAGCGACCATGTCGGAATACTGGAAGTCAACCCCAAAGTACTGGTGCAAGTTCTGCTCTACCTATGTGCGCGACACAAACCTCGAGAAGAAATCCCACGAAGCCACCCCGAAGCATCAGAACAACATCCAGCGTTCGTTGCGCGATATCCACAAAAAGACAGAGCGCGATGATCGCGAGAAGCAGCGCGCAAAAGATGAAGTCGCAAGGCTGAACGGTCTGGTCGCTGCCAAACAAGGTCCTTCCATCTCGGTCGCCTCTGGCTCACAGCTTCCTGCTCCAAAGCTCAAGTCTACTGCACCCAGCGGTCCCGCTTCTGTCGCCGAAAGGAAGCGTCAGATGGAGCAGCTTGCCGCTATGGGTGTCGCCATTCCCGAAGAATTCCGTCGTGACATGTCCATCAGAGGAGAGTGGTCCACCGTTTCTGAGACACCCATCTACTCAAAATCTGTCAAGCCTGATGCGGACGACGAAGACGACACGAAAGCATTTGGCGTGCGGAAGCGAAAACTGGATGAAGAAGAGCAAGATCTGAACATGGCACCCAAGGCTTGGGGTTCACGCCTGAAGTCTTATCCACCTTCAAAGGGCAATGACGAAGTAGACCTGGATGCTCTCTTGTCTAGCGCCACCACGAAAAAGGAAGTCAAATCTGAAGACAACCATCTACTGAAGAAGGAGGGTGACGCTGACACTACCGAGTCTATTGCTGCTATACCAGACATTTCTGAAGGTGTTGCTGCTGAGTCCGAGGTTAAGCCAGAGCCCAAAGCCGACCAAGATGCTCCTGTGGTCTTCAAGAAACGCAAGTCTAAGCGCTGAGACCAGCAAGGCAAACTTGCAAGATCACCAAATTACAATGAGCCTCTGTGCTTCCCAGTTGAAGGATGCTGTTAGCATCATTCGGCGAATGCTCTACATCTAAGGCCGATATGCCATCAGAGCCGGGTTACCGGATCATCTACGCATCTCGTAAGGCACACCGTCGAACATTGGCCACCTTTTCTATAAGCAGTCGGCCTGAAACAGTATCGACGTCAATGACCACGCGACAGCATACCTAGCATAGCACACGAACCTAGCAGAAGCAACTGTCAGCATGGCGATCACGCCAAAGGCATGCCAAGCTTGGGCATGAAGAGGAGAGAAGCCGCAGGGGCTGGATAGATTATCGCCAGTCATCGCGCACTCTTCGTGAGACAGCAGACTCCGACATACAATAATATAAACGAGAGTAAGAGCAGTCGCGAACACTTGTCCGTTTCGTGCAAACTTGAACTGTGTTCAGAGGTGCTTTGATTCGTGCTTGCTTGAGCAATTGCGTAGATGAAACTTGATGAAACACGTAATATGAAGCTAGTCGATCAATTTTGGTCGCGGTTCCTGTCAAACCGAATTGTTGTCAGCCTTGAATAGAATTGTTGATCTATCACAGCATTTTATCTACATGATCAATAGAAATTAGAGAATGGTACGGCGATAGGTTATGGTTCTTGTAGAAAAGTCTATTGCCCTGACAGTGACGCAATCTGTTTTGTTATGTCTTGTATAGGGGTTCAGCAAACGGTCTCGCAGCTTACGACCGACAAAGCAGCATGGACAAGCATGCAGACTCAGACATGGCTCGATGGTTCGCGCACAAGCGAGGCTGTCATCGGCAGGGAGCCACAGTGTCACACGTTGACAGTAAGTGCGAAATAGGAGACGAGATTGTAGGGAGGCTCGCCGCGATCACTCAAGCAACGCGGCTGCATCAAGTTGCGGAGATTAATATCTGCCCTGGCGCGCCGTGACCGACGGCGGGCATTTCTGAAAACAGGCCCTTGGTCCGGGTTCGAAGTGTCACATTGTCTGTTTGTCCAAACTACTCGTAACCAGCAAACAGCATCAACCATCAACACGTACACGTAATCGCTCGTTATGGACGCATCCTCGACATCACCCCTTTTGCGACCATCGTCTCCTGCTCTGGATGTGGCTCCCTCGCTAGCCCTCTACCCCGGTGGCTGTCCTTCGCTCGACGCTCGTTCCGATCGCTCAGTGTCCACGCCATCAACGATATCTAGCAGATCCGTCTCATCTTCTTCAACCCGTTCAGAATCAGGTCGACGGAAGAATGGATACATGCGTCCCCAAGGAACCGCCTTTTCGGACTCGGCAAGGAACCGCGACAGCGTCATGAGTCTGGGAAGCATCGCTCACATGCAATATTACTTTGCTCGCACTGGTCTTCTGGATGGCAAAGGGGGTCAGTTTGCGAAACCAAAGAAAGGCCTCAAGCATTTAGACACCGACGTCGCCATCTATACCACATCAGAAGACGGCTTGGTCGAAAGCCCGAAAGACGCCAACGATGAGTGGTCAGAGCCCATCATGCTCCCGCCCACTGTGTCAACATATGCATACAAGGAACCCAATGTACAACCACCGCCAGAGCTCCCCATGCTCCGTCGACAGCTTCGCGAAGCACTGGACGACGCTCAGAAAGTACTGCAAGAGTCGGCTGAAGCTAGTCCATACGACGATGCCACTCGAGAGGCCATCGTCGAGTCTGTACGAGCACCCACAAATCCCGACGAGCCTCCGGTGGCCCAGGGCTGGCACGAGATTATGGGTCTCCACCTCCTTGATATCATCACCCTGGCCATCCGTGCCGCCAAAACATACTACACATCACATCCACACCCTCAACAACTGTATGCCATCCAGTCAGAGCGTAAAATCCGCGGAGACTTGTATGAGGTCCTCGACGTCTTGAAACGTGCAGCAGCGAGAGAGTTCCGTGGAGGTGTCAAAGATGAGGAAAGAGCTGGGATAAAATCTTGGATCGATAGCATCAACGACTTGATGTCGAGAGAGAAGTCGCGAGAACAAGAAGAACAAATTTCACGTGCAAGTTGTGCCTGGCGCTTCGGAGACTGGACTGGCCGTGAACGCGAAAGAGAGTGGCTATTTATGTCCTCTTTCGACACTAGTCCGGAGCCGCTTCCACAGTGGACAGAATCGATCTCAGAGGAACCATCGCCGTTCCTTCGAACTTTACAGAGTGGTCTGCGCCTAGTGCAGCTTCACAACGAGATGGTCCGCCGTTCCGAACGTCCATTCGGTGAAATAAAGACCTTCTTTACGGACGTAGCAAAGCCGTATCGATGTGCTGAAAACTTGCGCTTCTGGTCAAAAGCTGCAGAGCTTCGATGGGAGACTCAACTCTCTTTCAACGTGCTTCACGTGGTACACGGCAAAGATGACGATGCCTGGAAACAGTTTGACGAGACTGTATTCAAATGGTGCCGCGAAGTTCGAGAGGAGATCTCGAAGGAGTGGGCAGAGTCCGAGAGATCTGCATAACAAGGAACCTGACCTTGATTTGCGAGATTTTCTGGCTCAAAACAGTGCAGTGAGCAGTGAGCAATGGACGTCTTTGCCGGCTGCCGTCTTTTCCTTTCTTTCCTTTGTCTGTGTTTTTTCCCAAGTCACCTAATGCCTTCAGCGCAACACTAGATACCCCAGAGGCTGGCTGTTTTGTTGTTTTCTTCTTTCTGCATGCCCCTGCCAATTCTCCAGGTCAAATTGGAACAATGATTTTGGACAAATCAATTCACAGGATCAACCAATCGTTCTTCTTGCCCATGCCATTCCATGGCTCAAAGTCAATGTTTTCGGATTGAGCGGCTCCTGCTCAGTGATCACTGCCTCGTAGAGAGGGGTAGGAACCACGTCCGGTCTCACAACGACACCTTGGCGCCACGCGCGTCCATAGGATGCGGCAGAATCAATTCCCGAGATTGTTATAGCCAAGTGTCAGGTGAGGGCCAAGTTAGGATCTAGTTCGTGCTGTTCATTGGTTAGGTATGGTGTTCGTGCAGTAGAACCCTGCACCGACCCCACGTTTCCCCGCAACGTCAGATTGACCTCGACATTGTACTTTCTCAAGAGTCTTTTATGCTCAATTCGACATTTGGATTGATCTCCAAGAGCAGCGTAGAGCAAAAAAAGAGCTGTACAAAGGCATAGTCACTTTTCGGATCCAAAGAGCTGTAGAAGAGAGCCTGTAAGACAACTTTCGATCACTAAAATTTCTCCAGTATCAAAAGCGTCGTGCCTTAGGTGCAACTGTGCCCGTGCCAAAATTTTAGCATTTGGAGAACAGGAACAGTACGTACCTCGGGTTAGTCCTCCGTGAACTATCTCCGTCAGGACTCCCCACTATTGCCCCGCGAAACTAGTCAGGACATCACTCGGGCTGCTGTGACGCACCTAGAACCTCCTCTGATCAGAGGTCCAATTGACCAAGCAGTAGCTAGAATTTGACGCCAATTGCAGGTCAATTTCACAAACAGCTAACATGGCTAACATGGCTAATAATACTAATACTTACCTAGACAAGTGCAAGGAGCTTACGAACCCACATGGACATCTACGTGGTACCTTGAGCTCTGGAAGATCTGTCCAACCATCCTTGGCCACATTCTGATCAGCTCACACGCATCGGTGCGGGGCTCAATCTACGGTTTCCTGCTGCATGGTTCAGAGGAGCTGCAGCTACAATATCCGGGCGAGACATGCTTGGGAGCAAAGTCTCTGCCTAGCTGTTGGCGTCTTGTAAGATTGGACGGTTCACGCGCTTGTGGGATCAGCCTGGATGCCTGCGTTCCATGTACAGCGATCCATTACCTTTATGTCTCTCCGACGCTCGTATCTGGAATCGTGGGGGCTGTAGAAATGCACAGTGCTTTCCCATGGAGCTGGATGCGTTCATGGAGCGCTGGAAAGTACTACAGTTCTCACGAGACTCTGCAGCACACTGGCCTGGAAGCAGTTCGATCTTCATCCAAGCACTGTGCGAGCTTACTGGCTGCATGAAGAAACGGGATCTCGACAAGGATACAAACAATGCCAAAGTCAACCCCACGCCGCCTTGATCATTTCTAGCCGCCGGTTGGACTTGTTCCGTACCTGATACGCGCCCTCTTCCCCTCACAAACTGTATGCCAATCCCATATACCCGAGTCCGTTCATGTTTGAAGCGGGGTTGATGTTTTGGAGGGGGACGCGTAGCTTGATGATGGGACTCGATGGGTATATAATCGAGCTGTTGGAGCTGCTGTACAATCACCAGACCTGCTTCTATTACTTTCTACAGAAGTCTTGGAGCAAATTTAATCATTATGACTGTCCCAGACGAGGTCGATATCATCGTTACTGGTGGAGGATCATGCGGGTGGGTATTTCTGTATATCAATGTTGAAGCATCATGCTGAATCCGTTGTAGTTGTGTCGTCGCTGGCCGATTGGCCAACTTGGACCACAATCTTCAGGTCATGCTCATTGAAGCTGGAGAGTCCAACCTCAACAACCCTTGGGTGTATCGTCCTGGTATCTATCCCAAGAACATGAAGCTCGACAGTAAGACTGCTTCATTCTACTACTCGAGACCTTCTGAATGGCTCGGTGGACGTCGTGCCGTTGTACCTTGTGCCCATATTCTCGGTGGAGGTTCATCTATCAATTTCATGGTAAGTTAGGCATCAATTCAATCATGATTTATATGCTCATATGGTATCTAGATGTACACTCGTGCTTCGGCTTCCGACTATGATGACTTCCAAGCCAAGGGTTGGACCACCAAGGAGCTCATCCCCCTGATGAGAAAGCACGAGACATACCAGAGAGCTTGCAACAACCGTGACATCCACGGTTTCGAAGGTCCCATCAAGGTCTCCTTCGGCAACTACACTTACCCCGTCATGCAAGACTTCCTCAGAGCCGTCGAGTCCCAAGGTATCCCCGTCACAGACGATCTCCAAGACTTGACAACGGGTCATGGAGCCTGCCACTGGGAGAAGTGGATCAATAGAGATACTGGACGTCGATCTGACTCTGCTCATGCTTACATTCACAGCACACGTGCTGTTCATTCCAACTTGCACTTGGTTTGTAACACCAAGGTCGAGAAGATTATTATGGAAGGAGGTAGAGCTGTTGGTGTCAAGGTTGTCCCTACCAAGCCCCTTACTCCTGGACAGGATCATGCCAAGGTTTATAAGGCAAGAAAGCAAATCATCGTTAGTGGTGGTACCCTGAGTTCACCCCTCATCCTCCAGCGATCAGGCATTGGTAAGTCAAACACCTTTCTGCCTAAAGTCAGATACTAATGCACTCTTTAGGTGACCCCGAGAAGCTTCGTGCTGCTGGTGTCAAGCCTCTGGTCGACCTTCCTGGTGTTGGTCTCAACTTCCAGGATCATTACTTGACATTCTCGGTCTTCCGTGCTAAGCCTACCTGTGAATCTTTCGACGATTTTGTTCGTGGAGACCCTGTTGTACAGAAGCAGGTGTTTGATCAGTGGAACATCAATGGTACTGGTCCGCTGGCTACTAATGGTATCGATGCTGGCGTCAAAATCCGCCCAACCGAGGAAGAACTCAACCAAATGGACTCCTGGCCATGTCCCGAGTTCAGATCTGGATGGGACAGCTATTTTGCCAAGGCCTTAGATAAACCTGTTATGCATTATTCAGGGAAGTTTTGCCATCTAATAGTGTGATCGAGGTCGTTGGCTAACGAAAAAACAGTTATTGCTGGATGGTTTGGCGACCACATGCTCATGCCCCCTGGAAAGTTCTTTACCATGTTCCACTTCCTGGAGTACCCCTTCAGCAGAGGTTTCACTCACATCACCTCTCCTAGTGCCTACGGTAAGCTCAACATCTAGTGTCGTGGTGGAAAAAATACTAACCAAACTCCCTAGACGCCCCTGACTTTGACGCCGGCTTTATGAACGACAAGAGAGACATGGCACCCATGGTCTGGGGCTACGTCAAGTCACGCGAGACAGCTCGCCGCATGGATGCCTACGCCGGAGAAGTACAATCCATGCACCCCTTCTACGCCTTTGACAGCCCAGCCCGCGCTCTTGACATGGACCTGGCCACCACAAAGGCCTATGCAGGAGAAAACCACATCACTGCGGGTATCCAACACGGTAGCTGGAGTATGCCTCTGGAATCTGGTACCGCTCCCTCACCTAGCTTCTTGAACAGCAATAAGCAGGAGATCAGGCAGGATCTGGTTTACACGAATGAGGATATCAACCATGTTATTGAGTGGACCAAGAGACATGTGGAGACTACCTGGCATAGTCTGGGAACGTGCTCCATGGCTCCCAAAGAGGGCAACTCGATTGTCAAGCATGGTGTCTTGGATGAGCGCCTCAATGTCCACGGTGTCAAGGGCCTCAAAGTTGCTGACCTCTCCATCTGCCCTGACAACGTGGGTTGCAACACCTACTCCACTGCTCTGTTGATTGGAGAGAAGTGTGCCATGCTTGTCGCAGAAGATCTTGGTTACTCGGGCAGTGCTTTGGACATGAAGGTGCCCAACTACCATGCACCCAGAGAGATTGCTGGACTTTCTCGTCTGTAGTGGAACGATGCTGCTTATGATGATGAGGTGAATGGGAATTCAATGCTTCTATTGTTTATAGTCTATGACCTCGAAATGACATATCATGATTTGCTTTTGCTTTTTTTTTTTTCTCGATCTAATGAAAACGCGTCGTTGGCGTTGGAACGCGCTACCCAGCCTCCTCTTATTCTGAAGTCTGTAACGTGTGTAGCTGCATTGAGATATGCTTGCTCTCTGCGATGGTTGAAGGAATTAAGAGTCTTTGTGATCGATCGTCTGTCCCTGAATGACATTTTGTCCAGAATCAATCGATGATCTCACGGTCGAAGGTCAAGAGAGGTGCTCGAATCTTGTCGCATACGGTCATCCCGTGTTGTGACTACATATATTTTGGTGATCATCAGGAGACAGACCTGTCAGGGGCACAAGATCAAGCACATGTAAACCTCTTAATGCATCAGGCTTGCTCCAGACACTGAAGAATGATACGTGACTGTATACCAACTACGTCATCTGATCGATGTTCAAGACAGGGTCGTACTCATGACATGCACGAGAGACTATAACCCCACTTCAAGAGTCAACGTTGTGTGCATAGTGATTGGTGTACCGTTCACCAATCCTCTATAGGCTTGAGAAGTTGTTATAGTAAACACGAATTCAGTAAGCCTTGTAGTGCGAGACAATATCGATTTTGGGTTTTGCATTGGCTTGGATTTGCAGATTGATGTCCTTGACACGAAAGCCGATGTTACGTTCTGGCCATTGAAGATCTGGATAATTACAATGATAAAGCTTAGCACCAAGTCTCTTTGGGCACATGTATCATTAATGGTGTAGTCAGCCTATACCATAGCTCCTCCTCTTGTGCGAAACACTGTCACGACTGTGGCTGTCTTAAGGCACTAACTTTTCTGGACTCGGAGCGATGGCACCGAGATACATGTTTTCAACGACTCCATGTGTTGAAGGGGTCTCATCAATCTTGTACTATAACTCGAGTTGAATCAAGATCTATCTTCCGGAGCTACCAGGGCATTGATAGATGTGCTCACGTGCGATGGTACCGAATGGGGAAGCGAGCCAAGAGATGTGGAGAACGGCTTGAGGCAGGTACGTCAGAGGCTCTCGGGCACGGACGTCTTCGTGAATTGATGTGACAATTGACGGGTGGTGATGCTGACTTTTCCCTTGCACATCCTACCAACGACTGTCAAGCATTGATGGATCCGCGCAACTCGATCGCAGACATTGCCGGACCGGCGGCTATGGCCAAGCCAAAGGCGCCCCAGAGGTCGTACGCCTCGGCAGTCGGAGAGGAGGCAAGCTCGACTCGAGACGGAGCAGCAAACTCATCAGGAACGGGTGGCAGCAAGAAGAAGCGCCATCGCGCGGGTAAGAAGCGTCGCAACCGCAGACAGAGCTTCGCCGCTCCTTCCGAATCCACCGTGGCCGAACGCGACGAGGACCAGGGCCAACGACCATCCTTGACGACCAGCCGCCCTTCGGCAAACCAGACCAGCTTCTACCGCCTCAAGTCGGCAGCCCGGAGCAACACCAGCCTGGAGAGCGACGCTCTTCTCGATCACCGTGAACACCAACCCATCCGTCCCCGCCGAGCAAGCATCCAACAGGCTTCGAGAAACAACGGCGGTCTGTTCCCGCGGAACCAGCGCAACTCACAGCATGCCATCTCTCAGTCAAGCCCAGTGAAGCCTCGACAGATGAATTATAGCGACGATGAAGATGAAGAGGCTGTCACCGATCGTACCCCCCTCATCTCCCAGTCCTACTACGACCGTCCTCCTATCGAACGCAATAGATCCGGCAACCGTGCCTATGGTGGCACCCGTCGCAGACAATCGGCCACCTCCCGCACCTCCAGCAAGAAGGGCAGATACCCAAGCGATAGCGACGACGATTACGATGTCAACAACCCTCCATCAATGCCAGGCTCCCCTAAGCTGGGAACGCTCGACGATGTCATGATTGCTCAGGAGTTCTCAGGCTCCCCGTCATCCGAAAACCGTGATGCCATCATCAACATTGACCGTGATAACAACTCTGATCGCTTCCCTTCTTCATCACCACCCACTCCCGGTGCCGACGGCCGTAGACGCACTCTTGCTAACCTGGCCGAGAACGACGTCTGCTACCCTGGCAACATCGCCGAGTCCGAGCTCGGTGAAGACGACCTGACACCTACCGACCAAGGCCAACGCCGCACTAGTCGTCGCAGACGCCATCGTCAATGGCCCGACCTTGATGTTCTGGATGAGTGGAGCCGCATTGAAAAGGAGGAAAGAGACCACACCGAGCAGATTCGCTCAAAGAAGATCAGCGAGCCTGTCATGGTTGGCGGCCGCCTTCGTCCCGCAAAGACTCAATGGCATCGTGAGGAAGACGACGCTCCATACAGATACACCTACTTTAACGAAACTTTCGATGGCACCATCCATAGCAGGACTATATCAGAGCTCCGTCAATTTGGCGCCACCTTCCGTGAGCTCTTCAACCCCGACCCACCGGAGCTCAGCGACGACAGCAGTTCCGACGAAGATGATCATCCCCCACAGGAACTGCCTTCAGGTCGTGAGTCGAGGATGAGCTCAGTCGCTGGTGATGGAAAGGCTCAAGACCGCTCTGCATCAGCTACTCCCGCCGGATCTCGTCCCCGCATACTCAAGGAGAAACGCTACGGTCCCCGCCCCACATTCTGGCTTGATGTCCTCAGTCCGTCTGAGACGGAAATGAAGATTCTGGCAAAGTCATTCGGCATTCATCAGCTGACGGTAGAGGATATCATGATGCAGGAACCTCGCGAAAAGGTCGAGCTGTTCCAAAGCTACTACTTTGTGAACTATCGCAGTTTCGAGCAAGACAAAGACAACGAGGATTACATGGAGCCTGTCAACATGTACGTTGTCGTTTTCAAGGACGGTGTCATCAGTTTCCACTTTTCCATGACACCTCACCCTGCCAACGTCCGTCGTCGTATTCGTCAACTCAACGACTACATGTCTCCGACAGCAGACTGGATCTCATACGCCATCATTGATGACATTACAGATGTGTACGCTCCGTTAGTCCAGGTCATTGAAGACGAGGTTGACGAGATTGACTACGAGATCCTTGCTTTGCATTCTTCCGAAGAGAACTCAGACGACAAGGCCAAAAATAGTGCAAAGGCCAAGGAGCTTGAGTATGAAAAGATGAACAAGGTCGCCGGAAGCGATAATCAATCCGAAAAGGGAGAACGCACTGCTGGTGACAGTGGTGGTGATATGCTGCGCCGTGTCGGAAACTGCAGAAAGAAGGTTATGAGTCTTTACAGACTCCTTGGTAACAAGGCAGATGTCATCAAGGGCTTTGCCAAGAGGTGTAACGAACATTGGGAGGTCGCTCCCAGGTCTGAAATTGGCCTGTATCTTGGCGATATCCAAGATCACGTTGCCACCATGACGGGTAACTTGTCACATTACGAGAAGTAAGTTCCAACTGAACATGGTCCTCCTTTTTGCAGCCACTAACATACGTCTCAGCTTGCTCTCGAGAGCACATGGCAATTACCTTGCCCAGATCAACATCCGAATGAACGAGCGTGCAGAACAGACCAACGACGTTCTAGGAAAGCTCACTGTGCTTGGTACTATCGTTCTTCCTATGAACATCGTCACCGGAATGTGGGGAATGAACACTAAGGTATGCCATATTGATTTGCATGTCCCAATTGAGAATACAGACTGATGATTTGCATAGGTACCAGGACAAGACGGCGACGATCTGACCTGGTTCTGGGGTCTTACGGCTGGTCTGATCGCTTTCGGAATGACCAGTTACTTCATCGCCAAAAGAATCTATGGCATTGTCTGATAGTGTCCATGCGGACTCAACCAGAGCGTATACGCAAGCAGGATGTGCATGACTGATGTGCAGTCGAATTTTCTTCTTCAGGGGTATCATCTATTCCAGCCTAGGTCTAACTATTAATCCTATTACGAGTGAAATCAGCGCTGAGCGTTGCATTGCAGCAAATAGTCAAGCTATTCAATATTCTTCTTATTCTGGTGTTGTACACAGACAGGCTATCATAACCTGTCGTGCATGAGGCACGTATCAGGCCGAGCGGGCCGACGTTGTTGACATGCAGCGAACGACACAAGAAAGCCTGACTCAGGCATTGGCTACTACCAATCTGGATAGCAAGTGCGTCCCAGCTGTCTCGATGCCGGCAGATTATCTCGAGCGCCGGAGATATCATCGACAAACCAAACAGAACGCGCCGTGGCGTATCAGACAGGGCTGAGGCATGACTCGACGCTCCTTGGACATGTATGAAACGCATCCGCGATGCAACTATTACAAGTGTTGGGACATGCGGTAAGCGTTACGAGTACCGGCCGTCGGGCACCAAGGATGATCTGCCGTCTCGTGTTGGAAAATCTTCTCGGACAGGCGCACCCGTAGTTTCGTGATATGCAAGCCCAACGTCTCCCAGACCCAAGGCTTCGGGACGAGCGATCTGCAGCCAACACGGAGCATTTACAAGAGACGCCCAACCAATGGTGCTTTTGTATTCCTACCAACCCATCCTTGCAAAACAAGAAATGCGCAAGTCTCAAATGCCGGGTCTCCAACGCTTCGGTTTAGCTGCATGTCGTACGCCCGATGAAGTTTCGAACGCTGACGGGATAGGAGTAGGGACCGTGACATGGGGTGACGAACCTGGTTTAGAGGCCCTTTGTGGAAGGCCATTTGAGGTTTGGGATGTACGTTTCCTTGTGGCACAGATGTCCATCTATCGTGACAAATGCGATGGTCGATTTCCCCAAAATTCTGGAAAAGATGTTAGCATCTCGACCCAGTCCCAAGGTTCGATCATTCAGAGTAGATGACGTTTGCAAACGGTAGCTTCTTGTCCAGATTGTCTGCCTTGGTCCACATATCTTACTCTTGCCAGACTTTCTCTTACGGAAGGTGGTTAGCGTGCACTTTACAGAGCTTCCTGTTGCTATACTTGGCGGGCCTTGCAATTGGCTCGACATGGTCAAAGATCATGCAAGAAGAGAAAATGTCTTACACTCGGTGTCGGCGATTTTCTCCTGTCTGAGGGTACTCTGCTTTGTTGAGCTTATTCTTCTGTCATGCAGTTTCGGGAGTCATGCGTCCCTTTTGTTCTGGCTGCCCAGGGGGTGGTGTTGAGGAGGGCCAGTAAACCTCTTCTAGATTCTTTGCATTTCGTCAGGGCACGTTTTTGCAAAGACTTGGGGAAGGGGGGCTGTTTTTGATTCGTAACACCGTGCCGTGCATGAGAGGAAAGAATCGGCTTCCATGATCCGTGTCCACAGGAAGCCACCGGACCATCTGATCGGTGTTTATATCTCTCTCCCTGATTCCTCTTGTTGTTGGGCTTTGTGATATGGTGCATACACATACTCTCATGACTCTCAGTCCGATTATCAAGGCGGAAGTTGAGTCGTCGTTACATTCGACGCCACCCTTGTTCATCGTTGCAACATCATACCGACGTAGGATGAAGTCGAGGATGGCAGATCCTTCTTCGTCATCTCCCATGAGAGCCAAGCCAGAACCGACAGACAGCTTGAGTCCGAGTACCAGTGTTGAGCTGCATAAGAGGAGTAAGACTGGATGTATGTACACACCAATCATAAAGGCCTTCCAGGATGTTGCTGACTCCTTCCAGGTAAGACTTGCCGACGTCGAAAAAAGAAGTGCGACGAGGCGAGGCCGGGCTGTAAGATTCCCATCTCCTTACATAATTCTCGACGAGTAGCTTCCATCTTAGCAAAGCAGTCATGTGGCTATGAAGATGGTCTGAAGTTTCTGTCATCTCGGTCTAGATATGTCAGTAAGTGTCATGTGCTAACGAGGCTTTAGGTCAGAATTGCGCAAAGAACAACATCCTCTGCGGTGGGTATGAAACAAGAAAGCCATGGAGGAAAGGGGCTCGTAGCAAGGGCTCTGGTATGTCTTCGTCATCAGGCTTATGTACACATGGGGACTTACCTTTTGACTCCAGCCTTGAGCATACCCGAACTCCCAAATATCATCAACGCAATAGACAACCCCCTGGACTCACAACTCCTCTCATACTTCATCACCCACGCTGCTCAAGCTCTGAACATATACTCCGAGACACACAATCCATTCGACGGCTTCGTGATTGACATGGCGATTGCGAACACTGGTCTTATGCACTCGCTACTCTGCCTTTCAGCCTCCTGCCTCCTGGCTCATCAGCCGACATTAGATCAAGAAATCATCGTCCGCCACAGCCACCACTTCGACCAAGCCGTATCGACTTTACGAAAAGGTGTCGAAACATACAGCTCCAACAACTCTACCCAAAACGGAGACTGCATCATGCTGCAAACAATCCTACTCGCCCAAGAGGCGATCATTACAGGAGAAACACATGGCAGCTATCGATGCCATTTATTGGCCGCACAAAGACTTGTGGATACTTGTGGAGATTTGAGCGCAGACGTGCAGAGTTTCGCTCGTCAATTCTTGCTCTATCATAATCTCGCCAATATGCTCTCTGTTATCCGCCCTGTCAATGTCGTGGCCTTGACCCCGGAAGTTGTAAATCCTGAAACAGGGGAACGAGGCACCTTCTCGGAGGCTTGCGTGGATGGAATCTTGCATGGACTGCTGGAGCCCATGATGCGTACACAGCAGGTCCGTGATGGCATACGCTTCCACCGTCACTCTGGAAATTCGAGATGGTTCAAGGATGAGCGACTGCTTAGCTTGGCATTGACTGTTGAAACACAACTACGCATGTGGCAGTCTCGTCTCCAGCCCAATACTCCACAATACTGGTCTTCGTTGGTATATCGGCAGAGTGCATATGTGTACCTCTATCGCACTATCAAGCCTTCAAGGGCGAGTCCGGAACTCGCACAGGTCGTCTCTGAGGGATTGTCTTATACGGCGCATGCGCTAAGGGATGTCACGAGGAACGAGGGTAGCAAAAGCTGGATTTGTGGTGTGCTGTTGCCACCTTTGTTTTTGCTCGGTTGTGCGGCATTTGATCCTTCTCAGCGACGACTGGTGCTGGAGAATTTTGAAGACATGCAAGCATGCAATCAGAGAGCTAGCATTGTGCATGCGAAGGCGATCTTGAGGGAGGTATGGTCGAGGATGGACGCCGAACATGGTGCCGATGATGCCTGGGATTGGGAAGCCGTGATGAAGGATATAAACATAGATATTATGTTGTCATGAATTAGCGAGATCTTATACGCATCGATGTGCGTTGATGTATTCCTCCCTCCTCGTGTGTGCGGGATACCGCCAAACCTGTAGCTGTATCAAGACATGATGCTATCTTGATTCGCAGCAATGCCGTCGAGATATCACGTTTCATCGAATCCCTGCGCTACACTCACCAATGTGATATTTTACGCGTCTCGACAGCTCGCTTTTGTCTCGCCTTGATTATGAAGATGGTGAGAGGAAATTTGGCACATCAGCAGGTCGTGCTGTCTTTCCCGGCTAAAGTCGTTCTTTCGGAAAGTGCCACTCTACCCTTTGATGTTTTAGCACATCCAGCACTTCCCAGTCAAGTTTCGAGAGGCGGCCTTGATGGTATGCGGACACATGACGTTGTCGTACCCACATCCAGAGTGCAATCTTCCTTGATGAGATTCGAGTACCAGAATGATTCCTCCCAATGCAAATGTCTTCTGCTTTCTTAAGAAAACAGCACTCTATCACTTACATGCTCTGGTGACACTTGCTCTTTCGTTGTCACAGAAGCAGTCTCCGCTCAATAAGCCAGAAACACACCTCAAATTGCGCATGGCGTCCAGAGCTTCCGGCCGGGTTCGCGTCAGTTCGGGTGAGTTTGACATGCGCGGACCAGGGGCGACGCGATGCGAGATTCTGCAACAAGCTGTCTATCTTGCATCCGTTGCTTGCCGTGAGCAGCTGGGTTCAGCGGGTTGTTCGAAATGTCAACGTGATGGCCTGAACCTGTGTTTGGAGATTTGACGGCCGTCTGGCGATTCAAGTCTGTATGGAGAGGATGCGGTCGGTGCGAGATGGCAGCGTCTTGCTGACAAGCCTCTTCTCGCTAGGGATATTGGTGTGCGTGTCCACGACTGAAAGCATTAACACCTTGTGATCTCATGGCTGGAATGTAAATGATGGACGTCACACAAGATACCGTACATCGTCAGCATCACCATCACACTCGCCTTCCATCTACAGGATGTCGTTTGCCGTCGAAGGATGTCATTGGCTCGTCGGATGCTTCTCGGCCGTACCATTTGTTTCATCTTGGCGAAGCGACCCTTCCACCCCGCACAAACCTCGAGAACAAACACCCCAAGAACCACAAGCCCCATCTGCGTTGATGTGAGACAGGGGAGGGTGTGCGTACGAGAGATGGAGAGAAGAGAGCGGTCTCGAACCTCTGTCGCTTTCATCCCCCGAGCAGCCTGAATTACAAGATATTGGTCTAAAAGCAGGGGCATCTAGATGATCCCTACATATCACTCCCCCGGACCGATCCATTGCACTAACAGAATAGGCAAAATTGGCAGCGAGGCTTAAAATCAGCCCGATAGGTATGTGCTTGCCTCAGATGGGTGAACTGTGTGGAGTGAGCTTGGCCCCCTTCTCGTCTATGTGTTACAGACCAGCGTAACGAGTCCAACTCAACATGTCGCCATCCTGATCAAGATAGCCTTCGTGTGTGATTCTCGAGCCTGGACTGGATCGGCGTAGGTAATGCGACAAGGAAAGAAGGGCATATAAGAAGGGTAGCTTTCCCATCTAACTTTTACTTCTCATCACAACAACATTTTCTCTTCTCTTCCAACTCAAACAATCATTCTTTTGCACAGACAAGACTGCAATCATGCACTTCTCTTCTCTCTTCGTCGCCGCTTCGGCTTTCGTCACCGCTCTGGCAGCCCCTGTCGCCGAACCCGTCTCTGAGAACGGTCTCTCCTCGCTGGTCGAGCGCTCCACCCCTGCCGGTACTGGCCAGAACAACGGCTACTACTACAGCTTCTGGAATGCAGGGGGAGGTACTGTAAACTACAATAACAAGGGAGCCGGTGAATACTCCGTTTCCTGGCAAAACTGCAACAACTTTGTCGCTGGCAAGGGCTGGGCAACTGGTTCCGCCCGCAACATCAACTTCAAGGGTAGCTACTCCCCTCAGGGAAACTCCTACCTTTCCGTCTACGGCTGGACCACCAACTCCCTGGTCGAGTACTACATTCTCGAGTCCTACGGCACCTACAACCCCGGCAGTGGTCTCCAGCACATGGGCACCGTCACTTCTGATGGCAGTGTCTACGACATCTACAAGGGTGTTCGCACAAACCAGCCTTCTATCCAGGGAACCGCCACTTTCAATCAATACTGGAGTATCAGAAAGAACAAGCGCTCCTCTGGAACTGTCACCACCGCCAACCACTTCAACGCATGGAGCAAGTTGGGCATGAAGCTCGGCCAGCACAACTACCAGATTGTCGCTACTGAGGGTTACCAGTCCTCAGGCTCTGCCGACATCACTGTCTCCTAAACGGCTTTACTTTTGGACAACCGCCTGGAGGAGGCAGCACGGCAGCAGGTGGGTCTTGATGCCAGGAGAGACTTGTAGAATAAGAAAGTGCAAGGGGTGGAGTAAAAGGAGGTGTTGACCATTTCCTTTCTTTCAACCATTTGCAGACGTTTTGAGTTGGACTCCTTTTTGTCCATTTGGGCAGCTTCGCACAAAACACACCTTCCTTCTTTCACATTATATAAAACCTGTTCGGAATACAAAATAGGTGGACGCGCCTACAGCATTTTTGGACAAAGACATAGCACTTGTTCGTGATCAGATTTGCATATTTCGAAACTTTTCCATGAGATAACTCTTCTCTAACCTGAAGATTGTCCCGTAACAGCGATATAAGACAAATTTACCTCAGATCAACAACCACCTCAGCTTCCATCCCATCAAAAGAATTCTTTTGGACATCACATACTGATTTGCCGCCTCACCTATTGCATGTACGCCGCATCGATACCTAGGTCAACGACCACGCGTACTAGATGCTTCATCTGCGATCTGCTGACGATATGACTGTGACTGTATTTAAGGAGTGCTGCGGTGACTCGAAGAGGTTGCTGCTGACTTCATCCCTCTTCACTTTGCGACCCGGTCAATGCCGCCGATTGGACCCGGGTCTCGGTGTTTCTTGAGGGGTTGCGAGTATGCAGGCCGCATGGAACGAGAACACCAGGGACATGCAGTGCTTAATGAACTGCTTGGCCAATGAGAATTTCAACAGCGATGATGATCCGGACAGTGCCTAGTCGTTACACAAATCCAGATTATACAATGCAAGCAGAAGGGGTCACGTGTGAGGGAAATGCGAGAAGGTGTACGAGGCAAAGAAGTGAAGCAGATTTTAGTATGTGCAAATGCAAACAACCCCCATTCTACATGTTTCCCAAACTATCGTGATATCGTCATCTGTCATCAAACACGAGAAATTTACAACTTGCTACCAGTGGTAGTCTTGCAGCACACATCGCCAGAAGCACCAACAATTCCCTCAACAGTAGGTTGCTTGTGCGTCTCACTGAGCAAAGTGCTCTTGTTGAACTCCTGAGTGCTTGGTGGCACATCCAAAGCAGGATTCTTGTCAAAGAAGTTGACGGGCTTGAGCGACACCTTGATGATTTCACAAGGCATGACGGGGAAGTCCTCAATGCGAGGAACGTGGTTGATGCCGAATTGGACAAAGACAACGAGATCCTCGTCGAGAATGTTGTCCTTACGGTCTGCCCAGCTGCGAACACCGGTGCCGCCGCGAGATTGGTTTGTGTATCTTCCACCAGCGTAGAGTTCACCGTCGCGGTGCTTGACAGCGTAGATGTTGCGGGCGGAGAATTCGGCACGCTTGTAGTTGAAACTGTCTTGGTCGGCGAGACCTTTTTGGAAGGTGGGAGCGTGGATCTTGTAGGCGACAGGCTTGCCGTTGATGGGGTTGCGGACATTGTTGTTCTGAATCTTGAAGGTGCGGTTAGTGTCGGGGTTAAGATCGTAGCCACCTGATTGAGAGAGAATGGTTTCTTCGGTATAGTAGCCTGTGCCGTGAGGGTTGAAGTCGCTGCGAGGCATGGGAAGGGCCTCGTCATAGACAAGACGGTTGGAGTGGCCGTCAATGGCAGGATCAACACGAAGGGAGAAGATGTGCTGGTGGTGAGTGGCGAGGACTCCTGGGTGAACGACAGTACCCCAAGGAACACTGATACCGTCGTCGATGGGCTGAGTTGAAAGAATACCAGTAGCTCTGACTTCGTAGGTCATCTCACCTGCTTGGTTGAACATGAAAGCCAGGATGTACTCGTAGTTTGCAACAGTGATGATGCTCTGGAGAACAAGCTCACGGTTGCGAACGACGGCAGCACGGCCGGTTCTGTAATTGGTGTGCTTCCAGCCAATACCGCCGTCTTGCTCGTGGACACAGATGACGTTGGGCATCTCGACAGCCTCACCCTTGTCGTTGGACACAAGTCCTGAGAGGTACTGGATTGAACCGAGGCAGTCGCATCCCAGCTTCAGGTCGTTAGCCATGATGCCAGCACCAACATCACCAAGATCGAAAGCAGCCTTCTTGTGGAAGGGGTGGCGAGGGTCACCGTAAGGGATGGACATGTCGGACAGAGACAGACGGTAGAAGACATTGCGACCATCGTAACGGACGTTGTACAGAACCATGCCTTCTCTTTGGTTGAAGCCGACGCGGAAGGACCATTTCTGCCACTCGAGAGTGTGGGAAGTACCCTCCTGAGTGACGCTGAAACTGGCACCCTCGGGCTGAAGGACTTGCAGAGGCTTCAAGTCGGTGCGCAGGTTCTGGGCCTCTGGGATGTACTCGTTGGCAGGAACAGGCTTCCAGGGCTGTGTGGGCTTGATGGTGTTGTCCTTGCCAGTAGGCATGATGTCGATACGGATGACCTTGCGTTGATCGGCACTGAGAACCGGGGAGATGGCCAGAGGGAAGGCATAGTGGTTGGAGTCGAGTTCATCAGTGTTGTTGGGGTCACGCATGTACAAGAAGCATTGGTACATGCGCTCGTCGTCACCAACACCGTCAGAGCCGTAGATCCAGGGGTCGCAGACAACAGCGGTGCCCTCGGGAAGCTGTAACTTGGCAATCTCTGCTTGTACACCCTCGTCCTCCAAGGCCAACTTCTCAATGTCCAAGATCTCTTCTCCATCTCCTGCGGCGTGTACGTTGGGCCCGAGTCTTGCGTTGCTCTCGACGCTCGATGTCGTCAGGTTGACAATGGCTTCGTGTAGCTTGTTCTGATCACAGCGTCAGTATCGATACACGCGTTCAATGCTCTTGGTATTTACAGTCTTGCGGATATAGTATGCAATCATCACTCTACGATCGATGCTGGGAAGACCTTGACCCTGGAACTCTGCCTCCAAATAGGGGATCATCTCAGCCTTCGCCGGCTCCTCAAGAGTGAGGACCTTGAATTGGAGATCCGTGTTCTCTGGCCATTGCTTCTGAATCAATGAGGCTGCTGATTGGATCTCCTGTGCTGACAATGGGGCAAGAGGGTGTGCCTCCACCGACTTCGACTTGCGAACAGGCAATGATGTACTGCTTTCTTGAAGAGACATGGTGCGGATGTGGGATGCGAAAGAACAAGGTAAGGATAGTCAGAAGAACGAAGCCTCTTATAAAATATGACAGGAGCGACGAAGAAAGATAAGCCTACAGAAGTGGCCGGTGGCACAGTGGAGTCCAAGATCTGCAATCAGGGTCGCGGGGCTCGTACGCCTATCTCCGTATACCATTTTACATGTACTAACTACTCCTTGCCCACTCTTTCAGCAGCAGGAAATGGCCATATCACAAGACCTGGCCCAACAATCATCTTGTTCAAGTGCTGCGTTTTAATTGCGACTCTGTAGTCCAATGACTATGATCAGAAAAGAGGGCCGTCGCTGAGAGATCAGTTTGCCTGTCACCAAAATCTCAAAAGTTTGGCCGACCCCCCACGTTATTCTTTTGGGAAGCTCCATGCGAAAGCTGCCGTTCCGCGGTGAAACTGTCCCTTAGCGCGATGCACTTCTTGTCCCAAAGCAGAAGGAAATGTGAGAAGATGTCGCCAGGCCAGCAGGGCAGCGTTATCATTGCATAAGAGCACTTCCGTCTTTTCACTCGTAGAGCGGTATTTATCAGCATCGAACCACACTATTCCAGCAGCCATGCTTGGAGGGAGATTGAGTGTTGGGTGCCGTCCGATAAATCTCTTCCGTCGGGTTGCGTATGGCCTGCCTCGACAAGGTATCTACTCATTTATTTCAATGATCTCAGGTCATGCCATTCGTTGGCGACGCTCGGGCTTATAATGTTGGATATCAGGACAGTATGGGCTGCCCAATTTACCTCGGCATCAGTGTAACAGCACCGTGAGTCCTACTTGAACAAGCTTGAAAAGCAATCTCAGAAGGTGACCCTGGTCGGCGTAGATCAGCCGAGATACCGACTTTAGGCAGTCACTCCGCGTTGTTGCAAGGTGTCAAGCGGGCCATCTCCCACCTGTGTACAACAACGTTAGCATCAACCAAACATCTACGCAAGTCACCATGGATCCATCGAAGAAGAAGCAGTATCTTGCCGACAGTCCGCCATCTGTCGTTCCACTGGCTATCAAACCGCATTTCGAAGCACTTGGCAAGACCGAACAGCTCTATTCGCACTACATCAGTAAGGCATGTTTCGCTGGTACAAGAGTAGTCCTCAGACAGGTTTCCCCTGAGTCCGAACCCATCTATGACTTCATCTTGAGTCTACATAAGCACTGCAATGGTGACTACTCGAAGCTCAAGTCTGAGACCGGCCTCAACGACGAGGAGATGAACCACTGGTTACACTATGCCGCGCAGTTCCTCGGAAACGCTGGCAATTACAAGTCATTCGGTGACTCCAAGTTCATCCCTCGCTTATCTCCTGAGAAGCTCGCAGCTCTTGGAAAAGTGTCTGACGCATCTCAACACTATGAGCTTTGCAAGGAGGCCTTCTATGAGACTAAGGTTGAAGACCTTATGCACCTTGGTTACCCACCCCAGCATCTTACTACCTATTACCCAGAGTCTCCTGAAATCACCAAGGAAGAAATTGCTGCTGTGTCAGACTTTGTCAAGGAGAACGGAAACCTTCTCCCCGAGAACACACGCCTGAAGAAGCTTTCGCCGGGAGACTTCGAGCTTCTTATCGCCTCCGCAGTCGCAGATCCCTCCAAGTCTGAGAGAGACGTGTCAGAGAAGTCGTTCACTTTAGATACTGAGCCTGTCAAGGGCAAGAAGATTACTCTTGTCTATGGAGACCATGCCAAGGAAATGGAGAAAATTGCCTCCTTCCTCGTTCAAGCCAAAGAGCATTCAGCCAACGAATATCAGAGCGACATGCACAGCGAGTACATCAAGTCATTCAAGACTGGATCCATGACCGCACACGTTCAATCACAGCGCCACTGGATCAAGGACAGGGGACCTGACGTCGAGTCAAATATTGGGTTCATTGAGACATACCGCGATCCACATGGGATCCGCGGTGAATGGGAAGGGTTCGTCTCCATGGTCAACAAGGAACGCACCAAGGCTTTCGCCCACCTTGTCGCCGAGGCACCCAAGAACATCAAGAAACTGCCGTGGCCTGCTGAATTCGAGAAGACCTTCGTTGCTCCAGATTTTACTGCACTTGAGGTCCTGACATTTGCCGGATCTGGAATCCCTGCCGGTATCAACATTCCCAACTATGATAGTGTTCGACAGGATCCTCAAGGTGGTTTCAAGAACGTCAGTCTGTCCAACGTGCTTTCGGCCAAGCCCCCAAATGAGAAGATTCCATTCATCAAGGATGAGGACATGGAGGTCTACAAGAAGTATGCCGATGCCGCTTTCGAAGTTCAGGTTGGCCTCCACGAGCTACTTGGCCATGGTTGTGGTAAGATCTTGCAGGAAACAGAGCCTGGCAAGTTCAACTTCGACCACAAGAACCCACCCGTCTCGCCCATCACGGGAAAACCTGTCACCTCGTACTACAAGCCTGGCGAGACATGGGGCTCAGTATTTGGTGGTATGGGTCCTAGTTACGAAGAGTGCAGAGCAGAGTGCGTTGCTATGGCACTTTGCCCTGACTACGGCATTCTACAGATTTTCGGCTTCGGTAATGGAGAAGAGGACCTTCACGGAGAGTCTGGAAACGTCCTTTTCGCCGCTTACCTGTCGATGGCTCGTGCTGGTGTGGCTGCACTGCAGTTTTACAATGTCGACGCGAAGAAGTGGGGTCAGGCACATATGCAAGCTCGTCACGCTATCCTCAAGGTTTTCCTTTCCGAGCCAGACTTCTGCAAGCTCGACTATACGAAGGACGATCTTAGCGATCTGACCATCAAGCTCGACAGAACGAAGATCGCTACGCACGGTCGCCCTGCCGTTGAGAAATTCTTGCAGAAATTACAGGTATACAAGGCTACCGCAGACCTGAAGGCCGGCAAGGAGCTGTATGAGGGTATTACGAGTGTCGATGAGTGGTTCGCCAACAAGGTCAGACCTGCTGTATTGGCCGCGGCCCCCCCACGCAAGGTCTTTGTGCAGGCCAACACCTTCATCGAGGGTGATAAAGTTGTTCTCAAGGAATATCCTGCCACGCCTGAGGGTCTCATCCAGAGTTACGCTGATCGCGACTACATCTAAGCGGGGTATATGGAAGTGATTCCAAATAAAATGTACGAGATTAGTATACAATGGGTTAGTGACTTCAGGTCGTTGTGCGAGATTAGCTTGTGATAGTAATAACGTGCTTCCATGAACAATTCTAACATCTTGAAACTCAACTGTGCATTTTTACAGCAGCCGATTCACGTAGTACATCAATCGTGGAGCGTCGAAAAAGTAGAACCCCAGCTCACCGGCTTGATAGCATATGCTGCAGGGATATCACAAATCGAGAAGCACTGCAATATCCAAAAACAGTCACCACGCCATGTATCTACTCAATAGAATCAAGTCAGGAAGGCACATCCACCCTTCCCCTACCCAATAGCCCAATGCAGAGCACAATCGCGCGTCCATCTGGCCCCAACCTGTATAATCATCCCACATTCATCATTCACCAATACCAGCAGCGATGGTCTAATGGTGAGGATTCCCCACTCCGGTCTTATGATAACCCAATGCTTCGGCATTGGGGGACTACCACATGGGGCGATGTGGGTTCGAATCCTGCTCGCTGCGATGGTTTCCTTTTTGCTACTTGATGAAAGTTGGTGGTACGTTTTGCCTGTCTCGAGGTATGCTAAGAGCGGGTGTCAAGTCACGGCAGATGAAGAGAGTTGATGATCACGTCTTGAAGTATGGGAGATGGAGATGCAGTCGATGGTATTATGTGTTGTGGACCTCTCTTATTACCCTCTCTTATCGTTGATGATGGGTGCCAGCGAGGGTCTGTCTGGTTGTCGAACCGGAATCAGACAATGCTAGCATAAAACGCTCCAGGTCAAAACTGTCTTGAGGGATAGTAGGGCTCAGTAATTCGCTGTCTTCCAGACACCTCTTGAGCTTCGACGTTTGGGTCTCACTATTCGACATCTGAAATTCTACTGATACTTCACGAATCTCGATACAGATCAAGCACGAGACATTGAGATCTTTCAGTCACTCATGAGCACGAAACTCCACTCTGAGTCAGATGGCTGTTGTATCGGACATATTCGTCTCCGGGTTCGCTCAGTATACTATTCGACGATCAAACATCATTCGACGGACGAGAGCCCCTGGAGTTACATCTTCAAGTCCAAGTCGGAATTTAGACACAACGACGAACACTGCTTTTCCACTGCTACCGTAAGGAGCTTCAAGCATCATCGTGCCTTCCGACTGTTGTCTGCAATCCGTCACTCGAACAACAAATCAATGCTTCTCGATTTTGAGGATACGGGACTCGGTGCACGAGGCTCTGACGCAGCGTAGAAGAAATAGAGCACCAATAGCGATGGACAAATGAGCCTCCATTGAATTGAAACATCTCAGCCGATAACTTGGGAGAAGAGGGGACGGTGCTTCTCAGAACTTCGAAAGATGCTCAGCTGAGGCAATCACGGGTAGTTCAATCAGCTGAAGATTATCCGAGGATGTTTCAGATGGACACCTTAGTCTCGAGATATCATGGATGTTGCTTATTTCGATGTGTTGTTTTACAATTGCTCGGCCATAAAATTACTGGGTGAGGGCAAGAGACCACTGGGTAAACATCTATCGATCACAGCATCTGACCAGCATATACTCAGCCAGCTATCGTGGCATCAGCTCTCATGATGTTTCGTATTTGCTCCTCGTCCTTCTCTGCCTGTGCGAGCCCCTTGCCTGCGAGGAAAGCAGGACCCATGACTGCAGATTTGTAGCCTTGGGGGAAGAACTTGTCACCTTCATCGCCGGGTATCGGTCTTCCAGCTAGCCAGTCGATCCATGATTGGAGACACCAGCGGTTTGCAAAGGTTGGCTCGACATACCTACAAGCTGCAAGTCAGGCGTTTGACATCTCAAAAGTACGCCGAGATTGATATTGACTTACCAAGGCTCCGTGTCCCAAATCAGCTTGTGAATTTTACCATTCTCGTTGACATTGTCAGCAATGATTTGCTTGCGCCGACTGAATGGGCGTGGTAGGACGAGGTGTCGTAGAATCAGCTTCCGAGTCGCAAGTCCCGTGTCCACTAGCCATTGGAGCATGGCTGGCGGATTGTTGTACCTGTGATTGACGTGTCAGTCATCCATGAGATAAGTTCAAAGCTAGAAAACACTCACAACATAGCTCTCCGCAATCGTGAGTCCATCAAAGCGCTTACGACCTTCCTACCTGCATCCTTGAAAGCATCAGGAACAGCATACAGCAAAAGATCGGTCGTATGATCAGCAGTCAACTTATTACTCTCAGCTGGCACCATATATTTCACCTCATAATCGTCAGACCACTTCTCCAGCTCTTTCATGAATTGCAGTCCGTCCTTCCACCCATTCTTCTGTCCAGGCAAACAAGAGACGTCAATCTTCATGCCTTCACCAACCTTCAACCAGAACAGTCCCATAGCAGCAATTTCCGTATCAGTCAATTGCCTCCACTCATGTTTGTTGATCCAGCGAACGGGCTCCAGCAAAAATAAGCCCAGGGTATACAGCATATCATCGTTCGAAATCTTGGCACCGTAAAGACTATGCAAGAAGTTTGTCCTCGCCAGCGCTTCAGTCGCCCGCTTGCTTCCAGGAGGATTCTTGATAGTTTCCAGCATAAGGATTGATGTATCAGTCATTCGTTTTGAGGAGTGTGCTTTCGAGGATAGTTGTTTTGTGTGCATAAGCAAACCACTGATGGAAGGGATGCCATAAGTGCGGAACAAAGCAAACTCTAGTGCCTTTTGCGCTATGAATGGAAACTCGAGTTCGTAGAGGTAAAGTTGTATCTCTTGTGCGTCCTCCAGAGTTATTGCAGAAAGGTCATCGTGTTTGTAGAGCTGATGTTTTTGAGTTTTGCGTTGGTTGCGGAAGTAGCGAACTGTGGCGAGGTAGCCTATTGCTGCTGTAGCGAGAACGTCTGGCCGTGTGAGAAAAGACATGCTAGCGGTAACTAGAGTACAGATATCACGCGGTTGTCGATTGATATATATACAAAAAATGTTGATGATACATGAAACTGGCCCGGCTGGGGTGGAAGCCTAGTGGGCCTGGTTCGAAAGTCGCCAAGCTAAACGGTTTGAAGTTAATGTTGATTGTTACAAGGTGTCACAGTATCAGATTCGGCAGTCGTCCCGAAGAGGCCCTATCGTTGTGCTTTTTTGGCAGGTGTTGACTATGGAGACTCAGTATCTCAGTGATGCCCGAAGATACTTAATCATCATACTCACACTTTTCCGGCTTCCTCAAAGCCATGCAATTTGCACAGAGCGATTGCATAATCGTTTCAGAGATGTAAGTTTGGTACAGGATAGTCAACAGAATCGAGTCAGGATAGCCAACAATCCAGAATAAATCAAATCATCGAAACCACCAGTTTACGGAACCAATCATACCCTGGCCCACACCCTTGATACTGTGCCACCACCCTTTGGGGATGAACAGCGCATCTCCCGGACCAACTTCACATTGCAGGCCTTCAGATGACCAAAAGGCGGCGGAGGACGGACTCCAAACCGCTTGTTCCAGCGCTTTGCGCTCGGCACCTTCCATCATCTCGGCGCCTCGAATGGTCGCGTTTGCAGCTCCTCCGATAGTGATTTGAACATGATGGAAGATCGCATTACCCATGTCAGGCTTGAAGAGACGAACTTGCTTCTTGCCAGCCAACTGTACGAACAGATTTGGATTAGGGTCGCGATGTAGAGGTGTGTAAGTCGGCGCGTGACCCAACCAAATACTCGTGTCGTAGATATCACCTCTACCGGCTTTGGACACAAGTTCCGGCGTAGGTAAGTCTTCCGACAGCGATGACGGTAGGTCAGACAAAGAAGCCTGGGCCAGATAGACGCTAGCCTTGGTTTCTAGCTCTGATGCACTGCTGATGGTCAGAAATTCTGGCATCTCACCTACGAACGTGTCTAGATGTGACATACTCAAGGAAGAACTGAAGAGGTTGATGCACTTGAGTAAATTGACCACCTTCGTTTGTGATCTCCAGAGGAACGATGGTCGAGCCCCATTTCTTCAAATATATAGTATCGAGACCTGGCTGAGATTCGCGCTCTAAAGACTCTTTGAACCATCTCTTCGTTGCCGGAATCGAACAAAATGCTCCTCTGGGCAATAGCGATGGTACCGCTGGAGTAAATGCGTGATTCCGGAATGTGGTTAGAGAGGCGTCCTGGAGGATAGGGACATCTCTTAGGGAAGATGATGTCGTGCTATATGCTCTACTTTGTCGCAAAAGACATGATCGTGAGAAGCCAACTCTTTCTAGCATTGCCAGTATCCGTCACCAATAGACATGTTGGTTCTGAAGAGGCGATGAAATGGTGAGTTCTGAGAGCCAAGAAAATGGTCGGTCGATGACCGAGGTGCGGAAAGCTCCGCCAAAATACTTTGTGATGCGACAATCTTTCTTGCTCACTACTGCGTGTATCTGCTTGCTGCGACCTGTAACACGTTTCAGTATCATAATCGTAGAGGAACAAGATGGTTTACTACTTCACAAGCAACGTGACGTCGCCATCGGCGTACATCTACATGGGCAAGGACAAGGTCGAAAGTCAGCAATCATTCGTCGCATTCAACATACGAGGAAGTCGCTGACTGGACTAAAGACGAGGACCTGATCGCGTACGGATTTGAAGAGGATGTCTGGGTATGACAGACACATACCGGCCATGTTCGCGAATGTCTATCTGATACAACAATACAACAGTTTCACGTCGACAATCTCTCAAGTGCTCACGTCTACGTGCGTCTTCCTGATGGAGAGTCATGGGAGGATATACCAAAGCCGCTCTTGGAAGACTGCGCTCAACTGACCAAGGCCAACTCGATTGAGGGTGAGGACGCATGCCTGGACACTTCAAGAGAATGGGACTGAGATGGACAAACGCAGGCAACAAGAAGGACAACGTCACCATCATCTATACACCATGGTCGAACCTGAAGAAGGATGGAAGCATGGCTACCGGCCAGGTCGGCTTCAAGGACCAGAAGAAAGTCAAGCGCGTTTACGTCGCCAAGAGAGAGAACCCTATAGTCAATCGTCTGAACAAGACAAAGGTTGAGAAGTTCCCCGACTTCAGACAAGAGAAGGAAGACAGAGCGAAAGAGCTTAGAAAGAAGGATCGTACTGTCATTGCTGCAAAAGTGCGTCGAGAGATGATCTGGGACGAGTATGATACACTGGCTAACAAAGATACCAACAGGCAAAGGAAGAGGCTCGCATTGCAAGAGAGAGAAAAGAGCTGGCATACCAACGAGACCACGCATATGACGACTGGAACGCAGAAGAACAGGTCATGGCATCCAGCAACCAGAATCGCGACTCTGACTGGGAGGACGATTTCATGTAGGATCGTGCAAAGATACAAGGTACTAATGCTCGGCTACGTGGTGGTAAGTCAAGTAATCTGCAGACACAACACATGTTCAGTCGCTCGATTTCGCAACTTTCGTCATCTCCTTCAAGTTTCTCCACACTTCGAGAACGCGTGTCGCGTATATTCAGCAATGCAGCCGTGTTTTGTCCCTTTGACCATCCGTTTTCATAACCTAAATCACGAGAATCGCGGAAGTATGACAGAATCACCACACAGCGAGCTAATTGCTACCCTGACCGAACTGTATGACCTGCTCGACGCGCTTGGTGTTGTATCCCACTGCTCGCCTCTTTTCCCTCCTCATGCCAACATCAACGTCGAAGCTGCCCGTGCAGTAGGGTACGCGCCAGAGACCGTACGATTGATGTGTGATCTACCCTATCTTGAGGTCAAGTTGTACGACCGCTCACTCGAACTCTTACCCAACACATACCCGGTCTCGTACCTAAGCGCCGTTGATGAAGGCAGCTTCGAGGCATTGCGCGAGATGCTACACGATGAGATGATGCCTCCCACTGCACTGCGATTGACATACGGCGAATTAGGTCAAGGCACAGAGTACATCTATGATACCGACACGAGTAAGCATTGTGTGTTCTAGCCTTGACAGCTGACAACTTACGTGTGATCTAGCACTGATATATGCATGGTGTCCTGCTGAGAATCCTGACGAGGTTGATGATTACTACCATGTACAAGGACAGCCTCCTCGTCAGGCGTTGAGCAAGCTGATCAACGACAACCGTACCCTCAAGTACATAGTCACACCTCACGGGACCGACTTTAATCACGACTTCTTCTCCAAGTCTGGTGGCCAACCACCTTCTGGAGGGAATTGGAGCATAACAGATCAAGACCACTGGCGTGCGCAATACAAGGCTTGGAAAGCTACGCGAAAGATCAAGAATATTTACTTGGACTTTGGATGGAATGTTGATACAGTAGATCAGGCCCTGTTCAAACGGGAGGAGTTCGTGATCGCGCGAGATTGGTATTGGAAAGAGGTTGTGGAACCTCTGTTAAACATTTGATGTATCAAGATTCGTGGTTTCGTTGACCATGCGCCGAGGACAGTGGGGTGAAACTAGGGATTTTGTCCTCTCCAAGCTACTAACAAGGAAGAAGCTCTAGATAATATGGCTGAGACCAGTTGGTCGTTAATGCACTTCAGCTTGCGAAAGAGCTTTTGTAAAGAACTTAGAGCTTTGGAGTCGTGCTCCTGGAACATTATCTTCAACGCGAGATAATCAATCACGAAGTAAGAGACAGTACCATCAACACGGAAGGGAAACGTATCTGAGGAACACGTGATGGGCCGCTCGAAAGCTCGAAATTTTGGTTTGATTGATCTGTTATACCATGTGACCTTCTCCGTATCGAATTGTCCCAAGAGCATGTGAATTCTTGTACGTCCGTCCGTTGATTGTCTTCCGGACGTTTGTACTCCGAGTATCGGGAAACCTCGACGGACGTGAGGTTCTTGATTTTCAGGCGCCTGACGATTCTGCAGCGAACCTCTCCTTGTATAATGGTGGGGTCACAGAAAGTCGCCGAAACCCACCGAAGGTCATCAAAGACGTCGGCTCATTTTGTTCGTGTCTGTGAGATGGCGACTCCTATAATGGCGGAACTTGCCAGTCTAGGCTATTGATCTCGCAGTTCTGAGTCCGCTTCAGTCGGCTAATTTGATTGTGTTCAAGGGCTAGCGAATGCAAATCCGCTTCAACCCATTTCGGCCATCTCTTCATCCTGAGCCTCGTCATTGGGCTCCTTGGGCTCTTGAGCTTCGTGGAATTGAATGGCGTCGTCGATGTAGGAAAGCACAGCACCGATACTGTCTTCGTCTTGGGCGTCGAGCTTGAGGAAGGAAACCATAGCGAAGTCGTCGATGAGCTGACCAACGGCGCGATTCAGCTTGTTGAACGAAGAACCTGCCATGACGCTTTGGGAGTCGGTGACATCGTCAGGGTCGTCGGTCTCTTGGTAGTACAGGCCAGTGGTCGGATCCTCATCAAGCAGACTGACATCTGGGTCAATGAAACGTTTGAGATCTTTCTTTGCGACAGTGCCTTTGACGAGATCCATCTTGCTCAGAATATTGATGTGAGGCACCTCAAGCATGAGCATGGCACTCATGGCGCTGAGAGTTCCAGCAAAGAACTTTGCGCGATCTACGACAAAGGTAGCTTCGAGCAAGTAGGCAGCGCAGAGATTGACATTAAGACTCCCTCTGGTCAAATGTTTGACAAGACTAGGCAGGATGGGCACATGGGTATACAGCTCGATTTGACCAGGCATATCGATGATAATGAGGTACTCTTCACCCACCTCTTCCAGCGGGTCGGTGATGAAGTCCATGTTCTCCAGCAAGAACTCGAAACAGTAGATCAAACCACCGTTGGGACCGAGATGCATTTCCTCCATGACATCTTCGAGGGTAATGAGCTCTCTGATGTCGAGATCGGGCTCGTAGACAAACTCCTCGGCGGCCGGGTCAAGGTTGATGTAAAAGCATGAGCGACGTGAGTTCTTCAGGTGACCAATCAAGGCCGAGCAGAAGGTGGTTTTGCCAGCGCCGGCAGGACCGATGGCCAACACACCGTATTTGGACATGGCGGGATTATGCTGGTGTTCTTTGACGGCACGCGTGTGGGAACGCTTCCTTCCAGAATTATGGGTTGATATTGTTCAGGTCGCGGGAAATTTGCGCCAAGGCGTGTATAAATCGCGTCATGTTGGCTTCGGCATTTGGCTTCTGCAAATCCTGCCGCAAAATCCAATCTGGTCTCTAGCCCCATCTGCTGCTGCCCCAGCCCGACACGGACTATCTTTTCTTTCAACGCATTCCACTGTCTCCCCTCCTCTCTCTTCACCATCCCCTCCATAAGAGTCACCTGTCCCCCCTAGACGATTGACTTCCGACACTCTCTCTCTTTCCCTTTCACCTGCATCTTTTTCTGTGCCCCTCCCCCACCTTCCTATTCACAATGGTTCACGCAAACGGAAACATCAAGGGTAACACCTTCCTCTTCACTTCCGAGTCCGTCGGTGAGGTAAGCAGCTCCCCTCTCAGCCTCATACTTTCCTTGGTCGTTACAGGCCTCGGCAGCACTTCTGTGTACTCGCTCCGCAGGCTTCGGCTCCCTTCTGCACTCTGTCCTCATTCTAGCACACAGTACTGACACACTTCACAGGGTCACCCCGACAAGATTGCCGATCAGGTCTCAGATGCCGTCCTCGACGCCTGCCTGAGAGAGGACCCCCTCTCCAAGGTTGCTTGCGAGACTGCCACCAAGACCGGCATGATCATGGTCTTCGGTGAGATCACCACCAAGGCCCGCCTCGACTACCAGAAGATCATCCGTCAGGCCATCAAGGACATTGGCTACGACAGCTCCGACAAGGGTTTCGACTACAAGACCTGCAACGTCCTCGTTGCCATTGAGGAGCAGTCGCCCGATATTGCCCAGGGTCTCCACTACGAGGAGGCTCTTGAGAAGCTCGGTGCCGGTGACCAGGGTATCATGTTCGGTAGGTTGTCTAGCACTCTGCTTGCTCCAGTTGCGCGCTAATCCATCATCTCAGGTTATGCCACTGACGAGACCCCCGAGCTCCTTCCCCTCACCATCCAGCTCGCCCACAGACTCAACGCCGAGATGACCAAGTCAAGAAACGACGGCTCCCTTCCCTGGTTGAGACCCGACACCAAGACCCAGGTCACCATCGAGTACGAGAACGACAACGGTGCCGTCATCCCCAAGCGTGTTGACACCGTCGTTGTTTCCGCTCAGCACTCTCCCGACATCACCACCGAGGAGCTCCGCAAGGAGATTCTCGAGAAAATCATCAAGAAGGTCATCCCCGCCAAGTACTTGGACGACAAGACCGTCTACCACATCCAGCCCTCAGGTCTCTTCATCATCGGTGGTCCCCAGGGTGACGCCGGTCTCACTGGCCGTAAGATCATCGTTGACACCTACGGTGGTTGGGGCGCCCACGGTGGTGGTGCCTTCTCCGGAAAGGATTACTCCAAGGTCGACCGTTCCGCTGCCTACCTCGCCCGCTGGATCGCCAAGTCCCTCGTCAAGGCCAACCTCGCCCGCCGCTGCCTCGTTCAGCTTTCTTACGCCATTGGTGTTGCCGAGCCCCTCTCGCTCTTCGTTGAGCACTACGGTACCTCTGACAAGTCCTCCGAGGAGCTTGTCGAGATCATCCGCAAGAACTTCGATCTCCGTCCCGGTGTCATTGTCAAGGAGCTCAACCTCACCAACCCCATCTACAACCGTACTGCCAAGAACGGTCACTTCAGCGACCAGACCTTCACCTGGGAGCAGCCCAAGGAGCTCAAGTTCTAAACGTGTCATGACATTGTTTCAATTCATGGTGGGCTCTTCATGTTTTCTAAAAGCCTAATGTAAGACTCTGTGTGAATAGAGCTTATGGAGGCACGGCGTCTGTGTTATAATTGGGAAGGGAAACCTGCATCAAACCCTGCGGCTCACCTATTTTTTTGGAGCGCAGGTCAGCCACACTTGAGGCAATGTGTTAAGGGGGTATTCAACATAGACTCGGGTTGGCTGTAACGTGCTATGCATGCATCTAGCGTCGGCGTTTGGCGATGATTCAACAATATCCCAGACTCACGGCATTTTGTTATCATGGGAAATGATTCTACTTCTTTTTTCAAGATAGACCAACAATCTACTACAACCATCACACTCCCAGAGAGGAGTGTGTACTTTTCTAACGACCTCTAAGCTTCTTTGCTTGTCTTTCTGCCCCTGAATTCATATGACTACCTTGACTTTTACCTAACTGAGGCCGCTATCGGCACTTGCACTTGTGATTATTTCCGCACCCGCGCGCGCTCACCCAATTGTTGAATTGCGCTCAGACCCTCGAATATTTGGACCACGTGTTGCACTGACTACAGGTGGTTCGTGAGACATTTCATGAGGTCAAATTCGTGACAGCTGTGCAAATGGATAGGTACACGTCTCTCAGTCTTGCTTCTAAAGCTCTGTTTAGGGCTCCAGCTTGAATATGGACGAATGGATGGACATGTGAAAGTCATGAAGTCATGAAAGCAACAAGCACAGAGCGGGCGGAGGACCAACCACAACCTCGGGTGGAGAACATGGTCCACGACTCCAACGATTCCAACATCAAAGCTACAACGATTACATATCCATCGGTGATTTGGATTATAAACCAACCGAGCAGCAAAGAAACATCAGGCATGTCGTCTTCAGATTCAGCGACGCGTTCATTGCCAGTCCTTTCATTGCGTGCTGCTGAGATAGCCTCGGCAGCCGCTCAGAAAAAGGCACAGGAGATAGGCATCGGTGTGTGACATCAACCATCACATCACCAAGGAAACCGCATCAACTAACCAACAACTCTTGCATGAAATAACAGACTTCAACATCGCCATTGTAGATGCCACACTCAACTTGGTCCACTTTGTTCGCCAACCCACCGCAAAGCTCACATCCATTCAAATCTCAATCGACAAGGCTTTCACAGCAGCAGGACACCGTCAGCCCACTTCGGCATACAAGCATGCCAATTTCCTGCCCGGAGGTCCTGCGTATGGTATTCATAACTCCAATGGTGGTAGGTTCATGTTGATTGGTGGTGGTGTGCCTATCAAGATTGATGGGCAGGTTGTTGGTGCTGTGGGTGTTAGTACGGGGACGCCGGCGCAGGATGAGGAGGTTGCGTTGGCTGGAGTGAAGGCTGTTGATGAGTGGGTGAAGAAGAGGCAGGGACCTAAGTTGTAAGGTTGCGGTATGTCTATTTTATGATGTGTGCTCGGAGTAATGATTCGCTGGTTGATGCCAGCTATGGAGGTACCGCTCGAGCTATTTCGCTTACTCTCATTACACTTCTCCGATCGTTGAAAATTACTGTGCCTCTCGACAGCCTTAAGTTCTCCTCACACTACAGAAGTAGAGCTCATATCAACTGAACATCACAGCTGCCGCGTCGTCGCGATCCTAGGTCTTGCCATAACGTATCCCAATTAGGAAGGTACTAGCGCCCCCTCTTCCACGTCAGCACAGTAACCGAGCAGATGAATTTAACCGCATCCTCCTCAACGTCTCTTCCAAAACCCAAGTGCTTATCTTAGGCAACAGCGACTGCAATCATTAACGTGGCTTCCTGCATGAATGTTGCTGCCTGAGTAAAATCATACTAATATAAGGCGGCCAAGGCACAACCCTGCATTTGCCAAGGTCGCCTTATACCCTACCATCGGCACCATGTCTTTCTCTATACAACCAGTCAATGTCGCAAAAGCCCCTGATGTTGCTAAAGCTATGATTGATGCCCGCTGGGCTGACCCTCATTGGAAAGCTCTCTTCGAGGACGGGTTCACGTCTTCTCAAGTGACACTCGAGACTGGACAGCGCTTACCCTGGAATTGGATCAATGGCAGAGCAACAAAACGGCATCAGATGGCTGTGGATGACAAGACTGGAGAAGTCGTCGGATATGTCAGATGGGTAATGCCCTCCCATCTAGCAAATGCAAAAGAACCAGTATGGCCAGAAGCTCAGGTCGCAGAACCCTCATCTGAGGACCGCGCCGAGCACGAAAGAGACTTCAAGAACGCTACAAACAACGGTCGGGTCAGAGGGCTAAGGAACGATATGATGGAGTTCCGCAGTACACCTCTTGAGGAGGTGGACGCTAAAATCAACGAGGGTGGTCCCTTCTTGTGTAAGTATATTCACATACTTGCTAGCCATCTATGAGCTGACCGAAGCAGTCCTCGACTATCTGGCAGTTTCGCCCAAGTATCAACGTCAAGGCGCAGGTGCACTCTTGCTACGTGATGGTCTTGCAGTGGCCGATGCTAATGGCTTGAAGTCGTATACCACAGCATCGGCGGCCGGTGTGAAGTTGTATCAAAATCAAGGCTTTGAGACTGTTGAGGTCGTCACTGTTGATTACTCCAAATTTGGAGGTGTTGAGCCAGTGACAGACTACTTCATGATTCGTCAGCCCCAAAAGTACAGGACGTGACTATCGACATAGTTTACTGAACCAGCTTTAGTTGTCCGCCATCTCACAATTTCACTTTTACCTACTTGCCTTGACTTGCGTAAATCTTAACTTCTGTCTTCTCCGTCGGCAAATTCTCTCACAACCACCATTATAAAAGCAACAATGTCCCCTCAGAAGCCTACCGCTGTCACTGACAGCAAGACTCCTACTCCCACTAAGAGTATCATCAAGAAAAAGTACTACTGTAAGTTTCTTCACTCGCACACCTCTCTTCACATCCACTGATATCATCTCAAAGGCTGCTACGGCACTCACAGCTATAACAACTCTCACAACAGCGAGCATCGCAACCTCCGCAAAGTCATTTACGCAAACCCTACTTATCCTGCCGCTCCCTTGCAGAAGGTATGCTTCATCCTATTCGTGATATCATGGATTGTCACAAGCTTACAACAACAGAAATTGCGTCAAGAAGCTGCCGAAGTGGTGAAGAAAGAACATGATGCTTTCATGGCTGGCTCTGGCTCAGATCACTATCAGATGAGCAAGAAGGAAATTTTGGCTTCATTTAGTAGTGTAGAATCAAAGGAGGATCTGGAGCGTCGCGGTGTCAGATGAGAAGCAGAACATGACTTGACGAGGTAACCAAACGGTATTTCAGAGTTGCCACTCTCCAAGCACAGTTCACTACAATAACACCCTTGACGAAATGCACAAAAAAAATCCAAGCCAGCCTCCACCATCCAGCCAACCCTCTTCAGAAGATGCTGCGCCAGGAAGCCGCTCGCATCATAAGCAAAGACTCAGGAACTTCGAACGGGGTCCATGACATACAGTCGTCTCATCTCAGGGAGATGGTAGAGCTGCGCATCGTTGACAAGAACGACATCAAGAAAACGAAGGAAAAGAAGTCCAAACTGGATGAGATGACCTGCGCCGAACTTCTCAAGCACCAGGAGGTGTTGGAGGAACCGAACGTCTCTCGAAGCGTCACAGGCCTGTGATGTCGGATTGGCTCTCCATTGAAGATACTTCCATTCGTAATATATCCTTGCCTTTTCACAGCGGGTGATTTCTGAAACTATGCTAGGGAGATGCTGAGCTTTTACAACGCGTGCGTGTACCTTGCTCCTTTACTGTAGTCCCGCCATTGATCTCTTCCATCTTATGAACTTGTTTCTGCCTTTTTACAAGCGGATGACTGGCGGCGGAGATGCCTGAACTCGTCTAGAGTTCATACATACCCTCATCGGCCATAACGATCTGCGAGTTTTCCTTACCACCTCTCTTGCCACTCTTCTCGCGTCCGATGAGGATCCAGTTTTTAATAATGGCAGTACCATCCTGAATCCACCCCTGCTCTTCTTCAGTACAAGATTCAGGGTTGAGAGTATAACACTCATTCTCAGGCTGAGGCAAGACATCACTGGGAGTCCATGCATCATCAGATCCACTAGTCTTGTACTCGCTCGAAACAGCCACTTTGCCAGTAGCAACATCCTTGTTGAACAGACTGCGCATGAAGATCTCATACGCAGCTTGAGGCTGATAGCTGGGTACCAAGTGACCAGCCTGGTAGACCCTTGTGAAACTCAGGTTACCGTGCTGTCTGACCAGACCACCAGAGTGGACGGGAGAAAGTACGAGGGGAGTGTAGCCGGCCTTTGAGAATGCCTCTTGCGACTCCCAAGGAATGTGAAGAGATGACTGTTGGCCACCGAGCCAGTTACAGGCATAGTCGCGGTCACCGTACATGAGAGCCACCTTTACGCCATTGTCCAAAATGTAGGCGATATCCTCGAGAAGGCCGCCCTTGGCAATATCACCAGTCTTTGTAAAGGCTTCGTAGACAGTTGGCGAGACTGCGGTGAAGTTGACAGGAACGCCCAATGCCTCCTGTACCCAGTGCTGGTTCAGGTAGCCTACGAGATACTGGGGTGGGAAAGGATCGTTTCCTTGGTGAGTAACGTCAAACCAGCCGAATGATCCATTGCTCATATAGGGCACGACGGCTGCCTTTGCGAGGTTATCCTCAGCTGCCGCACAATAGCTGTTGGTCTTCTCGACGTCACCGTAATCATTGGGATCAGTCTCTTTCTGCAGCCTGCGACATTCATGAATCTGATCGCGTACTCCTCCCTCACGGACGAGCTCGTATCTGGCATGGAGGAATTGCTCCTCGGTATATGCCTGGATGCCGTAAGTGTTGGCAACAGGGAAATCGACATATGCAGCAGCGGTATCCTCGGAATCGATGCACCCGTTAATTATGCCCAAAGTGTCGAGATGCAAGTAGTGCGTGCCAGGGCCTGAGATCGACCCGTTGGCAATCAATTCGTTCTGAGTCATAAACTTCTTGACAAAAGTGGGACCATATCTTCCGCCATAAGACTCGGTGAACAGAGAGATCTTCTCATCGTGAGGCTTGTACTGGGGGAACTCCTCAAACCAGGTCTGGGCGAAGTGCCAGAAGGCAACAGCCGCGTGCTGCGTGCTGTTGACGGTGGAAGAAATATTTTGACTACTAGCAGTGCCAACCAGGAAAGTGGCATTCTGGTCAGGAACACCAGAGCTGAAATCGGCTACCTCGATAGAACCAGGGCTCTCATTGTCGACCTTCAGGTTGACAGTGATATTGGTAGGGACATCGTACGAGTATCCGACCTGGACTGGCTGGTCGATGTACAAGATATTGACCTGCTTCGTGTTAGCATTGCCTCGCCACGAGAGCATACGGCAATCACACCTCGTTGTTCCATGACCAAGGGTTCAGGTAGGTAGAGTTGCTATCGTTGTTGACGAAGCAAGGACCGTTCTCAGAGAGCGCTCCCATCATGGAGCTTCCTCCTGGTCCACCATTGAGCCAAATAGACAGAGGAGCCTTGTGCGGGTCCTTGCGTGATTCAAAGAACCAGAAGAAGCTATGATACATTAGCATGTTATGTGTCGATGTGCATACCAATGCCTAGACTTACGTATTGACCGGATAGTCCTGTCTTTCGTGTGTCTCATTGATACTGTGAGGTGGCAGATGAACATAACCAGAGAAACTGCGAACACCCTCGGTGGTCTCGCAGACGGTGGGCTGGAAGATTGATCAGCTTGTGAACATACGAAAACCATTGGAGATGCCAGTTCACGGTCTCCTACATGGTTCATGTTTCAGAATACATACATCAACCTCCTTGTAAGAGATCTCAATACCTTGATGGAACTTGGACTTAACAGTCTTGACGTCCTCAGGCTTCGGCGGGAACTGGGCAACAGTAGACGAGGCCAGCAAGGCGCCCGACAACAACGCGGAGTTCTTGAACAACATCGTGAACGAGAACAATCCTCAGAATATCAGTTGAGATGCTCAATGAGGTGGCCGGTAGCTTTATCAAGTCGCTGTTGGAAATCGCGGCATCCATGTTCGTGATTCCGACCAATGAATCCTACGACGCTATACCCGTCTTGGCAGGTGGCTGGTATGGATTGTGCCTTCCCCAATAATGCTGCCTGAACGTTATTGCTTCTGTTTTAAACGGATGCCTGGAATGTTGAGACATGCTTACTAAGGAGGCTAGTAGCATTGAGGCTTCCCGTATCAACGGTGCGAGAAAGTCTGTCTGACTTGGTCAATTTGACTTGCTACTGTTGTGACCCTGTCTGTATTTACTCATGACATTGTGTTCCATTGTAGCTAGGTACAGTCGCCGTAACCTCGATTTACATGCTGCAACAGGATCATGACAAACAAAGCAAGTCAGACTTGGCAGTAATACTAAGCAGGCAGCAGGACTGTTGTTGTATAGTGCTTGCGACAACAATATCCTCGTCCATGACCGGACTGTCAAAACTACAACACACAAGACAGTCCGATTTTTCACCTCCCTTACACCACATCACTGCAACCTCGAGTAGAAGTCGAAAGCACTATTGACGATCTATTTAACCCCACCTCGAGTTCAGGACAAAGCACAATCAGGCAACAATTTGGGCAATATGCCCCCCACCACCTTCAACATCAAGATCTACTCCGACACCGTATGCCCATGGGTAAACAATCCCCGCCCTCGCGCTTGTCCTCTCCCCACTAACTCCCCATTAGTGCTACATCGGGCTTAAAACCCTCGAACATTCCATCCACCTCTTCAAAACCACCTACCCAATCGCCTCCCATGACATCTTTTCCATAACCTGGTCACCCTACTACCTCAACCCCTTTGCACCCACTCCCGGTATCCTAGCTTCCACACGTATAGCACAAAAAAACGGTGCCGAGCGTGCAGAAGGTATAAAACTGCGACTGTCACGTGTAGGTCGCGCTCATGGTATAAACTTCACTTTTTCAGGGAAAGTGGGAAACACCAGGGATTCGCATAGATTGATTCTCCTAGCTGGGCAAAAGGGAGAGGATGTGCAAGGGAGGGTTGTGGAAGAGTTTTTCAGGGATCATTTCGAGGGTGAAGGGGATGTGTCGTTGAGATGTGATTTGGTAAAAGCTGGTGTTGCTGCTGGGCTTGAGGCGGAAGAGGTGGGTGCTTGGTTGGATGGTGATGAGGGTGGTGAAGAGGTTGATCGAGAGGCTGGACGAGCTAGGGATTCGGGAGTGACCTCAGTGCCGACTTTTGAGATCAATGGCAAGAGACTCGAGGGTGCAGAGGATCCTTCGGCTTTCTATGAGATGTTTGCGGAGATCAAGGCTAGGGAGCAGGAGACGTCCGGATGAAACAATGAGGCAACTGACCCTGTCATTATGGTCTCTGAGCTCTCGGCGATGCTCTTTAGAGGTCACAAAAGGTTCGTACATTCCGACAGCCACCAGGAGTCGAGAGTTTCGTCGCTAGAGTTGCACAACATCCTCAGTATTGACGATGAAGACATGGCTGAAGCGTGATAGTTGCACCATCATAAAATCTTATTAACATGGTCACCTACATTCAACGTCTCTTTGAGCCCTTGCCTCCTCTTCCCTTGCCCTTTCCTTTTTGGCCACCACTGCTGCTACCTCCGTGTGCTCCTCCGCTCATCATGACTCTGACCTTGCTGACAGGCAAGACACCAATGACTTCCACATCCTTCCAGTTCTTGATAAGCTCAAGTTCTCTGGGCCAGATGCGTTCAGTGTCAGTCATGGTTCGATCAACCCACTTGTTGACAGTGCCTGCCTTCGCCCAGCCGTCCATGATCTCGCGTATCGCTCTACCCTTCTTTTGTGCACCAGGTTGCAGCTTGACCTTGTACTTGTACTTTGCCAATGCCGCCCAAGGTGCACAGACCGGGATGGCCTCCAGGAGCTCATCACCAGGCAAAGGAGCACCGACGTAAGCATCAAGGTGTGTGACAGCACTGCTCTCCTCTTCGTCCAAAGCCTCGATACCTTCTTCCAAGTTCAAGCGGCGAATCTCCTCGGCTTCGAGACCTTCACGCTGTGCCTTCTCGTGTTGAGCACGACGACGTTCTCTAGCTGCTTCGGCACTTTCGGCCTTCTTGGCCTTCTCTTCCTCTTCAGCATCGCGCTTCTCCTCTGCGGCCTTAGATCCCAAGATTTCCATGGCGAGACGGCGGTCTTCTTCGTCTTGATCGGCGTACTTTTGTGCTGCCTTCTTGGCCTTGCCGCGTTTGCCGCGGACGGGTTTATTCTGCTTAGGCTGATTTGCTTTGGCAGCTTCAGCCTTGCCCTTTGCTCGAGCTTTCTTCCCTGATGACTCCGGCAGTGTGAGTTCAGGTTCCTCATCTTGGGCACTCTGGTCCTTCTCGACCTTCTCCTCTTTCTCCTCCTCATCATCCTCCTCGTCTTCATCCTCAGACTCTGAATCGCTATGTTGAGCGTCCTCGTTAGCAGGCTTGGCTGCTTGCTCTCGCGATTGCTGGCCTCCCTTAGGCTGCAAAGGGTTCAATCGCTCTTCAGGAGATCTTGCTTCTTCATCAGCAGTGTTGCCAGCGGCCTCATCGTCATCAGAATCGTCAGTCTTGTCATCATCCTTGACATCAGGGAACTCGTCATCACTAGCGTCGTCCTTAGCGTCTGGGAAGTCATCGTCAGATTCATCGTTGGCGGCTGCCTTGGAGTTTGCCTCTTGGGTCATTCCGCGAACGTCATCATTCTGCAGTCTGTGCTTGACGTGTTTGGCCTTACTCTCCTCACTGATCTGCCAGATGACAGCGAAACCAAGCAGAAGTTGAGCGGGAGGGAGGAAATTCTTCTTGCCACGGATCATGAATCCGCCAGTAGTCAAGTACTCTCCAGTAGGAGCAGTCTTTGACACTTGATCAGCATTGACCCACCATGCGGACATGACAGCCTTGGAGTCCCAGGCACTCGATGTGCAGACCGACAAGTTTCCAGCTTGCGACAAGGTCGACGGAGGAATTTCGAATTCGGCCAGTCCAGGATTGTTCTTGATGATGACAGAGGAGGCGCCGTGAAGGTCGGCGTGAACGTAGATATCGCCTTTCTTCAGGTGACGGCGGTACAAAAGCTCATTTTGTTGAGCATCTTTACCACCCAAAACTAGGTAGCCATCAGATGAGATGAAGTAGATGAACTTCTCGAACCAGAGTTGCTTGCGCACAGGACGAAGCACTGCCTTCTCCTGTTTCAACCCCTTTCTCAGGTCTGCTTGAATTCTCTGTTCAGTGCTCTTCAACGCCTTTGTCGAAGCCTGCTCGGTCTTCTCCTGCTTGGTGGCAGCGACACGCTTCTGGTCGTAGTACTGTCTGGCGTTGGACCAACCTGACAAGCTGAGATCGATGTCCACGGTCAGACGCTTGTCCTCCTTCTGACTCTCCTTGGTCGATTTTTTCTTGTCCTCGTCCTCACTGTCCGAGTTGTCGCTCTCGGTGACATCGCCCAATTCTTCCTCCTCTTCATACGAGTAGTCAGACAAAAGAAGTGTGACGGTGTTTTCTTCGAGCTTGAGTGGAAGCTTTATGATCTCGGCAACGGCATTGTTGCGACTCTGCTCCATTTCGATTAGGCGTTCAATCTCGACCCAGTCCATACCCTGAGCGATGAGACCGTTGACGGCAGCCGTGGCTTCTTCGACACGGTCCAAATTAGCCTCAATGGCTTGAGCCTTTGTTATGTTGAGCTCCTGTGTTTGCTGGAGAGAGCCAATGCGACGAGCATGCTCCTGACGAGCAGATTCGAGCTTCTTCTTTGCCTGCTCTTCTCTTTCGCTCAGCTTGGACTCGAGCTTTTGACCCTCAATGGATGAGAAGAACTCGTCAACGGTCTTGTTAAAGCCGGTGAATTCCAGGAAGACGTTATCGGGATTGCTCTCGAGTTGCTTCGGCTTAAAGGGATGGAAGTCGTCATACATCAAGCCCTTGGCCTTGTCTTCCTCGGTCTGACCATCTCCGTTGGCATCAGCAGCGGCCTTCTTGCTGCGCTTGGACACGATATAACCAGTGACGACGTCAGCTGAGGTGATGTCTGCGAGTACTTTGGCAGCCTCATCAAAGACGGCCATGAGTTTGTTGAGGAGAAGCTCGTTCTCAAGCACCTCTGATGGCTGGACGGTCTTGTCGAAGCCAGTGAGCTCAAAGACGTGGTCGAGAACGACAGGAGGGAACTCTGTGATAGAGACAGCCAGAGCCTTGCGCAGAGCATCTCCGGGCTTTCTCTTTATTTTCTTTGTGGACTGATCTTGAGACTGGCGTTCAATTGACTTTTCCAGACCAGCACGAACTCGGTCTTTGGTCAATGGTGGAATGCCTCCATAGTTTTGACGCAGTTCGAGGTTGTAGGGCAGACCCAGACGGTAGCGCTCGTGCTCGGCGCCCTCGTCGACATTTCGGAGCAGGCCAATAATGTTGAGTTCATTGTCGGTGAGGACGATGTTTCCACCAGCGTAGAACTCGAGGAACAGATGGTACTGGCCGTCGGAGAATTGGATGTCGATGATGCGGTCGGTGCCGATTTGAGAGACCGAGGTGACTCTGCGCGTGCGGAGGTATTTGCGGAGACGGGCGATGAAGGGTGAAGGAGCGGCAGCGGTGGCTCTAGCGAAGGTGGTGAGGTGGCATCGGAAACCAGAGTCTATGATCAGCTGCTCGCGGTGCTCTGGTTTGGCGAACTTGAACAAGAAGATTCGCGACGAAAGGTCGTAGATGTTGGACACGCGCAGGCTGACTAGCGCCGACGAGAGCTCATGGGCGATGACCTTGACGTCCAAGGACGAGAATCGCTGCTTCATGTTTGTTTGAACAGAGGGTTGGTCTGCAAAGGAAGAGAGTTGAGCGAGGGCGACAAGTTGCTGCCCCACCGTCGCAGAATGCCCATGACATCACCACAAAAAAGGTCATTTCATAATCGGCACTCTTGTCTTTGTCGAGAATTATCATTTCATACTCGAAAACTGACTCGTTCAGCCCGTCTGGTCCGTCTATACTCAGTCCGGCCACTAGAAGATCCCACAAAGCACTCGATGATTGGTCGTGACGCTTGTTCATGCTACCGCCGTGTAACGCCTATAACTCCTTTTGCCAGATGCTTGTGCCCTTGGACCAGCCCCTTACAGACCCTGTCGTAGTCTCTCGCCCAGCTTCATCTTACCGAATTGCCAGGCCTTGAGTAGACCCTCTTCTGAGAGGTCAATGCCCTGGACCGAGCTAATGTCCTGCACAGGGGGCTTGCTGACACGCGATGCCACAATCACAGGATCCGTCTCGAGCACGATACCGTCGTCGATGATTTCATCAATTGCCAAAGATACTAGGTCGTAGTTCTCGACAATTGTGCGCTTGTCGACAGAGTTTCTGCAAGCGGCTAGGTCAGCTTCCGTGTCTATGTGGGACAAGACAAGATCACTCACTTGAGGAGGATGTTCAGAGAGTCGCGCAGAGCCAATATGACCGAGTAGAGTAGAATCTCATTCTCATCAGCACCTCCGACAACATAGAGCATAACGTCACTCTCCATCTTGAAGACAACAATTCGGTTGTCGTAAAGGATGATGTCGCTGTTTTGCTTTGCCGTCTTCTCCAACAGACCCTTTTCGAAAGCCTTCTGATCTTTGAGTTGAGGGTAGGGGTTTGCGCCAGGATAGTCGTTGGCCGTAGCATTTGCGGGAGCGTGAGGGGGAGAGTAGTATTTGGCCAGGATGCGCGACGAGTCGTCTGCCGCCAGGATCAGGACGGCGTTGACCGAGAATAGTGACATGTTGGGCGACATGATGTGCAATTGACGTCCTCCCGGGTAGATGGTATAGTGAGACTTGTCAAGATGTCGAGAGGATTGTTTACAGTTGGGTCGTGGCCTCAATTCAGGGAGCTTCGAGCGACAGCTGTCCCACCACTTTTGCAACTTCAGGAAGGGAAGGCGAAGCGAACGCTTCACATGCAACTTGCGGAGTTGGGCTGCTCCTCCGAGAATTATTCGGTATTTTGTTCACGACTGTAGATTCGAGCGTTCCAACTTTCTGGTTCTTGCCGTTCGTGAGAGAAGGGAGACAAACACTCGATGCTGCGCGCGTCTACTCTACTAAAGGCAGGCGCTTTCGCAAAACATGGACTCGCCGTAGCCACACGACCAGCTCTTTCCCGATCAACAAATTATTGCCTCGCTCTTTCCGTCACACGACCCAATCGCTCCTATGCAACAACACCTAAACACATTCGGAAGCGACAAAAGGCCGCGCTAGAAATCGATCGCCCTCCTTCCTTTCTGCGCCATGTAGAAATTCTTGCAGATGCCCTCCAGGCAAACAACGTCCAACACATAGCCTCCGTCTACAACGTCCTCCGCAATCAGCTTCCACTCGGAGAGAGTGATGTGGCAGATATGGCAAGGGCTGTACATACTTCGTTCAGGCTGCTACCTCAGTCCGTCCGACAGACTCGCATCCCTGCAGAGCTCAACAGCCTCGCAGATCTCCTGGTCCTTGACATACAGGCAAAGGTCCTGCCTCCGAGCTATGATGCGCACTTGCATCTTCTGAGCTTCTATAAAGAGTCGGCCGCCTTTGAGAAGGGCAACGCCTTCTGGTCATGGCTGGTGAAGCAGAGCGATGATTACGTCAACGCAAATCTTTATGGCGTTGCCCTTGAACTCTTTGCTTTCCAAGGTCGTCCTGCAGAGGATACGGAACAGCTATATGAGAAAGCCCTTGATCGCTTTCCTGGTGTCTTCCTCCAATACCATCTCGCCCACAATGCCGTCATTGCCGACCGCGCTCAGCCCACGGCCATATCAGGTATCCCTAGAGCCCTGTTACAAGGCATCTTGACCGCACGCATTTTACGTGGTGACGCAAAGTCAGCCTATCTCACCCTGGATACCACTTTCAGACTCTTCCCCACCAAGCTCCCGGCTCGATTCGTTACCCTTTTCGTCCAGGAACGCCCCTTAAATGAAGCTTACAAGCTTTTCCTGCTTGCCTGTCAAGCTGGCGCCACTCCGGGCCATGATGCCTTAAAGATTCTCTTGTCAAACCTGCGAAAAGTCGTTGCGACTCGACCACTTGAAAATGCTGCTATGTTGCGTGCAATGGTTACCGCTTGCTACGCTCATGTGGCTTCTGGCGCTGCCTTGCACAACAAGTCTCTCAATGAACTGGTCATCGCAATCACCGGACTCTTGAAAGATCGTGCCTTCGCCGGAATGTCATCCGACCAACTGCGACCTATCACTGACGGAATTGGTGCTCTGATCAGTGACCTCTTTGGCATCTGGGCTAGTCAAAACTCACCACCAGGCATAGCTTCGTTCAACTCTATGATCGCCAATCTCGCTGGCCGAGGTAAGCGTCAAGACGTTATCGATCATTCTCTCGAAGCATTAAAGCATTATGGACTCAAACCCAACACGGTCACGTTCCGCTCCATCTTAACTGCTGCAGGCGAAATGGGTGACGCTGAAGCAGTTCGCTCAGCCTGGACTAGTCTAGTTGCCAACCGCATTGGGACAGGCGCTGCGCTGGAGCTTGTGGACTGGCAGAATCTGTTGAACGCCGCTAGACGTATTGATAATCCGGATTACGTGCAACAACAGCTCGTCAATTTTCAACACATAGTGCCGACACATATCTTAGATCGAATGAGCACCGCGATCCAGGTCGAAAACTTCTCGAGACGCTCCAAATCGGACGAGAGCCCACCATCGGAATACTGGATGATTGCAGCAAAATCGACGAAGATTTTGGACGTCCTCAGACAGGATATTGATTATCTGTCAGCGAACTTGCAGTCTAATCGCAACTTTTACGCTGAGCCTTTGTCGTTTTCCCTACAAGACCGCGCAAACGTGTATGCAGGTATACCTGAACAGCACATCCGTATGGTGTACGATGAAATGACAACAGACTCGTCGACAACTCTCGACCTTCTCCCACCGTCAGTTTCCGAGTCAGGACTACAAGCCGAGATAGAGGTCGAAAAGCAAGGACCTGCCGTGAGTCCAACAGGATATCCACTTGATGAGCTTCGATACCAGAACTGGAAGACGATCAACGAGCTTCTGTTTTATGCAAAAATACATGACAGAGAATACATGAAGGCTGTTGACAATGCCATCAAGCTCGGCAAACCGCCACCTGCTCGCGATATGGAATTGAGCAACGTACTAGGAATTGACCAAATGCCTGGTTTGAGTGACTCGAACACAAAGCCCGATGACGACAGATCAAGCACTGCTTCTGGTGATGACAAGGAAGTCACACTTGATGAGTTCCGGGAGACGATCTTCGAACTCCGTGGCCGTAAGGCTTAAGGCAATTATGCATTTCATTATCGTCATTTCTGAGTAAGCGGTGTGCGGGACGAATACAGACGCCTTGACCTCAAACGCCAACACGATGACACCATGAACTTCCAAGTCGACGGACAGGCAGAAAGGAAAGAACATTGCTCCGATCAGCTCTGCTGACATATCGCCTGTGGTCGGCTGCTGTAATACTTTGAGAAATTCCGACCCCTCCCTTCCCATGTTTCCGGAAACATTCTCTGATGGCGTTGTGATGTAATTAAGCCTGGATCAACTCTACTGTGTAGTATTCTAGTGACGGGGACCAGCCCTCATCAGATGATCAGGGACGGTGGGACGAGAAAGCTTCGGTTGGAGAAGGAGGAGGAGCAGGCGTTTCGTCCTTCTGAGCGATTCGGATCTTCAGGTCCTTTGTGCGAGGCTGGGAAGCTGAAGCTGCAAAGGCGGCGCTGAGGTCTTCGTGCGTGAATGAGTCGGAGCGTAAGATCAAGCGCGGGCGGCCAGCAGGTTGAGGATGTGCGGGTGTCATCTTGACGAAGATGTGTGATGATTGTCGATGGTCGAAGTTGAGAGCTCGTAAGCTGTACGTCGCCTTCGAAGACGGGCTGCGACTTGACTTGTTGAAGACTTGATCGTTGATGAGGACTAAAAGTCTTGTAGGCCTCGGAGGATACTCTCTGATGTTGATGGATATTGGACAGTGTCTGGATATTTTGGGGCGAAAAAGGCAACCAAGATGAAAAGAGCATATAAATCACAAGGACGACAAGAGCGAAGAGGGAGCTCTGAATAAATATTCAGAGCATATCACCGCCCATCGCCTCCTTCGTCACATCACACACAATTCAAGGATAAATTTCCCACACACCGCAGCTTTTTCTCTTCCGATCACCAATCCTTGCAACACACACACACAACTGGCTGACAGCCGTTTTCCAATTCACACCACCCATCTTCGTCTGAAGGCGCCTTCTCACCCCTTTGCCCTGATGCATTGCAGCAAGAAAGGTATTGCATTAGTATCAAACGAGCCGTGCATCCCGCGCCCCGCGCCGTCCCTTGAACCAGAGTGTCGGGTCTTGCAGGATTGCAGCTTTTTCTCCTGCCAAACGTGGGTGCATCGATACGAAAAGAGGTGTGCGATTGACACGTACCCCGGATAGTCTCCATCTGCTTATTGTCATCGGTGCGAGATTGAGGGTAGAACCAGGTGTGGGGGAAAGGGGGGAAATCATGCGGTGCCAGATACAGTGGTTGGGGAGAAGCGTGTCAGGTGTCACCACACTTGCTCTGCTCTTCTCATCTACGAACTCTCCTGATGGTGGATAGTAAGGTGTTTCCTTTGTTCTGCTATTCTTCCGGTGTAGAGCAATGGAGAGGTGAATGATAGGGCTGATTAGAACAAATCACTGTGATAGGTGTATTCTATCCAACGAATGGAAACCGATGGTGGAATCTCCTTGACCGCAAGTTCGGCTTGTTTGGATATTGATGGCTTGCGATTCGCGGCTTCTTCTTTTTGACAAGGGGGCTTACTGTCGTGTCGATCTTCCGATGTCCAGAACTGACAATCTCCTTTTCGCTGCAATGATCTTCCGAAGGACGATATTTTTCGCTTCCAGATCGTTTCGTCTATTTTTCTTGTCTCTGTTGGTTTCGCTTGCCAACACATCATCAGATTTCCAAGGCCAGAGGACCTTTCTAGGCTTCGAGGCCTCCTGCGACAAGCCTTTGACATGCCATATTTTCTGTTTCTAGATTCTTTGGGCTGGCTGCCGGTGGGATGGCACATATTTTCCCACGGATAACACATGAAGCGGCAAGACGCCCGCATCGAACACCACAAAGATTCCGGCATACCATATGCAGGATACCGAGATGGCGTTCCCTTCTTGTAACAACCAGGATTTTGGGTAATCCATTCATCTCCTCCATCACTTTCCCCGTCTTCCAGATTCTTGTTCTGTGTATCAATCTACGGTCAATTATCCACCGGATAAACTAGAGCAGATGAGAGCAACTTGATAGAAGCAATATTGTCCAATAACACTTATCCGGATAGCAACTGCACGGAGTGGCCGATATCTGTGTCCTGCCTTCTCGCTTTGTACGAGACAGAGTCGAGAGGTGTGATCGCTCACACCGGCTACAAGCAGAAAGCGGAATCATACAGACCTCCACGACTCTTCATCCTTACTTGTTTAACCTTACACATCAACTTCTAGAATCCTTCGTTCACGAAAGTACAAAGAGATGAAGATGTATCGGTGTAGCGGACCGAGTTTCCATACGACGTACCATACCTTTCGTCCTGAATCTCTTGTATGCCAACTTTTTGCTTCTATCCTTGTGACCTGTTTTTCCCTCCACCCGTTTAGCCGCGAATCATGGCCTTTTCATCATCGATGCTCTTTGTTGTCGTCAGTGCAAACTGCAAACACGTTTCAAACTGCCAGCACGTTTCAAACTGCCACACACTGCTGCATCCCACGCAACAATGTCAAAGCTGACGACCTGGAGAAAAGCAAAAGACGGAGAAATCTGGTCACTGTATGCGGGGGATCGTTTTCTGCAGGGTTCCGTTTTTCGTGCAACGTGCCCCCCGTGGAAGAAAAGCAAGGTGCATTTGCATTTCTTTACGAGACCAGATTTGGAAATCGTGGGTCAGTGTGACCCGGGGAACGGGTCCGGGGTACTGGTATTTCTCTGGAAGCAAGGGATTGATGATCGGTCCGTGAAGAAGATCTGATCAGTCTGATCAGGAGAGGAGAATTGGCTGTGTTCAGCTGGGGAAGTGGCATGCCGGGTCAAAAGGCGCCAAGCACCTTGACCTTGAATATCGGACATTGGAAGCTGGGAAGCTGGTAACCTGAGACGAAACGATAGTGGATGCGCATGATCATGGAGAAACAGAATTCATTATAGGTCGTCAAGATACAAACTTAGAGAAACAGATCACAGTGAGTGTCATCCCAAGCATCAAGCGTCCTTCCGGACCTCCAATCGGTACCAAAGAGCCACATATCTGGAGTGATCAGAGCGTCTGTGGGGCTGGTCCACCTTTCAGCCTTTGCGGTGTGGGAATTGCTTCGAGCCTCAGATCCTTCCTCGAGAGGAGTGTTTGTGCACTTAGCATCCTCTTTGGCGTCCAGTAGCCATTTTCTAGCACAGTTTGAGAGATACTGAAGAGTGACCACAGAAGGAGGCTTCTAGTCTCGGTGGAAGATCAGGTTGACTGGGTCGGAAGGCTGAACGACAATGTCCGTCTTCAGCTTAGGACGCTCGGCCATCTTGCACTCGATGCGCGAATATGTTTGTAGAATTCGAACAACAGTGTAAGCAACTTCGGTTAAAGCGAATTGTTGACCTAGTGCGTCAAGTCAGCTTGTGTCTTCCCAGAACACGCTTGTGTATGGATACTTACCAATACAGATACGAGGTCCACCATTGAAGGGAATGTCTGCAGTCAACGTTAGCAACGTCTTGGTAGACTGAGGCCTGAATACTCACAAGTCCACATCTTGGGATTCCATCCATCCCATCGATCAGGCTCAAAGCTGAGATGATGAGCGAACTTCTCGGAGGCCTTTGGATAGATGTCTTCACGACGCTGCAGGAACAGAGTCGAGTATGCAATGGGTGTGTTTGCTACATTTGTGTCAATAAAGCGATGTCAAATTTACCCTCGTTTGACTTACCAGGAACACCAATAGGCTGGGTACCATCTGGACCACCACCACGCGGCAGAGTTGTGTCCTTCAAGGCCACTCTAACGTTGAAAGGTACAATAGGGTAGAGTCTGAGGGTCTCGTTGATTGTGTGCGTGAGGTAGCGCATGTTCTTCAGATGGGTGTAAGTTGGCTTGTTGTCCAGACCGACATTTTCCTCGATTTCCCGTCTCAACTTGGCAACAATGTCCGGCCTGCGAGAAATCTCATTGAACAACCAAGAGAGTGTGCATGCTGTTGTATCACGTCCAGCAAGTAGTACCGCCGCCAACTGGTCTCTCAGGACTGTACGATCGCGCGTGAAGCTGGCAAGCGCATACAAAAAGTTATAGCCCTCGTCTGACTTGGACTTCTTCTCGAGCTCCTCGGGGGTCAACTGCAACGTCTCTTCAATGAATGGCTGCATAAACTCTTCCATGATCTTAAGAGAAGCGTAGAACGCCTTACGTGGTACGAATCGGTTGAGGGGTCCAACTCTGGCAATGGTGGATTGAACGCTCTGGACTGTTGCAAAGGCATCTGAGAAGCGATCTTGAGGATTGACGAGACTGTTCACACTGTGGCCGAGTAAGAACGCGGTACTGGCATCCAAGGTGAACTTGAAGAACAGATCCATAGCGTCAACAGGTTTACCATCTCCAGAGCCTCCGAGCATAGGGAGAAGGACTTCCAAATGCTTCTCGAAGACCTCCAGATCAGAAACGCGATCCTTGATGAACTGAGGGCGGATCAGTTGACGAGATGCATGCCACTTCTCTCCATCGGTGGTGAATATGCCTGCATGGAGTCAGAACCGAAAGCTCCTTCTGAAAAGTCAATACGTCTTACTGTCTCCCAGGAAGTCGTGCCATTCGGAATTGAATTGTGCACCCTTGCCGTAGTCATTGAATTGAGTCGCAAGGATAGCCTTGATATTCTCCTCATCGGCCGTCAAGATAAGTCTCATTCCTATGGTCCTTGTCTCACGGGTGTATGGGTGAACAGCAGAGCGGTCGGCAAATGTGCTCTGCCATCCTCCAAGTAAATCATGTTTGCGTACATCGAGCAGAGTGCGTCCAATGAAGCCCAGGCCAAAAGGCACCCATGATTTGACAAAATTCGCATGAGCTCCAAGTGATCTGATCTTGCGTTCTTCTTGGATTCTTGCTAACAAATGACGTGCGAGTAGTAGGAGTAATATGCCTCCCAGGCCAACAAAGATTGAGCTGTGGTCAGAGTTCGACGCGTCGGACCGAGTTACGGCCATGGTTGCCACGAGTTGTCCCACACAATTGGACTCTGCCTTATCGGTATAGTATAACGCGGGGTATCGCGAAGGTCTTTAGGGAACGAATATACGATGAAAGAGAGATATTTAGTATTTGAGCAAGGTGGTAATGAGATCTTCTGGGTCCTCGGACATCGAAGTTCCCGAGCGGCCTAAGTCGCAAGCACTACCGCTTTGAGCCTAGCAGCCAGTCTTTCGCTCTTGCTTTGCGTCACACACTCTAATATCATTATTCTACCCCTCACCTCCACACCCTGCCATCTACACAATATCCGAACAAACAAATCACAGAGCGCATTGAGTGCCGTTTTGCGTACAGAATGGCATCTGAATGGGCTCGGCGCCGATTCCCTTTGCGACCAGACGCTCCCGCATCTCGCTCAATCTTGGACTTGCCGTGATTTGACTACGATTTTGACCTTGATCATCTTTGGCGCCACTCCAGAGAACCTCGGCCGCTGCGCAAGCGCGTGGCCATACCTGCCTGTCGACGTTCACGGGATCTGTCTGCTCGCTCCAGATGTGGACTTCTCCGCCCAGCACAAGGTGTGTAAGATTCGCAGGCACTCCCTCTAGCGGGTTGTATGCATACATCATCCTCCAGTTATGCAAAGGCGCACAGTAGTCGTAGTAAGGATAGAAGCTCTGGGAAACGTCAGGGTAGAAGTCAAGCCATTGGCCGTGACCACAGTCAAGGTACTAATAGTCATGTGTCAGTCCGACGAATTAGTGTTAGCTGAGTTGAACAAGCTTACCCAATAGTTGTAGTTTCCGACGAGCGCCTTATGGCCTTTACCAACGGTTTGCGCAACTGCTTCATCGCTCTGCCAAGTTTGGATGACAACATCGGATCCAAGGGTCAGGTTCCAGGTCAAGAGCATCTCTTCCCACGCAATAGGAGTTAGGCCAGCAGCTCGCACTTTTGCGTGAGCCCTATCGACAAAGGCCTGCATCAATGGCTGAAGGATTGCAGTGTCGTTCGATCTGACAGTTTCGTCCAAGTTGTAGGCGTTCAGATTGACCTCGTCACCGCCGGTATGGAAGTACGACGAGTACGGCAAGACTCGTGGCAGCAAGTCATCGAAAAGTGTATCAAGGAACTCCGTCACAGCTGACGAGTTCAGCTTCAGTGTACCAGACGGCGGTTCCGCAGCATAAGTCGACCAATCCTTCTCATTAAACGCAGCTATCAGCTCGGGATATGAGTAGGCGATAGATGAGGTATGGCCTGGCATATCGATTTCGAGAATCACTTCAACACCCCGAGAGGCACCGTAATCTTGAATATACGCCATGGCTGGAGGACTGTAAGTCAGGCCCTCTCTGTACGAGCCTTTCTCAGCCAGCATGGGTAACGCTGGAATCTCAAGTGGCCAGGATTGGGCGTCCGTGATATGCAGATGCAGACGGTTGAACTTGTTGTACGCCAGAGCATCGATCATGCGAGTGATGTCAGCAGGCGCATACCAGACGCGCGAGACATCCATGTTCAGGCCTCTGTGCTGAAACTTCGGGGCATCTGTAATGCTGACTGGGGCGTATGGTGTATACGCGGACCCACTCGAATGCTTGTAAAACAGCTGGGTGAAGGTAGTTAGGCCATGAGCGATACCGACAGATGAGGCCGCGGTGATGGTAACCTGACCATTAGTCTTCATAGATAATGAGTACGACTCGTCGACTTCACCGGCTAGGGGCTTTGCGACGTTTGCCGAATCGATGCCACTTTGCTCAAGGCGGACGGATTTGATGTATGTGCAAGAGGCATTGATCGCAGGCTCAAAGTCGGAGTGACGAGGATGGAACTTCCAAGGGATGAAGTTTTGTTCGAACAGAGTCTGAGTAGTTGTTTTGATGGCTGTAGAGATGATATTTTGAGACGATGCATTCTGATGATCGTATGACCCATACTGTGACACAAAGTGGTTAAGATCGTGTTCGAATGGTACCTGTTGTGAATGGGGTGTTGCTACCTGTGCGGCACCGTTGTAGATGAATCGAACTTTGGGATCAAGAAACAGCGCTCTCTCTCCTAACGACATGTTGGACGGGATGGGCCATATCGCATGAATTTGAACGACAAAAAGAGTCAGAAAGAGATAAGACCACATAGTGAGCGTGAAAGAGATAACGACGCGCAGCAAACGTAGTCTTGAAGTCGTAGCAGAGTTATATAAAGCAGGATGTATCAAGACAGGGAGTAGGAAAAGAGAGACATCGAGTGTCCCTTGCCAAACCTTGGGATTTATGTCTTATTGTGCGTACGACGAGAGTTCGTTTGAGATAGGCACGCCGCAGGCCGGGGGCAGGCGGGGTTGGAGATGGCGCTGCACATCAGAAATTGACTTTCGGCGAAACGCATTTGCGGTTTTGAATCGACAAGGATGTAAACCTGACGTTGTAACATGATGTAGAGAGGAACCGGGTCAAGAAGAAGGACACGATGGATGCCAATATTGTGTAGAGTAGTCATTGATGTGCTGTCCTTGCATTGTCCAACACAGCCATTGGCCATATGCGGTCACCAGTGCTGCTGGATTTGCGACATTCATACCTTATAGCAAGCAAGCAATCACAACCTGCGAGGTTTGATACCCTGTGATCGCACATGGTTTGGAACACAGACAGCGGAAAGTCAAAATCGTGCCTTCCTCTTAGGCAGAAGACAGGGGGCTAGGCCAACTATGGCATGATCTTGGCTAAGTTGTGTATCTCGTATCGTCGTGTGATAAGTACCTACGGAACTGCTATCAATCTCTACAAAATCAACTTCGCTGTATTTCCCAAGCGGCACTAACTGGATGGACTCTCTAAGGCCAAGGCCCAGATACTATCTCTTTTGATTCAAACTGTATGGTAGCCAGGGTCGCACCACCAGAAACGCACATTGCAGTCCTTGAGTATTCGCATCCGATATCTGTTTCATGATGGCTGGTAAATGTAGAAGAGAGACTGCAAAGCTTCAAAGCAAGTATTTCAGTCGTAAAGATACTTGCTGATTCCTCTTTCGGTCTAGTATGGTCTGCCATCGCAATACCGTTACATAGGCAGGAGAATGCCGAAGCCATACCAGCTCTTAGACAACTTCGGATACGCCCCCATGAATATCACATGCATCTTCCGATAGATACGGTCGTTCCAGGAGGAAAACCTTCCGTGTAGGACCTCGGATGAGGGATCTACCAAGTCGTGACACGCCAAGGAGGCGAGAGTTCGCGAGAGTCCCGCAAGCCCGACTGACCCCGCGATATTCTTAGTCCCTACACTGGTCCGCTTAGCACTCGTGACCCTCATGGCACTACAAGTTGACTCCCGATAATGGGAGTCCCGACTACCGTTCTTGTAGGACCAGTAACGTCTATTCCTGGAAGGGGTGCGGGGAGCTAGTGCGGGGTATTGTTGGTGATGTGTATATAAGAGCTGGCATCACAGGACTCATGTACGAGTTCCACTAAGCATTGCACTACCGAAACAATGGGTCTTCCTACCAGTCAAAAAGCCGCCGTGAAGCAGGGAGAGGGCAAATCGTCCACAGCACCAGTCAAAGATGTCCCAGTCAAGGAGCCAGCTCCTGGTCAGATTCTCGTGAAAATTAATTGGACTGGCCTTTGTGGAAGTGATAAGTCGCTTATCTACGACGAATGGGCTACGCAGGGACTCCGTATGACGCCTGACACATGCGGTATTGCTGGCCACGAAGGAGCGGGAGAAGTTGTTGCTGTTCACGACGACGTCAAGGACCTCTGGAGCATTGGAGATCGCGCAGGTGTCAAATGGGTCGCTAGTGTGTGCAGAAAGTGTGAGTTCTGCACAAATGGCACAGATGAGTTACAATGCCCTAAACAACTCAACTCTGGATTCTCGATCCAAGGTAAGTAACGTTATTAAGCCGCTCGAGGACAGCATTGATGTAGTGATCAGGTACCTTTGCGGAGTACTGTTTGACAGATGCCCGTTACGCTACCAGGCTGCCGGAGGGGGTATCAGACGAAGAGGCAGGCCCCATTCTGTGTGGTGGAGTGTAAGTCATCCCGCTCGCAAGCTAGATCAGTAACGTATGCTGACTTGATGCAGAACGGTTTGTCGTGTCGGCCTTATCCTCTCGGAGATGTGCTTACTGTTTTTTTTTAGGCATATACAGCTTGTAAGCGGAGTGCTGTCCGTCCAGGCCAGTGGATCGTTCTCCCGGGCGCTGGTGGTGGTTTAGGCCATCTTGCCGTGCAGTACGCCAAGGCAATGGTAAGACTCGCCATCGTGTGATACTTGGGCCGGCATACTGAAAAACGTGCAGGGAATGAGGATCATTGCTGTTGATGGCGGCGATGATAAGGGCAAGCTTTGCAAGCAACTTGGTGCAGAGCACTATATTGACTTCCTTACCTGCAAGGACGTCGCAGCTGAGGTGATGAAACTTACAACCTTTGGAGCTCATGGTGTCATCGTCTTTGCCGCGACGAAGGAGGCCTATGGATCAGCTCCGAATTTCCTTCGCCCAGGTGGTACGGTTGTTGCGGTTGGTTTGCCCAAGGATGAGACCATTATTGCCGGAGCATCACCTTTGACGCTAGTTCTTAAGAGACTGAACATCGTCGGTAGTGTCACAGGCACCTTGAAGGAGGTCGAAGAGGCGCTTGACTTCACGGCCCGTGGCCTGGTCCGACCCATACTCACGAAGGGCACTTTGGAGGATGTGGATCGCTTCCTGCAGCTATTGGATCAAGGCAAGCTCCCTGGTAGAGCAGTGCTCAAGATTTCCGCTTGATTGGATGCGAAAATAAGTCTGCATGTTAGAGTACCTGCTTTGGAGGGCAGCTAGTTGTTGGAACTCAATTAAGATCTCCTTGGTGTTCTCCTTGTCTGACATGTGTTTTTGCCTTCCCACAGGTGAATGTCTCCCTCATTGCCTCACTGGAGATAAGGGGCCGGCGTGGTGCTAGAGCTCAGGCGCCTGTATGTCGTGTTGCCATGTGCCCGCCTTTAGCAGGGCCCGTGAGTATCTCGGTGATCACTACTACGAGTTCAATTAGTTCTTGAACCTTGACAGGTTCATCTCGCAGTCGTCTAGCACGATGAGATGTCACTACGTTTTCTGACGACGTGGTCACCATGATCGGGCTCCCGAAAATTTCCTGTAGCATTGCGTTCTCCCATCCGCGGCCTCTTCTCGCCTCAAATGAGGTGCGTTGCTCTTAACAGTGCATTTCTCTCCTGTAAATGGCCGCCTTGGCAATATACAAAAGAGGCTTGGCTCAAATCTTGGCACACAACACGACATTTCGACGACTTGCTTCGCTGTCAACGTCAAATGATGATGATGATGATATAATGACCTCAAAGGTTGCACTTCATCGTCGACACCTTGCTGGTGATGACAGCCGAACAGCCTGAACGGAAGATTGAAGAAGCAAGAAATTCAGCGACAAATCTAGCGAGCAAAGTCGATCATAAATGGACCTCACGAACGTCTCGCCAGGTCTCGCGTGTCGAAACGTTGTCGGCCTCTACCGATGTCTACAGAAATGTCTTCGGTTACACCACGGGACTCGGCAGCGATCGTGACTGTGAACCAATTTTACTTTCCAGAACGTAGCTCGTTCGTGTTTGGAGGGAAACTTTTACGTCGTCGAAATTCGACCCTCGCACCGCTAACCGCGACTTCCGCCTCTCCATTGGCTCTGTTCCTCTGTCTACCCCAGTGCGACCGAGTACAGACTGCAGAATGGCTCCGTTCAACACATGGGTCATTCTTTCCCTCGTCCGGCCCGGTCAGGGAGGCAGAGTGGACCGCGTTAACGGGCATTGATGGGCAAAAGACAGCCGTCATCAGAGGGTTACTCACTGGGGTGCAATTTTTGTCCTAGCGCTGCTGAGTAGGTACTCATTAAAAGAAATGTGAGCCCCCGTCGCGCCTCATACCTCTTTATCGTTCCTTAGCCCCACGCCTCTTTGCTTGTATTTGCTTGACATTCTAACGTCCGACCATGGATCACGAATCATCTGCAGCTGAGTATGTCTTTTCGTTCTATCAATCAACCAGACAAGAAGCAGGACCTGAAATAACCTGAGTAAAATGCGGCTGTATGAGGATGACGCCTTCTTGAGTTTCGACCTTGAGAGACATATGTTCATCTGTCGCGTGGCACTGATGGCAGTCGCAATATCGGAAACAATTGCTGATGCTTCATGTAAAGGCTGCATGCGACCGCTGTCGAGCCCCGCCTGAAGGAACACAAGGACATGGCTGGCGGTATGGAACTATCGAAGCCCGAATACCCCAACGAGGAACATGGAGAAGTTGCGAGTCTCAGCAACGATGGAGAAGAGCCAACCGAGGAAGAAAGACGCACATTACGAAAGGTTTCCGACAAGCTTCCCTGGGCCGCATTCATCATCTGCGTCATCGAGCTTTGCGAGAGATTCACCTACTACGGTCTATCTGGTCCCTTCCAGAACTACATTGAGAACAGTTATGGCGGCAGAGTACCCGGAGCCATTGGTCTTGGACAAACCGGAGCTACTGGCTTAACCGACTTCTTCCAATTCTGGTGCTATGTATGGTAAGCCTTATCGTAACTCACACCATGACTTTGAGCATGACTGACATATTTACTCGAAGCCCTGTCTTTGGTGCTATCGTCAGTGACCAATATCTCGGAAAGTACTGGACTATCTTCTACTCCGCTCTCATCTACATCCTCGGCAACCTTATCTTGTTCTTGACTTCGCTCCCGGTTGCTATCGAAAATGGCGCATCTTTGGGAGGTCTCATCGCCGCTATGATCATCATTGGCATTGGCACAGGCGGCATCAAGTCAAACGTATCGCCTCTGATCGCGGAGCAGTACCAAAACACCAGACAATTTGTCAAGACCCTGAAGAGTGGAGAGCGCGTTGTGGTGGATCCCGGAAAGACCATCCAGAGAATCTACTCGATCTTCTACATGATGATCAACATCGGTTCTCTGTCGTCTATCGCCACTACTGAGCTTGAGGCCAACATCGGTTTCTGGCCTGCTTATTTGCTTCCTTTCCTTATGTTCCTTGTCGGATTTGCCGTTCTGGTTGCTGGAAAGTCCAAGTACAAGGTAAGAGCACCTGCTGGATCTGTCATTCCCAAGGCTTGCAAGGTCATGTGGATTGCCATGATGAACAAGGGCAACTGGAACGCTGCCAAGCCTGAATACCAGGAGGAATTCGCCGGAAGCAAGAAGTACAATCTGAAGTGGGACGGCATCTTCGTCGAGGAGGTCAAGCGTGCCCTCGTTGCCTGCAAGGTCTTCTGTTTCTTCCCCATCTATTGGGTCGTCTACTCTCAGATGCTGAACAACTTCATCTCCCAGGCTGGCCAGATGCAGCTCCACGGTATCCCAAATGACTTGATGCAGAACTGGGACCCTATCACCATCATCATCTTCATTCCTATCATGGACTATTTCTTCTACCCTGCACTCGGCAAGCTCGGCTTCCAGATGAAGCCTATCACTCGCATCACTCTTGGCTTCATGTTCGGTGCAGCTGCCATGGCCTACGCTGCAGGTGTTCAGAAGCTCATCTACAAGACTGGACCTTGCTACGACGCTCCTGGTGCTTGCGAGGCCGGTCTGCTGCCCGATGGAACATACGCACCCAACAACGTCCACGTCGCCATCCAGGCCCCTGCTTACCTTTTGATTGGTCTCTCTGAGATCTTCGCCTCTATCACTGGTCTAGAGTACGCCTTCACCAAGTGCGTAGCCTCCTTCCAACATTGTGAAGCTTGAAACAATGCTGACTATTATCTAGGGCACCCGCAAGCATGAAATCTTTCATCATGTCGCTTTTCCTCCTGACCAGTGCTTTCGGCTCGGCTCTCGGCATCGCACTCTCGCCCACAGCAGTTGATCCCAAGCTCCTCTGGATGTACGTTGGCCTCTGCATTGCCTGCTTCATTGCCGGTGTCATCTTCTGGGTCATCTACAGCAAGTACAACGATACCGAAGAAGAGATGAACGAGCTTGAGAAATTTACTGCACCAGCTAAGCCAGTCGAACAAGCCGACGAGGAGAAGGCTATTGCTGCTGAGGCTCCTGCTCGCGAAAGAGTCGTCTCTGAATAGAGAGGTCTCGAATGGTTTGTATGATTAGCAGATTTGTAACGTCGTATGGGGAAAGGATTATGTATATATAGCCACATGAACGAAGAAATCCATCTTACCCTAAACACATCTCCAATGGCTGGCAAGAGGGACAATGGGTTGTAGATGATCGCTGTGGTTAAATATAATCTCAAGGTGGAAGGAGCGAAGGAGTATGGCACGTGAGACATGCAGGCAGCCGATGACGCGCATTGTTTGCTCGTGTCGCCGTGGCTGCGCGAGACAAGCGGCGGCGCCAGAAGTTAAACATGACCCACCTCCAGCAAACATAGCTATCTGCTTGTTTATACAGCATCAACTACTACATGCCGGCGCAGACAGTTGGACATCTTGACGCCATGGTCTGAGAGCGAGTTCGACAGGGCAGTTGCAAGCATGATAGACGCCTCGACTCGACTTCGCAGGGCGATACTCTTATCCGATGCTTTGCTGGTCAAACGCATCATTCGCTCCAACCCTGCCTTGATACAAAACCCAGACTTCCAGGACAAGAGCAACACGAGTCTGCACCTTGCGGCGCAGGCTGGCTTCGGAGAGATAGTGGTGAGCATCTCTACCCGGCGCATCTAACGGCGCTTCAACTGTCATAGCGAGCACAATGGCCAATACTCTATGTTGTAGGAACTCCTCGTCGATGCTGGACATGAAGACGCCGAAACATCGCGCAATGCCGACTGGGATACACCATTGATGCTAGCTGCGCGGCACGGCAATGTCGAGGTCGGCTTCCTCCTCGCCAGCCGCTTCCCACGCTCCATCCCAATCACAAACAAGGCTGGTCTTGATGCCGTATGGACCATCCGCTCGCCTTCTCCATACCACACGCTGACAATACGCTCCACAGCTCGCGCTAGCATGCCTAAACCCTGCGTCCACCCCTTTAGTATCATTGCTATTGTCCCACCCCGAGTACCCCGCCCCGGCCGATGGCCGTGACAACCACGGCGACACCCCCCTACATCACGCTTCAGCTTCAGGCTCCCTGAAAGCCCTCCGTATCCTCCTTTCTGCAGGCGCCGATCCAACTGCGAAGAATGCCTACGATTGGACTCCACTCGCATACAGTCAAACAGTAGCCGCCGAAGTCTACTTCAAGAACCTAGTGTCCGACCTCGAACGTAGGAAAGTCGAGGGCATACGCGGTGAGAAGGAGAGAAGAGAAGAAGCTATGAAGCGCAAATACGCTGGCGTACGCCTTGTCACCGATGAGAACGAGACTGCTTCACGGCCGAGCGACGACATGTCGAGATCTGAGAGTAGTAACTCCATTTCTAGCCCTGTTGATCAGAGAGGCGGCTTCACACCTACTTCTATTACGCCAACTGTCGCGAAGAACAATCCTTGGGTCAATGGCGGCTTCGAAACACGAGCACGAGCGTGGAGTGGAGATTAGGAAGGTCAATCTAACAGTGTTTGGCCTTTCAACTATCACGATGAAGTTACGAGATCTTATCAATACCACAGCTCAGTTATCATAGTCCTAAGCAGAGGCGAGTCTTGTTCACATATGCGAGTTCATGCACCATGCTTCATGATGAGGACCAACCAGACAAGAATACAGAATCAATCGTGTATATCTCGTCAAAGTTCATCATCGAGCGAGCCAGCGAAGTGTACCTTTCTTGTATATGTATGTTGTTTTCAGTTCCCTTGAGAATCGAGCGAGTCTCATATCATCGACTATCACGGTTTGGACTTATCTTCTAGTCATTGGTCAATACTTTTGTCGCCTCTTCCGTCGAAACACACAGCGAAAGTCGGAGATGCTTGGCAAGCTGTGACTCGATTATCTACCCATCTTGAGACATCCCATTGCAGCAAACAATTTGACATTTTCCTTTTCCTTTTCGACCACTCCTCAGGATTCCAGCACATAATGTCTCTCACAAACGGCTCACCCTCGGAAGCCGCAAGAGCAGCAAAGCTCTCTTCGCGTACCCTCGCCATTCTCTCGACCGAAGACAGAAACTTTGCTCTCCAATCCATTCACGATGCACTTTCCACCGCAAAGTCTGATATCTTAAATGCCAATGCTCGTGATTTGGAGATTGCGACAAAGAGTGCTGCTGATGGAGAGTTGAGCCAGAGCATTTTGAAGAGATTGGATCTTTCTAGACCCGGCAAGTTTGAGGATATGTTGAAGGGCATTTTGGATGTCAAGGGGTTGGATGATCCTGGTATGTTGGACTTTTGAGATTTGATGGGAGGCGATTTGCTGATTCCAGGTGCAGTTGGAAAAGTGGATATGCGTACAGAGTTGGACGATGGTCTTATTCTGCAACGTCAATCATGTCCCATTGGCGTTTTGTTGATCATTTTCGAGGCTCGTCCTGAGGTCATTGCAAACATTGCTTCGTTAGCTATCAAGTCAGCAAACGCTGCCATCTTGAAGGGTTCGTTTTTCCAGATTCGAAAAATTGGCTTATGCTAACGGTCGTATAGGAGGCAAGGAGTCAACAGAATCATTCAAGACAATCGCCACAGTCATCTCCAAGGCACTGGAAAGCACAAAGGTCCCCAACGACTCAATCCAGCTTGTCACAACCAGAGATGCAGTAGACCCCCTGCTCCAACTCAGCCAGTACATCGATCTTGTCATTCCTCGCGGATCCAATGAGCTTGTCCGCCACTGCCAGCGTATGGCTCACATGCCCGTTCTTGGTCACGCCGATGGTTTGTGCCATTACTACATTCACCCTGATGCTGAGCCTGAGATGGCAGCAAGCGTCATTGTGGACTCAAAGACAGACTACCCCGCAGCCTGCAACTCATTAGAATCACTGCTGGTCAACGAGGATGCACTCAAGACTATTCTGCCCGGTGTGGCATCAGCTCTTCTCGCCAAGGGTGTTTCATTGCGCTGCGATCCCCAATCAAAGGCTGTCCTTACAGAGACATTGGACAAACACGAAGCCGTTATGCTACAAGATGCCGGCGAGTCAGACTTTGACACTGAGTTCCTCGACCTCATTCTCGCCATCAAGACCATTCCTAGAACCGAAGACCCGCTAGTCGCCGTCGATGCGGCGGTCGAGCACATCAACATGCACGGCTCTCATCACACAGACGCTATCCTCACATCTTCTGAACAAACTGCCGACCGCTTTTGCAACGGTGTCGACAGTGCCTGCAAATTCTGGAACTGCAGCACAAGAATGTCAGACGGTATGCGCTTTGGTTTCGGTACCGAGGTCGGAATCAGCACGAACAAAGTACATGCCAGAGGACCTGTTGGTCTGGAAGGTCTTTGCATTCACGAGTACAGAATCAAGGGCTCTGGACAAGGTGCAGCGATGTATGGTGCAGGTGGCAGCAGACAGTGGAAGCACAAGAAGCTGCCTCTCTAGATGCACTACGTGTGCTAGGTATTTGGAAGATTGGCCCCATGAATGTTATGACGGCGGCTGGCAATGTAAATTACTTATGACTTTCCGACTCGGAGCATTTTGATTGAGCCACACTAAGGTGACGCACGATCGAGAGGCGATAGAGAAGCTTTGTGAAGGAGAAAGGGTCGAGGCACAGAGGTCGATCGAAAGTGAGCGCCCGAACGATTGAGTGGAGGTAACAGCGTCTTATCCACATCGCGACGACGTGAACAACGACAACAACTTCGGGCTCCCACAAGCACTTTTGTCGAATTGACGAGCTATTGGCGTGTCTCACCCAGTTTCTCAAAGGAACAACTTCGCCGCTGCCTCATTTCCTTCCTCTTGGATTCTTACCCACGTTCCAAGCAACCCATCACTTTGCGCTTTCTCTCACATATCAAGTCTGACGAAGTTATTGCACCTTCGATTACGCATCACAAGAGAGCATACGACATGGCTTTGCGTCCTCGTGCCAACATGGACGCCCTTCCACTTGAGCTCAAGCAGCGCGCCTGCGAGTACCTGCCAACCAAGAACCTCAGGTCGTTGAGATTAATTAACCTCGAAGCTCTTCTCCGCCGCCTCATATCGCCATCTCCTATCGCGCATCTTCCTCTTCGTTCATCCAGACAGCTACCAGGAAGTCGATCATCCTGGCAATAAGCATCGACGCCGCTTCCGCAGCGACAAAATGCCCGATACATTACTCACCGTGGACTGTGTCCGCTTTGCCATATCCGACCTGTTCGAACCAAGAATTGTACAATAGCTAGAGAGGGCCAGTATGCTCAAAAGACCGTGAGTAGATGCCTCACTTCCGATCTCCACTTTTAAAACTTGAACTTCGAGACCCATCCTTCACCTCTCATTATAGGTGTAGCCGGGGAGATCTATAGAAGGTGTTTCTCCAAGATCGCATGTGATATTGCTGTTCCAATCTTGATCGTTAGAGAAGGTTCACTTGGGGCTCAGTTCTCTATACAGCATATAACTCGCATTGCATGGTGTGAGACGCAGGCTACATCTAAGATGACGAGTAGCATGACATGAGGAGGTAGGAGATAGACATTTCTATAACTGCTTCTGATAAAAAGTATGCTTGTCAAAAGCTTTCGTCGAGAGAAATCCGTTGCCTGCGCGAGTGTACAAAACCCACGCGGATGCGAAACGCTTCAGCGAAATAAAAAAAACTCCTTGACCCCTGCCCTATGCCCACGTGAATCATTTGGAAACAGAACGAATATAGAAAAACAACCCAGTTATTACTCCAGCAATGGCTGTGAAAAGAGCGCCGGTCCCTCCCCATGTGTGTGTGTGCTGCCTTTGAATGCGGTGTCGTAAAAGATTATGGACAAGAAGACTATTCTTCGGAAATTTCGTCGACGTTGAACGTCCAGTTGCCTTGATCACAGATGTCAGTAAAAGTATAGAGAGAGGAGGTTGGGTTTAACACTTACCCTTCTTCAGGTTGTCCGCAGTATCATCCAGTAAAATGATGCGACGCTTGGTGCAGTAAGTCGTCTTATCCATCATCTCGACCTTAAGAGCAGCAAGCTGATCTGTAGATTTCTCGAACATGCCACTGAGGGCTTCGACAGCCATCTCAAGATCCTTCTGGTTGTCCTCGAAGATCTCGGTCAAGTTGTTGCGTTCCAGATAATAAGCAAAGGCGTAAGTCCACTTAAGAGTCTGACGGCATTGCTGAAGGGCTTGCGACGCCGATTCGAGGAACTGGACTTCAATCCATGACATACCTGATGTCGACTGAAGCTGCATCATCTTCTTCTCGGTCTTGAGGTAGATGTCCTTGTCGAGCTTGGCGGAGAGCTCGTGGTTGGCATAGCGGTTGTAGTAATGAAGGTAGCGCTCAAGGGATGCGCGACTCTTTGCTTGAGCGTCGCGTGCGTTGTGGCCACTCTTCTCTTCGTAACGGTTGCAGTTGTACCAACTCGTACCATGCTCGGACCACAAACCCATGCACATCCAGCAGAATTCGTACTTGCACTTTCGGCAGGTCATGTGGTTGCAACCACCATTCTTCTCGATGGTTGAGTTGCATTTGGGGCACTCTTTTGTGTTGGCTGAGATCCAATTTGCTGTTTCTGAGTCGTCTTCGCACTTCTTCATCCACAGCTTGACAAGCACGCAGGGGGTGGGTTGATGGTCGTTAAGCTGACAACCGAAACAGAAGTTGTGACCGCAATCGCAGCTGACAGTCGGGACGATCTTGTTAAGCTCCTTTTGCTTGACCGGGCATTCGACGGCGTAGACGCAGTTGGGGGCAGGACACCACCTAAGATTGTCCTTGTCGTCAACGTACGTTCGTGTGAGGAGTTCGTGGTATCGGTCCTTGAGGTCTTCTGTGACTAGTAGTTCCAAGCTCTTCGAGTCGACGATGTTGTTGCACTGTTCGCCTGGGCAGCGGATGCGGGCGGCTTCTCCTTCGTCCTTGATCTTCTGTGCCAGATATTGACGGTAGCAATCGACGCAGAAGCGGTGGCCACACTTCATGGCGAACGTCCGCATGCCGGGAGTGTCGTCACAGCAGATCTCACACATGAAGCCATCGATGACCTCCAGGCTGGGCGGGCCGCCGACATGGTGACCAAGACCAGCTTTTTCCAAGACGTCCTCCTGCTTGTCCATGTACTGTTCGATCAGACGTTCCTTGTTCCAGCGCATGTAGCGCATGAGGATGGCGGTTGCCTCATGTGGCTGGCCGAGGATGTTGGAGACCTCTTCTATTTGGCGATCTTGTTGGTTCTGGATGTCTTGTGGGCTGTAGACGGAGTAGTCGACCTGGTACGCCTTCTTTTGCGGCTTCAAGTCTTTGTCTTGTGAGCCAAAGCCGATGTCTTCGTCGTCGTTTAGTTCGATGTCGGAGTCTGTGATGGCAGTGTTAGCAAGAGTGTCTGGACGAACTAAATGATACAAGATAGTCACCATCGTTAAAGTCGATGTCACTGCTGTCCTCGTCAAAGTCGACGTCGCTGTTGATCGAGGCGCCGCTGTTGAGATCGTCATCGGAGTCCATGGCTCTGACGGAGCCCTTGAGGGTCTGAGGGGTAGCGGGCAGTTGGTCGGGCGAGGCGGCGGGCTTATCTTCAGCGGCGTCGGCAACCAAGTGCTTGGCGGAGGGAGAGTCGGCTCTGACGGAGGGGATAGAGGCGACGGCAGGGTCAGACGAGTGGTGGTGGTGGTGGTGCTTCGGCTTCTGCTTCGCGGCCGTGTCCGGCGACAGCAGCTTACGTTTGCGGGTGACGGGAGGCGTGGTTGCGATATGTGGCGACGAGAGGGTCGCCAAAGCCGTTTTGATGACGGAAGTGAGCGAGGTGTTGTCGGAGTGTGGAGAGGGGCAGCGATTGGCGTGTGAGCGTGGGTGAAAATGACTATGACTGAGCCGGCTGACTGTTTTCCGTCCGCCTTGACAAGTGACTTGAGTTGAAAGAGAAATGTCGGAAACTGGGCAGCCTGCACTTCTGATCCTGCACTCTGATTCACATGTGCGTCAAAGGCGTTGATATGCTTCAAGGACCGAGACCCATCTTGTTTGCCTAAACTGGCGACTTTCTGCTCCCGGCTTTAAGACATTCCACGTAATGACGCCAAGAGACTCGATGCTCTTTGTTCGCGACTGCCTTTTGACCTCTTTCACGTGCATCACCACTGTTCAATCCGTCTCGTGCAGTTGCGTTTGCATTTGCCTATATTCAAGAGATTGTATTTCATGGGTATCGTGCCACTTTAAACTACTCGTCGTCGCTCCCTTCCTCGCTCTCGCTCTCACTCTCCTCTTCGCTGCTCTCTTCTTCACTCTCTTCGGCCGCTTTGATGGCATCCACAAACTGACCCATAGCAAGCTTGACCTGCTTCAACTCGTCGCTGGCCTCGTTCTTCTCATCTGCCCACCACTGCATCACTCCCTCAAACTCTAGCGCATCGCCCATGTACAATTCGTTGCACACGTGAAGCATGATCTTCTCTCCATCTGCACGGTGGCATACATCTGCCTGTACAAGCAGCAAAAAGTCGACTTGATCAACCTTTTCTTCATAAGCATCGCCACGGTCAAACATGGTACGTTCGATCAGCATTTGTTGAGTCGATATCGTCTTCTTGGCCGCCTGTGCTGGTGTGAGTCCCTCCTCTATCAGGCCTGCCATGCGCTTCATGAATGCTGCCACCACTGCGCGACGCACCATGTGTGGTGACGCGTTGGCTGACATTCGCAGTGCCGTAAGTTCGAGCTGGATGTTGGCTGCTTCGTCGCCCTTTTGCAATGAATCGTAAATGCTTGCTGCTGCGTCGTGGTGGAAGTCGATAGCCTCACGGCCAGCTCTACTGTCCTCGGAATCAACAGATCCAATGGAGCCGAAACTTTGGGATCTAGATCCCCTTTGAGCTCTGTCTTCATATTCCTCGCTGTAAGTTTCCGAGTTGAGAGTTGAGATTGACTCGGCCGATTGGTTTTGCATGTTGAAGATGCTTGCTGAGTGCAGGCTGTGGTGCTCCTGGTCGTCTTCGTCCTCGTCCTCGGACGTCTCGTACTCGAAGCCTTCTCCCTTTTCGCCTACGACTTCCTTGTTCGTCTCCCCTCGAATGATCTCATCTTGCTCGTAACCTGACTCGCGCTTCATCTTTGTAATTCTAGAATCGACCGTCATGCCGTCCGAGATGTAGACACCATACGAGAGCAAGGCACCAGGCTTGATGTTGCACTTCTTGCCGACAGAAGCCTCGTTTGCAATGATGGCGTCTTTGACCACTGTGCCATCACCAATCGAAGCGTCATCCCAGATGTATGCGCCGCTGATCTTGACGTTCCTACCGATGATGCACCTCCTGCCGATGACACTGTTCGAGATTTCGCTTCCGTCTCCAATCGCTGTTGCCCGACCGATGACGGTTTTTGCGCCAATATGACATGATCTTGCCAATACGACTCCTTCTTCCCGGTAGACATTCCCCTTTGTAAGCCTGTAAGTCTGATCACGCACCAGATTGCTGTCAGGGCAAATCGGGTATGCCCATCTGCTCAGAATATCCTTGGTGACGGCGTCGTAGGCTCTCAGGTTCTTAACTCTGGCTGCGTAGTGCTCGTCGACGATGTGTGTATGAATAGTCTTGCCATTCAACTCGTAATCTTTCAAGACGCTGTGAAGGTAGCCTTTTCTTGGAGCCTCGTAATCGAAGTTGTCACTCCAGAGGGCAAGGACATCGGGTGTGCAAATATCAATACCACAATCAATCAAGTCCTCTCTGATCTCGACTTCGTCATGCTCTTTCAGGATATCCGGATCCAGCGTGACCAAGTGCGAGGGCTGGTTGGGTCGCATCTGTTCATAATGTAGACAACGATTCTTTGTAGGATCGAGTACGAAGACAGGCGAAACACGCTGCATCTTCGTGCGGTGGACAGTTCCAGCCTCGCGGAGGACCATGGTCATGATTGCGTTCTTGTCTTTGGCGCGGCGTTGGCGGTGGGCGGCGATTGCGGCTTCGATGGGCAAGTTGCTGACAACATCTCCGTAGACGATCAAGAAGTCGCCAGTCAAGACGGCGCGCGCATCCAGGTCGCGCATGGCATCACCGATCGAGCTCGATGTGGAGCGAAGAATTTCGACATTGTTGAACGGAGACACGTTGGAGGTCCATTTTGATTGCTGAACATATTCCTCGACTTGGTCGGTGTGGGCGCCGCAGTATACGAAGACTTCATCCACGCCGGCATTGGCCAGGAACTCGAAGGTGTATTCGATCAAGGGAGTGTTGGCCAACGGAAGTAGACACTGTAGTTCTTTTTAGACTGGTTTCGTCTGCATCTAGAGGTCGTGTACATACGCGAGGGCGTTGAAGCGTGAAAGGGCTGAAGCGGGTCTCGAATGAGTCTGCGAGAATCTGTGCCTGTCAGAGTCGGCGCAGACATGTTTGTCGCAAGGATACATACCACGGCCTGAAGCGGCTCCTCGACCTCATCCTCGACACGTCCTTTGTCAGCCTGCGCAGCCTTCTTCTTGGGTGCCATGGTGCTCTTGTCGCGTGAGGAATAAACTTGAGAGTTGACTCAAGAATTCCCATTCCCGTTCCGCCCAAAGCATGCCGGATGACACACGCGAAGTCAACAGCGTTCCCAACACAGTCCTTCCCGCACGCGCTCAGGGTAGTGCATAAATTCCTCAGCCTGCATTAAACCTCATTTATCCCTTGGGAAACATGCTCCACTTGAGTCCTCGGTCTTTATACGTCGCGTCCTTGCCTTCACTTCTCTTCCCCTTCATCATGGGAGGTAGGTCAAGTGGAAGGAACTAGCTCTATTGTCTGGTGCAGGAGCAAACGCGACCTGCTTCCCCTCCAACTGTTCTTCACCTTCGCAGTGACTGACATTCTTCACTGGTCTTGTTTCTGCCTCATTTCATCTGTCATCCATTAATTACTTGTCATACCCAAATTCTTTGGAACATCTCTTACGCGCATATGCATATGTCCCATGGCGTTACCTTTCACATATCCGACACCAGAGGCGACAGACTCGCCAAGTTCGAGGGACGAGAGCAGAACACGGAAGCATGGCGAGGAGAAGCACTCTTCCGGCTCCGACGATGCTCACTCACAGCAGCCAGCACCAAAGAGACAGAAAGTCATCGTCCAATCCGGTAACTTGTGCTATCCGGCCTCACGTTACAAGGGCTAGCAACCTCGACTTCCGCCAACCCCAGAACACCAAGCGATCAACGAGCTGGCCGCCATCTGGAATGCTGCTGATCGCCCGAGAGATGACTGCAATATATGGGAATTGACCGACTTCACCATTTATCACAGAAGCGACTACTTCCGGCATGCTAATGAGCTCTGTCCCGTTCACCATCTGATGGCCGAGTCTGGGGTCAATCAACTTGTCTTCGACGGTGTCATCAGTGTTGACACTGAGCAACGATCCGTGAAAGGGGTCTCGTTCGATTGTCTGGCTCTCGAAGGCTACGGAGATGAAGGCGAAAGCAGTTCGGTGTCTGCATGCATCCAATCTCCACTAGGCAAGAGAGGCAATGTCTGGTATCAACTCAAGCGTCCTGCAAGAGAGTATACTCGTTACTACGATGCTTCGCTCTGGGTCTTCCAATTCACCAAGTACGTTATCGACTTTCTTGAGTGCTCAGAACGACCGGTTACATTGTGCTTGTTCCGCCGACAATTCTATGCGTATGTGAATCAAGTATACCAACACTCGATGTCCACGAAGGAGTGGTTGAGAAAACATCCCTCACACGACTTCGGTCAGGCCTTCTGTGCAAACCTGGCCTTCCTTATCAGAGAATGCTATAGTGTCAATAAACAGCTGTTGAAACAACCTATCTTTGGAGAAACCGATGTCCAGAGACTACGAGCCATACCGACGGAAGTCTCAGCATATAAGAAGACTGTTGTAACGCCATTCGTCTTCGAGTCATTCCACAAGATGCCGTTCAATTTCCAGATGCAAGTTCTGCAGGACGTTGATCCAACAACGTACCAAAGACAACTGTCTCGAAGAAATCAGCTAGGTCTGACACCGCTCGGTTGTCGTCCAACCAGCATACCGCCATTCCAGAATACAGCCACAGCCACAGCCAGGAAGATTCGAAAAGGCGATGTAATCAGTGTTTTTGCAGACAAAAAATCCCAGTGGAGAGGTTCGAGGGGAACTGTGTGGTATGCCTTTGTGCAGGAGGTCCGAAAGTGGAAGAATGGTGCGCTCAAGTTGGACATCCTGTGGCTATACGAACCGAGCGACACGACGCTAGGACATGGTCATTACCCATACCAGAACGAGCTCTTCATCAGCGACAATTGCTCATGTGGAGAAAACGCGATCGACGCTGAAACGGTACAGTCAATTGTGCCGGTTCAGTGGTTTGTCACCAATCCTGGACAGTCACAAGGCTTCTTCGTCAGACAAAAGTTTCGGACCGAGCCAATGCTGGGAGCCTACGACTTTACTCAACTTCAGCCATCTGACTTTACCTGTGTATGCAGACACACTGAAACAGAAATGGACAAGGTCGCAAAGGAGTTCGGTATCGGAGATACGGTGCTTGTCTACCATCAGACCGAAACGACATTGATTCTGGAGCCAGCCATTATCCGTGGCTTCACATCACGCCAAATCGCTTTGCAGGCTTTGCTTCGATGTCGCCGTGACCTAGGCAATGATCGTGCGCCTCCTAACCAGCTTGAATTGGCTGACGGTACCTTCGAAGTTGGTCCCGAGTCTATCACCCGTAGCTGTAAAATCGCAACCTTTGCTACAATCACAGATGTCAAATCGCCTTATGATCGAGGCGGTGCAGGTGACTACTGGTTTGTCGTCAGCTCGACAAAGCCTACCTGGAATTTCAAGCAAGAGACTACAACAAGCAGGCTCAACGGTATGGGCATCTTCTGTGGAGCGGGCTCGTTAGATCGAGGTCTTGAGGAAGGAGGTGGTCTCAAATTCAAATGGGGCATAGACATAGCCCAGCATGCGCTCCACTCATACAGAGCAAACTCAAGGGAACCGGAGAAACTCAGCCTCTTTCTGGGCAGCGTGGACGACTATCTCGCCAAAGCTATTCAAGGGTCAGCAGACCACAGGATCGCAACCATTGGTGATGTTGACGTGCTGGCCGCCGGATCTCCGTGCCCTGGTTTCTCAGTCTTGCAGCCTGACAAGAACAGTATCCCGTCTTTACGGAACTGCTCACTGGTGGCTTCTGTCTGTTCATATGTCGACCTTTTTATGCCAACATATCTTGTTCTAGAGAATGTTATCGGCATGGCAAGCGCTCCCAAGAACGCAAAGGAGTTGAACGTTTTCTCGCAGGTTTTGTGTTGCCTTGTAAGTATGGGATATCAAGTCAAACAGCTCTTGATGGATCCTGGTCATTATGGATCTTGTCAATCTCGGCAACGACTTTTCATCCTTGCGACTGCTCCTGGAATTATCCCTCCTGAATCTCCCCCCCAGACTCATGCCTGTGTCGAGCTAAGCAGGACCAACGCGATCGGCTATGCCTCGAACGGCCTTCCCTTTGGCCAGCGTAAACACGACGTGTGCCCTCTTCCGTCTCTGACTGCAGAGGATGCGTTTGGAGATCTGCCAAACATCGCAGATGGCCATGTCCAGACATGCGTCCAGGTCCCTGACCATCGACTCTGCCGGTACGAGGACTTGAGAACTAGGGCAATCATCCAGATGGTACCTCGCTGGCCTCGGGGCCAAGGCTTTATGCAAGCATACGCCGCCGGAAAGATGTCCAAGCAAGCCATAGCAGATTACAGGTGGGCTAATCAGTACAGAGGTTCCAAACACAGTAAAAGCTGGTCTCGCTTGTATCCTGATCGCCTTGTGGGATGTCTTACTACAATGATCCAGCCTCATGATTCATTCATTGGTCGCACGCTGCATTGGGACCAGCCTAGGCTCATGTCGGTCATGGAGGCAAGAAGGGTTCAGGGCCTTCCCGATAACGAAATCGTCATCGGAAAACCGTCTCAGCAATGGAGGCAAATCGGTAATGGTGTCGACAGGAAAGTGGCGTTTGCACTTGGACTTCAGATTGCCAAAGCTCATCAGAAGACTGTTGCAGCAAAAGACCTTCGTGACGGAAGCTTCTCGCAGACCAAACTCGAGTCTCGACAGGAAGTCGTCGCTCAGCTGTTACCTGATGCCTCTGCCTCTGCCATTGAGAATCTGACTGCTTCTGACAAAGAGGTCGCAGAGTCGACGACGCATGGTGGGGTCGTACTTCGAGCTTTGTTCGAGGTCTACACTGAAGCTCCAGTCAAGGGAGTGTTTCAGAAGGATGGAGTGGAATATATTGTTATCGATTGAGATTCATCGGTCGAGACAAGCCGATGTTAACGGTGAAGGAGAGGTGATGTGTTGTCGTTAATGGAGAAGGTCACAAGCACACACACAGAGAGAGCGAAGATGAGAATTGAAATCACCATATCAAGTCTGATAGGTCGGGAAACTCGGCTAAATATTGATGATCAATGAGAAAGCCATGACTGCCATTACTACGTTCATCAGACTACGGAACCAGAACGTGACTACCCTCGTGCTGACCAAGTGACTATGTACAAATAGTCCAACCATCACCATCATTGTCATCATCTTCTTCATCTTCAGTCAAACAGGCTCTACCTGGAGGTAAAAGCACAAGTGCCCATGTCGAGCTTCTGGACAGGAGCCTCTGGTCTGATGTCAAAGTCAAAGATGTCTATTGGCAGACCCAGAGTGGTGCAAGCATTGGGAATCTGCATTGAAAACGTCAGCGAATGTGGACCAAGTCTCGCGGCAAGGAGGAACTCACATCGACGATACCAGCAATGTGTCCCTGCACCGGAGCGCAACTCAACAGCAGATAAATCTGATAATCACTGTACCCATATCTCCTCAGGTACTCGATGGTTCTCAAGCAAGTCTGCCGATAAGCAATCGTCGTATCCAAGAAATGCTGCTTACCATCGCTGTCGACTGAAAAGCCCTCGAAGTAAATATGTCTTCCAGGACCAAAGTTCGGCTCCACAGCACCGGGGATGTAGATGGGCGACTTCATGTCCAAATGCTTGACGCCATCTTTCATGACTTTGAACTTTATGGTAATGACACCTGCCATCTCAATAGCGCCACAGAAGGAGATTTCTCCGTCGCCTTGAGAGAAGTGGAGGTCGCCAACGCTGAACTTGGCACCAGGGACATGAACAGGGAGGTACACTTTTGAGCCGCGGGAAAGGTTCTTGATGTCGCAGTTTCCACCGTGTTCAGGACGGCCTGGGATGGTTCTGGCACCTTCTTCGCCGACCTTTTTCTTAAGGGTTTCGTCTGCTGAGCCGGCGTGGACGTTCTTGGAGTTGGGGGGTTGAGCTACATCGCGTGTCATGTGTGAGCATTCGGAGATCAATTGGCCTTCGCGACGGTTCCATTCGGCCAGAATCTCTGCCGACGGAGCACAGCCTAGGATTCCTGGGTGAATGAGGCCAGGGAAGCGGACGTGAGGGATGTGGCGAGAGGAGCAGAAGATGCCTTCGAAGTCCCAGATTGCTTTTGCTCTGCCCGACCATCAGTAACTCTCCTACTTGGCAATCGACAAGCACAACTCACGCATCAGGGTACAGTTCATCCAAGAAGCCACCACCATTTTCCTTTGCGAAGATACCAGTGAAACCCCAAGGTTGATCTTGAAGTGGTTGAACATCTTGAATTTCAACGACTAGAACGTCTCCAGGTTCCGCATTCTCAATCTCAAAGGGGCCGCTGAGGTAGTGGATTTTGGTCAAGTCGACGTTCTTGATGTCGTCTGCGTCGTCGGTGTTTTTGATTTGGCCGCCTGTCCAGTCGACACATTCGATTTTCACGACTTCACCGTCCTTGATCTTGCCAGCGGCAGGAACTGCTAAGGGTTAGCTGTTGTATATTGTGGAGAGATTGAGAGTACGATACTGTCAGGGTGCCAACGGTTCTGTCACATGTGTCAGTCAAGCAAGGTGGATGTGGTTTGCGTTTACTTACGTGAAGTTGAGGCTGGGTAGCAGCGTCCTTTTCCAAATCGACCTTGGCAGCATATCTGATCTCTGATTTGCCCATTTTGATGTTTTCAACTGGAAGCAGTAATGGTGTGGACAATTGAAGCTTGGAAGCACAAGAGAGATGATAATATGGAGAAAGAGAGAGCCCACCTGAAGCGGGGCAAGCTGTAATATTATATGGTCAGCTCAGATTAGTTATGGGCGGTAGTCAAGCCGTGCCGGCCTCTGGGTTGACAAGAGATAAGCAATTGACATCAGTCAAGAGCGGCAGGTATGTAACAATCTATCGTCACGATATGCCAATCAAGGTGTGGGGTAGCTTGCTCGATGGAGGGGTAAAATATGTGGTGCACGGACGTGCGGACCAACACCGATGGACATAACTCGGAGCTATCTGATTAGGATATTCGATGCGGCAAGTATTGGATTTGACTTGTATTCTGGTGTTGATGTTGTTACTCTTGTAGTATGGTAGACTCTGTCGAAGCTATCTGAATGTCTTGTCTTGCTTCATTACAAACGAGGAAGTTTAGGTGAACTGCCGACCTTTGATCGTAGTTGCGTCCGGCTTCTCACCTTCCTTAGTAGAGGTAATGTTCAATGCATCCAGCTTGTCTAGAGGAAGCTTCAAGAACTCGTGCTTGTTGCGCCAGTGAGCTTGAGTCTCAGCGAAATTGGTCCACTCCTCAGGCTGTGGTGGTGGGTCGGTGACCTTGGTAATCAAAAAGGCAGTAGAAGCCTCAGCGATGCCGTAAATGAGTACGCCGAGCAGGGGAATCTTGAGGAAGACGAAGAAGCCAACACCAAAGCCGAACAGAACACCCTCACGATCGTGAAACCAGATCTTCTTTTGCTGAGGGGTGTATCGGATGCGCGAGAAGTAGGGCTCAAGCAATTCTCTCATCAAACTTCTGGAAGCAAAGTAGCTCTGCAAGAACTGAACCAGGTATCGCTTAGGCAGAAATACGGAGCTACCAAAGATAATGAGAGCAGGCTGCAGGCCAACTTGTTTATTGAAAGTGTAGAAACTTGCGGCAGGCAAGACAAAGCGACCGATATATGGCAGGCATGAGAGCAGATAGACAGCCAACGAGATGCCGGCCTTGCGACCGTAGCGCATCAGGAATTTGATGGCAGCTTGCTTGGGGGCATTCTCCGAAGGCTTCTCACCTGCAGCGGGAGCAGGGCCATGGTGGGTGTATTGACGCATGTTGGGATAGTACATGGCGCGGAGCTGGTTGGGATCTTCACCCTTGTGCTTTGCGACGTAGGTCTCGTCGACCCATCGGAGCGATTCCATAAACCTAGAGAAGATCAGTCCACCAATATTCCGACTTCGGCCTCCTTCAATTACTTACATGTTGTCTAGAGAAGGACTGATGTATCTCATGAAGCTCATGAGGAAGAAGGGCAACTGCAGCACAGAATGCTCCAAGAAGTCCAGACCTTCCATTATATCATTATCCCATCCCGAGCTCTTCAAATCTGTAAACAGTCCTAGGAAGGCGATGAGAACGCGGACACCGACGGCCTGTCAGGGTATGTCAGACAATCTGGTTTCGATGGGTGTCAAGAGGGCGTACGGGAATCGCAATGAGGACGCGGATGGCGATTCCGGCTGCAACAGCCAGGGCAGCTTGTCTGTAGTGCTCAGAGGTAAAGAGTTTGGGGTTCTGCAGTGCTCGATAGGCTTGGTTGGTTGTGTCAGTCAATCGGTACTGGCACGCGACAGGCTGGGTGCGCTTACCACCAACCACGGTGAGTTGTGCACCACGCAAGATGGCATTGGGGTCAAAGTTGGACATTGCTACCTGTTGTCCTGGACTGTGGATGACAAGGACAAGAATGGAAAGTCAGCATCCTCTGTTCAACAATTTGCTTGAACCCTCCAAGCTCATCGTGGACGCGTTTACCGACGTCATTGTTCGAGAATCGCCGATCTTCCGGCTGGCTGAACCATCCAGGGGTTTGCTGCCGTGCGGGCGGCCCTGGCCGTTGATATCTAGAACCATGCTATGAGCATACAAGTAGATAAAGACTTGTGTCGTTGTATTCGGGCGCATAGGTACATGTACTGGTAGGGACGAATGTGCTTCAGGCATACAGTAAATCATGACTCGATAGAGGTGCGATCAGACCAGAAGCTGACTTCCTCTCACAGTGTCTTCATCTGAAACAGCTAGAAGAATAGAATTGGAGAGCTCCAAACAAGCCCTGTTACGTAGTAGTTCGTGCATAAAATGACTCCTTAAATTGGAGGGGACATTTTCTTGACCGGCACGTTATGCCCCGCATGGTGAAAGGCAAGGCAGTGTTGGAGCATGGAATGAAGACGGCCGCCTCACTCTTACTCGGAATCTCTGTCTAGATCACAGAGTCACGTCCTAACAACGCACCCTAATACCCGACCAAGCACCCGGCGCGGAGACTCGGGGATGCCATGTCTTCGCGGCCCTCGTCTAGCACCTCCAAGGATATGCCGTCCGCCTCGACTGGTCTGCGGCGATCTTTCACCCTCCCCTCGCGACTTGCAAACCCGACAAAGGCGCAACAACCGGTAGAGATTGGTGCCGCAGATGGCATCGAGACACTGTTCGTCCACCCTTCGGCCAAGATCGTGTCCTTCACCTCAGCTCCATCCCTGAGGTCGCGACCCAGCTCAAGGTCGAGCATTGCAAGCTACGATGGAGAAGCAGACGGTGCCACCTCTCTACCATGGACCTCGCCTACTGAGCGCACCATGGCTGCTGGTATGACGGTGCGCGTTCTCACACGGTGACGAGAATGTACTGACACAAGACCAGGACCTCTAGAGATCTATCGCGTACCTGGCTCTGTCGCTTTCCTTCATTCTGGGAGTCTGTTACACGCCATCCTTCCTCGTTCGCAATGCTGGTGTGTCGACGGCGTCTCCAAGTTCGCCATGCGCGTCCTTCCCAACACCTACTACCGTATCGAGTTACCTGGAAATACACAAGAAGACCTGGAACATGTTGAGCTACTCAAGAAGACGCTGGTCAAGGTGCTGTACTATGAGAGAACAGCCTGTCCTTTCCAGAGAGGCTTTGGCGAGGACCTACCAGAGATGCCGAGCAGGAACTCACGCCGATTTTCAAGAGACTTGATTGAGCCCGCGAAAAGATGGAGACTTGACAAGGTCTGGAGGCCCGAAGGAGCTGATCTGGACGAGCCTCAGCTACTGCACCCCAACAGAAACCACTCGAGGTCAGACACTGAACGATCAGACACCGACGAGGCAGCAAGGTCTGAGGAAGCAGCAAGATCAGAGGACGAGGATGGAAAAGAGCAGGATGCCACAACACTTGCCAGCAGAGACAAGCCGCCGCAACTTCCTGGACTTTTCCCTTCAAAGAGTGTCGCTGCCACTATGCGATCTGTGACGGCTCCTCCACAATTGAGTCTCGAGTCGTCGCCTCCGTCAAAGGTCAACAAGGTTCGCAAGATGGCTGGCATCTTCAATCAGACTGCTCGCGACACTGCACCGCCTCTCTCCCGCACTCTCTCGACCACGCTAGGTTCCAGACTACCACCTATGCCAGAGTCTGCAGACAATGACCAAGACCTGCCTCTCTACTCTCCTGACTACCACATTCATGAAGGCATTACCGCAGACAAATTATTGCATTCGACACCAGTCAGACCTATTGCTGTATTGGCACCCGAGCACGATAATCCACCTGCTACTGAGCCTATGATCGTTGTCGAGCAACCAGATGATGAACCAGAGCTCATAGTGACCGATGACACAACTGGAACGTCTCATGAGAAACCAGAGGCCGACGAAACCACCACTACACTCCTCTTGCCAGACGACTCGCCAGAGCAAACAGCTGCAGGAGCAACAGAGCAAACGGAGGAAGAAGCACCACCGATAAACGTACCCGAACAATCCAACTCGGAGGATCCCACAAAGGAAAGTCCTCGACTCGGACACAAAGCAGCATCACCATCCACATCAACAACCGAAACCACATCCGCCACCTTTACAGCCTCCTCGCCAGCCCTCTCTACAACCTCTATCTCAACCGCAACATCCTGGTCCACCCTCCCCGTCCTCACTCCCTTAGAAGCATCAGACCTCCTTCGCCAACGCCGCGCCCCTTCCCCCTCCGCCTCGTCCACCCGCTCTGCCTCTCCATCTCCTCCTCACGCCGTCTCAACACCCGCCAAACAATCCTCCACCTCAACCGTGCTCACAAAGACCTCTCCCGCCCTCTTGGTCCGAAAAACCTGCGCACTCTTCCTGGGTCCTCCAGCAAACCTCGTAGCCACTATGCTAAGGATAGCTGCGAGATTAGTGGCCAGCGGTGCCTTGAATCTAGCAGAACCGGCTTTTCATGACATGTTTTCTTCCGGTGGTGCTGCGGCTGCTGCTACGGCGGCGGGCAGACTGAGAGGCCACAGACGAGTGCCTGGAAGTTGGGATTTGAGTGATGATGATGAGGATTGGGGGTTCTGATTGATTCTCGGGGAGAGCCTTGTTTTCTTGTGTTTCTTTTTTGGTCGTCTTGTTTTGGGTTTTTGCATTCTCGTCACGATACCCATATACTCGGTTTTGTTTTTTTCTTGTTACTATCCTTTGGCGCTGCTGTGATACTATTTCTCAGACCTGGTCACGAATCAGAATGACCTTACAGAGTTGAGTTGTCGTTAAGATGTTCATTTCGTTTTGTGCAAGCATAGCCATTAGCTATAGTAGGGGAAGCATCTTTCTCAATCCACTTCCCTCTCGTCATCAACCCTCATGATACGCCGGTGTCCGCAAACTCCTCCACGCCAAAAGAAACCCCATCTAGAGATTCGCTTTCAATCATGAAACAGAACGCTTAGAAGTTGAGCATGGACTTGGCATCCTTGATACCGGCGAGCTGACCCTCCTTGACTCTCTTGAGCGTAAGGGCAGCAATCAGGGCGGCACCAACACCGCTACCATCCTCGGCAGTCATGATTTCGACGGGGTCGGCATCACGCTTGTTCTTCTTCTCGGGCCAGTCGAGCATCTCGCGCAGGGCTTGGGCACCACGGGCCTTGAAGTGGGGGTACTTGTTAAACACCGAACCGTCGGCACCAACGTGAGCAGTCTTGTAACCCTTCTTCTTGCAGATAGCAGCGACACCACAGGCGGACAGACGAGCGGCACGGGTACCGATGAGCTCGGCCAGGCGGCGAACCAACTCCAGCTCAGGCTTGTTGCATTGAAGATCGAATTGGACGCGCATCAGCTCGGCAGTCTCGGACAAGTTCTCGAAGGGGTCCCTGGTTGGGTGTCAGCATTTTGTGTCAGCCGTTTGGTTCTTGTAATGAACTCACTCCTCAATAGCGGCAAGAATAGAAGCATCGATGTTGTAAGGCTTCTTGAGCTTGTCGACGCTCTGGCCCTCGAACATGTGCTTGCCATCGTGCATGTCAAGCAGAACAAGACGGAAGATCTCGCCGAGGTAGAGACCAGCAATCATCTTTTCAAAGGCCTGCTGACCAGGACGAGGTGACTCCTCGTCGATCTGGTGGTCGTACTTGGTGAGGGGAAGGACCTCGTGCTCGTTGTCGAAAGCGCCGTACTCGCAGTTGATGGCGATGGGAAGCTCAGGGTCGAGGTTCATGTGAGCGAGCTTGGGGATGGAACCGCAGTTCTCCATGTAAGCAGCGTTACATCCGGTACCGAAAATACATCCGATCTTCATCTCGGTGTCGGTGTAGGCAGAGGCGATGAGAGTACCAGTAGTGTCGTTGATCAGAGCGGTCAGCTTGATTGGGACACCACGCTCGGCCAAAGCCTTCTCGAAGGGAGGGACAACATCCTCGCCCTCAACACCGTCAATGTCAAAGCCCTTGGTCCATCTTTGCAGGATACCGTGGTCGATGTAGTGCTGGGTGGCGGGGTACGAGAAGGTGAAACCAAGGGGAAGCTTGTCGAGCTTTTCACCCTCGTGGTGGTACTCGATGAACTGCTGCAGACAGTCGGCGATGTATCCCCAGAGCTCATCAGCAGTGCCGGTCTTGAGCTCCTCAGGCATGCGGTACTTGGACTGGATGATGTCGAACTCTCCCTTTTCCTCGGGCAGGTGGATCTCACAGACACGGAGGTTGGTGCCTCCCATGTCGAGAGCGAGGAAGGTACCGGTCTCGTGACCAGTGGGGAAGCCCATACACCAGGTCGGATTCATGGGCTGTCGGATGTCAGTGATGTCTCCCTAGAGGCAGTGGTAGAGGAATGCTGACGATTGTAGAGCCCTCCTTAGCAAGACCCTTCTCGAGCTCCTTGACAAACTTTGTTACTATCTTGTCGAGAGTCTCCTTAGGAACAGTGAAGATCTCCTCAAGGTGCTTGATCTGGGCAAGGAGATCCTTGGGCACATCGGCCATGGAACCTGGTTGATTGTCAAACGCCGTCTTATTTCTTTCCAAGAGTTTCACTGACCCTTTCTGGATGGGGGTCTGCGAGGACCGAGACCGACCATGTTGACGGATGTGTGTGTTGTTTTGGTTTAGGTGGTGAGGTATAAATTACCAGACGTTGAGTGCACGCTGATGGAACGAGAAGAAGCAGATGAAGACTGAAGGATATATGTCAGCTCAGGCCGCAGAGTATGAGTGGCCAAGTAAGGTTCAAGTGTGAGAGGTAAAGATGTAGTAGTTGAGGAAGCCTGTGCCAAAGAGTGCCTTTTGGAGGCAGAGAGTGTGCAGTAAGTGGTGAAGCGTGGTGTGACCAGGGGCCGGCTCAAAGCGGACGCGACATTGAGTCTTCCCTCGGCGGATTTCCAAGTAAATGAAGCCTGGATATGACAATTCATGGCGTCCAAGGACAGCGGTGCTGCCTCCAAGCGTCTACTGTGTTGACGCGCCCCTCATTGGAGCCCCCTCCATTTCAACAGTTCAGGAACATGTGGGGGAAGCCCGACGACGGAGCGGGCATTGGCCGACGGGATTGGGACGTAGAGAAAACCGGGCGGAATACAAGGCAGATGGCCACTTACAGGGACTGATCAATGGAATGTGCAACGACAAGGCGCGTGAGGTTCTGTTGAGAAGGTTTTTGTGAGATGGTGGTGCTTGCTCGGCCTCCAGCTTCGGTCAGTCGGCGGCTGTGACGTCCAGCTCCGATCATCGTTGACCGTGACGTAGCTCCTTCCACTTTCCAAGCTGTGCCATTGGCTCTTGAATCACCTGAGCTTCTTCTTCTACCGGTAGCTCCTTCTTCTTCTCTTCTCCCCTCACAAACTCATACACAAACAAACCACTTTATCCCCAACCAAACGACCTCTACCATACACACAGTCAGTTTGTCCTTGTCCCCACCTACCTACACACAACACTGACATGTTTCCAGAACATCATCATGTCTTCCGCTCTCAGAATTGCCCGCGCTGCCCGCCCTCTCGTCGCCAACCCTCAGGTTGCCCGCTTCTCGATCGCTTCTCGCAGAATGGCTGCTGGTGACGCCGGCTCTCCCAGGTCCGGTGGTGCTGCTTCCGGTGACGCTTTCTCCCGCCGCGAGGAGGCTGCCGAGAACCTCTACGTCAAGAGACAGGAGGCCGAGAAGCTCGAGGCCTTGAGACAGAAGGTCAAGGCCGGTGAGGCCCAGCTGGCCAAGGACAAGGCCGACCTTGAGAAGCACGACAAGAAGTAAACTAGATGCATTGGACATCTATGACCAGAATCGCTACGAATTCATGCAAGTCCCATCACGCTTGACGGAGGATCCCACTTTGCCCTTCCTTGTACTATAAACACTTAATCCATCAATGCGCGATCAACAATTACCCTCACAATGTTTCACTTCCTTCGTAGCTTCCTCATTCTCGGAACATTCGGCAAATTCTGTCAGCTCTTCCATGCGACAAAGTATAAGAGCTGCGGTGTTGTAAGAAGAGGAGGTGCACAATGTGATAGCGCGATCAGAATCACTGAACCACTTGCAGGCTCAGGTCACGCAGCTGCCCATGCCAGATTATCAGGCTGGACTCTGGAGCATCATGCATGGTATGCTATGTGCACGGACCAGGTCGTTGAACCTCTACGCTGCGCTCTCCGAGATGGATCCTAGCGCTCGACTAGCAGTATACCACGTCTCGAAAACACACACGTTCAGCATGCCTCTTATCGAGCCACCGATGCCTCCGCTTGAGACCATCTTCAAAAGCTTCGCTGGCACTTGGAAGCTTTGTCGCTCACTCACCAGTGCCTTGCCCGGCTTTCCCTCTGGCACATTCACCGGTACTGCCACATTCAAGCCCCACAACGCCTTCGGCGCATCGTCCTTGCTATATCACGAGACCGGCGAGCTTGTCACTGAGCAAGGCTACAAGTTGTTGGCCAACCGCAAATACATATACCGCTTCAGTCCCGATGACGAGAAGATCTCTATTTGGTTCGTCAAGGAGCCTGCACCTGAAGGAGGCGAGGAGGTCGACTATCTGTTCCATGAGCTGGAGTTTTCTCTTCTCGAAGAGCGATGGATTGCCAAAGGAGACCACCTCTGTGAAAAAGACATGTATTGGGCCTTCTACGACTTCAGAATGGAAGACAGCATGAAGAAGTGGGGTTTGAGATACAAAGTCAAAGGACCTCAAAAAGACTACCTCAGCGATTCTGCATACGAACGTATCGCCTGATGAAACCATCCTTGCGCTAGTATATGCGTTGGATCATGTTGTGCCACTCCAGCATGAATCTCTCTCGTAAAAGCCTGCGGTAAACCGGCTAGTCACAATCGTGGTACATAACACATGGCGTGCTTTTTCTATTACAGGCGTGGCCGTCTGTATGCCCTGCGAGGCATATATAATGGGCATCACATCTCTTATTTGGGCGCCACAGCCCACATTACGCACCGACAAAGCGGGCCTTCATGTCTTCACCATTGGAAAGAACACTTCTCCGTCTCCAAGCCTCGCCCGAAGGTCTTGGTCTCGGACACTTTATCAAGTCATATCTGACTCCTCAAGACATGTTGAGCCTGAGGTCGACATCCCACGCATTGCACGACCTCTATGAGCTCAACGAGGTGGCTTTCGAAACCATCTACATTCACACGCCTGTGCCTCCTGGTCGAAAACAGTACGCCAACCTACTGTCGATTGCTGAACGGGGTTGCCGGCACGTTGTGGTCAGAATCGCCTTTTCCCACAATGCCTGCCAATCACTTTTAAACAACGACCTCGACACTAGTATCCTCACTCATGACTCAGACAGTAGCAGCGATTCGATCTCTGACATTCTAGAGACTTACTGTCCATACGTCGAGCCGCCGGTCGCTTGGAAATACATCGTTCAGAAGAAACCTGGTGCGATCGATCAAAGTCTGCTCCAACAATGGTGCGATATCTTCAAGCTCTTGCCAGAGATGGAAACTCTCAAGATCGCATGTAATGGCGATCCCGAATGGCCCGGCTGCACTGATATCGAGATGACACTTATCATGATACGAATCACTTTGGAGCGTATCAACCCCAAGCACATACATACAGTATGCTTGTCTCCCATCCATGCCATGGGTATCATGCACCTCCGCTGGGCTGGGAGCGGCGCGTACGGAGAAGCGTGTACTTCCAGGGATCCGATCTGGTATCGGCTGAAAGTGTTGAAGCTGGATATCACCAGCCCATATTCCGATGGCTTGTTGCCTCAATCTCAGAAAAGTCTGTTTGAGGAGATCTTGGTTGATTACCTGCACAGTTTCAGTCGAACATTGACTAGACTTGATCTTGCGTGGATTGGGGTGGAAGGTCTGCACCCCTTCTGTACCAAAAACAACCACCGCGGGATGAAGTTGACAAGAAGCTGGGACAGGCTGGAGGAGCTGCGGCTAGCTAACGTGAGTCGAGACTGTGGCACTTTAGTAAACAGCCAACTCGCTCCTGATTTGAAAAAAGTCGTGATCTCGAATGATACACCGGACACAAATGATCGTTTGGCGCACGATGGATGGAAAAGTTACCTGAGCGAGGATGATGGGGTGCACGATAATCACAACGCAAGCTGGATGACCTTACAAGATGTGCGCATCTCAGCAATACCTGAAGCACTCTTCCAACATCGCCTTTCATGAACTGGGCGGAGTTTATACTTGGACGAGTTTGATGGTATGCACAACCGAGTAGTCATTCATACCTTCACGGTACACATCAACAATCAGACCTTATCAAAGTTGCACATCTCTCTTAATTCTGTGCATTCTCTCTGAGCCTGATTGTTAATATGCATATACCTAGAGTGCATTCTCGTAGATGCTCAACATGCTAGCGCGAGGTACCTTTCGGAGAATTAACTCTATCATCCCCACCAAGTCCGGCGGAGCGGTTACAGAGCCAAGCTATTTTGTTTTAGAACGTCACGCCAGCCAAAACAAGATCGAATCGCTCTATAACGTGTTCATCTTGTTCTCTTTCCCTACACCTCAAGCTCTATTCTTGTCGTCGACGCAATGCGTTCGGACATTTCGAACGTCAAAGACACCGAGGTCAGAGCACAACGTCCATGCGAAACGTTAAGCACTGCGATAATGTAACACGATTGCCCGGAAGGTAAGTGGGGTTCGTTATGGAGGAGCCGGCCTCTGTAGCCGCCTGCTATTAAAGTCATTGCTGTGATCCTCTTCTTGACACTCATCCTCTTGTTTTGCACTATTACTGTGTAATCTTGATCTCCGAACCATCGTCGACAACATGGCTGCTCCAAAGGGTGGGTTCTTCATCCAAGATAAGCTGTACAAGAAAGCTCCTCATCATGAAAGCTTCAAGCAGCTTTGGGAGACCAAGTGGAAGAAGCCTGTAAGTATTGGAGTCCGACGTAACCAAACCGACTAACGATTGACTTGAATTGCAGTGCTCAATGGGTATCTACCCTTTCATGTTCAGTGCCATTCAGGACTTCGAGCCGATAGTTGAGAAGCTTGTCGAGGTAAGCCACAATCATGCCTGACAATACGACTCTCGCTCACGACACAACAGAGCGACTTCAAAGAGCCATACAGCTGGGATGACTATGCTCAAGTCTACTTCCCCAAAGCAGAAGAGCTGGTCTCCCAGGCACAAAGAGCCGAGCAAGAAGGGAACAAGGAGAAGGCTTCGGAACTCTATCTGTGAGTCGCATGGTGTAGCAGAAGAATAACGACATACTAATCATGCAAAGACGTGCGAGTGCGGTTTATAGGATTTCCAGATTTCCAGCTCCCCGGTCCGAAAAACAACGCTACGCCTGGCAGGAAGGTAAGAAAGCATGTAACAAAGGACTAGGGTGTGTATCTTCGAGATGGGTCTATGTGAAATGTGACTGACATCTTCATGCAGCCTTCGCGAACACCCCGTGCACGAGATCGAAGTCCCACATACCCATGGCATTGAAGGCGAGGGCAGGGTCATTCCCATCTACCATCTCCTCCCCTCAGATGCTAGTGAATCAAATCCTGCTGCTGTAGTCCTCATTATGACCGGTCTGGACGGCTACCGCACCGAACTCGCCGTATGGATGGAAGGATGGCGTCAGAACGGCATTGGCAGCATCGTTGTCGAGATCCCCGGTACTGGTGATTCACCCGCCCTAGCCTCTGATCCAACCTCTCCAGACCGACAATGGAGTAGTCTTCTCGATTGGATAGATACCCAACCCGCGATCGCCAAAGGTAAAGCTTGCGTCTGGGCCTTTTCGACGGGAGGGTACTATGCTATTCGACTTGCTCACACACATCCTACTCGTTTGGCTGGTGTAGTTGCACTAGGTGGAGGTGTGCATCACATGTTCGACGAAGAATGGCTCAACAACGTCAACAACCTCGAATACCCCTTCGATCTCGCCACAACCCTCTGCTATAAATACGGCTATGGCGACGACTTTGAAAAGTTCAAAAAGGAAGCCAAGAAATTTTCTCTGCTCGAAGATGGCACGTTGGATAAACCTGAGTGTGCGAGATTACTCCTCGTCAATGGTACTGAGGATGAGATATTCCCGATTGATGATTATTACCTTTGTTTGTTGCATGGAGCCCCCAAAGAGGCGAGGTTTGTACAAGGGATTAAGCATATGGGTGAGCCGGAAAGCTTTTTTATTATCCTCAAGTGGATTTACAAGTTGTTTGGGATCAAGGCCAATCCGGTGGACCAGATGAAAACTATCCCTTTCAAGCCGAAGTATTAGATAGACGAGATTCTATGACGTGTCAAACGAACCACTCGATGTTAGCTACAGTACTTGAGAAAGACAACAATGATACCTGATAACACATGAGATACTGTCGTGCTTCGATTTACATAGTTGCGTACCGCGTGAGGGACATATTTCACTCAACCAAAATTTTCTTCCATCCACAGCTGAGTGGCGCAGCGGAAGGTTCGTAACATAGCTCAATCGCCACATCTCAACATTCATACTAACAAAATGTACAGCGCGCCGGGCTCATATGAACTAGTTCAAGCAACCCGGAGGACCTCGGATCGAAACCGAGCTTAGCTATCCTATCCTTTTTGTCCTTTTGCAGAAGTCAAGGAGGCACTTTTCGGTCACAGTAGGGTAAGAAAGTGGGTCTCGAGGGAGGTTATGAACGGTAATTTAAGAAGGCTATTGGATCGAGTCGGAGAGAGAGCGATTCTTTTTGCGTTTTCCAGAGGAATATAAGTGGTGAGGTGGCAGATATGAGTCACTGTTGTAATGTTTTTGTGAAAAAAATGTTTGGAGCAGCAAACAGAAATTCGTCACTTTCATGCGTGGGGGGGTCAAAGCTCACTTTTTGTTGTCGGGCGGCTACAGGCTTCTGGCGTTACCATTTTCTCTCTGCATATCGTCTCGTCTTCCTGGCGGACCAAATCTGAAAATATGATGGATTTCTGGCCTTTTGTTCTTTTTGAAGAGACTGAAGGACCATGTATTGGAAGTATGACCCCGTTGCCTGAAGATATCCATAACCCTGAGCAGCTGCAATCAAATCCCAATTCTGCTCAGCTGAGGAATATCACTGCTCCCTCCCTTTTCAAAATGTCCTTGAGCTTTGGCGGATGCTAGCGATGAATGTTGAAGGCGCAAACGACATGTGTGGTTCAGCCTTCCACAGCGTTCGATAAAGCATTGTGCTTAGCAGTGTGACCCTTTGGCTGCACTTCGATACGTTCAAGAGAATAGTTGTCTTGGAGGTATACTGTCCTCCCGATAACATGCGCCGAGACCATGAGCTTCCTCCTCTTCTCTACTCCATAGCTCGGTAGACTGGTCTGTTTCTCATATAATCCAGCTTGAATCTCGGGAGTGTTCCAGTAGCGGGAGGCGGAGAGCGAGTGATCTGGTCTGCTCTTCGGCCTCTGAATCTCAGATCCCTTCTGAGGTAGAATGGTTCAGTCGCGGCGCTCGAGATAGGTAATGTCTCTTTGCTTAGGTCCTTTTGCTCTTTCTCCAAGGCATTGATACGCTGTTTAAGTGTGTTGTTCTGCTGAGTGACTGCTTGGACTTGTTGCTGGAGGTCTCTGATCGAGTGTTCGCTGGCGGCGACGAGTTGATGGAGTAGAACAACTTCTTGCTTGAGCGTGCGTTGTGGTGTCACCATAGCTGATAGGCGCACTTGAGACATGAATATGTTCTTGTTGGTTGCGTGGAAGAACGGCGACGAAAATCGGGTGGCAGTTCGCTGACAAGTTGTGTGAATGCGTGCCGGCAAGATTCGTTTTACATCCGTGGAATAGCACAATCACTTTCTTGGACAGTGAGCCAAGTGAGAAGGTGAGTGAAACGGTTGATGCAATCATGCATACCTAAATTTATGTGGCTCGTAAGCCATATATCTTCAAACTAATCTAACGACAAAGACGCCAGTCAAATGCTTTAGTCGCATGGAAACATGGACAGGGAAAACAGCCTTACTCATTATACCACCACAGACTACGACACAGGTCTCAACCTGGCTGTTATAAATAAGAGAATACACTTCGAATTAAGGGATCTTGTGTTGCGCTCAACATCATCCTAGACATCACATGCTCGCTCATCCGGGTCTTCTATGCATGGGATTGAGCGGATTTTGTAACGGTTGTCCCATAGGTACGCCAGGTCCCATGTGCGGCGCTAGGTGTTGGGGTCCAGGTCCGAACATTTGCTGTCTCTTGACGTCTCCTCCAACGTCGCCGGGCCCGCCCGTGATGTCGGATATTTGGCGTCTATGTGGGCCGCCAGATTGCGGTCCGAGACCTGGTGGCAGACCACGAGGCGAACCACCGTAACTGACTCCAGCAGGCATACCTGGTGGTGGCATGCCGGGTTGCATGTGGTAAGGTCCTGCAGGGTGGCCGGGTACGCCCATACTGTATCCATCTCCAGCGGCTTCGCTGTTTGCTGGCGACATGCCTAGGCCATTTCCAGGTGATGTCCAGTTGCTGATAGTAGCTGGTGAGGTGGCAGGTGAGTCTTCAGCTTTCAATGAATTCTTCGTGGCGACTTGAACGAGTGGTGGCGGAGGTCCCGATTGGACTCCGTCGATTTGTGAGGGCGACTTCTTGAGGTGGCCAAGATGCTTCTCCAGCATGCTCAATAGTCCTTCCTTGGTAAACGGCTTAGGGAGCACGTCATTCATGCCTGCAGCAAATTAGTTGGATGGCCTGCGAAGATAATTCTGCTGTTCACATACCGTGCTGGAAGTACATTGCAATATCGTCACTGCGGATGTTCGAGGTCATGGCGATTATCGGCGTGTTGTCGAACTGTCTGATTAGATGGCAAGCCGAGACACCATCAAGGTTGGGCATGATGATATCCATCAATACCAAGTCATATTTGGCACCAGCGTTCATCTTGTTGACTGCTTCTAGGCCATCAAGCTGTGAGCATGTTAGCACTTGATGTTGACCGGGAGAGAAATCGCTCCAAACTTACAGCACTATCGACGGCGCAGTGGAAAGCATACAAGAACTTGCCGCCTATCCTTCTACAGGTTTGGTCGTCTTCAACAAGGAGTACTTGAGGTTGTCTAACCCAGCCAGGATCGTATTGCATGCTCTTCTTTCTTCCGTCAACAACTGGAGGTGCAGGTGCAGGCTCGGGAGCCTTCGAAGGCATTGCATAGGGAATGTTGTGGATGTGCTCGCTGAACATAGGATCAATGCCGTTCGTTTGTCCGACAGGGTAGACCAGGTTGTCGAGCTCGCCATATGACATGGATGTCGATGAAGCAGCAGACTGAGGGCCGTGATTACCGCCTCTAGCCATTCTGGCACTATTTCTCATGGCAAGATCCGGCGGAGGAGTTGTGAGGCTCGAGTTCATTCTCATAGAAATTTCGTTCATGTGCTCGAGGTTGCGAGAGTTGAGCATGTGGTCGGCGTTGGCCTCGGTGAGCAATTTCTGAGCGTGTTGCAGCGGCGATGCAGGCTCGTCTTCTGGGATTGGTGCAGGAGGGGGCTGTTTGCCATTGACGGCTCCGGCCGTTGATGGCGCAAAGGGGTTTGCGACACGGCTCTCTCGTCGTTGTTTTCCATCGACCGACTGGAGGAAGCTCATGACATATTGCATGACATGCTCGTGGTTGACGACTGTCTTCTGAACGCCAATGAGTTCCTGGAGGAGCATTGAGTGGTGCATGCTGAGTTCGTTGTAGCGCTCTTGCAATTGTTGCAGTTGCTGCTGTGTCGCGACCAGCTGTGTGTTAAATAGGTCCATCTGCTGAGTAGGCATCATGTCGTCCATCAGGGCATTGGGCTTGCGAGGTGCAGGCGCTTTTCTGCGAATGTTGTCCAAAGCGTCCTTGTTGTTGGCCTTGAAATCGGGGTGCTTAAACTCCCACGCCTGTCGAGCTGTCAGTCTCACCATGCATTTGTGCTGCTTTAGGAACAATCGCGACGTACACCAGCGCCATAGGGAGACACGCCACCCTCTTCATTGTTGTGCCGGACCTTGTGAAAATCGTATTTGTTGAGTTGGCGCACGAAACTGGCAAAGTTGCTGTGTTTGAAGTGCTTGGGCAAGATGTGCTTGGTGAATTTTTCGTTCTGCTCGTCGTGTCAGTCTGTAAAAGCTACGCGTATCGGCACACTCGGCATGCGCACCTCGAGAACGACAAAGCTGTCGCCTTCATTGCCCCATCGTACTACGCTTTCGTCCTGCGGGCTCTCCAACATTCTATCAACAGCCAATTAGATGACGCCATTCATGCTTGACGCGCTTGCGCCCAGTGCAATGACCTACTTGTACAACTTGCGAACCTGCCAATACGGAGAAGCAAAGATTAGCCAATGTACCCGAGCGATTGCGCCTCTGTCGGCAGCAGACATGGCCGTATCCAACTTACAAAGTCGCTCGACGTGTTTCCACCGCCTCCCTGATTGTCCATGGCTGCGGTATGCGTGTGCGGCGATGACGTAGGCAGTCTAGTTCATGCGACGCGCAAAGAATTTGCACCGGGTCGGAGGAGTTATCGTTGCAATACTGGCGACTTTGTCGAGATGGAAGCGGGGTTGCAATGCGATGGATTGGGCGAATGCCGGGATGTGTGATGTAATAGGCGAACTTCCACGAAGATATGGGGGGCCGCTAGGATAGTGTTCGTGAGCGACGTCGCGTGCTGAAGCCTCGTAGAGTGGTCGTGGACGTCGAGTAGGGTATGCGGAAAGTCACCAAGGGGCCGACGATGGCAGGAGCGGAAGCAGTACAGCAGACTTGAAGAAAGAAAGCTCGAAAAGCAGGGTAGAGAGCCAGAAACACAACCCGAGGCTCTGTGCAGTTTGCAAGAGGACGCTGGGGCTTAGCGTAAAGTGGATCTGCCTGCCCTCCTTGTCTAAAGCTCGAGTCGGAGGGAAAAAAGGAAACAATTGCGGCTTGGCTACTGGATGAATTCGTGTAGAAGCCGTCGATAGCAGAGAGTCATGATCGGCGTCGCGATTATTGGAAGAAAGCTTCCGCTGCCCAAATCGTGGAATGCTGGATGCTGGCCGTGTATCCGTCGCTTCCTTCCACCATCGACCAAATACTGCTCACCCATACCAACCACTGTTTGACTGCCGACCGGCAACTCCGCTCGAGCATCAAATTTTCCTCATCGCCATAGCCGTGACATGTGTCCCACTTCTGCAGGACAAAGGAGGGCTAATGGATCTTGCGGTTAAGCTTGGATCTAATACTTTGGGATGGCGTCAACGGCTCCGCTAAAGCTGCATATCGCAAGCCATTCGGGTCAAAAGGGTGAACGCATCGATGGTGGTATTCCAAAAACTGTTAGAAAATTGAAACTCACAGCAAACGTCCTGGTAAAGGTTTGTGGACAGAGAGGGAAGGAGGGTCCTGTCAGGGTCGCAACGTATGCCGCATCTCCGCGCAACTTTTATCAAGCTTGTAGATGAGCTTCAGGAGTATCTTGCATCATGACATGCTGATAGGGAGCGATTGCGTAGCCGGTCGAATGGTTAATAGAGAGCGCGGGAAGCACCCAATCACATGTTGACAACAAAAGCTTGGTCGTTATCCACACCTTAAGCTCAGAGCCTCCAGTCTTCTGGCCACGTCCAATTCACCCACCTACCCCTCACCTGCTCGTCGTTTGCCGTCAATTAAAGAAACACCTTTCCCCAGCTTGCAGTCATGTTCACCGCTCGTTCTGCTCTTTCCTCAACTCTCCGCGCCACCCGTACATCCCTCGTCACCCGTTCATTCCACGCTTCAGCTCCCATCATGGTCAAGGTCGGCGACTCTATTCCGGACATTGAGTTGATGGAGGACTCTCCCGGCAACAAGGTCTCCATCCCCAAGCTCCTCAAGGGCAAGGGTCTCATCATCGGAGTCCCTGCTGCTTTCAGTAAGATTGCCCTCTTTCTCTAGTGCACCGTCCTCTCCTTCACCGGTTCCCCTGCGCGACAAGCTACACCTACTTCTCCATGCCGGCAGCGAGTCCAAAGCTTGGTCAATCGCTGGCTGGCTACCCGCGGTACCGCTTGCCGAACGACTGCCTGCTTGCCGCTCCGCTGCCAACCTCTACATTCCCGTGTATCAATTTCCACCACCTCTGGAATTTGGACATGAAGAAATAGCTCGCGCTCCTTTTGAACCATCAGTTGAAGCTGCAATCGCCCAATGAGGAAACACCCACTAACATTCCTCTTCCTTATAGGCCCCTCGTGCTCCGAGTCCCACATTCCCGGTTACATCAACTACAAGAATCTCAAGGATGCCGGTGACGTCTTCGTCGTCTCGGTCAACGACCCCTTCGTGTAAGCAGGAGCCTAATACCGGTATCCTCGAATCAAGAGGTTAACACACAATCTAGCATGAAGGCATGGGCCCACGATCTTGACGCTGACAAGAAGAGCGGCGTAAGTTCTTATAGCTATCCTGTGGAAGCCCAATTCGTGCTAATGGTCTTCTAACAGATCCGCTTCCTTGCCGACCCCGACTGCAAATTCACCAAGGCTCTTGACCTTGACTTTGATGCTACCCCCATCCTCGGTAACCACCGCAGCAAGCGCTACGCCCTGGTCATCGAGGATGGCAAGGTCAAGGAGGCCCACGTCGAGCCCGACAACACTGGCATGAGTGGTGAGTTTTTTTGGACAAACCGTCGAGCTGCAACCATGATATTAATTGCTTCCTCCAGTTTCGGTCGTCGACAAGGTTCTCGGTTAGATCGTCCCACATTCTGCCCTCTAGACGCTTTATGCGAAACAAATAAAAGGGCCACGTAGTAATGAGAAACTTTTAGATTTCCCTTCGCGTCTTTGAAGCTTTTTTGGGGCAAGCTAATCGCTATCTGCTGCTTCTTCACCAGGATACATTCGAGAATTTTAGGACGAACAACACTGGTATGCTAAAGGCAAGCTACGATTCTGTGCAACTATGTCTACTTCAGCTACTGGATTCCATGTTTCTGTCTGTGACCTCTTGTGTACGATCTAGCAAAGCCCCTTCGCTCGCTCCTAGTCATGTTCAAGTCCTCAGACCAGAGTCATCACGAACGATCCAGTCAATGGCACACCAAGCTTCTTGGTGATCAATTTCCTCTTCACATCGGTCACTACGCTGGAGTCTCTTTTGAAAGCCGCTGTCGTCCCATTAATGCCTTGGCCAAGCACAGTAAGGCTCACGACGTTGGCATCAGTTGGGTAGCCGAAACTGCCACCCATGGTGAAGGTGCCATTTGCATAGCTGAAGGTGATGAGACTGGTCTCAGGCTGCTCGATAGCATCGCCTTCGTCCAAGTACAATGAACCTTCAGCCTTGCCATTGAGATCAGGTGCGATCACGAGAACAAAGTTTTGCTTACGCAGCTCGGTGGTAGTGTTGGCAGAATTTTGACGCAGAGGCAGAATGCTACCGCCGCGAATGTGAGCGGTAATATCGGTGAAGTCGACATTTTCGCGGGTCACCCAATCGCCTGTCCCACGCACAGGCTCCAAGGTGAAGTAGTCGTAGAAGATGTCATCAGGAAGGTAGAATGTGACGCTTGTACTGTTGTCGTCCACAACAGGGCTGACCAGTATGCTGTTACCCCAGAAGAACTGGTGCTCGATCGGGAAAGTATTGGTGTCTCCAGGGTAGACGAAGAACAAGGGCTGGATCAACGGCTTGCCGCTCAGAGTCTGCTCGTGGAAGGCGGTATACAGATAATCGAGGAGTCTGTAACGTGTTTCGATTGCCTTTTTAGCAGCAGCTGTGGTCAACTCCCAGCGATAGAACTCTTGATTCACGGTACCAAGCTCCGCGTGGTTGCGGTAGAAGGGATAGAAAGCACCAAGAGTTGCCCATCTGGCGCACAGTTCAGGGAAAGAATTTCCACCAAATCCGCAGACATCGCTGCCGACCATAGGCATCTGTTCGATTCTGGTCAGCTTAAAGTCATACAGCCTCTACAAGGACACCATACCTGGAAAATAGCAGCGAACTCGAGCATTTGTGCAATAGACACTCGGCACCATCGCCAGCCCGACACATTATCACCCAGCCAATGGCCGACGTGAGCTCCAGCACCAGCGAAAGTACTACGTGTAATGATCATAGGTCTTCTTGTAGGTCTTCGTGCCAGCATTGCGTCTCGACTGGCAGTCGACATCATGGTGCCATAAAGATTGTGGGTGTCGTACATGGTCAGCCCATTTTCATGGATGAGATCAGTGTCAATGGTCTTGTTCGACAAGCTTCCCGCATCGTTGTTGATGGTGTATGAAGGGTCGACGAGATTTCTTCCTGGCAGGCCGAGGTGAGTGCCTGTGCTGTTGGACTGGCGCTTGACTTTGCGTGATGAGGGGCCCGGTTGGAAATCAGCAGGGAAACCAGGTATGGGATAGCCTGCATTCGCTCTGACTTCTGGAGCAGCTGGTGGGAAACCATTGGTAGCAGCATAACCGGATGGATCACTGCATGGCCAGGGACAGAAATTACTGGCCTCATTCATGTCTGACTGCGATTAGCATGGCCGATGCTTTAGCGCTGGGTTCACGACGACCTACCAATCCAAAGAGCGTCGATATCAACACCAGTATCAGCGTTGAAGAACGAAGTGAACTCGTCGGTCCAGTACTCTTGAGTTCCACTAGCAAACCAGTCAGGGAAGGCCGTGACACCTGCAGACCGTCAGTCTTACAGTACTTCATACTGGGTACTCAAGCTTCTGCTTACCAGGCCAGACGACACCTTGATAAATGGAGCCATTTGATCTCTTGAGGAAGGCATTGGCCTCGACACCGTTGTTGAAGGCAGAGTAGTTGTAGTATGCAACCGCAGGATCGACCATTACAATGTAGGATTGCTGTCTATCGTGTAGAGTTGAGACCAGTTCTTGCACCTTTTCCAACGGGAAGCGCTCTGGATCGGTCGTAAACACATGCCTTGTGTCCATGTAGTCAATATCTATGGCGGAAAAACAGTCAGCAGAGTCTTCAGAGCGGTATTTTAGTCTTGCAGAATTGGCTTGACCATTCTTACAAGACCAATGCAATAGATATGCAACTTCAGTTTACGTACCAGTCCCTTGAAAGACGTTAGCTATCATCCTGATGGTTTAATCTGTACGACACTTACACATGACCTCCAGAGGAATGTCGGCTGTACTGTAGTTTGCAACAACAGCAGCGACTTCATAGACATCGCGGTATCCATATCTGCACTGATGGAAGCCGAAGCCTTTTTGGCGGTATGGTCAGCAAGACCTTCGACATAGATGATACAATGACTTGACTCACCCCAGTATGGCATTTCAGCTGGTAAACCGACAATCTCCGCATACTGCTTGGAGACTTCGGTGGGAGAAGGTCCGGCCAAGAAGTAGAGGTCGATGATGCCTCCAATGGTGTTGTACTCCAGATACTGGCCGGCTTCTGCGGTGCTGTTGATCTTGATGTCCATGCCGTTGCTGTTCAAAAGAAAGACACCATGCGTGCCATTTGTACCGCGGTGATCGAAGTACACAGGGTGGTTGCCGTAGAGGTTGCTGTCATCAGGAATTGAGTATGCATCACGGGACCAAAGAGTTCGTGTGTAGTTGGTAGTGTTCAGCTACTCGTGTGTCAGCTATAGTCTTTGTGTCCATTGGCAACTGTAACATACCTGAAAGGGATCAGAGTGCTCGCCCAGGCCATAGAGGTGAGGATTCTCGGGAAGTTGGGTGCGAACTCTCAGGTATTGTGATTGGAAGACGAGATTGGTACCACTGGTGTTAAACAGAGTCTGTCCGCCATCACGACGAGATACGGCGAACGAGAAAGGGTCAGCAACGACGTCGAAGATAAGTTGACTTGTTGTGGAAGAGGCGTTTCCATTCGCACTTGGACGGGGGAGAACAGACTCTGGAACTTGATAAACGTTCTCTTCAGCATCGTAGATCTGGACGTGGAGTCTGTCCCCAGTCTGGTAAGTCGCCTCAAGTTTCAAGTTCTGGAGGTCTTGACCATAAGTGTTGCAGGCCGGGCCGTTCAAGGTAAGATCAGCCTAGAGATGATATTAGCGACGGCCAGGTCACGGTCAGAAGTGAGTAAGCGAAGCTCACTGTCAATCCTTGACTTGTCTGCTTCACGTTGGTGGCCTTGTATCCGGGACAACTTTCTAGCGGTAAAGCGTTCTGACGAGGCACATGGCCATTCGGGCTAGCACAGATCTGTGTAACACAAGCAGCAGCTACAAGCCACTGCACAGTGCGCCGCAAAGCCATGATGGTGGTGTTTGAAGGTTGATGGCGAGTGTTGATTAGATCAAATCGAACCCAACTGACCGACAAGATTGACAGGGCATCAACAAAGATTTATAGGAAGTGACAACCCTCATCATCACGAAGCAAACCTGTACTGATACGTGACTACCTCTCCGAGACTCCGAAGCCCACATGCACCTTCCTTGCCCGCATCCTGTGATGCTCCAGAAAATCAATATCACTGCGGGGCAATCTGATGCTGTATGCATACTCCTTACATCAACACATGATGGCACCTTTGGTTGTCTCCACCTCCTCGGATACTCCGACTTGATCTCGGTAGGAATGGAGGAGGGGCTATGATGCATATCGCAGACGTGAACATCATATGACCATGTGCGCATACGGGCGGAGGCAGCAAGGACATTATTCTGCACTTGCCATGCGGGGATGTTTGTTGCTGGAGAAGAATGGTCTCAGATTGGGAAGGGATGCACGTTGTGCGGGGCGTGCAGCTTCTGTCGATCCCTCGAGTCCTGCTTTAATCGATCGAGCATCACAAACACCGAGAAATATGGAGACAGGTCTTTGTATGAGCTTTACAAGTAATTTGACCATTACAGCATGGAATGTGATTTCCATTTCTAGCTGACGTCCGGAGCTGAGCAGGACGTCGTCACAACTCGGCATCATCAAATACACGAAATGTGTGGAATCTGGTTTGTAATTTTGGTCCAGCAACTCGCTGTCCCGAGTCTCCTTGTGATTCGTCAGGCATTTCCATCATCAAATCTTGGATCGTTGATCATGGAGTCAGGCATGCTTCTTCTGATCTTCTTCCTGTCCTTTCATAACCCAAGCGCTGGCCTTCTTAGCATGCTCCTCGGACTTTTCCTTTGAGCTCATAATTTCCTTCAACTTGAACTCGTCGGGAATGTTGATACCCTTCTGAACAGCTGGACGCGAATTGATGACATCTAGCCATCTCTCAATCACAGGGAAAGGCTTGGTCTCAATGCCAGCCCAAGCACCCCAGTTGACCCACGAGAAGCAAGCAATGTCTGCGATGGTGAACTTGTTACCAACGAGCCATAGACCTTGACCGGCCTTTTCTTGATCGGCAAGACGGTCGTTCAAGACTTGATACAGACGCTTGGTCTCGGTCTGGTAGCGATTGATGCCGTACTCGATCTTCCCTGGTGCGTATCTGTAGAAGTGGTTTGCTTGACCCTACGTTTGGTGAGCACGACACTCTGAAACGACTTCAGGTAGGCACATCATACCTGCATAGGTCCCAGTCCAGATTGCATCCAGACAATCCACTCCACGGTCTCCCAGTACTCATCACTGTCATGGTCGAAGCTGATCTTGTTGTCCTTGTCATATTTCTCGGTCAAGTAGAGCAGCATGGCACCACCTTCAAAAAGACGCTTATCCTTACCGGATGTCTTATCTACCATGGCAGGAATACGTCCATTGGCTGATGTCAATCAGTATCACATTTTAGAACGAGATCGAGTATCGGAGCAGCTTACGGCAGATCTTCAGAAACCACTCCTCTTTCTGCGTGTTCTTGGAGATATCAATCTTATGAACATTGTAATTCAAACCCAGCTCCTCGAATGCGATATGGACTTTGTGACCGTTAGGCGTGCCTGAATCTCTTGTTAGGAGGTCTTGTTGTTGTCAACCGATTTACGGCCAGTACCTGCGGTGTAGCTATCGAGCCGTCAGTATCACCTCACTGGACGGGAACATTTGCACTCACAGATCGATATTGGTCTTGAAAGCCATTTTTTAGGTGTGACGAATCGTGAAAGTTGGAGAGATGGCCAGAGGATGGATACACCGAGCGGATTAATAATGCTCTCATGAGGGGTAGACGTCATCGGATTTAACTCCGTGGTCATCACCCACTGATGGGCGTACGACCCTGACTGCATTGTCAAACCCAGTGTTCAACCTTTCTGTTAGCAGCCATCGGCCTGATATCTTCCTGGAACAATGCAGCATACGTCCTCTGATGTTACCTAGATAGTTTAAAGCTGATATGTGTAAGACTTTCCTGAAAATCATGCTGCCGAAAGCACTTTATATGTTTTTAAGATTGTGCAGCTAGACAATGACAGCAAAGGTGAATATAGTAGCGAATTGCCCGAAGTCTTGGGAAAATTAGAAGCTAAACTGACTATAGAGGTGATACAACCCACCCACTGCCTATTACTATGTGTTACACTACGTTCACTAGCAAAGACAGCACATGGGTTGTCCGGCTGGGTCTGCATATCTGAAGATCATATTTTTGCCGAGCCAAGTGAGCTTCAACAACATCCGATATGGTCTAGTGGCTAGGATTTCTCGCTCTCAAACCGTTTCTACCAAGAAACAACCAGGTCCGAGGAGGCCGGGGTTCAATTCCCCGTGTCGGAATCTTCTTTTGTTCTGTCGTCAAACAACCATAGAATGTGTTATAAGTGTTTGTGGAGGATGAGCAAGAACTCTTTTTCTCGAAAAATAAAAGTGAAGCCTGGAAATTTGAATTTAGGATTTTGTGCAGAATAAAGCCTGCATGGTTACATTAAATTCGAAAGCTCGTATTTAACGAGAGAGACGAGAGTTCTCTTGGCCTTATTGAAACCAGTTCGTGTGGGAGGTAATGTTTGAGAAACATTATGGGATGACCGAAAGACCTCAGCACCGCCTTCAGCACCGATAGCTTTCGGTTGGAAATCGCTCCCAGTTGTCATTTCAAACATGATTATCACCATCACGCTCGCGTGACTGGAAAGCCTCTGATATTGAGGTATAATCGTTAGAGAAGGCGTTCCCTCATTGTCGAATTCGAACAGGCCTGAACGAATAAACTAAATGTCTTGCAAGATGTTCACATGTGATTGTTGTCCATAGCGCAAACCCGTTGTACGATTGAGAAACAGTCATCTGTGTTCGGATGTTCCTTTGAATTTAGACTGATTCATGTACACCACACCATGTATGTATGCTTCAAACTTTGAAGCCTTCTATGCTCTAACCTCCCAACATCTAATCTTTCCCTGCTCGTTTGCAACAGCAAGACCATCACTGCCTGGTGCAAACGCAACTCCAGTGATTTTACCCAACGGCGTGTTGCTGGTAGGCCAGTTCTTAAACACTGTACAAGTAGGCAGATGCACAATTCTCAAAGCGTCCTTCTTCCATTTTGATGCCATGACTAGCATTTGGCCGTCAGGAGAGAAGTTGAGGTGAGAGATTGGTGTGGTGAGATTGTCGAGAGCGCGAGTAGGTTTAGGAGCAGTAGGGGTAGGCGAAGCGAGAGGGTCGGTGGAAGATGCAGAGGCAATGAGCCAAGCGCGACGATCGTAAATGTTGACCACACCGCTCGAGCTGCCCACAGCAACCCAACGATCTTTACCGATAGGCGAGCCAGCATTTCCATTGTCACCACCGAGAGTGATTGTAGTGGTGCCAACAGCGCCTTCATCTTGCCAGCGAGCCACGGCGCGCTGCTCATCCATGTTCCACTCTGTGACTTCACCGTTCTTGCCAGCGATACTCATACCGCGGCTATCGCGCCACCAGGCAAAGTCTGCGATACCGTTGTTGCTCTCCACGCGTACTTGGCTGGACCATTGTAATGTGTATGCGTCGAGGATATTGATTACACCGCCACCCTTGCGAGCACTGCCGATAAGGGCCATGCTGCGGCCGTCGGGAGACAGCTTGAAGCGCTCCATACTGCGTTGTTCGTGTTGATGACCGTAGACACGGGCAATCTTTTCCACTTTGCCGGTCTCGAGGTTCCAGACATGGAAGTAACGGCGGCGGGCGGAGAGGAAGATACGGGGGTCGTTGGGGTGGAAAGCGGTCGTCGTGAGGGGAGTCTTGCGGATATGTAGGGAGGTGAGAAGAGGGTTGGCTTCGGATGCTGGAGGAGACGCGACGATGTGGTGGAGGTAAAGAGTTGACGAAGGGCCGGAGGAGAGCAGCAGGGGAAGCTCGGGGTGGTATTGCAGAGAGGTGATGGCCGAGGGTTGTGTACTGCCAATGTCCTTTGTACGTTGGATGTCGATGACCTCGGGTCGCAGCTTGCGCTTCTTGCTTTCCGTTCGGCGTACGAGGCCTCCTCCTTGCAGCAGCTTGCTGAGCGGTTCGGCCGAGATTTCGTCGCCGCCCTCTTCATCGTCCATGTCCATATCATCCTCTGAATCAGCATCGAGATCGTCGTAGCTAAGTCTACGCTTCTTTCTAGGTCCTTGCTGGGCGGCTTCGACAGCCCAATCGGGTACAGGGTTGAGCATCTCGTAACTGCAACACGATTAGTTTCTTGGTCGCAAAGAGTGTAAGAAGACGAGCATACTGTTTGCGAAGACGGCGGACGTAGTCTTTGCCAGAAATCACATCCTCAGCCTCTGTCCTCCTCAGCTTGCGCAGTCGCGGTACTGAGGCCAATGACACAAGCATTCTCTCGTCGTCGCTGTCTTGCCACGCTGCTCCTTCTTCCTCTTCCTCCTCTTCAGTCGCAGGGACGGGCTTCAGGTCAGCCGATGCGCCAACATCAGTGAAGAACAAGTCGGCGTCTGCGAGACCATCGTATGTTCCTTCATCGCCAGACGCAGCAGCGCCCTCTTCCGCCGAATCCTCATCATCCAGACCAGTCCCGAATCCAGCGAGCCCAGCTCTGAATCCCATGCTGTCGCCAAACACGGCTCTCTCCAGCTCTTCCTCGGCAGCGTCCTTCTCGTCTTCGCTGATGTCCATTTCGTCTTGTCCAGCTGGGGCGTCATATTTCTCGAGGTCCGACATGTCGCTGGCCGAATCGTCCTGTGCAGGCGCCGACTTCTTGGCCGGTGCAGCAGCCTTTGCTTTCACTCCAGTCTGCCGATTGTCCTTCTTGCTTTTCGTTCGCGCCATTGTGTGATTATTGTCTTGCTTTTCGAGAAAATGCAAAGGTCAAAAATCTCCATCCTCCAAACTCGGACATCGGAGCCCTGCAAAATTCCCGTCCTTATCGATAAGCTTTGGCTCTTTGACTTCGTGCTCGAAGGGAAAATAAATTGAATCAAGAAATATTACCCGATGCCTGAATCAAGTGTCACATACACGCAGAGCTTTATTGCGTTTGGACAAGTATGAAATTATTATTGCTTTGCTGTTCAAGCTATTACACCGAAAAGACTGCTTATGAGTTTTTCTGTAACTCCTCTCGCTACTCGAGCTCTGCTCGCTTTGTAGCGACTTTACTACACAAATTTACCGTCCACCTGTGGACGCCACACATACAAGGAAAAGTGTCTGTAGAAGACTGAAGGGCTCATCTGATCTAGATGAGAAGGGCTGCAGCTGCCAAAGCGATGGCACAACCGGACATACTCACAATGTTGGCTGCGCCGGTGTAGGTCGTGGGTGACAAGGGAATGACCGAGCCAGTGCCAGCTGCAGTACCTTGAGGAGCGACTGGTGAGGCGGCAGTGCCGTTACCGTAAGGAGCGGAGGCGCTGGTTGCAGGTGTTTCAGGAGTTTGAGGAGCGGCCGGGGTACCTGAGTAGCCGTTGTCGAATGACGAGCCATCCTCGGGGCAGTTCCAGTATTGTGCACTGTAGCCACCGACCTTACCAGCAGTTACACTGGTGAGAGCAGTGAAGGCGCCCCACTGAGGGAATTCGGTTTCGTCAGCAGCGGGAGTGACTTGAGCTTGTACAACGTTGAGCGAAAGATCGGGCACATCTGCGACAGCAACTTCTCCTCCGTCGTACTTGGCCACTCTCCACTGGAGGTTTTTGCGAAGGTATGGCTCAACATCGGCCGGGAGCATGGTTCTCAACTCTCCAGTCTCGTACTTTCCGAGAAGAGAGGTGGTCAGGGGAACAGTGCCGGTAATCTTGAGATCCATGTTGGCCATGTCATTGTCCTCGGAAGGCATGTTGGAGAAGACGGAGTAGGTACCGACAAGGTTGGGCGAGAGTTGCAGCTCCTCAGTGGAGTTTGATGAAACGTTACCCAAGAATACATAGACGGCGTATGATCCGTTCATGGCGAACTTCTGAGACACAATGTTGCAGATGTATTCATGATGGTACTCATCAGTGCCGTTCGTGCCGTTGGCGTTGTAGTACGGTTCGCCAGTCATGTTATCACGCTTCCACCAGGGGCTCCAGATATGTACGGGGTGGCTTCTCCAGATGCTAGCGAGTCCAGGTCGCTGAGCATTCTGTCTCGAAGGCGCTACAGGTGGTGTTGGGCCTGAAGGCTTTGCAGATGCCGAAGGGACTGCTGGAGCGGAAGGAGCTGCCGGTGTCGAGGAAGATGCAGGTGCAGAGGATGCGGCGTTCCCGAGGTTGACATTTGCTGATACATCTGCGGCAACAGCGTTCTTTCCGTAAAGTCTGTTGATAGCTGCACGAACGCTGGCAGCAGTAGCGCCATTTTGAAGTTCAGGGTAAGTGTAACCAAGCTTGGTGGTGTCGCGCACATCGGCCGAAGTCCAGTTGGTACCAGCAGTGTCCTTGAAGAATGGCGTGAGGGGCGAGTTCACATCGTTGATAGTTCCAGCAGGGTAGGTAAAAGTGCTTCCGACTGCTGCGAGAGGCTGCACATAGCTGTCGGTGTGGATGCTTTGCCACAACGCGAAGCTGCGGTCAACCATACTGCTTTCCATTAGTTGCGCCGTAGTAGAAGATATCAATAATTTGCACTTACACATGATGTAACCAGAATACTGGGTCGAATGCAGCATAATCGAGATAAGTCATGTGACCATTGTTACCAACACTTGAGTGGATACCATCGTGAAGCGATTCGAGACTGTCAGCATTGGTGGAGCTAGCGGTGATCCATGCCGAATCACCAAACTGGTGGAAGTTGTTGTAGTTGGTGAAAAGGTTGTACAGACGATCGCGGAAATTGACCTGGCTGTTGGTGAAGATAGGATTGAGAAGGTTGTTCTGACTACCTGCAGAAGCGTCCCAAGAAGAAGGATATCTCTTGGTGACGTCCCAAGATGCGAACTGGAGAAGTCAGCAAATCGTTAAAGGAAGGACGGTCAATGCTTCTTACAGGGTTGTAGACCATGTCAGACACAGAAACAGGGTGGAAGTCATAACGGAAGAGAGGGTTGGCAATGGTCTGGATACCGGTTGGAGTGGTGACCGTAGCCCATTGATCGCTGAGCAGAGCAGGGAATGCTTTACAGCTTGAACAAGGAGCTGCAGCCCAATCCCAGTAGGGGTAACGCCAGTTTTGAGCCGCGGCAACGTACTTGTTTCTGGTCGCACCAGCGGGGAAAGACTGTGCGGCTTGTTGAACATGCTTGTAAAGCTCTTGCTGTGAACACAACATGATCAGCAGGAAATTCGTATGCATGTCATACAATTACAAACCTCAATCAGAGCCAGGTATGGTCTATGCCATGGTAGGAACATGTTGGAAGTGTGAGTGCAGTAACCACCACCGAAGCCGGGAGCACTGCCAATACCATCCCATGGAACATAAGGTCTGCCATGAATACCTAGATTTCAGTGAGCTACTGTCGGGGACGGACACTGTCTTCGGCCAAAACATACCGGCAATCTGATAGTAGGACAGAGGGTCTGACTGGCTCATCTGCATGAAGCTGCGTAGACCAAGAAGGAAGACATTGAACATGTCAGGATATTGTTGCTGCATGGTACGGAGTTCCATTCTAGGCTGAACGCCATTTCCAGTGACTCCAGTGACGGCAATCTTTGCAGGTGCTGATTGACGGGTCTCGAGACGCTCAGCGTTCACGAGGTAACCATCAATGTTGACGAGATCACCTTCGACATCAGGCTGCGTAGATGCAGCGACATGCTGCAGGGCAGATGAACCCAAAAGGGCTGCACCAATGACTCCTTGGAATCGCATATCGAATTGCTGTTAAACGAATGTAGTGTAGAGAAAAGAGAGAAAGGTCGAGACAAAAGTAGGCATGCACCGGCTTGCGTCGTATCAAAGATGTGACTGTTTGCCAAAGGGGTTGCCGTGAAACAATGTCAAAAAATTCCGTGACCGGAGTTTTTTGACCTTTTGAGGCGAGTCGAGCTTGGATTAGAAATATTAAGTGGATGGCTGGTTGGCCGGGTTGAATGGAAAAAAATGCAAGGGAACGGAAATGGCAAACAAGGGAAACTGCAGCAGAAGGGTCGCTCCTGTCAGTCGAGAGGAGGAGGAGGAGTCGAGAAGGACTATAAGTATGTATAATAGCAGATCTCACACTGAGATGGTGGTGGAGATAAATAGTGGCTGACTTCCCGGAATGGATGATCGGAGATCATGATAGCGCCTTGTAGACCACCGCCAGGCACGCAGAGAGCACGATGCGTATACGAACGTTGAGCATGCGGGAGCCATGAATCTCAGTCACGTAGGTACGCACTACAGGCGGGAAGCATGACCAGGTATGTCTGATTATGAGACGGTGGTCGCAGACTTAGCCCTTAGGCTGGGCCGTACGTTCATCATGCATCCAAAGCAGGGTGACTGCCGCTGTGCTAGTGTGACCAGAGCCGGGGACTCCTTGCACCTGAGACGCGAATGGATACGGATGTAGCTAGTGCTTGACAAAATAGTTGTTTGGGCATTTGAGTAGCGGAAGGAAGAGATGTGGGTGCCTGCATTGCACGAAAGCCAAGCTTGCGCCGCACCTTCCAATCAGCGAAGTCCTTTTCTGGAAACTCATTTCGCTTCGTTGTTTCGGACCTGCCATTTTCTTGGGCGCTGCGTCGCACGAGGAAAGCTTCTCGAAAGAAGCTGCCTGAGACACCTGATATTGTCAATGATGCCGTTTTGAGAGTCCAAGAGATGAAAAGATCGAATTGTCTGCGCCTCCGAGCTGCAGCGACCGTCGCACCGACGCACCCGGATACAGCATCTCCTTCAATACCCTGATCTACTCGGATGGCTCATTGGCTTTATCCATCTCGGCTCTCGCTTGATCTTGACTGTTCGAGGCTGCAGTGCCATAAATACACATGGGATATGTGTGCGTGTCTGTCTGTGCTATTGCATCGTTGTTTCGTGCATCTGTCATCCCCAATTTTCCTCTTGCATCCGACGAGCATACAGACTGCGCCCATCCGCATCCATTAAGCAAAACTTTCCTTGTAGTCGAGACGTAGGGCCAAAAATGCCGACATCTCCACCCTGGCGTTAGTCCAACAAGAGATCGACATTGTCGCTTTGAGGTAGCATCACCAGGTCTCCATATGGTGATACAAATGGTCAGGCCACATGTGTGATCTGTGGTCACATCCTCACATGTGCCCCTTTGGTCAAGAACAATGGACCCGCCTCTTCTAAAACAGCGGATTAAGCAGAGCTTGATAGATCTCCCAGTGTAGCGGATTTCCGCGAACCGAGTTCGCGTCACCTGCCATAAGAACGACCGCGAGATATGGTTATGCAAGTAGGTCATGCTGCCAGTATATACGACCTCTCATGGTAGCTACGGAAGAGAAGAGACACGCGTCGCAATATCGCGATGAATAGCTGCTGACCTTCGTCGAGATCAAGTCAGATGAAAACGCCATAAAGCCACGATTGCTTTTATTGAGTGTTCTCGTTATGCTCAAGACTTGACCATACGAGATCAAGCACCGAATCATGGAGGTGTCTTACGGCCATTGTCACGTTGGAAGCGAGCAGCCGAGTGAACCAGACCATGGTTTTGTTGAGAGAGCAGGCTGTGCTGCTACCACGAGAGGGCGCGGCTGGTACACAATCGTGTAGTGAGGTGGTCATCTGCAGGTCGAGTGCTGTTACGATGCCATCTGGGAACAATACGGGCAAGGTAATGAGGAACCTCACTGGCGTCGACAGGTGGTGCCAGAGCTGTAAAAATGCACAATACTTTGACTCCAGTAGAGCACTTGTTTGAGAGAGAGGACACAACGAGGATCTCTCGATGACTGCAGTACCGAGCTGGAAGTTGACTGTGCCTTTCTACAGCTAACATACTCTCGACAGGAGGAAGTACGCCTGGAGACACTCGTTGGCACCGTCGTTTCAGTGCCCTGCGTGCACGTCCATACTTGGCAGCGGCATTCCAGTTGCAGTAGCTGGTGTGAGGATGGCCTGACAGAAGACACAGTGCTTTTTGAATTTGGGGTAACATGCCGCAGAGGGCCTACTGAGTAAGAAAAGACACTCTTCTTCAATGTCTCGCGTCAGCGAAAGCATCAATGAAAAAAGCATGATAACAAATAAATGTTGTGTTTGGTTCCAAAAATTCCTTGACGATCTTGCGACCCTCAAGAGCAGTCAGTTGATAGTTTTCAACTAGCAAAAACACGATCTCGGACGAATCCTCACTGATACGCGTAAAGCCCGTGCACTTGGATGTCCGGAGGAAGATGGAGCGCGAGGGAACGCTGAGTTTTATAGCTGCGCTACGAGGACGCGGGATTATGTAAGCGAAGCTCGGGCCTTGGCACGCAAAAGGCCGGGGGAGCGTGTTGGCTTTGTCGCGTTCACCAACCGGCAATGTGAACGAGACCTCGACAGATCATCAAGCGAAGCATATCGTCAACTCGGTCCCTCGGTGCATGCTATCTATCAATCAAGATCAGGACTCAGTACCTCTTTTCTCGACGCTGTCGCCCATCAAAACTCGTGTAGCTCGGCCGGCGCATCGACGCGTCTTGTAGAATGCAAGCCAGTATGGCAGACCCTAGCTTCGGTGTACCCGCGCAACTCGTCAGTCCATTTGACCTTGTCTTTTTGTGTGCTGTGAACTGACAGATAATGTACAGTTGCCTCATGTGCACCTCATTTCAGGCCACAAGTATCCCTTTTCTCCGCAACTCAGCATAGATGGCGCATACAGCTACCTTTTCGAAGCGCCCAAGGTGGTCAAGCAGGTTGCTCCCATGTCATGGCAGTACATATCTGCACCACAAGATGGAACCGTCTTCTTGACTTGGATCGGTGGCCGCATGCAGAACCAGTTGTTCCCCACGGATGGCTATGTTTGGGTTGACCCTGAACAGCGCTACACTCAAGACTTTGGCGGCTACGTGCGTCGCTCTCCATTCTTCGCTTGAGTAGCAAGTCGCTAATATGTGATAGACATTGGAGATCGCCTATCACAACAGCGGTTACCGCCTTGGAGTCGACAGCGTCACTAGCCATGCCCGCAGACGTTACCGCTTCATGTCTAAGAACCCTTCAGTCCACGCCCTGCCTCCAGACCCAAGTCTCTGGCTCGTTCACTACAGTCAGGCTGATCCTCAGCACTGCTTCCCCACATCACAGTTGCCCGTGTCTCACCAATCGCGCCAGCAACTCGCCGAACGTCAGTGGATCGAATCCCAAGGCAGACTAGACCGTCAGGACTTCATGCTACACGACCGCGAGAAGTGGCCGCAACTCAGCATGCCCGGTCGTGCTGCTGTTCCCGGCGTGCCTGCTTACAACCAGAGCATGTACCAACAAAGCCCCATGGCTCACATTGGCAACCCTCGCTTCTCCGGCAACTACTATCAACAAGCCCAACAAGGACACACCGGTCCCTCGCCTGCTAAACGCGCGCGCCAGCACCCTCCCGCTCAGGTTCCTGCATCGACCGCTGCTCTGATGGCTCAAGATACTAGCATTGAGGACGAGGAAAATGTGCTTCTTGGAGACTTGCTTGATCACCTCACTCAACGCGACATCAGTCTGACTCGCTACATGCAGCACCACGATTGGATGGACGAGGTTTACTCTTCACCCTTTGCTACTGGCCAGATTGTTCCTATGGATCTTGGTTTCGGCTTGATGGGCGAACTAGCTGGCCTTACCGAAGGCTTGTTCGACACCTCCAACTCCGTTTTGGAGAAAGCTGAGGCCAAGTCGAAGGACACATCAGCTTCATACAAGAAGGTTACGTCGGAACAACTACAGGACTTTGAAAAGCGCGTGCAGGCACACAAAGAGAAGGAACAGAATGAGATCACACGCATGAAGGAGGAACATGCCAGGAGAATGGACAGTCTCCGCAAGAGCAAGAGTCTGGTCAAGGCCGAGAAGAAGTTGAGAAATGCTTCGTGGAAGACCCCAGGTTCGGGCAACGAGTTCTGGAGGTTGGAGAAGACGAACGATCAAGACGCCAACCAGATCATTGAGCATGTGGAGGAGTTGCTTGGCGGAACCATCCAAGCTCAGAAGGAGGCTATCATGATCAGCGAGGGAGGCTACCGCAAAGAAGAGAAGAGGACACCGCCTGCAGACACCGACATGATTGGTATGCAGTTGGACGGCGCTAGCGGAGACGCAGCACAATCTTTGCAATCTGCTTCGGGTGCTCCTGTGGAGACAGCTCTACCGATCGAGCAAGCGCAGTTGCCTACTCAGCAAACACCTGCCACTCTACAAGCACCTCAACAACCTCCGCAACCCCCACAATCCATCACACCCAATGTGCCTGACACTAGCATGGAGAACTTGGAGTCCATGGACACTGGCAACTTCTCATTACCAGATGACATGGAACTTGACACCGGCAACTTCACCTTCGACACACCCAAAACAGATGTTCAGACTCCGGGAGCGTCAGCTTGGCCCGGGCAACAACAGCAAGCTTCAACACAACCGCAACAATCTATCAATCCTCAACCCGATACATCCGGCCAAACGACCGGCGGTGACCTCTATGCCGCTGGTGACGGAAACTTTGGTGACTTCGATGCAGGAGATGGCTTGATTGACTTCGAGGGCGGCGCAGGTGAGGATATCGACTTCAGCATGGACAACTCGGCGTTCGGAGATGCCTTCCATGGCACTGAGTCGCACGGACAAGAAGATGGAGCAGGCGAGGGACAGTAGGCATCGAACTCGCAGAACACAAATCCGCAAAACACAAACCCTCATAATCCGACCTCGAACGCTACGGATCTGTCAAACAATCCCTTTCTGGGCCTCAATCCATGTGAACTTTCTTGATATCAATCAGTATGCTAGTAATCAAAAGCCATCTGCGAGGTGTGGCAAGCGAACATATTTTCCCACGCCCCTTCCTATGCTTTCGACACCGAACTGAAAATCAAGCATAATTAAGCAAAGAGTGTCTGCCACTACAGATAATACTGCGAACATAGTCTCATCCCATCTTGATCAGCTTCTGTAGAGCAGTAGGCTTCACCCATGCTCGATGTAGTGAAGATGAGACGCTTAAAAAAGAGAAGAAGAAAAAAATCAAAAAAAACCGAGCGTCGTCAAACCAAACACGAAGAGTAAGAGTTAGTGACCACTGAAGTCAAGCGAAACTTAACAGGCTCCCTATCGACAGGAAACAATCAGACATGTTGACCCATAAGGAGCGGCCGTCGAGCAAGCCCCAAAGCTAGACTAGGAGCCGATGTCAGAAGAGGTCCTTTGCAGAATAATTATCGCAAAGGGGGGAAAACTTCGAAGGTGCGTTTCAATGAATGAAGCAGCAGTGCATAGATATCAAGCAGCACATATCACCTCAACGATCATTGTCTACAATAACGTCAAGAAAGACATCTAACGTCAAGCGAAACGCTGCTGTTTGAGATCTGAGTGACGTGAGAGATGTAGGTGCCTGTCATCTTCCATAAATAAAGGTCAGGGAAGAATTCACCATCGAGAAGCACGAGCATGAAACGAGAAAGCACGACGATGCGTACAGTAAAGTCAGAAGTGGTTGCCTGGTGAATAAGAAAGACGCAAGGTGGTGATCAATCAGTCAAGCAAGACTCCCGATGACCACGTCGATGGTAGCCGTTGAAGATGATGCTGACTGTGCTATCAAGAAGGATGATGACGGCCGTGTCCTTGTTCGACTTTGTCTTGGGTGCTGTATACAATGCCAGAGTAGGACGCAAGTCGGTTTGGAAAGTCTGAGGTGGGTCGAAAGAGGGAATTTACGGGGGAGAGTGAACACGAGGTCGGCCATAAATATGGTGATCGAAGTCGAGGTTTATAAAACTCAAAGGCATTTGTTTCATGCCTTGTTCGATCATAGCGCGCGCGGCCAGTATATTGGATCGGGGGTGGTCATGTTGCAGACGCGATCGAGACATGAAAGGCTCCTGGACATCAGAAAAAACCGGCGTTACCTTTTGTCTGCAAGCTGCAGAAGGAGCCGAGAGAATCATCACCCAGATCGACAGCCTACATAATTATACAGGCTCATCAGGAAAAAACCCCTGCCACCCGAGACAAGAAGACTTCGACCCGGTTTGTACTCAGAGGGGACGCATCGATGACACTTGTTGACTTGTTTGGCTTCTATGACAATCAATCGTGATTAGTCGATCGGAAAACCTGTGCTCGATACCAAGACGACAGCAGAAGAGTGACGTGCGGCATTGACATCTCGAGACGAGGCCAACTGATTGAGTGGCACATCACGATTCACATGAATCAGGAAGGGGCTACACACCTGTGGAGCAATCAGTAGCCAAGGAAGCTAGCTTTCACTCATTCCTCACTTACTTTTGATACCTTGAATATCAGACAAATCCAGTTCCTGACAGCAACTGGTATCGTGGCCCAATCGGTAAACCACCTAGCCTTTGCGATGAAACTCTTGAGAGTTCTTGCGCTAACTTGAGGTGATCGTGTTCGACCCTCAACCGCGGCATAACGTAACATTATGTCGCTATAATCCAATACAGAACTTTCTCCTGCAAGGTAGAATACTTGCAGCAGATGGGGGTTGTCCCAAGCTATACAGCTGCTTGGTTTTTGCTCGTACTCGAGTGCATATTTCTTTTTGACTGTATCACGTCAATAGGTGTTGTCGCGCGAAGCAATACGAGAAATAGACAAGAACGTGTTGTATGTGAATAGTTTGTTGTTTGTACTCATTTTTTGGCTTTCACCTGGACCGTAACCCAGTTCTTTGGCTTCACGATCCACTCGAGTCCAGTCAAGTTGCTAGTATCAAGCTCACGCGCTACGTCCCATGCGCTTCTGATGCAATCGTTGACACCCACACCTCTGACCCAGTTCCCAGCAACGCGTAAACGTCCAGAGTAACGCAATGAGAGCTCATCGTGGAACCTCTTCACTCGGTCTTCGAATCCGACAGTGTACTGAGGGATGCAGTTGAGATTGAGATTGACTTTGTGAGCCGCGGGCTTTTCTGTCACGCCAAGATGTCTCTCCATAATAGACTGCGCCATCTGCAGGCCTTCTTCATTGGTAGGGTACGATGACCAGCCATCCCAGTAATGGCCACCCAGCATGACCGTGACCTTTGTTCCTCGGTTGGACACAGTATCCTGCAGGGGGCCAACGAAGTCTTTGTCGTCTGGTGTTGCGGCTGAGTAAGCATTATCGAAAGTGACACCTAGCGCACGCTCTGGATTCTGATCCATGGATATTCCAAGAGGTATGAGGTACCCAAAGCCAGGCGGATGAATATCGGAACTGCGGTAATATAGGTTGACAGTCATTACTGTTGGAGTCGGACAGATAGGTAAGCTCAGGAAGTCACGATTCATTAGCGAAGCGGCCTGCGATGTCTTGTCTGGAGACAAAGTAGATATGACATGAGTGTGCCTGTGCTTCGAGGCCGATCCTTCCTTCGAGTGTGTGGCTTCGAGCTCAACCTTGTGTTCGGTGTTTCTGATGTCGGTGACTTCTTGGCCAAGCTGGAAGATTACGTTCGGCTGTTGTTTCAATGACTCTTCCAATTTGTCGACCAATTGCTGAAGACCATACCGGAACGTGAACACATTCGACCTGCGGAAGTTCTTTCGAAACTCCTGACCAAATGGATAAGGTTCCTTCATGGTGTTGATGAACTCTAGCTCTTTCATGGGAACTTGTGCTCCTTCGACCATGTTATGCACCAGGCCAGTGATAATACTGCCATGCTCTTCTTCTAATCTCCAGAGACTGGGAAATATACTCTTCATACTGAGTTGGTAGATGTCACCAGCATAGATACCATGAACAACGGCCGACATGACCTGGTCGACCAATCTCCGACCTATGCGTCGAGCGAAGAAGTCACCGACAGACTCGTCGGTCACACTGGGATGTCTGCCAGGTCTGAAAGGCTCAAGTAGAACACGTCCAAGAATGCCTTTGAAAGCAGGCTCGTATGTAAGAGCGTGAGCTAAAGCATTTGCATTCTGTCCGACGCCTAGCTTTGGGTGCGGCGCAGGCACACGAACGATATGGTCCGGATAGTAGATGAAGCGGTTCGTAGCAGCGGGAGCAGTCTTCATGGTGAAGATGGTATCATCTTCGAGACCAAGTTGACTGACCAGACGAGCGGTCAAAGAACCATTGCCAGCTGGACGTAACGTCCTCGGACCCTTTTCGAAGAGAATGTGTCCATCGTCTATCTCCACCTTTTCCGTGTGCAACCAGCCACCGAGTCGTGGCGAGCTTTCGTAGATGGTGACTTTGCGATTTGGGTTCGATCGAGATAGGTAATGTGCGGTAGCGAGACCAGTAATACCTCCACCTAGAATGGCAACATCGTTCGGTTCAACTGGTTGACTATAACACCTACATGGTGGAGTGAGCTCTCGCGCTCGAGGTAGTCACGATGGACTAGGCTTACCTTGTTGCCGCGAACCCGACAGGAGCGATTGAGAGGCGCGAAGCCACTCTGGCAATTTGATTCAGCCCATGGCGCCTAACAAGCATCGCTGAATTGCTGATTTGTCCTTGACGAGACCCTGACTGCAATAGAGAATATACAGCAGGACTGACGCGACGGGTGGCTGTCGTCGACCAATACCAATGTGGTCTGAGTCTCGAGAAGCACGAACCAATCATCGTCATCTCAGCCTTACGTCAACGGTAAAGCACTTTACCACCCCTCCTCTCCTTCTTTCTGCCTCGGAGCCCAATTTCCACCTCTGAAGCTATATAGCTGGGCAGGAGGTCCATACATTACCGCTCCTTCCTTCCATCCCGGAGTCTTTGCGAGTGTCTCGGTCATATCCGATATGACCTTGGCTTCATCGCAAAGACCGGCGTTCCTACAAATGTCTGGACCTCGGAAATTGGACCCTAGACCTAGTGCATGCCAATCGCATACACGTTGGTGTGTATCTGACGGCTAATACAAGCATATATATGCTGTCTAGATAGACATGTGGGGCTGGTAGTTATATTGAAAATGTCTATTGGATAAGTGTATTCTGCGGCTTGCTCTACTGCACCCGTTGGACTGAGACTTCGAATCGTCCAGCCAGGAGTAACCGTTATAATCGTCCAGGCCGACACGAGCTGAACAACTGGAGAATACAACGGCTGCGTTGCCATCTCGAAAGGGTAAAAGAAAAGCGAGATCATGTCCAATAAACATTTCGTTCGACATTTTTCCACTCTTCGGTCCTACGGGACTGCCAATCGGCGAACTTTCTGTCGTCTTATAGGGATACCATGAAAGTAACAAACTTTCTATGGTTGCTCTCATGGGCGAGTTTACTAGCTGCTGCTTCCTCTCTGGAGGAGCGAGCAGCCAGCTCTGCTGTGTGTAACAATGCTCAGGTCAAGGCTCTACAATCAAGCAGTGCCGTGTGCTATTGCTCAACCTACCTCTCGATACCCGTCTCGACAATTACGAAACTTACGACCCGTGTATTAACAATTCAAACGACTGTTACGAAGAAACAAGTAATGACCAAGTCAGTATATGGAATGTGAACGAGAAACTCCTATTGACAATGTCCACAGAATATCAACCAGCAATATTAGATCTACTGCATCTACCCGTACTGTGACGGCCAGCTCGAAGACCGGGTACACCACTACAACGAAAGTTGTCACCGTAACACCTCGGGCTCGGTCGCTACATATGCGAAAGCATCTGGAACAACCGAGAGAACTGGTGGAAAGAGCAGCTGTCTCAACATGCGCTACTCCTGCAGTGGTCAGGAGTATGAACAGGGCAGCAATTTCTAGTGCTTGCAAGTGTCTCTCTATAGCACCTCGGAGGACCACCATAATCAGAACCACCACAAAGTTCATCAATCAAGTCTCGACAAAGCTCGTAAGCTCCACATCTCTCCGGACCACGACTATCAGAACTAGTGTTACTGCTTTAGCGACGTTTACGCCTCTCAAATTGATTACTAGGACAGCGACCATCACAGTAACAGCAACACCAAAACCCTCAACTTCTTCTAAGCCTCAGAGCTTGTCGTTGAGTTCGGTACGAAATGAAGGTGTATCCGGGTCGACCACGAAGACGTCTAGTCGGCTGAGCAGTAGTCCATCAATTATTCGATCATCCGGTAGCCTGTCTTCCAGAAGTCAGGCATCTAGCAGCAGGTCGACAAATCCTACATCAATTGGCAGGACATCATCTGCATCACCGACACTTCCACCTCCAGGCAGCACAGTGACGACTATCCGCCCGAGCTCCATATCATCGACAAGCAAATCTGCCGGCCAGCCAAGTGGAATTTCTAGCAGCAGTCAGACTACAAGCATTCGCTCTAGCAGCACGACAGCCAAATCTCTTGTTTCAACAATTGTTGTGATCCAGTCAACAAGCAAGACCTCTTCGGTGTCTGTAGTGGGATCTTCTAGCATGGTAACGAGTGCTACCACAAGTCCAACATCGAACAAGTCCAGCAGTGCTACCTCGAGCAAGCTGTCCAGCGTGACAACCAGCACATCTTCCACCACGTCTGCAAATAAATCTTCAAGCGAACCAGCCAGCATTAGCTCGAACAAGAATTCTAGCAGGGTTTCTAGTGCTTCGACAAGCAAGATGATGTCTAGTGTTACGACAAGCAAGGTTTCCAGCTCTTCGACAAGCAAGACTTCCAGCGAGCCACCAAGCAGCAGCCAGAAGACGACTTCAAGAGCAGCAGAGACAGCATCGACAAGATTCTACCCGCCACAGGGACCACTATATACACCCAAGACAAACGCATGCGCCCCCAGAACGACAAGATCGTCCAGCGGCACCCCTAGCAGTCGACCTAGGTCATCGCCGCTGTCAAGCTTGAGTACATCTAGGTCATCACCAACATCTAGCTCGAGTAGGCCTGCCATATCATCATCTGCTTTCTCGACATCAAGCCGAGCAACCTTTTCGAGCTCGACACGAAGCAGCTCAACACCTCGATTCACCTTTCCCTCCAACAACACAATGTCAACATACACACCATCTTCCTCGTCGTCCGCTCCAACTTCCACACTGAGAGCCAACAATTTCTCCTTCGACAAAGACGACGATATCTCAACAAACGGCACAGCCAACGAATTCCCCTCCAATAACACGGACACATCACCTCCACCCTCCACCAACACAACAGACACCTCCCTCGCAAGCTCCAACATAACAACCTCCCTCCTAAACACCTCTTCAATGTCCAACAAACCCTTCCTCCTCCAATCCTCCTGCACCTCTGGCCTCCAAATCTCCGGTCTCTACGCCCTCTTGATCTCCGTAAACTCAAACCCTACCCTCCAGTTCACTTCCTCTGCATCTCAAGCTACAAGATTCGTGCTTTCTACTTCTGGATACTTGTACGTTGTACCTTCGGCAAACACACCTTGGATTTCGTACTCGAATCAGGAGTTGTTGGCGAATACCGACAAAGGGGTGCAAGATATGGATTTATTCTTTAATGAGGAAGGGGAGGTTGCGGATGCAGGGGGCGAGAAGGTGAGGTGTGGGATCGATGCAGATGGGCTTTTGCAGTGTGTGTCTAGTATGACTGATGAAATTTTGTGGTGTGATGGGGAAGGTACAGTGAGACTGGCGAGTTGCGTCTTGGAAGGGTGTAATGAGGCTGAGTTGGTCGTGGTGCTTGTTTGAAAGTTATGATACACCGGAGTTTCGAGAAAGGCGGCATAGGCATGAGATCATTGACCCTGGCCTGGTAGCATATAGAGGAAGCATCGGGGTCAGGACTCTGGACCAAGACAAAAGGATAGAAGTAGAATCTAACCTCCCCGTGTGCAGAATACTGTCACACCCTCTCTCTCTTTACAATGTTCAAAGCAGGGCAACTACGAGCTATAGAAAGGCACAGTCATGTCTCGTATCAACACACCTAACGCAGGGAGTCGTTGCAAAGACATACCTCGGTGCCATCGCTCCAGATCTAGACAAGTGCGTGTCTTAGGACAGCTACAAGTATGACAGTCTTTCGCATACGGGGAGGAACCAAATTTCGTACCCATCGAGGGCCTTTTACATTTCGTGATATACATTGAACGTTTTCATTTGCTATTTTCCTCTATCCCATCATCCTTCTGTATTCGGGCTATGCAAATCGACATATGGTTGGTCTCAATCATGATCACGCTCAATCAATCTTGAGCGAGCCATAAATTTTGTATACAAACGCCCACGTAGCAACAAATCCAATCGTACCTGGTATACAATGTTAGCATATATGAATCACAAAGGAAAAAAGGGACTGAACTCACCAGTCAAAACAAACCACAATGCACTGATCAACGCACTGTAGCCAAGATACAATACCCCACTTGTCCAAGACGTGAAGCTCAGCGCTCTGACCCAGTACAGCATTGCATATAAGAACACATAGATGGCAGATGCGCCAGAGGTGAAGAAGGCTCTCCACTGCCAATGATAGTTCTCAGCGCAAAGGGCAAAGTAGACCATCAAGATAGTTACAGCAGCTGAGGTTGCAATCATCAATCCATAGCAGAGGAAGAGGAAGCCGAACATGTAGTAGATACGGCTGAACCAGATGCTGCTGATGATGAAGTACAACTCCAGGAAGATGGCGCCGAAAGGGAGGATGCCGACAAGGAACATGGATGGCAAGGGGCGTAGGTATCCAGTGGAAGGTGGGATTTGACGAGGGATCTGGTTAGTACGAACAGGAGGCTTGGACTCAGGCCCGCGGAAGCCAAGCCATGAGCCACCGACAGAGAGAGGCACAGAGATCAGGAACCAGATGGCGACAAGTGCAAGCATAGTGGTGAATGGCACCGCTCCAGAAGATTGACGTGCCCAGACGAATAGGTTGAGGAGGAAGAAGACACTGAATACAGTACCGGGTACAAGAAGAGGCGTAAATGCAATATTCTGCTTCCAAGCGTCGCCGTGGAAGAACTTGTACACGCGAGCAGAGACATAACCTCCCACTGCGCCGAAGAAGGTGTAAAGCATAACCATGACTGTGGTCAGGGATCCACGGTTTGAGGGAGACAGGAAGCCGAGCAGAGCAAAAGCGATGGTGAAGCCGGTCATCATAAAAAGCTGGGCGCCGTTACCGACCAGAATTGACAAGACCATAGGGTGTCTCGGAGGACGGAAGACATCGCCATGGACGAGCTTCCAGCCTGAGTCCTCTTGCACAGTATCGTCCAAGTTTGTACCGCCGAAATCGTCAAGACCCAGATCATCGAGACGATTGTAGCGAGCAATATCCTTGCGCAGTGTTCGGAGAAGAATGGTAGAGACCATACCCACGAGAGCGACGACAATGAGAGCGGAGATGGTCAGCGACACCCAGTGGATCCGCGGGTCGTAGACATGAAGGTACTTGTCCCAACGAGTAGCGAACGAAGTGGGAGAAGGTACCCAGTAGACGCTGTAGGTCCAGATAATCTCGGTAGGTTCCTTCTCGGACAGAATGACGGGATCACTAGTAACACCGCAATCGACCTTGCCATCGTCTAACAGCTTGGAGTCTCTCGAGGACGCCGGCTCGACCAAGACGCCCACGACACGGTATGTGTCTTGGGCGGCCTGATGGTACTCGACAAAGATGTTATAGTGGTTGTTGAGTACCGGGGTCAGGTTGTCCAGCTCGACACCATGCACCTGGCCAAGCGCAAAGCCGGGACTGTAGAAGATGGCCTCGTTGGCATCGATCATCTTCTGAGCAGCAGGCAAGCCGTCGATGTTCCAGTTGACATTGTAGTTCTGCAGGATACGGCGATTGACAAATTTGGCATCGCGAGGTTGGAACGTCTGTTTCCCGCATACAGCCTTACAAGATTCGTTCTTGCCCATGTGCAATTCTAATGGTGACGACTGGATACGATCTCCGAACAGTATGCTCCCCAAACTCTCGCTCTTTTGCTTCGGGCCGCCCTCGGGCTCGCAGTGGTGGAAGGCATTGTGGTAGTAGTCGAACGCGAAGACGGACTGGACTTGGCTGTCCTTTTCGGATTGGGAAGGCGTTAGGCGGTCGACCGTAAGCGGCACTCGGTCTCCGATTTGATAATTGGTAGGCGCGACTCCTGGAAGATAGAAAGACGCTACACTGGAAGGGCCTGCCACCAGTAACGCGCAAAGCGACAAGGACAAGAGCATTCTGCCGCCTATCTAAGAGTGATCATCTGCTTGCGCCGGATCTTCGCTCTATCGCACTGCTATCGCCGTCAAACCCAACTTGGTCAAACGCTTGTGTAGCAACTTGCTTGGTTGAACAGTACAATTACTTCCGAGAGATTATTCAAAGACAAGAGAGTAGCGGTTGAACACGAGACAAAGGAGTTAGTCTCCTGAATAACCAAGTCAACACGACTGCCACGCCTTGGTCTGGGGAGAGCTTCCCATGGCGCCGACGCTTGGGCCAGAGCCATGACGAAGCCGCGTACGCATGTCATCACAAAGTCATACAAGTTTCTTTTTGGAATATCGTGTCCTCGTTTGATAGAAGTGTGTGCTGCTGCTGCTGCTGCTAATAAATGTTGCTGCCCCTTCTGCAGTATGCGGAAATCGTAGGTAATCGCATGCTTGCCCCAAGAAAAGTGTACCGGTAAAGAAAAGAGAAATGCTCTGAATCGACCCCTAGACCAGACCGTCGTATAGAGACAGCGCCGACACAATCGTCTCGTCACGCTTGGAGCCCTCCTTGAACTCTTCCATATCTAGACTGCCATTCTCGTCCTTGTCCATCATACGGAAGATCTTGCGCACTCTCTTCTCTGGTGTGTCTTCGTCTTCGGGAAGCTTGACCATGGATCCAACCTGTAAACTCGTATTAGCATGTGCCGTGATCTTTGGTAACTTGATCATCCTTACCATCTTGTAAATAGCCTCAACAATGGCCAACATCTCATTGTAACTGATCTGACCATCGCCGTCGATATCGTACAGTTGGAAGGCCCAGTCTAGCTTGTCCTCCATCTTGCCCCTGCTCGTCACGCTCAAGGCGCAGATGAACTCTTTGAAGTCGATCGAGCCCGACTTGTCTGCATCAAAGACATTGAAGACGTAGTCGGCGAATGATGACGGATCTCCGAACGGGAAGAACTGCTTATAGATCTTCTGGAACTCCTCTTTTGTGAGCATGCCCGAGGGACAGTCCTTGAGGAAGCCTGTGACTCCATTTTAGCACCGCGTGATGGTTGTCCACTGGAGGTAAACGCTCACCCTTGTACCATTGCTGTAATTCCTTCTTGTCGAAGTGAGTGGCCTTCTGAAGATCGCTAAGCTCCTGTTGCGACAACTTGCTCTGACTATTGTGCGGATGCAAAGTCAGCGTGTCTGTCGCCAGTGAAAGGTGTGAGATCGGGTTGTGTGCTCCAAGCTCTTGCTACAAGTGATGTATGGCTGTGCGTAATGCTGCTTCGCGGTGGATTGCGTAGTCCATGTAGTCGTTCGAGGTGTGACGAGGGATATGTTTGGGTCTTTGTCTCGCGTGGTTGACCGTGGCGAGGATGCCAGTGACGTCGCTTGTAGGAGAGGTGGGAATGTTGTTATCGGCATCGTCGGTCAAATGCATCGTGTTGGTGAAAGCACTTTTGCCGGCGGGTGACATTTGAGGTCGACGACTGCTCGCGGAGACATTGGACAGTTGAAAGGGCGCATGAGTCGGGGCGAGATAGAGGCAGCCATGACGAGAGAATGGAGCAGACAACACGAGACAAAGAGGGAGGGGCTGTTACTCACGACTTCCCCATGTTGCGCCAGAGGAATGCTGATCGTTTGTTGTATTCAATCTAGTGTGAAGGATTCGTGGAGGCTGCGACTCTTGAAAGCACAGAAGGTCGAAGGTTGAGTCTAGGTGATGATGTTGCAGCAGAGAGGAATTAGAAAGCGTCCATCAGGCCTGCCGTGATTGTATAAGGGTGCTCGACTAGCGCGGGGCTTAGGTGGTGGCTGTGAGAACGCCTCACTGTTACCGCGATCCGCAGAAGGCCTCTTTCAACCTCGCACCCACACGAACTGCCCCAAGTACCCGCCCCCACCCGTTTGTCCACTATCACTTTCGTACCACACCGTATCGCTTGCGACCGGCCACGTGCTTTTGCCTGTAGAGAGCCTGCTTTTGACATTCACGCTGGTGCCTGGTTTCACGACATGCGGCACAGCACATGGTTCCTACATCCATCAAACAACCATGTGCAAGAACGAGGTCATGAAACGGCCACATTTCCGGGAGACTTCGGAGTAGCCATGTCTCAAGACGCAAAGACTGCTTATGTTACAGAAGCTGCCGACCGAAGGTCTTCTTGAACGTTTACATTTCACTGCCTTCTTCCTGCCATGTCTGCAACACTCGAAGTGGGTAGGATCACATGAAAGTACTGGTCGAAAGGAAAATTTATACACGTGATCGCTGAAATGCCATGATCTGGAATGAACAACATGAACAAATGTAGGCCTTTGAGTATAGAAAGGAGAAAAGAAACGACTATTCGCTTGCAAAGGGAAATGAAGAACAAATGAAACACGTATGCGCAATGACAATCGTGCAGAGTTATATTGAACTCGCTCAATGTTGATGGCGGAAGTCGAATTGTCCCAACTCGATGTCAGGCAATCTAGGCTCTCGCGCCGCAGGACTGTGACTTCGATCTCTGCCACCCATGCTGGCCGCACCCGAGACAAGATTTTGTTGACTCTCGTCCCGCGAAAGTCCTGGTCTGCCTGCGTACACACCGTCCGACCTCTTGGACATGGGATCGTATGCGATGTTGCTCTTCGCTGTGCTGTTGAGCGAAGGAGACACAAGAGGTGCTTTTTTGTATTCAGAAACCTGCGAACCTGCACCCTTGTATTCGGTGAGCTGTGTAGGGTCCATGAGAAGAGAGTTGCGAGCGTCCAGAGGGGTAAGATCGTCAAGGTCGCGGTTGAGTTTTTCTGACAATATAGATTAGCATTGATCCCAATAAAGCAGCTGATCCCGAACTTACCAGCCTCCTTTCTTCTCTTGCGGTGAGGATTGGCGCGGACACAAGTGATGATCGCATTGACTGCAATCAGAATAGCTAGAACACCAGTGAGGACGGACTGCACGACAATCAGGACAAGACCTGTCACAGTCTTGGTTGTCTGACTGATGCCCAGCTCCTCAACAAAGACGAGCACGCAGATAACCGAGATGACGCGGACCACTTGGATGGTGATGTTGATGACGTTGCCACTCTTGAGTGTATATGGTCTTGACCAGACGAGGAGGATGAGTAGAATGCTCTCGATAGCAATCTGACCAATGGTTTGGATCAACCCATGTCCGTTGGCTCCAGCGATCATGGCGTTTTTGGCAAAGGCATAGACAATAGTGGGGATAAACAGCCACCAATAACCCTTCTTGAAGTTTTCGTAGAGGAATGCGTATCTGACCCAAGTTTCCTTGTGCTCATACAGCATACTTGCGTCACCATCCATCTTTTTGTATTGATTGGCTTTGTGCCAAACAGTGAAAGCGAAAAAGGCGAGGATGCAGGTGAAGATGGCCCATGTGACACCCGCGAGTACCTTGGCTGCCCAAGAGTCACCGTTCGTGAACTGATACACGCAGTAAAGTGTCCAAACACCATAAGCAAGCATGACCAAGTTGGTAATGGTCTTTGCCAAACGCCACCAGTAGCGCTTGCGGAAGCTGTTCATTGACTTGGGGAGGTTGCCCATCAGAGCCAATGCTTCAAGGATGACCTTAGTGAGTAGAATACCGACAGTGATGACGGCGATGACAATAGCAAAAAATAGTAGGATGGTCATGAAAGTGTTTCCCTGTGGAATGGAAAGCTTCTCCACGTATGCCTGGATACCATGAACGTAGTGCATCGGCTTGGACTCGGTAGCAGTGCTGTTACCGGAACCTGAATCGTCGCTACCAATGGTAGTACCGTTCACACTGGCGCTGAAGTCTCTGGCATAGAGAAACACGGTGTCAAGGCCGCGTTTGGTCAGGTTACTGCTGGTACTGTCATCAACTAAGGTGACTTTCTGGAGGTAGTTCCAGCTGTCGGTTGTCAAGTCTCCTCCAGTGCGGTCGCGGAAGCTGTCGATCGTTGTCTGCATGCTACCCCAAGGGATGAGGCCGGTGCTGAATCCAAAGTTTTTTGCGAAGCTACTGTATATGGTGGGGTAAGAGACACTGAGCATGCCGTTGGTTGCGATACCTTGGAACCAGCCAAATGTCTCGCCGAATGTGGGACTAGGTGAGGCACCACCAACGTGAAATCCACCAACAACGGCACCAAGAGCAGATATGCCCAGGGCGGCACCAGCCATTCCAGCAGCAACATAGGTGACTGCTTGCACGTTCATCGACTTGCCGTTGCTGACAGTCGACTGTACACAAGCAAGATCTTGAGTAAGGTCGTCATCGGCGAACAGTTCGAGCTTAGCAACTCCGTCCAAGTCTGGTACACTGAAGGCGATCGATGGGATTTGGCTGGTGTACTCGGCTGGGATAGTCTGATTGCCTGAAGCAGCGAAGCTGCCAGCCGGGACTTTGCGGAATAATGTCAGCCTTTGTAATACAAAAAATGGCGGGAACATGATCACATACCAGGGCACAGTTGCTCAACATAGGTATCTGAGGCGCAAGGATTGAATGCTTTCTCGTAGACGGTTCTTCCGTATGCAGTGACGACAACCTTGGCCTGGACGTTTTGCGACTGGGAACTGCTTCCAGCGACATTGAAGACAACCTGATTTGTCGATCGGTCGTATTGGATATCCAAGGCTTCAACCTTAATTGTGGGGTTGGTCGAACAAAGAGTGTATCCTTGAGTAGACAGAATGTCACCACCCAACACTCTAACCGGCAGAGTGATGAGTAGCACAAGTGGCAGAGTCCACGAGACGCTCGAAGACCACATGGTCGATGTGTGTAGAAGGCGAGGCCTCTATGTGTGATATAAAACTTCCAGACTTTTTTTAAGCTTTCAGGGGTTCGAGGTTGGGGTAGTACGAGTTGCGATTAAGCTGGAAATGGTCGAGATTTTCCAGTAGAGAATTTTGGTAGATAGTTGTAGCGAATGTGAAGTGAAGTCAGAGACAACACAGATGGACAATCCGAGAAGTGTTTTGAGCCAGTCGACAAGCAAAGCCGTTCGTGTTGTGTGTCGGCGGCGTAATAAGGGGCTGCGGCCAGTTGAAACGTGCTAAACGCGGGAGAAAGACGTTGTGGGTGTTTTGGAAAAAGACACGAGAAGGAAGGTGGAGAAGTTTGGCGCCGAGTGTGCAAAAGAGAGAAACGAGACAGCAAAACGTTCGAGCGCAATGGACAAAATAAAATCAAGGAGCAATAGAAAACTGCATGTGTGCAGATGCAGAAGGCGAGCGAATGAGGTGAGGTGAAGAGTCTCCAAGTCCAAGTCGGAAGTCCAGGGTGCTTTGCTAGTGCACGCCGCACCTACCTACTTGCATGCGTGCACGGTACTCGGAGTAGCATCGAGGCCTGAACATCGACCGACCCGACTGTTTCTCGACACTCTTGGACTGTCTTACGTGGATCGGCGCCTGCCTTCATTCCATGCTCATCACACTGCTGTGCCTGGTTGTCATGTGGCGGTCACCATTTCACACTGTGCCTATGTTTACACCTACAAACGGTCTTGTTGCGATACAGGTTCACAACGACCGCTGCGCCTTGAAGCCGCAACTGCCACCTTGCACGGTCTGAGCGTCTGTTGATACGAGCAGATGTCTGCTGCTTCCGATTAACCAATAGCCTGTCATGGATATAGACGCCCATTCGCTACCACGGTCTCAATCCTTCCGCCAGGCCTCGTCACCTATCTGTCTAAACACCATTTGTACAGCCATCATGCCTCAACCGACCTTTGACGGTAAGTGTCCTGACACATGGCAATCTTGTTTAGTAGCTACGCAATCATTATCCGCTTTGTATTGGCCGATCATTAGCTGTTTCTAAAAATGACACAAGCAAGCATCTTTATTTTCTTCTGGTGGGATTGCTTGTTTACCTGTCAGTAAAGTAGTCGGCCTTCTTCCCACTGTGATCCTGAGAACCATCGAATTTGTGTAGTTTTTCTGGCGAAAGGGAAGTGGCCGATCATACGTGCACAGGACCTCATCAGCGATATACTTGATTGCAGGATCATCGATCTCACGCAGAGTATGCTTGATATGGAGATCTTTCTTCGGTCGCGGCTGATGTCTGTATATGCATGCTGACTGCTTGAGTCGCTTGACAGCCTTCGGCACCAGAACTTTGACCACTATTGATATATGGATGTTCTCAGGTGCTAACGTTCGTCACTTCGACTCTCCTTCCTGATGATGCAGAGCAACGACGAGCTGTAGAAAGGCACAGTGATTTAATAATTCGATAGAAGCCGTACAGAGAGCCCATAAGATAACGTACCCCACTGACATTGTTCCGATCTCCGAGAGATGTTGTGCCTTGCGACGGCTCCAAGACAGGGGTCAGCACACGAGGAGGCCATAACATGCTCCTTCTAACCCTAACCCTCCCTTCTATACTGCTTCGCAGTTTATTGTATCGAGCCAAGGTCCCAAAGCCTTGTTGTGTAAATGAGTCTTGTATTTTTGTATTCTTGGCTTCTAGCACAAGCGCTATAGCCTTTCGAGAAATGTTCATCCGCTATGTGTAAGTAATCTATCCGAGATAACCAGCCTGCCTCTCTAAGGGCTGAGGTCTTTTCATGTACTCCCGCTCCCAAAACCAAGGTATCGTATTTACAGAATGCTCCAGAAAATAGTGGCAGCAACGAGACCACTCCATCCAGCGAACTTAGCAACAGTGCTGGCAGAACCGTGAGGAACGGCACCAGTAGATGCCTTGTTGAGGTACATGGCACCGATGTCGGTGAGCTTACCCTTCTCGGTCAAGAAAGCTGCATTAGGTCCAACCTGAGCATTCTTGTTAGTATGTAATAGATCAGGATGAGGAAAATGGCGCTACTTACGTTAGAGACAGACGAGCGGAAAGCACCAAAGTAAGAGTACTTCTGCATGTACGGGATGCGATCGAGATACTCGAAACTCTGGTTGGCAAAGGTCTGACTGTCCTCGAGGGAGCAGTCGGCGCACGCGAATTCGGTAACCCAGATAGCACTGATGTTCTCGTAGGTTGAATTGAGCTGGCCCAAATGGCTGGCCAATCCTTCGAAGTTGCCGTACCAATGAGCCGGAATGAAATCGACCTCACAAGAGGTAGTGTTGGAAGCAGTGTCAGAACTGTTGACAAGAGCAGCACACTCTGTGAAGAAGTTCTGCAGCCAGTTGAATCCGGTAGTAGCACCAGTGACTGCAGGAGCACCAAGCTTAATGCCAAAGTCGCGCTTCAAAGGCTCCATCTGCTTCTTCCAGACCTGAGCAGCAGTGGCAGCACTAACGCAAGAGCCTCCGTATCCACCAGTACAGCCATCAGGTTCATTAAACCCAAGGACGTAGGTGATGTTTTGTCCCTCCGAAACCAGGTTGCTAACTGTGTTGTAGAAGGTCATGTCGTTCGCCGGGTCTTCCGGTGCTCCCCACAGCATAGGTACGAAGTTGAGCTTGTTTTTGTAGTCAGGTGTAGGGACAGCGGCATAATTATAGTACCAAGTCCTGGATCAGTCAGTGTGTTGTCCACCACATATTCCGCATTGATGAATCTCTCACAGGTCGGTGTTGTTTGTCCAGATGGCGTCATCTGAAGTTGTCTCGGTGGAAACCACGCAGAGACCACGCTTGCTGGACGCGGTGGCTGCCACGAGAGGTGCGGCCACAAGGAGTGCCGAAGTAGTGTAACGCATGGCGATGTGAGTTATAGATTATGGGTGATAATGGGTACTCGCGGTCCGGGGGTATCGTAAGGGTATGTAGGATCCGGTTTTCAACAGCGGTGAATGCGTCAGAGGCGGTTTAATATATGCGAGCGATTGAATGAGTGACTCGAGGAAAGCTGGCACAATCGGGCTTCCGTAGCATATGTCGATGTTCAAGAAGAATGAAAAGAGTGAAAGAGCGAAAGACGCAGGGGAGAGGGAGGAGAAAAATGTCCACAAACCTCAGACAATACTTTTCTTCAGCTATCCAGGAGCGTTGGCGAGCCCATACTAGAGCGCATCTGGGCTGCGTGAGAGAGTCAAAAACGGATAGACTCTCAACGTTATCAAGCTCGTCCACTCCCGGATCTGCAGCCACCCGTTGATACGGCTATTCTGAGACTAGAAAGACTTGGCTTTCTCAAATTGTTCTGATCGTGCTAACGAAGAAGGAAACGAGTCAAGAACGCCGCGGCATCCCGTCATCTTCTCGCCCATAAATCATCTGCAAGGCAAAGCTGATGGTTCGGCGCCAATGCTTGTCTTTATTGAGCGTACAACAGATTGTGCGTTCAGTCCGCATGCCCGGTCAGCCGCAGTTGCAGGTCCCCCTCGCGTCCGCATCATCGCTTGAACTTTGGCACGGCATTCGGCATTTCCGCTCGACTTCCGTCAATAAAGATGGGCTTATGCAGGTCCTCTTCACGAACCTACTACGCAAGCCACTTTCTGGCGGGATATAAGGATGGCTGGCAGAGGCGGCAAGTAAGCTCATGGATGTTTCAAGGATCACGTAGCGTCGTCCTGTGTAAAGTCTGCTTTTTGGCTGTAGCGGACTCTGGATGGTGCGGGATTTTTCTCAAGTCGATTTTGCTGCCTGTAGCACCCTGCTGTTAGATTTAATCCTCTAGCATTCGGCATCAAGGAGCGATGTCTATCAACATAGCTTGTGTGATCAATGCGATATGTCCAAGGAATTTGCAAGTCGTTTTTGGGAGATGCTCGCTGGTTGGGGCTGAATGCTTTCGAGTTTGACCTGAATTGTCAGGAGCTAGACCCGTACGTCACTTACAAACTACTCCAGGTGGACAATTGTGTCGCTGTTCCAACAACAATCGAGAAAATTCTGAGACCAGACCTCCCTATATCTGAACCCAAGGCCTTACATTGCTTGAACGGATGGGAGATGATTTAAGCCTCTGTTACAGGTATGATATAATCTCTGTGTCCTTCAGTACTAAACAGAACGACTACAGCATCTGAGTCCAGTGGAAATAAGCCTTGCTTATGAAGTTTCCTCAGAGCTGCCAGAGGAGCTGCTCCACACGGACCTGCGTTGACGCCGTGGTCGTTAAGATAGACAACACTTTGGTGTGAGTCGATATCATTGACAATTACCGAAGCATAGACACCTGACTTGAGCGATGGCCAGCAATTGGTCGAGACCGTGCCGCAGTTCATACCTATATATCGGTGAGCAGAATCCAATATCAGTCAGTCGAAGTTCTTACCGTCCATGATGGTTGTACTCGTTTCGACCGAAACGATTTCTCCTACATGGAGACTTTCTAAAAGGCAGGGCGCTGCTTCTGACTCGACCGTGACGACATTGGTCGCCGAGTTGTCACCTGCGTAATGGGTCACAACCGATTGAGCCCAAGAACCGACACCAACAGAGGCGATACAAAGCGATGGTCGCTTCCCGCAAGCTTCTTGAAGTTGACGATCTACCTCTACATGCATGGTAGCATAACCGTCGACGACCCACTAGACGTGTCAATGCCGATTCGTGCAAGACAGGATCTTGATCATCAACTCTTACCTTTGGCACTTGAGAATACCCTTCCCAGCTAGTATCCATCACTAGAGTGGCGTCTGAGCCTTGTGTTTCATTGATAGCAGCAGCAATACTGTCATCGTAGCTACCGTTAACCACATTGACGGTGGCACCCTCACTACGTAGTTTGGCTCTGGTTGCCTCGTCCATAGTCTTGGGCACGAATATCGTAGCATTAATACCCAAATACTTCGCAGTACGCGACACGGCCCTTCCCCAGTTGCCATCGGTGCAAGTGACTAGACTGATACCAGCCTTTTGAGCAGCACGTCCAGCTTCTCCAAGCGATACAGACGATGGGAGACCAGTCTTCTCGCAAACGGCCTTGAACACTCCCCAGGACGCGCCGAGTATCTTGAACGATGGGAGACCGAAACGGAGACTTTCATCCTTGACGAAGACGTAACCGATGCCTAATTCGGCAGCTAGCTCTGGGAGCTCTATTAATGGTGTAGTCATAGATTCCGGAAACGCGTGGTGTAATGCGATGAGATCAGGATCAATCTGTGCGCTTCTAGGAAGCGTGTTTAGCAAGCCCGGATTGACAAAGATGTCGGGTCTTTCGAAAATCTCATCGTATCCGAGGTGCTTGACGTTGAAGTTGCCAGTGCTCGGCATGTCTAATGGTTGTGTTTTTGACTCAATTGTTGTATGACGTTGGAGAGTCAAAAGAGCGTATCCGTTACGCTGAGAGGCAGTGCTCTTGGCTGGCACGAAGACTCCTTCGCAAGAGCCAAAGTTTGTCACACAATCATGTGCCTTGCAAGGAGAGCCACTCCCCAGTAATGCAACTACTTAAACACTCAATTACTCTTCCACTTAGAAGTGAACGTGTGTTGTATGAGAATCTGCAAGTTTCGCAGACACAAAGCTAGCGTACTAACGCGATCGTGGAAGAGCGGATTGATGTTTTCATGTCGTGCGGAGAAGACACCGACGTGATCAAGTTTCTCTCCACATTTCGAAAGTCAGTTTGACCGCCGATTAGGTCAGGTGGATGTCATGATCACATGAACGTGCAAACAGAAGGGCTCATTCGTGTGCCTGGTCGGCGATTTTATCAGTTGCAAGGTTGAATCGAACGAGACGGGAAGGGCCATGCCGTATCAGAGCCTGTTTCAGCTGTGATCAGCTTCTCTTAAAGCCACATCGTATGCAACGGGTCGTCTGTGGAGTCGAGAGCCGCGATTTGAGAGAGGCTCCCAGAGTGGCTATAGAGCGAATCAATCCGCGATCCTGGGCCGTGATGTTTTTGTTTACGCAGTAGAGCCCACAAGTATCGATGTCTGGTGAAGAATAAGGCCGGGTGTTTCTCTGGTCTTCAAGTAAAGATGTGTGCAGGGATCAGTTGGCTAGACTGCGGATCATACAAAGCACGAAGTAGACCCCCTATCGATAGGTACGGGGAAGAGTGCATCAGCCAGGGCCAGGGGAAAGAAAGCAACAGCGCTGGTCGGGCATACATCATAAGCATCCACTTCTTTTGTCCTTTGTCCTCTCCGTCCTGTCACCATCGTCAGCCAATCCTTCAATAAACAGACAATGCTCGTCCAATAATCTGTTCTCTGTCACTCGGTACCTTTCACGCAGTCTCTGAAGCGAGAAGGCTTATGGTTGCTCGTCCTCCACACGTGCTCACACACTGTCGTCACGCGGCGACATAAACACACTCCCTTCCACACACAACAGCCACGTCCGACCATGGATTCGGAAAGCTCGCAGGCGGGCTCCACACGGCGAAGAGGCTCATCGCTGGTGCAACAGATGATTAACGAAGAGCGCATCGGCATCCGGAGAGCCAGTCCAAGAAGAATGCCTTCCGACATTCCCGAGGCCGCCCACGCCGAGTCACCACATGGCTACGAGGAAGAGGAGACCAACCCTGTTTCGTCAGGCTCTGACTGGGAGATGGACGACATTCGATCCGACGACGGCTTGGAAGACGATGAAGAGACGGGCTTGACGGTCCAGGATCGCCAGAAGAGAACGAAACGGAAGAGGCGGAATACAATGGCAGACGAGAGGATTGTGCCAGAAAGCGAGGTTAGCAAGGAAGAAGAACGTCTGGCCTCTGCAAGCTTCATGCGCGACGCTATCATAAACTGCATACTGATAGGACTGTGGTACACCTTCTCAATATCCATTTCTGTCGTAAGTTGGTCTACACCCTTCAAACACAAGCTCATGCTGACCTATGTCTAGTACAACAAGTGGATGTTCTCAAAAGGCAACCTCGACTTCCATTTCCCTCTTTTCACCACCTGCGTACACATGCTTGTCCAATTCCTCCTTTCATCACTCGTCCTGTTCTTCATCCCCAATTTACGACCCAAACACAAACCTGCCGACTATACGCCAATCTCACAGTCAGGAGACGGAGAGATGGTTGATGCACCTCGAAAACCGCTCATGACTGGCTGGTTCTACCTGACCCGCATAGGACCTTGCGGCGCAGCTACTGGCCTCGATATTGGTCTCGGAAACATGTCACTCAAGTTCATATCCTTGACTTTCTACACAATGTGCAAGTCGTCCGTGCTGGGCTTCGTACTGGTCTTCGCCCTGCTCTTTCGACTGGAGCAACCATCATTGAAAGTTGGAGCTATTATCCTTACTATGATGGCCGGTGTAGTCATGATGGTGGCGGGAGAAACAGCTTTTAGCGTCCTCGGATTTATACTGGTCATGAGTGCAGCATTCTTCTCAGGCTTCCGCTGGAGTTTGACACAGATTCTGCTTCTTCGCAGCCCGGCGACAAGCAACCCCTTTTCATCAATTTTCTTTCTTGCGCCAGTCATGTTTGCGGCATTGCTTATCATTGCATTACCAGTTGAGGGACCAATAGAACTCGTTGGAGGTCTGCACGACTTGGCAGAGTCCAAAGGTGTTGGCGGGTCTGTTGCGATTATCCTTTTCCCCGGAGTGCTCGCCTTCTTGATGACAGCGTCAGAATTTGCTCTCCTCAAGCGCACCAGTGCAGTAACGCTGAGCGTATGTGGCATTTTCAAAGAGGTGTTGACCATCTCGGCCGCCGGACTCATTTTCCACGATAAACTTACGACCATCAACATCTCTGGTCTGGTGGTAACAATTGCCAGTATCGCAGCTTATAACGTCATGAAGATGCGAACCATGAGAGACGACTCAAAAAGAGATGCGCATGAGCAGATGGCAGCAGAAGAGTCAAGACGCTCAATCGAAGACACTAGTGGCAAGGCTAGCAAGGAGCATAGCAGGAAGGCGAGCACTGCAGGAGGATTGATCAGAAACAGTATCAGTCTCAACATTGCGCCCCTGCTCGAGCAAAACAGCAAAGACCGAGCGAGTCCAGTCAAGAGACCGGAGGACCTCGATTAGCATATTTTCATTGGATATAGCGGCCGTACAGGCGTATAGATCTGTCTCATCTGTTCAAAGTCGAAGCTGTATCAGATCTGTCTCATCTGTTCAAAGCCGAAGCTGTATCAGATCGTATTGTACGAGTGTAAACCAGAAGTGAAGTGAACAGTCACAATAATAGTCACAAAGAGAACAAAGCATGATGGAATTCTCGAGACGCCAAGATGTCGCGCGTCGGCCGCCGGTTGCGTCTTTAATAAACCATCACTTGCCCTTCGCTTTTCTGCAAGTGAACAAGCTGTAAAAGACCAATTTATTGTTACACGATTCGCTTGAAAGAAGTCAGCTGTTTGCCCTGGTCAGATTCATCACCGAAAAGCGAAAGCCACCACCGAGAGCCCCTTAACGTCACACAACGCATCTTGTTGCCACGCACATCGCCATCGTCGCGGAAAGAGAACGGACACAGTCAACATGTCGGTCGAGGTAGCGACAGGAACACCATTGGCCGAAGCCCTCCACAATGCCGTACAACCCAAGCTCGCCGAAGTTGGATGGAGCACTGGTGCCGCCGACGACTCAGCGCTCGCCGAGTACATTATCCTCATGCTCGTCAACGGCAAGACTCAGAACCAGATCGCATCCGAACTCTCCAACGACCTGCTTGGCCTCGGACCGGATGACCCAAGCGCCAACGATTTTGCGACATGGTTGTTCGATCAAGTCAACACCCTGAACGGACAGCTCAATGGCGGACAAGATGCGCAGATGGGTTCGACGCAGTCTGCAGATGTCACAACTGCCTCGCAAGACCAGCCGGGCCAGGACCAGACTATGGGTGATGAGGGCGACTCACTACCTCAAGGCGCAATGTATGTTCGCCCATGCCAAATTCGCAACGTTGATGTACTGACTATACCTAGCCCTACCGGACCCAAGTCAATGCGCAACGGCAACGGCAAGCAACAGACAACACGAGACCGTCGCATGCTAGGACAGATGAACAAGGCTCTAGACCGCACAAACGACGCTGCGCTACACAGGATAAGAGGTGGTGGAGGTGTCGGTAGAATCAACACGCACAACAATCGGGAGCCACCGAAGGGCCCTCGCAACATGGCCAACCGCATGCAGAACATGAGCCAGATGAACTCGCCCATGACTCAGAACGCCATCATGGGAGCCAACCCGCAACAGCAGATGCAGCTATTCAAGATGTTGGAAGAGCAGTCGCGTATGATGGCACAGATTCTGGGTCCTGGACAGCAAATGCCCAACGCCCCTGCCATCAACCCTGCATTCTTCAACGGTCAGCAAGGTCAACAAGGCAAATCTCTGTTCGATCGCATCGAGAAGCCCAGGAAGAACAGCAACTTCAAGAACAACCAACGGCCCAACGCAGGAGCAGATGCCATGGACACAGATGGTGCTGAGAATGCCGATTCCGAGCAGAAGGAACCCTCGACCGTCCCCTGCCGCTTCCAACTCTCTTGCACCAACCCTTCATGTCACTTCGGCCATCAGTCTCCTGCTGCGCCACCTGGCATTGCGCTTGACCTTACAGATACCTGCCCCTTTGGCGCTGCTTGCATGAACAAGAAATGTGTCGGCTCTCACCCCTCTCCGGCGCAAAAACGTGCCCATCTCTCGACTCAAGTGGACTGCAAATTCTTCCCAAACTGCACCAACCCGAACTGCCCCTTCAAACATCCCACTACACCACCCTGCAAGAACGGCGCCGACTGTCCCGAACGCGACTCTGGCTGCCAGTACTCGCACAGCGACATCATGTGTCGCTACACTCCCTGCTTGAACCCTAGTATGTATCCACCATATCGAATTCGACTTCTCAAATGTCGTACTAACAGCTATTTCCCAGACTGCCCCTACCGCCACACCGATGGTCAAAAACGCAGTGCAAACTGGACGAACCCCAATGCCAAACATGTCAGCACCCGCACATTCGTCACAGACGCAGATGGCGATGAAGAGTTGATCATACCCGGTCAGAGCAGTGGAGAGACACAACAGGAAGGACAAGCAGCACAACAGCAGGACCAGACCCAACAGGCCGATGCAGATGTCACTGCTTAGAAAGCTGATGGCCATTGGCCTACTCCTTCACCCTAGTCGAGCGATGACGAGATGATTATGGATTGGGAATTTTTGGATTAGCCCGGAAAGAGATGGCGAAAGGCACGCAAAGGCCGTATGAAGAGAGACGTTTCTTCGGGTGTCGTAATATGGCGGCTGAACACTCGCTCTTCGGAAGCAGATGGTCACGATGGCATTAAGAAGACGGGCAATGGTAGAGGAGAAAACTCGGTGGTATTTGGTTGAAATCGGCTGAAAAGGCCTTCGTTCTTTTGGTGGATGCGCGTTGTCGCATGCATCCTCTTGTCACTACAACTCCTGTTCACCTTTGTCATTCGTGTCTATAGATATGTCCGAGATGCAAGGTAGAGATATGGGGTTCCAGACGTGAAGTAGCTATGCGCCTCGTAGATGTTTATAGGGTAGAAATTCGACACCACATTCATCATCAATCTCTTCTTAGCTCAGTTGGTTTAGAGCGTCTGACTGTAATTGTTCGATTGTCATCAGAAGGTCCTTTGTTCGACTCAGAGAGAGGAGATTTTCTTTTTGCTCTTTCTTGCCCAGCCTTTTTTTCCCTACCCATCACGCGCAACAATCTCGCATCGATCTTTTGACGCAGGTGCGAGGGGTAAATCCTAGTTGTGTAAAGCCATGGGCTCCGATGAAACTTCACCGGCATGATATTACGCTACGTCAGCCACACAAGACAAACAAGAGATGACCACGTTGATTGAGAAGAACCCCAGGAAATGCAACATAGAATGGAGTTGAACGTCAATGCATCATGAAGTCTTGTGACTTCCTCGTCTGATATGGAAACCACTGAGCTGTCCGTACCACGTGGAAAAACCTAGGTGTACAGCGAGCAAGTGAGCGTATTTCGTGTTTCTTCATCATGCTCGGCTCCAATCATTTATGACAAATTTGTCTGCGGGAAGAACATCTCTTCACAGTCCCCCCAGAGCCCTTCCTCAATGTCTGTCACCTCCGTGTTTAAGGTGTGCTCACGATTCTCAAGGATGTCACCCACCTCCAGATACTTCGGGGCGCCTTGGCTACCTCGCGATGGTGAGATTCGACAGGTTGACGAAATCGACGTGCTTCAAGTTCGGTAACCTTCCTCTTATACGTGAAGCGAGAGTAGCCCATGAGGGAAATGTACTGTTGATAACATGCCATGGAAGATGTGTCTCGACCCGTGTGAGCTGCTGCAGGCATCCTGCGCAACGCAAAAGGAGTGCAGCCAAGTCGTCCGAACCACCGATGAAGTCTTTCAAGCTGCATCTGCGGATGCGGGTGGACCTGAGAAGCCGTATGACATTTTGATCTGGCGTACTCCACCGGCAACCAATGAGGCCGATACTCTGCAGATGCTGAGCGGATACCGCCAGTGACATCAGAAAGTCTGGTTTTCAGTAAAGTTGGGATCGGCTTTGTAACGCAGATGCTTCAGATTGGTGAAGACTCTCTCAGGAAGGACAGACTGGTCAGGTGAGAAAGGGGCATCGATCATCACAAGCGAGTGCAGGACGCGATCATTCTGTCCAGCAGCTTCGATCAGCTCTCCGAGGGAATACCTGGTGGCCTGTAAACCATGTTCCAGTCGCCAAGGTCTGATAATCTTTAGAGCATGAATCGAATTTGGAAAGTCACCGAAAATGCGCGCTCTCCGTCCGGTATCGAAGTTATCCCAGCGTCCGTGTGCGATGACCAAATCAACGAGTCTTGAGAAAGCCTTGAATGCAACAGCGATACTATCCAGCATGGCAACTTTCGCAGACGGCTGAGACTGGGCACCTGCAACACTTTGGTAAGCATTCCAATCTCCTTCGAGATCTTCTGCGGTGTACGGGGCATTCCCGACAGCTTGTTGATATGAGGCTTTAGCACGACGTAAGGCCCGCTCACTTCGAGCATCAGTCTGTTCCTGAGCTGCGTTGGGGGGCTCGAAATCAGCCCAGTCTGGAATATATTCTTCAGCCTCGATGTACAACGCCGACCATTGCTTGGAGATCGGACAGCTTCTGAAGCGCGATGTATCGATCACCAAAGTGGTTATGCGTTGGCTCAGGATAGGATGCTCAGCAATGTCCTTGATCTCCTGAAAGCTGTTTGGATGATTGTGCAGAAAGACGCGAGGCATGATGTGACGGCAGGCGGCGATAGAGCAGACCTTCGAGGCCAATCTGAGCAATTTGAGATCTCGAGGTGTTAGATAGCTGCAGACGCGCTGCTTGAGCTCTAGTGGTAGGCTGTCCATGTTGGTAGTAGATGTGTAGCGATTCAAATGCGTGAGTAGAGCCGTGGTCGGAGTATGCGTTCTAGCGGTGAGGATGTATCGAGATGGAAATGGTAAGGTGCCAGTTAGGAGCCAGTATGTCCAAGACCAGACACAGGCTATGCGACTGACGGGAAGTGGACGTGTTGGAGTGAACGTGTTAGTTAGGAAGGAAGTCATCGGACGGAAGTCGTCAGTGAACCAGCCAAATTAAGTGTGCGACGAGAGTGCTTCGTCACTTCCTCAACCCCAGCAGGAGTACGAAATTGAGCGATCACGCGCCTCTCTTCCTGATATCATACCAGGAAGTTCTCTGACGTTGTACAGACTTTGCTGCTTTGATTTCACTGCGAGTACAGAGGATGAGATCACTGCGGCCTGACCATAGAGCTATGGAATCTCAGGCTGCTCTAATCCAGCGAATGCCCTGATACTACCTGTGTACTGTGTCCAAAGAAGCGTGATAGCTGGTGTACAACGTGATGGGATAAATATGAATTTTCTTGCGAGTCACTTGACCGCTGCATAGGTGAGACGGGCGATCTCCTTCTCATTACCCATTGAGCCTATCCCTCTCATCAAAGTATCTGCCATTTACGAGGCCCCGATAGTCTTGCAGCACTATTCGCCATCATCACGTTGGTGGAATTGAGGAGAGAGGAGTGAGATGAAGCTTCGGGAAAAGAGCCCCATGTTCAACTTCCCCACCATCTTCAATCTTCTTGCGATCGACTCGATCTACCAGTCACTCCAGCACATCATCCAGCTAATTCCAACGAGAGATTGCCAAAGCTGAAATGGACGATTTTGAGATGGACCCAGCTATGGCTGAAGCGATGGGCTTCACCAGTTTTGGCAGCAAACGCCGCAAGCACACGGCACGCGCAGACGAGGCCGTCGTCGACGACAGCGGCAACCATATTCCTGCCAGTACAGGCGCAAACGATATCCCTCTAGGCACGAGACCAGCAGCGAGCGATGTAACGGAAAGAGCACAAGAGCAAGAGATATCAAAGGAGATACCTATGTCAACAGCCAGGACAGAAGTCGCAAGACCAGAGCACAGACGAGCTATGGAAACACTGGAAGCAATTGAAGAGGTGCAAGCAGACGACTGGACTCCTGGCTTTCCGTCGTCTCAAGAACTTGCAGCACTCAGACGAGGCATCAAGAACGCGAGGGGTGACATGGTTGTCTTCATGCCGTCCTTCATTGAGGATCCTTGGAAAGGACTCGCTTGAGCGTTCAATACTGATGCCAGCGCAATACACCCACCATAACGCTCTCACCGAATGCTCGACGAACCAATTTCGCATCAATCACTACAACTGTATCGAGACGGACTCTAACCTAAAGCGTGCCACACACCAATTGGAGATGCACCGAAAGGCATGTAGCCCTTTTCGTCTCCAGACTCGACCCCAATCCAGCGCTCGGGCAGGAATATGTTTGGATGATTCTTCCAGATTGCAGAATCGCGCTGCATGGCTTCTATGTCGGCTGAGACGTTGGTCTTTTGGCCGCGTGCATTACGGTGCTCGCGACAGATGCGTCTGGTAGGCGGATACAGACGGAGAGCTTCCTGTGCAATATGGATAGCGGCAACTGAGGCTGTACGGCATCGTACTTCCACAGACTTCTGGAGTTGATCCTTTCTTGGCTGCTTTGCAAAGTCCCACATGACCCTAGTCCAGATATCAGAGAAGCTGTGGTCGCGGGCCTTGATTTCCAAGTAGCAGCGTAGAACAACGCGCCACATGGTTTCGTAGCCTGGAAGGATCAAGTTGCAAGGGTTTGATTTGCTGTCCGTCCTGTCCCAGTCTAGGAAAACAGCTCTGACAGCATTCTTCAGTGATTTCTGCTTCTCCAAGTGCCAATGAGGGTCATCACCATCGTTGGATCCTTTGGAACGAAGCCACTGAAGGTTGACTTCGTGAGCAAGAGTGGAGATCTGCTCATCTGTAGTCTGCTCCGGATCACGATCACGCCATAGTACCTTCATCATGGTCTTCAGAGTTAAAAGCTGCACCACGCCGGACAGGTTCACAGTCTCGTCTTCGATGTCGGTGGCACGCTTTGCGGTCCTGCACGCAGTCTTCGCGAACTCGAACCATCTGACCTCTGGGACGTATAGGAGCTCCTCGACCGAATCTCTGAAATTCTTGCATGACCTCTCGTCGGATGAGGTGAAGCAACTATCGATGCAAAATGCCAAGTTCAAGCGCTGATTGGGACGAGCACGAGCTTCGAGTGGTGACAGAGTATTCTTGCATGCTGCGGGAGGTGTGCTACTCTTGATGATCTCGCGACACTCCGAGGCATTGGCCGTCTGGAAGGACGTATGTCGCCAGAAAGATGATACCATGTACTGATAGATTGCGGATATGCTCCAACGAATCTCAGACGAAAGGACTTGACCGAGCAAAAGTCCACATTCAGAGCAGGCGCTTCCGGGTAAGAAGTAGGCGAGGCTGGGGTATGACTCTGCGCAAGCAATGCTTAAACATAGGTTCAGGCAAATGAAGATGCATGGACCCAGACGACTGTCAAGTGGCTCGGTGAGCACCTTGGAAGGATCAAGATGTCGAAGAAGAGAAATCGACAAAGAAAAGACCAAGCTACAGAGGAAGACGGCCTGCATGGGTCCTATGAGTAGTTCCATTGCAGTGATGACGAAGATGATTTTATGGTCGGTGTAACCTCTACTCTATATAGTTGTCTATACCACGCTAGAGTTCATGTTGTCTTTCACAGTCCATAGGCATGGTGTAGGGTCTGCGTAGAGTCTTTGAGCTACGACATTCAGTTTGTGTCTCGCTTCTTTGTTTCTTGCAAGTCTCAAGGGTGCCAAAACACGTGTAGGTTAGGTATGGGACACTGCTGCACTCATAGTAACTTTACATCGTCAGGATGTGTCTAATGCAGACGATGGTTCTAAATGCCCATAAAGTATCGCTACAGGTCACTGAGGAGAACCAAAGGTCTAGCGAAGCAAGTGGCATGTAATTTGACTCCCGAGAGCTTAGGAAAGTTTTTGTACACCATGAAGCCTTGTCAAACAGACTGCTGAATCTTCAAGCCCGAAACGCCTTTGTATGCGACCAGAACGCCGATAGTCCCATCTTTTGCTTGGCGGTAGTCTCACTCAAACTCTTCCATGATGACCATGTCCCAGCTTTCTACGTCTATGCATACCCAAATGTCTCTTCCTCAAGATCTGTCCGTCTTGACATGTAGTACCAGGTGCGACAGGCTGAAACACTACATGACCAAAGTTGCAGATGCCAAAGGCATTGGAGCCATTGCAGATCAGTGAGCCATCAGGACTGCAAGTAGTTGAGTCGCCGTCGTCGTTATCAGCAACGATCTGTCCATTCTCACAAGCTGTGCCGGGGGCTACTGGTTGCCAAATCACTTTGCCGAAGTTGCAGAGGCCGAATTGGGTGGGTCCATTGCAGGTAAGGGCGCCATTTGTGATGCAGGATGTGATGTTACTGTAAGGAGCTGGTAATGTGCTGGGTACACTCGAAGAAGTGGGAGGGATGTATGTGGTCGAAAGCGATGTTCCGACTGCTGCAGCTGTAGTGGTGTTGACTGCTGGAGTTTTAAACGTGGATGTAGATGTCGAGGAAGCTTGAACAGTAGAAGATGTAGGATTTTGCGAGCTTGACACTACTCCAGTGCTACTCTGCGTTCCTGCAGGTGGCCTCATGACGGCACAACCACTTCCCGTAGGTAACGCCAGCGCTTGACGGTCGATTGTTGTGACGTATCTACCAGGATTGGGAATCTCAAGATTGCTGCTAAGTTGACTGCCGCATTCTGAGCTGGGGAGATTGACTCTGAACAGATCTTCGAGCTGGTCGAATTCAGTCATATCGTCGGCGCCGCCAGAGACTGTGATTGGGGCGCAGTTCATGTAGAACTCTGGCTGCCCACTCAACTTAGAGACCCAGCTCCAGGCCAGAGTAGCTTTGCCATTGGGGACTTCAGAAGGGATGGTGTAGTTCCATGGATGTGTGCCGCCACTGGCATCGTCGATAGGACAACCTCCAATCCAGCTGGCGATTGTCTTGAATGTACTTTCGGCGGTAGGTTGTCTGTCCAAAGTGACGCTGAGTTGACATGAACCTCCGCCATGGGATGCTGATCCGTCAAAGGTCATTGTTTGAGGTTCGCCAGCGACAAGTTCATTCTCTTGATCAACGATCCATGGATCGGCGCCTCCAATGCGCTTCGATTGGCAAGGGAAGTCCGACTGTTCAGATCCAGGTAGTGCGTTTTTAAGAGGATCGAGTTGAAGAGTGCTCTTGGAGTAGGGTACAGGATTGTTGAGCTTTAGGTGCGACTCGACCAGGAGCGACAGCTGCGCCAGTAGCAAGAGTTTCTGTGTTGGCAAGAGGATCATTTTTGCTGGTAGCTGAACAAATGTGTTTATGAAGGACGGGAGAAATCACAACAACAGATGAGAAGGAGCATCTTTATAAATTCCGGTCAATTGTTAGGAAGATAATTGTGTGAGAGGATGAATAGCGTAGAATGCGCCAGCCCCATTGTCAATGTTCCAATCAAGTCTGACACGCGCATGAGAGAATGTGTAGTGAAAGGGACGTGTCTTGCGAGTGTCGCGTCTCGGAATCGACCAATGGCTTCACGATTACTGCGACTAATACCTACATACTGGGATTGAACGTGTTTTCTGGAATGCGATAGCTACTTTCCAGACGCGACTTTTTTGAATCCTCGACCTGATTCGACTGAGGAGGAATGGAGTCGAACTCGAGAGACGAGAAGAAGTCGAGGCAAGATCAATCCCGCTGACGTCTGTGGCATCTCAGCCTCGAGTTGTGTCTCGTTTCGACACAGCGGAAGTGAATCTTTATGGCTGTAGAAATGCACAACTTCTCAGACAACGCTCGTGGAGAGCCATCTTGCATGACGTTCTGCCTGGGGCGTGAACAGATTGGAGCTCACCTCATCATCCATAGACGGCTTCGAGGGAGGCTGTCAAAATGCACAAACACGTTCGCTTCACGGAGCGTGTCTCGTGAAGGTTGATTTAACTACATATCGTAGTTGGTAAGATGCAAGAACAAATTGCAAGGTCGAGACTCGGTTTTGGGAAAGAAGCTGGAAAGCTCGTCATCCGTGCACCTCCGACGCTTCTGACATGTGACAGCGGCACCAAACCGCCTCCTCCTCTCACACGATTTGACGTTGGGAAGAGATGCCGGACTCAACGACAGCTGATGGCCACTCGAACCAACAGCGTGACTGCTTTTCTTAAGGCATTGATAAGGCTCTTCTTCGATGTAGCCTTTTTCTGGCACACGGTCCGTTTATTGGACGTGTTTATCGTCAATGTTCTCAACTGATTTCATACAGCGGTTATGGGCGTGGTGGACTCGGAAGAGTCAGAAAGACATTCAGCTTGAGTGTCTGAATACTGCTCGTTACTATGAAGAGTGGGAAGCTGCAGCTTTCGCATTGGATGAGCTTTACGGCAATGACTTATGGTTCGATGTTTCATTACGTGACTGTTGAGAACGATGGCTTACCATTGCTCAAACTAGGCGACAGAATCCATCGTCTAAACACTATGATTACAGACTCATTCATTCGAGATTGCAATATATCCTCGAAGCTCGGGAGGATCAGGATATCCTTGGTCTTGTGAATCTTCTTCGTTCTGGACTGGTCCGCAACCTGGGAAACATCACGGCACCTCGTCTTTTTAATCGAGCCTACGCTGGCACGAAGCTTTTGATAGAGGACTACATCACTCAGGTCGCGCTAGCCGTTGAGTACGTCACGGCATATCCTACTTCACCAATTTACGACACAAGTTTGACCAACCAAGCCAAACTCGACCTTCTCCATGACACGCGTCAAGCATTTGGTCGTAGTGTCCTCGTTCTTCAGGGAGGGTCGATCTTTGGACTTTGCCATATCGGTGTGGTAAAAGCGCTGCATCTGCGAGGCTTGTTGCCTCGAATCATCTCTGGGACAGCCACGGGTGCCCTCATGGCTGCTCTCGTCGGCGTGCACAACGAGGATGAATTGCTCAAGTTCTTGAGTGGAGAAGGCATTGACCTCTCTGCCTTTGCCACACGCTCGGCTCAGATGGCCAAAAGTAACAGTGCTGGTTCTGTACAACAAGGCTGGCTCGCGACATGGTTTAGACGTGTCAAGCGCTTCGTCACCACTGGGTATCTGTTGGATGCTTCGGTCCTGGAAGAATGTGTTCGCGCTAACGTCGGGGACCTGACCTTCATGGAAGCCTATCAACGGACTAAGCGTGTCTTGAATATCACTGTTGCCCCTATGGGTAACGGCATGCCCAACCTGCTCAACTACTTGACGGCACCAAACGTGGTACGTGCATGAGAGAAGATGACACAGCAAACATTATGCTAACCCTCGCATCAGCTCATCTGGTCCGCAGCCCTAGCCTCCAACGCCTCCGACGTCCTCTACTCCCCAGTAACCATGAAATGCAAGAACGAACTCGGCAACATCGTCCCCTGGGCCTCCTCCCACCCAACCCACCACCGCCCGTCCACACCCCTCGGCTATGCCTCCGATCGGGACTCCCCATTAACCCGAATCGCCGAGCTCTTCAACGTAAACCACTTCATCGTCTCCCAAGCCCGCCCCTACATCGCCCCGTTCCTCCGCAGCGATCTCCACAGCCCCAAACCAGGCTACAAAGGCCGTTCCTCCCTCACCACTTCCTTGATGAAGGTCATGGTCATGGAAGTCCAGCATCGTCTCCATCAACTCGACTCCCTCGGCTACTTACCAGTTCAAATCCGTCGCTTCCTTCTCGACGAGAATATCCCTGGTGCCTCATTAACTCTAGTCCCAGAAGTCAATACCACAGACTTCTTGAAATTACTAGAAAACCCGACGCGACAAAGTGTAGAGTACTGGATTCAAAAGGGAGAGAAAATGGTTTGGCCGGCTGTTGACGCATTGAAAGTCCGTTGTGCTGTAGAGGTGGAACTTGATCGTGGGTATCAGATTGTTAGAAGGAGGAAACCATTTGATGCTAATCCACTGGGCTCGGGAAATGGGATGGTGAGATTGGATAAAAAGGGGATGAAAAAGAGGAGTTCGAGTTCTGCTCTTGAGTAATTGGTTGGTTGGTTGGTAGGATTGCATATGCTATTATTTGTTCTTCATGTGGAAAGGTTCGATGAAGTGGAGCACACGCGGGTTGTGGCAGTCGTTTTCTATGTGATGTTGTGCAAGAGGCTTGTGATTCGTGCTACATCATGTGTCACAGTGGTATCCTTTTGCTTGGAACCAGGTTAAACCGAGACACTTGTACATGTGCTATCACGCTGTCATACTGTGATAGAGCGGTAAAGATGTGTTCATATACTGTCCCAGCGACCGCTCCGAAAGATTTGATGTCAAGAGGTCTATCATCATGTCGGTTTCACCCCTTGATTCAGCATTCTGGCAGCCCGAGGGACCGCATCAACGTCAAGACTCTATCCTTCTGAACAAGATCAGTCATGAGAGCCGACAAGACTGGGAGTACTGGCCACCTGTAGATACCAGCTACCCTCCACAATCGAGTCGATCCTTGTCACAAGACAGACATCCACTAGCGACCCCTGAATCCGACCACGAACCCGGGACCGATGGCTTGCAAGATTCGACCGAGACTTCCGTACGACAGAGCTGTAGATGGAGACAAATCATAAAAGACTGGTGGGCAGAGATCCTCTGGCTCGGTTTTGCAGCCTTCAACCTTGGTGTCATAATTGTTGGTCTCTACCTCTTGGACGACAAACCATTGGCAGGCTGGCGTTTCTCAATCTCTCCAAATGCCGTGGTCTCAGCTCTCATTGTTGCTACGAAGGCAGCTTTGATATACACAACAGCTTGTTGCATCGGGCAGCTAAAATGGGATCACTTTCAGCATGGTCGACAGCCGCGTTCTGTCTACGATCTGAAGACTTTTGACGAAGCCAGTAAAGGACCATTGGGAGCTTTGAAATTGGTGCTCAAATTGCGATCAATCTCAGGTATCGCTTTGTTCGGAGCTTTGGTCGTTGTCGCTGCCATTTTCATGGAGACCTTCGGACAGCAGATTTTGGTATATCCGAGCAGGAATGTTGCAGCCAATGATTCGCTGGCAATGTTTCCCGTTACGCAACATCTTGCTTCTCAAAACTCTTGGTATCTGGATTATACCATGATGAGCGATTTGCAAAAGTTGCTCTTGACAGCAATCTTTCGAGGAAGTGTGGCGCCAGATTTCGAATGCTCGACCGCAGAGTGTACTTGGATTTCTTCAGCTACCCTTGGAATCTGCTCGAAGTGTCGAGATATCACGGATGTCAGCAATGGAAGCTGCAAAGGCGACTCGAGATTGCTGGACTGCTCGTTCGTTACACCTGGAGGTATGAAGCTAGGTGGAAATGTTCAGCCTGGTGGACCAATGCCGCTGATCAATACCACGACGGTAGATGGTGTATACGATGCAACGCCCAGCTTCTACAACTTTTCGACGCTTGTAGTGGCTGAGAGCACAAATTGGACGGCCAAGTTGACAGAGTGCGAACTGTCATGGTGTGCTTGGACATATAGAAATGCGACATCGAGGGGTACGGATCTCGACCTCGGAGCTACAGGACAGTTTCCGCTCCAACTTGCAGGTACATGGGACAGGATAAACCAGACCTCGAATCTTGTGGACACTCAAAGTGTTTTAACGGCGTCTGGCGACTTTCCTGCTAATCTCAATAAGACCTTCACCATCAGTCAAGGCAAAGAGTACTTTCTGAAGTATGCCGTGCGATTGATTTTAAAAGCAGGATACCAAGGTGCAGACTTTTACACCCAGCTCACCTTAGCAACCTCGTCGCTGGACTACACAGATACAACTGCAATGTCGGGTAATCTAGCAGTATTCATGACCAATGCTCTGCGAACGCAAGATGCATGGCAATCTGTGGGTACGGCGTGGCAGTCGACCACATTCATACGAGTCCGTTGGATTTGGCTGCTACTTCCAGCAATTCTTGTACTCGCGACTGGAATTTTGCTGGTCTTGACGATCGTACAGAGCACGAGGCATGGCACCGTGCTTTGGAAGACATCGATGTTGGCGTTTCTCTTCTGTTCCACACACGCGTGGACGACGCAGACAAGTCGTGACGAGAATGCTCGATCTCTCAAGGCGATGGAAACAGTATCCAAGAAGATGGACGCGAGATTGGAAAAAGACGATCAAGGTCGATATCAGCTTGTTCAAATTTGAAGGTTCAAAGAAGGGTGGATGGATGTTGACGGGAGGCTCTTGCTCAAACGCCGACGCAAGAGAGAAAGAGTTGCCGAGGACATGTGAAAGTATGGAGGAAACGCGGGGGTAGATCGATCAACCGTCATCATCGATTATTGGAGATGCATCTGATATTTAGCCCTAGCTGATCTCCTTTGATGGTCTTGTTCCTGCCAATCCTGTATCCTGACATTACATAAACCCTCGAACCAATTCCCCATCCCCATCCACATATCAATCATGGCTCATGTGAGTAGGCGATTGACGAGCAGCCAGAGTGTCGGCTGATGCAAGTAAACACAGAAATCATTGAAGGATACCGCCAAAGACAACCCAACTCAGCTCGGCGATCATGTATCTCTCAAGGCCGAGACCCCAAACACAGAGCCCACTGAGAACGACCGTCCCAACAAGTCGGGCGCTGGCCACAAGTCATTGAAAGATCTGGCAAAGGAAAACCCCACCCAACTCGGCGACCCCGTAAGCCTCAAAGCAGAGACCAGTGACACGGAGCCCACCGAGAACGACCGCGGCGCAAGCAAAGCACACCCAGAGAAATCGGGAAAGTCAAAGTTGTAGAGTGTTATGCTGGGAAAGACGTGTAATTCATGAGGAGCGAAGAGGACGAACTAGTGCTGGGCACCACGTCTTCGCCTGCCCTTTACCCTGCCTTCATCTTCTACTTCCTCCTCTTCTTTGCCCTTTTGCAGAGGCGTACTCAGATTCCATTCGTCCATGTCGTACCAATCTTCGCCATCACTCATTTCACCCATGTGACTTTCAGTCTTGCACCAGCGCCAGACGTCTTTTCTCATGCGATCAGCTCTGAGTAGACCTTCCAGCATTTGTTCAGACTCGCGGACGACTTGTTCTTGCTTTTGACAGTAGAGTAGTAATAGGCGGCGTGTATCGTCAGCTTCGGTGGCTGGGAGACCGTAGTCACGGTCCGGTAGAGCGGAATCTGGAACGTGAAAGAAGCCGTGGATGGAGGGTATGGATGAAGGAGCGGGCGATGAAGAAGGAAAGTTGGGATCGGGGGTCGGAGAGGTGCGCGCCTGACGTCTGGTTGTCATTGCGTGTTGGGTCAAGGCTTCGGGGGAGGCATCGGGCGATGGGAGAGTGTCGAATGGATTCTGCTGTTGATCGAGAGCATCTGGTAGGGAGCCATTCTGCTGCGGGGGCTCGTGTTGTTGTTGTGTATTGTTGTCTGGTCTGTAGTGATCTATGGCAGAAGTGTCGGGAGGCATGATGGTGGACATGTTGTCGTCGACAGGCGCAGCCGAGGGATCAAGGAGCATGAGATCGTGTTCTGACTCGAGCTTGCCAATAGGAATCCAGTGGTCGTCACCACGTAACCTCAGCAGCAGCTGCTTGATGTGCCACAAGGTCTGTTTCTCGCGGTGCATAGCTTGACGAGCGTTCTCTGCCATTTCGCTGATTGGTCTCGAGAGGAAGGGTACTGAGAGCGAGGGGTGGTTGGCGAGGTGAGCGGCAGAAGTGAGGGGAGCGAGGAGTTCTTCGAGTTTTGTGTCGGCCCACGGGTTGTCGTCTCGACCAGATGTATCTGTCTCGTCTGCGTCTGCGTCTGCGTCGTCATCGTCGTCTATCAGATCACCGTCGTCGTCGAAGCGAAGCGGGTTGTCGTTGAGGATGTAGCGGTCGTAGCCAGCATAGTCGATGCGCTTCTTGTAGCTTCGACCATGGGTGGTGTCTAGGCGACCCTCACGCACATGGCGGGCATTGCGTTTGAGCTTGTTGCCGCGGTTGGTGGGCTGGGTGATGGACGTGTCCGAGTCGGAGTCGTTGTCGCGGCGGCGCATGGCCAGCTTCATGCCGCGTATCGTCTCGGCGATGATGGTCTGCTGTGCCGCCATGCTGACGAGAGTGCAGAAGGCGTGGTGAAAAGGGATGTGCGGTGTTGGCTGGTCTTGTTTGAAATTCAACAGTCGGAACTTCTTGAGCCTCCTCGATTGACTCGCTCCCCGGCTTGTTTCAAAACGCGTCATTTGCACGGGGCAGCTTGGGGAATCGCCATAGATGACATTCTGGTCGCATTCTACATATTCGCAACAACTTGACTCGCGCACTGCTGCCATGACATGATTGTGCAGACATGGAGGCCTACCCTGAAGACTATGTCTCCCACAACCTGCCCTTCATCGCCCTAGCTGGTCTTCCAACCGCCGACTTGTCCACCAACCCCTCGACTGCAAGCACCCCGACTGCTTTCCAGGCCACTGGCTTGACCATCTCCGACAAGTCTCCTCCATTGTCTGGCCCTCATGCCGACTCTATTCTGGACGAGTTCCTGCGCGCAGATGGCGCCTCTTTGTCCTGGAGTGAACAGGCTCTGGCCGACAGGTCTGGCTTGATTGGCTTCAACCTGTCGAGTGTTGGTCGGGTAGGTACGCCGCTGCGATCGACTCCTCTGCCAATCTTCCCTACTGATCCTCGTTACCCTACAGTCTTTTGTCTTCCCGCCTAGAAAGGCTGCTCCTCCGCCCATAGCTCCGTCAGACTCTCCTACAGGAAGTCCGAATCTTTCCTCGCAAATCAGCCACGACCTCCACTCGCCTTTGTCTCCGCTATCTCCTTCGTCTCCCGTGTTCCCTGATGGCCTCATGACTCCGCTATGGCTTGCAAAGCACCGCTCTCGTATCCCTGCTATCTATCTATCTTTCCTCACCCTGGATTCGGATTCTTCACATGACAACGCTCTCAAAAACCATATCAATGACACTAGGAACACCATCGCAAAGTCTGGTTTCAAGACTCGATACGCTGCCGTCCTTGTATCAGACGATGCTGCCATCTCACCTCTCGATTTCGAAGAGCGCCTCGCTGCCATCAGGAGAGCCACTTCCCTGGATCCAAAGATGTCGTGCTTCCACTTTGATGTTTCGGACTCGCAAACCGATCTGCCTTCATTTGTGTCGACTGTTCTTCGAGCATTACAACCCGTCTGCGTCGACTATTATAGAGACTTGACAAAGCATTCGCGACGGAAACGTGGTCGCGCTGCTCCTCCGCCCATCACTGCTGCTGCTAGTCGCGGCACATCACAGATCTTGACAAACAATGGTTGGAACGTACGCTATGATTTCAAATTAGCCATTTTTGCTGAATTTCGACAAGAAATGGACGTGGCTCAGAGGCATTTTGAGTCTGCCTTGGAAGAGCTGTTTGGTCCTGAAGGCAGCCTTGAAAATACGCCAAGTTGGTCTGCTCGTTGGCAAGAAGCCAGACTACTCTGCGATATTATTGCATTCCGTGTCTTGCGTTGTCAGATGTGGAGAGGTATGACATCGGGCGCCGCCGAGTCGTGGTACAACTACAAGGAGCGCATGCGAGACTTGATTGATCGTCGCGGAAAAGGCGCCGAGAACAGCTACGGTTGGGAGGCATGGGAAGCACGATGGGCAAAGATGATGGCACAGCTTATTGAAATGGCCGATCTGCCTGTATTCAAGCCTGTGGACTTGTCAGACCCTGGAGAACAGACGGCTGCGCCCGCTGTATATGCTCCTGCCGAGAAGCTATACTCGACCATGGAACGAATGATGCCCTTTCATCTTCTCCACCACCCAGGCTACTGGTGGAGGTTGGCCTGCAAACATGTCATGTCACGCAAGCGGCTAGCAGAAGCAATCCCGCAAGAGGACAGAACGCTGCCGAGTGAAACTTCCGCTACTCAATTGGCCAGCCGAACCAGAACTTATGATACGTATATGGTGCCGCAACCCCACGAGGAGGCACCGCTATCGGGCCACAGCACATACGACTACTTGTTGGATTTACAAAGTCAAACTGAGCGGGTGGAAAGTATCATGTCCAACAGAGGTCAGGCAAGAACTGTGCAGCAGGTCAAGATTGAACTTGCACGCGAATTTTACAGAGCCGAGCGATTCGACGAAGCATTCCGGACTTTGCAACCAATATGGGATAGCATGGTCTGGAGACGTGAGGGGTGGTTTGATCTGGCATTGGAAGTCCTGGAACTAATTTACGACTCTGCTGGGAAGACAGGAAACTCTAAAGTTCGGGTTGAAAGTGCTTGGGAGCTTACATATCAACGTAAGTGTTCTCTCGCCTTTGTCGTCATTTTCTCTCTGACTCTCTATAGCACTGAATACACGACACTCTATCGACGTAGCGAAATGTCTGACAGCTGCTGGCAACAATGAAGACCCTGCGCATGTTCTGCTAGATACCCAATCAAGGCTATGTCCATGTAAGTGTTCGAACCACGCCACTGCTTCTTACCATGCTGACCTCCACACAGTCTCCATCACGTTCTCCTTCCTCTCTGGTGAGGGGTTTGTTGGAGATACCGCTACCTGCCAAGTCGCAGTCGTCTTCAATGGATCTGTAAAGACGGCTGGCTTGACGCTTTCGGAGCTCCGCATCCATTTCAGCACCAATATCAGGAGTCTGGTCATCAATCACTCTGACGACGACCAGCAGTCGCTGTCAACAAGCCTCAAGGTTCACGAGGAGCACGACTCTGCACACCCCATGGCTAAAGGATTGCTGAGTAGCGCAAATCTGACATTCCAGCCTGGCCAACTTCGTGTGTTCAACCTGACGATCCCGCTTCGTGATCCGGATACTTTTGGGGCTACTGGTGCTTCGCTAGTGTTGAAGACTCCTGGAGCTACACTCGAGCACGTTTTGAGCCGCCCGGCGGACATAAGTTGCTCAAACTGGTGGCTGCTATCAGACAACAAACTTTCCAGGAAGCAGATCCCTCGCACAGAGCCAAATGCAATACAAGTGCTGCCGAAGCCACCAAAGGTACAACTGCGGATAACAAATCTCAAGGAACAATATTTCATCGGCGAGAAGGTCGCGCTTGAAATCCAAATTCTCAATGAAGAAGCGGAGGACGTCAACGCGCATATACGTGCTGAAGGGCAGGATAGTGCTGATGTCAGTCTCGACCTTGCCTGGAATGACAACAAGAATACTGCAAACGATCTGGACTTGACCAATGTCCAAATTGGCAACATGTCAGCCAACGAATCGAAGTCTCATACACTTGAATTCATGGCACCTCTGGAGCTCTCGGAGTATACACTGAGATTGGAAGTCAACTATCGTTTGGCTTCGGACCCTGATGAACCAGTAGTGAAGATTTTGGAATCAGTCATACCTTTCGTCAGCCCCTTCGAAGCCAATTACGACTTTGGACCACGTCTGCATACGGGAGTATACCCGAATTATTTCAGTTTACCGGATCTCTCCGAGGACGACAGCGAGCAGCCGAAGCAAGCACGAGGCATAGCGCAAAGATGGTGCTTGACCAGCCGTGTTGTCTCGTTCTCGATGGAGCCTCTGCTTGTCGCAACCACACGACTGGTTGTCAATCGAGTCACCAGCAATGCTGTCTGCGAAGTGGAGGAGTCACTCACGCCAGAGAAGGTATCACGTACCATGACTCTGAAAGACATGATGGATGTTCCTCATGTCCTGGAGGTCCGCAAGACAACTCTTGAAGACCGACGTCCTTCTGCGTTGGAGCTGTCACTGGCAGTCACTTGGCGTAGAGAAAATGCCGGCACTGAAGACACCACTACCACTATGCTCGCAGTCCCTAGCATGACCATCCCTTCTGCAGAACCTAGAGTGCTATGCACCGCAAGTGTTCCCTCAGACACTGATGACGAGGCCATAACTGTTTCGTATATGCTAGAGAACCCGTCGATGCACTTTTTGACATTCAATCTGACCATGGAAGCAAACGACCTCTTCGCATTTAGTGGCTCAAAGCACCGAGCAGTGAGCCTGACCCCGATGAGTCGCGTCAATGTTGACTATAAACTGTTTGTATATACTGTCGAAGACAGCGCTCTGACAGAACGACACGGTCAAAAGGGACACTGGATCTGGCCTGCACTCAGAGTAGTAGATGCATATTTCCAAAAGACTCTCAGAGTTTTGGATGCCGGAGATGGCGTTCAGAGTGATGATAGAGGCGTGGGCATTTGGATACCTTTATCAAAATGAGAGTGGTGGCTGTTTCGAAAGTTGATGAATTTCAATCTCGGCATGTGATACTATTAATGTAGATGGCAAATCTTTGCGAGACGATCTAATATTCGCTCTTGCCTTCATGAGTCAAGCAATCTGGCCCCTATTTTCTAGTTCTCGTGAGGTTGTACCAGGGCCGATCTTCGCTGTCATGCCGTCTTTGTTTACGATGTCCGAGACCTGCGCTGCGGCTGGAAGCTCGAGCCCTTGGCAAGAGTTGGCGGTTCATTGAGCATGTATATCTCTCATGTGACAAGTCAGCAGGAGACATTGCGTTCTGTTAAGCATTGTTGGGAGAATTTAGTCGTTATACAAGACATGAAGAGATTGCACATAGCATTGGTTGGTGGGATCATTAGCAAGCGAGGCGTGTATATGTAAATGGTGACCTCTTGGTGTAAACGTGTTGTTTGTTCTCGTCTGCCGGCGTTGAGCTGACGTACCTATCGCTAGTATTGGACATCGCTCGTCCTTGCGCCTCCGCACCGCACTGAGTCTCCTTCCTTGCATCTTATCCCGTGTCCTGCATTTCAAAACCCGGCCGCCAACCTCGTCAACACAACTTGAAGCCTCGAATTTCGGAGCTTTTCAATTGAGTGAGCATTTCCGTCAACTTCCCCTTCCCGGTGCTCAACTGACTTGTCGTGCGACAGCGATCTTACAACATGGAGCCCTGGCAATCGTGGCTCATCGCCCTCGGCGCTGCTGCAGCTGCCTACTACTACTACGTTCAGCACGGCAAGCCTGTCGCCAACAGAACTCGTGCCGCGTCAGTCTCGGACTTCGTCGCTCCTCAGCCAAAGGCCGCTCGTCGACGAGACTCGACAAAGCCCAAGCCCAAGTCCGAGACGACAAAGGCCGCCGCCGTCACTCTCCCCGAGTTGAGTGTTCAGAGTGGTGAAGACAGCACCACCAAGGCCCCCGAGGTCTCCAAGAAGCGCAAGGCTGGCAAGAAGCAGTCGGTTGCACCAGCTCCTTCGCTCACACCAGCTCCCGCCCCCAAGCGTCAAGAGCTTGACGACGATGTCGCTGAAGAGGAAGACAACAAGGCCTGGGCCCAACAGCTCGCCAGCCTTAAGAAGGGCACCAGCCTTGCCCCTCCCAACCGCACAGACTCGCGCAACAGAACAGTGAAGCAGTCTTCCAAGAACTTCTCGTCGGCCTCGTCCAATGCTGACAACGCTGACGACGATCTCACCCCTGCCATGTCGCCACGTTTGGCTGCTGGTGACGTCTCAGACATGCTCGAGCCCACCGCTGGCGGCCCATCCGTCCTTCGCCTCACCGGCTCCAACAAGCCTACTAAGGCCAACCAGCCTCGCCAGCAGTCACAAGCCGAGGAGCAAGAGACCAAGAAGCAGAGACAAAACCGTAAGAAGGTTGAGGAGCGCAGGCTCCAGAGAGAGGCTGAAGAGAAGGAGCGTCAGACCCTCCTCGAGACCCAACGCCGTACTGCTCGTGAAGCTCGTGGAGAGCCCGCGAAGAACGGCATCCCCGTCTCCAAGGCTCCCACTAGTAGCGCATGGGCTGCTGAGGTTGCCAAGCGCGCCACTGAGTCTCCTGTAGTCTCCGAGAGCGCTCCTCTTCTCGACACTTTCGAGCAAAGTGCTACCAACGGCGCCTCCGAGGAGGACCAACTGGCGTTGGCCAAGCAGATCAGCCAGGACGACTCAGGCTGGAACACTGTACCCAAGGGTAAGAAGCAGCAGAAGAAGACCGTTCCCGTGGCCGGCTCCGAAGACTCCAACGCTAGCGACGCTGGCTCAGTCGTCAACGCACCCATCAAGAAGGTTGCCCCTCTGCCCAAGGTCACCGCACCTGCTCCCAAGGCCACAACTGCTTCGACCAACGGATTCTCGTCTCTCTATGATTCCGGATATGACGCAGGCAGCCACCCCGATGACTCTCAGTGGGCCGCTTGATCAAGCCGCCGTTAAGCAACACACGCCAAATGGCCAACTTCACTAGGCTCATCCGGATGAATGAGCGCTAGACATTTCGTGATCTCCTACAAGCACCTTTTGACGAACCCATAATGTTTGGGTGTCGAGGCAGAATGGCAAATTTGTTTTCAATTCATGTTTTCCAAGCGAAGGTATTCCCACAGGGCATGTCGAGGGGGTTTGATTCTTTCCTTACAGTCGACAAGGTCCAAGGCCGCATAAAAGAAAAACAGGAGACAAAGAGATGCGGCTTGACTGAAAAAAGGCGTACAGAGGGTTCTGCATGTTCCTATCGTTCTCTCATGTACTTTTGATGTAGACCAAAAACGAAATGCTTTTCCATATACATTGAGCTCTTGCAAAGGTGCTTGGTACGATGATGGCATTGTGGGGTGGGGTTGTGAAGCTTGGTGCGGTCTTCAAGGTGCCGAGGGGTGGATGATGAGTGCGTCACAGTCTACAGAGCACATTGGAGACACGATGGCAATCTTGTGAGCAATACAATAGGAGTCAGAGCAGTCTCTGTTCACACAGTCATCGTCAAATGCTATAAGTACAAGGGGGAAAGAATTATTGTTGGCCCTTAACGGCTTCGAGTTTACAACAAAGAGCAGATCTAAAAAAGGACACAGAGCGTTGTTCCTGCGACAAGCTTCGATTTGCTGACAAGTGGTCTATTCTTCCCCACGTCTCTAGCCTCTCTGGACCTTTCGTCAACGAGGAGACTCGCATCCGATTTCTCCTCTCCAACCCCTTACACCATTTTTTACGACGACCATGGCTCAAATTAGAGGGACGGCAGGATACCACTTGGGCTCGCAGCCTTCCTTTGGCCAGCCTGGACGAGCAGACGCCACCAATGATCCCAGTCCGCTGGATGCCATCCGTGAACAGACCAGCAAGATTGAAGACTGGCTCGACACCTTGTCGCATCCCGTCAAGCCGTGAGTTGCACCACTCCTTTTTACGACCATCTCAGGCTCTGACAGTACCACAGCTACATTCCTGCGATTGGCCGCTTCCTCATCGTCGTGACCTTCCTCGAGGATGCCCTCCGTATCATCACACAATGGAGCGACCAGCTCACCTACCTACACGACTACAGACATAGTACGTTCTCCCTATCCAGAGTCAAGCTATACAACGCGTACTAACGCGCTACAACAGTCCCCTCTGGCCTCACCCACCTGTTCCTCATCGCAAACGTCATCGCCATGAGCGTCTCCTCCTTCATGATCATCGTCCGCAAGCACAGCGAATACGCCGTCATGGGTCTTTTCGGCGTTGTCATCACCCAAGCCCTCGGCTACGGCCTCATCTTCGACCTCAACTTCTTCCTGCGTAACCTGTCGGTCATGGGAGGTCTCTTGATGGTGCTCTCCGACAGCTGGGTGCGCAAGCGCTTCGCTCCCGCCGGTCTCCCCACCCTCGACGAAAAGGATCGCAAGATGTACTTCCAGCTTGCCGGTCGCGTTTTGCTCATCTTCCTGTTTGTTGGCTTCGTCTTCGCTGGCGAGTGGAGCTTTGGAAGAGTTATTGTCATCTTGCTCGGTGCTGTTGCTTGTGTCATGGTTGTTGTTGGCTTCAAGGCAAAGTGGAGTGCCGTCATGCTTGTTGTCATCCTCAGTGTCTTCAACTTGCTCGTCAACAACTTCTGGACTGTAAGTTTGGAGTCCTCTTCCTCGATCTTGATTTTGTTTACTGACTATGTTTCTAGCTGCACCACAACCACCCTCACAAAGACTTCGCTAAGTACGATTTCTTCCAAATCCTCTCCATTGTCGGTGGTCTTCTCCTCCTGGTCAACATGGGCCCCGGCCAGTTCAGTGTCGATGAGAAGAAGAAGGTCTACTAGAGTCCTCCCAACCACAGACGGTTGACCGAAATCCTGTCTGGTCATGTGTCAGAGCATACAAGCCCGAGAATTGTCTTGTTCAAATGAAGGAACTCGTGCGTGGAGATGGAAGGAATATGACACGAGAGAGTGGAGCTAGGTCTCTGCGTAGAATGGACAATTCCAAAAATGTTATTTTTTCCCCACCACATCTCGCCTTGTATTGCTCAAAACTCCAACCTTGATCCAAGAATGTTATGCTTAGGCTTTGTCATGGTTCGATATGTGTCTTGCAGATCATACGAAGGTAGGGATGCGTTGATGAGCACCTTGACAATACTGCACTGAGCCATGTCCTTTGTCATCTGGCCAGCTGATGTTTGGGAGGCGTGATGATTGCTACCACAACCACGAGGAAGGGACGGCAGAAAGAAGGGAAGGAGCAAGGAACACAACACATGGGGGGGGGGGGGGGGGGGTAGGAGCAATCCCGTGAAACGGAGGAAGCAGCGACCGATCACATTGGAAGGAGGAAGGAGTGGCAAACGAGTCAGGAAGGCGCGACGGTGGTATATTAAGAGAGCAGCGATGTGGATTGGGAGATTTGAGATCATGCTGTCTGGGGGCATCCATTGCATTGTCTGTCATATCCTACCTTTTTCTTCTATATCCTTCGTCTCTTCGTTTGTCATGCTTCGTCTTCTAGTCGTACACGTCATCCCGTAATCATCAGGTATGCTCTTTGGAAACCCTTGATAGTCAAAGCCCCTCATCTGTTTATCATTCGTCCTCCCTCGACACGGTAGAAAAAAGCATCCTCTTCACACACCATCCCTACCCAACCAGCCCAGACTAGGCCCCCTGAACACCTTTGAACCCGCAACCTTCCAACCCCAAGTTCCCATTCCGCCCTTACCCGATGGCACAACCCACTCCCCCAATCCATGAAAATTGACTTCATCCATACTCGTCTTGTCCCACTGGGAAAAGTCCTCTAGATCCTGGACTCCCTCCTTCAAACTTCTGAGTTCAGGAAACGAAGCTTCCCAAGCTTCCACTTCGGCAATGCGAGCAGCGTCTGCGGTGGCGTAACCAGCTTCTGTGAAGAGAATGGGGTTGGAGAGGTGAGAAGAATGTAGAGAGCTGATGATATGACGGCGGAGGGAGAGGTGGATGGGTCCTTGAATTGTTATAAACGATATAGGAGGAGAGCGGTTTGCAAACATGTTTATCAAAGCTGGTATGATGGCTTTCTCGTAAACGTGCACGGATGTCTTGTAGGCAGGCACTTTTTTGGTGATGAAGTGGTTTTTGTTGGATTTGATGGGTGTGTCAAGGGAGCGTGGAGCAATGTAATTGGAATTGGCTCTGGAATTCATGCTTGAGCGAGTGAACTTTGGTAGCATGGATGGGTCTGGTTCGTAGATGTCGGGAGGAGGGTCTGAGAAGTGAAGACCCAGTTCACGTTCCACGCCTTTGCCCTTGCCCTTGAGAGGAATGACTTCTTCATAGGTGTGGAGTTGGGGCTTGATGCAGTTGTTGCGAGTGAAGATTGTGTTGCCTGTGATGTGAATGACGAGATGGGTGACTTTTTGTGACAGAGGTGCGAAGGTGGCAAGAAACAGACACCTTGTAGCCGAGTAAGAAGTCAGTAAGAAGGAACACGCGCCAGAAAATCACAAAGCATCTTACCAGCTATCGTCTTCCCAATCGCCAAAGTCCGACGAGTCAATGTTGATCTTGAGGTGTGTGGTTTTGGAAAAGTCCTCTGCGGCGCCAGTGTCGATCATGGTCATGAAATACCAGAGATCTTCCATGGATAGCTCGAGTTGCTTTTCTTCCTCATCAGAGTCTGACTGCGCGTTCGGCCCCATGTTGTTGACGCGCTTGAAGAATGGTGTTGGTAGGGGAGGTGGCGGTGGTGGCGGTGGTGAATGAGATGGCGGTATCGTTGAGCCTGAGCGGTCACTGAAGGTCGAACTTGAGCATCTCTTCTCCTTGCGCGCGTTGTGGCAAGTCTTGTAACGAGCCATTTTGAGTTGTGACTTGTGAAGTAAAGTTGGCGTGCAACCGACCTGATTGCTAGCAAATGTGATACAATGTAAGGAAGGATTTTGTTCTTGAATATTCTCCGGCGCTTTGAATTTCAGGGGACTTTGGAAGACGAATGCTTAGACCATTGCGGGTAGTCAGATAGTGTTGGCTTATCGTGCTCAGTGTTTCCTTTCGTACGCCCTCCACCAGAGAGCCATATTGGCTGCTACTATCAAATCCAACATCTTGACACCTTCGTCCTCGATTATTAGCTTCCCAAGCTTGGCCTGCTTGCCACCAAAACCTCCTCCAGCACGTTCCTGTCCAAGAGAGAGATCAATATTACCGTGTTCGTCGAGGAACTTTGCCATACCAGGGATGATAGGGCCATCAGTAAGCTCATCAGACGTCGTGTGTCTATGTATGCCTGGCCTTGATGTTATAGAGGATCGTTTTAGTCCAGAATCAGCGGACACCCCACCCTTAGAATTACCCGTCGGAAGGTTGAATCGCAGTTCGCTGACTTCGGTCACAGCACTTGACGGATTCTCTAAAACGTGCTTGCACTGCAAAACATTAGTGAACATAGTCAACCTAGCATCATGCATTTGTACACACCTTCAGGGACCTGCCAGCTGCACCAGTGGCAAACTCGCACTTTCCGCCCCAAGGACTTCGGAACGTGTAGCCTTTGCTCCTTCGATCGATCAAAGCTTTGGGTGCAGCCTGCAAGCTTTGTCGATTGAGCTGCACAGAAGGACGTTGACTTTGTTGCTCGCCTGTCCACGATGGTGTCTTACGGTGTCCGTATGAGTGATCGCCAAATCTTGATCCATCCATGTATAGCCTCCGACGGAATGTGCTATCGTGATCTGAAGCCGAAGCCGAATGTGATGGGAACGTGGTCATGTCAGTACTGCCTCTGGAGACAGGTCTTGCATGATCGAATTGAAGGAATTTGGAGTATCCAGGATTGAAAATCTCGAGGAACAGAGGGGCTCCTGCCTTTTTCGTCTTGACCGAGCCATCGCCACCTAGAACAGAAGAAACCTCGTGGACAGGTGGGTCACGAATCTTTGCCACGTTCCATTGGAAACCGGATGATGGATCTCGACGAATCAATGTTAGGGATACGCATCGTTCATCCTCTTCGGGTGTAAAATGTCCCTCGTAGGAGGATCGACTAGCACCTCCCGTAGCATAAGAGGCTCGAGTGTCCAATGAAGGCCGACCTGAAACAACATTAGGGTCCAAGAACTGATTGCTGAGCGGCCGCCTGGAGAAGGATGGTCTGCCATCAGAACGTTCATGTATTGTAAATTGGCTACTTTGACTGGGTAGACTTTTGAGAGATGGTCGCGCCGGGATGTCTGGGAGATCCAGACTTTGGCGAACTGGCTTTCGCTGAGGGACTCCAAGTTGCTGTTTAGTATCGAATGCTGTACTTCTCTGTCGTGGAGATTCGCTGCCTGGAGAGGTTGGGGGCGTCGGTAGTGGTTTTCTGCTGATGGTCGAAAGACCAGGAACATCCTGGACAGGAATCTCCTCTGGCAGTTCCACGAGGTCGTCTTCCGGAATATCGATGTGTAAAAAGTACAGAGAGCTTTGTACGTCCTCGGCACTGACTACCTTTTCTCGTGGCTTGAGAGGAGTCAAGAAAACATCTAATTGTTTGTCAGAATTGTTCATCTTATTATGATCTGCTAGACATTCTCACCCTTACTGCCCGGGACTCTGACAATATAAAGAGTCAATGGCGCATGTGGGAGCTGGGTTGGGTTTCTCGGGTACAGCGGAGGGTCAGAGGCAAGTGTGGTAAGAAGACCCAAAGACCTTGCTTCGATTGCAGCTGCCATGTTCACGACAGAGAATATACAGGTACGAGCCGTGAAATACTGAGAAACCACGACCAGGCAAAGTTGGTGTGATATCAATCTTGTAGCGATTCAGGCAGGCACTTAGCGGCAAGCGGTTGCTGTCGTAAGGATGTGGCTGAGCCAGGCGGCGAGAAGATAAAGTTAAGTTAGAAGAGTAAAAAGAGCAAACTGGCTAACCAGTCGTCCTTTGATGGGTCTCATGAAGTACTATCAGGAGAAATTTAATGGGGTGGCAGGCATCGCAGAAGGCTGGCTATGTTTACATGGTGTAGGTGCTTGCACCCGAAAATGCCGAGAGTCAGTCTCCGCTGACAGGACAACGAGCTCGCCAACCTCGATGGGGCCACGATGCTTTGCACAATCGATGCAGGTCGTATGATTAGTAGGTAGTATGGCTGCTTGGATGCATCAATCTCGACCAGGATGCAGGAGACATGGAGTGCCAATATTTGACTTGCAACGGTGATGGAGACGAGTGCACAACTGGGTAGCACAAAAGTGCTTGCATAAAAGTGGTCCATGCTTTATCATGCGGGCATCATCGACGCCTTCGAGCGTCAAGCTGTAGTAATCGTCTACATACCGTTTTCGACACCTTCTATCACACCCCAGCTCGCCTTAATCGTCGCAATCATGTCGGACCCCCGGGATATGTGGAAGAACCTACAGAAGGGCCTGGAGCAGGCTCAGAGGTCAAGGTGCGCAAACACGTCCTTCTGTCAAAGAACAGGACCATGAACAGGAACAAGAGCTGAGACGAGGCAAATTTACAGATTCGGAGGAGCCGGAGGCCCTACACCCAACCCTAGAGGCGCACTCGGTGGTATCGCCGTCATCGCCCTCGGTCTCGGAGGTGTCTACCTTTTCAACAACGCCCTCTTCAACGTCGATGGTGGTTGCCGCGCCGTCAAGTACAGCCGTGTCGGTGGTGTCAAGGGCGACATCTACCCCGAAGGAACCCACTTGAAGATTCCCTGGGTCGAGACGCCTATCGTATACGATGTCCGCGCGAAGCCTCGCAATGTTGCCTCCCTTACCGGTACCAAGGACTTGCAGATGGTCAACATTACCTGCCGTGTCCTGTCCAGACCCCGTGTCGATGCCCTTCCTCAGATCTACCGTACTCTCGGCACCGACTACGATGAGCGCGTCCTTCCCAGTATCGTCAATGAGGTCCTCAAGAGTGTTGTTGCCCAGTTCAACGCCTCCCAGTTGATCACCCAAAGAGAGAACGTCTCGAGACTCGTCCGTGACCACCTCGTCCGCCGTGCCGCCAGATTCAACATTATGCTCGATGATGTTTCATTAACAGTATGTTCTTGAAAACCTAGCTCTTGAACCGGCAGCTAACACAATCTCCAGCACCTCGCCTTCTCGCCCGAATTCACCGCCGCAGTCGAAGCCAAGCAGGTCGCACAACAAGAAGCACAGCGTGCCGCCTTCGTTGTCGACAAGGCCCGCCAGGAGAAGCAAGCCATGATCGTCCGCGCTCAGGGTGAGGCCCGTTCCGCCGAGCTGATTGGTGATGCCATCAAGAAGAGCCGCAGTTACATTGAGCTCCGCGAGTTCGAGAACGCCAGAAACGTCGCCTCCATCTTGGAGAAGAGCAACAACAAGGTCTACCTCGACACCGCAGGTCTTGGTCTCAACGTCAACGCTCTCGGCAACGACAGATCCCTCAACAAGTAGGATGTTGCTCTTTAGCATCCCTAAAACTCACAGGTCTTGTTTTTTCTCTTCTCTCTTGTTCAAAAAACCACGAAATTCCCCTCGGCATGGTTAGCGTAAGATACTCGATGGCGTTTTATGGCTGGCTGCTTCAAATGTGTATAAAATAAGAATTCGAACTACCCCCCCTTCTTCTACTCGTTTTGGGACAGTGTATTGTATATATGGCTGATCTCCAAATGAAGTACACATTTTCCCATGTCGGTCATTTCTGCAAACAGGCAGCAACTGACAGATTCTGTATTCTCCATCTACCATGCTTACATGCCACCCCTTCCTTGGGTCACGCGATCAAGGTTGAACGCAGCACTGACCAAAGCCAGGTGCGAGAACGCCTGAGGCGTATTACCCAACTGCTCTCCACTCCTCGCAATCTCCTCTGAAAACATATTCAAATGATTCGAGAAACTCAGCATGTTCTCAAAGATGTTGATCGCCTTGATCAAGTACTTTTTATCGTAAGCTCCAGCTCTTGTAAGCGCCTCCACCAACCAAAAAGTACACATGCTGAAAGCACCTTCTCTACCTCCTACTCCATCGTCGGATTTCATGGTGTTGTAGCGGTAGACCAGACCAGTAGAAGTAAGTCCTCCTTTCTCAGGTGCTAGAAGGATTTGCTCGAGAGTGTTTGTGAAGCGAGGATCATTAGGCGCTATGAAGAAAACCAACGGTGCTATCAAGACAGCAGAATCCAAGACTTCATTACTTTCGTAGCTTTGAATGAAGCATTTCATATCTTTGTTGTAGCCCTTCTCCATCACGTCGTCGTAGATGAGGTCGCGGGTTTCTAGCCATTTCATTCTGTTTGGGCAAGGGAAACAGCGTTTATCTGCCAGTCGCAAGGCACGGTCGATGGCTACCCAGAGCATTATCTTGGAGTAAGTGTAGTTCATGGGTGCGGAGCGGACTTCCCAGATCGACATGTCTGTCTCCTTCCATATACCACAGACGTAATCCGTAAGCTTTCTCACAGCGACCCAGAGGTCGTAGCTCACAGGCTTTCCATACTTGTTGTAAAGGTAGATGGAATCCATCATTTCTCCGTAAATGTCGAGTTGTTTGTGGAAGGCTGCGCCGTTGCCGATGCGGACGGGTCTACTGTTCTGGTGACCAGAGAGGTGGGAGAGTTCGATTTCGGGCAGGTCCGTACTGCCGCGGATGGAGAACATAATCGGGAGGCCGCCGTCGGGCTTGGGCGAGTCGATTAGACGAGCGCTAAGGAAATTCATGTAGGCTTCTGCCTCTTCTGTGAAGCCCATTCGGAGGAGGATATAGGTTGTAAAGGACGAATCTCTGACCCAGGAGAATCTGTTTACAAGGTTTAGTGGACAGACATTTGCGAAGCAGGCAAGACTAAATCACCTGTAATCCCAGTTTCTACCACCTCCAAAATCCTCTGGCAACGAGAAAGTAGGTGCTGCAACGATGGCTCCAGTGGGCTCGAATGTGAGCATTTTGAGGATCATCAGACTTCTGCTGACGACCTCTCTCCAGCGTCCCTTGTACTTTGACTTTGAGATCCAGTTGAACCAGTACACCGACGTATCTTGTTGGATCTGATCAAGCAGTGCTGTAGAGATTGATTTCTTATCGTCTTCTTCGAGATTCCTGAGTACGAACGAAACCGATTGACCTTCTTTGAGATTGATCGTGGCAGTCACACCATCACCGAGAGACGAACCGTCAACATGCTTCTTCGAAAAGGAAAGTTCGGGACACGAGGAGTCGTCGCCACAGTCAATCGTGGCCACTAGTTCTAAGGACAAGCTCTCAGAGCGAAAGTGTACTACTCGCTGAGCCTCGTTGTCGGCCTTCACAATCTCGGTAGTGTGGGAGTCTTGAGCATAGTTGAAAGCAGGGAACAACTCGATGTTAACGTCGGTGGCACCTCTGATACACTCAACCCTGCGGACCAACCACTTTTTGAGTTCGTTACGGGGATCGATCGTAGCGCCTCGTCCAACAGTAGGGTCTAGTTTCTCAGCCTTCAGAGGCCTGGGAAAGAAGTCGGTGAGGGTCAGGACGCCATCATCATGTAGGTATCTGGTTTGGAGGATGTTGTTGCTAGGCAGGTATTGCTGTTTGGTCGTGATCTTCAAACCCGAAGGCGGACTGATTGTGAAATGGCCACCCTTGTCCTTGTCCAACATACGACAGAATACAGATGGCGAGTCAAAGTCTGGCCTATAGAGGTGTCAACTAATCATGCTGTGCAACAAAGTCACCCTCTGCAGCATTACCAGCACATCATATCAATTCCACCATCAATTGCCTTTGATAGTCAGTGTTTGCAGCTGTGAATTGGTTCTATGAGACATACCACAAGAGCACTGGTATGCATGTTGCCTGAGATTGTGAATATAGAAGTCCGTGATCTTGGGATCAGTGTCGGTCACGAACCTATCAACCCATACTGCTCGATCTAAATCATGTGAGCAGATGTGCCCTACCGATAGCACACATGGCCAACACTCACTGGCATATAGCCTGTCCTCTGGCGAAGACCGGTAGGATCAGAAATATGTTCAGCCATTGTGTACGAAAGGATGGCAGCCAGAAGCTGTCGATATATAGCTGGTCGCGTCCCTTGCTTGCGGTGGTTGTACGTGTGGCAGTCTGGGGTAAGAGACGAACAGCGAAGGAGTTTTACCTTGTATCAGCTTACAAAGAGCAATGTCACTGGTCGTTAGTGGCATCCATGTCCTTCCGCTATCGATCACCGGCTTGGAACGTCACACGGCAATGGATTACCCGGGACGGTTGAAGATGAATTCCAGATGCGATTTATGCATTGGCGAATGTTATTGAGAGCACTATCATAGAGACATTAACTTTCGAGCGTCGGTTTACATTTGCATGACCAATCATTGCCCTCGATTTCCGCATCTCTATCACGCATAGGTATGCAAGCAGGTTTGACGAGCAGGAGCTAGGAGGCTGACATAGCTCCTAGTCCTTGCCGGCATCTTCGGAGGTCGCGACTTGACGCCAATCGCGAAAGCAGCGGGCCGAGCCGTGTCATATCGCGAACTCCAGCATCGAACAAAGTTACGTAGCAAACCATCTCGCAGGCAAAGATCAATACTTGTGACTGAGACTATCTGGATCCATTCATACAGCGCTAAGGGCACAAACACACGCCGCGTAAACCCTCAAACCGACTCGGTTCATGCCATGCCAATTGCGCCTACCGCGTCCGTGTGACCGCCGACACGTCCAACGGGGCATCTTTCGCTATGCCGTAACATACAGATCTCAGCAATTGCGCCATGCGTCGCAGAAGCCTGATCTAGACGCTGTACGACGGGCTGCTCTGAGGCGTCTCGATGAACACATCAAACCGGACGACCTGTCGGCCACACTCGAAGCACATCGTGAATCGAACCGCGCCTCGATAATCAAGAAGGTCCCCACCCGCGGGTCCGATCCTGACATGATACGACCATCCTACATAGAGCGTCTCCCATATACAAGGAAAGTTTCCCATGAGAAGGAGAAGGAGGAGCGCACGGATATGTCTACCTTGGCACAGTTCAAGAGGGTCGTTAGAGAGGCCGCCACAAAACAGGTCGACGATCTAGATACACTCGAGTTGCAGCGCATAGAAGCAGCCCTAGAATATGGCCCTTCTCTCCGAGAGCTAGAGAGACAGCGGCAGAACAACGAAGAGCTTCATCTCCGTCGAGTCGACTTTCTTCGCAAACATGAGGAGCCTTTTGAGAAACCGCCGCGATACGATATTACCGACCGCACCACCTTCTTCGCTGTGATTCGCAGATCCGCACAGCTGGTTCAAGCAGAGCAAAAGAAGTACTCCACTCTCCATTTTCTCGAGGCCTTCGCAAGTCGATCTTTGTTGGCTTATTACGGCGTCCCACAACCAATCATTCCTACACTCAAGGGCTATGCGCACCCAGAACCATGGAATCGCCGGCCACAAACAAAGACCTTCACAAATGAACATTGGGCTGACCTCGAGATACGCTTATTCGCCGAATGGATGGAACCAACACTTTCAGAAAAAGCTGCGAGGAGAAAGGTGGCACGAACATTGGTCGACCTCGTCAAGCAAACGAATCCAGCACTCATAGCTACACCATTTGGCTCGCAAGCGACCGGTCTCACAATGCCAAGCTCCGACATCGATATACGTGTTGCAGATCCGACCTACAAACAGGAACCTGACGACACGACACGCGTTACAAGGGACGCACTTGCAAAAATGACCGTGGCAGAGAGACAGGAGCTCAGGCAGGCTTCGCACCTGATACGAACGACCGCAAAGAGGAAGCACATGGTTCTTCAGCTTCGGAAGCTTCAAACCGCCTTGGCCGACCATGAGGACTTTGACAACGTTCAATTCTTGGAAGCACGCGTGCCTCTGATCAAAGCTATCCACAAGCCCACCGGGCTCAAGGTTCAAATGGTCTCTACAAGCTCCACCCACAGATCTCAAGAGGCGATTAAAAACTACCTTGCCGAGTTTCCGCATTTGAAAGCATTGTTCATGCTTCTCAAGACTGCATTGAACCTTCGCAATATGTCTGATCCCTGGAACGGTGGCTTCGGATCGTACACACTATTCATGATGTGTGTGGCAGCCTTGAGGTACGCTGCGATCAAACGAGTCCAAGGCTACGACGGACGCGGCAGAATATCAGACAATCTCATACAGATCCTGTCCTTCTGGAGTGAATTCAAGACAAATACCAAGGCCATTACCCTCGAACCCACCAAAATAGTCCCAAAGAGGGTAAAGCCGAGCCCAGAGGAAATCGAGGCTCGGAAAACAGACATGGTATGCAAAGAGCCCAACTCCCCACACGAGGCAAAAAACACAAAACTAACACTTCTCCTCCCCTTCCCAGTCCTTATGGGCACGTCTCCGTATAGCCCAACCAAACGCCTACAGACCCTACATGCTCCACCTCCAAGATCCAGCAGACCCCTACAACGACCTCGGCCGCTCCAGTCTAGCTATCAAGGATCTTCAAAAGACGTTTGCCCAACTCTTGGCCGAGTTGACTCGAGACTGGAAGGACCCGAAACGCAGAGATGACGCTGCTCCGTTGCTGAAGTCGGTGGTGGGCAGATGTGATAGGTATTTTGACGAGATGAGGATTCCAGTCGATCTTTGGGGTGAGCAGTTTGTAGAGGAGATGCAAGCCGCAGAGGCTGAGGAGGCTGAGGCTGAGCAGCTCAAGGCGGAGAGTGCTGAGGCTGAGCGCCAGAGGGCTGAGAGTGCTGTCGAAGACGGTGAGACTGAGGAGAGTACCGTCGGAGAGAGTGGTGCCGTTGGAGAGAGTGGTGCCGTTGGAGAGAGCGGTGTCGAAGAGACTAGTCCTCAAGAGAGTGCCCTTAGAATCAGTAAAGTGCCCTGGAAGCGGAGGTCATAGAGCACGAGGAAAAGGATTTCTTCCCAGATCTTCTGAGAGTCGACAAGCGCTTCTAGAAAAAGTTGCAAGAAATTCAAAATGTATACACATACCAACGACGAAGAACAAGAAGCATACAGGAAGGTGTTCGTTATCATGTTGGGGTTTCCATATGTGGTGTTTTACCAGTCTATCTGACTCTCTGAAAGTGAACCGATGCGCCATGGCACTCCATCGTTTCTGGCAGTAAAAAAGCAAGGCTAAGCCGAGTTGTGCATGCGCGTCGAAGCAATGGGTCTTCGCATTTGCCTGTGAGCGAGCGGTGGCAAGCAGACGCCCTCTTCATCGGTAGAGCAACGGCTGATTGTCACCACCGCCTCGACTCGACAACAAAACAAGCCCAAATCCATCCCCAGAATCCATTCCGTCATGAGATAATGCCCCTGCACGCTGCAAGTAAAACAGAATAACCCTTGATACACTCAATCGGCCATTGGTCGCGCCCTGTGACGGGCTTCGCTGCTAGACTTTTAGATGGCGTACTTTCTTGTCCACTCTCTGGCTGTAGCCTCGTAACGCGAGCGGTCAGTCTTGTAGACATGTGCGATCTCAGGAACGAGCGGGTCGTCAGGGTTGGGGTCGGTCAACATGGAGCAGATGGAAAGCAGGACTGCGGGGTTGCGTTAGTAACGGTCAAAAGTGTAAAAGGTTGTTGCTATCTATCGCTTTGTGGCAGATAAGACAGGCACTCGGTCGCTCACCTTTTGAGATGGTCAGAGCAGGGCTCCATTGGTCTCTCAGAATGTCCAGACAGATACTGCCGTTACTGTTGATGTTGGGGTGGTAGATGCGGGTGGTGAAGTTGACCTTGGGGGGCTTGAAGGGGTAGTCTGTGGGGAAGTGGATGGCGAGGAAGAAGACACCGCCCGAGTAAGGAGAGTCGCCCTGGAGGACTGTCAGTCATGTTGTCGCTCTGTTTGTCGTACAAGTGGCGAAGGTGTTGTTGCTTCACCACCGCCGATAGCTTGACTAGGGGATTCAAGACTTACGGGACCCATGATGGTGGCTTGCCAGTGGAACTGGAGGCAAAGGGAGTCAGAGAGAGATCTATTTGGACAGAATCGAGTGGCCACGAGGCAGGCGCTCAATTTTGAGGCGGAGTTTTCAGCGACGTACCAGGTCATCTCCGATGGGACCAGCAGAGCAGGATGAGGGAGGGTCGCTACATGTCTATTAGTGTCTGTCCGAGCGATATGGATATCTGTCGAGGCACTCGATGGACCATCATCAAGGTGGGGGAGGGGAAGGACAGAGGGGCGCCTTCACGTACCGGCCGAGATCGGTCAACTCCTTGTTAATTCTCTTAAGCGCCATATCGAGAGCGGGTTGTGTGTGGAAGGGGGAAACAGTCGATCAACGCAGAGTCCGATGTGGTTGCGTTGGTGGTTGTAGGGTGGTATGCGGAGCGAGGATGTCGTCGCAGATGTGTGAAAAGGATGACACTGGGAAGAAGACGGTTAGATTGGCCCTTAGCACCGCTTCCGATGCGTCATGCCGACTTACACCGACGCCGCTGCAACACAACAAAGACGGCCTGTTTCCTGATCCAAGTCTTTCAGCTACTTTTACTGTCGCTTCACTTGTCTTGTGATCGTTATCAACTTGAAATTCACTGCGGAGATATATCTACGGGTTTCATCAGTGTTATGTGAGTGCTTCACAGCAGACGCCCAGCCGTCACGCGCCCAGCAAATTGTCGCTCGCACTTGCCTCGCCCTTCTCGGCTTGCAGCCCAATGCACCGACTGGTTCAACTCCTCCTTCTTTCATGCGTCAAGACACACGCTCGGTGCATGCATATATACATAGGACATCCATAACACGCCACTCAAGGAAGATTACGATTCACGGCATCACGCGTTCTCTAACAGCAATCATCTCGAAACGGATGCTTCCCCCAAATAGGCTTCGTACTTTTGTACACTGATTGTTTTGTGCTCGGTTTCGGCTATCTTACACAACATGGATGGATCCTGCCTGTCAACGAAACCTGGCGCCTGACTATCCACTATTTTCATCCACTTAACAGAAAGCTTGAAGACCGGTGATTGCGCGTCCAAGAATGAGAGCTGAACCTGAATTAGCGCGGCGCTGCGGAGCTGAATATTTCTCCTGAACTTACCGTGAATATCACTTTGGCCCTCATACGTCTGGGTGACAAACAAGTTGGCCACATGTCTTCCGATGTGGTACTCGTCGCTGACGGCGTTTCCTCCGAAGACTTCCTGCAGACTGTTCAAAAATTAGTGCTCGCTCAAGTCTCGACGGTTTCCTCCGCCACTCACATTCGTGCGTTTACCAACGCTCTATCACAGTTTTGTCTCTTAATCATTGAAATCATCTCAGGCGCGGCCTTGCCTTCGTCCTTCAGGCGACCGACTTGCACTGCTGCCAGAATGCCAAAGGCCGCGTCTGTGGTTGCATCGGCAAGCTTCTTCTGCACGAGCTGGTACTTGGCGATGGGGTTGTTCTTGAACTGCTTTCTCTCCAAGGCATACTGTCTTGTTCTTGCGATGCAGTCCTCAAGAGCGCCCATGGTACCCCAAGCGATACCATAACGGGCACCATTGAGACAGCTGAAAGGTCCTCTCAAACCCTCGATCTCCGGGAACATGTTGGCTTCAGGTACGGGGCACTCATCCAACTGGATCATACCAGTGAGAGAAGCTCTCAGACCATTCTTGTGCTTGAGTGCGGGGGTCTCCAGTGTTCCTGGTGGACATTCTGATCTCTCAACCAAGAAACCACGGATCTTACCAGTCTCTTGCAGCTTGGCCCATACTAGCATGACGTCTGAGATTGGCGAGTTTGTGATCCAGGTCTTCGCTCCGCTCAGGCTGAAGTATCCCTTTTTGGTCGGGTGAGGCTTGGCCACGGTCTCCATGCTGCCAGGATCACTGCCGTGGTTCGGCTCAGTTAGACCGAAGCAACCAAGCATCTTTCCCTTTGCCAGCTGAGGAAGGAACTTATCCTTCTGCTCCTGAGAGCCGAACTCGTCGATACCACCCATGATCAACGAAGACTGGACAGACATGCCCGAACGGTATCCAGAGTCGACTCTCTCGACAGCACGGGTAATGAGTCCTGATGCGACCGAGGAGACACCAGCACATCCGTAGCCTTCAATTGTAGCACCCAGTAAACCCAGTTCTCCCATCTCTTCAAGGATCTTGCGGTCGTAGTCTTCGTTCCTGTATGCGTCTGCTCTAGTCAGTAACTGTACCAGACCATCGTCATAGTGTAGACTCACCGAGCACGCGAGGAAGCATGCGCTCTTGACAGTAAGACTCGGCAGTTTCTGAGATGGCCAACTCCTCCTCGGTGAACAAGTTGCTGGCACCTAGCGGATCCTTCCAATCGAATGCCACAGGGGTATGCACATAGCGACGAGTGACTGGGGCGGCAGAGCCTCTTGAGCCCAATTGTCTGGCTGTTTGACGGGCGACTGACTTAAACATGATGTGTGGAGGGTATGCGGAGAAGGGAAAAGTGGAGTGGAGCAGCGAGAGAGAGAGAGTAGAGAATTGACTATATAACAACACAAAGCATGCAAGAGAACGGCGGCAAAAGAGATGCGTGTTGTATCGGAAAGTCGGCTACGCCCCGCTGTATGTAGGTTTGATATGCCGAGGCTGGAAGTCGACGTCCGATATCGAGGGTCTATCATGTCACAGGGTCTCCTTCACGAGATATGCTCGCGAGATGCTAGGTAGGTCACTTGCGAATGACAAGGTGGCTCTTCCATGGTACAGGGGGCAAGTCAGGAAACAAATGCGCGATGCAATAGGTTGACAAGTAGTTGCTGTCCCAATCGGGAATTAATTGATTGCGTCACCGAGTTGCAGTTTCCCCAGACGCGAGCGCGTCAGCCTCACGCTTCTTGCTGCGACGCTTCTTTCTGCTTTCGACTGCCTGCAAAAGTCGTCCAATCGTCAATTCATAACTCGACAGCAACAGCTGATCATACAACCCTCACTGAAATAAGAAAGCTTCCAAGATGGGTATCAAACGTGAGCATAACCACCCAACATAGTCTGGCTGAACCGCAGAGCTGACATGTTAATTCTACTCAGATCTGTTCCAAGTCATCGACGAGCACTGTCCGGATGCCGTCAAGACTGGAGAAATCAAGAACCAGTTTGGTCGCAAAGTTGCCATCGATGCCTCCATGTCACTGTACTCATTCCTCATCGCCGTCCGCTCTGAGGGTCAACAATTGATGAACGAATCTGGAGAAACAACATCACATCTCATGGGAATGTTCTATCGCACGCTGCGCATGGTTGACAACGGCATCAAGCCTCTCTACGTCTTCGACGGTGCTCCACCAAAGCTCAAGTCGGGTGAACTCGCCAAACGTTTCCAGCGCAAGACCGAAGCCGAAGAGGCACACGAAGAGGCCAAAGAGACGGGTACTGCTGAGGACATGGAGAAGTTCAGTCGCCGTACTGTCCGCGTCACGAGAGAGCACAACGCTGAAGCTCAACGGCTGCTCAAGCTCATGGGCATCCCGTACATCATTGCTCCTACCGAGGCCGAAGCTCAGTGTGCTGCCCTTGCTCGCGCGGGAAAAGTCTATGCTGCTGCTAGTGAGGATATGGATACCTTGACCTTCAACGCTCCCGTGCTCCTTCGCAAACTCACATTCAGCGAGCAGCGCAAGGAACCTATCCAAGAAATTCACCTGGACAAAGTCTTGGAAGGTCTAGACATGACCATGGACCAGGTAAGATGACAGCAGCTTGGACCTGAAGGGCTTGTGCTGACCGCTTTCACAGTTCATCGACATGTGCATCTTGCTCGGCTGCGATTACGTCGATCCCGTCAAGGGCATCGGCCCAAAGGTCGCCTACACCATGATCAAGGAACACAAAAGTCTCGAGGCTGTCGTCGATATGCTCGAAAACAACAAGAAGTACACCATTCCCGAGGATTGGCCATGGGCTGAAGCCAAGATTCTCTTCAAAGAACCCGACGTTCGCTCAGCCGAAGACCCTGAATGCGACTTTGAGTGGAAAGCCCCAGATGTCGAGGGTCTTGTCAAATTCCTGGTCGAGGAAAAGGGCTTCAGCGAAGACAGAGTCAAGAGTGGAGCAGCTCGTCTCACCAAGAGTCTCAAGAGCGCACAGCAAAGCAGACTGGAGGGCTTCTTCAAGCCAGTTGCCAAAACTCCCGAAGAGCAAGCGAGCTTGAAGCGCAAGAACGAGGCCAAGCAAGAGGAGAAGAAAAAGAAGCAGAAGCAGGCAGCCAAGGAGAAGAAGGATGCTAAGGCCAAGCCCAGAGGCACCGCCTAGATATTTCATTTGAAAACGCCAAAGTGGCACTGCTGCAAGGAGAGGAGTTTTGATGGCGTTTGCTGATATGGGAATACCCGCCAGGAGGATCAAGTATGTGATTTGTTGAACGGCGTATCAAGGATCGAATGGCTCGAATGGCTAGAATGGCAACAAACATGACATATCAAGCTTTCTTAATGCTCACACGAATACCAAAAACGGCTACTGCATGTTTCCGCCATATAAATCTCCTTCGCGCCACTCTGTTCATTGTATATCAAACAACGATAGTACCACTAAGCTATAAGATCTTCTCCATGGCTTCGATCAATCCCGACTGTGATCTGATAGTGTGTAAAGTCTTCGCTTCTCCACACGTCGTGGTGAGCTTCCAAGCGCTCACAACGAGGGACGCCGAGCGAAATGAGTTTCTGATGCTATTACTTCTCCGAGTCAAATTAGTCAAAATTCTTCTTGAAGCGGTGATATACAAGAGTGGATATCTCATGGTATTTATCAAACACAATGGAAGTAGACGTATCCAAACCACAATGTTGCTGTCGACTTCGAAAGGGTTGGGTCAGGGTTGTGCTGTTAGCCAAACATCCTTGGGAGAGAAAAGTAGATATGTTAGTTGCTGCAACCTACCTCGATAGTATGAGAGCTTAGTATTCTTCGATTTGGAGCGTTAGAAATTATCTGTTCTTTATACAGAGTAGTCTAGCTTGGGTTAACCTGAAGGTAACGTCAAATAGTAAGTTAAGAATGTTGATTTTCATGGGTTGCAAGACTGTCGACACCCGTCTCTCTGGTCTCTGGTCGAGATGACAGATGGGAGCATGATCAAGTCTGACGAGCTATATTTATCGAAAGTGTATTGAGAATCAGATCGTGGAGGATACTGTCCTATACCATCTGTTCCCAGGTAGGCCACCAATCGATGTTGACCTTATCCCAATCCAAATGCACCGGAGCAGGACATCCACACTCCTCAGCTTCATTCCGCCACCACTGCCGCACCGCTGCCTTCCATGTTGTAACGTCAATTTTTTTTTTACATCCAAGTGTATTGATGTCTTCCCGATTCCGGTCTCAGATACACCACTCGGTCAAGTTGATGGACCAGTCTTCGTCGAGGTCCCAACCACTGCTAGGTTCGAGATCTGCAGTACCCAGTTGCACTTGCAGTTCGCGATCCATATTCCAGGTCATGAAGTTGTATATGCTTCTGACAAAGGCTGTGGCGGGGATAGACATCTCGGACATCATCTCCAGCATACGCGTTTCGTGGAGAGGTGAAGAGTGTGATTCGGCGCACACCCATATGAGAAGGTATGCCTGTGCGATCTCGGACCGGTCGATTACGATGTTTTCATGACTAATGTGACAGCTATTTGCTTTGGTAGTCCACAACGCCGTTGCCGTTTTTGCAAACAACAAGGCTGCGGTTGCTGTCCATGACAAAGCGCGTAGACTACACATCACAGGTGGACATGGAGCTGAAGCATATTTGAGGTATCGATAAACGGCTACTTCCTTGTGGAAGTGATGGTCTTCATCTTTTGCTGCGCAGTCACAAATATGGGTTGGGGGGGCTGGCAATCTTAGAGATGGTATCAACTAGAGCTTTGGCTGCGGACAGCAATTTGTCATGCTCGCAGACTGCTGGTACTGTAGTGGAGGCATTGTTGATGAAGAGGGATCGCATATCATGACTAGTTGCAGATAGCGCTAACAGCCCTGCGATGGTCGTCAAATTCTTGAATATGCTTAGCATCAGCTCGTTAGGGAACCTTAGCAGAGATGTCATTATCGATTCGAATCAAGCTGAGCAGTTAGGGAAGGAAGAGGAGGAAATCCATGTGGAAGGGCTGTATGCTATGCAATAAAGTGCAGAGTTGGGTGCCAACAGTTCTTGGAATGACTGTTGCGAAACACCGCCTAAGATCAGAGCTGCAGGTAATAATAGACCATGACTCAATGCTCACTCAGGTGTGCGAGTTGCCACCTTTGATTTCGTTGATCAAGCAGCGCTAACCCACGTGGGCAGAAATCTACGGTATTATTTGCAGTAGATGTTGGTAGCGGAATCAGGACGTGAGGTTGGACCCTCCATCTTGGCGGCAGGGAGGCCCCAACATCGGTTGGACCTCTTCTAATGTCGCAACTCATGGCTTTCCGTAAGGAGATGGTAAAGATACGTGTTTCGGATGTTCGTGATAGATTTCGAAGTCTATTGGCATCTATAAGGGGTTTCCCTATTCAACACGGTTATGTAAGAATCGCTAACTACTACAAGCTTCAACTGACAGACAACGCTAATCTTGACATCGACAAAGACAAGAACATACAGCGCGGAAAGTTCGAAAAGGAAGGGTATACTGAATCTACAAGTACTTCTTGGGGGCATTTGCCCTGCGTCTTTTGTAAACAATGTAGGCGCCGGCGAGCATGACTTGGAAGGCGATGACAACAAAGATGAACATGCCCATCTTTGGAGCGGCAGTGGAGATCACTGGTAAGAATGTTAGCATTGTGTAGACGATAGTAGTCATCCGGGTCAACTTACTGTGAGCGATAGTCTCGGGAAGATGCTCAGTCAGACCTCCACGAACACCCTCGATGGACTGCTGTAGGTTTGTCAGGTGCTCGCGGTAGTCTTTGCCTTCGACATCACGCTGAACAGCGAGAACAATACGCTCAATATTCTCGACGCGACGACTCAGTGGAAGGAGAGCATCACTAGTAAATTGTTGCTGGGGCTTATCACTAGAGTCACCAGCATTTGTACCAGCAACCTTGGACATCAATTCGGCATGACGGTCGTTCATCTGGCGTGACAAACGCTCGAACTCGCCGAACATGTTTGCGATCTGGTGAGTCATTCCTTGCAGACGGTTGTGTAGATCGGCAAACTGGTCCGCTTGGGCCTTGATGGTGCTCGCGTCAGCGTCAGGAAGAGCTTCAGGAGCACCAGGAAACTTGTCAAGTTTCTCAATGTGTTGACGCTTGGCCTCAACATTGGGCTCCTCACGAGCGATAGAGTTGGTGGTAGATGCAGCGAACTTGTAGACCTCGAACGAGTCTGGGTTTTCAGAGGCGGCGGCAGATACACCGAAGAAGTAGCCCGGAGGAAGGTTGACCTTTTCGCTGTGGAAGCAGGACGTGCCGTCGATATCGACGCGGAGGCCATGAGCACCATTCTCGATGCGCAACTTGCTGGGACGACCCAGATTACGGTAAGCATAGTCACAGTGACCGAAAGCCAGACTGTCGACATTGTGATGGTCCTTGAAGTTGGCAGAGCCGTCATTCAGGAAACCACGAATAGATCCGCCGCGAGAGCCATACTGGTCTACCACAAGGGCGAGACCATCGAACTTCCCGACGGTGTATATACTGCTCTGGCCAACAGCTGAGCGGCCAGTATCGACGAACCAAAAGTTCAGGTTACCACTCCCACGCTCTTGACCCGATGCACGAAACTCGGTCTCGACTACCCATTCAGGCTGAGTGATGGCATTGTCGGCAAAGATAGCTCCTCGTGTGCCACCTGGCGCTGGGGGAGTCAGAATAATGCGGTCCGAGAGTAGTTGAGGAGTGTGGTTTTCCCCCGAAAGGTGCCAACCGGGCACGGCGCGTCCATTGGGCGAGATGGGGCCCTTGTGGCCGAACGAAAGACCCTCAATAACATAAGAAGCTTGAGCCGAGGTAGCGAAGAGCAGCCATGCCAACGAGGCGGGCGACAATTGTGCGATCATGAGGCACGCGAGGTCGAGGGACGGAGGGTGCGGAGCAGAGAGACAGAGACCAAGCCAACGGTGACAACAAGGACCAGCTTGTTGACTTCCTTGAAGATGCTGACGAGGTTGGGCGAGCAGTCGAGGTAGTGCGAGATGGTTAGACCGCCTTTGTGAGTTGCGTCGAGGGCGAAGTTTTCCATGGTTGCATCTTGGGTCGCTCTGGCCAGTTCACCTCTTCCCATAACCCAAGCCGACCTACCCCAGATCGTCATCGCCCGTTTCAGCGCGGCGCCGTGCCAAGACCCCGCCCGCTGCGATATGGCGAAAAGTTCGGCGTGAAGAACATGCAGACTGGACACTCGCATCGTCCATCTTGCCACACCTGTTTCCATTTTCTGTTATTATCTCATCATGGCTGACGATCTAGAGGTAGTCTACATCATCCCATCTTTTTTTCAGCTCCAATACTCATTTCCTGCAGGCACGTCTTGAGAGTCACGCTCAGGCATTCGAGGGTCTTCTCTCGCTGATCCCCGCCAACGAATACTACTCAAAGGACAACAGCGTATGTTACCATGTCTAGTCATGCGCCTCTGCTCTCCTCTCCTGCTCACACTCTCCTCTGCAGGACCAATGGCAGCGCAAGAAGCAGACAAAAGAGCAAAAGCGCCAAGCGAAGCGCGCAAAACTTGACCCTGCAAACCAGAAATCCGCAAAGGACGTTATGGATGAGAACGAGCGCAAGAGGAAGCGAGAGCTGGGAATCGACTCGGACAACGAAGACTCTTCTGCACAGATCGATTTGCCTGCCGAGAAGGACCAACCGACCAAAAAGCAAAAGGTCGACGAAGAGGACGACGACGAGGATGATGACGACGATGCCGATGCCGATGCCAACTCGACCAGCAAAAAGACACAAGCAGACAAGAGAAAGGAGAAGCGCCGCCTAAAGAAGGAGAAGGCCGACAAGCAAAAGGCAAAGCTGGACGCTAAGAAGGCTGCCCGCAAGCAGGAACCTCAATCCGCTGCTGGCGCCGAGGAGTCTGGCGACGAGGATATGGAAGACGCTGACGATGTATCTGTCGACGAGGCAGCCGACGATGCTATGGACTTCTCTGGTCTGGTTGACAACGACGAAACCTCGACGCCCGCAAGCCCCGACCAAGCTTCTGTATTCGACAACTCCGCAAACCAATCTGCCACATCCTCCTCGTCGTCAATAGTTCCCACTTCAAATCCCACAGAAGAGGACGCACCTGCCGCCACAAAGCCCAAGAAGGCACTTGCCCTTAAGCTACCAGAGGTCAACGCCGAGGAGCTGCAAGCTCGTCTAAAGGCCCGCATTGAGGCTCTCCGTGCCCAACGTAAGGCCGATGGTCCTGCTGGCGGCCCTCGCAACAGACAGGAACTGCTCGAGTCGCGCCGCAAGAAGGAGGAAGCTCGCAAGCAGCACAAGAAGGAGTTGCGCATCAAGGCCAAAGAGGAGGAGGAGCGTCTGAACAACGAACGCCTTCGTGGCAGCGGCAGCCCCCTCGCCACCCCTGACATTTTCTCACCGCGCCCCGTAGACGAGAACAACTTCTCATTCGGCCGTGTTGCATTCGATGAGGAAGAGACCGACCCTACACTCGGTTCCATCGCTGCACACAAGAAAAAGAAGGGTCCCTCAGACATCAAGACCGCCTTGGCCGCTGCCGAGAGAAAGGCCCAAAGACTTGCTGGCATGGACGAGGATAAGCGCAAGGAGATTGAGGAGAAGGACATGTGGCTCAATGCAAAGAAGCGTGCACATGGCGAGCGCGTCAAGGACGACCAATCCCTCCTCAAGAAGACTCTGAAGCGCAAGACCGACCAAAAGACAAAGAGTGCGACACAATGGAACGAGCGCCTCGACAATGTCAAGAAGGGCAAGGAAATGAAGGACAAGAAGAGAACCGAGAACCTCGCCAAGAGAGCCGCAGAGAAGGGCTCCAAGAAGGGCGGCAAAAAGGGTAAGAGCGGTGGCGCCAAAAAGAAGGCAAGACCAGGCTTCGAAGGCAAGCACGCTTGATCTTGACATTATTCTGTTTCGTTCTTTCCCAACACATTAGCGGATCATGGTTTTTCTTACAAAAAGGGGGTGGTCCTTTCTATTCTTTCTGGGTTTGTTTGGCTTGGGGTTCTTCGGTATTTTGCAGAAAGGGTTCTGTTAACAAAAATTGCTTGATACCTCATGGGTTTTATTTATTTAGCCTTAGTTTTTTGGTGTCTACATGCCATTGTATACAACAGTTTCATCACCATCAAGGGTATTGCTCAAGAGACATGCAAGTGACTCCCGTCTCACCCAGGAGCATGCCAGGGGACTCAAAAACGGGCAGTATACGTTGACTGATGAATACATGTTTGAAATCGTCAGATTTGTGATAGAAAGCACTCGATTTATCAGCCAGCAAACACTCGATCTATAAATCAACAAGCAGTACAATCGCAACGTAATGTTCGGTCCAAAACTACTCTCTCCCCTCTCGCACTTCACCCTCCCCAAAGCTCACTCGTCCATCTCCTGCTCGCCCTCTCCAGCAAACTTCACCTCTCTCACCCTGAAACTCTTAGCAAAACACACTCGCTCCAACATTTCCAATTCCTTCCTCATACCTTCGAATCCCCACCTCTCTCTCACTTCTTCTTTTCCCTGCTCGTCGCTGTCATCGCTCTCGTCATCATCTTGTTCTTCATCATCATCATCGAACCTCACACACTGACCTAGAGCAAACACTCTGTGTTCTTGCCACAGCTTCTGTTTGGCAAGAGCGACACCATACAATTCTTGATCTTTGCAGGGTCTTCTGTGCGAAGTGTTGTGGTTGGTGGTTTTGGTGGAGATGTTATTGTTGTGGAAGGTGAGCTTTTTGGCTGTGTGAGTCGATGGAGTTGATGGGGACGAGGTAGATGTGATTCTGGGGGCCATACTTGAAGTTGCCATTGTTGAGGCTGAAAGTTGGTGAAGTCGGGGTTGAATTTGGTAGTCGTTGAAGTTGATGTTGATGTTGATGAAGGTCTCTGAAGTTGATGATGAAAGTCTTTGAGTTGATGCTTTAGACTTGAATTGCCTTTCTGATGTTGGACTTTGATGTTCGAAGCTTGATGTTGACTGTTGATGGTGATGTTCGATGTTGACAGTCTTCGTTTGATGTTCAAGACTTGATGCGCCTTTCTGATATAGGGCTTTCAGAGACAGTTGAAATCAAAAGGTGGTAGGTTGTAGATGGACTTTTTGAACTTTGCGATTGAGATAAGAAAAAGAAAAGAAAAAGATGTTTCCTAGCAGAGACAGCGTAAATTTATAGCATTAGCCAAAAGAAGAAGCCTTGCAGGATGACTCTGAGCGACGGTATGAGGGTGTTTCCTCATTGGCTACGCCATAGGCGGTCGAATATCAGTATGCAACATGCGCATTCGGCACATTAAGTTAACATGACAGTCATATTAACGCTGGGGTATGGGGTGTGGGGTGTGGGGTGGCACATTGATACTCATCTATCTGCTAGTCTTGTTTACTCAGCTATGTCGTATCGCAGTGTATTGTGTCCCTCAAAGTATATCATTTAGCATAGTAGTACTCAGCTTGGTTTGATCAAAGTCTCGACTCAGCCTGGGCCAGTTTCGCTTCCCTCGTCAACCTGATTCTCCGCTCGAATCTCGACTCCGTGACTTCGCCAGCTATGATCTCACCTTTTCCGTCTACATTTGTCACATGAGGAGGACAATCGTGTTCTCTCTGTGCAAACATCTTTCGTTCATCGTTCTCGTGTTTCTTCTTCAGCGCCTCGAATCTTTCACGAGGAAACCCCCCATCTTTCACAACAACTTTAGGCATCTTGATGCGCACTAGCTGATGTTTGGCGAAGGCTTTTGACTCGTGCGCTTGATAATTTCTCACTTTTGCTCTGAACTCTAGACTCGAAGGTTCGACAAGACACTGGTCCGATGAAAAACGTACCTCAGATGCCTGACTTCTAGCGATGCGAGCAGATATCCATTTTCTGAAAGTCGTGAACGTCGAGTCGTTCGATGAGCATCTCTCAGAATCATCGTGAGAGCCCGTGAGGTTGTCTACATTGTCAGCAACGGCAGAGTCTTTCGGTATTGAGCCCACTTGTGATGAGGGAACTGGAAGCTCTTCGTTGTAGTGATCAGTTTCTCGCTCGTGATCCAGCAGATCTGATGAAATGTGCTCCCAAAACTTGTTCAACGCTTGATGCAGAGCTTTGTGCCCAGCGGTGTGTACCCAGCACACGAAATCAGAGATTGTTGCTTCTCTCAGAGTATCCTCTTCCTCGAGATCTTCGATATCTGCTCTTGTGTCTGCAAGCTCTTTGACAAGCGTTGTTTCGATTTGGCCGGCTTCGTTGATTTGCTCTTGAACGAACCAAGCAGCTTCGACCTTCTTGTTGAGTCGCTGGGCTAGTTCAAGGGAACGTGAATACTCTTTTCTGTAGTTGTCGAGCAGCTTGCAATTCTGACGCTGCTCCTGGTCCAGTCGATGTTCAAGATCTCGTGTGTGGATCAAGCTCTTATTGAGAAGTTCCTCCTTCACCATGAGTTTCTGCTCCAGTAATTCGGCTCTGTGTACCTCGCTCTCGAGAGTTGCCTGGAGTCTGGCGGAGTGATCGGGACCAGAAGACGATTGGGCACATTGCGGCTCGCGAACCTTGATATCGAAGTCCTTTGCCAGCTTAGTGACGTGATCCTTGACATTATTCAAGTATCCATCCGATGCGATCCCAAACATATTCAGAGCCTGTGTGAAGACTCTGGAGTCTTCCTCTGCGTGCTCTGCTACGAAGCGGTTGAAACTGTCCATCGTGAGGTTGTGTCGGGCATGCAACTCCGAAATGTGCTGACGTCTATATTCTCGCAAATCAAACAGATGATGGGAGAATGGCTGGTTCTCTGGAGGCGAATCATACTTGGTTATGTGGTACTTGGCATGTGTGACTCGAAGCGCTGGTATGCGCGGGATACAGTACGGAAGACCTATTCCTCAAAAGAGTCATCCTCGAAATTGAGACAACTCGCGGTAGGGAAGCTGGACCGTATCTGGTAGTTTCGCAAGCACAGTATTGAGTTTCGCCCAGAGTTGCCAGTCGATTCAGAGTGAAATGTAACATTGCCTTGTGAGAGATGTTCTAGCAGCGAGTACATGCACTTTGGATATGCCGGTTAGCGCTATATACAAGCTCAAGTTGATGCCAGCTGGCCTCTGGTTTTGCGATGACTACTCATCATGAGCATGTGAATATAGACTCGTTCAGAGCACGTCTAGTGTGGTTGGTACGCAGTTTGAGCTGAAACATAATGATCCGTTCCAAAGTTGGACCGGTAGGGTAAAAACTCATATTGACTCTGCTATTTGACCAATACCAAATTTTGTTGCAGAGAGGTGCCCTTTGGAACAGGATAGAAGACAGAAGGTACGATGTAGCTCACCAAAGCAGGAGCTGACGTCTCAAACCTCCTCAATATTTCTTTTCTCTGCCAACCGCAAAACGAACGCGCGCCCTACCCCACATGTAAGCTGCAAGCACAGTCCACCTCCGAGTCCCGCTCCAAAAATTTCTTCTCACTTTTCCCACTTCGAAGCTCGTCGGCGAAAAGAATGAAGTCAATTTCTTCGCTGCCCAAGGCAAAGGACAAAAAGAAACTTGATCCTGGCAATGGGCGGAATCGAACCGCCGTCGGGTCGGCGTTGCTGGAATTTAACCTCCACAACGACACATGCTACCACTACACCACATCACCTTAGCTTGTAAGGATTGAATCCGGTTGGCCAGATTCAGGATCTTCAATAACTCGTCTTTGGTTTGCAATATGTAACTAGCCCAGGTATGCTCATGCTTGACGATGGACAGCTTGGTCAGAAAAGTATTGATCGAACAGAACAAGGATTTAGATTAAAAAATAGTGACTATGCCACTAACATGGAAAAGATATATAATTCACCAACAGTATTACGACGCTACCACGACGGCGATCCGCCGATTCGCGCTGCGTCCTACGTCCTGCTCTAAGGGTATCTTCTCTTCAATCATTCGTGAATATCATATAGCCGCCTTTCACGCGCTCTTCCGGTTGGGTCAAAAGTCTGCCTACGACAAGTCGCTTAGGCGTTTAGGGTCTTGGTCTCGGTGTCGGTTTCAGTCCAACTGGCCTTCTCGATGATTGGTGGGGGCTTGGGAGTGCTCTTCTGGAACAGAACGTGACGCTTGAGGAAATATGGCAACCAAGTTGTCAATTCGTAGTTGAGGAAAGTCTTGGTGGGGACCGAGAAGACTTGGTCGATTTCCTCCAATGTGAGTTGCTTGGTCTCGCGGACGAAAGCAAAGATCATGAACCAGGCGATCAGATTGAGTCCGGCATAGAAGGCAAAGGCACCAGTCTGTGACATGGCTTTCACCATAGCAGGGAAGGTCAAACTGAGAATACCAGCTAGCGCGGGGTTAGCAGGTCTTTTACCACTTCAAATTTATTCTGGGCTTACCGAAGGTGTTGTTGATGCAGACGGCCCAGGCCATTCCCTGTTCACGCTGGATGGTGGGGAAGACCTCGGCAGAGTATTGGAAGGCGACTGGTCCTTCACCCAGCGAGTAGCAGATGGTGAAGAGATAGACGAAGAGGATAACGGGCCCAACTCTTGCAGACGGACCCACTGATTCGGGTTGGAGTAGAGATAAGCCTGCAGCTAGCAGGAATATACACATGAGAGGGAAGGTCTAGAAGAAGACCATTAGTGGATAACCTTGCGACACTGCATCTAAGAACTTACTATCAAACACAATGTTCTACGGCCCTTCGTATCAATCAAGAAGAGTGTCGGGATGGTGAAAACGACTTGAATGGCACCGTAGCCCAGGGACGCATAAAGAGCTTGGTCAGATGTGTAGTTGGCGTTTGTGAAGATGGTTGAACTGTAGAAGGAGATGACTGCTACGAGTTAGAATACTTCTCAAAGCTGCAGCAGAATTGTCAACTCACTGTTGATGCCGCACATCTGTTGGGCGATCATGACGGTCGAGGCACCATAGTTGGCTCTTCTGATACGAGGTACCGTGAAGCAGTCTCTCATACGTGTGAAGTAGGTCGAACCGCTAGCAACCTTGAGCTCCTCTTCGTAAATAACGTAGGAGTAATAGTAGTCTCTTGCGCCAATGATGGGATGAGCGCGTAGGGAGACCATTGACTTGAAGCCTTGGGCGACTTTACCGTGCTTCATCAGCCAACGGGGTGATTCGGGACAGAAGAAGATACCGGCCATGAGGATAAATGACGGGATAAACGCAGACCCAAGCTGAAGACGCCATGCAATTCGAGGCACATCTTTGACAATGACGTTTGCGCAGAAGCCAAGGAAGATACCTGAAAAGGGATGTTAGTACACAAATCAACAAGTCTTTTTGCGTCTTACCAATGACGACCCAGAGTTGCCAGAACATGACAAGCGCTCCACGAATACGAGCCGGAGCCATCTCGGCCGAGTAGATAGGAACCGTGGCGTTCTTCGCGCCAATACCAATGCCCATAATAAAGCGTGCTGCAAACAGGCCTTGCCATGACTGTGCGAAGCCGGAGCCGATAGGAGTTGCAGTCAAGCAGGCAGCCGTGAGGAAGATTTCACCTCTTCTGCCGAGGTATTTGTTGAGAGGATCAACGATGAAAGCACCACTGCAGTTCGTCAGTCATGCAATTAGCTCAAGCTGTTGCAATGCTTACATAAGACCAGCGGTCAAGAAGATGACAGAATTGATTAGACCAATCAACCAAGGGCGATTCTCGATATGGAATTCTTCAGGGAAAGACAAGTTGGCTCCGTTCGAACCAGTCTGATCCCACCCTTGTGTTGCAGCACCGATGGCACACAGACCGATCGAGTACCAGAGCATCTTAGGTCCGTGCCATTTGTGATCTCTTTCGTAGATAAGTGCTGCGCGCTCTTCCTCTGTAAGGTCGAGGATTGTTTCGAAACGTTCAGGGTCTCGCGCGACAAGAGCAGCTCTGCCAAAAAGAGCGGCGTCTTCAGCCATGCCATGGCTTTCGGCGAAGGTGCGAGCATCGAGAACGGTTTGTTCCTTGTTAGTACGCTTTAGTCGCGATCAGCATATGCTCCCAGGTTGAGATTGTGGAATGCAGAGTTCTCACTCTCAGAGGGTTGTCAACAATGTTGAGGGCGACAGACGCCTGGCGAGCAGGGGCTTCCTCGTGGTAGATCTGTTCCTTTTGCTCCTTTTGCTCCTTGTGCGAAGCGTAGTCGACATCGCTGAATGTTGTCTTCTCTGTCATCTTGGCTGCTTCTCCTACGAGTAGGGAAATGATCTGATGAGCCGGGAATTGCTGGGGAAGTGTCTGGAGAAAAGAGTGGAGAGGTGGGGAGAGGGGAAAGCTGCATCAATAAATACCAAAAAGTCCTCGGGCGTTAAGGATTCGTGCCGATTGTTCAACAGGAGAGCGATGATCCTTTTACCGCTTCTAGAGGTTACTAGCAAGGGTACCCGCCAAATCTCACATTTTATCAAGTCACGAGGCCTGGTACGATGGGAACCTGGGCCGCCTACCAATTTGTGGTTGCATTTCTGCATTTGAAGTGGATTCTGCCTTGGCGACCAGGGCCAAGGGTGACTGTCAACATGCCGTCAGGGCTCAAGCACACTCAAGAACCGTCGCCCAGGAGAGCTTTAGAGGGACAAGATGCCCAGAGTGGAGTTCGTTTGGTGCATGGCATGTTGCTTGACTTGACACATCTTGTCCGGCCGTATTGACTTCTCTCAAACTGCTGTATATTCTCCAGGCGCATCTGCAAATTCTTGACAGGCAAAGATACGTACCTTGCTATCGACAGCGCATAACAGCATTTCGGGCGGCGTGCGGAGAAATGTGTGGATGATGCCGTGGCGCTGTCGCGCGGGAGACAATGTGGATGCAGGGAGACGCCAAGGTCTAGCTTCCCTTGTTCAGGTTGTCTTGAATTGCGGCAAAATTGACCGGTAACCACTCAAAAGCTCGTCGATCGCATAACAGATAACAGACACATACCCAGGAGTCGGGCCGTTCGTCTCCTCGGACGTTTTAGACGGATTGTTGTATTCGTTCCGCGGCTCGTATTGCGAACCAGTGAACCAATTTTGAGCTTAGAACAGGAAAGGAGAGTAGTCCTAAAGGCTCGTCGGATCGTTGAGTTCGGCGTCTCCGCAACAGAGTTTGGAGGCCACTTCGTGCCGATCCTTAATACGCCCCATGGGCGCCTCCAGCGGGGAAGTTTGACATGTGAATAAGCAACCAGAAACACAGCTCCATGTCTTCCAGGGACTGGCTACTGCTCCAATACCTCCTCGAAGGATGAGACTAGCAAGCGACTTATGGTGACCTTGGCTCCTTGGGTCATTTGCGACATTGGGCAAAGATGATTCAATTCATGAGTAAGCCACTCAGTCGTGGCCACTCGTGGTCGTGTGCTCGGAGCTTCTATGCGGCAATCATTACTCTCCACCAATCCTCTGATGTTATCGAATTCTGCGATATGTGGTAGATGGATGGAGGCTGGTATCTGTCGCTGATCTACTCGACGAGTTACAGAGGTCTCGAGCAGCTGTTTCATGCATTGTTGGCAGTCGAGTCTCGGACCAGGGTCTTTCAGACGACGAAAGATCCATCGAATCGCGCAAGCCGCACAGACCTCTGGTTCTCGAATCGGGCCCCGTGAGTAGTTTGTAAACTAGTCCCGGAAGCTCGAATGGATCGAAAGAGTCAAGGTGCATAGTGGCCGAACCCCAAAGCCATGTTATCTCACTAAGGGACGGGGGGTTGTTCGACTTCCTGGAGACAAATGGAGCTGAAAGCATCCAGACACAGCTCTGTGTGCCCCACACATGATCGTACATTTGTTTGTCACGTCTGTAGACTCGATTGGAAGGAGTTGAAAATGCTGTTTTCATTACTTTGTGGTCATGCTATTATATCGTAGCTGATGATGGCTCTTTCTGGCCTGTCTTCAGGCTTGATTTACATAAGTCGTTGCTTATTGGCTGCTTGAGCGCCCTATTTGCTTGTCAGTATCGATGTGTGAGCTCGTAAGTATTCGATTGACTTACACTGCTGAAGCTCGGACTCGTCCAGGTGTCTGAGCTTGTTGACTTGGGCAGTCTCGCCAGTAGCGACACCCTTGGCGAACTCGACAAGGTTTCCGAGAGCACCGGCGGCTGATCTGGTGATAGCGTACTGAGCAGTCTTGGCCTTGACCTTGATGAGGATGATTCTGGGGTCTTCAGGGCCACCATCGTGCTTGCCGTCACCAAGGTCACCCAACCAAGCCTTGAGACCGGAAGAGTAGTACTTGCGAACCTTCTCGCGGTCGGTCTCGATCGAGGCAATACCGGAGATGGAAGCCCACTCGCCAGAGGGCTGGAGGAAGGCAAGGTTGATGTCGTGGTCAGACTCAAGATCGTCCGTCTTGCCGGATTCGCTGTTGGCGTGGAAGATGAGGTCGACACCATTGCCCTCCTTGGCGGCCAGGGCCATGCAACGAGAGACAAGAAGACCGCTGCTGGCGATGCGGGTGGTCATCATGCAGTACTTGGACTTGTCGACGAAGCTGATGAGATCGCCAACCTTCTCCTTGAGCTCGCTGGGCTCGTCGAGGTTCTTGGCAACGTAGGGGTCGGCGGTCTTGCTGCCGGTGTCGGTGTTGCTGAAAGACATGTTTGCGGTGGTGGTTGAGAAGGATTGGTAGTGGAATCGAAGTGTTCTGCTGGGACGAACAGAAGTGAGCAAGGGTGCTCTTCGGACAACGCGGGGTAGCTGGCGGCGAAGAGGGGCGATCAAGGACATGGTGTAGACGTGCTGGTATGACGGCAGACGAGTTGTGATGTAATTGAGAAGGTGACTTACCGTGAGAGAGTAACAGGCGAAGGATGGGAAAGGAAGAAGAGAAAGAGACGCTTGTAAAGGTAGAAAACAATGATGCACTCCTGCCCGCTCTCCACGATGACATCATTGAAACCCACACATGGCGCACCGGCATGGTGAGATCAGCTTTCGGCAGCGATCGATCACCAGCCCTTCATGAAACGACTTCTGCCTGCGCTTGTCGTCGGCTTTCAAAGAGCCTCATCTTTTGTTCATGTCATTCGTGATAATAACCTATCTACAGAAAAGGCTTGACCGCTCTTGGACGTCACTTTAATCTAGCTTACTGGCGACGAGCTTGAGGATCTCCTCAATGCCCATTTTGGCGTTCTCGGGAGCCTTTGCAATACTCTGCCAGACCTCTCCATGCTTGGGCTCGCTGAGCACGCATTTGTTGATGGTTTCTTCCTGCTTCTCTTCCGTACCGTGTTGCCTCAAGAACTTCAGATAGTATGCCCATGAGTCACCAATATCTGGATCCAGGACGATAGCCTTCTCGAACCACGTCACTGCCTTGTCCAGTCTGCGCTCACCCCAGAAGACACGCGCAGCAGTCACGTACAAGATCGGGTCGCTATCGTTCTTCTTGATCGCCTCCAGCGTTCTGGGCTTGCGCTGTGTACGGGCTTCGAGATGCCAAATTCTTTCACTCCATAGCAGCCCACTGGTGGGGCACTCCTGCAATGCCTGGGCCATCTTTTGGTTGGCTGCAGCATTGTTCCCTGCTCGTCTCTCGAGTCGTACTGACTCTGTCCAAAGCTCGGGATTTTTCGGTACCGCAAGACGTGCTCGGTCAAGAATACTGCGTGCTTTGACGATGATACCTGCCTTTTCGTCTGTGCGAGCTGCAAGTAGCCACAGCGGTACACTCTGAGGGCATGCTCTGGTTCCTGTGTTGAAGGCTTCACGTGCTTGCGCAAGCATACCTTTATTGTCGTAAATTTGTCCTTTTTGCATCCAGAGCTTTGCAGCTTTGGGATAAAGTTGCAGACCCTGGTTGACAAGATCGAGAGCAGCCTCTCTGTCACCTTGTTGTCTCTCAAAAGCAACACTCTTGATCCAGACTCTGTCAGTGCCTGCCTCTTGACGAGCTGTCTTGAGGAGCTCGCGAGCTTGGCCAACTTCTCCGTTGTCTGCTTCGAGCTTGACAGCCGCTAGCCAAATGTCTTCGTTACCAGGTTGTTGCTGGAAGGCTTTGCCTAGGACTCTGCGGGCCTCGTCTATATCTCCCGAGTTCCACCTCTCTGTAGCCAAACGCATCCAAAGAACCTCATTGGTAGGCACTGCTTCGACTGCTTTCTCCAGCAACGAAACGAGCGACTCTTTTGTGCCATGGTTGCGCTCCATGTCACCAGCGGCTAGCCATATGATGCTGCTGCTGGGGAACACTCGAATTGCATAGGCGTAGATGGAGCGCGCTGTTTGATAGCGACCTCTAACCATAGAAGACTTTGCATCGTCCATCCAGATTTTCTTTCGATCGTCGTCCTCATCCAGACCCCATCCGAGAGTGTGCTCAACAATAGCTTTGCAAGTGAGATTCGCACCCTCATCTTCACAGTTCTCAGCCACTTCGATCCAGCGTTCGCGCTCTAACATAGCTGATTCACGAGCCAGTGACTTTACAGCACGATCCATGATCTTCCCCACCATCTGCTCGGCGCCAATCTGCTCTTGAAGTCTTGCAGCAGCCACCCAGATCTCCCAAGAAGTCGGAACGGCTTTTCTTGCCTTGTTCAGGACGACCTGTGCATTCTCAGGTGACTCCAATCGAGCAAGAGCAAGCCACAAATCCACAGACAACGGAATTAGCTCCGTAGCTTTGGCGAGCAACAGTCGGGCATCGGCTGGGTCCTCTTCCAGATTAACAGCTTCTTTCCAGATGGCCACCGACTGCGGTACATGATCAAGAGCTTGCCTCAGGACTCGCTTCTTGTTGGACATGATGGTTTCCAGCTTCATGGCCTCAACCCAGAGGCGCACGGAGCGATCGTTGTATTTGAGAGCTTCTTTAGCGATGATCTTAGCGTTGTGATTCTCGTTCAGGCGCATAGATTCTAGCCAGACATCTTCGGACTTTGGGCAGAATTCGACTGCTTGAGCTAGTAGGTTCCGTGCGGCGACAATTTTACCAGCGAATTCTTCAAGACGGGCAGCGGCAATCCAACCAGGGCCATGCTTCTTGTTGGTATTAATGACGGATCTAAGCAGCTCACGCGCTCTTGCAACATCAGCGACCGGGATTTCGCTAGCCTTGACCTCGGATCTGGTCAGGGAAGTCAAGTAGCCTTTGGGATCGATATTGGTTGCGGTTCCGGAAGCGACGTCGTCTTGCGCGGCTTGATCGAGACGGACTTGCAGCACCTTGTCTCTTGCCTTTCCGATGTGAGCAAAGTTGGTCATGGCACCTTCCAGGTTATCTGCAGCAGCACTAGGTTGAGCCCCGTCATCGTTGACGGTTGTGTCGAATTGTGTCGAATCTCGTGCGCCAGCCAAGACACTGTCAGGGACAGCGTAGAACCTCTCACGCAAGTTTGCCTTTGCTCTTCGGTTCTTGCCTGTCAAGTCTCCAACTTCGGGAATGTTCTGCCAGTCTTCGTCGGTGAGGCCTCCAAGTTCTCTCTTCAGATCGGCAAATTGCTGCTGGATTTTCGGGTTGTTGCGCTCGTATTCTTCTCTTTCTTTCCGTTCGCGTTCCTCGCGTCTAGCTCTGCGTCTCTTGTCCATCTTCGCATCGACTTCTGCGTAGATCTTGTCGGCTTCATCATCCTCGCGATCGTAGTTTCCGCTGGCGAAGAGGCCGGTCTCGTTTTCAGGATCCTGGAAGCGTTCGTCATCGTCATCGTCGTCCTCCTTCTTTCCTGCAACTCCATAGGCTGTTGGCGGCGCATTTCCGAGCTGGGCGGCACGCTTTGCGAGAGCTTCTTTGATCTGTTCTTCGCTGGGACCTTCACGTGCAGGACCTTTGCGAGATGTTAGGTGTCTGGATAGAAAATGCCTAAACTGTGAGTACGTACCGAGATCTGAGCGCGTTGTGAATCCTGTCGCACCTCTACCCAGACCGGCCACATAATTTTCGGGCGCCGGCTGGCTCAGGAAGTCCTTGCGACCGGACATTGTTGAAGGATGGTCGCGCAAGGATCAAATTGTTGGTCAAGCAAGAAAGCTAGAGACATGCAATCGTGACGGAGTTTAAAGACGCTCGGACCCTTGGTGTTGGATGGAAAGATTGATCATCCAAAGAGCTCTTCAAATTTGCTTTGTGAGTCGTATGAGGCTACTTCGGAGAGCATTCAAGGGAAACGTCGAGTTGCCCGGTCTTGGTACCGATTTATCGATATGCGACATTCGTGACAATCGAGGTGAAGCAATAAAGACATGTAACTAACTATCCTCGGGCCGATTCGAGATGCAGACGGAGCTCTCAGCAGTGGAGCTTCTCCAAGCAGCAGACACCAAGGCACACTTCTTCACGCCAGATCGTGGAATTCAAGGCTCATCAACGGCATCGTTGGGAGGTCCACCATCTGATGCTTTACAAATTGCTTATCCTGAAGTAGAACTGGCCAAGAAAAGTGAATGCCCAGCTCCCAACGGTGGCCAGCTTTTAGAGTTCCAGGTGCATCGGACGGGAGGCCGACCTCGCCTCTCTTCTACATCCTTTGCAACTTCAACTCTGTCAATGTCATCATTATCGCTGGTTCTGAATTGAGGTCGAAAGCTGGGCGTATTGGATTTTGTCGCGTCTTACAACATACTGGAATAATTTGATCAATTCTCTGGTTGTCGCCTTTGTTCGCAATGGCGGCGCATGATCCGCGCGACTCTCGCGAAATCCCCGGACTGCCCTTCCAAGGTGACCAGGCATTTATGCTTCCTCCCATTCGACGCGCCCGAGTACCCGAGCGAGAGAAGCGGACCTATAGGGCTTGCCTACATTGCCGACAACGAAAAAGTCGCTGCGACTTGTAGGTTCCCCCATTGTTCCTTCCCAATCCCAGTCTGCTTGTCATGGAAAAAACAGGTGAACATCAAAGTTCAAGCCACCTAAGTGCCTGGATCATGATTTTGATATTTGACAACAAGATCCTGACTTCAATTCAGATATGGAAGCGGTGAACCAGGAAAACCACCCTGTGAGCGATGCATTCGAGAGAATCATGAATGTGTTCTCGGGCCCTCTCATCGCGGGGGTAGGAGAATTAAACGCAGCACTACAGAATCAGAGCAACCGGAAAATGGACCTTCCCGCAACGAGTCTTCGAGTGAAGACACTGGACAGTCTTCGGTTCCCCCAGTCCAACAGGAGAGCACACGTGAAGAAAGGGAAGAACCCTACCATAGACGTCTACCATCATGGCCGCAGTATACCCCAGGGTCGAGGAGTACACCAGCACCTGGCCCAGAAGCACCAACTTCTCATCCGAGTACGAAGATGACTGTTGACGAGAGCATTGTTTCGACCAATCTGCAGAATCCATCTGATGCACTTGAATTTCTGGCCAATGTGGCAGGTCGCAATGAAGGAGGAGCGGCACGGACACCTTCTGCGCATGGCTCGATGTATGCAAGGTCTCCATATCAGAGTGGCACAGAACAGCATGTGGCGACACCGTCTTCTGCTCATCCCTCACCATCCGTCATGCAGATCTCATTTCCTCCTTATCAGAAGGGTCATGTATCTTTAGGCATGATGCACGCCCTCATAGACCGGTAAGTTCTAGCTTACTAACGGTGTTCGGCTTTATACTGACATCATTCCGAAGTTACAAAATGAAGTACCACCAATTCTACTCAGTTGTGCCGCCTTTCATGCTGGAAGCAGAGAACCTCGCGGCCAATTCAGTACATGAGCCCTACCTACTCGCTGCTGTATGCACCATAGCGTCCAAAGATGAGCCATCCTGGTGGGACACCCATGAAGCTTGCTCGACTCACATGCAACAACTTATTGCTGAGTTGATGTACGGTGGTATTGCCACATTGGGAGCTGTCGAGGCGATGCTAGTGTTGGCCGAGTGGGTGCCGCGACCTCCACAGTCCATGACTGCAGTCGGTCGAGGCGAAGAAGAGCAGACCGCTTGGATGCTCTCTGGTATGGCCATCAGGATGGGCTATCTCCTAGGCATCGATCGCACAGGCTTTGTGAATGAGTCTGATCCGGACGCACCGGACTACATTCGGAAGCGACTCGCCTGGGTGGGATGCTACATGAGCGACCGTCACATCTCTGTGCGTGTTGGCAAAGCTTTCTGGAGCAGAGGTCCTGCCATGATCAAATTCTCGTCACGCGACTTCCAGGATGTCAAGTACCCAGGAAATCCCACGGACAACTTCGCGGCTCTATGCGAAGCCCATCTGGAACTAACCCAGCTGTTCAGCAACGCTCATGATGTGTTGTACTCCTCGAAGAACAGAAGTGCACAACTAAACTTCGGTGGGGAGTATGTGAAATACATTGTAAGACTTGTCCTAGATCAGAGCAAACACGATAGATACTGACTACATCAGGATGACTTCCGAGAAGCCATGAGCGCATGGTATGACAGGTGGGGAAAACTATCCTGTAAGTAATTTCTGTCCTCGCGCGACCAAATCACGACTAACACGTTCCAGGCACTTCGGTCATCAAGGCAGCTCTCATCATATCCTTCGAGTATCTTCGACTATACGTCAACGCTTTCGCATATCAAGCTACGCTGACCCGTATGGCGCAAGACTACAGCGACCAACAGAAGTCACGAGGTCCTCAACGTCAGAGTGGGCAGGTAGCATTCACCGATTTCATCGCAGCAACTCCAGATGCACGATTCATCTATGACTCAATTGACTCTGCCAAGAAGTTGTTGACTATCTCCAACACATTGCTGGATCCTACGACGGAGTTTCGATACATGCCACTGCGGTACTATCTCTACGTAATCTACTCGGCTGTCTTCTTGTACAAAGCAAGATCGACTGGAGTTTTGGGCGCAGATGGTGGAGACGTAAGGAGGACTGTGGGAGAAGCTGTTGAACGACTACAAAAGGCAAGCTCCTGTCAAAACGATGTTGGAGATCGCTACAGCAGAATGCTGCGCCTGCTATGGCGTAAGCCTCCCCCACAACCATCTGCGCCGATCTCGAATGGGAACGAACATGCATACCAAACACCATCACAGAATGCTCCGGTCGCCGCAAGGATGGAGCAACATACCCACATGAACATCGACCAAACACCGCAAGCGGCTTACAATAACGCATTCACCTTTTCATGGCTGGATCTGCACGCAGTCGGAGACTTTGCCACCAACAATAACGGGAGCATGATGGATAGTTATGAAAGCTTGGATGACGTCTCTGGAGAGCCTGCTTATGGACACTTTGACCCCAATTTTGTACAAGGACAACAACAGCAAATGGGCTGGAACGTTTTCTCGGCTCCTGGCATAATTTTCTGAGTCAGCGAAACGACACGGCCACTGCGCGATGTCTAGAACTCTAATTGTAATTCTATGTACATCGATCTATCCTATACTTTGTCTATTGTCAAGACTCTCTGGTCTTCTTCTACAGCAGTCCCAGAATACTGGAAGTGTGCAGGACAGAGAATGGCCGTCGCGATAACCGCGAAACTGCAATCTTCAGCGAACTGCTACAATACCTCCAGGATTGTGGTGCAACCAACAGGTTATCCTGAAACGTCTAAAACATGCAGCATTTCGCACAATTACACGCTCGTTTTAGCTATAAAATACTGAACCGATCACAAGTCGGGTGAAGCCTTGTATTATGCAGCTCTTGCTCTGCTTGCCTCTGCTCCTCCTGGACACGTAAATCACGAACACGGCATATCCCTATACGATGACTGCTGGTCTGGACGCCATTGACTCTGAATACACATGTCTACCTACAAGACACTCTTAGGCAGCTTCAGCCTGTTTCTCCAACAACCGCCTAAGCAGACCAACTTGAAGAGGAAATGGCTGTCCTAGCCAAGTAGCACGTTGAGTATGATCCCGAATATCATCACCAGTATTCGGATGCACCAACGCCGACAACGGACCACGATTGATAACCAACCATGGCACAAAAGCACCAAATTGAGCTGGCGTAAACAAGTTGACTTCGAACATGGCGATGGGATGAGGACCGATTGGTTTATCCCAGATTCTGTAGACGCGAAGTTCGGGGACTGGGAGGGTGGTTAGCTTAGGACAAGTGGGTTTGGAGGGGTAGGGCCGTCGTACATTCTCGTCTTATACGTTCCCAGAGTTCGGTTGCGAATTTTACTTCCGTGTCGATGTTTTGTTGGAAGTAGATGTGGACGTCGAAGCCGCCGCGTTCGTCGTTTGTGATAGGTGAGGTGAAGGAGTCGTATGCTGGACTCAGCTTCTCTGCTGGTGGGTTTACGTATGACTTGCCATCTGCGTTCTTCTCGCTGGAAAAGCATTAGTCTCTACCGATCTTCTCAAAGGATTAATTGAATTGACATACTCTGAGAGTGGAGGCAAATTCTGATATCCTTCAAGAGGAGAGGGGTATGTGTAGATCGATGGGTCTGACATGGTAGATTGCGGTGATTGGACGAAGAGAGGACTCGATCGATAATTTGATACGTTGTTTGAGGTCACAGTAGTCTCGAGCGTCAATTGTGTGAAAAGAGAGATACTTCGATGATTATACGTATATGAGTAAAAGTACAGTGCCGTTTAGCATGGCCGAAGGTGGCTTACACAAGCCCTCGGAATTGGAGCGCACTCATGCTTCGCAAGCTTTGGGCCGAATTGCGCGACCGCTTTGAAATCGCTTTGGCATCTCGTGGTTCCCCGGGGCGCACAAGAGGTCTGTGGAGATCTAAACTCTTGCTAGCACCATGACACTCGATGCGAAGATGACGCTGAACGCATTCATAATCTATTGTTGATGGTAAACGTGGAAGGAGCGAACGCGTAGTGATTTTCCAAGATTGGAGCGCGTCATCCCGAACGCCAAAATCACACGGGGCAGGCGCGTCCGAGTCGCTTCTTTGAGCCTCCTTTGTTAAAAGTCGATACAACACATGCATGCCCAACAATGTCAGAAGAGAGGATACAAACTCTTCGTGTAGAGTTGAAGACATGGGAGAAGGAATTTTCGGTCCAACACGGTGGAAAGCGGCCGAGTCGTGAGGACATCCGGAACAATGTCGAGATTGGTATGTTGGCACGAGACGTCGAACCTAAGTGTTGTACTGATGACTTGTCATAGCTGCAAAGTACAGCGAATATGACAAGCTGAAACGACCACGGGTAAAGCAGTCCGAGTCACAAGACGCTCGAGTCCCCAAGACGATCCATGCAACACCCAGAAAGAAGGCCGCCCCAGCGGCAACACCACAGAAGCCTGTCTCACATCTCTCGATAGCCACGATAGCAGCGTTACAGGACGAGGAAATAGAGCTAGAGCCCACACCGGCTGCAGTACGCATGCATCTCGGCCCCACACCACAGAAAGATGGCCACATCCTGAGTCTCTTCGACGACCTGTCGTCAACTGCTTCCAAGCCTTCGCGCGCTGCCCTTTCAACAATAGAAGCAAATGCAAACTTCACACCGAGTAAGCCGTCCCAGCTCCTCTTTGCTGACAACGAATCGCCACCTGAGAATGCCAACGACCGCACTCCTGCTTCAAGCAGCAAACGCTTCCTCCTCGATTCCTTCGTCTCGACTACACCCTTGAAGCGGAAGCGTGAGGACGAGGAGCCGGCTCATGCTACACCATCAAGTGCAAAGGGTCTCTCGACGCCCGCCTTCTTACGTAGATCATCCAATATGCTCATCATGGACACCTTGGTCGAAGAAGCCCAGAATGACCACGAGCTCAAGAGCATGAACATTGGCAGGATGCGTCAACCACCCTTCAAGAAGCGTGGCATTGTTAGAAGTCTAAGCAGCATCATCCAAGGCATGAGGAAGCAAGAAGACGACAGATTGGACGAAGAGATGGAGATGATGCGTGAGATGGATGAAGAAGATGAAGATGTACCGGCTAAGCCCGTTGTCCAAGTCGAGGATAGCCAGGTCGTTATGCCTCTTGGTCCTGACCAAGGCATCGAGAGTGAAGAGTCAGAAGAGGAAGAGAGGGATACGGGTGTCTTCAGAAAGCCATGGAAGAAGAAGGGTCTGAAGCGCCAGACGAAGCGTGTTATCAGTAAGTCCACGCAACCACGTCAACACACTACGAGCAGTGCTGACCATTCTCAGTGCGACCTGCACCAAAGCCAAAAGCTACAGCTCAACCAGAACATCCAGATGCACTATCCGAGAACGAAGGCATTGTCGCCGAGACACAGCTTCCCGAAGCTCTAGACGACATTGACTCGGGCGCAGATTCGGATGCAGCATACAGCGATACAGAAGCCAAGAGAAAGCGGCAACTTACTAAGACCACCACTGCAGATACAGAGACAGTGTCCAAGGGTGACGGAATTATCAAGAAGGCGGCGAAGAAGATCAGTGCCACTGCACACGCCAACTTCAGGAAGCTCAATATCAAGAACAAAAACTCAAAGGCCAATGGCAGAGGAAGGTTCGGAAGGAAATGATGAACAATTGTGGTGTTCTTTCGGAGTTATGCATTGCTGGAGTCACTCGCTATGGAGCGAGGATCGGTTGACAAGAATACCCTGGAATTGGTTCATGAAGCGATATGGCAGGACAAGTCGCGAGATGTCAGGAAGAACGTCAAAGGAAACGTGTGTTGCTTCGAGATGTACTGTAAGTAATCCACCCAGCGAAAAGCTATGTGTTGATCCATCATCCGATCAATACCCCCTCATTTCCATGTCCATTCACCCTGACTACCGCCACTCGGTGTGCCGAGTCGAGTGATAAACCCGGCCTGCAAGCCAACCCCAGTGTCCCTTCTCATCGTCACTGACCGCCAAACCCTCTGATCACCACTTCATCAAAAGGTCATCTGCAGACTTGACCACCATCTCCTCGTCCTCATCATCAGAACTTCCCTCGGCTTCGAGGGCCAGGTGCTTGGTCTTCTCAAGCTGGGCCATGACGAAGTTGTACTGATGCGAGATGGACTGAGGCTCTCCAACGGTAGAGCGACCGAGACGTTCAATGACGTACTGCTTTGCTTCCAGGTCCATGTTGGATTGGGTGGCTAATTCAGGGAGGGGAGAGGCTGATATCTTGATCTTAGGACTGGTCATGGAGTTGGGGAGGGAAGGATGGTTGTTGCTGGCGTAGACGATTTGAGAGTGTTCGGTGCCGCTGATGTCGACAGTGGTGGAGCTGCTGTTGAGACTGTTCTTGGAAGTGGTACTCGACCTCTTGCTGGAGCCAACACTCGAATTGCCGCTCAATCTCTTCTCACCACATTCCTTCTCATCCACGGTAGCAGTCTTGAAGTACTGGAAGATATCTCCTTCCTTGACCTTCACACCCTCTTCCTCCTCAACAATCTTGGCCTTTTTGTTCTTGCGCTTGAAGATACTAGGACTGGAAAACTTGATGGGCTTCGGGAATCTGCTTGGGCTTCCCATGACTGAGTCCGTCTTTCTGGGACTGTTTTGGAAGCTGAAAGTGCCGGTTTGTGGTGAGCGGAAAGTGAGAGATGTGCGCGGGCTTGAGCTGAGGACGGAGATGAAAGAGGTTGATGCAAAGGCGGAAGTGAAGAATGTGGAGGCGCGGGAAGGTATTCTGTCACAGGTTGAGGCGATGACTGTGAGGGTGTCGCTGTCTGAATCCGAGTCTGAATCCGAGTCTGAGACTGAGACTGAGGAAGAGATTGAGTCGCCATCGCTGTTGGAGGTAGTGTCGTCCGTCAGGGGGTGCAGGGTCTCGGCGAGGCGCTCGAGAAGAAGAGCACGTTCATCGTAGTAGGCTTTTTCGGATGACCAAGTGGGAGAATCTGGGACGGGGACGGGCTCGGTTGCAAGTTCTTCTGCAGTGTAGTACATGATTGCGTTGTATTGCGGTTGATAGTGGTGTAGATGTGCTATTGAGCTATTGTGCTTGTTGTGGAAGACAATGAGAATATTCAATACTGGAGTAGATGGGAGAGGAGATGGAGATGACTAGGGAGTGGTAGAGTTTTGTTCTCCTTGTACGAGTGTGAGAACGATAGGATGGTGAGATCACTTTTAGAGGTGCACAGTGAGAGCACCCGACTTGATGAAAGTGAATTTGATGATTTCAAACTTCACTAAAGTGAGGCTGAGCGATGGAGCTTGCAAAACGCCGTATCGTCTTCGACGTGTATCCCTCAGTATTCATGCCTCCTCACTGGTCCTTCTGAGCTTCTTCTTCGACCATATGCAGTTCTCTCTCGCGCTCACGAAGTACGCTCTCGTCTTCGACACGCTTCTTCTTGAGAGTCAGGATCTCCTCCCTTATCCTATCGGCGCTCTTCACCCGTGCAATCTTCTTCTCGAGGTGCTTGATGATCAATTGTTGTTTATGTATCCTCTCAGAGTTCTTCGCGGCCACATTCATCCAATGCTCGACGCTGGCGATCAACTCCAACTTTGCTTCTTCCAGCATCTGGACTCGATGATTGAGGTCCATCTCCTGCTTTTCGAGGTTGTCGAGAGGCTGTAGTGGTCTATCAGAACTGTGCCGCTGTACATACTTCGTGATCATGCGTTGAATGTTACTTACAACCGGGGTTCTGGTAGCCATGTCTTGGTTGAGAAAACCGTGCTGACGCTTCCGAATATCGATGCCTTGCGACGGCATGAATGTCACTTTTGTTGTGGGATCGATCGGCTCACTGGATGTGATGGTAACTGGCTCGATCGCAGCTTCCTCGAAAGACGGAAGTTGTTATTGTTACTTCCCTCGGATGTCTCAACTGCGTGCTCTTTGTCCAGATGATCTCGTATCAAAGTGCTCTGGAGAGTAGGGAAGTAGGGATAGCCCAATGCGCAACCGCGGTCCGGTTTGAGAGGCGTGGAAACACCAATGTGATTCTCCAGCGAGGTGACCTTCTCATTACACGGCTCAGTATCGAGTAAATCCTCCACAGTAGTGGCGAGCGTCACTTTCACTGCCGTAAGTGTGTTACATCATCTGTGTGATCTAGCGATTCCGTCCGTTTAGGGAAGTGTACGCCGCAAGAGTTATATCTTGCCAACGAGTTCCATACAAGTGACGATGAGGGCGATCGTGTAGAGTGTCGTGGAGGACTTTCGTTGATGAGCCTGGTGATCTCAAAGGAACATCCCCCTCAACCTTTATATAGTTGAAACAAGTGCCCTAATGAACTGAGGACGGTTTGGTTCTACGGACGAGAGGTCAGCCATACCCGAGTTTATGGTACGAAACGGAAAGGGGTTCAAATCCTATCTTCCAACTGATAGCTTCCCCGTCTAGTATCTTTTTGCTCTTTTATCAATGTACTTATTCATCTTGTAGACATTCTTTTTACACCTCTACTTGACTTCGCTGCTACCGACATGTATACGGGTTGTTGTTGTTGTTGTTGTTGTTGGTGTCATAGCGAGTGAATAACGACAGCCAGTATGCCACGTGGGTGTAAACTTGCTCGCTGAATAGAGAACCTGCGTTCAATCCATCTGTGAGGCGGCATGTTTTTGCCCCTTCCATTCTACCGGACGGACACTTGAGCGTGGCACGAAGCAAGTACCTAAGTCACGAGCAAGGCACTTAAATATTAAGGACAGTCGTAAAACGGGGCATTTTCGTTGGAAGTTGTATGAACCGATTCAGGTACGAGTAAGACTATGGAAAATCAAAAACGGTCGCCGCACGAGGAGTTATGAGCGATCATGTTGGAATTCTCGATTCAAAGATCTCGAGATGGCTCTTGTCAATCTAGCATATTGTGTTAGCTTCTGGAAAGATGATTTTCTTCAAATCGACTTACCCCTGAATTTCTTGATAGCAGGCTGACCAACTCATCAAAGAACTCCCAAGACGTCGCGCACACGACCAGCATCCATCTTACGTTCCTCCACGGTAGCATTCCACAGCTTGGTTCTGAGGTCCTTGATCTCCTCCCGAAGGCGCTGGACTTCTGTCTTGAGTTGGATATTTTCGTCGATGATCATGTTGACAACTTCGGCGCTCTGGGCGGCAGCGACTTTAGTCTCGGTAAGTGCGATGTTTTTTTCGTTGAGCAGATTGACTAGATCGTTTTGTGTTTCTGCGGCGGCTTCCATGTGTTATCTTTGATCTTGGTGCTGGTGGGCGAAATTGATGCGAGCGTAACACGATGGTTGTGAGCGCAGAGAGAGGCGAATGAAGAGCTACGTGTCTGGTTTGTTTGCTGTAATGTTTGGGTCGAAGCTACTAGATAAATCAGTTTCACTCCATCAAACAAGGCGTGAATGTGTTGTAGCAAACGCACACTTTGCGTCTCAGGATTTTCCAATCTCCTCTGACCACAGCTTTCTGTAAGCCTCTTCAAGCTCTCGCTTCAGCTCATAGTTTCCGACTCGAAGCTGCTCGTTCTGATCGAGTAACTTTTTGTTTTCGTCAACCGTCTCCTTCAATCTCTGGATCATGGCCCTGAGATTCACTGCTGGGGAAGCCCTTTGCGTGATTGCTGGACTCAAGTGGCTCTTGATATGAGGACTCATGGTTAGACGCGCGCGTTGGATTGATCTAAGGAGAAGAAAGCAGGCTCAAGTTTGGATGTCGCGGATAATTTATGGTCTAGGCTTCCTGACCGCCTTGTGTGAACAAACAAGACAGGTGAAGCGTGAAGGTGAATAATGAGTTCTTTGTTGTCATCGTTACGCTCTCAAATCAGGCTATCTTACGACCTCTGTTCAACCGCTTGCCAGGTCAACTCAGCTCGTAGAGTACATCCCTTGACAGTGCCACGACAATTCTCTCGACGTATGTACGATTGGTGGAGTTTTGGCACCCGGCATCCTCATGCATCTCTTCTACAATTTGGCTCGGCGATCATTTCAGTAATATCAAATGTGACAGGAGTCACATAAGCTAATGAAAGATAATGTTAGAAAGTACGACAGAATCCGTGATCATTCAAAAGAGTGTAGCCATGTCAGGGATCGTTTCTTGCTCGGCTTGTGATGGCTTGCGGGAGGATGAGATCGACAACGGCGGTCAATTGGACGATATGGGTTTTCCAGATGCTTCAATTGACCTAGAACCAAATGGCTTGCTTCTCGTGCGCGACGGCTACAATTATTAAAGGTCAGTGATCGTACCAAGGCGAAGAGCAAACAAACATACATTAGATCGAGCTCTCCGAGTCTTTGAGATCCTCTCCATCCTCCCCTTCATCTTCCTCGGTGTTCGATTCGTCGCTCTCTTGACTATCGATCTTCTTGAGAGCCTTGATCTTTGCCTCCAGCTTCTCAATGATGTCCATCTCCACCATACGCTTCACAAGCTCACTGTCGATCTCAACCACTTCTGTTCTTAGAACAGCGAGCTGATCATCAATCTTCTTCTTCTCGGTGAAGAGCTCAAGTTGCTCTCTGAGGTGCATGTTCTCATCCTCGAGTGTCTGATTGTACTTTTCGAGATCCTTGATTGTGGCGGTGGCGTTTATGATTGCTTGATCTCTGGCGACCTTGTTTTTGAGCACGTCGTTGGTGGTTTTGAGATTGTGGTTTTCGACTCTGAGATTTTCGTTTTTCTTTGCCAGATATTTGTTGTTGAAACTCAGTTCTCTGATGTGGTCTGCGGGCGAAACCATCTTGCGTAGCTTGGACGAGGGTGATTTAGAATTTTGGTTGTTTGCGCAGAGGCAAGGTAGAAAGCGTTCGGTGATTTTCGTAAACATCTCGAGCTTCGATAAGGATTGGAAGATTAAGCGAAGCAATGGAAGACTCCGATAATAAACCAAATAAAAGTATAGTGATAGACGAGTGAATGCCAGGCTTCATGTCGCTGATCGATTGATGTGCCTCCCGGGTTTCATCGCTCGCTGCTCTGGAACATGCCCCAAAGCCATCTCCTTCTTACTTCCTGCTCTGTATGAACATCAAGATACATTCTCTATCACCCGAGGGTGATGAAGTGTCAAGAAACATCCGTGTCCGCATGTTATCTACTATCGAGCTCGCTTTCTCGACGCCTATGCACACTCCTATCATAAGGTCAGACGCCTGTTCATCTTCTTCCGTCCTCGGTTGTATCACTTACACGAATTGGAGGTATCGTCAATGTCCGAGAACGATCGGAGAGTTCCGCCAAACTTTGCTTTCAATTCGGATATGACCTTCTTAATGGCGATCCCGCGCTCCTCGAACCTTTCGATCTTAATCCCGGATTTGAAGTGCTTTACCTTGAGCGTTCCGACTTCTTCTCTGAACGAATCTGCGATCTTCTTCTCTTGTCGTAAGGTCTCTGTCAGGTCGAGATGCGATTGGTCTTGTTGTTCGAGTTTCCTCTCAAGTATTTCCTTCTCGTTTCCGAGTTGTTCGTACTTGCGCGACAACTCAGCCTTAGTTGTATTGACCTTCTGGCACCTATAGATAGAGGGAGCCAACCGATACTCCAGATGCTCCACTTGATCTCGGAGATCTTCGCTCTCCTTCCTTCTCTTGCGAACAATGGTTGAACCGATTTGTTCCTGGAGTGTGATGAGCTCTTCGATAGTCTGTGAATCCATACTGTATGAGGACAAGTGATCTTTCTTTCGTAGATGATGATCAGATATTTCAAAGATCAGAAGACGAACGAGATAGTTTGAGAGAAGTTCATTTCCGAGAGGCAGATGGAGGAAGGCCCAAAGCATCCGCTGCTGCTGGTCGCTAGTTCCTCGTGCTTAGCGCATGTTAGGTCGAGTCGAAATCAAGTTTACCTTCTTACACTCACTCAAGAATAGTTTTACATCATCGCAATCCTCACGAAAGAGCACTTAGAGTATTCTCTTGATCAGATACTGAGACACATCATGTGATAACGGTTTCCTGCATGAGTGCCCCTGAGTATCCATTTTTCGAAAAAACAATACTCGCTCCTTCCCTGATCAACTTGACAACATTGAAGCTTCATGCGCCTTCAAAATCCTTGAATGGCCGCATACTTCCATTTGCCTCTGCTAACACACGAGGTGATGGATAGAGTCAGACTCAGCCGTGCCGCAACTCATAAATGACGCCCATTCATGTGCAGACCCCTCAGCATATCGTTCTCCTGGACCAGCTCTCCGTTTTTTTTGACCACTCTTCTATTGGATGCGACAATATTGTTGTGAGCTCTGTTCAACTCTTCATACTTGCGCTGCAGCGAGCGAAGTTCGTCAAGCTTTGTTCTGAGCTGATGATTGGTGTCCAGGAGATGTCTGTTCAACATCTCAAGTCTGCTTTCCAGCAAAGGCACCTCGTGGCCGTGTCTACGAGCTCGCTCTTGTTCTTCTTGGGAGACTACGGTGCGAAATGTGGTTTGGTGCTCCCAGCGAGGGTCAGTATGATTTCTGCCGCTGGACATGGTGGTGCGTTTGCTATGTATGTAGGTTGTTGTCGTTATGCTTTTTGGTGGTTGACGGGCAGTTGTCCTGAGGGAGACTTGGCTTTTACGAGGACTCATTGTGTAACCGTGAGAAATGTTTACTTCTTGCAATTGGAGTGGACGTATCCATGATACTGCTGTGGGAGCGAGTCCGTATCATATGTAATGGCTGCTCATGTTATTCTGCCTTTGATGAACGCAGACAGATGATAGTAGCTTGATATAAGTGGAGGTTTGACAAAGCAAACTTGGTGTAGCAAACAAATCCAACATCAGGAGGAAAGAGTATTAATCCCTGGCCTTGGAGAGGTCAGCCAATACCGTATCCTGACACTGTTACATCCGAGCCTAGCCGATGATGAGTGGCTGGGTTGAGTGCTGGAGGTCCTCATTCTCATCCTCGGTTCCTGATATGGCACAAACTCACGAGTAACGGCAATTTGTAGGCGCGTTCCAGGCCATAAGTATCTTTCGAAGGGATTGATGAGGACATGGATCATTTTTGAACGGTGCTACGTCTTCTAGAGGAGTGAATGTTACCTGGTGAATGGTAGTTGTGCACATGACTCTAGCGCGAGAGGAGAGCCCATTTCAGCCAATTCAATGGCTGGCTGTTTGGAAAACAATCTTTCTGCCGATTTGTTGTTCTCTGACGAGGAGGGAGACCGAGGGACAGCATCTTTGAGCATCACTGGGATACAACCCCGATCGAGCCTAGCTTCTCTTCCACTCTCACTACAACAATTCCACAGATTCAACCCCTTATCAAGAGATAAGTCCTGTGGCTCACAGGCGCTCGTCAAACCTCTCCAATGTCTAGCATAAATAGAATCCAGAGGTTGTGAGTTCGACTCGCAGCCTTGGTTGGTCGCAATTATGACTTTGGCTGCAAAGATGTTTCCCAATTAAGTTCTGGTTTTTCTTGCTAATGGTGTGCGTGGCTTGTTTTGCTTGTTGTAGTTGCGAGTATGCGAAGTACTTGGTGATGAATGATGCAGGCATCGAGTTGTTCCTGATAACGTTCCTCTCCAAGTTCAGGTATCGCGGCCTTGATTTGATGAAGTGGACTCGGGTCGAATCTGCCAGATCGACAGCGAGATAGTTGTTGAGACACCGGATAAGACCGACACAGTCACTACGTATAGAGCACTTGACAGGAGATGAAGGAGAGACTCCTAAAACGTGTTGTCGTTTCCCTCAAGACAAATCTGTCTTGTTGTGGTGGGAACCCTGAGTGTGATCGTAATGAATTGTTATTGAAGGATGATTATAACATAAATCCTTGACAGAAACAATGAACCGAGAACAATGGACAGCAAAGAGACAATGGCGAGCAGTTTCTCCTCCAAGCTTCTCCACCGCCTTCCCTATCACCGACGCATGCACGACGAGCTACTCTTCGCGGAGACCTAGATGGCCGTACTTTACCCAATGCACACAGTGGGAGAGTAGCTCGTGTACCTGGTTTCATATACGAGTCAGCATTTACTCCATTTCTCAGCAATGACAAAGGATATACTGACCATTAAGGCACCTCTTGTGGCGTAGGCGTCATCTTCGGAACACTTATCATTGTCGTACGATCAGGGGCCAACAACTCTGCGAAGAAAGCATTGACCTCGTCCTCCCTGGTGATGTTCGAACCAGTGGTCGCTCTGAGCGGGACAGTGTAGGTCACTGTGGCAATAGCAGGCTCTGCATCTTGCTTGACGACCCCACCGTCCGCAAGTGTGACTTCTGTCTTTTCCGACGCCGGCATTGCCATGAGCAACTTCACAACCCGTTGTTTTTCGGAAAGAGAGGTTTCCTCTCCCATGACGACGGGATTAACCGGCATCCAACAAGGAGGCACCAACGGAACGAGACACATTGCGATCCAGAACGGATACGTAAGTATCAGAGTGACCATTTTGGTGGAGAGAAGAGGTTCGTGATTTGGGCGAGAGAAGTATGATGTGTGTTTTGTGTGAGAAGATGGAGATCTTAGTTGGGTGGATCATTCTCAGATGATGGGCGGTCTATATACCCGTATGGCTGCGCCATGGCGGCTAGAAAGGTTCACAGAGTGAGGTGACCTTGGATTAGGTTCCGAAGCGGAGATTGACAACCTGTACTAAGATCTTAGATGTTCTGGTCAGACTATTTGTGCCATAATCAACGGGGTGGAGTGATCAAATTGCCGTCTTCATATCTAGGTGATAGTGGAGAAACTAAAGTCGATATGCCTCGCATCTCACATGATATCGACATGGCTAGAAGTTGCGAATCAATGAATATGTACTGGCTCATCGATCAACTACTGTGCATCACTTTGCCTCTGGTTACAATACAGCGTGGAAATCAAGAGGAAGGAGCAAAGCTTCATATCAATAGCGAATATGCACCTCACGAGATCCAAAACAAGACTGAGAGGTTGACTGAAGCTTTGAGCCTAGTCCGAGAAAGCATGTGCATATAAGAGGGTTTCTGAAAGTATATCTTTTTCGCCTTTTTGACGACGACATATCAACGCTTCTCCGCTTTCCAGTGGCTCGAGCCTGGCTCACGCCACCGATTCGTCCTGTGATTGTAGCCACTCGCTTGTTTCCTTCACCTCACAGTGGAGCACACTCGTTGGCCAATTCAGGTAGACAAAGTTACCTTTGGGGTCGGTCAGCATCTTTTGTAGCCAATTGCATCTCTGATCAGATCCACTCACAGCCTCTAATTGTGCTCTGGCAGACTCTACCTCTAGCCGACTCTTCTTGATCTGGAGCTTGCAAGCCCCGATAGTATCGGCAATGTACTGGTCCCGAAGCACCCAGAAGAGGTTGACCTTTGCTTGTTCCTCTGCCCATATTCTGATACGCTGTTCAAGACCCACATGCGCTCCCTTTTCAGCAGAAGCGTAATCGAGCTTGTAGAAGATATCAACGTTGGTCTCTATAATCTTCTCGACGAGGTCATGAATCTTGTTGTGCTGGACAAGATTCTTAGCCACCTTGGCGGCTTCGGTTCCGATGGTGAGTATCTTCTTTGCCTCACGCGACTCCAGGTCGTACTCGAAACTGGTGTAGATTTGCTCTGGGTGGAACTGAGGACGTGTCCGAGCACTAAGTGCTCTTACCATTTTTGTACAGATCTTGTTGGCCGTGAGAAGATTGTAGGTCTTAGAGTGCTCACTGGTAGTGGGGGAGGCTTGGATCGGTTCGCGCTGTGGAATGCGGTAGTGACCTGGGTGGATGGTGAGGTGTTAGGGCATGTGGGACAAAGAACAACTTAGTGACAATGTAGGGGAAGAGGACCGAGTCGCGGCGGTGGGGTATTGAAGATTGAGTAGCAAGAATTGTTTACTCGATTTACACCGCCTCGTGGATGCGGCAGTGAAGACAAGATACGGATGAGCTCAGCAGGGATCCAGAGCTGTGTTCAATAAAGGCCTCAGCACGCATGAGCCTGCTCCCAAACGCCAGAACATAGATTTAGCATGCGAAGTGACCGTGGAAGAGAAGAAGAAAGTATTTATGGTACAAGGAGCGCATATGTGCCTTTTCAGAATCGGGCTACACTATACCTCCGATGGGTGCGCAGTGTGTGTACAAGCCTTTCCATGTATCTTCTCTCGCGTCGGTCTTGATCATCGATAATTTGCTGCATCCTCCAGGAACAGAGCCCGAAACTCATTCCGCGAGCACGTGAGATGCTTCCAATGGCCGTACGTGACCCAGAAGCGGTGCGCATACCGGGAGGAGTGCAGCTCCCAAGTGGTGCAACCATTCCACATTTGACAGGCGTCGTTACTCGTTAACATCCAGGACGATGCATGTGACTCATTTCTTATCGTCCTGAGCCTTCTTCTTGCCCTGCTTCTGCTTCTTTCTCTTGCTACGGTCCCTCTTCTTCAATGCCTGCATGCCTTGCTTGCAGACATCGGCGTAACGTGTGTAGAATGCTTCCAGCTCATCAGGTTGTACAACAGTGCTGAGCTTGATCTTTTCCGACTTCTTGCGATCCTTCGTTTGCGAGTTGCCGTCTGTCGCGCGAATGAGGATGGGTAGGGGTGCTGATGGAGCTTCGAGGTCGGCAAGGGGAGAGTCGGCAGGCTTGGAGGTAGATGACCCTTGGGCGGACACTTTTGAGAGTTAGGAAATTCCAGACAGAAGATGCAGCAATATGCGTACGTCGCTTTTGTGTCAGGAAGATGCTGCCGTGACCTTTCTGTTGGCGCGTCTCGAGAAGAGAGCCGAGTTTGGTGAAGAACTGTGTCAATATTAGTTTAGGATCCTTGGGACGCCTATGCGACCGTACCTCTTCGTTGCTGAGATGTGACGACATATTTGTGGCTGTGGTGTGAAAGATGGCACGACAGCAGCACCTGTTTGAACGTCGATGCGCGCAGCGACGTTGATATGGAAGTTGCTACCGACCAGCGCGGCCTCCGTATCTACCAACAAGATATTTTCAATCTGGCAGTCGCTCTCTCTTAGTGCTACATAATCGAATACCCATCTCGAGGAATAATCCTACGTTAACAAGCGGCACGAGTACGAAAATATGAGCCTTATTACTAATCTTGATCAGTTCGATCGAGTCCAACATGACACCATGCCTTTGGACAGCTAGAATGACGGCATGGAGGATATGGTGGAGACAGGCAGGAACGGAACGTTCAATTGCGAGGGCCGGCGGCGACAAGGTCGACACTCCCGAGTTCTGGGGAAATTCACATGCTGCCAAGTTCTCTCAAAATAATTATTTATGCTTTTGCCCTCTGTGGTCTGATTAAATCTCTATATATACAACCAACATGCGACCAAACGACTCTTTCATCAAGCCGAAGCTGCCGAAGGCGCTCCTGGATCAGATTGGCGGCGATGCCACCAACAACAAGAAGAATGCGACTACCCGCAAGGAACGCCGAAAGAATGAGAGAAATCAGAAAAAGCAGAGCCATCAACAATCAAGATCCCGTCCACCGCCACAGAGACCTCAACTGCAAAGACGTCCCCAGCCTCAACCGCGACGCGACGAGGTTTTCGAAAGCGACGATGAGCCAACGCCACCTCCGAAGCCAAAGTCCAAGCCTACAAAAGCTACGGAAGATAAACCAAAGTCCATCTTGAAGACGACCAAGAAACAAGATCCTTCGAAATCGGAAGACACAGAGAGCTCTCAGCCTCGGGTTTCTAGGGCTGTCAAAGACAGATTGGCTCAAGACGATGCTGAAATTGCTGCTTTGGAGAAGAGACTCGGTATCAAATCGACGAAGAGGTCAAAGGCATTCGCAGACGACGGTCTGGATGACTTGCTAGAAGGTTTGGATGGTTCCGATGAAGAAGATGGCCCCAAGAGAAAACGTTCAGACGATGATGACTGGTTGCAACAAAAGAGACGGAAGGTTAGCCAAGCTGCTGCTTCTGCCGCTCGTGAGGAAGAGTCGTCAGATGATGAGGAAGATATCAGCGGCGACGAGGAAGACATGAGTGGCGATGAAGACGAGATCGACGGTCTCGACGATATTATGGATGGTCTGGGCGAGAGCGACGAAGACGACCTTGATCTTGATGGGCTGGGAGAGGACGATGAAGAGGAAGGAGAAGAGTCCGACGACCTGGAAGATGATGGTGACCACGACATGGACGGAGAGAAATTCGAAGACTTTGATGAGGACGACGAGGACAGCGAAGAGGAAGCTCCAGCACCAAGGGTACGCGAGAACCCATATGTTGCTCCTGTACCTGCGGGAGCTGCGCCTGTCCAAAAGTATGTCCCGCCATCATTGCGTGGCGCTCCGTCATCAGACACCGAAGCACTGGCACGTCTTCGTCGTCAGATCCAGGGTCAGCTCAATCGTTTGTCCGAAGCGAATCTTTTGTCTATTCTGCAGGCCATCGAAGAGATCTACCAGAACAACCCTCGCCAATATGTCACCACAACTCTCATTGATCTCCTACTCGGACTCATCTGCGACCGCACCACACTACAAGATACCTTCCTCATCCTTCATGCAGGTTTTATGGCTGCATTGTACAAGGTCATCGGAACAGACTTCGGTGCTCAAGTCATCGAGCGCATTGTGAACGACTTTGACAGACACTACACTGGAGGTACTACAGCTGGAAAGGAAACTTCCAACTTGATGTCATTGGTTTCTGAGCTCTACAACTTCCAACTCGTCGGCTGCAACCTGGTATTCGACTACATTCGTCTGTTTTTGACAGAGCTCAATGAAGCCAATACAGAACTGCTGTTGAAGATCATCCGCAATTCTGGACCTCAGTTGCGTTCGGACGATCCCTCAGCGTTGAAAGACATTGTCATTCTGGTGCAAAAGGAGGTTACTCGTATCGGCGAGTCAAATCTGTCGGTCAGAACGAAATTCATGATTGAGACTATCAACAACCTCAAGAACAACCGTGTCAAAACTGGTCAGGTGGCGTCTGCTATTGTGTCGGAGCATACGACAAGAATGAGAAAGACCCTAGGCACCCTCAACAACAGATCTTCCCTCAAGGCAAGCGAACCTCTTCGCATCGGACTGGCAGATATTCGTGACACTGAGAAGAAGGGCAAGTGGTGGCTTGTTGGCGCCAGTTGGTTAGACCCCGGAAAACAGACCAAGGATCAGGATCAGGACCAGGACCAGGATGCAGACGAACCCACAGTCAAGGCCTCGAAACGCGATTCGACAAAAGTCTCAGCAGACGATGGCAACGTCGATCTGATTCAGCTAGCACGCCAACAAGGCATGAATACCGACATTCGCCGCGCCATCTTCGTCACGATCATGTCAGCTACCGACTACAAGGATGCGCATCTTCGACTTCTCAAGCTAGGCTTCAAGAAGGCGCAAGAGCTCGAGATTCCTCGCGTATTGATTCACTGCGCTGGTGCTGAAGCCACGTACAATCCATACTATACACTTATCGCCAAGAAGCTTTGTAGCGAGAAGCGTATGCTCAAAGCCTTTCAATTCGGACTCTGGGACATCTTCAAGCGTCTAGGCGAGAAGCCGCTGACAGCTGACGATGAAGATGATGCGTTCGATGACGACGAGGATGAGAATATGAGTACGCGCAAGATTGTCAATCTCGCACGATTCTATGCCGATCTCATCACAGGCGGCGGTTTCCCTATTACATCGCTGAAAACACTCAATTTCGCATACTTGCAGCCGAAGACAAACACATTCACAGAGGTGCTCTTGACGCGGATTCTCATCCAAATGATGAGGTCGTCATCTAAAGGCAGCAAATGGGATCTCTCAGTCAATGAGGTGTTCTCTAAGGCTCAAGAGGTACCTAACATGGTACAAGGATTGCGCTACTTCATCGAGAAAGTGATCAGGAAAGCTGAAATCGCCACGAATAAGAAGGAACGAAAGGCAGTCAAGGAAGGTTGCGCAGCCGCAATTGAGGCATTGACGACCCATATTGCTCGTGATGATGGCAGCGAGGATATGCTGAGCGACTCTGATTAGATGCTCGTCAGTGGAACATGCTAGAATTTGAGAAGTACTGCGCATTTCTGCAGCCAAAATATGAATATACCAATTAAGCTGGGAACCTGTTCGCGCGGTTGAGCGTACTCAAATGTACTTTTCCACGCCTTTGGATGACTAAAATCACATATCTTCTGGTGATAGTCTCCACAGCATGAGATGTTTGCACACGGGCTTGTCAAGGTGTTGCATAAGCTTTCCATAGTTATGTATGGCTTGTGCACGAGACCCTGCGACGTCAGCACCGTCGTCACTTTCGTGGGGTAGTGGTTTCCCTGTCCTTCGAAGTCAACCGGAAACACGATCCAAACACTCAACATCAAACAACATGGCAGACGACGAACTAGCAACCAGAGCACCCGAAAGTGACTTGGCCGAGGATAGCGCCATCCCCGGCGACTCGGCCGTCGACCAAGGTGCAAGTCTTGGAGTATGTTCTGATCACCAACGCATGATGCGAATGCGACCAAGCTGACAACCAGGATAGAATGAACAAGCTCAAGTCCACGAAGCAGGACGTGAGAGACCCTCTATATCTATCAAAGACTCATGAATTAATAGTCATTACAGAAGCAACCTCAACCCCCCAAGTCCCCACCGGCGAAATCACCAAATTCAGCGACATCGAATGCTACATTACGAAACCCGCCGACTACCCACACGCCCCCTGCAAACTCCTCCTCTTCCTAACCGGCGGCACCGGTATCCATGCCCCAGCCAACAAACTCCAAGCCGACGCCTACGCCGAGCAAGGTTACCTCGTCATCATGCCCGACCAATTCAACAACGATCCAGCTCCCAACTCGGTTTTCTCTGCTGCAGACAACCAGTCCAGTTTCCTCGAGCAGTTGAAACTTAGAGCTGCAGAGGTGGCAAAGAGCTTTAGGTTGGATATGTGGTTGGCGAGACATACGCCTGCTTCGGTGCTGCCGAGGTTGGCCAAGGTGGTTGCTGCTGTGAGGGATGAGTTTGCGGATGCTGTCCAGGCTGGTGGTGGTGTGTATTGTGTTGGTGTCAGTGTCGGTGGCAGACATGCGTTGTTGCTCGCTAGCGAGTTGGGCGCTGATGTCTTTGAGGGTCAAAAGGAGGTCAGTGAGGAGGCGGCTGGCAAGGTTGAGGAAGGCATGATTAGAAGGGGCCCAGCCGTCAAGGCTGCCGTTATCCTTCACGGCGCTACTATTGAGCGTGAGGACTTTGTGGCTGTCAAGTCTCCCATTGCTTTGTTGTCTGTGGATGAGGATGCTCTATTTGGCGAGGAGGTACGCGAAGCTGGAGTCAAAAGTATGAAGGAGAAGGGCGTCGAGGTTACCGAATGGACCTACCCTGGTGTTCCACATGGTGAGTCGGTCTCTTTGGAATCAGCAGGAGCAGCAACTAACATCATTTGCAGGCTTCGCAGTTGTGGGCGAGTATCAAGACGAGGCCATTAAGCAGGCTCAGAAGCAGGCCTTTGAGGCCGTCCTCGAGTGGTTGAAGGCTCATTGAGCATTGGCATCATACCTTGGGGCTCGGTGTCCGATGTTTCCTGCGTTCTTCATCATCGACTTTTCTTCTTGCAGACTTAGCACTATGATACCAATGACAGTCTCTTTGCACCAGAACTCTTGAACTGGTTCCATGTGGACGTATCATTTCTCGGTGTGATTTTAGCAGTGTGGTAGAGAATCGGCGAATGTTTCGCATTACACTCCTGCCTCGGAACTACACCATCTCAACATCCCCCCTCAACACAGCCCCCTTGACAGAACTCCACCTAACACACCAAACATCCCCCCTCCTCAACTCCACAACACCCACCCCCTGCTCCCCCTGCACCTCCACATGCCCCGCGTCCCTCAATACCCTCACAAACACCGCAGCCTCTGTATCAGGTCCATCAACCATTGAAATACCTCCTGCTGTATCGTCTAATTTCTGCAGTTGTGCTGGAAAAGAAGACAGAAAAGAGGTATTGAAGTGGTGGGAGAGGAGACTGCAGCGGTGGGTTAGGTATTGGGATTCTGTGGGTGAGAGGTTGGGAGAGGGGAGGTGGTGGTGAGGGTATTTGTCTAGCTGTGAGAAATGGCCATGTTAGCATTAATTTTCTTGAGGAGGAGGAGGAGGAGGAGGAGGATGAGGGAGGTGAGAGGAAGGGGGGGAGAAGTTGATAATTACTTTTGCTATTCTCGCCCGCAAGAAAGAGCGGATTAAAAATTTGAAGCGTTCGAGTTCTGTTTGTGTGACGATGAGGTTAAAGTTTGCTGATGGATCCATTGTTCCCGTCATGTCTTCTACAGTTTCAATCTATTTTTTCCCGGAAGAGGTCTTTGATTAGTTTCTTGCTTGTCTTTTTCAATGTTGCGATTTTGTGTTTTGCTTCCGCATGACTGGATTCGAGAGCTCCGTCTCTGTTCCCCCTTCCCTGCCCTTGTGCATTCCCAAAAGTTTCTCATACTTTACATGTCTCCCAACCAGAAGAAACGAACTCAAGACAGAAATCGAGAGTCGAAGAATATTCTTACCTGCAATTTTATCCTGTCCATCACTCTCTCAACCAATTCTTCCGGCCAAGGTAATAACTCAGGCGCACATCTCTCCGCCACCCAAGCTCTCGTCAAAGCTTGTAAATCTGCTGTCCTTTGTGGTAATCTCTCTGTATTTGACACCGAGGCCAGGATATCGTCGATATTCATGATTTTTGTCGTCTAGTCTCGATTTTTCTTGGCGGTCGAGAAGTGAGTTGATTCGGCCAGGCAATTTGTGGACTGCGATTTGAGGGGGATATGGTCTTGAGTCGATGTTTGGCTGATTGGCGATGATTAAATTGTCGCTTGGTGATTTTGATGTTTCGTAAATGGCAGTGATGGTGGTGGTCTTGGGTCCTGCTTCTTTCGGTGTGGGGGTGACGCGTTTGAGCGCGTCATTTCCGCGCGGCAGCCATTCACGAAGGAGGTCTTTAAATCACTCGACCTTCAATCGTTCAATTATCGAACCCGTGCAGAATGCACCATTGTATGAGTGGATCGGTTCAGCAAATCTATGATGTTGTGAACTCTTCATATCATGACGTCCTTTTTTGTTGATCTACTAGCAAATTCCTCTCATGACAGTATTAAAAAGGTAGAAGAGAAGGATAGCAAGAGCTAGGACGCAAAGAAGCAGCTGAGCAATACAAGAGCGACATCCTCGGAGTCTCTATAACACCAGCCAACTGACACCAATCCAACCTCCTATGCCCGCGATACCAATTAACAAGACGCAAATACCCATGACGACTCCAGCGACTACTCTATCCCCAGCACCCATAAACCCAGCTCCTTGACCCGGAGAATGCGAGTTCTTGCCCAAGAAGATCCAAATCAATGTTGCTGCAAGACTGAGCACGAGGACAAGAAGTAAAGCGAGTAATATCCTCCTCACCGACCACGAAACCACAAACTCAAGCCCTTCATGCTGTTCCAATCGTCTGATCATTGAGAAGCGATTATTCACCGTTGACGTCGTCGCAGGAGAAACAGGTGTTCGCACAGCTTCCGGTGCAGCAGACGGAGGCCCAGAAGCAGGTGGCAGTGGTGTCGTTATTGCCGGTGCATCTGCCAATCTGTGCGCCCAGCTCACCCAGGCATATCTGCTTTTCCCCGCCGCTTTCGGATCGTGAAAGAACCGTAATAGCTTTTCTTCGCTGAAAGTGTCGTTGAGACCGTTGTAGGCGAGCGTACGTGGTGAGCGTGGCGTCAAGAGCCAGCCATAGCCTGAATCTGCTTGTTTACTGGCGTCACCACTTACACAGATCATGGTAAGACTTCGAGCCGAGAAGTGGCGCCACGGTCCCAGAAGATCCTTGTAGTGCCTTCGCAATTGACGAAACAATTCTGCATCATCGAAGTCTTGGAGAGCGTATTCTTTCGTTCGATCAGAGCTTCGACGTCGATTCTTCACGGCGCTAAACTCGCTATTTGCTGGAATAGTGAGAGTAGAGATTCGTAGTCGACTGTTGGGGTTGCTGCGACGGATGCCCAAGGTCACTACACTATCGTGCACACGAGGACTACGCAGCGTCGGCTCGGATGCTGAGAATTGACGGCCGAATTCTTTGCGATGGATGGCACGAAACGGGTACGGTGTTTTGATATGTGGTTGCTGCATGGTGATCTTTGATGTATCGATAGGTGGCGGCGCCATAGTAACCTTCTTAGCAGGCGCCGAGACCGAGCGATACCGGGAGTTGCGCCACTCTTGATATCGCGAGTCTCGAGTAGGTATCGGTGGCGGCGTTGGTGGAGGGTTTGAAGAACCACTGATGCCGGTCAAAGCCTGCATCGTGAGGTGATGCACTTCTTTGATCTGACGAGCCACAGCCAGATCTTGACTCTTTGGTAGTATTGGACTCTCTTCTTCCAAGACGTGTGGTGAGTTTTGGTGGAAGAGTCCGTCGACTAGCATGTTGCTTCTCCTTACTGGCCGGACAGGCGTCAACTCCTCGACCGATCCGATGTAAGAGTCTTCCTCGCTATCAAAACCGCTCTTGCATGCCTCACGCGTCAACTGCTGATATTTCTCAAAGTCTGTGGGCTCAACTGGAGAACAAGGTGATGGTGGACTAGGCACTCTTCGTTCAGGAACGCAGTTTGACTGAAACTGCTCTGTAGTACCGCCCAGGTAGTGGCCTGATCGTCTTTGTTTGGAGAGAGGTCTCTGATCATTACTTCTAGTGGCTTGAGGCAGAGAATGCGGTTCAGGAATATCGGGGAGATGTGTTTCTTCCTCTGGTGTTGGATTGTCCAAGAAGTTTCTGGCACCGAACTCTGCCTGACTGTTGATCGATTCGAGTAGGAACTCTGGACGTACGCTTCGGACCGGACTTCCTACTTCGTGCTGATGTATAACCTCCGGTGCTCTTCCAGGTGATGCTGACATACGAATCTCATGCATGGGATTCATTGTTGATATGTTGTGCGCGATGAAGCCGCCTTGATGTGATTATCCTCAATAGCTATTCGATTGTGTACATCTTGTGGTCGTACGTGAACAATCGAGCTACTGCCCAGACGGCCCGTATTGCCATATTGCCCTTGTAGGAAGGAGTGGTAAACACACCATTGTCGCGAGGAATGCGGGTAGTTGCATGCTAGAATTACCCGGTAAATTTGCCTCCACAACAGACACATCTATCGCATGCCGCAAAAAGAATGCGTGCCAAAGATACCGGAGGCTCTTGGTCGGAACTCCCTTGCATCACGACATCTTCATCTGTTCCAGCATCTGCATCTGCCTCTTTGCCATCTGTGGCCCTGAAGCTGGGCATCATAAACTCGTTGATGTACTGAGCATTACAGATTGAACAGAATTTGGCTGTACCTGGCGTTTGGATGGCAAGGTAGGAGAGTGTGCATCGAGCTAATGTTTGGTCAGTTTCTCGTCCTCGTGCAATAACAGTTTGGTCTCGGGCTCACGATATTGATGGTTATTGACACACTTTGCCCACCGAAGGCTCTCGAAGGGTATGTTGGTGTTGCATATCTCGCATCTCTCGATCTCCTCCTCTTCTAGGTTAGAAGCGTCAGCGTCTGCGTTTCCGGCTCGAACTTGGAGCCTCGCCAGTATCAAACTGTGGATCTGCATGATAGAGTTGCTTAGTAAGCTTGCGTCTGCAACAAAGTGTGGTAGACGAGATATCTCGGAGACAATCTTAAGCACGACTGTAGCATCAAGTGGCGGTGTTTTTGGAACGTCAGTCTTGACATACTTCAACAACTGTGTCACGCGGCTTTCGACACTTTCGCGATTAAACAAGATGTTTTGCCTTACTTGGCGCACAATCAGCTCGACGGGGGTGTCTTCAGTAATTTGTCCCTGGTTTGAGTTCACCAAGGGTAAATCTGCCAGATCGAGTGCTTGCATGACTTGTTCGGCAATGAAACTGTCGTCAGCAAGAGCTTCGGGACCACGCACAGAAAGACTCTGTAAACCAAAGAGCAGAGCCTCAGCGGTCAACTCTGTTGACAATCAGCGATGGTAGTAGTCAAAGATTTGGCAAAGCTTACCATAAGCATTTGATGGAGATCCAGCTAGAGCAAACTGCAAGTCATCATTACACTGGCTTGTGATGAGGTATGAAAGCTCGTCAGAACTCGTTGTGTACTCGACTCCATCGCTTGGATGGAAGCTGACGTTGACTGCGACCAAATCTCCGAATGGAGACACGGACACGCCGTATGCTCGTGACATGACGTTGCCAGCAAGACCGTACTCATCGCTGAAGCGTCTTTGCCCTCTAAGCAAGTCATGCTGCCAGTTCGTGGATCCAAGGCCCGAAGTCGGCGTGAAAGGTAAAGCAAGACTTGTAATGCGATCGGAGCCCGAGCCAAGATGATATGCCATCTGCACAGAAGTATTCTCGTTGTCGTCCTGAACGAAAGTCATGCCTATGGTTCTGTTAGAGCGGTCAGAGATAGTGTGTTGTTCATGACATACCAGCGATTTCATCCCACGGAGTATTAATGTCTTGAGCAGTAACTTGAACATCAAGAACGTGTCCTGGTTGGACTTGCAGGCAGTAGAAGGTCTTCCGGGTCGGGTAAACGAGGAATGCTTCCTTTGCACCGTTCAGCTTCGGGGCCCACTTCATGCACCCAACGGCCTGAGTATCGAGTACGTTCTCCATCAGCGGTACAACATGGCCAGCGACCACTTCAGTCAAGGCTCCTTCGTTGACAAGCATTATACTTGTGCATTGTAGTGATGATTGAGACGTGAAGGCTAACATCGATGTCAATGTGTTGGTTGAATCCAGGGCCCAAGGACTCCAGGCCAACTGATCCACAAATGGAGTCCTCCACTTGAGCGTTACTGGCATACAAGCGCTGAGGGCTGCCTGCTTGGTGTCAGGAACCTCAACACCAAACGAAGCCACTACCGAAAGATCCCATTTTGACGTCTTCGAGTCCGCAACATCGTAAGGTGTTTGTACGTTGATGACCAAGACTTCGCCGCGATCATTAGAAACAGCCAGGTATGGACTCCTCGTTGAACAGTCCCCCGAGGCGCCAGACAGAGAAGGGTTTGGTGGTGCTGGACTCCACACGAATGCTCTGATGCGCTGTTTTGCTCTGAGTCTTTCAAGGTGGTCAGGTTCGCTCTCCTCCTGACCTCGAAGGTCCTTTTCTCTGAAGTGAGCTTGGAGGGCGTGGTTGATAACACAAGCCCTGACCCAGTCTGTGGCGATCTCCGGCTTTCCGATGCATTCCCATATTGATAGGACGTGGTTGGAAGTCAGAACAGCTAGGACACTTCGCTTGTGCTTGCCGAGTCCTGGCGGAGACCAATCGAGGGCGTGTACGAAAGACTCTGACATTTCTTCGCCGATAGAGAAGTTGTTCCAGCTCAAGGGCAATTGAAGTTGAATGTCTTCGAAGGTGAAGAAGTTGGTCTTGAGGTTGATCTTGTCCCATCTTCTCTCGTCTGATACGACCACCTTGAGGCGTGGCACCTATAACTATTAGTCGTGGTCATATCTAGAAATCAAGTTTTACTCACGAACAGACTGACATGGTCGCTGCCGCCGACTGCAATAATACCTTCTTTTGACCAAAAGATGTTGTCAAGAGTATTCGGATAGAAGTCGATGGTAGTACCGCCGTTGGAGCGATTGTATTTATCCCAGACCATCTTGACAGATTTTGATGTCGACCCTGAATGACCGGAATGTTGCGCGTCTGCAGATTTTGAGACGGAGATATATCTGCGCAAATGCTGTAGCGATATGCCGATACAATAACGCCCGGCGCACTTGAGATTAGGTGGAAGCTCAGATGTTGGATCTGAACAGGGACGCGTCAAATGAAATGAAAAGCTACCTGAGATGTTGGTGGGCTTACGGCATTGACAAAGGCGTGATCTCGCACCTCCAATGCTATCTTTGACCGATACTCCTGCAGCGCTTCAGAGGAAATCGCGAGTCTCAATACTTTCATCAGTGAAGAAGTCGCGATGCTCAAAACAACGAGAGACTCCCGGCTGCAACTCCGCATCCGCAAACGCCAAGACCGTCGTGGGGGAGGTGTTACACGGTAGCAACCACTTCCGGCATCAAGGTACTCTTCTTGTCGGCCTGACAGTCGAGTGATATTCAGGCACGATGGTTCTCTCCTTTATTCTGATACAGAACCGGCAGTAAGGGAGCTCGAAATCCTCCTTACAGCACAAACTAAAGAAGCTTAGGGGAAAGACGCGCCTGGCGAAGTGGTATGCGCCATACAGTGTAAGCACCTACTCTGCCAGTTGAAGCTTGACAGTTCGCTGACACTCATGCCAGGACGAAGAGAAAGTAAAGTTAAAAGGCGAGGTACGCTATCGACCCTCTGGATCCACACCTCCTCCATTCACCACAGCCACCCATGCCCTCCCCACGACCAGCTGCTCCCCCGACGAACCCCTCCTCTGACTCTTTCTCCACCTCAGATCCATCGTCTCGTCGCCCCTCGCGATCAAAAACACCAGTCCAACTTTGTCGAATTCCGCGGCTCCTCAAAAATCGTCTACCGTCGCTACGCCGGACTCTTCTTTTGCGCCTGTGTAGACGCAAACGACAATGAACTAGCATACCTAGAAGCAATCCATTTCTTCGTCGAAGTGCTGGATCAATTCTTTGGAAACGTGTGCGAGCTGGATCTCGTGTTCAACTTCTACAAGGTGAGAGAAAGAGCAAGGGAGAAGCAGAGGTTACAAGGATAAAGTGCTGACGAAAGGAAACAGGTTTACGCCATCTTGGACGAAGTATTCTTGGCTGGAGAGATCGAAGAAACGAGTAAACAGGTCGTGTTGACGAGATTGGAGCATTTGGACAAACTTGAGTGATTGTGGGCATAAGACGACGCGTTTCGATACCATTGGGAAACACTGGAGTTTTGGGAGTTTTTCTTCTTCTGAAGATGGTCATGATATATTTCGGAGGCTGTCTTTTGCAGAGACGCTAGATGTGCCGCATTGGCAGTCTGTCATCGCTATGACCTCGGTTGCCTCCAAAGCCTCTTGCCAGTAAAAGTGAGTGGCTGTGTGTAAAAGTAAAATCAAGAAAGCAGGAGCTCGTCTTTGCTAAGAAGATACCGCGATCCTCCATTCTCGCGGCGGTTTGCGCCTTTCCTTCGTTAATTCGTCATTTCGCTCCTGAGAGCTTCGTACTTCGTAAGTCGTAAATGGCCGCGGCAACATCTGCCCAGCCTTCTGCCAGCAAGATAGTGACATCTTCTGTCTGATCAAGATAGTGTAAGGGTGCACTAGGCGACCCCTCAATCGATCACGATTACTTCCTGTTTGGCGGCCCGAAAGACAACCAATTTGTCGTCAAAGATATCCAGCTCCTCAAGAGAATCTGTGAACTGAGGGACTTTGCCGCAGAACAGAATCTGATGTTGCTCTTCGGTGGTGACATTGCGGTATTCGTTCCACATGGTCTCGACCGTGTTGCTCTAGAGGACAGTCAGTATGTTGTCGAACTCATGTTGAGTGTCGTAAGTCTTACCTTGTTGCCCTTGAGCCAGACGAAGTCTTTCTCGACCTTGGCCTTTTGAGGGGCGACAGTGTGCATCAAGACAGCAACCCAGTATCTGTGAGCAGGCAAATGGTGAGGTTGGAGTTTGACAGCCTTGTTGTGCAAGTCCTTATCCGCCTTCTTTGCCAATTTCTTCTTGATGGCCTTGAACGGGCTCATAGTAAGAGAGTAACCCTCGAACTCAACCTCCTGAGGGCTCTCAACAGCAGAGTCGTGAGCTTCCTCACGGGAGCAAGATACAGCATCGGAGACATCGCCATCTTCAATCTCGTTCTCCGAGACATAATCTTCGACTTCCTCATCGTCTGTGACGACGCGATCAGCGGCACTGTCGGCAGCGGTATCGTCCTGAGCAGTGTCTTCGTCGCTGACAAGGACAGAGGATTCTCTTTGCGTAGAGCTATCATCATCAGCGTAATCCTCGATGTCGACATCGATGTCGGCGCCAGTGTCAAGATCCTCATCGTCGGATGTGGTCGTTTCGTCGTACTCGGGACTGCACGGGCATAGTCAGTAAAAGTCTAATCGCAATCAAGGCTGAACTTACGTAGAGCTGTGCTCTCCCAAATCACTGTCTTGCATCTCTTCATCGCGCAGGTTGGCGACGACCTGATCTACCTGGTCCGCAAGCTCTGTTGCTTCGAACTGGCCTGTCTTGGCCGACAAGTCGTCTTGTCCGAGACTCTTGAAGGTCTCATGATCAAGATCTTGATCGTTCTGGGGACCCGAGACGTGCTCGTCGTTCGTTCTCAAGTTGGAGGCGTGAGCTTCGTAGTTCATGAAGCTCGGCAAGCTGGGAAAGCCCATAGTGTTGACATCAGACTTGGACACTCCTGCTTCCTTAATTGATGGAGTGGGTGAGCGAGCGGACTCGGCAATGGCGTCTTGCAGCTCTCCCATGAGTTGGGCGCTTGGATCGTCCATGTCGAAGTCCGAGATCTCGTTCGAAGATGCGCCATTGACCCTGTGGTCGTTCTCAACCTCAGTAGGTGTCTGAGCGGCCTGTTGCCGAGAAAAGGGAGCCGGCTGGTGGTACATCTGCTGTAAGTCTTGCTGCTGACGAGGAACTTGCTGCGTTGCGTCCTGCTTTCCCGAGTACTGCTGTGCAGGATAAGACATGCCTGGAGCAAAGCCTCTGTTCTGTGCAGAATTTGCCATGTGCCAGTTCTGCATCATTTGAGTTGCAGGATCAAATGTTGTCTGGTGATTGGAGTTGTCGAAAGATGCGGCGGGGAATGGTTGCATGTCTTGCTGGTATGGCATCTGGAACGCGCCGTTGAACGATGGGACTTGCTGAGCAGTCTGGGCTTGCTGATAGTATTGGGCCACAAATGCAGGGTTACTCCAGAAGGCCTGTTGACTGATAGGGGTCTGCTGTGCGTTTGTGGTGCCGGGTCTGATCGAGGGCGGCGGTTGAGATCTTGGGTCATGTTGACCGAAGGAGGCGGGTTGTTCAGCTGCCATGTTTCCCTGTTGTTTTGGATCGTGCTGGGTGTGGCTGTCCATTCTGCCAAACGATGAAAGGTACAGATCGGTGATTGATTTGCAGACTCGAGGGCTGGAAGCGCGAGTAGAGTGGTGGTCGGAAGGTCTGGAAGAGCAACGTCGTCGAAGAGCAATTGTGGAGGTGAAAGTCGTCGAAGAGCAATCGTGGAGGTGAAAGTTTAGGTCGATGACTGGATTGCAAGTGACGGACGCGACTGAGAAGAAAGGTGACAGATGGGGTCCGACTTGTCAAAAGGAAAGGCGGGACGCAATGTAGTGTGGACGAAGAGGAACGACAAAGAGGGAGCCGATACTTCAATGCCTGGACAAGAAGTTGTGATCGTAGTCGAGGCCAAAGTAGAGACAACAAGAAGGTAAAAGGTGTATCTATTGAAGAAGAGAGAATATTCCAGCGTAGAAAAGTGGTGCAGGACTGAGTCTCGAGTCCTGTACTGAAGACCACAGGTCGATGTCAGAAACCAGAAGAGGATGGGAGGAGGGAAGAGTGATCTAGAGGAGAGATGAGAGAGTGGAGATAATTATATTTTGCTAGTGAAGCAGACAATGACAATAACTTGAGGAAATACTGAAGTGAAAACGATTATACCAGACTGGCGTTCTGACCTACCATTGTCCTGGTGCAGTTCGTGGCTCTGCATAAACTATTCATAAGTTGTGCACCGTCGAAGCTTGCATGCGGAAACACATAGCGTGGACAAAGACGGCCGACACAGATGAGGAACCATCTCTAATACTGAGATGTAATTTGTCCGAGACATCTTGAGTGAACCAGGTATGTAGGTCAGAAGGGAAGGATACTATGCGGGCAAGACAGGTGCGACGGGAGAGATCTTGATGGAGGTGTCGGCAGAGTTTCCTGTTTCAGGAGTGACGATGATCAAGGTGATGGCAAGTCATCGAACGAACAAGAAGCCAAAATTTTATCCATAGTTCGATAATCCCATCGGCAGGCCATTATTTCTTTGTCGACTTATAAAGCGCATGCTTGACTGCTTGCGCATACCTGGATGCAAAGAGGCTTTCGCACCCTTTTGAGAGAAATCGGTCCCTCTTCACACTTTCCTCGACTTTTCCATACATCGACTCCGGCGCTTCGCCTCTCGACCAATTCATCGCGCTTCATATCACTACCCTCCTCATCGCATAAGATAGATATACCGCGAATAGCCCTTGCGACCCAGTCCCAGCGTAACACATCAACTCTCGGCAAGATGGATGGACATCAGAATGGAGAGAGTCGCGTCAAGCGTAAAGAACACCCAAGCTCTGCTCAAGACAGACCTCTGAAACAGCTCAGATCTACAGAAGAGCCCGTCAATGGCTTTGCACACGATGAAGAAGACGTCGAAGCACAACCCGTCATGCATGCCGCTACCACCGACTCGGTAGAATGGCAGCGTACCATCGAGACTGTCGTTTCAAAGGTCGTCTCTATCCACTTCTGCCAAACGAGCGCATTCGACACCGACCCGGCCTTGTCAAGCGAAGCAACGGGTTTCGTCGTTGACGCTGAGAGAGGTTACATCTTGACCAACAGAGTAAGTTGCTCTGGTCCGTCGCATTCACCCTCCAAGCTGACAAAGCATAGCACGTTGTTGGCTCCGGTCCCTTCTGGGGATACTGCATCTTCGACAACCACGAGGAGTGCGATGTCTACCCCGTCTACCGCGATCCCGTCCACGACTTTGGTTTCCTCAAATTCGACCCCAAGGCCATCAAGTACATGAAGCTTGCACCCATCGAACTCCGCCCCGACCTTGCACGTATTGGTGCCGAGATCAGAGTTGTTGGTAACGATGCCGGAGAGAAGCTCAGTATCTTGTCCGGTGTCATCTCGAGATTGGACAGAAACGCCCCAGAATACTCTGAGGGATACTGCGATTTCAACACAAACTACATCCAAGCTGCTGCTGCTGCCAGTGGAGGAAGTTCGGGCAGTCCTGTCGTCAACGTTGAAGGTTATGCTGTCGCTCTGCAGGCTGGTGGAAGGCAAGATGGTGCTGCAACAGACTACTTCTTACCTTTGGATCGACCATTAAGAGCTCTGGAGCTGGTTAGAAAGGGAGAACACGTCACAAGAGGAAGTATTCAAACACAATTCCTCATCAAGCCTTTTGATGAGTGCCGCAGACTTGGTCTAACCTCTGAGCGTGAAGCCGAGGTTCGCGCAAAGTTCCCGAAGGAGACTGGTATGCTGGTCGCTGAGGTCGTTCTGCCCAAGGGACCCGCAGACGACAAGATTGAGGATGGCGATGTCCTGATCAAGGTCAATGACGAGCTTCTGACGCAATTCGTCCGCCTGGATGACATCCTGGACTCGAGCGTTGGAGGTCAAGTCAAGATGCTGGTGCAACGAGGAGGTGAAGAGTTCGAGGTTACCATCAACGTTGGTGATTTGCACGCAATTACTCCGGATCGTTATGTGTCAGCCGCAGGTGCTCTCTTCCACGAACTTTCATACCAACAGGCCCGCTTCTACGCCGTTACACTAAAGGACAATGGTGTCTACTGCTGCGAGTCAGGTGGCTCTTTCAGGTTCGAGGGCTGCGAATTTGGTTGGCTGGTCCAGTCTATCGACAACAAGCCTACTCCTAACCTCGATGCTTTTGTTGAAGTCATGAAGGTAATTCCTGATCGCGCTCGTGTCGTTGTCACTTACAAGCACCTTCGCGACATGCACACCCTCAACACATCTATCATCTCTGTCGACAGACATTGGCACAGAAAAATGTCTCTTCATGTCAGAAACGACAAGACCGGTCTGTGGGACACTACTACTCTCGCAGAGCAACTTCCTCCTGTCGATCCCCAACCGAAGAAGGCAAACTTTATTCAAATGGCCGGCGCACAACACCCTGCAGCTGTAGATATCGTGCGAAGCTTTGTCAGAGTCTCGGTAAGCTTGCCGCTCCGTCTGGATGGATTCCCCAAAGGAAGAAAGATTGGATTTGGTCTGGTCATCGACGCTGAGAAGGGTCTCGTCCTCGTGTCGCGCGCGATCGTACCTTACGACATGTGTGATATCACCATCACTGTGGCCGATTCAATCATTGTTGATGGAAAGGTCGTTTTCATGCACCCTCTACAGAACTATGTCGTCTTGCAGTATGACGCCAGCCTTGTGCAAGCCCCAGTCAAATCGGCCAAACTCGCAACCACACCCATGAAGCAAGGAGAGAGCACTATATTCTTCGGCTTCAACCAGAACCTGAGACCAGTGGTTGCCAAGACTGCTGTCACCGACATCACCTCTGTTGCCATCCCGGCGAGCACCACAACCCCAAGATACCGCGCTGTCAATCTGGACGCTATTACAGTAGACACTAGCTTGTCAGAGCGCTGTGGAAGTGGTGTTCTCGTTGCCGAAGATGGCACAGTACAAGCCTTGTGGATGACTTACCTTGGTGAGCGTACGGCCAACGGACGTGACCAGTCATACCACCTCGGTATGTCTACATCTGCCCTCCACGCAGTCGTTGACGACATCAAGAATGGTGACAGGCCTCAATTGCGCATTCTCAACCTTGAGACGCACATCATGCAAATGAGTGAGGCTCGTATCCATGGTCTGTCTCAGGAGTGGATCGATAGAGTCGAGAAGGAGGATCCCGAGAGACATCAACTGTTCATCGTCCGCAAAGTCGACTCTGACCATGTTGGTGGCTTGATGGAGGGCGACATTGTTCTTACTCTCAATGGCCGTCTCGTCACTCGTGTCACAGACTTTGATGTCATGTACAGAAACGAGTACCTTGACGCAGTCATCCTCCGCAAGCAAGAAGAGATCAAGCTCAAGGTCTCAACCGTGCCGACGCATGAGTTCGAGACGGACAGAGCTGTCGTCTTCTGTGGTGCTGTCCTACATCGTCCTCACCACGCCGTGCGACAACAAATTAAGAAAGTGCACTCCGATGTGTACATCTCGCTGCGCATCGCAGGTTCGCCAGCATACATGTACGGTCTTGCACCCACAAACTTCATCACACACGTTAACGGTGTGCCTACACCCGACCTTGACAAGTTCGTCGAGGAGACCAACAAGATCCCCGATAACACTTACTTCCGTCTGAAGATTGTGACATTTGACAACCAACCTTGGGTCGCGACTCTGAAGAAGAACGAGCACTACTTCCCCACTGTCGAGTTCTTGAAGGATCCCAGCGAAAAGGAAGGATGGAGAAGAGTTACATATGAGCAAGGCAAGGTCAAGGCCGGTCAGGGCGATTTGCCCGAGGCCGCCCAAGAAGCCGTGCCTGGTGATGTTGAGATGCCTGATGAAGGGCCAATGGTCTAGATAGAACCCTGTTGTCACTAAAAGCAAGATATCCAGTAGATAGATGATCACTTCGAATAAATCAGGATCCAGATCCTGCATGAATAAAAGCACCATGATAATTCGAAGAAACACGTTCCAAAACTGTCTCTCCCTCTCTCCAGAACCTCTATGCATCCCTGCACACACGAGTCCTGGGACTGTATGCCCAGATAAATGCTATTATGTTTCCACAGCTGTTTGTTTGACGTCGTTCATCACATAAAAAGTCGTTATGCGTCGTTCGACGATTCCGATTTGGCATACGGAGAAAGCAGATTATATTAATAAGGAATAATTACTCCTTCGTCAACTCCTTTCTAACCTCTGAAACCTCATAGTAGCCCTCCATTCTCCATCGTACAGAGTCATAGAACGGCTGCAAATTCTTATCCATGTGGGCACTCCACCACTTATCATGCATTGAGGCCACACCAGCTTCTTTGTCTCTGACGTTAGGGAATCTGATGTGCCAGCTTCCATCCATCTCAATCCAGGGCATCTGAGCTCCTCTCCTGAAGGCGTAGTTCAAGAGGTTTTGCTCCATGTATTTGGGGTCGAAACGGTGGGGTAATGACAAGATTGTCTTGAAGTGGTTGAACAGTGTCAAATCAGGTCTGAAGACGAAGAATCCAGCATTGAAGTAATTCGGATCTTTGTAATCGCCCTGTCCAGCCAGAGGAGGATAGTTGTGGATAGGATTTGCTTCTGCCACTGTGGCAAGAACATAGGTTTCTGGCAGAGCTCCCTCATCGGCAGGTGATCCATTTGATATGACCAGAGTTGCGGGAGTGGTGGCTGCGGGGTCGTCGAAAATGCCATCCATGCATCTGTTAAGGATGAAATCCCCATCTAGGAAAGCGACGAGGTCGTATTTCACGAGTTCCCAGGCGCGCAGTTTCGTCATTAGGTCTTTCCATTGAGGCATCTCCCCGACGATCCAAGTGGTGTCGACGTCTACATTCTCGACTTGCAGGACTGTGGCGCCATCGCCGGTGAGAAGGTCTCGACGATCTTGCTTGACGTCCTTGGTAACCAGCACCACGAAAGGAATCTTCTTTTGTGTTTTTGTCGAAGGTTGGTGCAGGAGTTGGTATCCGAGGATTCTGGTGGCCATGAAATAGTGGTCTTGGGCTGGGTCTTCGGGGGCGTTCATTGTTGCCGTGAGAAGAGTCATGTAAGCCAGTTTCCGCGTGTCAGAGCTGCCAGTGCCAGGGACGTGAGAAACGATGTTTTTGGCCATGTGTCCGACATTGTTTGGTGTTACTCCTTGGGTGTATGCGCCGAATAACAGCAGGATACTCGTGGCCACCGCAGCCGCGATGACGAAGATGCGTAATTTGTAAATGGCCATTATGACGCCAAAGACAGCAAAAGTATTACTTTCTGCCTTAAACACAACAAGAGACACAAAGGAGAGGATAGAGAAGAAGAGTCGAGAGAGGAGAGAAGGACAAAAAGTGGATCCCAAGCAGACTTACCGAGATGGGCCTTCTGCTATAAGGATTTTGACACAAGTGACGGGCACAAATCAAGATTAGGTTGAACATGTTCACTTTTCAGGTGCCTTGAAAACGTCGTAGGGCACCTGCTGTTGTATCTATCTTAGGGGGTCCGCACAACCAATCGGGTGCATTTTAGCGACTGATTTCGAGGCGACGGTTAGGTGTCAGCTACGATTGCATCGTGGATAGAAGGGAGGTAAGCTTTTTTGATGGTGGTTGGGGATGGAGGATTCAGATACGAGATCTGGTTATTTCTGCAGGACTAGCAGATCGGCCAAGCGGCTAATGGTTTATATTGGGACCTGGTATGAGCGCCCACCGTTGCGACATCTCAACAGGAGGCAGAGGAAAACTTGGGATTCTGGATCCGAGACTCCATGGAAGCTAAGATGGCAATTTGGTAGACTTGCATGGTTGTCCCATGTGTTTCCAAGAGTGTAGTGAATATCACAATGCGCGAAAAGGAAGTATGTGATTGCCTTGTGGGGAGGCAACCACCAGGGGCGCCGCTACCCAAAAAGGCCCGGCTTCAGCTATCAGCTCGCTTCTTCACGACGTCAACCCAGTCTGACACCACGTCAACAACCGCCGCCACGCTGACAGCAAGTACAACGCTACATGGTGTAATCACAGTCCTGTGATGCGCTTATCAAAAAGGAGTCGACGTCCTGGACTCGCGGACACAACGTTGTTGTATTTCGCTCTGGGTCGTTTGTCGATCCGTGTCTTATCTTCTCACATGCAGTTCCAACGTCCGACCCCATACGGCAAACAATAGATGCAAGGCTGTCCGCGAACCGCAGGAAAGGGGCAAAATGTACTCATCAAGATGCAAAGAATCTCGAGATTGTATCTATGGATCTAGAATTACTCGCTGCGGCAGCTCCCCTTTTCCATCGACATATCGCAGCGTATCCGACGCTCGGTTTTTGCTGTCAGAAGTGTGACTGACACAATACAAACGGATTTCCAAACACTGGCCACTCAACTCAGACGTCCTCAGAACTTCGGTGACCACACAAGTCCTTAGCAATTTCGAATGGACTTTGTGCCTTATCACGATAATCCCATGAAAGGCCATGGCATTACCGGAACATATTGAGTTTCTAGCGCAAGTACCATGGCTCTTCTGAATCGGGTGTCAACCAGTTCAAGATCAATTCCTGGGCTATGTTGACTCACATGTCGTCCTGTGCAGCAACCAGACTCTTCTCTGCTCGCGAGAGGCCTGCGAGCGGATATGCTAAGCTATGTTGAGCATTCAGGCTGACACCACGGAAAGCATCAGTCTTGGCCCAATTTGAGTCCAATATCGCTGGGATCTTCTCCATCGGTGTCAACACCAACATCTCGGAAGATCGTGTCGAGCATACCAAGGATCGGCCACTGCACATAGCTGGGACACCGCATGTAGCTTTCGCTACTGGCAATAACCTCGAGACTACAAGGCTCGATCCAGCGGTGCAAATCAATCTCAAGGAGAATCAGCTGTGAGGCCTCTAGTGTCGAGATGACTTCCGACCGGAAGATCGATACCCAAAGAACCATACCTACCGATCGGTCAACGCTGCTGAGTTGATACTCTACATTCCAGTCCAGTATCGGTAATTTGTTAATGACAAATTCGAGAAATTCATGGTCTCGCAGTACACTGGCTATGACGAGATAGCCTGGAGTCTGGCCGAATTCAGTACATTCTAAATATCCAATACTGGGAAAGCTCATGGAAGTTGATCAGCTGCCAACTAACAGACTCCAGTATACGGTGGAATTCGATCCATTGTTGAAGACGATGCATGACGTACTGTTTGAATCTTCTTCTTCTGTAATAATTCTGCGGCAGGATCTCCCTTTCTATCATGCCCTTTGTTGGCCATCCACAGAGCATAGCAAAGCCGAGTTTGTTCACAGCCACTATGATGTTTCACTCTGAAGGGTCGCGATCACCAGACACGATCGTACTCTCGGGCACAGAATATAATGGATCTATCGGTTGCAAAGCTCCGTCCATGGTCACGTAAAATTGGCCTCGTAAGTACTTCATGCAGAGGCGAATGCGGTAGGTCGCTTTCGCAAGTAGGATGATACGAGATTGCTCGGCTCAAGCGGTCTGTAGCGATTTCTGTCATATGATCAGTGAATCATGCATATGAAAGACTGAGCTGACACAAAAGCAAATTTTACGTACCTCACCAACCAAGGCGTGTCCTGCAATCTGGTAGAACTCGAGCTCAAAGCGCTTCATTACACGCATTTTGCCATTACCAGGATCTACCACGCCCGTGATTTCGTCGTGGACTCTTTCATCTCGAAGTGCGCCGCTGAAGAAGTGGGATGCCTTTCATCAGCAAATTGCTCCTGAGGTGAAAATCATGTTTGCTATCCCAGGAGAGCGAGATGACAACATCTGCATCTCTGAGGGCAAGCAAAGGGCATGGTAGATCATTTCTGGGCAAGTTTGTTGTTAGTATATGGCGTTGGTGTGCTCGGCAGGTGTTCTCGGTCATCGTCGCTGTTGTTTGAGATAGACCAAGGAAGGCCGGATTCGAGGAAGGTGCGATGGTTAAATATGGATACGTCCTTTCCTGGTAGTTTTCCTGATCTCTGAGTCTGTCTATTCCAGACGCTAAAGAGGCACTTGCAGACCACTGTAAGCAAACATCAGACTCTTCTAGCTCCTACGAGTCAACACAAGAACCACTGGTCTTGGGACACCGAAAGAGCCATGTACGCAAGATTTCATTGCAGCTAAGCTTTCTGTCTCCTGTCGTCTCGCTGCTAACAATGAGTTCAGGGGCTCTCCAGCACCCGAGTGAGTGTGTCGTTTCCATCTTCAGGTCTCAAGCCGCCACTGCCAATACTGTTTCCTTCATCGACTAAGTCCATTGGTTTGCTGTCTCTTCAGGAGGCCTCTCTTAGCTTCCAGAGCGATTCATAAGTCGACAGCGTTTTCTTGATGGTGTAGTACCTGTTTGTGATACACAATGACAGAGCAGGCATGGTGTTGAACTGAGGCAACTCAGAGAGGCGAATGTATAGGTGGGGGCAATCATGGCGATCGACCTCTACGGCTCCCCAATCACCAATAGACACCTAAGGCATGCCCTCATCCTCCATGACCGGCAAGCTTCCCAGTCATAATTTCGTTGAGGAGGACATCGTCTGTGGCCGTCAAACCACTGAGATCTTGGCGATACTTCCAGAGGCAGCCAATTTGCTGAAGAATACTGTCGACCTTGATTTCGGTCGTTGTCTCGAGTGCGTAGGGCGAATAAACGTGGGTCAGATGTTTAGCTGCCATCTGGTGTGCAGTTTCCATCCAGGCGTCCAGCAGATCTATTCCTTCATTTGCTTTTGCAGAGGTCAGATGAGCAAACGAGCGTGGTCTAGCCAGCTTACTGTCAAGGGCAGCGTCTCTGTCGCGCTGTATAGCCACTGACAGAGCCCTGCTTTCACTCAACTATGTCACACTCATGGGTACGCTGGTTGATTTGATGTAACATACGATCAGACCAATGTTTTTCGGCGGCGTGGAATGGTTGTTTGCCCCGGTAGTATTCTGCGCGAGAGTAAGGAATCCAAGCGATATCCCAGGGGAGTTGGTTGAGATTGCTGATGCTTTTTTGACAGTTTGCAATCCAATGAGTTAGACCCAAGTGAGTGTCAAGTGACTCAATTTCGACATGTCCGTTTGTCGAAGACAGAACTGTGCTATAGAACCATCGTGGTGGAAGTCGAGTTCTGGGTGAAGCGACTATCAAAACAGAAATTTGGTCATACAGCTCTCAACTCAACCATCCATGCCAGAAGAGATGACTCTATAGATAGGAGCTACTCTCTAGAGTGTGACGATAGTATTATAGGTGGAAAATGATTAAAGATGGTGGTTTAATGTCGTCGACATTGTTTGGAATGCCTGTCAGGAGTAGCACCCTGTCTGTGTAGATGAGATGGCTGGGGCAGTACGTCATCGATGATGAATTAGGTCTGATTTCCTAGATCGCTATCAAGACGAGGTGAAGTAGAACCAGAAAGGTGCTAACACTCAAAGCTGCAAGATCGTATCTGCTCTATCTACTGTATCTCTACCGCTTCGACACCCTGCTTGCTGGGGAGTCAGGCTCAAGTCTTCATCCATCGTCAGTAAATCGGTGGTAGCTACAAACATGAACAACTCTGCATCTGTGTCGTCTGCAGATTGGTAATGCCACGGATAACCATACTTTTGAAAAAAACCATGGTTGTTCAGTCTGAAGCCCAGCAACTCGTTTTGATCGACTGTCATGTGTCTGGCGATAATCTCTTTAGCGTCAATCAGAGAGTGCATGAGATAGTCCTTCGCTTTCTCAGCGACCAGCGGAGTGAACTTGTAGCTCCAGTAGGGCAGAACGATATGAGAGACGGCAATGGAATGCAAAGCCAAGATAGATGCGTCGACATTTCGATGCTCTGCTCTACTCTTTGCTGCGCGCTCAAGTAGCCACGAGTTCCAGGTCATAAGCACCAACTTCCATTCGTCAGTCGTAAAGGTATCTGCATCGGGAAAAGGTTGGACTTGGGCAGGTAGATCCTGAAGATCTGAGAACAGAGCCGAGATAGCTGAGACGACGCTCAAAAGCCGAGACCCATTGACTCACGCCCAGGCGCATATCCTGCGAGCTCACACTGGAGCAAAATCCGGTCGAGAAGAGGGGACTCTTATCGAGTGCCCAACGGAAAAGAGACTCGTCTTGAAGGAACGATGCAACACGAATGTAGAAGAGCGCTGAGCTGCCGATTTGGTCTTCTGAAACTTCGGATCTGACGAAACGCACCAGTCTTGCCCGCATACGTGACAGGGTGCCGTAATACTCTGACCAACGTAGGAGTCGCTGATTCAGAGTCAACGAGAGGCATGGAGAAACTGCGTTGAGCTTGTTGCTGGCTATGCGCATGTCTATCGCACTGACACTTGCATCCCGAACCCAATCTCGACGGACATGCAGCATCGAGATGATCACATCTCCAGTAGGGTCGTGAAAGCAAGAGGGAAGCTCATCCTGTATAGAACGACTCATATCGGCTCGGACGCTAGAGAAGCTCAGTGTGGAATGAGAAGAGAAGGTCAGAATTTATACCCGTAAGAATGCGCAACAGAAACAATGAACGTGATTCTAGCCGGTAGACTCAGCTTGCTCGACTTTGTCTTTCCACGGAGGCTCGCCATTGTCATCAAACTCTGCCCACTTGAAGAAGGTACAGCCTTTCTGACCAGGTGTATAGCCAGCATGACACATCCACATGTACCGACCCAAGTTCTCAGACTTCTTTTGTACGCATCTGAGTACAGTGGGGATATCGCAGTGGCACTTTGGCGTGAAGTTGGGATGAAAACTAGGTTTGTAGTACCTATAGGTGACGTTGATCCGTTTGTTTCCAGCAATAGGATGTGGGTCAATGGCAGTGGTCGGAGCTATTGAATGCTTCCATGTCTCCTGCATCTCCGCGTGCATGACGAGCAAGGAGTTGTGAGGTAGATGGATGGAGATCTGGCCTTGTGAAATTGCTGCACTTGCATCTTCGGAAGCGTTATTTGTATCTTTGGGGACAATTTTGCGGACCCTGAACTCTCGAGCAACGCCTAGAGAGAGGCTGCCGATGACGGCTCGGGGACCAAGGTATGTCAACTGATCAGCGTGGTAACCGACGCTCTGTTGGGGACCGTCATAGCAGTTGACAAAGGCGGTGTTTGGCTTCCACTCTTTGGGGTCTTGGTACTTCAACTTCTCACCTTTAGGGTAGAAGTGTGCGATTCGACGCTGAATCTCGCCATTGACAGCTTGGCAAACCTTTGCAGACGCAGACAACATTTTTGAAGGTGTTTGTCGGATGTCTTTGATACGACTGCCATTGTAAACGTAAGTTGTTTTCTGCTCTTCTACTTCGTTGAAGCTGTCGACGTAAAATGACATGGTATGCGGACTCTCAACCGTCCGATCAAAGAGCTGAAAAGTCTCCTTTTCAAAAGTCTTTGACTCCTCAAGAAGCTCCTCAAGCAAGGCATTCGCTTCGTCAACAGGGAGAAAATTGTGAATGATGGAACATGGCGTGTTTGTCTCAATATCCTGAGGGCTGTACAAGAATAGCGTCTTGCCATTCTTTGCAAGCTTCTTTATCGAGGGAGGATCGGCGCCAGCAGAGCGAAGCAGATTGGCCAGTGTAGATTGATGACCCACGGTTTTGGCTCTCTTGGATTGATCCAAAGACGTGGCTCTGTCCTTTGCCAGACTCTCGGAAGCGATATCAACTTGGCCCTCGGAACAAAGCAGGGCTTCGAGCAATGTGTCCTGGGCAATATCAGGATGCAAGGATGCAAGCAGAGCGAGCTTCAACTCTGTGCTGTCTTCATGATCGTGCTGCTGATCGGAGCGGTCAGAGGGTAGAGATGGTTTGTCGTCATCTGACAAGCGCCTTCGCTTCTTTGATATGAAGGCATCCATGGCTCAGGTATTCTCCGGGCAGCCTCATCTTCACGATCTGATACCAAGAGATGCACGACGAGCACACAATGTGTTTTTTGAACGCGTCGAAGACACCGAGAGAATGGGATGGGGTCAGGGCACGGTCCCCAACACATGGCGTGCGGGCCCTCGGCGATTCGGCTGTCGGGCAAAAGCACTCGCATTGCAGCGGAAGGTGCGTCACGCAACAGGGCGAGCTCGCATCTTGCATGTGGAGCAGGAAGGTGGGGGGTTTTGTCAAAGGGTGTGAACAACAATACCACTCTGTCCTTGCTACCCGATACCACCCTCCTCTTCGTAGACCGTTTGGAGTGTGAACCAGTGATGCACTCGCGATAGCACGGCCGACATAAGTACTCCGAGTACTTCTCTCTCCTCATCCACCAATCATCCCCACAAAGCAGTCAGCAGATATGCTCGAGTTCCGAACAGCAGGCTTCAATCCCTATGCCGTCAAGTACTCGCCGTTCTTTGACAGCAGACTATGCGTGAGCGCTGGTGCAAACTTCGGCCTTGTCGGCAATGGCCGCCTCTTCATCCTCAACCTGACGGACCGCGGGATTGTTTGCGAGAAGTTCTTTGAGACTCAAGATTGTCTCTTTGACACGGCATGGTCAGAGTCACATGAGAACCAGCTACTAACAGCCGGTGGAGATGGCAGCGTCAAGCTCTTCGACATCAATCTCAGCGAGTTCCCCATAGCCAGCTGGTCTGAACATGGGCGCGAGGTCTTTTCTGTGCATTGGAACCTCGGCCACAAGACGACCTTCCTCAGTAGCAGCTGGGACGGCACCGTCAAGATCTGGAACCCCGAGGCTAAGCAGTCGCTCCTCACGCTACCCGTACACTCCTGTGTCTACTCGGCCCAGTTCTCGCCTCACAGTCCCGACATCGTCACGGCCGTCGCTCGAGACTCGCACCTCCGAGTCTGGGACCTTCGAACACCGGCAAGCGCCTCGAACCACTTGACCCTCGCGATACCCATCCACGCTCCTCCAAAGACGACCCCTATGAACTTCACACCTACCAGCGTCGGTCCTACCGAATGCCTGACACACGACTGGAATAAATATCGAGATACAATCGTCGCAACAGCTGGTGTTGACGGTATGATACGCACCTTTGACATCAGACAACCCAGCGGACCCATGGCTGTCCTACCAGGTCACGAGTATGCCGTCAGAAAGATCAGTTGGAGTCCACACCTGAGTGATGTCCTGCTCAGCGCCAGTTATGACATGTCATGTCGCGTCTGGACCGATGGCAGCGCTATGGGCGTGGATCATGCAAAGGTGGGCACGCCCTCAGGACAAGGCGCCCGCGAAATGGGTCGTATGGACCGTCACACCGAGTTTGCCATGGGCGTCGACTGGTGTCTCTTTGGCGCCGAGGGATGGTGCGCCACCTGCGCTTGGGACGAAAGAATCTTGGTCTGGGATGTGAGGGAGTTCATGAGGCGCTGAGACAGCCATATGCCACCAACCTTGATCGAGAAAGATCAAGAAAATACAGGGTATCGAATGCTATATGCCAACTCCGCCCAAAACGACCTTCCGATGCACCTATACGCACGCTATGCAGAATCAGACTTTGCTTTTTCCGAACAGGCAGATTTCTCTTCTGTTAGGGACACGAAATCCAGGTTGCTCTCATCCTAAGAAAGTCCCACTGGTCGTGCTCCACTCAATCTTACCACTCCACCTCCGAATGCAGGTCCGCTGTTTTCCATTTTCCACCCAGGCACCGTCTCATCGGCACGTCCTTCGATGGTCTTCCATGCATTTGGGAAACCGGCTGCCAATGCTCCCTTGTGCTTCGCACCCTGGATTGCAAACTTGTTTCTTGAGAACGAGATGTAGCCTCCAAGCAGGCCCTGATGAACGAGCGCCGTCATCTTAGAATAAATGTTGTTCATGACGGGGAGGTCGTCTTCACCAGTTAGCTCGTCGGACACGCCGACGAAGTCAGGGTCGACATAGTTGTCAGGTTGAGAGGCTCCAGGCGGGGTCGCGTATATCCTCTCTTGCCAACGAAAGATGGCCAAGACATCTCTCAAGTCGAAAGTCGGCGCCTTGCGAGCCTCGGGGTTTCCAGGATCTCCATGTAGAATATACGTCTTTCGACAGATACTCCTCCACACGAATACCTCGCACCTATTCCTCAACTGCAAATCCAAGCGATATCCTGAAAACCATGCGTAGTGCTCGCTTCCAATGTCCAGATGTCTTCTAAAGCTTACGAGATCGCCTTTGGCAATCGCTCTGCATAACGGTTCGAAGCGCTCCCGTAGGCCGTAGGCTTCTGGACGGGCAAACATTTGCTGTGAGGGAAGACGTGCACAGACCATATTCGCCGAGATCAGAAAGATCAAAATAAGTCTCTTCTGCTGCAAACACTGCGAATGACATTCCACCCATGCCTGCTGCAGCGCCTTTTGAGCCCTAAAAGCATGTCCATTCGCCCACAAGAACCTGCCCAGATAGTACAAATACGTCACCCTCTGCGCCTTAGGATACGCCCCCAAACTCGGAGACAACACAAAGATATTCTCGAAAATCTGCGCCGCACCACGAGTTTTGCGGCACGCAAAGAGGATCTTCAGACACAAGTTTGCGAGGACATAGATGCCTCGTTTCTTGCCTTCGGGGGAGCCATTGCTGTCGATTCCAGAGGTAGAGGAGCCACTGCGGTCGTTTAGGCAGGCTACGAAAGCGTAGCGGATTATGTTTGCCGCACGCTCTGGTAGTGTTTCGCGGGGGCCGGAGTCGTCGCCTGAAGTTCCGGAGGAGGAGGTTGTGAGGTGGGCGATCAGTTCTGGTTTCTTGTCTAGACCCATGGCGAGGCGGGCGAACATGCGGGAGTAGGATACTACTGTGTCGAGGATTATTATGCCGTGGGTTTGATTTTGAAGTGCCGAGTTTGCTTTTCTGAGTCCATAAGTTAGTGGGAGGCCATTTTTTCAAGGTTTTTGATGTTGGAGGCTTCATGATGTGACTTGATGTATCAAGGCATACCATGTACTTTCATCACACAACCATCAAATACCATCAAGAACCAACAAACACAAAGAAACTTACTGCAAAAGCTCACTCAACAACCCCCAAGTCTCCAACAAATTCCCCACATCAACATCCCTCAAGAACCCAAAATACAACACCATAAACCTGCTAAAAGCACTCCAAGCCGCAACCTCAAAATCATCACCCCCATCAATAATCTTCACAACCCTAGAAATCTTCTTCTCTAGCGCATCTTCTCCTTCACCTTTTGGATGTTGGCTTCGAAGTTCAGTGATTATGGTGGTATAGGAGGTTGCGTAGGGGGGTTCGATGACGAGGTAGGAGGACAAGAGGGCAGAGTCGCGAAGGGTTGTTATGCGGTTTATTTCGAGTAGGAATTGGTCGAGCGTGGGTGTTGTTGTCATGGTTGTTTTTTGAGGGTGGTGGGTTGATGGTACACACGCACGCGTGTGTGGTTTTTTGGGTCGTGACTGTTGCGCGATGCGGTCGGTCGAGATTCGAATTGTTGGCGAGTCGCATCGGCCGGGTTTGGGATAGGTGGTCTGTGCACTGTGCCCCACGCTTTCAAAGAGAGCAAGAGAGCAGAGACAAGGGAAATAAAGATCATCAATTGCATGAGTGGATTATATTATTCTAATAGCTACCAGGCTCCAGGAAGTGAGTAGTTGTTTTGTGTCAAGACATTTTGGTCACGAGCTGAGACAGGACTTCATGATGTGGGAAGAGATAGCAAGTTTTTGATACGTTCAATAATATTTGTCTACGTACAATGCATTACTGGCACTAGGCCTCCGTAATGCGTTCGTGAAGAAAGTGAATAAGAATAAAGTATGTAGCGAATGACTGTGAGTTTGAAGATGAAGACAACAGTCGCAGTGAGGACATTCTCCAAACCAATGGTGTCACCAAAATTCAGAAAAAGATGAACAAGGAGAATCGACAAGAACGAAAAAGGGTATTGAGAAAGTTGAAAAGGGCGCTTGTGTTCTCTTTGTGCTCGATCGCTGCAATGATTGTTGCTTCTGTGTCCTCTAGTCGAGTTTGAGTGTTGGATGTCTACGTCGCTTGCTGATTGGTAGAGCAGTGTTCATTAAAGTTAGAGGGCTTGGCCGGGAACTGGCTTTCTGGTGGGCACACCCAGAGGAGTGGTTGCACCAGAGGCAGTTGTAGATTTGTCGACACTCGATGCAGTGCCCATTGAGGCGCTGCGGCTATGAGCTTCGGCGGCCGAGGCTACACGCTGCTGTGTTTGTCTTTGAGACTTTGTCGGGGACGCAGCAGCAGATGTGTTTCTTTGACGTGCTTGAGCTTGCTCATTCAAAGTGGGAGATGACGGCTTAGAAGGTGCCATCGACGGACGGCGTTGCTGAGATGATGCAGCAGAACCTTGAGACGACGAGGAGTTTTGACGGACTTTGGCACCAATGGGTCTAGGAGGAGGGCCCATAGCGCCTGGACCGGCACGAGGAGCAGCGCGAGGAGGACCATTCTTAGCACCAGGGGGAGGGCCCATGGGTCTTGGCTTCAGAGGCAGTTTTGAAAGACAAGTTCTGGGAGCGACACCTTGTTGCGAGCGATCCATCTTCATACAGAGAGCCTGAGCTGTGTTAGTATATTGATAGCATACGTCCGGAAACGAACAACTTACCCAACCATCATCGTACTCATGCAGGACTCTAACGATCTGGCCAACCTTCAACTCGAGCTCGTCGTCCATTGATGGCTTGAACTCGAGCTGAACACGATGAACAGTACTACCTGGAGGATCGGCAGTGACACCAGAAGCGCCACCTGCAAGAGCGGCTACAGGAACAACAGAAGCCATACCAACCTCGGCCTTGGCACCAGCGCTAGGAGTAGTGGGAGAGTCGATATTGAAGCTAGCGGCGGTCGGACTAGGCACAGGGCTGCCTTGAAGCTCGACAGGAGGGCTAAGCGAACGCTCTTCAGGGATAGGAGAGATGACGTCTCTCGATTGAGGTTCGACAGTCTGAGCATGAATACCGAAGGGATTTGACGGGTCGCTGTTTCTGGAGGCGGCAACACTACCAGCTGCTCCGAGTGCAGCCTTCTCGGCGTCTCCAAGCACACTAGCAGAGAACTGGGAGCCTGGGCGATAACTGATACGCGGTGCAGGTCCACTGCTGCGTGTTGACTGGGGCGGGGGCTGGGGAACACTCATGGTGCTTGGGCTGTTGCTGATGAAGCCCTTCTTCTCATCATCGAGTCTCTGCATGCCAATAGCTTGCTTCTGTTGGGCCTTCTTCTTGCGAATGAGGAAGTAGGCAAGACCGGCGAGAAGACCAACAACAACGATAACCATGAGAGCAATGCCGGCCTTCGCACCAGTGCTAATGCCGCTAGAAGTTTCGTCCGCGACCGCTGATGCAGAGGCCGATGCAGAGGACGTAGCATGAGCCTTTGCAGCAGAAGATATGGATGAAGATGCTATCGTGGAGGAAGCGGCAGCAGATGTAGTAAGGACGACTGAGGAGGATGAGACGAGTGATGTGGAGGACGATGCAGCAGAATAGGTACTGGCAGTTGACTTTGCGGTTGGTGATAGTGTGCTTGTGACTTTGGCAGAGGATGTGGATGTGGTGCTGGTCTTGGCTGTCGCTGATGTCTGCTTGGCCTTTGCTGTCGTTGTGTTGTCATCGTCGTTTGCGGTTGTGCTCTTTGCAGCCTTTGCAGAGGTAGTAGGGTCGGCTCCGAGCGTAACAAAGCCAGCTGTAGGTCCAGAGAAGGTAGCCGAGGCCGTTACATAGACAACCGAGAATACTGTCGCGACATCACCCTGGACTTGTGCGCGTTTATCGAGGGAGCCGTCGAGAACTTCGAAGTCAAGAAGAGGATCGTCACGCTTAGAGAGCCTTCGAGGCACGTGGCGGTGAGGTTTGAGATGCATGGCGACAAGAATTGATTAATTGACGAGGATGATTATTCGCTGTTGGTTAGTAGTTGACGGATAAGTGATGGAAAAAGAGTGAAACGTCGAGTTGTCGGCAGCAGAATTGAAACGAGTGTGTGTGGGTGAATGACCGCCTGTGAAGAATCGACAACAAGCAAGAAGCGGAGGCGTGCGCGACGAGGAATGTTTGGTATATGATGCGTGGTGACCAGACCGTTCGGCGCGTGATAAACAGAATTAAAATGAGCGAAAGCAGGTTAGCACCAGGCGGACTCAGCGAGCGTCGATAAAAGAGGGACAACGTTGTAACGACTTGCGAGGGCAATTAGGATTAAGGTGAAGAAGAAGAGAAAAGAGTAGCAATTAGACAACCGTCCTCCAACCGTCCCCTCCGTGACTTGGTAAAGTCTTCGTGAAGCGCCTCGCAAAATGATGCGACGCTGCGACGACCATCAGAATCTGGAGAAACCACGCTAATTCTGCGCTATCCCAGCTGGCCGGGCTCCGATTGGTGAGCACTGACTCCATGCAATCTCCCGACGAATGCCGTAAACATACATGAGACGACGACGTCCCCTATCTTTCCATACAACATGCGCACCACCCTTGATGAATTGATCTCCCTCGACTGTCAATCAGCCGCGCCGAGAGTGGATCAGCTGCCATGCGGTTCAGTGTCTGGTTCAAGCTGTCACACTTCTGTTTCCTGGTCACCGTCAACGCTGGATCGGTCCGTTCGTAATGTCATAACAACCCGTGCGCCCAGTCGAACGACAAAGACGTTGCAAAGACAACGTCTCATTTCGTGAGCGCATTGCAGTATTATTCTCACTGCACATCAGCTCGCCACTATGCATATACGATACACCACAGCTATCCCCTTTGTAATAAGGAGTATCTATGCTCTTGTGAAAGGAGTAATCCTCGCTCGCGCAATCCGTCCTGCTGTGGGATCGATTCCGCACGTTCTGCTCCACTGGACCCATTGCTCAGCCACCCACGTCGGATGCCTGGTCTATTGCTGTCAGACATGTGTTTGACTTGTCAGCACGTGTACCCTTCCCGACGAACCCAGACTGCGATCTGTTTGTCCTTACACATCGTCACATGATGCAAGCCTACTCACAGGCCGGGTCTTATCCTTCATATACTCGACACCTTCCTCTTGCTTGTATGTGTCTTGATGTCACGCTGGTCTTTTGTATGAGGACCTGAAACTTCATCGTCAATCCCAGGGAAGTCTATTTCCAGTTCCCGCTTCAGACTGGGGTGATCTGCCTTGGACAACAGGCCTTACCTATTCTTACACCTCTCGTGCTTCAGGTGCTTGTCAAAGCTCTCATTCGGGTGACAAAACGTCTCAAATCGCCATAGTATTCCCGAGTCCGGCGATCAATTGCCCGGCTTTGTTTTGTGGTGGTCATCACCACCACCCTGTCTGCAACCGTTAGTCTCTTTCAATCACCTCCATCAGCCTTGATCTCTCTCCGTTTCCTTCCAGAACACATCGCATAGCCTCAAGACGCCGAATCAGAGTGGTAGACATACAGGAAACACCTCCTGCCGCTGCCCACGCGTCATGACTCCGCTTCAGGGGTGAAGCCGTTGGGCTTTCGAGGATCGGTTTTGAGAACGCGACCGCACCCCTGACACTCAAGTGGACATCAACGAGTTCATAGAGACTTCCGATGTGGCATCGACTCTGCAATGTGCTTACCGTGGTACTTAAGCAGGGAGGAGCAGAATGTATGGCTAATTTGCCATGATAAGGGTATGAATTGATCTCTCAGGACACCTTTCCTGCCTCATGACCTACCACTGCTTCTGTGGCATTCTGAAGACAACATACTATTGACATTGACGGTGCTGCTCATTGAGAATGTCCTCTTATTCGAAGCACTCTCCTCACAGTCGAGATGCGGAATCTAAAAAGCATCATGTATTTTGACAGCTCCAGTGTCAGTACGCTACGGTATAGGAAGTGTGCGAAGATTCCATGTTCACCGCTGAGAACGTTCGGAGGCTGAAAGACTTAAGTAAGAAAGCTAAAGAAGTATGGAAGCAATTTGATCTGATTATTCGCGTCCAATCTGAAAAAGAGTGACTGTATTGCACGCTCTTTGGTGCTTGATAACTTTGCGCGCTTGCCTTGTGTGCATCTGAAGGAGTGAATGAAAGAAAACAAAGAAAGCAAGTAAACTCCGCGGCTGCCCGTTTGCGCCGAGTTATCATCCCTTCGTAGCAAATGTGGGCATGAAAACCATGTCGTCGTGGTAAGTGTGCTTCATTGATCGGTGGTGGAAGCAAGTGTGTGAAAGATTGTTTGTCGTGTTATCGGACAAACTGCTCGCGAAGGCATGCGCAAGCTCCTCCCCTCAATCGAGCTTCAGGTGGTCAAAGAAGATCTTCTTCCTGGCGAGAAACTTCTTCTCCTTTTGTGCGATCTCATCCTTAGAGCCAAAGTTGATGTCACTGACGCTTAAAATGGAACATGCAGTGCCTTTTCCCTTGACTTCGTCGAGAGACTGAGCCCAGAACTTGGCGGCATGAACGATTGAGTTGGCCTGGTAGAGCTGGTATTCCAGAGGCAAGTGGGTTCGATCAAGGACTCCCTCGCCGTTGGAGTGGACGCGACGTTCGAGACGCAGGCTCTTGAGATTGCGAGCGGACACAAGTCTGTCGAAGGCAGGTTCAAGCGCGTCTCTCCATGACTTGACGCACGGCCAGTCCCAGCCACGTAGGACGATGCGCTCCACTAAGAGACGGTTGGTCGAGTGGATTACCAGAAGAAACTGCTTCATGGCGACGGGGTGCTCGAAGTAGAAGGGCTGACGGTAGAGAATAGGGAGCGCCTCGGCGTGGATGAACTTGGAAACACGCAAGATTGCTGGATGGAAGCGTGTGATGTCCTTGTCCTTGGCCTTGGGACGGATGATGTCCAGCCCTTTAGTTGCGCGAGATGTGGGGGGTCTTTTCTGCAGGTAGCCGCGTTGGAGCCTTTGTGTGCCGAGCTGAGTGATGAAGTTGAGCTCGGTCAAGGATTCTTCAAGAAGGAGCTTGTAGATCATGGTACGGATCTCGGGTGGCAGATCCATAAAGGGCAACGAGACATCCTTCTTGCTCTTCGACTCCTTGCGCTTCGACTCGCGCTTGGCTTTGGTAGTAACAATCTTGTAGTCTGGGACCTGCGCATAGTAACGTCAACAACGGTGAGATCGTGCGGCTTGTCGCTCAGCTTACCTTGCCTCCGGTGAAGTCGGCCACCGAAAAGTTTTGGAAGTTGGACGACATTATGCTAGACCCGGCTTTAGAAGTCGCTGACAAAGAAGTCTCGACGCTGTTCGAGGAAGTCTCGGCGTTGGACTTTCGTCAAATACCAATGTCGAAGGTCCGGTGTGATAGACTGCCAAGCATTGTCTGGAAATTCACATGTCGCCGCTTCACTCTCAGGAAGTCAGGAAGAGCATGCGAGATCACGTGTGTTCATGTTGAGGTTTTGCTATGCATTGCAGATAATCTTTTGGGTGATTGGTGAAGGGGTGAGAAGAGAAGACCTACTGGGATTTTCATCACTGCCTATGCTTCCCACGCCATGGAGGGTTCTACAACAACAGAGCTCACATCTACCAGCATCACAGACCCGCGACGTCTCAACAGATGGCTGCAGCCAGCAGGTAGGACATGAGGTTGCGCATACTACTTGACCCAGAGGTTTATCAATGTCAGATATTACCTTGTTGGATAATTTCACCTCAGGACCTATTAAACATGGGCAGGGCCACTCGTATCCAGTGCCAGCTCCGGTAGTCATGGAGTAATTGTGACAAGAGCACACATGAGTTGATAAACCAGCGAGTGAATAGACCAGCACATCGTTATCAAGAAAGGGGAGTCGTAAGCTGTAATATTCATTTTGATGATCCGACGTTGTTATCTGCGGTCGACCGAGACCAAATCGTGATGCGAAGTCAAGTGACTCATGGGATGACGAGGGGTACTGCAAGAACGGTATCTTATTTGCTTTGCCCGGGGCGGTTGAGTTTTGGATGATTCATGATAGTCCGCCGACGATCACTCTTGCGAGGTGAGATAGGGAGTCCGAGAAGTTCAGCAATATCACAGCATAGAAGCGTAGGGACATCTCTACAACTAGTGACGGGACTGGAATGTTCGTAGACGTGCACGCATTCATCGTGAGCAGGCAAGGGAGAAGCGACTTGTTAAACCAAGGTCGAAGCGGGGAGCTGAGGGGGAAACAGTCGCCAAGCGAAAAGCCGGACAAAAGCCGGCACTCACACTGACGAAGCTCAATTTTGTGTTTGGGGTCATGTGATCATTACTCCGCTCTTGCCGCTCCTCGACGTCCTACGAGCTTTTCTTTCTGAGCAGGAGCGACGGCCACCCATCACTAACGACAGCAACCCTCAATACCCGTCAAAATGTCAGTACTAGCAAACCGCCGTCCGGAGAGAGTGTCGACATCCCAAATCTGAAAAAACCTCGTCGTCTTGCGCCCACCACAAACACCTGTCGCTTCCTCTTATCAGCGCTCCTCCGGGCGGCAAAATGCATCACACACCATGACCCAGCATAACAGGCACTGACATGCGTCTGCTACAGGGTCAACCTTCGCACCCAGAAGCGCCTGGCGGCCTCCGTTGTTGGCTGCGGTCAGAGAAAGATCTGGCTCGACCCCAACGAGGTCAGCGAGATCTCCAACGCCAACTCCCGTCAGACCATCCGCAAGCTCGTCTCCGATGGCCTCATCATCCGCAAGCCCGTCACCATGCACTCGCGCTCCCGCGCCCGTGAGCTGAACGCCGCTCGCCGCCTCGGTCGCCACCGTGGTTTCGGTAAGAGAAAGGGTACCAAGGACGCCCGTATGCCCAGGTATGGCGACTCCATCTAGGACTACAACCCCACGGGCAGACACTGATAGTCTGTCTACAGCCAAGTCGTCTGGATGCGCCGCCAGCGCGTTCTCCGTCGCCTGTTGGTCAAGTACCGCGCCTCTGGCAAGATCGACAAGCACCTTTACCACGAGCTCTACCACCTGAGCAAGGGTAACACCTTCAAGCACAAGCGCGCTCTCGTTGAGCACGTACGTTCAGCCCGACCTACCTTTGCACACACTCTCTCTCTTCTAACACACGTGACAGATCCACAAGGCTAAGGCCGAGAAGGCCCGTGAGGCCAAGCTCAAGGAGGAGATGGACGCCAAGCGTGCCAAGACCAAGGCCGCCCGCGAGCGCAGACAGGAGCGTGTCGAGCAGAAGAAGGCCGCCTTCGCTGCCGAGGACGAGGAGACCAAGGCATAAACGAGTCAATGTTACGGCGTGGCTTGATGATATCTGAAAAACGCACAAGTCCGTTACGGCGGTGCTCTCGGTTCGATTGGTGTTCTCTCTTCGTGGGCTTACGTTCTGGCGTGCGAAACATACCGGGGACCGAATGGATCAGTGCAGGCATCAGTTTTGCATGTACATCGGTTTTATGCAATGAGGGCAATGTGATCCAAAAACTTCTTTTTTTCTTTGCCAAAATACCACTTGTGTTTCCTGTTCTCTACCTCTCATCAAGGTATGAATTCTAGAATGCCATTGACTCGAGTACCTGAGCTTGAATAAAGTCATTTGTCTCCATGTAGGAACCGTCTCAGCAGGCATGCATTGCTGTCTTAGCTGACTATCGACGCTAGCTGATGTCCTGGTCATGTATCATGCATCGAACTTGTCTATGCTCCGAGTCAGAATTATCTCATACCCAACGCCGAAGACAACATGCTATCGCCTCCAATCTGCCTTTTGTTATCGTCACGTCTGGTCTGGTCCGGCGAAGTTCAGCCCACCTGTGTTATGCATACTATTGGATAAGTCCTTTACATGACCGCGCACTAACAACGACCAGTTCGAAGACTCCTTGATCAGAGGTAGTGCTGAAGGTGGCATCAGCGCGGCTAACGTTCTACATGACTGCATTCAGAGTAAACATATTAGCTTGGTTGAGGCTAGGTACTTATTGCTCTTCTCTAGCTCAGCTACGAATATGACCATTTGCTCCTTTAATTGTCCAGCAGTGGATCATCTGACCGTTCCTTTCCATCATAGAATTCCACAAAACTTTTGACAGACTATCTTCTGAAGTCTCCTCAGAGGTGATGATGCCTTGCTCAAGTCTCTGGCTCTATCAAATTTCAGCCTCTTGGCTTGACTGCCCTTCCGACGCCGAAAAGCTGCCAAAATGGTTGACGATGTGGTTGAAAGGTCGATCTTGACAACATGGACAACCACCATGTCAAGACCAAGCGACCTCTGACTTGACTAACTCAATACCATCCTCTACAACGACGCTCAACAACATAGCGATCACCAGGATCACCATGGTAGCTGGTCAAGAAGTCGCCCTCATCAACGTCATCGTAGTAAGGACCATCTTCATAACGCTCATGGTTTCCACCGTAGCCAAAGTCATCAAAGACACCAGTAACATCGTCTCCATCTTCATCTTCTTGAGGCCAAGGGCCCGAGCTGTCGGGGAATTTCTGGTGCTGGCTGGAGGTTTGGTCATCGGTGCGTCTCTTCATTTCTGAGCGGACGAGGACGGTGATGAAGATTATGAGGATGAGTGGGGGGAGGAAGATTTGGAGGAGATCGATGAAGGGGGAGGAGTCGATGGTGGACATTCCGCTAGGATGTCGTTTGGTAAGTGTTCGAGTATGTTTGGTGCTAATGTTAGGTATGGATGGGCTTACTTGAATGGTAGTGCTTTTGAATTTCGTGATACGATGAGAGAGCTTCGTGATGATTGAGAAAGCGTGGTGGAGAGTGTGTATGTGAAGCGTCTGATCAAGAGGTCGATATTGGAGATGTTGTACTTGTAGATCTAAGTTGTGTTGACGCTCACGTTTGATGTTTGTGAGAGCGACGACTATCGATCTGTTTGTCGCTCCATTTGCTTTGTGTTAACATGAGTGTGCGGTCGAACTCATGGAAACACCTCTCTACTTCCTCAAAGCTTACTCAAAGGAACGGCCTTCTGATCACCCTTCCACTTCTTGACACCTTCCAACCACCTAACATCCATTCTCTGTCTTCCCACAAGATCCTGTTCTAACCAGTCTTTGTCCACTATAACCTTTTCTAGATCCTTCCAGATCTTGACCTCACTGTCCAACCAGTTTGACACCTTTTCAGCTGTCTCCTCGATCTTCTCAAAGCAAAGGAAATGTCCAGTGCCTTTTACGACTTGCTCTTTCACCCTACCCATCTCAGCACCGCCAGAGCCGTTCCAACCAGTTCCTGTCCTTTTCATCTTTGCACTTCTCTCTTCAGGATCCATGGTATATGAATCTCCGCCGTAGATCCAAAGTACAGAAGGACGTAGATGAGACAAGAACATCCAAGCAGTTCTCCCTTCAGACTTGTAAAAGGGAGATACGATTGGTGCACAAGGCCATAGATCCGGATGGGTACTTCTAGCCACTAGATCAGACTTGTCTTCCCAATTCAGGTTCTTGTAATTCGGTCGTGCGACAGACATGGCTTCTTGATGTTTAGGCGTTGTGAGGGTGTAGCTTTGCTTGTCTTTCTCCTCTGCTGTACCTTCTGGATACAGTAAGGTAGGTGTTGGGCGGATGCTGACTTCTAGGATCTTCTCCACGACACGTTGGTCAAAGGGTTTGAGTAGGAAGTTCTTTCGGAATGCGGTTTCGGCTGCTGAGCGGGAAGGCCAGAGGTCTTTGCGGAAGGATGGCATGCGGGTCATGGGGACCCAAGCGGGCAGTGGTTTGGAGATGATGATGGCGTCGAGCATGACAATAGAGGTCAGGAGGCGAGGATGCATTTGCGCGAGGAGACAGAGAGATATGGTGCCCATACTGTGGCCTACACCAATGATGGGACGGGTGAACTCTGAGCGGTGGGTGTTGATGAGACTGAGGAGGTCGCGTGCATGGTCTGCGTAGTTTGCTATGCCCAATGTCAGATCAAGTTGTTCTCGCTTTGACGGGTGAGGAGGAAGTGTTCCTTACGGTCATTGCCTATCTTATCTTCGTTGAGCACGTAGGATGCACCTTGATTCGCTACATCTGCCATCCAGATGCTGCGAATACCATAACCGGCCTTCTCGCTCTGCTTAAGCAGGTCTTCCCACAGTGGCTCGTACAACTCTTTGGGGAATGCGGAGGCATGAGCTGCCAATATCGTCACATCTCCTTCTTGTGGTGTGCGGTTGAGAGGAATGTATTGTTTAGCGCTGAGATACAACACTTCTTCCTGGTATGTCGAGGTAGCTTGAGGATACTCTCTAATGCTTTGACAGGGAGTCCGATGCTCGACTATCTTGAATGAGGTTGACATGACGATAAAGATGCGGATGTGTGGAGTTGGATATGAGCAAAGGTGGGGTTTAACTGGAGATATCTGCACGAGCAGGACATATATACTACATATTAGACAGATATGACGCCAGCAGGTTGAATTCTACTCTGTTTGGGAACTGAGGCCTCTTGGAGCATTGGCCTAAACAAGTCGATGAACAATGTCCATCTGGTGGGCTTCGTGTTGAGACGGACGTTGCAAGGCCTAAAACAACAAACATGTGAAAAAGAGAAGAAGAAAAAGGTTGCAATTAGATCTGCTTCTTCTCCTTCCATGACCGAGTAGCGCATTTCTTCATGCAACGAGACATGAAGCCGTGATAATGCACGCTCCAAGGGTGGAGTCGTGTCTGCTCTGTGAGCCTGTGCGTTGCCCATATGTGGTTGTAGCAGAGAGTCGTTGAACTTCAGAGATGCTTTTTTGCCAATTCACCGAGATCTTGGATGATGTCAAGATGATCGGCAGGGTCCACCAGGGAGATCATCATCAATCTCAACCTTTGATAAGACTGGATGGCATGCGTCCTTTGAGCAGCTTTTGCTTCTCGGCGCGCATCTCTTGTATGAATCTCGTCGTCATGAATTCAATAAGTCATGCTTGTTGAAGGTCAGCAAGTAATCTCAGCTGTTTGGTGGCAGCAGCGAAACATACGTTGATGTGGTGCCAATGCACGGACCAGCCAGATCTCAAGCTTCAGATGGTGGCGGCGTGCGGATCTTGAGAACACCGTCCTCAACAGCGACATCTTTCTTCTGAAAGTCGAATGGCTTTCCCTATGAGCGTCCATTAGCCTCATGCAGAGCGCGCAGTCCGGATAGCACTCACGATAACGAGCTGGGCGGCCTTGACCTCGTCCTGCGGGGCGCAGCAGTTGACCTTGGTGACCAGGCGGCGCCAGAGCGTCGTCAATTTTGACCACATGTTTGCGCTCTCTTTCAACGTCGTGTTCTGGGTGGAGGCACGAGGGTCGAGAGAGTGTTGAATGTGGTGCATGAAAGATGGTGATCGAGTCATGCTAGATCAAAACGGTGAAGAGGGGCTGAGAAAGCGCGCGGTACTTGAATACATGCCGAAACGAGGCTGTAAGCCTTGATGTGAATTGGTTCGTGTTTATTCATGATATCGATGCTAACTGGGAGACCATATCTCGAGTCTTGCTTACAAGACATAACGATACATGGGACCAAAGTTCTCGACACCAGTGTTGGCCTCAATGCCCGCCTCCTTGGTCCCCTCTGTCGATGCGATCCTGTTCTTCTGCTCTTCGATAGTGCCATACTGCTTATCCAACTTGCGATTCTCATATGCGAGCAGTGTACGCAAAAATAATGCAAGCAAACCATTGAAAAACATGAAGGCAGCGCAAATGCTTTGGCCCTTGACGTAGAAAGGCGGTGTGTTGTAGACTCGAGTGCCGAGAAGGGGACCACACTGGCCGATCAGGTTCAACAACACGAATGCTGCACCACGACGATCGTCGTTGCCTTGGTTATTCGTGACCCATGGGAGAATGTTTGCGATGCAAGGAAAGACTCCTGATGCGGCGAGGAACACACCCGCGTAACGAGAAGCGGTACTGGTTGTCACAGCAAGCATGATGTAACCGACACCTCCGATGATGGAGAGAGTAATAATGGTCAACCCACGTTGTTGTGTCTTGTCCGCAATGTAAGCAGAGCCGATTGTGATCAAGAAGCTCAAGAAGTATGGCGGTGCGGAAAGACCTTGAGCTGTGATGGACTCGAAACCCATCTCTTCTAGAATGGTGGGCAGAAAGACTGGCAACGAGGAGAATGACACATTGCAACTGAAGTACATGAGACTTTACACGATATGTCAGCGATGTGGGCTTTTCAGAAAGGTAGTGTAATGCTTACGCTGTACAGATGGCCTTGGGGTCAATGAAGGTCAACCCAACATCCTTGAGCTTAATACTACCGATACGCTCGGTGGTACCAGTCTGGCGAACACCTCTTGCGACCGCGACGCGCTTCTCTTCCTCGTTCAAGAATCGTGCCTGCTGCGGACTATCAGGAAGGAAGAAGTATGCAACTGGTACCATGGCTAGGGTGGGAAGGCCCTCAACGAGGAAAAGAAGCTTCCAATTCGCGATAGAGGCGTGACCGGACGTGATACCATAGGCGAGTGCGCCAGCGAAACATGTTGCGAGTGGAGCAGCTGTTTGTGGTCAGCTATGGGTCAATCCTCTCCGAAAGTTCTGAACATACCAGCGAGGAAGATACCACTGCGGAAACCGACTTCATGGCGCAGATAAAAGAAAGACAGCAGGTAGGGAACACCAGGTCCGTATGCTGCTTCAAACACACCGAGAAGGAATCTGAGGACCATCTCGCCCTCCCATGTTGTGACCGCAGCTTGACAAGTCGAGATGACGCCCCTTCAAGATATTAGCACTTGTCGCATAACACAAGTCCAACTGTAGCTTCCGCGTTTAATGTTAACAGACGCCAGTTGCCCATGAAGTACGTACCAGCCAAAAATAGCCCAAGACGCCCAGATGTGAGGAGGAAACCTCTTCCAGCCGAGGACTTGGAACTGGAAAAGAATGTACGCGATGTAGAAGATGGTAAGCAGCCATGTATAGCGATCGGGGTTGTCGACCATATCCAATGCCTTGGCCATACCAGCAATTTTGGCGTTACCAATGTTAGAGCGGTCAAGGAATGCGAGCAGATAGAGCGCCATCAGCAGTGGTACAAGATGCCAATCAAGCTTGCGAATGACGCGCTTCTCAATGATAGGGTCGATAAATGGTTCTGAGCCGCCATTGTCCACTGAAGCCTGTCTTGCTTCCAATTGCACATCTTCGAAATTTTTCTCCAAGTCCTTCTCGCGAGCAATTTCGGGTTGTGGTTGTTGAGCCTCGACGCCCTCTGTGTTCTTCTTGAAGATACCCATGATGTGTTGGGTATGGGGACAAAGCACGAATGACAGAAAAGAAACAAGAATCCGCGAGCGAAAGCGAGAGGCAGGGAACCTATCTTTAAAAGACTCTTGAATTGCTACTTACCGTTACTACATTGACTGATAGGCATGCCGGACTGCCGATCATATACTTCTAAGTTGTGAAGGTCGCACCTTGTTCATTTTGCCCGTGTGGAAGAGAATCGATTGTGGATCCGTTCTCCGCGCGAGCCTCCACTCTTTGCGGGCATGGAGACGTAGATCAGCCACGGGGTAGTACAGTGGGGTATCTTGGTCCGTCATAGCCGGTTCTGGCTAGTCGGCCGGCATCTGAAGGTGCTAGAAAATGGTCAGCAGTAGTCTCGCATGGAGCTATCATGCACACTAGCATGTGGTATGCTCCTGCGGCAAATTCTTGTTCCACGGATACAGATTCGCCATGGAATGTTTCGGCGCTTTCAACGAGGCCAAGCAATGCCTCCAATCAGCTTGGCGTTGTGGAAGTGCTTGACGGAGCTTAAACTCTGCTTAAGTACAGATGTGGCGAGTGGCGATGCAGACAAGTCCTATATACAAATCGCATGGCGATAGCAGAGGACTTCTGGTTTGAACAGAAGGTCCTGGCGAAGAGTATTAGGCCAAGATAGTATGATGGTTATTCCCGAATCATGGAGACTCCAGAAGAGCGCATTCTCAGCTGGCCCGGTCATGTTCGATACTTTCGATAGTCTTTGGTTCGCGTTTCTTCCCGTGACGGAGGAGAACTCCTACAGTGTGGCACGAATACCTCGTGTCGAGCTGGTTCTCAAACGATTTTGGCGTAAGCATCTCTCAAAACACGAAAGATGAAGAGATGGGTAAAAGTACATTGCTTCTTTTCCGTCCCATATAACATACAAAGAGGAGATTTTTATATATATGCCTACTTTCTTCTCTGCAAAACTTTTGTACACATATCCAGGAGGCCGGCCTTAGCCTGGCTCTCCGGGAAGAAAGCAATGGCTTCGCGGGCCTTGTTAATATAGTCTTCAGCCATGGCGCGAGTCTGCTCGATGCCGTTGCTCTGGATGACGAGGTCGTGCGCCTTTTGATTGTCAGTACGCGTCGTACAATAAATGGAGGATAGTGCAAACTCACTCTTTTCACATCGCCTTGCTCGGCAAAACGTCTGCCAACAAGGGTACCGAGCTCCTTGTTATCCTTCCAGGCGAACAGCAAAGGAGCGGTCGCCAGACCCAGCTCTAGGTCAGCACCGGCAGGTTTGCCGAGCTCGGCTCCACTGACAGTGTAGTCAAGCATGTCATCGACAAGCTGGAAGGCAAGGCCAAGATTCTTTCCATAGCTATACGCAGCGTCTACTACATCCGGAGAGCAGTTTCCAAGAATAGCGGCAGCTCTTGTCGACTTGCTGATGAGCGAAGCGGACTTCAAATATGTCTTTTGCAAGTAGTATTCCATGGTCTCTTGGCTGTACGCAGGGTACTTCTCGTCCGAGGCAGTGTTGCGTAGCTGCATGAATTCACCTTCGATCAAGTTGGCGATGACGGTAGCAAGCAGTTCGGTGACCTCGGGATCCCTAAGACGGGCAAGTGCTACAGAGGCACGTCCAAGCATGAAGTCCCCAGCTAGAACGGCCATCTTGTTGCCAAACTGGATGTTGGCAGAGGGAGCGGAGCGGCGAGAGATGGAATTGTCGATGACATCGTCGTGGAGGAGGGAGGCAGTGTGGATGAGTTCGGTGATTTCGGCGAGACGACGCTGCGAAGGCAGAACGGTGGTGTCTGACGTGTCATCGACAGTAGGAGGAGATGTGAGGGGAGAGGAGTGGTTGGCATCGGAGAGGACGGCGGAGGGAGATATGGGCGAGTCGACATCGAGAGCCCGGGGAGTGGATCGGTCTTGCTTGACAGTCAAGGCGGTAGCTTGCGACATGAGCAGAACCAGCATGGGGCGCACATATTTGCCCTCTGATTGCGTGTAGTACTTTGCGACAGTATCCAGCATGGGGTGGCCAGAGCCTAGTAACTGTTGGATGTTTCCAGTCAAGAACTTGAGTTCTTTGGCGACACTCTGCAGCGGATCAATGCCGATTGGTGAAGGAGCGGCGTTGCTGAACATGTGCTTGGCCGTCTGGATGGCAGCGGCGACCGACGACTGATGCCGCCGTTGCGAGGGCAGACATGCTTGTATTGATTGTGGGCGCGGCGGTGGGATGTGTGCGTATTTGGAACATGAGGATCGGTATGACGGCGGGCGAGAGGTGATGGCGAGCGCCGATGCTCGAGCACGAGGAGCACTCATTTCCAGGGAGAAAGACTGCGCAAACAGAACGACACCCGCTACAACTCCAATCGCAATAGGAAGGAAGGCCTGGACGTCTTTAGGAAGGAGCGTTGGTGGCCAATTGAAGCGTATGCGCGAGTAGCTTCTGTCTGACCAAATCTCCATCCAAGCATCATTCATTGGTTTTTCGGCCTGGAGTCCATGTGGCCCGAGCTCATTTCGAGATATGCGATAGCAACCAACATTTCCATCCTTCTCCACTCGCACTCATGGTCCTCTTGACCCTCACGCCTGCTGCTAAATCTGCTGTTGACTTGTTCAATCAGCGATCTGGCGAGAAGCATGATGACTCGTCGAGTGACCCCTCCTTGAGCGAGCCTAGAGTCGGCTCCCCTGTTTCTCACGCCCAGTTGATCGAGGTTGCCCGCTTCCTGCGTGAAAGCGACGTCCATAGCAAGGATGACTATCGACTTGATGCGTTGCTCAAGGGAGCGAGCATCTATGTGGCCCCACCAAAGCCGAAACCTCAACCAGTATGCACTCATCTAACGCACCTTGTCGCAACCACTAGAACTGACCGTGTCTCACAGACTGCCGAGTACCTCGCTCTGATGGCCCGCCTTCGTAGGGAGGAAGAGAACATTGCATACCAACGCATGATCAATCCTACAACATCTATCCCGGAGCCATCTCGTATACGAGTGGAGGACGAAGACGACGAAGTGACGTATACAGACGTCAATCGCCAGCTTGCCCTCATCATCAACGTCCTCGTCTCTATCATCGCTTGTAGTGTCGCCATATGGATTGCCGCTCGTCATTGGAGCGTACCCCAGAGAATGGCCCTGAGCATGTTCGGTAGTGGCACTGTAGCATTTGCTGAAGTCGCCATCTACATGGGCTATATCAGACGTATCAAGGATGCGAAGCACACTGAGAAGAAGAAGGTCGAAACAAAAGAAGTCGTCGACACGTGGGTCATTGAGAAGAAGGATCCGAAGAAAGAACACGAACTTCGGCAGAGGAAAGGTGGTAAGCATAGGTAAATCTTATGCACTATGTGTTGTCACATTCCAGACTTGATTGAGACGTAAAGTGCGTGATATGGCCGGGCAGAATATAGGTTGAGCTCGAAGCCTACATCGTTTGTCCAGAACTTGTGACGTGTCAATGTATAAACACACGTTGTGAGATTGTGGAAAGAGGTAAGATTCACGGATTTGTGATTTCGACTCGACGACAGCACCTACCTACACAACATGTATCGCAGATGAGCTTAGCTAAATACACGACTGATGGAGCATATCTGGACAGGTGATGCGTCGCTGCATTCGCAATCGATCATGAGAAAGATGAGCCGCATCAAGGTGACAGGGTCATCACAGTAGCAACCGACTTTGTCAAATGCTGTGCGAGGAAAAACGCGGCGCGAACCAACCACCAATCTCTCGCGCATCGAGGCGTCTGGTCATCGTCACATTCTCATATCTCAACATCGCCTGCCAACGTCCCAGACGGACGAACGCTCACGATCACCGCGATCTCACGGCAACTCGGCATCACCTTACACCGAACACCAATTGTCGCGGTTTACGCGCCTCTACGGACTTCAGCGGACAAATTCGGGTCACATGCTAGGTCTGCTTTGAGTGAAGCCGGATACCAATTTGAATGGAATGTGACACTTTGTTATCAACGAGGCAGCCGGCATGGGGAAATCAAAGAGGATTGGAGAACATGGGGCTCAAATACATCCGTGAGTCTCTCGGGAGCCTCTCGACCGGAGAGCACACATCCAGCAAGATCTCGAATATTCAAAACGGTAGCTGGTCGAAGCCCACCATCGAAGTGGATACACTACACATTCTGGCGGGCAGGCTCATGTCCATGTGGCATGTTTGTCAACTCATAGGACTCTGACCCGACGCGAGGTGGGTGTGCAGGCTCGTACGTCGGCAACGGCTGAGCAGTATCATACTCTGGTGGTGCCAGCTCGACCGCTTCACCATGCCTTCTTGTTTGTGGAGCTGTTGCGACGGGTCTTGCTCGCGTGGGCCATTTTGTAGGCCAGGCTCTGATTCCTTCTGCTTCTTGGGCATCTACAATGGCTTTGGTGAGCTTCAGTTTGCGGTTGCGCCATAGGAAGAACCCGAGCAGCGAGAGGATAATCGCGATGACGATGACAACGGCAGCTATGATACCATCTCGAGCGCCCTTGGAGAGTCCGTTCGTCTTTGTTGACTGTCCGTACACCATGACTGCGTGAGTTGTGGTGAGGGATGCTCTCTAGGACGATAATTAGCAACACGAGCATGTATGTCGAGCTGTAAAAGAAGCATACCACACAAAGGTCAGTCTGCGGTGGAGACTCCAGAACTACAAGTGGCACGGAATGCCGCTACATTAAGTACATGCCTAAAGCAGTCTATCAGTGACAGCAAAATCCATCAGGATTCACACTGTCTCGCGACCAGCTCTAATATGCCGCATCGCTAGACCAAGCTAGACCAAGAACACGTCCAATGCTTATCTGCAATGCTAAGAGTGACAAGTCTTCCAGCCAATGTGATGCGAGTGCAATATAGCCTAAGACTATTCCAGCAAGCTTCGAGAAACGCACAAAAGCACCCGGGCGTGTCAAAAAATAGCTGGCGAACCAGATTTTCAGGAATCAGCCTTGTGATAGTCTGCACCATTCGATTGTGTATCGTGTGGCTGCGGAGGATGCGAGTTCTAAGCGTCTGGTTTGAGGAGGATTTATTGGCACCTGCCGCTTTGGTCGTCGCGACAGCCCCTGCGTGATGGGAGAGGCCAGACCTCGTCTATGGTATTAATGCACTCGTGTTGAATTTCGGACACGAGATGTGTGTGTAATCGATGCTTTGAGTCGATTTTTCGTGCATGGTTTGGAGTCTGAGCACGTCAGCTCTGCAACAGATCCAACGATGGACGACGTGACCGCGCACTACATTGATGTGTTTTCACGCACGATGAGGTTTAACTTGTTGTGAGGCCGCAGGTCAAGCACATACGGCCACAGTCAGCTGAAAACTGGGCATCCCGTCCGCTCTGCCATACATAAGCAGTTGAACGGCAGATTAGTACTACGGTGGGTGACCACGTGGGAATCCCTGCTGCTGTATGTTTTGTCTTTCTTTTGCTTCTTCCGTACGACCAGCGACTACGTCAATCCCTTGCATGCGGTGCGACAACTGTTCTTGCATCTTGCATTAACTGCGTATCGCGCGATACTTGCAGTGAAACACTGGACATTGTTTTTATCATAATGTCTTTCTGCGGCTAAGCCAAATTTCACACGCTGCGCAGCACTCGTCTTGCAAAGCAACGCAGTCTTGTCAAGCCGCCATGAATGCTTGAATCGAGTCACATACTGCCTTTTGACCTGCTCGTCCCCCCATCGCTACTGGCGTATTCCTCAATGGCTCTGTACGATGGGAGCGTGTAGAAGCGAGATCACCAAGAGAATCTAAACTTTCCACTGAGATGCGAGCATCATGGAAAAGTGGGCAGTTCTGGATCGACTATGGAATCAGGACGAGTATGGACGTAGATGACGTATACTGGGGGGCCATTTCTCAAGAAGGAGATGATATTCTCAATGAAAATGAGCGAAAAGAGATAGAAGCTTTTGTTGAAACCAAAATAAGGGAAGTGAGGCCGTATAACGAGAATCGCAAAGAGAGAGGCTTGTAATAAAGTAAAACAGATAAGAGTGTTGACTGTGGCTGAGGAAGATGTGTCTCGTTCCAGGTCGCCCAACTTGTCTTGTGCAACGTCTCACTATTTTCCTCGAGGAATACCACTTTATGGGAGAAACAGTTGCGCGGTCGTTCTACCCGAGGGAAACGACCGATAAGCTTGGTCTGACAGAAGTCTGGGAGCTGATATAGACTAGATGCAGCTCAATTGGCCGTGACTCGTATGGACGATCATGAGCATGCCACACCTCTTGCGCTATTTCTCATAAAGACAGGTACGGTAGTCTGGGATGGTACGACCCGACTGACAGAGCATTCAATGTAGCCAGGCAACTATGGTACGCCATATCATAATTTGCTCAACCGCACACAGCTGAACAAATAGCGACGGCTGTGCTGAAGCCGACATCGATCCCCCGTCGAAGAAAGTGAAACCTTGGTGTTTATCGTACGTCGCATGAGTTAGCCTTCGAAGGCGTCTGATACCTGCGCAACGTGTCCAACTTTTCATGACGTGAGCCGTGGTGCGGAAACGTACAAGACAGTGCTGTTTCCAACACAATCACTGGGTAGTCCAAGCTACTCCGCAACTTTCATAACACTACAACCATGGGCTCCCTCATCAGTCTCATCCTGGTACCTCAAAGTCTCCCCGGTGTCCCCGGTATTGGGCAGACAGATATCAACCCCGACAAGGCTGCCGCAGAACTGTCCCCAGTTGTCTGGGACGTCCAAGCAGTGGGCGCGCAACCGAATCCGGCATTTACAGCTACCGGCACCGGCCATGAAGAGCCTTTCCTTCCCGCAAGGACCTACACTGCTCAGATCCATGCGGTACCAGGACTGGATCTATCTTCGGGAGGAGAGGTAGAGAGATTCATCCGTACTGCACACGAGTCCGACTTGATGAAGTTGCTTGCTACACAGCCCACAACCATGATTACCATTGGCAAGACGGTGGCTGCTCCAGAACAGACGCCCCCTTGATAGGTGTTTGATCCAAGCTTGTAATGATCGCACAATACGCTGAGCTTTTTCTGATTCAGATCGTCCTTGAAGAGCGCACCGCTCTGTCGTTTCGAGAGACATTTTCGGGCTCTCGAAACGACAGACGGCAGTGAGGGTGGGTGCAACAATGAATTGAATGTTCGAAGGATCCAGATGCGTGGAGGGTCTTTGTTTGGAGAACGCTTCAGCATGAAACCGAGCCAGACACAGGCACACTCCATAGGCACTGTACGATATCGTTTCACACCATAGCTCATTCGAGTCGGACCAAACAGTCGCATGTCTAGCCCTCAACCCCTTGCAGTAACACAGACGTGTCGAAGATTCTTTGCCGTTGCTCGTCATTGACGTCTCCATGGTTCGAAAGCGTGTCGTCTTGAAGCTTCACTGGATCCAGAGTGCCATGAAGGTCTCTCATAGAAGATGGCCCATCGGGTCCGTCAGAGAATCCCTCTGTTGAGAGCCACCGTCTTTGCAGTGGTATGACAGAAGCTGTCTGGTAATCGAGGTAGGCGATCAATCTCAGAACCCCCAGGCGCAGTGTTGATTCTGACCAGGCGATGCTCTCTCATACAGTCCGCTCAATACACGCCTGTGGTGTGGACCTCATCATAAGAATCCAGTGTAAAAGCTGGCGTTCAATGTTCTAAGTTCTGAAACCTCGTAACCGAGTGGGTTGTCTTCTGGAAGTTTTGCTTCTTGCGCGGCAAGGAAATGTTGACCAAAGACCAGAGCGACGTCACTGTTGGGATACTCGGTGTCAAGGGCGCTTCTGGCAGATTCAGGCGTGAATTCTCCAGCGATAAGGACAGGCGATGCTTGCCCCCAGATGGCGAGGAACGGCTTGATACCCTCGTACTTGTCGCACTCGATGTTGGTGATGGCGCGTGACTTGATGATATGGATGTAGGCCAAGCTCAGCTCTTTCAACTGTCGGGTAAGTGATGTGAACTCGGGCGCGAGACTCGACATGCGGAAAGCGCTGGATGGATTCATGCGGAAACCAACTCGGTGGGCACCTATGGCCTCTGCTATTGCAGCTGTCACCTCGAGGGCAAATCGAACGCGGCTCTCAACGTGGCCACCATACTTATCTGTGTGTCTGTGCAGCGATTGATAGATGAAGTACCCGTTGGCACCAACTTCGACACCATCAAACCCAGCAGCGGCAGCGTTTCTTGCCGCTTGGACAAACGCCCTGGTCGTCGACTTGACTTCTTCGTCGTCCAAGGCGGGAGGTAGGGACTCAGAAGGTGAGTCACACCTTTTGATGGACAATGTTTCGCTGGTACTGCTGGGATAGCGGCCTCGTTTCTCTGCTGATAGAGCCGCATCTGCCAGTGGTTCTAGAGAGTCGATCGAGAGGAAGATATGAGCTCCCTTGGCGTGAACGGCGTCGGTAATTTCTTTCCATCGAGCAATTTGGGGACGCGTCCAGATGCCAGGAGTATGCTTGCCGCCGCCGAGTTCTAACGACACGACAGTAGCTTCAGCAATGACTAGGCCACCCTCGGATGCGCGCTCGGCGTAGTATTCCACTGCTAATGGCGGTTGAACGTGGTTCTCGTCTGTGAAGAGTCTTGTGAGTGGCGCCATAACAATGCGATGCTTGAGCTCGATCTCGCCCAGCTTGAGAGGCCGTAATAGGTTTGAGTATGACATTGTTGCGTGCAGGATGTCGATGGATCTGTGGGTGTTTGTGTTGATCTCGTGTGGGAAGCGGCTGTACTCATGTGTTTTCGGTGGTTCTATTGTCCACAAAGTGCTGAGGGTCAGGAGAAGCTAGTGGTGGGACAGGGGAAAGGTTGTCCTCGAGGAAAGGTCGAGAAGCAATCAAGACGTAGGTCAGTCTATGTTCGCGAGAAAGATTCTCAAACGACGGCTTCTCACGCCCTAGATTCATGCCAGGCATAATGTAGTTCCACAAGCAGCCCGCGCAGAATTACTAAAATCAGTAGATAGGCAGGGCTGAGACCCACCGGCTTGTGCTTTGGCGCTAGGATTTTGGAGACTCGGGGTAGAACCTTCGGAAGATAAATTTCTGGATACGGGCAAATTCCCGTTGAACTTCCACCAACCAGGAATGTCTGACGCAAAGGGATTCCGATGTGGACCCCTCACCGCGTGATACAGACAAGATACAAGCATACCAAGAGATGCATTAACAGTATGCGCTCCTTGGTCAAGTAGCAGATGTTTGGGATAGACACCAAGATGCTTTGGATGACAGATACGCTCACCCGTAACCGATCGTGGTAAACCTTATTATGGCATGCTTCCGTACTCCCGTACTGCACATTACCTCAGCGTATTCGTCGCTGACAGCACCCCCAAGGATGGATGTTATTCGGGATTGCATGCTTCAGGGGAGGTGCCGGGAACTCTCAAGCAATCGACGAGCAACCCGTAACTCTGAATGTATGCTTTTACACGGTCTGGCCGATCAAGGAGAGGAACGGTTGTGAAGGTTAGAAGTTTGCCCCGAAAGCACGACTTTGGCCCGAAAGGCTCGTGCCCGGAGGAGTGAATTTCCCTATACGTACTCGATTTAGAACAGGTCATGGAGGTCTCGGAAGCCGCACGCGTTGAGCCCTGAAGCCCTAGTCATAAACGGTAGCCCGGAGCAGCCAGCTCCTTGACGAATACTTGCCACGTTGTGCTCGGAGCCGCGTGTAGGAACCGATAACGCTACTGCGTACCTCACGATCCATCATCAGAGGCGGTCAAACAGAAGTCCGAAGGATGGTCGTGATGAGTTTCGGAATCTTGAGACATGCAGTCGACTGATGTTGAGTCATCAACAGCCATCTTCCTGGCAGCGACTGGTGTAGGCGATCCGCCGAATCTAGTACCAAACAACCAGACCAGCGTTGTTGACAATACGGATTTTGTCCGCATGAGAACCCCAGTTGTCTATCCCCAGCGCTTGTGCTGGCCATCTCTTTAAGAGGAGATTTGACCAATTCGAAAATCGAGGTCTAGCGGGAAGATCCGGAGCGAGACGAGGGTTGAGTCGGTGCGAGATAATCACGTTCGGCACATGTGCGCGACTATGACGCAGCGACTGCAAACGACGGAGCGGATGGGATCATGCGAATCGATCTTTGCGCGAGCCTGCTTTCCAGATCCAGGTGAATGTTGACGTGATCTAACGTGTCCGAGTCGTGGCCAATCCAGAACCCAGGTTTGGTGAAAAACCACGGCGTCTGACGGCTCTCGCTAGATTCATGCTTGTCTGAAAAGCATCCTAAACTTCAGGCAATCGAATTTCCGATGTGTTTTCTCAATCAATTTATAGTTGAGATATCATCTCGACTTGTCGCTGTCATTTTGTCACTGTCATTGATGTTAGTAAGAGCATCTTATGGTCTGCGCGAACTCGCGACTGCTTGTTACTGGACAACAAGAATCTGGAAATCGATCAATTTTAAGGAACTTCTCGGCTATATATTTAGCCGCCACGGTCGCTATATTATGATCTGTGGGACATTCTCCGCGAGACTCCCGGGTCACACGAATCGCGAGGATATTTTCTGACGAACATCGCAGTGAAAACTAGCACGGCAAGGTTGAGATCACGCAAACAATCGATCTTGGCACTTGAATAGTTTTCGTTAGGAACACAATCTCAATTGCGGCATAATCTGTTCCCAACGAGATCGTTCGAAGACCTCTAGGAAGACATCTGGAAGTTCGTATTACCCTGTACCTGATCAGTCATCATAATAGTATGTATGCCTCATGTTACCACCAATATCTCAAGACAACATGGAACGCCGCAACATCATATGCAATGTTTCGAATCCATCAAATCGACTTCTCCTGGTAGCTAGTGTGTCATAGCGGCCCAACACAGAAGTCCACATCGAGTCACTTGGAAGGCCTCGAAAGCAGCATCAGAGAAGCGGCGCAGCAGGCTGTGTCTGATCTGGATCCAGAAGATTCTGATACAAATTAGAAGAGCGGACCTCGTGACTCCATAGACCCCAGGGTCGATCCGAAGTGCCTGACATTGTTGTCCAGGTCTTTACTGCTTGTTGACTGCTTAGGAACGATAAATCTTGCTGGTTCCGATTGGGGTTCGAATTCTGGATAGTCAAGGCTGTAGTCTGAATCCCGGCATTGACTTGCGTATATACAGCTTGCATGACAGCCAGCTTGATGCTCGAAGCTACAGTAGTGAAGCCATGGTTCTGCATCAATACGACCGCGTGATCGGCCTCAGTCTGGGTGGCATTTGGCAAAGAGCGGTCGGAGGAGAATTCAGCTGCAAGTGCCGCACCAAGGCGCTGCGAGCGAATGAGGATGTCCTGATTATCACCAGGTTCGTAGTGTGCAGTGATATCAAAGTTTGGAACTTCATCACCTTTGGCGGATGTCAGGAGGATAGACTCTACATCAGAGTGGGCAAATATACATACCTAGAAAGCCTGCCATGTGAATGCATGAACGCAGAGGCACACCACTGAAGGTGTAGGGAACCACTTGCGGAGAGTGACTGTGGACAACGCTGTTGATGCTCGGGAAGCGCTTATATAGCTCGCTATGTATATAGCGTTCGAGGAATCCACCAGGAGCATTTGGATCGATAGGAGCAGCATCCTCGACGCGATACTCGACCAGATCACTGCTGTTGGCGACCAGAGCAGGAGCAAGGTTGCGAGACATGAAAAAGTTGGAACCATCGTTCGGATTACGGACGGAGATATGACCATAAGCATCTAGAACGCCATTATAGTGGAGAATATGCAGTCCTGTGATAAGAGTATTGAATACGGTAGTGAGATCAGCTGCGACCATTTCTGTAGCAGGCGATGGTTGTGAGGATGTCGACTGTTTCGAAGAAGGGGCAGTCATCGTTCGAGGTTGCGTTCTTCTTTATATTACGGGATAAAAGGTTTTGTGCATGCAGGAAATTGTAGATGGTATGTCAATTGTGGTTATTGCCTTATTTTGATGACGAGGATCGTCCGCCGGGTGATACTTTTGCGGGGTCGTAGCTCGGGAGGGCAACCGCAACTTGACCTTCACCTACCTCGTCTCACCATCATTGGTGCAGAATTGGACTGTGAGTGACATTGGGATTGTCTTGTATCCTACATTACCATCTCATGAGTACATAAGAGAAGTACAGTAGACTTCCCGGATGTTGAGGTCGTTTGAATGATGTCTCCAGAACAACACCTTTCTCAGCCTCAAGCTTGCAGAATTTACCAACCGAAAACACGTGTTATTACAGCTTTTCAATCCCACGATGCTCAACCTCAACATCATCTGATGATCCCAACTTACTACCTCTCTTAATGGCTCTGGTATCCTGCTGTTCTACTTTCTGGACTTCTTCGTTCTCTCTCTCGATGTACTTCAGAGGCCTTTTGCCGGAGATGGCATCTTTGTCGTTGATTACAATCAGGCCTGGGTTCGATCTGAAGTAAGTATCCAAGTCTTCGAGCGTTCGCGAAGATGTTTCCGGATAAGCCAGTTAATTGATCGGCAAGAACAACGCATTGGTTACTACCCAGATAGGCCAGAACTTCCAGCCCAAGTTCTGAAAACCAATAGGTGTGATCTCAACGATGACAAGATTCTTTTCAGAGTCAGCTTGTGTTTAGTCTCTTCGCAGTAGTATCTACAACTTACAGTAACCCAGTTTGTTGCCGTCGCCACCGCTGCGCCTTTAGTACGCATCGGCAGACTGTTGATCTCGGTGGGTAGAGCCAAGGTACACCAAGCATACCAACAGCAAAAGCGATGTTATAAAAAAAGAAAAAGAAGATCGACGCTTCGGCACATGCGGTACTACCATTAGCTATAGCAAACTTGAGGAGGATTGAGATGCCAAGGAACGCAAGGAGCTGCAAAAATGTGGACAATAGCATCAACGATCTGCGACCAAGTCTTTCTACGAACAGCACCGCAAAACCGGCAAAGACGAAACAAGAGACGGCGTTACACGCTGATAACAGACGAGCCATAGAGTTGCTCAACCCGACGTACGTAATGTAGATTGTAGGCGCGTAGTAGGAGGAAATGTTGATACCTCCAAACTGCTGCATCAATTGAGTGCCTGCTCCAAGAAGCAGACGTCGGACACTTTTTGTTCCATCTTCGGTCCGGCCACGGAAGAGGTCGCTCCACTTGATCGAATGCTGTCGTTCATATTGAACACCGTATACAATCTCTTGGTGCTGCGCGATGATGTATGCGTGGTCCACGGACTTGTTCTCTAGATCAGCCAGAATCTGTATAGCTTCTTCTGTTCGGTCGTGCGCAATGAGCCATCGCGGAGATTCTGGAAGCCATGGGACTGTAGCAAACAACACGACGATGAAGATGAACTGCAGGGCTAACGGTAGTCGCCACTGGATCGATCCTGGCACGAAGCTCAATCCGTAGTTGATCCAATTTACCAGCATAAATCCGCCAACGTTAGTCATCATTTCCGGGATGACCAGCTTTCCTCTGAGTCGTGCAGGAGCAGTCTCCGTCTGCCAGATAGGAGCGGCCGCAGTGTTGATGCCGTTACCAATCCCGAGAATCACGCGTCCAACGAATATTTGTGCCAGACTGAATGAGCTAGTCTCCAAGATGACTCCGATGGTCATGATGGCAGTGCCTAGTAGGATACTTTTCTTTCGTCCCAGTCTCTCGCCGACGGTGAAGGCTACGATGGCACCAATGAAGCATCCGACATTGTAGATAGCCGCAACTGTTGATAGGATCTTGGTCTTCGAGGGGCCAACGAGATCATGCAGCTGAAGGAAGTTGTCACTAACGACAACGCCAGAAAAGACGCCCTATCAGAGCACGAGGTCAGACGAGGACGATTCTGTCAGCTTGTGGTTCTCAATCTTACCTGATCATAGCCAAAGAGAGTCATGTCTGTCGCACACGCGACAGTGATCCAGAAGACCAATCATCCTCCCCTGAGGCCAAAATACCTCTGGTTTGAGGCTAGTTTCATGATCCAGGGACAGATAACTGTACAAACACGTCTCGTACAATGACCGCCGCTGAGTATTTTTGACAGGATACTCAGCGCCCACGCAGATACTTATTATATCTGGCTCTGCAACGTCGGTAACATTTCTTGAATGACCCGAGGCCGTTTTCAAATGCAGAGTACTCCACATACCTTGCTCAGCTATTGCATTCTGCCTAAAGTCGTCGGTCATACACAGAGCATGTTGAAGCGGCTTGGACTCCAGGATGTATCCTGGCCAAGAAGGCCGTTGTGATACGGTATAGGTCAATGGATAAGCATGAGCCTATGACCTGCTGGCTATTGTCGAGACTTTCTAGATCCGTTCAAACACATATACCTGTACCCAAGGATACAGCCATGACCGTGTCTAAGATACTCTTCAATTGAATGTGTTTTCTTTCGATGTAGAGGATTCCTGAGATATGTATGTATTTCGGTAGTGCGGGGTGAACAGCCGGACCCAACGCAGGCTAGACAGATGCAGATGGATCATCATGTGGCCTGATCCTGCAGGAGCATATCTCGGCGGGGGTGACACAGCATTCTTTTTGTGCATCTCAGAAGATGAAGATCAGACGCGTCCCTAGCCACACGCGATTGTCTCGTGTGCGATATCGCAAGATAGCTCCTAGCAACCAGGAAAATGCTGTGACGAGAGACCCAATGATAACATACGGCAGCACATAATAGTGAGGATGTTCGAAACGTCGTGTGAAGTTCAAGCAAGTTGCAAGCTTGATCAATGCTGAACATTGGAAGATTCGGTGGATGTTTGGCAAGAACGACCGGAGATCTGGCAAAATCGCGGGCAAACCTTTACGTCACAAGCACCCTCTCCACTTCTAGCTATCTCAAGGCACGATACTTTCTGAACAAGCAACATAGTCGTCGAGACACTTCATGTCAACGACTCCCTGCGCTAGGCCCATTGATACGAGATATGGCTGTGTTTTTCTACAGCTCGTCGTCGCCCTGCTTTGATCATTGGGGAGATAGATTGTGACAGTATTTTGCACACGGGGAGGACCGATCATCACTCCCAAAACTTCACAAGTCCTCCACAGGTGTATATCAATCAAGAGCGCTGAGCGGAGTGGTTCGCCGAGGAGTCTGACAGCTTCTGCAGCGACACCTCGAAAGTGCATCGCGATGAACACGCACTACTGTTGTGCTGCGCAGAATGAGCCCACAAGCTTCCAGAAGTAACGTACTTGCCTAGAGAAAGGTTTACAAGCTTGCTAGCAGACTCTATCAGACCAAGGTCCTTGAATATTGCTTCTAGAAGGCACGGCCTCCTCGATCAGAGACAACGTACAGTTTCACTACTTGTACATGAGTCAGTGTAAGACCGAAGTCGTCTCGATGATCCATGTCAATCTTTGCGGATCCGTGTGAGTATTTGTGAAGCCGGTGTTGTCTGTTTACTGATTGAGAGCAAACGGACGTCTTGGCTTTCTTCCAAAACCATGGACAACTTCACTCAAAAGTCTTATCAATCCCCCTCAATCCTTTCTGTCTTCTCACGCACGTCAAGATGCTTACATCAACTTATGTCAACCTCAAATCCTTCTTTTACCCCATAGGCAACACATCGGCTGCCAACCTGTTACGTGATTATCGTCCATGTGGCAAGAAACCAGTGGAGATTCTCGCAATTGGATGCGGCGATGTTCGGAACATCCTGTTTACCCTCTGGTCCAACCCAGACTCGCGTAAGATTGGATGCAACTTCACTGTGTGCGATTTGGATCCTGCTGTTCTAGGTAAGCATATTTAGACCACCAACGCGTGGATGATTGAGCTAACACCGTGTAGCCAGAAACATCTTCCTCCTCTCGATTGTCCACCAACATGCCTCTGAGATAGCTGCTGGAGAGAGTAAGAGCCTGCTTCTCCGCCTCTGGCGCCTCTACTACCATTTCTATGTCACGACTGAGGATCTGGCCTTCGCTCAGGACCATGCGGAAATGCTCCACGCCGCTTCCGAAAGCTTGTCAACATGGAAGGAATCGCCAATCGGACAATTGCTGCAGTTCTCTACCGAGGCCTCCCTGTCCGAAGTGCGCCGTATCTGGTATTTGCACGCTCAAGACAGAACAACTCAGGAAGATGCTCAAACCAGAAAAGTTATCAAATCGATGTACGATGTTAAGTCCAACACAAAAGACGGTCCGATCACTATAATACACGGTACACGCTCTGCTGGTACTCACGGTCTGATGGCAGCCCCGCCTCTCAACGTCGCCTTCCATGACTTCTGGAAGACTGGTGTCGTGGCAGGCAACAACGAAGATGTCTCTGCACTCGGTCGAGATGGCGGTGGCAGAGTCAATCCACTGATGTCTGTCTCGCCCATCGCCTCCAAAAATTTCGATGTGCACTATGGCTCCGATCCTCTGATTGGCTTCCATCTAGCCGAGGCTTTCGATTTGTCTACTGCAGCCAACGCGGAGTCACTTGCACGCCTGGTCAAGTCCCAGTTCTCGGGTTGGTGTCAAAGTTTTGCTTCCTGTGCCACTTTGGGCTCAGTCAACATCATGCACCATTGCGGCGAAGCTGTCAACTTTGCTCATGCTTTGCAGGCCATCTAGGGCTCCTCTACTCTACCTTCGTTCACACACCACTACACTAGACCTTGGAGCGCTGTTCGCCTCAACTTACCATCGACGCTAGCCACCAAATTCGACGTCATCGACATATCCAATGTCATTGATCACGTTAGCCTTCTGAACATCATGCCGGCCACAGTTCCACTTCTGTCCAATGCTTCTGCTTCTGTCTTGTACACAGAGTCCCTTCTTCAAGGCGGCAAGGAGCCAGAGAAGCTTCTGGCCACGCTGCTGCATTCGGATGTCTCAACATCCTCTCTTCTCTTTTGCATCGCTCCTGTCGGACATCTTCTGGGAACCACAACAGACTCCTCTCACATCGAGCAGTTGCTCGAAGTGTCTAGCCGCTCCCACGAGGAGGGCAGACAGAGGCAGTTCCGTGTGCGAATCTTGTGGAGACTGGCTACACAAGGCGATTGTTTTGTGACTTCTTCCACATCATTTCACGCCTGTCGTCTACAGATGGATCCTCAGGAGCTCGCTTCGTTCTTCATGCAGACGTACCTAGCCATGTTTCGAGAAGCAGAGGATATCGGCATCCGTTTAAAAGTGATGAGACGCAAGTTGACGACGCCTCTCCTGGGCGACATTGGCTTCTACTCGCGTGTGTCATTGGTCACGTTGTTGTCAACTGCTAGGCGGACGTTCTCTACAGATTGGAAGACATGTATCAGTGCACTACTAAATATGATTGAGACCGATCGCTCGCTCATAGTGAGCTCCAACAGTCTTCAAGAACTCTACTTGCATCTCCATGCTGCTGGTCTGTTCAGTGTGGAAACCTTGGAAGAAGATCCAAGAGCTCGTCCGAATCCTTGGGGCAAAATGCGACCTCCCGGTGAGTCTGGGTTGCTCGGAAGGCACAGTGTACCACCGATCGTACACGTTGCCCTCATTGTGTCCAGACGCAGTCTCAGTGTCTTCACCGATCAGGCTGTCGACAGAGTAGGTACGCCAGGACTTCGACTGTCCGTGCACAACGGAATGAAGTTCGAAAATTGTTTCTTTGCCATCGACACTTTCTTTGGCAGCTTTGAGAGAGGCTCTGATGACGGTGGGTCCCGGATCATCGAGGACCATGCAGGTTGGACAGGCGATGCTGATCTCATCGTGACTTGTGCTGTTCCCACCTGGCCTCTATTGCTGGATCGCAGACAAGACCTCAACGTCTCGCTTGTCGTCAACACCTCGCCCGCCACTGCGCAATACACCCAAAAGCTTGGCTTCACCATGAGGGTGTTCACTGCGAATCTAGACAGTAAACGAGTCCGAATTCTTGTTCAGCCACCTAGTACAGAGTCTGGAGCAGTCTTTGACATCAGACCAGCCTCTGCTGTGGCTTTCACTACGCCAGACTCCGCTACTGTGAGCCTCCAGACCGATGGGACTGTGCAGTCGATCAGAGTCACCAGATCCTTCGCAACCGACTCGGAAGAAAGCAAAACTCTGAAGAGCGGTGGCGCGGTCGAAGTTTCACAGATCTCGCCGTGTGCACTTGACGTCTCCATAGGCGATCTGCACAATTCAAGCAGATTTGTCTTCTCTTTCCCTATCAATGGAGCTGCCCGCAAGGTAAAGATTGCTCGCAAGTCTTCTTGGATCGAGGTTCAGGCACCCATATCTACCGCGCTTCAATTAGGTGGTCACGGCCTCAACCCTTTCCCAGTGATTGAAAGTGGTGAGACTATGCTAGCTTGGGGTATGGGTCGCGTGAACCCTGACCTACAGCCACTAGTCAAGATCTCGAAGTCAACTTCAAGAATTCTTACGCCTCTCGCCGCAATGGCTTTCAGCGAGCGATAACGCACTCGAGTCAAGACCAACCAAGGCCCCAGTACCATGCCATCAATGATTCAGCTCAAAGAAGTAATTCGCCAATTGTTTCTCGCATCCAGTGGCCTGCACCCCGATTCCCTGGGTCAAAAGATCCAGCTCTTCATCGTGAGAGACACTTCAAATTACCACTTTTTCATTGTCACAAACGCACTTTACCATGACAGAGACACTGGCTCCGTCTTCCTAGACGCGTTCTTCATGCCCGCCAGCCTCGAATTGATCACACAAAGATCATTCGCGAAAATGATGGGTTCCAACAGCGACAACAAGAGCTTGGTCATTGGAGCCAGTAAGGAAGATGCGCAGCTCTGGCACCATCTCATCCCTTCCCTCGCCGAATGCTGTCGCTCCTGGGAGCACACCTCCACCTGCCTATACAAGATATCTTCCACCAGACCTTTTGCAGAATTCACATGCGGCTGCGGCATGGGCAAGGATATTGCAAAGCTGCCCCATGGCTTCAAAGACGTTGCTGCGTTTGCTACTCGTGTTGCCATTCCTTTCATCTCTGCTGTTCCGTATGTAGAGTCCATACGTGACGAAGAGGTTATGAATGCTTTTGCTGAGCTTGGCTTGGAGAACAAGAAATCGGACGCTTGCGGCAGTTGTGGAGACGTCAAGGCCGGAATGAAGGTTTGTGGTAGGTGTGAGAAGGTCAAGTACTGTAACCACGCTTGTCAGAAGGCTGCTTGGAAGGTGCACAAGAAGGAGTGCAAGCGTTGATGTTGACGGCGTCATCACGACAATTGTGGCATGGATATGACTTAAAGCCCTCTGCACTTGAAAACACTGGGAAATACTGAGCAAAATGGGGACAAAGATTGGCAATGATGAAATGTAAGATAGGAACGGAATTGAAACAACGGAAAGAATTTTTTTACCCAAAGTAAAAACCTTCCGAAGACATGGAATCAAAAAGTCGAGTATAAACCCAATCGTCTCCTTTTTTTTCCCCTCTTTCCTCAACGAGTTCCAAACAATTTCTCCTCTTTTGCGATTGTTCAGTGGAGGGTGATTGGCTAGAAATCAGACATTTGCCCAATTGACCATCGACAACGAGAAACGATTCAGAAGAACCCCCCTCCCATACGTGCGAAAGACCGTCACGCCTTTCACAGCTGTCTCAAAGGCACGAAATCTCTATGGGATCTGGCGGTGATAGCGCCGAGATGCATGCTTTTGAATAACTCTTTATATTTAGCGTGTGTCGACAACGAAGATATGACTATACCTTCGTCGTCACCCTTGCTCTTGATCCATTGTGAAGAGAGAGAGAGGATGTGATGGTATTCTTGCACACGTGAGGAAGAAGGAGGACTGGCAATGGAAGAAAAGAAAAACAATGTTTATACTTTCTATAGCATCCCAAGCAGACTGCAAGGAAGACCATCTAAATCTCATCCTCAAATCTCCTAACAATCAAACCATCCTTTTCCAACTCCTCCTTGACCTGTCTGACCGTCCACTCCCCTCTGTGGAACATACCAGCCCCCAACGCAGCATCAACCGTAGTCTTGTCAAACACCTCTTTGAAATGTCCCGCATTACCCGCTCCACTGCTTGCAATGACCGGAATCTTGATAGCTTGCTTTACAGATTTTACAAGTTCAAGGTCAAAGCCAGAATTTGTACCGTCTTTGTCAATGCAGTTTAGTAGGATTTCTCCACAGCCCATTGCTTCCACGGCGGTGCAGAGTTGGATGACGTCGAGATCGGAGGTGCTGCGGCCGCCGTGGATTGTGCAGGCGTACCAGCAGTATTCCTCACCGTTGGGACCTGGGTATGGGGTTTTGAGGACAGAGTGGGTTGTGTCTTCAGGGCTCTTGACGTAAATTCTACGGGGGTCGACACTGACGACTACGGCTTGGACACCGTAGGCTTTGCTGATTGTTTCGATGGCGGTTTTGCCTGAGAGGGTCTTGTTGTTGGCATAGTATTCTTGGGCGGCGGTTACGGCGTCGGAGCCGATGGATACTTTATCGGCGCCGGATTTGAAGTATAGTGTTGCTACCTCGAGGGCTGGCACCAGAGTGTTTGTCTCTGGGTCTTTTGTGTCCCGAATACCGCCGCCGATTGTGAGGGGTACAAAGACGGTAGAGGAAGCTTGACGGAGGATCTCCAGCATAGGTTGATCTTTGAGAGGGGTCTCACGGAAGGAAGTGATGTTGAGGAAGGTGACCTCATCGGCGCCTTGTTCATAGTATTTCTGGGCCATAGAGACTGGTTTTCCGAGGTTGCGGACTGCGGCACCTTCTTCTTTTTCGCGGACATCGTATTGGTCTCCTTTTGTTACGACGAGGTCACCGGAATCGTTTGTGCGGACGTCGAGGCAGGCGATGATGCGACGGGTGAGGCCTTCTTTCGTTGTCGAAGGCTCAGGGGTGTGTGGGAGGGTGGTGAGACGGTCGCCGTCCAGGAAGGCCTTGAGGACACGCAGACCAGCGGCACCACTCTTCTCGGGGTGGAATTGGGTGACCAGAACGTTGTCCTTTGCGACGGCTCCGACGAATTCTTGGTTGCCGTAGCGGGCGGTGGCTACGGACCAGCCAGCCTTCTCGAGGACACCAGGCTCGTACATCTTGGCATATGAGTGGACGTAGTAGTATTTGCTGTCGGGACGCATGCCGTAGAGACTCTGGTTCGCATCGAGGCCTTGTTCCGAGGCAGTGTTGGCCGAGTTCCAGCCAATGTGAGGCACACTCTTGTCCGAGTCGTCGAATCTTTCCAGACGGCCAGGGATCAGACCGAGACCCGGAACCTCGTTGTTCTCTTCCGAGCCCTCGAACAGAGCTTGCAGACCGACACAGACACCCATGAAGGGCTTGCCAGCGGCAATGTGCTTCTTGATGGGCTCGACATAGCCAGAGTTGTTGAATTGACCGAGGCAGTGACCAAAGTGGCCTACTCCGGGGAGAATGAGTTTCTACATGGCCTGTCAGTTCAATCAGTCGTCTCAGTGCGAGCTGTTGGTGGGGTGTGGAGGGGCAGTACCTCAGCCTTTGGCACATCTTCAGGTGACTTGATCCATTCGACTTGGTAGCCGACCTTTTCAATCGCATTGACCAGCGATCGAATGTTACCAGCAACGTAGTCCAAGAGGTGTACTGTCGGCATGTTGATTGTAATGAGGTGTTTGTAAGGAAACAACACTCAATTGGCACGAAACAAAAAAGACGAGCACATGCCGATGACTCGTTTGGTGACTCCCACCTGCCCCGGGCCGAACCGATGACCGCCTTCGGCCCGTGAGATGGCGGCAGAAATTATCTTAGCCCTATCGACAAGGGAAGCCTTTCTCTGCAAAGACCGAACGGCCATCGCTGTCGCATCGCAAACAGCACAACCGATCGCCCATCATGGTCAGACAACTCAAGCACCACGAGCACAAGCTCCTCCGCAAAGTCGACTTCTTCAAGCCCGACACAAAACAAGGAACCATCCGCCAGAACGATGTGGTCCGCCGCGTACGTCCATCCTGAGCATCTGCGCAATCATAGAACAGCATCACTAACCGTTGCATTCAACAGTACATGATCCAGAAGCCCGAAGACTACACCTCCTACAACCGCCTCTGTGGTCAACTCCGTCAACTCGCCCACCGCCTCACCATGCTCCCCCCAGACAACGCCTACCGCCTATCCACCGAAAAGAAACTCCTCGACAAACTCTACGACATGGCCATCCTCAGCGAGCGCAGCAAACTCTCCGCCGTAGAAAACAAAGTCACCGTTTCCGCCTTCGCACGCAGACGCTTGAATGTCATTCTCACAAGACTGCAAATGGCTCCTGATCTCAAGGCCGCCACTACTTTTATCGAGGGTGGTCAGGTCAGAGTGGGTACCGAGGTGGTGACCGATCCGGCCTTTTTGGTTACGAGGAATATGGAGGACTTTGTGACTTGGGTGGATTCGTCAAAGATCAAGAGGACTATCCACAGATATCGCGACAAGTTGGACGACTTCGACTTGCTCTAGATGCGTTTTTGGTGGTCATGTTTTCTCTTTGGTCTTTGTATGCATTTCAGCGTGGCGTTTTCTGGGTCAAAATTGCATGGCACGAGCATCTCTTGAGAGATTCTTAGAGATGAATAGGTAGAAATGGTGGAAACAGGTTGGAATGCAAGATGTAGTAGAATTAAATGTCTCTCGTCTTGTCGGGTATCTTTGCTAACAACGAAATATCATATCCCCTGTTCCAAACACCATGTACGCCATGCTTTGTCCTCCCATATGCTTTTTTTGTTACGCTCATAGATCAACTGAAGTGGATGCCTTCCTGATTAAAGGCATAAAGCAACTTCAAAAAGTCACCCTCATCGCACATTCTGGCACGCTTCTCGCAGAGCTCGGTCGTCTCGATGAGTACCTTGGTCACCTTCTGGCGGACCAACTCCGAAACCTTGCCCTTCTTCTTGCGGTTGGGGTTGCCTAGCAGCTTCTTTGCCTTTTTGTCTGCTTCCTCCTTGAAGAAGTCGGGCATGTCGTCCTCGTCGTCCACGTCCATGATAGCTTCCATGTCTTCGTCCTGCTCATCTGCAGCCATATCCGTGTCCATTGCAGCATCTGCAGGGTCCAACGGGCCATCATCGAGTACAATATTGTTCTGGGCGCAGTAGGTGCGGTAGTTCGACTCGAGCATCTCCATGACACTGGTGGTTCCCAAGAAGCCACTGCGCAGCGTGCGGTTCTTGCGGACGAAGCAGATGCGCAACAGACCGTCCCACTCGTCGTAGCTGATCTGCGGACGCGGCACCTTGGGCACAATCTTGACGACATCACTCTCGACCTGAGGAGGAGGGTTGAAGTTGTTCTTGCCGACCTTCATGACATGGCTGATCTTGGCCCACATTTGCGCATTCACAGACAATCTCGAGTACAGCTTTGTCCCGGGCTGAGCAAACAAGCGCATGGCGAATTCACGCTGGAACATGAGTACGCAGGAGCGAGGAGCAGGACTCAGCGCCAGCAGTCTGAAAGTCAAGGGCGAGGAAATCTGATAGGGCGTGTTCGAGATGCAAACGTCAAAGTAGGGTAGTTGTGGGTGCTTGAGCACATCTCCGAGGATGATTTCTAGTCTCTTTTGCGCCGGAGTCCCTTGGAAACGCTTTGTGATTTCGGCAGCCATTCGGGGATCGGCTTCGCAGGCGATGACCTTTTTGGCCTTTTCAAGGATCTTGGTCGTCAAGTTACCAGTACCGGGTCCGACTTCAAGAACAATCTAGGAGGCTTGTTAGCACACTAGGACAAGTCAGATGGAAGCATAAAGACACACGTCTGACTGCTTGAGGTCGGCCTTGTCGACAATAGCTTGGGCGACACCAGGATTCTTCAGAATATGCTGACCGAGATCCGTGTTGAACTTGAAGACGTTGTTGGCCGAGTGACCCTTTTTGCGCGAGGCAGCGCCCGCATAGGGGTCAGTTTTGGAGGCGCCACTGCCGTTGTTCTTTCTTGCTGATTTGGGCATGTTGACTAGTTGTGTTCTGGTATAGAGAGGATGCGGAGAGGCGGAAGAAGGAAGATGGAATTTTTGGCCCGACTGGAAAGCTTATCGATAAGCCTCGCATCTCCAGGGTCTCCTCGAACCTTGTCACTATTCACCCCAAGACATCATCACATCAATACACCACTACAATGCCCCGTGCGTCCAGAGCAAGAGCCGCTCGCGAAGAATCATCTGATCTGTCATCTGCTGCCTCTGACGCTCCTGAGACGGCCATCGCTCAATCCGCTTCTACCTCAACTAGAGGGACCAAGCGCAAGCGTCAGCTCAAGCAGCCAGCAAAGGAAGACGTAGAAGAGGAAGAAGAAGAGGAGCTGGAAAAGAAGCCTGCTCCTGCCAGGAAGATCCGTCAGCGTAAACCACCCAAGCTCGAGGAAGAAGTCGAACCATCACCAAAGAAGATCAAGAAGCCCGCCAAATCGACAAAGCCCACCGAAGAGCCACAGGAAGAGGAAACCAAACCAGTCGAAGGACAAGCAACAAAGCCCAAAGTTGTGAGAAAGCGAAAGACCAAGGAAGAAAAAGAGGCAGAAGCAATGCCTTTGGCAGCACGTACACTCGGTCACAAACTCTTCATCGGTGCTCATGTCTCGGCCGCTGGTGGTGTTCCCAATGCTGTTCAAAATGCCATCCACATTGGCGCAAATGCTTTTGCTCTATTCCTCAAGTCTCAGAGAAAGTGGGCCAATCCTCCTCTTGAAGAGTCCGTCTCCATCAACTTCCACGCTCATTGCGACAAGCACGACTTTGATCAGAACAAACATGTTGTCCCTCACGGCTCATATCTGGTCAATCTAGCACATACAGACCCCGAACGTACAAAGCAAGCCTATGACTCTTTCCTTGATGATCTCAAACGTTGTGAGAAGCTGGGCATCGCCCTGTACAACTTCCATCCTGGCAACAGTGTAGGTGGTGACCGTGCTGCTGCTATTGCTCACTTGGCTGGCAATCTCAATCGCGCTCACAAGGAAACCTCAAAAGTTGTCACATTACTCGAAAACATGGCCGCTGGCGGAAACGTCATCGGCTCGACCTTTGAAGACTTGCGTGATGTCATTGCATTGGTCGACGACAAGTCTCGTGTCGGTGTGTGTCTCGATACCTGCCACGCTTTTGCTGGCGGCTACGACCTTCGCACACCCGAGACGGTACAGAAGACACTATCCGATTTTGACGAGACGGTCGGCATGAAGTATCTCCGTGCTCTACATCTCAACGACAGTAAAGCCCCCTTTCAAAGCCACAGAGATCTGCATGCCAACATCGGCACTGGCTTCCTAGGTCTACGCGGCTTCCACGCCATCATGAACGATGAGCGTGTCATTGGTCTCCCCATGGTACTCGAGACCCCCATCGACGTACGCGACGAAAATGGCAACCTCCAAAAAGATGCTAAGGGCAAGGACATGGAGGACAAGAATATTTGGGCCAGAGAGATTAAACTTCTTGAGAGCCTTGTCGGTATGGATGTCGACAGTGACGAGTTCAAAGAGCACGAAGACAGACTGCAGAAGATGGGTGCTGTTGAGAGAAATAGGATCGCTGAACAAGTCGAGAAAAAGACCACCAAAGTCAAGGAAAAGGAAGACAAAGCCAAGGCTAAACAGACGAAGCTGAACTTTGGCAAAGCTGTTCCTGCAAAGAAGGGTAAGAAGGCCAAGAAGGAGGAAGATGCTGAGCAGAGCGACGCTTCTTCGTTGAGTCCACCTCCTTCCGACAACGAAAACTGAGTGATTTGCAAACGTCTCACAGACGATCAAGGGAACTCCGGAGAGACGGACATGGATACAAAAGACGACTCGAGCATAACATCATCACGACTGAACGCTTCACAACATTTGCCATGCAGTAGCATCTTCTTCATCAAAGGACATTGCCATAATAGCGACGAATCGTTTTACACGTAAGTAGTCTTGTCAATATATTCTGATTAGCAGCATCCCATGTTATTCTCTCATCAAACCGCTATAAGAGTACGATCTTGGTTTATAGACATCTTCATGCCCAGGATGGCGAGCCTTTGTCATGCAGTCTTTTAAAGGAACTTTTATTTCTAGCAAGTGACAATCATAGTTGATGTAACTGATGGCAGACGCTTGAGTGGTAGCCACATTATGTAACCTACAGCAGGTCAACAGCCCAGGTCTCGCTCAAACTTTCGTTGTCTAAAAGCAATGATATTGAAATTGCCTATTGATGAGCCTGACCCCCTCTATATCAATCGAACCACTTTTACGCATCAGTCCCTCTCTATATATCTTTCTCTTCCCCGGGACCCTTGTTTTACAACCCCCCCCCCCCCCCCCCCCCCCTCCTTCCAGATCCTTTCTCTAATTTTCCCTTCAAGCCTCCGCTAATAACCTCCAGCTCCACCACCGCTCCCTCCTTGGCCAACCCAGGAACCTGTACACAATTACTCACCGTGAAAGGCTCTTCAAGATACTCAGCCTATGTCTTATCAACGCTTCTGAAATTCTTCAATGTCAATTGATAATCTGACGTCACTGATGCCTTGACATGTCTACATTTGAGATTAAAGAGGACGTGGTCTTTTAGAAAAACGTCCTTTCCTTGTGGCTGAATCAATCTCGAGGCCATGGACTAAAGTACTAAACCACTTCACACAGGTGACTGATTTGCAACGTCGAATGATCGTTTTCGTTATTCTGTAACTTAAGCTATTGTCATGGAAGTAGTCGGTGTGGTGATCGTCAACATCTGTCGAAATATTGCAATGCCACACTGAAACTGCTTTACATTCTTCTGTAAAGGAATAGGTCTTGAGACGTAGAAGGGTAGTCTTCGTCTGGTAGTAGTCCTCCGCAGGCCAGGATCTGACCAGTAGCCCCTGTCTTCCACAGCAGCTCAACTTCGTCAATATTGTTGCACAGGTAGTCCTTCTTGATTGAGTCAGAGACAGCATCTAGCACAGTGAGAAGCTGCCACTGGAAGATGAGATTGGTCAGTTTGGCCATCTTGACACGAGCTGAGACCAAGTCCAGAGTTACTTCGTTTCCTGGGGCACAAACGTAGGAGCGGACGATATTTGTGTCAATACCGAGCTGGAGTTGAGCCTGAGCCATGTATTTATACTGCTGACACATGACCGAACGCTCAATGTCTGTGAAAGCACTGAAGCTATAGATGACGCCGAAGAGTTTCGAGGTCGTGTTGTAGGTCCAATCGTCAGGGACAATGGAAACCTCGTGAGTGAGAGGGACCCAGACGGTGTCATAGGGACGATTGTGGCAGAAAGTGCGACCGACACGGCCCGAATTGAGAGCTAGCTCGTTCAAGGCGGTGTAGTTGAGGTTCTGGCACAACCACTTGTACTTGGGCTCCGGATCCTCGCCGAGGTGTGGAGAAGTTGGGTGATAAAAGTTTCGGTGGAAGCAAGCTTGATTTGAGCAAGGGCAACGGCGGTGATGTTGGAGATTCCAGCCGTGGCAGCGGCACAGAAGGTGCCTGCCAAGCAAAGTCAATATTGCATAGACAAGACTGTTGGCCTCAAGAATGCTAACCCGCAATCACAGTGGAGTTGAGTCCGAGATCGAACCAGTGACCATGGCCGAAGGAGGCGATGTCTTGACATCCTTGTTCCAGGGTAGCCAGGCTCCGCTGAGAGCCAGCAAGCTGCCATCCAAAGACTGAGGAGACATTCGCCATGAGCTGTGAGTGGGGGTCCACTTGATCATGTCAGCATTAGGGAGTGTACATGGTTCGACACGACATACGGTCGACGGCAGCGCTACAGACGAGACCGACAGCAAGGAGGATGAAAGAAAGGGCGACGAGCTTCATATTGATACTCCGATTCTTTTTGGCGTGGAAGTTGGAAGAAGTATCAAGGAAGAAGGAAGCGAACGTAAGGGTGAGGTCTGTGATAACTGAATCTAGCAAGGGTTATGTGATAACGAAAGTGAGGTAGTGGTTTTCGAGGCAGCTGCCAATGCACCTTCCGGGATAAAGGTTGATGTGAAACCAGCAATTGCTGATTTGGGCCTCGTTATCCAAAGTACAGTGAGTTCCTTTTTTGCCATGGAGCTGAACGCCGCGGGTAGCCTGTGATGAGTCGCACCTGATCGATTTCGATCAATTATCACCACAATAGACTCTCATCAGCTCCTAGCTTAGAGAGAAGGCACCGGGGGCCTTCATTTTTCAAACATGCCGAGAAACAGTCGAATATATGGCGTGAGCCGATAGATGACTTTTTGAGATTGGAACACAACCAATTGTGATTGCGTGATGTGTATTCTGGAAGATGAAAAAGACGGGCTTGACATTACAACGCCTTTGGGAATCAAGATAACGGTAGGAACATACTGTACATTACAAGAGCTTCAGTCCAGAGCACCGTCGGTTCTGAACTTCTCCTTGCCCCACATCTCGCTGGTCAGGTTAGTCAGACCTTTAGAATTCTCGCATGACTTGCGGCCACTGAGGGGACCAGGGCTGGGAAGCTTGACGCCTTGTGCAGCGTAGCCTCTGCCCTGCTCGGGAATTGTGGTACCGGAACCTCCAGCTCCCTCTGCCTTTCCAGCCTCGCCAGCAAGACCAGAAGCCTGTCCACTTGCGCCAGCCTTTTGTGCGGCTTCTCTAAGGGCCTTGAGTAGCGATTTTGTTGTCTCGGGAGTCAAATCCTCGTAGTAATCATCGTTGATTTGAACCATGGGAGCATTGGCGCATGCACCCAGACATTCGACTTCAGTGAAGGTGAAGAGCTTGTCATCGGTAGTTTGGCCGTGGTGAATGTTGAGTTCCTCCTCGATGGCCTTCATGACACCATCGGATCCTCCAAGCTGGCAGGGAGTCTAGCAGATGTTAGTTCCATGTGTCGCCGAAGTCTATGCAGGTGGCGGACGTACGGTGGTGCAGCATTGAACGTGGTAGCGGCCTACAGGCTCTCTGTTGTACATGGTGTAGAAAGTGGCAACCTCGTAGACGCGCATGGGAGGCATTTCCAATCGGCGAGCAACCTCGTTCATGACGCTGATGCTGCAGAAGCCATGTTGACGCTGGCCGAGGTCAAGCAGGGGCATGACGGCGGCCTTCTTGTATTGCGAAGGGTACCGGCTAAGGACCTCCTCAATGAGCTTCTCATTCTGGGCGTTGAAGGTGAAAGGGATGTCGAGGTTGTTCTCCGGTGAGTCGCGGTGCTGTGAGTATGGCGATTAGAAGAGGTGCGGCGGAGTGCGAGACGAGCGAACATACAACTTGGAGGGTGTCGCTGCGGGAGATGGAAGAGACGGCGAACGAGCGACGAAGTTGCTGTCTGGCGAGGACGCGCAGAGCTCTGCTGCTGCTTCTGAAAGCCATAGGTGCAAGCTTCGAGGCCATTGTGTGTATGAGGATGGTGGTATACGGATTGGGTTGCGAAGCGGTCTCCAGAGTGCAAGTCGTCAAGAGTCCAACTTCGACTTCGATCCGCCGCCCGCGTCGCGGTCAGCGTCGCTGAACCAATCAGACGTCGCCGATCCACGTCGCTTACCAAAAAAGCCATCTCCTCGATTCATGTCATTCGATATATCATGATGCATGCATTGTTCAGCTTTTAGCTTCCAAGAATACCAGACACATGAACTGAAAGTTTTGTTAATCAGTTAGTTCTCCGACGTAACATTTTACTTCTACAACCGTGCAAATGTTGACCAAGTCGTTTGGACTAGCCAAAAGTGCTTCCTAGACCATGCCAGTCGCAAAGAGGCGATGAAAGTGTTACATGTTGTACAAATATCTATGGACCTCTCTATCGGCCCAGGGAGCCTCTAGGTTGTAGAATCTCAGGATGCCTGTGCACACTAGGCATTAAACCAAGGCCAATTGCTCTTCTGACAGCTTTGGCCACCTTCCTTTGGTTGACGGGCCTCAATCCTGTGTCTTTCGAGTGCTTGATCTTGCCCATCTCTGTCATGTATTCAGACATCATCGAGAAGTTCTACATGTGTTAGCTGGAGAGCGAGTTGGTGAGACGGAAAAGAGCTTACCCAGTAATGGTTCATAGGGTTGATCTTCAGCATGTCGAAGACATCCTTCTTTGGCCTTCCCTTCTGCTGTCCCTTGCTCCACTTGCTCATCTCAACGCCGCTCAGATCATGAGGGGCGTAGACATCTCCCTCCTTCCACTTGCGCGTCATCTGTCTTTGGAATTCTTGTGTCTCTTGACTCTGTGCAACAGCTTCTGGCGATGAGTTGCTCCTGATGGTGTTCGATTGGCGACTCAGGTAGTTGCTTCTCCTGGCGCCCAAATCCTGTGATCTCGAATTCTGAAGGCCTCGCGAACCTTCGCTTGGATTGTTCCTGGCCGTGGCCTTCAAAGTATCCAATATGCCTGGAAAGCGTTAGCGAAGCGAAGTGGTGTAAGCCATGTTACAGTAGATACCTGCGAAGATGGGTGGTCGCGTGGACGGTCTAGATTCTTCAGCTGGCTTGGGCTCTTCGGCTCGCGGCGTTGACGAGGTGAATGTGCGCACACATGCTGGACATGAAGGGGTGGTGCGAGCAGCTATCCGCGAGAATGGGCGCACGAGAGACATTTTGTGATATGGTTGATGTCGGATATGGCACCGTCAAGTTTGTTTCGGGGGTCTGCCTGTTGGCCGCAATGCACCCACGGCATGCCGGATAAAACCGAGACTTTCTCAATGACACCCGGCGACAGTATGCTAATGACAGCTACCTACCCAACTGCTCCGATTACTGCGCGCTAATCTTTTGTGGCATTTTGATTTTCTTTTCATTCTTGTATAATCTTTTTGTTCCATTCACTCGAGTAATACGGCCCTCGGTATACACGGCGATACTGGCTTCGAGCAAACACAACCTCCGGCATGCCTTCCCAGCTCAATCGCGTCGTCTTTCGCAAACTGCTAGCCAGCGAACCCATAGCACATCGAGGCTGCCTTCGTCCACACCAATTCCGATCGCCATGTTCGCCGCATCTCCAACCCTCCCCGACGGCCCAACGCCGCTCCTTTATGAACATCTTCAAGGCCCCTGTGCGCGTCACTTCGGAACCGAGAATGGCTCCTGGCCTGGAAAAGATGATGGAATACTCAAAGATGGAGAGACTCAATGCTCGATTACCGCCTCCGGAACACATCCTCCGTGCCGTCGCCCTCTACTTTGATTACAAGACGCAGAAGAACGCGTCTACCCAACACATCCCAGACGCTCAAGCCCGCCATCTTCTGCGCTGTCTGCACTATCTCGACCAGCATTCCGCTCTTGCCACGCTCGACCCGAAGCAAATCAATACATGGTTCACCGTTCTTGACAATCGCGGCCACGTCGACTCCCACATTCATAGAGACATCATTCAACTTCTCTATCGTGCTGTGTGCCAGAACGCTACTCACGCCAAAAGGATGCCCTTCAGATCTGTCAGAGGCTATATCGAGGCTATGTGTGCTTCAGGGGGCTCTTTGACAGCTAGAGACGAGCTCGTTCGATACATTGCGGAACACGGGGATATGGCCAAGCGCGTCGACCGAGAAATCTGGCGCACCATCTTCATAGGCTTGAAGGAAGAGGAGAATGAGCAGGAACTTATTCGAACTCTGGACATCATGAACAAATCTCCGGTGGACAGTTCTCTGGCTTCCGCCTACGAGATAATAACGAAGTTCTATATCGCACGGAAGAACCCCGAAAAGGCCGCTGAATGGTACAACATGACGAAAGATCAGGACATAATTGAACTCAGGCTCGAGATGCTACAGGCAAAAATGATCGATCTGAGCATAAGCATCTCGGACACTAAACTCGGACAGTCCGTTGTTCGGGACATGACAACAGGAACGCCGACGAAGCGTCAATGGGATCTAATCTTCGAGTGGGCTGTAGCAACAGGCAAGGGAGCTGATGAGATTGATCGTATGATTGGTGTCATGGAGCGAGCGAACGAATCCCTCCCTGAGTCAGAATGGCGAATTGCTGACACGTATACTTTGAACAAACTGGTCAAAGTAGCAGTGGACCGCAAGGATCCCTATCTTGCCGAACGATTCATCGCTCTAGGTAGAGCGAGGAACATTGAAGCAGATGCCCAAACACTCATATATCAGATGCAATATCGTCTGGTCGTCAAGGACGTGGACGGAGCTTTGACGGTGTACCAGCACATGCAGTCATACGATCTCTCAAAGAACAGGGATGTTGGTGTAGTCAACGAGCTCATCCGAGCCATGTGCGCTTCTGGAAGACAGGATTTTGAAAGTATTATGAATGTCGCAGCAGATCTGTCAGACAGACAGGTGCGCTTCGACCCGGAAACAGTATCAGCCTTGTCGGTGTTGCATCTCTCACGAGACGAGGTTCACGATGTTATTGATCTCTTGAACACACATGTCTACGGCTTTGATATTGCTGGGCGGGCAGCAGTGGAGGGTGCTTTGATCGATTTTAGTCTCAAGCCCTCGACGACGACTGCTCAGACTTGGGATACGTACATCATCTTGAAACAGGTTTTCGACGACATGACCCGGGAAAAGCGCGTCAAGATCATGGAGGAATTCTTCCGACGCCAGCGCCCCGACATGGCAGTGCATGTCTTCAACCACATGCGAGCGCATACTCGTTCAGACACCATTCCCACTATCGACACCTACGTGGCATGTTTGTCCGGAATCGGTAAGCTGAAAGACGAAGAGAGTCTCGAAGTCGTGCACAACCAGCTCAAACTGGATTTCAACATTGAGCCAAACACACTCCTCTACAATGCGCTCATGAAAGCATACACGGCTTGCGAATTTCCTAGGACGGCGCTAGGCTTCTGGGATGATATTGCGTCAAGCCGTGAAGGACCGAATATCAACAGCATCCACCTTGCTTTGAGGGCATGCGAAGACGCGCCATGGGGTGACGAGAAGGCGCGAAAGATCTGGACGAAGTTGGGTAGGACCGGTCTCGAGCTTGATCAGAACCTTTGGGCCAGTTATGCTGCAGCGCTAGTGGGTAATGGAAATGTGGATGGCACCATCAATGCAATAGAGGAAGCCCATGCTCGGCAGGAACTTGACATGGATACTCTTGTGTAAGTTGAACACTGACCAAATAGTTCTAGGAGCAATAGCTAATTTGGAGTTAGGATCGGATCGCTATACAACGCTGCTCCAGGACAAGTCAAGAGAGGTGTAGTCGAGACGTGGGCTAAGGAGAGATATCCGGAGATCTGGGCGGCCTTGGAGGAAATGGGTACTTGCCCTTCGACACTGTCAGACCTTCCTGAGTTCAAGATCGACAGAGACGTCGAGCCATAGAATCTACACAGGTCATGGCTTCTGTAAATATATGTGTACTAGAATCTGAGAAGGATATGAATACACGCGTGTTACGACTGAATCTCATAATGGAAACTCAGAAGAGGACAGAAAAGTGAAGACGTCAGCATGCATCTGACCAAGCAGGAGCAAAATTTGGAGAGTTTGGGGCTCGGAATCAGGCTTCGGGTTTGACAGAAGAGTCCTGACGATCTTTCTTTTGACCGGATGATGGCTTGGGTTGGCGTGCAATGTTCTTGTTCCTGTCAAACCTTGCAGTGTGTTTGGGCAGCAAGATCAAAGAAGTTTATTTTGTGGTGATTGCTTCCTCGTGTGAGAAGCGAGCCTGGTTGTTTTGGTCAGTGCACGTGGAAAGGCACGTCACTGTCGTCGAGTTTGGAAGGAAGCAGGCAGGGTGCAGGAGGAAGGAGGGCCGGGTGATCACCAGCCACCACGGTCGGCAGTCTCTTGGTCTTGGTTGCAGCAGATTGCACTTGGACTTGTCTGCGCCTGGTTGCCTGGCTCTGCGCAATCTCACCACTCGTTCAGCTTAGCCTCACTTACTCTCCGCTGCTGTTTTGTTCATCATCTACAGAGTTGCCCCTCGACTTGTTTCCCCACGCACTCTCCACCTCCACCATTCCTCTCCACCCGTTTTGTCGTCCGCGGATCTTAACGGCCAGTACCAAACTGTCGTCACTGGTCCCGCGCCGTCATCATGTCCGTCATTTACAAAGACCGCGACGAACCGCGCACATACACGACCGTCCGCCGCTACCGAGTACCAGACCGAGCCTTTGAAGAAGAAGAGAATACCTACGAGAAACAGATTGTCATCAAGCGCGACCGCGAACAAGTCCCCCGATATGACCGCGATCTCGAATACCACACTCGTGAGCGAGAGGCTCCCAGAGAGGTCATCCGCTATGAAAGAAACATAGAGCGAGCACCTTCTCCTCCTGACCGAGTCCGCGAATTTCGCTTCGAGCGAGAAGTAGAGCGTGAGCCGCCTCGACGCGATCACTGGGATCTGGAAAGATACACTCGTTCCACCGACTACTATCAGCAACCACAACCCATTATAATACGCCAGGATCCACAGCCAATCATTATCAAGGAGGCTCCCCGTCAGCCTGTCGTCCTCCAGCGAGAAGAGCCCCATTACGACGATCGTGATGATGCACAGAGAAGAAGGGACGAAGACGATTACTACTACGAAAGGACCACTCGAGAGGTAGATCGGGGCCCGCGTCGTGGTGGTGGTGGTGCTGGTGAGGATTTCTATGATGCACGTTTCAGACAAGATGTTGACCCCCGAGATTCAGCGTCCAACTATACCGGCGATCGCTACAGCAGCGACGAGGATCTTGTCATCACCCGCACAAAACGCACCGGCGGCTCGCGCGACCACTCACCCCACCACCGTCGTCACCTAGCCGAAGGCGCCATAGCCGGTCTTGGAGCCGCCGAGATCCTTCGCCATCATCGTCGAAAACAAGGAGATGAGAGTGGTCATCGTGGCCGCCAACTTCTGGGCGGCGCTGCTCTGGGCGCTGTTGGTGCCGAAGCTCTAAGCCGTGCTAGAAGCCACATGCGAAGCTCTCGCTCGAGATCAATTTCCAGCGATCGCTCCCACCGTTCCAGCCGACGTGAGAGACGTCGTCGCCATCGCAGCAAGAGTAAGAGTAGAAGCCGCTCTCGCGCACGTACTTTGGCCAAAGTCGGCACAGTTGCTGCTGTCGGTGCTCTTGCTGCATATGCTCTTCGTAACAGAGGTAACAAGGAGACCGTCATCGTTAACAACGAGGTTCCACCACCACGTCGCAGCCGATCTAGAAGACGCCGTGCCTCGGTTGGCAGTGTTCCTCCTCCACTGGATGCCAGAGACAGAAGTAGAAGCGAGAGCAAGCATCGCGATCCGGAGCATCGCAATCGCCGTATTGCCCAGGCTGGTCTAGCAACTGCTGCAGCAGCTGGTATCTTGGATCGTGTTCGCAGTCGTTCCAGAGGCGGCAAGAAGTCTCGTTCCAAGAGCAGAATCCGTACAGGCGTGCCGATTGCTGCTGCTGGACTAGGTGGCGCTGCTGTCGCTGGCTTGTACGAGCGTAGTAAGGCTCGCAAAGAAGCTGTCAGAGACGACGCATCCGAGTCTGCTCGTGCCAGATCCAGGTCCAGGTCTCGCAGCAGATCTGTTCCTTACCCTGATGACGAACCTCGTCTACGCAGAGCTTCGAGTGATCCCACGCTTATAGAATACGGCGATGATCCGATCTACCCGCACCGACGCTACGAGGATCCACCAGCTGAATATCGTCGCAGGCGCAGAGGCAGCTCCGCCTCGCTGAGCCCTGACAGACGCAGGCATGACAGATCAAGCCGCTCAAGGTCGAGAAGTCGCAGCCGGACTAGAGGTCTGGCTGAGGGCGCTGCGGCTGCCGGCGTCGCTGCTGTGGCTGCTCATGAATTGGGCAAACGGGATGAACGTAGGAGATCAGACCGAGATAGAGACAGAGAGCGCAGACGTAAGTTTCCCTCCGTCTGACATCGCTGCACAACGTGCTAATAAATTCTCGCAGGCCGTGACGAAGATGAAGACATGTACGCACGCGACAGACCATACTCTCCACCACCAATGGGTGCAAATGCTGCCTATCCTCCAACACCTCAAAATCAGGACTTCTACCCTGCCACCAACTCCTTCCCGCCTCCGCCGACCGACAACTACGGACGCGAGGCAGATTATCCTCCTCATGAGTATCCACCTTACAATCCTGCCGATTATCCGCCACCTCCTGGAGCAGCCCCAGCTCCTCGTGGCAGACACAACGATCGATACAGTCCTGATCCCAATTTGGGCTATCCTCCAGCCAATGAGACTTTTGCTGGTGACACGCGCTACGCTGGCGATACTCGCGGCAGGCCGGGTTCAGAACATGTGAGTTCGATCACTCCTCCTGGTTCTTTTGCCGATCCACACGACTCTTCCGGTGGGTGGTTCGGTTCAGTTACTAGTTTTTCTGCTCCGGATTGACGCTGACGTTACACACAGATGGCCTAAACAAGAAGAGCGTACAGTTCAACGTGCCACCGGACGAGGGTATGCACTCACCGGATGCACAGAGAAAACCCAACCCTCGACAAACGGACCCAGGAACGGATTATTCGGAAAGCAACGGACAGGACGACAGAATCAGAACAAGAAGCGAATCAAGTAGTGACGGTACTACTGAGAACGAGCACAAGCGCAGAAGACGCAGACGCCACCGCTACCACGACGAAGACATTGACGAACAACACGAACAACACGAACATGAGAACGGCCACAATGATTCCCAGCATCGTCGCCGCAGACGCCACAAGTCTCGCGATTCTTCAGCTCACCGCACCGGTTCTCCAGACAGCGTACACTCCAGCGAAACAGTCGAATTACCACCACGTTTCGACCAAGAAGGCAGAAAGGTACCAGAACGCGGCGAAGACCCTTTGGCCGACAAGATCGAAGACCTTTTACGTGGTAAAGGTACTGCTGGAAGCCTGTTCAAGCGAATTGCTGGTGATATCCTCGGCGACGGCGCTGGAAAGAAGAGACGCTGATTTTCCCAATTCTCCCTTTTTGCTGATGCCCCATTTTGCTTGTAATACCCTTCCATTTTGCCCAATTCCTCCTGCACCCTTTTTGCTTTATTATGAGAAACACGAATTGCTTGATTTCTTTTTTTGCTCTTGCCTTGAAGGCAGTCCTTTTATGGCTTTGGTTTTTGCTTGCTCTTTTTTCTTGCTACATTAGCTACTCGAGTAGTCGCTCAAGAACAATCACACAATATGACTCTCTTTATGCTCTCATTCACGTACTGTTGCGTCTTTTTGACAAAGTGCGCCTGACCTATGTGATCATGACACCTTTATCTTCTGTCCACCATACGGCCGAAAAGGAATGGCCTGAGAAATCAAGGAACAAATATAGCGGGTTACGCCACCAAACGACGCATACGCTCACGCTCATTCACATACACGAGAACCAAAAATCACACGAGTACACAACTTCACTTTTTCACTGCCGCCGGTCGACACCCCAACAAATTTGGTTAGCCTTATCTCGGAGTTTTGGAACAGAAAAATGTCGATAGCGAGGAAATTGGTCAATGCGGTGGTGTCGATTGGTGGGTTTGCGGTGGGAGTAGGCGTGTATCATCGTTTTGCTGATGCTGTTCCTACTACGACTACTCAAACCGCACACAAACAAGAGCCTAGACCTAACAATCTCGAGACACCCAGAGATGCTGGGGTTGGTGGAGTTGGTGGGAAGCAGACGTCGTAAAAAAAATAATTCTGGAGTCGAGGTATCTATTCAAAAACATCGTCACCTGTTGCAAATCACATCCTGAGGTCTTACTGACATCTTTGGTGGATTACTGTAGGAAGCATCTTGGTCGACGATCTTCTGACCAGGGGGGTACAAGTGCTTGTAGCTGACAATTCAGCGCTCCTGACTCAGACAACAAGAGGTTTTGCTGGAGGACCAGTCCCATGTCCGTGGGAGCTACCGTAAAGATACGAAATGACATATGGGCAGACAGGATACATAATCAATACAACTTCTTGGAGCAGATGTCGTGGTATAGAGCTCGCTGACCATATCCATGGCCCATGTAGATACTGACGGGGTGGTACCGTGGTCAGGTCTGACTTTGTCATCTCAGAATATTATTTCACCTTCCTTCATCGATACAGATAGCCATTTGAAAAGCGATTACCATAGTAATCAGCCCAAACCTCATCATCTTCATGTCTTGGATCGACATCATGGGGTCGTCTAACAACCTTGATATTGCCCTCCCAGAATCCATCAATTTCTGGGTCTTCCTCTCCAGCAGCTTTCCGAGCATGATAGGCTGCCTTGGTCGACCTCCTGAACTTCGACATCTCAGAGATGACATCGACTTGTGGTGTAGAGACCTCTTTGATAGGCTGGTACTGAGAGCGTTGATACTGTGGCGATGGATCATGATCGACAGAGACCTCCATGCCAGACATGATGGTCATAGGTAGCCGAGCAGGCTCAAGCATAGTATCAAGACTGTTAGTCTCGCCCTCGCCAAAGAAAGAAAAGTCTGTCTGTGAAGCTGCCCACAAAGCTTCACTATCCTGATCTTGAGTCACGGATTTGGTGCCGCGATGTCTCCAGGTACTGGCAGCTTCACTCTTCCTTTGGTCTATACTTTGTGGTGCGACTTCGAGGACGATCTGCTCGAGAGCGAAGGATCTACGGGCGACCTCTCTTTGGTGTGAATGACTGGCTCGCCGACCTGGTGGTAGTGCCCAATCTAGGCGCGCTTGTAGTTTTGCTAGTGATGTCTCTTCGGCGCACGCACGAACTAAAGATATCAATCGAGTAGGCGTGTCTAGCGTCGACGAGAATGACGGGACCTCAGTCAGGACCAGTGTTGTCAGATGTGGTAAGGTGCCTGGATGGAAGCCTTTTGCTTGTGTCAAATGTGTTTGTACACGACCTTTGCGCTCAGCAACCACAGAGGAGTAGCTACGGCCTCGGCTGCGGGAATAAGCGCTCGGACTTAGTGTCAGTGTTCTGCTGGCCAATGATGTGGACCGATCATCCTCTTCCTCCATCCCTGTGACGTGCAGACCGTCCTCCGTTGTGTCCTCGGTCTGTAAAGGTATCGGGAGGTCTTGACTTCTCCTTCGTGGTACTCCTAGCTGACCATTAGACTTGCCGTCAGATGTAGACGTCACTATGATAGGGATGGTATCTCCTGGAACTTCGACGGCGAAAGATGTGTCGCCCATCATCTCATACACTTCAGTGTCACGATCTACTTCAGCGACTCCTACGGGGTAATTAGACGTATCCGCGAGCTCGCAGTGTCTTGGTGTTGTCTCTATGTTAGAGGAATCCTGTATGGCCGGCGGTGTTCGAGTCACCAGACTATGATCAATCCTTAGGTGTGTCAAACTATGGCTGGCTGACTCGGCAAATACTGGAGCGAGCTTTGCTAGACTGGGAAAGATCATGTCGGATGTGCCATCTTGGGTAGACATCGATGGTAAGATACTACCCGCATCAAGAACGTGTAATCTTCCAGATCTGACCAGTCCAGAGAGACCTTCAACGGTAAGTAGGTTGTCAGACATGTAAAGATGGGTGATGCCACTCTCTGGAGCATCTTCAATGGCCAGACGTCCAACAAATTTGTCAGTGAACTCGTTCCTCAAGAAAGCTTCGAAGTTGGCTCCTCTGTAGATTGCTAGCATTTCAGCACCAAGGTAAGGTAATAGTGAGGGGGACATGAATTGTCCATCGTTGTCCCTTCGCCGTGACGATGTGAAACACTCTTGGAGAAGCATACGAACGCTCCGATCTGTTAGTTGATTGTTGCGCAAATCCAAGCCCCTGACCCGAGTCTTGATTGCGTTCGCCAATGTGTGTACGTCGTCGTCTTTCAGGGATATGCCTCGGAGCTTCAAGACTTGCAAACCGCGGAACTGACTTAGAGTCCTGAGGACTTCGGGACTTCTGGCAGGATGAGTCCAAGACAGGTCGAGGTACAACAGGGAATCGAAGCGTCTCAGAGCTTGTTGTAACCCAATTGCAGTCACATTGCTGCACCTTGACGCGTCCAGTAGACGTAGGCCAAACAGCGTCTGAGCAGGTACCAGCTGGTTCCTGTTGTCAGATGCTCGCGTATATCTCAGTGCGTTTAGAGTAGCATGGTCGAAGAATGGCAAGCCGCGAACAATCAGTGACTGCAAGTTCGGAAGACCTTCAAGAACCTCCCTCAGCCAATCTGCATGTGGACCATTATAGATTTCAGCATGCGCTGGAGGGAGGTGTAGTGTATGTGTCAGAGATCGAACAGTACGTCTGGCCCAAGGTAGAGTCCTGATAAACCGGGTGAGAGCGACTATAAACGTATGAGCTCAGGCTCTATGCTCCATGCGAGACGATGTCACACAAGGTGACCACGTTTCGAGCTTTTCCGGCATACTTACCGTATACTCTATCATTCTCATCTCCAAAATGAGAGGCAGGATTGCCCCACAAGTGTGGTGCGAAGGTTGTGTGCCATTGCTGACATACTAGAGCGGCAGAGCAGAGGTCTGAGGATGGGATGTAGACGGCGATGAGATCCCACGCTTTCACCGTGGTGGCTTGCCCATAGGATGGCGGATTTGCTTCCATGGTTGGATCATTATGTATCTAGGCAAGTTTAACAAGTCGCACTTTCCAACACTTTTATTGAATGGATATGACGGCAAGGTCTATGTTGTCATGCGCCGCCTCGCCAAGTCCCTTCCTGGAGGGGAAGTTTGTCACACGCCAATCCTTGGAAGCACACCTAATGAGTTCTGTACTTGTGTGAAGTGGGCACTTAGTTGTTGAAATAGTCACTTCCTCCATGAGTTGTTGAGATATCTTTGTCGTGGCACGCGATACTCGTCTGATTCCAGAAAACATTGTGGTAACAAGCAATGAAGTGTGACAAACTTCAGCGTGGCTGGAGTCGAAGGATTTCGCTCAATCTAATACTAGGCAGATCGTGTAGATCAGCCTCGACAGGGCATTTCCAAGACGTTTATTCTACAGCATATACATGGGCATTTTGTCATATGTCCGTAGCAAGTGTCTAGACCCTGAGTTCTATGTCTAAACCTTTTTCTTATCTTGCTTCTTCTTCTCTTCAGATTTCTCTTGCTCCTCGTCGAAGAAAAGCATCTCTTGAGCACTCCACAGCTCGGAGTAGACTCCTCCACTGTCGACGAGACGTTCATGCGTACCCTGCTCTGCTACATCACCATCCTTCAGGACGATGATGATGTCAGAGTCGTAGATGGTACGGAGTCTGTGAGCGACGAAGATGCTTGTTCGTGCCTTCTCCTTGAGAATGCTGTTAATATTACCCAAGAGTGCTTGCTCTGTATGTGTATCAAGAGCCGAAGTTGCTTCGTCGAAGAACAAGAAAGGCGGGTCTTTTAGAAGTAGTCGGGCAATGGCCAGACGTTGCTTCTCACCACCTGAGATCATCATACCGCGCTCACCAACCATAGTTGCGTACTTATCAGGGAATTTCTGGATGATATCGTGGACCTTTGCGCGTTTCGCGGCAGCCTCGACCTTTTCTGATGAAGCCTCGAGATCACCATATCTAAGATTGTGCTCAATGGTATCATTGAAAAGTGGGGTGTCTTGAGGGACGACACCGATGGCCTTGCGAAGACTCTCGATTTGAACATCGCGAATATCTTGTCCATCGATGAGGATCCTGCCGCCTTGAACGTCGTATGATCGGAATAGCAGGCGGAGAATAGTTGATTTACCGCAGCCACTAGGTCCGACGATGGCGATCTTCTTCCCGGCAGGGATCTCAAGATTGAGATTGCGCAGGATTGGTCTGTCAGGGCGATAACCGAACGAGACATTCTCGAACTTGATGCCACCGCCTGTGAGCATCAATGGTTTGGCGTTTTCGGGTTCCTTGATAGCCACATTGACTTTTTGGAGGTTAAACAGCGTCTCCATATCAAGCAGACTCTGTCTGAGTTCGCGGTACACCGAGCCGAGGAAGTTAAGGGGTACAGAAAGCTGGAAGACAAGCTGGTTAATCATGACAAGATCACCAACCGTGAGTTGACCAGTAGCGACGCCGTCAGCACCGTAGTACATCATAGCGGTCAGAGCGCTTGAGAAGATCAGGTTTTGTCCACTGTTGAGGAAGGCAAGCGATGTTGCGACCTTGATGGATGCGTCCTGGTAGTTCTTGAGCGCGGCATCATAACGACCGACTTCGTAACGCTCGTTGTTGAAATACTGCAAATTATCAGATGTGCGCGCGAATATGCGTTTGTAGAAGACTCGCCTTGACGGTCTCGTAGTTGATCAACGAATCGACGGCCACGGTTGCTCCCTTGTTGTCAGCGGCGTTGGCAGCCTTGCGGAATTTGGTTCTCCATGAAGTTGTTAGAATCGTGAAGGCGGAATAGCCAACCATTGTGGCGGCTGTGATGAGAGCAAATTTGAAGCCATATTGCCATGTCTAGCAGAGCGTTAGATGCGTATGTGAAGGAGGACGAGGCCAAACTCACAAGGATACCGCACACCAACGAGATCTCGAGGGCAGTAGGAATAATATGGAAGACCATTGATTGCAGGAGAAAGCTGATACCCTTTGTTCCTCGGTCAATAGCCCTTGTCAAACCACCAGTCTGTCTGGACAAATGGAAGTTCAGGTCCAGCTTCAGCAGATGCTCGAAGACAGTGGCGGCAACTCGACGGATGGCTTTCTGGGCGACACTGGCAAAAACTGCGTTACGGATCTCCTGAAACACAGCAGCACCTATCCTCGTGGCACCGTCTGGAAAGAAGATTAGGGAGGTGGATTTGCAGGAGATGGTGCACAGTCTTACAGGCAAAGATGGTGGCGCCAGCAACAGTTACGGCAGTGCCACCAACAGCAGCAAAGTCTATATTCATAGAATCTACAATTGACTTGAAGTAGAAAGGAACTTGAACGTTCAAAACCTTGGACGTCATTAATACGATGGCGCGCGACAGACAGAAGACGGCATATAGTTACCTTTGCGCCTACGAGAAGAGCAACGGAAAGACCGACTCTGAAACGAGTGCCGAAGTCATCCTTGGGCCATAGATAATGAGCCATATCCTTAATGATGGCCCAATCGGCCTTGCGCTGCTCTTTGTTGGAAACAGTCTGCTCTGCCAGAAGCGAAGGGGGTTTGGCTGGAGCGGCGGGCTTGTCTTTTTGCACGGTGGGAGTCTTGACAGCCTCAGCAGACTCGACCTTTGTCTCTTGATTCGCACTGCCTAGGCGGGAGTCGTCCTTGTTGCGCCATGGTGAAGTGGTAAAGACACGGACAGAAGGCCGGATGCTCTTCTGGCAGGTCGAGATGTGGGAGAAGGCGAGGTATGGGGTTGGTAGCCTATGACAAGAGAAGATGCCTCGAAGGACTCGGGTGGTCGGCATGATCTAGACGTGTAGACAGAAGAGATTCGTGTGGTTGGGGAGTGCAACAGCTCAAAACACCATGATGGCCAGCTCCTCGAGAGAAGAAAGAAGGAAAGCTAATGGGGCTGATGTTGTATGCTTGGTTGTGTTCTGTTGGCGAGACGAGAGAACGACAAGCAGGCGGCGACGAGATAAGAACCGGCTTCGAAGATGGGCAAGGTCGGATTGTGGGCATGGACAATTCCCTCCCATTCATGTCATTTTGTCCCGCACGCCAGCACAGACGGACCCGGGACAGCACGTCACCGTCGACTTGCTTCGGCTTCGGGGAAGGCACGCGCGCGTCGCAGAGTTGGCTGGAGCTGAACTGAGAGACAATACTTTCCACTCTTTGTCGACACTTGTCAGTCAATTGGGCAATGTCTACCGCAATGCGCTACCGTGCGCAAGACGTCCTCCGTCGCAGTCGTGCATGCGATCCCACTCGCTCAACACCCAGACGCTTCGTCCAGATAGCGGCCACCCCATCGTCGACCAACCCTACCGTCGCCTCTGCTGCTGCAGATAGCACTGCTCCTGGTACAAATCTACAACATCTACCTATACTTGTATGGCAGACTCTAACACATCCGCCCAGATGCGCAATTCGAGGTCTTGGGCAGCCCATTCTCCCTTCTTTCGGCTTCCATCTCTGCTTCGCAGAACCTTTATACTCGCAAGGGCTCGTTGGTTGGCTTCCATGGTAATGTCGAGAGCGTGAGCATGTCCGATACCATTCTGCTCATACACAAGTACTCATTGTAATGCCCAGACCGTTTCGTCCTTGTCAGTCCTCGAACCTTTCCGCCGCGCCGCCTTTGGCATTCCTTTCCTCTACCAGAAGATCACCTCGACCGCTCCCTATACCGCTCTGATCTCGACAAAGTCTCCCGTGACCTCCTTCTCCGTTGTTCACCTGGACGGTCGCCTTGACTGGATGATCGCACAAAGAAATGCTCTGCTTGCCTGGACTGGTCACACTCTTTCCATCAAGCCTCAAATCAACACTTCCATGAGCATCGCCCACTGGGGAACTTCTCGCGTTACTGGCCGTGGACTTCTCTGTTTGTCGGGCAAAGGTCAGATCTATCAGCTCGCTCTGAAGTCTGGCGAGGAGTACATTGTTCACCCCACCAATGTCATTGCTTATAGCATCATGCAACACGCTCCTCAGCCATACCGCTTCAAGTCCTCCAACTTGCGCCTGCAAATTCCCAACACCTTCTCATACCTTCCCGACACTAGGTTCTTCAGCGTCGTCCGCCAGTCAAACGTCTGGCGCGTCGTGGCCAACACTTTGTTCACCATCCGCACCTGGGCTCGTCGCTCAATATGGGGAGATAGAGTGAGTTTTACAGCTTGTTGACATGCTTGTCTCGTCCTGACCATAACTTTGCAGATGTTCCTTCGATTCCAGGGACCCGCCAACATCCTCGTACAGTCCAGAGCTGCCAAGCTGTCCGACGCCTTTACTGCTCGTGACGTGAACGAGGCCGCCGATACTCCTGCTGGTGTAGTACAGGCCGGCAAGCCTGCCACACCTGCTCTCATCGATGCCCCACCCTCAACTCCTCTTGCGCCGACCAAGCTCGTCTATGCGACACAGGGAGAGGACGGCAAATTCACCATTTCAAAGTCATGATGAACCGCTCTCTTTTTTCTAACCCTTTGTATATCTATTACCTGTATGCCCATGTGTCATTATTAGCATTCGGATGGACTCCGACTTCAACGAGTCGACCAGCATTACGTCGACCTGAGATCCTTGTAAAAGAAGACCTCATCAACCAATCTCCCGTCCTTGGGAGATACACCATATCTCGGAATAGCGCCAAGTCGAGTGTAGCCGAGTCGAGGGTAGATGCCCTCTGCAGGACTCCCGGCCTCGGTGTCGAGAGTCTTGTGCGCAGTCAGTCCTAGCTAGACCACCAGAAAAGCACTCATCATTTTCTTACCAGCAAACTTGTTCCTCTCTCCAGTGCTACCTGCTCCAACTTTGACATGAGACGTTTTGCAATGCCTTTTCGTCTGTATCGCGGGCTGACCAACAGCTTTTCGACGCTGCCTCTAAAAGGACCCGTCTCGGAAGCCTGACTTCCTAGAGCGACATAGCCTGCCAACTCCTCTTCACCGCTCTCGGACAATGCCATTTGCATGAACATGACCTTTGTGCCTTCAGCCGCTACAGCAGCATTGTTCCTCCAGTACTCTAGGACCCTAACATCTGGCGTCGAAGGGTCCCGGTGAAGAAACGGTGGTTGGAAAGTCGCTAGAGTATGGTCCGTCTCTACACAATCCTCATGAATAAATGCGAATGCAGGAATCAGATGATCGTGCTTTCCAGGCTCAAAAATGGTCACAGGTAGGAGTTCCATGATGTCGTTACAGTTTGAAAACTATGCAGGGACGCGCGGACTGATGATATACCTGTTTGAACACTGAGGCAGCAACCGACTCTGGAGGATTTGCTTGGCACGTAATCCTCTCTAAACACGTCTGCCTCATCTCGTGAAGTTATCGCGATGAGCATTTCATCTCATGAGTCGAACAATTTTTATGCGCCCAAAGAAACATCGATATCCAATAATATTCACGTGTCTGGATTGACGTGAGCTTGATCCTGTACACAAGCTTCGAGTCTTTTTATAGCTCATCACGTTGTTGGTTGGCCGAGGATCCAGATCCTGCAGAGTCCGCATCGCTGCGTGTACCCGCGCGATGCTTTGCGATGCCTTTTCAAGGAGAACACCATCTTCAGTGACATTCACGCCTCCTCCCCTGTGGAAGTATCTAGCCGATGTTCCGAGATCCAGGTTTCAGAGTCCACTATTTCTTGAAAGAAGGTTTTTCAATGCCAAACAGGGATGCTTTCCGCGGGCGTGCGATCCGCAAGTTTGAGGAATGATGAGCGAAATCTGTCGGTGAACGTCATCCGGGCAAATCCCTGATTATCTTACGGGGCGGCTGGGCTTGTTTATAAGTATACAACGGCCTCCTCTCGTATGCTTTTGGATCGTCGCTTCGGTTTTTGACTCTCGTCGCGTGTCTATCTGGGTGGTCCACCTATATCGCTATCATATACTGTCGCTCTCCCAACACAGTCTTTTCGTCGACGCGTTCCTTTTGAACACAAGCAAGGCCAAGCTTCTTTATCCTCCGCGGGAACATGCGTTCCTCATTGGCATACGGAGCCCTGCTCCAAGCATCCCTCTCCACCGTCGTCAGTGCCTCGCCGGCACCTACACCCCGTCGCGTCTTCCATCTGGAGTCTCAGGCACCTCAGGTCACTGCCTCTCCTGTTGAGCTGTCCCCATCGCGTACCGACAGGCTTCGTCGCGGTATCATCGACGACCTCAAGTCCGACGTTGGCTCTGTTCTCAGTGGACTCGGCTCGGATCTTCCCTCGTGGGTGGCATCTGGTGTGCCAAACTTCTTCCAGGGTTTCCCTACCGGAGATGCCGTTGCCTCATCGCTCGGTCTTGACGACAGCCAGCTGGATGCTTTGCCTACTCAAGTTCTGAACGTTGACCCTTACGCCAACTGGACTGAGTCTGGTTGGAACGTAAGATTCCACGGAAATGTCTATAAGCAGCCCAACACCTCTACTGCAGACCTCAACCGCCTGGCCAACATCTTCCTCATCGATACTTCTGTTGAGGATCTCCCTCAAGACCAGGCAGACAGAGCCCGTAATGTCACCGCATCCATCTTCGTTGTCCAGCAAGGAGACGTAGCTGTCGCACCTATCCACCTCGACCCTGCTCCGTCGCAAGGTGCTTCTGGTCAATCTGATGGCAGTGGTGCGGTCACTCCCTCAGGTGGAAACCAGACCGTGACCCTCCCCTACAACACCACTGTTGAAGGTGACTTCGATGTCTTTGTCCCCATCAACGGTGCTGGCCTCATGGCAGGTAACGAGACTCAGCAGATCCAGCGTCTCAACACTCACGTTGAGGGTGCTTCCATTGGCAACTCTACTGCTTACCTCGTGCCCACAACCGGTCTTACTGTCGTCAGTGATATCGACGATATTCTCCGTGTCACCAAGATCTACCAGCCCGCCCAGGGTCTGCTCAACTCTTTCGCAAAGGAATACGTTCCTTGGGAGAACATGCCTGATATCTACGCCAACTGGAGCAGAAGTCTTCCCAACACCCATTTCCACTACCTGACCACCACCCCCGAGCAAGTCACTAGAGCTTATATGAACTTCACCTACTCCCATTACCCTGGTGGATCATTCGATACCCGTCCTCTCAACTTCTCAGACGTTTCAGCCACTCTTTCCATTCGCAAGTTCCTTCTTACCAAGGTCTTTGAGACTTTCCCCGAGAGAAAGTTTATCCTCGTCGCCGATACCAGCAACAGCGACGTCATGAAGGACTACCCTCAGATGGCAACTGACTACCCCAACCAAGTGCAGTGCATCTTCTTGCGCAACACCAGTGGCACCGATTCTGGTGACAAGTTCCCTTACGACACTAGTGGCTTCAAGAACTTGAACCAGCAGAAGTACATGTTCTTCTTGAACCCCGATGATCTTACCGGTCTCGACATTGCCAACGGACAGTGTTACAACCAGTCGATTGCGCAGAACCTGACCTTTGGATACCAGGGACTGCCTTTCGGTATCGGAGACACTCCATCGGCTGTCAACGCCTCCGCCAACTCGACTGGCAAGACCGGAACAGCCTCTGGATTCAAGAGCAAGGATGCCGTTGGCGCACAGAGCTCTCTGGCTCTTGTTGCAGCACTCGGAGCCGCCATGTTCATGTTCCTGTAGATTTATGTCACGACATCAAGATGTTCTTCTGTTAGAATAGTAATAATAATCACGAAGCGATTCAATCTCAAATACGGATCTTCCCGCGTTAGTAATTATTCAGCTGCTTCATGTGTATAGACTTTAGCGTCTCGTACCTGATCAACAGAGCCTTCCGATACATTTATGGTATGGTAGATAGTAGGTACACTGCCGATGAAGTGTAGACAAAGATGTCCCGTCAGTATCTAGTGATATAAAAGTTCAGGGGTCACCTCATATCGCGATGATGCAAACAGGGCAAGAATATTGGTGAGAAACAGGACGCGGAGTAAGCTTGTAAGAAGCACGGTCTTTGAGCCAAGCCGGTGTAGCGTCGATCTATTGCGGCATCACTCTGAGCTACAGCCCTGCGCGAGCTCCTGCATGTTCTTTGTAGCTCAACGTAACAATGATGTTGCGCTCACGGAGATTTGTTTGGTCAGGACTATGGGGTTAGAACAGTGTACCTGTAGGAGGAAAGAAGTTGGTCGTGTGTGGGCATCATAAGATGCATTCGCTATGGAGATGGGATGTGGATTAGGCTTTGGTGGTCTGGCTGAAGCGGCGGCAAAGTTCTACACTACTACGTCAAGGGCGTATTGAACAGCCTTGTGGGGGCCGATGGTGGGCTTGTCGCGTTGTTGAACTTGCTTGTTGGTCGCTTTCTCCAAGAGATCTGCTCCAGTGAACTGTCGTTCGGTCGACGACTTTGTTTTCGACATTCGATCCGATCTTTGGGAAGCCAGTCCTTTCATGAGTGCATAGCCGGCTGCGACGGCCACGATCAGGCCCCGAGAGCGCTCCCCCTTTGAAGATGATGGAGGCCAAAGTCAAGGCCGAACTGGACAGGCAATTCCTGGTCACCCGTCTGTTCGAACGACTACGAAATGAGGCTCCTGCCTACGATTGGGATGACACCATTGCCCCTTTCCATTCGGTATGCGCTATGCGACGAAGCATTTGTCTGATGGAAGGGACAACTTACTAACCCCGGGGTGCAGTCCTACGACAACTGGCACGTACATGGCCACCGCCGTGCTTCACAGTCCGCCGATCGCAAGTCGAGCAAACCATCTAGCAGGACTGCAAGTGCAAGCAGGGACCGCCGAAAGGACCGCGATTCGGAGAAGACAAAGGACAAGGACAGCGAACGACGCGTGTCGGATGCGAACCTGGGTTATGATGTCGTCGCTCGCATCTCCCGCCACACAACTCGCCTCGAGCGTGAGTTTGGTCTCGCGAAAAGACTCAAGTCAGAAGACGACCCAGAGTGCCGCCACTTCATAGATCCTGTCGAGTTCCGCCGATTGCCTGCACGCCAACCTGGAGAAGTCGGTCTCGTCGCCTTCATCGCTCGAGCTCCTGACAATGGTGGGAACTACATGAAAGAGCTTGCGGAATTCGGACCAAACCTACAACGCACACAACTTCCTACCTCACCTGTCAGCCCTCATGGTAGCCCTGAGCTTCAGCAACTACCCTCTCCAGAGCCGCTCCCTATTCATCTCTTTTTAGACTTTGCTATAGGTGCAACTGAATGTTGCGAGATCCTGCATCATAGCAGAGAGCTGGTTCATGGAGAGCTTCGTGGCGATGCCTTCTACTTCAGTAAGGCACTTCGAACGGTGCGGTTGATCAATTTCGGTTCCGGTGCTCGATCCTTTGAGAATGGTCTCACGTCAGCTGGCTGGAGCTCCATCACGTCCGAAGCCGGCGTTGAAACCCGCCTTCAATTTATCGCGCCAGAACAGACTGGACGTATGCCTGCCGAACCGGACACAAGGACTGACATATACTCGCTCGGCATTCTGTTCTGGACCATGCTGACAGGAAAGCCCGCATACGGTGGGGACAATCCTCTCGAGATCATGCAGAGCCTGCTATCGCGCCGCGTTCCTGCAGTTGACAGCGTTCGCACTGACGTGCCTCAGATCATTTCCAACGTCATACAGAGGATGACACAGAAAAAGATGAACGACCGCTACCAATCTTCTTCCGGTCTAAAGCATGATCTAGTCGAGATCAAGAGGCTACTTTCTGAAGGAAATGTTGACGCACTGCAGTCTTTCAAGCTCGGATCGAAAGATGTCTCTTGTTTCTTCAACCTACCCAACTCGCAAATCGGACGTGATGAGCAACGAGAACTGATTCTCGAAGTTATAGAGAGCTCTGCCTTGCGAGCCTCCCAAGCCATCTCGCACTCCAAGAAGGGCTTGTATAGTTTGAGCTCTCATTCGTCAGCTTCAGTTTCCACCCCTACCCAACCCGACCGTCATGAGAATGGAATCTTGGACGATATCATGTCTCAGAGCACAGGTTCTGGTGACCAAGAACTGAAGCCCTCCGTTTCCATAGACAGAAGTGATGCCTTGAAGCTGCAGCACGAACCCAGCTCTCAAGAGAGCATTGTGGCTCACACCAGTGTTCAGCATGAGCACAAGCCATCTCTCGAAAGTCGACCCTCAGTGTACAACCTTGAGAGTAGTCAAAGATCTAATGTTTCGAACTCATATACTGGACATGGTGAGGGATCGGTCTTACGTACCGCACAACAGCTAAAGCAAATTGGGCATACTGAGATTCTATGCCTGAGTGGTGCTGCAGGACTCGGAAAAAGCTCTCTTCTACACGACGTGCAAAACATGTCAAGGAAATACGGCTACTATGCATCAGCTAAATTCGACCAAGTCAAACGGGCGCCCTTCGAGCCAGTTGTGCGCGTTATGAGCTCTCTGTTTCGTCAAATCTTCTCTGAAGGTGATGTTTCAACTCCTTTCCACGACAATATCCGCACATATATCAAGCCATACTGGGGCTTCTTGTCTGGCTTTCTGGACCTTCCACCTTGGCTACTCTCACAGTTTCCCACTCATCAAACACCTCTGAGTACTGATTTGGCCTCATTACGGCTACCTCGTGAAAAATGTGGCAGCAGTGGAGACACGGCATCTGATTGGCTACGCGCTGGAGGAAGCAACTCGAGCAAGTCAAATCGCTTCGTTCGCACCTTCCTTGACGTGCTACGATTATTAGCGCTGCAGAAGTTCATCTGTATTACGCTAGACGACTTGCAGTTCGCGGACGAGGAGAGCATTGATCTCCTGATCAGCATTGTTCAGGTCAAAATACCCCTGGTCCTCGTTCTAACATATCGTGATGAGGAGGTTCTGCCTACCAAGCTTCGATCTCTACTTGAGAAAGCAACAAAGATTGATCTCAAGCCTTTCAGTGAGGTAGAGACGTCCCAGTACGTGGCAATGACCTTACATCGCTCTCCCGAGTACGTCTTACCATTAGCTGCGGTCATTCAGCAAGCGACTCTGGGCAACCCATTCTTTGTCCGAGAGATGCTCGACTCTTGCTATCGAAAGCACTGCATATACTACTCATGGCGATCTTCACAATGGGAGTTCGATCTTGATAAAACTTTCGACGAATTTGCTTCACCGGATGCTGACCAATTCTCGACGAACAACTACCTCGCAAAACGATTGAAAGACTTGTCAGATGATTGCAAATCTGTGCTCTGCTGGGCTAGTTTCATCGGCAATACCTTCTCCTTCACTCTCGTGAAACAGGTGATGAGCTGCGATTGTTCCAAGAAATCCAAAGACGAATATTTGCCTCCGAAAAAGGATCCGGTGGCAGGCTTGCAAGACGCCATCAGTTCTTATATCGTTGTCGCGACCGAGGACGAAGACAGGTTTAGGTTTTCTCATGATCGGTATATGCAAGCTGCTGAGCTGCTCGCTGATGACTGTCGTAAGGAAGAAATGCATTACATCATCGCGGCATCTTTGATGTACCACGAACCATACAACCCTGCTACCAAACCAACTCAGCTTCTCTTCGACCAAGCCAGGAACATTTGTAATGCAGTTGAAGCCATCCAAGCTCGGCCTACTCTTGCTAAGGGCCCGTATAGAGACCTTCTGTACCAGGCAGCGGAAACCGCAAGGGAGCAGGGAGCCAGATCGATATCATTGTACTTTTTCCAGCATTGCCTGATGCTCCTGTCTGATGACCCTTGGAAAGAGAACTCTTCGGAGGGTTCATATCAAGAGACGTTGACCTTGATGACCAAGGCTGCCGCGGCTTACTGGTATCTCGGATTCTTTGACGAGGCCGAGGTCATCCTCAAGGAGATCTTGACGAACGCCAAAGCAGCTGCCGACAAGACGCCAGCGTTCATAATTCAGAGTCGCATGCATGCTCAAAGAGGTGATTCACACATCGCCTTCCTGAACATGAAGCGAGCATTGGCAGATCTGGGCATCGAAATCGTAGATACAACCTACGAGGAATGTGATGAAGAATTCCGTGAGATTGTGAAGCTTGTTAGCGTCACCGACCGACAACTTTTCGAGAGTCGAGATGCAGAAGTTGACCGCGACCTGTTCACGCTTGGAGCAGTGTTGGTAGAGCTTTTGAGTGCTGGATTCTGGACTGACTCCTTACTGTTCTATTATCTGACCTTGAAGATGATGAGAGTCTACCTCCAGAGAGGCATCTTCCCGCAGGTTGCCGTCGGGTTCATTCACCTTGCATCTATTGCCATTGGTCGTTTCGAGATGTTGGAGGAAGGTCTTGAGCTCGGCAACACAGCCTTGAGGCTTTTCGACCTCTTCGACACTGATTCGTACACGATTGGCCGCGGTGTCACGCTACACAGCCTCTTCCTTGGACACTTCGTTTCAGACATTGCTGACCAAGTACCTGCGTTGGAACGTGGTATGGAAGCTACTATCCTCGCTGGCGACAAGCTCGTCCACCTTCTAAATGTTGGTGTCATGTGCGCTTACAAGTTGTGGAGCTCTCATAACTTTGAGGATGTCACTGCTTACATACAAGATCAATACGAAAACTTCCCAGAATGGCCAACTGACCTGCGTGGAGGCGTCTTCCTGGTCTCAGTCCGCCAATTCATGCAAGCACTCCAGGGCAGAACAAATTGGCGCCAGCCTGCTCACATCTTCGACGATGACACTCACCAGACGCAGCAGTACGTTAAATTTTTGGAGTCACATACCGGCGCTGCTACCCGGCCACTCTTCTTCTATGACAGCTACAGGTTAGCTATCCTATACAGATTCGGATATTGGAGAGAAGCTCTCGAGATCGGCGAATCTGTTCTGCAGTCCATATCCAGCGTTTGGTGTATGCGACATGCATACTATGACTACTTCTACATTTCCATGGCTATGATCGCCAAGCTGCGCGAAGAGCCTAATTGTTCGGACCGTAAGCTCATCCTCGAGAAGATTTACAGGTTCAAGGGCAAGATTGAGACCGCAAGCCGCGTCAATGAGGCAAACTTCGCTGTTTGGTTGCACCTTCTTCGTGCCGAGATTGCCGATATTGAGATGAAATCCGATGAGGCTACTCTTTCATATGAGGCCGCTGTCGACCACACAGTTGTTCATGGCCTTTTGTCAGACGAGGCACTCTGCTACGAGCTGTACGGAGACTTCCTGGTCAGGAGAGGAGCTACGAGACCTGCCCGTTCTATGATTCGGGATTGTATTTCTGCATATCGCCGAATCTCTGCCTCGGCCAAAGCCACCCATGTTAGCGAGAAGCATGAGTTCTTGCTTCTTGGTTCGAGGACTTTTGGCTATGCTGATGCAGGCACGCAGACAGCAGAAAATGAGAACATCTCGTTCTCTATGGTACAGAACGAAGTCCCTCAGACATCCGACGACAGGACTCAGGCCTGGCTAAGCCCCTCCGCCAACACGGTTCCTCATCAGCATGAGACACAGCACGATCTTCAGGGTGGATTCTCTGCAGTCGGACTTGATATGATCGACCTTGCCAGTATTTTGGAGTCCTCGCAATTGTTGTCCTCGGAGCTCAAGGTCGACAAGCTACTGTCGAAGCTGACAAACATCATCGTTGACAGTACTGGTGCTGCACTCTGTGGTCTTGTGGTCAACGATGATGAGATTGGTTGGAACGTCGCAGCTATAGGAGGTCCAGATGTCTCATACCAAGACAATGTCGGCCAACCGATCAGCGACATTGATGATCCGCTGTCGAAGCAAATCACGTTCTACGTCTTGCGATTCAAGGAGGAGCTCTTCCTGCGTAACGTGCTCGACGACGAGCGCTTCTCAAACATGCCTGCAAACTGGAGACAGAAGTATCCTGAAGGCAAAGCTGTGATTGCCTTGCCTATCTTGCATGGAGACGACACACTGCTCGGATCGATATACATTGAGGGACCTCCAAACTCACTATCCCAGCGAAACATCACTGTCCTTCGCCTTCTAGTCAACCAGATCTCGATCTCTATCGCCAATGCACTGCTCTTCAAGAAGGTTGAGAAGGTCTCGGCTAGCAACTCTACCATGCTTGGAGTGCAGAGACAGGCTCTTGAACAAGCTCGTGAAGCTGAGCGAAAGGCAAAGATTGCAGAGGCCAAAGCTATGGAGATGGTCAAGCTTAAAGAGGAGGCAGCAAAGGCAAAGAGTATGTTCTTGGCGAACGTATCTCACGAGCTGCGTACCCCCCTCAACGGAGTCATCGGTATGTCTGAGCTGCTTAAGGGAAGCAGTCTCAACACTGAGCAAGAAGGATATGCTGACAGCATCCGCGTTTGCGCTGATACTCTGCTTTCGGTCATCAATGATATTTTAGACTTCAGCAAATTGGAAGCGGACAAGATGGCTGTATATTCGGTGCAGCTATCTCTGACACAGACTATCTCGGAGGTTGTCAGAGCCCTGTCATACACTAACCTAGAGAGAGGACTGCAGACTGTGGAGAAGCTCGAGATGCCCGCGGATCTGCTGGTCATGAGTGATCCTGTCCGTTTGCATCAGATTCTCATGAATCTGCTCAGCAATGCCTACAAGTTCACTGCCAAGGGAACAGTGACTATCAGGGCGTTCGTCGAGCATGAGACTGAAGAGACCGTTCAAGTGACGTGCAGTGTGACCGACACTGGTATCGGCATCACAGAAGAACAGCGCAAGAAGCTCTTCCAGCCTTTCAGTCAGGCAGACAGCAGTACCGCGCGCAGCTACGGCGGTACGGGACTCGGCCTTTCAATCTGCAAAGCCATCATTGAAAAGGTATTGCACGGTACAATCTGGCTCGACAGCGAGATTGGCGTTGGTACGACAGTGTCGTTCTCGCTCCCCTTCCAAAAGATTAGACCTGGTGCCGAAAATAGAGCTGCCGGACTCCTCGCAGATTCAACAGCAGCACTATACCAACCCAGCGAAGCCGAGCGCCAGAAATCATCCTATATCAGTCTCGCCCACATCCCTCGCGACAAACTCCGCATCTGCATCGCAGAAGACAACCCCATCAATCAAAAAATCGCAATCAATTTTGTCAAGAAACTCGGGTTCAAATGCGAAGCCTACGGCGACGGCCAACAAGCCGTCGACGCCCTCGCTGCCGCCAGCAAAGCAGGAACACCCTTCCACCTCGTTCTTATGGATGTTCAAATGCCCGTTCTGGATGGCTATAACGCCACTCGCGCCATCCGCGCCCATCCTGATCCCATCGTCCAGGAAGTACTGGTAATCGCCATGACAGCCTCAGCCATCCGTGGCGACAAGGAAAAATGTCTCGAGGCTGGAATGAACAACTACCTCGCCAAACCCGTACGGGCACATGTGCTCAAGCAGATGTTGGAGGGCTATCTGAACCAGGTCCCAAAGACGATGACGAATCTACAACAGCAGGCTAATCAATTGAGTCAAGATATTCTCGACGAGGCCAGTATGTATAGGGGCCCAAAGACAGTGGAGCAGGCAGAGCAAAAGAGCGAGAGGAACTCCATGGATGATGGGGAGCAAACCCCTACACCTGCCACTGCTGCTGCTACTACTTCCTTTTTGCCGACGAGGACTAGATGATCACGAACACATTTTCGAACGGGTATGGGGTTTCCTTGCTTCTTGGGCTGCATCTTTGCGTATTTTGTTGTGCTTTTCTTACTAATAGGAGGAAGAGAGGGAAAGGGAAGGTGCAACTGACAGGGACTGTTTCTTCTGCTCTTCTTACTGCTCCCCCTTTTGACATCTCCATGTGAGGTTCATCATCATATCTTTGGCGTTGTTTGTTACTGTGTACTTGTATAGAGTTATATGATACCTTTTTTTCTCCCTTTTCACTCACAATTTCTGCAGTGATTTGCTTCTTCGGTGGACTGAATTACAGGCAGTCACTCCTCCTTCCTGCCTCACAAACTTGATCGCTCCTTCCTTCTTCAACTTGACTGTTCCTTCCTTCCATACTCGATTTGCTCCTTCCTTGTAACCTTGTGCGATCCTTCCTTGTGACCTTGGTCGCTCCTTTCCCCCCATTCAAACACAGAACACCGATCGCTTCTTCCCCCGTTCAAAGTGACAGAACCCCCGATCGCTCCTTTTCCTCAATCTTCTACGCATAAGGTATATTTGCTTCCCCTTCTGCTCTGCTCAGATTTCACTCTCGTAATTCTGCTACTACTCACCTTCCCCCTCCTTCCTTTCCTGATCCCCTTTTTTTTTCGTTCTTGATGTTTTTCCTTTTTACACTTTGTCACACACTCTTCTTGAAATTTTGGTTTATTCGGATCATATCTCTTCTCTCGCCAATGCATGGTTTTTTGTTGGCAAGAGTACTATTCGTCTCTTTTGCAAACATGTGTGTCGTTGATATCAGTCAGGCGTTTGGGAACTTTTTATGGGGCCAAAAGGTCATTGGGGTTGCTCGATATTGCTGGGATTGCTTGGCTGCAATATTGCTTTACTGTTTGTTGGGCTACAAGTAGTATCCATGGACTGAGATGATACAAGCACTTGTGATGTTCTCTGTGCAAAATGGTTTTGAAGATCAAGTCATTTTGTGAATGTAGATGGTGTGACAGGTTGGGTGGTGAGTGGAGATTAGTGGCTTTGAGATTCGAGTGATTACTTTCCACCATAACTCACGTGGGACGCGTTCTTATGTCCTAAACCTGTAGCGATATATATTTGCGACGCATAAAAGGTATGGGATATATCCAAAATGCCATCAAAGAAGTCACACGAGCGAGTTATGGCATATCATGGATCTTTAAGTGTTGCGATGGGTACGACCCTGGCCCTAGCCACCGTTATCGCTCCATCGCGGAGACACATCTAGATCTCAACGGCGACAGAAGCCAAAAGCGTCACGAACAAACAGTCTTCAAGGGGGAGGCTGGGGTAGAAAAGAGGGGTAAAGGAGTCGTAAAGTCTGATTCGAAGGTGTGTCCGTCTGAACAGACATTGACATGTTATGTAGAGGAAAAGAAAACAATGATTCGTAAATCAGGAACAAGGCCGTGGAGCCAGAAAGGTCAGCTGTTTTAGGATGCGAAAGCAGAGAGAAAGACGAGGGAAGCCACACCCAAAGGAATCGTAAAGAGGCAGAAAGAGTATAAACATGAAAAGAGGGGAAGGAAGCGAATAGGTAATGCCAAACGAATGGAAAAGCTCATGTCCATGAAGCCCAAAACAGATGTGATAGAAACAACGTAGACTCCATTCACTTTTGTGTGTTGTGTGTGCGTCTGATAAAGGCGCCTCCAAGAAAGATGATGAAACACCAGAATGCATGCCGGCATATGAACAAGATGTCGAGAAAGGAACAAGGTCGTGGGAGAGACGTGGGTGGCAGATGTGATGCGATCATCTCACACTCTTCGACATGAGCTCCCTGACCTTGACGGCAGGGCTGCGCTTGGAGGAGCTGGTGCTGTGTTGCCATGAGCCAGCGCTGCCAGTGGGGCTACCGGGCGAGTTGTCGAAGATGTATTCGCCGTCGACATAGCGTGCGGCGGGCATGCAGACTGTGGTACGCTTGTCACGACGAGCGTATCTCTGCTCAAGTCTGTATAGCTCGACCTTTGCGCGGATAGAGTCCATGAAGCCCATTCTTGCGGTGTTTGTTGTGTGTAGGGTTGTTTCTTGGAGAGTTGTGGAGGTGGTATTGACACGCGACAATCAATACAGTGACAAGGTGGTTATTGTGGAGTATGAGTTGACTCGTGAATTGGAGGTCGGTCTCTGAGGCTGACTTGTCTACGGCTAGACCTTGTTGTAGAAGGATGTCGATGGGCACGAGTGCAAGTAGTGGATTGTTATGACGAGCTGGGTGTTCAGACAATGGTGGAATGAGTGAAGAGTGAGCAGAGTCAGGTTGCGGAGTGGCCTTCGTGAGGGTCGGAGGTAAAAGAGAGTGGTGTTGGCGTGGCAGGAGAGATTGAAGGACGGGAAAACAATACAAGGTCGAAGAGGGGAAAGGGCAAGAGCGTGGATAAGAGTTTCCACCATACTCGTAGTGCCTGCCCAGATAGGCCCTGGTCTGTTCGCCCTGCTCCGCCCACAAGGGTAGCCGAGTGATCTGCGCGTCTCGACAAGCGAGTCAGGTCAACGAGGGGGACCGCGCTTTCCATGTGGAGGCTGAAAGCATTGGTCAACTCTTCCAGCACGCTCGAGCAGATGGGTACGCCGTCTTTTCTGACTCTACTCATCGAGACATGACCTTTCCGTCCTACTCATATGCCGTGTCACGATAACAGCTTGATGACTCCACCCTCCGTCTTGGTCGTCGCCTATGTATACTGTTGCGGTATTCCCGAAGAAATCTCGAACAAAGTCTCGGCAAGCCACCGTCAAAAACACGTTGTCGCTAACTTCCCAACGGCGCGTGAAACATGGGAATCCTCTCCGTATCTTTAAGCTGATTCTGTCTGCTACTGCCGACAAATCTATGTACCGATCCGTCTACGCATGAAGACCCTCTTTTCTAGTAGACTTGGGTTATAATGTTTGCCATGTCTCGCAATTACCTCGCTGATTGGAGCCTAAACCCTTATGCCTATGAAGCTCTCTACCTCTACGCCGAGCGCAATAAATGAAATCCTCCAAAGCCACCTGCCACATCTATCCGCCACGCGTCTCGGGAACGCTTCCCTCAACGACCGATACAGGTCCAACATTGGGGGCATCGACCGAGCCGTTGAGCAGAGCAACTGCTGAGATCACATCCGAAGGCTCGAGCAAGTGCCAATTAGCCAGCGTCTGCTTTGAGCTTGCGCCTACAGTGACCGAGAAGACGTGATCCTTAGGCAGTCTCGAGTTGCTGAGTGATCTGAACATGTCTGTGCCATCTTTGTTAGCATATGCTTCATTCATCCACGCTACATGTCATAAACAAACCTTCATCAGTGAAGTCATCTCCCAGACACAAGACGAACTCAGGTGCCTGACCCTTCTCATGGCCGTACTCTTCCACCAGACGCTTGGCGATCTCACCCTTGTTGACGAACTTGGGGCGAACCTCCAAGTTAGCCTTACCCGGCATGACCTCCACATCATACTCCTTAGCGACCGTGTTGTCCAACAGTTTGCGGCACTCTTTAGCCTGGTGCACGCCCCAGTCAGGGTCTGCACGACGATAGTGCCAAGTCAGCGCAATCTTCTTGCGCTCAATGAAACTGCCTTGGGTACGCTCAGTGTAGTGCTGGAAGGTGTCGATGACCTTCTGTTGCCAAGACATGTCTTCCTTCTCAGTCAAGTTTTCCCAGTGTTCACTCTTGGGCTTGCGGAGGAAGCTGCCGTGCTCAGCACTCAGTCCAAGTTCTGAGATGTGACCCATCCACTCGTCCAAGAAAGCTTGATCACGACCACTGATGATCCACACAGCATTGCGAGGATCGGATGCCAATGTCTTGAGGGTGCGGATCACACGATCGGATGGGATGGCGGATTGAGGATCCTTGACGATAGGAGTCAACGTTCCATCGTAATCGAACATGAACAAGCGCTTCTCCGACTGGCGATACTGGGTCAGGAGCTTGGTCTTGTCCAAAGCAGGCGTAGCGATCGCTTGGTTGAAGGAAGTGAGGTTGGTAAGCAAACGCTTGACGTAGTTGCTTGTCCATGCCTGCACAGTGTTGGTTGTGACATTTCTGTACAACTTCTTGTGCATCTCGTATTTCTGTCTAGGGTCCATAACCAAGGCGTGGTGAATCTCGTCGGCAGTACCTCCCAGATCCCAGGGATTGATGTGTGTCGCATTGCCTAAGCTGCCAGCAGTTCCTGAGAACTCCGAGATGATCAGAGGACCATGGTTGTCCTTTTGGCAGATGACATACTCGAGGGCGGTAGTATTCATTCCATCGCGAACACTGGTAATCAATCCGACATCGGCGATACGGAGGAGCGCAAAGTATTCCTCTCTAGACAAGTACTGAGGATAATGCTGAACAGGGGTGAAGCTCAGAGATCCGTAAGTACCATTGATTCTTGCAACCAGGTCGGAGATCTTGTTGGCGGTCCTATCCGTGCCTTCTTCCTTGTCTTCAACACTAGTGGGGCTAGTCACCTGGATCAAAACGACCTTGTCGTGCCATTCGGGATGACGCTCCAAGAAGATTTCGTAAGCTTGCAATTTCTGGGCGACACCACGAACGGAATCGAGACGGTCACGGCCGACAATGATCTTCTTGCCAGCATACAACTCCCTGATGCCCGCAATCTTTTCGTCAACGGCAGCATCGTTGAATGCCATCTCATGAGTCTTGGCGGCGTTGATACCGATGGGTAGCACTTCAACAGCAACGTGGGCTCCGTAGGCATCAACTCCGTTTGCTGACGAGTCGAATCCGAGAACGCGTGTGCAGCATGAAGAGAAGTGGCGTGAGTAGCTGAAGGCTTGGAAACCGATCATATTGGCCCCGAGAACGCCCTCGAGAATATCCTTTCTTCTGCTCAGACAGCGGTAGAATTCACTACTGGGGAACGGCACGTGAAGGTAGAAACCGATGTAAATGTTCGGCAGACGTTGGCGAAGCAGTCCTGGGAGCAAAAGTAGGTGGTAGTCGTGGATAAGCACAATGTCTCCAGGCTTGTAAGTGGCAAGAATAGCATCGGCAAAGGCCTTGTTCAAGCGGAAGTAGTCGGCCCAGGCCTTGCGGATGGCGCGTCCATCGGTGGGTTCATTTTGCTTGTAATGGAACAGAGTATAAAGCTCGTGCTCAGCGTAGCGACGCCATCTGGCCTGGTCTTTCATGACAGCCACATCACCGTCCATCTCGTCGGCCAGCCAGACAGGTAAAATTCTACCTTGAGGGTCACGATCAAGAATTCTCTCCAGCTTCTGACGATCATCTTTGGTGATTCGCATGCCTTCAGTCGAACCAGGCTCGGGTGCGGAAACATGTGCATCCACAGGAATGGGTGCAGATGCCTTATTAAGAGGTGCGACATTCATAGATGAAACGTTGTTCTCGTCCATGAAGACACCGTTGCGGGTCTTTGGCTGAATCTCACCAGTCCAGCCAACAAGTGTGTGGTTCCAGTGGGACTCAGGCGACGAGAGGTGAGCGAATGAGTCGAATAATGCAGATGTGCCTCTGCGGGAAGCAAGATCCCACTCCGAGCCTTGAGCGTATCCGATCTTGTAGGGAACTGTGAAGAAAGCACTGATGACTTGACCACTCAAGTTCAAGCTTGGATGGGCAGTCTTTGGATCAACCTCAGCTTGGTCAGTAGTTTGTTGATGTCCTTTCAGACTCAAACGACGGAGTACATCTTCTCCGGAATCATCGTTTTGACCTATACTTGAATCAGTCGGGTCCGGGCTGAATACTGTTCAGACTCTTCGGTACCTTCGGGTGATGCCACTTCAGGAGATGGGATTCCTTGAGTCTGGAAGAAAGAAGTGCGGCCAGTAGAATCGACAGCCGGAGTTACAGGAATCTCAGTGTTGCTAGGATGGAACACAGGATTGATAGAGCCAAGTCTAGGGTTTGGAGGACGATTCGCCATAGTATTTCGACGGCAGAGGATTTACAACTGGTCAATTGGTCAGCAATCTGCGCCGATGAAATGTGTATTCGCGGGGCTTCAGGACGGCCACATGCCGAGTGCGCAGGCCCACATGCATGATGAGCTTTGGTATGATTTCCATCCCTTTCTCAGGACGAGATCTCGAGGTGAAGGTGTAGAGTGACTTTGAACAAACCTTTGTTGGTGCCAGGTATTTACACCGCAATACAAGCTGTGTCCGCTGGGTCCTGAAGAGGCTGCAAAGTCGTGGGGATCGAGGAGAGTATCAAAGTCAAAATTACATCGACTGACTATATCCTGGGCCTTTTATTGTATACGGAAGAGCAGGTTTTGGCAGCACCGAGTTGGAAGATTCTACAACAAGTAGGCGCGTGTGACGTACAAATTATAATAACCCAACGCGCGAGGTCGCGCACCGACGCTTTACTTGAGGAAGTAGCGAACGGTTGGATATGACTACCGAACATAACTGGGTATCTTGTCTGCCCTTTACTAGCAAACATGCAAATAACGGGGCAGATGTACACGGCATATCATAAGTGGTAACATAAAAGAGGTCATTTCGAATCATATCCTGTAATGGAGATTCTGAGTATCTGATTCTTGGACCGCAAATGTATTTGCATTGCACCAGGCTACCTATCTTGGACTGAGCTGCGTCGGATAAGGAAAACCCGCACGTTCGTTACTTCCCAAAAGAGGGCTTGGCTCAACAAACAAGTCGGCAGTCATTCTGTCGTAATGAAACACCTGTCTCCGGCTTTCATACCAAGAAGTTCGTGTCAAGGAAGAGTTGTTGAATTGAGCTTTGGCAGGCTTCTGCGGTAGATAGATGCTGTTCCCCCAGCTTGCTCTTTTACAGACACAAATTTGACACACAGCTAAAGGTACCTAACCTGCTCTCTTCTCCATGCGTATGGAGCACGACAACAATTATCTCCAGCTCAGCCGGATGCTGTAGCCTGCTCCCATACCTGCTATATGCTTTGAATCTATAGTACAGATGTAGATGCTGCTGGCAATGAACAGCCAATGTGGACATCACTCCGTGGCTGAATGTTCAAGCTTATGCCCCTGTCAATCTATTCCTTTTTCAACCGCCAGTGGTATCGCCGCGGGCGAGCACCACTTGCAAGATATAGTCTAAACGTCTACACATCTGTGGTTCGATCCATCGCGACTGGCAGCTTTGATATGTCATCCCTGACACATGTACGTCTGTCAGATATGCAAGGCGTGAGGCAGCCAATATGGAGATCTGAAAATTGGGCTGCACAGCCAACACATCGTGAGGGAAATGGTTGCTGTTTGTGAATCACAGCGGGATACTACGAGGTGCTCAGGAGCTTGAGCAAGCTACAGTATAGGCGGATCATTGTTGAGTGTGTGTTACTGATCGAGGGCTATGGATAGCCTCGAGTCGTGCTCCTTGCGGCCCATTCGACAGACTGTGCTCTGCTGATCGGCGCAGAGGAATAGAGGTGAGGGCCACCCATGTGTCGTAGGAATTGAAGGCATCGTCATAGGTGAGAGCAAAGCACGATGCCCCGCACAAAATCGAGGCGCCGAAATTGGTGCGGGCAGCTCTGTGCACCGCAACCACCGAAGTTCCTTTCTGCGACCACGTCAAATCTCTTACCACCCTCTATACAAACTCCACAGATCAGCTTGAACTCAAACTAGATCTTCAAAATGGCCTCCACCGAAGCAGCTGAGATTGGTATGCGCAACCTTAGCACAATTTGGAAGGCGGGAACATTCGAAGCTAACTTCCATTGCGAATAGACTACAGTCTGAACAACCCAGACACGTACGGACAATCTTCGACATGTCTCAGCATGAACACTCGCTGACCCCGAATAGCCTCACCAAGTACAAGACCGCCGCCCAGATCTCCCAGAAGGTTCTCGAGGCTGTCACAGGTATATGGCGTGATGCGAACGACAGAAGACTGAAGGCTGACATGTATTTAAGGATGGTGCACTGAGGGCGCCAAGATCGTCGACGTCTGCGAGAAGGGTGACCAGCTCCTCGAGGAGGAGATTGCAAAGGTCTTCAAGGGCAAGAAGATCGCCAAGGGTGTCGCTCACCCTACCACCGTTTCGCCCAGCGCTTTCGTCACTCCCTACACTCCCCTCAAGAGCGACGCCGAGGAGGCTGCCGTCGAGCTCAAGGCCGCCGAGTGCGTCAAGATTCAGCTCGGTGCTCAGATTGACGGCTTCGCTGCCATTGTCTGCGATTCCATCATTGTCCCCTCATCCGAGGCCAACGCCAACGGTGAACTTGAGGGCCGTCAGGCTGACCTTGTCCTCGCCACCTACTACGCCAACGAGCTTCTTTTGAGAACCATGCTGCCGTCCGGTCTCCTCGCCTCTGGTTCCGAGGAAGAGATTGCCAAGGCACGTGCTCAGAAGCCTTACACCCAGGGCAGAATTACCCAGCTCCTCGAGAAGGTCGTCAAGAGCTACGACTGCAACCTGGTCGAGAACACCACCTGCTGGCAATTCGAGAGAAACGAGATTGAGGGCAAGAAGAAGATCATTCTCGCTCCTGGTGAGGGTGTTAGAGGAGATGGTCTTCCCGAGGTCGGCGAGGCCTGGGGTGTCGAGATGGGTGTCAGTTTGGGCACCGGTAAGGTCAAGTCCCTCGGCAACCGTGCTACTCTCCACCGCCGTACTACCACCACCTACGGCTTGAAGAGACCTAGCTCAAGAGCCACTCTCTCCGAGGTTGTCAAGAAGTTCGGTACTTTCCCCTTCTCTCTCCGCCAGCTGGAGGACGAGCGCTCCGGAAAGGTCGGTGTCGTCGAGTGTGTTCGCGGTGGTGTCCTCCGCCAGTACGAGGTTATCGGTGACAAGGACGGCGAGGCTGTCTGCCGCCTTTTCACCACTGTTGGTAAGTTTGCGTGATTTCTCAAACCAGGACAGCATTTTTCTAACATGCTGAACAGCCGTCAACAAGAACGGTATCACCCGTCTGAGTGCTCCTCCCACTCCTGACCTTACCAAGTTCAAGACCGACAAGAAGATTACCGATGAGGAGATCCTGAAGATCCTCGAACAGCCTCTTGCGAAGGAGTCCAAGAACAAGAACAAGAAGAAGAAGAGCACTGCCAAGAAGGCTGAGACCACTGAGGCATAAACTGTTGCTATCACGCAGAATGTCGAGGACAGAGCTTTGATAGAAGCTGAGCAGCCATACTGAAACACCTCTGATCGGAGAGATGCAGTAGGTGGCAGATAACGGCACGAACAGCACAGCCAGACACGAGTCGGGGCTGCTCATGACGGAAGGTCAAGGGGAAAGGCGCGAATGGCCTGTCAGGCACTAGTCGAAAGCAAATCGAAGTCAGATACGAGTGCTCATACTCAGCTCTACGCAATATTACGCATCACGTCAGACATATATTAGCAGGCCGAATGGGAAGGCAAGTGATTTAAAGTGCAAATGAACACGATGATGAATGGCTGTTGAAGGGGCTGGTGGTGTTTGATGGCCCTTGCCCTTGGCGCGACTTTCTTGAAGCCGCACCTCGACACATCCAAATACATTCTCCAGCGAGGCTTCAAAGCGGAGAGAGCGAGTCGACGCGAAGGGTTGGCCTTAAAACAGGAGCGAGTGAATTAGTGTATCTGGGGAGGGTGTTTATTGCGCATCCAGAAAAAGTCGCCGGCGTCACGGCTTCATCTTTGCACGCTGCAAGTTCGACGCACCTGCCTCCCTACCGAACAACGCGACTTCCGCCAGACGGATCCCGGAACAACTACGTTTGACACACAAAAGACACGGATTGTCTAGAAAGAGCTACAGGAACAAGATGGATTCGACGCCGTCGACCAGGAGTAGGAACCGGAGTCCCCGTGTACCGCCCACAGTGTCGACACAAAATCGCAGCGTCGCCCAGCCTCCTGCTCGTAACGGATCTGCGCACGACTGGATAGAACCTCCGCTTGCATCGCCCATCCCGAGTTTCGAAGATCACGGTGGAGGCCCTTACGGTGTCCTCGAGGACATGCAAGCATTGGGGAGCCGTCCGACGGCAAAGGTCAGAGGCAGAGTAAAACCAGACGGTCCTAAGAAGAGCGCCCTGGGCAAGTCTCTAGCCAACCCACTGGCCACTGCATCGAATCAGGGCACTCCAGAAGCGACTCCCGTCCCTATCGATGTCATGCCCGAACAGCCTCTGGTCATTGTCGACGATGAGCGCGACGATGATTACACGCCACGTCCATCCAAAAAGCCCGCAAAAGCCCGTCTGTCACGCTCGGCTGCCACGACTGCTAGACCGACTGCTTCACCGAAGCCTGCTACACCCTCAGTTGCTGCATCAGATACTCCTGTACCTTCGTCTGTTGCCACCCCTGTCACGTCGGCCACACCAAGTGCACCCCCTACTGCTTCCGCGAACCGTCCTCCAGGAGCCGTGCCACTAGCCGAAGTAGTAGCTTATCTGGAAGCCTTTGATCGGGCAATTCCACTACCTGACTCGCCGGATCAACTCCAGATGCATGGTATTGTGAAAGCTGCCGTGGAAAAGTCCATGGAGGTTGGGAATAAGTACCTCGGTCTCGCTATTCAAGAGGTATATCTCGAAAGCTATTCCAATCCGACCCTGGTACTCTTGCTACACGGTATTCTCAACCAAACTTCCAAGCCCTCAGAAATTACCCTTTTCAGAGAACACATCAACCAAGCCAAAAAGAGAATAAAGGCAAGGGAAGCTAGTGTGAAGAAGAGAACAGCTGGAAGTGAAGCTAGGCGGAAATCTTCAGCAGTATCTGAGGCACTTCCGCGCCCTTCTGTTGAAGCTCAAGCTGTTCCGAGAAAACCAAAGATTTCACTGAAAATGAGCAAAAAAACAAACACCGTCACTAAGCCTACGGATGAGCCAGCGCCTCTCCCACCCACAACCAAGCTGCGCACCTCTAGCATTTCAAGCTCTTCATCTCTTTCGTCTCTGACCTCCATCGAAGAAGACATGCCCGTGCCTCCTCTTCCGCGTCTCAACTTCTCTCCAGCCGGTTCTGCAACGCTCGCAGCTCCCTCAGAAATAAACGGCTCTACAAAACGCTCTTCCGTAGAAGCAGGAAACGATGAAGACGACCTTGAGTTTCAGGCAAAGAAGCAGAAACTCGATGCGACCGTCAACCGTGACGCTCCCGTCGAAGAAAGCCACGTACGACCAGATCTATCTGCTTTTCCCAAAGTGCGCAACAATCTGATCATACCCCCGGTGCAACTCACTGCAAACGGTGCAAGTAGTAGAGATATCTCTGCTGATGCATCGCCTCTGACCGATATGTCATCGCCGCCCTCTGGATCTCGCAGAAACACACCAATGAGAGCCTCGATTCCTGCCAAGATGATCCAGAAGAAGGCTAAAACCAAGCACTCGTGAGTAAACCCTTCCCTCGAAGCTCGCACAATGATCGGGTTGATCCCTGTTGTTGCTGAATCAAGATGTACGAATACCACGATGCTAACTGCTGTTGTACTTTCAGCCCGGTCAAAAAGCAAGTGCCAGGGCAAAATGCTGACGAGGGCGGGATAAGCCGGAGACCCAGCCCCGGTGGTCCTGATGCGAACGAAGAGGTACAGACTCCATTCTATCATTACGTTGCAGCACCTTCCATCATATCTTGTTGTAAATGCGTCTGTTGCTTCCTGCAATCGATTCAAATCCATCATGCAAATGCTTTGCGAAAAACTTGCACTAACACCCAATTTCCAGTCTGACAACAACGACTATTGTACGGCTTGTAACACTAGCGGGTTCCTTCTTTGCTGTGACGGCTGTGATAGTTCTTTTCATCTCCACTGTCTTGATCCACCCCTGGACCAGAATGCGCCTGAGTTGAACGAGGCTTGGTTTTGTTTTGGCTGTACCGCAAAGCGCGCACAGCCTCAGAGACCATCCCGTGGGCTCTTTGCTGCGTTACTTCTCAACCTCGACAAGCGCAATCCAGCAAATTTCGTACTTCCTCAGGAGATCCGTGAATACTTCGATGGCGTTGCAACCGCTAAGGACGGCAAGTTCGTAGAGCAACTTGCTACAAAGACTCGGTAAGTCGATACGCATGCAATCCGTGTTCTGCGAACATAAGCGCACCCCGAGATGCGATCCTGAGAGTCCGAATGATGATCATTGACTAACATGCGCAACAGAAGAGGAGCTGGTTATGATGAGCTACCCGACCATCTCAAGACAAAGGATGCTAAAGGACAAGCCATCTTGTGCTACAATTGCTCTCTCTCGTCTCTCGGTCGGCGCGAAATCATTACTTGCGATCAGTGTAGCGCACACTGGCATCTCGACTGTCTTGATCCGCCTCTTGCAAACGTTCCTTATCGGGATCATACCGGCAGAAAAGTACGCGACTGGCTCTGCCCCCTACATGTTGACCATGTGCTTCGCGAGATGGAAGTGCCTCGTCTCGCTGATCGCCAATTACAGAGGGAGCGCAGGGTGTACATGCGCAAGCCTCGTGCTGCAAAGGTTATAGACACTGCTCTTAGCCGCAGTTTCATCAACGATGGCGTGATCGAAATCACCCCAGACTCTAGTGATGATGACTCATCCGAGTTTGAAGAAGTGGACGTTTCTGGTGTCGTTTATCGTCTGCCTGAGAAGGGTATCAAACTCGATTTTATTGATAGAGTCAGACGGTATGTGCTCGTTCGTCCAGATCATCACCTCTTTTCTAACAATTGGGCAGCACACGATTAGCTACGCAGTACTACAACAATCCTCAGACTTATCCTCGTTCCAGCAAGAGAAGGGCCATAGATCGAAACGCGAAGGATAGCTTCTTCCGTCGCTCGTTCGTGGAACAGCGTACTGCGCTTGACCTTGTTGGTCTCGCCAATCAGCAAGGCGATCTTGACTTCAATGGTGACCAAGTTAGCAGCCTGCTCACTACCCTCATTGTAAGACTTACCAGCTTTCAAGTCAATAAAACTCAAGACACTAATCTTGTACTATAGGCCGAAGCGCCAGCCAACGTGGTCGAGCAAATGATCGAAGCGGAGAAAGAAGTCAAGTCCCCGGACACAGCTGGTCCACCTTCCCCTCCAGCATCAGATCAGCACACCGAGCAAAGCGCAGCTCAGCAGCGTAAGACTCTGGAACTGCTCCAGACACTCATCGCAAGAAAGCTTGCTGCCTTGACCAAATAGTGATCAACCAGAGTACTATGTAACACTTTTCACAACCACAACCTCATACACTAAACTTGTGCGAGAGAGTCGGCGCCCTCTTGCTCGCTGTCTAGCTATGTGAAAACGCGTCTGAGAAGCACCCTCGTACGTTTCGAAAGGCATCTTTGCTGGTGGTCTCGGCGGTACCAAGACATCTCCTTGGTCAAGAGCTTTGCTCAGAATGGTATCCGGCTCGCAGCATTGGGTTTCGGTGTAGCTTTCTCGACGTATCGTCGAAATTCTCGTTCTTTGTTTCCTGCGGCATGCATAGGTGGTCAGGCGGGAAAGAGGGGAGATCAAAACGCATTGTACTATAGCTAGTAATTTTCCAACGACATGCGCACCACAATAAGGCGTTTTGCCCTCTTCATATCTACTTTTGAATCTTGTCTCGAAGCAGTATCTCTGATGGTGTCAACTGCCATCTATAACTTGATCGCGCCTTTTGATAGACTCTGATTCAGACTGCACTGCTTGCGGGAGCTTTGCACTGGCCCGCAAGTACACACAGGCTCACTGACGACATGTTTCCGGGTTATATACTCTCATGCCGGTGGACAGTATCCCGGAGTCGAGCGCCAGATGTCTGAATCACATCTTGGTCCGATTCCGTCCGGAAGAACAAGACCAGAAAAGATGCTCCGACGGGTCATTGACCCGTGAAAAAGAATGACGGGCACAGGCACAGACAATATCTCTCGTCATTCGTGGTGACAAGATGAAGCATGTCTTCGTGCACCACCTCCGTGAAAGGTCGACTTCAAGGTGACTATATCGGCGGATTGCTGGTCTTTTGCCCACACGATATGGCGACCCGATGCGCGACGCTGCTGGCGTCGAGCTATCGCTTAGAAGAGTTGCCGCGAAGCTATCTGATAGTTCGAGGGCCGGCTCGTTCGCTGAACTGTTGGAAACTCTGGATTGAGGGAGAGAAGGAAGATGGAAGGATGGGTTTGTGGTGATGCTTGCTACAATGGAGCACGTGATGTAGATCTGGGCAACAGTGGCACGCTGTAAAATGCGAAATTCTTTGATGTTCGTGGAGTTGCAGCATTTCACACTATGCTACTGATCCTTTGTCCTCTGGTCTTTTGACATCTCCCTCTAGATACCTCCATTGGTACGGTTCTCAGCAGCAAGTGAGAATCCAAGCTCCATCTTGGATGCCGAGTTCAGAGTAGAGCCATTTGACCCAAGACTGAATACCTTCTGCATGGAAGGACTCATGGGGCTTTGTCTACTGACCCCACTCTTTGTGAGATGCAAGTTCAAGCCTTCCTCGCCATCTTCATGGAATGCAGCACCTTTGCCAATCTTCTGCAGACTATCTCTCATCAACATCTCGTAATAAGCTGTAGCGAACAGTGTAGCTGGGATGTTGACAAGGATGGAGATCCAAGAGTAGTTTTTGTAGGTGAAAGCTTCTTTGCCGAAGAAGATGGCTGCGACCATGCGAGTACCAAGATCACGAGCCATGTTTGTGCTGACGGTGATATCGGCAAAGCCCCACACCATGACACTATACACCAGCCCGACAGCCCAAGGAGCTGCCGCAGGTGATATGAAAGGATTGGCAGGATCGAGACAAGCCCAGAGGACGATGCCGATGTAGGAGTCTACGAAGAACTCGATCATGAAAAGGTAGCCGAGTTTTTGTGTTTCTCCCGGGAAGGAGCAGAAGATACTGGCCGGACCGCCGTTGAAGACTGTACCTTTACCTGCAGCGATGGTTTCGGCGGCATATGCAGTGATTTGCTGATGGTATTGACCGTAGACGAAGAGACCTGCCATGAAGGCACCAAATATTTGAGCGAAGATGTAGTAAGGGACTTTCTTCCATGGGAAACCTTGCCAAGTAGCAAAGCAGATTGTCATAGCAGGGTTGAAGTGGCTGTGATGGAGTTAGATCGTGTTGCCTGGCAAGAGAATGAACAAAATACGCACCCTCCTGACGTGGAGCCGCAGGTGATGATAGCAAAGGCAATACCGAAGCCAAACGCAAAGCCGATCTGAAGTAGACTTCCGAATGCAGGGTTGGTCTCATTGAGGAAGAAGGAAGCTGTTGCAGCGATACCAGGATAGACATAGAAGAAGACACCGGTACTGTGATTGATAGAAGGGTCAGCATGAAACATGTGTTCTGAGGGTTTCAAATTTACGTACGCTTCGGCCATCATTTCTCGCAGCCATCTCGGTCTTGCTCGCTCAAAGTCAAGTTTGCGTTGGGACACAGCCTTGGGTGAAACGACATGGCGCTCGTAGTGTTTTTGAATGGCCTTCGAATAACATTAGAAGTGATCCCAACCACAACCTAGAAGCATGAAACACACCTCTGTTGCACCCAACTCAAGGTCGTTCGTGTGAAGTCTCTGGATGTGCGACGAGTCCGACATCGCTACTGTATGAGCTCTTTAGATTATGTAGGGAATGAGTAATGCCTCAGACAAGGGGATCATCAACCTCATATACACCTACCTTACCGAGGTTACACGTAGGTCATTGCTACTTCGTTTATCATCGACCAGCAGCCCATCACGTCAGGAAATGCTAGACGGCACCAAGGGATTGAGACATGCCGAACGGATCTGTCGGCCTGCCAGCCGTAACTGCCTCGCAAGGATCGATACAGCTGCATGTAGGAGTAGCGTGGCTTAGGTTGTTCCTTTCCGGGCTCTCCAGATCGACACTTTCGTATACGTCTGCCATTGGGGTTCGTGTATACGATACCGAAGCTACATCACAGACGAAGAAGCATGGTTGAAGAGCCACACTGTGTGACACACAGTTTGACGTTGTCTGTCAAGACTACGTGGTCAGTGTAAGTTCAGGCGAGAGCCGCAATGTGAGTGTGGAAAACAAGCTCACCAAGAGCACTCTCTAAGCATCAGGCTTGTAGGTCAAATACGCCGCCGTGTCTTTATCCGGCTAAGCTTGCTATAACGGTGATATGGTTTGCGTAGGTGGAAAGAGGGGGAAGCGGATGTATTCGCTGGAATTATCAAGGCCGATAGGTCCGGGAGGCAACTCGGTGAACGAGTAGTCGTAGGATGCCTCGGGATGCGGCTCAAGCTCTCAGACTGGGTAGTACTTGATAGAAGTATCGAAAACGGACGGTTTGGCGGACGTGTTCCGCTCAAGATTGATGTGCGATGATTGTCACGATGGGTTTGGGGCCCCGCGCGCGGGGTACAGTAGTCGTGGGGTTGCATCTGATCTCGGCTGCTTGTGGAGCCGGCTCCATACACGTACTCGTATAGGCATCGAAACGCTTGTAAAGACAGTAAAGATAATGGTCAGTAGGGTTATACCTCAGAAGGAATCTTTGATAGCCACACCGCAGTATTTGGCCGATCGCTTGAATTCCGACAAGAGCTCAAATCAGCACCTTCTACGTTCGTGCAATACCTTACCAACCACAACTATACCGCTTTTCAACTGACTGTATGCAGTGCGACATCGGCACGGTCAGGGACTGTACACCATATCACTAGCTTCAAAGGCAACAGTCTTCGATTGCAAAAGTGGTTGAGTTAGCATGTGTACTGTACTGTCTGCAGTAATGGGTATCTTGAGCTGAAAGCAAAGTCGTAATCATGGTCATTCCGTCTTCTTCGGGCAAGTAGCAATGAAGCCTCGGGCTTGTTACTTGCGCAGCATGGCAAGCCGTCAGAGTCGTACGTGGTGTGGTGATGTGAGAGTCAAATTTCGACCTCCCAACTCAATCCTCTTCATCGCTCGTTGCCTCGTGGTTCTGCTTCCCGTACTTGAACTTGTCAAGCTTGCTGGAAGATAAAACAGCATCGGCTTCTGCTTCGACATCGCTTGGCTTAACCTCCGCTTCGTCTGGCTCCGATGCAGGCTCTTGAGTGGTAGCGTCTAGACCGTAGTTTGGGCGAGGAAGCTCTTGACCCTTCTCCTTGAGAGCATCTTCAAGTTCAGGAAGGACCTCGAGGAAAGCCGAGAATTGCTCTAGGGTCATCGAGATGCCTTTCTTTCCTGGAAGCATCTGACCATCTTTCTCGTAGTACTCCCGGATGTTGATCTGTTATCAATTAGTGTTTGTCGTTTCGCTTAATAATTCTGAACTAAGTCTCACCAGATGGACTTTCTTGAATTCAGACAGGGTAACACGGCGCTTCCCAGAGAGCTAGGAGTCGGTCAGAATATGCAGTGAATTGATTGTTTGAAGAGCCTTACCTCCCAATAAGGATTGCCATCTTCGTCAACTTGCTTGTCTTTAGAGATTGGCTGACCCTTTTTGGCGCGCTTAGACTGGGGAGCGTCTTCGACAAAGCCACCATCGGAGTCGTAGTCGTCAGCTTTGCTGGCACGTTTCTTGGACTTTGGCGGCATGTTTCTGGGGAAGTTTGATTTTGGTGTAGAATTGGAGAACTAGGAGACGTGAGATGGGACGTGAACAAACGCGTAGCAGACGTCATCTCAAGCGAGACGCGTTTGAAACACAAGAGCCTTTCTTGTAGAACCTGCCGACAAAATTCCCTATCTGCACGTCTTAAGTTGCCAATAAAGAGGCAAGCGACCAAGAACACCAAAGATAAGTCCCGACTAGCTATGTGCGGATATGAAAGGTAGACCTCGTGGTAGCGTAATGGTTCGATCAAGAACTTCAGACCGTAGAGGACGTCGCCTATACGTAGGCCAGGCGTTCATTAAACAATCTTACTTCCAGTCTGGAAACGAGCGAGTGCATTGAATACAATCGCAGCGCAAAAGGCAGATTGTCCAAAGCAGCAAGGCTACTGCCACTCGAGCAGATATCTGTGCAAACACACCACCGCACTCTTGCGACCGAGTGACGTCCGCATACCACCGATTGCCACCGACAATGATGACGAGGACATGATGACTGGCCAGGACGTCACGTTAAACGATGACAGGGAAAGCGACTATGGGTCCGAATTTGGCACAGACGACGAAGCAACTCTCTCTGTACTCCTCGCACAAGCTGCGTCGCAGCCTCTTGCAATAGGCAACCATGCTGGTGTCCTGCCAGGCACTCCCCCTCTGTCGCCATTTGCCAGAGGCACCCGGCGCAAGTATGTCGATGACGAGGGCATTGTCTTCGAGATGGTCTCACGCGACGGTCCTGTCGATGAGGCCTCAATTGAGATTGAGTACGACGAGCACAACCGCTCAGCTTTCTCCCGTAAGTCGTCGTCTATTCATTACTACATTCGTCTGCAAATCTCATAGAGGTCTCCAAACTTTCATCACCAAAACGTCTGGGCTGACCGCTGACAACAGCACTTTACAGCTCGCCTAGACGCAAATCGCGTGTCTGTACCGCCCGAGGCAGATACTGGACCAGAGCAACCAAATCCCCTGGACACGCGATCGCCCATCGAACGATTCCGTACCCCGCCGAAGAAACCTCTCTCTGTCACCGACATTATATCGCCTGCTTGGTGCGAACTACAGTACTGGTACAGCTTGACCAAGTATGGGAGAGTTCGCCGGACCGCCGCCATGAAGCAAGGCTCTTCGGTCCACAAAGTGCTAGAAGAACAGGCCGCGACTGTCCTGCCCGTCGGTACAATCAGACTGCTGGTTGAGAGAATCCTGCAAGAAGAATTGAAGGCAATCGTGCCAGCTGAGACAATCCAACAAGTCGTGCAAAAGGCTCTTGACCAAGAAAAACGCACCTCAGTACCATTGGATGTCGTCGGTGGTCTGGTGCATCAAGTCTTGGAGAAGGGGGAACTTGAGCCCGTCGCTGTCAACACTGTGAGTGAGTCAGTTCACAAAGTGACTGGCGCACAGGTACAGAAAGCTGTCTCGGTCGAAATCGAGACGAAGGAAGATGCCTTTGGTTTGAAGATTTGGAACACCATACAGAATCTGCGAACTCTGAGATCGACAGGAACCGCTCGCGAATTTGAAACCTGGGCCATCATTGAGGGTCAAGTTGTCAATGGCATAATTGACGAGCTCAGTTACGTATGTCCCGACGAAGACTTTGAGGCAGAGGTGGCCCAACAGAAGGAGACCAAGCCCAAGAGGGGCAGGCCGAAAAAGCAGAAAGTTGTCCCAGAGAGCCAAACGCTAGACGCCTTCTTCGGCGGCTCTCAAAACCTTGAAAACGACAATACTGCATGGCTCGGAAATCCGCACGCTGATCGCAGGATCTACATCAAAGACGTCAAGACTCGAGGTTCCAAAAGCATGCCGAAAGGTGAGGCGTCCTTCAGACCAACTTCGATGCAGCTGATGATGTACCATCGAATGCTGTCGCTACTTGCCTCGAACTCTGTGCCAGCTGAACAGGTCTTCACTCGCTACGGTCTCGATAGCGGCATCCCTTTCAGCGACATGTTCATTGCTCAATTGGGCAGTATCGAATCCGGTACAACGATTGAATCGGATGATATGCCAGCTCGAGATGCAGTCGATGAGCTGCTTGCCCACAACAGCCTCGAGAAACTATGGACCTTGATGATCTCGGAGTTTCAGCTCACCATAACTTTTCCCAACAAGCCATCTGCGCCGTCTCCCATCGGCGATGTCCTCATGGCTGAGTATAGAGCCTCTGGTAGCGGTTCGATTATAGGGTCGAAGACCTTTGCCTACGATGTCGACGTGCTGGACGCTTACCTAAAGAAGACTATGGCTTGGTGGAACGGCGAGCGTATGCCGAAGGGCGTCGAGATCGAAGAGGCGTTCAAGTGTCGGATGTGTGAGTTTGCGGAAGTATGCACATGGCGCAAGGACAAGGTCGAAGAAGGCGTCCGCAAGGCTCGACTTCGGAATCAAGTCAAGCAGAAGAGCGACGTTTGATTGATATCGGTATGCTCAGCTGAGGCTCTGCTTACGATCCCGATCCGTGTTCATTCTCGCCGTCAACATCGTATCCGTACTGAGTCTATCTACAAATGGTCTTGGAGAGGCATGCGTCCGTCGTACCATGCGTGGCAGCGTTGGATGTCAAATGTTGGGGGTGATAATGTGCCTCCCGGAGCACAGATGTGCACTAATGCAGCGATGCGTCCAAGATTCGGCATCAACAGTATGCATGACAGGTGAGGATATAGGGCTGTGTTTGATTGTCGCAAACAATCCTCAAGAAGGAGCATGCTCGGTACGCCGTACCGAACAACTCTCCACTGGCAACGGCCAGGGCAGAGAACAATTTACTTGCAAACTGCCACCCTAGTATTGCGCAAGATGAATCCTATGTGTACAGGAAGCGAGGGTGATCCTCCAGATCGAGATGAAAAGGTCTCGGAGGGTGGCTTGAAGGATCATAAAATTAATAGCTGATGGGGAAATTTTACCAAAGCATTGAGCTGAGGCATTGACCCCGAATATCGACATAGGACAGATCCAAGTAAGAAATGGCAATTAATACCGAGCTCGTGCGTGTCTTCAACGTGTCAATCGTTCATAATCTACAGCTATGGAGGCACATGTCCTGAGTGGCAAGCGCCCATTGCTGAGTCCTTGGTGCTCATATGATCTATTCTTTTTGGTCCTCCGTTCAGGCTTGTTCGATCGTGTGCATTGCCATAGCCAGAGTTGGAATTAGTCCCCTGGCAACACTCGGGATTGGCATCAAGCGGTGGACAGAGGAACACGCAGTGCTGTTTCAAGACATGCTTTCACCCTTAAGGCTTCGAACCTGGAAATCTTGACCCCTATGTGGACCCTCAAAAGCGATGCTGGGTCAACAAGAGAAGATGACGTCTTTATAAACAATGCTCTTTGCACTGCCTTTGAAGATTCGTGGTAGCAATGTCACTACTGCATGCTCGCCTTGATGCCTAACGAGAAGCTCGACCTTCGAATCTACACCCCCACATTCGAGCTCTCGGGTATCACTAATGGTCGAAGATCAGCATAAGATAGAGTTTATGTTTAACACTATTTCAACAACCGTGTACCTTTCTATTCACCAAGCGGAGGATTCACCGCAGTGGAGAAGAGCCATGGCCACTGACAGACAGAACTTTGAGAACTGATGATTTAAATGAACGCAGCACCACCAACGTCTCTATTTGTATAATTTGCACTTTTCACATTTCGGAATTCTGTGGAAGAGTGTGGCTTGTCTTCATCTCTTCTCTGACGGTCGACTGAACAATGGAGTAAGGCCGACCAGATGTACCGCGAAGCATATGGTAGCCCGCAAGATCGGCTGCAGGTCGCTGGGACCTGCATCAAGGAGCCGGCGGCGGTGAGCAAAGCACAAGGAGTGACAGGGGCGCACGGTACGGTCTGGGGGTGGGAAGTGGATTCGTGGACTCGCCTTTGGCTAGGCGGCCGAGGTGAGCGTTCGCGCCATGAACTCTTGCGTCCACGAGGGTGATCGTGGGCGTCGGGGCTCGGAAATAAAGGGCTACCGTAGTGTAATGGGCTGGCTGGATGAACATGTGCTCTACTGCTAGGAGGGCTCCAAGTGATTTTCGAGTCAGAAGCAGACATTGTGATCAAACGTTGAGAAGCTGACGAGCACGAGATGTGGATTACGAGTCAGCGGTTGGGAGTATTGAGGAGATGTGTAGGAATAGTGAATCCGCAGAGCCGCCCCTTTTTAATCATGGTTACCCAGGATTCATTTGCACGCCAACTATGCAGCTACATAGCTAGACCGCTGTACAAAGAAGGAAACTTAGTCGAGTCAATAAGCTGAAGGGGGAGCCGCCCCAGGGTACTGGTACAACGTTGATGTCCAGCCATTTCGCGAACGGTACGGTGGCAACATCATCCCCTTCATGACCGTTTGGCAAAGCAGTCTCCTTGTTTCAGAGAGCCTGGCAGTATTAATAGACAGTTGACAATAGCCATTGTTGTAGTTACGAGCGTCTCGCACCTCCAATTTCAAAGCGGGAAGCGGACAAGTCTTGTCCAAGGCGGTGAAACATAGGTCCACTCGAATACTGGGAAGCAAGTTGCTTAGCTAGTTCCAGCAACTCTATCATGTGAGCTCTGGCGCCATCTGGCATCTCGATTCGATAGCCCCTCGGACATTTACAGTAGTTGGGGAGGAGCTTGGGAGAGAGCAGGGCAAAGTAGAGTAATGAGGGGCCAACGGCAACGCATCGTCCAGCTGTACGCTGGACGGTAGAAGAATAAAGTGGCTAGGAATTAGTGAGCCGGTGCTATGCACTGGTCTGACGAGCCAAGTTGTGCAGGGGAAAGATGTTCATGAGATGAATCATTGATTTGCACTGGTAGAAAAATGAAAGATGCATTGCGGCTGCTTTGTTTATTATGATTATTGTTTACTCTGGCTTGGCACGGCACAAGCACAGCTCAAGGGTTGGCTTCCTGGGACAGCAGGACGGTGGTCCATTTGACGTGTGTGAAGCAGTCGGACCAGAGTTGTCGAGTGTCAAAAAGAGATTGGTCGTCATCGTGTCCGTTATGCACATCGGTAGGCGCCTCGAATGTGGATAGCAATGTTGACGGTCTTGACGTCCGTGCAAAGTTGGACGTCCGTGCACTTTGTACAATACGCGGTCGCAGTTGCCCTCTCTTTCGCCCAAGCCGCTGGTGCCTTCCTTCTGTAACTTGCCCATCTATCGACTTTCTCGCATTCTTCTCCCGCCTGGATCGCCTGGATTGTTTTGTTTCCCCCAACTTGGTCTTCTAAAATCTCAACATCGCAACGCGAATTGTTTCCCACCACAAAGCCGATCGATCAGCCTCATCCCCGCTCACTCACGCGCCGCGCCGTCGCATACCTCTGTTTACATTTTCGACCAAGAAGACCTCAGCACCACAACGTCGCTAATCTCCATCAATACTCGACTCCTACGATCGCCGTTCTCTCTACTACCACGCCTATCGTCTATCAAAAAAACCCGTCCGAGTGTCGAGGTACACCTGACTGCCGTGTCGCCGATCGCATCTGTCGCATCCATTCTGCACACGCCCTCGCCCATCTAGAGTGGAGCGTGTTGATGGCCACCTAGCTCTGCCAATCGTCTCGCTTCGCGATACAAGCTCTCCGACCTCCACACATACCTCTCGCGCCCAACTTCAACGCGCTCTGTGCCGCTCCGTCCCTCCAGACGATTCGTCATCCCAGTCATGGACTTTGAATACTCTCCCCATCGTTCTGCCGGAGGAACTCTACACCTCCTCTCGCCAACCCATCCACAATACTCGATCGACGCGTTTCCTTCCATCAAACAGATCCGCCGCTCTCTCTCGCGTTCTCCCTCGAAGCCGTCGCGTTATCATCTGGTCTCGAGGTCCCCCAAGAAGTCCCCTCCACGCTCTGGTCTATCGCGAGCCTTGAGTGCAAACACCGGTGCCGATTCTTCCCTGAAAAATAAGCTTTTACTTCGACGAAACGCGCCTGTTCGCGCCAACGTGCGCAAGGAAACACCAAACACTCTTAGACGCGCTCTGAGTGACGCCAGCAGCCAGGCAAACACCACATCCATGGAATTCACGCAACAGCCAACTCCCGGCGACCAGGAAAATGCATACTTGACCTCGCCCACATCAAGACATCTGGAAGTGCCGCGTGATATGCGCTTCGAAGTCGACGATGAGCCTATCAAGTTTGACTTCTTGAAGGGCCGCAACAGCCTGTCGATGGCCATGAACGGGACTCCAGTCAAGTCGAGTCCGCTCAAACGTAGCGATGGAGTCATGAATCTCGACCAGGCCAATCTTGGTAGTCCCAGAGCCAAGCGACGCAGCTTGCACAGTGCCTCACTCAACTACGACTTCGATGTCTTTGAGCAGGCTTTCGAAGGTCATAACAACGACATCAGCGACGATGAACCCACGCCTGTATCGCCTGTGCGTCAGAGATCTCCTCAACGAACCAAGCCTCTCAGTCTTCGAAGGACTACACTTCAGCAACGAGCAGTCGGAGGCCCCCGTGCTAGGCCATTCCCTGAGTTGAGCGAATCTCCAAGTGGACACTCTAAGGCTCGCGCCAGAATGTCTCTCGACGGTTCATTGCCGCTGCGCGGTCTTGAGCCCTCGGTTCATCTCCCTCCTCCCGAGCAGAAGGTCATTTCTCGCTCAGCACCAAAGCCACATCCCCTCTCCAAGGCACTGAGTCCTTCGTCTTCAGCATCAAGTCTCAATGAAGACACGCCTCGTCTATTGCCCAAGCAGCAACAGTTCTCTAGACCCTACCCCGGCTTTTCTAAGAGTCTGCCTATTGGTGCGCTCAGACCAAAGTCGCACGCCGACTCCAGCGATTCGAGCGATTCGTTCGAGACGCCAGAAGCCTACAAGATGGCAAAACCATTGCCACAGGCTTTCATGTCGACCGGCTTGATCTCTAAGCGTAATCGAAATGTCGACCTTCCCCAGTCTTCATTTGGTAGCAGCATGAACATGCCCGACACTCCTTCGAAGAAGACCATGCTGCCCCATATTGGTGGTGGCACACCGGCTCCTGCAGCCAACTTCGGGAAGTTCTCTCGTCCACTGCACGAGTTTGGCTCTCCAACGACTCCTTGGAGCACGCATCCCGTCCAACCATCTCCTGAATCGTTCGGAAAGGGCGTGAACATTTTCGGTCTTGGCTACTCTTCTGTAAAGTCGAACCGACGTAGTAGTTTCCTTAGCATTGCCGACGAAGACATGTCCAAGTCACCTCTTGGCCACATGGATGTACAAGCCAGCGGTGACGAGATGCCGCCAACCCCTACCAAGGCCGCCTCCTCCGGGACCACGACGATTCGACCCACATCGAAGGGTAAGGGTAACAGTCTGCGAAGTTCCCTCTTCGGCCGCAGATCATCGATTGCACCCGACACCTTCAGTCCCCCGGCTTCAGATGATCAGAAGGCAGTAAATGACTGTAAGTTTATTTCCTCAACTACTCCTTCTTCGGAGTCAAAGACAATTGAGGCTTCGACTCCATCTCTTACTCTTACACCGTGTGGCTCGCCATCTTCTCCTTCTTTTGAACAAGCCATGAGCCTCAGGCAGTCTCATCGTAGATCTTGCCCATCTCCTCTTACTCTTCGGTGCCGGGAAATTCCTTCATTTTCTTCTTCTTCTACCTCATCTGCAGGAGATACTGAAGTAAAGCAACTATTAGCAGTCACGCCATCCACCCGTACAAGCTTCACAGACGCAAACATCCCACCACAGACTCCTCAGGAGAGCTTTACTCCACCAGATCCAAGTGGTCTGTCCATTTCTGGAGAGCACCGCGGACCTGTACTGTTTGGTATGAGTGGTTTGCAGAGCTCAAACAGTTTCCCGCCTGCTACCCCAACAGGGCCAAGAGACTCGGGACTCAACTTTGGCGGAAGCGTCAGACCTGGCGTGTTTGGAGCCTCTGTCTCTGGCTTCTTCGCAAACGATGTTGATACAGCACTCACGTCCCGATTCGAGAGTGTTGCAGCCGTTGGCATTGGAGAATTCTCCCAGGTATACCGTGTGTCAAAACCGGTTGTGGGCAGCCCGGCTGCTCGCCACGAGTTTCCACGCAAACTTGGGAACGTATGGGCTGTCAAGAAGTCAAAGAAACCATATCTTGGTGTCAAGGACCGCGAGAACAAGATGAGAGAAGTCCAGGTTCTCCAGGCCCTTCGCGGAAACGAACACATCCTCGATCTTTGTGACTCGTGGGAGTCAAAGAATCATCTCTACATTCAGACCGAGTTCTGCGAGAACGGCAATCTGAAGGATTTCCTCACACAAACTGGATTTAAGGGTAGGTTGGATGACTTCCGCATCTGGAAGATCTTGCTCGAGATGTCTCAGGTATGTGCATACCCTATGCGAAGTTGTTATATCAAATGCTAATCTTCTTACAGGGCGTCAAGTGCATTCACGATGCCGGGTTCATTCACCTCGATCTCAAGCCAGCCAACGTGTTGATTGACTGGGAAGGAGTTTTGAAAATTGCAGACTTCGGAATGGCTACTACATGGCCTGCACCCAGACATATTGAGGGAGAGGGTGACCGAGAATACATCGGCCCCGAGGTCCTCTCTGGCAAATTTGACAAGCCAGCCGACATCTTCTCACTCGGCATGATCATGCTTGAGATTGCCGGGAACATTGTACTTCCCGACAACGGCTTACACTGGCAAAGACTGCGCAGTGGTGACCTCAGCGACGTCCCTAGCCTTACTTGGAGTTCCGAGAATAGTCTTCCCAGGTATGAGTCTGGCGAGCCTATGGTTGACGACAGCGAAGAAACCATCCGATTTGACGATGTCGTCATGGATATGGGCAATCAGCCCGCTTCAGCCCCACACCGAAGGAGGGAGCTGTCTCAACCACCCAACTTCATGATTGACCCCAACGACAGTGAGGCTCTGGACAAAGTGGTCGAGTGGATGATTTGCCCGTCCCCTGAACAGAGACCAGTGATCGACGAGCTGCTCGGTTGCGGTGGAGTCCAGTGGGTGGAACAGAGAAGACGCGCAGGTGCCACCGTTTACGAAGGCAATTGGGGACCAGCAGATGACGTCCTCAATGCCGGTCACGACATCGACATGGTTGACATCTAAGGACGACCATCTCTCGAACGAAGGGTAACAGACCCTCAACACCTACCAAGGCCAACAGGACAAAGGTGGCGACAACAAGACCACTTTCGGAAAGAAAATACACACAAGACTTATGGTCAACGAGTGAGCGGCAACCTCGCTGCCCATGCAGGAGCGTTGTCCTATTCATGACCAAAACATGAAACTTGTATCAGTAACGACAGCACGATTGATTCCCAGGAACCGAGGATTCCATTTTCCTCAACCTCTTCATTTCTCTTTTTTTTTTGCTCTATCTCTATTTTGGTGACGATGAAGGATCATTGTTCACGAGAGATGGCCGGATTGGGCATTATTGTCTTGTTTTCTTGCTCCTATCTCGATTTTCATCTTTGCTCGGCGATTGGTCCAAGTGAATTGGCCCATGGGGTCGATGGCGTTGGTCATGGGATAAATGGCATATTTTCTTGGTTTCGGAGCGAGCGTGTGGTCGGTGACCACGTGGCGCAGGCGTTACAATTGGCATGGGAGCACATGTCGGATGTCAAGGATCATAAGGCGGCAGCATTCATGGAAGCCACAGGCAAGGGGAGAATAGGCGCGTAGCTAAGATGGCGAGAATTGAGTGATATTGAGAAGCTGAAACACATGGGCCTGTGCACCAGTGCTTGTCGACCTGGTGATAATTGATGTTATTCTAAGCTTTGTGTCCAATGACTCTGTTGGGTGAAGAAGCGTAAGATGTGATGAGAGCGACTTGGTGGGACGATAGAGGGCACAATATGCAGCGAGCCATGTCCCATACAAGGGCATGGATTATAGTTTTGTGCAATGCGGGTTAGGCAAGACTGAATTGTTCCAGAAAACGAATGGAAGTCACGGATACAAGGAAGCGATAGAATTCATGGCTGAAGGCGTCAGGATCTTGGCAGGCATGGACGGGATTATGACATGGCTTTCGAGGGCCTTGATTGCAGCACTTGGACTCGCAAAGTGACCCCCTTGCGGCGCCCTCGCTTCTGGCTAGCCCTTTTGCTTTTGCTTCTCGACCAAGGCAACAGCAACCCCGGCTTCTCCACTTCGCTCTCTAGTAGATTGACAGTCGCAAACACAACATGCTGATACCGTCTGTTGTGAGTCCCGTGGAAGAAGCTTGATCAAACTCGACCGCCCCAGTATACTTGTAATGGCCGACAGTCACGAAACGTCTCGAAGCGTGTCCAGCCGGGACAGTAGCCCTGTCACGGTGCGACACGCCTCGTCCACGTCGATATCCTCGATACCTACTCTTCGGAAACAGCCCTCGGCCACCTTTGCCCCCTCTGAAAGCCCCCGCTCATCGAGGAATCCGTCTCCCGTGCGATCCGCCATGCGCCAACACGGCACTCCTCCAGCGTCATCCGTCCAAGGCAGAGCGGGCTTGCTACGCTCCCGTCAGAGCAGCCACGACACCAGTCCTCACCGCACTCCGGCTTTGTCTACGCCCACCTCGGCCCCTTCGGCTGCTGCCATCCAGCGTGCCCTCTCTGCTGCCAGCATTCCGCAACTCCAGCAGACGCAACAGTCTCAATCTCCCAACTCCGTCACCGACGCTGTCACTCGTCTTACTGCTCAGAAACGTCCCATTGCTACAGCCTCTGGCGAGAGCACCCCGACCTTTGCGCCACCCTCGCCTCGACTAAAGTCTCCTCCTCCTGTGTCTGTTCGCTCTCGCAGGAATTCCGCGTTGGTACAAAATCAAAAACCTGCTCCTCCTTCCATTGTCGTCGAGCCTTCGTCAACACCTTCCGAACACTCAGTCCTGAATGACGCCCTTAGAGAGGAGCCAATACAGCTCCAGCCCCCTCCGGGCCCAAAGGCTCCGTCGAGAGGCCCGAGCGGTCCGAGACCTGTGCTTGAGACTGTTGTAGAGAACATAGCGCCCAACGGTAGCACCAGCTCAAAAGGGTATTGTTAAACTGCTGGAGTCAGCATGCAGCACATAAGCTTACGTGGTATGCAGGACCAAGGCGCAATCTGATGAGGATGGACCTTCGACTATCCGTGCTAAAGCAAAAGATAACAATAATGGAGAAGCCTCCTCTAAACTCGCAGAGAGCGAGAGCGACGCTAACATGAGTGACGGTCGGGGTCGCAGAACTAGCCAGAGCTCGACTATCCGTCCCAAAAATGTCGCCGCCATCAAAGCAGTATATCCAGGTCTCGGTTCTAAATCACGCGCTTCAGAAGGCACTCGAAACATGACTGTCGAGACCGAGACTGTCAGCTCTATTCCTCAGTCCCAGATCGCAACCATCGATCGCTCCACCCTAGGAAGACCTGATTTGGGAGGCTCTCTTCGCATGAAGCCTAGCACCGAAACGATACGACCAAGGAAGGAGAGAAAGCGAGCGACGCGTAAAGCGCCCTCGATTAACAACGGAACGGGTGTGTTTAATCCCCCATTGCATTTGCACCATCGTTCGTCTGTTGCTTCGTTTTCTTCCCATCGCAGAAACATGCCCACATCATCTAGCGAGGCTTACCCTTCGCTTGATTCCACCGATGATTATGAAGACACGCGCTCAGAATCCTCTTTTGCTCATTCGCCTCGTCGCGTTTCTGCTTTTCGTCGCGCTGCTCTAACTTATGTACCATCACACAATACTAACGCATCCATCCGTTCAGCCTCTTCAAAGGCCGATATATTCGAGGCCAGGGTCGCAAGTGCCGTCGATGAAGCAAACTCTTCAGACTCGGACGAGACATTTGTCTACGAATCCAACCCTCCGGAACCACAGCACAGAGTCAGCCGGCATCATTCGCGTACACCCAGCGGAACATCTCTCCACAGCCAGAGTGACTTTCGACACGGGATGCGACCTTATGGCGACCACCGTATTGCTGGCAAGCGGAGCATGAAGTTCTCTAATAATCCTTATAGCGTCTTGGACAGCCCGGAAGCCATGGGTGATGGCACAGTCCGGGCACATCATGCCAGACACATTGGTAGATTCGGACGCCCTGGCGGCAGCAGCCGTACTTCTCTATATGACCAGGACTCGCCGTTCACCCAGGCTTCCAAATTGCGCAGTACTACCTTGTCCGTTTCTGAGCGAGCACCTTCGCGGCCAGGCACACCGCGCAGCACGCAGAGCGCTCAACATCGACCTTCGGGCCTATTCGGCAAGAGGAATGACAACTCGCAATACGACTTTGAAGGTGAAGGCGCCGATGACGAGCGTACACCCATGTTGGGTAGCGTTAGGACACCGAGGAGTCAACGAACCTACGGCAGACGATACAACAGCGACAACAGTATGCGCTCGATCGACTACTATGGCGTCAGAGAGCCGCGCTCGCGATTCAGCAGAGTCGGAGGACTTGTACTCGGACTTCTGGTAGTCATGATGGTGACGATGGGTGCTGTTGGATTGCTGGTCATGTTCAACAAACCCTTGACCAATTTCCATGTGGACAAGATCCAGAACGTTCTCGCAAGTGAGCAAGAAATCATGCTGGACTTGCTGGTTGGAGCCGTCAATCCTAACATCCTAAGCGTGACTGTTACGGATATGGACGTTAATATATTTGCTAAAAGCAAGTATGTCAACCCCATCGGTAGAGACGATGGTACCGTACTAGCAACAGCTCAGCGACGGCGTCTGGTCGCCAAGGGTGAGGCAGGCGGTACACCATGGCAGGACGAACATGGACACTGGCACGCAGGCTCAGGAGTGGACCAAGGCACAGACCCCATCGAAGGCGACTCGCAAACCATGCTGCTCGGCAGGATCCTACACTTCGATCAAGCTCTTTGCTTTGAAGGATCACCACTCAAACGACACACGCACTACTCGTTGGGTGAGCTTCGTCTTGGACATCCTGGGAATAAAACAGAGAGCGGCGGATCGGAACGATGGGAAAGAGTACTCCAATATCCCTTCGAACTCATCCTACGAGGAGTGCTGCGGTACCAACTACCGATGAGCAACAGACACCAGACAGCGGCCATCGGTGCCAGTGTAATAGTACATCCCGAGGACCCTATAGACAGCCACGGACGTATGCGTCTCGAAAGTGTAGACGACAGCGAGGATTGGCAATGGATAGAAGGTGACTACTTGGACGGTGTCGAAGGATTCATGGCAGAATTGCACTAACTAGCTGCATCTCTGTCATTGTAGTCGTCTAGACTTTTGTTCTTTTTTCTCAAGATTTTATGACTTCTTGACGTTTTAGCATTTTGGAGCGAGTGGAGGGTATTTGATTATTCCTCTTACGGATGGAAGTTTTGTTTTATTGATTGAGTATGGGATCGGGCAAGCATACAATGGGAAAGGGCAGCGGTGTACGATGACGAGCTGGAACAAGAGATGGGGGATTGGCTCAAGCCATGTATTGAACTTGTACATGAACAGTTAGCTAGCCGTGTTGAATGATGCACGAACTGTTTGAACTTTTCATACATCTGATCCAAAACAAGTGGCAAGCAAAGATGAGGGCATTCTTGGTAGGCATGGGATTCTGTTCAGCAGCGTCGGCGGGCCGCAGAGCCTCGGTCACTCTCTCCGGACTTCAGTTCGTGGAGTCGCACATGTGCATGGCGTAAAAGGAGACACTTAGCGACTGACAACAAAAGACCACCGACATCATAATATCAGCATTTCTATTGTCGCGGATTTGAGCAGATTTCAACGACACCAATTATGACTGGACTTGCGTGAGTGACCGGCCCACGACTCGCACGACCGCGCCGAGCGCGTCACACTGGCAACCAGGACGACGACATAGCACGTAGACACAGCAGCCATGGACGGCCCAGATCTCAGTCGCATCGAGTCGCTGGACTCTATCAAGATGCCGACGCCGTCAAATATGCGCACCGGCGTGCCACGTATCGACACGGAGCCAATGTTCACTGCTCTGAGAGCGGCCATTGGGGAGTCTTGGTCAGAGTACAAGTCGACCTTTTCCTCTTTCTTCCTAGGTAACTAGCCTTCTACCGGCTTGTAGTCGCATGCGCTGACTCTTTCGAATCTAGGCAAACTCAACCAGGCCGAACTTTCACAAGTCACAGATCGACTCCTCTCCTACGCACCGAGCGTGTTGTACAACGGTGCCCTGGTCTCGACTGTCCACCTGCACAACAAGCTCTTTGGTGCCCTGCATTCAAACATATACCGCGATGCTCCTCCGGAACCCGTCGCATCATGGGTACTAGCAACCGATGCCCCGGCCTCGGCCAGCGCCTCCAAATCACTTTCACAAGGTGGTGGTGACAAGGCCGAAGAGAGATTGAAACGCGAAGTCATGGCTCTCTCCGCCCGCGACAGGAGGAGGATAAAAAGTGCAAAGGACAATCTCCCTGCTGTTCCGCGATCCGGGCCTTTGCGAGAAAACGCTACCTACGCAACCGCCCTCACAGTCCCAGTCACTTCCTCCCAAATACCAGACGCCATACCCACCACAGCGACCTCCCTCAGCAAGACAAACTGGGATCTAGAAATCAGACGACGATACGCCGTGCCTCTGGCATCAGAAACCCTCGACTTTCCCTCTCGCGCAGATATACAAGCACGTATTGAACCAATCTGCTACGAAGAAGGCGTGGGCTTGTCTGCAGTACCCATGACTTCCGCCGCCTTGCAAGCAATAGCCGAACTTGTAGAAACAGCCACAGAAACATATATCAAAGAACGCCTTACCGAATTCTTCTCCACGACACGCTCAAACGCACCTTTCGACCTCGGACCCACGACTGCAAGATTCAGAGCACAGATGCGGAAGGAGGAGGAAGCCATTGATCGTGGACAATTGGGGAGAAGTGCGGCTGGCTTCTTACCTTGTGAGCAAGATGCGCTTACACGGAGGGAACCCTTGTCTTTGGACGAGGTACGCATGACTTTACGTCTCAACGATACAAGATTACGTCTCGATCCCTTCTTGGCCCAGGAAATCATGGATGGTGTGGAGATGGACATGGTGGATACACCCATGGCCATGACGAATGGTGATCATGACCCTATGGACACCAAAGATGCGGACGTCGATGCCATGATGACTGATGACGACGACATGGGTGGATGGGAGGGTGCGACGGCGGCGGACAGAGATGTGCTATTCGGTGTCTTGGACTTTGTACTCGCGCCTGGGGGGATGACGTAGAATGCCTCTCAGCAAGAGATCAAGCTACCAGACACCATCGCAAAAACTGCTACATCTATACCCGAGAATGAGCTGCCAGATGCCAGCGACAAAACCCGCTGTATCTATACCTAATAACATCTCCATCGCCAAAAAAGATGGCCATTTCACCCGCACTCGGAGCATCAACACAAACCCCCTTCCAAGCACCAGGCTAAGCCCACAAGCACCACCAAACCCACCATGGCCTCACGCACAAAACCCAACCACACGCTTCATCAACACTATGACTACCTTATACACACTCCCCCAAGCGAACCCAAGCGACGTCTCATGTGGTCTTTTACCCTGGAAACAGCCTGCGAGCTGTCTCATCTGTGGCTCGAAACGCATGTATCAGACAAAGAGCAAGGTTACGTGGGCATATGGAAAGATACCATTCTTTTTTTTTGATCTAGATCAACAAATTCCTTTTTTTAATTGCAAGAAAATGCTATTGATGAAAGAAACATGAGAACGGCTATCGGGATGGTCGATGAGGACCTTTCCCAAGTTGTGGTTTGGTCATGTGTTGGTTGATCTGGATTTGTGGAGTTTGATGTTGTACAGATGTTCGAGCTCTGCGCCTTTGGATCAAGCAGATATGAAATGTTGATAAACCGCTTTCAACCTTGTACGAAGTCACAGTCTCAATGTCGCGGTTGTCGCAAGAGACATTTTCGACAAGAAGGTGGTCGAAAATGTAGAGCAGGGTCTGACCTCCAGCAAGAAAACATTCAACCACGATCTTTTTTCCCTCACCACTATACCCACCACCCAAATCAAGGTATCATAGATGGCCAAAAAAAAAAACAAGCTGTGCGACATCTCAGATCTGCGGTTGAGTATAGGATTTGGTGGCTTAGGGTTAGGAAAACCAAAAAGTAGAAGGTGCACAAAAACATACAGCAGCAGGGATTCCCACGTGGTCACCCACCGTAGCACTAATCTGCCGTTCAACTGCTTATGTATGGCAGAGCGGACGGGATGCCCAGTTTTCAGCTGACTGTGGCCGTATGTGCTTGAAACAAGATTTCGAAGAATTATTATCCAAACACATGATAGGACATGTCTGTCTAAGACCGCGAATCCTACTTCCCGTGCTGCTGTCGTTGTCCTCGAGGTTGCAGGACTGCTTCTTGCACTCTACATGGCCCTATGCAACTAGTAGAGATAACGACGATTGACAAGCATGCGGTTGCTACAGTCATGATAGATTTCTCTTCTTGACGGCATCGCACACAAGTCTAGGTAGACACTCAGAAACACCGCAACACCACGCTGCTCATGGCCGGCATCATCAGTCTCTCCACTGTCGGCACAATCATCATATCGACCCTCTGCGCCACCTCTCAAGCCTGAGAACGTAAGTCCCCCCACCCAAACTCTTCCACTCCCATCCACAACTCCACCATCTAGTCACTGCCTATGACAACACCAGCGGCTACTGCGACCCCAAAGGCAACACCCGCTACCGCATAATCTCCGGCGCCTCCACCCTCGGAAAATGTATGACCTTCGACCGCGACATGCCCGGCACGGGATGTCGCGAATACACAAGCGGTGGCGGCTCCAATGGTTGCACCTCTGGGTCTTTTATTCCTAGATCTGTGTATTTGCGTGGTGGGAGGTGTGTTGTGTTTGGTCAGCCTGATTGTCAGGGAAGGTATGGGGGATACTGGCCGTCCGGCTAATGGATGCTTGAGCTTTTCAAATTATGATGGTTGGGGCCCGATTAGCTCATTTTTGATGTGAGGGTTGTGAGTATCTTCACCTTCGTGACTGCTTTGGAATTTGAGTTGACTTGTTCGATCTAGAGGAGTGGGGGTGTAAGAGGCATCGGTTGCAGAAGAGTGGTCGAACAGGTAGTTGGGCTTGTCTGATACTTGATGATAGTTGTGTCATACTCGTTGGCCTCGTACTTCGCGCGTTTGTTTCCCGTAGCTCAGTATGGTTTTCGAAGCCTGTGAGGTGGCCGCAGCCAATCTGTGTGACCAATTCTCTCCAGGCTCACTCGCATGTCAGCTGTCTCGGAACCAGGCTAGAAAGTCACAGAGCATATCTTTTGAACGCGACAGATCAATGAGTGGCATTTTGAGGTCACAGTTCTGTCCTGAGAAGCCATATCGTCCTCGTCGAATCTCATAAGCTGCAAGGTCAGAGGGCAGAACATAGAGAAGTCAAGAGACAAGCAATAGTGGGAAGTATTCCAGACAGACACCCAGATAAAAAAAAACCGTCTCTACAAAGTAAGCCGCACCTCTGATTTGAAGCTTGAAAGTGATATGACAATGGTTTTCCAGTTGTTCAACATGCAGCCAAGAGTCAAGCATCGTCATCGTCCTCCGACGTTTTAGCTTCGGTGTCGGCATCGACTCCGGCTCCCCCTGCCGGCTCATTCGACATCCTTTCCTGCCTCCTCTCCCTGCGCACCAACTCAACCTCCATTCTCGTCATATCCTCGGGAACAATACCTTTTAATCCGTTGTCGTCGACGTCAAAGTATAATGCCCATTCCCCCGGTCCGTACCGCACTGCCATGAATCCCTCCCATCCAGTCAACATGACTCTTCGGTCCATCTTGGTCACGTCCCAGGGTCCGATGATGTGATGCTCAGATTCAGCTCGGTTGCCGTGTTTGACTTCGCAGGTATCCCGATCTACGTATATCCAATTCAGTTGAGGCGGGTCATTTGAAATTGTTGATACCATGCCCTCGCCCTGTCGTCCCCAATCATGATCGGGATAGGGAAGGAAGTAGCCCGCGAAAGGATGGTCCTCTGGATGACCGTCTGGGAACTCCTCCGATGGTACGTTGAGATACAACTGGTTTTGCTCCGTCAGCATCCATAGATGTGGAGTATGGCTCAATCGAGCCTTGAACTTTGGGGAGGCTGTTCATACCTTGTTTTCGCTTAGCACCACCTCGCATCCATCAATCTCACGGCCAGCTTTCGTGACGCGCGAACATGCCACTGCAAGGTTCGTCTTCAATCCTCGATGTTTCTCGCGAGCGTTTTGTTTTTGGCCCTGGCGTACTGCCTCTGTAGTTCCGATGATGGCAGGGCACGCGGCGATGGCAGTCAAGATGCCCAGTACCATGATGCCAGACGGGACTTCGACCAGACTTACGGGTTAGAATAAAGACGGTCTAGGGTCTCGTTCTATATAAACCTGTTTTCGGTAAAGGGTCCGAGGGACTTTGACATCTCACGCTTGGGCCGGATGTGGCTATTCCGTGCAGATGCATGCATTACGCACCACCTCGAGTTGAAGCAAAAGAAACCTGATTGATGTCCGGAATAATATGGCTCTTGGTCAGAAAAATTGAGGTGCCCTGCGGTCATCGGTATTGTGAATCATAAAAGAAGAGTCTAATCTGACTTGAATCACACAACCACACGCTCCTCCTCACTTTACAAACAAGACCTTGACAGCCACGACGACTTTGTCCACTACCTATCGAAAAAATACAAGCATGTCTTCAGGGTACATCATACTTCCCATAGCACAAAAGGTCGTGCATCAAACACTGACCTCACTCCCCAGAGCCCCCACCCAAGAAGCCACCAACAACACCACCTCGCCCTCCCCCACCTCCCGCCCCAAACCCTCCAAACTCGGCCAAAACAAAAACACCCAACTCCAAAAGCAACAAGCCCCCGCCTCCGACGAAGACTCCGAACAAGAAGAAAAACCAGAACTAGCACCCAAACGAGCCGGTGGCCGCCGCATGGTCCCAGTGCATCAATCACGCATCACAGACCGCCCTGCCAAAGTCGGCGAAAAGGACAGTTCGCTCAAGATCAAAATCGAGTTGGATTTGGAAGTCGAGGTAGAGATATATGCAAGAGTCAAGGGTGATGTGACGATAGGGCTGATGTAAAATTCCAATTTTTAGGTTGAGATTTATGCACGTGTCAAGGGAGATGTGACGATTGGTTTATTGTAAGGGTGAGTCCTTTTTTCTGTACTGAGGTACGCTTGGGGACGGGGCGCAAGGCTAATGGAGTGTAGGACTGCTGAGCCGTGATCGTTATTTGTTCGAGGGTACAGGTCATATATGTGCGTATGTTGGACCAAGTAGTTGGCACTCTGCTCCTCAGTAGCTTAGCATATTCTTCTGGAGAATGTCGTCAAAGTCGTTAACATATACCAGATGCCCTGAGCTCAGTCTTATATCGATCCTGCAGTGTAAAGCCAAAACCTGTGCTCACAAGAAATCAATGATTAACATGAGACTCTAGTGTGGTAATTCAGTGGAGCCTCTATCGTAAGACTCCAGCAACCTGTTTTGATAAGCAGCCCTTATCGAACCCCGCAAGCTACAAAGTCAAAGATCGGAAGTACAGCATAACACAAGAAAGAACATCCTAAAGATAAAAGATAAGCAGCAACAGTATTTGTATTGAGACATTAGAACAAACGACTATCTCAGAAAAGTGACCAGCGAAAGTAGAGAAGTAGGAAGACAATGTTGACTCATCAAGAGCCAACCCTGACAATAGGAGCTATTGATCTCGAATAGGACAAACGCGTATACGGAACCAGTCGGAAGGAGTCACACCAATCATTGGAAACCGATGTTGGCGGCAAAGTCACCAGTAAGAGGGATGAAGCTCGAATCACCGAGTCTCAGAGACCAGTAGGCCTCACCAGTCAAAGCCAACTGAGGGTGGATGAAGACGTTGTTGAGAGTAGCGCCCCAAGAGTTCTTAGCCGAGCACTGGAGAGTAGTAGTACCACTGCAGACAACAGGAATATATCCATTAGCCTTGACCTTGTTGGCAGGGAAGAACATGACAGTGTATGCGAGACCGGTACCAGGGAAGAAGCTGTTGTAGACGGCCATGATGTAACCGTACTTCTTGTCCTTGAGGTGGCCAGTGGAGGGATCGAGGACGAAGCCGGGGGTAATGGCTTGACCGTGAAGGAAGGTGGTGTAGTCGTAGTAGTTGACATAGGCGTTAGAGTAGCCTGAGCCAGCAGTGGCAGAGTCGAACTCGATCTCCTGACCATCAGCACTGGTGCCAGAAGAGGTCACGCGGAGCTTCGCATCGGCGACTGCAGTGGCGGAAGCCTTAGCTGTAGACGATGTAGAGGATGCAGCCGATGATACTACAGACGAGCTGGTAGATGTAGCACTGGCTGTGGTAGTCGAAAATATCGTGGTGATAGTAGTCGAGGTGGCGAGGGTGGTCGTCTCGTTGATAGTAACGGTCGACGCAACTGTAACTTGACTGAATTGCATCGAACAGGCGGAAGAGATGACAGTAGCAGGGTACTTGGTCAAGACAGCGGGAGTCGAGACATCACGCTTGGCAGGTGCAGCGTCATCAGAAGCTATGGAGTCAACAGGAAGGTACCATGTGACGTTCTTGTTGGAGTCAAAGACAGCAGCGATGGCGTTGGTAGAGTTGGTGGTAAGGCCAGGGAAGTACTCAGACTCGTCACCATCGTCACGCTTGCGCATGGCGGGTGCGGTCACTGTGGCGTAAGAAGTAGAAGTGGCAACAGGAGCAACTGTGGTAGTTGCTGTCACTCTCACGGCAGGTGCAGTAGAGTAGCCAAGGTAGGCGGAGCAGAAAGGCTGGAAAACCGAGCTCAATTGGGCCGGGTCAGACTTCATCTCTCCAGAGGCCTGATAGACGGCACCAGTCTTGTCACCGGTCTTGGGGTCGATGCTAGCACCAGAAGTGCTGACGTAACCATAGCTGTATTCGATGATGAGCTTGCCACTATATTGAGTGTTAGTTTGTCATACGGAAAGCCCACTTAACGGACAAGCTTACCTGCTGGTGGATGATCCAATAGAAGTGGCGTACTTGGAAGCCCAAGCCTCGGTGTACAGAGTGCAATACTGTCCCTGAGGGTGCTTGTTGTCGTTCAGGTTGATAATGTAAGTGTTGAAGAATTGGCACTTCTTGGCTGGTGTGCCATCAGAAGAAGGGTTATTGATGGCGTACTGAGTCTGAGCGTCGCAAGCTGCAGCACAAAGTCTGGCATCAAAGGGTCCGGTGAAGATCTTGCTGGTGATGAAGGTGTTGTAGCCTTGTGCATCAAGGGGGGCATCGATAGCCTTGGTACCATAGTAGATGGCATCAGAGTAGCCTGCTGGAGCAGCAAGAGTCTTGTTAGTGTAGCCGTTTGATCCAGCGATCAAGACCTGGAACTTGTTGCGGTACTGTCTGTACGTTCAAAGTTAGCTTCATGTGATACCGATGGTCATGACAAAAGTTTTTACCCGTAGTTGTTGGCGTTGGATTGTGATACCGGACCTCCCTAAAATTGCAGTCAATATCATAACACTTTGTAGGATCGGCTCGTAATCACCCAAAAGACGCATTTGATGTATGTAACACTGGCGGGGTTTTCGCAGCCAGATGCTCCCGAGCCAGGATCGACACTAGGGTCTCTCTCGAAGTAAAGGTTAAAGGAAAGGCATCCATAGATAGCGTCTAGAGTGGGGTGATCAGCAAGATCTTCATATGTCGATCAACGATTGCAGCTTACTGCACTTGGCAGCACACTTTGCGGTATCAAAGGTGCTGAGGGTGGTGAAACCAAGATAACCATAGGCGCTGGAAAAAGGTCAATACCGATTCAAATCATATGTTGATTACTCCAGTGGCATACTTGTTAGAAGCGTTGGCGTTGACAAAGGTATTTGTGTAGCCCGAAGGAACAGGTGCGCTTGAGGCCACCGAAGCGAAATCCGAGTTTGAGGCAAAGGCAGCAGGAGTGTCGGGAGAGTAAGTTGGGGCTCCAGTAGCACCAGCAGCTAGACTGGTACAGGCAGCTCCTCTCTTCTCGATGGCTGTAGCGGTTGCAGCCACATCACTGGCGACCGAGGTAGCTGGAGCAGTGGCTTGAGCGACCAGAGAGGTGAAATCGTAAGAGACAACTTGAGCAGTGGCTCCGACAGCAGGGTCATAGGAGATAGGTTCGGGGGCGGCGAGGACCATGTTAATATCGATCTCCTGAGGGCGAGCGGCAGGCATGGCAGCCGCCATGGCGGCAAAGCCTTGAATAGCGAGTGTGAGACGCATCGTGCGTGTTGGAGAGCTTCTGTATGGTAGACCAAATGATGCTTGAGGAGTTCGAGCATTAGGTATAGATGTATGAGGTGGCTTTTATAACACTCTTCACTACACTTTTCATCATTACCAGTTGCGCAACTCGATCCGTAACCACAAAGCCCATACCACGATCGTTGGTAAAACTGTCAGCAATAAGGAGCCTAAGCATGGCATTAGCGAAGCTTAGGACATAGTTCTTTGACGTTTCGAGAACCAGGAGACCAGCGGCGTGCTTGGGCTCGCGTCATAGGATACCATCTCCTGATCGTAATCTGCTGAGTGCGGTACTTGACTTCCATTGTCCAGTAGGATTTAGCCGGTATAGATGGAGCCAGCTACGCACGGCTCTGTCTCTTGCACGAACTATTGGACGTGTACACGCTAGACATGCATGTGAGAACCTACAGAAGGTGGTATACCATAAGGGGGACAAGCCATGCCGAGAGGAAAAAGCATGACTGACTCTGGTGGACAGGAGAGTGTAAGGTCCGAGCGACGGATAGCGCTGTCCTCCCGCAGCCATGTCGTCGGTATATCTTCCAAGCTCTTTCAACCACCCCGGCCGTAAGCGACTGGCCAAAGAGTGACTGCTGCTGTTTTCAACGAGACTTGAGACTCCTACAGGACCCTCAGCAGCGGTATTCCCTTGCTGTCGAGAGCTGATGTGCATCGCGCTTGTGTCGCGGAGTATTATTGAGAGCAAGCCCTCGGTCCGACGAAGTCTAAGGCGCCACGGGAGGGGCTGGCGCCCAAGCAAGAGGCTGCGAAAAGAAGCATCGTATAACCATCGAGTACTCCCAGTAGGACAAACGGAACATCGAAGCGATCCGCGGTGCTCGACGTCCGGCACTTGCAAAGAGTTCGGTCCATGTCAGCATACACCAGACTAAGGGTTGGCAGACCACGGCACAGGCATAGCTCCCGGACATGAGTAACAGCATGAGGTCGGATTCGTGACGAGTTGTTGGACATGGCAGCCAGCAAGCTAGCCGCAACGGCTTTGCAGGATCTTCGCTGCGGGAGATTTTCAAGACTTACGACAATAGCGTGTCCATGATAGACGATGACCTTATCATCGCTGCAATAGCTATACAATGAGCAGTTGGGCTGTTCTCCACGATTGTGGGAGTTGTTGATTAGACGCACCTGCTGTTGGCACTTTGAAACCTGTAGGGGTGTGCTGGATCCCTCAGTTTTGAGACATCGCCGTGTTTATTCACAAGATCTTTTTTTTAAGCAGTAAGCTTAAACTTTCAAGGTTCGCTCCTGCTAAAAGACCAGAGGCGTCAACAAACTTCAGCCCGCCCGGTTCCTACATAAGCGTCCCAGAGGTGGAAATTGCCTATTACGTGCGTACATGCAGAAGTGACAACCAACGCTAACTCGACATCAACGTCGATGTCTACTCGTGGGCCGATTGTGGTATACCGTGCAAAGGTGCGTACGCATTGGGCCACAGCGGTAGGTTCGTGGCTGGCATGGCGCCCTGCTTTCGCCTATACCTTCGTTTCCAGACTAGTCTTCGGTTGCGCGAGTCGTCAACTCGTTCGGCATCGAGCACTTGATTCATCGGGATACAACGCTCGTCGTGCAAGAAAAAGAGAAGTGGAAAGAATGGGTAATTGTGAATACATATGCCTAATTCTAAACGACAAAACACCATGGCTAATAACATCCCACATGCAAATCGAGGTCCCACGTAACAAGAAACACCCATCAGAATCCATCCAGCTTTTTAATTGAGGACAAGTCTACTCGTCGTCGCTCTCATCTTCGCTCTCGCTGCTTTGGTCAACGGCCATGACATCGCCGTTCTTCTCCACATCTTCGTTAGCAGGACTTGACACCTGGAGCACAGGCATCATGACATCGAAGCCACCAGTACCAATTCTTCCAATCTTGCCGACGACAATACGCCCGGAGGGACCGCTGAGGTCGTCGAAGTCTTCCTCCATGACTGCATCGCGAAGAAAGCCAACAGTGGTCTCGAAACTCATCTTCATGAACGGCGAAGTGTTGCCCTTGATACCTTGACGGGAGAAGGCTTGGTAGCCACCGCCACGGGTCATGTAGTCGGCGATGAGGTTCAAGTGGCGCTGGTCAACACTGATACCGTGACCACCGAAGACACCAGATACCTCGCGGACGATGGACGCACGGCAAGCCTCTACACCGTACAAGCGGAGCATGGCAGCGATGTCATTGGTGAAGAAACGGTTGGGGTTCAAAACGTCCTGGTAGGTGCGCATGGCCATAAGGTTCTCACCATCAGTCGTAATCACATCGACATCGCTTTCTTTGCCAGTGTTCATGTCCAGGAAGTTCTTTTCCTCCATCACCGTGCAGGCACCAAGGCCAGGAACTGATTGAATGAGAGCGTCGCGAGCACAGTTCTCCACCAAGTTGAGCATGAGAAGCTTGGCGGTCTCTGCAGCATATTCGATGGTGAAGGTGCATGATGCACCAGTCTTGTCGTCGAATTTGAATGCTGAGACATCGTTGGTGTATTTGTTGCTCTTGATGCGTTCCTCACGCTCCTTTGAGTTGTAAGCAACCTTCTTGATGCTGGCTTCGGCGTCATCCATGTCGGAGTCGGAGTCGTCGGAAGTGTTGGGGCTGCCAACGAAGCCCTCGTCTTCTTGCTCCTCAGGTGTAGTCTCACGACGACCACGAGCTACGATAGCCTCTTCCTCGTCATCGGGATCATCGTAACCGCCTTGAGTCTTGTTTGACTTGGCCTTGTCACGAGTAGCGTCGTCATCGCCCTCGTTGTCAGAGTCGTCGTCGCCACCCTCGCGTTCACCCTCGGGGCGTCCAGATTCTTGCTCGATAGTACCGGCAGACTCGCCAATCTCGGGCATGGCATCAGACTTTTTGAGGGTCTTCTGGTCGCCCTTCTTCTTAAGCTCCTTGCGTACGATGGCCTGGAGTCTGGGAAGGAACTTGGTCTCGATGGTGCGAGCAACATCCTCGACAGTGATAGCGTACTCCTTGGTGTACTCCTCAGAGGGATACATTTGCAGGCGGACGGTGTAGGATTTGGCCTGCTCATAGGCGACACCTCTTCCAATCTTCTCGGTGACCGAGACCTTCTCAAGAGTCTCAGCGAGACTAAGTCTGCTAATACCTTTGGCAAACTGTTCGCTTTGCTGTTTGGTGATCTCAGGGTTGATGTGCAGAGTCATGGTAGGCGTACCGATTGTGGCACTGGCTGTCATGACAATTTCACGCAGACGAGGAATACCAAGTGTGACGTTCTTTGCAGCGTGACCAGCCAAATGGAAAGTGTTGAGTGTCATCTGTGTAGAGGGCTCGCCAACTGACTGACCAGCAACAACACCGACAGCCTCACCAGGCTCGACGATCGACTTGAGGTAACGAACGTCGATGATGGCCTGGAGACTCTTCTTAGTTAAGCCAGAGACACCTTCAATGTTGCGCTTCTTGTCCTTGATGAGCTTGTCGGGGTTTTCGTCAATGTACTTCTTGGCATCGCGCATGAGTTTCTCAGACGTGCTACCAGCGAAGCGTGCGGGTGAGTAGATCGACAGAGCAGGGTCACTGGCTCCAAGATCGCCGGTCTTCCTGTATTTCTTTTCGGCACTCCTGTTGTACTCAGAAGCCTCGACGCTCATGATACGGCCGAACTCCGACTTGATGCCAAGGTTGTGGAACATGGACATGTGGTTCTCGGCGATGAACTTGAAGTCTGAAAGGTACTTGGCCTTGCCAACATCTAGACCATCTTCACCGTAGATGAATTGGATGATGGATCCATCGGCATCGCGAACCGTGGTGTCGTACTCAGACTTAAGACCCTCCATACCCTTGATCAAACATCTCTGCAAGTATCCGGATCTGGAGGTCTTGACAGCAGTATCAATCAAACCTTCTCTTCCAGCCATGGCGTGGAAGTAGTATTCTTGAGGTCTGACACCAGTCAAGAAACGATCAACGATGTAACCGCCTGCTCTGACACTTGTCTCAAAAGGCTTGAAGCAAGGCAAAGTCTTACCACTGACCATGACGGGGACTCTGCGTCCTTCCAGAACCTGTTGACCAAGGTTACAAGAGATCTGGTTGGCGTTGACACCAGAGCCCTTGGCTCCGGAACCAGTCATGGCTTGCATTTGGTTCTTGGGGAAAGGCTTGACCAGACCAGCAGGCAGACAGGTACTTGTAACGTCACCTGAAACCTTTGCAGTAGCTTGGTTCATAACAGTATCAAGACCAGCTTGCTTTCCGTCTTCGCGGAGGACTGCTTCGAGACGCTTACGCAACTCGGGATCATTGGAGTCTGGGCTCTCGCTTTGTAGAGAGACGTACTTGGCAGCAGTTCCGAGACCAGCAGCGTTTGACTTGCTGAGGGCTTCTCTTCTCATGCTCTCGCCCTCAGGAGTAAAGATAAGATCTTCAACACCACATGAGAAGGCGCGCATGTGGAGCATCTTGGTCAAGAGACGACCGAGAACACTCATGAGCTTTCCAGCAATAGTATGCCCGTAAGCTTCGTAGATAGCGTTGACGACACCGCCACCACTTGGTCCTATCTGTGCTTTGTCCAAAATACCGCAGAGCAGTTCACCGTCCTTGAATATGATGACCTGTTCCTCTGAGTTGGTACCCCACTGCTTAGCAGCAGTGGACGACTTGGAGGTCATGGTGAGTCCGGGGAAGTCCTCAGGGGTGAGGTTCTTGAGAACAGATGAGACGACCTGCTTACCGGTCCAGAGCGGGTAAGGCTTTCTGATAGCAGGTGGCACAGTTTCGACACGTCCCGAAGTAGTGTGGTTGTTCTCTGGTCTGAGACCGGCGTACAGCAGTTGGTGGTAGTCCTCACGGCCGAAGAATGTGTCGCGGTTAGTCAACCAGACACCCATCGAAATGTGATCTTGAATCAGACCACGAAGGGGCTTTCCAGCGGTTCCTGATAGATATTGATGATCGTTATCAGCAATGCTGATAGCTTCGGATCTGGCAAGCTCATTTTGAGGGAAGTGCAAGTTCATCTCGTCACCGTCGAAATCGGCGTTGTAGGTGTTACAGTTGGCGTAGTGCATACGCAGAGTCTTCTCGCCAGGCAGAACGCGAGCTCTATGACACATCATCGAGGGCTTGTGAAGTGTGGGCTGTCTGTTCATAATGACAATATCACCATTGTTCAGATGGCGATGAACCTTCTTGGTCTTCACACCACTGACATTGGTGCTTGAGGGAGCTTGAAGTTGATTGGCAAGGGCGGTACGCTCTTCGGCGTTCTTGATCTGCAAGTTGATGACTTGGCCATTCTCGTTCTCGATGGCAACAGCACCTGGCCAGACGTAAGGTCCGTTAATGACAGCTTGTCTGAGGTCGTTGTAGTTGTGATCGTTGACGGGTTCAGGGTAGGTCAGCTTTAGGGCGAACACAGGTGGCACACCAATCTCGTTGGTCTCGATGTTCGGGTCAGGCGAAATGACGGTACGGGCAGCGAAGTTGACACGCTTTCCCATCATGTTCTTTCTGAACAGACCCTCCTTCTTTTCCAAACGCTGCTTGATACCATCTTCGTTTCTCTTGCCAGCGCCACCTTGTACAGGGTTGCGGTCACGATCCAGAAGTGAGTTGACACCATCCTGGAGACGAATCCAAGCGTCCTGGAAGTCGGCGTAGTTCCTCGGCCGTCTAGCGTACTCGTTCTGGAGGAGGCCGTTGAGCTCCTTGTGGATCTGTGTCATCTGGTCGCAAACGTTGATGATGTTCTTGTAGAGGGAGTTCTCCTGGGCTTCGGCAATCTCGTCGGCACCAGTTCTGGCTTCGGGTCTGAATCTGTTAGGGGGAACAACCAGGTCCTTGATGAAGAACATCTCGGCACTCAGAGGAGCGCCTCTGCGGCCTCTTGAGCGAGGAGTGTAAATCATGCCCAGAACCTCTGCGTCTTGCTCGAACAGCTGGACAAGGTGTGCGTGTACTTGGCCTGCGTTCAGATAGCTTTGCTTCTCCTCCTTGTCAGCCTTGGAAGTCGTTGTTGCTGTCTCGGTTTCCAACGCGTTTCCTCCTGCAACCTCTTGCTCGATGTCGAGCATCGAGATGTCTTCTCCTTCTCCTTCTGACTCTACGGGCGAGTCCTCGAGGTCTGCGACAGCTTCGTCCTGAGCAAGACCCTGCTTTTTAGCCTGAGCCTCGCGCTTCTTCTTCATCAGAAGCAAAGGGTCCTGAGCCTTGAAGCCTGCCTGGACCATAGTGATTCTGTCCTTCTCGGACAAAGGTTTTCTGAAGATCTTGACGAAACGATCCTTTCGGTACGTGGGTGAGATACCATTGCAGTTGTTGCATTTCTTGCTCTTTGTGATGGCGTAGAGGAATTCCTTGACAATGGCACGCCTCTCATTTGCGACAGCCTCGATTTTGGTATCGGCCCAGTCATTGCGCTTCTTGCTGAAGCCAGCCTGCTTGATAGCGTTCTTGACGAAAGCGTTTCGGCGGGCAATGATGCCCTTGGTGTCGGCGTCCTGCTCGTCGTCCGAATCGTCCTTGTCGGCCTTTGCGCTCGAGGCGGAGGTGGAGAGGGTGATTTCGTCGACATCGTAGCACTCCTTCAAGAGGCCGTACTTGACAAGGGTAAGCTTGCAGACAAAGCGATTGACCTCTGCACGAGACATCTTGAGCTTGTGGCAATAGATACATTTTGCGCGCAGCAGACGCAAACATTGGTCCATGAAAGTAGGGTTGTAGACGTGAACGGGAAGCTCAATATGACCGCAGTGACCGGGGCAGCCGAACTTCAGATTACAGGTGGTACATCTACACGCGTCGAGTTAGTCTAGCTGCTCAGCTCGAGGCAGAAGCAGAGAGCCAACTCACGAGTTGTCGCCGAAGTTTCCGAGAGCAGCATCGTAGAGACCACCGGGGACAGGGTTCAACAGGGTGTCGAATGTGGTAGGGTTGGTGATGCGCTTGACGGACAAGGCGCGGATCTCGTCCGACGGCAGAAAGGCGAACTCGACGCCGCCAATCTGCGACGATACAGGTTGCGAGATATTCATGCTGGCGATGTAGAAGCTAACAAGCAGCGAAAACAGCTTGAAGCAACACAAAGTCGTCGTCGGCCGCAATGAACGACGATGTTCTCATAAAAAAGTTTCCCTTCCCGACCCGACTTGAACTTTTCGATCCGGGGAAGGAACGTCCAGCTGCAACGGCAACTGCCGCAAGTCGCAAGTCGCAACTGCCTAGGAAAGCTGACATCGTCACTGCAACTTTTACGCCGTGCTTGGCCGTGCTCCGCTTCGACACTTTCTGGGCGATCTGGACTTCTGCCTCGACCTTGTCGTCGACCCTCTGCTCCTGCTCACTGCCCCGATCGCCCTCCGACATGTCAGAGAAACGCCCCTTACCTGGCGACATTCTGGACGATGGTCACGATTCAAAGCGTCCACGCTCCGCGCAAGCATCACCGGCCCCTGACAACGATGTCGAGCGCAAGAAGCGTGAAGTCGCCGAGCGCATTGCTGCCATGAAGGCTCGGATGGCAAATAGAGGAGGCCCCGCTGGCTCTGGCACTGCTCCTTCGCCTACTCCCGCCGCTGCCCCGCCAGCCAATTCTGCGAATGATATGCAAGCTCGTATTGCTGCTATGAAGGCTCGCCTACCAGGGAAAGCCGCCCCAGCCTCTCCCTCTTCCGCGTCCGCGTCAGCATCGACTCCCGCTTCCACCTCAGAAGATGTCAGGAAGGCTCGCATTCAGGAACAACTTGCTGCCATCAAGGCAAAGGTTGCCCTAAGGCAGCAGCAACAACAACAACACCAACCTCCAACCGATATACCCACACGTCCTGCCGCCCAATCATCCGGCTACGCCCCTTCTCCACCTGTTCGAGACGATGTCGCCGCAAGCGCAAGAGGTGGCTTGAACGTTGGATTGCATCCTAGCTTGCTGGGTGGTCCATCAAGGTCTGGCAACAACAAGAAGCAAAGAGACGAGCCCGCAAAACACAATCCTTATCTGGCTGGTGATGACCAAAAAACCACGCTTCAAAATGAGCCATTCTACGACCCCTCGTTGCAGAAGCAGAAAGATCGCAAGTCCAAGCAGCTGCTCTTCAACCAGAAGGGAAAGTTCATGGCTCAGGCTGAAGCTTTGAGGCAACAAGCGAGAATTGAGCAAATGGCAAAGGAGATGCAAGAACAAGCGCGGAAACAAGCAATAGAAGAGGCCACCGAAAAGTCCTTCTTAGTCCCGGCTCCACCAGAAATCGAGTGGTGGGACGAAGGTCTCGTGACCGGAGGCAACTACGAGAACCTCGAAGCTGCAGACAAGATTAACATGGATGTCATCACAAGATACGTCCAACATCCCGTTCTCCTGTCTGCGCCTCAAGATGCCAATGTGCCTGCTCCCAAGGCCATGTATCTCACAAAGCAGGAGCAGAAGAAGGTTCGGCGACAACGTCGTATGGCAGATCACAAGGAAGAGCAGGCAAAGATTAGACTTGGCCTCAAGGCACCGCCTCCACCGAAGGTCAAGAAGTCAAACCTTATGCGTGTTTTGGGCAATGAAGCTGTCAAGGATCCTACCGCGGTCGAAGCTCGTGTAAATCGCGAGATCGCCCAGCGTGCCGATGATCACGAGACGGCCAACGCTGAGAGACAGTTGACAAAGGAACAACGTTTAGAGAAATTGGCTGCTCAGCAAGAAGCTGATGCTACTTTGAGTATGAGAGTACTCGTCTTCAAGATCGACAACTTGAGTTACGGAAAACACCGCTTCCAAATCAACAAGAATGCCGAGCAACAGGCCTTGACAGGCATCACCATCTTCCATCCCAAGATGAACCTGGTCATCGTTGAGGGTGGTTCTCACAGTATCGACGCGTACAAGAAGCTTATGCTCAACCGCGTAAAATGGACTGAAAATGCCATGCCCCAGAGTGTGCGTGAAGGCAATCAAGAAGCCAACGCTGCTTGGCTTAATGCTTTCGATGAGGATGGCAAGCTCAAGGACAACACGTTCAACAGATGCCAGCTCGTTTTCGAGGGCGAGGAGAAGCAGCGCGCATTCAAGCGCTGGATGCCTTACAAAGCCTGCGAAACCGATGGTGAAGCCAAGGATGTGCTCGGCAGGTACAAGATGGAAAACATGTGGACGCTGGCACAGTCTCCAGCATTCCAGTAATTACGAAACACGACATATACAACAGAATAATACCGCCCTTGAGAGGGGAATGGGATTCATCTCGACATATCAAGAGTCCTGCGATGCAACTCTCATACGAAGTAACTTTGAACAGCTGACCTGCTCGGTAAGCAGCACCTTGTCATGGAACAGTTCGGCTCTGGTGCTGCGTTTCAGATTCCAGCGTCTCTTCTTAGCTGTCTATAGTAAGTCTTGGCAAAGTGTCCAACCTCAAACCCTACGATGCATGCATTTTGCTATCTGCCGCTCATTACAGATTTTCTTGAAATGATCAATGTGATGAACTATCCAGACTTCGAGGCATCCTAGATGTGCTTCGCGTGTCTTGCAACGAATTCGTGATTGACCTTGAGTCAATGGTTCCTTCCCTCGCGCAGGCGCAATTTATCTGAAGCGAAACCACTGCGGGGCAGATCGTGAGCTTCTTTCGACATCGCTAAACGCCTGATGCCAGCCCCTTCATCTCGTGCTGCAAAAGACTCCGTAAATTCTATATCCCGTGGTCTGACCGGAGCCACAATCTAGTCGGCGAATAGATTGGACTGTAAGAAATGTAGGACTTTCTAATGTATGATATAACTCTGTGCTATGTCCTCCACAACTCTAGATCCTTTTTCTCTCGAGCCAGCCTCGATTTTCGCATCTTCATCTTTCCGCATCTTTCTTTTCGATTCATTCCTTAAGAACACGAGTTGATCTCGTACTGCCATTCATTCATCAAATCTCCCGGAAATCGAGATGTACTTCAATTCTATCGCTCTGACCACCGCCCTGCTGGCTGGATCCAGCATGGCCGAAATCCTATGGGATGGTCGTTTCACCGACACATCTGCCGCCGAGATCAACAAGTGGTCCTGGGAGAACCAAGTCGGCGCCTATCAGTACTACATCCACGGATCTGGCGCGACCACCGACTATGTCAACATCAGCCCTGACTATGTCAATCCAGCCGATGCCTCCTCCTCGGATGGTGTCCGTATCACTGTCGATGGCACTTCCTCTTGGAACGGCCAGACTATGATGCGAACTGAGCTCATCCCCTCCACCAAGGCTGCCATCAATAAGGGCAAGAAGTTCTACCACTTCAGCCTTAAGCGTGCTGCCGAGAACGCCCCTGATGCCAAGGCTGAACACCAAGTCGCCTTTTTCGAGTCCCACTTTACCGAGCTCAAGTATGGTATCGACGGTAGCGATGGAAAGTTGCAGTGGATGACCGACGGTAAAGCCCAATTCGATATGGACTTCGATGCTGATGTCTGGCACAACGTCGCCTATGGTATTGATTTCGATGCCAACACTGTCGAATTCTACCACTCTACTGGCGCTGATGAGTTGGTGTCCAAGGCTGGTCCTTTGAGTGCTTCTGTCAGCTCTGATGGTGCTGACTGGCATGTTGGTGTGCTCAAGTTTTCCCAGACCAAGGAAGACTGGTTCTTCAGCAGCGTTTACATTGAGGATGGCGAGCTGACGACCGCTATCTCTGGTCCATCAGATGATTTGACGCCAAAGGTGTCGTCATCTGCTGCTCCGGTCTCTTCATCCACTATCGCTACAGTCAGCTCTTCCCAGGCTGCTGTCGTTACAACTTCGTCTTCTGTCGCTGCAGCAGAGCCTACTTCGGTCGTTGCCCCTCTCTCAAGCCCATCCAGCGCTGTACCCACCACTCTGCAGACTATGACCCTTCCCACCAGTCCCAACTCTAGCGTCTCTGCTATCGTCGCTACTACTTCTGCTAGCGCAGCTGCGCCCTCCTCTACCGACGACGCTGGCTGCGCTGTCGAGTATGTTTACGCTTAGATGCAATTTGGTCGCAATCGTCGCTTGCTGGCTTGAAACGTCTTTGTATCAAAATGTACGATCGGTTGCTCTACATCAATACTTTCATTTTCACTTTCTCTAGCCGGAGTGTGTTTGTGTTGTGGCTGTAATTAGTTCAAGAATCACCTTTAACTTGGCAAATGTAGAGATCGTCAACTTGTTCTCATGCAACACGTCAACTTGTCTTGCCCCCTAGCACAGCAGATGCCTCTTTCTTTACTTCACCACGAAATATATTCTTCCTTACGCGTGAAGGGCATGAGATTAACAAAAATGTTATGTTCATCGTCATCTTCGTCATCTTCGTCATCTTCGTCATCCTCGTCGGTCATCCTAGTCATCTTCGTCATCCTCGTCGGTCATCCTAGTCATTTTCGTCATCCTAGTCATTTTCGTCATCCTTGTCATCTTCGTCATTTTCGTCAACGTCCTTGTCATCTTCGTTGTCATCATCATTGAGATCATCATTACGGCCATTACTATCAAAACCATTGCCATTGTGGTCTCGAAGAACACGACCAACCAAGTAATGATTACTTGCAAGTGAACGGAGATAGAAATCATAGCTCATGTCCCGATACCATCACCTGATGCGGCAGTACAAACATATGCCACCTCAGTATATATTTGGCAATCTCATCTTCCCTCTAAGCAATGTCCAAACCCATATAGAATCTACGAGTAGAATGTCGAAGAAGCTGAAAACAAGTGACCCACCAAACACGATAGAATGATACGTCCAAGCATCATCAGGTGTGATATTGGCTTCACTGACCACAATAGCCCATGGTAGCACCCAGAGGAGGTTTGAGATCAAGCTCTGATACAAATACCATCGAGGTCGTGTGGCGAGAAGGATTGCTGCTAGCTGTGTGGACAGAGCATAGAAGATGTAGCACCAGTCGATTGTTCTCCACATCTTTGCTGTGATTTGCGAGACAGCCTCCGATTCAGAGAGGTAGAAGGCAAAGCGACGGGTACCGTATTCAGACATGAAGATGCAGAGAGGGATTTCAATGCCCAATGCGATGAAACAAGACCATAATGCGGGTCGTATGATGTTGTATATCTTTTGTCGTGATGCTGTGGGTCTTCTGTCTCTGTCGGTTTCTTTTCTCCACTCTCCCCATGAGTGACCAATGAATGCCAAGGTAGTTGCCTCGAGAGCTTGGACGGGTACCATAATGAGACCCCAGCGAATGGACGAAAAAATACCCCATGCAGTAGCATAATCGGAGCCCATCGCTACTATGCCGTTGACCAACCATAGATATAGTGTGTTTCTGATGGCAGATTCAGCGAAGGTCAGAGTACCCGGTCTCGCCAGTGTCCTCAAGCATGCAAAGCTAGGTCGAACAGGTTCATGCGGTTGTGCCATGGCTCGCGGTGTACCTGTTTTGTATGTGACGAAGCAGAAGTAGGCGAGACCGAAGAGAGCAGCGGTCATGTTACATGCTAGCTGAGTAGCAGCCTGCATATTGACTGTCGGCGTAAAACTGCCGACATGAACCTTGGAGATGATCAGGAGGTCAAGGACAATATTGATCAAAAACTTGACGGTCGATATGATCAGAGGTACGTCCGGCTTATCGAGAGCTCTCGTGCTGGTGGACACGGCTGTCTCGATTGCCGATGAGAGGGCCGAGAATGCCGAGATTCGTATGTATGTCAGAGACGCAGCTCGAACTTCAATCGGAACAAACCCACCGGCGAATTGTCTGGCGGCACCCACGAAAGCAATGGACATGATCAGTCCGAGGATGGTTTGAATAATGATCAAGGTGAAAGATAGGCTGTATCTTGAAGATATGGATCTGTTTGCCCTGTCACCAACGATCAACCAGGAAGCGCGTGGAAGGCCTTCGTTGAGTACTTCGGCGACCACTCCAATGTATGTGTAGCTGTCTGTGGTTACAACCATTGACGAGTCGATGTTTGCGACCCAAAGTTTGCTCAGTGTGCCATAGAGAGCAGGTAGGATGAAAGCACAGATGTTGAAGCCTAGCGTTCCGGTATAGCTGGTCGTGTTAGCACGTTCGTCGATGCGTCCTCCCAGATACGGTCGACACTTGTTACCTTCTACGGCTCCAAGGCCTTCGCGTGGGATTAAGCGACTGCTCGTCCTGTGAAAGTCGCGTGGCTCCCACTACAATACTATCAGCTGGGGCCATACCGTTCAAAGGCAAATGAGAGAAAGCGGCGATGATCTTGTGTTCTGTAGAAGAGCAAAGTGAGTGGGGCAAGAGGTATATTCAGATAGACATTGGGAGATGGGACGATCACCCAATCAAACTTCCTTGGCTACGTGACAACACACGATACTTACGGCAACGTGCATGGTGGATGTGACTTTGGGCTGCTAGTATTCTCAGAGAACCTAAAGAGCCTTTAATGTCTTCTCGGAGAGTGCAAGTGACTCTATACAAACTTGGGCGACGAAGGACGTCCATATCGAAACCATGAACCTGAGGCTTGACCCTCATCTAGACACCATGATTCCCAACGCTCAGCCGGAGACGAACGATCGCATGAGAGTGGAAAAGTAGACAGCGCCGGCAGACAGCTCTATTCGAGTGCGTTGTCAATCTATAGCTAGATGGACCAGATAAGCGGCATAAGTCACAAGGAGATTTGGTAAGTGAGAGCGAGGGAGGGTCATGATCGGAATCTGGGAGCCCCCGGCTTGGCGCGTTCTCTCAAACATCTTGCACCGTGTTTTCCCGCCGCTTGTTCTCCACGCATACGACGACTCCCTTTGATCTTGGACAGCGAATCTGAAGAAGCGAAAAAACACCAAAATGTCTCCTATATCACAAACCCCCAAACTTGTATTCCACCACCGGATTGACTACGCTGTTCACACACTTTGCCGGACTTTTGCTACAGCTTCGATCAATTGTTTACCAAAGAAGATGAGCCAAAAGGAATACAACGCCGCATATTACCAGGCGAACAGAGAGAAACTCCACGAGCTAAACGCACGGTGGCGCGCCAACAACAAGGAAAAGCTAGCCAAGTATCAAATGCAATGGTATCGCAACCTAGAAAGCAGGGGTCCCGAAGTTGTGGAGCGCTGCTTGCGCCGAGCTCGTGAAAGGGTCGCAGCAATACGTGCGGACCCCGTGAAACGGCAGAAAATAGCAGAGGCATATAAATTACGTTATGCGACTGGCCCCTACAGACCAGGGATCCTCATGAGAAGCTGGGTGTTGAATTGCAGCGATCTAGACGCGTTCCGGTGGAAAACTCACACGCCAATCATTCACGCTCAGGCGGTTCGTCAGACTTGTGCATCATGCGGCAAGTCCAATCGTCGAGGATCACGACTTTGGTGGAGGCGACACCAGGAAACGAGCTCGGCAGATCTTGAGCTCTATGACTGTCATAGCTGCTACACGAAAGATATAAAAGCTGCCATGCCTATGGGCTTCGAGGGCCATGTTTGGGGCTTTGGTGCGACTCCCAAGCCATGAGAGCGTTCTCACTATCGAGAGCAGGACAGAAGGTCTTCAATCCACCATAGGCTGATGGATACAATTTCGACACATTCAGAAACAAGCAGTCATCTGGAAGCAGGCGGAAATTTGTATGAACAAGTGGTTGCACGAATCGACAGTTCTGGATAGCCTAGTCTTGTGGTGAAACCATGTCAGATGGTGGTAGGAGCTGCATCGAAGCATAAAGCAATTCAGGTTACGAATGAGGAAGGGGTAAAGCAAGTAGTGCTCTTTGACCGCGACAGGCTCATCGATGCATGACACGACATTCAAAGGGGCAAGGGAAGCATAGGAGCTCTGAACAACAAATGTACGTTCGTCTTTGATGGAACATAAACAACTATAAAGTTCAGAGGTAGTGTAATTAGTAAGTGAGGAGGGTGCACTTGAGAAGCACGTATTGCGTATCATAGTCTGATGTAATTGGACATCGCGCTACCTCCTACGAATTTCTGGACTAACTTGCATGGCATAAGACAAATGCCTCATGGCGTAATTTTTGAGGCGTCCGGTATCTTGGCACGCTCAGAAAGATGTCTCTCCATGCGCTGTGCTACTCGTGCTGGATTTCGAAAGACCTCGAAGGCATGACATATTCTCTGCGTATGCTGATGCTCGTTTGGGCACCGCAAGACCTCCAATGCAGGCGCGATATCATTGAGCATTCGCACGACCTCATCTATTGCAAGACCAGATACGAAACCGGAGACCTCCATGGATTTGAGATTCGGAAACAGCGGTGCTTCTAGCTCCAGAAAGCGGCTCTCCTTGATTCTTCCTATGAGACTGATGAATCTAAGTCTTGGACAGAAGCGTGATATTGCTGATATGATGCTATCAGGAACAGTATCTCTTCCGAAGAATATTTCGACATGTTCCAGGGAAGGAAGCCCAGAGAACATGGCTTCCGAGTCCCTTTGTGACCAGTTGGTCGTCGTAGGATAGAAACTGCCGCCAATTTTCAAAGTGGAGAGTTTGTGCAAAGAGCTCAGAGCTATGAAGTCGTGCTCCAGAAGTCGTTCACCTGAACCGCCAGGTGTTATGATACTAAGCTCACGTAATTGTGACAAGCTAGAGACGTGCTGAAGACAAGGCTCGTTTGAGCTTGCAAAAATCGCGATTTCGAGCTTGGTGACCGCACCGAAGCATTTTGTGACCCAGGGCACTGCGTCAGAGTATACTTTCAATCTCAATTCTTCCATGACTGGGAACGGAGCAGTAGTGCTCTCAGCAACACGCTTCAGATCGTTAGCACCGATGATGCAGTTACGCAGCTGTGAGAAGCCACCATCAGCATAGTCGCTATTCTCGTCATGACCGACCACAGACTCTAGAATGAGGTACTTGAGGTTCGGGTTGCGAGATAAAGCCTGTAACACATCGTATGTGATAACGCCATCATAATTGGAAGCAAAGTACACATAGCCGGGATAGACGCTCTCGAAGAGTCGGGCAAGATCTTTTGGTGCAATGTCCCAACCAGGAACTGAGAACTTGATAGTTTTGAGATTCCGACACCGATCAGCGACATCTGATAGTAATAATGGTCCGATCTTTGCGTCCGAGTATGCACGATCTTCAACACTCAGCGTCTCTAAAGTAGATTGAATGTAATCTGCGAGTCGATATCGCTGGTATTCATCGCGACTGCAGTTGTCGAAAGTGACTTTCTTCAGCTTGGGGAATTTCAACCCATCGACACTCGAGTGTATGGAATCATCATAGGAGTGAATGGAATCATTGTAGCTCATCCTGAGGTCAAGGGTAGCCATGCGCGAAGCATAATACTGGCGACGAGCTCGGGGTATTGATGCAAGCGATTTTGCCATGAGGTAGACATCTGCTCGCCACAGCTCGTCTAGAGCAAGGTTGGTCCATTTGCTGTGCACGCGAGCACAACGAGCCAGCTCTCGCCAACACCTATCATTATGCAGACTCCGGAACACCTCCAGCTTCAGTTCAGAGAGATTCCAGAAAATCACAGATGCCATGTCGGGAGAGGACTGTGATTGTACGTGCTTTGTCGAGCTTTCGGATTCACTGGGATCGGTATGAGGAGTTTCTGGTCACTGCGCTTTATAGTCGTGGGAACTAGGCAACAGCTGCCTATTTGCCGAGGCTTGATATTACAAATTACTCTGCGTAGATGCTGCCTCGAGGTACTACATTTCTAAGTTGGAGTGAAGTCACCGAGCAAAGGATTTGCATTAATTCCCTGTAGGGCTTGTTGATAGAAAATATCAGCAGACACACACAACAATATTAATAAAAGATGCGAGCGTCCAAAATCAGCAAGCAGCATGAAACAGTCCCGGCTTGTGATTTTCATGACCCCAACCCATGGCCTTGATCACCGCCAAGACATGTGCTGTGCGGGCCGCAACATCGTGCAGCAAAAGCAGAGCGCACCTTCTTGTTTGAATGTAACGAAATCAACGGATGTTGACTTGGTAAAAACACTATGCACAGTCTCCTGTGATCTCATGAACCCAACCCGATTTGAACGGATGACCTTGAGGTGGTTCCTATCAAAGGCATGACACCATTGATAAACTGGAATCTCACGCGCTACCGCTGCGCCATGGGTCCTTCGATGTGGGTCAAGTCGCTTGTTCGGACTATAGACAGTCGTAACCGTCAAAATTTCCATCATTCAGCACAACTTCAAGACCACCCGTTCAAATCGAGTTGGGTCCATGAGATCACAGGACACTGTGCGGGCTCCTCGTCATCGCTTCGCGATGACTCGAAAGCTTCACGGAACTACGCGACAACTACTATCTCATGCCCGCTTCCAGCTACGCTTATCTTGTTGGCTCCGTCATAACATCATCTGAGAGCAAATCTCGGAGATGTTTACCACGATTTTGCCCAGAGCACTGAGCTCCTCAAGACCATGAACTGGTGTTTGCAAATTGGAACATTTCCAGATACTAACACGCCTCTATGCTTCCACCGTATCATCATACTCAAGTGTCTCCCGCGACGACGATGACATTGGCATCTTCCCGTGGCTTGGAAACCCGCATAACACGAATAATATCTCCCGTAGCAAGACCAGCCTTGTATCAAATCAGTACTTCACATCTCTCACAACTCTCACACCTCTTAAACTTACAATCTCAGGAGCGTGAGTAGGATGCAACCACTTCTTTCCATTCTCATGCCACAGCAACTCGCCCGCATTATGGAAGAAGCCCACTTGCTGCTTCAAGCAAATATTACACCATACGATGTTCCAAGCGGTAGTTGTATCAAATCTGGTGTCGTCCTTGAGAGTGATGCGTAGGACTCTGGTCTGAGGGCCGATGGTGCTGTTGGGGTCGGGATCGGTGGTGGAGGGGAGGATGTAGGTCACGCAGGGGATTTTCAAGGGTGGTGGAGTCTGAGATTCTTCATTAGAGGACGATGAGGCTGAGGACATACTCATACTTGCATCTGCGAACTCGTGTTGGTGGGAGGTTGCTTCTCTGGATGTGGCTGTGATGTTGCCAAAGTGGAATCTGTGGGTATTCCAGATGTGGTCATCTTGTCAGGTGAGGAGTTGACATTAATAGTGACCTGAAGCGTATTGCAAGATTCCCGAGCTCGTGGAGAGTGATAGAAATCATGTGTGTTTGCTCTTGCAAGAAAGAATCATAGACTTCCGAGTAAGGACAAAAAAGCATCCTGCGTGTTTGACTTCTGATGACAATCTACATCATGCTCTACTGACATCACAAAAGAATCAGACATTGTAACACCACATCAGGAGTCGGACTTCCAAGGAGATGTGTTCAAGCGGTTGAAAAAGACTTTTCCTTTCCGGTTTTCGTGTTCTCATATCTTCGTGACCAGCACTTCCGATTGACTATTATCGACTGTGCGAGCAGACCTCCACGATTACTTCTTCTTCTTTCCTGTAGCCTCCCATGCCAGCATGAAGTTTTTGGATCTCTGATGCGTTCCTGACTCCTTGACTTCTCGTGAAACAACTCAAGACATTCCAGCAGTTCTCATTGCTCTCTCCAGCCTCTGGATCTCATGTACACCAGCACCATGCTCGACGTCGACAGCAGCAGGATCTCTCGACAACACACTGTTGACTTCGTGATTGTTGATGTCTTCGTCAGAGTCGTCTTCCATGGCAGCAGCAGCAGCAGCTTGTTGTTCATTCCACTGACGCACTCTCATGTGTTGATACCGGATAGCTCTTCTGCGACGTCTGCAACGGAAGACATGCTGTGACAAAGTCAGTACAAGAGACATGATGTTAACAGTCAAAATGAAGACTGTCAAAAACTTACACAACATCCATTCTTATGGATATACGCCATAAACGCAACAAAGAAGAACAAGAACGACATCATAACATAAGCCTCCAACACAGCCGTAACAGGCGTAGTCCATTCTCCCATATACCTATAATTCCCCTCTCAGTTAGCATTGCACCTGCCAATGCTCCCTTCTCAATCAACCAAACACAAAAACAAAAAAAACTCACCAAGCTACTTTGGCGTCGTGAGTTTTAGAATTGTGGTTTGCGTCGATAGTGGCAAAAGTAGAAGAAGATGCATTGTTGTCAAGACCAAACTCGACACCGGTAGATGGGTAAGCGATGATGCGCATGGCGTTTTTTCTTTTCTGTTTTCGGGGGAATCGTCGAGAAAATAGTCAAGGTATGAGCGGATTTCTTAGGTAATTGATCTGCAAGGGGGATGCGTTGCGGCGTTGGTGATACGGATTTGGAAGGAGTAGAGCGAGAAAAGAGGCATTTTTGTGCTCACCGGGACAGCCTGATCCCCGCGTGTCATACAATGTTAGACTAGATGCGATTGTTTGTACGCAACTTTTGCTAAGTGTAAGTATTGTAAGGAGGTGAGAAGAATGGTCGTTGGTATTGGCTGAATGATTGTTCGCTTGATCACTCACAAATGTGCAAGTTCGAGCATTCTTCTGCCAAGCGTTATCATTGTTCCTGTTATTACAATCGCTTGCCTTTGCACCTCATTAATCCACAGCGTGTTATGTTCATGCTTTGTCCCAAGGCAGAGAGAAAGTGCCGACCCAGTCCTCAACTTCCTTTCTCAGCTGGACGACCTCTGTAATCTCCTCTCCTTCGCCAACATACTCTCTGAAAGCGTTGACACTGCCAGGGTTCTTACGACCAGCCTTCTCGGCTGCCTCCTTGGCAACTCCGTCCAGTCTGCGAGTGATCTCAACAGCACGGTGGACGACATCAGCAACACGCTTGAAGTCCTCGGGCTGGAAGCCACGGGTAGTCATGGCAGGAGTACCCATACGGAGACCACCAGGCTTCATGGCAGACTTGTCGCCAGGGACGGTGTTCTTGTTAGCAGCGACACCAACAAGCTCGAGAATGCGCTCGACACGGGCACCGTCAATGTTCTTGTCCTTAAGATCGACCAGAACCAAATGATTGTCAGTGCCGCCAGAGACGATGGTGTAGCCAAGACCGCCCTTGTCCTTTCCATTTCCAAGGCGGGAAGCAAAGGCCTTTGCGTTGTCGAGGACAGTCTGCTGGTACTGCTTGAACTCGGACGACTGAGCCTGCTGCAATGCAACGGCCAATGCGGTGATGGTGTGGTTGTGCGGACCACCTTGATGGCCAGGAAAGACGGACGAGTTGATAGGACCTTCAAGATCGTACATGATCTCATTGCCCTTCTTGTCGGCGCTTCGTACGCCCTTGCGGAAGAAGATCATGGCTCCACGAGGACCGCGAAGAGATTTGTGTGTAGTGGTGGTGACGACATCTGAGTAGTCGAAGGGAGAAGGAATGACGCCGCCAGCAACGAGACCGGAGATGTGAGCCATGTCGGAAAGGAGGTATGAGCCAACGTTGTCGGCCACGTCGCGGAACTTCTTGTAGTCGATCAATCGGCTGTAGGCTGAAGTACCAGCAATGATGATCTTGGGACGGTAGAGCATAGCCAGCTCCTGTAGTTTGACGTAATCGATCAGACCAGTCTTCTCGTCGAGTCTGTATGGCAAAGTCTCAAAGTATTTTGAAATGGCCGAAATCTTCTTGGTGGGAGTTTGGTAACCGTGTGACAAGTGGCCACCGTGAGGGAGATCGAGACCCATGATGCGGTCGTGTGCATTGAGGAGGGCTGAGTAGGCGTAGAGGTTGGCAGGCGATCCGGACAGGGCTATGATTGCTATTAGCTGCGTGTCGAGGAGGGGTGTGGCTTCTCAGACATACGCTGGACATTGACGCCCCACTTCTCTGGGTCGAGACGGAAGGCCTGGAGGGCTCTCTGCTGGCACAGTCTCTCGGCCTCGTCAATGTGCTCGTTTCCGCCATAGTATCTTGCTCCGGGGTATCCTTCCGAGTACTTGTCTGTTGAGGTCAGCCTGTGACAATTGCAACGTGGCGAAGAGTAGCCTACTTTGCATGACACTGCCCAAAGCATCCAGGACTGCTTGGGATGTGAAGTTTTCCGAGGGGATCAGGTTGATAAAGTGCTTTTGCCTCCTCTTCTCCTACACGGATATCAGTGGCTTGTAGGCTGGCTAGTCTTGGGCTTTGTCGACCTTTTGGATAATGTTGTATACAGTGGGATCGGCCTCTTCGAGATCGGCCGAGAGCAGCTGGTATACAGGTCAGCCATGTGTTGGTAGATGGGCAAGGACGCTTGGACGATTGTCTACCTTCTGCTGTCCCTCCATGGACAGAGCGCGGCGGGCTTGCACTTGCAAGGGGCGCCATGTCGCAGCAGACGGCCTCGTACACGCATGCGACGCACGCAGCAGCGACGTCGTCCTCAGGCCTGACATTGTGTGTGGTGATGAACAAGAAGGTCATGGCCAACCTCCAGCCTCCAACCTCCGCCTAGCAACATCATCCCACTCCCGCGACATCGACTTCCCCATCCGGCTAGTCTTGTCTGGCCTGTGCGCCCCGCCTATTTCTTGCGCGCCCGCCTGGGATCCTCTTTCCCCCTCTTACAACTAAATCCAAGATGATGAGATGACCTATCTGGCAGACAATCTCACTCGTTCGGCTTCTGTCGGGTGACGTGGGTGTTGCTGAGACGTCTGGGGTCCCAAACCACCATTTTTGCAGGCGATTTTCGTACTTCCTGATTGGAATCTTGTTGTTTCGTGTCATCTTCTCGACACTGCGCTGCTTCATCGGGCGCCCAAATCAACTATCAATCATCATGACACAGTACAAGCAACTGTGTTCTTGACCAAACACATCCACCTTGGCTGCCTTGGGTCTCTGTCGACAAGTGTACGCCGTAACTCTTTGCATTCCATAGCCCAATCGGGCCACCTATATCTCACGTCCCTTGTCGGTCTGTGCATATCTATCTAGCGCATCGTACAATCGTCCAAAGACTCCTCCATGCCAACTCTTCAATGCCTCCCACTCTGTGCTCGGTAGATTCTTGCTTGCCATTTGTAGCCAACCACCAACGATCAAGTCCGCATAATTAGCCGTTGCGCCGAGCACGAAAGGTCCGCTCTGGTCTCTCGTGAATACTCTGGCCAGATCTCCCAGACTCTTCTCGAAAGACACCAGCACCTGTTCCCGTTGCTCCCCGACACACGCGAATGCGTCGAAGGACTCCACGCCCGCGCGTTTGACAAATACTTGCTCGCCAGCTGGCTCCAAAAGCATGCCCTGTAGCATGAGTATAACATGTGCTGAGAAAACTCCATCCACGCTCATGTTGAACTGCGCGTAGTTGTCGTGTTCTCCTCCTCGGATGTCTGACAGCGGCACCGGAGAGGCTTGCTCCGGGATAAACACGTAGTCGAGTTTCTGCTCAGGAAACAAATCCGAGCTTGAGTCCGGGTACGTTTTTTGCAGATACTCGGCGATGTAGAAGGAGTCTCCAATTGCCTCGCCGGTGTTGGGATCAGTGATGAAAGGCAGAGTGTAGTAATCACTGCCATCGCCGTATTGTCTAGCAGCAGGCAGTCCTGCCCTTCGACGGACTTTCTCCACATCTGGCAGCGGTACCCAAGTGGTGATGTAGGGAAGGCCCTTGAAGTTCAATGCCAGTCTAGTCTTCCATGGGTTTGGGGCGCTGGCTGTCTCTTCCCGGGGTTGTTTGAATGCTATGTCGTAGAAGTCAATAGGCTCGAGTCCTGAAGCTGACATGTTGGACGGAGTCAAAGTGAGCAGAGAGTGTTGTGGTATGTCGATGTTGTGGTATGTCGGTTTGCGACGTCAACTGAGAGCGAGCGAGCAGATCAGGCAATTTGTAGGTGACTGTGTTTGCAGGTCGAGTCCGAGGGGGGGGCTATGTCCTTTTCAACCTATCAACGTGTGGTATACAATCTTGGTCACCGCTGCTGTGTCATACGTCACAATGCGAATACGAGATGCCTGATACGAATACGAGGACGCGTGATGTGTTGACAGAATGACCCTGCCTCAATACCAGAGCTCTGATTATCGAGCAACGACGACCATGATTGCAATATTATCATCATCGGTAGTATGACCACACTCATTGCTATCGTCCGAAGACGAAATGGGACCGCCACTATGGACCAGCGTTCAGGAACCGAAGTCCAAGACCAACCTCGAACGCTCTCGTTGAACGCAATAGATCATGCACATGTGACTGGACAAGCCTGTGTACTTGACCGTGATCATGCAACATGATGCAACTAAAGATCTTTCATACTCATTTTTATTGTTCTTGTAGGCAAAGAGAGACGATCCAAGACCACTGCAGAAGATCAAGTCAAGTCTCGCCGTAGCTGTTGGGACTTCACATTTGCATCATGGCGGACTGAGCTCCGCCGACACAAGTACTTTCCCATCCGTTACAACATCTCTATGCTCGGTCATTTTCTCGGATCGGGAGCCCAATAATGAACATGAAATCCTCCTCAATAAGATGTACCGTGGTATGATGCCGCCCCGTTGCTGCTGCGCCGCAGTGAGCTGTTCCTTTGACGTTCAGAATTTCGCGTTGCCCTCGAGTCAGCTACCAATTGGCATGCCTCACAAATCTTGAGCGTCTCAACTTTGATGGCTGCGGCTACCGAGCCCGCCCCCCTGCCGTTCGCCAAACAATCAAAACCAAAACCTTCCCAAAACCCCCAAACGGTGTTTGCGAATCGGAGTCATGTCCCTTCGCTAACCTTGAATGTCGTCAATGCTCTGTGGTTCGGCAGTCAGTTACGTCGTCGCATGCTCCTTTCTCAAACTCAGAATCGTACACCAATTCAGCGGTCCAAAGCTAGCTGTTTTCAGCATGCCCTACCGAGCATCAACGTCCCGAGCATGTCTTCGACTCTGTATACAGCGAGGGCCACACTCAATAATTCCAAGCTTTCGCTAGGTAATTTGCATCGCGGGGCCGACTTAGTTATACATGTACAGGGCGCATGCCTGCGGGTGCAGTACGAAATCACTTTTCATGATCAACAACCCGTTCATCCCTCCCTTTATTAGTCCCGAGCCTTGTTTCTCCCTCCGGATAACTTCTAGTCTCCAATTTCACAGCCAATATCCGGATCTCAAGTCTTAACAGTCGCCAAAATCACCCTTTCACCATCCTGGCATTCTCGACCTTTGAACGAACCCATCACGCTCTCGACTACTCTCGAAACGTCTGTCATGGCTCCTGTCGCCAAAGCCCGTAAAACGGGTGCAAACGTAGTCAGAACCTCGTCGCGGGAACTTGATTCATATAGAACTGGAACTACTAGCCCATATGCTACACATAGCCCGGACGATTCCATAGCTAGATCCGACGTAGACTTATATGTCGACGACAGAAATGTGCGCTCTCAAGTGTCCTTGAAAAGAAAGCGTTGCCCCTCTCTTCCATATACTCCGCTGCTTTCGCCCAGAACGGACAACGACTCTGCTTCGGACTGTGGCTATCTTCGATTGAGCCCGAGACATCAAGATCTGCCACCCATGTCTCTGACCATCGAAGTCCCAACAGGCCACAAGGGACCTTTGGTGGTTAATCTCGACACAAATTCATTACTCGCCCAAGCCCGATCACAGATACACCCATTTCTCACATGCCCGTCTCCGCACTCCCAGTCGTGTGCAGACTCAGGCTACTCTAGTACTTCAAGTGTTACTTCCGAGATCAGTAAACCCACCACCACCTCCAAGCGTAGCTTTCTAGATCTTCCAGCCGAGATTCGCAATCAAATCTACCGACTGGCTTTCGTTTCGGAGGAGAAGCTGGACTTCGCATACCCCAACAACTTCAGCCGGTCATCATCCCTTCTTCAAACATGTCGCCAGGTTCACGAGGAAGGACGCACTATTCTATACACCGAGAACACGTTCTACTTTCAGCGTCGCAAGAAGGAGCGTGCTGTTCGGTGGACCACAGATGTTTACGAGATAGGCTACAAGGACATCCGATTCTTCCTTAAAAGCATCGGTTTGGCCAATGTTAGCCTATTACGCCGTCTTATCGTCATGTTCGAGGATGCGATACCATCTATGAATTCCCATCTGAAAGATGCCGACGAGCGCAGATTCACCAAGGACGAAGATCTGATTGACATATTACAAATGTTGGGTGACCATACCATGCTCAAGACTCTGGATCTTTGCTTTCAAGGGAGGAGGAACTTCTACAACCGCGACGAAACTCGCTTCATCGAACATCTCACTCGGATCAAAGCGGACCAGGTCAAGTGCATAAACAATCCTGATACGCCCTTTTCCAACTGGAAAGGACTCTCAAAAATCGGCTCGGCAGATGCAGGCCGTCTGAGTCACGAAATGACACGGCGAGTCACGATATTTCGCTGATTGAAATCTGCGACGAAGTCCAGAGTCGATGACATGACTTGTCTGGTCATCCTGGAACCACCTGTTCCACAGGTGAACATCGAGTGACTTGCCTCAATGATGTTCGCATTCAAGCCAGCGTTGAGTTTCGCCATGTTATTAAATCCCTCTTCTTGTTCCACGACACATGCATCCTCTTGACGACATGTCCGGGAGCTAAAAGAATTGCTTTTCCGTTATCAATACCCGATGCTTGGTTCACAGGATACAAGTATCAACGAATCTAGTTAAAAGGAGGCCTCTGAGTCAAGCCGCTTTTGTACTGTAGCTGCAACGAAATCATGACAAGAGAGCCCACCTTCGAGGCCGCCTTCAATTTTCCCACATCACTACTGACATTCTGACTTCTGACATCGCACGTCTCACGATTCATATCTGCTGTCAATTGTGCTTAGTCTGCGTGGTATGACTCCAATGTCTCATCAGGCGATTCAGCTTCTCATCAACGTCGTTATGACCTCCACTTCGTATCTGCCTTGCATGATTCTAGACAGCCTGTCAACCTGATGCATAGCCATGAATCGTAATTCGGCTGGTGACTATAGCCTGTTGACAAAGCAATAGTACGGTGATCCTTCTTGTGACTATGAGACGTTGAGTAATATTAGGCGGAGTACATGTGGAATGCTTACAATACAGGACTGTCGCATCGAGCAGTTAGGTGAGGTCTGCGACTCGCCGTCGTTGTCTGCTTTGTCGATCCAGTTTTTCCGCAGCCTTTCCGTCCACGATCTCGTCGGAACCGGCCGACATTGGAGGTGCCAATGACTCGGCATCGGTACATGGTACAATGGTACTTGCGTCTCGCATGTGTAACCCTACACAGCAGCGCGGATAGTACCGAGCACGAACGCGTCCGCTCGAAGTTAAGACGACGATGGTTTTTCTGAAGCGGTCTGCAAATTTGGGCGAGACTTAGACAGGCACATTGAACTGTGAACGAAATGGCCGAGTGCATCATCGTACATGGCCCAAGTACGCCGACTTCCACGCCGTCCGCGAGTTTCGCCATCAACGAGAAACCCACGGTCGTGGGGGAGGATTCCATGATTCACAGGGTCGGCACGACAGGTTCTACTTGCGAGTCAGAGTCACAAGCTGTCTACCCCATGAATCGTGGACTGTCTTGCTGCGTATTGGTTTCTCCAACCGACGGCCCGCCGCCCCCAGTGCCTCTCCATTCTTCTGACTGCCTTGCATCCTGCAACAACCCCTGATTCAATAACCTGACGGATGTTGCGTGCTTAAAAAGCCCGGAGATTGTCTTATTCAGACACTGCTGACATGGCAGGAGAAGGAACGAGTCAAGGGTTCACGCCTTGCACACTGTGAGCCGTAACCGTATGGGGTCGAGCACCTCTGAAGAATGGTTTGCTGCATATTCTGCCCGTGCAGACCTCGCCGACATGATCCATGGAGAACAGGAGATGTCGCAAAAAGACAACAGATCGATCCTCCCTTTAAGCTTTCCAGGCTGACATGCCGCTCACGCTCTCGCGCCTGTTGGCAACAGAATCCCTTCCATTCCTCGGCGACGACTTCCCTTGATACCTCAATAAGGTTTACCGTGCTGTTCACCACCCGCATTCCTGGAACCATCACCCCATTTGCCAAAGGCACATGCAGAGAAAGTCAAACTTATAGAGCTGGTAGAGCCAAAGTTACTTTGACCGTTTGCGCTCAGAGCTTATGGACATGACATGCATGTACCTCGGTATTCGTTCAACTACACTCACAGCGTGCACAAGCTTCTGATTCGGCGAAACTGCTCACCATCATCATCTGAACTGTGGCCAATGGAACCCCTGCAGCTGCGCGATCGGAACACCACTTTCTGGAAAGGGTAGCAAAGCGCTGGTGCTCATCACTTTTGACTCTCGCGACGGCCGGCACGATTTGCTCGCTGCGGCATTGCGAACACGCAAAACTCCTTCTACACGCCATGCATCGTGCTGTGCCTATTTCTCCTTGAGCCGCAGATCTCCTAAGCCGAAATCTCAATCTAATCGGATGACGACTCTTCCAGGCGTGTCGCGTACGGACCGAAATACTCCTTGACCGAAGCCGTGTTCGACGTTAGATTTGCCGTCAATCGCCTGCTTGCCCGGGCTCATACGGTGGTGAATGCTTCCATGACGGTTCTGGATCTTCGCTACTCATACCTCATATCTGGTGATACACATCGGTCGCTTTCGAAACACCGAAGACTCGTGTTGCGACAATGTCGGGACGAGTGCCTTGATCTTGCTTGGAAGCCCGCGATCTGCCTCACTAAAGAAGCTAGATCCGGCAGAGACCGATTATCGCAATTCGGCAGTGGAAAAGTCAGCATTCATCTTTCGCCCACTGTTACAGGTGCTATGTTAATTGCAAGCGAGACCACGGCAGTTGTGTCCACAGCCTACTGTTTCGCTAGACGCGCACTCGTTCCTTCCTAGTTCGATCCCGTTTGTTCGTTCAATCCTTCCAGGTCCCATCAAGCTCTCGTCGCTACGATTTGCTTCTGTTTTTCTCTTTTTCCACTCGCTTGTGCCTCTGGAGGACCACATTACTCGGTCGCTCTCGCGGAATCGGTCACTCGTCTCGCTAGTGTGCATCCATCTTTTCTGTCTCTGGCCAGAGCTTCGACCTCTGTCCGACTACTGGTGTCACTAGATGAACGACAGATGGACCAAAGAAAACATGTGATAATGCTCCTCGTTAAGTCGTATCTACTATGGACCCGTCGACCCGTCAAAGTCAGATCTCGGATAGGACCGAATATTACACAAGAGCTGTTGGCTAAACATAAACGTAACAGAATGGACCAGCAGTGGTGCTAAGCGCATCTTGGATCAGAACATCCTTCGCATTGACACCCAAATCGATAACGTCGTCCAGTCTTGTGTTCCTGGAAGGCGGGCTGTTGTTCAGTGTAATGGTGCCAGCCAAGGAATTGTTACCCTTGGTACTGCTACGACCGGCGGGGTCCTGGTTCTGCCAAATCCACCAGGTACGGTCGATCTGAGCGTGATGGAGCCAGAACCACGGATCTCCGGGACTGACAAAAATGTCACCACCAGGGTCACCGCCAGCCCAGAAATGGCCCGCTGTATGTACGCCTAGTAAGCCCGCCGCAAAGTCACCTTGCATGACAGTCTGGAAGTCGCCAATGTAGGTGTTCTGTGTGATTAAAGCTGTGCTGTTGGCATCTGTGGAGGCGATACTGGCGGGATATGCACCGAGATCACGACGCAAACAGCGTGGATTGTAGCCCAGGCCATCGGGACGAGGGTTCGCCGGGACATCGTCAAAGACAGGAGCGAGCGGGCCAAGATTGACCGTCATGTTCTTGAACGGACCAGTAGTCACGCAACCACCTCCAGAGCCCGCTGGGAGTTGGATCAAAGGTGCTGCTTTACTAGGTATAGAGGCGCCAGTGTGATTCTTGTACTCGCCGTTTCCGGATATGGAGTACTCGCTACCATCAAAGAGAGGAGAATGCAGTAAGTCCTCAGCGTATTTGCCCCAATTGGCATAGGGAAGATATCCTTTGTAGCCACATTCGTTGCGCAGAGCTTCCTCAAAGGTATAGATGTAATAGCGATGCCAGCTGAGGAAGTTTCCAGTACCATGAATTGTCAAAGTTTGATTGATATGAGTCGCAAGAAAGTCATCGTAGCGTGACTTGGCTCCAGGTGCAATGCTACCGCTCCTTGCTGGCTTCGATTGGAGGCACAAGACCGCATCGATATATATCTTCTTCTTTGAGTTTGAGAGTGAGCTCCTAGAGAATCGTCATCAATATTGTCTGTCGGAAGATATTGTCCTGCAGTGACATACCACTCCTGACGCTTCACAGCATTGTCCAAATTGCAAGAGTTCTGACCACGATTCTTATGCAGATACGTCTTCAATTTCGTCATGCCATGATCATTGAGTTTATCTGTTCCAGAAGTGGAAGCTGGCGTGAATGCCGAAGCACTCACACACAACAGCGACACCGTCGCACCAAGAAAGCAGATATGCATGTTTCCAACTGCCGAGATTACGAAGAAAATACAGAAAAGGAAGAGAATTAATGAAAGAGCATGGCTCGACATATATGTAGTGCGGAACAATATATACAGGGCAAGGCAAGGTACCGGAGTAATTACAACAGTATGGAGCCTGGGCTCAACAAGTAGGCTAGAACACCTACACAGTCTATGACCCATGTCTACACACCCATACGCCGTGGTAAATCGTCGTACTCGATGGGGGTCCCCTCGACTGACCATCTGCAATCTACCTATCAGGTGTGGTCAGGCAGGTAAGACGAGGCAGTGCATACCGAACAGTTGCAGATACGAGCGCGGAAAGGGCGAATGACGACTTGACCATGGTGCGGAGAGATAGTAAGCAAGGCTTTTTAATCTATTTTGGAAGCCTAGAGCGGTATATCGTCCCTATAGAGGCAGTGATTGGCCATCAATTAAGGTTCGCATATTGGCACGTGTGTTCACCGCTCGTCGGGCGCTCTTACATACCGCACTCCTTCCTCTCCTGGTAGACCATAACTACTGATTTTCTTGAGACACTATATGAGATGCGCTGCTCCTTTTTCTTTCTTTCTTCCTGTTCTGATGAAGCCGATACACCTCTGAGTCCATCCGCAAATGTAATACTAAACCAAGAGGTCCGTCGAGATGTCGCCAAAGGTGAGGAAGTCGCTGTGCATACCAGTAGCTGCTGGGAGGTTGCTTGAGATACATGTAGACAGCAAACCAGTATTCTTCCCTCATTAAGGAACAGTCCCATGGTCGTGCTATGATCAGCACCGGCCGTCACAAGCGTGAAGTAGACCTCGACGGTATACAATCCTGGAAGCTGCGTAGATATAACGAATGGCAGAGTCTATACTATGCAAATTAAGCGTAAGGCAGTTCTCTGCGATCCCGCCAACTAGTGCATGGATTGAAGCGCCAGACTCCACGATACCGCATGCCAAAAACGTAGTTGATCACGTAGGGCACGAAGAATGGTACAGCAGGAAAATCGTGTATACCACCTTCGAAGCTCCTGTCTGCGGTGCCAAATACTAAAGGCGCAATCCGATACTGATAAGCGGTCAGCGAAATGATGTCTAGCTTTGAGGGAAGGCACTTCACATTATCTGTAGCCATTAAGCTCTTCTCAAAGCGTCGATAAGCTTGACGAATCTTCTCGCTGTTGTACTTGTCAAGTGCGCGAATGGTCTCAATCTCATCATGGAGATGTTTGATGAGTGGTTCTGCGAAGGCTTCCACAAGAGCTTTCATCTTTCGGCCATCGTATTTACCAGGTTGGCAAGTCTTTGAATACTCGTAGAAGTCGTCGAAACCTGGCGTGAAGGCCCGATGCTGCTCTACGTTCTGCTCCATGAGTCCTTTGATCTTGGTGATGCTTTCGATCTCAGGGAAAAAGATTGCTTCTTCAGCGTCATGGTGATGGTGCATACTTTCGCTCCAGCATTGGCAGTAGATCAAGAAGTCGCGAGCTACAGTGGTATCGCCGGCTGGCAGGTTTGGCGCTTGCAGAGATATGGAGTTGAGACCTCTTATGATGCCGTTATGAGCGAGCGACATCTGTGTCGCAACATAGTAGGCAGCATGCGATGACTAAACATACCACGACATGTGAGATGAGCTTTCAAGTGGAAGGAATTACGGCCTACGTCTTGCGAGAATTGTCTCGTATTGATGAGAGTAAATGGTTGATCTGCCCAGGTATGAGGCATGACGGCGATGTTGATGCGGTGGTACATCCACGAAGCGCGACCGCCGGATATATATGCCCACTGCTATGCATGATTGGGTAGCAGCAGGATCATGCACTTGGAACCTTCGGTAGAGAGAGTTGATTTGCTGACCAACGTAAGGAGGTAGTCCGAGGTATGATCGGCGAATGGTTTGGCCGAAGGCTTTTGTTTATCGACCCCGCTTCCTTCCTTCCTTCAATGTCCAACGAACTCGAATGAATTTCCATCTGTGGCATGCGAACCATATCGTGTTCTTCAGCAGGTCATGCTACGCTCCATCTGATCTTTCGGTCTCTTGTTCTGAGCGAACACCGAAGATCTTTTAAAGAGAGAAATCCGCAGTCGCGAAGCTAAGTGGTATACCCTCACTCTACAGGAGGACGCGGTCAGAAAGGAGTCCGACTGTCCGAACTCGGTGCCTAGGTTTTGCAGTCGACATTACTGTGTAGTGTATGTATATAGTCTGCCGACACAAACCTCTTGGGCTGTCTGAACATCATCAGTACGAACATCGAGCCATCATCAGGACGAACACAAACATGAAGGTCCTTCTTGTTGGCGCAACCGGCAACCTTGGCCTTCGACTCGTTACAGCACTCCTCACCCGTGGTCACACCGTCGTCGCCTATGTTCGTTCCTCGAGCAAACTTGAATCTCTTCTTCCAGCAAACGTATACAGTGCGGTCACCGTTGTTGAAGGTGACGCTACAGACACAGCTTTGATCAGTCGAGCAATCTTGAAGAATGACTGCGACGCTGTAGTCAATACTGCCGGTGTAGCAGCGATGGCACCTTGGAAGAGAAGTAACCTCCCAGAAATCTTCTCTGCAGTGCTGGAAGGTGTAAAGCAGGCTGGACTGGAGAGAGGAGAGCCATTGCGAGTCTGGTTTCTAGGGGGTCTGGGTGTATTGCACTTTCCTGGAACACAAACCATGCTCTCGAATTAGTAAGTGCAGCTTTGCATGTCAACAACGCGGTCAACCTCACTGGCTGACTTCTTGAAGTGTACCTATTTTCTTGGAACATCGTCAGAACATTGAGCGCCTACGAGCCTTACCACCTGGTTCAGTGAACTGGTCTCTGCTTTGTCCGAGCACTATGATACCCGAGAATCTCGGAATCAGTATGCCGGTGACGTCCACGCACGGCAAACTGACTGCCAATGCTACGACTCCTCCACTGTGGATGGACTCATGGCTCAAGTACATTCCATTCCTCGGAAGAACTATCTTGGCTGCAATGAATGCTCCAAGGTATGACACCACTCTGGAGCAGAACGCTGAATTCATCGCCAGCGATCTTGAAGACCAAGACAGTCGTTGGAGTGGAGTCACAGTGGGGGTCATCGATGCAGCGAAGTGAGCCTTTGCAAGATTCGCCCTTCCAAAATAGCATCCAGGATAAGGTTCCAATACCGTTGAGATATGGCATACTTTGACGTAGCCAGGATGTCCCGGTGTGTACAGCCACAGCAGCTGACGACGAACTACTGAATATTTGTACAGTCGATGGAGTTAAGGCCCCGATGTTGGTCGAATCAGGAAGTCTGGTTGTCTGGCTAAGAAGATAGAGGATAGATCGAACACAACAGTAACACAGTACTCAATAAGATCGCGTGACCTATGATTGTTTCGAGTGTTGTTGTGTGACTGCTTTTCGCCAAAGTCTGGCTGAATGAAGAATTGATGACCAAGACTGACGCTCGGGCCCAGAGAATTGACTCTTGTGCCTGAAGACGGCAGCCGCCTTCTTCTTCCTTTCCTCCAATCAAAGTGCCGTGCCTTGCGCCACTGACTGATCTACCATGGGTTTATATCCGCATTACGAAGCGTGAGACCTTGAGTGATCCTTCTGATCCCAATTTCTCGCAAGCAGGAACAGTGCAAGCTCTCGATGTTGCTGGGGCAAAGCCCCGTTCTGGAACGGTCGTCATATTTCGCAGCGTGGACTGACACATCGCCGGCTAGGAAGTCAACGCCTCTGAATCTCCTCGGACCTCCACAGGCTGCCATGGACTCATGCTATCTCAGCCTCCTAATCGCTGTAGACGAGCAGCTGGCTACAGGCACGGCGCCATCAAGTTTCACGACTCGTATTCTCCTACAGGTACTTGAGTACATCATCTATCTCGTCTATGTCGTCTCAGAATAGCAGTGCCAGTGCTGAGGGTAGTATCCAGAAGCTCTTAGACCGCATCCGCAATCTCCACGTCCAATAGTCGGCCGCTAGTTTTGCTATCCCCGCACTCGCCCGAACACGAAGACTGACCCAAACATAATTTTACAAGCTGATGCTCTCAGAGAGTGGCACGCGAGTACTACATATGTAAATACATTTCGCCTTGTCTCTCATCGTCGTTTTCACCGCTACCGCCTCGTACTCTAATCTAATCTTTCTTTCTTTGTCTCTTGCTTCAAGCACACACACTCGTTTCAACCGAACACAATCACAGCAAATATGCGTGTCGCCGCCCCTTCTATTGCTCTTGCCATTGCGCAGACTTCTGTCGCCGCCTCGGTTCCTCAGCTCCAGGCTCGCCAGTCTGCCTGCAGTGATGTACACATCTTCCTTGCTAAGGGCAACAATGAGCCCTACCCCGGACGTCAGGGCAAGCTCGTAAACGCTATCTGCAACGGCCTCGAGAACTGCGATTACGAGGACATCCTTTTCTACAACCCCGTCGAGGCACCTTACTGCCAGTCCATTGACGAGGGCGTTGCCAACGGTATCGCTCAGCTCAATGCCTACAGCGCTCGCTGCCCCGACACCAAGCTGGTCATCAGCGGTTACTCCCAGGGTTCCCAGATTGTTGGCGACATCATTGGCGGTGGTAGTGGTACCTTCTTCCAGGACTGCATGACCGTTCCCTCGCCCAACCTTGATGTCAACTCTGAGCTCGGCAAGAAGATTGTCGCTGTCCTCACCTTCGGCAACACCAGACACACTGGCGGCCAGCCCTACAACCAATTCAGCGGTGCTCCCTTCAACGGCATCTTCCCCCGCCCTGCCTACCAATTGGCCAACCTCGCAACCTGGACCTCCAAGTACCACGACTACTGTGTCGCCGAGGATCCTATCTGCGCTGGTGGAAACGTTGTTGAGGACCACCTGAACTACTTCGACCTTTACAGCGACACTGCCGCCGCTTGGGTCAAGTCCCAGATTGCTGCTGCCGACGTCGTCGTCTCCAGCACCGTTGTCTCTTCCAGCAGCACTTTCACCTCCGTTGCCACCACCGACAAGGTCGTTCCCACCACATTCGCATACACCAACAACACTGCCACCGCACCCGTTGTTACCGCATCTGCTGCTCTCTCCTCAATCTCCTCGGTCCTCTCTATCCCTACTGCCGATTCTACCGTGACCGTCACCGTGGACTGCGCTTCCGTCGACACCGCCGTCATTGCATCGTACACTTCTGCATACGCCGCCACCGTCGCCGTTTCCCAGAGCGTTGCTTTCACTCCTGCTGTCGGTTCCGTCACCGCTGGCTCCAGCGCCGCTGGTTCCAAGACTACCGGCTCCGCCACCACCGGCGCCACTGGATCCAAGTCTTCCAGCGCTGCCAACGGCACCCACTCCATCATGCCTTACACTGGTGCCGCAAGCTCCATGTCTGGCGCCGTCACTGGCTCTCTTGCCGTTGTCCTCTTGGGCGCTTTCGCTCTGGTTCTCTAAGTTCCAGCCTTCTATTGTACATAATACATATTTCGTATCTCTTGTCTCTCAAAAATTTAATGACTTTCTTATTGTTCTATTATATATACCTTTCACCTCAAGGTATCAATATCAAGTGCTCTATCAACTTCCGAATCTTATTTAAACAAGCTATATCCCCGTGTGTTGAAAGCTGTCACTTCCACACTGTCGAATGATAGCAACAACAAGCTGTGGAAAGGCATGGTGATGTCTCAAAATCAACACGACTGGCGCAGAGAGTTGATCGAAATACACATCTCGATGACACTGCAACAAGACTAGACACAATTGTGCCTTGAGTCAGCTACAAGTGCGCCAGTACTCTGCACACGGGGAGGTGTGAGTGACGTGGTGAAGGTGCCGTACCCTGCATTGCGGGATGATTCCGATGATGTCTATATTGTTTCAAGATGGCAAGCACAGCACGTACGGCCACAGTCAGCTGAAAACTGGGCATCCCGTCCGCTCTGCCATACATAAGCAGTTGAACGGCAGATTAGTACTACGGTGGGTGACCACGTGGGAATCCCTGCTGCTGTACGTTTTGCATTCCTTTTTGCCCGGACACGATAGACAGGAGCTCCATCATCTTTCGAGAGTAAGAAAGGGGCGATGTACGTAAGCATCAAGCTTCATCCCAGCTTCTTCCGGGGTGCAGGACGTCCCTTTTGACTCTCCTCCGGTGGTTTCGTTCTGAACACTCCATCATCTCCCACGAGCCATTTAGTCTCCTTGATATCCCGAGTGACTATCCAGATCCTCATTAGTTCGGCGTTTATGGTATCGAAGTGTACGCGCACAAAATCCACGACACCATCTTTGACCTGCACAATGAGACCCGAGTCTAAGGAGAGTGATTGATCGTCTAGAACAGCGAACAGATTTGACTCTACAATGTCGAATTTTGACGTTCTGATAATCTCTTGCAGCATATCTGCTGCTTCCTCAAGAGATTTGTCGAGAAAAGGTGATGAGAAGGACTTGACTAGTGGTTGAGTAGCGTGAGCATGGTCGGTGGGGTTGAGATCGTCTGGTGACGTTATGAGAAGGAGATATGGTTGGCAGTCCATTTTGCTACTGTTCAAATATGTTTGCTTCAGAAAGTAGTCGATTCTCTGTTCCCTTGAGTGAGTTTTGATTGTCAATGATGGGCTTTCATACTGTCACACCTCGCCTGGTACGTCCGCGGTACAGCATAATGCGAATAGAGCCATGCTTGTTGCTCAAGTCGAGCTAGAGAAGGTGATGGTTTAGAGGTCGGTGAGGGTAAAATGTAGATTCAAGGTCCATGTGGAAGTTGCGGAAGTTTGACGATCACCGAGCCCACAATACCGTACGTACGCCAAGATAAACGGTCAGGAGCAATGCTGTAAAAGTTCCAAATTATTTCATTTTCTTGTACTAATGGTATATTACATTTCCGCTATTGGAAGCCCATACTGAAATCCATGTCTCCGAACTGTATGTCGTTCATGTCCAAATCTTGCATCGTCATATCCGTTGCCGTATACCCTGCCTCTGCTGCTGCAGCGGTAAAAGCGTTGTCGAGTCCAAATTGATCTTTGCCGTCCCAAGTCGTTGCGAACAAATTGTCACTCGACGATGTGGCAGTTGAGTTGATCAAATTAGAAAGATCTGTCTCCATGCCAAAGGTTGAGTAGTCTAATGTGCTTGTTGACTGGCCGGACGTCGGGACGTCGCACAATACTGCCTGCTCAGTGAGGACGGCCATTGCAGCATTCATCTCGGCTAGCTGCTGTTGAGCCTTTCTCGGTGTGAAGGAAGCATCTAGTCCATGTTGTTGAGCCAACATGGCGTTTTGTTGTCGAGCTAGATCGCCTGCATGAGCCTCAGATGGTGCCTGATAACCTGCCTCTGCCAGAATAGCGTCGATATCGGCATCGAAGCAGTTGTCAAGATTCAGATCATGAGGCGTGTCAAGCTGTAGAGGTGTTGAGCCCTGACTCTGGTAAGTAGCTGGAGTGGCGAGCTCGGAGCCCCATTGTGGTGAGGGCTGCGATAGTGATGATCTGCTGGAAGGGAGAAGCCATCGTGTGCAAGCAATGTTCGTAGCCCCTGTTGGTTCTTGCTGCATTGTCGATCGAGAGGCTTCTAAGGGCCCCTGTACTGTCGGTAGTCCAACCGGTGGGTATTCGAGTGACATACCACGCGCTGCTTGCACACTGAGCGGGATTCTCATACCGAGATCCGTATATATCTCGAGGTCTTCGGGGACATTCTTGCCTATGCCTGAGACCTCACTTGGGATATAGTCAAGGGCGTGCGCACGTTTGAACAGGTCAAGCCATTCAGGATTGTCAGCAGCTGTGTTATCCCACGCATCGTCGGAGTCGTATAAAATGCGCCGGGCTTGTGTTTGCAGCATCTCATCGGTCAAGACCACACCTTTGTCCGTCTGCTCTTTTGCAAATCTTCCAAGTCTTACGGTCAAGATTTCCCAACAAGTTGCTGGTGCACCACCACTCTCCAGATGTGCTTGAACAGTCATGCATCTCATTGGGTTGGTGGCAGTGAAAGGGTTCACTGAGTTGGTCTCAATGCCGATGAGGTATGGAGGCATCGCGCTGGTGACAAGGGCAGCCACTGCTGGATCCAGACCTCGACATCCCTTCCATTCGCTCATTTTGGCCCCGTTCTTGAAGTGTATAGCCAGATGGTCATTGCGCTCTGACCATACGGTGAACCGTTGGTAGCAGAAGCCACATTTGCTGTTGACGTTGGTGAGGCTCGTCTTCCAAGCTTCCATGTGTGGCAGTAATTTTGACTCGTGTACAAGTCTGAGATGCTGTCGCAGATGGTCCTTGCGATAGAACGTTCTTCCTTGGAAGCCCTTGTCTAGGCATTGGCGGTGATTATGTGATTCAATGTGGTCTTTAGTCGGCTCCAGCTCGCAGCAATACGCGCAAATGGTCTGACCTGATGCAGAGTCTAAAGTTTCCGGACCCAGCGGACAGCATATCCACTTCTCGAGTGACAGGTGCAATGTTTTCTCGTGGCGAACCCAGTCGTCTAAAGAGGTCAGCATAAGACAATACGGCTCAGCCTCAGTCGAAGTATAGCTTACACTTGGTCAAGAACGTATCTGTGCAGAACGTACACTGATACAACCTCTCTTTTTGCAAGCTCTTATCGTTTGAGGGCTTCTTCAGAGTAGTACCGGGCATCTTGCGACGTCGTCTTCTTTCTTTCCTGCCATTGAGGCTGCTTCCGAATGAGCTATACGAACCCCATGAATCACGCGAACCTGACCAAGCTGCAGACGACGCGGCAGAGTTGGATGTAGATTTTTCCAAAGACGTGACAGATGCTGCTCTTCGGTTTGACGACCTTGAATCATCACGGCTCGATCCAAGCCCCTGCCAGCCCAAAGTCGACGGAGAGCTAGACTCTTCTGCGTAGTCGGGCAGATCTTTTCTGTCCAAAGCGTCGGCGATGGCGTTGAACGGAGCAGGTTCGTTCTGAGGGGGCGAATGCTTCCATCGCTCCAGGGGATTCATGTCACTCCACTTGTTGATCTCGATTTCTGTGGCACCAGGAATACCGATGGCAGCTGTAGGAGGTAGCGAGGTAGTAGTTGACTGTAGGAGGCCATCCATAGCAGCCTTATTCTTGACACCAGCCTTACCACGACGACGGGCATTGGCAAGCCATGTATTGATCTGAGGGACGCGAAGACCAGTCGTACGACTCAACTGCTCCTTCTCGTCCTCGGTTGGGTACGGGTTAGCTTGATGTTCATCAAGCCATCCTCTCAGCACCTTGAGAGCAGCCTTAGAGAAACGACTGCTAGACTTCTTGTCTGGCATCGATTTGAGCGATCGAACTCCGGTCAGCTTTCCCTGTTCTTGACAGCAGTCTTCTATGACAGGGTGTAAGGTGTCGACAAAGCCCATCGACGACTCTCCTTCGGGCACTTCGGGAGCGGCATGACTATGAGGCTTCACAAAGCTACAAGGTCTGAAGAGTGTATCCTTAGAGTGAACAGTCAGTCAGATCCTGGAGCCTAGAAGGACAGCCTCTACTCACGCAAGCAGTGCATGTGACCTTTCCATAACTGAGGTAGCAGTTTAGCTTACGGTCTCGGCAGTAAGTACACGGCCCATCAGGCTGAATGAATCGAGGTATCCATCTCGAGAAGTTGCTGTAATCTGCTGCCTCCGCTGCCTCATTCTCGAATATCGTCAAGGTCGCCTCGTTGTTGTCGTTGTTGTCATTGTAGGTGTGAGATATATGATCTGGATCAGCGATCGCACTGCTTGTCTGCATGCTACTGCCGTCCGAGACAGCATTCTGAAAGTCGAAGAATTCGCCAAGATCGGCTTCTTCTTGCAATGTCGACATGTCGAAGGGCGTACGATGGCAAAAGGAGAATTCACAAGATGTCAAGTACAATGCAAAAGGAAGTTGTAGGGCGTACAACCAAACAAGAAGTTGCGAAACACAGGAGGATGTCAGATCATTGACTTTTGCTTACCGTTGAGTACCTAGACGCACCAAGATGGGTGTGACTCTTCTGGAGGGCGCGCCCTTCGATTGACAAGTCAGCCCTGCTGCTGGGGCTTCGAGCGATTGGACGCTAGTTAGGCGAACTGCGGCTTGGCATGGCCATGAGTCAAAACTCCAATCTCATGTCCCATGGTGAATTTTAGCACGAACAAATGCAATAAAGACCTATAACACATTGTCAGAAAAGTGAGCAGCTCATACGAGGTACTTCGATGGACTGCAGCGCGAGGATATGTGTTATGCTTAGATCCATGACGACTCGTCTCACGTTTATGGTCAGAAGTTTTGTCACCTTAGTCTTCTCGCGTTGAGTTGCCGCTTTCGCCTTTGTCGCGGACTGCGCGATCGGAGCACTCGGCAACGAGACATCTCGAACCTTCTGAACGTTACCAACACAAACCCTACAAGACCACATCAAACCTCTAGCCTCGCTGGCTAAAGTCGGAAACGAATCTTGTGGGGAGCCATACAGTTTATATCCATTGATACTATAGCTTGTGGTGGTTGCTTGATCAAAAAGGGCTGGTTGGAATGAAGTGATGCCAAGAGGATATGAAGATTGTAGAAACATCAAGGAGGTCAAAGAGCGAAAACAACAACTCGATGCTCTCGCAGATACTGAGGAACGGAAGAAAGAGGCTTCTCCAGCCTCATCGCTCCTTTCACCTTCCAAGAATGACACGGGGAATGAAGATAGGTCATAAACAATACACCGCTAAGTTCGACGTTGATGCATCTGTAGCAGGGAGCTGATGGAATAATGGCATTCAAAAACGGCTTTGGTAGTTTGCAGAGTGTGGAATTGCATCCATTGAGTTAATCGACAAAGAAGAATGGGTATCCGCGTGTAGAAAGTGTAAGAATGAGAGAGAGAAAAGATGCTGAATCCGCCCATGCCAGTTAAAGAAGAAAAATTGGTGTACTTGTTATGGTTAGACAAAGTGTGAAGAGCAGATAATCTATGCATCAGAGAGCAGGCGAATACCTCTTCTTTTTCGCCATTGTCGAGACCGACGCCATGTGTGGAGGCGTCTGCAGAGCTCGTACATGACGAATACGATAGTGACGTTTATACAGATCAACATGACCATCTTGACCGGAGTCACGTCGATAGTACTGAGCTGCGGTATGGAGCTAGCCAGACCGGCACTCCAACCCATATCAATCTCTCGTGATACACCCAGCATGACCTCGTTTTGGTCAACAGCCTTGACTCGAATGTATCGGAGCAGCTCTTCGTCTTCAATGTCTATAATGGTCTCGAAACCAGCTTTGTCGACATGCAGAACGCTTTTCCAAGCTTTTTCGTCCGCAGGGGAGGTATGAGTGTGTTGCAGAACCCAGCCTTTGACCTCGGTCGCTCCAAGCCAGCTGACGTGAACTTGACCATCAGTTGACAACACAGCAGTAGGCGGCTCAACAGGACGGCCGACCCAGGGAAACTTAAATGCGCGATATGACTGAACTTCGCCTCTTCCCCAAGAGTAATTGGTTGCAAAGTGATTGTCGCATAGCAAAGTGCCGTCTGCACTGAACTCGGAGAAGAGGGCATTGTAACCATAACCGACAAAAATCTTGGCGTCTTTGGATTCGTCCTCAGAAGGAAGGACTTGTAGTGAGCCTTGACTAGTCGATAGTGGACCTTGAGGGTGATTGTAGGCTCTAACGACTTTCGCCGAGTATTTGTCCTCTCCAGCCTGAGCATCATTCGAACGAGAGTTCTGACGTGAGACAGATGGGTACGTAACCTCAAGTAACAATCCTCGAGAGGAGTCGAGTGTATGTTCAACATCCTCAGCGCTGTTGTCGAACAGAGTAACGAGCTGCGTTGTAAGACCGCCGTTCTCTTTACTGTCACCGAACAGCGCTAGATCCTCCCGGAAGAGTTCAGGAAAATCGGCCTTCGTATGTAGTCGAGCGTCGTGCTGCCAGGCGAAATTGGTAGCAGAGCCACCGTCGAGGTCTTGGAACATGTTGCGCTTACCTCCCAGGATCCAGATAATGTCGCCAGAAGTGCCGTTGATATAAGTCACAGTATGTGTGTAGCGAGCGGAGACGAGGTAGTTGTCAAATTCATCTTTCTCCACTGAATTGATGTGGTACCAGTCAAAAGGATCGTTTCGAGTACCAGCATCACCAATCGGCTTGAAGGTCTCGCTGATGGCGTAATGATCCGACGCACGCCATTGAAACAAGAGTTCGTTAGTCTCGATGTCGATCTCTTGGAAGAGACTGTCCCAGATGTAGTGTGGATCTTCTTCCCATTCTTCAAACTTGCGTAGCTCGCTCAAGTCGCGGGGGTAGACTTCGTAGACAGTGAGAAGTGCCGTGCCTTGAGGTGTGATCACCAGTTCGTGGAGGTCGGCAGCCAGACCATTGAGAGCCGAGATCTTGTGTACTTCTTGATAGCCCGCGTTTAGCTTGCGAGCATGTTAGCAAATGTCTTGTTGATTTTGCCTTCAACGTACCATGTAGTAGTCCCCAGCACCGTGGCCCCTCACTCGATCATCCCCGACCCAGTAGGTCAAATACTGTTCGCCCTTGTATTCCTGTACGGTCAAGTCGTAGGCCTGACCTTCTGTGCTTTTTGCCCAAACGAGCTCGCCATGGCTATCCACGATCATGGGTCCAGGCGCTGAGACGGAGAATCCTCGAGGAGTAAAGAAAGTATGTCGATCATCATGACACTCTGGCGAGTCTACCAAAGTTCTGAACTGTGGCGAGACGAGATCCGTGGTTTGATACGAGCGGTATGGATAGTAACCATAGTTCAACTCCCATGCTTCACCATCCTCAGGGTCGAAGTATGTCTCGGCTTCCACATCGAGGGCTAGCGCGTATCTGTGAAATATACTGGCAAATACCAGAGCTTCTAGTCCTTTCATCGCTTAATGTGGGGTAACGAAAGACAGCTCGTATCGCTGTATAAGATGAGTTGGGCGTCAAAGAAGCATGGATCAATGAACGATTGCTGTGCTGTGGTCGCAAGCCAAAAAAGTGTAGAGTGTATCCCAGATTCGATTGTCGATTGTAGAGCGAGTTGACAAGAAACCAAGAACAATCAAAAAGCTTACAATAAACGGAAGGAGCTGAGAATAATAACAGACCGAATAGACGACTAAGGTCTCGGGTGACGAACATCGGAGCAAGACAAGTTGGCCACGCATGTCGATGACCGCGTCACCTTATCCTGCTTTCCGCGTGTCTGAGACGGAGCTGCCATATCGATTTCGCAAAAGATGCAGTTGATCACGGCCGCGCGGCAGACAAACAACGGACATGCGCATCCCTACTTCTTCGACCCACCCTACCCCGGCTCAGGGCTGTATAAGATGATTGTCATCTTCAGACCGTTCTGACAATGAAACGCGTGTTACAGAGTCTCGAGAAGACACCACAATTTATGCGCTCCGAGATTCATAATGGCTGTCGAAAAGCGACCTGCTAGATAGGTACCTTATCATTAACAAGCCTGGAGTCGAGGTCGGAAAAAAGGAATGTTTTCTCGATAATGACGTGGATGCAGATTTGCGCTAGCCGGCGAACCCATGCAAGCCTCTCCCGCCCGCACCAGCCACTTCTTGGGCCTCTGTCACAATCTGTCACAACTCACCAGCAACTATTATGCCCATCAATGCTAAGTATCTGCATTGCCAAGTCGAGAGACAGACTCGCCGAGCAGCCAGGTTATACACTGTTGCTGCTAACCTTATAGTCTGGACATGATCGAGACATTGGAACGGCATGTTTCTGCATCTGTAGAAATTCATAAACCAATTCAGATCTCGGAGCATGATGCTAGGAGTGATGTATACCTTTTTTCTTCTTACTTGCCACTTGGATACCGAAAGGTATCCTGCATTTCTACAGCTCTACTTTCCGCACGTACGGCATCTTCGGAGAATAGCAATATCTTTGCAGGTGATAAGCCGTGCTTTTCCTTTTCCCGCAGCCTAGTACTATAAGCATACGGTACTTCCTGTGCATTGTCTTGCGTGTGTCTATGCTGTAGAAATGCACAATTATTTTTACAACGCGAGTTATCTCTCCTGGGAGAACGATAATCACGGCATCTCCGGACCATGAGGGTAATATCACAAGATCATCCTGCATTACGACAGGCTACAGAAGTGCGAGATACCTCGACCGAGAGCACTAATATGGATGGGTACCCTGCCACGAGTATAGGGGCAGGTCGTTTGTGAAGCGGAACTCCCTCTGCGTTGTATCGCAATTCCTTGTGACTGTATCATGAAGTTATGCACATTTTCAACAGATCGGTAGGAACGGCACAGGCGGCAAAGCTCGATCATACAAAACACAAAATTGAGGGAGGTTGTGATTTCCTACCCCGGAACAGCGGATGGCCTACGAGATTCAAGACTAGTACTTGTCTTTCTTCCGGACCCAACACCACTCGCCAGGAGTTCTAAGCGACTAGCCTGTACTCTGTGCTTTTTCATGACTTGCACCCATTCGTGCTCGTCCTCGTTTATGTGTTCCATGTCACCACTCTCATTCTCTTCTCTGAGCTCGTCTTCTAGCAGTGCTAACATCATGCCGAAGTCTGCTCCTAACCTGCCTAGAGAACCTGCACAGTAGAGTACTTGGGTTAACAGACTGTCCCGTGATGATCTTTCCAACATGTTTGGCATGTAAGCGCGCAATGTTTCAAACAGCATGTCGACCAAGTGTGGCGCAAAAGTTGCAAGCGCAGACGGGGGTTTGTCATGCTCGACTTCGAGGAGAGATGTTGTTGGATCTTCCAGGATAGTCGGGGTTTGTGCTGGAGTCCCAATGGGTGAGGCTATGTCTGAGACAGCAAGACCAGGCATCGGTAATGCTGAAGGGAAGATACTTTTATACATGGATATGATGGCGAAGCTCTGCTCACGGAACACTTCGACGTACCTCTTGAGATAGCGCTCGGTCTGGGTGCCTCCTATCCAAGATTCTCCGTGAGAAGTGCTTTCGGAACGGCGGCTTGCCTCTTGATCCGCAAGGTCTCTGAGCGGATCTAATGCTTCGAGTGTCCGCCGAAGAGTGCCTAGCCTACAAACCAAGAAAAGCGAACCCAGTGAATCTTCTCCTGTGACAGCACCCAGTGATCTGCCTTTAGTCTGATCTCGAGTGCTGCTATACGCATCATTGGCAAGTTCAGGAGCGACGCGTCGGAGCCAGCCAATCATCCTCATGGCTCCGGCAAGTTTAAGGGCAGGATTCTGCAGGCCGTTGATCAGAACTGTGATGAGATTCTGGATCTCGTCATCGGCCTGTCGCGAGATGTCTCCAACGAGGTCGGAGTCTGGGTATAGGGTCCGTAGTCGCTTGACATGGGCATGCAGGTCGAGAGCGGACGCATAGCCAGAAGCCGCAGCGCCTCCAGTGCCTTGGGTTACAGCGGTCGAGGAGGAGTTGATTGCAGTAGATAACAGAGTCGGCAGCTCCAGGACGTCGCTGATCCTGTCCACGTTCCTGCTCAGCAACATTGCTCTTTTCCTCCGCTCAAGCACAGCATTGTCGGCGGCTCTGTCATATTTGGTCGCAAAGTCGGTGGCAACCGACTCTAGGCTCGATAAAGCATCTCCTAGCTCTTTCGACTGTGTGTATAGCGAGGGAAGAAGGGTCGAAAGGTGCGAGAGGTGGTCGGTCGCAGTAATTACGGAGCGATGCGAGCGTTTCGACAGTGCCTGTAAGGAGCGCAGATTCGATTGGGTTGCTGCATTGAGATAGGATGCTTCAGTCGTAGTCAGGGATTGTAACGAGAGGGTTGGTAGGCGCGCCAGGTAGGCGCTTGTGGTAGGATCGGTAGGAGGAGGCCTCGAATCGGCGGTCGCAGACGCTGCTACTGAGCCGTCGAAGTATGGCGTCAGGACTTCATATAGCGCGTCAGCCATGGCTGATTCTCAGGGAGCCAAACGTGTCAAGTCTCCATGTGGCTGATCGAGTCTGGGTCTGCTGTATTGACTATAGGAGCATGTGCTTGTGCACGGTGTGTTTACTGTTCAACATGGGCCATCACGGAGGTGACGCCGTGTGACGCTGCCAAGCCAACACCTGTCTTCCTCCTCAGACCTCTGCTCAACCTCGACCTCGACTTCGTCTTGACAACCGAACAACATCGTACTATGGAAACAGTGACTCTCGTGATTGCTGTATCGCGGAAGCCGTTTGTGGAACTGCGATCAGCCGCTGCATAAGTGGTCTTGCATGACTTGGACAAACAGACGTGTACATAGCTCGAAACTTCCTCGAGAGAAGCCTACAGTAGGTCTGCCGCGCTTGACAATATTTTCACAACGTTCTCTACCCTCTGGTACGGCGTATCAATGTGAAGACGAAACAAGGTAGGAACGAGCCATCAGTGCTGGGCGGAGCAGTGGTTAGCTCCTTCCTGTCGAGAGCTCCTTCTCTCAGGCAGGCACGGCTACCGCACAGCTGCCTCGGCGCTTTTTCTCCCATGCTCTCGCTCGTCAGTCCTACCTCTCATACCCATCCCATCATCGTCCCTTTCTTGCAATCTGTCCTGGAGCCGACGGCTTCTCCTGCCGCAGTCATGCCTCATTTGAGCCAGACAAGACCGAGTAATCTCTGTCAGATGACAAGAGCCATCTCGTCTGATGGTCCACCTTCTGATGATCTCGACGAGGCTCCCTACCACGAGAATGTGCGGACCACCAGTGTTCCCACAAAGTCAGGCACAGAGGTAGTCATACGCCCGCAACCTCAATCCGACGGCCCCACATCTACCAGTGGACCCAGCAGCAGACCCAGCAGCAAAGCCAGCGAAATCGATCTTGATGATGCCGAACTGATCAAAGCCCTCTCTGCTGAACCTTCCACAATTCATTTCGACTGTCCAGCAAGAACAATCCAGAAGCCTTCCGCCGAATCTGTACCCGAGTTAGAATTCATTTTCAGACCCTACAAGTCAGATGTCAACGTCTCAAGTAAGCCGCGGTCAACTCAAACCAGTCGGTCAAGTCTACCTGCTTCATCTGCTTCGTTCGAAAAGTCAAACCAGGAACACGAAGTCTCGATTCGCAGTGCTCACAGAGATCCAGCCGATGTCCCAACACCGCAAGGTCTGAGCCGTCTCTTCCCCTGGCTGGCTCTATGGCTGACATTGAATCTTGAAGCTTCCATCGAGTTCCAAATGGACTCGCAACCACCTGGCTCGCGTCTCTTCCAGAACGCCTCAGTCCAAGTCCAGAACGCTTCACCGAGCCCGAGTACTTCAACAAAGAGTGCCCGTCGTTCCCGAAGCTCGTCAATGCAGACTTCCAAGCAGCTTCAGCGCAAGCAGTGAGCAATGTGTCTGACTTGGTATTTTCACATCTGCTAATACAGATTTCAGACCCGTCACCAACAGAGTCTCCCCAAGTCGACCTCACAAGACTATCCAGACGCCGGATGAACAGACCACCGAACAAATGACGAATTCTACCGACAGTGGCTTGACAAAGAGAAAGCCCATATCGGCTGATGGCGTCGCCCAGGAAAGCAAGGACACGAACGGGCCTCGTGAGACTACCGGTGACTTGGAAGTCATCTTCTCCCTTGAAGAGAAGCCTACCATCAATCTTGGCAAGGTGTCCGTTCCTCGATCCATTCAACACGTCGAATCACAACGCCGGGCCCTAGGAGAAGAGGCCCAGGCTAGATCAAAGCTGCTACAAGTCGAGTCTGAGGATGTTCTCATGGAGGAAAGGGGCGACTTCGAGCATCTGTCTGATGGTGACAACACGATCCCTATCCGAGAGACACATCAGCTGATCGTCGAGAGCGAGCCTTGTGGAAGTTCTCACACTACATCCGGTGACCAGCGTTCGGCTCAAGACCTGTGCGTCGTTGCCGATCAGAGCCCCGTTAGAGAGCAAGAGTCCGTCCAAATGCAGCACTCCGTCGAAGCCCAGCTCGCAGACGATGTCCATCACGTCAACGGTGATCACCTCTTTACAGAGAAGCATCCGTCTGCCGAGTTGGAGCGGACAATTCCTCCTGAGCTACGGGTTGAGACCGTTGGTCAAATACCACCCCAAACGGAAGACCGTGGCCCACAACGTCCGAAGCCCCTGCCTGACACTACATCGACTCGAGCTCACGGACAACAATTGTTACCTGGAGTCTCTGGTTGCAGCGGCCCGTCTGGGGTGGTAAAGAAGAAGGCGAAGTCATCAACGTCTGAATCTGCCGTACGAGGACCAATGCTCAGGTCCAAGTCCATTCACGGATCTCCGCAATACACAGCTGCACAGCTTTATCAGCTCGCTGATTACATGAAAGAGCAAGAGCGTATGCAAGAAAAGCAAGAATGGTTGAGAGCTCTTGCCATGAAGCAGGCTGAGCTGGAAAAGGCCAACAAGCAGAAATCAAGCCTCGAAGTCGAGTGTGTAGGGCTCAAAGACAGTCTCAAGAGATACTCTGGCATGTCTGAGAAGCTCAAGCAAATTATTGTTGCATACAATGGCCTGGGTCGAGATATGACAGCACTACAACACACCAGGGCCTCATACGACAGAGGATTCAGAAGCCTCAAGAACCAGCTCGACACCAATCTGAACGCGGCCACGAAGGCCACGGAACAAAGCATCGTAAAACTGGACAAAGTCAAGACTGACAGTCTGAGTCTCGTCAAGGAATGCAAGGTTTCGCTCATCACTTTGACAAGAGAGAAATCCGATCTCAAGAAACGTCTCAGCGAAACGTCCACGATGTTGGCCCAGGAGAGAGAATGCCAAGCTGCTTTCGACCAGCGTCTGCAGAGTCTCAATGCAGAAAAGAAGACTACCGGGGAGATGCTCAATGGTTGCACCAGCAAGATCGATGATCGACTGCACGGTTTCAAAAGCTTGATCGAACAGAGCAATTCTTCAAGCGCAACCTCCTCGAATGAGCTTCTTGAGCTGATGAAGAAGGAGACTGCGGCTATGTCAGACCAAGTACGCTCTTCCGTGGCAAATATTGAAATGATGAAGACTTCGACTAAAAAGCTCTCGGCAGGGTAAGTCAAATTCGAACTTTCGCCGTGTACCACATGCTAATTCTCATGGCCAGCTTCGAGAAACACATTCAAGACTTCAAAGCGGCCAACACTCAGACCTCGGAAACTCATATAGAAGTCGACAACAAGTTCATGGCAGCGCTTGAGCTCATCAAATCCGACTTCAAGACTTGGGAGGCTCTTGCTGAGAAGAACACCACCCTGCATGAGAGTGTCAGCACGGAGAAACAACAATCACAGTCGAGTAAGGAAATGGTTGAGAAGCTCAAAGTCGACTTGGATCAAAAGAGCAGCGACGAAAGATCCCTCAGAGCCAGACTTAAGGAGCTGCAGTCTTCCCAGGTTGATCTACAGTTCGCAAAGACCTCCGCAGAAACCGACAAGGTCAAATTGCTGTGGCTCGCCAGATCCGAGGGCAATCTGAAGCAAGAGCTTGAGAAGTCAAAAAGTCAGAATGCCGAGAACATGGCGACTATAGCAGCGATGGATGAGCAGAAGAAGAATCTGCAGCGTGGAAAGTCAGATTTACAGGTGAGTCACAGCGTGAGAGCATCTATCTCTTCCATACTAACATCGGTGAAGAGTCAATTCAGAGAAGCTGTTAAGGATCTTGAACAAGCGCGTCGTGTAGTCCCAGACTTTGGTCCCGAAGAAGCCAGAATCAAGGCAGCAGTAAGCTAAGCACTCTACTCACGTTCTGGGCATAGCAACCGCTGACTATGTACAGGCCAAGAAACAGTCTGATGAGACCATAGCCGAGGTCCATACTCAAGTTCGCAAGCTTAACGTTGACTTCAACAACAAAATGTTGAGACAAGAGAAGAAGAAGGAAGAAGTCGACCGCGAACTCGCCGCTAGAGAGAAGACTGTCAAAGACTTACAACTTGAGCTCGAGCGCTTGAGACAAGAGTTTGGCAGCCGCAGTGCTACGTCGTGTTCCGAGGAGGTGCGTTTGAAGAACGAACAGATCAAACTCCTGAAGGACGAAAAGGTTGCAGCAGGCGGTCGCCTCGAGAAGCTGCAGCAAACTCTTGAAGCGCATAGTCACTCAGCCAAGGATACAGCTCAAAAACTGCAACAGAGCCACTCGCGGATCGAGCGTCTCGATCAGTCCAACACGACTATGCAAGGAAAGATCAAGTCCCTGGAGCAAAGTCTCGAGGCATCTCAAATTCTGAAGGAGGCAAGCGACAAAGCCCATCAGGAAGCCTTAGTACTTCAGTCTCAAACTTCTGGAAACCAACTCAATGCCTTGGAGGTCCGCTTGAATGAGGTCGAGTCCCGAAAATGTGCTGTCGAAAGCAAACTCAGCGACCTAGAAAGGCAATCCAGTGATGAAGTCAAACAGCTACAGCACGAGCTCACAACTCTACAACAAGGGTTGGGAGATGCCAAGATCCGTCTCAAGGAGATGGACGAGCGTTACACTAAACATGAAGAGGTCATCAAGCAGAAGGACCCTGAGATTGACAAGCTCAAGCAGGATCTTGCAAACGCTCACACTGCGGCGATCCAAATCCCTAATTCGCAACCACACGAAGACTCTGAGAACCCTCCGACCAAAAAATCCAGGAGAGTGGTCAACAGAAACGCTTCCTCGGTCTCCAAGTCTACAAGTTCGGCGATCTCCGCTGGTGACGCGCAGACTACCAACGGTGTTACCCAGAGTATCCAGACAAGAGGTACAGGTTCTTCGATCTTCGGACCATTCAGCAAGTCGAGGGGTGACAGCCTTGACGAGCACGGTCCAGAAGGGGTCACTCATGAAGACGAAGACATGTTGGATCTAGACAATGCAGTCTTGCGTTTCGCAAAGACAAACTCCAGACCCACCACATCGCAGTCTGAGACTCAAAATGCGCTCAGTTTAGGCTCTAAAGAAATCTTGGACGATGAAGAAGTCAGACTTAGAAGTCAGGCCAGTCGTACGCAGACAGTTGCACAGCTTCAACATCAGAAACAGATCTTGTCGTCGTCATCATTGAGTTCGCCCATCTCGCCCAGCGATGCCTGGAGAGAAACAGCACAGATCGATGCGGGTGAGACACAGAGCCAAGATCAAAGTGGAATCTTCCAACAAGAGTCGTATGGTCTCGGTATCCAAAATCAGCACGAGTCGCTCGACTTCAGTGGCGAAACGCAACAGCAATCAATGGACCTTGGAACCTTTGACGATCTTGTTGTCAAACCCCACTCTGCGTTTGAAACACCATTGAAGGCGGGTGGCAAAAACCTGCAAGGCGTGGGTAGGAAGCTCACATTGAGACCTGAGAGCCAAACGAGATCACAAAGCAGACCTGGAGCTTTGCCTTCTATCACCACGCCCAGACTTCTCAAAGCGTCAGCGGTCCTTGCGCAGCAGAAGAAGGTGTCTGCGTTGAGCAGCGGGCCTCACAACTTCAAAACAGGAGGTATCACCAAGGGGAAACGCACGAGTGTCGACGAAGCAGAAGAAGAAGAAGAAGAAGAGGAAGCCGGCGTGTACTCGGCTCCCAGCAGCTCTGTACGTGGCAGTGTAAGCCCGCAGAAACGATCAGCCTCCCAAAGCACAAAGAACAACAAGAGACAGCGCAAGGACACTACCACAGTTTCCTTGCCCTCCACGCGCCAGCGTAGCGCTATCCCAGCACCACGCCGCTCTCAAACCACGGTAAAGAGCAGTTCCCAGAACAGAGGCCCATCGGCAAGTCAGGGAGCGGCCACGCCAGCTCCACAGAGACGTCGCTCAGTGAGAAACAGTAAGTCGATGATGATTCGGTTGCGTACGACATGACTAACAAGGCTTCACAGACAGAGAGCAGAGTATGATGAGCCGCTTCAACGATGAGATGATGAGGTAAGCACCAAAGGTTGCGGAGGAACGAGTGACGAAGCGAGTGAGAGCCACCGCGCAACATGTTTGATAAGTATGGTTACTAGCAGGGGACGACAATTTGCTCATGGAGTATGTTTTATCAGAACGATTTGCTCGGAGATGGCGCGCACGCAAGGAGATTTCTCAATGAACAATTGCTTCGGCGGGACGAAAGTATGAGTTATGATACAGTTTGTACATGGCTTGTTGCTGATAATGATAATGATGGAGCCCAAAACGCCGGTCCCATGCTCTTCCCTGACTCCGTAAACAATTGAACCTGATATAATCGAACGGCGGAAAGATGGCGAATCGAGCATCGATTGGACGTGTTGGCTTCATGACGCTGTTCTCGTGTGGAACAGCTTTCACGCTCGGGTTTGGCGACCACTCGCTCCTCTGTGTGGCTGAACTGATCATTTCGAACCACCACGCTTTGCCTCGAGGAAGAGAACCTTCTTCTTGACTGCAAAAACTCCATTAGCCTGTGTTCTTCATCTTGTTGTACATCCTCTGATGCGGCACGCCAACAGTCCACCTCTTTTACCACCTCTCCCATCTCCACATCTTCTGTGTCGGACGGTTTGCGCAGGTGGCAGACTGGCGTAGGTGATGACATACCGACAGGATCGTACTTGAGCATGCTCAGCGGTCTATGTGTGCGAGGTCGAACAAGAGTCTTGTAGTAACCAGTCAAGGCCATTGAGATGATGCGCACGGCGATAGTGCGTGACTTTGCTGTTTCTGCGTGTCAGTCGCCTGAGATACTACAGTAGCCAGCAAGTCTCTACACACCTTTCTTGGCCATGGTCGCTGTGTGCTCTGCGGTACAATGGGTTATTTCTTCTGGCTCATCGCTGGATTTGGAGATGCGATTGATGATGGCGGAGATGGTCTGTGCGGGGCTTGGCGGTCATGGAGGGATGGTTTTGGCTCTGCCTTCATGAGCTTGCTTTTGAGAAGGACAAGCACTGTGATATGAAATCACCATATGATGGATTGGCTGGTCCATCGGAGATCCAATAGACCTCGTTGTGGTGCTGTTGCTCCTCGAGCCTGATTTATAGATGATCCGTCACTTTCTCTCAGCTCCTCCAGCCAAGCCATGCTGATGGCAGCATCGAAGCACATCTATGGTCAGGAATCCTTCCATCGCTAGATTCCAGCCAGATGACTTGTGTAAGATCATTGGATGACATTCTCACCGGTGGATAGAAGTCCCTCCGCTCATGACGGCGTCCCAGAAAATAGTTTCCGATTTATGTCTCCGAGAAGTCCTCGACATTGCTGCAAAGCCTACGTAGCGGATGCATATCGTGACCAATCCACCGAAATGTCTCCTGATTGACAGGCTATAAGTATCTGGGCATTCTTTTGCTAATCTGTGCTCTTTCCACATGCTACTGCTATATACTCTGATTCTTCTGAGCTCAACATTTCTCACAACAATGTCTTTTACTACCACGACCAGCGCGCCCATGCTCAAGGTCAATGTCGCCGATTGGGACAGGACTGCAAAGTCATATGCCCAAACTGGCTCGAGAGGTCCAATGAGCATTCCCATTCAAGGCTTGGTCGGTCTGCTCAACAAATTGGAGCCCTTGGATTCAGCATCTGCCATTCTGGATGTTGGCTGTGGCTCTGGTGGCGTTATCTCTCACATCATCGACACGTACTCTGCGAACATGCAATCTACCACTCAGCTACTCTCGACCGACTTTAGTAGTGTAATGGTGTCTTTGGTTACTCAATTGCGCAAGACAAAGCTCGCCGAACTCCCTGCTGGCCGCGAGCGAGACTTGTGGTCGCAAGTAACGCCTTTGATACTGGATGCCACTGATATGCGACCTTTACCCAACGACTTGATCTCACACATCATTGCTAGCTTTGTCTTCTTCATGACCGCAGATCCTGCCAAAGCACTCGCTGAGTCCTATCGTGTGCTGAGGTCCGGCGGCGTTCTGGCATGCTCTTCATGGCACAAGATGATGTGGATGGAAAATCTGGTCCTCGCTACCGAACGCGCTCTTACTCCTCTCAACAAGGCGATTCCTGTCATGCCACAGTTTCCCACCAAATGGAGCACTGCAGGAGGGGTGAAAGAGCAATTGGCAAACGCAGGGTTCAGAGATATTCAGACCGAGTACATTGAAGCTCCTATCATCATTCCCGATGTCGAGGCTTGGTCACGCTCCTTTATCGCGAGTGGAAATCCTGCTGTTACTTGGATCACGGATGTTTTGGACGCCGCTGAGGTGGAGCAAGTGGAGAAGCAGCTTGTACAGGCCATCAAGGAGAAATGTGAGGTTAATGAGCAAGGTGCTTATATTCTTTCTGGTACTGCTGTCCTGGCTGCTGGTCGTAAGTAGTGGACACTCAGCTGTATGATGATTGGATGTGCTGTCTTTCCGATTGCCTGCTTATACCCGCGTTTCACACGTGGAGCCACGCTGTCTCAAAGGAAAGTCATTTTCCAACTTCTTTCAAGCCACGAGGCATGACTGTATCATTTCTGAGTCAAGCCTTTGTAGTTCGAGTGGCTGAACATAGTCTCTTGATATTCTCTGATCGTCAATCTTTTCCGTCTGCACTGCATCGCCTCTGTTTGTTTTTTCTTGTGTCACGCACTGCCACGACATGGACTCCACTTCAACCACAATTGACGACAAGCTATGCTCAAATCGCATGGAAGTCGAGACATACATGCTTCGTCGCGATCGTTATTACAAGACCTGTCCATGGCTGGACGAGCATCAACACGAGTATCAAAGGACGGTAGCGACTAGTCCTCTCGCCCGGGTCCGTCAACTCTTTGGAAGAGAATCAAGTCTGCTCAAACCTATCTACGATGATGTCAACATCGCTTACCGCGACCATCATTGCTTTATGCGTCGCCACCCACGCTCAAGCCATGATCGAAATCCCGTGGTGTCGATCAACGCTTCTGGCACTGCTGAGAATCTTCAGACAGCTGCCAAACTCATATGGCAAGAGATGCAACGCACAGTCACAAACGATAGCATGAAAAGACTTATCGTCGAGGTCTATGATGCCACCCGACTTTCCTCACAAAAAACGTCTACCTCTCCCCATCAGCAGGGCAAAAAGACTCGGCATCTCACCTCTACCTCAATCTTTGCATTTCCTTCGCTTGCAACTATCGTCATGGCTCCAATTCATAATTTGTCTGATGCACCCACATCACGCACCAGATGCGTCGCCTATCCCGACCATAGCAGTGGGCGTTCTGGCTCACACGATCGCTGACTTCTTGACACTCGAACATGATATCTTGACTCTCATGTCTAGCAAAGTTCAAGTGACTTTCCATCCCATAAGACTTCTTGGAAATCATGCACACGATCTTCACCTCCACAAAAGAGTCCAAGCCAGTTTTGACTCTGCCCTTGATGATAACAGACAAAAGCCCAGGCAGAATTTTGCGGATTATTTGTCTACCCTCTTTTACTATCCCGGATTTGATTCACGATCTGTGGGAGAGCAGATATCGCATGTTTTGAAGAGGCTAAACGTGCGGTATAAGACACACATCGCCAAATCTACTCGGATTCCCGAGCAGTTTCTGACTATGGGAGAAATCGTACGTTTCGGCGCGCAGTTGGATGCAGAAGACAAACACTTTGGAGGAAGAGAATCACTCTCCTACCTCAACACTCTTGCCGAAACAGAGACACAACTTCTACAAATGATTGAGCGATCCAATGCTTCTAGGATCATGTATCCTAAGCGTGTGGAGAAGCCTGTAGACCTAGGCTTGGAATTCAATGATATCCCGACGTGTTTGGACTACTATACGAGATTCAAAACACCAACATTCGAAATACGCCATCTTCGCCAAGCACGTCTCCTAGAATCCACCATTTCTCTCCAAGACTCCACTGTGCTCGAGGAACCATACATCCCAGACTTTGGTCTACGAGCCTTCTTTCCAAGTCTTGAGAAACGTCAATGGGCGATCCCTCACCATTGTGAAGTTCTCGGCACTGTGGAGGAAGCTCACAATGTTGATTTGCAGCAAGTCTTTGAGCAGGAAGAGGAAGATCAATGGTATGCTGTTTCTATCGTGGACGAGGATACCCCACAGCAAACGACAGGCGATGGTGTCAGGGAGTGGTCAAGAGGCGGTGTGGAGTGGGTATGGAGATGGCCCGCCCGTGTGGCATTTGGCAAAGAGGCCGCACAGGCTCTGAGACGGGGAGAGTGGTGATATCAAGAATGTGTATCTCGGTACCTGTTCTGTATCTCTATGAAAATTTCTGTTTGCTGGAAAAGACTGTGCCATTCCGCAGCACTGGGAGTATGAATGACCACATTTAGGAATGATAGAGAGACATCAAGAGATCAGGTCACCATGAAGTGAGACCAGGGGTCCCTGACTCTTCGCAGTCTTGCAGCAGCTACGGCACAAGCTTCGATGTTGAGACATGGAGTTCTTGATCCTTCTTCGCAGACCTGATTTGAAGCCACTTGATACTGCATCTCTACTGTCTTGTGTCATCAGAGAGGCACGTCATTCACCCTGATATGAACTATTTGTAAAGCTGTGAGCAAGAGAGATTACAGCGGCATGGTAGCTATAATTGCCAATTGCCGTCTCGGTCACCCCTTCTTCGCTTATGTTTAACTAGAGGTCAAAGGCAGGGTCTTTGTTTATGGTCAAGGTACGGGGAAGTGTTGGCCAAATTGGAAAGAAGGGAATGATTGTTCAGACAAGTTTAATTTCGGTACCCTGCAGCGGTAGCGAAACGATATTGTCCGACACGCGCTTTCTCACATCACATGCAAAGCGCTACCTCATTCAGCTTTTTGTCACTCGACTTTTTGTTACTCAAATGTTCGGCAGCCCCTGCAGCGGTAGAGAAAACACATCGTCCAATACGTGCCCTCTTACACCGCCCACCAATCTTCATCAACCATCAATCTCCATCAACACCAACCATCAATCTTCATCAGCACCAACCATCAATCTTCATCAGACACTCCGTTCAAGTATCACATAAACACATACTCATTGCTTGGCCGTACCAACCAGTGCTCGCGAATTAACCTCATCCATCATCACCCTCACAAGACTCCTGATCATGTCATCGAGAATCATCTCCTACAATCTCCAATTCTCCAAAGGACAACAGCGTAGCCTCTAGAGAGCTTTCAAGTCAAAAGGCCTAAGAATAAGACAGAAAATCGTCGAGATATCTGCTTATGCATTATGTGACACAGGCCCCCTCCTGAGAGGTGGTAACAGGGGTTTCACTTGACGTGGGCATTTTACACTCTTCTTCCTGGTCACGACGCTGTATCTAGAAATGGTACTGTTGCCTTTTTGCGGCAATATCGGTTGCTTCGAAGCCGCTCAACGAGATGGCTGCCTTGTCCACGTGAGACGAGGCTTGCAGAAGTAGGAGGCAGGGGCGCGTCATGGAAGCAAAGAAAAGAGAAAAACCTTGCCGAAAGGCACGATGGTTCTGAACATGCCAAGTGATCAGATGCTGTCCTCACTGATGTTACTGCGCATCTCACACATCGACTTGTCCAAAACATAAATGCCAAAAAAACTAGATTATATTGCCTGTAGCCAATCTATCCACTCAATGGTGGAATAGGGTATCCTGAAAAGCATCCCTCTCACTCGCGCTCTAAAGTCCATTCCACCACTTGGTCTTTTGTACCTCGAAAGTGTCCTCGACAGCACTCTCGCCAACAGCACTGCTATCCGAGATAATAACCTTGTATTCACCCTTCTCAGATCTCCAAGCGTTTCTGCTCTCGTCCCAGAAGCTAGTGGCGTATTTTAGGGCAACCTTGAGCTCGACTGTCTTTTCCTCGCCGGGTTGGAGTAAGACTTTTTTGAAGGCTTTAAGTTCTTTTGTTGGTCTGCGGAGGGAAGGTGAGAGGGGTGAGATGTAGAGTTGAGCGACCTGTGCTCCAGCCACTTTGCCGGTGTTCTTAACTGTGACTCTGGCGAGAAGATCGCCTTCGGTATCTGTGGGTGTTTGAATCTTGAGGTCTGAGAAGCTGAAGGTCGAGTATGAGAGTCCGTGGCCGAAGGGGAATGCAACGGGCCGACCGAGGGTGTCGTAGTAGCGGTAGCCGACGTACACATCCTCGCCGTAAAGCACTCTACCAGCTTCTGAACGGTAGTTGAGGAAAGCTGGGTTGTCCTCGTTCTTGATAGGGAAGGACAATGAAGTTTTGCCGGAAGGGTTGACGTCACCGAATACGACGTCTGCAATACCATTACCAGTCTCGTTACCACCGTACCATGCTTGAAGCACAGCAGGTACCTTGCTCAGCCAGGGCATCTCGACTGGTGTACCACTTTGTAGAACAACAGCTGTGCGAGGGTTGGCTTCTGCGACGGCGGCGATAAGGCGGTCCAGATGGCCTGGTAACTTCATGTCTGGTCTGTCGAAGCCCTCACTCTCCCAGTCCATGTTAAGGCCTGCACAGATAAGAACTTGGTCGGCAGACTTTGCAAGCTCAGCAGCGCGGCGGACCTCCTCGTCAGCGTCGATCTTCCAGGCGCCGCCAATACGAACGGCACCACCGCCAAAGTCAACGCTGCCGCCGGTCAACTTGCTGGTAGGCGCGCTTGCAAACTCGAGGCGAACGAAGTAAGTCTCTCCCTTCTTCATGGGGACGGAACAGATGTCCTCGTCCGTACCGAGACCGAAGAAGGCAGAACCTTGACGCTGGTTTTCTGTAATATCGAGAACGAGCTTGTCGTTGACGAAGACCTTGGCCGAACCGTAGACACAGACACCGAGCTCATAATCACCATCGCGATCAGCAGTGTAGTATGCCTCGATATCAGCGTACCAAAGTCCAGACTTGAGTTTGGGGTTCTTGTAGTCCATGAACATCATCGAGGTGTTTGTGAAAGGTCCAAGAACATCGACACATTTACGGTCCTTGTCCGAAGGGGGCTCGTTGAAAGCCTTGAAGAGTGCTCCGTGCTCGCCATCATCTCCGGGTGTTGTTCTCCATTCTGCGCCCAAGCTAGGCATTTCCTTGTGAGAGTATGCACCGATGCTGAAATCAACATTCCCCTCGTCGACCTTGTCAACAATGCCATCAAAGGGAGTCACAGCGTAGTATGGGCGAAGAGATGCTGAGCCACCACCACAGTAGGTTGCAGCCTTTGCGTTAGGACCAATAACCAGGATCTTCTTGTCCTTCTTCAAGGGCAAAATATCGCCTTCGTTCTTCATCAGTACGATCGATTCAGCGGCGAGCCTTCGTAGCAACTTTGATGTCTCCGGTGTGTCGTTGGTAGTCTCCTCGGCATTTTCCTTGACGCCGGATGCAGCACACTCATTGACCAGCTCCAGCACTTGTCTAGCTCTCTCGTCGATGACGCCAGCGGGGATCTTGTTGGCAGTCGAAGCGTGAACCAAAGCTTCTCCTCTGAAACGGGTGGGCCCAGGCATTTCTAGATCCAAGCCGGCAATGACAGACTTGGATGTAGAGTATACACCAAACCAATCACTCATCACCAGACCCTTCCATCCCCACTCTCCTCTCAAGATGTCCTTCAAGATCCTTGTGTTCTCACTGACATGTGTGCCATTGATCTTGTTGTAAGCAGTCATGAAGGATTTGGGATAAGCGTCGCGCACAGCCAATTGGAAAGGCATGAGATAGATCTCTCTCAACGCACGTTCAGTGACGATAGAATCCACTCTGTTACGTTCGTGTTCTTGGTCGTTACCGACAAAGTGCTTGATGGTGGCCACAACGCCATTCTCCTGCATACCCTTGACCAAAGCTGCGGATCCCAGGCCTGCCAGGAATGGATCTTCGCCGATGGATTCGAAACCACGGCCACCAAGGGGAGAACGCTGCATGTTGATAGTGGGACCGAGAATCACGTGAGCGCCTTTTGCGATGGCCTCCTTGCCCATCAGACGGCCGGCTTCTTCGAGGAGCTCAGTGTCGAAAGTTGCACCCAAAGCTGTTCCGCAAGGGAAACAGGCTGCTGGTGCGCCGTTGAAGAAGCGAGTGCCACGAACACCATTGGGACCGTCCGAGAGTCGCAGGGCAGGGACGCCATGCTTCGGGATTGCTTGTGTGTGCCAGAAGTCGGTGCCTGAGTTATACGATTAGGAAACCATAACATCGTTGGAGACTGCCGATGGCGATGTCGTACCTGCAAGTAATGAGATCTTTTCTCTTTCTGTAAGCTTCGAGAGAACATCCTCTACGTCTATAGAAGCCATGATGTATAACAAGCGCGAAGGGGTATCAATGAATAGCAAAACAACCAAAAGTTGTAGATGTGGTCAAGAAAAGCAGTGAGTGACACAAGGCAGGAACAACGTTCTTATACATTCACTCTTCAATCACGACTCAAGCAGATAGGCTCTCCAACGATTGGATAAGGCATGACAAGTCAAGTAAAGGAACCACCGTTTTGGGCTCCACAATATCTGCGGCAAGCACTGTTTCGGTCTGCTGGCAGCTCACTTGCTAACAAGCACGCGATGGGGAAGGTCCGCGAAATAAAGGCTCTAAGGCCCGGATTGCCGTCCGATGATCTACCGCGCTTCTCTCCGGCTAAATGTGTCGAGGTCATGGCCCCGCTTTCTCCCTGCCCTGCCACCACTATTTCCTCGCTGAGAAAGGAGACAGATGCTCCGGGCACGAGATACGACTTTCCCCAAGCGAGCCCGCCAAACGGACGCCTCCATATTGCAAGGGAAAGAACGAAATCGATCCCTGAGCACAACAAAGTAGAGGGCTTGTACCGAAGTGAATCCGGGTGCCCCGCCCCGCCTTTCCAAGCATGAGATCAGTCCCGAAATTTAGGCTCCGGCAAGAGGTGGACGGTTGGCATTGATATTGATGATCACAGTTGGATCTATCGTCGTTGACACTCATACGGATACGAGACATTCATTTCAGTCATTCATAAGCTATCGTCCCGAAAGGTCATCGGCCGAACCTCATCACACCTTACACGACCGTCAAAGTGGCATTAGTGCGGAAGTCTGCGGAACTGCTACCAATGAAGATGGTAAAGTTGCCCGGCTCGACCACATAATCCATACTCCTGTTCCACAAACCGATATCACTGATGTTCAATGGGATACTGACTTCAGCCGTCTCGCCAGCCTTGATGAATACCTTCTCAAAGCCCTTGAGTTGGATGTTGGGGACAGTGACACTAGCAACCAAGTCCTTGACGTAAAGTTGGACGACCTCAGCACCATCGTATGTGCCGTTGTTTGTGACAGAGACTGTGGCAGTGATAGAGTCGGTTGCCGAGACTTGCGACGAGGAAAGTGTCACATTTCCGTAATCGAAAGAGGTGTAGGAGAGACCGTAGCCGAAGGGGAACCAAGGCACGGGTGTGTTCAGGATGTAGCTGGAGCCAAAGTAGAGGTTTCCATCTCCGCCGACATAGCCGGGATAAGTAGCTCTTCCACTGTTGAGGAAGTCGTAGTAGGCTGGCAGAGTACCGACATCGTGAGGGAAAGAGACAGACAGCTTGCCGGATGGGTTGATCTTGCCAAACAAGATATCAGCCAAGGCGTTACCTCCTTCCTCACCAGGGTAGAACTGCTGAACAAGACTGGCAGTCGTGTTTGAGATCCAATCTTCGGTGAGTGGCTTGCCAGAAGAGAAGACGACTACAGTAGGCTTGCCTGTATCAATGACGGCCTTGACAAGAGCTCTTTGTGCGCCGACGAGACCGAGATCACTGTTTGGAGTCAGCTTATCATCGTGTCAATCGAGTCTCAACAACACACCTCTCATCGATATGTTCTCCAGTGGTAGCGTTGAGGCCCTGCCACAGCTCTCGCTGATCTCGAGACCATGTACCAACGATGACAACAGTCACGTCGGCATTCTCAGCAGCCTGTACGGCTTCAGGAATACCAGACTCGTCGGTCGACCATCTTTCGCAGCCTTTTGCGTAAGTCACGGTCGCATTAGCTGAAGGGCCAACAGCGTTCTGGATACCCTCGAGATACTCGACACCCCTGTACTGAGACTGGTAAACAACATAATCGCCATAATTCATGAAGCCAGAAGCCATGGGTCCAATCACAGCGATTCTGTCACTCTTACTGAGTGGAAGTGTCTTGTTGGGGTTCTGTAGAAGGACAATTGACTCAGCGTCGAGGTCACGAGCAAGCTTCTTAGCTGCGGCATTGTTGATGATGCTGTGCCATTGGTCCTTAGGAGCAGCCGGATTGGGGTTTTCGAAGAGACCCATTTGGAACTTGACTCTCAAGACTCTGGCGACGGCCTCGTCGACGACACTGATGTCGATGGTTTTGTTGCCGACAAGATCGGGGATTGAGCGGAAGTTGAACGAGCCGCCTCCCATCTGCACTAATGTCAGCTGAGCTTTGTTGTTTGAGTTAGATCATTTGCTTACCTCGACATCATTTCCAGCGGTCAGACATTGCTCAGTGACACATTCAAAATCGTTGACACCACAAGTCAGGAAGTTTTTGAACAAGCGATCGGTAGCACCGGCATCACTCGAGACAAAGTACTTGTAGCCTATCAGATGTCAGTAAGTTGCGCTCTCGTAGCCGTCTGTCCGACATACCCCATTCGTTGCGCAAGATTTCGGTGAGCATAAAGTAATCAGCTACAGCTGGAATGCCATCATACGCATGATATGCAGACATGATCGAGTAAGCCCCACCATCAATGATGGCTCTGTGGAAAGGAGGAAGCCAAGTCGTACGCAATTCACGCTCACCACCATGAACAGGTGCTGTGTTGAGACCTCCTTCAGGATCCGAGTAGGCTGCAAAATGCTTGACCATAGCCGACACATTTTGACCTTGACAGCCAACGATATAGTTGTAAGCCATCTCGCCAGCCAAGTAACCATCTTCACCATAAGTCTCTTCCACACGACCATAGCGTAATTCGCGTGCAAGATCTGCAAGCGGAGCGAAGAGCTGGGTGACACCAAGGGCAGCAGCTTCGATGGCAATCAGCTCGCCCATCTGGCGCTGCAGATCACGGTTGAAAGAGCAAGCTTGAGCAATTGGGGAGTTGAAGATTGTCGCATTGCCAATCAAGAAGCCGTGAATGCCTTCAGTCTGCACGATTGCTGGGATTCCCAAGCGAGTGTTGTTGACAGCATAGTCTTGTCCTACTTTGATGCCTTCGGCCAGCCAGTCCCAGGTGATAGGATAGCCGACGTAGAACATGCCGCCACGGTTCTCGAAGTTGAACTCAAGACCCGTTTGGTTATACTCGCCCGAGGTCGTGTTAAGCCAGTTCGAGATGTCGCCTGGAAGGGTGTGTCAGTCAAGAGTCTTGATCAGGTTCCTGAGGGCCGTTGTACCTTGCATCAACTGTGCCATCTTCTCCTCGAGCGTCATGAGGGACACGAGATTCTCAACTCTGGCATCGACAGACTGAGATGCATCCTTGTAGATGGCATCGGCCAACGAAGCATTCGATTGAGCTTGAGCAAAACTCAGACCAACCAATGTCAGGCCGGCAGCAAAGAGACGAACCATGATTACAAGTCCGATGAGTTTTCGAGGATACGACATGAGAGAGAGAGGCAGATCAGAAGTTTATACAGAACCCACAATACTACCCAGCCTCACTGCTTTCTTGAACATGATCGCTTAGATGCATACCAGGCACCAAGATCCGGAGGTCATCATGCATTGCTGATCCCTATACAGGCTAATATAAAGGCATCAAGAAAAGAATGAAAGATGCTTTGCTGTCGACGGAAAAATTATTTTCTTGAGGATTGAGGAGCAGCTAAGATGTGAGGATCCCCGCAATCACTCCATTGACCCCCGCCTTCTGCTTGCAATGCACATGGGCCACCATATTGGTTAGCCCTAATGTATTGATTGGAGGACTCTGCGGTTGTTCGGTGAGAGGGCGAGGTATCTGGAACGGCCTTTCTGCACTTCTTGACAACGCGACAATACGAGGTGATGCTTGGAAGCCCGCCGGGGGATGATATGATCGTCATCGGTTGACCTCGGCTTGAAGTAGGCCGAAGCTCTCAAGATCATCACTGCAGGTGTGGACATGTCATGTGCCATGATGGAACGTGAGTTGTTGGACATTAGCTAGCGTTGTGCTAGAAGGTTGTCATAGGCGAGTAAGAGAGTGATGGCGTGAGAGCAGGCTTCGACGAGTTTGAGCCAAATCGCTTGCTACTGAAATCGGGTAATCGTGAGGCACAAAAGAGATCTAGAAGAGTATGAAGGAAGGCGATCAGGCAAACCTGCTTCTGACTCTTCGCATGCCCACGCCGCCTGCTTCGCTGCCAGCACCAGCTTCACTTCCAGCGTAACTTGTTGTTCTGCTCATGGGTATAGCGGCACCAATGACAGCAGGCGCAGAGGCGGTAAGAGCAGAGATGTTGCCGTTGACTATGGGGCCTGGTGGTGCCGCAGCTGCAGCAGTGCCCACGCCGGCACCGTTGCGGAGTGCGAAACGCAGAGACTCGGGGTCTGCAAAGCCATAGGGAGGGATTCTGTTTACTCCACCACTGATGGCAGCCGGGCCAGTCTCGAGGATTGGGAGACGGAAGGGCGCGACGCCGTTTGTGGTTTGGCAGGCTTGTTCCAGCAGGCGTTCTCGTATCTGCTGGAGATTGCTCAAGTTCTCGTCTTGTTCAAGATTTGAGGTTGGGGCATCATCCTCTCTAAGCATGAGTGCAATATCGCTGTCGATCTCGCCAGTGCTCACACCCGGTGGTGTGGGCGCACCCTTGTCTGTCTTCGTAATTGGTATGAGAACGGGCACGAAAGGGTTTGTGGTTGTCGATGTGAGAGCGGCAGCTTCCGAGAGAGCAGCCAGGGGATTGGCCCTGGTAGCACCACGAGTGGCATGATGTGAGATGTTGCGCTCCATCTCAGGGGCTTGTGTGGGAGGTGGTGAGCCATGGGCTTGGGTTGCGACGATGTCGTCGATCTCGGTGGTGATGGCAGGAGGGCCAATGACGGCGTCGGCAGCTCCATCGACAGATGCGAGCGAGGGAGCGCTTCCGGGGTTCTGCTGGCTGGGCTGAGCCTGGTGGAAGAAGTGGTGGGTCGCAATCTGAGCGACAAGCGTGGCATGGTTCAACTCTTTCTCCGTGAACAGACGATCGATGGAGAAGGCCGGGGCCTCGTATTGTGTGTAGATGGTCTTTGTGCGGGCCTCGTGGAAGGGCGAAGCTGCGCCATTGCTTTCGTTCTGCAGAGGACGGAAGGATGGAGCAGGAGAGTCGGTGGCATCGTCGTCGGCCGGGGCCTTGCGCTTCTTCAGGCGCTCGTCCTCGGCTTCACCAACGCGATGGCGAGTGTGACGAGTCTTGCGATTACTCTGAATACCGCCGGGGCTTTGAGGCATATTGACGGTGAACTGGCTGGGGTGGAAGAACAGGGCAGAGTTGTCTGCAATGTCGAGCTGCTCCTTTTCGCGCAGCAGCTTGTCGCGCTTCTTCGTGACGCTGTTGATCAGACGACTGCGCACTGTTGTCGCCAGTTCCAGGTGCTCCCGTTGTGCGACCTGGACCTTGTAACTCGAGCTCTTCTCTAGTTCGGCGACGGCCGCTTCGTAGCGGTTCTGTTTGTGTCAGTCTTGGACGGTGCCCTGGTCGCAAAGTGGACTCAACATACTTGCAGGGCTGTCAGATCGGCGTCACGCTGTTCCAGAGCGTGGTTGATCTGCTGGACGTATTCGTGGTATCTCTTGCCAGCCAGAGCCAGGTAGTCCTTGACGGCAGCGTCCGTGTTTGGCAAGCTGCCGCCAGTGACGTTTTCGATCTCTCGCTCGACGTCTTCGGCCGAGTCGTCGAGAGGTCTGTTCTCGTAGGGGTTCGCTCTCAGTATCATTGTCATATCCACCTGGATAGCCTGGAGTTGTGCACGGTAGTGCTGGTGTTGGTCCTGCGTGAACGTCTGGATCATGTCCGAGAGCTTGTCGGTAATGTTATTACGTCTTTTGTCTCGCTTGGACAAGGGTTGTGGCGGCGGTGAGGGCGATACTCGCCGGTCGAGCGCCATTGGTGAGGTATGTGCCATGTCTTCTGTCTGTCTTTTGTGTGAGTGGCAGCAAAGGTTTATCTCAAATCGACCGTCATGAGCAAAGCCATTTTGAGATGCTCGAATCTGGGGACAAGTGAGCACAGACCATGGTCGGCCAACTTTCGGCCCGAGTACCGACCGATATCCTCAAATTGCTCTCTTCGTGAGGCTCCCTCGTACATTGCACGTAACTGCGGAGATGCACTCTAACAGTATTTTTTGTGTCTATCTAAGTGTTTTTGGTCATTATCATTTTCGTTATGAATCCTGCTTCTTTCTTTTCTCGTTCTCATCTCTCGAAAATCGTCAACTGCTTGTTTGCATTCTCCTGGCTTTGCAAATCAAAAACAAAAAAAAACTCCTGTGCTATGCTTGCATGCTTCTGAATGATGCAAAAAAAAAAAAAGTGCATCCTGTCGATGGAAAAAAGTGCTGATGCGCTGGGTGGTAATTATGCTGTGGCAATGCGTAATGAAAAATGCAAAGGGAAAAGGGGGGGGGGGGGAACTGTCCTGGTCTCTGAGGAGAAAACAGCTCTCCTGCTGTGCAATCAATGCTTTTGGTGCAGTATTCCAAGAAATGACCAAAGATGTTGAGATGATGATCCAAGAAGCTCAATCATCCTCGTCGGTGTAGTGTCTCGAAAACTTGATAAGAGAGTTGAACTTCTCATAGCCCAAGATGCGGTTGCCGCCCTCGTAGATGTGATCCTCTCCATCCTCGATGGCGCGATGAAGAAGCATCGTTCTGGGCACGAGCTTAATTCTTCCATCCTTGTCTCGAATCAATTGCATCTTGTCGGGCTTCTGGAGCTCGCCGCCAACGGCTCCCTCAAAATCGCGGCCGACAACCTGCATCTCGGATGCGTCGGTGTCTTGCTGGTCATAAAGGACTCTGGTACCGCGCTCGCGCTGCTCCAAAACGTCGACATCAATGGTGTCCAAGGCGATGATGCGGTAGACGTGAATGGACTTGTTCTGGCCCGGACGGCGCACACGACCAATGCCTTGCGCCATCTGTGACTCGTACTCGTACTGCGTGAGAGCCGGAAGGGGGGAGAAGAAAATGACATGATTGGCGTTGGTGAGGTTTGTGCCGGCGGCTGAGACATCTAAAGAATTCAAGAGCAGCACCGTCTTCTTCTTCTCGCCTTTGTCGTTCTGGAACCTCCCAATCGCCTCCGCGTTGTCGACGTTCCTGGCAGAGTTTTTGGAAGAGCTTGACTTGGTTATGTGATGGGAAATATCTGCGGCCTTGAGAATGTTGGAGGCTTCTTCGATCAGGTCGTCGGACTGGACGAACAAGATAGCCTGATCATCGTTTTCTTCAACTTTATTCAAGATGTCAATAAGCTGTTCGGCTCTTTTGCCATACTTGCTTGCTCTAGACTCTCCAAGCTTGTTGAGATGGAGGAGATGGTAAGACAGAATAACAGCAGAGCAGCCAGCACAGGGGCAAGTCCCGAGTTCATCCCTTGAGCTCTCATAGCAGGCTTTACAAATGACGTGACCGCACGCTGCCGACAACGCAAGGTTCTCGGACTTGACATGACCAGATTCGCATTGTGCGCCTCCACAGCGGGTAGACTCCGCATCGGCCACATACTTTGCAGCGCTCTCCACGAAGCGGAGAGTCTTCTGAGCAGATGCGTAGGCTTTGGCATAACCAACGGCTTTGCTGTGTTGGTTGATGAGCTCCTTCTTCTCCTCCGCCTCGCGCTTCTTCTCGGCTGCAGTCTTCTTTTCTTTCTTGGGGGCCTTCTTCTTGACTTGCTTGCGCTTTCTCTTTTTTCCTGTATGTCCGGAACCGTCGTCTTCACTTTCAGGGAGTGGAGGTGGCTGCTGGAAATTGGGCTCCGGCTTCGAGATGTCGGCAAGCTCTTTAGGATGCCATCCACATAGTGACACGATGTTGAGAGCAATCGATCGGTCCTTGAAGGTATTGTTTTCCAGGACATTCTTGACCCATGGTTTGAACAAATCCTGTCCAGTGCTCTCTTCGTACTTACGACATATCGTGAGACCGTCTCGGAGCGTGTTGCCCGCATCCTCCAATTTAGTTGCGCATTGCTTGACCAGAGCTTTGAGTCCTGTCTTGGTCTCTAAGGTATTCGCATGATACGTCGCAGCAGTACGAGCGAGAGCTTCTTCCGCATTCGTGGCCTTGGGCACGCAACTCAAGCGACCCTTTGAATCGCCTCGCTTGATTCTCATGTCTTGCTCATTCAACTGGCGAGAAAGATCGGTATATGCCAGGCGGTGGTCGGCGAACAATTTGATGGGTACCATATGATCTTGGTAGGCTAGCTCGCCGGCACTCATCACATTTCGGCGAACGAAAGTGTCGAGAAACTTCTGGGAAAGAGCATAGACTTGTTGCTGGATGAGAGTCGAGGGCAGCTCTCGGAATGTTTCAAACTCCTCCACATTGGTCATATCCTTTCTCAAAGTCGCCAGGTTTGCACTTGACAAGAGTCCGGGTGCGTTAGCTCCTATGGGCAAGTTGATACCAAGGAGACGAGCCATACTCGAAACATCAAACGTGTCTTTTAGCTGAGGTGTGGCCGAGAGCGCCCAGCGCTTGTCCGCCTTGATGTTGCAGTAAACGATAAGTTCTTTACCGCCCAAGTATGAGAATTCGTCAACGATCAGACGGTTGAAGTGGAACATCTCGAAGAGCACACACTTGGTGAGGTCTGCCTTCTTGAACTTGTATCGTTGCGAAGCCTGCTTCTTAAGCTCCTGCTCGTCTTTCGATTCAGCCTTGGTCTGTCTTTGCTGGTGTCCCTTCTGTTTAGCCTTGGTGTATTTGATTCCCTTGAGACGCTTGGACTGTTCCGCGAATTTTGTATACACTGGGTCGTCCTCAGTCTTATCGTAAAGCTCATCAAGATGGTGGCTCAAAAAATCAGCACCTTGTTCTTCGAAGATCTTCAGATGAGCAGGAACGCGTGATGAAGCCTTCTGGAGCCAATCTTGAGTAGCCCGTGATCCATTAGTGACATACTCAGGCATTGCAGCGAATGCTGCAAGTCGTTGGTAATATGCTTGACACTTTTCGCTTTGAATGACATTGTCGTTTACAATGATTATTCGGGCATCCCTAAAATCTCTCATCGACAACTTCTTGAGATCAGCAAAGGTTCGAATCTTGATGATGCTGCTCGCGAGTGGATCGGACAGATGCTTATCGGCTTCTTCTGCCCATTGCTTCACAAGTGTGGGAGGACAGACAACAAGGGTGGCCGCGAGTTTCTCAGGCATGACTTGTTCCGGATTGTCGTTCGGCAGGTTGCTCATCTTCTGGATGATGTTGGAGGCCGTCCTCTCGCGTTCCCATTCCATGTTTATGAGCGCAAGCGAGGTGATAGTCTTGCCAAAACCAGCGTGATCGGCAAGAATGCCACCTCTCACATGAACTTTGGAAGAGGCCTTTGCCTCAAGACGCCAGCCAAGGTATGGCAACATGGCTTCCTCAAACTCCTCAATGGTGAATACTTGGCCTGCTTCTTCTTCCTGCTTCAGCATCCACGAAAGCGACCTCTGCTGCTTGGGGAACAACTCGATATCCTTAAGAGCCTTTGCCGTGTAAGGCTCGCCGTCCACGTTACTGTGGAGGATAAAGGACGGAGGCTTTGCAACAGGCTGATCAGACCACTGAGTATTCAGATTCCAACAAACAGAATGGTGAGGGCTGGTGGTAAGTCTGAAAAGCTTCCCAACTGCTCGCTGACACAGGGTCAAGACATTCAGGCTGATAGTGGTCGTAAAGGATCTGCCATCAATGTTGCATTCCATGACGAAAGCCGATGGACGAGCCTTGACGTTTGTCTCATACTTGGAGGCAGACTGCTGGTCTTCATGCGCGTGCAACTCATACTTTGCCTTAAAGGTAGTGAGATGCCAACGAATCTGTGGCAGTTGAGGTGCGCACTCTTTGCATTCGAGGTCACCGGAAATACCTCTGTCGCCTGGTAGATACACGTCTCCGCGAAGCGGCTCCAAGGCCCAGCCAAAAGTGTCAAAGAAGATTTTGTCATCAGGTTGGACTTGATGGTGTCCCTTAAACTTCTCGTTGACATTGGAGAAAGGCAGTTCAAGAGTGAGAGAGGCCGCAGTCTTTGCAACTTGACAATCATTATTGACCACAGATTGTCTGGTGATTGAGAATTGCGACTTGAGATCCAGAGGGCGGAGAGACACAAGGCTTTTCTTTATCCATGTGCCGTTTAAAGCGACTTCCACTTGCATGCCGTTCTGCTTCACCACATCTTCGGGTCTCCAAACGGCATCGACACGAGCAACAACTTCTCTGATCTGGTCGTACTCAAGCTTCGAAGGATCAAATGCGAAGACAAAACAGTCGAACTCAGGACGGCCGATGCGAGTAGGGTCCAGGAACAAAAACATATTCGAGGCATTGACAGACTGCTCTCTCTTGTAAAGAGACTCGCAGGCAGTGCCGCACTTGCGTAGAAGCTTGTAAATTCCTACGATACCTTCGTACGACTTCTCTTCACTTGCAACGACCAACTCAGGGTAGACCCTCTCGTTCGTCTTTGCGGGAATTCCAAGACGGGCGGCCCAAGAGGGGACTTCAAGGCCCTTGCCTTCGATCGTCAACTTGGTCGAAGGATTTTCGTAGACTCTCCAAGACCAGTCGCTCCCATAGAAAGCATCGTGGGTGACTGCACACTTCGCGATGGGCTCCTTGAAAAAGTCGCGCAGACTGTGGAGCTCGCTTTCACCCCATAGGGCATCCCCAGCCTTTGTGTAGAGCTTCCACTCCGGCTTGTCAGGATCCAAGACCAGATCGAGACGAGCGAATCTGGAATCATAAGAAGCAACCCACGAAGCTCCTCTTCTGAAACGACTGAAGGTAAGCGGATCCTTGATGGTGTTGTTGACTGCCTCAATGTACTTGTCAACCACCTTCTCAGACTCGTGGAGGGTGGTTTCCATGTGCGCACGGAGAGTAGCAACGTGAAGTTCCAAGTGGAGCCGCAACACCATAGGCAGCTTCGATCTCCAACTCTGCACGAAAGTTTGAGGGTGAATACGCGCATGGGTAGAAGGTGCCTGGTACTCGTGGGTGGGTTTTACACCACATTGTATGCAGGAGATGTGACCGCATTCGCCGCACTCTTGGATGGACTTTTGAGTCAACTCCAACTGGCCCTCACAGACGCACTTGCTAGCAGATTTATTGGCATTGTCTAGCAAATTTTGTAAGCTGATGGGTGTCAAAAGAGTTGCTTGGGATCTGTCCACGAGCTCTAGTCTCTCAATCTTGCTCTTGAAGGCAGCCTCCTGAGCTTCTTGGGGACCGCTGTGGCCTTTCTCCAAGATCTTGAAAGCCGAGATAAGGGCAGACGCAATAGCGGAGCCCACAACAGGGGTACTCATCGCATTGCCGGCCAGATCTTGGATGTTCTTCTCAGTTTCGGTAGTAAAGGAGATCATGTGGAGCGGCAATCCTTGAAGAATCAAGGTTTCCACGTTCGCCAGTGGACCCCCACGATCCGTAACGTAGAAGTTGCCGGAAGGAGTCAGGCAAGGGGCGATGCCGAAAGGCACAGTATCAACAAAACGGTCGATGTTCTGTGAAACATCCCAAATGCGAGTCTTGTACTGGACATCGTAGTCTCGCTCCTTCTGCTTGTCGTTGTCCGGCTCGGCGGGCTCGACGGACTCGGTAGACTCCAGCTCCGGCACACCTGAGTGATGAGCCTTACGGAGCATTGACATGTCCACGAAATCCCAGACCCTCTCAACCTGCTTACGGAACCAACTCTTGTTCGCGTACTCAGGGAGATTGAGCGTACCACTCTCTTGCCATTGAGTCAATGGACGATCGACACCTAGATCGTGCTCTCTGCGGTATCTGATGTGACGAATTTCGCACAGCGCCCAGTCGTGTTCCCTGATAGGACCATCGAGCGAAGACTGTCGAGCCAGGAGACTCTTTGCGCGAACAACGATCGGGTCATCGCTGGGAAGAAGAAAAGATGAGACGGGCGAGCTGGCTTGGCGCCTGAAGTCTTGCATGCGATTGTAAAACTCGTCTTTGACAGCACCTGGGTCTCTGTAGGCCTTCTGCAGATCTTCAAAACGGTAGCATACCATGTAGCCTCTTTGTCTGGTCTGTGGGAGATAGAAGTTCTTGGTGTCAACTAGAACTCCTGCCGAAACATAGCCGATGTTCTCGTATGCTGCAAGCATGTCGTTCCATGGAGCTCCGTGAACATTCTCGAGTATAAGGATGCGTGGATGGTATCTCTCAGCATACTTCAAGACAGCATTGAACGTGTCACCGGATTCTCCGCTCTCGTTCAACTGCTTTTGCTTGTTGTTAAGCTTTGAGAAATCAACGCAAGCGGTGCCAGCGATAAGGATATCGATGTTGCCAGGAATCTTGGCGAGGCCGCCGTATGCGGTGGTAGCTAAATCATGCTCTGCGTTTGTGATCTCGGTGATGTCTCGAAAAATGATGGGAGGGTGGAAACATCTTTCAATGTAAGCCTGCTTCCAAGCTACGATCTCAGCACTGAAGAGGTGGTCGAAGAGCAACTCAGATGGCCCTTGACTCTTGAGCGCAGCATTGATCATGTGCATGGCGAGGATAGGACTCTCAGTACCGGAGCACATTGTGGCAACTCGGAGACGACGGGATCCGAGATGCTTCAAGACATCGTCGAGGGTGTGCATTCGCTTGTCGATCGACGCCTTTGCCTTTGACACGATGTCCTCAAAGATCTCGCCGATGACGCAGAGTGGAGGCAACGTTTCAGAAAGAGTCCTGTCCATTTCGTTGCATAGGTTCTTCATGTTACTCTTGGATTTTTCGGGGTCCTCTGCGTTAGTCTCTTCCTCACCGGCCATTTCGGCGCCAATGAGAGGGTTGAATTCCTCACCAACATCCTGGGTGGCACGCCTAGGGACCAAGTTTGAAGATTTTGGGGTACGCCTGCCGGCGATCTTTGGTTTCTTGAGAGGTGGCTCATTGTCTGAGGCAGCCACATGAGAGGCGGTTCCATCAGATGAAGTGGATGGTTGAGACGACATGTCCGAATCTTCGTCGTCGACTTCTGTGCCAGGCAGGTCGTCGCTAAAGTCTTCGTCTTCCTCTAATGCTTTCTTCTGAATCAATTCTGGCTCTGAGTCGTCTAGTCCGAAGCCAACGGGAGGTTCAGAATAGTTGACCACAGTGGAGTTGCGAGCAGATCTGCGGGTATGTGCGGTGTTGGTGTCAGGGGGTGGGGAAGCGCTGGCTGGCGCAGACGGACTCTTCTTTCTTCTGGATTGACTAGCAGAGCAGGAAGCTCCTACGGTCTTCTTCTTGCGAGGTGGCATTATGGGCGATGGGGGATTGAGTGTCGCAACTGCGATTGGGGGTGAAGATTGCTGCTTGACAAACTGGTCGAGAGGTTCGTTATGTTTGCGCGCAGGGGCAACGACTGGAGGAGTGATATCAACGAACCGCAGCTTTGCAGAGCAGATAGCTGCGCTTACTCTCAACGTGCGAAAGAAGACGTCGAGGAGTTGTGGTGTTTCTTCTCTTCGGTTTGTTGAGCGCGGCGGCCTTCACAGGGGGTGAATTCTGACTGAGTGTGTTGTGTTCGGGCTCCGGGGGTGAAGCTGTGACTCCAGGGCGCTCTGTCTTGAAAAGTCGTATTGCTCTGTCCTCCAGCCAGAAGCGAATATCTCCTACTCTTTTTCTCTGGCCATTGCTCTGCGGCTTTCCGCCAACATATATGTGTTCTTCAACATCTGAATCGTCGCTTTGAGGCCTTGGTACATACGACGTATACCTTCGACGAGCCATGGTGAACGTATGCACCTATGTTAGCGCCTGCCCTCCAATTGATAGATGTGTAGAGTCGTTGACACGCATGTCAATCTTTCGGGCTCGAAGAGCAACCGGAAGACGCGACGCGACAACTTGGCATGGACTGCTCATACTCTTTCTCAAAGAGGCTGGCGTGGTCGGCATCTCCAGCCCCCGAGCCGAGGTTCTACCATCAAGCCAGGGTTATACTCGCTGCAAGACATATCGAGACAGGAAGCAGAAACATTGAGCCATGAGCGAGTCCAGGAACCCAGGATATGTTGGTCGTTGAGGACAGAGCTGAGTTCGAGCCATCCAGAACGATACAGTGTCGAAACCTGGACCAGGGATCACGACAGGTGCTGTGCAACGATTTCGGCGCAATCCAGTCTGACTTTGACGGACCACATCAATGGGAACACTCCAAAACCACTCCAGAATCCAGTATTCAGTCGACATAAAGCTCCCCACGCTCATTGCTCGCTTATATGAGGAAGGAGCAACACGAGAAAATGAGTATGAAGTGGTGTGTTGTGAGGGTAAGAAAGAGGAAGGTGGTCGAGGTGGATGGTGAGGAGGAGGGAGTGCTTCTCCATGCCGGACTGAGGCCTCCCATCGCTACCGACTAACGCACGTGTCAATCGTTTTGATCAAACGATCCGACATGAAGACTAGGCAGCAGCGACGGACGGGTCGGAGTGTGAGACGAAGAAGAGAAAATCATCGCACACCGCTGCTAATGGCAGGTGCGATGAGCGAGGAGACACATACCGCTCAAGGCGACACAAGAGTGCTAAAGTTGCGTACAGATGTCCTGTGAACGTGATGAAGCCATCATGGAGGGCGAGATACAAGCGAGAGAAAGCGCCTGGTCGTTTTCTGCCGAGCCATCACGAAGTCTTCCGGAAGAGAATGATAGTCTTGGAAGGTCGGAAGGAAGGTAGGTACAGGAACAGTACTGAAGAGTGTGTCGGTATGTGCTGATGGAAGAGAGGGCACGTAAATGACGCATACCCGGAAAGTTTGACTTGCGTGGGACGACGACAGCCCAATGCGGTCAAGTGCTCGACGAGGCTCGGTATCAAGCCACGAACGAGTGATCGTTCAACCTGGCCTACAGAATGTCGTGGAGTTCTTAGGAAGCGGTTGCTTGATGGACTCGGCAAGATCAGCCCACGTTCTTAGTTGCACGAACGCAGAGGCAGATGCAGGTAAGCAGATATAGAGCCACGACTCGACGGCAAGAGCGTAACCAAGGACTCCGAGGATTCTGCCCTTGCGTCGTGCCACGACACTCGACGATGATGTCGTTCTCGACCTTCCCGTCGACCAAATTAAAGCCCGATTGATCACCTCCAATGCTTGCACAAAGTATATCACGAAGACCAAAGTCACAAGGAAAGGTAAGCAAGAGCTAGGTTTATCAAATCAAGGTGTGCTACTGCAAAATTGTACAACATGCAAATCAGCTCCCGTTGATCATGACACCGGCCACCGAGGTGCGAGAAGCTATCTTATCCTGGCGCTAAACCTTAGCACAACAGTGGCTTGGTGCCGTTGTTGGGAAGCTTAGCACGGAATAGAGCAAAGGGACGCCGTCTCCTGTCGGTACCAGGCCAGACGAGAGGGCTGAAAGCAAGTTGGTTGTTTGTGAAGTAAAGGTATCCATCTGTACCCGTGCTCATCTGCAAATGCTGTCAGTAAACATTCTACTTCGAGCCAAGGGCCAGTGACTTACCGTATCAACCCAGTTGAGGCGAGGGTCACGCAAGAAAAGAGAACTGGTTCCGTTGACAGGGTTATAAAAGCTGATGGCGTTCTGCTCAGCATTTCCATGGTAGATGTATCCATTAGTGTCAGTCTCATAACCATCCGAGACACCTTTCTGGCCACGACTGACGACTGAAGCCTGGGCAAGAGCTTCCGAGAATTGTCCGTTGTCGCGCAATCTGGCAGTAGGGATGGAGTACAGATATCTCTTTCCGACACCGCCAAAGTAGAGGTCCTCGCCGTCAGCAGAAAGAGCGATACCGTCAGCACCAAAGCCTTGGAAGCTGAGTGGTTGGCCGGCTTGGAAAGCATAGATGGGCAATCCCCAAACATAAGCAAGGAACTGGGTTGCAGGCGCGACGAACTCGGAGCCTTGCAAGTGACGCCATGATTCACCGGTACCGAGATCAACGACTACCAGACCAGTACGTCCTTCGATGGATGAGTCGGTGATGTAGGCGACACCTTTACCACTCGCTGTGATGTTCGGCCGCAGATCGAAACGAACGTCGTTCAAGTAAGAATCTCCAGGAGCAACATTTGCAGGGAAGACGATGGTCTGGAAGACAGTATTGTTTGTCAAGTTGATACCAACCAGCTTGGGTCCACCGACAGTCGCCTCGACAATAGTACCATTAGGATCCTGCACTCGGCCAGTGTCGAGAACCCAAGCGCGTTCGAGGGAATCGATGACAATACTCTGAGCACCGATAAAGTGGTTTTGGTAGTTTGCTCCAGTAGGAGGTGTGGTGGTGTAGTTAATGGCTGCTAATGTCAGTCAATGCAATATAGAAGCTATGGGACTCGACACTCACCTCCTCCCGGAGGACTATTCCATTCAACATTGGGGAAGGGAGTCTCGGTAGAATTTCCAGTCAATTCGGCAATAGTATATTTACCATTGGAGCCATTGTTCGTATTATTTCCGTCCAAAGCACCAGGATAGTTCGAAAACTTGCGACCAGTCGAGGACACAGCAACGCCCGTCGGCCACTGATCGTAGTACAGATGAACAAGCTCCAACTCCGGTCCAGCAGTACCAGGATCCTGTATAAGTTGCTGACTCGAGCCTAGTAGAGGCAGCAAAGAAGCTGCAGCAAGAAATGTAGAAAACATTATGATAGGATTGAGTTACGAAGGATGAAGAAACAGTTGACCCACCTCAATGGCTCGCTAGCTACTTGTATGCGTGCCTGGCCTGTCATGACATAACGTGTATTTTAGATCATCGCAGCACGTCATGAACATTCTTGGAAAAGCTCGGCATCCATACACTTTATTGCGGAACGCCGCAAGGGAACGAGAGAGAGGGGACAGAGTGAATCGAGGTGATGCGAGACCGGCAGGTGGCCGGATGTGCGGGGAAGGCATATCATCATGCTGGCGTCGAGACTTGATGGATTGGGCTTTTCGGCCTGTCAGCCTCAGGCATCTCCACGGCAGATAGATCAAGAACTCGCTGTCATTGATACACAGCCATCTTAGCTCGTGGACTGGTGGAAATTCATTCAGAAACTGAATAATGGATGTCAAGGCCAATCCATCCTCTTTGCAGTCACGGATGCACCAGTAGAAAGAAGACGAGAGAAATATTCAAAAGTGGTTCATCAAGACGTCGAAGTTGGCACGAAGGCTGTTGGTAGCTGCAAAGGCATGATTTTGTATCTTTTTCTTTTCACTCGCCCACACGGCCTTTTTGTTTCATTCAACCGTGGCGGACAAAGGAGTAAAAGCAACCCTAAGTCGAAATGCGTGACTCGTCCCAGCCCTTCGCTTACTCCGTGTTGACGATGTTGATAATCCATTGAAGAAGCACCAGCCCAGCAACGTTGCCAGAATACACAAAATGCGACGCGCTTAGAAGACGAGAGCGGCACCCTTGGTCTTCTTGTCACCACTGTGGAGAGAGGTAGGTTAGTATTGGACAGAGGTGCATAGGGGAGCAGAAGAACATACCCCAGCTCGAAGTGCTTGCAACGCTTGAGCGCAAGCTGTGCCTTGGTCTTGCATGCTGTGCACTCCAGTCTCAGGACAACCTTCTTGGTGGTCTTGGCCTTCTTGTGGAAGACAGGCTTGGTCTGACCACCGTAACCGGACTGCTTACGGTCGTAACGACGCTTACCCTGGGCGAAGAGGGAAGCCTGTAAAATAGATAATGAGTTCCCGTTTGCAGTGTGTTCATCTCAGATGGCCATCCATACCTTGCCAGCCTTGTACTGGGTGACCTTGTGCTGGGTGTGCTTCTTGCAGTCCTTGCCCTTGCAGTAAGTGCGGCGAGTCTTGGGAACGTTGACCTGAAAGCGCGCCTTGATCAGTATTTGTTCAAGGGTGCTTGGTATTTTGTGCGCCGTGTCTGGTTGCTGCTGCCACTGTATTCGCTCGGCCGTGGTTGATCTCATCATATGCGGTCCGTCTTGCTATCTCTTTCGTCCTGAATGCTTGCGTTGTGCGGTGTTCGAGTGTGTCGTTCGAAGAATATGTGGCCGGCGCAGGATCACGGTGTTTGTCGACTGTTCTGAGCTCGTTGGTGGCGGTATGCGCTTTTCGATCGGAAAATGGACGGAGATGAGAGATACGGCCTCGGTCGAGTCGAGATTGATGGCGACATTGCTCCCAGAGACACGGCGCACGGAATAATATGGTTGCTTACCATTTTGGCGGTATTTGAGTAAGTCGCTGGGTGATGGGAAAGAGTCTCGTTTTCGCGTCTGCCAAAGCAACACCTCGATTTTCGAATTGTGTGAGTCCGAGCGCGCCGTGTGTCGGCTGGACAAAGCCGCGGTTTTACCGTGTGGACTTGGCGTTTCGTATTCTATGCATCTTCACTCATCGGCTTGCTCTGGTGGCTGAAGTGATGGCCCTCTTGTACTTTCTATTGCGGTCTGCGGAAAGAAGAACGTTGACTCCGGCATGGTCTATTATCAATGGTATAGCTTATAGACAACCACATTTTCCACTTGTGTTGCTGACGAGGGCGCATCCGATGTTGACCTCAAGCTTGATGGGAACGAAGCTTTGTTCGGAACTCGCCATTGTTGGCAACCACAGCTATCTAATCATATGTACCAAAATCAATAGTAAGGTCTCGACTCCTCCCATTTACGCTTCTCAATTTCCAGTCCACTCCCGGATGCTATGCTATCCTCCATTCTTCCTGGTGTAGTGATTTGGCCTACTGGAGTCTGGTTTGCGGAACCCTCGATGCGATAGACTGCGCCGATCCATTCCCACATCCTGCTCACATCTCCTGTACGGCCCTCGCGCACCATGGTTCTGACGTTGGCGTTGCCTTCAACAAGTTTCTGTACCGCCGTCCAAATTCTGTTACGCTCTGATGCCCGGAACTCGTCGCGAAGCACATCGTCACGTAAGGCAACCATGCTTATCGTAGGCTCAGAATAACCATTGGGATCCTGAGCATGTAGACTAGCCTGGGCGGCAAGCTTGTCAAGAGCCAGACCTGCCAGACGCTTGGCTTGTGTAGAAGTTGAGCGGCGCTTAGAGATTGTGCGTTGGCCATACACAGCTGTAATGGTCAAGACAAGAATAGCTACAAGTTCGCGAACATGCTGTCTAATCGTTTGGCGAACGGATCGTTTGAAGGCGCAGTGGAGGGGGACTTTTGCGAGAGAGATGCTGCGGAAGGAGCGGACAGAGGTTTGTCTGTTGTACCGAAGGCGGGTCTGTTAGTCAACTCTTCACGTAAGCCTGGTGATGCATAACTCAAACAAAGAATCGAGTAAAAGGAGATTCAACTTACGGGTCAACTTTGGTCTTCACCTCATCACGCTTCGGGACATCTTCGATTGCTTGGTCAATCAGCTCGAGAATGTCCTTCATGCTTTTTGCCCTGGCAACAACCGCAGTCTTAAGTTCTGGCTCGCTGATGTACGGGGTTTTAATCTCACCGCACTCATATTGTGCGTTGGCCTGTCGCAATACAGTCTCGACAGCATGGCTTGTCAGTGCCGTAATCTTGCGGAGCTTCTCACTGTCTGGCTCGCAAGTAGGCGGTACAGGTATGAGACCTCCGAGCGTAAGAGGGTGCGACACGGGCACGAAGCCATCGTCGCAGACGATGTGGAGGTTTTCCCTGCACTCGGCATGCATGGGACATGGCTCACACTCTGGCTGTAGGAAAGAGGCCCATTCTGGGATCTGCACGCCAGCCAGGGCTGTGGATGGCTGGCCAATTCCACAGAAGCCGACCTTGATCTTCTCTTGTCGCCAGACAGCAGCAACTCCAACGAGCATGGTAAGCAAGATGGTCCAAGGAGCAGCTCTAGCTGCTCCAGATCTCGGCCTTCTTCGACGAGGTACACGGCTCAGGGCAGTACGTGGGTTCTCTTCCTGAGCTTTGATGAGGTCGTGCTGCTCTTCTGGAGTAAACTCCTCGCCAGCGACCATTTGGTCATACTCCTCCTCGTATTCTGGCTCGACCTTCACACGAGATATGGGCATCCTAGACACGGCGGTATCATCTTCCTCTTCCTGGCGATAAAAGCCATCGGTTCTGCGCCTGGCATCCCTGCTCTTTCTTCTTTCCCTGTCTCCAGATGGACCAATCGTAGTTCTTCTTCTGTCTCCACTCTTGCTGCGGTATGCGGATGGCGGGGAGCTTCCACTCTGAAAAGGGTTGTCTTTGGAGAAGGGAGAGTCTGCGCCCTGGTCGCGGTAGACGGGTTGTGGAGGTTCACTAGGGAAAGAAGACCTCACTGTACGTCTCGGGGTTGGCTCAGGCTCGACGGTAGCATGTTTGCTGGAAGCACGACGAGCACTCGGCGGGGCAAAAGACCTCCTGGTCGAACGCGGAGTTGGCGCAACAATTTCATCGGCAGCTGGTTGCATGACGGTACGCCTAGTAGTTCGTCTTGCGGGAGTTGCGGATACAGTGATGTTGTCGTCACCGTCGTCTTGGTCGTCGTCGCCGGTGCTCGACTGGCTGGAGGGCACGTCCACGATGCCTCTTGTTGAGCGCACAGTGCGAGACTGGACGTTCAGAATCTTTCTGGCCTGAGGAGCGACGTTTGAGTTGAAGATGGCGATCAAATCGGACTTCTTTGCAGACGAAGGATAGGCGACATTGTGGGCGACCAGAATGGAGCGCAGACGGGGCACAGTCAGGGAGCTTGGATCAAAGTCTGGCTGCAGGTATCCGTACTCGTCGTCGGCCATGGCTGCTGAGTGTGCAAGGCTGGTGTATGCGGTCCAGAAGATGGCAGTTGCTCGTGCGCCAGGTCGATTGCCTAGTGGTGCAAAAGGAAACAAGGAAGGAACCAAGACGCAATGTTTATCGGGGTCCAAGCGTCTTGTTGCCTGTCCAATACGTCAGATTTTCACGTGTTGCATGTGGGGAAAAGTACGATAAGCTGTGAGATTTTGTTCGAGCTGCATGGAATCTTCTGTATCGAAGCAACAGCCCTTTGCCTTTGAAATGTCGTGTGCAAAGTGTCAAAATCCTCTGACCCTCGAGGTCGATCACTCGGATGACGAAGACGTGTCTATGGGAGCCGGTTCTTCCAGCGCTGCCGCAGCTCAGAACAATCACACAGTCCCTGACGATGTAGCGCTCAATTGCGGCTGCCACTTCCACTGGTATGTGCAATCTCCTTGTATACAATTCTATGCCTGCTCTAAATTTGTATGATCAAAATATAGGCAATGTCTGATCGACGAATATCAAATCACCGAATGTCCCTCATGTCACCAATCCTTGCTCACTCCCGCTCCGAACGGAGGCCAACAACTACTGTGCACCTTGCACAACGAGGGCGGCGTACAAGAGAACCTCGACATCCTTCCTATTCTGACAGAGGAGGCCTATTTGCACGCATACCCCGAGGACAGAATCAGCCGCGCCTTCCTCGAACTCTGCCGCGAAGGTGACGTCTCGGCCGTCGTTGACCTGCTGAAGAGCTGCAACGAGCCCGACTCAGACGATGATGACATGGACGACGAGCCTGTCGTCCCGAAAAAGTCCATGGACGAGGTCCTTCGTTACCAAGATCCAATCGGCGACATGCAATCCGGTCTTCACGCCGCAGTCGCTGGCAACAGTCGCGAGGTCGCTTGGTTGCTATTACTGCTTGCATCGGAGCTTTCTGAAATGGAGTTCCCTGCTTTGGTATACCAACAAGCCGCCTCGCTAGGCATCATGAGAGAGGATCAGACGGGTAAAGTTGACATCAGAAGCCTCAAGGATGGCCAGGGAAGAAGTGCGGAACAATTGGCTGCCGAGCTCGGCGGTGTGTGGCATGGCTGGCCTGGTAGCGGTCGCTTGTCCGTCTAAGGCCACTAAGCTTTGATGTTTTGGTTGCTGCTTGACTTTCGCACCGTTCTCTGTCTAGACAGCAGCTGTGAAATCATGAAATGATTCACATCCTCATCTGCCCAGTAAGAGAGATGCGATGCCACTGCCGCGATCAGCGAAATGTCGAAAGCACCCCTATATCTTGGATTAGTCCTGCTTTCTATCGAGTTAAACTTTCTCACTCACTCTTGGATGCTGTAGTCGACTCTTCCATTGGAATTCAATGCTCGAACCTTGGCCTCTTCCTTCTTCAGCTTACGTCCACGCTGTTCTGCTTCCGCTCTTTCGCTTTCGGCCATTTCGTGATCCACATCACCTTGCGCGCCCTTTCTTGTGTTTTGGAAACCAGCATAGAGCGTCTCGAGCTCGGCGTCAATAAGGGTTGGAGGGCGCTCTCCAGCTTCGTCGGCTTTCTGTGCATCGCTAACCAACCTGTCTTTCGTGTCCACGTCCACCTTGTCGATCTTGGTGTTTGTGGCCGGTGCGACGGGGACCAGACCTCCAGCCGCGTTTGTCCCACCGCCGAGCGATAATGGTGTACGAGACTGGCTATTGCCTGCTGGTCCTCCAAGTTTGCCCGCATCTTCAGCTGTGAAACCAAGACTGCGGTTGAGCAAGCTACTTGCAATACCGGAGCTGAAACTCGACCAAAGACCAGAGACACTCTGACCGACACGTGCACCAATACCTGTAAGACCTTGGCCAGTGGCGGTACTGAAGATACCTCGCTTCGTGTAGGGTAGTGGTTGTGGCTTGAGAGACGACATGGCAGGTGAGATCAAGGGCTCAATCCGGTAACTGATAGGATCGGTAGGATGGAAAATGTTGAAGACCTGGCGGCATTTTGGTGAGGAGATAGGTAGGTCAGAGTTTTGAGTACCCATTCCTGTCAAATTGTCAGAGCTACTCGAAGTCGAGCCAAACAAAGCACTAGAAGAGTCCGCATTCTTCTGATGGCCGTGTCCAACATCTCTGGCGGCAATTGTGCGGCCTTTGAGCATCTGAAAGAGACCAATGGGTGAACCGAGCGCATAAAAGTCCTCTACGTCAAAGTTCAGCTTCATCGGGTTGCGTGAAGCCTTGCCAGAAACTTTCTGCTGCGCCTCCGATTTTTCTTGTAAACACAGAATGTCGAACATGATGGCTGATCCCAGTGAGTGACCAACCAGACTGACTTTTCCATTGAACGAAGGATTGCGTTCACAGAACAGCTTGTGAATTCTGTTGCACTCCTCAAGCACAATGGTCGCAATAGCATCTTTGTACGCGGGACTTTGATAAAGAAGAATATCCAGAGCCAGATCCGTGATGAGATTTCTCACGGCTGGTACACCTTCAACTGAGATATTGTCAAGGTTGGGATAGTCTTCCTCTTCACCGAAGCCGCCGAACGCAAGGTCGTGTTCCTTTCGGTTGTGTTTGAGAGCGCGATTGGGGAAGTCGAGTTTGTGCCTCCAGTTGATTGGCAAGACCTGAATTCGGCAATTCTTAGGTAACGCGTCGACCTCCGAATTGAGCGCCTGCAGATCAGCGCTCTCGCCGTAGACAGCCTTGAGAGTCTTCCGTAAAGTGTTCACGTCTCCAACGAAGTTCACAGACTCCATACGTAAGCCTAGGCGCTGGCCTATGCCGTGAGTAACGAGCAGAAGGTGCTCAATTTCTCGGTCTTGTTGTTCTCCTTCTCTGTCACGGTAGTCGTCTTGAATCTCCTTCTCATCACGCTTGCGGATCTCCTCGTCCTGCTTCTGAGGGTCCTCCTGGCCAGCACTGACAAGAGAACTCATTTGCTGCTCCAAGGTCTGGCGATGCTTTTCAGACTCGGGACTTGCGATCTCGGCGTGAAGACTATCCGCTTTGGTTCCATCCACAGGTACAAGTGCCGTGCTCTTTGCAGACTCCTGTGATGAGACATCTACGGTAGCGGATTTCGTGTCCGAGTCTGCCTTTACTTCCTTCTCTTCGGGCTTCTTGACCTGAACAGTGTAGCCACGAGTGACTTTAGTGCCAGCGTAGTGAGCACCTCCGGCAAAGCGCTTGTAGACACCACTAGACATGCGACTTATGAAATCTTCCGTTAGTATCCATGCAGTCGTAGTATCCTGATATGTTACGACTGAGTTTGAGTGAGGTCCGAAAAGGCGGTAAGTTTGAACAGGATGAGTGGATTGCGCATCGTCAGCATGCTTCGTGTTCTGATCACGGAGATTTGGGAGAGAGCCTTTTGATGCCAATGGAGACGAGGTAGCAGAGCGAGACTGTGAAGCTGATCTGGTGGGCTCTTGCTTCTTCCACCTCCAAGGGGTGGCTCTGAGGTATTGCTCTTCCAGTTGAGCAGCCAAATTCTCATCACACGGCTTCTGAACGGCGCCCTCTGTTGCAGTATGTCAGTAAGACCCATAGACTTCTCTACAGCTCCAGAGACCAACCTTGATAGAACCAAGTTCCTCGACGGACCTCGTACACAGGCCCCAGCCAGTATGCAGGAGCAAGCTCCCTATTCAAGACATCCACATCGAAGAGATAGTCTTCGTTCACAGGCACCTTGGCAGATTTGTGGTGAGGCCCAAGTCCAAGCTCTTTCTCATTTGTGATGTCGTCGGACTTCTCCAACTCTCTTCGCTCTGCGGCATCATCCTCTCCTGAGACTTTGTGGAAAGCGGTTTCGATGGCGCGCGAGTCTTTCTGAGAAAAGGGAGCATATTTCTTGGGAGCGATTTTAGGTGCTTCGACACCTTCGGGTTTGCCCAGAGGCTTGTCGGAATAGACAGGTTTGCGCTTTGGTACGTCGACTGCAAAGAACCACTGCACGCGCAGAGGCGGGCAGTCTCTGGGATAGCGCTTCAAGCTGAGACGATGTCTGTGGCTGACCTTGTGGTCTCCTCCACGCTGCTGCTTGAGGCCAATGTCGCCAGAAGATTGGTCGGACGCGTCTTGGGCCTTGACAAGCGGGCTACGAGGACCCCAGGGGGACAGCTTGTTGATGCCAGCAGCCAGATAAGACTGGTTGTCCGGTGTCGACATGTTGCTACCCTCAGCCCCACGGGCAGGAGAAGTGTCTTTGGACCAGGCAGGGCTTCGTGACGGCGGACGGGAGGGCGAAGGAGCAGTCGGAGGATAGGCAAGCTGCGCCCGCACACGGTTGATCAGGGAAGCGATACGCGCCAACGTGTCTACAGCTCGAAGCTACACGATCGCTTGTCGTGATGTCTTGTAGAGCAACAGCAACGGGATAATGGATGGTAACAAGGTATCGCTGTTTCTTCCAAAATCGATATATCTGATGGCAGCGAGCTTCTCCAGGCAGAGAGGCCCTGCATGCAGCGACGTGCCTGCATACAGCCCCTCGTCGCGAAGTTAACTTTACGCCAGCTTGACCGTGACGTCGGTCAGCCCTATCGGCGCGACCAATTCACCCGACGCTGTCTCACTTTTCCACTTGTCTTTTCCTCGCACCGCTGCCTACTGTCTTTCCTGCATTCCCGTCTCTCCTACGACCACCTCTGCCCTCTGCAGTTTCCTGCATCATGGCGCCAGAAAAGTCGGCTGAGCACGCTCATATCGAGAAGCTCATTGCCAATAATCTCCCGACCAGTCCTATCTATGCCTTCCTGCTGACTCCTGTGCGTGTTGTCTCGGCATCCAAGGGACACGTTGTGTGTCGCTTGCCCTTGACCAAGAGCCACATGAACTCCAAGGGCGGTATCCACGGTTCAGTCTCGGCTACCATTGTGGACTGGATGGGCGGTATGGCCATCTCATCGTATGACTTGCGAGAGAAGTCTGGTGTGAGCGTCGATATCCACGTCACCTACCAAAGCTCTGCAAAGGAAGGTGACGAGATTGAGATCGAGGGCATCGCAGACAAGGTTGGTGGTTCGTTGGCTTTTACTAAGGTCAACATATACAAAGTCCAGGAAGGTCGGCGCGGTGTCGCTGTCGTAACTGGCACCCATACCAAGTTCGTAAGAGCTTGATGAACACAACACGCTTTCTTCTTTGCGTCTGCCATACATTTGCTCTTTAATGGCCCGGACTCACTCGGAATGCGAAGATCAACGTCTTTCGTGCTTTAGAAGCCACTGGGATTTTGCGATCTGACCAGTGCGCAATTTTTAAGAGACTACACTTAGATATCATCACATACACCTTTGCATATACAAGGCCTGCCAAATTTTCTCACATCATGCCACTGCCCATGTGTTCTCCTGCAGCCTGGAAGCCATGCAAGGCCTGGCCACAATGCCGCTATTGTTTCATTGACATCTCTTTGGTACTTCCAATCACAAGAGTACGGGCGTAGGGTACGGCTCAGGGGCTTGGAAGTAGTCACCACTTCGACAACCATACTAACCATACCCACCAACTATCGAAATTCTCTCCGGTCTTGTCCGTGCGGCTGGCTTACGATGTTCCCACCAGAATTCTTTACCTACACGGGAAGCGCAATCTAGTCTCTGCATCGAACACACTCTGTTCAAAGGATCGAACATCTCATCTACTTTTTTAAACTCATCGTATGCATGTCTGTCATGCTGCGTCTGTGGGGTTAGGCGCAGTAGGTTCCGCTGCTGCAGGTCAATCCGGTCGTTCGCGGATTGTTTCATGGATAGAACGCTCACGCAGAGAAGAGTCGAAACAATGGTCCGCTAAGATCACTACAGATGTCAACTTTTGATAAGATCCACCGTCGCTTGCAAACAACTGAGACACGGCAAGGTGTAACTACTAACAGTGCCAACTCAGCAAAGCATCAGGGAACCCAAGACCTTTGGTAGCCGAGCAGCTCACCAATAGCTCAATATCTTGCCCTGGCCTTCTGGGTTCAGAGACCAGTCCTTTCTGCCGTCTTGGTCAGCGGCTTTCCGGGAGCTTGTTCGCGAGTAATGGCGGTGAGAGAACTCAACTCGTTGATCCGGAACGGTACTCCCATCACTCTTCCTCTTTTGGACCATTAATATACGCAAAGACAGGGGGCTCGCAAGTCCTCCTGCTCAATCAAATATGCCCAGAGTCATCAGACGACGGGGAGGTGGCACGGTCGAGTAGAGTAAACAGAGACGTCTCGGGGCAGGGTTTCCATACGAAGCTGCGGCCTAAGAAAACGGTTGGCTCTGCAAGGGACAAGCTGTTCTGTTTTCTAGCACGGTGGCTTGAACTAAGGGCTTGGGAGTGGAGGATAAGCCTGATCGATGATGTGGCAGCTGTTCATTGGAGCCGTCAATTGAACCAATCAGCTCACTATCTCCTTTAGTGTCGACTACTCTTGCTCCTAGAGCCATCGTTCGCTCTTCGGTGACAGCGTGAAGACGTGTATTGGCGAGGAATGTAGACAAGCTTTTGTCCGTTCATGGCCTCGTTGCGAGCTGGCAGTTTCAGATCATCAGAAGTGCTCGACAGACAAAGTTTCTCGTGGCCTTTGCAGTAGACTGCACTGAAGCGGAGATCGTTCGCACACTCGCGTCATGCAGGCGGAGCGGGAGGAGTCGAGCCAGTCTCAGACGCTATCAAGATGGCGCAACTCAGGCGGCGCACCCGATGCCTAGTGTCGTTCTTAGTGCCGTTCTTACATCTGGCATCCGTGCAGTATCACACAATGACCGGGTCGAGGACCAGAAATGAGGACGACCAAGTTCTCGGGACAAGCTGGCGGACCAACGTTTTGCAGGGCAGATTAACATGCTCCCTGCGGGAGCGTCATCAAGGATTTACTGGAGGCGGAAAGGGGACAACATGAGTAGCGTCTGCCTGGAATCCTGGATCCGTACCGGCTCGACATGCTAGACTCCACACTCTCCATCAATCTCGTTGCGAATGACTCGCTCTGCACGATGGACAGGTTGGCAGTTGCAGAGAAGTGCTGGGAGCTTGATGCTCTTGCCAGGACCAAGCTTTCACATGTGCTGTTCGTCTAACTACGTAGTTCGACAAGTGACTTCTCGTACTTGCTTTTGCGGCGATAAAGATCGCAATCGTTGGCAAAATGTTGTTGGCCCACGCCATCTGACATGGGATCATGGCCAGCCGTCATGCTTGTGCCAGTGGAGGCGCCTATCTCTTGAGCGATTGGCGTCTGTGGTGCAAGTAGAGGCGCTACCTTTGTTTAGGTGCTGGCCATGCCCGTTTCAACAATCTCGACCGGTTCGGTGCGTTTCACACAACCACAACTGCTCCGACCACCTCGACCTGTAATCTGTCAAGGAGACAAACCATCGCACCGAGAGACCAGAGATCGCACAATCGAGACGGCGATCAACCACACGAGTAATCCTCAATGTGCGGATTCGGAAACAATAGATAAAAATATATCCCGATTGACAAGAATATTCATCCTCTCCCACGAGCGCGCATCCGCCCGGCAGAGGAAAGTCATGCTCACCATTCTGCCACCAAAAGCCATGTCGAGGTCTAGAAAAATAACGAACGTCTCTCCCGAACAACATGCTCTAACCTTTTCGGGGAGGCGCAAATCCACCACAGAGTGAGGATGAACGAAAGCTTGCGTGCCGCGGAAACGGTTTCCACCCTCTCTGCCCAGTACCCACTCGTGGGATTTTCTTGATGCCATGATCATCGTCCACCGTACACGATCCCAGCGCGACTTTGCTTCGTGACTGTGGATCACTATTAGTGGCGTGAATTCCGGACGATGCGAGTTTCGGAACGCCACATCGCGCCTTCTCCCCACCCACCTCAACGATGTCAAGCAACCCACGCCGCTACTAGCCAACCAGCGTCCGTCTGTACATCGCGTCGGGCCGCTGTTTGCTGCACAGCTCCGCCGCATCTTCAATCCGGCGCGTTCTGCTGACCTGCTTTCCCCGTGTCTACGTAGGTACTTTGTTGCAATACCGACACGGGACGGCGAGCCTCATCCACAAAGCTTCGTAAGTGGTGGGCGTGAAAGTGTCTATGTAGGCATGTGTCTGTCCTGTCCTCGATCCCTCCTTGCTCAGGTCACGCAAAGCAGGAAGGACACGGAGGAGATGGCCAGAATTAGATCACCACCTACTTTCCTGCCCTCAACACGTGCTGCTGACGGCTGTGCCTCCTCCTTTGTTTCCCGCCTACCTAGTACCTAGTTAGGCCAGGGGATAAACAGCATTTTACCCAGCCGTCGGCGACCACGCCAAGGGGATCCCCGCTCGCAAAGGACAAGTTTAAACGGCCTAGCCGCCAGAGACCCCTGCACCTTGTTAGTCTCACCGAATCGTGCACGCTGCTCCGGCCTTGCGCTAACGGGCGCCTTCCTCCTCGGATAGACCCCAACCTCTTTGCAGAAGAGCTCCGGCCTGTTCTAATACTATCTATCTGAGGGCTGCTCCACGCCCTTTTTCTCGTTCGCGTTCGTCTCTCATGCACTCCTGCAGCTAGACCAACTACGAGGTGTGTGTCTCCAGCTACTTCTATCTGCTGCTTGTCCGTTGCCGATGCACCTGCATGCTTTCACCTTGCCTTACCTCAACCACCTCCACCACACACACTCACACACATCCTCCACACATAGTCGCTAACCCGTCCCGTCGCCCTGCAGCGTGTTTTTTGTCCACGACCTACGAACTGCTACGACACGACCTTTTTACGACCATTCAAGGACAATTTATTCGTTTTGACCATATTTTTGTGCATCCTCAGCAAAAGTATTCTGCTTCTGCTTTCTGCACTCCACAAGCTATAGACGTTTGATTAGTGCGTGTCTGCCACTTTTCTCTCGCCGTACTACTGCTCGTCGCCTGTTCACCCGACGTGCCTGAAGTCAAGCTCCAAGCTCACGAATATTAACGACTTGCATCTGAATCACCTCGCGTACGCGTCCTCCACTGATCCAAGTCTCCTCACGACCTGTTCGCGACTGCTTTGTTAAGCTTCGAGGTCTGATCTATCCACTCATCACTCAATTGACGTGTTGATATTGGCTTCAATCTCGTCCGCTCTCGTGGTTTCTCTGTAACCACCCCACACTCGCTTCTCCTCAGTCCACCAAGGATTATCTATCGGAGGTGCTTCCTTTGAGCAGCATCTTCGTCGTCGACAATAGACAAACTGGCTTTACCATCCATCTCTCACGTTCAAGCGCGCGGGTTCGACGACCAGTGGTATCAGCCAACCAACGTCTTGCAAGCCACTTCTACTGCTGAGCGTTTGCCTGCCCTGTCCCAACTCCAGACATTCCCGTCTGTGAGTTCTTCTCCGAGAGGAAGCTCCATAACTTCAGGAGAACCTGTTTGCGGCGCCGACACCGCTACCACCTACTCATCCTCCTTCCACGGCACATACAGCACTGGACTCAAGACACCTTCCCCCGACCATACTCCCGCATACCGCAGAGACAGTGTTCAGTCCGGACTGCACGCCCAATCCATTCCTATCACGAGTTACGACCATAACAGCACTTCTTGTATCAGCATGAATCAGACACAGCCCTACATGGATGTGAGCCAAAGCCACATGTCCAGCAGTATCCCTTCCTCGGCCCCGCCGCCAGGCCTCGGCCATTACGCCAACTACCATCAACCACAACCCATCTCGAGCCAGCCCCACCCCTATGGCTCATCACCTTCATCGTACTCCCAATACTACACCAACGGACTCGCTCCTCTCCACCATCCTTCCTCGGGTGGCATGAGCTCTCAAATGGTCCCCCAATCTCAATTGCCTCTTCCTACACTTGCCAACAGTGTATCACCTAGCTCTGCGCAAGGTCAATACTCGGGCGCGTCATTCGACACCACGGGACAGATCGCTCCGCCTGGCATGAAGCCGAGAGTGACTGCCACGCTTTGGGAAGATGAAGGCAGCCTTTGTTTCCAGGTTGAAGCAAATGGCATCTGCGTGGCCAGACGCGAAGACAACCACATGATCAACGGAACAAAGCTGCTCAACGTAGCTGGCATGACGCGTGGTCGTCGTGATGGTATTCTCAAGAGTGAGAAGCATAGGCACGTGGTCAAGATTGGCCCTATGCATTTGAAAGGTGTTTGGATCCCTTTCGACCGTGCTCTTGAATTCGCCAACAAGGAGAAGATCACTGAGAAACTCTATCCTCTGTTTGTGCATAACATTGGTGCGCTGCTTTACCACCCTTCGAACAGTGCTAGCCGAACTATTGGTGGCGCCACTTCCCTGGTCGCTGGCGAGCGCAGACGCCCTGAGGAGTACATGAGAGCACCTGTAAGCCAGTCGCCCTCTATGCCTCATGGCCATTCCATGGCTATGCCACAGCCGCCACATTCGCTCGCCCCTCACCCTAATGCTGGGAGACCTAACCTGGACAGAGCTCACACTTTCCCCACTCCTCCCACTAGCGCCTCCAGCATGATGGGAATTGGCAGCTCAGAAGGCTCCTATCAATGGAGTGGTCAGCCCCCCTCGACTATGCAGCAACAGCAGCCTCCGCAACAACCTCTGGCCATTGATACCAACATGAACAATACAAGATCTGTGCCGACAACACCTGCAACCACTCCCCCTGGAAGTGCTATGCACAGCATGCCCCCGTATCAGACTAGCCAAGCATATGACGGTGGCCGTCAATTGTATTCGGCTCCTTCGCAACCGTCTCAGTACGGTCCTCGTTATGGTCAGCTCCAGCCCAGCCCTTACATTAAGAATGAAATGGCTCCTCCCGCTCGAGCTGGCGCCGAGTCAGACCATACTATAGATCAAAAGCCTCAGGACGGCTACATCAACCACTCTGGCGCTCACGACGATGCTGAAGGTGAGCACGAGGGTGAATACACGCACGCCTCTGGGCCTTACGGTGCAAACCGTGCCTCTTATGCCTATGCTACACCTGCAGCAACTGCTTCACTTCAAAGCGACCAAACACACATGTCCTCGGACATGACTGGCTCTCCTCATCACAAGGCCTCTGGGGGCGCTACTCCTCGTACTACAAACAGCTACCACGCTTCATACGCTACGCCTCAGCGCCAACAGCTCCAGTCAAACTTGTTCAGCGTCATGAGTGACAATCGTGCTCCCAACGGCTCTGATATGTACGGACAAGCCAACCACAGCTACGGATCCCAGGGTTACTCGGGCGTGAATGGTATGCAGAAGCGCATGCGTGACGACGATGTCGACGATCGCTACAACGACGACTCGGACGGCCTGAAGCGAAGAAAGACCGTACGTGAAGGCAGCGCCGGGACTGGACGTCCTCGCTCTGTCCTGGCCGGACACCGATAAGATCGCCTCACATACCTGTCCGCTGTCGATTGCATCTACTCCCTTTCTCCTTGCTGTGTTTTCCTACTGCCTCCCTTTTCAAGAGGTCTTTTCGCTTATCTCCTTCATCTCCTTCTGTTTCCCTTTTCGCAATCCTTTACTCTCTCCTTGACTCTCTATAACGACACACATGATGACGAACAAATAACTTTATGATGAATGATGTTTCATTTCATAAAGCGGAATGGAGACCACAGACGGCATAACCGGTCTTCCTTGTTGTTTGGATTTGCAGAACATTGTTTTTCTCCCTTTTTTGTTTGTCTTTTTCCTTTTCTTTTTCCCTTTTCCTGCATTGTTTCTTTCCTTCTCCTGTTTTTCTTCCTCTGGCTCTTCTAGGGGGATTTGACAAATGACAATGATGATGAAAGCATGCCTCTCTGAAAAAATGGGCAGGTCTTGGTGGATGAAGTTGGAGGGGAACGAAACAGAGAGGAGCTATGAAGGAAGAAGGGGGAAATCAAAATCGGGGAATATGGAGACCACTTTTTTCTTGTAATGACAAACCCTATCTCTCTCTACACACACACACAACAGCATGAAAGCATCAAACGCGGCATCAGCATAGACCTCACACATCTGTCCAGTGTTTTGTATCTTGGAGCCTTTTCTAAAGCTCTCTTTTTTTTGGTCTCGAGTTAAACATATTCAAAAGTCTCTGTCGTTCTTTCCTCATGACGCTTTCCCTCGCGTGCTTTCTCACGTGCACAGCACATGATGGATTGAGTTCTTCGTCATCGTGGTTGGGTTTTAAGGTTCGACGTTTCGGTCGTTGGACGCGTTCGCGTTGTTATCCAGCATTTGTCGATCTTCGCGTGTCATGGATGTTTTTGGTGTTTTCGACTACGCAAATTATTGTATGCACACACCACCACGACTCTTTTTTAAATTATAGATGTCTATAAAATGTACTTGGTCAAGATGACGCGGACGACTTGGAATTTCGGTTCGAATATCAAGTTTGCTATTGACTGGTCGATGTTTTGAGCGAGGGTGTCTCGATAGTGTGCAGCAGTCAGTCGTGTTTCTAGGCTTCAGCATGAGATTTTCATGATTCGCTCATGACGGCGGCTATAGATGATATGACGTCGAAAAAAGGCGATATGTCGATGGTATACTATGGAAAGATATGTATGCGAACGTGTTTGAAAGCCTCTAGATCCATATGACATGAGTTATCGTCAATAAATTTCCAATGCCAGGGTCAAGGGCACGACCACACTGACTTGGCCAATGAAGGGAGCAAAAATCCAAAGATCAATTTTTGATTTCCCGAATAGACTGAATACATCAGGTTCAGCCATGTGTGCTCGTGATGGAATATAGCCATAGGCTCGAATCATGTCCAATATAAACAAGCATGGTGCGACCACGCAATAATGCCTCAATCCGCATCATAAATACAAATGATGCGCTTTGAACAACGGTCTCATCTTTCCGCCCACGATCAATTGTACTTGTACTTTTCACTACCTCTCTTGACAAAATTGACAGGCACCTTGCCGCTGCGCATTTGGATAGTGATGATGGTCATCATGCCATTCATGAGCAAGCCTTCGGCTGTGTCCCTTGCCTTGTCCCATGTCTGTCTTCGTGTTGCCTCTTCCATAGCCGCCAGCTCGTCTTTGCTTGCGTACTTATCCAGATCCAGCTCAACACTGTATTCTCGGAAGATGGCAGCCAGAACGGCAAGGACTTCGACTTGAGCGAAGCGACGACCGAGACATGCGCGGTAGCCTTCGGAGAAGGGAATGAAGGCTCCTCGCTCAGGGTTGAAGAGATGGGACGACGTATCTGATGACTGCGGGCCGCCGATGTCTTCTTCAGGGTCAGAGTGCTGTGCCTGCTGTTGTTGTGCTGCGGGTGAGTTTGACTTTGACGGATCCAGAACCCATCGCTGAGGCTTCCAGGATGCTAGGTCTTTTTCAATCTCAGCTTCTGAGGCATTGGATCCGCAAGTTGTTGGCCAGTATTTGGGGTTGCGATGAGATGCGACCGTGATAAGAGTGATTGCACTGCTCTCGGGTATGATCACGCGGCGACCCTTGAGGTTAAGTGGTTGAGGCGAGTCCTTGAGCGTGCACTTTGGAATGCCGACAACAGGTGGAATCAGACGGAGCTCCTCGTTCATGACGGCGCCACACATGCTACCAAACAGTTTTGGTACATCCTGCTCGTAGTCCCACTGGTCAACTGGTCGGTCGCCAAAGATTTCGTCCAGATCCTTCTGAAGCATCTCCTGAGTCGACCAGTTCATGGCGAGATATAACATAGCGAAGTGGAGAGTATTTGCTGCAGTCTCGTGACCGGCCAGGATGAAGACGAAAGCATTGCCCAGAATCTCGCTATCGCTGAGTAGTTGCTTGTCGGCCTTTTCTGGATCTTGGTCGGGCTTGATACCTGCACCGCTTACGAGGGCTCCCATAAGATCCATGCCATCACGCCTTTCGCCTGCTTGGACCTCGGCCTTCTTGTCCTGGTACATTTCTCGCATATACTTGCCCCACTCAGTGTAGGACTCGTATGCGATCTTGTTCTTCTTGAATGGTGAGTTCGCTGTGTCACAGTTAGCCTTCTTCCTTCGCCATTGTAGATCATTGTCTTACCCAGGAACCATTTAGGAAGTAGCATGACGGCAATAATGTTCTCCAGTAATGTGCTCAACGCGTCTTTGTAGGTCATTGTGTGACCCTCGGGTACTACTCCGGCTTGCCCATTCTCCTCGAGTTCTTCATGCGGCCACAGCAGACGTCTGCCAAAGCCAGCACGACTGATGACATGCAAACTCAGGCGCATAGTGGCAGCGGCAATGTCATACACAGTACTCTTACCTTCAGAATCCTTGTCAAGGAAAGAAGCCATCATACTTTGGGCCTGATGCAGACTCTCTTGCCACACGAGATGGTTGTTCTTTTCCGTGAACGGCGGAGATGTGATCTTGCGATGGTGGCGCCATATCGAACCTTCTGTACTCACCACGTTCTTGCCGTACAGATCAACGGAGCCGTAAATTTCAATTGGCTTGGGGAAGTCATTTCGTCGAGTAACAATCTGTGTGGTTGCCTCTGGATCGGCAACATACACCGAGTTCTTGCCCGGCGAGCACACAAGGAATATGTCACTCCCGATTGCCTTGAATGGCTCGTGTCTCTTCAACCAAGTCCACTCCGGATCCAGGAACCTGAGTATCGGTCAGCTCGAGTCTGCGTTGCATGATGGGTGTGCACTGCTGTAGTGCAACCCAGATGTAGACGTACTGTAACCACGGATCTGTCCAAGACTTGGGGAGTTTTTCCAGTAACGGGATCCAGAGTTTGTGTGTCACAAGCCAGAATCTATTGAACACATAGATCGGTGCTACTATGTAGGGCAGACCCGATTGTTTGGCTGCGGCGAGGTTGCGAGTGTAGCAGCGGTAATAATTGACAGTGTAGATACCAACCAGGGAGGCGACTGCCAACCACACGAAAGGCATCATGATGAAGACGAAGTTCTTTGTATTGCGTGTGGGTTCAAGAGTAGGAAGATTCAACCAACGCCTTTAATGCTCTTGCGCCAAGTGAATTGAGCTGAAGGCGATGGTTCCTTCTTTTTCAGCTTACTTGACCGATGATGTCGTACATGTACGATAAACGAGTGACCACGAAACGGGTGGAAGCTTTCCGAGGGACGGGGTGAAACGCTAAAAACGGAGACGATGAAGACCCTCAGCTGTACAGGGAGAACGTAGGCGACAAGAACATCTTATATACATTATCACGACTCGAGAGCTGAAGACGCGGCAAATACGCTTGCAATGGTCATTGATGCGGTCTGGCATAAAATGATCAAAGAGCCAGCCGCCATGCGCCTCGGAAGCCGGCACCTTTGCAAACCCTCTGCAATCTGCATCTCGGGCGCACTGCCATGTCATGCAGCAAAAGCTTGATCAGCTCGGTTGGCAGCAATCAAATAGGATTTCCTCGCTCTCGTCGAATGACCTTTCGTCTTGCGGCCAAGAAGCTCGTGATTACTGGTTTGCCGCGAAGGATTATCCACTTCGCGTAAACAGGCCTGTGTTGATCAGATCTCGCTTGGATGCAGTCAAGGAAGATCATTCTCAAGCGAAGTCCGTGAGCTTTTCGTGCCCCAAGGTCAACCTTACCATCAACCGAATTAACGATCAGTGCGCGCTGCGCTTGAGACAGCGATGCATACATAAAGACATCTCGCGGACGCGATTGAGTAGGTCGTAGAAACGTGTCAGGATTGATTCTGAGAATACGCTGTTGCTGCACAATACCCTCGAGGCTAGTAGACATCTACGTTGAACACCGGTAGTGGGATTTCATGCTTTTAACGGGCACAAAACAGATCTGGTCCTCGAAGTCGTACATTTCTAGGAATTAAACACGGAAAAGAGAAGGAATCTATGCTCTGTCGCATGTCTTTGCGGACGACTGCACGTCCGGCTAGCATCGCGCCTTCCTTCAAAGTAGACATTTGGTAATTGCATAACCTGGAGAACAGTAGGGCCTTTTCATTTGTTCTATCTCATCCATATAACCGTACTCTCATCAGTATCAGCCCGTCCTCAATATCGTCCTATTCTATTCTACACACCTGAATCAGCATCTATCAGCCCCTGCAAGCGAAGCAGCACGAGACCTCGTACCTGAACCAAACCTTCGAACCTGCATCGCGACCATCATCACCTGCTGAAGATCATATATTTATCCCGACATCCTTGCTACAACATGCAGCTTCCCTTTGTCAATCTCTTCTTGATCACCTCTACCCTCTCCTGCTTGGCCCGAACGGATACTGTTACAGATGCAATTCAGCTGCAGAATCTCGCTTCCAGTACCGCGGACACCATTTTCGCTTCGTTGAATGGAACGGCTTATCTCGTAGGTAAGACCGCTGAGGGATCGAATGTTGGCTAATCGTATTCAGAATACGTCGAATCTCGTCTTGCGGGTGTCTGCAGCTGTTCAAGGAGCCGATTCGATGATGATGGCCAACGTTGTTCGTGTCGTCTTGGTTTCCATCATCTTTGAGACCCTGTTAACCATACCTCAGTCCTCGCCAGGCATCGCAAACGTCAGCTTCAACGATGCGTACTTCAACGTATGGCAATATGCTCTCTGAAGTACTCGTTGCAGTTAGTAAGGCTGACCATCGTAGTATGCCGATGCAATGCTCTATCTCGCCAATACAGTTCAACGTCGTGGCCTGCTCTTTCATTCTGAGCTGAACCTTCCAGTCTACCAAGCCCTTCAAGGTCTATCTTCTGCTGTTTCTGTGAGTCCACACTTAGGAAACTCCATCAATGGACAAATGCCAACACTGCTTATAGGCTTACGGTCATGACCTCACGGCTCAGAGATTGGTTCAGCGAAACAGTACCGTCCGCACCTTGACGATCGGCAGTGCTATTGTCAGAGCACAAACTGCATGGTCCAATAACGTCAACTATCCGGGCAAGAGAGAGATCATGAACTGGTCAGGTTAAGATGATATTTCCCACTACGACTGTTCATGTACATAGAAGTTAGTCAAGTAGCGTACTGCCTCAATTCAAGATCCTTGTCTCTTAATTCTGACCTGTGAGCCATCGAACGTGTGATCTGTATTATAAGTCTGCTGAGAGGTGAGATTTGGTGGGTGAGCAGTATTCATGCATCTGAGTCTACCCTAGCACAAGGAGAAGAGAGGCTGAAGTACATGCCAAAAGACAAGAATGCTCTGACCATAAAAGAAGTCTCTGTTGAACCATCATAAAACAAGGGGGTATCACCCAAAAAGCCCGAAACTCCATATTCCAACATACGAAAGTCGAGAGACCCCCACAAGGGAAAGCAGTTGTTCTCGAGCAAAAACACATCTCACTTGCCAACCTGATCCAAATACGCCGCCGCATCCCTCGCCTGCACCAACCTCGCACTCGTAGCCCCAATACTCTCTTTGACATCCACCAACCTCTTCGTCGCCACCTCCCAATTCCTCTCACACTCATCCCAATCCCTGATGTTCTCCACACCCAACCTCACACCTTCCTCTTGCAAATGTCTATTCCTCTCTTCCTCTGCTCTTTTTCTCGCATCTTCGAATAATCTTTCCTCATCTTCTAGTTTTGTCGCATAAGCAGCAGCTGCCTGTGCTGGAGCCGTTCGTCGCAAGTTTGCGAGTTGTAGTGTAAGATTCTCCACTTGAGCAGAGAGTTTCTGTAACTTTTGCGCGAGTTTGGTATCGTAGGGTTCTAATTCTGTTCGTCCCTTGTCAGCCTCTTATCCTTTCCCCCCTCCCCTCCCCTTCACTTATCATAGGAGCAAAACATACCTTCACCCTCACCCTCAGCCATAACTCTAGCTTCCTCCATTTCCTTGCCCTCCAGGCCATTGATACTCAGATTCGGCCGCGCATTTTCAAATACTGTCGTGATATATGCGTCGACCAACTCTTGGACACGGGTGCGAAGGGGGTCGTCAGAGGCAGAAGCGGGAGCTGCAGAGGGTGGGAAGTGGAGGTCTAGTTTTTCGGAGACGGTTTTTGTCGCGTTTTTGGAGAGGTAGAGTAGGTCGAGGGGGGATTGGAGTTCGATTTTGCGATGAGTGGTTTCCATTGTTGCGTGGAAATTGCTCTGTGGAAGTATAGGTATGTTTGCGCGTAGGACTTTGGCGGGATGAGAGGTTGTGGTTGGGTTTTTTTTTTGGCGCTGAGCAAGGTGTTTTTCTTGTATCGTGATTTGGGCTTGTTTACTTTTGAAACGCGACCGGCGACGAACGATGGGGAGCAAAGCAGTGACGAGGATGCTTGGTGTGGAGGCTTGCCAAGACGCTAGATGCTCTGCGGGGATGGCTTGCTTATCGTGGGCTTATCGCCGAGACACGCCATCATGGTACTCTTCCACCTCGGCGTGCAATTGCCAGCATAACAGAGGCTACATGTAGACCACGAAAGAAGACGAAGATGTAGAGTGATCAAGACGGGATTCTCAAGTTCAAACCATTATATAGGCCTAGCCAGTGATGCAGAAGTCCGCCCTCTTAGAGAATGCACACGTCTTACCTCTTCCGTGCGTCCGAGGCTGTAATCAGTCCCCAATGAGCCTTGTATATATGCCCTGACCGCCTGCATGTAAGCCCTCCGAGACTAATACGCCTTGTGTGTAGGAAACGAAAACAAGAAAACAAAAAATCCCAGTATCTCGCATGTGTGTGTGTACCGTGCCAATAACTCCATATTCCATTATCGTCATCATGTTTCTCAGTTTCGTGGTTGTTGTGACAGTTTGCCCTCTATTTGGGGAACATGGCTGCGGCCTCCTCGTCTGTGAGGATGATCTCTTGAACGGGATCAGGTCTGTGCTCAAGGTCTGACGAGTCGTAGTCGAGGTAGGAAGGGAGGAAGATGTCTGGAGCGGGTGTTAGACGTTGATCAGAGAGATGGTAGACAAACAATATCTTCACGTACCCTGGTTCCAGTCGAAGCCTTGAGACGTCTTGATACATGTGATCTATAGCATGACTGTCAGTCTTGATCAGAGTCGAGAACACCTTGATGTACCCACCAGACGAGGGTTCTCGGGTCCACCGATGTTGACGACAGTGTACTCTGACTTGGAGAGCGAGTCACCTACATGTCGATTAGTATCAAAAGACTTGAACAAGTGCGATCCGAACATACCGAGCAGCGAAGGTCGTCTCTCGGTATAACGGGCCATAGAAGACGGGGTCGAGGCCGAAGACGGAGATGCCGACGTCGAGCTCATGGACGACGGAGAGAACGACGGAGAGGCCGCATTGTTAGCCCAGCTCGGATAAGGAGATGACGAGGATGAAGAAGCAGAAGCAGAAGCGAAAGCAGCACCGCCAGTGCTGGGCTGCTTGCGCTTAGGGATCGCTATCGACGACGACATGGTGTTATCGCCGTGTTTGCGGGGTTGGGCGATTGATGTGTTTGGAGATGATGGATGATGCTGGAGATGTGGGCACTTGGTAGCCGAGACGAACGAGGACAAAGGAACAACAAAGACGAAAAAACACTCGCGAGTGTGAAGGCGTATGATGAATCGCAGGAATAGCGAGGACAGACGGATAGGCAACAGGGAGACGCTCGAGGTCGGATGGTAGGACAGATACGGAGCGACTATCGCCGAGGCGGTGATGCCATGGCTGCCGCTAGTTCCCCATCCATGTGACTCAGGCACGTTTCAGCATATGCAATCATACCAACCAGCAATCCCATGCAGGTCTTTAGCCTCTGACTGTACAATACGAACATGCTTGCTGTCGATTCCAAAAGGTATATTGCAAATGCCATGAAGATGAATATAGAAAAGACCAGGAACCCGCCCGGTACTGCCATGCTAAGAATCAGAAATCGGAATCCCTGCTCTACCAGCAAAAGACGCTGATAGTCTTTGTGCTGATAAGCTCTCCTCCTTTGCTATCCATAAGAGGATACCTTGAATGCAAACACAAATACTTGCAGCTTCTTTCCTTCCTCGGCTTCCGCCCGCTGCTCCTCCATTACTTCTCTTATAAAGAGAAAAAGGGTATCTCAGAATCCAAAAACGCACTGAAAAGCAAAAAGAAAAACAATTCGCATCCGACCCCTAGATTTGCGCCTGACATCCCTCGTTGTCCCATGTCTGCTGCGAGAAAAGCCACAGACACCTATATCGTTCTTTTTCTTCCATCGTATCCAGATTAGCTCAGAAGACGAACAAGATCGACGACTGCATCTACCAGCCTCGTTTCCGTGCGAACTTCTTGTTGAGATGGACAAGCAACTTGGAGACGTTGAATTGCACATATTCGAGATCAAGATCCTCTTGGCTGTCTTTTTGCATCTCGAGCAGGTCGTCAAGCTTGAGGTCGAGTTCCAGCAGACCGCGATTTCGCCCTGTAGATTTGTCAGTTTTTGTACAGCGTGAATGGAAGTGCTTTGACTTACCCTTGTAGTGCAAGGAGATGATGAACGTTCCTGGACTTGGACTGGTCATATTGAAATAGATGTTCGCTTGTCGATTCTGTGGCACGTTACTCCTTTGAATCACACCTTCCTTCTCCAGCTGAGCGTGGGTGAACTTGTACGGTCCGAGAACCTTTTGGTTCTGCACTCGCTTAGTAGTGCCTTCGGACTGTCCTCTGACATTGTGGAGATATGACTTGTATGTCTCGAGCTGGCCAACCAGGTATGCGTTGTGATCCCGGATCGTTTGGTACACTTCCTCGAGCTTTTGGCTCTCGGTGATGACCTTTTCTTTCAACGAGCCAAGGTGGTTCAACTCCTGCTCTACCTCATCGCGCAGAGAGGCATAGTTGTCGGCTTTGTCGATCATGCCCATGTCGTTCAACTGGCTCAGCAACTCCATGCTACGGATACCCTTGCGAACCATAATCGAGTCGTTCTTTGTGGTGGCTGCCGCCTCAGCAACTCTGTCGAGACGAAGGGGTCGTCGTGCGACCACTGCGTTTGCCGGCAAGGAGCGAAGAATCATGACGAAGGTCGATTTGGCCTCCATGAAGTAGACTTCCTCTTGTGTGATGTCAAGTGCAGCCGTCAGATCGTCAAATGCCGTTTCCCATTTGCTGTACAGCGGGAGATTGATAGCACGATTTTCCTTTCTGGGCAGCTGTGCTGGTGCGGCGCCCAGATCTTGCAAGAGTATCTTCAAGTGCGACCCCTCATCTTTCGACACCAGTTCCTGCGTGTGTTTCTCGAGGAGTGCGTGCATAGCGTAGACTTCGTTCAGCGAGATGGGCAATTCGAGATCCTTCTTGGACAGAGCGACGTAGTTGTCCATTTCGAGCGTCTCGTAGAAATCTTGGACCTCACACAAATCGAGCAGGAACTTATTCATGCGTTCTTTGTTTTGTTGGATGAAGGGCTGAAGTACGGACATGTAGGGTTCTTTGGCGTAGGAGGGCTTGTTGGCCAAGTTCTGAAGCATCTTTGCGACCTGGAAATCGTTCAGTCAGATTTTCACATGTACTATGGAACGGAGTCGTAGACTCACCAAAGTCAGGGTACGCTTTGGGTTCTCGGCGGGGTTCTGCTCAATAAGCATATACGACCTGGGAGTGACTATTGCCGGGTTGATGAAGCGCAGGAAGAAGAAACCGCCAATCAAGGTACAGATGGTCTGGTCGTGGGCGTCTGGATACTTTCTCCTTGAGAGACTCCTAATCTGTTTGCATATCCATCTGATACCGTATGGCGTCTCGTCCAGTCCGTCGATGATTGTGTCGAGAAAGTAGTTGGCGAGCTGAATCAGTTGGCCGACCCTGCGGCTGATGATTGCTTGAACTTGGGGGTTTGCAGAAGCCTCTTCGGCCGTGATACCACCAGGTGGGAGACTCGAGGTGGAGCCGCGGATTGAAGCACGCTCGGCCATCATGGTGTCATATACTTTGAGCGGGTTGATCTCGAGATCGACATCGCGCAGCTTGCTCGTAACATAGTTGATTTGTTCGGATAAGACCGTCTTCAGATAACCTTGACCGGGACCTCTGCGTGTGTAGGTGGTCATCATGCGGGAGACGGGGGTATTGGCACGGAGGAGGGAAGAATACTCGGGCGTATTGTCGAATTGGTAGGTGAGAACAGACTGCACGATACACAAGTCAGCGTGAAGTTCGAGAGTCTGTCGCGGATTGGCAGGTACTGACCTGGAACATGGTGAGCAACAAGTGCTCTTCACGACTCTCGTACTGATTTCCGTAGATGGTGAACATGACAGTCTGCAGCAACTGATCAATCTCGGCCAAGGTGACAAGACGACACAAGTGGGCAATGTGTTTCGGCTCGGATTGGAGTAGGAACAACAGGTTGCCGTATTTCTGCGTCTTGTCGTCGTTGGGGAATGCACCCTCGGTGAGTTCGTCAGACTCTTCCAGGTGATCGGCTACTTCGTTGCGCTATACTCTGGTCAGTCGGGGGCGGGGCCCGAAGTGCGTGACAGGCTTCAAGACGAACCTCCTCCAAGGCCATGCGGTTCTGCACGAGCAAAGCAATTCTCGAGTCGAGGTATCGGACATCTTTCTCCAGCACAAAGTTCTTCTTTGATTGCGACGAGATCTTTGATTTGAGATCACGGAGTATCTTTTGGGCTGTGTCGGCGTCAGTGAGTGCTGCTGTGGTTGCTATTGTAGCACGGAGAACGTACCGCGAGCAAGATCATCTTCAATCTCGAGTTCGCGTGGATTCGCATTCATAGACAGGTACAAAGCCGTCATGGAATAGCGCTTCGAGGTGCGCGTGGACCTGGCTCCATCGTGAGAGGAGCGCGTGTTCTGTCGGCCAACCATGGGCAAGTAGGATGACGACGACGATGTAGAAGCCCGCGACGGCGCATGCAGAGTTGCGACCGACATGGATTGATGGACAGTCGCTTGGGCTCGTCAAAGACGGGGGACGGGCGTCTCGACTTTCGGCGACACTAGATTGCCCTCTTTGTTGATGTCTCGGAGCAGGAAGCGAGCGCCAGTCAAAGCCGACACACCTGCGGCAATAAAGGAAAGTGGTTATGCGTAAAGAGCGAAGAGGCGGCGCGGGTTAGGATGGGATAGGATGGACAGAAACGACGAGCAGAGCGACACTGCCACTGTCCACTGTCGACTTTGGACAAAGTGCTGCTTCTCTCGTTGCCCTGCCGCGCTGCAAGAGTCGACCAAGATCAGCTCAGTCCTCAATTGGGCGATTTGGTTGCTTCGGCTGGCTCGGCTTGCCGTAACGCTTGTTGCCAGAGTGCTTTCTTCCAAGTTCCAATGCTGCAATCAACCGTCAAACAATCACACGTGCTTGGCTGGCATTCCACGTCTCGGATCCAGCGTTGGGAAGGAAAGTGATGCAGAGGAATGTAAGAGTCGAGTTGCGTCTTGCGACATGGTTGCTTTCCGACCTGTCCTGTCTCACGACCATCTGCCATCATGCACCACCCTGACTAGAAGCTATGAATGGCACGTCCCCTAGGGGGTTGTGCTTCCCATGGGCCCCTTTGCTGGGAGCAACCTTATTCTCTGCTACTTCTTCCGTTTCTGCTTCCAGCCTTCTTCTCGCCGCGGCACCGTGACGCCCTAGCTGTTGGCCAACCACTTTCTGGAGACAACGTCTTCGCATTAAATAATCTTCGGAGTCCAGCCTTATTGGTACTGACAAAGTCAATTGAGACCTCTTTCTCATCATAAGCGAGTGAGGCTTTTGTGTCTATGGTATCGCTCTCTGCAATATCTTTTAATCCCGCGCCTTAATCTATCAGGTTGCACGACATGGGTGGTGACCTTGTGTTCTCCAAGTCACAGGCGCCGCCTTTGGTCGCTCGCAATCCAGCGACTTGGCCCACGCCTTTCCATCCACAAGAGCACTGGCCTGATCTGACTCTGTTGCTTGGTTCTTCTCCTCCATCAACCCGTGTCCTAGTCTGCATGCGGCTCGTAGATCGTGCCTGCAACGTGCATTGATCAGGGTCGCACGATCAAGCCCCTGACCAAGATGCAACCGTTGACCTTTTTCTGACTCTTTTGTTCCTCTTCGCTGCCGCAGAACTTCCAAAATTGCATCGTGTTAGATCTGCGGATGTGAGAATCGACCGTGTCTCAACGAACCGAAATCCAACTCCGGAGCCGGCGCGGTAGAAGGACGCAAACATGACCGCAACGCCGCATTCCGAAAATTCCTCTGAAACACTCTACTAGCGCCTATATGAAACCGTCGCTCATGATTTGCCCCTCCATCTTTAAGCGAGCATGATTGGAGCATCTTGTTGACATGCCATCTCCAGACTCTAAGATCACGAGCTGGGGACAGCATTCTAACGTTGTCGCCTATTCAAAAATACCTTCGCCGGTATCAATGAGCCACAGCAGCCATCAATGTCATGAAGGCTACATATCTGCGTGATGGTGAGGTCAGTGCTCTGTTTTTGACACAATGACGAACTGGTTATACTTACATCCCTGCAGAGATAAGCCACTCACGCGCAGTCAGAATATGTCTGATATCCATGATAGTGCAAAGTACCCACTGACCCATGCTGCATGCAAAGATCGCAAGGATACGGTAGAGAAAGCTGGGCATCACCGCAAAAGCCACAAATGGCAAAAGTAACACTAAAGGTAAACTGGCTGTCGTCGCTGTCACGGTGGATATTTCAGTGTTCCTGCGTGGGAGTACAAACAAGTCTTTTTCATGCTTGAGGAACGCTGCTTCTGCCATATCGACGGGACGATGAGCTGCCATCCATTTACGATACCTTGCCACTTCTGCTTCCTGTGGTCTTTGTAGATCCTTGGATGCGTTGCTGTAGGCTTCGAGAGCACGGTCTAGTCACGAATCAGCCCGTACCGATAACTCTTCGATAGAGACACTTACGATATCTTTCCAGTTTCACAAATATCTCACCTAGAACGAACTTCCTCCTGAACATCAACTCGCTGTCTGCAGGTGTGATACGTGCTTCTGCGCGCCTGGATGCAGGTTTCGACTTTCCTTCTGAGATGGCATTTCCGATTTGGGAGATCCACTCATCCAGATTACGAAGTTCTTCTTCGTATTCACAAATCTCGTCTTGAATGTAAAGAAGCAGTCTGTGATGCAGATGCTCGAAGCTACGATACATTGGCCTTGCTCCGGTTGTCCCATCTGTCAACTTGGCTGCAAGAAGTTCGTAGCCTTCTAGAGCCGTCTTCTTGAGGTCTGGGAAGCTTGCAGTCGATGGGGCTGGCGATGACAATCCAGCTGAAGGTGATCGCATTGATCGCAAGCCTTGTCGTGCATTGTTAGGCCCCGGTCGTTGCAGCTGTGGGCTCATACGGTACATCTGTTGATGCTGATGCTGCTGCTGCCAGTATGGACCTGTAGCGCCTACGGGGCCGCGGAAATCTGGACCCATAGGTCTTTGTTGAGATGCAACATGCTCTCGCAGAGCTTCTACTTGGCCTTCAAGCCTGACGTTTGTGCGAGGATTTTGAGGCAATGGACCTTGTCTGGCGTTAAGTCCAGAATGTGTAGGCTGATATGCTGGCTGATGGAACAGAGATACGCCTGAATGGATTGGAGTATGCACAGGCGGACCCGTCCATTGACTCCAGCGGTCACCCTGCTGTCCATTCCAAGCACTGTTCTGGGCCGGAGGCATGGCTGGAAGATTCGAAGCCGGGTCTAGAGCATCAGGTGAGCCAAAGTCTGAGCGCATAGACTGAAGCGAAGGTAAGGAAGCCGAGCTATCGTTGTTTGGCAATGGTGCCCTACCAGTTCCCTCTGGAGTTGACGGCCACTGGGTCGAAGGCACATATTGATGTGATCCGTCTGGATCCTCAAGTCTCTCCAATCCATCCGGAGTTAGAGCAGAATGTTGCTCGCCTTTTCTGAGGTTTCCAGGTGGTCGCTGCTGCTGCTCGTGGTCTTCTGAGAGCATCTCCGGCTTTGTGTTCAGGGGAGGAAATGCCTCTTGTCTCAGAGTCCTATCACTCCCACTAGATCTATCAGACACGCCTGTAGCTTCAGAAGAAACAATGAGCAATGATGGCGTACCGCGACGCGGCTCTTCATTCATTACAGATTTCCTGTGACGATGAACATCACCAGGCACTTTGCGAGGCCCATGTCGTCTCATCAGCATCGCTTCCGTACCGGTATTTGACAAACGTCGACCAGTCTTTGCAATCTTGAAAGGCACGCGTTGAACATTTGATTGTTGTTGGATTTCGCGTTTGTCCGTGGGGTTGACTTCTGTCTGTAGGGCTGAGAGGCCTTCATCTATATCTGACCATGCCTCCGATCCTGATTGCGAAACTTTTCTACTATCTCGATGATGTGAGGATGGTTCCGTGGAAGAATCTCGCCCTGGGATTGCCGGAGTCGATATAGGAGAGACTGGTGGTGGTAGCGATGTTGTGGTATTGGTACGTGAAGGCTATGTCATTTCTAGTGATGTTTCTTGATGTGCTTGGAAAGAGGGGTATATGGAACCCACCATTCTGGCGCGCGAGCGGCACTTGAGCCGTAGATCTTCCCTGATTGATGCTTCGACCTCAACTGCTCTCTGTTTATTCCAAATCGCAAATGATCACTGTTCGAGCTTCTGTGGTTTGGAGTCTGTGTACCAGGAAGTACTTCGCTGCTTAAATGGATGAGGAAGATGGCAAGTCATGATTACAAGGAAGTAGATATCAGAAGAGTAGAAGAAGGTGAGTGGACGAACGCTGGTCCTGTACAACCAAAGGCTTCCCAATAGATTGGTAGAATCTGGCCGCGTGCATGATCGGGCATTGCTGTGCTGGCGTCCGATATATCCAATAGCGATGACGTGGGTAAACTTGATCAACTTTTTGCTGTTTAGAGATTGATAATAGATACCTTGTTTTTATGGGATCAAGTCGAAGGTAGATCCTGCCCAATCAACAGACAACGATAAGGGGTGGTAAGTTCGGATGAAGAAAGAAGAAGATTGGCCATTAATAAACCCCATGACTAGGTATCGCTCTATAGTAAGAAAACCGTAATACATAACATCAGCGCCAACGCCAACGCTAAACCGACCGCAGTCATTTTCACGCATTTGCGACACTGCATCCACACTCAACTATCTGGCGACATCTAAAGCAGAGTGTCACCGAGACCGCAACGGACGATAGAGATACCGGCACGAACAGTCTCGCTAGCGCCGTGAGCCTCGAGACTAGGGTTGACCTCGACCAAGTCCAAGGCGACAAGGCTGCCAGTCTCGTGTACGCACTCGGCGATGAAGTCACCCTCACGCAAAGTCAAACCTCCACGGACGGGAGTACCAGTGCTGGGAGCCCACATAGGATCGAGCGAGTCAATGTCGAAGGACAAGTGAATGGGGGTGTCGCTGCCAATCCAGCCCAGAGCCATGTCCATGACCTTGCCAATGCCGTATCTGCGGTTGTGAAATCAGCATCACGATATATTACGAGAGCGAGGACGGAGCTTACCTATCGATGTCGTGCATGGAGAAGGCCTTGATGTTGTGCTCGCGCAGAATCTTCTTCTCACCACGGTCAATGTCTCTCAGACCGATGTAGACGAGCTTCTTGACGCTGACACGCTGGTCATCCTTGATCCAACCGAAGCAGTCCTCCTTGTCTTCCTTGGCCAGGCCAGTAAGGAAGGCCACGGGCATGCCGTGAATGTTACCACTGTCCGATGTCTCGGGAGTGTTGATATCAGCGTGTGCATCGACCCAGATGACGGCCATCTCTCTGCCGGTTCTTTCTCTGATAGCCTTGGCGGTGCCGGAAATGGTGCCAATAGCGATGGAGTGGTCACCACCGAGCGTCAGGACGAAGCGGCCCTGGCGAGCGTGCTCGTAAACCTGCTCACTGAGAGCCTGGGTGACGGCACTGACTGCGCGAGGGTTCTTCATGTTGCGGTAGTCGGGATCTTCCTTGGGGATGATCTCGGCGTATTGGTGAACCTCGCCGTCGTAGTGCACGTTGAACTCGAGCTCTTCTCTCAGCTGCTCAACGAGACCAGACTCTATCAAGGCCATGGGAGCGGCATCGACGCCGGATTTACCCTGAAATCATGTCAGAGATGTCAATGCCTACACAAACTCGAGATTCGCTCACCTGGCCTCCGCAGAAGCCAACAGCAACGAGACCCAGCTCGTTGCGCGAGGGCAGGAACTTGGGCTGAAGAGTAGGAGCGTCCATTGCGAGTCGAGAGTCGCAGGAATAGATTCAGGTGAGGTGTTGGGAGGTGGGTATGGGTTAGAGGAATAATTTACGAATCAGGACAGTGAGCTTCACAGATGAAAGTAGAGATGGAACAAAGAGACGGGGAGAAAGGGAATGATCGAGTTTTTCAATAAGCCCAGCTGACCCGTTGAAATCATCTTCGTGGCCTTTTGAAATAGGCCATAACGTAAAGACGAAGCCAACTCGACAAGACCTGTACTATACGGTCAGACGCCAGAGACTTGATCCCTAAGTGAAGTTGTAAGCGGTTCGACTGAAGTTTGGTGGTAGAAGTCCGAGTCTGTGCACTTTGGCCGGGCTTCGATCACTATCTTCATTACGAATTGGAAACGATCTTATCTCACCCTGGGGTCTGGGGATAGATATCGAGGTATGACGATTTTAGCATCTAGTCTCTTCAAGACAGAAAATGCGAAGTAGGAGGACAAGATGGAGTAGGTAGTATAATGCGGCCATACAGCCATCTGATTCGATATTAACAGCGACCCAACAAGCCAAGCCTTTACGTGTTATGGCTTGCTCCCATCGGCGTTCGATACTCCGAATTGTCCGATGCCAGTGCAGAGGGCCTGAGACAGGCAACCGGTGGCCGAGAGAAAATGTATACGCAAGTCTTGCGCTCGAGTGCGTCCTCAATGGATGTCTGATCTATGCCAGACATAGTCGTGCATTTGTAGCTCGAACTCCTTGATCTGTATCGAGTCACTACTTGCTTCCTGCCCACAAGCCTCGGAATTGTCAAGATCTTGCCCTGTCCGTCCGAGGACAAATTTTCATTGCGATCTGACAGAACATATCTTGGGACGGAAGTCTCTCAAGAAGTGGTCTTGATTGTCCGTAGACAATTTTTCATGCAGTCTAGTCTCTCCGTGTACCAAACACGGGGCGCTTGTAGCTGTCTCAATGCACAGTAATCTGCATGGGATACAGTGATGTCTATGGAGATGCGTTCTCTCTCCTTCCTCGCCCCCTAAGTTTCAGTGAGGCTCGGTGATGGTGTTCCGGCAGCCAAAATCTGGCCAAGCAAAAAGACCAAAACAAGGTGACCCAAGGGACTCGAAATAAACTACAGAAAGCATCGGAATGCTGTATGCAAATCGTCGCCTGAGGTCCTAAACCCGAAGACATGTTTATCTTGACCATGATGCCAAAATGGTCGGGGTGGGTATATAACATCGGACTTCTCTAGCGCTTTCCGCAACAGGGAACTTTTCGTCTACCTACCGACCACTATGCATATATGTTTATTGCAAAGTCGTGTAAAGAGTGGCTTTGGATACGGCTTGCTTCCCACGTGTCTTATAGCACGTCTCGAACTCCGAGCATCAGAAAGCTACCCATGGAATGCAAATTGCAGTCTTGCTGCTGTCGAGTCATGGACGAGATGAAATTGAGGTACGGGGTACAAGTGTCAGTAGGTGAGGCGTAAGGAGAGAGATGGGCAATGAAGTGTCGATAAAGTCTATCGAAAGCGACGCATGCATGCTGCACGCGACTCTCTACCTGGTTTGCTCCGACGTAAGATGTAGGCAGGTATCCGAATGGCGGGAATAGGTAGGCCGACAAACGTAAGTGGACAGCCAAGTCGACTTCTTTGTCAGTCCAGCTCTTGGCTCAAACAAAAAGGCGTCGCTGGAGTAGAACAGTAATGAGATGGGCTGGTGTAGAGAGGAACACAGTAGAGTAGGTCAGAGACTATAGGAGGGCGAAGCATGATTTAGAGATTGGATGCGGAGATGTCGGTATACTAGTATGTGTAGAGTAGATGCAGGGAAGAGCAGGCGTGGCTGCAAGGACGCGGCGCATGTGAACGTGATGATTGTGACGGAGCGTGGGCCCTCGGGGAGTCAAGGCTTGTCAACGGTGGTGCAGTCGACGCCCCTTTCAGCGCGGAAGCGGGTCTCTAGTGTGGTGATTTATGTGGGAGGCACGATTTGAACATGTTGACGGATTTGCAAAAGACGAACAAGCACTGCTGGCATTGTCGGGGAGGGAAGAAGATCTGATCTGATCGGCCTGTTGAGCAGCGACGAGCCTCTTGGGTGCACGCAGCCACGGCGACCAGACGACGTCGGCACTTGACACACGATCAGCGCACCTGCCCCAAGGCTTCAAGCATTCATTGACCATCGATTGCCATTGCCTGTTACCTGTTGCCTGTTGCCTTTGAGTTGCCTCTCGACTCGACTCAACCCGACACGACCAGACACGATTATATACATTATTGCCCCCAGCCGCCATGCGCTGAATTGGAACGACACCCAGGAGCCCCAGGAGACGACAGCATGCTCCGTACCGGCGCTGCGCAAGCCGGCGATGCGAACCACCACCAGAGACCGCACCCACGACACTACCATGACCGTTATGATACTGCACGCGCCCCGTCAGCCGGCGGAGATTCCGTCATGACTGTCCGCATTCCTGGCCACCAACACCAACATCAACACCAACACCACCAGCACCATGGCCCAGACGAGGCCACTCGGCGGGGTAGCGTCGTCCACGACCGCGCTCCCAGCGACTCCTCACACTGGTCGCACGCTGAGAGACAGCCTCAGGCACACGGTCTGGCCAATCTGAATCGCTGGTCTCACTCGACAGCCTCCAGCACCGCTTCCATCGACACTCCGCCGACAGTAGTTGAGCACTCTCAGTCGCATGCCCACGCCCACGCCCACGCCCACGCCTACTCCAATACTTCCAACCACGGCTTTCACACCGCCTCTATCTGGGCTCGTCGCAATGTCTCTGATGCCCAAATGTCGCCCGACGACGTATCACCACGCTCCAATGCCCATCACCAAGCCATGCAAAGCCCCGAATACCATCGTCGCCACGTCCCTCGCTTCGAGAAACCCCTGCCTCCACGCATGTCTATTTCGAACCACTCGCCCAATGACGATATCCAATTGACCGCCGCCACCTTTACTCCCTCGAGCGCTGGTCTGCTCACTCCCAACAGCTACGTCAACTCGGACTACTTTGGCAGCACCGCCTCGAGCAGCTACGACAGGTCCCCGCACGCCTTACCACCTCGTACCTCGTCACGTCAAACAGCATCCATGCCAAGATACGATGTCAGTCCCGTCGAAAGCTCTTCGGGCAGGGGAAGAGACAAGGACAAGAAGACAATGCTGTCAAAGGCTTTGGAAAAGGCAAATACTGCTGTCCTGTTGGACAATGCCATGAACTACGAAGGCGCCCTTGAAGCCTATCAGGACGCCTGTCGTTTACTAGAACACGTTTTGGATCGAACCTCGACCCCTGATGACCGCCGGAAACTTGACGCTATCCGCGACACGTATATCATTCGCATCGACGAGCTAGTGCAAATTCAATTGACTACACAAGCCACAAGGAGGGACAAAAAGCTGCCCCCAAGACCTATGAGCAACGATTCAATCGTGTCCGCCATTTCTAACCCGGACCGTGGCTCTGCTGCCATCGAGACAGCCACCTTGACCCGCATCATCGATGCACCACCGTCAGCAGGCAATTCGGCTTTACCCTCACCCGTGGACGGTCCACCCACCTCCTTCTTGGCAGTTTCACCCGCTCAAGGTCCACGCACTTCGTTCCTTACAAGTGCTATACAGGAGGTTGAAGGCACATTCACCCCCGGTGCCTTCTTAGGTCCTTTGTGGGAGCGTGAAAGATCGAGGTCGCCTTTCAGAGACTCTACCATTAGCCACGACACTGCTCGTCCTTATAATCTTGAGCCTGCTCTGATGCCTCGACCTCTGACTCCTCGAGGACATGACGAACATGATGACTCCCTTGAGCTGGACTCGAGACCTACGACAGCGGAGTCTCAAGATATTCAACAGAATGCCGACCCGGTATCGTGGTTGGATACAATAGACGAATCGGGGTCTTCGGGCTCTCCCTCCAACACCACTACATCCTCCCGCTCGCCATCGCCATCAGTCCACGAGCGATCGCCAAGAACGGGGGTACATCGCCGGGATATAAGTGGTGCTCTCAGTCAAGCTAGCATGGACTTTGATGCTGCTTTCGATGCTGCTGTCGAAGCCGCTTACGAAGATGGCTACGAAGTCGATGATGAATTCCTTGCCGAATCTGAGCATCACCAAGACGAACACACCACGTCTGCATACGATCTGAGTATACCTCCTCCGAGCCGTCCGGGTCAATACGATTCCTTTGATGGCCAAGCCGATGATGATGAAGCAGAAGAGGAACGTATTCTGGCAGACATCACGAATGACTATATAGACCACGGTTTCAATTTCGACATCCAGTCAAAGTCTGCTCTGCCACGACAGTCAGACTCAAGTACATATTCTGGCCGCACATACCAAAGTTCACAGGTGTCCAATCGGACGACTGCCGGTACTTCACTATCGACTGTCGCAGAAAATGCCGTCTCTCATCACACGCCAACCTCCTCCTTTGCAACCGACATCTCAAAGACCTCGCCGGAGCAGAGCAGCGGCGCTCAGCAGATCACAACTCCAAACCGACGAGCTGTTGGACCAAACTTCAAACAGCTCAAGATCGAGACTTCCCGGAAGCCTACTCTTAGGTCGCGCGGCTACACGAATACCGAACCTAAAGAGACTTCCGATCTTGTTGGTGTAGAGGACGATCAGGACGCGGACCGTCGCATCTCGGAGGTTCCTAGCTTGCGCCGCGTGGAGGCGGCCCTTGCTTCGCCTTACCATATGAGATCTGCCGCTTCTGATACTGCAACGTCAATGTCTCTGGGAAGCTTGCCAGAAGATGGAGATGTCCTGAACAGCAGTTACCGCTCGCCAAGGCCAAGACTATTCCGCGGTAGGAACAAGTCGTCGCTCAGTCTTCGTGACACAGGCTTCCTATCAGAGGAAACAGACACCGCCCCAGCTTCCCCTATGTCAGCCTTCCCAGGCAATGGAGAAGCACCTCCTTTCAGAAGGTATATCACACCGCCTGGGGGTTCTATTGCTATCACACGTACAGACTCGGCCTCTGGAGGTCATCATATCTTTGAGAGTTTCCTTAGCCCTCCTAATCAACCACCATCGCCCGGAGCGGACGATTCGTGTTCTCCTTCATCCTTAGAGCCTTGCCCGGAGCCAACATTATTAAGACCTTTCTGGATGCTCCGATGCATTGCGAATGTTCTCACTCAACCTCGTGGTGGCTTCTTGAGCACTCGACTCTTCGTACCTCGTCAAATTTGGCAGAACCGCACAGTCAAGCTTAAGAGCGTTGAAGACAAGATCGCCAACTGCGATCTGTTGACAGCTGCTCTGGGCAAGTTGTCCAAAGTAGACACTTATGATGCAGATGCAGTACTGGAAGAGCTTCAAAGCTTCGAAGAAGTAATGGAACGTGTGCAGGCTGTTCTCATCAAACGACTCGGTAGCGAAGTCGGTGTGCAGGGCGTTAGCGCTCTCTTCAAGGATGCGGCTGTTCCAATCGACAACACTGGTACTACTGCTGATGTCCGCGACCCGAAGCCAAACAAGAGTTATCTCAGTTCTTGGCGTAAACTCAGAGGCAAGAACTCGACAGGCGGCGTCACGATCCCTCTAAGCAGCAGTCGCACAGACAAGGAAGTCGCGAACATGGCCAGTGTACCAATGACCAGCTTTGTACCCATCGACAAGCGTACCGCACATAAGCATACAGCATCCAAAGACACCAACACCTTCGAAGGCCCGCATAAAGAGTATATGAACAGTGTATCTCGTCTGTGCGATGCAGCACAAGTACTCGATCAGGTGGCGCGCCAAGTCGAGGATCCTGGTCTCAAGCACTCGTCTCCCACACATATTGGTCTCGAACTTAGTACCCGCCATGCTGCTGAGTTTTTCGGATTTTATATCTGCAGGTTCGTGCTTGGTGATGTCACTTTGTTGATGGACAAGTATGTCAAGAGGAGCACTGAGTGGGTTATTGCATAATCCCTCGTCGTCCCTGCATTTTCTCTCTTCTGCATTTTTGCATTTTCCGTGGTGTTTGCATACCCCCTCGTGTACACTTAGAGGCATGTCTTGTTTCTGGCATTGTTTATCTGTTGGAAGCATATCCCCCTTCTACAGGCAACATACTATTTTTTTCTTCCCATCGTTTCTCGCGTATATCCATTTCTTCACTCCGAGTGTCTTCTTTTGCGAATCTGTTTGGGCGATTTAATACTACTGCATGCGGGGAAAAAGGTGGTAGTTTTCCGGCATGCAAGCAAGAAATGAAGTGTACGAGAAGTTTTTTGCTGCTATTCTTTTCCGAAAGATCGTCCCTACAAATCCAATTCTCACATTTTTTTCTGTTCCCTGATCTTTTTTCTGTGTCGATACCTGTGGTATGCAGTCGGTCATGACTGATTTCTCCTAGTTGAAACTTGTGCTTGAGCTCGTGTTTGTTCTTCGCAACTTTCATTAGAAAGATGCCATGCCTATCAATGGCTCAAGAGGTAAGAAAATTACAGATTTTGACACTTTTTTTTGAGTATTGTTTAAGAAATCGTCGTGTTGCTTTTTTCTTTCTCTCTACATCCTAGCCTCATGAGAAAAAGGTGAGACGGTGGCATTTTGCATCCTCCCCTTACTTCCTTCCCTCTGGTATCAAAAAAATCGAGCATTGGCCGATCATCCATCTATCTATGCCTTGGGTCTTGCAAGAAACATGAGCATTTTAAGCAGACTCCTCGGTAATAAGCTTGGTGACCTTTCCAATGGCAATAGTCTGACCCTGATCACGAAGGGTAAATCTACCCAGAGTCGGGTATTCGGCAAAAGTCTCGATACAAACACCGGCGCCATTGTTGCTGGTGACTCTGAGTCGTGCAATGATGCTCATTCCCTTTGTTGCGAAACCGGGGGCCTTCTTTGATTTTCTGCCTGTGCCCTTTTCGAGCTTGTGGAGGAGGGCGTCGAAGGTTACTTCTTCGGTTGCGGCGTGGACTGTGGGAAAATGTTAGTGACGGGGGTAATCTCGGAGGGGAGGGGAGGGGAAGAGGGAGAATCTTACCATGCATGACGCAGTTAAAACCGGCGGAGAGGATGGACTTGATATCGAGGAGCACAATCTGGGCTTCAAAAACAGAGACACAGTTTACAGGGCGACGGGGCGAGCAGAGCACGAAACCGGGCATAATGTCTTCTTCTTCAATACCCTTGATGCGCAGACGGATTTGGTCGCCACATGTGGCATTGGGGATTTCGTCTTCGGTCTCGCCGTAGAGGGCTGAGATGGTGGTTTCGACGCGGTTGGGCATCATGAGGTACTTCATGTCCTTCTTGATGACACCGGATTCGATCTTGCCTTCGACCATGGTACCCAGGTCGCGATACTTGGCGGCGACGGGCATCAGGAAGGGAGCGTTGAGCTTGCGCTCCAGAGCTTGCATGCTGTCGAGGTAGTTGAGGAGGGAAGGTGCGTCGTTCCACGGGCAGACCTCCTTGGGGACGGGGTCCTTGATACCGAGAGTGGTTTGCGCGGAGATGGGCATGAATTGGAGATCGGTCTTGGGGTTGTAACCGACACCCTTGAGGAATTGAGCGAGCTTGCCGGTGCACTCCTTGTAACGCTCTTCGCTCCACTCAACAGTAGGGTCATCCATCTTGTTGACGGCGACGATGAGCTTGTTGACACCCTGAGTCTTGGCCAAGACGGCGTGCTCACGAGTCTGACCACCCTTCTCGAAACCAGTCTCGTACTCACCCTTTCTGGCGGAGATGACGAGGACACCAATATCAGCCTGCGAGGCACCACCAATCATGTTGGGCACAAAGGTCTTGTGACCAGGAGCATCCAGAATGGTGTAACGACGCTTCTCGGTCTCGAAGAAGCCCTTTCCGACCTCGACAGTCTTACCCTTGGCACGCTCCTCCTTGGTCAAATCCAGAGCCCATGACAGGTACCATGTCTCTCTTCCGGCCTCCTTTGCGTCGCGCTTGTACTTTTCCATGGTACGCTCATCGACCATACCGCTGGCGTACAGAATGGAACCACCGAGAGTCGACTTTCCAGCATCGACGTGACCCAAGAAGATAACGTTGACGTGCTCCTTGCCGTACATGTCCTTGAGGGTCTCCTCGTCGACATCAGCGGCCTGCTCAGCGGCGACCAGATCGGCTTGACGGGCCTCAGCACGCTTCTCGGCGGGAGTGGGCGAGCTGCGACCGGAAGAGGGAGTAGGAGAGGTGCGACCAGACGAAGCGGCGGGCGAGTTGCCAGTCTTCTCCAGAGCCTTTGCGGCAGTGACGGCCTTTCCAGCACCAGCCTCGGCCTTGTTGACAGTCTCCTTGACAGGTGCGGGCTTTGCGGGCTCAGCATTAAGCGAGAGAACCTTTGTGCCGGCAGTCTTCTCGACCTTGGGAGCGGCGGGGACGCCCAAGCTCAAGACCTTTGTTCCACCAGTCTTCTCGACCTTGGGGGCTGAAGCACCAGTGTCAGAGGCTGAGAGCGAGAGGGTCTTGACGGGGGCCTTGGGGGCGTCTGCGGCGGACTGGTCACCTCTCTTAGCAATGACGGGTACTTGGCGCTGTTGCTGGGCGGGTTGCTGGTAGGACTGGTTGTATTGTTGAGCGTAGCCCTGTTGGCCGTATTGCGAGTATTGCTGCTGCTGGCCGTAGCCTTGCTGACCGTATCCTTGGTTTCCGTACTGGTTGTACTGCTGCTGCTGGCCGTATTGTTGGCCGTAGCCGCCGTATTGCTGTTGGCCGTATGCCTGACCAGGGTTGAAGAAGGCCTGGCCGGGGTTGAAGGCAGCGGCTCCGGGCTGGAAGCTGCCCATTCCAGGGTGGAAAGCGCCTCTTTGCTGCTGCTGTGGCTGCTGCTGCTGCTGCTGCTGCTGCTGCTGCTGCTGCTGCTGCTGCTGCTGTTGTTGGTACTGCTGTTGGCCGCCCATGTTCAGGCTCTGCTGTGCCTGTCTGGACAGGTCCTGGTCCTGCTGGGCATCGGGCGAGTCTTCCCACGAGTTGAGATCCGACATGGTTGCTGTGTTTGAGCGATCGGATGTGGATGGGTATGCGAGAGTTGTTGTACGTGCAGACGAATCGGGAGGCACGTCGCGTTTAATGGCAAAAATTGTTGACAGCGCGCGCGGAGTCGACTTTCAAACTTCCAACTCTTTCCACGCTTGGTGGGGTTCCAACTTCCCTCTCCTTCACACCGGCCGGCGGCGACTCGTTTTTGCTTCGCCAGCACCTCCGCATACGTCACGTGCGACTTTGGGCATGAACAATTTATTGAGACTTTGCTTGTTATTTTGTTGCGTCTTTGTTGACGTCTTATTGATTAGAGATCTGACGACATCCTTTTCGAATCGTCACCGCTAGACTCTTGTTGGCTGTTCACATTGGCGCCCCGCTGGCCAAATTCTCGCTCTTCACAAGTCATCTGCATCAACCATCTGGATAACAATACCTGTCGAGGCACCGCCTCCGTTGCAGATGGCCGCACATCCATACTCGCCCTTCTTCAGTTGATGCAATAGCGTCACCAAGATTCTGGAGCCCGAGCTGCCCAATGCGTGACCGAGAGAAATTGCTCCGCCTCTGGGGTTGACGTTATCCATACCAAGGCCGAGGATCTGGCACTCCGTGTAAGTAAATCTTCAGACACCGCATTTCCATTTTTGAACGTACCTTGGCGTTTGCCTCGATCACTGCTGCAAAGGCCTCGTTGAACTCCCACACCTTGACCTGCTCCTTGGTGATGCCTGCTCTCTCGAGCACAATGGGAACAACCTTGGAAGGTGCGATGGGGAAGTCGATGGGGTCGACTGCCGCGTCTGCTGTTGCCACAATACGTGCAAGCAGCTTGTTGCCCTTGCCGTACTTCTTGGCCAACTCCCTGTTGGCAAGAACAAGTGCCGAGGCTCCGTCCGACAATCCCGAGCTGTTGGCCGCTGTCACTGTGCCCGAGCCAGACTTGTCGAAGGCTGGCTTGAGAGTGGGCACCTTTTCCAGCTTGAGTCTGTACACTCCCTCGTCTTCCGAGACGACTGTGTCGCCCTTCTTGCCCTTGATGGTCACTGGCACAATCTCTTCCTTGAAGTGTCCCTGCTTGTAGGCTTCTTGTGCACGCTTGTAGCTCTGGATGGCGTAGTTGTCCTGCTCTTCACGAGTAACACCGTGGTCCTTGGCCGTCTTCTCGGCACAGTTGCCCATGTGGATTTGGTTGTAGACATCCCACAGACCATCCTTGATCAATCCGTCGTCAAGCTTGATGTTGCCGAAGGGAGGAAGTTGAGATGATCGAGGCAGATAGTATGGTACTTGGCTCATGTTCTCCATTCCTCCTGCGACTTGTGCTTCGGCCATGCCGAGCTGAATCTTCATGGCGGCTATTGAAACGGCCTTCATACCCGAAGCGCATACTTTGTTGATGGTGGTTGCTTCTACCGAGGAATCGAGACCGGCGAAGATGGCGGCTTGTCTTGCTGGTGCCTGACCGACACCTCCTTGCAAGACTTGACCCATGTAGACGTCGCTAATGTGCTCGGCGGGGATGGACGAACGGGCTATAGCTTCCTTGATCGCGTAAGAGCCGAGCTTCGGCGCGGAAACCGAAGACAGAGCTCCATTGAACTAAGAATAATTGTCAGGCTCTCATGTACTTCTCACAGGTTGACCTTGCACATACGACTCCAACTGGTGTTCGGACAGCACTCAGAATGTATGCATCTTGAATCTCCTTTGCTCGGGATGTGGAGGAGCTGAATTGTCTATAGCTGTTGAAACATGTCTGGCGAGTCGAGAGCGGTAGGCGACGGAGAGGAGTAAGAAGTGTGGCGGACGACATTTTGAGAACTTTTGAATATGCAGGAGGTAAAAGAGAACAAATCAAGTGATTGAAAGAATGGAGGAACGGATCATCACATGAAAGTTGCAACTGTTCACCGAGGTGGAGCGTGGAGGAATTCGCGGGGCAGTTCCGTCCGAACGCTCCGTCATTGATGAAGCCTCGGTTGTGTCCTCCGGCGAGCGCGCCTTTTTGGAGCCGACGGCGCCCTTCGTCCCTCCTCACTTTGTTGTTGCATGCTATTTTCGTAGTTTGTACGGGGAAGGTCGCGGCCGACCGCTCTATGACCCGACTTCAATTTGCGTATCCGGTTGTAAAGCAACATCACAAGTTCAGAAGCTCCCATGTCGCATGCCTGCCATGAAGGGAGGTATCCGACCAGGTCCTGGCCCAGCCATATGCGGCGGCCCTCCAGGTGGCATCTCAGTCTTTCTCCTCCTCTTGGACTCTCTCCACTTCATCTCAGGATCGATGCGCCTGCCGAACACAGGTTCCAGTACTGCAACACTCTTCTCCCCGGGTAACTTGAAATCGACAAGGTTGAAGTAATAATTCAACACCTCGGGATACCGTTGTAGACTGTTTTTCCAATCTTCATCTATGCCTCGCTGATACGCACCCTGTGCTGCTGACATTTGCATGCGTAATTCGTGCATTTGTGGTTGTGAGATGGGCGGCCGGCCCGAGTAGATCTTGTAGAGTTCGTAGTATGGGACGGTGGCCAGGTGTGCTTCGTATTGCTGTTTCCGTATGTCGACCATTTGATTATACGTGAACATGATCCACTCGCGAGCGTGGCGCAAGGCCCAGTGTCTGGAAGGGTCAGAGTCAGTACCGAGATCTGTGTTATTGGAGTCAACATGCTTTATCTGTTGCATCTCGACGCTGGCCATCCAGCGATGACTGGCTTCTTCCAAAGCCCTCTTCAGCATCTCATTTTCATGTTGACACATCTTCGATGGAGGAGCGCCGCAGACGGCGCATGATGCTTCGGCTTGCATGTATTGGAGTCTTAGACACTATCGAGATAGTCTGCCTCCGTACCCACGAACGTGGACACAGCGTGTTAGGATAGTCGGTAGTCGGTAGTCGTTGGTCGGGGTCATGAAACAATAACAAGCACAACGGATAGAGACATCTTTGTTCAAGGATGACGCAAGACGAACGCTTCTGAATTATTCGACTACTTTAATAGAGTGTTCTGTCAGGCTGCATCCGCCGCAGCCTGGTCACGTTCATGGTCGCCGATTGGTGCGTACATGCATGATGAGCTGTCTTTGTGGGGCCTCGTGGTCCAGGCATCATGTCACCACAAAGCACTCGTCGATTCTTGAGCATGTAATTCTGTAGACTTAGGTCTGAGAGCAGACTCACATGTGTAGGTAGTGTTTTACAGACAAACTCGAAGCTGTACACGATACCAGGGTCGCACCTGCGTCATCAGGTCTTGTCAAGTCGAGGAATATATTGTGGTTCTTGACCTTGCAGATGGAGCTCGAAGACGCGTTGGAGTTCGTAAAGTATTGTATGTAAGATAAGGTTGAACAGAAACTGGATTAAAATAGAGTATTGAGAAGGGACTCCTGCATGGAGGTGTTGAACGCAGGCGCTTGACAAAGTCAGTTGTGCTTCGCCGTGACACAAGTGTACAAGATAGCGAAAGAAGAGGGAATCTCAAGATATCATCAGAGGATAAGGGCCATCTCGTGTCTGGCTCGGAAGCTTAGACGTAGCGAGGGATCAGGTTGATATCGGCACAGCTCGAGGGATTCTCGAGGTGGTAGTAACTATCGCAGTCAGCATCCACCACCTATGTCAAAGACAGGTTTACTCACCTCCACTTTGAGAAAAGCTGGGGAACACCGTGCCACCAGTCACACACAAGCCATCCTCCGAAGGAGTTTTGACCAACCTTAGAACCCGGGCTTTCGTCCCACTGAAGACCACTGGAGTTGAAGAAGAACCCGCCTGCACCAGTGCCAGCATTGATACGCACAGGCTCCCAAGCAGCATAGAAGTTGACATCTGCGATATACAGATCGTAGGGAAAAGCTCCTCCGAGGTCGAAAAGCTGGTTGAAATAAGGCTTCCCATTGCTTTGGGTGATGTTAGTGTCATTGGCGAAGCCTTTGATGCCTGATGACTTGTTGGTATACAAGACAGCATCGTTCAAGCCTGCTCCGGTGTGCGAGGCTACAAGCCAGAGATTATCAAACCGCTTCTTGTCTGCTTGGCCAGGCTTTAGCTGGCTCTGAAGCTGATACTCGCGAGAGGTGTTGAGGCTCGCCAAAGCAGTGGTAGCCAGCGCGGCAGTAAAGAAGATGGTTCTGAGATGCATGAAGAGAAGCTGTATGGATAGGAAAATATGCGTAAGAGTCGATGAAGCGATGAGGAGAAAGATCATGGGAGACAAGGCCCGCCGTCTTATATGTCTGGCAAATAGAGAATCGATCATCATGTGTGGCATAGCCAATACCACCTCACCTAGACAGATACCCTTCAACCTGTATACCAGTCTGACGTACCTCGTACGACATGATCTACAGATCCTTCCAGGAAGAACAGAGGCATGAATGGATCGTCCAAAGCTACGCCCAGCTTGACCATCAAGCATCTGATTCGTTGAGTGGTAGGACATTAGACCGGAGCATTCGGCTTGTTTGTAGATCCTATGGCCGTTTGACACTTCAGTGGCACTATGTATGTATCAATGGGAGCAGTAGAGCCGACGCTTCGCACCCATCCTCTAAAGGTCTTTATGTGAGTGACGGAAGCTTACAGCTCACACCGGATGTCAAACATTCCCTATGGCGGTGCCCGCCATCATTAGGGATCCAGACAATCTGCGATGATAGTAGTGGACGAAACCCGCGCTGATTTGGTCATCCGTTCCCTCGACGTATTGCCAATAGTTAGATTCTTACTCGGTAGTACAGCTAAAGCTTTGCATCCTCCCTAGTTCAACGTGGAACACGAGAAGCTTGTCAAAAGCTTTTTAAACGAAGTCACCTCCCTCATTCGCGGGGTTATCGTATCACTCAGACCTGTTCAAACTGGTCATGTTCCAGACGAAGATCTTTGACCATCAAGTACGGTTAAGGATCACGTCGATCTTTGGCCTTATTTTAGTACACTACATCGTATTCACTTCTTCTAGATTCTAACCGTATGCTGCATTTGGCGTAGGTGCGAATTTTGTAATGCTCAGAGATGGTTGGGACGTACGTTAGCCAAAGGTAGAGTCATCATGGTCATGGTAAGTCCCAATAGACTCGACCTACATCAAACCGGGGCCTCGAAGAGGGTACCAAGAAGATCTGGAAGTCGGACTCTCAATGATTGATGTCGACATCGACGTCGAAAGTTGCTAGGTCTGCACCACGACGGCGCAGATCCGGCCGTCAAGGAGGAAGGAAGCACCCGCTACCTTAGACACGATCCTCTTACTGACTTGATCCCAGCCGCTCTCATCGCCGACATAACATTACTTTTGCATGACTTCACATTCGCTCCGATTGAATCCTATTCTTGGAAAGCACACCTATCATCGGTATATCACTTTTTGGTAATGTCCATTGTCTTGCGTCTTCTCAACGCCGTCCAACTGGCAGTCCTGCTCGCTTCTAGAGCCTGTGCAAACACTATAGATTCGATCCGAAGCTTGAAGCCCAGTCGGGCCTCGTCACGCTCTTCTCGCGCGCGAGCTGCGGACCAACCCTGGAAAGAACTGTGACGACAGGCGCTCACACAGCCCCATTCTTGAGCAACATACCCACCCTCACTGCTTGCCTTGATAATTGTGAGCTCGACACGTGCATTACACGCTTCGAGCATTTTCCGCATTGGTACAACTTCCTTCAGCTGTTGGCCAATGCGACGAATCGCGAGCTAGGCGAGGATATCGTTATACGCCATCTCTGGAAAAGAAACTGCTGGTCTCAGTTACTGGCATTGTGGCTGGTGGAATTGGCCCTACCTTGAGATATTGATCCGACACCGTCAGCACTCTGATCTCCGGGCTCCCATATACTGCTTCTATCGTCGCTACCGGAGCCGAGTTTTGGTCCACGAGATCCAGGGGCTGGAACGGCAATTACGCTGTATCAGCAAGCGGAGCGTCAAGCGCTGTCATTCAACGTCGACGAGCAGAAGTGTGATGTGTGGAGTCTAGGCTAGGGCTGAAATACTTGACAATCTGTGTTTGTCGCGCCGAATCAAATAACCATTCAAGGTATCGTTCGCGAGCAGTATGGAGTCAAGGGCTCAGGGAATGATCTTGCAGGCACCAACCAGAACCTCAGGGAACTCCGTAGCGATGAGAAGTCCACCAGAAAGCAAATCCGACGAAGGCAAAGCAACACTATCTGAATCAGGCCAGCAGTGAAGGACGTTAACCAGCAGAAACAGGTCTAAGCGATGCGGACACAAATCCAAAGTTACTGCCTTAGTGCTAGCCAGGAAGATGTGGGTAGACAGAGCACGGATGGGTAACGGCAATAAATGCTATGCAGACATGGTGGAGGTTGACAAACCCTAGAAAAGCCATACCGTGGGAGACAGATCGGGTGATGGGCCGAGACAGACTGGATCAGGCGCATCTGTCCGCAGAGTGAGACGTCGTATCAAACAGTGCTATGTGCTTCGAAGTAGCTTGATTGGCCAGGGCCCCTTGAAGTCATGACTCCTTCCTACTTCCGTATATTTCTCGCGTTTAATACAGCTTTCCTGAAGCGATGTGTGTAGGGATGTGAATCTATCGGCATTATTGTCGTAACTGTATGTGATGTGACATGTGACTTTCTTCATCTCTTCTTCTTGCTGACAACCTTGGTGAAGCCATCGTCGTCCACCTCGGGCTCTTGTCTTTCGCGTGGTGCAGAAACGAGAGCGGGAGCAGCATCACCCATCTCAACATCGTTATCGTCGTCGTCGCTCTCTTCGTCGCTGCTCTCATCGTCGTCTTGCTTGTGCTCAACGACCTGGAGGTTCTGAGGGACTCTTCCGCCGCGCTCTTCGAACCTCCTCTTGATAGCCTCGATACCAGCGAAGTTGCCGTCCAAGGTCTCTTTCCTAAGCTTCATGATCTCTTCTGCAACAGGGATCTCGCTCTCGTCCTCGACGTTCAGGTCGAACTCGTCTTGCATGACCTGCAGCAGAACGGCTTCGACGTCGAACTGATCGGTATCGGCACGGTCTGTGAAGAGGTCGCTCAAGGCGCCAGCGAACCAGTCGCGCTTGTCTGAGCTTTCTGGGCCACCCCAGTTGCTGGTGACGGCGATTGTGAGGGCAGGCCAGAGGCCCAAGGCGTACCAGATGCCGAGATCGAAGTTGGTCTGAATTGTTTCTGCGTCTGATCAGTCATTTGTTTCGACAAGTCTGCAATCACAGTGTCATACCTTGATCCGCCATGATTGTGTTCTGGCAGAGAGTTTGCGGTGATGGCATAATTTATTTGGCCATGCGCAAAAAAGAGACGCTTGGACCACGAAACTCCAGACTTCGGCAGAGGCTTGGAGTGGACCCTGGGGAAGAAGATCGACATCAACAAGCGCCACATCCGTCACGATTCAAGCACTCATCTCCGCTGTTTTGCAGCGGTTGCGCTTGCCAGAAACAAATACTCGGCTCCTGTCGCGGCGGGAGTATCTCGAGTCTCCATCTCGAGCAAGACTTTCTCACCGGTCTCACACAAGCACGCTTTCCGCGACTGTCAAATCTGACATGCGCCGATGACAAAGATCCTCTGGGAATTGAACGCGACTATCACCAGGGATTCCATTAATCAAAAGGATCAGCCATGGTCTTGAGCACGCTCGGCGTAGCTGCCGACGTTACTCCTTCGGTCATCGAGACCTTCTTCTCACATGCAAGTCTCGGTGCCGTATCGTGCGACCCTACCTGATATGCTAATGCCTTAGACAGTACCTTAACCGCAAGCCGCTGAAAGGAAAACCCACTGCCCATGTTTCGTACCACGAAGGTCTGCGCCTTATCCGTCAGTTTCTTCACTATGCTTCACAACATACCGTCGAAGACATTCAAGCCTTCACTGGCCAATGGGTACCAACTCCAACTTGGGTCAAGCTCGAAGAAGTCGCCATTTCCGAGGCCCACCTGAAGCGCTCAGCCGACCTCGTGAAAGCACAGCTGGGCCCTGCAGGTCTGCAGAGAGTCGGTGGTCAAGATTGGTGGCAGTGGAGACGGCCAGAACTTGCCTTGAAGGGTGAATGGATCGAGATGCGCCAGGACTACAACGACCGAGTGGCCACTGAGAACAAGAGCGACCGCGTCATTCTCTACGTACATGGCGGTGCCTACTACTTTGGTTCCGTCGACGAGCATCGCTACCAGATGCAGCGTCATGCTAGGAAGCTCAAGGCCCGTCTTTTTGCTCCGAGATACCGCCTTGCTCCCCAATTCCCTTTCCCCTGTGGTCTGCACGATTGCATTGCTGCATATCTACATGTCATCGAGCAGTGTGATCCCTCAACTGTCCTTCTGGGTGGTGACTCTGCCGGTGGTGGCATGGTTATCAACATGCTCGTGACTCTTCGCGATCAAGGCTTACCTCTCCCTGCTGGCGCTCTCCTGTTGTCCCCTTGGGTCGATCTTACCCACTCGTTCCCCAGCGTCGCCGGAGAAGGTGACTTCGACTATATTCCCGCCAACGGTTTCCATCACCGACCCTCGATGGCATGGCCACCTCCAAACGCCAATGACCTGAAAGACATCAAGTCTCCACAGCTGAATTCCCCACGAAGGTCAAAGGAAGAGAAGAAAAAGCTCGAGCGAGAGGCTACTCAAGGCTTCACCACCGAAGATATGCCTCCAATTGGCGAAGCTACCGATACAGCCACGGCTGGTCAAACGTTCCGCCCGCGAGCTAAGAGCGTCCCGGGCGGTGAACACTTGTCAATCGAGCTGGACGGCAAGCTGATCGAGCTTACTGATCAAATTCAGATGTATACAACAAACGACATGCTCGCGCATCCGATGGTATCGCCTGTGATGCAGCCTTCACTCGGTGGCCTGCCTCCATTGCTCATCCAAACAGGCGGTGGCGAGCTCCTGCGCGACGAGCAGATCTACATCGCGCACAAAGCCGCAAATCCGGCCGCATATCTTCCGAGCAAGAAGGTCATGGACGAGTTCGATCCCAACAGGGAGATATTGAACAGATACCCACCAACGCATGTTGTTCTGCAGGTTTGGGATGACCTTTGTCACGTCCCGCATACTCTGAGTTTTACTCGACCAGCGAAGTATATGTACCGCAGTGTTGCCCAATTCGGCGCCTGGGCCCTGGCTTGTGCCCAGGACCAAGCTATCACTATCCTGGATGATGATGCAATCAGTATCATCAGCACCCAGTCTAGCGATGAAAGCGACAAAGACTCCTCTGATGAAAAGATTGATCGCGGTAGAACCATGGACAAGAAATTCCCAGACGCTTTAGGGACTCCGATTAGAGCTCACGCAGTCTCCACAGCTTCTGGATCGGTCGGCAAAGCTGGTGATCCTTTACCTCCTTTCCAAGGTCATATGGTCCGCCAAAGAGTTGACAGGCATGGTGTCACATATCCGCTAGCCGCCCCATCTGATCTGCAGTGTTTGCAACTAGATCCAAACACCATAGGTATGATCAAACCTGGTCCAGTTAGAAAATGGATCTCCAAGAAAGCCGAGTGGGACGTCAAGTACGGCAAGGACAAGCGTGCAATTCAAAAACAACGCATGAAGGAGATGGCCGAAGGTTATGACACGTTCAAAGCAGGAGATGTACCACCACCTACCGCTTTGGCCGGCCGCCGTAAGAAGGACATGCCGGGACAGAAGACGCGCAAGGGCAAATCATGGGGTCTTGCGATGTGGTCAGGATGGGGCTCCAAGCACGACGAAGACACAATTGGCCGTGAACAAAAGGTCAATCGTGCACCCACACAATCGGTCGCCGTGCCACAGGCTGGTGCTGGAGTCTCCAAAGTCGATCCAGAAGAGGCTGCAAAGATAGAGGCTTCGCCTATGGTGAGACCATCACCTACCTTTGACCGTAGTATGAGCCCAAGCTACCGCACCGTCACAAACTTGGGCCAAACGGGCCTACCACATCGACCAATGAGTTCTTCAACGGTTCCTCCTACTCCACCGCCAAAGGACGAACCAAGAGGCAAAGAAGCCATTCGAGACGACGAGCTGCATCTGGCGCCATACGGCATGCACACCAAAGTTCCAGGATCGGAAAACACATTCTTGAGCAACAACAGCGCTCGTCCTCACAATGGCGAGGTAGCCTACCCGTTCAAGCTCAAGAACGAGGCTGCGACTGCAAGCACAGTAACTCTGGACTCTGCAGCTCACGTCAGACCCATGGGCAGAGGCGATGGCGAGTCTGTGGTCGAGAGCTCCAGACCTACGACCGGCAAAGGTGTCAGTGTAATGGGCGGAAGTGAAGATGTCATTATCGCCAATGAGCCTGGTGTGGGCGTGTACGAGACCGAGACGGGATTGAGAGAAAAGGGTAAAGGCAGAGCTGCTGATAACGAAGTAGAGGGAGGAGCAGCAAGACCAGCATTACAGACTTTTGTCACTGCGCAGGAGTTTTGATTCCCAAGTTGGCTGTTCTTAACCAGTCTAGCATAAGAGAGAGCTGCCAGAAGTTTGTATTGATAACAGGATTAGATACCCATATTGCGAAAAAGTATTAATCATTGCCTGTTCCAGCCTCAACAAATCTCATATCAAAAGGAACGCGCCATGCATCAAGTGCTATGAACCAAAACGCCCTCCTGCTTGATTTTCTTGTGTAAAGTGGAAAACAACATTGATTGCTTTTCTTTTTCTTCCGTATTCATTCCCTGAATTCTCCTTTGCTTTGCCCAAATGAGTAGAAATGGAAAAAAAAGAGAGAGACGTCAATTGACTCTTTTTTTTTTCTCTCCAGCAAGTCCGTATATCAGCCCGCCGTCTTGTAATGCAGAAGTGAAAAAAGGAAGGAATCCATAAACCCATGACCACCCAAAAAAAAAAAAGATAAAGGTACAAAGGATCAAGTAAAAAGAAGGGTACCGAAGACATCGGAGTGCAAAAAGGCAAGAATGACCAAAGTGTCATAAAGACCGAGAAAAGAAGTGCGGAGTCGTCAGAGTGCAGAGCCAAACAGAACAAAGATGCCACAATCCCAGCACCTCAATTCTCAGGCAACCCAGCACCCTCACTCAGTACCCTAACTCTTTCCCTGACATTCTCAAACTCTCTAACCGCATCTCCATGTTTCTCACTTCCAATGTTCCAATGTTCTCTGACGCGCTCATCTTCCTTGATGGCTTGAGCATAACTCATAAAGCCTTCTCCCGTGCTAGCTTCCCCTACGGCTTCCAACGCTTTAACTCCAGCTCTTACCAATCTTGCTGCTTTTTCCTGTCGTCTGCTGAAATGGGCGAGCAGGGTCGAGTTGAACTTGTCGAATTTGTCGAGGTAGATGGAAAAGGAGATGCAGTAGGTTGACCATGAGGAGCGGGTGAGTTTCGTGGGTGTCGAGGGTGCGCGGGGGAGGGTGGGCATCTGGAGGGACTGAGGTGTAAAGGTTGGGATGGTGGTGGAGGCTTTCGAGGTAAACGGGAGAGTGTTGCTGATATCGGAGAAACCGTCGAGGCCTTGAGATGGCTGAGGATCGACTGCGGCGCCTAGATCGTCAAGGCGGACCTTAAAGCCATCGCTCTCGCGTTTGGAAGCCTCATTGTCACCTTGATGAAGGTGTGTGGTATCGACAGGGTACATGCGAGGCTCCTGGGCAGAGGGAGCTTGAGGCGCAGCATTTGTGCCGGCTGGTGGAGCTTCATCGACATCCATCTCATCCGGAGAGTGGGTTCTAGGTGCCAACTCCTCCTCTTCATCTGCTACAGTTGCAGGCTTAGAGGTGTTCACGGGTATCTTGTTAGCAACCCTCGAACCCTTTCTTACCGCGGTCGAATTACTTCTAGATGTCGTCTTTGACTCAGGCTTACCAGGGGATGAGGTGCGTAGAGCGTTTGGGTCAAAAGCCCAAGAGGCATCTTGGAAATGTTTCGCCCATTCATCGGGGCGATACTTGGCCGGCGGTGGGGGAGGCGATTGGACGGTCGCATCCTCTGTGGGCTCTACACTGGGCGTGGTCTCGGGGAAAGTGTTCACCCTGGGCTGTTGGCGGAAAGCTCTCGAAGACTTCCGTGACGGAGTGGCAGATTTGCGACCACTGCCAGTCGCATGTTGGGCAGCAGCAAAGACGTTGTTGCTGGTAAAGTCGCCAGCCCATTGCTCAGCGACGAAAGAAGTATTGATGCTGTCTTCGCTACGGCTTTTGGCCACGTTGGGCCTGAAGGTGTCAGCATTGATGGGTATGGTGAAACTATGAGAAGATGTGTCAGCACCAGACTGATGTTGTGAACGATGGCAAAAACGATACAGGCCAGTAGCGTCGTCTTTGGTAAAGCAGGCCTTTTTGAAGGGCGACTGAAGTGTAGGGGCGTCATCCGCAGTCAGATCGATGAGATCATTAGGCTCGGCTCTGTATGTCGGTCTCTCAGGGAAGTGTGGTTGACTCTTTCCCGTGTTTTCAGACGCCTCTGTGTTCGTGAGGTCCACCCAGGCGCGTTGAGCAGCCGAGTGAGACCGCTTGAAAGGAGGAACAGCTTTGACAGGGGGAACAGACGAAGGGACAGCCCACCGGGGTATCGAATCTGGGCTCTTGTTGTGTTGATAGTTTCTCCCGAAGGGATAAACTGGAGAGGGCATTTTTTCTTGAGGCTTTGGAGAAGGGGTAGAGAAATAGTTGGCATACATTGTTGGTTTGTCCTTCTCGCCAGCATCGCTTGCTGGATCTGGACCAAGGCTGCTGCTTCCACTGGCTTCATCTGGGGCCTTGTAAGGCACGCCATTCTTGAACTGGCGGCTGGGAGGATTGGGTGTCTTCTTAGGACGTGTGAAGGGGCGTGAAGAGGGGTCAGCTGTCTGTTCAGTAGCCGTTGGCTGAGGGATCTTCTGCGCAGTGTCAGGGGTGGTGAAGGCCGAGTCATCTTCAGTCTCCGAGTCATCGCTGGAGCTGTAGACGACAAAGGGCTTCCTTGCTGTACCCGTACCCGCCTTGCGCGTCGATCGACCCAATGACGGTCCGCTCTCAGAAGTTGTGGGCACTTGAGATGTGCTAGTTGTTCTACGATAGTCCTCACCCGAGTAGGCTGATTTGGTGCGGATGCCCTCAAACGGGACATCTGAGTTCGTTTGGTTGGAAGCAGAACGTGGAGGTGGAGGTGGGTAATATGGTGGATCCGCGGACCTTCGCCTAGACGACGAGTAGTTGGCCGTGCTTCCTGCCTGACCCTCGTCACCGGTCGACGTAGGATCAAAACCGCCCTTCCTCGGAGTGCTAGAAGCGGTAGAGGCACCCGGGTTACTTGTTCCTGCTCCGTTGTACTCGGCCCAGGCCGAGCGGAAGCCACCATAAGCGTTGGAAGTCGGCCTAGGAGGGGCTTCACGGTAGTTCATACCAGCACGTATGTCTTCCTCGGTGGGACGGCGCGTGTCTCGTCTCGGCGGTGGATTGGGCACTGGTCGTTTGGGAGTCGGGCGAGGGGGTGGTTGTGGTGAAGCACCGGCTGTCTGTGACTTCATGTTTTGCCAGGCATTGAAGACATTCGCAGGGTCGGTCGACGTCTTCTTGCTCGTGGGTGCTGCAGGTTTCGGGAAGTTCGTGAATCTATCAGCTCCTGAAGCGCCGGACGCGGTACTGCGCCATGAGGCGGTCGGGTTCGGGGTGCGTCTCGGTGGTGGAGGGAAGTTGGATGAGGCCTGGTACATGGGGTTCTGTCCGGTGCTCCTCGGTGGCACGTTTGGCTTGGTAAAGGCACCTGCACCTAGTCCCGCCTTCCTGCGGTCTGCATCATATCGGCTCTTGGACACCGGGTCGCTGAGGATTTCTTGGGCGGCTTGGATGGCCTGGAATTTGGGCACGATTTCTGACTCATTGCCAGGGTTTCGATCGGGGTGGTATTTTAAAGCTGTGTCATACGTTAGTACCATTACACTCATTCATAAGGAAAGTCGTGAAGTCATACCAAGCTTGCGGTATGCCTTCTTGATGTCTTCGACGGAAGCATCCTGTCACCAGAGTCAGCTACTGTCGCCATAGCCAACGCCTCCCATGCAGACATACGTTGGGCACTTCCAGATCCGCATAGTAGTTGCGTTTGATATCGGCCTTCACCATGATCCTGGACAAATAAGAGCTTCACAGAAACGAGGCGTGGTGCGATGCGATACCATCAAGGCCCTGCGTCGGCCGTCGATCCTGGTGGAATGATGATGGACGTCGTTACAAGATGAGTGGACAAGTAGGCAGCAGCGAGAGTCGAGAGTCCAAAACAAGTGTGAAAGAGATGATGAGCGGCCAACGGTCAGAAGCGCGTGTCATGCGTTGTCGTAAATAATCTACGAAGGCCGAGCGGGCTTGGTTGTTGTGCAAAGCTCGCTGCCCCTCCAAACATGTGAAAGCTGTGATGTTTTGTTTTGGCGCAATGAACGATTGACGAGTGAGAGCGCCAGATGCTCCTCCTAACTGAAAGCACACAGAGCAATAAAGTTGAGAGTGATATCGAGAACTACTAAACAGAGTGAAGGAGCCAATAAGGAGACCATGCAATGCTCGGCCTTCGATCGGCAGCTGACGGTCTGTTGGTTGCTTGGGCGGCGAGGGCGAAGGAACCAACCAACACCCTGGACGAGATCCACCAACTTCTCATAAAATATAACACGGCCTTACTGAACACGCACTAGCATGGCGTCTCTGACTGTATCACTTGTGGGCTGTAGAAATACTTGACGAAGTGCAGACAAACCAGAATGTCGGTTTCTACTTCGTTCTAACCATCTCTAGTGTACTGAGACAGTGGACTGTATTGTCTAGAATTGAGACTGAGACATATATACCTCAAACTCCTTCTCTTACTCACAACTATATCATCCGACTGAACAACACGCAAGCTTGAGAACGAGAGGTGAAGAGCTCACATAGTACATCCCAACTTTGCAATGCCTCGCGCAAGACCAAATTAATGACAGTTCGGAGTATGAGAAGAGTGACAAACAAGAAATTGCAATGCTTCGACTAATGCATATATCTTAAAGAAGGGCTGAAAATGTAAGGCTTGATGAAGCAGGAGATTTTTGGCCGTCGGAATAAGCATAAACACGCAAAGACTCCTCCAATATGTAAATCAAGAACATGCAAGGACCAAGGCTCGTAGACGCGAAACAGGAGATAATAGAGAATTTGAATTTTGCTGCGTCTCAGCGAGGGAACGTGGGAGAGGGAGACATGAATTTGCAGTGATGCAAGCAACGGAATCGATGCGGCTCAAAGGAAGAACTGTAAGAACCTGCGGCATTTGTTCTCGTCATAAGATCATGATGGGTTGTAACCAGAGCGCGCGCGAAGGAATAAGAAAAAATCAAAGTCATGTACAATTGCCCAGGTCCTTTCTTGGTTGTGGGTAGCGTGGTAGTTCTTGTAGTAGTTGCTAATTGTATGTTGAGAGGTTGCGAGTGTTTTTTTTTTTTACACGGCATCCCAGAGCAAAGCTTGAGTCGAGGTGGAATGATTAGAAGACGGCGGCCAACCCACTCTTTGAATGTCTCTTGCTGAATCTTGGCTTTCGACTCTTGACACTCTCGTTATCTCCCGGGTCCTTGCGTAGAGTGTTGCGTACGGAGTGTATTGATTGCTGCTCACCTCCGCCGTCACCCCCACTCGCGCTGGTGGGGCTTGACATGGTAGATGCCAGATCGCCATACTGCGACTCACCCGAGTACGAGTCAGCCATGGATTGTGAAAGTGCGACATCTTTGGCTCTATCAATGGCATCCATCCACTCCTTGGTTGAGTACTTGGAGCCGTCTGGGTCAGCCGTGGTGGCTCGAGGATCTTCGAAAGAGAAGTGTTTGTCACGCTTGTACCATGTTAGCTGAGCACTCTTTGCGTAAGGAGGATTAGGCTTACCGTGTCGATACAAAAGGCTGTCAAACCCTTGTTGTCAAGGACCGTCTTCCAAGACGTCCCGTTTGCAAGCAGATTAAAATCCAGCTTCGCCTTTTTCTCGTCTCCTCCAGCAGCAGCTATTATGACTCGCGCACTGGAAGTTATCATAACAAGTCGTTGGCGCTTTTTGGTAGTTGCTCCACCAAAGAATCTCGAGAACTTCCTCGATGCTTCCTCGCCACCTTTGGCCGTAGGACTATGCGGAGCTGGAGAAGAAATGACATTGAGATTGCCCAGTTTTATGATACGTTCGTTGTTGCGCGTCAAGACGGGCGACCAGTCAATGTCAAGCTGACTGGGAGGAGCTAGCTCAGTTATAGCTCTCAGTTGTGGCCGAGGCATCTGCTGCGCCGACGGGGCACTTGGCGGGGAGGTCGCGTGCGAGCCTGTTGCCATTGGGACACCTGGAATAGTAGGAGCGGGAGCTGAAGCCATGGGATCTCCACCGTTTAACCGGATGGGCTGAGATTGAGAGGGACCAGGCATGTAGTTTCGCAGGCGCGGTGCTTTCTGTTTCCACAATCCCATGCCCCATTGTATGCCCTCGAAGAAAGGATGTGATTTGATGTGCTCGATTGGCAGTCGCTTAGATGGATCGAGGACTAGTAGCCTTTCAATCAAATCCCTCGCAACCGGCGGGAAACCATCGGGGAAATGATAATCTAGAGCCACAATCTTTTGGAACGTCTGATACTCATTGCCAGCTTTGAAAGGTGGACGTCCAGCTAGGAGTTGATAGAGGATGCAGCCAAATGCCCAGAGATCGCTTGCTTTGCACGCATTCTTGTCGGTTAGGAGTTCTGGACTGACATACTCAGCAGTGCCGACGAACGAAACGGCTCTTTCCTGTTCTGCGCCATCCATAGGATCGCCAGAAGCAGGTCCTTCAGTTCCAGGGCCGCCAGCGGACCTGATGTCGAGGATTTTGGCAGTTCCGAAGTCTGTGATCTTGGTGTGCATTTGCTCATCAAGCAAAACATTCTCTGGTTTGAGATCTCGATGGATGATACCCTTCGAGTGCATGTATGCTATCGAGTCGAGGATTTGGGCACCGTAGAAACGTGTACATTCTTCGTCGAACGTACCCATCTTTTTCAGGTGGCCAAGCAGTTCGCCGCCATTGGCAAGGTCAAGTACGAAATACAGCGAGCGCTCATCCTGAAAGGTATAGTAAAGGCGAACAATGCCAGGATGTTCCGTCAAGCGATTGAGAGCATCTTTCTCGATGTTGACGTATTTCACCTTCTTTTCTTTGATGATGTGGCGCTTGTCGAGGACTTTGACAGCATACTCACGATGAACTTGACGATCAGTAGCCGCCAGAACTGTGCTGTATGAGCCTTCTCCCAAAGTTCGACCGAAGTGGAAGTCGTTGACACCCTTCTTGACGATTTTGGAAACGGGTCGCCCGTTCTGATCAACGTCCTGTCTGGTAGCGACTGCGGCTCCTCGCTCTTTCCACTCTTCACTGCTAGGGAGAGGACCGCCCTCGATACTATATACAGAGCCTGCGGGGCCGGGGCCATAGCCGGAGGTCACACGCTTAGAGCTTCTCCGGGGTGGCATGACATTCTGACCGTCTGGACCACGATAACTTCGGCTGGCGGAGCGTGCGGGCGGGTGTACGCCCATAGCAGCAGCGGCGGCTCTCGAAGCGCTTCTAGCGAGTCCGGAAGCGGTTGAAACGTCGTCACGGTATCTGTATGAGGAAGCCTGTGATAGGGCAGATGTGCTTGAAGCATTTTGGTGTGTGTACATGTTGGACATGCGTGCAGATGGAATGCTAGGGTTCTGGGGATATTGCGGAAGTTGAGTCTCGTAGGAGCCAGCGCGCTGGCGATACATGTGGTCGGAATCACCCGAGGCAGCACGGTATTGTCTGGTGGAGGTATAGGGGTCGGCGGAGGCTAGGTGACTAGAAGCGTAGTCCGAGTGCGAGGGGGCGTTGGAGTGGAAAGAGGCAGCATACTGAGAGTGCGAATCGTGGTCGACGGGGTGAATGGACGAGAGCTGTGACAAGCCACGCGAGTGATTAAGGTTGGTGATGGTGCTGCCCGACGAGTGCGAGGAGATGGTCGGACGATCATCAGGAGTCGAGGCAGTGGATCGAGGTTGCTGGCTGGGACTTGTTGTGTTGTTGTTTGCGGACGAGTCCTGAGACAAGGCGGTGGACGGCGGTGTATGCAAGGGCGTCTGGTCGAGGGTCTGGTGTTGGTGGGAGGTGGGAGTGCCTTGGTCTTCGTCGTCGTCGGGATTGGCTATGCGCAGACCACCGAGGGAGCGCGACAGGCTCAAGTCGCCGTTCATAGTTTGGCTATAACAATGTTTCGGCGGAACGACTGACTGGGCCAAGCCAAGGCCAGACACGACCAGGCGCGAGTCTGTCTGGCGGAGAGATATGCGGTGTATCCGACGAGATGGTCGACTGGTCGTATGTGTGCTACGCTGGACACGAGGGACTGCACAGACTGCTTGACAGGGCGCTTCGTCTTTGCATACAGGCAGGTACAAGAGCGACAGCGAAACGGGACTGGAGACAGCTTTACACGTCGACATGCTGCACTTCCTCCAACTACCCATCTCGCTGTGAGCACGGACCGCTTGGGGCTGTTGGCGACTCCCTCGTTCCAGCTGCCAGACCTGAGACTAATAACATCGACAACTAACTCATCATCTTCCCTCGATCCAACATCGATTTGCAGTTGCACCGAGTACCCACACTCGCGAACTGCTGGTCGAGGAGCGTCTTTGTCACTGTGCGCATGTTCCATACATGCTCCATCTTCAATGCTCCCGCCGCTTCGAACGTGCGTACCTAGAAAGTTGTAACATGGCTTCCATTGACATGCGCCTCAATCCGCCTCGTATGTAGGTGTCTTGCGCTTTTCTTAGAACAAACATCTTGTCACTCCCTTGTCGTACAGGACAGAGTTGTTTCTCCTCTTCCAGGTCGCAGAGTCGGTCGCACCTTCCTCATTTTCCGTGCTTGCCATGTCTCTACCGTACAGAATCTTGGACCATTCAACACCGCCCAAGACATTGAAACTTGCGAGTCTCAACACCGCTGATCCATCCATTCAATGTCTGTTTTTTCGTCTCTATAGAATACATTATGCTCCGCAACCGACCTTCAAGGGTTACTCTCGGTATGGCTGATGTCAACCAGACCAAGCAACGCCTGAAGCTCAAGCAGACCTCTCATCCCCTTGTTGCACAGACTGACTGGGCTTATGCCCATATCCAACACCATAGCACCAATCAGCCTGCTCAACCCCACTATCGGTTCCGTCAAGGGCCGCAGAGATCGAGAGACGCGAGTCTTGTCCAGCTCGACCCAAACCGCCATGTTCCACAGTTTGCCGTTTACGAGTCGACTGACTCTGCCGAAGACAGCGATTCGTCTCAGACGATCCCTCACATCGCTCGGCTTGTACATATAGCTGAGGTCAGTCCCACCATCACTGAGGTACCTAGCTACGATCCACCTGCTCTCCTAGATATTTCTCCCAGAAGACGACTTACACACGACGATTATCAGCCTGGACCCATCGCCCATCATCACCGCCACCCTGGAGCATCACTTGAGCCTGACACATATCGTTACGACGACGCGCTCGAGTCTGATCTGAATCATCGATCGGACTTTTGGTATCAGCATTCTCGCCGCATCACCAATCACCCCCACCAAAGACATAACAATCCAAGGACAACACCTCTCTCTCAGCGAGGGCACAATCCAGCCGCCATCCCGTTCGCCCCTCGTGTGCACTTCGGTTCCCCTCTCGAAGAGTTGCCTCCCCATCACAGATCCAACATGGCCTCGGTCTACCGACGAGGAGGAAGTATCAGGCCAAGAGCTCCAACGGGACGTAACCCCAGCTACGGTCGTGGTGATATGAATTACCAGGCAAGACCGAGGCCTATATCCCGATCTAGGGCCTCTATGATGTATGGACGGTCATCAGTCAGGAGTGCTCGCCGCCCTGGTGGACATGTCAGACTACCAGCCGCGTCGTCGATAGACGCAGTGATGGATCGTTACCCAGTCTTCCCTTCTATGTTGGCCCAGGCTCAGGCTAAGAGACCGGATCGGCCATCATCGGCACGCACAGGCAACCTTGTTAATGGACGAGGCATAATCAAACCACCTACAGAGCTCGGTACCGCTCATATGTTGCCCTCCCAATCCAGGTTATCGTCGACCACTGAATCTCTACCTTCAGTCCGCTCTCGCGCTTCTAACAGCAGTTTTTCGACACCAGACTTATTTGCTGCTCTGAGAGGACATCCAACCCGCAGCCACGTGGGTTCTCGGTCATGGGAAGAGCGCCTTAGTCCTCAATTGAGCAGCGCACGTACTTCACGTGCTGGAAGTTGGACCTCCTCTCTTCTTGGGTCTCGATCAGACGAATATCTTGATCACCAGCGCGCTGGACTTCCACCGCCATGTTCGCCTCTTGATCGTCTCACTCAAGAGTTGCGGCGTTTGTCTACGAGTCTGCCGTCACAGTCGCAGTCATCTCTGGGATGTACCTCTCGTGTGACATCAACGGATGGGAGGCTGCTGGATGTTGATACATTCTATGCAGGCTCCGACGAAGAGATCGTAGAGCGAGACACTCGGATATATGACCGTCCAGGAAGGCGCAACTCATCACACATTGATGGATACTACAGTACGGACGGACAAGACACCAAGTCGTCTCGTGAGCCTCGGCGTCACGTTGGCATAGCAGCGCGAATTGCAGACGTAGAGGCCGACTGTCAGAGTGGACTTAGCAGACTGCTCCCGCTGTCACCTTCAACTCAGTCCGCTAGCTCGATCCCTGGCTTTGACGCTGCCATGTTGGATAGCTTCCCGCCCAATAATCTGCCCTCTCGTGTTCCAATCACACCAGCACGTCAGCTTGCGAGCTGTCCAAGATCGCCATACACATCCAGGACCGTTCTTCGCTCCCATGCAATAGCTAGGGTAAAGGTGTATGACGACGGCCAGCCACCTAGTACGCAGCCTCAGACCCCAACAGACCTCCATCATAGATTCAGGACACACTTGCCTACTGAGTCTATGGCTGTCTCCTGCCACACGGAGCGGATGCTTGCCAAAGCCCCAGTCATGGATCAATCGCCTGTGGCGGTATCACATAACGTTAAACGAAACACCTACCCTTCTTCACAGCAGGGACCATCACAGCCACGTGATACAAGTTCGCAATCGTCAAGTCCCTACTCGCCAAACCTTGATCTGAGGACTGCTGCAGCCATCAGCGCAGTCGAGAGACGACGGACTGCTCGTGTGATTTCCAACGAGAATGTCATCGATCCGAGCACAAACGGTATGGAGGCTGAAAGGGAGGCATTTTTGAGACGTGGAGCAGCGGATGGTACCGACACGCTGGATTGTACTCCCCCTCATGAAGGCAGGTATGAGAAGTACATCTCACGATGAATTTTGGGATGGCCGTTGATTTGGACCATAGGGTCATGGGAGTAACGACATTTTTAGACCAGATATTTTCGAGTCATCAGCACCGTCGCAACACGTAGAGTACTAGTCGAGTGGACTTGCTACAGGCAGTAGAAATAGACACATTCAATTGATACCTGATATATCTCGATCTTCACGGTCCTCGCATGTTGGTGTGAACAAAGTACGCTCACCGCTTCACATTTACAGTCAAAATTCACTACAGTCAGGTCCACGGAAACTTGATCCATCGTTTGGTTGATTTGACGAGAAAGCTCTCACAATTCGTAGTCAATCTCCAGCACGGACAATGGTATAAGACAAAAATGGCACGAATATGCGGTGACAAGCCCATCACAATTGCATAGGGGTCAGCGTGGTGCACGGCCAGCAAATCCAACGATCTTCGCGGCAATTTTCCAAGCTGTCAGCATCATCGTGTCTCCTATCGCCGTGCACGCGCGGTGTCATCGTCATCTTGCATGATAACGTTCAGCTGTAAAATAAGAATCAAGTAGCCAATCGTGCCCTACACATTCTCTGGCGGGCTGAAGGCGATGGTGGCCAAGCGACAAGGACACATTTGACCTGCCCAAATCAAGTTTGCTGGACGAAGTCCAAGGTCACATTGTAAAAACATTCTCCTGACGGGTGTCTATTTGCAGTGATCTGCGCAAGAGGCGCTCGTGCATCGTCAAGCTTTCTCTTTCGAATTTCCAGCGATCTTCGAATGCGCGTTTCAGGTTTGTTGGAGGACGGAGCCGCCAGCCTGCATAGCTGAGGGACGCGCAAGACGTGCAACACAACCTGTGACATCTCCTGCATTCCGCCTCCTCCGACATCACTGCATCCATTCTTGCGTCGTCACTCTTTTTTTGCGATTCGACTGTCGTTTCCTTCTGTGCGCCGAATCGATTTGTGAGGTCTCGTTGCTCTGGTCCCTGGAACATTTTCTATGACAAACTTCCAGTGAGAGAAGTTTCACCGCTCAACACAAAAACATGGGGCAAGCCACGCCAGCTGCAGGACGCAATGGACTCGTGGCCTACAAACAGGCCCTATTGAATCTGGCCCAGGCACCTCGATGGAGAGGACTCATCATTGGCACAATTTCAATTCTGCTTGTCTTGTGGATATGGCAAGCCAACTCGGATCCAAATGCGCCTGGTTCAAAGCTCTATAGCAAAATCTCAGGCCGACCGCAACATCAGGATTTTATGTGGAAGCCACCATCCGTGCTTGAGCCATCCGACTTCACATTAGCCCTGGAGGCAGGGAAAACCTCTACCACGCCTAGTGGACTCAAGAAGGAAAATCCTCAATTTCATCTTTTGATTCATGCACCAAAAATCACGAGCAATGTTTGTCGAAGTTTGCTGTCGTCCTTCCTTCTGGGCTATCCGACACCAACCTTGATAGGCTATAGGCCATCACCACCTAATGAAACTTTGGAAGGAGAATTCTGGCTTGACTATGGCCTTGCAGATACGACAGAATACCTGACACAACAAAACCGCATCTCTGACAATGACTTCATTGCCATAGTTGACGGAGAGAGCACCATATTCCAACTGCCTCCAGAGGCTCTTCTGACCGAATACAATGCCGAGACGAAGAATGTCAATGCCGACCTGGCCAGCGAGTATCGTGACATCCCACTCAAAACAGCGAATAAGCAGAGAGTACAACGCTTCAACCAATCAGTATTCTTTGCTGCAGAATACGAGGTTGTTCCGAGATCTAGTAGCAGCTTTCTCAGCAGATTCAGACTACCGGAGAAGAAGCAGCGGACGCTTCTGAACAACAACATCGCTGTTGGGTCTGGGTCAGGGCTTCGTCATCTTTTCACCACTGCACTAGAGCAGAACACTCGCATTGAGCGCACAGATCGCGATACGTTCAACACCATGTTTGCCCAACAGGGACACCTTCGTGCAGCCATGGCCAAAGAGCAGCGCGAGTTCAAAGTGTGGCTCTCACGAAATGTGTTACCGTCTAACAAGAAGCTTAAGAAAAAGTTGGCAGACGACCTTGCAGCAGCCAAGGAGGATCTCGGCATGAGTCTCGATTATAAAGCCACCATGTTCCAGACAATACCAGCTGCTGCCCAACATGTCGCCGACAGTGTGATTACACTGTCTGAATATCTAACGTTCCCTGTCCCTGAGGTGTTCGAGAAGCTGCGTGGTCCGTTTGCCCTACACGCCTCAACACCACACCTCAATTCCACCAGCGCAATTCTTGTACAGAAACACAAGGATAATCTGCCCTCCATCTCACACTGGACAGATATTCCCCTCTTCACCAACCCGAAAACTCAACAAGTACCCTCGTTAATTTCCATGCTACCGTCAAAGAACAAGGACAATACCGCAGGTCTCCTCACTGCTCCAGATACTAATATGCGCGAGCTCTGGGAGTCCATGTGGTTCTTTCCTTACGCTCGTCCATTGCTGAAACAATATTTTTCAAAGTCTACAAGCAAAGAGATTGCTTCTGAAGCCGCAGTAGGCGGAGAGCGCTGGTACGATGCGCGAGGTGGTCGCGGCGGTGTCTGGACAGTCGACAACGGATGGCTGGATGCTGGGGAACTATGCGCACCCTTTGGCAAAGAAATCTTCGAAGATGGGTTGAGAGGATGGATGGAAGCTGTACCTGATGGCGTGGAGCTGAGTAATGTGGAGAAGACTCCCGATGGCAAGGGTATCGTCATTGGGGAACAAGTGAGGAATGGACAGATTCATAAGATTGTTGCTGTTGAGCCTGAGCAGCAAGAAGGAGAAGTTGATGGAGGAGGGAAAGCATTGTTTTAGGGTCAAGCGATAGATGGAGCGGCATTTGGCGTTTCTTGTGGGTGCGGGTTTGCTTTCTCTGTGGATAGATGGGTTTGTGTTTTCGACACTGCTAGTGTACATAGCGATGCATCATTAGATCTTGTTTGTGTTATACATCGATGACAGCTGAGGCAGCGGTCAAGTTCTGTAATATCAATGGAAATGCAATGAAAGACTGTCATGTGTACTGATGACAGGTCTTGAGAGTGGACCGTTGACAACAAAGACAACCTAAGGCTCGATGAGAAGCAATAATGCCAAGCATTCGATTGACTCGGGACAATGACAAGAATAGGAGGCTCTTGCCGGCAGCCGGAAGCGCCGCGGGTCTGCGCCACGAATGATGGCGGCAACAGCGTTCGTGGTTGCCTGAACTGACGCCAGCGCCGGAACCTCGAACCGCTTATTTACCTCGCCATCGTCCTCGTTATTTGCGCCATCTATCCTTTCAACTCACAACAACATACGAACCATTTGATCTCGAATACCGTTTACACTCAGCCTCCAAGAAGCACCACAAGCAAAGTCGCCACCATGCACGGAGAAGTGCTCCACCACCTCGTGCGCCGTGGCTATGAGGCCATGAGCGACAGCGAGTCTCGCCAGACAATGGTAGCTGAAGTCAGCGCTGCCCAGATGCTGCCTCTCATCCTCACTGTTCTTCTCTTCTCCTTCATCGTGGCTTCTGTACACTACACCCTGGGTGGCGTCGTGGCTTCCCTAGCCATGATTGAGGACCACCAGACCGCTGTCGTCGAAACCCGCATTCTCGCTGTAGATGGAAAGCAAGACTCGGATGCTCCCTTGGACAAGGCTCGCTTGATCGATGAGGAGGTCATGGTTGTTAAACAGACCCCTCTGACGTCTAGCATCCGCAACACACTCAAGCACCTTACCACAATTGGCGGCTTCAGAGCTCGCTGGAGAGGTCTGGGATCGGCTCTCATCTACGACGTCGTCCGCTCTCTGACCGTCGGCTTCATCACCATGTTCGTTGCTGCCTTCACTGGTCTTCCTGTCGTCGCACGTGTCTTTGCCAACATTGCCGCCAACGTCCTATGTGCTCGTATCCACATGGTTTGGACTCACGCTGTCATTTCCGAGCCTTCGACTTTGACCTGGTCTCAGCGCCTTGGTCAGACCGACCGAAACATGTGGCGTGCCCTGGCTCTGCCTGCTTTAGTTCACTCGGTAGCCGAGCTCGCCACTTACGGTCTTCCTGTTGCCATGTTCCTCTTCGTCGGTCCCGACGTCACCACTGGTGATGGTGACATGGACAACCAGCACTTGCTTGCCAGAGGTGCCATGTCTCTCCTCGCTTTCGTCATGCTCAACATCCTTATCCTGCTTCCTGCCACCGTAACTCGTACTCGTATTGAGGCCAGCTTCTTGCCCGAGGAGAGCAACACCATCGTTCCCTTCGACCGCACCTTTAACGGTTCTGTCAACATGCTTGCTCTGGACACTCGTGCTGCCCGCAAGAGCCTTTTCATCGAGGCCTGGCGATCATTCGACATGGCCAGCAGAATTCGCCTGGTCAAGTTCTTTGTCAAGCAAGCTGCCATTGAGCTCTTCTTCACCATCACTGCCTTCATCGCCGTTGGCGCCCAGGCTGTTGCTTTGGGCTTGACCGCTAGCGCCATCGACAGTGTCGGCGATGGCGTCGTCGTCAGCATGGACGGCATGTAAACCTCTGGAATGATTCCAATAGATATGGCGATATATCATCTCTTCTTCTCTACCAAATTGTAAATGGCGTTCAGGTCTCTTAACAATGCAACGATACCATTCTTTCATAACTTATGACTCGAGCCCTCGTACTGTGCCTATTCCTCGTTCTTTGCATGGCATATGTGAGCAGCCTGTACATCCAGATGACATACACCTCAAAATGTCACGCTAGAACAGACTGCAAAATGCCTCGGCATCGTCGTTTCCTTGCCTAGCTTCGCCATGAGTTCGTTCAAGAGACCGCCGACGTGATTAAAAGACATGAAGAATGCACAGATGTCCGCATTAGAAATCAACAGAGCTTGATAACAATATGGCAGGTAACATCACGCATAAAACATGGCTCCTCAATGGAAAACAACCATCCAATCCCCCTTAATCACTTCCCACACTCTTAATTTCCAGCCTCAGCCCTCTTCTCCTCCAACAAAATCTCACTCTTGCTATCCACCGCAGCACCCGCATAAGCATCAATCTTGTATCCTGCAAACTTTCTCGCAGAAACACCCTTTGTGAACAGTAAATCCATTTCTTCATAACTTCGGTCTTTTGCTTCTGGGAGACGGAAGTATGCCCAGATGAAGGTGAGGAGAGAGGTTACGAACCAGAAGAAGGCGGTTTTGCCTTTTAGGTTCCATTCGGTGGGGTTCATGAAGTAGGATTCGAGCTGGGAAAATGTTAGAAAGAGGTAGAAGGAATGGGGAGGGGGGAAGAGAAACTTACAGTGGAGCAGACGATGTTCATCAGAGCGTAGGAGTTACGGGCTAAGCAGACTGTCTTTGCGCGGACTCGGATGGCGGAGGTTTCACTGACGATTGTGTAGGCGACGGGACCGACGGTGAGGGAGTAGGTCAACAGCCAAACAACTGTCAAAGCGCCAGCAACCCACTTCGCACCGTCGGATTTGCTTGCTACGGAGACGATGCCGATGATCAGGAGAAGAATACAGAGCATACCCATGCCACTTGTGTAGATCTTTCTTCTGCCCACCTTGGCGAGGATGAACCAAGATGCGATAGTGCCGCAGAAAGCTACTGCTGTACCACCGAGGCCGATGCTGTATGACACTGTGTCTTTGATACCAGCTTGTTGGAAGAAGTAGGTGGGTGTGTATGCGAAGCAAGAGCCGGAGAACAGCTGACCCATGAACGTCATGCAACAGATCTCGGTACGTCGGCGATCAGTGCCCTTGAAGCACTGAAAGTAGGATGTCTGTGATGCTTCGTTGTCGAGTTGAGTCTCGATCTGAGTTGTGTGGACCATCATAGCGAGTGTACCCTTGATCTCATCTTCGCTTGTGTCGCTTGAGATACGTTTGAGAATGTGCTCAGCTTCGTCAAGTCTGCCGAGCTTCACCATGTACCAGGGAGATTCAGGTGCGAGGAAACATGCAACCATCAAAGGTACTGGCCAGGCCCACTGGACACCAAAGGGGATTCTGTATGACCATTGATCGGTCCTGGCGACAAGGCCTTTGAGGACACCTGCAGCAATGAACTGTCCGATGGCCCCTGTAAAATCATTAGAGCTGTTTTGAGGACGAGGAAATTAATTCTTACAGCACAAGTTGACATAGGAAGTCAGATAACCTCTGAGCTGTAGAGGGACAATCTCAGATGCATAGGCAGGACCAATGGTGGCGAACACGCCCCAGGCAAGTCCACACAAGATCTGTCCAACTACTAGGACAGGTTTGTTGGGTGCGAAGAAGGTGATGAAGATGAAGGCGTTGAGGAAGAAAAGGGCGACGATGACGACTTTGCGGTAGCCATACTTGGCAGCGAGCCATCCGTTCAAGAAGATGCCAGGAACAATGCCGACGTTACTAGCGTTGCTGGCTGCGTGTAAATATAACTTATCGAGACATGATCAAATCTTACTCACTTGAGAGCCGTTTGCCAAGCACCAGTAAGTTGGTAGTCATCAGTAGCTGCATTGTATGCACCAAACTTCATGGCGAAGGACGGATAGGCAAAGAAACTGGACATGAGGATAGTGTCATAGCCTTCCATGACAACAGTCATTGACATGGCCATGGACCAGGCGATAGCTTTCCAATTTTTCTTGATGACTTGCATCAGGGGAGTGTTGTGCTCAGCATCAGACGCATGCTTGGCATCCACGATGGCATGGGCACCAAACACTTCCTCGACATGGTGAGCTCCATGCTTGAGAGATTCATCGGCAGTATGAGATGCCATCTTGTGAGGATCCAGGTCGTTGTTGTGGTGGAGGACGTCCAGTGATGGACAAGATTAGTGAAGAAGCACCACAAGGGCATCGACATGCATTTATCTTCATGGTACATCGGAGTGTACAGGAGGATCCAATGCTAAGGCGAACTGTGATCCAAGCAGAATCGACCATTCTGTCCGAACTGTCAACGCATGACAGGACAGAGGATTACTAGCGTGTCCTCCAGCAAGAGCTTGCAGATTATCCGGTATGTTCTAAGCAATGATTTGCCCAGAATGTGTTGCAGGATTGAGAGATCACCGAATTGTGGTGAATTCCACCAATCATGCCGACCCACCCCAAAGGCACACCCCGCGTTTCTGAGATGTGCAAGGTGGGGGAGTTCGGAGTCGGAACGGTCGACCTTGCCCTACTCACAGTAATCTGCAGAGCTCGCTTATGCATGGAGAATTCTGTCCGAGCCTGGAATCACTTGAGCAGACTGATCGGCCAAGTTATTGGTGGTAAATCCAGCTCTCGTGTCTTCTCACGTGGTCGGTCGCGTAGTGGCCGCTGTACCTCCCGATTATCCAGATATAGCCGCGAGATCTGGAGAACCTGTGGTCTCATCTCTGGCCGAAGCATACACAATCCCTCGGACCTCGACAATGGACATGTGCTTACACACAGCTGACGGAAAAAGATCAGTCAAGTTCTCTCGAAGTATAATCAATCTCTTGAGATGACCTGAGGTTTGTCGAGTACAAGGAGACTCTCTCCTCATTCCCCTTCAATATCTTCGTTGGCACTATTTTCGGCGAACAGCAAGCAATTTGAGAACTCTTTCTTCGTATCCAGCCATTGTTCGGATCTCGCCTTGCTCTGCAAAAAGTCTGGAATTAGCTATCTTCTGGCGGGTACAACTCTGCCCCATGAACGTACAACAAAATTTCTCTCCCTCCAAACCACGTTTTGGTACGAAGGCGGGCCCTCAACAAGCAACGTGTTCCGGAGACCCAGAGGATCTATGTGCGACTCGCTCAGACTCTACCTGAGGACCAAACACTGGGCGAGCGTGTGGCCCTCTTCTGGGGGCAATCTCTCCGTGGTTGTGCGCTGCCAGAGATTTTGTCAAGCCAGATCATAGAAACCGGCGTCATCAAAGCGTAGGACGCTAGCATCCTGCCATGACCAGAAGAGTCTGGTGACGAGCACACGCGCTTACGTAGAACTTGTCCCGTGGGCGCTCTTCGTCGATTATATGAGACTGCAAACCAACTCCAGGGTCTGATAGACCGATAGCGGTTAAAGCGTTGTCGAATAGTCTGCTTCATATGACAATTGAAGGATGAGTCTGTATTGAGGGCAGATGGGATGCTCAAGTGTTATTTCGGTAGTGCTGTCCATCTCCTTGGTTGACAAGCTCCGTTCACTGGCACTCAACAACGGCGGATGTTGGTCGTGAAGGGTTTGCCTGATAATGCGGTCAAGAGCGGTCAAGAGCGATCAAGCCTCTGCTGGACAAAAAGCGAGCGTTGCCATTTGGAATCTGCGAGCTGACAGGCGCGACTCAATGTCGACGCGGCGTCTCACCGCGTCCATCGACCTTTGCTTCGCCAACATTATTTGCGCACCAAACGACATTTAAAACATCAACATACGACACCATCAACAATGCAACCCCACAAGAATATGTTGGCGAGAAAGTTCAAGGCCCTGTACAAAATCGTGGAGCGCCAGAATCCCCGCTTGCACCTCTCGCTCACCATTCGTTACGCCGACGATCTTTTGCTGCACGATCATGCCATTGTTGAGCTCAAGGTCGCCGAGGATGTAGGCCGCTTCATTAGAGCTGGTGAGCACATGTCCGAGGACGAGAGACATGCCGCCGGCATAAATCGCCTTCTGACCACCAACGAGCACCTTGCGCAACCCAGCGCCTACAACCCCATCAAGACTCGTGAAGGTCTGAGAAAGCTCTTTGACTCGGGTTTCATTCGCAAGCCAGACACTCCTAGATGCGCCATGTGGGACGACTGTATGTTCAAGGAAATCCAGGTCCAGGGTTTCGTTATTCAGTTGACCGTCGAAGACTTCCACTGCGTGGCTAACGAAGTCTGGGGCCCTGCTAAGGCAAAGACCGTGAGTGATACCCCATATTGTGTAAGCATAGAATAATTTTGAGCGTTTGCAGGTCCACCTCGAAGTCTAGATGGTTCCAATCAGAAGAAAAGTCGATCAAACAATCATTGAAGCTTGGTTTCTTGCTTGCTCAATGCGAAGCTGAAGCTGGGACTAACAGCAAGCAGCGGCGGCATACGTCCATGATGCTCATTGGCAGGCCCAACCAGAGTGTTGTTGCGTATAGCTTGCTGCCAGGTGCAGCAGCCTAGAGCATCGAGATATAGCTTCCAGGTTCAAACATATGAGACAACAAGTGTTAGCTTCAGCAAATAGAAGTCGGTCAACGTCGCTGGTTCGTCGCGACCGTCTCTCTCTCCTTCCCCTACGCTATCTCTCGTGCTTCGTTGTTTTGTGAGTGTGATACATATCTCTTGAGGTAGAGCTGGACTCGATGGCTAACCCGAAGACGGTCGGCATATTGCCATGGCTGATTACAAGGACACGGGAGCTCTTGCTGGCTGAAGACGAGCGCCGTCAACGCCATTTGCACAAGGCCCGACAGGTACTACTTCCAACATCCCTGGTCTTGCCTCTCCATATACGAGCGAAGTCAGCCACCAGCAGTCGTGCCGCAACCTGGTGACCAGACATGCTCGGCTAATGACAATGCTGAAGGAAGTGGCAGGTCGATCACTCGGATTTTCGGCTGATGAGGACGTGTCTTGTTCACCATCCTCCGGAAAACTTGGCGAAGGCGGCAAGCTTTCCCCGCGTGGGGCCCCATTCCTCGCCTCATCTCAATCTTCTGTATACGGTATCTACGACAACAACATTGTAACGGCCTCATGATGCATGTACTGTCGGTAGCTTAGCGGACAATCTGATATCTCTATCATCGTGACAAGCGGGCACCAGCGCCTACCTCGCCTGCACCTCGATCCTGCCACTCAAGCCATGTAATTACGCCTGTCGCAAGGGAAGGAAGGCCAATGCACCTGCCACCGAAGATCCCCGCAACGTCATCCGATACCATGTGCTGTCGCCGGACCTGACGATCCTCCATTTCGATCAATTTCCCAGAGCGGGGTCCGGCAGAGTCTCAATGCTATAATATTCATGCTTAGCCTCACCTGCAGGTCTTTGTTGTTGTTCATCTTATTTGTCGCATTCTACAATCACTTGCTGGGTCTGATCGACAATCATACAGCTCATACCATGTTCTTCAGCAAACTCGCTGCTCTTGCAGCCATTCCTGCGACCCTTGCTGCCAGCATAGCAGGCAATGGTCCCTCAGTGCTGTCTAACGGCAAATACGAGATCTCGTCTGAAGGCATCCGCGCGCAGTTCATTCCCTACGGAGCATCAATCTCCAACCTCTTCATTAGAGATGTCCACGGCATTGAGCGTGACATCGTGCTTGGCTGGGACAATGCCACCTACTACACCGAGGATAAGCTTCATCCTCACTTTGGGTAGGAATAATCCTGCAATCCCCTGTGTAACCGGCTAACAAGTCTTCAGTGGCGTGCCCGGACGTTACGCAAACCGCATCAAAAACTCCACCTTTGAGATTGACGGCAACACCTTCCACGTAACTCCCAATGAGAACAACGGCGCCGACACTCTGCACGGTGGACCCAATGGCTGGTTCGTATCAACACGTCCAACTCATGCAAATCAGAGACTGACATATCTCGCAGGGATTGGCGCAACTGGACCGTGTCCGCACACACGACCGACTCCATCACCTTCTCTATTGTGGACCCTGACGGTGCTGAGGGCTTCCCTGGTGAGGTCATCAGCTATGTGACGTACACCTTGACTCCCTAGTAGGCTCAGACACGATCTTCTTGTCACGGATGTTACTGACACAAAACAGCCAATGGCATTTGAAGATGATTGCGGTTGCAACTACCAAGAAGACACCTATCATGTTGAGTTCTCACGTAAGTAGCCTGTCCCTATCTGAATTGGGCACGTACTGACTGGACTAGGTCTACTGGAACCTCGATGGTTTCCAAAACCCTACCGACCCTACGGTGAACAACTACACCGTGCACTTGCCATACTCTGGACAGCGTGTCGGCGTCGACGGCATCCTCATCCCTAATGGTACCATTCTTCCCAACGAGAAGGGCGGTGTCTTCGACTTCTGGTCATCGCCCAAGAAGCTCGGTGCCAACTTGACCTCGCCCGATCTCGTCGGTGGTTGTGGCAGTGGTTGTGTCGGCTACGATACTTGCTGGTTGGTCAACAGAGAACAGAATGGACCCTATGACTGGCGCGAGTCGGGACCAGTCGCTACTGTTTCCAGTCCTTTCTCTGGTATCCAGATTGACATCTTCACCGACCAGCAAGCCTTCCAGATCTACACTTGCCCCGGACAGAATGGTAAGTCTCTAGTCACATTCGGTCAAAGACTTTCTTTAACAGCACTGAACAGGTACTACTACTATCAAGGAGACTCAAGGCTTCTTCAACCAGACCGACCAACCTCGTGTTGTCCAGAAGTATGGCTGCATGGTCATGGAAGTGGAGGACTGGATTGACGCGATCAACCAGCCCGAGTGGCAGAGAGAGAAGAGGAACATCTTTGGACCTGGAGATGACCCATATGTTCTCCAAGCCACTTACAAGTTCTCTGTCAACAAAGAGGCGGCAGCTACATCTAACTGCACATCGAGCTACTGAAGGGAGGATGAATTTGAGAACTCGATATCATGCCGAACTTAGCGGCTAATTTGACACACTTGTTGCAAGATGCACAAAAACTTTCATTACCGTGAGACTGGTTTCTCGAGCTCTTCGACGCGATTGATGTAAGGACGCACGGCTTCGTTAAAAGCACGCGTAAGGAGATCGGGCATGGGCTGGAAAGCGAAAGATCAGGGAGAGATTAACATAGTTAGCAGAAGTGATGCCAGAGCATCAGCTGGAAAGATATAAAGGTGATAGTGACGAATACAATAGTAGTAATAAGTAGGAGAAGAAAAGGTGTAGGGTAGAGTTGTTTAGTAAATAGAGGGAAAGTATAGACACTAGTTGTAGTAGGACTAAATGTCGTTAGTCAGGTGGTAGGGTTAGGTTTGTATATTCACGGGCTTGTAGGCATGTAGATGTAGATGAGTGTAGGTATGGCTAGGCTAGTCTTTTTGCTACGGGTCGTCGAGGTCTCGGTCACACAGTCGGTGGTCTTGTGAGGGCTCTGTAGGTGTTGGTGTAGAGAAGAGTGAGCATTTTGACTAGGAGACAAAGATGCAGCTATACCGTCGTCCAGAAATTGAGGGAGGCCTCACAAGCTAAAATTGTGCACATGGCTCGAGGCACAAGTGACGACGACAACTGAAGGGGCTGCTGACTTTCTCACAGCCAGGCGTTGCGAGATCATCGTCCTGTCAACATTGCGCACATCCTCACCAACCCACGCAAAATCTCGCCGCCCTGATACCCTCTTGCGATAGAAACGTCACTCATTGTCTCAGAGCCAGTTGCAATTGTCTTACAACCAACAAGGCACTCTCCCCCACGATCGTAACTTCCAGCGCAGCCTGTCCCAATCCAAATCCTTTGACCCATCTCTCCGCAAACGACACATCCCTTCCAACTCCAAACATCAACGGCCAGTGTTCTCTGCATGCAAACCTGAGAAGTCTTGTAGTAGCAATCCTGGGCTCTGCTCCCACAGGAGTGATAACGGGACTCTTTGAGACAAAAGAGGTTTCTGCGATGGCATGGGTAGGGATGGCGAGGAGGAGGTAGGGAGATGGTGGGAAATACTGTCACCACATGTAGCTGCCTCAAGGCACAATACTTTCTCACATTGAAGCGATGTCATCGAGATACTCCGTGTTGGCGGCTCCCTGCGCTAGGTACACCGACACGAAATATGACTGTGCCTTTATACAGCTCGTCGTTGCCTGCTTTGATTCTCACGGAGAGAGGCTGTGACAATCTTCTGCACACGGGGAGGCTCCTTTTCGACTTCCATAGCCTACCTGTACTGGTCTTCTGGCTACTATAGCAGAATCAATGGCGGAAGAATAGAATGTCGTTACTCGAGACACGAGCACAAGGAATAGAGAGTGATGCGGTTGATATCATTATGATGGGAAGCCTTGTAGCCATGCGAGTTGTAAGAATGCTCGAGAAAAAAAGAAGAAAGGGTATATCCCAAACGCCTATGCCAGAAAGAACGCCATGCCCATGGTCCCATATGCATATACGTTGGCTTCCATGATGAGAGCATGTAGATGCAATCATTTGAACAGCATTCAGTCACCTGTCAAGTCCAACTCTTCCACGCCACTCTTCCGGTACACCCGGCGATCTTTGGGGGTGGGTGCCGTGAGATCAATCTCCATTTCAACTTCTTTCCAATTGCCAGGTAGACTGTCTCGAGGCTGTATGAATCGTTTCTTGACCTTCTTCACTTGCGTTTGAAGGGGTTCAGTCATAGGAACTGACTGCACAGGCGCAGGTTGACAGGTCGATATACTCGCTACTTGGACGGGCAAAGGCGCCGAGGAAGAATTTGTGGCTAGCACAGTAGTCTTGGTGGCTATTATGTCAATCTTTCGATCACGCAATCGTCTGTTGACTGGTAATAAGGAGGACGCTGAGATGACAGGCCTTTCGGAAGCTGCATTTTCTCCTGGTGGCTCCGGCTCGTAGGGTGGAGTGGGCATTGATGATGAGAAGTCTATCACTTCGGCCTCTGTTTGAGCTGCAGCTGGCTCCGCCGTCATCGAAGATTCGATTCTCCGTGTAGTCTGCCGAGCGCTTGGTGTAGGCATAGTCGTCTGTGCGACTGCTTGACGAATCTTCTCCGATACTCTTTGAAACGTGCCAAGTCTCGCTAGACTTGGGAGCGATTCTGGCGAAGCCAAGTCAATAGCCTCTATCTCGAGACCTCGAGGGGTGGACGGGCGTAGGGACGGAGAGCCCATGTCGTCTTCACCAGCGGTCGGAGCAGTCTGGTATCGCTTCAAAGGCGACCTCTTCCTCCTCCGTGTTACAGTGTCAGGCAGGGGTGCGAGAGCATCGACATTTTCTCGCGGAGAAAGTACAGCCGGTTTGCTGAACTGTTTGAAATGATCTCGTATACCTGGGATCTGCATCGTCACTCGTACGGGCGAAGCTGGCTTCACAGGAGATGAAGAAAGAAGGTCGACAACTTCTGGCGGTCCAGAGACATTTCGAGCAGGTGAGAATATCCTTGGACGGGCTCTCCTTGCAGGAGAAACAGGCTCAGGCGAGGAGCGTTTCGACGATCGCTTCTGAGGGACGACTGCTTCGAGGCTGAGATCCATCTCAGGGATAGAAAGTACCGTCTCTCCACCGATCCCACTGAGATCTACCTCAGTCACAGGAGCTCTGGTTCTGAAAGGATTGGCCTGATGTGCCACCTTCCCATTCGAAGCGTTACTCTTTGCAATTGCATCGATCTTGGTCAAGTCCAGCTCGTCACATTCAGGATACACGGTCTTGGAGTGTGCTGTTCGATCAACGCCTGGCTTTGTGGCCTTTGTGAATTGATCGAGGGCGCCTCTCTGCATACCGCCCGTCTTCTTTGCAGCGACAGTGTTGCGGCTGGCAGTGGTTTCGTTGTTTGTGGGCTTGCGAGGTCGTGGTACAGGCTTCGATTTGGGAGCACCAGGACCAGCCTCCCAGTCTTGGACTTTAAGCGGCGCTCCGAGTCGCACAAATGTATCAAGAAGCCAGACCTTTTCGTGAACTGTAGGATCGTACGTAGAGGGGCCTCGCTTCTTCTTGGGAGACCCCGGGCATTCGCCGTCCTCCGCTGGTGATGGTTCCGAATCCGAGTCCTCTTCATCTTCGGGCTCTTCCTCGTCAGGATCTTCGGTGCTGAGGTCGATGTCAATCAATTCGATTGGCTTGAAACTGACTCGGAGCTCTGGGATGTTGTCCGTGGTTGGGTGTAGCCGTTTACCGTGGATAGCATTAATCATGGACGATTCTCGAGCTTGCTGTGCTGAGATTCCATCTGAACTGTTTCCACAGGTTTCACCGCGCATTCTGAGCTCTCTGACCAGAACTGCAGGTGCCAGATTTCGAATGAACTTTTTGGCGCCACCAATGCAACGCCAGTCGAAAGCATCGCCTGCAAAGTCCCTGAGACTCGGATAGTCGAGGGGCGAATCCCACACCAGAGTGTCCTTGAGCTTGGCGATCTTATCAGGGGCCGAGATGCATGGATGGGTGTAATATCTGAGAACTTTCTGGTCGGGAAAAGAGTCCGGAATGGTCAGACCAGGTCGTTTCTGGCGGAAGTGCTTGCTGTCATTGGTGCGAATCTCGTGGCGCAGTTTTTCTCTCCAAGCATGCAGACCCTCAGTATCCCTCTTATCGAGACTGCACAATGAATCTCCAAATCCAGCTCTTGCAGCCTCGCAGGCTAGCTTGGGACCGCATCCTGGAATGCCCTCTGTGATATAATCACCTCCACTCATCATGGCGACGAGAATCATGCCATTGCGGTCCAAGCCACTCGTGCTCTTGGTCGCGTCGGCTCGGTAGACGTTCACATGAGTGGGTGTCTTGCTGGTCTGCTTTTCTGGAGTCCAGCTACGCAACGTCATGCCACTACCGAACATGAGTGTGTCCACATCCTCACTGAGAACGGCATCTACTATTCCCTCTCTTTGGAGAAGGGCGCATTCGGCCTCAGCCTCACCAGGCGCATAGTGTAGAGGAAAGCCGAAGTGCTTCAGAAGCTGTTTGGCGAGAAACTCCGGGACGCTCGATACACGGACGTTGGGACCTCCGACCTTCTTGTTTCGTTTCCAGGTGGGCTTATTAGGACCATCGAAGACAAATAGTGGGTGGATGTTAAGTGAGAGCAGGCGGAGAAGGCGGTAGTAGAAGGTTCGAAGTGCAGGGTTGGTGCCGCCTTTACCGGATTGGATCTGGAACAGCCAGATGCTGATATCGATGGCAAGACGAAAGGGGCGAGAGTGTTGGATGTAATGTTCAGCAGCGAGCTTGCTCACGGCGATGCGTTCACCAGGCCCGATCTCTTTGTAAATTCTGCATGCTGTGTGAGTGGCAGTCTCGTAGAGTCAGTTGAAGCTGCGACCCACCCATGAATACCCATACTTGATGCTCATCCAAGCACGAACGCAACAATAGGCAAGTCTTCCTCCTCGTCCATGTTCTCATCAAGCTTCAATCATATTGCTCGGAGGCAACTCATGTTTCGGTCGCAAACTTGTTCAACATCAAGCAGCGACGCTTCACCCCGTTGCCATGGCAGCTACGGTCCGTGCCGCGTCTTCACGTGACACCACTCCAGGCACCGTTCCTGCCTCCGAGGTTGATGCATTGCACATGTTTTGAAGATTGACAGACCTGTACAGGATTACCCACTCGCTATACCTAGCCTCCTAGAAGCCCTTGCTCGAATTGATATTCTCTGGACTGAACATTATTCATCTGGATTGTTGTGCAGATTTACCTTACGTCACCGCTGCGAGTTTTGGGAGTGCATTGATTGTTTACCCGCTACGCAAGGGCCATTGAATTTTGTTTGGCCCATTTCATACCATCTACACACTTGAAATCGAGGACATCTTGCGACTCGTGCTTCGCGATCCAATCGAAAACATGAGGAATCGCTCCTCGTTGGAACCTATAACGACAAGCGCCACTTCGCCTCTGCGCTCGACTGTCGACCAACCCACCAAAGAACCTCTGGCTCCGAGATCATCCAACTACCACACTTCTCCTGCTCTCAAATCTATGCTCATGGACTCAAGAGACTCCCGAGGAAGTCCTTGGCAATTCAAAGTCACTGTCGAGGCCGAACACATGTCTACATCAGACGCACCCACCGCGAAATCACGACTTGTCCCTCTACACGATGCCGAGAATACTCAGGTTCCTGATCTTTGTCCCATATCTCAACTCGGCGACCATGCTTCAATCGACTACTCCTTGTCCGAGATTGAGTCATTTGAGGAGCCTTCGAAATCGTCTCGCAAACTGACAGCCGTCGACTCTCTGTCTCCCGAGCCAGGCCGACCTTCAGCTTCTGGTAGGTCTCCCGCGAGTGCAAGAAGCAGATCATCAAGGGATCGCGAGACCGAGAGCCGTGCCAGTATCGTGTCGTATCGCACAGAGCCCGATGCTACAGAACGACCATGCTTCGATCAAGACGAAGAGGCAGAGGCCGTTCTCGGTGGTTCCGCCCCTGGAGACGCGACCATGCTGGAGAGCGAGGAATTCAGTATGATCTCAGTCGACTCCTTGCCTAGCCGAGCTATCGGCCACTCCTCGCCTTCGCAAGCTCTTCAAGCCACAGAGGGTGATGCTTCCATCAACCACTCTTACATGCCTTCGTCCCCTCCGGCATTCGCAAACGATCGTAGAACACCTGTGCCCGAGGATGCCACTCCGGAGAACCCACAAGCGCCGCTAGCTTCTCAAAATCCTGAGGCAGACATTGCTACGCCATTGAAAGAAAGCGCACGCAAGTCCGGACGTGCGCTGCAGGATGCACTGAATGGGCCCTTTCGAGAGTCTGTTTCCAGAGAGCTGCCGGCAGCTCGTGAGTCCATCTTCAATGGATTTAGCTCTGGCACAAGGTATCAGTTACGCCAAAGCCTACATACTGGTCAGAACATGATCTCGCCCTCGGTCGTCCATAGCGTCCCTCGCCTGGCACCTACATCAAACACGTTTTCCAACTTTTCATCTCCCTTTCAGAGTCCGGTGCGTCAACAAGAGACCTTTGGTTCGCTCCCCAGCCGTCTGGTCGCGATCACAGCAGAGAAGCGTACAGTTTTGCCTTCAAGCCTTCAGTCTCAGGCTCATGTCGACTACCCTCATATTGACCAGACATCCCCGAAGGCTAATTCACCACACGAGCATCTCAAGACGAGCTATGGCAACGCACAGATACCACCGGTTGTTCAGATGCAAAGCCCTCCACGTTCATCGCCGCCTTCTGAGCATGACATTCCTGAGAAAAATACCGACAGTCCTGGGGTGGAGGTGGAAACGAAAACTGTGGACGATGACAAGGACATCTGGCAGGAGGAGGCAAGTCGTTCTGGTATCGATGAAAACGGCTCACCCGAACAAACCGATCTCTTCCTGGAGGATCTTGCTGTTAAACCTCGTAGAAGTAAGCTACCAGGCACGTGGCGTCGTACCTCAGGCACTACATTTTCCTACAGCGACTCTCCCGAGCCTCAAGAACACCGGAATCGTAAGCCCAGTGCATCTACCTTGGGTTCTTCCAGGAAGAGTAGTGGCGTTATGACACCTCCATCTTCCGATGATGGTAACACAGCTGCTGGAGACAAGCCAACCAGCCACATCGATGATTCTGCGAGGCCTACGGTTGAGGAGGAGCTCAGCCAGTCCGAGTCTGGCGACGATACAGGCATGTTCTTCCAATCAAATCTTCCATCAGTGTACAACAGAAAGACCAGAGGGCATGTCTCCGGCTCGGCCAAGAGTAGCTTCGCGCCCAGCAGCCCACTCAGGAACACTGTCTTAGATATTAGTCCTCTGAAAAACGCTCAAGCTCTTGGACATACTTCAGAAGCGAACCTATCCGCTGGTCCTTCACCGCTTCGTCGAACGCTGGCCAAGTCCAGTCATTCGAAGATCACCCGGGATGCGCGCGAAAGAGATTTGAACATCGACACATCTGAAACCCAAACCGACTCAAGCCTGGCCTCTGATGCTCAACAAATACAGAGAGAGTTGAGAGCAAGACCCGGTAGTGGAGCAAGCACGATCTCGAGTTTGACCTCTGGTAGGCAGATGAGAGGATCGAGACGAGCAGCTAGTGCGAACACTATTGATCTTACTATTAGTAATGCTTCAGATCAAGACTCATCATCGATCTCATCAAGATCAAGGAGTTATCAAGAAGAGCTGAATCTTGAATCACCAATGCGTGTCAAAGTTAACTTCAACGACGATGCTGGTAACTCGACTCTTTTGGAGCCTCGACGACAATATCCTCCCCTCTTCGACAATGTCCCGACCCTAACAAAACCTACGACCGACTCGTCTGACTCTCCTCAGCCCAAATCGCCATTGCTGCGGTTTACCGAGTCTTTCTGGGAAGCTGTTACCAAGCCTCCCGTCTACGCATCACCGGAGCGTAAACCTTCGGTCGTACTCGAGTCGGCATCTGTCACAACTGTACCTGACCATGTCTTGCGTCTACGTCGCAAATATGGTCTCTTGCCAGATGCTCATCCGTTCATATACGCACACATCCGCACATTGCACCGTATGCTCAACTCGACACGCTCCAGACCTGGTAGCAGTATAGTGCCATGTACTGGACCCCTGGGTCATGGTCTGTCACGTCTGTTGGGTAAGACAAAGACCAACGAGCTAGATCAACGTTTCGTGTGGTCGCAGACATACCTGCATGTTGTGGACTCTTTCATGTCACTTCTGCTACCACAGGAAGAACGTGATCGCCTGCAATACGAGACAGGCTCTTGGGGTGATGCTGAAGCACTTAGACATCGTGGACGCGACTCCAAGGGTAGATATGGTGATGAAGTCGTGTTCAATGGCGTCAAGGGTGGATTAATCGAGGCCGCTTGGGTTGCAGACGTGCTTGTGGACATCATCTTCAGGGAGGAGATGAATGCAAAGAGGAAGAAGGTCGCTGAGATGATGGCTCGCGCTGAGAGAATGCAGATGTAAGATTATGAAGTGTATTACGAATTGATGTCATTGAGTCGGGGTAGTCTTGGGTTTGACCTCAAAAGTCACAGGAGTTTTTGTACATGACCATAACTCAATTGTTGTGTTGTTCTTACTACCATGATGTTCTACGCTGAGACTTAAGACGAGCTCTCACGATAAACATCTTCTGTGGTCCTATGTGGGCAAAGTGTGAATCGCCTATCAGGTTCAATGAAAAAGTGCTCCAGGGAGTCGGATGTTTTCACGCTCTGTTATTGCGATAACTGCACTAAGCCGTAAAAGTGGACTAAATGTCTGGTAACGAATTGTCGCGCAATTCGTCTACTGTGCAGTTGATATACGATAGAAATGACAGCTCAAGTCGGCCTCGAGATGAGTATGACCCTGCCCGCATTTCTTTATAGTCCTGATCCAAATACTATGCAGCAGAATAGCCCATGAAGTAGGCCCATAGCTCAAACTCAATGCACCTACCCGTTGCACTATCAAATACTATCTTATCTGCTTCGTTTGCACGTAGTGTCGGATGGTTGTTAGCAAGCGGTCTTGGTCGTGGTAGACAGCGTCCAACGCACGCCGAGCTAGAACTGTCCAAGATAAGCGTGGATCAGACCACTGCTAGTCATTCGAAAGCTATGGAGCCTTTATCTTGTCATGACAGTAGATAGAGGTTGCTCAATATTGTCTGCTAAGACAAGAGCCATGTGGAAGGATCATGACGGGGGATCATGGTCACAAACTTTGTTGCCAACGCCATAGCCACTCCTACACGGCGGAGGACTTGTGACAACATGTCACCAACAGTGCAAAAGTCACGAATCATCCTGGTTGTTCTTGCACTTTACTAGACAGATGTCAAGTAACACGAAAAATTGTTAGTACATCATCTTTCACATGGTTATCACATTTTGGCACAGGAAGAAGAAATTTGTTGGTATGATCGACTTTTTGTATTGGCATTTTACCCCCCAAAAATTGAAGTAAGATTTACCTGGGAGTCAGCGAAGAGCAAAAAACTCCGTGTAACGCCTTTGAATGCCTATAGACAGTTTGAATCAGTGAAGAGACTTCCATCTGTATCTGTAAGCAAGAGCCAAAGTTTCATCAGTTATTGCAATGTCGCACTGTACTTTGTGGTTAGCTACTCAAGCGAACATGTCGCCCAACTCACTAAGGAGATTGTTACCTTAAGCCATGTGCTGATCGTGAGCAGCTCGAAGGGCGGCCGTAGTTCCATCCTGCTCGACATTGTTGTTAGCAGCAGAATGATTGGCATCGTTGGGGATAGGAAGTTCGCGAAGCTGGGGGTCGATGAGCTCAGGGTAGATATCAGGGTCAGAGATCATGTTGAGCTGTCTTTGCTCCAGAATAGGAGGGCTCAAGGTCCGAATGGCAAGGGAAGCAGCCATTTGCTCAGCAGAGATATGCTGACCCTGAGCAAGCATTTCTTGAGCAACCATGTCGTACTCTCTGGCCCAGGTGATCATATCCTGAGGGATTGAGAGCTTGGTACCGCGGTGGAGGGAAGGGATGAGAGCCTCACACATGGCTTGAGCGAACGTGACAGAGGGAAGACTACCAAGAGTCAAAAACCTACCTTTACGGAGTTCGCGGAGCAGATTGCCGAGTTCAAGGTATTTAGGCGAAGCGCGCATGTCGCTACGGTTGAGCACTGCGAATACCCTGTTCAGGCTCTCAGGGACATTGAACTCTGGGGACTCGCCCAGACAAACGTCTTCACCTGGGTAAAGAACTTGCTCAATACTCAGAGGAGTCCACGAAGTAGCAGCAGGAGTCCATGTCTGGTCATCAACAGTAATGGAGTTGGGTGTTGAAGACCAGATGAAGTGTGTGACTTGAGACATTTCCTGTAGGAAGGGCTCAGGGCACCAGCCAGTCTCTCCACCGTTTCTGAGCCAGTACATGTAAGCGTTTGTTGCGGGAAGTCGAGGCTTGTAGCGAATGCGAAGGTGAGGACGTGTTGGGCGAGATCCTCAGCGTTGTCGTAGCTGACCCACCAAACTCTCTTACCGGTGATTCTGTCTGTTAGATGAAGAACGAAGGGATCTCCTTGACAAGTCTCAAGCATTACAGTGTGTAAGCCAAGATCGCCATCATAGAGTGCGGGACGACCAGCAGAGGGGTCAAAGGTACCAGTCTCGTTATAGGACTTGAGCTCCGCAAGAAGATTGCCTTGAACTTGCAGGTTCATCCGATCAATGCGTTCTTGTTCGTCGATCAGTTCTTGTACATCCATCTTGACTGTGTGGGTTTGTTGTTGATATGTTGAGTGTAATGATGATAGCTTAAGGGAGGTGTGCAGTGTCTTTAAGTATTATTGAGAAGTTGTGCAGTGCCTAGCTGCGTAGTTTTGGCGGAACAAAGAGAGATTGTTGCGAAAGTAGCCAGAACAACGAACCACATTTTGGATGTCTCTGAGCTTCTTTGTCTCGAAACGTCCACAAAGGGAGCGCACGATAGTATTGTTGCAGGAACAATGAAAGTGGACATGACGTGAACGAAATTTCTTGATGACATTGTGCGGGAACAACGAAAGAGACTATAGCATCAACGAGGTTGGTCTCCTGTACGAACGAGTGGATGTCAGTCCAGCAGATACCAACACATCCATGCAACTCAGATTAGGTATTGTCCATGAGCGCAGAAGTCAACAATCTGTTGAGGCATAGTCTATGTAATGGTCAGTCTAGAGTATCAAAGATGGGAAAGTGTCAAAATTAGGAGGAAATCACTTGTATTGCGAAGAAAGACCTATTTAAGTGGATATCAGTACTCAATTCGCGACCAGACCAGTGGCCAGGGGTAGAACGCAAGAGCTAGACGTAAAAGAAAGTCGAGATCTGTGAAAGAAGTCAACCATAAAAACGCCTCAAGATTTCCCATGCCCCCAAAGCCGAAAAACAAACCAAGTCGGTTCTTTTGCTTAACAATTTTCCAAATGTTTCCGTGAGTTTAGTCAAATGATAAGGGGGCAACATCACGGCGGGAAAAAGGGGAGCATGAACCAAGACTGAAAAAACTCTTTCCCTGGTGTAGTTGTACTTGGTCTCGAGACGACAATCGACCCTAAAAGATTGCGTGAGTTAAAAAGCGAGGGAAAGAGAAAAAGTCTTGGTTGAGGGTCTGTTACCTGAGGAAAAATTAGCAGAAAAGGATTGGAGGAGACTTACCTCATCGTGGATTGCGTTGTTTGAGTTGAGCAGCGAGGATCAAGGCTGAACACTGTCAGGGGAGCCGTGAGGTACAATCTCGACGGGGCCAGTCTCCTCCTCGTCGCCAATCTCAGGTTCGGCTGTAGCAGAACTTTGAGGGCCCAACGGGATAGCAGAGGTAGGAGCATATTCCCAAGGAATAGCAGAGGCAGGAGCGTACCCAAGAGGAGTGTCAGAGGCAGGAGCGCAGCCAGGGGGAGCCGAAGTCGTCGGCGCAGCTGGAATCTGGTCAGTAGCGTGTTGTTGAGCGGCCAATGCGATTTGACCACCATGGACTGATTGTATGTGAGTGTCACGTCTAGGTTCAGTACTGAAGCAGGACCTACAGAAAGGGCACTTATGAGGGCGTTTGATGATACCAAGGGGATTGCCCTGAGAAGGAGTTTGCCTACCATGGGACGGAGTAGGCGAAGACAATGACAGAGGAGCTAGATGTGCTGGAAGCTGCAGCGTCAGCCAATTCGGTATTACCTTGTTGACAGCAGTGTAAGCCTCTCTAGTCGCATCCATCACCATGGCCGGACTCGTGAGTGGAACGCCTAGAAGCGATCTTCTGTCGAGCCTAAGCTCAACCTTGCATTCCTCATTGCTGATGTAAGCAAGACTGCGCAAGCGGTAGTTGAGCATAGTCTCCGCGAGGAAGAACTCGGCACTAGTCTCGTCAACAGCGAGGTTAGGCTCGGTCGGGGAGCTGTCTTCGAAACGCGAGAATGTCAGAGTCTGAGGGCCATTACAATCGGAATAAGCTCTCCAGATGTAAGAGTTTTCACGAAGGCGACCACCTTCCATCTGAATTTGCTGTTCCAGATAGATCAGGAAGTGAGTAGGATCGGCCGACATTGCATGATCCGCGTTCCAACGACGCATTGCGACCATGGCAGCCTCGTAGTAGGCGTCGTCTACGGTTCTGGCGAAACGTAGAACTTTCAAGACGAGTTCCCAGGCGTTCTGGTGAACCGTACACCAAGCGGATCCGTCGAAGTCGCTGCGAGGGCGCAGGAAAAGAACCCAAGGGCTGCCGTGGGTCCTGTGTCTGTCACCACGCGCAATGTCTTCGGCAGTCAGGTCTGGTTCCTTGAAGATAGGTGGCATATTGTTGAACTACTTTCTTGTTAGCTGTTCGAGAAGTTTGTTGTGTTGTGTAAAGGGTGAAGGAAAGAAGAGATGGTTCCTAGGGAAAGGACGCCAGTTATCTACCTACTGATGCTAGAGTTCTACAGAGTTTCCAACACGCTGACAGGATAGAGGGAACAAAGAGAGCATAGGCAAAACACAAAGAACGAGAGATCAGACAGACAAAGGCCGACTTTGAACATCACAATAGACAAAGGATCATGTTCGACTTTGGTCCGAGTGACAAAGAAGGTGAAGCCGCTTCCAAAGACATTTTTAAATGATGGCCAGAGCGTGTTGCGAGTTGTAAACAATGCAATTGTCTTGGATCGGGAGAGCGACCTTTGACATGTCTATGAGTATATCCGAGACCCCAGGGAGTCTCAATGCGACCATATGAGAGGCTGACATCATCAAACATGATGGATAGTGGAACGTCTTGTGGCAAAGCTCCAGAGAAGTTATTCGGCGTGACAAAATGGGACAGGTTCTCTCTCAAGCTGTATATTCCAACGTATGCAATTGGACCATTGTGATCCCAGTATGTGCAGTCAGAGGTGTCGAAGTAGAGGCTTCTCTCATGTCTGCCCGTCTTCTTGGACACTGTCCCATCGTACAATTGGAGTCGAAACTTGGGTGACAAAGTCGTATATATGGTCAACTCAGTCAGCAGACCGACGTAGAGACAAGTACAAAGCTGTTGAGGTGCCTTAGTCTGTGTCATGGCCAAAATTTCAAGATGACGAAGCACTTCGAGCGATCGAATGGTTTTCGATGAGCCGACCAACGCTAACTACCCCGCTGTCTGAGTTGGCGAAAGTCGACTCGCTCGATGTCTGTGGTATACATTGATGTGGGATTGAAAGAGGGAATATGTGTTCGTGGAAACGAAATGATCGTTATCGTCCTAGCACAGCATCCTACCGGGAGACGTGATCGAATGAAGGGGAAAGGGACTGTCTTTATCTAACAAAACAATGATTTGTTGACTCCATGACGCACTTCCATTTCACTGAGACAAGGAGCTTCGTGGGCGCGTCAGAACTGTATGACCTGCGGAATATCCGACTTGCTGCGGTGCGAGAAGCGTTCGGGAGATAGGCGAATCTGCAGAATACCTATGTCAGCTTCGGACTACGAGCTCTTTGCATGCGCTCCGCGAGGATGTATTTGGCGGAAGCAAAGAGAAAGATAAAAGTTAGGTGGTTGGCTGTGGGGTTGCATTTTCAGCCTCTCAGAGTTCTTGGCCGAGAGTCGCGTCATTCGAGCCAGCCATCGAAAGAAGTCACGTTCGTTCTTTTCTCCTAACCATACGACTCAGGGTAGTCACGCAAAGATTGCTTTGGTTGTCTGTAATCGCCCTTGTTCATCCGCGATGTGATCTGGGACGCGTGCAACAGCTCGCAATATGCAATTTCCTATGTACCTTGTGGCTCAGCATAATTCGATCATCCCAGATATGCAGAACATAATTTCAGGAAGCATATCACACCCCGAAGAACGATTACAGGAGCTCTACCGCAAGAGGCGAGGCCAAGTTGGTCTCTATTCTCGTTCGACAATCTCAGGCGCATATGCCATCTCAGCTGTCCCACATCCTCATGTATCCCGCTCGAAGCCTACAGTACCTGTTCAAGTTGAGGGCGTGTTGGAGCCTTCGACAGACGTCTCGGCAGAGCAACTTCAAACTGAGACTGTCAGTCCCAGCGCGACTGGGTTGCTCGGATTTCCTGAAGACCATGCCGGGAATGAGTGGATATACCTCTGGAATGATTCAGTTGCACAATCTGTGCTAGACACAGAACAGCCCACTACTCCGGAGCCCGAAGATCTTGCTACAGACGAAGACGCCCCGCCAGATGCGTTAGACATGGACCAAGAGACTTTTTTGTGCCCGGATGATACGACTAGTCTTCCAAGGACACACAGCTTAAGTCAAGCACAGCACCGTTCAGTCAGTCCATATTCCCCATCGCCATCACTACAACACGCTCTGGGTATAGACTGGACTTCCATCTACAAAGGCTACTGGGGTAACAATTGCTTGTCTGCACTGCATCCGATTTTCCAAGACATCACAATACTCAGTCACCAGGTGCCAGCTGTGGACGATGCAATTGTCGCTCTGGCAGCTTGCAATCTTAGCCGAGTATCACCTCAAGCTACACCAAGTAGATCTGACGACAATTCATATCAACCTCACCCAGAGCATTGGGCCTCAAGCAAGCGACATTATGGCTCAGCGCTGAAGGCGATTAGATTTCTCAGTGATAACGCAGCTCAAAGCACGGATCCGCAAATCACAGTTGCTATCTTGGTGTTAATTTCTTGCTTGGAGGCTTCCGTAGGAAATGCTTTGGGTTTTCATGTCTTTTCGCGAGGAATTGCTGAGACTATAGGAAGGCTTTCAACCGGACTTAATGTGAACTCGCCCTTCTTGCCAATGTTAGCGGCATGGATGCAGACACGATATCACACTTGGTGGATCAGACTCTATTTCAGCACGTTTAGCTTCCAGTTGGAACAGTCTTCCCTGTCTGCTCCGGCTTTTCTGGAAGAGAACGCCGAGCTAGGCAGTGTACGGCGCGCAATGGTCTTGTCGAACCTCTGCGAGTCTCATCGGCTGCATCAAAAGATGCTACTTGGAACGTTTTTTCCCATCATGGGGCAAGTCTTTGTCTCTCGCGAGAGCACTCACTCTGTGAGCAAGTGGTACAAGACTGACATGTATCGAGAATTGCTTAATCTCCAAGCCGTCAAACTCGATCTTTGGGAGGAGAGCTTGCCACTTGAAGAATTACCCGCAAGTCTAGATGGTGAAGCTCAGTACCTCATACCAGAAGGCTTGCTTGTCATGCCCGTGCAATTTTCATCACACCACGCCGCGATGAACTATGCCTACTACATCTCGGCTCGGCTGATGCAGGATGCACCAATCGATCTGAGTGGCGAGCACATTACAGATTCTGATCATTTCGTGTTCTTGCTCCTTCGCGTCGCTGCAGGTATCAGTCATCAGACATGTCTTCGCGAGAACACCTATACCATCGGATTGTCAAGTTTGCTACTTGCCGCATTGCTGCACACATGCAGCCTGGACATTGGCCTCTGGATTGAAGATTGGCTTGATGGCTTCCAAAAACTTGGCCAGACTCCCGCTCTCGAAGAGGGAAGCTTTCCTCTGGAGCAAATTTCTGTCGTTGTTTCCGTCATTAATCAGCAAAGACGTCTCGGACGTAACGTGTTTGCTATCTCCCAAGCTGAGGATGACGGTGGCGGTAGGGGAAAGGCTCAGTCATACCACAGCCAAGATATCAAGGTTGTTTGGCTGCACGGCCGAGAAAGAGCGAATGGTGCGCTCTTTCAAGAGCCTGTCCGGTTCGGATCGTGAGCGGTTGTGAATCCTACAAGGGTCGCAGAGAAGCTGCTTGACACGTGGCAATCATAAACTCTTTCTCGACTGCGCAATCAGGAAATATCGCGTCACTGGCAAGCATGAACGCGAATGTGAACACTACCTCAGTGTTCACTTGTATAAAGAGTCGTTCTCGTGACCTCACCCTTGGCTTCAACTTTTTGCAAAGCCTCATGTGACGCCACATGCTGATGGACATGCTCTCGCTGTGCCAGCATGTGTTGCCAGGCGCTGCTTGACGACGAGATATATATATCCGCTGCTCACGCCCCGATTGAAGGTCTGCTTCTCTTAGACAACATCGATCAACAACATTCACAGACGATGTCTTCAGGTTACCCAGCTTCCTTTTCCGACGACCGCCAGCCTATGCGTAAGCCTGCACTGGCTACTTTCCCCGGCAGAGGTCCGCACAATACCAATGCTGCAGTACTGTTATCCAGTCAAGGTAAGGGGAACCTGATACCTCCGCCCTTTGGTCCGTTCAGCGAAGACATCGAGACGTCCAGAAACTTGACCGCCCAAGACAGAATGAACATGGCAAGCAGACCCATCCTACAATCTCAGAGCAACAAGTCTCACGGCCCAGCATCAGACACAGAAGCTGACTCCGGCATCGACTCAAAGAGATCAGACGCAAGAAAGCAAGCCAGACTCAGCCAACAAAGAACGGAGATCCAGAACTTGGCCAGTCACATCAGAGAAGCAACTGGCTATATTCGGGCACTTGTCAGGATGCTGGACGCCATGAATGATATTGGAAAAGGTTACAAGAAGCAATTTGATATTCCTGAGGATCTCAACACGCTGTATAAGACATTCCCACCTGTTCAAGAAACGTTCGATCTTGCTGGCACATCGATCTCGGATCTGGCAGATAGGGTGTCAGAGTATGCTGATGGTGTTTCTGAAGCACTGGCCCGGGTGAGGAATCTTGCTCACAGTGGTGAGACATGTCTGGTGTCACAGGTCCCATCTTTGCTTGCAGCAGCAGAAATCCTCCAGGGTATTTACGAGGTGATCGAGGATTGCAAGTTTGGAGACAGCAGTATGGCACACCGTCTTGGAACCAGAGAAGATGCAAGGAGAATCGCAGGGCGCGAACAAGAGCTGTCGAGACTTAAGCATGGTCCCACTGGCTGGGCAAGAGAGCTGGAGGGGTTGGATATTGAATACTGAGAGACACTTGATTGACAAGTGGCAGCGAACGGAAGCATGTAATTTTGTGCCATCAGTATTTAAACTGATGTTGGCGAACGCGTCAAATTGGGCACCAGTGTTGTTGTGCATATCTTCGACTAGCAACCGATCATGATCGGAGGATGGAAGTGTTGAGTGGACGACTACTCATGTCCGCGTTGTCTGTATGGACATGAATCAATCTTTTATTACTCCCAACTTTTTTCTTTTCTGTCGTACTTGGGTCACCTAAGCGCTCAAGATGCTGGTAGCGAGAAAGAGCGGGCGTTGGTGCCGAGGCTGCCGGAAGAAAGTATTCTCACCGACAAACAACTCGTACTACCTGTCGTCTCTCACCGACTAAGTGGTGCAATCTATACGGACGCGTGAGAGCACATCTGACGGCTGTTGGCGGTCTCGCAATAGGGAATGGCATCAGTGACAAGGGCTATCTTGATTAGTCGGACGAAAAAGCCATGACACGTTAAGCTCCTTGTTCCTTGGGACGAACAATCAAAAAGAGGATGAGTTTGAGAATTGTGAAGGCCGACCTCGGCAGGAGAGAAAAAGCAGAGATATCCACGGCAAGATCAAGGAAAGATGACTGCATAGCATTTGTTTGTTTGTACGTGACAGCGGCAGTTGAGTGCGCGTCGTGGACATGGCCTTCTAGAAAACGAGGACATCATAGCGAAATGACGGAAAAGAAGCAGCAGAACCCAAATCTACGGTGCTGCCGAGGGCCGGGAAGGATGTTTCAGAAATGGTACTAAAAAGGGAGGGCTCGGCTTTCTGTTTGATTTGGCTACCTGTTGGCGATGCGATTACGTCGACGATCGACAAAGTGCCAATTTGGCGTTTTATGACAAGCAGCGTCACCGAAGCAAAATATGCGGCAGACGGCGGCCTGCGTTGCGTATTCGAAGATGTTTTGCAGCTGCAGAGAAGAACGGATTTGGGCATGGACAAAAGGCGGTCTTTCTGCTGGCGGAAATGGGTGGAGTGAAGCCTAGACTTGCTAGACTTGATCTGATAGTTTGCACATCGCAAGCCAGATCTAAACGTGGGTTCCGAAGCACGCGACGACTATGATTGGCCATTGTTCGAATACAGTTTGCGGGACTGATTAGCGTTCAGGTTGATATGGAAATTATTCAGCCCCAAGCAGGGCCAGCACAGGCACCAAGGCACAGGCGCAAACACGATGTCATGCCTCTGGCGCAGGCGGTCGGCAAGGCCTAGCAGGGTCATAATCTAGCACCATGTCTTTGCCAGCACAATCTCTGTCTCTGTCTGCTGTCTCTCTCCCGCCCCCTACCTGATCGAATCATCACACAAGTCGGCGTCAGGCCTCCCTTGTAGCCCACTTTCATATCCCACTCTCGCTTGGAAGGACTTGTCCAACAGGCGAATAACCTGGATACGGCCGGACACAGAGGCTGTTTATTGTACCAAGTTCCACGCGTGTCCCACGTTGCGCACCCTCCGGACCGCCGTTGCGCCTATACCCAACGTCTCCCGCCTCGTCGCGTCTCCAAAGTAGAGCGTGCGACCATCTTCCAGGCATTTACTGTGCCACGTCGATTCTCTGCCCAGCGTCTTGCGAGCCAGCGATCATGAGCTGTCATGGACACCGGGCTTCCTCTGCAGATAGAGTCCTCGTGTGATGTCGTAGACTCGACCGCGCATAGGGACAGCAGCCGTCGACCGCCGATATCACCGCCGCTGGAACCGCCAAATATCCTCCGTCGCAAAGTGCGCAAAAAGTCGATTCGCAACACAAAAGACAGCGCTGAAATGGCTCGTCTCCGTTATCACCGCGAGAAGAGCGAGCACCAGCAATCGCAATCACTGCCTCATCTCTACCAAGGACAAAAGGTCGTCGATCGACATTTCAGCGTCGCCAACGTCGGGCAGAATGGAACCATGTACCTGAGGTGGGAACATGCTCGTCCGGGTACAGCACAAGACAACAAACTCATGCTGCCTAGACCAGTCGCTCGCCCTTATCCCAGAGGCGTCCGCCCCCCTCCTACGCCTCCCGCCGATTCTCAGCAACAACCTCCTCTTGGTCTGCACTGGCACGACGGACTACACCAGAGCGCCGCTCAGCTCTCTCTGCCCAATCTGGAACCTGACTATACCACACCCCGCCGAAGATCTTCGTTTGACAGCGGCTATAGTCGAAAGAGTAGACATGAAACAGATCAGGCCGCCCATCTTCGCTCGCCCAGTCTTGACTCAATCCCCAAACAAGCCCAATCACAATCACAACAATCCAAAAAGCAGATTTCCCCACCGCCTGGCGCCGCAGACTCTCTGTTTGCTCCCCTGTTGGAGGTCCCTATACCGAATTTCCGACTTGGTTCGCCGAGGTTCAGTGATCGAGGGACTGCCTTCCTTCACAATTCCTACCATACCGCTTTCTCTAGTACTACCGACCTGCGGCAACTCTCGACCGATCGTTTAGATCGACTTATGCCTCCTCCCTCCCAAGGCCACCAAAACTCCATTGATTTGCGCAGATCTCCGAGCGTCTCTTGGTTCTCTCCTTCGATATCGCCAGCCGTGGATCCCCACGGAGGTCGTCCGTTCCCATCACCACTTGCTGCCCCTCCACGAGAGTTAGACCGGGACGAAATACCTCATACCCTTTACGACAAAGTGGCAGCAGATCCGGACAACAACCACTTCGTCAGGTATGCAGAAGGCACCGACGAAATTGTCGCCGCAACTCCAGCTCGTCTGGTTGCCGAGATTACCTCCCCCAAGTTCTTGAATTACGACCTGCTGTCCGACTTCTTCTTGACCTATAGAGCCTTTTTGTCACCATCGGATCTGGCTAGATATTTGGTCGCTAGATTGCGATGGGCTGTATCGCAGAACCATGAATCTGGCCGTATCGTACGCGTTCGAACTTTCGTCGCACTACGCCACTGGATACTGAACTACTTTGCTCAAGATTTCGAGCCAGATCACGAGCTTCGGAATCTCTTCTGCGATCTCGTCAATGGACTTGCTCTACATCTCGTACAAAGGCCCCAAGGCGGCGATGGAGACCTCCAAGTCTTGTCCGAGTTACAAAAGTGCTGGAATCGTACATGCGCTTTGGTCTGGGGCTCGACCATCGCACCTCAGGCGTACATGCCACTCCAGATCGAGAGTGACGGCGATTCGCTGCTTCCTGGCACCACTCGCATGCGCACTTTGACAAACGAGTCCCACATGCGTAATTCGTCCTATATGGGCAACAATGTATCTACCGTGGCCCTGAGACGACCTGAGACAGTTTCACGTCTTAGTGAGGCAAGTATTCAAGTCACGTCTTGCTCTTTTCCTAGGCTGAAGCGTTCCAAGCACGACTTGAAGAGCCAACCAGAGAAACCAAGCACGCGGTCACCAAGTAAGTCAAGAGGGTTCCATCGTCACAAGAGAAGCGACAGCTTTTCAGATGCACTGCGAGATTCTCGCGTCGACCGGCCAACGTCTTCACATCTCATGACAGATGTTCAAGTCCGACCGGGTAGAATCATTCGAGGTCTTGTCATCCAACCGGGCTCAGCAGACGTTGCTGATCCTAGTCCGCCAAGTCCGCCGTTCCTCATGCGTCCCGAAGATACCAGGCCTAGTATCGCAGAGAATCTCTTGCGCGCGCCTGACAACTCTGCTCAGCATGCCCGTCTGAATATCTTTGGAAGTGTGCGACGAGCGCTGAGTACACGTAACACAGGCAAATCTCCATTCCATCACAGACCAAAGACCGCTAGTTCAGGTGAATTGCGGAAGATTGGCAGTACTGAGCCTCAGCCAAGAGACATGATCAGACAAATACAGGCTCGAAAGGCTCAGAACGTTCACACTGATGCTCTAGCTGCAATGGTTATGCGCTCCTGGCAACAAAAAAGCAACGAGACGATGCATGAGATGAACGAGCTTGGACCTGCCATTCGTCCGCCTGTCACACGGAATCGATCCAAGACCATAGACACTGAGATCCCGGCACGTCCTGGGGCAGCCCGCCTCCTCAGCAACTTGACTACGAGTAGCCGATCAATCATGATCATCGATGATACTGGAATCGATGAGTCCGAACGTACGCCAGATTTGGAGCACACCATTGCCGGCATAGTACAATCTCGGAACGACTACGATCTGTCGCGACAGAAGACGCAGGAACACAATCAAGCGGCTGTCCAGGATGTTGCTATCAACAATACCGCGTTCCTATTGCCTTACAATATGGTGGACTCCAACCAGAATTCCTGGCCGGGTCCGATCGAGTCAGCTACCTTACATACTGCATCAACAACCATGGCCATAATGTCGTCTCCATATTCACCGCCACCATCCATGCCGCTTCCGGCTCTTCCCAATGGCCCAGCTTCTACAGTAGAGCCCGACACTATGGAAAGTGACTACAGACCGAGTCCTGACAGTGAAGTCACTACATCCTTCGGGACTGGTCATTTGTATTCGCCCGAGGCGTCGATGAACAACAGCCCTGCTCTTAGCTTCCGAAAATCTTCGCCGATAGACCCTACCGATCTGCCTGGGCCTGCTAGACAGCTTCGGCGCAAACCTGGTGGTAATCTTCGTGATGTCGACACTGTCCATGATCTCGGCATCACCCATAGGCGACAGTCAACAGGTTCCGTAACGTCGCCAATTTCCGTCTACGGCTCGCCAGTCTTGTCTGTTGTGTCTGGAAACGCGGACGACGCACAGATTGACTCTCGTATTGCAAGGCATCCGCTCAGAGCTCAGGTAAGCGATGGCGACATATACGATGCCGCTAGAAGAAGTTCATTGCGACTGCTGTCTACTCACTCTTCGCTGCGTCATATGCGACCATCTATGGAGGTTGAAGTCGCGAAGTTCAGGGAGATGCCACTTGTCGAAGATGACGGTGGTGTCGAATCTGCTCTACTCAAGCTTGAAGGCAGGTATGTCCCAAATTCTTCGTCTGATAAGACAGTGAAGTCTTTCAATTTTGGTCATGGCGAGGACGAGTTTCCAGGCCTGATACGACAGCACATTACCCGCCAGGAGAGTATGGCGCTACATGAAGGAAGCCTACATACTTCGCCAAGTCAGCCTCTGGGAGAAAGTCCACTTCTTGGTGGCGAGACCAACAGATTTGTTCACAAAAGACACGGCGCCGTCGATGCTGCGGCGGATAGTCAGTCGAAGGTGATCACATCCAAGATATCAGAGGCCGCAAATTCGTCGATTGCAATTAAGGATTTCGCCCATCTCCTTTCGCCTAGCGAGTCTAATCGACCTGTCACACCCGTCCAGGTCGAGATCGAACGAGCCGATACACCGAATACGCCTGCCTCGACGTTCTTACTTGACGATGGAGAATCCCTTGTAGACCGGAATTCGATAATTGCTAGGCAACAAGAAGCAAAGCCATCAACCGACGCTGCACGTAGCTTCTTGTTCGATGCGGAAGATGGCGATGCTATTGAAGACTCCTTGGACCACTTTCAACCGCCTTCAGGGCACCACCCTCTCACCCCACCTACCACAGCGGATGATATTTCCGACCATGGGTTTGACCAATTCAATTCGCAACTTTTGCTACCTGGTCCGCCAACTGCAAAGCCCAATAAATCGTTCCGTCTTTCAGAACTGTTGCTCTCTGATCAATTTGCCAAGAGAGCGGAACACTCTGCACTCCCTCGCACACGCACACGCAATCTGCCCACGCATCACACGCCTTTCATCTTTGCACACAGCTCCGAAGCTCTCGCCTTGCAGTTTACGATAATCGAGAAGGACGCACTAGACTCCGTCGACTGGAAAGATTTGATCAATCTTAACTGGTCACAGAAGGTTTCCTCAGTGCGAGACTGGGCGCAGTACATTCGTGCCTTTCCGACCACTGTTACAGACGTGAGCAGCATTGATTTGATCATCACGCGCTTCAATCTTGTGATCAAATGGTGCATCTCGTCAGTTCTTTTATGCGGCACTTCCGACGAGCGAGCACAATGCATCACGAAGTTTATCCACATCGCGACACATTCACATCGCAGCCTTCGCAACTTTGCAACCACAGCTCAAATCACCATCGCTCTACTCTCATCCGATCTCTCACGACTCAGCACTACATGGTCAAAAGTCGCGCAAGCCGAAAAAGATGTCCTCAAGAATCTCGAAACGCTTGTCAGCCCCATGCGTAATTTCGCCGTACTCCGTACCGAGATGGAAAGCGCAGCAGCAGCTCTCAGCGACGATGACGTTTCTGCGGGCAAAGGAGTGATTCCATTCCTCGGTGTGTACACTCGTGATCTCGCACTCAATGCCCAGAAGCCTGCATTTATCTCGCCAGCTGGAAGAGCCTCATCGGACGAATCACGCGAAAAGCTCGTCAACTTTGAGCGTCATCGTACAACCGCATCTATCGTAAAGGGCGTCCTTCGTCTGCTCGACGCTAGCTCCAGATACGCGATCAAAGCCGATGCTGAGATCTTGGCCAAATGCCTTTGGCTCGCAGCTCTCGCCGATAACGATATCACTGAGCTTAGCAGAGGCCTCGAGAAATGATTGACGCCATGTTATACCACGATCCTCACGGAATAGATCTATCCGAGCTAAATGGCTCTTGTAATGTGTTTTTTTCTATGTGCTATTTTATTCTAGATACCCCACGTCATATTTTATTCGTTCTTGCTCCACTTATGTGCTCTGAGGACGAAATGTGATTTCACGTAGATGTACTATATGATATTGCGCGATGCGCGGGTGGCTACGAGACGGCCTCACTTTACCTTGGGCTGAGTCGATAGCGGCAGATGCCGAGTATCTTGCTTTAGTGGATGCATGGACAGAGGATTGTACGCATGTACGTGATTCTGTAAACGCTTGCAGATTTCGGGGGTGGAGTCCGTCAAGGGGTGGACCGGAATGCGGCCAGAGTCCAGACGCATCGATTGTGACGTAGTGCAACTGCCGTTGGTGCTTTTTGCTGTCACGGCAATGGGAAAGCACAACGGCATCAATTCTACGTAGCGAACCTCACCCTCGTATCATAAATTGTACGTAGCGAACCTCACCCTCGTATGTAGACGTGTATATCGCATCACAAGGCGAACGAAACATGGCATCTTGCCCACCGGCTCCGGTGACAGGCTCATCCGATCTGCCATACGATATTGCCCACGAGCGCGAATTCTACAAGTACAGCCCTCCGGGTACTGCAAATGCATCGGTTCTGCATAGGTAACTAACGGTGATGATATAGGTACTTTCATCCTCTTCGACTTGGCTTCACTGGCCGCGATACGCGCAACAACTTCAATGGTCGTCCAAGAGCCCGCGCATCCCCAGACAGGGCGTTGACGGCTTTCGCACAACTAGCCACGCTCCGTTTGAATTGCAAGCGTGCCGCCATATCCTTCTTCGACAGAGACAATCAATACATCCTCGCTGAAGCCACAAAGTCGCTCAGTTTACAGACCGAATCCGTCTATGACCTAGGCGATCAGATAGATCTGGGCGCAAGCATACATCCCAAGCGCGGCAGTATCTGCGAGAACTCGATCAACTTCCCTTTCGACACTGTCGCCGAGGGCAAAGACGAGTCCGTCTTCATCGTTCCAGACCTGCGTGAAGATGCAAGGTTCGGCCACCAACCATACACGACTGCACACAACTGGAGGTTCTATGCCGGTGTACCAATCGTTTCCCCAAATGGCTACAAGATCGGTGCCTTTTGCATAATTGATGATCAGCCTCGTGAAAGTCTCTTGCCGGGGGAGATCGCCTTCATGAAAGACATGGCCACCACCGTCATGCTACACATGGACATGCTACGTTCACAATCAGAAAGCATCAAAGGCGAAAGAATGGTGCACGGCTTGGGCTGTTTCGTCGAGGGTAAGGACACGTTGGGTGATTGGAGAGCATTGGGCGCCGATTGGGAAGCGTCTGGACATGCTCAAGACTCACCGTCTCGTTGGGCCGAACGTCAGTACTCCAGACACCATGACGAACCACCAGACATTACCTTGAACGATGACAAGTTTCCTCCATCTCCTGACGATTTTGGTGTGCATGTGGACATCCATCAATCTCCTTCGCGTCGAGGCTCGCATGTATCGTCTAATGGCTCCAATCAGCCATCGCCTATCCCTGAGGATCCCAAGGCTAAAAAGACTTCGCCGACGGGGCATCTTGCTCCCGAGGTCAAAGCCACGTTTGGGCGCGCCGCCTCCATCATCCGCGAATCACTGCAAATCGATGCAGTCGTGATTTTTGATGCAACCGCCCGCTCTACGTTTGGCGGCCTTGTTGATCGAGCAGCTGATGAACGACCTAAACGACGCAAGCTATCTTCCGCGTCAGAAGGAGGTCCATTCACTGCATCAGGCTCGGACGATTCTAGCTCGGAGCACGTAACGACGGAGACAGCGAGTAAGAAAGAAGACCTAAAGCCATCGGAAATTCTCGGTCTCTCAACTCCTGCTATGCATAATATGGATGAAAAGAGTCATGCAAAACTCACAGATGGAATGACCGAAGGTTTCGTGCGAACACTACTGCGCCGCTATCCACATGGCAAGGTGCTCAACTTTGACGACGGTGACCAGACAATAGTACCAACAGTTGCTGTACAATCGGAAGCAATGGACGGCTCGATCTCACCCAAGAGTACGACGAAAAAGCGAAAACGTCTAAGATCCAGCGAAGCGAAAGCCCTCAAGCATCTGTTCCCTGGCGTCCGCAGTCTTGCAGTTGTCCCCATGTGGGATTCTAATCAAAAGTTCTTCAGCGCTTGCATCGCGTGGACCACGGATCCACATAGAACACTCACAACTCATTCTGAGCTCAGCTACCTGTCAGCATTCGTAGATTGCACGATGACGGAGGTCGCACGTATCAACGCCGGAATTGCCGACAAAGCAAAGTCGGACTTTATTTCGTCCATCTCACATGAACTCCGAAGCCCCCTTCATGGTAGGTCTTTCGATACAATTCGATTCAATCCATGATACTAAACAAGCTCTTCAGGTATTCTCGGTAGCGTAGAGTGTCTCCAAGACTCGATCCTGGACCCATTCCAAGAAAACCTCGTACATACGATGGAAACCTGTGGAAAGACCTTATTGGACACTATCGATCATCTGCTCGACTTCGCGAAGATCAACAACTTCACTAGGAAGAGTACGCAGCGGCAGAGCAGTTCCTCGGATCCTCATGCACAGAAACAGAACTTTGCCTTGGATGCTGATGTTGATCTAAGCGTTGTGACTGAGGAGGTTCTCGAGACTGTCTTTGCTGGGCATGACTTCATCAGAGCCGGAAGAGAGACTGATCAGATGCCTACAAAAAACAAGCAAGCTGGAGGACAGTCGACAAAGCCAGAACGCGAGCAGAATGTTTCGATTGTCGTCGACATATCAAAGGCACAAGACTCACACTGGATCTTTCGTACGCAAGCAGGGGCCTGGCGCCGAATCTTGATGAACATTTTTGGCAACTCACTCAAATACACATCCAGCGGATTCATCCAAGTCAAGCTCGACAGCGAGCCATTACCCTCGAAGGATCAAGGCGGCTCATCCAAGGTCACGTTGTCTGTGACTGACTCTGGAAAAGGCATGTCCAAGGATTATCTTGAAAAGCGGCTCTTCACACCATTTGCGCAAGAGGATGCCATGCAGCCTGGTACAGGCTTAGGTCTAGCTATCACATCAGCGATCATCAAGTCTATGGGCGGTGAAATCGATGTACAAAGCGAACAGGGCAAAGGTACCAAAACGACAGTGACGTTAAACATGGTGCATGTTCCTCTTAAGGAAGAAGAGGTTGAACAAAGCGTTATCATGAGTGCAGCGAGGAGGACGAAAGGAATGAAAATTGGATTCATTGGGTTCGACGCAGACTCGTTTGAAACGGAACCCAAGCCCGGTACGCGATCACCGGAGAATGCAGGCCACCGGTTTATGTCTTCGTTCCACAGGATGTGTCAGAACTGGTTCGGGATGGATATGCAAATCACGCAAGGTCTGGATCAATCCGGCGTCGACGTGTTTTTGACAACGGAGAAAGGACTAGAGCAAGTGGAAACGCAACTGCACAAGCGCATGATGAGCAAGTCTGACAAGGAGGCTCAAGATAAGGAAGCTGATATCCCCTTGTTGGTCATTTGCAATTCGGTCGCTGCTGCTAACACCATGATGCATAATCCGAAAACAAGCGTTTCTGGAGTCCTGTCACAACCGTGAGTAGTAAAGCTGCATTGCTTCGACCTTGTCTTACTAACCCATGCCGCAGATGCGGTCCACGAAAACTAGCAAAATCACTGACACTCTGCTTGGAAGCACACAAGAACTCGAAAGATCCTGGTAAACCCATGCCGTCCGTGCGCAAGGCCTTGGAAGATAGCCTAGGATCAGACCTCAACGATAGTCCTTTCCGAAAAGTCATGGAGTCCGAGGACCACGCATTAGCCGTAGAAGCCGAGACAAAAGGCCGTAATGGGGATGCACCGCTCAAACATCCTCAACTGGACACTATGAAGATCGCGCAAGGCAGAACTCGAATGGCGAAACTAGACACTTCGTCCTCGAAGCAAGGCGACTCACCTTCGTCACCGGCACCAACAACAGGATCTACGAGCCCCTTTTCACGACACAATTCTGATGAGAACAAAAAGCCCATTCAAAAGATCTTGCTCGTGGATGACAATAAGATAAATTTACAGCTTCTGGTCACTTATATGGAGAAGAGCGGACATGCTTTTATGACGGCTAATAACGGTTTGGAAGCCTTTGAAGCCTATAAATCAGAATGCGAAGACAATGACAACAACAGTGATCAAATGGTGGATCCACCATTCGATTATGTTCTCATGGATCTATCTGTAAGCACGCCCCCCTCACCCTCGTCTTCCTCTCATTTGCATCTCTGACCCACATCATAGATGCCAGTAATGGACGGCCTAACCTCTACCCGCAACATCCGCGCTCACGAACGGGCCAATAACATCAAACCCGCCATCGTAATCGCACTAACAGGACTTGCGAGTGCGAGTGCACAACAAGAAGCGTTCAGCAGTGGCATCGACACATTCATGACCAAACCTGTCAAACTCAAGGAATTGGGTAAGCTGTTGGAGGCGGATAATCAGAAATTGGGCGGTAGGAGTGTGGATAAGGAGAAGAGTTTGTAGAGGTGATGAGAGGAAGAGGTGTTTTTTTGTTTCTTTGTTTGTATTATTAGGGATACTTGTAATCGTAATGTTTGCTGGAAGGTTTAGAGTTGTGGAGCTTTTTGCTTTTCTTGGTCGTTAGAGATGGGACGATGCATGTGCCTAGCGTGGTTATTCTTCGCGTGTTTGGTAGTAGGATTTTGTGTGATACCTTGAATGGGCAGGCAGTTCTTTCTCTTGCAGTACATTGATATCGAGTCTACATGTTTAAGTGGGAGACGAAACGCTCTCGTTGGATCCCCCAGCGTGACGTTTATAGTTATGCGAAATCAGAACAGCTACAATTTATATGAATGCTCACTGTGGTGCAAGCAGAATGATGGTGTTTCCATGAAGAAGTGATATACATCAGATACTCCAATGTAAAGGCATATCCTGCTGTCGGATCGATGGGTCAGAGTACGTGAACTGGCTCGGTATCGCTACTATAAGAACATCACATTGTCTTTCTATATACGCGGACTGTTGACATTCAAAACCATACCCGTGTTAAGAGTACGTAGCTATGTGGACATGGTGTTTACATTATGAGCCCGCTATCTAGAATCCTTTTGTCGTCAATCACAGTATGCCTCACTCGAGTGTAAAACAGTCGTACTCGTACGCATCAGAGTGGGAAGCTGTGTGGCCTAAGACAATATCATATGGGATGATTTTCTGCGTCCAACTGGTGTAGTCGCGATTTTGACTTCGAGTCGTGCTTAATATCTTGTTATACACTCAGGTATGTATAGAGATTGGGATAACCTGTTTGTAATAATGGGCATCTAAGAACCCTGCTTGTTGGATGTGCGAGTTGTCTTGACACTAGTGCCGACACCCGCGGTTGCTGCCATGTCGGGCGACGAGTGGCAGCCCTGGTGAATGGTCAATTCTTCTAGGAGGCGATGTTGATCCCCAGGACGTACTAAATTACCCCGCCTCACCCCACATGAGCGAATCGGGCAAACAATGCGAAACCGATAGGCCGACAGCCGAATCTACCTCGAACTCAGCTACGGTCAGCAAGATACAAAAGAGCTGTTGCTGACCTTCTTGTTGCCACACCACATTTCATTCTATCCATACTCAAAGCAATAAATAACTCAAAATGGCACCACACGCAGACTCAGAGAAGGCCGGTATTGCCCCCAACGAGCCAGGACTTGACGAGCCGTCCGCAGCACTTCAAGTAGGGAAGTTCCCCAAGTAGGTGTCTCCACATATTGCATATTGCCATGTCTCCTGACAGTGAAACAGGCCGCCAAAGTTTGCCGACAAGTATGAGGAGCGCGAATACCAGAAGGGTCGTCTAGCTGCGGCTTTCAGAATCTTTGGAAAGTTCGGCTTCGACGAGGGAGTGGCTGGTCACATCACTCTTCGTGATCCTGTGAATCCAGAGACCTTCTGGGTAAATCCTTTCGGGTGAGCAGATACTTGCAGCGTTGGTTTCATGATTCGGTTACTGATACACCAGGTTCAGCGTGGCCTTCGCCTTGATCAACAAGTCGGATCTCATTCATGTCAATGAGGAAGGCGAGATTATCGGTGGTGGCGAGACTAGACTGCTTAACACAGCAGCATTCATGATCCACAGCGCCATCCACAAAGCGAGACCTGATGTGATCGCTGCTGCACACAGTCACAGCATATACGGAAGGTCCTTCTGCACCTTGGGCCGAACACTGGACACAATCACACAAGATGCATGCTCATTCCACAATGACCACGTCTTGTATGAGTCCTTCAATGGCATTGTCCTTGCGGCCGAGGAAGGAGAGAACATTGCCAAATGTCTCGGTAACAAGAAGGCGGCACTCTTGCAAAACCATGGTCTCCTGACTGTAGGCAAGACAGTCGAGGAGACAGTCTTCTGGTTTGTATCCATGGAGAAGTGCTGTCAAGCACAACTGCTAGCGGACGCCGCAGCAGGGGGTCGTGGAGGCGAGACCAAGAAGATTGACGAGGAGGATGCCGTTTACACACGCAAGGCGATCGGCAGTCCCATGGCAGGATATTTCAGTGCCAAGCCACTGTTTGATGTGATTCACAAGGAGACCGGAGGAGATTACCTTCAGTGATATAGTCAGGGGCTCGTGTACGTATGTATGTATCAGGCGTTTGTTACAAGGACTCGTCTCGTCTAATTTCCGGGGCTGGAATCAGCCGACGTATTACAGTGATCCGGCGGTCGTGATATCAGCCGAAGCAGTTGCCGGATGAATCCTGTACCGGAGGAGCTGTCTGCTATGAAGTCCGCAATCGCAAGACACACAGCGGTATCAGCGTGAGCTAGAGATTCGGTACGGGAAGCGCGATGCTCCGAGGGTGAAAAGATGTTAAGATGATTGGTCCACCAAAAAGAGGCATTTTTGGGAGAGCATGAGGCAGAAATAGAACGGCAGAGCGGTTGTCGAAACGGGCAGAACCTGCTGTCGGCAGAGCTGACAGCATCCAAGAACAGGTGTGTGTTGGTTCATGTGCCTTTTGGACAAGTTTGTGTCATCAAACAATGTAGGCAACATTGGCGGGTCTTGGGTGTTTTCGTGAGGCTATGCGGCTGCCGGAGATTCGGAGGTAAGCATGCGATTTGGGACGTGAAGATTTGCTTGGCGACAGGCACCGGTAGGACCGTAGGAGATGGTCGGTGTCGGTTCAGTCGCCGATTGATCATCAAGAAGGGAAACTCTCTTGCTTTTGGGTTTTGGGTTCCGTATCTGATTGAAGCTGTACATGCCATCCTCTATTTCACTCTTAGTGCTTTCCATATCACATACTCATTCACTGTCCCTTACAAAACCAAAAGCTCCGGAAAGCAGATCGGAAGCGACATCGTCATAATCGACGACATCATCGCGGCAGCTTGACACACGGGCATAGTCGAGACTCTGTCGGGATAGTGGATAAGACAGCATCAACATCAGGCGACTGCTAATTGCACCATGGCAAAAGCACCAACAGTCGTGATAGTCGTCAGGTAGGGCCGATTGATTTCGCATCAGCTTTCAGGAAGCTGACTTGTCGCCAAACAGACATGGAGCTCGACTGGATGCCGCCGACAAATCATGGCATCTCACATCACCCACGCCGTACGATCCGCCGCTCACGTACGGCGGTTGGATTCAATCAAGAGCACTAGGCCTACGCATCGCCAGCTTGCTCCATGAACGAGAGAAGGGTTCCGCCTCATCAGGCACCTCGTCGCCCGCCGGAGCCACGTCTGATAGCGCTCCCGTCATCAAGGACTTCGGCATTTCCGAAGGTGACTTGAAAGCCAGGATGGCGTCGAAACCGCAAACAAAGCGTCGGAAGCACAAGGTCGTCATACATTCATCGCCGTTCCAGCGATGCGTCCAGACGGGTATCGGCATCAGCGCCGGCTTGTCGCAGTTCCAAGGCTTGCCAGCGAACTCCAGAAAGAGCAGCGATGCGCGCATCAAGACACTCAGCCAGCTCCGTTCCTCTCCCAGTCTGCGGCCAAGAGACGCTTCTGCATCGCCTCAGTTACGCGCAGTTCCCGAGGACCACTCCGAGTCTCGCGAGTATTTTCGTAGCTCACTGAAAGAGCAGAAGGAGCCTAAACCATACACTCGCGCCACACTCCGCGTGGATGCCTTCCTGGGAGAATGGCTGTCGCCCGACTATTTCGAAATGATCACTCCGCCGCCAAATAGCACCTTGATGGTCACAGCTGCAAAGGCCGAGCTTCTTCGTCAGGCTGACAACATCGAGACGTATACGCCGTCATCACCTGTTGTGTCAGGGGGCAATCTATGGGGCAATGGCCAAGCCGCACGCCAACATTCAAGTTCCGTCAGCAATGCACCCTCGTCCCTGTCACACGAAACAGATGGTCCCCTGGAGAATTGGCAGGTCTTTGCGCGAGACCTGCCGGCAAGAGATCGCACAAACAGCCTTGGAACAAACAAATCCGTCGAACACTTCAGACCCGCCGTCACATCTTCCCCCACGATTCATAGGAATGACGGCTCGTCCGGCTATACTCCGCCAACCCCTACTTACGCCATCTCTCCCGGCGATCCTATCCCCCGTGGTTACGTTGCGCATGCTCGCGATCAATGCGTCAAAGTTGATTACAAGTGGGATAGCATGCGTGAGCCGCGTTGCTGGGGAGATGGCGGTCAGTTCGGCGAGGAGTGGAGTCAGATGCACAAACGCTTCCGACATGGCTTGTCCAGCATGGTAGATTGGTATTCCACAACCCAATCTGAGTCTAAGCAGCCCGCTCAGGATGATCGTGAAGCCGTTCCCGAAGCGAGCGAAGGCGAAGACGAGGACGAAGATCTCGTTGTAGTCTTGGTCACGCACGGAGCCGGTTGCAATGCCTTGATTGGTGCACTTACAAACCAACCAGTGCTTCTTGATTTCGGCATGGCCTCTCTCACCATGGCTGTGCGTAAAGATGACCTATCAACAATAACTTCCACCAACGACCACTACTTGCCTGCGGACTCTCCAGCTTCTGGTAATTCACCTGCTCTCAGTCCCGCTGACACTGTCCAACGTCCGATACCCCGGCGACAGAGTTCCGTTGATTCTGGGTTGTCGTCTCATTACGATCTAAAGGTTGTCGCTTCATCGGAGCATCTGCGCCCAGGTGTGGATCCTACGAAAGCGCCTGTCCCAGCGACTGCATCTCCTGTTCTCTCTGCCCAAACTGTGCCTCAATCGCGCAGTCGTCGATTGAGATCTGCTAGTTCACATGCATCAGCGGGTGCTCCTGTCGACTCTAATTGGAATCTGCCAGAGCCAAGAGCCAGAATTAACAGCTCGCTTGGCAGCATGCGCCGTCCATCACGACCAGTCATCAGTCCTGTTGTCACTAGTCCCATACTCTCTTCCCAGATCAGAAATGACTCGCCTACTGGCTTGTGGAATGCGAGCAGTGCCAAAGACACCGACTCACCTAGCTTCCTCAATACTTTGGCACGATCAAACTCGTTAGCGGCACGTCTCTCCACTCGAGAGTCGACCACACCAGAGCGGTCTGTGTCTCCGAGAGCTGACTCAAGATCTACACCAACTGAACCCAGCACAACCGCTATCATGGAGGAAGCAAAGTCAAGTGTCTCTGCGCTTCCTACTGTTGAGGAAACCCCACCACCCAAGATAGCACGATCTCTGAGTCAGAAAGGACTTTGGGGTAGCGCTCCAAATGGCAGCACCCCTCGTGATGCGGGAGTCCCGAAGAGGCGCTGGACGGTTGTACAGGATTAATTTAGCGATTGCCTACTAGGCTCACGACTTACGGCGTTCCGAGGTTGATAGATAGAGTGTGCATAATCCGGCGTTAATCAGCACGCTTCCACCATCATCAAATGGTGGTGGACATGTTTTCCCCTCAGCAATGACACTTGATTACACTCCCACGACCGATTCGTGCTCTTATACCAGTTTCGCGATGTCAAGTAATTCTCATTGCGACATGGTTGTTGTGAAGCCAACATACTTGGTCAATAGCAGGGCCATGCACTCCATGCGAGAGTGATCGTCCCGATTCAATGATCACACATAGCGATGTGATTGAGGACAGGGTGATGCTGCTGGTAGAACAAATGGCGGCTCAAAAAGATCTGCAGGAATGACGTTTGGCTCGTCCCGCGTCCGAAACGCGTGGGGAGATGATCCAGTTCCGTTATAGCTTCCATCGCTTTGCATATAGGGCAAGCGCATCAGATCAAAGAGAATTATGCGGATTCTACGATACTTGTAGTTCGAGGACGGGCATTATCATCTTACATGTCAGTAGAGAAGTGAGCGGGATGTCGGTCAATAATCCCTCGGAGCAGACAGGCATAGGAGAGCCTGGTTCGCTGCAGCGGTCGAGGCCTGGCCTTTGGCGTCGTCCGCCGTTGCCGGGTTTAGCAAAAGGCCGCTCCTGCTTGGATCTCGATCGGACTCGCGTGAAAGCACTTGCGCACTTCAACCTGGACGTGCGTAGAACAGACTTGGGCGCAATCCATGAAGCAGTCGTCCGCCACCCGTCGTCGCTACCATGTGCTGACCTGAGATTACGACACGAGCCGACACCACATGATGCCATCCGAGGCTCATCTCGATGAGCTGCCACTCGAGCTCAGATATCTGGTCCAACTGGCTGTTGATGACAATCGCCCGACTGTGATACTGGACTCGACCAAATCACAGTTGACTTACGTCTTCAAGAACCTCGCCTTCCAACATGCCTTGGCTCAGGCGTCCTCACACGCCCTCGATGACTGGCTCTCTGCCGAGATGAGCAGTCCATGTTCAGCAAAGGCCACACTAGCAGGAGGATTCGCGAACAGAGAATGGATCAAGAAAGAGATTGGAGCATCATATGTCGTGATATACTGCAAGCACGAGTTTGTTTCGCCCCCAGGTGACAGTGGTGAACATGGCCCCCTCGATAGTCTGGTCCATGACTGGATCAGGTTTCCGGATCAGGTCCCAACCAATGCCTGGATACGTTATCTACTGGACTACGACTGGAGTAGCACTGCTATAGGTGCTGTCAGCGGCCCACACATGTACCAATGGCCAGCACCACTGCGGGAGATTATCATCAGTTTCATGCATTGTCCGAGGCCGCGCATCATCTATTGGGGCCCCGATCTCATTCAATTCTACAATGAGTCTGCCGCAAAGCTCTTCGGAGCCAGACACCCTGCCTCGTTAGGTAATACGCAAGCAGATATCTGGGGTCAAGATCTAAAGGATTACACGGCCGAGCTTATTAGAAGCAGTTGGGAAGAAGGTCAATCGGTCTACAACAAGGAAAAAATGATTCTACTTGATCGGGAAGGATTCCTCGAAGAGTCATATTTCGATTGGTTCTTGCTACCTTTCACCGGATCCGATGGTCACTGGATCTGCTCTGTGAATTGCTTCAACGAAGTGACACCTCACGTTGCTCGAACCAACAGAGATGAAGTCACTTACAAGCTTCTCGAAAAGACTACCCGTGCCACTGATATCTCTAGTCTTTGGGTTGAGTTCTTGGGTATTCTGGACGAGGAAGCTGACGATATAGCCTATACCCTTCTTTACACCGTGAACGAGACAAGTACTGCGCCTGGGCGAAAGGAATACAAGCTTTACGGTTCATCTGGACTTCGTTCGCATGCACCATTCGAAAATCCATCTGACGATATGATTCAGGTGTTCGAGCAGGCGCAAGGAGGAGAGACTGTCATATCGTTAACAGACACCGACTTCCCGCCGGAGCTTGGAATTACCATGCCTGACTCTGGCACAGTCACGTCAGCATTTGTCTTCACCATCTTTGATATGAAGGGCTTGGCACAAGGTTCTGTTGTCGTGGGCGTGAACCCTCGGCGACGTGCGGATGAAAACACGAAGCGATTCGTCTACTCGCTGAGCGAGATACTGCTCAAAGCGTTCATCATATTGCAGTCTCCATCCGATCAAAGGAAGATCCTACATGCCGATGATAGCCTCAGCTATCGCATTCAACTGGAGAAGCTCTCAAGACAATTGAGTATCGCAACTCTCAAAAACGAAAAGGATCAGGAAACATTCAGCCGCATGGCAGAAAACGCGCCCATTGGAATGTTCCTGTACAAAGGCGATGGCACACCACTTTACTTGAACGATCGCTTCCTAGAACTTCTAGGTGAGAAAAGGGATGAGTATTTAGAGAAAGCAAAGACAGGATATGCCTGGCGAGACTGCATCCATCCTGACGACGAAGAATTCAGCAAAGACGCTTGGAGAGCGGTTGCAGAATCCCATCAAGTACTCAACTTCGAATTTCGTGTCAAAGCAGGCACGGAATCGTCGCCTAATCGTGCCCGTTGGCTTGAAGTCGTCTGCTTCCCGCAACGTGATGAAAACGACGTACTGCAAACCTTCCAAGGCTATCTGACCGATGTCACATCGAGAAAGCTGACCGAAGCTTTGACGACCGAGAGGATGAATGCAGCAATAGAGACGAAAAGAAAGGCGCAGAACTTCATAGACATGATATCGGTAAGAGGACTCCTCCTTTCCAACACCAGCCTATCTCTGACAACTTCGCAGCACGAAATGCGCAATCCACTGAGTAGCATCATACAACTGACAGAATCCGTCATCTCGATCTCGCCCGAGACACTACCAGCAGAAAGTTTCGATACAGTTGCTGACGCGGCGCATACTATCAATATCTGCGCTTTACACATGAAAGTCATCATAGGTGCGTTTTGTGTCTGTTGAGCACGGAGGAAGTCTGTACTAATTCGTATCAGACGAAGTACTCACGTTCTCCAAACTGGACTCAAACCTCCTAGTGCTAGCTCCGGAAAGGACAAGACCTCGAGAGGTTGTTGAGAAAGCACTCAAGATGTTCGAAGCCGAGCTCAAAGATGCTGACATCGAAACTGGTGTTGAGCAGCTGCAGAGTGACTGCGCCGTTGGCGACGTCCTATGTGATCCCAGCAGACTATTACAGATCATCATCAACCTCATCACGAACGCTTTGAAGTTTACACGAAAGTCAGACACACGGCGCATTACACTAGCATATGGTTCTTACTTCGCGCCGCCGTCTGCTCAGGATTGCGATGTCCAATTCATCAAACCCAGGAAGAAATCCCAGGACGATTGCGACACAGTATCGGCAATGCTTGCTGCTCTAGATGCGGATGACGACGCCGACGACGTCTATCTCATGTTCAGTGTCACAGATACTGGCTGTGGACTTACGTCAGAGGAGTCGCAGATGTTGTTCCAACGCTTCTCTCAAGCACCGAAGACTTACAAACAATATGGCGGCTCCGGTCTTGGATTGTTCATCAGCCGCGAGCTCGTAGAATTGCAGAAGGGGCAGATTGGCCTACATAGTGAGGCTGGAGTTGGCAGCAAATTCGCTTTCTTCATCAAAGCCAAGCGTGTCGTACGCGTGAGTCGTTCTGGTTCCGTGGCTTCTGCCGAGTCGACCGTCAGTGTTAAGAACATACCGCACCAGTTAGGTGGTGCATTTGAGACGGTAAAACCCCTTGAGAAGATTGACACGGTGCCACGGCCGAAGACACTGGTCAAGGATATGCATGTCTTGAGTAGGTTGTTCGAACTTCTACCGTGGTCCTCGCTAATGTATCACAGTCGTCGAAGACAATGAGATCAACTTGAAAGTCATGTCCAAACAGCTACGCAAACTTGGCTGCGAAATCGACACAGCAGAGAATGGTCTGGAAGCTCTCAATTATCTGTCTACGACCACGTACCTCTCAAGCACAACCAAAGGCACGCCGCTAAGCATGATTCTGCTTGATATTGAAATGCCCGTCATGGACGGCCTAACATGTATACGTCGCATTCGCTCGCTTGAACAGTCGGGAGAAATTTCCGGGCACATACCGGTGATCGCCATCACGGCGAATGCTCGAAACGAACAAATCGCAACCGCTATAGAGGCTGGAATGGACTCAGTGGTCACCAAACCATTCACTATCAAAGATCTGGTGCCGCAGATGGAGGTCTTGGTTGACACCTGGTCAGGTCATGGATGAAGAGCTGTGGTGTCCGAGGTGACTCCATAGTGCTGAGGGCGGTCTCGGCTCTGTGTAGGCTGAGCGCCGCACTATATCCACTCCCGCATACTGCTTGGCAGTGCTTGCTGTAAAAAGGTGCCAGCCTTCCCCTTTTTTTTAGAGGTGGAGGCTGAGGAAATTCGTGCATGCTGACTCCCCGCGAAGCGTTCACCGGTACAAATTTCTTGGCTATATAAGCGCCCAAATCATCTAAGCCACATGATTGGTTTCAGCAACGACAGCCTCATCTCGAGCTGCCTGCTTGTTACCTTGATTAAATGCGGGTCGCTGCGTCTCGCTACAGTATTGGTAACATCACCACGTAGCGACACTAGGATGCGAGGTGCCTGCAGGTGCGCTAGATAAAAGAATCCTACAGAGTCCGAAGGAATATCGTGGCTCCTGTCGAGAGTAAGGCGCAATGTGTAGTACTTCAGGAACAAAAGTTCCTATACATCTCATTCTTGTGAACTTTGGCAAGTCCCATCTACATCATGACTTGGCTTCCGAGGTCGCTGTTGTTGACCCTCTGCGTGAGTACTGCGTTTGGGCTGCAAATTCCCCGACAAGCAGTCGCGTCTTACTCAAACACGTCAAGTGCAATCCAGTCGAACGATCCTTCTGCTTCGGGTGATTTTTGCTGTCAAGTATACGCTCCTGGAGTTTTCTTGGTTCATTGGTACACGGATCACGATGTCGAATATATCAACCAATACGTTACTACTCAATACTTGCGCTACAACAACACAGTGGTTCCTGTCTCTACCATAACCAGCTACCCTTCAACAGTGCTCCATGCAGGGGGATATGAGGAACATGGTGGTTATCCACCGAGAATCTCTGGTGTGCCCACCGACTTGAACGGGCAGTTTCTCCAGGGCTATGCCATGACCAATATTATGTTGGCAAATGAGACTGCGTTCACCGAAGGATCTACCATAATGTGAGATGGTGTTTCTCTAGAGTTCGTTCCAGCACTAGACTGATTTTGTTTGACAGAGCATCACCAACGCCTTTCTTAAACTATGGTCGTGTCTTTGTCTTTTCTGGCCAGCTGAACAGTGGAGGTACGTGTATGGGCACCTACAGGACCATTACATCTGACTCGACGTCCACCTCAACGTCCGTATACGATGTCGCCTCCGTTGTGGATACTTGGTTCTCAACAGCACAATTGGACCCGTTTAGGCCGCAGTATGATCTTTTTGGAGTTCAATCTACTGAGGTCGATCTCTCAACACCCTACTACAGTCTAGTCTCGACAGAATCCAGCTTGTGGACTTCAAACATTGTCGTCACTTCAATTGACGACAAGTTGTTTTCCTGGATGACAGAGAATCCGGAGATTCTGTCGAAAATCCCTCGCATCAAGAGCTGCTTACCAGGTTCAGGAGCTGGCGCACCTCAAGTCCACATTCGCGTCTCGTTCTTGACTTCGTCGGAGGCTATTACTAGCACTACGAATGCGATGTACCACAACACAGCCACGACTACCTCGGCAGCTCCTCCTAGTAAGACTACGACTCTGGGACCTATCAGCACGTCAAACACCATTCCTCCAACGACCAAGGCTTCTGAGACGCCCTCGACCTCCAAGACATCTGCTCGGCCAGAAAACTCGGCCACAACTTCCACGACGTTGGACAGCTCGGCGAATCCTCCGGCCTCAGACCAAATTCGAGAGACAAGGTTGCCTGAGCCGTCTGAGCAAGGAACTATCCCAGCCACTGAGGATACAACCCAGCGAACGACAGAAGGAAGTACGCCAACGACTGCAGCGCAACCTGGAAACAATGCTATCACGATTTCCCGACCTCCGGAAGAGACGAGTAACGAAGCGCCAACTCTCCAGCCCGCTGTGGATAGTCTAAAGCCGACTTCAGCGGGGTCTACAAATCCTCCTGTAGACAGTCCTTCCGATCGACCTAATCAGCCTATCAATAACGATCAAGCGACGACTGACCTTTCGTCAGCCTCGCCACACGATGACCCTTCTGATCGACCCACTCAGCCTACTGGTGGTCAAGGGACACCTGAATCACCACCAGCTTTATCTCAAACCAATCCTTCGACAACGGCTTTCGCTACTCAGAATGTCCAGTCAAGTAATCCAGTTGTGGTCATCATTGGGGATGTGACGGCAACACGACTTCCTCCAAGCACATCCGTAATCAACACGGCCGTCTCACCAGATGAGCCGATCTCAGAGGGCAGACCGACGAACGGAGCAACTCTGCAAACCTCTTCTTCGCCAACCAAAGCCGTGGCGCCCCCACCTGTAGTCATCGGCGACGCGACTGCCACTCAGATAGCTTCGGGTGCGTATGCTATTGGAAGTCAGACACTAGCGCCCGACGGATCTGCAATCCAAATCTCTGGTACGACGTACTCGATCGACTTGACACAGAGTAGTTTCGTCGTCAATGGAAATCCCGTCGAGGCTACAGAAGTTGCTGTCACTAAAACATTGACACTGGAAAAGGCGAGTAGTATGACTGGAGCACCAGTTAACTCTGCCGGATATGCTATTGGAAGCCAAACTCTACTCCCTGGAGCTTCTGCTATCGATATCTCTGGAACGAGTTATTCACTACAAACCGGAGGCAAAGTTGTCATTAACGGAGGCACTGTGGCAGTCTCGACTATTGGCCCTCAAACATTGCCACCTGTAGCTATCATCTTCGGAGAGATTACCGCTAGCCTTGTAGCATCGAACGTGTATGTGGTAGCAGACCAGACTATCAGCCATGGTGGTCCTGCTATCGAGATTTCTGGCACCACATACTCTTTGTCACCCTCTGGAGATGGTGTTGTAACCAACGGTCAAGCGGTGCCAATCTCTACTATCCAAGCTTCCCTTCAGCCTCCGGCGACTTTAATCATAGATGGCGTCACAGCCAGGCCAGAGTCTTCTGGTGCATACTACATCGTCGCAGGCCAGACTCTCAGCCCAGGAGCTTCAGCAATTGTGATTTCGGATGTGACGTACTCGCTGCCAGCATTGGGTGCCAGCATCATCCTCAATGGCGCCACTTCTCTTTTATCGACCGGTATCCCCACCATTTCAGCCGTCGTTTTCGGCAGCGCAACAGCAGTGCCGTTCCTTGCTGGCGGATATATTGTAGGAAGCCAGATACTCAGTCCAGGTGGTTCAGCCATTGAGATCTCCGGAACAACTTACTCTCTGCCAACTTCGGGAAGCTCAGTGGTCGTCAATGGGCAGACGACTGCGATACAAGCCATTGGACCGGAAGATGTGTTTACGGTTGGATCACAAGCATACACTGCAGCAGCTGCATCTGTGACGCCCCTCGTGATTGCTTCGCAAACATTAGCACCTGGTGGTGGCGACATCACGATCGGCGGTACTGTCTTCAGCTTACCGCCCGATGCTTCAGGAAATATTGTTGTGGACGGTCAGACGACGACTCTAGGCACAGCAGCTTCTGGAGTTTTCGGACTCTCGATTGGCTCACAGCAGTTGTCGCTTACGCCCCTGAGCTCTGGAGTTGTGATAGCCTCCCAGACCTTGTTCCCTGGTGGTCCAGCTATCACTGTTGATGGTGAGACTCTCAGTATCGCTACCCATGGGACCGCAATTGTGATTCAGTCTGGGACATCGAGAACGACGGAAGGACTAGGCGTTTATATCTGGCAGGGCATTGCAACTACAACATCAGGGCTTGTTACCAGTTCCGTGTTGAGGACCGCATCGAGTTCGAGAATTACGGAACTTCCGACGCTGTCAACTCGTCCAACGATTACGTCGGCAGCGACGAGTGCTTCTACTGAGTCTGACAATTCGGCTTCGGAACAGACTGCAACAACTATCAGCGATGGCCAACACAGTCCGAGCCAGAGCTCTGCCATGATTGCTGTGGCAATGTTTTTGCTTGCTGTCGTTCTCTTGTAGTCGGACCAAGATTGGAAATGCAGATAAATATCAATGGTAGTGGTAAGAACGATAAGGATACAGAGGAAATTCAATTAGCGTAATAATCATGATCGTTCTGATATTACAGATCTCTACAATCAAACGAGAAAGTGCGAGGTGATCTTCCTGTTGATCACCACAGGTCTAGAAAGGGGCAACTCGGGGTACAGCGACTACAGAGTGTGGTCGCTTGTACATGCAACAGATCATACTTTCGTCATAGTGTCTGCAGTCTCAAGGTATTGCTGCTGTTACGGTGCTTTCTCGTTCAAGCTGAAGATGTGCTTGTTTTCATGTGCTTGAATCATATCCCGCTCAACCCGAACACATCACGACATTGCAGTTGTCTTCGCGCTCGGTATCTATGAGCTCAGCATGGGATCTTTGATCACCCAATCCGATTCAATGTGCGTCTCGTTGTTATCTGGGGAGCAACCCTCCATGGTACGAGAGGGTAGTTCGTGGTGAACGAAAAGCCGGCCGCTTTCACGACATTCTGACGTATCGGTGACTTGCACACAGTGATGTTTATACACTCTGACGATTGCGCCTGTGATGATTGATACGACTACATATTCACCGCTTTCGTCAGTCTCATCTCCATTGCTCAATTTCAAATCAGCATCTCTGCCTTCCATCATCCACAGATTCTCATCCAACAATTATGGACTGGCTCGAGAAACGCAACGATGCAGTCAGAGTAAACGGAAACACCAAAAATGGAAAACACGTCGACATCACCATCACGACCCGAGGCTCCGACTTTTACTTTGCCATCTGCGCAGTCATGGGCTTTGTCGCTTTGAGCATCATTGTTGCGTCTGCTACTAAGCCACGTGCTGACCGCACTTTTTCTACATCACTGCTGCTGTTGATTTTACTGCTTGTATTGGTTACTTTGCCATGGGCTCAAATCTTGGATGGACGCCTATTGATGGTGAATGGCAGAGGACTGATGCTAAGGTGGCTGGTAGCAATTGTGAGATCTCTTACGCTCGGTATATTGATTGGTGAGTCTTGTCTTGATGCATTTATAAGCGTGGGAACTACTGGCATGGAGCTAGGTTCTTTACTACGCCTTTGCTGCTGATGGACCTTCTTCTTACTGCTGGATTACCTTGGCCCACTATCCTCTGGACTATCTTCCTTGACGAAGTCATGATCGTAACCGGCCTGGTTGGTGCTCTCGTCCGTACTCGCTACAAGTGGGGTGAGTGATACTTACGTTTACCTTCGATTCACGCAGAGACTGACGCTGTGCAATAGGTTTCTGGGCGTTCGGTACCGTCGCCATGTTCGGCATATTTTGGAATCTCGCAATCGGAGGCCGCAGACAAGCCAAACATCTCGGCAACGACATCTACCGCACCAACACTCTTTGTGGATGTCTTGCCCTCCTCATCCGGCTCAGTTACCCAATCTGCTGGGGCGTCTCCGAAGGCGCCAACGTGATCCCACCAGACTCGGAAGCGGTATTCTGTGGCGTCTTGGACTTTTTGGCCAAACCTGTGTTCTCGATTGTGTTGCCCGCTGGACATTGGAATATCAATCCTGGTCGTATGGGACTCAAGCTGAGAGATTATAACGAGGAGCCGAGTTACTTTGGACCTAAGAATGGGACAGAGGCTGAGGCTGCAAAGGAGAATGCTCGTCCTGATAATGCTATCGATGGGCCTGTCTAGAGTGCATTTCGGTAGACGACGTCGGTGAGACAATGGGTTACGACCGATGGTCGTCAAGGCCTCCGAGCTGGCGAATGGTCTCTGGAAATTATCGAGCATGTTACATTGCGTGGGTGGATTGGTGAAGTCTTTGTTTGGGTGATATATTAGGTCGGTTGGATCATCACTCAGTACATAGATGGATAAAGCAGCATGTTTTTCCGTTGCACTGCGATGACTTCGTGTGACGTCTTTGTGAATAGAGAAATGTTTACGATGACGTAAGACCCGAATACACTTTTCTATCAATTAGCATTTTAGCTCTTGCAGATCTCGTCGTGCCTCGGTAGTTGTAAAGTTCAAAGGGCATCATAGGGACAGAAGGAAAGATTGACCTAGAGGATTAAGATGGAAGCAGAGAAGATACCGCGATTCCCATCGTTCCTACCCTAGTAAATCATCAATGTGATTTCTTCACAACTTAGACTTGTGATCTTGTTATACGAACTGCACAACAAGAAGACATCACTTACCAGTTCAAGACTTCTGTTTGAAGGAATCGACATCAACAAGACGACAGAAACTTTAAACAGCGTTTCAATTACGCCATCGAAGTAGAGGAAAGCACGACTCGACATGGCGACCATAAGTTCAAGTAGAAGAAGCAGCGGAGAGCACGTTCAACCACCGCAACGCGTCTCGATAGGCAGAGGAGGGAGAGGAAATCTGAGTGCGTGTTGTTGCCTTATCTTGCTCCATGGCCGGGCTTAGTGAAGTCATGGACTGACGCGTGTATCATCATAGTCCCGCCACAAGAGATCAAAGAAGAGTTGCAAAAGGCTGCAAGTAACGAGGATCATGATGGTAAACTCCTCCCATCGCCTGCTCAAGCCTTTCTCGGCTGCTACTGGACATCTGTTTCCAGTGCTGATTTTGAATACTGACATACTGCGACAGCACTAGCAGAACATGGCCGTCGAAGATCAAGTAGTTGGTCGTTACATTCGAATAGCAGTAACGGGGCATCGAAGACAGAAGCGATCAAAGATTTCTTCAGGAGAGGTAGCCAAAGTAAGAGGAAGAGCATCAGTCAGGATGAGGCCGTAGAAGGAAAGGGAGAGGTCGAGAAGGCTTGACCGAGACGGCTGCACGAAGAAGATGATGACCAAGGTTGATGACCGCGGACGGCGTTATAATGGGCATGGCAATAGTTCTCGGTATCCTAGACGTGAGACTTGGCGTATTTGGTTATGATTGATCCACATCCATCAATCTTGGTCGCCAGGAGTTCTAAGAAGCAGATGGGGGGCAATCAAGGTGTTGGGGCCGCACGGCCTGCTTCGCCATCCTCGCCACTTGCACTCTCTCACCTAGCGGAGCATCCAACGACAGGTCACATGCTCATTGCTAGTCTGCTATGCTTAACCAATTTTTCGATACTCTCCTGGGCAGTGCAATGTGTTGAGTACTCATGTTCGAGGCTTGACTTCCAATGTTGTCGCGCCAAGTGAAGCGTTGACGTCGTATTTCGCGCATTTCTTCGCTGATGGCCAACCCATAGAAAAGAACATGAACTCATTGTGAATTTGGACATAAGATAGACAACCGGCAAGCCAAGGGTTGAGAAACATCTCCTTACTCCAATCACCATCAAGATGGCGCTTGCCGCGCTTCCTTACCACGAGCCTGACATCGTGACAGTTCTCATCCAGGCGTCCTTCTTACTCGTCCTCAATGGCATCAATTGGGTTCTTGATAATGCCATCTACTGTGGTCTTGTGGGTCAGATTCTGATCGGCGTGGCCTGGGGTACGCCGGGTGCCGAATGGCTGTCGGAAGAGATTCAGAATACTGTAATGCAGTTAGGCTATCTTGGTTTGATTCTCATTGTTTACGAAGGTATATCTACCCCTTCTGATCATGCTTGTTTGTGGCTAAACAACAATTTTGCAGGTGGCCTATCGACGTCTTTTGCATCCCTTTGGTCAAACATCTATCTTTCTGGACTCGTAGCTCTTATTGGTATCACCTTGCCTATCGGCATTTCGTATGTTTTGATGGGACTGCTAGGGGCAACTCCCGTTCAGGCTTTCGCTGCTGGAGCTGCACTCTGCTCGACTTCTTTGGGCACCACCTTCACTATTCTCAGCACCAGTGGGCTCGAGAAAAGCAGACTTGGCGTGATCTTGTCCAGTGCTGCAATGCTGGACGATGTAGCTGGCCTCGTCATGGTGCAAGTCATCTCCAACCTTGGGCAATCTGCCGACTCCTTCTCTGCCGTCACAGTGATCAGACCAGTGTTTGTTTCCATCGCCTTCGCGGTCATCGTGCCCGCTGTCTGCTGGGCAGTGATCAAGCCTATCACCAAGCGTATCTTTGCTCAGACAGCAGCCGCACAGAAAGAACAGTCAAAACTGCGTATTTGGGCTTGCACGCCTGTTGCAGCTTTCATTGCCCACACTTTGGTACTGTTGGGTCTCGTTACTGGATCGACCTATGCGGGTACATCCAATCTCTTCGCAGCTTATATTGCCGGAGCTGTTATCAACTGGTGGGATGCTCTTGTCAGCACTACCTTGCAAGAGCAACGCACTGGAGCCGTCGCGGAAAACAAGAAGTCCAAAAGGAAAAATATCTCTCCTACATCAGCAGACGGCGTCGCACATTCAAGTTCTCCATCGTCTGAAGAGTCGACTTCGGAGACCACCGCGACTCAGCCTGTATCCGCGACGCACGAGAAGTTGAGAGGTGCCGTTATCTACGAGCACATGTATGCACCAGCCGTGAACGCCATCTTGAAGCCCTTCTTCTTTGTTCGTGACTCTATCTGTTCTTCTCGCAAGCTCTTTTACTGACTGATACACAAGGCCTCAATCGGCTTCTCAATCCCCATTACACAGATGTTCAGCGGTGCAATCGTATGGCGTGGTATCGTCTACACCATCCTCATGATTGTAGCCAAACTGGCCTGTGGTCTCGTACTCGTACGCTTCTCAAGCACACCAACAAAAGTGCAAATACCCGAGAGCCAGCAAGCCATCGAAACAGCATCAGCCAACGAAACTGCAATTGCTTCACCTACCGCGCAGCAACCTCCCTCAGCAAACTCCAAGCGCAAAAGACAAGCGCCCCGTAAACTGCCAAAGCCACAATCCCTATACCCATCCCTAATGTTAGGAAGTGCAATGGTAGCACGAGGAGAAATCGGCTTCCTAATCTCCTCATTGGCAGAAAGCAATGGCGTCTTCGGCAGCACAGAAGACGGTAAAAGTTCAGATATTTTCCTCGTAGCGACCTGGGCAATTCTGCTCTGCACAATCATCGGTCCTGTCAGTATCGGCACAATGGTAAATAGAGTCAAGAGACTTCAAAAGGCTAGAAAACACAATACGGCAAAACCTGATCCGTTGGGTGGGTGGGGAGTGGAAGGCTAGATTTTCTTTTGCACATTACTAGTTTACGATATAGATGATCAGATATTTTCAAGGACATGACATGGGTTTTTCAAAATCTTGTTTTGGATGATTGCGCGTTGAGTAGAAAAGAAGGTTAAATGGTTGCTTATCGCAACGGTGATAGCGTCGACATGGCGTTGAAGAAATGAGCTGAAAGCTGACAAGGATTGATTGTCGGTCAAGGTTTTTGGTAGCCTCGGCTGGAAGATTTGTTGGAACAAAGAACGCGAGAGCTGAATATACGAGTATGGGGATGTTTGTACGCGATGGCGTAATAATGTTCATTGTTGACAGCTGTGGTGAGCCGAGAGTAGTATGGCAGAATCTACGAGGTTGATGGAGTCGAGACGGACAGAAGCCTCGCCTTCTGCTCAATGCATATGCCGGATTGAGTGTACTTCTTCAATCGTTCTGCCATCTGTAGTCTCTTCGTATGCCTTTTCACGATGTCGTCGGCTTCGGCTTGACCTCCCACAATCAGTCTTCTTGCTTTCCCGACGAGGCCACTTCGTACACACCATGTTCAACCATGTACACGGTGCGGCGACTGGACATCTTGTAGGTGATGTGTATGTAGTCCATAGGGGCTACTATCATCGAGCGCGACCGAGTCTTTCGTTTCTTGCCAATTTTTGACTGTGACTGGACAAGATGCTTCAACCCTTGACTTCGACGGGGGTGTAGTCCAAGTTCGGGTCATCTAATTCTGACAGGCCCAGAATGTCAACCACGGCATCTCTGATGAAGTTCTGCTCTTCTGTTGTGAAGCGAGTATCGGCATCTTCGATCATGGCGGCAAGGTGGGATCGTCTATACGGACGTTGGTTGGCCAGAACCAAGTACTCGGACTTTGTGAGCTGGACTCTTGGACCCAGAGTCTGCATCAGCTTGTTCAGGTAGCGCGAATCGTTGTCGTATCGAGGATTATTCAGGAAGGGACGTTCTTTGTCGTTGAGATGTTCCTCATGCTGGTACGTTGTGAGCGCAATAGATCGGAGCGAGTAAGATGAATCTCCGAACCTTCTGCAACGCTTTCATGAGGTTTGCGGGCCTGAAAGTGCTTGGGCGACCCTCTTCCTTGGACTGCTCTTTCTCGGCTTTGATCTGAAGGCGCTTGTCGCGAATGAACTTGAGGACATCGAAGTCGTCGAGGACCTCTGTACCAGCATCGAGAATCTTGTAAAGTCAGCTAAGAAGCCGATTGCTCAGACTTGAGGCTCTCACCTTCATGTTGCGCGATGGGACAGGTCTGCTTCGAGTCCGAGTTGTGTGGATGGACTCGTCGGCGACAAATTCTGGGTCCGCTTTCACATGCCAGATCGAGGCCGTCGCGCTATCTAATCTAGATCATCTTGCTTGATCGAGATGGCTCGACTCACCGCCTTCGGGTCAAGTGGGGAGAAGCGAACGACAGCGGCAAGCGGCCCCAAAAGAGGAGCGGGACGAAACCAAGATTTCGCTCGTCATGCTGCATGGCGTTGTCACGTTGCGCAGCAACAGCTCAAAGAGTCCATCCTCACCTAGCAACCAGCGCCAGTCTGCGTCCCCATGTGAGCAAAGGCCTCATTAGTAGGCCTGTCTGCCCGTCGCATTTGATTTCTTGTAAACTCCTCCTTTTCAAAGTCTGTAGATATCATCTGTCTGCAAACAAACAATCTCCATCTTCTTTGCCAAATAAACTCCTCCAAACCATCCTCTCCACAGGCCGCTAGGCCCATATACCGAACCACAAAGCTTCGCTCTAGTGCGACGCGCCTGACCAGACTCTAAGACACTCTTCCGCCCGGCGGACGCGGCTTGCACTGCGTGAGGTATGAATCGCTTGCTTCCTTTTCTGTTATACAGTAATGCACACACTGATCCAATGCCCAAACAGATCCGGAATACCGAGATATTAACTTATCCTCGACCAACTCGACAACTAACCCTATCCGGACTCAATCTTTCACCACCAATATGCTGTCAACTCACAACCAGACCTCGAGCGTCCAACGACGACGTCAACTACACAGAAGACAGAACTCGCTCGAGGTCCCGATGATCAACACACACATGTCTACCTCGTCAAGACAACGTCCCACTGGCCACCGCCGTGGACTTTCTATCGACCAGGGCATGACTCTTCTATCACGACAAGAAGTAAGTATGTCAACTAACCAACAACGACCATCATCACAGCATTCAGTGCAAGAAACGCAGCAGCACAGACCTTACCAGCCGGGACTTTATCCCATGGACCCTAACCAACAGCACTTTTTCAGACCAGCCTTTGTGGAACAGGATATCTCTTCGGCAGAGCAAGCAAAGCAGGCCATCCTGAACCTCGAACAACATATCCAGACAGTATACCGCACATACGGATATGTTCCTCAGACACCACTGTCCCAATCACAACCTCAAATGCCCACTGCGCCAATCATTGTTGCCACGCGACCAACCACTCCTTGCTCAAACTACCAACAATCCATGTCGGGCCACCCTGAAGGACCTCTTCTTGACGTCTCGCCTATGCCCAACTCAATTGCGGTATCGCCTATGCACCAGGGAATGTCGCATATGCCCGTGCAGTATGCGAACGTCCCCGTTGTCCAGGTACAGGAACCTTTCCAAGACTCTCAATCCCTTTACCAGGAGTCATTCGCTGGTGACTACGCTTGCACGCCTTCGTACACCTCATCAATGGCCGATCCCAGCTCTCCTATGCGTTCGCCTATGGACAGCAAGTTCAACCCTATGCCTACCGTCTACGAAGCTCTTTCTCCTGCTCCCAGCCACAACACCTATGCTCACGATTCGATGATGCTTTCTGGTGAAGCTACTCCTAACATGGGCTACTACACGGACTCACCCCACAGATCTGCTGTCTCTCCTCGCGAGGCCATGCTGCAAAATCTCGACATTGATGCTACCATCGAAGACACCGGCATCTCGGCCCAGGATGTCCAGCGCTTCATCAGCCCTCAAGATCACTGCGACGGCAAGTGGACTTGTCTCTTCGACGGCTGCAACAAGAAGTTTGGCCGCAAGGAGAACATTCGTGCCCACGTTCAGACTCATCTCGGTGATCGTCAGTTCAGATGCAATCACTGCGGAAAGTGCTTCGTCAGACAGCACGACCTCAAGCGTCACGCAAAGATCCACAGTGGTGATAAGCCTCACAAGTGCCCCTGCGGCAACGGCTTCGCCAGACAAGATGCACTCACCCGTCATCGTCAACGCGGAGTCTGCGATGGTGCTCTTCCTGGCTACGAACGCTCTCAAGCCAGACGCGGTCGTCCTCGCAAGACCCCCTTTGACATCTCTGAGCGTCTTGAGAGAGCCGCCCATCAGAGAGAGATAAACGCACGCAGAAACTCCGAGTACACCGCATATGCAAGCTCTTCCGCCAGCGAGGCAAGCTACCCCAGCACCCCTGCTGCCAACGTCAATGACGACTTCGACGACGAGGACTTTTCCAACTACCAGCAACAACAGCAACAACAAGAAGGCAAATACTCTGTCGAAGAGCTCTCCCGCTACACTCCTCCCACCTCACCCTTCTCCGTTGGCAACACCTCCCCCAAGAAGGAGTACAAGTACACTGCCATCGACATCCACTCCCTCCCAGCTATGGATGTCAAAATCATGCCCTCATCACCACCTCAACTCCCCCACAGTCCCCCACCCAGCAGTCAATGCCCCAGTCAACCCTTCGGTTCCAGCAACAACACATTCTCCTTCTCCTCCATCGACTGCAAACCCATCATAATCGAAGAAGAAGAAGAATGTCTATCACCCGCAGCGTCCTCCTCAAGCCAAAGCGTAGATGAGAAAGACAACTTCTCACCCAATACCACTCATGCTGCTGAGAGTGCGTTCATGGGCTCAGAGGACATGCTCGAGTTCAATGCTAGCATGTACGGCGGTCCTGGTGACGCGCTGTTCAATGCTAGTCTCGATGCTTGGTTGGAAAGCCATTGAACAGCTTTACGATCACGACAGGGATGATCTTTTTGTGGATGATCAATTTATGAGGATGGAAAAGACACTTCACGTACATGACTTTTGACGAATATAGCATATTGACGAAGGACGATATGGGAGACATGTGCAAAGCAAATACTGGAAAGGGACAAAGGAAGATGATGTATCATGATTTTCTCTGAGCGCAAACGAGACACAGCGGGAATGGTTTCTTGATATATGTTATGCTTTTTTACATGGGAGTTTTCTCGAACGTTTCGGTATAGCGAGCCTTTCAATGCAACAACAGCAATGAGTGTTTTTCGGATGCAATACTTTACCTCCTTTTCCTCCATAATGACATGACGGTAGAAATGTCAATCTTTCTACCGGTCGAATCTCCCATCTCCCGTCCAGCGAATTGCGATAAAGCCGCTGTCTCTCACCTGTCTTTTCTGCCTGCCAATGATGTCGAATAATATTCACCGAGTCTTTGGAGGGAGAATACGATCAAGGGCACCCGTATTCGATGGGGGATCAAGTGGTCACTGTGTCAACCAGAAAAACACAAAAACACACGGACACACATCCATGCACACTTTTTTTACACCCGTGTGGAAGGAGCATGCAAGGGTTTCAAGATACATGTAGCACAAAAACATGGCAATATGCAGGCGTGGTGGTCTTTTGGTCACACGCAACACGACCAGCACAGCTGGTTTGATCACCAGCGTACCTGAAAGTATGTCTGCCCGCTGATTTAATTCTCCGTACTTGCATCTCAACCAAGTGTCTCTTACCATGTGTTGCACAAGTCTTTGTTGGGAAAGGGAAAGGGAAAGGGGAAAAATCTTGATGCATGATTAATTTCGGCATGAGATTGCATCCGATACTCCGAACCAAAAGATTTCAAGTTTTCGGCCGACTCTGCCGACCACTTTTTCTCACCGTGATGGGTGATTTTCAGTAAACGGGAACGAGCAAAGCAGAGTTTTTCTTCTTGCTTGGACGGTGAGGGAGAGAAGGGCCGGTGAAGTAGAAAAATGGTGGCTCCTTTTTTTTATCGTGTATAAAGGAGAGCATAAATTGATGGCTGAGGCATAACAGGACAAGAACCGTTATTTGTTGGCGTGAAAAGAAAGAAAGCGTCATGGGTCGTGGAATACCTAGGCAAGCAATTGAGATGCTATCGATTGACTCTGCAAGTCAGCCTTATTTGTGAAACGAACATGAGGCTTGCATTGCCGTGACAAGTCACAATCGATAGATGTAAAAGTTACGCTTGTCGCCGTGGTTTCATACAACGGTGTATGTCTGCATAGAGCTGAGATGGACATAATTCTACGGATGAGTCGCTCGAATGGTTTTTGCGGAGGAATAGGTACGGGGGTCTACTTTTGGAAGGAATACACGACTCGGAGCTTTTCTGTTCGGTAGCCGCGATGATCGAAGCTTTTGAAATTGATGATCTTGATTTCAGGCATCAAGTTAGGGAGAATAGATGGGATTATACGAAGAGGATACGATAGGATCGAAGGAAGGAGGATGACTGCTAAGCCCTGCTACTCTTGCATGCACATGATGATGGTATGTTCCTGTTGTGCGTGGTGCATTTATCTACTGGCATGACGAGCGAGGCTTGGGAGAAGGCTGAGGGAAAGTTTTGGTGACGGATGTGTCAGCTTCCGAGGGCAGCCGGACAGAGCATGTTGATGGAACATAGGGCATGTAGAGCAGCAGAAGAGAAGGATAGACTCACTTCGAGCAGAGATGGTGCACTGGAGGATGAGTCGGAGATGAAGGAATAATGCACGCGAGCAGATGCAAAGTTGGTCGAAAGCGGCGGAATGATGGGATTCTGGTGGGCGTCGCAAATTGGCAGGACGGCTTTTGGCATTGGCAGTGGGTTAGCGGTTGCGCCGCTTGCCGGGAGACGGAAGTTGAGCCAAAGTTGATGGTTACTTCATAACTGCCCTCTAGCATCCTAAGCACCTGGAGCGAGCCTGTGACTTTTCTCTCGCCGACGCTTTCTCCTCGACATTGCTCGCGACTCGACAGGTGCCCGCCTTTGGTTCTGTTCTGTTATTATCACCACCACTTGCATCCCCGACTAGCCGTATTCCTCCGCAGCTGCCAAACAACAAAGCAGCAGGCAGACACAGAATGAGCAGCAAATACTTTGCCCTTGGGGGCGCCAGCAACGACGAAGAGTCGACGCAACGCTTCTTCACACGCAACAAGTTCCTCCCATCTCTACCGACCATGCTCCCGCACCGCCTCCGCCGCAAGTTCCGCAGCACGCGCTCAAAGATCAGAAGCAGACAAACGCCCACTTCGTCCATCTCGGCCCTGCAGACCAGCTTCAACCCAAGAGACACTCTGCGTTCGCTCCGCGACCACCAGTGGTCCGTCTACGATGCCCAATACCTCTTCCTCGCCGTCGTCGGCATCTTCGCCCTCTGCGTCATCCAATCGCCCGGTCCCATGGTCAAGACTACCGTGGCTACGCTGTTGATGCTGTCGCTGCTGTTGCCCGTCACGCGCCAATTCTTCCTGCCCTTTTTGCCAATTGCCGCTTGGCTCGTCTTCTTCTTCTCCTGCCAGTGAGTCACCTTTTGCGCAAACCTGCTCAGAATCGACCAGCTAACGCCTTTTTCCACAGATTCATCTCCGGCGAATACAGACCTCCGATCTGGGTCCGCGTTCTGCCCGCCCTCGAAAACATCCTTTACGGCGCAAATTTGAGCAACATCCTCTCAGCCCACAAGGCCGTCGTTCTCGATGTCCTCGCCTGGTTGCCCTACGGCATCACCCACTTCGGTGCCCCGTTCGTCTGCTCAGGCCTCATGTTCCTCTTCGGCCCGCCCGGAACCACCCCTACTTTCGCAAGAGCCTTTGGTTACATGAACTTGACTGGTGTCATGATTCAGCTGTTCTTTCCCTGCTCGCCTCCGTGGTACGAGAACATGTACGGTCTTGCTCCGGCAAACTACTCCATGCAAGGCTCTCCCGCCGGTCTGGCCGCTATTGATAAGCTCTTTGGCATCGACTTATACACTTCGACTTTCACCGCCTCGCCCATGGTCTTTGGTGCTTTCCCCTCGCTGCACTCGGGATGTGCCACTATCGAGGCCTTGTTCATGAGCCACACCTTCCCCAAGCTCCGCCCCTTGTTCATCATCTACACCGGCTGGCTGTGGTGGTCTACCATGTATCTCTCTCATCACTACGCTGTGGATCTTGTTGGTGGCAGCTTGCTTTCTGCCGGTGCCTACTACATCGCCAAGGGCAAATTCTTGCCTAGACTGCAGCCCGGAAAGATGTTCCGTTGGGATTACGACTACGTCGAGGTTGGCGAAGCAAGAGACGGCCATGCCTATGGTCTCACCGATTTGGCCGAGGACGACTTCCACCCGGCCAACTTCGGCATGGATAGTGGCGATGAGTGGACCATTGGCTCTTCGTCTTCGGTGGCCTCATCCAGCAGAAGCCCTTCGGTTGGTGCAAGGAGCCCCGTTGACGAGTCCTGGGAGGGCGACACTCTGGCCTCCACCTCGGACAATGAGTACTACCAACAGAAGCCACAACAAAAGTCATGAGTCGCTGATCAAGAAGCTTGTCGTCTTTTCCACGACTGAGCGACTTCTGTGACGGTCTCACGATAATATTTTCCTCAGGAAGTCTATGCATATGCGCGACTCGAATATTCGCCCGGACACATATCTCGCCTTGTGTTTATGACAACATCTTCGGGACCATTTGAAGCGTGGAGCGCTTTCTCTTCAACAAACCGAGCAGGATCTGAACACTGGAATATTCTATCACTCTCATCCTCATCGACCGGCAATTCTTGTGCATTTTTCCTGGATATGTTTTGTTCACCAGGAGTTATGAGTTTCCTTCTCGATACCCTTCTTCGTCATTCGCTACGACCTGTGTCTATTATTTCTTCTTATCATCAACTTTACGGCATGCATACAACGGCGATGGGGGTCCGACGAGCAGGAAATGTACATGTACGAGAACGCCAATAAAGCGAAAGGAGGGATTTAATGACGGAAAGGTTTTGTTCCCAAAATGGGAGTTGAACTCTGGGCAGCCTCAATAGCGCATCACATGCGCGAGGACATGTGCCTTTGAGGGTTTTTGATATACAAGCGATTGTTAGAGGACATCATACGTGGAGTTTTGAGGGTGCCGATTGGGCAAAGAGATGGGTAATGTGGAGATATTGACAAAGAGGAGATGAACATGGAATTGGGGGAGGAAAGAGGAAGGGAAGTGGCTGACTATCGGTGGAGCACCGAGGTGCTTTTCGGGTGGGTGTCTTCTCTTCCCCTTTACTGTAATGCATAATGTCCAAATGTTCGAATACAAATGATCAAGAATCCACGCTATCTTCCCATTTGGCCTATTCGATGTGCTGTGGTAGATGCGTAACAATGTACCTGGGAGACTCGAAAACATACATGCCACAAACGTCAATGTCAGCACGGCGATTGTTCTTGAACTGAGCCCTCCGGGGCTCAAATATAACAACACACAACTCAGAACTGATCCAGGTCACGTCTCGGAGCAACATAGTGTAGATGCAGGTAGATGTGGTACGAACAATGCTACCAGATAATACATCCAGGGTGGTCCCCTCAGCCATCCTCCAAGCACGGGCCACAAAATCTTCCCGACTTCGAGATATCGCGATTGACATTGGGCAGGCGCATACCAGCATTTACCTTACACACCACACATCACGACAGCCATGGCGCGCAAAGCAATTCAAACAGACCAAATCGTCAAACTCATCGTCGGCGCCGGCCAAGCCTCGCCCTCACCACCCGTCGGACCCGCTCTCGGATCCAAAGGTGTAAAATCTATGGATTTCTGCAAGGTGTGTATTCATCCTCCCACCTTATACATTACCACAGAGAAGACAAGGCATAGTTACTGACGAGAACACCACAGGAATTCAACGCGCGCACCGCAAACTACATCCCCGGCACACCCATCCCCGCCCGCGTAACAGTCCGCCCCGACCGCAGTTTCACCTTTGACCTCCGCACACCCCCCACCGCATCTTTACTCCTCCTCGCCGCCGGTGTCGAAGCCAAGAAGAATAAACTCCGCGGTGCTGGAAACGTGGCGGGCCCGAATTCCAAAGCTGGCATGTCTGGGCTGGGAAAAGCAAGTGGTGCGCAATTGGCAGCGGGGAATGGAGGCTTGGGTGTTGTGGGGACGGTGAGCTTGAAGCATGTTTTTGAGATTGCGAGGATCAAGCATGCGGAGGATAGGTTGAGTGGGTTGAGTTTGGAGGGGGTGGCGAGGAGTGTTGTTGCGCAGGCTGGGAGTATGGGGGTTGTGGTTGTGCCTTGATTGAGGGGAGGAGAAGGGAACACCACACGCACTCCTGGAAGGGGTCAAGCACGAGTCAAGAAGGAGACGGAGACAGTCAAAAGGAGACGAGAGAAAGAGAGGCATCGGCTTCTCTGAGCAGGGAGACATTACGTCCGGCAGGGTTTGTCGACTCTTGCCACGAGCGCCAAAAAAATCAGAGGTGAAGAGGACCCTGTCTCTCCTGCTTTATACACGCATTGGGTTGGCGTTCCTACGGATTTCTTCTCTTTCAACAGTTCTCCTGGGTCAGCAACTCCAGCTGCGTCCTAGGAAGAGCATTTTGTACATCACTTGTAAAAACATCATTTCAAAAGTCATCATCACATTCACTGTCTTGATAACAAAGAGTGTTATCGTAAGTTTGCTTTTGATCAACATCTACTGCTGCATAACCTGTAGTGACTCGGAAACCTTGAAAGGTGCCTCTGTCTTTGACTTGATCTCCTCCACAGTGACTCCCTCAGCATGCTCGATCAAAGTCAAACCAGTCGTAAAGTCAACATCAAACACAGCCAACTCGGTAATGATTCTCGAAACGCAAGCCTTGCCAGTCAGGGGGAATTCACACATCTTCATGATCTTGGGACCACCTTTCTTGTCAGTGTGTTCCATGGTCACAACCACTCTTGTTTTCTCAGGGTTGGACACCAAGTCCATGGCTCCTCCCATACCCTTGATCTTTCCGGGCATGGCGAAGTTGGCGAGATCGCCTCTTGCTGATACTTGCATGGCTCCAAGCATGGTCATGTGAATTCTGCCGGCGCGGATCATGGCAAAGGACTCATCTGAGCCGAAGACTGAGGCACCAGGGCGCAATGTGACTGTCTCCTTGCCGGCGTTGATGAGGTCGGGATCCTCCTGACCCTTCTGAGGATAGGCACCCAGACCAAGAATACCGTTCTCTGATTGGAGTTGGACTTCGACGCTTTCATCTACAAAAGCGGGTGCCATCATTGGCATGCCGATGCCCAGGTTGGCGTACATTCCATTCTTGAACTCCTTGGCTGCCCTTCGCACAATGCGCTCGCGCTTACTGGCCGCATCACCACTTCCGAGTGAGTTGAGGGCTTCGGCGGGGTCTTTTGCGTTGACTATCTTCTCAATGTTCTTTGGTTCTGTTGCTTGAATGACACGGTCGACGTAGATTCCAGGCACGTGTACTGATGCGGGATCGATCTCGCCGACCTCGACAATGTGCTCGGCCTCAACGATGGTCACCTTTGCGTTACGTGCCATGGCACCGTTGAAGTTTTGTGCTGCAAATCTGAACATGAGGTTGCCCAATTTGTCTGCCTTCCATGCCTTGATGAAGGCGTAGTCACCCTTGATGGCCTCCTCCATAACATAGCTCTTTCCGTCAAACACCTTGACATCTCTGGGTGTCGAGTATTGCGCGACTGATCCGTCGCTGTTGTGTATTGTTGGAAGCTCTCCAGTCTGGACAATGGTTCCAAAGGCGGCTGGGGTGAAGAAGGCAGGAATACCAGCACCACCAGCTCTACATCTCTCGGCAAGAGTACCTTGAGGTGTGAGCTCAAGCTCAATCTCTCCAGTTAGGTACATCTTCTCAAAGACCTTGTTCTCTCCAACGTAACTTGCGATCATCTTCTTGACCTGCTTGGACTCGAGAAGCAGACCGAGACCAGAGCCGACGATTCCAGCATTGTTTGACACAGCTGTCAAGCCCTTGATTGAAGGCTTGTTCTTGACAGCATTGATCAACGTGTCTGGTACACCGCAAAGACCGAAGCCACCGCAGAGTAGTGTGCTGTCGCCCTTGACGTCGCTGACAGCTTCCTCAGCTGAGGAATAGACCTTGTTTATTTCTGATCTTCTGGCCGAGGATGCGAAAGTGCGGAGTAGGGTATGAGGCTGGGCGTGGTTAGATTGGTGAGGGGCTCTGAGCACCGGTGCTTGGGTACCTTTGAGCCATTTCTGGCTAGATGTCCTGCTGTTCGCAGACTGAGAACGATTGAAGGCATGGCTGCGAAGGATAACCGAAGCAAGAGAACCGATACGCAAGAATTACTGAAGAGGGTGACAAGAAGAGGACAATATGAGAGATGGAAACATTTCCCTACCGTAGCTCGCCAAACAATGGCATGTGATGTGGAGGAACCGATGCCGTTGGTCAAGGGTCAAGACCCCGGACTCCCGGATTCACAAAGCGGCATCTAGTCACGGAGGGATTCCGCGACCGACGGGCCCGATGGCCGCCCGAGAGGGCGCCTCGAACAGAAGACCACTCGGTCGGAAAGCAAGCATTGATTAATCATTCCAAGACTTACATTAACATGGTCTGCGAACGGTGAAAGGCATGGGATCATGGACCAGCAAAAGTGGGATGTTTAGATAGAAATGCAAGGCCTTGAAGGAAATGTTCGGGCGAATGATTCGCCGTGTTTCGATTAAGGGCAAGGTGAATGAACAGATAGATTCCCAAGAGAAAGTTGGAGGCTGTCTTGCAAGTGTTGCTTGTTTGCAAGTGTTAGTGAGGGTGGACGTTTAGAGATGGAGTTGGGAGAAAGTGATTTGTCGCGAGCGAGAGAGCGGGTTGATGGTCGATGGTCTGAGCTTTCAGTGACGAACGCCAGTCTGATGGAGTGTGTAGCTTCATGGGCGGCGATTGCGACCATCATCGAGAAACATTCCATCTTCTGCGACCATTTCCATCACCGACTCTCGCCCACGTGCACACATCACCTCTTCGAACACTAGGCGACCAAACTCACATCAACATGTCAGAGAGCGACGTCAAGAAGACAATCCAGCAGCTTCACTCGCTGTCGGAGAGCAACCTCAGCAACGCAACCTCCCTGTTGTCACAAGCAAAAATCCAGCTGCTCAAGCTACACGCCCTCATACCAAACCAGAAGACCTCCCATCAGCACCTCGCTCTCGCCCGCGAGGTCCTCGAGATCGGTGCCTTCGTCTCGATTCGCCAAAGGGATCCCGAGTCCTTCACACGCTACTTCCAACAACTCCAGCCATTCTACTCATTACCTCATGAACGATGGGGCTCCCACGACAAGCACGGCAACCAGAGCAAGATCACCGGTCTCTACCTACTACTCCTGCTGAGTCAGGGAGATTACGCCGGCTTCCACACTGTTATTGAGGGCCTCGAGATGGCGTTCGGTGGAAGAAAGCGCTTGGACGATGACGCATTCATCCAATATCCTATGAGACTGGAGCAGGCTTTGATGGAGGGCAGCTACGATCGTGTTTGGGGCGAGACTAAGAAGGAGAGAGTGCCCAGCCCGGAGTTCGCTGTCTTCTCAGAGGTAAATGATGGCCATCCATCACCGCCTCTTGATCACCTCATGCTAACACGTCTTCTCAAGGTCCTTGTCAACACAATCCGCTCCGAAATCGCATCGTGCAGCGAGCGCGCATACCCTTCCCTGCCCATCTCCAACGCAAAGAACCTCCTATACCTGGACTCTGAAGGCGCTGTCATTCAGTTCGCTCAGTCGCGTGGCTGGGTTGCCAAGGAGGGTCGCATCTACTTCCCTGCTCAGCAAGAAGAGTTGGCACAGGGCGAGAAGGACATTCTCTCAACAAGCGACAAGGTCATCGAGAACACACTTGAATACGCCAGAAAGCTCGAGACCATTGTCTAAGCCACGTGCGCTACCCTTTGCGTCTTGTAATCTAGAAATAACCTAGCATGGCTTGTAGCGGATGTTGGGCAAGAGAACTCACATCTGGTCTTCAAGGCCCTTATACTTCACTTCAATCAAGGCTTCCTAGATTTCTGAATGAAGCCACGATATCACTCTTCAATACTCGATAGTCTTCTGCTACTAGGGTTCATTCTTTTCGTGACCCCTGGGCATCACACAAACCCTGCAAGAGTTCTTGAGCCTCTTGCCTAGGAATGCAATGTACAGCACGCCTCACCTTCCAGTGCTCAAACAGTCATGGAAGTTTAGATAGCATATGGAAATATTTACCGTAATAAGTCAAAGCAGATCGACCCTGTCGTTATGCTGGCGTAGTGTTGTGTCATGTTTAATCGCGACAACGGCACGAGCACCCTGTATGCACGGCTCGGGTCTGACAAACAGGTGATATCAGCTTGTCCATCGTGTTGGTAACCCCTACAGACTGTCTCGGCTAACAAGTAGTGTGAATTATATTGGATACCCATCATCTCGGGGCAGATAGGATTAGACCAACAGTGATGCTCTCAGCCACAACCACCTATACCAAGTAGTGTAAGGTACGGTCGGTAGCGTTACAATGATTCAGCTGGCCACAACGGTCAGCGTGTCGTGATGATGAATGAACGGTTGGAACGGGCTGTGAGTGATTCTGCTTGGCATTCTCCACGTCTACGAGCGCGATGTGCCAGCTAGAGACCTTCGCGCATCGCATCTCACGACCTTTCTTGCACCGGAACACAACGACTCCACATCATCAAAACGTCAGCAACTTCCGCTCGCCCTGCTTGTGTGAGCATATCGACTCACAGACATCCAAAGGCTTGCATCACGAACGTCTGGTGATTGCGCGCCATCTTATCAAGGTGAGTGCAGAAGCACCCAAGTGGTGGACTGGTCGGGCGACTCACGGACATGAGACTCGTGGGCATTGGAGTCTTGGCCAAGGCTGGCTACCGTGGGCTATTGAGGGGACCCTTGATGTGTAGTGTCGAGAGGGGGCACAACGAGCCGGCGGTGTCAATCGGGCGATCTTTGAGTGGTGGCAGTGGTTGCTTGCTCCTTGGGGGCCTCGATACTCGCGTAGCATTGGCTTTACACTACTTGGCCGGTTTAGCCATCATCAAGACTCGTTGTCCATTCACGTTCATTGGTGCATCTTCTAACGCAGAGTTGCGCTTTAGGCAAACCCCTGTCATTCCTTCCGTTGTAGTAGCTGTGCTCTGCACTTCTCCGGCGCTTGACAGCTCAACCTCTACCCTTCCGTTGCCGTACAATGGGTGGTATGTTCCCTAAGCCTCTCCCCATCTCTCCTTCCCCTCGTCACCCAAAGGCTTATCACTCAGCAAACAGACTCCGACTCGTACCGTCCCCGCGAGAGCGTAAGTTGACAGCTTCCCATGTTGTTGTTTGTGTGTTGCGACCGTTGGCATTGGTGGTAGTGGCAGTGGCAGTGGCATTGGGTGGGCAGCTACGATGTTCGCTCAGTGGGAGGTGTGTCTGGCGAGGAAGCTATGATGGAGCTTGACAAGTCGATGGGTCGGATCTGGGCGGTTGTGCAGTCGCGACCGACTCGTCGCAGCGCGTGCTGGGAAGGCGCGCTGGAGGAAGGCATAGGCACCTGCCGCGGTCTCGAGCTTCTGTATCGAACTGGAGGTGCACCTGCATCTGCGCTGGCCTTCACTTGATCACCCTCACTTCGACATCACTCGAGCTTGTCGCCTGTCACCTGCGATCACAGCTCTTACCCACCCGCACTTTCGAACTACCCGCAGAGAATGAGAATCTCCGTCAGAAAGCTCCCAAGTCGAGAGACCAAAGTCGGTTCCGCTGCTGAGCTTCATCAATCGCTTCACACCTGCCTGCCTACTGCTCACCAATGCTGCCTTCACCAACACCTCACCGCCGCTCTGATCAGTTACCACTAAGGCTCCGTACTGATCCCACCCAGCGTGACAGATCTCGCTCGCGCCGTCGCTCCCGCAGTCCCGCTCGTCGCAGCAGTCGCCGATCTTACTCTCCCAGGTCCCGCTCACGCTCGCGTGACAACTACAGAAGAGACGAACGTAGATCCCGCTCTCCAGTCAACGGCTCCGCCGCCGCTCCCGGTTACGCTCCCAACAACGCCTATCCTTCTGACCGTGAAGGAGGTGCTTCAGCAGCTACCCCTAGAAACTTTGAAGAGCGCGTCGTCGCCAAAGAACAAATGATGCAGACTGTGCGCGAACACTCTCAACAAGACCGTCGTGTCTACGTCGGCAACCTCTCCTACGATGTTAAGTGGCACCACCTCAAGGACTTTATGCGCCAAGGTAAGCAAGATTGGGAGTACAGACACATGCTTGGATACATGCTGACAGTCCACAGCTGGTGAGGTCATTTTCGCCGATGTCTTGCTTCTCCCAAATGGAATGTCGAAGGTGGGCTCATGATTTTTTGGCTGGTTTCCCTGGCTGGTTTTTTTTTTTGAGGACAATGGATTGACGGAAGGACTTTGTTCCGGGTGATTGTAGGGATGCGGGTAAGCTCTGTCCAAAGCTCTTTGTCGTCGACAAATGCTAACATGTGACAGAATTGTGGAATATGCAACAAGAGATCAAGCTCAGAACGCGGTCAACTCTCTCTCGAACCAGAATCTTATGGGCAGACTGGTCTACGTCCGCGAGGTGTGTTACAATCCCTCCTTTGGAAGATTGACCTTTTTCGCTCACCTCTTCTCTCGCAGGATCGTGAAGCAGAACCCCGCTTCAGCAGCGGCGGTCAAGCCGGCGGTATGCGTGGTGGCTTCCAAGGAGGCCCCATGCGTGGCGGCTTCGGTGGCGGCGGCTACGATGCCATGGGTGGTGGTGGTGGCCCTGGCATGATGGCTGGTGGAAGCCGTCAAATCTACGTCTCCAACGTTCGTCTAACATTCCTAGCAGCAAAGTAATGTTACTAACTGTGATTTTAGCTTCCCTACACTGTTGGCTGGCAAGATCTCAAGGATCTGTTCCGCCAAGCAGGTGAGTTGGAACGCCTCCTGAGTATCCGCCAAATTTACTGACACCTGATGTAGCTCACACTGGTACCGTCGTCCGCGCCGATGTACACGTCACCCCCGACGGCCGTATGAAGGGCTCAGGTATCGTGGCCTTCGACAACCCCGACGATGCCCAAGTCGCAATCCAGCAGTTCAACGGATACGACTGGAACGGCCGCGTTCTCGAGGTAAGAGAAGACCGTTTCGCCGGCCCACCTGGCTTTGGTGGCGGCCGTGGCGGCTTCATGGGTGGTCGTGGAGGTTTCGCAGGCCAACAATTCGGCGGTCGCGGAGGTTTCATGGGCGGTCGTGGCGGCTTCGCAGGTCAGCAATTCGGAGGTGGTCGTGGCGGTTTCCAGGGTGGGTTCAACGGTCCTCCTCAGGGTGGCTTCCACGGTGGCCCCCCTGCCGCACCCGCTCCTCCCAACCCATTCACCGACTTCGCAACCTCTGGTGGCGAGCCTGGTCCGGTCATCTATGTCCGCAACGTGAGTCAAGTTCTCTCACACCGCTCCGGTGATACAGTGTTAACAAGAATAGCTTCCTTGGTCCACTAGCAACGAGGATCTCGTCGAGCTCTTCACCACCATTGGCAAGGTCGAGCGTGCCGAGATCCAGTACGAGCCTAACGGTCGCTCGCGCGGAACCGGTGTCGTTGAGTTTGGTAGCGTCGACGATGCAGCCACTGCCATTAGTAAGTTTTTACCTCATGTTTCACAATTGCGATATCTTCTAACAACTCCTCAGCCAAGTTCTCTGGTTACCAGTATGGTGGCCGTCCTCTCGGCTTGACATACGTCAGATACTCCAACCAGCAACCTGCCATGGACCCCATGCAAGGTCAAGAACAGACGGGCGGCATGCCCATGGGTCTCACCCAGGACCAAATCATGTAAACCTGCTTCACGCCTATCGAAGGATGGTTACGAAGACATCTTTCTGAAGCAATGACTTAACTAGCATCTTCTTGACTGCCAATGCTGTCTAACGATCAAACGGTATCTGACAAGTGATGGCATTACGGGTTACATATGATATGGTTGCACCACTCAATCTCAGAATTGGTCATTTCCTTAGCTTTTCATTAGTAAACAGATAGCTGAAGGTATACCCTTCTCTTCTTTAATGAAAAGTCTTGTTTCTATAATTCTATAAACGTGTGCCATCGTCTACTCTGGTCTGAGAAGGAAGCAACACGTGCATCATCCATTCATATACAGCCCATTGCACTGCGTTTACAAAGAAGGCTCTGAAACTGCAAACACCCAAGCCACGGAAAAAGACAGAAAGGCCCTCTTCTCGATATGCCCGTCTTGCGATCTGCATGGTACTCGAGCGACCCGAGTCGCAGGATGGCAGTACAGACTGCTCTCCCGACGGTGTACCAGGCCGTGACCTTGTGATATTCTGGGTCTGGACTCTGGTCTTGATGACATCTACACAATCCGGTCAGCGTTCTCCACAAACAAGGTAAAGAGGAAGTAAATGTACCCAAAGGAAAGACGGAAGCCCACGTCACCACACCAGCAATACCTCCACAGAGTAAAATGGTCATCCATTCTGGCTTTTCACCTTCTGCCTTTTCCGAGATCAAGGCTCTTTTACTCAACTCATACGACCAGAAACTGTGAATTGTATCAGCATTGTCTTCCCATCAACAGATCTGACCTGTCCCCAGAAGAAGAAGAACGGCAAAGCAAGGAACAGAAGAGACATACTAAAACCCGTAACCAACACTATCTCTCAAACTCGTGACCCCACCACCCCAATATAAGCCCCTCACACCCCTCTCCCTCCACAACTCCCTCGCAATGCCCCAAGAACTGGCTCCACTCCCACTGACCTGTGCTCTACATTTGATCAATTCTGTAGGTGCAGAAACCAGGAAAGTTGCAAGACCTCCTAGAGCACCAGCAAGCCAGGTTTTTGAGAGCGAGGTGGGATGGGAAGGGTTTTGGTGCAGGAGGTTCATGCAGCGGTTGTAGGTTATGAACATCAGAGCGTTTAGAGCGCCGTAGCCGAGGATAGGGGCCGCGGTGCCTTTGAGAAGGGTGGAGAGGTTTTTGGCTGCATTGGTCGTTGTCGTTGAGGCTGGTGTTGCTGGGGATGTGGAGGTAGGTAATAGGACTGGTGATGATGATGTTGTGGTTGTCGAGAGAAGAGGGGCGCCACGGTCTCCTCGTTGCAGGTTCACTTTCACTATGTCCAAAGGGTTTCCAATTATTATACCGGCTGCTCCGGAGACATAGCCGGCCCAAAAGTCTGCGGACATTGTTTGAGGTTGTGTAGGGTTAATGGTATGGAGACGTGGAGTTGAAGATGGAGATCTGGGGTGGCTTCGAGGCCCGAGGCTTCAGTGATTAGAGAATGAGAAATGTAGCCGAGGAGTTGTGGCCATGAGTTATGATATTGATGAAGTATCTAGTATAGATGGACTGGTGTATAAGACTTGTGTAAGAGCAAGCAATGAGTGTACCATTTGTTCTTGTGTGTGACTCGACATTGCGAAAGCGTCGTCAACATGAGGGACAACGATGGAGAGATATGATAAATCCGACAAGTCTGCGATGAAGAAGTGTGAAGAGACGTTGACCAGCTATTCATCATAAGAGAACAGAGGTTCAGGTCTTGTCAAGCATAGCCAAGATAGATCAGAGAAAGTGCTTTGTGTCGGGCGAAAGTCAGGGTCGGTGGCGGAGCTTTGGGCTTTGGGCTTTGGGTTGGTTGTTGATGTGGGGCAAGGATGACTACATGGGCAGCGGCGGTCAATTGACTATTTGCCTTCCTCGCCTTCTAGAACAGCACCACACATTATTATGCTCAAGTCCCTCACTCGCAGACACAACACGCCCACTACCCCCGAGCATTGCTCACCCCTGCAACACCACTCTCGCGCCCTCTACATCTAGCCCCCACACATTGCCACCCTTGAGCAACCCCCACCCCACCACCGCCACAACACTCATCGCTTCCTGCCTGCCTGACGCCCATCATGGCTGCCGCTGTACAGTCCACAAGGCCCTGGGACTTTTCCCACGTCCTCGAGCTGATCAACACACTCACTCCAACCAATTCTCAAGCAAAAGACATGCCGGCACGTCCTTCAATCACAAAACACGACAGTATGAACGAGTCATCCTCGTTACCACTTGCCTCACCGCTGCAGCACTTCAATGCCGTCGACGAGGGCGTATCGCTGGGCGACTTTGGCAAGATCTGGCAGTACCTGGGCACTCCCCTCAACTCACCCGCACCCAAGCCCGCCAATGCCTCCCCGACTCTTCAACAGCGCATGCCTGAGAAGGCCGACTATGCTAGTGACGGCGCCGCCTATGGCACTCCCAGCAAGCGCATCACAAAGGGTGGCATCAAGTGGAGAGACGAGGTCAATCTCGGCGATCTCACAGACTACGCCCCGCTAGAGGACGACGAAGACGACAAGAAGTTGACCAAGAAGCAACGTCAGAAGAAGAACAAGAAAGAGAGGGAGCAAAGACAAGCCGCTGGTGCTGCAAAGGCCACCAGCGACATTGACGAGCCCGAACTCCACACTCCCTCTTTCTACGAGACGCCCGCTCGCAAGGCCAGCACCCACGTCGTTTCTGCCGAGCTTGTCGGCAAGGCTCAACCTCCTTCGAGTCCTGTCAAGATCCCAGCTACAAAGCTTGTGGCCGTCGATGCCGCCAACACGACCAAGTCTCGCCAGCCAGAGAAGAAGGCTTCCACCCCACCCCAGCCTGAGCCCCTCGACTTCGACTCGCTACCGAAGTCTCTACCCAAGACATTACCCAAGACTCCCGAATCCAAGCACCAAAGAGAGTTCAACAAGCGATGGCCAGTCTCGACTCCATTTGCTAGCACCAAGACTTCTCCCCTGCTTCCCGCTTCTGTACAGCCTACACGTACCGCATCTACACCATACAAGTCCGCCGACGCAAACGCAAATCCTTTCCACAAGGTACAGCAAGTCAGCGAGACTCCCACCAAGAACAGTCGTGCGGCTATCCAGCCCAAGACCGTTCGCTCTGGCGAGGACCGCAACTGGGCCCTCCTCTTGAAGATCATCGGTGACTTCTACGAGGACAGAGCAAGTCTCGTCAGTCCCGCAAACTCAATCACTCATTCGAATGACCCTAACGGCATTCACGTCTTCGTCGACGCCTCTAACATTTTCATTGGCTTCCACGATCAGCTAAAGCGTGCTCGCGACATTCCGCAGCACGTACACGTCCCTAAGGTGGACCTTTCTTTCGATGCCTTGGCTCTTCTCATGGAGCGCCGTAGGCCTGTCGCCAAACGCTGCCTGGTTGGTTCAAAGCCCCACATGGCCGCCTTCGATGTAGCCCATCGTGTCGGCTACGAATGCAACATCCTGGACAAGGTGCTCAAAGCGCGAGAGCTCACCGAGCGCCAGAAGTTTTTCCAGGAACAGGAGAAGAAGTGGCATAGACGCAGCAGCGGCTACAAGAATGGTACCAGTACTGGAGGAGATAGTGCGGGCAGTGGCTCAGAAACGGGCAACACTGGTCCCGTCTATGCTCCCGAAAGGTATATCGAGCAGGGTGTCGACGAGATCATCCACCTGAAAATGATGGAATCTATCGTTGACACCGAGACTCCTTCTACCATGGTGCTGGCCACCGGTGACGCCGCTCAGGCTGAATATTCCGAAGGCTTCCTCAAGATGGCCGAACGTGCCTTGAAGAAGGGATGGAGAGTTGAGCTCGTCAGTTGGAGCAAGAACATTAGTTTGGCCTATAAGAAGGCAGCCTGGCAGAAGAAGTGGGACGGCCGATTCAGAATCATCGAGCTGGACACTTACGCCGAGGAACTACTTGATATGTGAGACGACGGAATGGTAGATGGAGTTCAGATGGGTGATTATCAGCGACCGATGTTATTGTCTTCGGTCCTGTCACCACAGGTACATTATGTTTATGACACTGCATGGACGTTGTGGGTTTCTTCTCTCTACACTTTGCGCATAGCACGGCACTTTTGGGAATACGAGGACAGGGATATATATGCTTCTCGTCATCAGCTCGCTACAACATTTACGAAACTCGTATGGACAGATGATCCACTTTTCTCTTTTACCCTCTTAACCAAGCATCTGTACAAGCAACGTCTTTCCTTCTCCCGTGAGCCTGATAAAGACCCACCAAACCCCAGCAGGTAAAGATGTGATGTGATCCGCAACGGCCATGCTCATACGAAATCAAAGGACGCGGAGATAAACCTCGTTCGGAGCGAACTCCTGTGCCGCGTCGCCCTCTCTGCTCTCCACACTTACGTGCGGAAACAACTCGACGAAGAAGGGGAAGAAACAAAGTCGTTGATTCGAATCGAGAAGGCCATCTCGCTGATCTCGACGCAATCATGTGCAAAAGACGGGCAGAGTTTGAGACTGCCGTAAGGAAAAGGATCGACGGCATGTTCGGAGTGCCCGAGAGCGACGTCCGCGTTGCTTGCTTTGGACAAACGCTTTTTCCAATTTACGGACGAGTAAGGGGAGGAGAGCTACATACCAACTGAGAGCGCATGTTCAATAAGCACTCGGCCGAGAGGTGTGATGCGTTTGATAACGCAGATGTGCATGCAGCCTACGCCCGGACAGCTGGGTTTGTTTCGTGGTGAAGATCTTTCTTAATTCGTGTCAGCTAAGGTATAATATCGTAGGTTCGTCTTGACCCTCGAGCGCCTTCCCTTCTCTCTTTGCTGTGTTGATTGCGAGAAGTGTTTCTTCATCTTCACTACTCTACCATCATTCACCTTTATCCTAATCAAGAAGACGACGACTGGGCATCTTTCTTTAAACTTCCCTAATCATCGAATTATACTTTTGGCGATTTCCCGCTGCCCGGGTCTCGTCGAATCGAGACATAGCCGACGACAATAATGGCAGAGAAACAACGCAGTCTTGGGTCGCAGTCTTCGCACTCTTCTCTACAGGACACAATCATGGGTTCGGCGCCAGATTTGCTGCGGACGGATCGAGTTGGCAAAGACGGCATGTTTGATGAGGAGAAGGGAGGAGTTGCTACGGCCGAAAGACCCACACTGGGAAGTGATGGACAACGACTTGCTGCTGCTGCACCGCCGCCGGCTTTCGACCCAAGAGAGAATCCTGATGGTGGGTTTGATGCATGGTTGGTCGTTTTGGGTGCATTCTGCTGCATGTTTTGCAGTTTCGGGTGGATCAATTGTGAGTCGCTGTTTCCCTTCTTGTGGATCAATACTATACGATCCATCGTTGTTTCTCTGCCCGCTGTGCCTTTGAGATCTTCTGTCAGACCTTGACTGATATCCATCGTAGGTATCGGAGTCTTCCAAGAATACTATGAGACACATCAACTACAAGGTTACAGCCCGAGTACAGTATCATGGATCCCATCTATGGAGACTTTTTTGATGTTCTTCTTGGGACCATTCATTGGCTACTTCTTCGACTGTTACGGTCCTAGATACATCTTGCTTACAGGAACTTGCCTCCATGTCTTTGGTATCATGATGGCGAGTCTTGCTTCAGACTACTACCAGATCATGCTGTCTCAAGGCATTTGTAGTGCTGCTGGAGCAAGCATGTGCTTCTATCCAGGTATGCAACCTCGACCCTCGTTACTCATGCATCTCATCTTGCTAACATGCTCAATAGCAATGAGTGTAATGCCTACCTGGTTCTTCAAGAAACGTGCCGCTGCCTTTGGCATCATGGCCGCCGGATCCTCAACAGGCGGTGTCATCTTCCCAATCATGGTCAACAGATTGATCCCTAGAATTGGATTTGGCTGGACCATGCGCGTCTGTGGGTTCCTCATCCTCGCCCTCATGGTCGTCGCCAACGTTACCGTAAGATCGCGCCTTCCTCCTCGACCCAAGCCCTTCCACATCATGCACTTCATCCGCCCACTCAAGGAGACACCATACCTGCTCACCGTGCTCGGAAGTTTCTTCTTCTTCTTCGCCATGTTCTTGCCGATCAACTATATCATTCTCCAAGCAGAGACTTTGGGCATGTCATCCAGGCTCGCCGAGTATCTGATTCCGATCTTGAATGGCGCTTCCTTCTTCGGCCGTGTGTTACCTGGAGTCGCAGCCGACAAGATCGGCCGCTACAATGTCATGACCATCATGATGGCCTTTGCCGGTATTCTCGTCCTCGCTCTCTGGCTCCCCGCTGCCTCAAACGCTCCCATTATCATTTTTGCCGCTCTGTATGGTTTCGGTAGTGGATCCTTCGTCTCCCTCGCTCCTTCTCTAGTTGCCCAGATCTCTGATGTCAGGGAGATTGGAGTGAGAAATGGAACGGTGTTTGCCATCATCTCTTTTGCAGCACTGTGCAGTAACCCTATCGGAGGAGCGCTGATTACACGATGGGATGGCGCGTATACCGGTCTCCAGATCTTTGGAGGCATCATGGCTTTGGCGGGTGCTTGTACGATTCTGGCAGCGAGGATCGTGTTGGCTGGGGCTAAGCTTACAGCAAAGGTATAGAACCTTTGTTGTGGCTATGATGTTTCTTTCTTATGACCTTGATGACAATATCACTTTCACTTCCCATGTTCTCTTGCCTTTTTCCAACTCTTAGAGACTCTTTTGTAAGCAAGTGTGAATACGAATCATACTCGTCCTCGGCATGCAGACATTCGTATATCCCAAGCATTACCCTAATGGCCGAAAGATGTACTGCAGCTATTAGAAAAAGTACCATAGGCTCACCCTCCGAACCACAATGCAAGATGAGCCCTTTTTGCCATGTCCCACGATCGATTTTCTTGGGGAAAAAGGCTTGGTTTGACGTTCCATTACTCTTTGGGGGGGGGGCGGCTTTACGTGCTTTAAGAGTCAGGCCATGTTTCCGGGATTCGGGAACCTCGCAGTTAGTACTGCTTTGGGAAAGAGGTGTATATTTGGCTGTGTCGTAGAGTACTGGGATATCTAGCGTGCGTTTTGTTAGTATATGGTCAGAAACTACTAGATCTTTGAGGATGCTAGCTACGTGCGTAGACTTTTGAATAACGGTGCTGGAGGGGGAACGTGGTATGGAATGTGAGGATATAGAAGGAGACTGAGTCATGCGTGTCTACTGATGATTATTAAGGCTGGGACCTTCCAACATCAGAAGTTACGTACTGTCTTACTTCCATACTGTCTTCATCAAGCCGGAATCTCGAGTGGTGGAGGCAAGGCATACTGGTCTCGCGACACAAAGCAAATTTACTTCTCGACAAGACTCTTTCCATCTTTCATACCGACCTGCACAACAAAGACAGCATCACGGCTACTTGGTTGCCCCAGCAAAGACAACCATAGCAAGCAGAAGTGATTCATAAAAGATCAAGAAACAAACATCTGCCAAATTCGGCAAACAAACTGTCCCCCTTGCGGTGGACAGAACAAATCGCACGCTTGATTTAATTTTGAAGGAAGGAGGAGGAGGGAGGGAGGGAGGGAAAAGAGGGCCCAAGGGCGCAAGTTGATTGGGCCATGCCAGGAGTCTAACACGTTGAAGTCCCGGCATAGTTGCCGTGGGCCCGGGCAATGGCACTGTAGCAGCTGTTATACCACAGAGCCAAGAGCCCGGGGGTTAAGGAGTTGGTTAATGGTCCGGTATATATAGGTAAGAGAACTGAATGATGTCTGAGAGTGATTGTGAGTGCTGCATTGTGTATCTTGATATTCAAGGTCATTGGAAGGCGACGATCGATCTTGGATATTTGTGAGTACAATTCTTAGGTGCAGGGCCCTCTATTGCAGTGTAGTAGATGATGATGGAACCGGACCCGAAAACTCAGAATTCTACAGCTCAGAAGCCCTTACCCAGCCTGATGGTCTCACCACCAGAGCCATACCAAAGAGGACCCTTACGGCTGTCAAGGCCCTTTCCTTCACCAATAATCCACTCACCACCAGCCTTGATATCCTTACCCTGTACAGGCCAGAACTCGGACTTGAGCCATTCGTTGATGTCGTCGACCGTCTTGACAATCTCCTGCATACGTGCTTGATCGACCTTGCCGTTTGCAGTCTCGGTGTCTGAGGTGGTGATGAAGCGACCGATGGTCAAGTGAGCCGAGGGTACAACATATCTGCTTGCGACTTTGATACCAGTGGCAGAAGTCAAAGCGTACAGATCGCGTCGCAAGTGGTGGTACGTGTAGTCGTCATCCTCGGGTTTGCGAGAGAAATCTGCTGCACACGATTCGCCAGCAGCAGGAAGGAATGACAGGGCGAAAGCTTGTGCATCATAGGAGATCGAAGGCTTCACCACGCGAGCTCGGTGCGAGTAGGTATAGTCCGTGATGGAAGGTATTCCGGGACGGACTTGCTCGACGAGTTCGTCAATCTCAGGTGCAGTCAGAGAGTGGGTGATCTCCAGAGCAGTCATGTGCAGACTGTCTTGTGGCATAACCCAAAGTTCTTCAATAGTCAGCGGGCTGTGTTGCCAACTATAGTCTCAGCAAGAGCTTACTGGGCGCGACTGCTTTGAGTCGCTTTTGCACTTCTGCAATGACAGACTTGACATGTGGCGGAGGACGAGCCCAAAACACAAGGCAGTTTCTCGGGTCTGCAAAACCAGGTTCAATGGTCTGGTCTTCCAACCTTGCGAGGATGGTGTCGACGGTGACTCCTGTGAAATCTGGAGATGAGAGTTTCTCCTTTTGCTGTGCACCTCGGTTGCTACGATGTGTTTCATAGCGGGCCTGAATCTCAGCCTAGACATTGTCAGACGTCACAATTGAGAATAGATCAGAGCATTCATACTGCATTGTCGTGGCAAGCCTCTATCAAACCATCATACGGATTGTCGGATACAGTTGGTGTGGGACCAGAAAGATCCTCGAAGGTGTAAGAAGTAGCCATGGTATATCTAAGCGATAGTCAGATCGGATTTGGACTCCATGTCCTGCGAATGCTATGATGCTGGTAGAGGTTTGTGAGCCGCCTCCATGGCGAGCATCCGACGACCTTTTGCCAGCGTTCACTTGCTCGCGCGTCCCCCACATACTCCATACAGAACGCGACACAAAGAGACCGAAAGACCTACATAGTTTTAGTTGATTTTCAACTGCACTTTGCTCAGTACAGCTGACTGGTGGTCTTGTGAAAAGTGTGAATATGTTTGACCGTGATAGGAGATGAGCTTGGGAGTTGCGGTGAGTCACGTATTCTTCGTATCCAGAATCGGCTTCATGGCGCCGCCAAACTGCTTGGAGGTTCGAATTCGCAATGTGCTTCTCCATTATTTTCACCAATACATTTAATCAATATCCTTGAGCTGGTTTCAACTGAGTACAACAGATCCGAGTTGCATACGATGTACATCACCAGGTTCTGCGGTCTGTTCGAGAGGTGTCACTGGAGACGTGAATAGTTATGCTTCATAGATCACGCGAGCGCCTGCAGACTTGGCAATATTTCTGTGCCTTCCAGCAAACATCAATTGTGAAGCAACATGGTGGCTGGGAGGCTCTGACTTGGACACTTTGGCAAGTTTCTCCACTCGGGGTATATCGAGGTGCAGGTGATGGATGTGCGTGATGTGTGGTTGCCCAGTGTTACTGTTCGCAGCAGGTGATGCACTGGCGCCCGGGAAACGAAGGACGCGGGATCAATCCAGCCATCATGCAAGGTACACGAGTCGGCCATAATGCGACGCCCAGCTTCTTGTAAACTCATGCTGAGCCTTTACACTTTCGGTGTGCGCTGTGTATAAATGGATAAAACCAAGAGGCAGAAAGTCTAGCCAATACCGTTCAATAAATCAATTGCAAATATTGACGTTCGCGCCGAGGAATGGTGCGATGGGTGTCTCTTTGCGGCTGCCTAAATGTTGGTGACGTAGTTTGAGGCTTGCCCGCGCCCGTGCTCGCCCCGGACAGCGAATCAAGAGGGGAGTACCGGCGCAGCCACCACCGTCTTGGTCCGACCGAGCTCTCTATCGACTACCTGTCCATCCGCCCTCCACAGTCTTCCTCCATCTACCCACACCTTTCATTCCCTCAAACACATCCCCACAGAAACATCAAGATGAAGGGCAGTTCTCTCATTGCAGCCGGTGCGCTGTTTGGCTCGGCTTCGGCTGGTGTCCACAAGATGAAGCTCAAGAAGGTCCCTCTCTCGGAGCAGCTTGTGAGTGGCGTCATGTTCAGCTATCTAACCATGCAGTCGACTGACAGCCATCATAGGAGGCTCACAACATCGGTGACCACATGCAGGCTCTCGGCCAAAAGTACATGGGTGTTCGCCCCCAGAAACACGCCGACGAGATGTTCAAGGAGACCTCTATGCACGCTGAGGCTGGCCACCCCGTTGCCGTCAGCAACTTCTTGAACGCTCAGTGTACGTCCCACGCCTTATTCTGCTCAGACTGTATGCTAACAACCTTGTAGACTTCTCCGAGATCGCCATCGGAAACCCTCCTCAAGAGTTCAAGGTCGTCCTCGACACCGGCAGCTCCAACCTGTGGATTCCTTCCTCCGACTGTGGATCCATCGCTTGCTACCTCCACAACAAGTACAGCCACAGTGACTCCTCATCATACAAGAAGAACGGTTCCGAATTTGCCATCCAGTATGGTTCGGGTGCCGTCAAGGGTTACATCTCCCAGGACACTGTCCAGATTGGTGACATCAAGATCAAGAACCAGCTCTTTGGTGAAACTACTGAGGAGCCCGGTTTGGCTTTCGCCTTCGGCCGCTTCGACGGTATCCTGGGTCTCGGATACGACACCATCAGTGTCAACAAGATTCCTCCTCCTTTCTACTCCATGATTGACCAGGGCCTGCTCGACGACCCTGTCTTCGCCTTCTACCTCAGCGACACCAACGACAAGGAGGCCGAGTCCGAGGCCATCTTCGGTGGTATCAACAAGGACCACTACACTGGTGAGCTCACCAAGCTCCCTCTGAGACGCAAGGCCTACTGGGAGGTTGACCTTGACGCCATCTCCTTTGGCAAGGAGACTGCCGAGTTCGACAACATGGGTGCCATCCTCGACACCGGAACTTCGCTCATTGCCCTCCCCAGCGCCATTGCTGAGCTGCTGAACTCGCAGATTGGTGCTAAGAAGGGCTACAACGGCCAGTACACCGTTGAGTGCAGCAAGCGTGATTCGCTCCCTGACCTCAGCTTCACCCTGACCGGCTATAACTTCACCATCACTCCCTATGACTACATCCTTGAGGTCCAGGGTTCGTGTATCTCATCTTTCATGGGCTTTGACATCCCTGAGCCAGCTGGCCCCCTCGCCATTCTCGGAGACGCTTTCCTCCGCAGATACTACTCTGTCTACGACCTCGGCAGCAACAGCGTCGGCCTTGCCAAGGCCAAGGCTTAATTGCCTAAGTCGTATGAAGAAGAATCTGAGGCGGATTATCGCATCAGCGTTGCTTGGGTAGTGATTGTAATCGATTCGTAGCTTGTCGGCATGACTGTCACAGAGATGCAAGTGGTAGTTTCATCATACTTTCTGTATTAATATTTTATATCAAGCTTTACCTTACTCCAATTTCCCTGTTGTCATTGTTGCAGGTGGTTGACGATTGTTTCAGTGATCATGACGTGACATCACGTGCGAGGTGCAGATTGCGGGGAGGCTTCAGGTGGCCACAAGGGTGGTCGCAGTAATCTGCGGCCTATCAAGGTGCAGATCGGACAACTACGGGCTTTCTGAGGCTCCAGTGCAGTACAATCTGATCTCGATGCACAACATGTAGTGTCGAGATATAGCAGCGCATAGAGTGATGCTTGACCGGACAAAGACATTATTCCATCTTCTACTGTCAGCAGCCTGTCACAAGCCTGGACCCTGGATTAAGCAGCAAGTTCGAGGGGCGCGTGCAGCATCCCAGTGGTTCATCTACCCTCGTGCCTCGACCACGTTGTTGCATCAGGAAACAGGCCGACTTAGCCTCGCCTGTTGCTGCTCTGCATTCCCAAATTCTCAGTCATCATGTCGACCCGCCGCAATACCCCGCAAGCTCGCCGACGAGTGTCGATGGAGCTGCCCGAGCGTTTCCGCTTCGACGATGATGTCGATGAAGACCAAGATCGGGAGGTGGACAGAGCACAAATCATCGACATGGCCATGATGCACCAGAGCGTCTTTGGAATCATCGCCGCAACTCAATCAAAGGCCAACACTATGCGCTCCATGCTGCAAGAGGCTGACAGCGACAGCGACGACACGACTCCTCCGACGAGGTTCAACAGGTCTACCATGGGTCCAACACTCCCGCTGCGGCACAGCCCGCTCTCCCGTAATAACAACCTCAAGAGGGTAGCCGACAACAACCTGGTCCAGTCTCTACCCGGTCTGCGATCTGCCCCCAAGACTACCTTCGCAACCACAACTCCTCCTCGTTTCTCGAAACCGGACATTTCGCCCGACCAGGGCCACCATGCGAGAGCTGACCTAGAGTCATCGCAGTCGACCATCAAGAAACCCGCCAGCAGGAAACCGAGTCCCGTCCCCGACATGTCGTCAAGTACCTCCCAAGTCGCCCTACCTGATGCTCTGAAAGACATCTTCGAATTCGACGAGGCCGAGAAGGTCGTTGCAAAATATCCCTGCTGGTACCTACAAAGTGTCCTTTTGCAAGGCTACATATACATCACCCAACGTCACATCTGCTTCTATGCTTATCTGCAGAAGAAGACTGGTGTGACTACCAAGTCTGGATATTTGACCAAACGCGGTCAGCGCAATCCGCGTTACAAGAAGTACTGGTTCGTACTCAAGGGCGATGTCTTGTCCTACTACAAGGACCCTTTGACTCCATTTTCCCCACGAGATGTTATAGATCTGCGTTACGGCGTGTCGGCAGAAGTTACAACCACTCAAGGCAAGGATCAGGAGAGCTCTTCTTTTTGTGTTGTGACAGACGCCAAAACCTACCACTTCAGAGCGGAGACTGCTTCGAGTGCCGCGGAATGGGTCAAACAAATACAAAAGGTCATATTTCGAGCACGCAACAACAGCGATAGCGTCAAGATCTGCCTGCCAGTCGACAACGTGGTGGATATTGAAGAGAGCAGCTACCCTGACTTCGCCGATACCATCAAAATCCGGGTCATTGACAACGACGAGACGTTTGCCGTTGACGAGGTAAGTGCTGTTTGTGGCTTGCTTTAGTCGTGACTGACCATTGTGTAGTATTTTTTCTCTTTCTTCGGTTTTGGTGACGAAGCACTTCGCGTATTACGAAGCCTGACTCAAGAGACAAGCGCGCAACGGGTGCTATCAAGCCGTCCCGTTTCGCCTGTCCTCACCAAGTCAGATCGTCGCCCTTCATCGACACATGGAAGAAGATCCCGATTGTCTTCTACGAGCCCGGCTCCGGGAGGCATTCATGAGAATGTCATGGCAACTCTCTCTCCCGCTTCCGGACTTGCCACCAAAAGCGCTCGCTCGAGTAGTGAATTGGAACACTCTACTCTCGACCTAACTCAGGCTAAGGAAGAGAGATATGTCAAACATTCTGCAATACAGGAAGGCAGTCGAAAACAGAGGAATTGGGGCAAGGCCACACGGGACCCATCAGAGTCGTATATGTCGTCTTCTGATCAAGGTAACGACAGCGAAATGTCGGAATCCGCGACTGGAACCGATGCTTCGGGTAGCCACATACTGAGCGGAAGCGTCATGTTCCACAAGCCAACCATTGGCAAGCACGACACAGATCACGCCGCGTTGCACACTGCATCGACCAGCGCTCAGACAAATGTTTCGTCTGCTTCGGCGAAAAGACCCAGCAACGAACCTGAAGCTAAGCCTTTCGTAAAGAGCATCCCGAATTCGCAGGTGCAAGATATGCATCAGTCAGACTCCTCGACTCTCGGTGGCTTGATGAAGGTCGGGGCTGTTCCGATTCAACGTGCCTCGGGCTTTTTGTACAATTCTGGCAAACGTGTCAGCGGTCTGTTTGGGAGCTCACCATTAGAGTACTATGACAAGTTCTCGGGGATGATCGCTGGTGGAAGGAAGCACTACGCCGAAGCAGACGAGCTGGTACCTGGAGAAGAGGTCCAGGATTCTGAGGATGAGATGACGGTGCGTGAAGCTGAAAAGAGCTTCCGAAGCCACTTCGCTCTACCAGACTCAGAGAAGCTCGTGGCGACGTTCTTTGGCTTCTTTCATAGAGTCTTGCCGCTGTATGGTAAGCTTTATGTCGGCAGCACAAGACTATGTTTCCGTAGCTTTATGCCTGGAAACTGGACAAAGGTACGCCTCAACGACATGCATGATCGAGCTCTTGCTAACTTCGACTAGCTCGTTGTCCCATTCAAAGACATCATGGATGTTGACAAAGAAAGAGGATTTCGCTTCGGGTACTCGGGTATGGTTGTTGTGATCCGGGGTCATGAAGAAATCTTCTTTGAGTTCGGATCGCAAGACCTGCGAGATGACTGCACTGTCACTCTGTTGCGCTCGCTGAATGCGTTAGAGTTCTCTCAAGAGTCCGTTCTGCTTACGGAAGACGAGAAGCGAGATGCCGAAGCTGCTGCAGCGGAGAACTTGTTACTACAAGAGGCTCGACAAGGTGATCAGGGCGGAGTCGAGTTCCAGCCCCATCGCGACATTGACCAATCAGGTGAGTTGATCAATTCTTCTATGCTCATCTTCCTCTCTGACACAAGCAGAACAAGACTCTCCGGCTATCTTTTTCGACGATCCAGCGGCGTCTGTTCTGGACTTCAAGCCACAGGAGTCACTTCGAATCACCTGTTTGACCATTGGTTCTCGAGGAGATGTGCAGCCATATATAGCTCTTTGCAAGGGTCTACTTGCTGAAGGACACAGACCAAAGATTGCTTCTCATGCTGAGTTCGGAGACTGGGTACGCAGTCACGGCATTGATTTCGCGCCTGTAGAAGGAAATCCAGCGGAGTTGATGGCCCTTTGCGTTGATCATGGCATGTTTACCCCGTCTTTCCTCTATGAGACCAATCAGAAGGTGTGTACAGTACCATCGTTGCTTAGACGCGGCATTGACTGACAGTTCTAGTTCTGGCCTTTCGTCAGAGGTCTTCTCAAGACAGCTTGGGCTGCCTGTCAAGACTGTGACTTGTTGATCGAGAGCCCTTCTGCGATGGCAGGTATCCACATTGCGGAAGCTCTTGATATACCTTACTTCAGAGCCTTCACGATGCCCTGGACAAGGACTCGCGCCTACCCACACGCATTTGGTATGCAGAATAATAGAATGGGTGGCGCCTACAACTACATGACCTATATTGTTTTCGACAACATATTCTGGAAAGCCACGTCGAGTACAATCAACAAGTGGCGCAAAGAAGACCTTGGACTAAAGCCTACCAATATGGAGAAGATGCAGCAGGATAAGGTCCCATTTTTCTACAACTTCTCTCCCTCTGTGGTCACGCCGCCGCTCGACTTCGGTGAATGGATCCGAGTCACAGGGTACTGGTTTCTTGATGAGGCAGAAGGTTTCACACCACAAAAAGAGCTTCTGGGCTTCATCAAGAAGGCACGCGCAGACAAAGCGAAGCTTGTATATATTGGCTTCGGCTCGGTCGTCGTTCCCGATCCAAAACAGCTCACTCTGGACATCATCGCTGCGGTTAAGAAGGCTGATGTCCGGTGCATCCTCTCGAAGGGTTGGTCTGACCGCATGGACAAGAAGGACGCCAGAGCGCTAGAGGTCCCGCTACCGGACTTCATGTTCCAAATCGCATCTGCTCCCCATGATTGGTTATTCCGACAAGTCGATGCTGCTGTTCACCATGGAGGAGCAGGAACGACCGGAGCGAGTCTGCGCGCTGGCATCCCGACCATCATCAAACCCTTCTTTGGCGACCAGTTCTTCTTTGGCAGTAAAGTGCAAGACCTCGGTGTTGGTCAGAAAGTGTTAAAGCTCACTGAGAATGCATTGGGCAAAGCAATATGGATTGCGACACACGACTCAAGAATGATTGAGAAGGCCAGGAAACTCGGAGAACAGATTCGATCTGAGGACGGTGTCGGCAACGTCATCAAGGCCATCTATCGCGACATGGAGTACGCAAAGACGTTAGTTCAGCAGCGCGTAGCCAGAGCGGCACAGGGCGATACAGACGCCGAGGACGAGGAGGAAGTAGAGGTGGAAGATAGCTGGACGTTGGTTGAGAACGACAGCGACCCGGAGGCGACAAGCCCGACAGCCATGATGCAGCCACAATCACCCTCATTAGCTGCTAAGGGGAAGGGTAAGTTGGGATTGAGCTATCTCCCGCTCAGGACTTGAAGGTTTCGGGATTATGTGAAAAATGACATTCGACAAGACAACATGACAAGATGATGACTATTTGGGATTGCGATGGTCAAGGAGTTTGATTTGATGGATTCATGCAGCATGGCGCTTATACGGAGGCTGAAGGCAATCTCCTTTTGTGTTATAGATGGACAAGAATCATCGAATAGAAATACAAACGAGTACGGCTGATGAGATTTTGAGACTGTGTATGCAAGCAATCGATAGACGTTGGAACGGTTGGTCGGGAGTTGCGGGTAAGGATGTGATGGACAGCGAAGTGTATCAATATAGACGAGACCACTGTTTCATCGAGTTGGCTGCGACAAAGGGGACGGGAAGGACTTAATTTCAGAAGTCAGTAGCGTTGGCTGTTTTGGGCCAATAGGCGGGTCTGGAGGGATCGGAAACAGGCGCGTATTTGCGGGACTGTGCTTTGGGCTGCTACACTGCGTGCCCCGCCATGGGTCGACAAGGCTCTTGCAATCGACCTTCTCGTTGAGCGGCCTGTCTTTCTTACTATCAAGCCAAAAGGGACACAAGCAGAGACCGGAGCTGAATACAAGACACGCACAATCAAACACACGACAAAGATAGGCATCTCCCCAGAAAGAAAGAACGGCTGGACCCTCTTTCCGCTTCACCCTCTCTCAAAACGGCCACTCAAGTGACATCTTTGGTGAGTGAAGGAATGCAGTCGGCAACATTCCTCGGCTGACCATGTTGAAGTGATTCGCACCTTCCTTCCATCATCGTACTTTCCACCGACAGCCCTATCGTCAGCTAGCTCGCATTCATGTCGCGCGCAGCTCCCCAGAGCGGATCCCGCAAGATCTCCTTCAACGTGTCGGAGCAGTATGACATTCAGGATGTAGTGGGCGAGGGCGCCTATGGTGTCGTATGGTAAGCGATCCATTGGTCATGCGACACATGAACATTGACTGACCATCTCAGCTCTGCACTGCACAAGCCATCGGGCCAAAAGGTAGCCATCAAGAAGATCACACCCTTCGACCACTCCATGTTCTGTCTGCGCACGTTGCGTGAGATGAAGCTCCTCCGCTACTTCAACCACGAAAACATCATCTCCATCCTCGACATCCAGAAGCCGCGCAGTTATGATACCTTCACCGAGGTCTACCTCATCCAAGAACTCATGGAGACCGACATGCACCGCGTCATCCGTACACAGGAGCTGTCCGATGACCACTGCCAGTACTTCATCTACCAGACTCTCCGCGCCCTCAAGGCCATGCACTCGGCCAACGTGCTGCACCGCGACCTCAAGCCTTCCAACCTGCTGCTCAATGCAAACTGCGACCTCAAGGTCTGCGATTTCGGTCTCGCCCGTTCGGCTGCTTCGACCGAAGACAACCAGGGCTTCATGACTGAATACGTCGCCACTCGCTGGTACCGCGCGCCTGAGATCATGCTCACTTTCAAGGAGTACACCAAGGCTATTGACGTCTGGTCGGTTGGCTGTATCCTCGCAGAGATGCTGAGCGGCAAGCCCTTGTTCCCCGGCAAGGACTACCACCACCAACTCACTCTCATTCTTGACGTTCTGGGCACTCCCACCATGGAGGACTACTACGGCATCAAGTCGCGTCGTGCCCGCGAGTACATTCGCAGCTTGCCCTTCAAGAAGAAGATCCCGTGGAAGGCCATGTTCCCCAAGACATCGGATCTCGCTCTCGACCTGCTCGACAAGCTTCTCGCCTTCAACCCTGCTAAGCGCATCACGGTTGAGGAAGCTCTGAGACACCCTTACCTTGAACCCTACCACGACCCCGAAGACGAGCCTACCGCCGACGCCATCCCCGAAGAGTTTTTCGACTTTGATAAGAACAAGGACAATCTCACCAAAGAGCAGCTCAAGCGTAAGATCGCATTCAGTTCACGTATGGAGTCTTGCTAACAGTGACCGAACAGAGCTCATCTTCGAAGAGATCATGCGGTAATACCAAAGCTGCGAACTGCTCCGTCTTCTGGATCTATTTTTCTTATCTCTTGCCATATATCTCTTACCATTTAAAAGTACTACTTAGCACTGTCCACAAAGCTTCCGAGGCGGATCACTAACCTACGTCCTTCTACAGCGACCGCACTCTCGACAAGCCTAAACGAAACGACATCTCCATCATCAGCTGCTGTCCTCCCGCCGACCCGCCTCCTCCTTCCTCGATTTCTGCGACTGAACCCGACCCACACATTCCTGACTCTGCTGCAAGCACTCTTTCGCAAGACACCGACAGCACATCTCGTCCTTCTGTCCATACTCCACGAACCACCACTTCGCCCGAGACAGCAGCATCGTGGGCCCCTCAGTTCAGAGGTATGCCCACCATGAAGAGGTTTTTCAACTCAATGAGAGGCTCGCCCAACAATGGAGACGACAAGCAGCAATCCCAGCCTACAGCTCCTGCCTCCGACGCCAGTCCAACCAGAAAGGCATCGGGCGAGAGAACGCCATGGGACCAGACCACACAGCGTTGGCTCTTGTGACACAGAAGCGGCAAACACAAAAACACAAAAACAAGCTAGAGATGAAGAGATTTGGAAGACTTGAATGATATGAACTGCTTTTCTGTTTCTTGTCGCAACTATTCATCTCGCAAGAGATATAGATTGCGGTTCGAGCATGTCTCTTTGTTTTCTCATCACAAATGTCTCTTTTGAAAAGGAAGGTGTCACAACATTTGGTGGGCGTTACTTCTGCTTCTTCTTCTTCTTCTTTTCTACCTTCTACACAATCTCCTTTGTTGGCATCAGCAAGCGTATCCCAGAAGTAAGATCATCAGTACAGCGGAATAGAAAGATCCCAATGATAAAAAGCATTTCACAATCTCCAAGATTATTTGTGGTTGCTTCCTATACAAAATTTATGATGCAATTTTGACCGAGTCGTGAGTCTGACGGTACGACCCTGTCGTGATTATCTCTTCTTGGTGTATCGTCTCTCTTGCCCTTGACTCTACGTTCACGTGTACTTGATTGCTCCCCTTGATATCGATATATGCCTACCGAGGTGCCACATCGTTTATGTGCCAATTGAGGAAAAATTGGTGGACATTTGCGTGTATTGTGAGTCTTTGAAGCTGTGATGCACACATTGACCAAAAACACCGAGTCATGTCTCACACCACCTTCTTGCTAATGTGAGAAGACAAGTAAGGTGGGGGTAATGACGAACGATTTACATGATTGGAAGAAAGCAAATAAGCGATAAAAGAAAAGAAATGTCGATATCGATAGAGCTTATTGTGCCATGAAGGCTCGCTCAGGCAGAATTACAGCACTGCAGGCTTGAGGAGTTGGAGACGCGAGTACACCCACTCTCTCTATACGTAGACTAGTATCGGAGGGACAAGGAGACACAAGAAAGCAAAGAGTAAAGCGTGAAGATGTCTGTTACATTGATTCCATTTCCCCCATTATATCCATCCTGATGAAAACCAAAACAGCAAAAGATGAGCGTTCTTGTAGTTCCCTTTCATCCATGCGTCCCTGACAACTATACGAAGAAAAACGCAAAGAACAATAACCCTTCTCTTTATCCATTTCCCATTACAGAAACCTAATACTACAGGCGATTGAAAGTCATCTGGTTACCATGTTGTAGGGACACTGGGGTACTCCTTGTGGGAAAGACCCAGATCGGCAAATACAGTGTCATCTCCCTTGAGATGCTCGACGCGAAGCCCATCTTCATGCTCAAGCTTCTCAATCTCCTCTTGTGGTGTCTCCTTGTCATCGGCGTTCTTGTCCTTTGACGTGGCCGCGAGAGCATGACTGTCATCCAAGGGCTCGCCGATCATGAGCAATTGTGCATTATTGAAGTCGAGATGCTTGGGCTCGGCGGGCATCCAGCTACGGTTGCGGAAGTCGTCGATGATGTCTTGAGAGAACTCCGCCGGTTGATCGAGGGTAGCGTAGGAAGGACCCTTGATGGTAGGGTTCTTAAGACTCAGTACGAAGCTGCCCTTTGAGCGGATGCCGACGTCTTCTTGCATCTGACCGGGCTCTTGAGGAATAGTGAGCATGTAGGCGAGATGTGATTCTGAGCGTGTGCCGGTGGCGGTAATTGCGTAAACACCTTCGCCCATGGGGGTAATGGGATGTGTGGATCGATCTCCTTGAGTTTTAGTTTGGTATTCTGAGTGTTGGAAAAAGTCCCTTCTCAATTCTTCCATGGAAGCCTTTGCCCTCTCGACAAAGACCATGAACTTGTCATTGGGTCCTTTAGGAAAGACCTTCTTGGGCAGAGCGAAGAGACGGTTGTTCTTGACGTCTTCGATGACGCCGTCGCCCAGCTTTGCGCCTTTGGGCAGGGGACGCAGGACGAAGTAGCTACGCTGCAGGTCCTGAACGCTCTGAGGGTCGTCAATGCCGACACGGCCTCTAGTGAAGAAGTAGATTATTCCCTTTTCTAGGATGTTGCTGGGCATCTGCTCAGCACGGTCCTTACTCTCCTCGACAGCACCTTCTTCGCCCTTGCTGATCTTTGACTCCTTTGACTCCTTGAACTCCTCGGGCTCCTTTGTCTCGACATTGGAGTCCTTTACGAAGTCGCGGTGAATGTCGTCCTGGAACAATTAGCTGATGAACAGATCAGTGGGTAGGTGTTACATACAATAGGGAGATTGTCAGGCTTGGGCTTGGGGTTCTCGGGCTCAAGAGTGTTGAGACCTTGACCACCACGAGAGTCCTTGAGGGCCTTCTCAGGATCGTCCTTCGACTCTCCCTCTCTGTTCTGACCCTGGTACGACTCGCCGACCTGTTTGATGGAGCCATCGTCCTTCATGTCTGCGTTAGGCTGCTCTGCTGGCTTCTCTTCAGATGCTTGCTCGGATGACTTTTGCTCAGCTGAGTCTGCAGCAGGCTTCTGCTCGGGTTTCTCGCTCTGACCAGCTTCCCCAGATGGCTTGGACTCAGAGGTACCGTTGCTGTCTGCACTCGGCTTGAGAGTCTCTTCAATAGTCTTTTGCTCGACAGTATTCTTGCGGCCCTTCTTGGAAGGAGAAGATTGGGAGTCGTCGGCTTTGCGCTTGTTGTCTTTGGTCTCTTGGGAAGCAGCAGGGGGGCTGGACTGCTTGTCAGCCAGACGGGCGGATGATCGTGTGCCAGGCATGATGTAGGTAGATGGTGAGGGGCGTGATGGTGTCAAGCTAGAGAGAGTGCAATTGGTTCGACGGGAGTGATTTTGATGGCGTGATGGAAGCTGACGATTGGTGATGTCAAGGACAAAAGGAATTGTCCAAAGAGGCTTGCAGCTTGCAGGAGAAAGGTAGGAGCTGAGAGTGTATATAAGGAACCTCTAAGAGTATTTATTGTAACGATTTAGCCTCGAAACGCGTCTGTTACGCGAGAACCGTGATGAGCACTTGCATACGTCATAGAATGATCCACCTCGACGTGTTTTTGGCTCGTCGATTTCCGTGATGCTGACGCACGAGATCTTCTCAGTTGAGTAAGGTTACTTCGGGACAGGCAGAAAGGGCTCAATCGCGCATTGAGCCCGCGAGCCTGTGCCGTCTTGCTCGCGTTGTTTGTTAACAGTGTCTTGGTTCTGACCGAGGGGCGTGGAAGCAATCGCCAGTCGCAGCGTGTGTGTAGACTGCAGCAGCCATAGAAAGAAGGCGCGATCAACCACATCGTCCGTCCTTCCAGCCGGTTCTCCATCGCTCTTCCCATTTCTTGCAGTCAAACGACTTCTTGCCCAGCTTGACGTTTACGGCGTTGTGTGCCTCACACATCCATTGTCCAAAGTCGGCCCTGCTGCTCACGCGTGGCTCGTTGCCATCCTTCATCCATGCTCTGAAATCGTCGGCGCATACCCAGCAAGGGTACATCTTGCCGAATAGTTGCATAAATGTCGTCGTCTCTTTTTGCTGCTCAGACGAAGCCTTTTCCGGGTAGCTTGCTGCCATTGTGTGAAGAAGAGTCCATGCTGAGCGTCCAAGCTGTTCTACGTCTGGTGGGCAGTCGGCAGGCATGTCGAGAGAGGCGGTTACTTGGGCCGGCGGCGTCGTCGTCGAGATGTTGGTGGGGTTCGCTGTGCCCTGTTTGGCCATGGCGAACCACGAGGACACCGAAGTGCATGACCGACACCTATAGTCTCAAATCAGTATATCAATCTATCCATGAATCCTGTCTCTTGACGTACGGCTTGCCATCGGGACCCAAGACTACCCCCTTCGGTAGCTGCTTGGGACTTCTGTCTCCTTCATCAACCTGAGCCTTCTGCTCGGGCGTCGCGTCTAGTGGTTGAGGTGGCATTCCGGTCGTCTTTGTCACTGCGCTGCCAAACTGCGAGAGGATCGGGTATGGAATCTGAGTGATAGGCATGTTATCGATCTTTCTATATTTCGCATTTGTCAGGTTTCCCGTCCGTCTCCGGGGCTCCTTCGTCCGTGCTCGGGTTCCATCGGGGTTCTTTGCAACCACCTCTCGGCCCTTCCCGCCTCTGCATTTCTACCAACCATCAACGACATATATTCGACATGTCATCCACGACACCAGACGTTCCTGTACTATTGCTCAAGACAAAGTCCATCCCGGCCGATGGATATCAGGAGATCTTTGCTGGCTGGAACAATTACCTACCGACATTCCTACCTGTCCTAGAACACCGCTTCAGGGAAGATGCCCTGACTTGGCTGAAGGATGTCACTTCAGGCGGCGGCTTTGGTTTCAATGAAACAGTCGAGGCCCCAGATCGATATGGCGGCATTATCTTCACATCGCAGCGTGCAGTCGAGGCCTTCACATCTATAGTGGAATCCCTTGATCCTCGCACTCGAAATGAACTCTTACCCGAAGCTTTTCCATTGTATGTCGTTGGTCCAGCTACTGCTAGAGGGTTACGATCATTAGGTCTGAAATGCCAAATCATCGGGGAAGAGACTGGCAATGGCGCGGCCCTCTCTGCATTCATGCTGGACCATTACAACCGCCTTCCCACAAGCCAGACGGTAAGACAGGATCGCAAGCTTCCTCTTTTGTTCCTGGTAGGAGAGGTTCGTCGGGATATCATTCCCAAGTCCCTGCAGTCCCCTGATCTCTCCCAAGAAGCCCGCATTGGTGTTCACGAGGTTGTCATCTATGAGACTTGCGAGATGGCTTCTTTTCATATCGACTTCGCTCGTGCTCTCGAAGAAAACATTGCATCTGAGGCCATGGAGCAGTGGGTAGTCGTGTTTTCGCCACAAGGATGCAAAGCAATGCTCAACTGCTTAGGCTGGCTTGATGAGACCGGCCGCTACAGGTCAGAAGTCCCAGAAGCGTCACCACTCACAACATTCATCGCAACCATCGGTCCTACAACACGCGACTATTTGGTCAGCGAGTTCGGATTCGAGCCACATGTCTCTGCTGAGAAGCCCAGTCCCGAGGGCATCTATGCTGCCATTGAGAATTACAGGAACACGAACTCCGAGACGCAACTGTAAGGCACCTGGGCACAAGACACGGTGACATGGACGCGGTAAAGATCGAAAAGGAACGGAACAAGGCTAAGGAACAGTCAAAGCAATGCGACTCTGACGTGATCTGGCATGTACATAGATGAAGTAGGGCAGAGCATGAAGCAAAAGCATTCAACGTGAATCATGATATATTTTTGTAGCCTTGGAGCAGCCTTGTCTTGGCGGACCTCGAGGACCTCGGCGTCGCAGCAGGGACAACGATCACGCTCGAGCTGTAACACAATTATCAGGCATCGCTCGCACCGCATGAACGCCCGGACTCCAGCATGATCTCTTGTGCACAGCACCAACAATGATGCGAACGGTTTGGTTAGAGCAACTCGTCAATCCACGACATGGCCGCTGCAGTGTCTCCTCAGACGAGGCCCCGCGAAGACCAAACACCCAAAAAGTCGCCCACCGAGCCTAATGTCCTGAATGTCGTGTTGGGAAACATCCAGATCAAGCCATGGTATCCGTCGTTTTATCCCGAAGATCTTGTCGGCAGGAAGGCTGAACGCCTCTACGTTTGCGAATGCTGCTTCCGCTACTCGAAAGAGCTCATGCCATACCTAGCTCACAGAGTAAGACCGCATTACCAGCACACGACATTCAGGCCAAGCTGACACAGTTCAGAGGGTCTGTCCGCTCAAAGACTCGCCGCTGCCAGGGACTCTGATTTACCAGACGGGCGACCAATCAATATATGAGATTGATGGTGAAGAGCACAAGGTACGCACGAACGATCACTTCTAAGGATTGCCTGATGGCTAACATGCCGCGCAGCTGTATTCGCAAAATCTCTCCTTGTTCGCCAAGCTCTTCCTCGACACGAAGTCCGTCTTCTACGATGTCACCACATTTCGATACTACCTCCTCGTGCTTACGGATCCGCAGACGGCAGAGAGACATGTCGTGGGCTTTTTTAGCAAGGAGAAAATGAGCTGGGACAACAACAACGTGGCTTGCATTCTAGTCTTTCCTCCGTGGCAGAAACGCGGTCTGGGTCAGTTGCTTATGGGCGTGAGCTACGAACTCAGTAGACGCGAAGGCAGACTCGGTGGTCCTGAGAAACGTGAGAAATCATCCATCACCGATTACTCGTGCGCCACACTGACGAAACACCAGCCCTATCGAGTCTCGGAAGAAAGGCCTATCTGGCATACTGGTCAGCCTCGATCTGTAGGACCATCTTGTCAGATCCTTCGAATCGATCATGGACCGTAGACCAGATCGTTCAGCAAACTTGGATTGCTCCCGAGGATGTGGTCATGACCCTGAGCGAAACGGCCATGATCGAGCCGAACAAATTGCCCGATGGATCAGTCGTGTTGGTCAGGGGCAAGATCGAAACCTGGGTGAGGGCACAGGAGATTGCGGCAACGACACCAGCCATCGATACGAAGGCCTTTACTCAGCATTTCCGTGATCAAAAACACGAGCACGAGGTCAAGAGACGAGACTAAGCATGCAGGTCTGAGAAGAAAAGGAAGACGCATTTCGCATCCAGTTCCACATTTGCAAAACACAGGTGATTCTTGTTTCAATTTCGAAACCACGGCCCCTCTGCGTGTATCAATCTGGTAGCTTCTTCACCGGTCTCCGAATGGGTGTGAGCTGCAGGCAAGTTAATATGCGCATGTCGACAGACCTCAGTAGACGCTGAGTGGAGCCACCCTCGCCGTCGGCGGTTACTTGCACGAGGAACTATTCATCCTCTATGCACGACATTGACCGTATGGATCTTTGAGTTTGACAGTTTCTAGAAGCAATCCAACTATTGCGTAGTATGTAGGAAAAAGCTCGTCGTTAGACAGGAACAGACACAAAAGTACGTCGATGGTCAAGACGCCGTCGTGGCGGGCATGTTCGGACGAGTGAACGGATCAACCAAGTGACACGCCACACGAAGACTATCCTTACACTTCTGCATGACAGGCTGTCAAGTATCGAAGCGGTCTGCAGATCTCCGTCCTATTGCTCTAGCCTGCATGAGGAGGATGCACCTTTGCGGGGGCTCTCACTGTGCTGTGAAAATTTGGAATGGTAACGAACTGCAGGCTGCTGCAGTGACGATGTGGTGCAACTGGGTGATAGATCCAATCAAGTGGCATTGCCTCGAAGACGTAATGTCTTTACAATCGCACAACGTGGCAGGATGAGCATGTCACTCGCAGCAACAGAACAAGTCGAGGTCAATGGTCGTATCGCAATTCTAGAACGCGCTGAATGCGACGCTCATTGGCAATCTCTCGAGGCATGTCTCATGATCGTAAGCTGTCTCTGTGAGCGGTGTATCAACTTACAGTGCATGCGCTGTCAAAGAGCCCATCATAGTCGTCACATTCTGCCGGTGCGGGACGACGAGTTGTTTCTTAGGCGTACCGTACCCCTTTCGCGAGTCGCGAATAACGGCTGAACTCTCTCCACTTTCTGGCACCGCGACGCTCCGCCCCGTTGCATGTCAAGTTCCCAAAACCACAGTTACGGTTCTCCACGTCGCGCTAATAAAGTTAGACCATATCGTGAATAGAGTGCCTTTTGTCAAGTAATAACGAGCGAGATGCAGCAGCGTTTGGTCGCACAAATTGCGGACATGAAGCTGCAATATACCGCAAATTCTCGGTGGACAGGTCACCTTAAATCAGGTTCTCAGTGAAGGGTCATGCCAGGCCCATGATACATCCAGGAAACAATTGTCGAACCTTGATATATCACGACACCCAAGCAAGAGCCGAACGGTGATGGGAGGATTCCTGGCGGCAGGGATCGAATCTGAAACCGGTTGTGTCGGTAGAACAGGAAGATCGCCATACAGCTCACCGCCGGTTTGGACGTCCGGTATCCGGGAAGGCGAACGGTCGATCTGACATGGGTGTAAAGACTGGTAAGAGTTGCTCTGCATGAATTGCTCCTGTTTAGGCAAGTTTATCTACCTCCCTGACGTGGCCAGTAGATTGATTAGTATTCAATCAAGGGCATCTCTATTTTCGACGAGTGATCAAGGTGGGATAGATCGAGTTGGAAACAGGAGTTTCGTGCTCCAAGGAGGCATACAACAAATACATTAATCTAACAGAATTTGAGAAGGACCAAGCTCAAGCAGATTCGAGTGAGCTAGGTTCTGGAAGCCCTCCCAGCGAGAGCAAAGCCGTTGGTGGAGATAGGCAAGGAGTCTGTCTGGTCGGGTATCTTGTACTGTCTGGTGCATCCAGCCACGCGCACCAGGGTCCGGCTATGCTTCGACTGCGAGTGTCGTCGAGCAGGGCAATAAGCTTTACCGCGGAGAAAGTAGTATATTCAGGGATCAGTCGACAATCAAACCAAGAGATACATGGCAACCCTGGCTGATTGAGCACGGCAGAGATTGTGCTCGGGTTGGTGAAATGAAGAGGCAACTGTACGAGATATGGAGGGTCGAATGAAGGTTTGAGTTGAATTCGGGGACACGAGTCACGGAGGTTGGGCTGGAGCTTTCTGACTCGCACAAAGCTCAAGGCGGGCGGGCAGGCGTCTGGGAGCTCTTCTTGTCTGCGCTTCTTGTAGCCACTAGAGCTGCAGGACGGTCGCTGATAATTCTCAGCGCAGCTTTGATGCGTTTAGTGCTTGTAAGTCGTTGGGCTTCTTTCTACGACGGAGGCTAGAGCCCTAGACAAAGACGCTAGAGACTGAGCGTACTTGGGAGTCGGGACCATAGTTCGTGTCTAGCATGCTCCTGGCCCTTGCCCAGTAGCGTGGATCCGCAAGAGAAAGGACGACTTTTGTCGACAAACGAGATCGCGGCGCGCACACCAGCGTTTGATGGACCCAGCGAATCGCACTCTATCTTGCAGGGGACGAGCAAATCGCAAAGATTCGACCTCGACGGCCATCCGTCATACTCTGCCAGGATCAAGTCATCATACTCGACTCGACAGCTCAAACTCGCGACTTGCAACTGTCCTGCACGCTGCTCTCGCCCACGCTGTTCCCCTGCCACTGCTGATACCGCCATCGCCGCCGCATCAAGATCTGACCAGATCTGATCTGATCTGATCTGGACTTTGAGCAGGTGCCATCTCACAGGTCACTGTACAAGGCCTCAGGTCGAACGTCCCCTCTGCTCATCTCCGACCGTCGCCGTCTCTGTTCGACCGAGTACCAAAGCTCAAGTGCTTCTGCTTCGCTCTTGCCCCTGCTGTTGCCACTGCCACTGCCACTGCCGCCCTGATCTGCCCTATCTGCCCACCTACCTGTCCTGCGGAGTCCTACGTGCACGCTTGCAACGTCTGAGCGCCACTGACACGGACAGCCGTCTACGAGTAGCAGCCGCCGGTCCATGGATCAACGACGTGCGCCCCTTGCCGGCCCCGACCAGCACTATCATCGTCCTTCGCTCCCTAACGACCAGTCTGTTCCTCCCTCGAATCAGCACATCTACCCTCCACCAAGACCACACAGTCTACCCAGTGTCGACTCCTTGCACCCTCCCCCACCACCGTCGCATCAATATCACGGCCCACAACCACCTTCCACGGTGATACATCCAGCGCCGCACCCTGAAGGCTCGGACAGGGCTGATCATCCAAACACGGCACCACCTGCTGTCCACGGCACTCCTCTCATCAAGTCTGACGTTCCCCCTGCGCCGCCCCAATACCCTCGTCCGCCCAGTAACCCTTTGCAATCCCATCCCCATCCTCAGTCACAGCAACAACATCATCCCGGGCAACCGCCCAACTCTCGACCACCCATGGACCATCCGCAAGTCGCTTATGCGCATCATCCACAACACCCGCAAGGCGAACATGTCAACTATGTAGTAGCACCAATGCTGGATCCGTATGGCCAGCCACCGCCAGGCTATTATCCACAGCACATACAATACATGAATCCGACCATGCAAATGACAAACCCAAACTCGCGCAAGAAGAGTATGCGCGCCAGTCAGGTAGGCCAACTCACGTCTTGACTCTTGTTGATGATTCTTATCTTTATACACAGGCCTGCGATAGATGTCGTGAGCGTAAATCCAAATGCGATGAAAATCGCCCTTGTGCAACGTGCAAAGACCAGAACCTGGAATGTATTTACAAAGACACACATCCCACCAAGGCCGACAAGAGTAACCAGGCTCTCTCTGACATGGTCACTGAAGTTCTCATGTCCATCAAAACCATCAGTGATCGACTCGGTGTTGTAGAGAACCACCTCGCCCTCGGCAATTCGACGCTGACTCGCGTCGATACGCCTAATGGATCCAGCCAGAATGGCTCAAGCACTGTGGCTGTAGCCCTCAACGACTCTGTGGAGCTGGCTGGAGTCCAACAGCAAAGCTGGGAACTCGGCGAACACACCACAGCAGCTCACAAGTTGTTGCTTCGTTGGCCATCCATCCAACCATTCGTACGAACCAGTAAATGCAATATCCAGGAAAATTATGTCATGAAAGGCGAAGACCGTGGCCTCTTACGTCTTTACGGAGCTGGCGAGCGCGACAGAGATGACAAAGCAGCCATCGGCGCCGCAAGTCCTGCAGGCAGTGCGAGTGGAGAAGATCTTATCGCTTCGACTCCTGAAAACGATAGCCGACGATCCGAGCCATTCACTCCTGGTTCTCCCGCCATGGCTATGGACATCGACACTATTGATAACTTGTTCATTTCATACAAGAAGAATATCCATCGACTGCATCCATTTGTTGACGTTGAGAGTTTTGGAAGATACCTCAAGGAGTTTCAACAAAAACACTGTGCAGAAGTCAAATATGCTCACTCGCCATTGTTTGTATCAAATGGCTCTGGTGAGCGGGAGGCTAAGCGAAGGAAGCGCAACGACAACTATGCCGTCGGCCTTCTGCCTGGAGACTATCCGAGCAGCTCCGCGTCGTTGCCGCCCAAGCGTGCGCCGGACAGGACAATCACCAATGCGATCGTATATTTAGTTCTTGCCTTAGGAAAAATATGCGAGGCTGGTGATCCACTTCCTGGTCCGGTCCAAGAACTCGGTCCGGTGGGTAAAGCTAACGCTCTTCAGGGCACGATGGCATCGCCTGTTGTGAAGCCAAGTGCATCTTCACCGCGACAGTACCTTAGCAACGTCGCAAACTCTTCTGCTGGAGTCACACGGGCTCAATCTTGTGATGGCACGGGCAATCAGATATCGGACAGGAGGCAGGCTCAGAACATCGAAAAGATAGCTGGCTTCGTCTACTATCGGGAAGCGGCCTCGATCCTTGGTGATTTTACAGACTCAAACGAGCTCGCAGCTGCCCAAGCGCGTCTCCTGGCCGGCCTCTACAAGGGCCAACTTGCTAGAGTTCAGGAGAGTTGGAGCTGGATAAATACGGCTGCACGGACATGCCTTTACCGTATGAAGATGTAAGTTTGAGTCCCTTGACATGTCAGAAAATTGCACTGACATGAGTCGCAGCGATGGCCTGGACAACTCGCTCGAGAAGATGAAGAAAAAGAAGCGAGCACTGACCAATCACGAGAATTTGACCATCCTTGCATTCTGGTCAGCATTACAGCTTGAGAGGTATGTGGTTGAAAAAAGTATGGTTGTTTCAAGCTAACCTGTCGACAGTGACATCCTCGCTGAGTGGGATTATCCACGCAGCGGTCTCCATCTACTCGAAAAAACAGTTATATATCCTGAGCAGTACATACCGCAATCACCAAACTGGTCCCAGGACGAACGAGAAAAGTACATCGTGACACTGTACTACTCGGCCCAACTCTATCTACGCACGAAGCTGAATCAGATCCACACGGGCTTGTATGGAGGACAATGTATGATTTCCGGTATTACATCGTGATGAGCCATCGCTAACGACGCCTAGTATCTGCAGAAGATCCGCGTAAACTTGCGGATCTCCTTTGGCAGCAAGAGGAGGACTTACAAGGCTGGCAAACACTCATGCCAACTTACTGTTGGTCTGACGATGATCCACCCGCTTCCGACATTGTGGTTGCACGTCTAAGAGGAAAGTATTACGGCGCTCGTTACGTCTGCACCCGACCATATTTGGACTTCGCTCTACACGTCATGCCCGGGCTCGGAGAAGGCAAAACCATTGAAGAGCTGACGAGAGATGCGAACGGTAAACAACGAGAGACCGAGCTTGCGCTATTCACAGCCATTAACATGTACCACGGCGAAGAAGACATCAAGTCCAAATGCCGCATTTGTATCGATGCCGCCCTGCGCAGCACGGTAGCATTCGACGGTGTAGAGAATTTTGACCACCGCTTGATAGTCACAAACATCATGGGCACTGCTCATGCGTAAGTCCGCTCAAGTCGTGAATTCGTCGTAGATCACAGCTGATTATCTCCAGACAATTCGGCAACATGCTGGTTCTTGCAGCAGTTTACAATTGCAAAATTGACTGGTTGGAACAGCTGGTTTCTAAGGACAAGCTGCAAAGTTTGCTCCATCGCACCATCGCTTTCATCCGACGTCTTCAACATGCTTCCAGTGTGGCAGTCAGCGACATCCTGATCCTCGAAGCAATCGACCGCACCCTGTTCCCTGACGGCACTGACATCTACAAGAACGAAGGCCTGACTGGCGACTCGCTCGGATCAGGAGACTCTTTCAACTCCATCGATCAAATTGTCTGAAGTCATTGAGTTATCAATACCGCTCTTGTTTTTGAAGCGCATGTCTCGTAGTGAGGACTCGTCACACTCGAGATCCTTCACCCAGCTTATTGCTTGCTTGTTGCATAAACGTATCATGGCTTTGTATATCTCCTTACTTTTATTGGCATCCTCGGCTTGCAGGAGAGGGATTCCTATCTTTCGGTGATTTTTTCTCAATGTTTTCTTTTTCTAGCATCTCGGGACATACCCCTTACGCCTCTGCTTTAGCCGAACAGCGTGGAGGGCATGTTTTTCTTGCTTTCTTTTCTTCATCATGTTGTTGTTTCGTCATTTCCCGGGATTCGGAGAGAAAAAAGCGAGAGAGTAATGCTGCATACCACTTGTTCTGCCCTTACGAAACTGGCGGACAAGTTGACGACTTGGGGAGTTTTGCTCATTTGAAGGCGTTCTTCGCTTTGAGCGTGATTTCTTGTTTTGGCTTCATCTCGTCTTTCGCTAATGATCAATAACGAATCATAATCTATACATCTGCCCATTTTCATCGGCCCATTTTCATCGAGGCTTCGAACACTCTTTAATTTGGTCATGCTGTGTGGTCAGTCTTTCTCTCTAAAGTTGTTCGATCGAATGGTGATAACACTTCTTCATGCCGTACCCAACAGAACCAGTGCACAATGTTCGTCTGCGTGCGCATTATTCCCGGTCGAATCGTGCTAGCTATAAACATTACTTCCTCGTCTTCACAGAAGCACGTTCAACCCTTCTTCATGATCACCCTCATCTACTCCAAGCTCGTCGCAGATGTCACGATGTGATGTCTGGCAAATTACTGGTCGCTCTTGCTCGCAGTCCCCAAATGGGTTTGCATTTCCAGATATCCATCGATCCCTCGATTTCCCAAATTGTCCCGACGATTTCTTCTTCTCGAGTTTCGGAGGGAGCGACCCTCGCTATTTTTCTCATCGTGCTGAGAGTGGTAGGCCTCAATCGGCCTTGCATTCATCCTGCGTGATACTCGTTTGCTCTTGTTTCTATTCATGTCGCCCCTGCACTTCAGGTCACCACTAGCCAAGGGGAGATACGGCCATCTAACTCGTCCTGCCGACAGGTGATCATATACCCTCAGAAGTTGTCTCAAACGATACAAAACCAGCAACAAAACTCAACCCAGTCACTCACCACCAATACAAGTAAAGTAACAATCATATTTTCCCCCTTCACTTACCAGTCACAGACCAGTAGAAAGCAATGGGGCGAGAGAGAAGTAGTTAGGAATTGCGGAAGAGGAAGGTAGGGATGAGAGAAAGAAGGAGAATTGCGAGGAGATGGAGGTATTTATAGGAGAGCTGGGAGGTGCCTGCTTACATAAGTATTGAGTCCAGTGATCTAGGCTGCCAGTTCACATGATGTGGGTATTTGACTCAATCTCACTCGTGGTGAGTGGGGGTGGCCGGGAGCGAAGACAGCATGATGGGGAAGTTGCATTGGGAAACACTACTCACTTGATGTTTGGTCAGGCAGTCTGCATGTAGAGGATGATAGCTGACGCTCTGGAAAGTCGTGAGACTCTTCTTCTCCATCAGCTGCCCATACACGCGATTCTTTCGATATCGACAACCCTGTACTCCCAGTCGACTCCCAACACGACCGACACAGTCCTGTTCTCTACGAACCATGCGAATCGATGTATTGCTCCCTCACTTTCCAGATCAGCGTCAAGGGACATGTTGCATCTTGAGGAAAAAAGCGCACTGGATATCGAACTATAAAAAAGACCATTACCGCACCGAATCAGAGATAAGAAAAAAGCAAATCCGTCCCGACATCTACACCGAGATCCTCGTCTTGGAACCTTCCAAAGTCCACACGCCAATCATTAATCTAATCATTGAACGCTGGTTGAGTGAGCACAAATCTAAGAGCCGTTGATCCCCTTGCGCTTTTCAACAGCAAGTGGCGACCCGTGAACAGAGTCATTACGTGCCTGCCCACCAGCACCATTAGGCATCTGCGCCATCCAAGCCGGCGGCAGCATACCAGTCTGATCCTGAATTGTCGAGAACAGCGGAGGCAAACTCTGCATGATATTCCTAATCGGAGCAAAAGAGTCTGCAGCACTGCCATCCTGGGCTCCAGTAGTCCAGACGTTGATTTTTGGCTGAAGTCCTCTGATGGCTTCGGCATTGGCCTTTGCGAGTTGGACGGGAATGTTGCTTTGGAGCATCATCCAGTCGCGTACGCCGGCTGGGCCGCCGAGGACGGAGGAGAGTTTTTCGTAGGCGGTGGCGAGCTGGATTATTCCGGCTGCTTCGCGTTCGTGGCGGACGTAGAGGGCTTCTGCTTCGGCTGTTTTGATCTTCAAGTCACCGAGCGCGTCTTGTTGTGCGCGGTAAAGGGAAGCGTCGGCGTTTTTGCTGTCTTGCATGAACTTTGCGTCAACGTTCCTGCTGTCTTGCAAGAACTTTGCTTCCGTCTCGCGTTGCTTCCTGTGGAAATGACCGTCGGCTTGCTTCTGGATAGTGTACAATTCGAGATCGGCGGTCTTGGACTGTTGGAAAGCGTTGGCTTCGGCGGCTTGACGAGCCTTGTACAGCTGCGCATCGGCATCCTGTGCTGCGGACTCCTTTGCGACTTTGGCCTTTGTGACGTGAGTGGCTCTCATACGCTCAAGCTCCATCAAAGCTTTGCTCTCTTGAACGCCTTTCTGGAGATCAGCGTCTCTGAGTTCAGCAGCGCGCTCGGCTTGGATGCGCTCAATGTTCAGCTGTCTCTCGATCTCGATCTCTTGAGACTTGAACTTCGAGTCTGCCTTTGCCTTTTCGATCTTACGCTCAGTCTCCTGGACGGCTGTGTAGGCGTTGATCTTGGCAATCTCTTGCTTTGTCGTTCCTACGTTTCTAGCTTCTCCGACATCACCCTGCATACCTGTTCTCGTGTGTCAGCGGTTGTAATGTGGAATAATGAGGGTACGGAAAACTTACGAGCTGCTGCTACATCCGTCTTGGCCTGGTTCATTGCACCTTCATGAGCCTTCTTTGACTGGAACTCAAAGTAGTGCGATCCAGGCATATCGCGAAGTTCTTTGATACTGGCGTTGTAGATGTGAAGACCGAACTGGGTAAGTTCTGACTGAACGTGCTCGACGACTCTTCTTCTGTAGATGCCGCGTTGCTGGAAAAGCTCGCCCATGGTGATCTCAGAGACGATCGAACGTGTTTCACCTTCGACAATACCCATGATGATGGCTTGGATATGCTCGCGGTTAGGGACCAGGGTGTCGGAACTGCCGTCAGTCATCAAACCAGCGTACTTCATAAGGGATTCTTCATCATCCTTTGGACCGATCGTGAAGACTGCTGGTAAGCAGACTTGAAGCTTCTCCGATGTCATGGCCTGCAAGTCGGTCGTGAAATGGAAAGGAGTGACCGAGATTTTGGTGACTTTTTGGAAAGGCCAGACCATGGCCTTCTTGGTGAGCTTCAGTCCTTTGACACCTGCGCCAGTGATGACGAGGTAGGAATTAGGCTCCGCAGCATGATATCCCCAAACCATCTTGATGTATAGGTAAAATAAAATTTGATCTGAACGGAGAGTTGAGTGTGAGACGGAGAAAGGTGAAGAGAAAGACTGGAAGTGATTCTTTATATACTTGGGTGGAAATCTCAATACTGCGCATATGACTGGTCATTTGCACGGCGAAGCTATCTGAGACCTCGAACAGGCTGACATGCCTTCGGATGAGCCACGACATACGGCCCTAACAACATGCCGTATCTGCCTGGTTGGAGCTGGGGAAAGTCAGGCGGTGACAAAGATGCTCTTTGATTCTCAGGAAACCACATGTCAGCGCAGACAATTACTAGTCGAGCGGCCCGTCGGCATGCTAGCCCGAACCGTTACGGGTTTGAAGTTCAAGCAAGTGGTGCAAGTCTCTTGGCTTGAGCAGAATAGAGGTGGAGTTGGGAAATCCCTCCACAGTCATTGGCTGCCAAGCCACACGGCTGTGGGCAGGCTCGGTGAAGCCGAACTTCCAGAAGCGCGTTGGAAGGATTCGAGAAGTTGCCTGGAAAGTAAAATCAGGCACCTGACTGTGCTCATCGTGAATCCGTCGAGGCTCAGGAGCTTGTACGACTTATGATCCTCCAGGCACATACACAGCCGTGAAGCGCAGTGAGTCAGCCTGCTCCTCGGTCGATCGGACCTCAAAAGAAGTCCAACAACGCGCGCATAGCTCCTCCTTGCAGAAAGCTCCGACATGATGGACAACCCTCCCCCTTACGAGAAAGGGTACTCGGGTAGACCGAACAGAGACGAAAACGAGGACACGAAGACGACGGATCGACCATACAACTTGGACGATCAAGCGACAGCGTCCCGTTCTATGTTAGTGTCTGCCACAGCGGACAAAGTCCATACAGCGCTAGAACATAGAGCGTGGTACGGTATCTCTAGAGCGACATTGGTGGTCATACCTTCAGGGCATGAATGCGGTAGGAGCAAATCCTCAGTGACAGCGAGTGTTATGACTGACATTTAGCAGACTTGTCCGGGCCATACAAGATCGCCGATTTTGATGAGAAACCTATAGTGATCGAGCTGACTGGGGAGCTCAATAGCGTGTATTTCTGGTCGCAGTCTCAAGCAGTTGACGAGCTGCGCAGACAGGTTGCCTCAAGGGTTGGCGGTGGAAGAGGTAGCATGCTACAAGTCAAGGCAGATGAGGTTCACGTCCGGTATGAGACGCCCTTCGGATTGTATGATACGAAGAAGGTTATGGCGATCGTGGTAGAGATGGGTTGACATGGTCGTTTCAAGATTTGGCGTCGTTTGCCTTGACATCTCCGTTTGAATCGAAGCCCAGATTGTACAGTTGTCGAATGAGCTCGTCAATCTTAATGACCTTTTGATACTGCTCAGGAAGCAGAACGTCACCCTTCTCTTTCTTGTCCTGTAGATCGCGAGCCTGGCGTAGCTTCTTGGCCAGTTTCTTAGCCTCCTTTGTCTTTTCAACCTCCGGGTCGACAAGTTCCTCCTTTACGGCTTCAGCAGGAGCAGCAGACACGTTTGATTTGGTTACAGTAGACGTATCCTCCTTTGTGGGAGCAGAGGCTGCGGCCTTCTTCCTGGCTTCTCTGCGTTTTGCATTCTTGTTGGCAGCGGCAGAGGGAAGGTCTTTTGTCGCGGGTGTTGTGTCGGCGCCTGGAACACCACCTTTGCCACGATTCTTATACGCTTCGGCAGTGCGATTCTTGTATAGCTCGACATCCTCCGGAGGGCGGTAGCCAGGACGTACGCGGATTTCTTTTCTCAAAGACCCATCGGGACGTACGGAGGCGGGAATGTGTCGCTCGCCAGAGGCTGAGGTTGTGATGCCCGCGCGGGAAACTTTGGTGGCTTCGGTAGGCATCTCGCTGCCAGTCGATTAGACAGCCTTTTGACCAGGCGTACTCAGTGAATCGAATTGACGGGAGGGCAGCAAACAGACATGCCAAGCAAAGTGCTGACCATGTCAATTGGCTGACCGCGTCCAACGGGCCCGTGCGCACAATTGGATGTTCGGCGACGGCTTCCCTCATCGCCATCAAAGTAGCAGATCCAGCACACGAACGTTCAGTCTCGCCCATCCACTCTTCACAATGGCCTCCTCCGTAAGTTCGTTGTCTACGCGCTTCTTGCGCTCCCTCACTGACTCCGTTTCCAGGCTCTCCAGGGTGTTTACAAGTCCGTCTTACTCCACCACCTCGCCCTTCCTCGATCACATTCTGACTCTGCTCAACAGCACCATCTTCCGCAAGAACTACGTCTTCCTCAGCGTCGTCTTTGTCAGCGCCTTCGGCTTGGAGATGTACGCCCGCTTCTCAATCAATTCCTCGCTCTACTGTACATGGTCTGACCCTTTCGCAGCGCCTTCGACAACGCCTCCAACAGCGTCTGGAACTCCGTCAACAAGGGTGTACGTCTACGTCCACATTCACATCCCCGAGTCATCGCCAGAATCCGTCTACTGACACAACCTCTAGCGCCAATGGAAGGACCTCAAGCAAAAGTACATGGAGAACGACGACGAGTAGACGTTATGGTCCACGCAACTTCCCGACCGATAATAGACTCCTTCTGCCCTTTCATGTATCATATCTGAAAAAATCCTCAAGCGCTCTTCCAATTCCAACTTCAGACAACTTCCGGCCCTTCTTTGATGAAGATGATGATACCAGCGTGACGAAGGCCATGCAAACTGTATCACGCTTGCAGAGTTGTTCATTTGCATCGGTCCATTTCCGCCAGGCAATCATAGAATATCTGAACGCTCATGTGCGTTCTGTTGGTCGGCCGAAGCGATGGACCGGCACATATTTTTCCAGACACTCTACCTTACCGAATCGCTCTCAAAACGCAGCCATGTTATTCCACGTCCGGCGAACTGTCGGCAGATATGAGTTATGCAAGTATGTGAGTAAATCATGCATGTCTGCTAGATCTATCAATATGAAGACACGAATCCGCTATCTCCGGATGATGTTGATTCTTCGAGGCTTGTGCTACAACGTGTGGAGCCGTGTTATTACGATTGTCATGGTAAGTCGACTTAGGCTTCTCGCGTCGTGCCAGAATCTAGATTATAATTACCAGCACTTTACGTTCTCGAAGTGCATATCGTGCGATACGTGTTGCCGGCCGCTAATGATGTCACTTTGACTAGAAGAGCCCTACCAACCTTCGATCCTGGGCCACCGCAAGATCGCTCAGCACATGTCCACACAAGCAACTTGATCACTATTAAGAAGTCAGCATATCGATATGCCTTCGTGGGACAACACACCCAGCGGCACGATGACCGCCGCAGCGCTGTCATTACCGGGCGCCCAACCGCCATCTAAATGCTTCACCATAGAAAATTATTACCCCAAGCCCACACTTCCATCGCAAAAATGGGTTCTAATAAAGGTCAAGGCCGCCGGTCTGAATCGAGCTGAGCTTCGTGGAAGAAATGGCGATCAGCCAGCACCACCTGAGTTCGGAATGTTTGTTGATGAGTTCCATCCCGATCCACCAAAAGTCCTTGGTAGGCCACGCCCAGCTTCATTCTTGACGACCTTAACTAACAGCAGTACAGGCGAGGAGTTTGTTGGGATCGTCGAGGAGGCAGGCTCCGAGACCAAATTTGGAAAAGGTGACATGTGCACTGGCTTCATCTATGGAGGCGGCAAGGCATTTGATGGAGCCTACGCCGAATATGTCATCTGCCCAGCTCAGCGTTGTTTTAGGCTACCTGAGACTTCTCTGTCATGGGACGTGCTGGGCGCAATTACAATGTCCATGTGGACAGCATACGGATCCCTGTTTGAGGCAGCTCAGCTCGCTAAGGGCGCGACTGCCCTCATCCATGGAGCAACAAGCAGCGTCGGCGTATGGGCTGTTCTGCTAGCCAGAGATCATGGATGTACCGTCATTGCCACTACCCGTAAAAAGGACAAGGTCGCAAAGCTCAAATCGATCGGAGCAGATCATGTTGTTCTCGAGGATGAGCTCAAGGAGCAGCTGAAGAGATTGGCCCCAAAAGGTGTGGACTGCCTACTGGAGCTGGCGGGACCCGACACCATCCAGACGCTAGCTCTGCCCAACCTGGCAAAGTACGGGTCTGTAGTGGTTACTGGAGTTCTTACCAAGCAATGGTCTATGAAAGACTTCACACCCGCACTCATCCCACCTACTCGGAAAATGACTTTCTACAGCCTGGAACCCGGACAGGAAGATATCGAAGGCGTGGAGAGTGTGATTGCAGATGTGATCAGCAGAGTAGAATCTGGGACATTCAGGTCTGAAATGTTTCTTGACAAGACATTTCCATTGGAGAGAATAGGTGAGGCACATGGGTACATGGAGGAGAATAAGGCAATTGGGAAAGTTGTTGTGACTGTACCTTGAGCATCACTCGACACAGAGAGTCTATAACAGAAGGGTGTGATTGGTCTTCGCAAGATGAGACATCTCTGAACGTGAGACCATGTGTTTGGGGTGTGCTCAGATAATGAGTCTAAGACATGTGTTTGATGACAATTGAAATCAACAATGCTCCTCGTCTATCTCAAGAAATCTACATTGACAGCAATCAGCGTGATGTTTGAACATCGAAGTGCCTCTTAGAGCACAGCGAAGAGGGAGCTTGAGTGAGCTGCCCGGATTCGGAAAGGGTCGGAAAGTTCTTCCGAGGCCGGCCGGCTGACTAAGTGAAAGGCGGTCTCAGGCTGCTGCTTCAGCTTGGACTTCGCCAACAAGACATCCTCCCCTTTGTATTCCATCAACCACACGACACAATCATCAGCCGCGACTCACCACGGCTCACCACGGCCATCACATCAGTCGTCTCGATTATCTACGCCAAATCGCATTACATCGCCCAAGCGCGCCCGTCGATAAGTGCAAGGAACGCGCCATCGTCGCTCAGTGAGTCAGCCGCGCAAGATCTTCACACGAGCAAGTGGAAGTGTTTGAGGAGTTGGTCTGAGAGGAGGGACAAGTCTGCGACTGTGCATGTTGCATACCCACATACAAAATCTTTGCCCTGAGGTCTTCACATCACCAATACACTCTTTCTCCCCTTTTACTCAGAGATCCTGTACCCCAGCTCTATTGCAATAGTGTTTAGTGTCTTGAAGACCTCCTAAACCTTCAGAAAAAGAACAAAGTCAAGAAGAAACATCCTACCATAGTCGGTATTCGCACGAGGCAAAATCTCAATAAGACCTATTGTCCTTCTTTGACAATCTGAGCCTGGAATCCATCTGGTTTCTCACCTTTCGGCTGTACTACTGCCTTCCTCTAGCTTTAAAACGTCCTTTGTGGTATCCCTAACCATGTCTTCTTCCGTTTTCTTCAGATTCAAGAACCAGAAGGATGTGCAGAGAGTGACCTTTGATGGCACTGGCATCTCCGTTTTTGAGCTCAAGCGAGACATAATCAACATGAGCAGACTCGGCGATGGCACTGACTTCGACTTCAACATCTACAACCTCGACACCAATGAAGGTAGGCGACAGTTGAGCCTGTGATACATATCATGAAACTAACCTCACTCAGAATACAACGATGACACTTCCATTATTTCCCGCGGAACCACCGTTCTTGCAAGACGTCTTCCTGCTTCTAAGCCCGGCGCCGGCAGAGCCGCACGCTATGTTTCCGGCAAGATGCCCGTCATGGCGAAGAACCAACATCGCATCGAATCCTCGAGACCCGCCGCCGCGACCAGAACGCCCATGGGCAACGGTGCTCCTCAAGAGATGAACATGAATATGACAGAAGAAGAGAAAATCGCGGCCATGTTTCAAGCTGGAGGCGCCCAATGGGAGCAGCAACAGCAAGAGATGGCTAACCAGAAGGCCGTCCATCGCCCTGGTGGCTTTCAAAAGATAGCAAACGTTCCCGACAAGCCTCTCCCCCCAGGCTACACTTGCCACCGTTGTGGTGAGAAGGGCCACTGGATTCAAGCATGTCCTACCAACAATGACCCCAACTTCGACGGTCGCCCCAAGTTCAGACGTACCACTGGTATCCCACGTTCCTTCCTCAAGGTCGTCGAAAAACCTACTGCGCTCTCGAGCGACGGTACCATCGACGTTTCTCAATTGCCCGCTGGTGTCATGTACACGGCTACTGGAGAATGGGTCGTTGCAAGACCAGATGAGGCTGCGTGGGAACAGTTCCAAGCTAAGGCCAAAGCAGCCGCCGACAAGGCCGATGCTGCCGACACAAACAGTCAGGAGCTGAGCGAGAGAGGTTTGGAATGTCCTATTGACAAACGCATGTTCGTTGATCCAATGAAAACTCCTTGCTGCGGGAAGACATATTGCCGTGATTGTATCGAGAACGCTCTTCTTGAAAATGACTTTGTCTGCCCTGGTTGTTCCTCAGACAACACATTAGTTGACAATCTCGTCCCTGATGAGGAAGCTGTAAACAAGATCAAGGTCTACGAAGAGGACAGAGCCAAGACGAAGCTGGAGAAGGAAAAGGAGAAGTCCGCTACCCCACCACCGACTGAGCAGCAGTCTACCAACGAAGCTGCTGCAATCGACAGAAAGTCAAACTCGCCAAAGCCAGCATCAGTAGACGGAGAAAAGTCCGCTGCCTCGACTCCACAAATTGCCGCGGCCGCCGAGTCAAAGAAGCGACCCGCCGAAGACGAGTTGGAGAATGCTAGAATCCCTACAGGTCCTGCAGCTATGCGCAAGCAGAACAACGCATCTCAACCACCAGCACAGGGAGGCGCCTTCGATCAGAACAACTTCATTCAATCTATGAACGCACTCGCCAGCCAACAGGGAGGCATGCCAGGAATGGGTGGCTTCAACCCAGCCATGGGCATGGGCTTCCCCGGTGGTATGATGGGCATGCCGGGAATGCCGATGAACATGATGGGCATGCCTAACCAGCTGATGATGAACGGAGGGTGGGGCGGCATGAACTTCATGAATGGCATGAATGGTATGAACGGCATGAACGGCATGGGCTTCCAACAACAGCAGCAACAGCAGCAACGGGGAGGAAACATGTACGGAGGCGGCTACATCAACAACAACCAAATGATGGGCCAAAACGGAGGATACGCACAAGGCCAAGGCCAAGGTCAAGGTCAAGGCCAGCAGTGGCAAGGCAACCAGAACTGGAACAACGCAAACAACAACAACAACAACAACAACAACCAGCAACAAGGAGCCGAGGGCGATGATGGCGCCTACATCCGCCGTCCCGTCAACCCGCATCGTCAGCAAGCACGCAACCGCAGACAGCGATCAGTCGACTACCGTGAGATGTGAGCCGATAGCCTGGGGGCACACATGTCGGCAACCTCTCCTTTGTTATCGCATTTTTCCTTTGGACGCCAGAAACATTCAGCTGGTTCCTTTCTATTTTATCATCAAGCGTTGGCGTTGGTTGGCAGTGCACAGAACAGAGGCCATGTTTTTGCCTTGATCATATTGGGAGGAAGGAAAGTTTGGGAGAGTTGGAGGAAAGCCGCAGGCACATTATCAATCCGATATGGGCAGTTGTCCACTGTAAATACCCAACAACAAATTATGAAGACATGTCACAGAACCCTTTCTGTGCCAATGGCCTTGTGACCAAGCAGAAGCCATGACCCTGCAAAAAGCATGTGAAACCACCGTTTGATGTCATTGTTACGGTCTCGAGATGGCGTGACAGGAGGCTTTGGAAGGCCAATCTCGACTGGCGGTCGGGTTGATACGAGAACGTTCTATCCACCCAACATCGAACATGATGAGCTTTAAGAAGTGAGCGCGTGTAGTGAAATGTAATTGGTGACACGGCAGGTGAACGATGAATAGCCGTTAGAGAAGACTATCGGTCCATGGGTTGAGTTTGTGAGTGATAGCGACAGAGATCGTCACGTGAAGCGGGGCTTGGTCCTTCCTCGAAGGGTCCGACGTCGATTCATAAATCCTGTACAGGCCCTGCGCATCTTGCCTCGATCCAACCACAACCAAACCACTCCGTCCACTTTCCACGCACTCGCAACCCTTCGCAAAGACTCTACGTCTCGCCAACTCGTCTCCGACAACCCTTCCAAACCGTACAGCCCCGGCACGCAACCGTGGCATACCCTTTCAATGGCGAATTATTCCAATCAACCCCGTAATAGTAGTAGTAATTACTACCAGGCGACCAAGGAAGTCGCCGCCCGTTCGAACATCCAGGCCAGCGCCTACACCGTTGATGCCGTCGACATGGCCCTGAAGGGCTTCCACTACTCTACCTGCGGGGCAGGCGGTACGTACTTGCATACCCTTCGTCTCTTATTGGTAGAACGGAGGACGGTGGCTAACGTGTGTTGGCACAACAGGAGCGGGGTGGTGGGTTTGAGGTGAGCACGGGAATACCGTCACCGCCGCCGTCTCCGCGCGCGACGCCAGCCAACAGGGCTTCGTCGTCGTCGCCGCAGCGTCCGGGCCTCAAGGCTCGCTCGCGCAGTGGAGGCGCCGCGTATACCATCACGGAAGAATGTGAGAGACTCTTCTGCGAGACACTGGACACCGTTTTTCTTGGTGAGGGAAACACCGTCGCTCAGGACTCGCTTGTGATGGGTGCGCGTTACAACAACAAGACAAGCAACGACAGAAGCGCCCCGCTGCCTTCTCCTTCGCCCTCGGCCGACAGCGCTATCGACATGGCTGTTCCAACCACTGCTGTGCGCGAGTGGGTCGAGATCTGGGAGTATGCTGCTGGACTGCGCTTCCGTGGCTTTGTCTCGGACAAGAATGGGATTAGCACCCTGTTCGTCTTTTTCGATAAGTCGGTCATCGGACCTGATCTTAAGAACGGGTATGTCTAACGCTCCTGTCTTTTTATGCTACAGTTCACTAACCATCGCCGACAGCCTCATGTGCCTTCTCGAGCTGGCCGGTAACGACGACCTTGGTTGCTCCAACCTTGTCGTCTGCCTCGATCGCTCTGCCGACCAAGAAGACCTCAAAGACTTGACCCGTGACCTCGGCTGGGTCGGCTTCGAGCTTACTACCCTCGACCGCTGGTCTAAGGGCGTTGCTTGCACAAGTGACAAGTGGATCTTCCTTGACATGGAAGTCTAAACTATCCTATCCTCCTGAATTGATGCAAACGTGCATCGAAGAATCATGCTTCCCTTTGCGTTTCGTGACCTTTTCAGTCACTGGAGGCGCCCGTTTATTGGTCTGAAGATGCTTTCCTTTTGACGTCGTCTTGCAAGTTTGATCTGCTTTGCTTTGATTTGCTTTGCACGGCACTTCCGTCTCCTATCCTGTTTCCTTGCTTTTAATCCCTCTTGGTACTTGCTACTTCCAGTATCCCAGTTTGTATCATAGGAAACCGTATCTTTTTCCTCCTCACCACTCTGAACTCTTGTGCATGAAAACATGTGAGCGGAGCGTAATCCCCCATATGTGTAGTTTAAGATACTGTCAATCTTGATACATTGTATCCTTATCGTTTTCACTTCGAGAAGAACTCGGGACATGAAAATTGCTATGCTAGTCTCTCGAGACATGAAGTATAGTAAGTCAAGAGGAGGGATCCACAACACCGGTCCGATTATCCGATGTTAGGGTACAGTCATCGAAGCACTCACGACATATGTGGCAGTCGAGTCTGACCACGAGAATTCCACAATGTCCATGGCTCTTGAGTGTTGGCTGTTAAGGAATACGCTTGACAATGTCTTAGCGGCTTCTGATATCATATCTTCGAGGTATGTGCATTTGGATATTGCGAAGCAGTATTGATGATTGATGTATGGTAAAGACAGTTGTCTTCTGAGTCTGATTTACGGCTTATTGTGGGAGCTTATCTAGTAGGTGAGGCGATAGTCTGGTTGCACTTGAGACTCTTTCCTGTGCTTGTGATACCTTTCCTGCTGACGTGCATCATTGAGTCCTTGCCAATCACTATGACTTGCTTCGGGGTTGTAAGATCAGATCATTAAAGGCCAGTTGGTTCGTGATGGATTGTTCAGTCACTGTACCTTCGACATGGGACTCCAAGGATCTCTTGCATGGCGACCGAGAGATTGGAAAGCCCACTGACTGATGGCACCATCTGGCCACTCTGACCACAATCCCTCCACAATCCGTCCATGGCCTCTTGAGTAGCAGGAAAGACCTCCGCTTGCACTTTCGCATTCTGCATGCTGTCTGTCCGCCTCTTCTGCAACTTCTTCACCGCCAAAATGCCAATCATCGTCATCGTCGTTCATGTATTCTTCTGCCCATCTCGACAGCGGGATGGACTCGTGAAGATCCAGGACTCGGCAGTACTCGGGGTCGTTGTCGACGCGGTCTGGTATGATCTCTCGCTGTCGAGCTGACCAATGGCGAACATCTCGATTGTTGAGGTCAATATCAACGTAATACTGCCAGCAATCTCTGCAGCAGTTGATCTTGAGTGTGATGTGACGGAGGTTACTGAGTGTTTTGGTGATAGTGTCTGTTCGTGAGAGCATGGAAAACTAGGACTCGGTCGAAGCCGCGACTTGGGTATAGGTTGTGACGAAAGTCATAGTGATCGTTGCAGTCTAGAGGGAAGCGGTTGATTCTATAGAATGCCGAAGTTGCTTCGAGACGAATTTGCCGACAGGTGTGTAGTAGAACAGGTTTGGATAAGTTCTTGCGCATCTGTGGAGGTCCATTGCTGTAGCAAAGGCTCTGCTCCATGTCCACAAGTAGAGCGGCCTCGTAGATATGCAGACGAATCTCCTTAGGCAAATCAAACAAACGGAACTGCCACTCAGAATCAGCGTTGCGCAGGATGGCGATGTAAGACTTTCTGTTGCAAAGCTTTGGGAACGGAAGACTGCGCTGCTGAAGGCTCGCGGCGAATTCAGCTCTGCTCCAATTAGTGTAAGGACTCATGTTGTCGTCTTAGAGGAGCTGATGTATGTTCCTACACGCAAGCTGGAGCCATTGGACTCCACTCAGTTCGTGGTCTTTGTCGGTGAGATCTACCCAGCCATCCTCATAGCCAGCGTAGGCGCAAGGTGAGATGGATGTTCTGCTCCTGAACTCCCTGACACGAGCCTTGATATAGCCTCTGAACGCCTTGAATCTCTGTTCTTTCGGGTGCATGGGCCGGATACCCCACGCGCGCATGTTCCCAGCACCGACATGGTTGACAAAGAACCTGAGGTAGCTCTCACTGACCCACTTGTGCCTCTCGGAACCACAATTCCAGCGATGGGAATCATCACGTTCGATTTGGAACCGATTGGACTTGTAGAACACTTCCGAGCCCTCTTGACGAATAAGGCGACATGTCTGCAACAAGGCTGGCTTGATTGAGTGGCGACCATCATACATGAGCGGTCTACCACGGTGCTTCATGTCGTGGGTGAGAGCAAACTCGTAGATCATGGTGCGAACCTCGGGAGGCAGGTCAAGGAAGTTTAAGGTGATGACCTCGTCAGCATCGAGCAAGGCCTGGACGAGGTTGGGTTTGGTACGAGAGCGAGGTAAAGGGATGTCTCGCATTTGGAGACGAGCCTTGAGCTCATCATTCTTCAAGGCGAGATAAGGAACGTGGAGGCCTGCACGAACCATTCTGTAAAGTCGCTTGTACATAGAAATGGGACAGGAACTGCGAAAGGTTGCGTAGCGACAAGGACGGAAGAAGCGACTTGCTTTGCACTCGTCGACGAGGGTGCTGTTGAAATACCTCAACGAGCAATCGCGTGCGTAGTTATTAAAGCCGAAGTTTTGTAGCCACAGCCCACAAGGGTCCTCCCACTTGAGAAATAGCAAGTTACTGCGATTGTAAGGATGTTTAGCGAGTTGCTTGCCCTCCATCTGTACAAGGACTTGGAGGATGATGGTCAGTCAATGAAGAAGTGGTTGGAACGAGTAATTCTTACATTCTCGGGTAAGACTCTCTGACAGTAGTAGTGCAAAGGAGGAGCTGTTGTCGTGCAGCCAGGAGGTGAGCGATGGAAGTATGCAAGAGTCGTGTTCACGTAATGAGCAGTGTACCAGCTGGAAGCGTGACTATGAGGACGTGACGACGCTTATTAGTGCTTTGCGATGATTATATAGCTGACCGTAGCTCAGGCGTGGGGATCCAAAAGGACCTGGGGCCACAGATACGGGGTAGCGGTTTCGTGGCTCGGCAGCGCTGACTTCGTTGTTCGTGGCAACGATGCGGTTGCTATTCGTGATTTCTAGTTGTTGGACTACATCCAAAGCCTCCTACTCATAGAAGATCTTGCCCTCCATGACACTCACTGACTTTCCAGAGAGTATGATGGTCTGTATCTCACCCCCCTTGACCTCGACTTCCACACCGATCTCGCTTGGTCTTCCAATCTCGACAGCCTGCAAGATGTCGAACTTGACCTTGCCATCCTGGATGCCCTCCTTGAGGACCAAGTACGCCGTGAGGGCGCAGCATGCACTGCCAGTTGCCGGGTCCTCGAAGCTACCCTCGATCATTCTCGTTCTCAATCTTCTGACGCCATCGCCTTGATCAGGCATCTGGACGAAGAACTTGCCGAAGCACGGTCCGACGTCCCAGTCCTCATCGAGGGAGAAGTTGATCTCTGTACCGGGCAAGACGACGGCAGCCAACTCCTCCAAACTCTTGAGCTCGACGAGGGCAAAGTTCATGCCCTTGACGGGGCTCACGACATCGGTCTTCAACTCGGCAGATTGGTAGAACGGCTTGAGACCAGATTGCCACTCCAGCATACGAGCAGAAGACAAATCGGTGGAAGAATGGACATGCGTGTTGTGAGGAATAGAAGCCTTAGCCACACCATCCACAAAGTCAAGCTCGATGATACCAGCCTTGACCTTGAATCTGCCCTTGGTCTTCCCAGTCTGTCCCAAGATATGGCAAGCAGTTCCAATAGTTGGATGTCCAGCAAAAGGAAGCTCAGTCTTTACTGTAAAAATATCGAGCGGCCACTCGGGCACCTCGCTACCTTCATTCGAGCACGGATGAAGGAAGGTTGTCTCCGATAAGTTGAACTCGACGGCAATGGTTTGCTTTTGCTCCTGAGTGAGGGTGACGCCCTTGGGGACTTGACAGACAGCTAATGGATTGCCAGCGAACTTCCTGGTCGTGAAGACGTCCAGAGTAGTGAAATTTAAGCTTGCCATCTTGAACTGCGACACTGAATTGGGTGGGCGATAGTCAAGAGAAGCTTTGTTGTCTTGTCTAGGCTAACGAGTGAACGGGTAAATCGAGGAGACTGCAAAGGTCGGTGACTCGAAGGATGAATGCAGAGGTCGAAGCAAAGCCGATACTTGACGACTGGGAAATGACAAGATGATTGTACTTCTCGAGTAATACTTATATTTGATCACTGTCGAGCGTGTTGATCACCGGTATGAGTCGATGCTGAAGTTGCCGCCGGTACCGGTTGTAGTAGGGCGTCGGTAGGACTAACGTTTGTCCGCCGGATGATAGAGCACCGCCCGGGTGCCTCTGGCGACAGCTTCTACACCAATGTCATTTCTCGCGTATATCAACTGCACAGTAGATGAATCGCGCGACAATTCGTTACCAGACTTTTGGTCTACTTTTGCGGCTTGATGCAGCTAGCGCAATAACACCAACTGGGCAACAGACAACTGCCGTCTGTCACTCTCCCTGACTCTCGAGGATACCGGTAATCGTGATTCAACGTCTGGAGATCTACTTGTTCAAGAATGAATTGCCGTGGAGGAAAGACCACGCAAGGAATTGGCAAATGCGACAAAGCTAAAAATGGACTTGTCACCATGACCCCTGACCGAGTCATTGCCATGAGATTGCCCGACACACGAAACGATAGTCGACTAGACTGCATGAACACATCAAGGGGAAAGTAAAAAAAGTCACGAAGAAGGGTCTGGAAGCAGGCACAGTTTTTATACCATGATTGCAGAAAAACAAAATGTGGGACTCTTTTCCCACCCAATTCATCAATCCATGTATCAGAACAACAGTAAAAAGTGGCATCGCCGACCACTAAGACAAGAAAAGCAGAGACGCCCAGGGTTTTAACTCCATCTCTCCAGATGCCAGAAACACTTTTGGGTCCCCTTTTCCGAAAATGCTAGCCTCCCCAATTTTCCGGTCCCTCCTTTTCAAGTCGCGGGAACGCCGTGATGAGAACATGAGTAGTATAACAAAAAGAGAAAGAAAACAGTGATGCGTAGTGATCAACAATGGTCGATGACATGTGTGCCTTGTGCAAGATGTAGGCATTGACGCAAGAATTTGTACAATTGCAGGAGGGGTATAATTGGAAACAAAAGAAGCATGGGTCGCAGATACTGGCGGTTGAGGTCGTGATGGTCGTTACTGAATGATGTGGTTTTGTATGTGTAGAGCAGGATAAAGACGGCGGACCTCAAGGTCTTTGCTGCTTTGCTGCATTGGCCTCATAGATGAGACGTTGTCGCTTCATCTCATCAGCGTCGAAGTGGGGGACGTCGCTGCGGTAACCACTGCTAGCCAGCGAGGTCGAGCTTGAGTTGGCCGAACGAAGGCCGCCGAGGTTGCTGAAACTGCGGATCTTGCGTAGACTCTTGGATGATCTGTCAGGTGTGGCTGCCTCGACCTCCGGGAAGGAAGGCGTAGGTGTAGGAGCAGATGGCTTGATCATCTCGTCGACATCAGTCCTTGAGAAGCCCAGGTGCTTCATGTCACGAGCGAACTTCATTAGACCCGATGACTTGAGGATACCAGACGATGACTTGCGACGCATTTCATTGACCGGCGCGTCCTCGGAGAAGGAACTCTTGCTGCTCTTGCTGCTGCTAGAGGAAGGGCGGCGGGTTTCGGAGTCAGGGAAACTGATACCTGAGTCGACCTTGCGGCCCTTGCGCTTGGTCTCGGCAGAGTCGACGATAGAATCGGTGTCGGTGTAAAGAATCTCCTGGCATTCAGAGATCAGACTGTTGGCAACCTGCAGGTACATGTCGAGGGTGTTGCGAGTCGAGGCCCAGCCATTCTCGTCGGTAGGCTTCTTGCCTTGTTGGATTAGGTTGACCAAGACTGAGGGACCGCTCTTCTCGACAGCTTGGATGTACTTGAAGAAAGTGTCGCGTTGCTTCTTCAGGATGCCAGGGGTGAGTTTAGAAGTGGGCCGGCTAGAGACGATGGGAGGGTATAGGGTGTTGAGCATGGCGACACAGTTGTGCTTGTTGAAGGGAGTCAAAGAAAGCTCGTTGATGAGAACCCAGCGACGGAGGGCGACATAGAGCTGTGTGTATAGAGCCTCAATCTTGCGTTCCTTCTCTTCAAGCGTGCGAAACCACGAGAGGACGCCGGGGTAGCGTTTGGATAACTCCTCCTCCGCGGCACCGATAGTGTCGCGGCTGATGCCCAGACACTCCAAGGCGGCACCGACTTCTCTGCGTCTTCTGGTCTCGAGGTCCTTGAGGTAGTCGAGGCCGGTCAATGATTGAGGGAAGTCGACGAAGCGAAGATCGGACGAGAAGGCTTTGCGCAAGAAGGCAGTGATGAATGAAGGTGGTAGCGAGGTGGGCTGCGAGGGAAGGCTAGCCATCTGAGCCATCAGGTTTGTCGTCAATGATTCCTCGGCAGTGTCGTTGCGGAAGGGGAAGTTTGGCGAAGTTGGCGAATCGCCGGCACGCGAGTCGATTGAGTTCTCGCGCGTACGTGAGTGGGAGAAAGAGTGACCAGCACGTGTTGCAGGCGTCGAGTTGATGGTGTACATGGTGCGCAGAGGGAGCTCGTAGGTGGCAGGGTCATTGAGGATGTGCTCCAGGATGAGTGCATAAGTGTGTTGATCCACAGAATTGGCACGTGAGTGCGACGCGTTGTCCATAGTGTTCATGTCTGGGGATGCTAGTACTCGAGCGAGTTGTGAGATGCGAGGAGTTTCTGCTTTGTACGATGGGGTGGTGGGATAAATTGTTGCTATGTCATCAGACAGGAAGGCTCCAAACGCTTTCCGAGAGAGAGACGCGGCGGTTTGTCTGGACCTTTTATGAAACAACCAAGCAAACGCCCCTTCTTACTTCAGGGCAAGTGGTGAGACTGAAGTCGAAGAGAAGATAGGATGGTTGGATGTGTTTCGAAGAGAAACCGGCACGGCCGATTGAGTAGAGACAGAATGGTTTGAAAGAGTGTTTGGCTATGTATCCAGCACGCGACAGAAAAGGAAAAGGTTATCGAAGTTTGTTTGCAAAGGGCAAGAACGAACAAACAGAAAACCAATGTCGTCGAGGTAGGATGTGGCGAGTGTTTTGATGCCTCTCTCGGGCCATCGAGTAGGTACCTCTCGCTACTCTTTATTGTTATCCACAGTCATCACACAGCTTGAGAGCAGAGCATGGGGCATGGGGAGGCAGGGCCATCTCGCTCTGCAAATCGAACCCAAGCTTCGTGGCCCGAAGCTTTGTGCACCGAACGGCAGGCGCTGCTCTCAAATTGGACCCGGCTTATGGAGACTCGACGACCACAGACACCATGCTCCGCCATGGTCCCTTGTTCCGCATCGTGTACCTGTCCAAGTCATGGCGCCACGCTGCCGCTAATGTAGGACCACTCTTGCCGCTTGCTGCCTCCTGCAAGCCCTCAGCCAGAGTATTGCGGCGCCTTCTCTTCGACTCTTGTCAGACTCTCAAACCGACTTATTCCATCATGCAGGTCTCCGCTAGACCGTTGACCCTAAACCTTCTTTCTCGTGCAACGTCGACGGCACTCGGAAGCTGAAGAGAACGCTTTGGACACTTGTGCCGTATGTATTGTTTCGACAGCTCTTCCCTCCTTCTCGCTGCCGATACATCGGTGCTCCGTGTTGCTTGTGGAGTGATAGATCCAGCACCTGCCGATTCTCCGGCGCCTTACGTGCTCAAGCCGATCTGGATTCTCCTTCTCCTAGATCTCTGTGAATCAAGAGACATCGAGACTCGGCCACTTCGAGCGAGTTCCACTGCACAATTTGGAGTCGATGCCGAATGCACGGGCCTGACGCCCACATGTACCCTGCGAGCTGTGACGAACAGGAAAACGAGCCGGCCGTGCTGGCTTTTCGTTGGTGCTACTCCGAAATCCACCGGCTTGTGCTTGTACTCTGAGGTGCAAGACGCATCACTAGTCAAGGTCAAGATCAGAGCAGACAGGTGTCAGCGAATGTGGACTCGCAATTTCAAACGATCCTGTGTAGACCGTGGGGCCTAACTGCCGTGCTCAACCAGGGCTTCATACCGTGACTCTTCGTTCAGATAAGGCCGCCTACGTGCGTACAGTCAACAATGTCAATGCCAGGACAACGAACATCGAGTCAATCGCGGACGAGAAGGGAGTGCACAAAATCGAGCACTGAACCTTCTTTGTGGTTCTGAGCTCTCGATCTCGATAGTCGTCGTGTCTTGCTTGTCTGACGAGATTGATTCTCCATGCCACTACAGTAGCCAACCGGACAAATAGCAATTTATGGCGCGGACTGGGCCACGACAGCCGACAAGCGCCATCCGCCCCAGAGCTCTGGGAAACGCCTCTTCGAATCAGCGACACGCCGACGACGAGCAGACAGACGCAGACATTATTCTCTGTCCGCGCGCTGCGGAAGCATCATCAACAGCAGACATGCACGCCTAGTGGTTACACGTCAGGCAATATTGGGCTGTAGCGAGAGTTTCCCCGAATCCCAACGCAGCTCGGCCTATTGAACAGCTACAGCAAGCAAGTAGGCCCATCGATTTGCTGTTTTGGTCGCATCGAGTGAAGATCCCCATATTTGTCGCTTCGTCAACCTGTCTTGCTTGCCGCATCGTGCCTCTTATTGCTCGTTTACTCCCGTGCTTGGGGCGGCTGCGCCATATCAAGTTTCCGCACTTTCGAGGTTCGGTTGACCGTGGCTTTTTGTGGCAGCGGGTTGTGATTGAGCTCCCCTCCACAAAGTAAGAGGGAAAGGAACGCCATGAGGGTCGGATAATGTGGTCTTTGACGAACGCCTCCAACAAACACAGAGGGTCTTGATCCTTCTCGCCAGGCTCATGGCGTTCATGTGTTTGTCTGGCCAGCCGAACGTGCACATGTAAATACCGTTCCTCCAAACGAGATTCTTGAAACCACTTATGAGCCAATGATAGTGGACGGAGCTGAAGTGGAGGCTCAAGGGTAGTTCAGCACATGCAAAACCGTTATCGAAGCTCATGCTGAGTAACCCATGCGGACCCGTTTCTGTTGGCACATCGTAGAAGGACCGTTTTATGCAAGATTCAAAGATGTACAGCTTCCGCCCAACGTCGAGATCTCGAGGCAGCTGAAATGCTCAACATCATGCAGCAATGAGCGCATCAACCAGAGAACCTCCAATGTATCGTGTACAACAAACAAGAGCTGTTGAAGACTGATGGGAAAAGTATGTTTCACACCACATGGTGTACAGTTATGATCAGCTCTTGCGATCTTCAGGCACGTCAGAGCCAATGTCACACTAACTCGAGTTTGTCCTTCCCAATCACCCAGATTCCTGGATAAACCTTGTGCCCTCTACATTGTACAATTGTACCTTCCGTACCTGCATCATCACACCCATGTCAGGTAATCTGTTTTACTTCCACACCAAACCTCACCCATCCAAAGTATGAACATGATTTTCTCCAACTTTAGTTTCGCGACGACAGCCGGAAGATCTCAATGATTCGCACGACCGGATAACGAATTGATTGCACTGATTGCGTTCTTTACTTTGACAGGCACGCCGTCTCTGGCCCGAGGCAGCGGCATAGGGAAGGGAACCATAGACGGCGGCGCTTCCGGATGTGCGTCAAAAGCAAGAAAGTCAAATCTAGCACAAAGACACAACTCATCGATCACTGCGATCACGTCCCTGACATTGCCATGGCTGTCAAACACATATTGCGTATAGATGAAAATATTGGCCTGCTTTCTCTACCTATGTCTCTCCCCTGCTCCGGAAAAGATTAGATATAGTGCTGTTTTCTTTTGGTTCCCGCTGCCCTTGCTTGACTCGAATTACCCTGCCCTCTTTTGCCTGACTCCTTCTCTCCAGTCTTTCAGTCTCCATCATGTCTCACATCCCACACCAAGGGAATCCACAAACCCCATCAAGGCCCATCACCACCCATCGGATGCCCAATATATGCCTTCTCGATATTAACAATCATGTAGTTTGTTGAGGGGAAAGCCCAAGCAGGATTTTTTGCGGGATTTACTCTCCCTCACCTTTTCCTGCGGCCGTGTTGACTCGTGAAAGAGGGCCCCTTCTGCTTGCGTATGCTGAGAAAAAGACACGCAACAGGAGGCGAAGGATCACGAGTACGGAGTTACGGAGCGAGAGTGCATGGATATTAAAGATATGTAGAAGGGAGAAAATATATTACACGAGGAGGAGTTGCTCGGAGCACGCCTGTTTTTTTCTTTCATGCCGTTGGCTGCTCTATTGATATCAAGAGAGTCATGTGTGATACGGAGATGTGATGGAGGGTTTGAGTACGTCGAGGTTTTGACACATGTCTTGTTGCCTCTTGAGGTGCTCTTGCAGTGATGGGAGATTTCTCGAGTTGTGCATTGGACATTTCATCCTTTGAGCATCGTGCAGGTGCAGGGAAACAGCACATTGAAGATCAGAAGCTTCTACTCCACTTCTTTTTAACTCCATTACTATTTATGTTTAACGAGCACACCGACGGGGGAATAGTTCTACCAATCGACTTTTACCTGAACGTCCAAGATTCGAAGAAAAGAGAACAAACTCCACCCTTTGCAACAATAAAAGACCACAGACACAGCGGGTCAATAGCTACTTTCGCTCGGTGACCGAGTTTAACGGCACAAAGAAAACCTCCCAATGCACTTACACAATCTCTATACTCATACCATCGCTACTGTAAGCGATGTATGCACACCCAAACGAACGGCTCAGCACAGCCAAAGAAGAGCCGTTTCGTGCAAGTCGAAAAGGTTCATGAGGAAAAAGCCATGTTCACGTTCAGCCGGGTCCCCCTCCCCAGCAAAACCTATCTGTTTTGTGTTGACTTGTTTTTATTCTCCTCTGCTCCCCGTAGAGTAGTTCGGGCCAAAACATCTGTCCAGTAGGTGGGAAGCTGAAATGTCGTCAAAGACCCAAGAAAAAAAAACCGAGCAGGAACTAGATCAGGGAAATGCAGGGGAGTTGGGTTTTGGCAAGTGGCGCTTGCGTGTGCTGTATGCAGCCAGCTAAGTGGTTTCTTTTCTTTCATGCAAGGGTGATTTCAACCAAACAGGTTTTTTTTCTTTCTCTCTCTCTTTCTGCTTGCATGAGCAGTCGAAGAATTAATTATTCTGCCATGTTCATAAGAGGAGACGAGGCATTTAGTTGCCATCACAATGATGCTGTCCACTTCTCCACTATGAGGGGCTGCTGGAAAGCTATCAGATCAGGCTAGGCAAGTGTACTTTGTACAATCTAGGCGAAGGATATATATCACCATCGACGATTGGAAAACACAATCCGCACCGAATTATAGGGAGAAAAAAAAGACCGTCAGACCGGACGAACTCCCCTACGAAAGCGGGAACAGCTTGTCGACCCGCTCACACAAATGGCCTTTACCGAACCAGACACTCCGTCCATGTGCCTAAATCATGTTTTTCCTACTTCAACAAAGCCTCTTGAGCGGCAAGCGCCATGTCCCTCGCATTGGTAATCTCCCATTCAAACTCTTTGAGTGCGCGTAACTCGCTTCCAACAAATAATCCTCCCATCAAGCCATCGATAACGCCGGCCGAGAGACCGAGTGTACCCAGGAGCATGAGCAAGAATGCTACAAAGTTGCGTGGGGACCACCAGACGGCGATCAAACAGCCGATTGCTATGACTAGCTCGAGGCCAAAGTGGTAAAGACGATATCTTCGTTGTTTGCGCTCGCGGAGTTCGTATTTGTGGACCATGGCGAGGATTTGATCGTAGGTTTCCAGAGGCAAGAAGGTTGTCGATTGTGGGAGTGTGTTTGTGGGGTGTGATGAGCGAACAAGGGTTGTTTCGACGGAAAAGTGGTCGGAGAGGGAGCAGAGGAGTGTTGGGTGTCGTTCTGTTGCTCCTACGTTGACGCTCTTGACGCTCCATTGTGCTGCTGGGCCATCGGCGTCGCCGCCGAAGAAGATGTAGTCTAAACGCTTGGCTCGAGGATCTGGTTGTGAGCCATCAATGTAGGTGTCTTCTCCCTTGTTCAGCAGCTTCTTCTTGTCGACCTTGTTCCAACGCCATGTATTGTACCTGTGGTCACAGGTGGTTCCGTGCTCTTGCAGACATTCTTCTGATGAGGGGACTGGTCTGCCCCTCGCCTTCTCGGCCTCGTGTATAGCAGCTCCAATTGCAGAGTCGGGGTGCAATATTCGCCAAACATCCTTGACGGGTGAATGGGCTTCGATCAACCGGTGTGCCAGTGAAAGAGGAATCATGTTGAAGTCACCCAGACCGATGACAAGATGACCACGTTCGGCAGCACCACGCATGAGTTTCGCAATCTCCCATGCTTGGGCGGTACGGTGGCAGATGTAGGAATCGTTCGGTTCAGCCTCGTAAGGCGCGTGCAGATGTGTGGTAAAGACTTCGACGACGTCTTTCTTGCCAGGACCTAGTCGGATGCGGGCGCAAGCTACACCTTTGCCGACATACCAGTCGCCACGATAGAAGGCAGCGGGGCGGCCATTGAGAGGGTATCTGAGCATGGTACTCTCTTCAATGGGCCATTTGGACAGGATGGCCAGACCACCGCCGAAGATGCCGCTCCAGTAGAACTTGCCATACGGCAGGAAATGTCTCGTTCGCTCACGGATAGCGAGATAATCTTTCTGAGTCCAGCATTCTTGTAGACCGACGATTTCCGGGGCGGGCGATAGTTTGGCGAGGTGGTTGCCGATCTCTACCAGGCGTTCATGGCGGAGCTTCGAGATGAATTTGAGGCCCCAGCAGTTGAGGGTCAGGACGCGTATCGAGCTCGGCAGCTCCAGTGTCTGGCGTGAAGAGTCCATGTCGGATGTTGTGGGATTGGTGGGAGGGAGATTGTCAGGAGGGGAATTGGTGGAGGCAGCATTTCTGATGTCATTTCGAGACGCTTTTCTGGAAACGCTTCCAAACATTCGCATGTGAAAGTCCAAATCCATCAACATTGTCGTCGCATCGCGTCGCATCCATTCCCATCGACTTCCCAGTGACCGATCTCTCCACTACACACAGCATGAGCATTGCCGACCAGGTACAAGACCTGATGGAGGATGTCATGGGCCCAGAACAGTCTCCAAAGCGTCGTCGAACAGAGTCAAATTCACCATCATCCTTCGAGGCCCATCACCAGAGTCTCAATCGCGACATCGAGAACGATTACAATGGATACGCCTACGAAGAAGACTCGGAACCAGTCACAAGCAATGAGCAGACTCCTCGAGAAAGAGACCAGCGGACGGACAACTCTCGACCATTTGGCGTCCAATACAAACCCTACATGACTCTGAGAGGACACAAGAAAGGCGTTGCCGCCGTGAGATTCTCGCCGAATGGCAAATGGATAGCTAGTTGCTGTGAGCCATGCCACCCTTTCACAATCTCCAGCCAGCCTGACTGACTCGAATCTCAGCCGCCGACCGTACAATCAAAGTATGGAATGCTCAAACCGGAACTCTAGTCCACACACTGGAAGGTCATATTGGTGGAGTCTCGACCATCTCTTGGGCCCCCGACTCCACTGTCCTTGCATCAGGTTCAGACGACAAATGCATCAGACTCTGGGACGTCAGGACGGTACGATAAGCTACCGACAGTGGGAGATCAAGGCTGATGAGACGACCAGGGACAATGCATGCCGACACCTCTGACCGGCCACCACAACTACGTATACAGCATCGCTTTCTCGCCCAAGGGTAACATGCTTGTCAGCGCTTCATACGATGAAGCAGTGTTTTTGTGGGACGTCCGCACAGCACGAGTGATGAGATCGCTACCAGCACATTCAGATCCAGTATCTGGAGTCGACTTTGTACGAGACGGGACACTGGTGGCATCTTGCTCGAGCGATGGTCTCATGTAAGTTTGCACAAGATAGCACTAGATGGAGACATGGCTAACACGGTGGATTAGTCGATTATGGGATGCCAACACTGGACAATGTCTAAAGACGCTCGTACACGAAGATAATGCGCCAGTCACGTCAGTCCGATTCTCGCCGAACGGCAAGTTTGTGCTTGCAGCAACTCTAGACTCAAGCTTGCGGCTATGGAACTATGTTGAGGGACGTTGCATAAAGACATATCAAGGGCACAAAAACCAGAAGTACAGCATCAATGCGTGTTTTGGTACGTATGTAAAGGAGGACGAGGATGAAGAGGAAGCGGCGTTCGCCATATGTGGTGACGAGGACGGCAAGGCGGTGCTTTGGGATGTCAACACGAAAAAGGTGCTGCAGGTCTTGACTGGACATGATGATGTGGTCCTTGGAGTCGATAGCAGCCCAGACAGCCTGATGGTGGCGACGTGTAGCCTGGACGGAAGCATCAGGGTGTGGAAGAATGGCGTGGATCAATAAAGACTGCCCAAAGTAGGCCATGTCCACTGAGCTGGTGAAGGAAGGTCTTGTACAAGTGAGGGCGAAAGCAGAAGGGTGAAGCTCGGACCGCGTGGGTTTGGCTCCATCGTCATCGGCTCGCATGTGCTTCTACCATGCCTAAACTCCACCAGCCTCAGGCAACAAATCAATCACCACAACATGGCCGAACTCCTGACCAGATTACTGTCGGACCCGCTGGTAGACAACAATGGTGATCGCCTGAGAGATGTTAGAGGCGATGAAAGCGTGCGCAAGCTGGTCAAGTACATGCGATCACTCAAGGCTCAAGACGTGCCGCTTCAAGTCCAAGGGAAGCCGCTGGTAGAGGTGACTTGCCCCTCAATCACGATTGCGACAGGAGACTGACTTGATACGATAGCTCCTGGATCCCAGCCGCAATACGATCGGCTACCTAGCAGTGCTTCTCGCCTACGCTCAACAAGCAGTGCTGGCGCAACAGGTGGCGCTGGTCACCACCTTCCTCTCACGATTCGATCCTGTCCAAGCCCGTTATGTCGGTCCAGAGATGCAGCAACTGCTCATATGGCTGACCAAATACTATGACCACTCCAAAGACGTGAGCCTACAACTTCAATCCTGGTGTGCTTGACTGACGCAAGGCTGCCAGCCATCCGTCATTCCCTACATCGCAACCGCCATCCTCCGTCTAGATCCAGAGTCTAGTACCCTCACCTCGACTCACCTCCTCCTATTGCGACTATGTCTTGCTGCCGGTCTTCCCCGCCAGGCTTTGCGTGTGCTCGACAAGGACATCTACAACCTACCCATGGACCCACAAAAGGGTGTTGACGAACGTTTCGCATGCGCCGACCATGATCTCAGTGCCACCTACATCACAAAAGCCTCAAACATTTCAGCAACTCTTACAGCTCCCGACGTCCATGAATACTACTTGCTTGGCGCCTATGCCTACATTGGCTTACGCCGCTATAACCGCGCTCGTCTCTTCCTCGAACTGGTCCTTGGTTCGCCCTCACAGAACGTCGCGACCCCTCTGATGGTCGAGGCTTACAAGAAGTCGATCCTCGTCAGCCTGCTATCTACTGGTTCTCTCTCCTTTACCAAGGGTTTGATCAACCCGCAGATGATCAAGACTTACTCAAGTCTGTCCAAGCCGTACGAAGTTCTCGCAGATGTCTTCAAGAAGCGTGACGTTCTGCGTTTGGATGCTGAGATTGCTATGGCCACCGCTGTTTGGGACGAGGTAAGATTGCTCTTAGCTGATCTCTAACACATCGCTGACCCTTCTCAGGACGGCAACACGGCCATTGTCAACCAAGTAGCCGACTCACTGCGTCGATACCGTGTCATCGACTTGCAGAAGACCTACGCTGCTCTTCCCATCGAAGGTATCGCTCTCCATCTCAATCTGACCCCAGGAGCCACCACAACACTGCTCAGTACCATGATCCGTGACGGCCACCTTCACGCCTTGCTTCCTCCACTCATTGCTGGTACCGACACCAAACCCGTCCTTCGCTTCCTCTCGCAAAATCCCAATCAGCCTGCAGTCGATCACGATGCTTTGTTGAAGGACAAGTCCGTTCACATCGAGCAGCTCGCCAAGCATGTCCGCGAAGCCGATCGTAGACTTGCCATCCAAAAAGAATATGTCGACTTTACTCGTAGAAACAAGCGCGCCGAAACTGCTGGTGCTCAGGGCTACGAGGACCCGATGGATGTCTGGGACGCGCCTGAGGATGGTGATCAGGATGAAGATATGATGGGCGACCTCTGATCGCAAAGCACAAATGACTGCATCGAACGGGGGCAGCGGACTTGATATTTCACGACACGACTGCATACGAGATGGCGTTTACTCTTGAGGCAAGGAACCCTCAATTCCTTTTTCCTGTTTCCTTTCTACACATGGTTAGATGAGCAGAGCTCAAATATTACCGACTGCGGTGCACTGGGAGCTGGACATGAGCGAGTCCGCTCTCAGGAACAGACATGATACATAGCTACAATGATCAAAACTACATGATCCATGCACTTGTTGACTACGTGCACCTGAGTCCATGCAACTTGACGTAAGTGGACTACGAACCCATCGACGTCTGGCCACTGCCTTGGATGACAAGACACGAGTATACACTGTACACAAGATGTGAAGAGGGAAGAAAATGTGTTCATTACTAACATCACCACCAAAAAAAAACGCCAGAACAAGACAGCCTCCCTTGCCAATTCTCCTAGAAGCTCAAATCACAAAAAAAGAGGTCAAACACTTAGATAGGACCCCCCCCCCCCCCCCCAAATCTCTACCTCTTCCTCGCCTTGACAGCCTCTTCCATCTTCCTAACCATCGTCTTCAACCCCACCCCTCTATCACAATTCGTCACCAGCCACCCCTCCATCCTCTCCCTCAACCCCTTCAACCCTTTACACAACGGCATCACCCCTCCCTCCTCTTGCCCCACAAACATGGTAGGATTCAACAGCATTTCAAACGCACTGGCCCAAATCTCCTGCTGCCAATACCTCTTCAAGCCCTCTTTGATTTTGTAATGTTTGGTTGCTCCTGCACCTACTCCTGCACCCTTTTCGGCAATGGTGGACATGTATTTGCCAAAGAGCAGGGAATGGAGTAATCCTGCCAAGCCGTGGTAATCGACTTGATAGGTCCAAGGGCGAAGTTCGCGCATTTCTGCACAATCTGCAGAGGAAGTTTCCCAATCTGCTACGAATTGTACACCTGGGGAAAATACCTTCATGTCTATGCCACGGCCAAAGTCAATCAGAGAGATTCCTTTGGACTTCCAACCAGAAGAGCCAGAGGGGTCGTAGGTGGATGACCACGAGGAGGTATCGTCTAGACGGACTAGAACGTTGTCACCCTTCAAGTCGCCGTGGATGAGTTGTTTGCTATGCAGGGCTTCTACTGTTCTCATCAATTCGACGGCGAAGAACATGGCGAGTGCTTCGTCTAGGGTGCCTCCTGCTTCTGCACGTGCGACATTGATCAAGTCGAGAAGAGTGCCTTGGCCGCGGAAATCTTCAATCAAAAAGCCTTCGTCGCGGAAAATGTGCATTTCGTAGGCGTGGATGACGGATTCTGTTGCGCGGGAGACGCCGAGGCGACGGTGGACTTGACGTAACATGTAGAACTCCCAGGCCGATGGTGGATCTTCCATCTTCAGAGCTTCGAGGGCATGGCGTTGGGTTGCTGAGAAAGCACCTTGGCCCATTACTGAGGCGTTCTCGTCATTGTTGTTGTTGTTGTTGTTGTTGTTGTCATCTGAGGTTGAAGAAGGGTTGCTGTTCTCGATCAAGTAGACAGGGGCAAACGCTCCGGCACCCAGTTCACGTTTCAGGGTGTATGTGCTTGATGAGTCCGGGAGATTGAGGGTCGGTGCGGGAGGTAGAGACGCGCTGCTCTTCTCTGTCGCCGTCTTGCCTTTTCCAACTGCTTTCGAGAATTTGCGAATCTCTGGTGTCTGTGCATGTTGGACGTCCTTGTGCTCGTAATAGCCTTCGTAAGAGCTCAAAGGTGGGTGAATTTGCGACAGGATGATTTGACGAAGTTCCGGATCCACAGGGTTAATTTGAGGGTCCTTGATGATTGGACCTTTGTGGGTTGGCTCTACCGTTGTAGCCGGACGAAGAGCAAGTGGTTTTGGCTTGGATGATACGTCTTGGTTCAAGGATACTATGCCTTTTGTCGTCTTTGTGCGGATGGGTTGCAGGATCTTGCGCTTGTTTTCCAGGTCGGCCCCACTGAGGACTTGAAATGGGCTGCTCATGAGACTGTCCTCGTCCTCATCTTCCTCTTCCTCTTCCTCTTCAATATCGGCAGTGTTGTGATTTTGTCTAGATGGTGTCTTGGATATGAAGCCTTTTTCCAGCTCTGCACGTATGGTCGCCGCACCGATGGAGGACTCGGTATGCTCAACAATAGGCGTCATGAAAGGAAGGCGATTCTGAGCCATGAGAACAGGATCCCGGTACTGCGATCTGACAGGTTCATAACCTTCAGGTGGTATCGGCACGTATCTCATCTTCGACTCTCCGTCCTCTCCATCAAACGGCGCGGAAATCTCTTCTATCGGTGTTGACAAGTCGTCTCCATCCTTGGAGTGTGCAGAGGTGACGGCAGTTTCAGTTACAGGTTTGCTGTCATCATAGTCAGACCAAGCGCTGACATTGGTCTTGTCGTCCTCGTCACCTTCTTGATCTTCAGTGTCTTGTGTTGTGTCTTCCTGAGATGATTGTTGAGAGGCCAGAATCTCTCGTCGCGTCTCATCACCATAATCGCTTCCAGCTCCTGAAACATGGCCAGTGGTGGTGTCTTCGCCATCACTACTGTAATCGGCATCGCTGTCGTCGTCGCTATCATCCTCAGTTTCTGACTCCTCGGCCTCGTCTTCTTGAGCAGTTTCAACAGGTTGACTGAAAATACCATAAATCTCATCCATAGCCTCGCGGGTGTTGATGGTCATTGTAGGTTCAGCAACTCTTTTTTTCCGTAACTTCTTGCCGGATGGTGAGTCCAGGTTCAGCTTGATGGTTTGTGTCTCTTTTTGTACATGTTCAACATCCATGACCTTGATCTTGCGTGTTCGGTTGGCACGTTCCTCACGTCGCATTTTTTTCGCAAGTTCGACATCAGCCTTGGAGGGAGGTCTGTTTTCGTCGTTCTCATCCTTGATGGGTACGACTTTGAGGGATGTGTCGATGGTAAGAGGTGAAGATTGTGCGGGCGATTTCTTGTTCTCCGAGTCGTCCTGGAAGATTTGGAATCCGCGTTGACTTGTCGGTCGTTCTTGTTCAGGTTGCTTTTCGGCAGGTGGCGTGTCGCTGAAGATGGCAAATCCACGTTTTTGCTCCTGTGGCTGCGGTTGTTGTTTGTTCGAGGCGTTGTCCTGTGCATGGTCAACGGGTCGTGTCTGTCTACGCTCAGCAGCCCAATCGCGATGCAGCCAGCCACGATGCCTGGCTCTCAGTTCCTCGAAACAGAACTCGACGGATGGGTTACTCGGATCTGGATAGACGGCTTCAAGATTCACAAAGACACATTCAGGTCTGCCCGTCTTCATATTAATGACTCGTTGAGAAGCATGTTTACTTGATTCGTATGCATGTCGTACAGTAGAAGATGACTGGAATACACAAAAACGTCACCAGCCCGTTAGTCCTGCATTCGTGAATATGTGGAACATCAATTGAGGATTGGAGATGGAAAGCTTACCCTGAAAATGGCCATCTTCTGCACGCCTGTGTTTGTCTTTCCCGTCTTCAACGTCTCTCCTGCCATTGGCTTAGGTGCAATGGCGTTCTCCTTCTTTCTGCTCTGGATTGACTCGATGTTGTCCCATCCATTCTTCTCGCCAGGTGTACCGAAAGCGCTCTGATCTTGCGGCGAGTCGTCGGCGAAGACGGCCATCTTTCCAGCCTTTGATTTCTTGGTCGCGGCAGGCTTGGATGCTTGTTGTGGAGTAGACGCAGCTAGAGCAGCAGCAAAAGGGTCAATCTTTGCGCCCAAAACGGCACGGGCGACTGGAAGAGCAGGACTTGATGGCTCTGGAATATCCTGAGGACGAGCAGCGTTGCGTTGGTCGAATTCGTTGAACTTTCTTGTCAAACGAGCGACCGGTGTGGCACCCTTCTCAATGCCCATGTTGTAGACCTCTTCCGCTTGCGTCCATCTGCCAGCTTGTTCCAGCCAAGCAGCAAACTCTTCGTAGTAGAGTGCGAGCGACTCTGCGATAGCGTGACGATTGAGAAAGACGAAAGTCTCGCGTGGGGCATCGGAAAAGAAGCGAATGTAGTGAAGCCATAGCTTCAAGTATCGTGGGTCGTTCTTGTATTGTGGTGATGAGAGAAAGGCCTTAGTGGCACGTTCGAGCAGGGGCAGCAATCGCGATTGCGGTGTTGATTGTGCTGAGGGGTATGTGTCGAGTGTCCATTTGACGTAGCGGTCGTAGATGTCGAGGGGGTCGTCGGCTTCCTCGATCAGAGCGAGTTCCTCTTCGTACTCTTTGCGCTCTTCGGTGTGTGCATCGTTGGCAAGCGATGTTTGTTGTTGTCCGCTGGTTAATGGCGGCGAGTACAAAGCTGCCAATGCTTTTGCTGATCTTCCACTGGGAAGCGCTTGGATGTTCTCTTTGTGTCCCTCGATGACCTCGAAGTCGATCAAGTCTGCGCCGGCCATGATTTCTGTGTGTGATTAGTTGTGTTCTGTCTGTCTCCAGATCTGATGCCGAGCTGCCCGCCGACAATTTATTGTTTACCCCGGCTTCTGTTGACTTTTGGCCTTGGCGTAAACAAATGCCCGTCATGACTCGCCGATCACATGCCAGCCAGAGTAGCCTCTTGTCATTTGCACCTAAGCCCTTCTACTCAGTAATCATCACTCCCTTCTCATGCTCTTGTCAGACCCTGAGAAATCGGGCTCACATCTGCACCGGCCGTGCTACGAGAGACACAATTGCATTGTGTTGCAACGTCACCTCTTTCACCCTCCATGTAGACTCTTTGTCCTGCTCAGACTTTCCTTCGTCCTCTCTCACAACACTTTGTTCCAAGATGATTTCCTTTGTTCTTACAACATTTCTCGATGAATGTCCTCTCATCCAACACGGGCAAGCTTTCAATACATATACCTCCCTAGTGTCCGCCACTGTCCCATTCTCCCATCCACTCCTACACCAGCAAAATCACCTACAACAATCTACGAAACATGAATGACGAGCAGCGAATCGCTCGTATCGGCGAGCTTTTCGCTAGAGTTGACCCTCAGGTCTTGATCATCGGATTTGCGCCTGGCACCCACGATGAGATTGTCAATGCCCACATCAACATCATGAACGCCATCGCTCAATTCTATGAAATCTTGAGATCTTATCATCTTCACGACTTCCTCAAGCATGGTAACTACCTCCACGATTGGCTTACAGCAGGTGAGTCTGACCCCAACCTTCTTCTGAGTAAGATCGTGTATGACCTTAGTGACAACATCGAGATCATCACAACTCACGACCTCGAATATGCCTGCATCGTCCCGCTCGCTGAGTACACTCCTCACATGGTCCTAGGGAGACAAGCTCCTTTTCCTGTCATCACGCCTCCTTCCTTTCTGCCAAGCTACATCCCGACTCCCACCATTCTGCCAAGCTACGTCTCCGACCCTGCGCGTCGACTTGTGCTCCGCTACTCTCCTGAGCCAGAGATGCTCGAGGGAGACGCACCCAACCTGGATCCACAGGTGCTCGAGGGGTTCGTCCCCAATCTGGCTCCTGTGGACACTGAAGATGTCACTATAGCTATGGACACTGAAGACGCTACTATGTCTGATGTCGAGAACAATCCCTCCGTTGATGTTGAGATGCCTCCTCCGGCTCGATCTGATGATCCTCTCGCTCCCGTCTACCCTGAGATGCCTCCTGATGACCTCCCTACTTCACCTCTTTTCTCTAGGCCAACTCCAGGCCCTGTCCCTATGTCACCTGCTGCCGTTCTTCCTGCCTTTACTCCTGTCGCTCCCGCTCCTGTTCTTCCAACTACCACCAACGCTCCTCTAGTCGAGATTCGTGACACCAGTATACCAATCGATCAGAGAAGGGTCTTCATCTGCATCCTCTGTGCACGTGGGTTCACTAGAGCCGGTGATCTTGCCCGTTATTGGCGCACCGTTCATCGCGGTCTCCAACAGCAGTAAGATGCCGAAGAACTCAACTAACCGAACTGACAAAGTAGACACATTCACGATTTTACAGTAGGTCAAGCTTGCGCTCATCAATGTAGTCCTTGCGAATGGTCTTCACGGGCGGGTTTTCACACGTCCTTGTACCAAATATCAAATTGAAACTATGGGGACAACTCTAGGGGAGTTTACGGTATATGCAATTACAAGCAAGGTCTGATGTTCATATTCTGCGAATGGTTTATGCAGGTATGTCTCGCGCAGTTTTTCTTCGAAATCCACCGAGTACGATTTTCTGTTTCCTTCAAACAACAACCACTTCCTCATCAACGTGACTTTACAGTGAACCCTATTGTGACCTCAGACAGCTACATATGTATTTGATGAATCTAGCATAGTTACACGCGGGTGAGCGGCGGAGCTCGGGCGAGTCGATCAGGCTATTGATTCCACGAGCGCCCATTGGCTCAGATGTGTTATTCAAAGTTCGCCTCAGAACACCCGACACATGATCGCGAGTGACTTCAACTCCTGCAGAAACCACACTTGGTTCACACTTCTCTGTACCCCTCATGTATAGCCGCAGTCCCCGCGTTGATCACTTGACAGCATGATGGGGCATTTTAGCCAAAACATCACCCGCTGCTAAGTTTCTAACACCACCTCTCTCCGGTAAGGGCATAGGCTTGGGCGCGATCATAGTGCGGGGTTTACAAGGATGACATTGGGATTGAGTACAAAAGCAAGCTCGATGCTCCCAAAACAAGTTAGGTCGCGTACAAGCTCATCACGAAGATCTCTTGCATATACTTGCTAGATGATTTAGCCGGCTGCTTGATGCTAGGGGAACAAACCACCAAGAATTGTAGACTATATAAGAGCATGAAGCAGAGATCCAGCTGTCTTCGAAGCATCCATGTAAGAAGCCCTGGATCCCATCTCTACCAACATGAAGTCGTCTGGCAACACTAGTAGAGGCATTGGCCTTGGTGTGCTACTACTCAGCACCTCGGTGCTGGGTGCCTCCAACTCCACTTGCCCACCTGCCATCGAATATACCGCAAACTATGATTATGTCGAGTGTCGACAAGACAGCTATTATGGTCGTATCCTTGGCAGAGAACGCAAAGCAGTTTTTCGTGATACCAACACCCCTCAGTACTGTGCCGACTATTGCGGGCGGTCTGGATATCCATGGGCTGGAATCGAAGCAGGGACGTGAGTTGTTTCTACTTCTCCGAGCAATTGTTGTTGCTAACTTGTATTCAGTCAATGCTTTTGTGGTGGTCAGCTTGACGGCGGAGCTGTGACAGGTAATGCCAATTGCTCGACATATACCTGTTCGGGCGATGAATCTCAGAAATGCGGCGGTCAATTCTTCTTACAAATCTACAAAGTCAACAACCCACTCCCTGTCGAGAAGGTCGACGGTGATGTCAGACGTCAACCTCTCTGCCACACTAGTCCTCTGTGCGAATACACAGTCTGCGATACATCTTTGCCTATTGCTGAGAGGATTGCGTCGCTCTTATCAGAGATGACTCTGGACGAAAAGATTGTCAATACCGTCAATGCTGCTGATGGAGTAGGTAGGCTCGGTCTTCCAGGCTATGACTGGTGGAACGAGGCTCTTCATGGTCTTGCCCAAGCTCCTGGTGTCAAATTCAACAGTCCCAATGGTTCAGCCTTCAGCTACGCTACTAGCTTCCCTATGGCTATCACCACTGGTTCGGCATTCGATGACCATCTCATTGGAGAGATTGCCAATGTCATTGGCAGAGAGACTCGTGCCTTTGCAAACTTTGAGCAGTGTGGCTATGACTTCTGGACGCCAAACATCAACACATTCCTTGACCCTCGTTGGGGCCGAGGTCAAGAGACACCCAGCGAAGACTCGTTCCATACCCAGCAGTACACCAAGGCATTGATTCCGGGCCTCCAAGGTGGTCTTGATCATCCGGAGGAGAAGCAGATCATTGCCACCTGCAAGCACTTTAACTTGTACTACGCCGAAACAAACAGGTATGCTGATTACTATTATGCTACATACTACCACTAACGAATTTGATCAGATACGGTGAGAATTACAATGCTACTACCCAAGACTTGGCCGAGTATTACAATCCACCCTTCAAATCTTGCGTTCGGGATGTGGCTGTCGGATCTGTCATGTGTGCATACGTGAGTAAATGAAATTAACAGGAACAGATCAGTACGAAGCTTACAATTATTACAGACTGCTACCTACGGTGTCCCGAGTTGTGCCAGCGAGTATTTCCTGCAAGACACTTTGCGTGAAGACTGGAGCTTCGATGAGCCATACAAGTATGTCGTTGGCGATTGTGGTGCTGTCGAGTATATCCATACCATCCACCATTTCACCGACAGTCCCGCCGAAGGCGCAGCTCTTGCTCTGAACGCCGGCACTGACTTGGATTGTGGCTTCACTTTTGGCACTTACCTCAATGAATCGATCATCAACAATTATACCACAGAAGCACGATTGGACCAGGCTTTGACTCGTCTTTACACTGGACTCCACACTGTTGGATACTTCGATGGTCAAAATCGCTATGCCAATCTGTCATGGGGTGATGTCGACACTGAAGATACCCGAGCTCTAGCTTATCGATCTGCTTGGGAAGGTATGGTCCTGCTCAAGAATGACGGGCTCCTGCCTCTTTCTGCAGACTATAAGAAGGTGGCACTTGTCGGACCTTATGCCAATGCTTCTAGTCAGATGCAAGGTATTTATGCTGGTCAAGCGCCGTACATCATCACACCTCTACAGGCGGCAGAAGCCAATTGGGATGATGTTCAGTATGCTTTCGGAACTGGTGTCAATGGCAGCAACACAACTTTCTTCTCGGCCGCTCTGGATGCAGCAAGATCGGCAGATCTCATCATCTACCTGGGTGGCATCGATGACACGATCGAACGCGAAACACAGGACCGAGAGTCAATCAAGTGGCCTGGTAATCAGCTTGATTTGGTACAACAGTTGAGTGAGCTGGGCAAACCGCTAGCTGTTGTTCAGTTTGGAGGTGGTCAGATTGACGACAGCGAATTGCTTGCAAACAGCAAAGTGAACTCTCTTCTCTGGGTAGGCTACCCGAGTCAAGAAGGTGGCAATGCTATCGTCGACATCCTGCTCGGTAGACAAGCTCCCGCTGGTCGTTTGACTACAACTCAATATGCTGCCAGCTATATCGACGAGGTCAGCATCTTCAACCCAGATCTACGTCCTAATGGAAGTTACCCTGGCCGTACCTACAAATGGTACACCGGCAAGCCTGTGCTCCCCTTCAGCTACGGTCTCTCTTACACCACCTTTGATCTCCAATGGTGCGGTAAGCCTCTAAAGCATACCTATAAGATCAAAGACCTCTTCCACAAGCGTCAGCCCCACGGAGCAAAACCAAAGCCCCTCGACACATTACCTTTTGTCACTCTCTTCACCACCGTCTCAAACACAGGCACCCACACCTCCGACTTCACAGCCCTCTTATTCCTCTCAACCCAAAACGCAGGACCATCGCCCTACCCGAACAAATGGCTAGCTTCCTACGCCCGCGCCCATACCATCACTCCTGGACACTCACAAACCATTGATTTAGAAATCTCAATCGGCTCGTTGGCCAGAGCAGATGAAAATGGGGATCTGACGGTTTATCCTGGCAATTACGTGATGGAAGTTGATAATAATGGGTTATTGAAGGGAGAATTTGAACTTGTGGGTGAAGCTGTTGTGGTGGATCGATTGACTAGACAGGGGGTTTATGAGTATACCGTTCCGGTGCACTATAATGCTAGTGCTAATTTGGTTTGAAAGGGTGGGGGAGGGTTTGTAGCTTCAGGTAGTCGTTAAGAGTGATTCGTCTAGCGGATGACTTGGGCATCGTGCTCGTTTGTCACTTTTGGATGTTCTGCATTAGTTCTGTGTCCCTCTCACAACTAGTCGTCAAAGAGACGGCGAAGGCCAGATGATTCGAGATTATCATGATAAGCTCAGAAATGCATAAACTGTTACTCTATGAACCAACAACCTTGTACTTGTCCAAAATAGCATCATACTGCTGTTGATCAATAGCCAACACTTTTCCATGCTTGACATCCTTTGGGAATCCACTCATATCATCACGCACCCACGCACCCATATCATCCAAAGTATCCGCCGTAGCAGGAATATACGTCTGCAGCGTATTCTCATCAATCCAAAGATGAAACTTGCCAGCATCCAAGTTATCCCTAAAGATCAAAGGTCCCTCATTGTTGGCATACTCGGAAGCAAAAGTGACGCGTACATCAGGCCCAGCATTTCCTACATTGGCCCAGTCGCCAAGAATACCGTTGGAGGAGCGTTGTTGGTAAATTGTGTAGTCGACCTCGGATTTTATCCAGCGGTACCAGACGTTGGGTCCTTGTTCGGGGGTTGCGATGAAGGTGGCGTCGATGACGGGGTAGTCGGGATAGAAGTAGAGTTGTGCTTCGGAGAAGGTGATGAAGTCGGTGGTGGTGACATACATCAGTTTGTTAGGAGGTTGAGGGCCGGTACGGTCAGGGTCGGCATCAGACCAGAAGCGGGAGGCAAAGATGACAATGTAGGCTTCAATCAGAGGTTCCCAGTATGCTTCCGGTGCCCATGCGTTTCCGGCGGTAGAGTTGACGAGGTTGGGTGTGAGGCGAGCCTCGGACCATGTAGCCAAGTCATCAGACTCCCAGATGACGAGCTGTCTGGAGCCAAATCTGGTTGCTGCATTGAAGTCGTTGGTGAAGTTGTTGGCAAGAAGATCAGTTGCGATGAGCCAGAACTTGCTTCCATCCTGGGAAGGCACGATGAAGGAGTCTCTGACACCTTTGGTGCCGACACCACTGCGCAAGATGGCTTGTGTTTCTGCCGTGCCATCTAAAGAAAGAGCTTGGTAGGACAAGGGGTCGTTGTCATTTGACAGGTGCATGTAGATAGCCTCATCATCGACAGGGAATGATGTAAAGAGATATCCCACTTTAGTGTCTCGCTTCGTAGGCATGGCCATGGTTGTGCTGACAGCAGTCAAAGCCAAAAGAGATTGAAAAACTTTCGTTAGAATCATTGTTTCGATTCGTTGCCAGGGTTATATTTCCAAGATGCTGGAGGAACAGATAGCGGAACAGGCTGATGATTTTATATCAACCGATCACCGCAAATTATTTCCTACGTCGTCAAAATATTGACAACGTCTCATGACGGTATGAGAAGCATATTCAAATCTTCCTGCATCTCGACAAGCCCGAGCCAAGACAATATTCCTTGGTAGTCGGAAGTCAGTACAATAAATATGTTGTTACCCGCTGAAGTTGGACGTCTTTGAGTGGCCAGTATGGTCGACATACGAGGGGATCTGCTTTCAGCCTGATTTCTCGCGCGTCGCGAATTGCCGTATAGCAGATCTTTCCGGACTAGGAAGCTCCCGCTTGCTCCCCACGGGCCTCCACACGTTGGCAGTCGTTGTTTGCGGGGTCTATACTATGGGCGCAGCATCGTGAGCTCGATCATTATGTTATTGGCAGTACAGAAAAGCAGACGATGAACAAGAAAGACGTCAATGGGCTGCCTGTTGTCAACCATTATAGATAAACATAAGGCTAAAGACGGGTGTAGCCCTTGATATAGTAACTGCTTAAGTCTCGAGACTTCTATCAACTTACATAGCATGCTATAATCTACATAGAAGTCTCCTAAGACCTAGCAGTCCTCTGCCTCGATCGAACTTCCTCGTATCATCTACTTATAGTATAGATGCTATAGGAGGACTAAATGCAAAACACCTATAGCAAAGGCGCAGGGTCGTCCTGATAACCAAAAGACTTGGGACTGATTATGCTGCATCGATAACTGACAAGGCCAATAAATGTAGACTCGTCTACTGATGTTGTTAAGCACAGTACACGGGTGTTCGTATGGCAAACGCATTTTGAATTGGGGGATCGCTGCTATTGTGTCCATTGGTTACCCATAATATCAAGTTTTGGTGATCTAGTCACGGCATGATGACAGCCCGAAAATTACTATGACCCGTCTTACTGCCGTGCGTGCGAGTCAACGCTCTTCCTTTACGAAACATCTACATGTTGTTCGCGAGCGACCAAAGCTTGTCTTTCGCAATATCACAACAGTATCGCGTGGATCATCCATCTCACCACCAGTGTTGGAGGCTCTTCTGGCTCGCTAGCATGACGCACGTTCCTGTACGTCATCGCTTGTCTCTTAGAACACCCGTCTGATCTGTTTTCAGGCGGCGATTGTACGTTTCTGTCCCATTTTATAAACTTTTCAGCCACCGAAGTTGACATATTCGCAAAGTTTTCGCGACATATCAGGTTCGGGAGGTGGTTGCAGATCGCCTCTTGAATGTTAACGGGCAGCCATCCTGAATTGAGATTAGCTACTGGCAGCGAGGCACCGTGCGAAATGTGATATTAACATACCATCGGAAACAGTGTGGCGAAGACTCTGATCTCCTCCGATCTTTCCGTAGCATGGTGTGTCCAATCGAGCTCCAAGGCCGCCTTTCCTACCATCAGAGCCATCGAAAGCGGAACGTAACGTCTGGCCAGGCAATCATGTGGACCTGCACCAAAAACTAGCCAATTCTTGGTCTGGCTCTCGGCGTCGCCAGTGATCCATCGGTCCGGATCGAAGGTGTTGGCCTCGGGATATACTTCGGGGTCGTGCAGAGCTGGATAGCAAGTCGGAACAATCATGGCACCTTTAGGAACAGTATAGTTGGGGGTGACCGGGAAGTCCTTTGTGGCCAGGTAAGGAACCATGATGACTGGCGGCCTGTATCTGAGGAGTTCCTTGATCACCGCATTGGTGTAGGTGAGTGACTTCAGCATAGACAGGTCGAGCGATTTGCTAGCATCACCCTCTCTTGCGGCCAAGTTCTCTGCTCGCAGGCGATCAAGCACATCGGGCCGTTGGGCTAGAATCTGGAAGATCCATGTGGTCGCACTACTGGAAGCATCTTGCGACGCGAAGAGGAAGGTGAAGAGCGTCTCGCCAATCTCCTCGTTGGTGAACTCGCGGATCAAGTTCGATGGTCTCTCAACATCGGTCTCACCAGCGGCAATTCGCTCACGATAACGATTAGACTCGAGCATGTGAAGGACCCAGAAATCGACAACGCAGGAAGGCTTCGAGCCGATGGCCATGTTTGCCTTGCATACAGCTGCGCACTTTGCGAATTCGCGGTGAACGGCATCCGCAGTGCGCTTGCCTTTCCAGACCTTGGTGCCTGGAATGTAGAGGGAGAGGGGCACATTGACCAGCTCAAGCGCAGCAGTAGCGAGATAAAAGTCGTCGGCGATCTTTTTCACGGCGTCTTGGGAGATGTAATCTCCGAAGAAAGTACGGCATGAAATGGCGCAATTGATTTCGCGGAAGAAGGTCATGAACGCGATCGCCTGACCTTTGTTCTGCTCCGTGGCTGCGACGAACTTGTCGAAGTAATCAGAAAGGACCTTTTCCTGCACAGGCATGTAGGCAGCCAAGGCCTTGTCGGTGAAGAGAGGAGTCAATCCTCTTCTGTACTCGGCATGGTCTTTCCCTTGTAGGAACACCCAGGCTTTGTGTCCGATGATATCTTTCGCTACTGGCACAATACATGGCTCGGCATACGCAGGCGACTTGAAGACCTTGTGGGCGATATCTCGGTCAGAAGCAAGGACGACGAATCTACGAGGATCAGCTTGGGGATCGAAAAGCTATCTGTAGCAATAAGCGACAACAAAGATGTACATACTTGTGGAAGACAGAAACACAGCTCAGAGGTCCACTGGCCCATTGAGCAAGGTATGCGTCGAATCTGGGGTGGAGGGCCTGTATGAATGGGCCCATAAGTGGGATTTTGAATGCTGGTCCTGCGATTGATCCTTTGCGCTTGATGTACATGACTAGACATGGGGTAAGTATTACATTATGGCTGGCATAGGTGACTTCGCCACTGACTTTGATCATAAAGGATGATTCCCAGAACCAGAGTTGCGATGTACTGCCAACTTGACCAGCCCGCGAGGCGATCCATCAGGTCACCATTGACTTTCCCAGAACTCATCTGCCAGACCTGCCATGCCTGTGGAAGGTCCAACAGCGAGTTGGTCATGTTCCCGAGTTTGCTTGACATGTTGCGCTTTGCGATGTGTGAGAACAACTTCAAACGTAAAGGGTCAACACAGATTATTATTACAGGAACTGGTTGCCAAGCCCAAGAGTCCCGGCAACCCACCGTGGTGGGTATGTAGCCAATCACGAAAACCACTAACGGAGATGGTTCATGCCTCTTCTTTGATTATCGCTCAGTACAAGATTGGAAAGGGCGCCCCTGCATTCACGAACAGCATCACTCGATTACGACTCCCCCAACGCCATTCAAGAGATGGGTAGTTGCGAGCGGACCTGGTATGTAAGTACGACAGCATCTTTGTTCAATCACGCCACGAACTTGCAACAGTGATGGAAGCATTCGCATTCGACGGAGATAATGATCTTCCGAAGATAGTCACAATATCTGCTACTCACCTGGATTTCAGCATGCTCTCCTGATTCAACCGCAATTCAACGACCCTCCCTCTCGGCCGGAAGTTATAGTCACTATATGCGGGATTGACGCGAAGGATGATACACGAAACAAGTCCCGGCTTGAAATCTCACCACTTGATCCTTCGGGCTTTCTGCCCTGGCAGGTCTGCCAGTCCAGCCTGATATTGTCCTCGATCTCGGCGATCAATCCTCGAGACTACGACCAGAACATCCTGCTCAGCTGATGAAGTCACAACCTATGTACTGACTTCGCACCATACTGTCGCAGCTCCGTTCAAAAGGGAAGGCGAGTTAGTTGAAGTTGTTTACTCTATTGATTGTGGAAATGGGGTTCGACGCGAGCGGTTCGTCCCGTGGCGCGATCAGGAAGGCAGCTCTATGAACGTATGCTGAACAGTGCACATGCGCGCCCGCAACTCGACTGCAAGCGGGCTCGGCTACAATGCCCCCTGCTGGACATTAATGTTACGCGTCTTGACGGATTCTGTCAAGCACGTCTTGTCATGACTCGCTGCTGCGACATGCCTGCTGGGTTCCCGTCAAATCAGAGTATGCTTGTTGGCGAATTCTGGGCTTCTCATTGCGCACTTCTTCCGGTCGGAGCGTCTTGACTAGACCAACTGGACTGACTGACTAGCTACCTGGGCGCTAAAAGCGCACATCCCAGAGCGCTTTGCGGAGACCTCAAAAAGCATCCTCCCGGAGTCTGAACTCCACACAAGTCTCCAGATCTGGAATTACAACGTCGTACATGCTCGTATTCTGCGGTCTCTGCCTGGAGCCGTCCTTGAAACGAAGGTCATACTTCAGAATGATATTGGAAACAATCATCTTCATGGAGTGGTCGGCGAAAAAGCGACCAGGGCACACGATCTTGCCATGTCCAAAGTGCAGACTGTTGTCGCTGGTAGTGGTGAATTCTGCAGTGGTCTTGTTGGTCATCAAAGTCGCACAAATCATTCTTGGGCTTTGAACTTACGGTTTCCATTGTTCTCAATGGATTGGATACGCTGCTTGAATGAGCGGAGTCCGTCAAACTCGTTCGGGTTTGAGACCCGGTCAGGATCAGTCCCTATTGCGTACGTAGCCATTTGGATATGGGCACCTTCAGGCAGGATTACTCCATCGTGGAGTGTCACAGGCTGACGCACGATGGCATTGAAGCCGACTATGGTCAATCTGTCAGAACCATGATCGTCGATAAATTCTCAGCTAGCAAAAAGCAAAAGACTTACGCAGAGTGGGTGGACTCAGGCGCTGAGACTCTTTCATAAAGCTGTCCATCTTCTTCATGGCCGCCAAGGACTGTTTGTTGTAACCACTGTTACGAAGGACTTCGTTGGCCTCTTCTCTCAACACGTCGACATATTCCGGGTGAACGCAAAGATCGAACAACACTTGTGCAACAGCAATGACTGTGGAAGGACCGGATCCCAGATACGTAACCATCAGGCGTTGGACCGTGGTCTCGTTGTCATCCTGGATCTCCTCACCTCCGTCCATGAGATATTGCAAGAAATCTTCCGGTTTCTGGTAGCTGGGGTTTTCCTTTTCTTGTCTCCTTCGCTCCTGGATCAATGGAATAATCATACGCTTGGCTCTTTTCAAAGCATTGTTTACTCCCCAGCTCGTGGGAAGTAAACGGGCTACAACAGGTTTGATCAGATCAGGAAAAACGCGTAGACAAAAGTTGTGCTTGAAACCATTCTCAGAGTAGTCAATGGCGACGTTGAGGTATTCCTCACTCTCTGCGAGCTCAGTTACGAACTGAGTGGCTACACCTCTATGGACCATTCTTCGAGCAAGATGCAGAGCATTCATACTCAACCACTCAGTCTTCGTCGCAGGAAGCTCTGTCGGGAGATGCTTCTGAAACTGTTCCTGGACAAGGGGAGCCTGGACGCCAAGTTTTGGCGTTAGTCTTGTGGTGATCATGCGTGTTTGAAGACTGTGGTCAGTGATCACAGCGGTGATCGCGTGTAAACGCTGGAATGCGTCTACAATTGCAGTGTTGAGACTGAGGCGCTCTGGAGGCATGCTTGCGAGCTCAGCGAGATACTTGTTGGGCACAATAAGTAGATCATTTCCAGAGACCTTGAAGAAGCCGTCTTTGTACTTTGCATAACCCTCGCGGATCAGAGCTGGACCATTTCGGAAGAATTGCCATCTTGCCAGGATTGCATTCTTATAGCCGATGATGGGTGCGTCGAACTTGTAGTTGCCGTAGATGTTGGGGTGATTCTTGCTGTCCGAACTCAGGATGTACCAAGAAACGGCAAGTAATAACGAGAAAGTAGTGAAGGCTAGGGTAGACAAGGAATGTCCTTCGAAGAGACTCGCACCAACGTCTGCGAGGCTGGTACCGTTCGAGCCCAAAGAGGACTCAGCGAGACTGGTGATATCTGCGCTAGAGGCATTCATGATGTGAGGTAGGTGGTGAGAACGAGGAATCTCCTATCTGTGACTCCCTGGAGCAGACTTTATAGCTTTATCACAAGCACTCAAGTCCGCTCAGCATGCTAAATACCGTAAGCTGCAGATGACTTGGCGAACAACCTCGCTATTGAATTGATGAGGTATATGCGGAGTATTCCTCCTCGCTTCAAGTGGCTCGAAACCGCGAAAGATCCAATATGTCTGACATCTGGGCGCTCAACATACCAACCTGCTTGATATCATTCGTTGACGGAGCTCACGACTCCACAATAAAGGCCGATATATAGTAGGAGACTAGGAGTATGATAACGCGCAATCCCTTAGCGTGGGGTGAACTAGATCCTTCGCAGTACTCTATGGTGGGTCCGGGCTCACATGCTGATTGATCCTTCGCGCAATATAGCCTCCGGTAGATTATAACATCAAGTAAGCAGCAGTTATGTGCTCGCCAAGTCGCTCCTCGATAGTTCCGATCAGACTACTGCCTAGCATCTCAATAAAGAGGCTGTCAAAGCCCTCGCATACACTTGGAAATGTTCGTCACCACCTTGCGAATCCTAGCCTGCTCTCCAAAGATGTCTCACATATTATATGCGATGATTGGAACCGTCTTTCTGGTCTACGCAGTAGAATATCTAATTAGCTCGAGGGACGACCCGCGAGAACCAAAGCGACTGCGTCCGAAGGTACCTCTTATCGGCCACTTGGTAGGTATCATCAACAGTGGTCCTTCATATCATAATCGCTTAAGGTGAGTCCGCTATTGTTCAATCTACGGTGCCAGCATAAATGTAGATGCGACCGAATCAGCTAACCGTTATCCAAGAAATGCGAGCGACACGGAGATCTTTACTCTGGGAATCCTACACTTCAAGCTTTATACTAGTATCTCAACAAGACTATTACCAGCAATACAGAGAAGCTCAAAGACATTGTCCTTTCGGCCTATGATTCAACATGTAGCACGTCGCTGGGGAGATGCGAGTGACGAGACCAATGACTTGTTTGGAAGTCCGCATCTCGTGACAGACTTTAGTCACGCAATGAAGTCAAGTCTAGCACCAGGACGTCACCTTGATGAGGTCAATGATAGAATGGGCAAAAGAGTCTTACTGGATGTTGATGATTTGCTTGACTTGTGCAATTCTACCCAGAAAGGTCTACAAATCAAGCTGTTAGAATGGACGAGGCATGTGGTCATGCAAGCATCAAGCTCGGGTGTATACGGAACGGCACACCCGTTCATCGATATCGAGGTCGAGAAAGCATTCTGGTAAGCAGAGCCGGCATGTGAACGCTCCCTGAGTGCCAAAGATTCGTGTTGACACGACTTCGCAATAGGAAATGGCACTCCCATCTTTCAGCACATATATCAGGACTGAACTTCGATATCCTTGGAAAAGGTTATACAGCACGACAGAAAGTGTTTGACGCTCATCAAAAATACTGCAAGAATATTCCTGATGACGCGTCTTTGCTTTTCAAGGAGCGCTGGCGTGTTCTACGAGAAGCTGGTGTGTCTGAAGCCGACTGTGTGAAGCAACAGGCGACCCTCCCTATCGGTATGCTGAGTAATACGGTACCTACCATGTATTGGACCATATGGGAGCTCTTCTCTCGTCCCGAGGTACTCGCCGCTGTTCGAGAGGAAATCGAACAGAAAGCTGTCATTCGACAGGATGATGGACACGTTCTCGACGTCGCTAAGCTCAAGTCCTGTTGTCCAGGCCTTCTTTCCGTCTTTCAGGAGACCCAACGCGTTCGACATATACATGCGGCTATTCGCAAGGTGTTGGAGGACACAATGCTCGACGGCAGATACCTCTTGAAGGCTGGCAATTATGTGCAAATGCCAGGAAACTCGATCCACCTTAATACCAAGATATGGGGAGATTCGGCGACTGAATTTGATCCATATCGGTTCGTACCGAAAGCCAGTGACAAGGGAGGTCAAAGAGTCGCTGGAAGTGGATTCCTTGCTTGGGGCGCACCACCTCATCTATGCCCAGCACGGCAATTTGCTGCAACCGAGATCCTCATTTTTATTGCTCTTCTGGCCATACGAGTCGATCTCCACCCTATTGGCGGAGTATGGGAGAAAAATCCGGCTCTAGACTTTGCTGATCCAGTCACTGTACTCAATCCTAAGAAGGATGTCAGCTTTGATGTCAAGCCCAGACAGCAGTGGGATGGAAGATGGACTTTGCTGATGTCTCAGAGTTCAGTCCGCGTTCCACTCGCGTCGGGCTGAATCTTATTTGCACAAGGATGTGCACAACAGTACTGTTGATACTGGATTAGCATATACTTTGGCGATTAGATCAGAAGTGTGAAGAGCTTGTGATTCGAAGAACTACAGTGCTGTTTTCCTCGTAAGACTTCAGGCTGATCAAGTCATTCGACTCACGATCCGAAGTGTTGATATCTTGTCAAATACTACCGTTTTGCTGCAAACAGTCGACAACTGAAATTATTGAAACTGTTTAGTCTGTCATACAATGTTGAATCTTTTTAGTTGGTCGTTTGTCTGCTCGAGTTATCCATCGTCATTGATGATGCTGAAGATGTGATAACAGCAGTTTTCGCTTACAAAGCTTGAGCTTGCCATCTAGTGTCCGCCGTGCTGATCTATGGCAAGGATGTCCTGACCCCAACATTCTGTCGAGAAAAGCCCGCCAGGTGCTCTTGCTGATCGAGGCCGAGTGTAACGCTGAATTCGCGGGCATCAAGTCGTGCACCGGCTGGTCAATATCACGCACCTTGCAGATACCCCAACATCTGCTCTCTGACTTAAGATGCCCTCACTATTCTTACCTGTATCGTCAAGCAAATTTGTATAACAGCCGAGCCGGATCACCCGGGCTCCGTCGATACCCGACATCGATCCAGAAGAATTACATCGACACATCTCCTTCAGTGGTATCCTGGCACAGGCTTCTGAGCTTAGAGATTGACAAGGCTGCACTTTCGCTTTCGAGCCTGACACAAGCTCGTTCTCGGGAAGTCAGTGTATCATTCTTGTGGCTGGATACACAGACAGGACCAAGTACGCTTCCCGGCTCCCTTGCCATTTTCGAAACTCTAAACTTGACGATCAACTCTTCTCCGATGAGCTAGATCATTGGAAAGCTTTCGTACGAAGCCGCATTCCTTTCATACCCCAAATCGTCGGTGGTAGCTTATCAACTGATAATCTCATCGGTTTTCCCTTGCTAGCGCTAATAGAAGAAAAAGTGCTGTTTGGCATGAAACGTAGCGACTGTCCGACCTAACATGAGATTTATTTGCAGATTTGCACTTTCCGCCAGGTAGAAGATCCAAGCTGAGGATAGAGGAAGGTCGGTGACCAAGCAAATGTTGGAGACACAGGACTTAGTCAAGAATTTCCAGGCCGCAGACCAGCTGGTAGCGGCTCATGCTCCATATCGATTTTGCAGGATGGCAATGAAACTCTTCATGGAGGCTGCTTCAATGTAGAAACGATACTGCCTTTTTTGAAGATCTGCTTTACTCCACATTCGATTTCTTGTCTCCGGGTCCGACTGTAAGACTTGATCTCCACCATCGATTATGCGGATAGCTGTAAGGGTCTAGATCTAGTGCCCAACGGATAAGGTGCCATTATGCTATGGGTCCACCTACATCTGGTCGCCATGACCTTTCCAGGAGAGGTGTTACAAATGATGCAGTCCCTTCTTCGCGTGCGTCCAGTCAATGTGGTTGCAGCCCTCAGCGCCTTGCATCTGAGTCCGACATTGATACTGGTCCTGGTGCCGATTCTGAGGCCGATTTTTCCGAAATCTGATCTCGAGCTTGATTATGCTTGGCCATGTGCGCCTTTGGATAATCTGAAGGGTACATCATGGGTCAGGCTTTGACGAAACATGATGTACACTGTAATACAAGACAGTCAGCCGATGCATAGAGCAGCAGCTAAGCATAGAGCTTCGAACCATCATACGAAGTGCTGTCTGGGGATCGTATGATCTGGTGGACCATCATGTAGCTTCCAGATGGTTGTCCTGGCTTGAAGGTGTTCCTGGCCTTGACTGTGCTTACCTCGTATTCATCATCTTCCTTGCGGCGCCACCACAACTTTCCCCCGTTAATTTTCGGGCCCCCGCAACTTGAACAACGACGAACGATGCGGTCGCTCGAGTGCTCCAGCACGTGAGTCTCCCAGAAAGACATCTTACCACTGCTCAACCTTCGGGAAGCTCACATGCGAAATGTTGTGATCGAACGTCTTGCATCGCGCTGCTCAGGTGTCATCCTTGCTGTAGAAGCTTGCGCGTACCTCCGATGGTCGTCTTTCATCTTTGCAAGGTAGACGGGGTCCGTCGCGTATCGCTCTCGATTGACAGCGTTACGTCTGTCGTGTTGCTGTCTGCGTTCCTCAGGATCTAATGACCACCTCCTAATGGCAGAGAGAGATAGTGATCGCGTCAAACTGGACCCCCGCCTTGAGAGTAGATTAACACGACAGCCTGCATCAGTAATGGTGCGCGACATGATTCAGATATTGGTTGCGGTAAAGATCAGAGACTGGAATATTCCGATGCAGAATTAGGCACTGGCGTGTGTTCATATAACGCGGACCTCGAGTCAGCAGACCTGTTGTGATGTCAAGTAACGTGGTGAAGTTTCAAGGCAAAGAGCTCCGAGGATTGGCTCGGTAGTCGTGTTCTTTGAGCGAGATAAGATTAGATCTCCGGAGATGCTGACCAAGGGGCTCCGCAATCGGGACGGGCGTGGGATGGGTAAGCGGATGGCGTGCTCACATCTCGCCCGTCGGCAGAGTGTTGACCATTGTTCGCGATATCGACTTTTTCCCGTGTCGTTTGCCTTGTCGCCGTTCGCTTTTCATACTCCTTTTCACTCGCTGTCTGTTTGTCGGAGTCGTCTTGTGCAATTAGCCAGGACCTTTTTTGTTCTCTCACAGCGGCATTGTTGAAGCGCATCTACTATTCTACGCCGCGTCTCACCCCTCCACAAAATATAAATCATGTCGGCTCCCGAGCAACAATCGTCGAGTCTGCCTTTCGGCCAAAACATCTCTCTGGGAGACATCAGCGGTCCCACGTACCTGACTGCTCAGACTCTGGTTCAGCAGGTTGCATACACGCTCTCGGACAAGATCTTCTCCTATTCGCCCGAGACCTTCGACCTTGATGTCGCGGCAAAGAGCTGGGAAAGTGCTGGAGAGCAGAATGCTCACGGCTACAAGACTGGTCTCGCGTCTATGGAGACTCGCTCCGGTGCTGGCTCCATCGCCCTCGGATACATGTTCTCCAAAGACTTTGACCTGAAGAAGCGCCACATCCCTCAATCCATCGTCGCCTCGTCTGGCTCGCTCGTCCACTTGCGCTCTGCCCTCGATCAATTGGCCCTTCTCTACAACGTCGCCAACCCCACCGTCGTTCACGTTGCTGCTGTTGACTATGCCGCCAACTCGTCCACTGGTCTCGTCACCGACTACGTCTCGGCCCTTCGCCTTGCTGAGGAGCTCGGCCTGGGTCTGGTCGCCAGCGCTTCCACTTACGAGATGCAGCACATGTCGCTGTTCGCAACCCTGATGGCCTCGATCGTTCCGTCCCTGCACGTATATGACGGCATCACTGTCGGCAGAGAGACCACCAGAATCATCGACGTCCTCGACAAGTCCGGCCTCAAGAAGACTTACGACGCCATTTTGGCCGACTCGTCTCTCACCGAGAAGAAGCACTCCGACAATGAAGGCAGAGTCAGCCGTCTCTTGAAGGCCTTCAACAACGAGCTGGGTACCGAGTACAAGCTGTTCGAGTACTCTGGTCATGCCGAGCCCGAATCCGTCCTGGTTGTTTTCGGAACCGTTGAGGCTTCCCTGGCCTCGCAGATCGCCCGCGCACTGTCTGAGAAGGGTGTCAAGATTGGTGTCATTAACGTCCGTGTTTACCGTCCCTTCGTTGAGGAAGAGTTCCTCGAGGTTCTAGCTCCCTCCGTCCAGAACATTGCTGTCCTCGGCCAGGTCCTTGACCAGGCTGCTGTCACTGATGAGAGCCAACACTCCAACCTCTACAGCGACGTTCTTGCTGCCCTCAGCTTTGCCTCGCTCAACAAGACACCCGCTGTCTTCGACATCAAGTATGCCAGAGAGCAGGTCTGGACACCCACTTCGGTCGCAGGCCTCCTCCAGCAGATTGGCCAAAAGATCGACCACGCTCCCACCGACGAAGAGCGCTTCGAGATGCCCACTGGTGATGTGCAGCAGTACACCTTCTGGGATATTGACAGCTCCAAGGCTGCTTCTGCTCCTCTCATGATTGGTCAGCTCTTGTCTGGTGACTCCAAGCTCAACGTTAGCGTCCGCAGCGGCCACGACAACCTCGCCGCTGGCGGTGCTATCCGCACTGACATCAGAACTTCGGCCAAGTCTATCGAGGCTGCTTACTCTGTCAGCTCTGCCGACATTGCTATCGTCAACGACTCTAGCCTGCTGAAGAGCTTCGATGTCATCAAGTCTGTCAAGGACGAGGGTATCGTCGTTGTTAAGCTCGCTGATGTCAAGGAGGACGAGATTGAGAAGCATCTTTCTTCCGAGGTCCGCAAGGCTCTGGCCTCCAAGAAGATCCAGCTTTTCGCCCTCAACACCGCTGCTTCTGCTAAGGTCGAGGAGCAGCCCGAGTTGGAGAGCTACCTGGTTCAGCTCGCTTTCCTCAAGCTTGCCCGCAGCGACCTCTACGAGACTGGTGTCAAGAAGCTTGCTGGCGGCAACGATGCCCTCGAGGCTCTTTCCAAGGAGATCGACGAAGTCATTCGCAAGGTCGAGATCCCCGAGTCTTGGCTCACTGTTGAGTCTGAGACCAATCAGCCCCTGCCTATGCCCGAGGACCTGAACATCAACAGCTTCATCAAGTTCGACAAGGAGGAGCCCGAGGAGGCTTACCTGCTCAGAGACTGGGAGAAGGTTGCCAAAGGTCTTGCCTTCAAGGAGGCATACGGTACCCAGAACGCTCTACGTCCCGACCTCAGCGTCAAGACTGCTGTTGTCACCGTCAAGGAGCGTCGCCGTCTCACTCCTAGAACTTACGACCGTAACATCTTCCACATTGAGTTTGACCTTGGCGAGACCGGTCTCACCTATGCCATCGGCGAGGCTCTTGGTATCCACGCCGAGAACGACAAGACTGAAGTCGAGGAGTTCATCAAGTGGTACGGTCTTAACCCTGAGGAGGTCGTCGAGGTTCCTTCTCGCGAAGATGCCCAGATTCTCGAGAACCGTACTGTCTACCAGGCTCTGCTACAGAACGTTGACATCTTTGGACGTCCCCCTAAGCGCTTCTACGAGGCTCTTTCGGAGTATGCCGATGACGAGGCCGAGAAGACTCAGCTTCTCCTGCTTGGTACTGGTGGCAACCAGGAGGCTCAGGTGGACTTCAAGCGTCGCGCTGAGGTCGATACTGTCACTTACGCCGATCTTTTGCTTGAGTTCCCCTCTGCTCACCCTTCGTTCCACGACATCGCTCGTCTTGTTGCCCCCATGAAGCGCCGTGAGTATTCTATCGCTTCTTCGCAGAGAGTCACCCCCAACAGCGTTACCCTCTGTATCGTTACCGTCAACTGGGTTGACCCCAAGGGTCGCGACCGCTTTGGTCAGGCCACTCGTTACCTCGATGCCCTCGAGGTCGGCAAGCCCGTCACCGTTTCCGTCAAGCCTTCGGTTATGAAGCTTCCCCACAAGTCCACTGCCCCCATCATCATGGCTGGTCTTGGTACGGGTCTTGCTCCCTTCCGCGCCTTTGTTCAAGAGCGTGCCTGGCAAAAGGAGCAAGGCATGGATATCGGTGCTGTCATGCTTTACATGGGTTCTCGTCACCAGAAGGAGGAGTACCTCTACGGTGAGGAATGGGAGGCTTACCAGGATGCTGGTATCATCACCCACATGGGCTGTGCCTTCTCCCGTGACCAACCTGAGAAGATCTACATTCAGGACCGCATGCGCGAGACCCTGAAGGAGATTCGCCAGGCCTACCTCCGTGACGAGGGTGCCTTCTACCTTTGCGGTCCTACTTGGCCCGTACCCGATGTCACCAATGTCCTTGAGGAGGCCATTGAAGTCGAGGCCAAGGAGACCGGTAAGAAGGTCGACCCCCGCAAGGTCATTGACCAGCTCAAGGATGAGGAGAGATACGTTCTCGAGGTCTACTAGATGCAACAACTTGTTGCTTGGAAAAATGTCTTTGGAAATTCTCTGTACATAAAATAGAATTTGTAAACAAAAATCGTGACTTGATAGAACACAGTTATTGCATGATCTCGATCCATTTGCCCAACCTCCAGTCTTGTCGTGCGCATTGCGATTCTCTTCTCCAGGCAATCGCATGACTGCAGTTGCTTTCCACTTTTTTTCCGTCATTCGGGCCTTGACGATCAAACAAAACATCAAGGCACTGGCGGGGATACCCGGTTGACTTGTGCAGAAAGCTTGCCTGCAAGCCGTCCGCTTCCGCAATCAAGAAAAGTTGGAGCAACGAAGAATTTTGGCAGGCACACAGGGCTGTGCAGGGGAACACGGTCGATCGCATCCTTCATTGATCAGGAACGAACAGTGTCGATCATTTTGCTGTTTTGTTTCTCACTCAAACACACAACAAATCCTGAAACTCTGGGATTTTGCTATGTTTTGACAGGGTTATTGTTCGATCGGTCTTCTACGTTCATATAGTTTATCTTAAGACGATTAGATAGAGTATCTTTCCTTCCCGACTTTATCAATCTTCCCCTGCATTTTGTCCTTCCAAGAAAGTTGTCGCAAGCAAATGACGTCGAAGTTCTTTTCTTAGGCCCCTTTTGCTCGTGCTCCCGGATACGGCTCGTACTTTAGGGCCCCACAGCACACTACCACCTGTTTTTCCACGTCTTTCCTGCAGGCCCAAGCAGACTCTGGCTTTTCAACAACGCTGTCAACACGCTAGCCCAAGAGTCTTGGCCAGCTTTGTTTGCAAGGCTCTACAGCAAGCTCTGATAAGAATAGAAAAAGAGGCGACCTAGGAAGGATGGGCTGGTTGCCGGGGGTTAAAATTATGCAGGCACTCCCGAAAGGCTGACACTTCTGATCATCACTGCGTGATAAGTATATTACTTGTAGCTACTTCTCGTACCTGCTTTCTTCCTCTCTTCTTTTCTCTCTCTTCAATCGACATCAACAAATCCAACTCTTACGCTCACACAAATCTTCCAACTTCACAAACAAACAACTTCAATCGCAAAAATGAGATTCTCCGCCCTTTTTGTTCTGGCTTCTGCCACCGCTGCTCTTGCTGCCAACTCCACTCCCGCTCTTTTCGCCCGTCAGAGCGAGGGTGCTACCTGCTCTAGTGGCGAGTCTGCTTGCGGTCAGGGATGCTACGACCCCACCGCCTACACATGCTGTGGTTCCGCCGGCCAGGTCTGCGCTATTAGCGAATACTGCGCCAGCGCCAACCGCTGCTGCCCCATCGGTGCCAACTGTGACGGTCAGGGCACTTCTACCGCCGAGGGCAGCTCTGCCACCGCCGTACAATCTGGATCCACCATTCTCGGAAGCTGTAAGTCTTGATCATCTTTTAATATCTTCCCTTCCGCGACTCGTAATGACGAGCCCTTTCTTGTAGCTGCTTCATCTGTAGCTGCTTCTGCAACTTCGTCCATGTCTTCTGCTTCCTCTTCTGCATCTTCGGCCGCTGCTTCTTCAGCCTCTTCTGTTTCATCGAGTCTGACATCAAGCGCCGCAGCCGCCTCGTCAGCCGCTTCTTCTGCCTCAAGCAGTGTCAGCTCAGCTGCTTCCAGCGCCAGCTCTAGCATGTCTTCTGCTGCTTCTTCCGCTTCCCGCTCGGCCTCTTCCGCTGCTTCTTCCGCTTCTCGCTCTGCTTCATCTTCTGCTTCATCTGCTTCTCGCTCTGCTTCATCCGCTGCTGCTTCTGCTTCCAGCTCGGCTGCCGCTACTTCTTCCGGCGCTGCTGTCGCGGGTACCGTCACCAACTTCGGTCTCGCACTTCTTGGTTTCGCTGCTCTTATCTAAGCATCTCCGTTGACGAATGCCGATGGATGCAGTGAAGCGGAGGATTTCCAGGAGCTTTCTTCCTTTCTCAAGATTATGTCAGACGAAAGAGTCTGGCTGGTTGTACCCAATGTATTTATGATACCGGGAGATTTGCATTGTTAATAAATAGGGATATACCTGTATGAACTAGACTTATATATCAGCTGGTCCCCATGATTTAAATTTGATGTACTTGGTGATGGCAATATCGCACGGTTCTCATGAGATGTCAAAGACTTTTTGAGGCTTTTTCCAAGGAGAGGTAAAATAGCACATGCTCGAAATGTTGGTGAGTCACTATATATCCCGAGCCTTCTGCCATACTACCTCGCCTTCTTCCTCCTCGCCCTCGGCTCTGCGGTGAATGAGGGGTGAGGAAGAAGATGCAACTTCCTACCTCTTTTTTGCTACAAAGGCCGTGTTCAAACCACTCGCACGCCGTTTTCTTGCGCCCCTTTTTCTTTGCTCTCGGGCTCCCCAGGCATGAAGTTGAATATCATCTGCTTTGATGCAATTGTTCAGATTAGTTTCCTTTTTTGTGTCGTTAGCAGTGTCTTTGATGTTTTTTTTGCACTGCGAGTTGAGAAATCACCACGAATCAAGGTTGACTGGGGAGAACATGACAATTGACTTTAGTAAAGCATTCGCACCTCCATGCCTAATATGCCGCTCCAATAGGTCAATCTGTGTTAAAAGCGTCTTATGCTAATTGACCAATCTCAGTTTCTAACAAAAGCAACATCATGCTTCTTGAAAAGTACGCTGGAATCCAAGACCTCCCCAGTGTCACTCCTCAAGAAATCCACTTGCAAGTTCTGCTCATCCAAGAACTTGACAGTTGCGTAACTGAATTCATCTCCGTATGCGAATACGTTGGTCGAGTAGTTGGCGCCCACGGCGCTCAAGCCTTCGATATTGCCTGCTCCTCCAGCAATAATGTACGCTGGTGCTGTTGGATTTTTCAAAGCAGCTGGGTCGGCAACATTGTTGTAAACAGGGTTGAAGCGCTGAGAATTATGGACATGGCCAAAGATACCCAGATCCACGCCGTACTTGTAGAAGAGAGGCTCAAAGGCCGCTTGACAGGGTTTGCAGATATTCTTGCTATCACCGGTGGAATACCAAGGACGGTGACCGGCGACAATAACCCATGGCGTAACAGTTCTATCCACAGAAGCCAGATCTGCGTCCAGGAAATCGAGCTGTTGGGTGGGTGTGTTGCCAAAAGATCCAGCGTTTAGATTGGCACTTCCATCTTTTCCGTCGGGGGCGGAGGGGAAATCGGTCTCGGTGTCTATCATTACTATATGCGCCATTCCGTATTCGAAGGAGTACCAGAAGGGTGGGTTTGCGAGACTTGCAGCTTTCTTTGCGAAAGCTTGTGCTGTTGCGTTCTTGGATGAGGAAGGGAAGGTGGTTGGCATTAGTCCATTGAATCTAGTCATGAAGTCTGTAAAGTTCTTTTGACCTTCGGGGCAAAGACCGGTGGTGTAGGGGATCTCTGTGCACGCAGCTTCGTGGTTTCCTGGCGAAGCCATGTAAGGCTTTCGGCTCGCGATGGGGGCGAGTTGGTCAAAGAAGTTTTCGAGAATGGCGGCGTAGGCATTCTTGCCGTCGAGGAGGTTCTTGGGCTTGAGATACCAGTCATCTGCGTATGCAAAGTCTCCAGGATGAAGCACAAAGTCGTAGTCGTCAATGGTGTTGGCTAGAGCTGCGATGGTAGTGTGGTTCAAAGCAGGCTGGACGTAAGGAATGTCACGCTTGCGAGAAGTTGTATAGCCATCTGCACCATACACACCGAGCTAACAGAGTCTTGTCAGTAAATTACACACATTACCCTCGCGAGACCATCGGCTTACATCAACCACAACATCCAAGTTGAAGGCAGTCTTGTCTCCAGGAGCACGAGCAGTCATGAAGTGGTTGACAGACGAATTTGTCGAGTTGATCTTGTAGTAGTACGTAGTCGCCGCATCAAGTCCAGAAAGTGTCACAGAGTTGGCCCAAGTGCGAGAGGTGCCATAAGTCAAGGACTGAGCAGAACACGCTTGAGAAGTCAGACTGTTTGCAGATTTGCCATACTGCACACAGCCCTCGGCGAGTTGCTCGTAGGTGTTCCAACCGACGGAGATAGCTTGTTGTTATCAGTGAGGGATCACAAAGTACGAACGGAGACCGGCGCCTACCATTAGGGCCCTTGAAGGCGATGCGTTGTTGCACAGGAGTGGTCAAGTCCTTAGGTATGCCTGGATAGTCTGCGGCGAGTGCCAGTACAGGTAGCAGTGGCAAGGCCTGAAGAAAGAGGGAAGTAGGGGCCATGAACACGACTCGATTCTGGAAGACTAGAAGCGAATAATCGTATCCGTCGTGGTCAAGTACACACAGATTCCTTCGTGGCAACCACAATCGATTATGTAGTTTTCAGGGCATCGACTCCTGACATTGTCACCTACCTATTTTGGATTGCCTTGCGACATCGCTTGCTACAGATATTACTTGCATGTGGTTGAAAATGCAAGCATTATTCATGCTTTCTCGAGGTTGTCGTCTTGTGAGAGGAGAAGGTCGGCACGTGGGTCAAATCCAAGCTTCAGCAAGCTTAGCTTTCGAGCTTAGCGAGACACGCTTTATGCGTGAACAAGATGATTGGTCAGAACGGCAAATCGGAGTGATAGACAATTGGATATTCGAACGCGTCTTTAGAAATACAGGAGACGGCACGATAATTGGAATGCCTCGGTAGAATAACAGTCCTGACCATTGCGCCCCCCTTTGAGCAAGCCAGTGGGACAATCGAGACTAGATATGTTCCTTCCGCCTAGTCTCTCGACAACCCATGTGGTATGAGTATCTTGAATTGTGCAAGACGGACTCCTGACTCCCGCAAGCCCTATCAGCCGCATACCATTGCAGTTCGAGGTTGTTAAGAATTTTCTCTGACGAAGAAGCAGGATTACTAGCCCCGTACAGTCGATTGGAGATTCTCAAGTGCTTTTCATTCTGTTCCTCTCTCCTCATTATCATTGCTCGGAGAAATGTGCGTTCCATCTCGTCGGCGATGTTGCGCACGTCACCAAAACACGGGTAACCTGCGGAATATCGTGTCTGCCAAGCAGATGACAACTCTTTAAACTGCTCTCTCCAGTATCGGTTCGAATGAGTAATCGTCGTAGGAGGTATGCATCGGTCGAAGTCCAGCGCATCCGTTACCAAAACTTTGTTAGCCCGGCCCTTCTGTGACCTGATGGTGACGCTGACAATGCCGCACATACGTGTCGTCCAGATGCGTATTTGACCGCACAAAGACACAAGATCAGCCAAGTCGGTGTGGCAGAACTTGGTCCATGACCTAGGGGGCCCAGGCCTGCTTGTTTGCAAGTCATGAACTAGAGGGTTGAAATGTACTCGGTCCAAAGCGATGCCACCTGACCAGGCGTTGAAGCCTGCTGCCAATTGTCCGCGATGCATTACGCAGAGACTCAGCTCGGTCCCACGCATAAGGATTGGCAGAGACTCGTATCTCAAACGCTTGGATGCAGTCATCAGTGGATGTGGGAACGGTGGCTCTCTATCGGTCAAAATTGACATCAGGAGGTGTTCGTAGATCATCAACCTGATCTCGGTGGGTAGGTCCGTGAGACCAGTCTCGGTCGGAGCCATAAATGAAGAAGAGACGGCAGAGAGTAAGATGTGACTGAAAGTGGGAGACAGTGATAAGAAATTGAGAGACAGCAAGCACCACAGAATAGAGACAGAAGAAATTGATATGAGATATGACTCGTCTTGAGTGGGACGACCTACCATTGCCACGCGTGATTATGCGGGTGTAATGGGCCACACATGATGGATGGCGTTGGTCTGACGCAAATTCAGATCAATGTACACGTGGGAAGCTGATAGCTTGAATGATTGCTCCCAGGCGTAGCTGGACATGTCTGGGTTTGTACGAATAGCTAGAGACGTGTCGATAAAGGAGTTGGTAAGACTCTTGAAGACGCTTCAACCAATAGGAAGACATGTCTTGGCGCTGATTGAGGTCGCCTCACCGCCCAAACGTCATGTATGTGGCAGTAAACATTCATGCCCCATCCGGACAATCAACACCAAGCATTATATAACAAAGGCCAGCAGCAGCGCATCTCATCGGTGATTAGGCCCACGACACTCGTTTAGATTATAGCAAGATGGGCAAACCACGAGTAGGTGCACAGCAACGAATCTCGACAGATAGCGGGTGGCTAATTGTTTGCAGATGATCATTGTGATTCGTCATGCACAGAGCGAAGGAAACAAGAACCGCGACATCCACCAGATGATCCCGGATCATCGTGTCAAGCTGACAGATGATGGATGGAAACAGGTAAATAGCGCCACCTTACTTCAGTCAGGTCGGGCAAAAAGCTCACCAAGTCACGCACAGGCAGAGGAAGCAGGTCGACGACTACGAGGCATGCTCAAGCCAGACGATACCATCCAGTTCTTCACCTCCCCCTACCGCCGTACTCGCGAAACGACCGAAGGCATTCTGTCATCCTTGACGTCCGAAAGCGAAGAAGAAGGCCCGTCACCATTTCCCCGCCACACCATCAAGGTCTTTGAAGAGCCGCGACTACGAGAACAAGATTTTGGAAACTTCCAGCCATGCAGTACCGAGATGGAACGCATGTGGCAAGAGCGCGCCGACTATGGACACTTCTTCTACCGTATCCCCAACGGCGAGAGTGCTGCCGACGCCTACGATCGTGTCAGTGGCTTCAACGAGAGCTTGTGGCGCAACTTCAGCGATGAAGACTTCCCCTCGGTCTGCGTGCTGGTCACGCATGGCTTGATGACCAGAGTCTTCTTGATGAAGTGGTATCACTGGTCCGTCGAGTACTTTGAGGATCTCCGCAACGTCAACCACTGCGAGTTTGTCCTCATGCAGAAGAATCTCGACAGCGGCAAGTACATGCTGCAGAACCAGATGCGCACATGGTCAGAGTACAAGAGACGCTCGATACCGCAGCAAAACGCTCAAGTCACAGCTTCGGCTTTTGCTTCCCCTGCAATACCTTCCCGCAAGTGGGGTGGTTGCGTCGGCGGTTGCACGCATCAACATTCAAAATTTCCTCGTCGCATAAAGAAGCAGAATGAAGCCTCGGACACTGCTCAAGCGTCAGCAAAAGACACAGAAGGCCATACGAATCTTGCCGAGCAGCTTCCAACACCCCTCCAAGCCTCAAGCACAGCAAGCACCACAGAGCCCAACTCGCCAATCTCCTTCCGTCTACCCACCCGCCCCAGTTTCCTCCACGGCCGCGACGGCGGAGGCTCCCTCTCCGGCATTGCCACCCCAGTCGAAGGCTTCTCCGACGTTTCCGGTGCCGAAAGCGATTACTTCGCCCGTCTCCAACATAAGCACCACCGCGACCTCTCCGACGCAAATCCCAACAACCCCTCCGCCGCCTCCGCAACCACAAAACGCACACACAAAGGCCGTCCCACCGCTACGGACCTGGATAACTGGAGGAGAGAGAGTGGGATGGGCAAGGGAGCTAGAGCTGACCCTTTGGGAGACGAGTACAACGATCACGACGCCGAGGAGGACGGGGATGATGAGCAAGAACTGGATAGGGTGACGACGAATGAGCCCAACGGGCCTAGTGAGTTTGTCGAACAGCTAGATCTGAAGGAGATTGAAGATAAAAGCATCAGGGGCAGTGTGTATTAGGAAACGGACTATATACCACATTCAGGCAGGAAGAGACCAGGATATGCTGGACGGAAATATGGCGGGTTTGCATTATGGCGTTTTCTCTGCCACACTTTTTACTACATGGACTTTACGACTTTTCCCATCTAATACCCAGATTTTTCTTTGACTTCTTGTTTCATGCCCAGTCGTGCTTTGTTGTAGATTATCAGCTGGTGAGGGTTCATTCGTTGATTTTCGAGCTTGGCCAACACTTTTTTTTGGCTTTTGGTGTCACCCTGACTGGACTATGACATGGCGAATCGACAGCGACGGCGACAGCGAACCTTGTATGATTTTTTGATCAAATCTTGGTATTCTAGCATATTTCGATTATGCGCAATTTTTGATATGGGTACACAGAGCTTTGCAGTGTGATGTTATCATTGATGGTCGCCGATGAACGACCAGTTTTTGTCAAAAGTGCTCTCTGATTTCGGGGGATGAGGCTCAGTGTATGGTGAAGACATCTACGTAATGTGACAAAGACGCTGTGAACAACATGCTTCATTACTATTTCTCGACATTCTTCATAAGTATATGCTCATCACCTGCCGCCTCTCTTTGACCAAGACTCTGTTCCCGAACGCCAAATGGAATAAAACATGAATAATCGTTTATCCGTCCTAGAGTCAAATGTTCACTAGAATCCCTTGGCATGAGGCTTCCTCATCCATCCCAGTCCCAACTTCTTCATCCTACTATTCCCATTCTTCTCCATGACGCCAGAGCCAACGCTCAGACTCCTCCTCATTATAATACTATGGCTATCAGCTACGGGCTCTGCCCCGACTTCCGCACTGCCTTCTGTGGTCTCTGAGCCCAAGCTTGGTCTCGTCGATTTATCTTCAGAAGTCTTGGGGGGCCGTCTGGTGGAAAGACGAGCTCGTTGCAATACAGCTAGTTCGGGATCCCAACTCCGCTCTTTGCAGCAGAGCGAGTGAAGATCTGCTTGTTCTAGCGCTGCGGCGATGCGGTCCCGTATTACGAGGGCAGTAGGTCTGTGGCTCGGATCTGGGAGGAGCATGTCCCTGACTACGCCGAGTATAGGTACCAACGCTGATAGCACGGGTACAGTAGGCGAAAGTCTGATAGCATCTGATGCCAGATGAGCAAGCCATGTGTACAAAGTGGCTGTATCGGTAGGTAGAGGCGCTTTCGATTGTGCTCGGAATTTTTGCAGATCGGAGAGCTTTCCTTTGACGATGTAGGTGACGAGATCAAGGTACACGCAGCCTAGACAGAAGACGTCGCTTTCGAAACCTGTGTCGGCTTGTGTGTTTCTCTGGATGTTGCTATTCAGAGACCGCTGAGATGTGGTCTTGCGGATGCAGAGAGGCTTGGGGATGCTCAGGGGCTCATTCAAGAGTTCGGAAAGCAAGGTAGATGGGTCCGAGGCTGTACTGGATGTTGGACATGGTGTAGTGCCCCACGAAGCCCACGAAGGCCGTCTGTCCACTCGGATTGGGCTGGGTTGTGAAAGACCGACATCATCAGGACAGAAAAACTTTGGACCATCGTCTGTCGACGAATCTGTGAGTGATACTGGTGGACTGTTAGACTTGCGAAACAAGCGTCGGGATCTACCAGAAGCTGAAGACCATATACTCGCTGACGCGAAGGTTGGAGGAGGAGGCAGGTGCCTGCTGAAGTTGCGAAACAGGGGTATCGGGGCCGGTGATGATGGATTAAAGCTGTTCATCGGGCTGTCCACCGGGGGACTTGAGCTGTAAACAAGGACAGGTTTTGAGGTATCCGACGGACTCGATGAGGAAATCGAGACCCCACTTATTGTACCGTCATTAGAGCCACGTTTGATCTCGACTGGACTGCTCGGTGCGTCGGCGAAGTGCACGCCACGAACTTTCTCTTCTTGATATATCTCAGGAGCTGAATAACCCGATACTTCGTTCTTCACTGCTTTCTTGCCACGCTGAAACGTTCTTAGTATACCTATGTCGGAAAATGCGATACAATTGTCGTGGTCCACAAGGATGTTGGACGGCCGTATAGCGCCATGCTGCAGACCTTGATGATGTAGCATGGCAAGCGCATCGACTAGACAATGCATCCACTCCAGTAAGATAATAGGTCGATCACCTTGAGGTACTCGCATGAACTGGTAGGGCGTCCGGTGAGCAATGAATGACGCCAGTGTATGTTCCGCCACAAAGTCAGAGAGAACATAGCCAGCGTCGCCAGCAGTGTAGGACGCCCAGACACGAGCAATGTGAGGATGGACCAGGCGTCCCGCCTCGCCAGTATCTCGTAAGTACGCTTCTCGTAGCTCATCTTTATCGTCGCCGGTTCCGAAAGCGAACTTTCGCCTGGCATAGACTTGCTCATGGTCCTTTGGGAAGTGGACTCTGTCCCAGCTCTGGAGAGATACAGCGGGTGGCACCTTGTGAACATACTCCATGGGTATGTGTTCCTGAGGACCGTAGTCGATGTGACCTCCTTGACCGAGTTGTCGCAGTAGATAGAGGAACTGTGTTGCATAGAATTTCCTGTTCAGCCGCTCGTCCGGCTCCACGCAGAGGTCCATATCAACAATGCTCTCGAGAGAAAATGGCAGGTCGTCATCATCCAAGGAGTCATCGATCAGGCCGAAGATCTGCTCCGGTTTGCCAATCTCTGCCATGATGAGGAACAATCGTCTTGCTCTTCCCAGTATCCATTCCATGTATGTGTCATCTGTTAATCCTTCACCGAATGCGAGTGGCTTGTCCAAGAAATCCCTCTCTTCTCCTTTGATCTGTGACACAACGAATTTCCTGGTGACTTTACTGTCAATGCGATCTTCTGTCCACCATAGTTGCTTGAGGGCAGCATGAGGAGTGACCAAGGAGTGACCACCAAACCCATAAATGTAGGCGTTGAGTGCTATCGTTGCTGCTGTTGGAGGAACTTGAGCATAGCTTATGGTTCCCATCGTCAGGGCATGACCTGGAAATCGATGGCAGTCGAGGATGGGCAGCTGAGTGTATTGATGTGTACAAGAGAGGCGGAGCCAGTCCAGTCGCGAAGTCGTGAAGTACCAATGAGTTAGTCCGACAGTCCGAACCTATCTTGAGTCTCTCAGATATGTGACAATTTGAAGAGGGCGTGAGGCTTCGAAGAGCGCAAAAGTTTGAAGAAAGTGTACGGATTCAGTGGCATCGTCACGGAAGGAGGGTAAGACTCGGATAGCGGTGTTCGAATGTTTAGACCGGTAGTGTTGCCCTGTGGGATACCAGATAATACTCAATGCATGTGTGAATCCGCCGAGGTTGTGTAGCCACCCATGTCGTACCCAGAAGAAAGTAGGCGCCTGTCTGCAGGGTTCACCAAAGAGATGGGTGGCTGACGCCACCATGCCACTGATCCAGGAAGTGGTGGTGTCCGATAAGACCGAGATACCTAGTGAGGATATCTATAGGTGACAATTATCCAATAGAAGTATTGCCAAGGTCAGGATGTTCGAAGGAGGCAGTCGAATCAGATATCGAAGGGCAGGAAGAAGAAATGATGACTAGAAGATTTGAAATATTGTGTGCGAGCATGACGCCGCATGTCGTGCGACAGTAGGCTTACTGCCCACGTTCTCTGCCGATTCCAGGACCAAAGAGGGAACAGATTGCGTGTCACGGGTGAGACGGCGACGGAGGTGCGGTCAGTAATGGACTCTAAGCCCAAGTCGTACGGATGATGAATACTCTGACGGGTGGACCTGTCCCGTGGAATGATTTATGATGTCGGTCGAGCTGGAACGTCACGACTCGCCGAGGCTGTCTAGGAGTAGTCGGTACCTCGTCGCAAAGTCATCTGTTTGCGTTTACCTGACAAGTCAACGTCGAAGTGCCATCCAGGAACGGCTCACGGTGTTCTGTGCCTGAATAGCCCAGCGAGCCCATGGAACGGGGAGTTCGTTGACAGGCGATCGATGTCAGAAAATAAATGAGCGGCGCGAAGCTGCGTGTCAGAGGAGCAGCATCAATTTACTCCGGCTCGTGCAGCGTATCACGGCAAGGAGCCCATGACGAAGCTTGATCGCCGAGTAGCCATGTTTCCTGTCATAATTGGACGTGCGGCGAGGAAAGAAAGAGCAGATTGAAGAATAAACATCGTATCATGTGCAGAGAGCATGATGATACAGCTTGTACAGAGGTTATCGGTTCGATCAAGTAATATGTAGAAACGCCTCCGCCACTCTCATACGAAAGAAACCAAAGAAACCTTTTGGACAGGAACAAATTCAAGAAACCGCTCTTTTAGACCCCACGACCAGCGACTCCGGTACTCCGACCATGATGATGGCGCCCACATGCAAACATAAATGGCAGCAGAAAGAAGAATGAGAGATCAGAGGGAGCTGGCGATCTAGTCCTTGCTCTTCTTCTTCTTCTTCTTTTCTGTCTTGTCCTCGTCCTCGTCGTGCTTTCTCTTCTTGGACGATTTGCCGGCTGCTTCGGCGGCCTTCTTGGCCTCCTTCTCGGCCTTCTTTGCCTCCTTTGCGGCCTTCTTTGCTGCCTTTGCTGCCTTCTTCTCTTCCTTGGTCATCTCCTCCTCGTCGCTGGAAGCCTCGGCACCGGCCTCGGTAACATCCTCCATCTCGGCGTCGGCGTTGGCGGCAGGAGCGTTGGCGGAGATACCATCAGCATCAGCGTTGTACTTGCGGGCCTCCTTGACCTCCCACTTGGCGGGCTGAGCCTGAGCAGGTGCGACTCCATTGACGGCACTGCGGATGGGCTTGCCCTCAAGGCCTCTCAATCTTCTCTCAATCAAAAGTCTACCTTGAACACCGACAGCCATCTTCTCCTCTTCAGTGGGCTCGGGCTTGTCACCCTCGCCAGAAGTTCCCCAGTCAGAGAGAGCGTCGACACGCAGACCAAGGGCGGCCTTTGTGGCGAGCATACGGGCGATCTTACCCTTGTTCTTACCAGTTGCCTGGCCGATGAGGGAAGCGTGGTAGATGAGACCATACTTGGGTGTGTCGTGCTTGGTCTTAAGAGCTCTGAAAAGGGCCTTCTCGGCACCGAGGATCTGAATGGTCGAGGCGGGCGACTTGGCCAAGTTGAGGAGCGAACCAGAGTGAGCAATCAGACGAGCACCGACAAGCTCACCGACGAGAGCGGTAAGGTTGGGGGCAATGGCCTGCATACGGGCGGTGAGGTATGATGAGAGCTGCTGTCTGTACTCGGTGAAGCCAACAACCTGCTCTGCGAGGGCCTGAATGTTCTCCAAATCCTCCTCGGTGATCTCGGTACCCATGGAAACCTCGGCGGCGGCCTTGACGGCGCCCTCGATCTCCTCAGGAAGAACGTCGGAAAGGTCGGTGGTGGCGGCGTTAGTACGAACACCCATGGCAAGAATGACACGAGCGAAAGCGAGGTTGTCGTTGATGATCTTGGCCATCTCGGGGAAATGCCAGCCGTACCATTCCTTGACACGCATAGCGTAGGTGTTCAATTCCTTGTCCAGATCGTCCAGCAGGGCAATGGCCTGGATGATCATGGTGTCGACCTTGTCGGGGGAGAACTTGAGCTTGTGGCGCGAGAGCGAGTGAGACAGACCAAGGGACATGGTGGAGATGTCATCGGGCATAAGACCGGGGATGAGCGAAGGAAGGTGCTCGCGGATGGCACGGTAGATGTCGTTGGTGGAAGAGTCGGCGATGCACTCAATGTCGAGCTTAGGGAGCTTGCTGATGGACGAGCCGAGCTTGGGGTCGGCGACGGCAAGCTGGACCTTCTTCTCGTCCTTCAGGCTGTCGAGCAGCGAGGCGAGCATGGGGGTGACCTTGCCATCGGTGAGAGCAGCGGCCTCCTCGAGAGCAGCGGCGGCGCTGTCGAACTTCTGGAATTGCTTAAGCTTGAGCCTAGAGACGCGGAATTAGTCATGAGCAGAGTGAATTGGATCTCGAGAGTCGTACAGGCCAGCGGCACCCTCGGCGGTGGCAGCCTCCTCGTGGATGTCGGTGCGCTTCAAGAGCTTCTTGTCCTTGGACTTGAGCAGCGCATAACCGGCGGCGGTTTCTGTGAGGATGAAGAGAGTCATCGTGGCGGAGATGTCTCTGGGGTCGTATTAAGAGATTGTCGAGGGTCGCGATACAAGACAGAGACCAATTCGACGCGACACTAAATTCTGCTGGGCTCGACGACCTTTTTCCAAAAAATCCAGAGACCGAAGCTTGGTGCAGGTTTGCAAAACTTGTCGAGAACCAAAATTTCCACGGCTTTTCTTCGGATCAGGGAAGCTTTTAGCGCGCGTCAGCTTTGGAGCAATCGGCCCAGGCACAAGACAGCCAACTCGCCCTCCATTACAGCCATGATGCTTCCATTCTGATCACAACTTTCTGGCGAGGCCCAGCCTCTGTCCAATCTACACTTTATGGCTGCTCCCGACTACTTTGCCCGCAAGCCGTCGTACAATCGCTCCCGTTCTGGTCTCGGTGTTCCTGGAGCCACTACCCCGGCTTCACCGCACACTCCGCTGTTGACACGCTCGCTCTCGTCTCAACTTGGCTCGCCTGGTGCTTCGTATCGTGCAGAGGAAGATACTCTGGTCTTTGAACTCGGCTCAAGGTCTCTTCGTGCGGGCTTCGCTGGCGACTCCGCACCTAGATGCATCCTTCCTTTTGGCCCCAACCAAACTAGACGCTTGAATGACTTTTCTACACCGTCCACGCCATTGCGCTCCGAGGATGACTGGGCAAAAGATTGGGAGCTGTGGGAGCTGGATATCCGGAACAACAACCTTGGTCTGGTAGAGGACAAGATTGAACGTGCTGTACGACATGCCCAGACCAACCACCTCCTGCTCGACCAACGTCCGCGCAAGCTCTTCCTCGTCCTTCCCTCGACCTTACCCCATCCCCTCGTTTCTATCACTCTGAACGTCTTGTTCAACGCACTCCAGCCTGCAACTGTGCAACTATGGGCACCACCTGTGCTATGTGCCGTGTCTGCCGGACTGCGATCCGCCCTTGTCATCGATATTGGTTGGCACGAGACGACTGCGACTGCGTTGTACGAATACCGAGAAGTTTCACACAGGAGATCAACTCGCGCTGCGAAACTCCTTACAAAGAACATGGCCAATACCTTACGCAAGCATGCTGCTGCTTCTGATGCCATCCCCTTCGAAGTCGCTGAAGATATGGTAACTCGCATGGCTTGGTGTCGTGATACAAGTGGCCAAAAATTTACCGATGACGTGACTCTTCCACTTGGGACTTCTTCCTTACAAGTATCGTTCGACAGTCTAGCGGATCCGGCCGAAGAGACTTTCTTCTCAGCGCCGTTCCCGTTGGAGCGAACCGATGACCACGACCTACCCCTACATATGCTGGCTTACAAGTGCTCACTCTCACTCCCTCTCGATGTTCGCTCTATCTGCGTGTCGCGCATTGTAGTCACTGGCGGCGCAAGCGATGTACCAGGCTTGAAGCCTCGTCTGCTGCGAGAAATTGAGAACATGGTCAGCACCAAGGAGTGGGATCCAGTCATGAACTACGGTTCTGTCAAGGGGAAGAAGCAGAAACGCAGTCAAGACCAGGTCATGAGCTTGCCGACTAGGACGAAAACGCCGCAAACCGATGTGCTGGATCAGTCTGATGGCTCCCCGTCGAACGAACAGGTGCTGGCTCGCGACGCACCACAAGAACGCGACGAAGTCGCCGAGAAGCTACAACGCGATGTTCTGAAGCGCGGCATCGCAGTACAAGGCTCAGTGCGTGGAGTTGAGACATTGGGTGCTTGGGCGGGAGCGTCGTTGGTCGCCAGTCTCAAGGTCGATGCAACCTTTGAAATCAAGAAGGATGACTTTCTTAAAAACGGTCTCAGTTCATTGGGCCAGGCTTTTTGAATAGCATACTTCTCTGATTGAAAAACAAAAGACTGTCTACTTCCACACCATGTTGAACCATTGCACTCTGCGATATTTGTCTGTCGAGTCGTCGTCGTCGTCGTGGCCATGCTCAGCTGGTCGCCGCGAGTCTCGAATCCCTCCGCCAAACTCACTCACATGCTCACTGTCATCTTCACTCACTGCGGCAATTCCTGATAACTCAGCAAGCTTAGTCAGCGCGAGGTCGACCGCCGCCTATAAAAACACCACTCCTCTCCCTCTCTGCTTCCCCCCTGTATCCCTACCCTTGCTCTCACCTTCTCACCATCGCTCGCATCGTCGGCTACTGGGCGGCTTCGGCTGTCCAAGTGGTTGATGGGTGAGGGGTGGCAGGGGAGGTGAGAGCTGGGGGGACCAGTCAATTCCTTCTGTTGGCGCTGTGGAGCATGTCTGTTTCTTCTCAGAGCGGTTCGCCGTCTTTGAGTTGTGATGGGCATGTTTCACAGGCTGATGGCTGGAGTTGACTGGTCTCCGGCACGAGCTCTCACCTCAACGTGGTGTGTCGGTCTAGTAACTTCTTTGGGAGTGAAGCCAACGAGAGCATTGTGATGGTCTTTTTGATCGTCATGGCCATTCTTCTTTTTTTTTCATCAGTGTGCTCTGGTTTTCAACTGGGCGCTGAAGAAGATTTGTTTTGATTGCCATCTACTGTCGTCGCTATCGTCGCTGTCGCCGTCTGCGACGCTTCGCTCGGGATGTTACTTGTGACCACGCGCGATTGCCTGCACGCACCAAGCTGCTGCCTTCACCTCAACGCCTTCGCGCGTGTGTTTTTTGGTATCATGCTCAGCGGCTTGCCCGGCGCAGTCGCCGTCGCCGTCGCGAAACGCCCGTCCTATTATTTTGGCATACGTCCCCAGCCCACGCTCAAAATGCTCGTCGCAAAGGAGTGATTCGCAATGTTTTACACGCCGTAGCTTCTGGTTCGGTCTCATATGTAGTTGCTATACCGTTAGTTCTTGCATTGAGTATATCATTGTTGTTTGCAGACCGACTGTCTCATGGTCATGGTAAATACGCCGATGGTCAAGGCCAGTGGCACGCTCGGTGAGAAAGAGAGTGAAGAAGTCAAGGTTATCGAGCTTCTTGTTTCCCAGCCACGTGTACGCGACATGATCTTTTTCGCGGCGAGGAATCCTTGTCCTGCTACGTGTCTGTCGTGAAAAGGCTACAGAAGGCCCATCTCACGCTACACCCTCGGTTCATTGGAAGACATATTTACCTTTCCAGCGGCAGATCTTTCGGGCGAGGGGGTCGGGTCAGATCGACTGTGCCCTCACCATACAAATCAAGTCGCCTCGCTGCAGACCCAACTTATAGTCGTGGTGAGTATTGACAATGTCATCTACACTTGGTCAAAAAGTTAATCCAATAGGAGTGTCGCTGTCAAAAACAGGTGACTGCGTTGATCTTGCAGTATGACTCCTTCCCTGACATGGTCCTTCAAATGCTGGTGAGTTGAAACAAGCCAAGAGACACGAAGATAGCATCATTTTCGGCTCCAGCACAAGATTGCACCTTCTTTCGGCCAAATCTCAATCCAACAATGAAGCCTTCGTCTGTCTCCCGGTCATCGGTCTGGATAAGATTGTCTATCTAGACAAGCCCAAAAAGCTTAGGGACACTCGAAGGATTTCTGGACTTGAGCTTTACTGGTACCATCCTTGAGACCAAGCTTACAGATTTTTGTCAGCAAACAGCAATCCAACAAGAAAACGCCAAACGTACAGCGGCGGGTGTGTCGTTATCGACAACGACGGTGCTATCTCCGCGATCGTAACCACACATGTTTGAGACCAAGAGAAATTTCTTGGTCCATTCAAACTTCTTCTGGGCATTTTGATCTGCAAGTACTTCTCGGGTTTCCAGGATCCGTTGAAACAGGAGTAAGATTTTCATCTTAATGAAGATTGTAATTGTAGGTTTCGATGCTCTGAGCTTGCTCATGACATTGACGGTCGACTGCTTTGTATCAGTATCATGGGTGTTACGTGGGCCAGCGGTAGGGGAATTTACTGCAGAAGGAGTCCGAATGTCGACTGACGTGACTGATGATGTGTCTCCGCTGCCGAATGCTCCAAAAGACATAATTTCGTAAGCTTCTGGTAAGGATGGTAGTCGTGGAGCAGGGACGCTCGGTTTTCTATAAGGTTTCGCATCTCAGCATCAAAGAAGATAACACGCCTTATCTCATGTATGCCGACAAAGAGCGATTCCTGTAATTCAAAGAGTGAAGCTTGAGTTATAGGTGTTTGCACCGATTTGCACGTCTTCCACGGCCTTCTCGATGTCACTTTCCTTTCTCACTTCGTCAATCACTGTTTCATGATCAACGACATCTGTCATGCCATGCTTGACAAATCCAGAGTCCGAATCACTCCTGGCTTCGAGAAGTACAGCTTTGCTCCGTCCCCCCATCTCAACTGAACACCAGAAGCAGACAATTAGCCAATCAATCTTGAAGTGCGGCAACTGATCGACCTTACCGAGCTTGGTGTGTCGCTCTCAAACACATGTCTAGAAGACAAGGCAAGTGCGGAATCTTTACGTGGCCGGCTCATGGCACCGACTCGATGCTGACCGTTGGCGCGGTAGGCTCTCGATTCCAAAACGTGGAAGCCAAATGACTCCTACTTCTGCCTCCTTCACAATAGCTTAGTTGATGGATCATGGATATGGCGGGTTCAAGTTTGAACGTCGAAATCCAGGATAATCTGCTCATATTACTGAACTAAGGTAGCCAATAGCCAGGAGGTGCACTTGCGTCAATATGAGAGTGTAAGCGAGTAATGAAAGGTTCTTCTGCCAAAGAACCAAAAATTCGTTGCGAGAAAGGTTCGTGTCACCTACCTTGTCAGATCCTGTACATATCGGTCTGCGATGTACAAACCATCAGGATCTGTTCATCGCGGCTCGATATTGCCTACTTGCAATATCCGTAATCTGGACCGGGAAGAGACTCCGAGAGCTATATCAACCTCTTGGCACGAAGAACCGCATGTCACCAGTTCGAGTATAGTGGTCCCATCAGGCGACATGACCACGACCGACTTATCTGCTGTTCAAGATGTACCACCCGTCGATGTCTTCGCAAGCGAGAAGAACGCGACACAGGGCCAAGCTTTCACAGGAAGGTCGAGTCATCAAAAGGAGAGGGAGAAGACAAGCGCCAAGCCTGTCAACCCATACAGCACGTCCGCTCCAGCTCCAAAAAGATCAAGATTCACTCAACTCTTCGGAGAGCAGAAAACGATCCAGTATCGAAGATACGACAGACCGGAAACCCGACATGCCAGAGGAGTCTGCATGCAGCAGTGAATAGACTTTCCACCAAGAAACGCGGCACACGAGTGCCGTGAAAGACCTTGCTGGGCTCTGGCTTGTACGGTCGGCTTGCTCGCCCGCCGAAGTTGCCGTTATAATGATGTGTTCTACATGTGGGATACGGTCCCTTGCAACTTGGGCTGGGGACGAATTTTGGATGAGCATACGGCATTGTTTGGCATAGAAAGGGCGATGAGCGAGAAGCTGGACATCGTGGTGAACGCATACAAAAATAGGCATTGAGGCATCCGAGTCTGTTAGCGCGTATGAATCTCCGATCAAACCGGATGGCAGTGTTCGTTGGGCGCTACGATGATAGCTAGATTCTGTGGTCCATAGTACGGGAAGGAAGCCAACACACGTATAGAGATCCATGTGGCTGGCAAATAGACGTGCGTAGCCAGACATATAGTGTAATCGTACGAAGACCACGATCGCCCACGTGTAGATTGATCCAGATACAACCTTAGCATCCAGTCGAATTTGCTCACTGTATATCGCAAAATCGTTATAGCGAAGAGTCATACCTTGACTCAATAGTAACAGCGGTGTCACGTATAGAGTCATATAAGATCAGAGTCTTCCTTGAGAATGTGAACTTCTTACCTCGTGCATCCATAACTCTACCATTTTCCGGCATCGTATGCTTATTGTCAGCTTTAGCCAAATCATCGAGACCACTTGCAAATCCAGAGTCTAGCTTCGGAAGGCCTGGAGAAAGATTGAATTTCGTCCCCCAACTTCGGATACAATGGGAACGCCATTCTCACTTCATCCGGCCCGGCGGAGATTCCGAGAAGACCAGATAAAGATACTCCTGACAGAACCAGTGACAGAGCCGAATCAGGCCTTGTTCATTACAGCAAGACTCCAAGATCTGAAGGAACGCCTGCTTCACATCGACTCTACGTTGAAGTTGGGTAGAAAGGACCTGGCACTGTTATGGTTAGGTCTCAAACCATATGCCACCACGATTTACGACCAGTATGCTTTCGGGCAACCCGAGTTGACCGTAGACCAAAGAAAGTACCTGGAAGTCGAAGAACTCAATACCGCGAAAGAGCAATTCCAAGAACTTCAGGCACGCTCCGCCGACATTGAGATATATGGCTGTCCGGTCGAAGGAATCGGTACAAACCATGAGATCAGGACCTCCGAGCACATCATATGGCGACGCCGAGTTGTGCAAGTATGGGAGGACTCCAGCCAGGATCCGCGGTTCCGAGCATGTCGTTACAGCGATTTGCTTTACTCAGCAGATACACCACCCTGCAAGTGGGGTCTGGGGAAGATACTCTCAGAGTACAAATCCAGACATGGCAAGCAGGCGATGGAGAATGACCCATTGAACATGATCTGTTCTGAGTACATTAATGAACATCAAGCAGAGCCAAGGTTTTGTCCAGCAGTGGTTCGCGAGCCTCCTGGACCCAACTCCGCGATCCATAACTACGACTTAGCACAGCTATAGTCGTAAGATTGAACATCCTAGATACTATAGCGGGCTGAGATGAAGATATAGAGAGTCTGAAGGAGGATGCCGGGTATCTCTCCAGTCTTCATATCGCAACACATGATGTAAAGAAAACATTTGGGCGCGCAAGGATTATCGAGGATTTGGCAAACGCGGAAACAGGTTTTTTTTGGATGACCTGGAGAGTGGTGTAGTCGGGATCAGAGTTCTGCAATAGACACAATGCACCGCGGTGAACCATCGCTTATCAACATAAACAAGATCGCGTACTCGTATAAATCAGGCAAGAGCTGAAGTGCATGGCAAGAGCTGAGGTCTCATCAAAGACGCAAATCCTTGGCCGTTTCACCCGTTTCGGCCAGAAGGCGTATATTTTTGAGCCTTGGTTCACTCAACCAACTCTACTTGTACGCGCCCGACGAGCTGACCCTGCATATTCAATGCTTGTACGGACAAATGGGCTCCTCCGAGCAGAGCCGCTATTCACGATAAGTTTTTAGACTTCCCTCATATATCTGTGAGACATTCAAGCAGGTCAAGGGAGAAGAAAAAGTCAAGTCTTGCTGGTTCCTTCCCTTTTTCTGTTGTTTCTGTCTATCGTGCCTTCCCACTTGTCACCTCAATCTCTGTGTCTCTAGGCTTCACCTCAGCTTCAGTATCTTCAACAGTCGATCGCTATAATAATCGCCATTCAGGATGTTCGTCTCGGCCTTCGTCTCCGCTCTCTCGCTCGTCGCAGTCGCGTCCGCGCAATCGTCTAGCACTTCCGCCTCGGCTGCCGCTTCTGCTTCTGCCACCGTCGTTCCTGTCGCCGCTGCTGGCTCGAATGGATACAGCTATGCTGGTTGCTGGAACGAGACTACCAGTGTAGAAGGCACAGCCAACACTCGCGCTCTTTCGGGCGGCAAGATGGAATCAGTCACCACCACCACAGTTGCCGGGTGTTTACAATACTGCGGCGACTCAAACTACCAATACGCTGGCCTGGAATATGCTCAAGAGTACGTGTGATCAGGAAATAAGTACAAAGAGTTGGACACTAACGGGGTACAACAGGTGCTGGTGCAGCAACTACATCTCTGCACTGTCGGTGCAGTTGCCCGAGTCGAACTGCTCGCTTGCATGTGTGGCCAACAGCTCCGAGCTTTGTGGTGGCTACCTCACCCTCAGTGTCTACAACCTTACTAGCAAGAAGTCGGGCTCGTCGGGTTCTTCGTCTAAGACTGGCGCTGCATCTTCGGTCGCTACTTCTGGTTGGACTTATGTTTTGGGCGCAGGTGTCATGGCTTTGACGCTTGGTGCTGCTTTGTAAGAGATGGAACACACGAATCTTATACCCTTGGGAGAATACAATAGATGGAAAATTGGATAGATGGATCTGGCGTTTGAAATGTCAGACAACGAAGGAGTTCAGGGAATGCTACAACATGAATTTACACAATATCACGACGCTTACTCGCCTTCTTGATCTAACACTTGTTGACCCGTATCATACCGCATGTGTAGCTCTCTCTAAACTCTGAACCTCGGCATAATGGGACATATGTTGGTCCTCGGGATGGTAGGTACCTAAGTAGAGAAATCTGACGCTATTCAGTAGGTCCCGGATTGAGCGCAGCTGGAGATCGCCAACCTACTTTGCCAGCCTGCCGTGGACTCTGTTTCGAATTATCAGACAGCACGAGATATCCTAGTCGTGAAAGAGGAACACGCTACATATAGCTTCATTGGAACAAAAGTATCTACATCTAAAATATGGGCTCAAAAGGCGAAGGTAAGCGTCTAGCACGTCGTGGCTCCGAACGCTTCTCAACAGTCACAGGCATGAAGTTCGCGCCGCAAACTCTCTGTCGAGATGGTTAGTCGATGCCCCGAATAACGTAACCGTATCACTTACTTGACGCCGTTCCCTGAACTCGCGGTAAATCTCGTTCCAAATCTCGCGATTAGTGCAGTCTTCCTCACCCCCAGTTGTGTTGTGGCAAACTGGTTGCACTTCTATTCTCGTCTCCTCGGGACCGTAAAGCCAGGGCTTTGGGAAGGGCCAGTCTGAGAAGTGCAAGAATTTGGCTTCTTCCAATACTGCATGTGGGTTCCACTCTTCTGTTGTCGACCCCAAGTATTTGGAGTGGTTCTTACTCCTGAACTCTCCAGTAAGGAGATCGTACTTTCTGTGTGGGATGATCAGACAGTCTCGGCCGTAGATGTTGTTCATGATATCCATATCGAAGTCGTCCATCTTGCGGTGCTCAAAAGCATCCTTGATACGTTCAAACTCAATATTTGATGGTTGTATGATGATCATTTGGGAAGAGAGAGTGTTGTCCATCCAATAGGCTCGAGGCATGGCGACTGGAACTTGCGGCAGGAAGAAGAGCTCGTCCATAGGCTGACAGACATGTTAGTGGTGTCTCTTCATTCCAGAGTGATTGGGATCGACTTACTTGCAGAACATTAGCATCTGAGTCCAGACTGATAACGCGCTGGTATTTAGTCTGGTTGAAAGCCAGGAGCTTTGTGAAGCTATCACTCCATGTTGCTTCGCCATCATAATGTTGGACGTGAATAGGGACCACGTTGACTTTGTACTCGTCTCTTGCCTTGCGTAACAATACTGCTGCGGATGAGCTGTTCGTGAGCGACCATTCTTCTGGATACATCATGAGACGCTCTGCCCGACTTCCCAATCGGTGCAAGGTTTCGAAGATCATAACGGAGTTGCATAGATAGTCTTGCCGCGTGACATATTGCACGTATGCAAATTTGGACCAGTCTGTCTCGACATGACTACCCGGATATAGCTCAAGGTTGTTGTTCAAGAGAGGTGACTCCGGCGAAGTTTCCACTGCCCCCGAAGCTGGGAGGTGCATATTCGCAGACATTTTGAATCCAGCCAAAGCGAACACTCCGAGGAATAACAGAATCAGTATAAGTCGAATGTCTCTGGCAGAGATTCTGGGAAAGGAATGCCGTCCAGGTTGTGCTGTGGTCTCCGGTTTGTCATCTTCTTCGTCTGTTATTCGGACCGCGTTGTATTTGTGCACCCAAGGCGACAAGTTCTTCCAAGTCGACATGTCTGATCGAGCCAGATGGACGAATAGATACTGGGGATAAGCAAAGAGAATACCAGGTAGGGTCAAGAGAGAAATGCCGGAATCGAAAATTAAGGGGAGCGAATCATTGAAGACCTGAAAAGTAGGGGGAGCGGCGCAGAGCCGGGGTTCATCTGATCTACCTTCATTCTATTGATGTACCTGACTAGAGGTATTATTGCGACCTAATAGGCCAAACGTCTTTTCCCGTATGAGCGCTGCCATGTCGAGCTGAAGCTGATGAAAGATCGCGTCTACCGGCTCAGCTCAAGCACCGGCGTGCGCGCGCCACGGGGTCTCGAGCGCAGCCCAGCTGAACTTCTGAAAGCAAGCACCCTTCGACATGACTGGAACATTGAAACCCAATTTCAACTTCCATATCGATTTCCGAGGCTGCACTGATGCTCGAGTTATTCCACGTAGGTATGCCGGGCAGGGAGACCGCGATTGCTACCGGCTGTCAGGATGGCAACGGCGTCAACGTTGTTCTGCGGACTGAAATCCTTCCCTGCACGTTTGCCAAATCCTGCGACATCACTGCCCTCATGACCAAAGCAGATCAACGAAGAGCTTCAGAAATACACAGTAAGATATCATGATGATGGACACAGGGCAGGGAGTCGACGAAGATACGGTATCTCGACGACATTGCTACACATCGGTAAGATGTCCTGCCTTGAGACAGCTACGAAGCATGACAGCATTTCACACGCTGGGAGGTCGCATCCCGGGAGATTTGGGGCAAGCACGCGGGAAAGCAAAACTGGTCGAAATGACTGGACGCGCTACTGAAGTACCGCTTCGCTGCTTCTTGCCCAACATACCATGGACTCTACCACTGCTTGGTCGCGACTCCGAGGTTTAGCCGTTTGATCTTTGTCAGATCACGATTGTAGTGTGGAAACTGTACACGCTGCTCCAAACACTGATAGTCTGGCATCTTTCAGGGAGCAAGTATCTGTCAGATCGATTCCGCTATTGTGCCTCAGCCACCATTCACAACCTTGCTTTCAGGACCAAGGAGGGACAGATCTAGGTGCTACTCGTATACGACAACAAGCCATGATGTGCTACCTCCGGGCTTACTCTGTGCAAAAGCTTCGGGCTAAGACTGCTCCGCTTGTTGGCCTAAAGCTTTAGGGACATCTCGATAGAACGTAGGTATCGAATGCCTACATTTCTCTTACGCGTGACTCGATATTCGGACACGCATCTATGATTTGCTGAGATGTCAGGGCAGTGTGCGGCGAGGTACTGCATTCGTCTCATCAAATCGAGCCCGAGCTGCATGAGAGACGGTAGTTGTATAGCACAACGTGTTAGAGTCGGGTCCACTTCTCTCTGCAAGTCTCATCGATGACCTACGTGGGTCTGAAGCATACATCAGCAGAAGTGAAGAGGTTTGAAGAATGTGACCAATCTGCAGTCTCTATGAAAGCGGAGCCTACTCTGACCTGAAAATCGTATGCGGTTCCGATACGTACAACGTTCATAAAGCCATCATCGGCCCTCAGTCAGACTTCTTTCGAGCAGCCTGTCGACCCAACGCGTTTCAAGAAGGCAAAACGGGGATCATTGAGCTTCCCGCCAGCGCCGGTCGTAATCCTGACGCAATGCAGCGTCCAGTCACTGCTGCTGAGTTCGATTGGGATCTGGATGTCGAGGACACCGCTACTGTCAAACTCATGGTTCATTGTCTCTATCACCATGACTACCACGAGGATGTCGTGTGTTTAAGCAACAACAGCTCTCGTGACGCCCATCTTACCAAGGGTATCCTAGCCGAACACGCGAAGATGTACGCAATGGGGGAGAAGTACGGCATACCAAGGCTCAAGACTTTGGCACTGGCGAAGTACAAAGAATGCTTCGACACAACGAACAGCGGACTCTGTACTGCTCTCGTCATTGCTTTCAGTGGCATCGCTGAACCCGATCATAACTTCCAAGAGATGGTCACCCACGATCTGTGGTCATGGTCTTGCATGTTCAAGAATAATTCCATCATCCAAGACGTCATTCGTTCGACACCGGAGCTTTCTTATGGGCTCTACGCGAAATACTTGGAAGACGTGACTGGTGATGGTGGTGACTGGTGGTGACGATGTTGACTGAGGAACTCAAGTGGGAAAATTGCGTGAAGGTCTTTCACTTCCTCGGGCTCAATTGAACAAAATCGAAGTCGAAAGGGGTAGCACATTAGGTAGCCAGAGAGTGGGCATAAGAGCAGACGAGAGGATCTAAGTAGATACCAGAGCAGAGCAGGAAGGTTTAGCCAAGAGTTGCCCCAGATTCCAACCCACTCTGTGACTCCGCCGTGAATGACTCCCGCAGCGGCCAAAAAAAGTGAATACCATTCCACCACCACTTTGGGCTCACGACCGGAAACACATACATCATGGCGGTCAACTTTCCCAAGGAAGAGGAGCGTATCCTCGCTCAGTGGACTGTATGCGCACATCTCCACCGCGCGCACTATTAAAGCAGCAAACTGACACACGAGCTTAGGAGATCGACGCTTTTCAAAGGCAACTCGAGTTGTCGGCGCAGAAGAAGCCATACACCTTCTATGATGGTCCTCCATTTGCTACCGGCACACCTCACTATGGTCACCTGTTGGCCTCGACCATCAAGGATATTATCCCTCGTTACTGGTCCATGAAGGGCCACCATGTCGAGCGTCGATTCGGCTGGGACACCCACGGTCCGTTACACGCGCGAACAAGCACAACAAGCAGCTTTGTCTGACAAGAACTAGGCGTTCCCATCGAGCAGATCATCGACAACAGGCTCCAGGAAGAGCTCGGCGTGCGCGGTCGCGAGGCTGTTGAGCAGATTGGTATCGCAGAGTACAACCGCAGATGTCGCGAGGTTGTCATGACCTACGCCCAAGAGTGGAGAAGAGTTGTCGGCCGTCTCGGAAGATGGATCGACTTTGACAACGACTACAAGGTGAGGAATAGCAAGAGTACGGGACACACACACAGCCGCTGACGTTGCGCAGACGATGAACCCAACCTTTATGGAGTCATGTTGGTGGGTCTTCAAGCAGCTCTACGAAAAGGACCTCGTCTACCACGGCGCAAAGGTGCTCCCTTACTCGACCGCTCTCGGTACTCCTCTCAGCAAGTCTGAGGCCCAAGAAGACTACCGCGACGTCTCGGACCCTGCCATTGTCGTCAACTTCCCCATCCTCGGTCGCGACAACGAATACCTCCTCGCCTGGACCACCACTCCTTGGACCCTCCCCTCGCACACCGGGCTATGTGTTCACCCTGATTTCGAATACATCAAGATCCACGATCAAGAGTCGGACAAGAAGTACATCCTGCTCGAGGTTGGCCTGAAGATGCTTTACAAGGACCCCAAGAAGGCAAAGTACACTGTTCTGGAGAAGATGAAGGGTTCCGAGCTGCTTGGCGTTGAGTACGAGCCGCCGTTCGACTACTTCAAGGAGGAGTTCAAGGGTGTTGGCTTCAAGGTTCTCAACGACACGTACGTCAAGGTCGATGAGGGTGTCGGTGTTGTTCACCAGTCCCCCGCCTTTGGTGAGGACGATTACCAAGTCGCCTGGAAGGCCGGCATTATCAACGACAAGCGCCCTCCCCCCAACCCTCTCAATTCCTCTGGACACTTCACCTCGCAGGTCCGCGACTTCGAGGGTCAGCACGTCAAAGCTGCGGACAAGGATATTATCAAGCATCTCGAGAAGGCTGGCCGTCTCGTCAAGAAGAGTCAGATTGTCCATAGATACCCCTTCTGTCCCCGCTCAAAGACTCCCCTCATCCAGCGTGCTGTTCCTTCATGGTTCATCAAGGTTGAGCACGTCGTTCCCAAGCTTCTCGAGAACCTTGAAAAGACTCACTGGGTCCCTGGCTTCGTCAAGGACGGTCGTTTCCACAACTGGCTCGCATCAGCAAGAGACTGGAACGTGTCAAGAAACCGCTTCTGGGGTACTCCCATTCCTCTCTGGGTTAGCAAGGACTTCAAGGAGGTCGTCTGTATCGGCAGCATTGCTGAGTTGAAGGAGCTCAGTGGCTTTACTGGTGAGATCGCTGATCTTCACAGAGACACTGTCGATGGCATCACCATTCCCAGCAAGCAAGGCAATGGCGACCTCCACCGTATTGAGGAAGTCTTCGATTGTTGGTTCGAGTCGGGCAGCATGCCCTACGCTTCCCAGCACTACCCCTTCGAAAACAAGGACACTTTCCACGACAAGTTCCCTGGTGACTTTATCGCTGAAGGTCTCGACCAGACCCGTGGTTGGTTCTACACCATGTCTCTCCTTGGTACCTTCCTCTTCGACACCTTCCCTTACAAGAACTGTGTCGTCAACGGTATCGTTCTTGCCGAGGATGGTAAGAAGATGTCCAAGTCGCTCAAGAACTACCCGGACCCCAACCTAATCATGGACAAGTACGGTTCTGATCCTCTCCGTCTTTACATGATCAACTCTCCCGTCGTCCGTGCCGAGCCTCTGCGCTTCCAGGAACAAGGTGTCAAGCAGATAGTCTCAAGTGTCATCCTTCCTCTCTGGAACAGTTACAACTTCTTCGAGCAGCAGGTTGCTCTTCTGAAGAAGCAGTCCGACATTGACTTCATGTACGACACCTCCCTCGAGACTACCAACACTAACGTCATGGACAAGTGGATTCTAGCATCATGCCAGTCTCTGCTCAAGTTCGTTAACAACGAGATGTCCGTGTACCGTCTCTATACTGTCGTGCCTCGTCTGCTCGAGCTTATCGATAACACTACCAACTGGTACATCCGTTTCAACCGCAGACGTCTGAAGGGTGAGGCCGGTCAAGACGATGCTCTCCACGCTCTCAACACTCTGTTCGAGGTCATCTACACTATGGTCAGAGGACTCGCTCCTTTCGTCCCCTTCATCACTGATAACATCTTCCAACGCATCTCCAAGCACATTCCCAAAGAGATGCACTACGAGGACATGCGTTCAGTTCACTTCCTCCCCTACCCCGAGGTCCGCGAGGAGCTCTTCGACGAGGTTGTTGAGAGGCGTGTCAAGCGCATGCAAGTTGTCATTGAGCAAGGGCGTCTGTGCCGTGAGAGAAGAACCGTCTCGCTCAAGACTCCTCTCAAGTCACTGGTCGTCATCCACTCTGACCCTCAATACCTTGAGGATGTCAAGAGTCTCGAGTCATACATTGTTGAGGAGCTCAACATCCGTGACCTCATCCTTAGTTCTGATGAGGAGAAGTACCACGTCCAGTACTCTGCCCTCGCCGATGTCAAGTCATTAGGTATCAAGTTCAAGAAGGATGCCGCCAAGGTCAAGAAGGCCATCCCCAACCTCACATCTACCGACATCAAGGCATTCATGTCAAGCGGCGAGATTACCATTGAGGGCTGCCACCTCTTGACTGAGGACCTCAGAGTTCAGCGTGGGATCCAACAAACACCCGAGACCAAGCACCTTGAAGTGTCTGTTGACGACAGCTGCCTCGTCATCCTCGACAGTTTCGCATACCCCGAGCTCGCACAGGAAGGTATGGCCAGAGAGTTTGTCAACAGAGTGCAGCGTCTCCGCAAGAGCGCCGGTCTCGTACCAACTGATGACGTGCGCATGGTGTACAAGGTCGTCAAGGACGATAACAACGAGGTTGACAGCATGTTCAAGGAGCAAAAGTCACTGTTCGACAAGGCTATCCAGGGAGAGATCCAACGCGAAGATGCTGCCAGCGAGGGAGCATTGGCAGAGGAGGATGCCAACGTTAGAGATGTGCTGGTCAAGTTGATGCTTTTCAAGCTATGATAAGATGTTCTTTTGCAGAAATGTTGTTTTCCTTCTGATCGATAGAATAAATAGGTCAGAATTACGAGTAGAAAATACAAAAGCCGTGTTCCTCGATCTACGTTATTCGTGTCTATGTGATTATCGCTTTCTTCCTGCCGCTGCCTGTGATTGGGGCGTTAGAGCTGTCGTTAAATCAGGCTAGCAATCCGAGCTTACCAAATAGCAGTTCTTCAGTTGCATAAACTCTTTTGCGCACATGTCTTTGCGAACATTTTGATATTCAGCGGCGATACATTTGCCATATGCAGCTCCCTACAATCGAATCAGCATTGACCGACTGTGGAAAACGAGGAGCAAGCTACCTCAAGAGTGCACTTTGATGTGGCTGTAATGAATTTTTCGAGGGGCTTTACTCGTGGTGTTGACATGATTGTTATATGATGTATTGGTGATAGAATAATTGAAGGCGTTGGTAGAGAAGCAACTGGCGATGTCATTGACTCCCAAGGCGGTCATCGGAAGCAACCGAGGGCTGTTCTCTGCATGTGAGAGTTGCACTGCCCTGGTCGCGTTTCTTTCTGGCACTTACCCGAGACAACAACAATGAGTTGCGCCTAGTACATAGCAGCTACATTCTTTTTGCGCAAAACGACGAACATGACACCAATTACCAGCATTGCATGATTTATCGACCCGAAGACACGAAACACATGAACGCGCGAATGCCGTCTCGACCATCCATACAGCGACGGTACAGACGACCGAAACGAAACGCGTCAATAGCAACAAGAACACACGACACGAATGCCAGACTCGTCGGACATTGAGGAGTTGCCGCCACTGAGTGATCGAGGTGATTTGAACTTCCATTTCTACGCGACACAGGACACTCGACTAATTGACTGTCCACAGACATCAACATCCTCTTTCAGATTGTGAGCGACGCGCAACAATCACCGAATCCTCCCTTCCGAGCCCTCTTTGCGGCATACGACAAAGTCCTCGCAGACCATGATATCGCTCCTGAACATGACCAGCGCTTCTTCCGCTACCTGTTGCGCCTGGGCGAAGGTGGCTCTCACAGTTCGCGATCCTTGATGTCCAAGTTGCGCAAACTGCTGGCCAGATTCGACATTCACATTGTTGTACAAGACGATCAGGACGTCATCGAGGATGAAGCTCTAGACTTCCCAGAAGATGACGTTCGACCGCCGCAAGAGCTGGGGTCGGGAAGTGCGAAACGAAGTCGCAGGGCGAGCTTCAACGACACAAGACTGGATGAAAGCTGGGTCAGTGGTGCCCGCTCCGGACACAGCCCACACACTTCGCTGGACGATTTGTCGCGCAACCCACGTCACTCGGCCAATGCACTACCTGCCACGAACCGTGTGTCGCCGCGAGGCAGAGTCGATGCACAAGTTCAGTCGCATCCTCGAAGAAGCCGTTCTCTGTCAACTCAAGGCAGCGTCAGAGCACCGCGCCCTCCAGCTCCTGAACCATGGGCTCGACACCAACACACGCTGGATTACCAGAACGGCGTAACCGATGATGACACTGAGTCCGACATTCCTAGTTCACCCCCTGTCTTGCCTTCTTATCCTCAAGCCGCTGTTCATCAAGTCGGCTCGCTCGAAGCTGATTTGACATATGAGGCCGAAGCATTCCTTCATGTTTCTCAGATCAAGACTGCGCGCCGATGTTTTCGCCACTTGTCTCAGGAGTCTGCCAGCATCCAGAACATGACTCGGATAGCCCAAAATCATGATCAGCGTCTTCTCAAAGCTCAAGCTTTCAGTATCTGGGCCGCGAAGCTATCAGAGAAACGTCAGGCAGCTGAGACTGAGCTTTTCTTCGAACAGTATGAACGCAGAGCGACTCGTGCACGCGACCTCTTCTTGCTTAACAAGGCTTTCACCCATTGGGCTCAATTTACTAGCGACGAGATTGCTAGGACATCTGTTGCTAGAAGACACATTTTGCGCACACGTTACTTCAACGCCTGGCGTGACATCACAGCCGTCAATGACCTCAAGTGTCGCCGTCTGGGTCTACGCAAGTGGTTCTCGGTCTGGAGAACGAATGCCGCTCGCAAAGCTGTTGACAACGAACGCGCTGCCGCTATATATGAAGAAAATCTGGTCCAGCGAACTTGGTGGAAGTGGTTCTGGGCTTTCTGCGAGCGTAAAGCTCCAGTGTGGCACGACCATCGTGCGAAGCAGTCCTGTTTACATCGCTTGAGCAGTGCTGTAACACGTCTTCGTCAGCATGGAACAACTGCTACTCACAAGCGGAACGCCAACCTACTCCGGAAGACGTTCAGGACTCTAGTCGTGCGTCTTGCAGCGATCCGGTCGCTGAACCAGGCTGCAGAGGAGCGGCATCGAGCTGGCTTGGTGAACAACTGCTTCCATCACTTGCTACAAAAATCCAAGCTGGGACACGCTTCGAAAGTAATCTCTACAGTTGTATCAACGCGACTGATCACAACAGCCGTCTCTGTATGGCAACTCAACACTCAACTTTATCAACAAGCCAGCGCTATCGACCGGCGCCGTGTCTTGCAAAAGGCATGGACAAGTTGGAACGACAATCTGCGATCCCGAGCACTCGTCACCAGGATTGACGACAGACTTGTACTCGAGAACCTCTATAAGTGGGTCTTGCAATCCCGTCTAGCTCTCTTCCGACGAGTCATGGACAGTAAACTACAAGACCGTGCAATGCAGACTCTAAGCTTGAGATTGTCCGAGCAGCGCTTCCACCTCGAAGAGGCAGCTATGATCTTCCAGGAGCACAAACGAAGACGAACGCTGGCTTCTGTAATGCTGAGGTTCCATGGCATATCGCGAGCAGAAGAGATGATGGAGCGACAAGCGCTCGAATTCAGAAACACTCGTACCATGAATGCTGTCCTTCCATTCTGGTCGCAACGAACCAAGCATCTCCTGAAGTTGAATCACTGGTCAAACGATGCTAGATTCTACTGTCTGGCCAGTAGTGCCATCAAGAAGTGGAAAGATGCTGCGTCTCAATCGCAACGTAACAAGCGTAGAGATGCTTATGTCCATGTCAGGGGTCGAATCAAGCTTCGTTTGGTCCGTGATTGCTTCGCTGCTTGGAGGGAGAGAGCCACTATGGTCAGACAGCTTGACACCGATGCCATTGAGCAAGCCAACAATCGTCACATCAACGCTGGCACTGTCATCTTCGGCTTATGGCGTGACAAGACACAACTGAACAATCAACTATCTATTCAAGCTGATGAGTTTTCCGCTCGCTTGCTATTCCTTCGAACCATCGCAGTATTGGTCGCAAAGGGACAAGAAGTGTTACTCCATCACGCACAGGCTCTGACTCTTCACTCCCAGACCATCGATGTACTCGCAACTGGAACGCTCAAGAAACTAAAATGGGCTCTTTTCTGCCATCGACGCAATCTAGATTCTGCTGCAGCACTCGAAAAACGTAACTCGCAACAGCATCGTAGAAATATGTTGAAATACTGGGCAGAGCAAGCCTCACGACGAAGAGCAGCCAGGACTCTACCACTACCGTTGGACCCCCAGGATGATCCACCAGACTCTCCCACCAAAGCACCATCGCCAGTCGTCGCTCCTACACCTGCTCCCATACCCTTCGCGCCATCTTCAAATCTCTTCAGCAGTCTCAGACTACCTTCTGCACGTAAGACACCTGGTCCTGTCCCACTATCAGCGCAAAGCAGACTTGCACCTCTCCTAGACGATGATGAGGAAGACTCCGATGTCGAAGAATTTGATTTCGGCGCCACCCACCGCGCGGAAGAATGGACATCCTTTGACGTTCTCCGCGATGTCATCACTCGACCCCCACAGCAGAGATTTGATAGTGTGGTTACTGGAACACCAGTGCCTGGTTACATGACAAGAACACCGTCCAAACGCACTCAACGCGCAAAAGCACTCTCGGCTTTACCGTCTGCGAAGGCGGTGAGGAGAGAAGTGGTTGTTTCTACTACTCCTGCACCTATGAGGAGTAATAACATCCAGACACCACAAGTCACGCCTTTTGAGAGGAAAATGAGGAAAGGTGGTTATGGAAGTTCGACGGGCAGTGGAGGTGGTGTGGGGTTGGCTGAGGAAAGCTTTACACCAGCGACTTTTCGACGTACGAGGTTTGGAGGTGCGAATGGTTTTGGGACGAACGGGGTTGGTGCTCAACAAACGGGGAGGAGTGTTAGATTCTTTGATGTTGGAGGAGTCAAAGAGGAAGGAAATGGTGGTGACGAGGAAGAGTGATATTTCATCAATCTATATCTCTGGCTCTCCGAAGCCTCCTTCTCAATCTTAAATACATGTGATGAGTACTGTATAGTTTCCTCCTGCGAGATTATCCACCGTGACAGTATCGTCAGACGCAGTCTCATACTCTGGAGTCGACGGTCCCCATACGCCACATTTCCAAGGACTGGCTGCCGCACCATGACTCTGAACCTTCTTCGCCCAGTGGAAATTCTTAACATGCCCGTGGTCATCAGCTCTAGCATGTTTACCACCACTACCAATGACACCTGTAATGCTTATCCTAGCATTACACTCAGGAGTATCAAGCACAAGACTTCCCCTCGTACCTTCAGGCGTAGAAAGCTCATACCTCGCTCCCTCGGCAGTACTCGAGTAGTTCGCGGCGTAGAACCCATGCCCAACCTTGAACCCAGCTTCCACCCTCGTCAAATTACCAGGCTGAGGATGCGCAACCCAATGCGTAGAATTCAGCACATGCAAACCAGCCGCAAAAGTAGAAAGAGCAAGTACAGGCCCAGAACTCCAACCATGGGAGTGAGAAATGCGGGCGTCGTCTGCATAAGCTGGGTAATGGAGGGAGCCACTGGTATCGTAGCCTTCGATATATGTGCTGTTCGTCATGCGAGGGTCGTCGAGCATAAAGTCCGCCCACATGAAGCGCATGAGATCTATTGCGCGTTGAGGTGCACCGGCGAGGAAATGTGCTTGTAATTCAAAGCCTGTGATGAAGGGTGAGACTGTGGTTCCGGCTTCGGGGGCTGGAGCGCCGTAAGGACCCCATCGTGCGGAAAGGGCGGTGGAGATGGCGGTGCTTTGGGAAGGGGAGGCGAGGCCGGAGATGATGGACCAGACGTTTCCGTCTTGGGGGTAGAGGGTGGTGGTTTCGTTGTCTTTGAAGAAGGATGCTGTGGAGTTCCAGAGAAGTGTGTTTGCGGCGGTGACGATGGCGGAGGAGGCGTTTGTCCAAGTGGCGATTTGAGAGGTGTCGTTGACGGCGTATGCAAGTGTGACAGCTACATCTAGGGTGTGTTTCAAGATACTATTTGCTTCGATGTTGTGGCCTCCCATGCCTGCTCTCAACCAATCGAAGCTGGAAGTCACATTGGCTAAACCAGTCTCGTCTATGAAACTCAAGCTGTAGTTCAGACCGAGCTTGAATCTGTTCCAGTTATTTTGTAGATACTCGTCATCGCCAGTGTAGATCCAGTAGTTATGTAGGCCCAGTAGAGTGAAGAGATGGTAGTTGAAGCTGAAGACTCGTCTGCCAAGATTCAGGAAGCCATTATCTGGGAATGCATATAGAGGTTGAGCAAACCAAGGAAGTGCTCCAGTCGTAGTATTTTGACTAGCAAACAGTTGTTGAAGCGAGAGCTTGACGGTGATAGCGTCATCAGTAGACAGGAAGACTCCTGGGACAGAAATAGCAAAATCGCCCGGCCAGATCAACTTGTCGCGTTTCGGACCATCGGTGAAGGCTGAGCTACCATTGGTAAGTGTGCTATTAGACCACCATACTGTTGGTATGTTAGGATCGGTAGCATCGAGGTCGACTAGGGAGTTCCCGGACGTCGAAGGAATGGTGCAAAGTTGGTCTGTGTAAGCACCGGCATACCAGACACGATTCAGCTTCTCGTCGTTACTATGGAAATAGCCCGTGTACTCGCCAATGCCATCATCAGGGAAATGCGGCATGGCAGTAAAGTATGTTTGCAGATGACTCAACGTGACATTTCCAGTGGTATTGTGATAGACATTCAGATATCTGAATCCACCACGTTCATGCAGCGGTTCGACAGAGTAGTTTCCTGGCCCGGTGATTTTGAACCACAATGTCTCGTCGATGCCGATGTCTTGGGTGGCATCCGAGCCATCGGGCGATATCCACAGGGAAGATTCTGTAAAGGAGATACCAATATATTGGTCGTTGTCCGACGAACCGCTGACCACAAAGGAGACCAAACCGCCAATGTTCTTGGTATAGTCATAGGTGACAGCTGAGGCACTATTGAATGTGGTGTCTCCAGATCCAGAGGTAGTGACTCCAGCAGCGTTGGCCACGGTGCCATTGGCTCGATATACTGATACTGGAGATAAGTCTCGTTGCGAAGGCGCGAGGATATATTGAGAATAAGGTACAGTCGACGCTGAGGCGACTAAAGAAGTAGCCAAAGCCGCAGCGAGTTGGCGATGCATGTTGACCTTACTGAGTATGCTTGGAGCTGATGTTGCTGTCCATTGAAGACATGCTCGAGTTTTTATCGACTCTTCCCAGTACCTACATTGTCTACATCATCCCGCTGATGTTCGGTGCAATGCCCTCCGAGCACCAGAGTTTTGAACATTATAGATGATAGAACCCTGGATGATCAAGAAAACTGGGTTAGCTCGTCGCATCGGACAGACAAATTGGCATGAAGATCGACATGGATGAGAAAGAGTTGTATGCAAGGCAAAGGCGGGGTGGTGCGGGGTTGCGGATTGTCGATTTTAACACATCCATCCTCTTCCGATGATCAGAGCAAAGCAACGGTGAGCTGCAGCAATGCACAGTCATATCTCATATCGACAGACTTGACATACAGAATCATGAAAGACGTGCCTCGGAGCCATCGCTGAAGTTCCTGGGGGGTTCGTGCCTTGAGACAGCTACAAGTCCGACAGCATTTCGCACAAGGCGAGAAGGTGGCAGGTCGGTGCCCAGCGATAACGGCACCTGGCTTCTCGTGTTTGTTCGAAGCAATCGCATCGCGGAATGTGGAGGCGAGCGAGGTCGGGCTGGGCAATTCCATCTTGTGCCTGTCGTATGGACGGCGAGTTCGTCACAGGCAATTTTGAGCGGCGTTGACGACTGCCGACTTGGCTTCACAAGACCTCCTCGATTACAAGTCGGTGATTTATTATTCTCATGACTTCCAATACTGCTAACTTATTCCTCGCTATCATGGCCGAAAAGGAATGGTATGCTCGAGCAAGAGAAATGGTTGCGTCAGGTGCGCGACGACTTGAAATCGAAGCAGCAGAGGAAAGGATTGGTTTAGGAGCGGAACTGGTTCCTAACGCCAGCTCACTCTGGAAGGCAACAACTGAAGGCATCGAAAGCTCAAGGATGACAACCAGAAAGATGTTGATGGAATCGCCTCTCGAACCACAAACCAAACGACACTGAATACCCGACAGATCAATGTATACGGACGTACGCGAAGGACAAGAGGTGGAGATATCATGAGATCCGCAGTCTGGCTCTATACCCGAGCTTCCTTGTGACAACAGCCGTCGCCTCTTCCAACCTCGACTGACGGCGAGAGACTTGGCAGCTCTTGCCTACTCACTGACATATTGCTTCCAGTCACTAGTCCTCGTCGAGACTTTGGATTAATCAGTGCTCATAAGATATGGCAAGGGAGGCTTTTGATTGAATCAACATGGTCATAGGACCCGGTCGATCGCTTAACCAAAGTACAGTTTCTACGACACTTGTCTAATACTGATTGTGAGCCGCAACATTCGCTACTTTGTTAATACATGTTAAGCACATTCGCGGATATATAATCACTGAGCTGCTGTCCTGGCCCACCACTCCTCATCGGATATCTCGCTTGCAACGGTCAAACTTAATCAACACCCTATACCGCAGGTATAGCCTGATCTTTCAAGATCTGCAACAATGGACGGCCCTAAAGATCTCGGGACCTGTACTTCCGATTCTAGAGTCTCGTAAATCTGGAAGGACAAACCGAGTCGCTATTGAATATGTCATCTCGCCAGTGAGATGTTCAACATTGCTTACTGATGTGTGTCCCAATAATCGGGTTGGGCATCATATGTCTCCTCTAAGAGTCATTCAATTCCCCTGTGATATGTATCAGGCTCCCGTGAATACCACCTGACTCCCTGTATAAGGACTCAGAATATGCGGTCTTGACTTACAAGATGTCCTAGCTGACAAGATTGTCGTCGGCTCTATGTGTGTAGCAAGTAGAGCCGACCGTGGTGATCAAGATCAGCGCCGTCAAAGGATCTACGAGTACACGTTTGTATGCACCTCTACTTTCATCACTATCTCCGCTGGCTCTCCCTTACATCTGTGCGATTTCTAACTTCGATAGACTGACATCCGAGCTGTGGTCCACAACCATGACTGCTTGTTCGCGTTTGTCCTCGTGCACCTCGATGATAGATAGGAGTGCACGTCAGGTCTTACGTCCGAGAGGCATAATGATAGTGAGTTGAAGCAGAAGTCAATGGTGTAAAAAGAGGCATCTTGCCCGAGGAAGTAGACCAGAACAACCACATCTTCATCTCATTCAACCTACTCCATTCTTCACTTCAAACACACACCTCAAACACTTCCACCATCGCCATGAAGGTCTTCGCCAGCATCCTCGCCATCGCCGCAGTTGCATCTGCAGCCGCAACTCCCGACATGAAGCGTCGTTCTGCCACCCTCGACACTCGTGCCGCAGCAGGACTCTGTGGTCCCCTCGACACTCCCATGTGCTGTGCCACCGATGTTCTCGGTGTTGCTGACTTGGCCTGTACCTCTGGTAAACCTTTTATCATTAATCCTTATTACGTGCGATTGCTTATTCTCTGCAGTCCCTACTACTGTGAACACTACCACTGCCTTTACTGCTTACTGCGCCGATCAGGGCAAGCAGCCTGAATGCTGTGTTCTTTCCCTGGTGAGTAGAGTATCACGACGTACTGTGATGTTAAAGACTGATTGCTGTTGTTCAGCTTAACTCTGCTGGTCTTTTGTGCAGCGCTGCTTGAACCGGGAGCAAAGTTTCCATGTCAATGGAGCTATTATGATTTAGAAACGAGTTAATAGTGTTATTTCGAATTACAATTATTTCTTTCCACATCTTTGCTGATTGAGTTGAAATGACAGCTTTCAGTATGACAAACCAGTCAAATTTCAAGGGAAAAATTCGGCCTTGCTTGTAGCGCTACCTCCGACTTTGAGGCAGGGGTAGAAGAAGAGCTGTATAAAGGCAAGATGGAATTTGAAATATCGAAAGCCTCCTTTGAGAGCAAACATTCTTTTGCTTTATTTCATCAAGTCGGGTTTTCTCACAAACAGACTGTGCATTTTCACAGCTACTTTTCGCACTTTCATTGAGGCCGGAGTAGCCAAGTTTTTCAGGCCGAGTCCAGAACAATAGCTCCTCCGTATTGATTGCGTCTTTCGAGAAGGCTGGTGGAAATGCACAGTATAGTTGTGGTTCTTGCGTCACGTCTGTGGAGAGAAGGCACTTCTTTGAGAACAAGGATTTTTTGGATGGCATATATACACGACTGTTAATCGACAAACCACTCTCTATAAATAGGCGTATATACCGAAAAAGAACTTAGAATCATCTATCGTGAAGTGAAAAAGGAAAAAGGGGTATTGATACGGGGTGATGTTGGAAGAGTTGATGAAGCTTCCTTAGAAACAGCATATACTCTCTAGCGGCACTTAGTAGTACTAGCACTAAGCAGTAGTACCGTGATGCTCAAACTCTGTGGCCACATCTAGCAGAATGCGGTACCGTTGAATGCCGATTCTGGCTTGATAACGCCCTCGTTGATCAGATCGATGTAGGACCAGTAGTCACGCTGAGTTCCTTGTCCGTCGACCAGCGCAGTAGAGTAAGAGACAGCAGTCCAGAATGATCCACCGCTGACGTACTTGCTCCAAGCGTAGCGTTGGGTGTTGAAAATCAACTGACGGTCAGAAAGATTGTTGTTGAACTGAAAAAGAATTAGCATCATGAAACTGCATCAGAGGATACCATAACATTTACCATTACTTGTAAGGCCCACTCGCCAATGAAGTTGGGGAACTTGGTTGCCAAACTAATACTTGATGCTTGTCCACAAACAGCTGGGGCAACATATTGTGAGTAAGTCCCCGCGGCGGCGAAATAGTAAACATGAGAATCGATGACCAGATTAGCAGAAGCATCGAAATATGGCTCCCAGAAGCTAGCACCCTTGAAACAGTCTTGGACCATGACAGGGATACGGCTGTCAACTTTCGCGGTGCGAGAAACAACTCCGTTGATGTAATCAGCCACCCATTGGGCACCCTTATCGGTAAGACCAGCAGAGGTACCAAAGCCAGGAAGGTTGTCAGAGGCCTCGTTGATAGGTCCAATAGTCCAGGAAGTCATGTTACCGCTGGCCTTGATGAAGTCGAGAATGGCATCGACGGCTTCGTAGGCGTAGTTGAGGTTGGTGGTGTTGTAGAAGAAGTCGTCGTGCATGAGAGCCTCACCGATGTCGAGGTTGTTGACACCGCCGGGAAGAGAGTGGAGACCGACAATGATGTGCATGCCGTATGTGTTGATTGCGTAATCGGTGATGGCCTTGAGGTATTGTTGCTGGTTACCGTGGTAGAGAGCAGATCCAGGGACGTTGACCCAGGCAGCGTAGGTAGTAGGGATTCTCAAAGTGTTGACACCGACAGAGGCAAGCTGGTCAATGGTCGAGTGGTTGAGGAAAGAAGCATAACGAGCCTCGAGAGTGGGACCGCACTGGTCACCAAGAGTCTGGCAGAGAGTCCACTCATCAGGGGTAGTAGAGAGGTTGGCAACGCTAGCCCACCAGATGGGGTCGTGGGTCTGTTCCTTCTCGAGCCAGCCACCGAGGTTAGCACCGTTTGCCTGGAAAGTCTTCCAGTTGATAAAGCCGCCCGAGGTAGTAGGCTGAGCGGTGGCAGTAGAGCTAGCAGTGGCAGTGGCAGAGCTGATGACCCAGGTGGAAGTAGTGGGCTTCTTGCAAGTTCCGGCATCGGCAGAGCTAGAGAAACCATAAGAGTAAGAAACAGTATACTTGTTACCGCCGCTGTTGGAGCCTTTGTAGGTAGCGTAGGATGATGCCCAAGTCTGAGAGTAGAGGTTGCAGTACTGGCCAATAGCGACGTTGTTGCGAGACAAAATATAAGTATTGAAGAATTTGCATGTAGGCTTGTTTGCCTTCAGATTGGTAGCGCTTTGAGCATTGCAAGCAGCGGCGCAAAGGTTGGCATCGAAGGGGCCACCAGTGAAGACCTGAGATCCAAGGAAAGTGGACTTGTCGTTGCAGTCGTTGGGGGCATCAATAGCAGTGTTGCCGTAGTATGAAGGCGAGGTGAAGCCATCAGCAGGCTCGATGGTGTTGTTAACGTATCCGTTAGAACCAGCAATGACAACCTGGAACTTGCTTCTGTACTGGCCAGCGTTGTTGGCGTTGGCAGTGGTAAGTGGGCCTCCCCAGAAAACACACTATACGACGTTCGTTAGATCTTGATCGGAGTCATAGTCGCTTTGTAAAACATACCTTGATGTTGGTGGTCGATGAAGGATCCTCGCAGCCAGTTCCGGGATCCTTGCTAGGGTCACGCTCGAAGTACAGGTTGAAAGATGCGCAGCCAGAGATGGCATTACACTTGCTAGCACACTTCTCCGAGTCGTAAGAGGCGAGGTTGGTGAAGCCGAGGTAGCCGTAGCTAATGTATTGTCAGCACGGTTGACGAGAAAGAGGCTCACAGAGAGTACTCACGCGTTGTTGGAGGCGTTCAGGTTCTTGAAAGCCTGGGTGTAGCCAGAGGGAGTGGCGGCAGCCGATGCAGCACTGGCAAAGGCAGAGTATGAAAGGAAGGAAGAGGCGGTGTCGGGGGAAGGGACAGGACCAGAACCGCTGGCCTGAACAGCACAGGTACCACGTCTGCGAAGAGTGGAAGAGCTGGTGCTGTTGGTGGTGCTGTTGGAGATATCAATCTCAGTCTGACCAGTCAGGACCGAAGTCTGAACGGCGGCAGCAGCAGCATCAGAGTCGTAGCTAACGATGAGCTCATCGGTGTTGGTAGGGACGGTGACGTTCGAGGGTGTCTCGACAGTATCGATCAACGAGAAGTCAAGCTCCTGGGGAACAGGGGAAGCGAGCGTAAGAGCCGCAGCGGCGGACAGCAGAATGAATGAGCGCATGGTGAGATGGAACAAATGTCTTGATGAAGCTGTTGTCTGATCTTCTTTCGACTGGGGCATGGAGATCACTTTATATGTTACCTCGTGGCTCGCTACCTGCCGAAGATCGAACTTCAAAGCCCAGGCATACTGTCAAGCTCTGACCATGAATGTCGAATTATTGATGACTCGGATGCACTATGCTGGCCTTACCTGAGAAAGATCGTGGATTGGTACAAATCGGGACATGTCTCTTCTGGAAGCCCTAGAAGACGACCGTACTGGGTCATTTCTCAACTAGATGGTATATTCAACGAGGGCAGGAAACCTTGGCTATGCGTACTTGACCCAAGTTTGACACCAGTTCAGGGGAAGTTGGCAGCTGATGGAGAGCCATGAATGACAAGGTTTGTATGGCACATAGCACACACAGCTGAGGCCCGACACGAGGGACGGAACCTTGGGAATAGTGGGCTCGGTCTGTGCTTCCGGAAGGAAAATCCCCCAAGCCTCGTGCTCTCTGCATGCATGTAGGGGGTTTGATGATCTTTTTTAGCAAGATCTAGAAGCTAGAACTGTTGCACACTTGCAGTGAGGTTGACAAGTGGGAATGTGTGATATCTGCTGTATAATGAACAATCGTTTCCAGTTCTATCGTCGCATGTTTCGTCCTGCGTCAACATGCCGTTGCTGAACTCTTCTTCGTTGTCAGTTCGTGTTTGGAGATCAAGAAAAACGTCCTTCTTCGCTACCAGAGCCACCTAAGGTCTCAGCCGACCCGGTATGCCTATCATCCTTGCAACGGGTACAGATGGGAAGCAAAAGATAGTGCGTCGAGTCAGTGCATTCGTCCATAGTATGTTCTAAGATGGCAATTAAGGGCTTGTACGATCGGATACATGAAGGGTCTTCCAGAGCCCTAAGTCGACGACAGGAACAAGTTTAAGGTTGTCCGCATGTGGCTTGGCCACCAGGAAGCTTGGCTGGCAGTTCGGCGACTTGCTCCCGTTTCTGAGCCCTCATCTCGCTCTGTGTTTGGTATAGCGAGCATGCTCGCCCGTTCTGTGCCGGGCAAGGATCTGATCTGCTTCGATCAATTTTGTTTCGCCTCGGTGAGAAGCAGGAGTGAGGGGCGTCGGCAAATGGTAGTAGAAATGAGAGACTTGAGGATCTTGATCTCTTGACCATCATGTCGACCGAACAGATCATGATTTGTGAGATCATGACACAGCTTCCGTCATGATGGGCGGCCAAAATATTCCGAGTTCAGAATCCAGGAGGAGTAGAAAGTGGTCGTCTTGTTGGCCGTCAGTCAAAGCTCATTGAATCGGGCATTTGACCATGCCTTCGGGCGGTTGTTTCTCAGGCTGTGTCACTCGATAGATGGAGAGCAGAAGGGCGAGAGTCATGAAGACTCTTGGTTTTTGTTGATCCGACTTCATCTACTAACCCAGACTAGCTATCCTCGTGCTCAATGATACCATATGAGCATAGATCTAGACGAATAGCCCTCATGACACCCTTCTCCCCTAAGCTTATACGACGCGCTCAATCCTCCCTCTACAGAACATGCGCATTCAAAGCCTTACCAGCGAACCAGAAAAGGCGAATGCAAACAATGTTACCGGCCCACCAAAGCACACTTCTTAAACCAGCAGCCTGCCTTGTAGTATTCTGTCTGTAGACATAGAAATACGCCGCTCTAACCAAAGTATAGATGGTCGCGTATCTGTTCAACATGCCACTATCCAGCTTCGCAATCAGCGAGCACAGGACAGCAGCAGTGAACACAGTGTAGTGTTCCATGGAGTTGGAGTGAGCGGATTGGATGCGACGGAGCTGCTCCAATTGCTCTTGGGTGAGCTTGCCCTTGGAGACGAGCTGTTCGGCGCGAGGGGACTCGAGGTCATAGCGGGGGTTGATGTTGTTGTCGCAGCCGTAGGAGTTCTTTTGGAAGCGGGTGGTGGTGACGACGTATGAGAGAAGGAAGTTCACGAGGAGGAATTGGGGGCCGTAGTTGGGGAGGGGAGCCAAGGAGTTGTTGGCGGTCAAGCCGAGGTTGGTGAGGAAAGACGTCCTGTCTTGTTGTCAGTATACGTGTCGCATGTGTAGCGAAGCGATGGAAAAATGGACATGGTGAATTGGCTCTGTGTTTTCTACAGGATGTGGGTAGAGAGGAAAAGGAGAGAATGGGAAATGGCAGAGTACAAAAGTCGATGATGTATTTGCATTTACTTGTTGGAGCTTCTCTAACGGTTCACGGAATGTCTCACTCTCACCCGCCTCAGAGAAAGTTTATCCTACCTTATCCATTGCTCCGGGATAATGGTTTGTGCTATACACGTAATCTCGAGACTGGTAGCATGGAGCAGGTAATGTATCTGTAGCTGGATGGTTATACCGACGAGCAGGCGGCCTCTGTTTGCGACAAGGCTAGGTCTTGCATACCACAGACAGTGACGTAACTGGTAACCCTCGCTATAACGATCGCAACTATATCAACGACTCTATCAAGAAATTTCTCCCGAGATATTGAGATCGGGTAGAATATCTATAGTTGCGTGTTCTCTACCACGTACCAATCATTGATCTTGCTTGCGTCACTTTGTGAGACCGACCATTGCCTTCCACAGTGCCTCATCGGTTTCACCCTCGGGAATAGCAGGCTCATCTTCTTCGCTATAACCATCCAAGGGCAGTCTTTCAGGCGAACAAATTGTGCCAACTTTTGGCAACACACCAGTCTGGAAGTAGTTTCTGATGGTCCTCGCAGTACAGAAGCTGACACCAGCAGAAGAGCAGTGACCTTCAGCATCCTGATGCAATACAACGGAGCCAGGGAAGCCTTTCGACATCCTATGGGCATTGCGGATAGGAGTGACATTGTCGACTGAGTTTCCAATGAAGAGGATGGGATGCGCAGTCGTGGCATTGAAGTGACCTTCATATGGCCATTTTGGACGAGCGTGCCAATTTGTGCAAGGCATTCTGATGGTCGTCCATACGTCTCCCATCAGTCTACTCTGCTTCATCAAATCCTGCACGTAGTCCCAGTACGCTTCTTTGGTCATGTTGGTTTGGCCTTCTGCATCACTGCATAGAACCGCTGCTGAGACGATGCGGGTATCATGTCCGTCGTAGTAAGGATTGCAAGCTCTTGAGTAAGGGCCGTCTTTCTTGCACTGCTCGGAGAGTCCTTGTTTGAGTAGCTTACTGCCTGCACGTCTCCCTTGTACCAAAGCGGTGCCATTTCCTTTTTCGAGTTGTGCCATGGTTTCTGCGAGTTTGTGAAACTTGGCGAGTGGTTTGTAGGCAGTCGCCCAGAAGTACATCTTAAGGTCAGTGTATGTCGCCAAATCAGCCGAAAACTCGTCAGTTTCTGGTACGCCGATGGGAGTATTCTTCAGATCCTGGATGATTTCAGAGAACCGTTGGGCGATGAAGGCAGGTCCATCATCATCGTAAAGAGCGCAATTTTTGGGTCCACCCATCCAACAATACTCTGCAAACTTCACAATCTCCATGTCGGTGTCTTGCAAGTTTGTAGTCCAGCCACCTTCGTAATAGTCGAAGGAGTCGACCACGCCGTCCAGAATGACCCGCTTGACTCGTTCGGGGTACATGTCGACTAGTGTAGCTCCCAAAACAGTGCCATAGCTGAAGCCCCAGTACTGTACCAACTCCTCACCAGGTACGTACTTGACGTGATACGGTAGTTCAACCAGTTTCGCGGACTTCTGAGCTTCTTTCTCTCTCCATTCGCCGTGCTTCTCGAAAATTTCGATGATATCTCTGGCTACACTTGTAGTTGACATGTATTCGCCAATGCCTGACTCAATAGCTCTCTTTGAGCATGAATCTGCGTGAGTACGCACTCGAGCCCATAAATTGCTGAACGCGACGTTACTGCTACCAGGAGCACCATATGCTTCAAGTTCTTTCTCAAAGGTCATACGCTCGATAAAGTCCGGGAAGCATTGGAAAGTAGGTTGCGTGTTGTTGACACCACGAGGGTCGAAGCTGATAATGTCGAAGAATTTTGCCGTTTTGTTATCGGCGTCTGGGCCAGCGCTTACTATGGTCTGGATCTCCTTGCCCTCTCTGTGCACCAGATTGATACCAGAGCCACCAGGACCACCTATTCACATCGTCAGTGGCTGGAAAACGCGTATCGAAATGTGATGCCGTTTGACTTACCAGGGTTCAAGACTATGGCACCACCATATCTGCTATCCGTCACAGGAACGACTGCAGGCACTTTGATAATGGCTATCCCGATGGTGCGATTATCTGTTTCGTCCTCGTTAAGCCAGTCGAGAGGGACCTGCAGCCTTGCACAGTGGAATCCATCAAAGCAGTCTTGATAGACGAGAGACTCATTTGCCGGGAGATTGTCCCATGAAAACTCCGGTTCTTTCAACAACAACGGACTCTGAGTGATCGGAACAATATTCCTAAATGGTTGCAATAGATTGGTATTCGCCAACAGCAGTGCCGAAGCCTTGTCGAAAAGCATAATTGCGGAATGCACTCAAAGTCAACCCAGCAGCTTAAGACGGCTTTATCAATGCCTTGAAAAAGTGCCTACGAATAAGTTGTTGCCTTGATCATGCAATCCTTCGCGCGGAGATACCGGGTATTGACTGTAACAAGGCTTGGCAATTTGATATAGGCACCTTCCTAACGCGGAACTGAGTTGTCTCTGACATTATCAACATGAGAAGTAAAGCGTTTTTCTGAATCAATACAGGAGAAGTAGAGATCAATTCTTATACATGTCTATAAACCCACAAACACCAGGCAAGCCCCTTGAACGCCAATGCTTTTCTACAAGGGTATGTGCTCCGAGTCCCAATCAATGTGGTAGTAAAAAGTGTCCCGGTCGAAACCCAAGCAAGAGAAAGAGATCCCAGTAGTTGTACAGTAGTTTTGGTATCCCCTGACAAAGAAAGAGGAAAACGCCGATGAAAATGCTACTCAAAAAGATCATATCTCAACATGTCGGGTATGCTTTTTGAGTCGGGAGATTAGTATGAAGACTCGCCGCGACCGCCGAAGGTTCTGTCACTGCGCTCGCGAGCACCGCCAAAACCGCCGCCGAAGCCGCCTCTGCTACCACGGTCACCACCGCGGTCACCGCCATATCCACCTCTGCTGCCACGGTCACCGCCATAGCCGCCGCCAAAGCCACCACGGTCACCACGGTCGCCTCCACGGTTGAAGCCGCCACGACCACCAGAGCGGTCATTCGAGAAACCGCCACGGTTGCCACCGGAAGATCTGCCTCTGCCAAATCCGAAGCCGCCGCCGTTGCCACGGATGGGTCTGTCGTCACGCTCGTCGTATGTGCCTTCGATGATTCTTCCGTCAATGTTCAGGCCGGGAATTCTAGTCAGGCCAACACGACTGGCGAGGGCTGATGAGATCTCTGGGGGAGTTGACATGCCCCAGGCGTAGCGGGAGAGGTTGTTGATGGCCTTGACAAGGGCGCTCTTGCGGACAAAGCCGTAAGTACCGATGTAGCCTCTGTAAGCATCGGCCTTGAGTTGCATAGGAATGCGCTTGTATGACTCGGCGACCTGGCTCAGAATAGTAGCGGCTGACTTGGGGACATCAGCCTCGCGGGTCATGTCAACGGTGGCAGTAGTGATGGTATTATCCTTCTGAAGGGGAAGGTCTCTGAGCTTGCGGGGAAGCTCCTGGGCCTCGAGAATAGGAGAGATCAACCAACCCTGACCCTCTCTGCCGGCACGGGCGGTACGGCCGATACGGTGAATGTAGGTTTCACGGTCGCGAGGTATACCGACCTGAATAACGTGTGTTACATTGGGGAAGTCCATACCACGGGCGGTAACGTCCGAGGAAACGAGAATACCAGAAGAGCACTTGCGGAAGTTGTCGGAAGCACGAGTACGCTGGGCCTGGCTCAAACGCGAGTGGATCTCGAAAATGCGAGCAGGGTAGAGGGCACCACGAACATCGCGGTAACGGCTACGACCGGTAGGCTCTTGGGGGGGCATGGAATCCTCATCGACTGGCAGCTCAGTAAGAGCAGCAGAAGCCAAAGTGACTTCGGCGGTCGAGTTGAAGTAGACAATGGCCTTGAAGGGGCGACCATCAGGCTGTTGGGCGTCGGCAACTGCGTTCTTGCACAGCTCGACAATGGCAGGGACGGTATTCTCCAGGCCATTGACAGTGACTAAGTATTGGGGGACGCGGGCGTGGGTGGGCTCTTCGTCATCGCGCACAGTCTTGACAAATTCATAACCAGGTCTGAGAGTTGTCTTGACCAGTCTCTGAACCTCTTGCGGGACAGTGGCGCTGAACATGAGTGTCTGACGGCTCTTCTCCTCGGGCTTTGGCAAGAGTTCCATAATCTCCTGAATCTCGGGCCAGAAACCCTGGTCGAGCAGACGGTCGGCCTCGTCGAAGACCAGGGCGTCGAGGCCAGGAGCCTCTACTCCAGAGTACTTGTCGCTGAAGATGTCCTTCAGTCTACCGGGAGTACCGACAAGGATGTGGCAGCCCTGGCGCTGGATGGCGCGCAGACCGGCCGACTTTTGTGTTCCTCCTACTGCCGTCTGTACAACAACCGATGTGTTTGCAACAAGACGCCTTGCCTCTACGGCGATCTGCTCGGCCAATTCACGGGTGGGCGAAACAATGATGGCGCGAATGTCGTCGGCGGTGGCCTTGTTGTTTCTGCGAACGTAGCCTCTGCTGGGCTCACCGAGGGAAGGATCGGTCTTGAGGATGTTCTGCAGGACGGGGATCAGGAAACCCAGAGTCTTGCCGGTACCGGTCTTGGCCTGAGCGAGGATGTCGTTTCCTTCCAGAGCCTGATTGATGGTGGCAGTCTGAACTTCGGTCATGTTCTCGAGGCCCATGTCCTTGATCAGCGTCTTGACAACGCCCTTGCTGACCAGCTTTCTGTTGCCCAGCTCGGCGAAGGTTGTGATTGGGCTGTTATCGGCCTGCTCCGACTGGAATCCAAGGCCCTCGTTCTCAGCGTACGCGGCATGTTGCTCTCTCCATTGACTGGCCTGGTGCAGACTTCTGGTGATGAGCGCGGCGTTGTAAGGTCTTGAGATTTGCGAAACAACAGAGCTTCTGCTTGTGCTTGAAATCTGGGCAATACTGCGAGGCAGTACCGTCGAACATCTTCTGAGAACTCCCAGCATTACGAAAGATGAGATTATACAAAAACGAGGGGGTTGGAGAAATGTAGAATGTTGCGATGAGGCAAAGATAAATTTCCAAGAGACTTTCACATGGAAAGTCCAAGCGTTGAGACTTGCCCCGGACTTGCAAACTCGCCTCCTGCTTCCTCCGTCTGTCGTGCTGCCTGTTTGGCCACGAATCCACCAATGACCATGTTACATTGATTCGACCTTCACTGATTTCGCCTTCTTGTCATGGCCAGGACGTGTCCTTCAGCAGCTTCTTCCTGCATGTCTCGCATGCCCAGATTCTCTTCGTAAAACTCCTTGCCATCGCCTGGTGAGGCCATGAGCATTGCTCTCATTAGATGTGGTTTTGAATCGAGAATCTCCCTGCAGCATGAGATTAACCACTTTCCCAGTCCTTTGCCGCGCGACTCCGGCTCAACATATACGTCTGTCAGATAGTATACTGTGACATGATCTGTGATGAAGCGAGCAAATCCTACTTGTTCCAGCTTCTCTGCTCCTGCTCCGGTTCCCTGGAATTCGTCGGAGAAGTAGAATGATGGATCCTCGAGTGTAGGAGAGGGTGTCTCTGGCGATGAAGGCTCTTCCGCCGTCTTGGGCGAAGGGAACTGCACTGCATAGACTCCAAGTACTAGCGAATTTGATAGTATGTTCCGCAGAATGGCCGTAGGCATTGCTTTCGCCCAATACATGTCATCTGAGCCATAGGCGTTGTTGACAAAGTCGTGTGAGATGCTGTTCAGGTCGGTTGATATGAGAAACTCCTGTTCAGATATGCTTATCCGCCATTCTCTTGTCTTCTGGGATGGAGGCATACTTGAAGAACGTGCCGAGTCTGGACTCTGTTGGTCGTCTGTCCTTCGAAGGTTGATGGTCTTGATTAGATACGTCATGAAGAAGCCGCTGCCGAGGCGTGACTTGGAGAGTCGTTGGAATTACCCTTCTGCGCATGCATACCTAAGCTACAATACATCAAGGGACTTTAGGTCCTGACGATCACGGCACACAGGGTGTCGGTGGAGACCTGCCAGGAAACTGGAACCCCAACAAGACGAGATACGTGTTCGAGCGCAATTCTACCTAGTCCTCGCCATGACCCTGGCCATGACACGGATTCACCCGCATCCCACAGCCAACGGAAGCTCGAAATGCATACAAAAACCTGAGTATGCGCAACCTCAATCTTTGCTTTTCAAACTTCCTCATGAGATCCGCCATCAGGTCTTCTTCTTGGCTCTGGTCAAGCCGCTCTCTGCGACGATCCTCGACTCCTCTCACGATGACAAGCTAGACGCTGAGCCTGCTCTTCTGTCTACTTGTCATCGCGTCCGCGCCGAAGCCCTCCCCCTGTTCTACAGCGCCAATGACTGGGTGGTCAAGACGCGACGCGTCGGAAGTGACACTGGTCGTCTGGACTCCATCAGCAAGAGTTTGATCACCTATCAGTGTATACCTCGCTGGCTCGATGCCTTGCCAGATAACAAGATTGCTCTGATCAGGTCTATTGTAGCCATTGGCTCTAGAGGATCCTTCGTGGACTTTAAGGGCAAATGGTGGGACGGCGACCGCACTGCCTTCCGGTTGCAAAGGTTCAATGGGCGCACTGCTTTTCGCGTCGATGAGCTGGACTTTCGGGATGAGGAGCTAGAGCGCGCGGCCAATCAAGAGAAGGAAAAGGAAGCTTTTTGCAGCATACACCTCGTCGATCTTCTGAACGCGAGAATGCGCATCAACGTGCAGACCTCTCGTGGGAAGTGGCTTTGGACAAGAGAGCGCGTTCATGATCTGGCCTTCCTGCTTTGATCTCGTGTCGAGGCACGAGTCGTGGACAAACTCACCAGCATCACAGGTTTCTTACTGGCGCCTTTTACAGAACTGCCTCATGGTTGAAATACCTTGAGTGGGACTGAAGGCCTGCACGCATGCCATGGCCATTAAACAGTACGTCATCACCTTTCCTACTACACCCCTTGCACCACACTCCCTCCCTAAAATGATGACTACACTTCGTTATACCCAGCTCACTTTGATGCAACAAATGTTGTACTTGATGCAAACGCGATTCTGTTTCTGATTCCCACATCCATTCCTCTCTCTGTTATTCACACACTTGTCGAGGCAAAGACTAACGTTGAGAAGTAGGTCCTACATTTTCTCGAGGACGTTGTCATGCTATATTCAATGTGACACTTATATGTATCATCTATATATTGCTTACTCTATTCAATAATATCCATTGTCAAAGTCTCGCTCCCTCATGGCTCAATGTACTTCGAATCACGGCAAAAGTCATAATGCTCAAGTATCTTAAGCCAACGCAAGTCTCTTATGGGGCGCCTGGGCTTCCTGGATGTCCATTGGAGGGTATCATGATCCGGGTGTCTCGGTAGCAGGGTACTTTTGTACCGGCCACGTCCCCAGCACAGAACACCTTAATTGATACAAGTCCTGTTTGTTTGCACTTTGATGGATATATGCTCATGGAGACTCGCACAATGTTCCTCTTCGCCAGATTGCTGGCTTTTCGGACCCGGCAGAAGAGTCCTTCGTCACAACTGTTGACACCATGTGTTACGGTAGCACATTCCCAGACGAAGACCTTCAAAAGTCAGATTTCGATATTTGAGCAGCAACACCATATCTCAAGGACCCGAATTTGTCGCCGGGGCTCGGATAGTTGTACAAGGTAGTAATTGATAGTAACTCATAGACTCCTGAACTGAGCCAGAGACTCAGAACTCGTCACATGTGTGTGAAATGCTTGAGATGGGTAGCACCCTGACCGGAGGAAAAAGATAAAATGGAAGAAAAAAGAGATTCCGGCAACGCACGCGTCGACGCGCCCGAGGTAACGACTTTCTTGCATGGCACCACGACTTCTCGCAATACATGACCTGCCCGGTGGCCGCGGCTTGGTCTGGATGCCTCCAATATTGTCACAAGGTACGCCGCGTGCGAGCAATGCAGACATGGATTTCAGAATCGCTTCAAGAAGCTACCAACACTGTCGACACGTCTCGGTGCCGCCTTCTCTCCCACATCTCCGATCTTGAATTCATCACGAGCCTACACTCACTTTAGCAACGTGCCATACACAAATTCTTTACTACGTGCGTAAGCAAGATCCCATCCATCAATCGACCCACGCTCTACTGCGCCAGGCGCGCGAGAGCGCCAGGTATTGATCGCTATTGGCAAAACGTCTTACACGCTGCTTGGCTGCTATACCAGCACCCAACCAGAAACGTTCTCAGCTACACAGTCTGCTCAAACACACGAGCGTTTCAACCTGAGATACCTACGCAGAAGCCCTGGCTGCCGTGTTGTCCCGTCCTCCAGCCGGTAAAGACGTTAGGTTCCGCGAACGACGTTTAGTTCTATATATTCTCCGGTAGAGGCGTTCGACTTGTCTCACTTCGAGCTTCAGGACCACTACCGTGACATCAGCCGATGGTCTCTTTCTTCCCGCTGCCTTCCTTCAAGACTGCTAGCTATGACAGCGCCATGGTTTAATGGTCGTCCGAGGAAATGATAATCAGCCGTCGCTTTCACTTACGTATCACAACCCGACGCACGTGTCACGGGGAAGAGTTGCTCGCGTCTTGATGGACAAATCGTGGTCGGTGGAGAAACATTCTAAACGTTCATCCTCGTCTATGGCTTGACTGCCGTTCGTCTTCTCCTGATCGCACTACCAGGGCACAGAGGCGCCTCACGACAAGCCCTCGACAAGATACTCGAAATGGCCAACATCTCAGGGCAACGTCCGAAGCCCCATCGGTATACACTCTCTGCCTGCCCGTTTAATCGGCCACTCGGACTCTTGCCATACTCGTCTTTCTTGTAAGAGCAGCAGAAGCTGCACACCAACATAAGGTCATCCGAGACATGTCACGAGCTTGCTCCGTACTAAGCTCTGGCGGCACGGCAGGAATGCTACTGGGAGGGAAGAGTGGTTTGACAGCGCCGTTGGCGCCGCATGGCCTGTCCAAGAAGCAGCGCAGTGACCCTTACTCCACACAAGCAACGGCCCCAGTCAAGCCACATCCGAAGGCACGAGTCGATAGATGGAGAGGTAATCGCTATAAGTACTCCTGATCTTCATCCCCTAGAACTCTATTCCATAAGTCCATCACGTTGTCTTCCCGCGTACCTGGTTCTCTGGAAGCGCCAGCGTCATCCTGTCGCTGTGCTTGTTCTTTTCGCCCCTTTCACGCTCTTTATAATCCTTGTGAAATCCGCTGCGTTGGGTGGTAGCTGTATCTTACATACTCCCCGTTTCCACGCACCGAACAGTATGCACTTTACCAGAACCCTTCAATGCACCCTCTCACTTGCGAGCTTGGTCGCGTCTTCTCCGTTCACATCCGAGAGACGTGATGTCGCATCAACAACCTGGCAGACACCTGCTACTTCCACAGCATCCTCAGGGACACCATGCCCTACCACACCAGAAGCGGGGACATACTGTGGCTTCATCAACCCAGAGGATCCCTGTGCTCCCCAACCTGGCGGTCAAGGTCCCACAATGGTACCTGACACCGTGGAAGCGTTTGTCAACTATATCCCGTTCCAAAGCATGTCTTTAAATAACGTCTACGCACCTGGCTACACCACAATCTTCAAGAACTTGACAAAAGCCGCATGGAATATCGACAACTACATCGGCCTCTACTATCTCGACACCTACAATCCTTCAGCTTGTGCAGACAAGTGCAATGCCGTCTCTGGATGTAATTCCTTCAACGTCTATGTAGAGCGCGACCCCAGTCAGAATCCGACAAAGAATGACTCGACAGCACCTACGGTCTGGGGCTACTGGTGCCCAAATCCTCCCTCAATGACCAATTACAAATGCGCGCTATGGGGAAATGGCATCTACAACTCCTCAGCCACAAACTCTGGGCAGTACAGGGGAGGAGACTTCCAGGTTATGATTGCTGGTAGCAACGCTTTTGTCAAAACCGGCTACTTCGATACGGCGACTTATCAGAATGGCACTGCTTCGGTCCCTACCTCGGGTATGCCCCAACCAAGCAGTAGCATCGTGCCATTCACAGGTGCTGCCAACACGATCACAAAGTCGAGCGTATGGAGCGTGTGCGCGTTTATTTTGGCGGTACTGATGGCTTTGTAGATGCGTGTCGACCGGTTCCTTTTGGCTTCTTATACCCTTTTGCTTCAAACTCCTGCCAGGAAATGCAGTTGAGCGATCTGTATTCTATGTATATATATCTAACGTGTAATGAAACGCATACTTGACATTACCTACCTTCACAGCAGTACAATTTTATCTCAATCTCACAGCAGCCTGACTTTTGAGATCGTCTTCCTGAATATTTAAGGCTGACTGTACACTTTCAAGCCTCTTGGTGATCGTATCGTCCAGCTACCTTCTACACACATATCCATATTCTACGACGTCTTTATACCATACCAAGGAAAATCCCATTCCTCATTTTCCTTATCGTCGTCAGTGCACTCGCTGTCCCGATCGATGGATCTACGATCCAGTCTCCTCTGGATGTTAGTGACAACGATAAGCATTCGAGGAGACGGTGCGACTCTCCACTCTCACCTCTCCGTGGTCCCGAGTACGAGAAAGACGTTTGTGTTAAGAAGTTAATGACTCGGAGTTCTGCGTGGTCGAGCTGGTAGGAGATGACATCGATGTTGGAGAGAAGATGGCCATGATCAGCGGTCCTTGGTTTGGCACATATTGCTCTACTACTCTATCTTGTATGTATCCTATTTGCCCGCCACATCATGTACAGAATAGACAGATACCTATCTTATGAATCTACTGAATTACTTAAACATCACTCACGATCATGTGATACAACCCCTGACCTCCATCTTACTTTTTGTTTTTGACCGAGTAGACTCACCTCACTTACCATCTCATCGAATACGCGAAACCAAAACCATCAGCACCTCGAGAATTTTTCCACTCTCCTCTTACAACATCTCAACAACACATGCCATCACCCACCAACCCCCGCCTCTTCCTCCCCTCTTCCTCCTTCGTAACAAGCAGCGGCACAATCCCCATATCCCTCCCCGACAAAAAAAAGTCCTCCGGAAACTTGTCTTTTGGTTTGGGGCAAGTGTTTCTGTGGATGAGCCGTGTGAGAATTGGACGAGGCAGGAGGGGGGAGGAGTTTGAAGCTGTTTGGAGGGATCCTAGAGATGCACTGCTGGCTTTTGACATTACAAGACGACAGGAAAGTTGCAGCGATTGTTTTACGTGAGGTGTTCAAGAAGGAGTTTGAAGTGTAAGAAGGGTTCGGAAACGAAATGGAGCGAGTTGCGAATCTCGCTTTTCATGACCACCATGCTGAGAGCTCGACCGTATGAACTTTTCCTAGAATAGTGTTTTTCGTTTCCGTCAAAAGGACTTCGGAGACTTTGAAACATTTCGTCTCGTCCAAAGAGAGATTGCGTGTCCAAAATAGATAATCAGAGCCTGTGATGGTGTACTGTTGCGTCATGAACATACGTCATTTTCGCAACACTTCACTCGGCAACACTTTCACCTCTTGCTTTACATCGACGTCAAGGAGCATATGATGTTACGGATGTCATCGGGATGGGCAGGGAGTCGAGAGGCTGATTATGTTGGCTTTTCGTGAAAAATTCAAGAGTAGAGAGAACTTGTATAGCCGTTATAACCGTTGGAATTGCGAAAGCATGGTGTTGGAATGTCCACTGTGCTCGAGAAACTCACATCCTCAAAATTCACCAGACGTCTAATATGCTAGATGGAAAAACCATCATTCACTGTTTTTTTTTACTAGAACATTTCTTTCTTGTTTCCTATCCCCACTCCTTACTGCTCATCCATTTTCCAATTTTTCTTTGTTCCAATCATTTGATTCACATCGTTGTCTCCCCTAATTACTGCCCCTATACTTGCAAACGACTACGTTCTTCAATTAGATACTCAAAAGCGACAACTGTAGACTCAGAGGTGTTAAAGATCAGACACTTTGATCCAGACGTCTTGATTGCAAGAAAAGGCGACGAGGCATAAAGTCCCACTACGACAAGGAGAAATTAATATGACAGTTTGTAGTGTTACGGCAGGGTTTTGCGAGGTTAAGAGATTTGTAAAGTCGTAGTCGGAGCCAAGTAGTCTAGAATGCTTGGTTCGGTGACTTGAAAGAGCTGTGGGAGAAGCGAGATCTAGATATCCCTTCTTGAAATAGCAGAGTAAAGATCGAGGTATTCTTGACTTTGAACCACCAGCGTAAACCAGTCATTCTGTAGTGCTGTTGGTCTCGGAGCAACCACATGTCACGAGTTCACACTTCGGAGATACAATCTAGCTGAGAAGAACAAGAATCTGTGTATACGCTAACACTATAGGGGGTATCGTTTTAAAAAAGGGAGAGAAAACAGCTAAAAGACAAGGGCTCAAAAGGCAAGGTCAAACAGACTAATGAAGACCGCTCTCTCCGGTCTCTGCCATGAATTTTTGACACTTGACCAGGGTCTCGACCATCTTGCCGACTTCCTCCAATCTGCTCAACACGACCTTGTTGCCGTCAACGAAGCCGTAGCATTCATACTTGATGGCGGTCTTGTCGCAGAATTCGCGGACAAGGACTTGGAGTCTGCGCAGGTTGTGGCGAGGGACGCGGGGGAAGAGGTGGTGGATAGCTTGGAATTGCAGGCCGCCGTGCAAGAAGTCCAACCAGGCAGGGCAGTCGACATCCATAGTAGTACGCAACTGACGCTGGGGGAAGCTCTCGGTAGGTCCCAAGTCGGCAGTGGGCATGCCCCAGTGGCTCAAGGTGATCTGGACGTGGAGGAGCATGGTGATACAATGGGAGATGAGCACGAAAGCGACTCTGATGGGCCAGGTGGGAAGAGTGCACCAGAGAAGACCGTAGCCGAAGACAGCCCAGTAGCCAGCCATGAACACAATCTCAACGGGACGAGTCCACCAAGCAGAGCCAAGGTTGGCAGCACGAGGCGACATGAGGTGGAGCCAGGACAGAAGGTACAGGTTGAAGCGAGCGATGGCCATGACGGGGTAGTAGGTGTACTTTTGGTAAGGGACGAGGAAGTCGGCGGCAGCATCCCAGACAAAGGTGAAGTTGTAGAAGGTGCTGAGGACGGAGCGGAAGTAGGTGGGCGAAGTAGCGAACAGAGGGACGTTTTGGAGGTCGGGGTCGTGTTCGGGCATGTTTGTGATGAGATGGTGCACGTTGTGCGAGCTCTTCCACCATCCAATACTAAGGCCACAGCAAAAGTCTGCGATGAAAGCACCGACCAGAGTGTCGGCGATGAAGTTGCCAGTAATGCCACGGTGGCCAGCGTCGTGAGCAGTGAACATGATCTGTTGCCAGAACATGCCCAAGAAGCAGGCAGAGGTGAGGTACCACTCGGCGCGGAGGAGGTAGAGGAAGGTGCCGAAGAGGAGCGAGTAGCGAACCATCTCCTTGCCGTACTCGAGGTAAGGGCAGTCGTAGAAGCCCTCGTTCTTGACACGCTCGTGGAGGGCGCGGAAGTCGACGGCGATGGCCAGCTGAGTCGTCTCATCTACTGAAGGCATGCTGGCGAGGCCCTCGGCAATCTCCTTTTGTTCCATGGCCGAGGTGAAGGCCATACGAGACGAGTGCTCAGCCTTGAGGGCATCGGCCTTGCGTTGCTTCAGGAGGTACTCGGTTTCATCGAGGATCAGCTCTCCTTGGGTCTTCTCATCGTAGGGCAGGTCGTCGTGTTGGCGAATGGCGGCGCGGCGGATAGGCGGCTCCAGATTCCTCCAGGGTTGAGCTATCCGGCCGATCCGGTATGCTCTCATGCGTTGCAGCGTGTGCGCAGAGTGGTACCTGGATCATGTCAGCAACTTAATCTAATCAAGCCCAAGACGAGCCAATAGCGGTACACGCCATCATCTAGATCTCTGTATGCACCGTTGTTGTTATGCATGCCGCTGCCGACCCCAGACGGATCTTGTTATTTTGAGAAAGGAGACCCTGAGACCCTGACCCCAGAAAAACAAGCGTTGCTCTCCGCGGAACACAAAACGTCAAGCAACGTACTCGACAAGAGCCTCCTCGATGATGATGAAGGAATTGATGACTTACACATTGATTTCGTCTGTCGCATCTCTGCCGACCATGTGGAGAATGGCGAGACGACCGCCGGGGTGCTTGTTGAGCCAGCCATCCAGCTTGAGGGCGTATCCTTCGTGAACGACAATGATGTGACCTTCGTCAATCGACTGTTCAATGGCCGCCGCGCACAAAACCTGGTCGCGACTCATCATGTTGATGCAATGAATGAAGAGGTAGAGGAGAGAGAACAAAAACAGAGCTTGGGGGAGCACAAAGAAGCCGCGACTATGGACTCCGCCTTCACTTATAATAAACCTTCAAAATCGAATCTCGGTGACATCCCACAAAGCAGCCAGCCCATCGCCTACGGAGACCCGCGTGCAGCGCAGAGGGAATGGGCCTCCTCCCCCGAATTTCAACAACACTGCGCCCCAAACACGACGAACCCGTGTCCCCTTTGATGATCTGCCACCAAAAACGAAATCTACCCACAGGGTCTCGAGGGTCTCACGCTGTGACCTTTTTTGTGTGGATAGATTCCGCCAAGGGCCTGGGCTCTGTGCTGCAACTTCCACCGTAAACACGCGCGTCTGTCCTGCGAAATGCCCCAGCCGACGCCTTCTGATTCGCAAGCACGGTTGCAGTTGTGACGACTTTGTGTTGAGCGGCCACCCGCCTTGCAGCCAGGGCCCAATTGGCCCCTCCAGGCACCATTCATTGCAATGCTGTGGAGCTTGCTATACGGAACACGCCCGTCGCAGGATTATTGGGGAGCATTGACCCGACAGAAAACACGATCAACGCGACCAACACGACCGAGCAAGAAGAAGCTCACTGTCGTTTTGAGTTTCATTTTCTGACATACTCAAACAAAACTGACAGGACTGGGATACGGCTGAAAGGGGGGGGGGAACTTGACAACGTACTCCATACGGCTCCCTGCATTTAGATTCGGGCCAAACTCCGCAGAATCGTTTGTCCGCAAGGGGACACGAGCCTCTTGCCCGTGTCGCCCGCAACTATATACCGGTTTAGGAAAGTCGCTAAGGGGCGGCAGAGCGTAAGGACTGATATGACGTGACGAGGCATTATTGTCTCGCTTCATCCTTCACAGAGACCAAATCCTGGCGCCCCTGCTGTCAGATGATAGCTGCTACACCAAAAGGGGTACCCGTTCTTAGCAGGTCATCTTGTACTATAATCAACACCTGCCTTCTCGTGTTTCGAAGATCACACTTATCGCTGGGTCTGGTGTTGGTGCAACTGTAGATCGCTTATATGCAAAATAGGACGCGTGAACCAAGCATCGTAACCCGCATGTTGTGATTGGACCCCTATCTTACGATTCATGTACGTATCAATCGACCTTGTATACGCTCTTTGGCCATTTTAGAAACTCTCATCTCGTCAAGTTTGCCCCTCACTTCGCTCAGGCCGAGAACCACGGGAAATATGCATCACTCCAAACGAATGACACGCAAACAGGCTGATCTTTGACTCAGTCTCAGGGTTGACAGCTTAGAAGATGGAAAGCCCTTACTCGGAGAACCTTGAAGATCAAGGTTGTGATGCCTCAATGTACCATTTTGTTAGAGACCTGCATATCGACACAAACATGAGGCCTTCCCGGGTGCTCTCCGTTCAAGGTGTAGTAAGAGTGTACGTCTTTCCAGGCACGGTCGGCATTACCTGGATGATGAGACTGTCGTCGTAAGCCTCAGTCGGACCGTCAATTGTACTGATGCCACCTGTCCCGGGTTATTGATCGCAGCTGCCGAAGCTATTCGTGGGGTCCTCGTCGATGACATTCTCTACGTCGGTATAGGTATTGGCAACGAATGAAGGCTTCTAGGGCTGATTGCATAAGAAGAGACTCATGAGACCCGCGTCTCGAGACTCCTGTATAAAGTCATTACTTGGCCAGTATGTCAATCTGGTTGAACACATCTCGACTCTGGCAAGCTCTACTCGTTACAATCAACCAGAATGTATCTCAAACGAAATGCTTACGGGCGGGAATAGAAGATGGTCCACTTGACAGCTTGCGGCTCACCCGAGTAGGAAGCTAGTAACCGCTTGCCGTATGATCGCAGGATTATAGTTGTTCCTTCGAAACGGGGACGGTCGACGCGCACATCGAGACGACGCGCGACTCTTGATAAAAAAGAAAAACACGACTTTACTTTCGTGATCTTGATGATGACAGTGGTGTTATGAATCAAGCCACAAGGATTCTGCGCCCGCTTGATCCTTCAGATGTGGTGAAGTGCGTCTCTGCTGACTTTGACGCAGCCGAGCTCCACAGCCTCCAGCTTCCACTCCGTTGAGGTACCTGACAGCGATTGCTGAAAGAAAACCTTTCAGCTGCGTATCGCTATGTTTGACCAAGCCGTGTGTACGACTGTCCTTCAATGGATGCCGAAAAGCCTTCGACGTCTCGAGTGAAGTAAGAATCGTGGAGACCAATCAAATCAGAATGCGAAATGTGTGTAAAATTACAACAAGTTTCGCAAATTTAGCCAGACGCCCCGGACGCCGAATTAGCGCGCGTCTCGGGTCGCTTACCCCAAAGGATTGTCACGTTTCGAGTTCTGGCGCTCCGCGTCGGAGCCAGACCATTGCTCGGCAGGAAATTCTCGCAGCCCTTTGCTGAGCTTTACGACAAGCTTTCAGGGTTGCCCATTCTCGCCCGGATGTCAGCCGTCTTTGAGATCAGATTGATTCGACGTTTGTCTTGGTTCGAGGGAAGATCTAAGATCTCATGTCGATGTTGCAATGTCCCGCTCCTTGCGACTATAGAAGATCTGAACAATCATCAACACTCCGCGTAACAGCATGACTCCAGAGAACATAGTAAGAGTCCAGCCGATGCCAATCGCTCGAATACACGGCGACACAGCAGCAGTTCCGCCAGCGCCTAGAAGACAACGGACAATGTTCAGTGCTGCAGTGGCAGAAGCACTGCAGTCAGGATAAAGATCAACCAGGAATGTCGAGACCACACTTTGTATGGAAGCGGCCGCCCAGCCGATGAAGAAGAGGCAAATGATAGGCACCGAGACATGAACATGTCTATCCACAACCCAACCGAATACCAAGACTGCGATACACTGCAAAGGCCCGTAGAAGACAGACATGCGCAGCCGGACCTTTTCGAGTGAGCACGATGAGTCTGAGTGTGACGTGCGTTTCATCCAGCGACGATAATCGACGTCCAGCAGTTTACCGGTGGTTAGAGTGCCCAACATACGCCCTACACCATTAGCAAGATACACGAGACCAATCTGAAGGTCAGACATGTTGTAGGTGGTTTGGAAGACAGATGATAGCACTGTGACCACCATCTGCCAGACCATGTGGCACAGACCGACGAAGAGGATACTGGATATTGGCCGGCGTTCCATCAGCATGGTGATACTTCCAAGCACATTGATGCACTTCTTGGACGCTAGACTGCTGTCTGCCGGCTTTAGGTCCTGTCTCGCGAGGCATGCTGAAAACAACGAGACAGCATGGATTGGTGGCGCAACAGAACCATCACCAACGAGTGATCTCAGCGTCTCGGGCAGTAATGCAACCAGTACGAGCAGAAACACGACAGCATAGATGGTCAAGAACCAAAAGATGGAACGCCAGCCTAGAGAATCGGCCAGAGCGCCACCAATCAGAGGTCCGAAAGCTACTGGCAGCAGGAGGCCAGCCTGGAAGTATCCCATGTATCCTCCTCTTTCTTCTCTGGTCGTAATGTCACCGACTACTCCAGCACCAATAGCGATAGTGCTCGCGCTGCCAGTACTCTGCAAGCATCGTAGCACTAGCAGTTGGGCATAGCTCTTGGTTTCTGCTAAGCCAATGCCAGGCTGACATCTTGTATACTGAGATTTCTGCAAGCCTGATGTGTTGATTTGCAATACCCTCCTCTCTCAACAACTGTGCTGACTGTACCCTTATCTTTAGATGGTTCATAAGGAAAAACGACCCTGAGCTGTGGGAATGCATTTCATGCTTCGCTGCCTCAAAGGTATCCGACGTTATACCCATCGAAGGACAAGAGAGATTCTATAATGGTAGATATCTTGCCTACGAGCGCGTGGAGGAGGAAACAGCCCTCGGAACAAACAACGAAGCAGAGGTCAACGAGAAAAATGACGACACGAGAGACAACTGAGCAAGTCTCCCGAGAATGAGAAAGCGAGAAAGAACAACCACATGCTACGAAAGTTACGCGGTCGCGCCAACCACGTCTGTGCACGGCGGCAGACAAGTCAGAAACTCACCAGTGAAACATCAACCTCTTTAAAGACAGGTCAAAAGACGAATCAAGCTTCATTGAATTATACATGTTCAAACGCTCAAAACGAGCCCAGCAACTTCGACTCTTGCACGTCCGCACTGACTTGCTTTCATGACATTTTCTGCTGACGAGAACTTTGTCAACTGATTTCTAGCACTTCCCATAAGACATCGGCAGGTGCTCCTTTGCGAGATAAGGTACCACAACGTAGTAAAACTGGACCCGACTACATCAAGTCTACTCAAGATACTCGCCAATCAAAGCCAAATTCTCAATCGCCGCCAATCCATACTGACCCACATCATTCGTACTCACCCAAGCCGCCTCATCGACAGGGAACAATACTTTACTTCCATCAATCCGCTCACTCTTCCAAGGCGCGTCTGGCTTGAATCCATCGGTACTGTAGAATTCGCTCCAAGCACGTGCGGCTAAGGTGGCGTTGCCGAGCTTGTTCGCAGCATATGCTGTCAAGCGCGAGTGTCCTTGGTATAGATTGAGCTTGCCAAATGCCTTGCCATATCGAGCTTGTTGCTCTGCTTGTGTGGCGCTGAAATAGTAGCAGTAGTCCAGCCATGCTTTTTCGAAGTCTGCTGGGAAGTCATCGCCGAAGTGCGTTGTGAGCTCTGCAATCACCTCGACAAGTCCAAAGACAGCCGTCAGATGCGATACACCGACCACACCTTGGTTATTGGGATCTTGAGAGGGAGGACGGATGGTGCCGTTGTAGAGGTTGTACAGTGCTTCTCCGGTCACGAAGCCGTTCTTCAGGTTCGCGATGCCTTTCATGGTCTCGAGCAGCTTCGACTTGGCCTCTTGCCAGCGAGGACCTCGGCGCTCCCACTCGATCAGCCAGGCGGCCGCTTGACCAGACCAGTCTAGACCGACGTCGATGAGAATGGCTTCAGGATCTGCAACGTATGTGATGTTGGCTGCCCTCACTTTTCTCCTCGGGTCCACAACCAGAAAAGCCTTCTCGGCGTCTAGGATCTCGGTGAGAAGCTTACCAACTCGCTCATCGCCACCAGTCAGGTAGTAGAATACTTTGCGGTACTGCGATTGAGAGATACGGATTTGCTTGGACGAGTCCGACCAATGAAGTACACCGTGTCTTGTACCCAAGCCCTTCCAAGGCCCAAGGTGATAGACGTCAGTCTCACCCGTATGCCTAGTGTGGGCTTCAGCAAAACGATAGAGATCGGCCTGTCCAGTGCGAAGGAATTGGCCCCAGAAAAATAGGTTAGGACTGAGTTCAGAATTGTCCCAGGCATACCCTCCAACATCGTAACGCCATTCATGACGATCGACATCATAGGTGTGCATGACGTCGCCATGATCCCAGAAGCCGTACCATTTGCGCTGGGAGACTTGACCTCGGTAGAACTCCGTAAGGAAGTTGAGATGGTCTTCGATGGTCTGAGCCGATTCGCTACTGTTCTCAGGACGCTGCCAGTACGTCCCAAGCGCTTCTGACTGGGCAATGTGGTTGCGATCTGCGATGAGGACAGGCGGAGCCTTGATGTAATCTGTCAATGTTGCAAGAGTGTCAGACTCAGGCGTGCTATCGAAGCCAAAAAGAAACAGCTCGCTTGTCTTTGCGATACCATAAGGAGAGTCGTAACCTCCCTCCCAGTCCTCGTAGGTAATCTCGAGGGCATCGAGCTGATCTGCATAGGTCTTTTGACCTAGCCCGTCGTGGAAAGGTCGAGTGTCTAACGGTTGAGCCGAAGGACTGTACAGCCAGACAGTGATGGCACCAGTGTCCGTGGTAGCGTTTGAGATATCTAGCTGGGAGGGATACTGCTTCCAGAAGTCTTTAAGACCGACTGCAAGACCACCTTTTGTGGCTCCTCCTAGATAAGCAAGACCACCAGCACGCGTACTACCTGGGATGTTGATCCACGATTGACCGGCTTGTGTACGCTTCTTCAGCGTGAAGCCATCCGATGACAGCTGAGTCAAGGCATAATCATTCCAAGTAGGGATCCACTTCAGTCTGGAAGAGACTCGTGTATCCCAAGTCTCGAGTGCAGGAGTTTTCTTGCCTTGATACTGCGCCGTGCGTACTTCTTGTCCTGGATCTCTTCTAAGGCCTGTGATGCCTTGTACAGCTTCATTGAGGATACCGCCATCAACGCCAGCGATACGAATGTGACGATTGTAGAATTCGTCTGCAAGAGGGACATCGAAGCGAAGGCCAATACCACGCACGAAATCGGTCGCAGGTACGCCGTCATAGATGAGAGAATGAACAATCCTGATCGACTCGGAGTTGGCGTAGAGATAAAAGCGGATGACGAATGGGAGCCAGTCTTTGTGAGCGGGACTAGACGAGTCGCCAGCATCGATCTGCCGATGATCGCCACGCATAGTGACCAAAGCACGAGCAATGTTGTTCTTGGAGACGGTGACATTGTCAATCTTGCTCTCAAAGTTGAAGTAGTCGATAACAGGTTGGCCTTGTCTATCCTCGTCGTCGAAAACAGAAGATTGAGATCGAAGGATAAGTTTGCCATTTTGTCCCACAATTTGTCCCTTCGAGGTCTTGATCTCTTTGAGAAGAACACTGCCAGTCTTTCCAAAAGTAGCAGTGATCTTTCCTGTACTGATTTCAATAGCATCAGAGCTCTCCTTAACAGTCAGCTTGGTGGGGGGAGAAGATCTGGTTGTCGAGTTCTTGGCGCCGGCGTGGACAGTATACCCATCTTCCGCAGCACTAGCTGTAATAGCATGTGCAGTCCACTTGACTGACGAGTCTGCCCAATATCCAGTAATCCAAGATTCAGAAGCAACCGACTCGCCATTGTCAGAAGAAACTGTAAAGACTGTATCATTGGCCTGGTATCTGCCTCGTGGCCATGGCACTCCGAAAGTTGTGCCTGGATTGTAGGCAGGCTTTGGGTCCAGCCATTGAACCTTTACGCTCCCATCTTTGGAAGGTGTTGAGTTGCTGTACAATTGGGCTGTCGCTTGAGAGCACATGCCAAGCAGTGCAACCAGGGAGTGTGCTAGAGAAGACATGCTTCAACGAAGCGCGATGAGTTGGAAGGTCCCGGGCGAGATACAAAGTCACCCACCTTAGGAAAGAGACACATTTATGGTCATATATGCAAAGCGAAGTCGACATCACTGCTGCCATCACGCAAGGCCATGGCGTGCTACACTGCAAATTACGGCTTGATGATCAACCGACCACCGAAGCAATTCTTCCATTTCTGCACGCTTTGAGGCCTGCTCCGGTGGGGTGACATCATAAGAGTACGGCGATCAACCACCTACAGTATTCTGAGGGCAGAAGTGAAGATGGTATGAAGCAGTCGAAGCCGCACGCCAAGCGCCCAAGAGGAGGGGTTGTGGTTTAGCGAGCTGCAGTCGGGCAGAGATGTCCCTTCTCCCTTCTCCCTACATGCTCGATGTAATTCTTGTTCTCAATCTCGTGTGTAGTCATGCAGCAGCGACGCTGGAACAATCATCGGATCAGCGAGCGAGCTTTATTGATGCTGCATCCCTGGCCGCGGCATCTGCCAGCAAAGACTTCTATTTGCTACTTGTAGGCTCGGAGCAGACAATCCTAGGATATTTCAAGACTCAATGGTACCAGTTTGAAACGGTAGATCTAGAAGACATGCAGACGTTGTCGTCGTTGACCTGTCTTAGCAGATGGAACACCAGGATCGGACAGACAGGAAAGAAGCTCCATGTTTGAGTCGGCCGCTATGTTTCTGCTGCAACTCACAAAGAGAAGCATCCGGAGCAAACAGCCACGTTTCGACGACGCCTGAACAGAAGCTTCCGGACCAAGTGTACTCAATTATATAGCACTTTCACTTCCTGGCCATGTATGTGGTGCAAATCGACCAGGAGGAAATTCGGCACCACAACAACAGCAACCATGGGTCTCAAAATGTGACCTCTTCAGAGCGATAGCAATCCTGCCTTGACCACTCAGGCTGCCGAGCCAGCAACTCCTGAAGCTCACTATCCAGAAGCACCAATCGTCGCCATTCGTTGGTCTACCCCTTCAAATTCCCCTGGTGGTAGATTCTGGCATCTCGAAGTCCTTACGTTCCATCTACACGAGCGCATCTTTGACCGCAAGACCTCTGATCATGACAAGGCCCATTGGACCCAGGACGTCGGCCATCACCTAGACATCGATGCCATTTGTGCATCTGTAAGTTCACTACCGGGAGTCCAGGTAATTTATATCTGACGTGAGTGTGGCAGTTCAACTTACAGAGCGGTCACAGGGTCTTCGTGACCACCTCAACCCACTACCCTGCGCGTTTCGATGAGAACGATATGAATGTGAGTCGGCTCGTTTTCAACACCAGTGCTCTGACCTTATTTGCTGACGTTACCAGCGTCCGGATCCTTCAAATAGATGATACACCTTCGTCCAAAACTTTCCAGAGCCTACATCATCAGTAACAACTGCATCAACATGGAAACCTTGAATATCGCTCTGCACAGTCTCATACCGGTGGCGTACATAGGAACTCGTGCAATTCTTCCACCGCTACCCCATCAGCAGAGTCGACCTTCCCAATAAACATTTGAATCTCGTTTGGAACACTAGACTTGTCGTTCCTACAGTCTTGGCTTGGATGCTGACATCTCCCTCCGATGATGTGTTCTCGAGGTCGTCTCAAGCAGTCATAGACATTGATTGCTAGCGATCAAACTTTTTTTTATCGCAACAAATATTGGCTCTGCCATTTGACTCTACTATGTCTCAAGTGCAGTATCCTTGATGTGTCTCATGCCGCTAGGGACTGCTCGGCGATAGCTGTGAGAACGGACAATTTCTGTGAAGAACGATGGTATGCCGAGGAGCGAGAAAAATCGACTTATACGTAAACGTCAGAGTTCAGGAGACTGAATAGATGTATGGTGATAGCGGGATCTGCAGCTGTGTGGTCTGCAGAAGTGACCAACTAGGTCAACCTGATGTAGCAGCGTTCGGGGCTCGATTCTCACATCGTTTGATGGCGACAAATCTGCTTCTAGACACGCTGCGCGAATTCGAAATATTCAATCATATCGAGCTTGCAGGACTAACGCTCTTACTAAGAAAGTCCCAACACATAAATATTACTGTGCATGTTGATAGGATTATTCAATGGCTTGCAACAGCAAAGACTCATATACGCTTGAACCTGCCCTTTTCGCGCGCGGCCGAGCTTATTTTATCACCGCAGTGGGGTAATCCAAACATGCTCATTGGTCACTCACCCCGGCAATCACGGCGACGGGCTACGTGCGGAGAGGGCAGGAACAAGAGATGGCATTACGAAAGAAGATACGATATAGAGCCGTGCTAGACTGACATGGGGAAAGGCTTGGTTTACCGTTAGCTAAGGACAGGTGGGAAAGGGTACCAGTCCTCGGTGTACACTTGCACCTGATATCGGTTTTTAGTTGTGTATCTCTGAAATTTTCTGGGGGTCCAGATTAGCCAGGTTTGGGCGTTGTGGATGACCAGCGGGAGCTTTGATGATTCGTCAATGACGATCCGCGGTGTTTGGCTCCTGCTGTCTGGTTTTCTACATAAACGTGTTGGCCCCGTGGTCTTCTAGAGTCTTCTCTTTTGGCTCTGTTGTTTCACTCTTCTACACAACAATTCACCCGTCAACAGAAGGTCAACCATATCCACAATGAGTGTCAGCAAATTGGCAGAGTTTGGCGCGAAGCACGTCGCCCGTGGAGTTGGTCGTCTCTCCAACCATGTTCTCGAGAGCGGCGCTGGCAGCTATGTGACGACCACTGAAGGTCGCAAGATGCTAGACTTTACCAGTGGTATCGGAGTCACCAACTTGGGTCACTGTCATCCCAAGGTGACAAAGGCAGCACAAGAGCAAGTTGGCAAGCTCGTTCACGGACAAGTGAACATTGCCTTCCAAAAGCCTTATCTGGAGCTTGTGGAGCAGCTGCTTCCCGTCATGCCGCACAAATCTCTCGACACATTCTTCTTCTGGAACTCAGGAGCTGAGGCTGTTGAAGCCGCTGTAAAGTTGGCTAGACACGCAACTAAAAAACAAAACATTATCGTCATGCAAGGATCTTACCACGGACGCACGTTCGGCACAATGGCCATGACACGATCAAAAACCATCTACGGAGAAAACTACGCACCTTTGATGCCTGGTGTCTTCTCAGTACCATTCCCTTACTGCAAGCAATGTTCAATTTCGCACAGCACCGATGGCAAGTTCGGCTTTGAGAACTGCTGCATGGACCCCGTTCTTCAGCTCGAGCTGCTTTTGAAGCGTGAGACTGCTCCCTCAGACACAGCCGCCATCTTCATCGAGCCTGTTCTGGGCGAAGGCGGTTACGTTCCCCCACCTGCTGGCTACCTCGCCGCTCTCCGCAAGATCTGTGACAAGCACAACATTCTCCTAGTCTGTGACGAAGTCCAGTGCGGTTTCGGCAGAACCGGAAAGATGTTCGCTGTTGAGCACTGGGACGTCCGACCAGACATTCTGATCATGGCCAAGGGTATCGCCAACGGATTCCCTCTTTCAGCAATCGTCTCGCGCAAGGAGCTCATGGACAAGCAAGCCCCTGGAAGTATGGGTGGCACCTATGCCGGTAACGCAGTATCATGTGCCGCTGGTGTCGCAGTTGCCAAGGCATTCAAAGAGGAGAAGATTCTCGACAACGTCAACGTCCGCGGAGCAGAGCTCAAGGACGCTTTACTGGCAGCCAAGAAAGAGACAGGAGAGCTGATTTTCGATGTCCGTGGCCTTGGTCTCATGTTGGCACTCGAGTGTGCACCAGGCAAGGGTTATGCCTCCAAGATCCAGGCCAAGTGTATGGAGAAGGATATGCTTGTTCTCACCACATCAATCTACGACACCCTCCGCTTCATCCCTCCGTTGAACATCACCAAGGAGGACATGGCCAAGGGTATCAAGATCATCACCGATGCGATCAAGGAGGTCGCCGCTGGAGAGCAACCTCAGGAGACAGCGACCAAGGGTCAGGCTCCCGAGTAGCGGAATCATGATACCATGTACGATAGCAAAATCAAAGCTTCAATGACCAACCTTCTTCACCTGACTCCTGCAACATCTCGTTTCACATAAACAGACGCAGGAGGATTATTGAAGCTAAGACAAAACATATACTCCAAAAGTTAACTAGAGGGTATCAAACGCGACCAACCCAGACGCCTGAGCGTTCGTCCTTCTTATGTACCTCTTCTCAAACACACATTTCTCTCTGCGCCCTCACTTTGCAATCCCGCACTGCTGAGCCTGCTGAGCCTGCTGAGCCCCATCATCACCAACCTCAAAACTAAACGGTCTATTCTTGCCCATACTCACAGGTCTAGCAGGCAACGGCTTATTAGGACTAGAAGTGACCTGCGTTCCCATAGATGCAGCAGTAACAGGTCTCTTTCTGCCCCCACCAATCTTCAAGATCGCCGGAAGACTCTCCCTCTTTGTTTCCTTGGGAGTGACGGGCGATTCCTCAATAGGACTAACGGGACTCGAAAACAATGTCGAAGACACAGCAGCAGAAGGCGTGGGAGGCAAGAGTTTGAACTCCGGCACTGAATATGAGGGACGATGGTTTGTAGATGCTGCAGCAGGAGGATTGGACGTCAATGCTCTCCCTACTGGATTACTGACCTGACGTCTCGGCAATAGTGCAGGCGTCGCGATAGCAGAAAGTAGTCTTGAATTCCTTCTACTCGCACTACTCGAGATACTAGAATGCATACTGCTCACCGGACTGCGCGAAGATGCAGCAGCAACGGCGGGAGAAGGCGTCATACGAGGATCGTACAGCCATGCGCTTTCGGGGAAGGAGTTGTGCTCGTCCTTTATAGCTGCAGCGGTAGTGGATTTACGAGCTCTGTGGCGGCGATAAAGTGCGAAGAGGAGGAGGAAGAGAATCAAGGCGGCTGCGACAGCGCCGAAGGATATACCGGCGATCTCTTGGGAGGAGAGTTTGTGTGAGGTTGATTTGTTTACAGGCGTGGCGCTGGGATTTGAAGTGTTTGAGTCTGAAGTGGCTGTTGCAGTAGCGGTCGACGAGCGCGAGGAGGAGACGACGGTCGAGGAAGAAGAGATTAAAGTCGGGGACTGAGACTCGGAGGTGGTGGGAAGGACAAGATTCGAGCTTGGAATTGCGTTCGAGGTCGATGCAGTGGCGCTTGGTGATCCTGATGCAGTCAAGATGGACGTGATGCTGCTTGAGCTACTCATCGGCTCTGTACTGCTAGCAGGCGTCGACGTCGTACTGGGTACGGACGAAGCTATAGAACTTGAAGCCTCGGTCGTGCTCGGTACTACACTGCTGGTGGCAGGCGTGCTCTGCGCGTTTGTTTCTGAAACACTGCTTGCAGTTGGCTCCGATATAGTTTCTGATGCTGAGGAGATGGCTCTGTTGGCTGTAGACGAAGTCGAAGTCAACGGAGCCGCTGTAGAAGTAGAAGATGAAGAAGACGTCGATGCGTTGCTCGAAGGTGCTGCTGACACCACTTGTAGCCCGGTGTTCGAGGCTTCAGCTGCCACTCCAGGTATGATAGCTTGGCTAACAGCAACAGTCGCAGAGGTGAGCAGGAGAAGGGCAGTGGTCGTGCTCGAGACGGGCGATGAAGATGGTGATACAGAAGACGACGCGAAGGACGACGAAGATATCGAGGTATTGGTAGATCTGCTGCTCGTAGACTTCAAGGTAGACATGGTCGTAGGCACTGAGGTTACGGTGGCGGAAGAGCCGAAAGATGAGGTGACAATGGACGACAGAGACAAGCTCGATGTCGTCGAGGAGGTAGCATTACTCAGATTTGCGGTTGAGAGACTGCTTTTGGTAGATGCAGACAATGGTAAGTCTGCAGATATTGTTGTATACTCAATGATAGTGGTCAATGAGCTTATCGTAGATATTGCAAATGACGTTTCGTTAGGATTCGAAGATATCGTACTGAATAATGTCGATGTCGATATGATTGTAGTAAGTGTGGTAGTTTGGTTGTCTGAAGAAGATCTAGGGGAGAAGGTGGAATTTCGCCATGCTACAAGGGCATATAAGCATCGAGTGATCGCCTTTGTTCCTCAGAAGCCTTACTGTAAATCTCTTTGATGGCGGCGACTTGATGTAACTGAAGCCATACAAAGAGCCATAGCGTATTTCCAAGCCACATGATGGCACACCTAAAAGTTAAGAAATGAACACGAGCAATCGCGAAACAAAGGAAGAGGCAAAGAAAGAGATCATGGTCTTGAGTGACTTTTGCATGAAGACGACAGCATCATCTTGCAGACGTGTAGAAAGGCACAGCATAACCACGAGCAAGGTTAGTATGTGGTGCTATTTACTGCACTTGGGTGTTGGTTCGCAAATCGCCTGCAGAGTAGAGCTGGCTGTGCATTTGGGGCACAGCCGCTCTGGTAAATCCTTCGAGTTGGTTAGCCACACTGGAAGTCGCGCGACCTAATATTAGTTGCACAATGGCCATGTTCAACAACGAGACGTAAGCGTCTCTTGGTGGGTGACGTCCTATCATATGTTGTGTATCTTTTTGCGAGAACGAAACTTATCTGTAGCCCGCTAGCCTTGTCAGCCACGTGAGGTCCGAGAAGTACTTGATGACTTCAGCGATAGGTATAAGATCCATGGCCACCCTCTCGGTGGCCAACGGAGTCTCCTGCCTAAACCCTTGTGACGAGGTTTGAGCAGACAGCGAAGTCCTGCAGTCGCTGGACCGCTTGACCTTCCAATGCCTCGTGGGTGGTACCTGGAGGGTTATCTTATATGTTGGCCAGCATTTCTCTGCCTTACAAGCAAGGTGTGGTTCTCCTGAAGCCGGTAGCCTTGATCGGTCACCAAGACATCTCCAATCGCGTTTCGTCCTTTTGTTTCCTCACAAGGTATAGCAAGAGATAGTAATACATTCAGCGTAGAACATCTACTCGAGTACACATATCCAGGAAGTCGCCCGAACACGCGCGACGTTCAACATCAGTAATGTCTCCAGCATCGAAACCACAGCTGAACTTTTCGGTCTCGATGGTCGGCATATGGAAGTATTTGGAGGAAGGTAGGAGGACCTCCACAACTCGGAAGACCGAGACAAGAGCGACGACTCGGATGGCCATCTCAGGCTCGGCACATTGCGCGGCTTCGTCTCGCAAGGTGGGGGAGCCGATGCTTCGATTGTTTTATTTTGGGCGCGCCAAACGATTGAACAATCCCCCAACGAAACATGGAAGTGTTCATGATTTGGGCGAGTACTGTGCTCTGGATGCATTTCTTGTAGTGGAATATGAGATAGAATCACAAGATCTATGCTGGGTCGATACTGATGTCTCCGAGGAGTTTGGTTCTACTGCATGAACAATGAAACAGTGAAATCGATCAGAACAAAAGTCAGGCCCTCCTCAGATTTTCCGCGGGCGTGTCTGCGTTATCTTTGTTGGCGGCTCTAGCAGTGCCGGATTCAGTGCTGGACTTCGTTTATTATACTACCAAGCCCTGTGCTACAGATCTGGCTTGACGAGACAGCGGTTGAATTGAATAGTCGCGGCTAAACAGCATATCACGGTAAGTCGAAGATGACCCGGAAGGCTGGTAAAGTCAAAGCGATCATTTCTTCGGTGGACTGTTGCCCTGTCGCCCTGGCAGAATTCATACCAACGAATACTAGTCCATGACACTGTCTGGAACACAAACTGACGGCAGATTCTATAACGAAATCACGGCGAACGACTTACAGGCACGTCAGTGTCCACGACTGTGAGGCTCACACTCGTGGGTGTTGTAATATTATGGAGATATCACGGTACTGCAAGCGTCAGACGGGTTTCTCTTGGATCAGTTCATTGTTCGGAAAGATGCCACTCGCCGGTAGAAAGCACATCATGCAGACCCAAAACGCCCTCGCTAAAAATTATGTTTCAACGCAACAAGATGAGAGCGCGCCAGATTTATCCAAGCAGCTGCAGATATAAATCAGCAACGAATCTAGACAAGTTCGGGGGATTGTTACTAACCTTGAACTGACCACCGCCGGGGGCCTTGGTCTGCTTTTTCTGGATTCCAGCGCCGGTGTTCGCTCCGAGTGGACCCTTATCTTCCTTGACCTTGTCTTTGTTGTTCTTGTTCTTGTTATTCTTATTGTACTTGTTGTTGTTGTTGTTGTCCTTCTTGACGACGGTCTTGATCTCGGTCTCCGCGCGCTTGATCAGAACTGGATGACTGCCGATATATTTGCCCTGCATCTCTTTTGCGGCCTGGAAGAACTCATCGGTGTTGGCCAGACTGACAAAGCCAAAGCCCTTGCTCTTGGTAGTGCGCTTGTCACGGATGACACGAGCCTTTTGGACGGATGGATATTTGGCAAATGCTTTGAGCAAGGACTCGTCAGTCACCTCACCTGCGAGGTTACCAACGAACAAACGCGGATGGTCACCCCATTCGAGAAGGGTAGGATCTTCCCACTTCTGCCCACCTCCTTCGCGCAGCACGGTCTTCTGCTTGCCGGATGTATCGACAGGCGCCACAGGCCCGGCAGAGACAGTGGATGTAGAGGGCTGAGCTCTGTTGACACCGAGTGGGATGTTGTTTGCGTTGCCTACCGTTGCACCTTTGTTTGCTGCCTTTGAAGGATCGTCTTTGTTTGTGTACGCGCTCTGCCACTGCTGGATCTGCGCCTCAAGCTCGGGATCGTAGCTGCCATTACCATAGAGAGAGCCTTGGCCTGCTGCTGGAGGAGGTGCGAAGGGGTTCTTGATCTGAGGTGGGGTGTCGGCGTATTGCGGTTGCGCAGGATAAGCAGCAGCGCCAGGGTAGGACGCGCCGGCGTAGTATGATTGAGCGGCAGGTGCTGCTGGTGCCGAAGAGTATGTAGGAGGGTAGTATGACTGTGAAGCTGGAGCTGCCGAGTACTGAGCAGGATAGCTCATGTTTGTTGCAGCGTATGGTGCTGGGGCAGCAGAGACAGGCGCGGCAACATTGCGCGGCTTGAAACCACTGAAGGCGGCAACATTTCGTGCGGGCTGAGATACGGCGGACGGCGGAGGCCTGGCCGGAAGGTTTGCTGGAGGTTGCGGCGTGGAGCGAGCAGAGTTGGACTGGCTGGTGGAATGTCCTTGAGTTGGGTGCGACATGATGAACAAGGGTATGCCTACGTTGAAGTTTTTTTCTTCCTTGCCTCACAAATCGTGCACTAAGTTGCGTCGAACGTTGCTTTCGATCAGGTCGTTATGCGCGGAGCTATTCGATGCAAGCGAAGATGGCGGTATGTCTTAGCAAATCGAAGTACGAGTCTTGACAAAACTTCCGTGCTCTCCGGATAGGCAAGGCGTGCAAAGCGAGGAGATAGAAAATAAGTCCGGGGTCCCGGTCGGCTAGATCGAAACGCGCAAGACGCGAAGAAGCTGATGGAAGCCGAAGCACGATGTGCAAATGGTCCGTCGGAAAATTACCCGCGTAGAGTGGCTAGCTAGAGACCGAATCGCAGCGAGAAAGAGGCTGAACGGATACAGTGATGGTGGATGGGAATGTTGCCCCGTCGGCGTTTGATTTGGCAGTGACTACTCTCTCAGGCAGATGCTGTTTGAGAATGGCAGCTTCCTGCGACGAGACGGTGAGCACAGACGCAAGGCATTCGCGGGAAGTGACGTCTAGCGTAGTCCTGGGGGCAGGTTGAGCAAGAACGATCGGTAAACAGCCGTCATCGGCGTTCCATCGGGAAGGTACTCATCCAAATTGGCGTCGGCGTTGGTCGGTTGTGGGAAGGAGGGGGATATGGGCGAGCAAGAAGCGCGCCGAGACAGGCAGCTACCCATTTAGAAAAACCACCAGTGTCGAAAGATTGACAGAACTCACGAGTTCCTGCACAGCTGCATCAAACTCAGGCCTCACGCCGGAACACCAGATAGTAGGTACAAACTGTCGTTCGGGGCTGCTGCGGCATCGAGAGACGCTGACAGAGCATGTAATGTTTAGCACACTTTAGGGTCAATGCCACCTTGGCCCCTCCGCGTTAGTAACTCCGAAAGGTGTTGGGCTGCTTTTTCAACACCTCCGGCCGCATCGTCTCTCTCCCTCACACAAATCTCCACTGACACTGCGTCTTCTTTAAAAGCCTCAAGCCGCCCGGAGACTTCTTAGCCTCTCTTCCCAACTCAATCACTCCATCTCTACCACAATGTCTTCCGAAACTGCTGTGTAAGTCAACGTCCCCCAAGCATCTATCCCATCCTGCCCCACCATCCCACCAAAACATTTCTTCCGCTCCATTCCGTCAGCGGTATACAACAACATCATCATGTTGTTGCCACTCATCAATGCCATTCCAAGCAAAGCTCCATCAACGAGACAGCTTCACCAATTTTAGCTGTAGCTGTAGCTGACATGCCTTTTTCTGTAGCGGAGACTTCGGTCTCATCGGTCTGGCCGTCATGGGTCAGAACCTGATCCTCAACGCTGCCGACCACGGCTTCACTGTTGTTGCCTTCAACCGCACTGTCTCCAAGGTCGACCGTTTCCTCGAGAACGAGGCCAAGGGCAAGTCGATTGTTGGTGCTCACTCCATCAAGGAGTTCTGCTCCAAGCTCAAGAAGCCCCGCCGTATGATGATGCTCGTCATGGCCGGCAAGCCCGTCGACGACTTCATTGAGCTCCTGCTGAACGAGGGTGGCATCGAAGAGGGTGATATCATCATTGACGGTGGTAACTCTCACTACCCCGATACCAACCGCCGCACTCAGTACCTCGCCGCCAAGGGTATCCGCTTCGTCGGTACCGGTGTCTCCGGTGGTGAGGAGGGTGCCCGTTACGGTCCCTCGATCATGCCCGGTGGTAACGCCGAGGCCTGGCCTTACATCAAGGATGTCCTCCAGGGCATCTCCGCCAAGTCTGACGGCGAGGCCTGCTGCCAGTGGGTTGGTGACGAGGGTGCTGGTCACTACGTCAAGATGGTTCACAACGGTATCGAGTACGGTGACATGCAGCTCATTTGCGAGGTAAGACATGGATTTGAAGCCTGTGATATGTTTGCAACTTTCTGACTCTTTTCAGGCCTACGACATCATGAAGCGTGGTCTTGGTCTCTCCAACAAGGAGATGGGTGATATCTTCTCCCAGTGGAACAAGGGTGTCCTTGACTCCTTCCTTATCGAGATTACTCGTGACATTCTTTACTTCAACGACGAGGACGGTTCGCCTCTTCTCGAGAAGATCATGGACTCTGCTGGCCAGAAGGGTACCGGCAAGTGGACCGCCATCAACGCTCTTGACCTCGGCATGCCCGTCACCCTTATCGGCGAGTCTGTCTTCTCCCGCTGCCTGTCTTCCCTCAAGCAGGAGCGTGGCCGTGCCTCCAAGCTCCTCTCCGGCCCCACCCCCAACTTCACCGGTGACAAGCAGAAGTTCATCGACGACCTTGAGCAGGCCCTTTACGCCTCCAAGATTATCTCATACGCCCAGGGCTTCATGCTCATGCAGAACGTGAGTAAAAGATCACTTGGTGATAGAAAACAAAGCTAACACGTATCAACAGGCCGCCAAAGAGTACAAGTGGAAGCTCAACAAGCCCGAGATTGCCCTCATGTGGCGCGGTGGCTGCATCATCCGCTCCGTCTTCCTCAAGGACATCACCACTGCCTACCGCAACAACCCCGAGCTCGAGAACCTTCTCTTCGACGACTTCTTCAACAAGGCCATCCACAACGCACAGGAGGGCTGGAGAAACGTTGTCGCCAAGGGTGCCCTCTGGGGTCTTCCTACTCCCTGCTTCAGCACCGCCCTGTCCTTCTACGACGGTTACCGTGCCGAGAACCTCCCCGCCAACCTCCTCCAGGCCCAGCGTGACTACTTCGGTGCCCACACTTTCAAGATCAAGCCTGAGTTCGCCAACGAGAAGTACCCCGAGGGCAAGGACATCCACGTCAACTGGACCGGCCGCGGTGGTAACGTTTCGGCCTCTACCTACAACGCTTAAGCGAAGATACGATGAGACGAAGGAAGAAGAATGTCTGCTGCAGAGATACAGATGGGCCATACCAATAAAGGCACCGGTCTCTTGCTATGCGTAGTGCAATGAAAGATAACCCCAATAGTCATGAACAAGCAATTTCTTTTACAGTTAAAAATGATACACCCTTTCCTACGGAATTTCCTATTATCGAGCCAGTTATTACATGTGTTGGTGTCTCTGATGTGACACGAGCGTTGGGGCTGGCGATTGTGGCATGTCAGGCGTGAATGCGGGTGGGATGCTGGACTCTAGGTCTTCGACAAGGCAAGAGTGCAGGACGTTCCTTCCAACGCGGTGTCTCCTTCTCTTCTCCAGTCACTCTTTTGGCCGTTTAACTAATTGATTGTCAAAGTGCCGAAGCCAGTGACCTTGACGGCGCAAGTGAGATTAACGCCGGAGCGCAGTCGGTGACGAAACGTCCAACAACAGTGGGGTGTCTACCACCATTCACTTGACACCATGGCCGACGTCAAGCGCAACCCAGGCAAGGCCGGCGCTACACAGCCTGGTGCTTCGGAAGTGCAGGATATCAATGACACCATCACGTCTGCTATTGGCGCTCGGTAAGTCGCATGAAGCCCTCCTGCTTGTATAATCCGAATGCTAATCCGAGCCCAACCATAGTGTCAAACTCACGACCGTCGCGCCTCATTCACAAACCCTTCAAGGCACACTATACACTGTGTGTCCTGTTCGCAATGCTGTCGCCTTAAACACCGCTCCCGCTCCGCCAAACCCTTCTTCTACCCTGGCCAACCATCCTGGCAACTACCACATCATCCCTATCAGGCACATTCAGTCCTTCGAGCTCATCTCTCTCGATGCTGATGCGGCGAAACAGCCCGTCGGTACCATCGACATGAAGAAGTTGCGCGACCGCGAGGAGGCCGCGATTAGGAAATTGCAGGAGCAGGAAGCCAACAAGGGCAAGGGTGTCACTCGTGAAGCACAACAGATCTTTGATGCCTTGAAGCGACTGTACGTTCCCATCTCATTACACTCATACGCATAGGACACTGCTAACAGACTGCGATACGTCAGTCTTCCTACTCGCTGGCACGAGCAACAGATTGTCGTCAGTGATTCTGTGATTATTAGTCCGCCATACACTGCCAACGACTGCGAAGCTCCCAAGGGCAAGGACCAGGCCCTCGATAGAATTAGGATGATCTTGAACGGCGAGAGGGACAAAATTGCCAGACGCGCTGCTCAGGAAGGCACATCACCCGCTGGTAACCCAAGAAAGGGAGGTTGAGAAACACCTGCCCGGCCGTCAAGAGAATGAGACCATCAAGCATTACTACTTAGAGCATGTGAAGGAGACTATTTCGAAGATGATGCGAAGAGCATTGGTCTCGAGTGTGTTACGCAGGCAGACATACATGCCTATACCATACATCATCAAGGCGTAGAGCAACATATAGCCAAAAATGGTTACCTATATGGAAAAGCAAGCCCGTAAGACTGACTCACAAAATGCCTGACTCTGACCCTGTCTGCTCTCTGTCTTAATCTTCCTTACTGTAATGTTTCCTGGCTTGATGACCTTCCTGGCTTGATGACCTTCCTGGCTTGATGACCTTCCTGGCTTGATGACCTTCCTGGCTTGATGACCTTCCTGGCTTNTTCCTGGCTTGATGACCTTCCTGGCTTGATGACCTTCCTGGCTTGATGACCTTCCTGGCTTGATGACCTTCCTGGCTTGATGACCTTCCTGGCTTGATGACCTTCATCTCTCACGTCTTGACCGATTCATGTTTCGACAAGCAAGTACAAGAGCTGGTGCTCTAATGCAGTATTTCCCCTCCTCGTAAAATTCCGTTGCTCTGTATGTGCTTAGACGCAGTACTCCTTTCATGTCATCCTGATACTTGCTCCAAGATCATGTTCCTATTGCACCTTCCCCAACATTGATGGTCAATGCACAAATCATTTATGCTCCAGTTTATGCAGGCTTCAGTTACACCCCCTGAACACGAGAAAAAAGCGCCGAAACAAAAGGATCTTTGTCCCATCCTCAACGACCACGAACAAAAGCAAAGCATGCCTCCTAACGGAGTCGAACCGGTGACCTCGGCATTACTAGTGCCGCGCTCTACCAACTGAGCTAAAGAGGCTTTGTTGATGTTCGATGCCGTCAGCACCATGTCATACAGCTGCCGTCAAGTCAGACCAGTTTACTGCAAATCAGGCACAAAACCCTCCCCTTCCCTCCCTTGCACCACCATATCCTCTAAATCACACCCTTCCCTAGCAATCCTATAACACACACTATCCCTTACCCCCAACAGAGGACTCGTATAATCACCCTCCTGCACACCACCCCATCGTTTCCACCCACACCTCTGCAGAAGCTTTATACTCGCAACATTCTGCGTATCCACCAAAGCTTCTGCGAATTTCTGCTCCTCAGGCATAATAGCAAAGAGTGCAGGTACAAAGGCTAGAAGAGCTTCTGTAGCGTAACCTTTGCCAGAATAGAGGGGAGAAAACAAATACCCGATTTCGGGGTACGAGGGGCTGCCTAGGATGCCGATGAGGGGGCTTGAGGTGGCAGGGGTGGATGTTTTTAGGCAGACTGCGAAGTTGTAGATGGAGGGGCCCGAGATGCGTTCGGAGAGGTAGGTTGATGCTTGGTGGGGTTCTGTTAGAGGCGCTCGGGTGCTGCGGCTAATTAGAGAGGGAAAAAATAATAGATGATGGGGGAGATAGGTTTACGTGTGTTGCATCACAGCAGGGAGGGACATGAATTCATACAGCGCATCTGAGTCGGAAGGCTGCAGTTGGCGAAGAATCAGGCGCTCCGTGATGATCGGGTCTTGTGTTTGTGTTGCCATTTTAGCCGAAGTTTGGTATATAGATCCAAGGCGAATGAATGTTCCTCGGTGGAAGTTCTGTTTGCAGTTTGTGTTGGCCATTGACTTTATATATTTGTTCTTTGGTTGAGTCATACAATCAATGTCTGCGGGCTCACCCTGTCTCTTCACAGCACCCCTCAATTTCTCCCGCAACGTCTCTCGAGTCCCCTTCTCCTATCGATATATACATTTCATCAGCAAGCCCAAGTACTAATAACACCGAAGTTCCATGGCATCTCTGGGCTCGACAGAACATCTGCCTCTATGATCATGAGCGACAATGCCGTCTCCGCCTCGGCTAAAGGAGCCTCCTTCCTCATCCTCCTCCAGATCGGCTCCCGCGCTCTCACTTTCGCCTTGAATCAAATCCTCCTCCGTTTCCTGTCTCCAGAGCTTTTGGGCGTCAATGTACAGCTAGAGTTATATTGTATCTCCGTCCTCTACTTTTCTCGCGAAAGCATTCGTGTGGCTTTGCAAAGACGAGCAGATGGCACTCAAGCTGTTATTAATATGTCCTATCTCGCCATTGCTTGCGGAATACCCATCAGCTATGCACTCGCAGAACTCTACCTCCAGACTGAGGTACCTAAAGTGCCGTTTTTGGTGCACAGTTTACGGGTCTATGGAGTTGCTGCTATGGTGGAATTGTTTGCTGAGCCGAGCTTTGTGGCAGCGCAGCAGAAGATGCTGTATAAAGTGAGAGCGACTGCTGAAGCTGTTGCCACAGTGATGAAGACGTTTGTTACTGTTGGAATGGTGGTTTGGGCAAGTCGACAGCATACAGATCTCGGTGTGTTGCCTTTTGCGGTCGGGCAGTTGGCCTATGCTGGGTCACTGTTTGTGGTGTACACTGCGAGACTTGTCCTTGTAGCAAAGTCCGAGGGGTTCTCGTTACTTCTTCGCAGTATCAAGAGGTATGCTACCCCTTCAAGCTCTGGTTTTGACATGACAAGACTGACTTCCCCGCCACCAGTAAAACCGAAAAGTTCCTGTTCTCGCTGTTCTCGCAACCATTACTCAATCTCTCATTGAGTCTGACCATTCAATCCAGCATCAAATACGTGCTCACTCAAGGAGATTCTCTTCTCATCGCCTCTCTGGCTTCTCTCCAAGACCAAGGAGCCTACGCACTTTCCTCAAACTACGGTGGTTTAATCGCCCGCATGCTCTTCCAACCCATCGAAGAAGCCTCACGAAACCTCTTTGCCAAACTCTGCGCTCCCACTGCCACTAAGCCCCCAAGTCCGAAACAGCAACAAGACTCCATCACTGGCATAAAACAAGCAAATGCAACACTCACTTTGATCTTGAAAGCATACTCCCTCATCTCCCTGATTGCTTTTGCCGCCGGTCCCACAGTAGCGCCCGTCCTTCTCTCTCTGGTTGCAGGAAGTCGTTGGGCACATACCGGGGCTGGAGAAGTGTTGGCCTGTTATTGCTACTACATCCCTCTTCTCGCATTGAACGGCGTCTCTGAAGCCTTTGTGGCCGCTGTAGCGGATAACAAACAACTCTACACTCAATCCATCTGGATGGGCGGTTTCTTTGCCGCATTCGCCGGCTCTGCGTATTTGTTCCTCAGGGTCTTGGAAATGGGGGCAAAAGGATTGGTATGGGCTAATTGCGTGAATATGGGGTGTAGAATTTTGTTTAATTTGGCCTTTGTAAAAGAATTCTTTGCAAAGAGGGGAGAGGTATGTTTGCTTGCTATTGTGCATCTAGAAGCGCGTATAAGCTAATATGTTGCAGGCTTTCGAGGTCACAAAGATCTTGCCTTCGGGTTTCAGTATTGCGATTGCTGCTGTGGTACCTAGTATCTTTAAAGCCACTACTGGAGTCCTATCACGATATGGTGTAATCGGTGAGCTTGCTAGGATTGCTGCTATAAGTGGTGTATTTGTCATCGCATTAGCGATAGCAGAGCGTCGCTTTATCATGCACGTATATAGACAAATCAGACCATAAAAAGGTATATATAGAGACATGATGGGCTGGGAATCATGCTTTTATTTTGGGAAAGGCTAACTCACCTGATTGAATGCACAATCATCTTACACACCCTTGGTGCCCTTGAAAAAATGCACGAGTTTCTTCCAAGCTGCCTCGACCGCGAGACGAGTCTTGCTGCGACCCCTCTTCTTAGCCTCGTTGTAGCGCTCTAGGGCGCGAATTTGAGCGGCGGCAGTAGCAAATGTTTCGTCATCTGCAATTCTGGCAGCCGCGGCGGCACCAGCAGGGAGGGGGCGACCATTAGGTCCAGTACCGTTCACATGGGCCATGAAAGTAGCGTTGTCGGAGGTTGACATGTTTGGGTATAGAGTGACGGTGACCGGAGTGAGATCTTTAGGTAGGGGTAATGGAAGGCAGGGAAAAGGTTGTTCACGGTGGTGCATTTGATGTCGTCGATGAACAGGAGAGCGAAGGGGAGTTCGTGGTGGCCTCGTACGCGGAGGTGCAAGAGCCTGGTTCGCTTTGTCATCGTGGCTCGGCCACTGTATTGAGCGGTGCGGCTTGAGTGTGCGGCTTGGATGATGCTCTGCGTGTCGGCATCGTGTCGAGGACGTAACGATTAGCCGGGGAAAGACTTGTAATTAGCAACTTTCGAGGGGTCGAGGAGTCGTGGGTTCGGACAACCAGGAGTCATCGAGGAGTCGGGGGTCCGAATAGTCTGAAGTCATCGAGGAGTCGAGGGGCAAAGCAAAGAGCAAACACTTGTCGAGGATAGAGCTAGGCAACAGTCGAGGAAACGATTAGGTCAAGGTCACAGAGAAGGGCAAGCAATTATCGAGGACAGAGTCGGGCCGTAGTTGTAGACTAGGACGGCTGCCCATCGAGGAGAGGATTAGATAGTGGTTATAGAGAAGGATAGGTGACTATCGACGTGGACGACGGGCAACCATCGAGAAGAACAGCAGGTCTTCGTCGAGTGGACAATTTTACGCAGGGATCATAAAGCAGAACAAGCAGCCGTTAAGGAGCACAACAGGTGATCATCGAGGAGGACAACCGGCAGCCATCAAGCACAGGATTAAGCAGTGGTCAAGGAAAGGGACAGAACTTGTCGAGGAAAACAACCGGCAACCACCGAGGAGAACGACGGGTAACCATCAAGTGCAGAATTAAGTAGTGGTTGAGCAAAGAATTGAACATCCATTGAGGAGAACAATGGGCAGCCATCGAGCAGGGACCCGAGCGGTTGTTCGGAAGAAGAATGACGGGTAATCTTCGTGGAGAACAACGGATAACCATCGAGCTAAGGGTAGAGCTATTGTCGAGGAGCGATCGAGCAGTCATCGAGCAGAGGGTCAAGCAAATAGAAACTGTCGAGGATGGATTTGAGCAACCAGCAAACGTCGAGGGGTCGAATAATTCAGCAATGGAGAGGCAAACATCGAAGAGAGAGAGAGTCGAGTCATCGCAGAGCAAAAGACCAAGCAACTAGCAACTGTCGATGCAAGAGTCGAGAGAAGTGGCAGGTTACCGTCGAGAACGATATAACAACGTCGAACAGAGAACCGTGAAATAGGAGGTCGGATCATCGAGGCTAGGATGGAAGCGGTCTCTTTACAGTGGCTGGTCAAGGGTTCATATACTAGCCAGTTTCTGTTTATTATACTCCTCCCTTGTGACCGACTTCGGCACTTTAGTGTAGTTGTCAAAGATCCTGCCAGCAGAAATGCCGAGGGGACTCGTTCAACATGGCAGAGTCACTTGGGAGGGAGTGGGTTCAATCCTCCGACTCGACAAGTTCTTTACTAACTGGACCTGGCCTCGGCAGACGAACTGGGCCGATTGAACCTGAATTTCGGACGCGCCAACTCAAAGAGCAAAATCGGCCAACCGGCTGGTTTCGTCTCTCTACCTAGACCGGCGGGTAGAATTCTGTTTTGCCAAATTGTCGTAGGGATTGTGCTTGTCGTGTTGTGACCTCCAGCATAAGAGATTGGTGAAACATGGCGGAAGGACTCTTCACCAGAATATTGAACAGCGGACTGCGATGGTTCAATCAGACGCAAACAGGCATGATTGATCAAGAAAATGATGGAGGAATATTCTCAGCGTGCTTGCGATTTTTCTAGTCACTGTATAACCAGTCCGGCTCAGCATCGTCATCTTCCGGATCATGTGATAACAACGAACCATGATCGTCTTCATCGCCTTCGTCTTGCTTATGAGCAGCGCCTGTTGGGTCTTCTGTCGGCAGAGCTATGGTCCCTAGCTCCATCTCGTCGGGATCAAAGGAGTCTTCTGCTTTATCAGGGTCGAAGATGTCTTCGCCCCGCTTCTCCGTGACGAGTCCTGCATCATGATCTTCGGTGACCGTTCGCGAACTTTCTTCTGCTTCGGGCAAGAGACCTCCTCCTGAATCATTCTTGTCGACTTCAGGCATGAAACCGCCGCCCAACTCGATTGCGGCATGGTCTTGTTGTGATATGAGGTCGCCTCCAGAGTAATTTGCACTCTCATTCTCTGTAGGCTCAGCCATGAAACCGCCGCCAAACTCGTGAGCCGACTCGGTGTCAACATCGTCGACCATGAAACCACCGCCTGTCTCATCAACTTCTTCATTATCATTGTGCTCAGTCATGAACCCACCGCCAAGATCGGCTGCATCAACCTCTGGCAGGGGATAGCCATCCTTGTGTAAACTTTCGTCAGTCTCATCTGGCATGAAGCCACCACCGTTTCCGGCGTCAGGATTGTAGTGCTCGTCATCAGAAACAGGCGGACTCTCACTCAGCATACGACGACGTCTTACAGGTGGCTTTCGGGGCGACGGGATATATCCTTCCTCGCTCGACTCGTCACTCTCAGGATCGCCCTCGACAATCACCTTTCTCTGTCTCCTGACTCGTGGTGCCCTTTCAGCAATATCGCTACCACGTTGAGATTCTGGAGACTCAAACGCACTGTAACGATGAGCAGTCGGTGCAGTGATCTCACCTGCGTCAGGGAAGAAACCGCCAGCCTCGATTGGTTCATCTGGCACCTTTTCTGCTTCGTCCATCTTCGCTCTGATTGCCTCCGGCTTGACGGGTTTAGGCCCGGTGGTAGTGTACTCGCTGAGTCTTTCCTTGATCCGTAGGCCGGCCAAGAAACGTCGCCAGAGCTTCAAGCACTCCAAGCTGTACAGTCGCGCTTCTTCGTTCTCCTGTTCGTGTTGGAAGCCTTCGATGACAGCCTCGACGGCCTCACGGTACTCTTCCGCGACAACTACACCAGATGTGATGGCCGTGCCATGGCGTCCTTTGAACTGAAATCCGGTGACAGCGTCGGCATAGTCAATGCCGAGAAGTCGAGCCGCGTTCTTTGCCGATGCGTGTCGGACATGAGTACCACCAGGAGGGACCATGGATGGGACGTAGATGTCAAGATTACCAAAAGCATTCTTCGGTATCCTGCCGTACACTACAGGAGGAGGTACGTACAACAACGTTTGGTTGAAGGCATAGAGAGCGGTGGCAGGCGGCTCGTCTATATCGGCATCTTCCAAGTCCTGAGCTCGGCCCTTTGGTAATCTTGCAGGCACATGCTTGAGTGGATGCTCGTTCGGCTGGAAGACAACGTCGGTCAGAAGATTATAGGAAAGACTTGGATGACATACCTTGATTTCTCGGCCAAATCTGTACCACTTGTCGGCACTGCGCACAATGTGCACATCACTACGACGATAAACAGGTTCAAGAGCGCCTTTCCCGACGGTGACTTTGCCGCTTGGCCTTTTTGGCCAGATCACCTCGTGTCGTTTGAGATGTCGCTCCAAAGCATAGTAGGGATGATCCTTGAAGTCTTGCACATTGTTTGGCAGCCCCTCGGAGGCATCTTTCTTTGCAAGCTCGGCATCTTCAACCTGATCACGGTCGCGATACGAAGTTCTTCGGAAGACCTTCAGCGCCTTACGCCACCACTCTTCTCCTCTTTCTGTAAACTCCACTCTCAACTTTCGAGTTTTAGCGTTGTAGGCTTTGGTGTAGCGGCGAGTCACATCTCTTGCAGTACCGTTATCCTCGAATGCCACAACATAAGTCATTGAATTTGCCTCGTAGGAGGCAGGCGGTTCCAGTTTGCTAGGTTTTGCGACTGTGCCTGTGACGGTGGCATCAACAGGTACCCATTTCTGATAGGCTGCATTGAAGGCTTCTACCCAATAAACCGGGTAGTCAAGCGGTCGAACAGGTCGCTTCTTCCTCTTGACTGATACGATGTTAGTGAAAGGTGTTTCCCAAGACTGCTGAGACCATTACCTGGAGTTCTCTGACCGGGAGCCGATGGACCTGCGTTTAAGTTTGGATTCCCTAGTCGTCGAATGCGGCCGGGTGCGATGATCCTACGTCGAGAAGAGCTCGAACCTTCAGAGGCAGAGCCCGCAGAAGTCTCTCCTGCACTTGTGTTGTCTTTGTCACTTTCTGCATGGACAGTCGGTTTACTTTTCAGTGGAGTGGCCGATTTAGTCGCAGACGTCCCGAACGGCAGAGGCTGTAGTGAGCAGACCAGGCGAGCTTCTACACCAACGCATCTCAGAAGAGCACAGAAAAGCTGGTTTCCAACATCTTGGGAGCCAGAAAGGATCGAAGCCGCCTTGACAAAGTTGTGCTTTTCGACAGGCGGCATCTCATCCTGGATCGTCCGAATTTGCTAGATGTCATCAGTATGCTGCGAACATTTCGACTTGATTGTCTTTTGAATACCTCTTTAAGACCGTCAGGTTTATCGGTCCAGTTGGGTCGTCGTAAGCCAGATGCTGTGACGTCAAACTTGTGTCTCCAAACAAAGACGGCCTTTTGCAATCCAGTCAAGAACTGCTCCGATTGTCCGAATTGAATGAGTGATTGATCAGGATTCAGCAGTGACACAATGTCAGGCATGAGCAATGTTTTCAGCTCATTCTAAGGACAGTCAGTATGATGGAGTGAACGCGAAAGAGATTGACAAGACCTGGACTTCCGGCATATTACACCAAGCATTGCGAACATGCACGTGAAAAAGCAGAAACAGCAGGTGAGCCTCATGAGCTTCTAGTCGGAGCAGCTTCTCTGCAGTAGTGGCAGGCTTCCGTTTGGCTACCGTCCTCTTCTGTGCTTGCTTGGTGCTGATTTCCAGTGATATGTCTCCGAATTCATCGTCTTTCGGTAATTCGGAGCTTTTGGGCTCTACATGATCCAGACCTACTTGCTCCCAGTCCATGTCATCGTCCTCGGACTCATCAGAATCGATGATGGTTTGTTGCGGTCTAGACGAAGCTTCATCTTCAGAAGCGTGAACCTGGAAGATATGTTTCTCGGTCTCAGAGCTCTGATTTTGTTTCGTAGAAGGACCATCTGATGTTTTGGTCGCTTGAGTTTGTGCCTGTCGGCCTAGCCTAGGTTTCTTGAGAGGTCTCTCAATAGCTTCCGGAATAGAGGCCTCAGATATCAGACTACGATATACATCGCGGTCATCATCGGGAGCTGGAGCATTGCGTTTTGATCTGGTCCTGGCGGCACTGTGAACTGCGGCGATCCTATCCTGGGCTCTGGTTTGCGCTTTGCTTTGCGCCGCAGACGGGGCCATTGCGCCAAGTACGAGTGTTGTATAAGCGTAGCCAATGGACCGGCTCCAAATTGAATAGCATTTCAGAGTAGCTACCAACCTTCCAAGCAGACTCACGGACCGTCACACTGTGAGTGAGCACAAAGTATTTTTATCCAATTATTCAGTCATGGAACGGTATGCGAACGCTGAAAGCCAAAGTGAGAAGAAGGCGCATTATTTCACGCTCGGCATGACGTAGCGAATCACTAAGTGCAACGCGTTGGCTACACGCTCAACCTGAGTTCATCGAGACCCTTTGCAACCTTCCCCGTGCAGTCACCGCGACTCGCGCCCGGAAACATGTGCCTTTCGCATCTGCAGGGCATGTATCAGGTGTACGTCTCCCTCGGCCATTCTTGATCGATTGAGAGGGGCCCCTCCCAGGAATCAGAATGGGAATCACGACAGCGCCGATCGAAATCGCGTTGAACGGAGTCGGACCCTTTCAAGATCCGACTCAATCTAATCTGTGCTATCAAACCAATCGGGGGTTCGCGTGCCAAACGTGTCTGACACGAGTGGACTAAGGTAGACATCAGAGCTATACACCTTAGGGAGCCTGCGACTCAAAGGAGAGCAAGCGCAACAGCGTCTACGATCTCCCCGAGGACTACGGCAACACGCTCATCTTGTTGCCTTTGATGGGGCAGGGCTTCAAAGGAAACGGCGGACGGACGGTCTCACTCATCCAAAGATCGAGGACGTCAATTAAGCTTGTGAGAAGCACAGGCCGCGTGCTTCCAACAAAAAACGGCCTAAGCAAAGCCACCAGTGTGAACAAAGACACCCAGCAAGAAATGGTTGGCTCTCGATGACTAATGATAGCCGATTGCTACGATGCGATCCATGACGGGCGTACTAGTGTGTCCAAGGAGCAGATCGAATTGATAGAGGACCTAGACGCTGGGGTAACGATGGAATGTTATCCGTACGCATCCCGCAGTCCTTCCTGGCATTCACATGAAAGGTACTGCCTGGCGATACATACAAGTAGTCTTCGTCAACACTCTAGGCCCCGACACCTTTACACCTTTTCAATCGCAGCATACCCCGCCCACACCTACCTTACTATCTCCTTCCCACACGACAAGGATATCTAGAAGTCTTTCTGTCGCACTCAACAAGATGCACTCCTCATCCTCTCCCAGGCCCTGCAAGCGCCAACGTACCATGGTCACTCCTCCATTGACTATCCACGACCCAGAGTCAAACTCTATCCTCGACCGTGCTACACGAGTTCTGTCAATCGAAGCCACTGCACTTTCTCACGTCACCAGGTTGTACCAGACTGATCCCCATGCCAGAGAGGGACTCCTTGGGGCGGTTGAGTGTATCACCAAGTCACAATCTGTCGGCGGAAAGGTCATCGTTTGTGGCGTAGGCAAGAGTGGCCTTGTCGGCCGAAAGACTGTCGCGACGCTGAAGAGTCTGAGCATCGCAGCCAGTTTCATGCATGCTGCCGAGGCCGCACATGGTGACCTTGGTGATATCCGAGAGGTATGTGCATTGCTTGTGGTTGAGATTCTGCTCCAGATGCTAACAAGTTCTTTCAGCACGACGTCTTGTTCTTCATCTCATACAGCGGCAAGACGCCTGAGCTGCTCAACCTCCTTCCCCATCTACCTCGTCAGCTTCAGATTGTTGCCTTGACTTCACAATCGAAGGCATCCGAATGTCCACTATTGAAAGAGCACGAGAATGGCGTACTGCTCCCAGCACCCTTGTTCGAGTCGGAAGAGGTTTCATTTGGTGTGTCGGCGCCGACAACATCCACAACTGTTCAGATCGCCATCGGCGACATGCTGGCGCTCACTGTGGCAGACCAGCTGCACGAAAACAAGGGCAAGACTTTCAAGAAGAACCACCCTGGAGGTGCCATCGGAGCTGTGACCAGAGAGTCGGCAAAGACCATCGCCGACGCTTGTCACCAGCCGGTCACTCCCTCTGAGGTCACTCCTCTCGAGCTACCTTCTCCGAGTCTCTCAGCGCAGAGCGATCTCTGAGGGCGCATCTTTGTGCCAGTAGGCAATACCTCAGCACCACACACCTTCAACCCGTCTTCCTCCAAGGACACGATTCGCTGCGATGAGGTGATGGATCCGATGCTGGTCATCAGATCTGCATCCTCGGCATAACTCCACGGATGTTAATTGTCGAAGTCACAAGTGTGCGACAGGACATTGTCCGTTCCCACGACCGCACAAGCCTTTCTAGCGCCCAGGCGCTCACTCTCCTTGGCCCAGGACTTGAAACAAGTCCTACACTCCACTCTGTTGTTGGCGTCAGGTTTTCCGATCGCAAGACGCTGTATCGCACAGCAGACCTTGCCTGTTCCCATCTCCTGTTTCTTAGTTTGGTTTGCGTTCGAGATGATTCAGAGCGGTTGAGATAGACCCCTAGTCACTGTTGGAGGACCAGAGTAGTCATAACACCACGGTAGAACTTTTGGTGTAAGAAGTAGGAAAGTGCTCTAGGTCGCACCAGCAGGAATCAAACACTTGAGCGGCCAAAGAGGCTGTTCCACCGCCCAGAGAAATCTCACGAGCAATTTGCTGTCGCAAAGACCTTGACCAGATGTCATCTTCTACCTTCTTGCAAGCGAGCAAGACATGATGCATGTACTCCCGCCTCAAGGGTGTTGGCGTCCCAGGTTCCTCCTGCATCGGGCAACGACGCCGGCTGATCAGTCGGACGATTGGCCGTGCGAAGCCTCGACACCCGCCTTCCTACTCTCAAAACTTGTTCTGTGACGACATCTTACACCATGCTTGGCTGCGGAACAGGCATTTCGTAGTACCACACCTCCTACCTTTGCTTGATGCGTCAACGTCACAAATGCGGGTGCTTTCTATCTATTTTCCGCGTCGGTAGCGATGCACGCAGCAAATCGGTCCTGGGCCTTGTATCTGGTTTATATTGCTTTGTACCTGTAGCGGTATATCGATGGCTGCTGTGACGTGTGATCTTCACCTGTCATGCGTTGTTATTACTGGAAGAATCAACTTCCTCATCTTGCGCTCCTAATTTGCATGATCTGAACCTGGATTACGACATACTGCCATTAGTCTCGCTAGCGTAGGTCGTCTTTCCGACGATACAACTACTCATAGACCTTTAGCCTCAGCTGGCCATCTGCTTCTCACGAACATGCGACCGGAGCCAAATAACAAGGAACTCAACAACACAGAAAGAGATGGATCACAACAAACTCCCACGATAATGGATATTGAGAGCGCAAGCCATCGACATCTTCTCAAGTTGGGTCTGGTCGCTATCGTGGTTGCAGCCACTTTACCATTCATACAACGACCAAGTCAAATCAAGAGCGATGCCGCACCCAGCATTGGCGTCGACAGTCGAGCTGTACCGCGTGAGAGGACAATGGTTCTCGAGACAAGAGCAGACAGCCCTACCGACGTATGTACACGCTGGTCACACCAATCTGCTGTGATCAATGGAACACTTTACGTATTCGGAGGTCAAGCTACGACTGAACCAGGGCAGACTGGAAACAAATGGAGTAAGGCTAGCGTCCAGTCATTCATCTAGAGCGGATACTAATGTCGAATCACAGACAACGACTTCCTGTCGATGGATCTTACCAAAAGCTGGCAGATCTCTACACCTTCGTTGATAGGCCTGCCCCAACCATCTGGTCCTCCTAGCGTGTCGAATGGCTTTCTGTGGAACTCCCACGAGTCTGTCTTCTTATATGGTGGAGAGTTTTCGGACAGCCCAGTCGACCCGCCTACGGCCTTTTCACTATGGGAATACAACGCAATGTCATCCGAATGGATCGAGCATACTAATTCGACAACTTCATCTGGCACCAATGCCCAGTCTGGTGACCAGTCGGTTCAACGTGCTGCAGAAGGCGCTGGCGCCTCGGTTCCAGGCCTAGGGCGTGGGTTCTACTTTGGTGGACATGAAGACACACATACCACTGAAGGGTGGTCAAATCAAGTGGCGCGAATCTACATCAAATCGCTGATAGAATTCACCTTTCCTGGATATCAGAACAGTCAAGTGACCTCTCTCTCGGACAAAAAAGCTGCAGGCAGCGATGGCGCTTGGCGCAATGTCACCGACGGAGGTGCCCAGGATAGCGCAGGGTTTCCTGAGCGCGCAGATGGGCTGCTCGTCTACATACCTGGTTTTGGTGATCAAGGCATCCTTCTCGGTCTCGCCGGCGGAACCGAGGACACATTTGTAAGTCAAACCTGTAGCTTCGACATCTCGAGGTGCGTGATCAAAACAAATTGAACTTCCGGCTGACAATAACAGACACAAATGAATGTCATCGATGTGTATGATATTGCTACCTCGACTTGGTACAAGCAAGCAACAAGCGGGCCTACACCTAAATTCCGAGTCAACCCATGCGCTGCAGTTGCGGCTGCATCGGATGGCAGTTCCTATCAAGTCCACATGTTCGGTGGCCAAAATCTCATTCCTGCAGGCAATCAGACACAGTATGACGACCTCTGGATTCTGACCGTCCCTTCTTTTACGTGGATACAAGTTGACCAGGATAACCAACCGGTGCCGCCTGCAAGAGTAGGACACTCGTGCAACATGTGGGATGGACAGATGGTGGTTGTTGGCGGCTACGTCGGTGATCAACTCAGCTGCGACAGCCCTGGCATCTACGTACTCAACGCTTCTAGCTTACAATGGGCAACTGGATTTACTGCTCTGAGTAGAGATACAGACTTGGGCTCTTCGGACACGACCGCAGCACCAGGTTCTGAATCTAACTCGAGGAACTGGGTATCGAATGCCAAAAGTAATCCTTTTAATCAACAGCCGGCCCAGCTCGCCAATAGCAGTAGCCCAGGTGGTCTCGAAGGCTCTTATGGCTATCGAGTTCCTGACGTTGTCATCTCAGTCATTGGCGGAAATGCTCGAGGTGGCGCAACTGCGACTGCACCTGTACAAGCAGCCGAGAGCGGTCCTCTAAAGACAGGCGGCCCAATAATCTATAGCACCGTGACTTCAAGCTCGACTGCCACAGCTACGAACACCTCTGGCGGAAACTCCAATTCAGGGTCTGGGAACAACAACAACAGCAGCGGCCCCAATATCGCCGCCATCGTCGCTGGTGTAATCGCAGGCGTCCTCTTCATCATTGTCTGCTACCTCGCCTTCTGCGCTTGGCTTTACCGTAAACGCCTCCAACTCTACAAACGCCACGTCGAAATGTCACAGCAAGCGGCCCTCAACGAGAAGAATCGTCCCACCATCCCTGGTCTCGTGCCCACTGGGGCGGGCTCCTCAAGTGGCGGCTCCAACGATTGTCGTATCTGGACCTCTAGCGAAAATACCAGTGGCAGAGGAATTTCGAAGCCTGACAATGATTGGGGGTATACTGAGGCTAACAGAACCGATACTGCTGGTCAGAATAGTGTGGATGGCTATCTTTTGGGTAGGAGTAGTGATGATAGTGGTGCGCCTGAGGACTTGCTGGCGGGCAATACGCCGTCGTTCTGGGGTACTGTGTTGGCTCCCCGACGCAGTTTGCGTGTTGTGAATCGGGATTAAGGGGGTACTGTTTCTGAGCCGTGCTTGCATGAGTTGATCTTTATATATGAGGTGGGTTCTTAATGTATGCCTAGAAGTTATTGATTGCTTCTTTTCGGCTTCTCCTTCATCCCAATGTGCAGAACGCTGTTACTTATACTTGTAGTGGTCTTGAGGTACAATGCTTTCTTGACCTGTGGCGACACCAGCGGGATATGTCTTTCTCATTGCGTCAGTCGTGCTGATATGAGATACTGCGGTGCCATTGCTGCAGATGGTCATTGCTCTGCTTCAGACATTGAGTGAGTGTGACAGGGACTAACATATTGGGAGTTACACATAGGCGGATAACAACAAAAGAATTTCTTTCGATGAATCGATGATTTCGTCATGTCACATTCTTGATACTGGTAATGACTGTGATCACACTACACTCGAAGCCATCAATCAAGATTGCCCTAGTAGAAAGCAGCACACTCCTTCTGCCTCTGCTCAAAGATCTTAACGGCTTCCTCAGCAGCCTTGACACCACTAAGCGCCATGGCACCGAAGGTAGGTCCCATGCGATTGGCGCCATCTACCTCTGAAAGTTCCATACCGCCGACGATAAGGCCCGGGGTGATTTCACGGGTGCCCTTGACGATGGCGTCTTCGGCAGTGTTCATGTCGAGGCCGCGCATGCCGCCGAGGCACTTTATGGCTTGCATGCTGACGAGGCGCTTTACGCTGAAGGCGCCGAAGGGTCCGTCGTGGCCGGTGGTGGAGATGATGACGGGGGCGTTTATAGTGTTGGGGTCCATGCAGGACTGGTCGTCGTGGTGCATGGTGACCTGTGAGATGGTTAGCATTGATCAGAGGGTTGATGGAGTCTGTGACTTACCAAAGTCCAGTTGGTGACAACACCAGCGATCTGGATAGAGCCATCGTCACGGGTACGAGTGATGAGATCCTCAACAGCAGTGGCGTTGAAGAGCTTGACGTTGGGGAACTGCAAGACCTTGCTGAGAAGAGTGCTGGTGAAGAGTGCAGCATGCTTGACAACAACATAGTTGCTGTCCTCGCCATCATCCTCATACTCGACACCGACCTCACGAAGGAAGGCATCAGCAGGCTTACGCATGACCATAGCAGAGAAGAGCTGGCCACCAAGCCAAGCACCACCACCAGGGCTAACGCCGGCCTCAACAATGGCAACCTTCAAGTCAGGACGAGCCTTGGCAAGACAGTATGCAGCAGAGAGACCGCAAGAGCCGGCGCCAATGATGACGACGTCGGACTCGGCGTACTTGTCCAAGTCGGAAAAGTAGCGGCGGGTCATGGCTCTGCTGACCTGAGACTCGCGAATGGGACGGAAGGTAAAAGACTGCCAGTCACCAGCCATGGCTTCGATGGTCTCAGGCTTGGTCTGTCCACCGACCGGAAGGGCAGAGTTGTGAGGTCCGAGAACCAACTTCTTGGAAGGAACAGTGGGGGAGATGGGCTCCTGGAAGATCATGGCTGGGGGAGACATTGTGATACAGGATCAAGTTTGGTTAATCTGTCATTGGTCAGAACATGCCGTGGTGGCACAAGAGGGTGGTTCGGTATGCATGATCCTTTCGCTGGTATTATCCAGTGAGCCACATGACAAGACTCGTGCACAAATACTAGCGATGTCCATGACAAAGCTTGTATCAATACACGGGTCTTGTCAGTGACTCAAGTCAAGTTCAGGCGGTATAATCTCAGAACGATAGCGAGACGATACAATTCTGACGCCAATGTCCATGATCAGCGATCAATGGGTTGGCAGACGGAAGCTCGCTATCGGACACCCGCTCATGCATCAGGTTAAACCCGTTGTTTAAGTTACCTTGACCCTTTGATCTTTCGATCATAGAATACCATTCGAAAGGTTTATCACGCATCGATCCATGACGGATTGAGCGTACCGTAGAACGGCTGAACCTGCTCAATGAGTCAGCATTGGGTGACATGACCACAAGGGGCTACAATACAAGCAATTGTTTCTGAGTAGATTGTGTTTGGAGAGGAGGAAGAAGAAAAAGGAGAGAAGAGATTGAGAAAAGGTGACTCTTAAATAGCTCAGCTAGCTAAGATAGCACATGCGAGTGCGGGGCTCCAAGGGCGATGCTCTTACGACCCCTCTCTCGCACGGTACGATAAAAGGTCTGAACGACATTCTGCAGGATGTCAATTGGCAGAAGGCGACGTGTATGGATAAACTGTTATGCCGTGCGAGTCAAACAGCGGGCCGAATTGACCGAGCATGCCACCTGGAAAGTTGAGCTCAAGCGCGTGGAAGCTATGTTCCTCACACAAGAACAAGGCATTAGGATACCTAGCTCTATTGACCTACTATAGAACCAAACAGCTATCACGAGACCCTCACGAAACTCCCGGAGAATCCTTGAGTGGTTGAGCAATTGCACGATGTTGTAAGTTGACTCCTCCCTGGATACCACGGAGAAAGCAGAGCTTGACTTGCGATCTATAAGAGAAACGGCTGCGCGTAATATCACCTTCCTTATCCGCGAATCGGCGCAGGTGGTGCTCGAGTAATAGGTCCGCTGTAGGGCGTCGAGAATTGCAGAACAACCACTTCATCATCACATCACCGTGCGACTCAGCCGAAGTATCCACTACCTACTCATGAGTCGCCCTATCGAGGTCCAGTGATGCTAGAATTATCCTGTTGCTGAAACGATTCTGTCGTGACTGTCAGTCTTGCTCAAGGCGTGGATGCTGCGATGTCGCGATGAATTAGGTTTTGAGCTTGAGCGGAGTCAACGATCAATCAGGAACGACTGGAGCCCTTGGCCCAACCATCGTCCCTGGCCAAGCGAACCATGACAAGACGCCATGCAGCTTCCCAACTCTCTTTCCCTGTCGTCTTTATTCGTCCCTCTTTTTGGCCCGAGGGAGGTCGTTCTGGACTGTCGATTTCTCTCGTCATGTGAAAGCAGACGGCCTGGGAAAGAGGAGACCAGGGTGCAGTCATGCATTCAGCCGCTTCTCGTGTGTGTCAGCGGATGCGGAACAATTCAGCGACTGGATTACCACATTCGGAGGGCGATGATGCTATTCCATGCGACTGCAGAATCTACCTGCACGTCGATATCACTGCTGACGGCTAGAACAGGCAAGGCAAGCAATAATTCAGTTTCTGACTATTCGTTGGCAAGGAGGAAGACGACCCGGTTGTTTTGTGCCCTTCTTTTGAAAGGATTTGCTGATATTGTGACAATGGTCTAAGAGTAAAAGTCCGCCAAGTCTGCCCTTCGGACTACTCCTCCATGTCCGGAGCCCCACCTTGTTGCTTTCTAACCTACCTCGCACACACCCTCGAATGTGTGAGCATCTTCGGGGCTTAGGTAGGCTGGCGGCTGGCTTGATCAGCAGCTGATGATTCCACGTAACAAGGTAGGGACATCATGACTTACGACCTGCCGTGACAGAGTTACTGCCGTGCTGCCGGTGGTGGAATGAAATAGGACATTCCAAACTTCTGAGTCTGTTATTTTGTACAATCTCCATCTTCTCGCTCGAGTCTCTTCTTTTCTCCTCTTGGTCACGTTCGATGACGAACCCCTTCTCCATCACATACTATCACTCCAACTCCCCTGCTCCTTCCACTACCCCGACATGCCTAGCCAGGTAGTCACCCTGACCAGCACGACCTATCTCCAAGTGCCGAAAGTCGTTCCCTATCGCAGGAACAGATCAAGGTCGCGGTCAAGATCGTCTTCAAGGCCCAGATCCCCGGAACCCGTGTCACCACAGCCCATCAGAACCCGCCCATTGCTACGACCAGTCACGCCCCCGTCACCTCCACCCTTCCCACCCAAAATGTCAGAGACTAGAACGAAACCACCGAGTCCAAGTCTAACCTACGACTTCAAGACCATGACGAATGGCTCCAGTACGCCAAGGACGAATGCAAACACAGTGTACGACATCAACGTCTCTGCCCCTAGCATCAACATCTCAAATATAGACGACCTAAACGGTGATTACTACACCTTGTCAAAGACACCCAGTCCACCACCCCAACGACCCCTCCGTCAGAGATTAGTAGGCACCTGGCGACTAGAAGCCTACGTCGCCTACCCAACCCCCTCCTGTCGTTTCCAACGCCCCACCTTCCCCATGACGAAAAACGTCACGGGTCTAATCATGTACACGCCCGACGGCTACATGAGCGCCCACATGTTGATACCAGGGCAAATGTCGTTTAAACGCGGCGAAGGCGAGGAACCACAGTGGGCCGAAGCGGGCAAGCGATCTTTTTCATACGCTGGGCCCTACTACATCAGCGATGAAGGCTATGGTAGGGAAGAAATCTTGAGACATACATTTCAGGTTTGCAATTTGCCAGGTTGGGTTGGCGATATTCAGGTTAGGACGTGGAAGTTTGAGGAGGATGATAATGTGTTGGTGTTGGGTAGTGAGGAGCCTACGGAGATTAGGGTGAGTTGCTTCTCTTGTGATGCTTGTACTTGGGGGGGGGGGAAAAAGAACTTGTATATTGACACTGCACAGGGTGATCAGAGGATCCCAGTTCTGAAGTGGCGAAGGGTTATCGACAATTCGAATGGCAGCCCACCGGCACCGATGCCGCACATCAAGGTCAGCGGTCCAGGAGAGCCATGATCAACGCAAAACTACACGATAAGATGGAAAAAAATAACGAAATGGGCTACGCATATCTGCAAATCATCATATGACGGAGTGGTACGCACGCACAATTTAGCATGGCTAGGATCATGAAATCTGCTTTCTTATAGGTATACCAGGAGTTCTCAGGAGTTTGTATGTCAGAAAAATTAATCGTAAATTTATTTCTTTTTTTGCTTCATGTCGTTATTTACACTAGACCAAAATGTGCTTAGATCTTGTAGACGAGCTTGGTACCAGAGACCTTGCCGGTTCTCAGGTCCTCGAGGCCGCCAAAGACACCCTCGAGGCCACCGCTACGAACCTCCTTGGGGTGAGCCTTGACCTTACCCTCTGCGAACAGCTTCTCGGCCAACTCCCAGAACATCTTGCCAAACTCAAAGTCCTCGGGCTTAGCGGGGATGGGGTTACCAGCGAAGCTGAAGGCCTCGCCAACAACAGTGTAACCCAGAGTGCTCTTGTCCTCGACATCCTCGCGAGATGACTTGGCAGGGAGAAGGTATGAGATAACACCACCCTTGCTTGAGATGGCGTTGGCGGAAATATCGGGTGAGCTGCCCTCGGCGATGCAGTCAAAGACGTGCTTGAGGTTGTCCTTGGTGTGCTCGCGGATCTTAGCCGAGCATTCGGGATCCTTGTAGTCGAATGCCGCATCAGCGCCCAGAGACTTGACGAGGTCGAAGTTGTGAGGGGAGCAGATGGCGATGACCTCGAGGCCGGAGAGCTTGGCGTACTGGATGGCGAGGGTACCGGTGGCAGTCGAAGCACCGTAGATGAGGACGGGGAAGGGCTGCTTAGCGGGCTCGGTGGGAAGGGGGAGCTTCAAGCTCTGGTAAAGACCTGAAAGTTGTCAGCTCAAAGATCGTGTAGGATGGCATTGTGCCTTGTAGCGGTATATCGTCGCTTACCCTGACCAACGGTGGTAACACCAACACCAAGAGTGGCAGCGTCCTCGGTCGAGAGGGACTCGGGGACCTTCATCTGAACGTCACCCTTGGCAAGAGCGTACTGTGCAAAGCATCCGTCCTCCTTGTTGGCAGAGTTGACACCGTGTGAGAAACCAGCAATGCGGTCGCCCTTGGAAAACTTCTTCTGGACAGCCGAACCGACCTCCTCGACAACGCCAGCGTAGTCGCATCCAACGGTGGCGCCGGGGTTGGCGAGGTAGTCAATGTGCTTCCAGTCGGTAGGGTTCAAAGCAACAGCCTCGACCTTGACGAGAACATAGTCGTCGCGGAGCTTAGGGACAGCAACGCTCTGGATCTCAGCCTTCTTGGCCTCGACGACCTTGATGGCTTGCATGTTTGATGGTGCCATTGTGATGTGAATGTGGGTTTGTGTGAATTGGACGGGACTGAAGGATCGGAAAGTCAATTGAATGGTCTTTCTAAAATACTTGAAGCTCGATAGAATATAGCATAAAATGAAGGGTACAGCTTCGTCCACTGTTCTAGAAACACAAGGTTTCTCGCCTGCTTAGAAATCCTTCCCTAAAAGTGAGCTGTCGGAACCCAAAAGCTGGGGAGGAGATTGATGATGCGTCATCATGGCACTCGGCCGAGGTTGCAAAGCAGGTTGATCATCCTAGCGAAGCGAGAATTGTTCAAACGGTTTCAATGACCAGACCAGAGCAGCGATGAGCTGTAGCAAGGCACCGCTGTATCTTACCTTCTTCATATATCTACTGCGGTGAGTCGACCAAAGCACATGTCTCGGTGTCTTTGCTATATATTCGAAATAGTTCGTGCCTTCAGACAGCTACAAGCTATGACGACATTTTGCACATGGAGAAGTAGCAAAGCGAGGATTGTCAAAACGGTTTCAATATTATAGTGATGGTACAGCGTTCATCGTATTCAAGGACAAAGAGAAACACCCATTGATGTTTTCATAACCGTCGCAGCTCTCTTGGGGTATCAAATCCACGCCATTCCGTAACGCCATTATTATATCCTTGTCCAGTTCCATTCCTCATTACAAGCATCTTGGTTGTTCAATGATGCGCGATAGTGTTTGTAATCTCGTCCTTTGATTAGTATCTGCCCGGGGGAGGATCCTTGGGAGGAGCGTAGGCGCCAGTGTAGGCGGGCTGAGGCTGCTGCATCTCAAAGTTGTTGCCATAGTTGGTGGTGTTGGGAGGAGCGGTGTAGGCTGGATTGTGTATTAGTATGGGCATTTCAATCATAGTATCATTCCAACATACCTGGAGGAGGGTTGTTGGAGTTGTTGTAGTAAGGTGTCGAGTTTGTGCCGGTCGCGTACTGCGGCTGAGCATTCTGGTTGTAGGTGGGAGTGCCGTGGCGGACTGTCCAACCAGTACCATAGTAAGGGTTGGCGCCGTGTCTACGACGTCTTCTTGCGGATAGACATCTGCGACACGAGTCAGCGCATGATTTTGTGCCTGCATAAGCGCAATACTTACGAGAAGAGGAAGAACAGGACGAAGAAGACTGCGACGATGCATGCGAGAAGCACCCAGCGACCCCAGCGATTCCAGGTGCTGTTACAATTGTTGCCATAGCAGCTGTGAAATATCATGTCAGCTCATTGTCGAGCCGAGTAGTGAGTGCTTCATGAGATCATATGTAGGTAAATCATCAAACACGAGAATTCAGGAACACACTTACCGGTTGTAGCCACCATAATACTGTCGAGGTTCGAGATACATGTTCGCGTGTGTGAGTATGATTGATGATAGATTTACTCGTGCCAAAAGACAAAGGTGAGGGATTACGACTGTTAAGTACAGGGTGCTTGTGAGACCTTTGTGGCTTGGAATGAGAATGGTGACGACAATTGCTTGGTGGCCAAGCATTTACCAGTGTCACTGCCCACGAACGAGGCAGTGACCGGCAGTGCTTTTCCGTCACACATCTTGGATACGGCTTGTCGGCCGATCTGGGAATAAATTGTCATGACTCTTCTTCTTTTGTTCTCCGATCCTTCAAAGGTTGATGGTAATTTGTCTTGTCTGATCTCGTGGCGCAAATGACCCCTACAAAGCATCATCCGTTCCAGAGGTACAGAGCGCGATAAGGCGATTGGCGTTTGCCTCAGCCACTTTGTATGTGGCGATGCCCAATCAGCCACCAATCCAGAATATCGGTGCCAGTTTTGCCAGCGCATCTTGCATTGCACTCCCACATGATATCGAGGGGTTATGAAACATTCGAAAGCCTGCAGCCTTTTCACAATCTCCTGTTCTTCTCTCTCTTCTCATTTCATCATCTGTACATCAATCGTCAAATTGCGTCTGTCGACTATCGTATTGCTCTCGTGAATCCGTAAAATCATTCCTTAGCCCGCTTGAGATGAGAAACAAGACCGCCGGAAGTCAAAAAAGAAACAAGGACACCCCATGTGCACCCGCCGTTACGCTACGTTGCCATTGCTGGTTCGCAGGAAAGATACCATCTAAACCCCATCGCTTGCAATACCCTATGCAAATGCCGATCACCTTCATGAGTGGAAGCCAAACTGTATGCCGCTGTGGGAGACCTGACCTTGGTCGACGGGTCACTTGCTCGCACGAGCAATCAGCCATTGCAGTACAGCATCCAAGTTTGTCTCTTCCTTGGCGCTGATACCATAGCAGCTCACCTCACGGTGCGTTACGGCTTTGAGGTTCAACTCCTCAATAAGCTCGTCGACCGATAGATGATCAGGAAGATCGGACTTGTTGCCAAGAACCAACAATGGAATGCCTTCTAAAGCAGGCTTCTCCAGCAGCACATGAAGTTCTTCTCGTGCCACAGGCAATGCTTCCTTGTCGGCCGAGTCCACAATGAATCTGTTCTCAAGTCAATACGAGCACATCAGCGAGAACTGGAGGACATACACCATGGCGTTGACACCTCGACAGTAACGCTCCCACATAGAACGGAACCTTGGTTGACCTCCTAGATCCCAACTGCGCCAGTGAGCCTCGATCTCATTCTCCAGAAAGCCGAACGACTTACCATTTCAGAGTCACATGGCCTTTGGTAACCTTTTTCATGTTGAAGCCGACCGTAGGTATTGAGCTGTCAAGTCGCAGGCACTGTTTAGTCTGGGTCTGGTCACCACTCTTTGGAACCAGACTTACTCAATTGTAAACTCTCCACCCTGGACGTGAACGGTTAACATTACATCAAGACCGCGCGACCATGGGTCAGAATGAGCTGCTTACTGCTAGGACTCTCAAGAGCGATGTCTTGCCGGCATTCTGAAGACCGATCATTGTCACGTCCATCTCAGTCGCCCTGTTCACAAGAGACGAGTCATATCAGGAAGTGGCCAGCAAGAGGAAGCAAGACAACATACCAGAAAAGACTGAGGAGCCAGTCATAGAGACGCTTGAATAGGCCAGGCATGGTGTTTGATTTGCCCGACAAAGCACTGCGAGAAGAGTTGAAGAGCTGGCTGCAGGCAACAACAGTAGAGCAGCTTGATGGTTGCACGGACGGAGGGTTTGATCAAAAGCGCAGGGCACAAGCAGAAGCGGGGCTCGGGTAGGGTCGAACTCTTATTGGAGGTGATGGTGAAGTAGAATCAAGGCGAAGGATAATCTGCAGATGAAGCGCTGCTGTCACAGAGGTTTAAGTGTTAGGACAACGTTACGGATTCCTATGTATCGCAAGGATTAGTTCACGGTAGAAGCAAGCTGTAAGAACAATAAGCGTGCCTCTGACAGCCAAGCGGTCACTTGAGTCGAGCAGTTGACGTGTGCACGATAACACTTGGAGATGCGAGATGCGGCAAAAGGACGGAGCCTCGGAGCCAGATCATTTTGCTTGGCACGGCTTTTTCGGCGCTAAAATTTCTAGAAGAACAATTCGAAGCAAAAAACATCTGCGACGCCTATCTCGGTGCCGCCATCTGTGTGTTACGAAGGAAATTTGGAGGAGAAAAAGAAGCTGGACAATTGAAAGGAGAATCCCCGAGTCCATTCTGGAATATCAACACGTCTCCGACCCAAGGGCGTGAGAGGTCGAGCTCTCGCTAGCACCAAGCAGTAACAGGTCCATCTACATCCTCGAGACGCCTACACAGCCATGGCACCATCAAAGGAGAACGGCAATTGGTCGACCAACTTTGACACAGTGCGCCGTCACGACCTCTTCCGCAACCCTCCCTCGGACAAGTCGGCATACCCTACTCTGGCCTCGGCCGTCGACCCTCATGTACAATCCTTCAACGCCGTCTTCGCAGAGAAGGGCCAGCTCTACCATGCTCTTCGTGACATTGGTACCAAGACTTTCTTCGACGGCAACCCAAATGAGCCCTTCTCGGCCGATGGTCCTCGACGAAACAGGCTTCAAGTCCGCGTGAAGGAGGTCTTTCTTGAGAAGAGCATGCTTCCTCCTTCCAACAAGATCGACAAGAAGCGCGAGATTCTTCCCGTAGAATGCAGAGAGCGCCACTGCACCTACAGAGGTCGCTTCAGAGGCCGCTTTGAGTGGCGCATCAACGAGGGCGAGTGGAGGGAGAGTGTCAGAGAGTTCGGTTCTCTGCCCATCATGTTGCGCGTACGTTCTTCGCGTCAATCTGAAGACCATCACTAACACCATGCACAGTCAAACCGCTGTCACCTCGAGGGTCTTTCACCAAAAGAGCTTGTCGACAAGAGAGAAGAGACCGAGGAGCTGGGAGGATACTTCATCGTCAACGGTATCGAAAAGCTGATTCGTATGCTCATCGTCAACCGAAGAAACTACCCCATGGCCATCATCCGTCCCTCTTTCGTCAACAGAGGTGCAACATACACAAAATTCGGTATCCAGATCCGTTCCGTCAGACCCGATCAAACCTCGCAAACCAACGTCCTCCACTACCTCAGCGATGGTAACGTCACCTTCCGTTTCTCATGGCGCAAGAACGAGTACCTCATCCCCGTCATGATGATTTTCAAGGCCCTGGTTGAGACGAATGACCGCGAGATCTTCGAAGGATTGGTCGGCCCTGCTGGAAGCAAGGGTATTGAAGAGAAGCAATTCGTCACCGACCGTGTCGAACTTTTGCTACGCACATACAAGGCCTACAACGTCCACGGACAAGCGAAGACACGCGCATACCTTGGAAGCAAGTTCCGTATCGTCTTGAGCGTGCCTGATGACATGTCCGACGAGGATGCTGGTGTCGAGTTTCTGAGAAGAATCGTTCTTCCTCACCTCGGAACATCTGATAACAAGGAGACCAACGACGCCGACAAGTTCCGTATGCTGCTCTTCATGACCAGAAAGCTGTACTCACTTGTCGAGGGAGAGTGTGCTGTCGACAACCCTGATGCTGTTCAGAACCAGGAGATCCTCTTGCCCGGTTTCCTCTACGGTATGATTGTGAAGGAGCGCATCGAGGAATGGCTGAACTCGATCGGTCTGCAACTCCGCGATTGGGGCAGGACCACCAATTGGGCGCCTATTGTTTCTGAGGAGTTTGAACGTGACTTCAGCGCAAAGATCCTCCGCAGAACCAACGAGAACTTGGCGCAGGCACTGGATTACTTCTTGTCCACTGGTAACCTGGTCTCTCCCAGTGGTCTGGATCTGCAACAAACCTCCGGCTTCACCGTCGTTGCTGAAAAGATTAACTTCTGGCGTTTCATCAGTCATTTCCGCATGGTTCACAGAGGTAGTTTCTTCGCTCAACTCAAGACCACAACTGTCAGAAAGCTGTTGCCTGAGAGTTGGGGCTTCCTCTGCCCTGTCCACACTCCTGATGGTTCCCCTTGCGGTCTTCTCAACCATTTGGCTCACAAGTGTAAGATTGCCACAAATGCTGTCGATACCAAGACTATTCCTGGTCTGATTTCACAACTGGGTGTTACCGAGACCCCTTCTGCATCCGTCGATGATAGCGTCGTCGTCATGCTCGATGGTCGCATTCTCGGTTTCTGCTCCCCTAAACAAGCTCGTGTGATCGGGGATACTCTACGCTACTGGAAGGTCGAGGGTACTCACGGCATTCCTTCCGAGCTGGAAATTGGTTACATCCCCAACTCACATGGAGGCCAATACCCCGGTGTTTACATGTTCTCGCAAGCAGCCAGAATGTTCAGACCTGTCAAGTACTTGCCGCTGGGTAAGGAGGACTTTGTCGGTCCTTTCGAACAGCCGTTCATGTCCATTGCCTGCACGGAGCCCGAAATCGTCTCAGGCGACTCTACTCACGTCGAATTCGATCCTACCAATATTCTCTCTATTCTCGCCAACCAAACACCCTTCTCAGATTTCAACCAATCTCCCCGTAACATGTACGTCTAAATCTACATGACCGCCAGTCTTTGCAGAACCTCAAAAGCTAACGATTTCCAGGTACCAATGCCAAATGGGTAAGCAGACCATGGGTACTCCTGGAACTGCTTTGAAATACCGTACCGATAACAAGTCATACAAACTTCAAACTGGACAGACACCAGTTGTTAGGCCCCCTCTGTACAACGAATATGGTCTGGACAACTTCCCCAACGGAACCAATGCCGTCGTTGCTGTCATCTCATACACTGGTTACGACATGGACGACGCTATGATTATCAACAAGTTCGCCCACGAGCGCGGCTTCGGTCATGGAACCGTCTACAAGACCAAGAAGGTCGACCTTGCAGAGGAAAGCGGTGGCAGACGTGGTCGTGCCAACGTGAAGAAGCTCTTCGGTTTCGCTCCTGGCGGTCTCGTTCGTGCACAATGGCGCGCATCTCTGGATGACGACGGCCTCATCGCCGTCGGCATGAAGGTCAAGAACGGCGACATCATCGCTGCATCGCACACCGTCACCAAGGATCCCATCACTGGCGAATATATCAACCGTGATGGCATCACTCACTTGCACAAGTACAAGGACAATGAGGAGGCATACGTTGAGGAGATCAAGATGCTCGGCACAGACACTGGTGGTGATGAACCCTGCCAGATGCTCAGCATCAGACTTCGCATTCCTCGTTCGCCTGTTATTGGTGACAAGTTCTCTTCTCGTCACGGACAGAAGGGTGTTTGCTCGCAAAAGTGGCCTACTATGGACATGCCATTCAGTGAGAGTGGTATGCAGCCTGATGTCATCATCAACCCTCACGCTTTCCCTTCTCGTATGACTATTGGTATGTTTGTCGAGTCACTGGCTGGAAAGGCTGGATGTCTGCACGGTGTCGCACAAGACAGCACACCGTTCAAGTTCAAGGATACCGCAGGCGAGACTGCCGTCGAGCACTTCGGTCACCAGTTGAAGCGCGCTGGCTTCAACTACTATGGTAACGAGCCCATGTACTCTGGTATCACTGGTCAGGAGCTCGGCGCCGATATCTACATGGGCGTCGTTTACTACCAGCGTCTTCGTCACATGGTCAACGACAAGTTCCAGGTTCGTACCACCGGTCCTGTCACTGCTTTGACCGGACAGCCCATCAAGGGTCGTGCCAAGGGTGGTGGTATCCGTGTCGGTGAGATGGAGAGAGATTCTCTGATTGCTCACGGTACAGCTTTCCTGCTGCAAGATCGTCTGATGAACTGTTCCGATTACCAAAAGGCGTGGATTTGCCGCGCCTGTGGCTCTTTCCTCTCCGCACAGCCTACCGTCAACCAATACAGTCATAAGAAGGGCGTCAATGCCAGCAATGTCAGATGTAGAAGATGCAGTACGAAGGCTTCTGGTTCAGAGCCAAGAAGTGACACCTGGGAGGATGGCAGAGGTGACAAGTTCGTTGGTGGTTCGGACGTCACGGTCGTCGCTGTTCCCGGTGTCTTGCGCTACCTGGATGTCGAGCTGGCGGCTATGGGTGTCAAGATGAAGTTCGATATCACGCCGTAGATCTAAAAGCTGATGGGGTGGTTGTTTGCATATAAGCATTTGCATATTTCTTTTTACTATACCAAAATGGAGTTTAGCTGGTTTTCGTTACTCAATTAGATCTACATTTCTCGAAATGCGTGTCTTGTGAAGCTTTCGCGTTGCCTTCGCGTTCGCAACGTGCGTCTTGTTCCTGGTGGCATCAAGAACACGGGCTTCCTCTGCTAGAGTAAAGAAGACTCAAGAAAGCCAAAGTATCCCTCTGCAATACGTATTAACTGATTCGAATCTTATGTCTATAGCCGGAATCATCCCCGGGATGAAGTGACGACCCTTTGAAGTGTTTTGTTGTGCAACTTGCTGTATTTTGTTTTCGCCGACCTCGACTTCGCGTCCACCTCGACCACCCTTGAACACAACATTTCATTTTGTCCAGGTAACATACTTGCTATCATGATCTCACTTCAATAACGCAAAAGCACATCAATATGGAGGCCGCCAAGAAGTTTCACCATCCATACGAGCCCTACGACATCCAGCTTCAGTTCATGCGCACGCTATACGATTGCATCGAACAAGGCAAAGTCGGTATATTCGAGTCTCCGACTGGTGAGGATCTTCCATTACAACCTAGATTGAGCGTTTCTGACCATTTCATAGGCACTGTAAGAAGGGCTCCGTCTTGATGCTTTATCCACTCTCTAATCAATGTCTAGGGTAAATCTCTGAGCCTGGCATGTGGCTCTTTGACATGGCTACGCGATCACAAGAGAAAGGAGTTTGATGAGAGTATAGCTGCTATCGAAGGAGGTGATTTTTTTCTCCAACCTCCTCTGAAATCCAGAAATAATCAGCTGACAGAGAACTTCAAGATGACGATGAACCAGAATGGATGGTTCAACATTCTCGAGAAGAGAAGAAGAACCAAGTTGTTCAAGCACGAGCAGAGCTAGAAGTAAAACTCGAAAAGATCCGTCAACACGAACGTAAGATCCGAGACAGACAGGAGAATGGTCCACCATTGACCAAGAAACGCAAACTCGACGACTCTGGCAACGATGTCGATGCTGTTGACGATGAGCAATTCGCCCTCGATGAATACGAGAGTGATGATGAAGGCATCAAATCCAAAGCCACTGGAGGAGATGCAGCTCTGGGACTGTCAAAAGAAACACAAGCACTAATGCAGAAGCTTGGATATGGTCTTTCTGCCCTGCCGAAAGCAGAAGATGTCGAAGCAGAAGATGAGCTGAAGATCTACTTTTGCTCACGCACGCATTCTCAGCTCTGTCAATTTGTCAACGAACTGCGCAGAATCGACTTGCCCGCTGCTATCCCCGCAGTGCAAGAAGAAGTCAAGAAAAAGGCGTCACTTCACGAGGAGTTGAAGCATCTTTCCTTGGGCTCGAGAAAGAACCTTTGCATCAATAGCAGAGTCTCTTCTTTGAAGACTGTGACTGCAGTCAATGAGAAATGTCTGGAGTTACAGGACGCAAAGACACCGAAAGAGAAGAAGTGTCAGTTTATGCCGAACAAGGAGAATGAAGGCACGGTGCTTGATTTCCAGCATCATGCTTTGGCGAAGATACGGGACATTGAAGATCTGGGTGCTTTGGGCAAGAAGTTGGGTGTGTGTCCTTACTATGCCACTCGTCCGGCAGTCAAGCCTAGTGAGGTAAAGTCTCACCTCCTTCTCAATCCTCGAGTGTTGTGATGCAGTACTGATTAGAAATCCTAGATTGTCACGCTACCATACCCACTTCTCCTCCAAAAGACAGCCCGAGAAGCGCTAGGTCTATCGCTAAAGAACCACATCGTCATCATCGATGAAGCACACAATCTCATGGACGCAATCTCTGGCATCCACACCGTAGAAGTCAGCTTGCAACAACTTCAACTCGCCCGCGCTCAACTAACCACATACCTGCAACGCTTCCGCAACAGACTAAAAGGTAAGAATCGTGTCTATGTCACTCAAGTGGTGCGTTTGCTCGACTCCATCACCACTTTCTTGCAAGCACTGGATCACAAGGAAGGAGGTGAAGGCGTTGTGCAAGCTACTGAGCTACTCAAAGGCAAAGGTGTAGATCAGATCAATCTTTATAAATTAATGCATTACTTGCAGGGAAGCAAGTTGGCTAGGAAAGTCGAAGGCTATGTTTCTCTGGAACAGCAGAAACAGCAAGGGCTGAATAATACAGGTGCTGGAAAGGAAGTTACGGTGCCGGTGCTTACGCATATCACGAATCTGTTTATGGTATTGACGAATCCGGCCAGAGAAGGTCGATTGTTCTATACGGCTGCAGAAGACAAGACGCAGACAAAGGTCAAGTACATGTTACTAGACCCATCCGAGCACTTTCGCGAAATTGTCGAGGAAGCAAGAGCAGTGATCTTGGTAGGTGGAACCATGTCACCCGTAGGTCCTCTTACTCGCTAGACCTTTATTCACATACTGATACACCGCACAGATGTCAGACTACCTAACTCAACTATTCCCCTACCTCGACAGCACACTCATCACAACCCTCTCCTGCGGCCACGTAATCCCAACCTCCAACCTCTTCGTCAGCCCCATAACTTGCAGCCCCCAAAACACCGACCTAAACTTTACTTTTGCATCCCGAAACTCGACGAGTACAATAACAGCATTGGGAGAAAGTATACTCAGACTTTTACCGCACATTCCACACGGCTGTGTAGTTTTCTTCCCCAGCTACGCCTACCTCGAAAAAGTTGTTTCTCACTGGCAGGCCACCCCCTCCCCCTCTACACAATCCCTCTGGTCACGTCTGCAGGGCATAAAACCTCTATTCAAGGAATCTCAAAATACAGGGACTGAAGAACTACTCTCTGCCTATACTTCTTCCGTAAGCGATACTGCAGATGGGGGAGCGCTTTTGTTTGCAGTAATAGGCGGAAGATTAAGTGAAGGGATTAATTTCTCGGATAGGCTGGGGAGATGTGTGATGGTCATTGGGTTACCCTATGCAAACCCAAATACTGCAGAACAAAAGGCAAAATTGGCTTATGTGGAAGAAAAAGCTGCTGCTGCTGCTGCTGCTGCTGCTTCTGCTTCTGCTGCTGCTTCTGCTTCTGCCTCTGCAACCTCTGCCTCTGCCTCTTCCACTGCATCCACGTTTTCTGGAGGAAGGATGGTAACAGGGGCAGCAGCGAGAGAATACTCAGACAACGCGTGTATGCGTGCTGTCAATCAAGCGATTGGAAGAGCTGTGAGACATAAAGGGGATTGGAGTGCCATCTTACTGTTTGACACTAGATATGCTCAGAAAAGGATACAGGAGAAATTGCCTGGGTGGATAGAAGCGAGTCTAGGGGATGGGAGTAGGGCTCGAGGGTTTGGAGAGGTGGAAGCAGGTCTGAAAGCTTTTTATGCTGGAAAAAAGGCAGAGAACTAGATTCGGAAACTTGCTTTGCTGGACGAATGTTGAAAGATGAAGGGGTATCGATTTTGACGTATAAAAAAGGGCATGATGGTCACATCTCTCACTTCTTCGCCGCTTTGGCTTTCTCGGCAGCATGCATAGCGGCCCTCTGACTCCTACTCCCCCCCAACTTCGGCCCCTTGATACTCTCCAATTTATTAGCACCAAAAGTAGGCGGCAACGGAGCAGCATGTCCACCCCTCCTACTGGCCCTTTCCTCTGCCGCAGCATAAAAGTTCCTCTTGAATTCTTCAGCCATTCGTTCATCCGCATCTCCCTCTTCTTGTGCGGGTGGTGGCGGTGCAGGAGTGGAAGAATAGGTGTGGAGGGCGGATTCCTGGAGGATTTGGTCGACTAGGGCGTCGCGGGCTATGTCTGCACTGGTACGGCGGGAGTGCCAGGGTTTTCGGGGCCGCTTTTGAGAGCGGATGGTTGTGGTTGTGGAGGGGTGGGAGGGCTTGGGGATGTTGACTTCGTCGAGGTGGCCGTGGGAGGCTGGTATTGAGGAAACGGTGTTATGTGCCGGTGTCACGGCTGTTGATGCAGAAGCGGGTTCTGCTGGTGTAGAGGTTGGGTGCGTAGAGGTTGACGAGGTCGAGGCTTCATGTGATGGGGTAAGACGGGCTAGTTTGGAGTCTACATAGGCCATCCTTGGATTGTCAGTCTTTCTGTTTCTTGCAATCGAGGAGCGCATGGAGAGACCCACATGTGCTTGTCGTCTGCTGATGCAATATGCCCAGTCGGCGCAACGAAGCGGGCTTGAGCATGCTCGACGGCATTCAATGGTGTGGGCGGCGCATTCGTGTCAAAGACGCTGCTGGTCCCGCTCTCGTTGCCCGCTCGTGTCGATGAGAAACCAACACCTCCCTTCCTTGATCCAGTCGGTCTGACATGTCGCGCGGCCACACTGACTTCCTTCGTGTCTAGTCCCAACTCTTGCTCCTGCCTGCCGTCCGCCACAGTCGCTGGGCCATTCCGTGTCACTGCATCGCCGTCGGATGCTTCGTCGTCGTCGCGTCTCTTGCGAAACACCTTTCTTCGTTTAGACGCTCTGAATACTGGTCCTTCATTTGTGTTTGCCATGTTGTGTATCCGAGAGATGTTCACGTCATGCTTCATGAGGAAAGCGCTTTCGTCATTGTTGGAGATTTTGCATGTGAAAAGCCAAGACTTTACTACACCACCTTGATCCTCCAACTCGTCTTCTATACCACTGTCATATACTGATAGGCTTTGAACCAGACCATAGTGCTTGACCAGAACCTACTACTCACTTCTGAGAGGCATTTACTGATTCACTCCCTCTTCTTACCGAGGCTCATCGATCTACACAATTTCTCTGCTCTCCCATTCCGCGCTAACCGATCTTCAATTATTAAGCAATCCATCCATCTAATTCTCTAACACATTTGCCTCTTTCCACCCTTTTACATTACTAAAGCAACCCAAACACACACATTTGAAGCTCTCTCAATCCCATCTATCGAACACATCGCCCAACCTGGCTTTCCGCACCACCCTCTCGAAAATGACAAACTACAAAATCTCAATCGTCTCCGACACCGTATGCCCCTGGTGCTACGTAGGCAAAAACCGCCTCCAAGTCGCCATCACAAAACACCTTCAATCCCACCCTACAGACACATTTACAACAACATGGTACCCCTTCTACCTAAACCCCGATGCTCCAAAGCAATCCCGCGATAAACAAACAATCTACGTTGAGAAATTCGGCGCCCAGCGTGTCGAAATGATGCAACACCGTCTTTCGGAAATCGGTGCAGAGTTGGGTATCAACTTTGCTTATGGTGGTAAAACTGGAAATACTAGGGACTCGCATAGGGTTGTGCAATTGGCAAAGTTGAAGGGAGAGGAGACGCAGACGAGAGTCATGGAAATGCTGTTTAATGCGTATTTTGAAAAGAATGAGGATATTACCGATCATGCTGTTTTGACAAAAGCGGCTGTGGGTGGTGGATTGGAGGAGCAGGAGGTAAAGGAGTGGTTGAGCAGTGACAAGGGTGGGCCCGAGGTTGATCGTGAGGTCGCTGCTGCTCAGAGGAGGTTTATTTCTGGTGAGTTTTGGAGATCTGCTATGCGTGAATAAGAGAATTTTGTGCATCGCTAACTTTATTGCGCTTCTAGGTGTTCCTCACTTTACCATCCAGGGCAAGTACGAGGTTGGTGGTGCAGAGGAGCCTGCCACTTTCTTGCGAATCTTCGAGGAGGTCAAGAAGTCAGAGGGAGGCTCTGGCACCACTCAAGTCTCGTCTGGCAACACATGCTAGATTGATCGTATTTCCAACTGTTAGACAAGCAAGAAATCTGACATACACAAGACCTCCAAAGCTTGATCTAAATGGTGTGTCATGTGCTATAATATAAAATATGGATGATAATAAATACATAAATGCAACAAAGATTCTCCTATCTTTTCTTGCCGGAAAATGCAATACATCAGTCGTCCTCATGCATCTTTTTCTTTTGTTGAAAACAGAATTCCTCCTTTCGAAATATGCCTTCCATGTAAATTCTTTTCCTTCCTTCGAGCGCCAGATGACAAGAACAATCGAGCCTCCATATTCATGAATCGTCAAAGCAATCCTTCCAAAAACATTTATTGACAGATGATTTTCGAGTTAGTTGTACCCCGTTTACTTGGTGGTTCTTTGTCCACCGATGGGTCCGAGAGTGGGCTCACTCTTTCCAGGGAGAAGACCGATGGGCGAGACAGAGGGCTTCCTCGACGAGTTCTCAAATTCGTCTTCCTCTTCCATGGAGAACAAGCCTTGGTCCTCTTCCTCGATAGTCTCGTTGCGTCCGAGGCTGTTACTGCTGATACCTCTGTCGAGTCCTGCACGCAGAGTAGAGCGTGAATCGCTAGAGGAGGTACGAGGAACACCAGGGTGCAAAGAGGGAGACTTCTCGGAGATTCTAGTGCCCTGTAGCTCGCGTGTGAGCATCGACATGCTTCCTTGTTTAGGTGGGCTACCGATAAGAGAGCCAAAGTCGCCTCCGGCAAGGGAGGATGAACGCAATGAAGATGGTCGTAGGGGCGATCCGATGTGACCGAATCCGTTCTCTCCCTCCTTGCGGTACGAGCCTGTTGACCAGATCGAGCTGTATCGTGAGGGGCTGCCGGTGTGGGGGCTAACACTTCCCACCTTGTTGTCCACAGGTAGTTGTCCGTTCGAGATTGCGCGACGGCCAGCAGACAGGAAGGATGGGTTGATGTCGTCTTCGATTTGTTGCGATGGTCTGCGCAGCTTCTCTGGAGAAAGAAGCTCATGAAGACTTGAAGGCAGAAGATCCTCGCCAATGCCCTCCTCTTCGCTCTCTTCGGAATCAGTAGCATCCGGTGGGAAGTGTGAATAGAACGAAGGCCTGGTGCCGACACTAGCGGACATCATAGGTCTAGGTCGCGAGAACCTCTCCGAGTGCAGGGGTCTCTTTCCGAAGCTCATTGGCTCCTCAAAGGTAGGAGGGGAGGAGCCGGCCAGTACACCATCGAGAGTGGTGTTTCCGAGTCCGCGCAAGGTGCTTCCGAGGAAGGCCTTGTTAGGCAAAGACGAAGGGGGTGACTCCAGACCATTGCCGAGACGAGGAGGGACGGATGATGCAAACGGACCGTGACGAGCAGCATGTGAGATACCTTGGCTGTCGAACGAACCAGGCAGCGGCGCATCCAGAACACTCAGTCCTCTGGCATTTGGGGATGCTCCGAAACGATTGTCGTTCATTGGAGAACCATAGGCGTTACTCGGGTCGAGTGATAGAGGTTGTGAAGCCTGGAGGTATGGCGCAGCGTTCGGCAGATTTGGTACGTCTTCTTGCTTGGGATATCCCATCTCTTGTGGCTGTTGCTGCTGTTGCGATGCGAGGTCATTGGCTTGCATGGTGAGCAAAGAGGGCGGGGCGGGAGCGTATGGTTGAGGACCACGGCGGCCATAATTGAAAGGTTGACCTCCGCGAGGAGGCCTGTTGATGACTCGACCGTCGGGGAGGATATGGGCGAGGGCGCATCCTTGACCGAACCTGCAGCTACCCTGGTATAGCGAGTCAGTGTCATGCAAGCGGAGACACATGCGACGAGAGCGCAAGTACCTTGGCAAAGTATTTGCAAGGCGCATTCTGCGTCATGGGGTCCATGTCGTGGGAGAACTGACAAGCCGCGCCGGCTTGACAGGTGCCGAAAGGGTAGAACTTGCATGGCACATGCGAAGTGTCTATCGCGTGTTAGACATAGAGAGGAGTATGAGGAGCTCTGACAGCCATACTCTTTGCTTTGGGAGGACTGCGGGCACCGGCGAAGGCTGCGGCCGAGTTTGGCTGAGCAAAGTCCTTTGGCATGTTTTGAGCAAATGATGCGCTGCTCGAGCGCCTGTGAGGCGTGGTCTCTTCGACACTCATGTCCAGATGGCCAGTCAGGACGTGTTGGTGGTGGAGTGTGGAGAGGGGTAGTGTTGGCAAGAGGGAGGTTAAGCGGAGGAGGATCGGAGGCCCGGGAGAAAAGGTGTCGAGAGGGGAATGGGAGGAGCGAACGCCAACAACGCCGCTGCTTGTCGACTGGGAACTCGTCACACTGTATACAGCTGGCGCACTGGTCTTCGTCGTGTCTTGCAAGGCTTAATCGCTTGGGCGGCCTTGTGAGATCATATCTCTTGGTCGAGTCCGACAGCGCTCGAGCTGAGTCGAGCATGTGAGCCGATTGGTCACCTGCGCGACTTCGCAATGCCCTCCGCTCATCACGTTCACCTTCAGGGCTAGGTCGACTTGCCCGATATCCACCTGCTCCACCTCGCGGCTTATGAAAGTGCGATAAGGATTATCCTCGTCTGGACATACAGTAAAATGTTGCAAGTGTCTCCTGTCGACTCGACGTCTGAGGAAGCTACACGAGTACTGTCCTATACTGTTTCCGTGTAGGGTAGAATAGCAGGCTGTAAGAAGTGTAGAGCATCCTGTACTCGAGACAGCAGCGACTGGGTGCGTGCTCATGTTCTTCTGGTTATTCTCATCCTGGAGGCCAAATCATCCTCGTCGCCATCGGGGAGACTCATTGACCGTCGATCAAAGCACATTACCCCTTGTCGGCTTGTTCTCTTGGTTCCTCGAGGGGGTTGACGGACTCTCAAACGCTCGGACGAAGCGACTGGAATCATGCCTTTCTGTTCGGCAAAATGAGCAATACTAGAATTATCGTCATCGAGCTCTGTTTGGTCGCACAACAGCCACATGCTTCCTCACCGCCACAGACAGAGTCACGCGTGCAGCTTGCCGCACGAGCTGTTCCTCTTTGAACCGCACTCTTTGTTCCTCACATACGATATGCGGAGAGTTCATGACACTTGGTCAGTCTGTGACTGCTGTGTCACCGTCCGGCTCCAACATGTAGACATTTCGATCCCGATTTCCGGTTTCGCGGTTGCAGAAGATGATACCATCAGAACATCCAATTGGCAAACGAGGCCGTCCAGTAGAACGGAGTCGAGGTTGATGGTGATACTGATGCAGGAACCCACTTGGATGCACGATCACTTCCAAACCACGGAAGGGGCGGACCGTGCCTAGTCGCATGGTAAAGTTGTGAATGACAGAGCGGAGTGACGAGCCCAAGGTTTTAGCAAAGATGCGAAGATAGGGAGCAGGCAAGTATGGATTGAAGGAAACCTTTATGAGGTGGTAGGTTTGAATGGAGACCCAACAGGGCCCTCGAGAAACGCATTAAGATTTGGTTTTGTGAAGTTCAACAGGGCTGGACGACTGCTGCTGATATCAGGGAGTGGAGCCCAAGAGCAAATGGAGGCTCAGGACTATTCCCTCGCCTTGGTGGTTTGATTGGTTGTCACCGACGACCAGGTGTGCCTGCCAGTCAAAATCCCGTCGCTGTTCGCACCTTTCTTGTTTACCTTTTCCCGCGCACACTTTCGTTACTCTTCAAAACACATCACTCTCGTTTCTCCAAACTTTTCCTTCTACACGAATCATTCATTCTCCATCCATCGGTCTTACTATGCGTCTGGCGACTCCTCTCACAGCATTGGCCCTTGTTGGCTGTGCTTTCGCTGACAGCGTTCTCCAGAAGTGAGTTTACAATATCTGCGCGTTTGAATTGACAGATTTTCCTATGTCCTCTTTGTTTTGCGCGCCTGCTGACCCGATCTTACAGCGCTTGCTCTTGCGAGGCTGTCACGGAAACTGTCACTGTCTCGATTTGCCAGAGCGGGACCGCTCTTGCCTCTGCAGTCAGCTCCAAGTCATTCTCGACTATCACAAGCTACTCTACCCTGACCAACTTTGTGACTGTCACTCCCTCGCAGACTCTCGCTGGCCCGATCTCCTCATCGGCCGCTGTGCTGTCTTCTAGTTCGGGCTACTCCTTCATCGCTCAGGATAGTACAACCAGCTGGATCGGTGGCGCTTCTCCTGATGCCAGCTTCAGCTCATTCGTCACCGAGACCGTCCAAGTGACCGTCTTCCCCGTTCCCAGCGGTGATGCTGAAGTCACGATCACTCAAACTACGATCCTCACCGTCACACCACCTGCTGTAACCTCTTTCGTGCCTCAGCCCTCAATGGTTTCGGCTGCTTCCTCGGAAGATGAAACCACGACTTCAACTGTGACTTCGTACCTCACCAAGAGCGTCATTTCCGTTCACACGGTCTACTTGACTTCCAAGCACTCCAAGTCCGCTACATCTCACTCGATTCACACTGTGACTGGACCTCCAACCTCCACTACAATCACAGTCAAGGCAGCATCCACTTCAGAGTCAGTCTGCTCTGTCAGCTACGTTGATGTCACAACCGACATTACCTACACTGTTCTTGCAACTGCATCTGCTGGCTTTACATCCGCCCTGAACAGTGCTGGAAACCTTAGCTCTCTTGCTGGAGCTGCATCTGCCTCAAATGCTACTCTCCATCACTTTACCACGCTTACCGGATCTTCGCATCAATCATCTTCTTGGTTGGCCGGCTGGAGCTTGACAGATTCAGTGGCATCTCCTACAATTTCGCTGATCTCCTCGGTGTCTATCAGCGCCGTGTCACAACAGGCCCCTGGAAAGAACGGCACCTTAAGCACAGCATCGGTCACTGGCTATGTACCTTTCATGCCAGGCCCTGTAATGTCTTTGAGTGCGATTGCGCTGCTACGTCCCTCTTCGACTCTGACCAAGATGTACACCAACACTTCCTCTGCGATGCCAATGCCTACCGTTTGCGGTGAGCATGGAAACTTCACCCTGAACGTGAGTACTCATTTTACCAAAGTTGCTTATGTGACAAAGCTGATACCACATACAGTGGGAAGACGGTCCCGACTTCGCAGAGCACACACGACTCATATCTGAGCCTAGCGCCGGCCCACCCATCTTCAACCCATACCACCACATGTACTTCTCAAATGGCTTTGTCTACGCCGCTCCTGGCTCTAGTCCATTTGGAGGTTCCGCGAGCGATCATCGTCTTGTAATGTTTGTGGCCAACGATACCGGTGACAGCGATAACCACAACGAGGGTGGACAGCTTCCTGGCGAGTTTGGCGCAGGCATCCGTAGAAGCTCCAGTGCATTCTGGTTCAATGCCCATAGCGCACTAATTGGATGTGACGGCTTGGACACCAGTGCAGACTGTACTGTGCAGATCACCGGCCTCGTCTACAACAACGAGACCAAGGCAGAGGTTGCAGCATTTGAGCAGACCGTCATGCTTCCACCATGCTCTCCTCACACCGGAAATCTTGCGATGATAAACTGCCAACTCACGGAGGTCCGTTTCGCGCAGTCGATGCAAGGGCTGAGTGGTCTCCGCATTCAGGCTTTCTCAAAGGCAGGTACAGCTCGTTCCTGGTTCATGGGCGATCTGACACTCGGCTGGAGCAACAACACTTGTGCTGCTGGTCTCCTCAGAGGCAGAAGTCAGTGAAGAAGTCAGAGCACAAGCATGATTGATTGTAATACTACCAGATAGGCAGGCAGGACTTGTCTAATACATACACGAAATGAAGGAACAAGAATGGTTGTCAGATGACGACGAGGTACATAGACTCTTTACGCAAAGAAGTGATCTGACATGGAGGACCCCAATAATCGTCAGTGATGTGCTCAATTTTGTCGTATGTGTTGTACCCAGTCCTCAGAATGCTTATGACGAGTCTCTCTTCCAAGACATCGTCGCGTAAGGCAAAGCTATTGTACTATCAAGAGCCTCTTGTCATTGGAATTCTGGACTCGGTCGATGGAGGCAGAGTATGAATTGATGATATCTTGGCAGGTGAGACAGTGAGCAGTCTCGCGACTTCGCGGGGTGTGAAAGTCACGGTCGCGCTTTCACTTCTTCATAGCCATCAGCAATTACATCGGCGACTATCGCTATTCTGCTCATCGCCCGAAGCCTTTCGATCTCAATTTCACTCAACACCTCGAAGCCCGAGCGACGACGACATCATCATGAGTCAAGCAGGCGGCGCGTCGCAGGCGGCCTCTGGCTACCCTCCTGACATGATCCGGCCAGAGAGAATTGCGAACATCCCCATGCTGTCGGCCGATCTCAAGGTCAAATATAGCGAGGGCTTGACCAAGCTATGGAACGCGCTTGAAGCGAATGCGCCTGGTAGCGAGACACATACAAAGGCAACAACGAGGATTAAGGACGTCTCGAGAGAGATTATGCGTCACATCACAACCTGGAAAGCCAATCAGACTCAGAATCAGCAGAACCAGCAGCAGCGACCGCAATCTCAGGCTCAGGTCCAGCAGCTTCCTAATCAGCAGCAGCAGCAGCAGCAACCAGCTCAACAGCCGATTCAGGCACAGCAGCCACAGCAACAGCAGGCGCAACCTACCCCTCAGCAGCAACAACAACCTGTACCCCAACAGCAGATACCAAATCAACAGCAGCTCCAGCAGCAACAACATCATCCTCAGCAGCCTCAGCAAATTCCTCCCAAGCAGCAGCAGCAGCAGCAACAGCAGCAAGTACCTCAAGGCCAGGGCACATTCCCGCTCGGCCAGCAAGCAAAGACCTTCTTGAACGGCTTCAAGGTCTTCCCTCCGATGTCGATTGTTCCCAATACTCCGGAGTACGAGAACTACAAGAGGCTCATCATGGGTAACCTGACCAGACTTGTTACCATGCAGGAGAGCAGCGTGAGTCGCTTTCAGCAGACGCACGAGAAGATTTCTCAGCTGGAAGCAGCTGGACAGACGGCCACACCGGAATTGGTCGCCGCTAGAGACTCCGCTAGAATGGGCGTCCAGGATGCCAGGACCAAAGTCGACGCCGTTCGTAATGAGAACGAGAAGAACCGCATGGCTTGGGCCGAAAAGTCCAAGCCGCCGCAGCAACAACAAAATAATTCGCAAACTCCCATGCCGCAGCAGCAAGTCGCTTCGCCTTACAACCAGTCGGCTCAGGCCAACAACAATCCCAACCAGGCCATGAGCCCTGCCGTGCCCAATCCCTACCAGCAGCAGCAGCAGCAACAACAACAATCGAACGTACCCATGCACCCTCAGCAGCAGCCCATTGCTCGCCCTCCTAACCAACAACAACCCTATCAATCACCTGCAGCTCAGGGTCAAGGCCAGCCCCAGCCTCTCACTCACGCCGCCGCCATCAACCAAGCTCAACGCACTTACTCGGAGCAACAGCAAGGACAAGGCACCCCTACTTCACAACCTGGAGGCCAAGCTTTCAACCACACTCAGAACACTGCCCTCAACGTCGGCAACCCCAAATTCCCAATCCCCAAGAACCTGCCAACCACCGGTCCTCACAACCCTGTCGCCATGGGTCCAGCTCGCCCCACCTTTGGAGGCCCCAGCAATGGCGCACCTGGTATGATGGGTCAACCTGCAGTCCAAAAGACGCCTCACTTCATCCTCGAGGGAGAAGGCGACCGCGTGCTTAGCAAGAAAAAGTTGGACGAATTGGTCAGACAAGTCACCGGCGGAGGTGAGGGCGACGGTCTCACACCCGACGTCGAAGAGTCCGTCCTCACTCTAGCAGACGACTTTGTCGACAGCGTCATCACTGCCGCTTGTCGCCTAGCCAAGATCAGACCAAACTCGACCCTCGACATCCGCGACATCCAAATCATCCTCGAGCGCAACTACAACATCCGCGTGCCTGGCTACTCGCTCGATGAAGTCCGCACTGTGCGCAAGTTCCAGCCCGCACCTGGATGGACACAAAAGATGAATGCCGTGCAAGCCGCCAAAGTTATGGGAAAGAACGACGCATAGAATGGTGTCGTATCACCTCCAAAACTTACCGTGCGCGCACCGGCTACACGAGCACCAAGAAAGAGAAAAGAGCAGTCTTGATGATTTCAGACAAGGCTCGATACATTTTTTTTGGCTTTTGCAAGCGAGGAGTTGTGGGATGGGGGGAGAAGTTATCTGCTTTTATGGTTCTTTTGGGGGGGAGAAATGTGTATTTCTAGGATGGATGGTCCAAATCACGTAATGAGGTGGTTTCATTGCCATCACATATTGCTTGTGGTATCGCTTCGAACGTGGGCATCAACATAGCAAAGTAAATGCCACTTTTGCTTGACAACATCATCTACCGTTTTTTTGATCCACGTCTATTTTTGAGGTGACCCTGGCATATAGGACAGGGTGATACCGATTACATGAACCGAAGTATGTTTTCGACTCTGCCTGGCCGCGTCACGGTATATAACTAGATTCGAATCTGGCAATCCTATTCTCTATATTATTTTCAGTGTTTTCTGGATGGTATTAGATCTGGATACGATGGTTGCGGTGGCTGGTAGATGCAATTTGGAGGTTTGAAGTGGTGATGTTGGGAGCTTCATGTATAACACCACCAAACACGTGTCGAGCAGCGAAAGCACTCACAGCATCTACGACCAGTACCACATCTAGATTCATCATGACGTGATGGAGTAGCGATGAGACGAGTGAGAAAAAGGTTCGACGTTTTTAGCAACATCGAAAAAAGGTGGAAAAGATAGATATTTCGTGATTTCGTACTTTGTGAGACTAAAACTGATACTTGTACTACTGTATAACCAGAGTTCCATCTTGGAATTTTCAGATTGGCAAATACAAGCAACCAACCAACCAGATAAGCACCTCCTTTTTCTTTATATCCAAGAACCTCCAGTCCCCTTTAGCAAAACCTCACCTCACGCCTCCAACCCCTTTCTCTGCCTCCTTGGTGTTCTTATTACATCCATAAACACAACTTGCCACTTGCCGTGCCTGCGGCGATCCAATCTTGAGATTGATGGAATTGTGCAACACTGGGCACAGCTGTGATGCCTTCTCCTCCGAGCTGAGCAAGTTGTTGTCCGTCTCCTGTGTAGACATCGACGAAGCGATTCATATTTCCAATGCAGAAACGTTGGATGGAATCTTGAGGTTGGAGTTGCCATTGCGCACGAAGACTGTTTACTTGTTAGTATCAATGATTCGATGAAGGAGGGAAGAGGGAGAGGGCACTTACATAGTTACCCATCTTCCAGTCTGGTTGTTATGAGGAATTATGGTCGATGGAGTCATTTGATCCTCACTGAGCTCAACACCTTTATCCCAACTTCCTGCAGAGCTGAAATCGTAGATTTTGACAGTGTCATCGTAACTTGCTGTTGCGATTTGTCCTGCAGAATTAAAGGCTGCGTGAGAAACACTTAACCTACTCTCATGAGCACCTATTTCCATGGGAGCTTCCTCTTTGCCATCTTTCAGCATTCGCAAATCCCAGATTCGTAAATAGCGGTCCAAGGAAGCGGTTGCAAAGATATGCGGGTGAGCGGGATGTAGACTAAAGCCTCCTATTTTCTTTTCTGACAAAGTGTAGAGGTTTGTGCCTGAAGTTCCTGGTTTTGAGCGGGTATCGTGACGGCCAAAGTTTCCGTTCAAAGTGCTGAAGAAGAGGGTGTTGGGGTCGAATTGAGACATTTCTACTCCACTGAGGGGTTCATCGTCGTCTTTTGAGATGGGAGCATAAGCTTCTATGGCTACTCCTTTTTGCAAGTCTAGTTTTCGGATGGAGCTGTCGTAGCTGGCTGAGTATAGAGCATTTTGATCGTGGGGGGAGAATTGAAAGGCGGAGATTGTGCGAGTGTGGATTTTGAGGGTAGTAATTGAAGGGGTGGCTTCTTCGTCGTCGGACTCGTCGTCGTCTTCATTCTTAATGGTCGAGGTAGGTTGTTGGGAGGCGTCGAAGAGACCTAGACTTCCTAGCTTGTCACCAGCAAAGACAAGGGCTTTTTCGGTGGTAGGGTGGAAGCCTAGAGAGTAGATTCTCTCGGGGGTGATTTTGATCCTGCTGGGTTCGAAGCCTTGCCATAAGTCGAGGTTGCTCATGCGTTCGCGCAGTTCTTTCAACTCCGTGTCTGTGGTTTCCTTCACATCTTGAGCACTGAAGGTGCGTTCGCCAGGGTTTGCGGGACCGACTATGCGTAGGAAGTTTCCACTCTGATCCCAATCTTTTCCAGCCACTACGACATCTGAGAAGCGTAGATCTGCAGAGACGCGTTGGCGTTTTGCTCGCTCGGCTTGAGCTAGCAGCTCAGACTCCTCTTCAGCTTTTCGTCTGGCGACCTCGGAATCGGCGACAATTCCTGGATCAAATCAGCATAGCCCGCAGTAGAGTTAGGAGGCTTCGAGCAGTACCTTTCAATCTGGAAGATGTGCGTCTGGGCTGTACCTCCTCTTTGATCCTTTGCACTGGAGCCTTCCTCTTCTTGGCAGCATTGTTGGAGGCAGGACGTGCAGGCTTCTTCGGCGCGAGACCAGCGGATGCGGCTTCGAGTTGCAATTGACGAAGCAGAGCTTGATTTTTTGCTATGTTTTCCTGTCGTTGCAGTTCATATTCGCTGAGTTCGGCTGCTGACTTCTTCGGCATGGTGATCTCCTGTGTTGTGGCTAAGGATGACGTTGTTTGAGAAAGTTGGTGCCGTGCATTCTCGAGGGAGACGCGAAGGTCGCGAAAGCGTGTCGGTGACGTGATGCATCTCGGTCAAAGTCCGCTTCGGCTTGCCAACGCAAAACACTTTTGGTCCAAGAAGTCTAGCCAACGGTGTCGCTATACCGCAAAATATCAACTTCCTCAACTCGAGAGACATTTCGACCTGCCGGACGGGGAGAGATACGCACGGAAGAGTAGAAGGTCGCAGCGAATCAATACAGTCATTACCGGCTCTCCAAGAATTGTAACTTTCTCCATCTCGAAAATAAATGTCTGGATGCGCAAATGCAGGTCAAGCTCTCAGTAGAGGCTTGAAGCTGTACTCGACCAGGACTACATTGTCATTACCATTACCATTCCTATACCAAACATCAACACTATGTCGCTATTACAGCGCTCTACAAGATCTGGCCAAGGAGAATGCGGCAAAAGCAGAACCCACCATTCAGCCCAAGAGACCAGACCGAGAACCCACATCTACCACCGCACACCGTCCGAAGCCTGAATACCAAGAATACGTCCCCTTTGAAACATCTCCCGTCCACGAACAGACCGAGTCTCAGTATTTCGTAGAAGGAGACACCCTTACAGGAACAGAGCGTAATGCCTTTGCACAACTGGAAGCTCTGGGCGGCGCCCCAATAGTACGACCTACCGTCAAAAAGTCAAGCTTCGCAGAAGACCAATACGCGAGTCTGGACGATATCCTAAACCAAGCCCTGCTAGCCGTCGAAGCCAAAGAATCAAAACGAAGAGCAAAGCCATCTCCCACAAGCACGGAAACTATCCCAAAACTACCTTCAGAAAAGCCGGTTCTCTCAGTCGAAAGAATCAGCACAGTACAAGCCATCCACCGCGCCCAAACAGACACCGCCCTCTGGTCCGTCCTAGAAACAAAAGTCTTCTCCCCAATCGCCGCTTTAGCCCTCGACTCCACCACCCCTACACCCGAGGGTCTCGCAATGTCCTTGGAGCGCCGTCGCTTCCATATGCGTCAATTCCCAAAAAGCCTCATCCTCGCCGCCTCTTACCTACGCACCTCCTTCCCAACCTCCAACATGCTACTCTCCCTCCTCCCACGCATAAAACAACTAGGTCCCTCCGCCCACTCCCTCGCCGCAACCCCAGACCTCTACAATCAACTCCTCGCCTACCACTATAAAAAATACTTCGACCTCGACACTTGCTGTGATTTGCTCCAAGAAATGGAAGACGAGGTGATTGAATGGAATGACACTACCCTGTTTATTCTAAATCACATGCTAGATCAGCGTTTGGAAGGCTTCAGAAATGTCCCCCGCCCCACCCCGACAAAATGGTTGTTCAAAACTGAATATTATAAAAAGGGGTGGTTTGGGTTAGCGGCATGGAGGGAGAAAGTTGAAAGGGAGTTGTTGGCGCAGAAGAGAAGGGAAGCGTTGAAGCAGGCAGCAGGAGGGGAACAAGGGGATGAGAAAACGGGTGAAGAAGAAAAAGAGCAAGCTGGGTTTATTCGCTATCATCCATCGCAAGAAAAGACGGATCAGTCTTTTTTGAAGACAGGGAGGATGGGTTCAGGACCTATGATTAAAAAATATAGTTTGTGATCGTCTGTGTCACAATAGGCCAAAAAGCCTTTCTATTCTCTCAAGTATTTTCTTCCTCCGGACATATTTTCGTCGGTTTGTCTTGACTGATGGGAAATCTAGGCTTGATATTCGCCGTGTATTGTTCCGAGAGAGACAAGAGGAGAGAGAAGAAGAAGCCAGCCAATGGCTAGGAGAAGAACAAAACAAAACAAGCACAGTGATATGCATAAAGTAGGCTTCCACCTTCATCTCCAAATCATACAAGCAACAAGAGAATTTGCCCTCCCCCTCTCCTTCCCAATGTCCCTTCTCAAACCTCACCCCAACCCCCCAAAACACCTTCCCCAGTACTCCCTGCACTAACCACACTTCCCGTACTACTGGGAAAGTCCCAATACCTCCTCGACCCTCCCGAACGCGTCCTCTTCGTACTCTGACTAGCACAACTACTGCTCTGTGCTCTACGGTGCATAAGTGTATGTAACAACACGCTTTCACGTCTCCGTTGTGCAGACACAGAGGCGGCGTGAGAAACTAGCGGGTGATGGCGGCGTATGAGATCGGCTCTTCGGCGAGACTCTGGGGATGTGCCGAGGGCGGATGCTGTGGTGTCTGGGGAGGGAGATGCCCAGGCGGGGGGTAGGATACTAGAAGTTGACGATTGCGGTGGTTGGGGTTCTGGGGGAGATGGTGATGGGGGTCGTGAGGTGAAGCGGCTGCGAAGGTAGCGGAACACTACGCCAATGTCTAAATCGCGTTCCCAGTATTCCGTGTCTTGATCTTTGTCTTTGTCTTGTGACGTCTCATCTTCCTCGGCGGACTCTTGTGGTTGCTCGGGAATGCCCCAGAGTGAGGTGTCTGCTTCGACAGCAGGAGAAATGGCAGGGTTTGCGAAAGTGGGAGCGAAGAGTGGAGGGGCAAAGTTTGACTCAGGCACATCGACCGATTTCGCCGTGGTTGATGGCGGTGGAATCTGGCGTGGTTGTGATTGTGTAGGTCGATCAGGTTGGTAAGGGGTATATGTGCTGAAGGTGCGGTCTTGCCGATCGTAGTCGGCGAGTTGGTTGGCAAGTATACCAAGCTCTTTTGCGATTCTATTCAGCAGCCGATTCTCCCATACTCGATCTTGGTGTGCTGAGAAGACTTCAGTCAGGGGGGACTGCTGAGTCGGAGTTGTTTGAGCTGCTGGTGCAAGTTCCTCGCCAAAGATGACAGATAGAGTGGTGTCGTCTAGACCCATGAGGTCCTTGATGACTCTACGAGTAACTCGTTGCCAGAATGACTCAGTCTCTGTACTCGGCGCAGCAGTCGAGTTTGTGCGTGAGACGATGGACAATTCTCGTCGTCGTCTGCGGGTCTCCTTCTCAATCTCTTCTAGTACAGCACGACTTTGTTCCAGACGCCATGTCTCAATGCGTAATCGTTTCTCTTCTTGCTTGTCTGTTTCCTGTTCTTCCAGAGCATCGAACTTTCGCTGAACGCTGCTTCGTCTTCGTTGGGCTCGACGGCGATTGGACGGGTTGTACCTCTCAAACTGCCACAAGTGTTCTTGAACGTTGTCGTTGTTGTTGTTGTGGTACAGTGCGGGGAAGGAGCCCATACCATCATGGTTGGGCAGCACGGCACCACCACTCTGATCCAGCGAGAATGGTGGGTGGAAAGCATGTAGTCCATCATCTAGACTGTCCAACTCTTCATCCTCGTCGTCAATCTCGGTACCCTGGCAGGTAACATCCTCCTCATCTTCCTTGGCTTGCTTTTGCTTGGAGCGGTCACCTGTTTCGAGGGAGCCAAAGTCGGAGAATCCAGGCGGATGTTGGATATGTGATGTTTGTGAAGTGTACGACGTCAAGGATGGCTCGTGTTCGAGTTGTGGCGAGAAGAGGATCCATTCTTGCGACTCATCCACCCGTCCGTGACGTGTGGCGTCGTGGGCCACGAGAGAGTGGGGGATGGATGCTGGTCGCTGTATCTGTCGCCGCTGCTGGAGCGGCTGTCGGAATGCCATGTTTGCTCGATGTGATGTGTCTAGCTCAAGATAGACGAGTGGTCAACCTCAGGGGAAAAGAGGCGCAAGCAAGGTATGTCTCCTCGCTTTGGGCTGCCTGCAGTTGATGTTGCTCGTTGCTCTATGCCGCGTCGATCTTGTGGGGTATTGCTTCTTATCGACCGTTTATTGATGTACAGACAAATACCATCAGACTCGTGTCATGCTTGTCGCTCTCGTTGTTGAGGGTTGGAAAAAAGAAGGAAGATTCTTGGGAAACACCAAAAACCTATCGTCGTCGACTCATGCACATGCCCAACAAGTCACGAATCGTTGATGACTGGATGGCACCATTCCTGCCTGTTTCCTCGTGAGCCCATCGTGACCACTAGCCACAAGTCTAAGTGTTGGCGTTAGATAAGATCGCAACCTTGATAAGCTTTATTTCCACACTCCGCTATCGCCCGCCTGCAAAAAGATACCTATATACACCGAGCGCATGACTAGACAAATTCTGAAACCCTGCGTCATGTCCATCTTTCAGACCCGGCCCGATGCATCTTCCCCTCCGCTAATCAACTCACCCTAAAACCCTTCTATCTCGTCTTCTGTTTCATCACCAGGCAGCTTCTTCTCCCCGTCCTGACTGCCCTCTTCCTCTCCAAGCCAATGCTTGATGATGCACTGCGCTTGCATACGCTGACAGACCTTCTTGCGTCCCAAATTCTTGTACCTTGGTCCTAATGGCCCACTGACATAATGATACTGTCCCCAGAAGCTGTACTGCCTCTTGTCGCTCATGGGGTAGATCTTGTCTCCCCAGTGGCCCCTGAAATTGAACCAGTTCACTGGCGCATACGGCGTTTGCGCAGACGACTTTATGTGTCGAGATGTGTGATTATACACATACGCATGATGATTCAGATTTGGGTCCCAGAGTGGTCCCTTGTCGGTCTGGTCGTGCAAAAGTCCCCATGGTAGGACGTACGGATGCATTCCCGGCGTTGCATAGACTGCGTGTGTGCCTGTCGCACTGTAAACGACTGGTCGCTTGCCATACTTCTCAATGGCATGGTATGCATATGCATCTCCGGCTCCGTGTTCCGAAATGTATACTGCCTCGGGAGTACCATTCACAAATCTGACCATCGAGTGCTCCCAGTCTCCCACATGGTTACCGAAGCGGATGTTGAATACCTTGTTCCCAAGGTTGTAACTGTAAAAGTAGAACCAGAATGCGTCCACTATTCCATCTTCCTTGGGCACTACAATGAGCACCGCAGGAGCAGAGCTATGCCCTCCAAGTTCTTGTAGCCTGTCTGATGGCTTGCCACGGTTCTCGGGACCATGTCTGCTGGGTTCGTTCCGGTGTTTCCGATCATCTCCACGTCCTGGCTTGAGCGGCGGATTCTTCAGAAGTCGCCTAGAATGCTCCTTGTAGAGATCTTCAGAACTATGAGGTATATTCGAACTTCCGCCTAACCAATCAGGTCGCTCTTCTACATTGTCCTCGCTTTTCAAATACGCAAAGCTGCCGAACTCATTAAGCTCGTCGAGATTGTCGAGAGTTCTGTCATTCTCCATACTTCGAATCAGGGTATAGTTCGCATACGGCGATGTGTGAACAAGGTGCTCCGCGATGTCGCACGGCCAAAACTGCTCTCCTGAGAATAGATGGACATATGGTGTGTAGTCGTAGACATATTGAGGTATATGTCGTGAGAGACGCTCTGTTTTTGACCATGTCTCTGGCTTTTCCAGACCACTGGTCCAGAACTGTGAAGCATGCGGCTGGACCGAGTGTTCCACGTGCGACAGAGGTATTTGCTGATTTGAGCCTAGATTCTGGTATCGAGATGACTCGCCATTTGAGCTTTCTGTTTCACAATTGCTCAACCATCGACAGCTTTGCCTGTTTACCCAGGATAATGAAGATTGAGTCCAACTGGGATTTTCGACTTGGGTGGCAACATTGTCTGACCAGCCTGAATGGGGATGAGCTGATGTCAGTGTTAGGCAGCCGAGTAAGGCTGGTATAATAGCCATAGGTTGAGTCCAGCTTGTGCAAATCACAGTCTTTGTGACAGAAGTGTTCTTGGTGCAAGTCTGACGAACTTGCTTTAGTGCATGGGAAGAGGTGCGACTTATGGACGGGAAAGCGACAGTGATGCAGGATATCGAAGACGATGGGGAAGTGGTGCAAGATAGTTGATCATCAAGGTCGCCGTTAGAAGCAGCTGAATTCACTGTCATCCGGATGCGCGGGTCAGCATAAGTCCGTATAGGTAATCACATGCTACAAATAGACAGGGTCATATCTATCATGCCAGCAATTAATGTTTGAGCGGACGCAAGTGTCGAGAAAGTAAGCTTTTGTGGTAAAAACAAGGCAGGAGAGAGACGTCAGCTATGAAGAACAAGCATCGCCAATCAGAATTGACAATGCAACGCGAGAACCACGATGCTAGAAGACACAAAACCCGGAATGACAAAGGCGAGACCTCTGAGAAGGGCGGTAATCAACACGTACTTGATGGTGTCGCGACGAAAGGCGCCTTGGCAGGGATTCTGCGGATGCGTCGGGATATAGTGTATGCGGGGTGCGATGACGAATGGCAAGTTTTTGGAATTGAACGAGAAGTCTTCGAAGAGCGAACTATGTTGATGTAGGTATTTTCAGGAGGTAAGTGGGAGTACAGAAGAGGAGTCAGTTCAAGGGAACAGGATGCAAGGCAACAGTCTGTTTGCTGACATGTTCTGTCAACGAATGCCGGAGAGACAATCGTCACCGTCGGTGATTCCAGCCCATGGCCGGATGGCGCTAGCGTCTTGCTTCCGAGTCCCGATCAGCGGCTTTCCCGATTGAAGATATTCGAGCTGCTTGAATGTGAAGCTGTCAACACACGAAGATGGACATGTCAACGAGTTAAGTATGCCATCACTTCGGAATCATGACAAGCACGAACATGGCAGGTTCGGAGGATGAGTCCGAGTGGGAGTACGAGTACGACACGAACGTGACCGACGACTTTTACGTGACCATCGATTTGACAACACACATTCCACCAGCTCTTGCCAGAGACAGACGCGCAAAAGCCCAGAAGACGACTACCCGCGGCTCCAACAAGAGTCTTGCCAATGCGCCTGGTACTGGCAATGAGTCTGGCACGAAAGACGGTGCGACTCAGAACGATGACGGACAAGACGCCGACACAACCACAGAGCGCATGCAGATAGTCGGACTACACGACAGGAACCCCATTATCTCCTACAACAACGCCATCTACTCGTGTCAATGGGCCACCGATCTAGCCACTCAGATCTTTCTTACACCTCCACCTAGCGATTTCGACCCCGACTACGTAGCCCTCCGATCCACCCCATCCTACGACGTCCTAGGCACGAGTGCTGCGCGCGTTGTCGCCATACCTGCCAGCATACAACCTCGAGTTGCCGCTGTCCCGAATGCTGCGAAGGCCGCCACAACAAGTGCAGAGACCACCTACACAACAGCCGAGGGCGATGTGATCGAGCATACCACAGCCCAAGGCCTACGTATCAGCCTCCCATCCACCGCCAGCGCCCAACGAACAAGTCAAGCCAAATTTCTGGAAGCTCTCTCAGCCATCAAGTCTCGCCGCGGCGACCAGGATGCCGTCCCAGTTACAAACATCAAAGTCTACCATCCGCCAGAGGGCTGGGAGGAAGAGCGCGCAGACTATATAGAAAAGGAAAGCGCGCGTAGCAAAAAGGACAAGGCAGAGGCGGCTGCGCGCGCAAAGAGAGAAAAGGCAGAGCAAACGGCACGTCTCACCAGGCTCAATAGACGTCCTGCATATGCCCGGCCAAATCCTGACGAGGAGGCCGAAGAGGATGGCAGCGGAGATGAGAACGAAGACGATACAAACAAGGATGGGGATGCCGATGGGAACAAGCTGGTCACACGTAAGAGAAGGACATTGGCAAGAGGTGGCAGTCGCGGAGGTGCACCTAGCGGCAAGAGATTGCGCCAGAGCTTGGGTCTGCCCGAAGCTAGACGTGATGCAAGACCCAAGGGTCGTCCACGCAAGAAGAGAAAATTGGCCGAGGTGCCTGAAGATATACCTGGAGAGGCAACTGAAGACACTACTGCCGAAGCCATCTCTGCTGTTTCAGCAGGACCTAGTCGAGATGGCACGAGCGCTCAGGCTGAGCAGGAAGACACGAACATGACAGAAGGAGGCGCTATACACGATGATGGCAGTGCCACACAAAACGACTAGCGATACCCGTGCTGTACAATGCTTTACTTTCCTACAATACCAAAAATGCAAAAATGTTCACAATCACTCTGGCTGTACCGTAAGTTCTCTGATACTTGCAAAGCACAGTTTGTTGTTTTTCTCAAAAGCAGATCTACCAACCAAATCCCAATTTCCATCCCTCATCTAAAAGCCAACCAAATCGGCCAATCACTTCTTAGCACCATGCCACTTCTCATAAACAGCATCCCAACCCTGCTCATCCATAAGCTTCTCCCTCTCCATGACCTCCTCAGTAGACTCTTCAGCATACTTGACAACAGCATTCTGAATCGCACTCTCCTTCAAGCCAATGATGCGAGCAGCCAACAAAGCAGCATTGGTACTATTGTTGGTACCCACAGTAGCCACAGGAACACCACGAGGCATGTTGAGAATACTCAGTACACTGTCTGTGCCATCGCCAATGGTTGGCTTGACAGGAACACCGATGACAGGGATTGCGGTGTGAGAGGCTGCCATACCGGGAAGATGTGCAGCACCTCCTGCTGCGGCGATGAGGACCTGGATGCCGCGGGGGAGGGCAGAGTGTACGTATTCGCCCATCCAGTCGGGTGTGCGGTGGGCAGATGTAATGTGGGTTTCAAAGGGAATGTTTAGTTTCTTGAGGATGTTGATGCCGGCCTGGAGGACGGGCATGTCGCTGTAGGAGCCCATGATTACACCGACCATGGCGTCTTTGGCTTGGCCGCTGGTGGAGGGCGGGGACAGGGGTGCGCTCTTCTTGCCGCGGACGTCGTCGGTGATGTCGAGGAGGACTTGCATGGACTTTTCTGCTTCGCGCATGCTGGGTGCTGTGAGGGTCATGTGGCCCATCTTCCTGCCGGGACGGGCGTCACCCTTGCCGTAGAGGTGGATTGAAGCACCGACGCCAGCAGCGATGGAGCGTTCAGCGATTTGGACAGCTGAGTCGGGAGTAGAAGCACCGAGGATGTTGAGCATAATCGAGGGTTCTCTGATACGCAGCTCGTGTTGTTGAATAGGGATATCCAGGATTGAGCGAAGATGAGCGTCGTACTGTGAGATAGGGCAGGCCTCAATAGTGTAGTGGCCAGAGTTGTGAGGTCTAGGAGCAATCTCGTTGATCAAGAGACTGTCATCATCGAGCAAGAACATCTCAACACCAAACACACCCTTGCCCCAGAAGCAAGCAACAGCCTTCTTAGCTAGTTCCTGAGCCTGCTCAAGCACCTTCTTGGAAACGTTGCGAGCAGGGGCGTATACAAGCTTGCAAATGCTGTCCTCGTGAACGGTCTCGACAGTAGGGTAAGCCAGAACACCATCCTTGGTCTTGACAACCATAACAGCCAATTCAGCCTTGAAGTTGGCCCACTTCTCAGCATATAGAGGACGGTTTCCAAGAGCTTCCAGAGCAGCGTCAAAGTCAGCGGCAGATTTGACAGGGAAGTTTCCACGTCCATCGTAAGCTTCTGTGCGGGACTTGAGCATGAAAGGAAGACCGATCTGCTCGCCAACCTTTTGCAAGTCCTCCTTGGTAGCTCCAGCCAGCGGGATAGATTGAGCAGTAGCGACACTGTACTCCTGAAGATGCTCCTTTTGCGCGTACTTGTCCTGGATCATGCGAATAGTCTTCCAGCTGGGCTCCACAGGAACACCTTGAGAAGCAATCTTTTCCAGAATCTGAGTGTCTACATGTTCAATCTCAACAGTGACGACATCACAAGTTTTTGACAATTTTTCAATGGCTTCCGGGTCCTTGAATGATCCTTCAAAATGGCCTTCATGGCTGCTGATTTGTTTGGCGGGTGACTTTGCTGCGTCCAGAATGTTGACTTGAATGTTGAGCCGGTTGGCTGCCTCGACAAACATACGGCCCAACTGGCCACCTCCGAGAAGACCTACGACCTTTTTGTCCATGTTTGTGTAATGGTATAGATATAGATATAGAACAGAATGACGTGGTTGGGGGAGAATGGGAATATTTGAATGCCAAGATTTCCAAAGTCAAATTCAGGACCGATCTTTTTTGCAGTCACAGCCAGCGTCAGAGTCATGTCAACTGGGAGAAGCATGCAACAAGTCACAGTAGATGAGAAACACCTTAATGGTCAAGTTTTGGAGGAGTACGATTTCGATTGGACAAATTGGATGGGTTAAAAGTGCCTCGATCAACAATGACAAGGACGGACAGACTCGAAGATGGGGACAGCGGTATTGCAGTCACGTCGTGAAATATTGCCATTTGATCGTTGTTGTTCCTTTTTGCGAAAACGGCGCTTTTTTTGTAACACCAACCAATTTGTCCCGGAAGATGCTTAAATTCGCTAGCAAAGAGAAACCCATCATGTCTCGCCTCATGATTGATATCACCCAGAGACAGCCATTTTGAACCCCATTCATAACCGAGGTGCTTAGACCTTGAAACCCTTTGAACGTCTGCGACCACGGGCACGCTCGAACTTGCGACCCTTGGACTCGACCTTGGGCTTCTGCAGAGGTTGTTAGTAAACGTGTATTTCCAGAATGTGTGCTGCTGTTTGCGAAACAGGCACAGGGTATGACGTGCCTTGTGAGAGTGGGGACCGAAGCCGAAGTGCTTGACAGCCTCACGGGCGTTCTTGGGGCCACGGAGGAGGAGAGTGTTGGCACCGGTGGGGGCGCGCATGGCCAGCTGATCGAGGGTCAGGGCCTCACCGCCGGCAGCGATGATGCGGGCACGGGCGGTGTTGGTGTAGCGGAGGGCGGCAATCGACAGCTTGGGGAGCTCCAAGAGGCGGTTGTCGTCGGTGACGGTGCCGACCAAGACGATGGTCTTGCCCTCATGGGCCTTGCTGGAGTACTTGTTGGCAGCAGTGGCGACGATCTTGGAGAGCGACATTGGGGGGCGGTTGATCTTGCTCATATAGAGACGACGGAGGACAACAGCGTTGAACTTGCTGTCGGTACGGCCTTTGCGCAAAAAAAATGTCAGCCTTGCGCGCTACTGGATTTTCTTGCAGCAATTGACATGCGGCTCGCGTCCTCCAACACACCGCAGCAGCCTTTCTGATTCTTTCTGTCTTTCAATGTGTGCGGATTCGGCTGCTGGCAGCGCAGAATGTACGGTCGTATCGGTTGCTGTCTGGGAAGGGCTCCTTACGGCTCAAGAATCTGTAGAGCTTGACCAAGAGGGCAGTGTAGGGGTTCTCCGACTTGGGTGCCTTGCGGTGACCCGAGCGGACGTGGTGGTGGTCAAGACTATCTCATGTATCAGTATCGCTCCTTCAACATTGAAACATAGAGATACACACTCAATACCCATGATGCTGGTTTGTTAGTTGTCGAATGTCGTCGCTCGCACGTCAAGATCAAGACCGCAGGCAGAGGAGGAGTGCGAATTCTGTGCAGTGTGCGGCAGGCGCGACCCGCTTGGCGCCCCGAATATTTTCCGTAAGTGCCAAGCACCTTCCCAAAAAGCCTTGCCTCGACTCGACCATCATTTATCATTTATCCTGTGGAAACTCGCTTGATTGATACTTCACACCGAGATCATGGTCATAAATATCTAGTTGGGTGCTATACTACTTTTGCATACTAACACACGATACTGTGTAAGTTTGCAGCATCATTCGCTAGAATTGCATGCATGCAATTTGACCTCTGAACGGATTCTAGTCATCCGAGAAAGCACTGTGCCTTCCTACAGCTCGTTGCTCTGCTTCGCTTACAGCAGAGCGTGCAAGACTTGCAGAAGGTCGTCAACATGATTATTAGCAAACACAGAGCATTCAATCTACTAAATTTTTTTCACTTCGGGTCATGCTCGTTGCACATTGATGGCTCTGTATCCACTGAAGACACATTAATTACATCTTCGAGGCTTCGCGCCCAATGCAAGTCTTTGCTTTCTGTATCTAGGTATAAACTGCATCAAGTTTTTTGCCTCCAGAACGCCAAACTCCGTGCCATGCCTGACATCGGGAAAGTAAATAGCCCAAGACGCCAGTTTCTGCGGACGAAACAAAAGAAAAGACAAAAGGCCAGCTGAAGTATTGCAATCATTCTCATCATGCATTCTTTGTAATGTAACTTCCATTCTATGCCGGGCTGTTCAGGGTTTTTATAAGAGCTTCTGGACAAGGAGAATCGACGTGTGCAAACCTCATACTTCTGGTTTCAGACCGACGAAGAAGTCGCGGGTGAGCTCGAAACTCAGCCAACTGCTGGCCATGCTAGGGGCGACTTTGAGAAGATTGGGCGCAATACCCTTGTACATGCCTTTGATGCCTTCGTGCTTGACGATGACTCTGACGGCGTCAAAGATGGATTTGTACTTGTAGCCCATTCCTGACATTGTGTTGATTTGGAATCTTCGTCGAAGCAAGTCACTGTCGTTCTTGGTTAGTATCTCTTCAGTACCCTCAGCTTCGGCGGACTTACAAGGGATATGTGCATGTTTGCGCGACGGCTCCTGAGATGGCACCTGCACCCAACTTTCCGATAGATCCTGGATTGTCTGAGCCTTCCGGCGTAAATGCTTCGCGAACAGATTCGTAGACCATGAAGTTCAAGCCAACCTTGTAGTAGTCAGTTTCGTGATTGTATAAGGATATGAGAAGACCTTACGTATGGCGCAACACCAGCAACTGTCGGGACGATACCTCTGTACAGCGCAAGGAAGCCACCTTCTGTCTTGTACATCTTGAGTAATGTCGGCCACATGCCTGGTAGTTTCTTTCCTGACTCTGCTTTTTCTAAGGCTGCAAACGAGGCTGACTGGATCGAGAGGCGTGTTCGAACGATATCGAGGGGGTATGTGCATGTTACGGAGGTAATGCCTGCGACCGCACCACACGACAGACGCTGAAGAGCACCTAGCGGCGCACCGGGCGAGTCCTCGAAGAACTACAGCAGGTCAGCAAAATGACCATGAACAGCCCAAGGCGCAATTCCATACCCTTTTGTAGAAATTGTAACTACCAAACTGTACGGCCGAATACGGTACAATGCGAATGCAATTTGTACCGTTACCAGCCATGAATCCACGGAAGCCTTCTTCGCGCCACATCTTGCCCAAAGCCTTTCCTACCGACATTTTGTATTCTTCGCGTCCGACGCTTTGGATCTGGTAGAGGATCTTCAGACGCTCAAGCGGCGAGACGACGGTCCGCGATACAGCGCCGGCCATACCACCAGCTATAAAGGATGCGACAACCGGTTGTGAGAGCCATTCTTTCGTACCGTCCCACGGCTTCGAGGGTGTTAGTCCTGAGGACATTGGGAGGTCGGTGATGACGTTCCAGAGAGAAGCCGAGATGTGTGAAACGACGGAGTCAATGTATGCTCAGGTAGCAGCGCGTCGATGGCCGAGCTGTGGTCGGTCTATTGCACTCTCGTGTGTGTCGAGTAATTCGCTGGTCCTTGTAGGAGAATGACGATGCTTCCGAGTTGACGCCAAGTCGCAATGCTGAAAACACGTCGACAAGCCCTCGAGATAGGTGTTGTTAGGATACGCAAAAAGCTGAGTGTTAGCGAGCGTGAGGACAAGGCATTGGTCCAAGAGGAGGAGCTGTGGTTGTGATGACCAAAGATCCGGTTGATTCAGGTTGCTGCGCTGTTTAGTCCACTTAATCCCGACGTAACGTGGGTCGCGCTAATTTTGCCCAGTCACCTTTCTTATCCCTCGGCCTTCTCTCCTTCTTGTAACGGTATCACCGCGAAAGACGATTGCTACTGGACTGCTACTTTTCAAGATAGCCTTCATTGCTGGAAGCCGATACAATTGCCAGGGGCTGACGAAATTATGAGCAGTCACGCTGTACAGAAGCCACAAATCACGAGCACTAGTCATCAGTCATTGACTGCCGAAACATGCCCCTTCTCAGTCACAAACATGCAAATAGATCCAACCTGCTCCTGGTGTAACATCTAATCTTGGTCCTGTGAGCTCTACTTGTTTGCTTGCTGTGTCCAAACATCAGCTCTCTGTCTGTACAGCATCAGCCAGCTGCACACGACATATCATCCTCGATATCTCGAACCTTGAATGATCTGTGGAGATCCTGTGGGGAACCTTCATCGGCTTCTCGGGTGCATACGGGTTGGTGCTGACATGGAGCTCTCCCGAAGTGCGGAGGAGGTTCATGATCTTCGTACAACTGTACTCAGCTTCTTCTTCACCGAGGTTCGATTGCTTGCTTTCAGAATTGTCTGTGCAGTTCCACGGCACCTTCCCTAACTGACTGCCTTCGATGAGATGCTCGTCAGGGGTTTTGGAGAGTAGAGGTACAGGGACACATTATACTTGGAAATGCATAATCATTCCTATCCTTACGGAAGGCGTAATGGGGGAGAAGTGCGAAACAACACTCTCGAGGTAGTGCTGTATAACCTGAAAAGCATTGTGTCTTTCTACAGCCTGTTTTCTACATCTCATCGACCTCGAGAGAGTGTATTAGGGGTACAGAGAAGTAAGGGCACAGGGCAGCGACAAGTCTACTAGAGTTTACTTCCTCCAGCACAACTGATACGGGTGCTAAGGGGCTGTGGAAATGCAGAATCATTTTCGCTCTGCAGACCTTATTATGGAGAGGTAAGCAGGCACGGACTCTCGACCAAGAGAGGTCTTTGCTTCTCAATATCACTGTGCCTTTTTACAGGTGGCAAAATCATAGACAATGACACAGGGAGTACAATATCAAACTGACCGGACAAATGAGATGGACTAAAACATTAACCCAATAACTGCCTTGCAACAAAAGAGACTGCCCCTGGCCTACTCGGAACTCACAGTACTCCTCATAGCTTCTACAGCATTAGCAGCAAGCTCCCATGTCCTACTCATAACACTCTGCTGCTCATTATCAGCCCGATACCCACTATCAGTACTCAACAATAACAACACCCTCCTGTCCGGACTCTGCGACTTAGTTCTCCCTTGTTTCAATGTCCCTTTGGGTGTCTTTACTGGACTTGCGTTAACGATTGCCCTTTTGCAATTTCTGAACAGGAAAATGCTGATGCACTCACGTTGTACGAATCCCACTTGCCAATGGCATTACCCAAGTTCTTGATATTGTCAATTTCTTGCCAGAACAAATAATCGTCCAAGGTTTTGACATGTGGGATCCAACCTAGGCGCTGCTCTTTATGCATTTGTTTCAGCATCTCTTGTATCTCAGCATCAGTGTACTTCTCCCTAATCTTTTCAATGCCCTTTTCATGAGCTTCATCCCAACACACGCTGTCCTTTTCTTTTTCCCTTTCGTGAAAGTCCTCGAGGCCCATGGTCCATCTGTCGCCCATTTGATGCTTGTTAAGTCTCCAGGTCCTTTCGAGATTTGAGAGTTCCTTAGGTGTGTAACGCGCATCTATGGCGTTCCACTTTTCTTTACCGAGCTGCTTCTGTATGTTCTTGTCTCTGACTTTCTTGTCTGCTTCGGGACCGAGGGGGTTACTGCCATCGGTTTTGTACCCGAATTTGACGTAGGACGGGGTTGCAGCCTTCTTGTTTGCAGCCTTTTTGGCCACAGGCTTCTTCTTGGTGACTTTAGATGCTGCTTTCTTGGGCGCTACCTTCTTATAAGCCGCCTTCTTGAGGACAGCAGTAGTAGCCTTCTTCTTTGGCTTTGCTGCTGTTGCTGAGGTCGTGGTGGCAGTGGTGGTTGGTTTGGCAGTTCTTCTTGGTCGCGAGGAGGCAGCTGTACGCACTACGGCCGCTTTTTTGGGCGCCATGTTTGTGGCGGGCGGTTATGCTGATACATTGTGTCAGCGTGTCAATCATGTCTCAAGTTACACCTATCGTTGGGTAGCGAGAAGTATAGCGCTTTGGCAGAGCAAAGGCATTGATAGGTGCAGGGCAGCCAATCACTCATCATGTTCGGACACCATAGCGTGTATGCATGAGGCTGTCAGCGCTTATACTTACAAAAGGCAATTCACAATGAGAACGAGTTGGCAGCTCTGTTGTTAATGTTGATAATCTTTCAATTCTTTTGTGTTGTAGTATCGAGCAAGTCTACCAGTAGAAAGCTACGATGAGCCAGCTACGATGAGCCAGAGCTAATAAAGATCCAGCAATCTCCCAAAACTCCTTTGACCGTCACGGCATGATTATTTGTTTATAACTTTTGAGTCCATCTACCAGAAGAATGTAGAGGACCAGCCCAATGAAGCCTTTAAGAATTGATACATTCCACAAAGCGTATTAGCGCAATTTGGCCATGCGCTCATTCATGCTATCCAAACAGTTAGTTGCATGTCAATCTTATTGCATTCCGAAGCATGAACTTACAAAGAGAAGAAAGCGAACTGGCTAGCTGAGATTCCGCGCTCGTAGATGAAGCGGGACGACAGGTATGAGCCGAATATGGCGCGAAGGTAGTTCTCAGGAACCTATTATATGGTCAGCATACTAGTCGTCGTAGTAGATCCGTGTAACTTACTCTTTCGATAATGAGATCGAGACCAATCTTCTCCAACAACAGGCTGGGAAGGGCGTCCTTGAGTACCGACTTACGAAGCTCGACATTGTCCCAGAGCTCGGTGTTCTGGAGTTCCTCATCAAGGTTAGTGATGGCGGTACTCAGAACATCGCTGAGGACACTCTTGGGCTTGCCAGTAGCCTCACTCTCTCTCCAGATAGCCTCGAACTCCAGTCTGGCGTTGTTGCAGATAGTTTGCTGCACCTGCTTGACGTAGGCCTTGTAAAACTCGGGAGTTGTTCCGTCTTCGTGCACGCACATGTTCTCAATAAATCCTGCATTGTCGAACGACAACGAAGCAAGGACTTCAAGAGAGGATGATGTGACACCACCCTTGTTGGCAGATGCGTCCTTGAACAGGATACAGCCAGCCTTCTCGAGACGAAGCTTGGCGTCTTGTGTGATGAACAGGTTGGCACCTTCGACAATGTAAGGGATGATCGACTTGCCATCGACGATGAGCTTGTTGACCGAGTTTAAGTTAATGGACTCGGGACGACCGCCACAGGGCACAAAGACGTCGTAAGCCTCCTGGCGCAGATGGAAGGTGTTGCGGAAAGCCATTCCGTTCTTGACCACCTCGCCAGAGGGCAGGGTAATGTTGTTCTCCTCGATGAGAACTCTGTAGCCCTCAGACGAGAGCTTTGTGACATCGAATTGGTGGATCATGACACGCTTCTTGGCCAAGCGGAGCAGCTCCTCTCTGTCAATACCATTGGGGTCGACAAGTACACCCATACCATCGACAATCGCAGTGTACTTCTCCTGGCCGAGAAGGATCTCGTTGCTGCCCAAGTCACCATCGGGACCACCAGTCTGGAGCTTTCTCATGCTCTTTTGGTCAAGGTTGAGCTTGCGGTAGATTCCCAAGACGTACTCACGAACAGACAGAGTAGTCATGCCATAAGCGTCGTGAGGGATACCACCAAGCTTGGGGCTCTTGCCAGTGAAGAAGGACTTCCACCAAGGTGCACCACGAGCTCTGGCATGCTCAGTGGCCCAGTCGACTAGGTCGGCAGTGTTTTCGTCGGGACCCATGAACAGGATCTCTTGCTTTCCGTGAAGGTCGACAATAGGGTCCTTGATACCAGGGCTAGTAGGAGGCAGGAGCAGATCGAGAATGCTGTCAATGTACTTCTCGAAGGCGACGCTTGCCTTCTCTTGGTGCTCTACGTCAAGCAGAATAACACCCTTGGAGCCGCCCTCAGGAATGTCCTTGTTCTTTCTTTGCTGAGTATTGGCGAGGTTGTAGTTTTCGTCAAAGAGCGAGCGGGCGTTGATGTCGTATGCCTCAGGGCTTCTAGACTTGACAATACGAATACCGCCACGAGCAATGTCGCGGAAGCGGAGATGGAAACCACGGAACTCGGAGCTGATGACCAAGAACATGCCGTAAAGTGGCTGAGGGTACTCCTCAATGGGCAAGAACGAGGGGTCCAGGCGGAAAGAGAGAGCAGTCTTGGTGGGTGTGTAGTAGTTGGTCTTGAGCACAGCCTTGTTGAACACACGGAAGGCAGTCATGACCATCTCTTGATGTTCGTTCTGGCAGGTAGCAGAGATCATGTTCTTGAGCTCACCATCACTCAAAACTTTGTCGACCTTCAAACGAAGGTAACTGAGAGTAGGCAGGAAGTCATCCTCATCGCCACGAGTCTGGACGTAGTGGGTGTTTGCGAAGTTCAGGTACAGTGCCTTGACCAGATCAGGGAACTGTTGGATGATCTCCAAGATGAAATCCGAGGTGAATGTCTCGGTACGTAGACGACGCTTGAGCTTTGAGAGCAGCTCAGCGTGAACAGTGTTGTTGACATCCAGGATCGCGCTGAGAGTGTTGTACTCAGAACCTAGACGGTTCAAGAAGTGACTGACAAAGACCCAGACACAGTGGGCGTAGATGGTTTCCTGCAAACTGAGGTTGCCAGTAGCGAAGTGGTTTTGGAACTTGGTGCGAGGAACGCAGTAGAGCAGAGAGACTTCCTTCATGATCTGGTGGATTGAAGCCTCGATGGGAGGGTGCATGTTGGACTCAGGTCCAGGCACGGGGCGAAGGTACAACGACATGATCGTGTAGCCGTTGGAGAATTGCTCGACGTACTTGCGAGACGACGTCAGGCCGTAGTAGTGATAAAGATCACTAAGGGCGCTGAAGAGTCCCAAGGCGGAGCCTTGCTTGTATGCGATAACCAGTCTCTTTTCTCTCGAACCCTTGATCTCAAAGAGCTCGATGACGGGGCCAGTTCTAGCGACGGCCGATTCGAGAATGTGTTGGTAGATGTCACGGGTGTTCTGAGTGGCCTTCTGGAGGAATCTCTTGTCCGAGATGAGGTCGAGACGAGTCTCCTCAGGGCTGGGCTTGGGCTGCTCGAACGAGCACTGGTATACAAAGTAGCATCTCAGCTGTTGGTCGAGATCACCGGGCAATTTGCTAGAGGATCTGAATGTCTCGACACGGTAGCTGTTGGCACCCTTTGAGTTGTTGAGGTACTTCTCGTCAATGCGTTGCTCGTAACGAGGTCCGCCGACAGAGGTGATACCAGGCTTGCTGGTGTCAATGAAGACGGCGTGGTCGACAGCTTCTTTGTCCAAGCGGATCTCAAGCTGCTTGTCATCTCTGGCGAATGCAGCAACCTTGGCTGCGTAGAGCGAGTGGATGTGGCTGACGATGCTACGAGCAGTTAGATTCTGTTTTAGGGTCAACTTATCGTGAAAGCTTTGACTTACGCATCAGAAGTCTCGGTGGAAAAGTACATGTCGTCAATGCCCAGTTCGTTGTAGAACCAGTGAGTTTCGGTTTCAACAAACTCGCTGGGAAGGAAGCCCTTGGCCTCGATCTTATCCATTACTCTGCGCAAGAATTAGTCGTGTAGGCTTGTGAGATCGGGAATGCCATTTGCTTACTCTTCCATCTGCTGGGCCTTGCCCTCGAATTTGGGAGCTTCATAGCCGGAGCCTTCACCGCTGAGGACGCGGGAGTGATTTGAGGCGCCGGGTACGCTCAAGTGTGTGGGTTGAGGGGAGGGTTGTCTGTCAGCAGGTCTGATAACCTGTTCGAGCGGCTTGTTGTGCGGCACGCCATTGCCGTTGGCGTGTCCGTTGGTGGTGATGCTTGACATGGTGCGGCAAGCTTGTGGTGGAACACCTTGATGAAAAAGGTTGATGTCGAGGTAGAAGTCTCGATGGGCGAGCGACGCCGCTTTATAGAGGGGTGATTGAACGATGCGCGAAGCTGGCTTGTGCCGAAGCAGGTGCGAGTGAAGGAGGAAGGTACGGTTCAGGAGATTTTTCTCAGAAGGAGCAGGAGCAGGGAGCTTTGAGTGAAATCGAGGCTTCTCAAAGTAAACACGATGATGACACGGCCTGATCAATCACGAGTGCAAGGAGGTGATTTGAAACGAGCGATAAATGGCTCAGGCCCTTGACATGGCATCCGCTCTATCTTTATGCCAACGCTTCAGTCACATGGCATCATTGTCGATTCCAACTCGGTCACTTTTTCTCGCATACTCGCGGCATACCCACTTGTACCTGATCAACTTGAACGCGCTAGCGTCAGCTACGATCTGGGGAAATTTAGCGCTGCCGAAAAGTTCGGGCCGCGCGCCAGATTGTACTGCTGCGCCTTTTTACAAGTCTTACACGCCCTGGACGCCCTATGCGCGGATATAGACGGATTATAGGGAGCGAGTAAAGATAGCACGGATGCTCGCTTTCCTGCTCTTAACCGTGGCCATATTGAATGAATGGTGTTTGTAGTCGTATATCCCTCTCTCGCGATCAATCCCTCGTTATCCGATCTGTATAGGTGTCCTGACTTCATTTCGTTCATGATGCTCATAATTGCATACTTTGTTACGTATTTTTAGTCATAGTTTGGCTCTAGCCAAGTTTACGCCATAAGACGAAGTGATTTTATTCCCCAGGACTGCTCACATGGCTCCATTCCCCTCCCTCCTCATTTGCGGGGCGAACGGCTTTCGTGGAGCGACGGAGGGTCTGTCCGTTGTCTTTTCTCGAAAAGGTGCTTTCTATTACGAATATTATCAAATAGGAATTGGAAGAATCGCGAGATGTTCCGTGAGGAAGCGGGGTGTCTGGGCAGAGACTTCACAAGAGGAAGCCCATGGCTAATCCCGCCGAGAGACTACAGCTGAAGAGGAGAACCATGCGAAAAGGTATCGTAACTGAAGAGCTGGTCAGCATCTGAGTTCAAGGGGTCTGTGGTCTAGGTCGAGTGACTCACCTGTGGTGGCTTTGCTTGGAGGAACGACTTTGCCAGAGCTCGGATCTACTGACCAGCCGCTGGGCAGTCCGGGGTATGTGGTGGCCACCGTACTGGTCATGCCGGATGCTGTGGCTTTCCAGTTGCCGATACCTGGGGTCGACACAGATGTCCATGTCCGGTGAGTCCCTTTGAAAGGAACTGCGCCGCTTACAACGGAAGTTATAGCGGGTGCTGAAGTGTCAACATTCGTCGAGCCACCATTAATGGACCCTCCAGCCGCTGTGATACTCGTCCAGCTGCCAGTCTGATCTGAGTATGAGTAAGACTTGCCGGTGGAGTAGTCTGTGACCGAGATAGACTGAACTACCATTGTATAGGGTCCTGCTGAATAATCTGTGTTGCCTCCAGCCCAGGCTATCGTGCCAGGAGCATTGGACGAGTCACCACCACTCCAGATACCGAGCTTGACCAGCATAGGCGATTGAGGGTATTGGTCACCAGCATCTGTAGCTTTCAAAGCACGCTGTGTCTTTCCGTCCACCTGCCACACCAACTCTGTTGACGTCCAATCGATAGTGTAGGTATGGAAGTCTTCTGTAGGATTGTCCATGTGGAAGGCCGCACCACGGCCAGATGTCGAAGCATCACCTTTCCGAAAGTAGATGGATTGTACTTGGTCCTGCTGATTTCCAACCCACTCCCAATCTACCTCGTCAAGGTCGTCTGATTGCAACACGCAGCTGCTGACTATACCTTGACCGGGAGCAGCCTTCATCTTCACTTCGACCTTGCCAAACATGATGTACCAATTCGATGTGAGCATGGGTGCATCTCCTGACTGTGCCACGGTAAATGATACCCCGTTTGGGCCGTATGTCAGTAATCCTGAGGCCGTAAACTGATCCGATTCGCCAGAGGTAAAGTCGACATCGATTGACTTGGAAAGTGCCGGATCAGCTGGGCAGCCGTTTTGTTGTGTTGGGTTGCAGCTGCTCGTCGTTTGAGCACTTGTGATTTGTGTTGAGGCGAGAGACGCAATTGTGATGAGTGCCGTCAGTCGAATCGATGTCCGTAGGCTAAAGAAATGTGATTTATGTAGCATTCTTGATGGTTACAATAGATAAGAATGCTGGTAAATTTAAAACAACAACGAGAATACCACAACGGATAAAAATGTACGCGAAAAATGTTCGCGGAGTCATGGTGCAGAGCAAAATCATTAATAGCGTGATACTACCTCCAGCCATCTGACTTTTACAAAGGTCAAATATAGCGAGCCCTACGTCAGTCGGGAGAAATCAGGGCGCCAATTGTACCAAGCAAAGACTACAGTGCGGTGTGCAACAGGTTGTCGAGGTGGCTGGGAAGTGATGGGCACGATACAAGCTGGTGGTTGGATAAGCTGGCCGCTTGGCCCAAGCTCATCACTGGAACAACGAGCTAGACACATACACTTGGAACACAGTAGCTTCTTGATCGCCAGCACATCGAGCTAGATCAATTGCTCTTTGAACGAGAAAAGTTGTCATTATTCTGCTTGCAAAGATGTTCTATGCGCTAACCGGCGGACGCCATGCTGCTCATCAAATGATTCACGTCTTCCCTTTGGTCAAGCGCATCTTGATCTTACATAGTCGAGTCGTATCTATATGCATTTCCACGCTTTACATGCCCTCAAAATCGCCAGCGTCGTCATCATCCATGTCGCCGTCCTGAATCTCCTTGGCGAGCTCGCGCTCCCTCTCGCGGGCTTCCTGAGCATTCTTGAGCTCTTGCCTATGCTTGTTCATGGGATATCTCATGGCCATTACGCACTCGTCGTGAATGCTCAGACAGGCCTTGATACGTTCGTGGAAAGCCTCAGCAGGCTCTCTAGTAGCGTAGATATCTCCAGCCTGCTTAGACTCCATGAAACCATGCTCGTGGTCGAGGGATGCCTCGATGACACCATCACGGATAGCCTTTGCGACAATGTACTCGGCAGACTCCTCGCTCTCGACACCAAGACGCAGACAAATGTCGCGAAGTGAAATGCGAGAGTATGACAGAGAGAGCATGCGAACACCAGTCTTGATGACGTTTTGACGCAAGCGAAGAATCAAAGTGTAGGTGCCATCACGGCGGAATTGAGTTGAGTTCTCCTCAACAACACGAACGAAGCCTTGCAAGTCACCGACGCGGACGGCCTGGACCAGACGGAAGTAGGGGTAGAGAGCACGCTCGAGGGAGGGTTGTCTGAAGATGGCTCTATCCGGGATGTCACCCATCAGCAGCTCGACAACGATCAAAAGCTTCATGGCCGACTGGTAGAAACCTGCTGCAACATTGTTGGTAGGAGACTTGCGAGTGGCGCTTGTCAAGTGCTCTTGAGCGGCAGTGTATGATAATTGAATTGCGCGAATGCGTCCGAGGTAGTAGAGGTAGCGGCAGACTTGGTTGTTAGGAGCGCTCGGGGGGAAAGTGGTCTGGTTGACCAAGAGGTCGGCCTGAGTAATATCGGCGGTGGAGATGTAGTTGCGGAGGAGGAGGACGATGACGGCGGATTGGGTGTCGTTATCCTTGCGTAGCACAGCACTGCGGAGAGCAGCCAGAAGCTTAGATCTAGTGGCGATGACGGGCGACTGCTTTGATGGCGGCTTGGGGTCAAGCTGCTCGTGGAAGAGGTGGTAGTAGAAGTAGGACTTTGCAGCGAGCGAGTCCAGTGTGCGGCGGTTGTATTCTCGTACTCTGTCGACCAGAGCGGACGAGAAGTCGGCACCGTGTGAGTATTTTTGCGCATCAAAGAGGTAGACCTGGTGTGTAATGTTAGACATGCCACTTTGCCGGAGTCGATGAACTAGATTGTACCTGGATCAGGACGGCCAAGTAGATGAAGGACTCTGGGAGAACATCTCCATCCTTAGGGGCGTTGGCATGGGCAAGAGCGGATGCCTTCTTCTGGAGAGCAGATTCAAGGAAATGCTTGTCGGGTGAGTCCTGGTGTGAGGCATAGAGCGAGGCAATAGCGTTCGACAAGGCGTCAAGGAGCTTGGGGCTCTTGCGCATACTCGATATTGAGCGAAGGACACGGAGGGTGAAGCGTCCATCGAAGCGAGCGACGGCTTGATCGAGCAGACCGAAATTTGCGATTATGGCTAGGGCTGTGTGTCAGCATCATCACTGATCGCGAGGAAGGGCTAACCCACATTGTGAGAGCTGCTCAGCGGTAGGAGCGTTGTCGACAGGAGCAGAGGCGACCTCGACGCCTTCCATCTTGTCGGCCATGGTGTTCTTCGGAAACAGTGACGAATAGGAAGGAGGAAACAGATGCGGCGCCAGAGATGTTGTGGATGTGCGGGTTCGATGGAGTTGCCTCTTTGCGAAGTTCGAGCTGGATGGTGCTGCTGTTGGAGCGATGGCGATGACGGAAAGCCAAGAAAGCCGGAGCTCTCAGTGCAACCATCACATGCGAGCCCGCCAACCATTTGTTTACCTTTTCTTGATTAAATCTTGCAAAATACACAATTGATATAGCAACCATGACATCGTCTCTACTGTCGTCGCATCTGGATCAAATCTCCCTCTGTGCCTCGTCCATATCCGATCTTCCGTTTTCGCGACCGAAACAATTCACCAATGCCCTCCTTACACACCACGACATTACCGCACTGATCAGGGACACCGAACAACACGAACGCGCCCTCTTCTCTATCGCCCCTCCTCCCGTACCGTCCAAGTCGCAAATCCAACAGTTATCTTCAACTTTCACCACTTCCGCTTCTCGGTCCATTGCTGCACAAAACACTCAAAGGCCCCCACGTCGCCATACTGCTGTCGCTGCAGTGCTCGGTGGTGACTTGTACCGCAAGACTAGATCTGTACACAGTGGGAAACAATCGAAGGGCGACATTGACGTTGAGCTTCTGTTGCGAGGTGCAGAGAAGCTTTGTAGAGTCTAGTACGTTTGTTGACAACTGGGATGCGGTATCTTCTGTGCTAAACTCATTGCTACAGCCCTATTCCTGGTGCTTTTGACAAGATTGGAGAGTTGAGAAATCGATATGCTCAATTGAGTGCCAACATTGCTCACTACGAAGAGAGAGTCGCCATGCAGTCCGCCGAGCTGGATCATCTACACCAGAACCATGACGATTACGACCAAGACGACTACGACTACCAGGACAACCATATCGAGCCTATTGTCCACATGAGCAAGGAGGATCTTGTGGATGAGGAAGACGAAATTCGTGCTCTTGAGGACAAGAAGAGGGCACTTCAGTCAAGAGTCACTAGCATGGAGAAAGATATCGAGGGTCTGGCCAGATGATGAAACAAAAATTGGCCCTCTGACAACGAACAAACGCCAGGCTTCATGGCCGGCTACGACGATCGGGGTTGACCAGAAAGGTCGGAACTCAGGCACTCAGTCCAGACGGCTGAACGTCGTATTCGGGTAGTATATCTGCATCTATGCAGCATAACAGCGACGGAAACCTCTGCGCATTCTAAGTTATTGGAGAGATTAGAGGCTGAAGAAAGCAAAGCGATGGTATTGGCCGCTGTCGTAGCCGCGTCAAAGCAGAGGTCGATGGCAACAAAGGGGACGATGGCCCAGCTTGGGTTGGCAACAAAAATACCAAGGCACAAAGCTTATGTCAAATAAGCAAATGCTTGGGGTCCGTCGCGAACGAGTTCTGGGCCGAGCCTCCGAAGGGGAAACCATCACCTTCGAACTGAGAACAAGGCTGATCTTCTTCACGTGGTGACCAGGACGAGTGATGTACAGATATAGGGCGTACAGCCACGGAAGTAAGAATGAAATGAATGACATGCTGACGAGCCAATCCATTCGTCCCAAAATACCTCATGTTCGACCTTCGTATTTGTTGTCCTATGATTGAGCTCGTGCCTGTGATGTGGGGCTGAATCTAGATCGATGCGGCCAACTCTCAGACAGCGAGGAGTGTTCCTTTACCAGCCCTCCACGTCGCTTCTCGCTCTCACTTCTCTTCCTCATCGTCCTACTCACCTTCCTCCACTTCTCATCCACATCCACATTACATCACACAGCTACAACCATGGGCCTACTCGGCAATCTGATCAGCGAGTTTACTCACCAAGGCGAGAGTAGTAGCGGCGGCCAACAAGGCGGCTACGGCGGCAATTACAATCAGCAACCTCAAGGCAACTATGGCGGTCCCCAGCAAGGTTATGGCGGTCCACAGCAAAATTATGGCGGTCAACAACAAGGCTACGGCGGTCAACAACAAGGCTACGGCGCAGGTCAAGGCACACCTCAAGTCCCACCACCATGGCGCGCCGTCTGGGACGACCGTGACAATCGCTGGCTGTTCATCAACGAGCAGAATGGAGAACGTACCTTTGAGCATCCTGGTCGCACTGGCGGGTACGGCGGTGGCTATGGCAGCAGCTACAACCAAGGTCCTCCCCAAGGTCAATACGGCGGCTACGAGCAACAGCAGCAACAGCCTCCGAAGAAGAACCACAATGGGTTAGCCTATGGTGCTATGGGTGCAGCAGCCGGTCTTGCTGGTGGTGCATTGCTCATGCACGAGGGCCACGAAGTCAAGGAAGACTGGGAGGAAGACAAGTACAGAGCGGAGGAGAAGTTCGATCGCTTCGAGAACCGCGTCGAAGATGCCCCTGAAGACGCAGCTCGTTGGACTGGCCGCAAGGTATGATATCCCGATCATGTTCAATCTTCAAACCATGCACTGACAATTGTATCCCACAGGTTGGAGAGGTCGAAGACATTCCTCAAGACATCGAGAACGACTACGACCGTGCCAAGTACGGCATGGAGAACAAGTGGGACAATGCTGTTCAGGATGTTGAAGATGTACCCGAGGATATCGCTGGCTTTGCTGGTGAGGGTGTCGGCAAGGTTGAGCGCTGGGGTGATGATGTTGACAGATTCGGCGATCGTATGGACAACTCCTACGATCAGGGCAGAGACGATGAGCGCTATGACGATGGCAACAACAACAACGACGGCTGGTAAAGCAAGCATCAATTGCTTCTCACGCCTGTCATTTGTCATTCTCATTACGCTGCATTACGACCAGAGCATTTCATCATGCCGCATACATCTTCAGTTACCTATTCGCCGTTAAATCTCATTTTTTCTGAACAACCCTGCTTTCGAATTTCTATGCCTCCTCCCCTTGTGCTAAACTCTGTTACACGCATCCACTCTCGGTGATCAGAGCAGAGCGACAACGAGCTGAAGCAATGCAGAGATATATCTTCTATGGACAGATCTAACACGGAGAGTCGTTGACAAGACATATCTCGGGGCCATCGCTCCAGATTCGAAAGGATTTGTGCCTTGAGACAGCTACGAGACGAGGGTGTAATTTTCTTTTTTGCGAAGTCGAATTTGTACGTTGGAGAACCCTGCTCGTATCTAGCACAACGTGTAACTCGACAACATCACCATCGACTAGACGTTCGACTCGGTTTAACCAGAGACTATGAGCTCCAATATGTTTTATAGAAGGCTACATCTTGGTAAGACTGTGGTGGTCGTGAAACATGATGTCTATACCTGGAAACATTTGTGGTTGACCGAGCTTCACAATGCGTTGCAAGACGGGGAACATGGGCTGGGAGAATGTACTTCTGCTGAATTTTACGCAAGCTTTCGAGGAGACAGAGCAAGAGGGAGAGTACGTCTGATAATTGAAACCTTAGACCTAAGCATCTCATCAGATCTGACTGTGCTGCATTTATATATCAGTATAGTAAAGCCTTGGCAAAGAGAGTGACCGATGACATCGTCCAAAGCTTCAATGCGACAGCCCATCCACGCCTCTCAAACTTCAAAAGTCCACGAAACAATACTATACATACCATAAAACACAACACGATAATGTCACAATTACTACGAACACCCACACGGAGACTACTCCAGTCAACCTCCACCCTCAGACCCCTCCTCTCAAACCGCACATACTACAGCTACGAAACCCCCCTCCCACCACCCTACCCACCAACCGAAACCGCCATCCTCTCCTCCGCACTCACCCACGTCCCTTCTCTCGGCTGGACCGTCGATACCCTACGCCAAGGAGCCCGTGATTCTGGCTACTTGGACGCATCAACAAATCTATTCCCAAAAGCTGAATTCGAACTCGTGTTATACCATCTACGGACACAGAGATTGGGGTTAAAGGATAGGATACAATTCCCCGATGAAGCAGGGATGGGGACGACGGCGAAAGTGAGGGCATTGGTTATGGAGAGATTGAGAGGGAATGTGGAGAGTAATGTGCAGGGGAGATGGCAGGAGGTAAGACAATCCACTCACCCCCCTCATCATAGTCAGAAAAGAGTATTAACGCAGCAAAAAAAACTACAGGCATTAGGTCTCATGTCCCTCGCTGGCAATATCCCACCTTCCCTCCGCGAACTCTACCTCCTCGCCGACGAAATCTGGTTCCTAGCCGGCGATGAAGCTGTAGATTCTTCCTGGTACACCAAAAGAGCAACACTAAGCTCCATCTACGCGGCTACAGAAACCTACTCCACTACAGATGTGAGTTCAGATTTCAAAGATACCGAAGAGTTTTTGGGGAGGAGGTTGGAGGAGGCGAGGGTGGTGGGGGGTGCGTGGAGGAATGTTAGGGAGTGGATTGGTTTTCAGGGTGTTGCTACTGTTAATATGGCTAGGAATTGGGGTGTGAGGATTTGAAGAAGTGGGGGATTGGGAGATGAGGGAGCAGTGTATGATCATGAAGGTGAAGATCAAGCTGGTCTGAGGGGGGTGGCACCTGGCTCTCCAAAAGAATTACTACCAGCAATTGTATTTTTACATTTCAATTTTGCCGCCTTGTGGTCTTGTTGACCCATGGTATCTTCCAATTCCCTTTTATTTCCTTCCCCTTCCAGTCCCAGTCCGATAATCATAGAGGGAAATGTTAGTTACCACCTTGCTTTGCGCCCTCGTCCGCAGCACCAGCCCCAGCACCAGCAAGTCTGATCCCCTCCTCATCACCCCTCAACTTTTCAAAATAAGCCTTGATATCCTCGGCCCCCACAGCCTGCCCACTCTCGGCAAACGGCTGCAAAAAAGCCTTTACTTTGTCCCTAAGATGGTTATACACCATAACACCCTCAATGGCTTTGACCCTGTCCATATTGCTGAGAAGAGCTTCTCCACGCTCATAAGTGCTTCCTGAGCCTACACTACCGCGTCCGTTCTGAGCTTCTTCATTGTCGCTCTCAGAGACGGGTGGTTCGTAGGCTTCTTCTTCTTCGAGGAGATGGGAGTGGGATTTCAGATGCGGGAAGCATGAGGGACAGCGGCAGAGGTGGGTGCGGAAGTCTTCGTGGAGGAAGAGGGAGAAGGTTCCGGATGGAGCTGAGGGCAGCTTTGTGTGCAGAGGTAAATCTTCAGCAGCAGTTGTGGTTGTAATGGTGTCTACAGCACCTTCTTCGGACTCGACCTTTGTCTTCTTAGACGCCGGATCTTCCGAATCTTCCTCGGCACTTCTTTTCTTGCTTTCAGTCGAAGGTGGCAGAGATGCGTCTTGGGTGATTGTCGTTGTGGCTTTCGTCTCGGCTGTATCCGAGGGATGTTTGTGGTAGATGGGACCAAGGAAGCCTGCTTGACCGGCATACTGCTTGATCCATGGGAATGAGTCGACACATTTGTAACAGACGAGGTGATCAAAGTCGTCTTCTGCCGGGAAGCCAGGCGGCAACGGTGCCTCGTCGATCTCCTCGGGAGCCTCTGTCGTCTCCTCTTGACCTTCAAGCGGCTGCTTCTTCTCTTTCTCCTCTTGCTTGGGAATATTTTCAGTGGGCTGAGGTCTGGGCAGGCCCATTAGACACTCGGGGTGCCACCAATCCTCTCCACAGCCACCATGTTCAATTGTACCCAAGCCCAAGCACTGGAACATGGTGCCCTTCTCTTTCTCAGGATCATACTGCTCTCCACAGCCACAGAAGCGACCAGCGAAGTTGTGGTTGTACTTGTTGTCTTCTGCAGGAGCCTCTCCAGTCACGTTGCCCTTCTGGCTCGTAGATTCGTTGATACGAAGTGTGCAAGGTGCTGATGAGGGAACTCTGGTAGTGCCGCAGTCACATACAAAGTTACGTTTTGTAAAGAGCTCGACCAGTTCGTGTTCGCCATGACAGGAGATGCTGCAGGAGTAGCATACGGCGGCTGGAGTGTGTGATTTGTTGTCCGAGGTGGGAGGCGGGTTACATGTCAGACAAGCAAAGATTGCCTGTCTGAGTGGGCCGAGAGGTTTTGTGCAAGTGTCGAATTGCTGGCAAGGTCAGTACTGGATGCCTTCCATAACCTGATGCGCGCATACGTAGGGAAGAGCTTCACGCGCGTCGGCTTCGAGCTGCAATTGACTGGCAATGAATCTATGCTAGTCAGTACTGGATAGAGAGATGTGACACTTGTTGCGCTCACTCTTGAGCCGTCTGCGAGGCTTCTGTATTTTGAGACATGGCTGTGTAGTAGTTGGTGACGAATATCAGAGTGAACGACAATGACGAATGCGCGCGCTGCCGTGTCGCGAACTTCCCGATTGGGACAAGATTGAGCACTTTACGCGTGATGGCCGAGGGGTCGCGCCACTTGTTTCGGCCGTGTGCTCTTGGAGAAATCAACAAAGCGTGAATGTTGTTGCTTGCTCGACATTTACACAATTTACACATCGTACATCCACCACCATGAGGTATGCGACTGAGTGAAATCATATACTGTTGACACTATCTTACCATCTACCTACACAGTTCACCAATTGGTCCCCCTGAAGTATCAGGCTCAGGCGCTGGCGGCCGCAAACGCCAAAGAGACGACGAAGATGTCGAGATGCGCTCCTCGTCGGCCGCTCCTCCATCAAGTCCTCCCGCATCATCTCCTCCTATGCTGCCGCGAGATGACTTTGACGAAGACGATATTGTCGAGCCCGACGAGGACCTGATTCAAGACCTTGACGATGCTGAAGAAGCTCTGGAGGACGACGCTGGTGTTGACTTGTTCGGCGACAACTTCGAGAACGATTACAGACGCCGCGAAGATGATTTCTACGAAGGTCAGGACATTGATGACGAAGGAGATTACGATGATCTGGATCTGGCTGCCCGACGACAACTCGATGCTCGTCTCAACCGTCGAGACCGCGAGCTGGCCCGCCAAAGGAGACCCCAAGTAGCTCTGGAAGAAGATGAAGACGACCTAATGGATCTGACCAGACAGCCTCGCAGGCGGCGACACAGATATGATGAGGAGCAAGACGATATGGACATGGCCGAGGATATCATGACCGAAGAGCTTTCTGCTGAAGCTTTGGGCGACGTCAAGGCCTCAAACTTGTGCGACTGGATTGCCCAGCCCGCTGTGCATCGCACAATTGCCCGCGAGCTGAAGTCGTTTTTGACCGAATTTGTCGACGACAATGGTATCTCCGTCTACGGCGTCCGCATTCGCACCTTGGGTGAAGTCAACGCCGAATCTCTGGAGATTGATTGGGAGCATCTGAGTATGTCAAAACCGACACTGGCCTACTTTATCGCAAACGCACCCACCGAGTGCCTCAAAATCTTCGACCGCGTCGCCATGGACGTCACCCTCTATCACTACCCTGACTATGAACGCATCCATTCGGAGATTCACGTCCGTATCAATGGACTGCCCACAGCATACACTCTGAGAGAGCTGCGTCAAAGCCATCTCAACAGCCTTATCAGAGTTAGCGGTGTTGTGACACGCCGCACGGGTGTCTTCCCTCAGCTCAAATACATCAAATTCGACTGCACAAAGTGCGGCGTCACACTGGGTCCATTCCCTCAAGACTCAACCTCTGAAGTCAAAATCTCCTTCTGCCAGAATTGCCAGTCTCGCGGTCCCTTTACCATCAATTCCGAGAAGACCGTCTACCGCAATTACCAAAAAATCACTCTTCAAGAGTCTCCTGGAACCGTGCCCGCAGGTCGCCTGCCTCGTCACAGAGAAGTCATTCTTCTTTGGGACCTGATTGATTCAGCCAAGCCTGGTGAGGAAGTCGAGATTACCGGTATCTACCGCAACAACTACGATGCGGCTCTGAACAACAAGAACGGCTTCCCAGTCTTTGCTACCATCCTCGAAGCCAATCATGTTGTCAAGTCTCACGATCAGCTGTCTGGTTTCCGACTGACAGAAGAAGACGAACGTGAGATTCGTGCCTTGTCAAAGGATCCTCAGATTGTCAACAAGATCATCAACAGCATCGCTCCCAGTATCTATGGCCACACTGACATCAAGACTGCTGTTGCACTCAGTCTGTTTGGTGGTGTGAGCAAGGAAGCCCAAGGCAAACACTCCATCAGAGGTGACATTAACGTGCTCCTCCTCGGAGATCCCGGTACCGCAAAGTCGCAAGTGTTGAAGTATATAGAACATACTGCACACAGAGCCGTCTTTGCCACCGGTCAAGGTGCTTCAGCCGTCGGTTTGACCGCCTCAGTGAGACGCGACCCAATGACTCAAGAATGGACACTGGAAGGAGGTGCCCTGGTACTAGCAGACAAGGGAACCTGCCTCATCGACGAATTCGACAAGATGAACGACCAAGACCGCACTTCCATCCACGAAGCCATGGAACAACAAACAATCTCCATCTCCAAGGCGGGTATCGTCACAACCCTCCAAGCCCGCTGTGCAGTGGTCGCAGCAGCCAACCCCATCGGTGGCAGATACAACGGCACAGTCCCCTTTTCGCAAAACGTCGAACTCACCGAACCCATCCTCTCTCGTTTCGACATCCTCTGCGTTGTCCGTGACACCGTAGACCCAGAAGAAGACGAACGCCTCGCCGCCTTCGTCGTAGGCTCTCACGGCCGCGCTCACCCTACCCTCAGCAGCTCAGCAGCAGACGCCCCAGTCAACAGCATGCAAGACGCCAACATGGAAGTCGACGGCGATGTGGGAAGCTCCAAGCAAGGAGAAATCTCGCAAGCGCTGCTGAGGAAGTATATCTTGTATGCTAGGGAAAGGTGCAGACCTAGATTATATCAGATTGACCAGGACAAGATTGCAAGGTTGTTTGCTGATATGAGGAGGGAGAGTTTGGCGACTGGTGCTTATCCCATCACTGTAAGTTTCTTGCTTTCCCCCCTTTACCTTTTCCATCGTTTTTACCTCTTTTGCTAAATTTATCCAACAGGTCCGCCATTTGGAATCCATCCTCCGTATCTCTGAGAGTTTTGCGAAAATGAGATTATCAGAGTACTGCAGCAGTACGGATATCGATCGTGCCATTGCGGTCGCCATTGACAGTTTCGTGGGCAGTCAAAAGATTAGCTGCAAAAAGGCGCTGGCGAGGGCGTTTGCAAAGTATACTCTTGCTAGACCTGGTGCTGTAAGGAAGAGTAGGAATGCTAGGGCTGGTGCTAGTCAGGGTGTTGGTGTTGTTGCTTGAAAAGAGGAATGGAAGGGAGATTTTTCTTTTTTCGTAGTCATGAAGGGGTGCTGGGGATGGCGTTTTCTTCTTCTTCTAATGATACCTGATGTTTTGTCGTTTTTTTCATAAGTGGGATTGGTCGATTGTAAAGCTTATGGTAGAAGAATGGGGGTATATACACAGCTTTTTCCCGTTTCCATAAAGATCAAAGCCAACACTTTGTCAAGGTCTTTTCTGCTTTTTCTTTTCTCAAATCTCATCCTTGGAGATCATGATACCATATGGATCACGATCAACCTCACTGACATGAATTTCCACATGATCATCCTCCAACGCCTCCAAGTAATCCTCACTCAAGCCAGCCTTATTCTTTTCCTCTTGCCTCACACGCTCCCACTCCTCCTTGACGGCGTTCTCCAACTGCGGCTTCAACACACCATGTAAGAAGCCCCTCTCTGTATTCGAGTGAAACAGTGCGATTACACATTTGCCTTGCTCAATAGCGGCCAATGCTTCATGATGGCTCAATTCACCCGTAAACAGCAAATCTACATCTTCCTCTCCATTCTTGCCGAGACCGCTGAATAAACTGCCTCCAGAGCCGGCACAGATGGCTACACTGGAGATGTCGATTTCTTCCATTGTTTTTCCTTGGGGGATTGCGATGGGGAAGCCCTTTGGGTTTCCGAGGCCGCGGCCTATGCGGTCGATGATTTCGAGGAGGGGTTGGGGGGTGTTGAAGCGGACTATACGGCCCATTCCCGCCGTTGTGTTTTCGTATCCTGGGGCTTTGCAAGGTGTGATGGGGCGACGAGTGTGCGTGTCATTTCCGAGTTTGAGTGTACGGTCCTTGATGCTGAGTTGACTGGGATGATGTTGGAGTTGGGCTGTCGGGCGTTTGAGTCCCTGAGAAGGTGTTTCTGGCTCTTTGGCTTGCTCTTTTTGCTTTTCTTCTGCTTGGGCCGCGAGTTCTTCTGCGCTCATGGGGGTGCCGGAGACGATGTCGGCGAGCCAGTCGCCTAGGCCGCCGGGTGCGCAGTCGATTGCTGTGTGTGGGCTGTATACACTGATGCCTTCTGCGGCCAGACGGAGTAGAGTTTGTTGTTGGGTGTCTGCTAGGGACAAGCTTTTGAGACCTCTGAAGATGATGGGATCTATGCTTGATGTAAAGTTAGGCGTGCTGATCTCGGGATGCGCTCATTCGTTGGGTGGGTCGTACGGTAGGCTACGATGACAGAATCTCCGCGTTCAATTGCTTCATCGGCAACGGCCTTGGTCAGGTCAATGGTGAGGAGGGCCGAGTTCATTTGGCGACGGATGGGATCAAAGGGTGACTCGAGAAGGACTAGTCCAGGTCAGAGATGTGTAACAATATAGTGTATGTCGTGATAAAACGTACGACCAGTGTTGTCCCAAGCCTTGTCGGCGAGCGCCTCGGGGTAGCTGACTGCGTTAGCGATTCGGTCATGTATGGTATGCAGAGGCATTGACGAACAGTTTACGCATTGCGCCAACGACGGCCTTTGAGAAAGGGGCCGAAGATACTGTTGAACTCATCTTGATTGTACGACGTAACGTTGCCGAGAACATGCGAAAGTGTGCGACAGCAAAGGGAAGGATCGTACAGAAAAAGAGAGTCCAAGAGTAAATGGTCGAGATGGACGAAAGTGCAAGTCCAGGCCAAAGCTCCCACCGCAGGCTGCGTCATTCTTGGACCGTCCCTCCAGCAAGCCACTCTTTTTGCGACAATCCACCTCAGCAACCAATCACACTCCCTATCACGGAATCATGAGCGCCAGAACAGACGTCGAAGCCACACAGAACCAGCTCTCGTCGGGCGTCACCCCAGAGTCGCTCAAGGCCACCCTGTTCGAGAAACTTGAGGCACAGCACGTAGACATTCAAGATCTATCAGGTAGTCGCAATCAGATCTAGTCACATACCACAACGTCAAAGCTCACAAGTCCACAGGTGGATGCGGTCAAATGTTCGAAGCCATCATCGTATCACCACAATTCGAAAAGAAGACGTCTCTCGCTCGCCATCGCCTTGTCAACAACACCCTCAAAGCCGAGATTGCTGCCATACACGCCTGGACGCCAAAGTGCATGACCCCTGCCGAGTGGGAGAAGAAGAAGGGTTCTCTTTGAGTGTCACCTATACCCAGAGTCTTGCATGACCATCACATAATGTTCAAATGATACCACTTTTTTACTGTTTTCTATCTACGTCTAGCTGAGCAGCACCTTGATTTCGTCACTTGTGCGAGGGAACATGTCGCGGAGCAGCATGCCTTCTTCAATCTCTTCTCCTTGCTCGGCCAATGTCATCTCGTCCAAGCCAATCATGACTCTTTCGGCTGCTTCGAACTTTGTGACAAACACGTTCGATGCATCTTCGCATACCCTGCGCACCATCCTCTTCTCTGCAAGCTTGCCGATGAAGGATCTGGCATCCTCCATTGCTCCTGGTAGGAAGGCATCTAACTTCTGTGCCATGTCTGCTAGGCGGTCTGGTTGCATCTCCCTCAGCTTCCGGATGCCACTGATGCCTTGACCGAGGTTGGTGTGTCTGTACTCTTCAAGACTGTCGAAGAGTCGCTTGAGCCCAGATTCTGACTCGAACCATCCAGTCACCGTCTCTACGAGTCTCTCGAGCTGCTCATCCAACACTCCTTCAATCTCAACGATCTTGTCTTCTGTGAAAGTTCGGCCCTTGAGTGTCTCTATGGTTGCCAGAAGACAATTGATGCCAAGTATCTGACTCTGTGGTGATCCCATACCCTTAGCAATGGTCTCGCAGCCTGCCAGATATGGTCCAAGCGCTTCTTCAAGCACGCTCTGGAAACCAGATCGGTCATCGCTTGGAGATGTGTTGGCCAGTGATGTATCGTAACTCTTCATCAAGCCTTTAAGTGTGTCGAGTGCTTCCAACAAAAAGTCGGGCGGTGAGAGGTCCAGAGGTGTGACTGAAACATCGCTATGAATATTGGCAATGTGATCTCTCATCAGCGTTCTGAATTGCTCGAACGCCTTTTGTGTAATAGGTTGCAGTGTCTGGACTATTGTCGAATCCGGTCCAAGGAGAGGTACAAAGATAGAACAGTAGAATCGGACGAGATTCGAGATCTGATAGGCTAGCGTTGCATCTTCATGACTCTGCACAGTCTGCTCGACACGTTGACGCAGTTGACGAAGTACGCCGGACAAGTCGCGATCAACCAGGTCATTGAGCGCTTTCTTGCCATCAAAGGCTGCAACTTCTTCACCATCGGTTCCATCGGTAATCTGTAACCACGGTTCACGTTCACGGCCTGCCTTGATGTTCTTTGATATCTCATCCGCATCAGAAATGAATAGAATTTGCAAAGCTTCACGCTCGCCCACTGTAGCCGCGTGCGCCCAGGCAAGCATATCACTAACATAACGCAGCGGATCGTGCGCGCTTAGTTCAATTGCTTTGCCCAGAGCAGGGCCTCCTATGCGCTGAGCGGGTCCTCCTGTGAGTGCTGCGTAGAAGGCGTCCGAAAGCACTTGCTCCCTATTCTCGGCAAAGAAGTCAAGACAGCTTTGGAAGAGCGCAGGCCTCTCAGCCAGCACACGAAGAGCGCGCCTGACAGAAGCGCTAAGTTGAGGGTTCTCAAGATCCAGTTCACGAAGCTCTCGTTGGGTCCAGCGGAACAGCTTTTGGAAAGCGGCATTGAGTTGTTTTGAACTTTGCTCCAGAATTTCAAGTCCGAGTTGCTGGTCTTCGGTGCCCAGGAGTAGTTGACTGTCATCGTGAATTTTCTTAACCCTAGCCAGAGCTTGAAAGAAGGCATCTGTGACAGGCTCCGCTGTAGATGTCAGAGAGGTGACCTCCACATCTGATAAAAGGAAGTGAGATGTAAAAGCACCCAGCAATTGCTGTTTAGTCTCGGTCTGCTGCCTTTGAGTCATCATCGCTGTACTCTCTTCCATCATGGGTCCAGTTTCTCTGTTGGCAGCGGATATGTGCGATCGCATACTTGAGCACAATTTATTGAGCTCCTCGATAGCTGCACCTACTCGTTGCAGTTGCTACATTACGGTCAGCGCTATTGCAACAAAGATTTGAAGTCACCATACCTTTGCGACTTGTCCAAAATCGCGAATGATCTCCCCATTGCATTGGATCAGTTCTTGCTGTGCGTCTAGTCGAAGGTTGCGCCTCGTCTCTGCCGTGTTGTGAACTTTGCGCGCATCCAGAGTTTCCAATGCGTCTCGGATTTCCAGATCTGAGTAGGATGCAGCAAGTACACTTGTTATTCGACTTTGAAGAGCACTCGATCTTTGCGCTGTTGGTCCTGGAGACATGGCTGGTGAAGCAGGCAATGTGGCCTCTTCCAGCCGCTCGGGGAAGTAGCCACTCGCCATCAATGTATCTTTTCCAGTTCGAAGATGCTAATTTACTATCCTCAATTCCTTTTTGATCATGTTAGAGTCTATGGGTGGATATACAACGCAAACGTGAGTGGTGGAGCCTTGACAATTGTCTAATTCTTTCTCGAATAGACTTTGATATGCGTAGGCTTCGACAAGGGTGGACAGTCGAGGATACGACTTACAAGCATTAGATGGATTCAAGGATATTGATCACGATACGTTCGCATATGGTGCTGTATCCGTATGGTTCGAGGCCCAAGCACAAGGGGTTTGGTCTCGTCAAGAGTTGCACATCGGGGTGGCGCAGAAATGTGGGGAAGAGAAGGCGTGAATGTCTCGTGTTTGGTCCAGGTCAGTCGTTACGAAAGGGTCTTTTCAACAAGCTTCTGTGGCTCCTTTTCCATCTTACTCAACTGCTCCGTTATTCATGGGCATGTTGCCTGTCATTTTCCACCAAGACAATTCATCATGAGTTCCGTCAAACTGGCCAGTCGACGTGAGCGTGTCGTCAGCCGAAGAGAAGTCGAGGCTCTGATTGCCGAGGGCCGATCGATTATTGTCGTGAATGGCAAGGTGCTCAAGGTCGATGCATGGCTCAAGTATCACCCTGGCGGTGAGAAGGCCATTATGCACATGGTTGGCAGAGATGCCACAGACGAGGTCACAGCGTATGTCAGCTGAACATGTCAATTGGCCTTGGTTGAGCTCTTTCTGACCATATCTCCAGTTTGCACTCTGTCGAAGCTCTCGAGCGCATGCACGCCTACCAGATTGGTGTAACCGAAGGACGCTGGTCTAACTTCCTACCCCCAATCCAAGGAGGTCAATTCCGATTGAGACATGTCCTCGAAGCTGAGGACCATGCCTCCGACCAGGAACATGATTCGTCCAGCCAGGCAAGCTCAGGGGAGCCGTCGCCCTTGTTCGAGCCCGTCGACACTCAACTTCGCCAGCGTAAATCTAACATGTCACGATCTTCCTCTTCCACATCCATGTCTTCGCTGGACGTCGACAACGAGAAGCCACACAACATTCACGATCCTGAGAGCGACTGGACGAAAGCTCAGATCAAGAATGACCTGGAGAAATACCCCGAGCTCAATCCCGAGACTCAAGCCGACATTATGCAAAAGTATCGCCTGCTGGATCAGCGCATGAGAAGCGAAGGCCTCTACAACTGCAACTACAAATCATACGCCATCGAGGTAGCACGGTACTCTTTCTTGTTCGCCATGTTCTTGACTGCCCTGCACCACGGCTGGTATTGCAGCTCGGCTGTTTTCCTTGGTGTTTTCTGGCACCAGCTGGTCTTCACCGCTCATGACGCTGGACACATGGGCATCACACACAACTTCCACGTCGACAGTGTCATTGGTATGGTCATTGCGAATCACCTTGGAGGTCTGAGTCTAGGCTGGTGGAAACGCAGTCACAACGTCCACCACATCATCACAAACTCGCCAGAGCACGACCCAGATATCGAGCATATGCCCTTCTTCGCCATCTCGCACCGCTTCTTCAAGTCGCTCCGATCAACTTACTACGACCGCGTCATGACGTACGACCCCTTTGCCAAATTCGTCATTCAATATCAACACTTCCTCTACTACCCCGTCCTCTGCTTCGGCCGCTTCAACCTCTACCGCTTGAGTTGGGAATACCTCATCCTCGGTCTCGGCCCCCGCAAAGGTCCCGCATGGTGGCACCGCTGGTTCGAAATCTCCGGTCAACTCTTCTTCTGGTACTGGTTTGGCTATCAAGTGCTGTATAAAAGTATCCCCGATGGCTGGAGCCGCTTCGCCTTTATCATGATCAGTCATGCCGTCACCATGCCTTTGCATGTTCAAATCACCCTCAGCCATTTCGCCATGAGCACGGCTGATCTAGGCGTCAATGAATCCTTCCCACAACGTATGCTGAGAACAACCATGGATGTCGATTGCCCCCGATGGCTGGATTTCTTCCACGGTGGCTTGCAGTTCCAAGCTATCCATCATTTGTACCCTCGTATGCCTCGTCACAATTTGCGCAGAGCTCAGAAGTTGGTGCAGGAGTTCTGTGATGAGGTGGGTATTCCTTATGCGATTTATGGGTTCTATGATGGTAATAAAGAGGTTATTGGACGCTTGGGAGATGTTGCGAGGCAAGCTAAGATTTTGGCCGCTTGTCAGAGGAGTATTGCTGAGAGTGGGGAGATGCATTGATAGAATTCTTGTATCTGCATAGCAGATTAGATGATCTTGTAGAATGTAAATGATTCATGTTTCCAATTTGTTCACAATTGTTGTAATTCTCTTGATGGGATGTCTCTATATAATGGACTTTGCAAAGCTATTGTACATTTTGTGTCTAAGTATGAGATTAACATATGCAAACTCCAGGGTACTGTGCGATCTGGGCTTGTCGGGCTTTGTGATGATACCGAGAGTGCGTCCGTCAGTCTTAGGGATCACGGTAGTCATTTGCCGGAGTTCAAAATAAGAATCCCCAGAGTATACTGCAAGCACAGTGGTACTGCCCTCGTCGATGTAGGACTTGACTAGCGTCTCCACGAACTCGATGTCTCCAGCAGGCTGGTGCCTTCCTCTGGTCGTGATAAGGCCTGGCGTATCGATCAGTGTGATCGTGGGACAATCGGGGCCAGAGATTGCAATCTCAAGAATGTTTTGAGAAGATGCACTCTGATCCTGTGGAGCCTCGGATAGCAAAGGTAGGCTCATCGTCATAGAGGCATCTCGGATGAGGGCTGACACCTGGGTAGGGATGGAATATCTTTCCCAGCCCCAAATCTCAAGGCGCCTGCGGTCCTCCTCTTTACAGAAGGGGCCGGGAACGATCGAGGCAGAGGTATAGGTCCTTTTGCTGTGGCGCAGGATGTATCGTATGGCAAAGCGCGTGCAAACACCAGAATCTAAGGCTCACTTTTGGCTTCCTCGCATTGCAAAAAGGCGGTAGATGATCGCCGACGCTTTCCAGGTAAAGGGTTGCGCTACAACGGTGCGGTGAGTACTTACCGACATGTTGACGGGATGATATGCCTGTGAGTGACTCCAAGAGTGAGCTTTTACCCACGGCCCGATCACCACACATAACGATATACGGCAAGGCGATGATTCCGTAGACACCGATTGACTGTAGACCGTGCACAGCATCGAATATGCCATCCAAGCGATGAGGCCGAACTTTGTCCACGTTGGCGAAGGCTTCTGTGACGGAGAAACAGACGGTAAAATGACTTTGTGGCTTGTCTAAGCGGACTTGGTGGGAGAGATCATGAGCAGGAGGAAAGTTGAAAGGAGCAGAAGAAAGTGTGGGAAGAAGCGGAATGTGTAGGAGGTAGAGCAATTGCGGACTGAGTGTGACGGCTTTCTTGCCAGTGAAGATGCCACCAGTTAGAATGAAGCTGGAAGTCTTGCTGCACACTCATGCAATGTTCCAACCCAGGCAACTCTCCGGTGTTCGAACGAGCACTTCCCAGCAGAGTATACTTCACTTTGCTCTGCGCGCAAGTGCTGTCCCGCATATCTCGCATCGTGCCGGCCTCACTCATCTAGGGCCACAGACTTAAGAGCAGGCATATCCGTCAGGCATCGCAATACATGAGCTCGCTTCTCTACGACACTGAACTCCACAACGATAAACAGCTTGACACAGTCGGAGCATCTACCGTACATGCTTCATTTCTGCGAAAGATTATGCACAAGCTGTCAATTCATCGACGGACACAGAGCGAAGAGGATGGTGACAATCGCTATTCTCTGGTAAAACCTGTCTAGAAACACGGCTTGGATGAGTTTTGCTTGAGGCTGCTTTTGATATCACGTATGCTCGGAAGTCAGGATGGAACGAAGATGAGGGTGTGAGACCTTGAAATTGCAGGCTTCGGACAGGAGGCTGTCATGGAAATGGAGTTCGGCTTCCTGGATCGACCCCTCAGAACGGCAACTCGTGGACGATTATCGGTATGTAAAAGAGAGCAAAGGACTGAACGACAGCGGAACTTCAACGAGTACAAAGTGCGGAACGGATGGAAAAGAAGCCGCCAAACGAAGAGCATCACGGAAAGTGTTTCCATATTGGCTCTTGCTCAGCAGCTGGCCGAACAAGGAGAAGCGACGCGATTTGGTGGGGAAATGGCTGGGCTCTGATTCAACAAATCAGAAGGCTCGCATTTTCAACAGGGACCAGTGTCTTGAAAGATTGGCGCGGGCCGGGGAAATCAGTCGATTGATAGCCGGCGCTCTCTGGTCTGATTATCTTGCTTGTGAGAAACTGTCAACTTCCTTCGTCTCTTGCTTTGCTCCTTGTATACCGCAAACTCTTGTCGCCTCTTTCGACTGCCACCCTCGCTCTCACCTTTGACATATATCTGTCTTACGAACACGTCAACCTTGACAAACACACATCACACACATAACCGCCGCCATGTCTCAAGAATTCACCTACTCGGACATTGCCGAGCACAACACCAAGAAGGTGAGCAGATACAGGAGGATCCTGTCAGGCACGCCAAAGAGGAGGATGCACACAGAGGAGAATGAGGAATCATGCGCGTCCTCGACAGCCTCAACAAACGCTTCTGCTCAATCAAAGAATGTCCCTGACTAACCCAATTTCCAGGACATCTACATGGTCGTCCACGACAAAGTCTACGACTGCACAACCTTCGTCGATGAGCACCCGTACGTTCCTCCTCTTCCTCTAGCACCCCTCTTGATCCAGCAAAGGCCTCCTGAAGTCCTCTCACAACCCTTCAACACCCCACCCAAGAACCCCACTCTTGCCCTCGTCCCACAAGAAAAAAGAACTCCCTCTCAAACAAAGAACCCCGTCCTCCAGAACCCCACACTAACCCTCCCTCCCTTCCAGTGGCGGTGAAGAAGTAATGCTCGACGTCGGCGGCCAAGACGCCACCGAAGCCTTCGAAGACGTAGGCCACAGCGACGAAGCCCGCGAAATCCTCGAAGGCCTCCTCGTCGGCACCGTAAAACGCCAACCCGGCGACCCAACCCCAAAATCTTCCGCTCAACCTACTTCCTCAAAGACTTCTGGTCCTGACGCTGCTGGTCTTGGTGCTGGTCTTTATGTCATCTTGTTGGTTGGTGGTGCGTTGGCTTATTTGGCTTATGGTTATTTGCAGGGGAACGGTGAGGTCAAGCAGTAGATTGTCGTTGTCTTATTGGCTTGACTTCTGGGCCGCTCGTGGAAATGCTGAGAATGATTATTGGGAGGGAGAAGTAAAATGCAAAGGAGATGGCTAGAAATGCATATGATGGAGACTGCCGTCATGTTCTATCAAGTCAGGAGGGAAGCAAACAGACACACGGTTGTCGAGCTAGCATGTGGCGGGTCCCGGGAACAAGGAGCAGGAAGGAGTTTTGGTCCCCCATCCATGGTGGCACAGAAAGAGCACATGTCGAGCGTCAAGGGATAAATTGTGTCATTCATCATTGTCAAAACAGGAGCTACATATTTTTCCAGAAATTGACAACATCACATATTCCGAGATCGTCCCCGATGCGTCATGCAAGAAATCAAGTCATGTTACATGAAAGATCGTTTTCACAAGTACGATTGAAAGGGATACAATACTTTGGATATAAAGGTCTTGGCTGTGTTATATTACAACAAAGAAAGGGATTCTTGCACTTCCATATAAGGGCAAGTCACCTCAACTACTATCATCCACAAACGTCACTTTCCTCCGCCTCGGTCTCTGCTCCCGTGCCTAACGGTAGTAATCGCTAGCATCATCACCACCAGCTGGAGGAGCGAATTGCTGCTGCTGCTGCTGCTGCTGCTGTGGAGGAGGAGGAGCCTGCTGTCCCTGTGGTACAGCCTGAGGGTTATAGGCCTGATAAGAAGGAGCCGCTGCCGGAGGAGCAGAAGGCTGGCTTCCACTCAGACTGGTATAGGACTGATTAGGATGCTGCTGAGGTGGGTATTGTGGTGGATAGGACGCAGTGGAGGTTTCCTGAGGTGCTTGGGCAGAGTACATCGATGTCGGGCTCTCGAAACTGGAGGTGCGTTGTCTGATGGGCATTTGTTGTTGCTGCGGGGGAGCGGGTGGTGCACTTGTGGGTTGTTGGGGTTGCGGTGAGGCAGCGTAATTCAGTGGTGCGGGTACAGGGGCGCCAGCGCCATAGACATTATTGCGGCCATCAGTGGGACTTTCATAAGCACTCGTGCTGAGCTCTTGAGGGTTTCCCGAGTTGAGAGTGTGTATACTTTGCGGGCGGTTATTGTATGGCTGCATACCGGGGCTGTACACGCCATCCCCAGGAGGAGCACTTGGGCCAGGTCCCATAGGCTTCGGGCTTTGACGAGCCTCCGGTGGTGGAGCACCATTAGGTAGGAAGTGAAAGGGAGCCGGTGCTGGGGTGGCAGAAGGATTGGTCATGGGAGGAGGGTAAGCATAAGCGTTCTGCTGGGGAGGCTCGGATGGGGGAGGCTGGTTGTAGAAGCGTTGGTCGGGAGGAGGGCCTTGAGGAGGATATCCAGATTGCATCGGAGGATAAGGGTTGTAGTAGCCGCCAGAATGCTGTCTAGCCGGGGCAGGGTATTGTGGTTGTGACATGGACGATTCCAAGAGAGCCTCGTAGTCGCGTCGAGCCTTGATGAACTTCTCATTGAGCTGCGTGAACTCGTCTGCAAAGTGTTAGTTCAATTTGTGCTGTACGGTCCGTTGCAAGAATCTTACCTTTCTTTTGCGAGTACTTTCCAATGAGCTCAATCAGCTTAGGGCGAATGGACAGAGTCTGGTTGTACAGATCGGTGATTTCATCTTCACTGCCAGTGTCACGCGAGTTTTCGCCCCTGACACTCAGCAAGGCCAAGAGCTTCTCGACGTTCCTGATCTGTGAGAAGACGTCTGCCTCGGTCTGAGCGTCTCTTTCAAGCTCCTCCCTTGTAGGATCCTGCAGCTTCTCGACGTAGTTCAGAGGAAAGATACCAGTCTGACCACGGAGAGAGCCCTTCCACCAGTCCTTATAAACAGACTCGATGACAGCAATTACATCCCCCTTCTTGAAGGCCAGCTCGCCAGGCTCGGAAGGAATAAAGTCGTAGAGTGCCTTGACTCGGCTGACAGTGGCGGCTGTTGTGCCTTGCTGGGCGTCTGACTGGGGTTGCTGAGAGGTTGCCGAAGATGCTTCTGGTTCAGGTTGACTGCCCTTATCCTTCAGACTCAGGGCCAGAGCCATCTGCAACTCCTCGTCTTCCTTGCGACGATCCGTATCCTCAATCTGTCGCTTGACGGGCTTGCCAGGCGGGGCGAGACCAGGATTCGAGGAACGTAGTTTATCGTATGCCTGCTCCATGATGCCCAAGTCGGCGTCTCCCTTGAACATGTCCTTCCATTCTTGCATACGCTCGAGGATCTTACTCTTGACTTGCTGGTGGGTGTTGCGGTCGGCGGCCAGGCGGAGTAAAGCATCGGTGAAAGAGCGAGAGGAGAGTTCACGGTGGATAGGCGCACCGCAGTTTTGCGACAAGGCATTGGCGAGCTCAAGTGTGTATAGCTGGACATTGGCGTTACGGTGGGCGAGACGCTTGATCAAGGCGGCCGTGACCGACTGAGGACCGGTGGGCGATGTCGACACGCGATCGCATACGTCCAGTATGAGAGCCCAGTTCTCTGATGTCAAGTTCTCGTCGGTCGCCTTGGCTGTGGTGGCTGTATTAGTTTCCTGCCATGGTACACATGAATGCTTGCTTGGTCAGGGGAGCTACTCACTGACGACTTCATCGAATGTATTTGCTTGAGCGCGAAACATGCCGGCTCTGATATTTTGTAGTAGGATTAAACGAGAGTAGCTTCTTCTCACTTTCCAGAAACGAGATGGCTAAACTGCTGCCTGAGCACAAAGATGTCTGGTTCGAGTTGTTGCTCGTCTCCGCAATACAGGCCATGTGAGCGCTCCCGAAGCCAAACCGCACCACGTCATTGCCGAGCTGCCTGCCTCAACGTCCTTGCAAGTTGCCACCACGCAACTAAGCACATCTTCATAGACGCCGCGCAACTTTGCTCTTCACTGCCACCATTGCACTGCCTCACTTGACACTCAAATGGTGCACTATTTTGCCATGCACCTTTGGGCAACCCCGCTAGATACTCGGAGTACGAGCTTCACGAATCTGCACCAAGCACCGACACTTTCTAGCAATTCTGTCTTGCTTGTTCCTCTGCTGGGGAATATCATTTTTAGCTAGATCGTCTCTAGCTAACCGCTACTCATGTCTTCTTTCTTTGGTATAGTGACATAAAGCAATCGTTCGCCGTAAACGCCTATTGCTCTCTCGATGTACTCGCGCTCTGCAATGCTACCGGTCCGAAGACCACGTACCTTCATATCAAAACCAATGAAAAAAAACCGAAACGTAGGTGGGTATCCACCAAATCAGACTTCATCGACCTTTGACGACATTTCCCGAGCTTTGGCTGTGAGCTCAGATGAGACCATGCATATCGGACTATGCTGGACTATGTCAGAAGAGATGCATCTACATCTCAATAAAGGCCTTGTCATATCTCGTAGAAGAGGAAGAAGGAAATTCCAGTTAAATGCTCAGAAATGCTTGAACCATGCTTGCGGCCAAGATGATGTTATCAAATGCCTTTGTTCTTGCGTTCCTCTGCTCTCGCTTGACGTGCTGATCGCACAAGTGGTGAAAGTGTTGCCAGCGGCTCTGCCGTTTGGATGAATTGATGCTGGTAACCATGTCAGTAAACCGCATTAAACAATCTTCATCACGGACCACTTACCATTAGCAAGTCGTGCGCACTAGCTCTCTTGTCAGGGTCAACCTTGAGGGCAAATGCGAGGAAGTCGCGGAAGATGGGTGTCAATTCCTCTTCGGCCTTGATTTGAGGTGTGCCGTTAGTCGCAATCAAATATAGGGCTCTCAGCGGTGACTCGTTGAGGTAAGGAGGTTCGCCCTCAATCATCTCGATAGCCATGATTCCGAGTGACCAGATATCGATCTTGCGACCGTACTCCTTTCGTGTTACGACTTCCGGAGCCATCCAGTACGGCGTTCCGACCATGGTCGTACGCTTGTGTTGGGACTCGTTGATTTGTGCACAGAAACCAAAGTCGGCTACGTGGGGTCAGTTGAGGCTTCTCAATCAAGTCTTTCTACGACTTACTGAGTTTGATGTTTCCTTCGAGAGACAACAAAACATTATCTGATTTGATGTCTCGATGAATGACTCCCTTGGAGTGGAGGAATTGCAGACCATGCAGCGTCTTGACAGACAGAGTCAGTAGGGGAGCGCAAGAAGATCAGGGATTGAAACATACCTCACGGCACACGGCCGCAATCTGAGGCTCGGACATCATGTTGAATGTGACCACGTCTGTCAGACTACCACCCTCCATGTATTCCATGACGACCCACAAGTCTCCCTTGACCAGATAACTGTCCATGAAGTTTACAATGTTCTTGTGCTTGCTGTCCTTCATAACCAAAATCTCATTGATGATCAGGTCCTTCTTAGGTTGTTGTTCCAGATTCATTTGCTTAATGGCAACGCACTTGTTGGTGCCTACCTCGTATGCAGTAAAGACACCACCGGAAGCACCTTGCCCAATCTTGTTGAGATTACGGTACTTCTTTGTGGGATCCGCGGGTGTGCAGATTGCATTCAGCTTCTGGATAATTTCGCTGTTCTGCTGCTGGCTTTGACGTTGAGGGCGTTGTCTTGGTCTTGGAACAGGCCCGACGCGAGACTCCTGGCCGGGTGCAGGGACAGCTTGGGCGCTTGGAACTTGAACGTGCTGTGGTTGAGGGGTACGTTGACTTTGTTTGCGTTCGATATTTGACTGTTGAAGTGCTACCTGAGCCGCAGCCATGGCTTGTTGCTGTTGCTGTTGGTAGGCATATGGTGAGGCAACGGCTAGTGCTTGAGTCGCGGTATTTGACCGTGAACGAGAAGCAGCAGGCTGTGAAACCTCGTTGATAGTAGAGGGTGCGTATTGGACGGCAGGGTGTTCGTCTTGGGGTTTCTGTTGTTGAGGAGACGTGGGAATCGCAGGGGCTGCGCGAGCAGGAGTCATACCAGAGCCAGTTGCGTTTGCACCAGGAGGACGAGGAGCCGCACGCAGAGGAATTGTATTGCTGCTGGGCATTGTAGGCGACATGGGACCAAGGCCCAGTCCAACGTTACGGGGAACAGGAGGAGCAGCTCTAGGATTCTCGAAGCTATCCTCGTTGTTGGGTGGGAATCGTGGGCTTTGAGGAGGGCTGACCATTGATGAAAAGCCAGAGCTGGGAGTTACCATGGGTGATGTGAGGCCGCTTGGAGGAGACATGTGCTGTGGTGTGTCGCGCGCATGAGCCTGGCCGAACTTCTGCCAAATGCCATCTTCGGGGTTTTTCTCTGCATTCTCTTTGTAAAAGGTCACGATGTCCACGATGGCCTTGGGGTCTCGCTTTTGTTCTTGCTCCGAGATGCCAGCACTTGCCAGGATGTTCTGCCATTCACGAGGAAGACCCTGGTATGATTAGTGATTGATTCTTCTTCAGAGACAGCGGGAACGCGCTGGCACTTACGGTAAATTCGCCGGTGCGGTTGTCCACGCCGACATGAGTGATGTGAACGGGGTTTTCGGGAGCTGAGATGGTCGGGCGGCCGGGAGACTTGAACAAGCTAGATATGCTGAAGCTGCTCTTCTTCTTTGCTTTCAGTTCATCACTAAGACGTTTCGAACCCTCCGGACGGGGTGACAGACTGTCCATGGGACCGGCGGATGAGTTGTTGCGAGTGAGGCGGAAGCTAGTCGAGTGACGCAGCGAGTTGAAGCGCGAGCCGGCCGTCTGCGACCTGAGAGAGATGGAAGGGCGTTTGGGCTGGTTGGAGAGGGCCTGGGCGTTTGCAGAGTGGGGTGCAGACAAGCCGACGGGAGAGGGAGATGGGGAGTTGTCGTGCGAGTGCGAGGCAGCGCTGAAGAGCGAGATGGAATCCGGGCGAGCTGCACCGTCCGGCGGTACGACGCGCAGCTGGGGGTTCTCGTCGGCAGCGTGTTCGTCGAGGTTTGCGAGATGGTTGTAAGAAAGGCCGTTGTGGGAACGCAGCTCAGGCTCGGACAGGTCGCGCGCAAGACTGGGATTGGTCGGTCGGCGGGATTGATTGGTCGTGTGCGACGACGTGTTGTACTGGGAGCGGACGGCAGCCGAGGCGCTTCTGCGTAGCTTGGGCGGGCCTTGGGATGATTGGTGGGCAAGCGAAGACGACGAATACTGCAACGAGTGTTTCCTCAAGAGTTGCTGACTCTGAGGTTGTGCGGAAGGGTCGGCCATGGAAGTGAAGGCGGCGAGCGGACGGGACTTTGGACAAAGGTGGACAAGCGAACGTGGTTGGTGGCTGGCCGAAACAGCAGCACGACTCTCGACACTCTGCAACTGACAGCACGCTGCGACAAGGGGCGGATACCGCTCTCTAGACTGCGGCGGGTGAAGCCGGTCGTGATCTGTACAGCCCGAGAGATGCAAGGAATAGTCAATGAATCGCGGCCGGTGACAAGTGACACGCGAAAGCAGGGGGGACTCTGCGTGCAGCTACTGCTCTAGCAGTGCAGTAATATACAACTCGGACAATCAGAAAGGCAGGTGGACACAGAGAAGCCCAATGACATCGACCAACTCTACAAATCCCTTCATTCGCTTGTTTTCGCTGCGATTAAACTACTTGTAAACGGCCGCCATCGATCAAGGCCTCTTCTTTGTCCTTGCTGCCCTTCCATCTCCACTCGACTCTTCGACACGACACACCCGACCGAATCCCCAATCGCCTTGGCAATCCACCGTCCAACTTTCAACCGATGCACGATGCTTTCCATTTATCGGAGCTTTTAATTTCCTGATCCTCACCAACAACTCCTCGCTATTTGTTCCCCAACCCATGTGTCGCGCCAATCTACTGTGAAACACTGTTTCTGCCACATGCTCTATCCACCGGGCTGATGGCTAATACCTGCATCTGAAGCTCTTAGCAGTCGCAGTAACAGCACTTCTTCCACCACAGCCGTCACTCTGCAGACCAACGTTCATGCAACTCCACCGAGGCCACGTTTTCTTGCCGCGTTAAAGGCGTTTGACGGCGTGGCTGCTAGACCCCGGTCCTGACTGCCTCTTTGCGACCACACCTGAAGCTTATTTTCTCCGAATCTACCGTCTTTAATGCTTGCTACTGCTTTCCATCCATCTAGAGCACAGCTCCACGGCACTTTGATCGCATAGAGATTCAAATCGATCCTTTTAGCAATTCATTCGGTGGATACAAGTTACAATCTAGGAATTTCTTGAAACCACTGTTTGCGGCCCTTCCCGAGCAGCATCTGCAAACGCCTGTGCCAATCTTCTCATTTCTTGTCGGATCTCGTTGCCTGTGTTTTTGTCAACAATCATGATTCCTGTTGAACATAGATTGGCTTGTCTCGGGTGGAGAAAATAGTCTGCAGATGTCGCTTGACTCTGACATGTTGGCATGTGCCATCCTGCAAGCCTCCTTATAGCCCTCTCGACATGTGTTGGTTCTGCGTTACAGGAAACATGCATTGCCGTGCAGCATGCATAGTCAGGCGGGCGGCTCCAAACCTGTCCTGAGTCGGTCGGAAAACAGTCAAGGAGAATCTCTCTTTCAATTGTCCGGAGAAAGTCCCTGTTGTTGTACGATTCGTGTGGATATGCTTGCTCCTTGCTACACACTTTTTTTGTTAGTCAGCCGAGAAGCGTGCGGCGTCAAGTCCTGCTTTGTACGAGTGCTGCTCCATTTTCGGCTCATACGTAGGCGGCGCAAAGCCAACTCCCGTATCTCGTGCCCGCATCTGCCAGAATCAACACGGCGTCCTTTCCATCAACCGACTTCATCCCTTCTATGCATACTTAACATGGGTTAGGCCTTGGTTGAACTCTCTTCCGGATGGTGGTCCGCGGTGCAAGCTAGTCAGGACTCATCACGATTCGATTGCAGAAAAACCCGGGGCGGTAGACTGTGTGTGTTACATCCTCACATCCATTCTGCAGTCTAGGAGAGAACTGGCAGCCGCCGTTGTTTTCTCGAAACAACCTAGGCCCATGCTCGAGTTTGCCAGTTTCGAGGATGCCTGGCGAGATCTGATGAACACCGTCTATGCATGTTTGTCCGTAGTTGAAGAAACCACCGACCTCCACATCCCCACTGTGCCGTCAATCTTGATCACACCCAGGAATTCACACCCAGAAATCTAAAGGTCAACTTTTTCTACGCAAAACATGCAGCACGTTGTGGAATATGACCAATTTTATCAGTCCTCGAACTGATCACTCATGCGTGATGCTGCAGACCGGATACTCGAGAAGTCTCTTTGAATCTCCACAAGGATGGTCTTCAGCAGATAACCGATCCACGTCGTGCGACCTTGATTACAACACCTCGGCACTCAACGAACGACAAAAACCACTCAGGTGTCTATCACCTAGTGATAGGTCAGGTCAACCTGGCGGCTGCCTGCTTCTCGCTTGCATATGAATAGAGACGCTCGAGAGCGGTCTTTGATCAACGAGCAGATCCGGGGTCGGGTTTTCCTTCTCCTGGACAGAGAAAGTGATCAGTCCCGCATACCAATATATCCTCGACAAGCCTTAGGCAGGGCTGACCAAGCCCGAATACCCGGCTATCAAGCACACGGAAAGCCACCAGGAACAGAGGCTGAGGTAAGGTGGAGAAATCAGGTGAGAGAGATCATGATGCCCTAATGTAGGCCATGATCGATGGATTATCTGTTGATGGCCAGGCAGACCTGCTGGCCTCGATTTTCGGTAGCCATTACATGGCTGAGAATCCTCAACAACATGACTGAGAGAATCTCGATCAGGACAGCACCCGGAAATTACTGACTGATGCCTATATCGCCATGCAATATCATGGTATCCTAGCTATGAAACGCAATATCACCACGTCTTGGCCGTAAAACACAACAGTAGAAGTTGACCCATTTGTCCATTCGCGAGAAGCTCAAGCAAAACTCTTGCGACTCGTCACTGTATCTCCAGAGATGAAGTCCTCAAAGCCTGATAGAAAATCACGACTCCGGCTGTTTGACCAGTCTGTAATGAACAAGAATAATCGTTTCTTCTGCTATCGCTTATCATTCAGGATGCTCTGAAACTTACGCCGAACATGTGACTAAATCACTACACATGAGACCTTACATATGTTGCCCTTGTGAAGAATTCGGCCGCCATTGACACAGGACATATCGCTCAGCCTTCCATGTCCTTGATTAAGCGTCAAAACAAAGGCTTCTCGGGCGACCAGTTCCCTGTCGTCCGTGGGCATGACAACCAGGTGTACAGGGCGATTACATCTCAGTGTCTAATGGCAATGATGCAACATGTATCGCCTGGATTTCAGTAGCGCAATCTGATGGTAGCTCGCCTAAAAGTAGGTCTCATACAATTGGTTTATACTCATGCCAAAGCTGGGAGGTGTTCCATCGAACAGCCTTACTGACTCGCTTTTACAACGCAGATACTGCTTGGACTGGCGACATTGGGTATCAGTGCGGTAACAACTGGTATTACGGCAACTAAGGTGCTGGTGAACTTCCGGACAAGACTACATACCGTCCTCGTTGCTCGTGGGTTGTCAACTTCAGTCCTAGCGCATGTAACACAGAGCTAACAGTCTCTAGCTGGTTCGATGATGACCATACCAATGGTAATCAATCTGATGACGCAAAATCAAAACGTACTGAGAGATGACAGGTTGCCCTTATGCTTCACTGAAGTTTTTCGTCAACGCTTACAGTACAGAAGTTCAAAACACATATCATCAAGATCTCTCCTGCTCTGCGACTATCTTTGGGCCTGATACCGGTCCAATCAGTGGTATGTGACACAAAACAAGCATCTACGAGATAACAACCTGACTTCCCTCAGGCGTTCCCAATTACTCGCCTAAGGTCAAGCGATCGGGACCGTCTGTCAACCAAGCTCCTGCTACTAGGAGACCGTGGATGCGGAAGCGTCTAATTGTTTCCAATCTCACAAATCAGACAGCCGAAGATCTTTGCGGTTCTGCGACCAGTTGGGGTCCTGACTTCGTAGGATCGGATGGGAAGTTCTGCGACATGTCCACGAAGAAGGTGTCTCCGCTTTGCTCGAATGAGCACGTTGAGGGCTGCGTCGAGATGAACCAAGATCGCTCGGTGATCACCAAGAGATCCATTACTCGACGCACTGTTGAAACTACCAAGACTTATGATGTGGTATCTACCTGGGGGAACGAGCAAGAGTGACGGTATCGAGTTGAATTCTATGAGAGATGACGTTGTTGCATCTTGAGCAGGACGGTCTGATTGCACACGTGGTATGATAGTATGGCTTATTATCGAGATAACTCTGCAAGATCCATTGCCGATATCCTTGTGGCCCTGTCTATTGTGGTATCGTGATGCATTTTTTTTTGTCTTGCAATATCAGTCTCAAAGGCCCTCAATATGCTCAAACACTATGGCCTATCGCAGTCAGTAGATGCTTACGTCCATGAATCAGGTGATAGCTCACGAGCTGTCAGCGATGCGCTGTTGACGTTCATGCTGTTTGGGAGTGGTCCACTCGATAGTAACGACGCCATACTTGAGCTTGATAACCGGCCTGCGTACACTTGTTAACCACGTATAATACTATACTAGTGTACGAGATACTGACATCGCGTCAATGATACCATGGTAAGTTGCATGCTTGTCGTGGTAAGTATGCTGATTCTCGTCAGGAACAAAGAGACGAAAACAAGACGGACATTCGACGTACCACCTCCTGGTAGAGATCAGGACATGCTGCTTTTCTTAGAAGACCTTTGTCGTCATAGGCAGTGGTCGCAGGAGAGTAGCCTCGCTTGTGACACTCTTTACTGATTGACAACCAAGTGAAGCGCTCCCAGACCTCTCTGGAATCCTCATCTCCATCAGGGTTACTGATGCTGTATTTGCGTGTCATGGTGGATACGTGGAGACGTCTTTCGAGTGGATGCCTTGTGTGAGGAAGATATTGCTATGCATGGGTTGGATTGCGGACTAATATCGAAAATGCAGGTAGATAGCAAAGACGAGGTGTTGGTGTTGTGAAGCCGAAATTTGAACAGGCAGAAAGCAACGCATAATTGCCAACTTCACTTGGGGTCCTACGATCCATCACGATGCTGAACAGAATACCCTGTGGCCTCAGAATGAACCCAGCGACGGATGGTTACCTTGAAGTGAACACCTGACAGGCATCTTGTCTGGATCACAGCACTCCGATAGGCTACTGCGAAAGGTTACTGGGTACTGATGTATGCCGTACAACTAGGTTATACAGTGAACAAGCACGACCTTATTGATTGTTGTTGATGCTCGTCCAGAAAGAAGATCGCTCCAAGTTCGGAGCTGATGTTCATTCACCGCCCGGACTAACGGCCAAACCTCGGCATCGTCACTATCGCCGTATCCAGATCAGCATCCTCGAACTGATCGGATTCCATCAACCTTCCAAAGACCCCAGAGCACACAAAGTAGGAGCGCGATCGCTCCTTTTACGCATTCATCATGCAGGGGTTCAATATGGGACGCTACGTCCCTCCCGAACTCGAGGGTACCATGTCAGCCAATAAAGTCGCCGGCAAACATGCTCTAGGCAAGAGGGCCAACAAAATCAAAGAAGGCATCCTGACGGTGCGCTTCGAGATGCCCTACGCGGTATGGTGTAACCACTGTCCCAAACCGACAATCGTAGGCCAAGGTGTACGCTTCAACGCCGAAAAGAAAAAGGTCGGCAATTATCATAGTACACCCATCTGGTCTTTTCGCATGAAACACCCTGCTTGTGGGGGCTGGATTGAAATACACACGGATCCTCAGAATACGGCGTATGTCGTCAAAGAAGGCGGCAAGGCAAGAGATACAGGAGAAGATCGAGTGAGAGAAGGAGAAGAGGGTGTACCTATCCTATCCGCCGAAGAAAGAGAGCGCAGAAGGCAAGATGCATTCGCCGTTCTCGAGGACAAGAAGCAGGACAAGGTACAAGAGAAGGAGCAAGGGAAACGCATCATCGAACTACAAGACGTGCGTGATCAACACTGGGACGATCCATACGAAGCGAACAAGCGTCTGAGAAGGACGTTTCGGGCAGAGCGAAAGGTCAGAGAGAAGGATCACGCTTACTCCGAGGAGCTCAGGGAGAAGATGGGACTGGATGTTGAGCTGATGCCTGAGAATGAGGAAGACAGAAAACACGCTTTATTGATTGACTTTGGCGGTCTAGCGGACGAAGAAATCAGCGACAACACACTTCGGGTGACCTCACGACCCTTGTTCCAGCAATCTGTCGACGCAAAAACATCTTCCAAGGAACCGAAGGCTCACAAGACCAAAGCTGCGGCCGAAGTTGAGCGCAGAAAGCAAGCACTCCAGAAAAAGGTGCGAGACAATTCGCGTGCAGCAGCAGATCCTTTTCTGTCTTTCGGAAATCCAGACACTCGTGCTTTCCGTGCGATTCCCGGTATGAAAAGAAAGGCACCTGGCAATGTCCCAGAACAGAAGGATGAGTCTGACAAGGTCGAGGTGGTGGAAAAGACGCAACCGGCACCGGCGCTTTCTCTGGTCGCCTACGACTCCGATTGATTGACATTGAACGAGTTATGATTGCATTATAGGCGCTATATACCCATTTGAATTCGATGTTCTACTTTTCCATAATCATTCACCTTGCATGTGACGTAGAGTCTAGATTCGGAAGGAACGCGTCTCGGCGCGTCTTTCCGAGCATTGACGCGCAGCCATCTCGGGCAACTCGAGAGCCATCTGACAACGATTCCACGACTGGATTGACAACACGAAGCTGTCGAACAAGCTTACGATAAATGTCGAGATAAGCGAGTATGCCACCGAAGCAAACCAGAGTGGAAGCCGACACGATTGACCGCTCCGAAACTCCATTACGACAGAAGAAGTTCCCAAATCGTCGACGCAGTGTACGCTCGTCTGGTGTCAGCACACCTACTCCGCTGCGTCAACAGTCCACTTTGACGCAGCAACCGCACTGGACTGTATCACGTACATCACCCACGTCCGGGCATGGAGACGAAGATGAGGAGGAAGATGATGAGTACGAGGAGGACAAGTTGGAGAGGTCAAGACCAAGGCGGAAGAAGAGGAAGAGTGAAGCAGATGGCAAGAGACAGACAACAATGACACAATACGTTCCGTCTTCGTCTGTTGGAGAAGTTCAAGATGGGCCGACGGACCTCCTGCTACGCTTCGCACGGCTCGACTCATTCGACGGTGTGAGAGACTCGCAGTCGCAATCAATTCTCAACAGATCGCAGAGAGACCCACAAGTCGAAGAATCAGACGACGAAATGGATGAGGAATCGGGACAGGAAGCCGACATGGGAATGCAAACTCTTGAGGAGCATAGCCAGGAGAAGCAACCGGGTTCAGAGCATGGCGATGAGAGAGTCGACTCGGCCTTCCCAAAACAACAAGCACGACAACGCCCGAGTCCAGAACTGTCAATACCTGTCATGAACTTGAGGACGCCAAAACGGAGATTTAAATCCGAGATTCCATCATCCAATACTCCACAGAGCGCAATCATATCCATCTGCTCGGCCAAGACAATGCGTTCGCCAGATCGTTCGCCTCTTAAGGGCAAGAGCATGAACGCATGGCCACAACACAACTCTGCCGAAGATACACGTATGAGTCCTGTTCCTGAAAGTCCTGTCAGGCCAATCTCGCCCTTCCGCCTCTCGCCTGTCAAGGCTCGAAATCGACCCACCTTTCGTATACCGGACAAGCCTCCACCAACGCTTCAACATCGCAGCACTATACCAGACTCTGAAGATACCGCTACTCAGGTGACTCCGCATAAACAGAACAGGTTTCGCAGTCAGATACCCGACACTCAAACGGATCTGTTCGGCGAAGAGATTGCACCTGTTACAGAGACACAATTACCTCTCGACTCATATACTCAGTACGGAGGTGAAACGTACTATGCCGAGAATGACGACTATGACTACAACTTTGACCCCGTCTGTAGTGCTCTTGACCGTGATGCTGCCCGCTTCATGCAGACACAACTACAGCGAGATCGGCTGGGCTACGACGCGTTTCATAAAGAGCGAAGCTTCCATGGGGCCGAAGAAGACCGAGTCGATGAACGCACCGAAGAAGTACAGGTCGAGGAAACTACAAAGCTCAGATCAATTCCAGCGCAACAGTCACAAGAACTTGGCGATGACCTGCCTCTCCCGACCATACGGCATAGACCGCAAGAGGAAGAGTACGAGGACCCTCCAACACAATCACCACACTCCTCACCACACCAACACCCTCGAGCACCATATACATCAGACGACATCGAGGAGTTGGACCTGACAGGCGACGTTGTACTCCCAAAGGCATCGGTCAAGGAAGTTATTCAGATCCCATCCTCTCCAACCAACAAGAGTGTCAGTAGCGGAAAGTATCCGTCTTCACCACCTCTTGTTGTCGAGAATGATGCACGTCTCCGAGCAGAAGCTGAGGAAGCTGAAAAACAGCTCAACAATACCGAGAGACAATCATCACCACCTCTTCCCATCATTCTACCAATACCGCCCTCACAGGTTAGCACGGTAGGCGGCACACAGCTGTTCCACTCCCTGAAGAGATATCATCGGAAGACTGGCTACGTTAGCAGTAGCCCACCACCACTTCCCCCATCCACATCATCTCCGCCGCCAGAAGCAAGACAACACCTGCGCAAATTCCTCGAAATGTACGATTCTGATGATGAGGATGAGATGGAGGATGAGCCGCAGCTACCTCCCGACAACGAGGAAGACGAGGACATGGATCTGGACTTTGTACCACAGAGATATGATGAAGAAGAAGTTGGGGTGGAAAGTTATGAGCATGGATCGGAAAGGGATGGAGGACACGAGAGGCTAAGGGACATTCTACCGGATACGCTTCTTGATTTTTCGTTACCGCCGCCTCCCACACAGAGCTCTGTGAGAAGCACGAATGCTTGATGGACATGGGGGTATGTAGATGCACGAATCCTAGTCGAACGCTGTTAACGGAGTGTCGACTCTTTGGCAGTATATTATATCTGAATTACTCGCTTTGTTGGCTTGAGCGAGCAATACCTAAATAATTATCGTCACTTTAGTGACTCAACCATTATGTACAATATCACAAAAGCTTTGGGGCACTAGCTGCTCGCAATTCTGCCATCACGACACGCCATGTGAGTATAGGAAATACTCGCAAGAGCGATCGACTCGGTGTGTTTTTCGTGCAAACCAACCATTGCAAAATCTCCTACAAGCACAACAATCTCCAAACCATTCTCTACAAGCCAGTTCAGAATCCGCAGATCTTTACAAACCCCACAAAGACCTTTGCCACACCTCAGCACACAGGAGGTCTATCCCCAAACCTCGGCGGCGCACCCGGATACCTATACTCATTCTCCACCGGCACATTTTTTGCCAAATAATCCTGATATCTCGGAGGATTTCTGGGTCCGAGTTCCGCGTGAACGAGGTCTTCGATTGCGGATGCCCAGTGGATTAGTGTTGCTTCTTGCCATGCTGTGTGTTGGAGGTTTAGACCTATGGGTATGCCATCGGGGTCGAGACCGATGGGGATGGTTATTATTGGATAGGCTTGTGGGATGTTAGTTTGATTGTGAAGGGTGGGAAGACATAGAGAGGAGAAGCCTTACAAGCTTGAGCGGCGATTTGTTGACCTGCGCCGCGGACATCGCAGAAGAGAAGGGCGTCTAGAGGGGTCTTTTTGCCGTTTATGGTGGGGGAGAGGGCGGCGTCTATACCGTTCTCACGGCATTGTTTTCGCATGTGGTGGAAAGCTGAATAGTAGGCTGGGGTCTTGATACCTTTTGCCTCAACTACTTCGCGGAAGTTGTCCTGGAAGAATTGTATTAGTGGAAAGGTTTCGCCGAAGCTAGCGATGGGTGCTTACCTGGCCAGAAGGGAATGCAGGATGGTCGCCCGGATTGGCTCCTTGGGATCCCGAGTTCTCATCGTTGAAGCGAACAACATCTTCGACGGTCTTTATGTTTGTGTTTTTGAGTTTGCTGAGATAGTCGTTCATCAGATAGTAACATTCCACTTTGTTGATGGTGAATTCTGACACTTCTTCTTTGCCGTGTTCCCTGACCAGTGTTAGCAGGGCCTTCTTAGACATATCTTTACAACACTCACCAGTCCCATCCGCCATCAGGCGCGATACGCTCTTCGGCACATGGCATCTCGACTGGAATGATTTCTGCTCCAGCATTCTTGATCAACCGCAGAACCTTCTCGGCCACTTTTCTTTGCTGTTTTGGCACGAGTTCCCAGAAGCGTTTCATGGGAAGACCGAATCTCGCACCGTAGAGCGCTTTTCTGGTGGTCAAGCTATCCACGTAGCTTTTAGGCTGACGTCTCTCAGGTACCACAGAGTGTTTGTCTTCTGGGTCAGGTCCAGCTATGGCATCCAGAGCACGAGCAGCATCAGATACACATCTGCCATATGTTCCGATCGAGTCTTGTGTTTCTGAGATTGGGATCACACCGCTCCGAGAGGTCAAGCCAACCGTGGGCTTGATGCCTACAATACCACTGACCATGGCCGGCCAGATGACAGAAGTGTCAGTCTCTGTGCCGAAAGCCAGTGGCACGATATTGGCCGAAACTGAGACGGCAGAGCCAGAGCTTGATCCTTGGGGGCTACGACTGAGCATATATGGGTTCCTGGTCTGACCGCCTCGTGCAGAGTAGCCGTTTGAGTAGATCTTAGAGCGCATGCCAGCCCACTCATCCAAATTGGAGTGTCCCAGTATAATGGCGCCTGACTTACGCAGAAGATGCACAATATGTGCATCCTTGGGAACAACGGCACCAAGCAATGCCCAAGAGCCACCAGTCGTCTGCATTTTGTCCTTCGTTGCCATATTGTCCTTGACAAGGACGGGGATACCATGAAGAGGTCCCCGAGTTTTGCCATTTGCTCGCTCCTCATCTAGCTGTTGGGCAATCTCAAGGGCATCTGGGTTGGTCTCGATGACACATTCGAGGTATAGATTTACCTGGTGGTGCTCAGCTATGACTTACAGCCTGTATGGAATAGACCTACTCTTCTGATTCTCTCAAGACAATGCTTCACGAACGACACAGATGTCATTGCCCCTGTAGATAAAAAATGTTGAAGCTCATCTGCGCTCAGCTCGAACACATCATTGCCATCACATTGAGGTACGTGGAAGACATCCGGAATACCTTGCTGAGATCCATGTCTTCTGTTCGCGACCATAAAATATACGTCGTCCCAATCTTCCGAGCCCATGTTTGCAATTGCGATAGTTACACTTTGATGTGAAAGTTCAATTCTCCATTCGAACAAGAGAGATGTCGTTGAAATCGTGAAACCGAAGTAACGAATTTAGCCGAAGCCCAAGCGCGAGAGGTGGAGATGAAGGTCACACCGACAATACCATCAACCATCGCTACAACAGCTTGTAGTAACGTAGTATACGTCTGAAATCAGGATACATTGATTCATTTCGATTATAGGCGTTCAGGATAGAGGCAATAATCAGAAGAGTAGATCAAGAGGCAAGACGGCCACTTTCACGTCATCTGTGCACGGACCTGCACGCGAAACAGGCGTGGCAGGCATCCAGATTCCACTTCGCGACTTCCTTCTCTTCTGAACTTCAGTATTTTTTGTAGCAACAGACATCGATCATGGCCAATACAGCCAACACACCGTTCCGCCGGTGGGCGAGAGCGAACTTTACTACAAGCTTCCTCTACCCCTTGATGGTACGTCGTCTTGCCTCTCCAAGTTTTGACCCTTCGAGAACCATGATCTAATAATTTTTGTAGGGAGTTCTGTTCTTCTTGAAACACAGATACATGTGGCCACTACTTAAAGCAAAGATGCTACCGTTGGTGGTCCTATCCGTCTTCATCCTGATCGTCCTTTTCTTGACCGCCTATCTACCTCAAGTCGCCTTACTCAAGCTATTCCACAAAGGAGGCTCGGCATGGGTAAATGGCACTTTCCTGGTCCTCACAGAAGGCAATCTTATCATTGCTTTGCTATTCGAGGCTTTCCTGGTCGACCACACCCAAGTCGACGTTTTCGACGCCGTCATGGTAGCCAGAGGCCACGCCGAACTCGTCAAGGCAAAGCGCCCTGTGGACACCGAGGAGCCTGAAACGCCTCTCAAAGCTCTTGGTCCTCGCGACAAAGGCGCTGTGTTTGCACCCTTCAACTTCCGCCAACTTTTCGAATTTGTGGTACTTCTACCACTCAACTTTATCCCCTTCGTTGGCGTCCCGCTGTTCTTGATTCTTACTGGATATCGTGCTGGACCTTTGCTGCAACGTCGTTATCATAACCTGAAGGGTATGACTAGCGATCAGCGCAAGATTTTTATTCGCGCAAAGTCGATGAGATACCAGTACATGTGGTTTGGTACCGTTGCGCTTCTCTTGCAGCTTGTGCCGGTGCTGAGTATGTTCTTCTTGATCACGACTGCCGCAGGAAGTGCTTTGTGGGCTGCAGATATGGAAGATCTTAAGCGTAGTCAAGAAAATGCTATCGAGGACGAGTACACTGATGAGCCTTGATCGAGTGGTCGAATTTGTCTAGCGTTGTATTGTAACCTCTATCCGAAATGTAATTACTCTCTCTTCAAGCCGTTCACTTCTGGCTTGAACCACTCGTTCATCAGATCGTCGAGTACTTCGTGAGCTGCAGTCTTGGCCTCCTCCGACGTAGGAGCGCTGCCCTCGATGTAGAACTTGATCTTGGGTTCTTGAAAATGTTAGCATGTGGTTCGTTGACGGCCGAAGCACATTCACACGTACCTGTTCCTGATCCGCGGACCGTGAAGTTTACGTTACCCTCAAGCTCGCAACTGATCATCTGCGAGCTTGGGTCGATTGGCAGTGTCGGCTTGTTGTCAGGTGTTGCAGAGTCGAAGCCAATCGTCAAGTCGCGCCAGCGAAGGATAGTGCGGCCTCCGACTTTAGCAGGCTTGACTTGACGGATCTGCTCAAAGACTGCATTGGTGACTTCCGAAGATGGTGAGATGACATAGGTGTTGGCATCTTCGAAGTTTCCATACTTCTTGCATAGCTCATTGTACTTTGTCCACGGTGACAGGCCTTCCTTGTTCCATCGATCGCATGCTGCCAGGAATACAGCAGCCGCGGCAACACCATCTTTGTCGAAGACCACGTCACTGAACATGTATCCGATTGCTTCCTCATAGGCAAAAAGCGCGTCGTAGCCTTGCTGTTGCAGATCACGGGATCTGTTCCCTAGCCACTTGAAGCCAGTCAAGGTCTCCTCCCAGTGCAAACCACTGCTACCAGCTGCTATGGCCGCCAACATTTTTGAGGAGACGGTTGACGATAGCATCGCTAGCCCCTTACCGCCTGGTCTCTGTTGATATGTATCCAATACGTGAGAGGCTAGTAAGATACCCATCTGGTTGCCAGTCAATTGCCTCCACGCACCGTCAACCTTTTCCGCGGCTGCGAATCTATCAGCGTCAGGATCGTTCGCTAAGATCAACTTTACGTCGTTGTGATCCGCAACTTGTTTAGCGAGATCCAAAGCTCCTTTTTCTTCGGGATTAGGGAAGCGCACAGTCGGGAAGTCTGGATCTGGGTGGGCTTGCTCCTGGACCACATGCATCTTGTCTCCCAATCGAAGCTGAGTCATCACCGAGGTTAAAAACGGAAGACCTACTCCGTGCATAGGTGTATAGACAAAAGGAAGGGCAGCATCTGGGTTTGAGATTGATGCAATGCTGGTTACTGCAGCCATATAGGCTGCTTCGACTTCTTGAAGTGCATCGGTCACAAGAGGGTCCTCATGTTCGAGGATATTCATATTCCAAGACACTGGTTCCAGGTTGTTACTGATGGAGGAAGCAATTCCAGCGTCGTGTGGCGGTATAATCTGGCAGCCATTGCCCCAATATACCTTGTAGCCATTGTCGGCTGCCGGGTTGTGTGAAGCTGTGATCATAACCCCAGCGGCTGCGTTCAGATGGCCGACTGTGTAAGGTACAAGCGGAGTATGTACTTGGCCTAGCCATTTGACTTGTATACCCTTGGCTACAAAAGCAGCGGCGACCAGTTTGGCGAACTTGTCAGAATTATGGCGGGCATCTCTTCCGACAACAACGCCTCGAGTTTTGGCATCAGGAGTGGTCTTGAGAAGATACTCTGCCAATCCTTGAGAAGCTTGGATGACGGTGAGAGAATTCATGCGCGAGAAGCCTGCTTCCATTCTCCCACGCAATCCAGCAGTACCGAACGCAATACGCTTGGAGAGTCGTGATTGAAGTTCGGCTATATCGCGCTGAGCAAGGAGTTTCTCGATTTCTGACCGAGTTGTGGCATCTTGATCGAGACGTAGCCACTCATCAACGAGTTTCTGTAACAGCGGATCCATGGTCGGAGTTTGTGAGGTCAATGATGCCGTTTGGTAGTGAGTTGGACACGATAGTTGTATCACATGCCGGGACAATTAAGGTTGAAGGCTAGCGTTACAGAGTTGAGGCTCGGGACGATCCTTGGCGAATGACGAAACACTCGATGGCAGCCGTCAACCAAGTCACGCTCTCACAGGGCAACTACTCAGATGATCTGGGGTTTCTAGACCGAGCAGAAGCATTACTCTATGCACCGACGCTGGTGCGGACGACGACCAGGATGATGGCCTCACGCATCTTGTCTCGCTTCTTACCTACAGCTGAGGATGGCAGCACTTATCAACAGAGCTACGAACACGACCACGACCACGGCCCGACGCCTGATAGAGCCGAGCGAGGCCTCAGAGACTCGTCCGATGAGCATGAGCTTAATGCACTCCTCGCCCAAGTAGATGCCGAAGCCGACTTCGATTTCGACGCCGATGAAGCCACACCGTCTCGGCCTCACGGAGATGAAGACATTCCAGCTTCCCTCCTCATCGAGGACAAGCCCGATCAAAGCACCTTTGCTCCACCGCCGAGCCAGCGTACCGAAACACAGTGGAGAAGAGCCCAGGAGAGGCAACAACTACACCCCGATGATCGCCCACGTCCCACCGCTGCTCACGCACCAAATCAAGACGCTGTCCTACGAGAGCAGGCCATGTGGCTATGGACAAACGTGCAGAACTTGGACGCCTTCCTTCTTCAAGTCTACCAATACTTCACTGGCCATGGTGTCTGGTCCATATTACTATCTCGTTTCATTCACTTGGCCACTACTGCCTTTCTCTTCAGTCTCTTCATGTTTCTCTCGACATGCGTCGATTACTCAAAGATCCCCACAAGCAAGGGCACTTCGGAAGTTCTGATACCCCAATGCATGAAGAAGTCCTCTTGGACCAAGAGCCTCTTTTTGTGGATCTTCTGTTTCTGGTGGATCGCGACATTGTGCAAGTACATTGCCGAGATTCCCAGTCTGAGAAGGATGGAAATGTTCTACCAGCATCTGCTTGGCATACCTGACACTGACATCCAAGCCGTGTCTTGGGAAAGAGTGGTCCAGAGTCTCATGAAACTTCGTGATCTCAACCCGGAGACTGCTGCCACGACACCAAAGTACTTGAAAGCCGCGGGTAAACAGCTGAAGCAAAGAATGGACGCTCATGACATTGCAAATCGTCTCATGCGTCGCGACAATTACAGTATTGCCCTCTTTAACAAAGAGATAATCGACCTTACTCTTTCGGTCCCCATACTTGGTAATCGGCAGTACTACTCCAAAAGTTTAGAGGACTGTATCAACTTCTGTTTCTCCGGCTTCATCTTTGACGAGCAGGGTCAAGTGAATCCACTGTGCCTACAAAGAAGAGACAGACATCGTTTGATCCAAGTTCTTCGTCAGCGCCTTCGCTTCGTTGCCATTCTGAGTATCTTCTTGGCTCCTTTCACCATCACCTTGCATTGCATCTACTACTTCTCTCGGTACTACGCTGTAAGTCGGCCAACTTTCTACATCCTCTTAGTCTAGTTTGCATGTGCTGACGCGATCCAGGAATTTCGCGCCAGCCCATCCGCTATTGGTGCTCGTACCTTTACTCCTCTAGCAGAATGGAAGTTCCGCGAATTCAACGAACTTGATCACGATTTCAGGCATCGTATCAAACAGGCACATCCGATGGCGGCTGCATACCTCGACCAATTCCCTAGAGACAAGACTCATCAATTCTTGCAATTTGTCAGTCTAGTCAGCGGCACATTGGCAGGTCTCCTGACAATCGCCACCCTATGGGATTCCGAACTCTTCCTTGGCTTCGAGATCACGCCCGGCCGAACTGCTTTCTTCTACGTCTCCATACTTCTCGCAGTAGCTACCGGAGCACGTAGCGCCATTCCTGACGAGAGCAAAGTCCATGAGCCAATCTTCCATCTCATGAACGTGATTGAAGCTATTCACTACTGTCCAGCTCGATGGAAGAAACAGCTACACAGCGACGAAGTCCGTACCGAATTCTCTGCCCTGTATCAGATGAAGATCATGATCTTCCTTGAAGAGATTCTCAGTCTTCTGATTGCTCCCTTTATCCTCTGGAGAAATTCCGGAAAGCGAAGCGAGATGATCATCGACTTCTTCCGCAACTCGACGGTAGAAGTTGAGGGACTTGGTCATTTGTGCAATTTCGCCGTTTTCGATTTCAGGAAGAGTAAAAATGTCGAGGACGATGTGGGTAAAGATGTTGATGGCCTTCGCGAAGAATACTTTGGTACCAAGGATGACAAGATGGCAATGTCGCAATACTACTTCATGGAGCGACTCAGCAAGTACGACAGACAGCAGGCAGTCCATCGCAACCGCCCTCATGGTATCCAGCTCCCACCCGCCTACCCTCCCTTGGAGGTTCCTGTGAGGCATACTACTGCCGAAAAACGCAGACTTACAAGAGAACCACCATCACACCAACCATCACCACATCAGTCTCTATTGCTAGATGTCCCACGACAAAAATCTGCTCCAGCGACCACGAGACGATCAGGAGGCCAGCGACTAGCACAGCTACGCGGCGCTGGCAAACGTCCAAGCACGAACGCATACATAAGTCCCAACGAAGACGAAGAAGATCAAATGGCACATCTGGACGCCCTTACCACCAGCAGACTCATCGAGCAAGACAACAATCTCTCAGACTCTTGGAAAGCATTCGGTGACAGAGCAGACATGGAAGAAGATGAAACGGCTACCGAGCGACGCCCGAGTAATGGTGTCTTGGGACTTCTTGTCGAATATTCAAAGGCGCATTCCGGTGTCAAGGGGCCTAAGATAGGTTGATGTAGTTTCTGGGTTTGGCGTTCTTTGGGAGTGGTTAGATGGGTGCACTGAACGATTACGGCATATGGATCGGGTTTCGCGGTTCATTTGGGAAGGAATGAAAGGTATAATCCTAAAGACGAGAAATGATCCAATGACGAGCTTCAAGCTTCAAGATATATTGCATCCAGAGTGCATAAAAGTGCACTATCATCCCAGTCGGCTCATATCTATTTGGCAGCTGTGCTCTTGCGCCAAATCATAAGAAAGAACAGCAGTGTCACAAAAAGAACAAAGGGCACGCAAACATGAAATCAAAGACTTTTCTCCATTCATTTTACGAAGAATTTGGGTGGAGATATCAATACATAAAGTTCTGTTTTTTCCATCTATTTGCCATGGCTTTTGAGGTGCAAGTTAAAAATTCGTGATAAGTCATACCGTGTTTGGGGGGGGGGGGGGGTCATATATCATAAAATGATGCTTTGAAGACATAAGAGAGAAAAGAAAGGGAAATTTTCGTAAGATGAGGTCGTTAACGTTTTTTGTGTGGTGGTTTTTGCATCAATCAAATGTGGTGAGCAAGCAGAGAAGCAAAGATACCGAGTTGATCTGGAAGGACGGCAATGTGCGATGTGCCACTCAAACAGTGCCAACACAAGCGTCGTCCTGGTGGAGAGCAAGAAGCATCTTGGCGGCATCGACCTCTCTGGCTCTGAAGCGACCGATGCCGGGGACATTGATCTTTCTCTTCTTGCTTGTTCTGGTCTGGCTGCTTGATCCCTCGACATCGCTGTCTTCGTCCCCTTTTTCGCTCGCGGAAGCCACGTACTCGGGGTCCTCGCCATCGGAACCAGAGTCCGTGGCAGGGGAAGCGGTTACCGAGGCGATTGGCGATGATAAGTTGGCAAGTGAGTTGGAAGAGCGGCGACGCTTACGAGTTCCAACTGCCTGGATAGAGAGAGTTTGTCCAGAAGCGGAGATGGGTGTGACCAGAAGGTTTTGCATGTCGACAGGCAGTTTGGACGTGTTGACGTGAGTGACACAAGGGGTAGGTGTACCATCGCGATCATTGACAGCTGCCCAGTGAACCGTGGGAGAGATGCAGGTCTTCGGAGACACCGAGGGTGAGTCGGGGATGGTGCGACGTGTCGTAGCCGTATCACTTAGGATAGCAGCGCTCTCGTTGTCGCTGCGGAAAGGACTGCCGAGCTGGGCAGTGTCGATACGAGGGCGTGTAGGTCGAGCACGAAGACGCTTAGGCTCTGGCAGCGGCATGGGCGTCGAACGAGGAATGGGGAGCGCAGTGGCAGACGCGGTGTGATTAGCCATAGGACTGTAGTTATTGGTACCGGCAACGCGCCAACCTTCGGCCTCACGGGCACATACACGCACAACATCCGGATCAATGATGAATCTGGCGAATCCAGGATGGTTTGGAGGCAGACAGTCTCTGATGAAGCTGGGACCAAAGATAGGGGTAAGAGCCCAGCGCATGTGCCAGCAGAAAGTGGCACAAACAGCGCGAGCACATCCATATGGCATCCAGTAGCCCTGAGCTGCGATGGCACCACCAGTGATACTGAAAGATAGTTCTCGCAGACCGCTGTTGAGACCGAGAACTTTGTTGGGCTGCGTCTTGGGATAGTTGCATGCTTTGAAGAACGGCGTGATGCGCACGAGGCCGATCTGATAATCCCACATGACAGTGTAGCTCTTGTTGGGCTCGTTTGGCAGGCTGAAGGTGTACTGAAACACTGTGCCGAGTCAGTTGTGGTAGAGGTGTTTACAGATTGGACATGACTTACATTCGAATGCTTCGCGACCAGTCTTGTCGGAGAAAGCTTTCTTCTCGCTATTATACGGGATGTGACGGACAAAGTCTCGGATCAGACCTCGATCGCTACCACTGGGGAAGATGTTGAAGCGACGGTGTTGTTCAGCAAGCTCCTGTCGCTCTCGCTTGCTGAGCAAGGCGCACATGTCGCTCACCTCGAACGGGGCATAGTTGACCTCGCCTCGAGCAGGGTTGCGATTGAACACGGGAGCGTCTTTGGCTATCTTCTGTCGAAGACTCGACGGGGCTCCACCGGAGCGAGCGACTTGTGGTGGAGGGCTGGATGTGATGGAAGATGCCTGACTAGTCGGAGCTGGGGTGAGAGGTGGACTCAATGACGAGAAAGGAGGCAGAATGCCTGGTGATGGCGGAGCGTTGAGTAGAGACGATATTCTGATCATTTTGGGTCTACTCTCGGACGTCGTAGTAGAGTCGAGGTATGTGGAGTTGTTCAATGTAGGACTCAGGGTATAAGGGTGTTGGACTGAGTTCAAGTAGCTCAATTGGGTATCCAGAAAAGGAGGCGATGGGCGGTGAGTGTATGCGAGTGCTCGACGGCTTACCAAGTCTAAGGGAAGCTTGCAGTACATATCAAAGACAGGCTCCGGGAACCACTGGAAACAATTGATGTCTGTCACCATTGCCGATGCCTCTTTCTCCAATCTTCCATCTGCTAACCCCCTACTGCTGCTCTTTGTAGAGTGCCGGTGGTCGACCTCCGCACTGATCTTTTGCTGGTCTTCACTTGCTGGCATGTTACTATGAGCAGATGGTTTCATTCATATAGGTCTGCACCTCGTATGCCGGGCTTCGGTTGATTGCGTTCGAGTGGGCTGTATGTCTCAGCAACTTCGTATGGCTGGGCAACGTTGCTTTCTTTTTCCTGCTTTGAGAGAGCTCTGTTTGTACACCAATTTTTGCCTGAAAGGGTGTTGTCTGGAGAGGTCAACGGAGGATCAAAGCGCTGTCGAGTTTGCGTGCTTGGTTGCCAAGCTCTTTCTCCAAAACTGTGTGTCGGGAGACCACTTGTTTGAGAGTTGGCAGATATGTTGCAGTCAAAACTGATCCTTGTGCTATCTTCTCAAAGTTCTTGGAAGGAAGCCACTATGTTCGGGATACATTATTCCAACGGAACATCTGCTTCTGATATACTTTGCATGCACAGATTGTTACCTATACGGATCTATGTCGTCCTTACGGCAAGAGTTCAGGTTTGACTGCAAGCTGCCATGACGCCCTTGAAACTCGCATATGCGGACTGCCGGTAGAGCGCTCACAGACACACGCCACACCCGCCATCAACAGGCTCGCTCCTTCCCTCGCCCACCGCAACAGATTGACCCCATTTTAGTGGCAAGAGCGTGATCATTTTGGAGTCGGAGAACACCAATAGCAATCTTGTAGGCTGGGGGATCGAAGATCCAAAGATGACTGTGGGAGCCGACCAAGCTTGGGTGGAGCCTCCGAATCTTGTGAAGCTCAAGGCGATTGCTTTCCGACGCAGATCATGATGTATGGACAGACCTGTTCCTGCACCTTGACATGTCGTGCAGCAATCAACCAACGATCTTGAGCTGCGCAATACACCCTAACGCGGATGAGCAGCAGGGATGAATGACACACACGCACATCATTCCATGTAAGTCTGTCGAAGCCAAGCCTGGATACAGAGAGGGAGAGAGAGTGAGAGAAAGGAGCCTTGAGATAGGAAGACTGCTGTGCGACCAAGCACATTTTCGCTTGTGTTTCGTCCTAGTTAGATGCCGGGTCGATCTTGTTGAATGCCGGTCGAACCGGGGGTTTTTGAGAGTTGACTGATGTGGTCGTGTAGAACGTTTCAAAACTCCTTGAAGCGGTACGACAAACCTGTCAAAAGGAAGCCCCTTTCCGCGTGTAGTTCATGCGACGGATCCGGACTGTATAACCGTGGCACAAACGCTGCATTGCGCAGTGTGCTAACTTGAAACAGCCGCTGTCAACAAGAAGACATTCGAATGAGTAGTCTCTTGTGAGGAAGAGGGCGACTATGCGCTTCTGCCCGCAAGACCAATTCCTAGACTACCCTCAACCAATGTCCGACATGGTTTACGCTGAGGTTCAATATCAGCACTACTCAAGATTGCGGTCTCTTTTCCGGTTCGAGAGTCATCAGCCATTCAAGAAGCTTCGGACGGTTCAGCAGCAAGTTTTCACGATGAAGCCGCCCAACCCTCTTTTATGTATCACCTTGAGGAGACGAGAGGCACCACAAAAGCCTGCATCTAATCGAGTCCCCTCGAGTTTGAACGTAAACCTGTCATTTTCCTCATTTTCCTTGCAATCAGACCATAGCAACTTGCGCGCCGGCCATTCGTCCCAGCCGTACCATGTCGGTCGAGCTTCCCGCGCGTGACGGGTGCCGTGTAACGCGACCACGGACCTTTGAGGTTACTTGAACCTCAACCTGGATTGCGTGTTGACTTGCAGGTCACAGTCGGACGACAGCGTTGATAGACATGAGGTGCATATTGACAGGAAGATGATCGCGGCTCGCCGGATGGTCAGTCCAAGATTGTGGTGAGGACGTGTCGTAGGCTACGGGTCAAGGTTGTTAGATTGTGTCGCCTACGGTCGAGTAACCACGCGCACATTCAAGCAGCGCGTCTGCTCTTCGCACTTGTCTGTGACATAAGCATGCATCATCTTTGTGTTGAGATCCGCTGAGCTGAGGCCAGATGGACTGACCTTCATGATCCTGCACACGCATGACGATCAAGGCAAACCTACCACTGATTGTACATCGACGCCGTCCAGTTCGTAGGACCTGATCACTTTGCATAGGTCATATCATACACTGCTCTCAAGTGTATTGAGTGAATATAAAACCCGATGACTCAGAGCTATACAGATCTCGTTTCAATTCTTTCCAACCTATACTAATAACTTCTCGGCAGCCCCAGAGCTTTCTCGGCAACGTAATTCATAATCATCTCCCTACTGACTGGAGCGATTCTAGGCACAAAGCACTCCCTCAGATATCTTTCTACATGATACTCGGCTGCATATCCCATGCCACCCAATGTCAAAACTGCTCTTTCGCATGCTGTAAAGGCCGCTTCGGCAGCTAGATACTTGGCTGTATTGCAAGCAACGCCAATAGCATGTTGAGTGATATTAGGATCATGTACAGACGCATCATAGAGACGTGCCGCATGGTAGGTAGACAGCTTTGCGGCTTCGAGATGCATGTAAGCTTGAGCAAGTGGATGTTGAATACCTTGGTTAGCGCCGATCGGACGGGAGAAGACGACGCGCTCCTTTGCGTATTGAGATGCTTTGCGAAGAGCTGCGTAGCCTAGACCTAGTGCTTCGCCGGCTAGCAAGCAGCGTTCTGCGTTCATGCCGTGCAGCACAATCTTGAATCCTTGGCCTTCTTTTCCGATCAGAGAGTCTGCTGGGATGCGGTAGTTGTCGAAAAATACCTCGTTGGCATCGACTGCTCGACCGCCCATCTTGCGAATCTTCTTTAGCTCGAGGCCAGGCTGCGTTCTGTCAAAGTCGATGAAGAAGAGGGAAAGCCCCTCAGATGGTTTGGAGACCTGTTCTATCGGTGTGGTTCGAGCCAAAAGAATCATTTTGGTCGCTACCTGAGCAGAAGAAATCCAAATCTTCTGGCCCGTCACGTTGTAGTGGTCGCCATCCTTGAGGGCAGTGGTTTTGAGTTTGAGTGTTTCTAAGCCAGTGTTTGGTTCTGTCACACCGAAACAGGCTCGCCACTCTCCGCTAATCAACTTAGGCAGCATTCGTTGAAGTTGTTCCTCAGTGGCATACTTGGCGACGGGTTGAGTAGCATAGACATTCGCATGTATCGATTGTGCACCTGCCATACCAGCACCGGATTCAGAGATGGTCTGCAACATCATTGTGGCTTCTGATATTCCAAGACCTGCTCCTCCAAGACTTTCTGGTAAGGCGATTCCGATCCAGCCGTCCTTCGCTAGTGCAGCATGCAGTTCATGTGGATATTTTTCCTGTTGGTCGTGTTCGAGCCAGTAATCATCGTTGAAGTTGGAGCAGATCTTCGTAATGGCATCACGGACATCCATCTGCTCATCCGAGAAGCCAGACGTTTCCATCAATCGAATCGGTCTTGATAGTGAGAAGCATCTCGACTGTGGTGTCGATTGGCAAGCACGATATGAACAAGGTCTGGAGAGAGTGCGAAACGAAGAGAGCAATCTCCTGGACATTTTTGAGGTTGTAGAGCAATGTAGAGGACTTAGCTTTTGAGTATACACACGTTGATATACTACTTGGGTTTTCGGCTAGAAGACGAGGAAGCCGAACGAGGGGCTTCCGGTCGATGATGCTGCCTCCCCGCGTGCGGATTACTGTCATACTTGTAGCTGTCTCAAGACATAATGCTTTGTAAATTCGTAGCGATGTATCTGGAATACGTCTTTCTAGAGCTCCGTCCGACAGCTGTATTGACGTGTAATACCACTGTGCCTTGCTACAGCTCGGCATTGCTGTTCTTCAGCTATTGGAAACACATGGAGGTAACGGGATTTAGCACATTGGGGGATGGAAAGGGCGATCGATGCCGGCGAAGCGTGATTGGCCCGTGCATTTCTGGTCGAGATGTCTGTTTATGGTCATAACATTGAACTCTCCAGCTTCAAGGTCTCATCTGTGCGCACACCAAAATACCTGCACCTTCGACCCGCCGCCAACCAATTACGACTAACGATATGATATAGTCTGATCGACTCCACGTCCAGCTCAGACATATTCGACGCATTCTTTCCTGGCTAGCTTCCGTCCAAGCACAACAACAACGCGTCAAACAGCAATGGCGCCTCGTTTCAAGACAGCCCCTGTTGGCTCGTCGCAATGGATCCAGACTGAGCGCGACCAGCCTGCCGAGTTTGTGGATATGGAGGTCGAGGAATTCGGCTACGCTGCCCAGAATGAGATGGAATGGCTTAACGAGCACATGGCCGAGATTTTCAGCAGCAACCCTGTGTACGCTCTGGCTACGCTACCTTGAGAAAACGCGCGCTTACATTGGCGCAGAAACTTTGCCGATATCTTCAAGACTCCTGGAAAGCTACGAGGCAAGACTCCTCGTACTGCGCGCAAGACTGCTGCCCGCGCTGTGAGCCTTCCTCGTCGATCGCTCTGAGCGAGACCAAGCTGACAATGAGCATAGCCTTTAACGGATCTGTTTGCGCCCAACCCTCAATCGACCTTCAGTCCGGCGCCCAAAAACGACTTCTACTCCAAGGTTGCACAGTTCCAGATTGCACAGGATGGCGAGCAGGAGCGCCCTCGCTCAGGGACTTCTAGAAGAAGCCCTCTTCGAGTAGGCAAGCAGAACACGGATTCCGGGTACCACGGTATGACCGAGGATGAGATGGATGTCGACTCCCAGCCGTCCATGCTCAAGAACAGCCACGCTCAAGCTCCAGACCTTGAACCGCTGCAAGAGCACGTCACAAACGACCCTGTTATTAACGACACAGCGTCTTTTGTTTTGGCCAACGAGGATGCCGAGAACATGCAAGAGGACCCAGCAGAGGACAATGACCAAGCTACTGTGTTTGACCCGGACTCGAGCAGCCGCCCTGTCACACAAGACTCGAACGCGCCATTCGTCGACGAAAACTGGCAGGCTGAAGAGGCACAGATTGAGAACGACATGGTCAATGAGGAAGAGCTTGAAGAGGACGAGGACGAGGAAGATGACAATGCCAAATCACCATCCGACAAATCAACGCCCGACAAGCCATTGACGCGTAAGAGCAGCTTGACTTTCGCCGCCCTGCCTGCCCGTGAGCCTTTGACTGCTAAGCGAAGCATTGGCCCAAGAGGCAGCCATATGGATGCGTTCGGAGGTGCTCGCACAAGTGCCTTGGGTAAGAGCTTCGGCATCACGCAGCAGAACAACATCCAATCGGCAGAAGATGCGGATGAGCACAACAAGACGTCGACTCAGAGACTGCACGAACGTATAACGTTACTCGGACAGCAAAAGGAGCCTCGCACTTCAAAGTCCATTCACATGCCTGCTTACCCTTCTCTTCCTGCCCACGAACATAGATTGACTGCTGGCCAATCTCAAGAAAATCTTCCAGGCGACACACAGCCCCTTGTCGATGATGACGATGACTGGATCGCTCCCATCGGTCCCAGCTCTCGTGCTGCTAGTGGCGTTGACACGCAGAGGCTGAACGAACCGGTATCTGATTCCGTCTCAGTCGAAGATGCACAACCAGCCTTTACCGGCATCCCCAAGCCTGCATTGCGTGAATCACCCTCAAAGTACTTCATGGGACACCACAAGTCGAACTCGACAGCCACCCTCGCTTCTCCCGCAAAGGTTGCGACCGCTCCTCAACACGCCCACCACCTAAAGAACACTTCTGTCTCGAACCCCAACTTTCCACCAAGCAGCGGTACTACTACTCCTGTGGCTAATTCAATTGCTTCTCCTACCAAGCAGAAGTTCGCTGAAGCACCCATCAGTGCCTCCAAAGCTAAGCTCTATTCTGTCTTCAAATCCGCCAAGGGTATGTTCGGTAGTAGCGCTGCAGCCAGTGCTCAAGCAAAGATGAACTCTCTCTCTTCTCCGCATCGACCGCTCTCTGCAGCAACTTTCGAGCGACCCGATCCGGATATGTCCAAGATGCCCGGAGGTCTCTATCCGGACCTCGGTCAGAAGAGGCCAGCTACTGCTCTTGCTGCAACTGGTGGAAGCAGGCGGACGCGTAGTTCGACAGAGCACGCCCGTAAAAATGACAAGGACTCCAAGGATGAGCAGACCGCTACGGACGGCTTAGAAAAGGTCAGACAGCAAGAGCGACAGAGAGCTCACGAAAAGGCCGAGAAAGATAAGGCTGCCGAGGCTGCACGACTCGAGAAGGAGAGACTCGCAGCAGCTAGCCGTCCTGGGGCTGCATCACAGCAATCATGGAGATCGACCGCGGACGAGGGTAGCGATGGCGATGAGGCAGGTCCTCCGGTGCCTTCCAAGACTGGCATTCCATCTGGAAAATTGAGGGCACCAGGCAGGCTAGCCAAGCCATCAAGATTGGGAAGCATTCAGCCAAAGCCTGCTCCTGTAAGCATCAAGGTCGCATCAGGGTCGCAGAGACTTGGAGGCGCTCAGCCTGGGAACTCTTCTCAAGACGCAAGCGTTGCTCCGGCCGCCACTCGTCAACAAGCTACGCGCTCAGGAAGCGCACAGCCACCTGCATTGTCAAAGTCGGTCGGTGCTGGCGCTGGCTCGGTTCGCAGCGTAAAGGCCCTAGAAGCTGCCGCCAGAAAGAAGGAACAAGACGAGAAGGTGGCTCAGAAGAAGGCAGAGCAGAAGCGTGAGATCGAGCGCAAGCGAGCTCTCAAGGCTGAAGAGGATCGCAAGGCAGAACAGGAACGCAAGGCGGCCGAGCAGCAGCGACTTCAAGAGGCTAGGCTTGCAGCACAAAAGCAGGCGGAGCAACGAAAGGTCGAGCAGCAGAGGCAGCTGGCTTTGCAACAGAAGAAGAGTGCCGATTTGGTAAGTTTGAACATCCTCGAAGATTGGTTACCCGTGCTAACACAAATAGGCTGCTGCTATTGAGCAAGAGAAGCTAGATAAGCAACAATCACAGTCCACTCTTCCGCGTGGAGACATTGCCGGCACATTGAGGCAGCTTTCCAAGCAGGATCGACCCGCGCCTCAAGCCAATACCGCGAAGCCAGCCAAACGTCCTCTCCAGCAAGATGTCGAGGACCCATCGCAACGTCCTGCTATTGGCAGAGCGCCGGCATCATATCAACAACAAGGAGACAAGAGACGCAAGACTCTGGAGGATGACGATGATGAAGTCGACCGACCATCGGACAATGCTTTGACAGCCCCTCCCAAGCGACCATCGAATATGCGCAAGGAGTCCACGCTCAACAAGTTCCCCCACGGATACACACACGCCCCTCCACCAGCTGCTCATCACTCTCAAAACATGTTCAAGGCTACAGTCACAGCACAGCATCACGCACAGCACGCCAAAGCAGGCATGCATCCTAACGATATGATGAAGTTGTCGACAGCTCGTATCCCCTTTGCAGAGAACTCTAATCCCCCAGGAGCATCATCGAGCAAGGGACCACCTCCATCGGCCTTCAAGACTCCAGGACGACCAGCAGCTCAAATCGTTTCTAAGAAATCAGTGCCGAAGTCTGCCAAGTCTTCCCCCCTGTATGCCAATGGAGACAATATTAACTTGCCCGAGATTGCTACAGACAGTGAAGATGAGGATTCGGACGATGACCAGACTGGAGGATTCCGCGCACCATCGTGGGTCGCTTCGCCAGCACTCCGTGATCTTCTTACGCAGCAACAGCTTGTGGACCCCGAGAGCATCTTTGGTCCCATTGCACCGCTACAGATGGAGGAGGTGTTCCGCAACAGCAAGAACCCTGAACGCCTGAAGAAGTTCCGCGACCGTGGATCGTCAGCTCGCTGGGTCGACACGGGAGATGCAGTTACGAAGGAGGAAAAGGTCAAGGACCGCGAAATGCGTGCACGAGTTGTCAAGGAAGGTGGATGGAGATTTGGACAGGATGCTTGAACGGCAATGGACAGTCAGTGTGGGAAAACACAAGATTTCGTATTTCTTTGTCTCTCTTATTTTTCTTAAGCATGAGGCTCTTTCAGCCGCTTGGAGTTTCGGGTAGCGGGACTGGCGGTTTTGGTTTTAGTGGACGATCTTTATTTGTTTGCGATCGGGGTGGATCCACGAAAGATGGATGAAACGACACAGCGTCAGGGCAGGACGGGGAATTGAAGACGATTCTGGCAAGCAAGCCAGTGCCTTCTCTCCAAACGTGTGCTTTAAACAGGATCGAGTGAAGTTGATCAAGGCAAAAGTGCACTTTGTGGCTGGAAGCGGCAGGAAAGAGCAAGTCCCTTTGCCAATCAATGACGAGCTTGTTTGTGATTTTGCATGTGAAAAGCGCACGGATGATGACGTTTCATTTTGCGAATCAGGGCAGCTTGGGAAGCTGGCGGATGTGCATGTCTTTTCTGTCGCGTGCTTCTTCCTCAACACATCCTTGTCTGCCATCTTCACCTGCACTCATCTCCTATTCAATTGATCGGTACGTGTCGTCTGCGCTCTGCATCTCTTGCTTTCAGAGCTTCTTACTGAACGCTCTTCACAGACAAGCCGCCGCCATGTCGAACACCAACTACCCCAACCTCAACCCCCAGCTGCAAAACGCAAAGGACGCTGTCGTTAACAGTAAGGTACGTGGTCAATCTTTTCCGCGCAGAGCTCTACAAGCATCCCTCTATCGTAGCAAGGCCTGTTGTTTAGCAAAACAGGCCAGCTATCATTTTTCTCGCTGGGCGTTTGCTGCGTGCCTCTTCCATTGCACAAGCCCCACCGAAACTGAGGCAGCAACTTTTGATGTTTATTCAATCATGCTGACTTCTCTCTCTACAGTTCCTCTACAAGACTTAACCAACTAGAACTTCCACTCATCTTATCTCCAGATGCCAGCGCTGCTTACCAAAACATTGCCAACGGCCCCGCTGCCGAGAAGGCCAGAATCGAGGGCGAGAAGACCTCGCAGGAGTTCTCCAACCTGATGGACTCCAAGAGAGTACCTGAGCAGCCTGCAGCCACCGGCCAGCCCCTGACTCACTACCACTCGTTCTTCTACAACCTCCTCAGCTGGGAGAACCCCCGTGTCACCACCATCTCCTTCGCCTCGATCCTTACCTTTATCTTCTTCACTCGCTACGTGCCCATCCTCAAGTACCTTTTCAAGGCGCTCTACATCGTCCTCGGCAGTGAGTAGCTCTTACATATCTTGCTCGGGCCAATTGAATCTGACCAAATTCCCAGTTACTGCTGCCGCTGAAGTCGTGGGCAAGCTTGTCATGAACCGTGGCTTCGCCTCGCAGATGCGTCCCCGCAAGTACTACACCATCCCCCGTGAGACCCTCGAGGCCTCTCTGGATGATGTTGAGCAGCTCATCAACTTCTTCGTCATTGAGTTCCAGCGCATTATGTTCGGCGAGAACGTCTTCGTCACCGTTGCTGCCTTCTTCATCACCTTCATCTCCTACTTCCTCGTCAAGATCATGCCCACCTGGGGTCTTGCTCTTCTCTTCACCACTCTGATCTACACCGTCCCTCTCATCTACATCAACAACCGCGAGGTCATTGACGCTCAGATCGAGAATGCTAGCACCATGGTCAACGAGCAGACTCAGCAGATCCGCACCATTGCTGCCGAGCAGACCCAGCACGCCACTGACATTGCAAAGAGCACCGCCACTGATCTCTCCAACCGCGCCTCTGAGCTCATCGGTCAGGCCAAGCAGCGTGCCGGTCAGGCTGATGCCCCCAACCCTGCCAACCTGAACCCCGCCAAGGACGAGCCCGAGAGAGAGATCAGAAAGGAGGACATCCAGAAGACCGCCAACGACCTCACCAACAAGGCCGCCGCCACCGCCCAGGATGCTGCTAACAAGACCTCCGCCATCGCTCAGGACGCCGCCAACAAGACTTCCGCTACTGCTCAGTCTGCCGCCGACAAGACCTCTTCAAGCACCGCCTCTCAGAGCATTGACAGCTCCACCGAGCCCTTGACCGAGTTCAACGCCCCCAGCGTCCCCACCACCGAGCCCAGCGCTGCCGCTCACACTCAGCCCATCCTCCGTGACGAGGCTGTCTACCACGAGAACGCGGCACCCGAGCAGATCAGATCTGAGGCTCCTCTTCTGTAAATGCACAGCAATCAATCGCATCTGACACGGCCGCCAATGATGGATTCAACGAAAGAATAATGATGATAACCTCTTCACATTACTACGACAACACCCAAAAAGCTGCGAACACACAAAATCGGTCGATAATGTAGTTTTAGTTTGTCCAAAGAGGATAGCGCCCGGGGAATACACAGAATGATACCTAGGGAATCCTTTGTTTTGTTTTCGAATAAGCGAGCAATTATTTTCCACTTCTCTACCCTACGCATGTCTTGACCACTGTTTTTGCGCTTGAAGTGATGTGTCTGTCCTTGGATATGATGAAGAGTACACCTGTAGTCTTGTTGGGTTTGACATTTCTGTACACGTGTGCGCAGAATATGTGGTTTGTTTGTGAATGACCATGACGATACGGCCAAGAGCTCAAGCAACCCTGCTCGTTCAGCCCGTGCCAGGGTCATGCCCTTGACAGGAACGGAAACATGTTTATCGACGACAACACGTCCACAATCAAAGATTATACATCAATGAGCACGGTAACGCACTCAGCTAGATATAACCTAAGACCTGAATTAGTCTCAGATCATTAAATCGTGGGTTACAGTCATGGTAAATGAATTTGTGTTTTGACTCTTGCTATTCTGGAACATGGGTTGAGCAACAGGCTGATCAGTGGCAGAGTGTGAGCGCATGGACATGATGATAAATCCTCGGATGGGCAAAAAAGCTAGAGCCTACGAAGTAACAATAATGTCGACTTGGCGACTTAGGTAGGTGAAAGTCTTTTGTGGAAGAGATGTGGCTGGGGATGAAGATGACATGATGGCAACACTGTGCTGGGGTTAATAGCATCCAGCTTCCGGAAGGCAACACAGCCTGGACAGAAATGAAGCCCACGACAAGGACGAATGAAGGCAACAAACCAGCCACTAATCCAAGCAGTCAATCGACAGCCAGCAGGAGCGACGAAGATTAGTCAATTCCTAGAACCATCCGATTTCCCTGCTTGCGCAAGTGCCTCTCATCATGCCCCATCTAAACCTATGTCGTGAATCTAAAACTCGGATGATCATCCCCAAGATTATCAACATCCTCACCACTCAACCTCCAATCCCTCTCTCCTCTATCTCTCTTCCTATTCTCCAATAAAACACCTATAAACAATCCCACACAGCCCAGTCCACAGATCCAAAGGAAGCCCAGAGAGACACCATATCCAGTTTTATAAAAAGGAGCTTCATCTGAAAAGAAGACGTTACTGGCGACGATTCCGCCTAAATTTCCAAAACCTACGGTCATGGCCGCGGAGACGGACCGCTTGTAGTGGCCAGACATGCAGTTTTGCACCCAGGCCAATACTATGGGTTGAGTAATGTAGCCTCCGGGTACAACGAGGAAGAGGGCAAAGTACTTGACTCCCACGCTCAAGCCTTCTTGTGCGAGCAACATAGCGTACCCGATACTAGCAACCACGAGGCCAAAGATGCAGAACGCAAAACGGTGGCGAAGACGGTCTGTCAACCAGGCGGCCGCGATGGAGGTTATGGCTGCAACGACAAAGATGGGGATTGAGCGCACTTGGGCGGCTGAGGATGTATAGCCCATTTCGCGGATGATCGTGGGCACAAAGAAGGAACCTGCGTAGCCCGTGTTTACGATACCCATGTACATGACTACGCCGGTGTAGATCTTCCAGTCGGTAAAGATGCGGCGGGCTATGACAATTAGTCAGCTTACGTGACACTCCTTGATAGGGAAGAGGGTTGGGTAGAGGGTCGAGGCTTACTCGCTGCTTTATCCAGTCGATTCATCACTGCTTCTCCAGAGTCGACTTGCAAACGTGAGGTCAAGAGGACGCGTTCTTCCTCTGTCAAGAACTTTGCTGTTTCAGGCCAATCGCACACCCAGAATCTGGCAATGACACCGACAACAACGGTCAAGATGCCTTCGATGATGAAGATCCATCGCCATCCAGAGTAGCCACCAATACCGTCCATCTTTGCCAGGGCGAAGGCGAGAAGCTTTTGGATATGTTAGTTCTCGTCGATGCTTCTGTTACGGAGGCCCATGGTTGGAGACTTACACCACCGAAGCCACCAGCAAGGATACTGGCAGAGAAGAACAGGGAGAGTCGCCACTGTAGTTCGTAGCGTTGGTAGTACATGCTGATCAGATATACACAGCCACTGTAGAGTAATCAGCAAGTGTCTACCGGAAGCAGATATAAGTTGATATGAGCCGGAAGTTGTGACTTACGGAAATAGTCCAGCTTCAAAGATACCAACCAAAACTCTCATAGCCACAAGACCTTCAAAAGTGGTCACCAGGCCCTGTCCGATAGTCGCAATACCTGAAACACAATCTTTAGTGACCATTCCTACAAACAACAACCCAACGCAAGGATTGAAACATACCCCAGAGTACCATAATACAGCTCAACCACAACGACGGCGAAATCTTTTTAAGTATAATATTACTCGGCAACTCAAAAAGTATATACTATTTTCACATCATCAGCCATCCATCTTTCCATTAGAACCGCAGAATCAGCCCTCCAAAGCACTTACAGGAATAAAGAACACAAACAAAGCAATGTTATAATCATGCCCGCCCATCTTCAACTCATCAGTCATACCCTGAATCTTTGCATTACCAATATTCGTGCGGTCCAAAAAGGCCAGAAGAAACAACACAGTCAATGGAGGTAAAATCCTCAAGTCCACTTTCCGAAGTAACCTCTTTTCGGCTATTGGGTCAATGAGAGGAGGCGATGTGTCAGAGGCAGGCGCGAGTTCAAAATGCTCGATCGAGTGTTTCTTCAGAGTATCATCCATGATGGTAGTGTTTGAAAACCCAACAATTGTGAGCAGAGGAGGAAGAGAGTCGAGGGAGAAGCAATTCTTTCAGCAATGCGGATCTCTTATGCAAGATATAGGCAAAGACTGTAGTCGATCATGTACCTTTGTACTACCCCATACCGAGGGTATAGAGTTGTGGGGGATCGACGTGGGCAGCTTTCAATGGGGCGGAAAGCCGCCGAGTTTTCGGAAATGATTCCTTTTGAAGGATTCATCCAAGCATATAAAAAGCCGGTAGTGGCTTGTATCGGACACCTGAACGAAAGACGATGAACAGGGGTAGAGCGTGATGGTAAGAGATACAAGTGGACCTGGCAGAAGTATGAGATAGACATGAGGGGTTGCAGACATGAGATAGCAAGAGCGACTCAGGTGCATATGCCAAGCGCACTAAAAGTGGAAGTGGAGAGAGCGTGATGGAGGAAGAAGACGTAGATGAATACAACAGGACAGAAGGATATACGCTACCTGGACACACACACCGAGCTCCAATTACTTCAATCCAAACCCTTCACTCTCAGATACGGCACGCCAAAGCTTCTCTTCGAGTTTCTCCTTGCTCTCGTAGCCCCAAAGAACCAACATGTTGAAGCATGTCCGTGCAATAGGAAATCTTTCTTTATCCGTGGCACCATCTTGACCTTGTCCAGCTGTCCCGTCGCCACCACAGACGATACGAAGAACAAGATTTGTGGCACCAACAGCAGGTATACGATCAGATCCAGTGACGAAGCCAAGCAGTTTTCGTTGTGACTCAGGTGTAGCACTTCGGAAACAGTCCCAGAACCATGAGATGACAGGTACCTGATCGGCTGGGTTCGGCAAAGGCTTGTGTGGTGGCGATGCTTCGCGCCAATTCTCATACACAGCGACCGCCTTTAGTGAGTCAACATCCAGAGCTTCGTCGGAGCCACGGACCATGAGTTCAATCTCCTCAGCACGGAACAGCGAGAGAGCATTGCCTGCGCAGACGGTGAAGAAGCCGCGCTTGAAAGGCTCAAATTGTCTGGCCACAGAAGTGTCGAGTAAATAGCGCACGTATGCGTCGACGTACTCGCGACGGTTCTCGTTGGTGACTGGGATCCCTTCGCCACCGGTTTTTAGTGGAGTATCTGTCACTGCACCGTAACGCTCGACACTTGCGACAAAGTCTCTGCAGTAGGTAGCTTCGACGTCGCCATCGAACTCGAGAAGATCGCGCAAGCCTTTGGCCAGCACAGGTCTCCACTCTGCCAAATCTTCAAGAGTATAGGTGAGCTGATTTCTGCCACTCGAGGGGAAGGTAGGATTCTGAGTCGAAGGAGGAGCCGAAGCTAGCAGCTTTCGGAAGGCAAATGGTGGGAGAGCCACATCGAGAATAGTGGAGTTGTAGATTGCGAGACCAAGGAGCGCGCCCACGAGGTAATACTGGTCGCTGGTCTCGAAAGATGATGGGTTGAAATAACAGAAGCCAGAGTCATCATCGTAGAGGAACATTCCTGTAATCAGCAGTCAGTATGTGAATGATCAGCGTCAGCTCGCGTCGTACGAACGTACCATGATTGGGGTCGAAGATATCTCTGACAACTGTCAAGAACCACTCTTTTCTCAAGCCTCCTGCGTCAACGCCTTCTTCGTCTGTGAAGTGAACCTTGAGGCCCTTCTTCAGTTCTTCTGGACCCGATCCTACAGCACCGCTGATCTGTTTCAAGCTATCGTCTACCATACACTCACGTCTTACACGTAAGTGGAAGTAGCCATCAATAGACCTGCGCGTGGTGACCGAATTGAAGTAGGCCTCACGAGCCATAATCTCCATTTGTCGACGGGCATCATACTCCATGAGACGAATTTTGGCTCCCATGGAGAGGAACAGCGGATATTGACAAAAGGTGAACTTCGCTTTCTTCGACTCCCAAGCCTTAAAGTCCGCAACAAGATCGTGGTAGTCAAGCAATGTATTGTAAAAGTCCGAGGTGGGCAGCAATTGTCCATGCATCTTTGTGCGCGGTTTAGACAGAGATGTCATGCTTGTTTGAGCAGGAGCGAGGCCAGCTCTCTTCGTCTGCCATGTGTTATTTGCAGCAAACAACATTGCCATGATTTTGGCGGCTGCCTTCAACTGCCAGTCTTCACTGTAGTCGACCACACTTATTGTTTCCATCTGAGGCAATTTGTTTCTTCCAGCTCCACTGCCACTGCCACTTAGTCCGGTCGCTGACTGGAGTTGAGCAAATGTGTTTCTTGCCGATCCAGATAAATCAGGAATGAGCCCACCATCTTGAGGTATGACACTGCGAGGTCGGCTCTTACGACGCGAAAGCCGGTAGGTGACGAACCTCGCAACCAAGTCAACCATTCTGACAAATTGTTGTTCGGGCAGTCTACTGAACCAGTTGGTCAGACAGCGATGGCAGTTCTCGGAAGAATTAGCGATCAGTCCAAAAATACGCTTGAGTATGCCGGCATGTTGTCCCGGCTCATTTCCAACAGGTGTACCTGGTGGTTTCTGTGGAGATACAAATCTTGAAGTAGATGGTGGAGCCAGACTTGAGCTCTTGAGCCCAGAAGAAGGAGTACGAGGCATTGGTGGCCGGTTGGCTAGAGTTCGCATTGGGGGATACAACGAAGGATTGGTCAGGACCACGAGCAGAAATCGTATGTGATCTGGCTCAATCAAAGGCCGTGTCGGGCGCTTCAAGACATTCTCAGTGATTTTTAGCAACGCTCGTTCTGCATGTAGCCGAGCTTCCGCAATGTCTTCGTCAATTTCCTTAGCATTGACAGGACCGCGAATGTGTTCGTTCACCTTCTCCTGACCGACGTCCTTGACGTTTGCTACTCTGTCGCGCCATCTAAGCCCAGCAGCGTGGACAACATCGTACCAAAGAGAAAGCTGGTCCCAGTCAATGTGAGGAGATCTCGAGGTAGTCAAGCGTCTGCCTTCCGCGCCATTTTGCCCACGCTTGTCAGATTTGTCCGAACGATTGCGAGTGACACGACCTGTCCACCAGTCGCCATTTTCTGCAAAGTCTCCAAGAAGCAGCGTTTTTGCATCCAGCTGAGAGAAAGAGTCTATTGGACTTTGAGCAATGCCTTCGATTGGCTCACTAGGGGGAGTCTTAATGGCACTTTCGCTCTGCCTACGTACTGTAGCTGTATGTCTTACAGTACTGAAAGAAGTATTCAGACAGTTGTAGTCACCAAAACTGGAAAGCATATAATCCTCGAGAGGTTTGAAAATGACCTTTACACGGTCATAACGCTGGGCGTTTCGATCGCTGGATGCAGGAGGTGTAGGGCGCACAGGAAAGGGTGAAGAGTGAGAACCAGGAGGCGGAGGAGGTCTTCTGTTTGGCGGTAGAGATGGCATTGGTGGTACAGGAGGCGCATGAGGAGCAGTATATGCCGATTCGGTAGTCTTTGATCGAGAAGGAACCTTGTTCGGCGAGGGTGAAGCCTTGTATGGGAAATATTGAAAATCGGCTTGGTTCTTCATGGTTGCCGACGCCGAACCAGGCGTGTCAGGAGGCGACTGGGTAAAGCGAGGGGATGGTAGCAGAGGTGCATTTATCGAAGGATCATGATGAACAAAAGGATCCGGAAGTGCTGAGGTCTTTGGAGAGGTTGGGCCGTCTGCCCTCCGGCATCGTGCTTCAAGATAGGTGATGAGACAGCGATCAATGATGGCTCGACTGCGTTCGACCGACAGTGGGAGTATTGCTTTATTATGTTAGGTCATGATACAGGATCAAGGACGAAGACGCAGTACACTTACGTCGTGGACCATGCTGGTTGGCGGGGTATGTCGAGGGCTTGGGATCGCGGGCCTCTTTGACGTAGGGTTCAATGTCGTTGATGGTCAAGCAGTTTGTGCAACGAAAGACGTTGAGATCACGAGGGAAGCGCACTGTGTTGTCGCAACACATGCATTGACGTGTGGTCAACTCTTCATCTTTCTTGCGACCTCCGATGGGCTTGTCTAGTTTTGAAGGTCCAGGTGGTCCAGCATCCAGCACAGGAACCAGGTACTCGTCCAGAGGGACATCTCGTAAGACAGGAGCGCTCTTTTTCCTTCCAAATATCCTGGGTAGCGGGTGGCTGACGGCGCGTGTATGTGGCTGCTGTCTGGGACTCGAAGATTGGCCGGGTCGAGGGGACAGCGGAGGCAGTTGATCTCGAGTCAGGCGTGGAGGAGATGTACTTGAAGGCGGCGGCGGTCTGTTTGTGTTTCCCGATGAGCCCGAGGCTAAGGATGTGAATCGCGGTGGCCACAAAGACATGCTTGCCCCTGATGCTTCAGGTGGCTCCTGGCTCGACGTGACGATGAACGATGGTTGGTGCAGGCGGACAACAACTGGAACGGACGCTGGGCGTACCGAGGAAATCAACGGCAATCATGTCCTGGGTCAAGGTCGGGAAAGATTATTGAGACTTGTAAATACGAAGTTACCAAGGCGGTTGAGCTCGTGTTCATCATGAATTGTCTCCCTGACATGAGTCCCTCTCCCCCGACACGACAACCTAATTCCGGGGTTGCCCTACAAGCCGAACTTAATCTACAAAAGACCCTATCGAGAGCAGGTGCTACTCTGCTCAGTCAATCCTTGCACCTCGGTCGCTCCTGTGACATGTCAAAAAGACGCTCTTACTTGCTGTCTCGCCATTGCCCCTGCTTATGGGTTAAGTTTCAAGCGTCGTAAGCTTGTGGCTTTTTGTTATATCGGCTATCGAAACGAATCACGATTCACAATGCATAGAGAACACAAGGAAGTGAGCGGGTAGCGTTGTGATTTTGAATGACAACAATTTGGCTAGTTCATGATAATGCCCGCTAATCCCAGAAATTTTGTGGATGCCCTCGTTCCATAATCTTGACGACACGAAACAAAGACCCTTGCCCAGAACCCTTTTAACCACCACGTCAGCGCCTTGAGGGGCGAGACGCTTATCGGTAGCGCCAGAGAGAGAGGGTGTTCTGTCTCTTCCAGGTCTTTCTGCGACCGGCAGAGGTGTTGTTGTAACGGTGACCCTTGTTGATACCACGGTTGTGCTTGCCGGTGGAGGTAAGGCCACGGAGTTCGCGGTGCTTGTGGACGGGGTTGACGATCCAGTTGATGCGGGCATCCTTGCGGATGGCCTTGTGCTGGGGGTCGACAAGGATGATCTCGAAGTACTTGTAGGTCGAGTCCTGGTTGATCCAGTAGGAGTTCAGGACGCGCAAGTTAGCGCAGCGGCGACCGACACGCTCCTCGGCGACGGAGCGGAGGGAGCGCTGGAACTTGAGCTGGTTAACACCCTGGTTGGTGGGCTTGCCTGTGAAATGTATTAGGACCAAATCTTTTTTCCTTCGCTGCAAATTCTTCCGTCGTACCGTAGGTGGCACCCTTGGGAACGGGGCGCTTGCGACCACCGCGGCGGACGCGGACACGGTAGATAACGTATCCCTGCTTGGCCTTGTATCCGAGACGGCGGGCCTTGTCGGGGCGCGAAGGGCGCGAGGCACGGTGGATGACGTTCAACTGGCGGAGCTATATTGATGTACTCTCAGCAAAGTTCAACGAGTAGCATCAATCTCATGTAGCGCGTACCTCCCAGCAGCGAACACGGAGAAGGAAGCGCAGGACATCAGACTGCTTCTTCTTCTGGAGCTCTTCGACATATTTGAGGGCGCCCATCTTTTGTAATTGTCAGCGAATGTGACTTCTTTCCAGAGAGCTGCAATCGATCGTTTGATGCAGAAATTTGACGTACTTTGTCGGTGTTGGATTGCTGTTTCGTTAGTTGACGGAAGTCGCGAACTCGAAAAGAGAAGGTGCGATGGACGATTTTGCGAATTTCTTGCGTGCGGGCCTTGGCACGGGCAATTCTTGGCACGGACGCTTTGACAACCGAACCACTCATCACTCAGGAACCTTGAATTTCCACTTGTAAAGTGCAATGAGTATTTATCAAGTCAAGAGTAATGCATGTGGTAAAAACACTCTCGATCATACTTGCTATGGCTTTTCAACTCTATACCTCACCTGTGCTCCTGCCTGCCTCAGAGATGCATCGCGTACATCCTGCGGACCTCGATTGGCACATGAGTGTGTTTATTCCGCCTAATGAATACGAAGTGTTTCTCACTTCTGGCTACACGATAGAGAATCATTTCCAAGCAATTGGTAAAGATTTGAGCAACCGTAGACGCCGTCTGAGTAGATAGGAGCCTGATATTCACGATCAAACTTGGTTCATTATTCACCTACCTGATCAAGCAGACTTGGACCTTGTTCGAAGGGACCCACATGTCGAGTCCATCTATCAGAGTGTTTCTTACCAAATAGTCGACGACCCGACTGGAGAAGAGGGACCATTATCTGGGAGGAAGAAAATGTTGCCTGATCATATAAGTACTAGAACTCGTTGCATAGCTAGACCACAGGACTTTTGGCTGTTTCCACCAAGATGATTAGCTGATCGTGTCTTTGCTTACATGGACATACGCACGGCACTGTATGGTGAAGGGCCTTCTCAAAATCAAGTAACATGGGTGGTATCATACAATTCTATCAACAATGTGTTAATCATGGTGCTTGACGAATAGAGCGACATTGTGTTTCTCATTTCTTGAACTCGTCATTGCAGTCGCTCGTCTTTGCATATAATCGCCGCGATCAGCAAAACCTGACTATAGTGAGCTTGTGTACACTCATCATTTGTTGTACACATCTTTGTAACACTGTTGGAGACCAGGACAGCTACAAGACGGTCAGTTCAGAGTGTGAAGGTTATAGTCGGGTATTGAAGGAAGACTCACTACACGGCTGCTTGTCCGAATATAACATGCCAGAGATATTCAAACACTCTGCCATTCGTATCATCATCATCATCATCATCATCATCATCATCATCAAGAGATGTACCCATCAGCCATTGATGAGCACGCATGTAAAAGGTCAAGGGTCGTTCAAGAACCTGATCCTTGGACACAGTAAGCTGAGCACAGCATGGTGTTGAAACAACATGAGGCACGTCGTCGTTTTCAAATATGTACCTCCATACTTCAGGCAAGGCATGCTCGTGTTTACGATCTTCTTCGTATGGCTCGCGGAATGGTTGCACCTCATCAGGACACCCAGGGATGGCGATACATCGAAGATTGGCATAGCCATTGCGGCTGACAAACTCAACGTTGAGTTGCTGTAGACTGCGCACGTGTGAGTTATCCTCTGCATCGGTATGCCAGGCTTGTAGGTAGCCTTTCCCGTGTGCGTGTACGGATGCGATGGTCGAAGGTAGGTTGTGATAGTTGTCCAGGATGTACGTTAGATACACGTTGGCTTCATGACTACCTTGATAAGTATTTTCTCTCGTTGTAAAGACGTTTTGATTGAGTTGATAACATACCCCTTATTCTTGTACGTATGCAACGGCAAGGTGCGGTTGTCGACAGTGTATACCGCATGCTGTCAACTAGTGACCCTGTAAGCATGAATAGCATAAGACACAAATATTTGAAGGTCTTACGTTTCGAGTTGATCCACCCATGAAGTGTCTTGTCCACTTGAGCGTCCAATGACCACGACTTGATCCAACCTTGACGATGTATAAGCCGGGCCCGAGGCTACCGCGTGCTCTGTCGCATGTCTGGGCGACGTCGAGCTGTCACTCGTAACTGAAGCTTCTGGACTAGTGGTCGTGGTTCTTCCAACCTGTATATTGCTGAATGAAACGTAAGGATTGTCTGATACCATGGCATCCTTTCCAGGAGCTACGCGGAAGCCAGCAACACGAGATGACTTGATTTCGCGCAAATCGATCAGTGTCAACAAAAGTGCAGTGATGAGAAAAGTTGTGGCGAACATTTGCAGCTTCAACCTCATCATTGTGGATGAAAAGTCATCAGAATGAGAAAGTCAATCCCCTACCTAGAAGCGGAGCCCCCGGTACTTGGACATAGCCGCAGTACCCACATCAGACTCTCCCAGAGATGCGATGCCCAAATCGCTTGCGTGTTGAGACTGACCAAGAGATGGCGTGCATGGAATCCCGCTCTTTCTGGCGCGCGCTTACCTGGGAGGCGCGGTTGGGCCACCAGCTGTGCCGCATGTTATGGGAACACTATCAGTTATTTGCACGCTTCCAGCCACGTGCAAGTCCCGTACAGGATGTTAGTCGCTGCTGTTAAGCTAGCGAAGACTGCAAGACAACAACGCCATACTCGCAATTGACATTGTGCAGGGTTAAGGAGCCGGTAGCCGGTAATTCGCGGTCCAGATATGAAGTACTCTGCAAGGTACTAGTTTATTCGTTGCTCACATTCATGTCATCTTGTTGATGGTCGTTCAATTCATGCTATTATAGTCTGCACTTTCTCAGCCTCCTCTTTTCTAGAACATGTCGCAAGCAACGCTTACTTGGCAGCCTCCTTCATCTTAGCCACACGAGCAGATGTTCTCTTGACAACATCCTCCTCATTCCAGATAGTGAGGGCACTGGGAAGCTCAACGACAGCCTTCGCCCACTTTCCAGTGTTGGGGAGAGCCTCGATGGACTTCTTGAGCGATGAAGGAAGAAGGTTGCCTTCCTTGGAGAAAGCGAAGAAACGGATGAGGAAAGGTGCGATGATAGCCTGTAGGTTTGCAGTCAGTACCAGAAGCGGCGGGTGCGATGCCAGATGTACGTACCTCAGCGAGCGTGGGCTTGTCCTTGCCGCCAAAGAAAGGAGCAGCATTCGCCAGCAGTGGCTCAATCTCCTTCTTAATAGCAGCAACAGTCTCCTTGGCCAGCTTCTCCTGCTCCTCGCCCTCAGCCTTCATCATAGGGTACAAGTTTCCCTGGACTTTTGTGTTCCACGTGTCGACGAAGAAGGCGAGTCTAGCTCTGAACAATGGCGAAAAGGGGTCGTGCAAGCTGCTGGGTAGCAAATGCGAAGGACGGGCATCTGCGAGGAATTGTGCGACAATGCCTGACTCGGTGATGATTTCCTCATCGTAGAGGCCGGGGACGGTGTACTTGATCGAGGGGACGAGACCACGGGGGTTGATGTCGAGGTACCATTGCTCGCGGGGCTTGTCGAGGTCAATGATGACCTCTTCGAAGTCCAGACCTAGCTCCTCGAGGGTGATGTGGGCGCGGTGAGCGAAAGGACACAGGTGGTTGGTGTAGAGGGTGATCTTGGGTTGGATGCCCTTGGATTCACCGCTGTTGCTTTCGCCGTTTGTGTAGCTTGCCATGATTGCTATGTGTATGACTCGGAGTTGTTGATTTGGGTCTCGTGTCAAAGGTCTGGCAAGGTCTTTATGATTGTCGCGTTTCGTGATATGCCGTGATCATCTTCGAGTGGGGTTTACTTCGTCATCAAGCTGGATTTAAGCGGAGTTATGCATATCATTCGGCTACGGAGCGATATACCTTCCGATACATTCATCCTTCGTGGGTCCTGCTTTATCAGGTCTATAATTGAGCTTACGAGTAGAGATGGCTATTACTAATGTTTGGATGTGCTACACAGCTGTCTGGTCACAGCGATTGTGACTGACATAGCTTATAGTATATGCCTTGCTGTCTGATCAGGTCGCTGTGAGTGCCCTGCTCAACCACAGTTCCTTGGTTCAGCACGAAGATCTTGTCCGCATCCTTGATCGTCGAGAGACGATGAGCAATAGCGATAGTCGTGCGGCCTGTCGAAGCCTGAGCGATAGCAGCTTGAACCAGTTTCTCGGACTCGGTGTCTAGCGCTGAGGTGGCCTCGTCAAGTAGTAAGACCTCGGGCTGGCGAATCAGTGCTCTTGCAATTGACACACGCTGGCGCTGACCACCTGACAGACGTGTTCCTCCAGCTCCACAACCAGTGTCCAGACCTTCAGGTAGCGACGATACAAACTCCCAAATGTTTGCCTGGCGACAGGCAGCTTCGACTTCAGCTTCTGTAGCAGTGTCAACTGTCCCGAGCAAGATATTGTCTCGAACGCTTGTGTTGAAAAGACTTGGCTCTTGCTGTACATATGCAATACCGTCCCTGTATTTTCGAGGACAGTAGGCGTTGAGCTCCTTATTGTGATGCATGACTCTTCCGGCAGACGGTTCGTAGAATCGTTCCAGCAGTGAGACGACTGTTGATTTGCCGCATCCAGATGCACCAACGAATGCAATGAATTCACCCTGGTGAATTTCGATATCCATGCCCTTGATGATCTTGTTATCAGGACGCGTGCTGTAAGCGAACTCGACTTTCTCCAGCTCGTAGGTGACTGCCCCCTTGTGCTCTTCGTTGATTACAAGTGGCGGAGGGCATTGGTCGTGCCTGCCGATACGTGGATTTTGAGTTCTGAGCCACAATATCTCATTTGCGCCAGCACGCGCCTTGGACAGCGAAGTGCTGTAGGCAATCATTTGAACACTTCCCTCAGCAGCAAATACGACCGCAATGAATACGGTAAAGAACTCTGTCGTGCTGTATTCACCGTGTGACATCAACCGTCCGCCGTACCACAGAGCTAAAGCCATACCAGCAAATTCAACAGCCTGGGCGATAGCAAAGAACAGATTGGCTGTGAGCAGCATCTTACTCGACCTCTTAGTGATGTTCCTAAGTTGCGATTGATACTTGTCGATGATATGTTGTTCCAACGCCAGAGAAGCAACTGTCCTGATAGCTGATACTGCTTCAGAAGCTACCGCTGCACTGTCAGAGAATAGCCTTTCTGTAGCCTCTTCGAGCTGGACTTCCATTCGAAGACGAAAATATCCCAGGCCAACAACTGGTACCATGATGGCGACGATTGTGACAAGTGCCAATTTCCATCCGAAGATGATAGCAGTGACGGCTGATGATACGAGCAGAATCAACACGATAAGAAGCAAAGCGGCGTTTAGTCCGATGAATTCGAGCAGGTTGGCAGGGGCCTGAGACAGACGAGAAACAATTGCCCCGGTGCCATTTTCGGGTTGGTCGAAGTACTCCATGTCTTGATAGATGATGTTTGTAAACATGTCTTCGCGATATTGCCTCGAGATGACCTGCAAGCTTGTCAGTAGTTGCTCTTGAACAACGCAATCATCCTATGGACTTACTTGACAGACAACGTTCGAAACATAGCCGGCGACAAAATACAGCACACCATTGATGATGGCTACAACGAACAGCATAAGTGCGTAAAAGTTGCCCCGGTCGGTAAGCTCGGAGCCTTGAAGCTGGAAAGCGGTAATGAATCTACTGATGAGGATGGCAATGGCAGGATAAGTCAGACCACCGATGACACAAGCGACTCCGATGATCAACAAGTTCGACCAGCAATCTCGTCGTTCTTTGACGAATATTGCGAAGCACTTCAACAAGCTGTAGTTCAAAGATCGGAGATTTTGGTCTGTCGACGTTTCGAGCTCTTTGCCAACGCCGTTCGACTCCTTCCGCGACAGGGCACGGGTGACCTCGATCGACTGATCGGCTTCTTGCTTTTCGACCTTGTCGTCCTTATCGTTTCCAAGGTCCTGCGCCATGACAAGACGATAGTAAGCACCTTTCTGGCCCAGCAGCTCTGCATGAGTGCCTTGCTCTCTGATAACGCCTTTGTCCAGTACAACGATCCTATCGGCGTTCTTGACAGTCGAGAGTTTATGAGCAATGACGACAGTCGTCCTTGAACCTTGAAGTCTGTCGAGCGCGATTTGAACCTGATGCTCTGCTTCTGGATCAAGAGCGCTTGTCGCCTCATCCAATAATAGAATGGAAGGATTAGAGATGATGCTTCGGGCGATAGCGATTCGTTGTTTCTGACCGCCTGAAAGCATACTGGCTCGTTCCCCGACAACAGTTTGATAACCATCTGGGAGGTTCCTGATGAAGTCATCTGCATTCGCATCCCGGCATGCCTCTACTACCCTGGCTTCGATCTCTTTCTCCGGGAGATCAGCTGCACCCACCAATCCAAGCCGTACGTTCTCGTAGATGGTGGTGTTGAATAGCACAGGCTCTTGTTGGACGAATCGAACACGGGTTCGGAGCCAGCGGACATCAAGATCTCGGACATCTCGTCCATCAATCTTAATCGTCCCTGATTCTGGCTCGTACCAACGCTCCATCAAGCCTACAATAGTCGACTTGCCTGATCCACTGGCGCCGACTAGAGCAATAGTGCTCTTTGCAGGAACCTTTAGAGTAAAGTTATCCAGAACGCGTACATCCGGTCTAGAGGGATAAGCAAAGTTGATGTCCGTAAGCTCTATATCTCCCTCGATTGATTGGGGACGCTCTCCTTTATTTTCCAGAGGATCCAAGAGAGACTTCCTGTCGATGACTTCGAGTAGTTCCTCGGCACTAGATGCAGCCTTCGCAATGACTTGCATCTGGGGAGCGACTTGAGTAACAGATTGCGCGGCCACCAAAACAGCAAAAATCACACTGCTTGCTATCAGTGAAAGTGCACAATTGTCACGATGATGTATCAACATACGTTATGATCTTACCGGGAGCCTCGATCTCGCCTCTGGCGTACATTTGGATACCCTGCCAGAAGGCCAGGCCATAACCAGCGAAGACAAAGAAGAACTCGTTGGCGTAGAGCAAGCCCCAGTTCAGTGACTTTCTCATGCCTTGTCGCTTTGCATCGTCCAGAATCTTGTTGTGTCTTTCGATCATCCTAGGCTGAGACCAGTAGGCGTGGACTACTCGAATGCTCGAGAACACTTCAGTAGCAAGTGAGCCTGCCTTACCATAGTGCTGCATACACTTGTTCTCTTGCGATGCATCAATAGTAACCCCAATGCCAGTCGTGATAATGATGGCGGGAAGAATGCAGATGGTGATTAGAGCTAGCTTCCATTGTACCGCAAGAGCCACAATGAATGCTGTGATTAACGCACTTATGGCCTGGACAATCAGGCCGAATTTCTCGGCGATGCCCTGTTGTACAAGACTAGCATTTGTAGTCACTTTGACAGCAGTAGAGCCAGTGTTAGCACTATCAAAGAAAGCAATTTCTTGCCTCAGTGTCTTGTTGATGCAATCAATGCGCAGTGCTCTGACTGTTCGCATTGCAGCAAACGAGATGGTGACTGTTCCGACATAGAACACAACCAATTTTGCAATTGCTAGATAGACGAGGTACAGACTGGACGGTTAGCCATTTCTGCCTTATCGAAATATTTTAGACAGCATCATCATACCTAGCTCGTGCAATCTCGGAGCGAAAGTGTCCAATGGTGATGTTGCCTTGGGCAAAGTCATTGAAGGTGTTGACAAATTGGCCGAAGATCAGGTCAAGTAAGGGTAATGCTGTTCCCGATGTGGCCATACATATGATGCCGACCATATACAGGATTATACCTAGCCGGTCGGCATATAGAAACATACGCTGTCCGACATTAGCTGATGCCCATCGGCAAGAAAATTCATACTTACAAAATAAGCAGACCATCCCTGTGTCTTTGCTACCTCCCCATCGCGGTCTGAAACAGATGCCTTCTCACTATCTGACATCTTGGTCGATTTGGGTTACGAGTATGAATCCGCATTGTCAATTCACGCAGCAGCCAGGTTATATTCTATTCTAAGTGCTCGTTGCTGTGGCCAGTAAAATCGTCTGATGTTTCTCGATGATGATATCTGCTCGTGGTGCGCGGGTTCCGTTTCGCCCAGAAGGTGGCCAAGGACGCTTTGTTTAGGTTTGGGCGAGTCGGTGCGCTGCAAGTTGTCGAAGCCAGGCGATGCTCGCTGTCCGCGGGCGCCTGAAGGAGCAAATAACTTACCATCGTCTTGATGATCCTTCGAACGTCGCCCAACCATGTAGAAATTATCTCCTTTCCCTACAAGAGATTGCAGCCTGCCACGCGCCTAGTCTTGGCTCGTTCAATATAATCATCGAGGGCGCTGTCCAGTGGATCTAGCGAAAGCGTTCGGGATACGTTACATACGCTGTGCAGCTCTTGTTATTGACACCATCTTTTGGACTGCAGTTAGTCTCGGTGTCCGCGGGAAACTGATTTTCTAATAACACCGTGCGTGTAGAATCCGAGAATGACGGACTCTGAGGACGGCACGAATGCCTTCAGCAAATCATTGCCAAGAGCAGTATGTCATTCAACATCTTCGTATCGTTACGTCCATTGACATGCAGGTGTCCATAGTGTGACAACTGCAGGGTCCGAAAAGTAAGCAAAGTACAGACTGAACTCCGTAGAAAGCTGAAAGCTGATCAGCCTGTAGGTCCGCTGTGACAAAACCGCACCATGTTCGAACTGTCGGACTGCTGGAGTCACATGCAAGATCACTAGTCGCCAAAATGACATTACGAAGCCGAGATCTAGAGTGCTCATCTCCAATCAGTAGTGAGTGATCACCCTTCCTACCATAAAAACAAGGACAGAGCCATGTTAGGGCTAGCAGACATTGAGCGTGTGGATCAGAAGCATGGAGATTTCGAGCCTAGTCGCACCGTCTTTCTTATGCTTAGTGCTTGTCGAGCTATCTCGGAACCACGCTTCAGATTGGACAAACACGTAGTCACCAGCTTGTGTTGAAGGAGAACGTTGATTTAAAATGCCATAACTCGTCGCGTGCCCATATAATATACTATGAAGCTAACTGAAAACAGTGAACAGAAAATCGATCGTCTAGAACAGCGCCTTGAAGGAATTGAGAAGCTATTACAGACGTTGGTATCGACAGCGAAGAGTCCTCCACAGTACACACCGTCTGGACAATCTTCCACAACTTTCACACCTGCAGCATGCACGTCTACATCAGTTCCTATACCGGTTCCTACACCTCAGGTTGAACAGTTCGAGGGAGAGTCTTCACTGGTAGCACATTCAAGACAAGCTCATGAAGCCCTACAACGCCTGCTGGAAGCCGCACCAACGACTATCCGGAATGATCCTAATACAGTCAATGCACTTGCTGGTCTGCGTAATGTGTTAGAGAAGCATCGTTCTGAACCGCGTAGTCTCAACTTGTTGGCTCGAGCTGGGTCACTGGACGAACTCCAGTATTCCGATTTACCTCCACAAGAGGAAGTGATGAAACTTCTAGCTTGTGTAGAAGGTACCAGATATTGCTTTGCTGCACTAAGACTTTATGCTTACACGTTTCGACCTAGCGGACGAGCTGAGCGACATGTTCACATGGTGGCTCTTTGATGACATACGGGACTTTTACGAGATGTATGACGAATTTTGCCAATCGCCATCAGGCTGCCCGCTTGCGATACAGGTCATAGTATATTGTGCGCTGTGCTGGCTCATGGCAGGCAATCCGATCACGCAAAGAGCTGGATTGGATACCTCTAAATACTCTGGATACACGCCGGTCTTGGAAAGACACTTGGAAGTCTGTATCTCGTCATACAACCTCTTTGTGGAGCCCACAGATCTCAACATAGCGGCTCTCTCTACAGCCGTAAGCTTTTCCCTACTATGTCCACCAAAGAAGCCAAGTCGTTGACTCCTTTAGGGAACATACGCCATCTACGCTGCCGATGTAAACGCAGCCTGGATTCTCACCAGCACTGCCGCACGACTCTGTCAATCCATGGGGTACCATCGTCTAATGCCTCCTAAAAGCGGTGGGACTGAAGTGTACGAGAAGCGCGTGATCTTATTCTGGGGAGTGTATTTTGTCGATAAATCCCTGTCGCTCCGCCTCGGTCGGGCATCTTCTTTGCAAGACTACGATTTCTCGACGTCGTGGCGAGACATTGTCAAAATCTGGCAGAGCCCGGGTAATGCTAAGGCTAAGGCTGGTCACAGACTTGCGAAGATGACCGAATGGCTGGAGCTTTCGCTCGAGATGGCTACGATACAGGTTAGTATTGATCGATACCCAATGCTCTTCAGACATGCCACTAACAGTCGCAGGGAATTATATACGACAAGCTGTATTCTCCAGGGAGCATCAAAAATTTGTCAGAAAGACAGAAACTAGGACAAGAACTTGTAGTCAAGATACACGAGATTCTAGTGCTGAACATGAAGGTCGGTGCATTCATTAGAACGGACATGACTTGAAACTTACCTTCATCTATAGTGTTTTACAGAATCAGGCTGGCTGTATGAGTACACTGATTACTACAAAGAGTGTGGTGACGTTATCCTCTACAGTTTACTCACACTTGTATATCGAGCTATGCCCGAGATTTCAAACACGCAGCAGTGGTCTCTGCAAGCGGCACGCTCAACTATGCAGGTCCACCATAGCTGCGCTAGGAAGGCTGAGGCCATGGGCTCGGGTATTAAAGTCGAGTATCTGACATGGCAAGTTCATAGATCAGTGCACACATACAGGTGCTAACAACAACGGCACAGGTCAGTCATGCTCTGTCCCTTCACACCATTCATCGTCCTCTTCCGCAATGTCGTCACAGAGCTCAACCTCGACGACCTAAAACTCCTCGAAGATTTCGTCGCATCCATCGAATGGCTAAACGACTCAAATCAGCGCGAATCTCTGCAACGATTCCACCAACTCTGCCACGCCTTCTACAATCTCGCCAAACACTTTGTGGCCGCTCGACTGCGTGCAGATTATGAGCATCAAGCCATGACTAGCGCGGGTCAAACACTTGTAATGAGTACGATGCAGCAACCGCCTACTTTTGAGGAGTCGTTGGAGGATATGACTATTCCCGAAGATTTCCAGACTTGGATGGATACGCATATGGATTTTATGAACAATGACTGGCTTGCTTTTGGAACGCTCTGATGTCTCACGATATAGTCGATGAGCAGGATATCCTATATATTTTGTATCGCGCAGTAGCATCATTTGAAAATTCCAACTACACTCATCTTCGATGTTCCTTGTGTACACTTGATTTGATTTTCTCAAGCCATTTACCCCCCAAGGGGTATGAGCTGTTCCTTGTGTACATTTTCGTTTGTCACATATGGCCGAGGGTGGGCTCTGACAGGGTTGTACCATTTACTTTGAGTGGAAGCAGCGTTCTGGTCACTAAAACTTCTGCTACCTACTAAAGTGCACACCTTCATGTATCAAGCCGAAGTTCAAGGCTTTCACTGTGATTACAATGCCTGTAGAGGTCATAACCACGGTGGGGGTCGGTGAAAAACAGTTTGTCAGGTTCTGACACCTGCATTTAAAATCCGGTGTGAGTGGCCGGACTGTCCTCCACGTGACTTCGATCATGATTCTTGTTTGTGTATTTTCTTCAAGCTGGATCCTGGTGAACATCTTCAAATTGATGTATAAACAAGAACAGTTTGGTTCATGACAATTCATTTTTGTTCAATAGTAAGATGTGGGTGGTAATGGACACGCTCTCGCTAAAAATGACATAAGAAAACTTTTTTGTGCCAAGCAGCTCTCTTCCTTTCCTCTGTTCATACGAGGATAGAGATGCTGCTTCTAGTCGAGATGACCCTTCATTCCTGCCACACGCTGTACATGTTCATTCGCGCGGTTATCGCCCCTATGGTGCTTTTTCGTCGTCGATTGCTTCTTCTAATGCTAAGAAGCCGCAAGTTGGGTATCGTCTAAAAGTTGGATCCAATTCGGTCCCGGGTATTCTCTTTCATGTTCGTTGTGGGGGTGTTTCGAGCTTACTTGATCTCGACGCACTTGACGTCGAAGATCAGAGTGGAGTTCTTGGGAATGCCGGGAAGGGACTGCGAGCCGTAGGCGTGCTGGGCGGGGACGGTAACGCGTCTCTCACCACCAACCTGCATACCGGCGATACCGATGTCCCAACCCTTGATGACCTCACCGGTACCAAGCTTGAAGCTGAAAGGCTTGCCCTTCTTGTTGGAGTCAAAGACCTTTCCGTTCTGGAGCTTGCCGATGTAACGCATACCGATGCGGTCACCCTTCTTTGCGGCGGGGCCGGAGCCGATCTTCTTGTCGTCGATGGTAACGCCGTTGACGGTCTTGACAGTGGGGGCAGCCTTGGACTTCTCAGCAGGCTTTGCGGCAGCGGGGGAGCTCGAGCCGGTGGGACCCAGCTCGAGGTTCTTTGCGAACTGTACCTTCTTGTCTGACTTTGCTGCAGCAGCAGGGGTTTCGAGCTTCTTGGCGGCCTCGTCGGCGGGAACGGCCTTACCCTCGTTGGTCTTGACCTTCTTTGCGTTCTTCTTCTCGGCGGCAGGCTTGGCCTTGGAGATCAGGTCGTCAAGGGTCTCGGCCTCCTCCTCGGCGGCGCGCTTGTTCTTGCCCTTCTTGTCGGCCTTCTTGTCGGCCTTGGCGGGAACGAGAGCGGGAGCCTCCTCCTCGTCGATCTCCATGACGCGGGGGTTCTCCAGGTCGTCGAGCTCGTCCTCGGACTCGTCACCGTAAAGCTCATCCTCGTCGGGAGAGAGGTCGTACTCGTCCTCGTCCTCATCCTCGGAGTCGTACTCGCCCTCGGGGCCGTGGGTGTGGTCGGGCTCGACGTAGTTGCCGGTAAGGTAGACATCGTGGGTACCGGTGACCATGAACCAGACGCGCTCGTCATCACCGACAGTGATGTCAAGAGTCTGCTGGTAGTGCTGTTGGAGGGTCAGACATGCTCGCGATCAAGTCAAAATATCGAAGTGAAGACTTACGTTCTCGGGGTCGAGGGTGCAGAGAACGAACTCCTCGGGCTCGAACTCCTCATCATCCTCGTCCTCATCGTCCTCGTCGGACTCCTCCTCGTCGTCGGCTTGGATCTTGCCCTTGCCCTTAACCTTGGGAGAGTCAACATCCATGCTCTCAAGCTCCTCTCTGAGCTGCTTAGCGGCGGCGGCTTTACGTGCCTTCTTTGACTTGGCGGGGTCGCTGGGACCGGCCTCCTCCTCGGACTCCTCCTCGTCGGAAGCGAGCATCATGTCCATCTCCTCGGGGTCGAAGTCGGAGTCGTCCTCGTCATCCTCCATCTGAAGAGGAGCGCGGATGATCTTGAGAGTGGCACGGGGCTTCTTGCCCTTGGTGTCCTCGTCGAACTCGGGCTCAGCGCTGGGATCGATGGCGGCCATGGTCAGGCGGAACTGAGATGCGCATTAGCATTGCTTCCTAGCAAGATCGTCGCATTGCTGAAAAGACTTACGGCAGCAGGGATATCGCCGCTGGCAGCGACGGGCATACCGCCGGCGGGGACCTCGAGTCCGAAAACAGCCATAGGAAGAACACCCATTGTGATAGATTTGATATGAATTGATTTGGGGAAGGAAAGTGTGGTGAGAGAATGAAATAAAGTAGCTGAAAAAAATTTGGAGTCTTAGAGATGGACAAGAAAGTTTTGCCCTGGCAACCGCCGTCAGGCGTCGGAGATGGAACCAGCAAGAATCCTGGGGTCAAGACCTGTATCATTCTTTGCCACAACACGAACTATCGATACAGCTATGAGACTTTAAGAATCTTTCTCGCTCTGTCGAACAACTGCTGCGATTTAGAAACTGTAAGTTAATCATCGCTTCTCTGCACATTGCAAGCTCAAGGTAGATACCTCCGTAGCTGTACTCTCGGAACGCTTGGCATACGTTCGACGTCAATTCTCCAGGTACGGGTGGCGCTTTCCTCGGCGCGTCTCATTCGTGTTCCACTTTATTCTTTGTCTTCAGGAACAACACCCGACAATGTGATTCAGGATGAAGCTATCGCATTCTAACGGCATCTGATATCCAGCATACAATGCGATTATGACCTTAGTGAAATGAGGCATGAATTCTCGCCTCGAGACGAGATCCGCGCAGACGCGCAAGCGCATCGAAAACCATACCTTCGAAGATGAAGCCGGGGACGAGTATGAAAGCTCAAAGTTCGGTGGTCACAGAGAGTACATGCGCCGGAAGAGGATCAAATTGCAAAATCTGGACTCCGAGATACGCGCCAGATCTGACAATCCTCCCATCTTCAAAGGCATCGTGGTCTATGTGAATGGCTATACCCAGCCATCACTAAATGACCTCCACACCATGATCGTGGCGTATGGTGGCGGCTTTGCGCAGTATTTGGATGGCAAAACCTTTGTGACACATATTGTTGCAAGTAGCCTTACTCCGAAGAAAGCCGTCGAGTTCAAACGCTACAGGATCGTCAAACCCGCATGGATTGTTGATAGTATCGCAGCATCTAAATGCTTGCCATGGGACAATTACCGCGTTGTAGATGAGGGTGTCGGTCAAAAAGTGCTGGCCTTTAACAATGGTCAGATTTCCAGTCAGATTAACAGACACACCAGAGGCTACAAAGATCAGAGTGACAACAGCTGGTACAACAGCCAGCTCAAAAATGTTCAACTCGATGGCCCTAGTCGAGTCGACCCGCCCAAGCCATCATATCTTCGAGGGCCCCCAGTCTCTTCCAAGCCCCCAACCTTGACGCCTGAGTATGACGATATCAACGATTCAGAATTTGAAGCACTCGACAACGAAGAAGGGCTTGCTAGGGACCCGTTGGACTATAGCGTGGAAACGCAGGATCCTCTCGACGATGTACCACAAACTCCTCTGCGTACCAGCTCTGCAGAGCAGAATGCCGAGCCAGATTCGGTGCCTTACTCTACATCACCATATGGCCAAACAGCTTCCGATCCACGTAGTGCCAAACAATCAGATACTCCAGGCAGAGTGTCTCCGCCGAAAACTATCGAGATGACTGCGGAAGAGCACAATGCCATGCTTCTGGCCGATCCACGACTTCGCAAGTCGACGGTAGTCAATCCAGAGTTCCTCGAACAATACTATCGAGAATCTCGGTTACATCATCTGTCGACTTGGAAGGCAGATCTCAAATCGCAGCTCCAGGCACTTACGGCAGAGAAGTCTGCTTCCCAGAAGACCCGCCAGAAGCGTCCTTCTGGCGCTCGTCGCTACATTATGCACGTCGACTTTGACAGTTTCTTTGCTGCAGTCTCTGTGAAAAAGTATCCTCAATTTAAAGATAAGCCTTGTGTTGTTGCTCATGGTACTGGCTCAGCTGGTGGTAATGGCTCAGAAATTGCCTCCTGCAACTATCCGGCGAGAGAGTTTGGCGTTAAGAACGGAATGTAAATACTTCGCGGCTCAACACATGTATCTAAGCTGACAAAGTTCCAGGTGGATGAAAAGAGCCCAAGAGTTATGCCCTGATTTGAAAGTACTTCCCTATGACTTTCCAGCATACGAAGAGTCGAGCAGACAATTTTACTCTGCTATATTGGAAACGGGAGGCTTGGTACAGAGTGTCAGTGTCGATGAAGCGCTCATCGATATTAGTACGCAATGTATCTCCGTTGGCGGCACCGATGGTGTCCGACGTTATGAAGGAAGCAACTATCGTGAGCAGTCCGAGGCTGATCGTATCGGTCGGGAACTGCGGAACGAAGTACTAAAGCGCACTGGCTGTAATGTCTCCGTTGGCATCGGAGCCAACATACTACTCGCCAAGATTGCATTACGCAAGGCAAAGCCTGCCGGACAATTTCAGCTCAAACCGGAAGAAGTTCTTGACTTCATTGGCGCGCTGGAAGTACAGAGCTTACCAGGCGTCGCTTATAGTATTGGCGGCAAGCTGGAAGAGATTGGCGTCAAGTACGTCAAAGACATCCGTGAGCTCACAAAAGAGAAGCTTGTCAACACACTTGGTCCAAAGACGGGCGAAAAGCTGTGGGAGTACAGCCGTGGAATCGACCGAGCCGAAGTTGGTGATCAAGTTGTTCGCAAGTCGGTATCTGCTGATGTCAATTGGGGCGTCCGCTTCGAGAATCAAGAGCAGGTTGATGAGTTTATGACGAGCTTGTGCGGAGAGCTTGAGAAGCGACTGAACAAGGAGGGCGTCAAAGGTAGACAATTGACTGTCAAGGTCATGCGACGTTCACCTGACGCACCTCTAGATCCACCAAAGCATCTCGGACACGGCAAATGTGACACTTACAACAAAAGCATTCAATTGGGAGTCGCGACCAACGACAGTGTCCTAATGACGAAGGAAGTCTTGACCGTCATGCGTAGTTTCGGTTTCAGGCCAGGTGAACTTCGCGGAATAGGAATCCAGATGACTAAGTTGGAACCGCTTAAGACTGGTACAGATGGCCGAGCCGATAGCAGCCAACCACGACTGCAGTTCAGATTAGCCCAGTCTGTGAAAATGAAGCCAGCTCCTGAAGCAGAGCCGAGCGAGGATCCGATCACTGATGACATCAAGACGCCGAAGAAAAATCGTGTGCGCGACACTGGCGGTACAAGCTTCCTGGACAACATAGTCAACAACCCCTCGCCTAGCAAACGACCGTTGAACATCTTGGGCACTCAATTTGCTCTTCCAACTCAGGTCGATCCTCGAGTGCTTGCTGAACTCCCTGAAGAGATCAGAGCAAGATTGATCAGACAGTCACGTCCTAACCAAGCCATCGCAGCTGCCGAGGGCCGCAAAAGTCCCACTCCAGCAAAAAAGGCGTCTCGAACAATACCAGCAGCTTTAGGCTTGCCCAACCAATCTCAACTCGACCCCGAAATCCTCAAATCTCTTCCGGAAGACGTTCGTCGAGATGTCATGGCAATGTACCAAACCACAACATCTCCACGTAAAGGACAAGATCAGACCATTCTTCCGCAGTCTCCACGAAAGAACCGCATCATACCCCCAGTCAAGAAACTCGGCGGCAGAAAACCCCGTGGCGGTGGCTTGTTTGCCAGGGCGCGAGCTACCAATGGCAATTCGACACTCACACAGGCGAACTTCGTCAACCGAGAGACCGACACTGAAGATGTCAGTGCAGCAGAAGAGATTGACGAAGAGTTTCTCGCCGCTTTACCGCCAGAGATAAGAAAAGAAGTACTAGACGAAAGAAGATCAGCACAACTCAGACGATCAGGTGGTATCGAAGCCAACAAATCACGCTCAGGAGGCAAAAGACAAGAAACACCAGCAAACACCATCGAACGATTCTTCCAATTACCACCAAGACTGGAGAAGCCAAGTTTTACGTCTAACAAACTCACAGAACTTCCAGACCTGAGAAAAGCAGTCAGGGAATGGGTCAAGGAGTTTTGGGACGAAGCACCCTATGCAGAGGATACTGGATCTTTGGTGACGTATCTCGTTACCGTGGTGAAGCAGGAGAGGGATGTTGATAAAGCTGTCAAGATTGTGAAATGGCTGGGCTTGGTCGTGGATCAAGAAGTGTTAGGCAAAGATCTGGCGGATGAAGTCAAAGAGGGTTGGGGTGAGGCATGTGCAGATGTGAGGAGAGGTGTTCAAGATGCTATTGTTGCGAGAGGATTACCTGAGGTAGAATTTGGGAGCATGAGATAGAAATGCATAAACAAACCATCAAGACTTTCATTTCAAGAATGGGACACCTCAACGGCTCGTGATCATAATCTAACCTTGGTTTCAGGAAGGCCAATTGCATCGCCAGAATTGACGAGAAGGACAAAGAGATGAACGCGGCGGATAAGATCCGGACTCGCGATCTCTGCATCTTCATGTTACCTTACTTCTACCGGAGTACCCGATAGTGGTCGACAGTTCGAGCTTGTGTTTGCAAGACTTATTGATGCAGCGTCTTGACCACTAGACCATCGCCGCTTTTGTTGAAAGAGAAATGGCTGTACCGGGATAATCTAAGTACATGTGGTCAGGACTGCGGGCAGGGCAGGCGCGAGAGTCACATGGTGGAAGACAAGGCACAGGTGAGAGGATGGCAGGCACAGAAGCCGAGAAAAACCAAGGCTTCCGGAGACTCTATCGATAGTCGCTATGCGGCTCTATTTGTTTGCTTCCTTCCTTCTCTCCATAACACCCAGCACATCTTGAGCATTATTTTTATCGCCCTTTCTTCTTCTTCCCCTCTTCTTCTTTTCTTTGCTACCTCCCTCCTCACCGTCATCGTCGTCATCGTCTCCAGTACCCTTCCAAGTAGACAATTTGATCCTCTTTCCATCCTCTGCCTCTTCCTCGTCACCGAATCGTGAGGAGCCAAAGCCAAGATCCATATCGTCCATATCGCGATCGCTGGCCGCAAGCATTTGAGCTCGTTTCTGTAGGCGCGCTTCTTTGGCTTCAGCAGACTCGGGCGCTGATGGGTCATCGGAAGAAGAGTTGAGAGATAGGGAGATGTTTGATAGTGCGCCAGCTTTTTTGATGGCGGCAAGGAAAGCGGCATCGTTGAATGGATTTTGTGGCGTTTGCGGTTCTGCTGTGTCGTCGATTGTGGTAGTGGTAGACTTGAAGTAGTTGCGGGGTGCTGAGGGTTGTGCTGGTAGCGGAGGTGGTGGCATTGATGTTTCCAGGGGTTCTTTTGTCACTGAAGGTGCTTCCGATCCGGAGGACGGTGATTTTGTGTCTTGCGGTACTGGGACAGTAGCCGGCTTTGGTGCTCTTTCAGGCACCTCGCCGTCTTCGTCGTCAGAAGAGTCATCGTCATCATCCATGCCACCTAGAGGGTCATATGCATCGCCCACACCGTCGAAGATATCGTCATCCGAATCGTCATTGAGTGCTTGTGCGGGCTTCTCGACAGGCTTGGGAGCAGGTACTGTGACACCCTCATCGAGGAACTTGTGTGGTTGAACTGGCTGGACCGGCTCTTGAGATGGTGCCTGCATCTTTCTGACCTTTTTCTTCACATTGCCGTGCGCATCGGTCGTGATGAGGACTTCACGCCCCTTCGAATCAACCTCAACACGTGAACCTGCACGCGAAGAAGAACTCACATCACGAAACTTGTCGCCTAGCTCTGGTCTTGCAGCCAACCTTGCATCAGCCTGTGCTTTCCGTTGTGCTTTCAATTCAGCCAAGATCTGATCTCTAGACCTCTTTGTGCCGGCGACTGGTGGTGGGGGAGCCATTTCTCCCTTCTTGACAGTCTTCTCCCGCTCAATACGAGCCACTTCCTTCTCTTCGAACTTTTCAAATTCATCTTCCAGATCTTCTTCGGCTGCAGGTTTGGCACCTCCTAGCACATCTTCACCTCGTCTGACACGTTCGAGAAGTTTGCGATCCAGGCCCTTGACCAAATGTGTGGCACCGACATCACCGCCAGTAATCTGATCGCGTAATGCTTCGAAGGTTGCGTTGTCCAATTGACCGAGCTTTACTTGTTCTTCTAGAGCGTTGATGCGAGCAGCCTTTTCATCTGCCTCGTCGTCGTAACGATTCTGTGTGCGATCGGTGAAGCCTGAGCCCAGTCGCGATCCCTTTGGTGCAGCGGAGCCTTTGAACACCTTTGCCGTTCGATTTGACGCATTGCGCTCAGCCACCTGACGGGCGAAGTCGTTTCCAGGAACACCTCCTCGTACTGAGCGTGGCGTCATGGGCATGAAAGATGAACGTTTCGAACCGAGTGATGACGGCACAGCACTCGGCCGGGGGGTTTCGTTAGCGCCATCCTGTCGCGCCGGTGTATTAAGGAGTTTTCTGAACTGGTCGTTGTTCATTTCGATCTTGCAAGTGGTAGTGAGAGCTGTAAAGACGCAATCGTGAAAAGTAGGCGGCTAAATTCGGTGAACAACAAGCCGAGATCGCGTGGCTGCCTCTTTTGATTTGCGGGGTCGTGAAGAAAAGGCGGGGACGAGAGGTCAAGATGCATGCAAGTCTGCCATCATCGCTCCGTCCTCGATGCTGAGCAGGTCGATCTGCAAAGGTAGGTTCGTATAAAACTTTGGTGATGTCTGCTTCAATTACTTCCCTCGTCAAACTTGAGGAAGCATCATGTTCTTCTTCAATGCTCTTCCCCATCTGGGCCTCTTGACCTCACTTGTATCAGCCCAATACTCTGATGCAACCAACAGTACTTCTGGTGCAGGTGCAACTACATACACAAACCCCATTCTCAATGAAGTCGGCGCAGATCCGTGGGTCATTCGTCATGGCGATTACTACTACATGACATACACTACCAACACGAACATCACCATGCTTCGCAGCTCCGTTCTGACGGACTGGGACAATGCGGACGTCAAACTGGCCTTCGACCCTCCTCCGGGTATGAACTACTCGACTGATTTGTGGGCTCCCGAGTTGCACCAGATCGATGACACTTGGTACATTATCTTTACTGCCGATCCCAACTTTGATACACCTTCGCCTGAGATTGATATGTGGTGTGACTACAACTGTCCTGCTGTCTATCACCGCATGTATGTTCTCGAGGGCTCATCTTCGGACCCATGGAACTCGACATATACACTCAAATCGCAGCTCAACACATACGATCAATTTGCCATCGACGGTACATATTTCCAACATGATTCTGGCTTGTACCACATCTACAGCTGCTGGTACCGTCAATACGATGCTTGGCCAGCAAACCTTTGCATCACCAAGATGTCAGATCCTTGGACAGTAGAAAGTAACTTTACAGAGCGCCAGATTATCAGTATCCCGGACAACCCTTGGGAAAAGACACCATATGGTCGTCCTTTCAATCAACGTCTATCGTCCAACGAAGGACCGCAGCAACTTACCAACCCCACGACTGGACAGCAATTTGTGATCTACAGTGCTGCTCGCTCAGACAATCGTAATTACTGCCTGGGCCAACTGGAACTCGTTGGCGACGACCCGATGAACCCTTCTGATTGGCGCAAGAACAACCAAGGCTGTGTATTCTACCAGAATCCCAAGCAAGAAGCATATGGAGTTGGCCACGCTAGTTTCACCAAGAGCCCTGATGGCACCGAGGACTGGATTATCTACCATGGAATGAGAGACCCTACGAATGGCTGGAGTGCAAGAACCATCAGAGCTCAGCAGTTTACATGGAATGCTGATGGCTCGCCCAAGTTCCCCCGACCTGGTTATGGTCCTTACCAAGTGCCTTCGGGGCAGGTCTAGTGGGCATGCAGTCAAGTGTTTATGAATCAAGTAGAACGGAAACAAGAGCACCTACCTGTTGTAGCCCATATAATCGAAGCGTGAGTCAGCGAAGTTGCATTCACGTAGCACGTGGCAATTGTTATGTGGTGATATCGAGTGATCTGCTCGAAAAGCCGAAGTGAACACAAACGAAATGAGCTTTCTTGGGTCGTGTTACGGTAAGTTGAGCTTCGATTCCAGTGCGCGTGATTCACTTTAGCATCGAACTCGAGTGCCGCGTCATTCGCGGATCACATAGTAGGGATTCATGTTGATGACAACAACTGCGAGAGCATGTTGCCGGCACATGCTGGAGGACAGCAAGGCTTGGCGGTCGGACCCTTCTGCTTTCTAAAGGGAGCCGTGTGATTGGCCGACGGAAATGGATGCGATCATAGCTTTTCGAGCCACCCGCTTTGCCCGTGCTTGCCGTTCTGACAAAGACACAATCATCGCCATTCGACTTTACACAGTTCAATACTCTCACCTACGACCTCTTCAACCACCTCTCTAATCTGCGGAATCTCTGGACACCTCGCTGTCACACAAACACATCGCCATAGTCATGTCGCTTCCTCGCGCCACCTCGTCGGCATCATCAGTCATGTTCCGGTTCGCCGCTGGCGGTGCCCCTCGTGCTCAATGTCAACAGTGTCTGCGTCCCGCCTTCCGCTCATCACAGCCTGCTCTTCGCTTCTCCTCGCGAAGAAACCTGCAGACAGCCACTGCCTACCGTCCTTACACACTGGACCCTATGCCGTCACCAAGAAACGCTGGCGTTCCCGAGACATCAATAGCTGGCCTGCCTCCGCTCCCCTCTACCTCATCGCGCCCTTCAAAGCCTTCTCCTGCCGCCGATCAACCCGTCAGTGTCCCTGAACAAGAGGCCCAGAAGTCATCAGCCGCAAACACGACACCATCAGCGAACACATCCTCTACTGCAAAGCCCCAGAGAAAGAGCAAGCTGCGTCCGCGCAAGGCAGCCATCACACTGTCATCTTCCGCTGTATCGCATCTGCGCGAACTGCTCGAGCAACCAGAGGCGAAGCTGGTCCGTGTCGGCGTGCGTAACAGAGGCTGCTCGGGACTGGCATATCACCTGGAGTACGTGGATAAGGCGGGAGCTTTCGATGAGACTGTCGAGCAGGATGGCGTCAAAGTTTTGATCGACTCCAAGGCTCTGTTCAGCATAATCGGCTCCGAGATGGACTGGCTGGAGGACAAGTTGAACGAGCGTTTCATCTTCAAGAACCCCAACATCAGTAAGTCTCTTTCTGGAACATGCAGTATAACAACAGGATGCTAACATCAATCCCAGCTGAGCAATGTGGCTGCGGAGAATCTTTCAGCATCTCATGAGCGTCACAAGAACTCTCTCCTTGAACAACCCCTCAGCTATAAGACGACCCATGAAATTTTGCATCACCGGAGTTTTAGCGTCTTCACTTCTCGAATTGTACATATCCAGGTTTGGCAGAAAACGTTGCCCAGACTCTTCAGAATACCCTGTCTATTTTATTTCAATCACCCATTGTTTTTTACCGCACAATCTACAGACCAATAAAACCCCATCAGTGAAGCACGCTGCTTGCCTACGTCGAACCTCGCTTAAGGATCAACTACCAGCATCGCAGTAGAGTTTGTATACATCAAACCATTGATCCTGGACCGATAACGAAGATTGTTTCCTCGACACAGAGTTGTCAAGATCTGAACTCGAACGGTCGAGAGTGAGATGCAGGAATGTACACCGGATTTGCCTAATCAATCTCGGCGATAACGCTTGGCGTACTTTGGATCTCTGCAACGAGAGCAAGTGACAACGACCGTCCACTCTTTGTTGATAATTGCAGCCGCAACCAGGGAGTCGATCGACTTCTTTGTGTTATCGTTCTCCGCATTCGGCAGCCTCGACTGATTTCCAAGAATGGGCGTATCTTTCACTGTGCCATCCACTCTGAAGACACCGATACAGTAATTCCGTAACGTTGTCAGAGAGCCCACCAGATTTGACAGTGCCGAAGATCACATATCCGATAGCACAAGGGCAGATCGAGGACATGTTTACCAAAGAGACATGGTCGAATGCAGTGCCAGCACATGGTCTAAGGGCGTTGAAGCTGAAGGGGTTCCCTGAATGGGCTGCGTACACGTACCCAAGACCCGATCCCGCCAATCCTCTCCGAGATACCATCGTGAGATGATTATAACAAGAGACAAATCTGGAAAAAACCACACATCTCACGAGCTCAGAGGCTTAACTTCTTCGAACATGAAGTTACTGCAAACAGCTCCCTCCGTAACTCGGAGTTGACAGTACGAGGATATAATACCGAGAACATACAATGACTTCTTAAGCAATACAGCTGTTTGGCCAAATACTCGCGCAAATGACACCTTGTTCGACAAGCGCAAGATAGAAGACTAACTGAGCGATAGTAAATTCAGAGGTTTAGACACACTCGCCCGTCTACCCCATTGTGATGAAAAAAAAACTACACCTTTCTATCGTGCACATCTTGTGATCATGAGTCGAAATTTCATCGATGGCGACACCAGACATTAAACAAGAGATGCATGTATGAGTGATCTTCGGTTTCCGGCTTGTGTTGCCTTGTATTGCGAGACGTGATGGGGCAAGTACATTCCCATGGGCGCCTGTGAATTGCATCGAGTCTCTATTTCCAGAATTTCCGCATCCAAGTTAGAGCCCAATCTTGCCCCCCTATCGCTCCTTGCACTTCCAGTAAGAAACAATCACAATAACCCCAACCATCCAAGTACAGCCGCCAACCCATTGACAACAGCAACTCCAGCAACCACCCCAACCCCTCCCCCATCCCTCCCCGGTGCCCCATTCAACACCAAAACAAGCCCACACTGCGCGGCAGCCGTCGTCGGCAAATTATCCCCTTTGGCAAACATAGTACTACAAATCGTCTGCCCCTGCCCCAGCCCAGTCCTCCACTCCGTCGCCGTAGTCGTCGTCGTAACAGTCTGCACAGGACCAATAAATCCCGTCACCGTACTTCCCGCAGCAGTCCAATATGTAGTTGCAGTAGCAGAGGGTACCCACACCGTTGTATATGGCTGTGGGGGTTCATCGGTGCAAATGGCATTGTCGGCGCAGCAGCCAATGTGGTTCATGGGGCCGCCGTAGGCGCAGTAGGTATGTAGGCCGCAGCAGTAGTTTGGTCCAGAGATTGAGAGGCAATTTATTGGTGCGTATTGGGGGCAGATGCCGGAGGAGTCTTGGAGGGAGACTAGAGGGGACCAGCCGTATGAGCGGGGAGAGAGGTTGAGAGAACGGTCGATGGGGTTTTGTGGTGAGGGGAGGGTCTTGTGTTTCGGGAGGGAGGTATGTTGTGGGATTGAAGACGCCAGAGAGGTTGCGAGGAGGAAGGCGAGAGCGAGTGTTTGACGAGCCATTTTGTTTGTGGTGTGTTGATGTGGTGTTGTTTATTGAGCAGTGTTTACAGAGTAAATGTAGAAGCAAAAGCCATCAGTCAAGGCCAGTCAGATTCCCTTTGCAGTGCAGTTCAGATCGTTTGAACTTGTTCGTCACTGTTCGTTGTGATGATGGTGAAGTCCGATTTGTCAACATCCAGTTGCCGAGTATGCTCAATTAGTGATGCCCGATAGATTTATCAAGTGATAAATCCGTAAAGTGGAAAAAGAAGTAAAGGAAAACAAAAGACGCAGGAATACCTTTGTTTTTATCATGCACACTGAGATTATCGCACACCTACTTCGACTTACTGGGAACTAACAAGAAAAAAACCAGGTTGTAGAATTGGGGTGGTTGGTATGATCCTGGACAACAAAAAGATGTGAATCGTAAGGCTTGTCGCATCATCTTGATTGTTAATCATGTCAACTGCACGATTGCGACACTCCATCGCTCAGTCAGTCGCTGGGTGTCTAGATGTAGCTCGTGCATGTTTATTTCTTCATGAAAGTCACAACGATGATATAGCTTGAGTTGAGCTTGATCGAGAGAGGGAGCGAGAGGGGGTTGGGGAGCTTTTGTCTCTCCTGTCGAATTTGCAAAAGTCCAGGGACACACACTCAAGCCAGCCCAAGTACGAGCATGTCGTCCGCGTAATCACACCACAAGAACCAAATCGGGGTAGATGTTTATAACATTCTGTGAGGATAAACATGATATCAAATGATCAAAAAAGACATGTCTGTAAAATTGAACCGAGGGTATATTTTCCAAAGAAGCCCGGCACCTCCAAATCTCTTTCGCCGAAAATGCTCAGATCCACCTAGTGCTGATAATTATAAGGTGCAATGCTGCGTTGAATCTGTCGCTTTGATTTTGCTAGACAGAAGAAAATAGACCCTAACAAACGAGATGATGAATGCAAAGACCATAATAAGAAAGCGATAAAAAGAGATATGCGAGGATGCGTGAGTAGGTATCTGTAGGTGTGTGAGAGGGAAGAAGGAGAAAAAGAAACAAAAGGCGACGCTCTCTATGCGTCAGCAAAATGGGGTATATGGGAACAGGAAAAAACAAAACAGAGGAGACTTCTTTCCGATGATTGGAAGCAAGATTAGAAATCAGCCAGAAGCATGTCTCCGGTTCTTCATGTGGATCTTCCACTCGGCTTTTGCGACACGCATGAGCATATCCTCGTCTCGGACGGGTACCCAACTAGTAAGTACCTTCATCGCATTTTCGAAGTCGCCGTCGACGATCAGGGACTTGGTCGCATCGACCAAAGCGGCACTAGTCGCGTGCAACACACTCAGGTCAGCTCCGTCAAAGGTAGATTTGCTGTCGCGAGTTGGTGGTGGGTTGCCAGGGAAGTCAGCGTCGCCCAGAAGCATAAACACGTCCCAGACGCGTAGTTGTGCCGGGAAAGGCATGCTGAGGTTGAAGAGGGTGAGATACCACTTGGTACCGTAGGTCATGGCATCAATGCCAAAGTCGTCGAGTTTAGCTTTGAGGTCAGGATCAGTGCCCAGCCAGTCGGTCTCAAACTCTTTCAGGGTCGTCATGAGGCCTGAGAAACCGTGTTCGTACAGCACTTTCAGACCGCGCAGCTCCCACATACGGACAAGCATGATGAAAGTGTGTTCCTCGTCATAGTAGCAGAGCAGAGTCGCGGCCAAAGAAGCCATTCCTTGCACATAGCCCGTGGAAGGGAAGTGGACCGAGATGGCGTGAAGGACGCGGAACAGCAGACGCTGACCTCCGCGATATCTGCGACGGAACATGATATGCATGCTGATGGTTCTTGGAACATCGACATCAATCTGGACGTCATCGGCAGAGCTCTCTTCTTGCAGTTCGTGAAAGGTCTCAATCAGCTCCTCGTCAGATTGACAGCCACCTCGTCGCTTAGCCGAGGCAGACAGGAAAGCATGCCATGCAGTTGCACGCCATTTGTCAGGTACACCCTTCCATGTACGCGCCACAAGTTTCGGATCTGAGACATCGAACTCGAAATTCATGCCGCCACCTCTCAAGCCTTGGGGCACAAGACGGGCCATTCTACGCCACTTCTCTTCACGGAGGACTTCGCGGCGTCTCAAAAAGCTTTCATGTGCGTCTTCTTCGGCGAGATTATCGAGGCAGGCGGGCAATGTGAGCATGTCGCTCGCTTCGTCGAGTAGTCGGCGGTCGCGCGAGCGGAAAGGGTTGTGGGATCGATGTTGGGAGTGACTTGATTGGAAAGAGTACACAGAAGCAGCGTGGCCGGAAGGCGACGAGGCGACGGTAGTGCGGGTGTTTGTGCGAGTGGGCGGCGGCAGGGAGCGCGAGGATCTGGCAGTCGAGGGACCTCTAATCAAGCCTCTGCGCCGGCGCGGACTGCTGGATAAAAGCTGTAGCGATGTGGTAACACGTTGAAGACTAGGCTTCACAGAACCAGCCTGCGTCCCTTCGCTAGGAATGAATTTGACGGGGTTGATAAAGCCATAACGATCGACATCTTTTCCGGACAGATCTTCCCAGTCCTCGACACCGCCGGCACATTCGTGCTCGTTTTGTATGAAGCTGAATCGATCGTGAAAATCCATTGGTCTCGAGCTGCGACTTGTGACAGGTCTTCGACGAGGATTTGTGAGGGCGCGCGAAACGCCTTGTGGTTCAGGCGTGTCCTCACGCTCCGTCGTCTCGACGGGAGTCGTCCAGTCGGCAGCTCTCTCGTCGCCGTATTTGTACATTGTTCGCACCTTTTGTGAAAAGGTCCTCTCTTCAGCAGACAACACTCGACGGCCGTCGAGAACTGCATTCAGCATGAGTACACTCGGTGTGCGGGGCCCGGTCGTGAGACGCTTCGGATTCGGTTTCGGGGAGGATGGGGTAGGCGAGAGTGGTGGAGATGGCGGTGCTTGCATAGGGGGCGAGAAGGTGGGCGAGTTGGGAGCCGTGTGGAAGTCGTTGTCGGTAACATCGCCGTCCGTCATGTCGTCGTGAGCCCTCATCATCTTTGCCAACTTCTTCGAATTCAACAGGATGCTACCGCGAGTCGAAAACTTGAGAGCGTCGGGCGATGTGAGGTCCTCGAAGCCTGTGCCACTGGAGAGGTCCATGTCGATGCCGTGGAAGGAACGGATGCGGTTGTGGGCGCTATTGGAACGAGGCAAGCCGGGGAGGTCAGTGTCGCTGCCGCTGTCTTCTTCGTCGAGAGGCTTTGACTTGCGACGTAGAAAGGGAGGGGTTCGTCTGGAGTTTCTGCTGGCCGGCAGGGCGGTGTTGGCATCGTGGACGATGATGGACGGCACACTTGGCGAGGTAGTCAGGGAAGCAGGCGCTATGTTGTTTGTGGCTTTTGCTATGCCAGAATCGCGCTTGAGGTCGTTGTTGGAGGCAGTGGTGTGGAGAGTCTGTGTTTCAAGCACTGCGTTGTGGGCCATGACGGTCGTATTTTTGGCTGCCCCTGCCGATGGCTGTGTTTCGTAGCTTTATTGTCTGTCAATCAATCGACCGCACATTCGACTCGTCCCGTCAATCGCATGCGCCCATGCAGCTCATCCAGCTCCTTAAGTCTCCTGCAGAAAAAGGTGCCAGCCGAAAGAAGATTGGCAAGGCGAGCAGTCAGTACGTATGCGCCGCCGTGAATTGATCAACAAGACAGTCCCTTGGTGAAGCACTGGCCGTTTGGAGGGCCCCGGTGTCTGGAGAAGCCTTGCCCGAAATTGCTCACTTGCAAGAATCCTGGATTTCGCTAATTCGCTGATGCTGCTTGCTGCTTGCTGCTTGCGGTAGGCACGTCAATCTATTGCTATCCTTGTCGCCTATCCCGGGTCTTGGGCTTTATATGTGCCATATGCCTCCTCCCTGGCCTGACCCCGGCCGAGACTTCTTTGCAGATCGAATACCCCTGAACAGAAGCCGCTGTGTAACGCTATCCTGAACCTAACACGTCCACCAACCCCCGTTGCACCACTTACTCTGCAACTATTGCTCTAGTCCTATTCTTGAACGCAACGGTCGCCGGCTGACTGGTGATTTTCAGGTTTCCTCTCTCTCAATTCGTAGGTCATACGGACATCTCATCATCAATTTGTGTGCAACGCATACATGCATCAAGGACTTGCTCAATCACCAGACATCCTGCCGCCATCGTGCATCACCGCTCGCGCATTCAACGACTCCACCAAAGCTCGCCTTTGCTCCGTCTGCTTCTCCTGTAATTCTTGGCTCCACTTATATCCCTTCTCTGTGCGTGCTTCTCCACCTGTTCCCCTGATGTCGTATTCCGAAACTATCTTTGTCCTTCCGAAAGACTCTTCACCTTCAACATATAGCTTTCATTCATATACTTGTCATCCTAATATCGTGCCTTTCTACTGTCCGGCCAACCAGCCGAACTTTTGCTTCTTGACCCTTGGCAAGACACCAATCAAGGTGATGGCAATTGCAACAAGCACAGCCCACAGCTGGATCTTGAGGACGTTCTTGTTGTAGTCTGTCTGTGTTGCTGCTGCAACAGTTGCAAGCAGCACCAAGAAGATGAAGTAACCACTCACACGGTGGTACTTGTAGAGCTTCTTTGCATTCTCTCCGCCTCCATAGATCTGAGGCACAAAGTATTGCGTGAAGCCAACAAGACCCTGAATGAGTATCAGGATATAGGTGATCAGGCCCAGGATGGCGTGGGGTGATACGAAGTGTGTGCCATTGTGGGCAATCTTGTTGTACTCGATAACGACGAGACCGGCAATACCGCAGGAGAGAGCGAGGTCGTTGAGTCCAGCGTGGGCCCAGGTGCCCTGTTTCTTCTGCTTGGCTGTGTGGGTGGGTTGGAGGATGAGGACGCCCTGGGTAAAGAGTAGGACTGCTGCCGAGTTGAGCAACTGCAAGTCGCGTTAGCACAGCCTACGTTTTGGTGGTGTCAGGAAGCCTTACAGGATGCGCCGAGAAAAGGATGACCGGGTTTGAGAAGACTGCGCCCCAAACGATTGCTACGAGGATCCATGATCCAGCTTGTGCGATCACTCCGGTGCCTGTAGATTCTGTATGAGCATCATTGTGTCACTCAACCAGCACAGGGCAAGCCATACCGATGACGAGGTTGTGGTAGAGTGGCAGACCATCCTGCTGCGCTGCATCGCCCGCTCTTCCAAGCAAAGGCTCCTGCTCGCCCATACCAGGTCTCTGCGCTTCTTGTTCCGACATGTCTGTACAAATGCCTTCTCTAGCGTCGTGTAACTCGTAAAGTCCGATGGATGAAAGCAACAACAATAATGTATCGTGTCTCGGAAGAGAAACAGGCGGGAAATATCTTTGGTTGCAGAAGAAGACCCGGCTTACATATCAAGACAAACACGAGCTTTTTGCGTGCTATCACGATCTTTGATATCCTTGATTGCACCAATTCAGTACCTACCACATCCGGAGTTGAGCTAGCTTTCTGTAAGCGGGGCTTGCGGCTCTGTGGCTGGGGTGTCTGTCCAATCATGGCTGCCAGATTGATAAAATCATCGTTCGGTAGATGCACGATCCACCCCGTGTATACCGACGATCGCATCACCGCTTTCCTAAAGTCTCGATCGTGTGGTGAAGATGCTTTGTAGGTTCTGCCATGCAGTCGTCCATTGGTGGAACTAGGAATACCAGTATTGTGTCGACATTTCTCTTCGATCAAGCGATTGCGCTGACCAACACTGCATGCAGGCTAAAGACTTTCGGCCGACGAGCAGATGTTCACGGATGCCTAATTGATGAGATGATGCATTCTTAAAGGTCATAATAAGAGGCATAATTACATCAGACAAACTGGACGGTTTTGAAGACAAAAGACGACGGGAAATGTGGTTTCAAAAATAGAAGTATTACCATCGGGTATAGTAGATCAGATATAGAAAGATTTACAGATAGAAACGGAAACAAAATGGTGGTGGTATCGCGCAATATTCCAACTTCCTCCCTCCCCCTCGCTCCCAGATCGAACAAATCAGATCAAATAGTAAAACAAGTTGTGCACCGAGGACCAGCGTCGGTCAAATAACGCAGACTTTTGTTCTCAAATCCTCCCGAACAACAAGACTCTGGTGTGGAAAAAAACATAGGAAATCGTTAAAAAGGGTTTTAATTGCAAAGCAGGCTTTTAACCGTCCAAGGTGCGTTGTTCACGCTCGGCCTTTTCGTAGGCAACGGCGTGACGGTCACCACCGATACCGGTGTGCTCGTTTCCTTGGCTGTCGCTTTCGCTGGGAGCCTTGCCCTCGAGCATTTGGGAGTGTTGGGGGATACCGTGACGCTCGCCTTGAGGGATCTGGTGGTCGGCAGTCTCGGGCTGGTCACGGGCGGGGGTCCAGGCGAGGTAGTCACGACGGACCTCAACGTAATCGTAGGCGAACTCGCCGAGCTGGTCGTCATCCATACCGAGGAGCTCAGCTTCCTCAGAAGCACGAAGGTGAAGTCCAGGGATCTTGTTGATGATGAAGGCAATGGCAGCGCTGATGACGAATGAGTAGGCGGTGACGGCGGCGATGTATGCAATTTGCATGTACATCTGCTTCCAGTTGTGCTGGATCCAGCCACCGTCGATACCGTTGTTGACACCATCGAGGCCAATAATGTAGGAGGCGGCGAAAATGCCGTTGAAGAAGAGACCGACCATACCAGCAACACCGTGCTCAGCGAACACATCCATAGCGTCATCGATGCGGATCCAGAACTTGATCTTGGTGGAAAAGTTGCATACGATACCAGTGGTGATACCAAGGACGACGGATGCCCAAGGAGTGATGAAACCAGAAGCGGGAGTGGCGGCGACGAGACCAGAGATGGTACCGGAACACCAACCAACCATGGACCACTTACGAGCGAGTCTCCAATCGAGGACGACCCAGGCGATGGCAGCGAACATGGCAGTCAAGTTGGAGTTCCAGCAAGCCATGGTAGCGCGGAGGTTGGCACCGAAGGCGGAACCACCGTTGAAGCCCAACCAACCGAACCAGAGGAAGACAGTACCGAGAGTGATGAGGGAGACGTTGTGAGGACGGAAGTTGAGCATCATTTTCTCCTGACGTCTACCGAGAATCATCGAGTAGGCGAGAGCCGACATACCAGAGACAATCTCAACGGGACCACCACCAGCGTAGTCGAGAACACCCCAGTGGAAAGCCCATCCGTGGGCACCCCAGACCCAGCAAGCGACGGGGCAGTAAACGAGAGTGGCCCAGAAGAAGATGAAGACCATGCAAGGAATCAGGCGACCACGCTCAGCGACGGCACCAACAACAATAGCGGCGGTAACGGCGCAAAATTGCATCTAGACGAGTGTTAGTATATGCGTCGAAAACGAGGTCGTGATTGCAGGTGTTTACCTGGTAGAAAGCGTAGAGGAGCTCAGGAATCAAGGGAGAGCCAGGAGAAGGTGCACCGAGTGTCTTCATAAGACCGAACTTCTGCAAGTCGCCAATGAACCCGTTCGTTGCGTAGTCCGAGAAAGCCAGCGAGTAACCCCAGAAGTACCATTGGAATGTGATGACGGAGCAGGATGCCATACAGGCCCAGATCATACTAAGAGCTGACTTTCTGCGTGCGAGACCAGAGTAAAGGAATCCAAGACCCGGAATCATGATCATCACCATTGCTGATGCGACCAGAATGTATGCTGTGTCACCAGATTGATACCATTGGTTCAAGTTTTCGGTGGCTATGATGAGGTCAGACGAAGCTCATAGGTATCATGTCGCGTGTCGTTGACTTACTGGAATCACCACCCAACGGTGATGTGCCATTGAATTCGGTAGGTGCGCCAACCCAGGAGTAAGACATGATGGTAGTGTGTTCGAGCGTCAATTGCGCTCGTGAAAGAAGGAGAAAGGCCTTTAGGTCAAAGCCAGTGATGTCGATGCTCCAGAGGATTCAGGTAGTACTCCACAGGAGGGGTGGAATAGGTGTGAATAGGTGGGAGAGTGAAAGATGGACACACAATATGCAAACGTCTGCTGGGGAAGGTTGGGGGAAGCAAGAGGATATATAAAGAGGTCTTCTATGGACCGTCACTGGCTCAGCACGCGGCAACAACGGCGATGTGCACTGACGGACTGATGGGATGAGGATAAAACAATGGGGCCCGAGGGTCGGGATCAGGCTCTCTTGAAGAGTCCCAACTGACGGAGGGAAACGGGCCACACTTTAACAGGATAATCGAAGGGTTTATTGTACGTCAAACGATCTGCCCATCGAAACTGAAATCTTTGCGGAAGCGGGCTGGCCTTATCAGCAACAGCCGCGCGCAACGGGCCATTTGCGCTGCAAGCCAAAAACACCACTGCTTTTTTGTGCTCGCGCGGGTGACAAGACAACCTGGAAACCTTGCTTACCTGACTTGCTTGGTCAACCATAAGACACCCCCACAACGTGTCAAGAAGCAGTGCGACTCTGAAGTCATGTTGTAGAAGAGCCGGCAGTGGGAAATCTTAGCTTTTGCCGCTGCACGTCCGAATCGAAGCCTAGGACGAGCATCGCTGACCTCAATTGCTTGCTGGCCATGCCTTTCCTCGTGCTCTCTCGTCAATTCGCGTAACCATCTGGGCAATACATGCGGAATACATGACGAGATGGCGCTTCTTGGGAGCAATGCTTGGTTTTGCAAATAGAGGACCATGGACGATAGTTATTCACAGAATGTGTCCATCGCAACAGTGGTTCTCGTTATCAGCGAACGTCGTCCAGTCAGAGGGCAGCCGAGTTCGGTCTCTTATCTCTTGGCTGGCCCTTTCCTGTTCGGTGCTAGTGATGCGCCCTTCGCATTCGAGAAGCTTGACGACAGGGCCGATTTCAGCGTCTCTCATTGGCTACAACCACTTCTTATCTTTGACAAAAAAGCACTACAGCAACGGCTGGTGAGCCAAAACCGACCAACACTCGCTGCCTGTGACATGTGAATCTGTTGACGATATGCCGTGTTTTCATCTCGAGGCGGAGCACCTCGCCAAGTGCATTGGCATAGACAGTATTGCAAAGCCTCTTGCAGGGACACATCTGTGTATATATGCACAGAATCCTTATCTGGTGGCTTGCTGGGCGAGTGAGCGCCATGATGCGAGTGCGAAGATAAGAAGACTCAACACCGGAGAAAGCCAAACCCAAGCTAAGGGTCGTGCCCCCGACTTTAGCCGCACTGTCGGGACATGTTGACGACTCGTGCCAAAGGTCGCGCCACGAGGTCGGGGGTGGACTCACAGTGTTGATTATAGCACAAGATGACCTGCTAAGAGCGGGTACCCCTTTTGGTGTAGCAGCTATCATCTGACAAACAGCGGCTCAACCGCGAGATCCTTTTTAGGTCCCGAGAACGCACCCCGACGTGGACGCCATGGCCCCCTGATCTCTAATATGGCGCCTTACATGTTTGGTTTGGTAAAAAGAGTTGTCTTGTAGGCCTAGCACTTCTCTATCAAAAGGTTGCCGATCTCCGGCGAACGACTCGCGAACTTGTTTCCCTTTCCATGAGCTCTGCTCCCTTTTCGGTTCACCATGCTCTTGGTTTCATCCTTCCAAGCCTCAACAGATTCCTCAGACGATGGGTGCCTCAGAATAGCTACTGACAATGGCGCACCTGATAATCGAGATCATGGATGGTGTCGTGGGTTCTTAGTGTCATGAACAGGTAGATTCTTTTGGTATCATGGTGATCTACCTACTCAGCGCGTCAACTAAGTACAACTGCGCTGCTGCTGGACAGGAAAAGAGAACCAAGTGTAAAGAATCTATACAACAGCCTTGTTGTCAATGGACTGTCCGTCATTGTAAATTTGCGTAACAGTACATAACAAACAGCTCGTTCTACTGTTGCTGTTGCTGTTGCTGTTGCTGGAGTCTAGCCCAAAGGTCGGCAGCTGCTTGTCTCACCTCAGGAGAGATGTTGTTGGCAGCTGGAGCCTGCTGCTGCTGTAGTTGTTGTTGTTGTTGTTGCTGCTGAGGCTGTTGCATCTGTTGTTGCTGTTGGAAGAAAGCAGGGTTGACGAATGCGCCTGCAGGTGCCCCGGGGAACTGGTAAGGCTGCTGCTGTTGACCCTGGTTGTAAGATTGCTGGGGCTGCTGCTGCTGACCCTGATTGAAGAACTGCGGGTTGGGTGGCCATGCAAATTGCATGTTGGGGAAAGGCGACTGGGCCTGAGGTGGAGGTGGTGGAGGAGGGAACTGCTGCTGATTGAATTGAGGGAAACCAAATGGTGCGTTCATCTGGGGCTGGGCTTGGTTCCACATATGTTGCATCTGCGGCATCTGCTGCATTTGCTGCACCTGTTGGGGTACTGCAGGCTTTTGTGGAAGAGATTGCTGGGCGTGAGCTGGTGCGCCATCATTGTGGTTGTCGGGATAAGAGTTGGAGGGACCCTTGCGCTGGTTTGCGCCGTCAGCTCCACCACGACCACCACGACCACCTCTGCCACGGTCACCACGGCCTCTGTCACCTCCGCGGCCTCTACCACGACCTCTGCCACCACGGTCGGCAAACTGGCGACGAGCAGGGGGTGCACCGTTCACCATCATGGCTTGCAGGTTGTCAGGACGAGCGAGAGGTGTGTACATGTCCTCTGCCTCGGGCTCGTCGTCGTAGTTCATGGCTCCGCCAGTGTAAGGCTGAGCTGTAGGGGCCTGGTTGGGCTGGTCGCGAGCAGCTCTTGCACCCTTCTTTGCTTCCTTCTTAGCTCGCTTGTAGGCAGCCTCGGCTTCGTCATCGGAGAACTCCATCTCTTCATCTGCAACCTCCTCATCGTGCAAGTTGGAGGCGTCGGTACCCTTGAGATTCTTCAGGGGTTGGGTGAAAACATATGTGGAGTGTTGATCAACGTAGAAGATCTTTGTGCCGGCGGAGATGTTCAGATCGGTAATGTCTGACGGTCTGGTAAAGGCAACCGAGTACAAGGGCTCTTCGACTTTGCCGATGGTGTCCTGCACGACACCGATGACTTCGCGGTTCTCCAAGCACAAGACAGAGTTGGACTCGAGAACCTGGTATTCTCCCGAGGTGAAGGCCTTGATGAGGATGAGGGTATCGACGACGTGCTGGACTGCACCCAGAGGAGTGATCTTCATCTCAGGGGTGACAGTGACGTCGGGCTTAGGGACAACTTCCTCTGGCTTCTCGTTCTTTGTGCGAAGCTGGCTTGCGCTGGCAGCCTTGTTGCCGCCATCCTCATCGTCCATGCCACCTTCTTCCATGAGCATACGTGCCGCAGTGGCAGGATCCAGTAGTTCGTAGCCCTCTTCATCACTGTCTTCATCGCTTGAGGAGTCATCACTGCTGGATGATTCGTCCGAGGACTCGGCGTCTGAAGAGTCGTACTGCCATTCAGCGCCTTCGGCACCTTTTTGCGCGGCGGCGGCCTCGAGGAATTCAGGATCGGCAGGCGGCTTGATGGAGGACGAAGCAGTGATAACTTCGGTAGCAGCAAGTGTAGATGACGAAGTAGGCTCAGGCTCGTTTGCGGCGGATGCAGGTAGGTTCTTGTTTAGCTCGTCGTTGTTGCCGAGAGCGTCGAAAAGGGCGGAAGTAGCATCGGGACGGACGTTTTGCGCAGCATCGGAGCTGACTTCGGGAACAATTGTAGCGACGACTTCGGCGGTAACTGTGGATGTTTCGACCGGAGTCTCGGCGGTTTGTTGTTCGGGGAGTGCGGTGAATTCTTCCACTTTGGTGGTCATTGACTGCGCTGAGTTCTGAACTCGATCGGGGAGAGATTGATTAGGAGTTGCCGAGGCAGTAGGGGGGAAAGATCCCAAGCCGGGAATGCCAGCGACTTGTGACTGAGTGGAGGGGAGCTGCTTCGCATCAACGTAGCTAGGCGCATTTGCAGTGTGGAGGGCCGGGGTGTTGTTGGCAGAGGGCGTGCCGTAGATGTCGTCCATGTCGTCGACAGGAACAGAAGTGGACATGGTGGGTGAGGGAGAAAGACGAGCTCGTTTGTTCGGTCTAGGACTGGTCTCGAACATTGGTATGATGATGCTATGTTTTCACTGCACCCGAGAAAAAGATGAGATTTGCTCGGACTTGCGCAACGGAATTAATACTAGCGCCATGTGGGGGACTGCTTGCATGTCGTCGGCGTTCGGGAGACGGGAAGGGGTCAAGCCACACCATCAGCCCTGCCGATTGTTGGAGCTGAAGGGCAGGTGGTCGAAGCTTCGATTCGATATTGCCCAATTGGACACCTTTGGAACTTTTAATATTGGACGAGGGCAGTCTCTTCTTGCCTTTTCTGCCAGCATCCCAAGTGCCCTCGACAGCACAATGTCATCTCCACCACCGCCGTCGCGTCCGGCACGTCGCCAATTCATGACGACCATGACGGCCAGCAAAGCCGCCAAACTGCAAAGCAACAAGGCGAAGCCAGTCACCCCGGCTGCCCCAGCAGAATCGCGTCCTACTTCCATGTTCCCTGCCGAGCTCAGAAAGCCTCTGGACGCTATCGCCGATCCCATCTATCTCAGTACCTTCATCGTCTTCGCTATCCTCGCAGCAGCCCATGCTGTGGCTGCCCTCTGGTTCCCCATACAAGATTGTGATGAAGTCTACAACTACTACGAGCCTACACACTACTTGACCGATGGCTACGGCAAGCAGACATGGGAATACTCACCCGACTATGCCATTCGTAGTTGGGGCTACGTGACCGTCCATGCCTTCATCATTGGCCTGCGTCGCGTCATTCCCATCTGGAACCTGCCCAAGGTGTGGAAGTTTTACTTCCTGCGCATCGTGTTGGGTGTCATTTGTGCCGCAGCGGAGTCCAGGCTCTACTCCAAGATCTCGAGAACTCTCAACCCCAGACTCGGCATGCTGTTCTTCCTCATCATGCTTACGAGCCCTGGCATGTTCCACGCTTCCGTGTCCTACCTGCCCTCCTCTTTCTCCATGTACACAACTGCCCTAGGCATGGCTGCTTTCATGGACTGGCGCGGCGGTATGCGTACAGCTACAGGAATGATGTGCATGATTGGTGGTGCCTTCCTCGGTTGGCCCTTTGCCGCTGCTCTCATCGCTCCGTTCATGGTCGAGGAGTTCACGCTTGCTTATTTTACCGACAAGGAAGAGTTTATCAGCTTCTGCTACCGCATCTTGGATGGCTCTGTTCGCTCTACCATTGTACTCGTCCTGCAATTCATCATTGACGGCTTTTTCTATCGAAAGGTAGCCCTTGTGCCCTACAACATCGTCTGGTACAATGTCATTGCTGCCCGCCACGGCAAGGGTCCTGACATCTATGGTACCGAGCCATGGCACTTCTATGCCCGCAATCTCTTGCTCAACTTCAATGTCTGGTTCATCATTGCCTTGGCTGCCATGCCGCTCTACTTCATCCACACTTTTGTTCTACGTCGACCTATTTTCAAGCAGTCTTATCTGCGCGGCATCATATTCCTTACTCCTTTTTACCTCTGGTTGGCCGTCTTCACACTCCAACCTCACAAGGAAGAACGCTTTATGTATCCCATCTACCCTGCTCTCGGCTTCAACGCTGCCCTGGGCTCGCATATCCTACTCAGCTGGCTCGGTTCTTCCAACCCTCGCTCACTTATTGCTATGATCCCAGCCAAGTTGAGATTGTTGTTTGCCGCCCTTTGCTTTATTGCCGCCGTGAACTTTGGTGCATGGAGAACCTTTGGCATGATGACTGCCTACAACGCTCCCCTGAGTGTATACAAGCCTCTGCGTCTTCCTGGTGTCTCAAGACCAGGTGATAATGTCTGCCTTGGCAAAGAATGGTACCGCTTCCCTTCCTCATACCATCTTCCTGATGGTGTGAGCGCCAAGTTTGTAAAGAGCGAATTCAGTGGTCTTCTACCAGGTGACTTCAGTCAAGCAGGCAAAGGCTTCGGCTTGTATCCTGGTGCATGGCTTACACCAAGTGGCATGAACAATGAGAACAGGGAAGATCCCAGTAAATACGTAAGTTAGCTCCTCTCATCATGTCTGCCAACGCTAACAATCCTCAGACTCAAATCTCGCACTGCTCGTTCATGGTGGATTCGTCCTTCCCTGGTACTGAGCCTTCTCCCTTGGAGCCCGACTACATCAACCAGACAGAGACATGGGAGAAGCTATCGTGTGAGCCGTTCCTGGATGCTTCGCGTACTGGCACCATCGGTCGCATCGGATGGGTTCCTGGTTGGAAGTTCATTCCAGCCAAGTACCGTCGCCAATGGGGCGAGTACTGTCTTTTGCGTCGCAAGAAGTCCCTAAACTAGGGTTCATCTTTTGTTTATATTCTATGCTACCAGTCACCTGAACACAGTGTGACGATTTGGGAAAGTCAAAGCGACTTCAAGACCATCGTGTCGACCGAGTCTAAATATCAGGTCCTCACTGCAGGTTTGCGACGCGCGAGCCCCACCATGGCCGATTGAGTGTCCATATGAGGAAATATAGTCCAAGATTCTGGGGCCCGATAAGACGACCACTGTGGGGTTAAGCAGGCTTATCACCCGTCACGACCAAGACAAGATATCATCCTGAGCACGACCAACAGTATGTATATGTACCATGCTGTCCGCTCAAGCACCTTTTAAGTTTTGCTTATACCCATGTTTTCGTCGTCGTCCAACGCAAAATATTGGTTGACTACCAAAATGGACACCATACATACATTAATACAAGATACTATAAGCCGTGTTCAGGACATCTCAACAATACAACAAGCAAAGCCTATTGCATATATCGTACTAGCCCTCGTTGCTCTCCTATATCTCATACAGCGCGCCGTCGCTGGCAGAAGCCAGAAATCCAGACCACCGTCACGATCGCCAGATCCGGAGAAGCCAATTGGAACGAAAACAAAAGTGTCTGAACGGCCAGATGGCGGTACGTTATAGTGATACATCGAGCATTATCACCGCTGACGGCATCGCCAGTATGGGTTCCATCAGACTTCAAGAGACCAACTGCTGCACCATATCCAGACTGGTCATTCGAGACCACCAAGCCCTTACCATACCGTCCTTTCCGTTATGGACCCAAGTACAACATCACCATGGGTTTGCGAATTATGGATTGGGACGAATGGATCGAACTGGATAACCACTACCCCCGTTTCCATGCCGATAAAAAGCGCCGAATCGAAGAGCGTGGAAGTAAGTGCTTTCATACTGATCCCAGTCCCCAGGTGTTTGATGGCGCCGTAGAGCTCCTGGAAGAGCTATGTGGCTATCTCCCAGAGCGATATCCAAGCATGTTCCGCAAGACAGAACATGGTATGATCAATCTTTTCGCGGATGAGACTTTCGACATCAGAAAGGAGGTATTGACGATGAATGGCAACCGCGAGGATCCCATGCAAATGGCTGCACGAATGGTACAAGATGATTTGGCTATCATGTTTGAAAAAGAGGATGGTCAGATGTACCTGCTTGCTGGTGCTGTCCTGCTGGCAGGCTTCTGGCGTCTCGAAGATAAGCTTGGCATGTCTCTTGACGAGATCCATTACAGGTTCGTGTTTTCCAAAATCATGTAAGATAGGACTTTGCTGACTCGAGTCCAGCGGTGATGTTCCCGGGTATCATGACAAACTCCGCAAGGGAATGAACAACTTCTTCCGCCGCATAAAGCCTGAAGCACCCGTGAAGCGTAACAACTACTTCCTTCAAGTCGACGAAGATCTCGCATGGTCCTACAGTATCGGACCTGAAGACGCCGGAGAACCTTCCTGGGATACTGCTGCCACCAATCGCGCCATCGAACATCACTACTTCCGCTCTGAATGTCAATCTCTACGACGACTGCCCCGATCTGGAGGTGTGTTGTTTACTATCCGTACGTACTTCCATCCTATTACGGAGATCGCCGAGGAAGACTATGTGCCTGGGAGGTTGGCAAGTGCGATCAGGAGCTGGGGTGATGATGTTAGCAAGTACAAGGGCAAGGCAAAGTATGGAGATGTTTTGCTGGACTACTTGGACAAGAAGCACGAGGAGCAGGTTGCCAATGGACTGGATCTGAGTAGAGAGGATGAGTGTAGAGCTTATCCATACTAGGTACAAGCCATAGACTTTTGAATGATTTATGAACCACATCAAGATGCTTCATGCTCACAGATGCGACATGTTCAAGGAATGAAAGTCTGCCCAGGCACATACATTCGATGGGAAGTCACTTGCGTACCAGCGGCCGATCTGATAGTCCCTTCCCGAAGTTTTTGCCAAGCTTTGATTCTATGTTGTCTTTCCTCCCACCATTGTCTTCGATACGTTTTGACCACTACCTGATGCCGCATCGCCTAGTCGTCGCGACAGACGCTACAGCAAATTTGTCTTGCAGAGTAGAATAGAGATGACCCCTAGTCGAGAACCAACACTTTTTACATCAGAACAGCGCTAAGCAGAAGTCTTGGCAGACATTGCAAACTTCAATACTCGTTCTCGCCGCCTTGAACTAAATTTATATCTTCAACAAAAGACCATTTAATTTTATTCATCATGAGTGTACGTACCAGCGTTATACGAGCTCTTCGGGCTTGTCAAGTACCAAGGACACCAGGATCTGTTGCGAGCAGCGCTTTCTTCGAAGGACAGGCTGGACAATCATGGCTAAGAGTATCTGCCGGTCAGAGAGCAATCAGCAGCCGCGCTCAAAGCCCTGCGATTAATGGAAAGTCTGGGAAACCTGGAAGATTTGGAAAACCTGGACAATCTGGGAAACCTGGAAAATCTGGGAAATCTGGAAAATCCGCAGAGGGAGAAAGATCCGCGCGAGATCTCGAAAGATTCAATCGAGGCGTACTTCCCGAAAATGAAAATCCGGTCAAGGTCTTCAATGCCAATTTACGGGATGGCACTCTCACAAAAGCTATTGCCGCTTCGTGCCTCAAGACAGCTGTCAGAAGGGAAAACTACGATGGCGGACTAGGAGAAGCTACTATCAAGTGGATATGGAAAGAACATGACAGCTACGAGTTTCCGAAAGACGTTGAACTGCTGGATTACATGATCAGATTACTTGTTCAAGAAGGCAAGGAGGACTTGCTATGGTCTTGGATTGAACAGAAATCACGCAAACGTGGCAATCTAGGTCCCAAGGATCGATTCGCATGGAGAGCCGACGCCGTTAAATCTTTGGTCACTTCAAAAGCATTTGCTTCCGAAGACAGTCTGGATGAAGCATTGCAAGTGTTCCTCCGCGCAAAGTCAAGCACATACTCCATTCCACTTGCTCCAGCCCGAACTGAAACCGCAAAACTGCTCATGATGCCCGCAAGCAAGAAAGCATTTGAAAATGATCAAGGACCTCAGGTCGAGCAGCTTCGATGGCCAAACACCGATCTGAAGCTGTGGGAATCATTCTTCAAGGCCATTGACGCCAGGGAAGATGTCAGTGAGCCTTTCAGGGTTCAACTGCCGCTATACCGCCCCGATGGACCGGATCCTCAGCCATACCTCAAGTATTCTCGTCATCTGGCAGGACATCCCTCACTCGTACAGAAAATGTTGAAGCGGCAATCTCTGGTCCCCTGGATCGCGCGAGGCAGACATGCTGAAGCAGTATTGAGACAAAGTGGACAAGCCGAGGACGCCAATTGGTTGGGAGCTTTCACCAAAGAGCTGGACTCAAAGTCGGAGGTTATCAGGAAGAAGAGAGACGAGAGACGGACGGCACAACGAAACGGGGCTTCAAAGAAGTTTAAAGAGGAACTCGGCGATTCGCCACTCTGAGTGAGTGGTTTTGCTAGCAAACCGAGCTGTACCGTGTCGAGCGTCCCGCACAATTCAACCTCCTTCACAACGCGTTCATGAAGTTGGCGTTGATATAAACTGCTACACCAGTCATCCCTTACCACATTCTCAAACATGATCATCATCAGATGTTCCAGATGTCCTCTCCGAGAGCGGCAGATTCATCCCAATTCCCACCGTGCTACCACTCAAGCCATCTCAGTCAAATCCAGCGACATGAAATTGTCCGAGCATTCATTCCACCACAGCACATCCATATCTGTCAGACCAAGCGAAGACGGAGAATCAGATTCGAACACCGGGTGATCTCCCTTGTTGTCCTTCATCATCAATTCAATCCCGTCTGGTTGGTCTATTCTCCATGCGTTCTTCAAGAAGGCAAATGAAGCTTTTTTGCTCATCTTCACAAACAGGCGTGCTTCGGGTGTGGCTGTATTCCTGACATCGAGGATTATGATATCACTAGTAGGTCGTTGATGATGAGATTCCTTCGACGTCGATGATTTAGGTTCCTGTTGTTGCTGGTCTACATTCATTTCCACCTCACGTAACAATTCTTGTGTGAGTATCGGTTTAGACGTCATTTGAATTCTTCGGGCACGTCCTTCCCTGGGCTTGAGTATGCGCCGCTTTGTGCGGTACGGCCGCGACTGAAGCTCGAGATCGCCTGATATTGGCCCTGATCCATCGAAGGGCAGCTCTCTTGTGGAGTCAAAGCTTGAGGGCTTTAGGTGTGGCATCGTTGCAGTATCGAAGCGAGGGTCTTCCAGGTGGGGTTGGATGAAGGCGTCGAGATAGCGAGCTGGGTTGTCTGGGGGTGGCCAAAATCGCCATCTCGTGATGGGCGTGCCGATGCTGTCACGTTCGACTGGTTTCCTGGGCTGTGGTTGCAGCACAGGGCTAGGGCCTTCTGGAATTGAAGCTGCGCTCGAGTGTGATGTTCCAATTTCGGAAGGTGCGTTGATGCTAAGTGTTGATGTCTCATCTGCATCGCTCACAGTTGCTGCCATCGTTCTTGGGTTGGAAGTAGCACTCGAGCCGGACGTTCCAGTTCTGTGAAGTGTGGCTTTGTCCGAAGTCGATGTATCATGCGTGGCTTCCATGTCGTCTGCAGCAGTCACCATCCGTTCTTCTCCCTCGGCCGATACCCTCATCTCAGTGTTAGATGCTTGTAGTACTATTCCATCGACGTCACGCACTAACCCTTCCAATTTCTCTCTCATGAAGATGAGAATATCGTCGACTGTTTTCTTGAACCTTGGTTTCGAGATACGAAGGGAACGGGGAAACAGGGGTTGATCACAAAGTAGGAAAATGGCAAGACTGATCAGATAGTTGACCACGGCAGACGAAAAAGTAATGACCAAGACACTGCACCGTAACAGGTGGTGAAAGGAAAGAGAAGAGTGGTCTAGAAAGTATGCGGAGATAAGTAAACTATGCTTGTATTATCCAAGACACGTATGTGTGATTGCTGGCGGCACATTGAGCAAGTTTGATGATTAGAGAAAACGTGCTCAGCGACGATGTGAAAAGGCAATCATCAAAGGAACAACGATATCCAGACGTTCTCAGACTCGATCGAGTGTTCAGTGTCTTTTGCGTACGCGGTGATTAGATCGAACATCTCAGGAGAGTCATATATACGAGAACAGTTGCCGTGAAGCAAGGCACAATTCTATTCTACATCAGCAAGACCGACCCAGAGAGTCACCAGAAAGACGTCTCTCGGTGGCATCGCTGCAAGTCTGAAAATTTTTGTGCGTTGAGACAGCCACGTGTGCGACGAAGCTCCGTATATGGAGACTTGAGTCGCACTTTCCCCCAAACGTGCAGCCCCTTTACCATTCGCTGCTTTGCAATCTCTACCTGTTGTTCTCGCGTCTTCAAGACTGTGCCACTTTTCTGGCACGTTACCAAATAACTGAGGACGATGGCTCCGGTACCTCAGGCCACTGCATCCTCCAGCCGATAATCCTAGGGTTATCCCGGTTGGACTCGTATACAAGCTCTGTGTTTCTCACGTCCCACTGTGTATTGCACTTTGTGTTAACAAATCGTAGCAAAGACCTAATGGGATTATGCTTACGGGGGCAATTGTGTCGGTATCCTGTGCAGGTTTCTTTAGTCTAAGATCAAGGTAGCCGTAGTTGGAAGGACGCATGTCCGCGACAACCTTGTGTTGGATATCAGGACGTACTTTCGCGATAGTGGGATGGACGCGCTGCTTTGTAGTCGCGCGATCTTGTGCAGTCGTATCGGCGGGGATGTACAAATGCGGTGGAGGGCGTGCCGTCTGGTCTACTCGTTGAGTCTTCTTGTGATCTGAGTCGTTTACTACAGTCTTCTGCTGTTAGCAGTTTAGTCAAAGCATACCATCTGGCTCTGTTCCTACTTACCGAAGGATTTGTGTGGCCCTCCTCTGTAGATTCGGGTGTCGGTGCATTGGACATAGTCGCGTAAGACGGAGGCGTCAGCTGCATCCTTCTTTCCAGGGCTTGAATCCTACTAGCCATCCCTTCACCTTGTTGGACGGACAGACGATTCTCGGCGCCTTCCTTGATCATGTCATCCAGATCTTGGATGCGTTTGGCAAGGGTTCCGATTTTGTTGGATCGGCACAGAGCTACTCGCATCTGTTCCAATGTCTGACATTGTTCGGGTTCATCAGATTCAGGATCAGGTTTAGGAAGAGGTTTCGATAGCTCTTGTACAAGTCTGCTAATCTTATCAGAGAGCAGCTTTGTGGCATCTCCTTCAGCTGGTATGTGGCGCGAATATTCTTGCTCTTGGAGCGAGAACTCTTCGTATATCCAGCTCAAGATAGCATTACTATCATCTCCTGAGCTGAAATGTTGAATGACAGCCAGCAAGATCTGGCACTCGTTGTATGAATATCCGATATTCTGGTAATGTTCGAGATGTTTCCGGAGGTCGCGGGTATGCTCAGGATGATATTTCTGCTCCATCCAGCGAGGAACCAGTGGGACGTGGAGGAAGTGGTCGATCGAGCGCTTGATTGATTCACGATACGCGCGTGCATCTGCGGGCACCGACAGTATCGGAAGAGCTGCCCAGCATGATTCTGGTGGAGCCGACGGCATTGGAGCAGTCTCCCAGCATGTTGAGTCCATCATGGATGAGAAGAAAAGGTATGTGTGCAGGAAGATTGAAGGATGACCTACCTCCAACTATATAGACACAGCCGAACACATACTAGGCGTTACGTCCCACCCTATATACCCTCAAAGCGACCTATCAGGGGAGTCAAGATCGAAAGGAACTCACTTCTTGAGCAAATGGTCGAAACAAACTTTCGAATGTGTTGAGAGGAACATCGTTCGCCCCGCCGAGCGACTAATACATGTATGATGTTGCTCAAGCATTACGACATCTATGCAAAAGATCACCTCACCTCCAGCGCAGCTGGCAGACTAGTGCTGGTCCCACAATTGTGTGATCTGATTGTCCTGTAAAGCGCTTCTTTGGGTGTTTCTACATCGTGCGTTGGTAAAGTCGACTTTCCCACTGCACAGGTCGTGGTCCATCGCGAAAATAACAGGTCTCCGTGGTTGAAGTGGTTAGCTGTTTAATTTTCCGGGACGCAAATGAAGACCACTTATTACTCTATTAGGCAACGGACGAACACTCCACGTAGCATCAACTACTATCCTAGGGAAGCGGACTCTGACGTTGTAGGGCTACTACTCTTCGAGTCTAACCACTTCAACCGAGAAGGCCTGTACCGTCCGAGGTCATCAGATACGACTGCTTGTAGGGGAAGAATGCTTTGAGCGCGCATCTTTGTTGACGATTCTCGAGGTTCGCTCGCAAACGCGAAACAGCTGTCAGAAGGCACAGTGTTTTTCAAGATTGAAGAGTCGTCCGGCCGGAATAGGGGTATACAACGAATTCCGCTATCCAGTGCTCAAACAATCCGTGCCTTAATACGGCCACAAGCGCGACGAAGCTCGGCTTGGGAGTTTCGATATGAGGGATGACGGCTGAGATGGGCACGAGATCTGATTGCGACTCATGATTTCGGATGTGGTTTATGCCAGCGAGGAAAATTGGAACATACGTAAACTTGAGTCGATCTGTAGCTCCCTTGACTCGAGACAAACGACCATGCACTATCCATGTAGCCGTGAGACGAAAATAATTCGGGCTGGAGTCAGGAGCACTCGCGACTCGATGAGTGGAGGATCCTTGCAGTCAAAGATCCTGAGGGAGTTCTCAATGCTGAGACCAGGAAAGTTCCCCACTTGCTGCCATACTGGTTGTTGGCGATTCGGATCTTGGATTCAATCGGCGAGTACAAATCCCACTGCGCCCGTGAAGTCGAGAGTGTTTGCACCCCGAGAATCCTTGCGTCAAGACACGTTAGAAACACGAGGGTAAGGTCTGAATGTTGAGCAGAAAAACGATGCTATATAAGTGCAGATCGCAAAGTCAAGCTTCCCAGGCCGAGCAATAGTATTTCTCCAAGAAGGTGGAACGTTCGAAACAATGGAGCAAGTTATTAGAGCAAATCAAGGATTAGCTTAAGGTCTGCGGGCACCGGGCTTGGAAGGTCCGTTGGATGCAGCAGTCAATTGCAGACTTGCTCATGTAGAAACACCATGCGAGCGAAGTGCCATTGTGTCCGGACGAGCTCTACAACCAAGAGAACGATGCATCCGACAGTGAATGACCTTTCACAAGAGAATCGCAACGAAGCATCAAAAGAGCTGGTTGCTTGTAGAAATACTGCATCAAATTAACGACTTGACCACTTGAGACGTCGACAATGTGAAAGCGACGTTCAGCTCAAAGGTGGAAAATTGGGAGGCAAGCTGATTGGTGCCAAGACTCTGATTAAGCGGGACGCACCACGACCCATCAAAATTCCCGATCCTCCCTCCCTGTATTTCTTCTCCTCACCGACTTAGGACGACACGAACTTCCGCTGTCTAGGTCGCCATGCAGATTTTCGTGAAGACCCTCACGGGCAAGACTATCACCCTTGAGGTGGAGTCATCCGACACCATTGACAATGTCAAGTCCAAGATCCAGGGTGCGCATCCACCGCCGGCGCTCCATCGCCACTCGCGACAGACAAATCTTTGCGCAGAAGACTAACGCATCACAGACAAGGAGGGCATTCCCCCAGACCAACAGCGCTTGATCTTCGCCGGCAAGCAGCTCGAGGATGGCCGCACCCTTTCCGACTACAACATCCAGAAGGAGTCGACTCTTCACCTCGTCCTCCGCCTCCGTGGTGGTGGTAAGAAGCGCAAGAAGAAGGTCTACACCACCCCCAAGAAGATCAAGCACAAGCGCAAGAAGACCAAGCTCGCTGTCCTCAAGTACTACAAGGTCGACGGTGACGGCAAGATTGAGCGCCTGCGTCGCGAGTGCCCCTCTGACACCGTAAGTTTTAGCTACCATTTTTCTGGTCAAATTTAGTCACTAACACATTTCTCAGTGCGGTGCCGGTATCTTCATGGCTGCCATGCACAACCGCCAGTACTGCGGTCGCTGCCACCTCACCTACGTCTTCGACGACCCCAAGTAAATGTGTCGCGAAGACGGGTGTTGATGACTATTGTTGTTCATCTTCGCTAGCTATCTACTCTAGTGTGTTGCAATAAAGTCGTTGTCCCGATCACCATACTCTTTTGCCGCGTATCTATATTCTGTGACATGTCTCGTGCTCTTGTGCGCACTCCAGCAATGTTCTGTATCACTATGAGTAGGCCAAGTTTTGAAACAACATTAACAATAAAGGTGTCTACATGGCTTTTCCTTTGCTCCTCACGTCCGTCCCAATGCATGTCGTTCGTGTGCGATTGTTCTCTGCCACGTCTTCTTCCCGCTTGTTCAGTCGAACCTCGCTCACGGAGTGGGTGCTTGACCCCACAGGATCGAGTTGAGTACGCTGTACGGCGAGTACTCCTCATCCACCAGCGTGCTTGTGTTCGAAGGAAAGACGCTCGAGTGATCGACTCCAGCCATGCCAGGACTGTCACTATTCGCCACACTGCCACCTGAAGGCGCCATCGCAATATCTTCAATGAATCTGTTTGGTCTTGACTCTTGAATGTTCAGCTTCTTAAGTGCAGTGATGGCTCTTTCCATAGGTGCGGCGAGTTCTTGAGGGTCGAGTGCTGATTGCATGTCTGACATGAGAGCCACAAATCTGCCTAACAGACGACGGGCACGCTCATTGTGGGCGTGTTCGCCCATGATACCGAGCAAAAGCGCAGAGCTCAAACTGCGATGTACGGCTGCCCAAGACTGTCTTGCGTATGGTGTGATGTTCTGCAGACCTAAGAAAGCTTCGACTGTGCTGACTAGACTGTCAATGCAAGTTTGCTTAAAAGCCTTGGAGAGTTCGTAGCTGGCAGTACTGGGACTTATGGCTGGTCGACACAGTTCTGAGACAATGTACGACACGTGCAGGTATAGCGCCCAGTGCTCGAGCGACTCCTCTACCGTTTTGCAAGTGCGCGAGTCGCGTAGGTAGTCTACCGTACCTGCCATGATGTCGTCAATCTCATTTCTGTGGTTGGTGATCCGAGCGAAGAGCTCGCGTGAGCTCATAGTCTTCGTACGATCACGCACAATCTCCAAGCCGACTCTGCAAAGTCTGTACATAGCAAGATGATAAGGCGGGATTTCGGTATAAGCGTTCGGTGCGGGCATACTGGACGGGTCGATGTATGCTGTTGTCGCTGCTCGGTCGTATGTAATTGAAAGCAGACTGTCCTGCCATACGATCGACCACCAGACCTTGGAGCGAGTCGCCTTGGTCTCGATATCTGTGGATGGAGGGCAGCTGCGATGCAGACCTAAACTCATGGCGAGACGCAAAGTGAGACCCATTAAAGACCATGAAGTGCCAGCATTCATGTTGTTAGAGATGACCTGATTGAGCGTTAGCCGCGTGTCGTACATAGAGCATTTCCATAGACCTACGTTTCCAAGAATTAACAAAGTCTGAATACTCTCGAGCGTCACATGTGACAGGAAGTTGGTAAATCGCAAACACTCAAAACTGCAGCACACTATGTCATGTCAGCATGCTGGGATGTTAACGGGTCACGGTCTCGGAACCACATACTGTAAACCTGAGAGGTCAATTCGCGTTCTTTTCTCGGCAGTCCAGAACATTGACAGCCACTCGCCAGAACAGCGAACAACAGACCAACCCACTCAAGATTTTTGTCATAAATCGCCTGCTCCGAAACTCCGGGTAGAGGGCTATCAGCAGGCAAAGTTCCAGCAACGCCCATTTGTTCATTACGCTTTTGCAAGAATCGCGTCAAATCCATCTCGAAAGTCGAGATGTCTGCAACACCTGGAAAAATAATGTTTCCCAGATTTTGATAGTATCGGAAGAAAGATAAACATTGACTGTCAGTGGGTATGGTCTTTGCCAGTTCTTGAGCGCGTGCCAGAGAGCCATGTGCTAGTCCCCACAAATCAACGAATGGATATGTCGCTGTCTCGTTGTCTAGACCGAACATTGGGAGGATAGATCTACCGAGAATTTCCTGCACAGAAGGTTGTTCGCGATCGCCTTGACCCAATGCCATGACAAGTGCGGGTACTGATGAGCCTCCTAGATGCACTGTTTGGCCAGTAAGATCGTTTCGAGCATGAAGTCCATGAACAGTAGTGTGACGCGTAAATTGATTGTTAATCCATGGCTGAGCTGGATCCGCTTTTTGCGTAGTACTTGATGGAGAAGAGCGACCAGAAGTTTGTTGAGTCGGTCTACCATTGGAACCTTTCATCTCCCTTCGCAATTCCTCCAGCGCAGATTCGACATTATCAAGTTTCCGGCATAGCTGATTAAAATCCGATCGTGCCAGCGTCACGGTATCAGCGCCCAACGCAGGAACCCCACTGCTGGTACCCACGGCAGGAAGCGCAAGAGATCCTGATGAGGTAGCAGCAGTATTTTGCTTCTTGTTCGGCGGATGATAGTCGCATAATTCGGGATGTTCGCGTTCGACACACGTGCGGCAAGGTCTGGCAAGATCACATCGAACTTTTCGTTGTCGGCACGGATAACACGCCTTGTGTTCTCGCGCCTTTCGTTTGCGTCGCAAAAAGTCGTCCACTTCCGCTTTGGCTGGCATTTCCGCTGGCATAGGGGTCATGTTCGGCGTGCTAGTCTCCATTGCTGCGCGAAGTCCCCTTCTGTCCCAACTTTCTGCGTGCGGAAGATGAGGAACATCAAGGACGAATTCGGTGGCGGGCTTATCGGTATTATCAGCCTTGCGGGGAGACCCTTCGCACCGACCGAACGGACATGAAACCCAAACAATCTCACACACGAGTCAATGGCGATCAAGGCTAGAATACGTAGAACATTCGAAACCTGCCAAAAGTTCGAGAAGCAAGGCGTCCAGATCTGTAGGACCCTTGGAAGATGGACACGAGGTGTCTCTGAGCTTGTCGTGAGAAACTAATCTTGGCAAGACCCAATGGGCCAAGTAAGTGGTGCGCTAGAACGATCAGGCTGCATAGCTGCAGGCAGACTTGGACGAGTCACATTCAAAGTCAGTCAACAGACGGTATGCAGGAGGTCAAGGGGGATGTTCATTCAATTGGAAAATCCCATGCTATCTAGGGGGGTATCTTAACATAACAAAATCTCCAACGATATCAACCAATAGACTCCTTCGCAATATGCAAATGTAATATAAACATGGTCGGCAAAAGAACATGTATTCATCATGGCGACTTGCCGTTGACGACCATCGAGCCATTAGTGTCTGTTCTTGCGAAAGATGCAACAGAAGCGATGGTGGAGGCGTGGCGTCTGGCATGCTCTTTGCGTGCTGCTTCATACTCCTTTCTGCTGATACCGGCTACCGGGCTAGCAAATCCACTGCCACCACCAGCCGTGGCAGCAGAGCTACCGGCAGGAATCTCCTCTGCTAATCTCTCAGCCATGTGAGCGTCGTACTCACGTTCGCGTGCCTGGATAGAATGAGGATCAAGCTTGCGAGCAGTAGCGAGAAGATCGAGAGAACCATCCGATGCGGCATCGTCATCGTCCTCATCTTCTGCCGCTTCATCACCACTCTCATCGCTGCTCATGTAAGGCATATCGATAGTCTGAGGAGCTGTAGCAGGAACGTCGTGAATGCGGTCCATGTCAGGAATTATGGACTGATAGTCACCCGAATCTGACTCATCATCATCGTACTCGTCAACATCCATGAAGCAGAATGCAGGAGGAAGTTCTGAGGGTGGTAACTCTTGGTGGAAAGTCTTGACAACATCCTCCTTGTAAGAAGCGGACTGCTGCTTGCTATCCTTGAACAGCTCTGCGATACGGGGAGCATATGGCTTCTTTTCAACATATTCAGCACAAGATGCAGTACGCTTGCGCTCGGTCTTGACATTGATCGAGAAGTTGTCTGATGGGTAGATACCACCAATGCCAGAGACCTCGAGATCAATTGGGCTTCTTGCCGGTCCGGACGCGCCGCTGATTGAGGAGAGGGGTGAGGTGCCAGGAAAGTTGAGCTCAAGAGCTTCAGGGATGGGATTATCGTTGAGACACATTGCCTCAGGGAGATCCTTAGCCTGGTCAAGCGGACCACGCGACTCTAGCACGCCGTGGTCTGCCTGTGGGACGCTAGGGATACCCAGAGCATGGTCAGTCGTTGTGTGATAGAGGATTGGGTTGTACATCATGGTGGCCTCCGTTTTCGGCTCACCACTGAGATCGGTGCAGAATCTCGCGTTATTGTAGAAGATGATAGGACCGTTGTCTGTCGCGGCCTTCTTCTTCTGTCTCAGAGAGACGGTGCGAATACCAGAACTCGTCATGGCAGAAGAGTCGCCACCTGGGGGTGGAGCCAAGAACTGAGACTCAGTGTCGTCCTCCTCCTCTGAAGAGATATCGCTATCATCTTCACTGCTGCGATGGAAGAAAAGAGGGGTGTACGCAAACTTGTTTTCCTGTTTATCTAGCATTCTGCGCTTTGCAGATTTGGCACCCGCTCGATGGTGCGACGATTTTGATCGCTTCTGAGAACTTGGGCCGTTGGGTGAATTTCCATATGTCGAAGGCGAACTTCCGTCGAGATCACTGGCTGATCGCGTTGTGCTTCTTCCGCCCTTCCAACGGACTTTGCGGCCGTCTTCAGAAAGCTCAAACTTGGTGCTGAAATCCATCAACGCCTTCTTGGCAAATTCGGGAGTGACATTAAGGGTGTGGAGTTGGGCCATGTTAAATAGGAAGTTCAGATAGATCCAGCCGTGACCTTCCTCAGGAGATTTCATGGCACTGGGTTCTGGTGGTGAGAAGCCAAGGTGGCGAATGTACTGGAAGTTTTCGGAAGGATTCTGAGCACGATGGGGGTCGAGATCCAGGGGTCTAGTGGGTCGTTGTTGTGGGGAGTCGCCTGCAGAGTCCGTCTTCTGGTCGGCTTGTGTGTCTTGGGTGATTTCGAGTCCACTTTGATGCATAGGAGACTCTTCGGCACTTCGGTCTTCATCATCCTTCATGATCGGAGCTTCTCTGTTGCCTTCAGTCTTTGCGGACTGACCCGTGGCCTCAAGAGCGCTTCTATCAGCCTTTGCAGCCATCTGGGAGACTTCTTGTTGTTGCATAGGGTGGTGGTGATCACCCAGGCCAGCACCGGTTCCAGCAAAGATCTGTTCAAGACGGCGTACAACTAGCTTCTTCTTTGAGTACTCGGTCATGGCTGCAGGATGCTGAGGCAACAGGCCCTCGGGGATGTCGTGGAGGTAAGTCTGGATGTTGGTGGTACGGGACTGGTTAGAGCGACGGTAAGGAGTTCTGCTGTTCTGGCCGCTGTTGGAGTTTGAGGTTGCCGAGGCAGAGGCAGAGTTAGACACATAGGCGGAGTCGGCGAAGTTGGATGATGATGAAGCCGTCTTGTGTGTCTTGAGCGTAGGGACGACGCGTTCATAAAGGTTGGTTGTCTGAGAGGCGGTAGTGGCACTGGGCTGAGCGGCGGCACCAACAGCAAAGTTGCGCAAGATGTCCTCGAGCTCACGTCTCTTATTCGATGATAGACCATGGACGCGGACCTCGAACAGTTTCTCATCCTTGAGGTGAGCGTCGTGAAGCTTCTCGTACTTCTTCAAACGTCTCTTCAGCTTCTTATTCTGTACGGTCAGGTCGTCGATGACGGCTCGGAAATCGCCCGAGCTGCCGCTGTCCTCTGTATCATTCTTTTGGAGGAGAGCATGCACTGGGACTCCTTGTTTGAGCATGACGCCCGGACCTCCATAGTTCGGAGTCTCTTCCGAGGATGAGTGCTGAAGGAAAAATGGGGGGTCGTCTGCAGCAAGGAGTTAGCCAACGATGAGCTACAGATAGCAGAGACATGGTAGAAACTGACTATCCACGACTGTGTTGTTCTTGACGTCTGGTTTGTTGTTGGCGCCAGCAAACCAGGTGTCGGCGTTACTGCTTTCGCCGGAACTCGCCTTGCTGACATTGGGCTTGTTGCTTGACGGAGAGCCACTGGAAGCCTCTGTCTGTGTGCTTCGAGTGATCTTTGATTCGGGCGGCGAAATTTCCTTGTGATGCCTAAGAGAAACGGAGCGCCCAGCTGCTGGCCTCCTCGGCTGGGGTAGGCGCAAGTATGCTTCCGAAGCCATGATGGCGACTGTGTGAAAGCAGGGTCGAAGAGGTTGTGTTTTGCTCATGCAATAGTGAAGTACCAGGTATGAGTGGCGTATAGTAGTTGCTCTAGTATCCAGAGAGGTATAGTACAATCGATTGAATAGTCGTGTAGTTGTAGGAAGGAGAGGCGGTCGTTAGAGTCGGGCGAGGGAACAGCAAGAAAGGACGTAAGAGGCAACGGGGAGCAGAGCATCGAAACACTCACGTCTGATCGAGCAAGATGGGCAGCCCGCAATCACAGATTCAGAAGAAGCAGATCGCTTTGGCCATCGCGGCTTCATGAGACGTATCGAACGTCGGTGCACGTGGTGGGGGATTCACAAGCCGCAACTGTCCTGAACGACTCGAAGCAAGCGAGACACCATTTCGCAGCCATCGCCGGACTTGCCTCCAAATCGTTCTTGTTGTGTGTGCTCTGTGCGGCCTACACGCCTCGATTTTGACCTCAGCCTGGGGGTTCTGGGGATCGGCTCGATGTTATTGGAGCTTAGAACTTCGTCACGCCGAGATTATGTCACCGAGGACCCTTCTTCGCAAACGCTATCGGTCTAGGCCTTAGGCTCGCAGTCTTCGAGATTCGAGCCTTCCAATATCCCCTTCTTCTCCTGAACTGTACTCACCCTGCAACTGCTCAGAACTCTCTCTGTCGTTTAGCTCTCGCGAGGTTATTTGCTGAGACATGCATGTTGCGAAGTATGCAGCGAGTCCCGCCCTGACAGATCTAAGAGCGCAAAATTCGCGTGCATTCTTCCTTCAACAGCGGGAAGTACATCGGCGATGCACTCGCGCCCAGCAGGAGATCCCCACGACGGTGTCCTCTATGCATCACGTCGTTTGGCTGAACCAGACATCTGATGCCGCTATTAAATCTCGATGAGGAAATCATGCGTCTGATGTGTTTGTGTCGAGTCTGTCTGCATGTCTATTCTCGGCAGCGTACCAATCGCCTTGCACACGGTGCCGTGTATAAGCCTATTACATGTATCGAATCGGCAAAAATTAGCTCTTCGTCTACAAAGCAGTTTACCCCTTGCAGAATGTGTTTCGACGAAACTTGCAAAGATGCTAGGTAGATCTGGAACCTCTACTCATCGCTTCTTACCGAAAGGCCTGTTCGTGATCCGCCGAAACATCTCGCCTTTCCCTGGGATTGAGGTTCTGCCTTTTGACCCTCTCAGAGCAAGATTCGCTAGGCGCATTATGTCTCGTCGAAAGTTGGTCGATCTCGGGCAACGCTCCGAATTTTGCTGCACTTGGCTTGTCAATGGTTTTGAGCCAGCAGCCAGACTTGATTGTGACAAAGAGTTCTCTGACTACTTTCCTGTCATCTCCCTGACGCGCAATTTAAAACATGTTGGGCATCCGCTGAGGAGCTGGCTGTAGTGCTTACTTCTGTACATAATACTATGTCAACGCTGTCAGGGAAAGGGTCGCGGAGAGGGACTCGAGATTGGAAACCTCGTACAGCATGGCCTGCTGATTCTGTTGCGTTATCAGGGTGGTGAGATTTTTCCGTCAAAGGTGCGATTTGACGAGCATAGAGCAAAGTTCAATAAACAGGGATTTCGAAAACATCGTGCTGGTACCCCGGCCAGTTCCTCGCTCTTTCCTGCCATCTTGGCTTCGTGAAACCAAACGAAATCCGCATGCTCTTGCTCATCAACACCAACCACATTTGCGAGTTTCGAAAGACTTTTCCTGATAACTACCAAAACATGTATAACATGACTGCGCTGCGCGCGAGTCGCATTTATTCTGCATTGAACAGCTCTGGACTAGCTGCACACACCCTCGAGTCGCACGTAGCCTGGACCATAGCCTAGGCTTTCCGATCGGTCGATTGCTGCTTGAGATGCTGGATTTGATGCAGCTCAACAACGAACGCTGGCCGCCGGCGTCCTCGGATCGTTTTTGACAGGCCTGGCATCCGGAAAAGGCTGTGCATGTGGCTCTGTACCCTGCGGGCTCATCACTGCTCTCCGATGGTCGTCGTCGATGGGTATCGACGCGCATTCCCTGTTACACAAAAGGCGCTTTTTAGACGACCAGGCCTCCACTCTCGGATCCGCTGGTCACGTTTTAAGGTGAGTATCGAGCGATGCTGCCATCGCCCGTTGTTCTCTCAACGTCGGTCATAAGCAACTTGTGCTGTGATGCGGTATGCGGACCCGGCACAATCTTCGATGGTGTCGTCGCTTTGTTCGGACTTACTCCCGCATCGAAGCCCCGACTGCGACGTTCCGGCTTTGATCGTCGATTGTCCCTCCATCGACCGCGGGTGAGTTTTGTTTCCTTCATTCTTTCTTGGTCCACTCCCTCAGCCTTGTGGTTTTTCTCTCTGGACAGTTCTCGTCATCAATCGTCATAGAGAACGTCGCAATTCTTGCAAACGCGGAAGAAAGTCCATAACATCACCTGGTTCAACCATTCCTGGGTCAACAACCATCGTGTGATTCTGCTCCAAATCATCGATCCGACACCCTATCGCGCTCTTAAACTTATAAGCGACGACGTATATCTGAGGGGCAGAAGCGTCAGACCACTTTTGGTCGTAGCATCTTCTCAGATTACACACACAACTCCCGATGGCACCAACAATCTTGACAATTGATCTCAAAGCATGCTCTACTCCAATGCGAAGCTGGACATTACATCCAAGAGGCGCTCTTCGTCCGCCATGTGTGGCGGTCCCTTCGCTTTAACATATCTATCTATCGCATGAGGCGCCGAGGTCGACGTTTTGAACCGACATTCAATGGTCTTGAAGTAGACCCTTTCAAACGTCAGTAAAACCGCCAGAAAGCCAGCAACGTCATGCTTCCCAGCCCGCTCTCTTCCATGGCAACAACGTAGACTGAGCCATCGAGCGATGCTGTGCCTTCAGACTCCATTGCTCACTACATCACCGTCGTCATACCCAGTTATTTTCGATTATGTGCGCAAAGCAGGGCAGAAGTAGCGCCCCTTCGACTTATCGAGTCTTTTGCTGCTTTTTCGATTGAGAAAGAGTCGCTGTAGTCATTTCTCAACGTTGATCAGATGTTCGATCGAAATTCTGTTGCTTCGGGTAGGTCATTCTGTGGGTTCAGTATCTTGGGTATGTGGCCATGCCCGACGATGTTCAAATCTCAGGAATGGTTGGGTTCGTCGTCATTCACTATCAGTCACCACCTGTTACTTCTGGATCCAAGCAAGTAGCAGGTCTTGGTCTCCATCTAGCACTTATGGCTTCACCAATTATAGTTACAAAAAGGTAAATGTGGTATACCGAACAGTCAAATAAAAAGTCTTGATTTCAACGAAATTTTAATCATCACGTCTGATCATTCTCTGACCTCTTTGATATCTATGCCACACGTCCAACACCTCATCAAGAGTCCACATCTCACTCCGGTATAGCCACAATCTGCGAAGCAGGATGCTTGTCATTGTTTCGACCACTGAGGGTTAGTCAGGGTGGCCCCATTCACCAGATTTTCTGAATGGAATATCGACGACAACACGACCGCATATGCCCAAACTTGATGATTTTATATCTCGAGTTACTTCTATAGAGACAGACCATCGCTTGGTAGCAAGTACATGATAGTATCGAGGTGGTTTAAGCCGGTATTTGGGGGCAAAAAAAAAATGATTCCTTGTTCTACCACGCTTGATAATTCACACCAGGCACTTTCACATCGTCATCATTTGCTTGATCTGAAGATAGACACAGAGATAGAATAGATGACTCTAATTCGCAAATGTCATGCTTGAATGTTGGTGTCAGATTACGGTGCTGTCGCAGCTGTCGTAGTGCGAGAGCGGATCGTAGATCGATAGCCCTTGTGAAGTGAGCAATGCAGACCTCATGCATGACATGGGTTTATGCTGTTGCCGCCTTCGCTCCTTTACCTTGGTCATAATCACAATAGCAGTATCCAAAAATACACAAGAGAAAGGGGTAATGGAATATAATTATTACCCACCTGCAAGGGAAAAGCCAACAATCACTTTTCCACCATAACAGAGTGGCCATCGATTAATACAGGAAAGGGTCCCACATCATGGAACAAAAGTCCAATGAGTTCCATATTGGGACCGTACTCCGGAGCCGGGTCATTGATGTCCACATCGAAGCCCAAGTCCTTAGCGATCTTCTAGGCCTCCTTGACTTCATCCTCGACCTTTGCCTTTTTGCTCGTCGCGTCTTGGGTATCTTCTTCGAGTTTTCTCTTTTGGATGGGGAGTGAATCAACCTTGGTTGCTGGACCAGCAGCGGGCTTCTTCTTCTTCACCAGGCCACTTAGGTCGTTGGCGTTTGCTGTTGCTTCTGCGAGGCGTTGCTTTTGGTCTGTGGTGGTCTCGCCTAGCATGCCACCTAGAATGCCGCGGAGGGGGTTGTCTGCGGCTGCGACTGGTGTCTTGAGATCGACGAGCTGAGTACATGTTAGTTGTTGATCGGGTAAGATGTGGACCGAGTGAACTTACACGTTGTTGCATTTCCGACATCATTTCCTTGACGTTTTCAATCTCCTTTTTCTTTGCATCTTGCTTGTCGGCTGCAAGGGTAGGGAGGGCTGATTGCTCCTTCTCGACTCGTAGACGACACGACTCGATGGCGGATTCCATGTGTGTGGCTGCTTCCTTACGCAGGTCTTCGTCGACGGTTTCCTCCTTCTGAGCGCCCTGCTCTACTGCCTCTGAGTTTGTCGTTGTGACCGAAGCGAATTCCATGGCAAGTGCTAGCTTGAAGTGTGCTTCGGCGAGGAGGCTAGACTCTAGAGGGTACAGCTTTTCCTTCAATGCCAGAGCTGAGCGACCTTCGGCGACAGCTTCGGGGAAGTTCTCGTTCTCCATGGAGAGTTCTGATTGCAGGTCGTGTGTGTCGGCCAAGCGGTCCATGACAGTTCGTGCTTCGGGATTCTCGACCAGAGTTTCCTTTCCTTTGCCCTTGCCGTCAAGGTGCTGAGGTATCGTGTCGAGCTTGCGAGTAAGCAGAACGCGAGCGATATCCAGGATCTCGTATGCAATGGCAAAGTCATCGTCGTCCTCGTCTTCGCCGTCCTCTGCTTCGGCATCGTCGCCTTCGTCTTCGCTGTCGGTCCAGTTCTCGTCGCCGGTGATCTGGAAGAAGGGCTTGCTTGCAGAGTCGTCTTCCTTCTTTGTAGCGACTCCATCCTTCTCTTCTACAACAGCTTCGACGACTTCCTCTGCCATGTTCTGCTCGCCGTCCTTGAGGGCGTCGTGGCTGGACTTTGTCTTGCGCTTCTTCTTTTGAGGCTCTCCACTGCCAGCGACCTTGTTGCCCAAGACATCGCTCTTGCTCACTGCCAGGTGGTACAGACAGCGGCCGTATTGGTAGAGGAGATCGGCATTATCCAGAGACATCTCACCGTTGAGCTGCATCTGGAGCTCTGAAGCCTGCGAGTAGAACTCTGAGGCCTGGGCATAGTTCTTGAGCGAGTACTCTTTCGTGGCGGCAGCTTGTAGCTTTGCGAGGTCCGCTTGTGCCTCTTGTCTGTTCTCGATTGCGGGCGTCTCTTGAGTTGAGTGGTCTTCGGCGACAGTGTCGAGCGGTTGGGCCTGTTCAGGGACCGACATGATGATGTGCGATGTGGTGGTTTGATGGAAGATTGTTATGAGAGATTAATGGCGCCAGTGGATAAAGCAGCAAACAAATGCAATGTTGGACGAGATGATACAAAAGGTTGCTCGGCCAATCACATGAAAATGGACGAAGCAGAAGACGCGCGCGCCCCGCGTCTCGTTCGTGGCCGACCACTTTAAGCAGGCGCGTCCACCACAAGAGGAAGTCGAACAACACAAAAGACATTCACTCCCCAAAATGGCAGCTGCCTTTCGTCTGCAGGAAAATGCAGTTCCCTCGTCGAGCCCGGCCTTTGGAACGCCCGTCCATCCCATCAAGGCTCGAGAAAAGCGAATCCCTCCGCCGGCCTTCAAAGCCTCAATCCCCACCATCCTGCCAATTCTCCTCCCACCGCCCAGTCTGAGACCTCTGGCCTTCCGAACCTTTACCAAGAAACATAACCTCACCCTCAGCTCGCCTGCTCTGCAATCACTAGCCACGTTTGTTGGCAAACACTGCGGCTCAGGATGGCGTGAAAGAGGCACAGCAGAGGGCGTTCTCGAAGAAGTCGCAAAAGCTTGGAAGAAGAGTGGTGGCAGCTTGATTGTCAACGATGGCTCGTTGCTCAAAAACATTCTCAAGACTCTCGAGAGTCTGATGAGTGGTGGCAAGGTCGCCCAAACAAAGTCTACCCTAAGCAGACAAGGTAGCTTCGCTTTTGCGGGAGAGAGTCAGGAATTGGCACGACGACCCAGTCTTGCTGACACGTCGTTCCAATCGCAAGACATCGACGAAGATGACGATGCAGCCATAAATGACCCTCGAGCATGGATCAAGGTCGTCGGTGCCTTTGAGCAGCCTAGACTGAGCTACAATGTCCACAAGAAGCACTTTGAGAAGATTACCACAAAGTCCACTCTTCTACCGACACCCGCACACCGAACACAACTCTTCCGCGATCGCTTCAATCTCATTCACCAGCGACTAATGCGAAATGAAGCCTTCCAAGCACCCGCTGTCGCAAACTCCCGCTCTCTCAAACGCTCGGACTCTACCTCAATACAGCAATTCTACAAAATCACTCCTATCGCCAACCTTTTGGGCAGAAATGGCAGCAATCATGTTCTACTCGGCATGCTGGTCATTACTCCCACTGGTACGCTGGCCTTGAACGATCTGACTGGAAGCATCACCCTCGACCTGCAACACGCAAAACCACTACAAGGTGTCGACTCGTCATGGTTCTGTCCAGGCATGATCGTCCTGATCGAAGGCGTATACGAGGAAGAGTACTCGGGAGCAGGTGCCAGCGGTCTAGGTGCTGCAACCGGTGTTGGTGGTACCATTGGAGGAAAGTTCATCGGCTTCAGCATTGGTGGTCCTCCGTCTGAAAAACGTAGTGTAACCCTCGGTGTCGCCGAGTCGAAACAACAAGATATTGGTGTCGGTGGTGGCTTTGGCTGGACCGATTTTTTCGGTCTAGGAAGTGAGAAAGTCATGGGACCAAAGATGCGCAAACTCGAGAAGCGTCTTCTAGCACCAACTGAAGAACAAGCCTCACAACAACGCAAGATGGTCATTCTCGGTGAAGTCAACCTGGACGACCCGTCATCACTCGAGGCTCTGCGAGCTGTTCTCCGTGTCTACGCTACAGAGGATGAGCTCACTCCTCTGAGTTTCATGCTCATCGGCAACTTTGTCAGTCATCCCGTCATGGCTGGTGGCGGTAGTGGTGGCAGCATCGAGTACAAAGAGTACTTCAACGACCTAGCCACTGTCCTCTCAGACTTCCCTGGCCTCCTAAGAAGTTCAACATGGGTCTTCGTGCCTGGCGACAATGACCCATGGGCATCTGCCTTCAGCGCTGGAGCCAGCAATCCCGTGCCCCGCCCTCCAATCCCTGGTCTGTTTACCAGTCGTGTGAAGCGTGCCTTTGCCGCCGCCAAATCAGAAGCGCCACTTCCGAAACCAGATGACAGCAATGTGCCTTCCGAACCAATCTGGACATCTAACCCAGCCCGTGTATCGATCTTCGGTCCAGCCCACGAAATTGCAATCTTCCGCGACGACATATCCAGCCGTCTTCGCCGCAACGCCATAACATTCGGCAAAGCCAATGCCGCCAATGATGAGGAAGACGACGATATGCCTGACACTGTGCCCGTCGAGATCCCGACTCCAACGCAGATTGCAAGGAAACTCGTTCTCTCTCTCCTCCCCCAATCACACCTTTCACCCTTCCCACTATCCACACGCCCGGTGCTATGGGACCAAGGTAGCGCAATGAGTTTATATCCTCTACCGCATACACTGGTGTTGGCAGATGCCGAAGCGCCGGCTTTTGCTGTCACGTTTGAAGGGTGTCATGTTCTTAACCCTGGCAGGTTGTGTAGAGATGAAGGGAGGGGAAGGAGAGTTGCGTGGGTGGAGTATGATTGTTGGGCCAAGAGGGGCGAGGTGAGGGAGATTTGGTCGAGTTAGATGTAGCAAGGAGGAACAAGGGGAATGATCATGGTTTATGCATTAGCGAAGGAGTTCTCGGTTGTTGAAGGGGAAACATTAGTGGTATATGCTTATATAGAAGTATTGAGAAATATTCATTTTTTTGCTTTTATGGAAATCCGTCTGCGTCAATCACTTGGTCATTGAGCATATTGAGGAGTACAGTCAAGAATCGCAGAGAAAGATACTTTTGGACTGTAAACAGAATTCGATACTGACTCCCTCCTTCTCTCTTAAACAGAAGAAGCAGTAGTAGCAACAGGCACCACCCCATCACTACATACACAAGCAGTACTACTAGCCAACGGCGGACCATTAGTACACCAAGCCCCAGCATCCCACGGCACCGTCGTCGTCACGGCACCCTCAACAACCTTGATCGTCTCCGCCTTGACAAACACAGGAATAACAGCACCCGTAACCAGAGAAAAAGACCTATGCTTCAACACACGCAGCAAACTGCTTGTTTCCCCCGAATGCGTGGTGATACTTATAACACTCGCGGCATCAGTGGAGAAAATATCATCCAGAGCGAGTTTAGAGCGGTAATCCTGCGCTGAAGATGATTCCTCGGTGATGCCATTCCAGAATTCATCGGTTTCTGTAAATGTGGGTTCGAAGTTCCAGGTGGGGAAGAGGTTGCGGATATAAGTGGCGTTGCTGCGATGATCACAGGTATGTGTACTTATACCCTCTCTGATATATTCCTTGATTGTGGGGATAAAATTTGAGAGGGAGAGTCCGGAGAAAGTGAGGTTCGCGGTTTTGAGACAGCGGGTTAGTGGGGATACGTAGAAGGATTGGGGAGGTTGGATTTTTTGGGAGAGAAGTTGTTGTGACCAGAATTTGTTGGCTTTGAGGGCTTGGGCGGTTCCGGCGGGGGTTAGGTCGGCGTCTTGCCAGGAGTTTGTGCTGTTTCCGGTTTGTTGGCTCCAGTAACACTTGGGACATTGTTAGTGTTACTCAGAGGATGGGGGTGGGGGATGAATGACTTACGTTCCAAGCGGGGGTACCATAGTAGGTCTGCGCGGCATTGTGGTAGCCCTCTCCGTGGCGACCGATGAACAAGAGCTTGTACTCGACGTTCTTGGGGGCTTCACTGTTCATGTGCTTCAAGAGGTTGTTGAAGCGTTGCCATTGGGTAAGTGCACCATCAGAGCTCGAATCAGTCTCGTAAGTCTGGTTGATCAGACCAAAGTTTGTGGCAGTCTATAAAACAGTTAGAACATAGTTCACATAGCAGTTGAAGGTACTTACGTAGTCAAAGGTGCTGGGAACAGTAGTGTCGAGATCCTGCAGGAAGTAGCCGCCAACATTGGTATAGTTGACGTATTCGGTACCCTGGTCAACTGTAGGAAGCGAAGCAGTTGAAGGAGCTGTAGACGCCGTGGGAATAGAGAAGGTAGGAGCCTGAGTCACACTTTGGCTGGCACTGTAAGAGCTGCTCTGAGAGCTGCTGAACGATGTGCTGTACGAGCTGCTACTAGAGCTCGTGGGTGCATCCTTGATTTTGCGTGCTCCTCTGATGATCTTGTTGCTAAGAGGCTTGCCGAGCTTCTTCTTCATATAACATGCAGTACCAGACATGCTGATATCAATACATCCTTCAGTAGCATCGCAGGCGTTGACGCAATCAGCGATTCTATTACTGGCGATGTTGACCATCTTCAAGTCACCACCTGCATAGTCGATGCCACACTCAATCAAGAAAGTGGCACCGCTCTTGGCGATGAACACATTGTTGTCGGCCTTGGGGCAGGTAGGACTAGTCGAGGTAGGGAAAGCCGCCGAATCCGTCAAAGAAGATGTAGTTGAGGTGCTGAATGAGGAACTGGTGCTCGTGCTGACGGCTGTCGCCTCGCTCAGCGCAAGCAAAGAGATGGCAACTGACGCCAAAGAAGTAAAATTGTACACCATTTTGATATGAAACAAAATTCAATTGCAGACGAGTTCACCTACCTAGGTCTTTGCAGGGGCTGGCCGAGCTAGAAATACCTTGCCGGCCTTCTCGAAAAGGGGAATCAAGGAAGCCGACCGTGAGCATCTCCATCAAGATAGCGAATAACATGATCAGCAAGATGCACGCAGTGCTCGCGTGTCCACCTCTTGCCGTCCCGCGTCGCTGTAGATTCACGAAAGCCCTCGGGTGTGGTCAAGTTGAGGAAGGAGGGTTGGCGATGTGGAGTGGTCTGCGGTTGCCCCACCCAATCACAAGCCCCACGTGCTCGAATACCATTTCTACACGATGCTCGAACCACGATAAGATAGAACCCTCAGACCCGCAACAAATCTCGGATATTATTTCATCCAGCAGTCGGAGAGTCATGAAAGGCGATCAACGGGATCAAGATCCGACAACCGAAAGTATAGCACACGTGGAAGAATATATTGTATTCGTTAAGACTTTGGTGGTATACCACGCGGGATAAGCAAGTCTGCTTTCCCTTCGATACCGATGTGGTAGGCACGCTCTAATGATTTCAAGATCCGAGACACCCCTTGATCGTGCCAGGAAGACGCCAATGATAGCCAGCAATGATGAACAAGAAAAGAAGAAAAGCCGCGTCTCAGCAGCAGCGGCATCAGTCTTACCTCTAGTGATGTGGCTAGGGTGATGAGACTGCGAGATTTGTTGAGGAGATACAGCGTACACAAGGAGCTCATTCAAGGCTGTAGTTATGACGAGTGCGCTCGACGTCCTTACGCATAGTTTGACCGGAGCCCGTGAAGCCGACTATGATGACATTAGCATACGATTCTCCACGCAGAGAAAGGTGTGGACATACCTCTAGCAGAAGGAGCTTCACCAGTGCGGAACATGCTCTCCTTCTGGACAGCCTTTGCAGCTTTGCCGGAAGAGGCTTTTGTTTGCCAGGACTTCCAGTTATTCTTGCTGCTCTCGAGTGCCTTGGACGTCTTGACCTTCTTCGGAGGCTTTCGGTCGCCATCGAGCGGCTTGATCTGATCCTTCTTGGCGGCACTTGCTAGGGCAGGATTGATGTTGGCCTCTGCAGAGATGACACCAGGAATGGGAGTGCTGACTGTAGGAGTAGTAGGAATGGAGACTGCAGGAGAGCCATCAGCCTTGCGCTTCTGAGAAGTCGAGGAGGAAGCGGCCGGTAGAGCACGCAGATGTTCTTGACGGAGGGTTTCTGTGCCTGTGTAACCCTTGAAGTTGACGGTATAGATGGGGGCGGCCGACGAGCCGGTGACGGAGATGATGCGAGCTTCGTAGAACTGCTTGTCGCCTGCATACTTAGCCAGCACGTTATCGTTGACCTTGAACGAAACGGGGGCTTTCTTCTCTTCAGCAGCAGGAGGCGCAGTCGGCACCTGCTTACGATATGCCGGGTGATTCTCCTTGCTCCACTTCTCGCTCGACGAGGTTGTTTCTGGTTTGAGGGCGGCGATTCTGTTGTCGACATCTGCGAGAAGGCCAACGATCTCTGATTTCATGGCGAGGGCATCGTCCAGATCGGGTACCTCGGCGAGCATCTGCTCGACTTCGGCAAGCTACAGAGAATTCGTCAGTACAGTTCATGTCCGTACCAGACGACACAACTTACGTTGCGCTCATGTTCGTCGCGTTCGGATTGGAGCTGGGCGAGACTCATGATGCGTTCAGTAGCCTTCTGTTTGTTCGTCGTGTAGGAGTGTTACCAATTTGCCCGACGTCGTTCTGCAGGCTCGGCGATGTATGCGTTCCAGCACTTTCTTCCCTTCAGACGATGCGCTTCCCTTTGGTCAAGTTTGTTGCAATTCGATGGCAGAGCGCGCAACAAACGCCGATAATGCGGCGACGATGACGGATGTGCGCACGATCCTCTCGGTTATGCTCACCGGCCCCCGGGTCCTTCTTGCAAAGCTGTCACCTTCGGATCCTCTCACTCTTCAACAAACACAAGCATACCACTTGAGTCCTGGGAATTTGATTTTCATCACAAATCTGATAACGTTGAGTATGCTGCTAAGCTGACGAGAAAACACAACCTTTACGCCCCGCCATCCAATGCTTACGCCTTCCGGTATACCAAGCCAACTCCGACAAATGCCCAACGACCGAACTCAACCCATGCACCTGCCATATTCAATGTCCCACACCATGCCACCCATTCGTCAATGTTGATCACACCACCCGAGGTCCAGCTCACAGAAGATACGCCATATCCCATATCGACTGCCTATTCCACTGCTTGATGCCCAGGTCCTTTACCAATTTGTCCATTCTCATTTCCAGAGCCTCTCGGAGCCTTTCAGCATATCTGTCTGATCGTCCGCTCGTGTCGACGCGGACATATTGAATCTCATAGCCACTCGGTCTTTTCTTCGAGTACTTGATGCGAAACATGGCCGATCCGTCGCGATGCCACTCGTTGTATGCGTCCTTGTACACTCCTCGTGCTATCTGCACAAGCACCACTGTTTGGATCTTACCGATTTTCTCGCTGCTCATGTTGTCCAACCACCTGGGAACACCAGTGTTGAAAGAGCTGTAAGGGTATGCGATCGGTTCATCGACGAGCGGCCGAGGGTGGAAGTTGATCGAGTCGCGACGCCTGACCACAAAGTCGTTCTTCTGGTAGAAGATGGGTTGACCTTCGAGGCGTGCTAGCCGGCAGCTTCGAAGGAACGCCGGCTCCTTGGCCGAATCTTGACTTGCATGGCGACTTGTATTTCTTCCCATGACTGCCGATACGCCATCGTTGACGCAGACCATGTCGTAAATCATCTCTCGAAGTTCGAAGGGAAGTTGGAAAATGCGGCATTGTCGTTGGCTATGGACAGGATGCTCGTCGACGGTAAGTGGTCGTAACGGTAATTCCGCTTTCGTGATAGCGGTAGCAGTATCCCGGGGATCTGTCACAAGGGTAGGTGCTGGTGAGGGCGAGGACATTCTCTGGCGTTTGTATCGCGCCCCTTCATCGTCAAAGTTGTCTGCTCCTGGAGCGACGCTCATCTTGCCTAACATTTGGGCATAGGGAAGCTGGGGAAAGGAGAGGACTCGGTCACATAGCACTGGTCACACGGTCGCAGTTAAGTACGTCCCTCTCAATGACCGACGACGTCCTTGGCAGGGACCATTGGACGAAGGGGTGCTTCTTCTTTGCGCCAATTAGCTATCGTTATCTGAGCAAAAGAGATGAGAGTCATGGGTCGGGCGAGGACCTAGAGTTGATAATTCCAACGCGCGGTCCGAAATAGAGGGGTTACGCGACGAGATCAGCTCTATCATCTGGCACGGATCGGTACGAGAGGCCGAAGTCCGTACCGGCTACATGTCTGAAAGGGATACGAAGGATTCCCGATAAGCATGGCTAGGGTCGACGAGTTCCGTATCAGGTAGTCCTCACCTTTGTGGTGGCGGGGCATCACCGATAGTCCTAAGCTCGCTATTCGGACGGAGATAACAGCCCTGTAGGCTTCGAGAATGAAGAATTCCAAGGGTCCAAAAGTTGTTTTAACCAAAGCGGGTCAAACATCGTCGCTGCGGGGTCGGTGCGTCAACCAGACTGGACAAACACGACTCGGGCTTTCGTGTCAAGCACGGGGTGAGGCTTTGGAAACAACATTGCAGGGGGCACATTTTGTCGCGTGTTTCAGGCTATCAAAGTTAGCATGTCAGAATGCTTGGCCCCTGAGAGATTGCGCGCGAGCGAAGTCGGAATCCCAGAACTTTGATTCAAAAAAGAATATGCCGGTGGTCCGAGATACGCAAAGCACAGGATACCTACCCTTGGTACGTCTATTACTGTGACTCAGAGGAGCGGTCCATGGAAGCGAGGGGAGCATGTTGTGATGTGTTTGGTGAGAGAGGCACAGAAGTCCGTGATGGCATGCATGTGAGCGATTGACTGGCCAGCCTTACGTACAGATATATTGGCTGTGGTTCCCTAAATCAGTCAGGTACAGTTTATCAGCTCGAGGACGAATAAGAAGCCTCTACTTTGTTCTGTACGCGATCATGGGGTTGGACAGAGTCACTCGGATGACGATTGCACGAGAATGCTTTGTCTTCGATGGCCTAAGACGCAACGAGCGGTCTTGAATCCGCTGTCCTTTGCAAGAGGTACATAATGGAGGCAGGGTCACGAGAGGAGCACCAGATCAGGCAATGCATCGAGATCAGGTGAAGAAGGAAGAAAAAGATAAAATAGAAATAAAGAACGGAAGGACAAAAGTAAAGACCGGAAGGAGAAAAATGGGAAAAAAGGAAAAGAAAAAAGGACGGCTAGGGTAATCGATGCAGGGCGGAGTTAGAAAGCGGTAGAAGACGCTAGCCAACCCGTGCGTGAGATGGAGGAAAGTGACTCCGACTGCGCAAGCGACGAGAAAGAAGAATGCTAGAGGTAGATGAGTGATTGATATAGGTCTCAGCAGTGTTGTGCACGCGAATTCTCTGCAAGTAGTGTAGAGATCAATCAGAAGCAAGTATTTGTTTGTTGAAGGCGAAAAAGGGAGGCTCTGGACGAGGGTCTGATCGGATTTCTAAGCACCCTCCGTTAGACTCTTACGGCGGTACAAGCCGGGGCAACTGGGGAGCGCGCTGTCTGCCTGCGGTGTCGACATTCTCACTCTTGCCTAGTCTCTGCCCCTCAACACTTACTGCCACCTAAATCTTACAATACGACCCTCGAATCTTTTTCGCAAAAGCAATCGCAAACTGCCCGTATTTAACGACAGACCTCTGGACCATAGCAGGAGCCGATATCGACATAGTTCATCGCTGCATCATCCCAAAGCTAAAGCGTGTTTGCCTGGCCGCCGGACTGGCCAATTGCTCAGCTCGTTCTTCGACAACACTCTCTCATCTCGTCTTGTTCTCCTCAGCGCGACATAGTCGCTTTCGCGTCGAATACGCTTGACCGGCAATAGTCGCTTTTATTCGTCCTCTCCGCTCTGGTACCAATCGTACGACTGTGTCAGAAATGGCGGGGCAGACGACCGGCAACCAGCCCTTCAACCCATACCTCTCCAACGCACAACAAGAGCTACTCCTTGCCGCATTGGCTTCCAACAACGCATCTGCCATTCGCGAAAAATCAAAGCCTGTTGCCGACATGTCCGCTCTCGAATTTGAAGATACCAGTCCCTACCTCGACTATCTGGACGGGGATACCAGCTTCGACTTCGACGCTTCCGACCTCAATGGCCAACACATGTTTGAAAACATGGACAGCAATGCCAGTAACAAGTCCGACTCATCTAATGGTGACAAGCCCGATAAGCGCAAGAGTCCGGAAGAAGATTCACTAGAGGATGAAGTCGACGCCAAAAGAAGAGAAGGTGAACCAAAGGAGGCCAAGAAGCCTGGCAGGAAACCTTTGACCTCTGAGCCTACCACTGTGAGTAATCTGTTGTATGCTGCTTCCATGCCTCAGGGCTGATGTGTACAAAAGAAGCGCAAGGCTCAAAATAGAGCTGCCCAACGCGCCTTCAGAGAGCGTAAAGAGAAGCATCTCAAAGACCTCGAGACCAAGGTCGAGGCTTTGAGCAAAGCTCAAGAACATGACAAGCACGAGAATGGTATCCTCCGTGCACAAGTTCAACGTCTCCAAAATGAACTTGGTGAGTACAAGAAGAGAATGTCGTATTCTAGTGGTGGGATTACCGCACACTCGCCCCCCTCTGCTGGCCGTACCGGTTCCAGAAGCAACAGCAACTCTCAGACCGACTTCCAGTTCGACTTTCCCAAATTCGGAGCTCTTCCTGGCAACCAACTTTTCGGAAACCGCATTCAGTCGAGTCGTGAGAAGACTGTCAGTCCTTCTGTCGGTCAGCATGCCAGCCTACCTAGATCGAACAGCATGGGTAGAAACCCGAGCCCTGGTACTCAGATCAGCAACGGCGACCACCAGATGAGCTCGAGCAACAACTCTAGAAGCGGTAGCATGAACAAGGGGACCAGCAGTCCTCTTGCCCAAGTATCAGCCACCGGCACAACTTATGCCGATCTCTTCAGCCCGTCTATTCTTGGAAACCCGACCAGCGACTTCCTCATTGGAAATTCCAACAACGACGCTCGCGCCTTTGCTCAGTATGCTGATAACGGCACTGACAGTACGAGTGGTATTTCGAGAGTTTTCAGATTCAACAGTGGTTCTGGTTCTGGCTCTGGCACAAACTCCAACCAATCACCCACGGTCCCTTCGTTGACACATTACAACACCAACTCGTGTAACACATCATCTTGCGGAACCTCTCCCGAATCAGCAAACTCTCCACCCTCTGATGTCAACAAGTCAAGCGTTAACGACTTCAACGATATCTATTCTCTGAAGCCGGTCAATTCTAACAACACACAAAGTACGTCAAGACGTAATGCGATATCTCGGCTCAGCGCTAACATCATGTCAGAATCAGCCCAGATGAATGGGCTCAACAACGCCTCAACCCCTAACTTTGACTGGCTCGCCACTCAGAACGGCGGTCAATTCGATCCCGTCTTGTTTGGTGATTACCGCGAGAGTCAGGATGCCATCGTTGGGGATGGTGACTTCAACAGTGGCTTCTTCGAAGCTGCCTTCCCCTACGACCTGAACACACCCTTCGTCATGAACGACTTCGCTTCTCCCAAGCCTGCGAAACAAACTTCCGCCAGTGCAAATTTGCTAGCGGAGGTTGAGAAGTGTCGCGAAGGTGGTGACGACGATATCTACTTGCCACAGCAGGTATCCGCTCAACCTGGTCAGCAACAGATCAACGAGATGAGCTTGAAGACCGCCGAGAAGATGCTCAACTGCAACACGATATGGTGCGTGGATCCTCTAATTGACGAAACTCACAACAACACTAACATCATCCAAAGGTCACAACTACAGTCCAACCAAGACTTCAAGGATGGCAAGTTCGACCTCGACAATCTCTGTGCCGAGCTCCGTGCCAAAGCCAAGTGTTCTGAATCTGGCGTCACTGTGCGATCGGAATACGTGGATGCTGCCTTCAAGAAATTGTCGGGCACTAACGAACAACCTCCTCTTGACGACTATCATGCCACGCATAACGAGAACGGCGTCGACTATCTTTTCAATCAATACTCGGTCGATGAAGCGTTGAAGAAGCTAGCAGGCCAATAAAAATGGCTTGAGGACATTCGATCAAAAAACTTTACGTGCGATATGACGAACGGGTTAGGCATAGCTCTGGAATAGGAGGAAATATTTGGGACGGTGGATTTGTTTTCGGGAATTGCCCAAAGTCTCAACATAGGCTTGATCTCTGCGCACTCATTGAAATGCAGGAAGATGAATTCGGCGCTGAAATTTGGAATGGGCGTTGTTTTGTCTCTTTTTGCGACTTGTCTACATCAGACGCCAACGAAGCCTCTGAGACTACACGTTCGCTATTGATTTATCGCATAGCAATATACCTTTCAATATCCTTTTTGCTCTTATCGGGATCTTGTGGTTGAAGACGTCAACTAGCCTGCATTAATCAAGTCTCTTTCACGAGTTCAGTGATGAGGATGCCAATCACTACCTCGTCATCTGCCGACTTGAAGGAGCATTGACAAAATTCGAATGTTGAAACATGAAGGATTTGGGGCAGTCCACCGAACAAGTTTCAGACAAGCTTCTGCACCGACTTTTGAGAATTCCTTCTTTTGCTCCTTGAACACGACCGAACATTCTACTCTAGGAGGCCTGATGCACCAGGTCTCAGTATCCGACCGCTCACCCTCAAACAGGACGACACTTTGGTGCTTGCATGAAGAGTCAATTTTACTGTATGTCATCAGCCTAGCGTGAATTTCCACCTGCTGCATCCTGGCCTCTTCCACAAGGAGAAATCTCTATCGCATGATAGGAGGCTCGCTGGGTTAATATATTGATGTCTTGTGAAGAGGGCTGTGTGCGCCGTCAAGCGCTCGAGATATCTACATCATGCAACAAGACCTGTCTGGAGAGATGATCGACCGCGGCCAGCTCCCGGGACAGGCCACCAATGCACGATTCCCGCTAGCGTACCTAAATCATCTCGAGCGAACTCGAGCGCTGTCGTTGGTCTCTCCGACTCGCGTACTGATCATCAATTTAAACCCGCTGTTACGAAGCCATCTGCCTAGAATTGGCCTCGAGCATCAGATTTCGCTGTTTCGAGGACTCCGTAGGAGCGGATCCGATGTTAGGCGCTCCACGATGCCCTCACCACGTTCATGACAGGTGCTTAGGGTCCAAATGTAAGAACAGTTGAGTAGAAGATCATTTTCTGATGTCCCTATAACTACTTTCCATCCTGCTTCCTGTGTACACCAACCTCTTGCGAGCTCTACCTACATCGCCCCTCGACATGAAGCTAACAACTATCGCAATACCCATTGCGCTCGCATCACAAGCAGCTGCAGCACCTACACACTATCAGCCACCGCTCCTCAACAGCACGGTGTCATTCCAATCCAACAGCAGCAACTTTGAGCCTCTTCCACCCTCGTCGTGTTTCGCCAAAGTGGAAGACGCTCTCAAGGATCTTACTAGCTCGACTTTGTCTATACTTCTCGGTTCTTCAACAACGATGCTTGGCTATGCTCTCTGCGGAATAACGATGCCGGCAGAGTCTTGGGAGACGTGTACGGACTACGCTGTCATTGGTGGCAGTGTGGTTGGCCTTTCACATCTCGCAATTTGGAAGTTCCCTGAGCTCCTTAATGACTTCGATCTCTATGATTCGACAGTGAGACCCTGGGAAGAGGCTCCAACCTTTTGGGGCGAGGACGAAGGACCGAATGGCAAGGTGGAGGTCATGCCTCGTATAGAGCTTGATCATGCCAACTTGGGGGCATGGCCTTGAACGCTGGCATGCTATCAGTGCTACAACCAATAATCGGATCTTGCGTAGCTACTCGACTGCTAGTATCATAGAGTCAAAACTCCCTCTCGCCATGCGTCACGCCGCATCAATTGATCATGACGACAAGCTCAGCTTCGGCTGGATTGGAGCCATCGCTGCATACCAAAACCATGTCCACCCACCATGATCTTGGCTTCGGATCTTAATGAGCTACATACGGAAGTTTCGAGGTCAGGCACTCTTGAGCACCAGTCCAGTGCAAGATCACCGGAGTGTGTCGCTTTCATCAGGGTCAAAGTACCTTCCACTACTACCCACAACGCAACTTGAATCGCACCCGCTGCTGGCCAGTACACATGCACGGTCGAATCTGCAAGAGCTCGCACCAGCTCCTTGTCACTCTTGGACAGAACCAAACAATGGCCTTTCCTTTGTCTATCCACGTTCAATCATGAAATTTACGACCCAAATTACCTTAGATAGAATCATATAGAGGATACACCTGCGAAGAAGAGTCTCATTACCTCCAAACATGTGTTCAATCTCGCAACAAGGGACATTTAGGTGTGGAGGAAGTTGCACTTGCCAGTCATGGCATCCAGAACACTATGGCTCAGGAGATGGCAGTCGCGACTTTCCTTCCGACAAGTAGACGCTACTGCGTCAGTTGTTCCTTCCTCTGTCGAATCTGCTTCTGGCTAGTGCCTGCCTGCCACTGGATTTGTCACTTTCGTGCTTTTCAAATAATGTCAACACGACCTTCTGCTTCTCATCACGCACGCTGTGTCGAAAGACTCAGTAATAGATCAGATGCGCGGATGCGGTGATTCAGTGGGGGGCACGCACATGCACGCTCCGAGAAAGACCAGATTGCGCCGGTAAGACTGAGTTGAGATCTTGTCGTCGCGCCTGCTGATTCAACTTCATACAGTCGAGATAGACTTCTTGCTCCATGGGCAGAAAACGGAACACTAGTACCTCGTCCTGCACCTCAGACTCTTGTCACTGTCTCAGCCAATGATTTCAGACTCCCCCCTTGGCTTCGATTTGGACCCATTTACCTTATTGTGTGTCTCGAACTTCTCGCTGGAATGCTATGGTACAGATTCTGGAACAACCATTACCGCTATCCTGCCCACCTCAAGACAATTGACCGTCAGATACTGCTACTCAAATCTCAAATACTCAAAGTTCGACTTCAGATGTTACTGTGCGATGTGAGAACACACCTGGGTCAATTACGAGTACTCATATCGTTCGCTATCCTGAGTCATGCTCTGTACGATTTGTGCTTCCTACAGTAGGTGATAGTGGGATGGAACTCATGGAAGAGTGCTACTAACATGAGTATAGACTCTCACATGACTTACCCCACTGAAACTGGTCTCGATCGTTCAACTCATGACGCTGATAGAGTACACTGTGTTGTGAGTGGATGCAACCGGCATGGGGAGGAACTCAAGATGTACTGACCAGCTTTAGTCTCGAGATCCCAGCCTACTGGACTGTTCTTATGTGCTGCCCTATTATAGCGATGTTCAGACTCGGAGACATGACAGTCTTCCATGAGCCCGTCGAGTCTTTGTAAGCCCAAGCAAATCTGGTTAATCAGTATCTTACAATGTAGTCAGGATATCTATGCAGATCCGCTTGCTGCAGATGAGTGCGATGAGTGGCTTCGAGCTCGTAATGAGGTATATCGATAGCTTGTGAGTAGTCCTGAATACCAATCTGTCTTCCAGACTGTGCTGATATACTTAGCACGCATGATTGGGATGACGGCATCGTGGTCGTCATCCACAATGTCCTCAGCAGCCTTGATCTGTTGAGAATCAAATCCTTCACGATTGTGTCTTCGTAAGGATGTGCCTTATCGTTGCGGGTCCCAGGAACTCATGGTTATCTAGGCTCAGATGCTCACTCCTTCACTGGTTACTTTTGGCATACTTTGTCTTCATGCCCGACGCCAAGACCGCAGTATTCCAATGGTAAGAGCCAATGGGTATCTAGAGGATCAGAAAGACTGACCTGATGTAGTATGCTTACCTGCCTTTTATGTCTCGCTCCATATAGGAGACTTGCAGTATCTGCTGCCACCCTACATCGAGCGCAGACGGCTCTGGTGAGCGCGATCGAAAATTCGCAGCTCAAGTTTGCTGCTTGCGAAAATTTGCTTGTAGTCTTTGATGCAACATGAGCATGGAACTACGATCGCACGTCGTTTGTGGTTTGATGATGGTCGTTCGCACCTTCTCCACATTTGTTGATGGATGTTTCTTCTCCATTTTGTGTTTGCTTGTCCATTGCTTCCCCTTGTCCACCTTTCTTCCTTGCTTAATGTCGACGATTGCTTTAGCTACATCATTTACGTTGTCAATATACACGGACGCACTGTTGCTATACCACCGTCTCTACTTTGGTACACATCTCTTCAACTTATCTGGGCTACGCCGCCGCACTTTGCTTAAACCCTGTTTACACATGACAACATCTTTCGACATCCCTGCGTACTGTATTGGTACCGCAGCACTGGATACATGCTACTGCTGCTCTGAACCGCCGGTCTGGGGTTCTCCGCTTGTCAAACATCGTCGTTGCCTCTTCCTGAGAAAAGGTCACCAAGAACATCCCCCCTTTATCCCCTGACCTCCATCCAGCCTTCCACAATGTCCTGGGTATATATATCTACAGCGCATGAAGCTGTACAATGGAGATATGGCCGAGTGGTTATGGCGCTAGTTTCAGGCAATGAGCTTACTAGTGGGCAACTGCGTGGGTTCGAATCCCACTATCTTCAATATACTTTTGCTCCTTGGAAGTGATCGTTTTGCACCTACTAGATAGGTCCACGAGTGTTGTAAGAAGGTGAAGGGTGATTTGGCGGAATTTCGGTGGTGGAAATTTTGGTGAAGCCTGGAAATCTTGGCGGGGGATTTTGATATAGAGATTCTGTGGGGACACACACGCGTGCGTGCGCTTCCCCTCCGATGCGATGAGCTTCTGGGTCATGGGTACGAATACTCGCGATGATCTAGAAAGCCAATGGAGGACAAGGTGGCAGTGACAATAATAGTGGACAATGAAAAGATTGATGAATTGAGAACGCTACTTTTCATGCAAATGATTTCTCCAACCCGAAGAATATTAGATCCTGGAACACCCCCTTGTCCTATTTGTTCACGTTCAATGCTAGTGATGATGAAAAGTCCCGAATACCCTTTTCTGCTCCAGAAAACATCGATGCAAAGTATCCACCCAATGAGAACTCAAGTCCGAGAACTAACGAAGAAGACACTTGGAAGGTAGAAGACAAGGCACTTATAGCACCTTGGGCTTCATCCATTCAGAGGTGCCAACACCAAGATTCAATCCACTTTTTGCCCACCACCTTCTTACTTCCAGACCTTTTCTGCCTTCAACACCATCTTCAAGTGCTTCTTCGACATCACAGGTCTTGTATTCGACCCTCAAACCACTCTGCTTCCACCACTCAAGGACGTTGACATGTCCCATCTTGGTAGCACCAACCAGGACCTGATTGTCAAAGATCATTTTAGAGCCCTTGACTGCATGCCAGGCCTTCAAGACCTCGACGTGCCCGTGTGTGCTCGCCAACTTGGCGACGGCATCTTCGTGAGGGAAGGGGATGCCGGAGTTAACCCACCATCGCACGACATCTGCATTGCCAGATTGAGAGGCGTAGCATATTGACTTTCCTGGCTTCAGTCTGATGGGTTTTGTATCGTCGTCGGGACTTGATGCGTGGTGGTGGCGTTGTGAGATGTTGCGCCACCATTCTAGGACAGCGATGTGACCGGCTGAACTTGCTTGTTCGAGGGCGGCTTCGGTAAAGACAAGAGTAAGGCCAGATTTCTGCCACCAGTCTAGGACGTCGATGAAGCCCTGTCGAGATGCACCATCTAGAGTCTCGGCGGTGTATTTCTTGTTCAAAAACCAGGCCGAGGTATTCCAGTATTCGAGCACTTCAACACGGCCAAACACGGATGACGCCTTGTCTGGTAGGAATGTGCCGTCAAAGGTAGACCAGAAGAGATCTTTGTGGTTAGATTCGAGATATGACAGCACAGAAGTCATGCTAAATCGCATTATAAGTTTGATGCATAGACGAGACAGCCAGCGTGGGACAGAGTTGTCAGCAATGAATTTCTTGATGTCGGAGAGGTTGCCGGTCAACAGCGTCCATTCGAGTTGCTGCATGTACGTTGTTGGGCCTCTGGCGCTGGCATGTTCTTGCCACTCAGGAGGTGGGTCGAGATTGGTATATATGTGTAATGTCTGAGCAAGCTCCCAGTCGTTGGTAGCATCGATGATCATGGACCACAACTCCGGCGGCAAGACAGTTCGTGATTTTTTAGAGCCGGTCTTGAAGGTTGACGATGCGTTTGGTGTCACATGGACGCCATGCCCAATATTCATCAAATCGACCTGGTTCCGTGCAGTGTCGACGACCTCATCCAGGGCATTCCAACATGTCACCCTCTTCTTGTCATTCTCGAACGTCCATAGCAGAGGTTGCAAGACTTGTATCCAGTTCCACTTCCTCTTTATTTTTGTGAGTTGCTTTTTCGTCATGGGGTTCTCCCACATCAAACTCGACATGCCAGGTACCATGACGATCTTCTTTGAGACATTCCAGCTTCGTAAAATCTCGAGTACCAGATTGTCTGTGTCTCCGTGTAACATCTTCGCCAGATTGTTTGCATCGATGGGAGCCAAAACCAGCAGGTCAGCCCATTGACACAAGTCGAACGCCTCTTTCTCGATCTCGACGACGTCGCCCGTCGACTTCATTTGGGTGCGCGACACATTCGGTATGGCGAGACAGTTGCTAGAGGCGGCGATAAGGTCGGCACCGTGCGCACCAGGATCCAGTACGGCCCTGACAGAGCATTCGGGTAGTGTTACGAGTTGTGGTAATAGTTTGTTGATGATAGATGCATCCGAACATACAGTCGACGCCACGACCACGTTGAGCGGTCGAGGGGCCATAGCCTCGACCGTCTGTATGTCGGGCACAGTGATGGCGCTTCGTGCCATCTTGTGTGTATGGTAGGTTGGGAGGAGGTCGAATTTCCGACAAAGACACGACCGTCTCTTCAAAAAGGTAAAGAGCGCATACAATCGGCCTTCTCTTTATTCCTTCCGTGACGTAGGGGGACGCCAATTGTCACGAGCTTCTCGCAGGAACAGAGGGGACAAGTGTGTCGTCGTCTTGAGTCAAGAACTCGCTTACATTCCTGATTCAGTAAGTCGCATACTTGTACTGCCCAATGCTCGAATCGTCCAGCGATAAATCGATGTGCGTTGTGTATGGTGGAAAACTCAAGCCTCGTTGTTCTGTTACGGTAGCCGCTTGAGGCTCTTCATGACCGCCATTTGGAGGCCAATCGTAAGCGAAGACCCTGACCATCTCCGATCTTACCCGATCCTATTGGCTCCTGCTTATTCCCCACGACGGGGATCGCGATCCGTTTCATACCAAAAGGACTTTTCGAGTATTACATCTAGTTTCCATCGCAACGTGACCATTGTTCACATGACACGTACAAATATCCCAGTATCAGTCATTCGGAGTGTTTTGAAAGCTCAATGTTGCTACATCCGACCTCATGTCCCGCGCTCAGACCCTTTCCTGACTTTCTGTGACCACAGACACGTTGGACATAAGTTACATCACCTCAAACGAATCGTTGCTCCCACAGTCGCAGACGGCAGGTGTGACTTTGAGAACTTCAATATGCTTAGTCTGCATGTTACAAGCTGGCGCGGGAAGACGCAATCCGGCAAGCCAATACTATATGAGCGTCATGCTTCATGTGTTGGTTGTCAGATGTGTCGGCCAATCGATCGCCAACATAGGTAGTGATGGATCTAAGAGAAGCCATATGTCTTCTGGTCAAATCCATCTCAAAGGCAAGTAACAACGTCGGGCAGACATCCGCGAGGTAGAAATGTTCTGGTAGCATGCACGAACGCGCTTACCTAGGCGCTTGCCCAGAACGCTATCTTGAAGAGTCTGCAGTACACATCAACCATGATCATGTTCGCAAGATTCCAAGTGTGCTCTGGTGTTTCTCCGCAATGTGTCAATCTCTCCTGCCGATTGTTTGCCATACAGGATCCAGTCAGATCTCTCACCATACAAGCGCTCATCCTGCAGAAGAAGCTGAATTCGACAGTTAGCTGATAGAAAGCCCCAGAGGTGGTATCTATGCAGATTATGCAGTCACGACAATCACTCCCAAGACTTGCTACGTCTAGACGGCGCTGCAACGCCTCATGGTGATGCACTTTAATGCCTCTGTTCTGTCAATAGAAATCGGGCCTTGCATAGAACCATCTGTTCGGTGCGAATCCGTAGATACACCTTGTGAGCAGCACTTTGAGAACATGTATGCTGTAACATTCTCGTAGCCTGTATCCTCGTCTCAACTGTCGGCGATTGGAAAGTGTCAGTCGGCATCGATCTTGACATAAACTTGAGGTGCGTCGTTGAGACCATGGTCTCGGTCCGCCATATCCTACCCTCGTCGATTGCCAATACACCATAACTTCAAAGCAGATATTTTATTAAAGGTGCCTCTCCGACCGCAGAGTCAGGCATACGTCTCGAGGCAATCCCGAGTGTCTGGTACGTGATTATCAGTTTGCCGCCAGACTAGCCGCCGAGATCACCACAACTTGCGCTGATACCTATGATACCCATCATTGTGCACGTCGTACGATACCTGAAATTGCTCTCAGTGATGCTCCGCCTACTGGAAGCGCTTGCATGCTTGCGTGGTGGCTTCCAGAAGTAGGCCAATACCAGAGCGCCCAGTCAATGATAGCGAGGCTGTGGATGAAGATCAGGTAGCACACCAGCAATATAGTGGCTCAGCTTCACACCTTTATGCAGGATATCCTAAAAGAGCCGAAGACGATTGTTTCATGAGACGATACTCGCATGGGATTGGTCCCAAAAACATAAGGGGGGAATATCAAGCGGTTACCACTCGATATATAGCCTTTTGTGTGATGGAAGGCATAAGTACGATGAGATCCTCTGTCGATGACCACGATACAGTTCTGAATTCTCAATTGAACTTGACACTACTGCTACACCACAATCATGAGTTTTGGCTTCGGCGTTGGAGACTTCGTAGCAGTGGGAGAGCTGCTCTTTAAGTTATACTCTCAATACAAAGACGCACCTTACTATGTTCAAGGCACTCTCCAGGAGTAAGTGTCCAGTATCTCCCGAACAACAGTCTTCTTCTTGCCTCAGTGCTGATCTGTCCAAGTGTCGAAAAGATATCAGCCCACATACAGAACCAAGAAGACAGAAGCTTGACGGCGAGTTCAGATCCTGCCGATAGAGCCAGAATTGAACAGTGTTTCAAGAACTACAAAGACCTTGTCGAAGATCTAAAGATAGAACTGGACAGTTATAGAAAGTTGTCAGCTGTAGCGGCACCTGTAGACAAGCGAGTTTGGACAAAGTTGAAAGAGATTGGGTATGTTCATTCCTAACAGAAGTTCGGCTCAGTGTTCTGCTCGAAGATTGCTAGACAAGCGCTGGCTACGCAGGTTCTGCTGTATACTGACCAGTATACAGACAGCGTGTCAAAACTGATCAAAGGAGGCTAGCATATATTCGAGAACGCATACTTGGAGCGGTGAAGGTACTCGAACAGGATCTCCGGACTCTTGACTCTCAGCTCCTGCGCTACATCAACTCGAATGTCGAGGACACCAAAGCAGGAGTCGAGCGTACGGAAGCAGGAGGCCAGCGTACGGAAGCAGGCGTCGAACATCTAAAACAGCGCAACCTCGTCAGAGAGCAGGACCTCGAACTCAAGAAACGAGACTCTGAATTCCGAGCGGTTCTCAACTGGCTATGTCCATCGAAAGCCGATTATTCTGATAAACAGGCAGTACTCGGCAGTGAAAGACAGCGGGGAGTCGGAGAATGGTTTATCGGCACTCAAGAATTCAAGAGTTGGGCAAACGGAAATCGTCCTGCCCTCTTGTGCTCGGGTAAGCCAGGCGTCGGCAAAACCGTGATTACATCCTTCGTTGTCAGCCATATGCTCGAGAAGTATCGCAACGACCCGGAAACAGGCGTTGCATACATATACTGCCAATTTTCTCGACATCAGGAACAGACTGCAACGTCACTTCTATTGAGCGTCCTGCGACAACACCTTAAGTCGCACCACGTCATACCGGATCAAGTCAGGACTTTGTACCAATCAATCAAGGACGAGAGACGTCCGAGTCTCGAAGAGAGTTCTAGCCTCCTCAGCATTACGCTGAGCTTGTACAAGAAATCCTTCTTGGTTGTAGACGCCTTGGACGAATTGAGTGTTGCGAACATGGCTCGTGATGAATTTCTGTCCCAGATATTAGCCGTTTCGCGCAAGGTCAATATCAGTATCTACATTACGTCGAGATATACCGAAGACGTCGCTGAGGAGATACCGAGGGCTGTTCAGATTGAGCTTCGCAGCCAGCCGGAGGATCTGAGGTGCAGCGTGAACATGATCCTGGATAACGGATCTTTGCTTCGCAAGAGACCTGATCTTCGAAAGCGGACCATGTCCGAGATTCTGCTCGTGGCAGATGGAATGTCGGTATCAATAACCCACTGTCAGGTCACACGCGTGCTAATGACCCTTAGACTCCTTCTGGCTCGGGGTTATGCAAAGTATCTGGCTAACATCAAATACGAAGGCCAGCTTTCCCACGCTCTTGCAGATCTGAAGACTGTCTCGAATCCATATGAGGACCTTTACAACAAGGCAATGCAAAAAATGCAGACAGATTCTTGTGCAGACCACGACTTGGCCCTTATGACCATCAGCTGGATCTTCCTTGCCAAAAGACCCCTTCGTCTCGAGGAATTGCTCACTGCATTATCGGGTATTGGTAGTGATTTTTTCGACAAGAGAGACAAACCAGATGTCTCCATTCTCCTCAGTGTTTGCGCTGGACTGGTTGTCATCGATGAACTGAAAAATACCATCAGTTTGTTTCACAAAACCTTCAACGAATACCTGATCAACAAGAGGTCAATCTTATTTCCTAACGGAAATGAGACCATTGGCAAAACATGCGTCAGGTATCTCTCGCTTGAAGCATTCGCAAACGGTCCATGTCCCGAAGCGGTGGGTAAGATCGTCAGTCTCAACTACTTCGAAAGGCGCCGCCCTTTGGTCGAACGTCAGTTTCAATACCCTCTGTTCGAATATTCTTGCTCCTATTGGATGGTACATGCGCGAGGGACTGCCGCAGAAGTCGATCCTGAAGTACTTATATTCCTGAAGGATTCGAAGAGGGTATCTGCTGCTTGCCAAAGTAGTCGGAGCTATTATCCTAAGACCACAGGATTGCACGTCGCTTTGGAAAACATCCTGTTTCGATCCTTCTTATGTCTTCTTGAGAAGGGCCAGTTCGATCTCAATGGTCTGGATCATTTGGGAAGAGGTCCGCTCTCGTATGCTGTGATGTCCGGAAATCTGGAAGCAGTCGAGAAGCTTCTCCACCTAGGAGCCAATCCAGACCATGAAGACAGTCCTCAGAAGATCGGACTAGCAGCCTTGACACCACTAGCATGCGCAGCTGCTCAAGGCGACTACGCGGTCATTGAAGCTTTGCTCGACAAACATGCTCAGATTGATCTTCGCGACCGACATGGTCGCACGGCATTGATGTTCGCAGCGACAGCTACCTCGGGAGCAGCAACTCGCTTGTTACTCTCCAGAGGTAGCCAAGCAGATCGAGTAGACAACGAGAACCGCACGCCACTCTCGTTTGCTTCGGAAGCTGGATCAGACGCCGTTGTATCGCTTCTGCTGAAGCAGATTGTGGAGGTTGACTCCAAAGACAAGTCTTTGACAACCCCGCTGATGTATGCGGCTGTAAGCGGCTCGGAATCAGTCGTGTCTATACTTGCTTCTCGAGGAGCGGATGTAGACTCCAAAAATCTAAGAGGCGAAACCCCACTCTTGCTGGCCGCCCGCTCGAACCTACTGGCAACAGTACAATCGTTTGTCAGCAGAAAGGCCAACGTCTCCGTCGTAGGCGGGGACTTGATGCAAACTCCGCTCCATCATGCTGTCGATCATGGAAACGGACGCATGTCAAGGTTGTTGCTCGATGCAGGTGCTGATAAGGAAGCTAAAGACAACAATGGTGAGACGCCCATGGCATATGCGGCGAGAAATGGCTCATCTGAATTGTTACAATTATTGCTTGATCGCAAGTGCAAAGCGAACAGTTCCAACTACAAATACCGAAGTTGGTTGTCGTATGCCGCCGAAAGTGGATCACTGGAAGCAGTCAAGCTTCTCTTGGACCGCGGCGCTGAGATTTCTCATCCTGATCACACAAAACGTCCTGGCCCACTTCACTATGCTCTTCGAGCAGCATCGAATGGTCGTAATACCGAGAGCATGGTCCAATTGTTGCTTGAGAAAGGTGCCGACATCAACGAATCCAGAGGATTCGTGCATAAGAAATCTCCATTGATGGATGCACTCGAGCTGTTGCCGCCCTCAGGTCCACAAACATGGCGGCTTCTCAAGCTGCTTCTAGACCGCGGAGCCAACGCGAAGTGGACAGACGAACGCGGCAGGTCGATATTGGATCGTGCAAAACAGCACGAGAAGAGTGTCCGAGATTTGTTGAGGCAATATGGTGCCAAATGAGAGCACGTTTGTTGATTATCATGTATGACGCAACTGTATCTGTTCTATCGTTCATTGTTCTCTGTTTCTTGATGCAAAATATGACTCAGTAGAATGCACCTGCATTCTCAAACAATCATCTTCCGAAACTCCTGCGTGCGCCGTGATCTAACGGATCATCATCCACCGAAGACCTATGTGGGTATCTCAGACTTCTTTCTTCGTGGTTTTTCTTATGCCTTAAGGGGTTTGCTATCATCGCGAATGCCCTTCATTGACTTGAAGTACTGGGCGCCGTCGACCAGTCTACGCTCGTCATTCTGGCGGGAATTGACGAAGTCGGGGTAGAAGAGAGAGAGCTCAACAGAGCCGTTGACGATAGCGTCTACAGCCTCGACACCCTGCATGAAAGAGTGGTCTTGGTTGCCAACCTCGTAGCGCCAAGCGCCGAAACGGCCGCGAGAGTAGATATCCATGTCCTTGAGCTTAGGGAGAAGCTCCTTGAGAACACCCTCGCGCTCAAGAGAAGGAGTGGGGTAACCGTGGTCGAACTTGCGGTGGTAGGTGGAAACGATCTCGTCCTTGGGCTGGAGCATCTCGGTGTTAACGAGACCCTGGATACAGTCCTTGAGGAGGTTCTCTGAGTCGACAGGCTTCATGCTGGACTCTGAAACCTCGAGCATGATGCTCCAGTAAGGGCCCTCGTTGAGGCCGTCGCTCTCAGGCTTGGAGCCATCAGCAAGCTGCATAGTTGCGAGTTTCTTGGTAGCAACAGGCTGGTTGTGAGGAGAGTAGTTGGAGAAGATGGTTGCGCGGTAGAAGGGGCAGTCCGACTCGGGGAAGTAGAGCCAGCACTTGTCGCCAATGCGCTCGGGGCGGTGACCACGAATACCGACACCAATGACGTGGGTACTGCTGTAGAACAAGCCCTTGGAAAGCTGGTGAAGGTCGTGGTTGCCCATAGCCTCGGTAAGGAAGTCGACGGACATGGTCGAAATAAGCTTGCCGTACTTGATGGTGGTGCCATCCTTGAGGGAGACAGTGTGGGCATCGGCGTCAACCTTGGTAACGGTGGCATCGGGACCATACATCTTCTTGCTCTTAGGAATGGTGTTGTCGACGGCAATCCAGATGCCGCCAGTGCCACCTTCAGCAGGGAAACGGAAAGTGGCGTTGGGTCCCCAATTGCCGGCGGTTTTGTTCAAGATGACGTTCTTGGTGACAGTCTTGAGGTCGGGGGCAGCGACACGCTCACCGAGCCACTGGCACTGCATCTTGGTGGTCGGGACAGCCCAGACCTTGAAGTTGTAGGGACGCATGAACAAGTCGGCGATGCCCTCACCCATCATTCTGACGATCCACTCGTCGAAGTCCTTGGGCTTTGTGTTGGCAACTCTAGCCTCCATGGCGGCGTCAATCATGCCGTCAATACACTTAACCTGCTCCTCCTTGGGAAGCATGGAGATGTTGTTTTGGAAGGGGTAGGGGACCCACTGCTCCTTGCAGCGAACGTAGGAGATTCTCTGGTGGGTGTACCAGTCGGTCTCGTGGGGGAGAGCCTCGTTGATGCAGTCGTCGAAGTACTTGTAGTGCGAGAAGATAACGTGGCCGCCAACATCGTAGAGCTGTTCTTTGTCGTTAGCGCTGCTCAAACTTGCTCCTGAGGCATTCTGTCAAGCTACTCACGAAGCCCTCTTTGGTGATGTCGGTCGAGGCAAGACCACCGGGAACAGGATTGGAGTCGACAATCATCCATGACTGATCGTTGAGCTGGTTCAGACGCTTTGCGGCACCGAGACCAGTCGGGCCAGCACCAATGACGAGAACGTCAACCTCACTGTGTATACTCGTCAGCAGAGTTGAGGTGGCAACGGCTCGTATTCGAAGCTCACATTTGCTTCGACATTGTGACGGAGGGGTGAAAGAAGGGATTAAAGGAATTAAAACACAACAAGGACGGAGCAATGAACGAGGGTATCACTGGAGAGCAAAGAGAGCAGCAAGAGCGAGCGTTGACCAGGACTTTTAAAAAGTGATTGCTGTGATTGGGAAAAAGGAGGTGAGTCGCCGCTCTCAATACTTGGCAGGCATTCGCAGGGTCCGACCTCAGCATCGCCGCCCTCAAGTTTCAACATCAGAGATCCTTGCCGCACTAGGCCGCCCCACCATCCCGAATCCAGACTCTCCATCAACCATCACATCTCCCTCTATATGACCACCATCTAACTACATGACAGATCTACAATCGCAATGTCAGTCGCCCGAATACTTGTCAATTGATCTCGCTTTGGACGTGGCGATTCGGTAACGGTAAGTAAGCATGGCATACAGATCTGCCATAAATCACAGCCACCTTCTACACGCGTCCGGCTTGCATGCCGAAGCAACAATGTTTGACGGATTTTGTGGCATTCTTCAAGTTACACAAGTGCAATCTTGAGATGTGATCAAGCTCGGCCAAGCTTCGTTCAGAAGCTGCAATTGACCTCCCTTGGGCCTGTCCACAGAGGAAGCGTGTTTACATTGATTGGGCCAGATGATACTGTAGATGGGAAGGAGAAGAGAAGGGGACATGATGTGCCGTGCAGCATGTTTTGACCATGACAACTGTATGACGGCGGCTCGGAGAGGCGGCGGATGAGTCCCCAGCTGAGAAACATGGTGCATAGGGCAATCAGCAAGCGACAGCGACATGTTCACGCAAACAATTGCACCGTGTTTGAAGATGAAACTTGCAGTATTCAGATCGTCGTGGTATCGACGGTGGTCAAGGGTGGCAGGGTGGATGTGATTGCGCGTCCGAGGAAGGTGAAGCGGGTTGAAGCGCGTGTCAACGTTTCGATCAAGCGGCTCCACTTGCAAAGCGTCGGCCTTCCAAGCTTCTGACGATGCATGCAATCAAGGGGCTGTTCAAAACTTGTCCCTACCTCTTCAACCAAATTTCACCCCGTCCTTCTCTCTTCATTCTTTGCTCCGTCCGCAACTCGCATACTGTTCGCTGGTCACCCCCCTCGAGCAGCGCATTGATCTCCTCGACTCGATAACCCCGAAACGCCACACTTTGCGCAATGGAGAAGGAAAGAACATCTGGTGAGGTCGAGAGACCAGAGCAGGCCGAGCCTGTTTTGCCCACCGTCAATCCAGCGCTCGAGAAGCCTGCTCCTCCCCAGAGCAGCATCCACCCCGCTCTCTATGTCGTGTAGGTCACGCCCAAGGAACAAAGCGCATTGGTCGAGGACGGCAGCTGATAGCGTGCGCAGTGTCTGGATTGCAATGAGCTCCAGCGTCATCCTGTTCAACAAGTACATTCTCGATAAGAAGCAATTGAATTTCCGTGAGTCTGCCTCGCAAGCGACTAAACAACAACAGCTCATCTTCTTGCAGAATTTCCCATCTTCCTCACAACATGGCATCTCGGGTTTGCGACCATTTGCACCCAGATCCTCGCTCGTTTCACCACTGTTCTGGACTCAAGAAAGAAGGTGCCCATGAACGGCAGAGTCTATCTTAGAGCCATTGTCCCCATTGGTATCTTCTTCTCTCTGTCCCTCATCTGTGGCAACCTCACCTACCTCTACCTTTCGGTCTCTTTCATTCAGATGCTCAAGGTATGACGAAGAAGCTCATGTCCAAGCTCTCTAGAGCGAGAACTCATTCTATCACAGGCCACCACCCCTGTCGCTGTCCTGATCACCTCCTGGGTCATGGGCTTGTCTCCTCCGAACATGAAGACCCTAGGAAACGTGTCTTTCATCGTCATTGGTGTCATTATCGCCTCGTTCGGTGAAATCCAGTTCGTCATGCTCGGTTTCCTCCTCCAGGTCGCTGGTATCATCTTCGAGGCCATCCGCTTGACCATGGTCCAGCGCCTTCTGTCTTCTGCCGAGTTCAAGATGGACCCTCTGGTCTCACTCTACTACTTCGCTCCCGCATGTACCATCATGAACGGAATTGTCGCTCTGCTCGTTGAGGTCCCCTCCATGACCTGGGCTGATTTTGACCGTGTCGGTTACTTCACCCTTTTGCTCAACGCCATGGTCGCCTTTGGTCTGAACGTTTCCGTCGTCTTCCTCGTACGTGTCTTTCTGTGCGCCCTACGCAACTTGTGGCTAACAGAATCTACAGATTGGCAGAACTTCCTCGCTCGTTCTTACACTTTGCGGTGTTCTCAAGGACATTCTTCTCGTCATGGCATCGATGCTCATCTTCCGCGACCCCGTTGCACCTCTGCAATTCTTCGGTTACTCCATCGCCCTCGGTGGTCTTGTCTACTACAAGCTCGGAGCCGACGCTCTCAAGGAATACGCTGGTGGTGCTGGTCGCGCCTGGGCAGACTACGGTGCTAGACACCCTGCACTCAGAAAGCTCATCGTTTTCGGTGGTGTGCTTTTCGTCCTCTTCGTTGTCCTCGGCTCGTTCAGCTCCTCTCTGCCTGTTGACCCCAAGTCATATGTCGACAACAAGTACAGCAGCTTCTTCGGCAACACTGGCGCATAGAGTCTTTGAGAAACGTCCAATTCATAGGCAGAGGACGACGTCACTTTTTAGCACGCTGGAAGCAAGTCTCCTGCTGCAAGCAAAAAGAAACAATATAATACTGTGAATGATTATTGGGATGCGAGGCGATACCAGGTCAAGGGTATCCCGCACTCAGAGCATGAGATGTGGGAGGTTCGGAGTTTTTGCTACAATGTTACGAACTATCAAAATCAATTACCTTTCAAAAATGACAGCTCTCGCCATCCATGCAATTGTACACATTTTTTTCTCTATTCAACAGCTTTGCCCGTTTGACAAACAGTCGCCAGCAGTTACACCAAGAATCGATTAAGCTCGCATGCAGCTTTGTGAAATCAAACGTCTTTTTTCTCAGAAACATGGAAACAGCCCGCGGGAACTCTAAAAGCGGCAGAAAGAAAAGAAGGCTTGTTTGCTACAGACGCGCGTTGGGCCACCTACAATGTGTTTGCTGCCCTGCCACTTCCCCTTCCTGTGATTGAAGGAGATGTATCAATCTCCGTAATCGCCCATGAACCGAATGGCTGGAGAGAAAAGGCGCAGCACAAAAGTATGGAAGGTCAAATCTCGGTGGCTCTTTTTGTTTATCTTTGGCTTGCTTGATTGGGTGGTTGGGTTAATGTATTGCGGCTTGTAGCTCCGGGTATACAGGCGTCATCGATGAGTTTACCTGCTTTCTGCCTTCCGCTTTCTTGTTGTACGCCGCACTTTTCGCGCGTCTTGGCTTGGGCAACACGCGGATCCTATCTCCTGTAGCTCGCAAAGAACTCACACCTACAGTAGCGAGTGCGGCTAGGACCTCGGAGTTCGGATAGCGCACAAACAGAAGACATTGTCCGACGTTGATGGGTGTGGTGTTCGAGTCGAGTGCTTAATCTCCACTGACATCGTGCTCGCTCTGGACTCTGAAACGAGGATACTGACTCGAGTGGCTAGTTTCAGGTACAATGTCCTTCTCTCCAATCTCCGTTTCGGCTATTGTCAGATAGCGCCGATAGTCTTGGGATGGATTGGTCTGTCAGCTACTTGGCTCCTCATGGTTGAAGTTCGTGAGACGAGAAAGCACCGCCAGGAGGCGTCACTTCCTCTGACTTAACACACCACAAATCGGGATAACAGAAAATTGCATATTCGAAAGCTGGCTACCTCCTCGAAGACCACACTCCCACTAAGTCAGCATTGCAAACAAGAAAGCAGGTGCCATCTCAACGACAGCTCGCCAGAGTCAGGAGATATTCTTCGAAGGCAACACTCCAGACAAAAACTCGCCAAAGACCTTCAATTGCTGCCTCTCCTCCTCGATGGCGGTGACCTTCTTCTGCGCATGAGCGGCCAGCTGCTTTGTCTTTGCGCATTCGTTCATGACGTCTGAGTGTGCTCGAGACCTGCGGTCGTTCTCTTCCCATGCCAGGTGCACATGTTTGTGCGCAATGGTCTGCCACTCCTCACGGGTTTTTCTGTCCTTCGCGCCGTCCAGGTCAGCCTTTGCTGTGGCATTATTGATTTCAGTCCAGAAGGTCTCCATCTTGCTGAACTCAGCGCTGGATAGGGACAGTTGATTTTCACACTCTTCAACACATTTTTGGACCTTAGGAAGTGTGGTTTGGAGTGTGGTAAGATTGCTTCGTGCCTCTCGCAGCTCTTTCTCAAGGTGAGTGTCTGCTTGGCCTTTGCATTTCTTCCAGGCTTCGTAGAGATGGCTAGTCTTGGAGAGCAAGGTTTCGAGATTTGGATCCGATTTGCTGGTTGTGGGCGAGGATGTGGCGTTGCTGTTCAAGCTGTCCTTGCGCTCCATTCTGGCGAAGGCTGCCACATTGGTGGGCGTATTTGGGATTGCCTGGACATTGGTCAGCCATGTTTCCGAACACGGAAGGAGCTATCGCGACACCTACCTGCTGCAACTTTGGCTTCTTGCTTGGTGTTGGGCTTGTAGCCATTGAAGTGTCAATTGGCGTTCCTCTTTTCACACTGCTGGTGTTCTGGCGCTCATCAGGCCTTCTTGCAGAGTGTGGAGGCATAGCTGCAGGATAGTGATAGCCTGGTTCTTTCGGACCGTTAAAGCCGCCGGTCCAGTACTTTGTCGGATTGGTATCGACTTCTCTACAGTGAGGGCACTTCTGGAAGTTTTGTTTGTTGACAGCCTCGTAGTCGGCTTTTGGCCACCACTTATCGCAGCCGTCTTTGTCGCAAAGTTGTAGGTCTGATGGTTTCACCTCTAAATGGGAAAGTGCCATGGATGATGTTCGCGACAAATAAAAGGGAAGGAGCCGCTGACAAGCGACCCAAGATGGATTGAGGAGGGCAGTGTGAAGCAGTGAAGGAGGTTTGTGTGGACTGCGGCGACGATGCGAGGTTATTTGTCGTAGAGGGAGTCACGATGCGACTACACAAGGTGGGAACTTCGGTAAGTGCTTGGTGTAAACCGCTTTGTGTGTTGCTGATTTGAGAGACCTGCAGACGGGAACAAACGCATGCCCAACACGAACGGATTCATGGTCTTAGCTTGATTCGTCCAAGTACCGCACGTAGACTGTGGGTAGGTGTATCAGCGTATGACACTTCCAAGAAACAGAGCAATGTCCGTTGATGATGGTTTGCTCGTCAGCTCTTGAGGACACTTGATGACTGCGTTATACTGCAGCCGTATGAGTCTCACGACGGCGTACGCAGAGATAGAGTGGTCTGATCGCTTCGCATACTGGCTTGAAGTGTTGGATTGCTTGGAGCATGGTGCTCAGGCTTTTTGTCGAATTCAATGCTTTGTAAGAGAGTTCAATCGGCTTTTAGACAAGTTGTACTACTGCATGCATATGACCTCTCTACAGTACATTTGGAGGGAACATGATTTGCAGAATCAACTGAATCTCCGCTGCATGGATTCTCTGCAGACACCCGCGTGGTCTGAAACAGGTACAGCCTATGAGCTCTCAGCTGAACACCTCGGGAATTTTGAACTAGGTTTCTGTCGCCGCTATTGACACGAGAGACGAGCATAGCCAAAGGTTCTCGCCCTGCTTTTTACTAGTCTTCCTGAACATACGACAAGATAGACATCGGAAGCTTGCATGGTCTGTCTTTGAAGTCTTGTTGATCGTCAACAACCCCTGATGCCAAAAGCATACACTGTTGGAAGGAGGTGAACCCTTTCCAAAGTTTTTCGCTCCAAAACACCACGATTGCAGAAGGAGCTTTCTTGATATTTTCCTGACCCCATTAGGCGGCGAAAGTCAATCTCCACTTCCTCGATCATTCTGTCTTTGTCTTTTCCACTCCATGGATATTTCTCGGACCGCTGGACTTCTCCGCCTTATCAACTGCTCTCTGTTACCGTCGTTCATTGCGGAGCCGTTGGTAACGACTTACCTATGACCTGATCATCTCCTCTTGAGCCACTGTTTCAACATGGCAGCATCCTCTATCAAGCATTGGTATAATGAACTCTTGCCAAACCGGCGCGGCTCCTCGGCAAACGTACCCATGAATTCACCTATGGAAATGTCTACACCTTCCCCTAAGAAAGCAAGACAAGAACCTACAAATCGTCCACCGTCCGAGCCTCGCCGCAGACACCCTCGACACCCAGATTTTGTTCCAACCGACTCAAATCACGAGCAGCTCTTCCAGACCTTTCCGAACGACAGTGATTATCCAATTGTGATACGCAGATTTTCTTACCAATCCAGAGCAAAACTGAAAATACACCCGATTGGCGAAGCCAAGGACAGCATACTATATGCCTCAACACCGCACGAATCTCACTTTGAAGCAGGATCCACCCGCAACGTAGATAATTCCGCTGCTGTACCCCAGCAGCTTAACCTGTGCATTCACGACTGCGAATCGTGCAATCTCATTTGGGCCCGACCGAAGCTCAAAGAGTCTATCCATCCACTCCACTACGACTCTATGGACGGTAAGACAACATCACTTGTTGTCTTCATCAGCGGGATCGTTTACCGCAAGGGATAGTATCACTTCACGCCGATTAGTCTCGGGGTGTTTTTCAACATGCAGTCGAAGCTGAACTTCTCGGATGCGTACAATCTGGCATTTCGGACTGAGAATATTGACCCGTTGCTACCAGAGCTGTTTGTTGCGCAACGAGCGCTCAGCACTGTCCGCTCCGTGATCGCCCCCGACAGGCTGGCTAGATTACGAAGAGCTGGTCTCTCACATGGTTGGTCGGAGGAAGACATCGGAGCTGTTGCACGCTTCCGCCTCATCGTCGCAACTGAATCTCGTGAACTGATTGATGAGATGAATACTTGGGAGTCTGGCAATCAGGTTCAACGGTTGATGATGGGTAGTATGGCCAGGAAGAAGGGTGCTTTGATTGATTTGATGGATCAGATTGATGCTTTGTCAAGGCTTGGAATTCAGGTGGTCTGGCATCACGTTAGCAGGATGGAGAACAGACCGGCAATCAATTTGGCGAAGGAGGCAGTTGTCGAACATTGTACGAAGAACTGGGGATTCCTGAGCTGATGAGTCTGCGATGTTGCGGTTCTGAGTAGCAAACCATCCACCTGAGCACAAGCAGAGGCGCTCGTCAAGCTTCAGTATAGGAACCTAGCGGTGTAGATGGACTCAGGGTTAGAGGCGGCGGGGCACTGGCCGCATAGTAGTCACTTTGAGCTCAAACACTTCTTCGTACACTTCGATGTAATGGCGACAATTTCGGATATGGCTGGGCGAGTGTTCATCGAACCAATCAAGATGACAAACGATTTGATCACGGAATTGTACTTAACAACACCACAAGCTACCATCTCCACATTGTAATACACCATGCAGCGCATCTTCCTGCATGTCATCCCCGGGACCCCTGACTACTGAAAAATATTTTCCTCCTCACTTCCGCTTCCCTCACGATCTCTGCGCTTAATTTCAAGCTCGGAGCCAGATGGGCCAGTCTGTTCAGTTCATTCACGACTTCTGCAATAACGACTTCCACAGAAATAGTGGGTGGTAAGAGAGCAGCGAGTCTAGGGGACATGGTGGCCCCCATGACCAACAGAGTCTGAGAGACTAGACTGAGGGCACCTTGCCACAGATATGGAAGATGACCAACTTGACTAAAGGACTCATTAGCTTGACCGCTGCGATACGTCAAACCTGGAGGGGTAATTGACTTACTGTGCAGAAACATTATCAATCTGTCTGAGACATGCTTCGAGGCATTTTCGACAGTTTTCTCTGACTACCTGATCGGAGACTGCGTTCTCATCCGAGAGTACGGCAAAGACGTAGGGTCGAAAGATGATAGTTCTGCATGCAAAGTATCGTAGTCGTAAACATACTTGACCAGGTGAGTCGGCGGTCTGAGTCGTCATGGGAAACTTGATGGGTTGAGGCAGACCCTCATACCATTGTGACAATTGAAAGTCAAGTTCAGCAGTAACTCGTGCTAGTTTTGAGGTGGGAGCTGTGGTCGGTGTTTTGACGTAGAGTAAATGACTGACTCGGTTGAGAAGTCTGCGTAATGCGATTTCTGCGAGGAAGTACCATAGTTCATCTTTACTGGTGTACTCTCCACCCACATCGGAGAAGGGGCCTGGCAAGCCAACTATGTCCTCGAAATTGACGATACCGGAGTGTGGTAGTTCCAGCTCTGCAAGAAGGTCCGATTCTGCTAATAGAGTGTCCCAGAAAAGTCTGACGAGAAGCTCTCTTTGCGAGGTAGGCACTCGATCTGGGACGCCGAGGACTAGCTGTAGCTTTGTAGAAGCGATCGTGATCATATTCCATGCCTCCAGAGGGCGGACGAGATAGAACAGATATGCCGCAGCTAGAATGTAGCATTGTACAGCTGGTATGTCATTGCGTATTGCCAAATTCGGTATGATCTTCCACGCTGATGCGAAGTAGTCGATGCCACGCGGCTCACCAATGTGAGGATGTCTTGAGATACTTCCACCATGAGCCGCTGAGCCAAGAGCGAGAACTAGCAGGACCAGACAGCTGTCTGCTCCTTGAATGAATCCAACAGAGGTCGCCTCGCGATAGTGGTTAGGCCATGCATGTGGATTCACACATGCATACCAGACGTTGACCAAATCGAAGTAAGAGCTGGCATAGACTGCCGTGTTCGCCATATCTGGTCGAGGGAAATGTGGAAGATTGATCGGAGGTCGGGACATCTCCATCTCTACCAGGACTTGCGGGTCTAGAGGTTGCGAGACCAAATCTCGAATGAGCGGCCACTGTAAGAGATTCAGGGCCGGAGTAGTATGTCCTTTCGGCATAGTTGAAATGTTGACACTGTCCCAGGTACCCAGACCGTTTAAGCGATTATTCTCCAGAGCAACGCTACAGCTGATACGTCTTGTAGAGGCGTCGTCTGCAGTACTGGTGCTTGCAGTGGGAGACGTCCCTGTGGGAGGCGCTGTTCTGGTAATGTTGTTCGAGTTCATGTGTGCCGAAGTCATGGCAGATTGCAGCATATCTTCGAGGTGAGATAATCTTTCTAGGATGAGTTTGTCGCCCGCATCTAGCTTAATACCAGGTTCTCGATATATACATCGTGCGTCGAGTTCAATGCATAATTTGCATCTTGCTGTGAAATATGATCAGCTTTGGTAATCTTGTTCGCCGAACGTGACATACGCTTGCCACCATCACATCTTGACTTTCGGCTTCGACAAATTTCGCAGGCGATAATGGCTCGCTTTCGAGGATAGTCGAGCGGCTCGTGAGCCAGACCCCGGGTTAAGTGATCGATAGGCGTTCCATCTTGAACAGCACCATCTCTTGGGGACTCGGAGACAGTCCGTGGTCTCTTCGGTGGACTCGCCCGCGACATGACTAGGTCTCGAAGTGCAAACTCACGAAATGTTGCCCGAATTAGGCAACGACTCCTCTGGCTACGACTCCTCTGGCTGAGAGGATTTCCCTGCCAAATCCGAAAAGTCGAAATGGTTTGCTCAAGTCGCGGTAAAGGAGCGTCTGGGTATGAGTGGGCGCATGAGACATTTACACAGGTAAGCACATGAAGGATGATCACGTAGTATAGACATGATGGCTAGGTCAAGAGTGCAGGACAAAGAACACGATGCGGAGTCGGTGATTTGATCCTCTCCACCTTCCTCGTTCACTCGTTCTTCTAGGGTCGCCTCGGCCCGGCCGCTAGCGTGGATATCCCGCATATTGCAACTTTTTTTCTGAGGCGTCGCAACTCTGTCGCATCCACCACCAACACACACATCATGGGCAAGAGAGAACGCGAAGAGGCTACGGCCACCGAGATCAACAAGAAGGTCAAGAAGGACAAGAAGGAGAAGTCGGACGATCCCGAAAAGGCGGCTCGCAAGGCTGCACGCAAGGCTGCAAAGGAGCAGAAGAACAGCGAAGGCACCTCTGCTGAGGCCTCTGCCGACGATGCTAAGGCTGAAGCAAAGGCCGCAAAGAAGGCTGCAAAGGCTGCTAAGGCTGCTAAGGCCGAGTCTACCACCTCCATCGCCGCCGAGCCTGTTGCCGCCACTGTCGCTGCTACTGGTGGCTACACCGAGCACCCCGGCCTGACCGCTCTGCCGCAATCCGAGATTGATGCTTTCATCGCCGAGAAGTTCATCAGCGTCACCGACGAGGCCAAGGCATCGCCCGCCTACAGACCCATCACCTCGTTCGACTACGTCCCCATCACCGACAAGGCCCAGCGCGCACCTTTTGCCAACTTCAAGACTCCCTCGCCCATCCAGGCCGCCGCCTGGCCATACCTTTATGCTGGAAGAGATGTCATTGGCGTTGCCGAGACTGGTTCCGGAAAGACAATGGGCTTCGGTGTCCCCTGCGTGAGATACATCTCTTCTCTGTCCGCCAAGGAGCAGAAGAAGGGTATCAAGGCCTGCATTGTTTCTCCCACCAGAGAACTCGCTGTCCAGATTCAGGAGCAGCTTGTCAAGCTCGCCGAGCCTGCTGGCCTCAAGGCTGTCTGTGTCTACGGTGGTGTGAACAAGGACCAGCAGCGTGCAACTCTGACCGGTGCTCACATTGTTGTTGCTACTCCTGGACGTTTGAACGACTTTGTCAGCGAAGGCTCAATTGACCTCAGCAATGTCACTTACGCTGTTCTGGACGAGGCCGACCGCATGCTTGACAAAGGGTTCGAAGAGGAGGTTCGCAAGATTCTCGGAAGCTGTGCACCCACTGGCCGTCAAACTCTCATGTTCACCGCAACATGGCCTCCATCGGTTCGCGAGCTTGCCGCTACTTTCATGAAGAAGCCCGTTCGCATCAACATCGGTGAGAACACCACTGGAGAGTTGCGTGCCAACACCAGAATCGTTCAAGAAGTGGAGGTTATGGACTCCTACGACAAGAACGACCGTTTGATCACTCTTCTCAAGAAGTACCAGAGTGGCAAGAACAAGGAGGACCGTATCTTGGTCTTCTGCTTGTACAAGAAGGAGGCCACCAGAATTGAAGGCTTCATTCGTTCCAAGGGCTTCAACGTCGGTGGTATCCACGGTGATCTGAGCCAGGACCAGCGTCAGAGAAGTTTGGACGCATTCAAGGCAGGCAAGGTTCCGCTTCTTGTCGCCACCGATGTCGCTGCCAGAGGTCTGGATATCCCTGCTGTCAAGGTCGTCATCAACGTCACTTTCCCCCTGACAGTTGAGGACTACGTCCACCGCATCGGTCGTACTGGCCGTGCTGGTCAGGATGGTAGAGCCATCACCTTCTTCACCGACCACGAGAAGGGTCTTGCTGGCGGTCTGATCAACGTCCTCAAGGGCGCCAACCAGCCCGTCCCTGAGAATCTGATGAAGTTCGGTACCACCGTCAAGAAGAAGGCTCACGACGCATATGGCGCTTTCTACAAGGACCCTGGTGAAATGAAGGCTGCCACCAAGGTCACTTTTGATGACTAGTTTTGTTATTGGGTATACCTCACCGGAGCATGCATATATTACGGCGTTACGGACGGATTTTGTACGACATAGATGGTCCTTAGTTAGACTCAACCAAAAGTATTGTCTGAACCACTCAAAGAACTTTCGGGTACAATTTTGTGATGCAGCAAGATTTGAGCTCGTCTCTTCACAAGCTGACATGCCTTGGAAGGCTTGGCAGAGTTCGGGGATGACGGGCACCGTTTTGGAGTCGGTCTTTACGTCGGCGACCTTATCTTCTCTAACGCGAATATAAATCCAATCCCTACTCAATTCGTCTGCAATCTCCTACGACAAATCTCATTTCACGAGCAATCATGTGTAAAGGCGCCGTGTGCGACAACTGCAGTCAGTGACATCGCATCAAATCCTCCCAGCCCCGCCACCCGCCGCATCTCACCCCCACCAGCCAGCCTCGTCTTTATGAGGTAATGTTCTTGCTGACCACTTCGACAGGCAAGCGCACCTGGTTTGGCTGTGGTATGCATGTACCAGCCGTCATGGACTCGATCCCCAAGGACGAGTGGTGTGGCTGTGAGCCCAAGACAGAAAAGAACGGCACTGAATACCCTCCTATGGGTAAGTTGATTATACTGCCTCAATATCAAGCTGACTGATATTCTGCAGGTAGTATGACTGGTGTAGCAAAGGCTATGGCTGGTAACTGATCACAATTTCTGGACTAGATACATGTTTGGAAACTTCTTGGACATGCTCGATATGACGAGCATGATGTTGGAATCTCGAGATATTACTCAATTTCCACAATACTACAACTTGGCAACCAGCCTCAAACTTCCTTCTGCAGATGTAACTTCATTCCCTGTATAGGTGTGTTGCTACTCATACTGACCATCTGAAAAATGCAAGGCATATGCCCACGTCTCCGGCCTTGTTCCATACATATGCTGATCGCTGACATCTGTTCATTTAATTCGTTCCTTCCATTTGGCGTCCATTAGGCTTGATCCTCAAGGCTTACTAGCCACCGGATCGTCACATTTGTTCGTTGATGCTCGTACTGACTTCTCCAAGGATGACCAGCCAAAACAAGGTTCGAGGAGCCGAAGTTTGTACCTTTCGAGGCCAAGCCTTCAATCATGGTTGTTGCCCTGTTTCCTGCAGAAATCACATCTTTCCTCGCAAGTCATCCACATCCACAGCATGAATTTACGCCTCATGATGCGCTAGTTCCAAGTGTCACGATATGGCTCTGCATGGTATGCCATGACAGCATAGCACAGTAGGTCCAAGGCTGCTGCCACTGGTCAGCACCAGATAACCAGCCTTCCCTCCTCTCACAGCTGCGGGTTTCCTCTTGTACGAGTGTCTCCTTCCATGAACAACTCTTAAGCTATCAGCAGTGTAACATGTCAAACGCAACAGGACTGCAAGCAGGCAGCCTCGCACCCTTGTTTTGGGCTCATGTCTCTATTGATGGTACTGGCCATCCTAAAGTCCTGCGCTCGTACGGGACTACCGTCTCCTCCACTTGCGATGAGAGTGATGGCATGGGTGCAGCTTCTGCAAGTCGCGTCTCTGGACCCGGCTCGGACCATCATCCAAGGTCTTCGATCTCTTCGGCCGCATCGACAATGTCGACAGAATCTACGACCACACCACCAGAGTCGCTGGTATCTGGATATCCAGTTCGCGTCAAGATCAGACGAGCGTCTCGGGCGCGCCAACCGGTGTTACGCAGATGCTGCTCACCGACCACCGAGAGCCTTCGTGAGATACGGCAAAGACAATCTGAAGAAGACCTGCGAAACCTATACGAAGCACAGACTCTGGCATATCTTAACGACGCGATCCAATTCTGAGTCGCACACGTACAGTACGTCTCAACAATCATGGTCAGCAATCAGCATGGTGGCACTGGATAAAGTGGCATTGACAGAAGCGACCCCGAGAACGAAAGAGCTTGAAGGTGGGAAGCCTCGGCCAGTCGAAACGCTCCGCAGAATGGCGTCACAGGAAACCCCACCAAAACATCATGGTGCTTACTAAAGCCTCGTTTTGAAGATGCCGATTTATCCTTTGAGGAAACTGTTGCGGAGCAAGACATTATTTACCGAAATACTCTTCACGCGACTCGGAAATATTTACTTCCAAACCCACAAGCTCACAGTACCATACAGCAGACATAATGGTCAGCATGCGCGCAGTCGGTAAGTTTCGAAGCTGCATTGAAGCTGTCCATAACATGTAACTGATCCGATATACAGATATCAAGGATGGCAAGGGTCCTGCCACCTCCCTGTTCATCAATGAGATTGAACGTCCCAAGCCCACCGCCGCCCAAGCACTCATCCGCGTCAAGGCCTTCGGTCTCAACCGCATGGACCTTCTTCAACGCGAGGGCCAGTACCCCCTGCCTCCTCAGGCACCCAAGACTCTCGGTGTTGAGTTCAGTGGTATAATTGAAGAGCTCGCATCTGAGAGCGAGAGCGGTTTCAAGAAGGGCGACGCTGTGTTTGGTCTGGCATACGGTGGTGCTTATGCAGAGTACATTGTCGTGAGCACCCACATGCTCGTGCACAAGCCTGATGAGTTGAGCTTCGAGGAGTGTGCTGGTATTCCCGAGGTATGTTTCTTTCCCGATTACTCGAACGTATGCTGACGTGGGCCACACTAGACCTGGATTACAGCTCTCCAAGCAATGTACATGGTAGCAGACTACAAGCCTGGACAATCGATCCTCTGGCACGCTGGCGCAAGTAACGTCTCAATCGCCGGTATCCAACTCTCCAAAGTCGACTCTGCATCCAAGATCTTCGCAACCACCCGCTCGGACGAGAAGAACAAGTTCGTCGTCGAGAAGCTCGGCGCAACCGCAGCATTCAATTCGGAATCTCAAGATTGGGCTGAGGAGATACTGAAGGCCACGGACGGCCAAGGTGTGGACATTATTGTCGACTTCATGGGTGCCGGCTTCTTCGCCAACAACCTGAAGGCTGCCGCCAAGGACGCTCATATTGTCACTCTGGCCGCATTGACTGGCTTAAATCTGCCCGCTGACACCAACATCGGTGCTTTTCTTTTCAAGAGAGTGAGACTCGAGGGCTCAACTCTCAGAGCAAGAGACGAAAAGTATCAGGGCAAGTTGAGAGATCAGCTTGTCGAGCACGCATTGCCCAAGTTCAAGGATGGCACTTTCAAGGCCTACGTGGAGAAGGTTATGGACTGGGAGAAGATTGTCGAAGCGCATCAGCTCATGGAGTCTAACAAGACCAAGGGCAAGATCATTATGACCATTGATTGGTAGGGTGCCTCTTGTACACAAAACATCTGCTAGTATTTTATACACGAAGTCACGTCCCAGCTTCCACTCCGTTTTAGCGATATTGTCACACCTGTAGCTGTCTCAAAGGACAGTGCTTTCTCGAAGTTGTAGCGATGACAATGAGATATGTCATCTCATCAACTCTCTTCGCTAGTGCTGCTGATATAGAATATGCCTTTACCTTGTCGCAACTCGTCATTGCTGTGGCTTCTGAATGTCGACGCCACCTACGTAATGCAGTCGCTTTTTGGGATATGCCATGTAGGGCAGGGTGATCCTGGTATCAGTAGTTCGAAGCAATGATTCCGATTTACATAGCCCAGCACGACATCTGAAGCATTGGACGTAAGCTGTGAGTAGTCTAGAGTGGGTTTTATGGACAGGTCGTCAGTCTCGGTACGTCTGGAGATGCCGTCGTTGAGCGGTGATCAAAATTATCTTTAGAGCAGGCGTATTCTGGGAAGTGACTCCGCGATACATGATTTACCCACGACAGTGACCGTGTGGGTGCAGTCAATGTAGAAGTTGCGTCGAGGTAGCTCTATGTAGCGCGACCGTCTGGGACACGAAATGTCTGTTATGCCCAACATCGTTCCGATAGATATGTCATGCTTCCGGCCATGAGTGAGCTACCTCCAGCTGATACCTTCGCGATGCCTTCAAGTGGGATGAGATGCTAGACGCCAAGGATTCACTTCTGCCTCAAACGCGCGACGCGTCTCCAAAAGTCGTGGCGTGCCTTCCTAGTTTCACGCCTCTCGCAACAACATTTGCTATCACGACAATTACGCCCGCTTTCCTGCCGTCATCTCACACGAAGCTGCGTTGATCGTATCCAACAAGTCCGACTAGCAAGCACATACTCAACCCAACATGGCAAACCCTATGGACGCCATCACGACAGGCTGCCTCCGCCGCGTTTTCGCTGGCGAGCAGATCCAGGATCCTGTTGTTCAATGTGTTCAGATCAAGCCCATGAACAACTCAGCGACCGGTGTCGAGAGATTTCGCGTTGTCTTCAACGACACTGTCAACTTCATCCAGAGCATGCTTGCTCAGCAGACCAATCACATAGTGCACGATGGCAAGCTGAAGAAGGGCTCTCTTGTAAAGCTCAAGCAATTCCAAGCCAACTCCGTCAAGGACAAGCCGTGAGTATAGCACCAAGACTTCTGCACTGATGTCGTATCTGACCTATCTGCAGCATTCTCGTTATCATCGACCTTGAAGTCCTCGACGAGTACGGCGAGTGCGACAAGCTGGGTCAGCCCGGTCCGCTTGAGGTTGTCAAGTCCGAATCCGACTCTGCTGCCGCCCCGACACCTCAAGCTCAACCCGCTGCCATCTCTGGTAACCAGTTCTACGGTAACAAGCCTCAACAACAGCAACCACAGCAACAGCAGCAATCCGCTCCACAAAAACAACTCCCAACACGCTCGAGTGGTCAAAACGGCCCCCGGGGCAGCAACATCCACCCTATCGAAGCTTTATCACCATACCAGCCCAAATGGACCATCAAGGCTAGATGTTCGCAAAAGGGCGGTATCAAGGAGTGGCACAACAAGAACGGAGAGGGCAAGCTCTTCAGCTGCAACTTCCTCGACGAGAGTGGCGAGATCAGAGCAACTGGCTTCAAAGAGGCCGTCGACCAGTGGTACGAATTCATACAGGAAGGCTCGGTCTACTATGTATCCAACTGCAAGGTTCAATTGGCCAAGAAGCAATTCTCCAACGTCAACCACGATTACGAGCTCACCTTCGAAAGAGACACAATCATTGAGAAGGCCGAGGATAACGAGGGAGTCCCTCAGATCACCTACAACTTCACCACTCTCGCCGATCTTCAGAGCGTTGAGAAAGACACAACCATCGATACCATCGGTGTTCTCAAGGAGACTGGCGAAGTCAGTGAGATTGTCTCGAAGACCACGTCCAAGCCCTTCAGCAAGCGAGAGCTGACTCTGGTTGATAACACGGGCTACAATGTTCGCCTCACCATCTGGGGCAACACGGCCATGAGCTTTGACGTTGCTCCCGAAACCGTCATTGCCTTCAAGGGTGTCAAGGTCAGCGACTTTGGAGGTCGCAGTCTGTCCCTTCTGTCATCAGGCACGATGGCCGTCAATCCCGACATTGACGATGCTCACAAGCTCAAGGGCTGGTACGACGCTCAAGGCCGCAACGATACTTTCTCATCACACACCGGCATGGCTTCCACGTCGACGAGTGGACGCAACGACCAGATGAAGACAATCGCACAAGTACGGGACGAAAACCTGGGTATGGGCGAATCAACAGACTACTTCTCCCTCAAGGCTACCATCGTCTTTGTCAAGTCAGACAGCACTTTTGCTTACCCTGCCTGCCTGTCAGAAGGTTGCAACAAGAAGGTCGTCGAAGTTGCAGAGGGGGAGTGGCGCTGCGAGCGATGTGACAAGGGCTGGCCCAAGCCTGAGTGGAGATACATCATGAGCATCAACGTCAGTGACCACACTGGACAGATGTGGTTGAGCTTGTTCGACGATGTTGGCAGAATGATCATGGGCAGACCTGCCAACGACATTATGCAAATGAGAGATGAGATGAGCAGTGGTGAGAAGGAGGTGTTTGCCAACGCAGTTTGCCAGACCTATGTCTTCAGATGCAGAGCCAAGATGGACACATTCCAGGACCAGCAGAGGTAAGCAGTGGCCTGATGGATATGCAAGACTCGACGCTAACAGAATACAGGGTTCGTTACCAAGTATCCTCAGCAGGCCCAGTCAACTGGTCAGCCGAAGGAAAGAAGCTTGCCGACTTGATCAAGCAGTACAGCATCTCGGACAATTCGGACAGTCTGTTTGTTAACTAGGGTGATGGTGTATATTGAGAGATTGGCAGTGTTATGCCAGAATTGTAGCAACGGAGATTGCGATGAGACTGTCAGATGATTTGGCGCAGAGCTGGAGGATCGAAGAGAAGGATGACTTCGTGTACAAAATACCATGTTGCTAATGATGCCGTAATGAAGAAGAAGAAAGTTTAAGCAAAGAGCATTGACGATGATGTGGGCTTCGTGAAAGTTCCAGGACGGAGTTTGACCCCGCATTTCGGGCGTGTTGACTGACGCAACTGATCATGGAGCTTCACTTGAACATGAGGGCAAACGAAGCATCCGTGCATCAATCCTTTGCTTCTTTCCCTTGTCAATACACATCAATCGAAGCGACATGTCAGACTGTCCACACGTATCGTCGGCATCACTGAGTCCGCCACGCGCCAACCAGTCCGTGTACCGAGAAGACTGCACCCTCTGCTTCGACAGCATCGATTCACCCGAGGGCCTCGACGTTTGCCTGCATTGCTTCAACGGAGGATGTGCCACCGACCGTCAGCATGGCGCAAAACATGCCAAAGATGCCAAACACCCTCTGGCCCTCAACATCAAGCGCACACGCAAGCAAAAGCACAGAGATGAGCCGCCACAAAAGATGTCTAAGCTGGCAATCAATGCAGAGACCGAGGAAGACCGCTTCGACACCGTGTCGACTGTCAAGTGCTTCGAATGTGGAAGCAATGACATGGACAAGAGGCAGGGAAATCTAGCAGCTGTGGTGGATGGTGTGCTCAAGGCAAACACTTTCGCAAAGCAAGAGGAGGTCAAGGCATGGGAGCAGGAGATGATTCCGTGCGAGCACACGCTATGTCTGGAACAAGGAGCTGCTCGCCAAATCCATTCGCAGTCATTAGGTCACTGTTCGCAGTGCGATCTGAACCAAAATCTCTGGCTCTGTTTGACTTGCGGCAACTTGGGTTGCGGTAGAGCTCAATTTGGTGGTGTTGGTGGCAACTCTCACGGTGTCGCACATACTGATTCTACAGGACATCCTGTTGCCGTGAAGCTGGGATCCTTGACCGCTGATGGTAGCGCTGACATCTACTGCTACGCCTGCAACGAAGAACGTACCGATCCCGAACTTGTCGCTCACTTGGCTCACTGGGGTATTGATATCGCTGGCCGTGAAAAGACGGAAAAGAGCTTGACAGAGATGCAACTCGAACAAAATCTGCGCTGGGAGTTCAGCATGACAAACGAGGACGGCAAGGAACTCAAGCCCATGTGTGGTCCTGGTCTCACTGGTCTGAAGAACCTGGGAAACAGCTGCTACCTTGCCAGTGTTGTCCAGAGTCTATTCGCCATGCCCGAGTTCGCTCAGCGATACTACAGACCGGATGAGAAGTTGCCGCCTTCATCAAATCCTGCCGAGGATCTGGAGATCCAACTGCGCAAGATGGCAGACGGTCTACTCTCTGGACGTTACGCCATTCCCAACTCAGATGTCATTTCCTCGGAAGACACAGCAGAACAACCACATCAGAAGGGTGTGGCTCCTGCCATGCTCAAGCATCTTATTGGCAGAGGCCACGAAGAGTTCTCCACCATGCGTCAGCAAGACGCCTTTGAGTTTTTGCTTCATCTCCTAAAGGTCGTCTCTCGTTCGCAACACGCCGCAAAGGAGCACTATAAGGATGTATCAGACCCCGTTGACGCCTTCAGATTCGTCATGGAACAGAAGTTACAATGTCTGAACTGCAATAAAGTGCGCTATCGTCAAGATGAGGTCGAGAACATTTCTGTCGCGGTACCCATCAAACGCTTGCCCAAGGACACTAAGATGGAAGGTGTGACTCCTGGTCCCGACGGCGCCGTGGAGAAGGAGACTGAGGAGTTCGAGTCTGTGACTCTTCAGCGTTGTCTTGACGACTTCACTGCTGCTGAGATCGTCGAGCTAAACTGCGGTGCTTGTGGTGGCAAGAATTTCAGCAAGCAATCTCTCTTCAAGACATTCCCCTCCGTCCTAGCGGTTAACGCTCGTCGATTCGAGATCGTCAACTGGGTCCCTACCAAGCAGGATGTCCCTGTCATTGTCGATGAGGGCACCATTGACTTTGAAGCTTACCGCAGCAAGGGTCAACAGCCTGGCGAAGAACTTTTGCCCGAGGATGCAGCAGGTGCAGGCGCCAGCTCAAAGGCTTTCGCCCCGAATGAAGCTGCTCTCAGTATGCTCGAAGCCATGGGCTTCCCTAGAGTTAGATGCGAGAAAGCACTTCATGCTACTGGTAACACAGATGCGGAGACTGCCAGCTTATGGTTGTTCGAACATATGGAGGACCATGATATCGACGAGCCCATGGACCTATCTGGAGGCGGATCTGGCGCTGGTTCAAGTAGTGCAATCGACCCTGAGAAGGTTGAGATGCTTGGAAACATGGGCTTCGAGCCACCGCAAGCACGTCAAGCACTGAAGGAGACTGGTGGTGATATGGAGCGTGCAGTGGAATGGCTGTTCAACCATCCCGAGGCGACCGGTGACTTCGGTGAAGAGCAACAGGATGCCGGTGAACAGAAGCCCGAGAGCAAGCCGGTAGAGGAAGACAACAAGCCTGCCAACTTCAAGCTTCAGTCCATCGTCTGTCACAAAGGCAGTTCGATTCACGCTGGGTAAGTCCTTTCTCACTGGGTTATCGCAATCTCGAATATACTGACAAGATTTATAGTCACTACGTTGCTTTCATCCGTAAGGATTCAGGCTGGATTTTGTTCAACGACGAGAAGGTCGCTCTGGGAGGAGATGTCGAGGAGATGTCGAAGTTTGCTTACGTCTACTTCTTCCGTAGAGAAGCTGCATAGACTGCGAATAACTTTGAGCCCGAGTCTGACTGCTATTGCTCGTAGCTAGTATAATAATTTGGAATCGTTGGTAGATAGATTTCCTGGCATTGTTAAGCGCCATGAAGACCAAAGTCACATTAGATCAAATCTTGGTAGAGCTGATATTAACGATCCGTGACTGGAATCAAGACCGAAGACGGAAGCAATCTCATTTGGAGAAAATCGATTCCACAGGTTAGATGCGAGGTCGCTTTTCCACACACACTGCACCATGCACTGCGGCAAAGACATCCCACGTACACCTCCCTTGCCCTCATCGCCGCAAATAGCGACCCAATTGATTGACTTTCCCGTTGCTCTTCTTGTGGCCTTGGCTCAGTTGTCTCCACGACGAGATTTTGCGCAACTTTGCTCGATCTGCATCTCATCAATTTTCGGCATTTCCGTGATGCATCCACGGACGGCAGAGCATAACAGTGGAGTAAGGTAGGCCGCGTGTGGACCATTTGTTGCTAAGAGACGGCCCTCTCTCTCTTGTGATGCGGAAGACAGGCAGAGGCAGAGCTAGAAGCGGTACATACGTAATCCGGCCTTGAAATCTCGAATCTGCGACTTCGAGACCGTGTCTTTACTTAGGGCTTTGGTTTGCTGCAGGAACAGAGCATGTAGCTTGCTTACGCCTGTTATCACGCAATGTTGACAGCTTCTGCAAGGTTGTTCAAGCTTTATATTGGAATCGTTGATGTTCTAGACAAGCATCTTTCACTGCTGCTGTAAAATGTGAGGATACCCGTTTTGTTTTTCTCAAAGATGGCTGGACGTGGCTGCAAAGACGTTCAAAATGTGGCGTTCGCATCTGCGACACTCGTGCGGTTTGACAACTCCGCCCGGACGTGCTCGGCACACACGAGGGCAGAGTCGCACCGCGTGCCGTACCTTGCATCCTTTAAGCCGCATCTGCGTACACAACGACATGGGTCTTTCTACGGAGATTTGCAGGCAGAAAGATGCTGCTATTTTCTCACCCTCTCCACATGGGAGTGCCGCGTATCCTGGTCGTAGATCAATATCGATTGTGGATGGAGTATAGATAGGTAGGTGGGTGCTCTTGTGCTTTGTGTTGTTCTTCCCTTCTACAGCTTTTGGTTTCTTTGCTCGGTCCAGTCACTCGTTCCTGCTGGTGTCTGTTGCTGTTCATTCGTTCTTTCAAGTCACTCGTTACTGCCCTTTCAGGGTCACCTTTCCGCGATGGTACACTTCATCTCCATCGGCCAGTTCATCAACAGCATCTTCCATTTCTCGGGCCATCAGAATGCTGGAAACGCAGCAGCTGCTGCTTCGACCGTTCAGGCGGCAGCTACGTCTAGTGCTATCGCTGCCTCTACTTCTTCTTCTTCAATAACTGCTGCTTTGATCTCTTCCACATCTGCTGCTCTTACTTCTCCCACATCTGATGCTGCTTCTTCAACCTTCATATCTACCGCTGTCGCATCCTCATCCTCATCGTCCTCGTCCTCATCCACATCGACTGCCACCGTCTCAAACTCTACTACACAAGCAGTCTCTGGCTGCGAGGCTTTGATTCAAGCTTTGACCTTCCCTGACCAGCAGGTCAGCGTTGTGAGCTGCGAGGACATCACCGCCGGAACCGCGCTTACACTCCCTAGCGGACCCTCCAACTGCAATGGCGGTTCGGTTCAGATCGACATCCGCAGAATCACCCTCAACGTCGTCACCTCTTATGCTTCTTCCAACTATGTCGAGGTCTGGCTTCCTACTGGACAAGATGCCTGGAATGGAAGATTCATGTAAGCCTCGACTCATCCCCAAATACTGTCTAGAACTGTTGCTGACCTCGTATAGGGCCACTGACAACAAAGGTCTTTCTGGCTGCCCTTCCTACGATGACATGATCTATACCTCGAGCTTGGGCTTCTCTGTGGTAGGAGATAATGGAGGACACAACAACACTGAATACCTCGGTATGGATGCCCAACAGTTCTTGGACAACAATGAGCTGGTCATCGATTGGTCTTATAGAGCTCGTCACGCTGCCGTCGTGGCCGGAAAGCAGGTTATCAAGACAAACTACGGTCAAGCTGCAAGCTACAACTACATGATTGGATGCTCCAACGGAGGTCGCCAGGCTCTTCAATCTGCCCAGATGTACCCTGAGGACTTCGACGGCATCATCGCAGGGTCATCCGCCAGTGACTTCAACCACCACATTGACTGGTCTGGCAGAATGTACGTCTTGACTGGCGCTGATGAGAGCGACGCAAAGTACTTGACATACGACGACTGGGTCATCGTTCACAACGAAGTCCTCAACCAGTGCGACGAAGCTCTTGATGGTGTCGCTGATGGCATCATTGAGGACTCGACCATTTGCGACTTCAATGCCACTACTTTGACTTGCGTTGACGGCCAGACCGATAACTGCCTCACTTACGAACAGACCTCAACAGTCTGGAACGTCTTCTCTCAGCTCTACGATCAAGATGGCAACCTTTACTACCCTCGTCTTTCCCCCGGAGCCGAGCTGTACGCATCTACGAATGGCGTCTTGCACGGTGTACAGGGCCATGTATCAGATTGGGTCGGCAGAGCAGTGTGGAACTCCTCCACTTGGGATCCTTCAACTCTTTCACAAACCGACTACACCCAAGCAGACGATACCGATGAGCTCCACGGGACAGTGTCGTCTTTCAACAGCGACCTCAGCGCTTTCCACGCTGCGGGAAAGAAATTGATCATGTACCATGGCCTCATGGATCCCGCGATCACAGCGGAGAACTCACAGCGCTACTACCTGAACGTCGCCCGCGATATGAACCTCGACCACACTGGTCTGGACGACTTCCTCCGCTACTTCCGCATCAGTGGAATGTATCACTGCACTGGCGGTATCGGTGCTTGGGCTTTCGGACAGAATGGTAACGCGCAAAACGGTACCTCCAACGTAGTCTGGGATATCGTAAACTGGGTCGAACAGGGAGAGGCTCCCGATACAATGACGGGAACTAAATTTGTCAACGACAACCCTACTCAAGGTGTAGAATTTGAGAGACATCACTGCAGATTCCCATATCGCACTACCTACAGCGGTCAGGGAGATAGCGCCGATCCTGATAATTGGAGCTGCATCTTGATTGATGATTGGCAGGAGTGTGGTGTCTACAATGTCCCCCGACTTTGTTAGACCCTGACACTTTCTGAGCAGCGATAAAGATAAAACTATAAACATAGACATAGATACATAGGATATACTCATAATGTTTGGTGCGCGTTAACACAATATTACTATAACCTACATACCGCCTCAAAGTGGTGACGAAGCGGGGCAAAAGCCGTCAAACATTCAACGTCGATCATCAATTGAATTCAGCCAACCTCCATCCCTCCTGCAATACCATCATAACGTTCTCTCCAAGCATTTCGAGCATCGCAAACCATCACGATGAGCGAAAGACTACAAACCAAACCACAGCAGCCGCCGACGCTATTCAGTCAATCGACTTGTCTTTACATCCAAACCGGACTGGCAATCCTTCTCATCCGACTCGTCTTTTACACCTACACCTCCTTCAACCCAGATGATCGCGAGGCTTCATCATACTTTATCGCGAAGTTTCTGCTCTCGCTTGCCTTCCTCTTGGTCTTGGGCTTACAGGCGCTCTCATGAGGTGTGATCTTGAGAAACTCGCAACAGCACTCAGACATTTAAAAACACGGCTCAGCAAGGGCTGGATCATGTCTTGCCGCTAGAAACTTGTGGTTAGGACAAAGACTCGGTTACTTCAATCTATCGTCTTATCAATTTGTAGTTTAACCAGTATTCCGCCCTAGCTGTCCGTCTTCAGAATCCCTTTTTGGGGTAGTCGGCAGTGTCACCTCTATAATCAGGTCTAGCCTTCAGTGTACGGCCGATCGGTCCAAATTCCCCTCCGTTGCTACCAGCAGGTGTCGTGGCGATACTGCAATCGCCAGGGTTGTCGACGGTATACGAGTTGACACCTGGCGTTGTATCGAAAGTCAAGATCATACCTGGACAAACGACTGGCTGGTTGAACGAGAACTGCATGTACTGTTGAACTTTGGGGTGAGACAGATGTCAGCAAACGATTCAAGAGAGTGAGCTAATAGGTTATTCGACATACTGGAAAAACTTTGGACTCCAACTGTAGCGCTGCTACCATGGTCACTGACGTTCAAATACTGATAGTCGATGACGTTGGGCCTGTTCTCGTAGAAGTTCATCAAGAAGTGGTAATACTGTGATTGGTCCGAAAAATGGCTGATGTAGAACTCGAAAGAGGTTCGACGACTGCCAATGGCGCCATCGACCTCATAATAGATACCTTGTTGTGTGCCTTGGTAGATAAAGAGGTCGTCCCAGAGGCCAAATGCCACAACATCGCCGAAGCAGTAATTTGATATGTTGCCGCTCTCATCCGTATAGGTCTGTTGCAGACAGGCAGGGTAGCTGCTGAAGCCGCCGGATCCGCCGTAAGGAAGTTGATAGTTGCTGTATTCGTAATTGAGGTCACCCAGACCAAGTAACTTGAAGTGGTTAGACCAATTGCGGACGTTCATACCGGGGGGGGGGGGGGGTACATACAGAATTTGAGCTGACTCGAATGTTCGCGCTAGATTGACCATACATAGTGAGATTGACGGGCAGTTGTACCTAGTCAACCAGTTAGTAATGCACGATGTAGTATGCGAGGGCGGACACGAACCGAGTACGCTGTGTCATCGACAGACACTGGCGAGCCATTGACATCTCCCACTATTGCCGTTGGACGTGCAAGTGCAACTGCAGGCACACCAGATGGAGGGGGCGGTACATATACTGAGCTGTACGATGGCTCTTCAATGGTCGAGGAAGGCTCCTCCACCAAGGTCGAGGATGATTCTTCCACTAATATCAAAGAAGGCTCGGGTATAGACGAGTAGGTCGCTGTAACAGTTGGTCCATGTTGTGTAACCTCAAGTGTTTGCGTGATGGGAAGTGTTTCTGTAACCTGTGGGAGCGTTTCAGTGATCTGAGGCAGTGTCTCTGTGATTTGAGGGAGCGTTTCGGTAACTTGCGGAAGTGTCTCGGTGACTTGTGGGAGCGTCGCAGTGACCTGTGGGAGCGTCTCGGTGATCTGCAATGTCTCAGTGTTAGGGGTCAGCGTGAGAGTCAGTATCTCCGTCTCTACGGGTAACGTGACGAAGACATCCAGAGTCTCGGTCAGAGGTGGAAGCGTAATCGAAAGGTAGACTGTTATCGTCTCTGGCTCGAGCGTGAGCGTCACGTAGTGGGTGACCGGAGCAGGCGTGACATAAGCGGTTTCCTGAGGTAGGGCGACTGGAACGGTCTCGGTTACACTCAAGTACGATACAAGCATCGACGTCTGAGCATCTGGAATGGAGGTCAGAGTCACCGGATCCTGAGTCACCGTAACGACTGGCTGTTCTAGTGTGATCACGATGGTCGACGGATCAAGAGTGATGTAGGCTGTAGACGGATCTTGGTAGAATGTCGAAGCTGGCAGTGTGACACCAGGCTGAGTTGTGGTGAACAACGCCGTCGATGTGGCATACTCAGTCTGGACGACTAGAGATGGCTGATACGAGATAACAGTAGAGTTTAGCACCGTTGTGAGAGTTGCTAGTTCTGATCAGCACGTGGGTATTGATTCTGTAGGTAGCGGGAGTTCGACTTACTGGTAGTTGTTGAGACACGCGACACTGTGACGTTGACATACTCTGGAACAGCTGTAGTTGCGGTCGCAGTCGAGACAAGAAGAGTTGACACTGTTCTGATTTCTGTGGTCGGATTATTGATAGTCGTGTAGATCAAGGTAGGTACCGTGGTGGTGAGAACGACTTCGGATCCGCTAATAAAGGTCGTTGTCTCGATCTGGGTAAAGGTCTGACTCTGTACAACAGTCTCAGTACGGAAGACCGTAGTCGTCGCGGTAGAAATTGCCGTAGCACTGCTGGCACTCGCAGCCAAGACATTGTCAGTGACTGAAACATCATCCATAGCGACGTAAGCAGCAGAAGAACATGATACTTGGAACGTGGCAACAGCACTGTCTTCGTTGATAAATGACTGATAATTGTATGAGTATCCCGTGTAGTTAGTTGTGAGCGGGAATGGCAAGCTACAGTCACTGGTGCCACATATGGTCAGAGAGCAATCAGGCTTGTTGTTTCCAGTGATAACTACAGCCGCCCAAGCCGTCATGGTGTACGAGGTACCTGCCGAAGCGGCGAAGATCTGTGTGACATTGTAGATGAGAGGCGTGGTCGTTCCTGCTGACTGACGACGGACTTGCCTCTGTACAGAGGCTGGATCAGGGAAGGTGATAAGACTGCAAGATTGTCAGCTTCTTGACTATATATTGAGACTGCTGAACTTACAGATAGCTATCCCCAGTGTGAGGCTCGTAGACACCGCTTTGGACCACTTCGGCAGTCACAGAAGAGACCGAAGAAGATGAGTTGAACGGGCTCGCTGTGCCATTTTCGAAACTGTTGTTAGTGAGGATAGGGTTGATGGACGGCTGAGAGCCAGCACACTCCTGAGCTGATATTGTCTGAGGATAAACCGTCACTGTCGATGGCGGCTGAGTTGTGGTGACAGTTGACACAGAAGCATTAGCACAAAAGGTAGAGGTTGATGGAAAGCTCGATGTGCCAACATCGGTCACAAAGTACGTGGATGAATCAGAAGTGTACACGATGACACTTCGCTTGATGCAAGAGTTTGAGCTAGTGCCGCTCTCAAATGCAGGAACGAAGGACTGCACAAAGGCGCACGGGACCAAAAGCAGAAGCGTAAGGAGCGACATGGTTCAGACTTAGACTGCAGAAAGAGCGACCGAATCTCAACGAGCGCTTGGTTATAAGGAAAGGTGCAACGATCCTCCATCGCCCTTTTCACACAGTATTCTTGTTGATGAACTTACGCGACTATCGAACTGGAATGCACTGAGATGAAATCCAGCCTTTCCATCGGTGCTTTCACATTAGGGCTCATTCGAGAAAGAGCAAGTCCTTATACCTCCATGAGTGGTGGCGAGGAATGGACGGTAGTCCTTTCAGCCTTGTTCAGCTAGACACATTATCGCTGAATGTGGGTAGTACCACTACGTTGTGTGTGTATCGCAAGCGAAGCAAGGGTACTCATTGACGGATATAACATGGATGGCTCGAGCAAGCAGCTCGGAGTCGCCGATGCATGTAAGTGGCCGTGATCGAAAAGTGTATACACGACGCGATGGAATGCTACTCACTGCAGGTCAAGTAAGAACCATCAAACACTACCTTGGTGAGGCTCGAGACTTAAACTCAAGGACTCAGAGCCTTGATGAGGTTCGATTATACTCCTTCTAGAGGTCATGTGCGTAGTCTTCCGATCTGCACGTTAGTACAAGGAGACAGATGACGGGGATATTGCAAGTAGAGTCTCAAGGGAATTGGATGGCTGCGCCGTGTACATTCTAGGAATCCCTGTTCAATGAGTCTTGGTAGTGCCGTGCCAGAGACACGCGATCAGAAGTGACCGAGCGACCAAGGCCTCAAGATTCCATCGATGAGAGCGACACCAACCTGCTACAAAGGGTAAGTGATCTCAGAGTCGGATGAACGTGTGCTATGTCAAAACATCCCAAGGCATTGGTATTGAGATCGATAATTTGTAAGAGAATCGGCTAGCAGAATATCACTAGACGGCACTGGAGAAGAATACCTGCCTGATTTCGTCTGCTCTCGAGTACAAGTCGCGTATTGTGCACTTCACTCCCACAATTCGCGCCTCCGACTGGCGGATTAGAGCAGGGTCTCACACAAGGCAGTGTGTCGTTGTCCGAATGTGGCTCGTACCAGCGAGACCAAAAATCGACTGTTCATGATAAGAAACTGTCCTGGAGAATCCGGCAATTGGATCCGAAAGGCCTAGGCTCCTTTAGTACATCAGGAAGTGTCCAGGCGAGGAGTTCAGGGAAATGACAGTCTTGAGGGAGTGTGGTCAAGTTTCGTATAACTCATGGCTGGCTGAACTGCAAGGGACCATTAAGCCTCAGCACATGTGGTTGGCCATCCGTGTCGGCAAACCGAACTCGCTTCCCCTTATCCAGCCTGTCGAGCCCCGGAGTCCGTATGAAGAAGTGACACATCCCAAATTCCACGTCACTGAATGCTGCTGAAGCCAGAATGGGAGGTTGCACTCCTGCTCCCTGGATAGATGCGATTGTTAGAAGATACCAATTTCTTTGTCGGAATTTATGCCGAGATTAGACTCGTTTCGAGCATGAGCCCGTTCGTATCAGGAGCACGCAAAACCGTAGTGCCAGTGTCCATCCTGGTAGACAAATAGACAGATTTGTCACCCAACTAGGAGGTGAATTCATCCTGTCGGTGACTCCGATCAGTAGAGGCTCCGACAGTTGACACGAGCAGAGTGCAGAAAACGCATTCGAGATGCATGCGCCACATAAGCACATGCTATTCATGCATCGTTGGCGAAGTCGGAGCGCAGCGATAAGATTTCTTCCAAGCGACAATGGTCGAAGATGGAATTCTGGAATTCACCCATCGCTTGGGCGGTCAAGACATTGCAGTCAGCAGTCTAAGTTTCCCAAAAGAGAGCACTTTCCTTATAAGTGCGTTACGACGACGACGTGGAGAGGTCGGGCGGTGGTTGGAAGGCGGACTCGTGTTTGCTCAGTTTGTTCAGTCGGTCTTCCTGGAGGCAACCCTGGCCGTCTCACAATTGACCATAAACTCGGCCTATACAGAATTGCGACTGGAGGAACGTGTTGTGAGAAGAGAGCTTGACCCAAGCGTAACATGTCTGCAAGATTGATCGAGTGGTGGACTTGTTGTGCGTTAGCAGAACCACTCGGCAACGACTTTGCTGAACAGAAGGTTCGGCTTACCTTGCCAATGTGCAGTAAGGGAAGGACCTAATCAAGAGTGATGACTTCATCAAAGTATTTCATACCTAACAAGAAAAGTAAAACAACAACAGAGGTATCATGAGAAGCAGAAAACGCCAAAATGCCAAAATCACAAACCCCATTCCCAAACTCGGAATCCTGCATAACGTCTCTCACTGAATGAAACTAGCCATTGCCTTCTTCTCCTTCTTAAGAGGTGAAAACATGAACCCATCATCTGCCACAAGAAGCCCCGACTTCTTCTTTCCCATACCACCGATAAAGCTTCCTCTCACACCACCACCCGCAAGAGGACCTAAACGAGTTGCTCCAAACAGACCGCCTCCACGACCCGGTAATGGCTTACTAGGCGCATCATCCTCGTCGTCGAAGAGCGTCTTGCCCAAGCCACCAAGTTTACGTTTCTTCTGCTTCTTCTCTGGCTCTGGTTCATGCGTAAAGGCGGCAAAAGTGGCGAGGGATTTGCGTTGTTTGGGCTTTGGTTTTGTTTCGCCGTCGGACTTCTTGGCTTTGAAGGTAGGAACTTTTGTGGTTGTTGCGGTTTCTTCTTGTGATGTGGGTTCGACTTCTTCGATAACTTGTTCGAGGGCTTGCTTCTTTGTCTGTTTCTTGGGTTTGGGTTCGGCTGCTGGTTTGGCCTTTTTGATGTTGCTCTTGCTGGCTGGGACGGTAGCTAGAGGCTTGGGGGCTGTTTCGATTGTTGGTCGGACGGTGGCTGCGGTCGGTGAGTCGGCCTCGACTTCAATGTCTGATTCTTGGGCGGCTGCCTCGACTTGTGCTTCCTCTGCTTGTTCAGGGCTCTCGGGTGCCACGCTCATTGTGCGATTCAGGAATGGTGTGATAGAAAAGGTGGACTTGTCTCCCACTGCAGCGGCTTTGCGGCCCTTCTTGGTAGGTTTGGCGCCTGGTGTTCCTAGCTTTTGCGAATCCGGATCCATCTGTGCAGCGCTTCTCTTCTTTGTAGGTTTCGTGGCCTTTTCGGTTGCAACAGGTGCAGATCTTGCATCGGCTGCAGCAGACCTTTGAGCTTCCTCGAGTTGTGTTTCCATCTCCTTCAGTCTCTCCTTGGTTGACTTCAGTTTCAAGCGGAATTGATTGAGCTTGTCGTCAAGGATGGACTTTGTAGCGTCCCAGTCCGATTGAGTCTTCTGATGTGTCTTTTCGGTTCGTTCACGCTCTTTGCGCTCCTTTGCCAGTTGGCGACGCAACTCTTCAGTTTCGACCTGTACACTGGCAGATTCCTCTGCCTTTGCAGCCTCGGTAGTGTTCTTGCGCTGAGCATTCTCCTTCTCACGTTCCAACTCGGCCTGAGCAGCTTCCAAGTCTTCTTGAGCCTTTTCTCTCAATCGCTTTTCGCGTGTCAAAGCCTTGCGCAGATCATCTATTTCATCCTGCTGGTTCAGATCGTGTTGAGTGTTGCGTCGTTTTGCGATTGCGCGCTTAGCTTCTGATCTGGCGTGGTCTAGTTCGACTTGAATTTCGCTGACTTGCCGTTGGAGGGCGAGCTTTTCCGAGAGGAGATCCTGGTTTGATTCTACTTGGGCGCGAAGATGGTCGAGTTCAGGCTTAAGTGTGGACAGTTGACGGGCCAAGTCGAGCTTCTCTGTGAGTAAGTTTTCGGAGTCGGTCGTGACATTTCGTAGAGCATTCGCTTCCGCCTGAGTGGGAACGTGGTAAGCTGGTGTACGCGACGAGCGTGCGAGATACATACCCTGAGTATGGAGAGCTCCTGCTCAACAGCTTGAAGGTCGGTTTGCAGATCGACAGCGTGGGCTTCTGCGTCTTCGGCGCGAGTGAGATTGTCCCTAACAACCTTTTCTAGCTCCTCTGAGCGATCCTCCTCGATGGTCAAGAGTTCGCGCAATTCCTCATTTTCGTCTTCGAGCTTATGCATGTCGAAGCGCATTTTACGCAGATTCTCGTCCTTGGAAATGATGTCGACTAGGTGGGCGCTTCGCTCACATTTGAGCTCGAAGGAAGCTGATTGGAGTGGGAGTGATTGATCGTACTGCGAGGGAGAGAGTCAGCGAAAGAAGACGACACAAGTGGTCGGAAGATGCAAGATACATTTGTGCTTGTAGAAGTATGCATGACATTGATAGGAGCCATATTTCTGGTGGCCATGTAGAAGAATATCCGGACTTTGGCCACGCGTTGGTAGGGGCTTTTGAAGCGAATGTGATGCGACAGACGTGATGGACTTGGGCATTGTTTGTTTATCGCAGGCACGGCAACATCCGCCGTTGCTTGTCAGGCTGTCTTCAGTGTCTTCCCGCCCGCCGCTCGCTCTCCCGAGGGCAGCGCCAAGCACCGAATGGCCGAAGCTTGGGGACACGAAAGCATACGTAGTCGTTGGAGGCCAACAGCTGGAGATCCGTCTGTCTGTCTTGCCGTGACAATTGCTCCTGTGCACAGCCAAGATGAAGTTCCTCCAGACCGTGACAGCCTTCCTGTTGCCAATTGCAGCTCTGGCAGCAAAGAAACCTTCGGGCGACAAGTTCTCCGACTACCGATCGCAACAGCTGTCGACTGGCGGCCCCCTCAAGCTCGACGACAATGAATACGCAAAATTGACTGCCGCCCCCCGCGACTACGGTGTTGCTGTCCTCCTGACTGCCCTCGAGGCCAGATTCGGCTGTGCCATCTGTCACGAATTCCAACCCGAATGGGATCTCCTGGGCAAGAGTTGGACCAAGGGAGACAAGAAGCAGGAGTCCAGGCTGGTCTTTGGAACCCTCGACTTTGCCAGTGGCCAGAGGACTTTCCAGTCTCTGCAGCTCACCACTGCTCCCGTCCTTCTCTACTTTGCTCCTACCACTGGTCCTGATGCTAAGCCGGATACTGCTCCTCTGCGTTTCGACTTTACCACTGGGTATGCCACCTGAAACCTCACCTCCCTCGCCAGACCCACAGCTAACTTCTCCCTCAGTGTCATCCGTGCCGAACCCGTGCACAACTGGCTCTCCCGCCATGTCGCTGGTCCTAGCCCTCCAGTCGTCCGTCCCGTAAACTACGTCAAGATCATCACAACCACCGTGGCAATCCTCGGCTCCATCACCGCCATTGCTGTCGCTGGCCCTTACGTCCTCCCCGTCCTCCAAAGCCGCAATCTCTGGGCCGCCATCAGTCTGATCCTCGTCCTTCTCTTCACCAGCGGCCACATGTTCAACCACATCCGCAAGGTCCCTTATGTCGCTGGTGACGGCAAGGGTGGAATCTCCTACTTTGCCGGTGGTTTCCAGAATCAGTTCGGTCTCGAGACTCAGATTGTTGCTGCCATGTGTAAGTTCCTCTGCCCCTCCACCTTATCCATCCTCTCTCTTCTCTATGCTCATCTTCTTCTGCTTGATCTGATCCCTGACCTCCTTTCTTAGACGCCATCCTCGCATTCGCTACCATCTCCCTCGCTCTCAAGGTCCCTCGTATGACAGACCCTCGTGCCCAGGGTATTGCTACCCTCGCTTGGGGTCTCGTCATGCTCGCCATGTACAGCTACCTCCTCAGCACTTTCCGCATCAAGAACGGCGGTTACCCCTTCTGGCTGCCTCCCTTCTAGATGTCATGTATCAGAGTCACATTTTTACGCATCGAGGAGCCCGCATTTGGTGGACTGCCCACTTGTCCTTGAGATGGACATGCTCGTTCGAAAGAAAAGTCTTATATATTTTCGCAAATTAGACAATCACTTTTACCAAACCATCGTGGCTCGTTCGGCTGCATGACTGTGAGTCGTAATTTCCTTTCAACAGGATCGAGTATAGCTCACCCAGAGGCTGAGCTGAGCATTTGAAGTTTCATAGACTGCACGCTAGAGTGGCACGATCACGAAGAGACCAGGATTAGAATTGACAAAGTCCAAAGGAGTATAGGTAAGAAGTGAACAACACCCGCCCAACCATCTCCTTCACCTCATTCGTTGTCCGTCACAGGAATGATCGTAGGTCGTGAAAAGACTGGCGCCTTTTCTTTGCCAGCCTCCGGAAACACGTATCGTGGACAACGATACGTATAACCTAGAAATGCTCCCGCTTTTCTCCTCTCCAAGACATGATCTCCCAGATGACGATCCCGTAGCAGCATGTCCTTGGGTCTGCTTCTTCGCGGTCTGGAGCCCAACAAGTGCTTGACTTCCTCATCAGGGTTGATGCCTCGTCGGATCCTGGCTGCACGTACATGCTTCATCCGCGTTTCCTTGAGAGCGCACCACCTGTCGCCGAACATTCTCTTGTGCTTCTCAAAGCGTTCGTCTGTCCAATCAGTCATTCCCATCTGAATCTTCTCGACCTGAAGCTGCTCAGCCACCCATCTCTCGTAGTATTCGCCGAGCACTTGTTTATTGGTCCACGATCTTCCTTCAGGATCGGCTCGTTCCCTCAGGCTCATGAAGCTTGTTCCGGCCGCGTTGATGTGCCTATCTTCGTCGTCAAAGTATTGAGCAATGTCCCCGACTGCCTCTGGCACAAACGGAGGCTTTGACCTGTGTAGGGAGTCCCATTGGATCGATTTAAAAAAAGGATGGGCCTTGATATCTTCGGCATCGTTAGGAACGACGAAAGACCGCTCACAGGAAGTGTCTTGGAAGTTCAAGGAATGACAGGATCTGGATGAGTATGCAGCTGAGCTTAGTCGATATTGTTTCTCCCGCAAAAGACCTTTCATGAGAGAGACGGCAGATTTGGAAGGTGCTGGGAAGTGTTGACCTGTTCCGGTAAGTCGCTCGCTGTCCGAAAAGTGGAGGGTCTTCGCATGGTTCTTATTTGTCAGTATCATGACTCGAATCAGGAAGATGGAGACATACCACAATGTTTTTGGCCGTTGTTTGTCTGTCCTCACTATAGAAGGGGGTCCTGGCCCAGAAGCACTGAGAGATTGTTAGGATGAAATGTTTACAAAGATTAGAGACAGACGAACCTCAAACAAGATACAGCCAAGACTCCACCAATCGATTCTTCCATCGTAGTCGTGACCCAACACCAGCTCTGGAGCCATATACAGCTTGGTGCCGACGTTACTCTTGGGGCGTTCTCTCTGGACTCGCTCGGGCTCCTCGAGGAGTTCTTTCATGTCGACTACACTGTGCATCTCGTAGGGTCGGCGTGAGGTTGACGCACGCGAGTCGTCGTACCTAGGGTGCGCTCTGGACTCTTCGTCGAGCGCATCGCCTCTTACATGAATATTGTACTTGTCCAGAATAGACCATCGTGTCGTGTCATAATAGTCGTTGATGTGAGACCAGTGACCGTCAAAAGCAAGTCCAAAGTCGCATATTTTGAGGTGGCCAGAAGAGTGGATCAAGAAGTTGTCTGGCTTGATATCGCGGTGTATCCACCCCATCTTGTGAGTCTCTTCGATAGCCAGGACCATCTCTGCAATGAAGAATCTGGTATCGTCCTCACTGATAATATGCCGGCGGATGAGATACGTCATGAAGTCAGCTCCGATCATGAATTCCATGACCAAGTAGAGGTTTGTGCTGTCCTGGAAACTTGCGATCAACGGTACCACCCATTGTGAACCTTCTGCCTTGACAAGGAAGTCTCTTTCGCCGCGCATGTGAGCCTCTTGACCCTTGCGTACCATGGACGCCTTGCGAATGACTTTCATAGCATAATAGTCCTTCATGGCACGAGGATCCTGACTTCCACGACGAACCAAGGTAGGGCAAGGGACGTCATTCATTACGCAGGGTGTGGACTCTTCAGTCAAGAAGTGCTCTGCATCAGTTACGAGTTTGACGGCTCCGAAACTACCTTTGCCAAGGATACGAAGTTCCTGGAAGCCAGCATTGGACACACTCTTGGACGAGTGTCTTTGACCTGAGCTGCTCTTGAGGCCTCGCAGACGTCGGAGATGGGTGGACTCCGATCTTTCCCAGGAGTGAACTATCTCATCTTTTTCAGAGGGTGATATAGAGCTCTGATCAAGATGGGCTTTTAAACGCTGTCTCCGAACAGAGCGTTCAGACTTGGACTCGGTGTAGCATTCATTATAGAAAGTCTCCATGTATATCTTGAAGGCAGAGATATCTTCGATGGTATTGATCCTGGTTGGCTTGAAATTGAGGGTATTTTCCTTGATAGGGAACTTCTTGAGTGCCTCGGCGAGGCTTACAGGAGTAGTCGCAGGCTGTTTCTTGGAGATGTTGTGAGCTACTGAGGTCGAATTGGGCGACAGATTGGGACCAGATGGGGTCAAGCCTGAGACAGGGGAACTTATTGGTGTGTTTGGACCACCAATCTACGGCGAAGTCCTACCTGTCGACCTTGGACTCAGTGGGCTATCGTTGATAATGTTGTCGTAGTCCGAGGACAAATCGGTATCAACAACATTGCAATACTCTTCGGGCAGCCCAGATCTTCTGCGTCGAGGGGCGCGTTGAACTCTGGACTTGAGCAAGCGTGGATCACTGAGATTCTCAGCGGAGTCCGAAAAGCTATAGTATATAGTGCTTCGCATGCCTACCCATTGAGGACAGGATCCGAAATGAGGGGTAAGAGAGAAGGAGTCCTCGATATATTCCGGGGCACCGTCGAAGTGGACTGCTTTGAAGGCTTTAGGGGCTTCGTCTTGACTCTCGACTTGACCTTCGGCTTGGGTTTTGATTGCCGGGCGGAGTGGTGCTTCGTGGGAGTCACTTGCAACTGTTAAGACACATGTTGGAGAGGAGTAGAGGGATGAGACGTCTGAACCCTCATTAACGTTCAAGGCTCAGGCATGGGGATGGATGGGTGCATGGAGAAGGCCTGGCATCATGTACATACCTCTGGCACTCTTGGTAGCACGTCTGTTTGCGAACCACTTGCTTGTCTTTCTCTGCAGCTTCCTCAGGGTAGAGCGAGGAGGTTCTGGATCCAGAGTCTGTGGCTGAACATTGAGTTCGCTGCTGGCACTGTCGACGGTTGTGACCGGAGTGTTTCCAGAATCGATGGTATTGATCGACTGAAGAATGCTTATGCGAGTAGCACTTTGCTGAGACTGAGAGCGATGTGCCTTTCGCTTGCGAGTTGAGAAAGGTCGCTTTTCGAAGATTCGGAGGATCTGAATGTTGGGAGTCACGGGCATGATTAAGATGATGGCCGAAAAGAATGCGGCGTAAAGATAGCACCAAAACGCGATACTTGGAGATCAAGATGGATACGTTGGCGGTACAGAAGGAGAGAAGATGCTTGAATTACCACGCTGGAGTCAACTACTCAGTGAGGCGCTACACAGGAAGCAGCATCTTGCTTGCTCTTGCCTTCAGCAAGTGTGCTGCTTGCTACGACGCCGGAGCAGAGACCGGCCTCTCATGTCACTCACAACACGCATTGCCACCCAAGACAAAACCCGATCGCAATGTCCTCTTATGGGGGAGCATATCTTGTCGCGATGTGATAAACACCATATCTGAACGTTTGACCGCGTGAGAGATCATGTCGTGTCACATGGAAGAAAGCTCCTTTTCCCCACTCACACCGCGCTTTCCAGCCAACGGCGTCGCGCGGGGCTGGGCGACTTTTGATCTCCGGAGAACGTCACAAACCTGTCAACAGTCACGCGCTCTCATGGTCCGAGGCAGCGATGGGGGCTCGGATAAGCATGGATAGGAAGAACCCAGAAAATCGCTCGACTCGTGAGACCTCAGATTCTGTTGTCTTGATGAGCTGTTTAAGAGCTCTGTTCCTTACTCTTTCGTCTTCAGACTTGGCTGCTGTAAAACAAAGTCATTTCATGTCGCGCGAAACGCAAAGCTATTGCTGAGCAAAATATCGATCGTGACAGTTGAAGAAATGACTCCTTCCATCTTCCCTTCTTATCTCGTTCCATCTCTGCCATTTCGACGTCGTAAATCGAGCACTGATTCCAACATCTCCAACTCGAGTGCCGGTACAAATGACAGCTCAAGCTCCGAACGCTATCTAGAAGGAAACAAATCACATCTACAATGCTCCCGATGTCTTGCTGATCTGGCTTCCTCAAGCCAGATTATCTCCAAAGGCTTCACTGGTCGTCACGGACGCGCATATCTCGTCTCTGCCTCTGAAAGCTGGGTCTCAGCCATCCCTTCTCCGGGCAGAAGGGATACTCTACCTAACCTGCCAAACACCTTTGCACACAAGCCCGTATCTCGCCATCTGGTCACCGGAGCCCATACAGTCAGCGACATCAGCTGTGCGCAATGCGGCAGTGTGTTAGGATGGAAGTATGTTGCAGCTGAAGAAGAGTCACAGCAGTACAAAGTCGGCAAATTCATCTTGGAAGCCAGACGAACTTGTCGGAACAGCTCCTGGGAGGGTCAAGACGATGCTATCGTTGAAGCTGGAGGTGTTGCGACGAAGACCAAGTCTGGAGGCTTAGACGACGTCGAGTTTGACAGTCAGGATGAAGATGAGTGCGAGGACTTGTTCATGGGGATCTGGACTCCCCAGACCGCGGCCAGAAGACGTAAGAAGAAGGTCATGTCGAAGCAGAGCAGCTGACTCTCAAGGAAGACGGAGGTGCTGGTAGTTGCGCCATTGTGACGAGTCACGCAAGGAGTAATGAGATACGACGAACCCAAGGAGATGATGATTAGGAATGGATATATGGGTCCTGGGACATTTCAAATTCCTTGTTATGGCGTTACGTTTTTTTGTTCGGAGGAACACATTATGATACCCTTAGTCAATAATCATGCAATTTATGCAAAGCCGGATCTAGCAATCCATGCCTAGTGGTGTATACATTTCTGTTGCTCGGGACCAGATAGACGCGCCTTCTTTTGCAACGACGTCCATTCATGCGTTCCATCTTCGTCTTGTTCGTTAAATCATCAGTCATAAGCCGGAGGTCGATCATTTCGTTGATTGGCATACGGCGGCGGTTGCTCTCTTGTGTTTTGGGAATATGGTGGAGGCGGATCAGCGCGTCCTGGACGAGAGGTAACATTTCTGTTCGGAAGTGTGCCATAATTAGGGTGATTTGGGATGACCGTCGTGCTGGTGGAAGCATGCAACCATGTGATGATAGTTTGGTGCTGTGCATATAGAGGAGTGCTCGTGGACTGCTGAATCGCTTCTCGCAGTCTGCGCTCACGATACTCTCGACAGCGAGTCTCTACTGCTCTGTGCTGCTCTCGTCTCAGCGTATCCTGCCGTCTTCGACTGATCTCAACCCGGAAGAGATCTCTATGCGCTTGATGGTCGTGGTGTCGACGTCTTTCACTGCTGGAGTTTGATGATGTCCAGGAAGGCAGACGTCTGCGTCTCGAAGGAGCTGGAAGAAGTGGCTGCCTCTCACCACGGCTTCTATGTTTCTGCTGTCGACGAACCAGTTTACAGAACATGAAGATAGTGAAACAGCACAGGTAGATGACGGAGATCCACAGAAGGAGGATCAGGATAGCGGCAAGCAATACATTTCCGGCCACAGAGAGGCTATGTCCGAGCCAGTGCAGGGCAACCCAGATAGATGGACCGATGGCACGTGCCGCATGTTTGACTGACTCCAGACACGTCAAACACGCCGAGACCATGAGATCAAAGATGGTGGCTAGAGACGGCCAGATGTCTGGATGTGAAACTTCCATGAGAGAATAGAGGAGTTGATCAGAGACAGACGGAAGAGCGCGAAGGAAAGAGAATGCGGTGTTATTTGGGATGGAAGGAAGCGGTATGCAGATGCCCAGGGATCTACGACAAGACGTGTGTGTGATACGAGACTAGGCGAACGTGACAGGTACCTCAGTACAAGTTGAGACCAAAGTAACGCAAGCAGACGCAGGAGTCAAGCCCTTGCCCAGACCTACAGACGTGGAAGTAAGGAAGACATGATGAGATTTAGTTGAGATTGCGACTGAGAGGATGCGGCTCCTCTCAATTACAGTTGACACGTGCGTGTCAAGAAGGGACAAAACGGGAAGGGGTTCGGAGTTGTTGTGAGGCAGCCATGGCAGCTTGATCCGAAGGCGGTGAGCGATTGCCCCGCCAAAGCGCGAGCGACAAGTCTCGCTCCGTCATCGCCATCTCAAGAAAGCATTCCGCCCAAACAATTCAAGCCTGGTCATCATCCACACGCAGACAAACATACCAACGATTTCACAAGCCTTTGACACTTCCAAAGCAATCCTACAACATGCAGATCAAGTGAGTACGGAGAAACCTGGATGCTACACCGCAATCAGCAGCTAATCACATCATCTTCTAGAGTGCGCACATTGACCGGCAAGGAGATTGAGTTGGACATCGAGCCCGACTACAAGGTACGACGACTCAAGCGAGAGACTGCACAATACGATGACCATGGGCGACGGTCTACACGTCCGGCACGAGGACCGACCCGCTGACAAAGCGCCACTCACAGGTCTCTCGCATCAAGGAGCGCGTCGAGGAGAAGGAGGGCATTCCCCCAGCACAACAGCGTCTTATCTTTGGCGGCAAGCAAATGTATGTGCAGACACGGAGCAGAACGGGAAAGCAAGAGAAGGGTGACAGAAGACTGACCACACGAGCACATAGGAACGACGACAAGACAGCCAACGAATACCAGCTTGAGGGTGGCGCCACTCTCCATCTGGTTCTTGCCCTCCGTGGTGGACGATGAACAGTCAATCAATCGATTCGCAACGACCACCTTCCACACATATGAATGATGCACACACTACCTCGACACACGACTTGATTATGGAGGGGAACGTGATGCCCAAGGAAGAGTAGGAAGACTTGATTTGTCTGTCCCTTTCGCAAGAACTACACCGTCGAGAACATGCCTTCTCCCTCCAAGATGGCACTTCGTGGGACTGTTTCCTCCAAGTCTTGCTAGAACCATCTATTGCAGTCGTCTTCTCTTCCACCTTCTCTCGTCCTGTACAAACACCTTCCCATCAAGCGGCCGCCCTTCTATGGCATACTGCGGTCATCACAATTTAACGGCTGATGTGACGTCTCGATAAGATTCTGAGGCGGCGCTAGGTCTTCTGAATGCTGTGAAATGAATTGGCCATGAAGGGTTCTTCGGTTCGTGACGCTGTGTAGTAGCAAACCGATAGCTGTATTCGGTAACATGGGAGAATGTATTTTCAAGGCCTTCTCTTCTTGGCAGGTAAGAACGGGTCGTAGGCAGGTCTCTTCCTCACGAGCGTAGAGGCCGAAGACGTGTGCACTGGCGATGGTCTCCGCGGCGGTGCTGGTGCTGGTGATGATCTACGTGCCGACGTGGTGGGACTAGGCCTGGGTTTAGAGCCACTAGTCAGAGCCAAAAGTCTCCTCTCTCTAGCCTCTTGCTCTTGCTTGGTCTGGGTTATAGCACTTGCAAGGGCTCGGTCGGCGACAGTCTGCACCTTGCTGGCAAACACTGGTCTGTAGGCCTGAGTCTGCGGTACCATAGGAGATGGTCTTGTGGGTCCAGGCTGCTGAGCGTATCTCCGGACCATGTGAGCAGGTGCTTCGGCAACCTTGCCCTTGAGTTGCTGGAGTTGATGCATGGGGATGGACTGGGCAACACTGCGGCCGGCTTGTCTTTGTGCGGTTTGTCTCTTGATGACAGTCATCTGATCCGTGCCTGTCTTTGCATTCTTCAAGGCCTGAGAACCAAAGGGCTTGTCGCGTGGACCTGCGCTGTTCCAAGCTGGGCGCTTCTCGCCTGACGGTATGACGGCACGTACAATGTTGGTCTGCTTGGAGCCCTTGTCCACCTTGTGAGCATTGAGAGCGGCCTTGAGTCTGGCTTCTGCGGCCTGCGTCTGGGCCTCGTCCTCTCTCTTCAATTTAGCATACACCTTCCACCACGAGGAGGGATTCTTCGGCCGTGTTGTTCGAAGTTTGGTCTCAGCCTGTAGTATGTCTCTTCGGATGAATGCCTCCCAGAGTTCGCTGTCGTCTTCAGCGATATGAGGCGAGTTTTGTTCGATCTTGCGCTGCAGAAGTCGAGTCAGCTAGAGGAACATTTGGCGTGTCATGAGCCTGCTTACTAGTTGTGCGGGATTGGTAATATTCTTGAGGATTGGTCGGACGACTTCGTACGGTAGCTCGCCAATGTCGAAGACATCCATGACATTCCTGACAGAAGCACGTTGTGCCATCTCAAATAGTGTGGCCGCCATGCCCAAGTAGCTTGCGCCTAAGCCAATATGCGATCCACAGGGGAGAGATGTCGAGTCTCTGTTGCTCTTCGGGACTTCCAGGGGTGATAAGTACAGCACGATCCAAGATATGTCGCAAGCGAATGGTGACCAGGAATGGGCTATGTACAGAGAGTGTAAGATGTAGAAAGAGAGCAAGAAGTCGATCGCTTGGTGAATAGAACAAAGGAACGGCGCAACTATGAAATGAAGTCAGCCGCGCATCACATTCACCTCGACGCATCTGGGCCCTATGCGGCTAGCGACTCATGCTTCGGATACCGGCCCGCTACATGGAATCTGGGGTATTTCCTGCTTGAGCCTTGGCCGATCGGCGCTTGAATCTGGCGTTTGCTCTTGCTTGTCACTGGTGCGTGTGTAACAACCTCCCCGACAGTTACTTGGATCATCTTTCTCTTGTTCAAGATTCCTTTCTTGCAAAGTCGAAAACGTACAATGTCCGGCCACCCATTTGGTCTGCTCGAGCAGTCAGAAGAAGGTCAGCCAGCCTAGAGCTTGCGATAGAGGGCAAGAGTATTAACACATGTTTGCAGATGCATTACACACAGCGCGCCTGCTCAATGTGGAAGAGCGTCCATTCGCCCGTGTCTCCAAGCGATTGCTGGGTAGAGACTCACTTCTAAGAACTACTGCCCAACTACCGACACCGCCGCCCGATGGCTCCGACGCCGACCAGGAAGCAGAGCGCCAGAAGAAAGAGCAAGAGAGAAGACAATGGCGCGAGGATGTCATGCTCGACTTCGCAAATCTGGAAAGCACCTTCATTCGTATCCAGTTTCTCAAGGACAGTAACGAGAAAGAACGCCAGAGATACGCCGACGAGAAGACCAAGATCTTGGAGACTGCACAAGCAGTGCGCGACAACACGGCAGAGCTGCGCATCCAATTGGAAGAAGCACAGAAAACCTTGACTCTTCGCAAGGAATACGACGTGCTGGCCGAGAAGATTACCAACAATCGCATGCTAAAGCCGCGGGACGAGCAGCGAGCCAACCTGGAAAAACTCAACGCGGAAATCGCCGACCTGGAACATGAAGGACAGGAATACGAGCAAACTTGGGTGGAGCGTAGAGAGCAATTCGAGAGCATTGTGGCTGCAGGACAGCAAATGCTTAGGGTCATCAGGGGTGAAAAGGACGAGCCCGAGAAGGACGAGAACATGGAGGATGGCGAAGAGCGTGAGGATGGCGAAGCTACTAAGGACAACAGCCGAATGGGCACACCTGGGCTTGATCTGGGCACAGAGGACGACGAACCTTCATCAAAACGCAGCAGGGGGCCGTCGCAGGGGACGGGAGTCAACACACCCGCTCTAGGAGGAGACGCACAAACGCCTGATGTTGGAGACACCGTGCCTGCGCCGGCAGAGAAAGCAATCGACACAGACATGATGGAGGCTGCGGAGACACCACAACCTGCACTGGTCTCTGAGCTTGAAGAGGGAGAAGCTGCAGAAGATTCGGTCGAGGAAGGAGAACACATGGACGTGACCTAGACACGCAGTCTTCGAACGTCTGACGAAAGGAACCATAGGAAGATACTGTGGCAATCATGAATCTCGTTTACGCTTTTGAATATTTACATTGATGTCAGGGGTGCAAGCAATTAAGAAGTCTCCTTGATAGCATTCTTGGCCGATGCTACAGCATCCTGAGCCTTGGTGACCTCTTCGGGGCTGTTTTGTTCTCCCTGTGCCTGTGGCAATTGTCAGAATAAATAAAATGTCTGTAATCGAAGGGATAGCTCACAAGTTGCTGCTCAAGCTTGGCCAAAGATTCCTGGATGCGTTTGCGGAGCTGAGGAAACATGGCCTTGGTTTCGTCAAGCGCTCTATTCTGGTAGTTGTCAGCAAGACTGCCATTCAACAAGGGTCTGATTACATACCTCCTGCTTCAGATTCCACTCAGCATTTTCTTCGTCACTGCTGACCTGCTTGAGCTTTTCGAGGCGGGCTTGCTGCTGTTCTAGCTCCTTGTGGTAGCTTGCCTCTTCCTTGACAAGACGGGTGACCGCCGAAGTAGCGATTGCGAGCTGCGAAGGAGGAGCCATTATGATGATGTGTAGTAGTATGAGAGGTGAATATGTGTTGTCAATTGTTGATGTCGAACAGGTGGTGAAAAAGAAGCTATTCCCAAAAGGGTTGAGATTGAAAGTGGCTTGCTTTCGCGAAACAGCACGTCGCGCCTCCACAATTTGTCCGAGCTCATGCACTGTTTGTTTCTCCTCGAAGGTTGGCAAAGACGCTCTATACTCTGTGAATAACACAATCTCAATGTCGTCCCCACCAGCAGCGCCGAGCAGTCCGCCTCAGGACAACTATGGTCCCGACGAACAATTACGCAACGAAGCAGCAGCATCGCAGAATTCACTGCTGCCCCCTACCGATGCCTCGACCACTCAGAACTCAGCACAAGCTCCTCCCGCCTCGTCACCACTCTTCTTCCAGTCGTCGCCCGCTGTCAATGCAGGTGCTGATGGTATGAGCTCGCCCATTGGCGCTGGATCGACACTACCTAGCGACGGTGGCCCTACCCCTAGAGCGTCTGGACAGACAATAGGAGGTGCGCATTCACTCAGCAACCACGAAGCCGATCAGAACTGACTATGGCCAGCAGATTCGTCCCCTATCCGTTATGCATCCAGCTCGAGTGGCGCGCCCTTGCACACCGCCAACAGAGCCAACCAGCTCAGAAGTGACAGTAGTGGCCTGTTTGTGCGCTCTCCCTACTCTGGAGGCCCTGTAGGTGCTGCCAACAGACGTCACGACATCGAGTCCGACATTCTTTCAGGAAGCGGCCGAAGGAGACTTTTTGTGGATGAGAATGGCCGACCCACGCGCGACGAGGCATCACACTCCGACACAGCGACCTTCTCCAATGTCGACCCACACACCTCTGAAGCTAACATTCTGGGAGGCCATTCGACAAGGACCGTCTGGGGTACCAACATCAGCGTTTCCGACACTTTGAGCACATGTCAAAGCTTCTTCCGCGACTTCCAGAGAAAGTATCGCCTGCGCTACGATGGAGAGCTTACGGACACGCAAAATCTGCCTGCCGATCATCCTGGAAACGAGAAGATCTACATGAATACTCTTGACCTGATGATGGATCTCGGAACCAGCCAGCTCAATCTCGACATGGAGAACCTGAAGGCCTACCCATCAACACAAAAGCTGTGGTACCAGATGCAAAACTTCCCTGCCGAAATCCTTCCTATCTTCGATCAGGCCCTGAAAGACACAATGTACGAGCTAGCCGAGAAGCGTATGTCCGAAGTGCGAATCCCATCTCAACGCCGTGACCAGTCAGCCAGAGATGATTCCGTACCCGCCATGCCTTCTTCAGACATCGATGCCACCACACCACGACCCACACAGAACGAGAACATTCCTGACCTCATCCAAGAAGTCGAGAGTCGCATCTTCAGAATCAGACCTTTCAACATGGGCAAGACCATCAACCTGCGCGACCTTAACCCGGGAGACATGGACAAGATGGTCAGCGTCAAGGGTCTTGTCATCAGAACCACACCCATCATTCCGGACATGAGAGAAGCCTTCTTCCGTTGTTCCGTTTGTCATCATACTGTCAAGGTCGATATCGACCGTGGTAAGATTGCCGAACCCACTGTCTGCCCTCGCGAAGTCTGCGCCTCTCCTAATTCCATGCAAATTGTGCACAATCGCTGCGTCTTCTCCAACAAGCAAGTCATCAAATTGCAAGAGACTCCCGATCGTGTACCCGACGGTCAGACTCCTCACTCGGTCTCGTTGTGTGTCTACGACGATCTCGTCGATGTTTGCAAGGCTGGTGATAGAGTCGAGATTACCGGTGTGTTCAAGTGCAACCAGGTCCGCATCAACCCTCGTCAAAGATCTGTCAAGAATATCTTCAAGACGTACATCGATTGTGTCTTCATCAAAAAAGTTGACAAGCGTCGCATGGGCATTGACATTTCGACTCTCGAAGAGGAGCTCTCGGAGCAAGCCTCAGGCGGCAAGGAAGAGGTCCGAAAGGTCAGCGCGGAGGAAGAGGCGAAGATTCTCGAGACTGGTGCTCGACCTGACGTGTACGACCTTCTCTCTCGATCACTGGCTCCCAGTATCTACGAGATGGACGATGTCAAGAAGGGTATCCTTCTCCAGCTCTTTGGTGGTACCAACAAATCATTCGACAAGGGTGGTAGCCCCAAGTACCGTGGCGACATCAACGTCCTACTCTGTGGTGATCCCTCGACAGCCAAGTCGCAGATCCTCTCTTACGTTCATCGCATTGCCCCTCGTGGTGTCTACACCAGTGGTAAGGGTTCTTCGGCCGTTGGTCTGACTGCATATGTTACTCGCGATCCAGAGACAAGGACGCTAGTTTTGGAGTCCGGTGCTCTTGTGCTGTCAGATGGCGGTGTCTGCTGCATCGACGAGTTTGACAAGATGAACGACTCGACTCGATCAGTCTTGCACGAAGTCATGGAACAACAGACTGTCTCTATTGCAAAGGCCGGCATCATCACAACGCTCAACGCAAGAACCAGTATTCTGGCATCCGCCAATCCCATTGGCAGTAAATACAATCCCAACCTGCCCGTACCGCAAAACATCGACCTGCCGCCGACGCTGCTGTCTCGTTTCGATCTGGTCTACCTTGTGCTCGACCGCATAGACGAGATGAACGATCGTCGCATGGCGAAGCATTTGGTCGGCATGTACCTTGATGACGCTCCCGAGAATGCAAGTGCAAACGAGATTCTTGTAAGTTGAACGATAACAGCCAGTTCGAACGCACAGCACTAACCTTTTACAGCCCATCGAATTCCTAACCTCTTACATCTCCTACGCCCGTAACAACATCCAACCAAAGATCTCAGAAGAGGCATCACAAGTCCTCGTCGACGCCTACGTCTCCATGCGTGCCCTCGGAGCCGATGTCCGTGCCGCAGATCGCCGCATCACAGCCACGACACGTCAACTAGAATCCATGATCCGTCTAGCCGAAGCCCATGCGAAGATGCATCTGCGCAGCGAAGTCACAGCCGACGACGTCAACGAAGCCGTTCGTCTGATTCAATCAGCACTCAAGCAATCAGCCACAGACTCCAGAACTGGATTAATCGATATGGGGCTTCTGACTGAAGGTACCAGTGCTTCCGAGAGAAAGCGCAAGAGTGATCTCAAGGATGCTGTGCTCAGTGCTGTGGACGATATGCTCAGAAGTGGGCAGTCTAGTGTGAGGGTGCAGGATGTTTTGAGGAGGGTGGGTGAGGATTCTACTATTCCTATTGAATCTGTAGAGTTGGCTGAAGCGTTGAGGTCGTTGGAGGCAGAGGGCAAGTTGTTGATTTCTGGCGAGGGGCAGAGACGTAGTGTCAGAAGAGTCACTGGCATTGCGTAAACCGTGATCGGTATTGATGCTAATATGGCACTGTTTTGGGTACTTGGTTGGGGGTTTATGGAAGGGTTTTCTATCTCAAGGGATGATATCAAGGTGTTTTTGTCTTTCAAATCTTGGTTTCCCCATGTCTAATGACTTCTCGATCCTCCCATTTGCGCTGAATGATGACTAAAGATGACACGATGAAATGTCTCTCGAGCCACTACCTGTTCGACTTGTCCCGCGCGGATATGACGACAAGACGAGTATGGCCTTGCACATCTCCGTGTCTCTTTCTGCATAGGCTTTTTGTTATGCTCTTCTCTGTAGATTTCGTGATGTTTCGTAGCTGATGCGTCTCGGTAGCGGAAGCTTTTCAAGTCTCGAGGAGCGGGCTAGATATCAATGTCAGTACATGGTTGCAATGAGACGATGATAGGCGGAAGAGTATGAACTCACCCAAGGTAATCCTCCTTGATGGTAGCGATGGCGTACATCTGGCCAACCTCACCTCTGATACCCTTGATCTTGACACGAATATGAGTACCCCTCTCAATGACCTGATCCGCATTATCCGTAAACTGTGGCGGCGTCGCATTTCCATCAAACTTGATATCGCTAGGAATCATCTGTGTGCATGTTAGCATGAAACCTACTTCTCCAAATTCCCCTCGGAACGAGACAAGAGTGTATTAGGAGGTTCTCAAAAAACTCACAGCCTTGCTAACAAAAACATTCAAAGGTCCCACATCCACAAAAAAGCCATTACTGACCACACTGCTCACCATACCATCGCAAACCTCTCCTTTAAACGGTCTCCAAACCACTGCCTGAAACATGATTGTAAACTCTGCGAAACCCGAGCCCGGCAACACGCGAGGTTCAGAGATGTCCAGGACGGAAACGACACACACAATGTAGAAGTTTCCAGTGTTTGTGCCTTCGACGTCTTGGTAGAGTGTGTCGGTGATGTATTTGTGTGTGTCCTTGTCAAAGTAGGAGGGGTGGAGGTTTACGACTCGTTCCATTTCGTGGAGGAAGAACATTATGGGTGTGTGAGGGGGATGGTGCAGGTGCGTAGAGCGAGGAGGGGTGCGGTGCGCGTAGTTGTGGTAGAGGTGATGTTGTTCGCGTGGTTGTCGAAGCGCAATTGGGAGTGTGATGGGCGACTGGGGAGAGAGAGACGAAGCTAGTCGGCTAGTCGAAGAGAAAGTCGCAACAACAGTGATGAATGGCGATTGGGCGACGAAGCAGAGTGAAAGCCGACCAAGCTAATGGCGCTTTACTTGGTGTGTATGTTGATCGGGAGACGCGCTTGCGCTCCTGGTTGATCCCTTGCTCTTTCTTGAAATGACCGTGATGGAGAGGGCGCTGACAGTGAGTCTGTCCGGGTGCGCGCGCAGATGGCAGTAGACGGCAAGTGTCGAGGTTGAGATGGAGAAATGCACGCGACAACAACAGCAATTCGTGCGTCGCAAAGTTACGTAGGCTGTATCGACGGCGCGGAGCTGCCTTGGCGTTGTTGCACACCTTCGCGGTCATTTGTGTTGGCCCGCTGTCTCGCTTCCGACGTCAACTTTCGACTTTACTTGCATCGGGGGCTGCCACAATGTAAATATATTATAGAACGTGATCTGCCTATATTCGCTCCATGTCTCTATGAGATAGCTATTCCCCTGCTTCAGTCTTTCTCTCATACCATGTCAAAGCTGATCATTGTAGGAATGGGTGCGACGGCCAAAGGGGTGAGACTTGGTGACCCTGACGGGCTCACATGCGCGTTCGCGTTCCAGCGCTCTCTGGTAGAGCTCAAAGGCAAGCTCGGGTATCTCGGAGATGGTCCTGCGTAACTCAGGGACATTGCGGTGCGTGTAGCGGAGGATGTCAATGTGATATGACACCATCGTGCGCAACACCTTGTCTGTGCTCACCGTTCCCTTGAAAGTGATCATGATCGCTGCAGCCAGACCTGCCAATGTCCGGACGCCCAGAGCCTTGTACTTTGCCGCTGCTAGCACCTTCAGCCCAGGTATCCCGTACTTTTCACCCATGGCATACATCCTTGCATGCTCCGCCAGGATGCCTTGACCGAAGTTCTCAGGCGTCAATCTGTAGCCGTCTGGAGGCTGACTCTCTGCTGTCTCTTCCTGGAGGTAGTCGTGGTGGTAGAAGTAATGGATCATCAATTTGATTGCTATGCGAGTCTCGACGTCCAGGTCCCAGTCGAATTCTTCTGCCGCGATTGGCTTCTCGTAGTGCGTTTTGTCTCGACCAACAGTGGCAGGAATGTTGATGATTCCGGTTCTCCCTTCTCGAAATGTGTCTGGGCGACATGCGACGCGGAAGAAGTCTGATTGAGGGCAGACGATGGCTTTGTGGACGTTATATGTCGTAGAACCGCACACGATCTTGAGATCAGAGTAGGCGCCATTCTTATGGAGGCTTTGACACGGTCAGTATAGTGAAGATTGAAGTAGACGACACACCTACCCAGCAATCACCGAAGCAAACTTTTGCTCAGGACATGCCTCACTCGTCATGGTGAGGTGTGATTAAAGGGTCGAGGGACGAGTCAAAGCCAAGCTCCGAAGAAGAGAACAACCGAGGAGAAGAGAACAGTCGAGAAGCAGAGCAACAGTATGCGAGTGAACTTGCTGAGTTCAACAGGCACCTGCACTGGTACAGACTTTGCGAAGTGGTCTGGTTGCACCTTCCATCACAGCAACTCAGAACCCAGTCACTCACACAATAATTCCTAACAAGAGCCCCTCACTCTCATATGACGACCTTTGAGCCAGAGTATTACGGTCGCCGTCCAGTTCTCACGGAGCCTAGTCGGAATGTGCTTACATAATCTGCGATGGAACATCATCTCGCACTTGCCTAGCTGACAGTCGATATGTCTTCGACGAAGGGAATCCGATCCCCCCGAGGCGTACGTGATTCGGCGTCCTCCGGATAGAACGCGATGGCCACGCTCAACAAAGAGATCATGAAGATGTTATCATTTGCTTTGTCTCGATGACCAAAGTCTCGAGATGTTTTTCCTTTGTTGACGACGGTCCGGATCAGGATGCGCCGATGCGGCTTTACAAATCCTTTATCAGAGCAAGTCCCAAATATCGGGGCAATTCGCACGGTTGTCAAGGTGTCGTCTACAACACACTTTCACCACCCTGCACAATGTCGTACGACGACAATGATTTTATGGACACCGAGTCCAGCAATTCCGGGGACATGGACCATGACATGGGCTTAGATGAGTCCAGTCTCAATGTCGCCGATGGTTCCCCCGGCAAGAGTAGCCCAGGCACAGATCCGACGTCTCCAGTTCCAGATTTAGACTCAAATTCAGGTACGAGCTCAAGTTCAGCTTCGGAGCCTGAGTGGCACGCGAACAACGCTGTACTGTCCTGGATCGGGCTGAAAAAAACCTCAACGACAGGGGCTATGTGAATCTCAGGACAATCGATACTCACAAGACATTTGGATATTCTGGGGACCGAGCATTGAAAGCAGCAAGATGGCGAGCCGAAAAGGAAGTTAACATGGGCTTGTGTCATCGGATTACGGAAACGCCCAAGGCGGGAAGACCTAGGAGAGGTTATGGAAAGCTTGACGACTTTCACCGGATTCATCCTATCTTTCGCGCGGATAATTGGAGTTCAGATGACCTGATTATCACAACAGCACAAAACGGGTATTGGGAAAGGCTGAAACCAGTATTGCAACTAGCCACTCTTCTCTTGGAAGATGAGAGCATCGTTGGCTATATTTACGCTTTCCTCGATGTCAACTCTCACAAGGAGATCGCTCTACAAGATGGCAAAAAAGGTACACAACGCAAAGCGTACTGTTTCAGAAAACGCGATAACATGGGTGAGCCTGAAAGAAGGCAGGTCTGGAAGTACTTATACGAGCTGTCAACAAATTTGTGGTGGACAGAAGAGGATTTTGCCGGCGAGAAGAAGAATTGGCATGCCTACACGTCCGGAGAAAGAGGCTCGATCGAGATTTTCCTAGACAAGGCACACATAGATCACGTCTGTAGGGAGGTCTCACCAGTGCAAGATGCTATCGACTGGGAACCCGGCTCGGATGAGGAGTCTGCTCGACTCAGAGCCAAGTTTGGTCTGGCGACTACCATGGTGCACGAGGTCATGCATGCCTTGTGGCGCAACAACAACCATCCCAGTCCCGAGCCATTTTACATGGATACTAGGGCTGCAGAGCTGGGATTCCAGTGGGAGCAAATCATGTACTCGGGTGTCATAGATAGTGCTACTGCTACCGTTGACACAGGTGCACCTTATGTTAGTATCAGAATTTGTCGATGCAGTATGAAGATGCGCTAACATTTTGAACGGCAGTGTCTCACCATCTATAGATGGCCCTCACCAGAAGAAGGTACAGAGCGGCCCAAGGAATCTCGCATGAGCCACAAGAAGTGGGGAGGCTCTGACGTAGTCCATGAATACGCCGTCAAGATGAGTTTTATTCAGAACATGTTCACGCATGACTTCTGGGCAGAAGTTGACCGTTTTGGCATTGGCATGTTCTCGCCTCGGGGAATGTTGGGCGTACGCTATTATGAATCGACGGAACTCTGGGAAGGTGAGAGTCCGACTATAAGGGGACCGGAAGCTCTTGAGCCCGTGAGCCCGGATTATGCAGATGCTCACGGAATCATCGATCGACATGGAGTCTCTCACACGGCGACAGGTTTTGGGTTTGGTAAGGCAATCTTCGCAACCAAGAATTAAGAATCGAATTTGTGCCCAATTCAAAGCCAGGGAGGGCGATGCACCTATCCACATACAATTTGAATTATCTGATGAACTGTTGACTTGAGATCGGTCTATATCTTACCTCAGCATAAGAAAGCTGGTATACTATTACTGGACTGACAATCTGTTCATGAATGTGGTGAGCGTTACGTGTAGTCTCAAGACGTTGATGGCTCTGTATTCGGAGAAACCGGGTGTGGCTAGACTGAGAATCGATGCTAGATAGTACACCCATACCTAGGCTCAGATGACGAAGGGCAATACACTAAAACTCTTCCGGCAAGATCCAGACAAAGAATTTGGACGGAATGGGACTGGCAGACACGTCACGCGATGAGGTCTGCCATACGATTCAGCCTATCCCAGGTATCTCGCAGTCACAGATCGTGAATGACATTGTTTGGGGAATACGAACTATGGGTCTGGGAAACATGTCTTTATTCTGTACTGCCAATCTTAGTTGTAAATTCAATCATTTGCCCCTTCCTAACGTTCTCTTTTTGTGAGATTTCTTCGCCCCAGATGAAGATCTTTGGATCGACTTGTTCCTATGGTTCTCACCATCCATCAACTTGTTGGTGTTCGCCATGAAATCCCGGATGTGATTCGATGGCATCGACATCAGCGCTTGCTCATGCAGAATTCTATGCATATCAAGTGTACGAGCATAATCGGTTCCGGCGTGCTTTGCAGCAGCATTGAAGTGTGATGAGACGTCTTCATCGCTCTCGTTATGATGTTCCGTCGTAGTATAGCTTTCTGTGCACGAAGCGCGCTCGTCTTGGAAATTCTTGCCGGCAGTAGCTTTGTGCCTGAGTGTGTTTGTCTTCTGGACAGGTTTGCCATTGACTAATATGGTTTCGTGCGTGACCCGCTTGGTTGGGATGTCCTCTTCGACATCCGTCTCGCCTTCTAAATCGCTGCTTTCGTCGCTGTCTGATTCGTCTTCCGAATCGCTACTTTCATCAGTGTCTGGCTCGATCTCTGAGTCGCCAGCATTGTTGTCTTTTTCAGTGACTTTCGGTGAATGTATCCTCTGATGAATTAGCCACAGATACCCTTTTTTCTCGCTCTCGCTGTCTCTGTCCCTCTGTTTCCTTCTTGATTCGGAACAGATCCTCTGCTGAAAATTTGCCGTCCATCGTCTCAGGTTCGAATTATCGCTATAGTCGAGTGGCGATCTTACAAGTATGCTCTACGAACCAAAGATTTGTTCAAGAAATACTCCGCTCTCGCCATATATGCCGGCGTGTCACTCGAACAGACAAAGGGATGAGTCGTCACCGGAAGCAGAAAACTCTTTCTTAGACTATGTCGTATTGACACGTTCTCACGAGGCTATCACGATCATCAGGCATTCATCTGGGTCTAACCTTTCGTGTATCTTGATGAAGTACCATGCGGGTATCAACATTAACATGCTACCAGCTGCTATTTCATATGGCCGCCATTACTCTTGACATTTGCCCCGGTCCTCTCTCCTTCTTCCTCTTCCTATCCCCCTCACGTTAACAATCCACCTTGAACGTGTCTCTTACTTCCTCCGCTGTCAGCCCGACTCTTTTCGTAAGCCTCAACTTCGCTGTGGTTATGTCTTTTCTACTATGCTCATAGTTTGCTGCCAACAGTTCCGATGGGTTGGCCTGATACCTCAGTCCAAGCTCCTTGAAGGCCTCCTGCTTGTATTGATTCTCGCGGAAAGTACACGCTTCCATCAATCTGACAAAGCTCTCCTTCGTGAGGTGTCCTTGCTTGTACTTCACAGCTTCTGATCTACCTAAATTGACTGGCAGGGCGAGGTAGATGAAGCTCTCAAGCTTCATGTCAACACCAGGCGTCACTATCAAAGTGAGTGTTTTACCATTCCCTGGTGTCGAGCCTTGCCAGTCACTGCCTTTCGGATTGGCTGCTGTGGTGACAGTCATGAATTCATTCCTACGGTGCAGCGATAGCTCCGGAATGTCTAACCATCGTACTGGAACATCGGCAGACAGATCGTCGCTTCAAATGTATTGTAGAGGACCACCATGGGACGAATCTTGGAGAGTACAGCACCATGTTGAAAGATGCGTACATCCCTCGCTGGATACTCGCAATTGAGATCGTTTTGAGCGCCACTATGAGCAGCCCTGATCACGTCACCGGGCTGGAAAATTTGTCGATTGACCTTTCTCTTATCAGCCCAGACGCCGATATTCTTCTCAACGAAGGGATCCCCAGGACCGCCCACTCTTTGCAACGTCTTTCGCGTGCATAGCACCGGGCCGTGGATACCCGCTGGAATCACACTTTCAGATTGCTGGAGTTGAGTTCGCAGTCCAGGATAGAGGTGGATATCAAAGCTTGTCAGGCACGGAACAGGATCCCTGTCGGTATCAGGGTCTGGGAACCATGTCTTGAGAACTTCTGCATCTTCTTCCTCATCTCTATCACCCATGTGGTTTGGGATGTAGGAGCCTTGACATCCACTACGGTGAGTAGAACTTCTGCTGAGAGGTGGATGTGCTGAAGTCACTGCTGGCTGCTGTGACGACATCATCGACATGGCAAACTCTCGATCGTAAACTTCTTGAGCCTTTTCGGGACTATCCTTGTTATCAGGTTCCTTTGATCCTCTGTTCATGAAGTTTAGGAACTTCTTCTTGGATGAAGAAGGGGGAGTAGCTGCTGTTTCTGAGCCTTTTCTCTTGGACGAAGGACTTGCATCTTCCATCGTCACATCCTGGCTTTCGTTTTCCGCACTTGCAATATCGATAGCTCTATCTCTCCAGGATCCAGTTGCGGACACCGCGCTGGACCTCCTAAGACCGAAGTCATATCTCGAGTTGAGAGGGTTTTCGCTCTGGCCACCTTGCTCTTGGTTTCTTGCGACCCTAAAAGATTTCCAATGCTGAACCATTGTATAGTAATGTTCATATGTGTATGTGAAGTAAGTAGTGTTACAGATACTGTCGATTGTCGAGCTACTCGATCATACTTCTGAACATACATAAAGTGGAACAAAGAAACTTATCTCTGCCGGAAGCGGACGTTCCATCTCTGATGACTCGATCTACGGACGGGCTTTTGTATGAAAGATGTAGTGCTTTGTGTCCAATGAAGCGCATCATTCTGGTTGATGAGACAATGGACGTGTCAACTCAACATCATCCTCTACTGGTCTTGGTTCTCCAGAAATCAGTGTCATTTGCTTACGTTACCGTCCAAGATCTGCACGCAATAAATCACTTATGTCAATTCATTCCAGACTAATCCCACCACCAGTTTTGAAGGCTGATTTGGATGACATCATAGTAGCGACGAGGATAGAAGAACCCTTGATCGGTCGACTTGGAATGAACGAGCTATGTGTGCAGAATAGCTTCGCGCAATTCGTAAGGATCGGATAAGAGAATTATGGCCAGAGTCATATAAAGAGCATATTTTCCGAAGAACCGGAAGTGGAAGCGCTTTCTTTGATCCTCTCCGGCATCTGACTTGAGACTCTCGAGGACGATGTAGCGCGCCGGATGTTCTACGCCCCTACCGTGTCAAAGTCCTACAAAGCCGCCCAGAACAATCGGCCATTAAATCCATTCGCACTTAGAGAGTATTGTCATCTGCTTATATACCAACATCTCTAAAACTCACTTGCTATCATATATATACGACCCCAAGTTGATGTGACCTATATGTCTATATCGGTACATTGCTTGGATCCACCCTCTTAATCCACTTCCAGCCACTTGTCTCCTCCACTCCATCCACAAAGACCCATTCTCGATTATGCATCCTCGTCGCCCTTTTCTGCACGGAATCCTCTTTATCGTCGGGCTTACCTGGCCATACCTCTGTATTACCAGGCTCATAATGTTCGTTCCACTCTACGTATGCCGCCTCCTTGAGTTGGCGTTCTGTGTGATCCAGAGCACACATCAATCGATCATAGCTGTCTCCCTGGAGAGCTCCCATTTGTGAGTCGATCTCTTCGAGATAGCCTATGGTGATTGGGTTGGTAATGTTAATCCATAGTCGTCCCGTCAGTGGTGCTGCAGCTTTTGGCTCCGGATTGTACTCGGCAAGGAGGGGACGTCCAGCCCATTTTGCATAACTACCAACCCATGCATAGTCATCGTCGGAAGTAATACTGACGTACTCTTTCCAGTGTTCGGAGTCTGCGCCCCATGGCCGAGACTTCAGTGAAAGTATGGGTAGACATACGAGTCCAGCCTGTGTCTTCCAAAGTACTACCATCGGGCGCCGTTTGGAATGAACAGGGGCCTCTACGTGAGGCTCCACAAAGTTCAACTGCACAATTTTCGTTCCTCCGAAAAACACAGTCGATGCAGTCGAATGAGCCGCTTGAATCAATTGACCCGGAAAGAAATGTTTCGGCTCGCGGTCTGCACGGTACGCCACTAGTTTTGAGCGTCTTGGGTCGTTCGCGTCCTTTGAGTGGTCGTATAGAAATCTCAGGTCGCGATTGAACCCTTCAGGTGTTTTTCTTGGAAGTAGACCCGACAAGGAGTACTTGTCATGGCTATAGTCGCTCGTTCTTGATGCTTTCGGCCGGGCTTCATGATTGTCACCAGGCATGACTTTCTTCGGCCCAATCTTTGCTTGGGCAGATCTTGCACTTCGCCTGGGACTTGGGGGCTTGGTGACTCCAGCATAGGTTCCTTTCCCCTTGTGGTCGACCACCACAAATCCGTCTTCATCCGACTTCTTCCCTGCGTTCTCACCAACCATCTTTACAAAAGACATGCGACTCGGACCGATATCAAGTGAATCCGTACTCTGATTGTGATGACCTTGTGTGTCGAGCAATCCTCAGATGCGGGAAGGGGATGGAACATGGACGACAAGATTTATCTCGTCTCTTTGAGCAGTCATGTACTAAGAACCTCTTTCGACCGACAGCGTAATTGTTCTGATTCCTTGGGCGCATTGCTCCGTCCGGATGAGGAGATGGCAGGGGTACCGACGAGACTCGACGAGTCTCTTTGTTTGGTATCGCGGTAATTGCCTCCGGATCTTGAAGTGCTGGGCCGATTTTTTGGTCAGATATTCGGGCTCAATGACAGAGTGAGACGTTTAGGAGTTAAAACTTTATCAGTGGACAATTACGAAACATGCCAATGGCTTTGTGAAGCAAAAGGATGTACAAGATATGCCCTGTGAGTCGGGAGATATGGCTAGTCGTTATCTCCCAACTCGAGAATGATAAATGACAAACAAACACATCTCAAATATCATCGGCAAGCGCATCCCACGAAAATCGTGCCTGCCTAAATAATGAAAAAGGCGACGCGCTCTACTTCTTCTTTCCCTTCCCTTTCTTACTAACACCTTTCTTGACTGGCCCAAAGGTCTCCCTCGCCTTCGCTCTTCTCGAGTGAAACTGATTAGGGAATGCCTTTGCTGCAAAGGTTTGCAACACCTCGTCCATCTGGTCATCGTCCAACCTTGGTTCTATAACGGGACGAGTCTCAAGGATGTACTCATCTTTGTACTCGTCAACGTCGAATCTCTTGAAAGCCCCAGCCAGCCAAGTATCCATTTTCAGCTTGAATAGACTGAGGAGACGAAGGTACTCGTCTCCATCGAGGGAGCCGACGTTTGGGATCAGGCAGTGAAACTTGTTGATACTGCATGGATGACTTAGCTCCGCGTAGCTGACAGGGGATGAGTTTTCAGTTGATGCGATTTTTGGATTTATGGTCATAATGATCGGATGGCCTGCCCAAGGGGTGGGGTTGTCGAAGCCTTCATGGACATCTTCTGTAACCATGGTGACATAATCCTTCCTTCGCTCTTGGGGTATTGAGTTGAAGCCTCTTTGGATTGTGAACATCCTTTGAAAAACCTGATGTTAGCATAATGTGCCGCGGGTCAATCACAGACGATCAGACTTACGGTATGCAGAACAGTCCTTGAGCTGTCGTCCATAGCACAACCATATAGCGCATCTTACCGCCAAATGGTCCAGCTTTAGTCATGGCGATCTCTCCACCCTCTGGGTTCCACTTTGCCAGAATATCCGTCACGCTATAAGCGTGTGGTGCAATGATGATTTGCCCAGGATAAAAGTCCTCCAGCTCCCATTCCGCGCTGACCGCCCACTTACCAATTAAACTCTGATCCTTTGTTCGGCATAGTTTCCTACGTCTGACCTCAAAGGGCCCGGAGCTGTCCAATATGTCTGTGAAACAGAGTTCTGGATTATTTTGGAGACCTTGATATAAGCGAATATCTTCCTCGATCTTCTTTGCCTTGGCTGCCTTTGCTGCCTCCTCATCTTCCTTTTCTTTCGCTACCTTCTGATCGCGTATGCGGTCCGACGTTCGTGTCGCAGACGTTTTAGCCAAGAATATCCAGACTGTAGAAGAGTGTTTGAGGAAATTGAAAATGTTGTGCCACGAACGAACAATAAAGAATCAAGTACAACATCCGAAGTCTGTAAGATGTCAATCCGTCTGTAGCAGCTCTTGGTACCACAATCTTCTTTGTCATCTACATACCTTTCCGGAGAACCACAGGCAAAGCTTCTGCAAACATTGGAACCATTTCTTTGTGTCGCCGACTGGAATTGGACTGCTGACTGGACGTCCGGATCGGTACATGCATCGTGGACAGTGCCGCCATAGGTGTCGGTCATGTAGCGGTCGAGGAGTGTCGGACGTGCAAGTCAATCACAGAGTCGATCGAATCATTGGCGCTCGAGTTGTGAAGCGAGAGCGTTCGGCGAAATTGTACTGTCAGTCGTTCCTGCCTCGCGGCGGATCGCATTCGCCAAGGACCGGCCTACACGATCCGCACGTCTACGGCATCTACAAAACGTTCGCTGAAACAGCATGTTACGAGGACAGCTTTGGACAATTGAGAAAGCCACTGTACATCGGGCCTGTGCGATTTTCCGCGTGACTAGAGAGAGAGAAAAAATACGAAATACAAGCTCTTGAGATGTCCTTCGTCTCATCCAAATACACATCTGAATGTAAATGTTGCTTTTGTGTGCAAATGCCCTGTAACTCCTACGCACCAATGCGGCAATTAAACTAGACATCCTACTCTTCTACTTTTAACCTTGAATGGCGTTGAGGATCATCTCCTTGGCGTTCTCCACACCGTCCTGAGTACCAGTAATCTCAATGGCCTCGTCGCCGCTCTGAGCCTTGGGAACCTGGATCTTGGTGCCAGTCTTGGTACGGATGTCGTTGATGGTGCTGCCCTGAGGACCTACGACTCTTCTGTAAGAGCTGGGGTCGGGAAGAACGAGGAAGCCAGCGTGGGTCAGCTTCTCAGCGTCGGCAAGAGCCTTCTTGACACGAGCGCTGGCCTTCTCGAGGCTCTCGGTGGAAGCCCCCGACAAAGCCCAGATGATATCGCCTTCGGGGGCGCTCTCGTGAAGGTTGTGAACGACCCAGGAAACATTGTCGTCAGATGCACCAGCAGTGGCATCATCTGTAATCAAAGGCATGCCAGAGCTAGCCTTACGGGTAGACAACGCCTCGGGGCGCTGAGGCGGGCGCTGTCCCTTGTGATCGACCGAAACCTTGAGATCGCTACGGAGACGACGGAAGAATTGTCCATTATCAGCGATGGCGTGGTGGAACTTGAGAGGAACCTGGATGTCGGTACTCTCAGCGTCCTTGATGAGAGTGGCGATGTGCTCTTTGGCCTTCTCGATGTTCTCGGCGCGGCCAACGAGCTTGACCTTGGAACGATCTGCACCTGTGACAGACTGTCTGGGGATATCGAGCTGTACACCAAACTCAGACTCGATCTTCTTTCTAATGTCACCACCACGGCCGATCAGCTTAGGGTGCTTCTCGGGAGAGATCTCAATAATCTGTGTAGTTTGGCTCTCGAGCTCAGAAACCTGTGCCTGGATGGCTTCGATGATCTTGTCGGCAATAGACTGGTTGGCCTCGACGCGGATAGTGTTGCCCTCGGCCTCAGCACGAGGGAAGCGTACCATACGGGCCAGCTTTTGTCTATCATCGGGACCGCCTGCCTGGATGACAATGTTGCGGATGTTGGCGCCACCACCACCAATGATATTGCGGTGGTGCTTCTTCTCAATGTCGAGAGTACGAGTCACAGTGGAGTCGTAGACCTTAGCGGCTTCCTCGATCTGCTTCTTGGCATCTTCAACAGCCTTCTTAGAACCCTTGATCTTGACCTCGACGCGTCCTGAAGCATCGGCAACCTCGCGGTTGTTAGGCACATCGACGTGGGCGCCAGTAGCGAGACGAAGAGCATCAAGCTCGCGGCCTCCAGATCCGATCAAAGAGGGCAGCTGGCTCTGTTGTACAGAGACAGTGGCAGTGTGAGAAGTGTCCATGGTGTACTGGAGGAGGTTGAGAAGTTCATCTCTAGCCTCATCGGCACCTCTCTTGGGACCCTTGATAATGACCTCATCGGGAGCTTGGTTTGACTTGCGAGATGTCTCGCCCTCAGCAGTGTCGTCGCCCTCGGTGTTGTTGGAGCGAGGGAAATTAATTCTGACGTTGTATCGGTCTTGGAGACGGTTGACCATGCTGCCCTTTGTGCCAATTAGATCTTTGTGGTATTGGGGCTTGACCTTGAGAACGTGTGTAGCCTCGTCTTCGAGCTTCTTTCCAAGTGCAAGGATGTGTGCTTTACAGGCGTTGGCCTTAGCCTGAGGGCCCTTAAGCTCGACCTTGCCATCATTGACCTGGATGTCGACATCGAACTCTTCACGGAGCTTTCTAATGTTCTCGCCCTTCTTGCCAATCAAAATGTTGGCAAACTTCTGAGGGAAGTCGAAAGTAAGAGTGAAACCGCGCTCAAGCTCATCCTGCTTCTCTTGCTCGATGAAAGCAAGCAAGCTTTCAACAAGTGCATCAGCGCGATCACTGGGACCACGGACGGAGAAACCTTGAGCAGGGGCCTTGCGAGCGGCTTGACCGCCGAAGAGAACCTGAACAGGGATCTGGCCCGAGGGAATGTTGGACTGCTCACGATCAACATGTCTTCTGATCTTGTCGTGGAACTTGGAAGGAGCGTCAACATCGCGAGAGACGATATCCTGCTGGCCGCTGATCAGACCAAGAAGATGCTGTTGAGCCTCCTTCAGGGCACGCTCAAAGTCTTGAGCCTCGTTAGCGGCAGGTTGGCGTTTGGGCAGCTGGTAGTCAGCAGCCGAAGAAGGGCCTTCGTAGACGAGCAGGATCTCATCGTCGCTGTCAGAATCTTCAGGGACAACCATGTGCACACCAAACTGATCGCGCATCTGAGGACCAGCTGACTGGCGCAAGTGCTGGTGGTAGAAGGGGTGGACCTGAACGGGGTTGAGACGGGTGGGAGGGTGGCCGCTGATAAGGTTCATGATGTCAGAGCGAGCCTTCATGGTGTTCTTGCCATCACGCGAGTAGACCTCCCAAGCAGTCGGACCATTGCGGGCAGTGCTGGCGACAATACGAGCGTTGTACAGGCTCTCAAGCTCCTGGATTGCGCGTCTCTGCTGGAGATATTTGGTGACGTTACGAGCGTGTGCCTGAGCACCCAGAGGTGCGTTGGGGAAGGAGCGAGAAATATCGACGCTAGCCATGGCCATGCTGGAAGCAAGCTCCATGACCTTGTTCAGACCCTCATCGAGTCTGTCAGCAGGACCAACAATGGTCAAATTCTCGTCGTCCTCTGAATCCGGGGGCAGGATGACGGCACAGCCAGTCTCGGCAAGGAAGTCGTGGAGAGAAGTGCCTCTGTCACCGACAATGAACTGGTGACGTCCACGCTCGATGGCAACCTGGTCGGAGACGAGCTCGCGTCTGAGCTGCTCAACCTGACGTTCAAGCTGTGCGCGGGCCTCGTTGGCAGCCAAGCGGTCGCCAGCGATCTGGATAGGCAGACTAGCCTGAGGCACAAAGGAAGGAGGCTGACGGTACGCAGCGGACTGAGGAGGAGCTTGCTCGACCCAGGTGTGGTAGTGAGGAATCTGGACTCTAAGGTCGCGGCCGTTCTCGAGCTCACCAACACGGGAGTTGTGGGCACCGGCAAGGAAGGGGTAGAACTCTGCGGGAATGTCCTTGAGGCGCAGGTTCATGGACGAGGTGCGCTCGTTGACGATCTTCTCAATCTCGCGGCGAGCCAGCTCGGCGGCGACAGCATCTCCCTCGATGAGGACATCAATGGTAGCAGAGTCATCGTCGTCGGCCATGTCAATGTCGTCCTGGCGAGGAACCTGGATCTTAGCACCAGTCTTCTGGCTGAGGGCGGTGATGTTGGCGCCACCGCGACCGATGATGTGGGGGCGAACGGACAGTGGGACGGGGACCTTGACGCTTTGCTATTTGTCGTTAGCCATGTCGTAAGTGCACAAGAATTTTGGAGGTAACAAACTCTGGAACCAAGCTGACGGGCAACCTCCTTCAAAGTCTCGCGAACTTCGTTCGGGGTACTACCGGTGGCTCTGAATGTGTAGGCACCGCCAGCGCCCTGACTCATTTCAACCTTGGCCTTGGAGCGCTTGTTGATGTCGCGGAGAATCTCCGAGACGGGCTTCTTGAGGTCTTTTGACTGAGCGAGTTGAGAGGGAGCAAAAGAGATCTGCTCGGTGTGGCGGCCGGGGAGAGAGACACCACGGAAACCAGCATTGGACGAGGCGGGAGCAGCGAGGCCCGAAGCAGGAGCCGAGTTGCGCGAGGGAGCGTTGTTGGCGACCTGACCGTTACGAAGGCCATTGGCGTTAGCGACAGCAGCAGGCTTCTTGGACCAGGGCGAAGGACCAGCAGAAGGGCGAGACTTGGAAGCACCGAGAGAGGGGAACAGCTCCTCGGACTGAGTGTCGAGGACTGAAGGCTTCTTGGGGGCAGGGGCGGGGGCGGACTCGGGAGCCGGAGTGGGTACGGCGGTCGAGGGACCAGCGGACGACGAGGCCGTGGCAGAGGCAGAGGCAGAAGGAGGAGGGTGGAGGAGGTCTTCTTCGTCGACAACCTCCTCAACCGAGGGCTTGTGATCGTCGTGCTTTTCGGCCAGACGCTGGGCGGGCGTCAGGCTGTCGGCAGAGGAGCCGGCGACAGTGGGAGCCTCGGAAGCCATGATGATACCAGTTCCGTGAAGTAAACCGTGGAAGATGCTGCGAGGGCCGTGTCAGAGCGTGGCCTGTGATGAGCGTTGGACTGGGACATGGGGATGCACCTACAGCTGAAACCGTTACTGACCAGCGGCTCAACTAAGCGTGAGAAGCAGGATTAGGATCTGATGCAGAGGTTAGAAGACTGTGTGGTGACTGGTCTGGCTGCTGCAACAGAACTCACAATAGATTGGACGTCTTGTGGATGACCAGAGGTGACAGAAGCCAAAAGGAGACTCGCCGTAACTCCAAAGTTAGGAGAGCCCTGGAGCTTCGACCGCCTTCCTTCCCCACATCGCCCGGACTCGACTTTTGCCAAGCTTGCATTTAGGCCACCTGTTGTGCTGCCGTCTGCGCCCATTGCGTATATGCAATCACGTCGGGGATATAGACGAATGCCCGAGCCTTCGAGCTACTCTGACTCTGCTTGTACGTACCTAGCCCAAAACATCTTCATTGACACAACTTGGCCAAGTCCGCCAGCACACTCACTACTCTAACCTATTCGCTCCACCCAATACATCATCTTCCTCAAGTGGATGTTCCTCAGCCCCGTATTCACGCAGTATTCGTTGGATGTCCAAAGCCAATTCACACGATCGGTCGTCGTCCATTTTGGGTACGTCACTGGCAGCAAGCTGTAAGGTACATGCAGTTGGCCGACATCCAAGCAAGAAAATCTTCCTTGGTTCTTGCTGAGAAAACAACAATTTTCATGTTGGATGTATTTCATCACGATACATGACCTACAGCTGTTGACCAGTAGTTCAGACAACCCTGATTGCGATAATACCTCAATGTGATGCTGTAGAGAGCTCTTAATTTCTCCAAATTCGATTTCAAACGGTTTCTACTGGGCGTGAAAGAATGAGGTAGACGAGAGATGATTCCTTTTCTTACCATCTGGATCCACGAACAATTTTCGAGCTGCACAATAGAAGTTCAGTATGTGACCATAGACGGCGGCTAGTGCCTCCCAGATGTTGGGCAATTGACACTTCTCAGCATATTTTGCTAGAGGTGCCATATAGTCCGATAGCTGCTCAAGCATGTTCAAACCCGTGTCAAAGTATTCAACGTGTCGAAGCGCGAGTGCAATGACCAGTTTTGCACCACCCAAGGCCATAGATGATACAGCTTCAGCCTGTAACAAGGTCGATGCTCCACCAACGGCAAGTTGAATGGTGTTGAGAGTGTTAGTTATTCTTGTCGCATGTGGCCGAAGTAAGGACCCTTGAGAGTCCTTCCGGTCAAGTTCCCGAACTTCACCCAGTAGATCCTCAACCTGTACGGAGGAAGCTTTGGTAAAAGCTGCCCAATCATGTTCGGGACAAATCAGAGCGTGATGGTGATCTGGAGAGCCGTATTCGACGGGTTTGGGATCTGTGTGGAATGCTGCACCGATGGCTGAGGCTGAACAGCTGGAGATTTCTGGAGACACTGTCCAGAAGCAACTACTGCAGGTCGAGGCTCAACATTGGGTCGAGTCTGATGCTTGGCTGCTGGAACATCTGTATTGAAGTGGCGTTTGAGGTCCAGATGACGTTGTGAATGTAGCTTTCTGTCAGAGGACGATGCATCGTCCGACTTGGACCGTGGTACATATGCTTTGAGGCGGTGCATTACCACGAGATGAGTATCGGTGTCAAAGGATAGACTTGTTATACCTGCGAGAAAACAATGCTCTTTTAATCTCCCTAGAGTTCTGCGACCATCCTCGCCGCGCGCTTACTGGATCAGCTTCACAGCTAGGCGAGATATCGATCACAGGTCAGACGGCCATGCATTCATAAGATTATGTGAGCGTCTGGAGACAGGGCGCCTAGCATATGCGAGCCTGCGGCACAGAATGTTAAGCGCCGACAAGTGAGGATATTTTCTAGCCAGCAGCGTGCCAGATTGCTTAATCAGTCGGCCAGGTTTATGGTAACCGCTTTAGGGCGCAATGTCGTTGCGTCGAACGCAGCACGAGACCTGCGAGAAGATAAACAATTTGTAGCAATGTTCTCGATCTGGCCGAGCTGTTCTGCGCAGCGGACGTCGGAACCAGCGTAATCATACAGTGGGGCGCGATATGTCTGAGTGTCCTGGGATATAGCCACGACAGAGGAAATAAGTATACATAGCCTGGTTAATTGGACGGTAAAGAGGCAGGGTGTGGATCTAGCGCGCTCTGTGTAGTTATGATAACCAGATCCCAAGATATTTGTGCTCGTCTGACACATCGGCACCTTGTTCATTCTGCCAGCAACAAGCTGCATAAGAGGACCCGATACTGGAGATAGGTGGCAGAGAAGGACTCATCTCGGTTTCTCTGCTGGGAGACGGAACACGCGACTTCTTGGCGTGTCCACATCGTCTTTTGGGTTACCGACCAATATCAATCGCTACTTCGCGGCCTTGCAGAAACGAGAATGTGTGTCGAGTCAGTCGGGGCAGCGTTTCTTTCGCGCATTCTTGATATTGAGGGTGGAGCGGATGGTGATAAGACCAATCAGCAAGCTATACATTATACGATCATCTTCAAGGCTTTCGGGCAGTATGTGTTGACGTCGCCATTTTTTTATTCTCCTGAACGCAATGCTGCGATTGTTGACTGTCTGCAGTAAAGTACGGATCGCGGTATATTTTGGCCGGAAATCGGCTTTGGGACATCCAAATTGCATCGGAAAACACAGCATCTTCCCTCGTAGTGAGATGTGTGCCCGAGTCGGAGCGGATCGCTGGTGAGGATTATGGGAAAATGACATGAGAGTTTACAGCCCTCTGACGTGGCCATCATGCACATCAAACGTGCTGCCAAAAGAGGACAAAACGGACAGGCCGTGATGGCTGCTCGTCGCTTCCTCAAACCCCCTGTATTTGCTTTGCTTGCGCCGAGACATGACGATACATCGGCCACGAACACCGTCATCGTCAGCCACGACTAGCTCTGTGGCTCGGGCAGCGTGGCTGGTTGCAAGATGCGACGCTGCAATGGAAGGACAAACGCATGCTGCGGCAAGGGAAAATGCAGGAACTCGACAGAGATTTTTCGGTTATCGGTAGAAGGTATTCGGTGAGCTGGCTTGCAGCTGAGCTAGAGCGAGAAGTATCTATAAGTCATTCGGCGAGAGCGATTGTATTGGAGTACAGGGTCGGTGAGCGTAGGATATCTCCGAAACCCGTCGCTGACAGGGTCACGGGATCTCATGTGGCTTGCATACTTTCATGCAGCCCTACCCGATCGGACCCTGGGTTCAACGCTCGATTACCAAGATCTGCCATGGGATTCTTTGCCTAACCATAACACATTGACAATGGAGTTAGACCCACGAACAAAGGCCGAAAGCAGGATATGGTAAGCAGGTGATGGGAAACGAAGATACGACTCTAGGCACCAAGAGGATCTGATGGTCTCCGCGGTGACTCGGTCAAGTCACGCGGTACGATACGGTGAGTCGACTGCATCCAAGGCAGCAAAACTGAGATCTATTTATGAGCCTCGTACGATACGTATTCGCCAGATGGATAGTGTTACCCATACCGACTCTTGTAGATAATGGTCCACGGATCGATCACAATCGCAAAGAGAAGTGAGTAGAAGCAGCATAGAGGACGGTATTTTGGGAATCGTGTTAACATACGGGGTACGGACAGAAGCATCTAGGCCGCCTCACGGAACAGCGCGATCCGGTAAAGTGCGTCTTGGCACGCATCTGCCTGCGGAGTGACCCGTGGCGCAGTCATCGCACTCGGCCAGCATAACCGAGTCCCAAGGCACCATGACTGTGAGCAAGAAAACATTTATTAGCACTATCGTACCTCCCCGGATCATTCTTGAAAAGATCGAACCCAACCGAAACGATTCAAGAGCTCTCGAGAAAATCAGGAAACAGATTACCAATTCAACGGATACCCCGTGACCCTTCCATCGGCAGCTACGAGAAAGAGATCAGCAAAGAGTTGCCTAAAGAGTGTCTAGCGTCAATTTCGTCTACGTCATTCACGCAAGACCCTGAACGAAATCATGACATATCGGACTTCCTTCTCCTGCTCAGGCATTCGATCTTCTTTCAACCCATCGACACCTGATTCTTTCTCGACAAAAAGAAACTCATCACCGATCCATACCCCACATCAATCGACTCTGGATCATTCACATCAACAAAGACCATCATTCACATATTCTTTCGATACGGATCTGTCAAGCCAAACAAGCGACTGGCATATGTTTCCTGTGCAGAACCACACTGCCGGACTGCTGCGGAAAGGTCAAGGTCAAGGTCATCAGAGAAACGCGTCCGAGTCGACTGTCAACTCGACGGGCCCATCCTCGCCGTTCATGCAGACCAGCACCTTTCCTTACATCGCAAACGCCGACCAGTCTCCTACCACTTCGTACTTTAGCGACAACGATCAGACATTCAACAACGTCGGCTACGCACCGTCCAAGCTTTCCCACACGCCAGCGGCCCATCTTGCCATGCAGAACATGGCCATCGACCAGCACAACTCGACCTACAACGAGGACATTCCGGACTTTGCACACTCATCACGGCATTCAGTGTCAAGCAAGGGTCAGAACTCGCCGTCGACGCCTCAGCCGAGGTCGAGTTCTGACCATGAGGACATTGAGGAGAGACCACCTCTCTTCAAGATGCCGACCAACGGTGAGGAAGTACCAGATCTGGAACTGTTTGAGCGATACTTATTTATGAGCTCGCATCCAGACTACAAGGCCAATGCCCCTCGCGTTGAGCTCAATCGCACAGAGTCTGCTGCCTTTGCCGATGAGCTCTTCAACCCAAACAACCCTGACACGCTCCAACCACCTACCGTGCACACTAACAACAACATGCTGTCACCACACCGCAATCTGATCGACGAGAGGTTACGTACTGCCAACAGCATTCGATCACAGTCGCCGGTGGGAGACATGTCTCGAGAACGATCTCCCTTCAGACAGAACTCGCCATTCGCAGCGCCAACAGCTCAGAACTTCAAGGGACCCGGACCTTTCTTGGCTACCGCTGCTGACTCGAGACGTCAGCAGAGAGAAGAAGCAAGTGCTAGAGAATGGATGTCTCATCAGCCGAAGCTGCGAAGAGAGCCCACCAAGACCATGTCACCAAAGGATGCCCTCCTCGACTTCACCGACACTGAGGGTTCCGACATGCCTCTGTTCGCTGATACTTTGCCTTCGGGTTATAACTTTGCCACCAACATGGCCGCTCCTCCAACCAATGTTGCTGGCTTCCGAGCCTCGTCTTCTGACCAATCGTCCATTGGTTCCACCACATTCAATTTCTTGCCACCTCAGCAGCCGACGATGCCTAGCAATCCTTATGCTCAGGCACAGTATCGCTCAACTGACTTCAACCCTGACTCCCCTCCTGACTTCCCAGCTCACCTGGCTACAATGGAGTCGTCCATGAGTGAGGGTCCTGGCGCCTCATCTCAGGGCAGCATGACGACTGCTTCTATCTCCAGGCCGCAGCACACCACTGCCGACACTGGTAGCTACACTTGCCCTGCCGATGGCTGTTATCACCGCTTTGACTCAGCCGCCACTTTGCTGAAGCACAGACGTGATGCTCATCCTGCTCGCCAGTCGCTGTCATCAACTGGCACGGCTACCTCATCGCCAGAGGAGGACGATCGTCGCTCAAGTTCACCTGTAGCTGCCCCCGGCACTCTTGGTAGCTCGATGACGGCCGCTGCACTTGCCGAGCGCAACTCTCAGCAGGGTCCTCACAAATGTACACGTACCAACCCGTCGACTGGCAAGCCGTGTAACAGTATTTTCAGTAGGCCATACGATCTCACTCGTCACGAAGATACTATCCACAACCGCCAGAAGCAGAAGGTTCGCTGTCAGTACTGTCGCGAGGAGAAGACATTCTCTCGCGCAGATGCCCTCACTCGTCACATGAGGGTAGTCCACCCCGAGGTCGATTTCCACGGCAAGCGTGGGAGAAAGGGCGATCACTTCTAGGATGACGAATCCACCCAATAATGTCTTGTAACTCTCCTTTGATTTTGTTGTTATGCTCACGATTGCGAGGCGTTGTTTTCCCCTACTCTGTACTTGTACGATAACGATGACGATACTCTTTCGGCGTTCCCTTTTCTCGGTCGACTGCGGTCGGAGGTATCTGAAAAGGAGCGATGCCTGGTGCAATGATCTTTTGTCTTAGATTTTAGTCACCCATGTACAATTATGCTATGAAATATCTTTACGAGAAATGTTTGTTGCCCGACCTGAATCTGAAGTGCCACGGTTTATTAGACGCCTCGACGCAATGTCCGAGCTCGCGATCACTCTTGACCTTGATACTGCACAGTTCTGCGGTAGGATATGATATTTGAATATATCAGTGCACTATTTGCTTATTCAGCTGATCCTGTATACATCTCGCACGCAAATCGTACTTTATTTACACAGATGGTTGTTTTCCTGGTGACTATCGTTCCCATCGTGGGACAGCGTGCAAGTGTCATGGTCCAGAGTCGACGTTGTGATTCTCAATATCCGAATTCTCAATTCACATATATCTTGATGAAAGCATAGCAGATCCATTCCGGAAGTACCGGAATATATTTATCGAGTTTTTTTCAGTCAGCCATATAAGTTTCAAGCCATCGCTCTAACACAGAGCTTATATATTGTCGCCGTCCACCGCAGTCAGGGTTGTACCCTTTACCACAATTATCAGCCCAGAGGTCCGTGCGTATTTAGCCACCTCATCTTCCGCCAATCTGCCACGATGCTTTGCTCTTTTCCACCGCGTCATTGCTATGACGGAACGCGTCAAGATGGCCAGACGCGCTCTCCTCCTCGATTCTTGTCAGGGAGATCGAGCATGGTAGATCGAGGTCGGAAGGCGCGGGTCTGATGCTTGTTGTTTGGCGCGCGATGATGACTCGACGCGTTGTGCTCCTTCCTATCACATTTCTATGGACTCCTTCGAACAGACATGAGAGGTCGGTCGCGCTTTCGCTCGACATTGGGAAAAGCAACGAGGGCACTGATGCAAATTGCGAGCTGGATGCTGCCTTGACTGATGCATTGCTGTCTTGACCAACGCGTCGTGCTGGAGATGTGCCTCCAATGGTTCGGTGTGGACTCACCAATATCAACATCAAAAGATAGGTCGCGCTTTACATGGACAAACTGAAACAGCAGAGAGAGCCAGGAATGAAAAGCGCGAACTCGATGCTGCCTACCATATCAGACGATGTTGCCTGGAGCGAAACGAACTTTCGGGCCGTCACCTCCAATGAGCTGACACAGTCTTCGTCAATACCAACATGTCGCGTGGTGCCAACAAATCGCCTCAAGCTTTGTATGAGATATTGCAACTGCGTCATTCGAGGATCCGGCGCTTAGAAACCATTGTGCATCGATGTGCCTGAAGCCGACACCATGCATGTGCCAGCGCTTAAGTACACGAAGCATCCTAGAGATAAATGCACATACAGTTCGTGAAGTCGAATGAGTTTACTCGTTTCTGTATAACTCTTCTTCGTTCAAATATGTCTACCTCGACACTACCGCCTCAGAGGAAGAGGGATAGATTGCAGGATCTACAACCGAGACGGTCAAGACCCGTCTCGCTTTGTCCTCCAGCGACCGGTGTACACTCGAACCCTCTAAACACCCCGCAGCAAACCAATGCAGTAGCTTCAACATTTAACTCTGCTCTTGTGCCACTGCCTACCTCGAGCGCATCAGCCCTACGACAACCATCTGGTGTATTGACAGTGTCCCAAACAGCCACGACGCCTAGCCATCCACAAAATCCTGCCTCCACTGAAGCAATCAGGAGACACCTCGAGAAACTGACAGAAGCAGAGAAAAAGCGTTCTTAATATCAAACCCAGACATCACACCAGGTGGTCTGGTGGAAACAACCGGGTTACAGGACACCCAGCATGCCTCGACATCGTCATTATTTCCTCGTGCAGAATGACTGGGAAAATTCCTAAGCCTTTTGGGCCGCTTGCTTGCAGGAGCCGTTATTGCAACCCAGGCTAACCCTGACATCTCCTCAACACCTGTCGGTGGCGTCAAGCTCATAGTCGACATTGCACTCGCATCCACCAAGTTCTACGGTCTAAGCTGGTAGACATGCTCGATCGAATCAGCGAAATCGATTGTACAGTGTGAAAGGCAAGCGCGAGACTCCAAGGTTCGCCCTTTATATCGCAGCCTGGTTCAATCCCGAGAAGTTATCAGACCTACTCTTGAAAGGCCATCATGTAAACGAAGTCGATCCGCAAGGGTAGATACCTCTTTACTATGCTTCAGCTGGAGGTCGCAAGACTTTGGTAAACGCCCTCCTGAGCGCGGGTGCCACGACTGATGTCAATTCTCATAACATTCCTCCGTTGGGACTCGCTGTGAACAGAAAAGATTTCGAACTTGTGAGAGTACTGCTGCTGGGTGGCGCTGACGTGAACGCTATGTCCAAGGTTGAGCAACAAGTTACACTCATGCTGGCGAAGAGTCTGGACATGGTTCGATTCTTGTGCGGTACTTAACATCCGGGTCTGAACCACAGATATCGTGTAGGAAGATCGGTCCTTCACCTTTGTGTCAATGACAAAAGAGATATATCCACCAGGGAATCCGTTCTCTGCTCCAGATTTCTCATTGATCCAGGAGCCGATGTTTATGCAACATCCCAAGCCGGCATGAATGTTCTTGATCACGCTGTGTGCTCATACGAGGACGAGATGGTATGCTTCCTGCTGCAGAGTTACCCAAGATTGAATGAAGGACGAACAGATGAGTGGACGGTTTCACATGAGTCAACTTCCTGATAAATTTGCATCTGTAATTTTGGCTTCCTCTGTGTTCAGAGCTCTCTCCAGCTTGCAGCGATCCAAACTCGCATTCGAGTTCGGGTCCACCAGCTATCTTCTAGCTTACATCTCTCGAGCTATCCTTCGAGTATCTGATCGTTCATCCCCGTATTACCGCCGCCAATTTCCTGTCTCTCTGTAGTACGTAGTGTCATTCTTCGTGGATGTGTGTCCACCAGGGCCCATCATCGTTAACCACTTCTGCTTCTCGCCAATCGTTCTCGTCATCTTAGATCAGATTGCCTCTGAGCTCCTGTTCTCTCTCAATGGCCTCGAAGAGCGACTTGAAGTTACCAGCACCAAAGCCGTCGAAGTTGTTACGCTGGATGATTTCGATGAAGACAGTAGGGCGATCCAGCACATGCTATTTCGTAATGTCAGCCTCCAGTCATCTCGTCAATTCAACCGCATCTCGGAACATACTTTAGTAAACAACTGCAGGAGATAACCGCCTTCATCAAAATCAATCAAGATGTCCAAGCTGGCAAGGACCTCAAAGTCTTCGTTCAACTTCATTCCAGCAGCTTCCAGTCTCTTTCTCATAGCCACGTAGTAAGTCTCTGGGACCTTGATGAACTCCATACCTCTGGCCCTGAGATTTCTGATAGCAGTAATGATATCAGTAGTTCTGAGTGCGACATGCTGAACACCAGCGCCGCCATAGAAGTCGACATACTCTTCGATCTGAGACTGTCTTTTGCCTTCAGCGGGCTCGTTGATGGGCATCTTGATGACTTCGTTGGGTGAAGCCATGACGACTGACTTCAAGGCGGAGAACTCGGTGCACATTTCCTTGTCGTCGACAGACCAGAAGCGGTGGAAGCCAAGGACTTTCTCGTAGTACTCGCAGACGTCTTCCAGTTCGTTCCAGTCCTGGTTACCGACGCAGTGGTCGATAGCTTCAAGAGTGACAGGAGGAAGGAGCAGGTTCAGAGGATCCTTGACGTTGGGCTCGAGACGGAAGCCAGGGAAGAAGACGCCACGATAGTTTTGGCGTTCGATGAGAGTGTGAGTAGTTTCTCCATAAGTACGGATAGTGGCAGTCTTGACGTAGCCGAGCTTTCCTTCGTGGAGAATGTTGGGGGCGTTGACGGAGATCGCACCTGCCGAAATTGCAGCGTCGTAGATGGCATCGACTGAGTCGACTTCGAAAGCCACGTCTGTTCTCATCAGTAAAGCTCAAAAAAGAAGGTGTGGTTACGATTACCCTTGACAGCGTCTCCATGCATCTCCAAGTGTGCGTGAACCTCTCTGACAGCGTCTCTCTCACCCTCAGGCACATCGTGCAACATGCTCAAACCACGAAGAGGAGAAGTCAAGACGAAGGTGACGCCTCCGTTACGCACGACGTAGGAGGCGAGTCCTCTAGACCCGGTCTCCAGACCTCTGTATGCGATCTTCTCAAAGCCCATGCGCGCAATGTAGTAAGCGGCTGCTTGTTTGGCGTTACCAACGTACCAGTGCACGTGGTCGTAGCCCTGATATGAAGACATTTCTGCTTGTGATGTGGGAGGAGGAGATGCTTCGCGAGGTGGTGATAAGGCTATAGGTGCCATGATTGTTGATGTATTTGGTTGATGTTGTGGTGATGGAGAATGTTGTGTATGTTTTGAATTGATGAGAAGCTTAGGTGGTTGGCCGGCGCGTACGATAATCACTTCGAATCGCTCTGAAGTGAGTTCACGGATTATATATATGAATAGACCGTTGCTCGATGACCTTTACAAAGTAGATATATCGTTGGTGGTCATGAGCTCAGATAGTGAGTCGGAAGGCGGTCCGTTAGCTTCAGTCGGTTTGCAACTGCCTCGACGAACGTTTGGGGAAGGTGTGGAGTGAGGGGTCCCGACAAGCTTCTCGAGCGCGGCAGTCTTCCGCCTCGACGATGCAAGGACTGTCAAATATTGTGAATTCCGAAAGAAGACAGAAGAGGCACATGTAGTATTGCAGAGTTCCAGGACAGACGTTTACATGACTGTAAAATTGCAACTTATTCCTGAATTCAGCTATTTCTCGACCAAGGCACGTGAATCGAGTAGCATTGAGTTAGCTTCGCAACGTTGACGTGAGTCCTTGCTGCTCTGATCATATGGGTCTACGTGTTCGTGTATGAGACTGCATCGGAGCAGATCAACAAAGCTGGTTCGCTTTCCACTCCTCAGTCTCCTTTCTCAGTGCCTCCTTGACGATCGCACCACACATCTTAGCGTATGGATTCGTTCTCACAGCCATCTCACGCGCTTCCTTACTTCCGCAATGGCCTCCAGCAGCAAAGTCAGTGCTCGCCTGCTCGTCTATGCTTTCTGAGGAGGCCGACTGAAGCATGTCGCCAACACCGTAAAGCTGCTCACCCTTGCGAACGATGTCGGCAATCTTGAGAAGCAGGAAGCCTCGATGTGTGTAGGCAGCTGATAGTACAGTACTTCGATGAGGTGAGAGTTGTTCGTCGTGCTTAATGGGTTGCGCAAGCTGGATGCCCTTCTGAAGGTCTTGGAGAAGCTGGCCGCTGATCTCGGCATGATCAGACGTGAAGAGATCATCCACTGATGTGAGCAACCGAGTCGCTTGTGCGCGGTTGATGTACGCGGAGGCATAGCCAGGTGATGAGTCAATCAGTGATGATAAATCTTTGATAGATGCTTGGATGATGTCGACATCTGAGGTGTTGTCTTGCAGTCCTGAGAGAATCTCAAGCTCGGATGCCCTGAGGATCGCGAACTCCTGTTCTGTCATTCCTGGTAGTGATGTCTGAGATGCCGCATGTTTTGGTGAAGGTGTTGTCGAAGCCTCAGGATCGAACAGTGATTTGAGGACGAACGAATCGCGTGTCGTTAAGCCAGGCATGTTGGTATTGTTTGGCAGCGTGATTTCAGCGTTGACAGTGTTGCAAAAGATATTGGCAGGGGTACAGCTGACTATCTGCTTCTCGATCCGTGCTCGTGTCGATGTTTGGGAGTGATGTGAACACGGAGGCGGGCCGGCTTGTCATTCACCCCGCGCCGCAGGAAGCCGGGGAAGGAACAATGTAGTCACCACGGAATGGTTCCGTGACGTTCTTCTCGCTCCTTCACTTGTACTGCTGTTGCCCTATTTGGTTTTGAGATCGAGGCTTTAAATTGAATTCCTGTTTCAAAAGCGAGAAAAGGCCGTTGCTCACCGGAGCTCCGCTGGACAATCAGGCTGCTGTTGCCAATGCGACCTGATGAAAGACGCATGCTCCTTCAGCTCAGCATAAACTCTACAGATGGTAGGATAAGGCTCGAGTGAAACCTCAAACTTCTCGGCGTTCCACAGCGCAGGCACCAGACACACGTCAGCGAGGGTAACATCATCTCCGCAACTGTATCTTCCTGCTGTTTTGCTGGCAACTTTTTCGAAGGCTTCCAGTCCTCTGTTGGTGAACGCTTGCGCCCATTGCTTTGAGTCAGCCCCGGACTCTTCTGCACGTTTCATAGGCGTATCGTTTGTCAGTGGTTGCGTATCGATAGCGATGATCTCTGCCAGTGTGCGGACATTGGCTCTTGACTTGGCGTCTGTCGGGAGTAGAGGGTTTGATTGCGGATATGCTTCCTCGAGGTACTCCAACGCCGCCATCGATTGTGGTATTCCCCATGTCTCGTCCACCATCAGAGTTGGTACAGAGCGCGATGGATTCTTCAAGCCATAATCGTGCTTTAGATGCTCGGCCTTGTTGAGGTCGACGTAGATTGCCTTGTACTCGATAGCTTTGAGATCCAGAGCTATACGAAGCCTGGCTGAACAAGACGACCGGTAATATTCGTAGAGAGTAAGGCTCGACATCATGAACCAGCACCTTGAAATTGTTGCGAGATGCGTCGGGGCGATCTTTACGACGGATGTTGGGAATGAGGGGTAGAGTGGGAAACGTGACGGATCCTAATGAGGAAGATCAATTGTCGATCGTCTCTCACACTCGCAAAACATTGCCAAGACCCCTGCGAGCTTGAACGAGTATCGAGCTTCTATGTCACACCTGACAGACTTGTCGTCTGGGGTCCTCAAGAGAGATTTCTCAAAGAGGTGGAGGGACACTTTACGGGAGACAGGCGTACGGACAACACATTGCTATGATGGACGTGGGTATATGATTGTGCCTAATGTATGCGCCGAATCTTGATATCGACGTATCGGCATCATGATAATTTAGTGTGCAGTCGGCTTGCAATGGCCTCAATGCATGCCTTCAGCCATCTGACATCACAGCATCTGTGTTTGCAGAAAGACGACGTTTCTCTGCTTTCAGTTGCTCATAGGCTGCGCCAACCGCACTCCCGAGATCGTCATAACCAACGCTGAGGTCGTCCGACACAGGCGTATGTTGATCAATCATACGGGCGATTCGTGTAGCAAACTCCTTGGTCTCCTGAGTAATGTTTCATGATAAGCTTTCGAACTACAGCGTGAGATTAAGTGCCGTGTATACCTCATGGAGAATGGCCACGGCTTCAATTGTCCCAGGTCGAGTTGCTGAAGAATGGGGAACAACGGCTCAGGAGAGACTCCCCATGCGCCTATGTCGTGTATACCGCCCATCAACAGCTCAATCAGCTTCGGACAGCTCTTGGCAATAATTCTTGTCTCCGAGATCCAGTGACTGCCGATAGGTCGAACACCGAGATGCAGCTTCTCTAGATCAGGATAACTGGAAACCCACGACTGGAAAAGCTCTTCAGTCCAGGCTTCGGCAATGAGTGAAATCGCGTCTTCATTGACAGATGTAGAGTTCGGACTGTACATGCTAAGGTCTTTGAGACGGGTCAAGCCTGAGATTGAATATAGTTCTTGCATTGAGAGTCGTTTGGGCATAGAGAAACACAGATCCACTGTTTGTAGGCAAGACAGAGACCCGATAGGTATAAAGACGTCATCCAGTGAGTCCGTCACAGTAAGCCGGAGTTCGACCAACAACTCAGTCGCCGAGAGTACGTATGCCACGGCTCTTGATTCTATGTCAAGCCATAGACTGCGTATGTTACGGAACAAGCGTAGACGTGGGCTGGCCTGTAGTACTGTTGCTATCGAGTTGTACGAGATGAGGTTGCGCGAAGCGTCGAAATGCTCAAGCTTCTTCCGACTCGCTATGTTCTCCAACACATTGACGGGAAGACCGAACCCGGCATTCGTAGTCAGTGTAAGATCCCGTAGATGCTTGCAACTCTTCAGAAACTTGATGAAGTGTTCATTGTGTTGATCTTCTGGAAGATAATCAAGGTGCACGTCGCGAAGATTTGAACAGCTATAAGCAATCAAGTCGAGCACCGATTTTGGGAGATGGCGACATTCGAGCATTGTGAATGATGTTACGCTGCGACTCAGGTAGGGTTCCAAGTCGAGCTTCATCCCTGAAGGGCAAGAGCTGATTTCTAGTCTCTTCAGCCTGGGGAAGCTTAAGGTTGCAAAAGATGCAGGGCAATTGGTGTGGTCGGCTCGGTACAGATAAAGCCCGATGCTTTGGATCTTATTGGCATATAGCTGTCGACGCTGTGGATGTATCCTGGCCAATACAGGCGTGAATGGCTCGCGCCAAAGCAAGTCGGTACCTCGAGCGTACCAGTTTCGGTTGACCAGTATGGCTGGCAGAAGCAGTCGAGCATAACAGCGCCATGCATCGTCGTAGATGAGCTCTGCGACTTCATGACGGGCATCCTCAGCAAAGTACTCCAGTATCTCAAACTGAGTCTCCCGTGCCAGTTGCGGCAATCGATTGGAAGTCATGATCGAGTAAAGGCTTTCGTTGATCAGTGGTCGCTCCTTGGAGCCAGCTCGTAGCTTTTATGGTCTTAAGAGTCGAGCTAAGCCTACGAAGAAATTTCTTGTCCAACAGCTCCAACACCTCGAGCAGTCGAAACAAGTGGCTCATAGTCAATCAAAAAGGTTCAAGTCGTATGCCGCGCTGCCCGCGCAAGGACGGTGAAGCTGGTGGTCGGCCAATACAGGTCTAGCTGACGGCAATTAGAAATGATAAATCATATGTGGCTCCGGACTGCAAGTGTCGGAGCGGTCGTGCATGTCGTTGTCCAAGCGCGCGAATGTTTCGTGGACGACACATGGAAATGTTGTTCATGAACATGCGGGAGGAGTGCGAAGCGCTTCGTTGGCCAATCATCGACCGACACCACCTTTGCCATTTCGAGGAGGATGCTCAACGCCACACACCGTACAGTACGTACCGGACCAGGGCTATGAGCTTGGACGAGCAACAGCCAGATCGACGTCCGGTAGTGTTGCTCTCCTCGCATGAATGCCGCACTCACAGCCAATTCTCCAGGCAGATCCTTCTAGGCATCAGGTCATGTCTTCCATGTGATGACTCTTTCCGCCTGCAGGACACTACTCGCTAACAGCGGTAATGCACCGTATTTTGCCATGTGGATCGTGAGGAAATCGGTCCCTGCGCTGTTGCCTATAAGGGTTGGAGATGTGCTCAAAAGAGACAGTGGAGAGGGATCGTTTAGGCAGTAACAAGTATCCAAGGACAAATGGCGAACAAGCTGCATTCAGCTCATCGTCGGTATCGAATTCACATAGATTGAGCGACTCCTGAATATAGAGCTTGCAAAAGCAACCCCCGTGATCTGTCCGACAGTCCGTGTCCATCAATATGCGGGACGGAAGGATGGCGACCCGCGAAGTGTTGATACAACAGATATTCCAGAATCAGGAATGGGACAGTCAAGAGTCATCGCCATATTAGAGTAGATTGTGTAGGGCGTGCATACTGTACATGCTGCACGTATTGTCTCTGTTGAGAGCAAGGGCGAAGGGATGGACGCACTGAAGAAGGAAGGGAAGGTCTGCCGGTAAATATCTTGGCGATGACAAGAACGACAGGGTTCTTTTCATGGGCAGCTTCGTCATGACAGCATTTTGAGACATGATTGCGTATCTGATTCTTTCCATGATGAATGACTCGACCACATTGATGCGATAAACTCACAGGGAAGCAATTTTGGACACAGAGATTGGTCTAGTTTTTACATGGAGCTATCGACGTTCAGTGAACGTGATGTGATGCTACCTGTGATGATAGTACAGTCGAATAAAATAAAATCTATTCCTAAAGGCCCAGAGGCAGCAGTGCTACTTCGCTCTGACAGTGCATCTGATGTCCGGGTATACCATGTTGGTCCTCTGTCTGATTGGACGACATTCTGAACTCACAATGGGATTGAGCTCAAATCTGGACCACAACCTCTTACAACACCTATTGTGTTTACATCTCTCCGTCCTCCAGTATGAGCAATATTCCGATTCAGTGAGTAAGGCCGATGTACTTTCTGTTCCTCTTCACCAGGCGGCGTAGACCTGCTTCCTTGTCTTCCGCAAATCGCTTGGCCTCAGCCAATCTACGCTCCAAGTCCTCAACACTGAGAATGTGATTTTTGTCTCTCTGCTGCTCCTCCTTGACAGCCTTCTCGTTGGGAGGACTCTGAGGTACTGGGGGCATGATGAACTCGTTGACGTACTTGCCAGCGGTGTCGACCAAGAAGCTTCCCTTCTTGCTGCCCTCCTCGACAGCCTTTTCCATGGCATTGGCACTGCGGTGACGGCCTCCGTTGGATGCGCCGTCGAACTCGCGGCGCAGAGCGGCAATGTCCAAAGCCGGGAAGTCAAGATCGGTAGGTGTGTTGCTGTGTTGGATGGGATGGAACTTCAGCTTCTCTGGCAGTTGGCGGTTCATGGCCTCCATTGCCAGGAAGCGATCTTCCAGCTGGGGCTCCATGTGTCGGATAATGGCACCACTCGGCGAGATAACAAGGCGCTCCCAAAGGTGATATTGCTCCTCGGTGAAGGGACGCCAGGCGTGACCAGAAAGCAGAATGTCGATGTCTTCCTTCTTGAGTTCAGGCATATGGGCCGGAATTGCGTTGTCAGGACTCAGATCGGAAGAGGTAGGAGCTTGCGTAGGCTTGTAGTGCGCGGCAGTCTGGGCGTAAGGGCGGAAGAAAGCGTCGAAAGCGCCGGCTATAGAGCCATGTTCGCTGCGCAGTTCTGCAATGAGAGAGGCAGGAGTCAGCGCTGCTGGTGGTGGTGGTGGTGGTGGTGGCGGTGGTGTAGGGGCTTTGACCGGAGTGACGGGAGCAGGAGCAGGAGCAGGAGCAGGAGCAGGAGCAGAATCAGGAGCAGGAGCAGGAGTAGGAGCAGGAGCAGGAGCAGGAGCTGGAGCTGGAGCTGGAGCTGGAGCTGGAGCAGGAGCAGGAGCAGGAGCAGGAGCAGGAGCAGGAGCAGGTGCGGGAGCAGGTGGAGGAGGGGAAGGAGTCTCGACCTTGACGGGCGTGGCGGGCTTCTCTACCTTTGGTGGTTCTTCGGGCTTGGCCTTCATCTTAGGAGAGGCGGGACGCGATGGAACGGGGCTCGACGCAGCAGGCGTGGATGTAGCGGGAGTTGAGGCCTTGTCTCTCTTGGACTTCTTCTTACGACTAGTAATAGCTTCCTGGATGGGTTCAGAGATGGGCTGAACAACATCCTTGGACAAGATCTCTTCGGTCATCTGCCTTGCCTTCTCCTGACGCATCTTCTTCTGTTGACTCTTTGTGTTCTGTCGAACAAACGCTGAACCGACTCTGCTTGAACTCGGAGGAGGAGGCGTATTGGCACGCGACAAGGAAGTCGAAGCGATCGAGATGTCATCCGAAATGTGGTCACTACTGGGAGTACCAGGAGGCTGAATAGAAGCAATGCTGGGCTGCCTCGACGGCATGCGAGACGCGGCGGCAGGAATCGAGCGAATTGCAGGAGCGACGACTGGTGCAGGCGGAGGAATGGCAGTTGTGAGACGCAGAGTGCGTGGAGCAGTCACCTTTTTGGCCGAGTCCGATGCTATGCTAGGACTTTGTGGGCGCGATGTAGTGATGGTGTTCCATGTACGAGGGATGTTTTCGGTCTTGACTGGGGTCGAAGCAAGGGAAGTAGGAACTTCAGCTCCATTGAGGACAGCGGCTGTTATGTCAATCTTTCCAGGGTGCTTCTTCTTACTGACGGTCTCACCAGCCGCCGATCTTGCCGCAGCAGCAGCCTCCGCAGGTGTCAAGTCCTTGATCAGATCAACAGTCCTGGTTGCGGCTTTGCTCATCTCTTCCTTAGAAGCACCTGGTGGAGCTGGTTGTGCATCCGAGATCTTGGTTTGAGACGCTGCATTCTCGAGCTTTTCAGCCGCGTTCTTTTGAGCTTCGGCTTCAGCTGCAGCATAGGCAGCGGCGGCGGCCTTCTCAGCCTTCTCCATTCTCTCAGCCTCTTTCTTGGCAAGTTTGTCGGCTCTCTTCGCCTTCTTTGCTTCGGCCTTCTCAGCCTTGGTCTCGGCCTTTGACGGAGTCTCGGCCTCAGCTCCAGGTGCAGTATCAGTGGTCTCAGCATATTCGACATTGGCAAGATGTGATTCGGAACGTCCACGCTTCGTAGGTGTGGCGAAGTCGTCGATGACGTTGGCAAACGCTCTGCTTTCATGTCTCAAAGGGGTAGGTGCTCGTGAGGGCGTTCCGAGTAATATTGGAACAGCAGGGAGAATCTGGGAATTTACCCGACGTAGACTCGCTCTTGAACTGGATCGTGAAGTGGGAAGGGATACAGACGAGTCGTCTTTGAACGGGGCGATGACAGGAGCAGTGAAACCTGGAGGAATTGACGGTGTCGAACGTCTGGGTACATCGTCTTCATCATCAAGGTCAAGAGACTGCAGTGATTGGCCCAACCCTTCTAAACCAGGAGGCACTGGGGGTGTCGAGCGTCCAGGTTCGTCGAAAAGATCTGATGAAAGATGAGCGGCGCCACCAAGGGATGAGATGTCTGAAATGTCTATACCTTCAGTCAGCACTGTTCTGAAAGTATGGTTTTGTATACATCGAAAGGTAAGCGGCTGTTTTCGGCAGATGGTAGACGAGCGCCGCGAGATAGAAAGCTAGTATACATGATGTAAAATCACACAGAAACGCCAGATGAAAGTATAGAAATAGGTGCAAGACGGCAGAACACTGATTTTGTTAATCTACCAATCTGCGACATCAAAGGTAAGATGATACGTACAAGAAGATGGCTAACGTTGGGGGACGTGAGAGGCATAAGGAAATGAGAGAACTCCTGCCGTCCATATAGCCATAGCGGCAAAATGCATCGATGACAACTCCGAAGCTGACGAGGATGGCCAACCGGACATGATATAAAACCCGAAACGCCAGAGGCTGAAGACTCGGATGTCTTCTCTTGTAAAGGCCAATGCTGTTCATGCTTTCCACCTAAATCAAGACGCCGGTAGCAAAGTCATGGGGATAAATGGGACATGACTGGAAAAAGAAAAACAAAAGCAAGAAAGGAATAAACAAAACAAGTCAAACAAAACCAAGGGGTTGCGGTAGTCTACCATCTGCGAAAAGCACCGGCGTCGGCGCTGCCGTATACGTTATGCAACCCACCTTGTCCTTGACCAGTGAAAAGCCCCTGGTTTCCGATCTGACCAGCTTGGTGCAGTCTGGCCTGAAGAATGCTGGGGTCTGCTACATCAACTACACCACCTCCAGAGGAGGAAGTGTTAGCATGTTTGTGCTTTTTACCCTTCTTTTTGGGCTTCTGAACAGCGTCTTGGTAGACTTGAGGCTGAGTGCCATAAGGAAGATTCAAAAGACCAGGGGCTGGCACTGGAGTGGAACTGGTGGGGTGCTGATGTAAGAAAGAAGGAAACATTAACTCACGCTTTGCGGCATCTGACATTTGAGCACCTCCACCGAGGTTGCGGTTTCGCAAAAGATCTCTCATCATTTCATCATTAGGGTTGTGCCCAGTTAAGTTTGCGCCATATCCCAGACTGCTTGTGGCAAAACCATGGCCTTGACCGAACATGCCGCCTCCGCTGATCGGAGGAGTTCCGATATTCTTGAGACCAGGGGGAGGTCCCTGGACATTGCTGTAAAAGCCGCCTGGAGGAGGTTGCTGGAAGGCAGATTGAGAGGGCATCATGGACGATTGTTGGTTCATAAGTTTGGCGTTGGCGACAGGCTTGACTGCAGCGACAGCCGTGGAAGAGTCGTTGGCAAACGTGTATCGTGAAACATTACGTGCGTGGCCGGCTGGAGCAGCGGGTGGGGGTTGGAAGGGAGGCTGGTTGGTTGAAGCCGAAGGAGTCTTGAACTGCTGAAGGAGCAACTGCTGGCGTTGCTGGGCAGTCAAGTTGGGAGCGGTGATGCTGAGATTTGAAAGCTCGTTGGAAAGGAAACCACCGTCGATGACCGAGTTCGAGCGCGACGAAGGTGGCTCGATGGCGTGCTGAGGAGACTGACCACGGCCTGCCGTGTCTTCTGGCTCGCCTCCAAGCTGCATGCTTCCACCAATCTCGGGACCGGTTTCATCCTCGACGCTGTTGACCGTCTGCTGAGCGAGCTGAGCCTCTGCTTCCAGTCGTCGGCGCTCCTCATCTTCCTCCTCTTCGCGTTGTCTCATTGCACGTCTCTTGGCACCGCCGTGTGGGTCGAAAAGCGATGGGAAATTGTCAAAGTCAATGCCGCTATCTTCCAGTGTCTTAGTGGAGAGAACGAAGTTGAGGTCGAAAGATTGGAAAGCCTTGAACATGTGTGTGAGTGGGTCTTCAACAAACGGCTTCTTCTTCTTGACGGGTGCGACGGGGGCTGGCGGCGGACTTGGAGTAGCTGGTAGTTCTGGCTCGGGCTCGGGTGATGGCTCGCGTTCGGGTTCGGGCTGAGGCTGGGGCTCAGGCTTGGGTTTCTCTCTAACTGTTTCTTTGGGCATGACAAGTGAGACAGAGCGGGTGCTGGCGGTGCGGCTCATCTGAGGAGCCTTGGACGCCCAGCTGGCAGTTGAAGGCAACGCAGGACCATCATGTTCGACGCTCGGGCTCGGAGGGATGTACTGCGAGTCTTGTCGGGTGAGGGTATGCGCGGCGGCAACAGGCTGTTGACTCTGCGGAGGAGGTTGCGAGGCGGGCTGCGACTGAGCTTGCGGGTGCTGTGTCGAGATGACGTTCATCGAAGACAAGTCCTGGCGGGTGAAACTGTCATTCTCCTCACCGGGCTCGTGCAGGAACATGCAATTGCGATTGGTGCATTGCTCATTGCGAAGATATGCCGAACAGTACTTTGTAGTACCGAACTGGGCTCTCAAGACTCTGTCGCCATTCTGTGAGCCGTCGACGGCAGCGATGCAAGAGGCGGCGTCTTGCTTGCGCGCGTAGGTGACGTAGACGCCGACAGACTGCGGGTTGATGTTGTCCTTTGCCTTGCTGACGACTATCTTGACAATCTTGCCGTATTGGCCAAAGTACTGGTCGCCGCGGAGAGTCTCGAGCAGTCTATCCTCTTGCACTCTGGGGCTCAAACCAGTCACATAAACCAGGTTCTTTTGCACGACGCGCAAGCCTGCGAGATGTTTGCGGGACAGAGTATCGGCCTCGCGCTTCAGGGCTTCCTTTTGAGCAGCGGCGGACTGCTTCTTTTGCTTGGCGGCCTGCTTGGCTCTCCACAGGGCTTCTCTGCGATGGGTGTCAGTGGTGGGCGAGCAGAGGGTCTGCACAGGGGTGGGTACTCTTCCGGGCCAGGTTTGCGAAACTCTATGTTGGCATCGTCGTATGGGCGTCGACAGGCCGGACAGAGGCCGTTCATGTTGTTGCGAACATTGTGATAGCAGAACTGGCAGATCTGGTGGAGAGGGAGAGGGTTAGCGAGACGGCAGCTTGAGCTGTTTCCTGAGGCAGCGCATACCTGATAACCACAGACGCAAGGTCTAAAGCCCCGATCTGATAGATCAAACTCTTCGACACAGAGGGGACATGTCTCTTCCTCATCGTCGTCGATGAACTGATCTTGCTGGGTCCGCGACATTGCGTGGCACTGTGAGAGCGAAAGTGTTGATGTTTGGAGAATGGGCGTGTGATCGTGGACGCGCAGAGGCGGAGAAATGATGCAGCCGCTTTCACAAAGGAACAAGAAAGGACAGGCAGCTTCCGTATTGGATTAGAAGGAGATGGAAATCAAAGTGGTAGTGTAACAGCGCGGCCGCGGGAAAGAGCAACTGCTCTGCGTGCAACTTGCTGCGAGGAAGGAGACTGTGCGCTCGGGCCACCCGCCCTCTGATTGGCCAAGCAGGAAGGAACGATGATGACCATCATTGCTGCTGCTGCTTCCCTAGACCGAGTCTCTGGCAATTGTCAATTATCTCACACAAACACACCATGGCTCTACGACAATCCGCCGCTCGCTCTCTGCGCATCGCCTCGCGCAATGTCGCTCCCTCGAGCAGGGCCTTCTCCGTGTCGGCTCTGCGCCAGAAGGAGCTCGCCGCCGATGTTTCCGACTTGCCCAACATGAGAGTACGATGCTCTGCCTAGCAATTGCCACATGCCGATGATCGAGTATTGATGTCTTTATCAGCACGCCCAAAGAAGCGCTCAGGGCCGTCTCCATGTCCCCATCGTCAACCCGGCCGACAAGTTCCAAGAAAAGGCCGACAGCCTGCACCAGTACGGACAATACTTGATGGCCTGCATGCCCAAGTACATTCAGCAGTGCGTATACCCGTTGTTCGCCCTCAGTATACTCGCATTGACACGCTTCGCCCAGATTCTCGGTTTGGAAGGATGAGCTCGTCATCTACATTGCCCCTGCCGCCGTTCTCCCCGTCTTCAACTTCCTCAAGTACCACACAGCCGCCGAGTTCACTCAGATCAGCGACATCACCGCTGTCGATTATCCTACACGCGACCAGCGTTTCGAGGTTGTCTACAACATGCTTTCCGTCCGCCACAACGCCCGTATCCGCGTCAAGACCTACGCCGACGAGGCCACTCCTGTTCCATCGCTTTGCGGTCTCTACGATGGTGCCAACTGGTACGAGCGTGAGGTTTACGACTTGTTCGGTGTCTTCTTCGTTGGACACCCCGATCTCCGCCGCATCATGACCGACTACGGTTTCGACGGTCACCCGCTTCGCAAGGACTTCCCTCTCACTGGTTACACTGAGATTCGTTACGACGAAGAGCAGAAGCGCATTGTTGTCGAACCCCTGGAGTTGACCCAGGCCTTCAGAAACTTCGAGGGTGGTAGCTCTGCTTGGGAGCAGGTCGGTCCTGGTCATGACAGAAGGCCCGAGAGCGTGAGTCCAACTACTTCCATATGGCTACAGCAACTCGTACTGACGAACAACCACAGTTCAAGCTTCCTACACCAAAGCCCGAGCCCAAGGCAGAGGAGAAGAAGTAAAAGATTCCATCTAGACTCCCTGGCGGTGTATCATAGTGTAATCAGTCAGGTCAAACTTCATTACCGACTTTTTTTTTTGTTCATACCTAAGATATCGAAGTTTTTGCTCCAATTCACCAGTCAATTCTTATAGCAAGCACCATCATACAAGGACATTTTGAAGCACTTCTCGACCCAACTGGAGCTTCAGCGCACGGTCCACCATCTCTCGCACCTTCCTATCCGAGGCACCGAGTACACAGGCTGCCATCTCGTCAGGGAAGGATGGTGAATGTCTTCAAAAAAACCCAACCAACCAATGGGAATACACACTAACATGCGCCAGTATCACTATCAACGACTGTGACTCACGCCATGCACTTGGGATAATCTTGGTCTCCAGATAAGCAATTGTACATAACAACAACCACTTGCTCAGTGTCTCGGTAGAAACATCAAGATTTCTATCTTATTGACCTTAGTCCTTGAAGCAAGTAATTCACAAATAGCTCGCCACGAACAAATCCACTCAGTATACAGTGAAACTCTCTGGAACCAGGTATCCTCGCATACCATAATGGACACAATCACACATAACAACCTTCCCGAACCCATCGTCTCCAACCTCGACCATTCTGTCACCACAAGCGGAAGCTCTCTAGATCCAGCACAACACGTCTTCAAAACCCCAGATCAACCAAAGACCTCAACAATGCCAGACCCAACCTTCCAAATCACCACACCCCGCCTCAAAATCTCCCACCTCAACCCCTCTGACCCCTCCCACTGCGACTTCCTAGTCTCCCTCTGGAACACGCCCGAATTCATCACCATGCTAGAAGGAAAACCAACCTCCATAACCACACCCTCAGCCGCGAAATCACTGATAGAAACCCGTTTTGCATCTGACCATGCAAGAAATGGTTATGGTATTTTCTTGGTCTCGTTGCTTGAGAGCAATGTACCTATTGGCACGGTATCTCTTATGCGAGGGGAAAATTCTTCGCTCAGGGCTCCCGATATGGGGTTTGCGATGCTTTCTGGGTATATGAGGAAGGGGTTTGCTGTGGAGGCTGCTAGAGCACTTTTGGAGTATGCGGAGAGGAAGTTGGGTGTTGATGCGGTGTTTGGGTTTTGTGATGAGTGGAATGAGGGGAGTATGGGTGTGTTGAGGAAGCTTGGGATGAAGTGGGAGGGTGTTAGGAAGGTTAAGGAGTTTGGAGGTAATGAGGTTGCTTGTTGGAGTTGGGGTATGGATGATGTCGAGGAGTATGGTCTTTGAGTGTTAATGCATGTGGTTTCTAGATGTTGGGGGAAGGGGGTTTTTGGTTTTATGGCAGGAGATAGTGAGCGCTTGGTTCTTGGTCATCAAACATCACTTGCTCAGTGGTTATTTCCTGATGCTTGCAGCTTCTCTACTATTCTTGTCACTGCCTCATATGTTTTAAAACATGTCACATCCTCCATTTCCTGCCAGAGCAAGACCAACAGGCTATTATCCTTCACAAAGCCACTCACATCGAAGATCGCGGCTACAATGCCTCACTCAAACGAAGAAAAAGCACCCTCACAACCCAAAAGCCATCAAACAAAACAAAACCACTTCTGACAACCACCACAAGCATGCCAAAAGAAACAGTCTACCTCATAACATCCTCCGACACCCTCTTCACCTACACCCTAACAACCCACCTCTGCACCCGCCCCAACACCTTCATAATCGCTCTCTGCAAAACCTCCTCCCCCACATGGACATGGCGTCTCCTCTGCTCAGGCAAGAAAGAAGTCTCCTCTTTCGTTCAACCGCTCCATCTCACCTCCTCTCTCAGCCTCACCTCAGCAGCAGAAACCGTGGCCAAGAAATGGAACAAGAAGATCGATGTACTGCTTTGTTGTCCAGAAAGCTATACTGATTCGAGGGGTGTGGTTTCTGCCTTTCTGCCGGTTATGCAGATGGAGTGCAAGGTTTTGGTGCTGGAGAAGAGAGTGGAGAAATGGTGTAGGGATTTTGTGGCGCAGATGCATAAGGGGAGTGGGATTGTGAGTTTGGGGGTGGAGGTTGGAGAGGTGAGAGAAGCTGAGATGAGGAAGAAAGCTGTGTGGGTGTTGGGCGTCATGGATAGGGTTACCAAGAAGAAGGGTTCGGGCAGTGTGGTTGCTTGGGACTGATGATTGACGAAGGAGCAGATGATCGGGGACACGGAGATATGAATGTCTGTTGACAACAGTCCACACGACTCCCACTTCACGTACCAAAAGTTGTACAGCACGCTCAGAAATCCCTGGGGATATCGATTTCTGCGCTCGGTATGAAGCCATGTGAAGGGGATACGCGTAATGCAATTGATCAACCTGCTCCATCTGTGTTGCATGATACAAGAGGCGTCTGACACGCCTCGACGAGAGAACAACAACAACGAAGAGCAAAATCACAACCCAAAATAGCAAAACTAATACCTCAGTATTAGAAAGGCCTTCCACTCGTCCATGATCTGAGTCACTGATGTCGGTCATCAGCTGCGTAATGCTATTCAAGACGTACATTTTGGGGCAGAGGCTCTTTTTTTGGTTTTGTGAGTGTTGAGTGGTTAAGCCGTTACACCAAACAGAGGACTGACGGTAATAAATGAATTTGGGGAATGTATAAGGATAGACGTGATAAAAGAGGGGGTCAGGGTTCGACTCTGGGCTGAGATCGAGGATTGCTTTGCATTGAGTTGGAGTGAAGAAATTACCACTGGCGCTTGGTGTTGTCGAAGGATTGGAAGGTGCCTGATGTCTCGTCTCTAGTCGCGTTGTCAATCTGCGATAATAGATTAGGATCGGTTTTCACATGATGTCGAGCCCACTCACCTTCTCGAGTATAGCTTCGACGCTCTGATCCAACGACACAGGTGCTATCTCCATCCCGACCGACTCAGCACCATGATTACCCATCTCTATCCTCACCCAACCAGGACTCAACACCCAACTACACACCTTCCCATTCTCAAAATGTATCTTCCTGACAATGAAGTTCACCGCAGCTTTACTCGCTACGTAAGTAGTGACTGGCATCAGTGCCGTGGCCCCCATGTCGCTCAGGCTTGCAACACCCGTACTCATGGCAACATACTTGGATTTCGAGGCCCGCAGAAGCAAGGGTATGAAAGATTGGAGAAGAGCGAGAGGACCTAAAATGTTGACTTCGAAATGGTTACGCAAAGCCTCCAGAGGTGTCTCAGCAGCAGAAGCGTAGCAATCGCTGATGCCACTGTTCGCTATCACGACATCCACATGGTCGTAGCCGTGGCAGTTTTTAACGGTCTCAACAGTAGCCTCAGCGTGATATGGGATGGGAGCGTCGGTTTCGATAGGCATCACGTAGCTGTCATGCCCTACAGGCAAAGAGGTCAATATCTCGGTCTCGAATACAAGCAGTAGAGTAAGAGTCGTGGTCATGGCGAGTCCGGGTCCTCGGTTTGCTCCAGTGAAAACTGCTCCAGTGATTACTCAGACCATTTGTCCCGGTTTGCGACGAGGGTTGTAAGGAGGCCATCTTGTTTCGTCGTTGACTTCGCCTATGACCGGAGATGCATTAGACGTGGCAGGAGCTGAGTATGGTGTGATAGCCATTTTGTTATTCTAGCAACGACTGCCTGTGCGTGAGCCTACATCTCTTATGATACCTTCACCGTAGCATGTTGAGCATTACGGAGCGAATCTGATGAGCTGACAGCGTCCGAAGTAAGGCTTCAAGACACAAGCCCATGGTCACGGAGTCGCCGTCAGCTACGACGAAAATGAGCTGCGTCGCTGGATCCTACAGTCATTGCCTCTGGAAGGTCAAACGAGTGTGGAGCAGGATGTCATTGTGCATGCAGAAGAGTTAGAGATTGGAGAGAAGTGTTTGGAGTTGAGATGGGTTACGCCCCGAGCTTTGGTGTTCATAATTTGTGCATGAGCTTCTTCAATTTGTGCATGCCTCTGCGCCTCTTGACAGGCTGTCAATCAACAAACATGCTTTCTATTGAGCTCACATAGTTTGATACAAAGGTAGAACCGATCAATCAGAGGACATTGCACATGATAGCAGAGAGACTGTTGATATCGCGAACATAACGAAAAGGGTCAAACGATACACTATGCTTGGATCAATCAAACGCTCATGATCAGGCGGCTATACAGTGTAGATTTGTGTATTTCAACGACATAGAAGTGTGTACCAACTATCCGAGATTGTTCAAGTGCAGCTACTCGAGCCAGAGATGAACTCCCCGGTAGAGTTCTCACATCCACAAACACCAGTCTGAGGATCCTTGATACATCCAGCGCCCTCACCACTGCTCTCGCCATTGTCATTCCAGAAGAAAGTCCAGTAGTCAGAGTCAGTGCTCAATTGGCTATCGGTAGGCGCAGTGCAAGTGTAGGCCTCGCAAGTGCCGTAGGGAGCACCGTGGTTGGCATCGTATTGGTGGTCGACCTTGAAGATAGCAAAGGTCTGAGTCTTGGAGGTTCTCGTGTTATGGCTGCACTCGGCGGCTTGGATGGCTTTACTGGTCTTTGCCGGGCTGCATGAGGGAGATTTGGGGTATTTGCCCTTGGTGTTTGAGGAGGCGGGATCCAGGGTGGCAGTGGCAAGACCAAGAGTCAAGGCGACAGCGAAGATGTTGGTGGTGAACTTCATGTTTGTTTTTAAGAAGGTGTTCAACTTATAGAAGGAGCGACTTGAAAATAAAGCGAGACCAGCTTGCTTGGATACTGTCTGAGATTGAATGTGGTAGGCAAAGAACCAGACAGCAGCTTTTGAGGTTTTTATAGGCGTGCGCACTACGACTTCAACTCCATGTTATTCCACCTACATTGTTTCGAAGATCTAGGGCAGGCAGGGCATGGTCGACTTGACGGTTGCACCGTGTCGAGTAGAGAGAAGCTGCGACATTAGGCGTGTGTCAGCCTAAGGGCCGGGCCTTGACAACCCTTGCGAACGCGTCAACGCTGTTTCATGCGCATGAGGGTCTCTACTTTCGATTTCGTGATGAGGGATTCCGGTCTTCGGTGTCTTGTGCAGGCGTGATTGATCAGTGCAAGTTGGAAGTTTCGACAGTTTTTTCTTTGTGTGCCGCGGCGAGCGTGAGTTGGCACGACTCGAATTTTGGCCGAGGCCCACGTTCTGGCCTACGACCCTGGTCTACAATTTGTTATAGTCATTATTAACATCCAAGCGGTGCGACTCGTCTACACACACAGGCAATTAGTGTTACAGCATCAATGGATGAAAACCTACATCCTGCCAATCATGATCTCCACGGGTGTGGTCTAGGACAAGAACTATGTAAAGAACTTCTTTGTGGAAATGTCACAGTCAGATACATCCCAAGATTGATCAGATGAATGAGTTCCTGATCTCACACATCACTCACTAAAGCATTGGCCTGTCATACGACAAGTCGACCCATCAATCCACCGTGGGTTTTAGCACTGTTCGTGTTCTTACTCATCTCCTTGACCATAGCAGTTCCCCTTAATCCAGAAGACGCAAGTCCGATACTCGCCAACACAGTGCCTGAACCTCACAACAAAACGGAAGCGAATACACGTGGATTGGAAAGTCTGGATCTGATCAAACAGGACAATTGGCGGGAGAAGTCGGAGTACTCTGTAATTATTGCGAACTTGCCTTTCCATTATGCTGGGATTCGGACCAGAAAGCAGAGGCACCCGCTCTCGCGACAGCCCACTTCCTCCCCACCGGTGAGCAGGCTGGAACGAGCGAGGCTCAAAGCATTTTGGTCGCTCGATACACTTCTAGTCAGGATATAATGACAATCATCAATAAGTGACGTGGTGCTGTGCGACGCTCATATCCGTGAAACGAATGTAAGCATCCGACAAATCCCTCGTCTCACATGGAAGTCTTATGAGCACGAGGACAGTGTCGCATAAGCCGCCTTTTCGAACCGTAGTACCGATATGTCCTGATTGCTTGATTATCAAAGACTACACGCCTCTTGTTTCACAGCATGCATCGCTCGAACCGGTGAGCGCGTTCAAGATGTGTCCCTCGTCTGTGGATCGCACTCCCACAGGCTAGTTGTGTGCTCGAAGTGGAAACGATAGTAGCAGCCGCAGAGAGATTTACTCAATAGTAAAAGCCGGTCACTTCTACACAGGGTATAGGCCAACTTTGACACCACCATCTGGGCTCAAGATGACACCCGCCATATTCTCTGTGAATGGTGTCCAGTCGCGACATTCAATCCGGCGGAAATGTTGCATGAGACGCACGGTCAGATAGTAGACTTCCGTGATAGCGAATTGTTCTGGGACACGTGAGTGATAAATATCGAGTGAGGTCCGGCCATACTTACGGCCTACGCATATACGTGGACCACCACCAAATGGAGCGTAGGCCTGGACATAAAATGGTCAGTAGATTCAAAGGGTCTGCTGCACGTTGGTTACCTACCCATCCCGGTCGCAGCTCTGCCCATCTCTCCGGCCGGAACTCTTCGACGTCGCTCCCAAAAACATCTTTGCGGCGGTTGGCAGAATGTATATTTACGACCAATGCCGAGCCTTTAGGTATGAATAAGGGCGACTTGCCATCTTTGCCACCACCAAGAGGTAGTACAGTGTCTTTGTTGGCGACACGGGGTGGTAGGATGGGAGTCACAGGGTAGAGTCTCATGGCTCCAGATGCTTGTCAGTTCACTGTGCTCTTAATGAGCATCTGTTGTCTACTTACCTTCATGCTCACAATACCTCAGATACTTGGCACTTTTTACCCACGCGTAGCTTGGCGGAGCACCTTCCAGTTGGTCCACCTCTGCGAGAAGCTTTTGCCATGCCTCGGGATGTCTGGCCAGCAGGTACCACATGCTGCCAAGCAATCCAGCAGTTGTATCTTTCCCGGCAAACATTAGTGACGTGGCTTCGTCTCTCATCTTGTCGAGATCCTGTGTCTGGCGTGCCATCTCGTCCAGGAATGAATATCGTGCAGCTTCCTTCTCAGCTTCTCCGGTATGTGCTCGGTCTTCACTTGCTCGATCTAGAGCTGCTTGTGCGTATTTGTTTGTTGTACTACGCACATTGCGAATCGCCTGATCCACGCCTGGACGCTTAAGCCATCGATACAGCAGAGACCAACGAAAGCGGTCGGCAGCGTCTTGAATAGTGAGCTCGATGTCATGAGCCAGCTGAGCCTTTGTGTCTGTCTGATCTCCAAGAGAACCGAGCGACTCTCCGAACAAGAACTCGGAAGACACATCAAATGCATACCTGTGAAAGATTTCTCCGATGTCCACCGTAGCTCCAGCTTCTGGAATCAATTTTAACAGCTTCTGGAAGTGCGCCTCTAACAACTCCAGGTCTGCAACGCGATCTTTGGCAAACATTGGTCTTAGGATACTACGAGAGTGTGACCACTCAGCACCGTCCAACATGAATGTCGCGCGGCCCATCAAGTGTTTGAACGACCGACGTCCACCTGATGCGGACCAGTCGTCGAAGTTCTGCGAGAAGGCAGCTTTGAGATTCTCCGCTTCAGTGGTGTGGACAGCGAAACTTGGGACGGTGCTGACAACGAAAGTAGGGCCGTACGTCTTGTATTGATCGTGAAACCATCCTAACAAGGCTTTCCTCCTGGCGGCGGAGAGTACTGACAAGATCATATCAAGCGCGATGAAAGGCTCCAGATTAGGATAGACACTACGCGGAGGAAGGCATCCGTTGTTGCGCATGAATTCCGATCTTGATTGACGAAGCTTCCACCATCCGAGAGCAGCATAAGCCAGACCCCCAACAAGCAGTGTGCCAATCGCGGTCGTAGTCAATGAGCTTGAAGAGCTGAGCAGCATGATGTCGATCTTGAGTATCGTGAAAAGAATCAGTGTGCGGTTTCGAGAGCGCGGTTCTAGACGTGAGCAGATAGGTAGACGTAGGAACTCTCAGGAATCGAAGGAGCTGCAGCTGTAGCTGCCGCCATTCTGAGCTAGTCCAACGCACATGTCAGACTGTGTTTTCAGCTTATAAGAATGACACCATGGACTGTCATGCTCCGACAGAATACGTATGCCCTACAACCATACTGACCGTCTTCCCTACTTTCACGCATCACCAACAAACCTGCCGTGGAGAGAGCACCAGAGAGCTGGTGGAAACAAAAGTGCCGAAAGGTACTCCGAACGAGCATGGTCATCAACGATGTGATTGGCTGCTGCGCCGAAGCTCGTCCGTGTGGGGCATTTTGCGGGCATTGAGCTGCCCCACACACTTCGTCATGATAATACTGGAGCAACAAGTGTTCGCCATGTGGACAGTAATAACAAAAGAACGTGGCTCCCGTTCTCGAGCGAGCCAAACTGCCTCTCAGGACTCGATTCTTTGCACAAATTAATCATGAAGGACCTCACCACGGAAAACATCACCGAGAACGTACACGCCATCAACAGTCAGTGTACGAATCCTAGGACGAGATACATCTTTGAACGACTGGTGTCACACCTTCATGACTTCGCGAGAGAAACACGGCTCTCGACAGACGAATGGATGACCGGACTAGACTTCTTAACAGATGTCGGCCAAATCAGTACCGATCTGCGTAGAGAGATGATTTTACTCTCGGACACTTTAGGGCTGAGTGCTCTGGTTGACTCAATTGATCACCCACGCACTGGAAAATCAACAGAAGGGACAGTTCTTGGCCCGTTCCATACCCACGATGCACGCGAAGTAGAGAACGGCTACTCCATCCACAAAGATCCCGAAGGAACACCTCTGCTGGTCTTGTGCACAGTCAGAGATACTGCCGGTAACCCGCTTCAAGGTGTCCAAGTAGATGTCTGGGAAGGCGATTCGCATGGAAATTACGACGTTCAATATCCCGACAGAGACGGTCCTGACGGTAGAGGTATATTGTTCTCAGAGCATGATGGATCATTTTGGTTCAAGGCAGTCAAGCCCGTGTCATATCCGATACCCATGGACGGACCAGTGTACAGCATGCTTCAGATGTTGGGTAGGCATCCAAACAGACCTGGCCACGTTCACTTCCTGTTGAGAAAGGACAGCTTTGACCCTCTCATCACGTAAGTCTTTGCTATCAGCACATTGACAATGAACCTAGAGTTGACTTCGATACAGCGCATTGTATCCTCGGGGTGATCCATACGAGGCTTCGGATCCTGTGTTTGGCGTCAAGGATTCGTTGATTGTTGATCTGTCGGAAGTCACAGATGCCCAACTAGCAAAGAGGTACGGTGTCGTAGAAGGAACAGCGCTCTTGACCTACGATTTTGTCCTGGTATCGGTGACGGAGACGCTTAAGCTTCGTAAAGAGAAAGCCGAAGAAGCCATCAAGAAGATGGGAAGAAGTATGGAGGATTTTCAAGGCCTTCCAATATTGGACGTTGATTGATCTTGGCTGGAAGACAACAGATTTGACAGATCAGGCTGTTTGTCGTATCTCGGTGTAGAAGGTGGTTGAGCTTCATCGAATGCAAGCAGCTGATTCTGCAAATACCTTCCCGGCCAGATGCTGGAACATACTACTTTGTACTCTGTCAAATATCAGCCACGGCATCTGGAAGATGAGCCGGACGCCTAGTGTCGAGGCGTAAAGTGAATGCAGGACAACTCGCTCTGGATCGACCACTCGAAGGGCGTCTCTCACTGCACCCCGCACTCTTACCCGCTGCGGTATCGAGTGGGAACAACTCCAATGCGATGGTCGCTGTACCTGTCCGACCAAACACTGACTGCGCGGGGACTCGGGGATCTTTGTAATAAACCCGTCCATTGTCACGAATGGACAAATCGTAGACGTGGTGTGGGACAACATGCGATGAGGACTTGAGCAGAGTCGGGATGTCGCATACAGCGCCAAGGGGTGGCCTGATTGTGCTGACGAAGTCGAGCAGCGGTCCAGGGATTACTGCTCAAGCAATGCTGGGAATGAGGTCGTTGCTAGTAGGGTACCCCTTTCGAGATCAGAGACGGACCAATGGCAACAGTCGGAATGCCGAGCGGGTGAAGCATGAGGATGGTTTGCACCACTTTCTGTGGTCGAAACGAGTCGGTTAGCGCCGAGGGAAGTGGCTGATCGAGGGCACGAGACCCCGCCCAGAACAGTTGCGCCGCCTCCGCATTTCGATCACGTCTGGCGCCTTCTCCCAATAGTCATTCGAGCCTCCGCGAGCCTACATATCTTCTCTCCATCTCTCGAACCTAACCAATTGTTCTTCTTCATCCATCGTGAATAAGAGGCGTACCTGGAGCACTTGAAAGTAAATTCACTTACGTCGAACGGACTCTTTTGCGGACAGTCTCGCTCGGCTACGAAGTGATCGGCGTTCCGCATCATCCTCCGAAGTCTCCCCCACAACAAGGGGCCCGCGCAATCCAGAACATCTGTTCATTTCGCTCTCCTACAAAAGCGGAGTCGCTTTGCAGTCCTTTTTGCGAGCCTTTGTCAGTCGCAAATCAAACCGACGCTGTCTCCGACTGTGAATCTGGGGACACCCGGTGCTTGACTCGACTTCCACGTGGCGCGCGATTGTCCACAGGCACCACAAATGAATCTTGGATCACCCAGCTTTGTCCAGGTCAAACTACATCGTGGCGATTCACTGTGACACGGGAAGAAGACCATGAAACTGTAATCAAGGCGTTAATCAGAACCTGTAAGCCGATACTGTGCAAGTCCACCCTGAAGACGACTTGCGCAAAACTTGCAACCGTCTGCTGGCCACTGGCTAATCGAGAACAGGTATTTGAGCTTCCGCAAGACCTGCTGTTTATTTCGCAAATATTCATCGCTTTCTTTAACCCTGATTTTCTCAACGAAGCAGCTTTCAATCAATAGGTGAGACAATCCCAGATCTCTTGGTCTCATTGGGTTTTTGTATCATGAGCGAACGCTAACCAGATGCTCTCCAGACACAATTCATAGATAAAGGAAAAGAACCCGGATAAAGGCATTACAAACAACTACTAGGTACGTTAGTTCCCTTCTGAATCCTTGGTGTGAGCTAGAGAGTTCTGGTCAAGGCTATGTGTGGACCCGTCGCCTGATAACCTTGCTGCCTGTTTGGCCCACAGGGCGCGTAGCATGCCGGGCCACGCACGATGCTATGCCACGAAGTAACCGAGGATTGGGCCTGAGTGTTTCTCGATAGAACCCGACGCTAACACCAACGTGAGTGCTCAGAACAACTTTCAGACCTTTCCCTTACACGTAATACCCATTTTCGAACGCCGGTCTTTGTCTTCGGTCTGGCTGTGTCACACAGTGTTTGCTGTCTAAAGCATCAACAACACAGAACTAGCGATCACTCTGCTGGCGATCAACTAGTGAGTGCCCATTTCTTCACAGGTCATAGTGTCCTACCCGCCCGAGAGATGGATGTCGAATGTGCATCCACCCCGTGCCTCTTCCCCGTATCTCTTCTCCGTATCCCTTCTCCGTGTCCCTTCTCCGTATCCCTTGCCCGTGTCCCTTCTCCGTATCCCTTCTCCGTGTCACTTCCCCGTATCCCTACCCCGTACTCCTTCCCCGTGCCATTTCTCCGTGCCCTTCTCCCAGACACCTCCCTTAGTGCAGCTCCTGCCATCATCATTCGATCATGCATTCAGTCGACCTCTGAAGACGACAGCTCGATGACCTGAGAGCTCGGCGGACGGCTTGACCGATTGGAAGCCCGACGATTCGAAAGCTCGACGGTTTGAAAGCTCGACTGTTCGACAGCTCGACGGTTCGACAGCTCGACGATTTAATGAAGCCTCATTTGAACCACAAGGTCATACAAATGGCAGCTGACTTTGAACAATCAGGCACTGTCAATCCGGAAGGGCCTTATCACTCCCGCCAACGAATCAAAAAGCTGGTTCATCGAGATTCGCTATCTTCCGAGCCAACCGAACCCCAGTACTACCTCGCACAACGCGTAACTGCTTACTTGACAGCTCCATCTAAGTATTTCAAGATTTAGGACGCTTTCACGGTCATCAGAGATATTCATTGTCTCACGTCATTCCAACTCGACCTACAGGCTTCACTTTCACGCAAGCTATAATACTTGCAAAACATATTCTCACTCCCAGAGAATATCCTCATCACTCAATCCCTCATAACCACACGGCGAAGTCACGTCCGCTCACTCTTACCAGTACCGGGTCACCGACGGCAGACCAAGATGGCGGCAAGCACCGTCAACCGCTCCGGGTTCGGACCCACTGTCGTGAAGTCCGACAAGATCAAGTTTGGCCGTTCGACGCCGGACTCCGAAGCGCTGGCATCTTCTGAAGACGAACCCGAACTCTCTCACTCAGCTTCTTCAGTCGCCGCACGCCCTACTGCCGCGACAGGTATACGTAGGTCTTCTTTCCTTAGCGAAATTAAGTCTGGAGATCTGAGAAAGGCCTCCGCCTCTGCATCCGGCATGCCCACCAACGGATCTCAGCCTTCGACTCCATCTGCCGAACACAACTCATGGACCTTTGGTTCAACACTTGGCCGCGTCCCATCAAATGGTTCAAACGGCGCTGCCTGGACTGCTCCCAATTCCATCTGGGGTACCGATCGCCGTGACCAAGCCCTCAGACTCAACGATGGATCTCCTTCGTACCTTTCTCAACCAAGTCCAGGCGCCATCGACTCAACTGAGTCCTTTCCGTTCAACATTCCTCTGCAGCCAATCCTTAAGACTCACCGATCTCAGTCGTACTCAGTGGGGCAGCTTGAAACAGAGTTGGCGTCACAGAGCCCTGGTGCGGTGGGTACCCCGTCGAGATCACGTGCTGGAATACCTGGCGGCGCTCAATACCGACCCATGCGTCCGAGCGGACTCGGAGAGACTGTTTACACTGAGGGTAGATCTTTGGGACAGCTGAGCGAAGTTGAAGACGATGAAGGCCCGGACCAGGGCGTTCTTCTTGCCAATCCTCGAGTTCGTCAGGAGCAACTCACCGACTTGAGCAGCACGTTACTTCGCCAAGCAACGCTTGAGAATGCACGCAAGCAGCGTGGCTCGGCTTCGCTTGGTATCTCAGCTGCAGAAGACGTCCGTCGCTCCATGAATCACTCTTTCTCCCCCGACAATTACACTACATCTGGCGTCGACTCTGCCATTGAGGATGACGATTTCGACCAGCTCTATTCGGGAAGGCCCCACAATCTCAGCCACTCCACCGCACAGGACAATACTCATCGCGGCATGTGGTCTACCTCTCTAGGCTTCGGTATGGACGACGTTAGCCAAAGCAGAAGACACTCGCTAGCAGATATCCCGACTCGTCGCGGCTCACTCGCGGGTGGTCTGTCGGGCGGCCCCGGTCAAGGCTACAACAGTGTAGCCTCCGCGCTGGCAGTCGCGTCTTACGGATCCGAAAACGGAAGCAACGGCAGCATACTCTCGGATTATCATCAAACGACTCAGGATCTCGAGACCAACATGAATGAGTCAGACATGCAACACCGGGCTTATGCCCAGAACTACTTCTCAGGAGCAGCTACTGCTCACAGGAACCGCGCGGAGTCGACAGGATTCATGATGAACAATAGTCACCAAAGCCCTTACTCATCATCAATCTCTGCAGGCAGCGCTTTCGGTCGTCAAGGCTGGAGTGCCCCACTCTACATCGTCACGTTCAAATGCTCGAGATCGGGCATCTTCTACATTCACGAAGGCACTGGCCTTGACGTCAAGGAAGGCGATCTTGTAATCGTTGAGGCAGACCGTGGTCAAGATCTGGGAACAGTCACACACGCCAGGATCGACTGGCCTCGGGCCAAGGAAGCGCTAGAGAAGACAGGAGAAGACCACTACAAGTGGCTCATGATGTTCTCAAGACACAATCTCGCCCTGACAGATTCAGAGACTCGTGGTCTTATGGCTTCGAACGGCACGGACCAGGGCAGTATGCACAGAGACCGACCTCTTGACGAGTATCCACCTGGTATGGGCGGTCCTCCAGAGATACCCCAGGAGCCTACAAAGCCAAAGATGATCAAGCGCCTCGCCCAGCCCCACGAGATTGCCAACTTGCGTGAGAAGGAAGGTAACGAGGCCAAGGCCAAGAGGATCGCTCAGCAGAAGGCCAATGAGCATAACCTCAAGATGGAGATCCTGGATGCCGAGTTCCAAATGTAAGTCTGCTTTCCTATCAGAAACCAGTGTAATTGCTAACTTTCACAGGGACTGGAAGAAGCTCACCTTCTACTTCTATTCAACCGAGTACATCAACTTCAATTTGTTGGTTGGAGACCTGTTCAAGATCTACAAGACACGCATCTGGTTGTCCGCGATCAACCCTGCCGCCTTTCGCTCGCGTCCCAACCAGCCACCGAGTTCTATCGGACCCGGCGCAATTCAAACTGGATCTTCGCCCAGAACGATGAACCCCGCCGCGTCGTCTTTCTTCGTTCCTCGCGCCGGTGCTCGCTCAAACAACCCCGACGATACGACTGGTGCAGTTCCCCCTCAAGCTTATAATGAGCACTCTATGGCTCAAGCTCAGATGCATGGACAGGGCGGTAACCGTGGTAGCTTCAGCAGAGCACCATATATGGGCTCTACGGGCTACTCTGGAGCATCAGAACAGCCTTGGTACACTCCAGTCGGCTTTCACGGACAACAGCCTTATGAGGGAGCCTACGGCGGTACTCCTCCACCTTCGCATGATCTCGCCTTCAGACCAGCCCCTGCATTCGGCCAAAACCTCATGAGAAACGGCAGCCGTTCGACACGTGCCAGCGAGTTTGGCCAGATGCGTTGAAATCTATGGCTATCACAGATACATGACGTGCACTTGTCACTGTACAAGCTACTTTCGAGGAGTCAACTCAAAAGCACAAAACTTGTAGCATTCGAAGAAGCAGTAGCAGTAGCAGCAGCTATAAACAATCAACGACAAGAAACCATAAAACAACAAAAGCGGACGATGGACATTACAGATGGCAGAGAGCAAAATGGTAAAGCGGAGTCTACAAGGAGACTCGAGGCAGCGATTGTTTCACATGCACACTCTTTTAGTCTATCTTCCTCTTTTTATTTTCCGAGATGACGGAGGCCACTGGGGACAGCAGACGTGAGAGATGGCAGACGGATGTGTATCAATAGATTACTTAGGTATCCTCAGAGGTTTGAGAATCAGACTCACAAAGATTGCTCTGTACACAACTTGCCAGTAACGAGGAAGGAGCAGCCCATCGTCCTTTCCCGGATGCGAGTGACATGACGCACTTTCCATTCTCTTCGCGAAGCCTACTACTTACTTTGGGCCAGCTTCGCCAATCTCAACTGACCACACGAAGACAGACAGCAGAGATCCAACCAGTACCATGACAAAAGGCAAACGCAAGGCTGACGGTATATGAAACGTGTGTTCGCGAAGAACAGACATATCCTAACACTCGTTCACAGGCACGCAATCGCCAGATAGCAGATCGCCCAAGCGCAGAATGGACAAAGATGATGTTGGCGATCAAATCTTGTCTGAAGAAGAAATCCTGGACGGTGGCCGCATTGAGAGCCAGTGAGGAGCATCTTCGCATCGCTTTGACCATGTACGCTAATCACTTGCAGGAGCATGTTTCAAGTTGTTGAGCGTTTGAAGCACAAAGATGATGGCTGGGTTGACAGAAGGCGTGCCGACGTGGCCAAGGATGAGAAGCTGCTTGATAAATTGCTCGACGACAAAGAGCGCGAGCTGTGAATTATCGCGTCTCTTACATGGGTATTCTGGACTGACAAGGCTACTAGCGCCGATATCGACTCGCACTTCCACAACGACATCCGCATACTCCTGACAGAAGTTCTTGGGGGATCTGCTCCGAAGCAAGGAAAGAGCACCTCTGCACAAGACGCCTTCAATATCAGACCAGCAAGCGAACACGCGCACCTCTTATTCGCCAAGTCCGAGAACCTGATCAAGCTGTACAAGAAAGTGGCCGAATGCGTCGACATCAGTAAAGAGGAGCTCGCCACCACCCATGCTGAGAGCTTTCAAAAAGACAAGAAAGATGTCGCCGACATGCTTCACGCCGGCCGAGAGCTTGCTCGCCGTCAAGTTCAACAGGTTTTGAAAAGGCCTGCCGAGGAAGAGAAGCTGGTCAGGAAAGACAAAGCGCTCTTCACCTCCGAGAGACTGGACGAAGCAGCCTCTCTATTCAAGGTGCTGCGTGACGAGGTGTCCGAGGATGACGGTGACAACGAAGTCGCTCAAGCCATCAGGATCGACATGAGCGAGTGTGATGGAATGTTCCCTGTCATTCACAACGTCAAAAAGGGCGTCAAGAAATTGGCCGGACACTTGCCCGCCGACGAATAACTCAGGTCGTGATGTACACGTTGAGATTTTGCTGTAGTTTTTCCATCTCGGCACTTGCTCCACAGACTGTAGACATCACTGGCGCCTCTTGCTACATAGCGTTTGTGCAAGCAGCTGGGAATCTTGTCGGGTAACTTTCCTATTTCGGTTATGGTCCACCATGACGTTGCACTTGTAGCTCGGTGCACTGTGCCCCGACGACGTGCGGAGAGAGTCACCCGAGTGTTATCTCTCGCTACATATATCATTCGCCTTTCTATATCTTGCCCAGATCGTACATCCGTGGTCAAATAGCAATCGCTCTCCACTTGACGTCCATCTCTGAGCCCTCACCATATTGCATGCCCTTGAGATTGAGAAACTACAACATGTCCGAACGCGATGCTCTGTCTTCCCGAGCGATTCCTTTCATGGAGCTCTCGGATGGTTCCGATGCTTCATTGACTGCACCACCTCCACCACTGCCTCACTATCTGAATGCTGAGGGAAGAGCAATGGCTCGTTTTGCCGTCGAGGGCAATGCTGTCAGTACGTATTGCTAAACCAAAGCTGTAGCCACGCTATAAGCTTGGCAAGCATGCCATGGAAAACTTACTGATTGGTATAACAGTCACTGGAGGAGCTGGCACTCTTGCTCTCGCAGCCGCACGAGCACTCCTGGAACATGGACTGGCCAATCTCTTCCTCTTCGACCTCTTTTCAACTTTGCAATCCTCCGCCGCAGCCATAGAATCTCTTCAGACAGACTTCCCCACTTCAACTATCAGCACAAAACCCGTAGACGTCACAGATGAAGAATTAGTTAGCCTAGCCTTCTCCTCCGCAGCAGCCGAGATGGGCTCTCTTGACATTCTACTCTGTTTCGCAGGCGTTGTGGGTTGTATACACGCTCTCGAAATGACACCTGCACAGTGGAGAAAAACCATTGACATTAACACCACCGGCAGCTTTTTATGTGCGCAAGCCGCGGCAAAGGAGATGCAGAAACAGGGTACTGGAGGCAGCATTGTGTTTACGGCTAGTATCAGTGGGAGAAGGGTCAATTTTCCACAGCCGCAGAGTGCGTATAATGTCAGTAAAGCTGCTGTTGTGGCTATGAAGGATAGTCTTGCTGCTGAGTGGGCAAGGTGAGTTTGCACTCTGCATTGGGTCTTTGAGGTAAAGGGCAGTGAAGCTGATGAAACACAGATATGGTATCAGAGTCAACTCTATGAGTCCGGGATATATGGATACGGTGTTGAATGAAGGTGCTGGTTTGGAAGAGGCGAGGAATATTTGGGCGAGTAGGAATCCGATGGGAAGGATGGGTGCGGTGGGCGAGCTTGATGGTGTTGTTGTGTTATTGTGCTCGAGAGCTGGAAGCTACATCAATGGCGCTGACTTTGTAGTTGATGGCGGTGCCACCGTTTTTTGAAAGATGCGCAGAGAGGAAGAAGTAGGTGAGTGATACGCATACTTGGTCATCATTATCTCTGCCAAGATTCACTTAGCACAGGAGGAATCGACTTCACAAGCAGGCCATATATTGAACAAAATTCTCTCCCAAAGTCAAAGAAGGGCCTATGGTGCAATCGGAAAACAGTGCGCGTTCTAGGCATTCGACGACATGAGCGGACCGCTCAGGATCCAGGAGATCATCAGCACTTCCGTCATCGGGAATGATGGCTCGACTAGCCCATCGCTACCTCCAAGCTTCAGTGCTTTCCAACGACTACCTACCGAGCTCAAAATCTTGGTTTGCGAGAATGCAGCCACTCGATCGGATCCCATCGATCTGAGCAGGAAATGTAATCAAACATTGCCAGAGATCACACGTGTGACGAAGTTCTTCCATACGGAAGGCAGCAGACTATACTACAGCATGAAAACTTTCCTGCTTCCACTCTCCCACCGGCTCGGCCACGAAGAGCAGTTGAACCTGGATGCGTGGCTTTGGGCGGACACAAACCTACATACACATCCCTGTACGAAGATGAGCAAAATCGTTGCGCAGATTTCGTTACCTGCGGAGCGAAACAATCTTATGACCTTGATACTCCTGGCTACACAATTCAGCGACTTGTCCAATGTTGAGGCCAAAAAGACGATCAAGCTGCAGCCCATGATTACGACACCCACTGGACTAGAAGCTATTACACCTATATCTTCTGCAACAAGACAATTTCGAGGAACAAATCAGCAGTACCTTCTGACAAATCTTCGATGGAAGCATAAGACAACTTGCCAGCGGTACCTACAAGATCGAATGGGTGGATGAAGAGGAGATGGAAATGAACTCTGGTGTGCCTATTCTGGCGAGAGCAGTTACTCTAGGACGTATCAAGGAAGAGCTCTTTTTGGCGGTCGAGAATGTTTGGCTGTCGTACGTGGTCGCATAGAGATCGTCATGACGATGAATGGACACATTAATTGCTTTTTTCTGTATACTCAATGCTTTCTAACGACCTGGATAGATGTTTTGTTGACACGCCTGAAAACGGAAGGAATAAAGTCGCTTCCAAGCTCGAAGCCGGATTTGCTCGTGCCTTTGTTCTCAATTACTGGGCTTCAAGGCTAGAAAAAAGCTTTCTCATGGCAGTTCTCGTCGTTTCCTTTCTCCGAGAACATCGAATCAATCTTAATCATCTCTATCACCAATCATGTCTCTCACGACAGGCAGGAAGCGTACTCATCTGGAGATGCTTGACTCAATCTCTGAATACCAGGCTTTGCTTGCAGATATTTCACCACCACTCAATATCGGCTGGCCCAGCAGTCAGAAACTACCAGTTGGACTTGAGAAAGATGCTGAATCAGTGCAAGATTACTGGAAAAACAGGCCTCTCATCTTTCGCACCGACAATTTAACAGAAGCTTCCAATGACACACAAACGCAAAATGCTGTGGTCTTCATCCGAGAAATCCTCCTGGATCGTCTTCATCCGGCGCGACTCTATACTTTGGACGAACTGAAAACATTTCAATTCGACATTCTCGTCCGTTGGAACTTCAAGGCCGAGGTGTCACCCATGATTACAGCAGTCGATATAGAGTGTCTATTCAACCTACTCCACGCACTCAAGGGTGATGCACGTCACATCAAGCTAAAACTCTTCCGGAAGGACATGCGCGATCCCACCGATCTGGGCGTAAACACAAGAAAAGAAATCGCACCTAACCACACCGGCCGCTCAAGATTCATGAAGGAGAGAATCCTGAACTTCTTGCACATATCGATGATGAAGTACACCGTGTACCGAAACGAATCGATGAAATATCCCTCGGACAGTGACTCGTCGAAAAAGCTCTCCTTCACAATAGTCGGCGATCGCGAGGAAGAGTTTGTCAAGTACAAAGACTCGTTGGCGAACAGTACTTCTCAGACACTTGATTGTATGTGGTATCCCGATGCGATTAAGCAGGGCTTTGTTGAGCATCAGATGTGTAAGGCGTTTGATGTTCCAGTCACGGATATTGAGAACGATAAGCATACTGCGGCATATCTCGCGACTGGTGTAGCCATCCCTGCTCTCACCACTGAAATAACTCCTCAGCTCTGGACTCGAGGCCAGCTTTGAGATACTTAGAGATGATGTCTTCTCGATGTCTTGGAGGATTGTTCTCGTAGCGAGTTTTTCATTGTCATTCGAATTCCTTCGCCGGATGCGGAGGGGCTCTAATTTCCAGAAATCATGTTTTGCCAAGTCAACATCATTGCCCCATTGCCTTGGTTGTGACCTTGATCAAGTTTCGTAGCTCCTAAATCACATATTTCCGACGATTGGAGATATCAATATCACTTATATACATCAAGGCTTGGGTTACTACTGAGAAAAGAAATTCCATGAGCATTGGTGTACACGAAAGATAAACAAACTCAGAACTTTAGGCCAATCTCGAGCGTGTGCTACACGATGTGATAGAAGGCGATATACTGGGACTTGGTCACCTTCATTTTCTCAGCCTATTTTGCCAAGGTGACATCAGAATCAATGTTCAATCTCTGCTGTGTAGTTTCTGTCCGGTGTTTGGGATCTCAGTGTCGTTCGCGAAGACATCCTTACAAAAGCTTCCCATGACTGCCACTAAGCTTATCTGGAGCACAATGCCCTTTTATCAAGCTACAGACAGATATAAGTCAAGTGGAACAAAGAATTGTCCAAGCGATCGTACATATTACGATGATCCAAAGAATGGTTGCATCACATTCCACAAACACGGGACCCAAATTGAGCAGTCAGAGAACGGCCGGTAACATCGTGGACAGGAATTTTGGGATGTGGGCGGCGCCGCTGACAACTTGGTTTCCAGTGTCACTTGTGTGGTCACTACCATGAGACTTTGAGAAGAAAGAGAAGCCATCATAGTGATTTCATCAATCGAATATATCCAGAGGGCAAACGAGAGTGCGGGTCAATGTTGAATGCGACGAGGCAGGTAATCCAACGTCGAGGCCGAGGATGAACCGACGCCAAGCCGACAGCAGAGGAGCGAGTGCAAAGCACACAGACACCTTCCCTGAACACTGCTAACACTGCACACTCTCATCAGCTCAATATCGCGCCACCCCCATCGAGGTCGCCTCAGACGTACAAGACGGCAAGCGAAAGATATCCTGAAGCCGCGACCCGAGCACAAACACACATACGCCCGCCACCGGTAACGCCCAACCGCGAGCGCGCCATCCTTGATCGACGTTCTTGCTCTGAACCCGAAAGCACCGCCGTGAACTTCTCGAGAGTTCACTGCCACTGCAATCCAGTTCGCTTGACGTCTTTCAAGCGTGGCCCCCGATCAGTGCAGATACTCGTGGCAGCGTGTGCTGTGTACTGTGAGGGTGTCCGAGTCAAGGCTGCTCCGACCAACACAAGCCTGGGTGGGACAGGTTCGCATCTTCGTTTGCCGAAACGGGCGAGGATCAAGTATCTTTTGTTGAGTTTACCTCCCTTCTGCTGACCCTTTTAGTATTGGTGCAGCCCGCGCATGTCGAGAATGGCTACCCAAGCTGACATGGACGTCTTGGTTTCCAAGCTCGACACGAAGGATAGCCTTTCCTGGATTGTGGCAGACTGTCCAGTCGTGGCCGTCTTTGAGAACATCGCGACGAAAGAGTCAGACTCACTAGGCCAGCCCTCAGACCGGAACGGCTGCAGCGACCTGCTGAGACTGTGGATAGGCATGAACGAAGACACTCGCGAGCTCTTTGTAACATTGACTATTCGCGTTCGTCCCTCGACGGTCCGAAAAAAGACTCGTCGCCACGGCCGCTTGATGTTTCTCGTCGTACCAGCAGAGTCGCTACACCTGCAAAGCGAGTCCGTCACTTTCGCCGATCTTGAGTCCAAGCTTCCGTCGAAGCTGTTTGACGTGCCCGACGATGTGCAGTCCAGAAAATCCGAGCTTCTCCGTGTATCCTTCGACCTCGGGACGCTCGCTAGTGATGTAATAATGCCCGAGTACCAGTGTAGGCAGAATGTCATGCCGCAAGCCATAGTATTGCTACGCAAGCTGAAGACACTTGCCGAGACCTCGTCATTCTATCTCTATACGAATTTCGACGAAGCGAACTATGCAGCCATCAAGAGGTTGGGAGATGTACAGTTGGACGGATACCCTATGTTCACTCCTTCTGTCGATTTGAAAGGATTTTATTCCGGAGGCCGTTCGGCCTGCAAGAACTCGTGGCTGGATCAAGGATGGTCGGAAGAGCCGAAAACGGAACACAAAAATACAGACAAGAGGCCATGCAAGGATCAGACAGAAATCTTGAATCAACTCCATCCACAACCTCCTCCACCATATGAGCCAGAATCGGTGCTCCCATCTGCATGTCTGCCATTATACCAAGGCGGGGAGGCGGAAGCCCTAACAGCCATAGCTTCCGCACCTCGAGCTGTTGTATCAGCTTTGCCAGCTACAGCACCGTATTGCAGTGACGTGTCCGCGCCGCATACAGCATGTCGAGATCTCACGCCGGAGGCATCGCTCTCATCAAATTATACGGCTACTTTCCTGTCAGGCTTCTCAACACAATCACCACTACAAAGAGTTTATGATGTCGTGGCTCGAGATGCAGCATTGACTGAAGGGCCACCGCGGCCATCCGTTCAAGTGGCAGCATCTATCTGCGATCGTGCCTTCTCGCAACATCCTGATCTGTCTCGTGCAAACACACCAAGCGGCAGCAGCGACTGTGTTCCTGATTCATTGACTCGCAAACGATCGTCTTCCCATCCATTCGAGGAAGGTGTTGACATCAATACGAAGCGTCTAGCAGGTGTTCATCGCGGCCCCCAGGCGCTTTTCAATGTTGGCTTGCAAGAAGAGCTCTCGCCTACTATTGCTGACACGATCGAACCGCACGAAGGCGACACCCCACTGGAATTCCAGGATGATGACCGACCTTCTGGGCGAAGAGACCAGATGTCGCAATGGATCAATCTTGCCTGGAACCATTGTTCTACAGCACACTACACTTTCATCGCTGAATTACTGCAGTATGGTGCCGCTCTGTCCAGCAATCAGTCAGGAGACATTCTCGCAAATTGCCATGTTGATTGTACACTTGCTCTTCTCGCTCGTTGTGCTAAGCAGCAGATCGACAATAGACCCGCTCGTGCCGTAATCAGGCATCATGACGATGGCGAGATGAGAGCGCTTCTCAGATGGCTGTATACGCTGAAACCGGGCGTTGACATGGAAATGTTTCCTGCTTTACTTCAATTGTCATTGCTCGACTGGCAGATTGACTCTAAAAATCAGACCACTGAAGGTCACGATGCTCTTGTGACTACATGCAGGCAACGAAAAGCGCATATCGTAGCACAGGCCTGTGTACAATATGGCGCAGAGATTCTACGGAACGGCACAAGCGACATTGTCACATCGATGCTTGGACAGGGAAGGCGCATTGAGGCCTAGAAGTTCTCGATTCGTCTATATACTGTGCATCATTTATGCCTCACAAATCACCCAAAGGATCCGCCTCCCCCTCCTTCATGAATGGTCCTAGGTCAAGTGGGAAGTGCGGCTCCCCAAGCTGACTGGTGTATAATTTGATGGTAGTATCATCCATCGGCCAACCAACTCCGAAAGCATCGCACATGTGCTTCTGTAAAAAGCCTTGCTTCTGCCGAGTATGGAAAATCTTTTCTACTTGTCGCCTCGCATGGAAGGTCGTGTATTCTCTTGCCCGATGGTATTTTCGTATATCAGGGATAGACGCATCTGCAGCGACATCTTGCGGTAGATATCGTTTCCATTTCTCTGCTGGCGGGACAGCACGATCAGTATGCAGACATTCTGCATATCTTATCATGGCTGTCAGCAAGATGCTAAGCATGTTCTGCTTGATGACTGCTAAGGGTCCGCTATCGTCTGGCGCTATTTCTCTCTTCGTGGCAGAGGAAACATTGTTGGGGTCGCTACTGTCTTTGAAGACAAAGGCAAGCTTTATGTGCTTGTACTGGCCGTTCAGGACGTGCAAGAATGCCCACAACGCCATAAGATTGTCTTCCTCGATCACAGGCATTCCACCCACTGCCAGATCGGCTCGCAAAATGACCTGGAACATGATCTTTTTCTGTCCCTGGCCCAGCGTAGGTAGGTGTGCTGGATGATTGGCGTCGAAGAGCACATTAGTGATGAAGTTTTGCGCAGCCGTCACCTTATCATGAACACTCCGCACGTCCAGATCGTCCGTTCGAAAGATCAAGCGACGGTGTCGCCAATGCATAAACTCCGCATGGTCAGTGATGCACCATGAGGGCCTTTGATGAGTCGCTGCAACCGTGATGTCGATCGGACGAAGTTGGGGAAGATGGTACTCGAGAACACCATCTCTCACTTCTTTCGGAAGCTCATACGCGCTACATAAGAAGTCGATGTGATTGATCCTTTCTGTCTCTTCGGTACTTACAGTCGCGGGGCTTCTTGCTTTCAAGGTGCTATATTCGACAAGAAAACCAAGAATCTCCAGGACAGTCCTCTTTCGTGCCGGTATAGGGACCATAGTATGTTGCTCAACTTGTTTGGTGAAATCTGATCTTCCAGATTCGACCTCGGGGTTTCAGTATGGTGTCTTGAGCTCGAGGAAGTACAAAGACATGGCCGCATGCGGATTATAGTCGCAATATACAGCGTAATGAGGGGACAAAGCGAGTTTTCGCTGTCCAATAGATGTGAGGGGGTCATCGACTCCTCCTGAACATACAACATACCTGCAATACCGGATCCGGACTACAAGTCAAAAATATCACATACTACGCCCAGGAAGTCTGTGGTTCTTTGTTCTTGCAACGGTAAGAAATAGTGGCTTTGTTCGGAATACTCGAAGGTGCATAAAGGTGCAAGGCCATTCACGGTTTTCTCCAAGCAAGTACTAGGATCAAGATGGGTGAACAACTCGATGATGACAGATGGATCGATGAAATGTTCTACTCCGAGCCACTCCCTGATGCCATGGGCTCGGAGAAGAGACGAGAGGTTCTGCAGAACCTTGGTCTTTGGGATAAATACGAGGCACTCCGACGGAAGTACCAGCAGAATAGTTTGACCAATAAGCAGAAGACACAGTTGAGCACCATCCTGACTGCCCTTGTTCCGAGGTCTGCGCGGTTTCGAACGTCCACCTCGTGAGCCCGAAATTCGGCTCAACGATTATCCCTGCATACACTTCGAAGTACTATGCCCTTACACGAGGGACCTCTTTGTCGATGGAGAACTCGACTACAAACCAGAATTCAAACGTCCCGAGGGCATATACACCATGCGCGCTCTGCTATGGTTGTTCAGAGAACTGCAGTGCTACAAGCCTGAGAACAGACGTTTGTTGGTCATCTCGCCCACGTGGAAAGATGTTGTCGAGATGATCGGGCGACCTCGTGGCCGCAACTCGAGTGCAAAGGTGATCCAGCGAACCATTATGCTACCATAGACCCCACGACCAAGACAGCTATTCCGCCTGGCCTCGGCATCAAGGAGAGATATATGCAAATCATCGAAGAGGGCTTAGCGGTCTGGAGTGCATATCTCATAGAGCTTGACCGACTTCACAGCATAGTCCAAACGGTTAGGGAGCAGAGGCAGACAGCCATAGACCGACGAGCTGCTGGGGAAGAAACTGATGAAGAAGGGCCACGCCCATTGACTCCAGTCGATGCTACCTATGCCCTGCAAGCCGCAGACGTATCACCCTTCGATCACGAGCCGCGCATTGCCCAACTCGGCATCGCCGCTGCGCGCAAAGTCGTCTCCGAAAGCAACATGATCTGCCATCTAGCACGAAACCTCTTCGCCAACATGCAACACCAAATCTTCGACAACGACGACCAGGATCAAATGGCATATGTTCAATTCTGGCAGCGCGTTGCTCTCGACCTTATGATGCCCATGTCCTGCGTGGATAAAGTTCTACTGGAACATGATTGACCTTGTCATTCCCGGCGAACGAACTCTTGTAGATCCTCGAGATCCTGTAAACCGCGATGGTATGCCTTGGGCGTGGTTGGTCGTGAACATAAACGCTAAAAACTTTGTCGTCAACTTTTTACCCAAAGACGATTGGCCGGATTGGGATGTCGCCAATCCAAGCATCCAGGAATGGATCACCGAGTGGAGAACACCAATGGGACCACCACTCTATGGTCCAGGAGAAGTAGAGGGAAGCGCGATTCCCAATGCACGAGAAAAAACCGCCTATCTCAACCTTAAGCAACGACAGGATCCCAAGCTGCACGAGGAACTCGGCGAATTCGCATTGATACACTTTGAGATCTTGATAATGTGGGACTTCAATGCATCTGCAACGCCGGGACAGGTCACAATCCCCAGAGTGTCAAAGGCGAATATACGCTTCTATATCGATATGGTCACCGCGATGCCGGAAGGATACGAAGCTCGCTTCATGACATATATTGTCATGAAAGATGTTCGCCAAGGTCGCTACTCCCACAATCCAAAGCCAAAACGACAATTCGAAATCGGCTCTCGGCTCGGTCAAAAATGGGTCCGCATCTTGCAAAAAGCCATACAAGAGTGGAAGGGCTACCTCGCATATATTACTGCTGGGGATTCAGACGAAGAAGATGAGGATATTGACTAGACGGAAACTAGAGCCGAGGCACAAGACAGAATCGCTGCCACAGCCAAGAGGAGAATAGAGAGAACCTGGGGACCTGGAAATCTGTTGGACAGAGGACAGCTGAAGTTTATGATTCGATGCGTTCAAGGAAAGGAGAGTAGTGACAAGGCAAGATTTCGAGGTCAGGAGATGGTTGAGAGAAGTTTGAAGCCAGAGCAAAAAGAGTCTCTGCGATCAGGCAGGTGGAGCTCCTGCTAGACAACTCCCCTGAGGAACGTACCTTCTGTGTTCGGATAACGGTACGGTCATGCTGAATGAAAGTTGTTCTTTCTATCTCTAGATTCCCGGCGACAGGCATAGGTGCTCTGGGTACAGTTCAGTCTGCTGGAAAATTGGATTTATTAGAGTGAATACGCCAGTTGAGCTCAGGATATGATGTACTGTTCCTGACGCATAGCGTTGCAGGGTCAAACACCAGCTACCTGGCTCACTCCATGATTTCTCACAACAGACCATGTGTCACCTTCATGTATTTTCCAGATGAAATGACTCGACAAACCAAGCCATGGGCTCGTCGCTGTAACGCTACGGAGCTTGGTCAACATAAGCAAAGCCATCGAGCCGTTGTCAACACAAGAGATGTATTGGGCTGCTGTGATAAAAACGGCTTGTTCTTCACTCAAGGCTGGAACCTCCACGAGAGCCGGATGCGGTAGCATCAACCCTTTGTCCTCGAAAGTCAGGAATATGAAGTTTTGAGGCGTGATGTTGTAACCTACGATGTTTGATATGGTGTATTGCCTTACCAGGATTCCCTGTCGAGACAAGGAAGGCGCCCAGTGAATTAGAGGAAGAGCTCCTCAAACAACTCGGGTCACCTCCGTACCAGATAAGCGAACAACAACTCGCAACGATCTTTACTCACTACAAGCCAAGAGATGTTACATTGCGCAGATATCGCAGAGCACCTTTGTGGATCGAGGAGGCCGGCCACAAATCAATGATATACCGCTAATTCTGGCAGAATGTGCCGCTTATTACACCATGCGAGTTTCCTAAAGAGGGTGTTACCGAGGCCTCGGGGCAACGGGCAATAGATGTGGCGTCTGAGAACATCGATGGCTTTGTAGAGATATACTTTCTCGTCCCATACTATCAGTGGATAGCCGAAGCGCAAACGATTATCTTCGAGATACCATTGAGCTGGGCTTTTGAGGAATCGATAGACAACCATCATGACGCTTACCCTCGTCTTAGCTCCGAGAGTTTTTATCGCCTACTCTACGTCTTCGAGAAGTTGCAGTGCTGGACAGACCGTAGTCTCTTGAGACCTACGTTTTGCTGGAAAGACCGTCGTGGAGACAGGAAATATTCGAAACAGACAAACACCAAGCGAAACATCCGGCCCGAATTGGATATTTTGGCATCTATGCACAGCACTCTCGAGGAGGTATTGCAGGTCCGGAGTGATTATCTCGAAGGGAGAGTGACGGTTGACGCGTCCAAAGAAGCTCTGGTGTCGCATCTGGCGGATACCACGGTAGCAGAGATAGAGGCTCTCTATGAGGACATGGATATGAAACGCGGCTATGTGAAGTACTGGATGACGGACGCTTTCGATGCGCTGTCCAGACCAGGGATGCGGGTGGACGACTATATGAGGCGACATATGGATGTCTTTAAGGGCACACTTATACAGCCCAACCCTGAGCTCTTGCAGCGTAGTAATACGCCGATAGATTGGGGGTTCGGCTGAATGTCAGATGGGAACACGTGTTATTCGCGGCTTCCTCATGATGGGTCTTGTCTTCATCGTACAATACAATCATCTGACGGGTGATATCTTCGACTTCCTTATGATCGAGTGCAGTCGTAGCTTTATACTTCCCAGTAACCATGCAGTTGTTTCCTGAGCTCCTCAATTCGCGCGCACTGTGCGATGCACCATGTTGGGGGTTTACTCGTGACCAAGGTGTCGCGAGATATCGTCTAACGTTTCGAGTTCTCGACCGAAATCGTGTCGTCACGATGGCTTGCGGGTCAAGTCGGCCTTAGCACGGCGTGGATGGAGACTGCCTATGACTCGAACTGTAGCGGACTCATGTCGATAAGCACCAACAGACAGATGACATGCGCCAGAGGAAGGAGGAAGGGGGTCGTGGCTGGTGTAAGTCGCGTCGCTCTCTCAATGTCGATTGCGAGTGGGCTTGATCAGGCAAGTGCCTTGCAGATCTTTCGTCCCAGCTCAGCCTCAAATTTGGCTCTCCATTTCACGAAGTCAGTACGAAAGATTCTCAATTCCATCTGGCTCCTTGTGGACATGATCGTTTCATGCTTGATACTGGTCTTGCTACTTAGCTTGCAAGTATAGCTCTCAGCTAATGTAGGGCGGAGGCAGCAGTCCCTCAAGGGAAGCTTTAATCTGGTGCGCCAGAGTCGCTGAGTGCCAGCGATGCTGCTGAGTAAAACCACCCATGATCCAGTAGTTCTCTACTTGGGAGTGACGCTTCCACATTCCACGAATCTCGCCTTCAGTGTCAACACCCCAAGTGGCGTCAATGGGTAATGATATTTTGAGGATGTCAGCCACCGTCTCCCGCGCGTCCTTGTCTGCAAACCCGGTACACCAGATTACCGCATCGGCATCCAGGCTTGATCCGTCAGACAACAACAGTCCTGTGCTTGTATATGCTTTGGGCTCGACACCAGCTCTGAAGCTTGCTTCGCCGCTTACTATAAGCTCTGTAGCGCCTGTATCGACATAATGCCCGCCGCCACGCTCAAGGAGATTGTGCACCAACGCAGCGTCTAGATCTTGGCTGTCGATGACCTGGAAGCCAACTTTCCGGAGAGCAGAGTAGCGATCAGGTTCCTGCGAGGCTAGTGCAGCGAACAAACCTTGCGCAAACTGACTGTCTACAATACTGGGAAGCATCATGAACAGGTTGTCAGCAGCCTCGACCCCGTTATCATACGCACCAAGACCGATCTTGTTACAGATGTACGTGAGAGGTACCATGTAAGTCGGCGAGCGAGCAATCATGGTTGTCTGGAGTCCAGCAGCGTGGCAGTCTTCGAGCACATCAAAGGCCGTGTTGGCTGACCCAACGATACAAACAGTCTTGACGCCTTCTTCCTTCAGCTTGCTGGCGTTCTTGAATTGTGATGAATGTATGCTGATGCCAGTGTACGCTTGCGGCTCTTCAATCGCCGGGGCGTAGGGTATCTGAGATCCGATACCTGTAGCTTGTACCACGTGTTTGGCAATAGCTGTGTAAGTGCCGTTTGGTATCCGGAAACGGACATGCCATTCCCCGCTCCGCTCTCTTGTTGTCTCGATTATCTCGACCGAGTTGATGATATTTAGATTGAAAGCTCGCACGTACTGACTGAGATGCGCTGCAAGATCTTTCTTAGTCAAAAGTTGGTCTTGTAGCTCTTCAGGATATTCCAGATATGGTGGTCCACAGAGAGACGTTCGGACGTGGAACTTCAACGCGTCGTAGCGTAATGTCCAATTGTCACCTACTTGGGCGTTGCGATCAGCCATGACGCTGTGCACGCCCAACGCCTTCAGTCGCGCTGAGAGTGCTGCAGCTGCATTACCACCTCCCACAATGAACACATCTGTCTTGAATGTGCTGCTGTCCGTCTGTGACGTGCCAGGAGTTTGCAGCACACTTCGATCTTCTGGATATTCGTCGAGATGATCAAGCTTTGTACTCAGGATCCAAATCTTCCAATTCAGGGTTTCTTGGGTCGTCTGGGAGTTGGTCGTCATGACTGGCAAGAGCCACATCCTTCCGCTACAATTGGCTGCTGGAGATTCTGTTCCGAAAGAGAATGCACAAGTAACGAACACCTAATTGAACCAAACTTTGTCAGTCGCGCATACCGATGGCTTCATCTGGCAACCAATCAACTTACCATTGTAGGACCGGCTTGCACAAAGTCTGCGCTGCCATCGAGCTCAAAATTTCCAGTCACACTGCGGAGATTCTTTGTCTCCAACAATGCAGAGGCGATTTTAGCTGGTGATATGATGGTACGTAGATGCCATGTGAGTGCGAGTTGATCTTTCCAAAATGACTGCTCGGCATAGAAACATTCTTCGAGCAAGTCCGGACGGTCTGCTGCTACAGCAGCGTTGAACCTCTGCAGTACAGCGCGAGCTTCACCTGTAGCATCCAGGGATACAGGATCTGACAGGCTGACAATAACAGTAGGGAGAGCGTGGTCGCGCATCAGTTTCCGCAGATCGCCCTTTGCAGGATGGCGGACGTCCAGCTTGGATTCATGTTGAGGTATGGGATTGTCGCTCTCTATGATCTGGATCTCAGTCGCCAGGCATAAACGTCGATAAAACACAGGAAGACCTACCAAGAGCTATCGTCGATGCCATTTCAGTCATTCTATCGGTATGAGCAGGAACAATATCTCAGCAAAGCGCGAAAGATTGAGATGAATTGGGGTGAAGTCTAGTGGGAGCGAAGCTTATTAATATCGGACTGGATCACAGCCCGCCTTCTTGCGTAGCTCCAGAAACATAGTGGCACATGTGAGTATCAGGCCCGTCAGACTGCATGCTGAGAAAAGTGACAACCTGTGCGCTGCCATGGCCGATCGATGGGCTGGATACATTACGCCACTCTCGATGTGTGGAGACGGGCGCCAGCAGAGTTAGACTAGGAGCGTGATTTAGATTAATTCCCCAGTATGATCATTTGCTACCGGCAACCTGTTATGTCGTATACAAAGTGCACACAGCTTGTGTCAAAGTGCAACATAGAAAGCTGCTCGGGAAAAACACATGCCGCCCATGACGCTGTCGATCATCTGCCAAGAGCGCCCCACCATGCCGAAAGACGACTTCTCACGCAGGAGATATTGTCGGATGCGCTTTCCATGTGGCAACAATGCTGGATTGGGATTACGAGGTGATGCGCCTGCGAGATTGGGCAAGAAGGACTTCCTCCCTCCGTCATCGACCGCATGGTGTCTCAAACTTGAAGCACCACAGACTCTCCTCTCACTATGCGTGCAAGAATGCAGCTGTTCATCTCTAACAACGATGGTCTCGAAGCAAGACTCCCCGAACGCACCAGTCGTTAAAGATATGCGGGTCGCTCAACTGAGCCCGCCTTAGCACTGGATTCACCCAGGAGGCTGGTCAAGGTAGGTCGATTTCGTAATTCGAAGTAGTCTTCAAGTCTACTTATATACTTTCCGTCCGCTCTAGCGGGTCTCTTCATTCCGCCTTCACAGATCTATCTTAGCGAAAGCATGTCTTTATCCCCTGAGATACAAGCTCTTCTTGCTGCGCCTGCTCTGGTACCGCCGACTGGCATCACAGCCGACTTTGACAATCCCCCAAATAAGAACTGCCTTGCCTGGATTGTCACGACGCTTTGCATGGCTTTCGCGACTTTCTCGGTCATCATACGTTTGTATGCCAAAGTCTTGATCATGAAGTGACCACAGGTGGAGGAGCTGCTCGTGCTCTCCGCATATGTTCGTCAGACCGTTCGTCCTGGCAAGACGTTACGCTGACTGCAACGATACAGGGAGCTTACTGGTGTACTGCTTACGCTGGTTACAAGATGATCTTCTATCCTGGCTACTACGTCCATCAGTGGAACCTTTGCAATGGCGACCTTGTAGAGCCGTTCTACCTCATTCTTATGTATGGTTGCGCATACTCTGCGACATTGGCCCTCGTGAAGACTGCCATCTTGATTGATTGGTGCAGATTCTTTGTCATCGGAGACTCTCGCACAGGATACTTTTGGCGTATCAGCGCGTTCCTTGTCTGTCTCCAGATAGTTTGGGGCATACTATGCATCATCCTTTTGAACACGCAATGTGTGCCCCACGCCGCCATATGGAAATTCTATCTTTCAAGCAAGTGCTACAGTCTACCCAAAGTCATGCTCATATCTGCGAGCGTACAAGTTGTCACAGATTGGTCCATGATCTTACTACCGCAAAAGACGATATGGGGTTTGCAATAGACGATACGAAAGAAGATTGGTGTCTCTGTGGTCTTTGGCGTGGGTCTCTTGTAAGTGCTTCCTCGCTTAGGCTTCACCATCAGATACTGATAGTCCAGGGCCTGTATCGCTGCGAGTATTCGCTTATCGACAACCATCACCTTTTCGCATGAAGCCGACAGAATGTACTTTATCGGACCGCTCCTATTCTGGGCTTGCGCTGAGATGACGTGTGGTTTCTTCATTCTCAGCGTTCCCTGTATGCCTAGTATGGTCAAGCATAGCGGTCTTCCTGGCCTCATCGACAGTTTTCGCAGTCAAGGCTCGAAGTTCTACAGTAGCAGTTCAAGCAACCTTCGCAACGCCGTCTCCCATACCTCTGATCTACCCTCAAGAAAAACATCCAGGGGCCTACCCAGATCCGCAGATTACTACCACAACATCGACGAGGAACATGGTACCATGTCACTACAAGCTCTCGGAAGATCCAAATCGCAGACAAACTTGCGGGTAGCACATGGACAGCACGACTGTGGGGTGAAGTGCACGACTTCCACTACAGTCACCTCCATCCCTGCTTCTGGTCACAGAGCGGATGAACTTGAACGGCGGGTTGCGCCATGGAATACTTGAGCAGAGTCTGCAAGTCATCTCCTCATAAGCCGGTATACGTTATCTTCTACTTACGTGTACATGTGTCTCAGTTATCTGAAAGCTAGACTGAACTGAAGATTGATCAATTGTATCCGTAGTTGACTTTGGTGTAGTGTGGCTCCTGTTACTATTGTATACACCAAGCTATCTGATTGAGAAAAATCATGCATCTACAACAGACTTCAAGATTAATTTCTGATCATTCGTAACGACCGTATCTCTCCAAGCTCAGGCTTCCATTGCTAACGCAAGCAGAAAGCAGCTGTTTGTACGGGAAGGTGTATGACATCCGTTTGTACGGAAGCTGTCATCGACACGGCGATGAGTCGTACCTCTCTTTTTGGCTTCATCTATAAAGTCGTCACAGAGTCTCAAGCCTGCCTTTTCCTGTTTGACCTTCCTCCCAGATCGATGCCTAGGAAGCGCAAGCCTTGTCGCAACGCAACTTCAGAGTGTCCACATGCTGAGCAGATGCAGTCTACGTAAGACCCAAGGTCATCTATCAAACATGATGTACTAAGCCTCTCTCAGCATGGAGTCCTCCAACGCTCCTATCGGCCCCAAGCTCCCGCCGCCCCCGGATCTTGTGTCGAAGCAGTCAAGGCATGCTTCGTATCGACAACTGAGCCTGCCAATGGAAAGTCACCCCAGTCGACTGCCCCTGACCAGACCAAAGCTGCCTCCAGCGATTCCTCTGCGTCCGATTCCGCCAAGGCCATCATCCTGGACCTGATCAAGGCTACAGAGGCAAAGTGCTCAGCTCGCGATGGCCTCATTTTACGTCTTTCGAGGGCACAGATCGAATTGGTCAGTAGAACTCAGTGCACACTAGATTCACGTAGCTGATCATCGGGCAAAGTGCGAAACTCAAATCCAGCAACGCGGCGTTGACATCGATCGTGCTTCGAAGATAATCGTCCAGCTCCACTTGGACATGGATCGCTGGACTAGGGAGAAGGTGAACGCCATGGCTGCCAAGTCAAGAGCAGAGAATCTTCTTCTCCTGTTGCAGCAGAAAAACAAGAGGCATGATGAGAAGCTTTCGGACGAAGTGGTAGAGAAGCAGTCGGCTATGAAGCCAGAGGAGATCGATTGAGACTTGGTTATGACCTTGTGAGATTAGTGATTGGAACACTACCGTACAACAGTAGTTGAACACAAAAGCCAACGAACCAACACAGCTTCCTTGCTACCTCTTTGATCAATCTGACAATAGCAACGGCATCACTGACGCATTGTCACTCCACATTGCTCGTCAGGACGGGCTGAGATCGACCTTACCATTATCACAAACCTCTTTCTCAGATATAACTACCACATACATCAAGTCCGTCCTTCAAAACGGTCATTTCGCAGGCTTCTGACTCATCCCAGTATAACGGATAACCCCGAGGTAGCCAAAGCCACAATCAAAAAACCGCTCGACTTCTTCTCCGAGCGCCGCAACGTCAACAAAATCACGATCACAATGGTGAACCACCACCTCTCTCCTTCATGACCCAGTCCTTCAACGTAACGAAGATACCAAACAGTGTCACACTTCGATGGTGGGAAGTGAGGAGACTTGGACTCAGGCTACGATAGAGGCTTTTGATGTTGTCTGAGGGATTGGTTATTTTCTCCATTCGTCAATTGAAACTTTGAAGTGGTAGGTTGAGAGCGAGCACGGCGTAAATCGGGAGATTACAGGGTTGGGAGAAGTCGGGAAGTTGGAAGTCAAATCCCTAGATTGAGAGAAGACGACGAGCAAGGAGAAATGGAGTTCTGGTGGGAGGATTCGGCAAGGTCTTTCTCGAGACTTTTACCAGAATATATGGCATGAAGTAAGTCGCAATTCTGTTCCATCGCAATTGAGATCCATGTGCCAAGTGTAACTTTGCTGTGAGACACGACTTGATTGTTTTCATCTACTTGTGATCTTTCACTCTCACAGCTTCTTCTACCGTCTTGAGTCGCCTCGCTCCTGACTGGCAACTCTTTCCTCCATACCTCGCCAATACTAGTGTGAGGTTCTTGGCCAAAACAATTCACGCATGTTGCTGATCATATCTCAGTATGGATACTGTCCGCCGCAACCTTCAACACACGTCTGACAAACTCGCCTTGGTCCAAGAGACTCACAACAACATGAACAACAAGCTCGCTATGGTCCAAGAGATACACAACATCATGAACAACGAACTCAAGCAAACCAAAGACTCCTTTGAGCAAGTCAAGAAGAAAATGGAGTCCACCATCAAGGCTCCCGACAAGGCTACTCATGAATTCATCCAGTCGTCCATCAACATGGTAAGACCACCATTGTGACCAATTCTACTCGTCACCAACTTACACGTCCTGCAGGTCAGAGCTCAGATTGAGAAGCGCAACCACGATGTCGAGGGTGCAAAGGAGTGCAAGGCAACCGCGCTCAAGAACTTCCAGCGCTACCACAAGGCCGTCAAAGCTGTGGAGGAGCTCAAGTCCGGCGAAATCGATCAGTGTGTTGGCGAGCTTTATGGCGAGGGTCACGATTGGCTGACTCAGAGTATCGTTCGCTGGGAGAAGGAGAATGAGCAGGCTGGTGATGCGATCCGTAAGCTCGAGTGGGAGCTGAAGACTTAGAAGATGTTGACCTAGTGACGGGATGCGAAGCGCTCACTCAGCGACCGGCTGTTGTCGGTGTTGGGAGGAGAAAGTTGGCTTCCATGGAAGTGAAGCTACAGCTCTTTTGTAGTCTAGTCCGCAATACGGCTGGCTTGCGGCTTGCGCTTTCTCATTAGCTTTCACACTTTCGAATCCACTTTACCTTTCCTCTCAACCACGCGCAGACCGCATCTTTTCCACCTCTCCTCATCACAACAACGTGTCAGCACCGCAATGTATGTTTCTGAAATACCTCTTACGCGCAGCTACTGACTACGCATCAGCATGAAGATCTCACCATCCATCATCAGGGACTTGTGAAAGTCCCGCGATCAAGCCCTCGAAGCTCTCGCTTCAGGAATGAATAATCATCGCCAGACCAAGGGCAAGCTGTCTGAGCTTGCAGGCTGCCTAGAAGTAACAAAGGCTCTCTTATCCGAAGGTAAACTGCGTGAAGGTGTTCCGGAAACCAAAACGAGACATTCTATCATCGACCTCACTGCCGACGAAGCAGCGCATAAAGACGTGGAGATGGCAGATGTTCTTGACAAGACTCATATCTCTGCTTCCACTACTCATCCTGACTACAAGTTCGCCAACTTCTTTCGTGGAGCAGGCGGCGTTTCTGTCGGAGCGGACGTCGTTCACGCACTCAACTGCCACATTACCACAGTGAACAAGACATTCTCGCCCGCCTATGCAGTGACAGGCAAGGAATACGACGCCACCGAGGCAACCCTGGTCTCTATCCCGGACGGCCCGGCTCCCACATCCGAAGACAGAAAGCTGTGCCACGCCGAGGCTGACTTGATCGAGGCCAGAAAGTCCATTGACGAGAAGCAAATGGAGATCTTCCACCTCAACGAATCGTTGGTCAATTCCATCAAGTCTTGCATCCAAGTGATCGACCTTCTCTCACCTCCGCGGAGACCGAGCTCCAGCAGACCAAAGTCTCTCCCTCCGAGCTCAAAGAGTCGCACGACCATGCCGTCAAGTCTCTCGCTTCTAGAGAGAAGGAACTCCAGCAGACCAAGATTTCCCTGCTTTGTACCAAAGAGTCGCGCGATCGAGCGATCAAGTCACTCGCCTCCAGAGAACAAGAACTCCGCCGAGCCGAAGAAGACTTGAATGACGCATTGCATTCTCTGACCGAGACCACGAGGGAGCTCGATGAACACAGAGAGGCTTATGCCCAAGGTGAAGAAGAGCATCTCGAGGGCCTTATTGCCTTGGTAGGGAACGATAGTTTTAGGCCTTGGAAACATTAGCTGACCACTAGATAGATCAAGTCCACGATCAAAATGCGCAAGCAGGACATCGAGCGCGCCAAAAAGTGCGTGAATACCCAGGCCACTGACATGAGTATTCTTCTCGAGCAGATGTCCTGTGTCATTCCGCCTGGTCAGGACAGAGATGAGATGATTGCTCGACTCTGCAAGTTGTCCTGTTCAATTGAGGACTACGGCCTTAGGTGCATCGATCGTTGGACCGAACAGAGCAAAGACGCCAAAGCCCGGGTCAAGGAGCTCGAGCAGGAGCTGGAGGAGATCAAGCAGTCCGATGATTTTGAGAGTTGCGAGGCGGACGATTAAGTCTCATCAGAGAAGAATCACGGTCCGCGGCAGCAATCACTCACTGAATTTAGCTGGAGAGGCTACGAGATCCTGGCGAGCTACAAGATGCTCAGAGCTGACACATAAGATACGAGCAGAAGCACAGCGATAGAGCAGCAAATCATGAAAACATCACAGTCAAGTCGTTCTTTACTCAGTGACATGTCGCAAAGGACGGAAGGAGCGAAGGAAGTGCAGCGGAGTTCGTTGCCGATGAACCCCTCGGTTAGTGGGGGCTTCGGCATGAGCCTCGGTCGGCGATTTGACGATCTGTTGACTCCCGGCAGCGAAAAAAGATGGGCCGAGAGCAACACACTCGGCGAAGCTGTTCTCACGGCCTCGCATGAATATTCCAGTATGCCAATTAGAAATCAAACAGGGACGAGAGTGAGATGAGGCAGCAGAGGACACGACGCTTACATCTCTTCTCTTTGTCCTGAGCTTCTTGCGCTTGTTGTTCGTTATTCTTGATACCTCGTCGTCGCTGAGAGCTGGACAATACCAAGAGCGTCATCATGTCCATCGCAAGTGCAGTGTTTCGCACCATGCGACCAGCCGCTCGCCCAATCTTGCGCCCGGTGCCTTCGGCAAGACTCCTCCAACCTGTCCAAAGCATTCGACGCTCATCACACTCTCCTCTCGGCAGCTCGTCGTTGCCGACACGCAAAAAGGTCACGCTACCAACGCTCATGTCGCTGTACCGCAAGAACGAAGCCATTACCGTCATCACCGCCCACGACTTTCCTTCAGCACATGTAGCCGACCAAGCAGGCATAGACATGGTGCTAGTCGGCGACTCCCTCGCCATGGTAGCCCTCGGCATGGACGACACCAGCGAAGTCCTCATGGAGGAGATGCTGCTCCACTGCCGCAGCGTAGCCAGAGGCGCCAAATCTGCTTTCCTCGTAGGTACCTGTCCTTGCAGTCCCCGCGCGCATTCCATTGACTGACCACAAACAGGTTGGCGACCTCCCCATGGGCTCGTACGAGATCTCACCCGACCAAGCGCTTCAATCCGCAATCACCATGATCAAGACTGGTCGCGTGCACGCCATCAAACTCGAGGGAGGCGCTGAAATGGCTCCCACCATCAAGAAAATCACATCCGCCGGTATCCCCGTCCTCGCTCACGTCGGCCTCACACCACAACGCCAAAACTCTCTCGGAGGCTTCAGAGTTCAAGGAAAGACTACGGCAAGCGCATTGAAGCTACTACAAGATGCAGAGGCAGTGCAAGAGGCGGGAGCTTTTGCCATGGTCGTGGAAGCCGTCCCCGCTGAGGTTGCGACTTTAGTAACCAAGAAGCTGCGGGTTCCTACCATTGGCATTGGCGCTGGCAATGGCTGTTCAGGTCAAGTGCTTGTTCAAGTCGATATGCTAGGCAACTTTCCACCCGGCCGCTTCCTGCCGAAGTTCGTAAAGAAGTACGGTGACGTCTGGGGTGAGTCCACAAGGGCGATGCAGCAATACAAAGAGGAGGTTAAGAGCAGAGCATATCCTGCTGTGGAGCACACCTACCCCATGCCTGAGAAGGAGCTAAAAGAATTCATGGGCTTGCTTGGAGAGACGAAAGTGGAGAGTGAGGCTTAGGACGCTTGGTCTGCGGCATTTGGTGCTTTTTTGTCTTGTTGCATATATACCCTCTTTAGCGACATGTCTTGTCGGGATGAGTAGATAATCACATCCATTTGGGCATGCGCTTTTATAGCGCTCATTCGTTCCATCATCATCTTGATCATCATTGCTCCATGCCTCTCCAACTCAATTAGTGAAATGCCATGACTCCCTCTCCCATCCATCTCCATCCCACCATACTCCCCCTCTCTCCTTCCCTCTCTCCTTCCCTCTCACACGCTTCCCCAATCACCCAAAAGCAGGCGCAACAGCATAACTAACAATCAAATCCTCCCCCGTCCTAAAACACCTCCACAAATTCCCCACTTGCTCATCCATCCCCGGAGCAAAAACCTGATTCACATAGCAAAAAACACTCTGATGGGAGTCAAGACGTAATTGTCTGCGTAGGTAGCGGACGATCCAATCGAAATGGTGGGTAGAAGAGATTGTCACGCGGGGTTTGGGGAGGGAAGGGGTTCCGGGGCCGGGACGGAAGCGGAGGTGGACTGTTTTTTGAAGGGTGGGATTAGATGAGGAAGGGAGATGAGGTTTGGGGGATGAGAGGAGAGAAGATGGATGGGAGGGGGAAGGTGGATGGAAAGGTGAAAAGGAAAGCTTGTTGTAAGGTGATGGTGACGGTGATGGTGATGGTGATGGCGATGGTGATAGACTTACTCTTTTTTTGCTCTAGCATCCCTGCTGAGGAGAGAGCATTGTGCGCATCCAATGGTAGATGATCCAATACCATCGATGCTGCCATTGTCATGGGCATCTCGGCTGCTGGCGATTCATTCGAGGCAAGACTTTCTTCTTCGTCTGCTTCTGCTTCCGTCACCATGTCTGGCGGTGGTGATGAGGACATTGATTATTATTGTGCCCCGTGGGTTGAGAGAGGTCTCTTTTGTGATCTGTGACTGTGATTTTCTTTTGGCTGATTTGACACAACTGTTAGGTCGTGGATAGAAGTAGTCCAAATGGATTTGTGATGATTTCGTGGATTGTGGCAGCGTGATGATCTGATCATGGGAGATGAGTGGTGGAAGCTGGGGACGAAACGTGGTGATCGTCAGCTTCAGGCAACAGAATCGCACAACAACATCATCGATCTTCTTTGGTATAAATTTAATTGGAACATCTGATGTCGCAAAAATTCAAAAACACCCCCATATAAGTCAAACTGATGTTTTGGTCAGTCTGTAGAGCTTGATTTCACATCAGGGCCCTGATCCTTTCGACTGGAAGGTTACTTTGCCCTAAAACGGAGACGAGCACGACAGCACTCTGAGCTGAGGAAGGCTCGCTCGAGCACAGGTAGCTATCCCTCTGCATTGAAGTGAAGGTTTTGTTCTAGTCAAAATACACTCTATCGATGCTAGACTATGTACAAGTTTCTAAAAGAGAGACCGCACTCACCGAATCGGGCTTCCGAAAATGTCTTTCTTGACCGAGGGAGAATGACTGGCTCCTCCAAGCAGTGCAGGTCCCACCGTTTTCCTAGCTGGCGTACCTGGCACGCTCATATGTCCAGGAGTCTCAGGTCTCCACTCACCATTATCTCTTTCCGTCTTGTAGACTGACGGCGGCTTGAAATTAGTCTCTCTGCCGCGATCAAAGATGTCATCGAGCATGTTTTCGATGATACCTGCGTCCATGAATTCCTGGTACTTGCGCCAGAGTTTGAGTGCTGTACGGGCATCCTCCACACTGTCATGACCTTTGTCGGCGTTCTGTTGAATCTCTTCTCGAAGTAGATACCAGGCCAGGAAGCGTAGTGACAAACGGCGCTGACTGCGGAGACGATGTGAGAACAGATCGACCGTGTCTACGACTTGCGCTCGTGGAACGTGAATATTGATGATGCGAAAATCCTTTGGCAAACCGTGACCCACAAACACAACTCCCAGATTCAGTAGCAGCCACAGCTTCTTGTAGGCCACTTTGAGATTGACCAGATTGTGTTTACTGACAGCGCGGTCAAGATCACCTGGATTGATGCCCGAGTACGCGGTCAGATAGTCGACCACAGGCTCAGAGCTCGCAATGTAGTCGTCAATGAAGGGCAATCCTTCGTATGGCCCTGCGCCGCGCAGTACTGATACACGAGCCAGGCCAAGCCGAGGTGGACGAACGGTTTCGCGAGTACCATCTGCCTTGATGTCAATCTCGGCCTTCGAGAGAGCAACAAATTCAGCATCAATAGCGCATGGCATGCCAGCACGGGGAAGCTCGGTCGTTGGGTTGAGGTTGCGCAGCACTGTTGGGTCGGGGGATTTGTGCGGTCCTCTGGGCAGGTAGTAAAGAAGAGACGGATCGAGATTTTCTTTCCAAGAATCATCAATGACGTGAGATTCCGACTTGGCTTGATAAGTCAGGATAGAAGGTAGTTTCCAATTCATGTCGAACCGTAGAGCCTCTTCAGAAGTTGTGGATCTGACAAGGAAATCGTTGAACAAGTGCCATTGGTCTTGGTCGGTTGGGTCAGGCGAAGACGGTGCGACATTGATCAACGACACAAGATGAGACTTCTGGTTGTCTGCGCTGTTGATGTCAACGACCATACCAACAAGCTCATAGACCATGATGTCATAGAATCCTCGCTGCAAATGATACTTGAGGTCGGATCCTTCGTAGCAGAAGAACTGTCCGTTCTGTACTACGACACCAATTTCTTGCGGCAGCCATCCTGGTGTTGCCCATAATTGCTTGTGGTCTGGCGAATGGATAGCAGTGTTGACCATCAAGACCTTGGGAATGCTCTGAATGGTCTTGCGGGTGCTGAGTTGCTGGTACCGTTTGCATCGGTCACACCAACCTCTAGTCTGATCTTGACGTTCAACACTGGCTTTGAGAACCTGAGAAAATGCTGGTCTGGGTGGTGTCATGCGTGGGTGATGTTTTAGTGGCTTCGGGGGATATACCAGATCATGAACGAGTGTTTCGCCAGGCTTGAGCATCTCATTAGCGCAATGTCCGCATCTTATTGCCAGCAAAGCGCCTGTCGTCAAAGACTGTTCCATGTGCCTGTTGTGCGGAGGTAGCTGCCTGAAACTATCGCAGAAGACCTTCAGCAGAAATCTGTTCGCGGCTTGTATCGTGACGGAGAGTGGGTTATTGGCAGTCGCAAATTGTTCGAGAAGTCCAAGTGTAGAGGCGTCCGACAAGCTGCTGAATACCTTGAGGAAGTTGCTAGCTTGACAGTTCATACCCGCAGCCTTTTCCAGCATGTCTGTCAAGAAGCCCATCTCACAGAGTAAGCAGTTATCATAGAGGCAAGACGTTGCTGTATGGTGAAGTGCTAGATTGCGTATTGTTGGGGTGAAGCGCAGAAGTTGTAGTAACGGATTAGTGTACGAGTTTGCGATGTGGGTTTCCAGTCCAGAGTGCTTCGTTTTGTTGTAGTACCTGGAACATTTTAGCAATTAAAAAGCAACTCAAAGCGCCAATTGACATACTCAAAATCGAAATCGTCTACACCAAATTTACTATATTTGATCTCGACGTTTCGGTACATTACGGGAACATCCCTTCGTGTAGTTCCGCCAAGGGCAAGATCGCCCAGAGCCTCAAGCGCATCTGACATCCTTCGCGGGCCTTCATGACCTTGTGAGTCGTCCTTCTGCCGTTCGCTGAGGAATCGCGGCGCCGAAAGTGTATCGTGTGCTCTCTGGACTGCTCTTGTGTCTTCGAATTGATATCTCCGCGTCTTACGTGGGAATGGTGCGTAACCGCCGATATCTGATCGCTTCAGTGAGGCGATGATCCCAGCGTCAATCTTGCTCGGTGGTGCTCCGACTTCAGACACAAGATGGCTTGGCCAAGCTGAAAACAGCATTTCTCGGTAGTATGGCATGCCGATTATATTCAGAGGACTGTGCCTGGTCAGCAAAAAGCGGACGATGAATTGGAGTGACACTTACATGTCTGCTGACCAGTCCATGGGCGGCGCAGGTGCCGGCTGATCCGCAAATTCAGTCGGGCTACCGTATTCCGTGAATTGTATCTTGTTAGGCGAACCCCAAAGATGCATGGCGCATTGAGCATCAGCAAGCACGAGAGCGTCTCCTGAAGGTGCAATATCCAATGATGTAATGTGGGTGTCGAACACATTTGCATGTCGCATGCTAGGAGCATCCGGATTCATGATGTCGATAGCATAGATGAGTCCTCCTTGTGAGGCAACCAGGCAAGTAGTCGACATTTTGGGGTGCATCCGGACAAAGGCTGCCCCTGGTGGGAATGGAACTGGAGGCAGCGGCATCAATGTCTTCAAGTCGAAGACATTTGCGAGATGGTCTAACATATAGCCATGCTGTGGCCTTGAAGACCATCCGCAAGTGACAAGGATATCGGACCTGGCGTCCATGTCATTGATGAAAGCTGAATGTGCCTTCCATGTCCGGGCGACCTTGTAGTTGATGAGATCTAGAAAATGAACGAAGCCGTCAGCTGTACCAGCACATATGTACTGTCCGCCACGCTTCATCATGGTGTATGGCGCATCTGCTTTGAGCTACGGCCTAGTCAGATCAAACTGTTGGTTCGATGGCACACAAACGTACTGTTGAGGTGATGACCCCCTTGTCGACGTCGATTTTATACATCGTCTCTTGGCAACCAGCGACCAACACTTCATGAACACCTTTTGAGGTGAATGCCATGCATCGCAGATCTTTCATGTCATCTTGGCTGGGTATAATCAGCTTGGATCAATCCACAAGATTGATCAGGATCTTACTTGAAATGCCATTGTGTTAGTCCCTTCCGTGAGGCGAGATGTACGCTCTTCGCTGTTATCGATATGACACCTCGGTCGCACATCAGCATTTGCTTGACGGGTCCTTCGGCGGACGCATGGCCTCGATATGAGGTATATCTTTGGAGCTCGGGCCCATAAAATGATGTGATTCGACCCTAATACTTTGAGATGAGCGAGACCATATTTCAGTCAACTGTCTGGAAAGCGTTGCTTACAAATTCGTTTGCGGTCCATAACAGCTCTTGCATAGAATCAAAAGAAAAAGTGCTGATGGGTGTATTCAAGGCATTTGGACTTGGTGGAGGAAGCACAACGCGGGCGACCTGGAGGACGAATGAACATAATGATCTTTGAAAATGCAACTGTCCGAAGAATACATAGTCGCATTGGAGTTGTTGGGCGACGCCTTACCTCATCCCAATCTGACTCCATTGTTGCGGGATCGACTCGATTTATGCAGCATTACTTGCGCAAACGACGACATGAGAGTTAAGAATAATCGTACTTCCCACCTCGCATTAACAAAGTGACCAAACAGAATAAGCGACAAAGGTGGTTCTCTGCAGCAGTAAAGCGGCCTTGCGAGACCGGGCGGGATGGACGTGTTGTCTCCTTGGATAGACGCGTCTCGATCAAGACGGAAAGAAAGGACGCCGACGCCGAAGATTCCCCATTGGTGATGACGTCTTTCAGCGCTCCTTCTGTTTCGATGTGAGGCGGCTTCTTGGACATTTTACTAAAATGCAGAAACGATTGTTCTCCAACTTGAGAAGACTTCAGCATGAGAATCCATTGGTATGTGGTTGCTAAGTTGGCTGTTTGGATGTTTGAACTCACACGGTGCAGGGATTGCCGAGATCTGGCACGCCGCCAAATCTGAGAGCTCGCATGCAGAGAGGTTTACCGGAAAAGCGACCTATTAAAGATGTCAAGAAAGTCATCGCAGTATCGTCAGCGAAGGGTGGAGTCGGAAAATCAACAATATCCGGTATGCTCTAGTGATCGAGTTATACGTTGACTCCCAAGCTTAAACCGAATAGTCAACCTTGCTCTAGCATTCGCCAGAAGCGGCTTGAGAACCGGTGTCCTCGATACTGACATATTTGGACCCTCAATCCCTACTCTTCTTGATCTCGAGGGCAACGAACCACGACTATCCTCCAGTAGGTCCATACCGTATTCCAATCTTCGGACATCACAAATAAACAAACGCACAGACAATCAGCTGATACCCTTGACTAACTATGGACTCAAATCCATGTCGATGGGCTATCTGGTACCTCAGACATCAGCAATTGTGTGGAGAGGATTGATGGTCATGAAAGCACTTCAACAGCTTTTGCACGAAGTGGAATGGGATGGACTCGACGTTCTGGTGCTTGACCTCCCACCAGGTACTGGAGATGTCCAATTGACTATAACTCAACAAATTGAGCTCGATGGTATACACGACTGGCGATATAAAGACTGACCAGATACTGACCAATCACAGGAGCTGTAATAGTGTCTACACCACAGGACGTTGCACTCAAAGACGCTGTTCGTGGTGTCGAAATGTTTCGTAAAGTCAAGGTGCCAGTATGTGATTCAAAGTATCATCAGCAGAATCTACAGCTTACCTCTCTCCTAGATTCTAGGCATGGTACAAAACATGTCCGCCTTCACCTGTCCGAATTGCTCCACAACGCATTCGATCTTCGGTCGCGAAGGTGTTATCAAGAAGTGCGAGGAAATGAACATTAAGCTCCTTGCTGACATTCCGCTGCATCCGAGTATTTGCGAAGATGCAGATCGCGGAAAGCCAACGGTAGTCGCAGAGCCAGATAGTCTGAGAGCACAAGTCTTCAAGGATTTGGCTGGAGACCTGCGAAAGCAACTGCAATTCTGACGAAAAAAACGATGGTTTCAGAGATGCAGAAGCATCACCACATGATCCTTCGCCAAGCAAATTTGACAATCTAATAGATTGGGTCGGAAGAAGTGTTTTACCACAATCGAACTATTGAGATCCATCGCTGGGGATCCTAGAAGATTTTCAGCAGCGGTTCGTGTCCTGATTTGGTCTCCACCGTGAGCTCCGCCACGTCAGCAAGGCTGTTTAACCAACAACCAAGATAAGCGCCCTGCATGTCCATTCGCACTAAGCCTCCAAACCTCACCGCTGGTCCGCGCAAGTGTTGCATGTCAGGCTGTGCTGATTGATATTTATTGACTATCAATGTTCGCCCGCCTTCTTTCTGTACCCGTACAACAACAGCAACGAACATGAAGCCTTGACTGTTGGCATCCGCCATAAACTTTACCCTCAATCACAATTCTGTTTTTCACCGCAATAATCATGGTCTTGATATTTTCCGTTCCCAGTGGCTCGCAAGCGCATAACGTTTGTCTTGTCGCCTTCGCTCTCACTTTCATGTCGCGAGCCAGCTCCGCCCTTGCACAGAGTAAAGTTAACGCAGATGCAAACCCCTGGGTCTTGAACTACAAGTCGAAAGGTCAGCGACCCTTGCCAGATGGTTTACAAAAGCTAACAACAAACAGCTGGTCCTGATGGTATCTTTTCCTACTTTGTTTACTCGTGATTTCTTTTGACAACCTGGTAGGACCATGGAATGCCATCACACAGCTAGTGGACTTTCCCGAGCAGGTTGGTTTCTTCTAATCCTCAGCAGTGCTGCAGGTTTTCTAACGACGTTAACTAGAATGTCACTTTCTTTCCTTCTCTCACCCAGACGAGTCTGTTTATACAAGCCGGTGCTTGCGACACACAGGACTCGGCGTGTCAGCTTCAGAAGACAGGATTGTGGACACAGAGTGGCGCTCACTCGCTTTCCAATTGGGTCAATGTATCTGTCCCTCGAGCGTCGACATGGGATACAGCAGCAGCACCTCTAGACCTTGAAGGATCTGCTGTTCTCACCATAGATCGAATCGTCCTGTGGTCAGCGGATCGTGCTGATGGGCCATATTATCTGGATGGTGTGGCTCTCACTATAGCGTCTAATTATACGGTAACGCAACCGGATACTGATTCTCCGTATACCTTGGACGTCGGCATGGTGAGCAATCGTGATTGAAGAGGCAATCATGTGGACGCTGACAAAGATCGTAACAGCTATCATTGGACACAGCACTGGACACAGTCAACTGGACCACCACCAACGGCTCTGATGTCACCTATAACAAATTCCTCAATCAAGCTTATCAAACAGGAAACATTCCTTCGGTCTCTTATGGACTCCATGTGGGCTCAGTCTGGCCTCTAGTGTCTGGAAGTCTCATACTAGGCGGCTATGATCGGTCTAGATGCATCAGCACGCCCATCGTCTCCGGCGACAATCATTTCTCGCTTGCTGAAATTGGCCTTGAAGTTGCCTCGGGAGGATGGCCATTCTTGAAGTCCGCGAGTATCAACCATGAGCATCTTCTGACGGGCAACGGGACGGGTGACGATAGCACATTGTCAGCAATGCCCAACCCTGGCGTACCTTACTTGTACCTGCCTGACAAGACGTGCTCAGCAATAGCAGCGTTCCTTCCTGTCCACTTTGACCAAAGTCTTGGACACTATATCTGGAATACGACAGATCCGACATTCAAGCAGATCATCTCGTCGCCATCGGCACTGAAATTCTCTTTCAATACAGATTCGGGCCTACAAAACATCTCAGTACCCTTTGCACTTCTCAACTTGACGCTGGATTACCCCCTCTCGAACACGCCGACGCAGTACTTTCCTTGTTCTTCCTATGCGCCGGACGCGGGCTCACCTTACCATCTAGGTCGCGCGTTCTTGCAAGCAGCATTCTTGGGGCAGCACGGCCAGGCGAACAAAACGTTTCTGGCCCAAGCACCAGGACCTGGCATGAAGGCAGCGGTAGTTACAAAGCTCTCTGCTACCGACACGACACTTACAGCCATGGCAAATCCGCCAAGTTGGAATTCGACGTGGACTGACCAGCTCAAGGCACTACCTCAAAGCTCTGCATTGAAGGCGACAAACAAGGAGACTTCCGGGGGTTTAAACAGAGGAGCCATCGCAGGTATCGTTGTAGGTGCAGTAGCTGTTGTTGTGCTGTGTGTGATTGCAATCTTTGTATGTTGGCGTCGTCGCGGATCCAAAAAAGAGCAGACTGTACAATGGGGTGGCCACCAGCATGTTTCGGCAAAAGATGAGTTCCTAGGAGGCGGAGAGATCAGCGAGTCGGCCAGCGAGCCGATTCATGAAGTGGCTGCTGAGCATACAAAGAAAAGTGGCAACAGTAATGGAGTCACAGCCGAGATGGAAGTGCCGACATATATTGGAGAACTGGAAGGAAGCTATGCATATGGGAGAAGCCAAGTTCTGTCAAGAGACGGACAAGGCAGATGGTAGAAAAGAGTGGTTGGGGGAGTACTTCACATGTCAGAGTAAGCATGGCGTTCGGCGAGCCGGGCTGTCGGAGACGGTGACATGTTGCAGCATCTCATCAGAAGCATGCATGTATTCATGCAGGAAGTGTTGAGGATTACAAAAACGCAAACAGGACATGTGCATGGATAAGCATGCTTCCAAGAGTGAAATGGACTTGACTCGGTGATGGGCGGGTCTCATGTTTTGATGACCATTTTGACAGGTCTCTTTGGCGGGCAAGCGCGGGCCCGGCGCAGTCGAGCGTCTCGGCGTCCGAGGGGCGCCTGGTCCAGTCTCGACGGCGTCATAAGCAACGCATAATCATTCCTTTCCCGCATCTCGCCAAGTCGCACCGCATGTCGCCATTGGTTGTTATAGCATGAGCATTCAACGACCGGGTACCTCTTAGACTCGTACCACAGTATCCAATATCCCACAGGCAAGACGATGGCGGCTGGCGATGAGGCTCCGGGCAGCCCGCTACCGAACAAGCGACCACCTCTCGCCCACCGACACTCCAGTACCTCGTCACACGTCTCGCACTCACCGGGCGACTCGACACATAAGGTCAACCATAAACCCGCACACCACAAGCCGCAGCGACATGTCGTCAGCCATCACAACCGCATGGGCTCGCGCAACCCGAGCTTCCACCGCTCTCTGAGCAAGATCAAGATTCAACAACACGACCAGCGCCAACAAGACGACGACGAGCCTCCGACTCCGAGGACGAAACAACAGGCCTCGGTAGCCTCTCAATCGACCTTTGTACCTCAGAGCCCGTCCCGTCCAAACATGAAGCGCAACAACACGTCGATCCACCTGCCGCGCACCCATTCGCATGCCGGCCTCAAGAAGAACCTCTCAAGTGGCCAATTGTCTCGTCTAGGTGCTGGGAAGAGTATCGCTCATGGCCGCAATACGAGCCAGCATCAAAGACCCGACATGCGACGTGCCAATACACAACCCGTCAAGCGATCAAAGAGTCCTGCGCCAAAGGTGTCCCAGGTACAATTCGATGTGGGCAACGATGACGATGACGACGACGGTGAAGAGATGGAAGGTGTCGACGACCAATGGACAGAAGAGAGTGCCTCGGCCTCTCCCAACACAACTCGCGACAACACACGTAACAACACGCGCCAGAACTCGGTCGTTCTTGACCCCCGCCAAAACCCCTACGCGAGACAGCTCGCGGAAGAGGAAGCCGCCAACGAGTCTTCAGGTAGTGACACTGTGGGCTCGCGTAGTCCGCCCAAGCCTGCAAAAGCCCCCGTCACCCTCTCCATCCGCACAAAAGACTTTGCTGCTCCTCCACCAGCTCCTCTCTCCGCGCCACAAACACAACCACAACCGCAACAGCAACAGCAACAGCAACAGCCGCCAACATCGTCATACAATGCTCAGGTAGCTCAACAGCACATGCCAGATCCTGATGCTATAGCACGGCGCCTGCTCGAGAGAAACTCTGCCTTGAACGCCGCGCCACCTAGGGTGTCCTCCATCTCAGCATTGGCCAATGCAAGTCCCGGCGATCCAAAGAGTCTATCGACATCGAACGCCGGACCCAACACACCACTCGTCTCGCGCTTCATCTCCAACGATGGCATGAACAGTAAGGATGGCACGCCAGCCGACCAGTCGGGCTATTTGCAAGGTGCCAAAGGCCACTCTCGCACCGTCTCGCAAGTCCAGACCCGCAAAGAGCAATCAGATCTCTATCGCAATCAATCTACTCCAAACTTCGCCTCGCAGAAACAGCCACCAACACCTACAGGCTCGGGTGCTGTCACCCCGGACCCGGCGCTGAACCAAAGCAGAACACAACAAAAACTATGGCTACAGCGTGGTCTCTCCAATATCGAAGCCACTTCACAACCCCACCTACCCGGTCTGTTACCCACAGGCCGTGCGCAAGCCATGCGCACCCCGCACGCCGGCAAGCAGTTTGAGTTTGTCGACAAGGAATGGGCCGTCGTGCGTCGCTTTCAAAACCCTCTTGATGCCGGTCTCGAACGATTGCGAAAGATGAATGGCGGATCTCTCCCTGGGCGACCGATCAAGTCAAAAGCCGGTGCCGCTCAACAGCATAGCAATAATGGCGGTGTGAATGGACATGCTAAACGACCATCAACTTCTGCATCTGTTGCTAGTAGAAAGAGCAATGCCACTGTTGTAGCAGGCTCAGAACGACCCACTGCAGGCAGGAAGACTCGTGTGAGCTTTCACATGGGCGAGGCTGATGGCGACAACGACGACGATGAACATGACGATAACACATCACGGTCAGACCGTGACACTCCTGCAGATATAGCACGCAGGTTATGGGATGCACCTATTGGGATACAAGTAGAGGGCTAGGTGGACTCTCTACCCACACTAATTTCTACGACTCGGACTTTCCCTCTCATTCTCTTGTTTCTTGTTATTATCACCATTTCTTTGCTTCTCCTTTTCTAACTTTTCCCTGTCCATCTTTGACACACTTTGTACTCTGATTGCACTCTTTCTCCGGCGTCTTTTCTGTGTCGTTGTTGTTGTCTCTCTCTCTCTCTCTCTCTCTCTCTCTCTCTCTGGTTCCTGGTCTTTGATGGTGTACAAGCATATGGCGCGGCGTTTTGGTGGATTGTTCTTCTTACCTTATTCCATTGTCACCTTTCGAATCCGAATATCTATTCATCATTTCAAACGAGTTTTTCTATCTTTGACGCCATGCTCTTAAATTTATCTTCTGACACAATTGCGCAGCAGTATCTCACGTGTAGCCTTTTTTTTGTTGCTCTGCTTGACATGCCGCAGTCAATAACAACCCGTTTTTTTACCAAGACCTAGAATTCTTCCCTTTTGCCTCGGTCTGGATGTGGTTGAGAAGGAAGGTTGTACCAAAAGTCTTCCGGAGAAAGTGGAGAAGAAGGATGTTGTAGTGCGATAAAGCTTCCAGCCGAAAGATCAAAAAACCGTTTCGCTTAGGAACGAAGAGGGTGCTGCGGCAACTGCCATCCAGGTACACGAGACCAGCGATTGGATGACCTGTCTAGAAAGGCTTGAGTTTATCTGAATCATTGGCAACTCGTGCCTTGCTTCTTTGCATGGCTGTTGAAGTCTTCTCGGTTCTTGTGTAGAGTTGCGCAACGTGGAAAGATGTGAAAGGTTTTCAACGAGAGATGGGATTGTGTAAGAAAACAGTCGGCCGCATACGGGGAGAGCAAACAGCACATGTGGAAAGGAAAGGTAATTTCGGCACATGACTACAATGACAACGAAGAAAATGATTGAAGCCTGATAACAACTCCCTATCTCTCCATGTTCTACCTTTCTTGGCTACAATGATGATGGCCGCACAGTAGTATAAGGCCGACCTGGCAGCCAAAGCAGCCCACTGGTAAAGTCGTTGTCCGGGTGCTCTCTTTGCTGTCTGAACGTTCTTTTGGGTCGCCTGTTTGTGCCAATTGCTCGCTTGTTGTTACCTTTACGCCTCGTGTGCCCAGAATCCGTGGCAACACAAAGCCAAAAACCACCAGGACACAAAGTCATGGTTCCTTGGGTTTCGAGCACTGTTCGAGTAGCGTGGTGCGATGGATGCTCTCGTGTGGGGCGCTGCTTCCGGAAACAACGACTGCGCAAATAAAAACTATTGCCTGTAGTTTTCTTTCGCGCCATTCCTACGACTCGGAAATGTAGAAGTACTTGGAAGGGTTTTTCTGATTGGAGATTTTGTTGAACTGGGTGGATGGAAGGAAAATTTGTTGACAAATGTCTCGGTGGTGTAGTGTCTTCACCGCTTAGCAAGTCATGATGGTTTTTATTTCGTGGTAAGTGGCATAATCTTGTCTGTTTACGCCGCCTACAAAATCCTCATTACAAACTTACCGCGGAAATTCAAACGATTCCTTATGACGAGATATATAGCAAAAGAAGGGGGCATATTATTCGGTATTTTACCCCCCGCCATCAGTCGTTTGATATGACGAAAGATTTTGCAATTTCCTTTTCGTTCATGATGTTGTATGTTGTGTGAACTGTTGATCTTTTCATTTTCGATAGCAGCACCGGGTCGTTGCAGGACCGTTTTCTGTTGCGACTGTTGGCTTTTTTTCGTCTGTCCCCCCACATGGGTTGCATGCATGGAGAGCAAGAAGGTTGCACCAAGGACACAACAGCAGTGCACGACCCAGAAGAAGTCTCCGATTTGACAAGACGGAAGCGCCAGGTACCAAAGTCTAATGGTCGCACCGTTCGATCTAGCGCCCGCCTCATGCATTTCTTGCGTGAAATGAGGTGCGACACTAGGCTGAAAGTGGGTGTTTGCGACCAAGCGCATACCGGGAAATGAGATTGAGCACGTTCGTTTTTTCCCGTGCTTTGGTGGCTCTCCACACAACCAACTTGACCTCGTGCCCGCGGCTAAGATTGAGTGGCAGAAAGAGGGCAGCCATGCTTGGATAGGTAGGTCTGAGAGATGGTGAGATTGGGGCTTTTTGGTATATCTTGTGCGGGGATCCTCTCGTATCCGCGAGCCCTTCCTTTCCCTCTTCCTATCGATACACAGTCATTCCAGCTGCAAGACAGTAACAGTCACTCTTTTTCCCTTCTCGGATCTCATCTGCCAACAGCGAGCTGAGCTCTGCACCATCACACTCTTTATCCAACAATCACCATCACACTAGCCAACCTCGAAGGCCTAGTATCAAACGACATTCATTCATTGAACATCATCGCCATTGTCAATTGGACATAGCAATCTCCTCTGATCAATCACTATCAAACAACCCAGCCAGCCACAATGCAATTCACCAACATCCTTCTTCCTCTGTTGTTCGCCATCTCTGGTGCCAACGCTCAAGAGTCGTCAGCTGTTACTTCCGTAACCACCTACTACACCACCTTCACCGTCAGCCGTGTCGTCGAGACCACCACTTGCACCTCAACTACCACTCCCATCGTTGAGCCCACCCCAGAGACCGTCGTTGTCTCTACCTCCCAGGCTCCCGTTCCTACAACCTCAGCTTCCGCCTATGTCACCACTGAGCTCCTCACCTCGACTGTTCAGAAGGTCGCTGTCAGCTCTGCCGTCTCTTCCTCCATGGTTACCGTCCAGTCTCCCAGCGCTTCTGCTGCTATGCCCTACCACCCTTCCAACGGCACCACTGTCGCCGTCTCTTCTCCCACCATTGCTCCCTTCACCGGTGCCGCTTCCGGCTTGACCATTCAATTCGGCGCTGCTGCTGTCATTGCCGCCGTCGCTGGTGTTGCTCAGATGCTTTGAACTCGTCTAGCACACCACCCACCTTCTCTTCTTCTTCTATACCCAACTTTTTTTTTACCTTCTTGGAAAATGCCCCGTCATGTCAGGCTTGAAACACCTTTTTTTCACCCATGTTTACTCACATATCAAATTCTGTTTGTATAATGTTTTCCATTCCGCTTTGCCAGCAAAAAGCTCAGTGGTCTTGACTATACATTTTTTTCCTTTTCTCGTCACTCTCTCTTTTGTCAGACTTCCTCTGCCAACCTCTTTTTTCTACACCAAATTTTCATGAAGAATGAAACACCATTGAAAAGCGAACGACATTCTTTTTGGCGTTCGGATAACCCTTTCTTTTTTCCCATTTACTTCTTTTTCTGGTGGAGATACCCATGGGTGCCTTGTTTTGGAGCAGGAGAAGTGATGTCTTTTTTTTCTTTTATCTTTCCATCTATATATCGATATTCCTTGAATCTTTGATGCATATGTCGATTATCAATTTTTGCTCCCACTTAGTGTCTGCACTATGTGAATGTCTCGTATCTCTCTATACGTTTGTCAATAACAAGAACGTCATTGTTTAAAGCAATCTAGACAGGGAACTTGAAGGAAGGAATGTAAATGATACCTTATGACAGGCATCCAATCGTCATGTGTGCATGTGAGGCTCTCAGATCCAGCGATCGATCGTGGATCACGTTTGTACTTGGCTACACATGTCTCCTACCCTTGATAGGCTACAACAAATCCAAGCTGTCGACGTCATTGAAGTAAATGATGGGTGTCCGGTTGATGCTGCACGCCTGATCTTCTTCCGTCGGCTACCCTGACAGCGATCTTCTGAGCACGTTCATGACACGATTATAGCATGGCATGGTTTACGACACAGGTGCTGTGATCGCACGTTCCATGGTTCATTCACATCAGAGACATCAGAGATGTCGGTAGAGAAATCTATATCTGGTATGAAACAACTACTTGTCAGAGTATAAAGATGTCGGAAACCTGATGTTGTGTTTCGTCATGGACGTTTTGGGATGCGGATTCTGGGGTGTTGATCTGATGCAAACATGGGGTTTGTGATCTGATATGGGTGATCTTTATTCGTGGAGATGTTTCAAAGTTGTTGTGTTTGACACAATTACTATTCGTAGGTGCTTTGTCAAGCTTCGTGAGACTTTTGGTTCGTTCTTGGGCATGGGCGAAGTGGTTGGAAACGACTAGGGAGGCGGACGGGAATAGGTGATAGCAGAGGTGAAAGAGAACAAGGTGTTCTTAGATTCCTTTTTCCTTCTGCCCATCACGGATTTGTAGATAGAAGCGGTGTACGGAGAATATCTCTATTGATCGTTTGATGATGGCATAACGTTGTCACATGTGAACGATGCAGAGGTCTCGAGACATATAGTGCATGTTGCGTGGTAGTTGTGGTGCACTCGTCCGTACCTGGCTTCAGATTGGATGTTCACTCACCAATACTGACACTGCGTCTCAAGCACCTAGAAAGTTAGCACAGAGGTCTCCTGGATACTCGAGCTGATCTTGAAGTGCATTGAATCCCTCAGGTCGTATGTCGCTGTCCATAAGGGTGTTGTCGATAGGCAGGATAGTGGTTAAAAGTGTCACCCTGGCGGCTGCTCATCAAACGCTCAGGGTGATGTCTGCCCGTGCTGTTCATGAGTATTTCAGTTGAATACCCACGAAGCCAGGTCGACGTGTGAGATGTATATGACTATCAAAGGATGAGTAGACATATGAAAGAGATCCTGTTATCTGTGTGACGTGGCAACACCGCGACGCGCGAGAGCAGAGCCACCGACAATCAGACAACCAATGGCCCGTGGGGCAAGAAGCACAGTCCTGATATTCAAGTCTCAAAACATGTTGTCGATCACATCTCTTGCTTCAAAAAACGTGATTCATACATACATTACAGAATAGTACTTAATTAGAGGACGCAAGAATATAATCAACGCCTAGACGTCCGGCATGGGTCTCTCAGCATCCAGCGCATATGCTTCAAAGGGCAGTCCTCTCATGACTACTTCTCCGCGCTCGTTTCTCTCGTACAACTGAGGTTCAAAGCCTTGAACACTCGCCCACGCGGAGAACAAGCGTCGCCAATAACATGCTGTTGCAGCTGATGTAAGGTAACGTTCGTGAAAAGTCTTGTAATTATTATGCGCGATCCTTTGGCCTTCATATTCGTGATTGGTGTAATATGTCATCTGTGAAATACAAGGATTAGCACTGGATACTTGAAAATGCTTCAACATGCCTTACCTTGTCATTTAGATCTGACCAATCTCTCTCGACCTCGATGAAGTTCTGCTCTGGACCACTAGACTTCATAACACCGTGGTGATGCTCAAGCCATTGCAGTTTATGAACAACAGGAGCGCTGTTGCACAGTTGCAGGTACTTTAGGCGTCCCGAATATGTGTAGCCCTCCGTATGTATCGGGAACTTGTAGCGACAAAGTTGGTCCTGTGTCATGCAGTACTGCTTCGTCTCGGGCTTGTAGATATCGCAGACTCTGACATCACCCCATGATGTTCCCTCGGCGGTGCTGATGAGTGAATTGCGGATATCGGGATTCAGGTTCGCGTCTCCACGCCATACAGCCTTGTTGTGCTTCTTCTCCCAAGGATAGTCGCGGTTCATCTGGCGTGCTTTGCGACGGATCTGGTTGTGACTTGCCACACGTGCAGATGGCCAAGCCCAGTAGGCATAATCAGGAAGAAGCCAGATGTGCCGTTGATGTGCCTGTCTGGTGAGGCCCCAGACGGTCGTCTGATTGGAGCCTTCGCCATGCGCGATATTGATAGGTCGTTGTGGATCATCGTCGAGGTCGAGGATGAACTCTATATTTGGGATTGAGTCCGGTGGTGCTGTAACGATGGACTGATGGATCATGTGTAAGAAGCCGCTGGTTCGTTCGTGCCATCGCCCCATCCAGCAGTTCTCATTCTGCCGGCCTTGAATGATGAATAGCTGTAAAGTCAAGGTCAGCATCCCGCACAGGAGACCAAGAATGAGGCGCCAAGATCATACTTCAGAGTCGTAGACGAGCACGCGCACAAGACACTGGTCATCCTTGATTACCAACTCCTCGAGTCGGACCGGGTTTCCTTTGCGTGATGCTACAGCCGATTCGATGTCTCCATAGAGTTCTGGAAAGGCTGCGTTGCATTGCTGCGTAGATAGACCATGATTCGAGGCATCGCGAGGAAACTCATACCGCCAGCCTCCGAGCGAGCCAGTGTGAGACAAGAGCCACCATGTTCCCAAGAAGCCGAGTAGGAGCGATGACGCAGTTTTGTAGCTCAACACAGACGGGCTTGGTGCCATGGTTATCCTGAAGTCTCTGGTCGAAGAAGATCGCAAAGACACCGAAGGGACATGACTGGCATAATAGACAACAACTTCCTGGGCGCACACCCCCTAGCAAAGTGGGAGATGACCATGTTGGAACAAACCTGAAGTGAGACGTTCAGGATGAGGAGGAGATAACGGGCATCGATAATAACGTTTCTGCCAGCTTCGCCGTTCACATTGATGTCTCTCCTTACTATTGCTGCTGCTGTACGCAACATGAAGCCAACAAGAGTGCTCAACGTCCATGTTGCCTTCGGTACTAGTCTGGTTCCCCATCTCTCGGAGGCCATACGACAAGCTGCGTCTATCCATGTTTGACACACGTTTGATCTTCCTCATGAGAAACACCCATTACCTATAAATTCAGGAGTAAGCAGGCAGTGCAAATATATAACTGGCTGGCAAGTGACATCTGGCCAGAAAGATGCAGTGTTGACGTTTAGACATGAGCAAATGGCGCCATTCCCCAGGGGCTGGCAGCAGGTTCATGTAGAATGTACATTGACGAAAACCCGGTTATGATCCGCTACAAGTACGTCTAACACAAATGTCGCTTGGCCCGAGTCTATAGAATATTTGGAGATGCGCCACCGCTGGAACCAACGAGTTGACGAAAGGTACCGAATAAGTGCTGCAAGCTGTCTGCAATTCATCTTCACACTCCAGGACATGTAGCAATGGCAATCGGTGTGCCATTGCTACGGGAGGGTGCTGAATTCCATCACTACTGCATCGTCGTGCAGGATCATGCACGCTTCGTTGAGGCTGGCTGACACTTGGCAGCTGAATGTAAACGGCGGTGGTAGCTCCGTCGATCCTGCATCTCTAGTCGAGCCATGATACGAGAAGGATTCTGGGAAGATTTGCGGCGCATTTGGAAAGGGTGCCGCCAATTTGAACGACAATCCAGAAGGCAAGCGCGTTTAGTAAAGTAGTGTTGAGGTAGGCACGAAGAAGCCAAAAGTATCGGTAGAATTTCGGAAGAAGGTCCGTCCTCATCGCCGCAGCGAACTTTGCTGTGTAGCAGGCTCGTAACCTTTTAGAAAGATCGCACTGAAATCTCGGGTCGTGCAAGCAACAAAGTTCGGTGCGAATCCTGAGCGGCGACTCCTATAGATCGTAAGATGTCTTGGCAATTAAGGTGTGGAACTGGATCTGGAGCTGAAGAAGGTACCGTACATGCATGGAAAACGGTTTGGCTGAATCCAGGAGGCTCGGGCAATGCTATCATGAAGCCAACGACTGGAAGATACTTGATCAAGAATACTCTACAGTGAAGCGGATTGCTACTTCTCAAAGCAATTCGACCGTTCCCACCGCCCTCAGGTCTCTGCTGCTGAAGCCGACCTCGATTGTAATTTGACCTGCAGGCACTATCCAATTCTGGCTCTCAACGTCCCAGAAACTCAAGTCTTTCCTGCTCAAAAGAGACTCTACTGTTACTTGTTGTCCAAATTCCAAAGGGATCTTCTTGAAGCTACGAAGCATACGAATAGGTGTTCCAAGTGGGACCGAGTTTTGGGGCAGAGAGACATAGAGCTGGGGGATAGCAGCTCCATTCACTTTCCCCGTGTTCTGCACGTCTGCGCGGACAGAAAGCAGTGGGGTATACAGATCCGGATTGCCGCCTGGCTTCACCGCTTGATCTATCGGTTTTGCACTGATCACTTGTTGCAACTTGGTGATTGAGACATTCGGCGCAAGAGAAAAGCTCGTGTAGCTCAAACCGTATCCGAACTCGTAGAGTGGGGTGATGTTCAGAGCGTCATATCGTCTGTAGTCAACTAGGAGGCCATCGGTGTAGTCATCCTGCCATGCGTTGCTGTTATTCATGAATGGGCCCGTGATGTTGACAATCGACGGACCACTGTCCTCTTCGTTCTGAGGAATAGTGTAAGGCAGTCTTCCAGACGGGTTGACGAGACCGTAGAGAACGTCGACTATCGAATTGCCCATCTCTTGGCCAGGGTAATGAGCTGACAGGATGCCTTGAACTTTCGTGTTGTTCGCCCATGGCATTGTGTTGACTCCTCCCGAGTTCAAGATCACGACAGTCTTGGGACAGAAAGATGCGACATTGTTGACGACCATAGTTGAGTTCCAATCGGCTTCGAAACTGGTTCGGTCGACTCCTTCGCTTGCAAAAGTCTTCAGAAATATAAGACAGATGTCCGGGGTCGGATACACGCTGGTCGGCTCGCTCGCAGCGAGAGCGTCATTGTCAGTAAGCCATACTATTCTGGATCCATCTGCCTTCGCCCTGGTCTTCAGCGCCTCAAGCGGAGATACGACGTAGGTCGCACGCCCTGTACCTGATCCACCTCCGACGAGGAGAGCACCATTCTCGGATGCGCTAGAGCCGGCGTTATAGAGACTGGTAGGATCAGTCGCTCCATTACCGAAAACACCGATGACAGAAGGTTTATCGAGCGGAAGAACATCGTCTTCATTCTTCAGGAGAATGGTGCCCTCGGCGGCGATCTTCCTGATCAATGCGGAGTGATTGCTTCGCACATCTCGCGCAGTGGTGTTGAGAACGATGTGGTATCCGTACGAGGCTCCAAGCAATGCCAACGAAGTTGGGTCAGTTGACGGGTAACCTTGGTCCTGGCCAAGATGAAAGTAAGGTATCATGATCCTACGCACCATATCGTCCAATTTTTCCAAAGGATAACTGCCATTGGCAACCAGGTTTGCCAGATTTTTTCCAAAGTAAGACTCGGAATTTAATTGGGATAAAGGTCCTGGCATGTTCATATCCAATCCAGCTGTGGCAGACTCCAGACCTGAGTGTACAGCAAAGAAGTCAGACATGACGTATCCTTGGAAGCCTAGTTCTTCTCTCAGAAGATCGTTCAAGAGGGGTCCATTCTCGCATGTGTAAGTCTGATTGACTCTGTTGTATGCACACATCACCGACGCAACACCTGAGCGAATAGCCTGAGCGAAAGGCCAGAGATATAGCTCATGCATCGTACGGTCGTCGATGTTAGCAGACAGAGCGAGGATGTTAGTCCCGTTAGATGTCTCAGTGTTTGATCGTTGAGTTTCCTGTTCGTTGCCCACGTAGTGCTTCACACAAGCTTGCACGCCTGCATCTTGTACACCGAGGATAGTTTGTTGTGTCGCGATCGCATTTAGATGTGGATCTGGTCCAAAGCCCTCCCAATTGCGACCTCCGAGAGGATGACGGCCTATAGCACCAGACGAAGGACTATGGTCCCTGGTCAGCGCGAAGTTCAATCGAGTTGGACGATGGGGAAGATAATCTCACCCAAGGTAAACATGTGCACCTTTGCCTCTAAATTCCTCGCCCAGAGCAAAGCCTCGACTGTACATGAGATCGGGATCCCAAGATGCCGCGATTGTCAACCCAGCAGGGAACACACTTGCTAGATCGGCTGTGCGGATACCAAGAGGACCATCCTGAACACAGAGCCCAGTGAAGCCGACACGGTCAATGGGCGCGATGTTGCCGATGCAAGATCCCGCAGTAAGATTCCCGGTGACCATCGACACCTTTTCGGCCAGGGTTAGGTTTCGCACGAACTCGTCTGCTTTGTTAATCGCTGCTGACCAGTCTCGTGAAATAGACCACAGTGGTCCTCCAGCCGCGAGGGTAGATTGGCCATGTCCTTGCGTCGTGGTGTAGAGCACCGAACTGCAAAGAAGGAGTTTGATAGTGTTGGTCTGCGGCATCTTTCTGACTGTGTCGATTGAGGAGCAACCTAAGTCCACGCATGTTTTCAAGCATCTTTATACCTTCGAGCGTTGGACACGGGCTCCTAGTTAGCCGAGTGATGATGATATTGACACCGCAGTAATGCTGCAGACTAGATAAAATGCGTAGCAAGACAATGTAAGGCACAGGCCGAGGTGTCACTGCTTGAAAAGTATACGGCCACCGTATTCTTATACGATACGGCGTATCCCGTATCCATTAGAGGAGTTCGTCGGACTCGGAGCAAGAGCTCTTGGAGCTTACTGGCACTTTGAGCAGACAACAACTACACTCGACGCCAAGGTAGGCGGGGGGCCGCAGTCCTTCGCTGCTCGCACGATCGCAGGTCTTCTGATCGCTAGATTGACTCTTTGCATCCGAGTCGACCCTTCGCAAATCGTGTTGTGGACTGACTCACAGCTCCACACGACGAGTGTTTCTGAGGAGTCGAGCATGTGTTCATGGGTTGGAAACCGTCAAAGCTCGAGCGGAGTTGCCATTGAGAAGTCCCATCGAGTTGCTAGGGTCGGGGGGAGAGAGGCAAAGATCTCGAGCGTATCATCCTCCAACTTCTAATGATTTTCCTGGACTGGGGTGACTGTTACACAGAAGTATCATGTTCTCGGGAGCGGCGAGACACAATATCCAACTGGTTATTGAAACGAATATGATTTTGTATTCAACATGAGAATGATACACTCACGATCTATAGTGCTTCCCGACAAGCTTTTGCCTCTTTTTGTAAGTCACAAACGCTTAAAACCAACGCTATGCTCGAGCAATAGATAAAACCAGACCGGCTTCCTCGCCATATATACAAGAGTGGGCGGCCAATTTTGTCACTTCTTGTCTTTATTCTTGCTTCTCCTTGGCCTCTTTCTCGCCCTCTTTCTGAGCCTTACCTAGTTTACTCTTTTGGCGCTTTTCTTGAAGATACTTCCAGGATCGCGTTGGACCTGCGGTGAAGAGTCCTTTGATAGACTGACTGGTACTCGGCCAGCTGATCGTATCCTTGATGCAATCGCCGACTGCCTCGGGGATGTCCTCTTCGGTACCAATGCGACGCTCAAAGTCACCACCTTCACGACGTCTGATGCTCATAGCATCTTCATCTGTAGCGTCTTCGATAACCTTGTCAAAGGCTGATCCAGGGATCTGGAACTTCTTCTGGTAATTCCAGTAGAGCTTCTGGCGGAAGCCCTTAGGCAAACGGCGGACCATGTTTCCGCGACGCTTGGGATCCATGTCTTGCTGCAGCTTGAAACCTTCCAGACCACCAATAATATCCTCGGCCGGAACGGCTTTTCCAGAGGATGAGAGAGCGTTAGCAATGGCGGCCTCTGTCTCCCAACCATGCTCTGCAGGAACCCTTGAGTCGTTGAAGTCTACGTTGGGGAGATTCTCGATGAGAGGTACATAAAGCTGACGGAAGCTCGGCAACTGTGCGTCAACGATATTGGCTACCTTGCGTGGGTTTTCACCGCCAAACCTGGGGTTCATTCTAGGGTCACCCATGTACGAGATCCCAGCGATAGTCGTATAGAGTTGTCTCTCGGTGAAGTTTTCGGGTAGCATGAGCAGAGCCGTGCGTACAGCAGCCATAAGATTGATCTGGTTTGCGAGTCTGACTCTCGGGTCATCCCTGAGAATTTTCACGGGCTTTTGCAGACGACCAGCCAGGTAGAGGGTGTTCCACTCACTCAAATCTCTGCAGATTGTATCGATGTTTACAACACCATATTTGATCATGACACCGTTGACTGTGATGTAAGGGTTGAAGTAGACTCCAGCACCAAAGCTATCCTGGACCTTGGAAACGGTGTAGGATCCTAGACTCTTCAAAAAACTGTAGTGATGGGGATTTTGGCGCATGTTGGTCGAGTGCCAATGCTCAGTGTGAGAGACACCAAAGATGAAGTCAATGATCTTGCCTCCTCCTTCCTGCCATTTGGTCACGGCTTCCGGTGGATGAGGGTGAGGAGAGAAAGACTGGGCGACACTAGCTGCTGACTGGTTCGAGGATTGTGTGAAGACACCACTGCCGTAGGCGAAAGCGTAGCGGATGGGTGCACGGAACTGCCACAGGATCTGGCGCATAGCTTCCTTGAAGTCTTCATTGATTTTTATGTGCTGGTTTGTACCGAAGAAGCGGTGGGGAAGTTGTGAGAAGGTGGTGATCTGAGAGTAGTCGGCATTGTCCTCCCAGCCCTCAGGCATGGTCTGGTTTGGAGTGGCCGCCGCCGAGGACTGCGGACGCGATGATGGTGTAGTCGATGCATTGGAGGACCCGGTTGAAGAGGTGGTGGAAGTGGAGGACGAGTAAGGAGAGCGAGCAACGTATTGTCGCAGTAAAAAATCCGTAGAGCTGAGCTGACTATGGTAGAAGGAAGTAGTTGGCAAGCTACGACGTGCCGTAGGAGGTCGGACAGCACGGAAAGTCTTGAGGTCGAGTTAGTCAGGCTCAAAGCTGCGTAGATGTGGATATGGTCATACGGAGAGCATTATTAAAGCTATGGATCGAGTAGCGCAGGAGGGGTGTTACAAGCGGCTTTTTCTTCAAATGGCAGCCAAGGGTTATATAGAATGTAGGAAGCAGATGGGTGTGTCTAACAAGACAGCAATCAATACATGGCAGGAGCAGTACAATGTTACAAGAATAGGAAGATGCTGAGTAGGAAGGAACAGTCGTAGAGACAAAAGGACAAGAATGCAGGATTACGAAGGAGCTGGAACCTTTGGAAGAAACACCGGCTAAGCAACAAGCAAGCGCCGACCACTTTTGCGTCACAAGCTGGGGAAGGCGCCCCACCTTGTGCCTGACACTACCTTGGCAATCACGTGTCAGGCCGGAGCTAAGCTTTCGGAGCATCGATTGTGTTTGTTGACGCGCTCAAGAAAGCGAACAGCAGACTTGACAGGCTATCAACTCGCAACTCGTCGGACCCAGACTTTTCTGCAACGCCTGCCCCGTCGCTGGCATCATGGCCGCTATATCGAGTCTGGACATGTCCATGCTGACATATTCTGCGCGACTGGCAACATTCAATACGGAACATCAACTCACAAAGCGACGCGCCTCGACTCAAAAGAAGAAACAAGCGTCGACTGTCTCATGGCCTCACGAATCTCCCTCCGGCGAAGAGGTAGCGTATCCGTATATCTGTGCGCTAGTGTCAGAGGCTAACATGCACAGCTTGCTCGCGCCGGCTTCTTCTTCAAACCTGCACCGGACAGCGACGATAATGCTCAATGCTTCCACTGCGCCGTAAAACTCGATGGATGGGAGAGCCAGGACGTTCCCCTCCAGGAGCATCTGGCTCACTCGACACAATGCTCTTACGCACTCAGTCTGTCTGTGATGGACAAGGCCGAAGAACGCGACCCTATGAGCCGCGAGTTGGTCGACGCCCGTACAAGCACCTTTGGCGACATGTGGCCCCACGAGCACAAGAAGGGATGGAAACCCAAGGTCAAACAAATGGTCCAAGCCGGCTGGGCCTATGACCCTTCACCAGCCGACGAGGATGGTGCCACATGTTTCTACTGCAACATGTCACTGGATGGATGGGAGCCAAAGGACAGCCCGCTTGAGGAACACCGTCGCAGGGAACCCAACTGCCCATTCTTTGCCCTCATGGACCGTTACAAGTCTACAAGACGCAAAGGTGCGCGCGGTCGTGCTTCTACTGCCTCGAAGGCCTCCCGCTTGTCCACCCAATCCGTCCAGTCCACCTTCTCCGAGGCTCCATCGCTAATGTCATTGGGCGACGCAGGTCCCCAGCTTGACGTCGAGGATAGCATCGCCCTTGACACCACTATTTCGTCCGACGCCGGAAAGGGCCGTAAGAAGACTACCAAGGCAAAGAAAAAGACAAGCCGTCAGGCGTCCGTGGAGCCCTCGGTCGACTATCCCGCCCTGCAAGAAGCTTCAGAAGTCGAAGACAACATATACGCCGTTCCCGTCGACGACGTGCCCTTATCTGTCGAAGAAGCATCCAAACCCAAACGTGGTCGCAAACCTAAAAATACGCAAGATTCCACCCTCGTTGACGATTCCACGGCCGAGCCGACATTGAAGCCCACTCGAGGTCGCAAGAAGGCAAAGAAGCCGACTCCACCCCCTGTTGAAACCAGTCTGGACGAGAGTCAATTGCAGTCCGAACTACAGGAGGCCGCGGAAGATGCTGTTGTACCACAGAGCCGCGCTTCCAGGCCTGGACGAGGCACCAAGAGAACGAGCGACGGCCTCGAAAAGCAAGCAAGCATCGAAGACGCAATTGTCGACGAGCCCTCTATCAAGCCTAAGAAGGCGGCGAAGGCCGCAAAGCCCAAGAAGACCAAGAGAGCTGCTAAAGACACACAAGAAGAGTCGGAAGAGCCTGTCACTATTGCGCAACAGGAGGATCAGCCCAAACGAACAAGGTCCAAGAAGACCAAGAAGGTCGAGCCGGAGCCTGAGGTAGAGCCTGAAAGCGAAGCACAAGCAGAAGAGGCTGAAAAACAGGTCGAGGCAGAAGAAGAAGCATTCGAACGGAATTTTGAGATCGCCGATAGCGACGCCGGTCTCGAAAATGAGATACAGCATGACATTCGACACACAGTGGAAGAGGAGGACTTTGATCAGGAGGATCTCGGCCCGGATGCTGTACCGAATGTCGACATGGAACTTGAAGACCACCACACTTCTGACCATCTGGAACGCCAAGACGAGGCTGCGTTAGATGAGGAGTTTGACAATCTGGAGAATTTACAGCCAGAGGCGGAAGTCGTGGAGAACGAGATTGAGATTGAGGAAGAACAAGTTGCGTCGCGCGAACCAACGCCTGCGCCTGAAGAGTTCGAGCCTTCACCAACACCTGAGGCCAAGCGTCACTCCGCAGCCTCTCAGTCTTCTGTGCGAAGATCCGTTGCACAACTCCCACAGTCCGAGGACGTCGCGCAATCTGCTCAATCGACACCATGTAGCGCAAGGAGTCCGCAGCAATCCGATGCTGAGAACCAACCACCATCCTCATCGACCCACGTTCCGCTCACTGCTCAGAAGGGAGCTGCTAGCTTAAGTACATTGAACTCTGCTATCCAACCCAAAGAGATCTTCGCAAGCCCGACAAAGACTACTCGAGTTCCTCTGGCCGCATCTACACCCAATCGTTCTCCATCCCGGCGATCACCATCCAAATTTGGCAGACTGAATTCGACTACATCATGGGTACCTGTGGATCTCGAGTCTGTCTTCTTCCCCGACTCGGAGAATGAGAATGGAGATGCAGACGATGTGTTCAACAGGCTTCTCGAGGTTGGTGGTGCCCTTACTTCACCCGAGAAGAAGATGACGGTGGAAGAGTGGATCCGCTCTCGTGCAGAGTTGGGTGAAAGCAAGCTCAAGAATGAGTGCGAACGCATGGTCATGCTGTTCGAGAAGGAGGGCAACCGAGGTTTGGCGGCTTTGAGCGGCATCCAGACTTCATCATGAGCGATTAAACGAGCAACGAATTTCGTATTCTCTTGGGTTGGAAGGCGGTGCAAGGTTCAGGATGGTGTAAACGCTGCTGATTTCTTCATAATGAAAGTGCTATTTCTCCGAGACTTTTACCGTCGGTTGCATCTTTATCTCGGCTCGTGGCATGTCGCGGTCGGTAATACTGTATTTTGTTTGGTATACGCGTCTCGTGCCTGCATGATAGCTCATAGTATGTCGTTGATCGCCATAATTCGCAAGCGAATGGGGCTGGATAATATACACTTATCGGACCAATCATGGTCTTGTTCACCAATGACACCTTTCTGGCTAAGTTGTCGTAACTGACAAAAGTCGAGAAGTGGCACCAAGGAATCGGGCTGATCTTGATGCAGTGAAATAAGCTGCCGAGGAAGTGTCGACTCTCGAGTGGTTTTCGAAGGAAGAGGAGGAATCCTTATTCATTGCGGACCGAGCGCAGCGGGCCGAACTAAGGCTGACAGCAACCTCCTTCCTTCTCAAGGCTCGGGTCTATCCTCTCTGCCTATCTCCAAAGACAAGACCCTGCTCAAGCTTTCGCCAATAATCTTAGACGAGTCAAGCCGGTTCATGGCACGCCTTTGCGAACGCCTCAGAACCTTGATAATATCGCTCGCCTTCACCCCACTCGCTTCCATGCTGGACCCTATACAACAGGCTGATAAGGCCTGAGTTGTTCTTTACACAATCTGTATTGCATGATGCATATACTTGCTTGATGTTGAGGGTCTTGACACGGCCTCTGAACGTCCTCATCACACAGACTGGTACGCCACCAAGGTCAAGAGTTACTGTACTGATAACGTTCGGTCTCGGCTGAGGCATTGTAATCGATTCGAACAAGCCGCCACAGAAGCACTTTGGACTGAATTGATGTACCGGGCGTTCGAACTCTGATAGGTCTCTCCAGTCTCCAGCTTGTTGTCCTCCGGCCCAGCCCGCATCTCTATATTGACCTTGTGCATGAATTGAGTTTCATGTAGGCGAGCGACACGATGGCTCTTTATCGCGTAGATTAATTGCAAGAGACCCTCCTACATCCAAACAGTCTTGCAGCTATACAGTGTAACGTCTGGAAGCCGAGCGCATATCGCTCCAATGTTCGCTAGACTCTCTGAACGCTGTTCTTCGTATCCGTACCACCACTAGAGATTGGAAGACAACCTTCCCTAGTCCTATCAGCGTCTTTACACCGCTTGAACGGCCAGTCGATCTTCGTCTGGGTATCTGATTGATCTGCTTGCTCGCAATATATGCTTCAACAGACTGGACTTATCAATCAAAACTATCACACAATACGAAAGCCGCCATGAACGAAGATGGAAGGTCGCATCCATCAACATTACTGCAGGTTAGCGAGATACCATTCATCATACCAATCACGCCTTTTCTACGACTACTCGCGTCGACGTGAGGAGTCCTGGCTCTGTCTATAAGATTGAGGTCGTCCCACAGTGTCTGTCTTTGTGTTCATCAGCAATTCCATCGTTCATATCTCGCAGCTACCCTCGTTCTACAAGCCTTCCTCGCTCAAGACTTCATCGTCAGGCACAGTCCATCAAACCAACATGAAGCTCACCAGCGCATTCATCACCGGTCTTCTGTCCGCCAGCATCGCCGCCGCCGCTCCTGGCACTGCCATGCGCCGCAAGCGTACTGAAGCCGCCATTGCCTCCAGCCGTGCCGGTGCCCTCAAAGCACCCAAGCCATTCCTCGCCGCCACCAATGTAACTGCCGCCGTCCATGGACCTGAGAACAAATACGTCAGCTACTCCACCAACTGGGCCGGCGGTGTCCTCGAAGGCTCTGGTTTCAAAACCGTAACCGGCACTTTTACCATCCCCAAAGTCACTGCTCCTTCTGGTGGTAGCTCCAGAACTCTGTACTCGGCATCTGCTTGGGTGGGCATTGATGGGTACTCCTGCTCTTCTGCTATTTTGCAGACTGGAGTCGACTTTAGCATTCAGAATGGTGCTGTCACTTATGATGCTTGGTATGAGTGGTTTCCCGACTACGCCTATGACTTCACAGGCATCAGCTTCACCGCCGGTGACAGCGTCACCATTACTGTAACCGCATCTTCCAAAACCGGTGGTGTGGCTACCATCAAGAACAATAGCAAGGGCACTTCTGTCAGCCACTCCTTTACTTCTCAAACGTCTGGAAGCCTGTGCCAGACTGATGCTGAGTGGATCGTCGAGGACTTTACTCAGATCCAGAATGGACAAGAGAGTCTTGTTCCTTTGGTCAACTTTGGCACTGTCACTTTTACTGGTGCTTCGGCTACTACGAACAGTGGATCCAAACTTGGTCCTGGTAATGCTGAGGTCATTGATCTTATCTCTGCTAACGGGAAGACTGTTTTGACTGACGTTACTGTTGGTTCTTCTACTGTTGCTGTTGTCTACGGATGAGCATCTAGTCAAGACTTCGAGGGCAGACGACAATTGTAGTGCTTGTAAAGTATTGTTCATACAAGAGGATACATCGAGCCTTGATGCCCTTGGTGGTGGTTGTATAGCCGTATCTAGATCAATACTTTTCTGACCACGTCCATTCTCCGATGAACACCACCTCCGTCCATGATACCTATCCTTAGCCTCCGCCACACCCGTACCATACTCCTCATTCTCTGCACCACCCACACCCTCCCTCACCAACATCTTCAACGACTCCAGCACAAAATCCCGACAGTTCCAGTATACAGTTTCATTTTTCAACATTCTGAGCCTCTGCAGCTGTTTTCAACACATCTATAGTAAACTCATCATCATCATCAGCCAGCAAGATATCCGCAACTTTGATCATCTTGTCAAAACCTGCACTTTCGTGTAGTGATAATTCAAAGGGCGTCATATTCGAAATGCGGAGATTGCCCAGTGACTCGGATACAATATAATACACCTACCTTCCTATTCAGACCACATATAGAGTCTACAGGATTTAATTGGGTTGTTCCCCTAATCACTATCACAAACTTCTGACAGCATCATCTCTACTGTCTATAGCCATCTTCCCATACCTTGTCTGAGGAGCCAATCCTTCGAATCCGTGTGGCACCCTTGGCCAGACGTGCAGCTCGACTTCGACATTCTTTCGCATCAACCTCTGAGCATAATCAAGGCAGTCGTAAACGAAAATATCCAGCGAGCCAACGTCAAGGTACGTGCTAGGAAGGCCACCAAGGTTGGTTGCGCGGGCAGCCGCACCATAACAATCGATTTCTCCCTCTTTGTCGCCGATGAGTGCCTTCCAAGCGGTTTCATTATTGTCGTGCGACCAGGTAAAGAAATTCTCGACCTCGGGGTTTGGAATCATGTTACGGTCATTTATCATTGGGTATACCCAAATCTGCTTGGCCAGGGGAGGCGAGGAAATGGAGTCTCCATATATCGTGCCATGATAACTATTTGACGAATTGTGGGCCCTGAGATGACAGATTGCGGCGTTGATTAAATAGATCGATCTGATGTCCCAATTTGATTAGGCTGTGCCGTACCGACCAACATTGAGCAACATGGTCAAACAGGATGTGTGTCTACACTGGACTCCGAGGCGCTTACCGAGACAAGGTCCGCAGAGCTGGACAACCAACAGTATATGGCATGATTTACCAGATCCTGAATATCAAACATCAAACAGCAGAAAGGTAGAGGAACGAGCATCTGGGACAGACTATTGAGCAATCATCGATACAGACAACGCAACTCCGGAGACGGCGCTCGCACATAAGATACGAGAGAACTATCCAACATGTGGGATACTGACTGACCACTGAGGAATAGCATAAGCCATGGTCGGCAACGATCTCAACTCCACAAACGCTTCCACCACCAGAAACGCCCTAGCCAAAAGATACACAATCCCACACATGGAGCAAAGAGCAGTGATAGCCATGGTCAGTATCTGTGAGGCTTCTCCAATCATAACGTCATACCACGTCCACCATAACCTAGCAGAGACTTCAGCCAGAACATGTAGAAAGGCCCAAAGCAGACCAGAGAATCCGATAAACATGGATGAGAAACGCCATAACCATGCTTCTGCTTCGGAGGGGAAGCTGGCGTGCCATGCTGCTATGTGCACGGCGCTAAAGATTATACTGGCGACCCAGAGGACGGTGCCCATTATCAGGCCACCTGTTGTACGGACCAGCCCGTCGTGGGGCCAGTCACTGGCGGTGTGGGAGACGAGATTTTGTGTATCACATTCGAGCCAGGGTGAGATATTCTGGAGCATTGCTTCTCTGTCTCGCTCTTTGCGGCAACGTTTCGGCATTTCGGGATATGCTGCTAGTGCGGAGGCATACTTGCGGTCTGTTTCGCAAACTGGTCGGCGAAGAAGTGTGCGAATGGCGGGATATTGCTGTATCGCAGAGCAAGCGAGTCGTAGACGGGCTTCGGCTTGCTCCTTCCAGTCGACGTATGTGTTCTCCCGAGCAACCTCTTCTTCGTACAATAGTGATATCCCGGTCTTGGTTCGTACCTGGACTATGTGGTCGACCTTATCTGGCTCGCGCTCCGAGTAACCACGATTCTTGACATGGACTGTGCCATCTTCTGATTCGATACGAAACTTCAGAGTTGTAATCTCTGGCTGTTGCAGCTCGACCTGGAATCCTGGAAGCGCAGAGCTGGTGACTTCCTCGACTCGACTTGACATGACCATGAAGGCTGCTAGAGGAGCGGTCCAAGAGCCTGTGAGTACATTCGGCTCTTCGATTCTGCGAGGTTTGTGCCACCAAAGTGCGTACAGTACCAAAGCACACACAACATGGCCGACCACTGTCACCTCGAGCAACGTTATAGGTAGACTACAGGCCAATCTAGATATGATCTGTATGGTGAACCAGCCAGCCTGAAGACAAGCGACCAGTTTACCAAGCTCGTCAACTTTACTCTTGTCTGCGATATCCTGAGCCGTGATCTCCGGGAGATGCCCGCATGAAGCAAGCAAGAGCACACCTTTCGGCGTAAGCGTGATGCGCTGTGTCTTTGACCAAAAGGTCTGGGATTCGACTTCGAAAGATTTGTTGCAGTCAAATGCGTATCCGCCCATGACAGCGTAGAATCCATGTGCCAAAGAGAAATCATATGAAGTCAGCTATTGCGGTGTCAGTCGTACACACTTTGATGTAAATGATGACTACCCTTGCCTCTTCAATCTCTCTCTTCAAGGCTTTTGCGGATAGTAGCTGTCGCCAAGCCGCCCAGATAGCGAGTTCTGGTCCGAATATGCCAATGCAACACCAGTATAGATATGGAAAGAGCTTTTCGGTATTGGAGCTTGATTTTGCTGGTAAGTTAAGGTGCATCACCGACCATGAGCAGACAAGAAGTGTAGAGATGCAGGGCAATAGTATACCCCATGATCCTCTGATATTCGGCTCATTGACCCAGCCTGTCCGAGTTGAGTTGACTGAGATGGTCGCATTGAACAAAGAAGTACCCATTACAAACCACTCGACTGTGACTGCTGGGTGTTTGTGAAGACGGTTGTCATCTGCTTTTGTGGTCCTGTAGTTCTCATCTCCATTGACCTACCCTGGGCGTCTAGCATCGTGGGCGGCAAATCTGCAGCTCACAATGCATACACGATCATGTTTTGGGGATGAATGTTTGGGTAGCCGCCGTAAGTATACCAAGTCCTGAAGTCGTACTGAACGCTGAAGCTTGTCAAGTTGAACAATGAGCTCTGAGCTCGAGAAAAGAGCTGCGAACGATCATCTTTGCGAGTCTAGGCGACAGAGTCTCTCCGATCTTGTACAAGGCAGGACGAGAAATGTACGGCGACATTCTGTGAAAAGTGTGATGAAGCTGGAAGCCTTGCATGAGACGTGGGGCTCGACGGCGCGTCCCGATCAAGTGCAGCACTTCGCGCGTGGTGGGTACATTGGGAAGGCGCGGATATGAAGACCTTCTCCCTACAGATAATTGTCGCATGTCTGCCAACTTCCGCTGTACTCATTCGAGCCAGAGACGATGTCGAAGCCACTTCTGAGAAAGCCGTCAATTGAGTTGAAGAAGGAACGACTGCTCTTTTACGATGAGATTCGTAAGTCGCACGTTGCTTATCCCGAGCGTCGTTACTAACAATGACCTCTCATAGCTGCATGGCAGAAGTATCTATAATTCAGAGTCGTAATGTCGAGTGCAAATCACTGACGTCTCATAGAGATAATGAGTACTTGCTAACAGGATATCGGTCAGTCTATCATAAATCTACGATGACAAGTCATAAAGCTGACTTCGTGAAGTCCGACTGCAGGCAGTTGGAAAAAATGTCTGAAGAGCGTGCTTGGATGGCATAACGAAACGAGTAAGATATTTGATGGAAACGTCTCAATACATCTCCGGGCTAATCTCAGCTGTAGTGAACATCCACACTCACACCTTCGGCGCAGTACTCTTCGCCCTCCTCCCCTTCCATTTCTACTATACTCTATACCAGCACGTCACAACCGCCCAACCAATCGACGCTATAGTCTTCACCCTCTACTTCCTCGGTGTAGCAATCTGCTTCACCTGTTCAGCAGGCTGCCACATAGTCTGGACCCACAGCCCACCCATCGCCAGTCTAGGAAACCGCCTCGACTTCTCCGGTATCGTAATCCTCATGTGGGGAGCCAGTCTCGCTTCCATTCATTTTGCTTTCATCTGCGATCCTTGGCTTCGCACTCTGCATTGGATCTTGGTGTCGGCAAGTGCTTCTGGGTGTGTGGCGTTCACGATGTATCCAGTGTTTATCAAGCCGGCATTCAGGGCGTTCCGGGCGGCTATGTATGCCAGTTTTGGATTGTTTGCTGTGGTTTTTGTGTTGCACGGGGTCTATCTGTATGGGTTTGCCATGCAGAGGAGGAGGTTGGCGGTGGAGTGGATGGTGGTGATGGCATTACTCAACTTCACAGGAGCGGCTTTCTATGCCTTACGAGTAAGTCGCATTTCCGATGTTGTTGCGTGTGATGCAGTGTAGCTGACGATGAGATGTAGTTTCCAGAAGCGTGGTTTCCTCGTCGCTTTGACTTTTTGGGGGCGAGTCACCAGATCTTTCATGTACTGGTTTTGGCGGCTGGGCTGGTGCATTACAAGGGATTGGCTACTGCGTTCGTTGAAGTCAGAGGAGCGCAGCATACTTGTGGCAGTATTAGCACAACTTAAGGGTAGACACGCCTTGAGGTATAGGTGATGGAAGATTAGAGAATCTGGGTCATACAATACAATACACCTACTCATACATACTTTATAGTTATCCTGGAGATATGCTCGTCATCTCTCAGTTCTCCAAGAGATCAACGACAATGGGTGTAATCCTCTCAACGCCTTGTGCCTTGATTGCACTGATAGGAATAGCATGAAGCTTCTTCTTCCAAGCATTCTTCTTACCACTAGGATGTACCTCTTCACCCTCGGCAACCTTTTTCAAATACTCCTGCAACGCCGCAAAGTTCTCCCTCGTCTCTGGCAAATCAGCCTTTGTCGCAATGACCAACCACGGCTTTGAGGAAATGGGTGGGAGCTTGAGCTCAGGCAAGACTCTCGATCCATCAGGATTGAAAAGCACATTCTCGCCTTCGAAAATGTTTACGGGTTGAGCTTCTACCAAGGGAGAGAAGCGCACCATTTCCTTGTCTTGCTCGATGCGACGTTCGGATTCTGCGTGTACTTCTTTGTCGCGGAGGAGTTCGTACTGGCCGACTTCTTTCCAGAGGCCTTTGAGGGCTTGGATGGCGTCGCCGGCACTGAGGTCGACGACAAAGGCGAGAATGCCGGCGCGTTCGATGTGGCGGAGGAAACCGAGACCGAGACCGCGGTCGAGATGGGCGTCCTCAATCAGACCAGGAATATCAGCGATGGTAAAGTTTGTGCGAGGATGGCCCGTTTTGCGTTCGGATGTTGCGACTAGGGGACGGCCCTTGTGGTTATCAAGGACGACAGTGCCGATGTTTGGCTGAAGGGTTGTGAAGGCCCAGTTGCCGATACGGGCACGACTGTTTGTGATTGCTCGAAGAAGAGTACTCTTTCCAGCATTCGGCAGACCGACAAGACCCACGTCAGCCAGAAGCTTGAGCTCGAGTTGGATCTCGACCTTCATGCCTTCATCACCCTTTGTGCCGTACTTTGGACGAAAGATACTCTTTGTCACGAAATGCGGATTGCCTAGACCGCCCATAGCGCCGGCAGCGAGCAGTTGAGGAGCTTCCATGGGCGCATCGAGGTCCAGACGTATTGGTGCAGGAGGCTGAGCCATGGCAATTTGCGACCTTCTCGGACGTGGTAGAGGAGGGAAGTCGGCTGATGTGAAGGACTGAGGCATGGCTCCAGGGAAGAGCAGCCACTTGTCGCGTCTCCACTTGCGGGTGTTGTCGACGACTCCTGGTTGATCATCGAAGACGGCGTCGGCGCCCATGGCCTTTGCCCTCTTGTCTGCCAGCTCTTCCTCTGCCACGGGGTCGTGTCGCCACACCTCACGGACGATGGTGCCAATGGGTACGGTGATCAAGATGTCCTCTCCTCTTGTTCCTCCCTGCCCTTTTCCTTGTCCATTCTTTCCGCGGCCAGCTTTCAAGATTCCTCGTCGCGCAAGCTTGTGTAGTGACGTTTCTCCTTGGACAGCCTGGATGTAGATGTTTCCTCCCGTTCCGCCATCACCGCCATTGGCAGGGCCGTTTTCAATGTACTTTTCGCGCAAGAAACTGATACAGCCGTGGCCTCCGTTACCCGCGTGTAGAAGAATCGAGCATCGATCGGTGAAGGGTGTGATTGAGTAAGAGTCTGGCGGTGGGTTCAATCGGTCGACTTCGCTTTCCGGTGTGTCGTCGAATGCTTCATCCTCGTGTCCTCCCTGGGTGCTGGATACGGTTGCAATGTGCCTCCTGGTCAGGCATTGTGTGTTTCTTTGCAGTGATGCTCTCAGCACACGCGGCGCGTTGCTTCTATGTGTATACAGGCATGGATATAGAAAGGGCAGCAAAGTTCCATTCGGTGTCATTGTGTTTCGGCGAAAAGTCCCGGACAAAAAGATAATTGTCAGGCAGTGGCAAGCATTCGCAGCTAAAACAGCAGTCTCCATTCTCCATCTTGCGAGACTCCCAAAACGGCAGGATTTGCCGGCGATCACGGCAAGCCGAGGCTTCCTCCGAGCTTACACGCGTGAGGCTTGCCTAGGTCCATCATCCACGTTGTTACCCCTCATGCATCATGCTCTCCCTGTCTGACCTATATATCCTCCTTGTGCTGCATGTCATGACTGAATATTCATTTCATTGGATACCCTCACCATGACAAGCCTTTTGAAAGCCGCCCCCTTCTCCCCCGTCGTTACCGGTGCCGCTCTATTGGTACTACTTGGTAAAGGTCCAGAGTCCATACAGCGACCGGTCTATGATTACCTGCATCAAACACTGAAGCCTCACAACATCGGCCGTCTGATCACTACTTTAAAGTGGCTGTTTGCATATGGTCTGATCAAGAGTGTCAATGAAGCTCTCAACCAACTATGTCGCAACAACTTCTCGCTTCGCTCGAGCAAGGCGGACTGGGATTGGGACAATGAGATTGCGGTAGTCACTGGTGGTTCCTCGGGCTTCGGCGCCCTTTTCACCAAGGATCTCTCAGCCAAGGGCATCCACGTCGTTGCCATGGACATCAACCCTCTGCCAAAACATCTCGAGAACAACCCAAAGATCTCCTTCTTCAAGTGCGATGTAACCGACCCGGAAGCTGTCAACAAGGTTGCCGAAGAAGTCAGATCGAAAGTCGGCCACCCGTCAATTCTCATCAACAATGCTGGCATCGGCGGTCAAAGGACAATCCTCAAGACCACTCCTGCGCAACTCCAGAAACTCATGGGTGTCAACTTACTCTCCCACTACTACACCGTTCAAGCTTTCCTCCCCAACATGATCGCCAACAAAAAAGGCCACGTCGTCACCATCGCCAGCATAGCGTCCTTTGTCGCAACCCCTGGCATCGTAGACTACTCATGCTCCAAATCAGCAGTCCTGGCCTTTAACGAAGGTCTCGGCGCAGAGCTCCGCTCCATCTACAAATGTCCCGAGATCAAAACGACTGCCGTGCACCCCTTCTTTGCAGATACACCCATCATCGCTGCGGGCAAGGCCGAACTCCAAAAGGCTGGCGCCAAGATTCTGGATCCGCAGGATGTTTCTAATGCTGTGGTTGATCAGATCTTAAATGCGAGGGGTGGGCAGATTTTGCTGAGTAATGGCTTTGGACCTGCTTTGAGGGCTATTCGTGGACTTCCTTGGTGGCTGCAGGAGAGCTTTAGAAGACTTACCGAAAGGGATAATTCGCACTATGACAAGTAGCGCGTGGAGGAATAACCTTTTTCTCATTTTGATGTCGGTCGTTTCTGGTAGATTTCTTGATCTAGGCACATACCCTATGTAATGATATTATGCTTTTTATTTCTCCTCAAACTACCTGTGCTTACAATAGAGCAAGCGCAAGACCAGAAAGTCCCATCAGAGCTGCTGCGGGATACTGTACAGCGATGAGTGTAGGGGCGGCAGCTCCAGTGTTTGTGGAAGGTGCGCCGATGGCAGTACCAGTCACACTTCCAGTGACACTACCACTGATCTTGCCAGTCGCACTAGCAGTTCTCGTAGCCACTGCTTCGACCGAAGCAGCGGTAATGGTATATGTCATGTTCCAAGCAGTCCAGGTATATGTAGCGCCACTGACAGGGCTAGTAAGAACACCATTGACATCGCTAAAAGTACCAGTAGCAGAGTGAAGCGGTGTAAGTCTTGCATAGTCAGAAGCATTATTTGCATATTCGGTGAATCCATAGTCGACGCAATTGAAGTTTGCAAGACGAGAAGCACATTGCGAAAGACTGTTGTTGTTGCCTCTACGAGTGGAATCGATGTACTGTTGCTGAAGTGCGTTCAATACAATTGGGCCAGGATCTGCGTCTGGGCAAGTGTCGTAGGTGCTGATGAGTCGAAGTTAGTGGGATGCTCGACTTTCTTTCTTGGGCAAACATTCCCACTCACGTGGCAGCAGCGATGCCGTAGAAACAGCAATCGCAATCAGGGGTGGGTTGCTCTTCCTCGTCGTCTGTTTCACCACGTTCCTTTTGGATTTCTTCCATGCATTGGATATAGCCATCTGTACCACTTTTCTCGAGACTGGTGACAAGAGCGTTGATGTTACAGCTGCATTCTCCAGCGGCTTTAGCAGGGGGAGGGTAGAATGGCAAGTCCAAGACGACGCCTTCGTCAAAGGCATCACTGCAAGAGGTATTGTAAGTCATCAACAGTTGTTGATAATCGCAAGAGTAGACCTAGCATATTCATTAGCAGTGATGAGTGGTGTATACAATAAGCAGGAATACCATACCCTATTCCAGCAGCTCGTGAGAGCACATTTGATTCTTTCCTCCGTGCCCAGGCAGAACGGATCCAGATATTCATTGGTGAAGTTTTGTGATTCCCAACATGTCTGCATCTCCGAAGGGGCAGCACAGTCGGTGAAAGTAAACGGTGTGTTGACAAGGTCGAAGATGGAAACTTCTTGCGGTACCTCCTCCTGTGCATGAGCAACAGCAGACAGAGCTGCAAAGCAACCGACAAGGGTGTATCCAGCGATCATTGTATGAATTAAATATCGCCTCGATAGGTCAAAGGCAAAGATATGAGAGGGTACCTACCACATAAAATACCTGCATTCCTTCAAGGCAACACTCATCTTGAGTCGAAGGATTCAAGCACGGTCGGCTGGGCGGTGTTACATCTAATCTTGCTGTGCATGAGACGAAACAAGCACTCGAGTCATACCTATTAATACGGCGATATAGCTGGATCAATCGCACAATCTAATGTTGGCTGTCAAGAACATGAACCAGTCTGACGATTCTAGGCGTAATGTTGAGCGACAGAAACAGGAACAGGATGTGGTTCCTGTTTGGATCGGCCATGCGACGCGTCTCCGCTTCTTCAACGAGACGACTGTCAACTCAAACACGCGCGGCTTGTCATTTTCCGCAACCATAGGATGCAGTCAGCTGCACAACGTTTCAAAATCATGGGCGGATATGCAAAATGCGAGCGACGGCGCAACCGGGCTTGGGAGAAGTCGATCCTGTTGCAGGAGCTCTGGGCGTAGCAGATCAATCCCTTATCCGATCAAGACATCTTCACTGACGTATTCCCGTCGATGACTGGGAACGTGAGTCAGAATAAGCAAGCTTTTACATACAAGAAGGTCGTCTAACTCTAGGTTCCTCATATACTGTTGGGGTTTTTGTAGCCGACTTATCTTTCCCTATTCTATACAACATTCATTCGTCTCAATCAAAAATGTTCAAAGCCGCGCTGTTAGAGACAATCGACGCCGACCGACAAGATCTCGTCAGCTTCCTGCAATCTTTGACTCGTGCAGACTCATCTAACCCTTCAGGAGACACGATAGCAGCAGCATGTGTCGTTACCACATTTTTAGCTTCCCGAGACGTGCCTGTAACACTCATAGCACCAAAAAGCGATGCACCAAACATCACCAGCACGTTTCCAGCAGTGTCGCAATCACCAGCTCATAGCCGATCTTCATCTTTACACCAATCAGATGCGCACTCTCCCAGTCGAGTCGACTCTCCCTTCAATGACAGCGGCATCTCAAAACCGAATCCTGGACCACGGCTGATCATGAATGGTCACCTCGACGTCTTTCCCATTTCCGAGTCCGAAAAGTCACGGTGGACTCATGATCCCTTGTCTGGAGATGTCGAGGACAATCGACTATATGGACGTGGTGTCGTCGACATGAAAGCTGGAACCGCTGCGATCGTCGCAGCATATACGTACATCTTCGCGCATCGACATCTGTTAAACGGTACTGCTGTGCTTGAAGCAGTGTCGGATGAAGAGAATGGTGGAAAGTGGGGAAGCAAATACCTTCTCAATGACGATGATAGAAAGGATATCTGGTCTGGTGATGTGAACCTCAACGCAGAGCCAACGGGATTGCAAAGTATACGGTTTGCTGAGAAGGGGACTTTACGGATGACATTCACTGTTCAGGCTAGGAGCGCGCATGGAGCATTTACACACCTCTCCGAAGGCGCAATACGCATAGGAACGAGACTAGTCACCGAGTTGGTCAAGCTCGAAAACTTCTCCAGTTTTGACGTCGATCCGGAGATCCGAAGGTATCTGAGCCGCGAAGAGGTCAGAAGTACTATTGATGAGATCATGGGCGCTGGTGCTTCGAACAACATCTTGAAGCCTACTGTCAACATTGGAACTATCAGCGGAGGCACCAAGGTCAATACTATCCCAGGAGACTGTAGATTTGAAGTCGACATTCGTCTGCCAATCGGACTCGTAGCCAGGACAATTCTCTCAGAGATCGATGGTATCCTGGAGGCATTCCCTGGCGCCGACTATGAAGTTCAGGAAGCAGCATCCAACCCACCAAATTCGTGCGCGTTTGATCATGCTCTCACGCGAGCCATAGCTGACAACGCCGAACACATTCTCGGACGAAGACCTGTTGCGATACCCTCACTGGGTGCCACGGATGCAAAGCACTGGCGATACAAGGGTATTCCAGCATACAGCTTTGGTCTCTCACCTGAGGGTATGGCTGGAATCGACGAAAGTGTCGATCTTGACGACTACATCAGTCTTGTCAAGATACTCACCTTGGCAGCATGGGATTTCTTGACTGGTCCTGAGTAGATTCCAATGTCAAACTGTGTGTTCTGTTCAAGGACTAAGCCTGCCGATGAAGACGAGATTACTGATGCACAATCGAAACTTCTCATATACATAGCTCAACAATATACCCCTGTCATCTTTCTCTCGTTCCTGAGTCTCTCGAGTCTTGCAGGGCTCTTGCGGTCTGCCAAAACGATGCGTCTGGATGTTCACGTTTGACAACAAGGGGGTATTGTGATAGTATAGCAACCGGCAAAAGGAAAGCCCAATGGAGTAGCTGGGAATCGAACCCAGAACCTTCTCCACTCAGTAATGCTCACAGAGCAATGCTAAGAAGATGTCATACCACTAGACCACAACCCCTTGATGTGTCGGGTTCGAGTAGGCACGTTCATGAATTTCGAGTTGTGCGTCGGCGCCCGAAGTTCAGCCATCTTCCAGACTCGTGGTCGATAAGTCCCTCTGGCTTACTTATGCTGTTCGACACAGGAAGCTCTTGGTACGGTATTTCGTGGCAGCTTGTGGAAGTGTAGTGAGAATGAGGGAGGAATTTTGAGGAAGACGAGGCATGGAGACCAGAGTCAAGCTTGACAAGTCCTGATAGGCAAACGCGTGAGCCGGCTTTGTCAATGATGCGGCCAAGTCTGCTCCTCGAGTCAACCCACCCTCCCCAAACGTCGCGATGCATCCTTCCATCACAACATCCTGGAATGCGATGTTGACCACGTCATGTAACCTGCGTTTCGGCCCGGCACACCACGCCGACGGGATGCTCTCTTTAACCGTGGTCATCTGAGAGAAGGCGTTTGCTCTGTGGAGGCTGGTGCGGGGATCGTGGAGATCGCAGTCTTCGCGGCATTTGTCCTTGTCGATCATTGTCCAACTTCATGGATCTCTGCATTGTTCCTCCAACCAGCGACCAGCACCAAGCGCTATAGCGCGTGGTTCCTGCATCTTGTCATGGCTGAACAGTTCGGTTCGGCAAGTGACTCCATCAAGATACCAGGGCAGAGGCCTGGGTGGATGAATTGATATTTACCGTGTTCGCCTCGCTTTACACAAGCATGTCGAGGTAGGTGGAAATAAATACAGGGTAGGTTCGCCGTTTGCTGTAGTCAGGAAGTTGATTACGAAGACAACACGAGATGAGATTCTTTTCACTATTGGCAGGCGCTGCCGCCTTGGCGACTTCTGCTGTTGCTCAATACACGAACAGCACGCCGGCTGGTGATATCGATCATGTCACCATTTTCACACCCCCGAGGAACTACACCGTTCCTCGCACTCTCTATGCAAGATCAGTTTTGCTGAATCAGAATTGCGAAGGGAACAATGTCATCCTTGCGACATGGGAGAACTACCTTTACAACAACAACTCGAACCCTTACTTCCCAATCTACCAGTCCTACGACGGTGGTCATACTTGGTCAGAACGCTCTCGTGTATATGATCAGGTCAACGGATGGGGCTTGAGATATCAGCCTTTCCTCTACGAGCTCTCTGAGCCAATTGGCAATTTCTCAGCCGGCACCCTCTTGCTCGCTGGTAGCTCCATTCCTCAAGATCTCTCCAAGACCCAGCTCGAACTTTACGCTAGCACGGATAAAGGTTACACCTGGACATTCGTCTCTCATGTCGCTAGTGGTGGTGAAGCTCTCCCCAACAACGGACTCACTCCTGTCTGGGAGCCTTTCCTCATGACATACAACAACACCCTCATCTACTACTACTCTGACCAACGCGATCCTCTGCACGGTCAAAAGATGGTCCACCAAGTCTCTTCCGATCTTCACACTTGGGGTCCCGTGGTTGATGATATCGCCTACGGTACCTACGACTGGCGTCCCGGTATGCCCATCGTCTCCGAGTTACCTTTCGGTCAATATATCATGACCTACGAATTCTACGGTGCTCAAGAGGCAGACTTTGCAGTCTACTACCGCATCTCCACCGACCCTACAAACTTCAATGCCAGCATTGGTCGTCCTCTGATTGCCACTGATGGCACTATTCCCACTGGCAGTCCTTACAACGTCTGGACACCTGTTGGTGGCGATCTCGGTACCATTGTCGTCAGCTGTGGTAACCTGGGTGAAGTATTCCTGAACCACAATCTCGGTGCTCCTGGAGCTTGGACGAAGATCAATACCCTTGAGCCTGCTTCGTACACTAGAAGTCTGTTGGTTCTGCCTGGACAGGAAGATATCCTGATTGTTGGTGGTGGTGTCCTGGGTGGTGAGGAGAATGCTGTAACAGCTAGCTCTGTCAACATCAAGCCCAAGGCTCCTGCTTTTGCAAAGTGTAATGCGAAGAGATAGATAGAAATCTTGTAGTCATAATCTTCGATCTATCTTACTACCACGTAGTCCTGACCCTGCTGCGATGAGAGTGTTCTTGGATCATGTCATGACCCTCGGCGGCCCTGGGCCTCATCCTCTATAAGGAAATGAGCAGGAGAGAGATGTCTTCACGATGTTCTTGAACCGCCAACCTCCGGCACCGCATGAATGATGACATCGAGCTCCACCGACGTCATGGTATACACATCTTGGCGAGCAGGGTTGTCCCCTAAACTTGAGATACAAATACTGTTAGCGACATTGCCAGCCGACGCTATGTACCATACTTCTCCAAGTGCGCTTGAATTATGCCTTATATATTATAGCCTAGTCTACGAGATTATCTACCAGCAAATACAGCCCGTTGACTAGATATATCCATAACAATGTTTTCGACATGTGTTTTTGGAACTTGGTGTAACATCGTAAAGTTTGGGGAAAGGTTTCACGAAAAGCGTATGCCTTTAGCATCGCTATCTAATAGCATTCCAGAGTCGTCGAGGGCTTGTCTAAGAGTCCTTGTGACCTCCGAGAGCAGTCTTCTAGAACGTAAAGAGCGAGGTCAACTCTAAACTTCAATCATAACGGAAAGAAAAGACAGACAGCGTGGTATCCACCACGAGCCAAAAGAAAAAAGGAAGAAAAAAGAACAAATAACATGACACGTCATTCCAAGAAGGCATAGAACATAACAAAAAAAAAAGAATATCACTTTTATCATATCTACAGATTTCTGTATATAGTAACATCATTCTATCTCATGTACCAAAGCTGCTTATCCTTGGTCTCAGCACCCTTAATCTCCCAGTCCATCGAGATGTTCAAATTGCGCTTGGCATCCTTGTTCTTCTTGAATGTAACATTTCCTGAGATGACAGTTCCTTGCCTCAAAGCTTGATCGTCCTTTTCGGTTGCGTCGATCATCAAGACACCGCAACGCCAATGAGTCTCAGGACCGAAGGGGCTGGTTGTGAAGAAGACGGTCTTGTCCTCGTCGGACTTGGGAGGCTTGACGCCACGGAGCATACCAGTGGGGATCTCATCCTTGCGAGACTGCAGGAAGAGTGTGTCAAACCAGGTGCAGAAGCCGTCGAGGTTGTCGATGTCCTTGTTGAGGGTGAAGCTGACGTCTGAGCTGAAGTCGAGATCGGCGACTGTGACGGTGTGGAGATCGAGCACCTTGAAGGGGAGCTCGTCTGTTGATCTTCCGACAATAGTGTCTTTGTTGGGGTAGCGAACCAATGTGTCTTCGTAGATCTTCTCCATCATGGAAGTCATGTCGAAGCCGTACACATCCCTCCAGAAAGTGATGTTCTCTGAGATCCAGTCCTGGTCGGCAAGAGGAGCAAGGTGCATGGTGCAGTGACTAGGAACCATCAAACCATCAGGCTTAAGGTATCTATCTCTGGCATAAAGAACGGAGTCAAGCATGGCTTCGTACAAGAGACAGTAGCCCATCCATTCGCTGACAATGATATCGACCTTCTCAATGCCATCGGGGAGTTGGATCTCCTCAATCTTGCCTCTAACACAGGTGATGACCTTTGACTGACCGTTCATAGCAATGTTGGCGCGGGCCTTGTTAATGATCTCGGAGTTGTCCACAGCGATGACGCGGGCAGCACCGGCCTTGGCGCAGAAGAGAGACAGGATACCAGTACCACATCCGACATCGAGAACAGTCTTGCCAGCGAAAAGGTGCTTGTTGGCGTAGATAAAATCTCTGTAAGCATCTGTGCGGACAGTGTCCTGGAGCATAGTCTGGTGAATGTCGTTGTAAGAGTATGAGTCAAAGTAGCCAGGGTCCTGGTGGTTCTCGTTCTTGGTCTTGCTTGATCCAGCCTCACCCTCTTTGGCAGGCTCATTCCAGCGATCGTCCAAAGTCTTCTCAACGGTCAACTTGTACTCAGCAAATTGCTCTTGCAGACGAGCCAGTTGAGCCTCAAGCTCGAAGGTCTTGTCACCTGAAGAACCGATGGGAAGATTCTGACCAGCAGCATCCTCAGAGTCCAGAACATCATCCAGAGAAAAAAGAAGGGCATCATCTTCTAAGACGGGTTGCATGAACTTGTCGTCCTCGAACAGAGATTTTGACGAAACATCCGGCTTTTGGTTGCCGTTCTTGGCCTCGCTGCGAATGTAGTTGACAAGCTTGATTGCACCGAAAAAGTCAAGACCTGGATGTGTTAAAAAAGAGATGGCAATAAGCATAATTTGTGATTGTACACACCAAAATCCTTTGCAATCTTCAAGAAATCAAAGTTGTGTTGTTCGGCAGCATATTTGATCATAGAAGCGGCGTCGGGGAAGGTCTTGTCGCTGAAAAAGTCCTTGACTTGAATGTCTTCATTCTCTTCAGGCTCAGCATCCTCCCAGCCCTCGCTGTCTTCGCGCAACAACTCATCGATCGATGAGGTGCTCGAGGCGTCTGATGAGTGGATATCGTCTTGAACCATTTTTGGCAGGTGTAATCAATTGATAGGCCTGGCCGGCTGGGACTTTGATGGCCGGCGCGGGCAGGAAATATTTTCCCGCTTAAGTCCGTCAATTCTCCGAGGGAGCTGGTCACGTCGAAACGTCATGTGAAATCACATCATTGATAAGTCGTGCATGGCCCCAATGCCTATCACCCACCGCCATTCCTACCTGCGACCGCAATAAGACGCGATGGCACCCGACAGGGGTTCCAACGACACTCGCGACGATATGGACGGCCACTCGGACGCCGCATCGGTCCTCTCGTCGCGTGCGCAACAGCCGCAGAACTTCACCCTTCGCTCGCTGCTCCTCGGCTTGGCCATCGGCACTGTCATCTGCTTTTCCAACACGTACTTTGGACTGCAGACGGGATGGGTCTCTAGTATGGCTATGCCGAGTGCATTGCTAGGATTTGCCTGGTTCAAGGCCGTCTCGAGGACACTATCTTACCCATTCACGCCTGTCGAGAATGTGCTGGTGCAGTCTGTCGCGGGATCTGTCGGTACCATGCCTCTGGGATGCGGATTTGTTGGCGTGATCCCAGCTCTTGAGTACCTTCTCAAGCCCGAAGAAACGCAGGGCGAAGGCACTGGTGTACATCTCTCTCTGGGGAAGCTCATTGTCTGGGCTGTGGGCATCTGTTTCTTCGGCGTCGTCTTTGCAGTGCCTTTACGAAGGCAGGTCATCGTCCGCGAGAAGCTCAAGTTTCCTTCGGGTACAGCGACCGCCCTCATGATTGGAGTCCTCCACGGAGGAGAGAAAGATGCCAAGATTGTCGACATGGACAACGAAGACGCACACCAGGGGACCAACAGACAAGTCGAAGAGGAGGAACAAAGGCTCGTTGCGGGTGCCCCTACCCAGCGTCGGAGACAACAAGAAGCTGCCCAAGCTGAGGCTTACGGCGACGAGGAAGCTCTGGACAAGGATGATCATGCCGGTTGGAAAGGCAGGATCAAGCTTCTGGTCGTCTCGTTTGCTATCTCCGCCATATATGTACGTATAAGATGCAATTCTCAAGTTTCCATACCTCTGAGTCAATCTACAAAACCGACCCATGAGCTCATGTGTCATTCCAGACCCTCATGTCCTACTTTCTTCCACAAATACGCGAGATTCCATTCCTAGGTATGTACTTAGCGAAAGACTGGCTCTGGACCATGAATCCTTCTCCCGCGTACATCGGACAAGGTATCATCATGGGTCCTGCGACTACTCTCCATATGCTGCTAGGTGCCGTTCTTGGATGGGGTATGCTTTCTCCTCTTTCCAAGGCCAGAGGTTGGGCACCCGGTGCTGTCGATGATTGGGAGAAAGGTAGCAAAGGCTGGATCGTTTGGGTCAGTCTGGCGATTATGCTTGCAGACTCGATCGTCAGTCTCGGCTGGTTGGTCCTGCGCCCGACAATCCACCTCATTCGCGTCTTTGGTCCACGCGCCAAGGACAGCATTGCTCGTGGTACCTGGAAGGACGATCTTCGCAATTTTACCCATCCTCATATGAGAGGATACAGTCCAGTCAACCTCAACGAACCCGATCACGACTCGCCCGAAACTGCTGGCTTGATCTCCGGCTCCACACAAGCTAAGAAGACTGCGCAAGATGTGCTGGAGCCAGATGCCCCACCCGAGCATCTGATCAGCAACAAGGTCACACTGATTGGCCTCGTCTTGTCTCTAGCTGCTTGCGCTGGTGCGGTCCACTACGCTTTCGCGAACCTCATCCCTTTCGCCCTGACTCTGTTGGCATTAGTGCTCGCTCTGCTTCTATCCATCATGGGGGTCCGTGCATTGGGAGAGACAGATTTGAATCCAGTGTCTGGAATATCAAAATTAACACAACTGTTCTTCGCCCTCGTCACTCCTTTGGGTTCGCCAAATGCGGTGATCATCAACCTGATCGCCGGCGCCATCAGTGAGTCTGGTGCGTTGCAAGCGGGCGACCTAATGCAGGATCTGAAGACCGGGCACTTAATCGGCGCGAGTCCGAAAGCCCAGTTTTGGGGTCAGATCGTCGGAAGTGCTTTCGGAGCTGTGATCAGTGCTTGTATATACAAGCTCTATACTCGAGTATACGAGGTTCCTGGAGGCATGTTCCAGGTACCTACTGCTTACGTCTGGGTATTCACCGCACGCCTGGTCACTGGACAAGGCTTACCTCCTATGGTACCTGAATGGGCGGCAGGTGCAGCTACTGTGTTTGCCGTCTTCACAGCTCTGCGGATATACGGTAATTCGATAGGAGCGAAGTGGACTCCGTTCGTTCCTGGAGGAATCGCAGTCGCCGTTGGTACGTCGATCTTCCATATGCTCAACCAAGATACAGAGAGGAAAATGCTAATCGATCCCGTTTAGGTATGTACAACACCCCATCGTTCACCATGGCACGGACGATCGGTGGCTTGATCAACTGGTACTGGCGCGATTGGCGTAAGGAGTCGGAAACTCCCATCATCATTCTCGCCAGTGGACTCATTCTGGGAGAAGGACTGTTTAGTATAGTCAACCTTGGACTAGCATCTCTGCAAGTACCACACTTGTAGAGTGGTAGGCTCAGTCATCCGTAGTCACCCGTGACCGCTTATGGATACCTGATGCATGAGTCATGACCTAGATATCAATTCTTTTGTTTGTCTCTGTCTCGATCTTGTCCAAAGCGAGCAAAACGAAAGAACCCATCGCCGAATACCTGGTGCATGGACAGTGAAAGGTGAATCGTTTGGTGAGGATATGGACCCTTGCCAAGGCGGACGCTCCCAGAAGCGCTCCTCGATTTGGCTTCCCGGCAACCTCGGCATCGGTGGCTCTTCCCACCTGCCGTACAATCCACTGGGATTTTCGGGCGTGTGCTTCTCACGAACCACGAGAGTCTGTTGACAACCCCGTATGGCATATGCCCTGCTCCGGACTTGTGTCCCTGACTGAGTGACGGTCATCACGCAGGTACTCTCATGTTGGTTGCACTCCATCAGTGCGGACCTTGCACCTCGTGGCCAGTCGGACTGTGCGAACCGAAGTCTCGATCCGTCTTTGAAATCCTCTATCGTTTCAGATTTGGAGGAGTGAACTCTGAACACATGAGCCGTTCGCGTCAACCCTTTGGCTTTTGCGTACGAGAGTTTGACAAGAGTTTGGCTTGAACTCTGCTTTGCACAGCACCTCACTCTCGACAGCATCACCAGCGAATGGCGAAAATGAGCTCGAGAAGTCACCACTTGCGCGCCACGATAGTGGCTTGCGGTAGTCTCGCAACTCTCGCTAAACTAATTAATGGTTCATCACGCTTCGGCTCATCAGCGCTACAAGCACTGAGCACTGTTTATCTCCGTACTGCGTACCCGCACGACCCTACCGGCTCGAGCGGATGATCATGGCTCTCGGACCTCATACGAACAAGCATTCGCGATAGACTGACTGTCTCTACAGCTATAATCCATTAATCACGATAAAGGTTGGCTTACAAGATGTACACATTATTCACCCACACGGTAAATCCCCTTTACATATCCGTCTACGTATCTTCGTGCGTTAAAGGTGACCGCGGTCGACCATGATAGAACATACTTTCCACCTGCCTAAATAGCCCTCGACGCTCAGCAGAATCTCGGCTCGCTACCAGCAAAAACAGTCTTGCACTCGATAGACTACGCGAGACTCCTTCAGCCACCGGACACTAGACAGCAATCTGCCGTGCTCTGGAGAGTATGCAACCGCATCTGTGTCATACCACACTTCTGTAGCCTTGTGGATACGGTAAAGTTTCACTTGGTTTAGACACTGTAGCTTAGTGGTTGCTCCGACCGTACGAGTTTCAAGATCGAAAGCAACCTTCACAAGCCATCCCGCTTCATTCATCACGTCCGTTCACCAGGAAAGCGAGACCGACGGTCCCCTAAAGGTCCAACTATGTGGCTCTATCCAGTCTCGACCCTTCCTCTTTTCGCTCGAGCTTCGATCTTTCACCTTACTTCAGGCCGCTGCCCTTCATGGCTTGAATGTTCTCTGAAACGCTCTCGACTCTGCTTTCCATACACAACATCCATCGACTCGACGAAGATGGAAAGCGAACCTCAATATATGCCTCACGAGGTGCTGGCTGCTGCGATCCCTGTGTTAATATATTCTTTTGTCTGCCTTTCCCTCGGAGTTTTACTTGTGACAGTCCTACAGAAGACTAGAGACGGCTTTAATTGTCAGTCAGCACTTGCTTCTCGTCTCGCTCCCACTGACACCTCTGGAAGACGTGACATTATTCGCTCTTGCAACGACATGCACGACTATAGTGTCGATTATACAACAATGCAATTACATCGCAAACTGGCACGACTTGCGAGTTCAACAGTATGAGCAGTCAATCACCGTCAAGGGTAATCCGGCGCTGGCACTGGGACCGCTTTCTAAAGGCTTCAATGCTGTCTTGTTCTGGACAATTTTGTATTTTTACAATGTCGACTCGGTTACGATGCTTTTCTGGTAAGTCAACACTATTGACTTACGATCGTCCTGCGCTGATGATTTGAAAGGGCCATTGCACTGGTCTTTAGTGTTTGGAACATCCGCCCGAGGTGGCTTCAACGATGGCAGAAGCACATCAGCTGGGCATCAAAGATCTTAGCAATTGTGCTGCCCGCCATCTTCTCAGCTCTGCGTAAAGGTTTCCAAGTAAACGCCGGCTTCATCGGCACCTTAATTCTGATGAACCTTCTGAGTAAGCATATGCACGACTTGGTCGTGAGAGTCCACACTAACAGTTGATAGTGCTTGTGAGCTTTGCTTTCGGCGCACTATGCGTCATCCTCATCTTGTTCAAGTACCTACGCGCGAAAATAGGATTTGACAGTTATGCATCAGCCTCGGCATCTAAGTCGTATGCAGGTGGAAGTGTGGTTCCAGGCGAGACTGCAACCGCTCGTGAAGGACGCACTGTAAGGAGAGGACTTAGAGCGCGGGTTGATGGATGGCTCGTGGTCCGCTTCAGTATCGCCTTCTTGATTCTGAGGTAAGAATACTCATGTGAACAGTCCACAGAATTATGCTGACCAAGCACAAACTAGTGGATTCGAGATCTTCCTCATCTCCTTTGAGATCAACAGGTACCACAAGACGAAAAGCACAAAACTTGCCGGTGGTCCAGATTTTGGTATACGTGCCTCTGTCGTAGATGTTTTGAACTATCTACCCGGTGTCACGGCAAGTCTACTTGCTTTCCTGCTATTCGGAACCACAGCACAGCAACGCGCCATGTACACTCCGGTGATTGCCGCTTTACATCCTGCTCGCTGGCGTAGACGACCAAAGTCTGCAAGATTCAGTGGCAATGTTGATCAGTGGCGGCGCATGGACCATGGAGATTCACGATCATCACAGCAGGTCGCGCATGGAGATATCGAGATGCAGCTGCCGACAAGGAAAGACAAGGTCACAAGGACGATTGTGACGACGGTGGAGAGAGAAGAGATGATACCAAGCCCGCCATCAGCAAACTCGGTCACGAGAGAAACAGTTGGGAATGTAGGTGAAGGCGAAATCATGGGGAGGAGGATGATTCGGTAGAATCGTCTCGCCGAGACTCAGACTGTGCAACTTCCACACACTCGCTTCCACGATTCCTCATTCACACAGACTCTCTCAGTAAGAGTTCGGCATGATGTTCAGGCGTCCTCCGTCCTGATTTTGGTCAGTTGTTTGTCGCTTAGAGGAAGCATTTTCAACTCACAATCAACAGCACGTTACCGTTAAGGTATGCACCCGCTCGGGATGCGATGAAGAGGATAGTGCCAGCCATGTCTTCCTCATCGCCTGTTCTTTCGGCCGGGATATATGATTTGTCGAACGAACCCTCATCCCTAGGGTCCAATTTTGCATGAGAGATCAGGCTCGACGCCAATTCGGATGGGAATACTTTCATCAATCAAGTCAGCTTGATCCTTATCCGATTCTGAGGGCTTGGACTTACATCCGGGAGCTATGGCGTTACATCTGATGTCGAAAGGCCAAAGCTCACTGGACAAGTTCTTCGCGATATGCAACACAGCGGCTTTGCTGGCCTTATATGCCATCGATCCGTTCGGCTGCTTGCTGAAGGCAGCAATACTCGCAGTGACCAAAATCTGGCTCTTTGTTTTCTGGGCGACTGGGTTCTTGTTACCCTTGTCCAACAACTCCAGGAACGCATACGCTGTAAAGAGGACAGCGGTGACATTGATGTTCAAAGTTGAAGTGATGTCATCCCAGGATTGATTCATAGCCGCAGCTGCATATTCGGCGATGCTGGCTTCGCGGTTGTTGGTGCCCGCAGAGGGTCCCATCGCGCCACTGTTGCAGACGAGAAGGTTGATGTATCCGACTTCGATCTCGACACGAGACGCAATTGATTTCAGAGTGTCTTTTGAGGTCACATCTCCAACGACTGGGATTATGACGGAGGGGTTGTGAGACGCGGCTTCTTCAAGTTTGTCTTCTCTACGGCCGATGATATAGACCTTCTTTGCTCCGTTGGCTGCAAGAACCTTTGTCATCATAAGACCAATGCCTATAATATGTCAGCATCTTTCCAATGGTAGATGTAGAATGATGGATACCAGTGGCTCCGCCAGTGATGACTGCCACCAGGCCATTCACCTGGAACAGGCTGTCTCTTTGATAGATATCAGCCATGCTGCGCTTGGTAGATCAAGGTCCAAAAGGCGGAAGAAGCGCTATCTAGAAGCTTTGACGATGGCAGATTTTATATGTCAAGAACGTGTCCGGATGGAAGAGCGAACTCCGATTGTTGGAGAGCATTGCGGCAGAGCAACGTCATCGGCAACCCATATGTTTCGGGGTTCGGAGTCGCACCTTCCGCCTTTCACGATAAGACACTATGCAGTAACTTCTCAGCTTATTGGATAGATCTGTGACTGTAGGTATGAGAGATGTGTCGTGCAGCAGTCGTACAGGCATAGGCGCGGTCGCGTGTTTCACGACGCGCCGAGATGCATGACCATTGTCGTTTGCGCCACGTACAAACACGTCTGCTAACTCTTCTGACAAGATCGTAAGGAAAACCGGCAATGAATCAGAATCTAGTGTGACCTTCAGACATTTTCAGCAGACAAAGATTGGATCGTTGAACAACTAGGCCTGAAGACTGGCAAGGACCACACGGACAGCCATGTACACATCGACCGCCCGCCTATATGACCGGCAATCTCGGTCGATTAGCCGGCACATCGATCTCTTCGCCAGTGGTCATCAGAGACTGCCCAGAGCCATAGCACCACAGGTTGTACGCCAATTTTCCGCAACATCGACCCTCAGCAACGCAGCTCCTTCTCCTTGTCAGTAAGCTATGGTCCGCCTTCGAGACCGTTCTGATACCCTGGCTTAGCGTTACCGGACAATCATGAGTTTTTTGACTTCACGCGTGGCCGTTTCCTAGGCAATGAGAAGTACGAGTTGCAGCGTCGCCATCGCAAGTTCGACGTCTACGAGTTGATGCGCGTTGCAGCTCGAGCTGTTGGTGCAAATTACTGCACTAACATTCAAAAGTGCCCGGATGGGATGTACAACAGGATTCTGCATCTCTCAATCGACAACGGCAAGCAAGTGATTGCCAAGATACCCAATCCAAACTCGGGTCCGCCACACTTTACTACTGCCAGTGAAGTAGCGACGATGCAATTCGTGAGGGTTGAGTATCAGTCATGTAGACCAGAGCTTACGGGATATAGGTCCGCGAAGTCTTGCGCACTCCAGTGCCGGAAGTGTATGCATGGAGCTCAAGAGCACATGAGACTACCATTGGAGCCGAGTACATCATCATGGAGAAGATGGAAGGTGTCACGTGGAAACAACTCTCACCATCGATGAGTCTTGCAGATCAGATCGCAGTCGTGAAGTCTGTCGCCGAGTATCGGGTTGCGTGGTCGTCGGTGGTATTCGAGCAGTACGGTAGCCTGTACTTCGCGAAGGACGTTAAAAACCTTGACCTGCCTGCTCTAAGATACACGACAGATTTGGACGGCCCGGTAGTCGATGCAAGATTTGTGATAGGTCCTTGTTGTACACGCAGTCTCTTCCAAGCTGGGCGAGAGACAGTTGAGCTTGATAGAGGTCCATGTAGGTCCCTCTGGTCTGAGGACTATCCATTGAGCTTACTATGAGGTCAGGGTCGTCCATCAGGGAATTCAACCTAGCCAACGCCCAGCGCGAACTGACGTGCCTCCATAATATTCCTTCCCTCCCGCAAACGCACCTTGCTCTTTGCGGACCTGGACTCCATCGGCCACGGAGGGACATCAAAATCAACGTTTTGGAGGTTTATCTTGGAATCCTCGAATCTATAGAGCTACAAGACTCAGTAATGAACGGTCCGCATATCGCTCATGATGATCTACGCAGTGAGAACATCCTCCTTACTCCGGGCAATCAGATCGCGGGCGTTCTTGATTGGCAGTCAACGACTATCACACCGCTCTACGACAACAACTCGCCCACGTGGCCAATGGAAAATCCGCCACAACTCTTGGATTCTGAATCCTTACTCTTGACGCCAGACCCGAACTTACATGCCCTACTGCTTGAGAAGAGACAACGTTCCATATCCCTCAAGGAAAGCCTGGATGCCGCATACAGAGCACACCTTCGGGCGCGATCCACACCGCTCCATGACTATCTCGACCTTGAAGAGAATGATCCGAGAATCACTGTATTACGGATCGTTCCGGAAGTCTTCTACGATGGTGAATCATTCGCGTTCTCCATATGCATGATGATGGCAGATGAGGAAACTCTACTTGGCGCCCAGGGTGTCGCATGGCCTGTGGAATTCTGTGACAAGAGTAGATTATTGATCGCCGAGGCCTCTCACAAATACGCAGCTAGCAACCAGATGATGACCGAGATTCACGAGCAACTTGACTTCCTGAGTCTAGCTGGCTGGGTTCCTCACAGCCACTATGATTCGGTCACTTCCAGACTTTCTGAGATCGCGGATCTAGTGATAGAAAAGTTTGCAGATGACAGTGAAGACGCTGCGGAATGGAAGAATTCATGGCCTTTCCGACGGGATTAAGCTGACGGAGTGGGTTGTAATGACATGATAGGAACTCGCTGGAGAATGGAGTTGTGGTCTCACTCCAGGCAAGATTGAGGCAGCAGTGATGAGTCGGCGTCAGGCGGGGCCTCGGTATCCTCAGTCGGAGGATGTCGTCGTGTGCTCGCCATCAAGATAGTTGGTGCCAATCGGCACGCATTCGTAAATCTCCTCTCTTTGCTTAATACATTCCTCTCGACTCCAAACCAGAATCACGTGTCGAGTAACGACGCAAAAACTCCGTCAAATTCTCGACATGAGACAAGAAACGACGCCCGCCATTGTGTGGTCCGCGAATTGGTTGCTGGAGCTCAAGCCTGCAATTTAGCATCGCTCTCACAAGTCAACAAGCTATACCTAGCCGTGACCGCAAGGTCACTTTGGCATACATTACCCCTCAGGATTGCCAGTCGGGACCAGATTCAAGCAGGTGCCGACAAGATCAAGCAAACTCTCACACGCCGCTTACTGCTCGAAGGGCGCATACGCTGTATTTCTATAAGGGGCCGTAAGCCACCTAGTGACGATCATGATAACAAGGCCAACATCAGTCTTCTGGTGAGAGCACAATCAAACGAGCTTGCTTGGCAGCCACCAGCGGATATGTTGACAGAGATCCTTCCGTTATCCGACATGGAATGGGAAAGCGAAGAGCTCCCGTTTTGCGTCTTTCGTGCCTTGAATCAATCTCATAACGTGAGTCGTTGAACCACATCCCATAGCTGTAGTGACCCGGAAGTGTTGAATACCTGGGTCGCAAGGATCAGAGGTCCCTTGAAGTCTTCCAAACACAGACAAAGACAATGAGAAACCCCTTCTGAAAAGGCTGTGTTGTCTCACACCTGCACGGCCCCAGGTCATTTGTATCCAATTACATCCATTGACAAGCCAGATTCCGCGCCTCAGTTCGATGCTGTGTCTGAGACTTGTATGAAGCATTGAGACCAGGCACTTTTTGGTCGGTCTCGCCCTCGACTTCTTCTTCCAAGGCTGTACTCATTGGTGGCATGACATCGATTCTACTCCTGGGAGTTACCCTGATATCATGGCAGGTCCATCACTGCTAAAGGTAATCAAGCTGAGATGAGAGGCAAGTGGACCAAGCGACGAATTCCACTTGATCAAGAGGGATAAAGTCCTTGAAAGGACCAGATCAAGACGACGTAGGTCATCAACAATGCTCAAACTCGAGATAAGACAGTCAAGGATCTCGGAGGTCAGATCTTGTGTTTCGAGATGGAGGCAGCAGGCTTCATGAAGGATTCTCCATGTCTGGTCGTACGAGGTATTAGCGACTATTATGACTCGCATAAACATGATGGGTGGCAGAGGTATGCAGTAGCAAGTGCGGCGGCATATAAAAGAGAACTGTCATTGTTAACACCGGCGGAAGGTGTGGTATGATTGGTATTTGGCAGGCGCGGTGGTGAAAGAGGGGCTTCATTGTTCTTTCCTGATGTCTCTTGTGTAACCGCTTCAGTTTTACAGTCGTTCTACTGCAGACCTGCTGCAGTATATGTCTTTTTTATCAGCGCCGAATGAACGGCGTGGAGAATGTCTCTGAGTTGGACCTGTACCGCAAAGGTCGATGTGTCAATTATGCCCAAGACTGACCGCTTTTTCATGGTGCCCATTCGCATCCAAGTTTGCTTCAGATACCATTATTCTCGCCTCGATCCTTCCACTGGAACGCACTTCAGCCTTGTGCGTCTTCCCACTTGTCATCCTCGCCGTCGTCTTCTTTCTCGTCCTGATTCCAGCCCATATCTTGTGACAACTCCTTGATCTCAGTCTCAGCAACTGCATTCTCAGCGATCCAGTGAGCAGCCTGGTTTCTGAGAGTCTGTACTCTGATTCTCAGGTTTATCATCAAGTGCATTTGATAATGACTACCCTTGCGGATGCCCCTGCCCGCAGCTTCGTGTTCCATCTGATGGCGAATGTAAGGGGTGATGTTGTGGCTCAAGCTTCTCATGTGTTCGCTGTGAAGGTATTCATAGTAGTCGATCTTGGCCTTGCGCTTGGAGATCTGGGCCTTGAGCTATGAGACGATACAGTGAGTCGGGCGTAAGAGATCGAGAGAACTACGATGACGTACGGCGGTGATCTTCTCAGTTGCTCTAAGTTGTTCGGCGGTGAGACGTGGAAGGTATAATTTGTGGCTCTTGTCCTCGCTGGAGTGACGATCTCTGGGGCTTTCGAGAGATTCAACAATCCATGCTTCTAGAAGGCCTGGGATCGTGGTGGATCGATACCTGAAGTAAGGAGACATAACTTCAACGATGCCACACCATGCGATAAGGTAGTCGAAAGTCAATGAAGTATTCCGGTGTTGCAAAGTTGTGTCGGTGGAGTGAAGACCGTGTGAATCAATGTATCAGCGGCGGAGGATGAACTGTGAAAGACTTTGGACGGTTGGAGGTAAATGCGAGATATTCAATATGAAGGCCTGGCGAAGACTCAAGGTATTGTGCAAATACAGGTGAGAGTCAATCGGCAAGCTCCACTAGAGTGATGGCGAAGTCTTGACTCGCTGAGAAACAGAATCGGTGAGACTCAAGCTCGAGACATTCAATGTGAGACGCAGCGGAGACTCGCACTATCATGAATCAGAGCTAATAACATTGGACAAGCAAGTCCTGTCCGAGTAACAAAATGGCGTCGAGCCTTTCTAGAGCAGAGTCGGCAAGGATCAATCGAGCAGAGCCCAGAACCACTGCCCAATATGGTTTACACTGCTTACAGGTCCTTCCACCTCCAGACACTCCACTCTACAAGCCTCTCATCATTGAAGAGGTCTTCACTCGCTTCTTCTCTCCCCTCTTCCATAGCCTCCATGCCACCCTCCTCGAGTCGCTCCCACATCTCTCTGATGTAGTCGATATAGCAGACTCTCAGAGGATATGCGATGACAAATCTCGCCTCCTTGTCCTTCCTCAGCCACTTCAAGATGACGTTCGCCAGCAGCTCAGGGTGCTCTTCGGAGTAGATAGTATCTGCCGCGAAGATAACATGAGCTTCAGTCTGAGGACGCTCCTCATCCTTGATTAGCAGAGTGGTAGGGTACTTCCAGTCCAATGTTCCAGCCTCCATGTATGTGTTCGCTTTCTGCAGACCTTCCAAATTGAGATCGATATTAGCGTCCAAAGCAGGGACCAGAGGCGCCAGATCCGTAAGTACAACGGGCTGTCTCCAAAGTGTGGACGCTGTGACACCAACCAGACCTGTACCAGCACCAAGCTCAAGGATAGGAAGTATATTTGAGCTGGGAGTAGGAAACTGAATCTTGGGGCCTATATGATGGAGCTGAGAAGCCAAAATGTGAGAAGCGGCCCATGTCTCCAGACCCAAGTTTTCGGATGTAAGGTTGGGCTCGCTGATGCGTACTTGGATCGTCTCGCCAGATCCATTTGAGGGCACCGTGAAATCCTGAGTCTTGAAACTGCGTTCTTCCGTGGCCATTTTTGGTGATCCAACAGTTGTCGTCTGGTATTGGCTTTTGAGTTTATGAGGTACAAATACGGCTAGATATTTCTGTCTCCAAGTTTCAATGCCCTTTGCTAGAGGTGTTGTGTAGATGCTGTTGAGATGACGTTGATATTGCCAAAATTTCTCGACGGCTACATTTTTGACTTTTCTTCTGTGTCCCTTGATTTTGCGGGGAAAAGATGCCTCCATCGCATGGTATGCTTCACGACTTTTGGTCGCTTGACGTGAGGGCTTGAATATGAGCAGTAAACGTCGAGTCGTATGAGGACTGTCATTAAGCATTTGGATAATCAGAAAATACGAAACGTCGAGACAAGGCGTGACCGAGGACTGAACAGACGGAACCTCATAGGGATCACCCCGCACCAGTTAGCCCAAAACGGCAATCTGTTTATTCGAGCAGCGTCCTCTGCAGGAATTCGATCTGCTTCGCCAGCATCATCTCCAACCCTTCGCCATCGAACATGCTAAAGTGTCCACCAGGCAGCATATGGATCTCCTTGGGTTCAACGGCACGATTGTATGCCTCAAGCATTGCTCCCGTGACTGCCACAACGTCCTTCTTTGGTACCTGCATCAACAAAGGTGTGGGCCCGATCTTGTGGATCCGAGATGTGGGAAAGTAAGACGTTATCCCTTCAAAGCTACAGGAAACCGTTAGCAGTGGCATTGATCAGAGACTGGAAACAGACCTTCTGATTGTCACATCATTCTTCCAGCCAATCTTCTCAGCCCAGGGAGCAAAAAATGCAAGACTCTCTGCATGTGGTAATGCAGCCACATCAAGCGGATTCTCTACTATGACAGGCATCCTTCCAGGCTCATTACCTGCTGCTCGTGACATGCGTTCTGAGTAGTGTTAGACCAGGAAATTTGGTTGGGGATAAGAAGCAAACCTTGAGCAAGCATGTCGACCATGGCATCCTCGAAGTCGGATCTCATATTGTTTGCAATTATATCTCCTGTAGTGAACGGTGCCACCGCAATCACTGCCTTGACACGACGATCGATGGCACCAACCCAGAGTGAGTGGCCACCGCTATAAGAATACCCCCACACACCAATTCTTGATGCGTCGATTTGCTCTCGAGATTGAGCATAGGTAATGGCATCCTGGAGATCGCTGTTCTGGTGTGTCGGGACGATCTCGTTGCGGGGCTCAGTGTCTTTTTGGTCACTAGTGCCAAAGCCACGGTGATCGTATACTAGACAAGCAATTGGCAAGGCGGAAGTCAGACGTTCCGCGAGAGTGTCAAGACACATGTCTTTGAGGCAAGCAAAGCCATGAGACATCACCAGGCAAGGGTATTCACCCTTTGCGTCTTCTGATTCATATAGCCAGCCGCGCAGAGTGACATGATCAACAGTCTTAAATTCGATATCTGAACGACCCATCGTGATGTTGAGTTTATTGGAAGAGGGTTGCAGAAGGAAATTAAAGTATGCAGATGGCAGGGTCTATCTATATGTGAGTGTAGGAGTTGAGCTGCTGCTTACCGTCAGCTTGAATCCTTCGGCTTAGTAGCAGCCTGAAGAATGTGCAGCAGATCTGCAGAGGGTGTTGAGTAAGCATTGACATGCGATCTCACATAGTCTAGTTTGAGAGACTGTCTCATGAGCTGGTCCGTCCTTTAGTGCAAGCATGTACTCCTATCATCCACAATATGGAGTTTTGGGAGGACGGTGAGCTGGACAAATCACCTATTCTTCTGAGAAGAGAAGATTCCGATACAGTCACGTGTGAGCGGCGATTAGTATATGTATCCCAGCAGCATGGCACGAACGATGCTCAAAGGGCGGTTGAGAAGTTCCAGAGAAGCGGACCGGGGAAGCGACAATATCTAGATTGGGGGCGGATTGATCGGCTTCTGGCATATCGGATCCTGCAGAGATGCTTGAGAGGTGGAAGAACCGATCGAACCTCGAGACGCAGAACAGCTTATCATGCAGGAGCCGATGAATTGTCTCGTTTGAGATGTAAGCGAACTAGGTATCAGGGCGCGACGGAAATCGAATTAGAGCTGATGGTTTATTGATTAAATATTGGTTGAGCAGTGGGCCGCTGGAAAAAAAAGCGATATATCTGGTGGCTTTCATGCAGCAAAGCGAATGGCACGTGGTAGCAAGTCGTTGCAGATGGAAGAAGGAGGAAGTAGGAAGTCAGGGTTGGTTATGTTCTTTGAGCGTTCGCCAACGGTGTAAAAGAGTGGCGTCAGCGTCTCTGCCCCTCCTCAGTTGCGCCTCTCTCGACAAACTCCATTCGTCCTTTATCAGCAGCATCGCCATCTTCCTGTTCCAGCTCCAAGAAATCCGCCAACCCGTCCAACATATCCAACAAGCATCATGTCGACCTCAGCCCGCCGCCGTTTGATGCGCGACTTTAAGGTGCGAGCATTCCGGCGTCTATCTCGACATGATGGCGTAGCTAACGGTCATGTCTGCAGCGCATGCAAACTGACCCTCCTGCCGGTGTTTCGGCCTCGCCCATAGCTGACAATGTCATGACCTGGTATGCTTAACCTCCAGCTCTGGAAGGCGACACATGCTCATACTACACGCAGGAATGCCGTCATAATCGGACCTTCAGATACACCCTTCGAGGACGGCACATTCAGACTCGTCATGCACTTCGAAGAGCAATATCCCAACAAGCCTCCAGGCGTCAAGTTCATCAGCACCATGTTCCACCCCAACGTCTACGCAACCGGCGAGCTGTGTCTAGACATCTTACAAAACCGCTGGAGTCCCACGTACGACGTTGCCGCCATCCTCACCAGTATCCAGAGGTATGTGAGAGCAAGTCGCGCCCTGTAGCCCAAGCTGACTTGTAGCCGTAGTCTGCTCAACGATCCGAACACATCGTCACCGGCCAACGTCGAGGCGTCGAATCTGTACAAGGACAACCGCAAAGAGTACTACAAGCGTGTGCGCGAGACAGTCGAGAAGAGCTGGGAAGACTAGGCGATTGGCACATGGCACAGATGGCAATAGACAGGCGTGCATGAGATTCAGCGAGGCGTTTGGCATGGGAGTCGCTACTTTGGGAGGTGATCCGGGACTGCATTTCTGTTGATATCACGGCGCATCAAGACACAAGACACGAAACACGATACACGAGGGGGCCAAGAGCGGAACAGGTTGCTACCAGGCTTGTCGCAGGCAGAATGAATAGGCTACCTGTATCAGAAGAAAGAAGCACCATGAATGCAAAGGTTTTGTGCATGTCATGTGCAACTGAGTGCACGCAGCATAAAACGGCAACGAGGGGCAGGTGTAGGGCTGACTCAGGCTGAAACGCTGAAACCGGGGCCGGCCGAGGGAGCTTGGCCGTGTCTTCAGGAGAAGGTGCAGGCTGGCCAAAACTGAACGAGATACAGAGAGAGTGTGATCACTTTTGTTGTTAGTCGGACACCTGCATCTGAGTAAACTTTCTGAAGAGAGGTGCATGACATTTATTTTTACCGCATCATCGAAAGACTTGGATGGTAATGCAACGGCGCTTGTTGACTTGTTGTGAGGCTTATCGATTTGGACTTTTGAGTTTGGCCCTGGGCCCCTGTTGATTCCAATCACGCTTCACGGTCCACACGAACTTCTCCAGACGTGCGCTGCTGCTGCTGCGTGTGCGCATCTTGCATACATCCGCGCCGACAGTTTCCTAGCTCCGACCCTCTCTGTCGCCTGTCTACTCTTGCCCTCGCTTGAGAGAGTCGCTTCCCTAACAAGCAGGCCACGACCTGCCCAACCAGGCCATTATGGCGTAAGTCGACGCTGACGGACACCCCACCAAACAATCACAACTTTCATACTAACAAGCACGCAGGAGCAACTCTATCAAGGGTACGTCCAGAGACTCGTTTGCCTTCTCACTCTCTGGCGCAAAAGTACTGACCATCCTCAGTCGTCGCTCGTTTCAGGCCGCAAAACAAAGTCGAACTCGCCAGCGGAGGCACCCCTATCGTCCAATTCGAAAGCCCAGACACTTGCAATGTCCAGTCCAGAGATGGCGGCGGCGGCTCCTTCACCTTCGATCGCGTCTTCGACATGGCCTGTCGCCAGTCCGACGTCTTCGACTTCTCCATCCGACCCACCGTCGACGACATTCTCAATGGTTACAACGGAACTGTCTTCGCATACGGCCAGACCGGTGCCGGAAAGTCTTATACCATGATGGGCTCTGATATTGGCAGCTCCGACCAGAAGGGTGTGATACCGCGCATCACCGAGCAGATCTTCGCTTCCATCATGGCCAGCGAGAGCAACATCGAATACACAGTGCGAGTCAGCTACATGGAAATCTACATGGAACGCATCCGCGATTTGCTCGTCCCGCAGAACGACAATCTGCCCATTCACGAGGAGAAGAACCGCGGCGTCTATGTCAAGGGCCTCATGGAAGTATACGTCAGCAGTGTCGACGAAGTTTACCAGATCCTAGAGCGAGGAGGCATGTCGCGTGCCGTCGCTGCCACAAACATGAATCAGGAGTCGTCTCGCTCCCACTCCATCTTCGTCATCACCGTTGGCCAGAAGAACGTCGAGACTGGAAGCGTCAAGTCGGGTCAACTGTTCCTGGTCGATTTGGCTGGTTCGGAAAAGGTTGGAAAGACTGGAGCCAGTGGTCAAACACTCGAGGAAGCAAAGAAGATCAACAAGTCGCTGAGTGCTCTGGGCATGGTCATCAACGCCTTGACTGACGGCAAATCCTCTCACGTCCCCTATCGTGATTCAAAACTCACCCGTATCCTACAAGAATCTCTTGGTGGTAACTCGCGCACAACTCTCATCATCAACTGTTCGCCCTCCAGCTACAACGACTCCGAGACTGTGTCAACCCTCCGCTTTGGTATGCGAGCAAAATCTATCAAGAACAAAGCCAAGGTCAACCAGGAACTCTCCCCTGCCGAACTCAAAGCTCTCCTCCGCAAGGCTCAGTCCCAAGTCTCAAGCTTCGAAACCTACATCTCCAATCTCGAATCCGAAGTTGGCTCCTGGCGTAAGGGTCAATCCGTACCGAAAGAGAATTGGACTCCTACTCTCAAAGATGGTCCCGCCAAATCCTCCACACCCCGTCCCGCTACACCGTCACGTCTAGGTGATCAGCGAAAAGGTGCAGAGACACCTACCTCAACAAGACCCGACTCGAGAATGGATCTTGAGCGATCCGGTACGCCGACAACAGCCCTGGAGAAGGATGAAAGAGAAGAGTTTCTGCGACGCGAGAATGAATTACAAGATCAGCTTGCTGAGAAGGAATCTGTTATTGCTACAACTGAAAAGGCTCTCCAAGATACACGACAAGAGCTGCGTGACCTGAGAGAAACACACGGTCGTGTCAACAAGGACAATGAAAAGCTCGCTGGCGATGTCGAAGGGCTCAAGATGCAAGTTGAGCGCATTACTTTCGAAACAAAGGAAGAGTCCATCATGATGGATAGTCTCAAGGAGGCCAACAACGACCTGTCGAACGAACTTGATGAGCTACGCAAGGAGCTGCTCGAGGCCAAGATGAATGCCCGCGAAACGTCGGCCGTCATCGACGAGAAGGAGAAGCTCAAGAAAGAACGCATGGCCCAGATGATGGCTGGCTTTGACCTCGGAGACGAAGTCTTTTCAGAAAACGAACGCAGCGTTCAAGATGCCATCAAACAACTTGATGCTCTTCTAGAGGCTACTTCCAAGGGCGAGTCGCTCAGCACTGAGTCTTTGTCAAAGCTACGAGAGAGATTGGTCGAGACCCAAGGTGCAATTCGCCAGGTCGACCATTCCAGCAAGGGAGGTGCTCTCGAACACAAGTTGTTGACTGTACAACAACAGTACGAGGATCTATTGCAAACAAATCTTTCCGAGGCCGACGTCGAGGATGTCAAGCGTCGTCTGCAGGAATCGCTCTCATCACACACCGATGGTCAAGCAGGGTCTACAGAACTTACCGCTGCCCTCACTCGTCAGCAACAAGAGAATACCCGTATGCGAAACGAAGTCGAGGCATTGAGGAGGCAAACAGTCAACGGAGCCAATGGCGCCAAGTCATTGCATCAACAATTGGCAGACTTTGATGCCATGAAGAAGTCGCTGATGCGTGACTTGCAAAACCGCTGCGAGCGCGTGGTTGAGCTCGAGATCTCACTCGACTCAACGCGAGAACAATATAATAGCGTCCTTCGCTCGGCGAACAGCAAGCAGCAACAGAAGAAGCTGGCCTTCCTCGAACGCAACTTGGAGCAGTTGACCCAAGTCCAAAGGCAGCTAGTCGAGCAAAACGCCCAACTCAAGAAGGAGGTCGCTATCGCCGATCGCAAGCTTGCGGCTCGTGGTGAGCGTATTCATGGTCTTGAGCAGCTGCTTGGCGAGAGTCAGGAGAAGCTCATGCAAGCTAATCATCGGTATATTTTCCACGCTAAGATACTGTTGCGACCATTACTAACACACCCACCACAGTTTCGAAGCCCAACTCACCGCAGTAAAAGAACGCCTCGAAGCTGCCAAAGTCAGCGCAGCATCTCGCAACGGCACAATCACTGGCGGCGGTGGCGCTGCCCCGAATGGTTTCGGCAGCCAGCTGGGCAGCCGCATTGCAAAACCGCTTCGCGGCGGCGGTGGTGGAGAAGGTCCCATGGTACCCACTCTCGCCGGTCTGCAACAACAGCAACAGCAAGAGGGCCCGAAACGCAGCAGCTGGTTCTTCAACCAGAGAACCTGAGATATGATGAATTGACACTGGCGGTGCTTTTCCTGCTACTTGCATTCGGACTGTTGGTTTGGTAGATTGCATTTGCACTTTTTTCGAGGCTGCTCACGAATCAAGGGCATATAAACGGCGTTTTCTTTTCTCTCTCTCTCTCCTGCATATGCTGGACGGGTTTACCTTCAAAGTCGCCTGCCTGCGGGAAGGTATCAATCTTCTGAACTCGCGCGAGCATCTCTAATAACCTCTCATCATGAAAGCAACTCCACAATAGAAGCTCGATATTTTCTCTTCCGTCCCTCTTTTTTTCTTTAGATGCGAATCCGCGCGTGTAAAGATAGTCACCAAAAAGTGAAAGGGGAAATTATACACGGTAAGGAAAGTGTCATTGATGATGAGCTAACATGATATGGTGGTGCACTTTGATCTGTGAAATTTCGTTTCATTTGTCTCTGCTAGCACCTTAATCAGCGCCATTTCGCTAGAAAAGAATACAACATCCATCCCCAATCCTTCCTCATTGAAAAAAAAAGAAAATGCTGCCATTTGCGCCTTTTATGCTCCTTTCATGTCTGTATGAGATCCCAGGACTTTTTTTGCCCTTTTGAATCTGCAAAGAAGAGAAAAAAAAACACCTTCGCTCGATTTTGACTCCCTGTAATGCTTTTATGAAGAAAAGGACTCGCCAGATATACGCCGTGAGAAGAAGCAAGGAGAAAAAGATGAAGCCTAAGCAGCACTATGCGAGGTAGCGGTATGAAGGCACCTTGGCGCCCTCCATACGCTCCAAGTACTCACGCTCAATCAGACTCTCAATCTTCTTCTTGATCATTGGGACTTCGGGCTTGAATTGTGCGCTGAGCTGTGTAAGTGTCTCTGCAACCAGCTGTTGATGGGTAGACTCCTTGCGCTGTTTCATGATGCGCACGATAGCAGCCTCGATGACAAAGCCGCGAGAATCATTGTTCTTCTTCTCTGTATCCTTGCGCTCCTTGTCGTTTTCGACCTTGTTACCTGCAGAGACGACGCCGACTTTGACCTTGATGAACTTGGAGGTGAACTTTTCGTTGAAAGAGAAGCGGTCGGTTGGCTTGACGTCCTTGCTCATCGGCTCCTTGACCAGAAGACGAGTCTTTTGCGCCACCGCTAGCGATTGGAGGTTTCTGATGAGCTCGTTGCGAGGAATGTTGGTCTGCGCCTGGATCTCCTCACAAGTCAGGGAGCCATCTGCAGGAAGGTCGTTGAACAGTGACAGGATGATCATGGCGTAAGTCGAGACGTTGAGCTCGTGCGTTCTGATCTTGGGAGGACCACCATCCTTGCTGGGAATCTTGAAGGTTCCCTTGATGTCGGCTGTACCCATACTACCCTGCCAGCTGAGTATACGACCAGAGTACTTTGTTGTGTAATACTGCTCGAAACTAGTCTTGATCTTTTCGATGGCGGGCGGGAAGATCGTCTTGATGGCTCCGTCCCTGTCCTCGTCCAATCCTCTCATAGTCTCCATTGGCCAAGTCATGCTGGTGAGAACGTGTATACTAAGTTCAACTCTCTTTGGCTCATTGTCGCCGAGTTTCTCGACATATGTCTGGTAACCGGAAGTGAGTTCGTCAGAGAGCGTCATATCCTTGAACATGGCTTCCATCTTGGTCGTAAAGCTGTTGCCGAGTTCGATCTTCATGCGATTGATCATTTGCTTTTCAACATCGATACTCACAGATCTGCCCATGAGCAGACGCTTACAAAGATGTTTCTTGTAGTATGTTTCAAACACGTCCTTGTCCTGGAGATAGCGAACCAATGTGATGGCCTTCTCGAGCACTTGATCAACCTCTTCCTCAGTCTTGCCCTTGATTCCCTTCTTCATGTTGTCATCGATGAAAAGCGAGATGTACTCTGAGCTTCGTTGGAAGGCGTTTATCGTGTCGGAGAAACTGCGAGTTTGCGCAGTCTGCAAAACTTGGTCCTGGTTGAAGGCGAGTTTCCAGATGCGGTCAAAGCGGTCTTTGAGTTCCAATACATCTTCGACCCACTTCAGAGCTGCCACGGTCTGCAAATTGACGGCCTTCTCCGCCGGCTTGGCCTTCTCTTTGTCTGCGCCTTCGCCTTCCTCTGCCGGTACTGGTGGAGCAATCGACGAAGCGGTTGACTGGTTAAGGGCGTTGCTGTTGACATTCGTTCCCATTTCCTGAATGATCTTCTGGATTGCTTTTGTCAGCTCCGGCTTCTTGGGGTCCACTCTACTCTCCAGCTCAAAGACCAGACCGAGATCGTCATGTCTATCGTTCGTGACCATGAATTGTACGCCGCTGTCCATGTCGATCAGAGCCTTGATCTGATGGCGGATCAGTTCGTCCTCGACAACCTTGATAATTTTGGTAGAGGTGGACTCTGAGATAGTGGAACGACAGCGATCAGCTTCTTCGTCTATCCTTCTCTTGACATGGCGACAGTATGTGCCAGCATCCGAGTCTTTCAGCAGTCTTTTGCTCTCGTCACGGTAGAAGGTTGCACTTTTGGCGAGGAACTCTTGCTCGAAGCGGGTGAGGTACAATTTGTCTTCTTCTCCCTCCTGCTCACTCTCGAATAGACCCTCCAGCATGTAGGTGTTGGCTTTGATCAAGGACTTGTCGATGTAGTCGCCATCGCGGTCCATGTGGATTTGATCGAGAATGACGGCGTTCAGGACGTCTAAGAAAGACAGATGCTTCAGACCCGAGGCGATTGCGACTTCGCTGGCGGTAATTGCGGTCGAGTACAGGACGCTATCCCGGAAAAGACTCATAGCTTTTGAGAAGATGGAAGGTTGTCTAGTATCGGCGCAATAGACGCGGTCCATGTACATGAGGACGTCGGTCAACATGCTCATGGACGTCTGATGGTCCTGCCAGGCAGACTTGAGAGCGGCTAGGAAGCGGGTGCCTCGTTCAAGGCGTTCAGGAGCCGTCGCATTGCTTTCCGCCGTCGGGCTAGACACAAGGATGGGAGTATCGAGGACGGTGCCTTTGATAGTGCGAGAGATGTCCTGGCGGACAGCAGTGGATAGCCAGTTGGTCTCGAAGTTGGCGACTCTTTTATAAAGCTCGTCGCCCTGCTTCTTCAGCACGAGCTTGTAGGCGGCGCGGTACAGCTGTTCGAAGGATAGTGCTGAGGCATTCTTGGTATGAATCTCGCCAAAAGCAGACGAGAGGGTGGTCCAGGTATCTTCAAAGTTGACATCGTTCGCGCCAGCCACGCCCTGTTTGCGAGACGTGTTAGTGATGACCATGATAGTTTTGGACTTCATGTGGATAATGGAGAACTGGGACATACCCTTCTAGGAGCGCGGATCTTTGTGCGTGGACGACTACTACTCATAGTCGAGTGAGTTTGTGAAGGTGAGAGCTTGTCTTCAGTCCTGTCTGTCTTTGGTTGGTGGCGGGGTTATGAGGCCGTTGTGGTGACAGCTTTGCGATTCCAGGGTCTTTGTTGCCGCCTTTGTCTAACACTTTTCAAAAGAGATGGTTTCATAAGACATGAACGAGCGAAGAAGGTGCGATGCAGAACAAAACCGTGTGACTGGATACTGGAACGTCAAGCACCTGGATGCTCATGATTAACATCGTCAGCAGCAGCAGCAGCGGGTTGGCAGGTACGCGCCGCATCCGGAATCCAAGTGCACGGTCCCCTGGCAGAATTCCTCGCCGCCCAGTGACGCAGCCGCAAACAGCTGGAAGATTGAAGAGTCTCGCGCGCCGTGTGTCAAACAAGCCCACCACTGTTTAGCAATTTCTGCGCCATGAACCCCCAGCCCGCATCCCGTATGCTGCAGCGTGTCTGCTTGCGCCAGCCGTCCGTCACCCAGGCATGCCGTCAACAACTCCGTCAACTCTCGTCGCGACCTTCTCCGGCATTGGCGCCTCTCGCCCGCACTCAAACACACTTTCTGAGCAACCTTCAAACACAACAACGACGATGCGAATCCACAGCAAAGCCCTTGACCGATCGTCCAGAGCAGCTCCCTAAAGCCGAGGCCAGAGAAGAAGTGCCCTCCTATGAGATGACCTTCACCTGCAAGGCATGCTCTACTCGCTCGTCGCATCGCATGTCCAAGCAGGGCTACCACCACGGCACCATCCTTATCACATGTCCGGGCTGCAAGAATAGACATTTGATCGCCGACCACTTGAAGGTTTGTCTCAACACGTCATACTTCTGCTATGCGACCACGACTGACACGCCTAGATCTTTTCCGACAAAGCCATCACAATGGAAGACATTCTCGCGGAAAAGGGCCAGCTGCTCAAAAAAGGCGCCCTGGACTCCGAGAGCGACATGGAGTTCTGGGATGACGGCACTCAGACCGAGCACACGAAGAAGCCTTGAGCTACGAGCTACGAGCTACGAGCTACGAGCTACCTCTTACCAACATCTAGACAGCGCAGCCGGTCTGTGCAACTCTCAAGTCACCTCTGCGAGGCCGCCATAATACTTCTCTCCTCTGTCCGCCTACTCATCTGACATACACAACTCCGGAATTTTGGAAAGATACACAATCATGTATAGATATAGAAGGGAAAAACGACTTTCAATTATACAAAGACAGTCTATGCTTTTTTGCCGATGCTGACATCGAGTCTGCTGATGAGATATGCCACTCCGAAAGTGCCCATGAGGGACGCGAAAATGACAATAGGCTTCCTGAAGCCGGCGAGGACAGGGTAATCATATGTTACGACAAGGTCCTTGCCGCGGAAGTCGTCGACAACATTCAATGCCGTCAGCTGCAGTGTCGAGCGGCCGATCGTGTCCATGAAGGTGCGGTGTGTGCTGACTTCGGAAGAAATGATGGGAACCTTGGTCTCGAACTTGATGTTGCTGTGATTTTGTTAGCTTGACACGCGAGGAGGTTAAGCATGGTTGAAAGACTCACGTTGCACCTTCTGGGAGAACGACTCTGAGAATCAGCTTCTCGATTTCAAGACCCTCAGGCTGCTTGGGACCCTCAAGGAAGGGAACCTTCAAGACGTAGCCATCGCCAGTCTTGAGCTTGCGCAAGAAGTTCTTGAGGTCGTTGTCCCATCCGACCTTGAAGCTGTACTTCCAGCCACCGAATACGGGGTAACGGGGCTTGAGCTGCAGAAGAGCCTCCTTGGGAGTGTTTCTGGGACGGAAGCGAGAAGTGCTGACATTGCCAATGTCGTCGATGAAGTAAGGGTTGGCACTCCCGATGATCAGGGGGTACTCGAGCTCCTTGAGAGCTGAGGAAGGAGGGTTGAAGTATTGAGTCTGTTGCCATTGGACACGCGAGAACTGGTTCTTGAGGGTAGCACCTCTGTTCTCGAGCCAGTAGCGCTCCTCGGTAGCGATGTTGCCGCCCCAGTGGCTGACTTCAATGTCGCGCTCGACGAGCGAAGCGTGCAACAGAGGCTTGGTGAACTCATATCTCAAAGAGACAGGCTGGTTGGCACCGGCAGGTACCTCGCCGTAGGGACCGTAGGTGAAGCTGACACCCTGCTTGACGGGATCCTGTTGACCCTCGGCGTTGGTGCCGACGACAGTGTACTCGGGAACGTCGTTGGTGGGCATCTTCAGCTTGGTCTTCTGCTTCATAGTCTTGTAGGCCGAGTTTGTGTAGGCATTGAGGGTGATCTGAACATATTGCTTGTCTGCTTGAGCAATGCTGGCGGGCAGAGGGCTCAGGGCGGACAGGATCGAGTAGGTGATGGACAGAGTGAGCTTCTCCTTGGGGGCCAACGGGGTAGGGAAGGTGACGCGGTAGTACTCGATGGGGCTTCGTCTGTCAGCGCGTTCGATGTAGTGACATAGACTGCAAGAACTCACCTGTACGTATCAATGCCAACAATCTCCGGGCTAGGGAAGATTGCGTCGGGCTTGTTCTTGTCCTTGACATCCAGACCTCCGACTCTGGCAATCAGGTCCTGAGGAAAGGGCAGGTAGTATTCCTGCTGCGCCTTCGAGTCGATGTTCTCGACAACGACGTTGATTGTTTCGCGGGGGTACTCCTTCTCCAGGTTGACGGTTCGGACGAGGTTCGTGTGCTGGAAGACTTGCGGAGGTTCGAAGGTGCCGCTGAGCATCTGCTTGGAGACGTCAGGGTCGCTGAGATTGGCCTCGGCCTGGGCGAAGGAGAGCAGCGCTGCAGCGCAGCCTGCGAGCAAACTCAGACTCCTCATGGTTGTGGTATGGCGAGAGTCTCTGAAGAGCAGAAGCATCTAGTCGATAGCTCTCCAGCTTTGGTGGAAGCGTGGCCTCTCGCTCTCGGCCCACCTTCCCCCGGCTTGCCGCGTCATCCAACCGCGACTCGCTCTCCAGCAGCCATGCGACCTTTTACCTCTACCGCCGCAGTATATTAATTGTTTGGGTATTGAATTTCTCAGGAGCAGCCAAAGATTGTATTGGGACTACGTCAGTATTCTCTCCGGTTCGAATCACCTTGCTAGTCGACACTCCTGCTTAGGAGTTCATAAGAAGACTTTGTTCTGGTTGCTGCTTGCTGTAAATGTTCAGATTGCGTCGAGGCGCACTAGCAAGCCAGACATGGCGTCAATCGACGACTGGTCTGCGCGGGACTCGCAGACTCTCATCCAACAGCCCCTATCTTAAGGTCTCCGAGGAAGTGCAGCAGGCCATTCACGAGAATAGGCCTGTCGTGGCACTCGAGAGCACAATCTATACACATGGTTTCCCATATCCTGACAACATTGCACTGGCATCTCATCTGGAAAGTATCGTCAGAGCTGGCGGTGGTGTTCCTGCTACCATTGGCATCCTGGACGGTGTAGCTCGCGTAGGCTTGGACGCTGAAGAAGTCATTCGACTTGCCGGTGCTGCGGGTAAGCCTGACACTCTCAAGATCTCCCGACGTGACCTCGGTTTTGCTTGCGGCATGGGCTCTCCGGGACGTCGTTACAATGGTGGCACGACTGTTGCAGGCACTATGATCCTGGCTCATCTGGCTGGAATTCAGGTCTTCGCGACCGGAGGTCTCGGTGGAGTCCACAGAGGCGCTGAGAGCACAATGGACATCTCTGCTGATTTGACTGAGCTTGGCCGTACTCCAGTCGCTGTTGTGAGTAGCGGCTGCAAGAGCTTCCTCGACATTGGCAGAACTCTGGAATATCTCGAGACTCAAGGCGTGCCTGTCGCCACCTTTGCTGACGGCCGCACGGGAAACATCGACTTCCCTGCTTTCTGGACACGAGAGAGTGGTCTCAAGAGTCCCATGGTCCTGGAAGATGAGGCAACTGCCGCTGCAGTCATTCATGCGCACAAGTCATTAGGCTTACAATCTGGACTTTTGTTCGCCAATCCCATCCCTGAGGCATTCAGTATTGCCAAAGCCGAGATGGATAAGGTGATCGACAAAGCTCTTCAAGAGGCAGCGCAGGCTGGTGCTACTGGAGCTGCCAATACACCATTTATTCTTGCCAAGATCAAGGACTTGACGGGCAAGAATAGTGTCAAATCAAACAAGGCCTTGATCGAGAACAATGTCAGGAGAGGCACCACCGTGGCGGCTGAGCTCATGAAGCTTCAGACCGGGATCAACCATGGTCAGGCTTCGTGAGTGAGTGTATGAGAAGGACTGCAGTCACTTTGGCTGACTTTGGTAGTAGGTTCCAGCCAGCACCTCAATATCAACAGATAGGCAGATCAGGATCAACAAAGCATGCTACATCTGGTACACCCGAAACTATCTCCAGTCCTGTCAAGCAGAATACTGTTACCTCCCCATCTGTCTTTGTGGCTGGAGCGCTTGCTGTAGACTTCTCGTGTGACTACGCTCCGATATCTACTACTGCGAACAAAGAGCCCGTGCTTCATACATCAAACCCAGCGAAGATCATTCAGTCACTAGGTGGTGTAGCTCATAACGTTGCACGAGCGGCGAATCTTGTGGGCGACCCAGTACGCTTATGCAGTTCGGTCGGCGATGACCTTTCGGGTAGAGCTGCTCTGGATGCCCTTGCGACAGAAGGTCTGGAGATTACTGGTATCAAGACACGCATAGGGAGCAGTACGGCTCAGTATGTCGCCATCAATAATGCCAGTAAGGACCTGGTCATCGCTATGGCCGACATGGACATTCTGGACGAACCTGCAGCACAACCTGGGCAACCATCGACTTCCACTACTACTTCCAGCGACACACTCAATGATCTCTGGTTACCCCAACTACAGCAAAGCAAGCCAACACATCTTGTTCTGGACGCAAACTGGCAGTCACCGGCCTTAGCTCGCTGGCTCGATGCTGCAAAGTCCATCTCTGCTCAAGTTGCCTTTGAGCCAGTGAGCACGGCAAAGGCGCCCAGAATTTTCCAGTTGCCACGTCAGACACCTCTCAGAACTTTCCCTGAGGCATCGGTTCATCTTTCTACTCCAAACTCTCTCGAGCTCTCTGCCATGTATGAAGCAGCCCGCTCGCTCGGCTTCTTCGATCGTCAAGATTGGTGGGCAGTTATCGATGCTTTGGGTATTCCTTCTACAGGTGCTAGAGTAGCGATGACCATTGCAACAAACTCTACTCTCGTGGATGCTGGTATCCCTCAACAGACCATTCAATTGTTGCCGTTCATCCCCACGATTTGCGTCAAGCTTGAAGCTGATGGTGTGCTTGTCACTCAAATTCTACCTGCCGGCGACTCGCGCCTACAAGATCCTGCATCGTCGCCGTACATCCTTAGCCGCTGCTTCAATCTACCGGAGGAGTCGTCTGGTGTAGGTGGTGTATATATGCGCCTGTTCCCTGCTGCTGAGAAGGTGGATGGGAAGGATATCGTTAGTGTCAATGGTGTTGGCGATACTTTCTTGGGCACGATCGTTGCTGGTCTTGCCAAAAGAGGGAAGGATGCAAAGATCGAGGAATTGATTGACGTTGCGCAGAGGGCTGCTGTGTTGACATTGAAGAACAAGGAGGCTGTGAGTCCTGAGCTCGCGAGTCTAAGGTCGATGCTGTGAGGTAAACACCAAGCGCGTGAAGTGAAGTACGTCGCGCTGCGCGATGATGATCAAGAGGATGACCCAGACAGTACGTATGTAGCACTCAAAAGAGACATCTTCTACTCATACGCATCATCATCATCATCAATCCCACGCGCACCAAAACAAATCCCATCACTTCCCTTGGCACATCTCCCCTCCAACCCATATAAGCCCAAATTTCCAGCACCCTCTTGCCGACCAAGCTGGTCAACCAAACGGACGCGTTTGGCCCACTTGGGAAGCGCGTTGGCAACAACGCTAAACGTACGGATCGTACGAATGGTCCACGGTTCATTTCGGACCAGAGACCAGAAAGAAGGGGCAAGCGAAAGAGAGCAAAAACAAATCAGAAAAAACATAAAAGACTCCCCCAGAAAGACAGAAAAATAACCACAAGTAAACTCGTCCAGTTTCTTCCGCCTCCGAAAGGGGTGTTTCTTTTGTTGTTTTTGCGTGAGAGACATGGTGGTAGAGAATTGGTGTTTTTGATATTGGATTTGGCACGTAAACTCGCCAAGTATGGATAGAAACCCTGTCCGGTAATAAGCCGGAGGTAACGCAGCTGTCAACCTCCACCGTCGACGACGCGAGGTTGTCAATACATTCGTTCGCAGGCAATTACTCTACAGACCCACAAATTCGTGCTAGGTCTAGCTTCGACATTCTGTGCCTCTTTTACGCACCTTCTAATGCATATTTCACGCCATGAGGTCAAAATACGCGTTTATTGACTGGCTTTCGAGGAATATACAACGCGTCTATGACTGAGCTGCATCATGCCACCAGAGTCTGCATCACAAGGTCTGAGAGAACATAGACCACCCCGAGCTTGTCAATCATGTCACACAGCTAAAGTCCGCTGCCGGAGAACTGCGAATGATCAGCCATGTGTACGCTGTAGTCTGTCGGGTCGTCCGTGTATACGCATCGAGAACTCGAACAAAAGGCAGAAGCGAAATGATGGCAGATCTTTGAGCGAGATTGAGTCGAGCCTTGCTGCCTTAACGGAAATCCTGCAACCTCGAGACAGGGATACTTCTTCTGGCCAGCATGTCATCACTCCAGCAAGTACGACCGAGCCGAACGTCGCAAGGTCAATCTATGAGCTTTTCGATCAAGAGACAGCAAGTCTGATCTTCGAGCACTTCACAGAAAATATGCTCCAACACTTTCCGTTTATGATTTTTGGCCTGGAGGCGACTGCCGCAGATGTGCTCAAAGATACGCCTATCCTCTTCCTGGCCATTATGGATGCCGCAAGCGATGGCTTTTGCGAGACCGACACTTCCCGAAAGCTTCGCAGACTCCTCGTCCGGACATACTCCTCAACTCTGCTCGAGACCAGAAGACATGATGTCTCACTGCTGCAAGCCTATGTCGTGACGGTGATTTGGCACAGGGATTCAGAGCCTTCACAATCTGGACAGCAATTGAATGCTTTCCAGCTGAGTCATGCAGCTGCAAACACTGCTATGACCATGGACCTAGGCAAAAGACTGAAAGAATGGTCAGGAATGGCATCAATACCAATTCGGCTGCATGGTACTCAAAATCCGGCTTGCGACTACCAGGTTGGCAGTCTGGAGGTCAGGAGAATATGGCTGGCTTGCTACTACATCTGCTCCCAGTATGTATGCCTACACTCGCTGCTAGAAGCATAGCCTAATCTGTTGTAGTACTTCGTTAGCGTCACGGGCGCCCAACATCTTGCGCTGGTCTCGAAACATGGACGAGAGTCTCGAAGTGTTGGGGAAGTCTTTAGCCGGATCCCCTTCTGACAAGGTGCTGTGCGCTTATGTGAGGTTGCAACATATTGTCGAGGATACGGAAGCACAGATCTCCGCTTCTGTCCCGTCAAGTACTGCGACCGGAATCGCATACAGAGCTGCGAAGCGCCAGCTTGCAGAGTGGGCTTCCACATCTCATGTTTGGAATGGTGCGTTTTGCTTGCGTTCCCATCAGAAGTCAAGCTAATACCGGAAAGACCAACTCGCACTATCTTATCAATTCGCGGAGCTGTACTTGCATGAGACAGCAATGACGTCCGATTTATCTGCCAAGCAGAGAGACAATGTCAGAGTCGACACGATCACTGTCAACCCAACTGAGTTTCAAGATTGCCTGTCAGCTGCACACACCTTACTAGACACATTCCTGTCCGTGGAAATCACACTGATACGCACACTACCTACAGTCTACTTTGTACAATTCACACATGCGGCGATTGTGTTGGCCAAACTACATTTCGCCGCAGCGCGGGCTTTCGTCGCTACGGAAGCAGCGAGTAGAATCTCGGCGCTGGGGGTGGAGGACTATTTGGAACGTGTGGTGCAGAAATTCAGTGGTTGGGGTGCATTGTGGCCTTTACAGAAGCTTTCCGATACCTTCAAGCGGCTTCAGCAATTGCTCAGGCAATGTGGGGTCTCCGAGTCTGCTTCCGTAGCATGGCTCGATGTGTGGATCTTAGAGTCAACTACAAGTGTGCCGAATGACGCTCGAGCCATCGTGGGAGAAGGAGTACCCGAAGATCAACCCGAATATATCGCAGATGAGGCAATGCTTTCTGTGGCTAATGACGATGTTTTAGTGTGGGCGCAGGCAGGATCGAAACACAGTATCTTGAACGACGAACTGCCATCTGCGAGTCTGGACGCTACACAACTGGTTGATTGGTTCGGAACAGATCTGGACACGAGCACCTTTGATTTCGATGGCAATTTACAACTCATGATACCGTTCTTCGACTAAAAGATCGCCCGATACGCTTCTACCACACGCTTCTACCTGATCTGGAACAACATATTCTCTGCTTACACTATCTAAGCAACCGACGCCTGTACCGGGATCGAAGCCACTGCGCGATCAAGAAGACTCGTTGTGTGGTCCCATACTTTCTGTGCCATCCCGTGACTTCTCAATTGTTGCATTTTCTTACCCGCCGCCGATGTCTCCCCCTTCCAATTCATCAAATACGCGCCACCACCGATAGTCCCATCAGAACTAATGGCTATTCTCCCATCCTCTTGAACAGCAGTATCGTTAGACCCATCGAGCATTTTGGCGGGAAAACGGCCAGAGCTTGCACAGAAGAGATGACGCTGACCGCTCTCCTCGATGTTGACAGAGAATGGCCACAGCAGCGGCCACATGCCATAATTGTACACGGCAGCTAGTGGTGGAGGGAAGCTATTGGTATAGATATTGGTGCCGACCAAACCTGGATATACGTGGACAAAAGAAGCGCGATGCGACGCAGCTAGGTGTTCCATGGCAAGCGACGTCATAGTGACAGAGTGCATGGCACAACTGACAATGTTGTAACCTTTGTTGAGATCGAGATTGTCAACATCGATGGTGCCCTCGAAGCCTCCACCTAATACGCTGACCACTCTTCCTGGCTCAGCCTCTGCAGCTTCCAGTAGTGGCAGCAAGTTCTGGACGAATCGCATGCGCGCATAGTAGCGCAGAGCAAACAATTTGTCAATGCCTTCGCTGGTCTCTCGACGTCCAACTAGCGACAGTCCGCCAGGAGTCATGAAGAGAAGATCCAATGCCTTCTCGCGTTGCTTGATGCTTTCACAGGCCTTGTCAACATTGCTGATGAGCGACACATCGGCTTCGATGAAGTTGAAAGAGCCTAGCGGGTTGGTCTGATGCAGCTCTTTGAGCAATGGTTTGGCATTAGCCTCGCTGCGTCCAACTATGTATGCCGTAGGAGCATTCGTATTGAGAGCAAGTTGGCGTAGAGTGCTTCGGCCGATACCACTGGTTCCCCCGACGAAGAGAGCCACGGGACGAGGTAGCTTGGAGCGTAGATTGCTGTTGGCTCTGCGTACAAGATCAAGTCCGACCATATCTGGGATATGTACTGTTGATCTGTTTCGATGAAGATGAGTTGTGTTGTGAATGAAGAGAATCTCGAAGATGATTGAGGTGAAGCAGGGTTAGAAAGGTAGAGCTACAGTGATTGAGAGACGGCCAGAATGGGACGGTGGTGCTTGCTTTATGTAGCAATCGAAGAATGTTCAGTGTCCCGGAATCAGTGACGGATAAGGAAACACCGATGAAGGATTACCTCCTCACAATTATGTTTGCATCTATATCTGGAAGGTAACGATTCATCATCTAATTCGCTTCATTCCAACTTCTCTGGAGGAACGGCAAGGAGATTCACAATTCCAGTCGGAAATACCGAACACCAATATATATACTCTAGACACGTATGCTGCTCGTGGAGGCTCGTAAAATTGTGCGTTCGATGTTCAATAGTTAGTCTGACCAGGATGTGATGTTGGGACGTAGGATCAGGATGGATCGTGGGGATGCCGATAGATGCCGACGGATCATTCTTGGCACAGAGGATCACCGAGGGATCACACCGAGAGCTCCGACGACATCTTCGCGATCGATCAACTCTATTCCTAAGAAACCTATTCCATGTCACCTCTCCTTTGTCTTCAGAAAGATCTGCGGACCTGAACGACGATTTCAATATGACATTGCGTAATAAGTTGTATACATACAAGGTAAGAGAGCCATATGAGTACTGCTCAGATCTTGACAGCTGACATTCTGCTCATCTCAGTAGGGCGGACCGAGATCAATTGGCATCCTTGCTGTGGCTCATGCGATAGACTTTGACATTGAGGTTGTGGAAACGAATCCACAAGTTGGGCTTTCCGAAGAATACCTGAAGCTCAACAGGCTAGGCAAGACGCCGACGTTTGTGGGTTCTGACGGAACAGTCTTGACAGAATGCATGGCTATTGCCCTCCATGGTATGTAGCAGATTTTTCTACACTCGGTATATCATCTGAATAGTAAGACTAATAGACACACACAGTCGCAAGTCAAGATCCCGAGTCAAGGATGCTTGGACCAACACAAAAGGACTTTATCTACATTGTCCAATGGATGTCATTTTGTAACAGCGATGTCGTGAAGAGAATGGCCGCCTGGATCCTTCCACTCCTTGGAGTAGCACCATACGCCGCCCAAGGCGTCGAAATGGCCAAGAAACAGACTGCTCAAGCTATTCAGATCTTGGAGGATCACCTACGAGACAGAAGACATCTTGTAGCTGACTGCTTGACACTGGCTGATCTCTTCTGTGCTGGCTTGGTCAGCTTCGGCTTCGCAAACGTGTTTGACAAGGCTTGGAGATCAGGGTTCCCTTGCTTTACGGCATGGTATGAGATGGTGACGTCTCTCGAGATGTACCGAGCTGTGCAGCCAGAGACGGTCATGGTGGAAATTGCTCTGGGACCCCCGACCCCATCGATGAGGACCACTTACACGGCTGATGACTAGTCGAAGCGACTAATCCGCGTCTCAACTCTGGAGGAAGATATAACGACAGTACATCGCCTCGAGCATCTCTCAATGGGCTTTGTATTCTCTATCCTGGCGCGTACGATGGTCGACATACTACATCGGGATCATGATCTTGTTGACGGTTCCCTCGATTTAGAGTAGGCAATGATGGCTAAGAGCAAGGGTCGGGAGGTAGTCCATTGCCGCAGGCCGGTCGACGCCTGAAACTTGCTCATCCAGACCCAATCTCTCTCTGCCCACCCAGCTCCATCCACTCCTCATGTACAACTTTTCTTGTGTCCTCCTGTCATCCAGCTAAGCAAGGACCCCGCCTTCTCGCCTGGTGTGTTTGGTCTACTTGGTTGGAGCGGACATACGACAATCTCCCGTGTCCGAGTTGAATCCTCCGCACGAACAGATACTTTCGCTGGGATAATAAGAGAACGCGGAGGCTGCCGGTTTCTTTCCACGGGGTGGGTGGTTTCTTTTGCTCCTCCTCGGGGGGATGAGATTCTTTTTGTAGTGTTCTACCTCTTTGGTTGTTCTTTTTTCCATCTACGTTTCCACCTATCGAATCTTCATTGGTATGCCTTCATCAGCACCATGTCAATGCATGCGCCATCACACGCGCCTTTGAATCTCTCTCAGTCGTAGTTAAATTCTAAGCGGGAGTCTTGCACCATCTAGATACCGAATCTTTGAGAGCATAACCAAAGTCTATTCGTCCGCCGTCACGACGCCACTTTTAAAGATTACGACACCGTCTCTCAGCCTCATGCGCTTTCCTCGCACCACTCCGACTGAATCCAACACCGCAAAACGAACACTTTAGATCCGTACCCACACCACGCTTCTCTCTCTGATGTCTAACAAGGTTACTCTGAGTCGAGAACGTGCGACCATTGCAACATGAATTCCAGCAGTGAGGAAGTTCACGGTCATTCGACAGTGGTCGTGAATTATTTGTAAGAGGCATGTTTGCGCATTGATCTGCTGCTGCTGCTGCAGCAGGCGTTGTGATGGGTATATGTTGTGGAGTTTGTAATGTACGTGTCACTTCTAGGGATATTTTTGAAGAGCTTCCCTTCGCATCAGTATACATTGATCTCTTCTGACCCGGGGGGGGGGGCTGTTTTGATACCTTGAGCGCTTGATTCCCGCGAGTTCTTCTTGTAGTCTTTGGATTTCTGCTAGTATCGTGGCTTGCGAGACAGACATATGCCTATCTAACTGTGGTGACAGGAACTGCGCAGTGTTTGCAGACGTCGTACTCGCTACATGATCTTTTTGAGGAACTCGCAAATCGCCTGTAGCTCCCTTGTTATCGTGGAAGAATGCCCATGATTCACTACACTATTTCGTCAGTCAAAGGCTTTGTGTCAAGCATAGATGTGCCTCTTCACACCCGTATGTTGAGACCATGACCGGTATTTTGATTCGAGAAACGAATGAAGGTCAGATTGTTTATGGACGATGAATTTTATGAAGGTTATACACAGTTAGTTCGCGAAGTGTTGTTATAAATTAGGTTCGTAGCGACGTAAGCGAAGGATCAATAGACTTGTCAGGATTGCGACCCTGATCTTGACACAAACCACAAAACGAACAGCGATACTGCAAACTAGTCTGCACTTCCTTGATTTGGAGATGCCTAAAACAACGGTAGGGTATCCAGGTTCTGGTTGCGTTTAGAATCTGCCATGTAGCGAGCGGTCGTCGGTTGGAGCGAACAAAATGCACGAAATTATGCTTCATGCGTCGAGGAGTTCATGAGAGTGGAGCTCACCTCAGTCGCAGACGTGTGTCGTGCAGTAATAGGAGGCTTCTGCTTCCATATCCAATGCATGTTTGATTGGTTGATTTTTGTCAAAGGAAGTAAGTGTTTCTGCCTCTCCAGGACAATCATTAATGCCATAGCCAAGAATCATGTTATTGACGAGCAAGGCGAGGAACAATGGGGAGTGCCACATGTGACTTGATCCATAGACGACCCTTCGCCATGTAGCTACCTCTGTGTGTCTGCAAGGAGCCAGTAGCCGAGTGTCATGCTCTATGTATTGTCCTACAATATAGTAATCATAAGCTGGCACATTATGATTATGCTTGATGCAAGGCCTGTACACTATGTACCAGCTCAAATTACTGCTGCGCGATGCGACTTTAAGCGGATCGAGGTAAGACGGGATGGCAGGGCTGTCACTCATGCATGTCGAAATTGCCGACGACATCTGGCTCCCCACCAACAATTCTTGTACTGTACCTGGTGATTATTCTGATTCTTCAGCTCAATCCAACGTGTTCACTATGCGACAACATGGGTTCCTTGCATGTCTTTCTCGCGTATTGAACTGCGACGGCCAGTATTCGAAAGTCGATCGATATGCTTTTTTCCAAGCCTTGTTTCCGTGAGAGGTACACAGGTACATAGATGCGTGAGTCCGAGGACAAGGCGAGCTGAGTAGAAGAAGTGAACTAGAGGTCGTTGTTAATCAAAGGCAAAAAATCTATCATGCCATCTCTGCCTGTCGTTGAGACTCCACTTGCAGTATTGATGGACCGCACAGTCGCTTTCCCGCAGCTGACAAGTGGTGGATCGCAGATGTCCGTCTGTGCTGGTATTACGAATGCAGCTCGATGGCTGGGGAGGGTCTTTTCAGTCTCCTCGGCGTCTCTGATTCGGACATTGTGCGTGGTGTGGTGTAGTGGAGCCATTCGGGCGAGCCTTTTCTTTGCAGAGAATGGCCCGCCAGCCAGCCGTGCGGAAGGAAAGTCATTGAACCAAGATGACACGTGGGTAATCGGCAGGAAAAGTGCATCGCATATCGATTCTAGAGCATGAAACAGTGCAAGCAGTTGACAAGATACATATGTTTTGTACTGTGGTTGAGCAGCTGGACAAGCAGGTGACAATTGTTGAGCATGACTAGGACATGCTCTTCAACCCCTGTCCATCACTTCGGCTCTTGGAGAAGGTTTTCGGGCTGGACCGAGCAATCTGAAACGGACGGCTTTCCTGCCCTCCTTGGCCGATCTCCCGTGAGCCCGACACTGCGGGCTGAGAAACGCTGTGCGTTTCATCCTCCTCCATCTCCAGATCAGCACATGTGAACAGTTCACCACAAGCAATTGTCAAGGCATTCTGTAACGTCTTGTGCGCATCACACATGGGTAACGGCTACCGGTGCAAGTAATGGGAAAGAAACACAAGCTTTTTTCACCATGCGTCAACAGCGCGTTACACAGTGATCCGTGCCTGCCCCATAACAGCCAGGAGCGAATGGCGTCTCGGTGCCCCTTGTTCTTCTAGGCCCGATGTGACAGCCGCCCCGGTCTGTAGCTCTAGTGATTAGGTGTGCGCGGCTCCATTTCCTTTCTGCAGTGCACCGAGTGCAGAACGGGTACCTGATTGCGTGGTCCCTTTACCCCTTGAGAACGTTTTGTTGTAACTTTTGCCGCTCTGCATGTGAAGACGATGTGATGAATCGCACGGCGCCGAGAGGGTGAGCGTTTGTCGTGAGTGTGCATCTTTTCAAAAGTAAACGAGTATTCCCACGCGTGAATAAGTATCACATAGCCGCCGCACTTCGACTTGACTTTTCTTCCCCTCTTCACCACATCCACCTTACCTTCCCGTCCCTCGTTCAAGAGCATTCGCTCGTTTCATTCTCTTGTCTTTACAGACTCCACTCTCTTTCTTTCAAGATCTTCGAGCCCTGGTAGGCTTGATTCAAGGCGCTCTAGCAGCAGCACTCTTTTTTAGGCCGTCCCAAACACGACAAACAATCTTCCGGTCTTTCCATCTTTCTCATCGATACTCTTGAAAAGATGTCTTCTGTCAACACCAAGTTCGCTGTCCTGGCTCTCGCAGGCTCTGCTATTGCCATTCCCAGCTTCGGCCATGGCAAGCACCATGGAAAACACCACAAGCACTACTTCGGCTCTTCTGGCATTGCTACTGGCACCGGTTCTCCTTACGGCATGGCCAATGCCACTGGTATCTGGGGTACCGGCACTGCTGTTGGCTCCAATGGCCTTGTCGCTTCTACCGGCCTCGCGTCTGGCTCTTTCGTCCACCCTTCTGCTGTTGTCCCCCACACTGGCTCATCCGAAGCTGCTGCTGCCTTGTCCAGCACTTGCACCGACTCCGTCGTGAGTGTCACTCACACCAACCGTGTCACCGTCACCGTTCACGCTTCTTCTGCTGAGGCTGCTCCTGCTCAGACTACTCTAAGCACCAAGGCCTACGTACAGTCTGCTGAACTTGACTCTGCCGAGTTCAACAGCACGTCCATCTCTCTTGCTAGCAGCTCTGCCATCGCCAGTAGCTCTGTCGCTTTCAGCAGCTCCGTTGTTGTTGTTGCCAACACATCGGAGTCCGCTGCCAGCAGTTCCGTTTCCGTCAGCAGCGCTGCTACCTCTATCGATCTTGAGCTTCAGAACAAGGGTCACCAAAAGTGGACTCGCTCTTCGACTGCTGCCGCCTCGACTGTCGCTGCTCAGTCTACCAGCGCTGTCGCTGTCGCTCCTATTGCCAGCTCTGCCGTCTCCACCAGCAGTGTCTACGTCGCTCCTGCCTCAAGCTCAAGCTCCAGCAGCAGCGTCGTCTATGTCGCTCCTACTTCTGCCGTCGTTGTCAGCAGCTCATCCGCAAAGGCCTCATCTACCTCATCTTCAGCCGCTCCCGTGTCTAGCAACACCGGCAACGGTAAGCGTGGTCTTGCTTACAACACTGCATCTCTCCTCGGTTGCTTCGAGAACAACGACCAAGTCACCTGGGGATACAACTGGGACTCTGACAGCGCTGGTCTCTCCAGCAGCTTCAACTACGTTCCTCTTCTCTGGGGCACTAGCAACGGCCACGCTGAGGTCTGGAACGAGCGTGCTACCGATGCCCTCGCCAGCGGATCCACCCACCTGATGTCTTTTAACGAGCCCGACATGACTTCGCAGGCCAACATGTCCCCCGAAGAGGCAGCTTCTGCTTACAAGACCTACATGATGCCGTTTGCTGGCAAGGCCAAGCTTGGTGCTCCTGCTGTTACCAACGGTGGTGGCAGCATGGGTCTCAATTGGCTCAGCGCCTTCCTCGCAGCTTGTGATGGTTGCCAGGTCGACTTCGTGTCCATTCACTGGTATGACAGCGCTTCCAACACTGCCTACTTCAAGGAGCACGTTCAGAACGCCACGGATGTTTCGGGCGGTAAGCCTGTCTGGGTCACCGAGTTCGCTCCTACCGGCGCTTCCGACTCTGCCGTTGCTACCTTCCTTGAAGATGTTATGCCCTGGATGGACAGCCAGAGCTTTGTCGAGCGCTACAGCTACTTCATGGCTTCCGACGGCGTCCTCATCAGCGGCACTGAGCCTTCAACCTTCGGCACCACTTACGCCACTTACTCTTCTTAGAGCACCAGTCATTGAGTGACTATTTCGACAAATGTGATTAACGAATGGGACAAAGCATACGGTGTGGGATTCGGCAAGGAAAATGGGATGACTGGGCGGTCATCGTGCAATGGAATTCGCATGCGAATAGAGAAGGCAAGGACTGGTTTCTGCTTGACACGGGATTACGGATAGGGTGGATAAACACAAGTTGCAGCAAATGAAAAGCCTGTAACACAGTAACACAGAACATAGCGTGCATCCTGATTCTGTGTGCTTAGTAGAAGTGCAATATAGAAAATGTCACTGTTTGGCTGTGGTTGCTTCTTGATGACGCTCGTCGGAGCAGAAAGGTGGAGAAGCGGTTGGTCGCAAGGCGTTAATGGGTCGAAACACGTGCGGGCGCTGATTGGCCAGTGGACCAAGCAGTCGTGAGGATCAATCTATTCAGCAAGGACGAATTGCGCATTTTCTCTACAATTCTTCCAGTCGAGAGACTGCCGTACTGCTTCAGCAAGGGGTGTTACACGGTCAACAAAGCAATTGTACTCGAATCGCGAGTTGCTGCAAGGAAGTGTGCGACGGCGAAGAGACAATCATGAAGTGCGTAACACACGACGTCTTATAGCCCCACCCACGGCGGCCAACAACAGCAGCAGCTAACCCAGCTCGACAGGTTCGGTCAGCAACTGCAGAGCTCCTTGATCAAGGACTGGTACTACTACTACATCTCCTACGACGAGCTCAAGAGACTCCTCCAGCCCGAACTCCAGTCAAAGCCCACGGCCGACAACGCCCACCCGCCGTCCAAGACATGGACCGACGAACACGAAACCCGCTTCTACAGCGAGCTTGAGGCCGAGCTTGACAAAGTGTCCAACTTCCAGCAGGTCAAGAGTGGCGAGATCCAGCGTCGCATCAAGATCAGTGAGCGCGAGGTCACCGAGGTCATTTCCCGCGCAAAGGCTGCTCAGCAACAAGGGGAGAATGAGCAACGGCACACAGAGGCTCCCAGCGAGGAGGACTTTGGCATGCTGGAGGAGGACCTGTCCGACATCATCGCCGACGTGCACGACTTGGCCAAGTTCACCCAGCTCAACTACACCGGCTTCCAGAAGATCATCAAGAAGCACGACAAGCTGTACCCCGACCAGCAGCTGAAGCCCCTCTTTGCTGCTCGCCTCAATGCTAAGCCCTTCTTCAAAGACAACTACGACCAGTCCATCGTCGGTCTGTCGCAACTCTACGACCAAGTCCGCACTCGTGGCAACCCGACCCAGGGTGACTCGTCCGCCGGTGGTAGCCAGCAGAACTTCGTCCGCCAAACCACTAAATACTGGGTCCACCCCGACAACATCACCGAGCTCAAGCTCATCATCCTCAAGCATCTGCCCGTCCTCGTCTTCAACCCGAGCAAAGAGTTTGAGATCAAGGACTCTGCCATCTCGTCCATCTACTACGACAACACCGACACTTGGGAATTGTATGAAGGCCGTCTTAAGAAGACCGAGGGCGCAGAGGCTATTCGTCTCAGATGGTACGGCGACATGAACGTCGACACCATCTTTGTTGAGCGCAAGACACACAGAGAAGACTGGACCGGTGAGAAATCCGTCAAGGCTCGATTCGCGCTCAAGGAGAAGCACGTCAATGCCTTCATGCGTGGAGACTACACTGTCGAGCAAGCCTTCGAGAAGATGCGCCGTGACGGCAAGAAGAGCGAAAAAGAGATTGCCGACCTCGAGCAGCTCGCCAGAGAGGTCCAATACCGTGTCATTGCCCGCAAGCTGGAACCCGTCACCCGTTCATTCTACAACCGCACCGCCTTCCAGCTGCCTGGAGATGCCCGCGTCCGTGTTTCGCTCGACACCGAGTTGACCATGACTCGTGAAGACAACCTTGATGGACGTCAACGTGCCGGCAAGAACTGGCGCCGTATGGACATTGGCATTGACTGGCCATTCAGCCAGCTGCCTGCAGAAGATGCCGAGCGCTTCCCGTACGCTGTTCTCGAGGTCAAGCTGCAAACCCAAGCCGGTCAGCAGCCCCCTGAGTGGATTCGTGAGCTCGTCGCTTCTCACTTGGTAGAAGCAGTACCCAAATTCTCAAAGTTCATCCATGGTACTGCAACTCTCAATCCCACTCGTATCGACCTGTTGCCCTTCTGGATGCCTCAGATGGATGTCGACATCCGCAAGCCTGTATCACATCGTTTCGGTATCGAACGCCCTGGCCAAAGTACGGATATTTCCACCAGTGGCCAAATGGACGACGATACTGATGACGAGATGGAGGATGCTGCCAACCTGCCTGCCGGAGACGATAATGAAAACTATCGTCGTCTAAGGGCCGCCAGAGATGCTCTTGAGCAGCACGAAATCGCCCAGCGCATGGATTATGGCACCACTAACGGCGGTGCTGATCCCAACTCGCTTGACGAAGAAGAACGTCTGGCCGCCAGACCCCTCGCAGACGAAGATGACTACCCGCTTTACGACAGCGACGATGAGGATGATGACCTCGAGGAGGCCAAGCGTATCGGCGGCTGGACATACCGTCGCAAGCTGTTGGCAAACTACGCTGACAAGGTCGGCGACAAGTTAGCGAGCGCTTTCAGACTTGCGGCACCCAAGCCCACTACTATGCCCTCCAACGGCAATGCTTCCATGGGGATCCCAAGCGCGAGGAACAACGACCAGATTCGAGAGAAGCGGTACAAGGCACCAAAGGGTAAAAAGATTCACGTACCCGTGCGTGTCGAGCCCAAGGTCTTCTTCGCAGCCGAGAGAACGTTCTTGTCATGGGTAAGCAATCTCATCGACTTCTTCAAACTCTTATCGTATACTAACGCATACCACAGCTTGAGTTCAGCATCATCATTGGCAGTATCGCTGCCACCCTCCTCAACTTTGGTGACACCGCCGCCTTGGCTTCTGCCTGGGCCTTTACCATTGTCGCCTTGTTCGCAATCTGTTACAGCATGGGACTCTACCTCTACCGTGTGCAATCGATCCGCAGTCGTCGCGCCATCACATACCATGATAGATGGGGCCCTAGCGCATTGTGCGTTCTTTTGTTTGCCGCAGTAACCGTATCTTTTGCGTACAGATTCACACATGGTAGCGAAGGTGGTCTGAAAGGAGACATCAAGGGATAATGATGTTGTTTGAGGGGAAAAAAGCAAGGTGAAAGCTGTATATGATTGCATCTTTTGTTGTTTGATATTTTGTATAGAATGTATACCCGTGTGTCGCGAGGCCTTAGATAGCGGTATGTAATTTAACTCTTGGTCACGATCGTTGACGTTTGTAAGCATCGAGGCGCCGCTTGCGTTCGTGATGCTTCCTTCACCTCTAGCTTTGTGGCAAGGACGTCAGGAGGAGCCACATGATCGCGACTTCCGCGTGTCAACAGCTACACGCTGCAGTACTTGGACGTTTATTTCGTGAGATGACATTGACTGGCTGTTTTCTCGTTCCACAACCCCAACTCTTTCGGCGTACGCGAAAACGCCATAGTGGTGCAATCCCCTCCAACGGATATCAATCTTGGTTTCTGCTGCAACCATATCTCATAAATTGGAACTCGTGGCTTCCCGCTGAGCATCTCGCGACCGCGGTCGCCTCGTCCAATACCGAAGGCTTCTCCGCTCATCAGACCATACCGTTCTTGCCTCTCCATGCCTGAGTGCCCGTGATGGTTGTATCGAACATGAACATGGGTTCGCCGTTTTCCTGGATGAAGTCGAACTCTTCTCCATCCTCGACGCCCAACTACCACTCGTTTAGTATTCTTGTGAATCAATTCCGATCCAGAGACCCTTGAAACTTACATAAGCCGGTGTATCGGAATCAAAGATGAGTGCTCCGGTGGTCCGCTGCTTCAGGACCTTGTGCGGATGGTGAAGACGCAGACTTGCCAGGACGACCTTGTATGGTGTGTCTGAATTCATCTTGACGAGGGCACCTTCGGTCTCGATTCCTCCAATGCCTCCAATCCACACTGCAATACGCATGATAAGAGGCTGTACGAGGTCTTGGTGCTTAGGAGCGTTCATTGGCTTTATACATTCCAGGCGTCGCTCTTGCTCATCCTTCTCGGAGCGGGATTTTGCCTCTGCCTTGAGTACTGCGATTTGGTTGTTCAGACGAGCGATGCACGCTTTGTGATCCTGAATCCCTCTGACCAGCCCGGTAGTACAGCCACGGAATTTCCCAAGTTCAGTGATGGAATGCTGCAGCTTAGTCTGGAGGCTTTGTTCTCTTTCTCGACTCTTGTGGTTCTCTGAGATGAAGTGCGGGCAGTCTGAGCAGGGTGTTGGCTCTTGTTCGCGTGCAGTTGTCGCCTCAAGACGACACTCCAGCTTGCAGATCTGCGCTACGAAACTGTTCTTTTAAGCTTCCATCTCGACCAATTTCTCGCCAACTCTGGTGCATTCCTGAGTCGTGGCTCTCTCCTGGTCGTAGTTGGATCTTGCAGCTGCCACGAGGGTCTCGCGGTCCAATCTCGCTTCGATCCTCTCCTTGCCAATGGTTTCGACTGCTCCGTTGAGTTGTAGCTCTATATAAGCAAGCTTTCTTGCGGCATCTTGACGCTCGTACTCTGCTTGCATTCTGTCCGAGTAGATGATCTTGTCAAGGTGACTTGCCTTGCGGTCGGCTGCCTCAAACAGGTGTCGGGAAGTGTCTCTATCTGATTCTGAGACGGCGACTCTTTTATGAAGTTCCTCGATTAGAGATACTGGTCTGTGACAGAAGTTTCGTTGGACGAAAGCCTCTGTTCTGCATCATCCCTCTCTAATGATACGACCTTGAGTATCTCTTGGAGTTGTCTGATCTTGTCGCCAGCAGAAATCTCGGTTTTCTCGATGCTGTTGAACACGGACTGTTCTGTCATTTCTGCCAAATTCGGTGTCGTGTTGAGAGATAGACCTTCCTGTGAGCCGACGGTTGGCATGGTCGTCTCCTGGAACTGCTCAGAGTCTTGATCGTCAATGTCTGGGTCACATTCGGCAGATACGAGATCCTCGGGAGATTCGCAAACTTCCCAGCCCGACGATTCGCTTCCGGAACCTGGCGATAAAGGTCGTTGGTATTCCGAGATGAACCCATTGTCTTCGTTCTTGAGCTGCTTGATGGTAAGTATATCTGCGCCACGATGGAGACCCACGGCCAAAACGAACCTTGTACACATCGGCAAGCTGGTGAACATCCACGTTGTCATTGCCAGCCTGATCCTCCGGGACTGGACGGGTGTTGTCCGTTCTCATGTTCATGGTTATATCCAGATCAAATTTGACATACAGACCGCCGCATTTATAAGTGAGAGTGTTGTTGTTGTTGTTGTCAATGTCTTTGTACCTTTTGTGTTGTAGTTGATAAAAAAAAAACTGACGCAACACACGACTAGTATGGGTCGTGGTGGAAACAAGTGGAGTCGTACGAGGTTGTAGTCCCGCAATCATGCTCAACAACAGACCTTATTCGGACATACCCCCGGCATGCCAGGACCAACCACTAGGTTGTGCTGATGAATCTCCAGCAAGAAATACAAAAGTGCGCCCTTCCCCTCACTCTGGCTACTTTACTGCTGGAAGCAACGATACTTTCCACATGATGGCTGACTTCAGAGGCTACGAAATCGACGATTGTGAGACTATCGGCGCATCTTTTACTGGAATCATGACTCCTGGATCAGTATGTCGAGATTAATCAGTGATACACAAGTGTGACTGACCGTGTCAAGACAGTCTTTGGTCTAGAAATCCCGAAACCGACAGTCGTGATCCGAGTCAGGGTGACATACAAGTATGGAAAGACAAGAGAGCGGCTTGAAATCAAGATGCGCCGTGACATGCCCTTCAAGGAACTGGTCTCATTGTTCAAGAACAGACATGCAGGGTGTGAGAGATTTCTGTTCCAGTATGTTACCTGGTCAGAACTGGATAAGCCAAAGTCCCAAAGGCGTTACAGGTTGATCTTCGAGACTGATACACCTGCTTGCGTAAGTATGCCTGCGTCCGATCACTACCTGGAGACACGCTAAACCATGAATGCAGCTTGACCTAGCGGACATTGCGGAACTGGAGTTTGTGTGGCCGGGGGATACAAAAGCCATGGACTTATCTCAGGTATAAGTTGTCCTGCTCAGTCGCTTGATGGCCCGACGATATAAGACGCCGGTCGTTGATTCCGAGTCCGGGAAGGAGCAATTCTGCAAAATCAATGTTGTTTTTGTTCCGGGTACCGTAAATACTTTTTTGCGAATTAAAGAAAGTCCTTATTGAAAATTACTCTCTAAACTCTGCATACAATCAGAAGAGTTCGAGAATACATTGCATTCGAAACGGGAAGAAAGCTACCTAAAGAATTTCCGCCTCCTCATTGTCTTCCTCTCCTTCACTCCACTCCAATTCCTCATCACCTAGCGCTTCGGCTTTGCGTTGTACTTCTGCCAAGCCAGAAACCTCTTCTACATAGCCTTTTTCATTGATTGCGCGTTTCACAAAGTCCCATGAACTGCTGTCGTTACTGCCATCGCCGTGGTACAATGATAGAATCGTAGGTGAGCATGCTGAACAACAGTCATATGCCTGTCCTCTAATCGTCAATGTACGCCAATCGCTAAGGAAGCCACGTAGTGAATGCGGTACGCTACCCAATGGGTGATCAGGATGCTGCAGTCCGGGTTCGCCGATAGGAGGGGCGGCAGCAGCTTGCTTATCTGGATGCTGCAAAACAGACACAAACAACTCCACAGCAAGCGCACTCGCAATGGCAGCAACACCTGGTCTCGTAACCGTACACTGCTGATCCAATGTCGCCGATTTCAGAGAATTGGCAGGAGCGACGACATCATTGCAAAAGTAGCAGCCTAGTTGCTCTGCAGCAGGTTGTGAAGAGACACCATGGCGCATCACCATGTAAGAGTCAAAACCAAGCGCTGAGTTGATGACAATCTTGTTTGCTGCTTTGCCCATTACTGTTGGTAACCAGCGTGATTCACGTGTATCCATGAGGATGAAGATGGCGTCGTGGTCTTCGATGAGCTTGTGTAGTTGGTCAAAGTCGGCTTTCACTTTCTTCTCGTCCATGATTGGGTGACCAGCCATAGGGACTGACAGAGCATAGCTTGCTGCATTCACACCTGGATAGATGCGTTTGAGCGCCGCGGCAGCTGTTTCAGCTTTAGGAGAACCACCCTTCAGACAGTCGTCGAAGTTGAAGAGTGGCTGGCGAACTGGATTGCTGAAGCTGACTTTTCCGTTGTCGACAAAGGTGATGTTCCTTACACCCCAGCCCATGAGATTTCGAGCGACATAAGAGCCTAGAGTCCCTGCACCTAGCAGTAGACACCTCGTGTCCTTGATGATGTCCAGATCGATCGAAGGTGCAATACGCCATTTGATGAGCTTCAGATTCAAGTCGACTGCCTGGTCAGCGAGACGGGTGGGGTCCATATATGCACCCATATCGATGGTGCGAGAAGAATTTCTAGACCTTGTGTCGCGTTCCCATCCTGTAATCTTCGGCATTGGGCCACGCTCTGATGGTGGAATTGACCTCGGCGTAGGGGACGAAGGTGAGTCGCGGCCCTCGGGCGTTGAAGGGAATGTTGCAGAATGATCACCTTCGGTAGGCTTGACAGATTCTGCCTTGAAGAAGATGCTGTGCGGCTGCTCTCGTCGAGCATGTGTGTCACGGTAACACATGATCTGAAGTTTGTCAAGTTTCCATCGTTGTCGCACGAGGACAAGCAGATTCCTCAGCATCCATCCAGGATTTGTCTCGAAGGTCGAAGGGTCGGCGAAACAGATGTATTGGTCTTCATCGTCGACATTGTTGAAGAAGCCAGTCTCATAGTTTGCTAAGGAGCCAATCTTCCAGCGATAGTCAGACTCGTCTTCTGTGATTGTGTTGTCGGTGTCGTGAATCTCAAAGTCGCGGTCATCGGGTTCGTCGAGTGGGGTATGTGACTCATGGTCGTCATTCAGTGAGTCACCCCGAATCTTCTTGGCCAGGAAGAAACCGTGTTGTCTCGTGTCGACACTGTATCTCCATGTTTGTACCTTGTCAACCAGCTCTTGTGTTTCCTTTGAAGTGATCTTCGGTGCAGTCGAACATGACCAGGTGGGGTCCGAGTGCAAGGCTGGGTATGCGAATTGGTATGTGAACTTGAACTTCTTCAGATCGGCGTAGCAGATGGCTGAAAAGGAGGACAGCAGTGAGGGGCATGAGAAGATTGTGCCGTCGTTGATGGCGTCCCAGATGGTCCGACCGGCGCGTTCGATGTGGGCGGCTTTGTCGACTTGCTTGTACTCGTCCATGGTATTGAAGTTGCGAATGTAGCCTTCACCACGGTAGAATCCAGCAGGGACACTATATCGACGTTAGCCATGTTTTTCATCGCTCTCCAGCAGAGTAGACAGGCACATACTGGTCCTGCGTCAAGGCAGAGTTGTGAACCTGCATGCGCGCCGACCGCTCGGGAGGGTCTCTTGTCTGGATCTGATAGACACCGAGCACTCTACGAGCCGATGAATCGAGTCGATCATGATTGAGCTTGAGGTTACCAAGTGCTGAATAGAAGCCTAGGTCGATTTCAGACGTCCAAGGCGCGAACTTGAGTGCCTCCATCAGGGTACTAAAATGGTGCGTTTGTCGCGTTGCGGGGTGCTTCTTGCTTCGTCTTCGTGCTGTGCTAGCAATAAGTCTCGATATGAAGAGTGTTGATTATGCGAAAGAATATGCGCCTTCTTTGTTCCCGGTGAAGGTGTCTTGTAGCAGCAGCATATGACTTGCGGATCGTGATTGCTGAGTGTGATTGATGCTCGACCTGCCTGTGACGTTTGGGTCGCGAGTGAATGATGAATCAACCCGTGCACGGTCGTTGTGTCAGTCGCGCCTGCTTTCCGTCAAACATGTGAAAGCTCCTTTGTCCACCACTCCCGCTACTCCTTCTTCTCCACTAAAGCACTTGACTCAAGGCACAAACAAGTGTTTACTGCAGGTCACATCTGTGTAGAGAAAGAGGTCCTTGTCTAATAATGCTCATTGGTATTTGTGGTCGTAAGTAAACATGTTCTCTCCATCACTCTTTCCCGTTTTTGAGCAATTATTCGCAGCCATCTGCGCGGGCAAAGCAACCGTAGCAGATTATCTGATCAAAAAACACAACTTCACCCCTCTCACAATCAAACGAGACGACAAGACTCCCTCAATTGAGAAGTCGGCAAACTTTGCACATTGGACATCTGCTGCTCTGGAATTCCCTACTGCCCTCTTATTGGATCAATATGTCTCTGAGAATTGGAGGGAAAACTATGTCCTGACTACCATCTGGAACGAAGCTGTTCTCGATACACTGGCCAAGCGACCTCACTTTGTTCTTCTGAGCATCGATGCACCTATTAGTGTACGATGGCAACGCTTCCGTGAGAGATGTGCCCAAGGAAACCAGGAGCCTCCTGCTTTGGACGACTTTGTCCTACGCAACGACGACCATCTTTACGACCCTCAGTCCAGTCTGGCTGCTCTATCATCCAGAGCGCAAATCAGGATTCTGAATCCGACAACCACCATCCCCCAACTGCAAGCTTCACTCGACGCTCTAAATTTGCTCGATCCTGCCAGGATGAGACCGACCTGGGATCAATATTTCATGCAGCTGGCCGACCTCGCTGCTCGACGAAGCAATTGCATGAGAAGGCAGGTCGGATGTGTTCTCGTCCGCGGGAAGCGTGTCATCAGTACCGGCTACAACGGTACTCCTCGAAATGTTACAAACTGCAACGAGGGCGGATGTGCTCGTTGTAACACCAGCAAAGGTGGCGGCACTGGGTTGAGCACATGCTTGTGTCTTCATGCTGAAGAGAATGCCCTGCTCGAGGCCGGGCGTGAGCGCGTGGGCGATGGTGCTGTGCTATATTGCAACACGCAAGTCTTTCCGGATCCGAACATGAAGCTCGTGCTGACCCTTGCAGTTGCCCTTGTTTGACATGTAGTGTCAAGATCGTGCAAGTCGGTATCACCGAGGTTGTTTTTAGTCAAAGCTACCATATGGATACCCAGGTTGGTGGTTTTCGTTCAGCGCTGGCAGAACATGACTGACTCCACGACAGAGTGCAAAGATCTTCCAAGAAGCTGGGGTGCACCTGCGACAATATGCTCCGGTAGGCATCTCAAGCCTGTGACACTTCTTCCGCTGACCGTATACAGCCACGAGAGGGTCTTGTCAATCTTTGTGACCTCGGCATCGCGGATCCTGATAAAGCATGATGAAAGATACGACGACAGCAAAATGCCCATAATCATCCATCGATTGACTCATACTGTACAGATTATAACATGACCAGAGTACAAGGTGGTTGTATCATGGACCCGTCACTATAACGTGACTGACAGAGGCCCATTGGAAGAGCTCTTTTGGATGTGAGCCTTCGAGTTTCGGAACAGGCTTTGCCAGATAAAAGCCTCGCTGAGCAGAAGCTCAATATCTTTCTCGTTCCATCCACGAGTCGGCAAAGCTTGCAGGAACATCATGATTTCTTGAAAGTCCATCTTCAAGAGTTGATCAGACCATTTGACCAAGAAGGCAGCGCAAACATAGAGATGGAAGTGGGAAAACCCTTGGTCCTCGGCCTGTCACGAATTAGCTTGGAGGTAGTGTCACATTGGAGAATACACCATACCAAATATGTATCCCACATCCTGATGGTATTTCTGACACTGATCTCGCGCATGAGTAAACAGTTCATCCATCGGAAACTGAATTGTATGAACTCGACTCCTTCATTTTCGAGATGCTTTGCCAGATTTCCATCGATCCGGGTGGTCAGATCTCGAAGACTTGCGACCTGTCGCTGAATGCCTGGCTGTGCGTGAATATAGTTGTCCTGGATACCATCGAGAAGTTTAGTAAGACACCAGAAGGTATCAGCTTCCACAGCATCGAGGACTTGTTTTGGCAACTGCCCTGGATCCATGCCAAATTCAATCTCTGGATCCGTGATGTACATGCCGAGAAAGACCTGCCAGAATGGTGAGACCAGGTCGTTGATGCCCTGAACATAACCGCTCGCGGGGTGTCGAATGGCCCAGACATAGAGTATGCGTTCCAGAGACCTCTGCGTGGCTTCAAAACTATACAACTCGAGATGCGGATTCGTTCGCGGTACATCGATACTGATCTGATGCCAGATTGCCTCATCCAGCCCGCGTCCTTTGCCTCTCTGAGTCGCCGGTAATGCCGAGATGCCACCAATACCGATGACTGAGTCGGCGTCATTTGTCGAAGTACCCTTCTCGAACGCTTGGCGCACGGCTTCCAAGTATTCATTCCTCTTGCGCTCAAGTGTAGCCACTCTTCTGTCGCTGTTCGTTGGGAGGTATCCTAGCAGCATCTGCCATGACATGGCTCTGACTTCTTCTGGTAGGCCCGACCAAGCAGAGTCTCGTAGTTCGGCCAAATTGATCGAGGTTGCTTGTAGGATGCGCTTGAATTTGTTGATGCGAGTGATGCGAGCCGAGTGGGCTTCGACTTCTTTGGGCGATGCGTTGAGTGGTGCCGGAGCGTGGTTGATCAAGTGGAGAGCATTCGCCGGGTCTCGGAGAATGTCTTTGTACTGTGGGCGGAGGATCTTGCCGTCGGATCGCTTCGCCGTTGGGTAGTTCGGCAGGCTGCGTTCCTCGGCAATGTCTCCGTTGTTCATAGACCATGATGCCAGTGTCGCAGTGGCTGAAGGTACAGTGGTCAAGGACGACTGTGAGCCTCCTGGATCTCTTTTCTTCTTTGCGATTTGTCTTTTGCCCTTCCGCCTCATGCTCGCTATGCTGGGTAAGCCGAACTCATCTTCATCTTGATCGAAGTCTAGAGCATCCTCCTCTTGTGTTGGCTCATAGGTCTTTGTGTTTTCGCCGAAGAAGTTGGAATAGGAACGTCGCGGGGCTGGTGGTGAGAGACTTGTGGAAGACTTCAAGGGCGGTCGGTTGTCGCGCGACGGTGGTGTGTGAGGACGTGGAGTGGTGGAGTTTGATATGTTTCTAGAGCGCTTGTAAGGATAGGCGACAGGTCAGAGGTCATGGCGGAGGCATACAGGTTGTTGAAGTCGAGGATGTCGGCGTGTGAGTAAGAAGCTCCAAAGACCTTTCTCTCGCCAGGCAGGATGGCTTCACGCTTGCTGTTGGAGGATGAAGTGCGCCAGAATGGTGAGGCCGACCTGTTTGGGTGTGGTTAGAACAGTCATGGCGGCACAATGGACTCGGACCTGTACATACTCGGATCTGTCTAACAAGTACAGGTATAACAGTTAGCTCGACGGAAGTCTAGTTGTGGGGAAAGCACGACAGGGTCATGAGAGGAGACGAACCGACCTGCACCATTTCCTGCGAGGATGAGGTTAGCATAGCTTGGACACGGGATTGAACAGATCATGGCGATACCTGCTGCTGCTTTTTGGAAGCCATGGTGAGCGGAAATTGGTAGACAACACAGTCAAAGTGCTGGAGTCGAGATGAGACTTGGGTACAACAAACGGCCACGGCCACCCACGTCCATATGCAACGCTGATGACGCGCTGCCGAAGACTTGATACTGAACGCAGCCACCACCGTACGCGGCGTGCTCACCTGCTCGATTTAGACTCTGACAACCATGAGGCTTTGTGGATACAGTACCGGCTTGACCACACTTCTCTACATAGGATATTCCTTTGATCAACGATGCATGTTGCAATATTAACAAATCCCCACTCCTGCTTCCAAATGTCCTGTCTATGGTACTCGGTACGTAGCTGCACTCACGCAACGAGGACCAAAGTCTTGGCAGCTGTCGAGAAGGGAAGCGCGACCGCGCGCTAGGACTTGCTCCGGGCTGGCCCATCTTCGGACTAACCGATTATGGAGTGATGCAGAGCGTCAACTCTTGGTGAGTGAAGCTTCGCTGCTTGATCTGACTTCTCTCGAACTACGACGGATCTCCTCACCACAGCGCTCCTTTCACCTTGATCCTTCCTTTCCTTGCTTTTCGCGCGCATACGACCTTCTCTCAATTCTGACCGATAAATTCTCACGTCACATTCCCAAATCGCCTTGCCCTCGACGCGCAGTCGACCCCTCATCTACAGCAAACATGGCTGACTACAATGAGGAAGAGGACCTCTTCGCCGACCTGTACGCTTCACTCACTCTTCCAACTCCTCGGTGATCATGATTTTTGACATCTTTGCTAGCTACGAAGGTGACGACGCCGCTCCTGTTGCCCCACCAGCTTCTGCACCCGCCCCTGCAACCACCACTGTCGAATCCGCCGTCGCAGACCAGACCGACTCGGTCGCCGTCTCCACTGAGCAACCCACCACATCAGACCCCATTGCCAATGGTTCAAATGCGCCTGCTGATCCTCAGTCCTACGCCAACGATGGCTGGAACGACCAACAGCAACAAGGCCAGCAAAACTGGGACTACAACAACCAGAACAACCAGAACCAAGGTAACGAATATGGCGGTGCTCAGCAAATGAACCACAATGGAGGTGGTGACGATGACTACAAGCCTATTGGCATCAAAGAAGATGGGTAAGTCGTGCGCCCTTTCTTTTGTTACGCCCAAATCAGGAAGTATTCCACAAACAAGACATGATATGCACTGGAGGTAGCCGTAGCTCGCGCTGCCCGCAAGATCTGGCTGGAGATCTTCTAGACTTACTTGAAGATGAGATGCCACAAGTCGGCCTTGATGATAGCCTTGCATGAGACGAGCCGCTTCTACATGACTACGTTCAAGCTGCGCCCTTCTACAGCAACTCGTCAAAGGCTCTCGTTCTTGCAGGCCTTGCATATGAAGTATGCTTGATCTTTCTTTGCATTATGGCCGAGAAGGCGAAGACGAGGAATGCTCCACATGAAATGTGAAGCGCGGTGTCAGGAGTCCGTCCACCCGCAGAACAGGCATTATGCGGCCAACTACATACTTCAGCAAGACCAAGCAGGCAATATATATCAGACAGTGGCAGGATACTCAAGTAGTGGTACGTTGTATGACGGTCAAGATCACCCTCTGAACCAATCTAGCAAAAGCCCATAGCTATTTAGCTTCATGTCGATAACTCTTCATAGAGCCTAGCTAAAGCATGGAATACGATGGCTGCTGTGAGTCTGACGTGTGGAGGCCTCGTCCCCAAACGTCAGCCCAGCAAGCACTTATCCACACCACTTATCAAGAGGTCCAACACTACTACTTCGACATGAACTCATCCTATCCTTGGAGTTCAAGCGTCTGCTGCATGGAAGAAAATTCTGTCTATCAAGAGATAATACTTTCTGAGCTGATGCAACCAACTCTGCGAATGAACCCCCGGTTGCTTGTTTGACGGTCGACGACGGGTCCCGGCGTCTCGAAGAATCAGCCAGCAGCTACGCCCGCTCCTTTGTGCAGTCATGTCTTGCTGGATCACCGCCACAACATCAAACAAAGTTTGCATGGATTATTTGCTAATGTAATTATGTTTTGTAGCAAGATGTTTATCGGTGGCTTGAACTGGGAGACAACCGACCGTGAGTGGGAACTTTTGTATCGTTCCTGAATACTGTACTGACCTATTCACCTTTTTTAGAATCGCTTAGGGAGTACTTTTCACAGTTTGGCGAAGTCACGGAGTGCACTGTCATGCGTGATGGTGCAACCGGACGCTCTCGTGGTTTCGGTTTCCTCACTTTCAGAGATCCAAAGACTGTCAATATCGTCATGGTCAAGGAGCATCAGCTCGACGGCAAGATTGTGAGTGCTTCTGCTCGTCTTCTCCTGCGCCAAAAGCAGAACTAATTATGCCACAGATTGATCCCAAGAGGGCTATTCCTCGCGACGAGCAAGAGCGTACTAGTAAAATCTTTGTCGGCGGCGTGTCTCAGGAAGCCACAGAGGCAGACTTCAAGAACTTTTTTATGCAGTTCGGTCGCGTGCTTGATGCTACATTGATGATGGACAAGGATACTGGTCGTCCTCGCGGTTTCGGGTTCGTCACCTTTGACAGCGAGGCTGCCGTCGACCGCACTCTCGAGCGCCCTCTGGAAATCCTCGGCAAGTACATTGAAGTTAAAAAGGCTCAACCTAGAGGCAACCTACGTGGTAACGAGGATAACAACGGCAACAGCAATGGCGGCGGTGGGTTCAAGAAACAGGGTTTCGGCGGTGGCCAGCAAGGTGGCTTCGATCCTAGCCAGCAGGGTGGTATGCAGCAAGGCGGACCTGCTGGTATGGGTGGCAACAACATGAGCCCTGCTATGATGGCTCAGTACTGGCAACGCATGCAACAGTACTTCCAGATGATGCAGCAGCAGCTGGCTACTAGCATGGGCGGTGGTGGCAACCCTATGATGGGTGGTGCCGGTGGCATGAACCCTCAGATGATGCAGCAGATGATGGCCATGCAGCAGGGTATGGGAGGTCAAGGTGAGTCGTGACAACCATTTTAAGATAATCAGGTCACTGACACATTCTCCTCACAGGCGGCATGAACCCAGCTATGATGCAACAGATGCAACAAATGCAGCAGCAGATGCAGATGCAAGGTGGCGGTGGTCCCCAAGGAAACTCCGGCAGCCCAGCACCCTCCGGCAACCCAATGTCACCCACAAACGGCGGCCCCGGCCAACGTCCCGCCTACAACGCCCAAGAACAACTCGCCTTCGAACAACAAAAGTATGAACGCCAACAGCAACAAACCCGCGGCAGCATGCCCGCCGCCGCCGCAACCCCCAACAGCAGCAACGGCTTTCAACCCTCCGGCTCGCCCACAAGCTGGGAGGGCATGTACGACGACATCCCCGCCCCCAACCAAGGCGGCGGTCCTGGCAGCAGCAATGGCGGATTTGCTCCTCGTGGCGGATTTGGCGGCAGAGGACGCGGCAGAGGGGGTGGTGGGCACACTCCCACGCCCGCTGGTCCCTCCAACGCACCTGCTAATGCACCCACAGGCCCCAAGAATGCCGGAAGACCTGGCGCCAACTACAGAGGTGGTGGCAGAGGTGGTCACCGTGGTTTCCACCCTTATGCTCGCGGCGGCGGTGGTGCTTAGAGAGCGTCTTCTACTTCTGTGGAGGACAAGAAGGAGCATTTCGGGTGTTGAAAATCAGACACGAGGTCGAACGAAGCTTGGGCTTGATTCTGTCTTGATCTTGTGACCACGGGGTCAGCGAAGATACCTTTGCTTTTACCCTTCACTTGGCCGACCTTCTCATTTGACAACGGCGAAAATGGAATGGGACTGCAAACAACGAAAACATATCAAGACAACACAAGGCAAAAGGCAGGCGTATAGGAAGTTTCTTTTCTTGCATGCCTCTTTTGCTCTCTTCTTAACATTAACAATCAAAATGAAAACACGAAACTCTAGAGCAATTCTTCTCTTGTAAATGTGTAACAGACTGATATATTGGTGATACGGCACGGCATCGCGGTTCCAAGCTTCCAAATCTGAGCACGTCAATGGCAAATACTTGAGCATAAAGACATATCTGCTATAAATAATAAATGTCTTGTTAAAATGAGCGCGGAGGTGCATCCGCGTCCAGAAGCCTACTCTGCCGTGCTCATAAGGCTGAATATCGGTTAATATTCTAGAAAGCCCCTCGCTTGTAGCCTTTTCCTTCTCCTCTTCTCCGTGCCCTGATCATCCACTTTCGCACGGGACATGGTTGGGACAACCGTGCTTGGACGGAAGATCATGCAGTTGGTGGATGTCAACTCGCGCCCCGCAACTTCTCCATACGGCCCCATGTTCTGAAGGCGGCTGGGAACTGGAGTAATTTGACGGTATGGTGCACATTACCGAGGCGCGCGAGCTTCTAGTACATTCTCAAGGGTATAAGAGAGGTGAGTGATCTGTTCGAAGGATTTTCGTTTGCATAGTAGGTTCCCTCTGGTTGTTTCCATCATGCCTTCTCTTCTCTCTATCGCTTCTGCTGCATTGGTGTGCTTGTCAGCAGCAAACGCTTCGCCTCATCAGCCTGTGCAGACCCAGGTCGACCCTTTCTTCTACAAAGGCTTTGATCTGTCTTCGTTGCATATTCTGGAGCTTGGTAATGTGACTTACAAAGACACTGCTCGTCGTAATGCTACAAGACCTGCTGAGGATATCCTGGGTGATGGCGGCATGAACACTGTGAGACTGAGGTACGATACTGCAACGGGATAATGACTTTACGAGAGACTGACCTCCATGTCTCAGAATCTGGGTCAACCCCGAGCCCGGACAATATGACCTGGCGTATACCTTGAGTCAAGCACAGCGATTCGCTAAGAAGGGCTATCGCATTTACCTCGACTTCCACTTCTCAGACACTTGGGTAAGTCAGAACTCGGCTTTTCGTGTGACTACTTGATCTCTAACATCCGATCAGGCGGATCCGAACAAGCAATTCACTCCCGCAGCTTGGACAACCAGCAGTGTTTCGGCTCTTGGCTCTGACCTCCGCCGCTACGTCAAGTCCACCTTGATCGCTTTCCAAAAGGGCGGCGTCGACCTCTCCCTCGTAAGCTTAGGTAATGAGATCCGCCACGGTATGCTCTGGCCCACCGGCTACGTCGAAGTAGACACCTTCCCCACCTCGGCCCGTATTGCAAACTTCACTTCCCTCGCCAGCCTCTGGTCCAACGCCCGCAAAGGCGTCGACGATGCCGTAAAAGCCGGTGTCAAGAAGCCATCCATTATGATCCACATCGACGACGGCTGGAACAAGACCCTCCAACTAAACTGGTTTGAAGCACTTACCGGCAGTGGAAAAGTAAAAGCTGCTGATTGGGATGTCTTTGGCTTTTCCTTCTATCCCTTTTATGGCACTGCTGCTACTCTGGATAATCTAAAGGATACTCTGAATGCTGTGGCTGCTAAATATCAGAAACCTGTTCATGTGGTTGAGACGGATTGGCCTGCTATTTGCGATGGAGCTACTGCACCTGAGCTTAGTGATACCTCTGTACCCATCAGTCCTGCAGGTCAAACAGAATGGGTACGCGATATCGTCAGTGTGGTCAAGAACGTTGCTGGTGGCTGGGGCAAAGGCGTCAACTACTGGGAGCCTACTTGGTTGAACAATACTGGTCTTGGAAGTGCTTGCCAGGATGCCATCTTGTTCTCTGCTGACTGGAGTGGTTGGCCGAATAAGATCATCGGGTACTCGAGATCGAGTGTTGATATGTTCGCCGGACGGTAAATTATAGACGTCCTGAGATTTTGCTCATGTATCATATATCATCGAGGTAAAATGCTAATGGTCTATGGCTGCACATTTCCGCCCTCTACCTGATGAACTATGTCACCATGTTTTGCTTTTTTCCCTCCTTTCCCTAACATTATATTTACTCTCCTTTTTTCTTCTTTCTTTCTTACTCTGGTTGTTGGATGGACCACCCTGCTTGTGATTGGAAAGCACAATAGTACCTGCTACCTACACAGTCATACACCAAGTATTGCTGACATAATATCTTTGGGGTTGCTATATCCATTTATGGTAGACGATACAGGATCTTAGCTTCTTTGTCGTCGATGGAGCAGTATTACTTTACCACGGAAAAGTCACATCCGGATCGCACACGACCATCGGAGTGTTCGGCGCTCGCATGACCCCTTGACGAGCTTTGCTGATCCTCTCTGGGGAACTGATATCATGGCACATTGCTACATGGCTCGATGCTACACTGGAAAGGCCACAATACTGTACACTCTCGGATCGCCATCTCTCGCCGAGGAGTGTTTTCTCCGCCGAGAAAATCGGATTTATATACGATAAAATCTGCTCTTCGCTCACACATGGTGAGATGGCCGAGCGGTCTAAGGCGCCAGCTTAAGGTTCTTCCAATACGCTGGTCCGAAAGGGCGTGGGTTCAAATCCCACTCTCATCAACATATATTTTGCTCGTGGTATACATGTCTGGTGGTGAGGACGAAGGAGGAGTTTTTGGAGGGTGTGACTCGATTTTTGGATTTCTTGAATAGAGGGTTTCGGAATATGGTGCTGGACACCAGGACACCAGGACGGCATTGGCCTTAGGGTAAGACAGTCCCTTTTACTTAGCTAAATTGAAGTTTTGGGAATTAGAAGCCTGCGACGCTGGAAACAAAAAAATGCGATTTGAACAGATGGCTCGCATCCATGATATCTTTGGCGACGTCGATAAGCACAGATACGTAAAAATCATAATCATCGCACAATTGGTGGTCGCAAATGCTAGGCTTCTATTTTTTTTTTTTTGGCTTGGATTTCCACGCTTCATAGCAGCCCTGACACACGTCCATGCTTTCAACCAGAAGCAATTCGTTCTTCTTCAGATCCTTGCTCTCAAGCGAAGATACCAATGAAAAAAAAGGAGGTGTTCGCGTCAGCCCGAGGTAGTGCAATACGAGCGACACTATGCCGAGAGACATGAGCAAGCCCAGAGGTCTCTCGACGAGTTCCAAAAATAAGAATAATCATTTTGACTGCCCGTAGGCAGGTCACAGCGATTAAACTATGAAGAACAGATACTACACTTGATCTAAGCCAAAAGGCAAGAGACTTAAGGGAGGGAAGAGGAGGGTGCGAGGGAGATTCAGCTTATATACTGCTCCGTGTGGAGGTATGATTACTAAGTAGTGAGAAGCGAGATGTGGAGAAAAGTCGAACAAAGGGACTCGATGATGAATTTATGCAGAGGTTATGCAACGACTGTGAAAGGAAGGCTTGGACGGCTGGCGCTGATATCACTGGAAGTAGGTTGACATCCTCGGTGGCCCCAAGGCTTAATGGTCCAATGCAGTGAAGACAAGCAGATGCGACCTACAGGATAACATGAGCTGCTTGGCCGTCAACTGCCGATACGAGAGCTGTCGCCATACACGATACCTTCCAAAGTTGGAGGCGTTTGTCGGAAGAGGCCACACGGCTTCTCGTCACCAGACGCAGCATCCACTCCAGATCAGTACTATGCCATTCCCCAAGCATATAGCAGTGCTCATCATCTAGTGGAGATTGCTCGTGCTCGTATTCCATGCAGCAAGTGCCTCCGGGCAGTGTCGCCACTGGGCATCCAGCTCGAATATCTCTTACTTTGAGCGGAAGGAGCATGAGAAGTGAGGATGGACCGACTTCCGGGATTCCAGTGTGTCCGCTATAGCAGAACAGAAGATAGTATATGGAAGGCGGGACAGGATGTCATCTGTTATATGTAAGTGCTCTGGGGATGAAGCTGGCACAGAAGGCCTTACAGACCAAAATGCATATGATCACATCCGAGAGAAATGCCGTTGGAGCACGTTGTCCAAAGCGAGTCAGTGAGACAAAGAGTAAGACTCTGTCGAAGAGGAGAAATATCCCCTTTGATGATTAGCCGGGAGCGTCGAAGATTGAAGAACCCAAAGCTCGAGTGGGGCATCTGCTCGGAAATATACAACAATTTGTCTCGTACTCGAATGTTTCATGACCTGACACTCTTGACTCCTGTAACGAAGATGTGACATCAACAATCCTCTACCACTTGAAGGATGTGCATATCCAAGCGGAGGATCCAGAGAGTTCAGCTATCCGGAAGACCGTCGAGTCGACTGGTTGGCGTAGCATCATGGTGTCGTTGGGAACACATCTGATGAGATCGCGATAAGTAACCTGAACCTGCTCGCGGTTATGACTACCCGACAAATAGAATGAGATACAGTGTGTGTTACTCTGTCCTAGTTGCTTTAGTCGCCATTGGCATCGTCCGGCCGTCAGTAGAGCTCACAGATGTGTTGCCGCAACCCAAGATGAAGCTGGGATACGATGACCCTAAGCGCTGTAATTTTGAGAATCGAGATGGAACTTCAGCATGCGAACTCTGGAACTTTCCTTCTCTTTACTTATCAAGCAACTTAATCTCAATAATTATCTTGCATTTTGACGGTCCAATCATGGGTCACATGCCCCTGTGAGCTCGTTGAAGCCTGGTCAGAGCCCAGCACGGCATCTCTGCCGATGGCGGACTCTTCATCGTGTAAAATGGTGTTCCTCTAGCTGTATAAATACACTGTCCTTTTCCAGGTCCAGCAACCGTGTGTCGGGAGAGGCAGAGTAGACTTAGGGCTACATCTACATTCTTGAGCCACGGTTTCATGGTCACTTCTCTGGTAAGCGGACAGCATGAGTGAACATATAGATTTATTTCAGCCTCGATATCTTACTATTCGTCTTCCTCATCGTCTTCATCTTCATCGTCGTCGTCATCATCATCCTCATCGTCACTGACCTCCTCTCCATGCTTCCTCAACTTTTCTCTGTATCCCTTAGCTTTGTCTTCCAGGTCTGCAAGTACCATCAACATGTCCTCCAGCTCTGTCTTTGCTCTAATAGCCTCCTCCTTCTCCATCTCAACCTCTTTAGTCTTGGCGGCGAGCTCCTTTTCCAGCTTGACGTTCTTATCAGTGTCGGCCTTCTTGCCCTTGTCGTTGGAGGTGGCATTGAGCTTCTTCTTGGTCTCTGCCAGCTCCTTTTCCAGTGACTTGATCTTGTCAGAGTTGTCGGGGACTGCAGGCTTAGACTTGAGCTCAGATAGTCGGTCGTCGAGATCTTTACTCGAGGTCTCAAGTTTGCTGTACATAGTCTTGAGCTCGTTGAATTCAGTTTCGAGTTCATTGTAGCCCTTTCGTTCACCCTCGAGTTCCAACTTCAAGCCCGAAACTTCTTGTTCTAGATCTGTGATCTTCTGTTGCTTGCTCTCAAGCTCTGACCGTGTTGAAGACAGCTCTTCGTTGAACATCTGGATCTTGCTTTCCCGGGATTTAGCTTCTTCCTCGAGGGTCTTGACACGTGCCATAGCCTTTGTATTGACTTGTTGAAGGTCTTTTTGCAGAGCCTTTGTTGTCTCGAGCTCCTTCTCCAATTTCGACCTTTCTGTCTTGCTGCCATCGAACTCGCTTCGCAGCTTCTCAAGGGTTGTGGTCGTAGCGGCATGCTCCTGCTTGAGTATCTTCTCGCTGCGGGCATGGTCCGAGATGGCAGTTTCGTGCTCTTTAATTGTCTTGTCTTTTTGTTGCACGGTAGCGTTGAGCTCATCCAGTACTTTGCGATGCTCAGAAGCGACTTGATCGATGCGCATACGTTGCTCTTCAGCGGCTTGCTCAGTAGCTTTACGGTGTTCCTCAGTCGCCTTCTCAAGAGCAGCACGTTGTTCGCGTGTAGCCTGTTCAGCAGCCTTCCGAGCCTTGTCTTCCCACAGTGATCGCTCGCTGGCTAGGGTGGCACCATTTTGGCCCTTCAGACGCTCTAGTTCCTGCTTGTGCTGATCGCGAAGTGTTTGTAGATTGTTACGGCTCTCGAGCTGGAATTGTGCAAGTTGACTGCGTAGTTCACCTGAGACTCGATGAAGCTCGAGATCGTGATCACGCTGCAGTGCTTCGTTGATTCGCTTGACGCGCTCGACTTCTGCTTCCATGGATCGTTGTGATGACTGTAGACTTTGTATTTGGTGGCGGTGCTCAGCTTCAGCTTGATCTGCCTTCTGTTTGGCAGCAAGGTCGTCCTGCTCGATTTGTTGCAGTTTGTCATCGCGAGTCTTGATCTTTTCTCTTAGATCGTCCAGTACATCACGATCGACACCGACGTCCGAAGGTCGGACGACTTCAATGCCAGGCTCGCGGTCGATTACCCGCTTGAGGCGACCATACTCGTCCTTGAACCAATCAACAAACTCATCATCGAACAGGATTGCAGCACCCTCAATCTCAGGTGCAAGAAACTCAGAATCGCGGATTATTGGGTTCTGGCGAAATTGCATCAGTGCATCAAAGTACTTTTGACGGCCGAGTTTCGAGGTCAGTAGCGGGTGCAGCGTTCGTCGAGGGATCGGACTGTCTTTAGTGCTGAACTCGTATATCGTGCCAAGCAGAATCGCGGATAATCCAGGTAAAAGCGACTTGATCGGGTCTGCAGCAACCTGTGAATTGGCAGTAAGAAGAGCATTGTCAATCAATACGCCCATGAGAGATGAGCCCTCCGCCAGGCAGTCGTTGACGGCAGCTGGCTCGTCGAAGAGGAAAGTGATCAATAGACTTAAGTACGAGATTGATATCTGAGGATCAAAGTCGTTTTGCAGGGATGACAGGAGGTGCCCGGAGAGGGTTTGGATTGCTGTGATAACATCCTCGCCCTTCTCGGCATCACCTTCCGACACACCCATCAACATGGATTTTGCGTCCTGTAAGTTGAATAAAAGCTGGGAGGTAATGTCGCTGGCGAATGCAAAGCGAGGGGGATCTGGTGTAGCGGGACCGAGCTGAGGGCCATTCAACAGAGTGCTGAGAATGTTGATATCCTCCTCTTCGCCCTCTGTGTATCCCGCAATGGCTCTCTGTAGGAAGTGCAGCTTGATCCGATCGTGGCCATGGAAGTAAGCCTTGATTAAGGAACAACCAGCGGAGCGCAAGTCCACAGTGCGTATCGAGGATGCAGAAAGAACAAGGTTCAACAGAGCCTCAATTACATACATGATCTTTGGTTGAGACTTAGCAGCTGCAACTCCGTTGATCGGAGCAGGGTCTTCAGAGGTGACAGGGACTTGAAAAGAGGCAAAAGCTTCTTGTAGCGGCGCGTTGAAGATGATAGCGTCAGCGCAAGTCTTAAGAGCGCTCATGCGGATATGTGGAGCGGCCCTTTCGTCAAAAGCAAGAGTTAGAACAAGGTGTAGCACGCCACTACGCCAGAAGACATCTTGATTTTGCTTTGTTCCTAGTTCACCTCGTTCCAAGAAGAGTCGCAGAACAGCGAGTAAGCCCCAGGCGTTCTTCTCACGATCGCTACGACTGAACTCATTCTCAGCCTCGGGTGGGGTCGAAGCCTGTTTGACCAAGTCTAAGAGGCGAGGGATGCAGCCAGATTCGCGGAATAGAGCCTGGTTGGAGTGGCTGTGTCGGATGAGGTTGGCGAGCAATGAGAGACAGTCCTGAGCCACTATGCCTCCTTCTGACAGACCTCCTTCTGCTTGAATCAGATTGAAAGTACGCTGGAAAGCGTCCTCGAAGGCAATGAGCTTCTGCAACTCAGTTTGCGACACATTGGTCAGGTCGACCAGCAGTAGTAAGGCAGCGTTGCGCACAGCATCTCTCCCATCATCCAAGACACCGACCAGTCTTGCTGTTCCGAGCGGTGCTTGTAGAATGCACTCTTGAGTCCTCTCCGGTCTGGAAGTCGAGATTGCAGTAAGAAGTTGGATCGAGTAGATACGGGCGTAGTAGTCGGGCTGGTCGAGAAGATCTAGCAGAATGGTAATGTTGTCTTGACGCTGGACCTTAGCTCAGTCTCGCGCAGATGATATGATATGGTTGTGTGAGAAACTTACCTGACTGAACTCATCGGCCAACCACAGGGCTATATCCTCGCTGGCTTCTGGGCTCTCGCGGTCCGGCTCAAACAGCATGAGCAGAGTCTCGAGCACCAAGCGCACAGTGTCGACGTCTCCCTCTCCATCTTTGGTCAAGCCGAGACCATCAGTACGTAGGACAGCAATCAAATCGCGAAGAGAACCGCTAGCAACCGAGGCGGGATACTGCTTCGCGAAAGAGCGGAGTCCAAGAATAGCAGCCCTTCTATCTTCGAGTAGAGTGGCCGACGATAAGCGCGAGGACAAAGTCGCGATCGTGTCGCCTGCCGTCTGTTTGATTGGCGCCTTCAACATGTTGCTTGTTCTTTCACGCCATCGAGGGGAAGTTGCAGGGGCATCAGAAACATGTGCCTTCCCCAGAAGGTTACCAAAAAGGACAGCTCCTATTACACGAGTCGTGTATCGATAGTGAGATGTACGCTCGAGTCATGACAACTAAAGCCGAAGACCGAGGGTTCACTAGAATGGCGGCGAGTCTATGAGCGCAAGGCTCTGCTTGCGACAGCTTTACTCTCCCGCCATTCTCGCACCTTCCCAATCATCTGGGGTTTTTATTCTTCTTATTTCCAGGATCGCCTCTACCAACTGGTCTGATATCTGCTCAAATACTGGAGAAAACACAGTCAGATTGTTCCTTTCACCTACTCTGATGAGCTCCATCTAGAGATCCTCAATACCAACCAAGAAACACCCTCGACTCAGACGCCACTATGGGTGTCCCAGCCTTGTTCAGATGGCTGTCGCAGAAGTACCCCAAGATCATCTCGCCAGTCCTCGAAGAACACCCGATAGACATTGATGGTGAAAAGATCCCCATTGATGCGCGCAAGCCGAACCCCAATGGCGAGGAGTTCGACAATCTGTACCTCGATATGAACGGTATCGTCCATCCTTGTTCGCATCCCGAGGATCGCCCTCCTCCCGAGACTGAGGAGGATATGATGTTGGCCGTCTTCGAGTACACCGAGCGCGTCGTCAACATGGTCAGACCCCGCAAGCTTCTCATGATCGCCGTCGATGGTGTCGCCCCTAGAGCAAAGATGAACCAACAGCGCTCAAGACGTTTCCGCGCCGCTCGTGAGGCCGCCGACAAGGACGCAGAAAAGGAGGAATTCTACAAGATGCTTCGGTCTCAAGGAAAGGAGCCTGAAGGAGGCGACGCTGAGGGCAAGCCAAAGAAGACGTGGGACAGTAACGCCATCACTCCCGGAACCCCCTTCATGGACATTCTGGCCGCTAGTCTGCGCTACTGGTGTGCCTACAAGCTCAACACCGACCCTGCTTGGGAGAAGCTGAAGATCATCATCTCTGATGCGACCGTTCCCGGGGAGGGAGAGCATAAGATCATGCAGTTTGTGCGCTCGCAGAGAAACTCCCCTCAGCACGACCCCAACACCCGTCACGTCATGTACGGTCTGGATGCTGATTTGATCATGCTGGGTCTGGCCACGCATGAACCGCATTTCCGCATTCTGCGTGAGGACGTCTTCGCCAACGACACGAAGCCTGGATGTTGCCGCATTTGCAACCAGCCTGGACACATGGCTGCTGAGTGCAAGGGTGTACCCGCGAAGAAGGAGGGTGACTTTGGTGAGAAGAAGGGCGGTGCCCCGTTGAAGCCTTTCATCTGGCTGCACGTTGCTGTCTTGCGCGAGTACCTCGCTGTGGAGATGAGCGTTCCCAACCAGCCCTTCAAGTTCGACCTCGAACGCGCACTCGACGACTGGGTGTTCATGTGTTTCTTCGTCGGAAACGATTTCTTGCCTCATCTGCCTTCCTTGGATATTCGTGAACAGGGTATTGACACTTTGATTGCCATCTGGAAGGACAACATACCAACAATGGGAGGTTATGTGACTAGAGACGGTCACGTCGAGCTTGCTCGTGCTCAACTTATTCTCGAAGGTCTGGCCAAGCAAGAGGACGCCATCTTCAAGCGCAGGAAGGAGATCGAAGAACGCAAGGATGCCGCCGCCAAACGTAGAGCCGATCAGGCCAACAAGCGCGCACGCAGATCTGGTGGTCCCCAGGGTGGAGACGCCCCGGTCACACCCGCCGGTCAATTTATGGGCAGCCGCAAGCGTGGCGAGATGGTACCCGATATCAACGCTCTGCCTACCTTCGCTCCCGGAACTGCTCAGTCGAAGTCGGATCCTCGTTACATGACCCATGATATGGTCGTTGACAAGGCCAATGTCGCCAACAAGAGTGCTGCAGCTGTACTGAAGGAAAAGCTATTGGCACAGAAGAATGGAGCCCCTGCCGAATCACAAAAGGATGCTGTCGATCAACTGATGAGCACTGTAAACGCGTCAGCAGAGACATCCCCTGCTTCTGTCCTCGGCAAGCGCAAGGTTGAAGACGAAGACAACGACGCTGGTACCCCTGGCCGTAACTCTCCGGATCCGGCTACAAAAGGTCCTGCTAAGGATCCTGATGCACCTGCCGAGGACACCGTCATGCTCTGGGAGCCTGGTTACGCCGACCGTTATTATGAACAGAAGTTCCATGTTCCGGCAGGCGATATTGACTTCCGTCACCAAGTCGGTCGCGATTACGTTGAGGGTCTGGCCTGGGTCTTGCTCTACTACTTCCAGGGATGTGCCAGCTGGACCTGGTACTACCCTCACCACTACGCCCCCTTCGCCGCCGACTTCGTTGATCTCAAGGACATGAAACTCGACTTCAAGAAGGGAAAGCCTTTCAGACCGTACGAACAACTCATGGGTGTAATGCCCGCTCGCAGTAACCATGTTCTCCCTGAAGTCTTCCATCCTCTTATGACGGAAGAGGAATCCGACATCAAGGACTTTTATCCCGAAGACTTTGTGGTAGATCTCAACGGCAAGAAGTTTGCCTGGCAGGGAATTGCCTTGTTGCCTTTCATCGACGCAAAGCGCTTGCTAGATGCCATGGCTACAAAGTACCCTCTTCTAACAGAAGATGAGAAGTTACGTAACGCCTTCGGTCATGACGCCTTGCTCTTCAGCACAAAGCATCCTCTGTATGAGGACGTGGCTACGAACTTCTACTCCAAGAAAGCCAACAATGCAGAGTTCAGCCTCAACCCTCAAGTTTCCGAGGGTCTGGCTGGTAAGGTAGAGAAGAACGAAGAATACCTTCCTTCATCCTCCTTATCGTTCCCTCTCCCTGGCGCAACACCTTTCCGAGATGTTGACGATGACCAGAGTATCACTGTTCACTACGTCATGCCTCCTACTAACACCGTTCACAAGAGTATGTTGTTGCCCGGATTAATACCTCCCAATCAGGTCCTTGATTACAGCGACATCGAAGCGACAAGGCAGAAGTCGCGTAACTCAGGCAGACAGTTCGGTGGTGCACCGCTCTACGATCAAGGAGGTCGTGGCCGCATCGACTACAATGCTGGCGGAAGCGGAGGCAATGGCGGATACAACAATAACAACAATGGATATGGGGGAAACAATGGCGGATACAGAGGTGGAAGAGGCGGTGGTGGCGGCGGCGGCGGCTACAACAATGGCCCTCGCAACGATGGATATGGCCGTGGAAATGGGGGCGGTGGCTACGGCGCACCTCCCCCTCCCGGTGGCTTCCAAAACTTGCCACCAGGTCTCGCCGCACAGGCAGCACAACACTTTGGCAGAAACGGTGGCGGCGGTCTACCCCCACCTCCTCCTCCTGGCTGGATGCCTGGTATGGCTGGCCCTCCTCCTCAACATCAACAAGGTGGCTACGGCGGAGGCTATAACAATAACGGCGGCAACTACAACAACGGAGGCGGCTATGGAGGCAATGGCTACAATAGCGGCGGTCACAACGGAGGCAATGGCGGTGGATATCGTGGCCGGGGAGGAAGAGGCGGAAACGGCGGAGGCCGTGGAAGAGGTGGGTATGACAGATACTAGCAGTCTCAAGCGGAAGCTGCTGCATTGATGGCACAAAGAAACCAGTCGACAGAAGAATGGTTTTGGCGCAAGGGCTAGGAGGTTCTTATGTCTGATGTTGTGCTAACGGCGATGGAGAACAAGCTTTACAATGATGAATCTCGCAGAGACTAGGAGCTCCTTCAAGCTGATATCAAGCTGAAACCTCACCAAAAGTCATCTTCGAGATTTGGCAAATCGAAGGAGTTAGGTAGCTCATTACTTTGAACATTGATCATGATTTTCCCCCCATGACAAGACCAAAGGGATTTGCCTGAGCTAGTAGATGTGACTGTAAAACCAGGGTTTCTGTCCAAAGATAATTTAAACACCCCTTCCTCAAACAGGCCTGATCACTACGGTGTGGACTGCATCTGAGCGTGAGCTTGTCATGTGCGTATCTAGATATTCGAGAGTGTAGTATAATCATAATTTTTCCCTCGAGCCGTTCGAGTTTTTGCAACATGAACGGCATCTGACCAATTTCGAGGGAATAAACTGGGAGACCCTGCTCATGAGCTTCCCCACACCTTCTCGAACACTTTCAAGAGCCTCAGCCGCAACTTCGTCACCTCCAAACCATCAACCACAAAATCTACACACAATACCAATCTTCGCACACCTGCACTATCTTCGCCCTATCCAAACGCCTTAACTTACTATCATCACACATACGTACTCAATAATCACACACACAATGGCCGACCGCAAAGGCGCCTACGGCAACGCCCCAGCCAGCGACACATCGTTCCGCAAAACCTGGGACCGCGAAGAATACGCCCAAAAAGCCGCCGACCGCGACGCCCGCCTCAAAGAAGAAGGCAAAGCCAAATACGAAGCCGCCGCCGCCGGCAAAAAATACCACCGTCGGGCCTCCACACCTCCAGATGCCAGAGACACAGAAGCCCGTCGCAGTCGACTTGATGTCTCTGCGCAGATTGGTAAGACTATGCTGGTTCCTGCGGGCTCAGCGGTTGGGAAAAGGGGCAAGGGAGCGGGGTTTTGGTGTGAGAGTTGTGATTTGACGTTTAAGGATAATTTGCAGTTTGTGGAGCATCTGAATAGTAAACAGCATCTATATGCGACGGGGCAGACAGGAGAGGTCAAGAGGGCGACGTTGACGGATGTTGTGGAGAGGCTGGCATGGTTGAAGAGGAAGAGGGAGGAGGAAACTGCCAGGGAGACTGTGGATTTGGGGACGAGGTTGGAAGTTGCGAAGGAGGAGGAGGAGAAGATTAGGGAGGAGAAGAGGAGGCGGAGGAATGAGAAGAGGAGGAAGAATAAGGGTGGCCAGGAGGAAGAGGTTAAGGTTGAGGTGGAGAATGACGGTGTTATTTGCTGAGGAGGGTATACTCTGAGCAAGCAACTACAGCGCTACAGCGGGATGGTTGTCCTTTCAGCCGCTCGCCCAGCATAGGGCCTACCACTCCGCCAGATCCATCGACTGAGATGTACTTTTCTCTCCGGTTTCAGACTGGCTTGTTCGACATCAGGTTGGCCATACACCTCTGCTCAAGCCTGAGTGAGTCTACTTTCACGAACATCACGACCAAGCTGATCGGGGTCCCGACTTGGCTCGAAAACAGCTCAATTATAGCTTGCGATCCATCACTACGAATCGAAGAATCACCAGAGATGCAAGAGCTGGAGAAATCATGGTGTAAGGCTAGACCCTTGCCAGGTACTTACGTTATATGATCTGAAGGCGTGCGGAAGCATGTGACAGTCATGAATCTGCTGGCCTATATAAACATGAAAATGCTTAGATATGGACCTGGCACGCAATGGACATGGATAGCGTTGAGTCTCATGCTCTATACCAGATTGATCATCCTGATGTAATGCTTGTCTGTTTCGAATGGATGGTGATGACGCGACTTTTCGTGTAATGGTCGTGAAGTTCCATGCCAAGGCTGCCGCGATTTGCTGCGCTTCGATGTTTTGGTGTGGAGTAAACAAAACAGTTTAGCTACAGCATGCAATTCTTGTGATTGCCCCTTCGAGCCTTTCTTTGCATACTAACGACAACCTGTACACCTAGCGACCCTGCGACGACTAACAACAGTGAAGGACTACTTGTCATCTCATACATGGATGATTGTTGATTGAATACTGTAATACTATTCAGCCACAGTAGGCGGCGCAACAATGGACGACTCAATGGCAGAGTCCGACTTCGCCATGAGTGCCAGCAGCGACTTTGAGATGCCGAAGAAGGCTCCTGCTGTAAGTATCGTTCCTTCCTTACTTTCTTTCTTCCTTCCTTCCTTTCTTCCTTCCTTCCTCCCTCTAGCTTTCACTCTCTTACATCAACTTCAGAAGAAGGCTCCCGCAAAAAAGGCACCAGCTGCACCCAAGGCCAAGGCAGCTCCCAAGAAACAAACCACTCTCAAGACGACAAAGACGACCAAAACAAGCACGAAGAAGCCGCCGACACCACTAAGCGACGACGAGAACTCGGACGCTGACATTCACATCGCAAACGACGACGACGACAGCCTGCTCGCAGACACTCCTCCCAAGAAGGCCGCTCCAAAGAAGGCTCCAGCAAAGAAGGCCGCCAAACCTTTGCAAGAAATCGACAACGAAAGTTTCACAGCAGAAGGCGCTCCAGACATGGACGGCGCATCTGACGAGAAGATGGTTCAACCCAAGCCCAAGAAGGGCAGCGCCACATCACAGTATCAGAAGCTCACCCAGCTCGAGCACATCATCAAGCGTCCCGACACATACATCGGCTCTGTCGAACGCCTCGAGAAGCAGATGTGGGTCTACAACTCTGAGAACGAAGCCATCGAGAGCCGCGAAATCAGCTACGTACCTGGTCTGTACAAGATCTTCGACGAAATTCTGGTCAACGCCGCCGACAACAAGCAACGCGACAAGAACATGAACGAAATCAAAGTCTGGATCGATCGCGAGAAGGGCGAGATCTCAGTGCGCAACAACGGTCGCGGTATTCCAGTCGAGATGCACGAGAAGGAAGGCATCTACATTCCTGAGATGATCTTCGGTCACCTCTTGACATCCTCCAACTACGACGACGATGAGCAAAAAGTCACTGGTGGAAGAAACGGTTACGGTGCAAAGCTTTGTAACGTCTTCAGCACAAAGTTCATCCTCGAGACAGTCGACTCCAAGCAAGGAAAGAAGTATACTCAGACATGGCACGACAACATGACTAGGAAGGACAAGGCAAAGATTACCTCGGTCAAGAGCGACGACTACACCAGAATCACCTTCTATCCCGACTTTTCGAAGTTCAACATGGACAATATGGATGACGACTTCGAAGCTCTCGCCAAGCGCCGTGTTTATGACATGGCTGGTACATGTCCTGGTGTCAAGGTCTGGCTGAACGACACCCGCATCAAGATCACAAAGTTCAAGCAGTACATGGAGATGTACACAAAGGCCATCAAGACCGAGAGCTTGATCAACGAGGGCGTTGAGACTCAGGTCATTCTGACAGACAACCCTAACGAGCGCTGGGAGATCGGTTTCGCTGTTTCCGACGGCTCCTTCCAACAAGTTTCTTTCGTCAACTCGATCGCCACTACCTCAGGAGGTACACACGTCAACTACATCGCTGACCAAATCATCAACAAGCTGCTGGAAATTGTCAAGAAGAAGAACAAGGGTGGTGTGGCACTCAAGCCTGCTCAAATCCGTAACCATATCTTCCTGTTCGTCAACTGCTTGATCGTCAACCCGGCATTCAACTCGCAGACCAAGGAACAACTCACAACGAAAGCTTCCCAGTTCGGAAGCAAGTGCACTCTCGGTGACAAGTTCTTGAAGGATATTGCGAAGACCGAAGCCGTCAACAACATCATGCACTTTGCCCAGCAAAAGGCCGACCAGGTCTTGAAGAAGTCAGACGGTAATCGTCGCACACGCATGAGTAACACCAAGCTTACAGATGCCAACAAGGCCGGCACAAAGGAGGGTTATAAGTGTACTCTCATCTTGACGGAAGGTGACTCTGCTGCTATGCTTGCGCTTGCAGGTCGCGCTGTAGTCAACCAGGATTACTTTGGTGTCTTCCCTCTACGTGGTAAGATGTTGAACGTCCGCGACGCATCCATCGACCAGATTTCCAAAAACGCAGAAATTCAGAATATCAAGCAGTTTATGGGACTACAACACAAGAAGGAATATACCGAGACCAAGGGTCTTCGTTATGGCCACTTGATGATCATGACCGATCAAGATCATGATGGCAGTCATATCAAGGGTCTTCTGATCAACTTCTTGCAAGTCCAGTTTCCCAGCTTGCTCAAGATTGATGGTTTCTTACTCGAGTTCATAACGCCCATCGTCAAGGTCTGGAAGGGTGACCCTAAATTCCCTAAGGTCAAGCGCGACTTCTTCACAATGCCTGAATACGAGGCTTGGAGACAACAGGCTGGCCATGACAAGGGTTGGGAGCACAAATACTACAAGGGTCTGGGTACTTCCGATACAAGAGATGCCGAGATTTACTTCAGCGACCTAGACAAGCATCTCAAGACGTTCCACACCATGCAGGATCATGAGAAGGACCTGGTCGATCTCGCTTTCAGCAAGAAGAAGGCCGATGAGCGCAAGATGTGGCTTCAAAACTTCGTCCCTGGTACTTACCTCGACATGTCTGGCAAGGAGAAAATTAGCTACGACGACTTCATCAACAAGGAGCTCATCTTGTTCAGTATGGCTGACAACTTCCGTTCGATTCCCTCCCTGGTTGATGGTTTCAAGCCTGGCCAGCGCAAAATTCTATACACTGCTCTCAGAAGAAATCTGAAGAAGGATATCAAGGTCGTTGAGCTTGCTGGTCTAGTCTCTGGACTGACCGCATACTCCTACGGTGAAACATCTCTGCAGCAGACTATCATTGGTCTTGCTCAGACTTTCGTCGGGTCCAACAACATCAACGTCCTTGAGCCAAGTGGTAACTTCGGTTCCCGTCTTCAAGGTGGCAGTGACGCAGCCAGCGCTCGTTACATTTATACTCGCATGTCTCCCTTCGCCCGTCGTATTTTCAACGCACATGACGAGCCTCTTTTGACCTACAATACTGATGACGGCAAGACCATCGAACCCGAGACCTATGTTCCTGTCGTGCCGATGATCCTCATCAACGGTGCTGACGGTATCGGTACTGGTTGGTCGACTTCCATTCCCAATTACAACCCAGCAGATGTCATTGAGAATATTAGACTCAGAATGGCAGGAAGCTCAAAAGCCGACATGAAGACCATGAAGCCTTGGTTCCGTGGCTGGAAAGGAGAGACAGAGGATATCGGCAATGGTCGCTTCAGATTCACTGGTACGATTACGCACAACGATGACAACACAGTTGAAGTTACTGAGTTGCCCGTGCGCTTCTGGACTCAAGACTTCAAGGCACATCTCGAAGAAGTCATCAAGGCTGAGAAGACGCCATCGTTCATCAAGGATTACAGCGAGTACAACACACCTGAAAAGGTTCATTTCATCATCACTCTTGACGACAAGGGCATGAAGGTTGCACTTGACAAAGGCCTGGAAGAACAATTCAAGCTGAGCAGAACAATGGCCACCACCAACTTGGTTGCTTTCGATGGTCAAGGTCGTATCCACAAGTACGAAACGCCCCTTGACATCATGGAAGAATTCTACCACATCCGTCTTGCATTCTATGAGAAGAGAAAGCAGTACCTTCTCAATGAGATGCAGAGAGAGCTTGACAAGTTGAGCAACCAGTCACGCTTTGTCCAGATGATTATTGATGGCAAGCTGGTCGTTTCCAAGAAGAAGAAGTCTGTTCTTGTTGCAGAGCTTCACAAGCTCAACTTCAAGCCTATTCCCAAGCTCGCCGATGCCAAGAAGCAGGGTGAGCTCGAGGAAGTCGTTGAGGAAGAGGACGATTCTGATGACGCTGCACCTGGCGCCAATGATTTTGACTACCTCCTCGGCATGGCCATTTGGTCCTTGACCCAGGAGCGTGTTGAGAAGCTTCTCAAGCAGATCGGTGACAAGGAGGCCGAAGTTGATGCACTTATCAAGCTCTCACCCAAGGACCTCTGGACCAGAGATTTGGACGAACTACTCGAGGAGTGGCACACTCAGCTGGAAGTTGAGGAGACACGCGCGAAGAAGTCGAAGAGCAAAGGTCGTCGCACATCATACAAGCTCGGTGGTGCTGCATCCAAGAGCAAGAAGCGCAAGTCGGAGGATAGTGACGATGACGACGACTATGACTTTAAGAAGCCGAAGACTACCGCAAAGACGTCCACTGCTTCCAGGACCGCTCCGGCGCCCAGATCAAAGGTCTCGAAGGGCGCTGCAGGTTTAGGTTCGTTGGACAACTTCCTCAAGCCCACTGCCAGCAAGCCTGCTGGTGTCTTCCCCGTTGTTGATGGTATCGAGCAGCAACCTGTTGCAGCTCCTCCGGCAGTCAAGGCGGGACTCATCGCACCCTCAGACATCACCAAGCCTCTAGTGAAGAGAAAGGTCAAGCTCTCAGATTCTGAGTCTGACGATGATATCGAGATGATTCCCAGCAAGCCTGTGACCAAGGCACCTGTTAGAAAGAAGACTTCTCTAGACACTGACGATGAGGAAGATGTCAAACCAGTCATCAAGGCTACCGCAAAGCCTGCTGCAAAGCCCGCACCCAGAAGAAAGCCTGTCATCGAATCAGACTCGGGAGAGTCGGATGTCGACATGTTTGACGCCGAGAAGATGAAGCCAGTCGCACAACCCGCCACTACTTCCCGCAATGGCCGTGCCGCCGCAAAGAAACCAGTCAAATACGCTCTCGACTCTGATGAAGAAATGTCTGACGACGACCTCGGCGACATCAGCAAGATGGTCAAGGAGATCCCCAGTGCCGCCCCCGGTCGTTCTCTCCTCAGCAATTCTGCGCACCGTCCCGGAGCAAGTCATGGCATCAGACCATCCCAGACCAGGAAGGAAAGTGTAGAGCCTGTCGACGACACAGATTGGGCCGAACTCGCCAAAGGTACACCCGCCAAACCCATTGCCCAAGTCACAAACTTTGACGACGAAGATGCAAGCATGGATGACGACAGTATTCTTCTCTCTCACCGTAAACCTGCACCTCTAAAGACGATATCCAAGACCACGGCAACCAAACCTACTGCATCTACAGCTGCAAAGGCGAAAAAACCTGCCGTTGCGCCAATCAAGACACTCTCGCCAGCCGCGAAGGCATACGCAGCTAAACAATCCAAGGCAGCCGCCGCGAAAGTAGCACCTAAAGCCCCTATTCGCAAAAAGACATCGCTTGATAGCGAAGATGAGGACGAGGATTTGGCCAATGACATCTTGAGTGATGAGGATGAGGACTCGGTTCTTCCATCTCCGGGTGTCAAGCCTGCGGGAGCGAGACCATCAAGACGTGCTGCTGCTGTTGTGGCAAAGAAGAAGTATGTTCTTGATGATGATGATGAGGAGAGTGAAGAGGAAGTCAGCGAGGAAGAGGAAGAAGAGGAGACGTTTGAAGATGAGAGTGATTAAAGAAACTCACACAAGGGGGATTGCCGGCGTTTTCTTTTTGCTAAAATTGCATTTTAGCAGTACAAAGGAGTGTGGGGGATGATTTTTCTGGAGGACTTTTTGAAGTCCTCTTTTGCGGGTTTCGAGATGAAACCGCTTATTTCGTATTCTCTGCTCTTCTCTACTTTTTTCCTCCGTTGTATTCGAAGGGCTTTTGAATCCCCTGACACGGAAGGCCTTTTCTAGCCTTTGTTATTTTTCCAATAGAGTGCTCTCACTTTCACCTTGCCATCCTCCCACCAGTGCAATTGTTTTAGATCGTGTGACGTGCGCTATCTCTTCTTTTCTTTTTTTTTCCCCTTCGTGGTGTTGCATACTATACTCGCCCATTCTGTGCACCTTTTTGTCTCTCTCTTTCTCTCGAAAAAGAGAGATCTGTTTTCCAAAAGTTCCGACTTGGACGGTAAAATTCCAGTGCTAACAACACCCAAAAAGACTCCAGGGATGGCGGGAGAATTTTCCGAGTCTTTTGGGAGTTTTTGTTCAAGAAAGGCTTGGAACAGAATTTTTGATGTTTTTGGCTCTAATTACGGCCCCTTGGTTAATGCATATACTGAGATTGCTGTTTTTATTTTGCTTTTCTTTTTTGTTTTTTTACAACTTTTTGTGGTACGGTGGAAATGTTTAGGTGAGAATGCAAGGCCACCTAGCACTGCAATAGAAATAGACTTAGTGTATTGGAATGGATACGATGCGAAGAAGAAGAAGATGGAAAAAGGTGTGGAAAAGAATGCATATCGAGAGAGCGGATGTGTAAGTGAATTGCATTTACTAGATTTATAAGTGAGAGAAGATGATGGGAGATGGAGGAGCTTTCAATACAAAAGTATCGACACGAAAGACATGTCCACCATCAGGATTGCTCAACTATCACAACACTCTCGACTCTCCTCCAGCAACGGCATCAATGTCCCGCTCCTGGGTGTTCAGCTCAAGTAAATTTCCAGCAACAGGGCCCCATTCATCCGCCCATCTCCTTCCACACTCCTTCAACGCCCCCCTTCTAATCCCCATCAGTGCTTTTCCATTACCGCCAAACAGCTCTTCAAGCAGAGATTCCAAACCATCAGCACTGGAAAAGCCGTAGCCGTTCACGCCTTCTTGCACTAATTCTTTCCAAGCTTCGAAACGTGACCAACCGATGACGGGGAGGCCGGCACCGAACATATCGACGACTTTCATGGGGAGATCGACGCCTGAGGAGGATGTGTGGAGGGAGATGCCTAGATCCGCGCTGCCGAGAAGGGAGGCATAGTCTTCATTGCTCAGCCATGCAGTCACCACCTTGACATTGCCCAGTTTCTTCTCTTTTGTCAGAGTGTCGAGTTTGTTAAGATAGTATTGCTTCAGCGGTCCTTTTCCAGTAATGATAGCCAAGATTTTGGGAAAGGAAGCAGCCATGGATACAGTCGCCGAATAAGCCACCAAAGCATCCAACAAGATACTGAAATCCTCATCCGCAGTCCAAGAAGTCGAGCTAACCAAAAGCTTATAACTTCCATGTTCGAGATGTTTGGCATAATGAGACGTCTCTGGACAGCGATGCAGGAATTCACTGCGCTGTTCTGCCGTGAGGGGTTGGAATTGAGCGGCAGGTCTGTCATGTAGAGGTGTTGCTTTTACACCGAAGCGCTGTTCAAGCACGCGAGCCATTGCGGTGGTTACGCTGAAATGGGCGTCTGCGGCACGAGCTACGTAGCGTTCGTACATTTCCGAGATTCTGACGAGAGGGTGTTTGTTTCCTAGTTTAAGAGCGAGAATGGTGTAGCCGAAATTGTGCCAATCGATGATTAGACGCGTGTGACGGAGGAAACACATTGCCTGAGCGATTGCAAGCGTAGGGATTGAAGGGGGGTTTTGGACGAGCATCCATTTTGTGGCCTTGGTGCGGTAGCCACATGCATGCCAGACTGTTCCGATTTGCCAGAGAACCTTGAGAGGGGCGATGATGGGGAAGAGCATCTTGTTGGTGTTGCGAAGAGCCTCTGGTGGAGGAGCCAGAGGGACGATGGTGACATAGCGGTTGTTTCTGATCTCGGGTAGGAGTTCAGATTCGAGGTAGCCGATTAGACTCACACGACCTCCGTGGGCAGCAATACTGGCAACATGGTATTGCATACGAGGGCTTCTGCCGATATCACCCAGAACCAGAACAGTGACCGAGGCATCAGTCTTCAAAGACCTGTTGGCACCACGATTCTTGGCATAATAAGCATATCCAGAATCCTTGTTGGTCTTGTCGTCTTCGGAGAAAGAGTTGTCATTTATGCCTTCCTGCTCTTCTGCTTTGTAGGGAGAAGGTAAGGTGAGAATGAAGGCGGTCACCAGAGTAGATAACGTGACAGCGATTGGCAAAAGAATAGTCCAGAGTAATGAGAGCCAAGAGCGACCAGAGCGTCCGCCATCCTCAACCAATGGCACGTCCATGTTTCGACTGCCTATCCTACAGGGATGGAGGAAGCAGAAGGTCACGACTCGAGGACGAGGTAGACGGCACACGAATACGGCACGAAGTCACCCGTCGACGTCACTGTCAGATGGAAAGCTGGAAGGTGGCTGTGTTTCATGTGGGTTTCTGCCAAGGCCAGCGGACAGCGTGTCAAGGGCGGTGAGTGATGGAGCGATGAGCGGAAGATCTGGAGGCGGGACGACGGACGGCGGACGGTAAGCCTGATTGGAATGCGAAACAAAGTTTAGACCAGCCCCTGAACCGTCCGCGCAGCGAAGTGGAGGACGCCCAAAGTGACAACGTTCATGACATGCGAATCGATAAGGAAGCAACAAGGAGCAGTCGTTCCCTCATTCTTTGTATTTTTTTTTTTTCACAAACTGCCATTCAGCTCACCTGTCAGCATAGCAGCACGCTGTTGCACAAAGAAGCTTTTGATTACACAACGGATATGGATATGACGAAAGACTAAAGTCACGATATTTTGTTTGGTTCAGCCACGTTAGATTGTATCACCTTGATCTGCGCAGGGTCAAGATGGCAACAAGCCGACCTATCTCGATGGGCCATGCGCCATCATGGGCACTGAACGACAGCCCCTTCGACGACGACCAAAGTAGAGCGGCACAGGCATTCGACAGTGGACTCGACATTGAAGACACAGACTCATTCAACCCCAATGGTCTGGGCCAGGGCGGTCACACAAGGACGTATTCGTTTGCAGGACCAAAGTCGCCGATACGGACACCTGCGAAGCCTTCATTCAAGGGCCACCTCCGTCAGGGATCTGGTTACGCCCTCTCGCCAGTGTCAGCCGCCTTTCCTGAACACATTCTAGAGCACAGCCACGGCGACGGCAAGCATACGCCGGTGCGAGGCCACTCTCATAGCCAGAGCACGCACAGTATGCACAGCACACACAGCCACTCGCATGCGCAGTCCCACGACCACGCCCATGACCATCCCCTTACCCACTCCAAAAGCCATTCTCACAACCATTCACACAGCCACGCACAAGGCCACGCACACGGCCATACACACAGTCACGACCACGGTCATGCACATGCGCCGCTCAATGCTGTCCCCATGACTTCGGAAGTCGTCTCAAGGTTCGTCTCGTCCATCTCTTACTCAATGCTCTTGCTGATTGACATGCGCAGTCCGTGGTTCTCGCTACCCGAAGCATTGACTGGACTCCTCCTTCTTCTTCCCTACCTACTCGCGTCTGCCGCATACTCAACTCCGAATACCGAATTCCCTCCCCTCTCAGCCTACGCCCGCCTGCAACAAGCCGTTCCGGAGGGCAAGGATATAATAGACTACACAACCGCACACCACGCCTCGAGCCTACTCCAGGCTTGTACCCTGACGTCTGGCACCCTTCTCCTCATCGCAATACTAGCAAACATCCGTGCTGCAGAAAGAGGCCTGGACAAGCGAAAAAGCTCAAATGCCGCCAAGACACATCCTGGTCTGTTGACTCCACAATCCATGCTGAACATGGTGACGAGCACCTTGCGAGTCGCTCTACCATACTATGCTGCCATTCAGATCGGCGGTCTGAGAGTCGGCTTGGTCTTGTTGCTCGCACTCGCCTCGAGCTTGACCTGTTCAGACAACAAGTCGGCCCCATTGACCTCTCGTCCACTCACGCTCGCTGCACTGGCTCTTTCTATCCTGGCTGATGTTTTTGGCCTGACTGTCTATGCAGATGCCTACCATCTTGCTACTGGTTATATGGCTCTACTCACATCTGTCTTCATACTTAATCCTGCTCTACCAGCAAACGGCTCGCATACCTCTCCTCTCATTGCAACCTCTACCGACACTTCGATCACCTTGTACGCAGGTGCCATTCTCTCTGTACTGACCATCGGCGCCTCCATCATCTTCTCTGTCGCACCCTCGATCACGCCCCTCTCAATTACCTTCTCCACTTTTTCCATGGCCATCACCGCAGCCTTGATCTTGTTCGCACGTCCAGCTCACCTACGCACTCACAAGAAAGCTGGTCTAGCTCTGGGTTGCCTTTTAGCCGCCGCATCTGCCTTTTTGTTCTCACCCAGCACATGGCCTGGCACTTTCTGCAATGGCGCTATCGCTGCCCTGTCATATGTTGGAGTTCTATACGACACTACCCACTCTCATGCCCACTCTCACGATCATAGCCATGCTCACGATTCTGGTCACGCCCATTCTCATGCACACTGCAATCACCATCAAGGCCACCAACACCACACTCATGCCGAAACATCCATCTTCACATCTTTCCTCTTGGCGCGATGCCGACCAGGCTCTCTTTTGCATAGTGTTCTTTGTGAGCGCGACTCTCGCCGCATTGCTTACTTTACCTGCCTCAACTTTGGATTCATGCTTGTACAGGCCTTTTACGGGTGGGTCAGTGGCTCGCTTGGTCTGCTCAGCGATACAGTCCACATGTTCTTCGATTGTCTCGCTCTGGTCATTGGTCTTGGTGCTGCAGTCGCAAGTAAATGGCCCACTAGCCCTGAAATGCCCTTTGGTTGGGGCAAATTGAATGTACTTGCCGGATTCGGAAACGGCATTTTTCTCATGTTGGTCAGTGTTGAGTTCATCTGGGAAGCTGTCGAAGGAATTATGGAAGGCACCGAATTGCGCCATGTCGAGGAACTGCTTGTTGTCAGTACTCTTGGCTTCTTGGTCAACATGGTTGGTCTCTTCGCTTTCGGTCACGCGCACCACGGCCACGATCATGATCATGATCATTCCCATGGTCACGGCAACGAAAACATGCATGGTATTTACCTCCACGTCGCCGCAGACGCAGGAGGTTCCTTGGCCGTTATCCTCAGCACAGTTCTTACACTCTGGAGACCATGGTATCTCTGGGACCCTTTGGCCACCATTGTCATTGCCATTCTGATCTTCCTTGCTGCTGTCCCTTTGGTCCGCGACTCGGGGGGTAAGCTTCTTCTCGTTATTCCCGATGAGTTGGAGTATGGATTGAAGAATGCTTTGCAGGAACTTAGTGGTCTTAGAGGTGTTACTGGGTATGCAGTGCCAAGATTTTGGGTGGAGGATGAGGCTGGAGATGGACATGATCATGATCATGGACACGATCACGCACACGACCATCATCATCACGATCATGACCATGACCACGATCACCACGAGCATGAAGAAAAGAAAAAGAAGATACAAGGAGTCATCCACGTCTTTGCCGCAAGAGCAGCAGATACAGAAGACGTCAGAGACAGAGTGGTACAATACTTCCAACAATTAAACATGGATGTTGTGGTCCAGGTTGAGCGTGAAGGAGAAGGAAGATGTTGGTGTGGTGGTGGTGTCAAAACTGGATAAATCTCTTTTTTTTTAAAGATAAAACAAACCGCATAGTACTTTTGGCATAGCATAGCGAGCGAAGATATAAATCCATCTCTTTGAACTACAATGGATCTTTTCGTGGATATTTCATTGCAGCGGATCGTCTCAAGGGGGTGCTTGTTGCGAGATGAAGCAGTGCAAGGCAAAGTTCGTCCAAAATGAATCAATGATAATCATTGATACGCGACAGGCACGCCTACTTATGCGCACATCTTCCAAGGCTTCCTTTCCAAAGTTGTCTTACTTAGACGGGAGTAAGTGTGCGCAGATCTCGGCGCTTGGAGATGCTCCTCTTTCGACTCACGTGCTTACAAGGCAGGCGCGAAGCAGTCGAGGTTATTCATTTGGCTGATCGAAGCGAGGATCAGAGCTTGGCAAGATCTCACCAGAATCTCACTGTTCTATCCTCATACGCAAGAGATGGAAGACGGATGACAGAAGCATCTCCGACAATATACCATTGATGATATGAGAGCGAGTTGGAAGAGAGAGCAAGTGTCGAGGTCGAGGAAGTCACAATACCATGGTACGATGTGATTGGCTAAGAACGGGCAGTTCTCCGCAAAAGCGAGATGAGTCTAAAAATTACCCGTCTTCGAGACTCGAGCACGGGTGGCTTTGGCAAAGGTTATTGCAACGCTGGCTTCTTTCTCCCTTTCCGTCCCCTTCCCAGCAGTTCTTATTCCCCTTCTGTACAATCACAATGGCCGACCTTGCAACACCGTCCGCTGCTGCCATGAGCACTTCCAACGCTGGCGCCGAGAAGCCCGCCTTCTCCAAGCCCGAGAGACCTGACCAGGCCGACTACGAGAAGTCCCTCGCCGAAGCTCAAAAGGCCCTCGATGCTGCTGTCGAGAGACAGGTATGTGCTAGCATTGTTCTCAGCATCTTCTGATGGTTATTGACGTGTGAAATTGTAGAGAGCCATCAAGGCCAAGCTCGACTCGCGCCCCAACAACAAGGAGTCACCCGAGGCCAAGAGACAGCAGGAGCTGCGCGCACGACTGAACGAGATCCGCGAGGCACAAAAGTCGGGCAAGTCGAGTCGCGCCCAGCAACTCGGCCAGATCCAGCGTCTCGATGAGCAACTCAAGTCGCGCATCCAGGAGCAAAAGACTGCTCGCAGCCGTGTCGCTTTCCGCTCCGTCGACGACATCCAGAACGAGATCAACCGTCTGCAAGCCCAGGTCGAGACTGGCACCATGAAGATTGTCGACGAGAAGAAGAACCTCGCCGAGATCACCGCCTTGAACAAGCAAAAGAAGGGTTTCGCCGGTTTCGAGCAGGCTCAGAAGCAGATTGACGACATCAAGGCTCAGATTGCCGACATCAAGAAGTCGATGGACGACCCGGCAAGCAAGGCTCTTTCCGAAGAGTACACCAAGATCACCACCGAGCTCGACGAGATCAAGGGCAAGCAGGACGAGGTCTTCAAGAACTTGAACCAGCTCCGCGACGAGCGCACCCGCGCAAACGAGGCCCAGCAGGTCGCCTACACCGGTCTCAAGGACATCAAGGACAAGTACTGGCAGGCCAAGCGCGCCTATGCCGAGTACGAGAAGGAGGCATACCGTGTTCGCAGAGAGCGCCAGAAGGCTGAGCGTGACGCCTACGAGGCCGGCAAGCGCAAGCAGGTCGCCGAGGCCAAGCTCGAGGAGGCCAGCGCCCCTGCCTACGGTGACGAGATCCAGACCGCCCAGTCCCTGATCCGCTACTTCGACCCTTCGTCGCAAGAAGCCAAGGCCGCCGCCGGTCCTGGAAAGTTCGCCGCTCAAGCCAGCCGTACCGTCGAGGCCACCGGCATCAAGGGCACTGCTCTCCCCCGCAAGGGTGAGGCCGAAGAGGACTACTTCGCCGGCAACGGTGGCAAGAAGGGCAAGAAGAACCGCAAGGCCCAGACCTCCTCTCCCGCCCCCGAAGCCCCTGCTGGCAAGTTCAACCTCTCCTACGCCGTCATCGAGCAACTCGCAAAGATCTCCGTCGAGCCCCCATCATCGCAAGCCGCCGTCGCCGGTGTTGTTGAGCAAATCAAGTCCAAGCTCGAAAGCTGGCAAAAGGACCAGGACCGCCAGACCAAGGAGGTAAGAATTGCTTCTTGACCATGAACACCACGCATGCAGATACTAACATCTTTCTCCCAGAACATCGAGAAGGCCAAGAAGGAGATTGAGCGTCTCGAGGCCGAGACCGATAACGCCGAAAAGACCAACGGAAACTCCACCGATGCCGTCACCGCCGACCTCGAGAAGACCAAGATCGAGGAGACCTCGTAGAACAATGTGTCCGTCTTGCTTTTGTCTGTCTGACCGGCCTCAAAAAAGTTATGCTTCACGGGATCTCGAATGAGTACAGAAAGAGGCTGTCTATCGAGGCAAAAAAAAATAGAGCGTCAAAGATTGCATTAGTGGAGAGGGGTTTACACCAAAAATGTTTTGCCTACCTTTCTTATTTACCTTTATCATCCCGATGAGCGTTTGGGGATTTTTTTTTCGTCCATCTCGTTTCTTTCGCCATGCCAATCTCTTCTCCAAACTTCTTGAATTGAAATTGTCTTCAAGTAATTTGTCTGGCAGGTGGACGGGTCGACTTGAATCAGAAGAAGTCATGCCTTCTTTTTCAGAATGCCCTCACACGTACGCGGTTTGTTTTGCTGCTATTTTTCTTTTACCTTACTGTCGTACGACGTAAAAGAGTCAACAACAGTGACGGCACGTTCAACGTAAACTTGCTATATTCTTTTAACATTCGCTCGTTGACTAGGTTTTTGGTCAGAAGCTTTTTCTCTCCTTTTTGCTGCCTCATCTTTTTGATCATGTCACGTCCTCAACTCATCACCAGATGTTGGACCTGGGTTTTCTGCTTTATCCTTCTTCTTCACCAATCATGCTTGATTAGCAGCCGATCTTTGTCTCTTTTTTCTCCAAACGTCTCGTCTTTCTGCCGTGTCGCTGTGCAGATTTAAGAAAAGTAGCCAACATGAGCTGAAATACTTGTCCACTGCAAGAAAAGATGTACAATCAGAGAGATGATGGATATTGCATGTTATAAGAGACAAGGTATAAACACCACTCCACTGATCCAGTATCACAACTGAGAAGAATCGCGCACACACGTGGAAAACATGTCGTATGACAGAAACCGAGATATGATGATCGTAAAGGAGATATATAGTGCTAAACTATGTGGGTTTTGCCAAATGCTTTCGAGACAAAAGCATTGCGTATAATTACATTCAGACAAGGAAAAAGGAGAGATATGTGCTTCACATCATCTAGAGGATGAACGAGACAATGCTGCCGAGGATGTAGGCACCAAGACCAACAACACCTCTGAGGTGAGCGGCGAGCTCGGCCTTGAGACCGACAACAACAGTGCAGGCGACGGTGATCAGACCGTGGCAGGCAGTACCGAGGAGGACGAGAACAGCCTTAAGACCGGCGTAACCGCAGACCTTGACGGCGAACTTGACAGTGAATTCGACCTCGACGAGGAGCTCGGCAATCAGGCTAGCGAGCTCAGCATTGCTGTGACCGGAGATACCGCCAACAGTGCTGAGGTGAGCCTTGGCCTGGCCGATGAGACCGATAAGAACTTGGATGTTCTCCTTGACATCAGCGATTTGAGCGGCGGAGGCGGTGCCAGAGATACCCTTGCAGGTAGCGTTGATCTCAGCGGTGTACGAGTGGATGTGTTCGGCGAGGATCTCGAAGGTGCCCCAGACGTTGACAGTGGCGTTAAGACCGAGGGAAACATCGAGAGAACCGCCAGCAGCGCCAGAAAGACCGGCACCGCCGTTGAGACCCAGTCCACCGAGACCGCTGATTCCAGCACCAAGACCAGCTGCTCCCGAAGCCGAGGCTCCGAGACCACCAGTACCGCTTGCACCAGCATTGAGACCTCCAGAGCCGCTGATTCCGGCACCAAGGCCACCAAGACCGTTGATACCAGCACCCAGGCCAGCAGAACCACCGATTCCGGCAGACAAGCCGGCAGAACCAGTACCTTGAGCAGCATCGACAGCAGAAGCAGAGGGAGAAGCGCCAATGGATCCAGATGCACCGAGACCAGCGTTGCCGTTGATTCCTGCACCGAGACCTGCTGAGCCACCAATTCCGGCACCCAAACCTGCGGCACCTGAAGCCGAAGCTCCAAGACCACCAGTACCTGTTGCGCCAGCATTGAGACCTCCAGCACCGCTGATGCCGGCACCAAGTCCACCGAGACCGTTGACTCCAGCACCAAGACCTGCTGCTCCTGAAGCTGATGCACCAAGACCACCAGTACCAGTAGCTCCGGCATTGATTCCTGCGCCCAAGCCTGCAGAGCCGCCAATTCCGGCACCAAGACCACCGGCACCGTTGATACCAGCGCTCAAGCCTGCAGAGCCACCGATTCCTGCTCCCAAACCGGCAGAGCCAGTACCTTGAGCACCCAAGCTACCAGTGCCAGTAGCTCCGGCGTCGAGGCCAGCAGATCCACCAATTCCGGCACCGAATCCAGCATTGCCATTAAGACCTGCTGAGCCAGTAGCTCCGGCAGCGAGAGCACCAGAAGGAGTAACGCCAGCAGACAAGCCACCTTGACCACCAATACCAGCAGAGATACCGCCCTCACCACCAATGTCTGCACCAGTAGAACCGGTCACATCAGGGGAAGAAGAAGAGTCGGTGGGTGTACCGGAAGTGGCATCAGCAGCGGTATCGCTAGGAGACGACGAGGGAGAAGATTCGGAGGGAGAAGAGTCAGAGTCGGAGCCGTAGGCAGGAACATCTGAGGGCGAGGAAGACTCAGATCCCGAGGGAGTGCCCTGAGCTGCATCGATGGCGTTGTCGCTAGGAGTGGCAGCAGCGGACTCGGCGGGGGTTGTGCCAGATGGGGAAGAGCCGGAAGGAGAAGAGCCACTGTCGGAACCTTGGCCGTATGCGGAACCGCTGTATGAGCCAGAGTCGCTACCGTATGTGGGAACGTCGGTGCCGACAGGCGAGGCGTCAGTGCCAGAAGGCGAGGCGGCGGACTCAGTGGCAGCAGGAACGCCTTGAGCGGCATCGGTAAGGTTTTCGCTAGGCGATGCGGGAGCAGAAGGAGAGGCTTCCTGAGAGCCGCTACCGTAGCCAGATGATCCGTAAGCAGGAACACCGCCAGTGGGCTGAGCTACACTAGCAGGAACGGATGAGCGAGAAGCCTGGGCACCATCGACAGCGTTGTCGCTGGGAGAAGCGCCTGATGGAGCGGCAGCACCAGTCCATGTGTAGCCAGAACCGGTAGGCTGTGCGACACCGGCGGGAACATCAGATACTGAGGTCCCGGTAGCGATCAATGTAGTAGAGAGAACAGTCGAGCTAGCGGGGCAGTTTGTGACGTCGGCAGCGCACGAGGTAACGGTACCAACATGGGTGCTGTAGAGAGTAACGGTGATGGGAGCGAACGAAGTAGGAACAGGGACATCAGGGCTGGCCTCTGATGACGAGGGCACAGCGGTCTGCCAGTTGCTAGGGTACCAAGCAGATGGCATTTGTCCAGAAGGAGCGGCAGCACCTCCAGCGGACATGGATCCCGAGGGAGCAGCACCACCGGTGGCAGTTCCCCAGTATTGACCGTACGAAGGCATGTTGTTGGGAGTCTCGTCGGAGTTGGCGGGAGGCGAAGGAACAGGCATAACAGTCGAGGTTTGAGCAACGACAACGGTGCTGCCGTAGGCGGGAACGCCCTCAGATGCAGCAGGGGTCGATTCGCCGTTGGCTGGAACACCCTGGGATGCAGCAGGAACTCCCTCAGATGCGGAAGGAACACCCTCAGATCCAGCGGGAACGCCCTGAGACGCAGCAGGAATACCCTCCGATGCAGCGGGAGTCGAGTCGGGAGAGCCACTTCCGTTGATGGGAACACCCTGCGAAGCTGCAGGAGTTGTGGCAGCAGATGAGGGCATAACAGCGTTTACATCGGATGCGGATGAGGTCACGGTAGCTCTGTTAGTGACAGTCGAGGTTATGACACTAGGAGCAGTCAAGACAGTGGTAGCACCTCCAGCAGATGTGATCGTGTGACCAACAGGGCCTGGATATAGTCAGCAATGTGTTTCTGAATCTGGGCTCATGATATCGCAATATCGAGTTGACATCTTGGGTTACTTACAGGTTGTGACTGTCTCGGAAACGATGTCTGTCACATAGACGACCTCGGGACCAGAGGGGCCCATGGTGGTAGTACCTGTGACAGCAGGGACGTTGGCAGAGGCAGCCGGGGTGGTGGCACCGTAGTTACCCTCACCGAACGAAGCAGTAGGAAGGGTAGTGATGGCGCCAGAACTTCCAGAAGCAGCGTTGGTGGGAGTACCGTTGGAAGCGTCGACATCCGAAGACGAAGGTGAAGAGCCTGAGTTGCCACCACCGTATGCAGGAGCAGAGGAGGCGGCAGCATCAGTCTGCACAGATGGGACTGCTGAACCAGCAGCAGTCGTGGTAACGTAGCTTGTGACATGCTCTGTGACTGTCTGAGTGTGAGTCTGGGTAGACCATTGGGTGACGGTCAGAGTAGAAGTGCTCTTCGAATCGGCAGGAGCACAAGGGCAAGTGTCATCACGCTTGTTGTGAGGAGCGGCAGCGGACAGACCGAAGTAGGCCGCCAGGTACAAGTAGGTGCTAGGCTTCATCTTGAAGTTGAAGCGAAGCTATTGCTTGTAGCGATTTGCTGTCGATAAAGAATGAACGAAGGATTGAAACGATCGGTGGGTGAATTAATGACAAAAACAAAAGACGAAGGATGCTTCAGAGCACAGCTCTTGATTGGCAAAGGGAATGAAAGACAAAACTGAACTGATCGAAAAGTACTGAGAGCAGGCAAGACAACATGATTTATACTGAGGATGGCGAGCATGTTGAGTGCGTTGAACCGGAAAGAGTGGGTTGAGATGCCACAGGATTAGCAACAGAGCATCGATCAAACCAGTCTTTGACGATATTAAGGATTTTGACAGATCTGCCACGACCGTGCTGACATTCGGATTGGAACGAGAGCAAAAGTGCGGGCGAGACATTGTAGACGACTCGTGTGCTTGTGGCGATGGGAAAGTGTGCCGCGATGTTAGTGTGAAATTTCTGGTGATGTTCAGACTGGAAGGAGCTTGGTTTGGAAATTAGCTGTCTCAAAGCAGAACCTCACAAGCAGTCGCGACAGAAAGGAGTATGGTGATCGACAGTATCAGGTAAGCTCTGGCCTTGTAGAGATGAAACCAACCTGTCTACTCCACAATCCCCGACCTTCGAAAGTCGTTGCTAGTTCTTCAGTAGAATGTTGGAAAGCTTGGCCATGTTCGTGCTGCGTCGTCAGACATGGCGATATCAGGATTGCGTTCGCTTTATGGTCTTGGACGAGAGCAGATTATTGCACCTGTAAAGGGAAGTGTTTAGATGAGAGGAAGCTACGAACGGCGGTCCTGCAATGCGGGAACAGGCTGCAAACTCCGCAAGATATTGACGATCGAAGACTCAGGCAACCACGGAAGGCACGGGGATGTAGGAGGAATTGCGTGGATGAATTTACTTGACTGGCCTGCTGTCTGTGCGTGCGGCGGTGTTGAAACTCGTGCCTATTTCTGGCTAGGTCGGATACTGGCAGAAATTTGCCAATACGCAGAGCGAGATTTGGTGCTTGGAGCAAGGGTGGTCTCCTACGACGGGCAACATCGCGGGATGAAGCAACCATAGCTACTCATGAAGGACGGGGAGATGGTATAGTGACATTCAGGCGAAGTCAGCGTGAGATTCAGCGACTTGACACGTCGCGACTTAAGGATGTATATGATCGACAATGCAGAGTCGGAAGCTACGGGCCGGGGCCAAATTGCAAGCCGATAGGCCGAGGAGCTTGGCTATGAAGTCCGGCTCAAACTGCCTCGATTTTAAATAAAGGCATTCTTCGAAACCTCTTACAAGAGACTTCGTTTCAGCCTTGTAGCACTATCGCTTTTCGAATCAACAGCTCGAAGCCTTCTTGACTATGCGAGGTGTCCCTTTTGCCCTTGACTTGACGCCATACGATCGGCGAGCGCTGTTCATGCCAAAGCAACCTTCTCCGACGAGCGTACAGCGTACGAATACGCAGATCAGAGCGCCTGCTCCCCAATCAGATTGATCATGAGCATACCATGACTCTGCGTGAACTCATGGTAACTGGCTTTGACCAGTGGAGTTCGCAGATCAGCCGGGCTTGACTGCGGTTGGGATCTGCATTGCTGCCTCTCACACTTGAATTGTTTCTCCATGGTAACAACATGCTCAACCCACCCCAGTCAAACCTGGACTGCTGTTAATAGCGCTTCTCGACGCTACTGAAGCTGCTTACCACTTGCCAGTCTGGTCTCCCTTTCAATTTGAGATTGGGTTGTCGCAAGATTGTGTTTACAAATCAAGCACCACAGCTCTGCCGGACATAACTCTAGGAATGCCAGACCCCTTATCTCAGGACCGCACTCTGCCAGTGAAGGCCATTGAGAAGTTTAACTTCACATGATTGACTTGTTCGCCGCGAGATAAGGCGACACACCACGAAGGATGCGGCTCTCTCGTCACGTGAGCGGCTATTAGATGCCACGTTCATGACTCGAAGGCTTCGAAGTCCAGTTGCTTCCAATCCACCTCTCTTTGCCGCACAAGTTGATGAACAATGGCACCACAATTAGCAGACATTCTCAAGGACTCCGAGTTCAAGCCAGAGCTCGTGGAGCGTATCGCCGTCCGAGAGTACCCCGCGGCTTTAGAGGTTGTTGCTCCAAACCCTGCATGGCCTGAGATCTTCGATTCCCTGAAGAAACGCATAGTCGACGCGCTCGGTGCTAATGCTGTCGCTGTGAATCACGTCGGATCTACGAGTGTCCCTGGACTACCGGCAAAAGATTGTATCGATATTGATCTTGTCGTGTCAGACGTCGCCAATGAGACCGCGTACGTTGGACCACTCGAGGCTGCAGGGTTCAGGTTCCTTCTACGTGAAGCGCACTGGTACGGGCATCGATTCTTCTATGCCTACAAACCTCATGCAGTGAACCTACACGTCTGGGGTCCGGACTCTCCGGAGGTCACGCGCCATCAGATCTTCCGCAACCGCCTGCTGAGTAGTCCCGAAGACATGGCTGCCTATCTTGCAGCGAAGAAGCTTGCGTGTCGTCAGACTCAAGAATCAGGTGGAAACTTGCAGGAGTATAACTCGCGCAAGGAGGATACAATCCGTCAGATCTTGAGAAATGCATTTGTAGAGTTGGGATACATCAGCAAGGCATAGATGGATATTGATGCTCGCAATGGTAAATCTTCACATGCGCAGTACTCCGTCATGGCTGTGTTCATTGCCGTCATTGATCATGTTTTTTGGTTGCAGATCTTGTCACAAAGCGAGTGCTGAAACAATATGAGCTCCGAAGGTTGTGTCCAGTGTGGTTGGAGAGAAGTAGAAAGAAAAGTCATTATATCATACAACGTTTTACTTCTGAACATTAGTCTACTTACGAGCAATATCTCTGCCACCCCACCAGACGAACAACCAATTGATCGAGATCATAATCTTTCTCCTCCAGCTCTGAGTCCAGGAAAGATTGCTCGACCGCCATGCCAGCCAAGCACTCTCACCCGTCCAATCCTGTTTTCCGCCAATCACGCCATCACCTTTGCCTAGGTAAGCAAGAAGCGCCTTTTGCTTGTATTCAAACGCTTGTGCAGCTATACCATCGGCTTCGTTGTTGAGCTCACGTGTGAGGTATTCGCCTTTTTGTAATGCCGCTTCAGCTAGTGTCGGAAGACTATAACCTTCGATGTCGGCCGCATCACCCATGGCGTAGGTACCATCGATTGGTGTTCCGTCAGGTCTGAGAACTCGGAGGTATTTGTCCGTCAAGATACGAGGCATGCCCTCCTCTGGCTTTTTTACATCCAGTTTATCGAGCAACGAATTCGCCTTGTTGCCGGTAGCCCAAATGAGCATTCCGTACGGCAGCTTTCCGTCTTCTTTTGTGTAGATGGCGTCCTTCTCAACCTTCTCAATGTGCGAACTTGTCTTGAGCTCGACCTTCTTCTGGTGTAATGACTGGACCGCATAGTCACCGAGCTTGTCGTCGAACGGTGACAAGATGGTAGGTGCGACATCGTGAATTACGATTGAAAACTTGCCAGCCAGGTGAGGGTACAAGAACTTCAGGTCCTCGTTCCAAAGATCGTATAGCTCCGCTGTGACCTCGATGCCGATTGGGCCTCCACCGATGACTCGAATAGTCAGGAAGTCCCTTTGCTGTTGTTCGGTAACGTCAGGTAGTGAGGCGGCATCCAAAATCTCGAGTATCCTCTCTTGAATCAGACGGGCATCAGTCGTTGTCCTCAGAAACAGTGCGTGTTCTTTTGCGCCAGGTGTGCCGAAAGTCTGGACATCACAGCCAGGTGCAATGACAAGTTTGTCATACTTGATCTCGTAGGTTTGGTTTTTGCAAAACTCCGACACTGATGGTTTGCACTTGACGACACGCTTCTCAAAATCAATGCTCTCAGCCATGGCTTTGTAATATTGCACATTTGATCTGTGTCGTCGTCGCATAGGCTCCTCGGCCAGTCTAAAGTCGAAAAGCCCACATGCTGCGCTCGCGAGTAATGGCGTGTATTGTAACGTGCGGATTGGTGAGATGATCTTGATGTTGTATTTTGCGACGCTCAGTTGCTGAGACATGACAAAGCCAGCCCAGCCGCTTCCAATGATGGCGATTGTCGGTTTTGCCTCCATTGTGAAATTTGCGAGTTAGAGAAGAAAACGCTGTTGCTGCTCTTAGATCAAGATGGCTGGCCGCTGGGCCTTATGTAACAAGACTGGCAATAAGTCGCCCTGATGTCACCATCATAGTTATTGATTAGTCTTGTTATCTTCAGCCTCATATCGTTCCCGGGGCTTCCCCATAACAGCCTACCGAGCAACCTGTATTCGTCTGTGCTTCTGAATTGAAGTTGCGAGCACGGCTGGCTGTCGTGGGCAAGATCTCGAACCAGCGAGTGAGCTTTGTGCCGACTTACATGTCTGTTCGTGATTGAAGGCGCTCACTTACGGAGACTATGACCTGACGCAATGACTCCGATGGAGCATGTCAAGCATACTAGTCGATATAACGCTCTGTCGAGTGTTCAATATTGGCTTCACAAGACAGAACGAGCGCGACAAAACGCGGCCGGAGCTTCAATTTTCGTGTTTGCGCTCTTGTCTCTGACGTCATCACATCGTCTCAAGATCGTGCTGTAGCTAATCTAAACAGAACGCAGACGGCTTCGAGTCAGCGACATCCTGACAGCGCCGTAGGCTATATCGGACCATATCAACATCACTGCGAATTCAATTGTTATTGTTCGATGCTTTGCTGGCCATGCAATCCGAACCATGTGACAGGTGAGACGCTTAGCCGAGCATCGACTGTTGAACTCCCTTTTCCCATACCTATATAGTAAATGTTGGTGTTCTTGACATTATAAGTATAATTTTACTGTGTCGGTTCTATAATCACTGCTTCTTCTTATGGTGAGCGCAATCTGATGGTGATGTGTCGATTTTGTTAGAATTATGGTGTCCATCAGTTGAGTTGACGGCAATTGCGCCAATTCGAGGTGGACCTTCTGAATTTCGGCTTCTCAAATCTCGATTTCGACATGTCTTGCTACCAAGATAGTAAGGTCATTCCGGGGACAGCGCAACACGTTGAAAGAATAGTTCATGAGTTATTTGTCGAGACGCTAGAGTGCTGCCATACTCTGGAGCCTGTATATTGTCGCCGCCGATACTCGCCAGGGTTATACCCTCAGTCATGATTCACGAGCATTGGTGGTCAATGCGTTCCCAGCCACTCCATTTCCACAACAGCCATGATGCTCTTCACTCTTTCCACCACGTCATTGTTGCTATGACGGAACGCGTCAAGAAGATCCAACGCGGTTTCTCCTTTGCAACTCGCGAGCACGCTGCTGCCTGTTCTCACTATCGTTTTCGCCCAGGTTCGTCGCGTATATTTTCGTCATACTTGTCGAGTTCTGTTTCACAGCCAGCGTGTCTGGAATCGTCACATGTGTGTATGGCTGCCGTACGAAGCTGTTGCATAGTCGCGAGTACCAACCTGATGATCTGCATCGCCTTCGGAGTACAGTATCGTGATAAATAACACATCGATTTCTGCTAATAATCTGCCGGACTGGTATGTATTGATGTAAGAGTTGTGGCCGATGTCAATGTGGCCCGGTGTCGAGCACTCTATTGTTTCCCCTGCTCAATCTTTTTCCTGGAATTTGCCTTAGTTCGACTCTATCACTAACGAATGCATGACACGCGTCCACTTCTTACGGCCAAATTCAAGCGTCGAGGACATCGGGCTCGAGGCCAGAACAAAGAGTCATACACGAAGGCTGCAAACAGCCGCTTCGAATGAGTCCTGAATGGGAATACTCTCAGAAGGGTTCTTTTTCTGGTCAGCACATATAGACGAGAGACATGTTGCAAAACTCATTCATCATGCAATACAGCGAATCAACACGACCATGTCGACCACGTATTTAGACTATGAGAAGAGTCAGAAAGTGCTACCAGGAGGCCTGCGCCTATCGATTCCAAATCGCCCAACACCATTCGGAAGGCTCTTAATAAAGCCACTACCTGAATAAGAGTCATAACGCCCGGCAAGTCGACATTCCCCATCCTCAAGTCGCCTGTGCAAGAGTCGCGAAGATTGTTCGCGGACAACGTACATGAACACAACGCACATGACACCCCGCCAAAGCACTCCTTGAATCAGGCTACATCCAAGGTGACGCTTCACCGGTCTGCATCACACACCTCGCTACTTCCGACGGACCGAAGAGACTCGCATCGTCGCTCTATTTTCTGAGAATCGCATCACTCTTCTATCAGATCTACATCTCGTATTTCTCGAAATTCTCGAAATTCTCTTCATCCATCTACTTCCCGAACCTGTCGTGATTCTCAATACCGATCTGATTTGCGGAAATCTATCCATTCACATCATCGGTCTGCCTCTCGAGACTCCATCCGCTCTCACCATTCTCAAGTCTCTTTGCAATCTCACACGTCTCGAAGCTCTTTCCGATCATTCAATTCCAGAGTTTCGCGAAATGTGGATGATCGCAACCTCGAGCTCCGAAACAGCGATGAAGTAGACGAGATTGATGGTATCAAGTTTTGGTGGAGCACCCTCTACCTCGATGATCGAAAACTTGGCCACTTCTACTGCCGTCAAGAACCACGTCTCGACACCCGCAATTTCTTCCCGGGCATGATAATCCGAGCGACGCATGCGTATGCTCAGACTGACCCCAATGCTATGCTCGGGGATCGTCGCATTGGCCTGCTTACCCATGGACCCGTGCAAGCGAAGCTACGACCCATGGTGGTGTTGCATTCTACAATTAGTGGTCCCACCTGCGCCACAATGTTCAGTCTCACCACCCAAATTGACAAGTTCAACTGGACAAATGAGAGGCAGTGGGAGTAAGTCAGTATCACCGATGAGCGAGACGACGGCTGGGAAGGAAACACTCCATGGGCAGGCATTCCGCTCAAGTATCGGCGTTTCCCTGCGTGTAGGTGCCCCTTGAAAGAAAGGACCTACGTCAATCTCAGTACACAAATACATGTCAGTACAAGAGAGTACGTGGAGACTGATCAGGGTTACCTTTCTCCCGATCAATATCACCGACTTATCAACCTTCTCGATTTCTATCAGGAGGAGCGCGAGATCATTGCGTACAAGCAATTCGGCGTGGACTACAAGTACCGTGGGATTAGGCTGGCTGATCAACGCGACCTTGGCAATCATGAACGTCTGGAGGACGAAGTAGTGAAGACCAGGATACACAGCCTGCGCCCACAAAGAGACTCACGCTGGTTGATTTGGTCTCTCAGAGACAAAGGCTGACAAACGTGTCTCGCTATGGAACCACGGTGACGCAAAACAACTTACTCAGTAACCCCACCCCACAGCGTATGTGCTCATAATATATACATACAGATAGTCAAGATATATTTATACGTAAATGGAAGTTGCTCCGATAGAAAAGGTCTCAAGTATTGATCAGCCTGAGGCCGATCATCGTACAAAAAGACCACCACCTTTTAGACGTTAGGATTCGACCTTTTTTATTTACTGCATCGGTCTGACCTGATTCAATAGTCCTTACAAAGAAGCAGCCGACTTCCATTATGTGTATGGTCTGGCCGACTGCTGTTTGGGAGACTCGCCAACAAAGAATACTTTCCGGATCCGGTCGATATGTCCACCGCGTATATCATAAGAGGGTAAGATCAAGTATGTGTCTCCTGTTTAACATAACAGAGACCATTACCTCCTGAGCACAAACGCAGCACAGTATGGTGGCATCTAGATGGAGAACAGAATCACAGCGCGAGAGGCGCCAGCGCAATGGCGACAGGGCAAATTCTCCACCGAACCCTTATGGCCACAACCCCAGGAATGGGCTGCTACCTAATAGCCGTCCTCAGACACAGCCCCCTAGGCCACTTGGTGGTCTTGCACAGTGGCCCCGCCCGGTGGCTGCCACCGTGTCGAACATGGTCCCTCAAGCGAGACCACATGACGATCTTGGAGTTGCAGCTGACCCACCGAGAACAAACAGCAAACGAGTTCGGGAGGAAGACACCGATGACATGGATGTGTTGCTCACAGCAAGACTCGAGCTCAAAGACGGTCGTAATATCAGACGCAACGAAAACCAAGTCAAGAAGCTTAAACAACATAAAGACATTGCAAAAGTGACTCTGGAAGACTACAGCACGGAGCCTGCAAAAGAGATTGCCACGTACCGCTCTATACCCATAAAGGGAAAAATCAAGAGACGCAAAAAATAGAGCCGGGACTTGGCCTGAAGAAGTTGAAGTCCCAAGAAACTCGACTCAAAGAGCTCATACCAGTTAGATGTCACGACAAGGCAAGCTGGAAAAACTAGGACTTAGCAAAGTACAACGGGTCGCCTTTGAATTTACTCAGGTCCGCAGACAAGGGATCCAGATTGGCCGACGGCTGTTTCGCAGACATTAGTCGCACCATAGCTATTAGCAGAACGGACAACTTTGAGGAGGGCTATGGTTCTCTGACTAAAGGAAGTTATGCACGCCTCCTTCACGCTTTTAGGCACAGAGAACAAGAGGTAATGAGAGTCGCCATGGGAAAGGTATATCTACGAGATTATGAATACGATGTCAGAGCCCCTGTGTTGGGTCGCATGAAGAACTTGATGCCATTTTTGGGCCTGGATGCAATTGGGGCCCGACGATCTGGACGACGATGACCATTATTATGTGAAGCCCGACGATATGGACCCCGATGACCTGTTTTATGTTGAGCCTGACAACGACCCACGAGGAACCACTCATGGTACAGCAGCTCCTCCTGGCGATAGCACAGCGGCTCCTCCAGCCGGTGACATAGCGGCTCCTGCAGCTGTTATCACCACAGTTCCTGCGAGTACTATCCCGCCAACTGGCCCCAAAGTCAGTGTCACATCAACGACTTCTAGTCTGAATCCCTCCGCGGACTTGTTTACGAAACCCTCCTGATCTTGTGCAATCGCCACCCGATGACTGTCAGCAATATCCCGAGATGTGGTCTAGAGGCCAAGACCATCAAAAGAGGGAGGAAGACGCGAATTGCGGAACACGTTGATGAACATGCCGGGACTATGCAATGATCAAAGTTCCGGCGATCACAATACACACTATGCTGTGCTTCTTGCCTTGAACCACGGGGGATTGACAGGGCCTGCTACCTGATCATCCTGATGATGGAGGAAAAGAGTCTGTCCCAGCATAGCCTGATTTCATGGACGTCGAAGAGGTCTGAGGCTGCGAGGCTACCTATTTGTAACGACTTGCGATTTAGTGAATATTGAATCTTGTATACTCGGTTCTGGTCGGAAAAGCGAGGGGCTCGTTGGGTCAATCTTCCATTTCTTCCAGAATCGTGGTTGGTTCCGATGGTGACTTGTGCATCCGGCCAGTATCCTCGTTTGTTTGCCGTGTTACGCCAGATCAGCACAGAACATGATTCGGATCTCGACAGTACCAGCGCCGCTCCAATAACCATGTTAGAAATCGCGCAAGGCTGGAGAGAACCATGCTCGAGTATGAACAGGTATGCGGGAAGGAGGAGGATGGAAGGGGACAGTTGTTTACACACGCGCCGATGAGCCGAGCTTTTGCCCTGACCAAAGTCCCAAGATTGCGCTTTTCATTTCCGTTGACGATCTGATTCTCTTCTCGCTGTACATTTCGAATGACAATCCTAGCAAATCCATGTCCCTCGATTATATCGTGACTGACAGTACATAAACAATCTGTCGATCGCGTTCGCGGTGGTAGCTGCAAACTATTCGTGACCGACCAATCGCCCGTCGGCTTTGGGTTTCGGTAGACGCCTACCAAATCCACAACCACATTCTGACTGGGTATGTGTCGCTTGATGCACCGAGGCCGGCTACGAAGTGTGCGACACTTGGAATTGGCTGTTGTTGCCATGATTGGCGCGTACGCAAAACGCGAAGCGCACAACATGTGGCACGGGCTTTGACATGGACTTGGGCGCGTAGCAGTCACACAAAGTTGACAAGGTATCAAAGACTTGGGTAGGTCGAGATGTGACTTACTGCTTTGTATCTACTGGCTGGTTCCTGCATTTTCCTTCTCTTATTGTTCGCTCCTTCTGTTATTCATTCCGTGTCGCGACCTCTTTTTCTTCTTTACTCGAGCTGGTTCTCTGACCGTCTTTGCGCATTGGTTGTCTTCTGATTGTCTAAAACTGTCCGACACTCGGTCTCAAGCAGCTTGGGGAAAGATCGGTCGCTCCTCCAACGAGAGAAGCTCACCGACACGACGATGCGCTTTCCTTCTCTCGCTTTCGCTGCCGTAGCTGGTCTATGGCAGCAGCCACTCGCTCCTGAAGACGAAACAATAACAAGCACGCGCCATGTTCATGTCTCCAGAACTTCTACCAACACAGGCAGCACAATCTATGCTGTTCTTATGGGCACTTCTACTCCATACATGGACCACCTCCCCGCCACTTTGATGACCAGGTCTATACCCTGGCAAGCACTGCAGACTGCAAATCTTGAATGCCGCTCAGAAGGAGAATCTGCCAGCACGATGCGCATCAAAGTCACCCAGACTGTAAACCAAGTTCAAGCTACGGTGTTTGCGAGTAAAGTTGGGACTTCGGTGTCGACTCCTACAGACGTTCCACAGTCTTTGAGAGAAGAAGCTGCAGAGGATGCGGAAGAGTTGTCGTCTTCGCAGTTGGCAGCGGCGATCTCATCCGCCAAGTCCGCTGCGCTGGCACATTCGACTGTTGCAGTACTTGCTACGACCACCTCATCTGATGCAGATGCTTCTCCTGCTGTGGCCGAGGGTCAACCTCAGTACACCAACACGAGCTCTTCGACACAGCCATCCATTACCACATCCGAAAGCTCCTCCGTGCTCCCAATTGGCCTTGAGCTTCGATCCAACGGAGGTGCAGCGACAACAAGTTCACCACCAACAACAACGACAGCCCGAGTACCAGGCGTAGTGATTGCCGTCATATACGGCACTTCAACGTCGATGATGACATCTATACCGCCGACGTTACTGGCTGAGATTACTGCCACGCAACCCACGACCACCGCACAGTCAAGTTCCTCCGAAGGCACTACAGAAGTAGACAGCTTAACCAGTACCACAATATCCGACGGTAATCTTCAGTTCACGGATGCGAATGCTGCAGGATTCAAGAGCACACAGACGGCTCTGATCCAGGCGACTACTCATAGCGACGAAGATGCTGCGAAGAGTACCACCGCAGTCGCTTCCACGCCTCAGAGAGACTCTTCATCCTCGACGTTCTCATCAGCTTCAACGTCCATGTCCGTGAACTCTGCGTCCGTGACCAGCAATAAAATCTACACTATCCCTATGACCACCAGAAGCACAACATCTCCGTCATTCACCCCGGAATTTTCCACGCCAACCACTCCTTCAGCAACCTCAGCAGATCCATTCTTCACAGCCTACAACTCCCAGAGCAGCGCCTCTTCAACAGCAGACATAGCAGCCGACAACGCAGCCGGCGCCTCGGGAGGAGACTCGGGCAGTTTCAAGCTCTCAAAAGGAGGCTTCGCCGCCATCATCTCTGTCGTGTCTATTGGTGTGGGACTAGGCCGTACGTTTACTCACTCTCCCTTCTCTCCTCTTCCTTGCAACGTATGCAAAAGCTAACAAGCTACAGTAGTCTTCCTCATTCTGTTTGTTGTGGCAAGACGTCGACAGTGGAAAGTACGCCAATCTATCGCTCGCGCTTCCCGCAGATTTACTGGAAGGTTTTCTTCTCACCCTAACAAGAAAACTTTGAGCAATGAGAAAGGGAATGAGCCCACCTTGCCCATCATCGAACCCCGTCAACCAGCCGGGCCTCGTCCAGCTCCTTCTTCCCGTCGACCTCAGCAAGGATTTGCGAATATAGACGCAACTTTACATTCAAATTACCGCGGCGTCGAAAGCGTGGTAAGGATATCAAGGGGCCCAGAAGCTTGGAGAAAAGCCATGGCAGGTCAGAGGGTGCAACAGAGTCAGAGTCAGAGGAGGAAGCCTGAGTTGAGGGTTGATACTGGATTAGCTGGTGGAAAGATGGAGGAGGGGAATATGGGAGAGCAGGGGAGGAAGAAAAGAGCGGACTGGAGAGACTTGTTTAGAGCTTTGTAGTCGATTTGAGGGATGGGGAGGGGTGACTCGGTAGAAGCGTTGTAATGGAAGGGGGGGTATATATGTGGTGAGAGAGGGCACCCAAGATGCGACTTGTAGATTGTATTTCAAAATGTCCTTTGTTTCACATGCACCGCAGCAGAAACTTCGACTTGGCAGATTTCGCAGGGCAGTGTGATCAATGTATCAAGCATGCTCTTCTTGGAGCAAAAGCTTCTAGCTACCGTCAATCGCGTGCCTGTGTTCATTCATTCATCCTCATCATCATCATCATCAATACTCAACACAGCGCCCCTCCCAACCCTCCTCCCAGCAGAAGCAGTCGGCACAGCACTCGGCCTCGGCGTCCTCCCACTCAACCTCTCCTTCTTCAACCTCTGCACAGGCGTCTCCTGCACACCATCAACATCCACCCCATCCCCATCCTCATCACTCCCAATACTATGTGCCCTCTTCCGTCCCCCTGCTTCCCCTTCCTCATCACTATCCTCTTCTGCATCTCTATTCGCCTTTTGCAAGCGAGCGATTTTGCGCTTCAGCACGGGATCACTGCGTAGCTCCTGCAGAGTGAGGATACTTTGACAGCCGGCTACTGGACATTGCACGGCTCTTGCGCCATCTGAGCGTACGATGTTCGTTGGCATGTCGATCATGGAGGTTATGGCTTCTCTTTCGAAAGTATGCGGACACTTTGCACTAGTCACGGGATCTCTGAATTCTTGCAGTGTGATGGGGCATTTCGTGCTGATTGTTTCCCTTGCGATTTGCAAGTCGTCGTCGCTGTCTTGGGCTCCAGGAGGCGTTTGTCCATGGGCGGGCAAGTCTTCTTTGAACCAGAGGTGGGGGGGAGGGACGGGGTTGACTTCATTGTCCCAGCGGGCGTCGTGGGTGATGTTTTTGAAGCCGATGTAGTGATTGTTTTTGCTGTAGCGGTCGGTCATTGTGCGGGCGGTGTAGCGGTTGTGGGCGCGGGTCAGGCGGTCGTTGAAGATGTTTGCGACAGCGAGGGGGCGCTGGGTGGCATTTGTAGGGTCGGTGGGGTCGAAGTCATAGTATTCTTCAGACGTGTCTCGCTCGGCGCGTTGGGTGCGCTGAGTGCTGGCGTTCGAAACGTCTTTGATGAGGTCGGTGAGGGTGTGTTGCATTTCTTCAATCGTGCTGTCGGCGTCGATCATCTTGCGCACATCCTTGTCCATTTGCGCCGTCATGCTGTCGACTTTTGCTTGCAGCTCTTGAAATTGCTTCTCCATATCTTGCACACGTTGTTGGCTGGCGACGGCATCTTCGTCGTTGGCGGCCTTTGAACGAGCTCTTTCCAGTGCCTTTTCCTTGCTGCTCAGGGCTTCGTTTGTCTCTGCGGCTGCTTCACTCAGGCAGGAGATGACTTCGGCGAGGAGATTGTGGTTTTGCTGGAACTTCAGAGGGAGCGCTAGCTGTCGTAGTCTGTCTCGGCCAGCCATGCTCAAGGGGTGTTGGAGTGGTTCGTACGGTGGGAGTTCGTTTGTGGGCGCTCGTTGTGTTGAGGCGGCGGTGCCTGCACGACCCGGTGTGCCGCGGGCCGGCGTCGATGCCACTGTCGAGTGTCTTGTTCTGAGCGACATGTCTGCGTGTGCGGATGGTAGACGATGTGTGGGCCCGAAGCTCTCCAAAAGTCTCATCTAGGAAGACGCGTTCGGCTCTCGCGTCGCTTCACGCCAAGCCCCAGCAGCGGCTTCCACTTCCTCCACACAGCCTTACCTTTGCTCTTTCTACCTTCTCTTCACCGACACAATTTGCTTTATCAGTCGCTCAAGCTCAATTTGCGTTATGGATTCTGCATTGCCTATGTCGATTTCTAGGCTACCAGGCCTTGTCTCTTTATTACATGAAAAGCATTTGTGGGTATTACTGTCTCCTCGCTCCTCTTCGAGTCTCTCTGTTTCTTCCTTCTCCATTCCTCATTCATGCACGTCTTCTTGCTTACTTGGTGATGAAGCCAAGGTAGTCGGCCACGATCAGTGTCACCATACTTTGGAATCATTGTCAGCCCTCATCTTTACAAATCCGTTCGGAATGACTTACGCGTGAGGTGCAATGCGCACATAGTAGGTCGAGAATCCTCTGTAGAATCTCAACGGTCCCTCCTCGGCTGCAACCTTCTTGAAGCAGTCAAACATGCCTTTGTACTGAACTTCACCGTTGGGTCCCTTGGTCTGCTTCTGCAGTCTGGTCTTGACAAAGTCGAATGGCAGACTGAAGAACGATGCGAAGAAGCCGGCGGCTGCTGAGGCTGTCAATGTCTGTGTGCGAGGCGACAGAGATGTGTCCTTGAGCTGGTTCTTGGCTTCCGAGAAGAAGGCGAGCTGTCCAAAGTTGAGAGCCATGGCGCGGACTACAGTAGGTCCAGCACCTGACCAGAGAGCCGCGACACCTTCCTTCTGCGAGATTCGAGTCAAGGCGTCAAACACTGACTTGTAGTTGGCACGCTGGCCGGCAGGCTTCAAGCCATCGCTCTGCATGCGAATGAGGGCGAGATCGGCTGGGTTGCCAACCATGGCTGCCAACCCACCTGCCGAGAGACCAGCCACTGCACGCTCAGAGAAGCCAATCTGCTTGCCCTGATCCTTGGCTCTCTTGCTCAGCGTGCCCATGAAGGTATCAAAGATGCCGATGCGAGCTGTCGTGTATACGGCTTGTCGGAGGAGACCTGCGCTGAGGCCGGTGTAGAGATCGCCAATCTTACCATTGGCAATGATGTCGCGAGTGACCGAGAGAGGTGAAGGCTTGGGTCCTGTCTTGACTCCCTCACCGGCGAGTTGCAGGCGCACCTTGATCATGTCGATAGGTTGGATGACCGATGTGGCAACCATACCGGCAAGTCCACCGTTGATGAAAGGCAAAGCTGCGCGGACAAAGGGTGTGTGTAGGAAGTCCTTGGTGGCCTTTCTAGGATTCTCGGCTGCTGCCTTCATCGCTTGCGGTGCGTCTTTGGCCGCATTACGTGCCGCAGCTGCCGCTTCCGAGATGGTTGATGTGGTGCTCATGTTTGCTAGACAGAAGTTGTCGAGGAAAGATCCTATCTTTGCTTATATCAAAGATTTGGGCTGATGGTTGAGGAATCGACCTCGGCTATGAAATGGTCAAAAGGTAAGTCAGGAGTGAAGGTCGTTGTCCTGTGGTGGGGCACACAAAAGACGTCAGCCTGTTGTTCTTATCCAAAAGTGACTGCGCGATAGCATGCGTGTGAATCCATCAATGTGATTGCTCGACGCGGTCTCAGACCGGGATGTGTGGAGAGAGCTGGCAAGCCAACCCGCACCCTCTCCACACGAGTTGTTCCGTCCATACAATTGTCGTTCCAGGCCTTGGATGCCGCAGAAAAAATGTTACTATCCGCGATAGCCATGGCTTATCTCGGCAAGTATACGGGGACAGACCGGGATTGTGCGACATGGACAAGATTGATTGCTTACCTTGACGACCAAATTGCGGAAGCCTGCTGTGTGTTGAGCGAGTCTCTTTCGTAGTTGAGTCAATTCACTGTCAGTCGATGTCCGAGACGATGGGTCGTCGGGTGAAAGTAAACAATAACAGTTGATGTGCTTGTTGTGAACAGAGGTTCAAATGAAGCGGATAATGCTATATATATCGGCGTTGCGGATATTAATCGAGACTTAACGACAAGTCCTTTGTTTGCCCGGCTTTCTACGATTCGCTCAAGTGATAAACCTTGGAAACAGAAAGAGGAAGAACCGCCTGCTGATGAAGGAAAGTCACTCTGTCTATGGCTCCTTCCTACAAGGCTACGGAGAGGTGCGGGGTCGATCACAAGTCACTCTTGTATCAGCAGCTGCCACCATCTAACCTTTGCCCCGCGTCCAATGGCAGTGACCGTTGTGTGTACCTCGTCCAATCATTGGAACTCTGAGTTGACCTGGCGCGTTACTATTCGCTCGTCCAAGAGGTACACAGAGGTAGCTACGTTACGCGTGTCAAACCGGGCTTGCTTTGTTTCATGAAATGCCATGCCGAGGACATGACCCAACGTCCAGGTTGAGCTGGAAAATCAGGTACGCTGCTCTTAAAGGCTCTGCTGTCCCTTGTCTTCACTATTCGTCCTCACAGAGTCTCACGAAAACATGATCAAATTTATGCGTCAAGTTGGAGAGTGAAGTCGTCGGTGTTTTTGCTCGCTGACCACACGGGTGGAGAAAGCGCGCATCCCCCACACTGCGGGGATCATTTCCGTCACCTCGCGGAGAGCCGTTCTTCCACGCCCCGATTCATTCCGAGTAATAGGGACTGGACGGACGGAAGTTGCATTTGGCTTTGGAGAGAGAAAGGTGCCGAGGACTTGTACTTGGTCTGCCGCTGACATGATCTCCAACTCAAGCAACCCCCTTAGGTCGGCTCAGAGTCGCAAAGCCACAAGTAAATCCTCGAAGACACCATCTGCCATATCTGGTCCAGACATCATGCGAGAAGATGCGGGAAGGTACAGTCAGATCTCGTGGACGTAGCAATCGATGGAATTACGAATCTCGATGATGTGGCTACAGCCATGGAGAGCATTGTGCCTTGAACATCTACACACTCGAAGGGCTCCGCGTACAAAGCGACACGCATGTCCATCCAAGATGTGTCGTTGTCAAAGGCATGCCAACAAAGGTGAGTACCCCCCACATCATGCTCAGATGATGTCGAGAATCTCTCTTTGTCTATGTCCGTAAAGACAAAGGAAACACTCTAGCCCACTCAATCCTGTATCTGTTTTCCGGATTAAGATCAACCAGAAGACACAAAGAACATGACCAGATGTTATATCCTTGCCGCATCGCGTACGGCTTGTTGAATCAAGTCTCTCACAACATTCCCGGCAAAAGATGGCCACCTCAAAGACAACCGAGATACAGACTGTGCCAATCGCCGAAACACAAGGAGACGGTTCACCCGTTCGGAGATCAATCCGCATTGCAGGCCTCAACCCTGCTCTCGAAGTGCGTGCACAGCTACAATCTGTCAATGGCGTCAAGATTGAAGCGCGAGTTGTATATGAGAAGGCAAGCGGCAGGCAGGTCAAAAAATATGCTATACGAGCTCTGGATGTAAAGCTCGATAACTTATGGCCAGGCAGAATCATCAAGGCAGTCGATAGCTATCCTATGGTAGATCTCGATATACACCCATTCGACCTAACCGTAAACCAAACACGCTCGTGCGGGCCTATCGGCGCAAAATGGCGGTACATGATCGTGCTCTGGATGACGAATATGGGTCTTGTTGCTATACCTTTGTTCACGCTCAAAGAGGTACGACTCTCTCATGAGCGTTGCCAGGAGTTTGTTAGCATCACTACCGCTGCTAACCTGCAATGGAGAGGCGCTCCGGGAACCGCGTGGGCTGGTATGCCCCTTATGATGAAGACCAATGGAGATCTGGACCTTGGGGACAAATGTTATGCCGACCTCGCCCGTCCACACTTTGTGAACAGATACGAGAAGTTCTTCGACGACGTGGGCCAGATTGATGGCGGGGAGTACTGTAAGTTGATGGACTTGTACGAGATCATGGAGCTGGAGCAAAGAGTCGCTGCTTTTGCAAGGTTCGATGATGAAGGAATCGTTCAAGCGTACGAGCCGCAGAACGCTCACGTACCGAAACCCGGAGTGAGACATATCAGCGGCAAGACGAAGAAAATGGCAAACAAGAAATTCGCCAGGCGGGTTTGAATGAATGGGAGTGGGTCCTGAGCGGAGATGCTGAATTGAGATGTGGGCAAGCAATCAAAGTAGATATTTCTTGGTATGCCTGAGCGTGCTGGTTTCTCGGTGTTCAATTCAAAACAATATCAACCTGTCAAGATGGATAACGAGATCCACATACTGCTTCTCCAAGTGAAGGAGTTCTCCGGATCACCACAATTCATCATTCTCATGCTGATATCACTCTTGAAGACTTTGGAGGGTCGTGGTGTTCATAATTGTGAATTGGATCGAATTCAGCTGCGCTGGTCTGTAATATCTCATGCGCCGCAGTACCGCATCGTATCGTGCCCTCACATATGCCATTGTGTGTTCGAGGTTGGTAACGCAAACCGAAGTAGTGAGAATGAGATGGAGTGTAAGGGTTCTCCGCTCACGCTCTCACAGCCGAGGTGCAAGATGCAGCCAAGCCCAGCACGGAAACATTCCTTCCTATATAAAGCTCCAAACTGCCGTGACTGCTTCCCAGCTCCCTCCCCGCAGCTTTTCTCCCACAACAATTGCGCTCCGGACTCGCAGTCGTGCCTCCGACAATCGAAAGACCCACAACGACCTCATATCTCGACGTTGAGGGATTGTCAATGCTGACCGAACCTTGCGTTTGGTTGGGCGGCCTGCTTTGATATGCTCAGTGCTCGAGCCGATGTTTCCGCGACGACTTCGATACGACTTTGCGACTCGACACGGACGTCTCATGGCGTTGGTCATTCAGAAAGAGTTCAGACTATAGGCAAGTCAGGTCCACAGCGTAGGAGGGAGGCGACGCGACGCAGAAGCAAGCAGCGCGCCTACTCGAGTCCATCACAGTCCTCCTGTCGCATCGGACGAAGTCACAGGTAAGCTGGTTTATCGCTGTCTCATGCCCAATGGCAGACCATGGTGTCCTTGCAGAGGTGGGCGACAACATGACGCATTCAGTCGACGTAGGTCTGTTTTGCGATAATAATGCGCCCTTGTATAGCGACCGGCTGTTCGGCCCGGTATCTGGTCTCGGAAGCAACTCACGGCAAGCGAAATTCGCGTCATGCTGTTGAACACACATGCCTGCACGTTTCTTGCCCTCGAATCAAATGTGTTGAACAGGTAATTGATCCCCACGGAGTATCTCCATAACTCCAGAGACGTCGTGTTACGAATCCACAATCTGCCCCTTGGTCTGTGGGGTTTCGAGTCAGAATCGTGAAAAATCTGGTTGGTCAGACCCGCACACCTCCGCGAAGTGGGTGAGAATTCGGATGTCGATCATTCACCACCTCTGGTCAGAAATCGGACAGTGCCATAGCACGGTGAACCGGCCTTGACGTCGGATGTGAAGAAGGATGGCGACCCGAGAAGAAGTTTTAGAGGGTATCTCAAAAGAGCGCTGTCCCTCGTCCCTGTCTTTGCAACTTCCTCCCCCCAAATCTGCAAATATGGGTGTTCTTGCCAAAATCGAAGACAGGCCTACGCCGCCATGCGTCTACAACTGGCGTGTCTACCTCTCAGCTGTGGTCGCGGCGTTCTCTTCTTGTATGATTGGTTACACTACGTCTTTCATTGGCACTACAGTCGCGCTTCCGTCGTTCCAAGAGTATTATGGTCTTGATCGATTGAGCGACTCTAAGGCTAGTTTCATTTCAGCCAACATCGTCTCTCTGTTCCAGGCCGGTGCTTTCTTTGGCTCAATCTTTGCATACACGACCTCGTACTTCCTTGGTAGAAGAGCGAGTATCTGGATTTTCATCACCGTTTTCATCGTCGGCGCGGGCATCACCTTGAGCCCAAGCCACACCCTAGGTCCTATGTATGCTGGTCGAGTCATCTCCGGGTTCGGTGTAGGCGGTTGTACCATGGTGGTAAGTCGCTTCCTCCCCTTCTGGCTTTTCGTGATATCGCCTGTGTCTCTCTTATCATGTCGCAAGAAACAATTGTTGTCTCTGCATCGAGGCAGTACCCTGGACACTCGCACATCGTTCTGGAGAGCATTGTGAAGGTACGGCATTGCTAACACAGCTTTATACAGGTCCCAATCTTCTTGTCTGAGATCGCCCCACCCGCCATTCGAGGTAGACTTGTCGGCTTGTACGAACTAGGCTGGCAGACCGGTGGACTTGTCGGCTTCTGGATCGTGTTCGGCGTATCAGATTCGGACGCTTCGGCTCTTGAGGGTAAAATGCAGTTCACGGTACCGTTCGCCATCCAGCTTGTGCCTGCCGGACTGGTCCTGATTGGCAGTATCATGCTCAAGGAGACACCGCGCTGGCTTTTCAGCAAGGGACGCCGCGAGCAAGCGATCAAGAACCTCTGCTGGATCCGTAATCTCGAACCCACTGACCAGTATATCATCGAGGAGGTTGAGATGATGGAGGCTGCGAACGATCAGATACCCAAAGGCTTCTTCCAACCAATCAAGCTTGCCCTCACCGATAGGAAGATTCTGTGGCGCCTCTTCCTTGGTCACATGCTGTTTGTGTTGCAAAACTTCTCTGGTATCAATGCTATCGTAAGTACCGCTCCTGTTGTGATTCGTGTCCTGACCCATCTGACATTTGATCCAGAACTACTACTCTCCGACTATTTTCAGGACGATGGGCATTAACAGCGACTACACTGTCGATCTCATGACTGGTATCTTCGGTATCTTGAAGACTGTGATGACCGTGTTGTGGCTTACCGTCCTTGTCGATAAGTGGGGTCGCCGTCAACTCCTTGTCTACGGCTCTATCGCCGGAGCCTCATGCATGTACATCATCGGTGCTCTCATCACGTCAAACACCAGCCGCAGCAGTAGCGCAGCACCGTCCGATCACTTGTCTTCTCAAGGCATTGCTACCATCGTCATGATCTACCTTTGGACCACCTCCTACATCCCTTCCTGGAACGGCACTCCCTGGGTCATTAACTCCGAGATGTTCACGACCGCAACCCGCAACGTGGGGCAAGTCTCTGCTTCAATGTCAAACTGGCTCTGGACTTTCATCATCGCCCGCTTCACCCCTGATATGATTTCAAGTATGGGGCCTGACGGATGCGGAATGTACTTCTTCTTCGCCGGTATGTCGACGTTGTCATTCTTCTTCGTCTGGTACCTCCTTCCCGAAACAAAGTCTGTGCCGTTGGACAAGATGGATCGCTTGTTCGAGATTTCACCAGTGAGGAAAGCTCAGCCTATTCTGATGCAGGAGCTGCAAGACGAGAATCTGGAGATGAGCTTGCACGCTGGCAAGAGGATGAGTACATCGAGTGAGCACAGAGCGTGAGAAAGATTAGAGCTCATGTGTTTTATAGACCGGTCCTGCGATAGAAGATAGACAAAAGATGATGTATGATTACTATTCCACTGCAGAAAGAAAAAGAGCTTATCTCCGTTTCGCGGCGGCGCCATGCATACTCGTACATACAGCGACGTGCTCCACAGGCTCCATTTGGCTCACTCCAGCACATCACCAGACAAGCCTCGGTGGCACGCAGTGGTGATGTATGTCGATGGTTGTCTACATAGTACCCCGCATCCCACGTTGATCCTCCTTCTCCGCACCGTGAGAACACTCCTCCCGAGGCTGCAACGACAAGGACTCCAGTCGATTATCATTATTACACCGAAGATCTCTCATCTCCAGATTCAATAACAAATCGACTTTGCGGACTGGGCTGTCAACAATATACAATTCGAAGCACAATGCCTTTTGAATCACCTCACCCTCCAATTGATCTCCCGCCCAAAGAATCAATCTGGTCCTTCTTCTTTGAATCTTCTCACAGCCCTCTTTCTCAAAACCCTCTGCCTTCACCACTCTCTGGATATCTGGATGCTAGTACAGGTCGCTCGTTGTCCTATCTCGATGTCAAGACAAAAGCTACAGCTCTTTCCACTTCTCTTATCAAGAACCAACACTTCAAGCCGGGAGATACAGTGATCTTGTTCTCGCAGAACTCAATCTGGTATCCTGTAGCCATGTTTGCCATCCTTAGAGCTGGGGGTATAGTTAGTGGTGCTAGTCCTGCTTATGGTGTAGAGGAAATGAGTTATGCATTAAAAACTTCTGGGGCGAAATTTTTGATGACGCATCCTGAGAGATTGGATGTTGCGCTCGAAGCTGCAAAGTCGGTGGGTATCTCTAGGGATAGTATTTTCTTGCTTGAGGGGAAGCAGGAGGGGTTCAGGAATGTGGAGGAGTTGATTGAGGGAGCGAGTAGTGGTGAGCAGGTGCCAGCGTGGAAGGGTGTTCAGGAAAAGGGTAACAAGAATGTTTGTGCTTTCTTGAGCTTTAGTTCGGGCACGACGGGACTGCCAAAGGCTGTAAGTAGCTCTCTATTTGAGGTGTGATGGAACGAGCTGACATCAAACAAGGTCATGATATCGCACCAGAATGTAGGCAGCAATCCAACTTGCAGTCTAGACAACCACTGATGAGAAATAGGTTATTGCACAATGTCTTCAGATGATTCAGATCACTCCGAAACTCGAACGAGTCCTCGCTGTTCTGCCTCTCTTCCACATTACCGGCTTGGTGCACATCCTGCACCTGCCAATTTTGTTGAACGCGCAAGTTATCATGCTACCTTCATTCTCGATGCCGACTATGCTCTCCACCGTTATCAAGTACAAGATCAAAGAACTGCTTCTCGTACCGCCTCTTCTCATCAGGCTCGTTCGCGATCCGGAAGTTGATAGGCACGATCTCTCCCACATCGAGCGCTTTAGTTCGGGCGCCGCTCCTCTGAGCGAAGAGATCCTGCAGCTTCTGCAAAAGAAGTTTCCAAACACTGGCTTCAAGCAAGGCTATGGCATGACAGAGTCTTGCTCATGCATCACTGGTCACCCACCTTCTCACTACTCCTACAAATATGCTCATGCGGTGGGGCAAATCGTGCCTTCGACCTCGGTCAAGATCATCAAAGAAGACGGCACAGAAGCCGGCATCAACGAACCAGGCGAGATTCTCGCCCGAGGTCCTCAAATCACAATGGGCTACCTGAACAACAGCAAAGCCACAGCCGACACCTACGACAAAGAAGGCTACCTCCACACCGGCGACCAAGGCAGCATAGACGCTCAAGGCCTCCTAACCATCACCGACAGAATCAAGGAAATGATAAAAGTCAACGGCCACGCCGTCGCTCCTGCAGAACTGGAAGACCTACTCCTCGGCCACTCTGCCGTTGAAGATGTCGCCGTCCTTGGTATTCCTGACGCCATGGCCGGAGAAGTGCCAAAGGCTTTTGTAGTTGTGAAAGCCGAGTTTCAGGATAGAGAACAGGAAGTAGGGAAGAAGTTGTTGGAGTATGTTAAGGAGAAGAAGATTCGGTATAAATGGTTGAGCGAGGTGGAGTTTGTGGATGTTATTCCGAAGTCGCCGTCGGGGAAGATATTGAGACGGGTGCTCAAGGGTAGGAAGAAGAATGGCGAAGTTGGTATTCTGGTCAAGGAAGTTGGCAAAGCGAAGGCTAAACTGTAAGATAATTGGGAAAAATGTCGTGTTTTTGCTGTCCTTCTCCACGATAGCGATGTTAAATATCCTTGAAGCTCGTGTTGATACATCTGTGAAAAAGAAACCTCTTCACCCCAGAAGTGTTTAGCAGCTCAAGGCTTCCCATAAGGCAAAATGATTGGTGACAATTGGTACTTTACGAGCGTGCAATGTGCCGGTATGGGCCATGTTCTCGCGGCAGTATTCCATGACCTGTGCGCCTGCTTTCCGGATATTCCTTTGTGCCCTGAAAACAGTATCGAAGTGGCCTCTTTGATCAGCTCAGCCGTGTCGCACGTGAGCAAGGCTGTGTAATTCGTTCTCTTCTGCCCTTATCACGCAGAACATGCTCAGAGAAAGCTCGTCATGAGTCCAAGGCAATAGCAACGACATCAGCGACAACGGGAAGTCGCTTTGGCCGCCGAAAGAAGGGTGCTACGGCGAGTACGGCAAGAACGGTCATCGTGAATCAACGGCGAGCGATATGCCGGCTCCGAGCTTCGTGCCATCGTCGGCTGCATCGCGTTGTCTCGTCTGTACCATAACTACCGCTGATGGATGCTGTTTCTTTCGCAGATACTGCATACTCTAGTACGCTTGAAGAAAGTCCGTTGATAGCCAACCTCCGCATTCAGGGACTTCGAGGTGGATTATGTTGTCGAGATGCTACACGGCATCGATATGCACCCAGGGATCCCACAAATCGATCTCGTCGCTCACACGCGTCCAATAATTGGTGGATCTCATTTCATGCTGACAAGGATTTCTAGGAGGTGAGACGTGACTCGGTGATCAATAGTGTCTTTCGAGGTACCGAAGCTTGGCGTGAAGGGGGGAATCGAGAGTCGACGAGACTTTGCGGGATGGCGTCGTCGTGACAAGGGCCAAGGCAGCGAGCTTCGTCAATCGACCTTTGTGTTTACGCCAGCACGACGCATGAACACCACCATCTTGTCTCCCTGCAGCACTCGCTCTATCTGGTAGCAGCACCAATCTACGATGACTCAGGTTGATACCCAACAGACGGCTCTGTCCGGCAATACACGTGGACAATGGCATTTCCGGTCTCAGACGTTGGAACGGGTGCCCAGGACGTTGGAAGCGTACGAGATAGGAGCTCCTGGCTTGAACCCCCTGGCAACCAAAAAAAGACGCCATCGACGACGAATTCAACTGCCATGAGGACCTTATAGCTGCTCGGGCGCGCTCGCCTGCTCTCGACATTGCTACCGCCTTATCCCACACTCTCTCTACACATACCTATATCGATTTGGCCGGTCCAGTCGACTATCACACTCTCTCAACATGAAGGGCTACAATACAATGTACGAAAAGAAGTACGAGTATGAGCACCTCCTCCCACAGTCGCCTCGCTGGGCGCAACAACCAGCATACAATCGTCTACGCACGTACGGAAGCACACGAGCAAGAGCAGCACGTTTGCCAGTCATCATCGCATCCTTTATATTCTCGGCCATCATGTTCGTGCTTTTCACAGGGGTATGTCGAATCATTTCTTCAATCCACCTGCCTTCAGTGACTGACCCACGACAGGCTACTCCAGCCACGTCGCCCTCATTAGTGCCTCAAACATCGCCCGGCAACGTACACCTTCTGATACCAGCGTCAGCCAAGGATGAGAATCTTTGCAAGGCCGTTGTTGGAGCTGCCATACTGGGCTACCCCTCTCCAAAGGTCCTCAACTGGGGCAAGACATTCAACGATGAGCACCTGGTCTCTGGTGGTTCGCACATTGCAAAGATCAGCGGCGTCTCCGAATATCTCGAAAGCCTTGTACCGGAGCAAGACGATGATCTGGTCATCATGACTGACGGCTACGACACATGGTTCCAGCTAAGGCCCGAGACCCTCATCCAACGTTATTTCGATATCAATAAACGGGCGAACGAGCGCATTCGTCGCGAATTGGGCCATCACGTTGCAACCACTAACAAAATCGAGCAAAAGATTGTCTTTTCAGCACAAAAGCGATGCTGGCCTTGGGCTGCAGACGCACCACCTTGTTATGCTGTTCCTGAATCGACTCTCCCCGAACACGTCTTCGGCTCAAACACCGATACAGATGTCGGCGACCGTAATCCATACCTCAAGTTCCGTCCACGCTACCTCAACTCAGGAGTTGTCGTAGGCACCGCCGGGGCAATGCGTCAGCTTTTTACTGAAGCATTGATTCGTGCAAACAAGGATCCCAATTTCGGCAGTGACCAAAATATCTTTGGCTCTATCTTTGGTGACCAAGAAGTCTACCGCGAGGTCGTGCGACAAAGGGATATGGGCTGGATCGAACGCCAGCACAACCTTCGCAGTGACGACCCACGACGAGGCTTGGTTCGCGAGGATGATCTTGAAGCTGTCAGAAACATGACTCGTAGCATGGAGTTTGGTATCGGCCTCGACTATGAAGGCTCGATATCCTTGCCTACTGTATTTTCCGAAGATGACACTGAATGGGTCAACTTCGACAATCAGCCCTGGCTTGACTTCTTCAACTACAAGCGTGGCATTGATAAATCAGACAGCAAACTCATCCTCGCTCAGGACATTGTGAAGACGGCTGTGCCTCTTTACAGCAACGGTACCGACGGCATTGAGGTCAGGAACTGGTCCCAAGTGCCGCTATTCACCAACATACCTACTGGTCACACGCCAGCAATCATCCACCACAACGCGCACCGCGATGGTATGAAAAGCTTGAGACGATCAGTATGGGACAAGATCTGGTTCCAACCATACGCTCGCGTCCTTTTGGATCAGTACATGGACACTCCCCTGACAACTCTGGCAGTTGCAGGTGGTAGAGAGTGGCGATCTAGTGATGAATGGAAAGGCGGCGTGAGGAACGATGTCGACGAATGGTTGCCCTACCAAGACATCTGCGGCGGAACGGAGACCGAGATTTTCAGAGACGGAAAGGGCCCTTGGACAGCAAGCCGGCACGCTTGAACACGATTTGTTCTTTCCTTTCTTCCTTCCCTCTCTTATATAGACACATGGATATGTATTTACGACACTCTGGGCTTCGAGGCCAGATTCTACCAATCGCGCCCTAATCCGCTGGTAATACTCCCGATGCTATAGGCAACTCATTGTCGCTAATACTTAGTATGCTTCCTGCCTAAAAACTGTCAAGGAGGCAACGTCTTTCCAGGTCATGTGTCAGGTCAGCTAAGGACGTGCGATACCATCCCCGCAATTTCAAAGGCTAACCCCGCACCAGCGCCCGGAAAGCCATCAAGGTTCTGGCCCTCCCTCTTCCGAAGGGGACCAGTACGCTGCGAATTGGACTGTTTTCTCTCCCTTGCACCGAATTTGTCTTTCGTTTGACTTTCGTAGCTTCACATCTGACTTTGTGCCCGCATTATGCGGGACTGATCCGCTGCCCATCCAGGCACCCAATCACCTATCGTCCCTCGGCTGTGTACTTAGAGAACGTCCTGAAAGAGGGGTCAGGCACTACTACAGCCATGTATGTATATACATGCAGGGATGTGCGCGCTCTGAAGACTCATAGATCCTTCTCACTTGTTTCAACTTATACCCCCCGATTTATCCATATCAGCATCTCACGATGACCACACACGTTGAGGGTCGCGAATACGATGTCATCTTTGCTGGGTAGGTGTCTCTGAGAAAAGAGTTGAACAGTGTACTGACATATAGTAGTGGAGGTACTGCAGCCTGTGTCGCAGCAGGTCGTCTAGCCAGAGCAGATCCTGGTCTTTCGATTCTTCTCGTTGAAGGTGGCAAGAACAACTACAATGACCCCACCGTCGTGAACCCTGCCATGTACTTGGTGCACTTGGCTCCAGGATCTCAGACAGCATTGTTCTACGAGGCAAACGCCGAGGAAGCTATCAACGGTCGTAAAGCCATTGTCCCATGCGGTGGTATTCTCGGAGGAGGAAGCTCAATCAACTTCATGATGTACACTCGTGCACAGGGAGTAGACTTTGACGACTGGGAGACCGAAGGATGGAGTGCGAAGGACTTGTTGCCGTTGATGAAGAGGGTAAGCTGGTGATCCAACATTATGTTCGAAAACTTTGGACTGACCATTTCAGCTCGAAACATACCACCTCACAGATCCAGATATCGATCAATCGCTACACGGACACGATGGACCAGTGCATGTCTCACATGGCACATACTTCCAAGAAGATGCAGCAGAAGACTTACTCAAGGGTGCTATCGCGACCGGGCATGAGGTCTGTGCCGACGCACAAGATCTACACAAAGATATCAGAGGACTCAAAGGAGTTGGCGTATTTTCTGTAAGTCTTTCGCGCTTCAACAGGCCCTTACAAGTTGCTGACTCGAAGGTAGAAATGGGCCAAATACATCTCTCCGGAGGGCAAACGCCAGGACGCCGCACACACCTACATTCACCCCCTGATGCAATCAGGAGACTACCCCAACTTACACTTGCTGCTGGAGAGCAAGGTTACAAGAGTACTGTTCGACGATAACAAGCGTGCCAATGGTGTCGAATACATCCCAACACCCTCTACTCAGCCTGTCGGCATGGTCAATGCAACCGGTCCTTTCCAGGTCAAGGCAAAGAAGATGGTCGTAGTGTCCTCCGGAGCGCTCGGAACACCATCCGTTCTTGAGAGATCTGGGGTAGGAAGTAAGGAAGTCTTGGAGAAGCTGGATATCCCCGTTGTCAGCGACATCCCAGATGTCGGAGAGAACTACCAGGATCATCATCTCGTACTTTACCCCTACAAGACTTCGCTGAAGCCAGAGGAGACGATCGACTGCTTCCTCAGCGGTCGCAAGGACTTCGGCGAAGCAATTCAGAACAATGACCCAATGCTTGGATGGAATGCCATTGACGCCTGCTCCAAGATCAGACCCACAGACAAAGAGATCGAAGCCATGGGCCCGAATTTCAAGGAGCACTGGGACAAAGACTTCAAGGACCGCCCAACTCGTCCTGTTATGTTGACTGGAGTTGTACAAACCTTCCTCGGTGACCAGAAAGTCTTGCCTCAGCGCGAGGATGGTGTACCACAGCAGTATTGCACGATGGGTGCATACACTGCCTACCCTTACTCACGCGGAGACATTCACATCACTTCAAAGGACGTCTCGACACCTGCAAGCTTCAACACTGGTTTCTTCAAGGCAGAGGCCGATGTACAGAAGCAGATCTGGGCATACAAGAAGCAGCGCGAAGTTTATCGCAGGACCGACGCATACGCCGGCGAACTTGATATGGGACACCCCAAGTTCCCTGAGGGCAGCAAGGCCGCATGTCAAGATGGTCCCGCTGCGAAGTTCTCATCGCAGGAAGACCGCAACAACCTCCCAGAGATTGAGTACAGTGCTGAAGATGACAAGGCCATCGAGGAGCATGTGCGCAACAATGTGAACACAACCTGGCACTCGCTCGGAACGTGTCGTATGGCTCCTCGCGAGAAGGGAGGTGTAGTTGACGCTGACTTGAACGTCTACGGTGTTACCGGCTTGAAGCTGTGTGATCTCTCGATATGTCCAGGCAACGTCGGCGCCAACACAAACAACACGGCGCTGCTTGTGGGTGAGAAGGCGGCAGACATCTTTGCAAGAGACCTCGGACTTGGTCAAATTGGACAACCAATTGAGCGCGTGGACTCTGCAATGCCTTCTCCGCCCAAGGCAAAGGCTCAGATGGCCTAGACGACGCTTATCTGTTGTCGCAGATAGAAGATTGTATCTCAAACGAATGTCAAGATTATTGATAATAATCAATGCTTTGCGTGCTCATTGTGACGCATCAAGCTGCTCATCCTTAAAGCAACATGACACACATGACCAAGCCGTGCATGCTAGACACCGAGTCAGAGCGACGAGACTCTTTGATGAGACTTTATCATTATCAATCTGCTGATCTATACGAGGTCCCCAAACTCTAAACGGAAAATTTTCATCTCCTGATCTGATAAGATTCCGACGCTTGCCGAGACTAGACTTGGAAGCCGAACCGACCAAGCACTCTTGGACATGAGCTTGAACCCCGACTCTATCTGCCCACTAGGAACTATATCCAATAATTGATGTACTGACGCAAGCCTGCAACAGGTCAGTCATTTTTTACTTCATCGTGATGGTTCAGGTACGCCGGAGCCTGGGGACGATGGTTTTCTAGCTCGGCACATCCTCGAGGGATACAGCTTGAGCTTCCAGCAATCCCCCTGAGCCTCATTGGAAGCTCCGAACACCTTCACTAGAGTGGCTAGATCAACAGCCACATTTGCGCCTTGAGGTAGGACAATGGATCCGACCGGCCGCGGGCTCGGTCGATTGCAACCCCAGCTGTCTACGACCTGAATCAAGCTCCCACACCGGTATATAACACTGTGTCCCTGCCCATGTTATCTGATCTTCTCGCCTGCAAACCTTCCCTTTTCATGCTTTGAACACCCATGTCTCGTCTTCTATCCATTTCATTATTTCTTGCTCTTGGAGCAGCGGTGCAAGGCGGATCCCAGTCTTGGGACTATGTCATTGCCGGAGCTGGCCCTGCCGGTATCATTGTCGCCGAGAGAATCGCTGAATCCGGGGCCAGTGTAATACTGCTTGAACGTGGTAATGCATCAACCTACGCTTCCGGAGGACGATCTACTGTATCTTGGAACAACACCCTCGCTCAATACGACGTCCCCGGTGTCCGACACTACATCAAGAACAGCTTCGCCGACAAGAGCGAGTACTGCACAGACACCCCTGGCAATGCAGGATGTATCTTGGGTGGTGGTACCATGGTCAACCAGCTAGCCTACATTCCCCCTCAGAACCTTGACTTTGACGACAAGTGGCCTGTCGGCTGGAAGTGGGCCGACGTCGCCGATGCTGCAGCCAAAGTCCACTCCCGCAATCCTGGTACTACGAGCCCATCGGCGGACGGCATACGCTACGATCAGACATCCTACAATGCATTCGCACACTTTTTCGACGGCCAGGGCTACACTTCTGTAGATGCTATCTTGGAGCCAAACAGCAAGCAGAATGTCTACAGCCATGCTCCTTACAACGTCAAGGATGGTCTTGTTGCCGGTCCTGTTCTGACCTATCTTCCGCTCGCCCAAGCACTGCCCAACTTCAAACTACAGCTCCACACCAAAGTCATTCGTGCTGTGAGAGACAGATCTACCGTGACCGGCGTCGAGGTCGAAGTCAATGGCCAGCGTCAGATCATCAGCCTCAATCGCGACGGAAGAGTAATTCTTGCATCTGGTGTGTTTTCCACCCCTCGTATCTTGTTCAACAGCGGCATCGGGCCCAACGACCAACTCCAGACTGTTGCTGGAAGCAAAGCTACAACAAATGTCACTCTTCCGGCCAGCTCTGACTGGATCAACCTTCCTGTCGGACAAGGCATTAAAGACCATGTCATTGTCACGCTGAATTTCAACACCACCGAGCCCGTCGACTTTCTCGAGACTGCATACTTCGTCAAGCCTTCATCGAATGTCACCGACCCTTACAGCCATGGTAGTGGCATCTTGACTCAAGGTTATCAGCGTTTCACCTTGTGGTCTTCTAATACCACATCTGATGGTAGCGTCCGCTTCTTCCAGGGTACATGCTATGCAAGCGGCCAGAACTATGTGTCAATGAAGCTCTACCTCACTCATGGCATCACCTCGAGTGGAACTCTCGGTATCGATACGAACGGCAACACTGTGTACACCGTCGATCCTTACCTGAACACCGCCGAAGACAAGTATGCCATCGCTTCTTTCATTGACAATCTGCTTGTCCAGACCCGCAAGCCCAACTCAACGCTCATCTACGCTGGTCCCTCGACCGACACTGGAGCAACACTTTCTAAGGTCTACACTGGTGGCAGTCATTGGGTGGCGACAGCAAAAATGGGTACCGATGATGGGCGGGTCAACAATGGAACTTCGGTGGTTGATCTCAACCTCAAGGTTTATGGCACAGACAATCTTTTTGTTGTCGACGCGTCCATGCATCCCGATCTCCCCACCGGAAACTTGCAGGCTACAGTGCAGGTTGCCGCTGAAGCAGCGGCCGTCAAGATTCTCGCCCTTGCTGGGCAAGGATCGCCGTCTTCGAGCTCGCTCGCTTCTAGACCTTCTGCTTCAAGCACGGATACGACGTCCTCTGCCAGCACTTCGACTTCGCCTAGCATACTCAGTCAGTCAACGTCGTCCGCGGTGTCTACATTGGTGACTACGGTCGCCTCTACATCATCCTCATCCACCACATACTCTGCCCCTTCCACTTCGTCCTCTATCATTGCTCAGCCCACGAATCCTACATGCCCGAAGTCAGATGGCATGACATTTACTGCCAAGAGTGGTGCAGTATTCATGATTGAGTGCTACATGGATCGCGCTGGACATGACATGGCTTCAGTAGATGTCCCCACCAACCGCATCGCAGATTGTATTAACAAGTGCGACGCTCTACCCGGATGTGTAGATATCTCCATGTCTGGTACTGCTTGCTATATGAAGAGTGCTATCGGGGAGAGGGTTGTCAATAGCAAGTACATCAGAGGCGCACGCAGAATTTCATAGACTTGAACGCGCGGACTCCAACCGATTTCGTGGCAGGNGGATGTTCTAGAAAAAATGCACACAAATCAATTACTCTAGGGACGAAGACAAGTCACCAATTCAACGCTCATCATCCGTGCCGACGCGGAAATTGACGGCTTCACCTTATCGACGAAGCCGAACTTTCGGGTGAATGTGTACGATTCGAGCCGGGTGAGAACACCGTATGCGCAATTCACGCCGCATCATCGATTAGAAGCAAGGGATAACTCGATATGTGCATACACAAGTGCCTTTCCAAAAACTCTTGTCTACTCGATACGAGAATCTGGGGGAAACTTCCCCTCAAATCTCCCCGATCGAACCCGAAAAGCTGGGAAATGCTACGACAACTCCCGATATTGGTCTAGAGCACGTCCACTTTCTCTACACAACGAACTCGTTGACATCACATAGTATGCGCGAATATGTTGTATGTGGCTGAACAAGCAAAGGTTCAAGGAAAGGAGGCTGGATAATATGTAGGGCTGCCCTGACCTGCGTGGGCTTCTATCGTCTGGCCAATCTCGTCTACAGTTTGATCACACTATGTCTCAACTCGACGAGACCATACACCAAACACCCACATCTCACGGACGACTGAGCCAACCCCGAATCTCTAGAGCTTGCGATGGGTGTCGCACACGAAAGAGTCGATGTAATGGACATCAGCCATGCACGGTGTGCGAATCCAGGAACGACATATGTACCTACAAGTCAGTGGGAAGACCTCACTGGGTTCGAAGTCTTGGAGCGACCGCTGATGACCATGCAGCATGAAGAAGAACTACGATCGCTCACAGGCATATACGGAACTACTCGAACGACAACGGAGACAACTGATCTCTGGCCTACTGAAATTACATACCCAATATCTGTGGAGAGGCGAGCACTTGCATCGCAAACTTGTCAGATTGAACCAACCTGTACCGGTACATGATCTCCTTGTGGTACTCGGTGTACTCGACAACACATCTGAGGAGCATTTAGATGTCGGCACAATAGAAGATGAAGAGTGTGGTCCATCAGCAAGACAAGACGAGGATCACACGGAAGAGGACCTGGAAATGTCCATGAGGCAAGACAAAGAAAAGCCTTTAGACACCGTCTCTCTAGAACAGGACAAGGATAACTTACCATCCATCACTGTAAGCTTGAGACCAGGCACATTGAACAAGTCCGATCACATACTCCTGCCACAAGATCCGGGTCAAAGCACCCTGACAACTTACCCATCTGCTCCAGTCAACATCAACTCTCAAAACGTTGTCCAGCCCTCAGTCGATCCACTAGGCTCTTCATACTCATATCACAGTACAAAAGACTACTTCGCAGAGGGAATCCCAACGCCAGCGCCCCTCGCGCCATCGGACACAAACATCTACGGCTACTCTATTGTCGATACAGCTCTAGAAAGACTTAATCGCGAGAGCAAAGAATGGACATACTACTCCTGGGGCGCTGTAGCAAAGACGACGGTTCAAAGCCAAGCACAGTCGAAGCAACAAGGACCATCTGATTCGACTGGACAAGAGATGCAAGATCAGACTGACGAGGACGAACAGATGCATGATAGCTCGGGATATATCACGATACCTCTGGTGTTAAATTGAGCGGTACCACCAGGTGTACCAGATCAAAGACAACAGCTCTATACAAGTCATGTCACTCATCATCTTCTCGATCGTTGGGGGAGTGATTGCACGACAACAACGGGTTTCTAAGAGTACCGGCGCGGATAATGTGGCATTGATGAGACGGATATCGTGGTTTTGGAAGGATCGCACGGGTTCACTAGACTGATCTCGCTTGTTGCAAGCTCCTCAGTCTCCACTTAAAACAGCGCCTTAAGCCTTGAAGGGCTTTCGGGCCGTCGCGAGAGAAGGGTAGTGTCGATGGGCCATCCGCAAGTAAATCCTCTTCCGAACCGCTTCCGAATTTTCGACTCAAACAAACCTTTTCGATGGTTACGCCGGCTTCCGTCGGGGTGAATTGCCAGAAGTGGTATCGAGACATTATCTGACACAAAGGCCTCAATGCTCAGATCTTCACTAGAATGGAGTCTTTGTCGCAACGGAGGTATTCCATATATTCGAACCATTTCGGAAGAGGGATGACTTACAACCTTGGGACCCGATTCAATGTAGCATAGCCGCTCGATCCGTGCCACCAAGACTCTACGATCATTCTAGAGTGATTCTCCAAGATTCTGAGCACAAGAGTTAAAGTTCGACGGCATTATGCAGATTGCCAAGCGATGACTCGGTGCCGGCATGACTGTATAACAGTGGGCTCAGCCACTTATTTTCGAGTCTTCGCCCTTGTACAACAACTACACTACTCTCCAAGTCATTTGTCAACTGTCACGCGACAGTCTCATTTCGATGATCAGGACAAGCGATTCAGCAGAGTCGACCCCGTCTTCAGCCTCAGTCTCCAGATCATCTAGAGTCAGCAAGGCTTGCGACAGATGTCGAACAAACAAGAGCAAGTGCGATGGCAAGCGTCCATGCGTCCGCTGCAAGTCCAAAAACGGAATATGTACCTACTAGTATGCTGGAGCCTTCTACCAAGTCCAACAACGCTAAGGCTGACATCAAACCTCAGTATAAGGAATCCACCGGTCAACAAATCATATCCAAAGGGCTATCCCGATCTATTGGAGCGAAAAAATGAGCAATTGAGCAAAGGCCTACTGGAACTTTACAAGTTGCTACAACACGCTGGTGATTCTGAAGATCGCAGTCCTTCTGAATCACCAGAACCGCTGCTCGTACATGATGTCCTCGAGAACCTTGGTGTTTTAGACTTGGACACGAACAAGAATCATATGCTTCGGAGCAACGACTCGGAAGAGCCTCGCGATGGGAGGGAGAAGCCCTTACCCTCGAGGTTTGGCATGAAGATCTCAAATTGGAATGAGCAAGACATTATCAATGAGGGGGAGTTGTCTGAATCAACTCCCATACAAGCACTCTCAACGGATCTGTCATCACACACACATGCATATGAGATGGGGGCATCTCCAAATATCGACGGAGCAACAACGCCTCACTCACAGCAGTTCGTTTACTCCGAAGCTTTGACGGCGTCTCATACGCAGCAATCCATCCATTCGGAAGATCCGACAGCCTCAATCGCCGACGATGAGATAAACAGGCTCTGGTCTGAGATGTTCGGCATGGATCGTACTTTAGTGATTGGTTGGTGAGGATGGAGTACGGACGGCTTATCGGATCCAAGGCCCTGGACTCACACCGGAGGAGCTGGAAGCTGTTTCGACGTATCAGCCATTGAACGACCTCGACTGGTCCAGAGCAGCATCCATCTCTCGGAGACGTTTCATATCCAAATGACATGTACAGCGCGCGGGTGACTTTTCGACAATATCTTGCAAGAAGTCACTACAGATGTGCAATCACGAGCGCATGAGTCCTTAGTAATGAACCCTTACATGCTTGATCCCTAGGCCAAGCTCTTCAAGACGAAACTTGGTCTGACATGGGATACAGTAGTGTAACTTATTTGACAGCATCAGCTCTGTGATGTACTGCTCCGCTGTCCACGGATATGCGCAACTGATCATGCCGCGCGACGTTTACCTGTTGGCTTCCGAGCACAATTTCGACAGCGTCAACAACACGTACTGGCCTAGGACGTACTTGCCGAAAACCCCTCGGACCCAACATAAGCAGCACGATAGCAAGCGACAAAACACAGACCGACCAAGCGTAGTGGAAGAAGGCCGCCAAAGCCCGTCGAGAGATCCTCGGACCGATGAGCGTACAGTGGTGGCTTGATCACAATGCCATGTAAAGATGCAAGCGGGAAGGGAAGTCGAAAAGAAGCCAAAAAAAACAAACAAAGCATCTATTCCCCGCACGCCCAGAGTTCTTGTATAAGACTTGTTCCTAAGTACCATCTTGGTAAACGTCATGTGGCTTTGGACCGCAACGCCAGACGTCGTGTGCTTCATCTAGATTATCGTATGCTTCAAAGACACCAAAAGGAAACATCAAAGGAACCATATGATGAGAAGAAGACGCATGTGTAAAAGGCAGTATTATCATGCCAGATTAAAGAATCATCGGTATGTACAAAGACGAGGTTTAGCCCAAAAGCTCAGCTATAACCCGATAGGAACATTCAAATCATAAAAAAAAGACACATCTATGCCTTTTCAAGCATCTCATCGCTAGGAGCGACAGAAGTCTTGCCCTCGGCCTCGGCCTTGGAGCGAGCAGAGTCCCAATCTCCATTGCGCTGGCTGACCATAGGACGGTAAGCCTTGCTCTTCCAAGCCTTGCCAACAGTGTTGTAAAGCTCATTGACCTCTTCGAGAGAAAGATCCTTGGTCTCATAGATAAAGGCCCACACGAACACAACGGCAACCCAGCAAAATCCTCCCCAGATCCAGAAAATGTTGGGCCCGAGGTTGGCGTACTTGATCTCGGTGAGGTAGGGGGTGATGAAGGCCAACAGCCAATTGAAGAACCAGTTGGCGGCCGTGGTCATGGACAGACACTTGGCGCGGACCTTGAGGGGGAAGATCTCGCCGGTGACGACCCAGGCGGCGGGGCCGAAGGTGGAGGCGAAGAAGAAGATGTAGATGCAGATGAATGCGAACTGGGCGCATGCGGAGGTGTAGTCGGTGGCGGAAGTGGCGACACCGGCGGCGGCGACAATGTACTGGGAGATACCCATACCAAGAGCACCGGCAAGCAGAACGGGGCGACGACCGAACTTGTCAATGGCCCAGAGACCAGGGAAGGTAGAAATGACGTTGATAACGTTGGTGATAACGGACAGAATGAAGGCGTCGGGCAGCCACTGGATACCAGAACCGGCTGGGGGAGCGTTTCTGGAGAAGTAGGAAGTACCATAGTAGAAGATGAAGTTGACACCGACAAGCTGTTGGAGGGACTGGAGAGCAATACCAGTGAAGGTACGCTTTCCGGTGTTACCCTTGAAGCACTCGAAGTATGAAGCGGTACCGAGGGACATCTCGTACTCGTAATTGGCGGTGATCTCGGCGAGCTCGGCGGTAAGAGCAGGGTGGTCCTCTGGAAGACGGCGAAGGAAGTGGAGGGACTTTCTTGCTGCCTCTTGCTTGTTCTTCTTGATCAGAAAGCGTGGAGTCTCGGGCAGGAAGAACATTCCAATGCAGAGGATGAGAGACCAGGCGAACTGGATAGCGAGGGGAATGCGGTAAGAGCCGCTGTCGTTGCGGTCCTTGGTTCCTGTGTTGTGTTAGATTTTGCAAGCTGATATGATGAGCAGCTCACTTACCATAGTTAATCAAAGAGGCCAACAGAAGACCGATGGTGATGCACAATTGGTAAGAACCAATAATGAAACCACGAATCCACTTGGGTAGTGTCTCTGCCTGGTACATGGGAATTTGAACAGAAACGAGACCGACGCCCAGACCAGCGAAGAATCTACCAGCAATGAACATGGGTTGAGAGGTGGATGCGACCTGGAGAATGACACCAAGGTTGAAAGGAATGGCGGCGCAGAGGATAATACCCCACTTGCGACCAGTGTAGTCGGCAATCAGACCAGCTGCAAGGGCACCAACGAATGTACCGACAGAGAGAATAGAGACGATGAGAGAGATCCTTCCGCTAGCTGCGGGGTCGTTGAATTGCTCGATCCAGTAAGGCATCTCCTGAATACCGGAGATGGTTCCTGTGTCGTAACCATAGAGGATACCAGCAAAAGCGGCAAAGGCACCGACCATGATGGAGGGCCATGCGGCACCAACCTCATCGTCGGGCTTCTTCAACGAAAGAAAACCCATGGTTGTATTTGCTCCGGGGTGGAGTGGAGTGAAGATGGGCGAAGGTCGGGGTATTGAACAGACCACGCGGAGAAGGAGCAGTTGCAAGCGACTGAAGAGAAACGATGATCACTGACCCGGATGGAGTGGGAGGTCGCATGCTTCTTATAGAGGAACGGGTTCACAGCGGTTCCCACCTACGCACGCCATGCTTTTCCAGAAATCAACACTGAAATTGGCGCCCAGTGCAGGGATCGAAAGTCAACCCGCATCGCGAGTGCCGTGTTTAGCAAACTGTCGACTCAAGGCGGAGCGCAAGCCTCAGACGAGAAGGTTTGAAGGATTGGCTCCCGAATCGCGGGGCTTGGCCCTGAGGTGAAGTGCTGCGTGCACTCCCCATGGCACGCTAGACGTCATGGTTGTTTCTTCCATGGTGGTGCACGACACGTGAGTGCCTGTGCGACAAGGGTTTGTCGTTACATTGCAGCGGTTCCTGAGATTTATCGGACCGGGAGCTGGCCCATCCGCACAACGACTCCATATGGAGGACGGAAGATGCAGAATACCACCGAGGACAAGGCCGAATCATCGGGGATTGTTGGTGGAGACGCGGAGCACCCACATGCCTCCAGGATTCCGAAGTGATTGTGTTTCGCCTCGACTTTTGTTCTGTTGTTTCTCAGAGTCGTCGAGGTGAACAACAGTGGATCCTGCAATGACGAGATGTTTAGGTTCGCACAGCGGAAATAACAGCCACCAGCAGTTTATCCAAAAGAAGGTGCGGAAGGGTGTGCGACAGCCGATGAAGGCCGCCAAAAGGCGCATCAGGCGTCTGTCTTGTTCGCGCCACCCGCTCCAGCCTTGGCGCTCGTGAAAAGATTCCAACAACAGCACGCGTATCCGATCCGGGACCTCCTGACACGGGGGGCCGAGGGGGCCATCGGTGAGCATGTTCCAAGACAACGACTGTGCCTCGTCAAAAGCACCCCAGGTCCCGCCAGACGTCTCGCTGCGGAGCAATAGTGTCGGTGGTATCGCGGTCGCAATCGAAAAGGCCCACAGTCCCAGCTGGAGACTGAGGAGACACCAACCCCCCGACTCCCCAAACTGTTCGGCTCCATCAAACTCCAGTCAATCCTGTTTCGCATCCCTCGCATCCCCCCTCAAGCCATGTGCATCCTCCGCAACTTGTCTCGCAACCTCTCCAGACCGACAACAGTAGGCCCGAATATGTCGCCAACACACAAGACCTGGCTCGTGGAGGAATGGGGTGCATGAATAAGAGCTGTGTCCTCGCTTCCGACACTCGCGAATGGCTTGGAGAAGTCGCTTCAAGAGAAGAAGGATAGAATCGTCAAGACTGGAGGTCAAGCCATCTCACACACAATTGGCTGCCAAAATAAGACGCAGTCGAGCGCAATATATGCCCAGAGAGCCCCTGAGCGACTCGGTCCGAGACATCGTGTTTGGCCAATCGTTCTGTCAATCTCGGAGAGGGAATTTCCTGTCCGAGACCACAGAATGCGTCACACGCGCGCGAGCGAGCACTCCAAGATGGACGTAGGATTGTCAGCAGTACTCGTACCTTGCAGTGGCTCGCAGCAATCCTGCGAGGTCAGTCTTGTCGGTCCGTGTGGACGAACTTGATGCGACAACACGCCAGGAGCTCGAGGTGACAACCACGTCTCGGACCGCGGTAGAGTCGTGTAATGTTATTGCGGCTAAGTACTGTGACGAACTATGGTGAGTTTGATCTATGTGTCTGAGCGATTATGTTGTCACCCACTGGCGAGTACGTGAAACAGCAGGTGATGACAATATATGCGGCATGGTTGAAGTGTTCTCGAGTACCTCACAGTGTCTCCGATGACAGGACGTCCCACTACGTGACAAGGTGAGCCTTCAGGCTGTAGTTCCGTACCCAGATCGATCGTCGTCCTTTGACGCGACAAAAAGGTGCTGAATTTGACGACCTGTTTATCCGTCGGGTGTCACAAATCTCGAGGATTTACAACAACGACGCTGCATCATTTCACATACTGTAACAAACCCATCAACTGAGCCGCCATCACTAGAGTACCATGACAGAATCCTATTTACCAATTCACAATATTCTACAAGCTCAAACAACCACACTTGATGACCTTAGATCACCAAAACAGGGTCATCCCCACACCCTCTCGAAGCCATCACGAAACCTTCCACATCTACCGACTTTCATCTCCACAGCCACCTTCGTTCCCAACAGCCACAAACTCAAGAAAAGCTCAAAAAGCATGCACGACACACATGCATAACCGACCGATCCTCAGCCAAGCGCCACGGAAGGAAAATATAGAAGAACAAGAGGAAGAAAGAAAAGCCACAAAAACCAAGCCACCAAAAACCTTCACAGGCCATAGCTTTTATCGTGTTTTGTTTTATTCTCGACGTCTGGTGCTGGATTGTAGACACCTTCTTCCTGCTTTATCACAATGTGTCGCCATGTCGCCATTATGTGGTATCCCGCCTAACTAGGTATTTGCGCCCGAGAGTTCGCAATGATGGGAAAGTAGGACCGACTATTTTTCCTTACAAATGCGTGGTGCTGATGGCTTTCGAGGAGCGTGTTCGAGAACGTATACGCACGGTAGTTGAAATCGCTTTAAATGACTGGACGGGTAGGTGAGATCCGAGGATTAGGTGATCTGGCTTATTCGTGGACCTCGAATTCGAATAGTGGGATGCCTCGTCGTTGTGTCAGATGACTAATTCGATCGGTCGCTTGGGTGGTTACGCGAACGTCGAGGCCTACAGAATAGATGTGCAGATGTTGGTAAAGCGCAACACGGAACAAATCGACGGAAACGAGGGTTTTGAAGAGTATTGATTGATTTTTGGCATTCAAAAGGTAAGAAGAGACATAACGTTTATATACATGAGATTCCTCCACGTAAGAAGAAAGGAAGAAAGAAGCGACATTTCCCATTTAAGCATAAGCCTCCTGAGAACAGGTGAAGGGTGTTCTCACACTGCCGGAAGCGTAGGAGTCGACGATATCCTTGACACTGGCATACGTACCACAGCCAAGAATAGTCAGGCCGATGATAAAGCACAGCGCGTTCAGGACTGACAAACCAATGTTCTTGGCGTTGGCATTCCACTTGCCCTCCTTGATGAGCAGGAACCAGAACAGAGCTGGGAAGTAAAAGGAGAAGCCTGAGATGAAGAGGGCAGAAGTGATGCCCAACAAATCGCTGAAGAAGGGGATGGCCTCAGCAATGACCCAGGCGAGCACGATTTGAGCGACAAGGATGAAAATCCAGACGGCCCAACCTTGCTTGGTATTGGTGTAGCGAATGGGTGAGTTCTTGAAGAAACGGCCGACCAGGTAGCGACCGACGACGGTGGCGTTGATGGAGCCAGAGATGAAGATGACGGGCAGAGCAATACCGAAAGCGACACGGGTGACCATGTTGCTGCCGGAAAGCAGAGCAGGACTTGCGACATCGGTACCGACGAAAGCGTAGATGAGAGCACCAGTAACAGTGTAGATGATAATCTCGATGATACCAAGAGCCCAGATGGACTTGACATAGTCCTTGGGAGTGTGAAGCTCAGCCATGAAGGAGAACTGGCAGATGGCGAAGGAGTAGGCAAAGACAATGTTGGTGACTGCGAGGAAGGCAGACTGGAAGGTAATGTCCTCTGGAGGCCAGGCGCTCCATGGCACAGCAGCCAGACCACCGGGAGCATCGTGAGCCTCGATTCCGGTAGCGATGATGGTGATACCGATGGCGCCGATGATAGAAGCAAAATCAATGTAGCCAAGGATGGCAAACTCTGCAAAGGTGGGAGGAATAGCCAGAAGGAAGAGAAGAATGGCCGAGATGACAGACCAGACAAGGGCGCAGATGGTCGGGTTGTCGACAATGCGGATCCAGGCGATGGTACCGGTAAGAGTGTGCGAGGCCGAGAGGAGAATCAAATGGAGGGTGAACATGGCACCGACGACTTCCATTCCAACGCGACCAAACATGAGACCGACGGCGTCCGAGTAGTGCTCGACCTGAGGGTACTTGATCTTGACCTGTCCGACGACGTAACTGGTGTAAATGGCGAGAATACCGATGCCGACGGAGAGGATAACACCAGCGACCATACCGACGGCGGCAAAGGCAGCAGGAACCGACAGCGCACCAAGAGCGATGGCCTCGACGATCAGACAGATTGTCAAACGCTTCCATCCCAACTTCTTGAACTTGGCCTCGCCCTCCTCGAGTGTGGCCGTCTTTTCGAGCTCAGGTGCGCCGACCTTGTCGGCCGAGCCAGCCTTGCTGATGCTGTCCTCGTAATGGGGAGGCATGTTGGCGAGGTTTCCTCCAAAGGGACCAAAACGGGCAGCGTCGGGGTGTTCTGGCAGAGACATGTGTGACAGGGTGGGTGAGTGAGGGGAAAGAGAGCTGGGGAGGAGATGTTCTTCAAGTAGGACGCGGTCGCAGGCCTATCAGCGACGTGAGCGACAGATTGGCAAATGCGATTGTGTGCAGGAAAGGTCCAGGCAAGAGCAGCACTGAGCAGGTCGGGAGCTGTTGACGAATGGCGAGGTTTCTGTTACGCACTTTTTACGCACTGATATTTGCAGGAAAGCCAAGACGAGTGTTGACTTTTGAGATTGGATCAAGCAGCTAGAAGGTGAAGCTTGGACTGGGAAGTAGAGCGTGCTTGTAGTGCTTAGGGCGTACTGTAGGGCGTGGCAGATTTATCTGACGACGGATGTGCCTTGAAGAAGGAAAGTCTACGTCAAGAAGGAGAAGAGAGATGAGGAAAGCTGCGAGATGACTGTTCGACGAGCTGTCGAGAAAAGCAACTCATTGCTTACCACAGACTTACCGTGTGATCCGGTGGACTCGAGTTATCGTGACAAACAGATACCCGCATTTGAGCAGGATGGTCGGTGGTCGACTGCGGGTTTTGCAGGAGGCCCCCTTGGGTTTCGGGGACAGGTGACTCCGTCGCACGTTGATGAGCGGAATTGGAGAGCAAATTTTCGATGTGATGACGTCGCCGAGAAGTCCGAGCTGTCTGCGGTTGGGCCCGAGAGGCAGATGGCGCCGAAATGGCACACCACCTGGTCGGTATTTTCATCTTGGTTGGAGCGGAGTGCGCTCGCCGGTGGGTTTTGATGCGTCAAGAGCATGTGCAATTGCGTCGCCGTCGCCCTGTCGCAGTCCCTGTCGCACTCCCCTTTCTGTTATCGACGAGCTTGAGCGCGCGCGTCAGGTTCAACTCACAAGTCGCGAGTCGCATCTTGCAGGTCCAGCTGGCCACGCGAGTCGGCCTGTCAAAGTCTAAAGCTTGCCAATACAGTGGCCGTTGGCGCCGGATCGGTTTCAGTCTTGTCACGCTCTTCGTGCCAATGGTCTTGCCGACTTTCGGCTACAAATCGGAAGGGCGTTGCCGTCTTGGGCTCTCAGGTCTGCAGCAGTGCTCGCTAGTACGCCGATACTGATGACAACAGTCAGGTCTTGAACATGGCGATGATGGATGTTGATACGTAGTATGTTCGTGCAGGTAGACAGACAGTCCTGCGAGGTCGAGTAATCAGCCCTGTGCAGATAAGCCGGTCCCAAGCCTTGTACAAGCATTCGGAGTCGCAGCTTTGGACGCAACTTTGATTCTGCGACACCAAGACACGTCCGTCTCGTGCGCTCGTCCCTTTTCAAGTAATTCATCACCTGTGAATCACCTGCGAAAGTCGACACGTACTGCCGCAGTCTATTCCTATTGCAACATCACCCTCTCGTATCGCTTGACCCTGGGCATCCGCCAAAGCCTGCAGGCGCTTCATCGCTGTTCAGCCGGCCTTCGTCCCCCCCAGCAGCAGCACGACATGCTCACCCTGCTGCGCAGACTCAATCTTCACGCTGCTCTCGTATTCCCCGCGTCGGCTTCCCCAAGTGCTGCTATCCTTGCACGCGCCTACTCAACCACAGCCGAACCTGCGTAGCCGTCTCAACGTCAGTACGCGAGTAAGCGATCCGAAGACCAGGCGCCGCGCGACAGAGAGAGCGTGAGAGAGAGTACAAAAGGTCGTGGGCTCAGCAAAGAAGAGCGGACCCAGAGGTCCACGAGAGAGACAAAGCGCGCAGAAGGTTAGCCTGGCGCCAGAAGAGAGACGTGCTCGTTCAAGCTCAAGTGGCCCTTCGTCGCCGCGACCCGGCCACGCCTCTTCCAGACCATCTAGAGGACAGAATCAAACGATACGAGCGACGTCTTGCAACCGAGGCAAAAGCTAGAGAGGCCTTAGGAAGGTCGGGTTACGTCGAAGTGCACCGATACGCTCCCTGGAGACTCCGCTTGAACACTGACGAGCGTCTATACCAGATTGAGGGGTTGAGAACTGGGTCAGGTCGTCTCGTATCCGTCAGTCAGACTGGCCGACTCACAGACCCATCTGGTATAAGCACAAGGCTTTGCACCACTGCGACGGCTGCGAGAAAGGTCGACTACTCAAACTCTGGTGGCAGTCAAAGGATTTGCAACACTTTCATTGCCATAAGTGCTTCACCGCTGACTGGTCCAGAGCCTTGCCGTGTGGCTATGAGGACAAGATCTTTCGCCGCAAGACCCAAAGCTCTGCTGATGGTGCATCTCAGCTCAAGTCCGGTAATCCTTGAAACCTCGTGATTTGTCGCGCAATTCTGCAACAACTGCATACGCCCCGCTGATAGTATTATGCAACATTTGTTTAGCCACGCGTGACTCACATAATCACTAGTAGGTCATGAACACTACCTGGGCAGGGTTTCCGCCTGGGGGACCGACGCTCTCGGGAAACTCTTCACCCCAGACGGAAAACTCAAATCATGACTCTTTCGGGATTTGGCAAATTCTGTTCGACGACCGAACAAGGCGTAAACCAGACCGATATCGTAGATTCTGTACTCCCTGCACTCCCTGTATCGACCATATCTCATAACATCTTTTGTTAGTTAATGAGCAGATTCGCAAACAGACGAGACGGCTAAACATCAACCATGGGCAAACAACCTTCCGTCGAGTTGAAAATTCTTGGTCTGGCATCCGACAAGACACCTCCGGTCTCCGGCCCTTCGACGCAGCGAAATTCCGTCTCTGACAACATTGGCTTCAGCACACCCAACTTAGACCAAGAGGCACAATCAGATGATGAAGTGCCAATTGAAGTGCCTCCCCTCAACTCGGCAGTGGTTCTCACAAAGGGACGAGCAATTATCGTCATAATCCAATTAATTGGCGTGCAACTCTTTTCAAGCTTCTGCAATGGAGTCATTGTTGTTGGACTGCCCAAAATTGCCGATGCTCTAGACATGGACTCTGGATTACTTCTATGGCCGACCAGTGTCTTCTACCTTACTGCTGGAGCTTGTTTGATGTTGGCGGGCAGCATTGCGGACGTCTTGGGAACGCGACCCATGATCATGACGGCAAGTCTACTACTTGCTGTCAGCGCGTTGGCTTGCGGACTGGCCAGGAACGGACCAGAGTTAATTGCTTTCCGTGGTCTGCAGGGAATCAGCAATGCGATTGCAGTACCGGCCTCTGTCTCTATCGTTTCGACCAAAGTCCAAGATGGTCAACCTAGAAACATCGGGTTTTCTTGTCTCGGATTTGCTGGGCCCCTCGGTTTCTTGCTTGGCCTGATACTTGGTGGCGTGTTCGTGGATGGTGTGGGATGGAGACCTGCTTTCTATCTGGTCGCTGCTGCGAGTTGTGCTCTGGCGTTTATAGGCTTCTGGGTGCTTCCCAAGGATACTAGACCAAAGTCTTTGCGAAGCATTAGGAGACAATTGGCCTTTGAGATTGATTGGATCGGAACGACAATCTCGACCACTGGTCTTGTGACAGTGTCATATGCTCTCGCGTAAGCATGCTCTCTACACTTTTCTGGAAACTGTACTAACAATCTTCATAGAACCCTGTCGGCAGATGTCGACAACATCCGTAGCGCAACCACGATTGCGCTCTTGATCATCGGCGTTGCTACTGTGCCGGCTTTCATCTACTGGATGAATTACCAAGTCAAGCATGGCCGTCCTGCGCTGATTCCCAATTCGTTCTGGCGCAACGTCAGCTTCACGAGTATTTGCATCATGATCCTGTTCAACACCGCTGTGATCAATGGTATGGAGGTCTTTGCCAGTCTATTGTAAGTATCTAAGATGCCCACATATCTTTCAAGGTGGTAGATGAAGAATGCCCACTGACCTGTATCGTGCCCAGCTTCCAGCAAGTCCAAGGTCTATCTGCACTCGGCGCATCCATCCGTATCTTACCTTCCCTGGTCACAGCAGTCTTAACAAACGTTTCAACTGGTTACCTCGTCAATCGTATGCCAGTCATGTGGATTGTCCTTATATCCTGCGGATTGTCAGCTCTGTCGCCCATGCTCATGGCCATCATAAACCCACACTGGCCGTATTGGGACATGGCTTTCTTCGCACAGGTATGAGCTCTCTCCCCAATCCTTACCACAGTATGACTAATTGCTTTCTCGACATAGCTTCTTCAAGGCATCAGTATGAACGTCCTCTTCACGGTCGGTCTCCTTATCATCTCTGCCATCTTCCCTCCTCACACACAAGCATTGGGTGGTGCTGTGTTCAACACCTGTGCTCAACTGGGCACGTCAATCGGTCTCACAATCACTTCTGTGATTTCAGATTCAAGAACTGCTGCTTCAGGAGCAGAGGACAAGAGCAGTCCTCAGGCACTAATGACGGGCTACAGAGCGGTGTTCTGGGCTCTGTTTGCTTGGATGATTGTCGTGTTGGCGGCGGGTGTCGGTGGATTGAGAAAGGTGGGCAAGATCGGTGTCAAGAGAGACTAGAAGCATGGGTCAAGTAGATAGCATTGCACTGTAGCGATGATGCCTCCGCGGGAGGGGTAGTTGCCAATGTACTAGCGGTTCTTGGCACAACTGACATTACTCAATGTACCTGACGATCTATGCTAGACGACGATGCTCCCGGGTAAACCGCCTGATTCTCCTGACGACAGTCGAAACATCCACACTACTCTGTCACCTCAAACAATCCATCTGCCTTACCTCCGACCACGCCAAATGACACTTTCGTCCTTGCAACACCTCGTCATGGCATCCACCAAAGAGCTAGAAGACACGTTGCCACTACACGACCCTCATCCCGATCCTTTTGGACATACCCTGGGCAGGCGCTGGCCAATATACTCGTTGATCGCATACGATAACAAAAACCTCGCGAAGCTCGAAAGTGATATCAACAACGCCGAAGATAGCATCCATAACTCTGTGCTCATCACTACACCTGACTTTTCCTCCAGCACTCTGCGTGATGTCTATGATCATCACATTGCACTCCGCGACAAGAACAACGGGATTCATCCGTCCCTATTTATCGTGATAGATCAGCGAGATTATCAATCAAAAGGCCTTCTTCTTGTCGACCTGCAAGTCATGACCGACACTTCTCAAACCGTGATCGGTGTATTGCGTTGCAGCTACTCAGACGCAGATCTCTACTGCGCAAACCTCGATATCGGAAATATGAGTTTCATCGATTACAAAGAAGAAGAGCAAGAACTCTGGGGTGGAGAGGATCCGTATGAGAATACGCGGTACTTTGGCAAGGACCCGAAACAGGTGGAAGATACAGGAAAGCAGCATTATGCATGGTATAGTAATGTCGAGAAGCGTATGTTTTGCATTATGCCACTAGTGCAAAGAAAACAAGTACTGACAATGTATAGCTGGTCCGATGCAAGAACTAGCAGAGCCGGGATGGTTGGATATGGCACATGGAGAATCGCGCCTTCATAGCGCAGGTGGATGGTTTAACGCTGCGGATCCATGGCAGAACATCAGACGTGAATTTCCTTTTCGTTGTCTTCAGCAGCCTGAATTGCATCGAAAGCTCTTTCTTGTGCTTGAAAAGGATGCAAGGAAGTCTGATACGATTGCGATCTGCAGGGCAGAGTGGGATGGTGATCTTAGCAGTTACGAGTATGATGTAAGCTCGTACGATGGACAGAACAGGGATCGGGGGAGAGTACTCGCGATTATGCCGGAGATAAAAGTGGTGAAAAGGATTAGCGCTAGGGAGGCACTTGCGGAGTTGGACCATCTAGCAGCAATGTAAATCGTCTACCACTTTAATTCTCTAGTAAATCAGGGGGATAAACTTGGCATGTTCTTTCCTTCCTTGTGTTCAGCCACTTTCGTACCAGAGTTGTGTTTAGAGACACGACCAGCCAGCAGAAGACCAGCTTTGTATGAGCCAAGATCCTGCACCAATAGACTAGAACCATCATCCGATGAACCGGCAAACCTGAAGGCATCCCAACATGATGGAATCAAGCCCATTTGCCTAGTAGAGCCATAATACCAGCTCCCAGCAAGAAACAGCCCACCATGAATCCCAACCTCTTGCTATCCCTCGTCCTGTTAGGATCAAACAAGAAATCTCTAGCCAACAGCTCCACCAACCCCGTAAAGATTAATATACCGGCACTGATAGAATCCAAGATCCCACTCACTACATTCGCAGTGAACGAGTTCGGATTGTAAGTAGTGCGGAGACCAAGTCCAATGGCGATGGCGATGGGAGTGGTGAGACCATAGGCGGTGCATAATAGCCATGGAAGCCAGTTCTTGTACTTGACAGGGAATGGAATGGCTGACATACGAGCGCCTATGCCTAGACCTTCGAAGGACTGGTGAAAGACGAGGACTGGATAGAGGGTGTTGAACTCGGAGCCGACAACACCCAGGTTCAGTCCAATAACGACCTGATATATGTCGTCAGTATGTCATATCCATAGAAGAGACTGCAGACGTAAATGTCTTTTTGGAACGTACCGAATGAAAGATGACTCCAAACTCCAACACCAGAAAAGCGGCAAATTGTGTTCGAAAGGCATTCTCCCGAGCCAACTCGGACTTTTCAAGATCGATTGTCTCTTCAGACATTGCCTGATACGGTTCTGTAGACTTTGTGTCCAGGGCCTCGCTGTCATTGGCGACTGTAGAGTCATCATGGGCGTGCGCTCTGCCTGTCGCGATGTCCTCGAGATTGCACTGTCGATGATGAACGCCATATTTAGCTTCAACATAACGCTCTGCACCGAGATCGAGCAGGAAGATGACGGTAACAGAAACAAGGACGATGGCTGGGGGCCAGGAGTACTGTGCCCAGCCTCCTGTCATACCGACACAGGTTTGTGGTCTGGAATCTTGTCAGCAGGAGCATAGCGGACAGTCTGAGCAGAGTGACTCACCCAATTTCGCTATACGCTGGGTCTAACAAGTGAATAAATGCAGTAGCAACGATAACGCCGGCGCCAAAGTACCTGGCGAATAGATATACATAGAGCGGAATCTGTCAAGGGCGTAAGCATTCAATTATCTTCTGATGGTCGATGGAGAAGAAACTCACCCTAAGCCACTTGACGCGTTTGGCAGCGACCGGAAAGAACGTCACAGCTGTAGAAACAATGAGGATAACGAAAAGTGCAGAGATACGAGCACCAAGACGTCCGTCATAATCATTTCCGGATGCATTGAGAGCGCAAATGACTTGAGCAGGGTCTGCAGTGGTCAAGTTGACCATTTCCGGATTGAAGTCGTTACCTGCCATTGCAAAATATATGGCCTTCTCGGAACTAAAATCAATTGGCAAACGTGCTGCTCTTGTACATTTAGGGTGTGGTTGAAATGTTGCTTTCCCGAGATTGATACTTTCACCTTGATGGTCGATACGCGTTCACTTGGTGCCGAACTTCCGGATTCACAGCAGTAGATATGCCGCATCGCTCGCGACTTTCAAGTGGCGCTCACTGCTTTGATTAACGGGAGACCAATCCGTCAGAAAGGTGGTCAGGCAAACTACCTTCTCGAGTGGCTGATTACAAGTCCCGCGTTGTGCATTGTGTGCTGTGAGGTTTATCGTGATTTAGACACCCTTCAACAAGCCCGATCGGCTATGCTTTCCTCTTCACATCTTCTTTGATACAGTTGTTGCCGGTTTTCTCATCAAACTTCCTCGCCAGGCGATGCTTGTATTGGTACAATAATCCGACCGTATGTGCTCACGCCTTTCCTCGTGTTAGTGGAGGAACCCGATAAGATCCGATACTGGTGCGTTCGATCCAATACATGATGCGCTGTCCTCGAAGCAAGAGCGATTTGGTATTCGGTAAATGCTTAGAAACAGTGACGAAAACATTGACGACCAGTCTACTCCGTCGTATATGGCTAGTCAACCGTTGGCTGGGAAGGTGAGTCGCTTCGCGTAGAGTAGAGTACGCTTTGGGGAGATGAAGGCTAAGAACAACTGTAGAATACTCGTGCGATCAGTCTGCAGAAGCGGTCAGGAGTTACCCTGCAAATGTTCACCATGCGTGACTGTCGTGCGACGAGATAGAACAGAACGATGTTTTCCTAACCATGATGATGACAAAATTACCTCTCTACTGCACCCGGGAGTGAATGTGCTGGAGGGCACGGGACACAACCAATATTCTTGACCTTGTTCCCAACTTGCAAAAAATTAGACAGCAATGAAGCCCTTGAGAACATAGCACGGGCATTCTATTTTTCCACCTCACAACTTTTGTTATCAGACCCTGTATCGTCCAGTCCTTCTTTCCATGTGTGCACCCCTGCTGCGACGGCAAGTCTACCGGCGTGACCCAGCGCACGCTGTCCAAGGACCTTCCACTTACAAGGCTCGCAGTATTGTTCTCCGCACTCGCGACAGGTAAACATGAGGACTGGCATGCGTGTAGCGCAGCGCTGACAGTCACGGCTGTGCCCAACCCATCTTCTCCAGTTGTTGTGATCACATCTTACAAGAGGTGGAAGTGGTGGTACGGCGTAGCGTCGGTGGGGTGGAGTGGATGGGCGAGCTCGATGGTGACGCGGATGGTTGGCATAGGCAAGTGGTGGTGCCAAAGGTGCTTGGACAGGGGCTGGATGTGCGGCAGGTCTGTGTCGACGGTGTAGTGTTCCAGCGGCGAGCTCGGCCCAGAAGTCGCGGGCTGGAGGTGCTGCCTCTGGGATGGGCGGCTCTTCAAGAATGAAGGGAACGGTGTATCGGGGAGCACGGCGGACAGCGTTCGATCTCTGAAGTCCGGGGAGTACGTCTTGATGATCCAGTCTTTCACGGAGTTCTTGGCGCATTCTCGCAGAGTCCTCGCGGATCCTCCTGGAGAGTTGAGGCAGTGGATCGACCTGGTCGAGGATAGATTGGGGAGGGCGATAGAGTCTGCGGTTGAGATCGGGTGGTAGGTTCGCTGGTCTGCGTCTTCCCTCGAGCATGTAGTCATGACCCAAACCGCATTCGCACGACCGAGGTATTCAGACAGCGCCACAAACGTAGCAGAACTCTGCACCACAATGACAGCTAGGAGGGTCAGAAAGTGCAAGACATCGGATCTATGCAGACTTACGTGATGTGATTTCAGCCTGTGGAGAGCGCGACGACTCGGCTGCAAGAGTAACAACGCTGCCACTTCTCACGGTCAGCAGCCTCCAGCAGTTGTTGGAGAGCCTCGTCCTCGGCACAGTCACCAGTGTGTGTAGATTCTTTGCAAGATGGACAAGTTCTTCTGCTGCATTCGTGGCTGGTGGCAACATGAGTGCGGATATGTCTTGGAGGAATGAACGCTGAGCAAGTCGTGCCGTAGCAGTAGGTCCTGTCCTTGGTCTTCCACTCGACGCTCTTCTTGACAAAGTCTTCTATGAGCTCAGAGCTGAGTCCTTGACGGACAAGCTGGAGTGGGCTGACTTGTGTGCAGCAGCGAGGTGGATACACTTCTTCATCTCTGGTGCAGAGGTCGAAGAGAGTTGTGAGACATTCGGAGCAGTAGCGATGGCCGCAGGGAGCATTGAAGACGGTGAACCAGATTTTGTTTTCTTCGCACGTCTCGCAAAGAATGAGTGGAGTGTCGAAAGGCAGTCGTGCCTTGCCTTTGTGGATTGTCCAGGCGTTGGAGCGAAGGGTCGTGTCGACGGTGTTGAGCTCGTCGGGTTGCAACTGGAAGGCAATGCTGACGTCTGACTGGATCGAGCCAGAGGTGGTGATATGCGCAGCCCTGGCATCTCTTGTGTCGTTGCGCTGAATTTGAAGAATGCGGACGGCACTATTGATGTCCGTCTGGTGCAGGAGATGTTCCATGATGAGCTCAAAGAGATGTAACAATGGCGCGAGCACCGTACAAAAGAGATGAGAAGAAAACACAATGGGAAGAAAAAAGCAGTGGGAAAGGAGAAGCAGGCAAGCAATACATAAACATCGCGTCACACGGTTTTGTAAAAGTTGTTTTGAGTGAAAGTCGACATCACAATCACTTTTACAAACACCTACCGTGTTGCTTCGTGGGAAGTTGCTTGTCTGGGAACTTTGACTACTGCCGATGAATCGCATCGTACATCACTTATCATAGGACGGTAGCATACACAAACTGAGACCAGCGCTCCGTGCCTCTGCACAAAAAGACTGGGAAGAGCGCTCCGGCCGGCAGATGGGAAAGGTCGCAGATTTCAGGTGGTAAGAACGAGGAGATCGAAGCGGCGAGCGAGCGGAGAAAACGCCGAGCGGCAGAAAGCGGAGGAGAGCTTGGACCCTCGGAGCGGCATCATCGTCGTCACAAGGATGGAGTCCGTGGATGATGGAGACCAAAACATTGCGCATTCAGCTTTGCAGCAAAAGGACAAGAGCGAAAGGAGGAGGAAAGATGAAACTATAGCACGCCGCAGCTCATCATGCAAGCCGTTCTGCCCGGACGACCACAAGCGCAGCTTCAGGCCGTGTGCACCGGAGTCTTCGAGGGCCAGACGGTCATTTCCTACATCTCTGGAAGCGCCCTGATCATCTGCAATGGACCCGATTCCCTTCTCCAGACAATCTACCATGACGAGCTTCCGCCTGGATCTGGCCTCGTCGCCGTTTCCTACGACCACCGAAGCGCAAAGATTGCGACAGCGTCGGCCGACAATGTTTACATCTACGTCTTGCGCGAGGAGATCAAGGGGCAGTTGCGCTGGTTCCTGGACATGACCTTTGACGTCAGCCGAGAGAAGGACAAAGACACGAGCAAGGAGGAAGGCAGGATACAAAGTCTGTCTTGGGGCACGGACGAGGAGCTGCTGGTGGCTTCGGACAAGGTCGTCTTGCTGTCGACACAGGACCACTCGACTCGCTGGACTCGCTCGTTGCCGTCGCCCGTGTCGCATGCCACCTTTTCGCCCTCTGCCGCCCTCTTGGCTACCGCCTCTCACTATGACCGCCTCGTCAAGGTCTGGCGCCGTCTCTCGTTCGAATCCGCCATCTTTGACTACGCCTACCTGCCCCACCCAGACATTGTCACCCACGTCGAATGGAGATCCGACCCGGCCGACGAGGATGTCCTCTACACAATCTGCTTAGATGGACGATTGCGCGTCTGGAAGACTGGGCTGCCGCGACACACAGACGTGCTTGGCCTCTACGCAGACCTCGACCTGATGACGGCCGTCCGCCCTCTCGTTCCCTCGAACCGCCGCTACACCTTCCTCGTACCCTCGACCGTCTTCACCGAAGCTGTTGAACACGCCGTCAGCACTCAAACCCTTCCCGCCGAGCGACATGCCATCGAGTACATGAAAGAGCTTGCGAAAAGACACCCAGACATTGTCGTTGTGACGGACGATCAAGGACACATGAGCGCTTGGGGCTTGGAGAATGTTGGCTGCAAAAAGAGGACAAGCACTTCCGCTCATGGCGAATTCTTCCACGCCACTCATGTCGACAACCTCTTCTTGGACTTCTCAAAGCACGCACACGTCGACGAAGACAACGCCCGCATCCTCAACTTCCCTCTCCCTGGCCAGCCCGGAGACATTGCCTTCTTGGTCCACCACTTTGATGGTCGCCTGCAGTGGTACCAGGGCAAAGTCCACCACGTCTTTGATCCCTCGCCGCGAAAACAACGTACGCGTAACTTGGCCTCCTGGACTGGCCATTCGTCCTCGATCAAGAAGCTCATTCGCACTGCCGACGGCTCTGCCGTCATCTCGCGGACTGACACGGACGAGGGAGTCGTCTGGAAACACCGCGGCAACTTCCTGGTCAGAAAGAGCAAGACAAAGTTGCACGAACACATACACCGCACTGCTCTGCTGAAGAACGGTGACTTCATTGTGCTTCTGCACCACGAGAGCATTTCTCTCTGGGACGCTCGTCTGTCAAATGCAAAAGAGATTGGTCGCTGCTCATACTCGGTCTCCGGCAAGCCTCTCTGTCTCCTGCTGCTCCCGGCTCCTGAGGATGCTGGCCATCTGTCATACCTTGCAACCGTCACGGCAGATATGCGAGGTCTTGTCTGGGAGCTTGATCTAGGAGCATCTGAACCCTCAATCAATGAGTTTTGCTCCTTCCAGCTTGAGCATATTGAGAACATGTCCTACTTTCTGCCTGTCGATCCTGCAGGTAGCTCGCTTGTTGTGTCTGGCCTCTTCGACACCTTCGCTCAAGATACAGCTGTCTCATGGACGACCACGGGTATCTTGCAAACTTGGACAGCCAGAGTCGATCGCCGAAAGAAGGCTGTGACATGGCTAAATATCTCCACCACCGACACAAGTATTCAGAATCCTTCTCTTGGTAGCGGCACTTCGATCCGGAAAGCTGCGCTTGTTGACAAGTCGCGCTCTACCTTGACCATCTGGGATACCAAAAGCAGCCGTCTTGACTACGAAGAAACTTTCCAAAACCAGACAGTCCAGGATCTCGATTGGGCTTCAACGCCCGACAATCAGTCCATCCTCGCCGTCGGTTTCTCGCATGCTGTCTTTGTGTATACCCAGCTTCGCTATGACTACGTCACCGAGCGGCCTTCATGGGGTCGCATCAAGGAAGTCAATACTCGCGATCTGTCTCCTCATCCTATCGGAGATTCTGTCTGGCTAAGCTCTGGTAATCTGGTGATTGGTGCTGGCAACCAACTCTACCTTACGAGCAACGCAATTGATTCTCAACGAGACTTGTCGTCAGATCTACAAAGCTCAACTTCACACAAATCATCTATACGCATACAAGACGTCGTTCGCAGACTCAATGGTCCCTTACCCGTCTTCCATCCACAATTCATCTCCCAGTGCATTCTTGCTGGCAAGATGGACATCGTTCACCGTATCTTACTTAATCTCCAGAAGACGCTCAAGTTCTACACTGAGGGCGATGATCTTGACTCTTTCCAAGGCCTTGAAATCGATGACTTCATGTCATCCACTGAGGTATGCTCGTCCTCATGTACTCGAGATAGTTCTCACTGACATGCGAGCAGAAGTTCCCAAATTCCAGTAAGCAAATGCACAAATCTTACAGTACCCTCGACATGCAAGAAGAATCAACAACTGTCACTGAAGACGTCGCATCATCTATTGTGTCTCTTCTTTCTGAGAAGTCCATACCACAACTTTCAAGCACCGAGCAACTCAGTCTTGCCGATATTGTCGAGTGCGTCGGCATGGTCGAAAAGCATCGTCGCTCGATTGACGCAAACGCCGCCCGCTATCTACTGTTCTGGAGAGCAACTATTGTGCGCTCTCGCCAGTCGTCTACCTTGGCAGCTGTGACGTGGCGTGAAATGCTCTGGGCATACCACAGTAGCAGTCAAGATATCCTTGTCGACATCGTCACCCGACAGAACAAAGGTCAGATAACCTGGTCGCATGCTCGCGACACTGGTATCTTTGTCTGGCTTACCGACCGGGAAGCATTGCTCCAGCAGTTTGAGGCTGTCGCTCGGAGCGCATACACCAGCACCGAGCTTCGTGATCCAGCCAACTGCTCTCTTCACTATCTGGCTTTGCGTAAGAAGAACGTCTTGCTTGGTTTGTGGCGCATGGCTACGTGGTCAAGAGAGCAGGCTGCCACCATGCGTCTCCTGAAGAATGACTTCTCCGATCCGAGATGGCGCACCGCTGCAAACAAGAATGCTTACGCACTCATGGGAAAAAGGCGATTTGAATATGCTGCAGCTTTCTTCCTTCTCGCTGACAATCTTGATTCTGCCGTCTCCGTGCTCAACAATCAGCTTGGCGATGTGCAGTTGGCCATTGCTGTTGCTCGTGTTTACGGCGGAGATGACTCTCCTGCGATCAAGAAGTTCTTGAACGAGAGACTACTGCCCAGTGCAGCACAAGATGGGAATCGTTGCCAGACTACGTGGACGTACTGGATGCTTGGTGAAAGATCTCTGGCTGTCCGTGCTCTTGTCAGCCCCTTGCACTCGCTGCTCGTGCCACCTGGCTCTCCTCCAGACTCACTACAGGCCAAGAGTTTCCGCAATGACGATCCTGCGCTTGTCGTGCTTTACCAGCAACTACGAGAAAAGAGCCTGCAGACCTTGAGAGGTGCCCTCATGATCACAGGTCAGGAAGAGTGGCAGTTCATCACCAAGACTGCGACACTGCTTCTTCGTATGGGTTGTGATATTCTCGCACTTGATCTGGTCCGCCACTGGGAGTTCCTGCAGCCTCATCCTGTAGTTAAGCAAGAAGAGGGTGAGGGTGAAGAGTCTGTGGCAGAATTACCGCGACGCAAACTCTCCAGGACCAATACAGCAGAGCGATTCGACCCAAGAAAGTTACTACGCCGGAGAAGCAGTCTGGTTGTCGCTGACTTGCCAGAAGGAAGACCTGTGCTGTCATCCGATAACGCTGCCCCATCAATGCTGGATGGCTGGGGTGCTCCTTTAGCACAAGTCAAACAGACTCCGTCGCTGCTCGACCAGTGGTCGACGCCCGGTTCGTCGACACCCAAAGCTGCACCCTCAATGTTTGATCAGTGGGCAACGGCTGAGCTTCCCAAGCAGACCACCAAGCCTGCCCCATCAATGCTTGACAGTTGGAGTGCCCCGTCTAAGCCTGTATCTCGGCCCGCGACTTCTCTTCTCGATGAATGGAGCGTGTCCCCTGCCAGTTCGAAGGCCGAGACGATTGCGGCACCGTCGCTGCTAGATCAGTGGACGTCACCGACACCGTCTGTATCAAAGCCAATTGCCAAACAGCCTGCTTCTATGCTCGATGAGTGGGCTACACCTGCTTCCAAGCCTGTGCCCAAGGTCGAAAAAGTCGAACCACCATCGATGCTCGACCAGTGGACCACGCCTGCTCCGACTGTTCCTTCAGCTTTATCTATATCACCAGCGCCTGGTCCCGCAGCTGCTGAACCTCCGACAGTGATGCCAGACAGAGGCACCGGAAATGATCACATGCCCCCTGCTGTTTTCCTCAACAACCCAACAATGCCAACATCAATGCCCAATTCGGCGGACGAGCTTGAAAAGCAAGTCGAAAGTTATGAACAAACACCAAGTGACCCGGAAGAGGCGGGAGTAACATCGCGAGGGAACGTTGTAGTAGATGGAGCTGAGGATAACGCGAGAGGAGGCTCCGAGGGAAAGTGCGAGAGCACAGTGGACAATACATATAAGCTGCCGAAAGGATTGAAGCAGCCTCCGCCAGAAGCTTTCAAAGAGCCTGATCCGAATTCTTTACTCGATGCGTTTGGCTTTTGAGCGAGCATAGCGATGCGCACTTTAGCATAGCCAACAAAGTCCGATATAATATTTTTGTTCAACATTATCTAATCACTTCCCTCCGATGTAAGGTCGTTCTGTCAAAAACATCGCAGCATCTCATTTCCAATCATCCAGGCTCTAGAGAGTTTAACCTGAACATCTTTTCGCGGTACGAGAGTGGATTCTCAAGTATCACATTCTTCGACCTCACTCTCCTCGGAGTCTCAGTCATCCTTCGATCCCTTTTCCTCGCTTTTGTTGATAAACAAGGCAAAGTCGTTTTTCTGAAAACTCGACTCGCTCACGCGTTAACACATCAACCACGATCATAAAAGTATGCGCCCGCACAGCGGTGAGAATATGCCACCATCAGTGAAGTTCAAACAAAAAATCCCAAGGTATACCCAGCCTGCGTTTAATCGCGTGAGCTCGGAGTAGAAGATAAAGTCGAGTTGCCAGAGTAGGTAGCCAAAAACGAAACAAGCTGTAAATATAAATATCTCGACCGAGAACAGACCGGGGGGTAGGGATGGATTGAGACATACCTCCACCAAAAAGGACAGCTTTCTGTAGCATTCTCTTGTCTTTTGGATCTCGGACGCGGTGTCTAATTCAAGATCGGGTTTTGGCTGCGACCACGATGGTGAGGAACACGAAAGAGAGCTCGTGTAATGCCTGTTCGTCTGTGGTAACGTCGTAAGTTGTCTCAGCAATGACAGCTAAAAGCAATAGTCCAGTAAACCAGTGCTTGAATGTAGAGCTCTTCTGGTAAGTGATCGCGCGGCGGAGTACGATTGAAGTAGCAATAGTCATCGATGTATCATCCGCTGCCCCAAGACTTGTATCAGCATGATTCTCAACAGACATACTCGAGGAACCTGACTGACCCATCCGTGCGTGATATGACAAAAGCCCATGGAATAAGCTCGAGCAAACGCCGGAAAGTGCAAGTCAATGGTAGAGACTTTTCAGCGAGAATTGCGTCCTTAGGCATTCGACGAAGCGCTCGAGCAGCATATAAGACTACATGGCTATCTGTATAAACATAGTGACGAGATCAAAATAACAGCCGAACGTACTGTAAGCAGTATCGCTACACGTGTTGATGAATTCCGCAATGTAGCCGACTATGACAAAGTCTTCCTCGCAAAAGCTGGCTAATGTGAGCCGACGGATTCCAAAGCAGTCGATGCGATAATACGTACTTTGCTCGGGCAGTGGGAACGTCAAAGGCGAGAGACAATGGTTGTGCGCGATATGAAACGGAGGTCAGCATATTGTAAGGTGTGTTGCGGAGAAACAGGTCGAGCGTACGAGCTATTCACCAACCGCGAGGGAAATGATGTGTGGAAAGGCCCATGAAAGCTGGCCACCCGGCGGAAGGAACACAAGAATCAGGTTTCGTGAGCTTGGCAAAACAAATCAACCTTGGAACAACAATATAGTTGGACGACCCGTCGGAATGGTTCTGTGGTGCCTGCATCTTTTGTCGGGGTCTGCTCCGGCAAGGAACGCTAGTTGTAATTCCAGACACACCACCTTTCATTCCTTTGGAGAACCCGAACGTATCGACACGGATCCTCCAGTGAACTTTTCGACTTGTGCACGATGAATTCGTAAGCTCGAGGAAAGCGTATAGGATCTTGGAGCATGTACTCAACTACGGCATCGTGGCCAATGCTCGGCCTGACCAGATCATCAGTTGTATTCATAAGGGATGACGTCGTAAACCGTCGCAGTTCAATAAACACGACTTATATTGACTGTTTGACAGAGCAAGCCATCTAGGGTGACTTAACTCGTCCCTAGATGTCTCCTCTTGTGGACAGATTCGACTCGTCTTGATGCGATTGACAAGACATCGATCCGTACAAAAGTCGAACGTAATCAACATTCTGTAAAAAACCTTCGCGACACCGTGGTGGAATCAACCAGTGCTGAGCGTCGTGCGAAGAGGCCGTGTAGATCACATACAGTACTGATGTTATTGCTGTAGCGATATCCTTCTACCTTGTGGTAGACATAATATGGCGTAGCGAGACGTTTTGCTGGCGCATGATGGGTGACCACAGCTCTGTGCCTCGTGATTGTTGCCGCCGAAGGATTCGAGAACTGTGGTTCACTGCGCTATTTGATTGTTGTCGCAGTATCTAATCTACGCCTCCATCCTGATGCCTCACGGATATACGGCTGCTCCACCAAAGCATAAAGCGCGTCATCTGACGCGACGAATATCCCGCAGCCAAACAATATAATGAACACACCAACACGCGATCGCTCCCAATTCTTACAACTTCAATTCCCCAAGAATAGCCAAAAATCTGACAATCAAGCCTTCGGCCAAGACGATGGAGAAGCTTGTTTGTTCTCGATGTGATCGCGAGATACCCCTCACCGAGAAAGCCGAGCATGACGACTGGCACCTTGCGAAGGATTTGGACCACAGCAACAACCCAGACGCGGAAACAGCTCCCCCCGCATACGACTCACCCGCAAAGTTGGATGATCAGTACAATGGATTCTCTACGGAGAGAAGGCCATCGGGACCAGCCCCAACTGACAGTCACCAGAAGATGGTGACGAAGGTACCGAATGCGACAAAACACAAGCACCATATCAACAAGGTCGATGAAGCTGCAAACTTGCGGGCGAAAGATGAGGTACGTGTTGCCTTACGCTGACAGCCATTGAATGTCCTCCTGCTGAACACGCACTCCAGCAAGCAATGCAACAGGCTCTCCAGAATCTCCAATACCGGTATCGCATATACAACAGCGAGATTGAACCTGAGCACGAAACCGACAATCCATGCGGCTGTCCGATCCATGAATACCAGCGCAAGAAACGCAGTCGCAAGCACGTCCTCACCCAATGGTCCGAAGCAGTAATGTACCCCGGCGAAAAGGTTTATCACGACTTGCAATACCAGACCACCATCTTCACTGGCAACCCGTATTTGCTTCGCGTCATTTCGCCTTATGGTTATGGTGGCACTGCATGGTCACGATCGCATCCTCGTCCTGGCTTTCATGTGAAGTACATTCACCAGACTATTGCGCTTAACAATTCTCTCAACCATGACGCGCAGGCGAAAGTCGATGCGATGGAGCCGAAACATAGCATTTGGGACGACAAAGCACTGGACACTGCAATGTCGCAGTTGACGCTAGCTTCTGAAAGTGAGAAGCTGTCGAGTGGACCCGACAAGAAAGCTTATCCGGACGAGAAAACAGATGAACCTGAGTCCTCTGTACAGAGACCTGAGCCCTCAAAACGCGCCAGCTCATCGAGATTTTCCGCCTTCAGGAAAGCTGTGGGCATCAAGTCTTCCGATGAGAGAGCGATCGCAAAGACGGAGAAAAGTGTGAACCAAGGACTAGTGCTGAGGAGCGACATCTTGGCTGAGGAAGCCGCTCGCTGGCCAGACGAGGTGACTCGATACATCGTGGCAGTCTACCAGGACAAAGTCGGTATGGAGAGAAAGATTGCACATCTCCGTGCCCATCAACCTCTGCAATATCTTCATCTCCTGCGTGCGGGATACTTCGAGCCCATTCCTGTCGCTTGGGCTGATCAAGCATCAAACATCCTGACATTCAGCATTGAAGCAGCTGGTGGCTGGCGAGGTATCACGCCTGCGTGGCGAGGATACGAGGACACTGCAGAGGAACGTCTGTACTGGGTTCTGAACCATAGAGAGGGACCGGCTGGTGTGCGCATGAAGCCTGACTTCATTTCCGAGATGAACATGGCTCGTGATCGAATGGCAAAAGCTGTCGAGCCACCACCAGGCTACTATGCTGCTGATGATACCTGCCACATTCAGCATACGTCTAAAGGCTATTCGAAGCAAGTGATGCCACCTCCATTCAGATCGAGCGATCGTGCAGAAGTGCCCACCGATGACACAATGATCCTACTCGATGTTTCTGGTTCCATGGACTTTGATCCTGCACGACCCAAGTGAGTCTGCTACGAGATGTCGATACGATTTCCGAACATGTAGCTGACATGTGACCTAGCTACGATCAATATCTCATCACTGGCTTCTCGCCATCTACACAGCCCAAGAATAAAGGTTCGTCTGTTGTTGCACAAGTCAGAGACAGAGAAACAATTGCTGACGATCCCTACAGATGTCGCGAAAGCAATCATTCGCCGTTTCATTGACGCGATGGCTAACCATGATCGTGCGTTTGACGGCTACGATCTAGTCACGTTCTCGAGTCATGCAAAAGTCATCGGCACAGTCAGTCACAAAAACCTGGATGCGACGTGGAATAAGGTCGCTATTGGTGGAGGAACCCGTGTCATGACCGGCTGGCAAAAGGTCAAACAGCGCCACTTCGAGAAGCACAGCGAATCTGCAACATATCATCCAGTGTATGGATGGCAAGCGGGACCTCAGACACCAATGTTGCGCCTTCTTCTCTTGCTGGACGGTGAGGCAACCGACATGGATGAGTTCGAACTGGAGCTTCTAGGTCTCTCTTGGGCGCATGTCACCATCTTTCTGATTGGCGTTGACGGCTGTCCTCACCATCATCGCCATGCGAATGAGCTGCAGCGAATCAGCGATGTCAATCACCATGTCTCGTTTGTGGACGCGCAAGGAAATACCCCGGAGCGCTTTGTCACGCATGAATTGCTGAAGCGACATCTGGGATACGAGATCTCGATGCAAGAGTTTTGTGAGTTGGAGGAGCTGCCGGCGTACGAGGCATAGTCTCTCTGTGAATGCCCCGACTGGTAGCACTGTATTGCATTATCGTTCTCAGAGATTTTATGAAATGGTGTCAGGGAAAGAATCATCCGGAGACAGGACACTTTGAATTTGCTATTTCCACCTCTACGCGTTGTTCATTCCCGGGTGTTACTTCAGACTAGAAGTATGCCAAAGGATTTTCCGGGTTTGACTCTTCTGCCTGTAAGACATCCCAGTGCTCCACAATACATGTCCCTACCACTCGGTACATGTCCACCACGTCGGTCTTCATCGTCTGATTGCTAGAGGTGTTTGATGCCTCAAGGTGAATGATCACCATTGTATTGTTGTCCGTATCCTGGCCAACTGTCAAGCGTTTGACATCGAAAGTGTTGACCGCACTTCCAAAGAGAGGTCCCAAGGAATTTATAGCAGCCTCTCGACCACTCAGAATACCTGCGTTGTGCTGAATGTAGTCCTCGGCAACAAAAGTATTGAATGCTCCGGAGACGTCCTTGGCCGTGTAGAATTCATGTGCAAAAGTCTGCATGGCGGCCTTGATGTGATTGGTATCGGCATCGGGGCATGTAGTCGGGGGGCATTGGAACGTGGAGTTGTTGTGTTTGACGGGAACATAAGGCATGGCCGATGAGGCTGAAAGCATGAGTACCGCGAGGAGAAGAGATGTCATGGTTGCCTGCATCTTCGAAGCGAGATGGGCTTCGATTAATGGAAAAGACGCTTGAGCAAGCGTATTCGAAGCTATATACTTATCACGACTTGTTGGAGTTCGATGATCATGTTCGGTCAGATCGGTTCGGTTCGGTCAGTTCGGAGCTGGTGTCTGATGACTTCGTATCCTCTTAAATAGCCGAAACGCTAATTGCGGTAAGGCAAGGATATTCCGTTGCTTGCTATGTTCTGCGGCAGCAGCCCATCTTATTGATACTAGCATACGTGTAAGGGCGGTCTTCAAACCCAATTTTCCTGGTGCGACAAGTACGGCATTCTTGCTCCTCACTTCGCGACCGATCTTGAGTCACAAGCAGGTCCAAGGCGACTAGACAGCGGCTACAGACAGAGGTTCAGATGCTTTACGAAGATCGTCTATCGGCGGGGTCTAACACTCGGCTTCTTCTCCAGCGGACAAATCCTGGAACGAGGCGGACCGTCAATGAATACTCGGTGGAGTGAGTCGACAAGAAAGGCCTCCAGAAAAACGATACGTGCAAGCAATGTTGATACATGTGTTGTATCTATATCGCTCCCACTCTTCAGCGACCGATCTTGCGGGGCGGCGCTCGCTTAAGACACTCGTTGTGTCAAGTGCAAGAGCACACAAGAATGCGTTCAACGAGTGATCGCGGAAATCCTTGGGACCCTGTGTCAAGCTCGAGTCAGCCAGCAGGCTTATTAGTAACAAATGTCAGATGATTCTGTGCATCGACCAGCTTCCCTCGGCAAGAGGAAGAAGCGTCTTCCGCGGGGAGATCGCCCGACGGCAACTCTCGGGAACAACGCGAGTTTTAGGTATCCGGCTCTAATGCCTTCTTCTTTCCGTATTAAATATTGCTATTATTACCGTCGTCTAAACATTCTAAAAACCCCGTCTATAATAGCAGATATAGGGACTATAAGTTTAGGATTTAGTTATCTAGTCGATAGATTTAAAAAGCTAGTATAGATACGACTTTAAAAACTTAGTAAGCTACCTATTATATAGTACGTATTTAGTACGCCGGAGATTATAAGCCGCGCCGTCGTCGTTATAGATCTTAAGCTATCTATATTTAGCTAAGCGTCTATAAGCTAATTCCGCCTTTTAGCTATCTATAATATAGAGTTTAACCTAAGTTATAAGCCTTTTTAAGCTACTAGGTCTTTCGCTATCTTATAAGATTATATATATCGAGCCTAACGAGCTAAAGCCGGGACTTAAGCGTACTATAGATTAAGTACCGAAACCTAGCTAACTATAATATTCTTAGTATTATAATATAGTAGTTAGGGTAACAGATATAGTAAGAGGAAGTTAGGTAATACGGAGAAGCTGTAATATAAGGACTTCGGTACTATAATAGTAGTTAACTAACTTAATTATAACACACGTATTAGTTCTACCCCTTAATGCCTATTCCCTCTAGAGCTCTAGCTTCCGACTACTAAGAATACTATTTAACTCTTAGTATAAACGTAAAATACTAGAAGCTACCCGACTACTTATAGAATAAAGGCTCCGGTATTAAGCTTTACTAAAAGTATAAGAGATATAGCCTATAACGTATAATATTAAAGGTAGAATAAACGTAAGTAATACTAAATAAACGGAAATAGTAAGAGCTTTAGAAGCTTTTAAAAGAGAATAGTATTAATCTAGGAACCTTAAAAAGAAAGAGATCTATGTTTCTATTTTAAGAGCAGTTAAGGATAAGATACCTTTATATATAAATAAAGCGAGGTAATCGAATAGAGATACGAAGGCCGCTTATAGTATTTATTAGCTATTATATTATCTATTTAAGACTCGCTAAGAACTTTATATTAGGGGTACTTAACTATTTAGAATATAGTATATTCTTTATAACTTAGAACTATCGATTTAATAGTCTTAAACCGCTAATATATTTAGAAACTAGCCGTTAACGCTAAAATATAGCTACCTCGCGCGCTTAGTAATATCTAACTAAAGTTTTAGTTAGAATATACTATAAAGTTAATAGAACGAATAGAATCTAATAGTTACTTTATAATTAAGCTCTATATAGTATTTAGAGGTCTATACTTCTTAATATTAGTATTCTTCTATATATAAGGAGGTTCGTATAGTTATAAAGTAATATTCGAGTTATAACTCTATTTAAGCTACTAGCTAAGGTAGACTTTAAAGCGGAGTCTAAACTCTAAACTTACTAAGTTAAGTAATACTAATCTATTTAGTACTAGAAAGTTTAGAATATAGTAAGTAAAGCTTTAAAAGGTAGTTTCTTAAGTAAGAGTTAATCTTATATCGTATCTTATAAAATACTAAGGTCTAACTATTATCTAATAATTTAATTTATAAATAGTTTAAGTAAATAATAGAGATCTAGAGCTAATAAGAGCTTTAAAGAAACTATTTACCTAGTTAAAAAGTGTCGCCTAGTAATCGGAAGCTAGAGCTATAGGGGGAATAGTTATTAAGGGGTGGAACTAATACGTGTATTATAATTAAGTTCGGTAACTACTGTTACAGTATAGGAGTCTTTATATTATAGCTTCTCCGTATTACCTAACTTCCTCTTACTACATCTATTACCCTAACTGCTATATTATAACACTCCTCCTTAGTCTAGATAGCAGATGTTAGTAAGACCTAATTAGTTAATAAATCTTATAAAGTCTGGCTTAGGTAACGGCTTTATAAAGCCATCTGTAACTATGTCTCTTATTCCTATAAACTCGACATTAATCCTGTTCCTCCGGTGCAGGTCTCTAATATAATAGTATATAACATTAATGTGCTTTAACCTCTCGTAAGTATAGGTATCTCTAACTAACGATAAAGAAGCTTAGTTGTCACTAAACAGTTTAACTAGTAATCTAATAACGAAGCTTTACTCTTCTCTTATAGTTAGCTAATATTAGTTATAACTAATGTACTTACTATAGCCTATATCTCTTAGAAGTTAAGCTAGCTATTATAACTGCTTTACAGCTTAATATATAGCTATATATTTAGCTTCTATAGTTAAGGTTATAACTAACTTCTGCTTCTTACTAGACTAGCTAACGGGGCAGTTACCTATTATAAACATACTTCCTAGGATGGATATCCTATCTATCTTATCCATTACGTAGTCTAAGTTAGAGTAGCTAATAAGTTGTTATATACCTTCTACATTAAATTCTAGGCTAAGGTCTATTATTAAACGTAGGTACCTTATAAGGGATTTTAAAAGTTTAAAGTGCCCTTCTAATAGATCCGACACATATTAGCTTAGCCTTCTAATTACAAATGTAATGTCGGGTCTTATTAGAATTGCTAGGTAGATAAGACCGCTAATAATCTTTTAGTACTCCTTCTAGTCTACTCTCTTATCTTATAGACTAGATGGTTTTAATAGATCGTATCTATTTAGTAGAATACTAATTAGGTTAGCCTTCTCCTTATCTATTCTATACCTTAATAGAAGATCCTTAGTATAGTAAGACTAATCTAGGGTAATCGTTCTATTCTTTCTATTATAGATAACTTAAACTCCTAGAATCTTACTTACTTCTCCTAGATCTTTAATCTTATAGATCTCTCTAAAGCGTTTCTTAAACCAGTTAATGTTATCTATCTATTTAGCTCTAATTAGGATGTTATTAATATAGACTAGAATAAGGATTTCTTTCTCTAGATGTCTTAAAAGGTATAGGTCGGCGTCTATTTAGATAAAACCTATCTTCTATAACGATTCTATATAGCTCTAATTCTAATCTCTTATAGCTTATTTTAGGCTATAGAGCGATCTTAGTACTTTTAGTATATAGCCTAGTAGAATGTTTATTCTAGGTAGTGCTACTATATAAATCTCCTCCTTTAATGTTAACTTAGTAAAGGCATTACTAACATTAATAGTATAGCACTTAAGATCTTCTATTACGACAATTATAAAGAACACCCGTAATATATTATAGCGGAGAGTAAGCGTAAAGGTATAGTCGAAATCTACTCTAAATTTCTAGGTAAACCCTCTTATAATAAGACGTGCCTTTAGCTTTTATAACGAGCTATCTAGGTTATACTTTATAGTAAGTACCTATCTACTTATAATAATGTTTGCGCCTATAGGTGGCTTAATAATTTTAAAAGTCCCGTTTACCTATAAGGCATCTATTTTAAGCTTAAATGCTTCTTACTATAATAACCCCTATATAGGATCATTAATTACAGCTTAATATAACTTTAGAATCGGCACTTCTTCCTTTACTAAGAATGCTACTATAAAAGTATAATATAGGATGTTAAGTTAATTATTATCTTCTAAGTTAATTCCTAGACTCGGAAGGTTAATTACTAGCATTACCTTATATAACTTAAAATTAGGTTATCCTTCTAGTATACTATACTCTTCTCTTATTCTCTTTAATACTCGGGGAATTTTAATGTAGGAAAGGACCTTTCTTCCTACAGTTATAGCTACTAGTACTATTATTATAGCTATTACCGGTAGAGATAGTTATAGCTCCTCTTAAGACTCGATATTACTTTCTTTTAATAGCTCTAAATCGCGCTCCTCCTATAAGTTAGCGCTATTCTCTAGTTATAGCTATCTAGATCCTTATATAAAGTCCTAATAGAGATATCTTTTATACTTTAGGAATACTAGGATCTCGACTTATAGTTTAGTCTTCTTTAATGTAGTAGTTATAACTAGTAGAACGGTCGTTACATCTATTATACGAGTCTATTATAAGGGTAGCCGGCCTCTTAGATTTCTTAGGGGAGCTATATTTAGTATAGCTCGTCTAGGAATACCTAGTTATAGGTCTCCTCCTTACTTATTCTTAAAGAAGTCTGCTCTATATAATTTAATTACTTTCCTTATATCTAGAGCCTAAAAGAGCTATTACTTTATAGTCCCTTTAACGTATCTAAGGAACATATAGTGTCTGCCTCTATCTATAAACTTATCTCTCCTAGTACCCTATAGTAGGGAGTCTAGG